CCTAACCCTAACCCTAACCCTAACCCTAACCCTAACCCTAACCCTAACCCTAACCCTAACCCTAACCCTAACCCTAACCCTAACCCTAACCCTAAGGGTCCTCACCATCCTCCCGAATTCGAGCGATTTCATCCTGCTGGCGCATTCCGTCTGGTGGGCTGGTGCCGTCTTTGCGCCTCTGAATCCCAGTTCGCCCGAGAAAGATATCGTTCACGCGCTCGGAATTCTGCAACCAACCCACATCGCCTGTGACAGCTCTCGTCTTGCGACCATCCAAGCCGCGATCGACTCCCAATTGCAAAAGCAGAAGCCGCAGATCTTTATTTTGCATGGTCGAAAAGACGGTTTCCCCACGTTTCCCAACGACATTGCAGGTCAAAACAGTCACGAAAGTGTGCCACCTTATAATCTCAATGGCAAGAAAGCGAGCGAGGCCACTTCAACTATATGTTTCTCCTCTGGGACGACCGGACGAATGAAGGGCGTCCAACTCTCTCACCATAACATTGTGTCGAACGCACTGCAGATGCGAGCGTCCCTACCCAGCATTCTTAATTCTAGCCAGAGAGAAGTGTTCTTCCTCCCTTATTGTCACATCTATGGCCTGTCGTGTGTGGCGATCCTCGGCATGTGGCTAGGTACCTTTACTTGCGGCCTGACGTCTTTCGACCTCGAACTATTCTGCCAGAAGTTGGCAGAGACGAAGGCCACGTACGCACATTTGGTACCGCCGGTCGCTGCCCTTCTGGCGACTTCCGAAGTATCGCTCCAGAACGATCTGTCTTCACTAAGAACGTTGGTCGTTGCTGCAGCACCAATGAAACGAGATCTCCAGCTGAGGCTCAAGGCACGGCTTGGGGACAACATCAAGATCCTTCAGGGTTATGGACTTTCTGAATGCTCGCCCACCGTCATGCATCAGCATGAGTCCGACGACGACTATGTTGGAACTGCAGGGAAAATCCTGTCGGATACACAGGTACGACTAGTGGATCCGATCACGAAAAGAGATGTAGGACTTGGAGAAGAAGGGGAATTATGGGTCCGCGGCCCGCAAGTGATGCAGGGATATATTGGCGATGATGAAGCTACGCGCAACACGTTCTCAGAAGACGGCCAATGGTTGCTAACTGGCGATATCTTAAAGGTGGACAAGAATGGCAACTTCTGGGTGACAGATCGTCTAAAGGAACTCATCAAGTACAAAGGCTTTCAAGTCGCCCCTTCAGAATTGGAAGATGTCCTCCTCAAGCACCCCAGTGTGATCGACGCTGCAGTTTGCTCCATCTATGACGATACTCAGGCAACCGAGCTGCCACTCGCATACGTGAGCTTAATACCGCAATTATTGAAGCTAGGGGAATCTGAGAAAGGGCGTGTCCTGGCAGAGATCCAAGAATGGGTCAATAAACAAGTTGCAGGGTATAAAAAGCTCAGGGGTGGAGTTGTGCATTTGCAGGATCTACCAAAGACACCCACTGGCAAAATTCTACGCAAGGACTTGCCAGCAAGCCGAAAAAAAACCCCAAGCAGTAAGCTGTAGACGGACAGCCGAAGATGCTGCACTTGCCGTGGCATGATGAACGCGAGCTTCGCGGGCCCCTGAGCGTAGTGAACCAGAGTCCATTCTCCTTCTCGGAGGAAATGAAACACGTTGAAATACCTAGGTAGTTAGCTAGCGAGAGCTACTCGCCGCATAGACACGTATTATGAAACAGTCTTCCTTCAATCACGTCTCAACTATAAACAGACCGTGCTTTTGAATCGGTGCCTATACCTGGCATGGATCCAGCAAATAGTACCGGCCATCATCTGAGGCCAAATTGTCACTATATTGATGCGACCAAACTGCCATTTTTGGAATCAGGTGGCACATAACCGCTTGTAGAACGATATCGATTTCAACAGCAAGGCATCTGCATACAACCCCACAGCAACCCTGCCGCAGCCTCCCCAAGAAGTGGAACGTCCGATAGCATCTCTGGTCGCTCGATATAAGCATCACTATGTGTCGTTGCTTGACACATTCTCATACTGTGGGTGTTAATATCCAACCGCAACCGCAGAATCAAGTAGATTCCTGAATGTCTAAGAGATTATTGTGTTCTAGGTTCGCGGAATACGACATTTCGGCACAGCCATATTGAGGATCTACTCGTTCGTTGCCGTGATTCTCGTCTCCATCTGCTCCAACAAATTTTAGGAATTAATTTAAGTTAGGATGGGTAGCTGGATCCAAATGACCCAACCGACTGGAAGAACCCAAATACGTTCATTCACGGTGTTCCACACTCGCAAGGGCTCTGCTGATAATCCTGCAGCCAAAGGTATAGACAGTGACACCTGCGTGTCGTTACAGTTTGTCACCATGAGGAGTACACTCAACCGGACCGTAACTACCCCTAACTACAGCCTGAAGTTCTGGCCCGGCGCTAGGATACCAACGTTTTAGCCGGATGAAGATCGAGCGACTCAGAGGATTTCTTAACACTAAGACGTAAAATCTGCGTCGTGGAACAGGCCATGTGCCACTGACGCCTACCCAATTCAGCTTATTTCTCATTGTGCAAGTTTCGGATGGGGCCCTACCTGCCCAAATGTTGTAAAGCTGCCTAATGGCCTCGACGAGAACCTCATATTCGGCATCTACTAGGAGCTCTCACGCACTGCACACTATCGATCCTTAAATATGGTTCAGTAAACGGATGAGTGCTCTACGTGTGACGCGTCTAAGAATAGTACTTCACGCATGCACTATGCACGATTTGAAGCTCAAGATCACGGAGTCGCTACGTGTGAGCAGTTCATTGGACCTATAGTAGCTCTCCGGCAGAGGTGTGACCAATTTTCACCACTTACCACAATGCCGTAAAGTCCGCCGCCCTACACCCTAACTTTTAGCCCGCAATCGTTGACTCATTCCTCACCAGTTAGCTCACAGCACTGATATGGCGCATGATTCTAAACGTGATCCGGGTTTTTACTATCAGCATAAAAACGACCCAGCATTCCCAATTCTTGGCTCCCCAGACGCTGACTCCTTCCCCGAGTGACCCCCAAAGGTTGAACAGGTGGCAACAACTCGCGATTTCTGACAAGCGATAGTCCTTTTCATATCGCGTCGCATGGACGCAGGATATAAGGATACCTTTGTGACTTGAGACACGCTCAATAAGCCTTCAACGCCAAAGGTGTTTGTCCAACATAATGTTTAGAAGTTTTTGAGTAGAAATGCCTGGCAAAAATAAGTGTCAGCCACCCACTCCGGCTGAGACCGCATTTTTTACAGTCCTTGTCAAGGATAAGGCCGAGATCAGAAGTCTGTTCCAAGCTCCGATAGTCGGGTTCTGAGCTGATATTTTGGCTGCTTACGGTGACCTCTTTATGGCATGACGTCCTTCAAGGATACATAGTGGTATCAAAGAGGGAAGAGGGTGTCAACCTACGGGACATACTATCGAAACGTACTTCTTGCTGGAGCGATGACGAGACAAAGTCAAAGTGTGAAGGGAAGCTACGGGCAAGAAGCGTCCCGGCTAACGAACCGATGCCGCCCTCCGTCTCAATGGTTGAAGTCATTACACCGAGGGAACAACAGCCAGAAAGCCACAAATATAGGGCATTTAGGTGCGATGACAAGAGTTAGTCTATCCGCAAAAGAGATCAACTGGACTGGACGTTCTTGTTGATTACCACCTTTTCTCCTCGCAGTAGATCCTTTAGCTCAATCTCCTGAGCCTAATCACAACTATCGTAGAGCTCTTGTAGCGTTCTTCTCAGATCATGTAGGCCGTCTTCTTTTGCGAGTCTAATGAGATTCTCGTATACATGGTTTTCTTGCTCTTTAGTCATCTCCTCCTTGTCTCCGTAGTAATCATGCAGCTTATGCCTCCCTTCTTCGAGCTTGTCTCGATTAGAAGCCTGTCGGAGCCACGCTAGGGAAACTAGAAATATGATTCCATCGGAAGAGGCCCTACCGCCCGGGGATCATCGCTTGTACTGTTGAACACCTCACAGATTGAACAAGAACACGACATTAGTACCGAAATCAGCCTTGTGCGTAAGGTTCTTGGGGAAGATGCTTGCAAAGCAATCGCGTTGAGAGATAGGGACGAGAACAAAAAGCTGAACTGTGCTGCATGTGCAATAAGCTACCAATGCCTTCACTTTCTTCATGATGTACTCGCTTGCCGTAGCTTCGAGGATAAATCGGTTCTTTTCATGCTTGACTTCATAAAAAATTCTTGTTAACTTACAATCGCTGGCTGATCCCATTGGCGCGCAAGGTGTACCTCATCAAATCTTGGTCTAGCCCGTTCATGCAAGCCATTGTCCTGATGTACCGTGTGTCTTCTGTGTCTTGCGTGGGCTTCACGCTTTCTGTGTCTGGGTGCGTTCCTCAGTAACCTCACAGCTAGATGCGACAGCAGTCGTCACAATCTAGAGCATCCGCAGATCCAGCCTCCAAACTTATCTCACTTAGGCATAACAATAGGCGGCTATAGGCATACAGCCCCTGAAGTACTCGAGAAGATTACCCTACCCAGGTTGACTCGCTTAGGTATGGCTCCAGCCGACCTTGCGCATCGCGTTTACTGGAGCCTACCCAGACTACGAGAGTAATCTTAAATCGAACCCTTATGATCTATATATAATACTACTTTAAAAAATAATACTCAACTTTATTTATTAATAATATAGTCCTAAATAGCTTCGATAACTTTATAATTCGAGATTTTAACTATATTTATTAAATAAATTAAGTATCTAAAGTTTTATATAATTATTCGCTAAGTATAATTAAAGAACTTACGATCAAAGTTTTAAAGAACTTACGGTAGATATAGGGAGAATATCGTCGAGTTAATTAGCTCGTTTAAAGAACTTACCGTCAGTTCTTTATCGTATTATTGTTAGGAGAGGCGATAGCGATAGCTCGCGATAGGAGACTAATAGTAATCTCTACTCTTATTAAGGGGATAAGGATAGCTAGGAGAGCTCGTAGAAGGATTATTAAGTTGATCAGGCCTAGGGACGCTCTAAGCCTAAGGCGAACTGGCTGAGTATAGATTGCAAAAGTAAGGAGGCGGAGTTTAGTGGTATTCCTAGATATGGATATCTATTGTACGCTATGAAACCCATTTATCTTGGACTCGAATTCCGTGGCGGCGTGTCCGTGTAGATTGGTAAAGGTGTATCAAGTATTTTAGCCTTGATTTGCATTGCAACAAAGCGTGACATGTATCTTGCTGGCCCAACAGCCCCTCCGGCGTACCAGAATGCAGGATCTGATTTGAAGTTAGAGTCAGCATCGAGATGGAGAATGTATGCACTTACGTCCACATGGTTTGAACATGGCTTTCTGTTCACCTTCCTCGTCGAGTCCTCCAAAACTGTCTAGTTGACCTGCCAACTCACCACCGAAGAGCTGCGCTGCCACTATCCTTAGGTCCGAGATGAAACCTGTGGCGAACACGACGACATCTGCTCTTATAAAATCTCCATTTGCGCATATCAAGCCGTCTTCCACATAGCGAACTGGGACGGAATCTGACTTGATCTTGATCTGTCCGTGGCTACAGTCAGTCTCTCAGATTTTTCATTGAGTTGCATGGGAAGGGAAAATAGCATAGCAGTCAAGCTTACAAGTCCTTGCGAGATTTTTGGCGAGACCCCTACGTCCAGGGCGTAACCTCCAAATCGCCCAAATAGATAAGATACCATGTCGCCTTCGCGATCGAGTTTGAAGCCCACGCGCTCGAGCGAGTCGTACCGGTCTGGCTCCATGTTTGTCCAGCGCTCTATCGCCTTCAGGCTCATGAGTCTTCCAATCGCAGCTGGACCTGTACAAAATAGTCGATCCGCCACTTTCGTAGGTACTTTCTCGTTGTATACCTCTGCAAGATGTTAGTCGCAAAACCCACTAATTGTTAAATTTGCACTTGCTGTCATGATTTACTCTGTAATGCTCGGAAGGGACAAGCACTGGAAAGAATGGTTAGCATAAGTATCGCCGGACCTTAGCTGGTCATACATGTCTTCGACCTCTGCACCATAGTAACAGAACTTAATCCCGCCTCAAGCATGTCACCAGCCACATCATGACCTATATAATGTCAGCATAGGGAGACATAATGATACGAACCCTGCCTACCAGTATTTGCCGTTCCAATGATTACGCCATGCTTACCACTCCATTCACTAGAGTTTTTGTAATGTCCTGAATGCATAGTTACACCTCGGAAGACGTGCTGTTGACTAGTCAGTGAAGCTCAGCACACAATACAGGGGAACATACTCTGTCTTCATAATTTGGCGAGATAGGGAACTGTGCACCCCCTCCTACTGCGAAAACGATGTAAGAACAGGTAATGTGAGACTCGTGCCCACTACGCATGATCTTGAGATCCCAGATATTCTTCTCTGCGATCCACGATCCTGACAGCAGCGAGGTGGACAAGAAAATATTCTGCCAGGACATCAGCTCATTGCCAGGCATGCCCACGCTAAGAAAGCCGGCGGAATTGAGTGACTTACTATGCCATACTTCTTGGCCCAACGTTGATAGCCTTCCGCAAGGTCATACTTGGTCAACCACTCTTGGTAGGTGGAAGGAAAGGTTCTCTCGAACGGTAGGTGAGCTGTATCACATTAGGCGGTGACAGACTTGCCGCTCAAGGAGCTTACCAAACTCCCGGACTGTATGTACTGCACTAATTAGTACATAAGATCTTCCCAAAGAATGTGAAAACTTACGTCTCATAGAGTCATATCGCGTTTTCCAGCTATCTCCAACATTGGGATGCTTCTCAATAATGACATAAGACACGCCGAGGGCCTTCAACCGTCCACCCGCGCTTAAACCGGCTTGTCCCCCTCCAACAACGACGCACTCATAGTCGACACTCTTAGATGTGTCATGAGCCGTTGCACCATCAGTATGACGACCGTTGGTGGTAGCGTCATTTATGTCAGTGCTATTTGTAGTAGTACCATTGGTGGCTGGATCGTTGACGGCCATAGCAGTGGGTGCTAAACCGTCCGCGGTAACACCATTTGCATTAACCTGTCGTACAGGAATGTCTACAGTATCCCCATTGGCGATAGAATGACCATTCGGAGCAGGCATATTATGCACAGGTTCCAGATGGTCAACATCTGGCTGTGAGTCCAATCGCTCCAGGATCGTACGGAGTATCCAGATCTTCCACTTTCCAGTACCATCGGGAATGACGGATAGGTATCCATGGTCAGTGGTTGCTGGAATGCCTTGTGTTCTGAAAGTGAAACCTATTTCTAGCCAAGCCGTAGGTCCAGCCCGGACGACCTGAGGCTTGCCATCAATAGCAAATGACGTAGGTTTATGCGTCTTTGAGGTGGCTTTCCATGCAGCGGCAATAGATTGAGCCGAGTAGAACGTCCTCGCCGTGCCGGTTAGTGCAAATATGTCGCGCCAGACTGCGTCCTGGATGAAATCATCCTCACAAAGAAGGTCCAGTGCTGAGACGAAGTAATTTGCTATGCCGTCCAAATCCAGGAATTCTGGAATCACAGCTGTCGGCAATGAGACAGGAAGCTTGGCCAATGTTGTGGGCAAGCTGGGAGGGTTGACCATGATTGGCCACCACACGTATGTGTCGAATGTCGAGAGTCGAGGATAAACTGAGATCGTTTCAGCCTTTGATCGTAAGGCAAGTAAAAGTCACTGTATAACTCCGGTAGAAGCTCGACACGTGATATTCGTCGCGATACAGTGAGTTCGACTGCCCCAGGTCTCTGCGGTCTTTTGTCCGGGTTTTGTAGGAGGGTTATTCGTGCCTGCCAACGTTCAGAATCCTTCGGGTTCCGGCCAGTCCAGAAGATTAGTCCACGTGTAGACCAATCGTTAATGAAAATCGGGATCAGGTGACTTACAGCAGTTGATAAAGATGTACCGAGGAACTAATCTAATGCCTCAAAGGTGAACACGGTAATGTTTGCGAGTCTTAGATGTTACTAGCTTTCTGGAAATACACGAAAGCAAAATTAAACACGTCTCCAGGCCCCCAACCGTTGCACTAGTAGAAGCCGGAGACTGATATGGTGAAACAATGCGCTATGTACACTCTAACTATCGAGATTAATATTGTGAAGCTCGTCTTGGGTCCAGTGCCTTGAAACAAGCCTGATCGAAGCCAGAAGTGGCTCCTACCCCGGCTCCTTCTCCAGCAGCCACGTGAGGACACTCCTTGTGCGCGATCTTTCATACATGCACTGGCTGTGAGTACGGTGGATGCCTTCTACCGCCGGAACCCATTCGCCTCTTGATGGATTCATGGTCTTCGCCACTCCGGAGACGGGCAATGAGCTCCTCGGGCTGAAAATCATAGCCAATGGGCTCCTCATCAAACTCCGCCGACATCATGTACTCGGTTGCTTCGTCAGCAGTATCGAAATTGTCGACCTGCATCTCCAAATGATTGCCGTCCGGATCTTCATAGTAGATGGAAGTCGTTGGACCGTGATTGACACACCAAACTGGATTCATGCCCAGCTTCTTTCGTTGTTCATACGAAAGGGCAAGATCATCCAAGGTGTCGTATGTGAAAGCGATGTGTTCAAGACCGCTAGCATGTGGACTAGGAGGCCCAGTATGTGGCAGTGCTCCGATGGCAATGCGGTGATGCTCGTCGTCGTAAGCGACGAAAGCCATGTATTTATTGCGAAAGGCTACTTTGCCGCCTAGTAGCTTGACATAAAAGTCGATCATTTCGTCTAGTCTGGTCGTTTTGAGCAAAACATGAGCCAGATGCTGAGGGCTTTTGACCTTTGGCTGTTCGCCGTTCGTCGTGGTAGTCATGATGAAGCTCAGAATTCAGCGGGTAAAGTCCAATGGATTGCAGGAGTGGATGTTCAGTAAGTTCTCAGCTCTTGAGATCGTGAAGAGCGCTGATGAGATTATGGAAGAGGGCGGAACGGCGAGGCTTTGGTGAAGGACCTGTAGTCGCAGGCCAGCCACGCATGTGCGACACCAAAATGGCCGAAAGTCGGGTTGCGAAGACAGGAATGTTGGCCGTGTCAAAGCCACGTGCCGTGAATTCAGCCGGCCTTAGCTTTCAACGGATACCTCGGTATCCCGTTGGGCAAGAGGACCAATCATAACAGGCACCAAGCACGCCGGGACACTGCAATCCATGATTTGTGCCTGTTGACCAAGCTTTGATGTGAGGGTTAGCAGGATTCTTGTGCTTCATCTTCTGTCTCATTAAATACGATTGCTTGACAACCATCGACAACACGATATTTTCGAACATGGCCTCACTGAAGCCAATCAAGCTGTACTCACACAAGACAGGTCCAAAGTACGCCGTTTTGAATGGACCCGTGGTGATCCTAACTGAAATGATGTGTACAGCCCATGGAAGGTCGCAGTTATACTCGATGAGCTCTCAGTACCTTACAAACATGAGTTCCAGGAAATGTCCGCGATCAAACAAGAGCCCTTCATTTCTGTCAACCCGAACGGCCGAGTACCCGCGATCGAAGATCCAAATACGGGTATCATACTCTGGGAATCTGGAGCGATAATAATGTACCTCATTGAGACGTACGATAAGGACGGGAAGATAAGCTATCCCAGTGGTCCAGAGAAATACTACGAGTGGCAGTGGATGGCGTACCAGATCTCGGGCCAGGGGTAAGCGCTTGCATCAACACTTCCTGTCCCCTTGTATTGCCGCAGTACTTACGTCTTTGTTCTCAGACCATACTTTGGCCAAGCTGTTTGGTTTACACGCTTCCATCATGAACAACTACCCAGCGCTAGAGAGCGGTATGTCAAGGAGATTGAACGAGTGACGGGCGTTCTTGATTCGTGGCTTCAAAAACATGACTGGCTCGTGGGTGACAAGTGCACCTATGTCGATCTGATGTTTGTGCCATGGGCAAAGACTGCGCATACTACCATGGGAGACTTTATAGACTTTCAGGGCAAGTATAAGGCTTACTTTGCTTGGATGGAGAAGTTGGAAGGACGGGACTCTGTGAGGAAGGTGTTTGAGGAGAAGGCCCAGGTAGCGCAGTAGAGCACAAAGTGGTGAATAAAGGTTCAATGACTACCTACTGAGAGGAATATGCAATTTAATACGCTTTGAGTTATGTGTAGTCCTCAGCCTCCAGTAAACCTGATGCCTAGAATCAGTGACTTAGCTCGAGCGAAGTTGTGGGCAGCTCTTTGCAGCCCTTGCAGCGACTAAGGTTACGAGGCCGACATGACACGGATACCCTTCAAGCAATTCTTTTTGTGTGCTTGGTGCTCCATCGCGGCTTCTGTGGGTCGTAGCGTCTCTGTAATTCTACCCGGAGGTACAGATGATTAGCCCCATTCGCCGGCAGTTGCACCTTGGAAGGTTGGGTCTCCATACCAAAGAATTGTGGCGTCGTTGACCTCAACTTTCGGAACCCGAGCCACCGAAGCTACTTGCAACTTCGGAACCGAAAGGGGCAACTGGTTCGCATGTTCCGGAACACCGTGCTGTTCCGTCCACGCGTCGAGAACGCGTTCGCGGCGAGTGCCACTTTTCTATCACGTGCTTAATTTGTGTCTCTTGACCAACCGGGTTCAGGTCAGGCTAAAAAATGGGCATGGGGATCCTACCTTGACGTACGCGAACCTTCTTCTCGTCCGCACGATATCTGGTTTCTAGAGCTCAGCAACATGTCTCTGTCCATCCTCGAGAACCTAAAAGCCGACCTCCCACCTGCTTCTGTTCCGGAAGATGTCGACGTAGAGAATCTATGTGCGGGGTTCTGCAAGACGTTGTCTTCTCTCAATGCAGACCACTTCACGCCTGATGCAATATGGCGCGACATGTTTGCATTGACAGGAAGCAGTCGCACATTCTATGGCGCCGACAACATCATTCAGACATGGCGATCATTAATACAATGCGCACTACCTGAAAGCATTACCTATCTGAAGCAGTCGGCGCGCAAGATCGATCTTGGAGAATCCAACTGGATTGAGGGCACCTTCACCTTTGAAATTGACGAGGCGCCTGCCAGAAAATGTACTGCGGCCCTGTCCATAGTCCCAGCTGATGACGGGAGATGGAAGATCTGGGTGCTTCGCACATTTCTGGATAAATTACAGAACCACTCTAGCGTGGATAAGATGGCCCCTGCTAGTCAAATGAATGGCGATTCGAAACATCTTGAGCTACAACATGACCGAAAAGATACCTTCGAGTGTGTTGTCGTTGGAGGTGGGCAGGCAGGACTGAGTGTGGCAGGCAGACTTCAATCACAGGGCATTGACTACATCTTGCTTGAGAAGAACGAAGCAGTTGGCGACAGTTGGAAGAAGAGATACAGATCAACCAAGTTACACACCAACAGAGAATCCTCACACCTGCCATTCAATAGAACCTTTCCCTCACACTATCCCCAATACCTTGGCAAAGATGATCTCGCTCGAGGTTACTCGGATTGGGCACAATACTATGGTATCAGTGTCTGGCTTTCGACCACCTTGGTTTCTGGACAATGGCACGAGGACACCAGGAAATGGACATTGGTGCTGTTAAAAGGTGGTGAGACGAGAAATATCACTACGACACATGTGGTTCTCGCAATTGGTGCTGGCTGCCAAATACCGATGATGCCAACCTATCCAGGAATAGAGACATTCAGAGGCGAGATTCAGCACTCGGCGGAGTACTACTCCGCCGACAAATGGAAGGGCAAGCATGGGGTTGTTGTCGGTACAGCCAACACAGCTCACGATGTTGCAGAAGATATGGTAGCAGCGGGAATGGTCTCCGTGACCATGATTCAACGCTCCCCTACCTATGTTCTTCCAGCCGAGTACTACGAAAAAGTTCAAGAGCTCTCATGGAATGCAGATGTCCCGACAGAGATCGCTGATCAAGAGATGCTCACTGTTCCCCTTGCTGTCAGTAGACTTATCAGCATGTTGGTCCTGCATGGAATGGCAAGGGCCGAACCGGAAAGATTCGACGCTTTGGAGAAGGCAGGATTCAAGACGGTTAGATATGGTGACATTATATATCAGGTGTTTGATCGATTTGGTGGTCACTATATGGATGTTGGTGCGTCTGCAAAGATTGCGAAGGGCTTGGTAAGACCTCTCATCCAGGCTACTGGCAGGATCAGGAAGACTAACATTCCATGACCAGATCAAAGTCAAATCTGATGCCCTACCGGTCCATTATACCACAGACGGCCTTAGGTTCAGCGACGGAAGCGAGTTGAAAGCTGATGCAATTGTATTTGCAACCGGATTCGTAGGGACCATGAAGGACACAATACGTGAGCTGCTTGGCTCCGATGTCGCAGACCGTGTTGAAGATTTCTGGGGTGTTAACGAAGAAGGCGAGGTGAAGGGAGCATTCAAGCCTTGCGGACGTGAGTACTACTTGTCCAGCTTAAGATCGCCACTGACTTCAGCATAGACTCTAACTTGTGGATGCATGGCGGGACCACAACACATGCGAGGTACATGTCGAGATATGTTGCTTTGCAGATTCGTGCCGCGCTAGATGGGACACCGCTGCCAATCCTGTCTTGATGCGTGTGTGCCGATCTTCAAGCGGGAGTTTGAGGTTGGGTGACTAGTTTGGTTAGAGTTGTAGCCCGAAACCAGCAAGAGAGTGTTTGCCAGCAGTTGTAGACTCACAGATGTTACTGAAGAAGCCATCACCAGGCAGTGCTGGCCAGATACACTCGTCGACGTCCACGAACCTTTGCAAGAAATCATCTATCGATGTGTATTCAACGTCTTGCACCTGTCCTTGTATGCTAGACGAGCAGGTAAGCAAAGGTGGACAGTGGAGTCTAGCTCTTGACTTACTCGAGTGTGGATTTAACCTCCGCAATAGTCGTGTCAAACGTCCGCATGCCAGCTCTACCAACGTCGAGATGCTGGGCAAGCTCAAGAATCGACCGGTACTCGACCGCTTCGTCTAGAAGCTGCTGTGAAGGGTCTTTGACAATCCTGAGGAGGAATATCATTACACCACCAAGAATGTAAGATGCATCCAGATGGCTTTTGCCACTGAGCACATCCGCCCGGGCCATTCTCTTGAGAAGTGAGAGGGATCCTTTGTTTGCCGACTCGAACATGTCCACGCGTCGCGTCAACCTAGGGCTGCTTGCGTTGGGCTCCCTCCAGCACGAAACGATCGAAGTTCTCGTGGCAATGAGCATGGTATAATGATATCGCAGGCCAAGGTAGAGAACCGCTCGACTGTGAGAAGGAGCCGTTGGCGCATCGGGTCTGAGGTGGTATGGGAGTGTGTTCCAGAAACGCTCTAGGTCCGCAATGAGCTCGTCGGCCCGATCATCAAGACAAATATTGGCTGATCTGGATCCATACAGATCTTGAACTATCAGACCGGTGATCTTGCTGAGCTCCGAGACAGCCGTGTGATAGTTTGGGGGACAGTTTGGAACATAATTGAACACCTTGCACAGATTAGTGAGGAGGTCTTTGATGAAGCTTCTAACCTACGGTCTCAGACGGCATGCCCACGCTGCAGCTTGCCAAGTCAATGGCTACGCATCTACCAAGACGGAATGCAAGACACACTTCCATATCGTAGAGCGACCACCAGAGCCGCCTGCGGTTTTCGATGACCAGCTGCGACTTTTCCTCCCAATGGTTTTCATTGAGATGCAAGCCGAGCGTCTGGGCTATGCGTGTCGCACAACCCACAGCAATCCATGCTAAGTTCCTTTGGTCTTTATTCAGGCGGCATAATGCCTGCGGTCCCAGTCAGTGTGCCCAGGCCACAGCGGTTAGAAGGAATTTACCATAAGCATTAGAGCTTCGACACTGCCCAGGCTTCCTTCCTCAAGCGCATGTTCAAAGTGTTCACATGCCTTTGTAAAGTATTGTTCGTGTTTCTCCTCGAGTGACAATATCAAGCATAGAAGCATGAAGACTGAATGGCTCAGCCGTGCCTGTGGTTGAAAAGCATTCAAAGTGTAGGCGTGATACTTCTCGTAGCTTAAGATGTAGTTGACACAGTTGATCTCGGAGAAAAACTTCGAGGAGGCATGTTCAAACTCAGCTCTGGGTGGTAAGTCGCCAGCGGCGACGAGGTCCGCCTGCTGCTTGCAGCTGCGAAGGTCATCGAGGTCGTTCAGCGCCGATGCTGGAGCAGGGAACAAACTGCTTTGCTCGGTGCGGCAGGTAGCATTGATTTTCGCAAAAAAGGCAGGCCAGCTAGTGCCGCTATCGTAACCTAAGTCCTTGCATAAGCACTCGTAAGCGCTGTGAAAAGCAGACGTAGTAGCATACGTGTTATTTCCATAACGTCCTTGCGTGTTATGCTCTCGACTGGAAATGTCTCGCTGGCGTGGGAGGCAACAGTGTGCTGCGCACTTCCCGCTGGGCTCGGTTTTGGTGTATCACTGGATGGCCGGTGAGGCTGACTATATGTGGGCACATTTGGAATGCATGCTGCAGTTGAGATGTTGGTGGATGTACTAGCCGGTTGCGCATGAGGCAATGGCACGTGCAGCACGTCCTGAGCGTACCCGCCTCCAAGGTGTGATTGTGCCGTTCCTGTTTGTGACTCTACCTGCACATCTGGACAAGGAGACGGTGGGCTTCCGATGATGGGAGGAAGGTGCATAAATCCTGGCACATCGTTCTCGAAGTCGACGTCTTCATCTTGCAGAACAGCGGGAGGCTGACCTGGAGGGTTGCTGACTGCGGTTGTTGGCAGTTGTGCAACAATCTGGCGAAGACTCTCCTTGCTCAAAGAAGCATTGGGTAGGAAATGTCGCACAACGGAAGTCAGAAGTTCGTACTGTTCTTTTGAGCTCTGGTAGTATGGCCTTCCGGTCCTGGTGTTGCTCGTTACGCAAGGACGGGCAGCCCTTAAGCAGCGCTTGCAGCTTCCATTTTCTAATTTGATGCACTACTAGGTCCCGAACAATGGTTGTCAGCTTGTGCAGACCATGGCCATTTGGCCAGCTCGGGCGTTGCAAAGACGCATACCTTTGTTTTATGCTGGCGACAGTGGTCACAACTGCCTGCGTTCCGCTTGGATATGTCGTTGGGGGCCATCTTCACGAAGGCTAATTGCGTTAACTGCATACAGCTGAAAAGACACAGTCGGCCTACGGACATGGCAGGTCTGCAGAAAGGAGGCGGACAATTAGCCTGGGCGGTGGGCGTATGGTAAGCAGAACTACGAGATCGACCATACAACCCGAGGAACTGGGAGAGGAGGCAGGAGAACTGGCACGGGTCTTTCGAAGCGATTAAGTCGGCTCAGCCGCTGAACGAGACGATTAAACTAATCACCGCGCTGTCATCTGCCTGGCCTAATAGCACGTCATCCCCGGCCTACAGAGATATGAGCTAGTGATCGCTGGACAAATGAGATTCGTTCTCCAACCACAGGGCCTTTTGGCCTGACAAGAAAGGCCCAGCCCAGAACATTTCTCCGCACCCCCAGCCTCGGTAATCCCACAGTCCTGCGTGCACCCAAGCTCGAAGCTCGAACCAAAACTTCACCCAGTCCCTGCTTCACCCCGCTTTGTCCGCAGTAGCCACACAAATCCGCGCACGATGATGTGCTGACAGTTTTTCTAAACTTTTTTAACGCGCTCAGGTACGAGTAACTCTGAACTTCTTGGAGCAGTACGATAGCAGTGTCTGGCACATGCTTATATTTCCGGCGGACATCATTGTGCCAGTACGCTCTAACACGCTCTCTCCGGGTTTTGAGCAACAAGATTTCAGAATGCGAAGCTGGAGTTCCCAAGGTCGATCTCGTCTAGCGTTGGCATCTTGCCCAGCTTGCAGTCCGTAGCCTTCGCTACGGCCATGCCAAGCTCGTATGCAAGTCGAGCCTGCTGTTCGTTAGCTCCATGTCGTATGGCTCCCTTCATATGCCAAATGAGCTGGTCGGGACAGTTCATGGTGATCAGAGCTCCTATAGCTAGCAGCTCCGTCTCAACATTGCTTAGAATGCGGTCATCCGCGGCCCAGAACTCATAGATAAGCTTTTGATTCAGCAGATCTGCGTCAAATCAGCTGGGTGGATCGATCCTAAGAAGATCGTCTGCTGAGCGTACAAAGATCCGGATGGTGCTTTTTCATTGCTACTCGAATACCTTCCGCAGACTCGGGCGTCCAGAGAACGTCGAAGAACTTCTTTCCACGAGTTGCCCTTCTCTGTTGTTCTTCTGGGTCGTTATATGTCTCATACCTAAAGGCGAGACGACGGTGTTATAATCTGAGTCATGCATAATACTGACGCAGCGTTGCAATGGGGCGCTTACCGTGGTCCATAGTCATCAATTTCCTCATCTTTTAGGGAGGCATAAAAATCACGCGTCGCCCCCAGTGCCCTTGGCACCCCGACAAAAGTTGTTGATTTTAGGATAGCCTCCTTCAAACGTCTCTGCACCAGCTTGGCGGCGTCGGAAGGCAGGTCAGCGATTGCGGCACGATATACCGGAAGAGTCTCAGAGCCGGCACCCGCACCAGCCAGAGCAGCCGCCTTAGGTAATAGTTAGCTCATCACCAAACCAGTCAGGCACTTGACATACGCTCACTAAGTACCATGATGCTTTGAGAGGATCTGGCTCATTTTCACGGTCGCGAAAGGTGAGTACGGTGTCAATGAGTGCCATGGTTATATCAAAAGCTGTGATCTGTACAAATATTGTACGTGGTCAGTTTCAGTTGAATGGAATAATATGGAGTGTTTTGTGTTGTCCCGTCCGCCACCCTTGTCGGTATGCTCGGCCGCTGGTCTGACATGGAAGTGGATCTGTTGACCGTTGTTGCCCGTCCCTTAAACTTATTGCCACAGCGTGGAGAGCGTGAAACAGGCGTCCCACACAGTCCCCCAGGCCAGCTGGTACGGGCTTCTACAACGGCCTCAATCCTTTCCCGCGGCACTGTCTCTGTGAGTCGGGTCCCGAATGATTCTAGATTCCCCCCGCACCCCCCGGACATTGTCGCTCTAGCGTCTTCGGTTCGGTATCCGAGCTTGGCTTTCCTGCCCACGGGGCAGGCTCATAATATCCTTGCCACTCAATGTACTTAGGCCCCCAAATCCCCGGACTCCAGGATCGAATACCTCCACTTCCATATCTATCAAGAACGTTCCCAACCAGAACCCGACTTTCTCACGCCACTCTAGGGGTTTCTTGCTGTTACTGTGTGCCTTGCAACTGTGCTAGTGGGTTTCACACATCATGCAGGATAAGGACCGCGGCATCCAGCATGTCGGCGACGTGGGTAGCAACTCGCCCTCCTCAGAGGTCGATGATATGCGTGGACCGACAGCGCACATGAAACACAGCGCTAAGGGCATCTTGTTGGTGCCGCAGCCTTCAGATGATCCACGTGACCCTCTGGTATGGATGGAATCACAAGTATAAAGCTGCGTTTCCTGACAGTCGTATTAGAACTGGTCCGCATTCAAGAAGGGTGTTACCCTTGCTGTCGTCTGTCTTGCCGCTTGGTCGGTCTTGCTACAAGCTCTTGCCAATGCCTCCGGGTTCTTCTTCCAGGCCGAATTATACCACACAACGCCTACGGAGATCACATACGCTGTGGGTAGCCTCTCCGACTGAAGACTAGGTTGTGTGACTAATATGTGCACAGGTTTCAGCTACGGTTGGCGGTCTTGTTGTCGGCCCGTGGGTCTGGGCTCCCGTTGCCAGACGTCTTGGAAAGGCTGCCGTTATCTTCTATTGCATGCTCGCGACGATGTGCTGTAACATCTGGTCGGCCTCGATGACAAAAGACACACAATATGTTCCCTTTGTCATCTCGAGGCTGTTCGCTGGTATCTTCAGCTCTGCTGCCATCACACGTAAGTCGGCCACAAGATATGACCAGGCGGTCTTGACTGACTCAATGACCACAGTTGGTTCGAACTTCATCACAGAGCTCTTCTTCCTCCACGACAGAGGCAAGTGCTTTGCGCTTTATACCTTTTCCATCCTGATGGGAGCTGTTTCTGGAGCCACCTTCTCCGGATACATCGTTCAGAAAGTATCATGGACAGTTCAGTTCTGGTACAATGTCGGCTTTGAAGGTGCCATTGCACTGCTCATGTTTCTATTTGTCGACGAGACCCTCTGGCCCCGAGCTGAGCAGCCAGATATCCCCCTTCCTCCCGCGAATCGACTGTCGCGCAGGTTGGCAACCTATCTCTTTACTCAACGCTTGACGCGGAAGCAGACAAAGGAAGAAGTGATCCAGTCAATTACGCTCCAATTCCTGATCACAATCAGCCCAGTCACGATTCTTATTGGTTCCACCCTCATGATCTTCTATGGCTGGGGAATTGCCATGAACACGTTCTTGTCTATCTTCCTTCAGAACCCTGTCAAGGAGGGTGGGTACGGTTTCTCGCCGGAGCGGAATGCCTCATGTGAGTTTCGCGCCCATTTGGAGGCTCAAGTGTCCTTACTAACATACCAAAGTCACGTTCGTCACCTGGTTCGGTGCTTTCGTCGCCGAGCTCTACGGCATCTTGCTCGGAGATCGTCTCCCTCTCGCCATTTGTTCCCGCCATGGTGGCACATGGAAACCCGAATACCGTCTGCACAACACATGGTTTCCTCTCTTGGTCTGTATGCCTCTAAGCACCGGACTGTTTGGTGGCAGCCTCTACTTTCACTGGAACTACATGGTTCTTGCGGTGGCGGTATTCCTGAGCAACTTCGGAGCGGTGGCGGCTTTCCCGGCTCTACTAAACTACGTCGTCGAAGCTTTCACTCCAAAGTACGCAAACGAGGTAACAGTGGCACTCAACACATGGCGTTCTATCCTGTCGATCGCCATCTCATTCTTCCTGTTCCCATGGGCAGACAAAGTGGGTATCAACTGGGCCTTTGGAATGATGTCTTTCTTCACCATTATGGCATATGGCTCAGTCGTCGTGTGTATGTTTGCTGGAGCATTTCTCAGGAAGTATTCGCTCGTGCGTGTGAAATCAGAGGCAGGAATTCACATTGTTGAAGAGGACACCAAGGAGGTAGCGGCGTGAGGGCCAGTCAACGAAGCAGGTTGCAGAAATGGGGGTTGCGCAGAATATCCGTGTGAGGTCTGGGAGGCATGAATAGCTATTGCTTGACGGAAAATTTAGTGTTTCATGTTCCAGGTGCATATTTACTCAACTTCGCGACTATCTGGTTCTCGGCTTGTATCGCTATGATGTGGAGAAAGCAATCAATTGACTTGCTTCTCTAAACCTGCACAATTTGTCTTGAGTCATGCAACGCCGTATAATTCTTTAGTATAGGCACGAAGATGCACCACACGAGAACTGCACGACACATGACCCGTATGAAATGAATCTTGCGAAAGACGCAGAACAAGTAGGCTGTGGATCAGAACCATCCTGATCTGATTCGGGTGGTGCTCTATGAGCCTTCTACAGACGAAGGGGCCTGACGAACGCATGGAGACGTTGATTGAAAGTTCCAGAGTGTGACAGGCCCGGAACACGAAGATCGGGCCCTTTTCGTCGAACGGTAGCAGGCCTCCAAATGATCAGCGGCGACGGCCCAGCCTAGCCCCATCGGAGCCCGATTGTCAACATGTCCCTATTTGTGACAAGGGCCTAAACTGCGCCGGAAGCACACAAACTGCACATGGTATAACGTCTACATCCCGCAGGTGGCATGCGCTTATTTCGTGCTTGATCGCAAGTATCTCTTGGTAGCAGTGGTAGTGCAGAACCCTATCAAACCAACATGAAGGTCATTGTCATCGGTGCTGGCCTAGGTGGCCTTGCATGTGCTATCGCATGTCGCCGAGAAGGTCTCGCCGTCCTCCTGGTGGAAAGAGCGGCGGAGATCCTACCAGTAGGTACCTCTTGATCATGCTTGTCAACTCCGTCTAACAGCGTCCAGATCGGTTCCGGAATCCAGGTCTCCTCCAATGCATCGCGAGTCGCGGGACGCCTGGAAATTCTTCCAGCTTTGATGAATAAGGCGATACAGCCAGAAGCCTTGCAGGTCCGCAGATATGACAATGGCAAAATATTACACGTGAGACAGGGTCGGGACAAGATGGTGGCTAAATACGGATCACCGTGGTTGTAAGTAGCGTCTTGAGCCTGTCCATGGTACGGCTGCCATATTGACATCAGATAAAGCGTGATCCATCGCGCAGACTACCACGAAGTCATGCTAGACGAGGCGAAACGATTGGGTGTTGAGATACGGCTGGGCTGCAACGTGGAGAGCCTCGACTTCGGTCACACGGAGGTCGTGCTCGACCATGGAGAGAGGTTGAATGCGGATGTGATCGTGGGTGCTGATGGTTCGTCTCATGCAACTGCACAGCCTCAAAACCATTTCAGCTAAGTTAGCTCTAGGACTTTGGTCAACAACACGAGAGACGCTTTTGGAACGCCCGTCACCACCCCATGAAACTGGCGACCTAGCATACAGGGCAACATTGACCCGCCAACAAATGTTGGAACTTGATGAACCCAGAGCGACAGAGTGGTGTGGTCGAGAAGTGGTCAATGTCTGGTTCGGGCCAGAGAAACATTGCATTATATATCCAATCAGAGGCGGCGAGACCTTTAACATGGTTCTTACTAGGCCCGATGATCTTCCTGCAGGAGTCAGGACGGCGCAGGGCAGCCTAGAAGAAATGAGGAAGAGCTTTGAAGGCTGGGACTATTTGTGAGCCACCTACGAACGGCAAAGCATGGAGTTACTAACCCGCCGGACTAGACTTACAAAGATGTTGTCAAAAGTTGACTCAGTGTTAAAGTGGAAGCTTTGTCATCACGAAGAGCTCGAAAAGTGGGTTCGAGTAAGTACAGTCCCTGTCATCTGCCGTATTAGTAGCCATGGGCTTACACGAGACCTAGGGCTCCGTTGTGCTGCTAGGAGATGCTTGCCACCCAACACTGCCTTACCAAGGGCAAGGAGCTGCGATGGCTGTGGAAGATGGAGCCACTCTGGGCCGCTTGTTAGGCTTACTCAACTCTCATCAAAAACCATTAGGGTCATCGATAGAGAACACTCGAGAGATCCTAAACCTTTACGAGACGCTGCGAAAGTCAAGGACTACCATGAATGTCCGAGGTGCGGCGGAGAACAAATTTTGGTATCACCTGTCAGACGGACCGATGCAAGAGAGGCGAGATCGCGCTCTGGCTGGAACCTCAGACGACACTGACTGGTGTTGGGTGAAGGAGACGTATTCAAGAGAACTGCTCGGCTTTGATGCTGTTGAGGATGGCGAGCAGGCCTTCTATTCGTGGCTGGAACAGAAGAGTAAGACAGTGCCGAAAGAAGAAAGGAAGAACGATGTATTCCTCAGTACTATTGCGCTTGAAGCATAATGAAGCTGGGATTATTGCATTTATATTGTCTAGGTCTTGCGCCATGGGGTAGGAGTCAATCACATTCAACTTGATATGCTGAAACGCATCATAATTGATGGTTCCCAGTGGTTGTAGTCGTTGCAACGATGCGTCCACGGAGGCCACGAACCATGATGATTACAAGTTGTGATGTTCTGTCCATTCTCTTAACCAGCCTGCTAGCATGTCTGCAAACTCTGAAGCGATCCTTAGTGATCACTTTGGCGTACAGAGCATAAGCATGTCGATAATCTAGCCGACAATTGCACAGTTACTGACTACGTCTACCCGTCCCCACAACCTCCGTGACAGTTCGTCAGTCAGCACATTCCAGGATGAGATCCCGTAAACAGGAACCAACGCAAGCTCATTCCCCTGCTGTTGAGCCGTTCTCACGTTACTAGGCCACAAGATGTGGGTCGAATGTGGCGTTGGTCCGATTGGACTGAGCCTCGGGACCCGACGGACTCCGCCTGGATGCGTGTGCACTAAGGAAAATTTCTAAGCCTAGCACTGGAGAAACGGCCGGGTCTCTGTCCTTCTATCACATGGAAGCTCGAACCAATTACCGGGGTATTGTTGACGGGCTCAAGTACCTGCATCAAGTGTTCCTAAGCTGACGAGTTGTAACCTTATCATGGTCGTATGATCAAGACTCAGCAATGTCGACAATGATGCCAACAGTATCACACTTGGTAGCTCGTGGCGATTTGCTCTCTAGAGCACTCGCGTTCTTCATCATCACTGTGCTCGTTCTATCTTTCAGAGGGTTATGGAGACGCTATGCATCGCCGCTACGTCAGATCCCTGGACCCTTTCTCGCCTCCTGTACACGACTATGGAAGGTTCTGAGTACATACTCAGGACATACCGAATGGGACTACGTTGCACTGCATCAGAAATACGGTGTGTACAGCTTGGCATAGCGACTAGGCTTATAATCCTACGCTGGCTCAGAGCTAACAGCTCTCAGGCCCTGTGGTGCGTGTTGCTCCCAATGAGCTCTCATTCGCATCGCCGAATGCCGCCAGGGATATTTTCGCTGTTGGCAAGGGATTCACCAAAACGGAGTTCTACAAGGTGTGTTTAGAAGTTCGTGGCTATCGCACTCTTCGCTGATTTCCATCAGGTCTTCCCACCAGCACATAACCCAGATATTTTCACAGAGACGCGGGAGTGGAAGCATGCGCAGATGAAACGAGCTGCAGTCACACCTTATAGCTTAGCTTCCATGCAGAAGCGGGCACACTTGATCGAAGATGTTCAGAAGCAACTAGTTGAGACTATTGATCGATACGTTTCACCTGCTGGTAAGATCTGCGATCTAGGCAATCTGCTACACTACTTCGCCTTTGATGTAAGTTTGAAGCATTAATATACCACCCCAAACCAACACTAATTGGCCACGAAGGTGATTGGTGAAGTTGCATTCTCTCAAAGATACGGCTTCCTTGCCAAGGAGGAGGACGTTGGTAGCACTATCAAGGTCATCGACAGTATGCAGTGGTATAACGGTATGGTCGGGCAAGTACCAGAGCTCCGCTACCTGTTCTTGAACAACCCAGTCGTGGTGTATCTGCAAAACCATGTGCTCCCACCTCCACAACTCACGGGCATGGCCCTTGGCGAGATAAGGAAACGAAAAGAGAATCCCAGTGACAAATTCTATCTCGCGCCTGATCGGAAAGACCTGCTTGGACAGCTTTTGGAGGCTCATGATGCACACCCAGAACGATTCTCGGAGTTGGACGTGTTCTCCGTCGCCCATGGCGCAATGTAGGTGTCTACCTCATTACGATGATGCATACTAAAATTGTGACAGTGGTGCAGGATCCGACTCTACAGCTTCCACGATGCAATCATTTTGGTACTTTGTGCTGAATGACAAAGGTGCATACAACAAGCTAAAGGACGAAGTCAGGGAGGCATACAAGGATGGGAGTCTTTCAGAATTGGTGACTTGGGCCGAAGCACAAGAATTAACCTACTTCCAAATGTGTTTGAAGGAGGCTATGCGACTTCGTCCTGCCGTGGGTCTAAGCATTCAAAGATATGTGCCGCAAGGAGGAGCCATGATCGATGGTAAACACTATCCAGAGGGCGTCGCGGTGTCAGTGAACGCTTGGCCAGTACACCGCGACAAGGCGCTTTTCGGGCAGGATGCAGAGTCCTTTCGGCCTGAGCGATGGGAGTCAGGAAATTCTAAGGAGATGGAGAAACACCTATACCAGGTAAGAAGCTTGGTGAGGTATTACCTGAGCAAACAGTGCTGACGATAATTGCAGTTTGGTGGAGGGAGTCACCTCTGCATTGGGCGGAATCTCGCCCTACTGGAGATGAACAAAATCCTGCCTCAACTGCTTACGACATACGATTTTGAGTTGGTTCACCCTGGACGACCACTCAAATCGCATTCTCACTTTTTCTGTGTCAATGAAGGACTAGAAGTATTCGTGCGCAGAGTATAAGCGCGGATCTGGATCAGTCCATGGGTCGTGGATGTGCCTCAGCGTATAGTATCCTACGCTTACTGCTACGATGCAGATATTAGGCAGGAGCCATTCGGGTTCGGGCTTGTGCTTCTCAACTCGCCGAGAATCTTCAACCAGAAAGAAGGAAGTGGACCAAAGTCGGAATGACCAGGACCATCTGCAGGAAACATGTTTTGCGTCGATCTTTCATTAGGGCAAGGATAGCACAAGTCCACAGGGCTACCCCTTACAGACTGCCTCTTCAAGACGATAGCAGTCAGCACGAGAATTGCGAATCTTGTAAGATTACAAGCACTTTTGACACTTAAGCACATAGCGGTGCTGAGCCAGACGACTTTCAACCTTTCTTCATAGCTATCTGCCCGTTCGAGGTATTCACCCATGTTGGAAAATAATGACTCTGTACGCATTATAATGCTTCCCTAGTCGACAATGAGATTCGAGCGCCCGCAGCTTGCTCGTCTTCGCTGATCAATGGCAATGTAGCCTCTACCTGACCTGGATGACTCTAGCTAACTATTTGTCGAACACGAATTTGTTCCTGATGGCACCAATTCCTTCAACCTCAATCTCCACCACGTCACCATCATGTATGAAGCCTTTGGGCTCCATGAAGTTCCCCACGCCAGATGGCGTCCCAGTCATGATCGCCGTTCCCTTTCGTAGAGTGGTGCCTCTGCTCAGATGAGCAATTATTTGCTTCACCTTCCAGATCATATCGCTCGTATTTGTCTTCTGGCGTTGTTCTCCATTCAATTTCGTCGTGTAATTGAGGTTCTGCGGGTCTTTGATCAGGCTGCTGGACACGATAGCAGGTCCGATTGGTGCAAAGCGATCAAAGGACTTTGCGTATCCGAACTGTCCTCCTGACACCTCTCTGGCTTGGAAATTCCGTGCGGAAACATCGTTTCCCACGGTGTATCCTAGCACGTACTGCAGCGCGTCTTCCTCTTTGATATTCTTGCCATCCTTGCCCATAATGACTGTCAGCTCGCCTTCGTAGTCGAGCTTCGGCGTCGCATCCATGTGAACGTGCACGTCATCGTAGGGTCCGGCGAGCGCGTCGGGTGGTTTCGTGAAGACGACCGGGTGAGGCGGGACAGTAATCTATAGACGAGACGTTAGGCAGATTCGACAATGTGGGTGCAGTCATGGAGATCACGTTGGCCTCTTTTGCATGCTGAGCATAATTCAGACCGATGCATTGAAAGATGTGGACGGATTCGAGAGGGCATAGAAGCTAACAAGCCGAGCATGCATTAGCTTTGATGGAATCTGGAGGCAGCTTGTGATTAACTGCTAAAGACTGACCTCTTTGACGGTAGCTTGCTCCTGTGTTGAGGACAATGTTGTGCTGGGACTGCCTTCAAGTACTTTCACCTTCTGGCCGACGATATGGTCGATGTCGACGCTTTGCGGGACATCGCCATAGCGTGTCTGGCCTTGGTCGTCCACAAATCGGATAAGGCGCTCGAATGTCATTTTGACTCCTCGTCCGGCAGATTGATACAAGTCGAGTGGTTTCGGGGGCGACCTTGGCATACTTTTCATCCTATTGATGCCTACAGTGGTACAAGGTACTTTCAAGCCCGGGTTCCGTCCAGGGCGCCCAAAGTACCGTTGCCGAGTCGCACGTGGTAAGCTTACTCCATCTACAGCGGGACACCGTCCGTTCGTGGTCCCAGCCACCGTCAATGATTGCGTGCTTTCAAGAGCCAAGCATCTGGACCGCTCTTCAAGTGCGGTTTAGCAAGGGGGGAATCTTTGCCGCGTGCCCATTAACATCCACCGTTACCGAACTCGTGGATTGTTGATCTCCAAACCTAGCCCGCTCAATGCGGCGATTGCTCTGCTTCTCCGAGAAGACATCCCCGGATGGTTGGGGAAGGGTGTGCCGAGGCCACCAAAGAACGCTTTGCCCCATCTACGCGGGCATGCTTGAGGACGGAGGACCGTGGAACGCCGTGCGCTAAGCATAGGGACAGTCATGCAGCTTGGCGAGCCTAAACGGTAGCATAAGAAATTATTCACTTTCCCCAGACCGCCACGACTAGTTAACAAATCGCCGACACCTCCACGAAATGGTCTTTTCCCCTATACTATCAAAACTTCTCTAGACCAACAACAACTACACACATATTGGAGTTGAAGGCGAACAGAGAAATCGTCACTGCAGCGTCTGCACAATAGCGACAAGCAAGCCCCACTGTAAGTAGTAACTGTCAGAATCCTTTCATCGCCAGATCTACGGAGGTTAGCTGTGCGTGGCACATTTGCCTTGTAGTTAGGTGGCATGAATCGTTAAAAGAGATCATAACCTACCCATCTGACGAGAAGGTTGGAACAATGGAGAATTTGGTCAAGGCCTTTAAGGCACATCGACACGAGTAGGAACAGGGATAGTGTAATTAGTTTATTTAGCCAGACCAGCCATAATTTCATAATTGCGCGTAGCCCAGCAGTGTTCTATACCAGCATCTCAACAGGCGGTCCACGGTATATTTTCCGAATCTTGATCCACCAGAGCCCAGGAAAGATAACCATGGCTCCGAAAAGGACGCATGAATAGTTCATCTCGTCGATATCCACGGGCATCATATATGGGCAGTTATAGAAGATAATTATAATAGCTAAATATACAGAAGACACAGCCCCAACAACATACCCAAGTAAGCCTTTCACATAAAAAGGACCTGGTTTTGCACTCTGCCGCCCTCCCAGGAGATATAGGAGGATTGCTATCAGATACGATAGTAACATGAGCGACGCAAATAAGCCAGTAATTACGTTGAAAGCGAGAGAGCTTCTAGCGTAGATAGCGCCCAACATAGTGTTGAAATAAGTGACGAAGATAATGGCGTTAGCTGGTACCCTATGGCTCTTCTTCACTTTTCCAATTGTACCAGAGAAAGGCGTTGCTCCGTCTCTAGCCAAAGCCCAGGAAGCTCGGCTCTGCGTCAGGGCAGTGCCAATGCTGCTGCTCACAAGCGGAAGGAGAAGGAGGATCATGAGTCCGAGAGCACCGCCTCTGGTTCCGGTCGCTTGGCGGTACATCTCGATAACGGGGAACCACCCTGCCCCATTGTTTGCCCCTGTGGTATGCCGGAAGTTAATGCGGACGTTATCTTTACTCTAAACGGAACATCAATGGTAGCGATTTCCAGATTCTCGACTAACTCCAAGAGGGATCGCATTTACCACCACTTGTTATAAATAAGCCCCGCGAGGAGCTATGTGCTCAAGGACCGGTCGTTTTGACTTTGGAGTCGACTTGATTCCGACTAACGGCGTAGCTGCGGTCCAGCTTACCGCTTTCAAATACTGTGTTTGACACTTTTCAAAGTTTCCCATGTTTCCGTTTATGTGATTTTGTTTGGGGCTTACTCGTGGTCTCCATGGGTGCTCGCTACATAAGCATAGTTATTGCATACGTATGCTCCGTACTGACGGCGATATCGCACCAATAAAGAGGTCCAATAAAGCTTAATGCGAGATCAGATAGTCTGTGCTGAAAGATTTTATCAGTGCTTCAAGATTAGCCGCAGTACGCACAGACCTTAAGCACAGCGACAGGAAGTCAAGTTTTCAGATGACCATTTACGGTACAACTTCATGTTTTCCTCCCTATCGCCAGACCACTCCTACAGTAAGCTCGATATCCCTAGGTTTTTGCATCTATTCGATATCGGGGTAAGATGAACAACCGCTCGAACGGTTTTGAGTCCTTTTGTCTTGCTTTCACAACCTCATGAAATAGGTCTTAGTCTTACCCGCAATGGCAACTTCCAATGCAGTCGATCTGCCATCCGACACCTCTCTTGCACCGCTGATGTTAGGGCTCATCTGGAGTATGACTGCCATTGCTGCTATCGTTATTGCTCTACGACTCTTCACCTCGACGACGGTGTCACGGAAGATAACTGCCTCCGACTACTTGGTAATCGGAGCACTTGTTTTCGGAGTCGCTTGCAACGCATTGTTCACGGTCTCAGCGCACTTTGGTCTTGGCCGACACATTTTCTACCTCAAACCAAAACAGCTTTCAGTGACCTTCAAATACCTAGTCGTCGCACAACCGTTTGGTATGGTTTCTCCTATGTTCGCACGAATAGGCTTCGCAACATATCTTCTCCAGCTCGTGGGACCTTGGAGGCTGAACCGCTATATTCTGTATCTGGTGATTGGAATGGAGGTCCTAGTGAACCTGATCTCGGTTATCCTTTACCTCTCCCAATGCGGTACTCATTTCACCGACCTCTGGGACGTTCAACAGGCCTCGACCGGACACTGCATACCGAGAAGCATCACGACAAAGTTTGACTATTTTCAGGGCGCTTTCAATACGTTGGTGGATCTCGTCCTTACCTTTATCCCGATAAGACTTGTCACAAGCCTGAAGCTTTCACGACGTATCAAGGCCGGGCTGATGGTTCTTCTGGGCATTTCGCTCCTTGCATCTATTGCCAGCATCATGCGCACCTATCAGTTGAGTGTCTTGATCAGAAGCGTAGACTTTACGCGCGCCTCGGCTGCATTTGCTATCTGGTACAACGTCGAGAATTTTGTTGTTATTGTCGCCGCATCAATCCCAACCATTCGCCCGCTTTTCACCCGAGACAAGAATCAAAAGCCAGGTAGCAGCAAGACACCACTGTCGTACGGCACATCAAGCCAACGCACCCATGATCATGAAAAACAATCTCCTGGAAACGCCTTCGGTGGTGGGGTCTCTGCAGGCGCCGACAGGGGCACTATTCTGCGCTCTGATACTTGGGACGTGTCTAGAGACCCTACGCCAGAAGCGTGATCACTGAAGTCAACAAGGTGCTGTGGTGCTGGAAGGAATCCGCTCAAGTCGGACGACTTCAAAGGAAGACAAAATGGGAGCGGCAGCACATTCAACGACATGTATGCAATTGTTGATACCGGGTCTCTGCCGCTGCTTGAGAAAGCATTACACGAAAGGGCGTACAAGAAAGTGGCAGCAGAGATCAAGAAGCATCAACGCAGCATAACATTTCGTCCAAGTTCACCACCACAGTGCAGGGAATTAGTGCTCCACCAGCCAGCCGCTACAGAAGGTTCAGGGAAGAGCTTCTTGAACATTGTCTTGGTTGCGATGGACGATTGACATGAGCCCAAATATCAAGCGCGCTGAGCGTTGGACGTCAAGATCGTACGGGCAAAAACATCCAACGATCAAGCAACATGAGGTTGCCAGAAAATCCTCTGAGCACCAACCATGTCAAACATCGGCTATGATGCCAACTGTCAATGGCCGTCTTACTCTGCCAAGCGGATCTACCGATGGCGGAGGAATAGCAGGACAGAAACGACTGTTGCCGATCCAGCAAGCAGATATCTGGGGTCGGTTTGTTACTTCATCAAGATTGCATGCATGTGCAGCAGACTGATGCAAGCTCGAGAATTGCAGATGTTTTCCTCGATGGGCCTCAACATTGTCTATGCCGACAACACTCTTCACTTATACGAAACACCCACAATCTCAGCTTAGGACACACCCTGCCCAGACTTGAGCAGTCCCGCACGATAAACATGGATACTACGGATTCAATAGGAGATGCAAGATGCATGTCTCTCATGAACTGCATGGCCCTTCGAATCGCATGCAGAATCTAGGCAAACCGTACGGATTGTTTGTTCTCAACGTCGTTTGGAGGTGACATATCAAGCCACATGGCAGATGTGGGAGATGAAATGACAGAAGGTGTTCTTGTGACGAAATGCGGAAGACTGAAGGTGAAATGTCTGCACTTTGCAACCGGCGTGAAGTTGAATGGTTACAAACAAGAACGACTCAACATGACAATGGTCAAAGCGTCGGGCACATCAATATCCAAATCGCGCATATTGGCCACAATGGCTGAGCACGGATGACAACAGCAAATTAGGAACATTCTTTTACAATAACTTACGTAAGCTCCAGCCTCAAGTTCAGGCAAAACACTTTGACACATACCCAGCCCGACAGTCTTCATGGTCGTGAGGTTTCCATAGCTTTTTGGTTAGAATATGTGGCGACCAACGCTGGGTGTCCATGTATGTGGTTGAGCGTCCGCTTCAATTCCTCGGCAGTGGGACGACAGTCGATTTGTCTGCCCCTAAAACCATATGATCTGCAAGCACGTCGACATAAAGTCCGTCACCCGCCCTGAGCTTCGCCTTATCCAAGGTCGGATCATTGAGCATCTTCAAGAATGGGTCAGTCTGACCAATTGTATCAGGGTCGTTCTCAAAAATTCTCTTCACGTTCGCTTGTGAAGTTGGATTGATGATATCGTGCCAGATCTTCTTCCGCTTCTCGGCGTAGCACTCTAGCACTGACTCCGAATACCCCTGTTTTAATGTCCCGATCAGGGCATCAGCGCATGCTCCAGCATCGAGTATACCTCCGGTCAGTCCAAGCCTGCAAGGTCAGTACTGATAGTCTGGGAGACATGGATGTTTATCTCACCCTCCGAATGGATTGCACAAATGCGCTGCATCCCCAGCCAACAACACATTACCCTTTTTCATTGTAGTTGCACATCTCTGGTTGATGCGATAAGGGCTCGCGTTCTTCAGCTCATACTTCAGTGGTCTCGGTCCAGGGAAAATGGCTTCAAACTTCATCGGCTGCCTCTCCATCAGTTGTTCATGTGTCAAGCCTGGAAGCTCGCCGTAGGACACACGCCACAGACCCGGCTCATTCAGGCTCGCTATGAGACACCAATGGTCTTTGTCCACAATAAAGTTCCCACTTTGGTACCCATACTTGTCGAAAGGATAGATGACGTTACAGGCGACCAGCGACTGAGGCCACGTAAAACCCTCGAACGGCACATTGATCAGCCTCCTTACACCACTCCGCCCGCCATCTGCACCAACAAGATACCTTGCGCTAAACTGCCGGATGCCATCAGGCGTGGCGGCCGCCACCCTCACTCCCTTTTCATCCTGCTGAATTTCAACAACCTTGTGGTTGAATAAAACCTGACTCTCTTTGCATTGCCGTACATGCTTCAAAATGATTTCGGCGAGCTCATGCTGTCCCAGGACAAGAACTTCGTACTTCTCATCTGGCAATGGTTTTCGATCAATTGCTGCAATGATCTCGCCGTTGAGTTTCCGCCAGCAGACATCCGAGCTAGTCCTGCCGTTTGCGCGACAATCTTCCAACACGCCGGCGCGGTCCAATTCGCGTACCGAGATCGCGTGGTAGACTGCTGCGCGTGGACTCTGTTCGACATATGGAAGCATTTCAAGGATGGTGGTGGCGATGCCGGCTTTGGCGAGGCGGAGGGCAATGAGAAGGCCCACAGGCCCAGCGCCGACCTAAGAGCATTGACTATTGTTCTGGGGCGTATTATTCGAGGCTGCAGGACTTACCACTATCACATTGTCACCTTGTTCTGTGTCCCCGTTTGTGTCGTGCCCGTTCGTGAGGTAATTGGTAGCATCAGAAATATCTAGGCTCGCATCGTAGCCGTTTATAGCAAGTCCCTGTCCGTTTGCAGCATAAGTGTCGCTCATCGTGATCTTGGTTGTTAAGAACTTGGTTCAATCAATGCATGTCATGAATATGAACAAAGCTCTGTGCTTTCCCATGTTTGATAATCAGAAAGGAACCTGGAAGGTAATTTGGCCTTCGATCGAAAGCTTGTAAACTCCTCATTTCCAGGTCTGGCTTGGTGCGAGCCCCAGATATGTGGCATTGCGGGGCGGCTGGAAGGGGAACGATGCAGGCTTAGCAGCCCTCCACAAAATTCGATCTCGAGCCACATCGGTAAAGCGGCACATTAGCTACTTTTTGGGGCTTGGAGTTCTGCGTACTAATATCTCATGACCTTTGCCGTGTGGTGGTGTGGTGCAAGCTTGGAGAAAGAGGGGTAATGTCTGGTCACGGCTATCAGAGCCTTGCGTTTGCCGACCTTACCACATCTTTGGTGCCGTCTTTCCAGATCTCTGGCCACCACTTTTTGGTCAATATCTGCGTCGACGTTATCTTCCTATTGTACAGTTACAGAAAGGACTGAACTGTGGTCATATTCCTGTCACACACCCAGAATGTAAGAGATTATATTCCATATCTTCCCCACCGCAACTATACATTTGTCCTACTGCATTCCCTCGCCTGAAAACCGTAACTTCTTACTTCGTTCCTCTCCCTCTTCATCATGTTCTACAAATAAATCTGCAACACTTAGTACTTCAGGATGATTTCCAATATTCTACGTGAGTATTTCTATGTGTGTGACTATGGATACATTCCCTTTCCCTCAATAAAGCTACCATGAGGACCTAAGCCATAAACCTGAGGCATATCAGCCCTTGCAATCTGGGTCAAATCTTTTCCATCCAGTGCAACGAGGATACTATGTGTACCTCCTCGGTTAATAATGATGGTCAGAACAACGCCATCGTCCTCCTCAGCAGCCTCCGGTCGCTGAATGAAAACAGGCTCACATGGGCAACTGTCACCATTCTCAGGCTGCCAAGTCCAGGTCTTGCCTGTCTGCCAATCTGCCTTAGCAATTCGGTTGAAGAATGCACCTTGTACACATTTGAGATTCTTGCCAAGTCGACCCACTGGAACCAAGGTACCGGGTGATGGACCACCATTGCCGCCAGTAGCATACACGTATCGGTAGAAAGGAACGGTTGAGTAAGTCTTGTTGATGCGCGGTAGTTCCATAGGAAAATCGCGGAAGCCTTGTGCAACAGTCGCCCTGCCTTCATCTTTGTCGGATTTCTTTGCGTCGTTGACACCAGCCAATTCATAGCGGACAAGTGTTCCCTCCTGGAAAGGTCGAGCAGGTCAATTGTGTTGTTCAAAGTGTACTCCTGGTATGGAGTGTAGTCGCAGTCGTAGCTACACAAATCGACATGGATATTCTCCAGTCTGGTCTGGGGATCGATGTAATCGTACCCATTGACAGAATGGAAGAACATGAAGTTTGGAGCTGCGAACGTTCCGACACTGATTGAAGTTAGAAAGCTTGACTCATGCCAGGACAGCCACAAGACGGAAAGGGAGCACTGACATTTTTCCATCTTTTTTGTCAAGCACGAAGAAGAGCGTTTTGGCTCCTGGCTCGAATTCAATCATTTCCATGACTGGCTTGCTCATATCACTGACATCCATATTGAGTGGCTAGATAGATCCTATGTCAGCGACCACAGCCCGTGTATGCAGAAACATGGTATAAACTCACATTGCGAATGAAGATAACATATTTATCAGAAATAGCCAGGGAATGAATATGACAGGGCGGGCAGGGCAAGATAGTTTTCCAGACCAGACTTGCTGGTTTGCCTTTGTAATTCAGTGCAAAGACAGACAATTCTCTTTTCTCGGAGATAACATAGTTGAATGTCAACCCCCGTTTTCGGTCCTTGGGAGGATGAGCACAAATTCCAAATCCAGCCAGCGAAGGATCGATAGTTGCGTAGGTTATCAGACGCTTAGGCTCGAGGCTTTTCGCATCACAGTCTTGAAGAAAATTGTAGTCGGTATGGACAATAATCTGCGTATTGGTCGAGTTATACGTCAGCCAAAGCATTCAATTTTGGGAGTAGTCATTGTGTGAATGTCGTGTGAAAGCTTGGGTCGGTGATCACCTCCTCTTCCTCCGGATTTGACGATGCCGTCCCGCGGGAATGCGGGTTATCATCTTTTGCAAGATGCATACCTCGTCGGGGCATTACTTGGAGGTTCATTTCATCAGGCGCTAGGTGGCCTGCAGGCATATACAAGGATTGCTGCAGATGTTTTCAGTCAACACAGGTACCTAGGTATAAACCGGGGAGTGAACAGTGGCGTCTTACCGATTCCCCCAGTAGTGATGAGCACGGGTCTTGTGCATACTTCAGGGACCTATTGGCATTGGGTCCCAATATGGGTTTTGACAATGCCGTCACGTTTAGCGTTGCGAAGAACGCCCTCGGTATTAGAGTTACTGTTGTAGTGAACTTCGCCATTTGCAAATCGAAATCTGTGTAGAGAGCCTAATCCATCGAAAAAATGCTGCAGGACGGCGTTGGGCTTGGAGCCATCTTCAGCAAGAGGGATTGTATACTTATAGTTGCCGACACTTCATAGCCATTAGAACATCTAATTTCAAATTTGGCAAATGGTTATAGGAGGTTCTTACCGCACGAATTCGCCCGCAAGCCACTTTGGCCAGGTACCACTGGTCGGGCACTTGACTTCTTGTGGCGTCAGTGCAGTATCCTTCATATACGGTGGAACAGATTTCAGATCTTCCTCCGTTACAAAGAAAGTATTGTAAGCGACGGGTTCCTTCATTGTGTTGGTTGGTAGCTTGGAGTTATTTTGTGATTACCTCGATATAGTAGGGTATGGGTTAACGAAGAATAGTAACGACACGCAAGGATATGAGATTATTTTGATGAACAACGAGAATTCCACAAGAGTAGGGCCAAGCTGAAAAACAAAGGTTTCATGCTGAATGCTTGATATATATATTTCCAGTATTGTTTACACAGTAATGCATATGAATATGGAAACCCTATAGCGACAGACGTCGAAGATATTCCAAAACGTCCATACTTACCATTCCATATCACTCTCCTCTGGCACCAGAATGAGCTCCCTTCAGCTGAAACCCGTGCCTACAGGCCAATCTATCGCTGATACCTTTTCCTCTCTACACGAAGTTGCCTTTATCACTATTATTTGCATGTCACAATTCTTAACGCAGGCAAACATCGGTATATGTGTATCAACCTTGGATATTATCGGTGATAGCTTTCATGTTACCGAGGCAGGAGTTCTTTCCGGGTTCATTGCTGGCTATTCTTTAGCAGTTAGCACCTTCATTCTAATTTTTGGTTGTTGCGGCGATATCTTCGGTTATCACCATATGTTCCTCATCGGATTTATCTGGCTTGCTATTTGGTCAGTGGTTGCAGGAGGAAGCGTCTACTCTAGCCATTTACTTTTTATCTTCTCTCGGGTCCTCCAAGGCCTTGGTCCGGCAATTTTATTACCCAACGGTCTTGCACTTCTAGGAGCGACTTATGAACCTGGGAAGAAGAAGAACATGATATTTGCGATCTTTTCTGCAACTGCTCCCAACGGCGCTCTTCTAGGGGCCGTCTTCTCTTCTCTTTTCTCGGAGCTGGCTTGGTGGCCCTGCACTTACTGGCCTATGGCAACCGTCTCCGCTATATGCGCAATTATCGGTATTCTCGTTATCATACCTATCAAGCATACCTCCACAAAAGGCCGTACGCTGTTGGAAATCGTGGAGATGCTTGATCTCCCCGGCGCTGTCCTGGGAATAACCGGTCTAGTCCTGGTTAACGTGGCTTGGAATCAGGCTCCGATTGTGGGCTGGCAAACCCCGTACACCTACATCCTGCTGATTATCGGGGTTCTCTTTCTTGCCGTGTTTATGGTTGTGGAAGTACGGTTCGCTAAGAATCCCATTTTACCAGTCAGTGTCTTCACGTCGGACATCAGTTTCGTTTTAGGCTGTGTTGCTTGCGGTTGGGGATCCTTTGGCATATGGATCTACTATTTTTGGAGGTTTCAAGAGAAGTTTCGTGGTGACAGCCCTTTGCTCGCATCAGCAGAGTTTGTGCCAGCTGGGATTATGGGCATTGTGGCTTCATTCACCACCGGCCTTCTCATGAGTCGACTACGACCGGGTTGGATCATGGTTCTCTCTCTTACCGCTTTCACCGTTGGAAGCATTCTTACAGCCATCGCACCTGTTCATCAAACTTATTGGGGACTCACTTTTGTCTGTCTGCTGATTATCCCCTGGGGTATGGACATGTCATTCCCAGCTGCGACATTGATGCTGTCTAATGCATCAAAAAAGGAGCATCAAGGGATTGCCGCGTCGCTTATTACCACAGTGATTAATTATAGCATTTCTTTCAGCTTAGGGTTTGCCGGCACGATTGAAGCCAATGTCAATAACGGAGGCGTTACAGCGCATGATATTCTCAAAGGATATCGAGCAGCACTCCATCTGGCCATTGGAATAGGGGGACTAGGGATAGCACTCAGCGCCATCTATAGACTTCGAAGCTATGGAAAAAGATCTGGCGAGGAAACAGAGCAAGAGGACGCTTAGGTACTTATGCTTTAGAAGCGCAGAGTAGCATACCCATAGCTCGAAGATTGACAGTGCCTGTAACATCTTCTTCATGACCATGAGAGTGACAGGATGTTTGGTTCATGATGGACGTGTTCTACGTGCTCGACTTCACGAAGTGCTCTTTGATCGTCAGTATTGTGCTTTTTCTTCAATAGTTAACGAGCGATAAATCAGGTCAGGTTATGTACAACAAAGACTTTCCCGTTAGCAGTAAGATCCGGCCTCTTCAAAGATAACAGAGTCTGGCAGCCACACGCAGACTTTGCTCATAATTCGCACCTTGATATGCTCTGCGTATCGCTTCTTCGACACAGTCTCGATGCCATGAGTTGCAGACAAATCAAGCAAGAAGATCAATGTAGTAGGCACAACACCGTCGTTATAAAGCAACAGAAACCAGTGAAGAAGGCATCGAAGACGGTAGAGATTGGGGGTTTGACTGCCACGAGGTCATGCCTTAGCCGTCGTGTCTGCACCTAGCAGGCATAGCCCACAACTGTTTGGAGGTTCGTGCGGGGTCCGGGGAGCGTCTGGGGTTGGCATGGGGGAAGAACTCGCAGCAGCCAAAATGTCAGCCCCCACGATCGTTGATCGCAAGAAGAACACTCAGCAAGAGGATTGGTACGTCAGCGATGCAAGGAGCGCATCTACGGAAATGGGGCAAAAGCGAGACATGGATGGCTTGGGGGCTGGGAATGACAAGTCCTACACTATTCGCTGCGTAGCCGTACTTCTGCAACACGTAGCGGAGCAGTGCGTGCAAACATTCGAATTCATAACGCTTCGGCAATTGACAACATAGTACAAATAAATATTTCTGGTAGCCCCCGCTCGGAAGACGCCTCGCTGAAATGAAATGGAAGTTCCCTCGTATTATATACTCAATCTCCATAAACAAACCCTTCCCAACTCAAAGCTTGATCGACCGGTTTCGATCCCTGCGCAACCTCTTCAAATGAATCCCGTGAATATTGGTAGATCGATATATTGCTGCAGAACAAGGTGGCTGCGGACTTCGTGGTCAAGAATTGGACGGCCGAGGATTGGGTGGCTGAAGAATTGGTGGTCGACTGGTAGCTGAGGATTCAAATGACTCAAGATGATCGCAATTGCCACGAAGGTGCGAAACCTGGCCTAGAAGCGTTCCCTCCAAGACGTCCACTCGCTCCATTGTGAACCGCTTTTGGATGGGCTACTTGGGATGCATGGCGGGCCCTTTGGAACATTGGGTGGTGGGATAACGCATTCGACGTGCTGGCTGGACTTAAAAGGCACTGGACTTGCCATCACTGCTGCACCGCAGTACGATAGCACGATAAGGATGGCTTGTAGCTGCATTCTTGCTGTTTCTTGAGGAGGAAGGTATTGGCGAACTTCTTGTTGAATCGACTGGTAATAGTAACTAAAAAAATAAAAGAGTGGCTGCGTAGATACTACGCGTGGAAGTTGACGGTCGAGAGGGTCGGGCTTGTCTTTGAAATAAAAGAATGGAAGAGAAGCTCAAATCTGGGGTTCAGTATAACTTATATGCATTTCATTGACCGTGTATGCTATTCTCCTGAGTGGTTCTTGATTAGGAACGAAGGCACGATCAAATTGCTTCAGACTGCCTAGTATTATCGACTAAGTCACACAATTTCCTTCTTATAGGCTATTCCCCATACTACTTAATCTCCGGACTAGTTAAGTAAACTAAATATACCATGATTAGATGCCAAGTATTATTGCATGATTAGCGCAACCTAAGAGAACATGCTTAGGGTAACTAAGAGATAATAGTACTGCGGATACGACGCGAAAAGTACTTGCTCTGAGCATAATTTCCCTGTGTTTCGCTGGCAATGCGGCATATTCTTGCTGACGCTTATACGCCAAACGTTGTAGTCAAGCCAAATAACCTTAAATCGATGAGTGGTACCCCGTATTTAGAAAAGCTCTAGCACTACAAGGTTATTATAAGCGGAATCATCGTCTCCAGAATTCGTTTTGCTAGCCTAAGACAAACAATCTCCTTTCCGTGATCCACGTGAGGCTTCGGCTAGGTTAACCGTGATTGATTGTGGCAAGATACTTTGTGAACCGTTATGTATCCTACACATAATATGAACTTTCAGATCCTCGTCTTGATAATTCTTGAGCTTTATCAGGCTTGTCTTTCTATGTCAGAAACATAATGACTGCGATACTCTCCTGCCGGAAGTTTTCAACAGATAACTAAGACATGCTTACTTGTAACCCTGTTCCAAAAGTATTAGTCTTAAAGAAATCAATCAGGGAGCTTTCCCCTTTGAACCGAGTAATGCTGCCCTCTATGCAATAAGGCCACTGGGAGACCTAAAAATCCGTGTATCCGACTACAATGAGGAACATTTTAAACCCTTGCTTCGAAGTAGCGGAAAGTCGCTCTCAGCCACTTGAAATAGTTGTCAAGGATTAAGCTAGCCATAGACAGCAAAAGGAAGTGGTAGAAGCATCCTTGTTGTCGGCACCAGTCCATACAGTCTCAGGGTCGCTAACGTACAAGTATTCTTCTCTTTTCTCGATTTCCCCTGATATCCAACTTAACATCGTCCTAACGTGGAGTCGAACCTAACACTCGCCGAGACAATCCCCGTCCTACGTGTGAGGTCACTACACGAACCCCAGAGTACTTGACTATGGAGTGCATCTTCGTACAGCAAAGCATCATTGACAATTACGTTGGATGTTCGGATACTAACGTTACCAAAAAATTCGAGTTGAATCTAACTTTACGGGTCCGCAAATGCCACGAGCACCGGACGGCCAGTGCAACCTTGTGACCCACTGAACCTCCAACATACCACTTCAAGGGATTCCAGAAGCACAACGGGCAACGCATGAGCAGGAAAGGACAGTATCTCAGCAAGCTCTCTTATGGCCAAACGTGCCACTGTGTTTGAGTGTTCCCAGTTTGATAATCCACTTAGCGTCAACTATTACCTTTTCAACTCCAAGTCTTGGTTTTGGTGGTGGCAAGGAGTCAACCACCTCGCTTATTTAGTGACCAGTTGAAAGAGTGGCCCACACTAAATAATTTCCCCCTGGCTACCCTTGTTACCGCGAAATTAGTTAAACTCATGGTGTCTCACCCAAGAAGATGAACTAGGACACTCGAATGTAAAGAACGCGAAATAAACCGAGAGCAGTTATTCCTTCCCTAGGTCGTCTCGCAGCCGAGGGACCAAGAACAACGTCAGGTGAGACATTTGAGTCTGCAAAGGCAGCGATCTTGATGAAGCTGTGACTAGCATTAGTGTCACAACTCATTCGCGATTCCCCACGAAGGCAGTCATCTGACCCTCATCGAGCAGACGAGGTCGGGTGGTGAGGGTTTTGTGCACGCTCACCTTCTCTACCACGTACTCAAGATAGTCAAACTCGGACTCTGCCGAATGGTTCGGGTATAAGTAACACGCAATGATGGTTGTCTTTGAACACCTGGCTCAATAACCTTGGCTGCCAGTGACCAATGCCTGACTCACGATCACCGACATGCCAGTGAAGAGGCCATACCACGAACAGTGTTTTTCCTTGTGCGGGTGCACCGTGCAGAACCTTAACCGCCAGCTAAGCCGCTCCTCATGTCATCCTCCATGCAACGGCGTCGCACATCTTCCAGGGCAGTGGCAATTCTGGGCTTCCTGAACGCTGATGAAAGAGCCCTCTTGGGTCACTGCCTCAGCGTAAGTTTGTCCTGGTGAGCAACACCACCACTTTTCGAGGTTCTCTTGATGTCGGAAATATGGTTGACAGCAAAAAAGACCAAGATACGGTGAGTTCGGGTCGATATGTTGCCCGTCAATGTTGCCTGCGGTCCGTTTGTTCGCAATAATTATGGTATGTGTTGAGGTCTTCTCACGTGATTCTCGTGGGTGATGTAAGGCATCGCAAGCGCACCGGCAGCCATGATGTACCAGAAGCTCTGTAGATCAGGAGGTCGTGTGTGCATGTGTTGTGAAGTTTGGTCGACATGTATCCGGGACTGACGAGTATGAAGACTGGGATGAGTCTACTTCTGACATCGAAGAGGTGCCGATGTCGCGAATGTTTTGTATCGATCCTGCATCGGATTTCAGACGACAGTATTGCATATGCCCTGCGAACTCTTTCATCTGAACCTTCCGCCAGTCCCAGACATGCCTATCGTGCCGGCTCCTGGAATCTGACAAGCAAATGGGTCCGGGGACAACTGCAGACTGGGCGCGGGGTGTTTGCGTCAGTGTTGGAGCTGAGCGTTGTTGTGGGCTGTCAACGAGGACCTGTGTTGGATTTGCTTCGCGTTTCGGATATTGACGCGCTTTGCATGTTATATGATTTTCCACAAGGTTTGACTGAGCGCTCGGATCACCAGGGAATTGTGTGTGATTCCTTTTTCCATGATTCCCTGCCTCGAATTCGGTGGTGAAGCTGGACTTGAACGAATGGAGGTAGTGCATGCGTCGAGTGTTTCGGACACCATCAATGCATTTGGAACATGGATAAGTGCAGAGCGATGTGCCAGCATCTACAATGGTACGTGCCACGGAGGCAACAATCCCAAATGGTTGAAGATGTGGCAAGGCCGCGGTACTGAGAAGCATGTATGGATTTCAGCAGAAACAGTGAAGCAGCGCTTCAACCTGCTTGCTATGCCCACGACGTTTGTCATCACCGTGCTGTTCCTTCCAGTAGCAGTCGGCTTGTCATACTGCAGAAAAGAGTAGGACCGATGCCTAATGGCAGGATATGTGCCAGCGACAGAGGTGAGTCGAGATGGACCATGTCCACCACGTTCGGTCTCTTGCCTGCAACGTCTCGACACCGATGCCCTCAAGGCCGCCATCAGACCCATGCCCTTACCTTTACCAGCCACCTCGAGCTCCTGGGTTGGCAGAAGTTGCGCAAGATCATCTTCTTGTGGACCTGTCCAACAGCAAGCGAAGCAAGGCTCTTGTAGTCCTAGAGATTCGGCTCGAATGCACTATTGCTAGTGCGTGACTTCGTCTCGGCTGCGCACCCCCGGTGTACTTTGTTCAAGTCAGCGTTCTCGGAGGCCTGTTGGACATGGTTCTAAGTCAGCATACCTGCGGTCGATTGTACTGCACTTTCGTTGCGTCTCCCTTCGCGCGATCGTCCGACTTTAAGGGCTGTAGCACCCCCTCCGCCACCTTCGCTCCAGTCAACCTCAAATCGACTCAGTCTCTCCACACCAACTTCTTTTCTTGTAACTGATCATGATCTTCAGCTGTGGCTGTGACCAATTCTGCGGTCGTAGCTTCCATTGTCGTAGGCAGCCAGTCCGTCCAGTATTAATTTGACAGCTGTAATCTAAGGCCGGCAGTAGGGCTCGGGTCTGCAGTTATAGCTGCGCCTCTCGTTGTCCTGGGTCGATGGCGTACGGTGCGGTAGGGTATGACGCAAATGAGGGTGTAGAAGGATCAGGCTGGTTCGGCATGGCCGCAGTTCACGCTATGTGACGAAAGATTCGTCAGGGCTCTTTTGCAAGTCTGCCCGGCCAAAGGGCTGGTGTAATGTTCGTGAGGAAAGGAAGTTGGCTTGCGTCACTAGACACGGTTTCAAGTCGCGTCACGCGTCGATCAGCAGATGAACCTCGGCTCGACTGATGCGAATCTTCCTCTGTGATGCCTGCACACCAACTGCTTGCTTACTAATCGCTGGAACTCCAATTGCGATGTGTCTCCGTACAGGTATCCAGACTCCATGTTCTTGTTCACATCTATCTTGACCAACGGACTCCTCGTAGTATTTCAAGAATGCCTCGAAACGTGTTGAAATCGATCCTCGTGATAAGCTTGTCTGTCAAAAGCTTCGATTTGGAGACTTCATATGGCATAGAAGGTCATGTCTACCAGGTAGCTATGAAGGTGTTTCAGTAGCCCTGCGGCTGGCTATGTAAATAATCCCATCAAGGTGCTTGGTGGCCATCAATCTCCTGCGAAATGATATGTGTACCCTCGATCTGATATGTTTTGAACTTCCTGGTCGGCACCTTGTTCTGGAACATCAAATCCAACTCCTCAAAAGTGCGACCCTTGGTCTCCGGTAGACAGAACCAGACCCAAAGAGTATCGAGAATACCGACACCGAAGAACAGGAAACCAAGCTTGCCACCCCAATTAGCTCCGTTAGTGTCGAGTGCATATGGAATTGCAACCGCAAACACAACAGAGAAAATGACGACGGAGACGTTCGACAGGGCGATTGTGATTCCACGAAGCTTGACAGATGAGACTTCCGACATGATGGTGAAACACAGAGGTCCAACGGAAAGGTCGTAGATGAAGTCCGTGATAACCATGAACGCACACATCGCCCAAGCAGCACCGCCGCTATGCTGTGATGCTGGAATTGCCCCCAGGATACCAATGAGACCCACTAGCAAGGCAATAGATGCAGATCCCCAGAGGTAAATCGTACGTCTTCCCACATATGAGATGATAATGTACGACGCTAGGGTGCCGATAAACCCCAAGCATGTCAGGCCAATGTTCATGGAAAAGGCGTCAGCGGCGTCCAGGCCGGCGATCTCGAAGAAGTACACTGCATAATTGATGAAGAGAATGTTACCGCAGAGTGCTTGCATGTTGAAGACCTGACAAGATATCATGGTGCGGCGTAGGTTGGTGCCTCGGAAACATTCGATGATGCTGACCTTAGATTTTGATGCTTCTTCCAGCCGGATGGTCTCTTTGACATTGGCAAGCTGGCAGTCAATGTCGACACCTCCAGTTGTCAGTCGTTTCAATACTGCATATGCTTCTTCATATTTTCCATTTTTGCATAGCCAGAATGGACCGGCTGGGATGAAGAAGATAAGGGAAAGTATGAAGACTGGGAGGAGCCATTGACATGCGAATGGGATTTTGTATGCCCACTTCGAATCCATGGTGCTTGTGCCTTTGAGCAGACCGGATGCCACAAGCTGGCCAATGACATAACTCAAGTTGATGAAGGCGGCGATGACACCACGAGTTACAACAGGACTGACTTCGCTTAGATAAGCGTTTGCAATGACAGGATAGCCACCTGTAATCACGCCATTGAGAAGCTCGCCAACGAAGAGGACTGCGGATCCTTGACTAAAGAACTGCAAGAAGATCGAACCGATGGATCCAAGCGAGAAAGCGGCAAGTGCGATACGAACACCGAATTTATCGTAAGCCCAGCCTCCCATGAGCGCACCGGGAATGGAGCCAACATAGGCTGCGTAGTTGAAGGCTGAAAGCCAATGTGGAGGGACAGACCAACTGCCATTGACCAGTTGGCCATAGGTCCGGTTGAACGGTGCCAAACCGGCCAAACTACCAATCAAGGCTCCATCGAAACCGCATAAGATGACGGCAAGATTGGCGAAGCAGCCCCAAAGGATGGCAGGACGGTAGTATCGAACGGCTTGCCAAAATCCAAGTTCGTGCTCAAACCTGGTGTGAGCCAGGGACTTCTCGGCTTCGTTGAGCTGGTGAACGTCGACATTGGTCATGGACCCGATGTCAACGTCCGACTTCGCATTGGTGGTAGTTTCTTTCAAGTCTGCAGCCATAGTGGCAAAGGTAGGATTTGTGCAGAGAGGTGAGTAAACGGGCGTATGTTTAGTGTCGGTGCGCGGAAGCAGGCACTCAGGACCGGGAGTTCAGTTAGTTATATGAACCTAGGGACAACGTTGCGGCCTAGAAAATAGTTCTAGAGGCGTCGATACTATGACATTCTGGGAATATTTAACAGTCTAGATAAAGAACGGATAGGGAAGATACCGGGACCGAAAACGCAAGACGGAACGACCAATCTCGAGGTCTTGCGTATAGTAAAGGTGGTGTCAGAGTTAAACGGCCAAGACGGTAGAGTTGTGCTCGCCATGCTGTGGGTCGAGTAGTTGTTACCTACCATCTCCGCATAGTTGTTATCTAAGGTCGCGATGATAATTAGCCAAAAAACCACTCGGTCACACCTGCGAATGCACGATCCTTGGTTTGTCTCGTAGGGGCAATGTTGGGGGAAAGTATCACTCCACAAAAGATAGCAAGCTGCGGGAGAGATTTTTGCCGAACGAGAAGTAGACAAGTGACACTATTCAAGTGCTGTGACAGTATCAGGTAATTACCTACTTGGGCCTTAGTGTCTGTACTTATGGCCTAGAACCTTCAACCCGGCACAATCAAGTTCGAGACTAGGCAGCACTGGAGCACAACGACTATACCAAATCGGGACTTTTTAACAGTTGAGATTCTGGCCCTGTGCTAATCATCCTAGCCGTAAAGGCCCGCGATCACTTATAGTAGAGTTGAACGTTAACACGGGACTCTTAAAATTACCATTCTATCTCGAATCTCCGGACTAATTCGGGTCTTCGGTAACAGTCTCAATCATCTGCATCTGAGGTTCTTTCGCGTAAGGACTAATCTTTCGTTGAGACTACGACAATAGGTATAAAGGATTGCGTATGCGTTAGTGTGTACAACGCATTTTCAAGCCTCACGCGAGAACGATACGGTCGTTGTTCTTTCATGCTATCAAAACGAACTGGATGATCTAGCCTTATCATCATGATTGCCACTCTTCGAACGCCGGAGCTGGTGCAGATCACGCTCTCCGACGAGGAGCTCTCCAGCAAGCAAATCGGATCACATAACCTTCAAAAAGCCGTTGAGGCATTGCACCGTGATGGAATAGTTGCCATTACCAATGCTGTCGAGCACGCCCATATCGACAAGCTAAATACACGCATGGTCAAAGAGGCTCAGGTGCTGTACGACAATCCTAAGACTCATCGAAACTTTGGCTCTCGCACGGGTAATATTCAACAAGAGCCGGTCAACGATCCTGACTATCTGTTTGAGGACATCATTGCAAACCCTTGGGCCAGTTCCATCACAGAATGCATGCTTGGCCCTAATCCACATGTACGGTTTTACAGCGCCAACACGGCCTTCAAGGCTGAGGGGCGACAGCCACCGCATATTGATGTCGACTTCGATTTCCCAAAGATTCCTTTCGGATTCTGTATCAACACTTATCTCGTTGATGTTTCACCCACGAACGGGTCGACCGAGGTCTGGCTTGGTAGTCATATTGATGCAGACCCTAGCATCAACGACGAGGACGGCGAGAAAGGTATTCGTGCTGATATTGTCGAACAGCGTAGAAAGACCAGTCCGCCTATTCAGCCAACACTACCGAAGGGCGCAGTGATTATTCGAGATTTCAGACTATGGCACGCAGGCATGCCAAACCGTAGTGATGATCCACGAGTAATGGTGGTTACCATTCATTTCCCTGCCTGGTACAGAAGCAATCAGAAGTTCTTCCTACCGAAACAACTTGATGGCAAGATCAACTGGGGCAGATTGGTGCCTTGTGTCGAGTTGGTGGATGAGGATTATGACTACCTCACAGGCAGACACGACCACGATTTTTCGCTGCTGCCTTAAACAACCTGAGTATGGCTCTATGATACTGTAAGCGGAACATATCTTACTGTACCTCTTTCGTACTGGACTCAAAGAAAGAAAATTACGCTGGAACTTATGCTGGGATATCGCTGGTTCTCGGAAAATAGTATCACGAAATTGGTGCCCGCAACGTTAAACAAAAACGGCTCCGCTCCAAAAGTGCTATCTGATATCCGTGTTCCCTGGCCATGTTTGGATAATAGCTAGGTATATTTACCAGCTTATACTTTATGATATTGTGCATTGTATTTCATACTTTAGATGCTTCCCTCGATTCGGAAACCCTTACCTAATACCTCGCCTCGAAAACGGTTTGTAATCTTTTAGAGAACTACGCTTTCGGCTCGGCGGACAATTTTTACCATTACCTCGTAGACACGCTGAATATGTACCCCTTGCTTTTCAGAGGAGCCAACACTCTTTAAACTTCTCTCCGATGAAGTTGAAGCATTGTCTGAGTATGTCCAGATCCGAAGACGCTGTTGGGGCTGTAGGGTCGCTCACGAGATGGCAGAATAGAATTAGCGCCGCTGAAAGCGGATAAAAGAGGACCACCCTGATAGTGAGGAGGTAGTAAGTCAGCGGCAGTATGGATCAGTGAGGAAGTAGGAGAAGAGTCGATAACGTACCAGAAGATATTGGGCACCGATATAGGTTCCGCTGAATGTAGAAAACGGAGTTGACAACGACTACTTTGCAGAGCAAGTTCTATGCTCGAGAGTAGTCCTTCGTTTACTCGACGCTTGTAGGTCCAATTCGTACTGCGACTACTCGCCTGGTGTATTGTGGTCATACAGTGGTAGTATTCAAGCCTGACCATGAGGGCTGAGATATTCCAGGGAGGAAGCTCCAGTTGAGTCGACATACTTTCCGAGAATGAGAGTGTTGGTCTGAACCCTACAGGAAGTGACAATCCCCAGCTCTCCAGTGTATTGTCAAGCTCTCGAATGTCTTTGAAGAGCTCGGCATCGGATTTGTGCAAAGACTGGGGTGAGTAAAGCTTTTCGTATGCATTTGACTTGATTATACTTAGCCGCAGGTCACTTGGAAGTCGCCATACAATGTGCGGTCCCAGAGACATCTGTTCCAGATAATAGGCTGGAAATGTGAGATCACACGAGGTGTCGTTGATAATAGGCGGTCGCCCTGTACGAAACATGATTTCCTTGTCCAGTGAATAGCAGATCCAGAATAAGTCACGTTGATAGAGTACTCTTCGAGCTTCGAGTTTTTGAGATTCGATCGGTGGACCGTCAATATCGGTACCAGGGTATAGGTGTGCACCCAACATGAACAAAAATCGAGCCGCTAGGGACATAATAATATCTGTAGTATGAATATTCCCACAGCCAAATTGATAGACTGCCTAGATATCCGATTAGAGGAGTTAACATATAAAGCCAGACTGAATTGTGAAGGAGAAGTAGTGTACCACTTGTTCCGACAACAAGCCAGTCTATGCATAGATGGAGCGGAGATATGGATGACTTACAAGCATCATGAGAGTACCAACAATCTCGCTGCTGGGTTGTGCGGCAAAAAGGTCAGGCATGAGTATTCGACAAGCAGCCTCGTACCCTGCTACCGGTTGAGATGCTAAATTCTCCGTTTCTGAGTCGCCGATCAGCACTCGCAGTGCTAGATATGCAAAGATCGACGCCTTCGCGGTCAATGCTTGATAAGTACCCGATGCATCGTATGCTCTTTCCACAGTTGCGGCAAATAGTACGGGTTCGGTCAGCGGCAGGAAGCTGAAAAAGTCTGACCGTTGAGACTTCTCCAAGTAGCTTTCCAAGACACCGCGAGGTGGTAATTCTTCAAAAGTTGAACGTAGGAGAGACTCTGGACGAGAGTCTTGAGACTGATTCACCCAAGGAAGACCAGAAAATTTGTAATTGTCTTTCTGCGGCTCGCCTTCTTCACTTCGTACTCCAATCCACTTTTGACCCTCACGGGATAGAAAAGGTACACCATGAAAGAGATTAATATCACCGAGCTTGTAGGAAGACAGATGTATCTGTCCGACGTTTGCCACGTCATGGTTGGACGATTTGCCGGCATGGGATTTCGACACTCTAGGATGTAGCAGTGGCCTAGAGCTACATCCACCTTGTGGGGAGGGCTCTAACGAGAGGTCAGATATGCATTGACTATGGCAGGCGAGGATTACCAGTTCGATCTTGGAAATTCTCGGTCAAGATTTGTTCCATTCGCTCGAGACGTTGAACAAGATCGGTTTTGCTTGACTTGCTGACATGACTGGTGTTGCATTAAACGACTGCATAAGCTTCAGAGGCAGCTCTTCTCACATCGATCGCATCTGTCTGGGATTGTGGTGATGACCCCTACTGAACACACAAATACCTCCATGATGTCGACACCAGTCACATTGAGGAGCGGCGCCGTCACATTTGATCTTCAGGAATCAGCAATCTCCAGTAAATCCACGAGCAGAAATCTACTGTTCTTGGGTAGACGCTTTACCTTTCTCTGGTGGCAGGCATCACATGCACGATGGCGCCCTCCTCGAATTTGAGTGCGCCCACCGCCCAATTCGGATGGTCGCGCATCAGATGCCGGAGATTCTCGCCTTTGGGACATAGACGGTGTCGGAGTTGCAGATATACGGGAACGCTTCGATGGAGGGTCGGCTCGTTTGGATTAGCCCTAGTGCGGGTGGGTCCTGGAGCCAGAGCCCTTCAGGATTGCAGGACAATGTGCATCAGCCCTCGTTTGAAGAGCGTTTCCCAAGAACGGGAGCCGAGATTCAAAGGGTTTACGACGATTCTGAAATCAGAAAACGCATGGGATTGGAGGACGATTATCCCCGTTCCGGCATTGCAAAGGCCGACACAGATGAATTCCAACAAGCCGCCAAAGAAGACAAGGCCGGAGATCTTCCCAAAAATTCCCCTCTCACTGTACCGCTTCCCATCCAAATCTATACTTGCATTATTCGTCAGTATCAAATTATCTGGGGCGACAAAGCCACTTTCGCCATCAAGCAGATCACCTGTGTCGTCCAAGCTCTGATCGCGGGATCTCTGTTCTACAATGCACCCAACAACTCGGCTGGACTCTTCGTCAAAGGCGGCGCTCTCTTCTTCGCATTGCTTTACAACGCTCTTGTCGCTATGAGTGAGACAACGGAGTCCTTCACGGGCAGACCCGTGCTCGCTAAGCACAAAGAGTTTGCCTTCTATCGCCCGGCGGCCTTTTGTATTGCGCAGATCACTGCTGATCTACCGATTATCTTCGTCCAAGTTACCCTATTTTCCGTCATTCTATACTGGATGGTTGCATTGAAAGCAACGGCAGGTGCCTTTTTCACTTTTTGGGTCCTCGTCTACTCGGTGACGATATGCATGACCGCCCTCTTCAGATTAGTGGGAGCCGCATTCAGCAGCTTTGATGCCGCCTCAAAAGTATCTGGATTCGCTGTAACGGCGCTGGTTACCTACATTGGTTATCAGATTCCAAAGCCTGAAATGCATCCATGGTTTGTATGGATCTACTGGATCAACCCAATGTCCTATGGGTTCGAGAGTTTGGCCGCGAACGAGTTCCATGATCGGCACATCCCGTGCTTTGGCAAATATTTGATCCCTAGTGGACAAGGATATGACGACACATACGCCGCATGTGCTGGTGTTCGTGGTGCCGAGGCAGGAGCCAATTTTGTGACTGGCGACCAGTATCTCAGCTCTCTGTCCTACTCGAACAGTCATCTCTGGAGAAACTTTGGTATTGTTTGGACCTGGTGGTTTCTGTTCGCAGTGTCAACTGTGTGATTTACCAACAGATGGAAGTCTTCCTCCAGCGGAGGAGTGCTCCTTGTCCCACGCGAGTACAAAGCCAAAACTAAGCTTCTGGTTCAAGATGAGGAATCTCAGGTCCAAGAGAAGATTGCAGAGAGCAGCACAAGCTCGAATCTTTCTAATGAGCAACCCGCCATGGAAAAGGAGGTACGGTGTATTTCGGAAACATTGGCGACAATGCCGCCGAGATCAAGGACTACTTCGAGCGTAACGGCGCACCGTGCCCACCAGGTGCTAATCCTGCAGACCATATGATCGACGTTGTCTCTGGATCCCTCTCGCATGGCAAGGACTGGAACAAGGTGTGGCTAGAGTCTTCCGAGTACACTGCTATGATGCTAGAGCTAGACCACATCATCGACGACGCTGCTTCCAAGCCTCCAGGCACAGTTGATGATGGCCATGAATTTGCCCTGTCCATATGGGAGCAGACCAAGCTGGTCACACACCGCATGAACGTTTCCTTGTATCGCAACACCAATTATACGACCAACAAATTTGCGCTGCACATCGGCTCCGCATTGTTCAACGGGTTCACCTTTTGGAAGATTGGGCATTCCGTCGCCGGCCTACAGCTCACCTTGTTTGTACAATTCAATTTCGTCTTTGTTGCTCCCGGAGTGATCGCTCAACTTCAGCCTCTGTTCATTGAGCGGAGAGACTTGTACGAAGCACGAGAGAAGAAGAGCAAGATGTATCACTGGGCACCTTTCGTTACTGGACTGATCGTCTCTGAGCTCCCTTACCTGGTCATCTGCGCGATATTGTACTACATTTGCTACTACTACACCGCTGGTCTACCTTCAGATTCCAGCAAAGCCGGGGCCATTTTCTTTGTCATGCTGATGTACGAGTTCCTGTACACGGGTATTGGCCAATTCATTGCAGCGTACGCCCCCAACGCTGTCTTCGCGTCACTGGTCAATCCGTTGCTGATTGGCATTCTCGTGTCTTTCTGTGGAGTCTTGGTACCGTATTCACAGATTCAGGCCTTCTGGAGGTATTGGTTGTACTATCTCAACCCATTCTCATATCTGATGGGCAGCCTGCTGCTTTTTCCTCTTTTCGACAAATCAGTCCGCTGCAAGGAGTCCGAGTTCGCCATTTTCGACACACCTAACGGACAGACCTGCCGAGAGTATTTGTCGGACTACCTGAATGGTTCGGGATCGAGGACAAATCTCACAAACCCGGATGCAACAAGCGGATGCCGGGTGTGTCAGTATAGCCGCGGTAGTGATTACCTTTACACGGTGAACTTGAAGGATTACTACTATGGCTGGAGGGATAACGCTATTGTTATCATTTTCGTGGTGAGCAGTTATGCTTTGGTATACGTGATGATGAAATTGAGGACCAAGGCGACAAAGAAGGCTGAATGATAGGGACATCTATGTGCCCAGTCCCAATCAGCCTACATCAGACATAATCTAATCTTGAATCAAGTATAGTACCTAATCCTATGTGCCCCTTGACTTTATTTGGATATTGCTATGTTTATCAGGAAATTGAGTCCCGCCGACTTTTCCATTGAGTGGAAATCCGTGAATTCTGATCTGTAGGTCTCCTATTAACGCATGGGTTATCCATCTAGGACATTACATCATATTACTATTCGCATCCAGGCTTCTACTATTTTCAGTGCGTGCGAAGTTTTGTTACCGTAAGGGGTCTCCTTTATCGAGACCATAGATATAGCCGCTTGAATCTCGTATAAACGGCCCTAGTTAAGTTCACTAGATAGCTTTAGACGTTATCTCGCTCTGGGATTATTATAACCTAGCGTTAATATATACTCGTAAATTTATCTCTTCCGCTGGGATTTGAGTAAAGCTCCTAGCAAAATCAGTGTGCCTCAACCCTCCGGGAAAGGATTTCCAGTACCTAGGTACAGCCTTGTTATTGGTGCTGGTCTTCTGCCGAGTCAAGCTGGGAGTCTTGGAACAATAAAACGAGACCAACCCTGTGGGTAATGCTTTTCCGGTGGAGAAATATCCGAGTCAGTACTCTCTTCGTCAACGTGCATACCCGCGGGAAGGCAATTTCTCCCTGTCTCGCAAAATCAAGTGTAGGCTCCGCATGTTGAATGGCGAATGGTCTCCGGCCCACAAAGCCATTGCACGCCTTGCGGGGTTGCGGGGAGCATCTGGGGAAACAGAAGCGAGGCAAGGCAACATGAGAGGTCCACTCCAATATGAAGAAGGGACCGATCCCCCAGAATCGCACATCTCACTGTCTGCTTGTTCTAGACAGCCTTCAGATTCTTGTGTGACTGCAAAGCTACAGCCCAACATGATCTCTCTCGTACAGTTTGGTGTGAGTGAACTACAGCAAGGCTATATACCTACGCTGACTGACATCACAATCAGATTGTGCTTTTTGTTGGCCTGGGTTCTATGACCTATGGTTACGGCTCCAGCATCATCGCTACCACTACTGGACAGCCAACCTTTCTATCTTACTTCGAACTCGACACCAAGCCTAATGCAGCAGCCCTCCTGGGTGCCATCAATGGCCTTTTCTCCGCTGGTGGCCTCTTTGGCTGCATCTCGTGCTTGTATATCCCTGACAAATGGGGTCGGAAGAAGTCTCTCTCGTTCGCTGCAATCTGCGCCATTATCGGTAGTGGTCTCGCAGCCGGCAGTGTCCACATCGCCATGTTTATGGTGGCTCGTTTAATTACTGGCTTCTCCGTTGGTGCATTGGTTAGTCTCGTCCCGCTTTATCAGAGCGAGATCTCGCCTCCTCGGATTCGTGGTCTGCTTGTGGGCATGCACGGAACCGGTATTGCCACTGGATATTGTGCCGCTAGCTGGATCGGCTTTGGCTTTTACTTTGTCAATGCGAAGTCTACACAATGGAGGATGCCTCTTGCCATTGGAGCATTGTGGCCCTTGCTTCTCGGAGTAGGTGTCATGTTGATCCCAGAGTCCCCACGTTGGTGTAAGTTGATCCCAAAACCATGTGACTCCCGCTAATAACTCGCCTCAGTACTTACCAAAGACCAACCCGACCAAGCACTCAAGGCATTCAAGGCCTGTCGAACCGAGTCAGGACCTCAAAATGACGAGCATGCAATACTCGAAGAGTTTCACCTTCTACATATGCAAGTTCTTGAAGAGATGAAAGAATTTGTGCCATTGAAGGCCTTTTTCACCCGACCGGCACTTCGCAAGAGATGTTTCATCGGCTGGTTGACCATGGCTGCTGGTCAAATGACTGGCACGATTGTGATCAACAGTGAGTCTGCCCTGGCTGCCTCCGTGTCTGATACTCATTGCTCGATGCAGACTACGGGCCTTTCCTCTACAAGAAATTGGGCTTCAGCGTTACAAACCAGCTTTTGATTCAGTGTGGCTGGATTTCAGTATGTTGGCTGGGAAATGCTTTCAATGCAGCTGTCATTGACAGAATCGGCCGGGTGCGCCTGTTGAGTAAGTCTTCTGGTTGTTCTTGAGATCATATACGACGCTGATCCTTCTCTACAGTATTCGGCCTCATTGGGGACGTAATCGCCCTTGCTGGGGAATGTGCCACAGTCGCACAATACACCAAGACTGGCTCACCCGCTTGTGCTAAAGCTGCTGTATTCTTCCTTTTCCTCCATATCGGATTTTATGGTTGGACCATCGATGCCAGCACCTACATTTACGCATCAGAAATCTTCCCAAATCCTCTTCGTGCTCGTGGCATCGGGATTTCCATCGCAGGCTTGTTCATGATGGTTATCATCTTCACTAGGTGAGTTCCTTGAAAGGATGCTGCGCCCATTCAATTCTGACTGTGGAAAGTGCCGCACCTACTGCTTTCGACAAGATCGGGTGGAAATACTACCTGGTCTTCTGTCTTCTCACCGCTATGAACGCGGTCATAGTTTGGTTCACTTTCCCCGAGGTACGTTTCCTTTCTATGCTGCTCATATCGAAACGAAGACTGAAAGAGGACCAGACTAAGGGCAAAGCTCTTGAGGACATTGCTGAGATCTTTGGAGACGGGATTGTCCTCTCAGATGCCCGTGAAGAAGAGATTCATCGCCGTTTCAAGGAGTCTGGCTACCAAGCTCAAGTCTTGGACGAGGTGCATCACGAAGTTGTGCTCCAGGACGACATGCACCATGGTGAGAAGATGGTTGTCACACACGCTGAGCGGACCGAGAACCTCGCTTGATTGTGGAAAAGAGTAGGCTTGCGTCTACGAGATATGTGCAAATCTGGCTTACCATTTCACCCCACTCAGAGAGAAATCTCGGAAAGTTTCCATATAACCTAGGCACATTTCGCCAGACGTGAGAGGGCTTTTCGCCTGTGGCGCATTCACAACGCAACGATGCTGCAATTTTCACCAGATTTGCTGAGATTTGACTGTTGGCTATATTTTAGCTAAAGAATCTGGTTAGATACAGTTCTATTAAATCGAAAAGTGATACGATACCGCCATCTTGTGATTGCATGCTAAATACTACATATTTCATAGTTTGACGGTTTCTCGTGAATCAAGAAAGTCGTGAATAGCCCTGGTTAACCAGCCTCTCTTCGGCAAGACGTGTTGACTCGTCGGGAATTCAAGCAATAGGAAAGTAGATAAGCGTGACCTAAGGCTACCGAGTACAGTGTTGGAACCTAGAATATGTCGTACGGTCAGCTGAAGCCTTACCAGGTACTTGCCGACAACAATGAGAGGCCTCATTTCGAGTACACCGGAGTCTGAAGTCCGAACTCTCGAAAACTGGTGCTTCTGGAGATACGAGGATGACTTTCACAAAAATCGATAATTCTGAACTTACTAGCATTTTCCTTTTAGCCTTGTTGGATCCTGACGGGCAATTGAGGCTCCCTTGTCCACGATCAGAAGACCAATTCCATTTCTCTGCTACATGGCTACCTCATCTCACCTGTTCCGGGTTTTATCAAAACCAATCAAGGTTGACATAGAAACATGGGAGAACTGGATCGGCTCAGAAAGCATGACAGGCTTGATCCAAACGAATTCAGTAACGAAAGTAGGTATATATCAAGCCTTCAACGAATATCCGTTGGCTACAAAAACGCCAAACACGGTTGATCAAACGAAACTTCATAGCGGCAATGTCACGCACAGTGATATTGAGCCACCAACAGAAAAGTGTTGCCTGATGATGTATCAGACCGACGACCCGGAGTTTCTGAAGGAGCAATTCCTACGGAACATCGGCCAAAGTAATGGTACTCTCTCAGGAAAAGAACCTATTTCCTGTGCGGAATGGGATTCAAGAGTCTACAAGCTTGTTCAAGATTTTGATCCAAAGGGAGCTGGATACAGTGAGTCAATCGCCTTGATTTGCGTTTTAATTATCTCAAGCAGTCTGCTAAAATTATTCCCGCCGTCGTGGCGTGGCCTTGAAGCGCCTGCACCTTTTATTCTCAGCGTTCAAATGGAACCAAATGATGATGACGACTACGACAAATTTTACCGAGACGAACATCTATATATGCTGTCGAAAGTGCCTGGGTATCGTCGATCACAACGCTATCAATTGGTGTCTTCAGATCATCTCAGCCTCTCATCAGTGCCTAGGTTTATGGCAATCCACGAGTTCGAAACCCTGGAGACAACCGATGGTCCGGAGTTGAGAGAAGCCGATGCGAGCCCAAATACTCATCGAGTGATTGGAAATGCAAAGTTTGTGAACATTCGGGGGTTTAGACTTGTCAAGACACTTGGGCATATCAAGCAGTAGGTCTTTCGACGACGATAGTACGGCATAGCTGAGGTCTTGATGACTACCTCACTATCCTCATGGGTTGTGAACTGCTTCATTGGTGCACCCAGACTTTGCTCCGGCTTCTTCTCCGCATTTGACCCTGCCAGTCAGACCTCTTCGGTGTTCATTTCCCAGAGCTAGTGGCAGTCTAATATAATAAAAACTTAAAGAAGGTAAGGTCTTTCACCACTTCGATGTGGATACAAGATAGTGAATCAATATCGCGTGAAAATTGCATGCTTCATGGCTACAACAAGGAAACATGCACTTGTGTTTGGGGCGTCTGGTGTCTCAGGCTGGGCGGTTGTCAATCAACTTCTCCAGGATTATCCATCACCAGGCACATGGAGCAAGGTTACCGCTCTAACAAATAGGCCACTGACTTTCGAGACTTCTCAATGGCCAACAACAAACAAGCTTGAGATCATTTCAGGACTCAATCTCCTAGAGAAAGCTCAAGAGACGTTCGAAGAACAGGTCAAGAGTAGAATCACAGATATCACCACAGTCACACATGTTTTCTACTATGGTAAGCTGGCTGATCTTCGAATAAATCCTTTCAATGTGGTACGAGTAGACTGATTACGAATTAGCCTATAAAGCCAGCACGAATTTTGAGCAGGAGAAAAGGGATGCTGTGGATATGCTGTCTCGATCAATCACGGCTGTTGATAAACTCTCACCAGTCTTGGAGTTTGTGGCCTTCCAAACAGGCGCAAAGGTAAGCCGTCCTTACATGTTGGTTCTATGCATGCCAATATCGCTAGATGTACGGATTCCTTCTCCAGGAGGATCATTACTTCCCGACGCCGCTCCGTGAATCATTGCCTCGACTTAAACCACCTTTCAGTGACCAGCTATTTTATCACGATCAACTCGACTGGCTAGATGCTTACTCCGCGCAAAAGTCGTGGACGTGGTGCGAAACAAGGCCTGATATTATCATTGGATTCGCTCCGAACCACTCAGCTTACTCACTAGCGGCATCTCTTGCCATTTACTTCTCTCTGTGGCGAGAAATCAACGGTCCTGGCAGTGTGGTTCCATTTCCTGGGAACCAAAAGAGTTGGCAAGCCAAGCATAACGAGGCTGGAAGCGATATGATCGCTAAGCAAACCATCTTCTTGTCTTTGCACAGTAACATCAGTGGGAACGGAAATGCTTTCAATGTCGCATCTTCGCCAAACCATGAAACGTGGGAAGAAAAATGGCCACAACTGTGCAAGTATTTTGGCCTTCAATCTGCACCGCCTAGCGGTGAGTCGAAAGAAGTTCGACAGTATATCAATGATCACCTCGATCGATGGCGGAAGATAGAAGAGACATTTCAACTTCGAACGGATATCGCCCAGTCAGAAGTGACCATGCCAGGGTTTGAGATTTTGCACCTAACATTGGCCGACTTTGATCGACACTACGACTTGAGCAAGATTTACGGCGCAGGCTTCCGCGACAAGAACACAGTCATGGAAACATGGGGATTGACTTTCGATAGAATGAGGAAGGCGAAAATGATCCCATAGTATAAGTCTATCAGGACGAGAATTGAAGATTTCCTATATCGTGATATATTGCTGTGCAGACTGCTCCATAAGCTGAGCTGATGGGTGACCAGCCACATAACCAGGCTTCATAGCTCCATGCCAAACATCTGCTTCCCTAGTGCGCGTGAAATCTTGAAAGGGTCTGCACAAATGGCGAGCGCGTAGATTCTGATGTGGATGTTGTCAAGCTGGCGCACATTGATCAAGAACGACGTTACCCAATGCGGCGTCGCAGCGTTGCCGGAACCGACCAAATCCAGTGGGCAGGATATCGAGCTCGGAGCGACCCTCACAGGATGCTTGTGTACGAGTTCCAGTCGTGTTGTGGGACGACCAAAGTCATGCAAAACGCAGTCGCGGGTCCAAATGTCGCTCGTGGTTCAGAAGGACGTTGGATTGCGGTAGCCTTGATCGGACTGAAGACAAGCGGAGGAGGCGTGGGCGTCAGCTCTGAGGTAACACGGGCCTCTCCCGATTCGGGGTGTTGTTTGTGTTGACTGCCACGGCAATCCTGTGGAAGAGTGGTCTTCGATCGTTTCTCGCGGCCAGAGCGGAGGGTATTGGTCCCGGAATGCCTTTCAGTGGTTCCCAGTGTCTGTAGCATGGCAGATTTAAGCCGACAGTGATGTGCTAGACTCGCAGGGTGCGACTTCCGCTGCGGCAAATGATGCATCAGGTTTACGCCCACTCCTCTTTTCAGGCGTCTGCGAGTTTTGCTGAGGTTGTTATTTGGCTGTCATTGTTGGTATCGGAGTCGAGTACATTGTCGCCACGAGATTGGTCAAATCATACACCATGACTGGCGTGGTAACGGAGGGGGAATGCAGACTGGGTCAGAACACAAGCTTGCTGACCCCAGCAGTGGTCATGTGAGGATCAGATTTCACCATGGTGAAGTTCAAGAAGAAGGGGGGAGATATCCAGAGCATAATTCCAGAGCATCGCGCAGGAGTGCAGAGCATCACTCGGGTGGCCGTTGGGAATGTAGAGCATCAAGACGGAGCTGAAACACCGTAAAGTGTGTGGAAACGATCAACGTGCGGAGTGGTACGGAGATCAATGCTGCAGAAAGCGTCTGGTTCTGAGGATCTTATTTTCTTAACAGCCGTCGGGAAGACATGCCTGCTTTGGGCCTTTATCCCACCACTGTCTTCCAGGGGATTGGCGGGCCACATAGGTTCCCTTTCGAACGACAAGAAGAAGCTCGACCAACGCACAGAATACTAAAGACTCGGAGCGACTCATACAGGAACTCATGAAACGATAGCTGGTTGCATATGCAAGCATGCGCCTGCCACAATTTCGGAAAATGGAGTAACCAACACATGTCGGGTCCTTTCTCTGACCAAACACTCCTTGCAGATTACCAGGTATCATCTGAATGTCATATTGCTGTACAACTTCGGCCTCTTGATGGTGGAACCGACTACGCTAGTCCACAAGTCGACGCTCGTACTCAGTAAACCCTCGACTTGCTGGATCGGCAGATCCCATCCACAATTGCAACAGAGACAACCTCTCGGCATGTGCAGTAACACTCCGATCTTGATGTCTTTTGACAATGTTATCGCCTATGTCTATGACCATAGCACAACTGCCCACTTGTTCCGTTGAGGTATATTCCTCCCTGTTGCGTCCTTGAAGTTGTCCGTGTTTTCATCCTCCTCCTCCTCATTCTTGCTGCCCTGGAAGCTGCCGTGTCCTCCTCTTCTGCTGCTTTGTCCTCCTCCTCCTCCTCCTCCTCCTCCTCCTCCTCCTCCTCCTCCTCCTCCTCATCCTTGCTGCCCTGGAAGTTCTCCGTGTCTAGATCAACATGCAATCTCTCCTTGCAACCTTGAGCTCTGAGGCTGGGCGTGGTCCTTCGTGTGTAAGAACATGGTCTTGGACAGTCTCGACCGACGCAGGTACTCGCGTGTCAAAGTGCCGCCTCGACTTTCTTCGCGCAAGGTTCTTGTTCCACCTTGGCCTGTTCCTCTTGCTTCCTCCCCACGAGCTTCTTGTTCCCCCTTGCCCTGTTCCTCTTGCTTCTTTCGTTGAGCCGTTTCCTCCTCTTCGCGCCTGTTTGCTTCTGCTTCCGCTTTTTGTGCTTCGGCCCTTTGCTTTTCGCTTATGGCGCGTCGTTCGGCTTCTTCCCTGGCTCGTTGCTCCTTTTCAAGTTCCAAGCGACATAGCATTCGTGTCTACACATGTCCATCCCCTCCTTTGTCCACCCAATAGTTCCTCCTCATCCTTGCTGCCCTGGAAGTTGTCCGTGTCTAGATCAACATGCAATCTCTCCTTCCAGGTACCACGCAAGACAGTAACAGTGTCTACACATGTCCATCCCCTCTTCGCTCACGCAGCACTATTGATTGGTTCTGCTGAGAGCATGTCATTGTGTCACATGTCCCGCTGATTCGACTCTATGGAGGAAGGGTGCCCGGCTCGAGAGGAGAAAGTGTCCGCTCAGCGATGTCGTAGAAGGAACAGAGACAATAAATTTGGTACTCGCGGCTACGTGGAGTCTCTTGGATGAGTCAGAGTCTGTGGTTTTCGAGAGTGTTGTGGTTGATCCATTGTTGCGAGAGTTGAGCGAGGTTCGAGAGGGAGATGCTTGGGAGGAGGGAGTGTCCGCTGAGCGAGGTTCGAGAGGGAGATGCTTAGGGGGAGGAAGTGTCCGCTGAGCGAGGTCGTAGATGGGATAGAGACAATGGATTGGATGGTATTGGCTGCCGGAATGTTTCGAGTCTTTGGAGGAAGGCTGTGCGGCTGGAGGGGAGGAAGTGTCCCAGCGAGCAAAGTCGTAGAAGGGATAGAGACAATGGATTTGGTATTAGAGCCTGCGCGGAGTCGCTTGGGAAAGTCTGAGGCCGTGGCTTTGGAGAGTGTTGTTGTTGATCCATTGTTGCGAAGGTGGTTGGGGGTGTCAGACACGGTGGCTCTGGAGGATGTTGTTGTTGATCCATTGTTGCGGACTCGGTCGGAGGTGTCAACTTGATACTTTTGGAGGGTGTTGTTGCAGCAAGGGCTGAGGGACTGGCTGCCACGCAAGTCCGCATCGAACCGTGTCCTCCAAAGGGGAAATCAAGCCACATCTCAATCGACCGCGATAGTCTATTGCATTCCACTCGGGTAAGAGTGTGATCATCCCGCCGTGCTACTGAATCTTGTGCTTTTGTCTCTTGTCAAGGTCGCATGTCGTCCGGTCCAACGTCTTCAGGAATCGATTTCATGTCTTGAAATGCATGGATATTCTCATTCCGCAAGCCGTTGAGGCGAGGAGTGTGTGTCGGAAGAAGGCTTTCCATTCAGGACGAGAGGAGCATCCCAAAATCGCAGCAAATGCGCTGGGTATGTGATTCTGTTATCGGAAAGAGTGCGTCGGAAAAGAATGCTTGTGTTGTCGAGGACCAGGCGTGATGGGAGGAGCTTCGTCGGATGGAGGAATGCGGCATCGAGGAAGAGGGCACGTCGGGGAAGAATGCTTGCGTTGATGAGTACCAGGTGTGATGGGAGAAGCTTCGTCGGATGGAGGAGTGCAGCGTCGAGGAGGGTACGGCCTCGAGGAAGAGGGCGCGTCAGGGAAGAATGCTTGCGTTGATGAGTGCCAGGTGTGATGGGAGAAGCTCGTTGGATGGAGGAGTGCAGCGTCGAGGAGGGTGCGGCCTCGAGGAAGAGGGCGCGTCGGGGAAGAATGCTTGCGTTGATGAGTATCAGGTGTGATGGGAGAAGCTTCGTCGGATGAGGAGTGGGATCTTGAGGAGGAATGCTTGCGTTGGAGATGAGTACCGGCCAACACTCCGAGCCATGCTATCGAGAAGAAAGCGGACTGCTGAGAAGACTTATTGCTCTAGAGATGTCAAGCCGCACAACCAGGGCAGCTGAGTGAAACAACGACCACAGACATAACAAGCGTGTGCAGGGCACACTGGAGGCTTCTCGACGGCACACAGGACCGTCAACCTATTCTTCTCTTCCAATCATCCGGCACATCTGGAATGAGTGGACTTCCCGAGGATATCTGGTCGAGCTGCTATCGCCAGGCGCCGCTTTTGGACCTGCTGCATACGCCTTGCAGGCGACGAAGAGGTGGATTCGGTCTCACGACGAGCCTGCGATGTCATCCATGGACCAGCGTGGGAGTGGGCAAACTGCGACAGATGACATGTTGTGCGAGCCAGGCTCAAGACATTTCCTTCAGTAGAACCAGTTTCGCCCGTAGGCTGCTGTGTTTGCTGAGATTCTTCCGCAGTCTGCGAGGATTCGGGGCATAGGAGGAGAGAACACAACCTTGACGCGGTTGCTTTTGCATGCAGTGGTAGGCGGAAATTGAGGCCAGAGAGCCTTGAGGGTGTGCAATGCGCTATCCTTCACAAGACTTGGGAAATTTCGGTCAACCTGCTGGTAGAGCTACCACAACATGTTGCCTGAAGATCAGACCTTCCGCGGAAGTTGACCAGATTGACATTCCCATTCTCTTGACTTGCGACCTTTCTTAGGGCAAACATTCCAGGACACTTCGCCAATGAGGAGATCTCGTTTCCGGACTGACCACAAACCGAGTTGCAATCAAGGTGTTTACCCCGTATGGCTCCTTTGTGTGGTTTTTCTCATCGATGCGCAATGGCCGCATATTTGGGTTCGATCGGACGGCGAGGAAGTAATGAGAGGGGAAGAAGGGCTGTACAGATTATCATTCTGAGTCAGATACTCGTGCGACAACAGGGAGTTTGCGTGAGATCGACATGGCGCATTGTTGAAGCATTGACAAAGTGATGATCCCATTTCGAGAGTTTGTTTCGGAGGATGACCCCGGACTTGCACCGAAGTTCATGATCATCTCCTTCAAATTGACCTTGACCGCTGGAGAGTTTCGGAGTGTGGGGGCTTGCATCGTTCGCCGTCGCGCCGCGAAACAAACCCCGGATGTTATCCCGGATGTCTGTACTGTTCTGCAGCTCTTCCATGCCAAACTTTATCCGCCAGGCCGGACGACGCGGACAATATTCATGGCTACGGCGATAGAAAATTCAAGACTGTGAGCCGCTGTAAGGCCTGTGTGGCCCACCGTACAGCCCAGAGATATGTCGTTTCCGCATTACGCATCGAGAGTATGGGATGGCACGAAATGGTTCAAGATATCTTGAGCGAAGTTCTACAAATGCAAAAACTATGGGATAAAATGGTCACCATGCCAAACGTGGCCCTCAACTTCGCCGTCAAATAATAATGCAGCGATGTCGATATGCCACGCTCTCAAAATGTGGCACCAAAGTCTGATCTCTTCAGCAAGCTGTAGTTCTTTCCACCAGTATTTAAGTCGAGCTTCGCTTTGGATCAGCCGTTTGCTCTCTTTTCCCACGTTATTCATAATCCGCGGCTACCAAGGCCCGTCAAAGCTATCGACCATGGCAAGGGCAGCGCTGGCTCAAGATATAGCGTCCTTCATGCGGTCGTGCCATATAGGGAGAAGACCAACCAAGAGCATGGTGATCGGCCTGGGCCGAGAAGCAATTTGTAAGATCCTCCAAAAGGATTGTATTCTTTGCCGGTTGTATGCTGCAGCTTCTTTTGTCCATGGTCGAAGGACAACAGCTTACACGAGAGCCTCTTTCCAGAACGGGAGCCTCCTTGGGCCGGGACACAATTACCAAGTGGACTTCAGCAGGGTCTGGATGTTCAAGGCTTCATTCGTGTCCGACGCTGGCCAGCACCTTTCTGTCTCCAAATATGAAGTCTTCAACCTTCCTCCAGTATCCGCGTTCGTATCTGTAGAGGCTCAATCCCAGAGCCTGACCACGACTGCCATGAAACAGATCGGTGAGCTCCATCAGGGTTTGGTCAACCTTTGCATCATCTGTGACCTTGTTCTGGACGGTGTAATGGGGTGCGAAGCTTCGGTCTTGCTGGCTCAAAAACGAGGTCCATTGAGCTTTCAGATCCTCGTAGATGGACCTGAGGCGACCCGAGTCGTCCTTCACGTGGATGCCGACACCGTGTTTCATTCGGAAAGGCTGGCTGGCGAGAACGCTGAAAGGAGCTTGTGAATGTGTAAGACGGGTAATGTCATGTGTGAGACGAGGCAATTGTGAGCCTGGCAGGGCTCGAAACAGCGCAATGTGCGCAGCCAACTTGTTGATTGCAGGAGGAAAGTACTTGTCGCGTAGCGAGGTCAACAGCATGTGATGGTCCCTATCCGTATGTAGCGTCAAGACATAGCTTTCTTCGTGTTCGTTTCCAGTCCTGGCTTTGTGTTCATCCCTCCTCTTATACGTCTCACGCGTGTACGAGGCCGACGAAGGTAGATGCGAGGCGCGAGAAGGACTTGTCATGGCGATGGACCTTGGCAGACGCGGAGAGAGGCTGAATCCAGGCATGGCATGTCTGTGTGAATCCGAATTGCTTCTGGTAAGATACATGATATAAGGAAGAGCTTCACCTCCGTTCTGTCAAAATGGAATGAGAGAGTTGTAGCACGTCATGACCTGAAGAATTAGTCAATCTGAGCCAGAGCCCTCCTCTCTCCATGTCAGAATGCATCGGGCGATAACTTCCCTTGGATGAGGTAGCTGACTCTGAGCAGCCCACGAAGCTGAATTCGGCGAAAAGAGAGTCTTGGTTCAACCCATAGATGGGATGTGTGTACACAGTGAACTGGGAGCAGAGTTGCATGGCTCACTCACCCCGCAGTGTTTGGAGACCATCAAAGCGGCTCGGCGGGTAAATCAAGTGGTTCCCAACCTGGTCGTACTGTACTGTACTGTACCTGTCCTGCTGTGGACGGATCATGACGTCCCTGTACACCCCTGCTGCAGGTACCCAAGGGCCAAAAAGACGTCAAGTATTCTATCTGACGGTCAGCACCCTGAATGTGTCGTACCCTGTGCAATCTACTGTAGGAGTGGTAAGTACAGTATCCGACATCATTGTCATTCGATAAACATTGACCGCTCACTGTTCCGTGGTAACGGAAATTCAATTCATTATTATTTATTGGTTTCTATGCGGCCTGTGCCGAATTATCAGAAATCCAACAGGTGCTGATATTGACCATTTAGAGTTCAGTCGTGAAGCCAAAGGCAAGATAAGAGCCGCTTCTTCGTGGACTGGCAAAGGTTCCCAGATCCGAAACGACGAGTGACGTCGTCGATGACTCTGTGCCACGAGGGCAATAGACCTGATCTGTTCTTATCTATCAAGCCATTTCAATCCGTCTCGCTGGGAGCATGCTTGCCGTCGCAGTCACTCGCTTGGGTCACTAGACATCTCATTTTGCTTTGCCCACTGCAAGGCAGTAGCGCTCGTTATATGATTTCAAGTCTTCGTACCTGTTGGTGACATGTGTGGCATTAGCTGTGTTGTTGCTCTCGAAGAGCGGACACGCCGCTCCAATGAGCAGAACAAGGACAAGATCAAAGAAAGGCTTTGTGAGAGTCTCGAACAAATCCGACATCGTGGTCCAGATTCGACAGGCACCTGGATCAGCGATGACGGACGCGTGGGTATATCAGACCTCAGTGTACTTGTGACATCCACATGCTAACAACTTAGCGCTGGGTCATGTCCGACTCGATATCAATGATCTTTCACCTTCGGGGTGCCAGCCGCTGCATTCGTCCGACAACAGCGTGCACACTGTAGTCAATGGAGAAATTTACGACTACGATAACTTGCGCCTCGAGATGGAGCAGAAGATCAAGTACAAATTCCAGGGCACTTCTGATTCCGAACTGGTTCTAGCATTGTACAAGTACTATGGCTTGTCGTTTCTGTCCCATATCCGCGGAGAATTCTCAATCTGTTTATTTGACAGCGAACGAGAACTGTTCATTGCAGTTCGGGATCGGTACGGGATCAAGCCCTTATTCTGGACTGTGCAAAATGGCCAATTATTGGTTGCGGCCGAGATGAAGGTGTTTCTTCCGTTAGGATGGAAACCGGAATGGGACGTCAAGAGTATTGTGGGAGGGGATTTTCAGATTGGAAATCTGACCATCTTCAAAAGGGTGCAGAAGGTGAGAGCGAGGCTGAGTTATGCATGATGATCACTTTTGACGTGGGTAGGTACGGCCTGGGCACGTTCTGATCTGCAGATGCTTCGGTACCATTCATGAGCAGCAGTATTGGGACTCACGATATCCAGACAAGGTACGTCGCCCATCCAGTGCAGGGACGATGCTCACCAAACATGAAGAACGTCAAAGAAGCTCGAAGCGAGCAGGACATGATCCAAGGTGTTCAAGACCGTCTCGTCGATGCTGTGAAAGAGCGCCTGCGAGCCGATGTCAAGGTTGGAGTTTCCCTGAGCGGTGGCATAGACTCGTCAGTCGTCGCGGGAATTGTCAACCACCTGCTCCGTCAAGGTCATCAGATAGGCTCTGAAGCGGTAAACGAGCGTTTGAGCTGCTTCGGTATCGCCTTCGATGAAGAAAGTGGCTTTGATGAATCGTCCATAGCAAGTCGCACCGCAGAATACCTCGGTGTCAAGTTCTACAAGAAGCACATGAATGAAGACGAGCTCGCAAGGTCATTCGCCGATGCAACGTGGCACGACGAGCAACCCAACCCCGACCTCAACTTCATCGGCACGTACGCACTGTCAGAGCTATTCCGGGACAAAGGATTCCGCGTCAACATCAACGGGCAAGGTGCCGACGAGATCTTCGCCGGCTACAACATCTTCCTTCCGGACTTCCTGCGTGAGCCGGACACTGCATTCAGCGGGCCTACTATACCTGAAGATGAGCGTCTATTGGAGTTGCGCAAAGCCGAAGAAACATTGAACAAGGTATACCAAGGAAAGTTGGATCTCGATGGCAGCTCCGTTGCGCGGCGCCAACTGAACAACACTTTAACACCGGTGCAAATGACGGCAGCGTTTCCACCGCTCCCCGTCAAGGAGGATTTCTTGCCCGCAAACAATGTGGTGGATCCCCAATTGACGTATGCTGAAAACATTGACGGGGTCATGCTTGAAGATGTCAGTCGGAGGTGGCACCCGTTGCACACCGCACTGTACTGCTTCACGAAAGCTCACCTCCAAAACCTGTTGCTTTCGAACCTGGGCGACAGGGGGGAGATGGCGCATTCGATTGAAGGCAGAACCCCGTTTTTGGATCATCATCTGGCCGAGTACGTCAACAACCTTCCACCAAGCATGAAGATCCGACGTGACGAGAACGGCGAATGGGTGGAGAAATATGTCCTTCGCGAGGCCGCTAAGCCCTTCATTACCGAAGAGATATACAAGAAACGGAAGCATCCTTACAGCGCCCCGGTTGAATTCCCTAAAAATGGCCCCATGCACCGATTGCTGCAATCATTGGTCACTGAAGAAAACGTTGCGAAGCTCGGGTTCCTCAAACCGGACGGCGTTGAAGGGTTGGTAGATCAGGTGTTTGAGACCAAGGAAATGCCGACCTTTAGATTGGTCATATGCCTGGCGCAGTGGGTGGTGTTGCAACAACGATTTGGTGTGGTCAAAGCCCAGTCGGAGATTGAGCAGTTCGAGTCTGGAAACTTGAAGGTCGGGAGCAATGTCATGCTAGGATGAACGTGAGCCTCTTTTGCTGACCCGGAAAACACGCAGGATGTGGCTTGACAGCTGCTGTACATTGTAGCGGTACAGTGCTATCGCGGTGGCAATATCAATTGCAGATTAATGCTCCTCATACACGATTTCGCCCTCGAACCAAGTAGTCAGGATTCTGGCTTTGTCAAAATCACCCCTGCTCAAGTCCTCGCTGACAGCAATGAAGTTGGCCTTCTTGCCAGTCTCGATGCTCCCTGTTTCCTTCTCTTTGCCAACTGCCTCGGCACCTGCTAATGTAAGCATACGGCAGATTCGTTCTCCGCCCAGCTGTTTATCGCCGAAACCGACACTCTCAACGATCCCAGCCATGCAGGGAAGCAGGTCTGGTAGCTCTCCGGCGCCCCAATCACTCCCAATAGTGGTATGGGCATTTGCTTTGAGCATCTTCGGAAAGTTCCAGTCCATCAAACCTCCGCTAGCAGTTGCAAGGGGATTCACAAACAGGAACGCAGGCGACATTTCTGCCGTCACGTTCAATTCATTGAATCGCTTGTAGTCATCATCGTGCACACCATTACAGTGCGCTATCTCGTGCCTGGGTCCGTCCGCGTTGGTCTTTCGAACAGCTTCATAGGCGTCGAGGGTGAGCCTGGTAGCGCCTTGACCAGTGCAATGAATCTTCATCGTCATTCCGATAGCATCGTACTTTTGTACCGCCTGGTGGACATTGAGGATGAACAGCTTGGATTCCTCGACGCGTCCGTTTTCTGTCAGACCTGCTTGTGAAAAGTATGGCTCCAGTGGAACTCCGTCAAGGATGATCTTGACAAAGCGCGTATCGACATGTTTCGATCGGAAGAAAGCGCTGTCGTCGATGAGGCGATGAAGAGCCTCGGTGCTCTCTTCGGCGAGCCAATCCGGAGCGTACACAATGTGAGGGTGTATGTTTATCTTGAGTGCACCTTCTGCTTCGAGTTCGCGCAGCCCGTGAAGCATGAGTGAATTTGCAGATGCCTCCTGGCAGCTGGTGACGCCTGCGCGGTGAAGCATGTACTGAGCATCCCGCAAAGCCCGTTTGACATGAGACAAATTCGGCCGTGGAATGGTTGTTAAGGCCTTGCTCATGCTCATCTCAGCCATCTCTCCTGTCAAGTGGCCCCGCTCATCACGCAAATAACGGGTGCCTTGACCGTCTTTCTCTGACTCGATATCGTACCCGGCCCGCTTCAATGCTTCAGTGTTGAGATAGGCGCTATGAGCGGCGCCGCCACGTATCAGGACCGGGGTACCTGGATAAGTCTTGTCCAGCGATTCGCGGTGAAAGTTTTCGATCTGGTAGGCCGTCCCCACCAGCCAATCTTGGTGAACATGAGCGTACTTGCACAAGCAACTACCTTTTTTCAGCTCTTCTCCAACGGTATCTGAGTTGAGTCCGCCCATAGGTAGCTTGACGTGTGATAGCATTCCAATACCCGATATCAGCATATGGACGTGAGCGTCGTGAATGCCAGGCATGATAAACTGACCCCGAAGGTCGAAGATGATGAGATCGTCGTTGTGGGCTCTGGCTTCGATGTCTTTGGTTGTCCCGACAGCCGAGAAGTTGCCTTCGGGGTCGACGATGAATGCTTCGGCCCATGCAGCATCTTTGTTGACGGTGTAGACGCGGCCATTGATGTAGGCCACGCTGTTGTGCAGCGACTCCGATGAAAAGCTTGGAGACATGGTTGCAGAAGAGAAGAGAAGAGAAGAGAACTTACAGAAGAGACATACTCACGATACGGGGTGTATATAAAAGGGTATTTCGTTTGGGCTCGCGATAAGGTTGACGCTTGGGATGCTCCTAGCGGACTGCATTCTGGACCGTGATGGAAGGCGCTCTCGCTTAATTCCGAAAGTCTTCTCCAACAAACCTGATCTAGCAATTGGATGAAAGCGCAAATATCAGGGATTGGTCGATATGCAACCCACAATGCCTTGTACTTGTAGCAAGCAAGCACATCGTTTTGGCCTCTTCACGCGTTCAGATTGTTTTCCTGTGGGCTTCAATGTCATGGTTGTGGCACGCGCGATGCGTAATTCTTGAGAGTGCCCTTGACGAGCCGCAGGTGGAAAGAAGTCGAACGAGGCACAGAGGCCTACTTCGATAGGAGGTGACGGAGAGTCATGAAAATGAGAACAGGTATCATGAGCGAAAGAATAGTTGCTCGAGGACGCCCTGACAGACTCTTGATAAGTGTCCAAATCATACACACTTGGTGGTCGATGGACAGGGTATGGAAATGGAGCGCAATTCAGCCGCGACCGCATGCTCCGTGGGCTCATTTCCCTCGATGGCGGAATCGTCAAGACGCTTACCCGGGCACTGCAGGTGTCGACTGTCTCGTAAATCGATCCTACAGACGTTGCAGTTTCACCCGATAAGAGCTGGCTTCTTCCAGGATCGTTATAGTATTTGAGGACTTCCGCACTGAGAAGTAATCAAACATCGTCGTGCCACAGGCTTGTGCCTGCTCAAAGCAATGTATAGCCATGAAATAGTGTTTTAAACATCGATCTCGTTGTGCAATGTTCTTTTCTGCGTCTCCTTCTCTTCAACCATACTCTGCTTATTCCCTGCTTGTGCCTGGGTGTTTCGTGCCCTTATAAAAGCCGAGGATAAATAGGTGCCAGGGACGGTCGCCGTCGAGACTGCATTCGTTTGGGTTGGAAGTGGCCGTACGCTCAAGAAGAGGGAACATGAGGCAACGGCGTCTATCGTTGGGATGGACCAACAACGAGCCACGTCCTGCGAAGTTTGAGCGCGATTTCAAATGCAAGCATATTCACCTCGAGACGCCAATGAGCATTGAGACCTCTCATGGTTCGCAGCCTGCGCACTTGAAACAATCATGTCACGTCTTCCATGCAGCGGGCGAACGATTAACTTGCCCAGGCGCAGGCACCACGGAAATGTGTTGGCGATCTGCGTTCACACTGATGGCTCCGGTTGAGGCTGGCAAGGTCAAGCAAGAAAGGCGACTCGAAAGTGACTGTTTACCAATGGTGCCGAGTGCAAACGAGGTAAACAAAGGCGGATAATCCTCGGATCTTGTTCAACCTCAGATGTTGTTGACACAGCCTCGACAGATACTTATTCAATGCTCATGCTCCTTCATCATTGATGGCGCTTTGGGCTAACTGCCCCAATGATTGTTATTGTTGGACTTTGATGGAGCCGACATGCTTGTGGCTGGCAACGCTGACTCTCCTGGCGAATTTTGTGCCTACAGCATGCGTGGCAGATACATCATTGATGGTTCAGTTTACGTCTATGCTCTTGAGTGGTTTTGAAGCGGAAAGATTCGCGGGAGTTTCGGTAACGACCTGGTCTAGCTGAAAGCTGCGTCAGCCGTTGCTTCAACTCCTAGGTCAACACAGTATCGACGATGTTGTACGCTGCGTTGTAGGTGTCAGCGTCAGGCCGATCAGACCCTTAGGCCTCCCATCGCAAAAGAAACCTTGATCTATCTGTCGTGGAATCGCGACACAATAAATTGAAGCTGTTCGGCAAGGTGAGATATCTTCTCAATCATGTGCACTACTTGCGACCGGAAGAAGGCCCAGGAAATGTCCATGTTGACGACTGATTGATATCCTGAAAATGTCTTTCACAGAACTGGCGGACCTGGTTTTGCGAGATGCAAGACTCCTGGACAAGTACATTCAAGAAGCCAATCTTCCACAGCCTTGTCTTGATGCCGACGGGCCTACGAGGACACCTTTCACCGGTAAAGAAGCTATCAGTGCACGCGCTGGGCTTCTTGCGAACACGCATAAACTCCAACACCTCTCTCAAGGCCCAACCGCGCCATGGATGGGCACTCTCAATGGTGCATTCGGAGATGCCATGACAAGCGCCGCGATTTATCATTTCAAAATAGCTGATCGTGTTCCCATAGGGAAAGAGGCATCATTCGAACAAGTCGCGCTAAAGGCTGGCCTGGCATTGAGAGACTTCAAGATGATTGTGCGGTATGCGATGACCAACTTCATCTTTTGCGAGCCACGCCCAGGGTCATCGCGCATACGGCATCTTCAAGACTGTTGGCAGAGAACAAGCTGATTCGGAGCTTGATGTCAATGGGTGTGAATGAGATCTTCCCAGGGACTGTCAAGGTATGCCGCAGACTTACAAGCCTCCGAAGCTGATCAAAATGTTCAGGAAATTGAGACCCTGCAGAGGTATCCTGGTTCGGAAGAACCAACTGAATCAGTAAGCATATGCTCACTTCGTGGAGCGCAGCTGAACGACGGCAGGCATGGGCCATTGCCAACGATGCACGCTCTCCACTGTTTACTGAGTTGGCCAATCGTCATCCCAATCGAGCAGAGAACATGGCATTCGCGATGGAGTCCTTGGCCACCATGATGCCGGATGTCATTGTTGTGGAGGCTTACGACTGGGCGAGCATGGGAACTGCCACAATTGTCGATGTGGGAGGAGGCAAAGGGCTGGTTTGCAGGCAACTTGCAAAGCATTTCCCTCGGCTTTCGTTTGTTGTTCAAGACCTACAAGTAACGGCGGATGCAGGACGAGAGCAACTGCCTACTGAGCTCCAAGATCGCATCACTTTCGGGACTCACGACTTCTTCACGCCGCAGCCGGTCACGGGTGCTGATGTTTACTTCTTCCGAGCAATTTTCCATGACTGGCCGGATAAATACTGCATTCAGATTTTGCACAGCTTGATTCCAGCTTTGAAGAACGGCGCCAAGATCATCATACAGGACCCATTCACCTCGGATCCTCTTTCCATGCATCCTTGGCAAGATCGAGAATGCAGGTAAGTCGTTGAGGTTCGTTGAGATGAGAGACGTTGGGACTGATGCGTGAAGGGCCTCTAACCTCCGCATGAAACTATTCTTCAACGCCTGCGATCGAGAAACAACCGAGTGGCGAGAGTTAATCGGAAAGGCAGATTCTCGCTTCAGGCTCAAAGGAATAGAGGCCCACGCCAGAGAACCACAGAATGAATGGGGTCCGAAGATGGCTCTGCTGGAAATCATATGGGATGGCTGATGATCAGTCGCACTAAATGATAGGTCATTGCAGGGAGGAACTTCATAGCTTCATAGCTCCACCATCATCCGTAGGATGACTGCTCCATCGGACCACTTTGATTTGACCCGTGCGTTGTTGGAGCGTTCGTTCGTTCGTGAAGGTCAAAACGGAGTTTCCATCATGGTGTTGGACTTTTGTCTGATTGTGGAGTAAAAAGATTCAAGCCGTCCAGCATATTCCTGGTATGTCCTTCTTCACCTGGCGTAGACTCTATCGCTATCGTGCCCAAAGCGGACATGTGATGGTCTAAGCTCAGTACCTTTCCTATTTATTGTATCAACACCCGAATCTGAGCACCGTGCGTTCCGCAGCGCTCATCATCTTCACGGTGCACGCATCGAAGAGCTTACCGACTGACCAATAATATTCCAGGGACCTGTTTCCAATGCTGTCACCGAAGCGGAACAGGGCGTCCCGTTCACCTCTAAGCAGTATAGTCATTGGTCTGTGTGGCATATCATGTGGAGATGAACGAAGACTAAAGCTTGATTCCATATGAACTGGAGGCCCCTGGTCGCTTAGCGACTCAATAGTGAGGGAGATCATCAAACTTTGTCACGCGTCTTAAATTCATCTCGCGTTAAGTGTTACGGAAGTTGTATGCTCACTCAAGCTGGAGGCATCTTTGTCCTATGAACTGCTTTAGTTTCTGCGTTGTGAGTGGGACGCTGCGTCATCAATAGCGATGGGTGGGAGACGTATGTCCACCGTTCTAGACCTTGCCATGATGGTGCAAGGCCATGGCTACGACCTGGCGGTCCCTGAGATATGAACTCATGTGAGAGATATATCTGGAGCTTCCACTCCTTTAGAGCGTGTGTCCGGAGTATCGATTCACGAGTTTCACTACACACACAACTTGTCGTCTGTTCGGGTCATCCTTATCACACAACATGGCGATCAAAAGCAGATTCATTGGTCAGACTGGTGCAGTCATGGGATTTCTACCAGACGTGCATCGCAACAATGTTACGGCGTTTATCTCTGAACTCGCCGGCACGTTTATGTTTCTGTTCTTTGCATTTGCAATTGCACAAGTTGCACATACTCCACCACCAACGGACGCCGATGCTTCACCAAACTTGTTGGTGGTCTTCTTTATCGCTCTTGGATTCGGCTGTTCGGTTGCGGTCAATGTATGGCTCTTTTATCGGGTCAGTGGAGGAATGTTCAATCCAGCTGTATGTCTGTGTCCTAGGAGGCCACTGAGTTACGTTCTCACAAAGGTCTATCCAGGTCACGCTTACTCTATGCCTCATTGGTGCTGTCCCTGCCTCACGTGGATGTCTCGTCTTTCTTGCACAAATTATCGGCGGGATAGCTGCTGCTGGAGCCGTATCTGCTACACTACCAGGTCCTATGGCTGTCAACGTTCGCTTGGGGGGTGAATGCTCGGTCACTCAAGGACTTTTCATTGAGATGTTCACCACTTTGCAGCTGGTATTCTCGGTCATAATGCTGGCAGCCGTGAAACACAAAGGGACGTTTCTTGCACCCATTGGGATTGGGATTGCTCTTTTCATTGGACATATGCTCAGTAAGACCAACAACTTACACCTAACTACTCAGCTAACGCGATGAAGGTATTTACTACACTGGCGCGGGTATCAATCCTGCTCGTGCGTTCGGCCCGGATGTCGTCAGTCACAGTTTTCCTGATTATCATTGGATCTATTGGGTGGGACCGATGCTGGGTTCTCTCGTGGCTACGTTCTTCTTCTATGTCCTTCGCGTCTTTGAATGGGAGAGCGCCAACCCGGGGCAGGATTTCGATGATCTTGAAGTTCAGATGCTATCACCACATAAGAAGACTTCAAGACCAAATGTTGCCCATGCGCCACCATCATCAATGGGAAGTACTCAAGGGTCATTTTCCTTGTACAAAGAGGGTACAGCAGAAGGGATCAGTCCTAGCAATTCGGCGCCTCAACGGACATCAGCCCTCTAAAAATGCAGAAAAAGAGTCCCATGCTCTTTCTAGAGACAAAAGTGCAACATGCTGGTGAGCCTGTCAAAGTACAACATCTAGAATATCAGGTCTAATCGAGGGTTTTTAGCATGATTTCTTCCACACTACTCTCCCTCATTTCCTGACCGGTGTACTGATGGGCTTCATCTGTGATAATTAGTATCTCACCAACTACTCATTAACCCACATGCATATATGAAGTCTCCCGCAGCCCACGTGAGGCCCCTCGAATTGCAAGTGTCGCGAAACGGGATCCGGAGGCTGGCACCGGTGAATGTGTTGTTCATGCTCAGATCGTGAATTGTTACGTGCGGCACCTGGCCAGAATGATGCATGCTCAATTTCATGTGTGCCCTGAAAGTTCAACATCTCATCGGGCCACAAGACTTGACGACCGGCAGGGGGTTGACTGGATATTAATAAGTTAGAATTCACGCACGAGCCCACGGTTGCAATGCAAATGGACAAAAATTGAACCTTAGACCGGGGGGTGTCGACGTCAATAATTGATTGAGGAGGCCATCATCGGCTCAATCCTTCTCGAACTCAGACCACTATTTGCCATGGGATGAGAGTCACAGTCTCATATTGAGAATCGATCTACTCGTGGAGTGCAGCGCATGCATGTTCCTGGGGTATATCAGCAGGCTCACGGACCTCCGCCTACACAGAAATACATCCTTAGAGTTTTGGAGTGTCAGAATCAACATTCTAGAATCTGTCAGCAGAAGTCAAAGTATCACGATCGGTCTCACATGGTTCTGGCAGCGAATCGAATTTCGTAGTAGCAACATGATCACAGTCCTATTTCAGATCAAACCTAATTCAAATATCGATGTTACTGGTTTATGGCTGGACGACTTCCGGGCTCTCGGTTCTCGAGACCGGGGGGCTTTACTGAGTTCAATGAAATGATATATTCATTATTCCAGCCATGTAAATACTGTGGAATGCTCTCATGAAGTATGTAACAACTGCTGTAGTATTCTCCGCAGGTCCTGCTGCTATGTAACCTGTGCCCATCTAATCCCATCTTGAGGTTGGCCGGCGCTGTAAAACACACCTAGACGATTGTGAATATGGAGGACCAAGCAAGTCCACGGTCTTCAGTGTCATCAACATCCTACACTTTTTCAATTCCAACAAATTTGATCAGAGCTTCGGTGTCAGGACCCCACAGAACCTCGTCCACACTGACAACGCATCCACCTGGGACTCTATCTGAGGGCCATCGTGAAAGCATCGCCGAAGACGAGCAGGACAGGAAGAAGAGTCGTAGCTTCAGCTTGAGGCCTGGGGTGCTACAAAGCAATGTGCGGCGTCCTTCTGCGATACGAACAGCCCGGCCGTCCCGATCCAGTGCAGCGTATAACAGAACTGCTTCGGTGGCAGCATACAATGCACTTGTAGCAAGAGATGAAAAAAATAAACAAAGGCGCGACACTCAACTGGTAGCGCCCGAGGATGCCCTCCTGGAGGAGGTCCCAGCAAACGCGCATGTCCAAGAACATGGTATAACTGAACCGCCCCGCGTTTACAAACCGACCATCTCATTTCAAATACCGAATTTCTCGGGCACAGAGGCGCCTGCGACTCTTGAAAAGATCCTGTCAGAAGAGTCGCCCCCAGATGACGGAGAGAAAGTGTCACCGGAAGACAAACCCACGGTCGACCGCGTGTGCTTTCAGGATACACCCCGTCGAAGCACCTTTTCTCGTCCCAATGCCGGGGCTTACCTTCGCAAGGCCAGTGTTGCTGTGATGGGGGCCATGTCAGGTTTTGTGACACGCGACCGGCAAAGCAGTATCAAACGCACTTACGAGAGAGCCAAGTTGAGACAATTGGAGATCCAACGAAGCAAGCCGGTGCAGCTCTTTTTCCGATACGCGATATATCTCGTCCTCGTATGTTTCACTTACTTTGTGCTGGTTGGAAGACCACTTTGGGGCGGTACGATTTGGTATGCTTATATCCTGATCGCCAAACACCTGACGTTCACTGGCGGTTCCGGAGTGTTCCTGGGAATTGCATTTTTGTAAGTAACATCAGCCTTCAACAACTTGGTGAAGAGGTAACTAATTACCTGGATAGATATGCCTACCTCCCTCTCTTGACACTGTTCGAAACGCAAGCTTCAGCGAAGGCTCCAGCCAATTCGGATCCAGAACGCAACCCATGTGAGATATCGGGCGGGTACAGCGAAGGTGCCAAAACCACAGCGCTTCTGATTCCATGTTACAAGTCAGCTTCACTGCTTCCTGCAACATTGGAATCAGCTCTTAAAGTGTTCCCCAAGGAGAACATCTTCATCCTCGCCAATGGGAACTCACCGACACCTCTGGACGACACCGAGTCTGTTTGCACCCGGTATGGAGTCAACCATACATGGGTACCGGTCGGCAGCAAGATAGTCGCACAATACGTTGGCTGCTACGTCTCCAAAGGCTTTCCATATGCACTTCTCATCGACGACGATTGTCTTCTGCCGCCAGATTTTCCGGTCGTGACGGAACGATTCAACGACCGAGTGAAAACCCTTGGTTACACCATCACAAGCACAGGACCAAACCACACCAAAGGAACTTACTGTCAACAGGCACAAGATCTGGAGTACAAACTCTCTGGGCTGCAACGTCTCTTTGCCGGAAAGGTGGGTAGTGCCACATTTGCTCACGGCGCCATTGTGCTATGGGACCGCGACTTCCTCCTCCAAACGTTCAAGCTGCACCCCGGCTTCAGCATCAGTGAGGATTGGTTCTTCGGTCATGTCGCACGATGCCAGGGCTCGAGAATCCCGATGTGCTCGGCGGTATTTGTCGAAACCGAGACGCCCGCTAATCTTTTCTTCTCCTCGAGCGGAGCATCGAGAGGCGGATTCGGCGAAATGACGGTCTTCAAACAACGATTCAAACGATGGAACTTCTTCTTCGTCTTTGGCATGTGGTATGACATGCAGTACATCCTTTGCAGCTGGAAGCTCAGACCTCTTTGGTGCGAAATCGGTGCCAAAATCTTTGTGTTCCAGGAGGTGTACGAAACGCTTCTATACCTCTTCACACCCATTGTCCTGCCGATTTCGTTTGCTGTCAGGCCCTTGTACACCTTTTATCTCCTCCTGGCCACGGTGGGGTTGTATGTGGTCAACGCCATGATATTCAATGAGATCCACTTACGCCTGACGGGAAGGATGGTCAATCGCGTCATGCTTTTGACATACTATATGCCTTTCAAATTGGCATTGACCTTTGTCAATGTCGGGAGTTGTTATTGGAGTATATGGCAATATGCAAAGTACTTCTCAAGGCGCCATGCGCGCATTATCGAAGATGACAAAGCTGTAGGAGTCGTGCTGAAGGTCGAAGAGGAGGAGAGCGGTATTGACGAGGAAAGTTCTTTGAGGAAAAATTCTAGCTCATCTTCCGCTCCTGCGCAAGCGCCGATGATGGGAGGAAGAAGGATGACTGTCACCGCGGTGGTAGTGGGAAACAAAGGAGTTGTCGTTCAGGATGTGGATTCTTCCGAGAAGAGCACGGCACCTGAAGATTCCGCCGGCGAACCGGAGTTGCAAGAAACTCATGGCGTGGCTACAGCGGATTTCGCTTATCGAAGTTGAAGACGATGATTTTGTAGCACGTAAAGCTTTGATAGCATGAACATTGTCCTCTTCCTAGTGTTTTAACTGGGCGCCACGCATCTTGACATGAGTGAATGTGCGTATGTGCAGGCGTGTCTGCGTAATGTTAACATACTTCCTGAGACTCACGGTGTTTACGGGCAACGTCTCGGTCAGAGCAGTCTCGCGTCAAGCAGCGTGGCATCCGTAGGGCAGAGATAATGGTTTAACGGAAAGGTGTGAGAAGGAGTTTTAAGACGACAGGTACAGTCGGAGTTACACAAGTTGCTGACTCAGCCAAGGACTGTTTCAGCCGCTGGGCGCGGGCAAGCTTAATACAAGTACATTGTATGGACGACTTGGGTAAGGCTACGAAGTCCGCTGGTTGAATCGGCAAGTACTCGTCACAGCGCGTCACAGCGAAGAGGAAATCAAGAAGGAAATGTCTATTTTCAATCAATTAAGCCATAAACCAGCTATATATCAGGTACTCCAATGACTGGTTTGTTATCCAGATTCATGCAAGCTCATGTGTGAATGGGAAAAGTGTTTTCATAGCAATGCTTTACAACATTTACAAAACCAAAGCAGCAACCAGAGCACCAATGGCTAGACCAGCCATTGAACCCTCCGCCTTGGGTGCAGCACCGGTGAAAGTAGCTGCGCTTGCACCAGAAGATCCAGTCGCTGTAGTCTCGGTTCCAGTGGCAGTGGCAGTGGTGTCACCACCAGTGGATGCACTAGCGGTGGATGCACCAGCAGCAGCGGAGCCAGTGGCAGTAGCAGAACCAGAAGCAGAAGCGCCACTGGTAGCAGCTTGGCTGCCAACACCGGCAGCACCGGAAGCAGTGACATTGGATGCGGTCGCGCTAGCAGAGCTGGAACCAGTGGCAGACGAGCTGTTCTTCGAAGCTGTCCCGGTTGCGGATGCGGATGAGCTGCTGGCGGTTGTGGAAGTGTAACCAGCAGTGGAGTTGCAGGCAAGATCGTACAGAGGCGTACCGTTGCTGCTGACACCGAAAGACGGGGAAGAACCAGAGTCGGCCAGGATGTACCACCAGAAGTTGATACCGCGGTTCTCGAGAGCGCAGGCAACTCCCTGCCAGTAAGTTTCGGCGTCTGCGGTAGAGGGAACAGCGTCGTTGGATGTAGGTCCAGAGACTGGCCAGCCAGACTCGGTCACCCAGATTGGCTTACCTCCAGCGACGGCTGCAACCTTTTCGTAGGCTTGGAAGAAGAGGAAAGAGCTGTTTCCGATGGTGTTGACATCGGTGGTTTGGTAGTATGGGTACTCGTCAAGGCCAAGGAAATCGCAGTTTGAGATGACTTCAGAGTTGGAGCTGTTGACGTAGACGTTCCATGTGTCGACGTGTCCAACGGGCGACGAGGATAGAGAAGTGCCGGAAATGGCGCTGCGAACTTGGCCGATGTAGTCGACGAGAGTATCGGGAGACTGACCAGCACCGCTGTCAGCTGCGATGCCAGTTGGCGAGATGCGGTAGAGATCCTCGCTGCCAACGGAGATGCCCACAACCAAATCGGCGAAAGAGGAGCCGTATGTTGAGATTGCGCTCTTGAGAGCAGTAAGCTCGTTGTCAAAGCTGGCCTGATCTTCCGAAGCCCACAGACCCAGCAAAAGAGTGGTGTTGGTATCAATGGCAGCCTGGATGGCATCAATAGGGGTGTCCGTCGTGCCATCTTGTATCATTGTGTATAATCTTGCGCTGGTAAAGTCCGAGGCACCAGACAAAGAAGCAGCAGTCTTGAATTGGCTGACGAATGTGTCGTAGGTCTGCTCCTGGGCGGCATAGTTGAAGCCACGAACGGCGGCAAGGGCAGTGGATGCACCACCGAGAACGGCAAGGATTGAGGACTTCATATTGCGTGTTTTGAATGAATGTTCCGACTTTTTAATTTAGCAACGAGTGTGGTTTGGATCGAAGATGTTCGATGAAAACGAATGTGTTAAGGAAAAAGAAGGGAAACAAGCGATTGACGCAGTTGAAGAAGTGATGATGAAGAGGGAAGAAAGAAGAGTTTTGCAAATGAGACTTTTGAGGTTGAAAAAGGCGCAGGCGAGATTTTACACAGGGACTGGCCAGCGTTTTGTTTGTCCCGAACATCGAAGCGCCAAAGCGCCACCAAAGAAAAGGATTATGGGGGTGGCCGCGCGGATCTTGAGGGTTATGAGCTTAGCGTGACTTAGGCGACGTTACTGGTGCCTGGTTCCTGCATTGGCACTGGTGGCATGGGTGGTGCCCAGCTAATCATCGGCCATCGCTAGCAAAATAAACTTGGCCCCACGGCGCCTACCGAGACCACAGACATTTTCCCCTGCTTCCGCCTTTTATTTAGCTACTGCAAGCCCCCTAAGGAGATTGCCGCCGAACAACTTCGAACTTTTGTGCCTTGCTATTGTGAGCAGGCTCATGAGTACCTGGTAATGTTCTCATTCGGATTCGATAATCATCTGAAGGCCTCAGGCTCTTCATCGTCCTCACAAGCACTGTCAAGCATGGCGACAACATGGACAAGCACGCCCATTTCTCAGGGGAATGTTGCCATCGCTTCTCCGACCACTCAATCGAGTCTAGGCGAATACATCTCAGACATTGACAGGGGTAGGAAAACAACTCGTGCCACATTGCCTGACGTCAATACTCCACACCATTCGATGCTACGAGTAGCTTTTGGAACAGGTGATCAGCCCATATAAACAGTCATAACCTCTCCTCTGCGACAATAACAAAATACGTAAATACCTCAAAAGGTAATTAGCAAACGGATTATGGTCGTGCACATCAATTCACAGCTCCGCCCAATTTGAGGCCATGGCGATACTTGGCGAGTGCCAGTCAACAAACACTGCATCAATGTGCTCCTTCAAACACGACTGTTTATATGATTGCTGAGCGGTTGTACCTGGTTCAAGTGGATGGCAAATTACTTGGATAGACCGAGTACCCGATTGCATCGTCAATGAACTCCGTCTCCCTCCAGCGGTTGACAATCTTCTACCATGCCGTGAACATCACATCAGACCTTTCCTGGCCGGATTGGTAGTCCGGGGGCCGAGTATATCTGATCAATCGTCTGCATCTGCTTGATGCTTTCCTCGTCTGTCACCCAGTAGGCAGGCTCACCACCCACAGCCACCTTGTAGCTTGCTGACAAACGCCTCGAGTTGGTAATTGTAGGTACTCCAATACGAAGCCCCTCCAGCTCCAGCCGAAGTTTGAACGTTACCCCATACGGGACCTCCAGAGTACTGGTGCTTGTATGTTGTTGTTCCGATGGCTTTGTCAGTGATTGAGATGTAGTGGTATACTACGTGAAGCACAAGTCAGCGAATGTCTTTCCAGCCTACCACCCCCGGAGGAAGACTCACGATGCGGCATCATCGCGTTGTAGAACACGATATGGCACTTGTCCGTCTCGATCTCGATTTGAGGCAACTCCCAGACGCGAGGAATCACGCCACCGAGCCAACCACGTGCAATATTGGTGTAAACGCGGCTGTGCACCCACCTGCCACTTTGGTCCTTGAACAAAAGTGTTGTTGTCATGGCTGCATCAACTCGCTTGTCCTTATCGTAAAGGCGAGCGACTGCTGAAAGAATCTTCTCCGGCACGCCGGCACGGAGAATGTACCTGGTGAATGATAGCGCAGGAAAGTGTACACCTGGATCACTAACGCCATGATGAGTGCGCTGCTCTGTTGGTCAGACAAGACAACGTATTGCAGATAGCCTTGATGGAAGTCGACTTAGATTCACAATGTCAATGAGGATATCAAAGGCCGCACGTTGACTGCGGTGATGGTTGAAGAATGACTCTGAACTATACTAATGATGATGATCAAAAACAAGAAGTGCCATCATACTCTATGCCCGATGATGTCTTCCTCCATGGACTTTGTGGAAGTATCACCCGACCATGCAAGCCAGACTCGTGCAACACAGTCCTTGGATACTTTAGGCTCTAAGCCAATCAGGATCTACCAGATGTAGGCTTCTACATGAGACATGAAGTTCTCATCCAACAAAACTGCCGTTCCCATCGGTCTGATAGAAAGTCACAAAGTCTGTCGAGTTACTGTAATCGGAGCTGGTATTACAAGCATTGGAGTATCCGCCGAACATGGCAGCTCTGGATGCTAGCCAGTCTGATAGTCCCTCTGAGCTGCAGCTTTCATCTGGTCCGTCATAACAGCCCGGTAACGTTTGAGGGGAGTCGTTCACCAGCACGCGATAGTAGGTTGAATTCCCACCGTCACCGAAGGTGCTCGACCTAGCCGAACAATTCATCCGTTCAATGGCGATGTTTGTGAGAAATGGCAGGATATTTGACGACACCCAAGCGCGATTGAAATTGATGCGGTCCAGAGGCATGCTGCTGTTCGGGTTGCCGCCAATGAAGTCCGAGTTGTTGAAGAGGCCCATTGCGACCAAAACTGTTGGTGGAAGTTCTCTATGAGTGAAGCTGACGTAGATGTCCTGCGAGTTCTGCCCGTCGTCGGAGGCAAGCAAATCCAGTGTCGCATTCATCCAAGGAAATCCGATGTAACCGCTCACTGGCTGGCCATAGCCGGTGTTGTAAAAGTACATGATGTCGTTGGTGTACTCAAAGCTCAACCAAGCGTCGGCTGGGAACACGTCCAGCGAGCAAAACGGAGACGACCCTCGGATGACAGTCTCGTATCCGCAAAGTTCCATCATCCCAATGATATCCGTGGAAGAGAAGTTGAACCCAGAAAAAGCCTGGTTCAGTCGATTTAGATATGGCGTCGCCCATCTGGACAGATATTGCTGGGACTGCGTGCTGCCAGCAGAAGAGGAATAGGCTGGACAGCTATCGTAGGGTGTAAGGGTGTTAGCTCCCCCTTCTTCATTTTCATAGATCTGCACCAAGGTGATGTTGTTATCGGAGGTCTCGTATCCACGGATAAAGGACTCGGCCGACACGACCGTTCGCTCGGCGGTGGAGGACCATACGGCTTGGGGTGATCGGAGATTTGGGTATCGGAACGACACTTGGACGCCGAGCTGTGCTGCTTCCAATTTTCCAACTCTTGTGAGATGTTCTTGTTCCGCGAAAGACGGGGCTATCCAGCTTGAGAGGAATGCAAGAGAAGGTAGATTGCTCCAATCGATGTTGGTATGGTTCTTCAGCTTTGCGAGAAAAAGACTGATATACGTCTCGTAGTCGAAGTCGTTTCTAGATGATCTTAGCATGTTATGTTGACCTGGTCCGGAAGACTTACGCATTGATGGCAGCGTGCCGGACCAAGTACGCTGCTTTTGTGACTTGACAGCCATCGGGAGGGCTTTGACTTCTGGGAGGATCATTCGGCTCGAAATATGGAGCAATGCCAGCTAAATGTTGAAGGGGATCGAAACTATAGCTGTCGTAAAGGATTGGCGAGAGAGCCGCACTCAGCGCAGGCAGAAGTGCGATTAATGAGTACCAGGTCAGTTCCATACCTGTGGCGAGGGAGACGTTGTGAGAATCACCAAAAGCCCTTTCCTACCTTGCCTTCATCTTTGTCCGTCGAAGTTTTAACCTTGACCTACATGAAAGCAGCAAGGTGCGCAGGTTGCTTCAATGTCATCATCGTGGATCAAGCCAAGCAGACGTAGAGAAGCTTCATCCAAGTTTGTCGCGTGCAGGAGCATCAGCCAAGAACAAAAAGTCTTGGACTGCGCTGTTCTCTTGCCATGGTAGACCTTCCTACCCCGCAAGCCCACGGACGGGGTGATGGGAACTATTTCAACTGCGAGTTGGTGTAACTTATGAATTGGTGTCCGACATCGATTCCTTTTCCACCTTTTACGAGTAGGGGCTTCGAATGATGTCACAAGGTCGTGTCCTAAATGCTGCCCTAAATGGCACGGGAACGCGTAATGCGGCGTGTGCCCGTCGTAGCCGATGGCGCGTTTGTACTCGTAAGTGCTGCCTTGCATTACTGAAGCCCTTCGATGTCTTGGCTCGCCCCAAATGCCGTGCCTCCCATCCCGTCCATCCATCTCACCATTTTGCTGACCATCCTTTGTATGAAGGCTTTTTGTTGTTGGCTTTAGCGACCGAAGCTGCGATGTCGAAGTAACTTGGGAAACACATCACCAACAATTTGTAGGGCAAGAATGAGATTCTCTAGTTCCGCTGGGCTTGATGTTCTGCCTTGCGACTTGCCTTCAAAGGCAGACGTAGACGACATTTGAGGTGGCATGAACGAAGAGACACTCATGCCGAACAAGTCTGCCATTTCCCCCTCGGGATCGAAGCGCCCTTGGCCCCGTCCTTTTATCGAAGAACCGGTCGACATACCTCAAGTAGAGCCAAAAGCATCCAGAGCATCATGGTATGCAATGGGTCTTTTCGCTCTATCCATTGCTGGTTTTTCACTTCAAGTGGTTGTCGCCTCGAAGCTATCATGGGCCAGACCGATTACCGTGCTATGGGGTGCTGCGGCCTTGTACGCGATCCTCTGTCGACCGAGGACAACGCCAATACCCTTGTTCATTGACTTCACATGTGTTGCTGCCGCCGGAGTAAGTCTGCTTGCTTACCACTTCTCCGGAGAGATGCTGGGCCGAGATGCCATCCTTACGATCTCGAGCACCGCATTGGCAGCCGTTGCCCTTGTTGTTGTCATCAACATGCCGCTTCGCGATCCAGCTCTGAGTCGTGTCGAAATCTGTCGTCCTTTCACATTGCCGACGAACACTCTCCGCTCACCGGAAGATAGTATGACGTTGTTCCAGTGGATGACAGTCTCCTGGCTGGCATCTTTGATCAAGGTCGGTAATAAGAGGCAACTGCACGATGAGGATGTTTGGCTCCTCCCCTACGAGTTTCAACACCGACATCTCCATGACGCTTTCCGTGAACTGCACGGGACTGTTGTACGGCGTCTGCTGGTCGCAAACTGGATTGACCTCGTCCTGCTGGCTGTTCTGGCCATCTTGGAGCTAGCTGCAAACTACTCCGCTCCAGTCATTCTGCAGAAGCTTCTCCAGGCAATGGAACATTTGCAGAGCGACAAACAATCAGCAGTGACTTTTGCGTTGCTCATACTCGTGGTACGATTCATCGCGGCCCAGAGTGCAGTCTTCAGTTTGTGGTTCCAAAGGCGTGCTTATGAACGTTCTCGCGGTGAAATGGTTACAATGCTGTATGAGAAGACTTTGAACCGGACGATTCTAGGTGGCTTGCCACAGGAGGACGAAAAGGCCGTGAAGCCTACCGAAGAAGACGCAGACGGGGTCCCTCATGTTGGTGACTCCGGCGCACTACCAGAGTCGGAGCAACTCCTCAGTGGTCAAATCAGAACATCACCCACCTTTGTCCGGCGCGCTCACGGAGTCCTTCGTCGAGCGCGGTCACTATTCAAAAAGAACCGGAAACGCGACTTGATCAAGAAAGAGCCAGCGTCCATGGGCAAGATACTCAACATGATGCGTAACGACGTTTACGAGGTCGCACAGCGTTTTTGGGAGGCACAGACCCTGATCAACAAACCACTTGGGCTCATTTTGTCTATCGTCTTGATTTGGCAGATGCTCGGGTGGGCAAGCATGGTCGGTGTTGCAGTGGTTGTGATTTCCCAAGTGTTTAACTATATTATAGCCCGAATCCTGATGAGCTGGGAGAGAAAGCGGCGACAGGCTACAGATGTCAAGCTACAAAAGATCTCTCAATACGTCGAGGCTATCAGGCATTTGAGATGGTACGGCTGGCATTCCACCTGGCTTGACGGAGTGATGTCAGCTCGACAGAAGGAGCTCAACCTGAAAATTATCACCAATCTATGGGGCATTGCCATCAGATTCCTCAACTCTTTTGCTAGTGGACTAGTCCCAGTGGCCACCTTTTATGCCTTCACGATTGTTGCAGGGAAGCAATTACGAATCGATATTGCCTTTCCGGCTTTACAGCTTTTTGCACTCTTGCAGACGAATATCCGGGAACTTCCAGGCCTGATCACTGTGTTGCTCAACGCATCGGTTGCTGTAGGGCGTATCGAGGAGTTTATCGCAGAGCCTGACAAAATAGACACCTCGGCCGACCAGGAAAGTGCCAATGGCCGGCTGGCATTGAGAGCTGCATCGTTCTCGTGGCCTGGCCTTCCTGCGGCAACCCTTCGCAATCTCTCCCTTTCGTTCCCGCCAGGATTGACGGTCGTATATGGCCAGGTTGCAGCAGGCAAGACGGCATTACTCCAGGCACTATTGGGCGAACTTGATCTTTGTGAAGGCGAGATGTTGAGGCCGACACAGCCAATGGGTTACTGCTCGCAAACGCCATGGCTACAAAGCATGAGTATTCGTGAAAACATATTGTTCCACACTCCATATGAAGATGTGCGATACAAGAAAACTCTCGAGGCATGTGCCCTTCTTCCTGATCTCGCCACGTTCAAGCACGGCGATCTGTCAAACATTGGAGAGAACGGCATCGGGCTGTCTGGCGGCCAGAAGTCGCGAGTAGCCCTCGCTCGGGCAGTCTACAGCCGAGCACAGATACTCCTTCTCGACGACCCCCTGAGTGCCCTCGACCAGCAGACTGCAGAATGGATTGTCACAAAGTGTTTGTGCGGTAGTCTCATGGAAGGGCGTGCTGTTGTATTGGCAACGCACCGGACTGATCTCTGTCAACATGTGGCATCACAATTGATAGAAATCTCTCATGGAACGGCAATCCTACACGCATGCGACGATGATTTGGCAACGTCAACTTCTGCGACGATTGCGGAAGAGCAAGACTCAGCGCAAGAGCCAGACTCCGGAAGGGATGTGGATGAGACGGCCGCAGTACCTGAAAAATTCGTGCAAGACGAACATCGTGTCCATGGTGGCGTCCAACTGGCCGTTTATTGGCAATATATCAAGGCCGGGACGCTGAAATGGTGGTTTATGGTGGTTATAACTGCTGCTGTATGCCGCATCAACTACGTTGGCGAGAGCTGGTTCCTGAAAGAATGGGGAGAAGCGTACAATCGGGTGAAGGTGCACACTCTCACCCTTCAGAGCTTCAATTCTGACGTCCACCTGCTTGAGAGTCCGATCTCTGGACTTTTTGACCGGTTCCCAAATCCTGCGGATAACGTCAGACCCTGGCTACTCGGCTTCTTCGTGATTGTTATGGTGGAAACTTTTGCCTTGTTCCTTGCCCAAATCTCGATGCTTTTCGTCACATATACTGCAGCACGCCGCATGTTCAAAGATATCATGAGCCGGATCAGCAACACGACCTTCCACTTTTACGACGTAACACCAGTCGGAAGGCTGATGAATCGCTTAACGTCCGACATTGGCACCATTGATGGCAACATTGCGGACCAGCTTCTGATTGTGATATGGTACGCCATTGCATGGATGTCGTCGATGATCGTGATTGGGAGCGTCACCCCAGTCTTCTTGGTCTTTGCAATTGCGTTGACGCTCGTCTTTGTGATGATCTTTTTACGGTTCTTGCCGACGTCACAAAGCTTGAGACGTCTCGAGATGGTCTCCCTCAGCCCGCTCATGTCCAACTTTGGGGCGCTGTTGAACGGCTTAATGACTGTTCGGGCATTTTGTGCACAACCCCAGTTCCAAGAACGCAACATTGAAGTTACAGATGCTTTCCAGAAGATGGATCATTTCTACTGGAGTTTGCAGGCTTGGCTGATGTACAGATTCGACACTTTGTCCGCCGTATCGACCTTTCTTCTAACACTTCTTGCCATCTTTGCCAACTTGTCGGCCGGCCTCACTGCCTTTGTGCTCATCGCGGCACAGAAGTTTGTCCAGTCGACTCATGCAATTTGCAAACAGTATGGACAGCTGCAGCTTGATTTCGTGTCCGTGGAACGAGTCGTCGAGCTGATACATATCGAGCAAGAACCGGCGGGCTCTATCAAGCCACCAGCAGCCTGGCCAACTTATGGTGGTGATATTGTCTTCGAGAACGTGAGCATACGTTACCAACCACATCTTGATCCGGCAGTTTCAGATGTCTCGATTCGATTTCGAGGCGGATCTACGAACGCAATCATGGGGAGAACCGGCTCCGGAAAATCCACCTTGGCCCTTGCTCTCCTTGCAACTATCACGCCCGAATCTGGCCGCATCCTCATCGACGGCATTGACATCTCCAAGGTTGACAAGCAAGCTCTGAGGACCAGGATCACATTCCTTGCCCAAGACCCTATCCTCTTCCCAGGGTCGTTGCGCCATAATCTTGATCCACTGGAAGAGCATTCTGACTATGCTTGCGAGGCCGTTATTTCGAGGGTGTGCGGCAAGTATGGCTGGACGCTGCATACTCAAATCGATAACAGTGGGCGAAACTTGAGTCAGGGACAAAGACAGCTCGTTGGATTGGCGAGGGCTATCCTGCGGAGGAGCGCGATCGTCATCATGGACGAGGCAACAGCCAGTATTGACATGGACACTTCTGCGGAGATCCATCGCATATTGCGAGAGGAGTTGCAGGAAAGTACGATCATCACAATCGCCCATCGTGCTGCAGCGGTGGAGAATGCCGAGTTCTGCGTAGAGTTGGCAGCCGGGCGAGTATTAAGACAGGGCGCACCCGGTGAGATAGGAGTGTAGGAGACCTCATCACGGCATTATGGGAGGACATGGACATGAGAAACAACACGCTTTTTTGTAACCTAAAGATAGACGGAGTGAAAGACTAGCTCTCAGACACTTTACCAATTGCTCTGGAGCATGGGAGGCAGGAGTACCACTGCCATTGCCTGACGACCGCACCTCGCTCACCGTGTTTTCAAAGGCGAGCTCGGGTCTCCTTAGCCACGATGGACGTGTTCAAGTATCCATGGTCGGTCTTTCTCTTCATCCTTCAATGCCCGAGTCTCACATAAGACGTTGTTCGTTTCCGCAAATCTTGACCCAGGTGTAGATGCAACGCGTAACATACAGTTCGCAAGGTCTGTGGGGAGAAGAAGCTTGGGGCCCCAGGAGAGAAGGTTTGGTCGTGGCACGGACGAAGGAAGATGTCAGCGACAAGTCGCAGTCCAAGGTGGCGTGCGACGGCGTAATGCTCTGATTTCTCGAGGGGCGTCGACGTCTGAGACAACAGAGGGTACACGGACTGTGGTACGGGAGAGAGTCGCAGGTTGAAAGAAAGAAGTGATTACACAATCTCACGAGTCACCGCGTGATGGATGTTACTCCAGACTTTTCTCCGGAGACGCGTTACACCAATAAGAAAGTCTGGTCAAAGGAAAACCTTGCGCTTTTTACCTATTGAAGATGACGTTACAAAACTCCCCTTTCTAGACAGTTCCTACTTTTTATTTTCGACCTTTGGCTTCTCGTCTTGACCTTGCTATTGTTTCATCGACTATCAAAGCTCGTGTTGCTCGTTCAGAAGGAGGGCTTCACATGACTACTGTCCATGGACAAGCCTAATTGCTAGCATTTCACTAGTATCGACCGCGTTCGTTCAACGTCATCTGTCCTTTGTTGTCACTCCCATCCGGCCTTACCGTTGCTTCAACCATGACTGACACGCCGAATTCTGGCCAGGACGCCCAAGCGGCACGCGTTATTTCAGGTCATCTGCCCTCTGGATATACGGCTGAATTTGACGCAGAGCCACATAATGGAGATGCATCGAAAGGCTCGGCCCAGGCGGAGCCGGAATCTTCGCTGAAACTACAAGGAGGAGATGTGCACCGCGATTTGTACAAGATACATAATCGAGGCAAATTGCAACAACGAGCCGTCACATTCTCGCACCCACACGTCTCCTTTGGCGAGGAGGAGAACGACCAGCCCTCAGTGGCGGATCAACTGGCTCCCGGTGGCTTCCGCCGAGAATTCGTGGTCAGGAAGAAGTATGGCCGTTTCAATCCCGCCGTTCTGCCGGTCACCCGCAACTTCGTCGAATTCCTCGCCTTGTACGGCAGCTTTGCAGGTGAAGATCTCGAAGACACAGATGATGAGTCAGCCGTCGAAGAAGATGATGAGGAGCAACGCCCTGCAAACGAGCGCAGACCGCTTCTGGGTCGACGCCGTACCACAGCTAGAGCAAAGCCAGGCGATGCTGGTACAACCAAAACCTTCTTCACGCTTCTCAAGGCCTTCATCGGCACTGGCATCATGTTCTTGCCAAAGGCATTCAACAATGGCGGCATTCTCTTCTCGTCCATGACCTTACTCATCGTGTCGGCCGTCACCACGTTAGCTTTTCACCTCCTGTTGCAATGCCGAGGACAATACCAGAAGAATGGATACGGCGAACTGGGTGAAGCTATTGGAGGTCCAAAGATGAGGGCTATCATCCTCGGATCCGTCACAATCTCCCAGCTAGGGTTTGTGTGTGCTGGTACGGTCTTCGTGGCAGAAAACCTCCATTCATTCCTGGAAGCCGTCACCAAAGGCGAGCAGCCTTTGTCAACCAATGTCCTCATTGCCCTGCAATTGATCGCGCTCGTACCGCTAGCATTCATTCGAAACATCTCGAAACTGGGTGTCGCAGCTCTCTTGGCAGATGTCTTCATCCTTGTGGGCCTTGCCTACATCTACTATTACGACGTTGCGGCACTTATCGATCACGGAATAGACAAGTCGGTCCAGTTGTTCAATCCGCAGTACTATACCATGACGATTGGAGCTGCTATATTCACTTTTGAAGGTATCGGCCTCATTCTCCCCATTCAGTCATCAATGAAAGAACCGGAGAAGTTTGAGTATCTCCTATGGATTATTATGCTCATCATCACGGTCATCTTCACATCTATCGGCGCGCTCTGCTATGCTACATTCGGATCGGCCACTCAGATTGAGGTCATCTCCAACTTTCCCCAGGATAATAAGCTGGTCAACGCAGTACAATTCTTGTACTCGATCGCTGTCATGGCTGGTACCCCGGTTCAATTGTTCCCGGCTCTTCGAATTCTCGAGGGCAAATTCTTCGGCCGCCGATCTGGCAAGAAAGACACCACAACGAAATGGAAGAAGAATGGGTTTCGCACTTTGCTTGTCGTCCTCTGTGTGCTGGTCGCCATTCTAGGTTCAGGCAATCTAGACAGATTTGTGGCGTTGATTGGGTCTTTCGCTTGTGTACCTCTGGTTTACATCTATCCGCCATGGCTGCATTACAAAGGTGTTGCTCGATCGAAGTGGGCCAAGGCTGGAGATATCGCGTTCATCGTCCTGGGTTTGGCTTGCATGATCTATACCACCATCATCACTGTTGTTAATAGTTTCTTGTAACAAAAGGGTCAGACGAAGCGTAAACAGGCTCTGTTGAGGCAGGATGCTGATCAGGCATCTCATTTGTGTCCAGACCAGGAAAGAAAAGGCTTAGCTTATTGCACGGGACTCTACAAATATCATCTGCTCGTCCTTCCAGGTAGAACGTGTAGTCGCACTCAGAGTGAAAATATGCTTCGAACGAAGCTAGAATCCATTGATCAGTCAGTCATACCTGCCTAGGTGAAAAAGGAGATCTCTGTGACCAACCGTGGTGGTTGAATAAGTCTCAAGCCGCCAATCGCCGCTGATTGCCGGTGTTTGCCGATGCTCGACGCTGGTCTTCCTCACCAAAGAACTTTCTCCACCACTACAGTAATTTCATCCAATTATCCTCGTGTGGCTCTGCATCTACGAGTATGCCCTTATCAATAATCTTCCTGGGTACTCCATACAGCGGACAAGGCCGGCGAATTTATAACATACTACGAGCCAGAAACCTTTCAAATGATATTTAGACATTCTGATCGTCTTCTATATTCCATCTAAGCATTAGCTTGACGAACTGCTTCTTGAGTTGTTGTGATTCGGCACGTAAGCTTTGGGGAAAGCATCCAGCATCGACAGCGCGACTTACACGGGTGGGCATTGAGCGATGCTGGTCCTCAAGGAAGGCGATGTCTACGGCCTTCTATCAAACATCACAGTCCTGGAGTGCAACCACCTGCTGACTACTCTTCACGATGCCTTGCGCGAATGTACCAAGGATAAACATCTGCCTCCATCCGAGCGCAGCATCCACCAGCCCGAGCGAGAGGCCATTACAACGAAACTAGGCAACACGAGCTTATTCATGCCGACCTCAATCACGACTACAACAGGAGTCAAAGTCGTGACCCTGAGCTCCGGTGGCCTGAAAGGAGCGATTAATCTCTTCACACCGGATGGCGTCTTGCTTGGCGTCCTCAATGCCGCGGAGGTCACTGCTTTCAGAACGTCCTTGGCCGTAATGATTCCGTTTGTACGATACCCCCATCCCAAAACCAACATGGTCGTATTTGGGGCAGGTAGACAAGCGGAATGGCATGTGAAACTGGCCTTACTTCTGGGCCCGGTGAAGCACGTAACGATTGTAAACCGGGGACCCCCACGGAGGATGGAGCAGCTCTTTGCAACTTTGCAGCAGAAATATCCGGATGTCAGGTTCGAGGTGCTTCTGAAGTCGGCGCCTGACTACGACTCACGACTACAAAAGTGCCTCCAGGACTCGGACTTTATCTGTGGTTGCACTCCGGCCACGGAGCCGCATTTTCCAGCCTCACACTTGGACAGCAAGCCAAGGTATATCTCGCTCATTGGGTCGTATAAGCCAGTGATGCAGGAGGTGGACTCGGAGACACTGCTGTCCGGCCAGCACATATACTGTGACACCAAGGAAGGTTGTTTGGCGGAGTCCGGAGAGCTCATAAGGGCCAAAGTGACAGAAGATCAATTGATTGAGCTTGGAGAGCTTTTAGACGATAAATCCTTGACCCCGAACGGCAACCTCGTCTTCAAGTGTGTGGGCTTGGGCATAATGGATCTTGTCATGGCAGGAGAATTGATTCAGATGGCACAAGAAAAAGGGGTAGGAATTGTCGTGGACGACTTCTGATTGGCGGACGGCTCGAGCGGCCCTTGGTATTGAGTCCTCACCCTCATTCGGTGCCCCCCAAATAGATCGCAATCTTCGAGTATGATCAAGGCGCCGCATCTGTCTCGATATGTGCCTGGCAGCCACCCAGGCAGAGACAGCAGCTACGGTTCCATGGTGAAGACACAGAACTCCTGCGAAGGGGGACATCATGGAAACTATCCTCCTCCGGGGTTTTGCGAACAGGCACTTGTCTCTCGACGGCGTGGAGCGCACCGAGCACCGTAATTCACCCTTGTGGATGCCGACTGCCGGACACGATAGTGTGTTCTGCTTCATTTGGCTGCAGTATCAGACAATTGACCGTGCCGAAATACGTGTATCCCAAGTCCCAGAGAGCATCGCTAGGGAAAGAAGGCTTCCTCTGATCGCTGAATCGGGTTCGACGGTTGGTTCGGTCCCTGATATCAAAAGTAGTGCTGGCAAGGCCTGCAATAAGTGTGGTCCTTCACCCAACCTCCATGGCTTCCGCCATCAGCAGATCTTCATCAGCGATGATCTCGTCGAATTCGTCGGCCGTGGCCGAATGACCATTGTGGTTGTTCTGCGTCGGTATGCCATTTACTTCGCTGTGCATGTAGTCGTGGAAATCGGCTCCCTCTCTGCCTACATCTCCTTGACCTTTCTTCAATGCTTGCTCCTTCTGGAAGGCTTCCAGCTCCTGAAAGCTCCAGCTGTCTTTGCCCTTGATCGAACCATCGGGTGCCTTTTGGGCGGCACCTAGGGGCTGTGCTATACTTCTGAGAAACTTCTTTGCCATACCAACGGCGGCATCCGTACTCAAGCCAGTCTGCCCATCATGGATTTCTTCGTTTATCCACCTCGGTAGTTGATTGCGTTTCTTTTGGAAGCGTCGATCAGCGAGAACCATGATTCCGTAGTCGTCTTTCCCTCTCAATACTCGACCCAGGCATTGCGCAGCATGTCTCATGGCGTCGAAAGAAAGAAAGTCTTGTTCTTTGATCCTATAGTTCTCTCGTAAAAACTCGAGCCTTGCTTTCAGGATCCTGGATTCCGTGTACTGAAAGGGTGCACCCATACACAGCACTGTGCGGCCATAGTGATGGTCAAAATCGATCCCTTCAGACACTTTCCCGCGAGCGACACAAAGCAAGATGGCACCCTTGCCATTCTCACAAGCAGTGCGATACGTTTCGAGCGCTAGGCTTGTCTCTTGTGCGTCAGGGGTCTCCACGAGAAGCAACTTGTAAGTCCAGATCTGGTCGAGAATGCCCATCCCCTGCCACATGCTGATGATCATCTCCATGTAGAGATAGGAAGGAAAGAACACCACAATACCGTCGGGCGTAATCTTTGCAAACTCAAACAGCAAAGCACCGTAGTTGCGAACGACGCCAGGGTCGGAACGAGATTGGAAGCCGGATGTGATCGCTTGTTGATCCGAACCACGCGTAACAATCATTGGTAAGAAAGACCGTCGTGCCAACGACATCGGATACGATTCCTGCGTAACGGTCGTGAAATTGAGCATCTTAGGGTACATCTCCAGAGGAGACATTGTTCCGGAGGTGACGATGACAGAGGAAAATCGTTCGAACACCGGCTTCATAGCGATTGACGCGTCCAGACAGGCAAAATGCAGTATGGGGTTTGGAACTGTTGCTTGTTCGGTCTCAAAGGGTTCCAGGATCAAGAGGAAACCAGTTTCGTAAGTTGCAACAAGCGTAGCAAAAGTGGCGACTTCCTGAAGAGGCTGATAATCTTCGATATTGGTCAGTTCGAGTGTGCGAACAAGCGAGGTCAGTCGTTCTGCGCAGAACCTCAAGGGCTTGCGCTCGATGAAGGTGAGTTCTTTCAGGTGAGAGAGGAATGATGGTGGAGTTTCCTGAATGACATACAGCACTTTCATGCGTGTTTTCAGGTACTCTATGAATCGCTTCAAGAAAGCGACAAAGTGCTCGGCCCTTCGGATGTTACCTGGGACGGCTTCTTTTAATAGGTCATCTGGTAATGTTGGGTTTGCCATGAACGCATCCTCTCGTCGAGCCTCGTCCGCTTCTCGGAGGCCTTGGACAAGTTTCTGGTACTCATCCTGTAACTTTTGTTCATCAGAGTCCTTCATCTCCTCGATCTTACGTTCGAGATTGTTGGCGCCGCGGGTTGCTTTCCTCAGGGAATCTTCCGTAATGTCAATCGATAAAGACTCGATACAGACGTTGTCAATGTTGTGAGCTTCGTCAAAGACGACGATACAATCCTTTGAGAGTTCTTTGGAGACACGTTCGGCGATTTTTGGGTCTAGAAGATAGTGGTAGGAGTAGATGATAACGTTGCAGAAGGACATCATTCTTCGCGCTGAGAAGTAGGGGCATTGCTTGTGGTCCTCACCGTATCGTAGCAGATCGTCAAGAGTGAAAACGCCCGGGGGAAGTAAATTGTGAGGCTCGAGAAGGTCCAGGTTCTCATGATAGACGCAGAGCTCGACATCTTCTCCTCTTTCTTTCTTCTCCTTGATGAAACCGGCAGTCAGACTGCGACATCTGGCATCAACCACAGCACCACTTTTTTCTCTCTTCACGGATGGATGCAAGCACAGATTCTTTCTGCTGGTTAAACCAAGACCTCGAAAGTCTTCCACATAACCTAGTTGTTCTGAGCGGTATTTCATCAGAGCTTTCAATTCAGCCAAAGCTTTTTCGATCTCGGACATGGTACGCGAGCAATATATCAGCTTTCGGTGCTCAGGGTAGTGTTGCTGATATGCGACAATGAGAGATACCAGGGAGACCGTCTTTCCAGTGCCTGAAGGCATTTCAAGAACGCAATGACCCCCAGCATCGAGGGTCCGCTTGATATCGCACATGTATGCATATTGCTCGGGGTAGATCCGAGGGTATGGGAAAAGCACCGGAAGGTCACTGTGAACAATCAGTCAAAGTTTCGATGCAGAGTGAGAGCAAGGGGCGCTGACTCGATGTAGAACTTCATGATGGCGCGACACCGCGAATTCGCAGGTCAGATCCGAGATGTATCGTTCCCGCATCAGAATCCAGCACTGTCGTGGCCTGCTATGCCCTTCAAGCAGCTTGCGATACAGTAAAGTCCGCTGTAAGTGAAGATCGCAGGCTGCACCCAAACTACGAGGTGATGAAGCAAGTCGAGTGTGCAGTCGTCAATCCAGTGAACGCCACTTGCAGGCAGGAGGACTCCTAACAAATTTTGGCACGCGGTCTGGTGCCCGCCGCAGGCACGACACCGCGATTGCGCTGCCTAAGTTTCATTATCGGAGACGTCATTAAGTGATTAGCAACAATTTTTGAGAGAGATCCCATTCGAGATCTTCCCCGCAAAATCACTACGCCAGGAACCCATTCGCACATGAATCATTTCTCTCTGACAAAGTAAACATTATTTCCGCATTCACGCTCTTGCCGCGAGGCCGACCGCGGCAGCATGAGCAAAAAGTTCCGAGCGCAAGCATCGAGCGCTCGTGCTGCTTCTGCTGCCTTTGGATCGTCCTCGATCGCTTTCGGGGCGCCTTCTACCGGCTTTCAAACTGCGGCTTCCTCGCTATCATACATCGCTGAACAGCCACACCTCGGCGCCATCTCCAATCCCAACCTTGTCGTCGCCCTGAGAAACTTGAGCAAGAAAGACAGCACTACCAAGACCAAAGCGCTTGAGGATTTGGAAGACTATGTGAAATCTGCAGAGTTAGCCGAAGCCATCGATTCGGGTCTTTTAGAAGCATGGGTACGCTCATCTCGTGGTTGCTGACTACTGGCCTGCTCACGCTTTACAGGTCTCTCTGTACCCTCGCACCTCGATCGACAATGCCCGCCGAGTCCGCCAACTCGCCCATACCCTGCAGGGATCTCTCACTGTCATCTCCGGTAAACGAATTGCGCCTTATCTGCCCAAGGTGGTAGGGTCCTGGCTGTCAGGCACGTACGATAGCGACAGAGCCGTCGCCAGAGCTGCCCAGGAGTCGCTCGGACTGTCATTCAATACAGAAGACAAGAGGAAAGCATTGTGGCATTTTTACAAGACCGCACTCATTGACTATGCCGAAGATGCCATTTTCGTTCAAACTTCGAAGACGCTCAGCGATGAACGCTCGACGACCACCGAAGATGCCGAAGCGAAGTTTGTACGCGTGGCCGGAAACGCAATGCACATGCTGAGTCAACTCATTAAGAACCACTTCTCTGGCAATGCAAGAAATCAAGCTGAGGCATCTTCGCGCATCAGCGAGGTGGTACAGAACAAGAAGCTGTGGCAATACTCATATCACGATGACCCTTCCCTGAGGAGAGCCGCGTGCACCTTGGTGACAATATGCGCTCAGTCATTGCCTGACTCTCTGGACTGGACTGCAGTAAGTGGATCTTTCGTAGGCAAGGCCCTACATAGCAGCCAGCTTGGCTCGTCAGGTCAATTATCAGAGGCCATACTCGCCTTAACGATGTTACGACCGGAACTGTGGACGACAGACTATACCTCTAAGACCACTGCGCTCAAAAGACTGCTGCAATACTTGAGGATGGGCTCTCAACGAGGTCCTGCATCCTTCTGGAAGAATATTCCTCCTCTCCTCAAGAAAATACCTTCACAGCTGTGGTTCGGAGATCAGACTGATGGCCCACTTCATGAGCAAACTATGACAAGTCTGCTGGATGCTCTGCAGGCTGGTATTACTTCCTCAGACGAGCCTAGACAAAACCTCGAGACTGCATGGTTCACGTATGTCGAAGCCTCGTTCTGGGCAATCAAAATGATTGATGCGGAAGAGTCCAAATCAGCCGTTTTGTCCAAGAATGTATTGCCCCTGGTAGACAGATACGTTGCTCCAGAACCCCAACAGTTGGGCGCTCTTCCCACCTCTTCGGGCGCTAGGATTGCTGGCAGTATACTTGACAACATTCTTGGATACGGCTTGCGGACTTCCTTCGAGGGGGCATGGCATCAATTTTGTCAACAACTGGTGGACAGCATGAAATTGTCAATGCCTGAAACTTCCAAAGACTTTACAAAATCCCAAGACGGTATTATTGCTCGATCTCAAAGACTTTTCGGCCTCAAAAGATTCGTGCTCGAAGCGGAAAGGTTGGGTGCTGCCGAGAAGACGTATGCGTCGACTGTATTTCAGCAGGCTGATGACGACGTAATGCTCGCTGCGATCGAGCTGTTGAAGTCTCGCAACGGCAAGCCTTATGCGGCTGCATGTATTCTCCAGAACATCTCAGCAAGCATCGATTCACCAGAGAGGATGCAGCCCTTGTTCGATTTTCTGCGTACAGATGGTTTGCGTCTGTTGCAAAGCCCCTCTGCAGAATACATCATGAGTATCGTTATCCGTACCAAGCAGGCCCTGGAGCCATTCGCTTCCGAGTTGATACGATCAGAGGATGGTAGCTACGCTACAAAGGCTCTCTCAAACCTCTTGCGTGGTGTGTCCGAAGAGGAATTGTCCAAGCTGGAAAATCTGCAGCAACTTGTGTTGCGCAAAATCTCTGAGGATTTGGATAACCCTTCAGTTCAGTTTCTGACGACGGCAATCTTTCAGAATCATGATATTCAGTCTACAGAATTTCGACGGCTCTGTGACCAGAAGATACTGGTGCAACTGTCATTAGAGGCGTCCCCAACTTCACAGCAAGCGACCCTTCAATTTCTTTCCAACCTCGTTACCAATTCTCGTTCGAGCCTTTCGACACTTTCGGATCTCTTGGGTGGCGCTTTACTCTCGAAGCTTCTCTTGTTGGCGGATTCTGACAATCCAGAAATTGCAGAGCTTGCTACATCACTGACCTCGAAGCTGAAGTCGGCGTCCTCGAGTTCAGGCTCAGCAGCTGCGTCATCTACACTGGTCGTTGCTGACCAATTGGCCGGTAGAAGCACACCATTGTCCATTTTTGCGCTGATCGACCTATCCAAGGAGATACTGAGAGACAGTCCTTCCGGTGCAAATGTGAGCGGGAGCCTCATGCCGTCCACTTCTCACTGGCAAGGGGCACTCAGAAGTCATACGCAGGGTCGCAGACCTCCTTCTCTCGCTATCACGAGCAGCCTTCATGGAATGTTGTTCATGATTGAGGAGGACGAGCACTCCCCAGCAGATGACGTTCGTGATGGGGACGAATTTTCCCTTCTTTTCAGACTTGTATTATACGCCACGAGGATGCTTTCAGATACGGCTATCGTGGAGCACCTGAGTTCGGAACACCTCCGGACTTTGTACTACTACTATCCACTCGCCCTACAGCTTGTGAACGAAAAACTGACTTTGGAGACTGCAAACAATATTTGGGAGAACACCAGCGACGAGGTTACCGAAGAGGCTGCTGCCATACTTTCTGAAGGAAACGCATTGGTGCAACAGTGGCTTACTGTTGAATCCCTGATCGAAATATGGACGCAAGACATGAACTCGGTCACTGACTTGACGTTCTGGTCGTATCTTCGCGGCCTCACGTTCGTGGACATCATCTCACGTTTTGTGGATGAACACGGTCCTGCGCATATCACGTCACTCTTTGAAGCTGAGTTTCAAGACATGCATCGGTCTCCGAAATTTGTGCGCTCAGCAAGTCTAATCGCCGCCTGCCGGGATCATATCATCAGCTCACAGCAAGGTCGAAGAACGCTCAACGAGTTAATAGCTGCATGCACGGACCTAAAAGCGAACTCCATGTCGGCAAACGGATTGCGATCCTTAATCCTGCTTGATCTGCTTCTCAATGGCGGCTCCGAGCCCTTGGAAGGCCTTCCTTCTCAACGCGTGGTTTTCCTCATGCAAGCTCTCTTACGGTTGGTGACTGATTCATCGGTTGCTCCAGAATATCAAACTCTAGCCATGAGACTGCTTGACCCTGTCTTGACATATACCAAGGATATCTATGGAGACCACTGGAGCCAGCTCGTGGAATGCATTGTGTCAATGTGGTGCGACGGGAATGCTTTGAATGAAGACCTACCCCTTTTACACGCCTCGTTGCGAATCTATGCACGCCTAAGAACCCTTGCAACATCCGAAGATAGTAATGAAGACCTCTCTGATACTTGGAATGCATCTCAAGAATCTCTTGGTGAAGGCCTACTGCAGGTTTTGCAAAACTTCGGAGCGCAGAGCATGCAAACGGATCAGCCACGACGCATAACTGCGGAATTACTGCGAAGACAACTATCACAGGTGTCTTTCGGCCACAACATTGACCTGTATGCCTTGCTTTCGTCGCCAGAAGACGCAATTCGCGCGGCTGCCTACGACCTGTTACATCGCTCAATTCCCGCTGGGCAGGAACAACTCTCGATGGAGGTAGCCTTGGAGAACAAGGCTGCAAGGTTACCTGAAGAGTTATTGTCGCTTCTGACAGATATTCCCGGTGCGACATACCCATTACGACAAAGCTATCTGCTTGGGTGGCATCTGGTTTTCGATCATTTTACAACTGCTTCTTACAAACTTCAAGAGATGTACGCGGCGAACATCAAGGACAAGAATGTGCTTCCAGGTCTTCTCGATCTCTTGTGTGAGATTTGTCGAATCACTAGTGGAAGGCCGTTAGACGCTTCCAAATTCGACCTCATATCATTCGAGTATGGCTCTAGTGACAATGATGAGCAAGAACAGCAGAAACTCGCTACGCATCTGTACTATTGCTGCTTGTTGTATTTACCAAGTCTTACGCGAGGCTGGTTCATTGAGCAGAAGAACCGTGTGAAGTCACCTTTGGAAAGCTGGACCCAGAGATACTTCTCTCCAACCCTAATGGTAGCTGCAACTCGAACGGTCACGGAATGGGCGGCGAATCAACCACAGGACGATAGCGAGGCCCCAGTCACTGTCAAGACCTCCCTGAGCGGATCTGAGGCAGTTGCGTCTATCGCCGTCGACCCCGAATCTCCGCCAATATCCCTCGCTATCTCACTACCTTCCACGTATCCGCTGGACTCGCCTACGGTGGCATCCCGCTCCAGGGTCGGAGTCTCAGAGAAGAATTGGCAGTCATGGCTAAGGACTTTTCAGATCATCATATTCAGCACCGGCAGTATTATTGAGGGCCTCATAGCCTTTCGACGCAACGTACAGGGTGCATTGAAGGGCCAAAGTGAATGTGCCATATGTTACAGCATTATTGGCACAGATATGCAGACTCCCAATAAGCGTTGTGGTACATGTCGCAACACCTTTCACGGGTCATGCCTATTCCGCTGGTTCAAGAGCTCCAATAGCTCGAGCTGTCCACTCTGTCGAAACAATTTCAACTACGCTTGAAGTGCGTATCGACCTGCGGAAGCCAGTCACCGGCAACTGTGCCTGGAGGGAAGTTCGATGAGAGACCTCCATTACAGCGTCAGTTTGGACGTGAAAGTGCAGAGTCATTCCATGATAGTGGGTGGTGGTATTACTAGATCCGAAGCGAGTCCATAATACCTAAGATAATGAGGAGATGCTTCAAAATAATCCACAACATCAATATAAGCTTCGAAGTTCAGACTGATATTTCGCTCACCTCGCATGAACTACGACCAAGATCAGCTCTACTGGTCATTGGAAAATTGTGAAGATCATTGTAAATGCTGGTAATGGGACCTGTTCATCAAAGACCCGGGTCACCGTGAAAGTTGCTGAGACAGCTCAACGCTCGGGATTAAAATGTGAATCCGATCATCGTCCCAGCATCTCATATGCCAAGGCGTCTTGCCAGAGATCAAGCAACCAAAATATCATGGCAATTGAACCACATCACCCGTTATGTCTGCACCATCAATACCGAATTTGAACACGCTGCGTAGTGGAGGCTTGCGAGGTCGAGGAAGAGGGCGGGGTGGTGCTGCGGCTGGTCCTCCGGGTAGTCAAAGGACGGCTCTACATGATGAGGTCGTACAAAACACCGACAACGATGCGGCAACTTCTCGTTTGAGCGCGGTCAATGCAGGATACCTCGAAGATCCCTTCGCTGGCCTACTGACACTTGGGGATGCTGTGTCAAGACGATTACCGCTGATGAATCGAGGTAAATGGTCGCAGTGCCTACCTTCATTGGCCCTCCTTTAACAGAAGATAGGCACCTATGCACGTACAACTGGGATTGACAGCATTGTCGACACATTTTTGGCGACAGGAGGAAACGCCCGCAAGCAGATTATATCACTTGGAGCAGGCAGCGATACACGATTTTTCCGCTTGAAGCAAAAGCGTCGGGACCTAAATCTTGCCTACCACGAGATCGACTTCGAGAGCAACACCAAAAAGAAGATTGCCCGCCTGAGAAGCCCACCCTTTTCCCGTGCCGCAAAGACACTCGCATCTGTGGACATGGAAGCTGCGGACCTTGTGGTCTCCGAGGACGGCGCGACATTGTCATCGCCAGACTATACCGTCCTCCCGCAAGATCTACGGCAGCTCCAGCACGGTAACGGGACCTTGGGGAGCGTCGATAAAAATCTATCAACTCTGATCATCTCGGAATGTTGTCTCATCTACCTTTCACCGCAACATGCAGATGCCGTCCTGCAATACTTCTCCGACCTTTTTCCGACAAGCACGCCTTTGGCGATGGTGATATATGAGCCTATCCGACCTCACGATTCGTTTGGCAGGACAATGGTCAGTAACCTTTTGAGCAGAGGTATCCACCTGCAGACTCTGGAGAAGTATGCCGGTTTGGAGGAGCAAAGTCAGAGATTGCAAAAGCATGGGTTCAAGGCCAGCAGTGATGGGACGACAGGAAGTTCGGAGGCGGTTGACGTCGACTTCATATGGCGAGAATGGATACCCACAGAGGAGAAGGAACGGATTGAGGGTCTGGAGTGGATGGACGAAGTTGAAGAATTTGTTCTCTTTGCCAAACACTATTGCATCTGCTGGGGCTGGCGGGGATATCAAGGGAGTGAAAGTGACCTGTGGCATAGGTTACCCAGTCCAACGAGCAAAGCATGATGGGCACCATACTACGGTACCTATCTGTGACACCAAACACTCAGGGCTTCCAGTGGTCCCATCCTCGGTGTACGGCAGCAGGTTATCCATAGTATTATCAGTCTGGATGATCCTGCTGGAGCATTGACACACAGTTGATCTCGTAGAAGACTCGCACTCATGCTACCATGTAGAGACGCGTACACACGTGATTGTTGTGATTCTTCCTCTTCGACTTGTTCCTCCTCGTACGTCATGCGATTCATTAATGGCTCAGATCGCGATCTCTCCCTCTCTGGCGTGTGCCACATTTGCCGATTTTTACGAGCTACTCGTAACTGTTGTCCCCTGTCAATCAACTTTGTCATCAGTCACCGGCACTGTCAACAAATGAATGATCATCAATTGCTATTTCACCGTCACTTTCTACCGACCATCTCGTATACGTGAAGTCATCGACGTCTCTGCGGTGTTGTGCTCTTCAGCCACATCCGCCGTCGTCTCACTATATTAACAGTGCTATGGTAATCATCCCCAAGGTTGCTCGTCTCCAAATCAGGGGCATTCTGGGGGCAGAAAGACTCCATGAGACCTGCGGCTGGCATCTGCATCACATTCGAACACACAGCAGCCGAGATGAACGAAAACGAAGACTGACTGCTTCGGAGCGGTCTCGTCTCTGAGCAAAGACCACCGTGGACGAATATTCAGAGGCGAGGACCCTTGCTGCCCTTCTCGATAATCAGTGCCGAGATTACGAGCAGCATTCCATGGCACCTAGGAAGTTGGCACCCCACAGCAACGGCCAGCAGACACAGAACCACTCGTCATTCGATGTCCACACGGGACATTGCTCGAGGAGCTTCAGCCACAAGCGGTTGAAGCGCCGGCTTCAAACTTATGGTAGGGGTATTTTTCATTCGCCCACTGAAATTTGACGCCGCTGAAGCGGGCCGCCGGCTTGACACGGTTTTGATTGACATGCCTGGCCATTCCCCAATCTGCAAAGTAAACAGTGGAGCGGCTATGCGCCAGCCTTGCATGGCTCGAGAGCCGGTCTGCTGCTACGAGTACTTGCTACAGATCAATTTGCACTCCAAGCTTCGCTTGATTTTGATCTGCGTCCCCTTTATCCTTTCGCAGAGTTTTGGCACAACCTCGTCCTTTCCTTTCTTAGTCTTGGGAAGGTTTTCGTCGTCGCTGGTTTTTGTTGTCGTCGACTTTTCTTTTCGCCCGTTACGCGCGAATCTGCTCTGTGAGCACCCACGTTCCTTACCACAACACCATTTGGAGTCGTCGCAACGTTGTATACAGCTCGCAATATCCTTCGCAAGTCGACGCTCATGCAACGACCACCATAAAACGAAGGCTACGATCTACCGTTCCCAATGCGCCGACGAGCGTTCACTGCGGGCGCAAGCGCTCTGCTGCTCCTCACTGCGTCAGTTGTCAGCGCGACACATGGAGTTCACGATCACCTTGAGGCGCTACACAAGAGACACCGAGCAAACCGCCATCTGAATGCCAGATCAACCGCCGAAAATGGAGAGCATGGGGTGGAGATGCGATCCATCAGCGAAAGCACCTCTCAAACACAGGTAGAGAAGCGTAGTGGACAATGCGCCTTTCCTACCAACGCTGGCCTGGTATCGGTCACTCCAAACGAGTCCAATGCTGGGTGGGCTATGAGTCCCGACCAGTCATGCACACCTGGAACATATTGTCCGTACGCTTGTCCCCCAGGCGAGGTCTCGATGCAGTGGAATCCAAGTGCGACCAGTTACACATACCCACTGTCAATGGTAAGCTGCTCACCGATCTTGTAATGCCTCTGCTGACCTGAGACAGGATGGTGGCCTATATTGCGATGAGAATGGCAATATACAAAAGCCGTTTCCCAACAACCCCTATTGCAAGTCTACCGAGACGAGCATTGGCGTCCAAAACAATGCGGGCGATCATGTGTCCTTTTGCCAGACAGTCCTCCCTGGGAATGAGGCCATGCTGATTCCCACCTTGGTGACGGATTCTGCGACCTTGGCTGCCCCAGACATGAGTTACTGGTGCGAGACCGCTGCACACTATTATATCAATCCACCTGGAATAGACACCGAAACTGCTTGCGTTTGGGGAACCAATGCTAATCCCTACGGTAATTGGTCGCCCTATGTGGCTGGTGCCAATGTCGACGCATCGGGGAACACGTACATCAAGCTTGGATGGAACCCGATCTACCTTGAAGAGGCCACTCCCTTCCGGAACGAGATGCCAACCTGGGGTGTCGAGATCGACTGTCCCAACGGCGGCTGCAATGGCTTGCCTTGCGCGATTGACCCCAGCAAGAACAGCGTCAACGAGATGGAGGGAAGCTCTACCGTTGGGGCTGGCGGTGCCACCTTCTGCGTGGTTACGGTTGAGAAGGGTTCAAGTGCGCAATTCATCGTCTCCAGTGCTGGCGGAAGCAGTAGTAGCAGCAGCAGCAGTAGCAGTGGCAGTGTCAGCAGCTCAAACACCAGTCCCAGCAGTGGCGCTGGCAGCTCCACGGCCGCCTGGACCAATGGTGGACAATTCTATGAGTCCTCCGCCAGCTGGTCAGCGTCCGCGTCCACCTATGCTTGGTCCGCGTCGTCCTCCACCACGACGACGCACGCGCACACCACCTCTGTCGCATGGCCCACAAGCTCGTCGACAACATCATCGACCAAGTCTTCCAGCACAGCGGAATGGAGTCCTGTCGCTTGGAGCTCAACAAGCACGCACTCCTCGAAGCAGACCCAATCAACTCATACACCCTACTACTCCTATTCCAACTCAACAACCACTGCTACCAGCAGCTCCTTTGAAGGGCTATCACAAACCTCCGTTGTTGTTGTTGATGCTACTGCGACTCCATCAGGACCAACCTCATCGGTATCACCATCAATCAAGCCTGCAACGGGCGCCGCTTCCTCCGCCCAATACTCTCTGGCCAGCCTGTTGTTTGGCCTGGCTCTCTATGGCTTGGCCACACTGTAAGCTTGAGGATTCTTCCCTTTGCACTTACAGGCACAAAATCTTCATTCACTCAGGCACGCCTTGAAATTCTGGCCGCAGCTGGACTTGCAGACAAATTGGCCGGTTGTACCGGCCGAGACTACCTTTCTTCTGTCAACACTTTTTCATACATGACACCTTGATCGAGACATTTCTTTTCTTGTACGCAGGACATTTGGAAACATTCTGGAAATGCTGGGGAAGAGTAAGTGTTACTCGCAGACCTCTGAGTTCGTGTCTCGAGTAGGGAATTCGAGCGCGAGGGAAAAATAGGGATAGTTGTCTGGAAGATTCTTGATGGAACGTTGTGGAAGCATATGGTTCGAAGCCTTTTATCTAACGATGACCACGTCTACCTTGCCTTGATTTGTTCCCATGGCAGGATCCCTTCAATCCTCGGGATAGGAGTTTGTTGCTTCGCTTGGGGGCCCGATTTGGGATATCTTTGGCTTGGGCCCGAAACTTGCAGATGAGCGAAGGTTCGAAGTCACTAAACAAGTTTGCTTGGAGACTCTGTAGTTGACTTTAATGTATATACTATGTATCGAGCATATACAATCAAGATTGTGCTTGATGTGTTCCCAGATACTGTATTGAAAGTGATGCGGCGAGGCTGGCCATTAGCAAAACTTCGGAGTCTATGTTGATTCCCCTCACAACTACCCACCTTGCCAGATGCATCCCACCAACGTTGCACAAACATCCACCACATGCTGCTTGACTGTACCATATCCCAATTGAAGGACTCCTCCAGTACCTGTCACAGACTTTGAAGAACACTCAAAGACATCTTTTGTGGACCAGCAATAAGCAGCGTGCTTGAATACACTTGCGCTCAAAGATCGAGTTCTCGTGCCTCCCGCCTACCTCTGTTTCCGCCTGAGAACAATCAAGCTGCAATCAGGATGCCAGCGGCATCGCCTCAGACAGTACGTCTCCAACAACCACTCCCTCAGATGTGCTTTCAGCTTACACGTTATGCCCTGTCCATTTCTGTTGCCTACCGGTTCACTCTACTCTTACCCCCTCATCTTATTGAGCACGAGACACCACCGCTCCTCTAACACTTCACCCGTAGGTCAAACTGAAATCCACCCTCCGCCTCCTCATTCCTCGCCTCCGAAATGCACAAAAGAAAGACACCGCGCTGTCCATCGCCTCTCGACGCGAAATGGCCGAACTCCTAGTCCAGTCCCGCGATGCCTCCGCACGCATACGAGTCGAGAACATTATTCACACCGACATCACGGTAGAACTAATGGAGATCCTGGAACTCTACGCCGAACTCCTCCTCGCCCGTGCAGGGCTTCTGGACGTGCGCGACAAGAACGTCAAGGAAGGCACCATCTCCGGCAGCGATGACACGGGCCTGGAAGAGGCCGCCGCCAGCATCATATACTCGGCGCCTCGACTGCCGCGGGACGTGCGTGAGCTGGGTATCGTTCGGAACATGCTGATCGAGCGGTTCGGCAAGGATTTTGCGCTCCGCGCCAGCGAGAACCAGGACAACTGCGTCCCCGCCCGGGTAGCGGATAAGTTGAAGGTCGACCCGCCCAGCCCAAAGCTGGTGCAGGCGTACCTGGAAGAGATTGCGCGGACGTACGGCGTAGACTGGCCGCCGCACAGAGAGGATGTGGAGGAGTTGAGCAAAGAGGTCGACGACGAGGCTGACGATGACGATGGCGTGGGAGGCGGGGCTAAGGAGCCGCCTTTAGTGGCTGACGGGGCGGCGGCGCCTTCGACGCCCGCGAAGCCGAACAAGATCGACATCGGTTCTTTACAGAATGCCACACCGCCGTCGAGTCTCGCTCTAGGCGGAGCGAAAAGTCCAGTATCGGTCGCTCCGCCTGCACCCAGAACCGACAATCCTAGTCCAAAGGTCAAATTACCAGGAGGCGGAGAGATCAAGCCTGACCAGAAGGCCAAAGCGGCTCCGGCGACGGGATCGACGACGAAGGCGAAGACCACGACTTCATCAGGAGGCGGAGGAGCTGCGTCTGCAGGGTCGGTGCCTGGCAAGGTGCCTACAGTGGATGATCTTGCGCAGAGATTTAAGGCTCTTCAGAGATGACAGTGGTTTACATTGTATAGATACGTTATGATGAGACTATGAACATGTGCTCAATTAAGCACTAAGACGACTCTACCTTGGGGCGGTCTCGTCCCATGGCCTTTCCTGGTGTTGTTGCACGCGAGTTATCCAGGCAGCCGTGTCAGTCATTGTGTCCATGGAGACGTCAGATTCGATGACAATCCGGAAATGTAGGGTTCGAACATCACAGAAATCCTCTCGAACGGACGATCATGCCTCCACAATGTTCGTTCGCGGCCCTGTTGACAAGATGATATCTTCAACAGCGCCCTGACCTAAGGTAGGATGACCTGAATGGAGGTGGAGTGCAGATTATTCTGCCGTTAGAAGGATGATCAGGTCGATTCGGCGTTCCTCCTTTGTGACCTCTTTGCCATACGTGTTTAGTGTCGGCACCCGACGCTTGCTGGTAATGATGATATCTATACTGCAGACAGTCTTGCTCGTCTTGATAGTCTGCAAATAGACTTCGGCGTCGCCTTAACCCTCACACCTGATGGACTCGCAATAGGACGCTTTGTACGACGAGGTGACTTGTCGAACTCAGTGTCCGACGCTCTTCTGTAGAGCGGTCCACAATATGTCTGTCTGCTTGCTCTGCCCACGTTTTGTCGGCCCTTTCATGGATGTTTTCACTTGTCTCACTCCAACTTATCCAAGTGTTCCAGTCTCGTCAGGACGACCTGCTTACTCGTCTCTTCAATCTCTCCGGCCAGAAAGACCTCGTCGAGCATAGCATAGACCTTGTAGAAGTTGAAGACGAGATCCAGCTCGCAGACGTTGCCAAAGAACTGATCCAGCACTTCGACGAAGAAATGGATAGCCTCAAGATACGCAAGTTCGTTGTCATTCGCGTCGACACATACACAGAAGAACAGGCCGGCGTACCGCCGATAGACTATCTTTGTGGACGACAGGTTCTGGCGGACAAGTGGTTGGGCATGGGAGGACGACGCAGACGTGCTGGGTGCGGAGCGAAATTCGACGAAGTTGGACTGGTATTTCTGGTCGCGGGGAGCGATGAGCCGGTGGACCTGATGCATTCAGTGTGTTGCCCTCTCGCAATGACTCCGGGTCTCTCACCTCGCCCTTCAACTTGACCTTCTCTTCATCTGTGTACGGCGCATACCACTTGGCTAGCCGTGTCTTGCCCTGGCGGTTCTGCACCAGGATGAAGGACAAGACCATCGCAGCGATGGGGAGGACACAGTCGGGTCAGCAACAGATTGACTCCTGCGTCGGCTGCCAGTAACTTCTCATCACTGGGAAATTGTGTTGGAGGGGGATGAGACGTGAGTTCCTCCGTAATCAAAGTCCGGGGTGAAAGTAGGATTAGGGGCTAGGGAGGCCTGCTCGGCATAACGGCAAGACCGATTGGCCGCCTCTAAGTTAGCCAGGCACTGCACCCAACGACAAGCCAAAACTGATCAAGGTTGGAGACACTTGAATCAACAATCCTTTTACTACGATACTTTTGAGGTCACCGTGCAGAAGCCCTTCATCAGTACAAGCGATGGCAACTCAGTCAAAAGAGGCGGATGAATGGCACATTATGCCCTAGCACGAGATATGATTTTGAAACTGCCTAACCTAGACATTATTTGCACCAGGATCTTGTCTGCAACGCCGTACTTGTAAAAGGGACCATCAACCCAGGATGGCTTCGTAGCAACTTACGATGACAGAACATGACCAGTCCACGAGCATATTGAAATAGTGCTCTCCGTTCATCCAAACGTCTTGTTCATGAACTTGTGGGCCAACTCGACGCCGACAAACGTTGCTGCATTCGCCGGCACGGCTCTCGCCAACGCAGGCCCGAATCCAGGGAAGAATGATTTAATACCTCCATTTCTGTAGAGACTGCTGATAACACCTCTGATCGTTGGGTTTCCTTCTGCAGTCTGTATTCTCGACTTGATCGTGTCGACGGGAAAGACTGGAATCCACATAGCAACACCGGCCGCACCACCCGCCGCCATGACGGCCGGCAGGCTGAGCTCTCCAGTCGCATTGCCATTCGCGTCCTTGGGACTCAGGCTGCGCTTCACATACTCGTAGACAGCAAAGTATGCGGCCGAGCCAGGTCCGTCTCGAGCCAGCGTCATGGCGCTTCCACGGAAAACAGAGCGGATGCCGCCTTCCTTGTACAACTGTCTGACAACATCAACTCCTCCGTTGTACTTGGGTTTCTCTCCCGGCGCAAGTTCTTTCTGGCCTTGGATCTGCAGAAGGACCTTGACCCGTTCGAAGGGCGCGGTGATAAGCGTCATGGGGATGGCAGAGAAGAACCCCGCTGAAGATATTTGAGCAATGCTGTACTGAGGCGTATTGTTCACCACGGGCACGGTGGAGAATTTGTTGACCAGTGACTTGCCCATATCGTATCCCCAAAAACTGACGGCGAACATGGGCGTCACGCCCACCAGAGGTGCAGACACACCGGCATATAGACCACGGGCCAGCCCTTCTCGGGCAATCGTCTTTCTGACCACATCCAAGGCGCCAGAGTATACACCCTTGTCGGCCGTCTGTAGTCGCACCTTGACCAGGTCGAAAGGATGACCGACAATGACGGCGCAGATACCACCAACACCACCTGCAGCAAGGGACCTCAAACCTGAGACTGCCCCTTTGACTGTTTCTTTCGCCTCCTCTTTGAGTTGTTCTTTCGTAGGGAGCTCGTCTACGGACGTGGGTATCGTTGAGGGCGCCATTACATATGTGACGAGAATGTGGTCGAAGGAGAATCCGACAAACAGGATCTTGTTGCGGTAGAGTACTCTTGGCTGGTCTGCTGCAAGGGTGGAAGGGTTGCTCGGTTGTGTCAAGGGCTTGCTTCTGTTCCTCCTCTATGAGCGCCGCACACGGCTAGTAAGGACAGTGGTGTATTGTCGCCAACGACCACGAGGAGCGGCACTTGCAAATCGCGTGCTGGTGGAGGACTCGTTCAAGGCGACATCATGGTCAATATGTTAGGCTGGTAACAGTACAACAACTTTTGAAAGATTCCGACACGTTCAGCCTACCAGCCTTTCCTAGAAATGTGATCAACGAGAGGAGAACTTTTTCTACATGAGATTTGAGAACGTGTGACGGCAGTGTGCAGGCCTCACTTCCACATGGCCGACCAAATCATGCCCTTTCCAGCTGTTACGAGCCTAAAGCTTTCAAGCCGAGGCTCGGAGTTTCAATCACCTTTGGGCCGTGGTGCCTGGGCAAGGCTGGGCATCAGTGATTCGTAGGCGTCACTGCGGGCGGTCCCCGAATGGTTTTCGCAGACATGGAGATACTCGGCAGTCTGAACAAAGATCCGGCAACAGCTCGGCCACCAGAGATCAAAGTGATGGAAAAATAGTATGTCTCTTGACTGTTTGTGTTCAAGGTTGTTCGGGTCTAGAAAAGTAGCCTACCCAGTCACGACGCCCCTGTTGTCCTCATTTTAATGTACAATGTGTGGTATATCACAGAAGCCATTAAGGCGTTCATGTTGAAGTAGGGTAGCGCGTAATGTACAGCGCGTTCAGTGCGGACGCGAAATTCCATGCACCGTCTTCATCATTTCTCCAAGTTTGTCACCAAAGATGAGGTGCGCTTCGGCCACCAGGACCATGGTGAAGGCAAGCCAGAACGCCATGACGATCAAGGCGACTTTGACCATGAGTTTCAGAAGGCGAATGCGGCTTGCCCAGGGAAAGCTTCTCCAAGCCTCAACCAGGCCGATCTTTCCTTGACCACCAATGATGGCTGGAGTAGTCTTGCCACCAAAAGTGCGGTCAAAGGGGACAATAGTTTCGTCCTCCTCGGGAAGCATGGATGCCGCCACTCTGACCAAGGTAACGCTAGCAGGAATCTGCAGGAGCACGAAGAGCATGATAGTCAGGAACATCGCCATAACTCCCTGTGCTCCAACAGCATATAGGTCTTTTCTGCCAGGCTGATATTCGGGGTTGTTCATATGTTTGAGAGATCCAAACGAACCACAGACAAGCATTGGCAGGATGTGAACGACCTGGTTGGAGGTTGCCCACAGCGCCACCGCCGGCGCAATCTTCGGCCATGTCTTGAGGGACGGAATGCGTTGATACCATTTTTGCGCGCTAGCCTCGGAAATGACAATGTGCACCCAAGTCATGTGTAGCGTAGCCAATGCCGTCTCAGCAACAATGGCAGCAAAGGCGACACCGAGTCGACTGTGAAAGATGCTGGCGATTATCCCAACAAGGAATCCGGTTGCCATGTTCCAGATCAGGAACATTGACAAGCCGCGGAGTCGAGACCAGTAGCCAGCACGGGCTCGAAGATGAAGGATGGTCTCACGGATCGAGGCTGTGATCGGCTTGTTGCGGACGAGGAGGACTTCGGCGTCATCTTCACCATCGTTTTGGGTAGTCTTTGGGGTCGTGGCCGCATAAGCCGGAGGATCGCTAGGTCCAATGACATCGACTGGAACATAGGCAGCCGTCTCGGGAGACTCGATCATGCAAAGAGTAGGGAGTAAGTGGCCGTAGGTGTAACCGATCTGAGCCGAGTTAGATACCAATTGGAAGCGAGCAAGAAGCATGAACTTACACCGAAGAGAAGGGCGATGAACAGCAGGCCGGTCGCAAAGAAAAGTAGAGCCGCCAGGGCCGGTACATGAGGAGGTTCATCATCGCCTGGTTGACCATGGCCACCCTCTTTTGCGGACAACAACCCATGCACGTCGTGGGCAGCTTCAATGCCGCGACGAAGCAGCTGAGTGGAAAAAGTCATGCCTGTCGTGGAAATATGATGAAGATACAGCCACGTGAGTGTCTGCTTACAGAAAGCAGGAAGGGGAAGAGGCAAGATAGAAATGGGAGACCGGCTTTATTGTAAGCAGGCAGGACAGTACAGTACGACCTTTGCAGCAGGCCAGGAGAGCACGGGCAGTGCCTAGCGTGGTCAGCCTAACTTAAGTTAATGCAGTCTGCGTAGTGAGTGCGTAAGCGTTTCACAGGCACAAAGAAGAACGCCCAGTCAGATGTTCTTGGGAGTCGGGAGTATGGCACAACCAACAAAAGAGCCAATAACGGCGGCCGCATCTGTCTCTGGGTGAGAGTATTTTTGGACTGCGCCACTCCTTGGATTGCGTGTTTGGTATTAGGCTTCGTGCCACGTTATGTACCACAGTAGATGTCGTGGTCCTGACTTTATGCACACTTTGGCTTTGTCTACGTCTATACTCTGTACTCCGTACGCCTGTGCGGATGCAGGCAGCTATCTGAGAACAATTGATACTATACAGAATAGTCACTGGTTTTATCACAGAGCGTGGTCATCCCTTCTGGCCCCAACTTCCAACACCAGGTGAATCAACAGTCTTACTATGTGGTACTCTCAACTTGCAACATAAGCGACTGCAACCAATGAAGATAAAGAAGTCACAAAACGTTGTTGTTCGACGAGAGTCCTTGACTACCATTGCTCGTGGCCGACCCCGCATCCTCTGATGGATGAGGACGCGCTACTGTATCCCTGATTACCATAGTACTCTTTCAGACCTGCTGAGAGAGGGTTACCCAGACATTACTCTTCCATAAGCAGGCTGCAGCTTGTGTGACATTATCAGTGCTGGATGGAATCATACACGGTAATACTACTTTGATCATGCTTTTGACGAAGATTAAGTCACTCGACGGTTGTTCTACTGACCAAGATGCTTGATGCTTTTGCGCCCTCAAATCACTTCAAGCCAATTTTCCTCGTGATGCGTCGCTGAATGCTGAAGACCATCTCCCGGTCCACATAGCTGACCTCACAGTCCAAGCTGCTCAAAGCTCTCCACCACCTCAAGCTCCTTCCTATCAGCATCCAACAGCGGCGGATTCCCAGGTCGGTCCACCACCTTAGAGACCATCCCTGCTTCAATCGCCGCACGAACCTCCTTGACGTTATCGCTCAAGAACAGAATCTCCTTCGGATCTTGCTCTAAATCCTGGGCTATATTCTCGTAGCTGCTTGCATCATGCTTGAGTCCAGCATTTGTCGTGTCGAACCAGGCCTTGATATCGTCACGCCGATCTAGGACGGCTTCAGGGTCGTCTGAAGAAGCAGGGTCTTTGATATGTTGAAACAGCAATTTTTGCGCGAAAATCGAACCGCTGCTATAGATGACGACCTCCATAGATTTGGACCATTGGTCCAGTGCGGCAAGGACATCCGGGTAGATTGGCGTTGAGTAAGCGTGGGACTTGTAGCCATCCTCCCAAAGGTAACCTGGGTTGTCATGAGCATTGGATCGACATTTCGCGGAATGGCCCATGGCAGAGGCGCAAAGTATTGCTAATGGCAGTTTCCTTACCTTGAAGATTCTTCAGGTAAGCGATCTTGACATCTCGCTCGGTAAGGTCCTTGACATGAGCTTCTAACGCTTCAGGTGATGATGAGGCCGACTCAGGAAATGCATTCCGGTAGGGCGTGAATGCCGGATCATCCCATTTTGTAGCCAGTACGTCCGGCAGAGCTTTCAGAGCATATGGGAACTATTTAGTCTTGTCAGCCGCTTGATCGTCTTGGAGATGCACTTCGAAAGCCTTCTCTCTGGCTCGTATATCGCAAAATTCCAGTGCACGCATATAGGTATCCTCACAAGCGTGTCTTTTACAAAGGTGATTGGACATATAGTACCCTCTAACATGATCCAGCGTCAGCACGATCCTATGATCGGTTGAATCTAAAGGTGGTAGGCCATTGCCTACCTATATCCAGAAGAACAACCTTGACAGTCTTCGAAGGTTGATCAGGCTCTTGCTCAGGCTCCTGCACAAGCTTCTCTGATTTTCTCGGTGCTTTTCCGGGACGAGGATCAGAATCTACCTCAGCAGCAGGGCTGCGTGAGCGTCTCTTGGTAGACCGTGTTGACACCATCGAGGATGACAAAGTCGAGGGTTTCCCTGTTCAGCCTCCTAGCTGTGCGGAATACAGTGTTCAAGCTCTCCTTGCCATCTCCCAAGGTCTAAATAGTATGAAGCTGACTCGGAAATGATGAAACTATTTGCTTCGGTGCGTTTAGGATTCACGGTTCCTCCTGAATCGGAGTTTCTCAATAATGGCTTTGATCGACCTACAGCAACCCACTTTAAACTCACATGTCTTTTTGCATGCGTTATACGGAGTATAGAGAGACTTCAACATCAACAAGACCCTCGAGCAGCTATACCGCACCTCACCACACCATATCCTGCCACTCATATATCAAACTCGTGGGATTCTGCTCAACAATCACAGACAAAGCCATCCGCTTCTTGGCCAACAAACAACCATGTTGGTTTCACAGTTAATGGGCACTTTGAGTGAAGGATTGTTCTGTAGCTCCGTAGTACCCAAAAAACCTCCTCATAAGAATGGTTTCACTTACCACCAACCAGATGAACACAAGTTCAATCTGCTTGGTGGAAAAGTTTTTTTGGTCATTCTCCGCGGGATCGAGAAAAGCTTCCCTCGGTGCCTTAGTCAGAATAACTTGTCGCTCAACAGTATGAGTCGTGAGGCGCAGACTGTTGAACTGCCATTGCTTCTCTACATCGGCGGCAGAACCCGTTTGCCTGATTCCTCGTGCTGCTGCCACACAGCACACTTGACCTGATTGTCATGGCGCTGCTTGCACTGCCGCACGTTCAGCCACTGTGGGTGTTTGGGGAAGATGACTCGTCCAACAACAAGACGCCTTTGTTTGTACATCGAGCTTCTTGATGTTCCTCAACACAAGCAGTTCAAGTGCCTCCTGTATGGTGTTCATTAATTCGAGTCCGCCGACCACTCGAGACATGTAAGACGCCATCTGAAGGATCATTGCTAGTTGTCCCGACCCTGTGGTGCAGTACATCCCGCTTCGCAACTGTCGTAGATACCACCAACGCCATGCTTCAGCCCTGAATTCGACATAGAGATGCGTGTCCTTCCCATGAACCGAACGCTGCAATGCCGTTGAGTATCATTATTTCCGCCACCACAGACCCGAAGCCTGCCATCGTTTTCAAACGCCTGGTGCCACAGGAGTATCTTGTCATTCTTCGCCGAGACTCTCGCGAACCATCCTCTGACACTTCCGTCTAAATCCTTTCGGATCATCCCTCCACATCTTTGCTGCATCAACGTTGGCTGCACTCTCATCGTTGGGACTGCTCAGCACGCTGATGACTGAAATTAGGATTGTTTCGGGAGACTGAACGGGTGACCATCGTTCTGCGGCGGACTCATATCCGTACTTGTCTTCCTCGGGTGGATGAAGGATGGATATGCAAACATCGCCGTTCGGATAGACGTTAGGGTGGAAAATGGGAGTTTCGAACTTCATCTTCGGCGGCATGAGAGGGTACTCTCCAGGGAATGATAGCCGTGCTTTGAAGAATCCGCCTGTGATCTGTCAGAACGTGGTGGTACGAAAAATCACATATTGATGACCATACCGCCATAGTATTTGCAGTCGTCGTTCAGCATGAGGACAACTTCCCACTCAAAGATATCATCGTCCACCAAGCCACAGCTGATTCCAGGAATGTCCTTGTCCGACTGCATTTGTTTCAACTGTCGGCGAAGTAGGATCGCAGCAGCAGAGGTAGCCATGATTCGCTCGTGACTGAATGTGTACTTATGAAGGCAGGTCGATATTTCGCAGGGGTTGCTATGGGCTCATCGATGACCTGACTGTGGGACTGCGAGATGGTTTTGCTGGTTGAAGTCTCTCGGTGGCCTCACAAGAAGAGAAGAGGTGATGTTGTTGGGCAGTTGTTCCTTGGACAAAGAGTGAATGACGAGGGTGAGTGACAGACGATCAAAGTTGGGGTACGTGCCCTTTAGCGATGTCATATTCCCATCAAGATAATGCGGACGGAATGAAATCATCAAGGTACTCACTTTGCGCGCACGGTGGCGCCATCGACCTTACAAACAAACGTACCTACGCTCCCGTCACGGGTAATGATAGTGTACGATGGGCATGCAGCAAACCGTTAAGGGAACAGTTGAAGTGATGCAAAGTTGAGTGGTGTTTGCACGGGGAGACGATGCTTTTGGACCAATAACTGGACGATCTATGTGCTGCAGATTGTCGTTCTATTCTTCCAGATCATCCCATGCTATTTAATGTTTCCACTCGTGTACCTGAGGTATGGGAGCACTTCTTTAACATCGGTAAACTTCTGCTTTGCAGCTTCAGTAGACACCGTGGGCGGCACGATCACATCGTCTCCGACTTGCCAATCAATCGGGGTCGTGACTCCCTTCTTGTCACCAAGCTGCAAACTGTCGATGACCCGGAGGACTTCAGAAGTGTTTCGGCCAACGGATGCAGGGTAGAGCATGGTCAACCGAACCTTCTTTGCCGGATCGATAATGAACACAGCTCTAATTGTGAAGGCAATGCCTTTCTCGTCGATGTTGGTCAAGTCTTGTTGGTCCACCATATCGTACAAGAACGCCACCTTTCGATCGGCGTCTGCAATGATTGGAAACTGCAAATTGCTCTGCGATACCTGATTGATGTCTTTGATCCATTTGTCGTGACTGGTAAGGTCGTTGGCACTGAGACCGATCATCTTCACACCACGTTTCTCGAATTCGTCCTTCAACTTCGCAAACGCTCCGAGCTCTGTCGTGCACACGGGAGTAAAATCGGCAGGGTGACTGAATAGAATCGCCCACGATCCCTCTATGTATTTGTGGAAGTCGATATCGCCATACGTGGTCTTCGCTTGGAAATTGGGCGCTATACTTCCCAGCCTGACCCGAGGTTGCTCGCTGGCAGGGGTCGCATAGCCCCGGAAGCTGTTCATCGTCGATTGTGCGATGACTGTAGTACGGCGTGACCGCACAACTGGTGTGAAGGAACGCAGAAAGGAGCGGGGAATTGAGGAAGCCATGATGAACCAGGCGCAATTATATGGTATATGAGAGGTTCTGGTTGTAAGGAACGTGAATCTGTCGACTCTTGAACTTCGTACGATGATTATTTGTTATTGATGTTGTGACGGATGGCGTCATCCGACAAAGGGTCGAAGATTGGGATCAACCACTATCTGACACTGCTCGACCACGGCCGCTTTCCAGCAATAGTCAGCACGAAGCATGTCCTTGGATACATGTCAGTGTGTCGTGACCGAGAAAGGGTCTGTCGCCACAGTCAGCTATCACCTTCGTACGGGTGCAAGCTTCAATTACTATCATGATGATCACTATTCTGGCATAATACATACTCCGAGGCAAGCATCAGACGAATCATGATGAGGAACAATGTACAAGCATAATCGGGCTCTTAAGGATCATAGTGTTCATTGTCAATGATTTGATTGCTCACCACAAATGGACTAGCAATCCTAGGCTGACAGGTGTAGTTCTTTGCTCATTCTCATTCCCCTGAACAACCTGCAACGGGGTTTCATCAGATCTTCGTTAATGGTGGCAGACATGAATCAAACGTCAAATCAGCTACCAAACAATTCTCGCTGGATGTTCAATGACCGAACCTCCAGCCACCTTCGAGTCTCATACGCTCTCGCTGTTCGCGATCTGCCTTGACCTCCTCCAGTGTCAGCCCGTCACCACTGAGTGTCCAGTTGGCACTGCTGGTGCGATCCCGCAGTCGCTTCAGTCGCTCTTTGTTGCCCTTTGCAAAGATTTCTTCCATCTTTAGCGGCGCTACAGGTCCGAAAACAGCATCTTCATCCATACCTTCCTGTCGAATGAGCTGTTCCGTCAGATGTCCTGGCGTTGCCCAGTCAGGTATTGGGAACGCATTTCCATCGTCGTCAGAGTCTTCGTCTTCCGAATCGGTTGGGATTTCGGGTAGGTTGATTGCATCTCCATTCGGGTATTGAGGTGAAGACTTGACAGTCTGGATCGTCTTCTGCTGCATGACTGATACTGGAGTCTTTGCGGGTGCCACCGAACTTGATCCATCCGCAAAGGGTATCTTGGCGCCACTGGCATATTGCTGCATCTGAGGGGGCGCTCCTCGGGTGGGAGGCTGAGGAAATTGACCCATATGACTCGATGACTGTGCCTGTGTATAGGTGCTGTGGTTGAAGATCGAAGGCTTCTTCCCAAGCTGTGATTGGCGGATAGGGGCGCCAGACACCATCGGACGTGGAGCAGGTTCAGCAAAGCTCTCCTCATCAGTCTTCCGTCGCTTGGAATCACCTTGGGCCAGGCCAGGGCCTCCATACTTCGAATTTTGTGGCCGCGACGAACCAGGCTCATCTTCGAGGGGTCTCTTGGCTGGCTTAGCAGGATTAGTGGGTAGCGGATGGTTGACCAGGGACCGGCCAGTATTCTGGTTGGCAAGACGTGAGGAAGGTCTCGATTGAGCCTGCCATGGTCAGTAAACATGTGGATGAGAAGGAGACAAAGTACCTACAGCTTCATTTGCAGCACGCTCCAGACGCTGCTGCTCCGCCTTGCGAGCCGTTTCTTGACGCTTGCGTTCGATGGCCTGCTGTTGAGCCTGCCTCTTTGCTTGCTCACCTGCGAGTCTTTCTCGTTCCCGCTTTTCCGCCTCTGCACGTTGCTTCAGCTCTTGCTTGCGTTGCTCTTCCTGCTGAGCAGCGCGTTTACGCTCGATTTCCCGTTTCTGCTCAAGCTTTCTCTGAGCTTCACGCTCGTCTTGCTCCTTCTTTCGTTCTGCTGCGAGAAGCGCTCTTGGCTTTGCCGGCTGACTATGGACCGATGCCTTCAGAGCGGTCGACGTGGCCGACTGTAGAGAGGCGGTACTGGCCTTCTTTGTGAGGCCAGGTCGTTTTGGTTCCGCGTTAAGCACCTCCTGCGTATTCGGCGCCGCATGGGAGGCACCAGGAGGTACACGCTGAGACAATGTCCCCACCCGTATCGACACTGGTGCTGGTTTGGTCTTATTGACCGGTGGTTCCCTACCCGGTCTCACGGGCCGACCACCTCTTCCTACTGCCGGTGCTGATTCAATGGTGTCTTGGTACGACGGCTCCTCCCCTTGACGCCTTGGGCTCGATTGTGCGGAGTATTCACTGCGGTTGAACTTCGCAGTCTGTTCATGGGCCTGCTTTTGTATCGCCGCCTTTCGGCGCTCCTTTTCGCGTGCCTCCTCCAATTGATCGTCCATTCGTTGCATCAAGTGGTGTTCTTTATCCTTTCGCTTCTCCTCCTTGTCCCGTTCCGTGGAGCTGCGAGTCTTCCTAGCCTGGCGAGCAGGGCTTGCCGGCAGGGGTTTGTCTTCGAGAAGAGCATTGAGGTTCGGATACATGCCAGGCATTGCAGAAGTTGCGGCTCTCAATGCGTTCGGTGATAGGGTTTCCAGCTTTGCAGCTGCGGACACGCTTGCACTGGTGGTAAAGAGACCCTTTGCAGTTTTCATGATAGATTGCAGTTTCGACTTTGATGCGCTTAAATCAAGGTATCGTTTCGGGGAGCCGTGCGGAGTTGTTGTGGTGGTCCGGGACGGATTCGAGACCGATATCGACTTTTGTGGGCTTGTCGCTGGTGCCATTGCTGCCTTAGCAGGCGAGGCAAGGGTTGCCGTCGACGCAGATTTGGTGTGAGCATAGCCCGGCCGTATCTTGCCGGGCTCCGGAGACATGCGTACAGGAGTCTTCATACGCTCTTCGTGCGCAATCAACTCTGGAGCACGAACATCAAACTCATCCTCGTCCTCGGACATAAACCCGTATCCTGTCGCTGTGCTCTTCGCTGGTGATGTCGCGGCAGCATTGGGGGAAGTCAGTGGTTTGATCCAGTCGTCCTCGTCGTCATTGGCAGGTTGGGCGGGAGCATCGGTGGCTTCGTTCAGCTGTGTTTCGGTCACTGTTACAGCTGAGTGTATTGATTTGGAAGGTCGTGGTGGGGGAGCCTTTCCCAGCATATCGATCTTTTCATGCAACCTTTGTGTCGAGGATTTGGAATAGGTTTGTACAGTCTGGGTCTCATCATCGGAGTCATCTCGGCCTAGAATCTCCACGTTCTCATCGTCCTCGTCACTCTCGACATCCTTCATTTCGAAGTCCTCGCTGTCAGTCTGTAGTGATTGCTGTTCAGATTGATGTGCACGGCCAGCTGTCGACCCAACGTACACATTGGTTTGGAGTTGGCGTGATTGTTCCACATGACTTGTCCGGGATACTCTGGCACCAAGGCTCGTTTTGACTGGTTCCCTTGCAGGAAGCGCTGCGAAAGTCAAGCTGCTCTTTCTGACAAGAGGTATATCAGGAGTTGACGCGTCCGATGGCGATCCAATCTCTTCCAAGTCCGGATCATCGGCTTTGTGTTCTTCGTCAGATGGGACAATCACCTGGGTATGACCATGTTCCATTTCTATCTCTGGGATTTCCTGCTCAGCTGATGTGGTACTGGGATCTGCCATCTTCGTAGTTTGATCCTCTGTTGCAGAATGGAATGAACCCTCGGTAGTACGATGTCCACCTTCAGTGACATCTTCCATGTGTTCGTCCGGCTTTTCTGTCGCATCGGGGATGTCGATGCCTGATCCTCGTACTGTTGCAGGAGCGGCTGGCTTTGAGCCAATGTCCAATTCATCTTGACTGGAGCCATGATAACCCGAATCTGTGTGAGATCTGGTGATGGCTTCATGGTTGTGTTCGCTTGAGTCGGCGGCTATCTGGAAGCGTAGCTTGCCCGGGCTCAGTTGCTTTAAAGGACTCGATCGAGAGATTGGTTTTGAGGAGAAGACATCACTTAATGGCTAAAGGCAGTTGTTAGACATTGGTAAAGAAGTGATAAACAGTCGACATACTATCCTGGCATCCGGGGCATTTCGTTTTCTTGTTGTGCGCGGTGTCTTTCCCCGTAGCTTGCCTGGTGTTTTGAATACATTTGTCACATCACTGTTCTTGGTCAGTCGAGCAACGGGCGCGAGATTGTCTGGGAGAGGGCTTACAGATGGCTCTTGCTGAAGATCTCAGACATATGTTCGTTTAGCCATTCTAATTGGTGCTGCGCCGGGTAGACCAGCTCGTCTTTTTCGGATTCCAGCAATTGGAGGGCATTCTCCTTCTCTGCTGAGATCCAAGCCGTGGAGCCGACGGCGGTGGTCCTGGGAGCCATGATCAGATCAGGGATCAACGCGTGGTTATATGATCGCGCCTCTCAAAACCTCGAGTATCACAGTATCACGGGCCGTATCTGTCATCAGCGAAGGTTCGACATTGCTGAAACACGAGATGATGACTTTGTTGAGTCGATGGTCATGCAATGCAGTGAAAGTGTAATAGCATCTGTTTATTTGATTCTCCAAATCGGACCTAGCGTATGTATCACGTGAATATTTGACTTGCTCCACCTTGACACTCGTCGGAGTACTCGGCCTTCTGCCGCATATTCCAATGCAATTAACGAACAAGAGCCGCTGATACTATGATCATCTCATCGTGGAAGGCTACCTACCAAGTACTTTGTCACCAACCAAGTACGGCCAGCTACCGTGCTCACGCACACCAAGAAGAACAGGCCAGAATCTCGGTGTCATCATTCAAAATGGCACGGGAATATGCTAGCTCCTGGATGGATAATTCGGTGGCAGCAATGACGATTCCGAGATTGCCGTCATCTTCTCGAATGCAGCCCTTCTTCATCTCCGAGACGCTAACGTGGTCTATAGAAATACTGCGATCTCGGAGTGTTCCAGCCCCGCATTAAGCATCCATGATCCTACTATATCTGACTGCAACACCACATTGCCGACCACATTCATCATCGATCTCTTCTTCACAGGCTAGGGACGACCATACCTGTGTTACAATCATGGCTACGAAACGTTCTGCTGCGCTTCTTTCGTCAAACTTCGTACTTAGACCTCATGGCATTATAACTTCTAGACCTCGGCTATGTCTTCGAGCTTCAGGTGGCCAGGGACGCAGATCCTTCTCGTGTACCAGACGACAACAGATCATGGAGATGAGCGGGTTTACCGAGGAGCAGTTGACCGTACGGGAAGCAATACAAAAGATTTGCGCTCAATTCCCGAATGAATATTGGCAACAACATGATCAATCGGAGACCGACCCCAAAGAACTGCATGCCGCTCTTGCCGCTGATGGATGGCTTGGTATTGCGCTCCCTGAGGAGTTTGGAGGTGCTGGCCTCGGCATCTCTGAAGCGACCATGATGCTGCAAACTATATCTCAATCTGGTGCCGGCATGGCAGGAGCTCAGTCCATCCACGCAAACGTCTACGCAACGCAGCCATTGGCCAGGTTTGGCAACCAGGATCAACTCGAATCAACCATACCAAACATCATCAGCGGCAAATGGAGAGTCTGCTTCGGCGTTACTGAGCCGAATACTGGTCTTGATACCCTCAAATTGACGACGACTGCCACCCGCAAAGGCGATAAATATATCATTACTGGTAAGTACAGGACTAAATGATCGAGTGTTGGCGCCAACGTATGCTTGACCTGGTGTGGTGCGGTGCGGATTAATCTGCTGTCAATATGTTCATCCTCTCCTTGCGATTGCTAACGACGCGATGTAGGTCAGAAGATATGGATCACTTGTGCGCAGGTCGCTTCCAAGATGATTTTACTGGCCAGAACAACACCTCTCGAAGAGGTCAAGAAGCCCAGCGAGGGTCTGTCGATGTTCTGCATAGATATAGACAGGTCCAACCCTGCCCTTGAGCTCAAGAAGATCAAGAAGATGGGCGGCCGAGCCGTTGATGCAAACGAGGTGTTCTTTGACCGTTATGAGGTTCCCGAGAACTCACTCATCGGAGAGGAAGGCCAAGGTTTCAAGATTATTCTACACGGGATGAACGCCGAGAGATGTCTCCTGGCAGGAGAGGCACTTGGTCTTGGATACGCGGCTGTTGAGAAGGCCGCGAAGTACGCTCGTGAAAGGGTGGTCTTCGGCAGACCAATCGGTAAGAATCAAGCTATTGCCCACCCCCTCGCGGATGCGTACATGAATCTCGAGTCGGCAAAACTGGCGACATATCATGCGGCTCGGCTGTACGACCGCAGCAAGGCGGACAAGTCGATTACTCCTTATGCCGTCGGAGTAGCTTGCAACAGCGCCAAATACTTGGCTGCGGAAGCAGCTTTCAAGGCCTGTGAGAGAGCCGTGATGACGCACGGCGGGATGGGCTATGCCATGGAATATGATGTTGAGCGATATCTGAGGGAGTGCTTTGTCCCAAGAATTGCGCCTGTCTCTCGCGAAATGATACTCAATTTTGTGAGCGAGAAAGTGCTGGAACTGCCGCGGAGCTATTAACGAGATAGTTGGGTAGCTCCTCGGTACATGTTGTGAGTTGTGGCGAGGCTCCGTAAAAGATGATGAAGGTTTCTTCGAAGTTTCAAGGACAAGGCTGCAGAATGCGGGGGCGAACTCGGGCAAGTTTTGACCAAAATAAATTTATTCCCCGCATCGCGATTTACGATCTTGCACATTCATAAATTTCTGTAGTCTCTGGGGCTCCTTGAGACCATCATTGCCTTCAACATGTCACGTATAGAGGAGCTTCCAGATGACTTCGACGAAAACCTCAATCTCAATGAGGCGCCTAGCGTACCCTCCATTGAGGAGCTGTACCAGCAGCACATCTCCGGCCCCGAACAGAAACACATCTCATCCAAAAGCTTCGAGGAAATCGTGCAGGACATGAGCAAGACACCTCTTTTTATGAATAGTCTCGATGAGGCGACTGATGCTGGTACGCTGGAGCTAAAGACTGCTCATGCGCATGGCTGAGCAATGGTGTGCAGATGGAGAGAATATCATGCTCGAGGCTCTCAAAGCTATGCAATATGAAGGAACCAAAGCAGAAGTAGCTCAAGGATTCAAAGACCGCGGAAACGAAATGGTGGCTGAGAAGAAATGGGGTGATGCGAAAGAGTTCTACACCAAAGGTATTGCAGTTTTGGAGACGAAAAGCGAGGACAAATGGGACAAGCCCGAAGACATGGAGGCAGAGACCAAGCAGTGCACCACGCTCGAGGAACAGCTTCATGTCAATCGGGCGCTCTGCAACCTGGAGCTGAGTATGCTTGTGCGCTCCTCCCACGGCAATTACTGACTGTATAGAAAACTATCGGTCAACTACGCTAGACTGCGCCGCCGCGCTACGTGTCAATCCCTTCAATGTCAAAGCCCATTTCCGATCAGCATCCGCCTTGTTGGCGCTGGATAAAGTGCTGGAAGCCCTGGATGTGGCCTCGCGCGGCATTAAAATTGATCCTGACAATGCGGCCCTGAAGAAGTTGCTGGACCATGTCCGAACCCGGGCCAAAGCAAAAGAAGAGCAGGACAGACGGCGCATAGCAGAGCACAAGAGGAAGCAGCAAGAGAAAGCTGTCCTTCAAGCCGCATTGCAAGCACGGGATATACACCTTCGAGGCTCAGAGCAGCCACCCGACCTAGAAGATGCACGCATACGGCTATCGCCAAACCCGTTGTCACCGAAAAGTCTGGTGGAGTTTCCCGTCATGCTTCTGTACCCCATGCACAATCAATCGGACTTTGTCAAAGCTTGGGCAGAGAAAGACGCCATCATACACCATCTAAGTTATATCCTACCCCTGCCGTGGGACACCAAGAACGAGTACACAGTATCCACGGTCGATTGCTATATGGATACCGTCAGCGGAGGCCTGATGAAGATTGGTAAGAAATTGACGTTGTTGGAAGCATTGTCGAATGGCAAGACGGAAGTGGTCGATGGATTGGTCAGGATATATGTCGTACCAACATCGAAGGCATCGCAATGGATTGACGAAGTAAAGCGAAAAAAGGGCAAATAATGGCCGATATGGAGAGTGGATTAATATCTCCTCCCCAACGATCACAGATGATGCCTAACAATATTAATGAAATGGGACGCTTGTCGTTCCGCTTTTCCTACGCCTTTTGCCCTCTACTGTCACACCCTTTCTTTTTTAGCAACCCACCCACTCCAAAAATCCGTCAGCCTTTCATCGGGTGAGGAGCCTACTCGTCTGATCAGACTCTTCGTCACCCCTAGCCGGCCTTGCTTTTTCCATTCTGGATAAGCCCTTAGTCCCATTCTATCCCCTGTCTAGTTCTCCACCCTGCGCGGGTCGGAGGCTGTCAGGGCTTTCTTTGGCTTCGGGTAGCCGCAGGACGCCACCTATCCCAGTCAAAACGCAATTCACCGCACAGGCACGCCCTCTCCCAGGCCCTTTTCGAGGCTTTACGCTGCCAGCTTCGAACGAGATCCTTACTTAGCTCACGCCCAATCAAGCATCGCTAAGACGCATCATGAACAACCCCGCCCTGCCAATGTATGCTCCCCAGAACCCAGGGCAGTACGCTTTCAGCAGTCCACAGGCGGGAGGTGCCTTTCCCATGCCCTCTACCGTCCCATTTGACACTACCCAGACTCCGTTCCAAGCGGGCATCATACCATACAATCAACAAAGAGCATCTCACCCTCCTCAACACCAGCAGCATATTCCCCAACCTCCCTATCAACAATATCCGGGGCAGGCTGGCCCCTACCAACAGCCCGATCTACATCCCCACTATAACCCTCAGAATAGAGGTGAGTTACATTACGCTTGTGTTAACACATGCGCTGCGTCTGGCTTCGTGCCCGAGTCTTGTTTGGTCGAAGAACATAGTACGCTGACAGGACAGCAGGTCATCCATCAAGTGGACTTTCGCCCGTTCCAGTCACGCAAGGCACAAATCAGTCTTTCACTCCTTCGCATTCCCAGAGATCAACACCGACTCCTCAAGCGCAACAGATCTCCTCTGCTCCAAGCGAAATGAACGTCGCAGCGAACGTAGGCGTCCCAGCGCAAGCGAATGCGAGCCTCGCTCAGCAAGCACAAATCCAGAACGCGGCGCAATTGGGACGTCCCATTACGCAGCCACAGCAACAAGCAGGAGGAGTTCCGTCGCTGTCACCACAATCTGCGGCTCGAGAGCGGGCGCGTGTATCGGTGCTGCTTGAAATCAACACTCATCTGCTGCAAGAGGTGGTTTCACTACAAGCTCAAGGAAAAGCAGGCTCTACGACAGGCCAGGGACAACAGTCGCCCACGTCTCCGACGTCAGCAACCGACGCGACTAATGCTTTGAACAATAGCCCGGGCGACCCCCCGAAGTCTGCCGGAGGACCCAACTCAAACTCTTCGAAGCCTGCGTCACAAGAATACGCAGATTGTATGCGTCGGCTACAGGCCAACCTCTCCTACTTGGCCGCCATAGCAGATGCCAAGAAGAAAGCGACCGGAGCCTTGCCCAGTGGACCGGCAATCATGGTGCCTCCACCGCAGCTGCCTCAAGTCCATGACTTGTACAAGAAACTCAACGCCTTGTTCCCGGAAGCCGGTCAATCGGTCGTGAATAAAGCCGTGGCATATGCGGCAGCACAGAGCCAGAACCAAAACCAGAACCCTGGCACCCCGTCCCAGCAGCTTGCCTCGATTTCGGCACAAGGTTGAACGGGATGTTTCGGTTGTCAGTTGTTCGCGGCATGATATCATATACTCAATATAGCTCACAACGAGCAAACTTTACGGGAAGCGACGAAAACACCATGTGTCATAATAGATGGCCGGCATTTGAGGGCCGGTAGATCCAACTCCGAGATGAGGAAGCAAGTCAGTATCGTTCGGGATCATCAGGTCGAATGACAGCAGGCAAGACAAAGAGTATCGTGATCTCCGCCGTCCGGGATCGACACGGTTTGTGCGGGTGGTTGGGCAACCCATGCGCTCACCACAAACTCACACTGCTGAATCAAGTGGCAGCGGCGGATTGCTCAAGGCAGCACAACGGAGCAGGGCAAGGAGGCCTGGAACGAGAACACATCTGACCATAGCAGTGGTGTCTGAAAAACGAGGGTTGGGAGAATGACAATGGACATTGCTGGGCACGTGAGTGGCACAGCTGCATGATCGAGGATGAGAAGGGTGGAGGTATGTAGAAGAAAGGCAATGGCTAAGGACCTTCGCATCTGTGTCTTGCAGACACTCAGTCCATGCAGCAAGGGACATTTCATTGCTTCCAGGTTGCCTTTCACGGCAAGCCTGTTTCCAGGAAAAGTTGCACAGTTGGACTGTTGTACCTCTCCAAGTACAAATAGATACCATCCTATGTTGTCATCCCGGAGTTCGTCGCACAAAACGATATAGTGTTGAACTTGGACGGAGGGGAGGTCATTAAATCCACCATGTGTCCTATCAGCTTGCTGTCAAGGCACCTGGTGTCGCGAACATGCTGGACCTTGAACCTGTATCTTCGATGTACTCCACGTCAGACGGTGCCACTTATTCTTGGAGACAGGCTGCAAGGTAAGAATGTGACACAAGGCTGAACATTTGAGGCTCTGCTCGATTTGCCTTCCAGAGGCGCCGCCAAGCCCGGGTGCAAAATGTGAAGCCTTATTATTTTACTTGTCATTGGCGCGCATCAGGGCGTTGAGCAAACGCAGCCTTGTGACCTTTTGACATTGTGCTTAACTTATGTGAAGAACAACAGCCTTTGCTTGCGTTTGTTCATTCAACACTCGTTCTTTGCGCATTCAATATCTGGATGATATCCAGCATTTGGCCCAAACGCATTCGGGCAATATTTAAATTTTGTAATACCTCTTCAAACGGAAACACTTATTCGTTCCCCTTCCAGCGGCTTTTTGCAGGAGTTCATAGGACTGCAACATCTACGCAACGCCTGATCCAGTTCCCAACAGTGCATCCAGCCCACAAGTCTGCAACTACCCGATCTTCGTTCCCCGAGTGCGCCAATCACTTGCGAACCCCACGATCTTTGCGACGAACCTACCATTCTACTTCTGCTATGGCATCCAATGGCGAAGCACGCCCCAAACGAAGAACAAGCCCGATCTCAGCCTTGGAAAGACCAAAGAAACAATTGAAACAAGAGAATGGCGTCCCTACACCTGGAGATGCAACCCCACAGAACGGTTCAGTCTACGACATCGGAGCAGACTTGAGTTCGTTGCCTGTCATCAGTACAGCAGCAGCCGCAGGCGACTCGCCCGAATGGCAGGCTACGATCGAGAAAGTGATCAAAAGCGTTGTTTCCATACACTTCTGTCAAACGTGTTCATTCGATACCGACCTGTCGACATCAAGTCAAGCAACTGGATTTGTGGTGGATGCGGAGAATGGCTACATCTTGACCAACCGCCATGTCGTCTGCGCAGGCCCGTTCTGGGGTTATTGTGTGTTTGACAACCATGAGGAATGCGACGTACGGCCTGTCTATCGCGACCCTGTCCATGACTTTGGTATCCTCCAATTCGATCCCAAGGCCATCAAGTATATGCAACTCCAGGCACTCAAGCTCCAGCCAGAATCTGCTAGGGTTGGTGTAGAGATAAGGGTGGTCGGAAACGATGCTGGAGAGAAGCTGAGTATCCTTTCCGGGGTCATCAGTCGATTGGACCGCAATGCTCCCGAATATGGCGAAGGATATTGTGATTTCAACACGAATTACATCCAGGCGGCTGCGGCCGCAACTGGTGGAAGCTCCGGTAGTCCTGTCGTGAACCTGAATGGCAATGCTGTTGCGCTTCAAGCAGGTGGCCGTGTTGATGGTGCTGCTACCGATTATTTTCTCCCACTCGACCGGCCACTGCGAGCCTTGCAATGTCTACAGCAGGGCTTGCCTGTAAGCCGTGGCACGATTCAGACTCAATGGATGCTGAAGCCATTTGACGATTGCAGAAGGCTAGGCTTGACGCCGAACTGGGAGTCTGCAATGCGAAAACACTTTCCTACTGTGAATAGCATGCTTGTCGCCGAGATCGTTCTGCCTGAAGGCCCTGCCGACAATAAGATCCAGGAGGGTGATATATTGATCAAAGTCAACGGAGAACTGTTGACCTCTTTCGTCAAGCTCGACTCTATCCTCGACTCGAGCGTAGGTGGCAAGGTCAACATATTGCTTCAACGTGGGGGGGAGGATCACGAGGTCACACTTGATGTGGGAGACCTACACGCCATCACTCCAGATCGATTTGTCACGGTGGCGGGCGGCAGCTTTCACAATTTATCCTATCAGCAAGCACGGTTGTACGCCATTGCCTGTAAAGGAGTATACGTCTGCGAAGCGGCAGGCTCTTTCAAGATCGACAACGCACTCAATGGGTGGATCGTTGATTCAGTCGACCAGAAGCCTACTCCAGACCTAGAGTCGTTCGTCGAGGCCATACGAAACGTCCCGGACAAGTCACGAATTGTCATCTGCTACAGCCACATCAGGGACCTTCACACGAGAGCCACGACCATCGTGCATATCGACCGACACTGGCATCCGAAGATGCGGTTGTCGGTTCGGAACGACAAAACGGGTTTGTGGGATTTCAAGGACCTCGGGAAAGCGGTTACTGCGGTGACTCCGGAACCGAAGTCTGGGGAGTTTATTCAGCTCGATGACCTGCCCGAGGCGGCTGCCATTGTGCGCTCATTTGTTAAAGTCTCTTGTTACATGCCTGTAAAGATCGACGGCTTCCCGCAGGCTCGTCGGACAGGGTTTGGACTTGTTATTGACGCCGAAAAAGGCTTGGTAGTGGTGTCGAGAGCCACTGTGCCCTATGACCTATGCGACATTACTGTGACGGTGGCAGACTCGATCCAGACGGAGGCGAAGGTCGTCTTCCTGCATCCGTTGACCAATTACACAGTCATACAGTATGATCCCAGGCTGGTGCAAGCACCCGTGCAATCGGCAAAGCTGTCCAACGACATGATGAAACAAGGCGCGGACACGATTTTCATCGGATTCAATCAAAATCACAGAATCGTGGTTGCGAAGACCGTGGTGACCGACATTACGGTTGTGGGCATTCCTGCAAATGCTGCTGCTCCGAGATATCGAGCAGTAAACCTGGATGCCATCACTGTGGACACCGGCTTGTCGTCACAGTGTTCTTCCGGGGTACTCCTCGGAACAGATGGCGTCGTCCAGGCATTGTGGTTCACTTATATGGGAGAGAGAGCTCAAGGAAGCCATCGGGATACTGAGTATCATCTTGGTCTGGCCACCAGTATGATCAACCCCGTCCTCGATCAGATCAAAGCAGGGGCTATTCCCGAATTACGGATCCTTAACATGGATTCTTATGTTTTGCAGATGGCTCAATGCCGTATCATGGGCGTGTCTGACGAGTGGATCAAAAGGGTCGCCAAAGCCAATCCGGCACGGCATCAGCTTTTTATCGTCCGGAAGGTGGACTGTGGTCCGGCTAATGGACCGAGTGACGGACAATTACTGCAAGAAGGAGATATCATCCTCACACTCAACGATCAACTGATCACCAGAGTGTCCGACTTCAACATTATGTATGACAAGGAATGGCTTGATGCACTAGTGGTACGCAAAGGAAAGGAGGTGCGCCTGCGAGTGCCGACCGTGCCGACCGAGGATCTCGAGACGTCTCGGGCTGTGATATTCTGCGGTGCTGTTCTCCAGAGGCCTCACCATGCTGTGCGCCAGCAGATCAGCAAACTTCACTCCGAGGTCTACGTCAGTGCAAGAAGCCGAGGGTCGCCAGCATACCAATATGGTCTGGCGCCTACCAATTTCATTACTCACGTCAATGGGGTAAAGACGCCGGATCTCGACGCCTTTGTCCATGAGGTGAGCAAGATCGAGGACAACACGTATTTCAGGCTGCGGGCAATGACATTCGACAACGTGCCATGGGTGGCGACTATGAAGAAGAATGAGCACTATGTGAGTAATTTACGCTGTTGTAAACCTGATACAGAAGGCTGACCCTTAGAACAGTTCCCAATGTCTGAATACGTCAAGGACCCTGATCAACCGCACGGCTGGAAGGTGATATCGTACTCTAAGGGCAAAAAGTCCGGTAGCAAGGACGATGGTGCACCGATGACTGCAGAAGCCATGGATGAAGGTGCTGATGGAGCAAGTGAGGGCGAAGAAGCACCGGACGAGCAATAGTAGAACCTCCGGTGAAGGCACGCAGGTCGAGACATGCCTGATAGCAGTCTCCTTCACCTATGAAGCATGATGCTGAGAAATGCTTTGGGATGAGAGACTGTGCTGCATTGTGGGCAACGCCATGAAAGGCCCAGAAACATACCTAGGTAGGTACTGTGTGTGTACAGTGCTGAATACGGGAATGGCATCCGGGCCAACTTCCCCGTCAAATAAGCTTGATGCCAAGTATCACATGTCAACGTGTCAAGATGATGCAAGAGTGGAAAAAAATCCAGGACAGTGGAAATGGACTGAGAAGCTTCTGGCAACCAGAGAAACACCCCTTATTACTATGTCATTAATGTAAACATCCAAACAGCCTTGACCAGCTCAGCCGTCGAATGCAACTACAAACCTTTATCCTGAATGTAGTACATATGTGATGCCATAGATGCCACCGTGTCGGTTTGTTGAATATGTAGACTGTCAATGACATGGCGGAAATACTGTACCTAATGGCTGTGAATAAAAGTGAGTGATTGTGCACGCGACCAGTTGCTCCAGTAAAGGATGATCAAACGAATAAGCAGTCAGGGCATCAAGGCATTAAAACAGGCTGCTCCCAGTAAGAACCAGTTAGAGGGCGTGTTTGTTGCAAGTGACGGTGGTGGTGGGAATTGACCCGTGCAAACCAAGGTGAATGGAAGGCGCAGGCAGTTGCGTCACAGGCTCCGGAGGCAGTTTAAACTGTTCGTTCACGACTGACACAACTTGGCCCGGCTTGCCATCTAAAACAGATCAACCTGTTTCTGCTGCACAACTATTTCCTCCTCTTTTTTTTCCTTCACAACTCTTCCACACCTTCGATCTCAATTCAATCCATCGAGTCCGACTCATATCCCTTGATTCCCATCTTCATTGATCATCCGTGAAGCTTCTCATCCCCCTACTCGACTCCTTCGTCGCGATTGAACAAGAGCTCACAAGCCCCCTCACGCCAAAATGTCGTCCATGCATTACGACCTCAACAACACCTCGATGGAGCTCCCTACACACACTGACGTGTCAACCTTTGACGGTGATACTTCAAGTGGTACCACTGGCACCACTGGCAACGCTCCCAAGTGGGATGGCCAACAACTGAAAGACGCAGTCACGAACAGTGAGGTATGATGCTTATTCTGCCTCAGCTTCCGGGATCCTAGAGCTAACATTACAGCATAGTTTCTGAGCAACCTTTGACGACTTCCTCTCCAGGCACTGATTCCTCCTAGATGCAGCGGCCGCGTATGATACTGTCCAGAATCATCCCATCACTCAAAACGTGGTGAACCACCCTATCACTCAAAACGTCGTGAACGGTATGCGTGTATCCCCAACAAGACAATGCACAACTGCTAACAAGTAGTCTCAGGACCTGTTGCAACTTCTATCAAGAACGAGGCTGGCGCAACTGCATCCGAATTCAGTGATCTTGCATCGTCTCGCCAACAGCCCTCGTACACCGCTGCCAACGACACTCCACTGACACGTATGCGAATTTTGTTCTATTTATAATGTTGTGCAACTCTAACGGCTCGCAGACTACCATTCCTTCTTCTACACCTTGTTGAGCGTGAGTTCTATAAGCTCTTCCTTGTGAATGACGCTGACAATTTGCAGTGGAAGAACAAGCGAGCTACCGGTGTCACCTTTGCCACGGCCATTGTCTTCATCTTCGCCTGCCGCTACCTCCCTATCCTTCGTTATCTTCTGAAAATCACATGGATGACTCTTGGTGGTATGTTTGAGAACACCCCGTTTGAGTTACAGGAATTGACTTTGGCAACAGTTGTCACACTTGCTGAGGCCTCTAGCAATGCTCTTATGGGTTCCAGCGTGGCAGGTGCCGTTCGACCTCGACGATACTACACGATCCCCAAGGAGACCTTGGAATCATCCCTGGATGACCTCGAGAACCTGATCAACTTCTTCGTCATTGAGGGCCAACGTATTGTCTTTGCGGAGAACATTCCCGTAACCGCAGCTGTGAGTATGCCTACTTTGTATCACCCATGAAGTCACTGACCACAACTCCAGGCCTTCCTTTCCGCCTTCCTGACGTACTACTTGATCAAGTTGCTTCCATTCTGGGGCATGTCGCTGCTGTCCACCTGCGTTATCTTCCTCGGCCCTTTGATCTACCTTGAGAACAAGGGATTGATTGATGCCCAACTTGAAAATGCCAGCAACGTCATCGGACACCAGACCAGCCAGATCAAGGATTTGACCGCTCAACACACAAGCAAGGGGCTTGATACTGTCAAGCAATACACCGGAACTGCTACTGCAAAGGCCCAAGAGTTTGTTGGAAGTGCGCGACAGAAGATCCCCCAACCAGCCACTGGCACCACCAGCACCAATGGCAGCACTACCGGCACCACCGGCACCACCGGCACTGGTAAGGCACCATTTCAGGAGAACGACTTCCCTTCCGCTCCCAAGACCGACCTTCCCGCCAGTTCATTGACCTCGGTCAATGAGTTCAATGAGTTCAACCAGGCGCAGACTGGAATCCCACCAAGTGCGAAGGCGACCTACGAAGGTGTCGCATAAGGTCGGCGAAACGGAACACCCCCTTCTCCGACATTGAAGCAATCGTTGGTAATGGACGAGTGGCAGGACGACAGGGTGATCATCAAAAGCGAACCAGGCATAAGGTTGCGAACTTCAATTGACGAATATGTACGGTACGAAACGGCAAGCGACCCACAAATGGGGCCTTCATAATGCTCCATCATGAAAAATCTCTATGGCAGTGGTTGAATGGGAGGCTTGTCGAAGCCTCTTTTAGTTGTGGGGAGAGTTCGAACAGTGGGCTGAATGTCAACGTCTCGGACTCTTCTCTCCTTTTTGTACGATAGATCGACAAAGGATGGGTTTGAACACTCAGGAATAGTATGCTTATTGATTTCGACGTGGATCCCTCGTGGCTGAGAAAGAGGTCACAATTTTCTTGCCTGTGCTGCAAAGTAATACTCGCAAACACATGCGCTGCCGGTATGATCACGTTGCAGGCTCTTTATTCCAAGCAAGCTCATGTGTCCTACGCTGTTGTTGTCCTCGAGACCATCGAAGTCGAACAGTCCGCGATGAGATCTGCAGCCTAATCTTGCCCCGTGGTAACCAAGGGCATTCCTGCCTGCAATGATATATATTCCATCCGACTTGCAAATCATGTCGCTTTACATGGTCCTCCTACCCATGCTCGAGTTGGCAAGCAGATCCAGATCACACAACACAACCCCGACAGTATTGTAGATTAGCATTCAAAGTCTTGCCCTAGCTCTGTCATCCTTGACCACGAGACCTTTCGTGCCAGCCCGGGACATGTCCCTCAGTACGCGACGCAGGATCTTGCCGCTGGGCGACTTTGGAATCTCATGGACAATCTCGACCTCGGTGACCCACTTGTGCCGCACCTTTTTGTCCTGGACGTACTTGATCAAGCCTCGCCCAACAGCTTCAGGCTGATCGCGCTTCGCCGATTGCAAAACCACGTACGCCTTGGGTCGCTCGCCAGAGTACTCGTCCGCGATGCCCAACACGGCGACGTCCTCGACATCTGGATGTCCGAGGAGGAGATCTTCCAGCTCGGCAGGCGCAACACCAATGCCTTTGACCTTGATCATCTCCTTCAGCCGGTCCGTGATGGTGATCAAGCCTTCCTCGTCGATGGTCCCGATATCGCCGGTGTGTAGGAAGCCGTCTTTGTCAAAGGTCTCCTCGGTGGCCTTCTTGTTGTTCAGGTAGCCCATGACGATCTGCGGCCCACGTGCCCAAATCTCGCCGGGCTCGTTGAGACCGCATTCCTTACCAGAGTCCGGGTCCACAATCTTGACCTCTGTCGAGGCGCAGATCGTGCCTACCCGAAAGGCATACTTGTAATCGTAGAACTCGGGTGGGTGGGCTGTGATGCATGAGCACGACTCGGTCATGCCGTAGCCCTGCTTGAAGCCGGTGCCTGGGAAGCGTTTCTGGAGCAGCGCAAGAATCTCTGCGGACAACGGTGCAGCGCCAGACGAGAAGCGCCGTAGTGACCTCAGGTCGTACTTGCTCAGGGTCTTCTCCTCGCGCACCATGCGGATCAGGATAGGTGGGACCAGCAGCATTTCTTCGAGCTTATAGTCCTGCACGGTCTGCAACATCGACTCCATGGTGTAAGCAGGCAGCATGTAGACGTTGGCGTTGAGCAGGACCGGAAGGTGTAACTGGTGCACGAGGCCGGTGATGTGGAACAGCGGCAACACGGCGAGGATGCGACGTAGTGTGTCGGGCGTAATCTGCCTGATCTGGAGGCATTGGGCGATCACGTTCGAGTGCGCAATCATGACGGCCTTGGGTAAACCTGTCGTGCCGCTGCTGAAGGATAGGTACCCACAGACATCCTTGTTCTTCTTCCCCGGAGGCAATTCAAATTGTTCAATCTGACCCGAGGTGCCATAGGATTTGCCAATCTCCAGCAGTTCCGCCATTGTGGTGAATCCCTCCATCTTGCCTTCCAGCAGGAACACGTGTTCCTGTGGGATCCCTGCGTTCTTCGCGGCGGCTGCGGCGATTTGCATGCTCCCGGGTACTGTAAAGAGAAACTTGGCTTCACCAGTCTTCAGGGCATAGGTCATCTCTTCCTCGTTATATGCTGGCGACGCACCGGAGACGACGCCTCCTGCGCGCAGCGTGCCGAACATGGCACAGGGGTACCACACCGTATTCGGGGAGAAGAGGGCGACGGTCTGGCCTTGTTTGAGACCATATTTCTTGACGAGCGCAGTGGATAGGTGTGTCGAGTGCGTTTTGAGGTCGGCGAAACTAAGGTGCTGCAAGCAGGTCAGTAACCTGGCACGACAAGTTCAGGGAGTATGCTTTTGCAATCATACCTCTTTCGTAGCGGCGTTCGTGTAGCCCTTGATGTCTTCGGGCTTGTGGTTGTTGAGAGGACTGTACTCCGAGTCGAACAGCCATGTCCACACCGGGAGATGCCATGGCACTGGAAACAGCAATGTCAGTATGATGCAAGAATGGGAGGGTCGGAGGTTGTACTACGGACTCTGTATGGGTGGCTGAGAAGACTTGAAGATAGGCATGGTGAATCGGCTTTTCTGGTGAGCGCACGATGGACGGACCTGCAGCGATTAGGAACAAGAAAAGACCTGCGGTAAAGCAGTCGAAAGTAATTTTGGGCTGATCAGGTCCTTGTAGATCCCGTGGAAGGGACCTGAGACCCTACTCGTACAGTGTTAGGTACCGACGAGCTGGGTGATTGTCCGTGGTATCCAGCATCCTCGGGCATCAAATGCCGCCGGAAGAGCGTCATCCTCGGTAGAATTCAAGATGCGGAGAAAGCAATAAATGGACAGGACACCGGTGATGTAGATGAGTGTGGGGGAACACGAGGCTGAGGCCAGCTACCACAACGCACGTGATACTCAGCCTTGCCTTCTTTCTATATTTCAGTCAACGTGCATTCATTTGCTTTGCTCGTCAAGTATGTCCAGATTATCCAGGGCGTTCGATCCAATGTACTAGCAGACTACTTTAGCCCAAGTGTACATACCCCAGTTCCTACATTTTGAGTAGGCTCCTCCAGCGCCAACATCAAAGTCCACCTGAAGATCGCGCCTTGTATGTTCTGCGAATCCCCGTTACCAAGCATTGTGGCTCTGTATGTTCTGCCCTTGCGCCTGAATAGCTCCCTAAAGTATGATCATACACGCGCGATGGTCTGAGAAGTATGGCTTCCTACTCCCGGGCTTTTCATCCTTGCGTACTGAACGGCCTTCAACCCGGGCTTCGAAAGTTCTCCACACTCAGTGTCGGCGTCTCAACAAGACTGTCGCGTGGCACACCTTCCTGTCTGCGTCTGCCGTAAAAATTGCGACATTCGACCAGAACCTGAGCCCACTCGGCCAATGCCCTTCCGCTGTAGCGAGCCGTTACCAGCTCATGGGCCCTGGGTTTTACCGGCCTGACATCTCTGGTCCTGGTTCTCATTCTTGTATCGCCGTCCACTCGGCCCGCAGTGCCTGTGCCCTCTCGTAGTCTCACCAGGTTCTCAGCCGTGTGAGGCAACTGAGGCGGCGTCAAGAGTCGACCGGGGCTCCCTTGCTCGGGACGAACCCGGTACTCGCCCAACGAAAATCTGAACGAGCAGGCCTGGTGTGGTGGCGTGATGGGACGTGAAGCTGGCTTTGTTACAGCGGTGGCGCTATTTGGGCCTGGAAATGCATCGCCGGAAACAGTTGAGCTGCCGTCATCCGGACTGCCTGGAGGTGTAACTTCTCCAGGTCTACTATTGCCAGGCGTCGATGCAAACATGTTCAATCCACGAAAGAGGCTCCACCGCTTCTTAGAGCCTTGCGCTGGAACGTCGGCAGCTGGAATGCTGTTGAGGGCCGACGAAAGATTTTGGTAAGCTGAACTCTGAGTGACCATCGCGGGAAGATTCGTCTCGGCTGCCATCCTTGAAGGTGTGACAAGAGGTTGATTATCAAGACGGAGGATCAACAGGACGCGGCTCGGCGCCGGTGTGCAAGGCGCGGACGATGGGAGTGGAAGGCCACGCATCTCAGCCTCTGCACTAAGGTATTGATAATGTGCCCAACACTTGTTGAGTCTGGCGGCCAATGTTTGCAGGATCTCGCTGTTGAAATGTCAGCATTTATTTTCCGAGTTGCGCAGCCATGCAATGATGTACTCACATATCCAGCTCCACCCCCGGTCCGTCGTATCTGGCAAGTCGCCAACACAACAATCGATAGAAGAAATGGCGCACCATGGGTGACCAGTGACAGAAGTTGTCTTCAAAAACCTGCGGATCTAACAACCACCCCAAGACAAGATCCCGCTTCCTCTCTTCATTAAAAATTAAGATCGACCATTTGTTGTACAAAAATGCAATCAGTCGTATCCTGGTCAAGGTCGTTTGGCTTTGCATCATCTGCTTGAAGACCTCTAGCCAAAACGGCCAGTCCAGTACCGGTATGTCATTATAAATCTGGTGATATCGAAACATAATGGGAAGGATCTCCTCCATAAAGTCGCATAAGACGAAGCAGGAGTCCGTGTTGTACATGGAGATCTTGCAAGTTGCAGCTCTGACGACGGCCTCGAACGAGTTGGCGAACAACTTCCGGAAAGGAGCAAAATCGGAATCGAGATCGCCCAAGACGTCTCTCAACAGTATTACTAGGCGGTTTTCCGCAATGAGACGGTCCGCGTTAGCTATCGCAACCGGAAGAGGAGCCATAGCATCCGGATGATCTCTGTCGAAATAGGGTCCTTCTGCCTCGTCGTCGTTCGCAAACCTTCTGTGGTTCGCTTGTCTGTAAATGGTGTCCTCCAAGACAACCAATATTTGTGCGCAGACGGGGACAAGTCCCGGAATACCCGCTCGCTCCTTCGAAGAGATAGCGCCAGGAAGGTAGTCAGCAACCAAGAGGTGATAGGATTTGGTAAAAGCGAAGAACAAGTCAGTATCGCGGCCGTTCCATCTCTTCAGCCATACCTCACGCCACCAATGCACTTTCTCCAAGCCTGGAGGCCCTTGGCGTCGGGGCAGAAGATGGCGGGATAAAGCTGCTTGAGAGACAACAGACAGGCTTCTCACAGGCTGTGGAAAATGACCCGCCATGGCGTTGGATATGAGGTCTAACTTGTCTCCGAAGCGAATGTCGAACTCATTCAAAACACGGCTTAAGGTGCCTGCCGCTAGATTCCACTGCCTGCACAGCATGTCTGCCACCCCAGGACAGAAAAAGAACGCATATGCGCAGGTTCTGCCCGCGAAGTTCACCAGGCTTGAAGGAGCTGCGCGCCATGATAGCCGATCGATCACAAAGGCCAGCTGGGAGAGCAAGTTTTGGATGAACATATTGCGGACATTTTGGTGGATGGTGTCGACTAGAAAGTCGGCTTCTTCCGATTCCAGCGAGTTTGTAGACTTGGATCGTGGGATTGAATTACGCTGCCGGCTGTCGGTGAACGAGCCGGGCATCTTCCACTCCGGCCTTGACATGATCATGCTTGCTGCCTCGAGGAACACAGGTCTTTCCGCCGGGGATATGGATTGATTGTGCGTTCCGTGAAGCATTTCAAGCAGACCAGTCCACCATTTGTTCAACACGACAGTCCTACGGTCGAGGTCCTCGGCTCGCAAACCCTTGTTAGATGGGTGCCCAGCATACTTCTGAAGAAATGGGACTAATATCGTGCGGAGGACCTTGGACTTTTGTATGCTTGGCCGCGTCTGGAAGTCCGTAAAGTCACCGTCGATCGAGCGAAAGGCGGCCCACAAAGGGTCTTTTCTCTTGAGGAGGTCACTTTGAAGAGTGAACAACCGGTCCGATGAACGTGGACTTGGCATGGGCGGTATCTTGGTAAGGGAGATTCTCGATCGTGATCGTTCATTGGAACTTAGCGAAGTGGAGGAAGGAGTTCTCGAAATACGCTTGAGGCTGGTCTCGCTTCTTCTCATGTTCTGCAAAACGTTGAGCGCGGGTCTTCGGGAGACTGGGGGCTGATCGGCGCCAATTTGGGACTCTGCCTCTTTAACCCGTACATCATCGTCTTCTCGGATGGGCGACGGCGAAGCAGACCTCCCTGTCGGTTCAGCGTCCTCGATCGAGTCTGTGGTGGTTGCGTCCTTACCCTTCCGTGGTGACCAGCTACGCTTCCTTCCTGGCATAACTCCGTCCTTGCCAGTGGGAGAGGAAGACCTCGAACCAGCCCATGATTTTCGAGCAAGCGTACGTATTGTTCCGGTGACAGAGCGACTGAGGCTTCTCGTTTGGTCTCCTCTGCCAGATTCCGCGCCCCTGCTCTCATTTGCCTGAGATTCATCCTCGTCTTGTGAAAAGGAGAAGATGGCACTCGACATTCTCTTCTTTGCCTTTTTTGACGCCTTGCGGAACAGCACCATGCCCGTAGACTGAACGCCGTCACTCATCTTATTCTTAGGCTCCGGCGGGAGTGCGAGGACATTTTCCGAGAACGTTCGTTTGATGGAGGTGATGGCAGGCTCTGTTTCCAATGCCGAGAGATATGTGTAGCTTGCGGACCGAGGGGGTGCAGTAGAGAGTGGTTCTTCGAGCGTTTCCGAAGAGATGAGGGAGGTTCTGGATGGAAGCGGACCGAGGACGTGAATAAAAGGTGTAGGCAAAACTTGTCCGTCAACCTGAGCGGACATGGCGATATCACTCTGCGCACAGCGCAGCAGAACTTGCTTGTCGTTGCAGTTACGCCAAAGAGAAGGCGTAGCCCTTATTCGCAAGCCTCGCCATTAGACGGAAATGCACATGGTGATGGCATTTTTGACAAGATGAACGATGTCAGCATCCAGTCGGGATACGCGGAATGCTTGCTGACTGGATGCGAGGCGGGACGCCCAAGATATAGATGGGTGCAAGTATGGCAGCAAACGGAGGGCGAAGAAGAATCCAAGATCTAACAAGACAGTGTTTACAACGAAAGACGAAGATAGGACATAGAACGAATGAATAATGAATTCAAGAATGAACAGTAATAAGAGAACCAGATTGATGCAGATGCAGGAGTTGCATGAGTGGAAATGAACGGTTTAAAGTTGGGATGGTGCCGAAGGGGAGTCGGCGTTGATCAACCATCAAGCGCCGGGGGTGGCTTTAACTGGCTTTGGCTTCCAATGTCTGGAACAGAGGGGAACCAGCACACGAGTACTTAAGAGAGACACCCTAGGCTTCAGGGATCTACCATTAGCGCTGTGTCGTCCGTCGTCTCCAGCCATGCCTGAGATATGATCCACAACGCCGACATAAAAATACATTTTGGATTTTTATATCTTTTCAGCAGTAAACGACGACATCATCTTTCGAGCTGCATATCATTTAAAGGTGTGTGCACGTACCCGATCCTCCGCAAAAACCCTGTGATCAATGTAAGGGGGCCACGCTGATTATTCTATACCCTATCTCACCTGAGGGTATGACAATCCACCTGTCAGCTCGGATACTCAGAGGTTCCGTATTTATGGGGCAATACCCTGGTCGAGACTCGTGTCTCTCTGCTGCTATCTAAACCCATGTCAGGTTGCCAACCGGAGTTCCTGCACTCTATGAAGCAGGACACTTCCGATATTGAGATCGATCTTCACCGCATGTTTCTCAATCTGGGCACATGCAGTGATGTAGATGTCTGGCATGCATAGACATGCAGCCAGATCCGCGCCATATGCCGTCCTTGTGAGATAGGCTACTAGTAAAGGGGCATGGCGAGTGTTCGTCTCATGGCACAGCTTGGGATACACGTTAATCTAGAACTCCGGAGCATGTGGTCTGGCGCTGCAGAAAAGAACATGGGTTTCGAAGCAGCTAGTCCCTGGTTTCTCAGGAATGCTTGTATACCTTACTCGGCGGCTTCACGTAGTCTTCCTGAGCAATCGAGACACCGCTGAACACAACTCCGGTTCGTACAATCGGAATAGGCTCTATAGCCGTTCGTTGCGTAGCATCGAGGATCAAAATCGTTTGCGGCCATGTGACGGTGGACTGGGAGAAGCATATATAGGGCAAGGCTACTGGAAACCCAACCGAACAATGGAATCCATCCTAAACCAGCCCGCAAGAGTCGTCTTGAAGGTCCTGAAAGATAACAGTGTTCTTTTATCTCATCGCGGGAATTGATTGTACAAGCAGTCTCCTGATTGCTTTGACTCCGTTTAATGGTGTGCACCGTCGTCTTCGTCTATTTTCTCAATGTCCTCGAAGAAATCCTCCTCGCTGTGTTCAGCGCTCTCACCAGGCGCGGCCTGTCCCTCGACCTCGACGGCTTGGTTTTCATAGTCTTTCATCTCGCTTGCCAGGTTGGTTTCTTCTGGTGACTTGGGGGTTGGAGGGGGTGTGAATTTCTGGACGTGGCCTTCGGCGTCGGACGCTTTCTGTGGCGGAGGTTTGTATGCTTTCAATTCTCGGAGATACAGATCTTGGATCAGATCGGCTGCGATCCATCAGTAACACCACTACGGAATTGAGCATGGTCAAACTCACGCATTCTCGCAGCCGACGAAACTGCAAAGCTTCGACGGGGAACTTGCAAAGTTCTGGAGCTCATACGAGCTAGTACACGTGTCTAACAAATCGTCAGCGTCAACTCACAGCATCCGCGTATATACATACGCTGACTCTCATCGATTGCGCCATTGTGTCGTTACTGGATGGTACAATGGCTGTCGACCGAGATCTCGAAGCTGTTTTCTTGAAGCTGCTTCGGACTGGGTCCAACAACTTTCTAGTCCTGTTTAGGCTAGGCCCCTTCACGTGACGCTTGGCACGTGCTGAGTCCTCAGCAAACCTTTCAAAGCGCCTCACTGCCTTCCACGACCTTCTCTCCTTCATCCCGCTCGCTTCTCGCCATAAGACACCACAGATTCCTGTCCGGACAGTATCTGCCACTTCATCATCACTCCCCTCGCGGTTTCGAAATCAGACTTCTTGCGCAACTTCAGACGACGATTGACGACGACGACTTTTCGTGAACCAGAAATATCATACTTTTCCGTGACTCACGAGACCTTCACTGGTTGAACGGTCAAAGTCAATCTATCGCCCACGAACTTGCGCGCGTCACTTTCAAATCACTGCGATCGTCTTTTTCCTTTCGATATTTTCGAGAGCACAAAGGTACTTAGCAGTTGATGAGAGCGACGGTTAGCTCCTTCTTTTGGGTTGTCTCATTAGCTTGTTGATGACCTGACTGACATTTGAGTTTACAGTGTACGACGATCCACGACCTGAAAGTCTACGTCTGCACTACCAACTCGTTTGCTCAAACGAAGAGGAGAATTGATTCAATAGCGTTTTCGCCTCTCGACCTTACCACCTCCGATAGAGTGACCAAAAGAACAGGAGTCACAAGGAGACACGTAGGAGTGATACTCGAGGAGACGGGCGGCTGGATCCGGATCCGGCGTTTGCCTGGACATAGCGACCGCACTCGCGGCTCTATATCCTCGACCGTCGCATGTACTCACCACTCTTCGTCAAAACTTTTGCCAACAACCACAACTTAGGAACCACATATCGTGGAATCAAAAGACGTCGGGACCAACGCATACAAGGGAAGCTGAGTGGACGTATCACGAAAGGCAATCAGCAGGAAGTCTCCTTGCAAAGCAAAATGGCGACTCCAACCACTGCTGGAATCGAGAACCAGCCACCTGACGCTCCGGCGTGGCGTGAAAATCTCAACACTCACCTGATCTGCCCCGACTGCAAGCAGATTCCGCCTGAGCTGATTGAAGAGAATGCCGACACCATATGTGCGAATTGCGGAATGGTCCTGGCGGAGCGCCTGATCAGTTACGAGTCTGAATGGCGTACTTTCAACTCGGACGAAGGCAAAGGCGAAGATCCCAACCGTGTTGGTGAGGCCGACAACGAACTGCTTCTGACCAACAATGCGGGTACGATGATCGGCGGAGGTGGACCAAATGTCTCCAAAGAGACCCGGAAGCTCAAAAAAGCACAGGCTATGCAGCTTGAGAACAAAGCAGACAAGGCTTTGCAGTCGGCCTATGCCCAGATCGAGGCGTGGGGCGAGAAAGCGCGGCTCACTGCTCCTGTCAAGACTGCTGCCAAAATGTACTACAAACGCGTGTACGAGGCCAACGCTCTTCGAGGCAAGCAGCAGGATGTCATCCTAGCTGGGTGTCTCTTCATCGCTTGCCGACAATTGAGGACGCCCCGTTCCTTCAACGAGATATTTGGCTTGACCTCAGTCCCTAAGAAGGAAATCGGGCGGGCCTATAAGAACTTGGAGAAGTTTCTGACCAAGGCAGCCCATGACAACATCCAGGCTGTTGAGGGCAGTGGAGGAATTGCCAATCGGGAGATGCTGGAATACCGTGGCACACAGTCGACCAAGCCGGAAGATCTCTGCGGCAGATATTGCAACATGGTCGGTCTCAACTTCCGAGTCGAATCCATTGCGAAGGCGCTTGCCAAGAAGATTCCGACCATTGAAGGTCTGGCTGGTCGTAGTCCTCTTTCCAATGCCGCAGCGTGTACATACTTCGCTAGCTGGCTGATTGGTTTTGGCAAACCCAGCAAACAGATCAGCGAAGTGGCAGGTGTCAGCGATGCTACTATCAAACACGCATATCGCTTCCTCGTCCAGGAGAAAGAACGCCTGGTCGAGGAGAGTTGGCTCGGTGAGCAGCCGCCCCCTCACGGAGGCTTCGGAAAGCTTGAAAACCTGCCCAATGCCTAGAGCCTGCATTCGACAGGCAGGCCACCTTGTCATTCCTGCAGCAAGTCGGAGCTGTTTGGATGTCGATGCTAAAGCGGGGAAGCCACCCCTATCGAGCATTCCTGGGGTTTCCATTATGGGGATACTGATGTGAAATGTTGTGCATGGTGTTGAGGGTTTGCTTTTTTTCAGGAATGAAATGGGAATGGTGGAAGTAATCATTCATGGATATTGCGACAATTTGTCCTTGGCTAGGTGGTTCCCGACTGGACAGCCTCTCGACACAGCAGCTATTGACCCAGGAAGTACAGAATGATTTGCAGGCAGCAGAGTCAAGCCATATGTGTGTAGCCGAAGTACCAGAGCTAGACTTCTTTTCCAGGAGATCTTTACCTCCCATTGAAAGTCAATCGAGTACTCCGCACTGCACCTTGCAACACCCCCGACCGTCTTAGCGCAATGATGCCTTGTTTGATTGTCAAATCATCGTTTGCGAGGTGGGCAGCATAGTCGTGGTTAACCCCTCATACAAGCGACACAAAGGTGTTTGATGAGTGTCTGCTCGAAACTGAGGCACACGTTTTTCATACCACAGGGACAACCCGAGGAGTGACTTGTACCAGTAGGACACTCCATGGGTAGTCGGAAAGTCCCCGTGAGGTGTAGATGACGAGCATATGGTATATGGAGCGACCCTGTTTCCAGGAAAAGTGGCACTGTCTGACCCGTGTCGCTTGCCCAGGTTCACATAGTTACCATTGCATATGGTCATCCCGGTACCTCAGATAGAGGAAAACTTACAGCCTGCACCATAAAACCCTACTAGGTTGCTATCAAGGTACCCGCTGTCGCGAACTTGCTGGACCTTGAACTATACATCTTCGAAGTACTCCCTGTCAGACGGCACACTTGTTCTGAATGTGGAGTTGCTAGGTATGTACAAGTCATTCAGTTACCGGGATTTGACCAGTAGGTTCTTCCAACGAGGTACTGGATTTACTTCCCCACAGCTTTTGTCGCAGTCTCGCAAGTCTCGCAAGGTCGACTCCGCGCGCTAGCTCGCATTATTGACCGACTTGAGCATTCACCTTCTCTTCTAGCAAACTTACTCCTCTCAGACATGGCCTCCGCAGTGTTGGCCCGGGTTCACAATGTTCCACAAAATGGGTGAAAGTATCACGTCTCGCTTCATGACGTGATGTGCCCATGTGCCATGTATAAAGAAGCTAGAAGATGGAAACGGCCAGGAAAGCTGCCATTGAAACGCTTATCCCAACCTCATCGAGCTGTAAGTGACACGAGATGGCAGTTTTGTTTGTGACCCTGTTGCTCGCTCTACTCTCTGCTTGCGCTGCACGGCCTGGCTATGACCATAATTCGAAGCCCTACGCGGCGGCCATTCAAGCTCGGCAGCTGGCCGCGAACTCCACCTCCTCACTACAGGTCGATCTAGGTTACGAGGTTTATCAAGGAACGTTCAATAGCACCTCCGATTTGAACCTGTGGAAAGGGTGAGGCGGTTCGCTACCCACATGATCCCTCGGTTGACGTCAAACAGTATTCGGTATGCGGCTCCTCCCACGGGTTCGAATAGGTGGCAAGCCCCAGTGGCGCCACAGCAGAACAGATCCTCAGTCGTAAGTGCCAGCAACTATGGCCCAATCTGCCCTCAAGGTCCGGATGCCAGTACTAGCTTGGTCGCCGTCAATCAGACCGGAGCGAGCGAAGATTGTCTCTTTCTGAACGTCTATTCCCCGAGTAATGCAACTTCTCCATTACCGGTGCTGGTATGGATTCGTAAGTCATCTCCTCATGTGGCATACCAGTCATCCAAAGGCTTTACCATTTGGCACCATCATGGCCGCACCGGTCTCTAACAATGCCCAGATGGTGGTGGTTATGGAGCGGGCAACGGAAGAGAAGACCTCTCGCAAATCATCAACGCCAGTGGCAACAACTTTGTTGCGGTTGCTATTCAGTACAGGTTGGCAGCATTCGGCTTTTTATCGTCCGACGAGGTATATCGCAACGGTGTGGTGAATGCCGGGCTTCTTGACCAGCATTTCGCTTTGAATTGGGTACAGTCTTACATCTCGCTATTCGGGGGCAATAGCTCCCAAGTCACCATCTCAGGAGAAAGCGCTGGCGGCGGATCAGTCATGCTTCAAGACATGGCCTTTGGTGGCAGCCAGGGGTCCTCGTTGTTTGTGAACACGATTGCCGCCTCACCATATCTTCCCATGCAATACGGGTACAAGGATTGGCTACCATCACAATCCTACTATGCCTTTGCCACGCATGCTGGCTGCGGCCCCAGCCATCCCTACGGCGCGGGATCTCAAACAATTTTTGACTGTCTGGTCAGCAAAGACACCAACACGCTCATCAATGCTAGTGCAACGATTTCGGAGTCCGGGAACTATGGAACTTGGGCTTTCCTGCCCGTGTACGTTCTTTTCCCAACGATTGCCGAATGCTAGATACTAATCATTTGCGACATAGGACGGATGGCATCTTTGTGCAAGATCTCCCAAGCAAGCAGCTCTTACGGAAAAAAGTGAACGGCCAGAACGCCCTGATAGGTAATAACGCCGAAGAGGGCACCATCTTCACCCCTCAAAATATCACTACGGAGAGTGGCCTGGTCGCATGGTTGCAAATTACATTCCCTCTCTTCACAAACGACGACATTGCAAAGATTTTGTTGTACTATCCCAGCTCCAATGCCTCCGATACTCCCAAGGCTCCGCACTTTGCGACATCGGGAGATGCAGGTCCGAGTGCACTGAATGAAAGCTCATTAGATACTGGCCAACAGCAGAGAGCTTCAAATATCTATGCCGAAACGACCTTTGTGTGCCCGTCTTACTGGATGGCGGAGGCGTACAGCGATCGCGGCAGAACGTCGTACAAATATCAGTTCTCAGTGCCACCAGCATTGCATGGAACCGATGTGACTGCGTGTACGTGGCTATGAATCCCGCGCCTATTGAACGTGCACGACTAATACGAAGGGTGCTTAGACTTTGGCCCAGCTGCTGCCAATATCGGACCTGATCTAGCGCTTGCGTTCAGGAAAATCTGGGGCAATTTCATCACGACAAACAACCCCAGCATCCCAGGAAGCGTCGCAAATGGCGCGAGCGCTAGCAACAGCACCTCATCGAATGCTGCAGCCAACTGGCCCCCTTTCACGATCTATGCTCCTTACCAGATCGATTTGAACCAGGTAAGCGTTAACATCGGGTTTCGAGGCTCATGTTGCTGCAAGACACAGCTAACCTCACGTCTCCTACCGGATAGACTGGTGGGACACCTTTCCTCGAAATTACTTCGTCATACAATATCACTGAATATGGCGAGCCTGGCTTGCAGAACAACATATCTCTGGTCAATGCCTGGACCTGGGAGGCCGGGCGAGGCTACAGGTGTGACTTCTGGCGAAGCGTCGCTGCCATTGTGCCTGAATAAGCAGGGAAACGAGTGAAAGGTACCAGGTATGGAGGAGAAGTATTTCTGATATTATAGTCGTAGTCGTAGGCCTATCTCACACACTTCAAAGCCTCTAGGGCTTCCTCCACTTGTTCTAGATGGCATTTAGCATCATGGATGAGTTGCGGGGGAAGATTGTTACTTACGAGTCATGCCATTCAAAGCTTCAAAGGCGATCGAATAGTTCTGCAGCGCAGCTAAAACCCTCGCGACCCCAGCGTACAATTCCTCCAAGCCTTTGTCAGCTGCGAGACTCCGTTGATACATACATTGCCTTTCTAGGCTCCTGTAGCATAGCGTGAGGAGCGTGTAGCAACTCTGCATCGCACAACAGGCAAAGGCGGGCATGGTCCTCGGTGCCTGGGTCGTCGAAGATATTGACAGCATAGACGGAGCACAGACTGGCAGAGGGAGTTGTATGGGGTTGGGAAGTGGTAGAGCCTCGAATGCCCGTCCTATCACCAAGGCGGCTTTCAGGCAGGTTTTTGCTGCAGATGGGTCGTTGAACGGCTCGTTGTTATTCGTATCTGGGAGAGACGGAGTCGTAGACTTGCGGCCGCCAGGCAATGTTGTGCTGACTGGTGACATTCTTGGACCGACCGAGTGACAAGCACAGCCCAGTTGGCGCGGCGTAGATGCATCTGTCTGATCGAGGTCACAATGTTTCCGCGTAAAGACGGGTACGTCCTGAAAGGCACGATATCTGTGCAACTTGATCCTTGCGCTGTTGACTTTGATCAGCGCTTGTGATCGCAGTGACTTGGCAACAGTCCACTCCTCAAAATCAGTCGGCGGTGACGAAAAGTCCACTTCGCCTTGCGGTGTGGAGTGCTTTTGCAATATCATGTCGATGTCGTTGTCGAGCATGGCTTTTTTGTCATGGAGCGTGTTTGGATCCATGCCGGTATCTAGCGCCTTCTTGAGCGCAACAGTATATTGTGTACATCGCAAGATCACCTGTTGGGCCTCAATGAAGAAGTACCAGGCGTTCGTATCCGAGGTAATGGTCGGAAGAGGTGACCTGAATTGGTGGAAGTCGATTGTTATGATTGGAGGCGTGTTAGAGACGATAGCGCTCTGGAGGACGACAATGTAGGTCATCCACCAAGCTCGCCTTCGTGCCTCAGTGCATTCGTCTGGAGGCAGATCAGTGATGTCGTGGAGACCGAGTCGTATAGCTGCGTCATAGGCTTGGGAGGCGCGATTCCGCATTTTGGCTAAATTGCCCCGTTGCGCATACTCGTAAATGCTCAGGACCGCGTGCGCTAATACACTTTCCAGCTCGGTAGGTACACAGGGATGAAATCGGCCTCGACGTAGCGATGGCTACGAGTGTTCGAGAGCAGCAGAAGGGCTGGTGGCCGATTCGAGCAATTCTGTCTCGACTTCGATGCTTTCCATAGCCATTTGCGAGTACGAATGCGCCTCTTGCCGCCTTTGACAGACTGATTCGTCGCTATCGGGGAAAAGGTCGCCAGGATGAGGTATCAATACCAGGATAGCCAATAAAGCCATCACCAGGGGCGACGCAGGTTCAAAGACTGTCGACTCCGAGGCTGGATCATCAACGTCCAATGTCGCTTGTGGAGGAGGCAATATCGGAAAATACGGATGGATGAATATGTAGTATGCATTAAGAATTGCTTTGTTGTGACTGTAGTGACGAATGACTGGGTTGTAGGGAAGAGATTGTATGCTTGAGTCGAAGACATCAAAGACAATGTCGTCTGCTTTCGGCGCCTCGACAAAGATACTGTCAAAGATTTCGTCGCTGTGACTTTTGTTGTCCAGATCTAGGTCTAGCAGTCCAGCTCCAGGGGCGATCATTGAGCCGATCAGCTCGTTGTGCAATTCTTCGGGCGAGAGCATCAGTGAGCTCCAGTCAATGTCCGTGTCCATTAGGGGATTTAGTTGTTGATCCTGTTCGCCATTGCTTCCAGTCTGCTGTCGCCTTCCTTCGACCAGCGAAGCCTTCTTTGACGACACTCGTGGGCCACCACGGTTGCTTTTTAGATATCGGCATTCATTACTTCGCATGAGGCACTAGAGTCACCAGATTAGTAATCTTGATAACCCAAGCATTCTGACTGGGCTGTTCCACTCACGTTTTGGCAGACAGGTTTGACGCCGTCGCATCTTGTACGAGAAGCACGACTGAATTCTCACGATAAGAAGCCATCCAGGCCCAGAAATGCGCTATGAGCTTACCAGGAAGTACATGCCACCTTGACCGGCGGTCGTGCGAGTTTCTTTCTTGTTGCGCCACTCTCGGTGATGGTGGTAGTGGTAGACATGATCGAATTGTGCGCGGAAGTTCCGGCAGTCTTGCAGACAAAATCGGCGTACTCAGACCTTCGGATCTACCATTAAATGGTAAAGGACTGCGCGAAACACTATCACAGTGGTGGTATTGAATTATGGGTAAGTTGAGGAGTATCGTTGATACAAAGCAAAAGATGCGGGCTTTTCGGCTTTACTTATCAGGCAAAGGTTTAAGCGAGCGGGATCAATCACTGGGGTCTGGAGATAAGTGAATTCCCTTATCACACCAATAACAAGTCCCCGGAGGCTAGTGCAGGCATTCATGTTCCAGGCGCCTCTCTAAAACCAATCGATCATCCCGACGATCAACTTGCAGTACCTGGAGACCGGAGCACATGTTACAAGTTCCTGTCGGTTCTCTGTCGGTCTTTTGCAGAACGCAGAACAGAAAACTACAGCAAAAGTGTCTGGAGACGTTGACGAAAGCCGCCACGGACTGACACGATACCCTCTCCGCATTCCAAATTCTTTGGCAGTCATGATACTCGTAGAATATTGCCATTACTCAGTGAAGTACACATTGGTTCCAGGCTTCTTGTTGACAGTTAACGTGAAGATGTCGGGCCTGGAATAGCTTCCAACAGCGTCAAAATCCATCCGTGCCTGAACGAGATCGTCCTTCTTCAAGTCTGCGTATACGATGGCTTCCTGGTCCCAGACGGGCGACGCAGCAAAAGTGCCCAATGGTCCGACGATGCATGAACCACCACGACTGAGAATTGCGTCAGGCGTCCACGCCTTACCATCAGGCTGTCTATCATGATGGCCAGCTGTGAAAGGAGGGTAGTCGGAAGGGAAGTCGGCAACCCTAGTGAACTGATTCACCGAGATGACAAAACATCGTCCTTCCTTCGCAATATGTTGCATCGAAGCAACCCAAGATGGCAGATCGTCAGCATTGGGCGCGATGTACACCTCGATTCCTTGCTGGTATAGGGCAAGTCTGGCTGCGGGCATATAATTCTCCCAGCATATCAGCCCGCCAACTCGCCCAATATCGGTCTCGACCACCTGAAGTCCATCTCCTGCTCCACGGCCCCATACGAGCCTTTCAGCTGCCTGAGAATTGTTCGATTCAGCACACATTTCTGCCGGAGAGTATACTGACAGACTGTCAAGTTCGAACGTACCGTGGGAATCAGCTTTCTATGAGCGGATAGCAGGTCACCCTTTCTCGAAAGCAATATGGTCGTACAGTATAATGTGTCTCTCTCCTTCTCGACGATCCCAATCGACAGCAGCACATTGCTATCCCGGGCAATGGCGCACACGACATCGAACTCCGACGAAGGGATCGCGATTGCCGACTGATGATACCTCGAATACCATTCCCGACCCCGGGGCTCTCTTGCGCCAATGGTAGCATCGAAAGCGTACCGCCAAGGGTACGCGCTCAGAAACCCTTCTGGAAAGACAACGAGGTCAGCGCCTTCTTTGGAGGCTCTTTTTGTAAGCCCTTCGAGCTTGCGAATTGAAGCATCCAGATCGAAGGCGACTGGTGCAGCCTGGACCGCGGCAACCTTGAAACTTGGGGAAAGGGGAGCCATTTCCAGGTATGCCTTCGATGCCCACAAGAGGCGCTCGATGGACACATCTTGATGACCTTAACATGAAGTCCTGGTCGAGAAAGGGTCGCCCACGACAAGCCACCATCATATCAGCCCACTTCCGGCGATTGACCACTTGAAGAGGTTGCTCTGTGAGGTCTGGCCCGCGGTGATCGACACTTATCATCTTATCTGAGGCCATGTGAAAGCAGACCCCGACATCAAACACCGGACCACATGTGCCCTGATCGGCAGACAAGCCGCCGGATACTTTCTGTGTGGGTCCTCTATGGGTAAAAGCAGTAGAGCGATATGATATACTGTCAAACCGTCGCTGTCAAAGTTGACGCAGTATGGGATTTGCGGGATAGCAAAATGGCTGTTGGTATGTACTGAGGTTGCTCTTGCCCCAATATCATGCACCGTCTGATCTGAACCTAGACCTCAATGCTCAGCCGGCGAACAACTATAACTACTATGCAAAACTTGTGCGAAATCTCAAAGTGGCTGTCGTCCCAGACTTCACGCTCGAATCCGGCCAACAACTCCTTGAAGTTCCGGTAGCTTACAGCAGTTGGGGCACACTGAACAAAGAGGCAAACAACGCCCTGATCATCTGCCATGCTCTCACTGGGAGCTCCGATCTTCAAGACTGGTGGAAGCCCCTGCTTGGCCCAGGGAAGGCATTCGACCCAACCCGCTTCTTCGTCGTCTGCTTCAACCTACTCGGATCACCCTACGGGTCCGCTTCTCCACTGACACCCCATCCGCTCACGGGGAAGCCCTACGGACCTGCTTTCCCTCAAACATCGCTCAGAGATGATGTGCGGATACAGAAAATAGTTCTCGATGCGCTCGGCGTGCTCCAAGTGGCTGCCGTGGTTGGAGGGTCTATGGGAGGACAACTCGCACTCGAGTGGCCTTTGTGCACACCTCCAGGCTACGTGAAAACAATCATACCCATAGCAACCTCAGCCTACCAAGGCGCATGGTGCATATCATGGAACGAGTCTCAGATCCGTTGCGTTCAAGCAGATGCGCGGTTTCAAGGTGGCAATTATGATCCTGAACCCGAGGGCCAGCCCATCCAGGGACTGGGTGCAGCGCGAATGATCGGAATGCTCACATATCGATCATGCACGTCTTTCGAGGCGCGATTCAGTAGACGTCGATCTGATTCGATGTTCCCAAGTAAGTCAGCAGCGGTCCCGGATCAGACGCCACCCACTCCGCCTGCGTCTGATGCAGGTGACGATGCTTCTGAAGGCGCAGAGCTGAAACCAATTGGTACTCCAGCCACAGTCACCCCCATTCTTCCATTGTACACCGCGCAGAGCTACCTACAGTATCAAGCCGACAAGTTTCTGAGGCGCTTCGATGCCAACTGCTACATTCACCTCCTTAGGAAGATGGATACCCACGATATCACGCGCGACCGAACGAATACTGCGCTAACACCAAATGAGTCGCAGCCCGACCTCAATAGCCTCGCCCATATTCTGCGCACTTATCTGACACCCGCGCTCGTTGTCAGTATAGGTTCTGATATGTTGTTCCCACCGGACCAGCAAGACCTTCTGGCAGCACATCTCCCACACGCCCAGCTAGTCAAGCTGCAGTCCTTGGATGGGCATGATGGGTTCCTCCTAGAGCTAGAAAGTATGGATGAGCTGGTTCGGTCATTTCTTCAGCAGCATAATCCTGCTGCGTTTGCTGCGGCTCCTATTCACACCACACGAGAAGGGTCTCTGGGGGAAAGCAGCCTTGACAGCGTCTTTGGCGAGGTAGATTCTCATTTTCAATAGATGTATAACTTTTTCGGCCTGGCTAGAGCGTTCTGTGATTTCGGGACACCGTCGAGCACATAATTGTTTCTCTCACAGATACGACAAGCATTGTGATTGAATGCAACTGCACAAGATCAATGCTTTCAAACAGGTTGCAAAATTGCCCCTCCGCACCTGCTTGCTCTCAAAGTCCCGGAGAAAGCCCAAACCAATTGCACACAGTGTACTTGATCTGCAAAATGCAGAAGTCCTTATCTTTGTTCACCAATGTGCTGTGATAGGCTTTTGGACAGGCCGTGGGCAAGCGTCATCAACCGGATTCAGTGAGCAAAGCCCGGCGCTGCCCAGTCTCCACGCTGTCTATCCTCATGCCTCTTGAGCGGGGACTGCTGTAGGGCACACGGTGCGTGCAGTCGATTGTTCTACCAGATCACGCATCGGACCATAACGCTGAACACAACATGGAAAATTGCAGGATGAATTGCAGGATGCCCGTGTCCAGCGGAACATACATTGCAGCAAAATCGTCACCTTCACACGAACCATGTTTCCGCGTCTAAGAGCTATTTGTCCTCCGTTCACTTTACTACTAAGAGATAAAACACCACCGAGCTCAGAAGATGATTGCCTCGACGTCCTGTCGACCATGGCTAGTTCAGAAGTATGGTGGCACAAGTGTCGGCAAACTGTTAGATGCCATGACAGATTCGATCATTCCAGCATATGTCAAAGACTACAATCTCGCTGTTGTATGCTCTGCCCGCTCATCCTCGAAGAAAGCTGCAGGCACAACAAGTCTTCTGCTCAAAGCGCTTGATTGCGCAGTTTCGCACGAAACTAGCATGACAGCCTGTGACCAGGTCATAGAAACCATCGAGCAAGAGCATCTATCGGCTGTGACACTGTTGGAGCACTCTGGCATGAGTGGAAAGGCCCGACACACCCTGCAGACGCTGCGATGCAAGATCCAGGAAGAGACCGGAGCGTTGAAGAAGTTCCTCTTTGCTACTTGGACAATTGGCGAAGTCTCTGACAGGACTCAAGACAAAGTACTCGGCGTCGGTGAGAAGCTGTCATGTCTTCTGGTTGCAGCCGCCCTGTCCATCAAAGGACTACCAGCTGAGCTGCTCAACTTGGAAAACATCGTGCAATTAGCCGACGACCGATCTATACGTGAGCAAAAGGCAGCTTACAAGCAAAATCCCGTCACATACCTGCAAGGTCTACGGGATGCCGTCAGAAACAAAATCCTCGCGTGCTGCGCAGAAGGAAACATCCCTATCGTCACTGGTTTCTTCGGCGCGATGCCGAATTCACTCCTACATACCGTCGGACGTGGCTATTCAGATCTGTGTGCTGCGCTCTGTGCTATTTCTTTGGAGGCCGAAGAATTGCAGATCTGGAAGGAAGTCGATGGTATTTTCACGGCCGACCCGACCAAGGTACCGACTGCCAGAGTGCTACCGACAGTCACCTCGGAAGAAGCAGCAGAATTGACCTACTATGGAAGCGAAGTCATTCATACCCTCACAATGTCGCTGCTCAGCGAGGAGTGCGTCAGTGTGCGGCTGAAAAATGTCAACAATCCCGGCGGCGCTGGCACCATCATTTATCCGACAAGGAAAAGTCCAAGCTCGAGTCCAACAAGGTCACCCTCATCCAACGAATCCGAGAGACAACGATCAATACTCATGGCCACAAATGGCTACCATGGTGACAAGCAAGCCAAACGTGCCCCAACGGCCATCACGGCCAAAGAATCTATCACCCTGGTCAACATCACCTCGAACGGCATGCTACCACCACAAGCTTTCCTGGGTCAGAGTATAGAAGTACTCGGGCGACATCAGCTCGCCTTTGACCTGACGAGTAGCAGTCATCGATCACTTAGCCTGGCACTTTCTTCGAAGACTGGGATCGCCGATCTAGCCAAGGCAGTATCAGAAGCCCTTCCCGACCTTGAGGAGTTTGGCACGACGTCGGTGATGCCGAAGATGTCCATCATTTCTGTGGTCGGACACAAAATGAAGAATATGGTTGGTGTTGCCGCCGAGATCTTCTCTGCGTTGGCAAGTGCTCGGATCAACATATACCTGATCTCTCAAGGCGCGAGTGAGATCAATATCTCGTTTGTGGTCCCCGCACAGGACACTTTACTTGCAATGGAGGTGGTTCACACCAAAGTCATGCGCATTCCTGGACACGCTGAGAAGGAAATGTCATTCATACGAGGTAAGCTCGCCCGCATGCATGGAAGAAATGAGGACGTTCCGCTGACTACGTTTATCAGGTCCTTGGCTTTACTAACGTACCGCCAATTCACCATATTCCAGGGGTGTTGGAGCAGATATTGGTGAGGATTACAAAGAGAATCAATGACCAGATAAATAAGAAACGTTGCATGTGCAGGATGGCTTCCGTCTCGACCTTCTTGAATATCTGGTGATGCAATAGGATAGTACTTCCTATCTGATCGTCCTCGATGCCCATGGCACCCTCACAGGAAACACGAGCAGTAGTGGCAACCGCTTCCGTACCAACAAGTGGCAAGGCTACATTCACATTCATGTTGGTGATGACTTGATCGATGTGAGGACATTGTATGCCCGCGAACACCCGGCCAATAACACTCGAAGGCACACTAGGCTGACATGGTCTGTGCGATAAGGCTGCAAACCCCTTATCACGTGATCATTGCCATATCTCTCCTCGGTGTTTGCTTGACAGAGCGCTCTATCACTGACCAGTCAGAGTATCCCAATCTAGATACATCCTCGGGCTTTGCTTCGAACATATAGCGGCTCAGTATCGCATATGCATGGGCATCGCTCACTGGCCTGCTGCTTATCTACCTGAAGACAATGCATTCTTTGCGATTGATATGCCTTGATCCCGAACCCCCTATTCGTCGGCCTCTGGTGAGATAGGTCCCTAAGGCTCATTGATCATGGTGATCCCCTTTCCAATGCAGACCCCGCGATAGTGATAGAGGTCCTCATGCTGGAGTACGGACACCCTTGAAGGGTATCTCACGACAAGATGAAGGGCTATATCAAGACTGCCAGTATCCCGGCACAGGACAGCACGGCATAGACCCTTCGCCTCTGATCTCGCTCACTCCCGGGTTATCTAACCGTCTCGTTCCACTCTTGCTCCGACTGACTCTCCTTACCTTGCCACATCGAACATCATGGTGTCAGGTCACCTGGGCGAAGTCACCAAGACACCCGAGTATGAAACCATAGCCCTGCACGGTGCTCAAGAGCCCGACCCGATCAATGGCTCCCGAGCAGTACCACTATATCAAACTTGTGCGTACAACTTCAGCGATGCCTCCGACGGCGCCAGCAAATTCGCCTGGTCCAAGGAAGGGTACGTGTACACGCGTATGGGCAATCCCACCAATACCGTCTTCGAGAATAGGATGGCCATGCTGGAAGGCGGCGTCGGCGCGGTTGCCACAGCTAGTGGCCACGCCGCTCAATTCATGGCCATCACTTCCGTCTGCGAGCCTGGACACAATTTCATTAGCACGATGAATCTGTACGGCGGTACTCACAACCAATTCCGCGTGTACATGAAGAAATTCAACATCATGTGCAAGTTCATCGAAGGACAAGACCCGGAAGGCATCCAAAATCTGATTGACGACAAGACGAGGGCCGTGTACATTGAGACGATTGGCAATCCGCAGTTCAACGTCCCCGATATCGAAGCTGTGGCGGATGTGTGTCATGCCGCAGGCGTTCCGCTAATCGTAGATAACACGTTCGGCATGGGCGGATACTTGTCTCAACCTATCAAGCAGGGCGCGGATATCGTGACCGCATCCTGCACCAAATGGATCGGTGGCCATGGCACATCGATGGGCGGCATCGTCATTGACGGCGGGCACTTTGACTGGTCCGCCTCTGACAAGTTCCCGGGCTTTACGGAACCGGCAGAAGGGGTAAGTACTCTCCTTTTCAAAAAGCTTTGGCCACATCTGACCACCCGCAGTACCACGGTATGCGCTTCTGGGAGACATACGGGTATAAAGCGCTCGCGGCCAAGTTACGCATGGATGCGATGAGAGACTTGGGACCATGCATGTCGCCGTTCAACGCGTGGTTGTTCTTACAGGGCCTAGAGTCCCTCCCCGTCCGCGCGGACAGACACATTGCCAACACACTTGCGTTGGCACAGTGGCTCGAAAAACATCCGAACGTGGCCTGGGTGAACTACCCGGGGTTGAAGTCGCATCAGGACTATGAGCGGGCGCAAAGGGTTTTGCAGAAAGGACAAGGAGCAGTGCTAACGTTCGGCGTAGCGGGGGACATTGATGAGGTCGAGGCGGTCGTCAACAATCTCAAGTTGTGCTCGCACTTGGCCAATGTGGGTGATGCGAAGACGTTGATCATCCACCCATGGCGGACAACGCATCAGCAGATCCCAGACCAGGAGAAGATCCGAGGTGGTGTGACCCCAGACATGATCCGTGTGAGCCTGGGATTGGAGCACATCAATGACATTGTCCATGATTTCGAACAAGCGTTCGTGGCGGCTGGATTGAAGGGCGCAAAAGATTGGATCCCGACATGGAAGAAAGGTATGACGGATCAGGAATGGAGTAAAGGGACGCTATATGCGCCCAACCCGAATGCTTCCAAGTTGCCAAAGACTGGTGCGCCGGCGACGAAGAATATTGTCGACGAGGCGGCAAAGAGGGATATTGCCATTAGTGTCTAGATCTCCTGGGGCTCAATGATCATATGAAATATTCATGTCAATTCCACTTACCTCGCAATCCTCGTGTCAGCTTCACCTAATTGACCTGTCACACAAGAGCTGCACAAGGAATTTCCCAGGGGTGTCAAGGTAGGAATGTTGCTTTCATTCATGCTAATTTGGGGTACAAGCCTTCACGGTGTACATGTCATGTTCTCATTGGCTTAGGTGTGATCACTCCGCAGCTAACGCCCTAAGCACCTCAAGTGTTTGATAGTGATGGTAACTTCTCCTCACAATTTCGCCCTGGCCTAAGTAGTGCTGGTAGTAGAGGTTGGCGCAGCACGTTGTACGACACCGAATCTCGTGTTACCGACATCGAAGACACTATCAGAGGTTTAATTTGACTTCAGTGAGCGGAGACATTGTGAAGACTTACGCATAGACATTCTGCAGGAAGGTATCTCCGAAGATGTCGAAGTCCTGGTCACCGCGAGACTGGATACCGCCGTACACCATACTGCCATCAGCGCCACCAGCAAAGGCGAAGTGTTCCTTTTCAATGGTGATCGGAGTGTCGCCAACCATGAATGTGACAGTCGGCAGGTCACTTTCAGCAGTGTCCGCAGGGAACACCCAGCCTTGCTGAGTGGTGTCTTGCTTGGCACCAGGAATGGCACCGTAGATGGCTTCACAAACCGAGTCGGATGTGAGCAACAGCGTGGTACCGGTGTCAGCAATCGCTGTGTTTCCTGACAGCTGAATGGTTTTGCCATTGACTGAGGCGGAGGTGGAACTGAACGTCCAGAAACCCTGGGAGTTGTCGACAGGTGTGTAGGCAATGCTGGAACCGGATGGGATGATTGACTCATCAATCTGGCCGAAAGTGTCTGCACTCATGTCAGATTCCGAGAAACGAGGAGATCATGGCAGGGGTCAGCACTCACAGAACGACTCTTCATTTGCATCTTTGATGGAACCAAGATAGACCGTGAACAATTCAGCACTCGAAGGGATGTCGTCCTGGGCAATCATATTCTCGACCGGTGTTTTGACAGCGGTAGGCTTGACGGTGTTGATGGAGCCAAAAGCAAGACCCAAAAGGCCATCAGAGGAAGCATCTTGAGTGAATTGAGACGACAGTTTGTTCGCCAGCTCAATGGCTTGGTTCTTGACTGTGATGTTACCGATCTCGATGTTGTCGGTTCCGACTGTGCCAGAGGCAGACGATGAATCACCGTACTGAATCTGCCAGGTGGATCCTGAGCTGGTCTTGAACGTTGATGATTTGGAAGGGTCGAAGATAGTGTGGCCCTTGCCGGCAGACTGAGTGCTCTTTGACAACTCGGTCGACCAGCACCAGAGATCGGAAGATCCCGAGTCGAAGTCCAAGTTCAATGTTTGAGCCGGTGTACCAATGGCGACTGGACAAGTGTAAAGGGAGTCATTTTGTTGGTCAGTGGCCGTGCTACAGTTGTGATCAGCATGGGGCGGCCGTTCATTGCAGACATCACACTTACACTTCACCCAATGTTCCGTCCGCGTTCTGCTTGATGAGTTTGTTGGCACCTGCGGAGTAAGGACCTCGGAGGGTTGGCTTGATGCTGTACTTGTTGAGCAGGTAGACGTAGGATTTGAGACCGTTGCGTTTGTAGTTAGGGTTGCGTTGGATGGGAACACGGACGAGAGAAGCCATGGCGGGCAGTTGTGTTCAAGTAAGCTGTTGGGTGATGAGTAGAGGTGAAGAATGTGCAGTGAGAAGTATCACGTCTTGGTAAAGAGAGATGAGTCGAAGTACTTGTAGTGGTAGAGAAGGTGAATGATGGATGATGGATGACGCGTTAGGGTATGAGGCATGAAACAAGGAAATGTCCCAGAAGAGAAGGCTCGACAGGGCAGATGCCTTTCTCAGGTCTGTTTGTGCCTATTCTGATTCACATGTTCAGGGCACGAAGCGAAGCAAACGCATTTCAGGCAACACAGACGCAGGTCAGGTGGAATCGGGGCAGCTGCTACTAGAGGTGGTTTGCCATGTTCCAGAAGGCATCACCATATCGTCGATATGCCTTCGTGTAACCTGTCAGGTACCTGGTAGCGTTGCTGGGTGTTACCTGGCCATTGATGAAACAAAGCGGCTCTGTATACCGTTATTGGTCCTGGTCACTCCAAGTCGGATGTAGCCATCTGCCAACAGCATGGAGGTCTACTGTCCTACTCGTAGATACCAGGTTTATTGAGGGGTCGATCATTCATTGTCGATCTTCTTTGCCCCCCATGATCTTCGTCATTGCTTGATACAATCAAGGTTTCAGGCTTGACCACGGGGCCGACCTTAGCTTGTGGTAATAGGTTTTGTCTAAAGGTTATCACGTACATATGGGCGGCAGGCAGACAAGTAAAATCGCAGCGATAAGAGTTCAAAGTGCGATCAACCGTGGTTATGTGCATATTGAAGTGTCAAACAGGTACTGGCGTGTTTGCCATTTCAGCTGTTGCATCATGATGGAGTCTGCCATGCATACAGCCAGTGCTAGATTCCTGGAGACTTTCCCTCAATGTAACCATGGAGTTCAAATAGCGAGAGACTGCTAAAACACTGAGGCTGCGCATGTAATCGGGCAGAAGAAGTAGAGATGAACGACCTTATCAAATCCGTAAGTAACAGAGGAAGTCGTGTCTGCATGCCCGGGTGAGAGATCACCCGGCTCGCGCCCCTGGCGGCATCACCCAGGCACCAAAGGAGGGTGGAGGCTTAACGGTGAATGACGGATGACCAAACACAGGTACACCTTGGCACATCAGTGCTGCAAAACCTCATCTCTGGCTTTCACTAGCATAGGTAAGTCAAGCCTTGCCAAATATTTCAGCCTCATGGCGACCACAAACCACTTGACATGTCTTTGCGGGGCTGTCACGGAGCCGGCCACGTTGCTCTCTTCTGACGAATTACCACTTGAATGTGTCATGTGCCATTGCAATACCTGTCGCCAGCAAACCGGGGCCCTGGCAGTATCATACTTGAAGCTTAGAGCTCCGCCGAGCGAGAAGTCTCTGGATAACGTGACGGCGTACGAAACCTCAAGGTACGAACGATATTTCTGCAAGGTATGCGGATGCAATGTCTTCGGTCACGATAAAACCACCGGGGGATGGTCGGCTTGCAGCGGCACCCTTGAGGCAGAGACCAAGCCAGCCAAGGGCAAAAACGTCTCCAATATCAAGTCTCACATATACGTCGGCGATCCGTTTGAAGGCGGGATCGCCCCATACTTGACAAGAATAGCGGACGTCGAAGTTCCTTGCTGGCAGACTGAGCCTGGAGAGGACCAGGGGCCGATAAAGCAGGAGAAGCTCCTAGGACTGCGGGAGAAAGCGTCCAAAGCGTCATCCACAGCGAGGGATGAGATGATGCAAGTAGCATGCCACTGCGGAGATGTGAGCTTACGCATCACGCCGCCGCCGTACGACGAACACAGTGAGGATTGGTATATCGGCTCAGACCACAGCAGATACTATGCGCGTTTGTGCTGCTGCCGCTCTTGTCGCTTGACGCTAGGTCTTACGATGCAGCCATGGACATACGTCCCGCCTGCGCAGATCTATACTGACGACATGCAACCAGTCATCTTTGGACCTGAGGCCCAAGAGGTAGTGCAGATCAAGGCGCTCAAGCATTATCAGAGCTCAGACAGTGTGCTACGGAGCTTCTGCAGCACCTGTGGCGCAACGATATTCTATCAGTCCTTCGAGAGGCCCTATGTCATTGACGTAAGTGTCGGTGTAATTAGATCGACGTTTGGGAATGCACTTGTTGGAGAATGGCTGGAATGGGACCGAAAGATGGTGAGTAAGAGGGACGAGGCTGTCGACGAGGAGCTGATTCAGGCATGGTTGCAAGCATGAGTGGGTTTCTAGTAGAAGCATTCAGGCTGCAAGGCTGTCGCTCGGTGTGGGGAGATTTGAGATCAGGCTGAAGATGCCAAGTTGAAACGCGGGCCTGGGGACTTACTTGACATTCCTCATTCTTTCCCACCGCATGTGTCGCCGAGGGGTCATCTTCGACGTACATTATCCTCAATTATACCAATTCATTGTGAATCATCCATTCATATATCTGTGCCTCCTTTGCTCGTTTCTACCTGTCTGCTGATCTAGATGCCTGGAAGCAATTCAGCCTCTCTGGACTGCATCTAGAAGATGACCATCTCCGCGCCATAGACGACCGACGATTCCTTTTCACGTACCACGTTCTGCCGTCGATCCGACGAGAGAGATCATTCCCGGCCCTGCTCACTCAAAGCCATCCTACTTCGCACTTGACCTAGTACCTCATATTTGCAGTTATGGATGGCAGCGCTTCTCAGCGACCTCAGCAGCCTGCGCTGCAACAGCAAGCCTCCTTGATCCGTCCCGAACAAGTGCAAAGACTCCCTCAGCTCAACGTGGCACAAAAGCAGCAATTTGAGCAGGGCGTCAAAAGATATTGGGAGGTGTTGAACTCAACCCCGCAGGGAGATCCCAAGTACAATGAAGCGTACCAAGGTTTGGTTCGCACCTCTGCCCAATTGATGGCCGGCATGAAACAGTGGCAGCAGAACGCCAAGCAGAGACAACTGGCTGCCCAACAGCAACAACAGCAACAGCAACACCGGGAACAGCAGCAACAGCAACAACAGGCCGCAGCCCAACAACAGCAACAGCAAGCCGCGGCACAGCAGCAACAACAACAGGCCGCACAACAAGCCGCGCAACAGGCGCAAGCACAAGCGCAGCCGCAAGCCCAGAAGCAGCAACCTCAGGCTGCTCAAGTGCAAGGTGCTACAGGCCAGAGTGGAAACAGCAGCGTGCAATTCAACCAACTCATGCCTGAGATTCAACGAAAAGTGAACGAACAACACTTTTACTTTCCTCCAGCCATGACCAAGGGCACGGAACCGGCCGATACCTGGCTGCGAGAAGCAAAAGCCCGCCTTGGACAAGCCCTGCAGAGACTGCAAATAGCGAAGCAAAAGAAGGGGGAATTTCAGCGCCAAGCACAACAGCGACAGCAACAAGGAAATCCTTTATCGGCAGATGAGACGGAGGTCTATAATAACAAAGTCGCGCAATGTGATCGAGCCATCAACGAAAGTACTTCTTTCATGAAAAAGTTTAACGAACAACAAGAACAATTCCGCGCTGCGCAGCCACAGCATCAATACTCCAAACAAAGTGCACCAGCTGGCGAGGGGGCTGAGCCTGGTCCAGTACCTCAAATGCAACCGGGCGTCCAGGGTCCCACGGCGCATTCGATTAGTAGTGCTGTTTCTGCCGCACGCAATCAAGCAAGTGCCGCCCAAGCAGGCAGTCCGCCTGCGATTGCACCACAAATGAACCAGACCACCACCACGACCGGCCAGCAATCCCCTACAAGCACCACCCAACCGCAATTCCCTCCTTCAGTACAAACGGATAATTCCACAGTACCTCGTCCATTATCACAGCAGGGTCAAGCCATGTCTGCGCAGGCTACACCGCATGGTGCGCCTTCGACCATTCATCCTCATCCTTTGAATACGAGTATCAGTAGTGCTAAATCGGCCGCGCCAACCATTACCAAAAATCTGCAAGTCGCAGAACCGAAACCTGTAACGATGCCAGCTTCGCGACCGACGTTGACAGGTGGCGCAGGAGTTGGACTGCCGGGTCAGCTCGCACAGCCAGCCATCACAGCATTACCGGGCTATGTACTCGAATCGAGCGAAGATGGAAGGGTGCTTTCGAAGAAGAAGCTGAACGAATTGGTTCGAGAAGTGTGCGGTCCAGGTCCAGAGGAGCAACTTGATCCGGAAGCCGAAGAGGTAAGTCTCTGGACATTTTGCTGGCCGTCACCGACTGTACCTAACGTTGATTATAGATTTTCCTCGCCGTCGCTGATGATTTTGTTGACGACCTCGTCTCACAAGCCTGCAAGTTGGCCAAGCTTCGTGGCTCCTCAAGCCTGGAACTTCGTGATTTACAAATCATTCTCGAACGGCAGTACAATATCCGCATCCCCGGTATCTCGACTGACGAGGTTCGCACTGTCCGACGACCTCAACCAGCGCCGGGTTGGGCACATAAGATGAGCGCAGTGCAAGCTGCGAAATTGACGGTGGGACAAAGTACCGCAACGGCAGCTGGTGCTGGTGGCAAAGAAGGATAGACGTTCCTGGGTTTTCCCGCTCGGGAAGTCAGCATTTGGTGTTTGGCAGGTGGGTGTGCACACGGTATTGGCACAAGCATGTCCACAGTTACATTGGTGTGGGATGGAGTTACTTCTTCGCCATAGGTAACAAAATTCAAGGAAGGGTGAGACCGGTGCAAGCATGGACATGGGATTGTCTCTCAGGCATGTGGTCGAGCAGGAGTTGAGGGGGCTTATGATTTGCATAGGACAGAGCACTGCAATATTCGAGAGAGTGCAGTTAGACAGGCTGACCTTTGTCCCAACATACTGGGCAGTGCAAAATGATATGAACTATGTCCACGAATCCATCGTGTTACTAAATTGTATGGGGTAAGAGAGGCTGGGTTTGGGCAGCAGTGGGCTAATGGGCTGTACTTGAACTCGAAGGTCTTATGGCGGCGGCGGCGACGTCATCAGCCCACCCCGAAACTGCACCTTCTGCCCTCTCCTACTACTTGCTTTAAGTGTGCCTTTCCAGCCCTCGAATGTGCTCTACCAGATCGGTACCTAGGTACGCAGTCGTCAAGCAACAGACATTGTGTAAGAACTCAGTGTTGATGACTTGGCATTAAGTCTGCAGTGGAATCTTCGCTTATTCGTCTGACCGACACCAAGTTTGCTTTGCTTCCGCTTCGACGGAAGGCCCGTACCTCGCCCGATCGACGCTCGGATCCCTTCCACGAACACGAGATCAGCGGCAATCACCATGTCTAGGTACCGTTCTGATCCTCGCTATTCAGATGGCAACCTTGCCTACCGCGATCCGCCGCCTCAGCGATGGGATGCCGACCGCTTTGTACGAGAACGAGAGGTTCGTGTGGAACAACAACGACCACCCTATGCCGATTACCCACCACCACGCCGCGCACCCGTGTACGAAGATCAAAGGTATTACGAGGAAGAGCGATATGGCCCTCGAGGTGTTACAGAACGCAGATATTTTGAAGAGACCGATTATTATGACCCGCGGGCTCAACGAGGCCAGATGGTCCCCTATGCTCCTGAGCGGCCTTCCAGACCAGAAGCGCCCCCCAGACCAGGCATTATTCGACGTCAGTCAAGCCTGGACACCTTTGATCGCCGACCTATGCGACGCTACGACGACTATGACGATGGGTACAAACCTCAAAGAGCGCCGCCTCCACGGGAATTGATTCCCGTGCGAGCGCCTTCGCCAAAGCGACAGTATCCGAGATATGAGGAACAAACATATGACGATATTCGTGTGCAGGATCCTGATCGTTATGGCGACGATGGGTTTCGAGAGTATCGTGAACGGGAATGGGTGACGCAGAGACGAAGAAACAGCAGCCCATCACCCGACCGCCGCACCGTTAAATCGGAGGTCATCGAGAAAGAGGAGATCAGGGAAGTCAAAGAAGAAAAGCCTTACCCTCGCCGCGGAAAGACGCGAATGCCCAAGCGACTTGTTCAGACCAAAGTACTTTACGACCTGGGTTACCCCTACTACGAAGAGGTGAGGATGTGCCCTCAAGCACCCTCCTTCCTCGCCGCTAACTTCATCCTTTAGGACGAACGTACCATCATCATCGAAAAAGCATTAGGTCCAGATAATATCGACGAGATTTTTGCCAAGAGCAGGGAGTATCGGGAGCGAGATGGTGAGCCTCTCGAAATCGCTTGCAGGTTATTGGCTAAATAGGTTCCAGTCACGACTACTCGACTGATTGAAGCTACTCCCACCGAGGCAGCCTCAGCGAGATCACGAGCGCCCAGTATGCGTGGCGATGTGGTCATCGAGAAGACCGAGAAGATTGAGCAATTCAAGACTGTGCCCTTGTCGGAAGCTCCTCGATCAGTCCGCGATTGGGACGCTCTGTCAGTTCGTTCCCCTCGTTCCCCATCCCCCAAGTCAGTCCGATCCCACTCTAGAAGAAGATCGAGACGCGAATCGTCCCCTGGCGTCTTCAGGGAGACGGTTTTCGAAAAGAAGGAGGTGATCAAGGAGGTTTCTCCAGCACGAACGCAGAAATCCAGCACTACTCGACGCAGAGGATCTTCTGTCAGCGATGAGACAGTCATTGAGCGTAAGGTCTATAAGGAAGAAGGAGGTGCCGAGGATTCGAACTCGGTCCACATGGGCCCCCTGGCTCTCGTCGTTGACAGAAACCCGCGCAGCGATCGCGATATCAAAGAGGAGATTCGACGGCTTGAGGCTGAGCGCCGAGCATTGAGGCGAGAACGCAAATATGAACGTGACGATCGCACGGAAATCGTCAAGGTGGAGCGTGTACGCGAGAGATCTCCATCACCTCGCAACGAAGTCATCATTGAACGGCGAGGTGATGAGATCCTTGAAGTCAAGAAGGACCGGAGAGGTAGGATGTCGCTTGTGGCCAAATGAAGTAACAATTCCTGATGGCGTATTTAAGCAGGTCGCTCACGCTCGACGGCGCCAAACCCTGGCATCATCAAAGCCATGATGGCAACGTTAACCTAACCCTGCTTTTTTTTGGAAGGAACACTTGGGCATTCGAAGAATTCTCGTGGGGGAGACGAGGGATATGCTTGGTATACTTGCGCAATCTGGAGTCAAGTTATGAGCAAGCAGCCGACTTCGGTCAATGCAACATATGGTCATTACGAGCAACATTGCATGCAGCCACCGCCAGGATCCTGCGATAGTCTGGTAATGCTGGACACGAGTAATGAATCGATGACTAGGAAAGATGGAACAGTTCTACCTGATCAGAAACGAGTTTCTTTGTGATATAGCGGAGGAGTTCTCGAATTCAACTTTCGCCTTCTTTGGGTAGATTCAATTTATAATTCATCGTAGCAAGTACAATGCAACGAGAAGTGACCTTAACGACCGTTCCCATGTTCTAGTGGTTGAACGCGTACTTGGTGACGACCGTGGTGTGTTGCGATTGCCCAGCCTTGAGAAGTGAGTGGCATGTGAATGGCCCCTTAATCAATTCTTCGTGTCAGACAGACGTCCACACCATAAGTTTCTGTGGAGGGTGTTTGTGTCAGACACGATTACTCTATTCATTCCATTCATCAACAGTCAGCTGGCCTCTACAGCCACGCCGCCTGTTCTTGAAAGTGCACTCTCCATCGTTGCTAATCGTTGCACCTCTCGTACCTACGATACCCGCCCATCATGGATAAATTCGCGGCCTTCGGAAAGAACATAAGGTGTGCTCAACCCACTGTCCATGCGCGCCGGCAGCAGAGCAGATTGCGGCGCTGCCTGCGGACCATAAGACCCCCTTTCGACAATCACATTGACTGACGACTTGGTGTACAGTTCTACGTTCAACTCGACCGTCTCGCCCTTCGCACAACGGAGCCAACAGTATCTCAAGGAACAATTTGGAGGAGCGGACGACAAAGTAAGAGAAAAAGCCTACCTTGTCCGAACAGTCCGCTTATTGTGTTTTTGTCCAGACCGAACTACCGGTGGATTACACCGAACTTGAGAAGCGCGTCGAGGCGCTGAAGCAAGTTCACCAGAAGCTCCTCGCGGTTACGTACGCGGCTATTCAGAACCATGACCGAGGATTTGTTACTGATTGTTTCACAGGAGCCAGTATTCGAACGAGGCTTATGATTATCCTCCCAACATCCGTGAATCCTTCACCGATCTCGGTCGCAGCATTTCAGAAAAGGTTACCCTTCTTTCTCATGCAAAGAACACTTCGGAAGCTCAAGCTGCAATCACTGCTCCTCCCTCCGCAAAACCTCAGCCCAAGACCTTCAACCATGCCATCGCCCGTGCTTCGCTAGCCGGCTCGCAGCAGCTACAACAGACCAACACTACCGGCGCCGAAGACCCACTGGCCAATGCGCTGGAGAAATATGCCCTGGCTGAAGAGAAGGTCGGAGAAGCCCGACTGGCACAAGACCATGCCATTCAGTCGCGCTTCCTTGCTGGTTGGACCACCACGTTGAACACGAACATCCAGTTCGCAACAAAGGCCAGAAAGGCAGTTGAGAACAGCCGTCTGCTATTGGACAGCACAAAGACCGCGAAGAAGAGTCAGGTCATCGGCCGAGGAATGAACCCAGATGACGAGACCGCCTTGGGCGAAGAGGCACGAGCCGAGATTGAAGCCAAGGAAGATGACTTTGTGTCACATGTCGAAGAAGCACAGGGAGTGATGAAGAATGTAAGATCATTTGGCACTGGGATCAATAACACAGATACTAACCAGTCTAGGTCCTTGATACCCCAGAACCACTCCGAAACCTCGCCGACCTCATTGCAGCCCAGCTTGAATACCACAAGAAAGCATACGAGATCCTGTCCGAGCTCGCCCCGGAGATTGACCAGCTCCAGGTTGACCAGGAGAGTAGCTATCGCAAGAGCAGAGAAGGTGCTTGACCAACCCATTATTGTGGCTGGGAAGAGGATGCATACGCGAATGGGAGGCTGAGTTCGGTCCTATGCTCTTGAAGTTGGGTCTCTTTCACACTTCAGAAATGAGACGACGATGACCATAAATTGTTTGATTCAATGCCAGTGTCCCAATCATGACGATCATTCGCGAAATAAATAGCTATACATGTAGTAGAAATGTGTGCTTGTAAACTCCCAATCAATGTTGATGCTGTTGATGCTTTCCCTTCGTCATCGCTCCTACAATTCCTCAACAGGAAGCTTGGCCGAAGCCGCTGCGCGCATGCATATCGAATTTCGGACCAGGAAGCTCCTACATACTCAGGTAGTTGTGAAGTACCATCAGTACAACTTTCGATCCTCGGAATCTCGCTACGACGTACTTGATTTGGAGTGCATTGCCCGATCATCCCTGATCCAACACGAAGCACGATTTGACGTCGTCTTTCCGCCACCGAACAGCAGTCCGACCAGGCCACAGAGACAGCACCGCATCGTTCCACGCACGATCGAGTCCACCGTGCATTGGGGTGATCATTGTGTGAGCAATCAAAGAAGGCACTTGTCTTGAGCACGGAGAATCAAAAATGGCGAATGGGTACGTGAAAGTTTACCTTGACACACATACCCTCACACCTCCACCCTGGGGGCCATCTTCGAGCGTCGGGCTTCGACCATACTCTCCTCCTTCAATATAGAACAATACGCAAGAGCAGAACTGCGTGTCTTGCCATCCGTGGAGGACTATTTGCCAGAAGGGCCAGCTGTATGAGCGGGATCCGGATAGAAACACTCCATGTCTTTGAGAATGAGCTTGGACGATGGCAAACCCGCCATGGGAAACGACACACATTTACACAGAGTTCGTCTGGGACTGCTCCGGCACGGCAATCACGCATTCACGCCACATCCATATTGACGTGGTCATCAACCAGCAAGAACAACGAAACACCCAGCTCGGTCTAGGTCGAGCTGGAGCCTGGCCTGCCCTTCATCGCCCCGCGCACTGCCGAAGTTCGATATCTGATGGCCCACTGCTAACTTCTTATCCCACAGCTGGTCCCTCCTGATAGGCCTTGTGGTCATCGTCGCCCTCTGCGTCGGCGCCTACTTCCTCAGTCCCAAAGGCGAGAATCAAACGTACGTCTACTAAGGTCGCCCCTCTCCTCGGAGCAGATCTGACCATACTCGAAACAGGATATGGAGAAGCACCTTGATCCTCAGCTTCGCGAGTTGTTATATCATGTGGGGTAAGGCCGTCACCACCGCCATTTATGTCTTCTCCCGCTGACCTCACTCTAGCCATCACTTTCCTCGCCCAGTGGCATCCTCTCATCGAGCCGCGGATGGCCAAGTTGAGACACGGCTATCCTGGTGGCAGTTGAAGGAGTTGCAGGTTGCACGATTTACTGCTCAGGACTGTATCATGCTGAAGGAGGTGGACCAGTCTTTGCATGTATGTGATCAGGAGTTATAGCAGGATAGGCTGAAGGAGTAAAGAATGAAAACATGAACATTTTATTATTTGCAGGTGGCTGCTGAATCCTGTCATTGTAAGACCTGATTTCATCTCCTTCCTCAGGAGAACTATTCCATGCACATCCAAGCAGTTGGAGATCTGTACTCTCTGCACAACTGTGATGTTGCATTCCTGGTCTGTTGTGACCTCGACTTCAATGTGATGAGCTCAATACTTCGTTCACAGTGCAGCGGAATAGCCGAGGTGACTATCTCTATTCATCTTTCTTCTCCTGCGCTTGGTCTGCCTGCTCAGCGCTCTGTTCTTGTTCTGCGTCATCATCGTCGTCCGTCGTCTCCTCCACCTCGACTTTGATTCTGCTGGCTTCTGCTTCCTCCTTCTTGCTTGGACTTGTACTCTTCTCTGGACTTGTACGTCCTTGAGTGATCGGACTACCAAGCTGAATATCCTCGTCATCCAAATCATCAATGTGTCCAAGTATTGCTTTCAGTACGTCTGGACCACCAGTTCTAATGCTGCCTCCAGAAGGTGACATTACTCGGTCTTCATCAATGCCTTCGTCATGTCTCGCCGTGATTGGAGTTTGTATCTCTTCCGGGGAGCTCTCTCTGACTTCTGTTTTGGTCGCAGAAAGAGGGTCGACATCTTCCGCTGTCGCTGTTGGTGTAGGATCTTCAGGTGCCCGTGCCTCGTATTTGGGTACTGTTGCACCAATGTCTAGTTTAGGTAATTGTCGATCTGGTGAAGGATCGGTTTTCTGGGTGTTTGAGTCTGTTGGTTCACTCTCAGTCGATGAAGGTTCTGTCGGTGCGAAACTGGCCGTATGATCTTCATCTTCTTCGTGACCTTCGGCGATAGTTCCAACATGACTCCCCGTGCTCGGTGTGTGTTTGTGCCGGCGTGTCGTTGCACCCGTGCTGATTGTGGTCGTCGTTGGTGCGTCGGAAGGAGCAGCGGATGTGTTATCGTCCTGAGAATTCGGGTTGTCCTTGCGCAAGATCTGCATTCGCGAGACTGCTTCTGAGGTCGATGTATTGCTACGATCTTCGGGGGTGTCAGGTAACCCTTCTGCTTCTGGTGGTATTGTGTAGCTGTCCTCCGGAATGAGATGATACTCGTCGCACACGACCTTGAACAGGATGTAAAGGCCGTAAGTAGCTTCCACAGACCAGAAAACATCGCGGTGCTGGAACCAAGCATGTGCGAAGATGCGATATACCCGTCGGAAGATGTTTGTGAGCTGGCGCATACTCTGGAGCACATTCCCACCCTCACCACCCAATGCCAATCTGGACGGAAAGTGTTTCGGACTGGTAAGGACGTTCGCGGCCCAGTCGAGCGTGTGGTTGCAGTAGTCGATCGCGCAGCAAGATTTTGGAGGTTCGTGGACAGCACAGAGATACTGCCATTCACTTGCTCGCATTTCAGGACACGTCTGGGAGGAACAGGGAGGATTGTCGTTCATCAAGAATATCGAGACCATGTTTGCCTTCTGTGTGAGGAACCTGCAAAGCTCGTACAGCCACAGATTTCGATCCACAGACTCATGTTCGTTGAGCTGTGGGGGGGTTGCCAACTGGAACGCCGTCTCTTTTGAAATAGGAATTGTATGTGTAGATTCTGAAGTGTGTGTGAGGTGAGAGTAAAGCGCTTTGAGGTGTTCTTGAAGTTGGAAGGGCGAATCAAGCTATCACAGCCTGGTCAGTCTTGTTGCGCTCATCCCGAGACTGCTGCTCATACCTGGTTCAGAGGGACAAGAGGAGGGCCCAAAGCCATATCCGCGGCCTTGGTGCCCGGTCTGATTCTGCGCGCGGCGCCTTCATCTGGCTTTCCCGGCGCGTCGAGGGAGAGTTCTTTAGATATGTCGGTCATTCCAGGGCTTTTTGGGCCGAATTGGACTTCTGGGATCGGAGGAGGAGAGGGCAGTCGTGGTGAACTTGACGGCGAAACGCCAGCCCGGGCCGCACTTACTGCAGCCATTTCCTGTGTGGTGATCAGTAATGAAGTGGGAGGGCGTGCGACAACGAAGCATACCTATCCCTGCCCCTCGATGGACGGCAGGAGCACCTCTTCGTCAAACGAGAGGTCGTCCTCCTCTGGAGGAAGGGCGACCACAGGGCCCGAGAGCCACTTAATGACCAAGTACCAACGTTCCCAACGTTCGGAAGGCCGCGTCCAGTGGTTCCAACGTTGCAGGTTGTCCACGGTGAGACTGAAGAGCCCGCCCTCACCAGACGATGTACTTGAGGAGGAGGAGGAGCGTGAAGACATGTCTTCGGCTATGTTTCCGTATACGAAGATTAGAGTTGCGGGATCGACAGTTAGAGTGGCGCTAAATTGCACTCACTGTCACGGACGCTCCACAGCGCTGGAACGGCAGTATTTTTGACAACGTATCACGATATTGATGGCCACCGCCCGGACATCCAATACATATCCATTGTACCCTCATTACGATTACCTGTTGTCCGACGCCCTTCAATGCCTTGCGGAAGACCTCAGGCGTGCGTCGTGATCAACAACAATGGACGACGATATTCCTGACCTTGTCGACCTCCAGGGTCAGAGTGGCAGCGATGGCGAGACACCTACGATGAAGAAGGTACCCATCACCATTGTAACAGGTAGGAGGCAGTCCATTTCGGACCTGTTCCAACATCTGACACCCACAGGCTACCTGGGCGCTGGCAAGACGACACTGCTCAATTACATTCTCACAGCCGAGCACGGCAAGAAAATTGCAGTCCTCTTGAACGGCATGTCTCACGCCTCCCTCTGAGGAGCATCTGTCCATTCTGACAGCATGGACCAGACACCCCAGCTCCCGATAACAATTGTTTCTAACATTTCGTATTTGTTTACAGAGTTTGGCAACACTGCCGATATCGAAAAATCCCTGACCGTCAACCAGGGCGACCAGTCCACCACGGAATGGATCCCACTCGCCAACGGATGTATCTGCTGCAGCGTCAAGGACAGCGGGGTCGCCGCACTGGAATCGCTAGTGGAACGCCAGAAGGACTTTGACTACATCCTCCTCGAGACCACGGGTGTTGCAGATCCAGGAAACATCGCGCCCATGTTTTGGATGGACGAAGGCCTGGGCAGTAGCATCTACCTCGACAGTATCGTGACCGTCGTCGACGCGAAGAATATTCTCAAAAGCCTTGACGAACCTGCACCTGGAGAAGTGCCAGAGGGAGAACTAGAAAATACCAAGACCGTGTCTGACCACCATCACGACTCCCCTCTCCTTACGACAGCCCACCTCCAGATCTCGCACGCAGATGTGATCATCCTGAACAAGACAGACCTGGTGTCAGAGCCCCAACTACAACAAGTCCAGGCGCGCATTACGTCCATCAACAACCTCGCCCGGCTCATCCCAACCAACCACTCGCGCGTCGAATCGCTAAGCGGCACAGTCATTGATCTCAACGCCTACTCCACCTTCCCAACTTCAAATACTGTATCCAGCATAGCGGCAAAGCCAGACTTCTCCTCCAAAGGTCACTCACACCTCGACCCTACCATCTCAACTGTGACGCTGGCACTCCCACCTTTCGATCCCCAAAAACTGCCCTACCTCGAAGCCTGGCTAGAATCAATCCTCTGGGAAGCAGAAGACAACCAGGCCGGCCAACCGCGAAAGTACGAGATCCACCGGACAAAAGGGCTGATACCGGTCATGGACGGCACTGTCCGAGTCGTCCAGGGTGTACGAGAAATTTTCGACATAATCGAGGCGCCCAGACCTAGTGAGGGTGCTGGTCCAGAAGAGGGCAAGATTGTCTTTATCGGACGGAATCTCGACCTGCTTCCTGGATTTGCGGGCTGATTTCGTAACGGCACGGACGATATGAAACATGCCGCGTGAACCACAAGCAAGGTCTCCAAGCGAGACTACCGTTGTTCGATATAGACTACGATAGTCTGGTGATGCAGAGCACGATGTCCGTCAACACCCACACATCATTGACAGATACGGAGGGCCTGCATTTGGGTCATGCAATCGGGGTTTGGAAGCTCAGCGACTTGCATCTGCGACAAGACCAACGGTTATGATCAAAGTGGTGGAGATGGAGAAGGGACGTGTCGCGAAGGGATTCGTGGATTGCAGTATTTACAAATGCTTGAGAAATGGGGGTTAGAAAAGCCCGACAGTGTGCGGCTCTGCAAAGCTCGTGAGGGTAGCTAGCCTTGAAGGATGTTGTATGTCGTATGTATATACTGTCCCGTGATTGAACGTGGACCCCCCGGATGGCTGACCAGTCAACAGCCACTATCATCTGCCATGAAGGCAGTGTGCAGCGTCAGGGCACGACTTGCTCACCTGCGACCAACCTCGCCGTTGATATCGACCCCTGTACTGCAAAGCTCGGAGGTTTTGAGATGAACGTCAAAAATCGAAAACAAGACATAAATTGATGCAGATCGCTTGCGAGAACCGCCATCTAAGGAAGCTTTCACGAGTCCTGTGTCGCCCCATGAAGCGCGCTATATAACATGTGTCTGGAAATGTCGTTCGGCTGGGATTGTGTTGGAAGTAAAACAGAATGCTCAATCAAGACAATCCGTCCCTAGCACCCGAAAAATGACACATTGCCCTGCCCGGTACCGTTACCCTCGAGCATAGTCAGAGCTCTAACAGCTCTATCGCTGTGATCGTACCCGAACGTCCATGGGGAATGCGAGGACGCCGTACTTGCTTGTGTCTGCCCGTGTCCAAACCCCGTGCTCAAAGAATCCCTTTGCAGCGCAGTGGTGGTATCATGAATTCAAATTGCTCGCTGAAATGTCATCGCTTCGCTTTAACTGTCGCCAATCCGGCCAGATTAAACGGCCTATGGCGCGGAGGACACCGCTAGGTAGCTCATCCATCTATCATAACTCGTCTCGGTTATATACTGGGTGAACAACGCCAGGAAAGGGCTTTGATGGTTCGCTTTGATGCAGGACTGATCAGTACGCTTCCGAGTGCTGTGCATCAGCTGGTCTCAGAGCTTTGCCGAATCTGGTGCGAGCTTGTGTCTGGTTGCTGGCCTAAATTGGCTGCGTCTGTCCGGAGAACCTGCGCCATCGAGCCTTCTGAGCCGAGGATATCCTTATGCGCCCAATCGTCACACGCAAGATCGTCAAGCGCATGCAACAGACACCCTTTCCCATCTGGGGTCGCGTGAGTGATGTCTTCATTGGCGTCCCACGGTATCGCTCAGATGACTTTCTCTTCGCAGCGTTGTGAGTCGCCTGTTTCATCGCCTCCAAGCCCGTTGTCAGCCGACAGTAACGCAGATTGACTATGCTGATTCGATGGTGCGTGACTGCTCAGCGCAATTGGTGATCCTGAGGTCACCTCCGGTAGCTGGGGCTTGGGGGGAGGTTCTTCATCGCGGGAGGATACTTGATGCAAGGACGTTACTACAAGAGGTGCGGAGACTTCACCCGTTGGATGTGGCTCTCTTTTGGGGTCGACAGTGGTAAGGTGGCTATGTCCCAAGAGGTCATCAGACGGGATATTAAGAGGCTCGTCAAAGCCGCTGTCCGCATAAGACAGCTTGGGTGGCTCTCTCGAGGCCGGCGCAGTGTACCTCTGTGGTCGTGACGAAAGGCCTTCCAACTCTTCAAGATGCGGCTTGAGGCGGCCCGCAGACAAAGGACCCGTGGTGGTTTGCCCGTTTCGTTGCTCGTGATTCAAGTTTGAAGGTTTTCGTGCGTCAAAGCCTTCGACTTCCGGGCCCTCTGTGGTTGATGAGAGATGTGCCAATGTCGGGAGGTTAGATTGGCTGTTGCGTGGTGTACTGTCGGAAGCCAAAGAGTTTGCCGTATGCAATGAAGGACGTCTGCGTGAGTCGATGGTCGTTTCCATCGACTGTGGTGTGGCGACATCCATTGACGAGTCTGGAGACGGTGCTTGATCTGGGTTGGTCAATCCTTCTAGGATTTGCAACTCTTCCTTGTTGAAAGTCTTGCGAGCAATGAGATAAGGATGACCGTCGAGTTCAACCTCGTCGAATTCACGATCCATCCCTGGAGATATGGCAACAATGTTGGGCTCCGTTGCGTCCGCTGGCGCTGGTGGTTCATCGTCCTGCCGCCAATGATGTCTCTCGCTCCTCGCAAGGTGACTATAGTTTGATGGTGGCGCTCTTCCTCTGGGTCGGTCGTATGCCGAAGTCTCACTGTCAAACTCGTAGTTGGATGACTTTGGATAAGTGAAGGTGTAGTCATCCCTTGAGCTTTCAGGAGAATACGGTATGTCTTCAACCCCATATTGTGAAAAGCGTTCAATGTCGTCACGTCCGACGGCATCAGCAGGATCGATATAGTCTTTCGGAGTGCGCAGCTTAAGGGCAGGCCTCTCACGTTGGGCTGAAGGCTGTCTCGATCTCGAAGATTCCTGAGGGAAAAGCTGGATCAGAGCTTTGGCCGAAAGCCGATCTCGAGGTCGATCAGCCAAACAAATTCTGACGATATCCTGATACCACTCTGGGACTTCTGCGGGGAACTCTTCTACACTTAGTGGCGGAACATGTCGCTCAGGCTCGTCATCATCCATGGCCAACGCCCAGAGAGTCATTCCCAACTGGTAGAGGTCGGATTTCTCGCCGATGTACATGGAGATTCGCTGATTGCTGGCGATCTTGGTAGCGATCTCGGGAGGCTCCCATCCTACCGGACAGCCACGCCGGTTGATGTCGATGATCTTAGCGTTCCCTTCCTGATCCACCACGATGTTCGACAGCGTAAAATCGCCCTGTACGAAGCCTTCTTCATGGATCTCGCTCAAGCCCCTGACAGCTTGCTCCGCCCATCTCGACCGATCCTCCCAAGGAATTGAACCCCGGTGATCATAAAGCAAGTCGACAACGGCACCTTTTTCGGCAAAGCTGATCAACAGTCCTCTAACCGACTGTCGTTTATCATCGAGGACAAGGGCTTCGAGTTGGATGACGTGACTGGAGCCATGGAGAGCATGCAGAGCGTTGATCTCATACAGAAACTCGTCAACAGTGTCTGGTCCTGGAATCTCTTTCTTGATGTAAACTTTGTTCTCATGCCGCACCTTGTAAACGAAGCCGGACAAGTGAGAGTCGAAGGCTAACTCATTCTCTTGCACTTCCATCGGGCGGAAGTCTTTGTGGTCGAGAATATGCGCGACGGTACTTCGTGGCGGATATGGAATTATCTCATTGACATCCTCGGTGACATGGACATGTAATCGACCATCGGTAGTCTCCAATTTCAGATTTGTTACCGTATCGTAGAATTGAATATCTGGAAGTGAATCACGGATAGACTCATATATCTGCATACTCTTGTCTCTTTGGAATTGAAGCTCCTTCAGGTCCATCTCCAAAGAGCATGGTTCGGCATTGCGATAGTCACATGAGATCGTGACTCGTCGCCACTTGGTTGGAGTCTCTGCATAAGTGACAAAGAATTTTTCCCGATCCGACTTGTCCCTGAAGTGCATACTCAGGTTGAGGATCCACCGATTGTCCAGCTCATCTCTCAGGTCAGCTTTGTCGTTGACAGGAGGCATTCGAGGAAAATGCGAGTCATCAGATGAGGTCGTAGACGGTGGTCGAGGAGGTCGATGTATATCTTGCGGCCAAAGATCTTCCGACTCAGTTGGAAGGGCGGGATCCAGGGACGATGGCACCAGGTCAATGTTTACCTCAGTGGCAGCGGTATCAGCCTTGATGGTGGTAGGTACCGTTGGTTCAGAGGACCGGCCAGGGTCACAATGCGCCGGTGAAGAGGTGGATCGGGTTCGGGGTAAGCTTGTCGAGGCACGTCTGACAGAAGAGACAGCTCGTCGCTCGGCATGACCAGGCTCGACGGGAAGCAGCCGTTCCCGTCTCTCGGAATTTTGACGTCTAAATGTGGCCTGCCGAGGGAGGCCAATGGCGAGCGGCCTCACTGACGAGTCCTGTCGAGCGTGGTTGTGAGAGTCTTCGTTCCAAGTCTCGGGCCATTGTCCCTCATTCGTGCCGTCGATGGGACTCTCATTCAGATCGTCTTTGATGAAGAGACTGTGGATTTTCTGCCACATGCCCGATTTGTGTTTGGGGTGTTGGGGCTCGGAATCGACCTGTCTTATGGGTAACTCAGCATGGTGAGGTCGTATGCCCATATTGAGGAGGATGGCCTAGTCTGATCCGAGTGAGGGGCAGCCACCACGACGGAGCAGCAACCTCTGCTAAGTCGACTGGCACCACAAGAACAAGTCGTACGCTGCTTGCTAGGACGGCAATCGGACATTGAAATTTGATGGTGACACAGAGCGATTCGACAGGTCTTATTGGTGACAGCACATTGCACAAAGGACCGGGGAGCAGATAATCGATGGAGTGCTTTCTTTTCCCAAGCGGTGAGAATTCGAAGCCACGCAGCAGTTTCGTGTCTCAATCAATGCTGCAGGCGCCGGGTTCTACGAGAAACCACAGAAGGTCCCGTCGGCCGACTTTAAGCTGCGCAGGTAGGAAGAGTCTGTGTAAAGAAGTGCCAACAGCAGAGATGCTGGGTATTATGATTGTTGGCGTTGACAATTGACCCGCATAAGCCGGGTTCGAAGTGTGGACTCGAACTGAAGCGACCTGTCAGGACGGGTATGATGCAAGAGGAGTGATCGAGAGGATCGTGAGTCTGGGATGAAGATGTGAAAACGAGGGTGTTTTGTGCGTTGGTTGGGTTTATTGAGATGTTCTACACCGCTTAAGCAAGGTTAGCAAGCGACGACGCCTGTTCTGATGTTGGGCTTGGGTTCTTGATTCTTTTCCAGTTAGGCTAAGGCTGGGGGTCGGGCTCCCAGGCTTTAGCTTTGGCACCTAAAACGTAAGTAAAGCAGCCAATGTCGTTAAACGTGCTCGAGCTCCGGCCCGCTGCTTCCTGGTTCCGCGCCTCGGGCCTCGTGGCATGCTTTTAACTTAACTTAGTCTACTGTAAACACATACGAGATGGGGTTTGATTTGTTGAGATGGACCAATTGTTCATCAAATACTCCTTATTTGCTATCTCAATTCCTCGTCCCAAATGTTTATGAGCAGGCAAACTTGAAGCGCCCACGAACATGTTAACGACCATGCAAGGCAGCGAACAAAGATACAATCGAACCAGAATGATGAGCTGTGACCAGTGCAATAACCACGCCAGCCACATCATGAATTGCACTGTACCTGTACTTTGTGCTTTGCTTTGCTTGCATTGCCTGCCTTGTCTCAGCCCGGCCCCCAGACTTTCAGACGTCAGCCAGGCTCCAGCCTCCAGCCCACTCAATGCTGAACCTCACTACGGAGTACCCTTCAGCTTCAACGTGGTCGTTTGGCGTGATGACGAGCACGGTAATAGCAAACTATGGGGCGCCCATTGCTGTTGCCAGTCCGGAGGGTTTTGCGGGAGAGAAAGGCGACCGACCCCAAACGTGCATTTCGATACCTCACTCCGGACTCCGGACTCACACCTAATCGCCCTTCTTCCTCCAATCTAACTCTCCGTGCATTTTGGTACATCTTCCGACGTTGACTGCTTCCATCCTCCCGACTCACTACTGCACTTCTTGCAGATGCCGTCAAGACGCGTGCATCACGGCCACTCATTTCCCTTTCTTCCGGCCGTTTTGGTCCAATTTGTTGCCTCATCTCGTTGGGCCTCAATATTCCGATATTTCCTGCCCTCGATTGGGCTTTCACTCTGCTTTTTTCTTTGCTTTTGTTTCCCGCTTACATCATATCACATCGTGGCATCTTACTAGCACACATTAACCCCTTCGATATCGGAGCTCAATGTGCAATGATCTCATGAAAATGACAATCTCCGTGGCTCGTGATCACTGATTGTCTGGTCTAACTATGGTGGGTGAGAATTCCAACGTGGACCAATGCACGCATCAACCTGCAATCACCTGTATCTCTCAAAGAATATTCACCACCTCATGGCACTGGATGGAATGATGATGATATATCACACCACAACAAGAGGTTCTGCTTGATGACGATCTCGGGAGCCTTGTGATACACCGCTCATTCTGCGATCCAAGGCTCCAACAGGGCAGTTTTGACAGCTTTGACAACTTACACCGGATGTCACCCGTCTCCCGGTCAGAACGACCATCTTCGGTATGGGAGATGTCATGAGCCGTCAGCAAATAACGCTGTCTCACCGTTCTACCTTGATTCAAGGAAGTCGTCGACCCGACATACTCGTAAGATTTCTGAGCAGAAATGCTGAATCATCGTGATTGGGTATGCCCTATTGATGTTCTAATGAACCATGATGGAACTTGTTTCTCAGCGAATCTCATACCCAGCATCTCGTTCGAGTCTCAGAAGAAAGCCTGCTTCTGTACGATGTGGACAGCCGATCGCAGTGTAACCACTCAGACGCGGGTCCGGTATGGCCACGTAAGTCCCTACGAGACACAAAGGGCCGTTAGAAAGACCGTCGTCTGTATACAAGCTGGGCTTGAAGACCCCAGGAGGCCATGACCACTGATTCTTTGTGGTGGAAACAAGCTGGATAGTTAAGACAAGAAGCCTTGACTTCCTGTGGCCGTCCACTCCCTTCCGCTTCCTGGAACATCGCCCCTGTCTGGCATGGCATTTTTACGTGTGTGCACTCATTGATCTGCATGACCGTGGAAAGGACTGTGTTCGGCAGTGATCATGGGGATGTCTCATGACGGAGTGCAAACGTTACCCATGCCCTCAATATGGCAGGAAGTCTTAACCTCACAACCGTTTCACGACATACTGATGCCCAGCAAGATTCAGTCCCAACAATGTTCTTTTCTACATACACCGTAACCCACTTTCCAGAGAGGACTCCAATTGTACCATGATATCTCTTCAACCAACCCAATGCTGTTCTCTTTTCAGGGGATAATCCCTCCTGTACGGTCTAAGCAGCATACCGTTTTCGCCTTGGTCCAGGTCTAATACGCAGTCAAGCCTTGAGCCCACCATGCTTTTCCATTATTTCCACTGGGCAATCATCATCCCAACGCCACCAAATTTCTGTAAGAGTATTTATCATGGTCTAAACCTCAACCTGAAGCCAACTTCACCACCCGGGCCGTCTATCTTTCGTATTTGCCGCCCATGGCTGCCCATCAAGTATCCTGTACCGTCGCCTGCTGACCCTTCCGTCCTTACACTCTTGCCGTTCTGCTGGGTGACATATATAAAGCGGGCAATGGTATCTGCCTCGCTGAGCTGCTGAGCATTGAAATGTTTGCGCACTGCATTCACCAAGTGCGAGGCTGGTTCGCGCCGGCCAAGGTACGTTGACGTAGCGGTCGTTGACGCATCAGCACCGGGCTCGGAGCTCTGGTCGTGTACCTCTACCGACTGCGCCACAGATGTGGATGTCGGTGCGTTGTCTTTACTCTTGTCCTTAGACTTGGTACTCTTGCTGCCATTTTGCTGTGCGTACTGAAGTTTCCGGCGTTGTTGCTTCTGCTCGTGCATTTTTCGCCGAGCATATACCGCTGAAGGGGTGCGCAGAGCGAGATCGGAAGAGGTGTACGTCAATTCGGCGTGTGGGTGATTGAATGCTGAAGCGACCGAGAGACGATGGGCGATTCTGTAGGTGCGGAGGATGGGAACTGGCATCGTAGTCCAATCTGTCTATAACAAGATCTTACGTTAATATCATGCACTTCCACGTGTGTTGGCTTGTCAGGGAGACGTACCCGAGGCAGGTTGGGATCTCTCTCCGCCTCGACTGCTGCGGGAGCAGAGCCGTTCAGGGCAGCCTTGGTTGATCCATTAGGAGCGCTCGTGTTGAGTAAGGAGCGTTTGTTTTTGGATACACCTGATGCGCCGGTCGGTCCCAACAAGGATTTGTCTTTCAAGATGGTGACAATGCTCGAGGCGTCGGATCTAGAGTCGTCGAGGTTGCGGGGGCGTGCAGGAGGCATCGTCAAGAAACTTTTTTGACCAGGGCAAGACGGAAGAAAGACGATCAAAAACGCACAGAGCGAAGTTGAGCTCGGCTCGGCTCCAAAAGGCTGTTACATCTGAGCCGCTGACGACTTATGCTTGAGCTGTAGTTGATGGTCAAGGACGGACAGTTTCCAATTCCCGTGAACCTCAGGGACACGCGCAGCGCAGGCAAAAGAACGAAGCCTCGAATCACGATGCAATGCGAATGATATCATACCTGCCACATCTGGCGGCAGTGGCGGGTACATCCGTCGCCTTGGCATATGGGCGGCTGCCAGTGCCTCTCCGTCTTGAATTGTTTGTGGGATAGAGGAAGAGGAATGCGCACCAGATGCCATGAGTACAAGTAGGATTCGCGCCGCTTGTCCATGGCTCTTTCAAGTGACTGCTTTCCCACGTATAGGAGATCGAAAGGCTGATCCCGAAGCGGACCACTTGCCAGGTGCCTCTGGAGAAGCCTTTGACTACTCTCAGAGACGGCCGAAGAGAGCATTGAGTCCCGTATACTTTCATGAACGATTGTCACTACACAGAGGAGAGATGTGAAGAGACGAATGCACAGCTGATTAACTGTTGGTTTGTACAGGCTAGGTTTGTTTAGAATCGCCGCAATCGCATTCTATCTCCGAACCATGCAAGAAGGTGACCTGACGCAGTTGCATACCAGGCACATATGCACTGTTGCCAGCCAGTCCAGAGAGATTACTGTTATCACTCGCGTTAAATCATGCATGAACACCTACAGTACCTACCCAGGTACCTTCATCGCGACCCATCATATCCCTTGTGCGACCACAAAGCATGTGCAATTTCCATACAACGTATCAGCGCAGACCGATTACCATACGTCTTCTCGACATGCGGATTTGCATCGTCTCATCTCACCTCCAGTAGAAGTTGTGCGCCATCTGCCGTGTTCCACGGACCAGCATCATCCCATCTTCGAGGTTCTGGTGTACAACCGCTTTTCTGGCGTCGAGAGGCCGTCCGTTCGCAACAGCTCCCAGTGGCAACGAAAACCTCGCTGTCCAAATTTTCGACCACATGGATCAAGCGGTCATATGTAGATAAATTCTTGCAGCATGCGAAGGGAAGTCCCAAAAGAGATGCGTGGCCACCCCTCGTCAAGTAATCATGGTGGACTACACCAAGACCGAATATCCCGAGACAGTGTGGAATTCGAAACCATATAGTTGTTGAGAGATGCGCTATACTCGGTTCTGATGGTTGGGAAGCATGTTATCAATGCTCAGTTCCACATTCTCACATGGACGAACATCATGGACGTTTCAGAAAATCTCTGCATGTGGTATGCTGGAGTTCTGTTGCGCTGGCTAAGAAATCTTTGTCAGCTTGATGGAGGTGTAAACGGGGGAACCAGCCTGATGGGAATGAATATCCGCTGTACGTGACGTCAAGCAAGTGGTTGAAAAGCACATGCAAAGTGTCGTTGACCTCGTTGAGTCGTTGAAGGGCCTTCTTATCGCCATGCACCGAACAACTCCCGGCCGGACACTCCGCTACAACACTTACGAATATCCAAGCTCAGATCCATCTTTTTCTGGCAATTTTTCGTTGCCTTCCACATCCAGTCATGTCGGGCTTTGGGACAAGACGAAATGTGACTCGGACCCAAAATACGGAGTACCCTTCTGCACTACCTATGGTACTCATTCCTATCAGCGATGTACCATGGGGAGTTTATTCGAAGGCGCGATATTCGTGAAGAATTTGACATGTGGCCTCCATCCAAGTTACACATGGAGATACTTACCTGACTTTCGGGTATAGCCGCGCGATTTTTGGTTTTTGCGCAGCCCTCATGAATAATATTCTTTGACATGCAGAAAGTTTTCGGACATTCCGTCTCAGTAACCTTGCGATGCTGGCTGCCCCAATATCTCGAACTGTGGCGTGTTCGGAACATGTAAGGGTGTCCCGCCCGTCTGTGTTGATTCCGATGTAGCGGATTCAGTACTCAGGATCTCAGCCTCGCGGAAACTATCCTCTCTGGAAATAGCCGAGGTCGGAGTTGTGGTACCACCCGGAGTGGCTGCGAAAGGCCCCCCCAATCTATCGGCCTTCAGGACCCAGAGGCGATTTGGACGGCTGATATTGATCAATGTATCGCTGGGCAGAAGTCACCACGTGAAGCTAGGCAGTTGCCTCCATCGAACGAAGAACGGTCCGTGACCATATGCTATTGATGGAGCATTCCCTGTTGGTGCACAAACCATGAGGCCGTTCCCTAGAAGCGCAGTATCCGGTGAAGCACTGACTTCAAGCACTGTCCCACAGATGAAAGTCAGGCAGGGCGAGGGCTTTTCTCTGTATGCACCTATGACTTGATCTTCCAGCAACGAGCTAATCGCAAAATCATACGAAAGGATGCTCACACATCGACACCCCCTTATCACTGTTGCGTGTTGTGACGCCAGCAGCATCAAGTTGCGTCAGATTACAGCTTGCAAGGCTGTGTCACAGTCGATGGTCCAATTGTACCAACTTTTTTGTTGTGATTGTCAATTCTGTCCGGCATGGCGAAAGTGGTTGACATGTTCGCTTCACCAGGAGGAGACGTCCCGATGACCTTCATGTCCTGGTGCACTCTCCTCCGGTCGAGAGATCAATGCGTCTTTTTGCCCGGAGGTGATAAACCGAAGGTCTCGCTTGTTCATTTTACTCGATACGATTCATGATTTGTCGACTGCAACCGCATTCTGGGATGACAGCCAGAGTTGAATTCGATTTACCATATTGTCGAAGCGAAAGAAGCGTGTCATGCGATCTGCGTGGTGACATCGCATCGGCTGACCAGCGCGGGACATGTGGCCTCTGCCGCATGTTGCGAGACTTGACGACCCGACGGCCACATCGTAGATGTATACCTTTGATCACGATTGTAGCTGGCAGCAAGCAATAGCGACTACAAGCTGTCAATTCTCGGCCAGAACCCGTGTCGAAACGCAGAACCCAGCGGAGCCGACACTATGAGCCGTGATCTGATAAGGGACTCACAGTCTCACAGTGACCTGTTGTGAAGGATTCCATGTGGGGAAAGAGCCCACGTTCAAGTTGCTAGCCAATTTCCTTTTTCCCATGGAAGTGGGTGGCCTCGATAGCCTAGAACATTTCCGGTTGCAAAAGACATCCTCGCGGATGATTGTTTAACTTATCTGACGAGAAGAAACAACATCGACAAAGGAACTCCGTGAACCCCAGGGGGCACTGGTCCAGAGGTTGCGCCGTGTCTTTAGCCGGGAACCGAGGGCAGCAGGCTGAAAGGGTCGAGACTGTGGAGAAGTGGGATAGTCTGGTCTGCTGGAGGATCTAAATGAGGCTTGAGCACATGTTTGGGACGGTTTCAATCCTTGGTTGAATGATTGTTATCCCTGTTGTTAGCCTAGTCAAATCAGTGAAATCAAAGATGCACGGGTATGTCATCTCGACGCGCCAGTGATTACTCCCGGGAGTGCTGCCTTGTCTCTGAGGGTGCCGATGGTTGTGCCCAAAGCAAATGACCATTTAGAGCACACCATCAACAATTGATGAAGTTGCACATGCACAGTGCACATGCCAAAGCCTTTTCACTTTTTTGGTCTGACACGGGATAGACTGACAGGAATTCTCCTTCTTTGCCATCAGTTGATCATCATACCGCAAAGTTTCCGGGCGCATGATGTTATCACTTATCAGGCAAAGAATGTGGGGGAGAGGCGCGATATGGACGCTGATTGACGAGGCCGATACGACTCGTGTTGCATGACTAGTCCAGGAACTGCGGCGGTCAGCCTTCGCTTGTCAGCTCCCTCAAACTTGGCCCCGTGTCTTGTAATACTTTTCTCTGTCAGTACCGGTCATACTACCTGCAACTCCATATACGAATAATGATGGCGGTATGAGTCCAGAACCTGGATCGCGCACAGAGTGTTATGTCCCCCTGTCACTTTTTGTCAGGATGGGATCCATTCTCAGTGTAGGACGTCTGTTGCAGAGGTAACAAGGGACTCTGAGAATTGTATCTCGGGGCATTCAGACCGAGAGCCCAGCTAGAAACACATATGCTACGGGCTTCCCCACTTGTTGGCTGTAAGGTCCATTTACGAAGGGTGCCACCGAAGGGAGGCGTCCCGCAATATCCGTGGCCATACCCATTCAGAGGCCCAGCGTCTGCCCACATGCTCCTCCTTTAGCCAGCTTCTGTCCGATTCTGGGGCCGCCGAAGGCTAAACGCTAGGGTGATTTGGGCAGTCTTCTAGGTTCGGATTTGGCCTCATGGATGGGGTGATTGCTGATAACACACGGGAGGGTCGGTCGGGATACCGTTCTGGCATTCTGGAAACTTACCAGGGAGGATGTCGGCCGTAGCCTTTGGTACTGTGAGGATCGTGGGATTCATGGTCGTGTCGTAAGGATATTCGGCGGCGAGAAAAATTAATTGCATTTTCAAATTGGAGTACATCATTATCTGATGGCAAGGTCTGGGTACGATGCGATCAACGAAACCATTGGGGCGCTCAGATCATTTTGTAGGCTTCAAAGCTGCTGGATTGGTCTTTGGGGCAAAGCAATAGTATGCAAGGTCCTTTTTGGGTGCGTGGGAGGGACACTGTTTCCGGGCCTTGTCGTCACTTTGGGCTGAAGTGGTGTGAACACAGTATCCGTATCAATCAGCCAAATCGACATGGATCAGGCGGTGCTCAAGACTGCAAGAGATAGCGTAGGTAGACGGTACCCTCGCGGTACTCCGGACGGCGTATCTGGTAAGTAGAGAGGTACATGACCATGAGTGTCGGTGAGGCATCAGGATGAGTTACTTTCACCCGACGGACTCCATTCCGCCTATCTGTCTCCCCGAGTTATTATCGTTGTTGGGATATTCTTTTCTGCCTGACGGCCTCTGGCAGTCGCTTCGGCATTTCCTCCTGGTCACTTTCCCGCAAGAATCTGGACCGCGGGTACTTCGGCGCTTTGGCGTCTTTTTCCTTCTTTCCCCATCTTTTTCTTTCCCATCCCCCGTATCAAATCTACTTTGCCTTTAGGTACCAACCGCGCACACGTTTACCCTGAACCAGATGATGCACAGGTCACCACGCCCACGCCCAAAGTAACATCACTGTCATCACATCATTTTGTTGTCCCATTATCGAATTCAACCACTAAGTCGATCGAACCTCGGACCGACATTCCCACCCATCAACAACTGTCACAGCTTTGCCAATTTTCCGACCCCATCAGTGCCATCACATCAGTGCTCTTCGGTCCCTCGGAGGCACTCCCAAACCTTACAATTTGCCCCGGACTATCCATCGGCTTACGGATCCCTTGACCAGTTTGATCAGCAAGGCACGCCCGCGAAACACAAAACAGAACAAGGGGCAAAACCTGCAAGAGAAAGGAATCACCAACACAACCTGGGGTGCGAGGATATACATAGAAGTGGTCAACTCGAATCAGTTTCACACAAAAGTGTGGGCGGCAATCCGAGTCGTCCAATCTTTCCATCCGGACACGCTTTTGCGTCGGGCGATGCATCAGGAATTAATTGATCCTTGATCCATCATCTAAATCCACGGAGGGTATCTCCCTACGGGGACTGACACTCAGGCCCCTTCACCTCGTCATTTTTTACACTTTCGACGAGGACCGATAAGGATCACGCTAGCTGTTCTTCGCCGTGCGCTGTGCCCACACTTTTGGCCTCAGAAAAATCACCTCAGGGCAACGGTCATAGCCTACCGCCCACCCACCCAGACTCCGGTATCTCCCACTGTTACGACACCATCCTGCAGCAGGGTCCCCCCGAAGACACGGCCTACCCTCCCACATTCCCAAGGCATTCTCGGCTGGACAACCCTCGCCTCTTTCTGCAATCTTCCGTCAGGAAAAAAAAGAAGACAGACGCACGTATTCTGCAGACCCCTGCTCCCCCCAGTCTCCAGTCTCCAGTCCGCATTGCCGGATCGGATTCGCACACAAACTTCTCTCTTCTCCAACATCAGCGTCAAGCCCTCCCTCGCAAATTACTGCATCTCTGACGCTTCGTCACCTCCCTGCCTTTCTTTTCCTCCTTCATCCCCCAATATTTCTCTGACCACACCATTACGATACGGCACCACTCGATCACCCGATTCTGCCAGACCACCCGCGCTACCAGTCCAACTTCCCATTCCAATTCTACCGAGTACGTCTTCCCGACCCCAGAGTCGGCCTGCCTTGCGCTTTCGTCACGCCCGCTATTGAGTGGATGAATCACGGCCCCCCACGATAAGCGATCATCTTTGGGGAAGACAGAAAGGTCCTCCGGCTCTCCCTTCGCTCGAATGCAACCTTCTTCGTCTGCAGTAAACTTTACTGCTCTCCTCAACCCTTCTCCTCCTTCTTCTTCCCCAGACACCCCGACTACGGCCACCTCGCAGCCGCCTCAACAGAGTGTTAGCACCGGCACGCAATCAACCAGCACCTCGATAACGACACAGACCGACGGTAATATGGCTGCCGCTGTCTGTCTATTACCTACGGCTATGGCCACTCAGACAAACAACAACGACGACCGACAGGACCTTCCGCGCCCGTACAAATGTCCTCTCTGCGACCGAGCCTTTCACCGCCTGGAACATCAGACAAGACACATTCGCACACACACGGGAGAGAAGCCTCATGCCTGCCAGTTCCCCGGGTGCAGTAAGCGCTTCAGTCGATCGGACGAGTTGACCCGACACTCGCGCATTCACAACAACCCCAACTCGCGCCGCAACCAAAAAACCCATCAAGTCGCTGCCGCTGCTGCGTTGGCTGGTCTACAGGATGGGACTAATCAGAACGTCAATTCCCAGGCGCAAATGATGCCGCCACCCAACAAGAACATGCAGAGGTCAGCACCGAATTCTGCCGCCGCCTCGCCCAATGTCTCGCCGCCTCACTCCTTCGCTGTTCATGCTGGCCATGGACACCTGGGGCATTTTGGACGACATGACGATAGAGGTAACAGCATGGATATCAATCTGCTCGCTTCAGCTGCTTCTCAGATTGAGAGAGACGACCACATAGCGCGTGTGCCTTATCAACACCAGCATCATCTTTTCAGTCATCGAACCGCCAACAGTAACGGCCGTCTGCCCTCATTATCGGCCTACGCCATCTCTTCGCACCCTATGTCAAGATCTCATTCGCAAGAGAACCACGAAGACGACCACCGCCACAAGCGATCAAGACCGAGCTCGCCTCATTCTACTGCTCCTTCATCGCCTACATTCTCCCACGAGTCAATCTCGCCCACTCCAGACCATACACCGTTAGCCACTCCGGGGCATTCACCTCGTCTTCGACCTCACCATGGCAGTGATCTACAACTACCTGGCTTGCGCCATCTTTCATTAGGGCATACACCACTTTTGGCGCCGATGGAGCCTCAGGCTGATGGATCGTACTCTCACATTCCACCACCTCAACACACCGGCCCCTCTATCGCAGACATCGTCACAGGAACGCAACGTAAACTGCCAGTCCCACAACTTCCGAAACTGGGTGTCAGTGATATGCTACATCCTCCAAGTGGGCTTAGTTCTGGCGAATCAAGTACGGCTGCGTCTATCAATGGCGACTTTTCCAGATGACTGTAGCGGAAAGGCTGGCGCTTATGGAGTTTTACAAGAATCGGACAGCACGATGTAACTGAACTCGCCTCTTTTTCCATCACGAATTCTGTTTATTTGGAGTTTTCAGGCAGAAGTATGTTTTTCCGCACATGGCATTGCATCAGGAATCATCCGGGGTCGAGGCACGACAGCGAGGAGCAAATTATAGACGGACAAGGGATACCATGGGATACCGCGCGGATGAATGCGCCGAATAGAATTGGGTTTTTTTGCGGACAGAGATTGTATGGCAAATGGTGTCGAGTCAGGCAAACGGGCTCTGCTGCTGTTGCTACAGCCAATCCCACAGTTACATGTGTAATTTTCCAGACAATCCAAATGCATCTTTTCCAGCAATAACAGTGCCTGGCCTAGCGGCAAACGTTGTGGCGGGGAGCCATGCTTTCCCATGATGCTGCCTACGGTATTCTTGCTCTGAGAACATGGGTGCAAATGACATACTGAGTTCTATGTCCTTCCGGATTCATACTTCCATCATTCATCGTCGAATGGTTCTTGATCTTGGCCGCTCCATGTTTCCGGGATATGCGCCGCTGAGTCACGATGCATCACGACATTCTACAAGGGCTTGAACAATATCAATACCTAAGCCATGCACGCCCACGAAGCCCCGGACTCGCTTAGAAGACAGATAAAGCCTCCTGATTAAGGCAGTCGTTCTTGCACCAGTGTCAAGGAGGGTGTCCTCCTGCCGGATAAGCAAAATAGGCTGAGGCGGTGGTAAATCGACCATTCACCTGCTCGCTCCAGGCGATCAACTCAGCTGTTCCCCAACTTGCCAATGCGCCCAACCTTGGGCTGAGAGGCTTCTCAGCAGACACTCACAGACAGACATCTTATCGGCCCGTGCAACACAATCCCCCCCACACTATGCAGGCCTCATCTCATGCGTGACCTGGTCCGGCTGAACAACTGACTGAAAGCATTGATCTCATTTGCCTCCAGTGGGGGCCAGGAGCGATTGCTGTCCACGAAGGAGCCAATGTGAGGCCTGAACCATGGTAATCATGTCCACCTCACCCTCGTCTCCGCGTATGCAGCGGAGCTGTGGTGTTTCCCGGGAACGACAACAAGATCAGTATCTGTCGGAGAAACAAACAATAATATGCCGGGGAATTTGGCGGAGACTCCAACATGTGGGGATCAAAAAGTTGCAATACTGCCCGGGGTGTCTTGACCTGTACCAAGTCTTCCCGGATGAAAAGTTACAACCCAACACTAGAACCATCTTTCTGGACCAGGTCTCATGCCGCGTTTGCCGAGAGAGTCCCGAGCAGAATGGACAATTTGCTGAGGATTGCTTTCCCCGATGTCGCAATGACTTCGGCTTGATCTATCAAAGTTTCATTTATTGCTTGATGGACAGAATTAACGAGCTAGCAGTGGGTATCGGTCACATCGAAAAGTCTTAACCAGATACCAGCCGTGCGTGGCGACCCATGTGCCTTTCGCACAGGCATGAGTCCGAGCATGTTCTGGACTTTGTCAAATCTTGTACCACCCTCGGATATTGTTTTGAGATAGCCGTGAGTGAGGACATTATTGCCCGGGGGGTTGTCCTCCGCTCTAGTCTCCTTCTCATTGGCAGCCAGGCTGAAAGATGATTACTACAGAGGACACCACTGCTGCGGCGGGCCAGTCACGTCAATATGTGGAGATCCAGATCAATTACTCAGGGAGGAATGTGTGTCAGATTCTCGTGATAAAACATGTCTTGACTACCTAGGTACTCGGGCGGATGTCTTCATCAGGCTAAATGTCACCCGGGACACGATACCGGTGGTCCGAGGCTCTCACATCTCACGACTTGGCAGCCCTCATACACCAAACTGGTCTCTTATTGTTTGGCGACTCAAGGTATGTATCAATTGTTGGGTTGGATCGGCACAGACCTGATTCAAAAAGACGCGAGGTGCAGTGAGAGAGGGTACTTCAGCCCCAGATGAGATAATCTGTGAGCAAAATTACGCCATCCAAATGTACATTTCTGCAACTTCCTTCTGCCCGAAAACAGGCTGTGAAGCATGGATCGTCCTTGCTAGTATGAGACAAAGCTTTGGCAAACCAACATGAGCACGTCGTGATTATTCAATAATTGATTCATGGATGGTCAATGTGCTCCCCTGAGAACCTCATCAGAGGGTGAGGAGTGACCCCACCGGCATCAACTAAGTAATCCTTCTTCCGAAGGTGGTGGTGGTGGGGGAACACGGAGATCCTGGGGCACTTCCTTCTCATCAAGGCCTCGAAATGCCTTTTTGCGGGGAATGCTACATGCAGTCTACTGGACAATTCCGTTTTTTTGTCACTTTTACACAACAACTCAGACGACGTTACAGTTCATGACTGGGCATCCGAGCGGGGGTGACGAGGGCTTTACTCGACCTCGCCGGCATCCACTGGCCGGGAACATGGGCAAGCGGAATGCGCAGGCACATGCTGAAATTCGAAACCCGCTGTTTTCCGCCTTGAGGATCGACAATTCAACAGAAACTTACGTCAAAGCTTACGTTGAGGGTGGATGACGAGCACTTTTGCATCTCACTTGTCGCCATGTTGTGTGACTCTCTTATCTCTAGTCGGGGCGCAGAAGATACGACTGATTACCGGTTCAGATGCCGATCGAGTCAGTGGCTAGTTGCTTTGCTCTTGTACCGCGCACTCAAACCACAGTATCTTCGAAGACAAAGACTTTTGCCTGTCGCCGGTAATTGCTCTTCTGTCGCTCTCCATATGCTGATTGATGAGACGCAACCTTTGTCTGATCAGTGAACTCAATCCGTCACCGAACCTTCTGACACGAGTCTTGGGAACGAAAACGAAAAGGCTGCATCACTGGTAAGCGGCAGTAATAAGTTAACATTTCATGAGGTATTACTATGCAGCAGCCCAGAGTTCTTAGACACGAGCTTTGTTGCGGAAAGGCATTGGTATCACTAAGAATGACAACAGGAGCAGGATAGATACGACAACGAGGCATGGGGGGAGGTGGACGATCAATCCAATTCTCACAAGAGAGCTTTCCAACCTCTTATCATTCCCAGTCGACTCTCCATTCGCGAAAGTCTATACTGATTCAAGTCCCACTCGCGCAAGTTGCAACAAGAAAATCCCCATACGGATGGCAGTGTGAGGAACAGACCGTCTTTGATGGTGTTAGCGGAACCGATGTATTTGGTGGAGGCCATGGATGATCGACAATTTCTCAGCCTCCTCCACACCCGCCATTGACTGACTGGAGCTTTCCCCGTGCAGTTGTTGCAAGAGATTATTGCATCCGAACTTGGTCCCTCCGCCCGTTGAGGAGAATTGACCTTGCTGTTAGGTTTGGCAAGCCTTGTTTCTTTGCCTCACGTTCCGACGGATCTGTAAGTTACTGATCGAGATTCTAAACTCGCATTTCAAGGCCAGCGGTGGCCGTCCTGGGGTGTGGACCAACTGAAGAACAAACTACTTGTTGTTTCCAGAATGGGGTGCTATCGCCGCTTCTGATCGGTGATCAAAGTCCTGATAAACATTGTCGGTGTTTTGGACCGATGCGAAGTTTGAGATAAACGGCCCGTTTTGACGCCTACCGATGACGTTGACGAGTATCCTTGTATGTACTCCGGTTCGGGGTATCTATTGCCCATCATTATTATTGAGCACCATGCCTTGCACCATGCCTTGCACCGTTCAGCTCCTTATCAGAGCTTCGATGATCACCTTTTGGAGGTCTCGGGATGTGGTCCAGGTACGGTGGGCACGGGTGGGCTCTTCCGGTTACCATTAGGCGGATGGCCGTATCTGTTTCGCAAATGCTGCCTGTTGCTGTTGTTCGAATCACTTGATTCTGCTGGTTACGCAGATGGGATTGTTCACCGTATGCATCTGGCCTCGCTGGCTTGTCCCCCGGATTTATTTTGTGGGAGACTCCCGCATCTTGCCGTGCATCTCCGCACCGTCGACTGCTGCAGGGTCAGCTGTTCAAGGCTGTACACAGGCTTCGATTTCAGCATGTTCAAAGGGAGAATCTCAGCAGGGGAATGGCAAACAGCGAATGGTCGTACACAGCGATTATTCACTATATGCTAACGCTAGGACCCCCCTATCATGCATCATGCCGTAGAACTCATCGCTTGCTCATGCTGATGTGTCAGATCACAAACAAAACATGCCGCCATCTAACATTCTCCCTCGACAGCTCTGGAAACTTCGTGTGCATCACTTCCAAGCACTCAATCCAGCCCATGGGTCCGCAGCCTGGCCTCCACCCTGCACCTGTTGCGGAGGTAGCTGCCCTTGCTGCTGCTGGGGCTGCTGCTGAGCATACCGATTGGGTTGTTGGTAATTCGCGTATCCTCCTGGACCACTGGCCCATACGCCAGACTGGTTCGGCGGATATTGCGTCATAGAACCTCCGCCGGGCGGGCCAGGCGGTGGTGGTGGGGGCACGTAGTTTTGCGGAATGTTGTAAGGTGATGGCAGGTAGTTCTGATACCCAGGCTGCGATTGAGGGACCTGCGGATGCGGTGAGGGAGATTGATAGGCTCCCGGCGTCGGTGCTGTCTGTTGATAGGGGTATTGAGGGTGCGAGTATTGGTGGCCTGGAGCAGAGAAATTCATGGGCTGTATTGGAGTGTGCGACTGTGGTTGGGGTTGTGATTGTTGTTGAGGGAAGTATGCGTTCAGTGAGCCGGGCGGAGGAGATGTGACTGGCGAAAATGGGTAAGACTGCTGACCACCTGGCTGTTGAGTTGGCGAGGTGACCGCCGATCGTTCTGGGTAGGCCATTGGGTTGTAGCCTGTAGTCAAGGGTGTCGCGGCACCTTGAGCAAATGCATGTTGAGAGTCGATAGGAGACGGATTCGAGGGTTGCGACTGTGCTTGCGGCTGATGCGAGTATCCATTCTGTACGACTGGTGCGGGTGAGGAGCGCGGAGGTATTGTGAAGCGCGGATCGGGATTGCTCTTAGGGTATGTCGAAACAGGTGCTGGAGATCTAGTTGCGTTCAGTGCAGGTAAGGGAGGAAGAGCAGGGGGTTCTGTTGTCGAAGGAGAAGCTGTTTTGGGCTCCATGGACAGCCTGTTCATCAGCTCCTGCATTCGCTTCTGCTCCGCTGCCGCTTGTCCACTTGATGAGGTGTTCTTGGTTTGTTCGATTTGATGGAGAAGTTGAGCTCCTTCGGCCCTGCGGTTGCTGACGAAAGACTCGACGTTCTTCTCCAGACTGTCGACACTCTCCTTCATCTCCTTGTAGAAGCTCTGGGCGCGCATCAGACCTTGAACAAGATCTTCGTGAGCACTGAATACCCGTTTGTACCGACTAAGTACACTGTTTCGCTGCTTCTGGATTGCATCGTATTTCTGTTGGTCTGATCGAACTCGCTTATCTTGAAGTAGGTCACCGTATGCCTTGGTCAGTTCTTTCAGCAGCGAGGACTGTTTGTGGACGGTGGAAATGAGGCGGTTTTGGTGTGACCGGAATTTTTCCAATTCGGCTTGGAACAGTTGGTTTTCCTGGTTGGCGATAGCCTTTTTGTTCAAAATGAGGACGTTCGATATGTCGTCGGTATGGACTTTCTCCTTGAGGTCTTTGAGAACTTGCGTCCTCTCGCGTTTGACTAGATTGAGTTTTCGTAGCAGATCCTCGACCCTTTCAATCTGATCTGCTACGGACAAGCCGCCCTCGCCATAGTCTTCGTCGAGTAGTGAGCCCTCCTCAGCCTCTCGCCCTTTGCCCTTCGACCCAGCTCCGGCTTTGATTAAGGCTTGCTGATACAGGACATCAGACTCGCCATGTTCACCAGCCTTCCTCACTTCTTCAAAATCACCTTCGTACTGTCTGGCAGTCGCCAAAAGTTGCGAGTCGCTAGCACCAGCTTCGTCCACAGTGTCTCGATAACTTCGAATATCTGCCCTCAGGGTCGAGGTCAACCTGGAACTGGGCTGCTGTGTCCAATCTGCTCCGTACTTTGATCTCATTTTCTCGCACACGCTCTCTTCCATGTCAAGTTGCTTGGAGCTTTTTGACAGACTGTCCAAGACAGTCTGCTTGTCCCTCTGGAGCTGTTCGAATGCACTGTTGAAAGGCGGGTGGTTCGCGATCTCCTGACACCAGCGCTCGAATTCTCTATCCACACCCATCTCCTGATCCAGTCCGCCTTTTAAAATGTTCAGACTGCCTGGGAGCTTCAGATAATCAAGGCTTGCCGCCATCTCGCCGTTTGCTTGCTCGACCTTCTCGGCTTCGGAACGAATCAGCTTGGCCTTTTCTTCATCGTACATACTGGCCGACTCCGTTACAGACATCGGCACGATTTTCTGGAAGAGGTCCGGGCCGATTATTCTTTGGATGTCTTGCCCTTGATACAATTCTGAAAGCGGAATGGCTTTGGCTGCGGGAACTTTTGTGACTGGAGATAATGAGGCTTCGGCGGGTACTGTCTGGTGATAGATGAAGTCGTTGTCTTTTACAAGGGCGCCCAGCTTTTCCTGCACCGATTCCAATTGCCTTCGTATTATGTTTTGTGACGTCGAACTGGTGTCAGCGCCCAAAGTCGAGGAGGGCGCAGGAGAAGAGGGAAATGCTTTGGCCAACGAAAGGGCCTGCTTGCTCGATTTCTCTGCGAGCTGCAATCGAGCGATCGCCGAACCGTGCTGATTTGTCTCATCATCTGCCAACGCTTGGTAGTATTCTGCTAGTGAGGACAGATGTAGAGCCTTGATCTGGATAAACTTCAACCAGGAATAATCGAATACCCCACGGACACTCTCGGCTTCTAACCCTTCCTTTGCCTGACCGAAGAGAAACTGCGCTTGCGCGGCAAGTTTGGCTAGCAGAGCGGGCTTCTTCGCATCCCGAACCTGTTTCTCCAAGAATATCTCTTGCGCCTGACCTAACATGATGTGTATCAAGCTCTTGACTGTGTCACGATTCAGGTCGGTCGACGGCGCATGCAAGAAGTTCTCGTTGATGTAGGTAAACATGCCTGCGGAAGCCTGAAACGAGTGATATGCCGTCTTGAGGTCCTTGTCCTCTGACCGATTTTGAGCGGCTGCATGGCACGAAAGGACCGCAGATATGTTGAATATGACTGAAGCTTTCTCGAAAGCTAAGGAGTACTGGGATGTCGCGGTATGTGTAAATGCGTCGTACCAGGTGAAGGATATCTTGATGTGATTTTCGTCCACAGGGAATCTCAGATCTAACAGTTCAAGTTGCCCATAGTACCGGTACAGCAAGTCTCTTCCTGAGGCTGAATCATTTCCGGCTCCTCTCATGTCCTGCCTCAGCCTGTTTAACGTGGCTGTCTCCTCGGTGAACTTTTCTGGATCATCGCCGTAGGACGTGCGTATATAATTCTTCAATGGGGCCACCCAGTCTATCTCGCTCGTCTGCTTGAGCGGACATGATAGCATCGGTGCCTGCACCATTGTGACGGTGGCGTTCGGACCGCGGGAGGATTAGAGGTATATCAAGGATTAGAGAGGACGGAAGGATGTATAAGGCACCAAGAACACCATTATGGGGCAGGATTTTGGCGACGGCTCAGAAGCATTCGAGGGTCGCAGGTAGCCGCCAAAAGGTAAGTTGACATATGATGGATGCAATGGCGATTGGGTGAAATCCGAACAATTGAGTCTGGATTCACAACATACTAAGCTACTAACTTAGGCCTTTCACGGAACGGTCCATGTAGATCTGGACATACAGTACTTGTAGTACTTGTATCCCAGACATGCATATATGCCCTTTACAAGGTATACTGTTTATACCATTATATGGTCCTTTCGACTATCCCATCCGCCATCTATTTACACATTGAGTTGATGGGTATCCTCTTCGCCTCAACGATCACGCCTTATGCAATTATTGTACACTTTGTCCGCAGGCCTAAACGATGTCAGACAAGTGATGATCCAGCTGCCTTTGTGGAACATCTTCTCTTCGAATGAAAGGATGCAGTCCACAACCGTTGTCGCCATCGCTATGAATATATAAAATCAAGAAGTTGGGATTTTCAACTTGAACAAAATGTCATGGATCATCCAGAGCCCGAGGCTTTCTTCGGCTCGTCATCGTCTTTGGCGTCTGGTTTGGACGCTGTGTCCTTCTCATCCGTCTCCAAGTTATCGTGCTGGTGGGTAAGCTTGTGCCAGGCGGACTTCAAGAACCCTTCGTTCTTATGATCTGAGGCTTTGTTTGATGGCTGGGATGGTTTGCTGTCCTTGGTAGGTTCCCTGGGTGAAAGGTAAGTATTGCCCGACCTTTCAGAATTCATCAACTCACTGCTTATACTGGTTCACATTCATAATGCGTTTTGCCGTCTTGTCACCCATCTCATCGGCCAGCATTTCCAGGATTGTCCTCTGGTTGGCTGTCAAGTACTTGGGCATATTGACCTTGAACTCAACTCGTAAATCACCAGAAGCAGGTCCCCGTCCACCAAGTCGCTGCATACCCATGCCAGGTAAGGTGATTCTATCTCCGGTGCCCGTGCCGGTCGAGATCTTCACCTTGACGTCTCCATCTAGTGTCGGAACTTGCACTTCGCCTCCCAGCATAGCGGTGGTCAAAGGTATTGAGGCTGTGTAAAGAACATCTGCCCCGTTGCGGCTGAATCTGGCGTCTGGCGCCACACGAATAAAGACGTAAAGGTCTCCACGCTGACTTCGGGCATTGGGATCGGCGGACACGCCTGTCGGAGGAGCATCACCTTCGCCGGACACACGTAACCTCATTCCGTCCTCGACACCACCTGGGATGTCGACCTGCACAGTCTTCCTTTGCCGAACAACTCCGTTGCCAGAACAAGTGTTGCACTCCGAGCCTCTTGGTATGGTCACTCCGGTGCCGCTGCAAGTAGAACATGTACTTGACATCTGGAAGCCTTGCTGCATGACATGTATCCTGGTACCCGTGCCATTACACGACTTGCATTGCTGCCGTTGTGCACCCTGTTTCATTCCATTGCCTTTACAGGTGCCGCACTGGACAAGCGGCGTGATGGTGATGTTCTTGGTCACGCCTTTCGCAGCATCCATAAAAGAAATGTTCGTCTGGACTTCAATGTTCTCGCCCACCAGAATCTCCTCTTGGAAAGGCGAAGATCGCCTTCCTCGTCCCCCGCGGCGCCCGCCAGTGAAAGCACCAAACAAATCCTCGAAGTTGAACTCAGCTCCAAAACCTCCTCCTCCTCCTCCTCCTCCACCGAAACCGGAAAATGGATTGCCACCACCAGCAAATGGATTTCCGCCAGCAGCTCCGGCATCGAAACCGGCGCCTTGATCAAATGCTGCGGCCCCAAACTGATCATAAGCTGCCTTCTTCTGAGGATCGTTCAACAATTCGTAGGCTGACTGTGCATCGGTAAATTTCTCCTTTGCGCTCGCTTCTTTATTCGTGTCCGGATGATATTTCTTTGCCAATGCATAGTAGGCCTTCTTTATTTCCGAGGTACTGGCATTCTTTCCCACTCCTAACGTCGCATAAGGATCTTTCGTCGCCTGGAAAGCTGCTGTTGCGGAGAAGGGTCGGGTCTGCGTTGACGGACTTGATCGAGGTATCGAAGGTGATTGTTGGGCCAAAGGTCTCTTGGAGGTAGCGGAGTAATAAAATTCTCTCGTCTGGGGTTTGCGACCGAGATTGTTACAATGTCGAGGGCATTGTATCGAGGCTCTGATTAATCGCGGAGCCGAAGCGGCCCACGCAGTGCTTGCCGCGCTCATCGAGTATGAGATGCTGACGCTGCGTAACCTGCGTCTTGAGTTTTATAACTGCTTGAAGTCGTAAACATCGAATTGAGCCTGCCGCGCATTGGCAGAGTGTTGTACAGTGTATTAGAACGATTGATTGATGGTTATCGTCGGCCAAAGACTCAGAAAGTTCCAGGCTTTTCGCCGTCCGCGTCCGAAGTAAAAAAATCCGGCTCGCCGCAGTTTCCTTATGGAGACCAATATCAACTAGTAGCTGATAATGTCATCGACTTCAATTACGCAGCGAGGGTGGCACCTAGAGAAGTCCTCGAGCAGAGCCGCAGTCTCTTCTTTACTTTTCCCTCAGTCCCTTCCTCTAACTCCCTGCGCATTATCCTGTCTCCCAGGTTTCCTTGTGGGAGTATTGGAGTGCGGCAACAAGACCATACCGTGTCGCGCCACTCCTTGCACGACACCACTGCCGGAGCATGCTTCGCGGCCAGATTATACCATGGCGAAACGCCCTCCGGAATGGCCAACGCCACATTTGTAGAGACTGTCGGCGTCAAATAATACAGAGAAATGGCTTGAGTTACTCCGCGACGACTCTCTCACCGTCACCACTGTTTCCTGTCGCCGCCAGACAGGGATTACAAATACGACAATTCTCCTCGCACCCAGTCCGTCAGAAAGACAAGCCACCTGAAGATGACCCTCCCACACCACCGGAAGGTGCGGATGCAAAAGCAAAGAAACTAGAGAATGAGTTGGAGGACGCACCTCGCACGGAAGACAGTGCCGAATCCAAGAGGTCGCCTTCTGACCCTCAACCTATACCTCAATCTTCCTCGAGTGATGGCAAGCCTGCTGCAGCTGGAGGAAGTGGTGGAGATTCGTCCTCAGGTACCGCACAAAGCTCAGGAGGTGGAAGCGATGGTGGGAAGCGTGGACGGAGAACTACTCAGATCTCAAAGCCCACTGTCCCCGAAGTCTACCCTCAGGTCATGGCCATACCCATTGCGAAACGTCCTCTGTTTCCAGGATTTTACAAGGCGATCACGATAAGAGACCCCAATGTCGTTGCCGCCATCACGGAAATGATGAAGAGGGGGCAGCCTTATGTGGGCGCATTCCTGTTCAAGGACGATACCGCCGATAAGGACATCATCGAGAAGATGGATGATGTTCACGAGGTTGGCGTATTTGCTCAAATAACGAGTGCCTTTCCTGTGCACGGGGATGAGCATAGCTTGACAGCCGTGCTATATCCCCATCGCCGAATCAAGATGTCTGCTCTACTGCCCCCGTCAGGAGAGCAAGGTCCGTCAGTCGTCGAGGTGCAACCTGTAAAAGAAGCAAAACCGAAAACTGATGGGACTGACGGCAAAGGCGACGTTGTGGCGAGTTTCGAAGAGTCCAACAAAGACCAGTCGGCTCAGTTAAGCGTATACGAACCAACCGCATTCCTTCGCAAATTCCCAGTCTCTCTGGTCAACGTTGAGAACTTGGGTGAAGTGCCTTATGACAAGAAGAGCGACGTGATCAAAGCCTTGACATCCGAAATTGTCAACGTCTTCAAGGAGGTTGCTAGCTTGAACCAGCTCTTCAGAGATCAGATCTCCGACTTCAGTGTTTCACAGTCCGCAGGCAATGTGCTTGAAGAGCCCGCCAAACTGGCAGACTTTGCAGCAGCGGTCTCTTCTGGCGAGATCGATGAGCTGCAGGATGTCTTGCAAACAATGAACATCGAAGAGAGGCTACACAAGGCCCTGGTTGTGCTGAAGAAGGAGTTGATGAACGCCAAACTGCAGTCGAAGATTTCCAAAGACGTCGAAAGCAAGATCCAGAAACGACAACGCGAGTACTGGCTGATGGAGCAAATGAAGGGTATTCGTCGCGAGTTGGGCATTGAATCCGATGGCAAGGACAAATTGGTGGAGAAGTTCAAGGAAAAGGCTCAGAAGCTGGCCATGCCTGAAGCGGTCAAAAAGGTTTTCGAGGAGGAGCTTAACAAGCTGGCTCATCTTGAACCAGCTGCTTCCGAGTTCAACGTTACACGGAATTACCTGGACTGGATCACGCAAATTCCTTGGGGTCAAAGAAGTGCCGAGAACTTTGGTATCAAGAATGCCATGACCGTTCTGGACGAAGATCATTATGGCTTGAAAGACGTCAAAGACCGCATCCTGGAGTTTATTGCAGTCGGAAAGCTCCGTGGTACTGTCGAAGGCAAGATTCTCTGCTTCGTCGGGCCACCCGGTGTGGGCAAGACGTCAATTGGCAAGTCGATCGCACGAGCATTGAACCGACAGTACTATCGCTTCAGTGTTGGTGGTCTTACTGATGTCGCTGAGATCAAGGGTCATCGTCGAACCTACGTTGGCGCTCTTCCCGGCAGAATCATTCAAGCGCTCAAAAAATGCCAAACGGAAAATCCTCTCATTCTTATCGATGAGGTAGACAAGATTGGACGTGGCCATCAAGGAGATCCGTCGTCTGCCCTGCTCGAATTGTTGGACCCCGAGCAGAATTCCAGCTTCTTGGACCACTACATGGATGTTCCCGTCGACCTTTCGAAGGTCCTCTTTGTTTGTACAGCAAACATGACTGACACCATTCCCCGACCACTCCTTGATCGAATGGAATTGATCGAACTCAGCGGGTACGTTTCCGACGAGAAGAAGGCCATCGCAGACCGCTACCTTGCACCCCAGGCAAAGGAAATGTCTGGCTTGAAAGACGTGGATGTCAAGCTAGATGAGTCGGCCATTGAAGAACTTATCAACAAATACTGCCGCGAGTCTGGTGTGCGAAACCTCAAAAAACAAATTGAGAAAGTATATCGCAAGTCGGCCTTGAAAATCATCCAAGATCTTGGTGAAGAAGCGCTGCCTGAGTCTGAGGCACTGACCCCCGAAGGCAAAGCCGCCCTCGAAGAGAGTAAGAAAGATACCTCGGATGTCAAAGACACTCCCGAGACCATTGAAAAGGAGACCACGGAACAGCCACGGATTGCGCTCAAAGTGCCAGACTCCGTCCACGTTTCCATCACGAAAGACAACTTGAAAGACTATGTCGGACCGCCTGTCTTCACCTCGGACCGTCTGTATGAGACGACCCCTCCCGGAGTTGCCATGGGTCTTGCTTGGACTAGCATGGGTGGCGCTGCTCTTTATGTTGAGTCAATTCTCGATACAGCATTGTCACATTCAAGCAGGCCTGGTCTCGAACGCACGGGTAATCTGAAAAATGTCATGAAGGAGTCGACCTTGATTGCGTATTCATTCGCCAAACACGTTATGGCTACACAATATCCGGAAAATCACTTCTTCGAACACGCGAGAATTCATCTTCACTGTCCTGAAGGTGCCGTCCAGAAGGACGGTCCGTCCGCGGGTATCACGATGGCAACATCTCTCCTGAGTCTGGCCATGAACAAGCAGCTTAATCCTGAATTGGCCATGACTGGCGAGTTGACCGTAACAGGCAAGGTCCTCAGAATAGGTGGGTTGAGAGAAAAGACCGTCGCAGCACGACGGGCCGGTTGTTCGAAAATTTTGTTCCCCAAGGACAACTGGGGTGATTGGTGCGAGCTGCCTGATGTAAGTCTCCCACTACGCGTTACATCATGTGAATATTTGAACTAACATGTGTCCGACAGAACATCAAGAACGGCATCGAAGGGCACGCCGTTGACTGGTACAGTGATGTGTTCGACATTGTCTTCCCCGATGTGAACGCTCAAGAGGTGAACAGCCTGTGGAAGGACGCCTTGAAGAAACCAAAGAAAAGTGAGAAAGACCGTGATGAAGAAGATGATGATTGAGAGAGTACTCATGGTAGAGCACGGTTATCTATGCCCATCCACATGTTATCGTGTGGGAGCTCCTCAGCACAACCAAGGTGTCTGCCACGTTGGCTATTGCATTTTCGGTCGTGTGCGTGGCTCAGCGTATAATTGAATAGATGACACGCATACACACTCAGGTCTGGCAGGGCAGGGCCGGGGAGGGAATCGGGTCGAGAAACTGGCGAGCACAATGTTACGCGGCATTTATATTATTGTGCAGACGTGAAAGTGAGGTAAAGGAGGACGTCAACCGTACCGCCGCGAGACGACAAATGCCCATGGTTGGTCGTTTGAAAAACATGGAAAGATGAAAGGAAGATCTCTGCTCTGCCACAATATTGTGGCTATATCATATTATGGAAGTTTTAGACGCTGTGCGCATAGAATTGGCGCACAACGGTCGCTGCTGGCGATCCAAAATCTATATAAAACCTTTCCATCAACCAACCGGGCACGTATCAATACGCACCGAGGTTGCACTGGCAGCGAAGTGATTATCTCATTCTCTGTCCTCCTCGACCTCATCGCTGTCGCTCACCTCCTCGCTGTCGCCAATTTCTTCTTCACTTTCGCTCTCTGATGAGGGTTCAGGTATTGCGTCTTCGGAACCTCTGATGCTAGCGTATCTCGAGGCTCTCAGCATGGCTGTCTCATGTGCATCAAGGATCATCTCCTCTTCGTTTTGAGGGCTGCGTTGTTCTCGCAGGTGGTTGGCTGGGAATTCCGGCGCATCATGCTCGGTCGGCGGTACTTCTTTGATGTCCTCATCCTCGTCCTCTTCCTCCTCACTGTCCGCGATCTCGACCGCTTTGCGCTTCTTCACGTGCGACGGTTGCGACAGCTCGTCAGGAAGGAGTGGAAGATTTACGGTCGTAGGACGTTGTTCTTCACTATTTGTCTCTACGGCGTCTTGATGGTCATCCTTTGACCCGGGCAGGGTCAACTGGCGAAAGCCGCCCGTTAGGATGACGAAAGGAACTGGCTGTGCATAGACCTCCTTTCGAGCTAGCCTTTGGACTTCAGCGTACCTCAGGGCGTTCGTTTCGAAACGCGAAATTCGGGACGCTTGTTTGTCATTGGGAAAGTCCCGGTATAATATGATCCTGGTATGGACCGCCGTATCCCACGCTTGGCTCGACAGTGCGGGCTTCAATGTGGCTTTCTGTCCGTGTTTCAGGCTGATTGTGCTATTGGTAAGGACCAAGACGGCGATGTTTTTGATCGCAGCCATCTTCGACATAGCCGCGCCTAGGCTCTCGATGATCTGGAAACGGCGCCCCGCTGCCCTCTTTTCGAGTTTCTCCTTGACAGCCACGGGCGCAGCAGGTTTGAGGTTTCTGGCATTGCGTGAGAAGTACCCCAGTAACAGATTTGAGAGATCGTCGACGACTATCAGGCACGTCTTTGGTGACGGCAACGAGCGCGTTGGATGTAAAAATACTGTCAGGAGCCGTGGCAGTGTGTGCGCTTCGAGATACGTGAACTTCTCGTTGAGTAATGAGTTGATGTTCCGTGTGGGCGGTGTATCTTTAGAGGAATTGTTCGATAGCTCGTCTCCTTTCATGAGCTGTCCAAGCCTTGCTTGTATCAGTGGAGAACCGGTGTTGACCCATAGAACATGAGATTGATCGTGGGGGGTGTGTAGTGCATTCACCGCGACCTGAAGTCCGAAGGTGGTCTTGCCGACTCCTGGAGGGCCATAGACTTCAGTCACGACACCCCTTTGTAGCCCAGGCGTGGCTATCGATAATTCGGACGGTAGTAACGCCGCGTCCAGAGCTGGCAGGCAAGAGGAGATTCCTCTAGCGTTGGCGGTTGCATTTTGAAGAGCTTCGATACCTGAAACGGTCGGTAATCGATGTTGAGTCGGTGAGAAGTTGTGGACGTCAGCGTCCCGATCATCCATCGCTGCAAGACCTTACACTAGGCCCAGGCATGGTGATGTGTGTCCCCGAAGATTCTATCCCGTCGAATGACTGGAGTGATGAATCGTAGAGCGCGATTGAAGGACGGAATCACGCGTCGAACTTAGAATATGCCATTGCCTAGAAGTTTGACTTATGTCCGTGGAACCTCTTCTGATGGGAATGTTGATCAGAGTGCCAGAGCCTCGATGCTACCGGAACAAAAGAACACCCCGTAGAGGTTGTATCGTCAAGTCGGAAGCATTAACTCACACGTCGTCAGATCAAAGTCACGTTATGAAGAAAGATGAAATGACGAAAATAGACAAACACCCATGTCACTCAAAATGTTCCAGCACTTCCATCCACAATTTCGGCCGCACACATCAGACGAATGACTCACCGAGACAGAGATGTTTAGCATGTCGATATCTTGCAAAGTGCGGCGAGCACGTCTCTCCTCCTCTCGTCTTACAAGCAATTACATGCTATAAAGCGACGACTTCCGGGTGAGAGCTACGTTAGACGCTTACGATGGATCGACTTGCTGTTCTACTGCCGCCAATCCTACTCGCAGTCACCCTAATATGCATCCAAGAGGCATGGAGAATGCGCCATTCGCTTCGAGGCTACAAGCAGGTAACACTGCAGGGTCGGTCACACATGTCTGACGAGTACAACCTGGGATATACCAAACCGCGCAACACTCGCGACGAATCAAAGTGGAAGGTCAAAGCCCTGCATATACACCCCATCAAATCGTGTGCAGCAGTCGAATTGGATGTTGCCGACATCGATGGTGCGGGATTGACCTGGGACAGGAAGTTTGCCTTTGCAGAGCTGCTCAAGCCCCAGACCAGGCTGGACGCTTCTGAAGTAGAGAAGAAACCGAGATGGACCTTTCGGACCCAACGACAGCCTGGATATGAGAAGCTCGTCCACGTGCACCCGGAGATCTGGCTTCCAGATCGATCAAAGCAAAAATTCACGGAAAAGGATAAAGGCTTTCTCGTCGTCAAGTATCCTCGCATCCCGCGAGGTCCTTTGGCAACCTTAGTGAGGATGCTTACGGACCTCGGCTTCCTCTCGAACGAGAAGTCATTCACTGTACCACTGGTGCCGCCCGAGAATCACAAGTATCCTTCCGAGCATGTTGCAATCTGGAAAGACAACCCACGGTGGTTGAACTTCGGAGTCCATGTGCCAGCCGACTTTGGTACCTACCTGGGCGTAAAGAATCCGCTCACCTTGTTCAGGGTTGATCCCAAAAGTTACCGTGAAGTCTACAGGTGTGCGCCTCGGAAAGAATCACTGGGCTATCAGTCTGTAGTGGGCTTCGCAGATGCGTATCCAGTGCATCTGCTCAACATTGCTTCGGTCCGTGATGTGGCGGGAAAGGTTGCAAAGGACATTCCTCGTTTCTCCGCAAAGAGGTTTCGAGCCAATATACTGGTCTCCGGACCGTCGGCATACGACGAAGACAACTGGAAAAGAATCAGGATAGGCAAGCATACCTTCTACTGCGCATGTCACACTGTGCGATGCAGACTGCCTAATGTCGATCCTGATACGGCTGATCGTCATCCTGTTGAACCAGACAAGACCTTGAAGGCTTTTAGATGCATTGACGACGGTGACCCACTGAATGCCTGCCTTGGTCTTCAGCTGGTGCCTGCAGAGTCTGAGCCTTTTCAGATACGAGTCGACGACGAGATTGAGGTCCTGGAGAGAGGCGAACACCACTATATTAAACAATGAATGGAAGTTCTCTTTGTTCTTTCCATGATCATTGGAACTTGTCCAGACTTTTGCCAATGCTATAAATTTATAAAATGACCATAACGACAGGTCTGAAGACGTCTACTCCCTGACGAACAAACCAGCCATGCCCATTCCGGTACCAATACACATACTCACAACTCCCAGCTCACCTGGGTTTAGCTGCGGCATCAAAGTCGCCAGTTGTCGTGTACCTGTCATCCCCAATGGATGGCCAAGTGCTATCGCGCCACCCCTGGGGTTGACCTTGTCCATGTCTAGACCCAGTTTACGGATGCAATATATGGCTTGGCTGGCAAATGCTTCATTGACTTCCCAGATGCTCACGTCTTCTGTCTTTGTACCCGTGTATTCGAGCAGTCTCGGGATTGCGATCGCAGGTCCAATACCCATTTCGTCCGGTCTGCATCCCGCAACTTGAGTACCAGCCCACTTTCCAATAATGCTCTTGTCCAAACCGAGTTCCGTTGCTGTGGATCGTCGCATCATCAGGGTAGCGGCTGCTCCGTCGGAGACTTGTGATGAATTACCAGCTGTTGATGAGCCATCTTTGGAAAATGCGGGTTTTAGCTTGGCCATTTTCTCCATGCTGGCATCGTGTCGGATACCGTCGTCCTTGTCTACCACAACCTCTGTGGAGACATCAGGATGTTCGGGCTCTGTCTGCTTGACCTTTACTGGCACAATCTCAGAGTCAAACAGTCCGGCCTTTTGAGCCTTGGAGGCTTTGAGGTGCGACTCTGCAGCAAAAGCGTCCTGGTCATCTCGACTCACACCGTATCGTTTCGCCACATTCTCACTCGTAAGGCCCATGGGCATGATGCAATCCCGGACATTGTCGTTGGGGCTGTTCTTTACCTCGTCCCACAGTAGGGTCGGAATGGCCTTGCTGCCGTAATTGCGAGTCATGCTTTCCATTCCAGCACCCACGCCCACATTAATTTGTCCAGTTGTGATCATGCTGGCGATATTTGTGACGGCCTGTAGCCCTGAACTGCAGGCTCGGTTGACCGTATGCAGGGGTGTGGTCTCGTGGAACCCAGCATGTAGTTGTCCCATACGTGCAGCTTTTGATCCACCCAGCTCAGCGAGTACGACGCCCACAGCGACGTCGTCAATTTTGGCAGGGTCTAGGTTGGGGTTGGCGGCGAGAGTGGCGCGCAGGACGTGAGAGAGAAGCTCATGGTCGAAGGCATTGCGAAAGCCGCCTTTTCCGGCTCGCGTGACAGGTGTTCGGAGGGAGGAGAGAATGACCACGTCGGTGGGCTGTTTCGAGAGGATCTGCTTGAGACCTCGGGCGTTCGCCATGGCGGAGGTGCTTCAGTGGATCGAGGGAGGTGCGGCGATGAGACGGGGTGGACTCGAGCTGCGACGGTGTCTAGTAGAGTATCAGTCTGGAGACAGGAAGGACGCTCTGTTTTGAACCCAAGTAACGTAGAGATATATGAAGTGAGAAAATAAATTCGCAGTCGGATAAAGACATTGCTCGTGAAGTGTTACGCTCTCGGATGCGAGCATCGGAAGAGGGCCTCCTCCATTATTTGCCTCCGTGTCTCTCCGCAATTTTTGACCCCGGCTAAAAGTACAAGGATAAGGTACTGTACGAGTAGCCTGTCATAAAATGAGGCTGAACATCTTCATCTTCATAATTTCTGCAGCATACGTTTTGCCCAAGACCCAATGTACCAAATCAGAAGGCAGAGTGTGTGGTGTGAAAGAGGTGACTGCCCATGTTTAGTTGCATGCTAAATCGTTTCGCCAATGGTGGTTGCCCTGCTTGGGCTTGAACTTGAACTTGAACTTGAACTTGAACTTGAACTTGAACTTCTGTGCGTACTTCCTTATACTCAGCGCTATCCTCCTCCTGCCTCAGACTCTCTACCTGCTGTTGAACATGTTTGACATTTCTTGACCTGAATCTCGCCTCATTGATTGGTTGTTTCGTTTCTTTTCCAGACGTTCCTTCCATGACTACCCGTCATATTCGTTGCGATGTCTGCCAGAAAACGCCTCGCGGAAGAGGACGCTCCTCCACAGCCACCTGCGAAATCTCGTCGTGGTAAATCACCACTAGACAAGACTCGAGTGACGATTTGACGTTGCAAAATCGTACCAAGGCTGACCAGGAAGAGGACCACGGTCTGAATGCACAGCAAACACCTGGCGAGGTCCATATCTACACGATAAAGCTATACTCCCGAAAGAAAGCGCTGAGTAATGATCCTCACCCACATGCCAACGATAACAACGACGATGCTCATCTCATTCGGAGTCATCCACGTGAGCGACAAGAAAACGTCAGAGTACCCTGTGCCCCAACTTCGACCGAAGAAGAGCTATCGAGTCAGGCTTCCGAAACCGAAGCAAACGTCAAAATCGAATACGTGGACGACAACTACGTCAGGTATGATGATATCGGCTGTTCCGAGTGGTTGGAGCCAGTCAATGTGTCCGTCACCACCGTGCGTGGCCTTTCTGTTGGCGAACAAATTGGATACTGCAGGGCCAAGCTGGTCAGAAAGGAGAAGATACGGACTCGTTTCCACGAGAGTATGAGGAAGCCAATATTCGAGCTCGTTTTGCTGGCCTTTGATCTTTTTGACAGATACGGGAGACTCATTCACGATTACAAACATCATCCTGTCCGCAAAGGTTCTGGTATCTGGGGCACAGAACTAGACAGGCGGGATATCCTGCTGATCGAATATGTACACGTCGATGAGCGGCACCGAGGACAAGGTATCGGTGTAAGCATGCTCGGCATCCTACGTGATGTTGTCAGCCATAAAGCGAGGAACGGAGACTTTGTTACCATCGTGTGGCCTGAGTCGCCGAAAGAATCTCGGTTTCCCCAGATTATGGAGTACCTCATAGGATCCTCAATAGGAATAAGCATTGCCGACGACCCAGATCTTGCGAGGATCAAATGATTTCGGTCACTGGGCTTCAGACGCATAGGGTCTTCGATTTGGTTTGGTCTGAACTGTGACAACGAGGGATCACTTCGCGTACGTGCATTGTTGACGGCGGCAACATATCAGCTTTTTAAATTCCAATTGGAGGATATGAGCGACTGCAATGCAAGACAGAAAGTCACTGGCATGGTGGACATAGCCCCTTTGGTTTCTGTCCGCTTATGTTATGAGGTCCTCATGGCGAAGAACGGACATTTCGACGATGCCTGTGCGGAAGTCCTCCGGATCAATCAGCGGAGACATGACAAAATCAAGCAGCTGCCCTCATTCTGGATGCAGGCAGTGAAGCCGATACCACAGATTGCGGCCGAAGACGACTACGACCCGCCTCCACCTGCACCCAGCACGATACCTGGACCGATCATTCAAGCATCCACGGCTTCCCCAGCGAAGTTCTTCAGAGGTATGACGGCACACTACTTCTTTCTTGGATCTGCCGATAAGCAATGGTCCGCGACCGATGGGGTTGGAAACACTATACTCCACCTTGCGGCATTCGCGGAGAGTCCCGATGCCATCGACTGGATCCTCAAACGACCTTGTGGCACTGGCTTGCTACACAAGCGCAACAACAATGGCGACACGCCCCTCGAAGCTCTTCAATTCAAGCTTGAGAAGAAACGCACTCGCCAGCTCCTCCAGTCGTCCATTGTGGCATGCTCTGATCAGTTTGAAAGTTATGATCATACAGCGGTCCAATGCCTCCTCAAACTACAAGGTCTGAAAGATCCAAGTTGGAATGAGATGCGACGCCTGGAGGGAGGCTGCACCTGTGGCGAATGTGTTGACGGCTGTCTGAGCCCCCGGATGCGTCTAGTTCTCGAAAATGAGGCTGAATCGATCTACCTCAAACTCAGATGTGGTTTGGCTAGCATGTCCGGCACAACCTACTTTGAGGAAAACAAGAACTTGCTCACTTTCCTTAGCTATTACTGCAAGAAGATCATCAAGCACAACAAGTCCGTCCGTTGTGGACTAGTCAGCCTAAGTCAGCATGTTAACGCCTCTCTCTGCTGCGGCCTACTTCCAGACGAGGACAACATAATGTATGGATTGAGGCCTTCACGAAGATGATCAAGTCAACTACAAGAACTTCTTCAAGGCAGGTGGCTCGGTAGAAGGTTACCTGATGAAAGTATTCAGGCGTGCGATCGAATTTGACGAATTTGCTGGTGACCACAGCCCAGAACGTTCGGCTTTGGAGGAAGAACTGGCATTCCTTCCTATATGCCGAAACGACCATGAGTACGGATATGTCAGTGGAACATGCGGTCATCATCGAACTAGGCCATTCTGGGGATTTTGATGATTAAAGGCCGACGAGGCTGAGGGAAGGAGGCTGATGCGGTGAGAACCGGTGATGCATTCTAGCTGGTGTGCTGGTAACGAGAGCGCATTGTGGAGTCGTCCAACCGACCAAACACGTATGTCAGTCATGACCTTAGGCTGATATGCCCGCTATCACTTCAGTGGGGGAATACTGTGTGAGTTTCAATCAACACAAATTGATATCCAATGCTGCGGAAACGTACAATAAGTAACGATAATAATCAAAGTTGCTTCATGGTGATGCAGCATACATGCTTCGACTTCGTGCAACTAACTCGATCATACCTAGGTGATTTCCAGAGTCTAACAGCTCGAACAACTCGAACACCTCGAACACCTCTTTGAAACCTCACTCAGCACGATAGTTTGGTGCCACACATTCATTCTTCTTTGGCTTCCCCGTCTTCGTTCTCGTCCATAACCAGAGCAACATCCATATTGAACGTCCATGCTCTGATACGAAACAAGGTAAGAGTCTCACATTAAAACAACGAGTGACCCTTTAGAAGGCAAACAAGTTGGGTCCTGCATGGCCAGAATTGTCCAAAGGGAGAGAATACTGACATGATTTCAGCGAGCTCAGTTTGCCCCAATCTTGATTTCTTGTTTAGATATCTCATTATGGCGGTCGAAAGCGAGCTATTCTCACGTGTCAACAGATCAAGGTATTTCCAGGGCGAAGTCAATAGTGATATCCAAAACTTGCCATGGCCCTAATATATCGGGAATGACAGTTGGGGTAACATGCCATTGGACATAGCTAGTGCCGACACGAACGCCACGTCCAGAACGATGCATGACCTACATTACGACCTGGATATCAAGTCTATTCTGCTCGATATGACCCTTCTTGCGCCATGCTCCTTGTCCTTCTTCCACCAGCCATGCTATGCTTCTGAGCCGTGGATCATGCCTCTCCTCGATCTCTTCCGCGCGGTGCGTGATTACACTCGTGACGAGCGAAACGCGCACAGTGCCAACACACAAAGATCCTCTGGCGCATAGGAGATGGGCTCGTGCGAACGTGGGATCTGGGGTTCACGGCGTTTGGCGGGCCCCCTGTCCACTTTCGCATTTTACATCAAAGATTCGTCGACGGCAGGGGCGGGAAAACACCATGGATCGACGAGCAGACTGTGAGCAGACAAGCACAGTCACCAGTAGCCCCCGTTCGTTGACGCCAAACACAGTATCAAGAGCTATTCGCCATCGGGCAAGCTCTTCCAGGCCCCGGCAGCACCAAGATGCTATTCTGTATGGTCTTCATCCATGCCGGCCTCATTCCCGCCGTCATTGTATTCCTTGCCTGGAGGTAAGACTCTAGTTCGTCGGAAGCGTGGGTAAGTCGGTGCTAAAGTGCGCCAAACCAGCTTGCCCGGCGCTATTGGTATGTACGCATTGTCACTAGGAGTGCAGTGTATTCACCACGCCCTTCCCGCCATCGCGTACGCCTTTCTGTCCGGCTTGAATGCCTCCACCGTGGGCATCGTCGCGCTGGCAGCTGTACAGGTGAGAGAAATTCCTGGAGGTTGACCCGTGGCAGGTCTAATTGACGTCTACCTCGCCGACAAAGCCATTAAAGACCAACTGACCCGGGTTCTCGTGATAGGCGGGGCGTGCGCTGGCCTCTGTTACACGGCTTTGTGGTACTTTCCGGTTCTGGTCTCCATTGGGGGCTTGATGACTGTGACCTGGGACTTGTGGCTGCATCAAGTCGTGGGCAAAGCTCAGGCAAAGTGGCAGAGGAGACGCAGAGCAGCACTCCATCCGGGTGGACTGGTTGAACAGAACATATCTCGACGGGAGCCTGTGGAGCTCACCACTCGCAATCCGACCTCAAGCGGACCATCCACAGAGACTCTGCACAGGCGACATGATAGCGTGATCCAGCAAAGCACAACGCATCCGAGGACAACAGAGACAGGCGAGCATCAAAGGACTTCGACTGTCCCGAACCAACGCGAGACCGATACTCAATCGCATGCGATCCCCATTCGAGCCGGTTTATGCATCATTGCCGCATTCTTTGGTCTGTGTCTCCTCAACCGCCTTGAAATGTGCTCCGCTGAACGCTGGAATCTAGCATCTTTTATCGCCGTCCTCGTGGCTCGCAGCGTCCTCGACAACCCCCCAAGGCCACTCGACCTTTTTGCGAACATGTACTTGGCCGGAACCATCATATTCGGCGGTGGACCTGTGGTCATCCCCCTTTTGCGAGAGTACGTGGTTCAGCCAGGTTGGGTGTCACCGCGGGACTTTCTCATCGGCCTCGCCATCATACAAGCCTTCCCTGGGCCGAACTTCAATTATGCCGTTTTCCTAGGTGCCCTCTCTCTGCTCGGTACCTCACAGCCTACCTTTTTCGGTGCCTTGCTAGGCTACATCGGCGTCTTCGTGCCGGGAATCACGCTTGCCGTTGGAATGCAGAGTGTCTGGCACGTCATGCGGACCAAGCCCCTGGTCACCAGTTTCTTGAGGGGTGTCAATGCGACCGCGGTGGGTCTGGTCTTCACGGCGGTATATCGCCTGTGGCAGATCGAGTACTTGACTCCTGAACAGGCCGATGGGAAGAGCTTAGCTTCTGAGCCTTGGTGGGTGGTGGTCAGCGTCCTCACGTATGCGGGAAATGCGTGGTTCAACGTTCCAGCTCCAGTGGCCATTGTCGCAGGTGGGATCTTTGGCTTGTGTTGGTACGGAGCAGTTGGTCAATGAATCTGTATGTAAATTTATGTCTAACATTTCGACCGCCAGCATACCCCGTTATGTGCACGGTCGATACAAAGTCTGCACTTGGGCTGTATCTCCGCATCATCTGTTTCAGTTCACTCTTCATCAGCTTCCTCATCTTCATCCTCGTCCATACCCTCAGCCACATCCACGTTGAACGCCATGCTCTGATCCACACCAACATACGAATCCGACATCAGGAACAGTGTGAGATCCTTCTTGCCCGCTGTAGGCACGACGTACTCCAACTTGGTCGCCAGACTCTTGCCAATTGTAACGCGCTTGATAGCCAACAACGACCTGGTCTTCTCCTCGGCCACCACAAGCCACCAGTTTTCCAATTTCTTGCCCGGATAAAAGGGTGCGTGTACCGTGAGATCGACTGCATCATCGCCCTCCTCCTCCTCATCCTCATCAACTTCGCGCGAGACTTTGATCTGGAGATACGACGGCTGTCCGGCCGTAACCTCGTCCTTGTCCACAACATCGAACTCCAGCTCGAGACTCGGGTACTTGTCGTTCGTAAAGTTGGCAGCCTCGACGAGCTGGCGGTTGCTCACACCCATTTCGGCGACGAGCTTCGCGTGGTCTGGGTTCTCGCTGGGGTCCATGGCGGTCATGAACTCGTCAATATCCTTGATGTCGTGTCTAGCGAGAACATCAACGACTTTGTTGTCAAAGTGCGGAATCTGCAGCAGCGGGCTGTCGCGGTCCCACATGGCCTGCACGACCATCTGGGACATTTCCATCGCATTCATTGCGTTGAGATGCCCCTCGGAACTCAGCACGTCGACACACGCAGACAACAAACTTAGAACCTTGGCAACAATGACTTCTTGGTCTTTGGCCAGATCGATGGGCAGTTGCATCCGCGAAAAATGCGCTTGCAGGAGCACAAGAGCCTTGAAGTGCGGCGAGTCGTACGCTGGTTCGGACATCTTGACCGGCACGCGGTCGTAGATACGGCGGAGGACATGGTCCTCGTGGCGGCGCATCTGGATCGTCTCGAACTCGGTCGCCGAGGTGACGATCTCGAGCATACCCTTCAGCTTCGTGCGACCGGTGAGCGAGAGCAGGAACGTCTGCATCGTGATGAACGAGATGTTGTAGTATGCTGCGATCATGGCCGGGTTAAGAGGAGACACAGAGTCGTCCTCCTCGTCGAGGTCGATGATCTTGGCTTCTGAAAGTTCTTTGAGCGTGTTCTCCACCAACTCGGAGAGGAACGTGCTTAGACCGTCGTGCGAGGTGTCGTTGAGGCCGTAGAAGCTTGGGTTTGCCAGCAGCCGTCGGTAGAAGTACGTGTACGTTGTCCAGTCGACGGCGTCTTGAGTGGAGGTGATCGTCTTAGTGCTGATTTCGTTGACGAACGCATCGTGCAGCCACAGCTGAAGATGACTTTCGATGGGCAAGGCCTCGCTCAGGAATTTCTTGTAGTACTCTCGTCGGACTTGAGGGACCATGAGCACGCCTTTGCCGGTAGTATCCTGACCCGGTCTGCAAGCGCGTCCAAACATTTGCAGGACCTCGCTAATCTGGTAGTCGACATAACGGTGTTCTCGGCCGACATAGTACTGTGTACCCATGACGACAACAAGGTGTGAGGTGACTGGGAGTTCCCAGCAGACTTCCCTTGATGCGAGCATAACTTGAATGGCCCCGATCTTAAAGAGGTGGGACACGATTCTTTTGTCGCTGTTGGTCAGGGCTTCATGGTAGTAACCGATGCCGTGTGTCAGAGACTCGGCCAACGCGCGTTCGTTGATTCGTTCCAAGAATGGTGTGAGTTCATCGACATTTGTGTGCAAAAATCGTTCGTCGTCGTCATCCATAATGCAGGCCGAAAGTATGTCCACCGCAGTTGCCCGAACCTGTTTCCTGCCGGGCACGAAAATGATAGCCGGCTTGTCTGAAGACATCTGTAGGACAGCTTGATAAGCTGGACGAGCCATAGCCATCATCAGCGACGGGAAGTGAGGTATGTTGAAAGACTGAATGTGCAGCTCCAGACCAACGGGTCTGGCCAGCGGACTGAAGTTGTAGATAGTATGCCTGTTCGCTCCCAGCCATTCCCCCACATCTCTGGCGTTGGACAGCGGTACACTCAGTCCGATAATTCGCAGATTGTTTTCAAGTTGGATATGGATATACTGCATCCTGGACACGACGCTTTCGTAGATGGCACCGTTCTCGCCACCGATCATGTGAAGTTCATCGGCGATGAAAAGATCAACGGCTTGCACATTCTTCCGGCGTTGCCACTGTCGTGAGAGTACGTCCCATTGGGAAGGAGTGGCAAGGACTAAATCGGATCGATCCAGGATTCTCAGATCAGCCGTGACCTCACCCGACAGGGTTGAGATGGTTTTACCACCCACAATCTTGGACAGCCGTTCCTGCCAGTCGGCATGACGACTGTCGACGAGCTCCTGGAATGGTGCGAGGTAGACCGCTTTGCCAGCTTCTGGGTTTTTCCAGTGTTGCAGAAGAGCAAATTCGGCGCAGACAGTCTTGCCACTGCCGGTTGGGGCACCAATGAAGACACTGTCTGTGCTGTCGTACAGAGACTTGAAAACCTGGGTCTGGATTCTGTTGAATCTGTTCCAGTTGGGGTAGAGGTCAACGTACTCCTTGACCTTCAGGGCTTGAACCGGCACAGGTTGCAAGTCCAGAAGCTGAGTATGGGGTGGGAAACGTTCGGGCAGGATTAATTTCTGGAAGGACACTGGCACTCTCGTCTCCGCATGCATCCATCGATCCGACATCAGAGTGATGAAATAGTTTGGCGGAATTGGCTCACTGATAGGGACAGTAAAATCAACGAGATGTTCTGTCATCTCCCCCTCAGCGAACTCTTTGCGCAGAATGAAGAGATCGTGGAACAGGATCTCTTCACCGTCGCAGTCTTCCACAATGATCCAGAAAGACTCGGAGGTGCCGTGTAATGCGTCATCCCAAACGAAGTTAGGAGTGATTGTGAGCTCAACATGGAGCATTGATCTGGTCATCGGCTGAACTTGTGCTTGAACTTCCAGCCGCGGGAATTTCGCAACCAGATCGCAAACGATACGTCCAGCTTTGGGAAGACCAAGCAGCTCTCCCATGCGAGGAGGATCAAGATCGAAATAGCTTGGCCAAGGAACATCCATTCTCTCGGCCTTCTGGATGTATTCCCTCGGACACGTAGGGAATTGCCTCAATGGCGTCATTGTCGGCCACATACGTTTTTCAGCCATTTTGCACAGGTCGAGTGCAATCTTGGCCACTGAAGCCCACCCCTTCTTCAAACATATTTCGAAGATGGCTCTCAAGATACGTCCAGCGGACTGCGTAACATAGACAAGATCAGCCATCAGCGCGAGCCCTTCGAGTTTGAGCCTGGAGATAAAGGCTTGAAGGAGCACGTTGATTTTGGCTTGTGGCTCCTCCATCCCTTCCTTGACCGGTATCGGCACTCTGCCCAGCAACTTTGCGAGTTCGAGTTTCTCATCTTGTCGAACTGGGATATACTTGAATTCATCACTAAGTGCAAAGATGCGGAAAAGCTCGATGGTGCTTATCGACGGCTGAAGATGCTGATTGTAGGTCAGCATGGAGTTGTGCGTGATGTAGTAGTGAGAAGCGACGCGACCAAGGTCAGTCGCCTGTAGTTTTCCGGACTTCTTGTCGTACTTGACCAGCCCAGCTCTCTCGAGGACCGTGGCAGCTGAGTGAATCAGATCGACTCTCTTTTGCTCAAGACTTTCGTCATTGCTGTAATCAGCACCGACACTGTAGAGACCAGGCGACCTAATCATTCTGACAAAAAGATAGGTGTAGCCCAACCACTCAACGCCCTGGTCTCTTGATTGAATATTGCCAAGCACAATCTCGGCGTTGAGATTATCTGCCATTTTGCTCATCAATTGACTTTCAATCGGCAATTGCTGATTCAAGAGCGACAGATAATATTGAATCTCTGCTTGAGAAGTGATGATGATACCCTCGCCATAGGAGTCGTACTGTGGTCGGCCAGCACGACCCAGCATTTGCAGGACATCTTGCGGACTGAGCTCTATCCAGCTACCCTTCTCGGGAGAGTAGACTTGCGTGCCCTTGATAACCACAGTGTGTGCAGGAAGATTGACACCCCAGGCCAGTGTTGCTGTGCAGACAAGCACTCGGAGTGACCCATCCGCGAAAAGATCTTGCACGGACGTACGATCAGCAACACTCATGCCGGCATGATGAATGCCAAATCCGTATGGCATAATGTCTTTCAGGTTGGCATCGTGAACTTGATCAGCCTCCTCTTGCAGGATCTGCCTGCTGGCTGCATCTGTTCGCATTATCTGTCCAATCGTCTCCATCTCGACAGCTTTGTCACGGATATATTTGGCTGTTTTAGCAGTCTCTTTTCGAGAATGAACAAAGATCAACATTTGCTGCTGATTGGTTCCGACATGCTCCATTACTTTTGCGTAGCATACATCGTTCATGGTCTTCAGCATCTTGATCGCTTTCTTGTCGGTAATTCCAATGAATTCTTGACGAAGTGGACAAGGCCTGAAGGATCCGTCGAAATGGAACAGTCCTTTTTCAGGGTCGACACGAAGGAAAGTAGCGACATCCCTATAGTTGGGAAGTGTTGCGCTCAATCCAACAATGCGGACTGGATCGCCCGTCTGCTCAATTTTTCGGATAGTACGACTGACAATGCTTTCAATGACAGGCCCTCGATCATCGTGCAGCAGATGGATCTCGTCGATAATAATGAGGCGAACCAGTCTGGTATAGCTCAGATCAGTGGCTTTTCGCGTAATAACATCCCACTTTTCTGGCGTTGTCACGATGACCTGTGTGTCCGCGATTTGCTGCTTGGTGAGTGATCGATCACCAGTAAGTTCAGAAACCTTGATTCCATACACTTCAAGTCGCTTTCCGAAGTTTCCCACCTGTTCTTGCACCAAAGCCTTGAGGGGCGCGATGTAAATGATCTTGAAATCATCTAGCATGATCTCGCCAGTTTCGGGGTTTCGGTGCTTGCCAATCTCCCGCAAAATAGTAAGCATTGCAACGTTGGTCTTGCCAGATCCAGTGGGCGCGCAGATCAACATGTTGCCATCGTCACCAAAAGCTGAAGGATAACACTTAGATTGTATCCGATTGAGTTCTTTCGAAGAACCAAATCCTTGTCTTGCCCAATCTGGAAGTTCTGAGGTCGGAATATTCTTTTCACCAGGATCCCGTCTCGGCTTTGGCGCCGGAACATGAATCTCTTCATAACCCTTGAAAGTTCGCTTCGTCGAGCCTTGAGGCAGGACAACCTTGGGGTTTGTCATGAGATGGTTTCCTTGCTCAAACACCAAGTTTTCAAGGTTGATGAGTCGCTGTGGCTGCAAGCCACCGGAAAGTACTCCTTCCTTCTTCACCTGTTCTTCATCTTGTGCCTTTGGGACATCGATGTCCATAAGATCCAATTTCATCTTCTTGGCTGGGCGAGGACCTTCTGTGGTACCATCTGTTATTCCGAGAAGCTCGTTCAGTATAATTCGGTGGCCAGCCTCGACCATCTCACTTTCTATAAGATTTCGAGCATCGTCGTCCTCGGCCACTCTGCGCCATCTAGTGGCCCAGACAATCCGCTCACGATTGGCAACCAATTTGCTGACCATCTCCGGATGATCGTAATCGAAGAGATCCATAAGGTCATTCTCAATGTCGCGAAGCGATATCTCCTCGCCCTCGAGTGACTTTCCAGATAGTATCTGTAGCGCGTCCTGGGTCTTCTGTTGTTGGATGTGAGCATCGGCATACAGCAATCCAATTTGACGTTGGAGCCAGTAAGCGTCGATGTCATGGATGGGTATGGCATCGGAATCTTCTCGCTTCCGACGACCAGAGTCATTGAGGCCGCTGTCAAGAACCATGCCAGTGTCGCCATCTTCGTCAGCATCTGGAGCGCCAGCGCCACCAGCGGTTGCAACTTCATCAAGCCCAGGTTGGTCCTGCATGTCGTCTTCCTCGTCTGCGTCGCTGTCATCATCATCTCGAACTTCGTATGTTCTAGCGACACCGTCTTCATCCTCTTCATCTTCGTCGAAGACGACTGCAACACCTTGACGGTCGTCAAGCTCGGCTTCGTCCGCGCCTGCGCCTTCGCCATCCTCATCCCCGTCTTGCGCATCATAATCTGTGATCTTCTTGCCAAGGTTGACAAATTCATTGAACTGCTTGGGTGTCATGGTCGATCCGACAATGTCATCAATCTCCTTCTTCTTGTCAAGATCTTTCAAGTTCTCGTCTTTCAGATATTCTAGGATGGCATCGGCGGCGCTTCGGACGATTTCCTGAGAGACGTCGCCCAGAGCATTGGCAGTCACGGTGAGAAGGAGATCGTAGGTCGCGCGAGTAGCGGGTGTCCTAGGACGATATTTGAGCCCTTCGATCAGTGCATCGCCAGCGGACAAGATGCCAGCTCCTCGAGTCTGGGCAGGCTCACCCCGCTTTCGTTTCCTCTGTTCACGTTCCAGAACATCCTGGCCTTCACGTATTGAGCCTCTTTCCATGCCTTGTAAGCCGGAAGCCATCCTCTTCTGCTTCGGAGCATCCTCACGACCAACTCGTGACCCCATATCTCGAATGTTGAGCCTTCCAGCAAGGGACTCCGGATCACCGGTGTTCTCATCGGTTCTTCGAGAGACAAATCGACGGTCAGCCTGGAGAACCAGGTTTGACATCGCCGAGTACTTGTACTGGGCGACATTGTTGGGGTCCGCCATCTTGACTGCTGGGATCCAAAAAGGTCACAGTCTGTGTGAGGTTTGTTGCCTACGACTAGTACCGCAGGCAGAAATACGAGAGATAGTTCTTCGCTTATAGTCGTAGCATAGCTTCAAGATCGGTCGCAATCAATAGCTGGGTCGCCGGTTCCTTGCCTCCTCGTCCCTCGTCTGTCGCAGAGAATGTAGGTCGACGATGAGCCTGGTTGTTGCAACATTGATGCGCAAGTCTGAGAAAAGTCGATTGTCTCCAAAGTTTCTAGGCGGGCGAAAAAACTGTGGGGCTCGCTAAACTTTCCCGATAGTGGTGAATTGATCTCTTTCCAACCACTACGTGTGAAATCCAAGCACAATTACCTTTTACCTCCGTTCGTACAAGAGCACTGAATAGTAGGTAGGTAACTACCTAGACGTTAGGGGTATATGCTGCTACGACGCAGAATTGCACATTTGAGACTTCACTGCCGGGTTATTGTCCATTGCTCACAGGGATTCTATTCAATGCGCTTTGGACCACTCTCCCACAACCTTCAGCTTCAACGGCATGCCCTTTGATGGTTTGGTGGTCACTACGCCCGTCCGAATTGGCCGATAGCTGTCATCCTCTAGTTCCATCTCAAATGCGCCGACGAATGCAGCGATCAAAGCTCTTAGCTCCGCTCGGGCAAATCCCTGCCCAATGCAGGTTCGTGGTCCATGCAGAAAAGTCATGAAAGAGTAGTTGCCATCAGCACCGCCAGAGTTGTTGGACTTGCCCGTGTCTTTGTCTATCCACCGAGACGGGTCGAAAGACTCTGAGTCAGGACCCCAGAGCTTAGGCGACCGGTTGAGGCCGTATATAGGTACCGCAATGAGGGTGTCCTTCGGAATCGGATATCCCATGATCGATGTGTCCCTGGCAGCCACTCTGAGGGTCTGAGCCACGGTTGGGTACAGCCGGAATGTCTCACTGCATACTCCGTTCAAAAAAGGCATTGACTCCAGAATTTCACCAAGGTCGACATCTTTCAAGTTGGCCGATATCCCGTAAGGGAGATGGTCGCGTATCTCAGCCCTCAATCGAGATTGGATCTCGGGATGACGGGCAAGCAGGTAAGTTGCCCACTCGAAAGTGGAAGATGTGGTCTCGTGCCTTTGGTGAGATGTGTTAGAAAGCTCTCCTGATGGCAGCCTTATGGCACTGGGAATGTTGGTCTGTACTCACCCCGCTGCAAGAAACGTCAGGACTTGGTCTACTAACTCATTGTCGGAGAAGTTGTTTGATTGTATCAACTTCGACAGCAAGTCGGCCGAATCTTCGCCAGTGGCCTTCATCCATCTCTTTTTCTCAACAACAAGTTGTCTGCAAAGGTCTCTCAGCTTATCGGTTTGCAATGTGAACCACCTGTCCACATTGCGAGCATCCGTAGGGAGGAGTTTCAGTGCCCATCGAGCGCCTAGGACGGTCAACGAGAACAAGAGGAAAATCTCAAATCTTGGTTCCATGATCTTCTCATAGGTTTGGGCAAGTTCATCTTCGTTGGATATTACGGTATGGAAATCGCGGCCGATACCGGCAATACCGATGAGATCAAGTGTGACTTTAGGTGCCCAAAAGCTGAGCTCGCTCACGCCGGGTGGTGTCTTGCTCGCCTCATCGACAAGGTCGGCTCTGATCCTTTTGACGACATCGACCGATTTGCGCCAGAAAATGGGATAGAGCTCCTTGATGTGGCGAAAGTTGAAGCTAGGTTGAATGTGTTTGCGCTGGAATTTGTGGACATCGCCCTCCACAACGACAAGCCCGTTCCCCAGTACACGAGCTAGAAATCCCGCAGCTTTCGGAGGCTTGATGAAGTCGTAGTTCTTTGTCACGAGGACTTCAGCAATAGCTTGTGGACCTATCATGCACAAAGCTTCACTGTTTAGGAAACCTCGGAGGCGGATCAGGTCAGCGTCGGGATGTTCTTGGATCCATTTGAGCGGTTCTTCGCCGACCGGTCTGGCGACTCTCAAGTGCATGTGGCCGATGATCGGCAAGCCTCCCTATGAGCGTGTGTTACTTTCAGAATGGTCGTCGCACGCAGTATTGCAACCATACCTTTGGTTCGGGAAGATATCGAAGAGGGCTTAGCAGAAAAGGATAGATCCATGTTCGATACACCACCCATGCGAAGAAGCTGATTCCAACGATGCCGTACAGAAATGGCCTCGGGAATTTTGTCGAAATATCTGGAGGGGTCAGAAAGTCGAGGGCCACTGCCTCACAACCTGGGAGCAAGCCAAGCCACACAAGCGTCGATGCAGGGCCGCTCATCCTAGTCAATGGCTGCGAACTGGTCAATGTTGTTCATGCGAGACCATCGTTACAAAAAGATAGATCGCCAGAGAGCGTTTCGATGATGATGTCGAACGGCCGGCTTAGAGAATCTGGTCACATCATGATTCCGATTGTGGCCACATGATGTGATTCTGGAATTAGGGCCTCGGTATGCAGACAGGACGACAGACACTGGACGAGGGACATGGGATGAAGACTAGGTAGTCACAGTACTTGAGGAGCGCTCCTTCCATTGTCAAGAAGATGAACCTGGATGCTTGCAATGGCAAAATGTTACTCCAACAAACTTCATGCCCAAGGGGTGGTCCTTGAGGTAGAGTAGGCGTAGCGTCGACACCCTTTTCGAAGGTCGAATGGCATGTGGCTGAACCTTGCCGGTGTCGTCCAGCCTTGTGGCCTCCACAGAATGGCCCCTACGCAACGCTTATGGGCACTAGCCGGACCGGGGACACTTAAGTACTGCAAGTACGGAGAACAGGACAGGTTCGGCCATCAATGCATACGTACCTCGCATTTGGTGCCAATACTCGTGCGATGTCTCTGGCGACTTAGTAGACGACATCTCGTGCTTGAATTGCATTTCTCTCTGTCGATCTCGCATATACCTTTACCGGCGCCCATAGCCGTCGTCGAGAACGTCGCGGCCAGCATCCAGACGCATTCATCTGTCTCAGCCAGCGCGGCCAACACTCCCGACTGCGCTTACGCACCACCCTTATCAACGCGCCAGCATGGCGAACACAATCATGGACATATTCTACTCGTTAGGAAGTTGCATATACTGCTTCCCGAGCACTCCGCAGCTGAAAATCAACACCAGGAGCTTCCGTATGCTTCGACTACTAGGCGAGGTACGCGCATTTCAACCCTACGCACCGACGTCGACGTGCTGATCACTCAAACAGGGCGGCTTTTCCTATGTCTACCTTGTTCAAGACACCTCCGACTCGGCGCTCTATGCGCTTAAAAAGATTCGTTGTCCTTTTGGTCAAGAGTCGGTCTCACAAGCACTGAAAGAAGTCGAAGCATACACCCTCTTCGCACCACACCCCAACATCATTCACAGCATCGACCACGCAGTGCAAAACGATTCGAGCACGAAGGTCTCGGGAATAGGAAACGATGGCGGCTCCTCGAGTAAGACAGTCTACATCCTCCTCCCATACTACCGGCGAGGGAATCTCCAAGACATGATCAACGCGAACCTGGTCAATCACACCCGCTTTGGTGAACGGCGGCTTATGCAACTGATGCTGGGCGTCTGCAAAGCGCTCAAGGCCATGCACCAATACCGCGTACGCAATACTCCTTCCAATGCCGCCGCGAAAGCCATCCGGGAAGAAGCTGCGAACGAAGATGCCGACGCTGCGCGAAGGCACGCCCGCACGCAGAACCGGACCATGACTGCCGACCAGACACACCAGGAAGAGATGAATGAGGAGCAAGAGGCACCGCTAATGCCTGAGGGCGAAATCACCAGAGCACAAGAAGGCAAACAGCCTGGGGAGGACCGAGCATATGCCCACCGCGACATTAAGCCTGGCAACATCATGCTCGACGATGACGGACGCACGCCCATCCTCATGGACTTGGGCAGTCTAGCCCCGAGTCCAACACCCATCACATCCCGCTCCTTCGCCATCGCCGTGCAGGACACGGCGGCGGAACACTGCACCATGCCCTACCGAGCGCCCGAACTTTTCGACGTCAAGACCGGCAGCGTGATCGACGCCAAAGTCGACATTTGGTCGCTCGGATGCACAATGTACGCGTGCCTGATCGGGAAGTCGCCATTTGAAGCCCGCTCCGACGAGACAGGTGGATCACTGAGTATTTGCGTTCTAGGCGGCGACTGGCGGTGGCCGGGCGAGGGCAATGCAACGAAAGGAAAGGACAAGATGCCCCCGTCACGGTCAAACACACAATCCTCGGCCAACGGGGGCCTCAAAAATACAGCGACTCCCGCGTCCGGCGAGAGGGTATACCCCCATCCTGCGGCACGAGAGGTGGTCCGACGCTGTCTCGCAGTCGAGCCGTCGGAACGGCCGGACGTAGACGAACTCATGACCTTGATCGATACGTGCTTGAGCGAATTACCTGAAGACGACGAAGGCGGGCCCGTTGACGGAGACGGCGAGATTTAGAAAGATGCAGCAACGCCAACAATTCTCAAAACTACCACACCTTGGAACTTAAGTGCTCTACGAGCGAGGTGAAGCAAGTCGCGCGCTCCCAGCTTCCAATATATGTCTCTATCTTGACTGTTGAGGTTTCTCAGCTGAACGTGAGGCGGGAGATGCAAGCGTCACACCTTGAGATTCAAGAAGCCAGTGTTTCGGACCACATTTCGGGTGTTGACCATGCGCCGCGATTTTGAATGGAAGATCATCCGACAAGGTTGAAGAAGATATTTTTTCGCTCAGGACTGCAGGAGCAAGGTCGTTGAGGCGTGTGAGGCTACTCGTGGAAAAGCGATTACAATTCTTCTTGACCTGATGTTTATTCTTGTGTATTGTCATGGCGTCCAGACGACTCGGAATAGTGTAAAAACAGGATGCTATATCTCGGTGCAAAAGGAATGGGTGACACGAAATTAGGTATCGCCCGAATTGAAGCAGGAGCTTTTCGATTATTTGCAACTTTTAACGATTCGAATTTCCTAAAATATTTGCTGAAAGGCTAGTCAAGAGGAATAAGTTGCTGTCCCCAGCTCCCCTGTGCATCGTAGTTTCGTAGTTTCGTGCCCTCGAATTGCCTACGGCACCTTTCTGGGACCGCATATTGACCTCTCCTGCATCTGAAACCACAAAATAACTCAAACACCTCATCAGTTGTGTCCTCACTCCGAGCCCAGAGTACGACGTCACTGTATCACATCCCATACCCTAGTCCGAGGCTTTGACAACCTCACTAGCTTCGGTAGCAGCTGCAGCAGACTCTGGCGCTTTCTCTACAACCTCGGGGACGGACGCCTCGGGCTTTGCAGCAGGTTCCTCTGCCGGTGCTGGCTTTGACTCCTCGACGGCGTCAGCTGGGGCTGCGCTGGTATCTGCGGCCTTTTCGACCTCGACCTCGACCGCTAGCTTGCCAGCTGGAGCTGGAACATCTTCCTGCTTCTCTTCTGATGGATCCTCGGTCTTCTCAGCATGGACTCCGTTTGTTGCAGGTGATGCGTTCCCTTCCTTATCCCCACCAATATCCGCCGCATCAGGTGGTTCAGCACCAAGAATCTTGTTCCACGCGGTCAAAAGTTCAAGCGATCGCTTTCGGAATTGAAATTCTTCATCACGCGGAATCGTGTTGAGCTTGATGAGCGCCTTCAAGACTTTGTTGATCTTGGTTTGTCGGATGATGGTCACTTCCAGATCCGCATAGTGTTCAAGCTTTTTGATGTAATTGGACATTTGTGGCATCTCATCTTCCTGTGGAGCCTGATCTCGGGACAAGAAGCCTTTCTGTAGTCTGTGTCGAAGGAAGAGGACTGAAAATGTCAGCTAGATTCCATTTGCCCGTTAGAGAACTTACCTTCTTTCTCGCGGGCCTTTCGCTCCTCAGCCGGGTCCAAAGGCTTCTCCTCTGGCTCGGGTTCACCAACATCAGCCATTTCCTCGTCCTCCGCGGCAGCTTTGGACTTTCTCTTCTTTGATTCAGCTTTGGGTGCCTTCTCTTTGGGCTTCTTCTGCTCGGTTTTAGGGGTCTTGCCTGTTGTCAACTTGATTTTGGTGGTTTTTGGAGTCTTCGCAGGCTACGATCAGAATCAGACAGTGTCAAATGATCGACGAGATGGTGGACGTACCTTTTCGGTTTCCTCATCATCGCTGCCCGCTTCCTTCTTTCTCTTTTTAGAGGACTTCTTCGGTGCAGCATCAGCATCTTCCATTTCGACGTCCTCTGTTTCGACCTTGGCGTCGCTCTTGCGCTTCTTCTTGTCACCCTTTGCAGCTTTCTCAGCCTCACGAGCCTCTTTTGCGTCGATATCAGCTTGCATCGCTGCGGCATGGTCATTCAGCATGTCTTTGAAGTATTGGAGATCATGCCCTTCGGCGGCAACCGCAAATGCGGCCAGGAGAGACTTGGTTTTGCCTTTTTCGGGCATGTCCTTGCAGTCTTCCGGGTTCAGTGGTGCGAGATCGTAATTGGGAATCCAGGCACTGGATAGTGTCAGCAATTAGAAATCCGTCACAGATGTAGATCCACCCACAATTCATTAGTAGACAAGAACATGATGGGAAATGTCCGCTCATGCTCTCTCTTGCCACCATCCGCATAAGCTTCATTGTAGGTCCCGTCGGCCTTCTTCGTGGTTACAGGTCTGGTGTTGATGAGGATGTCTGGCAGCATGTCTTCGTCACAGATGATGGATGGCCATGGTGGGTAGCTTTTCAATCTGGCAGTGTATAATTCACCAGGTTTGGCGTCCAGATGGGTGAGTTTGGGCATAGACTTCTTCTTGTTGAGCTTCTTGCCCTTGTGCTCAGGGATACCGGATGATTTTCTCTTGAACGAGCTAGGCCTCTTCTCGACCAGAGCTCCATTTGTTTCCACTTGAGCAGGCTCTGTTTCATCCGCCTCTTCCACTTCTGTGTTAGCGCTGGCTGGGGCTGGGGCTGCTGGTGCCGATTCTGCTTCGGCGGCAGGTTCTTCGGTTTCTTTGGGCGCTTCTGGAGCGGCTTCGGCAACGCCAGTAGCAGCAGGTGCATCTGTAAAGATCGTTAGATTGGGTAAAGAGGTACAAATGATGCGATGTGTACCTGTTGGTTCGGCAGTTTTGGGCTTCACGGGCTCCTCGGTAGACAGAGCACCGGTCATTTCAGCAACTGCGCCAGAGGCAGGTTCTGCTAAAGAGGGCGGTGCATCATGATCCTCAGGTTCTGTCACCTTGACAGGCACTTCCGTCTGAGGAGCAGCTGTTTCGGTTTCCATGTTGACGATGAGGTGTTTTGAGTGCTTGGTTTCGAGCTACGCGTCGGCGAAGGCGCGCTGGAAGAGGAGAAAGCTCTGATGGAGAGAAAATTAGCAACAGGACTTGGTACGAAGCAGTCTGAAGTTATGGAAGGGCCGGAAGGGTGATGCGCAGTTGAAGTTTTGACGCGACGGCAAGAGCGCATGGAAGGCAGGAGAAGTGGTAGGCAGAGCTTGCAAGCAGTGCCACAACCCAATGCGAGCCTAGATCCAACAACGATGGTGATGATGGGATGAAGGCGACTAACCTGCGATAGCGTTAATGATGTCGCGATACAGGTGTTTGTGTGAATGCAGTTGAACCGACGAGAGTGACGGCAAGCAATGAATAATGGGGGAGGAGAATTGAGAGACAGAAAGCAACGCAGCCATCATTTCTTGCGCTAAAACCGATCTTCCCCAATCAATGGGTTGCCCATTCACTGCCTCCCGTCTGTTCTCCGCCAAGCCTCAATGCAACAGAGAGAGAAAGTGATTTTGTCTGACACACGGCAGTTGCACAGCTCATAAACCCCGATGCTTGCAAAGATGCCACATAAAGTTGAAGCAATAGGATGTCTTTGGTGGCAGCCAGGTACTCCGTAGACAATGATCATAGGATCAGAACCTTTACCATTGAGGATGTTCTCAGGACAGATACCTCTGTTGAGCTTCGGTAGACATCAACTCATCAGGCGTGCAAGGGTGAATCGGCGCATCTCCTGTCAGACATGGTCGATTTTCTTTCTCTCTGTCCACCGGGTCGTCGAGCAGGTTGCAGGCAGCCTCTTCGCCGTATGATGTGATCTTTTGTGCTTTTCTGTGCTCTTGATAGAGAAGATGAAAGCATTACTTACTTTGGATGATTGATCTTGTGCTCAAGCCGCACTCGATCAAGTCGATGCACACCCGTATGCCTGGTGCTGCCGATGGCGTAGGCAACGAGGAAACAATCGCGTAAGGGCACAACGGCTCCTGGGTTGTTGCGAGACAACAGACGTTGCAGTCTCTTCAAACAACCAGGTGGCTCACAAATCAATGCCCTCGATTGCCAGTCAACTCCGAGGTTCGTTGTAAAGAGATGGCTGGGTTCCGGCACTTCATCTGCTTGGAAGGATGGATGGATTGCAATCGCGGCGATCGGCACAGCACGGCAAAGTGGGGAGGTTTACCTTCTTGACACCGGGGTAAGTTGTCCCAGCACCGGGCACTTCCCCTGCTCATTCTATCGCCGCCGCTGTGTGAATGCTGTTATCGGCAGGCACACCCCTTCCAGGCCAGTGCAAATGATTTGGCAAGGACGATGGAACAGAAAGGCAACCTTCCTGCTGGAAAAAGTACCATGAGACAATCAACGAGGATAGCGACCAGAAGTGCAATTCGTCCGGTGAAGTATTCGGTGCGATGTCTAGTAGTCAAGTTAGTATTCGACGTCGTCTTCCGCCATCATTTGCTGCACCACATAAGGAACATGCAGGCTGTGTCTGTCTGCTCCAGCACCTTACCCGATCACGGAGAATTCGTATTGGATGCGACGTTACACAAGCCCCATTCAAGCAAACGATGTTCTGGTGGTTTCTCAAGATGGTCCAGTACTTGTGGCCAACCTCAAGAAATCCCATGTCGACCTCAACGGCATTTCTTCTTTCCTCATCCAGCACGACCCCTTGGGCCAGAGTGATGACAGTGGATAGACAATCTGTTTAAGTCTTGCCATCTTCTGCGCCAACCAGTCACTCCTCTTCAGTGCCGAAGCCGTCGCTATGCTACCGCTTCCTGTAGTTACCCGCAATCCTGTACCGGAAGAAGGACTACATGGACCGCGACATACAATCACGCGAGTGTCGCTCTAATCTGGCAGAAACGTGTCTCTCCAGCCCATTGACTATGATACCGGGCAAGCACTCCAAATTTGTCAGAGGCGCCCTGAGACCCAGTCGACGTAGGTATGTGAATCATGTCTTGACAATTCTCGTCATTCACTACCAGGTGGCGCCCATCGAAAATGCACTTCACTGTTCAGTCCCAGACCCTTGCCAGATCGACATTGGACAACACTCTCATCCCAATGCAAACGCTCTTTAAGTCTACAACCCTCTCACTTCGGAAGTCTCTGAGGCCTTCATCAAGTAATTTAGTGACAATGGTCGCCTCATTCACCCTCGCCTCCATTCAATTCTACGTATTACTGACAATCCTATTCCTCACTCGTCTATGTCACGCACAGGACGACGGCTCATCGGAACCTAAGCCTCCTGGGTGGTTCATCCTACCTGCGGACTCAGGAACGTCCTCGGACGGGATGGTGGACTACACATTTGAATACGGCTCTTCACCAGAGTTCCAATGGGTCACAAATGACACTGAGGTTGATCTCAACATTTACGACGCTTCTGGCACTGCATATTCACTGTTGGGTTGAGTACTACTCATTTCTTTTCATTTCCTTTCTAGACGAGGCCATCTGAATGCTGCTGCTGCCACAGACTAACGATACCCATCTCAGGCGACACTGCACAGACGTCCTTCAACGGACCCCTTGTCTGGTCGAGCGACTTCGGACCTCCGTACGGTACAGGCTTCTACCTGCAAATCGTGAGCGAAGACACCGACTACACAATCGCGACGTCAGTCACTTTCACCGTCGTCCCGGCAGGATCCAACCCAGGCTCCTCATCTTCACCTACAGACACCTCTTCCGCGACACCAACAACAACAGAGTTGATCAATCCTCCTCTAACACTGCCAACAACACCTCCTCAAACCACTAGCACGAGTACCACATCCACAACACCGCTTTTCGAGAGCTTGCCAACCACGAATACGCCGAATGCACCATCGACGACCACGTCCGAACCTGCAGTCAAAACCACCACAGACACAGCGTCCACCCCTGCCACAGCACAAGACACCAGCTCTACCTCCTCGTCCGCTCCTACAGCTGCGCAAACAGCATCGCTTCCACAATATGGGGATGGGGGAGCAGACACATCCTCCGATCCGCACGACAAGGCCCTTATCGATGGTCTCAGCACAGGTCTCGGCCTCACGGTCCTGTCAGCAGCACTAGCCTGCCTGTTCCTCCTGCGCAGACACAAGCAACAACAACATGATAAACAAAAGAACACACCACAGGCCGCAGAAAAGGCCAACGTGGAAGGCGGTGCTCAATCTCATAATCGCGTCGACTCTTACAGACTCCTTCCCATATACAGCCCGTCCGACGAGCTCAACGGCTCCAGGTTTTACTCTCGGTCAGACTTGACGGGGATGGTATTGGCTTCACCTCGAGGGCGTGAGACTATGGCAGAACTTCCGAGTCCTCCTTTCCGAGGGATTGGCAAATTTGAGCCAGACCATTTGATTGAGTTGCCTGGATGAAGTCAAACGAGGGAAAGTAAAGCAGATGGGCAGGAGCGCATGAAAGTGTATGTAATAGGATACTATGACTAGTTGTATGAGGATGATCGATACATAGCGAGCCTGTTTCCAGAAAGGTGGCATCCTTCTGACCGTGGGAGCTCCTCACGCCCAGATAGATATCGTTCCTTATTGCCCAATTCGGAGTGCTACGCACACGACGATATAGCGTTCGTCTCTGACAGGAGGAAAGTCATCAGCTCCACCGTATAGTCCTACCAGCTTGTAGTCACGGCATCCGGCGTCGCGAACCTGCTGGACCTTGAACTCATATCTTCGATGTACTCCTTGTTAGATGGTGTGACTTCTCTGGAGACAGGCTCGGCATGGTCCAGTGAATCCGCGTTCGTCAGTCTAGCATGTCGGTTCACATGTTCACCACAACAGGTGTCTCCGGATGCCGCCCCTCGAACTTCTCTTCCAAGTCAAGCCCTCTTGTTCTTCCAAGCGGCATCTGCACAGGCTTGTGGATCCTCACGACCCATAGGAACCAATCTTCCAGCGGCAGCAAGTTCAACAAGACATCGTTGATGATCCATCCGATACCACAGATAACGGCGCCAGCAACGGCATCCAAGATGAAATGATTTGCAGTCGATACAATTGCAATGAGGATGGAGAATGGGTATAGAAAACCGACGGTCCAGCAGGCAGCCTGCCGAGTGCTGGGAAGGCGGATTTGAGGTGCGAGTTCGGGATGCGAATTGTTGAACAAAGGGAAGTAGATGGATTTCGAACGTCGATGCTCCGGAGCAAGCGGGATTGTCATGATGGTAAGGCCTACCAATAAAGAGTAACCGAAATGCAGGGATGGCATTGCAGCTGAGCACAATGATTAGTGACATACTACTCGTTGATTCCCTGAATTCCACACATACCATATTGATTGCAGCACCTGTTCTGTGTCCAGATGCTGCTGGCACCATCCTTGCCATGCACCGTATCAACGAAGCCAAAGCTCTTAGCAAGTGCAGCCTGTGGCCCATTGTAGTCCGGGTCGCTGAGCAATCGTGGTGGCATGCACGGCCAGACGGTGAACACGATGAAGGCAAGAAGGTTACAGACGGCCATAGTCCGTCTGCGGGCTTCGTACAGGAGAGGACCTGACGTAGAACCCGGTGACGAAGATTGTCCTCCGACCTGCGGACGACTACCTCGATGCTGGACAAGTCGATTGCTTGTGACGGTGTAGTAATATAGCCAAACGAGGAACGCTATGGTGCCCGGGATGTGGATGAACGAGTATAACCAATTTATGTAGGTCAGTAGGCGAGGGTAGGACATAAAGAACCCTTGAATCGGGATCTCCCAAAAGATGTGGAGTCGCTGTTCCCATTCGATCACTTGAATAGCATGCCGGCGTGCGACGTGTACTGTGCCTTCGACCAAAGTGACTGCTGTGAAAGCACGGCCCAGCTGATATACCTGCGCCATGTTAGGGCCTGTCGTTGTGTTTCTGGTACGCTCGTCTTACCCAGTATATCAGAGCCCAGTACCAGCCTTCCACCAAGAATGGAAACTTGTGAAGGATCCTGCTCAAAAAACGGTTACGAAACACCGCAGTGTTTGGTGTCTCAATCACTCGGTGGTATCCCATGATCTTTATCTCTCTTTCTCGCCATTTGTTCTCTTGGGAAGGTAGCAGAGAGGGTGACAGGGACCTCTTGCCTTGAGACAGGCGTGCCTCTTCGATGTCGAGGTCTGCGTTCACATCGACTCCATATGCTTCGGGCAACGCTTTATCCCAGTGTTGATTTCTGGTAGTAAAGCGGTAGTCGGTTGCACGGTTGACCCATGCGCCCCCAAATAGCAGAGTAACAACCGCCAGCGGTTCTAGGAACGCACCTGCCCCCATTATTGGAGTATTTCTGTTCCAGCTCTCTCTTCACTTGCACAAGGACGAATGACTGGAGACAGTGCGAAAAGAGACTATTAGTATGGGAAGGAATAATACTGATAGCGCAAACGGACGGATGAGGAGTATAGTATTGGTAAGCGACCGTGCCGGCAGGCCAGGATGGGAAATCGCACGCAAGTCATGGCCGGGAGCAAAGTTCCTTCGACGAGAATGCGATCACGATATGGGATGAGTAGAGGGGGCCCACCTCTGCATTGTTACCATTCAGTGTCCTCAACGTACGAACAGAGTCTGCCGCTCGCTAGTTCGTTGTTATCGCCATCCGACCAGCAGATGTGTGCCCTCGCTGAAATGGCACGAGCGAATTGCATGAAGCCATGTACCTACGGAAGTACATGGAAAGCATATTCGGGTTTGGCCGGATGTGGTAGCCAGGCACGCGTCGGTCGGACTCGTGAGGATAGCGAGAGCGAGAGTGCTGCTTATGCATTCCGACCGTATTACCTCACGGTACGACCAGTAAAGGTGATATGATGAGTGAGCGAGGGAAATAAGGTGGACAGTTGGTTGACCTGGGAAAAATGAGGTTAATCGAGCGGGTACAAAAAGTACTGTATAGGTTAAGACCCTCTGGCATTCTCCACGACAGGTCTTCTATCAACCCCCAATCTCATCCCTTTCCGAACCTTCCGCTGACCACCATCGACACAGCATCATTATTGAGTCTTATCAGTCGTCCAAATGCCTATGACCGAACTGCGATTTATGCCGGTACCATTGCTACTGCCCTTTTGTCTCTTACCAGGCTAAATGAGACCTCTTTGTAGAGGTCGTGTGCTCATATTTTCCAGCCTGTTTTCTGATGTTCACCAGGTCGTGTGACTGACTGTGAAGCGACACTAGTAAATGCACATCTTCCCCCCTTTCCGCCACCGACTGAAGATTATGCGGACTGCTTTCCTCTCTCGCGGCAGCCGGAAGTGGTGGCTTGATGGTGCATGACAAGCATATTCGGCATCGGCCTTCGAGGCCTCCCTTCCACTTTTTCTAGACAAGTACCAAGGCTGAAAACCCTCTGCTGCGACCGGAGAACACTTTGCTGTGTTTTCGAGCTTTGGACATAGACTTGAAAGAATCACAGCCTGCGTTGCGCGCTGTGGACCGTAGCTCAGTGCCGACAGCCTCGTGTCTGCAGAAGCCGGACTGGCAGTCGACTGTGGAGATTGACTTGCTGCGATTTAGTTGGCAAGTGCGGTCGATCCTGCTGCGTGCATCTGGCACGTGCAAGGTTGAAATCCTGTACACTGCCCCAGGTAGCAAGAGATCAATCTTCGAGCTTTCAGAGTCCGTCACTGCATACCATCCCTGGGTCGCCCTCGAGGCGGTAGAGATGTTTTGGAAGTGTATGGGCGTATCAGCCTACGATGGAGATGTTTGTAGGTGACTCTCGATGTCGCTACCAGTCAATCTCAACCAATCTTTCGTCCAACATTACCGACTCCTCTCCCCACGATGCTGACCACCAACTGGCCCTCCGCTTTCTCACCGGTGGCATCTCGAATGCCCCATCCCGCAGCGCCAAAAGCATTCAGATCGCGTGCTAGTTGTATCGTATGCTCATTTGCCAACACATCGCGCCCAAGTTGAACTCTGCCCACGTCTTCAGAGCCCATAGACATCAGAGTGATCACAGTTGATGCGGCCTCGAGACTCACACAGCCGCCGCGTTCGACGCTTTCGAGAAGTTGAAAAGCGCACATTCGACCAATATCCTCCGGCGGTATACCGCCTTCAGGCGGACTCGACGAATCTGCAGAGTATAGACAACCAGTCGTACTTTCTGCGACCAGTGACAATCCAAATCCCAGACCGACCTTCCTCTTAGCGCTGGGATTGTTCCTTTCCGGTGCAGGCACCAAACTGGCACTCCCAATATCCGAGAAGACGTAGATGTCTGGGACAAATTGATTGAGAACCCCTCTTGCCGCCTCGATCATTCTCGCGTTATTACTTCCACTCACACCTGTAGAATATGCCACACCTCTTATCTTCTTGACACGTCCCGGGCTCATTGAGTGCAGTGTCTTCGGCAATCGAACTTGATGTCCAAATACAAGCTGGACTTCTCCGGCGCCGCCCACGCCATGCGGCCCTGGGTTCGATCTTTTCAGTATCCTCAACTCTATGTCCCGCTCAATGCCGAATCTCTCGTAGAGCGGAAGAATGGCTGTCCGCACGCCGTCGACACTCATGTCGCCCCATTTCTCAGTCGAGCTGGTGATCACGCCGGGACCAGTAAAGAGGATATCGACTTTGGTCTTGCTGAATGGTGCGAGCAGACATATTGGTAGAAGGAAGTAACTTAGTCCGCGCGTGTTGTTAGCGGGCACTTCATGTTGTAAAACACCTGAACTCGAGGCACCGCTGCCCGGAGCAGACCCTGTGATTAGGCCGGGTTTGTAGAGGACAACAGTACCGGTGTACGAGATCTCGATGTGTGAACCATTGGTGATGGCTTCAAGGAGGCGGAGGAAAGAAATCTCGTGCGGCGCAAGGCCTGGATTCGTAGGAGAGTCGGGACGGATCTGGTCGATGCGGACTGCGCGGCCAAGGAGGGTCGAGAGGACGAGTCGAGAGGTGAGGGACTTGTGGGATGAGAAACGCAGGGGAGGCTGAGAAGTCGACATGATGCCAGCGTGATCTGGTCACTGCATGCTTGTGACTTTCTGCGTCAAAGATTGAATGAATGCCTCTAGGACTGATGGTGGAATCTTCATTTTCTCTCCGCATCTTCTACAAATTTTTCTCCGCATGGCAGTGAAATTGAATTCCACCCATCGGCGATAAAGTCCTTTTTCTTCCGTGGTTGACGTCGTCGATCGATCCGATCATTTGCGCATTTTCTCTCGCGCCGCAATCGTATTCGCATTTGTCAGGCTCGACGCGTTGCGATTTGATGATAAATACTAGTATATCGCACGATCAGTGAGTCAAAGCACACGCGAGCGATATAAAGCGTACCAAGCCGTTAGTGAAAGAAACAACATCCCGCATCGCTTATCTAGCACCTCAGACCACCGGGTCCTTCATTACCTTACACCTCCGAATAAATATGGCATTAAATCTGCCCAAGTGGTGAGTTCTGTTGTTACAGTAGGACCAAGTACTGTGCTGACACTGATTGCACAGGCTCAAGGACAACTCCCACCTCCTTAAACCTCCCATCAACAACTACTGTGTCTACCACCCCTCATCTCCCTCCACAGGAGGCTTGACAGTCATGGTTGTCGGCGGACCCAATGCTCGAACAGACTACCACATCAATACCACTCCCGAGTTCTTCTATCAACACAAAGGCTCCATGCTGCTCAAGACCATGGACACCTCGACGGAACCTCACACTCCGGTTGACGTACCGATCCACGAGAACTCGCTGTATCTATTGCCCGCCAATACACCTCATAATCCTGTCCGGTTTGCGGATACCGTCGGAGTCGTCTTGGAACAGCCGCGTCCAGAAGACTCAGTAGACACGCTGAGATGGTATTGCAAAAAATGCGGAAATATAGTACACCAGGCCAGCTTCCACTTGACAGATCTTGGAAGCCAGATCAAGGAAGGTGTGCTGGCATTTGATAGCGACACCGAAGCCAGGACATGTAAGAACTGCGGGACCGTTGCCACGTCGAAACCGGCGCCGGGCGAAATAGAGCAGCCACCAAGGTTTCCTCCTGAGTAGGCTGTGTGATTGTTCATCCAGTGGCGGCGATAGAGGCCTGGTCATTTTCTTTATCTTGGGTAGCGTGTTCCTGTACCATACTCCTCTCCGTTGAGATGTGTTGTAAAACATCCTCCGCGACTTTCAATGCAGCAGGTGGCAGACCGGCTAGTTTCGCCACTTTGAGCGCATGAGATTGCCGATTGATGCCTTTCTTGAGTCGATGCACAAACGCAAACGAACCATCATCGCCTTCGAGAACATCCGTGCAGTAACATGCCAGTTGCTTCCAGTCTCGCGTCATGTCAGTCAAGGAATGGAAATGTGTCGCAAACAAAGTCCGGCATTTGTTGACATGGTAAAGGTGATGCAGGCTGGCATACCCTACCGCTGTCCCATCTTCAGGAGTGGTGCCACGGCCGACCTCATCCATGATCACGAATGATCTCGGCGTCGCGTGTTTGAGAATGGCTGCAGTTTCTAACATCTCCACCATAAAGGTGGACTGATCACGGAAGAGGTCATCTGCAGCACCTATGCGACTGAATATTTGGTCTACTAGACCAATCTCTGCATGCGTTGCTGGCACGTACGAGCCTGTTTGGGTGAGAATCGTGAGCAGGGCGTTTTGCCGGAGAAAGGTACTCTTTCCACCCATGTTAGGACCGGTCACGAGCCATATTCGTTCTTTTTGGTCAAGGACGACGTTGTTGCTCACGAATGAACGGCCTTGTTCTTCCAGGCCCAGTTTCACCATGGGATGCCGTCCTCCTATGATTTTGTGTTCGGTGCCACTATTCACGAGCGGTCGTATCCACGATTGTTCCCGTGCCAACGTAGCGAACGCACTGGCGACATCGAGTTCGTCCATGACTGCTGCATTCCGGCGCAGTTTGACAAGATTGTGGATGACTCCCGCTCTGAGAGAGGCAAATATCCGCTTCTCTTCGTCTCTGATATTCAAGATGGCCTGATCAATCCTGCGACCCAGTCGAGTCCAGTCACTCAGATAGAACGATCGCGTGCTCTTCGAGGAAGACACCATTCGCGCATGTAGGGACTCCAGTTTGTCTCGGTTGAAGCCTGTAGCACTTCTGATATGGCAGATGTAACCAAGGCCTGGCGTTGACTTCAAAGTCAGTGTCGGGGCCGATAGTTCTGTCCTCAGTCTTTCCGCGAGAGCGAGCTTTTCAGCTTCCAAGTCATCCAGATCTTGATGTAAGCGCAGTAGGATGTCACTGGCATTTCGACGCATAATCCAAGGCTCTTCCAGCACAATGTCATCTTTGTTCGGTTCTTCTGATTTACTACGAGAGCGCACAGCCTTGGGCAGCGATTCCAACTCCTCAGGGGCGCTCTGTAGGACGACATCATGAGCAAGGGCTGCCACACTAGCTGCTTCGTCTTCTTCCAGGCGATGCTTATGTTGCAGACCTTCTTCATCGATGGCGGAGGAGATACTGGTCTGGAGCTCACCAGGCCCCTCAAGATCGAAACGTAGCAGCAATCGTTGGAGAGGCGAGTCGTCCGTGGAAACGCTTGATTGTAGCAGATCACGAGTAGAGACGGTCTCGGAGATTGCGGTCGCCAGCGACAGCATGTCATCTGCATCCCCCTTGTTCAGAGCAAACTTCTGTACGATGCGCTGGACATCATACGTCCGTCTCAACCGAAAGATCAGCGAGTCTGTCAGCTCTTCCGATTCGAAAAACATGGCAACAAGGTCAAGCCGCTCGTTGATTTCTGGCAAAGACGCAGAAGGTGATGTCAGACGATCTCGAAGCAGACGAGAACCACTCTTCGTCACCGTCCTCTTGACAGCGTGAAACAGGCTACCTCTGCCCAGCCCATCTCTTGCCGTCTCAAGTATCTCTAATCCCCGCAGACTACTCCGATCAATACTCAGTATCTCGCAAAGCTCTTTTCGCCGAGGAGGTTGTAGTCGCAGCTGTAAACCTTGAAGCCGCAGTCTGACATAGTCCAGAAGCTGATGTCCAGCTTGTTTCTCTCCAGGCTTGAAGGCCTTGTCGTCATCTGGTGCTACTGGGGTTTCCAGCATGGCATTCCACTCGATCATGGATTTGAAGTCATTCTCTGGTTGATGCAGAGTGAGCAGTCGATGGTCATGGCCCACAATCTGCTGAACCTCGTCTTTTATATCTTCCGCGACGTTCACTGGCAGAACAATCTCTCGAGGAGCAATCCGTGTCAAACCCGATGACAAAGAACTTCGACCAATGGTCTGTGTGAAGAAGTCACCAGTCGATAGATCCAGCCAAGCAAGGCCGATCGTTTGTTCGGCATCTGCGATCGAAGTTCCTTCAGAACCATCATGTCGAAGCGAGGTAGGTTCAGGGCTGGAGCTCGATTCAGGATATACTGAAAGCAAAAAATTGTTTTCATATGGATCAAGGAACTTCTCGTCAATTAGTGTGCCCGGGGTTACCACTCGAGTGACTCGGCGGTCGTGCTTCAAGCCACCGGACTTGACTTTGCCAGATACAGGGATCAGGAACTCATCACAAATAGCCACATATTTCTGCAGATCTTGCACCAATGTCTTCAAAAAGCGGTCGAGCTGGAAGAAGGGGAAGCCTGCCATGGCCACGGGACCCATCTTGGTTTGCCTGGTGCCCACCTTGAGACTCAAGAGGGGACCAAACTCTTCGGCCTGTTCAAAGTACAATTCATAGAAGTTACCGACTCTTGTAAGCAGGACGCAATTGTCAAATTTGGCCATGTTGTTCCTCACACCTTGGAGGACGGTAGGATATTGAGGTTCGTCGTCAGGAGGTATTTCAGGGAGGGCTTCAGCTTGGATCGCTCCTTGTGGCAACTCCTTCACTTTCTTCCTTGACATTGTCTTCGCACCCCTTCGTTGAACCTCTTGCCATCGCCATGTTGCAACGCAAGAGGCTGCAGGCTGGGCAAGCCGCAGCAGTAGGCTTGGTTGACCGCATCGCTGAGAAATGTGCCCAACACAAGTGACATGTGGGCGACTGAGCAGTCTTGCCAGTGGGCGCATCACCGCACTGTCCTTTGGAGTTGATTGAAGGACGCGCAGCGACGCGTTAAATGGTGCAGTATCTCCGAAAACCTTGCCGCCCTGAGGAGTAACATGCCTCTCAACTCCAACTTCAACTTCAAATTTCAGGTTATTCCGAATGACTGTTACTAGAGAAATCATTCAACAGTAATACAGCATCCGCTCACAAAGTAAGATTCAAGCGCAGCTGTTGGATTTAAAACGAGAAGCTGCACACATGCCCCTAGGGAACGGTTCAGATGTCTTACAAACAAGCATGAGAGAGAAGTATCCAGCAGTGTCAAATCAGTGTATCCAAGCAAACCAAGAGAGCAAACTTCGTAACGAGCATTATGAGACACCACGTTAAACCTTCATGATCAAACAACGGGCCATCAGACAAGTCATGCGCACGAAGGGAAAATTGAAGTGCTTGGGCCTTTATCATGCTAACGAAGATTGCCAGGTGTCTTGTGAGTATCACCCTTGAGTGCCTTGAATCAGCCATGTAGGCAAAGCTCTCGGATTGTCGGTTGGCTCTTGCGAGCCTCACGCTTGACAACACGATCACAGCATTTCGTCGAGGATTCGGCGCGGAACACAACGCAATGCGGGATCATAAAGTCCCAGTTTTCACCCAGGTTTACGGTACGTCCAACCAGCTCACATCATGTGTAGGACCTTTTCGACTTATCATCACCTTGTACCGCCATCTCCATATCGGGCTTACACAGGATCCACGAATTGGCAAGATGTGCCAATCAATCGCTACTTCCACTTTCACAGCTTTTCACCGATGAGAACCTGCCGGAATTTGTATCGTATAAATTCTTGTTCATCCTCAACTTACCACCACTTCGGCCATCAACTTACACAATATTTCTTCAGTTTTGGAACAACATTAAACCAGCAATAAGTACAATCATAAGATGGCTCACACTGACGTGTCCCTGTTCCTCAATCTTTGCATTGCCTCCTTCGTTGGCAATTACATCGGCAACTACATCGGGACTCTTATCGGCAACTGGCTGTTCCCTAGGGACGACCGCCCACTCACCAAGGAGGAGATTCAAGAACACTACGAAGTGATGAAACGAAGCACGTCGGAAATACTCTCCCTGATCGAAGAGGCGAAGTTGCGGACAAGGGAATTGCAAGCACTGAAGGAGCAAAAGACAGAATCGTGATATGCAAGTAGAGTGACAGTCCTACAAGCAGTACTTGGGGTTCGACTTGCCTTGTTGTACTGAATGGGGTGCGCCAATGCTGGAGAAGGGAGAATCGTCAATTTGCTTGTTTCTCGCCGTCCATCAACACTCTGGAGATTGTTATCTGGGAGGAGCATATGCCTACTGTTACGGCTCAAGCCAACAAAGATCGAGAATGGTTTCAGTGACAGGAATGACTTTCAGCAACGGAGGAATCAAGGCTCGTGATTTGGGGTACTGGGTGTTGTGTACATCATTTGTACAAGGCTGCAACGATTTGTCGCAGCGTTAGTTTTCTTGGTCCTCAGTGAGGGAGTCTTTACTCTTTCACAATACATGGTTTCAACTTAGTATATGCAAGGCTGGACTGGCTTGTCCATAAGATCTTCATGTGGGTTCCAGGGTGCCCTCCACGACCTGCAAGGGCTGAACATTTTCCGTCCACTCACCACCAGGATGGGTAAGCAACGCGCATTAGCCTACCACGCCTACGCCAGGTAATCAAAAAGGTCGTTATGCGATATATCTGTTCCTCCTTCCTTCTGGTCAGCTGAGCACTGGTACACTGAATTTCTAGGCGGCCATGGCTTTGTGGCCGTTCAGAATATAGGCAAGTGGCCGCCTGTCTCTTCACCGGATCTTGCGCCGCACTATGTTCATTACTTACACGCATATCGACGACATCAAAGCCCCCGCGAAGAAACGACAAGTGCACTTATATCAGAACCGCCGGAGGAAAGAGATCAAGGCTGCCTCGACTGCGCTGTCAAAGAATCATGCCGCCAAACCAAGCGAGGCCGACGCTGTCTCGTGGCCGAGCCACAAGTTCCCCATGGCTTTGCAAGCGGATTTGCTCTTCGAAGGCATCATTCTGTTGATGTGGTCTTCCTTCCCGCCTAGTCTGAAACAGTCCTCGCACGCTGAACGTGACCAGGTCTTCATGGGTATTCGAGGGGCCGTGATGAGCAAACTCCATGCCCGACTAAGTGTACCGCAATTGTGCAGCGACGATGTCAGTATCCATACAGTCCTGTCATTGATGGCCGCAGATGTATGTGGAAGTTCCACCATTCCGTCTCCGCAGGTGGCTAACCCTATCAGTTCAACCGTGGGCTCGACGACAACGTGGAAATACACTGCGAAGGACTGCGACAGATGGTCAAACTTCGAGGTGGCCTGGCGGCGAATGATGTCCAGCCTCAGACCAAGTATTCCATCACGGCGTGTGTACACCTGATACACCACAACGAAACGGTCATGACAGGGCTAACGGGCGAGGGCAGCGCAGAAATGATGGTCGACCTCGCGATCCTCCGGCGTGGACTGTCGCCGAAGATGAACATGACCCCAAACAACAAGATCGTATATCCAGCGCACCCGTTCTCTCCTGAATTGTGCAAAACCATTGCCACCCTCCCCAAGGGATTCGAAGACATGGCTCTCAAACAAGTGTTGTCCGTTCAAGTCATCGACCTGGTTCACCGACTGACTAGAACGATCGAGCGCGGACCGGCAGATTTTCCCAAAGACACGTCCATCGCGGTCGAAATGATGCGTTTGTCAATGGAGCCGGAGGCCGACATCGTCGAGAAAGGTGTGATCTTACTGACCTTCGTGTTCGCCCGTTTCTTGAGCGATAAGGCGACGAAAGGTTCGAGTTCACCTCAGTCTATGCGCACGGATGACGCGATCAAGGAGCCTGTCGGGCGCTGGGCAAGATTCGCGTTCGGGATCCAAAAGGAAGTGGACAGTGATTTTATCGCGTGGACAACGTTCGTGCTCTGGTTGGCCTGCGAGGACTATGGATACTCCGAGAAAGAGCAAGATGAATTGGTAGACCGGCTCGCAAGGACGCAGCCGACCATGAAGAATAAAGACCGGCTTTCGAGCGTGGTGACAAAGTATTTCTTCCATCAAAGTCTCGAGCAGGATCTGGACATGTTCTGGAAAAGTTTGATGACCAAAAGTTGATATTCTGGCTGACTGAGAAGATGTTTCAGTATGTCACACTATTACAAAGTATACCTGAAGCCTTTGTTATCCAATTCCGTCACGTCGTGCATTCCTAGCTCAATGGCCTCTTTCTCTTCATCCGCATCGACAACGCCCGCTGCCGCAGCCTCACGATCCCTCTTCTTGTTCGCGAGATACATATAGATGTACAACACGACGACGGCCACCAACTTGATGACATAGCCGATCAGCATGGCGATGTATGCCGAATGGTAGCCTGGAGCTTCGCTGCTCTTGAAGGTCTGCGGTCCAATGATGTTTCCCACACAGTAGCCGGTAAACAAGATGGCTGCTGTGAGCTGCTTCTTCGTGTACCCCGCGACGTTGGAGCTGACCATGGTCAAGGACATGCTGAAGCCCAGGCCCTGGAAGAAGCACAGCCAAAGGCCCACCATGCGACCCCATTTGTTGCTGTCAGGCAGTCCGACCAGTAAAGCAGCACCAGTGATACAGATCGTATTGGCAATGATCATGGTAATGCAGCGCAAATTCGGCCATTTCGAGCAGACGATACCTCCACCGATCAAAGCGAGAAATTGGATCGCGCCACCGGGGATTTGGAGATACTGCGTGCCAAGGGTGCTAACGTCGAACGACTTGATGACAAGACTGGTGAACTGCGTGATTGCGGAGTTGGGAATCTGCGCGCCCGTCGCCATAACGAACAAAATCCAGGTCTTTGGGTCGCGGAATGTCTGCCACATCTGATACTTCTTGAAGTGGTGATTCTTGATGCCTTGACGATTAGTCGATACGCGTTTCGCGGCGATGACCTTCTCGTCTTCGGTCAAGAATTTGGCGGTCGACGGCAGATCGGGGAGGATGAAAAGCGATACTATCCCCAATGCAATGCTGATACTGCCGAAGATGAGGAAGACGTACATCCATTTCGGGAGACCGGTAGTGATATGCCCGACAGCATAGCCGATGAGTCCACCGAACATTGTTGCAATCCCGTTGGTGCAGTAGTACGACTCCAACCTCAACGGCTGCTCGGCGGCGGTGTACCAAATGGACATGATGAGAATGAAACCGGGATTGGTCACGGCTTCGAAACTACCCAGGAGGAACCTGTTGACCGCCATGCCGGCAAAAGTCGTGCAGGCGGGCGTCGTGATCAATATGATGCCCCAAATGATTGTCGTGAATCCGATCACTTTGCCTATCCGGAGCCTCTGGAGGAGATAACCAGCTGGACACAGTCAAATCTAATGATCACATAACACCGGAGGCAGCGCCTTACCTGGATACTGAGCCCATAGATAACCGAAATAGAAGATCGATCCGAGCCATGAATAATCTTGACCGACGAGGTGAGTGCCCTTTTGGAGCCCGTACACGGAGGCATAATTGATTCCGTTCTTGTCCAGGTATTGCAGCAGGTAGATCAAGAACAAGATCGGGACTATGCGCAGATCTAGCTTGCGGAGAACCCTTTTCGATTCGGCAAGGTCAAGCTCTTGCTCGTCACTTCGCTTGTACAGATGATAGTTGTCATCGAGTTCCGAGGACTCTGTCGGCGTGTTGATGCCCGAAGGACTACCGTGCGTGGCAGTGATCTGGTCGACATCTTTGGATTCGTATTGTGCGGCCATTGTACTGTCGCCTCTCTGTTGACTGTTTACCCAAGGAAACAGCCATTGTTGTGTTGCGGCATGCGCCCGCTTATAAGAGAGCGGGCATGCTCGCTTCGCCAACCACGTGTATGTGTGGTATGAGATAATGCTTCAACAGCCAAGCTCCAGTATGGAGTGCATCCACCAATATCCCGCGTACGGTAGGATTCCGCGTAATGATCGATGGGTATTGTTGGATGAATCCCAGATGATACCATCGCCCACCTCGATCACGACATCCGCTAGTGCCTAATCGGGAAATTTACCTCCACGAAGGGGTATGCTGACGCAAATCTTCCACAGAATGTGTCTGCCGTGGAAGCTGTCATATTGATTTGTCCCAGACGTTCTGGCGGTAGTCGACCAGCGATGCAGCGAGCCACATATCCAGAAAGGCAGGTGGTATTGCCGTGCCTCTTGTCCGGATATTCGGCTATTGTCTTGCAGTGTTCCTGACGACAATGGGGGAGTACGAGTATCGTAAGGAAACTGTCAGGATCGTACAGCACTGGTATCGCTGGCCTTCCATCTCCAGACACTCCATTCAATCAGACCTTCATCATCCCAGTCGGCGACCTCTGCTTGCTCTCGACCCTCGTCAACAGCTTCCAGGCCGCCCGCTTCGAGGAGCTCCCATAATTCTCGGAGCTGTTCGAGATAGGCCACACGCTGGGCGCAAGCAATGATGACTCGAGAGGACGGGCCTTTGCCCAGCCACCGAATGATGGCTCCGGAAAGCAGCTCGGGATGTTCTTCTGAGTACACCACATCTGCAGCTACGACCACTTGAGCCTTGTCCACGTCGGCAGCATAAGTCTGCCCAGTTTGTAACACTAGCGACTCTGGGGTGGTCCAGTCTAAGGAGCCGCACTGGACAAGATCTTTGACGGAGTCGTTGTTCAGTTTGACGTTCGCAGCAAGTCCGGGCACGATAGGCGGCAGGTCAGTAAGTATTACGCGCGCTTTCCACAGTGCAGCAATAGTCAGGCCAACGAGACCTGTTCCAGCGCCGAGTTCCAGTACCGGTATGCCATTTGAGCAAGAGTAGTCGACATCAAGCTTATGCAGTATACCGGCCAGGACGAAGGAGGATGTCCAGGTCGTCAAGGTCAGATTGTCTGCGCGTAGATCGGGTTCCGATATGTGGATGTCGACAAAGGAATCATGGTCCCGAGGAACCTTGAAGGTGCGGGACATTCAAACGCCTCGTCTACGCTTGAAGAGCCTTGACGGACGATTTGATGATTTGAAGGTTTCCAAGATGCACAAAGGTTCAGAAGGAACAAAAAGTGCATGACACGTGACGCCAAGCCAAACAGACGTGGCAGCCTTGCAGTTGCAGCCTCGTCTCTCTTCACTTCTTGCCTCTTCCACGTCTTATTCTTTCATCTTTCTATTCATCATCGACCATTTCAATTTTCAGTGCTGCTAGCATTCTTCGCTATGCCGCCACATCGCCAGCCAGCAGCAGGGATGAGATCGAGCCTTATTGTCCTTCGGAGCTCTTTCTATTCTAGAAGGTGAGATATCCATATCGCCACCAATTGATTGTGGAACGGAAAAAGCAAATATACACTTTCACATGCGGTTGTTCCAAGTCTTCCTACTTCGACCATTTATCCAAACATACTCTTTTGCCTTTTTCTTCGTCTGACTTTGTCGAGTCCATGGCCTACTGGCCGCTCGCCTCTCATTGTTTCCTCGCAGATTATCACGTCAAACGTACGTTGCGGAGCCTTGCCGTATCTGTCCTGGGGCGTCAAAAACCGAGGTGATCGTTTCTTCTGCAAAGTCATTTCTCCACTCAAGGGTTGATCCCCGAGCCGCTTAAACGCACTGTGGCAATGAATGGTGGTGAAAACATGAAGTTCGATGCATGCGCAGCTGTCAGAATAACCTCTCGAAAAGCATAGTGACGATCTGATGGGCAAAACAGCATCATATGTCGCATGCCGGGCTTACCACCTCATCACAGCAGCTGCTCCCGCCTCTATCCCGAGCCGGCGCATCTTCCTCTGGGGCGTCCGCCTTTCGCCTTGTGGTGTGGATACAGTTCGTCCTGATAAGGCTCCTACCCCGAACGAGCCGCAACGCAGACGAACCATTATCCGATTCGGGAGAGGCCGCCGATCAATATCTCCCAGATCAGTTCCAGAAGCTGCATGGAAGTTGGTCTAACCAGGATCTAATCTGAAACCTCGTCATAAACCTGGGTTTCAGAGGAGAAAAGCAAAGCTTATCTCGACTTTCTCATTCATGGCGTTGCACTATTGGCGTGTGAGGCAAGAAATAACGGCCACAGATTGTGCCTCATGCGGGAACCCCTGCATAAGATTTGTCTTGACCAAACTGCTGGTCCCAGTAACACTGCCATCGGACATCATGCTCGAGCCCTACCATGGGATGACAACACCACCTTGATAGCGGCCCCGATGCCTTTCATGCAGGTTCTAGTTGAGATCGCCAGGGGTTGCTCGCGAGACGAACCAGCCATAGGATGAAGATGTCACCCATGGCAAGAACTGCGCCGTGACATATATCAATTCCTGGCTCCCTTCACCACGTCTTTGCAGCGACGATACTCAAAACTTACTCAAAGCCAGAAGCAACACCGCCTGCGTTCGAGATGAGTGCATATCCACACCCAACATCATGGCCTGCGCCAAACTACATCGACCCTCCCACGAGAGGGTCACCTTCATTGTTTGTGGTCATGATGGTTATCGCAACAATCGTGGTGGCTCTTAGGATATATTCACGCCGTTTTGTGACAAAGTCGCTCGGACTGGACGATGGATTTCTCGTGGCAGGCTGGGTGAGTACAGGACTTTTGATCTATCTAACCCTCCAGCTAATCAAACCCGAAGTTTCTGTCCATCGGAATGACCTTTGCTGAATACAAAGCCATGACTACCTGGGGTTGGGATCGCCATATTTGGGACGTCAACCCGTACAAACTTCCCAAACTGCGGATCGCAGCTTGGTTGATCGAGTTCTTCTTCCTCTGGGGCAACGCCTGCACAAAGATCTCCATCCTCCTCGTCTACCGGAAGATTACTTTGGGTAGCCACAACTACTGGTTCGTCAGGTTGACCTGGGCAGCAATTGGCTTCACCGTCATCTACACCGTCGGCTTGGGCTTGGAGCTGTTTCTGATCTGCCGGCCCTTCCCGTCCTACTGGGAATCCTACAGTCCGACTTACACCAAAAAGTCCACCTGCGGAGACGAGAAACCACCCTTTGTCTTCAGTGCAGCCGCCTCAGTGATATCCGATGTCTACTCGTCGGTGCTGCCCATGATGTTGATCCGGAACCTGAATCTGTCACGCAAGCAACGGATAAGCTTGTACGCCTTGTTCTCAGCAGGTCTGGTGACCGCCTTGATCGGCATCGGTAGAGCATATGTCTTTATCCACGTCACGACAGACTACCAGCCTAGCCTACACACGCACGACATCTCGTGGTGGGGCTGGCCCTTGCTCGCCCTTACGGACATCGAAGCCCATCTGGCCATCATCATCGCCTCGTTACCGGCATTGAAAGTCCTTTTCAAACGTCATCTCGCCTGCCAGTCGTCACAAAACGACAGCTCCACGCTGTCAAAGCCGCATTCGTTAGGACGCGCTCATTCGCGCCCAGCCCTGCGCTCGGAATCTCCCATCGCTGAGCACAGTATCACCTCCACACCGCGATTCAAGCGCTTGTTCCAGAAGGGCAATACCCCGTGGCGTCTTCAAGCAAAAGAGGACCCGCAACCAACTTCCAGTCACGACCTGGAGAGCCTTCCGGTTGAAAGGGTTGAAACGGGCACCAGCAGGCCTGTTGCTGACGCTCCTCCTTACATCCACATTGCGCAACTGCACAGATGTTATAGTCCCCATGATGTTCCGTGGTGATCAGCAGGTCTGATGTTACGAATGAGCGCTTTTTCATATACCTTTGTATAAATATGCAATACACGTGTACAACAATCGTCTGTTTGCCGTCATCAGTGCTGCCATCAGCATACGGACCAGCTTAGTACGGAAACATAATTCTGAGCGTTGAGCGTTGCTAGGGCTGAAGAAGGAGTCAGTCACTCACGGGCGGTCATCCTCGCCATTTGATAGTCAACCTCGCCACTTCCCAGCTTTGCTTTGTGTCCCCAAACTTCGCTAGCATGTCTTCAAGCCACTTTCCTTCCTTGGTCAACGAACCTCCAAGTGCTTTCCAAGCCATACGCAACGGATAGAGCACCATAAACTGGCCCATCATGGGTGTCGCGCTGGAAAGCTGATACTGAATGCTGCGGCATATCTCGACTGCGGCTTCGCGAGACAATGTTCGAATGTGGGCAAAATCCGCCTCACTCATATCACTGAGTGGTGTCGGTGTGTCTGAAAGTGGAATGGAAAAGAGTGCCTCGGCAGCCTGGATCAGCGCGGCGTCATAGAGGCATGTGTAGCTCGCTGCTAGTATGCTTGTGTAGTGCAGGTCTGACCCAAACATGTCTTGACCACGGTCACCGGCGTCGGAAGGAGAAATGGACACAGTTTGTGACTCGGGCAGTAAATCCCACTCTTTTCGCCAGCTTATCAGCCTGGTCAGGATGTCTAACACAGCAGCCGGCAACTCGGGGGAGTCGGGACATGTCTGAAGCTGCTCCTTGATCGTTGGAAGGACTGCGATGACGTCCATGAGAGCTTGTCCCGGGTTTTTAGCAATGTCACCGGACCACGGTATGGTCTTCCACTCTTCGCGTGCGAGGAACGTGGTTTTTGAGACGGCGAGAGAAGCGAGTATAATGAGGAAACGGGTTGTTTCGAAGACCGAGTGGAGCAGGTTGTCCTTGAAGGCATACGGTCCTCTCATCTCCATGACAGCACCGAGGCCGAGGGTATGCGTGATCCAGCCGGTGGGGCTAGAGAGGACGAGCATCTACGACATAACTGGTCAAAAATTGCGACGCAACAGGCTCCAGATCTCTTACCTCATATAATCCGAGTATCATGACCGATAGCGAAGTATCGTCCTGGGTGCAGCACGCCGGGTCGGCCAGATTACGATTCAGTGTGGATAGAGACTTGATATACGATACCGACCCTTCTTCCAAAATGGCTGGCGCTGCCTGAACCCTGCCGAAGTGGGCCAAGGCAAGTGACTGCAAGCAACGATATGCCAGGGGCGTCTGGTTGGTGGTAGCGTCAAAGCCAGGCCAAGCGCCTGCAGGAAACAGCGAGTGCCGGAGGTGGTGGAGAGAAATATCGTCACGGCATGGAGCGAGGCTGATTGTCCTGCCGACTGTTATGAGGCCCTGCTGCCCCGGGTCACGCTCATGTTCACGAGCAGCCAGACTTGAAGACTCGGGCTCAGGCTCAACCTTTTCCATCTGGAAACGGCTGTTTTCGTGGACGAATCTGGTGGCCGGGTATCCGTCGCACTCGAAGCCGCTTCGCTCGCAGCGTAGGCAGCATGGTTTGCGTTCATCTTTACCCAGCACGCAGGGTCAGAGATGCAGAAAAAGCATGCAGCGATGGAGAAGGAGGTGGACCTACCACATTTGACGCGACGCTTTTTGCATGTGAAGCAGCCTTTCGATCGACCTGGTCTACCCCCCATTTCTGCTTAGCAAGGCCCGCAGCCCTCCTTCCTCGGCCTCACGAGTTCAGGCCTGTGCGTCGTAAAAGGTAATGCGGTCGTGGCAGCGAGCAAGCTGGATAAAGCATGACGTGGTATTAGCAGCGCTGGGATCAATCTGAGGGTCGTGAAGATCGAACATGGTGGGTGGGGTGCAGAAAGAAGCCGATGCGGAGATTCTTTTTCTACTAAAGTCTTAAATCGACGTTAAATACGCTAGACCAAAGTGCTAGCCGCATACGACTTTTATATTTAGTAGCGGCGAGGTAAGGATAACCTAGCTAATGGGCTATCCCGTCGCCCGGACTATATAGGCTCGGAAGAAGGGCCTAGAGAAAACTTACTAGTAGAGTTACTCAAGAAGCGCTTGCTAGACTTAGACTTCTCGTATACTAATTATATGCGCGTAAATAACGACGTTATCGTTAGAGTGCTAACTAGGGGAATAGTTCAGGGTAGTAGAGAAACTACGTGACGAGCGTGAGGTAGATCTCGGGGAGAGTGACATACAAATCAGCGCCATGGTGAATGCAGACCATGGATGGGGGAGAATTTTAAGCACCTTCTCCGTCATGACCAATCAAAGTGTCCCGACCGCAAATAGGTCCAAAAGCGGAAATTGATCAGCGCTCTGGCACTCTGGGTGACAGGCAAGGCTGTGCAGACGCTAATGTACGGAGTGAAGCCGAGCATTCAGTACGTTTGACATCCAGAAGGACGAGCTGATGTCCCTTTTCGATCAACAAACCTGTGGCTTGGAAAGATCATCAGTCTTCAGATGAGCTGATGTTAGGTATAAGAACCATTGCTCAGGCCTGTCGAGGAAATTTGCATCCTCTTAAAAGCACACAAGGCACACTTCACTCACCACCTAACATCGGGCAAAATGTCATACGCCATGGACAACAAGCAATTCCAAGATCCGGAGTCTGGTCAGCCTGTCAGTGTCCAGGAGATCGAACACGCCCTCAGATGGATCCCTCCTCCACCACAATACAAGCAATTCCCAGGCATTCCTCGTCCAGTCGCGATTCCTCAGATTCAGCCCAAATCTCTCATCTCAGGGCCGATGCCATTCATGCGGGCATTCGCTCCATGTCTGCTGCCTCACACCATCACGCCAGAGCAGTTCGTCGCCTTCATCGACAATTATGCCGTAGCTGGAGCCCCTTCCCCAGCCTTCCAAGGAATGCAACTCGTGAGCACTGGCATTGGATTCGTTCCTCATCATTGGGCCCAAGCAGCGAGTGGTGCAATCGGATTAGCAGCTGGCGCCGGCACGCAAGTAGTCGCCGCCGCAAGGACAAAACTGTACCTGAAGAAAGTCAATGAGGACTTCTTCAACCGCCGAGGTCTCAGAGCGTCCGTGGTCGGAGATGACGATTTGAGGAACATCACTCGTGAAGACCCTCGACAAGCACCTCTTGTGCCTGCAAACCCGTCAGCGGGAGTAACAACATTTGCGGAGCGCAGGTTGAAGGCATTGGACCGGTATATTGCCCCTCTGAGCTTTGATGTCCCACCACCCGAAGCGCAAACCAACACATTGGACAGATTGAGTGCCAAACAGGTCAATGCCAAAATCAAAAAGAACAGAGAGAAAGCACTCAAACAGGCACGGAAGCATGGGGGCAGTGATCATGGCCAACACTTGGATCCAGGTGATGAGTCAAAGTCGAGGTCCAGGTCAGGCTCAAGGTCTTCCTTCGATGACCGGTATGGTCCGACCACTGAACTGGACAATTTCGCCGCCTATCCGTCCGGAGACTCGGGCTACCTGGCAGAGAATTATGGGAATCCAGCAAGCTATTCTCCAGGGAATCACGGGGTTTCATCCAGGGAGACTGGCTATCCAGCCAAGGACTTCGGCTACTCAACAAGAAATAACCCATATCCTCAAAACGATGGCTATCCACCAAGAGATGACCGGTACCCTCAAGGTAATGGCTATCAACCGAGAGACGACCGATATCTTCAAGGTAATGGGTATCCGTCAAGAGACACCGGCCATCCTTCCCGAGATCCAGCCCATGCACAAACAGAATCCAAGAAAATCAGAGAACTCAATCTCAAAATGCAGGAGATCAACCTCAAAGCCGAGCGCGAGATGATGAAAGAAGACAAAGACAGGAAGCGCGACAAGATCGATCGCGAACGTGAGAAGAAAATCTCTGAAGTCCAGGACAAGATCGACAAGGAGATGCGCCACGGACACAGTAGGAATTCTTCCGAAGACTTTGACCGCCCGAGAGACCGCTCGAAGCACGAGAAGAAAAGGGATCGGAGTGCCGACAAGGCTGAAAACAAGGACGTCAAAGCGGCTGGGAAATTGAAGTGGATTGTGATACAGAACTTGTGATGGACGAGGGAATTGTGATCAGCCACATATGCTCGATAATCTTTCCCGCGAGAGCGTCGAAGGCTTCTCGCATGTGTATCATAGCAACGGCAAGTTCGCTTGTGGAATAGGAAGTAGTAGGACAGTGTGAGCACGGCTGGATGGGAGGGCGAGAAAGAGATCAAGGGCAAGTCTGGGCGTTGATGAAAAAGCGGCCGCTGAGACTAGTGAGACTCTGACTCATCACCAGGAGTTAAAGCGGCGGGCCAAACTTCGCTGTGAAGCAGGCTCAGGCAGTACTTAACAATACCTAGGCACCTGGGTACTTACCTGCCAATCCTCAGGAGATTGGCACACAGGCTCATAAGAAGATCCCTCTCCTTCTTCCTCGATGTTACCATTTGCCGCTCCCTTTTCCGTCACTCCATGGAGATGCATGTAACTTTCCTCTCTGGCGAAGCGCATCAAGCGCCTCATCAATGAGAAAAATGTTCAGAGCAAAGGACAGTCCGAGAGGATGATTGCGGCCATGCTTGGAATAGCCACATATCATTGGTCTCCCGCAAACTGCCACTTTGCACATCAGACACTGATCACGTCGAGCGAGCCCTAAGGCACAAAAGACATGCTTCGTATCCAGCTGGAAGTTCCAGCATAAGCCGACGCCACGTCGCGCCCGCTCTGCTGCTCAAGGTAGTTCAAGATTCGTAACCTTCCCGACAACGAGCGTTCGGGACAGAGAAGAAGATGAAGGATTAGTATCTGGCAAGGCTTCAGCCAGGGAAAGCTACCCCAGCGGTACGGGCAAATTTGCTGGACATGCCAAAGACTTCCCAACGATGAGACTGTCAATCATTCGTCGAGCCCGATTGTGGCAGCCTACACAGTGATTAGTAATATCAAACCATCATGTCATCGAGGTGCAATGAGGGGGTGGGTCAATGTCGCGGAGTGACGGTAGTGCTGAACGGTAAATTGATTCGAACAGTAATTCGGCTGATGTAGCACGTAGACAATGCAACTGTAAACATGCCCCAATCAGCCAATTCTTCCTCTTTCTTAGGATGACGATTCGAACGGCGGACAATAATGCTGCATCAAGTGATCATAGTAAGCTCGTGTCGGTGAAGCATGGTCTCTTCGTCGCCTTCCCTTCACTTTTTCTTCTTTGCCTCTAGTTTCGACATAGCACCTTCTCTTACTACAAGGTCGTTGTGCATCGCTTCGCGGGTTTTGTACCCTCCAAGTTCCATGGCTTTGGTCACACTGATCGTAGTACCGACGGAGGCTGCCAGCTCAGGCCTAAGCTTTTTGAATCGAAGTGCTCTCTTCTCAGCCTTCGAGGGCTCCTTTGACTCTTCGGGTAGCACGGAAGAGGTTTGGGGAGACAAGCCAGCCTCGCCATCGTTGACCTAACACATGTCAATCTGGATAGGGACACCAGCATTCCTTAGTGACGTACAGTCTTCGACCCTCGGGCGGGTTCCATGGATGGGGTATCATTGGCATCTTTCGAAGCTTTCGGCAGCGTCGGCAATGTCGGTGGCGGGATAAGCCTCAGATCCATACCGAGATCGTAGAGTACCTGTCTTTGCGCCTCGAACAGGGAGAAATTGCCGCCAACAAGGCACCCAAGGAGGCTGGAGGCTGGACTATTTGGGTCTCGGTGCTCGTAGGCATCGAGTCGCTGGATAAGAGCTCGGTGCGCCGACGAAAAGCATTTGAAGATGTCGCTGATCAGTCTGCTACCGCCCGAGATATTGTTATCGGGTCGATTCGGATCGATGATGGTCAGTCTACCATCCTTGTCATTGAAAACATGCGGCATGTGTGATTTCTACCGAGCACGTTAGTAGGATCGAAACAAGGAGAGAGAAAGTACCTTGTCAAGATATTTAGGTGGATCCATTCTGATCACGACGGAGTTCCTGTCGAAGAGGTTTCCATAGAGGTTGAAGAATTCCACCAAAGCTTCGCCCAGATTGATCGGCTGCGATGATGCTGGTAAAAATTGTAACAGGCTGGTGACCAAGCATATGGTGGAGAAACCACCCAGTCCTCCAGTCGACACATCATTCAGCCCGCGGATCATCAAGTATTGCTTCACAATGGCCACGATGATTGGCATCGCCGGATATGATTCTTTCCATCTCTGAAAAGTGTCGATTGCAACAACACCAGAATCATTGTCGAATGACAGGTCCACCTTTAAGCCGCTGATTCTATCCACGAACTTGATGATAGGGACTTTGGCACCGCTGATGACCGTGATTGATGTTGGCTTCGCAATGCGGTTGTCCTTCAGAAACCTTGAGCACGAGAAGAGTAGGTTCTTGGCTTCTCGTTGAATCAGAGGCATCCCTGGTCTAAAGCCACGTCTGAGATAGACCAGATCCATATCAGCTGTAGGAAGGTACAAGCCTGCCGCATAGGATCCGAAGGCTTTCAATTCTCCTCCCGGCCAAAGTCTCTTAAAGGCGTCACGCAGGCGTTGAAACACTTCATCACGAACTGCTCGTTCGAAGTCCTTGGGTTTTACCCAATCATAGAAATCGATGATTTCTTTGTGAAGTCTGGCCTTGTCAGCAAATGGAATAGCCGCGAAGAGTTCACAAAAGCTTACGCCATTCCTGGTAGATCGTTCGAATCAGAAGCAACCAGCCAGGGCGCAGGGTCTTTCCCTGGTTTAGCTTGCCACTCTCCTCGTACATACTTGTCAGAATAGACCAGCGGATCAGATTGCGTTTCGAGGTTATATCTTCCAGTTGCATCCCCTCTCTTTCTTTTGCCGAGTACGTGTTCTTGTTTCATTTCTGCCGCAGGAGCCGGCGCCTCGGCCAGAGACATTGTGGCACCCATGGACTGTGAAACCGACTCTTCTGCGCTGTCTTCAGTGTCGGATGCGTTAACGTCAAAGGAAATGAAGTCGTCTGCGGTTGATTTAATGTCAGATTGGTTTTGAGCATCGACTCGCGCCTTCCGTATGAGTTTCAGTACGTCAGTCCGCTTGGCAGTGGCATCAGCGTCGCCAACAGGCGGCAGCGAGGTGTAGGGATCTGGATTGGACCATTTCGGTGCCGTTTGGACTGTGTCTGAAAGATTTGCGGTGACTCGAGCACGCTTCGCACCTCTTCCTTCGCCTTCATCTTCGGAAACCGCCATGACTTCTTCCTCGCTATCGGTGATTTCGTCTAGATTGCGAAATTTGAGGTCGGCATTTGGGTCTAGAAGTGAAGAATCTTCCACCTGGTTATTCAATCGCATTAGGGGACGTTCGGCGATTCTGGCGGGGTTGTAAGGTCTGCGGTACGGGTCTCTTCTGCGTGGACCGTCTCTTGGATCGGGATACCTAGGCCTCGGTCGATATGAGTAGTCGCGGCGGGTGTCTTCATCGCGTGAACCTCGAAAATAATACATGCCATTGTCCGCCTCGCGGGGTGGCCATGGCGGTCTGAAATCATCATCGCGGCGAGGTGGGCGGTAGGAGTCCTTATCACCATTGGCGCGACGGTCGCCTCCGCCAGGACGGTAGGAGTCCATCGCGGTATGCTGCACCTTGGCCGAAAGAGTGAGCGCGTTGTGAGACTCGACTGAGAATAATCACTCACGGCGCATCGCAAAGGTCGAGTTTTGAAAATTCGCGTCAATGACGGAAACCACGGTTGAAGCTAGACCATATATGGCAATATCAGCGATAAGATAAGAACTATTCGTATACTGTGGTACTTACTACTAGGTGGACAGCCACGAGTAAGGTATTCTAGCATTAATACCATCTCTTATGTAGGTAACTGCAGGGTAACGATTACTTCAACATCAAATTCTTTGAGCCATACTGACAGAGCTGAAGGCCTCTTGAGTCTCAAGGTCTGATCTGTGGCATTATGGATTGCATAGCTAAGAGCACTGACTACTCCTCCACCTTGATGTTCTCCAAGCCCAATTCCAAAGCACTGACCAGAACTTGATCCAAAGCATCCTCCTTGAAGCTGACTCTGTCAGTCCACCAGTGAAGCCAGCTCTCTGCTCGGGACCCTTCATCAGCCCGCAAAAGACCTGCACTCACATCAACAAGATCGGGCCTTTCGCGACAATGCCAGAAAACAGTCGCACCACAGATCCGGCAGAACTCTCGGAAACAGTCTTTGGAGCTTTCAACCTGCTGAAGTGTACCCATTTCATACCTTAGCCGTTCTCCATCCGCTTGGAGAATATTTGCTTTTGGTATGAAAGCCCAAGACTGGATGGGATACCCACTACCAAGCCGACAGGACCTGCAAGCACAAGTTCCAGCCAGGTATTTCGACCCATTCGCCCGAAGCCACCACTTGATATCTTGAGGATTTGCTGAGCTTGACGAATGATAAGGGACCAACAAGTCGGGGAAGGGCGATGAACAATGGGTTGACACAACACCTGGGCGAGTGATGCCGAAGTTCACGCCTCCACAGTGGCACCGCCCGCTGATCTCGTCGATGGCAGTGGCGTTCTCTTCGATGCTATCTGCATCGAGCCGGGCCTTTCGCGGATGGGACGGCTCGAGTGCAATGGCATCGTTGGTGGGAGACTTCTCGAAAGTTGTACCATTGGGTGCCTGGGCAAAAAGCGGTGCTGTGTTGTCGTCGAAGTGGGATAGGCAGACGGCAAGACCGCCATCTCTAGTATCGCCTACGAAGTCGTGCTGCATAATATGTTCCAGGCTAAGCACAGAAACATGCTCAAGCCCCACAACATGATCAACCGCTCCCGAGCAGACGGACCAGGAATCGTCTTTTACAGCGTGAACAAACATATGTGAGCCGCATACCGGACAGAAATACCTGCTCAGCTTGTTGGAAGAGTCGTATCTCTGTAACTTTTCAACAGCAGTTGGACGTTGTCTGATGGGGATGCGGGAGGTATAAAGCACACCGCTACTATATCGGCAGCTGTTGCATGCGCACGACGACACGCTAAATGGGATCTGCGAGTCCAACTGCAGCTTCTCTGCATTGATTCCGCAGAGGCAAGTGGCGATGAGGGTCGAGGTCATGTTGATCAAACCACAAAACACATTGCGGAGAGTCGTTGGATCATGAACAGGGTAGTCCAGACCCATCAATGCCCAAGGAGTAGCAACGGGATACGAGGCAGCTATTTCTAAGAGAGTGTTTTTGTCCAGTCAGTAATATCATAAGCTGCTGTGGTTGGATGGAATGTCGTTTGAAGCGTGGGGAGTAGAGTATGTTGGAACCCTGGAGGAGGTCAGGCACATGCGCGCCCATTTCCGCCTTGACAGGAATTGTTTGCTAGACGAGTGCCCTGCAGAACACGTCTTCGAATCATTTCATGCCTTGGAGACATTCGAGTGTAACAAGAAGGAAAGCTGAAGGCTGAGTGGTTTCGGTCCAGAACAAGAACGGGGGTCTCCAAGTATTGTATGCGAGGGGTTCTTAGTCCCAGCAAGACCAAGTCACAAATCAGCTGCGACGGAGTTGCCGAGAAACATTAAAACTTGCTCAATTCTCCCTCTCACCTCTTGTCTTTCTCTTCTTTCTCCTATCTCACAACAGCAACAAGAAATCTTACTCGTCGCCTTTGCCTACCAAGATACACGATCAATTCCACAATCAAGCACATCAACAACCACCAATCAACAACCTTTCAACACCACTACAAAATGGGTACATTCCCATACTCTGTATATGGCGCCAATTCCTCTAACTCGGTATTTTAGGTCCTTGCTCTTGCAGCTGCGGTGCTACCTGTAAGTACATTTGCTTCATGTTGCCCAAAACACTGGCTAACGAGGGGAAAGGCGGGTGCCCGGCGGGAAAATGCGGCTGCGTATGTTGAGACCGTCTACCTCCTCCTTGTCACTTCCTAATCACCACAATAGAAATAAACGCACCACTGTGTCGCCTGTGAAGGCTTACTGCGCTCCTTACCCAGTACACATGGCTTGAGAAACGAGGAAGAAAATTGTCACGGCACCATACCAAAGATGGACTGAAGCAGACACTCATTGAAGACTGAGGGGACGCTGCGAATGCTGGAAGAGCAGATCAAGTACACATAGCTCTTCAACAACAACAATACAGTTTCGTGACTTGCAGAGGGAGTACGCTGAGTTTCTACCATCTCAGTAGCATACGCGCGACAGTGATGGCTTTCTCAATGTTGTTTACCCCTGACCACACTGACAGTTGATTGCGCCGTGAAGTTACCGTGGTGCCGGTGGCTTGACAGGCGATAAGCAGGAACAAGCGGGGTAAGGGCAACAATCAGGGTTCTTTCTCTTATCGTCTTATCGATTGGCGCAGTTGGAATTGATTCCGAGGTGCCAGACCCTCTTTTCGTCCGCAGCCTCAATGCTTACCATTCGTCTCCCCATACTTATCTGCCTTGTCGTACAGGCTGTTACTTCCTGTTGTTGAACTGTCTCCGAGTCCATATCATAGTCGATGTTGTGCTCGTCTTTGTCGCTGTTACCGTGCAATGCTGCTACGGACCGGCCAAGGTAGGATGTGTCACACTGATGTAATGTCTGATGTAATGTCTAAGCAGTGAAAAGCACAAGATCGATATTGAAGTCCCTACCGTGCAGGATCTCTTGCGCAAGCTGACAGTCCTGTCGACAGATCGCAAGACCGCCCACCTACGAAACTCCAACTACTCACTCGACCACCTTCCCTGCTTTGACCCCACCTACACACGTCCTGTCCGCTCATACCACACATGCTTGATCAAGATGCCTGTACCAGTCCCGTTTACTTCCAGAGTCAAAGGCGCCTTGGTTGGGCTTGCAGTCTGCGATGCGTTGGGCGCCCCTGTAGAGTTCAAGAAGCGAGGCTCTTTCCCTGAGGTCAACACCATGCTACCAAACGAGAATTTTGGCACTCCGGCAGGATCATTCACCGATGACACTTCAATGGCTCTATGTCTGGCCCATTCATTACTCGACAATGGCGGTGAGACAAACATCGCCGACCAGGTCAAGAAGTATATTGCGTGGTGGCAAGAAGGATATATGTCGTCGACGACCGGCACAGCTTTTGACATTGGTGCTCAAACCAAGGATACTCTGACAGAATGGTTCAAGTACCTCGAAGAAGATTACGACAACCTTGATCCTGACTCAGTAGAGGCCGAACAAGCACTACGTGGGATGCAAAAGAAGGTCGCTGACAGCTACTCCAAAGAGCAGTGCTGCGGCAACGGCAGTCTCATGAGAGTTCTCCCTGTGGCGTTGATCGCACGAAGCGAGCCAGATGTTGTTCGACTTGCAAAGGAGAGTTCACTCATCACGCATCCCCACCTTCGTTGTGCGCAGGCTTGCATGGTCTATTCTGCTCTGGTGTATCAAACGCTGAACGGTGCCTCCAGGACTGAAATGGCCATCAGCTTGGCTGAGTCGATCAACGACCCCGATCCTCCAAACAACATCACCGACTTTGCACTTGAGCCCGTCTTGCGGGAGCGTATCGGTCGGTATCAGAAGCTTGAAGATTGGGAATCTACACTGTCAGAGTCAATACGCAGCACAGGATATGTGGTTGACAGCCTCGAAGCAGCTCTATGGGCGTTCTTCAAAAGCGACGGTTTCGAAGAGGGAGCAATCCTGGCGGCGAACCTAGGCGATGATGCAGACACGATCGGTGCGATATATGGAGGATTGGCCGGTGCCTATCATGGTGTTGAGGCCATTCCAGAAAAGTGGTTGAAAGACATGAAAAAGATGGATATTGTGAATGAGGTGGTGGACGGAATCCTCACTTATCGAAATCAAACCGTGTTGACATAACACACACTGTCGCTCCGGAGGAGACGACCAATAAAAGGCAATGTGGGATTTACCGTGAATGTCCTCACCTATATTTTGCGTCGCCTTCAGATTGGTCTCCTTTTCGTAGACCTCATCGCCATCGCCTTCTACTAGTACTCATGCCCGGCCGACTAGTATGACATCATAGCCTCGTTCCCCCGCAATTGCCATCGGACCCATTCAGCACGACTTCGCTAACAGTAGACGAAGACTTTCATTGCCAAATGAACGATGAACCAAGATCGTAATCACCAAAGTTGATTGAGAAACCTCGGGACATTGTTCAAAGAGTGACGCACCAATCCTGACCACAGGAGCATACTAGTACCGAGCCGTATTGTAAACCTAAACCAACTTCTTGACAATTTACTCCAGACCAACTTATATAGAAATCACTGCATCAGTCCAGCAAGACGATTTCAAGTCCCAATCAATCACCATCCCAGTCCAGGTCTCTCATCTGCAAAAGAAGATCGAAGCGGAACTCAATCTGTTCGATCGCGATGCCGAACAAATCAGGATACACCTTCAACTTCTCCTCGTCCGTATCCTACAGTTCATCGACCAACGGTCACGGCACAACACACCGGGTGACAGAATCCGTCACAAGCAACAATCGCGATGGTACCACGGTCCGCCGCGCACAGGAAGAAACAGGCAGACCACGCATCCAGGAAGAGCGACACTATGCTCCCGGCTCACGATTAGGCGCCAGAGTCACTAATGACAATACGTCAAGTCAAGGCCGGATCCAGGATGTCACGGATCAAGACGATGAGGATGAGGCGCAGAAGGAGCGCGATCGACAGTACGAGGAGCGTATGGAGGACGAGTATGCTAAGAGGGAGGGCGGTGCGTAATGCACGACTTTCAAGGAGCTGGGGAGATACAGTACCTCCCATGCCGATACTCGACGACATGGAGTGCCTTGGCTTCAACCTGAGTGGCCTGGATCTTACTGCTTCATTCAACACGATTTCTCTGAAGATGTGTTCTCGATAGAAACGAGCGTGTCTCATAGCTTGAAAGACACTTTTCTCTATCAAACTACGGATAGTGTGGTATATATATTTTCGGCTCGACAGGATCTTCAATGGTTTGTGGCGTGCTTCTCCACTCTCATTTCTCTTTGAAAGATGCAAGCGCTGAAAGCAACAACGATACCAAGTAATTCATCTCAGCATGGCCCCTGGTTCATCTGCACATACCCTTCTCTCGCCTCGTCATCTGCATGTACTCTACCTCCACACGGTGTAGTCGGGTGAGGTTATATGTGGAGTTCCTCCAACGAAGCGGCAGTGCCGACTTTCTTTAACGAAATGACGGGACTAGTCGAGATGTTGACCTTCTTGGTACAGATCCATGTGGAAGCGTACATGTTGACCCTGGAACGGATTAGTCAAATCCCACCTGACGGTCCAGGAAACACTTACCGGTCAATACACTTGCCCGAGTCTCTTCTTCCGACACACTTGCTTTCGAACCCATTCTGCTCGAAAATGGCAGTATACCAGGGGCGAGTCGCGGCCGAACGGAAAAGTACCCGGCCACCGACCTTGAGCACCTTGTTCAGTGCGACGATTTGTTCCTGCGCGGCAGCCTCCTTGGGATTGAACCAGTCCATGGAATCCATGAGCTGTACAGCAAGTCAGCCACTAACTATTATTCGCTTCTCCTGTCAAGGAATGACTTACAATAGCAATGGTCAGAGTTGAAGGGCTGAGTCGTGCAATGACCTCCATAAACTCATCGGTATGAATGCGCAGGCCATCAAAAGTATCTGGCTTCGAGAGCGTGGAGTGAGCTTTGACGTCGAGGTACCGAGGGTGGCATCTGAGATTCGCGATTAGCACACGCAACCACACCGCATGGTAAGCAGATCAACTCACTTCCTCGAATATTTGCCCTGCATGCAGAGATAGTAAAAGTAGTTGTCACAGCTGAGCTGCGTCGTCTCCACCACCGGGTCCAGCGTGTCGACCACATATTGCCAAATGGCTTCGCCGCAGAGTTTCTTGCTCATCTTGGGCGACTTCACGCGCTCTCTGTAGTCGTTGAGGATCAGAGCGTGCTGGGCCGGAGGCACACCCGCGGCCTTCCACGCCCACCACTCGGTCGACACCACCGCCTTGTGCAACGGCCAACTCAACAGGACGTTTCTTATGCAGGGCCAGAGCTCGCGCTGCTCGTTTAGAGTCTCAACCTTGCACATTGTTCGTACCTTGGCATTTAGCCCAAATAGCTTGCACAGCCGCCGGACGAGCTTGATCGCGTGGCGAGAACCGCCGCTCTCGTAAAGACCGCCTGGTGATGAGAAGATGCTGGCTTTGTTCAGCCAGTACTGGAATGCCTGGCTGGACATATGGGGGCTCAATTTCTGGAGAAGAAGGTTGCGAAAATCAGGGTGCTGGCCTTCGCCGAATAGTTGCCAGACGTCGCTGTAGGGCAGGGCCGAGAAAGCCGCCACCTTGAGCTCGAGAAGATGGTTCTGTGACGGGTTCAAATCGACGGCGTGAATACGCTTAGGCTTCTCAAGTAGGTAGTCGAGAATGTTGTCTCCGGCGCTGGTGATGGTTAAGATGACATCGTCGTGGTTGATCTTGAGGAGTTGTCGGTCCACCTTAGGATCCTCCCAGTTGAAGGCGTAGATGTACTCGTTGGCAAATTGCTGATGCTTCTGGAGAAGGTCGTTGTAGTAGATTCTCCAGTGGTGTTGCTGGTAAAAAGCTGCTGGGAGAGGGAGGTTGGAGCTCAAGTTGACAATGGCAGATTCGTAGGATTTGGACCGCGGGATGTTCTCCTGCGCTTCAATGGCTTGTTGCTTGCGGTACTCCATGGGCGAGAGGTATGGCGACTCGGTCAAAGCAGCATCGAGCTTCTCGAGCACTTCCTGACTGTTCTCAGCCAGCATATCAGAGTCCCTTCTGCACCCAATGAAAATGTAGTACGGAATTCCACCCAGAAGATAGTTGCGCTCGCTTGCGGACAGGACAGTGCCGAACCGATACTCAACATAATCTCTTCGGCCACCATCCAGGTTCACACGGTCTGCGTCAAACCAGGTCCTCCAGAACATCCGTCCTACCCAGTTGACATGGCGGTTGAAGCTTCCACCAATATAATTGCGGGTAGAAATGTCCACCACGCTTTGAACGTAGAAATCGCAAATACCAATGATTCCGTGGGGCGCCAAATAGCCCGAGATCATGTCAACCACGCTGTAGAAGTCGGGAATCATGGACAAGCTGTAGCTCATAGTGATCAGGTCAGCCGAAGAGGGCGTGCATGCAATCGTCCTGGCGTCCTGGCACAAGACCGTAACATTCTTCCAGCCGTGCGAACGGACACGTTCTCGAGCCACTTCACATAGCGAGGTAGACAAGTCAACGAGGAAGACATGCTCGAAGAAGCCTTCAATGCCGATCAGTTGGTCCATGGCCTCGATGTTGTAGCCAGTTCCGCCCCCAATGTCATACCAGACAGGTTTTCTCGTTGAATTATTCACGACCATTTGAGCCTGTAACTTTGCTGCCAAAATTGCCAGCATGTCTTCTCTTCCTCGAAGGAGGCGCTTTCTGGTGGCATCGTAGACGTTTGCCTGAACCTTATGAGTCTAGGAAAAAGTCACCAGTCGTGCGACCTACCTGAGCAGCATAGAAGCTCTCCAAGGCTGACTGTTGGCCATCATCGTATTTTGTGTCGTGAGGCTTGATCATACAGGCATACGCGAAGCGAACGTAGGGATGCGAGGTGAGCTTGTCGATGCTCATTTGACCGCCAAGCTGGTACACCAGACATCCGAAGATGGTCACGAGGACAAAGAAACCAATTCCTATCAAGGCCAATTCACGGTGGTGGTTCTCGAGTCGCTGCCATTCGGAATAGCTGAGGAGATCCATTGTTACGTGTCAAGGACATGCAACAAGAACACTCTGGTGAAAAACGAAAGAAGAAGAGCAGAACAGTGAAGCCATTTCGTGTTCTCGCCCATTGCTTTTGCACTTCTCGAGGGGTGGACCGTAAAACAGTAAGATGTCTTCCACAGAAAATATTCATGGTACGAGTAATCCAACGAATCAAGTCCAGAGTTAGAGTCATGAGGCGGATTGAATGGTAAGGGCAAGACTCTAAATGGCACCAAAGGGAGACGGCCAGCAATAGACAGCAGCAACGGAGGCATGTGCGAGAGTAGCAGACTGGCTCAAGTGGTTGAACTGGACGCGTTGAGTTCGTGGAAAAAAGGGTCGATAGACGTTGGTCAGATTTCCGATCAAGCTGGTGTTGGTCAAGGGAACCAATCAAATCCCTGATATCAGGCATGCAGGTCACGTGTATGGCATCGTGCTCCTATCGCGGCCGAGTCAAGTCAAGACTCAAGAGACAGATCTCGAACGAAGTGCGCGCAAAGCCACACGTGCTCCTGCCAATGTGTTTTTCAGAAGGCGATCTCCTGTGAGAAGAAATTGAACGCCGAAAAATGATCGTTTCGTGTTCATGCAAGTCATTCGTCATTTTCGTCGTTGTCGGGGTTTCCCTTCAGCCGTGCCAACAGCTCCTCAGCCAGATCTCGTGCTTTGACAGCCTCGTTGGTGGGGTCTACATCTGCCCACCAACTTGACCCCTCCACAGCCTCCATGTCCAGAGGAGAAGCCAGATTGTCATCCAGGGGATCACGGGCGATATTGCTCACCTCATCATCATGCAGGTTAAAAGATTGGCGCGAGTCCTCGTGCAAGTCGGCGATCCAGAGTGCCACCATGGCACGTAACCGGATCAACTCTGGCTCGTCTCTGTACGGTAGGCTGGCCATGCATGTATCCATCCTTGATGCAATTTCTTTGGCTCGCTCAAGTTCTCTCACCTTGACCTTAGGGTCAACATCAATTCTCTCAGCTACGCTCGTCGACGAGACTTGTTCATCAGAACTACCCTCAGTCTGCGAAACTGGGAGTTTCTGCTGGAAGTGTTCGGCGTGCACAACGTATATCCAAATGTTGAATAACGCAAGGTAGAAATCCACAGCATTGACGGAGCCTGGCCAGGACTTGTGAAAGGGATGTTTGACAATCAGCCTCTCGTAGAAACGCTTTGCATTTTCGAAGCCTTCGGAAGTAAAGGAAATTGCTGCTGGGTTGAGCTCAGGGGGTGATCTCTTCGAGGTCCCCTGCCGCAACAGTATCTCAGCGCCGACACCCATATAACCTTGATTGCGGGCGGCAGCGCTGCGCCGGACACTGTCTTCACGAAACATCAAGCCCAAAGCTCGTGATGCCCGCTGGAAGTCCTCCTGCAGCAGACACCGGTGAACAATAGCGGTCAAGGCAGACAAATGCTGAAAACGCAGTGAGCGTGGCAAATCATGTCGATGGGCCCGAGCCTCTGTGGCGACCCTTTTTTTCTCGAGGACTTCCTGGTCAGGGCCTTTGCGTGTCTCTCTATGCGGAAATGGTAAAGGCGGAGGATGCTGGTTGATCGGTTGGCCTGCAACCCTACGCTGTATTCTCTCCTGAGGCGTAACGACAGCTGTATACTCGACATCAGTCATTGTCTCCAAGGGATTTTTCTGCAGTTCCTCCGGGCCATTCCCTCCCTTTTCATCGTTCTCGCTGTCCCGCACGTTCCTTCTCTTGCGTTTCTTCCTCGAGGAGTGTAACTGCCTTGCAACTGCGGACGAAGGCTGACTGCCTATGGGTGGAGTGAAGAGCGTAGACATCGCTATAAGCGTGTCACGCATGTCTCCGGCAAAAAGCGTGCTCGATCTTGGACGGAGGGACTGGGTGGGTCGCGTGCACTGAGCACTCAGGCACGGAGTCGTCCGGGTCAGTCCCAAAATTCAGGTAGTCATCGACAGATTACTTTGGGTGACGCTGGCAAATTCCAAGGAAGGCGTAAGATGATCATGATAGGAGTATCGAAACAAACGAACTGGATATTTCGATCGATTATTCGAGACTATTAGGCCGATAGTCGTGTCTTGGAGTCTTGGTTGATTTGATCAGACGACATTGAATGAAAATGGATGGCAGGCTGAATTACGTCCGTGCTGCGGAACATCGAATTGGTTCTTGGGTTGGGGCCGCATTCACTACTACACTACACTGCTTCAGCCTTCTAACAAAATGACCAACTCGAACGTCAAGTAACAACACAATCATCCTCTCTTCGTTTTAGCCCTTCACGACATCACTTTCTAGATTGTTTGCATCTCTTGCAACTCGATCGCACGGTCTACCATCCAGTTCGGCAATTGCATTCGCGATCCTCGTATTCTCATTAGCCGCCTCAATGAACACCGTTGGCTGCTGACAGTCACCCTACCTCGAACACCAACCCTCCACCTCGGTCTATGACCTACATGCTCTGCAGCCTCGCCCTTCGGTCCCTGCCACTCTATCCAGGGCTTACTGGTCAGTAGCGAAACAGACCCCACCAGTACCAGACTGCCATGCCACCCGAATAACCCAACCTGTTCATCAGGCCGCGACCTTTCCACGACATGGGGAACACGTCCTCACTCCCGCGAAGCCGGGAAGACGATGGACGACTGGAAGAGCTCAGGCATGGCAGAAACACTACTCAGCAACAGAATACTGCTGGTGGCCCCATAACAAGAAGCTCGCGTCCTGCCCGAAGAAATCCCCCTTCCTTAAGAGCAGCCGGACAGAGAGCCAGCACACTATATGATACTCTAAGACGCCATAGAGCAACTGAATCAACCACTCTGCGACAAAATACGAGCCGGGCAACGCAGTCTACCAATGAGATTGAGATTGAACAAGAACACAGACCTCTGGTAGGCCTTGGAGATGTTGACATGCAAGATGCTACGCCAACCCATACCGTGTCCCAGCCAGCAACCCGAAGGCGAATAGCAATGTCAAGGCTTGGATCACGACTCCTCCCGGATTATGTTGCAAGGGGTCTATTGAACAGTGGTGAAGAGACTGCAGAAGAGGGACACGCGTTACGCTATGGAGCATTGGAACGTGGTCCATCCGTCTATGAACGTTCTCCGCACGCTGAAACCAGCAGTCGACTGTCATCGACGGGCTCGATTACGAGGAGGAATGATGACAGTACAGATTCGCGGCGGCGCGCAATCCGTGGTCCATTCCCACTCCTCAACACTACTCATCCATCTCTAGAGCCTACCAATTCAGCTTCAGCGATGTTCGATAACGTACGTGATGTTCCCACTCCGGCCGGTGGTTCTCTTCGACATCGTAACAGATTCAGCCGTGTCCGTGACTCCATTTCGATTTCCGCAAGGCTCTCCGGACTCTTCGGGCACTCGACAGAGCAGCTCGAACCAGGTCAGGCACGAAGACAATCCCCAGTCCGACCAGCTAGGGTCACTTTCGCCGACGATTCCGATCGTCTACTACCTGCACTCAATCCTGCAGATCCACGTCTCGAGACTGATGATGCTCCTCACGAATTGGATGCCGTGGAGCCCGAAGCTCGAACTCTATTGTCTGGTCCAAGGGTGACCTCTGGCATGAGTACTATCCGGCGCTTCCAACCCGGTCTGCGCTCGCGGTCCACCAGACTCATACGACGCGGAGAACACCCCCCTCTCTCGCAAGTCCTACAACTGGCGGCGGCAGCGATTGCAGCTCAGCTCTCAGGGCATGCTGCCGGGGCAAATACTACGGCTCGTCACCTTGGTAGTGATAGCTTTGACGGCAGTATCCAAAATTTTGTTCAGACACTCCAAGATGCAGCAACCGCGCAAGCTGGTGAAGGCCTTGACATGAGCACGGCAGATGGCGACTTACCTCCGGTCAATTTTATGAGAGTGTTCCAATTTCCCAATGATGAGAATGGTTCACCCATAGCTTCCCAGGCGCAATCTCGCGATGTTGACCAGCTGGACCTGGACTCCATTACAGGATCCGGTGAAAATGACAGGTCCGTGACGTTGGTCCTGGTTGGCGTGCGATCTTTGCCCCATGGCCAGGACAATGCCAGTGGCGAAAATGGAACGCTAGGCCCAAGCCTTGACACATTGCTAAGCCTTCCCTTTTTACCGCCAGCAAATGTCCTTCGGAACGGAAGTTCAGGTGCCTTATGGCGGCGTTCCGACGGGAGAGCACGTTCAAGTCCTCGACGACATTCGATGACTAATTTTAATTTTCCTGCACAATACGAGACTCAACGACACCAGCGTACTCGTGCGAACACAGGAAGGTCGACAAACACCACAGATACTTCTGCGCCTGCCGTGAACGATGCACCAAATGTATCGCAGCTGGTTTCTGAAAGCCCCCCGGGACCGCATCCTCCACCTTCAACTCCAGCCGATATTCGCAGCGGCCAAGTTTCCCCTATCCGGCGACCATCTTCAGCCTCAGCCGCACAGAACCCGGCACTTTCCGAATTGGAAGAAGATCGTGCACCACGGGACGTGGATCATATTTCGTCGGAAACATCTTTCAATACTGCCAGACAGCGCAGGAGGAGCGACTCAGAGTTTGCTCGTAGACCCGAACTGGGGTCTGGAGCGGCTAGGCGCAATGGCGTGGTGGAACCTGATCATCCACCTGTGGGCGCTGGACGCAGTTGGCTAATTTACGTGGTTGGCACACACGTCGCCCCCGATCACCCTGCTTTCACCATGCCAAGCTTGTTCACGGACAACCCTTCTTACGAGGACATGCAGATGCTGTCGACGCTTCTGGGTCCGGTAAAGCCTCCTGTAGCAACCCAGGAGGACATTAGTTTGGCCGGCGGAGTATTTCGCCTGCTGAGTCACGAATCGGGCTTCAGAGGCGAAGCTGTATCAACCAGTGATGAGCCTGCCATTGTTATCACTCCTGGGGAGCGATGCTTGATTTGCCTTTCCGACTATGCTGCTTTGGAGGAAGTCCGACAGCTTGACAAGTGCCAGCATGTGTACCATCGAGAGTGCATTGACGAGGTAAGCACCCCCTGTTCCCATTATTATTGAGAGATACTGACCATCCCAGTGGCTCACGACTGGCCGGAACAGTTGTCCTTTATGCCGAGGTCAAGGTGTACAGGAGAAGCACACGTCCTCGACTCCGTCAGCGGGCGCTCCTCCTGTCACGATATGAGATGTATCATTGCTTGCGCGCGTTGACAGCATTTTTCTCCCTACAAGGATCATGACTTCACGAATTCTCTTGTAACGTTTTGCAGAACAGTCTATTGGTTTGGCGCTCATAGGGTAGCGATTGAGGCGGGCATATGGGTTTGAAGGTTCCTCCCACCAGCCGAAAGGAGCTCGTCCGACTGAAACAGCATTGGGCTCTCAAGTATGAAAGTATTGCCGGGTGCACCGTGGGCTTGACAGGAAAGCGAATTTGACTGCAGTTTTACATACCCCGACAGCGCTGCGCTCCACCAACTGGCGAGTCTGGAAACGATTTCTGCGAATGATTTATATGTGTGTGGGTTGTGAGATTTTGTCTATCGAGGGTCATGGAGCCTTTCAGCTTCTAGCCATGGGGAGGCTGATCCATGTAGATGAAGCTATGATGAACTACACGTCGTCTTGTGTCTTGCTAGTAGTAGTCCGGACTGTGTGGCCTGTCACTCAGTCGTGATTGATGAGAACAACTGACTACTAGCGACGGCCTGGGCCTGTTGCTTTGATACATGTAGCTTGATAACCTGCCAACTACCCACTGATCGCGGAATCGTCGTCCAGAGTGCGAGGATGAACTAGCCAGTCTACGCACGGAGGAGTACTGTATGTGGCAACTGGCCTCCATGTCGCCCGCTTAAAATTGCCTTAGGCTCGTCTCGACATCTTCCGATGGTCTTTAGACCGCAAGCTAACGAGATCTGGTGTGGGGGGGCACCCTATAGTCCTAAGTATAGTTGTTCCTAAAACTTCGACGGAAAGGATGCCGTTCAAGCCTGCAGGCTGCAACTTGTGCCGGCCTCCATTGACTGGGGACAGGAGAATAAAATTCCGTATACGAGATGAGACTTCGTATTTCAAAATCAGTGTTGTCTTGCCAAGATGCAAGAGTACTTCGGGTCTGGGTCGTTCCTTCTACGAGTACCTGTAACGGAGACACCGAAGTCATCTCGTCTCATCCATTTCAAACGAAAGCAACCTGACGATGACACCCACTTGGCCTAGTGATCGTCTACGCTGTGCACAAGATTTACATCACCTATTCTCGAGAAAGACAAAAAAAGAATCATCAACACGGCAACACCGCACATGCTTGGTCACAATATAGGCTATATAGCCTGAATGGAGATCACCAGCAGTCCGCCATGAAAATTGGGACTTTACTCGACGGTCTTGTCTATCAAATCATCATCCCGAATACTGAAAAAGCATACCTAGAGGTATCCGCAACCGGTCCGCTACAAATCTCGGAACTCTCCAGTGGAGAATTGCTAGAGGCACGCTTCAAGGTGCCACGCACTGACTGAATCGAGAAGGGGAGGGCTAGTGAGGCCACTTTGGTGCTTGTCCCAGCCTGGCCGTTTTCCATCATCTCCTCTTGTTCTTTTGGACGATCACTCTTCGTCGACCGCCATGAGAAACCTTCTACTAACGTTGACTAAGTCAGTTATAGTAACAGTACGCTGTACTGACTTCTGGCCCTACTGTAGTCGGCGCCTAGTTTCCTTGAACCACGACCAATGCCGATATTGGACGCAAGCATGAGAGGCATGGAGATTTTCACCGAATGCCGCTAGAGGGTGTCATCCCCACCGACATCGATCTCGTCCACGGCATCGTGCCATCCGAATCAAGAATTACGAGCTAATCGTCCTGGTCAATGAAGAAAAGCGGCTCCTCTTGAGCGGAGAAAGACCGCCAAAGGTTAGCAACAACGCTCTTGACTCCAGCAGAAGGACAACATTATTTCTTCAACCGTCTTGTTGCCGGCTGTTGCTGTCGCTGTCAAATACCTATCTCAGGATGTCAGGGTCAAATTCTCACCGAGTAAAAATATCGAGGCCCTTTTCGACGCACTAACAAGCAGCCATTCGAGCAATAGTCTCATTCGAACCTTTGCAACCCTGATGGGTCACTTACCAGCTTGTGCCATCAACGAATGATCTCTTCAGTAATCGCGGAATTCGATGCTCCGTAATGTCCTCTCCACGGTCCGACGCTTTCCCTTCTGGAGAGATGGCCCATGCATGCACATGGTGTCCTGCTGCAAATTTTCACTTACCATAGTACTATTTCGCCAACAACCGTTTGCCAGCCACTCACCTAGTCGCACAGGCTGCACAAGGAGACCCTTCTGCACCAGCAAGGAGATAAGGTTGAGGAATGGCACGTTACCCAACATCCTAGCCCCACGTGAGGAGCGGGAGTTCCGACACGCAATTGACACTCTTGAGCCACGAATCGACCAGGCTCAAACATCTGGCCGATGCGAAGAACAGGCCGATCTGTGATGGTGGTAGGCATTGTGCAGCTAGCTGGCCGAATCCTAGCAGCGGGATGTGAAATGACCTGTTCTCCCACATAAAAAGTCGTCGCCTTCTTGCGCCGAACCGGATATCTGGTACAAACAGGCAGTGCTGATACTCCTGAAACTGAAACATATCAACGACTGTATGGTCCTGCTACGAGGAATACTCCCACCTCAGACACATACCATCGTAGTGCCTGCAAGTGTGACAGAGGGGTTGCCCATATTAGTCCATACGCCACTTATGCAAAGTCGGTTTTGTCAGATCCATGTGAGGTCTTAGCTATACTGGTCAAAACCTGCGAACCGTGAAACGTGGCGTTTACCTTTGGCGGCTTGAGACAGAATCGCAGGGGCAGGTTCAATCATATTATTCCTGCACCATGCAGCCCCAGTCCTTCTGCATGGGTCATCGCGAAAGAGAACTGCGCCAGAGATGCAGTGGCTTGGCTTGCGTCTTCCACATCGTGCAGGACCTATCAAAGTACGATTCCGTGGTCGCCCGGAATACTCACTGCATTCCCCGGTATGCCCGGGTATGGCAGATTTTTGCGTGCAATCTCAGCGACAGCCGAAACTACAGAAGTGTTCAGAACAACGACGGTGGCCGGAATGGTCACAATCAACCATCGAGGTTGAATACTTGGCCACGGCGGGGGACAACGGTCTCATCAGAGTTTTTGCTCGCAACAACACTGCGGGCTTTGCCGTTAAACAAGATCTCGATTCACGAACCTTGATCGCAGATTTTAGCTAAATTCCCGTTGGCTGCGATTCAACCTCTGGATGATCTTGCTCCGCCACAGGTGCTTTGCGCAACAGCCCTGACTCTGGACCCAGGACTGCTAGCATGTTGTTCCAGAGCCGCACCGCCCACGGCCAAGGTTTGGGGCCTGGGCAATTCAACCACGCCTAACCCATGGATGCATGAATAATATTAGCCTTAGACCGGATATGAGGCACTGCTGATCCGTCCCGTTCTAAGATGTTGGAATACGCGGCAAAGTCAAACTCCTGGGATGGCCAGGCTAAGAGAAGCGCTATATGCGCCCTGGAAGGAGTGCCTGGAGTGGCTCTTAACGCCAACCCCAATTTCACCCGGGCCTCGAGCGGCTTCCAGCAGTGCGGCTCTCACTTTCAGGTCATCAATAAATGGATGGATCCGTCTGGACTGTGCACATGCTGGGAAAATGGGTACTCTTTACCCGGGACCCATCCATGAATATCGTCTCGAGCTGGTCAAAGCGACAAAAAGCTTGACAGAGTTCCAACCGTTTTCTTTCGATCGCCAGTGGGATCGACCTTATTTTGCAAGGCCCTGTCATGGAGGGGATCAATGTCTGACGACAGGTGCCGTCACTATGCACGGGTCAAGGCGGGTTGGATTGACCCAGACCCCGGGCATGGCCCAAAGGCCACCATCCACTGCATGGTCTTTCTGCAGGTCGATTGGTCCTTGTGGGACACGCCAACGATTCTTGATCAAGCCTAAAGAAAACGCCCCTCGACCTCGTACAGCTGGAGTCTCTAACCTCTTTCATATTCGTTTCAAAAACACAGACTTCGGTTGTACAATATTGCGATCTGTGTTTCTCTTCGGGTCATCCTCGTTCCTTTTTTCATTCTGTACTGCAGACATGGCCCTTTAATCTCAGCAACGGTCGCTGCGCCTTGACGCCAGGTAGTCTATCGGTCCAAGGGTGTGTACTGTCGGATCCGAGAGCTCATTAGTCACGACTTGGACGGTACATTATCAACAGACCTCGCCGGGAAGCAGAGTGTGCGCTTTCAGGCAGCTCGATCATCTTCAATCGTCAGCATCACGCACCCAGGTCACAATATCGTGACTGTCTATCTTGAGCGGCAGAGAACGCTTCAGCCTTGTCTGGTTCATCCACAGCACCAATTCGCGACGAAAATTGAAGTGATATCATACAATGCCCCGGAGGCTATCACCAATACTGGAGAGATAATCATCAACGCCACCCTACCCATAACTTTTAAGGAATTTACCACCACTTTGGGAGATTGTGGCATACATTGTGCCTCTGTTGATGAACACGTATCTTTCCCGGATCTCTCAACCATTCAAAATCACCTGTTGGTCGAGGACTGAGACATAGGTGTACATCAACGGCCTCTTGTTACACTGGCTTCTGCGAAGTCACTAGTTTACAGCGTGCCCTCTTTGAGCGCGACAAAATCACACCCCATTTCAGCAAGCAGTATCCCGCGTCTCACAAAGGACCTCAACCAATTTCACCCGATACTCCAAACCTTTGTCCTAAAAGGGCTTTGGTGCTCAACTGCGAACCCAACGCCCTGCAAAGGGGTGTCATTCTTTTGGGAACTCGGCCGGCGTACTATTCGTGTCACATCACTGTCTGGAGAATTGGATGTGACTGGCGCATTGCGGCATGAGTGGACCTTACGACCATGGCATGAATATGCCAACATCTAATATGGTGGACCCAACATATCCTGTGTACAATGGCAACTTCAACGCAGTGTATCCCAGATTGGCTGGGCCTGCGACGCATTTCGATGGGGTTGCTTTCTGGTATAACCCAAACAACACCGATCAGCTCTACGATAGAGACCAGAATATATACACTGGGCGTGGCGGCGCCCAGCAGGTGAGTAGCATGGAGTCATCTGCAAGCGTGAAGCACCGAAGAACCCGGAGTGGATGTTTTACGTGCCGCAGCAGACGGGTCAAAGTAATGGAACATGTCCCTATTCTTTATACCATGCGCTAACTCGGTCGGTAGTGTGATGAAACCAGGCCAATCTGTGACAGTATGTCCCCGTCACTATTCAAGTGAATCGCGCACTGACATTTTGACGCTATCAGGATGTAGGAAGGGCAATAGAGAGTGCGAGTTCCCACAGCCAACGTCATCCTCCAAGCACTCCAAACACGACAAGACTCGGAGTCCTAAAGATCATACCACAAAGCAAGAAAAGGACGACTCCACGTCGGGCCTAGCCACTATCAAGGACGAAAGTGAAGAGGACGATGATATGCCTACTTCTCCCGAACCTTCGGAGCGCGCAACGCCTGCGCGAAAGCGGACCGACAGCACTCTGCCAGCTAGACAGAACAGGATATCAAAAGCAACAGCAGAGACGCCTCCTAACATCAGAGACCCAACCAGCCCGCAGTCTACCGACATGTCAGACACGCATTCTAGAGACGACACCCCTGCATCATCGCTCCGGACTACGACGAACTCAGCAGAGATGCAGGCCCGACAAGCAAAAATACGATCGTTGAAACCTGATTTACAGCGGTATCTACAATTCCAGCAAGAGTACATGACATACTACCACTATTTCTTCAAGCTCGATCCCACCGATTTTGTACACGGCGAACTCATCGATCTTGCACTGACCTACGAACCGTTGTTGTACGCCGTCGTCGGCTTTGCGGCATATCATTACGAGCTCCAGCAGCCCAACCCGAAACTCTCGCACTTTCTCAGTTACCACTCCAAGTCTGTATCCATGTTGAGAAAGTCCCTGGAGAAGAATTCCAAGGTGTCCGAAGCCACGTTACTGGCCGTGTTACAATTGGCAATATTTGAAGAATATATTGGGGACTGGGTGAACCTTGTAGGCCACCACCGAGCAGCTTACACGATGGTCTTGGAGCTCTTCGACCACGACTCGATCCACGAAACCGATCTTGGAAGGCGGATTTTCAGTTGGTATGCTCGCTTGGATGTCATGGTGGGCCTCATGGCGGGCACTGAAACGAGGCTGGACCGCCAGTGGTACGCGGCCAATTCGCTTTGGTATAAGCAGCAGATCGACGATGACCCAGACAGCGATGTGGATATTGAAAACACGGTGGCATACTTTGTCGCAGCGAACCGTCTGCTCGGCATGGATATGGCTGCGCTTTTCGCCAAAATTCAGAAACAGGAGATTGGAATTGCAGATTTTCAAGCAGAAAACGCCGCGATCATCGCACGACGCGACGACATGAAACGACACATTCAGTCATTTAACGATGATTATTACAGGGTCAAGGAGTTTCCCATCGAAGCGATCCGTCCGCTGAACGAGCAGGATATCGTCAACCCATACACGCCTGGCGGTCTGTTCAAGGACGCGCTATGGCCCCTCAACTTCATGTGGCTCGATTGGTACGGTATTGAGCTCATGCAAACATACCAGACGGCGATGTTGTTACAGCAGCCCGTTCCACCTGTGCTGGAGCAGATAAGTTTGGAGACATGTCGAATTTACGAAGCCATCGACCGGTGGCCCGAAGCGCCAAACGGGGCCATTCTTGGCGCGCACGCCAGCTTGGGTATTGGGATCGTCTTCCTCCAAAAGGATGCCAAACACGTCATGTGGGCGCGGCGGAAACTTGCCACGATCGAAAGGGCAGGATATGTGTTCCCACCCGCGTTCCGGAAGAGGATGGCGGAGATGTGGGGTTTGACGCGCAGTCTGGCGGGCGACAATTCCATCGAGGACTGGTGGCTGCCCAATAACGAAGGGAACGTGCGCATGTTGACCGAGATCCGTAGGGTCGTGACCGAACGGCAGGCTTTGGACAACACGAACGACAGCGAGACCCTGGCCAGCGTGCGCGACCTCAAGACGTTGTTCGCCAAGATGGACATGCGCACGCAGTCGGCAGATGCTGGATCCGGTAGCGAAAATTTCAGTCCCACGAGTGACTCGGAAAGTGTCGAGCGTGGAAGTAATATCAGTCTGAGCCCGACGAGCCTGAGCTTCGCCGGCAGCGTGGACGGTCGCGCGTCGAACGCGAGTACTACACCTAAAGGATCGACTGCTGGGGGCCGGCACAAGAGGAAGCCGAAACGGGGGAATTCGTTGTTCTGAGCAGGAGTTCGCACGCACAAGCTAAGATGAAATCTGAACGTCCGGCCTATGGTCCATCTACGATATTATGATGATACCGAGCTATAATGAGCAAGGCAAGGGCAAACCGAAGCGAATCACGTTGACTTAAAATCAAGGAAAGACCGATCATCTCACACATCGTGGACGTATCAAAATACTTTTCGGGCGGGTGGGATATCATTCACGCCCTCCGCCTATACCTCGAAGCTGCTTCAGCACGAGTTCAGCCTTGAAGACTGGATAACGTACAGTTTGTGAGGACGGAAAATTCATCCGGCATATTCTACGGACTATGAGCAGGCCCGGTATAGAAACAACGAGTCAAGGGCACTCTATGTGAAGAAACGAGATAGAACACATGAATCCAATGCTTCAACGTTAGCAAGCTCGGCTATAATTGCAATTCGTCTGCGGATCTTTTGCTTCTCTTGACGATCTTTCTATATAAACATCAGCCTCATACACTAATAAAGGTACTGATATTCGGGCGGGGAGATCGTGGCCTAGATTCACACTGCCTATCACCGGTGATCTTAGGTGATCTTTGGGTGATCTGGCCAGCCTTAAATGCCGATCATCGGGAACGAGGGGTACGCCCTTGCGTGGCCTTAATTGCTCCTAGGAGATGCGAGCGTTGAGTACGACTGACATTTCGCATTCGCCATGGTTGAGATACGAGGTAGCAAGAGTGAAGGGCGTTTGCTGTACGCCAAACGGAACCTGCTTATTCCGTAGCGTCTGTTGGTGCATATCGAATGCACCGCATCATTGCAAGGGGCTCCAAACTGGGTACGACCTCGTGTTATTCTTTTTGGTGCAGCGGCCGTAGCCCGTCTTGTCCCCGAGAGGGAAGGCGTTTTCCAAAAAGTCGAACGAATGTTTGCGCCCTGACGAGATCATTGGAGAGACTGTGGAAGTATGCTTCCTGGTGTGTCAGCCACCAAACTTGGCAGAAAGTTTCCTGCCAGTGCTTGACTGAGACTGACTTCCGCGTGGGAAAAGCATATCGCCATACAGAGCAACCGTTGCGAATATTGTCGGTGCGGCGTTGCAGAAGACGAACACAATGAAGCTTGGATACTGCCATTTGCGGTACGAAGCGCGAGACTAAGGACCGAAGCGCGCAGACCAAAATTCGAATAGGGATATTGGATGGGGCATTATCGGTATTGGCAACTTCGCCTGCTAGAAAGAATGCCATGTTACGCTGTGTGTGTCCGTATACCTGGGAAGTCCTCAATCTGCATTAGTGGACACGGTCGTCGTGTGGGAGTGTGCGGATCCGGATTCCGCCTTACTGGATATGTTGTTGCATGGTTTCGTTCAGGCAACAACAGTAAGTGGGCATACGCACCTGGTATGAAGCGTGCATATGCACGACGCCCGATTGAGAGACGAATGCCTGTAAGCACTCCATATCTTGTCCCGGACGAAAACGGCCGGAACACTGCAGTTGATAACGCGGGAAATTGCGTTGCACGCGGGGAAATCTCCCAGCGCATTTTATAACCCGATTGATGCCCGGCTAGCGGTCCAAGTATGTCCAGTATGCGACTGCTGCCTGCGTGTTGCAGGCTAGGTAAGCAACGCCCTGCAACTCCCGCTTGGCATCACAGGAGAGACGATGCTGCAGCTTGCCGGTACCGTGTCTGGATAATGCATCTGCTTGACACATGGCCTAATGGCTGGGATCGTCCAATGATAAATGGGATTTGTAACAGCCAGTCTTTAGTCGATTTCCGACGACGACAGGGACTGATATTGGTGTTCTCGAGCCTTCTTGAGGCATGATGGCATGTGCAAAAGATGTCCACGACGGTCTCGGACGAATTTGGCGTACAAGACAGCAGAACAATAGAGGGCCACAAGTGAAACCAGTGCCGGATATCCGAACTGGTTTGGTCGAGGAAAAATGATTGTTGTCGCAAAAGCGCATAGTTCAAAGAAATTCTGCAGGGACATCTCGACTGATGAGAAGGTCCCACGGTGAGATGCTGTTATAGATTCTTGTATCATCTGCTGTGCGCAAAGATCGAAAGACCATAGCCCAGATCGAGACAGAATAACACCCGAAACGAATATTGGTACGGCCGCTCGCGGAGACGCAGGCATATCGAACCAGAGAATCCCGACGGCGCAAGTCAACCATGTTAGCTGCCATGACAGGAACCATATCCCACTCCGTACTGGACCAATCTGCGACATTATTCTCGGAGCCAGGAATGTCGCAGAAAGCTCCGACACTGTGGCAATCGTCCTCAAAACACCCACCGTTGTAGAGGTGATTTTTGGTTGTGGCACGGCCAATAGAAACGTCGTCATTTGACCTGCGAAAGATAACACGGTCAAATGTAGCATGCATAAGGAAAAGGAAGGTAGGAAAGCCGTCTGTCGAACATAGATGTTGAGCGGGTGAACGACCGGTGCCAAATATCGTGCGAAGAAAGAATTTCCCGCAGATGGTTGCGCCTGCTCTGAAGAGCGCTCAATACCGTCAAGGTCATCATTACCAACTGCCGAGGGGCCCCTGTGTTCCGCCAATTCTGGAACGCGATTGAACACTCTTGCAATGAGGAAATACTCAGCACCGACCGAAATGACGTTGGTACCCAAGGTCGACCAAACAGCAATATTGGGAGACCATCCATGTAGTAAAGCCACGGCTAGTGGCGCTACCAGCTTGCAAAAGAGATCGATCCGCCGCATTTGCGCGTTCAAGATCTGAAGCCTCGCTTCATCTTCATTTGCAATGACAACGACCCAGTCTCGTTCCACGGCCACAGTGTTCATGATTGAGCAGAGCTTCTCCACGCATGCTAACAAGGCCAGCACGGTGAGTAGCAGTATCCGCGTAGAGTTGGGAAGCGCATCCTTCTGGTAGAACAGTATAAGAAATATCCCGCAAGATGCTGCGACGGCATCTCGCTGTCCTAGGATGGAGATACGAATGACAGTCAGGCGATTGCCCGCGTCGATGAACTTGCCGACGCTAGGAGAGAAGGCGACAGCTGCAAGAGCACGGACTAGGGCATATATTGACATTGGAAGCAGCGTGTTGGGATAGATTGTGGCCAGGAAGAGCACTGCGCCGAACTCGAAGCCACGAGCGTTCCATGTCGATAGGAAGTGAGAAACATATAGGGAGGATGCGAGGGACGTACTTGACGCCATGAATGCAATGAGGGTTTCATTGATGATACAATCCTATACGAACGGAAGTGTACCTGGTATGTCATTGTGGATGAAGATGTAGGTACCTGGTAGTCGAAGTCGATTGAGAGAGGACCTTGAATTCTGTTTGTAATGACGTCCTCGTGCCGCCAAATTCCGAGACGCGTTTTCAGCTGCGTCGTCGTACGCCATGCCGGTGCTGTGCCATGCCCCTGCATTTACAGTAACTTAGTGGTTGATCTGGCTACAACAGCATCCTGTACAGCAACAACCTGAATCGCTACGCCTCTCCTACGGCGACGCTCCAAATAGTCAGGCTGCTTGCTAGCGACTGACCTCTGCTGCCACTTTCAGAATTCCCCGGGCATTGTGCATGCGGTTCAGCTCCAGCAATGTCTGCCCGAATCTCCAACGACCACTTCGACGACGATCATGCAGTGCTCGACGACGACTTCCTCAACGATGGTGCGCACAAACTTTACATTCGGAAGACTATTACGACTGACTAACACTATGCAGAAGTCGAACCAGACGAGCCAACAACGTCCGACCGGGCTCCATTGACAGGCAACATCCAATCTTCCTCGTCAAGCGCGCCTTTGAACCAGAACTATTTGACATCACGCATACCGGGCGAGGACAGACGCGCCCCGCAAAACACTATCGATGAGAGCGTATGGGAGACCGTCTCCCGAGACCTGTTCGCGGTATGGGAGAAAATGAAACAAGTACTCTGGCCCAAATATTTACTTGGGGGTATGCTCCAAAGAGAAGGCGGCGGTATGGGCGACGTTGAGAGTCAAGGCTTTGGAAGAGATCTGCGTGGCCTGATAGGGAGATGGCCCGATGCAGAAGGTATCTTGCAAGGAGGATTGAGCGAAGGGCTGCGAGACTGGGACCTGTGGTGAGTAATGTCTGAGTAGCTTTTGTTTACTGTTCCTGTGCTAACAAGTACTTCAGGGGTCCGCTAATATTCTGCCTGCTTCTGAGTCTGTTCCTGTCTATGCGCGCCAGCAAGGCACAGACCGACTTGGTCTTCTCTGGCGTCTTCTCACTCATCTGGATCGGTGAGGCTGTGGTCACACTTCAGATCAAACTCCTCGGTGGAAACATGTAAGTGTTCCGAGCGGACTCTCACGACATGCGCTGACAGATGACCCAGTTCGTTCATGCAATCCGTCTCCATCATCGGCTATACGCTGTTTCCTCTGACCATTGCTGCACTCCTCAGCGCCCTCGGCCTACCCATGATCGCTCGGATCCCGGTCTACATTGTCCTTGTGGCTTGGTCATTGGCAGCAGGGGTCAGCATTCTCGGTGGCTCGGGCGTGGTCAAAAACCGGGTGGTGCTTAGTGTGTATCCTTTGTTTGTCTTCTATGTTGGCCTCGGCTGCCTGTGTTTTATCAGTTAGGGTTTTTGGACATGGCTATGCAGAATATGCTGCCCCGTCATATATCTTGGGCGGATTACAGTATGAGTATAGACACAGGGTGTAATGGATACAAAAGTAATCACTTCTCTCTATGAACTGTTCGTGGCCTGATACATATACGACGTCCTCCGTACCTAGGCACTGAGATAAATAACTTGTTGTCATGTGGGGCGTAATTGGATGATTGTGATTGTGTGCGGAGCCTCAAACCGCGATCATTCAACCATCACCGTCCGCTGTGAACCGGCCATCAAACCAGTCCTGCATATTACATGACCCTTTGGCATTGGGACCCTCGAGGTGAGCACGGTTCTCATGGGAGTGGCACGCTCTGTCTAACCTGGTTTCTTTGTCTATCAGACCCTCGCAACCCTGCCGAAAAGATACAATCTGCGACCAGACTCATTATCAACTCGTCGACGCCGCTTCGAGTCCGAGAGTACCACGCAGAAGTCTAGCCGTCATCCCAACTAGCCGCGGAGAGGGGTAGATCAAGACGTGGTGTCAGGATATCTGGGCTGCTTAAGAAGTGCTTGCGGACTTGTGTTTGCATTCGCCTCTCTGCACTCCGCGGGCAAACCAAAACATCTGCACTGCGCTTTCAGCGGACCGACACCTCCAGCACGCAAAGGCTGAGGTTACTTGCAGAATACGATATCTGACCAAGAAGAGCGCAATAATACGGTAGCGGACAATCTCAATTCCGTGGCTGAGCACGCCTTCACAATGCCCACAGAAGCAGAGCCCACCAAGTCGACCACAGACACCAACCATGCAGAAAATACGCTACCTCATGATCACAGCTCTGATGGTGAAGGGGGCGAGCGGACAGCAAGAGAGAAATTGAGAACTACCACAATTGAACAAGTTACGGAAGCAAACCATGCTGGCACCAGCGCCGAATCACACGTCGAGGTCGGGACCAGAGGGCGACCGTCCAAGAAACGTTCGTTCGAAGATCTGCAAACCGAAGACCTCACTCCAGACGTCGAAAGTGGCGGGCCTCCACTCCCTAAGAAGGGTTTACACAAGAGGATGCGGTCAAGAGAAGTCTCGGGCAGTGACGAGGTACAAGGACTTGAGCCTCGGGATAGTGTTACGAGCCCAGTGCAGGAAGAGAGCGATGCTGAAGCACAAAAGTCCCCAGGAGGCCCTGGCGTTCTGGTATCAGCACCTGCAGACGACGGGACAGACATGGTAGACCCAGAAAACACGAAGGATGAAACTGCATCTGTTGATGTCCCTCTGGATCCAGCAGACAACCCTGGTTCGAAATCCGATCATGCAGATGCTACACTTGCTACGAAGGATCAAACAGCCAAACCCGAGATCCCATCCTCCTCCGGTTTTGCCAATACCGCAACAGCGTCCCCATTCAGCAGTTTCAAACCGTCAAAGTCGCCCAGCAAGGAACCGGAGCCTGCTCCTGCCACCGATAAATCCACCTCCACGTCAACATCAACCTCAGCGTTCGCATCATCAGGCTTGTCAGCTTTTGCTTCTTCAGATAGATCACCCTTCGCAAGTTCGTCGACAAAACCTAGCGGCGGCTTTGGTGGAGGCGGTGGATTGGGTGCATTTGGATCAGCTTCGAGTGGTTTCGGTGGTCCGTCTCCTTTCACCAGCAAGCCGGCATCCGGGTTTGGTTCAGGAGGAGGTTTCGGTTCTGCAGGCGGCCTTGGCAGCGGGTTTGGTGCCTCTAAACCGTTCTCAGGTGGTAGTACATCATTTGCAGGACCCCCCGGCGCTGCCGGCACATTTGGCAAAGCAAAACCTTTTGCATCAACTGCTGATGATCACGAAGAGGGAAGTGAGAACGAAGCGGACGGAGATGAAGCACGTTCATCCGCCGTCGATGCCCCTGCAGATCCCAGGTTTAAGGAACAAGAGGGTAAGTTCATCATATGTGCCCCCAATGATTCGGATGAACTCCGGACTAACCTGTAACAGTCGAGACTGGCGAAGAAGGCGAAGAGACCATCCTTGCATGCCGAGCGAAGCTGTACCACTTCGAAAAGGAGTGGAAAGAACGTGGTGTTGGTGTCTTTAAGATCAATATTCGTTACGAAAATAAGGCGATAGGCGACGAGGCATCCGACGAGAAGCCAGAAGATGAAGAGGACGTCGAGTCTGCCGGACAGGCAGATTTCACGGCTGTCGAGCGGAAAGCTCGTCTCATCATGCGAACAGACGGTGTGCACCGACTTGTTCTGAACACACCCGTGTTCAAGGACATGAATGTTGGAACACACGATGGCAAAGAGCCCAGCGGCAAAACCATGCATTTGACTGGTTTAGAAGAGGGCAAACCTACCGGCTACCAGATCAAGGTAAGCTCCCCTGCACACAGTTCTCCGTTCTGTACTGATCATGTAAACACAATAGGTCGGAAAAGAAGACACCCTGAGAGAAATCTATTACAAGATCATGGAATTGAAAGACGAGTTATGAGAGGACTTTCTCTTTCGAGGGGATGATATGGTGGTTTGTTGGAGGCGATCACAAGTTTCACAAATACCCCAGAGGAGTGCTTCAGGCACATCAGAGCGGTTCTCACTGGCCACTGGCATTACAATCAGTATGATCGAGATGAGTTGGTGATAGTAGCTTTTGGGCAGACAAAGTGTCGCTCGATGCGATCATAGGGTCGTTCAGTCGTTATCGGAATGCTGGCGAACAGAGCACTTCCTGGACTATCAAGGCGTTGATGATTAGCCACTCTGAAATATTCACAGACTCCTCACGCTGTAAGATAACAATACTAGGGGTACATATTGAGTCCTAGTCAGTCCAGGAGGGAAATCGAAGCATGCCACGTCTGGGGGTCGTTGAACCAAGGTTCGATGAGAACCATGGATGATGTATCGTTACCAAGGAGTCGCTTGATCAAGGTCCGTCTTGCGGTATGTCTGCCTCGCACGCAGAAGGCAAAGAGAGAGATGAGAGGCGGTCTCAGGACTTTGTCAATAGCCATTGTGGGAGATGACCTACAAATTGTCAAGCATCTCCGGCCACTTCCATCTATACCTTGCTGAAGTATTGGTCATTGTCTATGATGGCCGGGAGACAGCCCGGCTTTGCTGCATCTAACTACCACTCAGTCACTCATATCGAGAACCATGCGCCCCTGTAGCTGCCGCTTGTTCATCCGGTCAAATATATCCATGAGGCTCGACATCGGCTGTACCGTCACCTGAACCTGCACCACTCCACGAGCAACCATCTCCATAGCCTCTATGGCATCCATGCGATTCCCGACTACGCTGCCTCGTATACAGATTTCCTGATTGATCAATCTTGCAGGTTCTGCCGTCGCAATGGCAACAGGGGCACCCTCGGGCACTCCCACACACACCACCGTGCCGCCGAACCGTACAAAATCTAACGCCGCGGCATATGCATCATTTGATGCTGTGCACACGATGACGGCACTCGCTCCCAACCCCTGCGGAGTTACTCTCTTGACGTCGGCGGCGAGTTGGACAGCGTCCGACCCATACCTAGACACGTCAAAGTAGTGCTCAGCACCACATTCCTCCGCGAAGGGCTTCTTGTCGCCGTAGTCTAGAGCCTGTCATAGATTAGAAATGATCGCTGAAATACATGATGGGAAGAGAGATCGTTACAATCATTCGGAATCCCATGCCTCGTGCGCCAAATTGAAGGGCCAGATGTCCAAGCCCACCTGTGCCTCCCGTTACGATGACGGCGTCACCCTAAAAACACATCAGCCATTTCCGATACCTTTCGAGCCTCGTAGCTCACGCATGTTGGCTACTGACCGGCTTCGCACCACATTTCCTCAAGGCGGCATAAACAGTAATTCCTCCACATAACATTGGGGCCGCCACCTCATTTGCGAGAGAGTCAGGAATCGGCGTTACATACGTGGCTGGCGCAAGCACATATTGCTGAAACGTTCCAGGACTTCCGTACCCAGAAATCGTGCCATTCAAACAGCAGCCGTCGCGACCAGCCATACAGGGAAGACAATGACCACAAATACGAGCCATCCATTTGATCCCCACACGGTCCCCGAGCTTGAGACCTGTCTGCTCTGTTTCCGAGCCGAACGCCACGATCTCTCCGACACCCTCGTGTCCTCCTATCTGACCAGCTTGTGCTGGTGGTCCAACGTCCCCTTGTCTCCGGGTCATTACACCCCAATCACTATGGCAGACGCCAGAGTGTGTTATGCGAACCAGGACATCACCAGGTCCTGGACGTGGCGTGTCGACCGTGACGATTTGGACGCTGGGCGTGCCAGGATTATCGTAAATTATGGCCGTGTGTCGACTGGGTAAAGGTTGAGCGGACATACTTTCCACAGATCGCAAGCGAGGATGTTGGACAGAGACCAAACAGGACAACAAGCAACAGCAACAATGAAGATTGAGAGCCTCGCGTGGCAGTCCATTGCAGCAATTTCTCAGTCTGGTCAGAAAAGGCACAGCGGCTTCGCCACAGAAGCGGCTGGATAACAGCCTATCTGAGGCTCCACTTCTGATCCGCCCCGACGGGCCCGGTTTATAGAGCATCAATTCTAATCTCAATCACCATTCAAGTCCCCTTCACTCAAGATGGCCCTCGCCAACCTGTCACCACCGATGTCCGTCCGTTTTGACGATGAAATCTCCCTCCTGCAGGCCATGTACCCAGATACTGTGGTGTTCAATCCACAAAGTCGGGAATTGCACTACACATCAGCCGCGACTCCCAGCGCAAACATCACGTTCAGACTACCCGAGGGATATCCAGAGCGTGGACTTCCGGACATCATTTCAGCGCGCGACGGAGCGAAAACCGATGTCCGCGACAGGACGAAGCACGCTGTGGACGCTGACAGGCTCGAGGAGGGTGTGGAGGTTCTCGACCAGTTGATTACTATCTTTGAGCATCTCGTCGGTGAGATTCATGCTCAAATCATCGAGGCACAGGCAAGTGATCGTGAGTCCACTTCAGCCGCAGCACCGTCCAGATCGACTGGGCCGAAGAACAAGACGGTGATAATATGGCTGCATCACTTACTTAATACGTCGAAAAGGAAACTGGCGATAACACCGTCGGTCACTCCCAGCTCTACAACGCCGAACAAGAAAGGTGCCAGTGTGGCTACCATTGTCAGTGGTATATCTGGAATCACAAAACCAGGATATCCAGGGGTAATGATCTTCTCCGGCCCAAAGGACCTGGTGGACTCGCATGTCCGGGAACTGAGATCGCAGAATTGGCAGGCTTTCCAGGTACGGTGGGATTCCGAGGATGATGGCACCAGCCACGGAGGACAAGGCCAGGGGGCCCTTGGGGATGAATTCGACTTCACACAGGGCAAGGGCAAGATCGTCGAGGTCGAGAGCATGGCGGAGGTCGTCAAAGGGCTCGTGAGGGAGAAGGATAGGGAGGTCTTTTTGAGAGCGGTAGGTGTCAAGTGAGGATGGACATGCAATCGTGAAGTGATCGAGGAGGACATCAAGACGATTTGCCTCATTGGGGTGTGATTCGCCAGCCATACTACCACTTGGTCATTGGAGGCTTTTTCACCCAGGAGGTCAATTGACCACCCAGCCTACCGGCCAAAAAAAGAGCCTCCTTCACGAAGAGGTCAAATGGACCACCTAGACTACCGGCAAAAAAAAAAGAGCCTCCTGGCCTACCGTCAAATAAAAGAGCCTCTTTTCACAGGAGGTCAAATGGCCTCATGGACTACCGGCAAAAAAAAGAGCCTCCTTTCGCAGGAGGTCAAGTGTATTACCAGACTACTGCCAGGACGCTCGAGGCTCTTCCTCCTAGGGGGATTAATGGACCTTTGATGGTTCGTCTTTCAAGTCTCGAGACACTGTCGGTACGACTCTGAAGCACGTTAAGAATTATGGTATAGCTCTTCAACGATGAATGTGCTTCTTAGGAAAACGAAAGATCCAAGGACGTCTGGTATATACGTACGCAACGTGTATGCTTTATATGCTCACCCGCTCATGCATTCCAACGCTAGATGTGCACAGATATCTATCATCTAAAGACTATCCTCCCTCCACCTCGACCGTACCCTCTGCCAACCCTCCTTCTCACCCAAACCACCACGCTTCTCCAGGCCCAACCCTCTCTCCACCCATTCCTGACTGCCCATCTCGCTCAACCGACTCAACGCTCGAGCAAACGCGAATCGCTCCTCGTCGCCAGAGAACAAACTACTCTGCTTGAGCATGCTCATACTCAAGCCCAGATCATCCATGAGATTGCGCATGACATCATCGACGTCGGCGCCCTCACCGTGCGTGTCCGCATTCTTCATTCTCGCCGCGACGTTCTTTTCCTCTCCACTCACAGCCCCGTCATCCCTGTCAACCTTTTTGGAGACCTTCTCAAGCGACTCGTCCAGTTCGGTTCTACTCAAAAAGAGCTGCGACAAGGGGACCGCGGTCGTCAGGACCAGCTTCGCGTGCGACTCGTACACGGCATCGATGAAGGTAATAAACCGTCGCGCCCAGTCACGTTCGCGATGCGTCATGCCGGGAACGTCCGTCACGATGAACGCGTCAAAGTGCCGCATCATCTCGATGTAGTCTGCCGCTCCTGTCGCGCGACCTATGAGGTCGTGGAACGTGAATCTCGCGGCCTTCCCGGAGACCAGTGGAATCTCGACGTCGCGGCCCCAGACGGTGATCTTGGCTGCGTGTGGGGGATCCTTTTGCGGATCGCCCAAGAATTCGAACCACTTTTTGGCGTGCGATACCGCGGACCGGTCGAGAGGGTGGTGGTATACTCCTGACGGAGGCCTGGGTAGTTTGCGGTAATCGGTCGACGAGTCGAGGTTGATCACTTTGAGTTGTTTCTTGAGGAGGTCGATGCAAGGGATGAAGGACTGGCGTTGGATACCGTTCTTGTACAGGTCGTCTGGATGTCGGTTCGAAGTGGTGATCAGAACCACACCGTGAGACATGAGTGACTCGAGCAGGCGTCGGAGGATCATTGCGTCGGCGACGTCGGTACATTGGAACTCGTCGAAACACAGAACTTGACCGATCTCGGCAAGGTCTGCGGCCACGAGAGGTACCGCATCAAAATCGTTGCCGTACTGCATGCGCACTTTGTGCAGGCGCTTGTGCACGTCCTGCATGAAATTGTGGAAGTGGACGCGGGTTTTGGACGTCATGTTCGGTGGAAGGGTGTCGTAGAACAAGTCCATCAGCATCGTCTTGCCCGACCCAACATCGCCATACATGTATAGGCCCTTGGGGAGGTTCTCTGGTATACCGCCAATGACCTTTATCTTCTTATTGGCACCGCCGAATAGCGACTCAAACAGACTCGGTTTGTGAGGGTGCAAGTCCTGAACATCGGGATGAATAACCTTGGGCGGTTGGTAGTCTTTGAGGGTATCGTGAAGATCTTGGAGGTGTTGTATCAGTGCTATAGATAATACATTAGCTGATGGATCAGAGCTCAGTATCTGCCACACCGCTTACTCCTCTGATGTTCGTCTTCCCTCAATCTCTTCGTTTGCACCCGTTCATCGTACTCTGCAAGAGGCCCATGTTCAATCACATCTTTGACTGTTGCAAGGTGCCGTCTCTGGCGGACTGGAGCTGAAACCGCATGTAATGCTGCGCCCTGCACCGTCGTGGAATTCGGTTGCAGGCTGAGAGCGTGCAATTGACGTCGAGATACGCCCAGCGACTTTCTATGCTGGCGCAGGACTTTCAAGCAATCGGTGCATAATGTACGTCGTCCTGTCCGACCTGCGGTCTCGGAGGTGAGGGCGCGGAGGTATGTTTGGAAGCCAGGACGGAGCGAGGCCTTCATGCTGCCTTGTAGGGATATTTTCCGTATGTTAGTGTCGGCAGGAAGGGCAGCACATTCAAGGTCAACTATAACGATAACAATAGCTCCAGGATAGTAAAGATAAAGCGTGGGCGCAAAAAATGACGAAAGAAGCACAATTCGTCACATCGCTTAATCGCTTAAGGAAAGTTGGAGTTGGAGCAACATCGGAATGGGCCCCGTCAACCAGAAACTGCCGGTTCCGCAGATATGGATGTGGGGGGATCAATTGGACAGTACCAGGTACCTAGGTATGCCAGTATGGAGTATCTTAGGTATCCTGTATAGAGGTGCATGGGACAGTATGGCTGGATGATTCTTCTACTCAGGCATTGAGGTAGCATCGGTCTGATTTTATTGTAACCTAGCTCTTTCCCATTCGACCAGGAAAATGATCAAGCTGGTTGTCGCCTCCATGCTCCATACCACCAACATGCCGAGATAAAGACCTGAGGAAGTATACTCCTGTCACCACAATACCCAGCTCACCAACGGCAGGGGTAAATATCCACGACATCATGGTGCAACTCCCTCGTCAAATGAATGGAAACTTTTGAGCTCTGCTATTGTACCGATGTCGAAAGAGTTGCTCCCAAGATACCGAGCCCGATACGCCGTTGACATGACCACATTAAAGCATCGCTCATCAGGTTGCCCTGTCTTCCCTTTATACTTCCGACAAGAAAGAATCGGGCCATCGTTTTGCGTCGAGGATCAGACTCGCTTCCTCAACCCGTGGCATAGTTTACATACAAGGTGAGCTTGGGGTTTCGTTCCAGTGCCACGTCCAGGTTGCCATCATTCTGCATGTCGACCAGGGCATTGGTGGGCTCATCTTTGTACTGAATCACAATGCCCTCGTTGAGCTTGAGTCGCTCCATTAGTCGCTCCTTCAACGCTGCGAAAGGAATATCCTGAGGCACTCGGATCGCAATGATATCGTCTTGGAAAAACACCTTCACCTTCATGGGTGTGTTGGCATTGCCTTGCTTCATGCTGGAAGATGTCGATGCTTGTGTAAGGTTGCTCGCTTGAGAATGGAGGAAAGGCGGTCCGCCCATGCCGCCGGACATGGGGACTGGTGGCCGCTGTTGTGAGTTTCGAGAAGACCCAGGTAGCGGCATACCACCATAACCGGATGGCGGTCCTGGTTGATTCGAAGACATGCGTGAGACTGGCTGCATCGACTGCTGTGACCCCTCAGACAACCGGTAGTCTTCTCCCAATGCGCTCGGATCAATCTCAAAATCTTGACCTATTCTCGGCTTGAAGAGATTCCGGACCAACATGCTTTTGGAGATGTGGTTGGGCATTTCCACAATCTTCTTGATGTACTCATCCAGGTTCTGGCGCCGGCCGTTCGAAATGGCATCGGTGACGTGAGCTACTGGTCCGGGCATGAAAGGAAGTGTTCGCGGCTTTCCCTTGTTACCTGCTTCTTCGGGGAACATCTCGAGGAGGGCGATCTGGAAATCGTAGAAATCTGCATAATACCGGGAGAGCTCCCACCACCGACCATCTTCCATCTGGCACTCAATAATGTACCAGTACATATCATTGTCGAAGCAATAGCGAGGTACAGAAGCGCTGATGGGGGCGAGAGGAATCTGTGGTTGTTGAGATGATCTAGAGCCGGGGGGTTGCGACTGCCTCAAGGTTAGCACAAGGTAGACCAGAACGTCTATTTGGCGCAACTTACATAGCCATTGCTGGCAAGAGATTGTTGCGAGCCAGCATTTTGTAGACTCATCCGAGCCATAGCGGCCGACATTTGAGCTTGTGGACTGTCGAATTTGCCCAGACTGATGCTGTTGTTTTTGTACTCTGCGGCAAACTTCTTCCACTCTTCAACTTTAGGTACACCAGCCTTGCGAACAGCGTCCAATGGGTCGGGGACCGATTGCATGGTGGCGGTATCCTTAATATCGACGAATGACACGGGTATGAGTCCTGGTCCTCCCAACCGTCCTATCGGTTTTGCGACGAACCACTCCGGGTTTGACTGGGCCACCACGATGATAGCTTCGCCGGCTTTGGCGTCCAATTCATCTGGTCGCTCTGCGTTGAAGTCATATTGCACAACGCCATACACCATCGCGCCGCCGCCATTTCTGTTGGTCATGCTGGGTCCTCGCTGGTGTACGGCCGGCCTAGTCGTGGCAGTTGATTCGGATCGGGTGTGGCCAGACTTGGTTGAGCCTTTTTCGGAGAACCCAGAGTCATGCCCATCTACCCTCTCCCCTGGAGAAGACAGGGAGTTGCCGCTCTGTCGCTGCTGCTTGCCCACCACTTCAAAGAATGCGACAGGTACAAGACCTCTAGCAGTAGGGATGAGTGGATTACACGCCTCGTACCATTCGGTGTCTTCTTCGCGACTCAGGACATGGAAGAAGTCGCCCTTGTGGAATGCCAGCTCTTGCGTGTTTCCATTTTGCGGTTCGTAGTCATAGAGCGCCTTGATGACCTTCTTCGGCGGCAGTGCCTGGATGGTTTTGGGTGTGATAGAAAGGGACGGTGCGTGCTTGTGCTCCTTGTCGTTCTTTAGAGATCGGCGAATGGCCTGCGCGCGAGATCGAATTAGCACTTGGAAAAGGGAAACCGCATACGTGCATAGTGTGGACATGGTTCGACTTACCTTCATGTCGTCGCATTTGCTTGTGCCCCGCAATGCCCTTCAGTCAGTGAGGTTCAAGGCAAACTGGTCCCTTGCGTGGGTTCAGATCGAGCGCATATGCGGTCGCAGTATGAAACGAAGAGGCTTATCGCAGCTTGCGCCGTGTTGTCGGTTGCAGTTTAGGCTTGAGATCGGTTGTGTCTCGTGTCGACAAAAACGGGGGACAAAGGGAGATGTGCAGGGATGCCGAAGACGGAAGAGGCTGGACGGGAACGTATCAGGCCTGCAACACTTCACTGCACTCCACTGCCCCGAGTTTGTAAGGACTGTCCTTCTTCACTGCTGTATCGTTCAAAGTGTTGAAGAAGATCGAGTGTCGTTGTCGATCTAACGTTACCTAAAGTTTCTGGTACGGAGAGGACAGTAGAAGGTGCAGTGCAGCTGAGTTATTAGCGCTTAACTTGTGACTTTGCTCGGCTATTTCGGCCAGTACGGCGCAGGCTGGCCAGGCATACAAGGCTTCAATGCAAGGGAGGATCACTATCTTAGATGTTCAGGCTCATAGGCGCAAGTCACGATATTGTCCTGTACATAAGGAAACGGACGCGGTGCAAGAAGGCGTCAATGCGTCGACCTGCGTCCACAGCCCCCAACCATCATACACCAGGCTGTCGGGTTGGGTACTTCCCAGTGAGCCTATGGCAGCGCAACCAGTACCACTCTATGCGTTCCAGCTGAATGGTTTTCGCTTAGCCCTGCGTGACAAAGCTTTCTCGTTGGATAAAAAGGCCTCAAGCATCTTTACAACGACGACCGCGAGCTGGTACTGCTTGTCGAATCACAGCTACTCACCAGGCTTCCATGTTCAGCCGGACCATGGCATGCTCATCACTGTCGCAGCCCCAGATACAGTACCTACAGATCGGTTGATCGTCTTGAGTGGGACGTCCATGATATGACAGGCATTTGACAGAGGGTTATTCACCTGCCAAACAACTAGCCCGACGCAAGCAATTAAGGAGCCGTAAGAGGTCAACAAGTCATCGACTCATAGGAAGACGTTCTCCAACCATTCTTAATCTCTTTTGACAGGCTACTTATCTTGGGCTCTCGATGAGAGTTGTTGTACTTTCGGGCGCAATGCTAACCACGGTGAGATAGGATGCATGTTGTAAACATCTTCAACACGCGTCTGGACAGATTGGGGCAGCCACCCTTTCAAAAGTTTTATGTTGCCAATGCATCAACGTCCACGCTATACGCATCAATCAGCAGATGGGGTTTCCTTTTCATCTGCTCGATAACGCCGTAAGAATATACCGCATCTCCGCCTTGCGCCACCGCTCACTCGCTTTTGAACTGTCCGGTCGTGAAACGTCGCTCGTTCTTCGTAAACATAGAAAGGAAAGGATAACTTGGAATAGGCCAAGCAGGAGGGTTGGCCAATTTTAGGCAAACAAAATCAAGCCAAGAAGCAAACGTAAGAGCCTAGAGGTTTCAGCGGAAAAAGTCTGAGGCATCGACAGGATCTGCGATCGTGCGAATAGCATCTCGAGAAACTCGTAGGGATATCGATGTCATATCTGCCCTTTGATATCGACTAGTCCAAAGGCTCTTTGTTTTGCAAGCTGAAAGATGGAACCAGTTTTGCCAGTCAGGAAGCGCACGTCTCCATCGCGTTCCTCTAGCAGGTTCGATGAGTCGTCGGGTGCATGGTCAAGAATGAATTGGCAGGCTTCTTCGTCGGATTCGAAGCCGAGTTCTTCGGTAACGAATCGTAATCGAACGTCTGGTTTATACCTGTCCAAACGGTCAGCCAGGCATTGTACCATGGGTGAAATCAACTCACGATCTGCACAAGCACGCAAGTGCTGCGAGCCGTTCGCGTTCTACAAACATATCCATCAGGTATGCTCCCATGTCGGGCACTGTTAGGTACAGCTTGAAGAATTTGTGATAATTGCCCAAAGCTAGTGCCGACCGTACCTCGAGCGCGTGCTTGATGGCTGGCTCCTTTTTGTCTGTTGGGGTTAGATCAGAGAGCACGTCATTCATGTCAGTCTGGTTGCACGTGTGGATAAAATACAGGATACGATAGGCCTTGAACTCCACAGGATGACCACCAAGATTCTGTTTGTGCAATGCCCTTAGCTGTGTCTGGCACTGGTTATACTCACCCAGGTCACCCTTCTCCAAAGCAATCCGCGCATGATACTCGTACACACTGGTAGTGAAATCGTTCTTGATATGTTGCACTGTCAGATCTTGCCGCAGTGATTTGAATTGGTCGCAGATGTAGACATAGTTGCCTTCACTGCGCCACTTCTTTTTGAGCAATTCGAGGGTATTGCGTAGCACTTCCAAGGGTCGCACATCATCAGGATTGGGTGCGGAGGTCAATCGGAAGTAATTCTTCTCAAGCTTTTGTGAGCGCCCAACAATCGGCCCAGCCATCTTTGGTTCCGGCGACGCGCCTCGAGACGACTCTTGTGTGTGAGGAGAATTCGATCCTGCGCGGGCCAAGTCGAATCGCCGCTTACGGAACTCCAAGCTTGCAGTCGTTTTACTTACGGATGTACTCATGTCGAGCTTTGGTCGCTTTTCTGTGGAAACAAAAGACACACGATCCGCCAAAGATCCAGATGATGCTCCGTTGGTTCTCCAAGGTGGTAGAGTGCCAGCTACTTCAACATTCGTATCGAGCTCCATAGATTTGCGTTTACGAGGGACATCCGGACCAGGTTGATAAGTGAAAGCAGATGGATCCGGAATAGGTGCAGCAGGAATGTAGGATGTATGGGGGATGGGGGCTAGTAGAGAACGAGTCCGTTCGTTCTGGATCATCTGGTGTGGAAGTGGAAGTTCCTTCCAGTTCATTGTGTCGAGTCTGCCGCTCTGTGTGGCCTCAGTTATGACTTCTTTCAATTTTGCCTCGATTTGTTCTCTTGTAATCCCAGGGGCCAGGTTGGTCTGGGCAAATGAACGGTTGACGTAGTCACGAACATCTGGAGACCAGTTCATTTTCTTCTTGGCTGGTGGCTGTGGCGGTTGTTTCTGTGGACTGTTTGCTGACAAGTGCGCTGGACTATACTGCTGCGCAGGCATAGGTGGAGGGACATAGGTAGATTGCGGAGGAGGACCTGACTGAGCTCCAAAAGTATGACGCGCAGGAACTGGGATGTAAGCATTCTGGTTGTTAAGCGACGCGTAAGAAGATGGATGAGATTGCCATGGCGCTTGACCTGGCGCGGATGAAGAGTACATTATGATGCTTGCAGCCGTCATAAAAGGAAGAGTTCAAGAAACTGCGAAAGAAAAGGAGAGTGGAGAGTAGAGAAGCTCAACGCTTGGACAAGTTGAACGTTGTGAGTTGAAGACTCGGTGAAGAAGTCGAGAGACTCGAAGCCAGCAAGAAACTGAATCCCAGGGTTGGCCTGCGTCTTGGCGGCGACACATAGGACACGCCGTTTTCAAAGCCGTTGCCCTATCACGTGACTCAACTTGAGGCGGCAAGACACCCGCGTCACTGGTGATGACCTCGAGGGGCCTCATCCCATCCCGCCTTTATCGTTGTTCCTGCGCTCATATCCGCCCGCATTTCATCGCTGCGGCATCGGAAAAAAGTTTGTGGAAACAAAATACTGCGTGCATTATTGAAATAGGTCGCTTGACTCATTTCCACTTTCTATCAAAAGCCATTACATTTTCACACATCTTCAAACCTCAATCAGAATGGCGTCGCTGATCACTACCCTACAGTCCAAGCTGGGCTACTCATCACAGAAGGCTCTTCTGCTTGGTGCCGGTTTTGTTACAAAGCCCACAGTGCAGATATTGGCCGATGCCGGTGTTGAGGTTATCGTTGGTAAGTCTCATATGCTCAATTGCAGGGGGCACCATCTTACTCTACATAGCCTGCCGGACACTAGAGAACGCGAAGAAGCTCTGCGAAGGCATCAAAAACACCCGGCCCATCTCCCTCGACGTCTCAGATGCGACCGCTCTCGATGCCGAAGTCGAGAAAGTCGACCTTGTCATTTCCCTCATTCCATACACGTACCACGCTACGGTCATAAAGTTAGTGCCAAAAAGAGTGTGTCGCTACAACTAGCTAAAGACTATAGATCCGCTATCCGCAAGAAGAAGAATGTAGTCACAACCAGCTACGTTTCGCCCGCCATGATGGAATTGGATGCTCAAGCAAAGGAAGCTGGTATCACCGTCATGAACGAGATTGGTCTGGACCCTGGCATTGGTGAGTCAATCCTCTGCCTTGCATCTGTCGCTATGCAGAATGATGCCCAAATATCCGTGTTCATGCATTCCGTAAACCTTTGGCTGACTTTGCGCTCTCTATTCAGACCACCTATACGCTGTCAAGACTATTGAGGAAGTCCACAAAGAAGGAGGATCAATTACGTCCTTCCTCAGTTACTGTGGAGGCTTACCGGCACCTGAAGACTCGGGGAAGACTGGCGGTCTCGGATACAGATTCTCTTGGTCAAGTCGAGGCGTGCTGCTCGCTCTGCGCAACAGTGCCAAATATTACAAAGACGGAAAGGTCGTTGAAATCCCAGGCCCTGAGCTGATGGGCAGTGCAAAGCCTTACTACATCTATCCGGGATTTGCTTTCGTTGCCTACCCCAACCGCGACTCGACACCCTACCGGGAACGATACAACATTCCGGAAGCCAAGACGGTCATTCGAGGAACATTGCGATACCAGGGATTTCCCGAGATCGTGAAAGTCCTTGTCGACATCGGGTTCCTGTCAGAAGAAGAGCAACCTTTCCTCAAATCATCAGACAAGCCTGTCACCTGGGCCGAAGCCACGCAGAAGGTCATTGGATCCAGCTCAAACAAAGAGTCCGACTTGATATGGGCTATCGATTCCAAGACCAAGTTCAAGAGTAATGAAGAGAAGGAGCGAATTCTCTCCGGCCTGAGAGAGCTCGGCCTCTTTTCCGACAAGCCTATCTCTCCAAGAGGCAACCCACTAGACACCCTTTGCGCGACGCTCGAGGAGAAGCTGCAATACGAGAAGGGGCAACGTGACATGGTCATGCTTCAGCACAAGTTCGAGATCGAGCACAAGGACGGCCGCAAGGAGACAAGGACGAGCACGTTGGTCGACTATGGTGACCCGAACGGATACAGCTCAATGGCCAAGCTTGTCGGTGTGCCGTGCGGTGTTGCCTGTCTGATGGTCCTGGATGGACGGCTCAAGCAGAAGGGCATCCTGGCTCCTGTTACTTGGGATGTGGCTGAGCCAATATTGACCGAATTGAAGGAGAAGTATGGCATCTATCTGAACGAAGAGACGGTGGCATAAGTGTTCATGGGGGGAAGAATTTCTGAAGGTTGATGGCGTCAACAAAAAGCTGCACATAAACCAATCTCGAAAATATTGGAAAGTCTCCAAAGTTCTAGCAAGAAAATACAATCTTGTCATGCGACTCTATGAATACGCCTCAATGACGCTACGAGGCATAGTGTATCTACCTACAGGTACGTACTCAACGTCACCGAAGCCCATAGACGCTGGGCCACCAAGTTCGAGTCCTCTGGATGTGTCCGTCCATCGAGGTGATGCTGCGATGGCGATGACTGCTACCTTCAAGCCGTATTTGTATTCTGGCGTCCCCAAACCGGAGCCCGTCTCTGAATCCAGAACTACAATGAGATCCGGCACTGATGCGAGCACGGATACAGCACCATCAGTGCTGACCGCTTCAACAAAGGCGTTTTCGTTTTTGAATGGAACCTTGATCGTCGCCGTCGACCCATCATTCAGCACGCCATCGATTTCGACAATGCCGTACGTGTGACCCGTCCTCAGAACCCGCTCGACGTTGGTGATTTTGCCTTCTGCCAGAACTTTGGCACTGGCAGAGCCGCCGACCGACTCGATAATTCTGTTGGCTCTGTCTGCTATGTTCCTCTCCAGCGCAATCGCCCTGCCTATCCACCAAGCTAGAGACACACTGTTGAGTATGGCCTGCTCCTGAACGACTCGGGCCGGTTTGGGCGGTCCTGCCTTCCCTGCCCGACATCCCATCTCCACAGTGGCAGCTCGCAATGCGCTGTCGACTAGCTTGTCCGTCCGACTGGCCGTCATTGTCATGAAGGAGCCATCTCCACTGGCAATCGTGGCCGGCAAAAGTGACTCACCTCGAGCGGTCCCGTACACATTGATGGTGGTTTGCCAATATGTCGGATATGCTCTGCCCATGTAGTCGGCGTCTACACAGGGTACTCCATGCGCTGCAGCCACCTCGAGGTTGACCATGCCATTCCCGCCACCGATTTCCAAGGCCAAGAAGCCATCCACAGGCGGGAGTTGCATGACGCGGATTAGCGCATCGTGGGCTTTGTTGCACTCATCCGCTTCCATTCGCTCCATGCTGACTTCCGGACTTCCCATGCAACCCGTACACCCAATCGTGGAGCCTTCAGGAAGATCCAGGGCTGAGACAACCTTGATAGTGCCAGGTGACTTCTCCACGACGCTTTTGATCTTGAGATATTGTTGATATGGGTCACCTCCTCCTCCGCAACCCAGGACCTTACAACCAGTCGCGATCCATTCAAGGTCTATCGGCGAGACTATCCATTGGCCCTTCTCAATATGAGGTTTGTATTCCTGGACTTTGATCTCCTCGGTCTGTGCTTTCGAATCGGGTTCCACCACCACCACCTGGCCGACGCTCTGTTGGGTCTCCTCGGGCAGTGTCATGGGATTAGACATGCCTTGTTCAGAGATTTTGACGACATCGAGCACTCCTATCGCTCTGACTACTATCCGTGCTTTCGCATCGACATACTGAATTGGAAGGACGGTCACTTCGGCAATCTGTACCGTGTCTGGCTGTGCTCCGTTCGTGACTGCAGCATCGATGGCTAACCTTGCCACTGTTTCCTGGGCCTGCTTCAAAGACTGGTGAGAGGTATCCACAACCGTGTCAACCACTCCAGACACTCGCGAAATGGCCGCGCCTACAGCGTTCGCGACCTCACCGCCCTTGACTTTTCGCACAGCACGAACGCCCGAAAGAGTGTCGTCGGTATCAACCAAAATGGCGCCGCCACCAACAATCAGAACGTCGATGTCTCCTTTCTGGATCTTTGTCCGATCCACCAATTCTTCCAGGAGTCGTCGCATCTCGGCCTTGGCCCTCATGACGACATCAGGTGTGATGTCTTTCAGCTGCGTGGAATCTCCCAATCCTTTGAGCGGGTTGTCTCTGGCAGGCGAGTGTAAGTGGCTTGCCGCTACAACATCAGTTGCTGTCAAGACATCCCCTCCAAAAAGACGGGCCTTTTGTGGCAGCTCAAAGCCAACGCTGTCAGGGCCGACAGATAGCTCCCCCTGCGACATTCGGACAGTGCTTCCACCTCCAAGTCCTATGCTCTCCACCGCTGGTAATGCGAAATTCGTGCGCACACCTCCCACCAGGCTCATAAGAGAACTCATTCGCGGAAGACCGTTTGGAAGTAAAAGACCGCTATCTGACGTTGTCCCTCCAATGTCGACTACCACAAGTGCGTCCTGACGTTCCGGACTCGATCCATCCGCTTTCATGCTTGCCGCGTTCCAAAGGAAGTCGCCGCCTCTGATAGAATTGGTTGGACCCGAGTTGAATGTTCGGATCGGCAGGTCAATGGCATCCGGTGCACTCAGAACACTGCCATCATTCTGCGTGAGGTACAACGCGCACGGCGATCCTGCAAAGATATCCTGCATGGCTTTCTGGAAGGCCGAAATCGTTTTCTCTGCAAGAGGTCTGAGCGAGGCATTCAAGATTGCGGCATTCTCTCTGGCAAGGAATCCGACAGACGATATCCGGTGGGACAAAGTGACTCGTGGAGAAGCCGACAGTCCTAGTGCAGCCGATGTCTCGTTCATGTGCTTCGAAAGCATCTCTCCTGCTAGTACCTCATGTGCCGAGTTGAGTGGTGAGTAGATACCCGAGATCGCAACATCGAAGATGCCATCTTTCACGAGTCTCTCGGCCACGCTTTTCACTTCAGTCTCGTCGATAGGCGAGATCTCTGTCCCGGAGATTTGATGCCCGCCCTGGCAGAAGAAGGGTGGAGTACTGATGAGACGGCGCAGATCCCTGGGAAAGTCGACAAAGGGTGGCACCCCAAGTCCGAAGCCATCTTCGGCCCCTCCACACAGTCGAACGACTCCTACACGATGAAGTGATGGAGAGCGCTGTACGACGGCGTTCACGAAATGCGTTGTTCCAATAATAACACAGCTGATCGTGTTCAGAGGCACGTTGCTCGCGTGTATCAGTGCACGCACAGCCTCGGTGATACCGGTGGTCACATCTGCCGTCGTTGGTGCTTTATGAGAGGCGATGATCTGGATGGGCCGAAGAGAGATGAGCACAGCGTCGGTGTTGGTCCCTGGATCACGAAGGTGAGGAGAGTCATCACGATATGTAATAGTGTCTCATACCTCCCACATCGACACCGATGCGATACTCGCCAGGCTGGCTGTCATTCCCTATGCTACCCATGATTCCATTGGCTTGGCCATTTGCAATCTCGTCTGTCCGGACGACAGATATGCTCTTTGATATCGTGTCGTTTCTGATGTTCTGGAAGTCCTTATCGCTGACAATCCAGACTCTAGTCACTCTACGATGACTTGCTCCATACCTGAAGCGGAGTGAGTACAAGGTTGACCGATGGCAAAAGTCCCTTCGAGGTAACGTCGTTATGCATAACGGAGGAGCACCGCCTTGCCGGTGCCTATCGCGTCACCTATCGGTCAACCTATCTCGGACATGAGCGCCAGAATCGCAGGTCCTTTGTGGTCGGTCAACAAACTGACCTGCATGAGAGGACGTTGACGCTAGGCCTTGATGGCATAGAATGCATGATCGACGGAATGAAAGTTCACCGCGGTGATGTTTCCCAACTGACCCCAGATCGTCGAGTCGTGTCACTGTCTCGAGAGTTGAGCGATGGTTGTGGGTCCAACGTCTGACCACAGATCGGCCAACTTCGACTGAGACGAGACAACGCACTCCTCACTTCTCAACGCCACTATCAGCCCGTCGCTAAACATAATTATCCTGATACGCGTACTACATGCATGTCCTCAGTGGACGTATGAAGCTCGAGAGGAACAGGTCAGGCCATGAGTCTGGCCCTTCGATCCTGAGCGTTCTCCACCACAGAAGGCCACCAATCTGAGATATATCCACGGCAGGAGACGACCAGATTCAAGCAGGACTAGTATCGACCAGTATCTACACGCTCGTCAAACGTCAGAATGCCGCACTCAACTGAAGAGACCAGCACCACCCGCATGGCGATTAAGCCAGCAGAACTCGCCATCCCAATCATCGATCTAGAGCCACTGCGCTCGGGCAACCCAGAAGATGTCCACAAAACCGGAAAGCAGGTCTATGAGGCCTTCAGAGATGTAGGCTTCGCATATATCAAGAACCACGGCCTGCCTCAAGAAGTGCTAGACCAGGCATTTGAATGGGTATGTATCCCACGACCTTCACCCGGCGGCAAAGCTCATACTAACACTCCCGAAAGAGCCGCAAATTCTTCGCCCTCTCCGAAGCCGACAAAGCCAAAGCACCGCACCCACCTTACGGCTGGTGGCATCGAGGCTACTCAGGCGTCGGCCGTGAGAAAGTCGTGCAAATGGTATACGACCAAGAATCCATCGCCGATCTCCGCAAAGTCCCCGACTTCAAAGAGTCCTTCGAACTCGGCCGCGAGGACGACGAGCACACCCCCAACATCTGGCTCCCCGAAGAGACGTTACCCGGCTTTCGGGAGTTTTTCACCCAGTTTTACGAAATCTGCTACGCCGTCGAACTATCCCTCCTCAGCGCAATAGCATTGGGCATGGGTCTCCCCGAGGACTTCTTCCAAGAGTACCACACGAAAAAGGACAATCAGATTCGTTTGCTGCACTACCCACCCGTCGAGGCCGACTTGTTGCGCGGCGGCAGCATGGAGCGCATCGCCGCACACTCGGACTTCGGGACCATGACGCTCCTGTTCCAAGACGAGGTTGGAGGTCTAGAGGTCGAGGACATGCATGAGAAGGGCAAATTTAATCCGGCCCCGTACATCCCGGGCACAATCGTCGTGAATATCGGCGACTTCTTGCAGCGCTGGAGCAACGACACGCTCAAGTCGACTTTGCATCGTGTCCGCGCACCGCCTTTGGTCCAGGGTCTGACGAAAGCGAGGTATTCGATTCCTTACTTCGTCACGGCGAATCGTGATAAGACGATCGATTGTCTTCCAGGTTGTTTTGGGGAGGATAGACCGAAGAAGTATGAGCCGATCAATTCGCGGGAGTATATTGAGATGAGGTTGAATGCTACTTATTAGTTAGCTTGTTAGGATACTGTGAATCGAAGATCAAATATTCGTGGCAGATGTTCTTGTGCTAGGTATCCGTTGCAATCATCTTCTGCTGGAAAACCTGCCTGACAACCACAATGAATACTAGGCGTCGCTCATAAGCACCGAACTTGTTCCCAGCAACGTGGCAATGCTTGACCGCGAGTACAATCGACGAAGTAAGCTTGAAATCCAGCAAGTTCGTGCCAGCGGGTGCCTTGGCAGCAAACAAGTGCGACTATACTGTTACAGCTGATGACCCTCTTCACGTCAACGCCGCACGCTACGATGTTATTTGCGAAAGCCTCCTCAGTGACACTGAGGAATGTATCAGTCTGAAGCTGGCGAGCTGCAGCTTTTAGACAGTGCCACTAGGCCTGACACCTACCCAGTCAACGAAGAGTTTGGCAGCTGGTGTATATGGCAGACGAGTCTAAGACTGACTTTCGCTCCAGCAACCATGAACTAAAGTATTCTCGAATGCGATCTTTGTCTCTAAAGTATGTTGTCCCTGTACATATGATCATAGGACGCCGGTCGAGATGACCCAGACTACATGGCTACTGTCGCCATAGCCGCATGCTTGCCACTCTCCTCATCAGACTTCTCACTTCCAATGTTTGCACCATGCTGCTCGACACCGGACAAGACCTCATCCACGAACGGAGCTTCCAGACCCAGACCTGTAGGCGGAAAGACGTAGTTCAAGCCACAGAAGATGACGAAGCTCATGGCTAGGCCAATGATGAACGTCAGGTTGTACAGACGGATCCAGCCGACGAACAATTGACTTGTCAAGCTGTTGACTGTTCCAACGAGACCAGCTGTATTTTCCAGTCAGCGGTGCAATGATAATCCAGCATGTGGAAATACTCACGCAGCAATGGCCAGACTCCAGACATAAAGGCGACAGGCGCACGCCAATTGACGCCGTTGGTGAACCAGTAGATCGAAGAGCTGTCACCAGTGTACAAATCATTCAGCTTCAGCTTGCGGCGACGGATAACGTGGTAGTCAGCCAGCATAACGCCACTGTGCGAGGGATTAGCTCACTTTCAGTCAATATTTGACAGGAAGACTTACGTAGCTGGCGCCATGAATACTCCGAACCCGCTGAGAACCTTGAGGAATCTGCTTGCAGTGCTCAAAAGTTGCCATGGTTGAGTGGCAATGCCAATGACCGCCATGATGTATGACCCTCGACGGATGTTGATGTACTTTGGACAAAGACCAGCCATATCCATTCCGGTCGATACCGAGTTCAAGACGACGGAGATCTGTTACCATGTCAGAATGATAACTCCAGTCAATATGGACAGAAACATACTGCGAGTTGTGAGCTGACGAGTCCCATGCTTGCGAAGAACACTCCTGCTCTTGATCTTGGACTTGAATGGTACTCGTCTTGGATGTCGGCGAGTAGATATATGGGGTTCCAGACAATCTCGCCCAAGATATCCTTCGAGGCGCTAGTCACAATGATCCCGATCGTGGCAGTGACGGCGATGGTAATCGGTGCGGCAACGAGTTGCGATAAAGTTGGAGCGAACTTCCGGTTGGCATAACGAGTCCAGTCGGACTGGCCCAGGGTTCCGGCACCCCACGCACCAAGGATGGCTGTGATGCCAAACATGAAAGCCCAGCCTGTGTTCTCGGAAGAGCCAGGCTCGTGGAACATACTTCCTGCACCGCCAGCATTGTGGACCGACCTGAAATCGAATTAGCACTCTGCAGTGTGCCAGGTTCAACGACGAGGTACTACTCACCAGACCAGCAGCCCGATGCAAGAGCCGGCAAAGAGGCAAAAAGATATGGCGAATGGGACCTGGAGACGCTCGGGAGGGACGAGGACAAGTGGGATAAATGCGATCATCCAAATGATCAACCCAATGAAATCCTTTGTCAAAAGGTGTGACCCGTCGCTGAAGAAGTTCTTCATGTTCGCGAAACCTTTGCGACGTCAGCACGTCAATACCTTTCGGATCCAAGGAGATCAACTTACCTGGAATGATGGCACCCCATAGGACTCTCGTCGCCTGCCCGCCCCAATAGGCTTGCACTGCAAGTTGTCAGCAAGGCTGTTCCATCATCCATAGCACCCGAGACAAAGGTCTTGTATAATGGCGGCGATCCTCGCGCAAGCTCGAGACTTACTTCCAAACCACATGCAGGCAACAAACACCCTCAGCACGACGGGGAAGTAACTGCCTCGCATGCCCCAAGAGAATCGAGACGACACAGTGAATCCGATGTGATGGTTCTCGCCCATCCAGCCACAAGCTACCGCCAAAAGTCCCGTGAGGACGCCTCCCACGATCTAGTCTTTGCATGAGCCTGTATTCACTCGAAAGCATCACGACGGTGACTCACCACCACACCGATGGCTTGTTGTGGGCTAAGTCCGAAGGCAAGGAGTGTGCTTCCTGTCGACCATGCGGAAATGCAGGATCCTGAGACAGTCCAATACCCTGTGTCTTGGTCAGGGACATGGTCAACTTTCGTATACATCATATCTTCTTACCAAAGTAACCCCAGATGCCCCAAGTCCGTCGGTCTACCGGCATTGGGATCAAGTCCCGGTTGCACCATGTAGTGTTAGTGTAGTAGGAATCCTCATCTTTCGGCCTGGGTGGGTTGATGATCAGTGGATGGTCTTCGGCAACTTGGGCACCACGTTGAGTATCGAACTCACACTTGCAGCCGCTCCTTGAGCTGCCCCCACTTGACTCCCATATCGGTCAAGGGTCTCTTCCTGGACTGAAATTGGCCTGAGTTCAAAGCTCTGAGTAATGGAATGTCTTGAGAACAAGAAATGAGAAATGTAATCGTTGTTGATGATAGGGAATATCCGTCTCATGAAGAGAGGAGTCAGCCTGGAATATATCATCCTCAAGTATTGGCTGCTGGAAGACAGTTCTGCTGCGTGGTGTGAATTATTGCTGGTTGCGGGAGGTTCTAGTTGGCCGATCAAGGATCAAAGTTGGCCGATATGGCTGCAAGATCGGTAGACCACACTGATTATGCACACTCAAGTTACCCGAGGCCTGGTACCATGTGGATAGGCTGTAGGTGCTCGTCAACTATGCATAGACATATGCTGTCGCTTATGTGGCAGATCGGGGAATTCATCGAGCATCAAAGATCCGAACGCTGCGCAAAGGCTTTGTCTTCGCCGGCTGGCGACCAAATCTGCATACTGTAGATCTCGCCTGAGGCGCATACCGGAGGTGACATTGTGGCATATCAACTAGCAATACCGCTAAGGTGGTACAAATAGTCTGGGTTGACGAGAAGAGAGCCCCTTTGCTTATCATCCGGCTCCTGCAGCTTTGCAACCATGACGAATCTTGGCCATACGACACAGAAATTCAGTCTGAACACTGGCGACGCAATCCCGGCTATTGGACTCGGTACCTGGAAGTCACCGCCAGACCAAGTTCGCAAAGCCGTCTGTCATGCTCTTCAATCAGGCTACAGTCATATCGACACTGCCTTGAACTATCGCAATGAGGTCGAGGTTGGCCAGGGTATCCGAGACTCTGGAATCCCCCGAGACCAGATCTGGGTCACGACAAAACTTGATAACCCCTGGCATCATAGAGTCAGAGAGGGATTTGACAAGTCCTTCAGTGACCTGGACCTCAAATACATCGACTTGTACTTGGTGCACTTCCCTTGCTCAACCGACCCCAATGACCCGTCGAAGCACCTGCCAGACTGGGACTTTGTAAAGACTTGGTGTGTTATGCCGAACACTCGTTGCAAGAATTGTGGTTGACTGATCGATTTAGGCAAGAGATGCAAAAGTTGCTGGATACAGGGAAAGTCAGGAACATCGGCGTGTCCAACTTTCAGATTCGTCACTTGAAAAGGCTTCTCACGGACCCGTCCTGCAAAGTCGTTCCAGCCGTCAACCAGATCGAGCTACATCCCGGCAATCCATCGTTAGTCTATTGATGCTTTGTTCTTTCCAGGATTGTCGCACATACTGATCTCAAGCCAGTACCAAGTTGTTAGAGTATTGCCTCTCAAGAGGCATACACTGTACGGCCTACTCCTGCCTCGGGGGAGCCACAGATAATCCACTTTTCAAAGAGCCTGTCCTAAGTCAAATAGCGCATGCCACAGGCAAGACGCCCGCTCAGATATTGTAAGCAAGGGTGAGCCACAATAGCAAAGTCCGTCACTAACCACGCTGGGCAGGTTGATGTGGAGCCTTCAGCGAGGCACCAGCATTATCCCTAAGAGCGTGACAACAACAAGGATAGAGGAGAATTTCCAGTTGGATGGTTGGGAGTTGGCCAAGAATGAAATGGAAGCTCTGGATGGCCTCAAAACCAGGTTCAAGGTCGTCAATGACTCGTGGATGCCTATCAAGGTGTTCTTCGGAGACGACGAATGACTGTGTCGATATTGCCGGGTATCCTGGAGTCCCGCAGGAACGTGCACTGAATCGTGCGGCTCATCGTGTCAGGAGGCGCAAAGAACGCTTGTCACGGTTGGACAGCAAGGCTGATTGATTCAGTTGAGCTCACTTCATACTGGCGTATCCCCAGTCAAGCTCATTGAATATGAGCCTGTCGCAGAACCTCTCCTCATAATCTGTGCAGCTTGGGTGAAAAAAGAGTCGATCCTCAAAGCAACTGGTCGAATCAACTGCACAGAGTCCTCGTCGACAAGCTCACCTATTCTTTGCAGAGATTCATGGAACCGCCCTAGAAGTCGAAATGTGAGATGGACCTGCTCAGGGTTGGAAGACACTAGAAATAGATGTATCAGGAAATTGCCGATCAAGATGAGTTGGGAACGTCCGTCTGTCTTGATTAGTTGTCCATGTTCATCATGGATGGCGAGTAAAATAGCACTCACGCTGGCCCCAAAATTCCCGTAAGATATCAACCGTAATCTGGTCCATGAATGCTAAAATTAGACCTAATTTCTCGATTGCAGCATCGAAAAACCGTCGTAAGGACGATTGTGGATTATGTTTGGCAGCGACCGATGCTGGCGTCATCAAAGCTCGGAAGAGGAGCACCTGGGTTGCAAAGTAGGCCAAGTGTAGAGGCGCTGAACCGCGGTCAGGTCCAACGTTCCTTGTACATAGACGTCATGGTGACTTACCATTGTTGCGAAAGCTGTATTTGTTCGTGGTATAGCTCATGGTAACGCATTGTGGAATCATGGAGTACCAGGACTCGAGGTCTCTCTGTATATTCAAAAGTTTGGATTCTTGAGCGCCCATATCCATCATGGCATTTCGATAGCTCTGGTCGGTGCTGCAAATGGTAAGCTAAGGTGTCGATGTGTCGCCGTCAGGGTCAGATTCCTTACAAAGCGGTGTCCAACAGGGTATGAACTATCTGGGTCAACTTGACAAGTTCGAGGAACCTTGCGGCCGTAGATGCATCAAAGTCAGCACTGGTGTCATCCACCGTATCCCGCAGGCCTTCGGGCACATGTTCGTCGATTTCCAGGTCGTCCATGTTGAGTTCTGGAGTCGTGTATGAGGCGCGATAGATATGTGGAGGATTCCCGTGCGATACGGATGACCACATGTCAGTCACGTATGTTGCCCACCACAACTTCTTGCGAAGACTCTTTTCCCAAGGTGCGATTTTCCAATTGGACGGATCACGGTGCAGCCCGATCATCTGTGCGCATGCGACAGCCTGAGCAGATAAAGTCCATATCCTTGGTGTCTCAAAAGTAGCATTGCCTGCAGCCTTTTCGTGTAGCATGAGAAGGCAAGCCTGCATCTTCCATAGATTTGGTGCTTCAAGCTCCCGTTCGAGAGAGTTTTGGGCAGCAATGAACAACTCGTAGTTTTCGAAAGGGCAAGGTATGGACTTCAGCATGAGGTCGTCTTTCCAGTACACAGCCCCTAGGCCATATAAAACGCCACGTAGTGAAGCCGGAATGCCCAGCTTGTCGTCCCTGTATGCGCGGAGGAAGCGAACTTTGGAAACAACGCAATAGACGGGGTGGACGTGTTTGAAGTACAGGCGGACAAGATCTGGGCCGTACGATCCCACCTTCATTTCGATCATGCGGGAGGACTCTTCTTTAATGCGATTATCATAGGGCATGAACCAATCTCGGAGGATGCAAAAATGAATAGGTGGTACACCTGCGCGAGGATCGCCAGAATCGACCTGAATCATGTCACCATCCACAGTATTAGTCTCGTCAATGATGACAGATCTAAAAGAGTCAAGAAGGTGAGTGTCCTGCTCAGCTGACAATCCCATGGAATGCGCTGTCATGTTCTTGCCGTCCTCAAGGGTGTGGACTTCCGGCTCTGGCAGTCGAACTTCTTTGTCGATCCTTGGCCGCAGATAACTGCTTCCAGGGCCATTGGGTATGTCCGGAGCCGGGAGTCCTGTGGTAGGCGACCGCACAGCTTGCTCTAGGGGAATGTCGCTTGAGGCAATACTTGTGACGGGTATCCCGCCTTCTGGTGGACTCGGGTTAGCTGGGGTGACCGAATCGTCCAGATGGTCCTCGTCATGGTCCATCTCTTGATCAGGGGAGTCCCGTCCCCGGGATGACCTGGTGGTAGCTTCGCAGTGCAAACTCCTTCCTTTACAGAAAAGACCTTGGTTGGACATGTAAGCCAACGAAGGGACATCATGTAGGTTTGGGTCACTCACATGGAGGTCGATCCTCAATGACACAGGCGGTTCGTCGCCTGCGACACACATCACAAGGGCGATTCTTTCGGCTACGCCATTGTCTGGCGGAGCCAAAATTGCTATGTATTTTGAAGTGCCGTTTACGAGAAGCCTTAGCGCCAGCTGCACTGTCTTCCATCGTCAACCTGGCGTTGATGATCAAGTACACACCTGTTTATTCCATATTCAAGGTTAAGCGACATCAACTCCGAGAGGAAGGGAAGTCATTTACCCAACATGAGCGTCTTGATAAGGAGGGAAAGTACGAAGGTGATTGTACTGTAGATAGGGTAAGTTTCACCGTCCCTATCAATTAGGTATTGCTTATCTAGGTAACTTACTGTACCAAGGCTACGTCCCTGTATGTGGTTGAGTTTGCGGGTTATCTTTTGATAACCGTAGCGCCTGTAAGTGTCAAAGCTCAACGCATCATAGGCGCCAAGCCCCTGACGGTAGCAGCCCCCGTGGAGCCGAGCAGCAATCAAGCAGTCCTAAGCATCGGTAAGGCTCTCACTGTAAAGTCTTTAAATATGGTCAACTTAGTAAAGGTCGAGACGCCCTTGGTAGCAAGACGATAACGAGATGAAGCTTTCTTATGCCATTTAACCGCTGCTTCCTCCGAAACGACCCAATCCCTCCTCAAAGCTTCGCATCGCTGATATCACACACGATGAAGTGCTTCTCAACCACACCACCTGCAATGAGTCGATGGCTAGCCTGGTCTACAGCTGCTCCCGTCAAGACGGTAATGAGGGATCCGTCATCGTAGTACAAGACCTCGGGCTCGTAATCGTTCTTCTTGACGAGACGGAGAATTGCTGCGTCCGCTTGTAAAGTCGTGTTCAGTGGATTGTGCAGGCGCGCAAAAAGTTTCGGTACGTCAGGAAAGACTATGCATCCATGTTCAGTGCTGGGGTTGGGAAGAGACTGGTAGTCAGGAGGACTTACTGCATACTGCAATGTCTTCGGACCCTGGTATCAGCGACAAATTATCTGCTGCAGCTCCCAAGCGCTACGGCCCTCAAGTCAGAATCGCCATTCAAGTCTCAAAATGGTCATCACTTACCACTTCCTTTTTAGGGGACAGCTCCTTAGTCACGGGATCGACCGAATATATCGTTGTTGTTGCTTTGATCACATCATTGATCATCAGTGTTTTCCCGTCATCAACCAAGAGAGCCCCATTGGCTGAAGGGTGCGAGTTTTTCGGTGAAACACTCTTGCAGTCAATCTCCGAAGCTGTTGCTGAGCAGTAAACAATGTCAGACGCCCATTTCCAGGGACCGAATTTGTCCTCGAACGTCCTGAGGAGACCGCCAAAAGCACCTGCATAGAAATAATGGTCGTTTGTGATGAAGAATGAGCTAGCAGATATTAGTCCTCGGCGGCATGGATTCTTTATGGGCTGTCATACTCCAGGCCGATTGGTGCGACAGCATTCGGAGTCTTCACCTTCGGATGCTTGAATGACCGTTCGAACGTGAGGGTATTGGAGCCCAGAATGTGGGAAAACAGCAGTATTTCTTCGCCACGGCGACCGTGATTGACAGCAAAAAGGTAAATCTACCGAGTGGTCAGGTCAAAGCCAGATCTTACTAGCCATGTCAAACCAACCTTTGAATCATCATCTTTTGGGATGTATAGCTCGATGCCGTGCAATATCAAATCGTGCGACGCGTCGAGACCATCGATCATCAAAGGCATTGTCGTATTGGTCTTATTGTCATCAGTGTCGCGCTTCGCCGTCAGTAGCATAACAGCTTACCTTTATATCGTATTTCAAGAAGTATTCTCGATACGAACTGGCACCAACGGTGTCGTAAAGATTCAAGGGCGGATAGAAAACGCTCCGCGTTTCTGGATATCCGCATGCTGGTCCGGGTCAGTAGAGACGTACTCCAAGCTCCCATTGACGAGTCCAACGCACCCAAGAATGCTACTCCAGAGTCATGATGGATGCGAACATCTTCGCATGCCTGGCCAACTAGGAAAGGTTAGAAGACCTCCCCCTTTCATTGGTGACTCGACAAACCAGGATTGGTCCAGCATTTGTCGTTATTCAACGGTCCGTGACTTGCGTGCGTGTCTTGGAATACCACATCGGCTAGTCGACCACCGTAATGGTTCAAGAGGGGGTATGGGTTCGAATAGATTGCACCCAATGCTGCCACTAACAAAGGCAATGGCAAGAACTTGGCCCAGCTGCCAGACATGATTGATGATGTTTTAACTGTAGCAAGTCGTCAAAGGGTACAAGGGAAACGTGAGATTCTCAGACTGTGGTATTCAAAGAGACTTGAGGAACCTCGGCCTTGAAAGCCGATTGCGGCGGTCCTTTATATCCCACCTTTCTGGGGTTCTCTCTGAGAAGAACAACCCCACACAGTTGGCTTTCCGCTGGCATTGCCTCTTACCTCGGTTCGTATCGGAAAGCGTTCACATTTGAAATGAATGCTCTTGATGGTCATCATGGTGCCACGCATATCTAGGTGACTGGTATCAAAATTCTGTCGCAGAGTTCGCCCTCGACTGTGCTGGACACTGATACCTGGTAGTTTCTATGCATGCTGTTGTTGACAGGGATTCATGCCGACAGCTACCTCGAGAGTGACCTTGCGTAAAGGTGCAGCTGCTTCGCAGTAGATTATGCTTGGCAGTCTAACCGTATTCGCCTCTGATGATATGCCTTCGCAGATTAAGCGATGAGAACCAGAGCAAGGCACCAGATTTCTTTCCTTCAACACAAATAAGTTTAGTATGCTGCGACACATTTCAGCACATCGCTAAGGCCGACATCCGAAGATGATATCCGGTCTCCATCATTCGCCGAATGTTTCTCAAAAGGCCAGACTTGACTGCTGGCTCTCGACCAACCCTCGCTCAAGATGAATCCTTGCTCGTAGTTCAGGATAACGTTGGACTGTATGAAGGGTGAGGGCGCTCAAGTCTGGCATGGTCACTGTGCTCTGACCACCGTCCAGGAAATACAAAATTGCTAGCTGTCAAAAAGGACATGCCTATCTGACATCTCATCGAGCTTGTTATGTGGACGACTCAGATCCCCGGGCCAACTCTTGGGCTATAGATCTCAAAGATGTCGAAAGACACGAATTTCAGGTATGATCTGTCTAAAGACACTATTACGGTTCTCATCTCTTTCTCCAGGCTGGATTCCTCAAGTCTTCCGCAAAGATTACCTTATATCCCAAACCTCTAAGACGAGGTTTCCGCAGCTTAAGCAAACCAGGTGTACCACAGTCACCACAATTCCAGAAGGTTGTATCGGCGTCCTCACCGGCTTCTCGGTCATCCAGCCCGTTTCGCCCTTCTGCTGTGGCTGCGCCAACGCCTCCGGTGGTGATTGGGACTTGGGTATGTCCCATCTGCTCATTTTCCAACCCTGTGCCGTCCAACTTCGATCCCACGATTGCTACGGAAGCATTTCCGTTGCCACCATGCCTCGCTTGTGGCATAAAGCCTCCTTTTGCCCTTGTGCTCAAGGCCGCCATTGCTGCGAATGCGAAGCATGGTCCCGAGGATCAAGGTCCCTCTAGCAAAGCTCGAGGCTCCGATGCGCCCTCAACGGTCGAACAGGGTTCTACGAACGACGATGGAGACTCTTCGCAGGAGATAACCTGTCCCCGCTGCACCTTTCATAATCACCCCGGAATGCGTATCTGCGAGCTTTGTTCTGCGCCATTACCTGTCCCAAGCTTTGTTCAAAGAATGGCTTTTGAGGACGCCGGCACACGTTCAGCATCTCCTGGACCAGAAATATCCGGGTTGACACTAGAGGAAGAACACGAGCCCCTCAGTGTCAAGTTCTCTTTCCGCAATGGCGGCGATCGAGTGTTCTACGAGCGTTTGAAGAATGCTATCATACAGCGGAAATGGCTACTGCAGAATGCACCACCAATCCCTAGAACTGACAACGACCGATCTCCGACACCAGGCGCCAGCGATAGTCCTGGACGAGTTACCGCTCCCAGAGCGGCTGCCGTTGGAATTGCCGGACTCGAACAGCGCGGTTTGCAGACTCGGAAGCAAAATGAAGCAGTACTTGGTGGGGCCTTCGAGGACTTGGAAGCTCTGATGGCATCGGCGAAGGACATTGTTGCTCTAGCTGAACGGTTTGCCGAAGATTCAGGGTCAGCTGCTTCTGATCCTCTGCTCTCACAGTCGGCCGCCGCACTCGGTATGGTCACAACCAAAGACATACTGGGAGACAGCTCGAATACACTCTACATCTCTGAATTGGCAAGGAACCTGGCCGAATACGTCACGGATGACAGGAGAGGGATTCTCCGAAGCCAAGGCGGCACCATGAGTCTAGTAGACTTGTGGTATATGTTCAATCGGAGCCAGAACGGTGTCGAATTGGTTAGTCCTGCGGATTTTGTGAAAGCTGCAGAAGCATGGGACAAGCTAGGACTTCCAGTCAAGCTGCGAAAGTTCAAAAGCGGTCTGTTGGCAGTACAACGGCGAGATGCTAGCGATGAGAAGACCATCAAGCAGTTGAGTGATTGGTTGCACTCTTCGCGAAAGCTCCAACCGGAGCAACCGCCCCCATGGGATTGGGCATATTATGGCTTTGGAGTTACTGCGCAGCAAGCCGCCGCCCGGTTTGGATGGAGCCTGGGTGTTGCGACAGAAGAGCTCGAAATGGCCGAAGAAAGGGGGGCGTTATGTCGAGAAGAGGGTATTGAAGGACTCAAATTTTGGCTCAACTTCCTGACAGAAGATGAAGAACAGGTGTATGTATATATACAGCCCTAGATTTACTCATGTTTGCAGTATGTTTTTGCGAGAACATGTACCCAGTATGATAACCCCTATTTCTATGCACTTTTACCACCCATAAGGCTCCGCGCCGGCACGTGTACTTAATGACTGCGCGCCTGTTCCGCGGCTGCAGCCAATGCCGCGTCAATAACTTTCTGCAGCTGCTTTTTTTGAGGACACCTGCATACAGAAACAATGTCTGCGACGGCGTAATTGAGGTATAGCATTGTCGACAGTGACTGCTATAATGATACCTTCTCACCCAAGTCACTCCTTCCCATTACCGTCACAACGAGATGGCCAGAATAGGCCGAGGGGGTTTTCTCACCCTCGCCGTCGTCTTTCATCTGGTGTACCTCTTTTCCATCTTCGACATCTACTTTGTCAGCCCCATTGTCCATGGCATGCGACCGTACCGAGTCGAGACTGATCGAGCACCTTCCAAACGACTGGTTCTCTTCGTCGGTGATGGCTTGCGCGCCGACAAAGCCTTCCAATCCTTTCCTGACCCATCCCCAGCCGACCCGGCCAATGCAGACCTGACACCTCGACCCCTTGCCCCGTTCCTACGATCGCGAGTCCTCGAGCATGGCACGTTCGGCGTGTCTCATACCCGGGTGCCCACCGAGTCACGACCCGGGCATGTGGCCCTCATTGCAGGGCTTTACGAAGACGTCTCGGCAGTCACTACTGGTTGGAAGTTGAACCCTGTGGATTTTGACAGTGTCTTCAATCGGAGTAGGCACACGTGGAGCTGGGGCAGTCCAGACATCCTACCTATGTTCACCGAGGGTGCAGTCCCGGGCAGAGTGGATGGAGACCAATACGGCGAAGAGTTTGAGGACTTCACACAAGATGCAACAATGTTAGACATCTGGGTGTTTGACAAAGTCAAGGATCTTTTCCAGTCTGCGAGCACAAACGCCACTCTGAATACCATGTTGCGCGAGGACAGGCTTGTATTCTTCCTCCACTTGCTTGGACTGGACACTACTGGCCATAGTTACCGGCCTTATTCGAAAGAATATCTGCACAATATAAAGGTTGTGGACCAGGGTGTCCAGGAGATTTCAAAACTGATAGATGACTTCTACGGCGATGGCGAGACAGCATACGTCTTTACTGCTGACCACGGAATGAGCGACTGGGGCAGTCATGGCGATGGTCACCCTGACAATACGAGAACACCATTGATCGCATGGGGTGCCGGGGTCGCTCGGCCTGAGCTGCATCCTAACTCCAAAGCCCCCGGCCACGAGGATGGCTTCTCTTCCGACTGGGGTTTAGACCACGTCCGCCGACATGATGTCGAGCAAGCAGATGTCGCGGCTCTCATGGCATATCTTGCTGGACTGGAATTCCCTGTGAATTCTGTCGGTCAGCTTCCATTGAGCTATCTCGCAGCTACACCGCAAGCGAAATCTGTCGCAGCTCTAGTCAACGCCAAAGAGGTGCTGGAGATGTACCATGTCAAGGAGAACCAGAAAAAGGCCACTTCGCTAAACTTCCAACCCTATCCTCCATTCTCAGCAGTCAATGCTTCAATAGCGGACAGGATTTTGGCTATCGAGAAGGCCATAGAAGGCTCTTCCTATGAGCCTGCTATTGAGATGTCCTCGGCTCTGTTCACCGATGCTCTTCAAGGCTTGAGGTATCTGCAGACATATGACTGGCTCTTTCTTCGTGCTTTGATCACACTGGGATATCTGGGCTGGATCACCTACGCCATCACCACGGTTATTGACTTGCATGTTCTTCATGGAGCTGTACCTGACAGTCGAACGACTGGGTCGACCATGGCCTTTTCTTCTATACTTGTTTCGTTATACTCATTCTTCATTGTCGAAAAGTCCCCCCTCACCTATTACGGATATGCCTTCTTCCCCGTCTTCTTCTGGGAAGAGATATTTGCGAGAAGAAAAGCATTCATCTCTGGATCGCAGGTTCTGCTTGGTCATATTCAAGGAGTTTCGGCATACACAAGCTTGATGATCCAATCCATTGTATACTTGGTCATCATCGAGGGATTTGTGAGTTTTGTCATCCTTTGAAACGTTGATTAGCTGTCTAACTATCGCAGGTACAATCATACTTTCATCGGTGGATTCTCAGCATTTGTTACGTTCTTGGGGCGGCTTTCCCTGCCATGTATGGCGCAGACTTTGTCACAAAGAATAAAAGCCTCATTCTTTCATGGGCGACAGGGTGCCTTGTTTTGAGCACTTTCACCTTGCTACCAGTAGTCAAAGTCGAGGACTCAACGACCATCACGGTGGGTGGGCTTCTGATGTTGGGCGCTGGCCTTGCCTATCTCTACTATGAGCACGACATCAATACACAGTCCCGGTCCAAGGGATCGGATTCCGGACCCAATCTGTTAGCTCGGACCCTTATGGGACTTCAACTGGGTGTCATCCTGCTCACCATCATTGTCACGCGTTCGAGCGTTGCATCACTTCAAGCAAAGCAAGGCTTACCCCTCGGTAACCAGGTTGTAAGCTGGCTTTGTCTGGTTGGCTCGATCGTGCTGCCATTCGTCCATCGGCTGTCACCAAACAAGCACTACCTCCATCGGCTGGTCATCATCTTCCTCACATTTTCACCATCTTTTGTCCTTCTCACGATCTCATACGAAGGCCTCTTTTACTTCGCATTCTGTTTCACGCTCCTCGCGTGGGTCCGCCTTGAGCACGCGGTTCAAGTCCACAACGTATCTCAGCAACCTTCCTCGACGTCGATGACATCGGCAAACGGTGTGACCATCACATCCACATCGTCAGGATCCACCAATCTGCATCCGGAAACGACCTTCCGTACGCTCGCACTACCCGATTTTCGTCGAGCATTGTTTTTCCTCTTCTTTCTGCAGTCCGGATTCTTCTCGACCGGCAACATCGCGTCGATATCCACGTTCAGTCTCGACGCGGTATATCGCCTCATACCTATTTTCGACCCGTTCTCGCAAGGAGCACTGTTGATGTTTAAGATTGTAGTTCCGTTCGCCATCATCTCTGCGGCGCTGGGCATCCTTAATCGACGTCTCGGTCTGCAATCGTCGGCACTGTTCATGGTTGTCATGTCACTGAGCGACTTCATGACGCTGAATTTCTTCTGGATGGTTAGGGACGAAGGGAGCTGGTTGGAGATTGGCACGACTATCAGTCATTTCGTGATAGGAAGTCTGATGTGTGTATTTGTGGCCGGGCTAGAAGGCGTAAGTCAGGCGCTCATCAGTGGCGTCGAGGTCGATGCGTTTGAAGATAGGATCAAAGCTGCTGGCGGGTCCGAAACGTTCAAGGGGCGAGACGGGGATGAAAATGGGGCTGCCAATGGCACTGTCAAGAGTACTTCGGAAGAAAGGCCGGTGATCGACTGAGATCGAGACAGTGTAAGGGACTCAATTGTCTACACGAAAGTGGCTGCCGATTCCCCCTGTGGATAGTCCTTTGGATATGGCATGAAGGAATTGTACAAAATGCACAAACCAAGAGCGAGTAATAATAAGACATCCAAACAGAGCGAAACAGAGCATGGCCGTGAGTTCAGCATGTTGATCAATTATCTATCAAAGATCTGCCGACTATACCTAAGTCACTTTTAATTTTGACATCTCATTCAGATGCAAATGGACCACACGCCATGATAATACTGTGCAGTGTTGGTACGGTATATGTACCATAAGCTACTCAAAAGCCCACACACTCTGTCATCATCATGTCGTACACACACACATAAACCACCATTTGCCTCTCATTCAAGACTCAAGGTGTCAAGTTTTAGTACTGACGGTCGCTCGCAGCACCTCGGTCCGGTACTCCTGTTGTTCCGTAGGTGTTGTGATCTGGAGTATGTTTCTTGACCTTGTCACCCTCGGCCGCAACCTCCTCCGCGCTTGCAGGCACTTTGCTTTCAGCGCCCGCGAGCGTAGCGTTGTGATCTTGCTCCGGATTGGGGCCCTTGGGGTGGTCATCCGTTTGCAGTCGTCGGAATTCGGTATTGGTATCGCCTGGGTACAAACCACTACCTCCTGTGGCACCGGCACCTTCAATACCGGGGGTGTCCCTTTTGCGGCCGTGTTGGCCGTCATGTCGGAGCTCATTTGAGGTCTGGCCTTGACCGGGATGGCCGAGACCGGTGTGCACGTCCGCGGAGGTGGCGCCGGGGAGGGTGCTTAGTGCGTCGGTTTTGACGCCTTCCTTGCCATGTGAACGCTCGACGTCGGGGTTGTTGGCTTGGCCGGGGACTTCGTTGACTGGGTTGGGTTGGAAGGTCGACTCCTTGGGAGCAGTGCCTGGTGGTAGAGTCTTTGCGGAGAATTCAGGTGCGTTATCAGCCGGGCTGACCTTCTGGCCGATTTGGTGCTATTCAAATGTTAGAGACTTGTAGGATACACCTGCTGGATCGAGATTGAGACTCACACCAGACTTTTCGAGGGGTTCAGAGCCGGGCTGGCGAGGATGGAACTCGCCCTGGGCGTTGGTTAGGGAGTCTGGGTTCTTTGCGGCCATTTTGACTGGGGGTAGTAGTACAGGATGAGTGGTTTGGTAAGTCAATCTTCACTGGTTTCTGACAATATGAAGAAAGAGAAGAAGGACCGGGAGCATTGGGATCAAAAATGATCGTGTGCAGTACCTACAGATGGTTTACGTCACTGCTGGAGAAGGTCAACCTCATTGCCACAAAGTTTTGCATATACGTAACTGCAGGTGTACATTCGTATCTGCTGGAGTAAAGCATGACTTCATGTTGCCTGATGTAAAGAAGATGAACCTGTGAGAAGAAGTAAATCGAAGCCTGATGATGCCACGGATTTATAGAACGAACCAATTGGATAACAGTATTTGCGGAGCCTTGCGAGGAGTGACTAGGGGGGCTTTCGGAGTGTCTGGCAGCCCTTCCATTGACAACAAGGCACTGGTGCGAGCAAAAGAACCAAGCACTGTTATGTATGATAGTTGGGCTCTGAGCAGGACGTGTCTGGACTTTCTTATACTGTGTATCAAGCCTCGCATGAAGCGGGCGTTGAAAGGTGGGAGGACAATCGACGCCTGTGGTACAACGGAATACATCCGGCAGGTATGACATCAATGGTGTACATAGTCCAGTAGGTATAAAATGCTCATCTCTACTGCATTGTGCACTGCTCACTCAAGTTGACCTTGTATCAATCCACTCAGAAGTTACTAGACTACTTCCGTACTCGACGGACGAGAAAATGTCTGATATCAAGTCCAAAGGCGGAGCCACCATCGAGGAAGGCGACACTGTTTCTACACCGGTAGGTTGCCAATATCTGCAGTGATCTATCAGGTATTGACAGTCCATGCAGTATCGAGGAGGCAAGCATGAAGGCAAGGTGAGCAGCCACGAGTCACTCTGGGCCTTTCGTGATATGCTGATATGCGGGTCATCAGGTCGAGCAAATTGTTACCGACGACAAGGAGGCACAGAATTTAGGTGCCAAAGGAACCAACCATGCTCCTGCCGTGGTTTTCACCGATCAGAATAATAAAAAGGTCGCGCATAAGCCTGGTACAGTCACTGATCTGGACAAGGAGTCTTGATTGATAGTATGTCACTGCAGGGTCATGTGCTCATGTGAATCAGCCTGCCCTGGATATCAATCAACACTGGCAGCCATTGGCAATACTTCTCGACCATCCTCCACCTCGTCGATCTCCCTGTCGACCTCTATATCAAACTATTCCCTATTTGGCAATAGAGATCATGAAACCATCATAGTTCTTAACAGATACAGTCTGCATCACCACAGCATCGACGTTCTCTTTCTTCCCCACAGCCTCAATCAGGGCTCGTGTCCCCGCAATACGATCCTCCTTAGCATAAGCCTCGTCGACCAAATGGCCACGTCTGACCACATTGTCCACGTAGATACATGTCCTGGGCTTGACCATTTGCAGGGCCAGGTCAAAATATGCCAAGTTGTTCTGTTTATCGGCGTCGATAAAGACAAAGTCGAACGGTGGACGTTTGCCAGCTTTCACCTCCTCAACCAGCGTTGGAAGGACATCAACACCTCGACCAAGCAGTACCTCGATCTGGCCGCTAAGACCAGCACGAGCAATGTTCTCCTCCGCAACTTCTTTGTGATGGGCGTCGACCTCGATGCTTGTGATGTGCGTGTCGGGCCCAGCGCCGTAGGCCATCCAGATCGCAGAGTATCCTCCTAAAGTGCCCACCTCCAAGATGTTTTTGGCTCCAGTGATTTGGACTTGGATGGACAGGAATTTACCTTGGCCCGGGTACGAAGCGATGTCCGGAAGACCTTTGGCCAAAGAATTGGAGTAGGCGAACTCCAAGGCTTCGTGATGCGGATTTCGCTCAGGGGCGAGAAGGTGAGTAGCAGTGTATTCATCTACAGCCGCCCATCTGGGGTCCTGCTCGTAACGAGAGGGATCATTGAATTTTTGAACCATTTTGAATGAAGTGCGCTGTCGCTCGTTGCGTAAGATTAGACTTCCGTGGATGGTGAATGGTCTGGTAAGATATTATATAGTCAGTGAGGAGCTTACGCGTACTTGTCCACGACTTTTGCTTCGGCCTCGCTTCGTCTGGCGGCGAGTTCGGCCTTAATGTCTTGGTGGAGAGGGGTTGCAATCACTGCTGCAATGGTGTAGTCGCCGTCGTGACTTATGCTGACTTGTGCGACTTGCTCGGTGACTTGATGGTAAGAATCATCGTCTGGTTGGATGGCTGTGTCGCAGATGATATGCACGGCTCCTCCGATTTCGGTCTCGACCCTTAAATCGCGGAAGCTGAGTAGTGTGGCATCCCACGCCTTTTTGGCCGCTTCTTTGGCAGCCCATCGGCCAGCAAGCCAGGTTGCAACATGTCTCCGTTGGGACTCGAGCAGCAACTCTGGATTGCGCCAGTCGGGAAACCGGCGAGTGAGATCCTCGACTTCTTTGTCGTGCAGAAATCGCGCAGCTAATCTGGTCAGGCGTTTGCTATTGGGTTTGAGCCGGCAAAGAATGCGGTTGGTCGCAATAATGTCTGTCCCGATACGCAAAGCTAATGGGAAGGGAGCCCTCATTGGAACCAGAAACTCGTAAAAGGGCGATCTGCGGGATGCGAGTCCCAAATGCTTAACAGCACGCGAATTGTTGCCCAAATGACATGATTGGAGAGGCGGAGGAGGAAGGGGAGCAGAAGGACTGAGAAAGCATGGAGGGGAAAAGCAAATGTTGATTGTGGACGGGAGACGGCATGGCATCAAAAGTTGGAGAAAAGGCTACACAGCCTAGAGTTGCCGCATATGTCTCGTTACAAGAGTTGCTAAAGAATCAGATATTGCCCGTTCTTGGTCTGTCAAACCTTACTTCATCGACTACCTAGTTATTGGAAGGAAAGCCATCCATCGACACGCTGGCCCCGAGTTGAGTAACGAGATAGTATCGCGATATAGTAGAAAATCCACGCTCAACTCCGCATTGAGGGGGAATGCGGATTGATAATATAGTATAACCTGACTATACCTACAACAAATACTGCGTCTTCATCAAGCCATCCTAAGTATTCAAACCCTCAAACGCACGAGTCCAATTTAGTCAAGATGAAGCACGTCAAGTGTTCAGGAACACCTTACGAGGTAGGGCCGAGTCGACCAAAACCAAGTGCTTTGACTGACCAATATTTTCTAGATTGGCCAGCAGCACGGCCAAACTGCCAAAACCGAGGTTTACGGCAGCATCGCATTTTATGAGGCCTTCTTCAAAGAGAGAACCAACCTTTCGTGGTCGCAAGTCCAGGATGTATCGCGCGCGTTTCTCCCATTCCTGGACTCAACGTATCCGGAATATGTTGAGGAAATGAAAGGCGTGGCTGATGGCGCTGGGGTCGATCTCGATTCAATCGTCGCGCTCAATGTTCGCACTGAAATCGCGTACGGCATGTTGAGCGACGGCTGTACTGCTTTTACCTGGAAAACGTCAGACCAAAGCTTCATCGGCCAAAATTGGGACTGGCGCATTGAGCAGACTCCCAATATAATATCTCTCGCCATTCAGCAGCCTTCCAAGCCAACGATAACTATGATGACTGAAGGTGGTATCATTGGCAAGATCGGTCTCAACTCCGCCGGTGTTGGTGTCACTCTTAATGCAATTTCAGCACCGGGCGTGATTTATAACAAGCTTCCAGTCCATCTGGCTCTGCGAACAGTTCTCAACAGTACTTCGCGCGAAGAAGCAACCAGCTCTTTGCGAAAGTCCGGCATCGCGGCGGCCGGACACATCACCATTGCCGACGCAGCCACAGGCGCTGTCGGTTTGGAATGCACTGCCCTAGACATTGTGGAGATGCCCATGGATAACAAGGGTACATGTACTCACTCAAACCATCTTGTCAACCAGCACAAAGTGAAAGAGAATTCGATATTGACTGACTCTCCATTCCGCCTCGATCGTGTCCAGGAGCTGATCAAAGGCATTGAGGAACCGACGATACAGAATCTGAGTGAAATGTTGAAAGATGAGAAGAACTATCCGGCCGCCATCTGTCGAGCTGTGGGTGAGAAGAGTACGATAGCTACCTTGTTTTCAATCATCATGGACTTGAAGGCTGGTGTTGCGAAGGTCAAAATCGGTCGGCCAAACGAAGACGGAGAAGTATTCGAATTGAGACCGTAGATAGGCTTCATTTTTTGGACATTTTGATTGTGCTGCACTGGAAGATATCCCGACTCGACTTGATGCCGATGTGATTGTTTTCACCCTTCTACCTTATGTACAACTCGCAACTCGAAGTAGTCATGACCCATAATCGTCTAATGCGCTTCCTTCCCGGAGATCTTGTTTGCTTTGTCTTCTTGCTCAATCTGTTGCAAAAATTCCCTGTCAAGTTGTCAGACATACGGATCGAGATGTTTCGTGTTTGTTCCTTACTGAATGAACTTCTCCTCGTCCTTGCTACCAGCATTGATCGGGGGTGTTGTCTTCGACGCCGCACTGGGGCTCTTCAGTCTGAAGTATAACCAAGGTCCTCCAAAGGTTGTGCCGAGGGTGGCCATGGCCAGCTACGTCTTGTCAGCGTTCAAGATCCTTTTCCATACGGAATGTTGGGCCGCAAAAGAGTGTCTTGCCGGTCTCGATCCCATGGACGTACCCAGTGTGAAGGGATCTGGCGCCCTGCGATATTGTACATAGCAACCATCTTGACGGTTGAAGGGGGAGTGTTGCAAGAATGTCTGGTTGTTGGTTGCTACAAGTTGCCAGTGCCGTGAATTTTCAATTCCGAATGCGATTCATTCCGCAGCTTCAAGTTCAAAGGAAGCTGCACGTGACAAAGCGGCGGAGTATTGACGCTTGACAGTGAAATACTTCGAAGCATAGATATTGTACCTGTAGAATTAGGTACGACGATTTCCCGGGGAAGCATTCACGGTTCCGTCATATGGGGCTCATCGAGCCTCCGAGGCTCGCCGCGTTCTGGCAGGCCGCAAGCTGCAATTACTCGGTAAACCTTGCGCCTTGCAGGCTGGAAATGCCGCACTCAGATAAAAAGTAAGTGATTTCTCTGCGGCGGAAACTGCTACAGCACCGTCTACACCTGTTTCTTCCCTCCCTGCCCTCAACATGGCCGGCAAGAATCCAAACAACAACGAAAACCATGGCGTCCGCCCCAACGCCGCCTTCCCACGAGAACCCCTACCAAAAGACCTCCAGAAGATCATCGACAAGCAGGATGACTGGGTGGACGAATTGTACGAGGGTGCCACGCCCGACACGACCGACACCAGCGTGCGATACGCCGCCTATGCCAACCGTCTGCGTACCATTATGCTGAGCGCACACCGGTACGTCGCATACACGTCAGACATCGGCGAGTCGTTTCGACCGATCGCACACCCGTGGCTGGTAAGGAGCGCTTATGGCATATCATGGGCGTACATCCTAGGAGATGTCGGTAATGAAGGCTGGAGAGCGTACAAGCGGAATCAGAAATTGCTGCACCCAGACGGTGAAGAGTACCGTGACGCTAGCGGCAAAGCCACAGCAGTTGCAACTGCACCAGGAGCAGAGGTGCAACCAAAGCGGCCTGTCCACATTCCCGCCATCGAAGACTATCGGAGTGTAATGGCACAGCGAGCGGTGTTCCAGAGTCTTGCGTCCATGGGATTGCCGGCGTTCACCATTCACAGCGTCGTCAAGTACTCAGGCAAGGCGTTGCGAACGGCCAGTAACTCGACGATACGAACGTGGGGCCCTATCGGGGTAAGCTGAGGCTAACACTGGCATTTTCTCTCTTCATGAAAGCTAACTCGGATATAGCTCGGTCTGGCAGCTGTTCCAGCACTTCCTTACCTGTTTGACAAACCAGTAGAAGAGGCCGTTGAGTGGACTTTCTACCAGGTTTTCCGTGCCATTGGTGGGGAGAGCGCCGTGGGTGACCGACATTCTGTGGGCAGACAAGACGCCATCAAAGCCGAAGTCAAACTTCTCAAGGAGAAAAAGGAGTTATGATGCTTTTTACGACCTAGAAATGGCGTATGCGTTATGATATGTCATCCTCTCATGCACGACTACTGTACGTAATACCAGGAGCGCTTCTCACTTTCTATGATGAGACCGAAAATGTCAGATCTCGATTCTTGAAACCTCAAAAAGTAATTCAACGGTCCCTTGCCTTTCTATGCATCTATGTCGTTGGATCTCACAGCTTCCTGGTGGTGATAGACATATCGCGTAGATAGATTCATTTGCGCACGACGGGCTCCTTCGGTCAGACAAGGACACTTTGCTGGGAAATGGCTTGACACTCCGACTCCTGTGGAAGAATTCCATTGGAAAGTACCTTGATACAATGCCGGCATACTCTCGTTATTGTGTTCCGAGTGCACAAGACGAGTCATATTGTCTTGCAAGATGTTCTGTTGCTCTGGACTCGATAATCAGCCTCGCCAGTTGCCGACATCGGCTTCTTTTGGTGCGTCACTAACCGAACGAACGGGTGAAGTTGATTATGGTTTACGCACCTTCCAACAATTAAGAAACTCAGACAGCACATACGATAATCACGTTGAATGACATTGGCCGTTCCCTGACCTCGCCGTCGACGACCGCAGTTCCCACAGTCAGGAACACAGTCCCTCCTGTATTGACACGAGGACTTCAATGCACTCCACGCGTGAAGCTGCGTTTCCTTCATTATGCCTACTATTGAGCCCGGACGCGCCAACGAGGCATCCTCGGAGACCGTGGCGACACCTCCTGCCGTCTCCTTGAGTCAGACTCAGCTGCCTCTTCCTTCAGCAGTTCGAGATTCGCCGTTAAATCCCGAGAAAGTGTCGCAATGGAATACCGCAAATATGGGAAAGAGACTGGGCGCGGACTTGACCTCTGCGGCAAGTGCAGCAGGTCTGGTCGCGCCAGTGATATGTATCATAGATCGGTATGTCTCCAGAGACCATCCCGGTGAGACATCTACAACAATATAGCGGACACTGGATCTCGCTCCAGTGTCGTCCTTCACGCCGGGTGGACCTTCACCTACACAACCTCAGAATGCTGATTGAAAGCAGCTCCATAGTGGAAAAGGCCTCGAAAGGAGCTTCACTATCGTCCTGTCTTCTTCGCGCTTTACGTCCAGCAATCATTCGCCCTCATACCTTCCTCATCTCCAGACCGTTTCTCCTAATCTTTGGCCTCTACTCTTGCACCTACATTGCAGCCAACACCGTTGACACACTCATGTCAACACTGTACTCCAAGCCAGCATCCACTGTCTCTTCCGGAGCCACAAAGTTCCTCGCCACATCTTCTGTGAACATGAGCGGGTCCATCTACAAGGACTCTAACTTCGCTCGAATGTTTGGCGCCAAATCTGCAGGTCCTGCAGCGGCTGTGCCAAAACTCTCCTACGCCTTGTTCGCTATGCGAGATAGCATGACCATTTTCGCCTCGTTCAACTTACCTTCGATCATCGTACCCCAGCTTGCCAACCTTCCTCCAGCGGTGAAGTCGAAGTTCTCGAAGATACTCAGTACGGAATCCGGACGGGCTAATACGGCACAATTCTTGGCACCAGCGGGGATTCAGTTGCTGTCCACACCTCTTCATCTCCTCGGCTTAGATCTATACAACAGACAAGGCGGCATGGGCTTGGTCGACCGGGCTCCTAGAATCCTCAGAGATTGGGGCGTCAGTGCCCTGGCCAGGATGGGAAGAATCATTGTAAGTCATCACTAGTCAGTGCTTGGTATATTGCTGCTTTGACTGACCTCATTGTCTACAGCCTGCTTTCGGAGTTGGTGGCGTCGTTAATGCCAATGTACGCAAAAGATTCATGACACAAATCGAGGCGTCCTGAGACTATTATGAACATGGGCGTTTATGGTAAGCCGATAATACAGCTCGAAATGGCCTTGACTTCTGCATAGAGAGATGGCAAATACCGGCGTTGATTTGTGTGTATGATTTTCTTTGGATTTGAACATAGTCGATCTGGTAGAAAGAGCAAGGCGTTCAGGGCAGGTGTAAGCATGGTCTCTGTACATATGCATTCAACATACTGGGCAGGATTGTACGTCTTCATTGTCTTTGTCCAATGTTACAAGCTTCAGCAATGCAACCTCCCCTTGAGCAAATGCAATCCAACCGCCCTCCTCCAACTCTCATCCCACCAACCCACAGGAAAGAAGCTATTCGCAAACCACGTCCTCCAAGCCCCAGTTCCCCTCCATACCTCCTTCGGCGGGTTGTTCCAATTCCGCACGATATCTCTCACAACATCCTTCGCCCACTTCTCCGGATCCTCACGGTGAGGAAAGGCACCACGCATAGCACTCTCCGTCTCGTCCTTAACAGGCTGATATATCGACGTAGAAGGCAGACTGGCATTGCCCGCCTGATGATTCGCATGGAACTTCGAGTGCACACAGCCCGTCTTGAGGTCCACGACACGCACGTTGAACGGCGCCAGTTCGATTCGCATGTGTGTGCTGAACATTGCAGCCGCGGCCTTGGAGGCGTGGTACACTGAGTTATGTGGCGTGGGTTCCACGGACGATACGGATGTGTTGTTTATGATTAGGCTTGGACTGAACTTTGCGCTTGTACCTTTGGTGGCACTTTGCAAGAGTAGTGGCAGGAAAGCCTTTGTGACGCTGATGTAGGACCATACGTTCAGGTCGAACAGGGCTTTTGCTTCGTCGACCGCAATGTCTGAGACGGGCATATTGTATCCTTCACACATCATATGTTAGTACTCAGTCAATCTCATATCTTGTGTATTGCTCAGTGCTTGAAATTTCGCGAGTGGTATCTGTGCTAGTCGCTCCACATGCTGCCGTAAACCTTCGTATGCTGCCAGCGCCGTGCCCGACCTCGCACACCGACGGAGTGATAGGGAGGAGAACGGGCCAGGTACTGAAAGTGCGTGATTACCACCGCTGAAGCGACGCAACGTAGCTTTCACGGAGGGAAGAACATGCACAACAGTAAAAGAAACGTACCTCCACCTGCATTGTTGGCCAGGCAATCCAACCCCCCCTCAGTCAACCTCTTGATCTCCTCGACACATTCTAGAATCGACTCCTCATCGCAAACATCAAGTTTTAAACACTCGATGCCCAGATCTTTCAGCCCAGACATTCGCGTGGGGTCCCTCGCCGTAGCGAAGACACGGAGGCCAGCATTGTGGAAAGCCACTGCCATAGCATACCCTAGGCCATTCTGAGAGCAGCCCGTTATGAGGACACTGCGGCGTTGGTCCGCCACTGTCGACATGGTTCCAAGGATATGTCTTCTTATTAGCTACCTAAAGGATTGGGATGTCGTCGTCGTCGCAGGAAAAAAAATACTACAGATATCCCATCCCGATTAGGAAGGTCATTAAAGCCTGCCCCATCATGGGGCATAGGACTCAATGCCTTGAGAAGACATAGTCCGGAAACCTTTGAGATGAGCAACGGCTGAGATACAGATGAGAGGTGACTAACATTCTCAAAGACGCTATGACTACAATCCTTATGCTCCCGTACGCCAAACGTCAATCATGCCAACCAGCTGTGGCTCGTATATCTCTTCAAACATCACCATAACACACATAGTCTCATCTCGAGCTCTCCGTACTGAAGATTCCGGGTCGTTGACCAGTCATAACTATCCTCTTTCCTGGCCCTTGAACTTTGGCATCATCAATTCCATTCTGCTTTTGCGTCTGGGCACCCATTCCCTCAGCAATAAAACCGATCGCATACGCACCACCACCAAGTGCTGCAATTGTAAGGACAGTGCGTCTAAGTCCGCGAGTGATCTTCTGCCAGAGATTGTTGTCCGTTCCAGCGGAACCATTTGCCTCGCTCCGCGCATCCGAAGAACCTTCGTACTCACTGCTAGATGATGATGCTGCACTGGGGCGGAGCGTGCCAGAGAACACACTTTCCTGTCTTCTCACTTTCAACGGATTATCATTGGTCGTAGTCAGCCGAGACGGTGGTGCGGTAGCTGCTGCTGGTTCCTGGACTGTTTCGACCTTTGTAGGAATCTGGTTCGTTACTGCAGCTGCTTCTTTGTCCTGTGGTTTATGAGTAACGTCGACATTGGCCTGCGAAGTTGCAGGAGATATGGTGGTGGCCGTGTTGGCGGCAGCGGCAGCAGATCTCAAGCCAGGCAAAGTCTCTGGCTGCTTCTTCTTAAAGATGAGCATGTCTTCGCTGCCATTGAAAAGCGAGTATCCCGCCCTCCTGAGCGTTTCGAAGTGTTTGAGAAACTCTGGTGCGTGGTTGAGCCTTGATAAGATCCCTACGGCATCGGCAGACTTGCTCGCCTGTTTGGCAGGCTCATTCATTGGTGAGATCTCGACTTTCCCTGCCGCGGCATCGTAAGCCAAGATAACGTACGCGGAATCAAACTTCTTCCTTCTCAAGCTTTCGATAGAGGGAGGCTGTTCATCGTTCCATTCTGGTGATCCGTCAGGTGTGAATACCGGTTCTGGTACCGACTTCTCTGCTTCTTGTCTGATGGACTCCCGGGTAGAGCCGTCCTTTTCAGCCGTTCCAGTGAGTGCGCTCTTGTCAGAGGCTCCCGCAGTGCCAGCTGGGGTCACTGAAGCTTCATCTGCTCTCAGGTCAATTCTTTTCCTGCCAAAGTTCGAACAAGCCGCGATCGGAGCGTTCCACACTGTCTCTGGTCTTCCTGTTTCTATGGCTCGAATTGCTTGCTTTACTTCGTGAAGCTCTCTTCTGACCTCCTTGGTCCCGTCAAGTACCGCTCCCAAGCTCGTCGATGATGCCTGATAACGACTGCGAAATGCCTCCATTTCGGACTGAGATTCTGAGACTGCCTTACGTATCTGCTTGGCTTTGTCCACGAGCTCTGCAAACGTGGGCTCAAACTCACGGACGTGCTTGTTGATTGCATGGTTCGTTATGACACCAGGTTTGACGCTGGCACTGAGCAGAGGATGGGGCTTGTTGCTAGGAGCATTGGCCGGAGTCGAGGAGGACAACGTGCTTTCAAGACCGTCAATGGCCTTGGCTGGTTGGCGGTGATTAATGTCGATTGGTCCATACTCGCTCTCGTACACCGTTTTGATCTCTTGGGAGAGTCGTGATAGTTGAGCGTTCGTCTGCTCAGATTCCTGCCGCACTTTATGATTTGCTTCTTTCAACGCTGCCAGTCTGAGCTCCCGTTGTTCCTCGGCTCTGAAAACCTCTGGTGAAGGCGTGAATGGTTTAGTCCTTGGTATCGCCACTTTATCTTTGTAGATGGAAGCCACTTTGCTCAATGACGGATCCTTGAAGACAAGCTTCTCAGTCAAGCCTTTATCGGGTCGCAGATACTTCTTGTAATTGCTGTTGAACGCTTCCATAGACTTCATCGTCTTCGCAACTATACCGTTGGGATATTCACGAACGTGATCCCACACAGTGTTGAGACCTTGAGCCAATTTGTCTGTGGTTGATGGGGTACTTGCCATCGTGGGTTCAGTTTTCTCTTCCTGTCGTGCCACAAAGTCTGCTTCAAGCCTCTCTCTGGCATCCTTCTTTGCACTATCTTTCTCCTGCTTCGTGCGTCTCGCAGATCTTGTGGCTGCGCGTACGTCGCTCGCCCTTAGGAGATCGATGTCCTCCTCGGTTGCGGAAATAGGCGCTGCGAAGACCTTTGCTTCTTGTGGCTCCCGTTCACTCTCTGCTGCCGAGTGCTTGGTGTTGCTGCGGCGGTCGAGGGAAGTTTCTAGTCTGAACAGCGCATCTGCCGACTCATTGCTAGGTTTCGCCTGTATTCGATCAAGCGCAGGCTGGAGCCTATCGGCGGACGTTTCGACGGAGCGGCCCTTAGACATTTGATCTTCACGTTTCAGGCTTTGATATGTACCAGTCACAGCTTGGAATCCAGCATACTTCTTGACTGGGATATCGCCAACGTTCTTGGATTGCGTGGAGTCAGCATCATCATTGTGGGACCGGAAGCCTTCCTTCACAAGCCAGTCTTGTTTTCCAGACTCTGTCATTTTGCTGTCTTTGCTTCGGGCTTCGTATGTAGTGCCTGAGAACAGTGGAATAGTGTCATCGAACTCTGGGAATTCACGGAATTTCTTCGTAAAAACGTCATTCTGGCCGTCTACATCTGCTGTCTGCTTCGAAGCTGTCTCAGTGAATTGAGCTGTGGTATCGATGTTGTTGCCCTTGACTCGAGCCATACGATCAAGAAGATCTCGTCTTGTCGAGCTGTTGAAGCCTCTATCAGCGGTTGTTGACGTCGCCTTCGCCTCGGTTGTTTCGACGTTTTTCTCTGGTGCGCCATATCCGTATACCTTGTGCGGCTTATATGTCTTGATCGGAATATCAACGCCGTGTTCCGAGAACAAAGTTTCTAGGAATGGCTTCTTCGTTTCATCTACGGCTCTGGACTTCGTGATCTGAGATGGCTCCATAGGCTTCCTCACCTCCCTTACAACGTCCGGCTTTTTGACGGGTACCTTTCTCATCGAGATTGGGTCGAACTCATACTCTTCTCCTGAGACAGAATCCGCCGGCCTCGTGTCAGTAGTGGCGGCAAATGATGTGATATGATCCGTGGGCACGTGCTGAATGTCCTTGGATGGACCTGATACCTTGTTAGAGTCCTGCCTAGCATGGACATTAGTGCTCGACGTGTGGCTGTCCTGCGCCGGCTCTGGTTTGGTAGGACTTGGAGCTTCTTGTGCTCGGTGAGCATCAGAACCGGACGCCCAGAAGGAAGTCCAAGACCGCTGGTGATCATCGCTTGCAGGCCGGTTTCCATAGCGTTTACCGAAGAGGGCGCCATAGGGATCTTCTGCAATGGCACGGTCGACGGCTGCTTTGAACGAATTCAAATCGTGCAGCACGGAGTTGCGGAGCCCACCGTCTCTAGCACGTTCATTCTGAGTTGCTTCCTCTTTGGGGTCTACTTCCGAGGAGGATGGCTTGTAATCACAGTACCGAGTCCGCAAGTATCGGCCCGACGGACGCCAGGGCGCAAGGGGACTGTCCTCTCTCTCCCAAAGAGCCTTTCTCCTTAATGATTTTGAGTATCTGGCTCTGATGATCTTTTCATGTCTTCGTAGCCGTTCTTCGAGGTTCTCGTCCGGAGAGGCCTCGCTCCAATGTCGACTCCACCACCACAGGGTCCTAGTTTGAAGGGTATGAGAGCGGTCGGCTCGATATATGGTACTTCGCAAAGTCAGGGATCCCTTGCCAGGCATGGTGCCAAAGTGGTAGGTCGGCATTGACGGTACCGGCATCTTGGACGATATGCTGATCACTCTGAGCAGTCGCCTTAGGAGCGTGGTCCTTTGACCAGTAGGTGACAAGCAGTGCTAGCAAGCACGAGGTCAGACAGCCACACAGAGATTTGAATTTATTGAGTTCCTGGTTGAACGGATGCTTAGAGTATCAAGTTCGGTAGGTGTCATCGATAAGGAAGTAGAGGGCCGTAGTGTTACGAAGGGAGGCATCCGGCGTGAACAAGATAGGCCGCAGGTTGCAGAAGGCTATCGCCAGGGGGGAGGTTCCTACGCACCCCAAGGGTGCATGTAGTGAGTTAGTCGGATGAGGTTCAAAATCCCAAGATGACAAGAGTTTGATGAACTTCACAGCCAGCACGCAAGTGCAGGCAATCATAGATGACCAATTGAACTGAGCCAGGCTGCCAGCGGTGTATGACAACGAGACGACCTCGAAGGAGGGGTAACTTCAGATAACAGATAAGCGATCAATAACGCGGAGAAATCGCGACGCGTCGGCGTCTTTAATCAAGGTGTTTATTCAGAAGGGCGGCTCATAAGAGTTACAATTCCACCCACAACCACCTTCGACACCAAGTTATGCATGCAACGAGGCGTCGCATCCTTTGACGCAGAGCCCTATAGTACAAAATGATTAAAGTTCCTCGATCGCGCAAACGTTTCACTCCTCGGCCCGTCTTTTCGTCAAGGTATCTACAACCCGTCCATAGAACTTCGCCGCGTTCTGTCGTGCAAATGTGATATCCTCTGTCAGATAACTCGGCATGAGTGCTATCATGTCGCGATCACGGTTGCTGTCCAGCAGAGGCGTATAAAGAAACTCTGTTTCTTCAAAGCTGGTATTCCTCATCTCTTCATGGTCGACGAAGAGCTTAAAATGTAATGCTAAATTGGTGTTAATCGAGCAGAATCAATCAGAAATCAGCTGATACTCACTGCCGTTCCGTCCAGTCTGGATGCAATCGTAAGTATCGCCTTCCTCGGTCCTCTTCACACTGCGAATGATGAGGCCTGTTAGATCGCTGTACAGTTCCTCCTTCATCTGCGCATACTGTGCCGCTTGCGCCGCTTCAGAACTCCCAATCATGGCCTGCCGTAGCGTGTTTGATTTAACGGCGCTTGCTGGTTGCTTTGAGGCCACTGCTTCCACGGATGGTGCTCTTGCAGCTGCCAGTTTCGCTTGCAGGGCCTTGATCTCGTTCTGGGCGATGGCTAGAGACTTCTCGAGCTCTGTTGTAGTATCACGCATTCGAATCATCTCCACTTCTTGGGTCTGAACATGCTTCTTCAGCTTCCGAGCTTCTTGCGCGACGGGAATCTGGGTGGCCAGCTCCTTTCTCAGGGATGCTATCAGATCGTTGGAAGCTTGCATGGTTACATCACACTGCTTGCGAAGCTTGTGCATATTGGCGTTTGCTTCGTATATGCCCACTTCTTTCAGATTGCGGTACTTCAGGTCGACATTCTCGAACTTCCGAGTAATGTCTCCCAATTTGCGCCGCAGGTTCGGATCTCCCCTCTCGGCATCGGACGCGCTTCCTGCGCGATGCCTGTATCCCTGTCTCACACGAGAAGGATTCCTAGCAGCGGCTTTTGGTTTCGTGACTGGTGCATGAAGCGCAATTTCAGAAGTCTCTTCATTGTCAATGGCTGTGTCCTCGTGGCTTTCCGTTCGAGGCTGCTCGGCTTCTCGTGAAACAATCGCTTTCGAGACACCCGCACCTTTTTTCGACATTCTGTGCTCCATGTTCTCCTCATTTGTTGATTGTTCGCCGTGCGCGCTCGAAGTGACTGGAGCGACCGGCACATCGTCGTTCACCGGGGCTGATTCTTGTGTGACCGGAGTCTTCTTGCTCACTTTGGCTTTTCCTGTAGTGCGTGCACGTTTCTTCGGCCTCGTCTCCGCCGGCGCATCGTTGACTTCAGACCTCTGCGCATCGTGGTTGTTGTTGTTAGCATTCGAGGGATCATCATGGCTGTCTGGAGCAGTGCGCTTTGCGCCGGCGGTGAATTTCGACGAAGGAGGTTTGCTTTGCGATGAGGCTGGCTTCTGGACTTTCGGTTTCGACTTTGCAGGCATTGTGACTTTTGTTCGCTTCTTGCCTTTCTTTGCCTGTGCGACTTTGGGAGCCGTCGCGTCCGACGCGGAAGAAAGGATGGAGTTTTCGTCAATGAAGTTGGTTGTTTCCTCCATATCGGAATCGAGCAGATCCGCGATTCCCTTCATTGTTTGTGAGAATAATGTGTACAATTGTGGGCTCGAGAATGGTGGCTCTTGATAGTCGTGAAGGAGACTAATTGGTTTGTGATCCGCGAATGTAAACAAAGGTCGAGCCTTAGCCTCGGTGACGCGGGACGATCCAAGTGTCGTGTCGGCTTGAGCCAGAAAAAGTGGCACTGTCTGACCGCGGTCGCACCTTACGTTCAAATGGATACCATTCTCTATTGTTATCCGGGAGTCCTGCGTACACAGCATGATAGTTTTGGTCTCTGCCATATAGTTCTACTAGGTTGGAGTCATAACACACGCCTTCTTCAACCCAGCTGCACCTTGATATTATATCGTCGATGTACTTACAACGGTGCCAGGTTTCCCGGAAACAGCCTTGACACTGGCACTGTTTGACCGCTATACATCCTCAGATCCATATCGATATCATTCCTTATTGTCTTTCCAGAGTCCTTTGCACACAACGACATAGCGTTAGTCTCTCTGACAATCGAAGGTCATTACGTCTATCGTATGATTTTACTACCTTCAAGCCTGTGGGTACGCTTTCGCGAGCGTGTTGGAACTCGTCCTTATGTCGTCGATGGACTCCGAGTTCAACGATGCCACTTCTTCTAGGGATAGACTCGGCTTCTCAGATTCATTTCGATATTGGCCTCATTGTCATTCCAGTGCCCTTCGCACACAGCGATAGCGCGTTAATATCTGAAAGGGCGATAGCCATCACTTCTATCGTAGAGGTCTACTACTTCATGCTTGGAGGTACGCTTTCGCGAGTCTATTGGATCTTGTACTTATATTGTCGATGAACTCCCTGTTGAATGGTGACTCTTTTCTTAAGATGAGAGTTGGATCCTCAGGTTTAGATAAAGTGTCGTACCTTATTGTCAGTCTGGAGTCCTTCGCACACAATGCTATATCTCCAGGTCTTGACGGGGCTGAAAGCCACCGGGTCTATCGTGTACCCTTCCCGTCTTGCGTTCAAGTTGCTCGCGGTTGTAGTTTTGCTTCGGTTCGAACGTATGTTGTCGATATTCGCCTTGTCAGAAGGTGCTACTTCTCCTGTAAATAACCTCGTTGTCCGCCTAGAGGGTGCCGCTTCCAACGGTATAAGTGGAACTCTCAAGGTTTGACGGGTCGCTTTTTGATAACGATCCGTGCGATAGGCTAGTGGCCGTTCATATAGGCGGTAGGAAAAACAACGTTACATATACTAATATCAGAGATTTTCCATCAACAATTGTCTCACGACAATCGGACGGAGAGATGGCCGAGGTAAACATATCACAAACGTGTTTCCCTCAACACCTTTCTAACAATTTATCCAGTTGGTTATGGCGTCAGGTTAAGGCTTCCAAGTCTTAGCACTTAAGAATCCAGCAATGGATTGACGTTTCCTGATGGGAGTATTGTAAGTTCTTTATCTTCGTCTCAATGTACTCTCTTACTGACGTCAATTTCTAGCCCGCGTGGGTTCGAATCCCACTCTCTTCAACTCACCTCACATTCTGATGAGGTGATATCTTTTTTGAAGATGAGTTGACCTGGAAAGGGGTTCTGAAGTCACGTTGTTTTTTGGACCTTTCACTTGTCACATGTGGCCGACCGAGGCTTGGCATCTGGGTGGATACGGATAGGCGATAATCTGCTATGCCTGCGCAGGCCGCTTTGAGTATACTAGTATCTGTCCATCACAGACACCAAATGATACCAACTGCTTGCGCACTGCTATAGAACACATCAACATGGCTCCTGATAGAGGCGCAACTATCTGGTGGCACCGCTTGCTACAAGAGCTCGCCGTCACAGCCCCTTTGGTATGCGCCACGTTCCCTGCATCCTGATGACATCTAACATGGACAGGCTCTTGGGGGATACTACCTCGTCAGATACATCCTGAAACAGATGAACTTCGATCCGGAGGCCGACCAGAAAGAGCAAAACAGATTACGGTCGGCGGCAATTCTGCGACGACTCGATCAACCGGAGACCGACATCCTCAGTTTGCCTCTAGACAGGCAGAGACCTTTGAAAGAACAACTGAATTTGACGAGCTATGAACAAGTCATTCTACAAGATTTGGTGTTTCCTGAGGATATCCCTGTATCTTTCGACGACATTGGTGGCTTGACAGATATCATTGAAGAACTAAGGGAATCTGTGATATATCCTCTCACAATGCCCGAACTCTACTCAACATCATCGTCCCTACTTACAGCACCTTCCGGAGTACTGCTCTATGGCCAACCTGGCTGTGGAAAAACAATGCTTGCCAAAGCGCTGGCTCACGAGAGCGGCGCATGTTTTATAAACCTTCACATCTCAACACTCACCGAAAAATGGTTCGGCGATTCGAACAAACTTGTCAACGCTGTCTTCTCCCTGGCCCGTAAATTGGAGCCAGCCATCGTCTTCATTGATGAGATTGATGCTGTGCTAGGAACGCGTCACAGTGGCGAGCATGAGGCGAGTGGGATGGTAAAGGCAGAATTCATGACACATTGGGATGGGTTGGCATCCGCAAGCTCATCCGGTCGACCTCAACGCATTCTAGTCCTTGGTGCCACCAATCGTATGCAGGACATTGATGATGCGATACTACGACGGATGCCCAAAAAGTTCCCCATTTCTTTACCAAACGCCTCCCAGCGGTTAAAGATTCTCAAACTCATACTCAGGGAGACCAAGGTGGACAAGGAGCAACTCGACATGGAGTATCTCTCCAGAGTGATGGCCGGAATGTCGGGGAGCGAGATCAAAGAAGCTTGTAGGGAAGCTGCGATGGCTCCCGTACGAGAGATGATTCAGCGTCAAAGGGAGAGTGGGCAACGTATGGAAAACATGAAGCCTGGCGAGGTTCGCGGTCTTAGAACATCCGACTTCTTTGCACGTACAATGGCATCAAAACCAGCTAAAGGTGCGATAGACGAGCAAGAGGGCCGAGAATGGAGTACCGAACCATCGTCTCCTGGAGGTGACTCGGATATGATGGAGGAAGCAGTGGAAGAAATCAAACAATAGTACTTATGTATGAGGTGCCCGTGAAGAGGCAACTCAATGCTATGGATTCCTGAAAACAGCTGATATGAAGGCACGCAAAGGGCCATCTAATGTTGTGTAACGCTCTCATACGGGCAATAAGCAAACCTTTGCGCGATGCGGGATTGGCTTTAGAAAGTGGAAGAGATGGCACATGGCATGCCTTTCTCGGACAGTGATCATAACTACGGAGGTACGAAAAACGAGTCGAGTAGGAGAGGTAACAGACAAGGAATCCCGGCCAAAGTCATTTCAGAATTGCTGTGGTAGGCGCTGGATGCTGCTTAGGTTGCGCGCACATGATGCCCCGGACTGACTGCAGGATCCCCACAAGTCTAATGAAGCTTAGGCGCTTTAAGCCAACTCTCCACGACCAGAGACGCCTGGCTGGTGGTTGCAAAGTGTGCAGTCCAGCACGGCTAAGCAACCCTGATCGCAGATCAAAACTCCCATCTGGTGATCCGCACCTTGCCATTTCTACAGACTTTCATTGTCGTCGCCGCCAACTTCTTTATTCCTCCGGCTTAAAGCAAAATGCACCTTTGGCTCTGCCGAGTCCAGCGACCAAGCCATTGACTGCCTTCCTAAACTCACGTCAAATAAAAGCGTTCCTCAGTGCAGCCATGCCCGACCTAAGCCCGCAATCCGAGGCGCAGTCTTCGTCCACTCCAGCTCAAGGGCAGGCTTCGAATTTACAACCAGGAACGACAAAAGCGCCGGACAATCAGACTCCAGGACATCCAAGCTTTAGAAGGTACCTCTTGCAAACCCAGGCTCCCTTTTTTTCACCGTCTAACACGATGGAAATAGGCAGCGCGCATCTCGAGCATGTGGTAAGCTTCCCAATTCCTTCTCGAACCCTCACGTTGTCGCAAAGAATGGATCATGTGGAGGAGGTGGATGATACTCCTACGAAAAGTAGAGGGTGCTTTTCGATGTGCGAGTCCACGATGGTCGCTTGTTCAATTGCGGACGTCGTCGATTTATCTCGTTTGTTCATCTGGAAGACGCGACAAACCGAGAACCTCGGTCCAAAATACATGGCACTTGTCATCATCAAGACTCCAGCAGGCTATATCCATTCGCAATGAGCACGGAATCTCCCATCATGAAGCATGTTTATTTCGTGTCTGGATGCAGTAGCTAATATGACGCGGCGCAGAAACATGTCATGCACGCAAAGTATGTCAATGCACTTCTCAGTGTACTGCCACAAGAGCGATCAATTGATCACAATTCTAACATGGCCATCTGATAGGTGCGATGCGATGCAGCATCCCTTGGGTAAGGCGGAACAATGTAGTTGAGATGGATGAGAAGGTCTAATATCAGTAGGGTACCTTGCACAAATTGCGTGGCATTTTCAATAGAATGCCGCATACCTGTCCCCAAAAGAAAAAGAGCCAGTACAGCTCGTGCCAAAGATGAGGAAAGGTAAGCCCAAAGCATTTCTGTCCATGGTGGAACTCTCACTGTAAGAATGTTGTCACTGGAGCTGTCTAACACATGCACATCAGTGAAGCAGGAGACTCTCAGCAACCTCCGACGCCTACTGATCCCCGCCTCACACGCCCTTCACAGCCAAGACCGACAGCTGGGTTCAATTCCCCAGATGGAATCCCCTCCACTCAGATGTCGGAGGCGCAAGCTGCCCAGCAAGCTGCAAACAACAGCACAATGACCCAGTTCATGAAACCAAAGTTTGCTCGTGCGCCTATTAAAGAAGCTGGCAGAGTCGCCTATCTCGGCGAATCGTCGAATCTGTCACTGCTTGTTCATGACCGACATGGCACGACGGATGTAGTCCACTACCCCTTACCAGAGAACATCAGAGGCGCACGTGCACGTCTAACGGAGCCTGATCAGATGGAGATTGAGATTCTGCAGCAGCGGGGCGCATTCTTGTTGCCACCTCGAGCGTTGTGCGATGAGCTTGTCGACGCCTACTTTCGTTGGGTCCATCCCATTGTGCCAGTCATCAATAAAACTCGGTTCATGAAGAGGTATAAGGACACAAAGAACCCGCCGTCGTTACTCCTCCTTCAGGCCATCCTACTAGCTGGCTCTCGAGTCTGCACCAATCCTCAATTGATGGATGCCACCGGTTCCACCACGCCTGCAGCGATGACTTTTTACAAGCGCGCAAAGGCACTCTACGACGCAAATTATGAAGACGATCGAATCACTATCGTCCAAGCTTTGGTATTGATGGGCTGGTACTGGGAGGGCCCCGAAGGTAAGGGCCGGGAGTCGATAGAATTCGCCGACTATGCTAGGTCTAACATAGGTGCAGATGTGACGAAAAATGTCTTTTACTGGACCAGGGTCGCCATTGTGGTGGCGCAAGGTGCCGGCATGCATCGAAGGTAGGTGCAGCCAGAGCATTTGTGTAAGGGGACTGGCTGACCGCATTCTATAGTGTCGAAAGCTCGCAATTGAGCAGACAAGATAAACGATTGTGGAAAAGAGTGTGGTGGTCTCTCTTCACAAGAGATCGATCAGTTGCCGTCGCACTCGGCCGTCCCGTTTCAATCAACACCGACGACTCTGATGTCGAAATGATCACCGAAGAAGACTTCATCGAGGAAGAAGGTGATCCGAATGGCGACTACCAATCCGATCCTGTCCACGTGCAGTTCTTTCTACAATATGTCAAACTCTGCGAAATCATGGGTCTTGTGCTCTCTCAGCAGTACTCAGTTGCTTCCAAGGCTCGACGAACGAACGCCATCGATCTCACTCACAGCGACATGGCGTTAGCCGACTGGTTGCAGAATTGTCCTCGAGAAGTTTACTGGGAACGCTCGCGCCATCATTTCTGGTCAGCTTTACTGCACTCTAACTACTAGTGAGATTGTCCTTCACCCCTTCGAGACCTTTTGTTGCTGACTTTCCTAGCACCACTTTATGTTTGTTGCACCGCGCTCACATGCCTCCGGCCACGGCAAGACCAAATGAATATGACAACGTGGATATGGCCTATCCTTCCAGGACCATAGCATTCCAGGCCGCCGGCATGATCACGTCTATCATGGAGAACCTGCTTGCACATGACCAAGTGAAATATACCCCTGCATTCATGTGAGTGGGAGTTCCTCATGTGCGGCATTATTGCTTACATTCGTATAGTGTCTACAGTCTATTCTCCGCACTTATCATGCATGTTTATCAGATGCGCTCTTCGGTGCCATCGGTTGTGGCTGCTAGCCAAGAGCGAATCAACGTATGTATGAATGCATTGAAAGAGGTCTCAAAAGTGTGGTTGGTCGCCAAAATGGTCCACACTCTGTTCGAGTCCATCTTGGGCAACAAGGTTCTTGAGGAGAGACTCCAGAAAGCGACCGGCAAAAAGGCTCAACGAGCTCGAGGGAACCAGAGTGCCGTATTTCCAGGCCATTCGAACGGAAACGCCAATGGCACCTCACAGTCTGGGCCGTCAACGGCGCAAGTATGGACGGCAAATGCGACCAAGCGCAAATTTGATGATATTGACTTGGGTTTCAACGTTGGGGTTCCTGCTCCCCAGATGTCGTACGAGCGATCACGACCGCAAACACCAGCTGTCACCCCATCCCGCGAACTTCCCCAACAGCAACAGCACAACTACTTAGGTTCGCCTCCATTGAGGGACGAACACAATCTACCAACGTCAAGATCTCGTGGTCAATCTCGCATACCATCCCGGGGTCCCACGAGAGCCAATTCACCATTCAACGGGTACTCCATTCCTGCGACTCCTCCAGACTTGTTTCTGGTGACACGGGATTCGCCCAACATTTCACAGCAATTGTGGGAGAATTTCCAGCCTGATCAACTCTTCCCTGATGGAACCATAGGGGATGCCACGGGATTCGCCAGTCCTGTTATGACTCATGCCGTCGATCCTCAGCTACAAATGTCAGCGCAGGGCATGGGAAGTCAGCAGATTCCGCAGATCGACATCTCTGGACAAGCGCAACACTCACAAGTTTGGCCGCCTGGGATGCAAGGTATGATGGGCGCTGGAATGGAATTGCATGACAGCGACGGGTGGTCTACAAGCTCCATTGGGAATGCACCTGTCGCACCCACAACCTTGAACGTGGAGGACTGGTTCCAGTTCTTCGGAATCAACGGTGAGATGGCGGGGATGGGCATGGACGGGACTTAGATCAATCCAGTACCTACAGTGGCTTGCATTCATCTACCCCTATATGATACTAAATATATCAACATATGGTGGCCTCACAGATCTTGCTCCAATTCATGTTGTTTCTTTGCTTGCTCACATCAGGGATGATTCGCTGCCATGCCGAGTTCGATGGCTGTGAGCGACGGCTGAACGTTTGCAGGGAATGTCCTTGAGATTCTACAAGGGCCCTGGAACGGTAGGTGACAGCTTGAGGGATATTGTGATGTTCACATGGGATTGTGCCACCTCAGCCGCACGCATTGCCCTGGTCAGGGGCTACATCCCGTCCTTTCATTGCGCATCTCGTTCTTTGGACGCCTCGAAACTCACAACACTGTATCCGGAAGAAGGCTGTACACGAGGCGAGGTTCGTGACATTTGCCGTTGGAAAGATAAATTAACTAAGTGGAAAGACACAATAAGGTGCTCGACTGGAACAACCAGAATTCTATCCATTGCCCTCAAAACAACACCATAGACAACACTCGTGATACTTTGGTTATTATACATCTCTCTCGAACCAGCTTCATAATGCCTGGACCCCAGTCCGCTGTATCCATATCACTTCCGAGTCAGCGAAGTCAAGCGTGAAGACACGCTCAAGCAACAAGAGGACATGATTACGGAGCAGCGTATCCAAGACAAGAGGAAGCACTGGTGGTCGCGCAAGGAAAAGACACACAAGGCTGCCAGCAGCCTGAACAACAGTGACAACGCGAGCAAGACATCTTCGAAGTGCCTCTCACGAACAAGTTCCCTGTCAAGGGCGTCCACCCAATGTATGTCAACCCAGTCATCAATAGACTGAAGAGGGTACCGGACGCACTTAAAGAAAGCACAGAAGAAGGTCGAGAGGTTCGGGCAACTCACGAGGCGACATGAGTATGAGTGAAGCATCGGCGCTACAGTTTATGGATATACAAGGTGTCTGCTGGGAAAATGGACGACTTGTCGGAGTATGAGAGGATGGTGATTCAAAATAGAGCAGAAAGGATGGCGTTTACCTATAGTGAGGGTGCCGGCTTGGCTAAGGCTCGTTGATGCTTGTTGCTCCTTAGCGGCGTCGTCATACAGTACTGTACCTTCGCAACCCCCGCAAGCCGCTGCTTCTCCTTATTTGATCCGCCTGTACTCGTAAACTTACCCGTGCTTCGCTGTCCCCAATCGTTACTGCAAGTCACCTCCATCCAAGGCTGTGGACACTCTCGACCGTTATCCTGTTATCCTCGACCGAACACTTCATCACGCAGCACTTCTTGTCCTGCTCACCAGGCATCAATCTCCAACATCCAGTCGAAGACGACTACGATCGCTTCCGTCCATCCTATCCCGCGATTCTGACCACCCTATGTCGGCAGTCTCCAATGTCTCGTGTTGGCAACCAGGCCAGCCATGAACAACAGTTCTCAGACCGGCCTGTACCAGTCTGCCAACAGTAGCACTTCCACCTTACGACCTCGCGGTGCCCGTCTCATCTCCTATCTCGGTGATGACACGCTCGAGTCCAGAGACGACCCCACTGCCGTTCACACCTCCTCTTCCACCAATCCACCACGTCTCTCCAGCAGAGGCGTCTCGCCCAACAAGAACACCGCTGTCAACCGCTCCAAGTCCATCGATAAAGCCAGACACGGCCGCTCAGATCCAATACATACGAGATCACCTTCGGAGCCACAAAATCGCGCGGCCGGAGGGCAAGGCCTATGGGAGTCATGGTCCTCCTTCCAAGGACTGGCCTCGACCCTGTTGGGAAACGAAATGTCGGGCTCTTCCAAGGACAAACCAAATGGCCCGTTCAAGACGCCGATCTGGTTCAAGCAGGACAAATCATACGCATCCAAGCCGCCTGTCCCAAAATGGGGTCCCAAATCCGAGCCTTCGACCGATGCTGCACAAGGGGCTATCGAGAAGAGAAAGGCACTAGTGGAGGCAAAGAAAAGAGAGGCGCTACTGCTGGCAGGTGCGTCAGAGAATCGCGATAGCTTGGGGAGATATAAGAGAAGGGACTCCGATGCAGCGGCCACTGAAACAGACGCAGGCGAAGACGCTCTTGTGTACTTGCATAAAGTCCAGAAAGCAGATACCATGGCAGGGGTCGTGATTAAGTACAATTGTCAGGCTGAGCCTTTCCGAAAGATCAATCGCTTCTGGCCAAATGACAACATCCAGACCAGAACACAAGTTCTGATCCCTCTGGAAGGCTCTACCATCAAGGGCCGCAAAGTCGAGAGCCCTTATCTTACCAAAGATTTGTTCGACCCTGGCGTCGACAAATCTATCAGTAAGGCAACAACAACTTCGGGTTCAGGAAACGGGACGCCGTTAGCAAACGGCCCTGATCACTCTCAGAATTACCTTCCCTCCATCTCCTCCACACTCACTCGTGAGCCATTATCGCTCATCACCTCACTATCCGAGGATATCGACTTCAAGCACGATTCATGGGTCGTACTTCCCAACTCGAACGAGCCTATCGAGATACTACGCGTTCCGCGACGCGCTCTAGGGTATTTTCCTCGGGCACGACGGAAATCGAACGTTACAGCCACCGACGCATCCGCGGCTTCTACCCCCAAGACGTCTTTCGATAAGCTTCGCCATCCACCAAGCCACGCCGCTCAGATTTCTGCATCTCTGAACGCTTCACCAGTCCGCCGTCCCGTCATTGGTCCTCGACTCAATTCAGGCCGACAGCGCTCCTCGAGTGTCACTGGCAACTCTTTCGCTGATGCCCTCCAAGGCCCTGGTGGCGTGGGAACGCTACGTGGTCTTAGAACAGAAACTTCGCGGCCTGGTCCTGCGGATGACCCGCTCAATCGCAAGCTCGCGCAGTACCTCCCTGATCTGCTCCCACCAGAGGCTATACCACGTACTGGATTCAGTCTCAAACCTACACCTCGGGGTACGCCGCGCGCGAGTTTTGACTCGATACGAAGTACACGTTCGAACTCGAACAGCTCGAACTTGGGCGAAGTCGGCGGTGCAATCGAGGGATGGGTGAAGAAGATGGCAGGTGTCAAGAGAGAAAGGGGCGCCGCGATCGATAAGATGGGCGATCTGATCGAGCTGGAAACTAACAGTGAGTCTGTCGATCAGAGTGCTACCAGGGCTGGAGACGACACATCTATGTCCTCAGCGACGGAAGAGGCCCTTCTCAATGAACGTTTCCCTATGCGAGGACGAGTCAAGAGCGCCTATGCTTCAAATTCCGGTTCGGGCAAGGATAAAGGGGATTGACTTATTACATGGACAGGTGTTTATGGTGTTGCTTTATAGGATACATAGGTTATATAACTTTAGGCGTGTTGAAAGCGAAGGTAATGGCAACTTGATGGTGTGTTGGGTCGTATCTGGCGAATTTGCGACGCCTTTGTGACATCGTACTTGTGTCTACGTTGCGTATGCAGTGCGTGCCCTGTGTAACCGGGCAAGTGAAATGGTAGGAGTCTGCGGCCATGCTGGTGGCTACGAGTCACCGACGCCGACACCAACGCTCATGAGGAAACGGGAATAGGGGTTACGGTAGTAGACACTGGGCTTGTTCGCGGACCACGACAGACATCTCTTCTAGTACAGCAAGACTAAAACTTCGTTTTTCAGGGAAACTCAGATCTCAATTCAGTTCTTTGCATGACATGTTTGATTTTGAACTATGTCCAACATTGCCAGTGCCAGGTTTCGGCGCCTTCGCCTTCAGAGGCCTCGCTCTCCGCCACTGTATCTTCCACCAAACGCTTGTGGTGTAGGTTGGAAAATTTGGCTTCAACCCAATTCAAATCATCGTCCCTCCCCAGAGTGCAATAAATAAAGGTGATACTAGAAAAAAGGAAATAGAGGTACTATGTAGATGACAAAAAATTGATGGCTCTTCGTAGACGGGCATCGGGATGTTTTCCATGTTACATCATCCCTGTACAAGATCTCTGTGCGTATCGCGTCGCCTGAAGGATCAGTTCCATCCCAAGCTGTTCTCGGCCATCACCGGCGGACTGATATACGTCCGTCCAGTGCGACCTGAATTGCCGCTGCGATCGCTGTTACGGGATATGCGCCCATTGAAGCGGGTCCCGTAACTGCCACGGGCGCCAGTGACCATGAGGTTGGATTGTTCTCCAGGTCGAGGGCCACGACTTGAGTTTTCGCTGCTCGACCTCTGGTGGCCCGATTTTCTCTTTTTGTACCGACGGGCAACAAGGAACATGGCTGCACCATAAACGGCAGCGCCTGCAACAGCTCCAACTGCAATTCCGACAGACGAAGGCCGTACCGCAGAATTAGAACTAGTGCTCGAAGATCCTGGCGACCCGTCATCCGTTGTGCCGGCATCAGACGTGGTGGCTGCACTGTTTGACGAACTGACCGGTGTACCACCAGCGGCCATGGAAGACCCAGGCAGGACGGGTATTGAAGGATCAATCATGCCCATCAAGGTTACCACTGACGGATTGCTGTTGGTGTAAAGAGCCGAGTTAGGGTTCAGCAGGTTCAAGGACAACGTGTCGACCTGATCTGATGGGATGTACGCCATAGCAAGGGTGGTAATATACCCGAGCGTGTCTAAAGTATTGTATGGCTGCAAGTACTGCATCACCACTTGGCTCGAATCATCGCCTAATCCATGCGAGATACCGACAGGCAGGTATGAGAAGATTTGCGAGACGGCAGTTGTCGACGAGACCACGAATGCATAATTGAGACCGTAGGTGAAGCCGATTTGGATCAAAGTGGAGTTGTCTGGCGCGTTCGGGACACCGCCCTGAGGTTGAATAACTCGTGGCAGAGAGGTTGGAATTGAAGCTGCGCTTGATGTTGCGGTCGATTTCGAAGTCGTCGGCGCGGTCGAGGTCGCAACGACAATGCTCGACTGTGGCGTAAACACTGTAGCAGAATCGGTCCCGGTGGGTTTCACCGTGTTGGTGAGAGGCGCGGAAGTGCTGCTTTTGGTGTCCGTAGCTGTAGGCGTTGCTGTTGCAGTGGCATTGGTCACATCGGAAGACGTCACCAAGGGAGTCGCCGAGGCAGTCGTCGAGGGGACCTCAGACGAACTAATCTGGCTGGTCACACTGGCTGTACTTGTTGGAGTAGCTTCCGAAGCTGCGCTTGTAGCATTTGCGGTTTCCGATGTAGGCGATGCGGTCACTGTCGGAAGGCTTGTGCTTGCGGAGGTAGTCGTGTCTGTCGAGGACGCCGAGTTCGTGTCGGTAGCGCTGACTGAAGCAGTGCCCGATGCTGAAGTCGGTGTAGATGAGGCAGTGTCTGTCGAAGCAGACTGTGACGCAGTATTGGTATCTGTAGAAGAATTGGTGTTTGAGTCGGTACCAATGCTTGCAGAGCTTGTGGGTGTCGTGGTCGGTGTTATAGTACCAGAGGCCGAATCTGTCGGGGTTGAGGTAATGGTTCCAGGATCCGAGCTAGTAGGTGTCGAAGAGACTGGACCAGTACCCGAGAACGAGGCTGTCGAGGACGGTGTGGTATCTGTATCTGTAGCGCTCGCACTGACACTAGAGACGAAACTGCTCACAGCAGAAGTCACACCAGAAGAGTCGGAAGATGTAGTAGGATTTGCTGAGCCCTCCGCCGAGGTGATGACAGAGTTTGCTGAATTGACGTCTGATGCAATCGAAGATGCGACCGATGCAGCGGAAGACAGGGCCGAGGAGACGGACGCAATATCTGAGGCTGTGGAGGCCACAGACTCGAGTGAACTGGCCAAGGACAAGATGGATGTCGCAGCATCGCTTGCAGATGAAAGCACCGAGCTGGCGGAGGCTGTAATCGACGCTAGAGAGGCCGTGTCTGTGGGTGTAGGCGTAGAGGACTCAGTATCGGAAGCAAAGCTAGTTGGTGCAGAGGAGACACTAAACGAATCAGTGCTAGTCGGTGCAGAGGAGTCACTGGATGATTCAGTGCTAGTCGGAACCGAAGTGTCACTGCTGAAAATTGAGCTCAGGCCGAGCGTGATACCATCGTCGTCCGACGAACTTGAACTTGAGCTGTCCGATGAACTCGACGTCGAAGTTGGTGCCGGAGTGATGGACGCTGCCGGGTCGGAGCTCGTTGCAGATGGAGTAATTGAGGAGTCTGTCGAGCTTGGGGCTGGAGCAGATACTGGCCCCGTGGCGGGATCGGACGACGTAGTCACACTCACATCAGTGCTTGCCGGAGTGTCCGCCGAGCTGCTCGAAGCTGTGTCTGATGTTGAGGAACTTCCAAGGATGGATGCGACTCCAGACAACTCACTTCCCACTGACGAAAGAAGACTTCCTACTCCCGAATCAGTTGAGCTTGAACTCGAGCTTGAGCTGCTGATGTCGCTGCTAGTGTCCGTTGTCGTCCCGTTTGTGACTTGTCTTTTCACAACCTTGGGAAAGTAGTACCTGGGTTTCAGGTCCGCTCGTCGTGGATCTAATGCAGGAACAGCCTCGGCGAAGGAGACGGCCACCACCGCAGAGAGGAGGGTAATAAACGAGATCTTCATGTTGTACTTGACGAATGAAGCGACAGTTGCTGCTCAGACTGTCAGCCTAACTCTCACCAAACGCGCAAGACCGGCAACCTACTTCAGATGCTCTCAATTTGAACGAGTGTATAGGGTGAGCGTCTTTATCAAAAGAGTGGCTAGGATCAATCGATCCTCAAAGTGACAGTCAGGATCGGTTCCTGACGGATGTTGAAGGTATCGTGCGTATTGATCGACTCAGTCCGTCTGAGTAATTCCCAAGTACAAAACGCGGGCGGTCGACGCTTGCAAAGTCCAGTCGAGTCTTTTGTTCAGTCTTTCACGGCTGGGAGCAGTCTTTCATGAAAGAGCCCGACTCATGTATGTGCTCTTTGACCTAAAATTACCCCAGGACTGTCCCACAAAGAAACCAGCTGTAATTCGTACGCTTCTTCCAATGGTTGGACCAGCCAAGCGATTGTGAAGACAAAGACGATTCCCAGAATTGTGAATGTCAACTGGTGTTCGAACGTTGAGGGTCGCGGCAAGGGCGGTAAGGGGCTTCGTAGGCTATTGATTTTCGACAAGATGCAAATGGTCGTAGAAGGGAGAATTGATTCTCAAAGAGCGTGATCGATCGTGTCTAATAAATGGCTGACTGTCGAAGATTGAAAGGAATGAACGCGAGCACGGCAATGGTGGGTGCTGGCAAGGAGGAACAAAGGCGATTCGAAGAAAACGAGCGCTGTGGCCGTCAAGGCGAGATTGACTAGTCGAGGGAGAGGATTATCGGTCGCAGAACGAGAGATAGCGACCACGGCGACGTTGACGGTGCATCGAGGCTCAATGGTGATGAGGTCGTCGAAGGCGAAGTTGAGGTGTCGACGAGAGATGAACAGGTGAGAGCGTGAACGAAAGCATTGGTGCCAGAATTGGTCGGATGTCCGCTTGGAAAGGGAGAGCAAATGGAGCACTGGGATCGCATGGGAGGAATGGAGCCCTGTGCAGTTCCTGGTGCAGGTTCTAAGCTCTAACTAACTAAGCGTGTGTTGGCGAGACAAGGCGTGCAAGATCTCCTGGAAGCGTGGCGCCTGACAAAGTATCTGGTTAGCCTGTTTCCGTACCAGATTACAGGTCTAAACCCCTACGAGTAATGATCAGAGGCTCAAGGACGGCCTCCATGGCCCCCAAGTACGCTGGAGATCAACAAGCCTGCCCGGACGCGGTATGGTTAAATTACTGCCAGAACGCTCAATTTACGTGACACGACGTGCCTTTTTAACCCTTGTCACTCTGTTGGGCTCTGGCCTTTTCCTGCTCCAAGCCAATTTCACGCCCAATCTCGCGGAGAGGCTTGAAGCCTTTGACGTTGCATGCCTAACAAGTGTCCAGCGCTTTCGCACCAACAGAATGCAGTAGAGGGAACAGGAGCACTATCAAGGTCTGTCACTATCAAGGCATGATTGATTGAGGCCTTTTTTTCCTTACGACGGCAGTGCTCCGAAACAATTGGTGCGTCCAGTTGGGACCAGGACTGACACTGCAGACAGACAGTTGACCGTCGGAGAGAGCACAGCACCGCAACTCACATACCATCTCCAAGGTATTTTTGTAGGGGAAAACACGCGGCTTTGGGTTGGTGGTACAGAGCCGTGAGAGCCTCTCCCGCTCAAAGAAAGCATGGCAATTTCAGGGTCAAGGTCCCAGGAGCCAACAGGTGTGTCAGCCATACCGCTATCGGCTTGGACTGGCGAAATGGTTGCCCTCCAGTGGATAGACAAGAGTCTCCATTTGTCGCGCCAGGCCAAACTGATGATGTTTACCGTCAAATACCAATGTCGCGCTATTAATATTTCACCGCAGCTGCTGTACGTCCGGAGCAAAGTCAGAGACCGCCTAGTTGACCGGTGTAAGTATATATTGTATTGGGTCTGCATGAAGCAGACATCCTGTTCCTGCAGTTGACTGCACGACATCGTTCGTGTATGCGAGAAACAAGAGCACTCATACCCGATGAAGAACGTTGCATTTCATTATCGCTCAAACCCTGCACAGGTGAGCATCGGGTTCCGCCATCCAAAGTGCCGGTGGTTTCATTCAGGGGTAAATGCCACTAGGGGACAGGGATACAACCAAGCCATCCTCCTCATTTTGACGCGTTGAAGTTTTCATGCCTTCGAGAACTCTGACGAGCCTTGGCTTTTCTGCGATCCGAGCATCGACATCGGGGATTTTCTTTGGCGGAACTCCCCTGGCACAAGATAACAAACAACCATGAATAATGCACCTTTACGTAGTATGTGCATGCCATCATCGTTTCATATGATATTTGGTAGGTCCTTGAGCGCAATGAACTTGGGTTGGCGTGTGCTCTGGGAACTGCTGTCCTTGCACCGGCCATGCATAGGTATACCAGTTATAGTACACAATAACCAGCCTTCTGGTATGGATAATGCTACTTCAGGAATCAGGAGTGTGATGATTTCTTGCCGATCAGTAGTATTTTGACAGTTGTGACTTGGGTCAAACATTCCATCTGTTGACATGAGCATACACAGTAGGGCATGGCAAAGCACGCCTGATTGCGTCGTTCTGTTTCAGCATGATTACGCTCAAACAATCATGTTGCTGCTGCTTCGTACCGCTCATGCAAGAATACGAGGTATATATCTCACCTTGGCTTATGCTGTCCTCCTTCTTTAGCCTTGCTCACATACTGAGATCGCTCGTTTTGCAGACGTTCGCACACCTTTCTGTTAATCATGCCGAGTCTTTGCAGTCGAGGAATACGGCCAGGTCTGCACTAGAATATTGAGCTGGCTAGACAGCAAGACTCAGTCAGACTTAGTTGCTTTGGTTCAGAGCGGGAAGTCGTCCTGACTGGATAGGTACTGTATCTCGTAACGTTGCAAACGCATTCAGTTTTCACAAGGGAAGAAAAAGCATCCGACAAACAGTGATCGGATGGCAATGAGACAGAAACTGCTCCAAGCTTCTCTGTACCTCCGCCCGGCTGATGCGATGTTGCTCATCCCCTCCTCAAAGTCTAAGAGTCCAAAGTCGACTATACAGTCAGCGGGCAATATGAGAACGTGGGTATGTTCAACTGAGAACATCGATTGTCATGACACCTTTTTCCAGGCGGCTTTTTAGATGCGATACATTCTTTAGTCGTCGACAAAGTATCGTTCCCTAGACGGAACATCACGACAGTCGTGTAGACCAGGTACGAGGCGATAGCTGATCTGAACATCAGGAGTGCCTTCATATGGATGGAACGAGAAAAGGACATCTTCTCTCGAAGCAGCCAAAGTTGGCGATATCGGTAGTTGTATGCCGCAGTAAGGAATGACTGTTCAATGTGCCTCGGCGTCGGAAAAAGTGTTCTCGCCGATCGCGTCATTGCTGGGGAGCTCCACTTTTTCAAGGTCTCCTCCGATCAAAGGCCCTTCACACTTCTCATCCCGCATTTCAGTTCTTTTCGTCTTTGAGTAATATACCTCTAAAGACCATCGATAACAACATCTTCGGTGTACTACGAGTTTCCCTCAACGGACACTCTGAGTACATATGTTCTTGAGCATACTAATATCCTCGCTCCAAGTCTTCGAGCTTATTCCCCCACCGCCGTTCACCCGCCGCCACCATGTCTGAGTCAGGTTCTTCATCCACACCGCCCTTGAAGAACCCTAAGCTCAGCGCCATGAACAAGGCTTTGGCACAAGTCGATCTCGACGGCCATGATCTGCCGCCCTCACCGGCACCTTCGAGCCCACGAGGCAGTCGCAATTATGCACTTGCGACCCAATTGGTTTTCTCCGAAGGCAATGATCAGTACAACTCCAGCAGCATGCCAATTTATCAGGTCAGTTGCGACTCTCCGAGAGGCGACCGACCCATTGCTAACCAGGACAACAGTCTGCTACATTCAAGCAAACCTCTGCCACAGGGGGAATCGCCGACTATGACTACACCCGCAGTGGCAACCCTACGCGCACACACCTCGAAAAGCACCTTGCGAAAATAATGCGCGCGAAACGAGCCCTTGTGGTATCCTCCGGCATGGGTGCCCTCGACGTTATAACTCGCCAGCTGAGACCTGGCGACGAAGTCATTACCGGCGACGACTTGTATGGAGGGACACATCGACTTTTGAAATATTTGTCTACACATGGTGGAATTATTGTTCATCATGTCGACACCACAACACCTGAGAAGGTTCAGGAAGTCCTGAATGAGAAGACCACCATGGTTCTCCTCGAAACCCCTACCAATCCTTTGATTAAGATTGTGGACATCCCCACCATCTCGAGCATGGCGCATGCCGCCAACGCATCGTGCATTGTGTGCGTGGATAACACCATGCTCTCTCCGTACCTGCAAAGCCCGCTCGAGCTGGGCGCAAACATTGTCTATGAGTCAGGCACAAAATATCTGTCCGGCCACCACGATCTCATGGCAGGCGTACTGGCCGTCAACGACGAAGCTCTGGGCGATAAACTATATTTTACCATCAACGCCTCTGGTTGCGGTCTTGCTCCATTTGACTGCTGGTTGTTGATGCGGGGTATCAAGACTCTGAAAGTCCGCATGGATGCGCAACAGAGCAATGCGATGTTGATCGCCAACTTCCTTGAATCAGCCGGGTTCAAGGTCCGCTACCCTGGGCTAAAGAGTCATCCACAATATGACCTCTTCAACTCCATGGCCCGTGGTCCCGGGGCTGTCCTCTCCTTCGAGACAGGCGACATCCAATTGTCCGAAAGGATTGTTGAGTCTGCAAAACTGTGGGCGATCAGCGTCAGCTTCGGCTGTGTCAACTCTCTCATCAGCATGCCTTGTCGCATGAGTCACGCCAGCATCGACGCAAAAACGCGCCAGGAGCGAGGCGTACCCGAAGACCTGATTCGTCTTTGCGTGGGAATCGAGGATGGAGAGGATCTTCTGGACGACCTGAGGAGTGCGTTGGTGCAGTCTGGCGCCATGAACGTCACCCTTGATGGTATCCATGCAAAGAACGCCACCGTGGGCGTTCAGCACTCCGAAGAAGGTGAGCATCTAGCTGCCGACGCTGCTGCTGTCAATGAGCCTTGACAGAGTATTTTGATCTGCTCGTGCAGACCTCCCAGGATGGGAAATGACCTGTTTAACGGTGCATGTTTCAGAAGCATTCAAATTGGTGGAAAATAAAACATGGTTTCTCAGGAACTCGAAAGGAAATTCGTTTCTGAGATGGACGGCTTTAAAATCAATCTCCTTGTGAGAAGAATGTTATATGTGAATATATGATCACCTTTTGCACCATTCCTCTTTTCTGTAACCATTCAGGCACGAATGGCAGAAGCCCAAACACCATGGTATTGCTATGTTGAGACGCGCCCTTGATGGTGCTCGAGGTCAAAGGGTATTATGTGTGGTCGTAAGAGTATGTCAATGGGTATGATGTCGGAGAGTGATAAGTACGCAAGTCCACAGGCGGCAAGCGCCAAACGTGTGTCAGTATTGCATGAGTGTTCCCACAGCTTACCACCTCATCTTTCTCAGCTCTCTTGGCTTCATCCCTGTCTACGGATGGAATGTTCTTGTCACCCTCGATGCGGCAATGAATACGCCTCGTGGTGAAGGCAATACCGCAATGACATCACGGATGGAGCGCAGCAAGATCCTGACCATCAGAGGCAGGTCTGCTGGGTTCCGTGACACCAAGTCCGCCTGAGACTGTAAGAGTTTATGGCGGTCATAGATGGCGCGATGTTTCCCTTATGCTCGACATGGCAGTGTGCTCGGTTTCGGATTGAGGGAGGCATCGCAACGACATTGAACGTATAGTGCACATGAGGGCTCTGGATAATACCCACTCTCGTAGGTTCTGTGATATCAGCTTTGTCTGGAATTGAGCAAAAGGGTTTGTCTGGATTCGGACAAGCAAAGAGAGATGATGCTGTTGCTGCTGGGCAGGGCATGGATCAGCAATGATAGTCGATCTGCGGCGCGGCATGGGACAATCACTGCGATCGGGTCCTTGCCTGCGATGTTTTCAGCCTTCGTCCCAATTCCACTCGAGAAGAGTTGTGTCAATCCACCTGTTCTAGGGTTCCTGTCTCCGTCCAGGCTTTACTGCAGGTTGGTAGGGCCAAGAGAGGGCTGACGTGTTCCCTCCTTGTGTCATCCTTGCTGAGCATCGCGACCATTGGGAACTAGGTTCAGCGAGGTGTGCTGTACTTCTGAAAGTTTTGTAGTAGGGAAGGTGAAAGTAATAATCATTGAACATGTCGTCGTACAAGACAGTACGCTCCGATCATGAGACATCATAAGTATGGAGGGTGGCCTAGCGACAGGCAGCCGGGTGGGTACAAGCCTGCTCGTTGCTGCCGTGCCGTAATGCACCCTTGCCGCAGCTTTTGCATGCAGAGCAAGGTAGTCCTGCCTTTGTAGCGGTTGTCACGAGGGACAAAGTTTAAGATACGCAGTAACGATAGTGGTGTTGAATGAAGAGCGAGCCCGCCATGTCCAAAAGCACGCTTGGGGACGACGGCGGCATGCTTCGCGGCAAAATGATTTCCCAGGATCGTCAGGGCTGCATGATCAGGAAAGCATCACCACCACACATGAGGACAGAGGTGGTTAGGACAGTGACTCGCACTTGCACGTCGTATGCGCAATGTGCACTGACTGGACGCCTTCAACAAGCGTCTTCGAGGGACACCCAAGTCATCCGCAGCAGTCGCCGTGCCGCATGGGTTGGGTGATTTCCAGATTCGCGTAAACGGTTTTCGGCATTTGGTCATTGTTGGCCTCTGTCGTCCGCACAAGAAGACGTATGCCGAGATCTGACCGATCCATATCATGAGATGTACTTGACGGATACACCTGTCACTCCCTACTTACTATTCGCTTCGCACAGGAAGTCCTTGATGGAATATTGTGGCGGAGGTTGTGTAGACTTGAAGCGAGCCGCAATGTCTAACATGCTGTCATGCTCGTCGAATCAGGCGATTGAATTTGACCGACGCATGGGAGCTGATTCGCTGAAAAGACCCCGATCCGAATATACTTCGTCCAACGCAAGTATCTTCACGATCAAAATTTGGGCAGCGGCAACCCTGCTTGATATGAGTATGCTTCCTCATGGAGACTATTCAGACCCACAAAACTGGGGAATGGTCGTGATTTAGGTTCCTCTGCACCACGGAGATACCATATGTTAGGAGTATAGGATATGCACTTCATCGGAAGCTTATGGGGAAGGTCGGATGAGAGATCTTGGTAAAACCGACCTGCGAATCCTGGCGGGCCTTATATGGGTGCGTATGCGGCGAACAAGTCTGCTGCGTGTGCTGCGATTAAAGGTAAGTAAAAAGGAACCTCAGCTCGTCTTTGGAACTTTGGACCAAAGGCATCTTCGTCAGAGCAAGACGTCGCTCTACCTGTCACAGGAGTCTGAGTAGGGTTTCGACGATGGGCACTTCCGCAAGGGGCATATTTTGCACTTCTTGACATGCAAGCATGCCCCAGTCGCTGTCCGCAGCGTTTGAACCTGCAAGCTCTGGCCTTGCGTGGGGACTCAATCGTGGAGACTTGCACCATAAAAAGTCAATCCCTGGATATTCGTGGCCTCTGGCAGAGCAAGCGAGGAGTATACGACTGAGGCGGGAAGTGACGCTGTGTCATTGAGATTGAGTGCCATGTGAAACCCGAGGAGAGGATAGATGTGCAATTGCACGGCATTGTGAAGAGTCAACTAGGATGCAAAGTTGAGGTTAGAGTGGTTTGTGATGATGCCAAGTCGGAGAAACTTCGCCTTCAATATTCGTTTCCCAGGTCAAGTTTTTGACGACACTACTTGCAACTGAGATCGAAATCATTCGGACCTGTATCGACTGTATCAGCGAGATGGACTCCCGGTGTCAGCCCTCTTTGTTATGTACGACCTGAATGCGCAATATACGACGTCACACCGATGTTGTGCCGAGACCGTGGGATCTAATAGTCATCTTCCACCTGATCATGATGTTGCCCGTAATGAGAGCCTTCATGATGACCCTGATGCTGGTCACCTCCGTTGTCAGAATCAGTTGCTCCATCATAGTCATCTTCAACGTCTTGACCATCGTGGCTGTCATGACCGTTTTGGTCATCCTGACCGTGTTGACCGCGTTGACCATCGTCGTTCCAGTTATCGTGGTCATAATTCTCATGCTCCTGTCCGTCCTTGCCACCATCCCACCCATCATGATCTTCAATCTCATTGCCATGCCTTTCACCTTCGTCCTCGCTATCGTCACACAAACTCGGATCCATATCGGGCATGTCATCATTATCCCCAACCGCAACTCGGTCATATGGTTTGTGTTGCTCGGGATCCATGTTGCAATGACCCGGGAATTGGCCACGAATCGTTTGGCCAAACCATTTATAGAGCTTCCTGACACCTAGGTGGTTGGGATCATAGCTGAGATATTCATTGCTCAAGTTGTATATATGCTTCGAATGTTGATGCAAAGTCGGCTGTTGCTCGCTTTCGTCCATACCTAAAATTTGTCAATCAGCCCATTGTCCATTGACGGGCTAATGGCATGCCGCTTAGGTCGAATTATAAAGGTCTATCAGGTCTCGCACATTGGAAAGTACGCACCTTCAGCACTATGCACTTCGCCATACTCGTGAACAGCTGCTTGGATCGTTTGGAGTATTTGATTGAGCTGGTCGTCAGATGTATCATCATTCGAACCCATGTTAGTATCCTTCAACTTTTGCTGGTCGCAGAACAACGATTTTGAGGGTTACTGGCCGAATGCTGTATCTTTCAGAGCCATTTATACGATTCGTCTTGCGCTTACCTGTGCAACATGCCTCGTGGTAAAATCTATATGTGGATAATGCTCGTGCGCATAGCTTAGAGAGCGATGATGCGGTGATACGCTGACGGATACATAGGTATAGATCGGGCATGGCCGTGATACTGGGATTGGAGTGAGATGTGGTGATATGAATATCAGCTTATCAATGTCAGCGAACTACTCAAAAAGGAGATCATATATTGGTGAGCACCAATCAGACGATACATACCTTCACTGGCAGACAGGGATGTTTACAGTATTTGCACTTTAGCCCAATCAATGCGATGCAGCGACTTTCTCTCCGTATAGGGCAGGTCGCTTCCGATACGAGAAATTGGACCCAGATCAGCCTGCAAATAGCCTCATGTCAGCTTGGACGTGAGACTTGCCTTGGTAGAGGACGACCGTACTGGCGTCATGATGCGTTCGGTGCGAGGATCAGAGTACATCTCGAGTATAAGCCAAGGCAGTTTGGGGCTGATGACTTGCCTTGATGCGGCTGCGTTGACATATCACAATGTATATATATCACCCCTGCTGATGCCACTACTCACGATGTCTTGTGTTGACCTGACAGAAACTTTCACTCGCCTTGCACTCATCTGTTCAGGAGGTGAGCCACCGAGTAATTCAGTACCGGATCTTTATATTTACCACCAGCGACCCTTGACTGGGCGAGCATGGATTCTCAGAAACCGCCAATCCCATCAGCAAGGAAAAATGCACCTTATCCACCTGCAGGCGTGCCAGCTCCAGGACCTGGGCAACTTTTCCATGGAGTGGGAGGGGGAGCTGCTGAAAACGCACCTCCAAGAGGTACCACACCTCCTCCAAGTGCAGTTTACGGCAATTTGCCAGGACGAGGCCACTCTGGCGGCCCGAGTCAGCCAGGGTACCCGTTCTTCGGAGCGACTCACACGGAGGGAGATCGCTCTGGGCTTTCCACCCAGCCGGCACCAGGACTTGCAACGGGGCCGGCGGGCAATCACCCAGTGGTGAGTGGACCTGTCACCGATTTCTACGGGTCAGCAGATCGTCATGCCATGGGACCAATGCAACCGCCGGTCTTCAATCATTTTGCGACCTTGCAAAGTGCCTCAGGGGCGGCGGGACGAGCGGCTGTCAACAGTGCCTTGAATCAGACCGCAGGGAATGGTACACTTCATATGGGATCGAGCGGAATTGGAGCTTCTCACGGAGGAGTGCCACTTACCACGAACGATGGTTTCCATATGTCTGCCGATCCCCAACAGCACGCCACAATTGATCCGCACTCATCATTCAGCGCAGATGGTCGAACTCATTTGTATGCCGATGGTTCATCGAGTACCGTTGCGCCACAACAGCCCGGCCAGATGGGCAACCGCCCTGTCAATCATGTACCCGGTCAGGTCGGATCCGCGATTGAGGGACAGGCAGCGGCAGGATCGTATTATCATCCGATTGACCCGACTGCGCAGCCCGTCCAGGACACGCACGAAAGCGGGACAGGGTCTTATTATCCAGATCCCGCTCAGGCGGCAAAGGCAGCTGGGACCTAGCAGGTGCTACCATGACAAGCAGAGCCTGACTGTGTTTGCGGCATCATGACCGACAGGGAAGATGCAAGACCGATCCTTCGAAGGGGGTTGCGTTGTGCTTGGACACGTACATGCATGATGCTCAAGCTGCCATCTGGAAAAGAATATTGCAAACTGTACGAATGACCAACTATCCCCGAATGACGAGAGGTCTCACAATCGATAATCTGCTCGTGTTCAAGTAAGGCGGCCAGTAGCATTGGACAGAAAGGAGTCTTGGTCTTGCCTCGCGTCACTGGCAACCAGATTCAGCTGTAAGAGATATCCTCAGGGGAAGTATTTATCAAATAAACTGCGGAGAGTAGAGCTTAAGGGGGTTGTGACGACGCCAAGCTCTGAGGTTCTGGACTCTATTTCCCACAGGTCACGTGAAAAATAACCAAACGTCATAATAAAAAGACCCAAAAATCTGGGTGAAATGTTGTCAAAACTTGACACAGATTTCCAATCGATCTGCTTCGAGCAGGGGGGTAAGCAATATAGCCTCATCCAACGCCATACTTATCTAACTTATTTCAGGATTGGCGCAATGGTAGCGCGTGGTGAGTTAACGTCAATATTGTACTCGTTGAAGTCCATCTAACACCTTGAAGGCTCTCCTAAATGGTCTTGCTATCTCTGATCATGCTGAAAAGCCAAGGTTGAGGGTTCGAGTCCCTTGTTCCTCGCGAAGTTTTTTTGAGCTGAGTTGAGAGTCTGAGACATCTTTTTTTGACTCGAGTTGACCTTCGGTTCTTTTTTTGAAAGTTGACCTGAGTTGTACGTCTACTTGGTAAGGCTACTAGTATAAACACGGCTCAACTCAAGAATACGGTGCTCTCGATAAAGGTTTAAATGCAGTCTCAACGCCTTCCTGGCTCGCTATTGATTTCTCGCTCCAGCTTTTGTGGACATGCGTCTCGGACAAGATACAAGTAGCTTGGACGTAAGTAGTGAAACTTGTGGTATGCAATGCCAAATTGGGTAGGCAACTCATCCCGAACACGCTTACATAGCGACTACCGCCACGTGATCGCGTGTCGCTGCAGGGTACAGGTATCGATTGTCTGTCATCGGATCGCGTCGATGCAGGATGCAGTGATGCACGGTGCGTCTAATACTTTCTACCATCAAACGGGGACGATGACTCCGCGGAAAATTGATCCACCATGGAAGGTATTGGCGATGCTGCTCCGGTGGAGATCGCCATGCACAATTCAGCCGCGAATACGAGACGGACAGGTGTGAAAACAATCAGATGTCCTAGCAAGTCTCAACATGCGGATGTTTCCACTGAATGAAACCGACGACATCTGCCCCAGCTTTCGAAGTGCATTGGGGGTTGTCGGACAAACTCTGCGCCTCACTGCTTTCGAAACGTGCGTTATCCCGTGCCGACGCCGTGTCTGCTGTCATCACATACTAGTAGTCGTGTCGAATTCTTGAATTTGTCTCTGATGACATTGAGTTTGGAGGAGAGACTTTGTTAACGTCAATGCTGGACATATCTCAAGGCACAAGTAAAAGAACGTTCACATTTTCCGCTTCTGGAAAATTCTCCTTTACCGACTTTCCGGATCAGTTCTTATTGTGCAGAAGCATACAATCCTCGGTGCCACGTGGGATTGTGATCAGTGACGTGCAGGTCGACGGGAGTCTAGACGCTCCGGCGTTCCACGGAGGAAGTCTATACCCACGGTAAGAGAAATCAGGACAGCGCTAAATCATTGCCCAGACTTTTCGACCACCGTTCTCCTTCCCGATTCGGTGTATATCCGGTCATTTTATGTGTTTCCCCGGAGGACGTTGAGCGTGCCGTTCTACGAAGCTTTTCCAGAATAACTTCACCTTGCATGGACTATCGTCATGATCCTCTTTCGGCCGGGTCATGCATAGTCCTGGGGAAGGTGCCGGGTCCTCTGAGTAGCTCTCCCATCCACCACTGATGCTTGGTCCTTCTTGTTGGACGCTCCGGCGTACGGTAACACTGCCCAAAGTACGTTCGCATACCCAGGACATCTTCGTGGATCTCCGCTAAAAACGTGGCAATGATCCCTACCTTCAGTATGCGGGGACCGACAGGCTGGGCGTGCCAGGGTTGATCCTGGTCCTCACTAAGCCCTTTAGGCCTTTTAGTGTCTCCATCATGTTCAGGAATGGTGGAAATGTCCTCGGCTGGACGTGTCCAGTTGGGTATGGTTCGGATTCACGACTCAAATTGTCGTCAATGGAGCCAAGATGGTATCTGAAAACTTTGCCATCTGGGTATTGTGGTGAAAAATGACCTTGCAAGGGAGTTCATGTAGGATCTGAGACTTGATCAAATCCTAACCTTAAGTACAGCATCAGAAAAACGTGGTGGTATTCGCGGTCCGCAGACTTTTGCACATTCCTTTGGTGGAACAGCGGTCAACCTTGGGCGGAACCGTCTTGGTTCTAACAATAGTCTGACCAGCCGTGACACTCACCCCTCCGAGGAGGTAGCATAGTCTGATTGAAAGTTCTTCGTGGTAGACAGTACAAAACCTTCAGTGACAGTTCCCTGCGGGACACGTGGAAAGAAGGAGTGAGGCCCATGGGGTTGGAACTTTCCCTTCGAATGCGCGGAGTTACACTTTCAACACTTCCCATTTAGCGAAGAAAATTGGTGGATGTGAGAGTAAAGTTCGCTCCAGGCTCTTTGAGGGAGGTGCAAGTCTGGCCTGACAACGGGAGCTCTTTCCTTGCATGTGGTCCGTCTGAGGTAGTACAGGCTTTGTGCTTTCGAAGGAGAGCATTCGAAACGAAGCTCGACATGGGGGTCATCTTTGCTCGGATTCTGACAATGGTGAGACCCGCACAAACCGAACATCTGCAGTGATCGAACTGTTCAATCTTCCGGTTTTGCCATGGGCGCTACTTTCATGATGCTAGTATTCGAAAGTGAGGTTGGTAGCAGAGATGGTTCACTTCGAGTACTCGGTACGATATTTGGGTATTTGGGAACAAACTCCGGAGGTAAAAATTGGAATTACTCCCGGCCCTACCTCGGCACCGTTCATGTCGTCGAGTTGTTTTTGATCACGTCTAAAATCCCATCCTCCATGTTGAACCTTCAAGATTCGTTTTCGTATCGGCGCGGAAAGTCACCAGCAGACGTGTGCATCCTGACAGCGGGACACAATGCATGTACAAGCAGTCGCACCCTTCCCCTTCATTCAGGTTTAGGCTACAACGAGTTGCCCGTGCAGACGCGCGACAGTCCGCAAGATGCCCTTCTCCCATCACAGCCATTCCGGTCAATTCTGTCCAGGCCATGCGCGCGACAGTCTGGAAGACGTGGTCTTGGTGGCCATCTCCAAGAAGATGCAGATGCTAGCAATGACGGAGCACATGCCCCGGCATGACCAAGATCGATATCCCGAAGAGATCGATGCAGGGAGGACCCTTGCATCTCAGTTCGACAACGAAAGCGCCTATTTCGCCGAGGCCTCGAGATTGCGGGAGAAGTACAGACAGCAGATCGAGCTACCCATTGGTTTCGAAGGCGAATGGATTCGACCCGAGTCAGCCGACCTTGTGCAGCGGAGCATTGCAACGCACCAATATGACTTCTTCATTGGATCAGTCCACCACGTCCATACAGTCCCCATCGACTATGACAGCGAGATGTACCAACAAGCACGCCAGATCTCGGGTGGGTCGGACGAGAAGCTTTTCGAAGACTATTTCGACGCTCAGTTAGCCATGCTGAAGGCTCTCAAGCCGCCTGTGGTGGGACACTTGGATCTCATTCGACTGATGAGCGACAGTCCCAATGGCAGCTTCAAGGCTATGCCTGAAGTCTGGCGGAAAATTCTGCGAAATCTTGACTACATTTCCTCATACGGGGCAATCCTCGAGATCAACACTGCAGGTTTACGTAAGGGCATGGATGAGCCTTATCCAAAGTTAGAGATCTGCCAGGTAATGTTTACCCCACGAATACCACAATTGTCCAGCGAGAAACTCATGGCGTAGGCTGCTTTGGAGCGAAAGCTCCAATTCTGTCTCTCTGATGACAGTCATGGTGTGGACCATGTCGCTACGAACTATGGTCGATTGTTACCTTTTCTTGATGAGGCAGGCATCACCACTTTGTCCTATATACGACGTGGCGGTTTTGCCCAGGGAAAGATAGACCATCGCTTTCCATACCTAGGCGTTGAGGACGTCGGGCTGCGTGAATTGCGCTCTCACCTGTTCTGGAAGAGCTTAGAGACCCCTAATCACTAGTCAGGAGTGATTGGTCGGGGTTGCATGCTTTGCTGGCAACTACGCACAGCGTAGGGCAAGTGATGCACTAAGCACTCACTGACGAACGTTTGTCAGAACGTGGGATGAATGCACATGCTCGACGGCCTTGGCTTGTTGACTTCCTCCACCGATCACTGATATATCTAAACAAGGTAGATCTATGTGCTCCTCCTTCACCGCCATTGAGTCGGGTGATCTCCCCGAGAAACTCCATGAGACAGAAAACAGCTGATCCAGTGTTTTATGGGGCATCCAAGCCGGAGGAGCATACAGCAAAGGTGCAGATCCTTCGGAGAGGACGCCGTGTCTACATATATGATCGGGTCTTGAGGTGTGATGATTGGTTCGGCTAGCCACGATGCTGCAAGGGGTGGACATGGGATTTTATGGTTTGTGGTTGAGCGTTGCAGAAGGCCACCATGCTTGGCTGACGGAGGAAGGCGACGATGCTTCGAATGCAGAGGTCAAAGTTGGCAGCAAGACGCTGTCTTCCTGTGGTCGCATGCTGATCGACACTGACACTATTTTGCTCTGATGGATATTTGCCGTGCGGAGATCGGCCACAATATGAGTAGAAAAAGACCAGAAGGCTGGTGAAGATGTGTTCCCGGCGCAACCCGTGCATGGCAACACTAGCCAGCATTGCTGATCCAGGGTCAGGGTCGGGGTCGGTGTCGACCACCTGCAGCACGCACCGAGAGCTAAGTTAAGAGACTCACACACAATTGATGCAACTGCTGAGTGGAGCTTTGTCTATGGAAGACCAAATCCAAAAGGCAGCGAGGGAAGGCATGAATCCCAAATGTCGGTCGATCCGAAGCTACGTACTTTGTACACACAGCGCTGACAGATGCGTGCGTGCGGAGCGCAAGGATGGGGCCCTGCAATCGGGACCAAGCAAACCTCTATTTGGCATGGTGGGGGATTGTAAAGCCTCCAGTGTGCCTCCAAATAATGCCTGCTTGCAGCTCAAGTTTTGGAGGCAGCAGGGCGTGGACAGAGGTGGGTAGCAAAAGTCCTGGATGCGTAGAGACGCGCCGCAGAGACAATCCGAGTCATCGTCATGAACGGTCGGAAAAATCCCTTTGGGAAAATCGTAAGAGGCTTGAAAGATGCTTCTGTAGCGTAGGGTAGCACTGTAAGGTGGTGCTTTCTTTTTTGGTCTCCCCTTTACGTGACTGTAGGTACGTACCTCTTGAGACTTGTTCCTTCCAGTGCATCGTGTTCCGTTTTCCGGGCTCCATCGTCGTTCGGTAGTTTGGTGGCATCCGACGTCAATATTTTTTATCCTTTCGGCTCGAAATACACCCATGCAGCTTTTTCTTCCTTGCGAGGGAATAGTGTTTCGAGGCGGTCTGCATAGTTTCGAGTTTAATGCTTCAAGGCGTCATCCCCACAGACGTTTTGATGTCTCGGGAGGATCGCCTTTTGTTGTTGAACCTTTCCTCTGCTCGCATCTGTTGTCGTTATTCCAGGGACGTGGCCGCATCAACGGGCTGGTCGGAGAATCCCGTCTCCCTTTCACCTTGCACCAGGCCAAGTCCCGGCGTCCCGCAGAGTCGTGAATCCAAGTGCTGCTAGACGACGCCAAATGCCAGATCATGACCCCCTCTGGGTACGTACCTCTGCAGGTGGAGTAGGTCGTGGCGCTGTCGATGCAATATCCGCTGTATCTCAATGGTCAACCACGCTGTTGGGTGACTTGGTTCCCGCGCCTGGCTCCGATCATGCCAAAGCCTATTTGGCGAACAGCCATGACCCATCGACCTTGTCCAAGACGAGATGCTGCAGCAAAACATGGCGTTGCGCCATCCTCCGCTTTGGGTGTGTCACACTTGACTTTCTGGCCCCATTATGCGCAGCCAGCAGGTCAAACAGTCAAACTCCTCTCGGGGTCTTTTTCCACCCTTGAGTTGCTGCAAAAAAGAAGATCTCAACTCTAATTGACAGCTGACACTTGGAATCCAGTTTACTGGAGACGCGAAAGACTTTTTACTCCTAAAGGAACGAGGAAAAGGGGAAAGTCGAGAGAGAGAACATGCCAGTTAGTGCATGCCCCTCAGTTGTTGCCCCTCCATCTGCAGCGTGCTGTTGATACCAGGGTATGTTCCTCTACCCCAGGCCATCATCGTCATCGTCCATTCCTCTTCAACCCTGCCGCATCATTGCTTACATTGGTGGTATCAAAGGTGCGCAAACTGTTTCCTTTTGGAAACAAGAGGATTTCGATTCCCTAAAACGCGAATCTCTTCACCGTTTTGTCACATAGGGTGGCTTGCGTCAATCCCTTGACTTTTCTTCCGCGATCCCGTCCTTGCCCCGCCATTACAGGAATTTTTCCTCTAGGCTGACAGATCATTCTTCCAGTGTTCATACGTTCGCGGCCGGCTCGTCCTGATTAACCCCTGATCCCTGCACCAGTCAAACCAACGTCCGAAGAGACGGTAAGCTCCTCAAGACCCGGCCTTTCGCTAAAGCGCTGTCAGAAAACTGATATGACCCAGCGCTAGCCATGGTTTGGGTAGGTACCTACATAGTCTTTGGTTAGCATGTACCGTTAAGAAATACCAGTTTCTTTTTCCGACGGAAGTGACCTGCGTTACGCCCAGTCAAGTTACGTTAGCCTCTGTCATTCGTGAACCTGTGGCACCATGCTGCCTCCGATCTGGGATCTGGCCCGTTCGCGGACGCTTGCGTTGTCCTGCATAGGGCTTGTGCATTCCACTAAAAAAATGCCTAGGTGAATTGGGAATTGGTATTTGGGAGGCTTTACCGGGCTGTCATATCATCAAGACCCATCGTGCATCATCGAGAGCGTGCACTGATCTTCCCCTATCATAGTTAATTCTGTCTGCCTAAAGCGACTATTCTTGCCTGGAGAAGAGCATCCGAAAGTGTCCACCGCCATCTCTCCACAAGTCGAAGCCATTCATCACTCCTCCCTTATAAAATCATCCATTGCGTCCCAATATCTTACGCCCTGGTAAATTTAAAATTTATCACACTCTTCCCATACATTCTTCAACCACCACTAAGCGACACCTCTGTCCTATTACATCCACAGATCTCTGCTGTATATCACATTGCCCTTAGACCACTCACTGCCCTGCATCATACGGCTTCCGGCACATTCTCATTGTTCGACATCACAGCAATGGCTTCCAAGCTGGAAAAGCGTGTTATCACGCCAGGCAACGGTTCTGACTTTCCCAAACGCGGTGATACGGTCACGATGGACTATACTGGTTGGCTATACGATCCAGCTCAAGCTGCAAATGACTACAAGGGCAGACAGTACGTCGCCACATACCGATTCCAGCCAGCATGGCCAGTGTTTTCATAACTTCTAACTCATATTGCGATAGATTTGACAGCTCGGTCGGACGTGCAGACTTCATAGTCCAGATCGGCATTGGACGGGTGATTCCAGGTATGACGTTTGGCTAACACAAATTCCATGTCGGGTTTCTGACTCTGGCCAGGTTGGGATCAGGGCGTACCTACGATGTCCTTGGGTGAGAAAAGCACTTTGACCATTCCAGGGTGAGTAACAGACGTCTTTCTGTTTTGTTGCATTCTTTCCTTTGGTGTCGGATGGATCCGAATTTGCTCTTTCCATAAGACTCCTTCGTGGCCTCGAGTCAACGCCAGTATAGGACATGATCCTGACGCCTTCTGTCATTGCTTTCATCTCAAGTCTAACAAACGAATATTGAGCTAACCCTCGTGTAGTACTCTTGGATATGGCGAAAGGTTAGTTCTTCTCCTTGAAAACATCGTTCCGAGAAAGGCAGTCTGGCCCGACCGAGGTTGAGGGGAAGAATCTTCAACCTTGGACGGACCTTCCGCAATGCTGTGCAACCACGTTTTGCCATTTTCAGGCCATGTTGCATGCAATGCATGAGACTACAGCTGATCTCATGCCCCTTGGCACCTCGAGCGAAACTAATACATGTGATTTTACAGGGGCTTCCCCGGCTTGATTCCACCTAATTCAACACTGATCTTGTGAGTACATCCCATCTTTTCGTCCTTCTTATAGCATGCCGGGTTCACTCAATGGACATTGTCACAACTCGGAGCCTCAAATTGTGGACCCATGCGTCCTAGGTCATGATTTCAATTTGCGAGGATGTTCAGCATCATTTCCCGTCGTTTTCCTACTCTCTTGACATACAAGACTGCCATTTGAACAAAAGTACCACATCGCTAACCTTGACTTCAGTGATGTACATCTCAAAGCCATCGGCAACAAATCGATTTGATAGGGGGTATAGACTCGGGCGATGAAGCAGGAGATCATCATAGCGTATTCTTTGGGGGTGGGCGGCATACTGTAAACTAAACATCGGTTCATATTAGGGATCAATTTCATCTCGGTATCATCCATCCAGTCCAGACGTTCTGCTCTTTCACCTCGCATGTCTCAAGGCAATGAAATCGATGGTGTTGACGGTGCCGGCGATTTGCGGATGGCAACTTCACCCTAGTGTAGTCGACACAATCAACGAGCATTCTTAGTCTCATGTGCAGTCGACACGCGAGGTGTAGCATAACCTATCGAGCAATGAGCTCCACTTAGCGTCGTTCCAGCATGGCCAGGTGTCCACCTTGCCCTGCATTTGCAGGTGTCTGTGCTATCCTACAAGTATCCAACGAGACAAGATAGGATATGGCTAGTGCAAGAACACTTTAGTAAGTCTACAGAGTCATGATTCATGGTACGCCAGCCTGCATCCCAGGAAGTACCCGTATCCAATGTCTCGGTAGAGTAGTATGCTACCGCCCCGCTAAAAGATCCCGGAGTGCCTTCGTTATGGCATCAGCGGCGCAATCGCCTTTTTCTTCCGGGCATAAACAACACATCAAAGAACTGATGTCTGTTGGACATACCGTCTCCAGAGGGATGCTGTTGGATGACGGGAAGGACCCATTTGAGATAGCTTTGTGCTAACTAAGGAAAGGTAGGCACCTGGTATCGAGAAACAGGGCAGAAGTGGACATTCTCCTGGACCCTCAAATCTATTCGACCATATCAAGTATCGTGCAACTGCTTGAGATGAAGAATACCACCAGCCACAAGCCGTTGCCTCTGGTATATTCAGTTTGACGTCATCTTACATGTCGAAGATGCGACGAATCTTGACTCTTGCAACCTCTAATGTACCGTTGTAGAAGCCAACGGGAGGGCAGGGTCGACCGACACTTGGGGAGGTATAGCACCTTCATGGCATACATCGACTACGTCTATAAGCGAGGGCCAGTCTCAGGCACTAGAGGCTGGGCATCTCCTCCTCTCGTCCAAGACATCTCGCCCGAGACAACTTCTCTGACTAACTCATGGGGGCATCTCACACACAGAGCATCCTTGGCGAAGCGTTGAAGACGAAGCGAAAGCTAGCCGAATGGATCTAGTGTTCATCGCGAATCTTTATCTCGATCATTATCTGACACGGGAGATCGTCTGGGCTGCGCGGGATATGACGGTCGGACACGCCAGAATGACGGTTCTCCTGGGTGCGGACCGTTCCAACCACGCAATGCTCTTCCTACGATAGGTTCGGAGGTTCGGAACTCGATGATCTTCTATCCGAGTGTAGGTTTTCGCCGAGTCAAGGTGCGCCTCTCGGTACAAATCATTGTTATCTGTCATCTTGAACCGAATAGCCGAAGCCGCAGAGGGTACTTGTGTGGACGATCCCCCCAGAAAATTAGGATCTTCAGACCCTAAAGCGAGAGAACTCGGGTATTTTGTCGATACCAAATCTTGATCTATCCCGGGACTTGAGGTCCAGGAGAATACGAAGATCGTATTGGGGTCGTCGAGGATCAACTCACATGCGTCTCCGAGGGGAAAAATGAAGATCTTCATTCACTGGAGCCTCGTGATGCACCACATCCAGCAACTTCAGTGTTCATCAAACGCGCGTCTGCATGCGTAGCTGCTTGTGTTCGCCGAGCATCGAGCCTTGGAGATAGCTGAGGGAATAGGAACGAATATCAAGCGATTTAATGATTCAATTCCTCATCCGGTTGTCTTGGGCGCCGCTAGCACGACATGAATGCATGGTTTTGGCGCACTGTCGACCTACTGCTGTTCCTAGGATAGCATAGGTTTGATGTTTGATACTCGCATGGCCAACCTCGTTTGTTTCGGCAACCCTTATTGTCGTATGAATAGAGTTCAAGCTAACTCTAGGTTCCAACTCCTCTGTTGGCATGATATCTAACTCGATTCATCACCTTATCTGCAGGGGATCTCGATGGGAAAGACCTGTCAAGGCTGAAAGCCTCGGAGCAGTGGACAATAGTCTCGCAATGCGTCTGCATATTCGGTCGTTTCACAATGGCCGATCGATTAGGTCAGCGGGGAAAATACGACGTCGATTGTGGCTGTGGCAGCCACGTTGCGGGACCTGTGATAGTCAGTGGAAACACTTTGCGCCTACAAAATTCCACCCGCTATATCACAAATAGTTATTGAGCCGAGAGAGGCGGTGTCAGGAGCGCGAGCCAGGCCCTGCATCTGTGCTCTTTTTCGTGGCCTACGAATTTTCCCGAATGGTGCTGGGAACTCAAACTTCCAAGGAAGCTCACGGCGAAAGACACTTGTTACTAACTCGCAGTGTAACGCACACATTTAGTGTTCATGATCTCATGTTTTCTGCAACGTCGTCGGAGGGAGGTCCGCAGAAGATTACGGGAGAGGTCCGAGAAATCCCAAACGGAATTCTGCGTCTGGGTATTTCACAGCGCAAAATCCAACATTCGAGAAGGACATTTCCCATCTATGAACGACGATCCTCAGAGATGTTTCGCGCTAACGAGGTTTAGCATGGGGAAACCAGGTCCCAACGTCCTATGGTAGCCTAAGTAGACCATCCTTGATCGGGTTCTGTCAAAGTGACGTGCCAGAGGTGCTAAAGGTGGGGTTTTCCAAGTTTCAAAGAGCTGCCGTTGCTAGCGAGGTTGTGTCGCGCTACTGCATATATGGTACGCTCGGTATGAGGTAAGCTACCCAGGTAGGGATTTGCATATTTTCGGGGTCGCGCATTTGGCCAGCTACACTCCAATAAGTACGGAGTCCTGCGACTTCGGTTGCATGCGGATGATCTTCGATGACGGCCACACGAAGAGATCTACAGCGCATGGGCCAAGCACAGCGTGATTCAAGTCTTGGTGCGCTAACATTTAGTCCCTAGGAAAATACATATGGTAATTGGTAATTGGTACCTACGGCTTGCAGTAGTACATGGTATGCCTACGCACTAAGATTGTGGATGCCGGACTTTAGCTTGGTTTCCCTCGGCATGGACGTTCGTGAGTGAGGCTCGCATATGATGAGTATTTGATACTCGGTTTTACTAACTTACACATTCGGCATGGGTGATCGGGTCGGCTCGGTAAAGGACCTCGCTTCGATGCAATAGAATGGCGGTGTGATGGTGAAATCGTCTTGAATGCTACGGTAACGTTGTGAGTCAGAGATTGCTCAGCAAATCCAAGTTTTCACTTGTGGTCATGGAGGGTGAGGTGGGCATATGGAAACCGAAATTCCTGGTACTCCGGCCGGGATGATTTCGAACTTCGGCCTTCATGCGCCGCACCGGCGCACCCACCAGAACCTGGTCATTCTTCATCTTCCGAAGTCTCAAATCTTTTTCTTGGCTCACATCTGTGGAATTGGATAGATCCGTAGATGGTCGTCCCCTCTCACATGGCATGGCGATGAGAGAAAGAAAGAAAGACCTCGAAAGGAATACCATAGTTGCTATGGTTAACGAGGGCTGGGACGCAAAGAGGACGAGAAGTCTCTGTCCCGCCTATATCGTCACCACCTCCTTGACTTTCCGGTCCTGGCCGACAATGAGTCGTAATTGTCTGCCCTGCCAGTCGGTTTTTGTGTCTTTGAAGACACCGTCGCGCAATGTGTCCGTGTACAGCTCGTAGGCTGGGTAATATCCGTCGACAAAGTGTTTGACCTGCTCATCCGTCATGCCGGAGCCGCGTGAGGCGCGCAGGTTGGCTTCCTGCTCGAGACGCCATTTGTACACGTACAGCGGATCCGCGGCGTCGATGTGGATAAATGCGTCCAGCTGTGAGGTGAGTTCGTCGTATGTCCTGAGGGCGTCGTTGATGGCCATGACGCTCTTCAACGTGTTGTGGCCGAGTCGACCCTTGTAGGGGTTGGAAGGTGTTGAGTTCTGCAGTGCTGATACTGCTGCTGCATGTTTTGCTTCGAGGATTTGTGGGGTTAGTGGCCGGAATCCGACGGACCAGCCCTCGAAAAGCACTACGCGGACTGGCGAGGATGGGTCGGTGTTGACTTCCTCCCATTCACTCTCAGGGACTCGGTCGCCTTGGCCAGAAAATGCGGCTTTGTTGTATTGTGGAATTTTGGTCGGTTTGCTGGCTTTCAAGCTTGCGAATACGGACAGGCCTAGTGGGACGTCGTGCGTCGAGGGTTGGCCTCGATGTTGTAGCAGCGGATTGTCTGGGTGAGATTGGGCCAACAAGACTTGGTCGCCATGCGTGAGGTAGAGGTCATCGAGAGAGAATACTACTGCTGAGAGATTGTGTGGAGGAGATGACAGTGTCTTCTTCAGAATGTCAACCAGAACGGATTTGCCAGCGCCTTGAACACCATTGAGCCCGATGAAGAAGGGCGGTGGATTGGAGTTGTTAGCATGTTGAGTTTGGTGTTGAGATAGCAGGGAGAGGATGAATGGGACCACATGTTGGGCTTTGTCATCCCGGATTTCAGACATGATGAGAGCTGACTCGCAGGTCAAGAGTCGCCATGAGATCGTGTCAAGTCAGATCAGGACGACGTCGAGATATCGTTATCTGCTAATCCGAGATTTGACATCAAGATGAGCGGCTAAACAATCGACCGGAGAGCCGCAGAGAGTATGCCGCCTATCTCGACAAGGGACAGCCCCACAGAATGAAGATCAGAGTATATATTGATGGTGGTAACGAGGTATGGCTTCTTCCTCGTCGGTATATACTGACAAGATGGGATAGATCACAAACCTAAGTGACATTGACGATGAGGTTTGTCAGGTGAGCATTGAGGACTTCACCCGCGTTTCACATGCATGCCGAAGAAAATTGCCCTGTCAACGGTGGAAAAAGGTGGAGGTCGGGGATCGGATGGGAGCCAGAGCTTTTGCCGGATGCTGACAACTGAATATGTGCTCGTCTGACAGAATGATCGACCAAGATACAGGGTAAGTTTGGGGCAGATATCCTGTCAGTCAAGAAGAAGCCCCACGTGACATTTTCATTGCCGTTATATTGAGACTCGGTCAAATGTGCCTCGGCTCATTCAGTTGCAATTGCCATTCTCAGCAAGTCGCAGTCTGTATAAACGAAGTTGACATCCTTTCATCATCGTCCCGATCCATGCCCATCTCTCCTTCTTCTTTCATTGCACCCTCTATATCTCAAATTGAAGATATTTTCTGTTCACAAACCTCACGAGTTCCTCTTCTCGTAGTACAACCGAGCCTGTTGTTCTCCTCCCCTTCCTAATCCGCATGAGCCGCAGGTAGAAGAGATGGTACAAGAGCTTCGTTTTGATAACCAGACCGTCGTCGTCACTGGCGCTGGCGGTGGTCTGGGAAAGGCATACGCACTATTCTTTGCGTCCAGAGGTGCCAATGTCGTGGTAAACGACTTGGGTGGCTCTTTCAAGGGTGAAGGTGCTGGCACAAAGGTCGGTGTTTTCTGTCACATGCTTCGGTCATACAATCTGACGTATGACAATTCCGCAGGCTGCAGATGTAGTAGTCGATGAGATCAAAAAGGCTGGCGGCAAAGCCGTCGGCAACTACGACAGCGTCGAGAATGGCGACAAAATCGTTCAGACTGCCATCGACAACTTTGGCCGAATCGATATCCTCATTAACAATGCCGGCATCCTGCGAGATATCAGCTTCAAGAACATGAAGGATTCTGACTGGGATCTCATCAATGCTGTCCATGTCAAGGGTGCGTATAAGTGCGCAAGAGCCGCCTGGCCACATTTCCGAAAACAAAAATACGGCAGAGTCATCAACACTGCTTCGGCAGCAGGTCTCTTCGGCAGCTTTGGTCAATGCAACTATTCTGCTGCCAAACTCGCCCAGGTCGGCTTCACCGAGACTCTGGCCAAGGAGGGACAGAAATACAACATTCTTGCTAATGTCATTGCCCCTATTGCCGCCAGCCGCATGACCGAAACAGTCATGCCTCCCGATGTTCTGGCCAACCTCAAACCTGATTGGATTGTCCCCCTAGTGGCAACGCTGGTCCATTCCTCAAACACAACCGAGACTGGTGGTATCTTCGAAGTTGGAGGTGGTCACATGGCCAAGCTGCGGTGGGAACGTGCCAAAGGTCTGCTTTTGAAGGCTGACTCAACCTACACTCCTGGCGCAATATTGAAAGGTTGGGCCGCCGTGAACGATTTCTCCGAGCCCGAGCACGCCAGTGGTGTTGCAGATATGGTCTCCAAATTGGAGGATTCGTTAAAAATGGGAAGCAATGACCTTGGCGAAGAGATCAGATTCGACGGCAAAGTTGCGCTGGTTACTGGTGGCGGTGCTGGGTATGTTCATACAAGTTGCAGGGCATTGCGTTTGCTGACGTATCTTCTAGTCTGGGTCGAGCTTACTGTTTGGCCTTTGCCAAACTCGGCGCTTCCGTTGTCGTCAATGACCTTGTGAACCCCGACACAGTCGTCCAAGAAATTCAGAAACTTGGTGGAAAGGCTGTTGGCAATAAGGCTGATGTCAATGATGGTGACGCAGTTGTCAAGACTGCCATTGACACCTTCGGCAGAGTTGATATCTTGATTAACAACGCTGGAATTCTCCGAGACAAGGCCTTCGGCAATATGAGTGACGAACAGTGGGAACAGGTCATCAAAGTCCATCTACGTGGTACCTACAAAGTCAGCAAAGCAGCTTATCCTTACATGGTGAAGCAAAAGTACGGTCGCATCGTGAACACCACGAGTACCAGTGGTATCTATGGCAACTTTGGACAGGCCAACTATGCAGCAGCTGTAAGTTTTCCGATCCCTCAGACTCAGTGATTGCTAACGTGTCTAGAAATGTGGTATTCTCGGCTTCTCTCGATCTCTTGCTCTTGAGGGACGGAAGAATAACATTTTCGTCAACACCATTGCACCGAACGCTGGTACCGCAATGACCAAATCAATCCTGCCCGAGGAGTTGGTGCAAGCCTTCAAACCCGACTACGTCGCTCCTCTTGTGCTCCTGCTGTGCTCTGATAAGGTTCCAGATCCACCGACAGGTCTTCTCTTCGAGGTCGGCAGTGGTTGGCAAGCCCGTACAAGGTGGCAGCGGTCTGGCGGCGTTGGCTTCCCAGTCGACGTTCCACTGACTCCCGAGCTTGTCGTTGAGAAGTGGTCAAAGGTTGTTGACTTTAACGATGGCCGTTGCGACTACCCAGAAACCCCTCAAGATGCCCTCAAGTCAATCATGGCAAACATGGAGAACAAGAGCAGTAAAGGCTCCGAGTCAAGCTCTGAGAAGACAGACTTCCTTGCCGCGATTGAGAAAACTAAGCAGGCCAAGGCTGATGGGACCGAGTACAACTACGAAGATCGCGACGTCATCCTGTACAACCTCTCGGTTGGCGCGAAGAGAACGCAGTTGCCTCTTGTTTTCGAAAACGACGACAACTTCCAGGTCTTGCCGACGTTCGGTGTCATTCCACCTTTCAATGCAGTGCCTCCCTTCTCCCTGGACGAGCTTGTACCCAACTTTTCACCCATGATGCTGCTCCATGGCGAGCAGTATCTGGAGATCAGGAAATTCCCTATCCCAACTGCAGCAAAGACATTGTCATATCCTAAATTGGTCGAGGTAGTAGACAAGGGCAATGCCGGCATTGTCGTCACAGGCGTTGTCACAAAGGATGCGAAGACTGGAGAGGATCTCTTCTACAATGAGTCTACCGTGTTCATTCGTGGCGCTGGGGGCTTCGGAGGTCCGAAGAAGGGCGCCAACCGTGGTAATGCCACCACGGTATACCAACCACCTAAGCGTGCTCCAGATGCCGTTGTCGAGGAGCAAACCACAGACGACCAGGCAGCCCTCTACAGACTAAACGGCGATCGAAACCCTCTACATATTGATCCGGAATTCAGCAAGGTCGGTGGTTTCAAGGATCCCATTTTGCACGGTCTGTGCTTCTTTGGCTTCAGTGGCAAGCACGTCGTGCAGACCTTTGGCTTGATCAAGAACATCAAGGTCCGCTTCGCCGGCACCGTGATTCCAGGCCAGACTCTGGTGACCGAGATGTGGAAAGAAGGCAACAAGGTCATCTTCCAGACCAAGGTCAAGGAGACTGGCAAATTGTGCATCGCTGGTGCTGGTGCTGAACTGCAGGGATCTGCAAAGCCAAAATTGTAAATCTAGCAAGAGATATGGTCGGTCGATTAGAATAGCTTGAACGTTTTGGAACCCGATCATTTTAAAAATGGGCTATTTTGTGTAGTTGTTTTTGTTCATCAGCTACTACGACAGAGTGGACTCCGGATACTGTCTTTGCCTTAGGTATGACGCTCAAAGCATCAGAAAAGACGACAAACCTCCTTCCAGAAAATTTGGCACCATCTGACCGTTGTCGCTCTACAGATTCAGATAGATACTATGCTTCTTGTCGTCCTGGAACCCTTTACACACCATGATATAGCATTAAGCTTTGGCAGGAGGACGCGCATCAGCTCCACCGTCCATTCGCACCAGCTTCAAGTCAAGGCATTGCTGTCGCGAACCCGCTGGACCATGTACGGTGCCAGTTTTTCTGGACACAGGCTCGACGGGCCGGTCAGGCTACCACAGAAAAGGGGCTCGCATCCCGAGGTATGGTGGCACACCTACAATGACACCAGCACGGACTATTGGCCGACCTTCAGTCCCCGCACATAATGGGCGTGACCCAACGCCCGGCGCCCTAGGTAGGCAGTCGGTAGGACATCCTGCAGATAAGTATGGTCGTCCAGCGAAAGACGGAGAGTCTCCGCAGGGCCCAAAACTGTCCGGCTATGCAAAGGTTCTCCGCGTCTGTCCCCCGCAGTTGTGGTCGTAGAGTTGGAGCAGACGACGAGGGCAATAAGTGTCGATGGACGTGGTAGGACGAAGAGTAGACTTATGTTATTCGCCAAATGAGAACAGCTTGGATTACGCATCTCAATTCCTGTGTCCTTCTCCACAAGATAACCTCTATACAAGCTTGGAAGACAACTCGGTATCGAGCGAGTACGCTTCTACCCACCTCGGCAAGACCGCTCGGCAAGACTTACACGACAATGGGGTCCATGGCAACCAAAGGACCCTTCAAGAAGGAGATACCTTATGAGGTGAGATATCTTCCTCCTAGTCGATGCAAACATGTGGTTTGACTGAGGCAATAGTTCAAAGATGCCTCTCTCATCGATACGAGATCATTGATTGGGGGCCAATGGGTAGATGCCTCGTCTGGCAAGACCTTCAAACTTACTGGTGAGAGTCGTGCACTGCTTTTCGCGGAAGGAAGTGCCTCCTAATCCGATGTAACAGACCCAGAGGACGATGCCGAGATCTGTGACATTGCCGACCTGAGCGGTGACGATACACGGAAAGCCATTGAGGCGGCGAGTAAGGCTTTCGAGACGTACAAGCGCACTCCTCACCGGGAGCGAAGGTGGCTTATGCGGCGGTGGGGCGATGAGATCAAAGCCAACAAAGAGGATCTCGCTGCCTTGTGTACCCTCGAGCTAGGCAAACCGTATACCGAGTCCCTCGTGACGGTGAACTATGCTATTGACTTCATCGACTGGTTCGAAGGAGCCGTGGAGCGTACCTTCGGCGAAACAATCCCGGCTTTTCGTGGCAACAACAGAATCCTCACCATCAGGGAGCCTCAGGGAGTGGTCGCTTGTATCACGCCGTGGAACTCTCCTGTGGCGATGGTAACTCGTAAAGTGGGTGCGGCGATTGCAGCTGGAAACACAGTCGTGTGCAAGCCTGCTCCGGAAACTCCTCTTTGCGCCATCGCCCTTGCCAAGCTCTTTGAAAGGGCTGGTGGTCCTCCCGGTGTCTTCAACGTCGTCACTTCTGGCGCTGAGAACACCCCCTCGGTCGGGAAGGAATTGTGTAGTCACCCTGCCGTCAAGCACCTCAGCTTCACGGGGTCGACGGCCGTTGGCAGACTGCTGAATACGGAATGTGCAAAGACGATCAAAAAGACCAGTCTCGAACTGGGAGGGAACGCACCGTTCATTGTTTTTGAAGATGCCGACCTTGATAAAGCTGTGCCAGGTATGCTCATCACACAGTCCTTAGCGAAAGTGTGCTAATCCGCTCCAGGGCTCATCACCTCCAAGTTCCGATCATCTGGACAAACGTGCGTTTGTGCTAACCGGATATACGTGCAAGCTTCGATATTGGAGAAGTTTGCAGAAGCCCTGTCAAAAGGGCTCGAAAAGACCTTCACTTACGGGTCGGTCTGGGACAAGAAAGTGAACTTCGGACCTCTGTATGCAGGCAAGGCGGTTACCAAAGTCGAGGCTCATCTTGAGGACGCTCTCAATCAGGGTGGGAAGGTATTCCACGGGGGCACGGACAACAGCCGTGGACCGAACTTCTTTCCTGCCACCGTCGTTAAGGGCGGTAAGGATGGCATGAAATTCATGGAAGAGGAGACGTTTGGTCCGTTGGCCTTCCTTGTCCCATTCGAGACAGAGGAGGAGGTCATCAAGATGGCCAATACTACCGACGTCGGGCTGGCAGCGTACTTCTACACTGAAGACATTTCACGACTGTGGAGGGTCAGCGAAGCGCTCAAGGTCGGTATGGTCGGTGTCAGAGTTGGCCTTGTCAGTGCTGCAGAGGCACCCTTCGGCGGTGTTCTGGAGAGCGGTCTTGGTCGAGAAGGAGGGATTTCTGCTTTGGAAGAGTATCTGGACATTAAGAGTATCACTATCGGGATATGAGGAGTAGTTAGACTCACCTCAGGACTCTCCCAACGAGACATACAGTAAATAGTGGAGATGAATGAGAACACCCGTCGACAAGGAGAACCGCGCCGTGCGTTCTGGGCCTCGATAAGGGAGGAAGAAGTGCGGAACAGCTCCGTTGCAGCCCACTTCTGTGGCCACAAATCTGGCGTTACATATTCTTATGACCCCAAAAATCAGCTGATTTCTGTGTCCCAGATTCGACGAACAAATTCTCCAGAATTTTGGCTCAATGGTCTAGTGGTGTCCGTTTTACCTCTCCTGGTCAATATACATCCAGTTCTGATCTTGCCACAGATGATTGTCGCTTCGGGTCACCCTCGTGGTTGTGAACAGCCACCCAAATGTGACAGGTCTCGGGTGGGTTGGACGTTTTCTTCATTTGTGAAGTCGTATTGACCATCTTAGGTTCGAATCCCGATTGAGCGTGAGTGGCCTTCAAAATAATTCCAATATATCTTGGATCCTAACATACCTCAGCCCATGCCAAAGATGCATAACTTTTTTTTTGGCTTTGTAATCAATCACGTGTACCAAGAACGCAGAAGTGGAGTGGAACCGCAAAATCGGTGACAGCGCAAGCAAATTAGGTTTCATTGCAGCCATAAGGCTACTCGGCTTCTCGTCAGCCTTATCCGTACTTGTATCGCCGCCTCACATCCGTAATCAACTACACTACATTTCTTTATGCCTACCTGACCTAGACTCCCTTCTGATCATGTCGACTGTCCACGGCCATTGTGATGTGGCTTCAGTCAAAGTCGTCCAAACGCCCTGCTAGTTCCTCGCCCTCCACACCCCGAGCCACGCCTCCTACGCCGCGAGCGACATCTCCAGGCTCCACTCTCAGCGAAGTACTACGCAAGAATCCCTTTCGCGCGGGCTCCAGAGAGTCTTTACCGCGGATACAGAAAGATGAAGACACTTCAAAATGCTTGAATAAAGACCTCCATGTCCTTGCCGATCTCTTTCCCGATGTCAAGATTGAAGTCCTCCGGGAGTTACTCGTTCGATTCGACGGAGACAGTAGACTCCCGATATGCACCGAGCAACTGCTCAAATACAAGGTGGAGTGGGCTAGAGGGCGCATGATTACACCACCACGAGATTTGGAGGAGCCGCTTCTTGTCGACGACTTGTTCAGGACGAAAGAATACATTGACGCTGTCAAATGGATAGTCGCACGGGAGTTCAGTGCACTCAGCCGGAGCGCCATTGACGCAGTACTGGCCGAAGTCAACTATTCCTACACACACGCGCGACCTACGCTGCAAGTCATTGCGAGCAGATCATGGAAGAATACATTCACAAGCCTATTCAAGAAGAGGCGATCTCAAAGTGAGGCTCCGTCAGTACTTCTGGAGAGGACGAAGTCGGAGCCCGGCGGCGCGAAAATGCTGACTACAGGAAGCCTCGAACTGGACCAGGAACTGTCGACGCTGTTCATGACGCCGGTCCAATCCCAGAGAAAAGACCAGCAAGTTATTGACTTCGAACTAGCCCAGGCACTCAATGTAAAAGAGGCAGAGGAAGCAGGCGCCTTGTTTGAGTGTCAGGTGTGCTATAACGATGTCCCCTTCGAAGATATCTCATCATGCACCCAGTCGAATCACACGATTTGTCTAGACTGTGTACGACGCACCCTGCACGAAGCCATTTTCGGACAAGGCTGGGCTAAGTCAATCGACGTTGAACGCGGCACATTGAGGTGCCTTGCATCGGCAGCGGAGGACTCTTGCGAAGGCTTCGTACCTCAAGACCTTGTCCAACGAGCCATTCTCCGTGAAAGCTCAGGCAGTGAGACATGGACCAGGTTCGAGGATCGTTTGGCTGAACACAACCTCCAAATGTCCGCCATACCCATCATTCGTTGCCCATTTTGCTCGTACGCCGAGGCCGAGCAAGTCTACGGTACCCCCTCAGCCGCGAATTTGACCTGGAAGTTCCGTCGACCCAGCGGCATTAACATCTTCCTGTTCATTTTGCTCCTTGAGCTCCTCCCCAGCATATTCTTCCTGCTCATTCCTATTATGCTGCTGCTGCCAAAGTATTCCATGTCCCTCTTCTACACAGCGCTCGGCCACGCTGCGTCGACAAGACACACTACACGTTTCATCTGCCGACGACCCTCCTGTTTGCGGAAATCCTGCCTCAAATGCTCAAAGGCCTGGCACGATCCGCACGTCTGCCACGAGCCCTTAATTGTCTCACTGCGCACCACCGTCGAAGCTGCGCGGACCGCAGCCATCAAGCGCACCTGCCCGCGCTGCGGGACCAGCTTCGTCAAGTCGTCCGGCTGCAATAAGTTAACCTGCGTATGCGGGTACAGCATGTGTTATCTGTGTCGGAAGAACATTGGCAAAGCGGGCGCGAACGCCGATGGTGGCGAAGGATACAGGCACTTCTGTGAGCATTTCCGTCCAACACCAGGCTTGAAGTGCACCGAATGTGACAAGTGCGATTTATACCGTGCCGAAGACGAGGATGCGCAGGTCAAGCGTGCGGGCGAGGAGGCTGAGAAGTTGTGGAGGGAAAGGGAAGGCATGATCGGTGTTAAAGGGCTAGAAGATGCTGTGGGGAATGTTGCTGGCGAAGATACCTTATGGCGACAGTTTTGGGAATGGAAGTGGAGTATACAAGGCGTTGTGGATGGTCTGGTGGATCGGTGTATCGTCGTAGACATTGATTAGGACGAAGGAAATGAGCGTCTCGATACGCCGAATGGACAATGATGATCCCCCCAATCGCATTTGGTGCCGAGTGCGCTTAGAGCCAATGCTATTTCTAGACTATGTGCAAGCAAGGCTGAATGTGATTACAGTCAGAAGTATTCTCTTTCATTTGCTTTGTCCCCTTAGCTACTCAGCTATGTCATACAAGTAGAGTGCTGCACACCCAGTTCTGCTTCGGTACTACATACATCAGGAGATCAAAAGCCGCAAGAGATATCTGGCTTGCCCCTAATGAGTACTGCTTGCAGATCAGTCTTCGAAGAGTGATCGCTTCCGTCCACAGGCTTAGAAGCTTCACCAACACACCAATGCTACTTGGTCTGGGTTAAGCTTTACAACTCACACTTCAAACCACACCAGATCAAACCACACCAGGCCTCAATTCGTAGCGACTCGTCGACTCTGTACTTGAGAATCTCGTCCTTGTGAAATTCCTTGTTGCAGCCCGCACAATCGTACCATGGCTTCAAGATCCCCAATCTGTTCTCCGTCTTGGGTTTCGACTCCTTGAGTAGTGACTGCTTGATGTTCCACACAGTCGGCTCGTATTTGAGCATCATCTCGACTATCGGCTTGTGTTCAGCGATGATGGCATGGTTCTCGAGACACAGGATCAGGACCGGATTTCGCAGGCGCAGATCGTTTTCACGAGTCGAGTCGAACATGATCTTGAGCGGCTCTGCCAAAGTGTCGGGAGCGAGAGTCAAGGCAATCTCGGCCACGTCTAGAAACCTCGAAGATGCAATGCCCTTCAGACCTTCTACCCCCAGCATGTCCGCGGATCTGTAGACAAGAGCGTGAATCCTCAGCAGGCGCGTCAAGGCCTCGTTCTCCTTGGGTTGAACCGATGAAATGGCCGGCACACTTTGGGATTCTGATTTCCTAGTGACTCCTTCAAGATAGGACGGCACTGTTTTGGCCTCGTAGTCGTTCGTGTAGAGATAGAGGAGAACCCTGGCCAGAATCTCTGGATCGTCTTCGGAAAGATCAATGCGCCCTTCACTTGCCTCCTGAGTAGCCGTCAGCATACGCTCTCCTAATGAGAAGAACACCCCAGTCTTACCACGTATAGCCCGCCGCATGCTTTATCGAGCATTGGCGACGCTGCACAAACAATTGCGCGATGAACTTTGAATTCATAGCCTTGACAGTGGATGATGAAGTCAGAGTATCGGCCAAATGCGAGAAGCTCGAGATACGCATTCAGAAGAACACCCGCCATGATGAGTAGGTGTGGCAACACGGTCAGGTCGGAATGCAAGGAAAGTCTGAGAGGAAAGAGAACGTTCAGGGCTGAAAGATCTTGATGGTGTTGTTTGAACTTTGTCACTTACAAAGGAAGGCAGAATCACTGCCTGAGTGACTGTCCTTCACCGTCCAGCGCAGGCAGTTCTGCCGCCTCTTCTGGATTCACTGCCTCCGAAGGACGCCAACTGTACAACTCAACGGCAACCGAGGCTGGTCTTCCTCGCAGGCTCGTCAAGACAGGCGTCGACCCAGAATCGGACAATTTTCCAGACCATGCTCCTCAACCTCCATTGGCTATGCTGGCTTGCAGACAGGGCATTGGATTATCAAGTCTCCACCGTTCATAATCAGTCGCATCTGACTGACTAAAGCCCTATGCTCGCAACCTTTCGTGCGCAGCTCCTTGTTGCATTTGCTCACTTCTCCGTAAAGCTTGATTAAAACTCCCGACCTGGTTTCAGCAGGCGTATTCCCATCCCAGCGCTTCAAGAGCTCCACAAAAAAGTTCCAGACATTCGGCTCATGTTCCTCAATGACTTCGACAGTCTTCTTTCGGATCTCCAGCAAGTCATGGTTCTCAACGCAGAGGCGAGTGACTTCGAATCTGAGATCACGATCGTCGGGACTGGTGTTTTCGTATAGCAATCGAAGGGGGTCATCGAACCCATCCATCTCGTATGCCACCTGTGCGTCTCTCATGAATCGGGATGAAGCAATCTCTTTCAGTTGTTCAAGGCCCAGCATATCTGCGCATTTGTAAATGAGAGCAGTGACCTTCAGAGAACGCATCATCCCAATCTCATCGATGTCTTTAAATGGTCTTCCCCGCAGTCTCTCCTCTTCATCCTCATCGTCATCATGTACCAATTGTCTGTAAAACGATGGAAGTCGGTTATCCTCGTAGTCGTTCGTGTACATGAATAGAATTACTCTCGCCATGATTGAAGATTCCTCTTCTGGGAACTTGACACGGCCGCTGAGAGCTTCCTGCAGAGTACATTAGAAATTTCAAAATAGCATCGGGAGGCTCGAGTCATACTTCAAAAGGTCCGCTGCATGCTTTATCCAGCATGACAGACTGCGCACAGACCACGACGCGGTGAACGTTGAATTCAGCATCTGAGCACTCGATGATGAGGTCGGAGTACTTCCCAGAGTTCAAGAACTCAAGGTAAGTGCTATCTGAGAGGACCGCCATTGTCGCTTTGTCTGGGAGTTTCGCAGCGCAAGGTTGAGCTGATTTCGTAGGAGTACGTGCAGGCATGAATCGAGAGAAGTGGCGGACAGAGATTCACTTGGACAGCAGTATCGCAGACAGTCGGTAGAAGTGTTTGCTCTTCCGACCATACTTCATTGTCCAGTGCTGGCACATCTGCTGCATCGAGAGAATCTACACCTCTGAAGGCGGCGTAGGAATGGTGACCTCCCTTGATCCAGCAGTGTCCGACGCGATCTGTGCCTCTTTCACTTCCCGTGCTGGTGCTCGATTCACATACCCAGGATCCGGTGAGGGCCAGGCATAGTCCACCCACTCCTGTCCAATGACTTCTCGTATGCCTTTTGCAAGCACGCGAACATTCTGCCTCCGCCAAAGAGACCATTCATGGTCGCTGACGGCGTTCGAAGGGGTGATTGTACCAGGTTCGGCATCAAAATCATCGGCCAAACCGTCAAGAACACTTCTCCATACTCGCATCGTCTCATCGAGCTCCTCAACCTTGCTGACGCCCATTACAGACACCCCAAGTCTTTTGCGAGGTATGCTGATTGCACTTCCATACGATGGCTCGGTGTTGGCCAGAGGATTCCCAAGCACTCCCACTTTTGCCCCTTCGCGGAGCCAGTTTTCGAGACCAAATCTGATCGCAACGACTTCGAGTTTCTCTCCCTTCGAGTCTGCCCATTTCGCTGCGTCGATGCACGCCTGTCGCAGACCATCGGGTGCAGGATGCCAGTCGCCCATGGCACCCAGTGGAATTCCCGTCCGCCTAAGCAAGCCCATGCCAAGTAGACTGGCGTTCGTAACGACATCGACACCTGCATTGACAAGTCGTTGAAGACCGTCAGAGAGGAGCTTTGTGGTTTGCAGGGTAAAGTTCGCATACGACTGCACAATATCGATGGACTCTCCCGTTTCACGGAGGATCATTTCCGCCAGATCACAAAGTATGTCGACTGGATAACCCGAGATACCGACATATTTGAGCGTCCCTTCTTCGTCACGTATCCTGCGAAGCTCGGTAACTGCTGTAAGTACCTCTTGTGGTGAAACGAACTCGCAGTCATGGCAATAGACGACGTCGAGGTAGCTGGTCTTGAGGCGTTTACAGCTTCTTTGCACGCTTTCCCGCACCCATTCGGCAGAATAGTCGAAAACATCAGAAGCGACTCGTCCGACCTTGGTGAGGATGAAATACTTCTCGCGGGGATAGTGTGTACGAACTAGGTCGGTATCGAGAGCGGTCCCCAGGATTTCCTCGGCTGGCCCGTAATAGGGCGAAGTGTCAAAGGCATATACTCCCTGTGCAAGAGCTTTCTGGACAAGAGGGGTCGGGCCCAAAGCATATGGATCTACATTGTACTATGCAGCGGCGTCAGCAATGGGACAACCCAAAGAACGCCCAGCATCCTGTACCTGATAGTTGAAGGTGGCGGTCCCGAAGACTAAAGGCGGAAGTGAGTCTGACAAGGGTGAGACTGGTCTAGGCATAGCTTGTGAGTCCTCGCAAAGTGGACGGAGTGCAGCAAAGATGCAAAAGTGAGATAGTGAGAGAAATGTGTACAGATATACTGACATTTGTCCCGGCGGTCAAGATTGATATTGGACACCCAGAATCGAGTCCTTTCCAAAAGCGATTGCGACATATATCTGCTGTGGGGCGTACCTGCCGAGCCAAACCACAGAAAAAGTGGCACCGCCTGACAGGGAGTACATCAACAATATAACTTTGATGGTGATACGAGACAGGAATACAGGTCAGAATCACGATAGGCGTCAAGTGTGATGGTTGTACAAAAGATAATGCAGCCTTGATTGCGATGGCCAGACAGAATCAAGGCCTACGCCACTCAGATCCTGAATGCACTTACATTGGCCGAGATCGTGCATGATGCTGCATATCTCGAAACCCTTGTTCATGGGTACGTTGAAAACCATACAAGCATATCAGACAGCTTGCCAGATACGGATATGACATTGCCTTCCGACTCTCGTGACGCAACACCATAGTATATACCATCCTGCAAGATCGCACATGTGTACGTCGTCGGAACCATCATGCCATGGTTATAGCTCCGTGTCAGGTGAGGATCAGGAAGAAAGATTCGGAACTCGTAGAGGGCCGTCGAGTTGACTAGTTGTTGTTCCCGGTAACGGGCCTTCCTTGCTGCTCCCCACCTTATGCCCATCTGCACCTCTTCCAAAGTAACCACCTGAAGAGCACGAAACAGGACCAGCTGTCCGTGGCATGCCTGACGGCGGTCAACATCTTCGGGGATTCTGAGTAGAGATCTCTTCAATCAAACCCATCTCTTCGATTGCCTCCAATGTCCTCGAAACCATGAAACATTCCCATGCCATAACGTCTCGAGCCACACGTCTGCGCAGGCCACCAAAAATAGTCCTCCATGTTGTGTCCCTCTATACAATGCCATGTCAGATCGGGGATGAATCGACGACCATTCGGTGGTCAAGAGAATGCATAGAAATATCCTCAATATTGTACAATCCCACTGCTTTGTTTTTTCGCCATCCAACGCCGTACGCTATGCATGCTTTCCACCGAAAAAGAGGAGTGAGATGCGCCCGCGAGTATATCCACCACGTCGCTGGAGCCGTATAGTTCTTGTTACCGTCCTTGGGTAGACGGTTAGCACCGAAGGTCAGTCTTTGTACATTTTGGGCTTCCAACCTTCTTTGATCTCTTTCTCTAATTGCGCTTTGCGTTCGGCGGCCCGGGCTTCTGCTTCTATTCGTTCCCTTGCTCGCAGGATCTTGCTCTGTAGGTAGAATGATCCGCCGCCGGTCTTCTTGGGTTCATTTAGATCGTATAACTTCTTGAATCGTTCCATAACACTTTCCATATTCGTCGTGCCGCCTTGAGGCGGTTTTACGTTCAGGATCCTGCAGGCTTCGTCGAGAGTCATGCCGGAGGCGGATGTGTTGATGACGCCAGGGCCGCCACTCTTCGCAGCGGCTTTTGCATATTGTGATGAAGCTTGAGCTTGTTTATATGCTTCTGCGAAAGCTCTTCCAAACACTCGGCCGCCTGTTAAGACGATTTGAGCGATAATTCGGTGCGCCTAGCTAAACGTCAGGACTTGTGTTCGCTGTGTCAAGACACATAACAAGTACTCACCATCGGGTCCCGTTTGCGAAAACCCCAGCCGTCCGAAAACCAATATGGCAAGAAGCGAACAAGTGTTGTTGTTGAGGCGGCAAGTTGGAGGAAATTCTTTTGATTGTACGAGCATCTGAGCATCGGCGAATTCTGAATCTGAACTCCGCTCCTTCATTTACCATCCACGTGATCATGGCATATATATTGACGTAGCCCAAAGAATTAGAACAAACCAACCGCGGCTGGCCGATCAATCAGTAATGGGCACATGCTCACAAAGACATCTCATATCGCCTGACATTGAATTCCAGGCGACCGTCATTGCATAATGTCGGCGATGTCTAGACTACACCTTGTTGCGACTTACAATACCATATGACTGGCTGGACTGGCTGCCTTGCATTACACGATCTATCCGCATCATCATCTTCAAACTCTCTTCTACTCGCCTACTTTGAATGACTGAGACATCGTCGTTGCATGGCCGCATTTGGTAGAGATCCATTCCTTGCTTGACAGACACATGAACTAATCTGGTGGCATTGCAGAAACACCCTGGATAACATCAATGTCCAGACCAACCGATCATGCCTCTGCCACTGACCCTTCCCACTCCCAGAAGTCTTACGATCCGAATCCTCCCACCTACGCTACCTTCTCGCCTACATCAAACTCAGGATACTCCGCTACATCCAAACAGCGCTCGACGATCATAGTTCATAAGAAGTCTCCCTTGCTAGTGGCAACACCACCGCAGATCACACGAGCACTCGCTCACTCTCATCCGTTTCTGATTCCTCTGAACAAACTTACCGGACTGCTGTCATGGAGCACACCAGATCCCTGGGAGTCGTACCTCCTGGTAGCAATATTCTGGGGCATCACCCTGTACGGAAGCGAAATCCTGCTCTATGCAAGTCCTGTTATGGTGGTAATTGGACTCATACTGGGCATGTACTCAAGACGATACTCCCCTTTGTCATCCACCAGCAAGACGGGCGACAAGCATTCCGCCAAGGGCCACAAAAGGGAGCCGTCCGAAGCCGCAGCTCAGCATAAGACGTTGGATGAGATTGTTGACACCCTGCACGAACTTACGGCACGGTGTAATATATTGCTCGAACCATTTCTCACCCTCACCGACTTCCTTTCTACCCAGACAACCCCTACTGCTGCAACAACCCGGCCCGCGCTGACCACACTCTTCATCCGGGTTCTGCTGGTCACTCCACTTTGGATCATTCTGACTCTACCTCCTCTTTACATACTGACGACCCGACGAATTATTCTCACTTTTGGAACGATAATATTGACATGGCATTCTACACCCGCGAGGGTATCCCGGGTCATACTTTGGCGTTCTGTTTTCATGCGCAAAACCGCAGCATTTATTACCGGTCTGGACTTCGACACATCAGCTCATCCTAAAGGGTCACTTCGATCCGGACTTGGTGGAAACAGAAGCAAGTCACAGACTGGCCTAGCATCAGAAATGGCCACGAAACAGCGACCCAACTCGTCTGGCGTACGATTCACCTTCATCTTGTACGAAAATCAGCGGCGATGGATAGGGCTTGGCTGGACAACATCACTGTTCGCTTACGAGCGAGGCCCTTGGTGCGATGAACATCTCAACCCAGCACCATCAAAAGACGAATTCGAGTTGCCAGAAGTGGAGGGCGGACGTGCTCGATGGAGGTGGGTGGACGGTTCCGAATGGAGAATTGAGCGAGGAGATGCTCGGCAACACAAGAGAGCTGCTAGTCAGGGTAAAACAGGACCGACTGGAAGCACGTCGAAAGAGGCAGTAGATGACGGTGGAGGTTGGATCTACTATGACAACAAGTGGCAAGATGGAAGAAATCTGGATGGATGGGGAAGATACACACGGAGGCGCAAATGGTACAGGGACGCTGAACTGGTTGAGACGACGCCGAACACCGACCCTGGTTCGAAAGCGACACCCACAGACCCGCCGTCCGAGTCCGAAGAAGAGAAGATCAGAAAAGCAAAGGATTTTGCCAAAGGTATCGGTGCTTCTGCTCCTGAACTTCCACCTCGGAATCCGGCCATCGCCGACGCACCAAAATCCAACGAGGATAACAGCAGTGTCGCTAAGTCGCCGACAAACAAGAAGGGCGCAGGCTGGTTTTCAAAACGAGATCGAAGTGACAGTAAGAGCAGCAGCGGGAACACTGGTCAATTCAGTGCAAGAAGTGACCGGAGTCGTGATGATCAAGACGACGATGTGCACGACAAATGGCGGGACGCTGAAGGTCGTCACAGGACGTTCGGTATTCAAGAGGATGTTGCCATGAGTTTGGGGTAGGTTGGCAGTACTTGAACTTGATATCCTTCAGCAATGTCTGCCAACAACCCAGATAACTCCGGCTCAATTTGTGAAGCATGGCACCCAACTAGTCGAGATTCGCTATCAATCTGCCTTAGAAGCATCTGTACATTTCCTGCTATCTTCTTACTGCACGGAAACGTGTTGCATTCATCGGTACGTACCCAGGTTACGAGTATGAGTACCTTCTCTCCATACCGTGAATCACCCCTCGTCCAACGACGTAATGCCACTGTCTTGCATTCCCCCAAAGTTTAGGCTTTAATCCACGTTTCTCCCCTCCACGTTCTCTTCGCCAACTGGCCTGTTGATCCGGCGTTGGCTAGTGAGGCCTACAAGGATTTCTGGATCACAAGCGCCTGCCAAGCGATCGCCATCAAGTGCCTCGTAATGAGCCACTGGTGCCACTGCTGTGGCCGTGTTTCAGGTACCCTGGCCCCTGCTACGCCTACTGAGGGGTCGCTTGTTGACGTCAAGTCTGTGGCCCCAAAATGATGGTATTTCCTGAATTCCGTGCCTTGTAACACTGCAGAGGGAGGACATATAAGAGACTCTCCAGCCACACTTCACCTGTCCTATGTAGACCACTTCAAGGCTACATCAAAACATACAATAAGCAATAAACAATATCCAAACTATCAAAATGTCTGACGACGCACAGAAGAAGGGTGGTGGTACGTCTGCTGCCATGTATTCATGATCCGAAGAACTGGTACTGATACTTTTATAGGCATCCTAGGCGGCCTCGGCGACACAGTAGGAAACACTGTCGGTGGCGTGACCGATACCGTTGGCAACACCGTCTCTGGTGTCGGCGACGGCGTGGGCAAGACTGTTGGCGGAGCGACCAAGGGACTGGGCGACACGACTAAATCGGCCGGGGACTCTGCGAAGGGCACCACAGACTCCATTGGTGGAAAGAAGCAGACTGGTGACAATCCTTTGGGATTGTAGATGCGCCTAGCCTTGGAAAGCAAGATGGATAGTGGATGTGATACCGGGAACAGCACGAGTGCCTGTGGGCCATGATGCGGGTGCACCGCATATAGTCACCATACGATATGAGTTCAAACGTCCTCCTTAGCAGAACATTGCTCAAGATCTCGAATAGCTCTATTGAGAAGCTCCTGTGTGCAGTGCGTTTCAGACAGTCGAGTAAAATGATTACATGCGTGTCGACCGGATCAACGTGTGAATCGAAGAGGCAGTATAGTATAGGTATATTTAGTACATATCTGTGTGCCCATATACGAGACTCCTCCAGTGCAGTTCAGTTCGAGGTCCTCATGCTTCGCTAATTCAACTTGTAGTCCCAAACCAACAGAGCGGTCGTCGGCAATACCATCAATCCCATACCAGATGCTCAAACCCAGAAAAGCATGCACCAGCGACTCCAACCCGTCCCACGTACACCGTACATGTCAATGCGCCGAACAATCCCAATCATCATCATTCTTGTGAACGCCTCATTTACAGATCATGCACTTCCACTTCATCATCGTCATCCAAGCATATCAGCCCGAAGAATGCAGGATGTTTGCATCTCTTGTGCTTCCGTTTGCGGCCATCCTTAGACTGCGTACTCGTCGGTTGTACAGTACTCGCGGTAGGCGTTGGTGCATCAGTAACTTGTCCTGTTGTTGCATGGGTCCTCGACAGCTCATGTGTTTCAGAATGCCCTGGACGATCATGACACCCGAAAAACAGCCCTGGTGTCTCGCAAGTGTGAGGCTCAGCAGTCTTTGTTGCCCTTGTATGTGATGACGTTGGCGAAGGAATTGCGGTGCTCGTTGTTGTGTCATCTCGGCAACCCCACCAACCTGGTTGGGCACAATCTGACTCGGTCGCAGTGGTAGAAACAGCAGCAGACGTTCTGGGTACGGAAAGTGTGGGCGCCGCTGTAGTCGTAGTCACAGTCAAGTTGACGCTGTCTTTGCATCCAAACCATCCCGGTGTCAAGCAGCTCGTTGTTGTATACGTAGTTGTAATGACGGGTGTTGTCTTACTCGTTGTCGATGTCTCGTCCAGGCAGCCCCACCAACCTGGTGTCTGGCATGTTGTTGTCCTTGTCCTAGTGGATGTGGTCGTGGACGATCTAGAAGTGGTCGTAGAGTCGGATCCATTGCTCTCGAAGAACTTCCAATTGTAGCAATCGACACACTCGTCATCTGGCTCGCAGGCGGGTACCGTGCTATACTTCTTGATCACGTTATCGATCACATTATGTATCTTATGATTGCCAATACCCACACGCCAGCCAAGATCGGTGACGGTGTCGTAGACGCACTGCTTTCCTGTATGGCATTGTGACTCCATGGCGTAGCCACCCAAGGTGCATGTTGCTGTTGCTCCATTGCACGTGCCCATGAAGACAGGATCGGCTGTGTTTCCAAATTGATACGCTCCAGTATACTTGGTTCTCGGTCTGTGAGGGTCTGAAGATGGCGGTGTAGGTAAGCCTAGTCGCTTCGCTGCCAAGTCGTCCCCGGGTGCTTCGAAAGTCACTGTCGGAAGTCCGAATGTGAGACCGAGAAGACTCGTCACTGCTCCACCCAAAGAATGTCCGACTAGCCAGACAGCCGAGTCCGGATACAGTTCAGTAACGTTAGTGTAGAGGTCAATAGCTGCACGATAGTAGCGATTGTCGTGGCGCAACGCCTTAGCGAGACACGTCGAGTTGCAGGTATAAGTGCTGTCATAGCAATCGCAGACTTGTCGCCAGAAGTACTGTCCACCTTGGGCACAGCAGCAACTGAAGAACAAGTTGTCATTCAGCTTATCCCTTGTTGTAGTCCCATCGCCATCGAACACGGCCGGAGAGGTTCCTTTGAGACTGATGATGACTGTCTCGTTGCCTTCATCAGCGAAAATATGACCTCTCAAGCCGTCGCCTTCCCATCCAAACGGCTTCGATCGGTTGTATCCATGGCCAACATCTCGCCAATCTCCTTCGCCAGGTATCTGAGCATATGCATTGGATGCCATGGTGGCCAGGGCGATGACAGTGTTTTGGTCTGAGATGTTAGGCCCTTTGACTTCATCCAGGGTCCATGCAGATACGTCTAGCACGGCCGGTGAACCAAAATACCGAGCATGTTGCAAATGGTTTTCGATGTTGTATGGCTGTCTGTCAACGAGCCGTTCAATTTCTACCGGATTGGATCTGGCGGTAAAGTGTGGCGTAGTTTCGACGGAGTGTGGTATTTCACTCTCGTCCTCGACAAACAATACTGGCTCTTGGGGCCGGAAGTCATAGCGCTTGTGTAATGCTGGATCTTGATATGTGCCTCGATGGAATATGTGTCTCAAGGTGAAGTCATGAGTGTCCTGTTGCCTAGGCGCAGGCACCGGGTACCAAGGGTCGATGGCGGGGAGTTTGGCTGCATCGACTTGGGTTGAGAGGGCGAGGAACGACAGCAGCGTGCCTGCCGTGACTTTGCTGAACGATGTGCATTTTCGTGTTTTCATGTTGTGAGTAGTGGTGATCAATAAGAATGATAGTGTTACTGTGGTGCAGATGGGGTTGGGAATGACTATTGACTGGTGTTGACGTCGACTGCGGAGTGACAGAATGCGGCGCCTCTCTCCAACAATCCACCACCCGAATCCAATCACATGCACTGTTGCCTCTGAGACATCAACAACGAATCCTTTACGGATGACCCCGGAGGTCAGGCACTTAATGATCACAGCTGAGGGTAGCAAGGATGCTCTCATAAGGCATGCAAAACAGGCCGTTGCAATGGCTGACTGACACGACAGTTCGACGCACGGACAAGTTTCTTTGTACCACTGTTTCATAAGTCGAATTGTACTGCGTCAGCTTTTCCCTGCACTTGGACTTCCACTGGACATACCTTTGAAAGAGCTGGTGTGTCAGGTAGTCAACCATTCAAAGCGCTGATACGATGTCAAGAAATGCATCGACTGGGTCGATGAAGACAAGGCCATCCGCACTCCCTACAAAGTCCTTCACTCGCTTCGAGCCTGAACCTCCCACTTCTCCCCTTGGAAGGAGTAGAGCAAGCACCATACAGTCGGTCACGTTAGCAAAATCTCCAAGGAAGTCCTCGTTCGGACACGAAGATGTCTTCGAGAAGCCTATCGATGAAGAGAACGAGTCACCCTCCCCAGACCTTGGACGGTCACAAACCCTACCGGACCGATTCGATGAGTTGCCCATAGAATTGGCAAGCCTGGTGGACAGATTCGTGGAGTCTTTGAGTGCGAGGATTTACAACGAGCCGCCTTTGATAGACCAGCTGTCAGACTTGTTCCAAGAATTCTACATAAGGGCGTCTGGTCCAATCTCGATCCATATTTCCACTCTCAAGTCTCGCTTAAATCGAGCTTCTTCACCTTCACCTTCGAAGTTGGCAGCACGATCTAGGGCTTTGCAAAATACAGCACATGGCGACTCGCTGGCTCCTCCGACCAAATCTTCGCAACAAATGTTGACAGCATCTGAAGTTACTGAAAAGCGAAAGCAGAGAAAACTACTGGAATACAAGAGGATTCTGCTAGAGGAAGCTGTCGAAAGAATAGCATGTGAGAAGGTATATGACAAGATATGGAGACACAAGAGCACGTTAGACGAGGTGAGAGACGAAAAGCTAAGGTCGAAAACAGCTGCCCTATCCTTGGTGGGAATTGGGCTGAAGGATCTCGGCATCGAATGGAACAGAGACACGGAAAAGACGGCTGAAGATGTTCAAGCCTCCCTATTACCAGCGACAGAAGGGCTTGCGAAGATGAACGATGAACACTATCCGCTGGGCAAGCTGCAGCATCTGACTGCTGCTCATAAAGCAATTGTCGACACACTATCCTCCATACACCCTTCCTCATCATCCGCAGACGAAATCCTTCCTACCCTAATATACACCTTGATCATTTCCCCTGTGGAAGGTATCAATGTTATAAGCAATCTATATTTCATCCAACGATTCAGGGCTTCCACCAGAATCGACGGCGAAGCAGCGTATTGTTTGACCAACTTGGAGGCTGCCATCAGCTTTCTCGAAAATGTCGACCTCGCTAGTCTAAGGGCAGACGAGTTACCGGAAGGTCCGCCTAGAGCTCCGTTACAGACTGGAGCAGAAAGTCCAACCAAGCTTGAAGCATTCCCTCCTCTTCCTGGTACGGCGCCAACACCTTCCACGCCAACAACGGTAACAACAATGTCTAACGCAATGGGTGCAAATGTGGAATCAAGCCCAGCAGGATCAACTATAAAGCCTCTACCGGAGAAATCAACGTATGTCCCAACCAACCGCCACCAGCGCACACTTTCAGACGTTCTACAACCCATTAGTAATGCAAACGAGGCACTCCGTTCGACTGCCGAAGAGGGCTTCAAGAACATCTCCAGCACGTTGGACAATAGCTTCAAGTTCTTGATGGGGAAGCTCAAAGAACGAGGTAATGAAGATGCCGGTGCCGAAGTGGTCGTCCCGAGAACGCTTGACGAGGCCCGACAGCTTGTCAACCGGCCCCTGACCCCGAACGAAGATGATCCGGCTTTGAGTGAATCGAGCTCCCTTCACGATGGTCAGCACATAGGCATGCCTTCGAGCCTGAGTAAGACAGAAGACAAGTTGTTGGGCCTGTTCGGTGGGCGCAAAGCACCTGCGAGAGAACGAAGTGTGGATAGCACCACCAGCAACGCAAGTGGAAAACGGTCAGGATTTGGGGCAGCGATGACCAGCTCTCCGCCAGACGGACCCCTACCAAGTCCCAGAAAGCTTACTGCAGGTCAGTCCTCAGGCAACAATCCTCTTGAATCGGTGAAGAATTTTGGTGCAAGCCTCAATCCGATCAACCAGATCGGGTCGGCACTCGGAGCTTTTGGGAGGTTCGGCGGCAGAGTAACCACGTCCGCTTCTCCGCCAGCAGTATCCCCAACACCGAGCATCGTCGTTGACAACCGGACGGCAGCGGAGAGCGCTGCTGCGAAGCTAGAGGGCAAATACGAGGTGGAGAAAGCTTCCCTGCGTACGCCTGACAACGAAGAGCTGGCTAGTATCAGGGCAGCTCCACCCATAGCACGCTTTATGTCTCTGAACGAGGCAAATGAGTTGAAGATTGGTGATGTGCAAGACCTGCTCGCGGATTACCAGCGGCTGGCCAAGCTTTTGGGCAAGCTTGTCCAACGAGCAGAGGATCAGACAGATACTGACGAGGCAGAGACTTGAGGTCGAAGGCTCTGCAAGTAGTCCCGGTCCTGAGAGAAGCTGAGAACAACTTTACGTACATCTACTGGCCACCAGCCCATGTAGACAATCATGAGAAGATGACAGCTGTTGAAGCACTCCTTCCCGCGGCCCTCTATAGGAAAGTCGCTTCGGTCCTTCAATCTACCAATGAAGATACTTGTACAGTGGTATCATAATGTATCTATCCTCCGGCCAGCACGTTTGTGGTTCGTCTCATCACGTCGTAAACATCATATGTATATCGTAAGTATGTTCATCATAAAGGCCATCTGCGCCCTCCTCATCGGCGAAGTCTCTTGCTCCGGGTGCCAGAGATCAGATCTGCTCGTAGTCGTGGTATACCACTCTTCACACCTCACTTGCAATCACTCAGTCTTCCGTCCTCTTTCCCTTCCCAGCAATCAATGCACCACCGCCCTTCCTAAGCACGGCCAACTCATCAGCCACATCCTCCATCTTCGTCTGGACACTCCTCTCCCGTTTCTTGACTTCCAACTCGTAACGAAGCGCGATCTTGCGTCGTTCGAGCCGGACATCCATCAATCGCTGTACATCGGCTTGGAACTTCTCCAGGAACCAATCTGCAGTTTGCTCGCGCTCAGCGTCTGTCAAAGACTGGAACAGCTGGCGTTGGTCGTCTTCTGACCTCATCTTGGTTAGATTCGTCAGTTTGGCTGCAAGTGTCATTGGCGTGCCGGTCGCGTCGACGGCTGGTTTGGGCGGGGGAAGTCTAGGGTCGACAGTGAATGGGATTTTGTCGAGGTCAGATATGCTCTTTGTCTTTAGTTCCTGCATATCGAAGTCGAGATCCTGGTCCTCTCGCGGGCGTTTGGATGGGCGGGTTGGTGAGGTTGGCGGCTGAGGCTGGTCGGCTTGCAGGACTTGCTCTTCTTCTGACGACGATTCATGGTAGGAGGAGACTTTGGAGGAGAATGGTGGCTGCTGAGTCGTTTGAAGGTGCGCTCGAGGGGCAGCGGAAATAGGAGCTTGCACAGGTTGAGCTGGTCTCTCAGAACTATCGTCCCGGACTTGTCTGCCAGTCTGGAAACGACTTTTCGGCTGCTGAGGGAAGTGCCTGACATTGATAGCATTGTGAGTCTCTCCGAGCGAATGTTTATGCTGTGGCTCTTCCGGTACAACATGTTGCGCCTCCTGCTTGACGAAATGTATAGGTGCAGCTGCTTCGGGGTGACCCTCGGCCACTATTCGAGGACGTGATGGTGTGTCGTTCGCTTCCGGTCCTTCCTCCTCAGGATAATACTCGGCATCTGGCTCATAACCATCGTCGGACTGCTCATCGTTGTAGACGCTTTCTGCCGTATTGTGCTGGAGGCTTTGTGTGAACTTGGGAGATTCACCGTGTCGCTGTCTTTCGCGGTCCGCCTCTTCTTTCCAATTATGCAGGATGTTATTGCTGAGAGACTTGTTGTGGTGATACTGAGTCTGTTTGGTAGGCGGCTCATGGCGTGGAGGAGCTCTGAAAACCCCCGAGCCTGTGTGGAAGTCTTGATCATCGGCGATACTGGTCGACTCGTCGAAATGGAGACTTTGGGTGTCGTCGAAGGTAGAAATTGCGGGCTATGGTACGTCAGCTCAACCGCATTTCCTCGAAAATCGGATTGCACCAACCCCTCGTTGTGCTTGTATGTGAGATCCACCAAAGGAATTCTTGTGCTGGGCAATACTTGCTGCCGTGGAATCGTTCTGAAGACCAACCTGCGTTCGCAGTGGTTTCGGTCCGGTGCCGAGCGTATTTCTGACAGGCATTCTCAAACTCGCAGCTTGTTGAGCTGATATGACCTTGGCGCTGGTGGCATCACGGCTCCTTGATCGTGGCTGGCGCTCGATCGCTTCGTTAGCACGCTGTTGCGACCTTGCATGTTGAGGCTGGGGTGTCGATGAGCGTTTCCCGGCTGGTGGTGGAGCAAAAGTGTCGCCAGCTTGTCTGCGTGCCGCGTACTCTGCTGGACCAGCCATCTTCAAATTATCATTAATGGGCATGTTGTAGGCGAGGCGAAGTTGGCATGGCCATTGACTGTATGCTTCATCAAGTACAATGGGAAGAGCGGAGAAAAGTGACCGTCTTGCTGTCAATCATCAAGACACGAAGAAGACGCGGTAGCACGTGCCGCGGGGACAAATCCGCCAGCAGTCTTCCGCATCGCCGTCGCTTGATCACTCTGAATATCCGACACGAAAAGCCTCCATCCACAGCCAGCCAACGCGCCTCAACGACTAGTGGTATGTCTTTTATTAAACACCGGGCTTCCAAAAGCAATGCGCTGAGAAACATGCTACGGGTAATCGGAGTGCGAGACCGATGAAGTTCTCGGTTCTTTTCAATACGTCGTCAAGTCAGTCGACATCATACATCCTATCATTATTTTGAAAGCCAAAAGAGCCATTGTTTTGATGCCCCAAACGCTCAGAAAAAGAGACAAACAACATTAAACAGAATCAGTAGCAGAGCCAGCTCCCGAACCTGAGCCTGACCCGGTCGATGGCCCTGAACCTGATCCTAATCCAGAAGACGCCGAGGCGGATCCAGAGCCGGTGTACGACCTGGTGGCTCTCTTGCGCCCACCGTCTTCGTTCTGACCGTCGATGCCATCATGTCCATCAGAGCCAAATGCATCTTCATGGGCCCTTCTCTTCGGCCGCCTCCAGGGGGGCATTTCCGCCGTTCGTTTCCAGACAACTTCATCCTCACTGCTAGTAGAATCGTTGTCTCTCTCGATTTTGGCAGGCTCGTCCATGCCCTCAAATGAGCGATGAGCACTGCCCAAGAATCCATTGTAGAGTTCGTTGCTCTGCTCGTCGACCTTTGCATTCGGATCCCAGACAGGCAAACCGAGAGGGAGTGCTTCCCCAGACGCATGGCCGTGAGCATACTGTGCCAACGAACCGTTGATACCAGTAAGTGACCATGCAAACACTGCCACATCTCTGATGGCAGCCATAAAACCTGGATCAGAGTTGTCGGTTCGGGTGGCTCCCGACCCAGCTCCTGAAGAAGCCATAGGCGCCTCTTGCATGGCCTGAGGTAACAGCGGTTCCGGCGCCCAGGGTGAGGCGAAAAGTCCATTCGCATAGTAAGGAGCCTCTGTGGCGCCGAGGGTGTGAGGGACCAGAGGTCTTGCACGGCGCAAGATAACCACCAGTCCATCGGACGAGCAAGACACGACGGCCTCAATCTCTACATGTTCGGGCTCAATGTCTTCGGGTGGCGTTTGCGACGATTCTCTTCGCTCTGTTATGGGACGGTCAAAGACGCCATCCGATGCATTTCCTTCAGTAAAGGTGCTGACGTCCGAGCTTGTCCGATGGACGTTGCCGTCAGGCATGGGTGGCTCCAAGTGGGAGTCTGATTGCGTTGTCTGTGAATGAGCAGTGGGTTGACCACGCCTTCCACCATGTACTGAGTTTCCTGAGGTATCGCCGTTATCGACATGATTGGTCCGCTCATTGGCACGGGGGGTCGAGGCATCCGTCATGGAGACGCTTGATTCAGACCTTACACCCGTTCGTAGACGTACACCGCCCTCCTCGTCTTCATCACTCTCGTCGTCCGGCATGATATCCGAATGGGCGCCGTTAGTCTGTCGCAAAGGATTGCGATACCAGAATCGCAGATAGGCTATTGAGTCGTTTGCTTTTGCGCTCTCAAGGCATTTAATTGCATCTTGCAGACAATTGGCCTCGATGCATTCATAAAAACTCTTCCCAACCATATCGCTTGGCTGGAGACCCAAAATGCTGGAAACACCGTTTGTGGCGTACATGATGGTCGAAGTGCGAGTGAAACGATTGAGAAAAAGAGCCGCTCTCGGTTCGGGGAGGTGAGCAGAAGGTTCTTGATAGAATTTGTTCGACAAGTAGGACAACATGTGATAACGAGGATCTCGAGGTGAAGATGAGAAGATGCGACGGATTCCCGCACCGTCCAGTGCGCGTTCTGCTCAGTTGTTAGCCGGAAAGACTTCCCAGAAGTAGTCAAGGGACATACGACGAGCTTTTGGCCCTCTTCGGTAAATCGCCGTACTAGCGACAAGCACATCGTGAACAACAGTGAAGACACATTCGCAACCAATCCAAGAGCCGTCCCTGTGCCGGATTCGGCAATAGTTCAGCACAGCCGCCTTATCAAGACTGATGCCGCGGCCATGAATTTCCCGTGCGAACGGTATCTCATCTGGATGGAAATACTCCCAACAAGATCTGCCGACGACCTCATTTGGTAGGTATCCCAGGATGTCCTCGATTGAGTCGGAACAGTATTTCATGCGGGCGTCCAAGGACAGATCTGGACGAGTGAGCAATCACACAATGCAGAAGGTGCGATGAAAGAACGCACCATGAATTGTAATAAAAACAGTCTCCATGTTGAGGATAGGTGTAGGTGTAGGAAAAGCACAAGGCAAGCAGCCTATTTGCGCCGAGCAGCCCTAAAAGACGCTGGCTTCCTACCAGGGAATGGAAAGGAATGGGACTTTAATAGTCCACCTGGTCAGCTAAGGACTGTAGCTGCCTATACTGGAAGGACGTGCACTCGACAAATCGGATTGAACCAGGATGAGGGTGAAATGCACTGTGCGACTTGCAAGGGTGATTTCGTATGCAATACTGAATGACTTTGGAGCCGGTCGGAACTCTGCAGCAATAGGCGCAACGCAAAGCAGGGCCACCAGGATAACGCTCTGAAGCTATGGGTCGAATTGGCAGGAGGCGTCCAGGTCGGGATACGCCCTCTCTATTATGGTGATGGCAGACGAGCCAGGCGTTGATTCGAGGTGCTGATGCTTGTTGCAGCTGTGCCGCACGAGGCTGGACGCAACCAGGACGATTGGACTCGTTTGTGAGAGACTAATGATGCTGCGTAAAACGGGGCTGGCCTTCTTGTCGCCTTGTTCACGAGCCGCAGGGTTTGAATCGATATTCAACGCTTGCTGTCTTGATCGAAAACGCTATAATGTGGTCGTAATGGAATAGACGGTTGAGTTCAAGAAGAGGCAAATGCTATGGTATGATGAGAAGTAATAAAAATTCAAGAGCAGATTGGTGGAGAAAGCGTGAGTGGGAATGAGGTTTGCCAGTTGCCACCCATGTTCCGGGGTCTCTTGACTGTTCGGCAAGTGGCTGAAGATAGTTCGCACAAAGGTTTGTACTCGGGTGCTGAGACGGCATAATGATTATGAGGTGATAGAAAACAGATCTCGATCCCCTTCTAGCAGATCATCCGTATTCGTCTGCTAGCATATTATCAAGGACTCTCTTCTGACCGTGGGCTTTTGTTTCGTGGGATACAATCGTAGACACACAGCCGAAAGAGGTCCATCTCTACAGATTAGTTAGAACGAGTCCACCCATGATGTCAAAGCGCATATCATAACGCCATCTATCTCTCGCTACCGATTTTGCCTTTCCCCATTCCCATGGCCCTATGGCCCTCATGGGATTGATGGACGATCACTTCGAGAACTATACTGGTTGCGTACTCGTACGAGTATATGCCCACAGTATGGACAAGTTCTGTTACACCTAATCGTTAGGAATGCTTAGCCAACAGTCTTTACTGTTTACCACTCCGCTGAGACTTTCGTGCAAGTAAAGTGCTATCACTCTAAAGGGCAGCAGTGTAGGTTGTTGCGGTTTCCCTCCCCGTCCACACGTCATGTCCTTTGTGCTACATGACTTGTCGCATAGCACCGATCAGTGCCGAACTGGAACCCTGCACACCGCCCCGGTATAGCATTCAAGCCACCAAAGCCGAACAGAGGAACTGAAAGCGCGAATGGAGATGGGTGGAATTCGCTGCTGGGCATTGCCTGGTTGCAACAAGCAAGAGTGCCTGCGAGTGCCAATCGGACCCGTGGTTCCGGTTAACGGTCTGGCATCCACGCGGCGCAAACCCACCGATGGGCGCCACCAACAAAGACTGGTAGGTCAAAGTCGGGCCAGCATGGCACCTAACCAATCCACAAGCAGTCGGCTACCACTTGTGGCTTGCTTGAGCACGGGCCTGCACTTATTCCTCGTGCTCCACGCTTCGCAACGCCTGCCGAGCTGAGGCGAGGCGACTCCAAGTGGTGCTCCTCTTCAAGCGACGTCAATGCGCGTTACTTGTATGAGTAGCAGCGCCGCATCACATACAAAGGTTAACACATTGACCTCGGTTCAATACTGTCAGGGAGACAACTTCTTGAGACAGTCCTCACTGACTGGGGCAACAAGAGCGGCCATTCCACATGACAAGACTCTGACGCAACACCATATCTGTTCCTTCGAAACACAAGACATCTTGATCAGCCGCCGCGCCCGCGGCTGTAGGCGTTGAAACGGCAGGGATCCAGTTGCAGTTGCAGCGGCACGTGGAACGATGGCATAGGCCTCCACGCCTTCTTGTCGTTGGCTATCACCCCTATCCAGGGACAGATCACGAGCACAACGTTCTCCTTGATGGCTTCTGCAAATGTTCGTTGGACCAACTTCGATTCACGTAAAACAAGCAGCACTCCCTGTCATCGTCCTATTGGAAGCGGTGGCACAAGAATATCTGCATGGTAACAAGTCAAGTCACGGTGAGGTCCCAGACTCCCAGTACTAAGTAGGCTAATTGAGATCGCCGATTTGGTGCATTAACTGCCAAGCGGACATTCTAGTGAGGTGCTCCGGCTGGCTTGATGGACCTGATTCTCCATCTAGAGCTGATCTCAAAGCTACTGGTTCATGGTCGATCCTCCAGTCAGGGTGACCAGAGCAGAAGTTCCTGCTCATCAATCATGAGCCCGTGGAAAAGTTCCGAAGCGACGTCTGTCCGACCATACGAGGTCTAGTGGAGAGACGTGTATCTCAGCCAAATGGGAATAGGAACACTCTGGCACGCCAACCTTTGGGAACGATCTCTGGAAGGAGTTCGAGAGATCACCTGTTCGTGTTTTTACCTCGTGGGCCGAGGCGCTTTGCATACGGTCAATGCTCGATAGCATGGACTCCTCTGATGTCGACGGGCGCATTATGCAGAAAGCTCTTCCCATATAGCACTGTGCCACGCCATGGGCAGAGGATCGACTCTGACGCAAGCAGCAGGATTTCGTCTATCACTGAATGAGGTGCATCCTCATATGGAACAATCGAATGACTGAGGACAAGAGGCTGCGCAAGTCAACCCGCCGTCGCTGAGGCACTAATGGCATCCGGAATATGACATGGCTTGGTGGTCTAGCTTTGACGCAGGTGGTGTGACCGTTTGGCAGTTCTTTTTGTAAGATGCCTGTGACGGTGTCTCACAGTTTTCTCTGTACAGCACATGGTCAGCTCTGGCTTTGCGACAATGTTGGATGACCGTCGACTGTGCAGGCAATGGCTATGAACCATGCCAAATGCATCTAGTCAACGAGGAGACTCAATTCAGCACTCACCTTCACAAGACCTTTGAAAAAGTCAAAGCTGTTAGCATCACTTTGCAAGGTCCATTTCTTGCCGGTCTCACGGTCCTCCCAGCCAAGTTCTTCAGCGATAAGCAGTCCGTAGTCTCTTGTAATGCCTTTGATTCGAGCACGCTGGCCACCTTCGGCCTCTAAGGTAACAATCTGATCCATGTGGAGCCAGCGCTCGTAGTACTTCTGCTCCATGACTTCGTCAAAGCCTGTCACTAGAAACCGAGAATATAAATCGTCAAAAACCGTCAGGATTCGTGCCAGGAGTTTCTCCAGTGTGAACGGCGGCACCTTGCGGGGCAGGTATTGCGTGAGTTGATTCAACGATGTTGTTGGCGCCGCATTCGCCGTATTGAGACCGATTCCACAAACCGCGATGTACTCCTTGGTGTTGTAGTGGCTGTTCACCAATATCCCACCAATCTTGGTGTAGTTCTCGTTTCGATCTCCGCCATTCTCCTTTGCTTTCACAGGATCCAAGGCAAATATGTCATTGGGCCACTTGAGCTTGATGGGCATATCTTTGTAGAGGTTGCCGTCGTACGATCTGATCCCGTCGACTATGGCCATGGCCGCCAAGTACTGGACAAACACAACTGGAGCAGACTGCATCTGCGCCATGGGATGACGAATCACAGTACTGAACATCAGACTTCCAGCAGGCGATACCCAGACATTGGACCCTCTGCCTCGACCTGCAACTTGTACAGTGGCTGTGGCTGTGAAACCTTGCGGCAGATTCCGAAGGATCTTTGTGTTCTTCTCTAGCAAAGTGTTTGTTGATGTCACAACCTCTCCGTAGAGCAAATGAGTGCCAAAGTTCGAAGCGCCGGGCACTTGACTTTGGTAATGTAGCAGATTCGAGTAGAATGCGTGGTGGTTAAAGTATGGTGTCGTCTTGGATTCGGGATAATCATCGTCGTGCACGATGATATGTTTGATCACCGTATTATAGTCGACTATTCGATCGGAGCTGCCATCGGCCTGATCAGCAGGTTCCTTCCCGTCTGTTTCGGAAGGTAAAGCTTTTGCCAGATCAACCATTTTCCAGATCGAGGGCTTCATAATGTGGAATGTGTCATTCTCATCCTTGAGGAGCTCCTGGTCGTGTTCATCTTTCTCGATGAGGTGACTCAGAGAAGACACGATGCCACCTGTATCGGCAGGATCTGACGACGAGAGATGTAGATAGGATAGGGACGGTACATTTTGTTCGTCGCTTACAGTCAGACCAAGCTTGTTCAAGCATGCTTTGATAAAGCCCATGCGGTGTTTCTCGTCGGCAGCAAGTGAATCGATGACTTCTGAGAAACCTGGTACTTCCTCTTTTGGCTCCAGGTTGGCAGCTGCAAACCTAGGTTTTGTCAGTGACCAGTCATCTACTGGTTTCCCTAGAAAGACGAACTCTGGATGTGGGCCAGTGAGTAGCGCTGCACCTTGACCGACTTTGCAATATACAACTGCAGCCGAACCTTCACCTGAATCGACTGCAAGTGGCTCAGTATAACTTGCCAGGACTTCAACACCCTGCTCTCGGAAGCTAGGCGCATCAACAAAGACGCCGCCACCATTGTAATAAGACTTGAAGATATTCGGCACTGCCCCTGCTGTGAGTAGGGTCTTGTCGACTTTCAAGTCGGCAGCTTTGGCGCCCTTTTCGCTGTGATACACGAATCCGGGATAGGCGCCGCCTCGAGCAATTCCGGGATAAAAAGCGAGTTCTCGGTCACCGACAACTTCAAGTAGCTTATTTCCTACCTCGAATTCACATCTTCTGCTGCCGTAGTAACCACCTGCACAGAATCCGATATAAATGCCGCCACGTTCAACGAATTGGCGAATGCGCCTGTTGCCTTCGCCGTTGAGGGTTGTGCAATAACCCAGGTCAGCACCGCCGGGGACGACCAGTGCAGCACAGCTTGCGGTCCAAGGCTCCTTGATGAGCATGTCACCAGTTACCGGGATGACCGCGTAGTTGGGCGCAAGAAGCCTTCGTAGAGTATACAGGCAGTGGCGGACCGATTCGATTGTGCTGCCAGTTCCTGAAGATATCATTAGATTTGGGTTGGAACGCCATGCTTCCTGAGTGAGCGCACCGGAGTACACCAGGACATTCATTCGTTTCGTGGCCATGGTGATGCAGGTTTCGTGAGTGCCTGTGTGGTGGTCCGATGAAGAGCAGACTCGGACGATGTCAGATGATGCTCAAAAAGAACACACCCGAGAACAACTTCCTCTTTTCTCCTAAACCAACAACAATATTGGACAAATTCCAAATGGCCAGCCAAGGCACGCCGATTGAGACTAAAGCCGAGGATGAAGAACTTGATGACTGGTATGTTTCGATGATAATCGTGACAGTGCATAGAACCCTCTTTTTCAATGGTACTGATGGAAGGCACGTAGGGACCAAAGGATTTTCAGCACAGGCTGTGCAGGTAAATGACTCTCTGGTGGATGAGAAGATGCATGGCTAAGGTTGTGATCACAGAGGAACAGCTTCGAATGAACGACTGCTACTACGATAAGAAGGACTGGCGTGCGTGCAAGAACGAAGTGAGTGTTGAACCCCAACATGCTATCATATTTCCTATTTTTCCCATTTTCTCCCTCACGCCAGCCATGCCGATGCTCGGAGACCGAGTGAACAGCGCAACGAGGCTGATGATTTCTGGATGATTTTAGATGGAAGCATTCCGACAATGCTGGAAACGCAAGGGAAACGAAGAACGTACGCAGAGCAAGGATACCTAGTAATTACTGTATAGCTTCAAGCACATCACCAATTATGGGCAAAACAGTGATGCATGGATGCGCCTGATCACGAGGTTTGGTGTCGCCGGCCGTCACCAAAACGCGATCACCGACGACGATTTCTGGTTGCGCTTCTCTACGACAGCTTCACTTTTCTTGCAGCATCAGCATCATTGAATTTCGTTCATTTACACTAGACCCTGCTTCCGTCCACGTGTATAGAAGTTTTCTTCCATTCATTCTTGTACAACCATTCAGCGCAATACTCATTGCTTCTCTGCAATGATGTCGCCAATTTCTAGACTGCCTCTACAGGCTTCGAGGATATCCTCCACCACTGCTCTATCGTCACTCAAGTGCAGCCGATTGTCTGAACGTCATCTCGTCTGGGTCGCCAGGTCGCCCGCCTTCGCGCATCCATTTCGCACGGTGTTCACGAAAACGCCGTCTCGAAAAGCCGAACCTGCTGCGACGCCTACGCAGTCTTCCAGGGTTAATACTAGTCAAAGCCCGTCCCCGAATGAGCCGATACCTGCGCCGAACACTTCACCGAACGAGTCGCTTAAGCTACAAGAGGAAAACACGTCGAGCATTGATTGGACAAGATCATTTCATGGTCTCTCAATCGAGCCTTTCTCCAAGGAAGCGGCCGATGTCCTAATGGCGCCTCTGAGTCCTGACGATGTCGAGATCAAACCAGATGGCATCATCTTTCTCCCTGAGATCAAATACAGACGTATACTCAACAGAGCCTTTGGTCCTGGCGGGTGGGGACTGGCTCCGAGGGGCGAGACCATAGTCACCGAGAAAGCCGTCACGCGAGAATATGCTTTGTTGGCCCACGGAAGGTGAGCAAGACGGTGTTGCGTTATTTATTCAAGGGCTGACATGCTGGCAGACTGGTCTCTATCGCGCGGGGCGAGCAAGACTATTTCAACAAGGATGGCGTACCTACGGCTTCTGAGGGCTGCAAATCTAATGCCATGATGCGTTGCTGTAAAGACCTGGGCGTCGCTAGTGAGCTATGGGATCCCAGATTCATCAGGAAATTCAAGTCGGAACATTGCCGGGAGGTGTTCGTTGAGCACCAGGGAACAAAGAAGCGAACCAAGATATGGCTGCGCAAGGTAAACTCGAGCACCTGGCTTCTGATGGCATTGTACTGACCTCGTTTCCTTTGCAGGGCGATCCGGTGTCTTATCCCTACGCAGAACTCAAGAGATAATGTGCTCTCCTCCTAGTCAAGGAATTGACTCTATCAGCCACCGCATATGACGCGGAGCTCGAGGCTGCAGCGCGACCATCGAAATCTGAGGTCATAGATCCTCGACCACCATGCAACCACTAGCAAGCCAACGGAAGGTCGGAACATCTCTCAATGCAGGCATGCACTTGGTGTTCGCTGTCCCTCGCTTGTTTTGATCGACGCTGCACACCGCCATTCAAATCGGCCAGTTTGTCACCAAAACCACCTGTCGGCGACCCAACCAGAGACTTACCACAACTACGTGGTACAATCTCTGACGTCTGGTTGGATTTTGTCATGCTGCAGTGCACACGTTTCAGCGCCGTGTTGGGGCGTGCTGTCTCAGATGGGAAGCAGGCATGCCCCCGTGCTTCAGGTACGGCATAGCGAACGCAGCGTATCGTCGAGACGGTCGCGGAGCGTCTCCCCTCCCTTGGGTAGAGCTGGGATCACCGACGATGCCCGTGCCACCCGAAACGGCTTCATCCACCACCATGCTCCAACAGCATCTGCTAGAGATCTAGTGAGACTTCTCTCGGCACATGTCAGCCGTATCAGAGACTACAACCTCTTTCGTAGGGCGTGTACGGTATCTCAGGGACGTCCTTGTTGACTAAACACTCAGATCCGGAAATATAGCTGTGCACTGTATGAATTTGAGAATTGACGCGTGCTGGTGCGCCAGGTGACAGAAGAATCTGGGCTCACTATGTCGGCCTCATGGACTATATGACTATGTAGCTCCCAAACTGGGTACTTCATACCCTCATTGGGACCCCCGTCCTTGGAGTGATTATGGGGACATTCAGCTGCACATGCTCGCCAGCATGGCATCAAGAGTCAAGCATGTGCTCGGTCCAGTGGTACTGTACGAATAGAGGTGCATAGACCTGTGCATCACCTTCTGCAGGTGGTCATTATGCCAGGCAGACATGCATCGTTACAATTTCAGGAGCATGAATGGTGCGATGGCCTAGATATTGCATGGCATCCAGCAATCGTCTATCACGCAATAATAATAAGTCGCCAGATGACAAAATGGGTACCCCGTAAACTTAGGTATGGTGGCAGGGGCCCTAGCCTAGCGTCACTTGTAACAAAGCCGCAATCTGGTCTAGACCGTTTAACCGGGGCTCTGTTGCCCCAGAACTTAGGTGACAGTGACCGATGTCTGGTAGGAATCACCCTACACTTGCAAGTTACTGCGGAAGCCCTTACCGTGACATGCGACATCTAAACATGCCCAGCAGCTTCCTCGAACGATTGGTGACTTTTGCTCGCTGCAACTCTCCACATCCTTCCACATTCCTCTCCGCCCCGCAGCCGTTTGCCTCATCAGCTTGAAGATTCAGGTTAGGAATATATCTTAGGTCAAAAGCCAAGCATACCAAGAACATACGACGTGTCTCTCATGTTTCCCATGACTTGAAAAGGCTGCCGTCGCCGATTATGAAGTCTTCAGGCCTTCCTTCAACCTTTGATCTGATGCAGTTGCATGCCGGCTGACCCAGGACGAAATTTGGACCATTCTGTATCCAAAATCTGGCCATTACAAGAAGCACACCACCTCGGCGGTCACGCAAAGTTTAGAGGTCTCCCAATGACGAGCGAGGCAGTGCCGGAAGCCCGCTGCTATCCTTTGACATCCCGCTAACACATACCAACTATTGGGCCGTCCGACCCTCATTCGCTACTCGCACAGGTCAAAGCACGCCGATTGATACTACTTACCCGTACCCCGCGCTACGCTGTGTACCAAAATAAAAATCATGGCTGCTACCGTGACGCACGAACCATCGAGGCCATTGCATTCGCCCATTCCTACATCGCCTGAGGAAGAAAAAGAGCTTGAATTTGGTCAAGTGTGGAAAGACGCAGCCAGAGTCCCTCAAAGTTCCACAACAACGGAGCAGCCTGACTTTGGTCGGCGCAAGTCGGCGGTACAATTCCACACTGCAGATGCAGAAGACGTTATAAGAAGAGGGAGTGTCGCACAAGGCCCGCGTGCCACCAACGTGTCCCAGCGAAGAATGTCATCCCCACCTCCTCCATTCAACTATCAGCGCGGTGTCTCCTTTGACACCTTCGACAACAGAGATGCCTCGACCGAATCCTTTACGTTGAACTATAAGCACTGTGACTATGCACATACTGCGCGCAGCCGAACATTCCTGTGCGGCACGGATGCGAAAGACTATTCGGAATATGCTTTGGAATGGATGCTGGACGAGCTGGTAGATGATGATGACGAGATCGTTTGTTTGCGAGTAATCGAGAAAGATGCGAGAGCGGCAAGCGAAACGACCTACGACCATGGTAGGTACCGGCTCGAGGCACAAAAGCTATTGGACAGCGTCATAAAAAAGAACAGTACGGAGGAGAAAGCAATCAGTATCATCATGGAGCTGGCAGTCGGGAAGGTCCAGGACATCTTTCAACGGATGGTTAGTGGTTAACATCATGGCCGACGATGGCGCAGGCTAACGTTGTTGCAGATTCAGTTGTATGAACCTGCAGTACTGGTTGTCGGAACCAGGGGGAGGAATCTGGGTGGTATGCAGGGTCTGCTGCCTGGCTCCGTTTCCAAATACTGCCTGCAGCACTCCCCAGTCCCCGTGATTGTTGTCCGACCAACCTCGAAAAGGATGAAAAAGAAAATGAAACGACAACTAGAGAGCGGCCGGAGCCTTTATAGCAGCATGCTTGAGCAAGCACAAACAGCTGGTGGCAGACATCTATACGATAAGTCTAATAACACTTCGATATCTATGGAAGCTACCGAGCAGGAAGCCAATGCAGTGGCCAAGGCCATCGGGCCGCCCAAACGTGGCATATTGAAGTACGGCGGACCTCTAACGCGAGTCACTTCAGCCAGGAGCGATGTCACGTCAGACGAGGATTCGCCTGAAAGAAACTTTGCTCTACCTATTGGGTATCTCAGCACCGAAAGCGCACCTCGAGCCGACCTTGCAATGCAGAACCCTACGATTGCGGCACTTGCAGAGGATTGGGGCGACCACAAACCCTCTAAGGGGAAGAAAAATGAGCAAAAGGATGGTGATTCAGCTCTCTCCGACACAGAGGATATCCATTTGTTGGTACCTAACCTCGTCGATGAAAGACGTCCGTCCGTCAAAGAGACGACACCGTGGCTAGCGGATATACTGCGAGACAAGCCTGGAAGAAGGTCTCCAAGTACTGGCCGATCTCCAGCACGTCACGGACGATCATTGTCAAGATAATATGAGCGCCATGGTGACATGGCCATTTCCCGAATTGCTCGCACCTGTGATGCAGGCACACAGAACGTCTGAGAGATCCTGGTGTCGGCAAGGAAAGGCCCCCAGAACTTTGAGCAGAGTCCATTCATTGCTAACCCTGGGGCAACAAGCCCTTCGAGATAGTGGGCTGTGGCTATCTCGACATCAACACAAGGCCGTTAAAGACAACTATGCGGTTCGCGACCTCCAATGTCTACTGCCGAGGTTCTACGAATCACCAGCGATCATCTCTGCCTTGTCTGCATGACAAATGCTCGACGAGGATCATGCTGGAGAACGACTCCGTGTCATGGGTGACAGCTACTTGTTATCCTTATCATCGTCCGGCCATTCCCCTCAGATGGAAGCCTGAATAGTGTTGCTGATTCTTTCTTTGTCGTTGGCGAGGGAAGCAACACCACTTGTGGCTTATCACTGTCGATTGGAAGGCCTATCAGCCTCATTAGGCTTTCCTCCAGTCTGTCATTCTTTGCAGGCGGAGTCCTTAAACTTGAGATCCTCCAGGCGCGGCATTCTGCTAGTGTGTATGGAGCGACGCCTCTTTACAAGACAAATATATAATCCTCAACTCTCTTCACAGTTCAGCTTCTTATCAGCTTGAATGTAAGCCTGTAACCTGTGCGTCCTCAAATGGCGAGGTAACGTGCCAGACATTCGACGTTAATGAGCTGAGAACTGCACGAGCACCGGAGCGTGGGAGCGCCCCGTGGCCCTTCATTTTTTGACTCCGGAGTTGCAGCTAACCTCCGATAAACTAACGATCATTCCATTCCAATAAATCACCTTCCTTGAATCCATACCGCAGTATAGACTCCTCCATGCATCACAGGTAGAGTCATGGTCAGCGACAAATCGTCGCATACGCTCTCTTATTCAAAGCGTCCAACATGATACCCATAAGTCCAGACGCCGACTGCGACGACTGTAGTCCTCACGGGAAACACTTCGGGACCAAGGCCGCCTTCTCAACCGTCCCGTTCATCGCAACCTTCGCTATACTGACATTCGTTGCCTATCGCAAAGTCTATCCTCTTCTATCCTCTTCTTCGTCGACAAAGTCGCAAGATGGCCTCAAAGGACTCCCTCGGCCGGCTACGTCACCTCCAGAACCTGCCACGCAACAACTTGCGCGGCGTGTCGCAGCAACCACCTTTGCTTCCACGATAGCACTTTCGGCCGTGTTGACGGAGCTGCTACTATGCGAGATCTCGAACTCGTTCAATCCTACGGCGCGCAGTGTTGCGTTGCAGATCACCGTGGTGAGCCTGCTGGGTCTCTTGGTGATTGCCATCCCTCTGTTGGGGATTTCTTCTGTGGTCTCAAAATCAGGATACAAATTTAGGGGCGAGAAGAAGAATCGAGTACGCCTGGCGTGGACTTTGGAGTTCGCTGGCTACTCAGCGTTTCTTTTCGGATTCTGGGCTATGGGTGCCCTGCTACCACAGTCTCCGAAAATTACAGAGAGTCTGAGTCGCCATGACGGTCTGTTCCAGGCTTGTTTGGACAGACTGGGTATCACAGGAGTGTCTCTGATGGCGCTGTTGTCTGGGTTCGCCTCGGTCAGTTCAATCTGGCAGTGCTTTGGACCCAGGGTGAAGCCCGTGGCCGACACGGACATTACTCGCAAACAGGCAGGATTGGATGCTACCATGGATATGCTTGCGGAAAAGAAGGAGAAATTGAGGATCTTGGAACAACAAAGTCTGGACAGCCCCATCCAAGGGTTCTGGGGTCGCACAATTGGCTCTATACGAGGTAACAAGGACATACAGGAAAGGCAGACGCTTGGGATGGAGACATCGGGCCTGGAAACAATGGCATCCTCACTGGAGACTTCGCTCACTATACTACGAGCGCGACGATCGACTCAACTCCGAGCGACTACGCCGGCGGGACGGTTGTCCTTGATATTTTCCTATGTGTTTTCGTGCTACTGTATATATCGCATCTGCACGACCACCATCAACATCTCCAGACGCATCGTGTCTTCCAGGCCTGCTACGTCTTCCGACACGGATCCGGTCACGTACACCATCGCTCTTTTTGCACGGCACGTCTACCCTTCACTGGACCAGGCGTCATGGGCTCAGCAGATTTCATTCCTCCTATCAGGGGCGATGCTGCTGGCCTCCTTTACGGCGGTCACGCAGACGTTCCACTTGTTCTCCCGCTTTATGCCGACTGTTCTGCATGCCACAAAGACAAACTTTGCGCTTCTGATCAGTCAGATCAGCGGCATGTACGTTATCAGCTCTGCGATCATGCTCAGGGGTATGATGCCGAAGGAGGTGGGCAGCGTTATCAACAGCGCTCTGGGGGCTGGATTGTTGGAGCCCGCCTGGGTGCAGCGGTGGTTCGATGGATTCTTCATGCTTGCTGTAATTGCGACGGCGGTGGGCATATTCCTTGGAAGGCAACTTTCTGGAGTTGCAACTTTTGAAGACGACACCGGTTGGGATGGCGTTATGGAGATGGGCAAACAATCTTGAATGTTATGCTCTGATGTGTGGAACGAGTACTAGAGGTAGGCCGTAGAAGAAGGCTAAGGTAACAGTCCTGGTTATGAATATACAGAGAAACGGTTCAGCCTCGATCGAGTATTGCGACCAACACAATCGCAAGTCCATAGGCCTTGGGTTTCGTTACTGTCGGATCTGCCACTACTAGTAGCCAAATATTCTACTTAAAGTGCCGAAGTTTCGCCAAGTTGGAGAAGATGCAGTATGACGCGACGTGTCTCTGTTGCACTAGTTCCAGCATTGCAATTAACATCCCAATTTCTTTTGCACAGCACGACACCGGGGGCTTGAGGAATCATTTGCTCTCGAAGGATTGTTCAGAAGGCTTCTCTGTGAACAAGGTCTTCTAAGAACGCCTCTGCAATGACTGATCTGTCTGCCACACTATCCTCAGTTCTGATCGAGAAGCACTCGTCAAAGTCCGTCATCGGTCGCAAAAGAGACCTCTCAGAAAACCTCGACTCCTTCTTAAAGGAGGCATATAGCATTGTACGGTAGAGAACCCCAGTCGAGTCTACAAACATCTGACGTTTCACAGAATAGATCCATCTCGTCGCTACTCCGGTATCTGCGAGCTTTACGCACGCCGTACCTTTCCACCGCAGCACCACCCCGGCACCAGAGGCGGCCGGGAGCATTGTCACCTTCTACCGGGACTTCATTACAGAGTGGCGATGTACCAGAACACTTGGACGATGCGCAAAGGGAGAAAATTGACACCGAGACGTCCTCAGTACTCCGCGACATCAACAATTCGATAACAAACCTGTCGTCAGCGGTCAATCTACAACATGAGACAGCGGCGAAGATCATAGAAAAGAAATATGGGCGGCCCAGTGGAGTCCTCTGGCGCTGGGCGGCGGGAGACGGCGACGTGCCAGACGCAGGCAAATCCGAGGAACAGCTGGGAGAGGAGGGCCAGGTTCGGACATTGAAGATGTTTCGAGAGGGCGTCCTGTGGTATCTGGGCAGTAGACTGAAAGACCTTGTGACCGTTCAACAGGACATGGTGGAGAAAAGACTCGAGCGCGAGCGACAAAAGCAGATGAGTGTCCTTTACGATCCTAGGAACAAGAGCGTGCGCGCTGGTACGCGGATTGACCCCGTGGCTACTGCGCCAGATGGGCTCCCAAAACGTGACATGCGAGGGCACGACGAGTACAAGCCGTGGAACGATGCATCACAAGGTGGGAATGAGCAGGAGCTCTCGCCGGAGCAGTTACAGCTTTTCGAGGAGGAGAACAGAGGCCTGTTCGAGCATTTCAATGACCAACTGGCCAAGGTTACGCAGGCTGAAAAGAGTTTGATGGAAATTGGCAGTTTGCAGCAGACTCTTGTTGGGCACCTTAGCGTCCAGGGTGAGATGATAGGGAATCTGGTGAATGATGCTGCAAGTACGGACGAGAACGTGCGAAGGGGCAATCGTGAGTTGAAGAAGGCAAGTGAGCGTGGAAGTACCGCGAGGTTGGTATTCTTTGCGACGGCTGGATTCTGCTCTTTCCTGGTGGTCTGGGATCTTATATTTTGAGGGATATCGAGAGTCACGATCATGATGTTCAATGATGGGACATACGGTCTAGGCTGGCACGGCTGGGCAGCTATATAACTGGCACCCCAGATTTCCAGCTGGATCCGACTTCTCCCGAGCGACCTCCAAGCTCCAGGGCGGGGCAGCGATATGGAGCGCTCCGGGGCATGGAGTGGCTCACTAAATGCTCATACAGTAGCACGAGAAACGTGTGGCTTTTCCGTAGGCTTGACAAAGACCTTTGGGCGAGCAGAACGCAGACCATAGGGAGCACATGCAAATCTACACATGAATTGAGGAAAGCGTAGGACAGTGAGAACACAGGTACTATATGATAAGGTGGTTTGCCCACTAATGAAAGATCGCCTATTGGCCTTCAAACGCCGTTCATTCTCCAACACACCTCGGGCTAGTGAGGCCATTGGGGTATGGAGTGCCCCAAGATAGCATCGACGCCTTTGCCGAGTACCCTTACAGATAAACATACAGTACTTGTAATTGACTTCGCGTGAGCCGCCATCGGAAAAGGAATTGCGAGGTTGTCTCATACAACCGATTAGCATCAGCAGCTAACACCAGTTAGATCTTTGCAGCCGCCGGGTCCCAAGGTACGTCTGCAAGGCCCCCATGCGTCCGTCCGCCCGTCCTTGACACTTGGTTCTCCAAAAAAAGATTCTCTTTGGAACCGGAGTACGCCACTACTTCATCAATATACATGCATCATGCCCACACCGCCCAACGACTCCTTCACCTCATCTTCACCCGCATCTTCAAAGACTAACGCCAACACTCGTTTATCTCAGATCAACCAACACACTGCTACCATGGGTTCCGCGGGAGACCACACCCTGTTCGACGCAAATGTCGTCCCTCAAGCCCCCGAAGATCCCCTCTTTGGGTTGATGGCCGCATACAAAAAAGACACATCAGACAAGAAGGTGGATTTGGGCATTGGTGCATACAGGGACAACAATGCGAAGCCTTGGGTGTTACCGGTGGTGAAGAAGGTACAACACTGATCAACGCTCCAAGTGTCGAGGTTCACAGGCTTACAAGAGTCACACAGGCAGATGAGGTACTACGGAATGACCCTAACTTGAACCATGAATACCTGCCCATCGCTGGTCTCTCAGAGTTCACTTCAGCCGCCCAGAAACTCATTCTGGGTCCAGACAGCCCCGCTATCAAAGACTCAAGAGTAGGGATTGCTATCAGTCCTCCGAATCATGCTCCGCTAACACTGTATCACCACAGGTCACCTCTCTACAGACCATCTCGGGCACAGGCGCCGTCCATCTAGGCGGCCTGTTCCTCGCAAAGTTCCTATCGAAACCGACCCCAGCAATCTACCTCTCGAACCCAACATGGGCCAACCATAATCAGATCTTCACCAACGTGCACCTATCCATCAAGCAATATCCATACTTCTCCGCAAAGACGAAGATGCTCGACCTAGAAGGCATGCTGTCAACTCTCAAGTCCGCTCCGCAAGGCAGTATCGTCCTACTGCATGCCTGCGCGCACAATCCTACCGGCGTAGACCCGACGCAAGACCAGTGGAAACAAATTGCCGAGGTCGTCCGCTCGAACAAGCTCTTCCCCTTCTTTGACTGCGCCTACCAGGGTTTCGCATCCGGTGACTTGGCCAAGGACAACTTCGCGATCAGATACTTCGTGGAGGAAGGCTTTGAACTCGTTATCGCGCAGTCCTTCGCCAAGAACTTTGGTCTGTACGGTGAACGAGCAGGCGCATTTCACTTCGTCGCCAGCCCGGGATCCAGCGCCCAGGACGTGGTGAAGCGCGTCGGCAGCCAACTTGCCATTCTGCAGCGGTCGGAGATTTCCAACCCTCCTGCCTACGGCGCGAGGATCGCCAGCATCGTGCTGAACGACGAGGCGTTATTCAAGCAGTGGGAGGAGGACCTGCGGACCATGTCCGGGCGCATCATCGAGATGAGGAAGAGCCTGAAAGCCGAGCTGGATAAATTGGACACGCCGGGCAAATGGGACCATATCACGAGCCAGATTGGCATGTTTTCGTTCACAGGACTTACCGAAGCCCAGGTCCTGGGTATCCGCGAGAAGTGGCACGTCTATATGACGAAGAACGGCCGGATAAGTATGGCCGGGCTCAATACGAACAACGTCAAGTACTTTGCCGAAGCCTTGGACGATGTCGTTAGGAACGTCAAATAGGAAGAGAGCAAGTGGAGGAAATTGATGGCACGGGGAAATTCAGGAGGGTCCGAATGTTGTGCATTAGGTGCTGGAGTTCATTCCATCTGAGCCTGCCAGGTATCATGTCACATGTCTCGCTCCGAAGAGCAGGGTGGACGTGCATCGACACATTTCACAAATCAAGGGTGGGTACTGCATGGTGGGATCTTGTCTGACCACCACCTCACAAGAAAGATCTCGGTAGCTATGCTGGCCACACGATCTCACGAAGAGGAAGAGCATTGGTCTATGACGAGATTGGGACACATATAGGAAAGTGAAGATGATGGCTGCGTGGCCATCTGCTCTGAAACAACCGGGGCATATCAATGAATAAGTGTGCTTGCAATCCTCGATCGGTTCTCGGTCTACCTGACTTTGCCATGCGTGCAATATGTTTTCCTGCTACTCAACGTTCACGCCTGAACATGAACGTGTATCCAGAATAGGTCCCACCCCGTCTATTATTACCGCTTCTCGTCCAGGTCTACCAATGAGCCTGTCGACCACCCTTTGGCTGCCTCTGACGATCTGGCGCAGGCCGAGTCCAACATTCGTCCCGGTATGGGTCGCAGACCATCGTAGACGGTCCAGCAGCCAGCTCATACAGACCCGACGGAACCTTGGTTCTGGCTGAGGTGACGCGACGCGACCTCTTGACCGGAGTCTCCAACTTAAGTGGCCAGAACGCCGATTGCTGGCATCTCGAGACTTTGTACCGTGAAGAACTTCGCGGTTGTAGTCATCCTCGGGCACTCAATCTCTCAGGTGTGGATCGTAGATCATAGCCCAAGCAGTAACACCTTCACCGTTACCATCTACGCTCGGCCACCCTTGAGCATCCACTTTGCCCTTGCCCACCACGATCTCCTCCACCACTCGAAACCCGAAATGCTCGTAGACCTTGACGGCCTGTGGCGTAGTGGCTTCGAGCCAGGCTGGGACGTTTTCGGCCCGTGCTCGTTGTAAGAATGGCAGCATGACAGCATTAATGCTGCCAGCGACACGGGGAACGGATGGATTTCGCGCCAGAAATGATAGATGGTAATAGCGCCGTAGTTGTGGTTCGTTGTTGTCTGAATCCGAGGCAGAATTTGATTCAGAGTCTGTAGACGGGGCAGACTGTATGGCGAGGTTCTTTGCCTTTGCGGCATTGACTCGTCCACGCCATTCGGTCAACAGCACACCCGGACGGGCTTTGGAGTCGATGAAGGCTTTGCCCTGAAATGAAGGCGGCTCCCAGAGTGCAATGGCGGACCAGTTTCCTGCTTGCACCAAATCTGCATTGGAATGAGCGCTGTCGAGGATACCCCGAGCGAAGTGCCGCCGTCGACGAATGGCGTCAATTGAAGGAGAGGGATAGGGTGGCGGTGTCTTGTCGTTGTCAACTATAAAGGATGTTGTGAGAGCCGTCAAGGCGAATGCTTCTGTTATGATATCGATGAAGTGGTTTAGGTCTGTTGAGGACTCTGGAGAAATGAGTGTGTAGGAGGGCGTCTGTGTTGATGTCGAGGAGGACATACTTGCATCGATGGCCTGTGATACGCCGGGTGTTGTTGAATTGTCTTAGAGGACACTGACAAGTCTGGATATGTGAAGATGGTAGTCAGAAGTCCCAAATGTCACGGAGGGCGTGGACTTTTGAAGCGGGCTAGGCCGGTATCTGTGGGTCTCCCTGCCAGTGAGATAGGCGATGCAGGGCTGTGATGTTTAGGGGTCACCGATAGTAAGCGCAGCAAAAACAGGGTGAGTTCATGTGATGATGACCGATGTCACGCTGCTGCCATAAAAATGGGGTAACAGAAACATAGATTTGCGTCATGTTGGCACAGAAGAAAATTCCTTGCATTCCATTCTGGCAAGGGATTCGTGTTGTGCTGCTTGCAGTTGTTGTGTTCTTTCTTGCAGGGATAAAGGCGGTTGCTGAGTAAGGGATGGAAGCCGCGAATCTCGAACAAGGAATGCAACTCGCAGGCTTACCTCGATTCCGGAGATCTCGATAGATGATTCATCCGGGGTCTGACATGGACAGACTCATAAAGCACGCATCCAGTGCTAGATACGCTGCGACTCATCTTGGACCGAATTGATGATGATGGTCCCTTCGAATGTCTTTGTCTCGCATCTGCCCACAGACTACGGCTGATTGCGTCTGGCTGGAATGCTTGCATTGAGCCGTGATCGTTGTTGCATCTTACCTCGCTACTCGTATGGGAGTAATCAGCGCCCCTGAAAGCCGTGTACCGCATGCTGATGCCAGGTTCTACTGCCGCAGCAAGGCTTTTACAGTAGTAGACATGGAGTTTTGAAGATGATTCATCGAACAGGCAAGAAATGTTTCCGGCGAAAAATATTGCAGGCTTATTCGGCAAGCCGGTTTCCAAAAGAAGTGACACCGTCTGACAGGGAGTACATCGACGACACAAATTCGAAGCCCAGCAGATTCGCGACGGTGGGTGCCCTGACAATAAGCTGGTTAGACTGTACGTTGTAGCTGATGGTCTTCCTCTTATCAAAAGCGGAAGCTATCATTGCGTGCGAAGCACTTCAGTTTGGCAATAAGGAACAATATCTATTTGGAGGTGAAGAGGTACACCAGTCAGACTGTACCACTTTTCCTGGAGACAGACTTGCTTCGCCGGACATTAACAAACCCCGAGCAAATCAGTATTCAATGACGTCCGGACGCTTCCTTCGCTGCTCTCGTCTTCTTTTCATCTTCTTTTCCCAGTGAGTAGCGTACTTTACACCAGAACGTTCAGAACGGCCTACCCAAACAATGCTTGCACAGCAATGCCTCCTGGTCTCTTTCCCGGGGTTGGGTATTGCATCTTGGGATGATAGAACTCGAGTTGATTTATATGTGAGTAGAGGTTTGTCGGGAGGATATGATACACCAAAGCCCGAGCGATCAAGAGATCTGTCTGTGTGCTTCCTACTCGCGAAATCGGCCGGTGAGTGAGAGCAACCCCCGAGCTTCATATATATACGATCTGCTGTTACTATCCCTTCCCTTTGTTATCCCCTAACCTACCATCCCGCGCCAATGCCCCAAGTCTAGAAAGAGGAGCCAGGATTCGTCGAGATGGACAAGCTCTATGACGTTGTCATTGCTGGAGGAGGACCGATTGGACTCTGTCTAGCCTGCGAGTTAGGACTGGCGGGGTCTTCCGTACTCGTCCTTGAGCGCGATCCCGAACGAGAGTCGCCATGGAAGATTTCGCCGCTAGGCCTTCGGGGCATTAACACGCAGTCGGTCGAGGCCTTCTACCGGCGCGGGCTCCTGAACAAGATCCTGGGCTCTGGTATCTTCGACCCTGATGGGCGGCCGCAGTCATTCCAGAAGAAGCCTGGATTTGCTTTCGGCGGGCATTTCGCCGGCATCATGATGAACGCCAACAAGCTCGAACTGGACCGATTCCAGTACCGAATCAACGGACCGGCACTGCAACCAGGGCCCACGACACTCGACCGTGTCGAGTCCGCGCTGAGCGATGCCGCCGTGGCCTTGGGAGTCATGATCCTCCGGGGTCACAGCGTCAAGAAAATCGCAGCACCAGATGAACACGCCGTCACTGTCGAAACTGCGGACGGCCAATTTTTCCGCGGCAAGTGGCTTGTGGGGTGCGACGGCGGACGAAGCGTGGTTCGCAAGGCCGCAGCCTTCGACTTTCCCGGGACAGAGCCCAAGTTCACAGCCTATGCGGTCTACTGCGACCTCGAGCACGCGGAGACACTGAAGCCTGGGTTCAACCCCACGAAAACCGGAATGTATATTACGGGTGCCAAACCTGGCGCGCTGTATCTGGTCGACTTTGACGGTGGCGCGTACGATCGCGGTCAGGAAATCACGCGCGAGCACATTCAGGAGGTCTTGTGCCGTGTGTCAGGGATGTCAGACATAGAGATTACCCAAATCCACCTCGCATCTGCGTTCACCGACTCATCCAGGCAAGTCACAAGCTACCGCAAGGGTCGTGTGCTGCTCGCTGGTGATGCTGCGCACATTCACCCGCCGCTTGGATCACAGGGTCTCAATGTCGGCATCGGCGACGCCATGAATCTCGGCTGGAAGCTGGCCGCAACGGTGCGGCGGGAAGCCCAACCCGACCCTGGCCCGGACTTCAAGCTGCTGGATACATATGAAGCGGAGCGCCGGCCAATCGCTGCGTGGGTACTCGACTGGACGCGTGCACAGGTGTCGACCATCCAACCAGACGAGCATGGCGCCGCGATGCAACGTCTTATCCGCGATGTTATCGACACGACGGACGGTGCGAACCTATTCATTGATCGTGCCTGGGGCTTGACACAGCGGTATGATTTGGGTGATACACATCCACTTGTCGGGATGAGCGCACCGGATTTCGAGATGAATGATGGCTTGAGGCTGGGAGACAAAATGCACGGCGGCCATGGGTTGCTTGTCGATTTCACGGACGATGAGGACCTCAGGGGCCTGGTTGCTTGCACCAATTTAGGGGTTAGAGTCGACTATGTTGGTCTCGGTGCAAGAGACGCGCGTGGCCTACGTGCTTTGTTAGTGAGACCAGATGGCATTGTTGCTTGGGTCGCGGAAGAGGATGGCAGTCTTGATGTCGAGGCAGCCAAGCTTGCTTTGGGGTGGTGGTTCGGGTTTTGAATGAACATGATTGTGTAAAATGCTGGTGTGGTTGAAATCACCCTTGTTAGGATGTATGATAGCACTGTACCGTATGAACACTCAATATAGAGCATTAGATGAAAAAATGTCAATCAAAGTTGGTTTGACCATCCCATTTCGAACATAACGTAAGGTATTGTGCCGAACGAAGCAGTATGTCTTCGGATGTCTCCATCTCTGACACGTCTCTTTCCGCAAGTAATGAATATCAGGTTTGATCACTTCAGTCTTGTGCAGTCTCATCAAACTCAGGTGTCCATCAAGATGTCTTTGTAGTAGGAGGACGCGCAACGTAAGTAGAGATCAACAGAGTACAAGGAAATGAGATCCCCAATGATCGTTGGATCTTCGGGACGATCTCAGATCTTGAAACAACCGCGGTCTGCAGGAAAGAAATTTTCCACCGTAACTCGACGTCTTCTTACACAGCCTTGCAGGCTTTGTGAGACCTGCACATACCACAGTGCATGAGCAGACGCCGCATACAACAGCTGTGAGCGTATGGCTATGGCAGGACGTTCTCGACAAACAACGTCCCTCATTAGGCGATGTCTTCGATTCCCGGAGGAAAGTAAAAAGATATTTTGGGAACTGTCAGGTGGATATAATAGTACCTCAGAGCATTGGGCAAGTATCTCCCCGATGAGTTGCATTAATCGCATGGGCTTGTTTCAGACTGTGTATCAGACTCAACCGTAACAAGCCGTTGAAAGCACGCCACAAGCGAAAATCCATGCCCGTGGCTCCAATCCTCGGGGAGGAAGTCAACCACTCATAGGCGTTCCAAGCAGCCTGCGCCCTTTAACTGGCCAGTGCCTGAAATTCCGTCAAGAGATTTTCGTCAAAAACCCTCGCTCCGTTCTCCGGTCCCTTTTCCTTCCATCTCCACTTCATCCTTCGTCATTCAGTTCCACGTCGGCGAGGAAAACTTCACCTCACACGGTCGGTCCCCTAGCCCGTATGCATGCGTTATTGGGCATGTTCATCACGATCCGATATGTAGAGCGTTCGAGAAAATCAATACCTCCTCCCTCCTCCCAAACGCTTTGATACACGATATTTCCATTTACATTGTTTCCATATTCTTACTTCACGCTCGCTTCTTTCATTGTTCATTGCATTGTTTCACGCGCACTCACCACATTCGTTCGTCCTTCGTTGGTTGCACATTGTCTCCCTGTTGTACCCTGCGTCAGACGGGATCAACCCAACTAAAGGAATACTTGACTCAGGCAGAGTACTTTCAATTGAGCAGCAGACCGAGTCCTTTGGCTTCACTGCTCAAATTCCTTCTGCCTCACCCGGACCACAAGTGACATCGCCCACAGATCATGTCACAAAGAGACCATTACAAAAAGTTTTCACGAGAAGGATTTCAACCTCTTAGACATAAAACGTCCAGAGAAATGTCCAATCCGAACGATATTACGATTGATATCCCCTTGACCAAAGTGACAACCGGAAACAGTCCGACCGGTGCTCGAAAAGTCGGCTACTCTCCTGCAACGGCCGATGGAAATACAGACATTCCAGAAGAGATGGACGAGAAGCAGCAGAGACGGCGCCCTCACAGCGGTCCCGGAGGTAGAAGAAGACGGTACAAAGAGCAGGGAATTGAAAACAAGGCGAGAGATGATGGCAGTCTCAATGCTGCTGGCAAACTCTACAGAAAGGTCTACAATTCCTCGGTCATTACCCGATACTTCATCTACGTCGCTCCCCTGGCATTGGCAATTGCACTCCCTATTGTGATTGGCGCCACCGTCGCTGAGAATGCAAGCATTGGAGGCGTCAAAATCGTCTGGTTCTTCACTTGGATCGAGGTTGTTTGGGTATCTTTGTGGGTGTCGAAGCTGGTGGCCAGATTTCTACCCTATCTCTTCCAGTTCCTCAGTGGAGTGGTCAGTTCTGGCACAAGAAAGTATGCTCTGGTGCTTACAGCCCTGGAAATTCCTTTGTCGTTGGTTGGCTGGGCTGTCACCTCATTAACAACCTTCGTTCCGATCATGACCTTGAACCCCGACACAAGAGCTACAGGAGATACAAGTCTGAAATCTTGGGAGTCTGTCGTCAAGGACATTCTCTTTGCGAGTCTCTTTTCGACCTTACTTTTACTCGGCGAGAAGTTCCTCATTCAATTGCTCTCGATTAGCTACCATCGAAAGCAGTTTGACGACCGAATCAAAGAGTCCAAACACAATATTCGCCTAATCACCCTACTTTACGATGCTTCGCGAAAGATGTTTCCCATGTACTGTAAGGAGTTCATTGAGGAAGACTATCTGATCAACGACATCCTGGATCTTGCTGACGGCAGCAAGCGAGCCAGTCTTTTGATGGGAGGTCACAAGAGATCCGGCTCTGCCACTCCCATGAGACTAATCCAAAACGCGGCCAGAGTTGGTGATAAGATCACGTCAGTCTTCGGCAACGTTGCCCAAGAAATCACTGGAAAGAAAGTCTTCAACCCGACCTCCTCTCACTCAATCGTTGTCCAAGCTCTGGAACGAAAACATTCTGCTGAAGCACTTGCTAAGCGCATCTGGATGTCATTTGTGCTTGAAGGCAAAGAAGCCTTGAGTTTGGACGACTTTGTCGATGTGCTTGGATCCGATCTAGAATTCGAGGCTCATGAGGCATTCGACATTCTCGATGTGGATTCCAACGGAGACATATCTCTGGACGAAATGATACTTCGAATCACTGAGTTTGGCCGCGAACGCCAGTCCATCGCCAGTAGTATGCACGATGTGGACCAGGCTATCAACGTGCTGGATAATCTCCTTTGCACTGTCGTCTTCATTGGCGTCATCTTCATTTTCGTCGCATGGCTGAACAAGAATTTTACTACGACTCTTGCAACCGCCGGCACAGCACTCCTCTCGATGTCGTTTGTCTTCTCGGTGACTGCTCAAGAAGTGCTTGGTTCTTGCATCTTTCTCTTTGTCAAGCACCCCTTCGATGTTGGTGACAGAGTTGATGTTGGAGACAACAATTATGTGGTCGAACGGATGTCTCTCCTCTACACTGTTTTTCGGCGAGTCAAGGATCAAAAGCGAACCCAAGTTCCAAACATCGTTCTAAACTCGCTTTGGATTGACAATGTATCTCGCAGCAAAGCGATGCGTGAACAGATCAGCATCTATGTCAACTTCGGCACGACCTTTGAGGATATCGACCTGTTGAAGAAGGAAATGACTAACTTCGTTCGAGACAAGGATAACGCTCGTGACTTCCAGCAGGACGTCGATATCGAAGTGCTCGACGTGTCTGATCAAACCAAGATGGAACTGAGATTGGAGATCCGCCACAAGTCCAACTGGGCAAACGAATCTGTACGAGCGGCGAGAAGGAACAAATTCATGTGTGCTCTCACCCTTGCATTGCGCAAGATTCCTATCTCCGGACCTGCGGGTAATGATCCTGCAATGGGAGACAAGGCCAACCCTACGTATTCAGTGGCTATATCTGATGATATTGCGAAGAAGAACAAGGAGGACTTCGTCCAGGAAGCAGATAAGAAGAGATTGGTGCCCAACATGTCGCACAGTCGGAGCGAAAGCGGGAGCGATGTAACGAAGACTGAATCTGGTTCTCGCGACTATCTGGGTTTGTCTACAGGTGTTGATTCTGGAGAATTGAGAGCTGTGGAGAAGCTTGTCAAACGCGACGTCGCGGTCGACCCATCAGAGCCTCTTGACCAACACCGAGAACTTTCACTGAATAAGCGGCGGTCGAATGACGTCGAAGAAGTGAAGAGCATCTTGAAACGCGAGTCGACAACTGGTCGACGCCGCGCTTCACGAATGAACGGCTTGTCGCTGCACGAGAGTCTTGACGCACGGTACGGGGCTCGCACCATTCCCACCATTGCTGTGCCATCGCCTCAGGTACCTGTTGATGCCGTGCAGCCTAAGCCTGATCGAGTCAGCTATTTCGAAGACACCAACCAGGGAATAGTTCAGCCGAGTGCATCACAGCAAGATTGGGCCAGTGTCGCGCCTCTCAACTACTATCAATCTGCTCCAGGCGCCATGCCTTCACAGCCTTACCATCCCACGTCACCAACGATGGCAGGTGCCGCTGCAAGTCCTAATCGATACGTACCTGGCAACGCTTTCTCCCAGCAGATGCATTCTCCACAACAGGTGTCGCGGGCGCCCGTTCCAGGCATGACTGAGATGAAGAAAAACTTGCAACGAGGACAAAGCCCCGAGGAAGAATGAAGTGATGGGCTTTCGGGCATGATGCATGTTGAAGTCTAGAAGACTAGGCTATTGTTTTACGAATTTGTTTTGTGCATAGCGTGGGGGATAATGAGCTTAGAATTGACGCACATGTTGTGCGACCGGCGCTTTTTCACGGGTTACAAAAGATATCCTAGACAGGGAATTGTTAGATCAACAAGAAGAGCTTTTGTGAAATACAGATTCTGTCAGTGTGAAAGCTCAATGATAGTCAGTATGCAATATGGAAATTAATACTCCCAAAAAACATGGCCCTGCGTGGGGCTTTTCGATATGCAGTCTTTGCCGTCCCACGGGTGTCGTTCTTGCCCAGCAGGACGTTTTCTCCTTCGGCGGAGTAGTTTTCACTAGGCAGTATGGTTTTATTGAAGCAGAGTGTATCTATTTCGTATGTTCATATATGCATCCACCCTCGATGCTGTGGGTATCCACTAATGTTACAGAGGTGAGTCATATATCCTTGACAGGAAATCAGAAAGGAGAAGTGGAAGAGATTCGTAACGTCGTCAAACTGGAAGCCCATATACATCCAGTGTCTTCATCCTTTGAAGCTGTGGGAGGGGGCGGCATCGTGCCCTCAATATCTCACAAATACACCCGAAACCAGTCTCTTCTTGCCCGTGCGTTTATCTCTGTCTCTTCGTTGGGTACTTTGGTTACTTTGGGTACTTGTTCCTGCGGCAGCTGTTGCTGCTTCTTCCGACCCTGGACGTGTGGCGCTGGCGCTAGTGCTGGCGCTCGTGGTGCCGGTGCTTGCATTGGTGTTTGTGCTTTCTCGTCTATAGACGTCCTGGCTCGCAGCAGTTGAAGTTGTTACTCGATCGCTCTCCTTTATACTTTGTTGGTACGAGTATTGGTACTGCTGCGACGATCCTTGTGTTGGTGACGGATACCGGTCCGGGCTGCGACTTTGACTGCTCATTTCGCGTTGCTTGCCTTTGCCCTTGCCTGGTGGTGATGGTGACTGGCGTCGTCTGCCTCCTGGACTGTCTTGTGGTGATCGCTCTTCCGGCCAAGGATTTTGAGCTTCTGCGTCTTCGTAGGAAAAGCGTTGTGTTGGTGTATATGTCTCTGTTTCGAGGTCGAATGGACGGGGACTCTTCTGGTAGGATTGAGGTCGATGGCTGGCTTCCGGGGACCTTTGTGTTCCAGTGGGCGTGCTTGAGCCGGATCTCCTCCGGTATTCTTCTTGTGATCGTTGAGGATTTGATGATTGTCTCTCGTCCATATGACACGGATGGGAGATGGCACTCAGTACAGCAGGACAGACCCGTCGACGGCAGTGCCTGTCTGAGTGATATGAGAGGCAACGACGCGCTCGAAAGAGGTGTAATTGCTCAGTATGAACTAGCTGCGACTGCTGGATCTGGGATCCCAAACCAACGAGGCAGGGGTACGATATCCACGACTCGATTCGATGTAGCGTGGTCGATGCTCCGTTGAGTTCAGGCAGCAACAAACAATGCGAAATCCAGAACCACGTATGAAGAACAGAAAGTCGATTCCCTAATATACAGTTCAATGTATCGGATCTGGTATGAAACTCAAACTACTCACGCTGGGCAGGAGGAGACCTGTATATGACTGTGAAGGAAAGCCTCCATGAGAAATTGATGTGCTAAGTATACACCACCATGATCTGCAACGGACGACCTCGATGTGTCGCAGCAACAAACCTATTTCAGACTGGCTAGAGTCCAACTCAGGCTAGTCGACCGCCCTGTTGTCATGGGGGGTGGAGTTTAGTCCGTAGAGAATACGATATCGCTTTCATGGGTCCTTCCGGTGCCTGGGTCCATATGGGAACGGGGTATAAACACAGACCAAGCATGGGGAGTATGCCAAATGGGAGGAATGGAAAGAAATCTCTCAGTCCTTTTGATCTCGGGGGCCTCATCTCCTGCCAAGTTAGTCCAGTCATCTGTTGCTGGACCTGATCGGGAAGGAGAATGGAGGTTACATTGATTGACGGTCCATCGAGAAATGGAAATCCAGATCACTGGGAAAGTAATGGCCCCAAGAAAATGACAAGGACGTTACGACTCATAGGAAGTAAACAGGCGGAGATCGATGTGTGTCATTGACGTTGTTGCGTGCATTCAGATTGGTTGATCAGGAACCAGTTTACCGAAGGGAAGTCTACAGTCTACGGGGGTGTCAAGGCTATTCAGCCTCGTTTAAGTTTAACTAAGTTTAGGCTTCTACTAGGCTAGGCCTCCATGAATCACAGTACCTGGGAGGCACGCCTGGCATGGCCGCATTACTAAGTTGGGCTATGTGGCTGGCTTCTAGATGACTGTAAGTTACTGCGCGCGCAAGAGAGTATCTGTTTAGGCAGGCCTCGTGCCCAGTGCCCACTCCCCTAACTATCCCGCGTCCACGATCTTACCCGAGCCCCCCCAGTAAGTTAATGGCGCAAGGCTGCGAAAATAAATCGTCATCTACTCCGTTATTGATGGGTCTAGGTAACCGCAATATGCGTTATTATTCTGCTGCCTATGCCTCTTCTCGCAACACCAGGGTCTTCTAGGAGGCTCCTCTGGAAAGTCATCTGACGATTTCAATGATGCCTAGCACAGCACGATAACAATCATGGAGAATACCCGTCAACCACAAAGCGGGAAAGCACAGCCGTCGTCGCTTCTTTTGACACCCTGGCATGTCGCATACAGAAGCAGATATCGGATACGATCGTCAATCAACGACATACGAGTACGGAGTCATTGAACTTGGTAGGACCGATGAGCAAGCAACATCCATTCCCAGATTGCATTCTGTAGATCCGTCACATCTTGAAGCCAAGATAGTTCGCGCCAGGTCAACGAGTATTCAACGGGTATTTTTGACTCATCCCGTGCTCTCCACCAAAGACAGGAGGGACCAAATGTATGTATCCGTCAACAATTGCGGCCGCAACATCACTTTCACAAAAATCAACGTCCAGATAGAATGAACACTCACTGTGAGGTTTGAGTCATGGCCGTGGTCTCTTAGCTAGAAGCACCACCCCGCCTCCATATGCCAGTCTCTCAGCCACAACATTATGTAGATCGACCATACACCGAAATTAACTCAAGACCACAGATGCTCTGACCTCCTCCACACAAGCAGATACGTCCAGCATCCCACACCTGCTCACTCACGTTCAGTAATGCTGTCTGCCCCTAATCAGCCTCGAATCAGTCGGCCAGTCGGCAAGGCCGTCTACGTCTAACCCTGCAGTATCCAAATACGAGTCGAGCATCAGTCATGCATGCAGCTATATGCATCTCGTCACTCGATCAAGGCTAGACGGGAAGAACCTGCAGTAGTCGCCACCACAACCCTCCCTGGATACCTGTAAGGACAGACTTCGTGTTTCCCAGAATATTGGCGCAAGGCAGACACCCCCATTAACGGTCCCGTTCACGTCTCCCTGGCTGAGCGGGACGTCAAGGTGGGGAGAAGATACTTAGTCCTCGACTGGCACGTGGGTATAAGTCGCCGAGAATGGATTCCTAAATTAGTCCACCAGATAAATACCTCGTTTTGACGTTAAGACTTCTCAAACGTTGAAGTCTACATCATTGGACGAAAATGAATTGTCGCCAAATGAACCAACTCCGGTTACCCTCGTGACAATAATATCTCCCTCTCGCTGGACGCCATCGCTATGCTACCAGACTTCAAGAAGATTTTGCATCAAACAACACCCAAACCATAAACAGACGTATTCATGATCATGATCGTTGACCCTATGCCAACATTTCTATTGTGATACAGACCATGCCCTCAGAACTTCTCCATGAACGCCTTCCGGACAGTCCACATCCTCCCCCTCTTGCCGTAGATGTACATGGGGATGGTGGTCAATAGACACACAATTTGAATGGCGCCGATGGCCAAGAACGTCGTCTTGGGCCCGTCATCCTCCAACCACGTTGCGAAAAACAAACTAAACACCAGACCGTGGAAGATGTTTTTGCTGAAATTTAACGTCACCAGCGCCTCGCCAGCATATTGTCGGTAGCTGTCCACACAGAAAGTGATGGCCGTGGTGCTGCCGAGTGAACATCCAAACGAGATGATGCCAAAGAAGATTGTCGGTACGATCCATCTGTCGCGCTCTTGAGCCGACCACCCGTAACCCATGAGCCCAAGAGCAGTGCTGAATGCCACAGGAATGGCCATGACGAGCCGGAATTCTGGCTCGTACACACCACCATTGCGTCGTGCCATATAGCGCACAATAACATCAGACACTTTTCCTGCAACCGCCGTACCAAGGATACCACCCACAAACGGTGAGATGTATACCAACCCAGCTCCTAGCGCAGAAAAGTTGTACGTGTCGCGGCTGCGATAGATATTAGATATTGACTCGGACAGCACAATAAGCCAGCCGATGGAGAGTGAGTATACAAGTGATGACCACAGCACACTCGGATACAAAAATAGTATGAAAGGTCTGCAGGCCACCAGGAACCAGTTCGCCTTGGAAAGTCTTCCGTTCCATGGTTTCAGGGTTTGTGCATAAGTCTTTGGCGGCGCACGTTGTAGGTTGGATGTGTATTGTATAGGTCTTGGACTGAACGGGATGTCGTCCAGGCTCCTTGACGACTCCAGATTCACAGGACTGTGGATGGACTCAGGCAGCGTGACAGCCGTCTCACTTCTCGTGATTTCTTCCTTTGGTTCCACCTCTGCAGGTGGTTCGCTCGGTGGTGGATGATGGCTGAGGTAGTCATCATTCTTTTCGAGCTCCATGTAGTACGGTGAGTTGAGATTGTGGAGATGTGGGACCGAGATATCGCTCTCCGTGGTGGCTGCTCCTGGTTGAGCGATATTGGGAAACTGAATTGTCGGGAACTTGACAGGTTTGCCATTCATAGTTCCATCCCAAGGCATGGTATACTTGTTCGGTTCCGTCTGCGACTTGTACATGCTCATATCTGGCGACAGGGGCATGACCAGTCCTGTTGGTTTGACTTTTCTCCGTGCTGACAATCTAGGCACCATCGTGCCAGGTTGGTCTATTTTCGTGATCTCGTCATTCGCTCCGTCGGCTACAACTGAACTTGGGTCCTCGGTCTCCGCCGCGGGTTGGTGGTCATTGGTGGCTTCGGTGGCAGCCACAGGTTCCTCAGGTGAAAACACATCATCAATGTTTATTACTGGTATAGGTCTTTCGGACTTCACTTCATCATCTTCTTTGTCTAAGGCGTCTTCGAATCTGGCATGTGCGTTCTGTTCGTGCAACCGATGTTGTCGAGGGGTCATAATCTTCTCGAGGGCAGCCTCTTCCGCAGCCGGATCTTCGGGCTCGGGCTCCGCAAGTTGTGTCTTCGTAGGTGACTTAGAATGATGTAGCGGATGGTGAAGAAAGCTGGATATACTCCGTTGAGCAGTGGGTCTTCGTGACTTGGGTCTTGGAGGCCGGTCCCAAAAGGTCTCTGGCACAAAAAAGAACAAAATACAGAATCCGAACCCAACAACCATAGCAACAATCCTGGACTTGTTAGAGTGATGGCCTTATTGTTGACGCGTGAACTTACCAAAACACCCATCTCCAGTCTTTGGCCTCAATGATGGCCGCGCTCACCAGAGGAACCAAATTCTTCCCGCCGAGCAAAAGAAGAGTGTATATGCCCACACGAAACGCCCGCTCATGCAAGAAGAAGATCTCTGCGATTGTCGCCGAAGGCAAACATTCCACCGGACTGACAGAGATACCTTGAAAGACTCTGGCTGTAGCCAGGTTGGCATAATCAGGTGCTAGAGCACACCAAATCGAAGTGAGGATGAACATGACCGCTGATGCGAGGTAGACCGGCCTTTTGCCAAATAGGATGGCCGTGGGCGAAAAGATGACACTGCCCACTCCCAAACCCATCATATAAAGACCTGTTGTCAACGCCACCCTTTGATACGTTACGTGGTAAGTCTGAGCCACGTTGTTGAACCCAGCGGCGAGGATGGGGGTCATTCCTCCACCCAACATGCAGTAGAACCCCAGCGAGAGCAAAGAAGAATCTCTTCTCCAAGCCGACCAATTGAGAGGATCGTTTAAAGAGTCGTCCGGCTGCGGATTGAGGATTATCTGTCCATCTTTCGTCCTCTTCGCGGATGCAATTGACGCTCGTCTCGACGAGCGGGGAGTCATGGGCTGCGATGGCATCGAAGACGAACTTCTGCGAGCATGCTGATGTTCATAACCCAGAGGTTCATTGCGTTTTGCAGAAAGTAAGAGGACAGTCCCAGGGACTTCCTCCGTCTCTTTATCATTGAGAATACCCAGGGTCCATTTGTCTATTTTAGGTCGCGATTTCTCGTTGAACGATTTATCCGAAGACGCAGCTTGTGCGCTCGAAGTTCGGGGCGAGCCATTACGACGGCCGGTCTGGTTTCGAGACGTCTGGCGGCCGCGTTCGGAGGGACGATTGCCAGCCATAAATGGCGGCTTGGAAAGGGGAGCGCCGGGAGGCTCAGGATGGCCGAGCAATCATAGGTGCGGCCGTTTAACACGAGATATAGGTATCGTCGTATAAGGATGCCGGTAGTAAGTGCCTGTAGGATATAGCTGGCAATGAAGCAGGACTATAGGGGTGGTTGATTGGGAAGAATGGATAAATGAACGATATCGATTACGGAGGACGCGTGGGAGGATCTTGTCAAGCGAAAGAATGGGACTGGGACTGCGACTGGGACTATTTTTGCGGGGAGGAGCGATTGCATGTGCCTTCCAAAAGAAAGGAACTCAGGGTCTGTGCTTGGGTCACAGACACCAAACGCGGATCCCTTCTGATGTCTATCACTTCATCCCCGGAATTTGAACACAGTTGAGGCTTCAAGGCTTGCCATCCATAGACACGTCACCCTAAATGTCAGATCAGTCAATCACATTCATCTCCTGATCAGCAGATGTGTATGTCCTCCTTTTCTACCACCTAGCCCTGATATTTACATTGTTGGTTGAGGAGCATTCCTCGTCACGTCACAATGCATGTCATTTCGATGGTGGCGTGTCCCACCCCCTAAAATGCATCCCACGCTTACTCCCCAGTAGTCACTCCGGAAAATCATACTGCATGACTTACCCGTAATGCCTTGCGACCCAAGCGACAAAGTCACGCCGCATCTTGGCCTTATCAATAGGAGGTGAGAGATGTCCTGCTGGCCAGCCAGATCAGGCGTTCATTGGAAGGAAGGCATTGAATAGTTCACCACAGATATCGCTGGACATCTACATCATGCATACATATCTATCTGTCACCTGCATACCCAAGACACCTCCACGAGGGCATCCTATGGGCCATCACGCATCGATCTGCCAAAAGATCTTCTGAGACGTACCTCTAGCCGTCTATGTAGTCCTCTTTCCCTCTTCTTAAAACTCCAATGGCCAGATGTGTCAAATCTCAGACGTCCAAACCCAAATCCCCTGGGTTCCATAGACAATAAGTAGTCGGACAACAATCGTGACTTCGTAATAGATGGCTGTACATACATGTTGACTTTGCCGCCTCAGATGCGCAATCCATAGAAAATCCGGAATAGCTCACAGGGCCTCAATTGATGGCCTCCAATTCCCGTCTACACCCAAATAGGCCCAGTCCAAGCGATGTCTCGTTCTCCTTGGTGCTGCCATTGTCCAGAACTTCCCACACTCGTGGCTTCCAATCACCCAACAGGCCTTTGCCTTCTTTGACCAATTGCAATCCATGACCCATGTCCTGTGCCTGCACAGATCCTGTCAGGTTGGCACTGCCAAACACATACCTGAGTTTGTCATCTTGGCTCTTATCCCTCAGTAGCTTTGCACACATGATCCTAACCTCGTCAGAGACCTCGTCAACAATTGTAGAAAGTACATCCAAAATAAAGTCGTGCAGCTCTCTGGTTTTCCGCTGTTCTTCCTTGTCCCTATCTTGGTTCACGGACGCAAATCTGGTGTTCGCGAATAGCTGGGCCAAGCGGGCTAACAATTGAATCTGTTCCGATTGTCCCTGTCTGGCATTTGGTCCGTTGCGCCCAGCGGCCACTATTGCCAATCGTTGTAGACATATCATCTGTAGGATGTAATTGAGTTGACCCCAGTTTGCGCTCGCGGAACTTCCGCTAACACCTTCCGATGTGCTTGCCATTGGGCTAGAAGTCACCGACATCAACTGATGAGGGTTCATATTCAATGGCGCAGAACCTGGAAGTCCCGGCACTGTAGATGCGGGAGTCGACACATTGTTTCCCTGAAGGCGCATCATGAGAGAAAGCCTCTCGATCAATTGAACCGTGAAGCCAGGCATGGGACTGGTACCCTTCGTGCATACTAGAAACGCTCGGTCCACCGTGGATGATAGCTGATGGATGTCGGCCGGAAACGCAGCAGTCAATGGACTGGTTATCTTGCTCATTGGCAGTTTTGGCAATGCCTCCAGAAATTCATTCTCAACTCTGTGCCGAAGCCGATTGGCAATATCAGATCCGACCGCCTCAAGTAACTGCGCGAAGCGTACATCATTCGCCTGTCTTCCGCCAGATCTGCTCACTGTCTGCTCTAAAGCGTCTGAGAGAAGCTGCACCAATTCTCCCGAATCGGCGACAGGATGATTCTCTGGGTGAACTTGTGACGTCAACCAGAACCGAAGGTGCACATAGCGATGAGAGAAAACATTGACAGAGGCGAGTAGGGTAAGAAGATCAGCACCGGTAAGACCACCGTGACGGCAATTGAGCAGACGATTGAGTTCCTGTAACAGTCTTCTGCTTGCTTCCTCGGAGAAAGGCGATGAAGTCAGAGTACGGTCGAGGAGAAGCGAAGATAGTCGACAAGCTTCGAAAGGCCGAACATTCTCCATACCTGCGTCACAAGCGACTTGGATTGCGGCCTTGGGGCGTTGTTGACAAAACTCGAACCACCTGGTACGTGTCTGATACATGGCCAGGTCGGCTAAGATGTCTCTTCCTGGAGCAAGTATACGCCGCAACAGTACTGTAGCAGCGGGGAGCTTCCGCAGCCCAAGTTTCGCAACACCAATACCCTCCAAGAAGGCTGCGAAGCTAACGCAGCCAGTTCCGATGAGGTTCTGAAAGAGAAATGAGCCAAAGTTTCCATCCAGCATTGGCCCGAGTCTTGCTAGCCACTTTTGAATCAGCAGATCAGCCTGTGTTTTCCGGCACAACCGTAAGCGGCTCAGGAGCTGGCAGAATGAAAACATCATGCTTGAGTCGTCGCTAAACCTTTGCTGCTTCTCTATACGATCGACAAGCACCGAAAATAGCCCATTCATGGTTTGTTCCGTCATATTTGGCTCAGATTGCAGTATAGCTTCGAAATCTTCCACGAAGGTGGCTCCGGCTTGTTGTAGCGATTCGGCAATACCATCACTATATGGAGAACAGGCGGCAACCGCTCGTCCGCGGTCACCTCTGACAAAATCTTGTTGCAATGATTTGAGTGCTGGCGGCTTAATAGGAATTGCCGTACAAAGATCCAGAAGCGCATTTGTCAGCAGCGGCATTGCTGGCCTGGTCGCACGCCAGTTGATGTATATCTGGTACATTCGTTTCTGCAGCACCTCCAACGCCCCTATCGCCGAGAACGAGTCCGCGTGGAATTGAATAGTGGCAGCCAGAGCTGCAACCAATTCATCGTGTTGTGCGCAGCACAAGATGCCGACGACATCGGCAAGGACAGATCCATCATCCATACATTCAAGGACATATCGGACAAATGCAAACTGCTCCACGTTCAGCATTCCAAATGGGGGTAAGACCGTTGTTGCAGTACCCCGACCAACGAAATGTGTAGAGCTTTGCATGACTCTGACTCGCGTTCTCAACCACAGAGACACTTTCGATTTTACAGACCATGGCAAAGAACCAAAGGCCGGTTGCGGTACACTTGTTTGTCCATAGGCAGATCTCGAACCCAGCTGTCCCAATCGCTGCTCACTAAATTCAATGCATTGCGCGTAGAGTTTCGACTCCAATTGAAGGTCGAAGCCGGCACGTTCCAGAATTGAGTTGCGCAAGTTGACGACATGCTCCTCCACATTCTGAAGAGAAAGATCGAGCAAGAAATCGGCAGGATTTGTATGGACATCTGCTTCCGCGTGCTTGCTGGTGGAAGCCACCTCGAGTTTGACGGTGCCACGTTTGGGGAGGCCTCTCACCATAAGCCACTGTAGGTATTTGCTGGTGGAAAAAGAATTGGATCTCGAAAGTTGTCCAACTAGATGTCTCAAGGCTTTGGGATCGGTACTGGTCTTGCCCTCTCTATACGCCGAGAGATAGTTCAAGATGAGGGCATCCGTGTCGTGCCCGAGTCTCTGCCAGCGTCTGATCAGACGGGCGAGAACGTATATCCGAGCTCTCGACTGCCGAAAGCGAGTGCATGCCCATTCAAGACACGTCGTGATGAGGAAGTCACTGTCTGGACAAACTCTGGTAAGTTCGTCTGCAAGCTTAGCTAGGTCGTAAGGTAGCTGCAAAGAGTCCAAAGTCTCCACGATCGCCTGTTCAGGAGTTCTTTGAGCAGAACATTCCAACTTGTTGTAGCCCATTGCCTTTCTGTTGATGCGCTCGAGTTCGTCCAGGACTTGGCCTTCTTGTTGAATGCGTGCATCAAAACATGTGCGAATGATTGGAGCGACGTCTGGCCACCTGTCCGGCATGAGGAAATTCCTTGGGCGGCTGAGGAGTAGACCTCGGATTGCGGTTCGAAGTCTCTGCACGACGGGCACCACAGTCTGACTGGTCAAAGTCCGTAGCGACTCGTACTTTTCGACCAGAGTTTCGGCAAGCTTTCTCCCTCGTTTGCGGTAATAGCTTAGATCTTGCCGGTAAATGTGGGTCACCATCAGCCAGAAAGGCAGCTGTTCAAGGTCTGCATTGGCAAAGGATCGTAAAACCCAGTCCAGATAGTGATCCCGATCCAGCAGGTTCTCCATGTACAAACGGGTGGTAAGTCGAACAGCGTACTGTATATTCTCCCGCCAATCCAGGCGTTTGACTTGTGCCAAATGCGACTCGACATACTGTTCCACGCTGATAGTCCACTCACGGAGCCATTTTCCCTCTGTGCCCATGGCAACCGCGGGAGTGGTGCCTTTCCTCTTGAGAGTCCTGATCTCATTTGCACAGACACACTTTGCGAACCAGATCGCACGACTCAGAGGGACGTAATTTTGTAGACATTGATCCAAGAGCAGCTGTCCGCGAATACCCTGTGGGATGGTCCTGCTAAGCTTCCGTAATGGCACATCAGCATTTGCCAGGTCAGCGATCCATGACTTCCTCTTCGCTTCAGTCAAGGTTACTCGCGGTGGAGGCTTAAAGGTCGACGCAGAACTGATGTGACCATGCTTACTCCTCTCGTCCAGTACAAGGGAGAATAATACAGAGAGTTGTTCCACACCAGACTTGTGCTTGAATGCATTGTACAATGGCACCCGCGCTGTGTTAAGCTCCTTCTCCGTCGGATTCGGTGGCTTGTCCCAATACCCTTGCTTGACATTGGTGTCGTTGAGCACGTCCTCTGGATGTTTACCTGTCCACGGAAAGAACCCGGCCACCTTATTGGGTACCAAGCTGGGTACTGATGCCGGAGTTGCTAGAGAGTCGGGACCAGTGGGTACCGGTACATGGACTCTTCGCCGATGGGAGGGTTGTGGTTCCTCCGTTGGCTTTGACGGCTGCGAAAGGTTCCAGGGACGACCAGGAAGATCTGGCACCTCGTTCTCATCTGCTGCTTCCTCCTTTTTCTTCTCGTCCTGCAATTTACGAACTCCGAAACCAAGGGCCGACGGCGCGACCAGCCGCAGTCGAGAGGGTTTAGTGTCTGATATTGTGGTTGTGGTGGACGTCCCATGATTGTGGTTGGCAGCGGCGGTGGTGCCCGTGACATCTCCCTCAAGTCTCCTACGCTTGGCTGGTCTATCGTGCCCCGGTTCTGTTAATTGTCTCGGTGCAACGGGCGGCCGTCTGCCAATGGGTGAGAAAACATCACTTTGTACTCGATCGAGTGGAGGTCGAGATGGATCGGGAGGACGCCTTGGGGGCCGCGGTTCGGCCGGAGGGATTGAGGTCATGACCCGATCATCTTGACAGCACTGAGGCGAAGAAAGGTGCCTTTGGTAGACCCGCGAAGCGAATGATCAAGTCCTTGGAATGCCGGCAACGCGAGGGCTAGTAGAACTGACTTGGGTTCGGGTATGGTGGTAGGGCGTTGCAGAACCGCGGTTCGGGTCGGCAGAGTGTGGTCGGCCAGCGAACGGATGCGGATGAATAACAAAATGGACGAATGTTGATTAGATGGTTGATATAGCGACTATGTGTCTCAGTACATGTAAATAGCTTGATACAGTGTCAGTCCTGGGGAAAGCTGCGGACTGGAATGAGTGTCGGAAGTGCAGAAGAAAGCAGATGGTTGAGATTGAGATCAGGGTGATGGAACCTGAATGATCGATCGCATTACGGGCTCGGAAGGAGCGAGTTCGGTACGGGAAAGGCTAATTAGCACTCTTTGTGAGGCTATCAGCGACCCAAGGTTGCCAACGCAGCCGGGGTGGATGACACAGAGCAACAATGGGGCTACGGCCTCCTGGAACTCCGGCTGGAAGATCGTTGATTTGTGCCGTCCCGTAGGCCGATTATTGGCGGCAATGATACGAGGACTTACTGTACTGGGTGCTACTGTATGTGGCTCAAAGAGTTGGGGAAGGTCCAAGAGCCGTCCATTATGCCTTTCGGACATGGTCCCACGTTCTCTCTCGTGTAACACCGGGTTTACAAAACACCGTCTCAATTTCCATCGACCACAAGTCATTATTCTGATGATCGAATCACCTCCGATGTCAAGGTGATATTTCCATGTTGTGCCATTCGAAGTCGTGGTTTGGCGACGGTTTCGCTGTCTATAGTAGCTACACACCTACTGGCATGATATTGCCGCATCTTGCATCAGGAGCAGAGAAAGGCAGATGACAGACACTCTTGCTCGCCCAGAACGGGCAATCGCCCATCCCACATTTGTAGGCAGCAGACACCGGTGGTCAGTGATCACGGACGACTCGCGGTGGTCTTCCGCGCTCTCTGTTCTCCAAATCGGCTGCGGCTGTCAGCTCCCGGAGTGCCTTACTGATACCTCTACCTTCCTCCTTTCAGCGCCTTGCCGCCGGGGATTTGCTCGCACAAATCAAACAACCACGGACCTAGTTCGAGGCCTTCAACACTTCCGAGACAAAAGCACCAAAGCCGATAAGATTGACAGCTGGAAAATTATTCTTTGCGGGTTTCTTAGCCCGAACTAGCGAAACCCGATAAACAACTGTCAGTGGTACCTCGTACCTTTTTGAAGATAACGAATCATGAAAAATCAACGTAACTTATCTAGGAGATAATATCAGTTTCGCGACGAGAGCAGAATGGCAATCAAGAGCTCACACAGAGAACGGTCCGATTGGAAGTCATCCTCATTCGGATTCGCATAATGAAAGGGCCCGAACAAAAATGTCATCAGACGCTGTTATCATTGGCGCCATTGTGACCGACTATTGCGATCTTCCTTATCTCCCTCGTTGTCTTATCGTCGTATCTACCCACCCAGTATGTCAATATATGGACCCCAACGTCGTCGTTGATGATAGCATGATACCACGGACCACTCCGTGGGTTGCCGGTGTTCGCCGGCAATATCGGAAATGGCGGAAGATAACATCTTCGGTCGGGATCCGTCCGGCAACTCTTGATGCAGCAGGTAAGCAATGTGGCAATGCAAAATCTATACAAGAATAATGACGAGTTTGGCAGAGCGGACCTCTCTACTCACAGCCACAGCTATTGACCTATGGGCGAACGCGCAGTCGTCGTATTTATACAGAATGGGTACTATGTACTGATACGCAGGTTGTCAGCAGTGCTATCAGGTCATTTCTAGCCGCGGTAATCAAAATGAGCTTCCCACTCAGCGCGTCAGCGACTTTCCAGCAATGGCAGTTTGTCATCTCCAGACATTTTCCGAGATGCCCTGCTCTTGCCTGCCTGGGCAATGCTTCGACTCTCGACTTTGTTGGTCGATACAGTATCAGCAGGAAAGCTCAACCGCTTTTGGTGTCTGCTGATTCCAACCATGCTGCCCAGGCGGCTCCTTGGCCTGGGTTCCACGGACACTTCGCCCTCGCCCGGCGAACCTGAGAGTGGACTGCCTGCTTCATTGTCTGATATTATCGATGCACTCCGCGTATGCGGGTTCTCCACTCCTGCGAGTGGAGGGAAGTATTGGATGTCGCCATCGGCTGCTGCTGCTTCTTCTGCAACCAGGAGATGTTGCCGATCAAGGAACAGTGGCGTGACTGGAGCATTGACTGACTCTGCTTGCCTGGAGGCTTTGGAACGAGGCAAGCTTCGGAATGCCGCTTCTCGTGCCATCTTGGCCAGCTTCGGGCTGTTGTTGATAAGTGGGAGAAGAGCTTGAGAGAGATTCTCGCTACCTGGCCAGTAGCTTGTCCTTCTGTCCAGCTGCACAGATGACGAACCTCTTCGAGATTGGGTGAGAACCTCTGAGAGTCGTCGTTGCAATGCCCCCGTATCGTTCGAGTGTTGTTCGCCCATTTGCGCTTCTCCTACGGTCTCGGCTATGACGCTTGCTGGGCTTGCAGAGGTTGAGTTCTCGTCCCAGATGATCTCGTGCATACCATCGTCCGAGATGTATTTCGTTGAGCACCGGCGCACACTATTGATAACCTGGGTTGGCTGTGACATGGTCAATTGTGGTTCAATTGATGTGATCTCCGTAACCATAGGAGGGGCGATTGAGCTGGTCGATGGCCAAGCTTCGTTACTGTACAAAGATGGCGAACGTAGAGCCCGGCTTTGATAGCCGGGATGTTGCAGGGTCAGATTGGCTTGTGTCCGGTAGTCTTCTTGACCTGTGATCGAATTCAGGAATGACGACAGAAAGCCGTGCTCTCTCTTGCTGAATGTGGGAGTTGGAAACGAGGTGAGTGACGTTTGTTCCGGTGACCTGTATATCGTGGCGCGACGAAGAGTGATCATGGCTGGGCTTTGAATATCACTTGTTCTGTTCTTGCGGCGTCTGTTGGCAGTTTCTACTACCGGAGTAACCGTCGCGAGGCCCCTGGTAGACGGAGCTTTGGAGGCTACTGACCATCTTCTTGTGCATTGCACGGCGCGGTCAGGGCTTTGCCATCTTGCAGACGCTGTTCGGGACTTCATTGTGGGCAAAGAACGTGTGCTTCGCAGCCGCGATGCAGTTGACGTATGGACGTGTTGATCTTTGCAATCGTGGCGGCATCGTTTGAAGCTGCCTTCTGTGGGCATAGTAGGTGCACGTCGAGGATAGGAGTGATGCCAGCCATGTCGGTGTCCCTTTCTCTTTTTCATGTTCAAGCTGATGCGATCAGCATCGTCCGCCCTGAACGGAATGTCTTCGGAGCTATTGTGCGACAGTGGCGGGGTCAGCAATGGCTCGGTTCGCAGGCTGCCAGTGGTACTGGGAGCTTTGTCGACAGGACGAAAGCTGGTAGGCATTTTCTCTGTTGCTGACTTTCGTCCGCCACAATAATAATGATGATGGTCTGATTAATGATGGTGAGGAGGATCGCGCATCTCATTAGAGGAATAGGTTGCACTCCATGTCGTGCTCTCGTTGTCGTGGAAGCTGCGTTGTCTTCTTCTGAGCGACTTCCCCCAGCAGTTGTCATGAATGGTGCAAGCGCGATGCTTCTGATCTGGAGCAAGAGCGACTGCGCCACTCCCAGAACGATTGGAAAATGCCACTCCCTCGTAGGCAGACCACGGGTGTCGGCATTGACATTAGAAATCTTCTCCTAGTTTTGCGAAACCATTGCCGGACCTGAGGTCAGAGCCAACTTGCAAGCTATCTTCGCCCTTCAAAATGGTTGTTATCTTGGAAGACAAGGCCAATCTGTCTTCTAGGCCAATCCAGATATCGAGCCCAGTGAGGATCAAGAAGATCGGAAATATCGACCACCAGGCTGTATGCCCATCCCTGTGCCCACCAATGATGATCCATGCAGCGAAACATGGCAGCCCAGTGTGCGAACAAGATCAAAGCCAAAGGGTTGGCTCTCTTCAGACACTGGATATAGGTGGTGGGCGCCATTATGAACCATGAGAATATGTGGCCATCCCACTCCACAACCGAACGACACCGCGAAACGTCTCGCAGATGGTCTAATCGCTGGTGGAAAAGTGTGTTCATGGTTGCAGATGCCTCATCTTCGTCCTTGGCGGGCATCACCTGGGGATCTATCGGAGCTTGGGCAAGCAAGTCAAAAGCTTCGATGACCTCGGCCGAATGGGGTGGTAGGTCTGGAGATGTAGGGAAGCGCAGTAGCTCTTCGATCTCGCCCTGTAGCCATGGATTTGTTTCTCCGATCACCGCATATATACCTCTAAGGATCATTATAATCTCGACAAACTCCAGTGTTGGCGAATGAGGTGGGAGTGTGATGCCGGGGGATTCACTTTGACCGAAATCAATCTTCACGCTGTTCAACCCCTCGGGAAGTCGCTTGGACGCAAAAGCCCAGATAGTCAAGAACAATGATAGACAAAATAGGGCAATGCCATTTTCTTGGTTAGGCTTGGTGACAGCCGGGATGTAATTGGCGAGGGCGGCGTTCTGGTGAGCCAGCGCGACTTTCGAGTATTCGGCAGATGCATCAGATGTTTTCGATTGCGTTGTCGCCTTGTGAAGTGCTGCAGTAGCCATCAAGCCATGCAAGAGGAAGTCGTGGCGCAAGGCCTCTGCAAAGACGGTATCTCGCCATACCACATGCGTGGACAGTCTCGAAGACATGGTGATGTACGTTCGCGTCGAATAAAATTGGATAAGCTCGAGATCCAGGAGATTGAAGCGATTCAGGTCTTGTGGACTCTCGATGCCGGCAATGATTGCAGACTGGGGTCGGGATGTGGCTGGCGGTGCGTGAGGCGCCTGGTCTATCTCTGAAGGCGCATAATCGTGACTTTTCGGTGTGGAAGCATCTTGTAGACTCAGATTCGTGGGAGTGGACGAGAATCCCTCCGGGCCATCTACTAGGAATGAACAAGTGATCTGCCGCTTGACGCAGCGTTGACATTGCGGACTCGTTTCATCGCACTGGTTCTCGGGTCAGAATGGGAGCTGAGATTGTCCGCAAGGCTGGGTGGATATCCACCTCAAGCGAGGGACGGGGCGCGAAGACTGACCTTGACCCTCCTGGCCTTGCACTGCTTGCACCCATGATGAGATTTTGTATGCGATCGACGTGACGGCATTTGGAATCGATTTATGCCGTGAGATTTACCTTGATTCACATGGGACAGCACAGGAGGATGATGATATCAGAGCAAGGGACAAAGTCAAGCTGACATATTCACTCTGAAGGCGTTTGCTGGACCTTTGTCTCTGGGCGTCGCTGCTTATCTGCCGTGGGAAGTGAAAAGCATCTCACCGCTTTGACTCTATCAACAAGATTGGACACTGGAATGACGATATATAGATGATTGAAGGCCGTTTCTTGCTTCCCTGAAGACAGAGGCCGTAATCTCGTGTGCTTGGCAATCGTGTTCAGCGCTTTCGGGTAGCCTAACGTGGCTGTGACAGCCTCGTCCAAAAGCGAACGATGGAGCAGATAATGGGAAGAATACATTCACGCCGACATTTTGTGGCATTCACTCATCGATACTAATGTAAGCCCGATGTCATGTTGCAAAGCGGGAAATGGCCAGAGTCCGAAGCCTGTAACTTATCATTACCTATTCTTGCTTATAAGGTGCCTGACCCACCATCACGCATGTACTATTTTCGATCGACCCAGACGATCTAACCGTTCGCTTGTACATCGATTGTTGTCTTATTCTTCACTCTTGATCCCTATCTATAGTATGCTTCGCTCGAATGGACCAAACTGCTCGCTGAAGGCGCAATGCTGATGAGAAAATATTCAAAACAACTGCTGATCACTTCTTGAATCTGCGCATCGGCTCGAAAAAGAAGCCAGGATGGAAGATGGTCATCAATACGGATGCGATGCCCACCATCCTAAAAATCATAAGTCAGTAAACTAAACTCGGCTATCTGTTCGTTGGGTAGCGACTCACATTCCATCAAGAAGGAGAAACTCGTGTTCGTTCTGCATGAGCTTGTTGCCCCAGCCACCAGCCATCTCTGGGAGACTGTGAAGTCATTGTCAGTGCCTTGTACCGAAACGTTACTCAAGGTGCGAACGTACCGGTAAATACAACGGATGAAAATCGTGAGAAAAGCTAAGCCCATGGCGATGCAGAATATCCTGAAATTGCGGCTAGCCTTTCCTTGGGTGGCATTTTTCTCGTACTCGCTCTCCAAGTGAGCTTCAGACTTTGTCTTTTTGGCCTTCTGGAAGCGGAGGAAGTAATCGAGGACGAGTACGCCGCAGACTGCCATGGTGGCAACCTGAAAAGCAATACCGGCAACGATCAGGTCGTCACCAGCCTTCAATAGTTTCTTGTTCTGGCCTTGACTACCAGCAGCCGCGGCTGTGCCACCTCCGATCGCCTGCAGCACAATTGAACCAAAGTCGCAACCAATAAAGATCCAGGGGTACAGGTTTGGCCTTAGTCGCGAGTGCTCTGGTCCGCAGTAGATGACAACGTGCTTCAGTGTCACATAGATACCGGCAGCCAAGAAACTCGGTGCCAGCACGAGGCAACAAATTTGAGTCTTGAAGCCTGCCGGAGACCAGGGATTGTGGTGCATAATTATTCGTCCAATATATCCAACAGCTTCGCCAAAACAGCCGATGCCTACGACGACGAGATAAGTCCACGTCCGCCGCCATACCCCCAGAAATAGTTGTGCGAAGAGGCAAAGCCCAAACAGTGCAATGAAGAACGAGTTGACGCCCAGATTCGGATAATAGCCGTATGTCGAATCCTCAACAGGACATTCGGGACTGATTTGGGTACAGAAGTGGCGAGTGTAATGTGTGCTGTTGGACGACATCTTTGTGTAACGGTGGGAGCCCCTGACTGCCCAAAACCATGCAAAGATCAAGCGGGTTGTGTGAATGATGAAGCACTCTACGTGCTGTCGTTGGAGAGTGAATGAAAGAAGTGGAAGGAGCAGGAGTGTTGTGATGAACAAATACTCAGTTGATGAGGCGGCGACAGATGGGAATGACGAGAAGATCTCCGAACAATGGGGATAAAGAGTGTTTTGAGATCATGGGAAACGAGGTTTGCCCACGACGTGCCATTTTTTAGAGCCCCGTAGCCACTCTCTTTAGGCGCTGAATTCGCTACGAAGAGGTCGCAGGATTCGCGGCCAAGGCACGTGTGGACCTCTCGAATAACAAACGACAGCGTTTTGATGGACGAAACCGTCTAAGCGACGTTCCAGCGGACATCGGTTAACGAGGTCGCTAGGCAGCCTTGGGAAAGGTTTACGTCCCGGAAGCACTTCGCTCCGCGCTCGGCGGGCTCCCTCAAATTCAGAAGCACTGTGACCTGTTAAGGCCGTCTATGCTGCCAGCATAGTGTGCCTGGTTGTAATGTAGAAAGCATCATCGTAAGTCTCTTATAAAGAGGGCGGGGTCATATGACATGCAACCTCTCGTTCAAACGCGCCTTTGCATTCTAGCCCGTAATCAAAAAGATAAAAAACAGCTGCGTCTTCTTGGGGTATACTGTCATCATAAAAAATTCCAGCATTCAAACATGAGTCCCTATTCACGACCCCGGCATGATGTCGCCAAAACAGCACGCTCATCAGAGCTCAAGCGAGTAACCATTTCCTTTCTCGATGCTCCGCTTCCAGGCCGGGCGCTCATGAATCCGCTCGTGCCATTCACCAAGACTGGTATGCTTCTTGACATCAATCAGATCTCTCTCCATGCACTGATCCATGGGCCACGAGATGATGAAGTCAGCTTGTGATGGATAATCGCCCCCAAAGTAATCTCGGTCGCCGAGCTGCTGTTCCAAGTATGTGAAATTTAAGTCGAGATCAGGACCCGTAAAGGCGCTGTGCATTTTGGCATGCACCGTCGACAGCAAGGGACGGATGAACCATGGCGACGCCTGCACAAGCAATGAAAACACCAGCTCGAGCATCGTCAAACTCCCAATCGTAGTAGAGGCAAGATTGGATAGCTCTTCGTCACGCATCCAGTCGCCACCGCATTTGAACTTTCCTTCTCTATCGTATGTTTGGATAAGGTATCTTGCAATGACCAAAGATTCCACAATCACCCTACCATTGCCCGTTTCCAACTGCGGCGCTTTCCCGAGGAAATGGGTATTTTTCAGTTCTTCGGGAGCTCTCCGTGCCTTTGGTCCGGTCTCCTGCCGTTTGTGTAGAGCCAGGTTGTAAGGTATTTCGAGTTCCTCGAGGAGCCATAAGATGCGCTGGGACTGGGAGTTCTAGGTATTGGGTGAGCAATGAGAACGAGATAGCTTTGCATTGGAGTCTTACATCAAGATGGTGCAAGGTTGGTTTGAGGTCTGCCATGGTTAGTGGATAGCTCGAAAAGGGCGCGCTTGCATGAAGAAACGAGAAGGATTCGAGTTAGTGAACGAAGTGCAAGCTTGAGGAGATCAGCTGGTTTTATGCTTCATGTTTCTGGGCCCCGGAACACTCCCGTCGCAACCGGGTTGCGTAGAGACCGGGGTGCAGATCACAAAGTCGACGCCTGTAGCATCGAGTTCCAGTCCCCATGAAGACCGAGAGTACGTCGTAATAACTCGTGAGATAGTTCATTCTGAGATAGGCACTGTGGTAAATGTAATCAGAATCGAGCGCAGGCGGAGGCACTGGAGTGATAGGAACAGCAGCAAGGCTTAGCGCGACTGAATCCCCTGGCTAAGGCTAACTCCGCCAATTGTCCTCAAAATCCAGGGCACATTGGGGACATGTGTCAACACCACCAACATTATTCTCGTCACCACGCCCTTACTGTAATGCTTGCGCCCAGCGTATCATGAATTGGTGACATGGGATCGCATGCTTCACACCCGATCAGTCTTTCGCTTGTCCACCAAGAGCCCTAGTGGCGCGCCTTGAGCCAACATTGTGTCCGCGAAATCACAATTTCTCCATCTAGTTTATAGCGAGCGAAACGACCATGCGTTTGGACGTCAAGAGACAGCTCTTTGCTCGTACGTTATTTCTCACTCATGTCTTTGTCCTGCTGACCTGTCGCAGGCTCCGAGCGAGTGAAGGGCATTGATTTTCACAGGTGAGGACACCCCCTGCATTCCCCGCAATGAAGCCATAGATATCCTCTCTGACATTGAAGCAGTACCGAACCATGGGTAATGGCACCTCCCTCTCTGTCGCGCAATCTCGATGCTGACTCCAGAAGATCCTCACCACCCTATACAATGGTCACGCCCACATATGGTCCTACGAGACCCAAACGATCATCAAGACCTTCGAGCTCACGGATGTCCCTGTACGAGCGGGAAGATTCATCGAGAGGAAAAATTGGATTGTCTGTGGTAGCGATGATTTTCAGTTGAGAGTTGTCAACTGGAATACCAGCGAGAAGGTCAAGTCGTTCGAGGCGTAAGTGCGAAGAGCAGTAACGTGAAGGCTTGGGCCGCTTACAATGCGGAAACAGACATCCAGACTACATACGAGCTATCGTGGTACATCCAGTCCTCAGTGTTGTACTGACAGCCTCCGACGATATGACGATACGAATGTTCGATTGGGAAAAAGACTGGCGATGCGTTCGCGAGTTCGTGGGACATCAACACTATGTGATGGGCCTCTCGATAGTGGGTTGTGCCTATGAATATTGAGTGTCTGTGTTGCTGATTTGGCATCGTGCAGAATCCAAAAGACACCAACGTATTTGCATCCGCATGTCTGGACCGTACAATCAAGATCTGGAGCATCGACAATGCCTCTGCCAAACAGACCATTGAGGCTCACGAGAAGGGTGTCAACCATATCGATTACTATCCGCACAGTGACAAGCCCTACTTGCTCAGCACGTCGGACGACAAGACTGTTAAAGTCTGGGACTACACAACCAAGGCTCTGATAGCCACATTAGAAGGTCACACGAGCAATGTCAGCTTTGCCTGCTATCACCCTGAGCTGCCAGTCATAATATCTGGTTCGGAAGACGGAACCATCAAGATCTGGCACGCAAACACTTACAGACTGGAGCAATCGCTCAGCTATGGCTTAGAAAGAGCTTGGTGCGTATCTTATCAGAGAGGAAAGCAAGGTGTGGCAATGGGATTCGACGACGGTGCTGTTGTTGTAAAGATGGGCAGAGAAGAACCTGCTGTTTCGATGGACGGCACCGGCAAGTTAGTCTGGGCACGGCATAACGAGGTGGTGTCTGCGATCGTGAGGGGCGGAGATCCATCGATCAAGGATGCTGCTCCTATCGCCCTCCCTAGCAAAGAAATGGGGACTACCGAGATGTGAGAGCTCGACAACAGCTTGATTGATGAAAAGCTAACTCCGGTTGCAGCTATCCCACGACATTGTCTCACTCTCCCAACGGTCGATTCGTGAGTGTATGCGGCGATGGAGAGTTCATTATTGTAAGGATACGGTTACTTTGCTCCCGAGAATGTTGATGCTAATCATCACAGTACACTGCCCTAGCTTGGAGAAACCAGGCTTTTGGTTCAGCACTTGATTTCGCATGGTAAGTGGCACTATCACATGCAGGGGAAATTACAGCACTAATCAATCCAGGGCCTCGCATCAAAATCCTACAGACTATGCCATCCGAGAATCTACCACGAGCGTGAAGCTATTCAAGAAGCTCAAAGAGAGCGGAAGCCTCGACGTCGGTTTCCAGGCCGAGGGTCTGTGTGGCGGTCAACTGCTTGGAGTAAAAGGTCAAGGCGGTATTGGTCTGTTTGATTGGGAAAGTGGAAGCCTGGTTCGACGGATTGAAGTCGAACCGAGAGAAGTACGCAGCCTGACTCTGGTTGAAAAATTGAAGCTGACATGTTCTAGGTTTACTGGAGTGAATCCGGAGAACTTGTGGCTCTGGCTTGTGCCGATACTACCTATATTCTTCGCTTCGACCGAGAAGCCTACCTCGAGGGCCTCAACAATGGTGACGCAGACGAAGACGGCGTCGAGGCCGCCTTCTCCGTTGTCACCGATCTTCAAGAGTCCGTCAAGAGCGGAGAATGGGTCGGTGACGCATTCCTGTTTACCACAAACACCCGCCTAAGCTACCTGCTTGGTGAGCAAGTCGTCCACGTTGCACAGTTCGACCAGCCCATGTACTTGCTGAGATACCTACAACGAGATGAAAGAGTCTACTTGTGTGACAAGGATGTTGGCGTGGTGAGCTATAGGCTATCGACCGCATTGCTATCTTACCAGACCCTTGTCCTGAGGGGCGAGATTGACGCAGCTCAAGAGCTCCTGGCCGACGTCCCTGAAGATCAAATGAACAAGATTGCCAGGTTCCTCGAGGCCCAGGGCCACAAGGAGCTGGCTTTAGACGTAGCGACGGATCCAGAACACCGATTCGAGCTAGCGCTCAGTCTCAGCAACTTAGCTGTGGCGCTGGAAATTGCACGCGAGTCGGACATGCAGGCCAAGTGGTCAGCTGTGGCGGACAAGGCGCTCGAGCTGTGGGACGTGAAGCTCGCAGAAGAGTGCTTCCTTCATGCCAAAGACCTGGGAAGTTTGCTCTTGCTATACACCAGCTCTGGCAACAAAGAAGGGCTGGCCAACCTGGCTGAACAAGCGGAAGAGATGGGCAGCAACAACGTGGCATTCGCCAGTTTATGGTCGACGGGAGATGTTTACGCAGCAACTGAGCTGCTCAAGCGGACTCATCGTCTCAGCGAAGCCGTGCTCTTCAGCCAGACATATAAGCCGTCATTGACGCAAGGTTTGGTCTCCGAATGGAAAGAGAGCTTGGATAAGCAAGGGAAAGCCAAAGTCAGTCGGTTGATAGGCGTGCCAGGTCAAGACGAAGACCTCTTTCCTGAATGGGATGAGTACATCAAGCTCGAGCAAGAAGGTGGCGCGAAGGACTCTGTGACCACGGATCTCATTAGTGTTGACGGTGAGGAGGAGAAGCCGGCGACGAACGGCACGGTAGAGACCAACGGTGAGGAGCAGGAGACTCAGGACGGCACCGCAGAGGTTGAGGCAGAATCGTGATCATGGCAAAAGACCTGATAGATACAGTACCAGGTATCCGAGGACGAGGATAAACTGAAAAGTGCAGCCACTGTAACATTGAAAGTATCAGTCATTGCCAGCGTACTTCATGATACCGACTCGGGAGGCCAGGGCTAAATAACTGCTTGTGAGAATAAAACAAGATGTTCAACTATATTTCATTTGCAATCATGACCCTATCAGTGGAGCCCATCAAGCAGCAGAAGTCTGGTTCAGTCGATCCTTCCATGTTATCTAACCACTGTTCATCTGCGACGGAAAAATATGAAGATATTTGTACATTATTCTGTGCTGGACATGCCACCATCTACTCACTTATCATGTACCTGCTTCTCCTCCCCGAAGATACGAAGGGTACTCCTGTAGCATCGTATATGACTCCCAGTTCAGACGCGGTTCCAGATTTCCTTGTACCGCGATGCGAAGTCGTTTCACGAAGCACAGGACGGTCAGGGTCGACGTGCTTGTGGCGGCACCCTGCATCCCCCAGCGCTGTAGCTATCCGGTTGGAATGTTTTGTCGCCCGCCTCAACTCCGTACATTGCCCTTGACTCCAGGAACATGTTCGACCTGGTGCCAGTGGTCGACTCTGCCCTCGAGCGAACGTGGCACCAGGTAGTAGAGCTTTTCGGGCTCATCAAGGCCCTTGAAATCATGCTCACCCAGCAGCTGAATTTCAAACTGTTGGTGGGTGAGTTTTTTCTGATCTTTCTTCGACCTTAATGTGCTCAGCTCCACGGTCTCGGCTTTGTCACTGTCATTGTCGCTGCAGGTTTTCCCGTCGGGCTGGTTCTTTGCCGCTTCAAGCTCACCCTGCAGCTGGAGCAAGAAGTCTTCCGAGACTGTTATTTGTCCACCCTCAGTGACTTGGATGAAGCGCGCGGCTCGATTGACCATGGGGCCGAGATAGTCCATACGCTTGATGACCTCGTTATAATTGCACACGGGTTCGCCCCAATGGGCGCTCATTCTGAGCTTCAGGCCGCGAAAGAGCACTTGGCCATCGGAGTCCTTGGTCTCACTTCCCGAGGGCAGATTCAGAATGCCTTTAGGCCACACCTCGTCGAGAAGTCGCTCTTGGGCATCGAGACAAAATTGCACAGCGGCAGTCGCCGTGGGAAAAGCAATCATGAAGCCGTCGCCGTTCTGCTTGACTTCGTACCCGTCGTTCTCCTTGGTGAGGTCGCGGATCATAATATCGTGGATTGCCATGGCTTCGACCATGGCCGCCGCGTCTTTCTCCCATATCGCCGTGGATTTGACGATGTCGGTAAACACGATGCTCAAATTGCCCTCTGGTGGAGGGGCAGCTGTGGCTTGCACTCCATCGCGGCTGCTGGCGTCGACTTCGCCAGCCTTGCCGCCATTGTTTCCGCTCATACGAGTGGTTGATAGGTCCTGACAAAGACCATGTGTGGTGGAGTAGTTTTGGGTTGCACAGCCTAACGGGACAGGAACACGTTTGATTGTGAAACGGGCTTGTTGCGGCAGATCGCGGGGCTTGCGACTTGATATCGTGGTGGTGCACAGCTTCCGCGCGCGTGGCAGCTCAAGGAGCCGGATCCTACGCATCCAGCATGGGTGAAAGGTCAGCAGTCTGACCAAGGTTTGAGTCGGAAACGGAACGTTATCGCATCGATGACCATCGGGATTGCGAGCTTCTGGTTCACTGCATGGGGGAACTGTATTGTTGGGAAGCTTTTGGGACTGTCCAAGCCTGGGCCGTGCCCGCCCAGAACCAAGATATCGTATCCCTGAAGGCCAGATATGGTGTATGTGGCGCTAACGGTTACGTTCACTGTCCAGGTAGTTTTTGGCGATCGATCCGAACTTTCGTCTCATTGGATGCACGGTCACAAGTCGAGTCTATCACTTTCTCGACCTGGAATGGGCTCATCGATCCAACATCTCATTCAATAGCGTGGTCGACAAAAGAACCTATTCGCTCGTGTATTGTGTGTTAAGCGAGATGATACAATCGTATTCTCTTTGGGCAGTCAAATCTGAGCCAGAGATGGATACTGCTATCCTCGAACTGTGTGATCTTATGATTACATCTGTAGGGGATACTGTGATGCCAGAGCGAAGAATCGATGGCAACTGAAAGACCCAGATAGGTTCGTCTATCACGATATTGTAACCGGAGTTCCGCTAGCAGCGATACCTTCAAGACTGGCATCGAATATCTGATGCTGGCGACGCCTTACCTTGCTTCATGCCGTGCGCAAATGAATTTTCCTGGAATGCAGCCATCTCGTCCGCTCCCTATGCAATGATCCCATGGTGCGGATCTCCTGCATATAATACGCTCGCTCGTAAAGCTCGACCATACCAAGTGATCCGCCCTCAGCATTGACCTGCGCTCTTTCCCTGGATCACGGGCGACTACAGGAACCTCGAAAACAGTCTCTTGACCTCCAATAGCAGAGGCCCAGGTGAATCTGCGTCGCAAACTACTCCCAGACATCACGCGAAACTCACCATGCCGCTCCCACTTGGGTTGATGAAAATTGAGGACGGCCACACTGACCAGTGCTGGATCCGGCAATCTGCCGCTGTATCCCGCTCGACTGAGGCTCGCCATGTGTCGGATGCCGCGACACCCGCGATGAGTCAGTCTTTGATGGCATCTTTCCCTCTCTTGAAAGAAAGAGAGACGAGGTGTGCGAGGCAATACTGTACAATGACGAGGATTCTGACCAATTTGTGCTCGGCAAGCATCGCTTTTCCAAATTGCGGGGGATCTGGCGGTCTCGACCAATCATGGCTTTTGTAAATCAATCCAGAGTCATCCGATATCGGGATGCCACTCACAGCGACATAATTCTGCTTATAACTCGTCCCGTTCATGTTGTAGATTTGACTGATTCACTTGTACATATTCCTTTCTTCAAGGGTTTCTATTGCTGAGATATCGCTTCCAGAATGCCATCAGCAGAGTCACAGCCCAGAACCTTGTACGACAAGGTCTTTCAAGACCACATTGTCAACCAACAACCAGATGGCACTGTTCTTCTGTACATCGGTAAGTCTTCTGCCCACAATCCATGCGGCCTTCAGTGGCAGAACTAACAATCGCATCAGACAGACATCTTGTCCACGAAGTCACATCACCTCAAGCCTTTGAGGGTCTAGAAAACGCAAAGAGAAAGGTCCGCAGACCAGACTGTACCCTTGCCACCACCGACCACAACGTCCCTACCACCCCACGCAAAAACTTCAAGAACGTCGCCGATTTCGTCAAGGAAGAGGACTCAAGATTACAATGCACAACCTTGGAAGAGAATGTCAAGAAATTTGGCCTCACATATTTCGGCCTGGGTGACAGGAATCAAGGCATTGTCCACATCATCGGTCCTGAGCAGGGCTTCACCCTGCCTGGCACAACCGTTGTCTGCGGAGACAGCCACACATCGACCCACGGAGCGTTCGGTGCGCTCGCGTTCGGTATTGGTACCAGCGAAGTCGAGCACGTGCTCGCCACACAATGCTTGATCACCAAGAAGAGTAAAAATATGAGAGTACAGGTCGACGGCAAATTAGCGCCGGGAGTCAGCAGCAAAGATATCATCCTGCATGTAATTGGTGTCATCGGTACGGCCGGTGGTACCGCTTCGGTTATCGAGTTCTGCGGCTCAGCAATCAGGAGTTTGAGCATGGAGGCCCGCATGTCAATTTGCAACATGTCCATTGAAGGCGGTGCCAGAGCAGGCATGATCGCTCCGGATGAGATCACGTTCGAATACCTGAAAGGACGACCATTGGCACCCAAGGTCGACAGCAACGAATGGAAAAAGGCCGTGAACTACTGGTCCAGCCTCAAATCCGACGAAGGCGCGAAGTACGATGTGGAAGTCTTCATCGACGCAAAGGATATCGCGCCTACAGTGTCCTGGGGAACGTCGCCGCAAGATGTCGTGCCCATCACTGGTGTGGTTCCCGGTCCAGACGACTTTGAGGATCGCGACAGAAAAGCCAGCTGCAAGCGCGCTCTGGAATATATGGGTTTGACCGCCGGCACAAAGATGGAAGACATCGAGCTGGACAAGATTTTCATTGGGTCCTGCACAAATGCCCGTATCGAAGATCTTCGGGCCGCCGCAAAGGTCGTCGAGGGCAAGAAAGTCGCCGCAAATATCAAGCGCGCCATGGTCGTGCCCGGTTCAGGAAACGTCAAGGACCAAGCAGAGCGAGAGGGACTGGACAAGATCTTCACTGATGCTGGCTTTGAGTGGCGTGAAGCTGGTTGCTCAATGTGTCTCGGTATGAACCCGGATATCCTATCACCTCGAGAACGTTGCGCAAGCACATCAAATCGCAACTTTGAGGGCAGACAGGGTGCACTTGGCCGGACACATCTTGTGTCTCCGGTGATGGCCGCCGCCGCCGCCATCGTCGGTAAGCTTACCGATATCCGCAAGCACTTTGATGATGCCACCCCAAGAAAAACTTCACCGAAACTCGAGGTGACGCCCGTATTCGCCGAAGTCGACTCAGAAGAGGAACTCGATCGAATCATGGATATTCCCAGCGACGTTGGACCGCACGTAAACCACAGCGCGAAACCAGCCGCAGCCGGCGGCCTCCCTAAGTTTACGGTCCTAAAGGGTATTGCGGCACCCCTTGAGAAAGCCAACGTCGACACAGACGCCATCATCCCCAAACAATTCCTCAAGACCATCAAACGTACCGGTCTGGGCACCGCGTTATTCCACCCGCTCAGATACAATGAAGACGGCAGCGAGAATGAGTCATTCATCCTGAATCAAGAACCTTACAGAAATTCCAAGATTCTCGTCGTCACCGGCCCCAACTTCGGCTGCGGCAGTTCTCGAGAGCACGCTCCTTGGGCTCTATTGGATTTTGGCATCAAGTGCGTCATTGCACCCAGCTACGCCGACATCTTCTTCAACAACACCTTCAAGAACGGCATGCTTCCCCTCTGTGTGACTGACCAGGCCAAATTGGAGAACATTGCCGAGGAAGCCAAAGCGGGCAAGGAGATCGAGGTCGACCTGCCCAACCAGGTCATCCGTGACGCCCAAGGCAACGAGCTCGCACAGTTTGATGTCGAGGAGTTCCGCAAGCATTGCCTTGTGGAGGGACTCGACGACATCGGGTTGACCATGCAGATGGATGACAAGATTGCTCAATTCGAGCAGAAACGCACCCTCGACACGCCCTGGCTCGACGGCAGCGGGTATCTCAAGAAGTGGCGCAAGGGGCCTGTCAAGGTTGAGGCCGCACCTGTGCCCACGACAAATCGTGGTGAAGTCAAGACCGATCCAGTTGAGTGGTAATTTGGACTTCATCTGGATTGTACAGAGCTTGTGGATAGGACCGGGGGTACAAGTCGCGGAAAAGTCCTCTTGGTTGATCTGATTTGATATCCGAAATGATGTCCATGATTTGTAGTCATGTCGGGTTATGTCACGAAATGGCACAGGCGTTGGGCTTGCACAGGTTGCAGTAATCACGAATTGACATTTGCAACATTGAAATCGTATAATGTTCATCACAAAACACTGTCTACTTTCCTGTCTATCCGTTAAAACGTATCTCGCCCACCTAAATACTTCGATGACCATCGTACCAGGCCAAATTGTAGAGAGTATACTGAGCACGTGACTGAGTCACGTGCTGAATGTGGCATCCACACAGTAGAGTAAAGCACAAGCAAATTCGGTCCGCCCCGGAGGCCGAGCGACCCTCCACAACAGTGGCAATCGTGCCATCGTGAGTTGTTGTCGGTCAGCTCTTGTTGCAAGGAGGGGACACTCGGTGTCTCGAGGCAGGTCGGCCTAGTTGGACAAATACAGCGCGGCTGAAGGTACATTCCGTCCGATAAGACCGACCAAAGCCAGACGTGGTGTGATTCTGGTGGCGTCTTCCGAATTCTGGAATTTGGCGAGGCTGGAAAATCCGCCATGAGGTTCAAAATCTCCGTGCATTGTCTATCTCACGTCAAATTCGCATTAGACCATCAAGTTTTTCGGCGAACTCGGTGTGCTCGGTTCTGGAGACTGATGTCGTAGTGGCTTTTTCTTCAGAACGATCTAGACGGATATCTTCTTGGTGTGGGTGGAATTTTGGACTATTGCCACGTGGCGTCGTGTGCACATCGCCTAGTGCAGTGACCTCAACGTCAAGTGCTGCCATTTAAGCGAAGCGAAGAGGCCTGGCGTGAGACTATTGTCAACGTGGGTGCGTCAGCTGTACCAAGCTTATGAGTTAAGCAGTGAACGAGATGAACGATGTCACCAGTGGCGAGGATGTGGCAGCAGTGGTTATGATCTTGCGCGTGCGCCGGGCAAGCGATGCCTGGCCGTAAAGGGTGGGTGTCTGGAAACGTCGTATGTGTCACCAGCAACACCACTTGCCCTTTTCTGACTCGTGTGCGACATTGTCAGATTTGAAATTCAGATAGCAGAGTGGTCGATTGGGGTCCAGGGTAGTGGTTACGCCCCTAGTCATCGTTGATAGGTTGTTTGTTGTTAGGCGGAACAGGAATTTGCCTCGTGGCAGCCACAAATTTTGGATGGAGAAATATCCGGCCACGTGCGGCAAGGAACAAGCATCAAGGTTGCAGCAGAAACCACGCTTTTGACAGGTAGTGCACCCGTCATGCATGCGAGTAGAAGAGCAAAGAAACATTTTGACAACGTCGAGTGGTGCACAGAGACAGGCTAGTGCGACTGTGGACTGATGAGGCGTTCAATTGTGCCGTGTTGATGCAGCCCAAGAAAGTCAGCTGCAGAACTCTGTGCCATGTGCTCAAGTGTCACACAAACTGTCAGCCGCAGGAAGCATGAGGTGGACCGTAAGGCTCTGGAGACAAAACACTTCGAGTTTAGTGGGTTGATGATGACAGCCGCGACATGCTGTGTCACAAGAAATGAGATGTACAGCTTGTGAAGCTTGCATGAAAATGTGTATGTACTTTCGTGAATATCTGTAGAGGAAGAAATGTACTGTGTAGGTTGCTGAGTCTAGACTGCGACTAACAAGTGTCAGCGAAAAATAAGACAACTTGGCAGTTTCTAGAAGTTGGCGACCGCCTTGAATAATGCCAACGGTCCTTCCTTCCAAGCCTGACTCGAATGGCGATGTCGCCTAAACAGGAAAATGGACAGAAACAAATCATCATACCGATAGAGAGGATCCTCAGCAAGAATAGACGGTACGAGCAGCGGATATGAGCGCTAGCTTGAGGAAGGGTTTCAGGCCTAACAGAATGGACTAGGAAAGCCGGCACCAGGACGGTGAATGATTACCGGACTAGATACTAGTATCTGCTGGGTGTGAGGTTCAATTGACCGATGTGGTGAAACTCAAGAACGAGTGCGACGTTGCACACGGACCAAGAGAGGAGAAAGTGATGAGATTAAAGTGCTTCGAATCGTGGATCATGGAAACATTCTCGAAGCCTTTGCATCGTGGTTTAGGGGAGATTGGAAACCGGGAAAGGAGTAACTTTAGGCGCTCACAAGGGGCGGCCCAGGGTGGCAGCGGGCAGCGTTAACGCTCAATCAAGGCCACGACCCTCCTTGCTTGATCTTCTCCCATGCCACCACGTGGCCTCCCTGGAACGCCCGTTTTCTTCAAGCCAAAGAGAAGGTCGTTTTGGCGCCAGCCTCAGCGTGCTATCTCCTTCTAGCTTCAATCTGGGCTTGTTCGATTCCTTGTTCACCTTCTACACTCTAGCTGTTAGTAGCCTAGGGGCATGCGATTCTTAGGATCCAACTTCATTCGCTTCACCACGCCAAATCTTTTTGCGTCTTCTAGTCTGTTTCATCCTCACCTCTAGTCTGGATGATCATCGTTATCGGGCGAAAGACGACACGTATCTTTCCAACTTTCCAGGCTTTGCATATTCTCCAACACTCAGTCCCGTCCGGTTCCGCAGTTTCGATGCAACGAGGGCATTCCCACCAGTGATGCTTGCTAACGGAAAGTGGTCACCGGAATTGACCCTCCTCAAGGGTGACAGTGATAGTAAAGGCAAGAAAACCCTGGCATAGTTCAATAGCATTAGAAGGACGCAATAAATCTTGATGCAGCGGTCCACCATCATCCACAGACCAGGAGCAGATTCTGCTGAAACTGGGCCATATACACGTGTCCCGGGGCTGTGCTGGAATCATAATTAATGTCCAGGGGCCCTTGTTCGACCAGGCTTCTTCCGGTCTCCCAAGACTTATCACATGGGGCCTGGGATCATGCGAAGCCAACGGCTTCAAATGCGAACATGACTGGTCATTTTCGTATCTGAAATGCGTCAGGGATCCCAGGCATCGTCCAGCCATCCTTGACTGCTCATTACTGAATACGCTGCAAGGGAGGTTCCGCAACGTCCAAATTGAGCATGCTTACCCCACGTATTCGTAACAGGGGGCTGGAGGGCCTACCACTAGGTATGAGCCTCACGGCTCCTTCAGCGGGCCTGCTGGGGCCGTTCCTCTTTGTACAAGGATTCAGACCGTATTCGCAGAATGATCATACAGTATATTGGAGTCAAACCCGACCGTTGGCTGGTGACAATGGGATGATATCACTGCACAGCTGGTCAATATTGACGATCAGCACTGTCAACGAGCAGTGCCAGTTAATACATCCAGAGCGCAATGACCATCAATTGAACCGTCCACGAGGCTCTACGTCCCTGCGGTGACCAAATTTGGTTGTCCGTTGGAGTTCGTCCTCCATACGATTGGCTGTGGAACTTGTACCCGACATACCTAGCACTCAAGGCTAGTTGATGGTGCTCTATAGTACTTGCTGGGCGAGAGCGTGCTGAGAGGTACTTGTGAGTGAGTCGTAGTGATCCGCAATTCGGTTCCAATACCACGCCATGAACGAAACCATGACTCCACGCGCCTGGGAGATATGGCCTGGTTTGGGAACGGTCATCTGAACGTTCAGCCAGAAGTTGAGGCGGCCCAAATGGAATGCCAATCGAGATCGAGATGACCATGAAGAGGGAGAGAGACTTTTGAAGCCATTGAAGCATTGTTCAAGCAGACCCCTGCCAGACGTAGAGTCTGTGTGACCGTGTTGTTGACAATGCCATTGCCGCACATGGTGAGGCTGTGAATCCTGTCCACGCGATGTATCTTCAGCACTGGCGCTTGGGATGGGTGGGTAAAAACGTGTTGAAAAGTAGTGTAACCAGAGATATCCACCGTTCAGCCACCGACCAGGTTGGCTGCATCATGTCAGAAGAGTCAGCCTATCTGTCATCCGTGGAAGTTAGGTTGAAGGTGTGCCTGTGCCTGCAGATGTCAATCCAAAAGTCATTATTCGACTTACTGAGTCGGTTGTTCTCCGCCATCCCTTCCATTTCCAAATAGACAAAAACTGAACGGCGCCCAAGCCCGACAAGAGTGCGTGCGTTCATTCAAAAGTTGCTACTTTCACTGCGATTGCACACTCTCCTGCCGTTGGCTATTCTCACTCACCTACCATATACCACATCGTACTCCTCGTCTGGATCACTTGCCGACGACATCATATTTGACATTTATCTCCATCATCTTGTTCATCGGGATCTTTTCGATCATCTTCTTCATCGGAAGATATCCTTACCCATCGAAATCTGAGCGATACTGATTGTCCCGGAGACGACGGGCTCTTCCGATACGCCTAAACTGCGCCTACGCCGTCCTTACCTCACCTGTTCAAGACGTTCCCTACCGAGCCTCATCCGCCACAGAAACGAGTCAGGATCGTCACTTCTACGATGGTCGAGTGACTCAAGAATAAGCAAAAGAGTATTCACACCACACGGAAGAAAACGCAAAGAGACGCAATCTCGCACAACCAGACGCCCATCGGTCCAAAGGGAAATCTGAGACTGTAGCGCTGGAAGATCACTACCATATCAACCGTCCCCCAAGACCTCCAGCTCTCTCGCCAAAAAAGGACGCCTAACTCTATCTGCCCGCTCTACCCGGTCAGCACCTCCTGGCCTAACTCGTATCCGAGTTGAGTGGCCAGGGGCCCAAATCTTCTCGAATTACACTTTAATCCACTCCTTCGAAATACCCTGGCTTAGCCTGCGGCTTCAAAGACTCCACAGCCCTCGTGGTGAGGCAATCCCTGGCGTTTTCGTAGGTAGCAGGGTAGTGGGTTGCACCCACGTTTGTGTTTCCACCGACTTGTCGACCGCCAGTCCTTTCTGCGATGCTTCGCGGAGCCGACCAAACCTGCAATATCTTTACCTGCATGATTTTCAGTCTTCTTCATGCCCCAACCAGACAATGCGACTGTCGACGACTCCATGAACTTGACCGTTAACGACACCCCCGGTCAAGTCACCCTACCCGATCCTACTCCTTACCCTCCTTCAACCTCCAATACGCCTAGTTCGGAGTCTACCCGCCCACCCTATCACCACCAATATTCGAGTTCGACCAGTATAACTCAGTCCAAAAGCCGACGCTCGCTGGCTTCACTGGCAAGAGAAAAGACCTCGAACGCTTTCGCCAATTTGGCATCAATCGGTACAACATCTACCCCAAGTTTGCGCTCAGCGACGTCTTCCGGAAGTCTGGGTAAGCACTCTACCGTCAGTAGTTCGGTGCGCCCTATTTTGCCTCGTTCGCCAACATCTCCCGAAGTTCATAGTACATTACAACGGAGGACCAGCGGTATCCCTCTTCCCAGTCAAGACCCGCGAACCAGTACTACGATACCACCAATGCCGCCTCCAGACAGGAACAATGGCAGAATGCATCAGACGTCCTCGAAGATTTTGCGCATGACCGACGACGAGCGGCCGTTCACACGAGACTTCAAGGATCTGTTTGCCACCCTCATAACCAGCCTTCCGCTCACGCCACATCGAGTTAGGTTCTCCAGAGTGGAAGAGACATTCCTCGCCGAAGAGGCCATTACCAACCTTGGTTCGTTGAAGTTTTCGCAATCCAACCGCATTCCCGACCCTAAGAACCCTACGAGATGGGTCGTCACCACAACCACGACTACTTTCTCCATGGCCAAGGAAATGGCCCGCTCTGTCTGCCAGCGATTTGTGGACGCCCGCCTGATCGAATCTGCCGAGAACAAGAGCATCACCACGTTTGCCACCAAGGGAGGGGTATGGCAACTGACGGCGAAAGGTCTGGCGATTCTGGCCAGGTTCTGCAGCAGGAACGGCATCAATGCCCGCCACGTCGAACCTCTCCTCAAGCGAAGCCAGATGCAAATTGTCTCTTTGGAAAGAGACCCCTCCACTGATAAAATCCTGCAGGATAGGGCGACGGTTGAGATCATTTTCCGGAGATTTATGGGCGGTTCGGACGGTCCCAATGTCAAGAGTTCCACGTCTCTGTCCGATTCGGATTCTGTGTCAGAATATGTTACCGGCCTAGTTGGTGTAAAAATGGCCAAGGAACGAAGAGTAATGGATAAGATCGTCAACAACACCTTCACTGGCAAAGCCGCCTCAGACTGGGTCCTGGATTGTACCACGACGATTGACCGCCGAGAAACATACGAAATTGCAGAGCTGTTTGTGAAATGGCAGCTTATGGTCCCGATTGTTGAGGACAGGGCCTATATCCGCGTAAATCCCATGGCGACATATTTTCAGCCGACCAGATATGCAATCTACGCCGCTACGGAAAGAGGACAGCGTGCTTGCGGTTGGCTCGCCCGCCCGGCTAGTATCGACAGCGAAGACAGCCGCGACCCGAAGGAGAAGAGCCGGGTCACCAGAGATTCCAACGTGGGCCGGTTGAATGTCATTCTGCAAGATGCTGCGTTGCGCTTATTGTTCAAGGAATTCTTGAGACAATCGTTGTGCGAGGAGAATCTGCAATTCTATTTCGACGTTTCCGACTTTATTACCAACTATCGCAACCTAGACGAAGGCGGGAGACTTTCTAAACCAGAAGCTGTCAGGGAAACGCTGGCCGCCGCATACGGTATGCAATCACACTCTCGTTCTGGAATGTGCTAATGACTCTCAGGGTTGTACAACTCATTTCTGGCATCCGGAGCGCCTTCGGAGCTCAATATCGACCATTCTCTTCGAAATCGCCTAGACAGTCGAATGATAAGAACAAATACCGATGACGACGCCATGCGAGAAAGCCTGGACGAAGTCGTGGAACTCTTTGAGCTTGCACAAGGTGCTGTCTTCAAGCTCATGGCCAGTGTAAGTCTGAACCCGTGTTGTCATCATAGCATCGTCCTGATAAGCTGTCCAGGACTCTGTTCCCAAATTCCTTCGCGATCCTAGAAACGCAACGGTCCTGCGAGAACACGAGATCGATATCACGGCAGGGTCGAACCGTGCCCTGTCTCCGGCCCCCGAACAGAGCGTCAGCCGGTCCAACACCCACAAATGATTGTCCTGACGCAGCGACAAAATCCTATTCTTATTCTGCCTGACCTCGACAGGCGCATTCGGCACACATTATTAGAAAAACACACATCTGAACATGATGAACATACGAGCGCATGGTCACCGAAGTGGACCTTGATGTACATAAATGCGACATGTTCTTCACTGCTGTCGACAGCCGACTTTTCATGCTGAGTGCCATTGAGAAGTTATTGGGCTTCGAGAGCCAACGACTGTCAATGGCCTCTGCCTATGTCTGGCTACCACGGTCCTGCATGGAAAGATTCTGCATAGCGAGGGTGTATGGAAAGGCGTTGAAACTGTTTAATCGGCATAACTTAGCGAAATGCTGCCCATTCTGCATTTGCATCGGAAAGATACCCCTGTGGAGGATGCATACGGGATGGGTGCAAAAAGAGAACTGGGGGAGCGGCTCTGGAAATTTGCCGGCTCATGTGTCATAGGGCTGCGGAGAGGCCACATTGGGATAGAGACGGGCTGACTGGATATCAACCATTACATTCATGGCTTCATGTTCGTGTGGTTCTGTGCTAACATTACTGATATCGAGCGTAAATTAGCTCGGTTTGTGCTACCGGACTTCTGGCAGCTATGTACCACGATCGACACTCGTACGATGTCGGATATGCTGTGACCACCTTGGTTGAAGCAGGTCACGGACTCACAGCACTCCGTGAAAGGGTGTTGCGCCAGAGACAGCAGCGTGTACAAGTGAGAGCAGGATGAACGGTCAGCTGAACATGTACGTACATCCGGGAAATCATCTGGCGGACGATCATGTCCTTGTAATCCTGTCATGCAAGTCCTACACCGGTCTGGCATGAAGTATCCATCGTGCATGTAACCTTGTCCTTTAGTAGGAGTTCATGACGATAACACGGGACATAGCAATGACTTCAATTGTGGATCTGCATGCTCTATCGCTGAAAAGGGGCGAGAAGCGAGTCGCAAGCAAGGCTGTGGTAGCCTTATTCACGGAGGAATGATGTTCCGGACAATGCAGTGAAACCGCATTGCAGCGCGTTTTGTTCGCAGCGTGGAATTCACCAAAGTGCCATGCAACACTTCCCGTCCACGACAGCATGTATATGTGACGAATTCCAATCCTGAGAAACGTCAGCCATCGAGATGTTATAGGGACACAAACAACAGATCAAGATTTGTACATTGCGACGCAATGGCAACCCTGGACGCATTACAATTGCTCAAATCCTCCATCGCAGCATCGAAACCGCCAATTCTCACAAAAACCTCGGATCCTGCGAGCGCAGGAGAAAACCCGACAGACTCCTTTGTCGAAGCCACTTATCTCTACTTTACCTACCCCAACTCTCTGTGTCTGCCGTTAGACACGAAGACCAGATTTATATCTCAGAATCCAGACACAACAGAGGTTGACCTGCGGAGTATATTCTTCGCTTGGCTACAGAAAGATGTCACGGTACCCGAGTACATTGCCCTCGCGGCCGAGCTGGATAAACAATTGCCTGAAGGACAGAAAGTGCGCAACCTGATATTCGTGGAGAGGTTGGACTTGATCACCTGGCTGGAAGGCGCATCAGATGAGTCGGAATATATCAAGCCCATTGAAGGTGCCGCGGCGGCGGCCGACGCCGCCAGAGCAGCGGATGTTGCTGGAGGTGCTGCAGTACCGACAATCAGCGGCTCAGGTGTCGGCGTCACACAGACGGCGGGTGGAAGACCAGTCAAGGTGATTGATGCGAGGCTACAAGCTATCTACAATGGCGAGCGGAAGATGGGCGACCACAACTCCGTCTTGCGCGGCGTGAAACCTACGGTGAGAAGAACTCCTGAGGAAATACAGGATTTGGGCTGACTGATATCGACGTAGGACTTTTCTCACGTTCGCAAACATGCAGAGACCTTCCTCGGTCGACGGAAGGGTGTGCCATCGTCGTCTAAAGCAGGGCAGGTTTCCAAATCCGCTCAGCTTGCGAGTCGACCGGCTGCAGCAGCTTCTATACCAGCGAAAGTCCCATCAGCAGTTTCGTCGAAACGATCAGATCCGATCATTCTGCTGTCTCCGTCCGCATCGTCCCTGCTGCGCATGTCGAATATCAAGACGTTTCTCGACACTGGGCTCTACGTGCCGCCTGATCATCCGACCTTGTCGACGCAGACGACAGCTAACTTGCTGCATATTACGCGTACGCTGCATTCACTTAGCGAGAAACCGTATCGGTTCATTCTCGTCGATTCTCCCGAGCAGTTCAAGCCTGATTACTGGAGTCGAGTCGTCGCGGTGTTCACAACGGGTCAGATATGGCAGTTTAGGGGGTACAAATGGAGAGAACCGCAGGAGTTATTCGGGCATGTTCTTGGTATCTTCGTGGGTGAGAAAGGATTGCCAATACCCGGAGAGGTAAGAGGCTGGGGAAGCAGTGTCAAGACATTCGCTGTCGAGCGGTGGGATGAGAGGGCTCATGGCGGCAGTGTGGATCAGGATACTCGGGCCGGGAGGCGGTGGAGGGATCGGGAAACGGTCGAAGAGGTGTGGCGCTCGATTGAGGCCTATATGAGAGGGCGTGGAGAGTGGAGGCGATGAGTGCCCTCAAGGTGTGTTCAAAGGTCAACAGTTTCATGGGTGGACTATTGTTCCAGCACGAGCATACATCATCCTGCCCAGCTCAGCGACATTTTTTCAAGTCCTGGGAAGTGCTCTATAGGGTGCATTTGCGCACACGCACTGGGCATTGGTCTCAAAAAGCCAGTCATGGGCTGCTGGCTACCAATGTCAGTAACAGAAGCACAATCAATGGTCGTCGGATGGGTATCTGAATTGTTGTACCGACAAATTCTACAAGGAGCGAGCGCTCGCAGGAGTACGATCTACCTACAACGACGACCGGCACAAAATCGAACGGTCGGGTGTCGGAAAGTCTTGATGCTCGCCTCGAGGCTTTACTCCATGCATGCAGCCATGGTCTATGACTGGACGACCTTCTTCATGGCGTGAACATGCTGTGCTTGTCTAGGAGAGGCATGATGAATTTTACGGACCCTGGACCTTCGTAGGGCTAACGTACTTAAGTAGAGGGACCGCTTCGCGGCTTCGGGCGGCAGGGGCGGTTCCTTCCGGGCTTCGGAGGCTTACCAAGAGTCCGTTGCGCGCTTGTTTCGACTTTCGCACTTGCTAAATGCTTCTGAAGAGACTCCATTTCAAGTACTCACTATCCTTCACAATAATTCATCATCAAGGGGCTTTACTACTGCTAACCAGCCGGCCTTGGGGGTTATCCTCATCTTGACTGTGTTGCAGAGACGTTGCAAGCACATGCCTCTACAGCAGACACATTGAAACCTGTCACCGGTTAGGACCTGACAAGTCAATGCAGACACGGGTACAGATACTACCTCAGGTATGCTCCTGTTCCAGAATCACCTTGCTCTCCAGGCAAAGCTCTCGGAAATGCAGTACTGCTGCTAGAAGCTGGTGAATTATCCCTACCGAGCAGAAGCCCTGCGTTATCATGCGTTTCAGAGTTGCGACGTGGCGTTCATCAAGTCAAGAGCATCGCTGCAACCAAGTTCTTTTGTCACGAATCAGAGCATCTCCCAGCAGCCACCATAGAGTTTATCACCTCATCGCCCTGTTGACATGCTTTCAATAGGTCTAGAGAGTGCTGTTGTATTTCCTTTGGCCCCCAAGTGTCCCTTCTGTGGCTGAATCAAGGTGGCAGTCGCTCAACGACGTTTGCTCCCTAGGGAAAGTTTTCCTCCTGCGACAATCAGCAAGGTGCGCAGCCATCGGTTTGCCAAAGATCATTGTCTTCAACATGTGGGAATCAAACGTTCCTGTTCGAGATCTGCCCGGTTCCGCGTCGGCTCCTCATGCCTGGGATAAGGACTATTGAACCCCAACCTCGGTTGGGAGGAACCGACGAGCGATCATACGCCGTCCGGGGTATTTGACGCAAGATAACAACGCGCGCCTAAGGGACTCAGCCCAATCACTTACGGAGTACCTTTCCTTCCTGCATGCTGTACAAGATACCATGTCAACAACCCTGCGCAGATGGTGGGTCAGGCTGAAATGCTCGCTAGGTGAAGCAACCTACTGAGCCCGATTCACTTATTCCTCCTGGACATTCAACAGCAGATTATACCCGTCTCTACTAAGCTCAGAGACCTTTACCAATGTATACGCGATGGAGGTTCTTGGTCTTGTAGCCACTATCGGCTCTGCCGTGCTGACTATTGGGAAATCTGTGCAGACCTTGACGACTCTCCGGCAGAAATACCAGAACTCAGAACTCAATATTACCCTCCTCACAGGCCACCTTCGGACCGTTCGAGCTGCGCTCTGTCAGGTTCAGATCTGGGCTGAGCGATGTCCAACCGTCGAGTCTGGTCATGGTCAGTTCATGGTCGACGTCGAGGACGCCGTGAACGGTTGCGGCGTAACAATCGACCACATTCACGCCCACATTTCCAAGTTCGAATGGGAGACTGATGGGCTCAAGCCCCGGAGCAAGATCACTCTGCTTCTCGATGACCAGACGATGAAAGATTTCATAAATTGTCTCAATCATCAAGTATTGGCTCTCAACCTCCTCATAACTGCATCAAAGTGGTAAATAACGCTTACCCCTGACAATGCTATTGCTGACTGTGGGAGTTCGACACAGCACGAGCAACAACGGTTGCTCCAAAGGAAGGAGAGCAGAGCGATTTTCAACCGAGCCAAAGACGATGCCACCTCACTTGTGGGATTTCGAGATTCTGCCTCCTTCACTCCTTCGATTGGGAGAACCTCATCCGCTCGATACTCTACGACTTCCGGTCTCTCGAAAATGTTCGATTTTGATGATGTCCTCCTTCGGCACAAGGTGTATCAAAATAGCTTTCGGTCTATGATCAGGCGTGCGGTCAGCCCCACGGAGTTGTTGAACGACACAAAGAGGCACAAAAGTGCTGAAGGTCCAGCAGAACTTGAACTCAAGACCACAGCCAAACAATCTGCAAAAATAGATCTCAAGCTCAAGGAAGATGCCCGGAAGCTGAGAACAGAGGTCAAAATACTCGCTATAGGGGAGCAGCATGGCAGGTCCTGCATTGTGAAGCAGATGAGGCACCGGTGGGGCTACCCTTTCTCTGACAAAGAGGTTGAGCAGTATCGAAAATGCATCACAGCTCTTGCAGTCAATGCACTAGTTGCTATCCTGGACTATGTGCATGAGTTGGGTGTTGGTCTTGTCAGTCAAGTCAGTCGAGACCATGATGAACTTGTCCGGAAGTTTGCAGCAACTGGAGGCGCAGAATGGAGGGCCACTGTTGACATTGCGTCGTCGGTGCAACATCTGTGGCACAATTGGCATGTCCGACAAGCTTTTGCTGCCATGGAACAACATGGCCAGACACCATAGTAGGCAAGGTCGTTCCCTGTCATACAACAGACTCTAACGTCGCTTTAGCTTCCTCAAAGCCAGTGACAGGATCTGCCAGCCAGATTATGTGCCTACCAACATGGATATCATCAGAGCCCCTGAGATAATCGATACAATGAAAGAGACGGAGTTGACCATTTCTCCCTCCGATTCCGATATACTTCGAGTCATTGAGATCAATGAACAACACGCGATGAAAGTCATCTCGCAATTTGCCGACATACAGTTCTGTCTGTTTGCGGTCGACATGACATGCTACGACCGTTACCAAAGCGAAAGCCCCAAGTCCAATGTATTGAGAGACCGACTTTGGAACTTGAGAGCTGTCTGTGGGTCAACATACTTTACCAGGACCATCATCCTACTTGTCCTGACAAATGCCACCGCTTTCGCAAAGAAGATAGCCTCATCGCCACTACAATCGCATTTCCAGGACTACGCCGGTGGCAGTGACGCCAATGCTGCCACAAAATACATTCTGAAAAAGTGCAAGCAAGCCAACTATAGGGCTTTGCCGCTCTTTTGGCACATTTTCGATTGTGCTGTGGAGGAGGCTGAGGCCAAGGCGACGGACGAGTTCTTCAGGCAGTCTGCTGCCAATGCCTCGGTGTCGTTGATCCGTGAAATCTTTGTCAGTGGAATCTAGGGCAAAGGTGGAACTGGGATTGTTGTAGTAGAAGTGTCATTGTATCTGTATTTGACATGAGGGAGCGAATATTACTTGTAGTCTATCATGTACAATAGCGTAAGGGAGAATGGCCCTAGTGATCAGATATCCTTAATGAAAGGAGCGATGGCATATCATCCATGAACCATCCTAACATTACCTAGGTAATGCAGCAGAAGCGTCTCTGAAATACGTTGATCTTCAGTTCAATACGCCCGTGGAGAAACCTGTAAAAGGCTGCCCTTCGATAGCAGATCCCATGGAGGCGACAAGGCTGAGCGATAAGGATTGGGGGGTGGATGGCGTCATGTTCTCGCCGAAAAACATCTTTTTTTGGCCGGTTCCGATTCCGCAATGGGCTGCAAGTGGTGTGCTGCGTCTCTGTGTGGTTGTTTGACCATTACTCAATTACTCAACTTCATCGTCACAGTGGTCGTCGCGTTTTCGCCGCTTGACTAATACCACATTTCTAGTACTCTTCGTCTTGCCTCACTCACTTCCCTGTTGACTGAATCCTGTGACTGGCTCACCCTCTCTCTTCAACATGGCAACACTCAGAGGAGTCGACTCAGAAGCCAGCTTCGATCAGACCATCAAAGATGCCGCGCCCTCAACCCTGTTCGTCCTGTACTTCCACACCCCTTGGGCCGCTCCTTGCGCTCAGATGAACACCATCCTCAGCACACTTGCGTCGACGTACCCTGCCGACTCGGACATCAGTTTTCTATCGATCAACGCGGAAGAGCTGGCCGATGTGTCGGAAAGTTACGATGTGACGGCCGTGCCGTTCCTCGTGCTCCAGAAGGGAGGCAAGACGTTGGAGACTGTGAGTGGGAGTGATGCGACTAAGGTGCGCGCTGCGGTTGAGAAGTACGCTGGGACCGGCAACAAGAGTGGTGGTGTGCCGCCGCCACTGCAGGCCACGCCACAACAACAGAATGGTCATGTTACCAGCAATGAAGATGCGCCGACGACTACCAAGGATTTGAGTTCATATGCGCCGAAGAACTCGGATCCTCAGACTGCGCCGGACTTTTCGGGTAATGCTGGGTCTAGGGAGGAGTTGGATGAACGTTTGGGAAAGTTGGTTAAAGCTGCGTAAGTCAAACACACTCTTCCAAGGTGAGTCTCGAGGGGGGTATGGAATGGTTAGCTGACTTGCTGGAACGACAGACCGGTTATGCTGTTTATGAAGGGAACGCCGAGTGCGCCTCAGTGCGGATTTAGTAGACAGTTGGTCAGCATTTTGAGAGAAAATCAGGTTAAATATGGGTATGTTTACTATGCGCATGCAGAGGTTGTGCTTGAAGGTATGGACATTCGCTGATGAGGGTCTAGATTCTTCAATATCCTGGCGGACAGTGATGTGCGAGAGGGGCTCAAGACGTTCTCTGACTGGCCTACGTTCCCGCAGTTATATACTAATGGAGAGCTTGTGGGTGGGTTGGATATTGTAAGTCACTTCTATAGGGACGCTCAGGCGCTCGTGTGATCAGTTACTGACATGCTCATGCAGGTTCGTGAAGAAATGGAGGCAGATCCAGATTTCTTCAAGCCATTTGCCGCAGCGCAGCCAACAGCGTCTACGTGATGTGACTGTGCAGCTGGGGATGTATGATAGATGACGACCTGCATGGGGATGACGAGCTCTATGAGACTTCAACAATGCCGGCGTCATGGTATGCAACGGGTCTCTACATAGCGATCACTCGTCATAAGTGGTAATACAAAAGACAGTTATATTCGGAATGCTCGTGAGCACAATCGCTACGTAGCTGCTATGCAGATCATCGCTTCTAAAACCACGATACAACACAAGAAGGCCGAACAGCGTGTTGCCACTATGCAGGCAACTTCCCTGAAATAGGAGTGGTGTCTGCATCAGCCTCACCCTCTGGGTTTGGGATAAATTGATAGAACCTTCCCTTGCGCATCATGGGCATGTCATCAACGACGGAGACGGCCTTGCTGATAAAGTCCTGGCGGTTGAGGTAGGCGCCGCGCAGCCACCGTTTGCCGGAGTTCATGTTAAAGGCGTTCCGCGCATGCACTACACGGAGATTGTCGAAGATGACGCAGGTGCCGCTATCCATTTTCTCTTCGACCACGTTTTGTTGCTGCTCCATGATGTCGGAGAAGGCTTTGCTCGCCTTGACGAACAGGGCGTGCTCCTTTTCGCTCGCCTGTGGCTCTATATAGCCGACGAAAGGAGGCGACCAGAAGACGCGGCCGACATCTCGGATCAGCTGTTCGTGCTGGGCGAACATGATCTGGCGGGGCGGTTCGTCAACCTTTCCCCGGTCCATTACCGTGGGTTTTTGGTCCGAGTAGAAGAAGCCGTCGTTGTCGTACTCGTAGCGGATGAGGAAATTGCGCAGTGCGTCGAAGTACTCGGTGCCATACTCGGAGATGAGTTGGTCGAGAGCCTTGAATGTGTCGGCGAAGCGCGACTCGCCTCCTTCGCAGGTGTTGTGGACGCAGTGCAAGAATTGGAAGCCCGGCGGATCGCGCATATATAGCAGATCCATGTGGAAGCTGAGATATTTAGAGGTGTAGGCGACGTTTTTGGCGTTGGGAACGGACCTTACATCCCATGTTGGGCCGTAGAAGGTCTGTTGTAACGGACCGATGCGATTGACGATTTGTGCGACAGAGTCTTCGGTCTCGGGGACTCCATCGAGGAAGAGTAGGCCGTCGCGCCAGAGGAGGTGCATTGCGTTGGCGAAGGTGGGGCCATGTGTCATATAGTCGTTAAAGTCGATGCGGCTGGTATCTCGCTGGAAGGACTTTTGGTCCCAGAGCCTGAGAGGTCGCTTGGTGAGCTTGTAGCGCTGCTGGTGGCGGTAGATGGCTGTTAAGTTGGCTATGGTCTCGTGGTCGAATGTACTTGTATGGTCGGGGGAGGCGGAGGGGATGTCATTGTTCCAGCGGACTTTGACGATGCCTGTCTTCTCGTCGAGTTGTACATCGCGAAATGATGTGTCGGATGGTATGTCGGAGTAGGAGAAGTTGCGTTGTTTGTCGGATGAGTCGATGCACTGCGAGCATTTACAGGCATCGCGAACGAGGATTGGTGAGATGAGCGGTTGGCGGACGCCCGTGGTACTGGAGACCTGCTCTAAGGGGTTGACAGGTTCGTACACAGAATTTCCGTCCTGAGCACCCGGGTCTGCATCGTCGTGAGCAGTAGTAGTAAGCTCTGTCCCGAATGGCGTCTTTACTTTCCCTCTACGTCGACCTCTGACTAACTGTTTTCTGATGGTAGGAATGCCGACCTTTTTAGTCAAAGTACCCCATCCAGTCCCTATATTGAGAGTCCTGGTTTGGTGACATCGTGGCACATTGAGCTTGATCCTGCTCCGTGTTGTGGTATGACCTGTTACATTAAGGTATTTGAGGGAACGCCCAAGGTGAGATCTGAACAAAGATGATGTATGCATCGAGCGATGCGTCCACTCCGTTGCCCTCAAATCACGGACAAACCGAAAGGGAGCAGAACTTCATTGAGCGCGATTTACGAGACCAACTCGATGCGATATAAAGACGGAGGATCATGAAGAGGAGAAATACCTTTGATAGAATGAAAGTGTAGTTCCGAGGTCTGCAAGGCTGTGCTAGATCGGATATGATACTAGATTCATCGCTTCCTGTTCTTGCCAAGCTCGGGCCTACATGCGGCTTGGCACTATGTCATTATTATTGCCCGCCTAGAAGTGCATGCCCGGAAAGCCTGTACCTAATTAGCGGCAGTACCTGCGGGCGGCGGGCATTCAAGCTTGTGCTCATGCTGGTCTGGCTTGTTGCTCCTCCTCCATCCATCTCGTAGCCGCGCGACTCAACTTGTATCTTGCATGAATTGCTATTTCTCCCACGATCACATTTACATTCCACCCCACGCTGACATCTGATATCCTTTCTCACATCTATCCGTCAGCCACGAGGTCACAACTACATCCATCAGCTGCCGTTACTGCTTTGTTGCCTGCACGTCAACGCTGACAAAGCCCTCATTCCATCCTGATCAACTCCATCCCTCAGACTCACCTTTCGTCACTTCAAACAACGTACATTCATCCCACCCACTCACCAACAATACTCTAGGTCGGCGCCGTCGCTCATGCCACCGTTGCAGTAGATCCATCAACCGATCTTGGGTGTTTTTGGGTGTGTGCATCTTGGACAAGAAGGCGGTCTCCCTGCGCACAGGGTCATGAAAGATGGTGGAGTCGGAGCCCGGAACTCCCACTTGGAAGTTCACTCAATGTTTTGGCGACAAAGGAGATGTTGAGGACATCACAGAGGCCGATATCATCTCCACGGTCGAGTTCGATCACACGGGAAATTACCTGGCTACGGGCGATAAGGGTGGTCGTGTCGTGTTATTCGAACGAAACGAGACTGTATGTCCTTGTCATTCATCCCTGCGTCTGCTTCGATACTAACATCTCTTCCGCAGAAAAAGACCTGCGAGTATAAATTCCACACCGAGTTTCAATCTCATGAACCTGAATTCGACTACCTCAAATCCCTCGAAATAGAAGAAAAGATCAACAAGATCAAATGGTGCAAACGTCAAAATGCCTCGCATTATCTGCTATCCACCAACGACAAGACCATCAAGCTATGGAAGGTTTTCGAGAAGTCGCTCAAGGTCGTTGCAGAAAACAATCTCTCAAATGAACTGACCCCGGGCGGAGTGGGTGGTGGCGGTGCCCCTCGTGCAAATCCTGTTCACTTCAAGGATGCTTCGCAGTTGAAGCTTCCTAGGTTGACTCACCACGACACTGTCGTGGCAGCGGTCCCTCGACGAACGTATGCCAACGCGCATGCCTATCATATCAACAGCATCTCCGTCAACAGCGACGGTGAGACATTCATCAGCAGTGACGACCTCCGTATCAACCTATGGAACCTCAATATCCAAGACCAGAGCTTCAACATTGTGGACATCAAGCCAGCCAACATGGAAGAACTTACCGAAGTCATCACAGCCGCGGAGTTTCATCCGATAAACTGCAATAACTTCATGTATGCCAGTTCAAAGGGCACCATCAAGCTTGCCGACATGCGTGAGAGTGCACTGTGTGATCAACATGCAAAACGTAAGTTTTCCCAACCTAGTCCAGTTTCACAACCTGACTTGTATTGCAGAATTCGAACAAGAAGAGGATCCTTCGTCCCGATCCTTTTTCTCCGAGATCATCTCCTCCATCTCCGATGTCCGCTTCTCGCACGACGGCAGATACATCCTCTCAAGGGATTACCTGACAGTCAAGATTTGGGATGTGAACATGGAGAAGCAGCCAGTCAAGACAATCCCGATACATGAACATTTGCGGCCTCGATTGTGCGATACCTACGAGAATGACAGTATCTTTGACAAGTTCGAGGTCGTCTTCAGTGGGGATGGCAGCAATGTGATGACGGGAAGCTACAACAACAACTTCATGATATATCCATCGGATCCAGACCAAGAGACGGAAGTGGTTTTGCAAGCCGATAAATCCGCCTTCAAAGCTAAGAAAGTTGGAGTGCCGACGCCCATCAATACGGGTGCGAATGGTGCTAAGAAGGGAACATCAAGAGCTGGAAGTCCAGCCGCTGGTACAGGCAGCAGGATGAGAAAGGAGACTGATGCCGACCAGATCGACTTCAACAAGAAGATACTCCACATGAGTTGGCATCCGTTTGAAGACAGCATTGCTATCGCTGCTACTAACAATGTAAGTCGCCTCTGCTGCATTTCATGGACTGTCACTAACCGCAACCAGCTCTTTGTCTTCTCTGCCCTCTAGAGTTGTCCTGGTGCAGGACTGTGCGTCAAAGTTGGCCAGACGTTGTCCTGGCAGACACCGCGCGCATGAGGGTGCTTTTTGGACGGGCGCCCACCTCCGCGATGAGGTTGTCCCCTTCTTTGTGCGCGGCGCCCGGAAAGACCACGTCCAATGACATGGAGACACAGAAAATGATGCATGGATTGCCTGGCTGGGGACATTGTCGAACATCAACCTTCCCACGCTGGTTGCGACCTCTTTGAGAAGGAAGAATGTGAATTGTGTGGACTCATGCATGGAGGACTCCACTTCCACATCCTCATTGGAGGCAAAATGCGACAACCTGCTGAACCCCCTGTTGGATTTTATCACGGGCTATTGCACTGCTTGAGATCGACCTAGATGAATGTGGGACGTTGAGACTGGCTATCCTGCACTTCAGCTAATGGGATTGGTACGGGTGACGATTTCCGAGGACTTCTGCGTGCTAAAGGGCGAGCTGGCATTGAGTGCAAGTTGAGCATGTTGAGAGACTGAGCGACGATGCGAGTGATACGAGGCAAGAGCCTCCCGAATCACAGATAAGACAGCGCTGAGAATTGTAGTAGACAAAATCAAATGTTTTAAAGATAGACCAGCGTCCAGTTTGAATGATACGTGCCATTCATCGCTATCAGGGCTATACCTTGTAATGGACGAAGAGTGATGTTTACTGCGCACCTCCGTCTGGCTCGTACCCGAAAGACTCCAAGCCTCTCTCGGTTGCTATCGACGCTGTAGGCTGAGGCTGGCCATTGGAAGCACAGGCATCCACGGATGTCCCGTTCGCACTGGCAGCGGCGGCAAGATGCTCCCTGGTCACCCGCTCCAGCTCGTTACCAGCTTCCTCCAAGCTAGTCTGAATATGCGCCTGGCTCTCCTTGATATCGAGTCTTTCTCGCGCAATGTCAGCACGGCGTTTCTCGATCCTCGCCTTCTCGAATTCCAGATGTGAGACCATATCCCTTAGCCTGGCCAGACCGACGCTGAGCTTGGGAATGGGCGTGGTCTCACGCGGCTGCCTTGGCCGATTGGCCTGCCTCGTATGTGCGGCGTGTGCGGACAGGCCGTCCATGCCCCGATGCGTTTGAGCGGACTCGTACTCCCTGTGCCGGTCGTAGTCTGAGTCATCGGACTGGTCTTCGTCGGACTGGTCATCGGATCCTTCGGCGTGGTCGATCATCGTGCGAATGGCCTCTCGTTCCTTCTTCGTCTGCTCGCGCTGGCTTTTGCGAGATAGCGACACACGGCCTGCATCTTCGACGAATTCGTCGAATCCTTCGGCTATATCTTCGTCGTCGGGGACGAGGCGTGTGTCTTTGTCGCGGGTGGGCGCCGTGTACGACCCGACTTGCATGCGGCGGGGCTTGAATTCGCCATCGGAATCGTAGTCCTCGAGGGAAATGAAATCCTCGCCCGAGGGCGCAGAATCAGTGATGGCGTTTGCGGCTTGTTCTTTGGCGAGACGCGCGCGACGTTCTTTCTTCTCCTTGATCTCGGCTGTTGTGGGAATTCTGGAGGATGATGGTCCTGATATGGCGGCTTTGCCGAATTTGCTTTCGAGGTCGAGGGCTGTGTTGGTGGAGGATGGGTCGATGAGGTCGAGAGAAGGGCTGTCCCGCGATGAGAGATCCTGGGGTGTGGAGGGGGTGGAGTTGCGCAGTTCGTCGAGGTAGGCTTTGCTGTACGACGGTCTGTCATGGTCTTGCGCCTCGATATCGGCTCGGTCTCGTGTTGTAGTTCGGTTGAGGGCGTTTTGCGCCGCGCTCGAAAGGCCTAGCCTTGATGGCTTGGATGCCGGTATTGACGCTTCTTCGTCCTGCGAAGGGTCTGTCTTCGCGGCATCCTGCTCTTCGCCTGGATTGAAGGATACTCGTAGTTTGGATTTCGTTTTGGGTGCGTTTAGTGTTGGCCGTCGTACGACAGGGCCGGAGTCTGGACTTTCATCAGCGTTTCTGCTTCACACTAGAGAACAGGACAGCGTCAGAGAGGGATGCTCAAGTGAGGCGCTGGTGGATTGACATACCTTCTTCAACATCTGCTGGCTGCGTGTCGGGTTCGTCTCGGGAGATGATGCGCTTTGGCTTGCGCCGCGGCGCACTGAACAGTGACATTGTAAAATGGGTTGCGACTCAGGAGTCGTCGATGGCAGAGCCGCTCTCTGGTGATTGCTTGAGTTGTAAGCTGGACTTACACAGAATCCTCTAAAACAGATTGTAAAGTGCAGATTCTTGAAATGCGGGCATGAAAATAGCTGTCTGACAAGATGAGGCTGTGGTCGTTCGACAGGAAACTGGGGACAATGCGTGCCGTCATGCAGAGATATTTCTTCCTACTGCAGCCTTGCCCAAAATCAGCCAATCAAGCCAGTGAGCTAATTGCTGGCTTAGAGCAGCAACAAAAGTCGGCCCGAACGAGAGTTTTACAAGCCCTGCACAATTCTTGTAGAGAGTCGCAGGAATATCTGCGTAGTTGTGTACACGACCAATCAGCCCGAACCCACGTTTCTCATAGCAGCTTCACCTGCCTCTCACTTGACGACACAGAAGCCTTCAGCCAAGTTGAGCATATTTCACTGGTGACCAGCCGCGACCATGCCTCAAGCGCAACCCGAGCTCAAGAAGGTATGTTTGTGCTGCGTGCTTCCCAAGGACTTTGATAACCGACTAATTCAACAGTACATGGAGAAGAGACTCTTCGTCCAACTGAACGGCAACCGCAAAGTCATTGGAATATTGCGAGGTTACGACGTACGTTTCTCACCGCACGAACTGAGGGCAAGGCAGGACTGACATGATGTACAGGTCTTTCTCAACATTGTCCTAGACGAAGCAGTTGAAGAGAAGCCCGGCGGCGAGCGACAGCGATTAGGAATGGTCGTCATCCGAGGAAACTCAGTTGTCATGCTGGAGGCGCTTGAACGGATGGGCGACGACCGACGCGGATAGACGTGTGCGACGATTTACGAAAGGCGAAGGGGACATCAAAAAGGATCTGTGATACCCAATTCAAGAGGTTCTGCTGGTTTCTTTCTACACAAAAATGCTATGTGGGTATCATGAAAAGACGCAATTTTGTCGCAGCATGACCGGCTCTACGGTCAGCCATGGGAGGAACAACTCCGTGCTTTGAACGGGAGAGAAGTGCAAGAACAGTCGCTGTCGAAAAGAAGCGATCCACGACACCGCAAGCTTATCCTTTCGAAGCTGGCTTGAATTTGAGGACGACACGGCCTGGTCCAGCGGTAGGAGTCTGCACAGGCGGTGCAGGAGGAGGAGGTGTGGGTGTAGGCTTGGACGGCTGGCTTGAGCCCATCTTGAATGTGAGCTTCAGCCCTCCACCACCACCACCAATGCTCGGGCGCGCTGTTTGTGGCTCTGCTCGCGCGGCGGGTATAGGAGGTTGCCATTTCGGCACAACTTTTGATCTGACCCTCTGGGTTTGTGCGAACTTCAGTTTGCCCTGAAGAAACATATTAGTCTAGACACGAATCAAGATGTCGATGGTCAGACTTACCTTCCCAAGATTCTCGACCCGCCAATACCGCGGCAGCTTTAGAGACACCTTCATTGAATCCACAGGGTCGTATAACATACGGCAGAATTCCAGCATGGTCTGCAGGTCTTCCAGGGTGATTTGATCATAGCAGATGACATTCCATAATGCCGATTTCAGTACCTCATGGCCACCTAGTTCCTTTTTGAGCGCAGAAATGGCGCCCTCCATAGTGTGTCGTCTCGCCAGGTCGGCTTGGCGGGCGTCCGCTACGCCTGTATCTTCGATGACAAGCCCATCCGTAGCCGGTTGTGCCGACACAGTCTTGTCTCCGATCGCACGCTTGGCCAATACCTTGCCGAAAGCCCGCTGTAGACTTTGTCGTAACCATGGTGAAGCGTCTGCCACCATGCAGTACATCACGTAGCGGAGGATTGCAGGCTCGTCGAGATTGCCCGGCGTGATCAGGACTGTGTATGCTGCTTGCCGAAGCATATCATAGTTCCCTGGTCTGGTATATTGCAAAAAGTGCAAGGGTGAGAACCGACCGACACCAGCTGCTGCAAGCATGGCCTGGCACTCCAATGCCGTCCGTGAGTACAGGTTTTGGTAAGAACTGGTCCATTCGTCCATTCGGCGGTAGCGGTCAATCTCCTCGAGAAACTGTTCTTCAAGTCGTCTCATCTCGAGCATCTCATCCTCGACATCGACGTCCATGTCATCCACACCGATCCGGTGATGAGGCCGGGCCATCACCGCGGTCGTGAGCGCTCTCATCAGGTGAGCCACGTAATGCGCATCCGAATAGTCATTTGCCGAGTTGTCGTTGAACTTCAGCTTGTCCAGCAGGAACTCCTTGACTTCTTTAGGCGTATGTCCGCGGCTGTCTCGCACTCTGGAAATGCCTTCGATGATCTCGCATTGTAGCAAGTATGCCAGCTGATCAGAAAAGTCATTTGGTCTGGTCATGGCCAGGCCTTGATCCGTTATGCAGTACAACTCTTCGTAGGCCTTCTTGAGGTGGAACAGCCCAATGTTTCTTGCCTCACCTTCTTCCTTCGCGTGTTTTACTAGACCTTGGGCGGCCAGTGATCGTACGCCATGGAAGTAGCGACGGTCCATCAATGTTCTCGTGAATATGGACGAGACCAGCGGCGACGGTGGATAATTCGAAATGTGACGCACCGCTTCAAGTTGAGCAACGACGTCCCTGTCCTGCTGAAGTTGTGACGCAAACATGTAGCCTGGCATTTGAAGGTTGATTCGGCAGATCCATTCAAAGTCAGCGTCCAGACGAATCCATTCGTAAGACTCTGAATTCATTCGCTCTTCATCCTCTGCGCTCCATTCGGTGATTCTCCAGTCGGCGACATCTTCTTCTCCCTGCAGAACATCACCTAGGCAGTACACCAGGGCTTCGTTCTCCTCATCTCCACCTTCAGTAGCTGCCTTGGCGCTGGCTCGGGCTCGCTGCTTCTTGCTCCTCTTGAGACGCTTGTATTTGGTGTTATAGGGGATATCGAAGTTGGTGCTAGCATCCTTAATCTCAACGATGTGTTCATAAGGCGTACCATCAGCCTCGTGAATTCTAATAGTCATCGGACCAGTGAAGACTGGTTGTGGTGGAGCTGCATAGACAGTCTGGAAATCCTCGCGAGCATCTCGCATAAAAGCGTCAACATCAAGTTCTCGATCTGTCGTGGTGGTGCCTTGGTCCTGCTTGATAAGCATTTCCACCACCAACTTCTTCTTGTTGAACCGTTGAAATGCTTGGAATCTGGGGCAACCTGCACCTTTCACCCATTGGCTGAAGAAGTCCTCGATTTTCATATGAGCAAACCGCTCCGCCGTCTTCTGAAATAGGTCTGTGGAGAGGGCGTTGTTGACCAGATCACCGGTTCGAGCTCTGGTAAGGATCTTGGCCAAAATCGCTGGCATTTTGGATGTGCCCTGGATTTTTGCAATGCGCCGGTCTAGAATGAACAGCACAACAGGCGCTTTAATGGTCAGAAATTCGTACTCTGCCGGGTCCACGTGCATCAGAGCTCCCATCTCGTAAATTGAGGGTCGTTCATGGTCTAGGTCGTACACTCGATCAGCTTGTTGCTTCATATAGTAGCGATACTCGTTGTTGCCGCACAAATCTCTCATGAACAGACCGGCGATGAAGTAAGCTCCACCAATGATGATCCAATTGTCCCGTGGATCTTCTGCGATGATGTTGATGCCGATCCATTGACAAACGATAGCATAGACCAACTGCCAAGTTACCTCCTGAGCTCGATCTATGACCTCTTCCGGATAGAGCAGCCTCGTACTGCACATCGACACACCAGCAAAGACTGATAAATCCATGGGGATGTCTTCAACGAAGCACATCGAGTATGATTTGAAGGGACAGGATATGTACTTGTGGACCACAAAGTCCATGGCTTTTGTCAGTGGTAGACACGTGTTTTTCGTCTCCTCGGCGCGACCAGGTAAGCAGTATGCCAGCATCTCCACAGCATTACGCCCGAGCTCTTCCGCTTCCTGCGCATCCCGAAGCTCGCCGAGATTGACTTTCTCGAAAGGTCCGACAGCAAAGCCGATCTGCTGGGGAGCCAGCTGCTCCGACACGGAGAAAGAAACCGACTTTTGAGTGTCGTCGACTTTGTCCACAATCTCATCCGTAAGTTCACCTGAGCAGACAACGATCATCTCCTTGCTCTCATAACTCTGACGAGAGTCTTTCGAAGATGGATCAAGATTCAGTTGTGAAAGATCTAGCGACAGGGCTTGATTGAGAGCATCGCCTACCGTACGTGGACACTTGATTGAAATATCCCATGTGCATCGACTGCTGATGAGATCCACGCATGGAAATAACGACGAAGCACCCCCACGACCAAGCTTTGACCGAGTGTACGCGTGCGGCCATCGCCCACCGCCTCGCTTACCGGCAACGAACTGGAGATTTTCTCGAGCATGCCGAGTTTCGAATTCGATGACCACGGTCAGTGGCGTAAACTTGGCAACAGTGGTATCTGACAGTGCCTGTGTAGCCTCGGCCGCAGACTGACCTGCGATCGCAGGCTCTTGAATTTTGATCGAGCCCGCAGCCTGCGTATGGACCTCTGCCACTTCAGTCGGTACAATCTTCACCTTTCTTGGTATGCTGATAACAATGTCCGGCTCTGGATCAGATCCTGTAGAGCGTTCCAGTTTCTGGGACAACAGATGGTGCTGATGTACTGTGCTCCTAGAGTGAAGGGTAAGTTGTCCACAGGGATCATCGTAGCGTACGGAAGGTGGCGGTATATCGTTCACCAGAACCTTCTTAATGGCACATATCCGCCCATGAAGTCGGATTTCTTTAAGATCTGATGATTCGGGATAAATGGTAATCTCTGTTCTGCCAGTAATCTGTTGGCTGAAATTGACATCGAGATCGACTTTCTGATGGGCGACTATGAATGAAGGAGCAGGAGCCGCTGCGATCGGCTGCTGAATCTCTAAAGGCTCCATCTAAGAGCGTAGGGCTGGTTGTGGCGCTCGAAGCTTTAACAGGACCATGGTCGTCAAGCCTTCAGCTGCGTTCTCGGTAGCAACATTGGCCGCTTGACAGCAGGATTCCCCCTTCCGCGTTTGACTAGGGGATGTGTTTGATGAACGGGGTGAGGTTGTGATGAGTAAAGAGTCAAGTCGTGGACAACGCGAAGGCACGTGTGGAATTGACTGCTTGGGAAATAGTGGCAGCAACTGGTAAAAGCAGCAAGACTTGGCGTCAACAACCAACCAAAACCTGAAGCAGACTATGCAACCAATCAACTCTTTCTTCCTCACATTTCCTTCTTGTTAACTACTTCAAGCTTGCCGTTTCCCCCTCTCTCACATTCAAGGGGCTTTGAGAAGGAGATATTCGAGACTCAACCGGCCTCATAACATCTCACCATGCTATGCATATAAACAGTCGTCGGCTTCTTCATCAGTACTCGGTCCTGGTTTCCTGTTCTTGTGGCTTGCTCCGTGTGGCAACATAGACGCGTACATCGGCATATTTCGTTGACGATATAAGAACGATGGCAGGCTCAGGTAGGATTACAGCAGGCTCAACTGCTTCCAGCATGGGCTCACATAATCGTGTCGCAGCCGACCCATTATCCGACGAGGCCATGGCCCACCTGAAAAGCTACAAATATTCGAGTGTGGACAAATCTCTCATTTCCAACCATATTCTGCGGCACTATGTAAATCATCCCTTCAATCCAACACGGCCCATACGCGACTAATTCACTTTTCCCATCACAGTGGAATGCCTCAGTCAAATTGTTACCCATGTGGCTAGCTCCCAACATGGTGACCCTGCTTGGATTCTTCTGCATCTTGATCAATGTCCTGTTCATCCAGATCTATATCCCAGACCTGATCGGACCAGGCCCAACGTGGGTCTACTATAGTTTTGCAGCTGGTCTGTGGATGTGAGTTGCTGTCCACCTTAACCAGAAATGAGTCATTCAAGCTGATCCTCTGCTAAAGGTATTCCACCATGGACAACATCGATGGCAAACAAGCTCGACGAACCGGCACCTCAAGCGGTCTCGGCGAGCTGTTCGACCATGGCATTGACTCGCTCAATTGCACGCTAGGGAGCCTTTGCGAGACGGCCGCCATGGGCCTCGGACCCAGCAAGACTGGCGCTTTCACAGCCCTCGTGCCGTGCTTGCCGATGTTCTTCTCAACCTGGGAGACATACCATACCCACACCCTATACCTGGGTGCTTTCAACGGTCCAACTGAAGGCCTCATCCTGGCGTGCTCAGCCATGGCTGTATCAGGCTACCTTGGCCCTCAAATCTGGTCGTATCGAATTGCCGACTATGTCACTATACCTAAGGACCTCCCGATCCCTCTTGAAATTCCTGCGGACCTCACATTCCGTGACCTCTGGGTCCCCATAATCCTCACGACGTTCTTTACCGCTCATCTGCCGGCCTGCATCTACCATGTCGTCAAGGCCCGTCGCCGCGACAATCTGCCGATCGCGCCCGTCTTCCTAGAATGGTTGCCCATGGTCCTCTTCACGAGCAGTTGCTGCGCCTGGCTGGCATCGCCACACTCGATACTCCTCGCCGAGAACCACCTTCTGATCTTCTGCCTGACTTTATCATTTGTTTTCGGCCGACTCACGACCAAGATCATTCTGCACCATTTGACCCGCCGACCGTTTCCGTACTGGACATCCTCGTTGGCGCCCCTGATTGGCGGCGCGGTGATGGCATGGCTGCCACTCTTCGGCTTCCAGCGTGTGTCTCCTGTGGTAGAGCGCTGGTACATCTATGGTTATTTTGTGTACGCTATGGTCCTGTACTTTGCATGGGCGGTTCGTGTGATAAACCGGATTTGTGCCGTGCTAGACATCAACTGCTTGACCATCAAGAAGAGGAAGATCGACCTAAAAGAGGCCAAGGGCTTCTCCAACGAACTGAAGAGTACAGCGAATGGCGACGTTCGCAGCACGAAGAAAGAACTGTGATGCGCTCGAGACACGCGACTGTACCGCATCCCAGACGGAGTCCAGAGTTAGACTACACCAACATGTACAGGACTTGGATAGAGAAGGGTGTCAACGTCTAAGAAAGCAGATGAGCTTGAAGAGCACGTTACTGCATTCAAGAACCCAAAAAGCCAGTCAAAACCACAAAATATAGAGCCAAAGACGAGTTGTAGCGTTCTATTCCGGTTGCTGAGCCTTATGTTTCTCCTGCAAACTCTTAACATCAAACCCAATCAATTCGGCTTTCTTGACAATCGCCCTCGCCTTCCCCTCGACAGGAGCATCAATCATCTTCCCATCCATAGCCCACGCTCCTTTGCCCAATTCCTCGGCGCGTTTCTGCGCAATGGTAATTCTGACCGCCCACTCGACCTCCTTGTCACTCGGGCTGTATATCTTCTGCACAGTCTCCACCTGACTAGGATGAATGCACTGCTTCCCATTATATCCCATCCCCTTCCCTTCCTCGCACTCACGTTGCAGCGCCTCGTGATCCGCCTCGCTCTTGAACGCTGTGGCAACCAGATCGATCGTGCTGGGCAGATTATACGCCCTTGCCGCCGTGGCAATCGCCTGCCTCGCGTACAGAAACTCCGTCAGACTCGGTGTTCTCGTGGCATTCATGTCCAGCGCGTAGTCCTCCGCAGCAAAGACCAGACCTTGCAACAGGTGCGGTGCCGCACGGCATATTTCGTTCAAGTTGAGCAGCGACTTTGCGCTCTCAATCAAGGCTAGGATGCTGATCGGTGTATCACCAAACTCTTTACTCCGTGAATGGGTCAGCACATCGCTTATAAACGTCAAGTCGCTTGCGCTCTCGACTTTTGGTACGACCAGCGTGGTCAAGTTAGGAGACTTGACTACTTCTTCAAGATCTGCTAACGCGAGGCCAGAGCCGACGCTGTTGATACGTACTGCGCGTTCTTTTACGCTCTCGGGCAGGGACTGGTCAAGTGCTTTGCGGACGAGGGTGCGGGCTTCGGCTTTGCGGCCTGGCGTGACGCTGTCTTCGAGGTCGTAGGCTATGCAATCGGCGGTCATGGTTCGGGATTTGTCAAGGAAGCGCTGTGACGAGCCCGGGACTGGGTGCACACAAGAGAGTCAGCTTGTTTCTCTCTGAAGGACTAGCGCAAGGTTACCATAGAGCATTGCTCTTCGTAGGACGTTCTTTGCAGCCATGACGGGCACGATGCGTAAGTGTCGCAGTTTACAGCGGCAAGAGTAGATGAGGCACAAAGTCCTCCACGGCGCCAACTACTCGCAGAAAAGCATGGGGACGAGCGGCAGCATGCTCTGTTATAGGTATGCAGGCGTGGAATTCCAAGCTATGTTTCTCATTCAACTGCCATCATCTCGGAACATGGCACAATGCGGGGAAAGCAGGACCGAATATCGGCCTTCAAGAGTGAAATGCGGAGAAGAAGACTCAGCACTGACATCAAGCGAGCGGAATAACACGAGCCTGGTATGGATGAATTCGCTGTTAACCGTGATACTGTTTCGTTCGAGTAGCCTTTTCGTCAAGAATCGTGCAGCCAAGTGTAATCAGCCCCAGACGTTCTAATGCTGTTTTAGAAAGCTCAGGTCGTAAGGCAAAGCAGCCCAACTATGTACATTCCTGCCCGAAACTGTCACATTGTGCTCTGCATGTCCAAACTCTTCATCAGTTGAACGCCAATCTTCATGTCTTTCGTTGCTCATCGTAGAAGAACAGTTCGCGAGAAATCTACTGAATGCTGCCGAATGAAGGATCCCTGACACTTCCACCCGCATCTCCCAAGCCAGCCACTGGTCGGTTGTATGACCAACCTGCGAACTGCTGCTGCATAGTCTGAGATAGGAGTGGGCCTTCGACGTACGAGTCCTTGGGTACTTCGGAGGTGAATTCCTTGTCGAAGTTGGCAGTGTCTCTGGCGTCAACCTAGACAGACTGTTAACAGTGGGACCTGAAAGATTGATTGTTCATAACTTACCACACTGGGTTTGAAGCTTGGCTCATACTTCCGCTGCAAAAGCTTTCTCCAGTCGATGCCGGCAAAGAAATGATGAGCTTTAATCTCTGCCGCACCACCAGCACCTAGACGACGCTCCGGGTTGCGATCAAGCAATCTCTGAAGAAGATCCTTGGCTGCTGCGGGAACGATCTCTGGACCTGGGAAGTGCAGAGGCTCCTGAAGAATCTTTCGGTACATCTCGTTCGTGTTTTCGTCGTAGAAAGGTGGCAATCCCGTCAACATTTCGTACAGGAGAACACCAAGTGTCCACCAGTCGACTGTCTTGGTGTAGCCGTGTCCAAGCAAGAGTTCAGGAGCCAGATATTCTGGTGTACCACAGAAGGTATTGGTGCGATCTTCATCCTTCATGTCCAACTTGCAAAGACCGAAGTCACAAAGTGCAATGTGACCAGTGTAGTCCAAAAGAATGTTCTCCGGCTTGAGATCTCGGTAAATAACCTTGAAACCATGCAGACATTCTAAAGCGCACAACAACTCAGCCGTGTAGAATCTGGAACGGTTGATGTCGAAGCGTTGTTCTTTCTGGAGATGGTGGAACAGTTCTCCGCCGTTGACGAACGCCAACACAAAGTAGAGCTTGTCGGGTGACTGGAAGGAGAATTTGAGTGGGGTGATGAAGGGGTTGTTGATCTGTGCGAGTACAGATCTCTCGGCAAGGGTATGCGCGACTTCAGAGCGGGAGATGATGTGTGCTTTCCGAATCGTCTTGAGAGCGTAGATTCGACCGGTGTCCTTCTTCATGACCTGCATGACTTTGCCAAAACTACCGCGACCGACAACTTTGAGCAGCTCGAAATCGTCGATCTTCAAGCTGCCCTGACGATTCTCCACATAATTCACGCCGACTCTGATGGAACCAGTACCGAACTGAATGTCCAGCCAATCAGCACCGAGCTGACCTGCCTGCTTTTCTTGGGATGCGAATGCCGCCTCGGCTTTCTCGTTCTCCTTCTTGCTCTTCTTTGGGTCTGGGGTGAAATGTTTGGCTTCCTCAAATCTAGGGGTCACTCTCGCGCCTCCAAGGAAGATATCTTCACTTCTGCCGACACCGGGTCGAGCAGCTGGATTTCTGAGGTATAATTGAACGCTGAGTTCACACACTCTGGAAACGTCAAACTTGAAGGAAGTGTTATCCCCAGCCCACAGCGGGTTCTCCGGCGTTCCAGACACAGCATCAACGAAGACCTGGAGTTTGTCGAAGTCGAGCAAAGCATATGGTAGATATTTGCTGTTGTATCTTCCGTGTATGGTCGGCGCAGCATTGATGCCACCGTGGGTAGAGACAGGTCTGGTAGAGGGAGCGTATGATCCTGCCAGTGATCCTGCTGAGTATGATGAACTGGGTCTTACGGACCCTGACTGGCCAGACCCGTAGTAGTTGTTGAAGACAGACTGGTATTGTTGTGGCAATGAGAAGCCCTTGCCTTCGTGCAGTGTGACTATCAAGATACCAGGTTTCGTGGTTTGGACAGGAGGTGAGGTGAGCGCTTCGGACGCAGCTGATCATGGTCAGTAATAATAGAGACAGACATCGTCACGAAGACATACCAATGCCATTGTTTGTGCTAGAGGTCGAGGTTGTGCTCTCAGTGGTGGGGGTTGGCACCAGGTTGGCAGATTCATGAGTAGAACTAGAGTCGTCGCCTTTCACAGTAGATGTTGATGTCGACCGACCAAAGCCACTCGTCAACGGCGCGAGGTGAGTCTCCTTCAGTTCTGCGTATTATCAGCGCCAGTTCATACCCCACGTTCGTCACAGCCAACATACTCTTTGTCAATTTCCACGACATCTTGTACTATCTCGTCTCGTCGGACGACAGACACTAACAGCCAGCTGCCAGCTGAAGAGTCTCGGTCTAGGAAGACGTTCAAGTTGGATAGCTATTGCAGGCAACTGAGTCCTGGCCTTCTAAGCGGATGCGGATCTGAACGGCGGGGAAGGACGGTGAAAAAAGAGGTAAGGAGTGACAGGGTCGATGAGAAGCAGATGATCGGTTGAATACTGAGGCAGTGTACAGGAAATCTGACGAGGATCTTGCTTCTGCTCACGTCTTCAGCCTGCAAGGAAAAGGACGGCAGGGGAGTGTTTGTTGCAGCGGGACAACCGAGTTGTGAAACGGAGTCGGATCAATCATCACAGCCACAATTCGGCTAAACTCCGGGAAAACCGGGGGTGGCAAGTGCACCTAATCTCAACGACGGGATGGCAGCCTCACGGCGTGGACAACCATTATCAACACCAAATCCACAACAGAGTCCCTCAAGGCCAGTGCGGACCACTCGAAAACCGGTCTCTTACACCTTCGACGACTCTGAGTCCGAGTCATCGAAGTCTGTGTCTCCTCCTGCCCCTCTCAGCCCCAAGGACCCACCGGCTGAAAACGACTCTGGGGACGCGCCGATACCCCATTCCTACGCGCAATATCTCTCCTCCGACTCAGAAGTAGCGGAAGATGCTCGAATTGAAAGAAGTATGGGTGTCATAAGGAAGAATGCAGCCTCGCGGGGAGGGGATGGTGGCACGAAATATCATTGCGATGTCTGCTCCATCGATATCACCTCGACTGTCCGCATATCCTGCGCAAATTCAGCCTGTCGCGAATACGATCTCTGTGTCCCATGTTTCGCCCGCGGAGAATCATCCAAAACCCACGACCCGCGTAACCATGAATTCCACGTCGTCGAACAGAACTCAATCCCCATCTATACCGAAGATTGGGGCGCCGATGAAGAGTTACTTTTACTAGAAGGCTCGGAGAGATATGGATTGGGATCCTGGGCCGATGTGGCGGAGCATATTGGAGGTTATCGGGAGAAAGACGAGGTTCGCGACCACTACATTGATACATACATCAACAGTTCCAAATTTCCATTACCGGAGTTAGCCGACCCAGCAGATACAGACCTATTTGAACGGATTCCGAAAGAAGATTTTCAGGCTCGCAAAAAGCGGCGCATCGAAGAGCGCAAAGAAGAAGCCAAGTCTGCGCCTCCAGCAACCCCTAAGCAGAAACCCACAGCCTCTGTTCCAGCATGCCATGAGGTTCAGGGATTCATGCCTGGTCGTCTGGAATTCGAAACAGAGTTCGCCAATGACGCCGAGGAAGCCGTTCAACACATGGCCTTTGAGCCTGGTGACGGGCTTGACCCAGTCACTGGAGAGATGGATGAAGAAACCACCCTGAAGATGACAGTGTTCGACATCTACAATTCTCGATTGAAGGCTCGAACAGAACGCAAACGAATTATATTCGAACACAATCTTCTCGAATACAAGAAGAACCAACTTCTTGACAAGAAACGGACAAAAGAGGAAAAGGATCTTATGCACAAGGCCAAACCATTCGCTAGAATGATGAACCATGAAGACTTCGAGGCTTTCAACCGAGATCTTCTCTTGGAGCACAATCTACGCATTGCCATAGCGCAATTACAAGAATGGAAGCAGATGGGTATTAGCGACCTGAAAGGTGGCGAAAAGTACGAGGCCGACAAGCAAGCTCGAGTACAGCGAAACCAGCCTCAAGGTCAATTTGATCGCATGCCACAGATCCCTAAGAAGGGCGCTCAGATTCAGCAACCCGATCTGCCAACAGAAGCATCCAAATTGACGACACCAGAATTGCCGCTACGCTTTCAACGCAAGCCAAAGACCGTCCCAGTATTCACCGACACTCAGCCCGCTGTTGAGAACGACTTCGACAAGCTTTTCGCCGAGGCGAATGGCCCAGAACCCTCCGGACCCAAAGCCAAGGTCCGCTATGTCGTACAACCTTTAAACGGAATCACGCCATGGCGGCTTGAGGATGACAAGGTCCTAGCAGCAGACTTGCAGCTTCTTAGCGAAGAAGAGATCCAGCTCTGTAATGCTCTGCACATCAGGCCAAAGCCATACTTGGCTCTCAAAGAAGGCTTGCTGAAGGAAGCCATGAAACAAGGTGGTCATATGAAGAAGAAAGAGGCTCGAGGAGTCTGCAGGGTAAGTGGCGATGAAGAGTTCTGATCTCAAGAATACAGGCTAACTTAAGTGTCCAGATTGATGTCAATAAAGCTAACCGCATATTCGACTTCATGATCCACAGCGGATGGATTGCGAAGGCGTGAGGGGACGATGTTATGCTTGATTGACGACTATGGTATCAGTATCTACATCGAAAGAGCAGGCCACGAGCTTAGCTGAGGCCAGCAGTGTCTTCCTTAATCACCCGTTCTGAGTACGGTTCAACGACAACTTGCAGCATCGTGTGCTGTGAATGAATTGTCATGGAGTACAAACAGTTGGGCTTATGAGACTTGCTCGAACATGTATCGCTAACCGCAACGAGCACCACATCTCAGGTCACCCATTGGGGAAGCTCATTGCAGTATTGCACGTGATTATGTCATGTCACTGCCGAGCCGAGACCAGGCCAGGTGGAAAGGACAACCACCTACGTCATCACGAGGCTGCGACTGCAAGAGCATCGTGGTCTGTCAGTCTTGTGCGATATGAAACATGTTCAACTGTGCTAAAGCCTGAAAGGTTGACCTGGACAGAGGATATGACTTGGATGCGCTCCGTGCTTCGTTGGATGAACCTGGTGATGGGCGCCAACTACGTAGTTGCAGCAAAAATAAAGTCCACAGGTGTGTGCATGAGAGCGGCACGTTGCTGTGGCTGCTGCCGAACCGCCTCCGCACTCCACCATCAACTTCTATCTTTCACTCTCACTCAACCTCCTCGTGCCTGCTTCATCCGTGCTCGCTATCTGTACTTTCTATTATATGTGCGGTGCTTTGACCTGAATGATGTAGATGAATCATCAGCAGCCACACAGGTTCGATCAGGTTCGAGAGACACAGGCCAATTAGAGATCCCAAACCTGTCTGTGCAATTTCCCAAGATTTCAAATGCCGTCATCCAAACACTGCTCGACGCGCTTGAGACACCACAACATTCCAAAGACATCAGGGTCCAAGACTTTGAAGACAAGGAAAATGAGCCCGATGGCGCGTCCTCCACTGGAGAAACACGCTTGTGGCGTCATCTGAGTGGTGGTAGGATCAACAAGGCTGGTCGATCCTATCTTAGCCTCGTGCTCTTGCCCTCCAATGCTACGTCACACGACAAGGAAACAGGATTCAGTGCACAGTGCACACCACGAAGCGACATGAACATGAAACCTATATTTGATGCTGCATCTTCCCTCAAGGTAGGAGAATTTCATACTCAACTTCCAGCTTCAGAACAATATCCATCAAATCACATACCCTACCTATAACTATACATACTACCAAGCCAATCGATCACAATGGGTCTTTTCGGTCACAAGAGCGAGCCAACTCCAGCACAAGCTGCCCCTTCTCGACACTCGACCTCGTCAGAAGGTAGCCGACTTTCCTCCGGCTCGCGTAGGTCCGGTGGATTCTTACACCGCAACCAAGAAGACCCATCCATCAGCGATGCTCGTCAACGCGTTGCCTCTGCGGAAGCCGCCGAGCGCGAAGCCGATCGTGCCTTGGTTCAAGCTCGTACTGCCGTGAGAGATGCCAGAGAACACATCAAGCGTATCGAGATGGAGGCCGCTGAAGAGTATGTTATCCTCCCCAATAATACAAAGGATAATGGCTAACATGTCATAGGGCTCGTCTTGCGAAAATTAAGCAGCAGAATGCCAGAGATATCTCAAAGAGAGCCAAGCCTCTCGGACGACACGACCACTACTAGATGATACCCCTCTCGAATCGAGAATGGCAGGCGATTACAGCGTTGTGTGATGAGCGTTGATGGCCAACAGCGTGTACAAATATTTCCCCTTGTTGCGTCTGTATAACTATATCATTGTATTTAGCGAGTCTTTGTTACAGGGAATGATGAGATGTCATGATGTTACTACTCATAACCATGCCTGAATTTCCAAAGATATGTTTCTACGAAAGAACGTATAACATGCCGAACATTTTTCGTCAAAACTCGAGATCGTAAGCCAGCGTATCTGTGCAAAGGCTCATCCTGAACTCGTGAGTTCTGCCCATAGAGTTAGTACTGCCCCAGATCATTCATCTCGATCTCTCTGCTCGCTAACGTGAATGAAAGCTCAAAACCTACTCTAAATGCACAGGGTGTTCAGCAAACACCTTGATCGTCTCCGCCTTATCAAAAACCGCGACCAGACCAAAGTCGAATCCCTGGGATCGATGTGCGGTGCTGGGATGCGGTTTGTTGAGCTCGACGCTTTGCAGCCCCGGGATCTTGCCGACCATGTTCGCGGCACTGGCTTTCAACTTCTCGATTTCAGCCTCGCCGACGTGAGGCTTGAACTTCATGAGAACTGGTCATCGTTAGAAGAGTCGGGTCAACAGCGTATGGGGAGAGTAGAGCAAGGGCTCGGCGCTGTGTGACACAGAGCACATAGCGGCTATGCGTACCGATGTGATATACCGGCATCGTCGCTGCTACGCAGAAAACCAGACGCTCCAGGGGATATAGTCAATGTCGGAAGTCTCGGTACTCCCTCTTATTGTGAACGTGGATATTACCACCCAATATTCCTTGTACGGTACGACAACCTTGGAAGAGAAGTACGGTTGGACTGAGTCAAAGCGGAAAGATCCCGAACCCGTTCTCGGTACGGCCCCTGGAGACTCCCTCGCTCCGATAGACTCATTGGGGAACAAAAGTCGTGCGGCTATCTGAGCTCCGGGGGTTAGTTAGTGCCCTTGGTCTAGCCCCCAGCGAAGACATCTTCAGACCATCCATCTGGTATGCTGAATGGGGAAGTGGGCTGAGAAGGTCGTTACCTGAAGATTGCAACACGACGCAGGGTTTTTTTCTCATCAAGCCTTCACACTTACTTACCGCACTCGATAAGCCATGGAAGAAAGACCAGCCAAGACCTTGTGGACGAATATCAACCGCAATCACTTACCCGGATGGCATTTTGCTTGAAAGGCTGGCGTTGTGTCATGTGCAGCCGCATTCTTCTGCCAGAAAACCTGACTGAGTCAATAATACCTCAATCGGGCTGAGGAATGGGCAACCTACACTACGAGCGTGATGGCGATAACGACACAGGCCCTTTAGCAGTGTGGAACATGACTGCGTATGCTCGCCATGGGACGAAAACAGCCCCGAGTCAGCCTGACGACTTTCTGGCGTGCTGGCCATTGATATTGCTCAAAACATCACATGCACTACACACTATCAACGGTCCAATTCACGCTCGTATACGCCAGACCGGTCACCACCATATTGGACAGCCACTGAAGCGCCACGGAGCTGCTCATTGGTCCTCCATGAAAGTGGTGGGCGCCGGTGAGGCTGAGACTCTGCTTTCCTGCATTCTCAAGTATTTTGGCGCATGTGAGCCAATCACACGAATGGTCTAGCGAATGCGTACCAATTCCTCTGTGGTGCGCAATTGTGTAAATTACTGTAGAGGAGGCCAGCCTGATTATGTCTCTTACTGCCCTCAAAGATGTTGAAAAAAAGCCGAAGGATCGTGGTCAGCCCGTGATGGTCTGATACCGACATTACGGCCTTACTTCTTGACATTGCTCGACACTCAGTACACAACTCTTCACCTGGAAGTTCCGCAACAACAGCATACATCAAATACCGGCGGCATGGCGGAATTCCTGAGCGTGGAACTGATGATAATGATAGCCAAGGATGTTTTCCTGGTTACAAGATGGACGTACAACACTATCCGTACAGCTTCAAAATACGATGCAGAGATTGCCGCGCTGAGGGAGAAGTTTCATTCACAACTGGTGTTCATCCGAGCTTTTGCTCAGATATTCCTCTCAAATCTGCCCGCCAACTCGGAATTGTCTTGGTTGCCCGATCTAAGGCTGAAGTTTAAGGACCTTCAGAACCTCCTTGATGGGAGTCGACGACTTGCTCTCAAACATGATCCGACTTATCGCGAATTCAACGAGTCTTATACCAGAGCTCTCGAAGGTGGCACGGACTCGCTGCAGGCCCAGCTTCCTGCGGGCCAGGATCAGTGGCTAATCGAAGATGAAGCCGCAGCACCCACAGGCGCACTGGCTTCCTCGAGTAATACTTTGGTTCTCCCTACGGCCAGCAACACGAAACATCAGCCAAGTGGTCAGAAGAAGGAGGTTTTCAAGCTGGGCAACTGGAAAGCGAGCTACAAAGCCAAATTGACGGCGTTCAAATTTGCAGCCTTTGAAAAACCGAAACTTGAAGCCATGTTGAAGCAGATGCAACAGATCACTGGGGATATGAAGCAGGGGGTCCCGTATATGATGATTGACCAACCTGTGCTCTCTAAGCATGGGACCCAAGAAAGATGGTGGCAGATGCTCGACGAAGCCGGTAAATCGCCCGAGTTTCGTCGCGATGCAGAGGCGACCGGTGCCCTCAACTATGCTGGCATACAGCGGATAAAAGAGCTTGGCGAAGACGATACTACCCCTGAAGAACACCAGCAACAGCTTCGGAGCCTGCCCTTTTCGAAGGACACTCCTAGGCAGTTGTCTGATGTGACGTTGGAGCCGGAGTATTGCACCAGACTATCGGCTGGAAAGAGGAAGGACCACGATGGTGCCAGCCAGGATGTCTTGATTGAGTACAAAGGCTGGTCCGGTGGTGATAGAGACTTCAGCGCTCAACGCCGGAAGGACATTGAAAGCCTGGTCCATGTCCTCGCCTTCGCTCGGCCTCCATTCTATCCTAACCTTCTCAGCCTACGCGGCTACGTCGTACAGGAAGAAGATAAGAGAATTGCATTTGTCTTCGACTTCCCTCCAGACAGCCTTTACCAACAGCCACAGTCGTTGAACAGCATAATCGAGTCCGAGCCTCCTATGAAAGACGCTTCAAGCCTCAAAAATCGCTCCAAAATCGCACTTGAGCTCGCGAAGTCCTTGGCTGCTCTGCACGCCGCCGGATGGGTGCACCAAAGCGTGTGCAGTGAATCAGTCGTTATTTTCACTGACTCCGAGTCCAAGGTTGCTTACGACAAGCCATATCTTGTGAACTTTGAATTCTCTCGAACTGCCGGAGGCTGGACCAATCACGCATCTGCTGCCGCTACACATCTCAGACGTTATCAACATCCTGAGCGTTCGCCGGACGACCCTGCTAAGTACGAGAGGAAGCACGACATGTTCTCGCTCGGGGTCGTCCTGTTAGAGATCGGCCTCTGGAAGACAGCCGAGACAATGTGCCAGCTAATGGGCGTGGCGGTAGGTAATCAAATTTTGGCGAAGGATGCATATCTCGATCTCGCCGGAGACGAACTTGGACAGGCCATGGGTGACGACTACAGAGATGCTGTTGTATCATTGCTGTCTGCTAGCGAAGGCAATATCGACAAGATCACAAACGTGATTAAGGCGTGTCCGAAGTTTGACCCATGAATCCCATCAGCCAAGCAGACAGTGTGCTGATTGATGAATATGGTTGCTAGGTCATTTTCGAGAATGGTCACTTTCAATGTATATACTATAATCTTAGCATAGGCGTCAATGGGAGTAAACTAGGTTTGTGATTCTCTGTACCAGATTCTTGACTTGGGAAAGAATCATGTGAGTAGCCGCCGCTTACTAACAACGCTCTCGGTCAGGTGCTCGATTACTTCGTAGATGAGACGATCCTAAGTGACCCCGTGAGGGTCATAATCATGCAGGTGGGATCGGGTGTCAGCAAACATCTGAGACTGCCCACCACGGCGCTTGGCTTCATGGCGCAACACCCAAATCGCCCGACGAGTGGGTGGAGCCTGCCCAGGGTAGAACAGGATATCCAAGCCATGAGATTCCTCGCCTTCGAAAGCACGAACACATGATACCCATTTGGCAAGATGCCTTTGAGTGAGAAAGTGTCTTACATTCCACAGCCCAGAAAAGGCTTGTGGTTGACAATGGGCAACAGGGTGGTCCCATTGGGGGTTGCCTTGCACAACCTGACCAGGCCGGGTTACGAGGCACAGCCGCACCTCAGCCCACACATCCTAACGTGCCGCCTCGAAAGGCAACGACATGCGCCAGAGCACAAGTGGTATGGAGGCTGTGTCTAACGCTTCTTGTCACTCAATGTAACATTATTCATACTGTTGCTTTCACTCAGCTGCAGTGAGTGACCAACTTGTTCACAAACGAAAGGATTTTGAATGTCTTGCAATAACCAAGACAAAGCCCGCCAGCTTTGGGCTGATTGTTTGACCTCCAGATCACTTGCTCAGCTCATTGCTGAGGTCGTTCTGCTGTTCAAGGAGGATTGGCAACCCAGGACGAGCCTACACAAGGGCTTCCAGCAGGAGGTTAAGGCTATAGAAAGAGTCTGGCTGTCTCTCCTGGACAGCCTGACCGATCCTGATATACAGATGCGATCTCAAATGGTCAGGCTGAGGCGATGCTACGATGACTATGCCGCAATATCAGTCATAGACGATCCAACGAAGATCGTGCCGCAGCAGCAAATTCCTGGCGAAAAGGCAGAGGGTACCGCACGACCACATTGCCCAAAGGGCATTATTTCTACTTATATTGACAGTGCTGACAACGTCCTTTGGTCGGCATCCAAGCTGGAAAGTGTACTTGAGAAGAGTCGGCTGCACACATCGAGGCTGCTCAGCTGCACGCCCATCGCTGTCTTGACCAACCACCATTTCATCTCTCACAGTGCGGACACCGACGCCAAACTGGACGGCGAGATGGACGACCCTAATTCCGACGAAGACCCCATTTCTCCAGTACCTTGTGGTCAAGTGCATAGACTCTATGAAAATGACTTAGGGCACGTCCAACCTCACAAGACGCTCCAAATGACAACCTTGTTCAGAAATGGCCGTCTCTTCAACGTTCTTCTCGAGCAGAAGGATCATGACTGCAGCGCCGATGATACTTCGTGCAGCTTCGTCCACAAAGAACTGCTTAAGATGGCCAAAAGGTGGCAGCGACTAGGCCCTGCCAGTCACTCAGGAGTGTTAGCAATCCAAGGTTTAGTCAAACCCGAACATGAAACTGGACGATACGCCTTTGTCTATCATCTCCCTTTCTCCAATACGGTTGATACGACTTCAATCGTTTCTCTCCAAGACCTCATGGAAAAGGCGTCACCTACGGACATCTCATTGCGAGCTCGATTGCGGCTGGCTAAGCGGGCCTCCTCGGCTCTGGCTACTCTCCACGCTGGTGGCATCCTGCACAAGAACATAACGAGGAGATCAATGTTATTCTTCGATGATGGGCGTGGCTTGAGCCGTTGGGAATCTCCCTACCTCGTCAACTGCGACTTTTCCAGGCGCCTAGATGATGATACATCTTGTCATTTCAGTCACTGCCTGGAGCGAAATATTTCGCGACACCCTGCATGCCAGGGTGTGCCCAATGAAGCATTTACCGCCGATTATGATGTATACGCGCTTGGAGTACTTTTGCTTGAGATTGGGCTGTGGTGCGCAGCAATCGACATTTTCGCAGCACGGAACGAAGGCGTACCACCCACGAAGTCCACTTGTCCGGTCAAGATACAAAACAGGCTGAAATTGGCGGCAGCGATGAGTTTGCCAGAACTCATGGGCGCCGAATATGCAAGTATCGTGATGAAATGTTTGAGCGCTGGCGCTGACCATGTACGACGCCAAGGTGGCGATCCTGAAGAATCCGCAGCCTCGATATGTCAGGCCATGGAGGGAATTGGCGAGAGGAGCTTGAGGTGCACATTTACTGGTAGTGGGCTTGAAGAGATACTATTGTGATATCTAGGCTTCCAACCTTGTTGATACGAATGCATCCGTGGCATCTGTGATCTTTTGGACTTTTCAAATATACCGCAATCGCAGGCTGATAAGGCAACTCCATGCTTTGTACGTGAAATCAATACATCATAGCCTGAGAGGCTGTCTCCGTGAATGCAATATTCCAGGCCGTTCGAGTTGTGAGCAATGCTGTTTCTGAATTTCTGGATATCGCACAACTGGGACTTGAAATCCATAGAAAGACATATAGAAAGACTTTCTTTCCATGACCACTAGGTGCAAGCGATATTGAGCGATGGCTGGTTGGGGGGCCAAGTGGGTTGACGACTGGGGACCAATCCAAGCGTATCGCTGAAGTCGAACTTGACTTCTTGCACGCTCGCACGCTTCGCAAACTCCAAGCCCCTTCTGATGGGACCTTCAACAAAAGTGGGCTCTCCCTCGCCCACTTCCAGAACGAGCTCCTCGAAGAGGTCAAGCTCCATAGTTCTTAGTGGGGTCTCCACGAGTCCAGCAGGGTTTGCAGAGTCGGCAGGCAAAGCCGGAGTGCATGGACCATATTGCTCGCTTCGTCTGCTGTATTTTGCTTTTGGACTCTCCACTGGCGTTTGTCTCCAAAGTTCTCTTGCTCTCTTGGACGGATGGACAATGAAAGGCCTATCCGCATCTTTTATGGTTTTGAGAGCATCTGCGACGCGCCGGCTGGCGAATGGCGGGCGCTTGAGCTTCATGTCTGTCTGATCAACGCCTCTATCTGGTGTTTGAGTTGCCCAAGGACCGGCCGTATGAGCGAGATCTTCTTGGAGTCCTGCCTGCAGCTTTCGAGGTGTGGCCGTGACATCTTGCTTTGGGGGAGGAGGCATTCCATCTTCGTATCCAAGCGACGAGGCTGTCGACAATGCCGAGTCGTCGGTCGTGGCTTGAGAGAACTGGAAAGATGGCTCTGAAACCAGCGTGGACGGAGTAAGCGTGCGTCTGTGCTGGCTTATTTGAGGTTGTCGTTCAATGACAATCGATGGGATCTGAAGAGATGGCAGCTGACAATCTCGTGGGGTTTGGAGTTCAGCTTGTTCGTCGTGTAAGATGCTGGACCTAGTATTCTCTACCTTGTCGTGGAGGACCGGATGAGATCCTGAACAGCAGTATGCCTGACAAGCCATAGGAAGTGTGATGGCAGATGCCGAAGGTCGGTCCTCAGGTTTGGTCTGCATCATCTGGATGATGACATTCTTCAACGCGTCAAAATCGGCACGAGTACAGACTGGCTGGATTTTGTCGTATTGTAGACTTGGCAATAGCTTTTCGACAACGTAACGCTGCTTTGCAGGATGACGGAAGTATTTTGTCTCTTTGAAGCCTTCGCTCGTAATTACGCTCGGGTCCTTCCCGCAGAGCGTCACCAACAAATAGAGGAAGATAATGCCAAAGGAGAAGACGTCGACAGGAAAGCCTTTCGTGATTTGACTAGTTACTTGAAAGGGTGTCAGCGTATGAATTGCTAGCCTCTGTCATGTTGTACATACCTTCAGGAGCACTGTATCGTGTCACGCCAATCTTTTCATCATAGGTGTAGTGAGATTCCTCTGTCAATACTCGACTTTTGCTGTGGTCGATCAGGTATAGATGGTTGTCGTATATGATCAAATTGCTGGGTCTGATATCACAGTGCAGGATGTGGGCAACCTCATGAAGGTGCACCATAATACTTCGGACACAACCAAACCATCCTAACATGATCGTTTTGACAACTCGGTCTGGACTGCTGATGTCGTAGTGGTGTTGCAACCAATCCTCCAAATTTCTCTCACTACCTACTGGCCAGTAGTCGAAGCATGGAGGATTGTCGTCAGAATGATTCGCTCGCAAGGTAGGAAAATGGGAGTGAGGGAATTGTGTGAGATACTGCCATATTTCTGCTTCGTGTCGAATGACTTCCTCGGCCTCCGGACGGATTTCAGTGTCGTCCAGGGTCGAGCATTTCAGGCGTTTCCGCGCAAAAGGTTTCTCAAATTGGGGTTCCACCTTCACCACTTCGGTAAGATCCCCTTGACCAAGGTATTGTACGACAATTCCATGCTTCTGAATCTCGGAAAGAATTTTAGGGAGATCTTTGGGTTCATACTGCCCCACTTCCAGATGCCCATGCAAGACAGATGTGAAGTCGAGTACAGCTTGATAGAATTTTCCGATATCGAGCCACAGTCGGGGGAGCATTGCAGTTTGCATCTTCCAGGAGTAAATCGAGAAGACATGGCGATATTTTCGCAGAGCACGCCGCAGCAGACCGGCAATGGCACCACAGAGATGGAGAAGAAACATCGTAGTGACAGTAAGTCGTGTAGCTAAGCGGTGCTGAAAAGTGTAGCTCGTATCTGGCGCTCTAGGAGTCAGCGAAGTGTGCCTTGGGGACGTGGGTGACTTCATACCATCGTGCTGAGAGCATAGAAAGTAGGTGTGCGACGAGACCACGGCGACACAAGCGGTCAGAGGCCGGCACATCCAAGCCAGACGAGCGTTGAGGAGCGGGCAGAACCGGACCAGGACGTCTTTTCGGAGACATTGTATCTCGAAGTATCGTAAGGTTCGCAATGTGGTGAGAACAAGACAGGGAAACACTACGCACATCAGCCTAGGCCCACTGAGTTGTGGAACACGTACGAATGAGACAGGCCAAAACTTTGGACAAAGTAGTCGATTTGAAGTAAAGCAGGAGTAGAACAGCGTAGATGCGGGCACGTCCGTCGTCGCTGTAGAGGATGTAATGGGTGTAAGCATGGTAAAGTACGTCACATTGAGGGCGACCCTGGGAGGTTGGCAGCGCCCCTAGTGATATAGTCCACTTGCGTGCCATCTCTCAGAACAAACATAAGATTTCAGAGCATGTCGTGAAGTCGTTGCAAGAATGATTGTGAAAAGCAACGCCTGAGGAAGAGAGTAGATAAGAACGCAGCCATTCCAAGGAGAGGGGCGCAGGAAGATGCTAGAGGACGTTTTCACCACGCCTAAACTTGGTCTCAGAGCACCACAAGTGAACTCGAGCATGCAGAGTAGCTCGTACAGCCACAATGACAAGAAATGCATGGCGCAAGGTTGGCGGCCCCTCCATCACGATGGAAGCCATCGACTCCATCTTTACAGCCTTATGTGTCGAAAGGTGGAGGGAGGTCCAGGAAAGACTCGCAGCACCTTCTGTGAAGCAGTTGACGAAGGGTGAAGCGAACACATAACGGGGACCTACCTGTTATTAACCTCTTGCACGAACGACCGAAAAGCAAGTCCATGGTCACCTCCATTGAGGGAAGAGAGAATGACGTCAAGGCCGTCAATTTGAGGGGCCAGCCTCACTCAAGGGCGAGCTCCCCAAGTCGCAAGTTTGAGCATAGGATTCAAGTTGTTGCGGTAGTCAATGTGTTTCTTTAAGAACCGTCGGAGTGTTGATGGTAATTGCGGAGCAACTTTGGAAGTACGGTAGCCTCCTGACAAATACCCTTTACCGACCTGCAGATTCAGCACGCACACAGAAGGCGCATACCTCTCCGATGATCTGATCTTGTGCTTGACGAGTCAATTCACAAAGCCACCGCTTGCGTTGTGGTGCCATCGGAAAAGCACACTTCTTGTGCCGTAAACGAGGAACACCTAAGAAAAAGAGGAAGCATACAACATTGTGATACCTTCACATACGCTGGTGAAGGATGTGTGTCGAGATATCAAGGCTGAAGGTTCCCCGCGGGCCGGCACATAGGATGGCAGCTGGCACAACAGCACATCGCCAGGAATACCCACAGAAAGTCCGGCTGGAGGGTCTTCGCAGTATGTCTGAGATGGAAGAGCATGCTTGATTTGCTCGGCCTCTGAGCAGCCAAGATGTACTCTCGCATACCTTTGAGGAGTTTCAGGGGCCATGCTTGTCGTTGTTTTCACAACATTCTCCAGGAACAACATCTCCGGAGGGGGAGGATGAAGCTGCTGCTTACCTCGCTTGCCAAGTATATGTCGGTCGGCTGCTGCCGAAAGCTCCAGAAGAAAACTCGAATGGTAAATCAAGTCTCCCCAGCTTCGATCAAAGTGCGTAATTGCTTCGGTCAGTGACCGGGGATATCTGGCCTAGTCGCGCAAGAGACTCATGACACAGACTGATCACTTTACGGGGTTCGGATGTCTGCAAAATACCTGGGACATGTAAGCCCTAGATTGAACATTGGGGAGGACGCTGATGTCCGGCAGAATATCGTGGCAGCTTAGTGGCTTTGTCTTGTTCATGGATCCGATTGAAGTCTCTGAACAGTATCAGAAGCATTTGCTCGAATGCAGGAATTGCCTGATCCAACGATGCTCCCATTCAGACATACGTTGAGTGAGACTGACCAAAAGGTACGTAAGGCTGAACTAGATTTCACGAGGCTGCATGATAAGGAGGGGAAGCTTACATAAGCTAAACATGATTGGAGGGTCAACCCTTATCGGAGAGGGGCTTGGCACGGTGAGCAGTGCGCATGAACATCGCTCCGAGATCTGGGTCTTTTTACACAATGCGGTGTTGAGATAGACAATTGGCGACCACGGCTGCAGCATTCCTTTGCTCTTGCTCTAATTTTTCTCATACACATGAGACACTTCGTTTCTAAAGTCACTCCGATGTCTTCATAACAATCATCCAGCCTATCCTCTTTCCTACGCAATGGCAACTACTATACTAGCCATGCCGCGGGCATCCCTGCCGGTCAGGCGACTGCTACGTCCTCATTCCGCAAGGCCCATTGACCTCTCCAGAATCTGCAGGAGATGTCTCTCGGTGCAGGAACAACGCCGCGAACGAAACGTGCCTGAAACCACCCCGAGACCTACCACGCCTGAGGGTATTGATGCTCTGTTATACGGGAAACATGAAGCTGAATCCCGCGGATCCAAACTGCCGAGATTCCTAGAACGAGACGAGCTGTTCAGTCAGAGGCACATCGGCCCTTCCCCGTCAGAAGAGGCTGATATGGTGAAGGCTTTGGATCCACCTGCCAAAGACCTGGAGGACTTCATTTCGCAGACCTTACCCTCAGATATTCGCTCGAACAAAGCTTTACGTTTGCAGGATTGCTTCGACAAGGACAATGCATTGGGGAAACATGAACATGGCATTGAAAGAGAGTTGCAAAGTCTGGCAAACAAAAACGAGGCCTGGCGCAGTTTCATCGGCGCAGGCTATTATGACACGAACACGCCTGGTGTCATCCAGCGGAATATACTCGAGAACCCTGCTTGGTACACGAGTTACACTCCTTATCAGGCGGAGATCAGTCAAGGCCGTCTTGAGTCGTTGTTGAACTTCCAGACACTGGTGACTGACCTTACCGGTCTTTCTATCGCAAATGCCTCTGTCTTGGACGAGGGTACGGCAGCTGCGGAAGCAATGACACTATCCATGAATGCTCTGCCAACCTCGAGACTGAAGAAGCCGGGAAAAGTGTATGTCGTATCGAACCGCGTCCACCCACAAACCATTGCTGTGCTGGACTCAAGAGCGACGGGTTTCGGCATCAACATCGTGGTCGGAGATGTGCTAGAGAATGATTGCCAACTGGTCAAGGATCAAGGGGATAATCTAATAGGCGTACTAGCGCAGTACCCTGACACTACCGGCGGTGTTCGTGATTTCCAAGGCCTTTCCGATGCTGTCCACAAAGCTGGTGGAACGTTTGGTGTTGCGACGGATCTGCTGGCTCTAACCCTCCTCAAAGCTCCTGGCGAGTTCGGGGCAGATGTTGCTTTCGGAAACTCGCAGCGATTTGGTGTTCCACTAGGCTTCGGGGGACCTCATGCTGCTTTCTTCGCCTGCAGCGAAAAGCACAAACGGAAGATTCCTGGTCGGCTAGTTGGTGTTTCTAAGGATCGACTAGGCAAGAAGGCTCTGCGGCTGGCTCTCCAGACTCGTGAGCAGCACATTAGGAGAGAAAAGGCCACCAGCAATATTTGTACTGCTCAAGCGCTTCTAGCCAATATGAGCGCCTTTTATGCCATCTACCACGGACCACAAGGTCTCAAGAACATTGCCCTGCGAGTATGGTCAATTGCCAAATTCGCGCAGAGAGTCCTCGAGCAGAAAGACTACAAAATCGTGACGCAAGGTGTGCGTGAGGACGGTGCAGTACTCTTCGATACCATCACTGTTCAACCCAAGTCCAAAGGGGATCACACGAAGATCTTGGAGCGAGCAAAACACCGGTCATTGTTTCTACGACAAGATGTGCCTGGCAGCACTGTAGACCAGCCCCTGCTTTCGTTCTCATTTGACGAAACGACGACAAGCAAGGGTTTGGCAGATCTCCTCGAATGCTTCGGTATCGAGAGCAAGGACTATCTTGAAGCTCTCTATGGTTCAGAGATTGTGCCTAAGGCGAACGACGATACACTACCACCATCTCTCGAGCGAAAAACACCCTTCCTCACGCACCCCGTTTTCAATCAACATCACTCCGAAACCGAGCTACTGAGATACATCTATCATTTGCAGTCCAAAGATCTTTCGCTGGTCCATTCAATGATTCCTCTGGGTTCATGCACGATGAAGCTCAATGCCACAACGGAAATGTTGCCTGTTTCCTACTACGGATTCTCGAAACTTCATCCCTTTGCACCCATTGAGAATGCGCAAGGCTATGTTAGCCTCGTCAACAGGCTTTCCAAGGCTTTGACTTCCATCACGGGCATGCAAGACGTCAGCTTGCAGCCCAATTCCGGAGCTCAAGGAGAATTCGCTGGACTGAGGGTGATCAAGAAGTATCTCGACAACAAGGACAGTTCAAAGAAGAGAAACATCTGCCTCATTCCTGTGTCTGCCCACGGCACAAATCCTGCCTCAGCGGCCATGTCCGGAATGAAAGTTGTACCTCTGAAATGTGACACGAAGACTGGTAACCTTGACATCGAGGACCTCAAAACGAAATGCGAAAAACATAAGGATGAGTTGGCTGCCATCATGGTCACCTACCCAAGTACTTTTGGAGTATTTGAACCTGGGGTCAAGGAAGTTTGCCAGATTGTGCACGACCATGGCGGTCAAGTGTATATGGATGGTGCCAACCTCAATGCTCAAATAGGCCTGTGCAGTCCTGGTGAGATTGGTGCTGATGTCTGTCATCTGAACCTGCACAAGACCTTCTGCATTCCTCACGGCGGCGGTGGACCTGGTGTAGGCCCGATCGCCGTCAAGGAACACCTCAAGCCTTTCCTACCTTCCCATCCCCATGTCGACCCTCATGCAAGCGACATTGATCGATCCACGACCGCCATTTCTCCCGTCAGTTCAGCGCCCTGGGGCAGCGCCTCCATCCTTCCGATCAGCTATGCCTATATTCAACTCATGGGCAGTAAAGGTCTGAAGCACGGCACTGAAATCGCTTTGTTGAATGCCAACTACATCATGTCGCGTCTGAGACCACACTACCCGATTCTTTACACCAACGACAAAAAGCGATGTGCGCATGAGTTCATTCTTGATGCACGGGGCTTCAAGGAATCGTCAGGAATCGAAGCGATCGACATTGCTAAACGACTCCAGGATTATGGATTCCACGCCCCAACGATGAGCTGGCCAGTGGCGAACACCTTGATGATTGAACCTACCGAGTCGGAATCCAAAGAAGAATTGGACCGATTCTGTGATGCACTCATTGAGATCCGAAAGGAAATCAAGGCCATTGAGGATGGTGAAGTACCCAAGGAAGGAAATGTCCTCAAGATGTCACCACATCCCCAGGCAGATTTGATGAGGGCTGATTGGGATCGTCCATACACGCGTGAACAAGCGGCTTATCCTCTGCCTTGGCTCCGGGAGAAGAAATTCTGGCCTAGCGTGGCCCGTGTGGACGACGCTTACGGTGATACCAATCTGTTCTGTACCTGTACACCTGTCGAGGGATATGAAGAAGAGGGTTTGACTGGTCATCAAGCGCCGATGCCTACGTAGGCCGGCCTAAGGGGGCGCGAAAAAATCTGTTTCCTGGAGGGTTTGCGGAGAGACATAATATATGCATGATCGGAGTTTCAACATCTGGTCGTTCAAAGCAAATTAGTGAGCGTTCATGCACGACCAACTTTACTCAACCTTGATCGTGGGTATTGGTTTGCAACCGATGTACGCATGGGACCAAGTTTTGGTGGAGCTGTACTCGGGTGCTTGTTTTCGCAAGGCTAGCATATCCGCAGGAGTCCAACAATGTGACTGTAGCTGGAGGTCGAACAGCTCTGCAAGCCTTACTGGAAGGCCATATACCTGGTAGTTGTGGACCTCGTTAGCACGCCAGAAGGGCAACTCCTCCTGAATGGAGAGATCTCTTCCAGGGCCTCGTGCTGAGACTGAAGATACAAGTACCTCGAGTCATGATCCCTCCTCTTTCTCAACACAGTCCCTGGTATTGCTACTGGTGTTGGCCAATGTGGCTTCGTACCTGGACAGTCTCATTGCTTGTGGACAGCATCTTCTATGTCCTTACCGCCGAGACCTTTGCTGACAGTATGCACGCATGCCTCACGAGGCATGCTCACTCATTCGCGGCCTTGCACGGTTGACGTGCTTCGTCTTGTGACATCTCTCGTTGGGCACAATGGCACAGCCACAGTAACCTATCATTTATACAGGCTATGCCTGACTGGTGCAAGGATCCAGGGTCGTAATAATACAATCCACCACCACCCACTACCACTAACACTCAACAATCTCATGCTTACACGACTCCCATTCCATCGACCCTACGACGTCATCGAGGGGCCGATCCAGAATCCCACGAGACATCGAACGACGAACAAGAAGCATATTAGACTACTCGCCGGAGTCAAGGACGGTGGTTCACAATCACTCTTCTTTGCCGTTGTCCACGATCTTGTGCCTCTTGCTCACATTTCAACCCGAGTGATACTCCTATCTATCTTTCGTCCTCATAACGACTTAACACAACCTGTACTGTATACCCATCACCAACAACCAACCACCAACCAAAATGCCAATCAACACATCAGAGTCCGACGTAGGCGTCACTGGCGCTGCCAAATTCGTCACATCGACTGTCGGCGTACGTACCATCACATCCTCCGTTGCTTCCTGCTTTGTGGCTTACAATTTTCAGAACACAGTAGGCGGCCTAGCCAAGACCTTAGGCGGCGTCACCGGTGCCGCAGGTCGTGGCATCGGCGACACCATTACCGGCGCAACGGGAAGTCTCGGCAAACCTTTGGGCGACGGGCTGAATAACGCGGCGACAGGTGTTGAGAGTGGCACGAAGAGAGTCGCGCAGGGAGTCGAAGATGCTGGGCAGTGGAGGGGTGGGGCGAAACGGTTCTAGAGGGTGCTTTCCATGAAATGGACGATCGAAACGTAATGAAGGAACGAACACATCAGAAAGAGACACCTGATATAGTGAATGCGTAATGACATGGGAGGATTTGACTGGAATTTGGTAGCAGGAAGGAACGGTCGTTGTACCATGATATCAACCTGACAAAAGGCTATTGCGTGATATTGGGGACTTTTCCTGAAGAATAGGAGAGCTATCGTCTTGAAGACTGTCTCAATACGCTAATGGTGCTCTTGTCCAGAGCGGAGTCTAGTCTATACTTCTATACCCCGACTTTATGACACGACTTCACCGATCTTTGGAGCGCGATCCTTCAGCCAGTCCCGAGCTTTGCCCACATCTCCTCGCTCCTCCTCCAGCGCCTTTGCGCACCATTCGAGTTCATATTCACCCTCGCTGGCCATCATATTCGCAAGGTTCCGTCGAGTCTGACTCGCCTCGTCAACACAGAACACTAGACCACTAGTCACACCTTGGGCAAGTTGATCCATGATCGGCTTAACCATAGGCAGTCCGTCTTTAGCAGAAACGACTTTATCTTCCCCGGTAACATTCTTGTGCCCAGTCTTACAAAATTCCGCATTTCGACACCAAGACTTGCCGCATCCTCCTATTAATTGCTGCAGTAGTTTGCGCTCGATCCGCCTTCTGAGCATCTTGCCTTCTGGGTCGTACGTTGTCACATACAAGGGGCCGAAACATTCGTTGCACAGGCCTAGTTGCTCTTTTTGAACCTTTGCCTCGACGTCTTCATAGCGGATAGTGCGACCACATATTGGATTCGCACATAGTCTGGGCTTTGGTCTGGCGACCCTGTCCCGGTCATGAAGGCGGAGATGAGTCTTCATGTCCCGCAATCTGACTATCTTGCTGCATAGGTGGCATTCGGTTGTGCGTCCACCATCTGCAAGTTCGTGCGGAGTGAGACCGGATAGCAGTACTTCGGGATCTGTGAATGATGGATCGTCAGGACCTTGTTGTGGGACGACAAGATGGCAGAACTGGCAAAGTATCTCTTTTCCGGGACAAGTCGTCGTTCGATGATGTGCCAAAATAGGTAGATCGAACGCCTGAAAGTCACAATTCGGGCATTGCAGTGGTGATTCCGGGTGGAAGATTGAGTCGTGTTTATGGTGCGAGGAGAGCTTGTTTCCGTGTTCATCGTCGTGAGGACAGTGCCAGTGGTTCTTCCAGGCTTCTGAATTCTTGAGGAAGACCGTTGTGCATTTCGGGCAGGAGACGTTGTTACGGTAGCAAAACGCCTCATGCAAGGGTAAAGTTCGCTTGGGGACAACCTGACGACAATTCTTGCATATCACTTCATCTGCGGACACTTCTAGAGAGTCCTCGTCCGCTGTGTCGACTCCATCGGTCGTGGCCGATATTGTCAGGGTATACGGTACCGGTTTGTCCTCGGCGGTGTGCTCCTGAGTTGTGTCCTGCCATGCATGAACGGAAATGTTTAATGATCCGGCGTCTTCGAGATCGACGTTGGAATGGGATAGCTTTAGCCGCTTGGTCGCTCTCCCACTCAGATCGCCAAAAACATATTCGTCCTCCCGAGGCTCAGAGCGGTGGTGCGCAGAGAAGGGATTGACGAAGAGGTCGAGGCTGAGATCCTCGTCTGAGGTCTGCAGAACCACTTCCAGATCTTGACTGTGATCCCAACTTTTCAATTCATAATCCACATATTGTCCTGGCAGCACTCTCCCCTGCACTTCTGCTTCGAGGCTGATCGGTCCACCGAGTGAACTACCTTCCTGCGATTCTTGCTGTCGTCCTTTCTTTGCTAATCTCTTGTTCAGCGTCTCACGTGCCTGGTCCTCATTCAAGGGCTCAATGTCCACTTCGAGGTCGGTATCGACAATGCAGATTCCATCTGTATCAGGCTCGAATTTGTCGACCAAGAATCGAAACTGCTCATGGCGAGCCCCTGGTACGACGAGTAATTCCCCACTTGTTAAGGTGGTGAAGTTGTCTCGTAGGTAGCGCTCGAGAAGTGATTTCCAGTCTTCCGGATCGTATCCTGCTTCGAGTGGCCGCAATTTTACATATGTGCCTTTCTCCAGCTGTTTTGCATGTATCGTCACCGTCTCGGGCTTGAACCTGTCTGTGCTGTCTGTCATAACCACATCCCCGTCGAGTGTACCATCTCGACTCGTCCGTGACGATGCATCCTGCAAACCCAGTGCTTCTCTTAGACCATTGCTGAGTCCTACGGTACCGTCCTCTGCAGAAAACTCCCGGATTCCTGCGTATAACGCTCTTCCATTGCGAGGGTTCACTATGCGAAATGTGAGAGGATGCGGTAGCTGTTGTTGCCGGTCTTGGAAGGCGTCGCGGGCATGACGCTCGGCGGCGAATGAATACGGGTTGAACGGATCGAAGGATGATGTTAGGTTTCTAGACGTATTGTTCTGAACAGAAACGACTGGTGCTGCTGCGAGGAGGGCTTCGAGGGCGGATTGTGGCAAGGTGATCTTGTCGCCGATAAGCCTACGACTTGACGGGGCGACTTCCAGCTGGGCCGACCATTTCAGAGTATCTGATGGCAAAGCCATATTATCGGGGTATGATGAGGTAGGAGACCTCTTGTGGGCGAAGTGCGGGCACAGTGTGAAGCCATGATGGACATGGAGTTGTTAGGCACAAGAGTGACGCGCAGTTTCTTAGTGTTCGAGAAGCGTCGATGACTGTTTACAAATTATCTTTTCGTATTTATGAGTATTTGGGTGGCGATGGATTTGGCAACCGTCCCTGGCAGACATTTGCCCTCCTTACATACTGGTCCTTTCATGACCAACCGACCGATTCTGATGGACTATATTTGGTTCTTCGTAGACTGCGTAGACCGGGTATGGTCCCGCTCCTGTCATGGCTGAAGATGAAGCCAACCTCGACCTAGTTAAGCCCTGGAGACACTGTAGATCGCGGGCACTAAGTAACCTACAACAACCCAAATGACAACTTCACCCTTGGTAGTAGGTCTTTCGCAAGCATCGCATTGTCCAGCTATGAGAACAATTCCCTAGGACTATTTACGCCCGTTAAGGACATGATGGATTGGATTTCGTAAGAATGCATGTATACAGTAGCCTTGGCAGCATCAAACATTGACGGTGGAGAGGCAACGCGGCTTCTTGCGGATGTTGACAATGCATCAATCAATCAGCACGACCATGAACACTAACATCATGCTGCATTTCTGGAACTAAGCTTAGGATCTTTGTACGAGTAAAACGGTGTGCCCGTATCCTTCTTGTCAAAGAGAACTCCCGGCTCATCCGCCTTTCCCGGGAAAAAACGTCAGGATCCAACGCAAGACAACATTAACTTGACTTCGAGCATGATGAACATAAATGACTGCCTCATCTTTTCTTAAGGAGCCTCAAAATTGCAGTCAAAGAACTTGTTTCTCAAGTACAACAATAGGACAGCGACAACCATGACCGAAACCATGCCCAGGAAAGGCTCTCTCGCCTTCCTGAATCCCTTCAGATCAAGGAAGTCCGAAGACCGACTAAGTTCCAGAGCCAACTCCGTTTCTGATTTCGCTGTCGAGGAGGTGACAGTGTTGCCAAAGATACCAGCGGTGGAACAGATTCCAAGCTCGAACAAATTGAGGAAACGCTCAGCTCCTCTCAACTCCAGGAAGAAATCCAACGTACCCCAGAAACCTAGCAAGACACGAAATGCTTCCTTCCCAGCAATCTCAGTCGCTGACGAGTGGGAGCGAGACAAACAAACCGGTGAACGAAAGGACCACACCGAGATGCTGCACAGTCTGGCTCATCGAGGGTCCGACGAATCACTTATCGAGAGAACTCAACTCTTGTTTGCTGGGATTGCCTCAGAGTCAGGATCAGACTTTATGTCGAAGCTTCCACGGAAAGTCTGGCACCAGACAGTGCGAGAATTACCTTTAGCAGACGCCGCGAGTCTCGCACTTTCCTGCAAAGCCTTCCGAAATCTAGTCGGCACATCCGTATGGCACGACCTGAACGACGAGTCAAACTTCGATTCAAAGATCGACTTCCTTCAACGCCTCGATGAAGAGCTCCCAGATCATCTCCTGTGCTTCGCGTGCGCCATCTACCATGTTCGAACGCAGAAGGGGCAAGAAACGCTGCGTCCAACCAACGTTGCCAATCCACTATTCAACTGTCCTCACGCATTCAACCTGGATAAGAAAATCTCTCGCACGCGCCTGACAGTCGGCCGATCACTACCATATCCCTTCGTCCAACTCGTCCTTCGCGCACATAAGTTCACTCCAACGCACGGCATCCCCATAGATTCCATGTCTCGGCGATACAAGGACCGCGCCGGCGACTGGTCTCATCAAACACGGTTCGCCGTTGTCAATGGCCATCTACTAGTGCGCGTTATCAGCTCTGCGTTTGCCGCACCGGCACTTCCTCCAGCTGGTCTCCGCAAACTGTTGTACTCCTCCGATGACAATTTCAACCCTTACTTCTCGGTGTGTTCACACTGGCGGGACGGCGAGCTCATGCCCGCTGTCAAATGTGCACTCAGCCACATCCCCTACCGTCGTGAGGTCGGCGGCGTGGTCGGCGTCGCGGACAAAGTCAAGTACCGTCTTCATCCTCAGAACCCGTTGATCACGTTGTGTTCCGAGTGTCGACCCATGCGACGGTGTCCAGAGTGTCCGTCCGAATATCTCATCGAAGTGAGGATGCAGGAGGACAAGAGTGACCCTAACAAATTGTTCAAGTACGCCGTTGTTGTCACCAGATGGGCCGACCTGGGAGATGGATCGTCTCCAGACACTCCCGAATGGGCAGCGATCAATGGTCAGGCAGAATTTGACTCGTTTACTGCTTTGGGGAGACGGGCTATCTCTGGCACTTTCGAGTCACAATTCACGGTGGAACATATCCCGGGACAGAAGATGATATCCATGAATCCAAGCAAGGAAAAGCGTGGTGAAGCTGGCCATAATTGGTATTGACATTGGCACAGAACTTAGGATGAGCGGGAGTTGGGAATAGGCATCTTTGATGTATGATTGTCTCTTTTTCTTGAGATTTTGAATGGCTTTGTCAAATGAGGCACCATTGCTGATCGACTGGTAACGACGTTGCTGTTGCATAAAGGTATTCGTCCACATCAATATCTGCTTCCATTGCAAGTCCTTCAACATGACCGTCGTAGGAGTTGGTCTGGTCTTTACGAACAACTCCTCTGCCTGCAATCCGTGCATATTTGCAACCATCTTCCTCACGAACAATGTCGACAAGGATAGAAACTGTTTCAGGGGCATATGATGGATCGCGACTCGAAATGATAGCTGGACACTGAAGTTCAGAAGCAGTCGAGTGGGCTTGTGCACCACCATACTGCATCATCAAATGCAAGCGCTGAGCAGCCTTGTTTAGCCTTGAGAGCAGATGCCCTGCTCAAGTCATGATGGATATACGTGCCCCAACAACAAATTGGACATGGAATGATTGATCTCGCATTGTTGCATGAACCGTCCAAGGGGCATTACACCTCCATTAAAGCATGCAGAGCATCATGCATCCTGAACTGTGCCCGCGCCATACCTCAGGCGAGCCGATGTATGTGCATCAAAAAAGGAAGAATAGGCCAGATAGACTGTCCGTGTTGGAAGGGAATGACGATTTAGATACGGCTTGTGGTTGTAGCTGCAATGTGTCAATGTTCTTGCTGAGCGAAGACCGACGTCATTTCCTCGCGACTCTTTTCGGCTGCGCAGTGCCACATGCTGATTGACATCTGCGCATTCCTCCATCTTCCCACTACATTTTACATTTGCAGTAGAAGCACGCTTGCATTGGCAACGCGAAGCCAAGCGTTCTATGCGGTCCCTTTTCCTGTTCGGCCGCTTCGTGGGCCGACGGGGTTGGGTTCAATTCGCGTGTCGAGTCCCGCGCCGTCAACATTCTTATGGACAATGGACTCGAAAATACAGTGTCAAAGACCCTCGTCAACGGCCGGTTTCCGCCCTTCTTGCTGCTGCGGCAGCCCTCTCATCCGGTGCATTCGTCGAAATAAGCGAGCAACATGAAGATGGCAAAACAGCTGAGATGCAGATGCTCGAGGTGTCGCGTCAGGAAATCGACAAGAAGGTGCCCGAAGACGCCCGTGGCATCCGGAGAGTGTACAAAACCATAGTCTACGTCCTCGATCAGTACATCTACGAACCCCTCGCGACCGGCTTACGGTTCTTCTACCTTGCCTTTATCTTCGTCCCGGTCATTGTCACGGTCCCTGTTGTGCTTATTGGATCTCGAAGGAAGGACCGTGATGACGAAAGAAGCGGAACGCTATGGTGGTACGGCTTCTTGGTCACTGCCATGGAAAGAGCAGGTCCAGCATTCATTAAACTTGGACAGTGGGCAGCCTCCCGTTCTGATATCTTCCCGGTGGAGATGTGCAGGATCATGTCCACATTACATTCCAATGCTCCGGCTCACTCTCTGCGCCATACGAAGAAGACAATTTCGGAAGCATTTGGAGGTAGAGACTTCGACGACATCTTCTTGGAGTTTCACGAGAAGCCTCTCGGCGTCGGTGCCATCGCACAAGTATACAAGGCGAGATTGAAGCCCGATCTGGCACAACCCGACGATAGTGACCTCGACCTACATGACAAGCACTGGTTGAGCCACCGGATTAGAAGGAATGTTGATGCTTTTGTCAAGTCGTCACCACAGCGGATACCCTCAGCATATGTTGCTATCAAGGTTCTTCACCCCAAGGTGGAGAGAAATGTCCGTCGGGATCTCAAAATCATGGGCGTTTTCGCCGCAATCATCAATGCCATCCCTACCCTAGAGTGGCTCGATCTGCCCAATGAGGTATCCAACTTTGGTGAAATGATGCGATTGCAGCTCGATCTTCGAATTGAAGCTGCCAATTTGACCATTTTCCGTAAACACTTTCAGAACCGGACCACGGCATGGTTCCCTTACCCATACACGGACTTCACAACTCGCACTGTCTTGGTTGAAGAGTTTGCTCAAGGCATCCCACTGGAGGCATTCCTGGAGTCCGGAGGTGGCATATTCCAGCAAGAAATAGCGAATGAAGGCCTCGACGCATTCTTGCATATGCTCCTGATAGACAATTTTGTTCACGCCGACTTGCACCCTGGAAACATCATGGTCAACTTTTACAAGCCCACACAACCAGACGTCAAATTACCCTACATCTCTAGACAGGACCCTACACAACCATCGACCACTTCTGAGATTGATCAATCTGAGGCCGTTCTTTCACGACTTCGTCCTCATGTTGGCAAGAAGGAAGAATGGCTCGCGGCCCTAACGGAGATTGACAAAGACGGCTACAGGCCGCAGTTAATTTTCATTGACACTGGTCTGGTTACCGAGCTCAACAGCAAGAATAGGGCAAACTTCTTGGACCTCTTTCGATCAATCGCAGAGTTTGACGGCTATAAGGCTGGTCGCCTCATGATCGAACGATGTCGCCAACCTGAAGCAGTGGTTGATGGGGAAGTGTTTGCTCTCAAAATGCAACATCTAGTACTTGCTGTTAAAGGCCAAACGTTCGCTCTGGGCCATATTAAGATTGGTGATGTGTTGTCACAGGTATTGAGCATGGTCAGAACACATCATGTCAGAATGGAGGGTGATTTCGTTAATGTGGTCATTTCAATACTTCTCTTGGAGGGCATCGGCAGGTCGCTCGATCCCGATCTCGACCTGTTCAAGAGTGCCTTGCCGATTTTGCGACAGCTCGGCTCCTCCGATCCTGGTGCTGTATTGAGGAACCTCAAGGCAGGCGATTTCTCATTGTTGAAGATTTGGGTTGGTCTGGAAGCCCGGAGGTTCTTCCAAGCCAGTGCCGACAGTGTTGAGATGTGCGTTAACTACGACTTGTTGAGTGAAAACCGATAAAGCTGGCATGCCGTTCATGGAACCGTTTCGGACCGAGACGACGTATAAGACAAGGCTGATTCAATGCGGGAGAATACGGCCATCGGCTATGCCGCGCAGTGCGGGAACCGCTCACCTGCCGACGACAGATTGATCTAGCAAGAGGCATGGCTAGCGCCATCCGTCGCCCTGCAACACAAGGTGCCGCCGCGCCCCCATGAATCAGCTCTATTCCCAAGTCGGCGACAAACAGGACAGAAGCCACTGCCGCGACGCACCGCCGGAGCGCATTGGGTACAATGTGTAGAAGCGCAAGTGTTTGCGGCGACCACGAGCCTCGAAATGCAGATCAAACTAGATCGGGCAGAATCCTGGCTGGAAATATGAAGGATGGGGCACGGGGCGTGCCGCTTACAGGAGCACCATCTGAGGCAGCTCCAGAGAACGGCTGAGATTGAGAGCATGGGTGTAGCCACCACCATGTTCTTCGTAGAGGGCAATTCCGATATACGATTTGATACGACGCTGCTCTTTGTTGACCCTTGCTTTCTCGCCACGTATAGATCCAGAGGAGTTATATAGCGGCTTGCCGACATGGACACGAAACTGCGCCCAGCGCATAGTGAGACACACAGTTCACGCTCGCATACGATCTTGTTTCCTGCAGAAAACTCGCTTCCATTATGGCGAGCTACCGATAGCTTTCATCTGCCGTACATGCTACATACATATAATATGTTATCAGAACACCGCCAACCACCGAAGTGGCGCCCTATACCACGTCGCCGGCTCGTGTTTCAAGCCTACTTCATGCGAACCCAAGCATCGCACGTCCGAGTTTTTGTCTTTCCGGCCGTTTCCCTTCTCCGACAATAAAGAAATTCCAAGCACTATATATCTTTGGTGGTGTCACATATTTCTCTTGAAACCCCAAGCACACACCCACAGTATTCTCAGCCGAGATCAAGACGCCGTTCCCATTTCCGTATAGATCGCATCACAGGCAAACATGCCCTAGAACTCGGCATCAAATTGTACCGGTCCCCAAAATCGTTTTTTGATCCCGTTCGGGCGTCCTTGTAGTACGCCATAAGACAAGAAATTTGACAGAGAGCGTCAGAAGGAGTTCGTCGTTAAAGTTGAAGAAATGTCTTGCGTTTCAAGAAATTGGCCGTCTCAAAAGTACATTCGGGCCCAGGGATAGATCCATTATTGCATGATGCGTAAAGAAGAGTTGTTGAATATGAAAGGTTTGCTGACAGGCGAAGACAGTACAGCACACCAATAAAGGGACGCGCAGGTAGGTAAGTGTCGAGAGGAGTGACGGCGTTTAAAACATTGCACCATCCTGACGCATACTCAGAGAAGTAGCGCTTCGGTTGGGAAAGACTGGCAGTGCAGGGCTTCGCAATTGTTCGCGACCGAACTCGGCCATCATGGCCTGCTTCCGTGCTCGAGCAGCCATACTGCCGCCTTCACTGCTGATCTTTCTCAGCCTGTTGCGCTGGCGGGGCACCTTTTGTTGTTGCTGCTGCTGATCCTGCTTTTGGTCAATGAAAGCACGCTGCGCAGCTGCCATAGACAGTCCAAGCGTGTGCGGTGACTCTGGCATAGGCGAATCAGGTAGTTGTGGGCTGAAAGACCCGTCGTTCTTCTCGGACAAAGTATTACCACGGCGGCGTGGATTCATCGGGGGAATAGCAGGAGTCGCATTCTGGCTTGGTCGTGGTCCGTTCGGCAGTCCCATTAACGGCACTGAGGAAGTGCTTGATATGAAGGTGGGTTCGGAGATCATGCCCTTGACGACAGATTTTTTCCGCATTCCGACGAAGGTCGGCCTACCGTCGACAGGCGTCACACGCCCAGATGTTGGAGGTTGTGGTAGTGATCCGACAGGTGACGGAAGGGCAGACCCCACCGCGGACGGAGGACCGTTCACCCCTGGTGACATTCCAGGTTGAAGGAACGGGCTCATAGGAGAGTGAGGGAAAGGTGGACGAGGGGATGGCCTTGGGGCTGTCATCGACATTGGCCCACCACCAATCTGGGGAGAGTTAGCCATCGTTGGGGTAGGAGCCCGACTATCAAAGTAGCTGCTGGGTGGACCTGGTCGAGACGCGCTCGGCCGACGGTTTGACATAGCTGAAGCGGATCGCTCATTATTGCGCGGCTCAACAGGTGGTGGCCCTCTTGACGTTCCTTGATGAATGCGAGGGCCCTGGGACCCATGATATGGACGTTGATTCTCCCATGGTTGCGCAGAGTCTGTGCCGCCATATTCAGCTGGAGGATACGGCTGCTCTTCCCTATTGCGACCTGCCCTGCTTCTCGATCTCTCACCATGTTCTGGAAGTCCTCGGTCGCGTCTCGGTCCTCGACTTGGTCCTCTGGCATTTTCTCTGGCATTTGGAGTAGCGGATCGCTGGCGAGAACGATCATAGTCTTCCTGAGCATAGGATGGATAGACGTCTGGTCTAGCAGAGCCCGGTGTTTGTCTTCCGCTGACATGTTCAAATTCAGCAGGATGTTGCCTTGGGGTGGGTCTGCCTCCAAAATCGTCATGGCTGTTAGTAAATTCACTCCCGCCTCTGAGCTCGGGCGAAAGAGCACCCTTGAGTCCAAGCATTTTCATGGCTTTGGGATGTGGGTCGATTCCTCTTGTCGCGACAGACGCCTTGCTCGCCTTGTGGCGGAGTGCGTGAAGTGCATGGGCTGCAGGGTTTTGGCGGTCTGGTCTGAATGGACTGCGCGATCGCTTTTCGGCTTCTGCGACCCCCTTATGTGTGAGGCCTTCTTGAATTCTCCTGGCACGCTCAGCAAGCTCGTTGCCAAATTCTTTCTGTGTCTCAGTGCTTTCACCGCGTTGGTGGCTAGATGCCATGTCATCTTGGACCACTCCGGCGGGTGGCTCATCGGTGGCAGTAGGTGCATCCGGCCCTAGGACTTGCTGAGCTTTGGATGCCGCATGATTCCTATGAGACATCGCTTGTCCGAGGATCTGTTGTGCTTTTTGGGACATGGTTGATATTGGGTCAGCTGTTGTTTGTTCCATAGGGCTACGCTGGGGACGGTGTGCCGTGTCGAACTCCCAGGGATCGCTGTGCGTGCTTTCGGGTGGATTGAGAGTGCGAGCAGTCGAGGCTATCGAAGGGTCTCTATGTCTTGACGAGAAGTTCGAGTGCTGTGGATGAGGTATAGGCGAAGGTGGTGGCATGAGGGACGACTTGTCGCTGTCGTTGCGCAGGTGAGTACGAATCAGTCCACTCAGACCCAATCCAGTTGCAGGCCCTAGAGTGGGAGAATCCAACGACTCTAAAGCCTTCGCATCGGAGGAGTGATGGAGGAGATCCGAAGTGTTGGGCGTGTCACGCGTGACTAATGGAGAGGAAGTGTCTGCAGATGCATCTGAGCTTGGCCTAGCAATCTGGACATTTGGGGAGACCTGGTCGCCGAAGTCGAAGCCGTGCGAGCCATCCCGAAGAGCTGGATGGACTTCCATAGGTACGAAACGAGGCGCGGGTTCGTACCGTCCCAACATAGGACTGTCAATGTCGACCTCTTCTTCCTCGTCGCTGCCATCAAAAGTGTCGAGGAAAGTGCCCCGCGATGCAACAGGTTGGTTGATGAGTGTCTTGGGTGCTTTGGGCTCAGGGTTTGGGTTCTCTGTAGAAGCATTTTTAGCTTGGAGAGCCAGATATTCCTCGTTTTGACGTCTGATCAAGGCTTCAGCTTGAGCATGGATTTGTGCAGGCTTGATAGACGATGCAGAAAGGGCCCGTGATCTGCCAGTAGCTGGCCTGTCGCTAGATTCTTGCGCACGAACAGGGTCCTGTTCCGGAACGGGATGTAGGCAATCGGAGTCTGCCTGGCTGGCCGGCTCCTGTTGCTGCATTGCTACTTCCCCTTCAGGACCGCTTGCTGCAGGTGGCGGTGATATTCTGTCCTCATGCATCTGCAGTTGCCGTTCCTGGAATTTCTGCTCGTCAAATGGCTGTGACGGACGATTGAACAGACCCATCGCGGTGGCCTTCCCACGGTCATTAGGCTCAAGGTTTCTAACGTAGACATCGCCATCTTCTTCCTCTGCAGTTGGAGAAGCAGTCTGGAATCTTCTCAAGTGGGCAGTCGATTTGAGGCCAAAGTCCAGAGAAGCAAGTCCCTGGGTCTGGATCTGAGGAGGAGGACTCGCCGCTCGAGGTGTGATCGCAGGAAAAGGCGACGATCCACGGCTATGCCCTTCGGACAAATTTGACATGCTCCTTGATTGCGAGAGCTGGCGTGTGAAAGGTGGAGATGAGGGCAGTGGAGGTTGACCATGTTCTTCCGATTCCCGACCACCTCTTCGGGATTCCGAAGAAGGATTCCGTCTCAAAGAGTCGTCATCCTGCCCGTACTCTGACGCAGTTCCCTTGGTATGGGACCTGTGAGAACCGGCACTGACCTGGCTCTGCCTAGGTATGGGAGAATCTGATACCAGCGAGGTTGCAGCCGTAGAAATGCGTCGATGGGAAGGACCAGATGCCGTCGACGAGGTAGTTCCTCTACTCTTACTGAAGCCGGTTGAGGGGGTGTTAACCACACTGCTGCGTTCGTGATCGCCTGTTGCCGTACTGACTGGCCGGTCTGGGAAGTCGTCGCGCTCTTCCAGACCCTCTTGACGAACTGGTGCATCGTCTTGTTTGAGGTGCAGCTGTTGCAAGCTCGACATTGCAACATCGTTTTGATACACATGTTTCACCGACGTCAGCGAAGTTTGCGACGCACTCAAATCTCTGCTAGATCCCACACCTGGAATGCGATACATCTTCTGACGACCACTAAACAGGTTGTTCCCGTCCACTGGCTTTGATCTGCTCATAATGGCGCCCGTATCATCATGTGAGTATCTGGCGCCTTCAGAGAACGAATGAGAGCGCTCGTCGTTGGCAAAAGGAGGTCTGATAAGACTACTCCGGATGGACTCGACTTCGGCGATGTCTGTCAGAGGGTTGTGCGCGAATAGATTGAGACGTGACACTCGCTTGGGAAACAGCACACTGTCATCGCTAGCCTTGCCAACCTTGGTGTTCGGGTCATCTTGCTCACGGAGCATGCTGAAGCGAGCAGAGAGGCCCGGCATGAGCAAGCTGGTTCTGAAGTCATCCTTGTTGGGGAGAGCGATTGAAAGGTCGATTTCAGGTTTGGCTTCCACTACAGTCTTCTGTTTGCGCTTCAGACTTCGCGACATTTTAGCCAAAGACGGAGAGTCCGAACGTCCGGCTGGAGGAAGAACGTATGCGTCATCCTTTGGCTTGCTCTTCTTCTTGAAGAAACTCATATTGGCGTCAAGTTAAACAGAGAAGGGAAAAGGAGCGTGATGGTTTGACTGCACGATTGGATCAGCACAGCGTGCGAAATGTTGGACCCTATGCGCAACGTATCTAAAGGAAAGGAGTGACTTGTTTGGTGTTGAGTGTAGACTATAATCGTTCCATCGAGAAATGAATCATAGACGAGAAAGAGGTCTCCGAAGGATGCCCGGATGGCGGAAGAGCAGCCTTGGGGTTCGGTGATTGAACCAGTCAATCCGGAATCCTTCAGTCTTGTTCGAGATGAAGAGAATGCGCGTGGCTAGGTGCGCGCGTGTGTATGCCTGTCGTAGCAGAAAGCCTTGTCGCCTTACCTCCTCTTCGAGTGACTCGTATTCCCGCTCCGGATATGTATCAGCCGCGATGGAACGTGTTTGAGACGGCTCGGCGCAGTAGTTGAACAAGGTGAATTGCTGGGATGGTAACGAGCGTTGGTCGGTATGTCGAAAGTAAAAGAGTGACAGAGTTTGGAATAGAAAGAGCGAGTGTTGTCAGCGCATGTGTAGAAGGGCTTGAGGAGTCGAGCGCGTTCGAGTCGTGGTCAGCATGAACTAGATGTCGGTGCCCAGCCTTTGAACCGCTTGTGCAAGGATTGAGGGTCGTCGACTAGCAGGGCCAAACTGCAGGAGGGAGGAGCAGCTGCTTTTCCGGTCAGAAACTCGCTGCAATGTCGGATGAATGATCCTGGTCCAAGGTGGTGGTGGGTGGAGGCTGGTGTGCAGGTGTTGATGATCGAAAAGGAAGTGACAGCTGAGCCAGCAGATCGAGTTGCATCAAGCGAGAAAGAAAAGCAGAGGGCAAGTCAACTCACTCTTACGGTGAGGAAGTGAGTGCCAGACAGAGAGGGTCTGTGATACAGTGGAGAGACGAACAGTTGGACAAGGTTGGCGTGTGCGGATAGAGAGTGAGTGACACGGCCTGACAAGATTGACGGGGGACCTTTTCTCAGAGGGCTGAATAGAGAGGCTAGGAACAGGGCTCTGAAGTCAAGCGTGAAGCGCTGCGTGCCACGATGACGGTGGTTTGAGGAGTTTGGCAACCGGCAAAAGAATGGTCTCTTTCTAGGGGCTCCGGTTCTCAGACGAGGCTAATCAAACAATGCGTGTCGGGGATGAAGCCATGGTGGATAACGTGGATAACATGGGTGATTGAGTTTTGTGGAGATGGGCAAAAGGGCACAACGAACAGAGTTTGAACTCTGACAGCTGTCAGATTTTGACTAGCATTAGACCAGGGCCCCGGGGTGATATCAAATGTCTTTACTGAAAGCAGACTCGAGGACAGGCATTCAATATGGTCACACAGAAGGGACAACGCTGGGAGAGGGAAAGGGGGCTTTAGTCAAGCAGGGATCCGAGGTGCTGGTTACACCAGTTGGCAGAGCAATCCAGGGGCGAGGCGAGCATTGCCATAGTAGCAGCATGGCTGGGATCATCGTCGCGTGGTTTTCAAGGCCGAAAAGAAACGGATTCGGATGCGGATGCGGGAAAGGGAAAAGGGCAAATCCCGTTTGGCTATAGAGGAAGAAAGGATGAAGCGAGAAGATTTAGCGTGTGACACCCACGGATAACGAACCAGACAGAAGAATGATACTGTGGTATAACTTACCACTGTACCTGGTATGCAGGTACGACCCGAAAAGCACCCCCCAAAATGACTAGTAGAGTCGATCATATTTATTTTAGAGGCGGCTAACTGCATTGCAAGGATGAATTAACACGGTAAAGGAAACTCTCCAACGGTCGAATCCGCTTTCTGAACGCCTTCAATTCCAGAGAGGGAAATGTGCAACTCTATTTGTGCATCAATCAAAGGAACGTATTCCCTCAGAGTCTCAATCCTCAATCCTCAGTCCTCGATCCTCAGTCCTCGGATCGCTGCCGTCTTTGCATTATCACATCTTCCAGGAATCAGGGGATATGCAAGAGAGTCTTATATCTTCTCCCATCACTTCCATTCTCCTGAACTCCTGCTTGGTATCTGAAACTCCCACCTCACTTATCGGGATCCTCCAGGTGAAGCGGACAATCCATGGGCAGCGATTGGCTTAGAGACAAGCCCCGGTTGTTTCAATGGCGTCCGCGGCAGCTCGGGAACAACCTTATAGCTGGGGCTGGATCAAGACCCAATCAGGCGGGAAGCCACTGGGGGCTTTGGGCGCCATGGGCCCTAAACCAGGCAACCCCCTGATTATTACCGAGATTAATCTTCCCTTGGCCTCTCCACATGCAATTTTTAGGTGAAAATTCCTCCGTAATTCTCTCTCACGATGCTTTTGGGCTGTCGATCATCCTTATTGGGGTTTTCGTTCAGGCGTGCCAGGAAGAAAAGATCTCGTCCATGCCAGGTATGGTATGTTATTGACTTGGCAGAAACACTCAGTGTATACATGATTACTACTCGTATGTACTTGCCTGAGACCCATATGGTATACAACCTTTTGTTCAATGTTCATCGACGATCTTGTCGCATCTTCGGAGATCCTGTGGCTTGTTATAGTCTCCAAGGCGCAGTCTTGCTTAGCAAATCTCTTTTGGCTTCAGACTTGACGTAATGTGGTAAACAAACCACGCGTTCCCATTTTCACGCTCTCACGCGCCCTGGGGTAAATTGGTAATTGCACTCATTTCCAAACCGCCGCCGTCCATTCATCAGCGTGTTTTTCTAGCGTGTCGGCCTCTTGTTCTTCATTTCGCGGCCTTGTTCTGCCCTCAGACGCCGGTGCAATCTAACGCTAATGAGTATCATTTCTTTTCATTAGCATGACATGGAGATCCAAGCCTTTTCTGGCACTGCAATCAAAGTCTTCTGACACTTCCATGACAGGCGAGGTCGGACCTCGAATATCTCTCGGTTGTCGGCAGCCTTCGCAAACGTCTGCCATTTGACGATCTGTGCTAGATTTTGACGGCCACTTCACCGCGTGGCAATGCTAAGCGAGCCATTTAACGTCGACCCCAGGTCTACACTATCTCATCGAAGACGGCACACGACCATCGAGGCATGGTCATGAAACCATTCTAATCAAGTTAGGGTAGTAGCCTATACTCGTGAGGATGGTGTCATAAGCGCGCATTGACAAACTGCACAAACTATGCCTACCAAAAACATCCTTGACATGGAGAAACCACTCACACACAGTGAAGCCCACATTAACAAAGGGTTGACCTAGGAAATGATGGCGCCGATCTCCAATCTGCGTTTAAGGCATCACGATTCACGATTACTCAGAGAAATGCCTGAAATTGGAATGACATGCGTGCAATCAGATTGCTTGTCTCGTACGCTCACCTGATACCTCTTGAAACAGCCTTGCATGGACTTCCTGGTGGTCAGTGATCGTGTCAAACAAGCCCGTCCGCGCCTGTCGAATACTTCGGTGCCGATTGTAGACATGGTCAAACCCATCTCATTCCGGTTCATCGAGTCGCTCACTATCACGGGAAGTAGATCTGTACGTGATGTACCACCCTTTCGATGCACCCTAAAATTCTCCCCGGAGATTCCTCCCACGTGGCACGTTGTTGCTAACTACACGGCCACTGCATGAATATGCGTCATTTCACATGCTCACATCGACTATTTCCATGCAAGGTCATACCTGTATCTACCGGCGCGGCCAGAGCTCACCCAAAACAATTGGACTACCCTCCAATTTTCGATGCTTCACGTACACAGGTCCCTCAGAATCAGTACTATGACAAGAACACAATGGGCAGTGCTTATGCCACCCGGTCTCTATCACACCAACATGATCCCTCTCAGCATATAAGCCCTTTCAAGAAAATAATGGTAAGGAATATGGAGTGTGGTTAATGGCAAATATCTAAACTATGCGCTCGGATCCATCAGCAGTTTCTTGCCACTGACTTTGCCCTCCATCATCAGGTCCAATGCTTTCTGTGCCTGGTCCAACCCACCATTAATCCACTGTGGCCTTGTTGGGACGATGATGCCTGTGCCTAGTCCCTTTGGCACAAGTTCGGAATAGAACCATGTTCTGAACTCGGCGTTTTCCGGCTTGTCCATTGACAAGCTGTAAGGTGCGAACTTGCGTTGGACATTCGCAGGCATTGGACCGTCGGGAGCAAGCAACGAGTTATAGCTGCCACCACCAATAGAAGTCAAATACTCGGCCAGCACTTCAGTCACGTCTGGGAGACCGATGGTGTCGAAGATGGCTTCGTATGGACCGTTGGATTTGATCTTGCTCAGTACATCTTTGGCGGGCTGGGTGTGGTCGATGATGGTTGACGGACCGAGAGACTGGACGAAACCCTTGTTCTTGGGCGACGACGTGGTGACGACCTCGTATCCAGCTGCAGTGGCGTAGGCCGTAGCGAGTCCACCAGCAGAGCTAGAACCACCGTAGATGAGGATTTTCTTGCCGTTCGCCTCCACCTTGCTTGTGAGCGATGGACGGTCAAGACCCATATAGATTGAGAGCGCAGTTGCAATGGCAGCGAGGTTGAGAATGGACGTTGCACCGCTTTCGAGAGTGACTCCGTCAGGGAGTTTGGAAGTCGAAGTCTGTGATGCGAGAGCATACTGCTGGTATGCTCCAAAACGGGGTTCGCCACCTTTAGGTCCATCGCGAACGACCGCGACTTCATCGCCCGGCTTGAACTCGGACACGTCGGGTCCAACACTCTCGACTATGCCGGAGAAGGACATACCAAGGACGTTGGGATACGGAATTGGTATCATACCCTGCCTAAATAAATGGTTAGTTGTGTCCACCTCCTGATGATGGGTGATCTCACTTTTGTATCTTCGCCTCGAGCGGAGAGAAGCCAATGACCTTGACTTTGACTAGCAACTCGCCTGGGCCAGGTGTTGGAGTTGGAGCTTTGTCAACCACAAGGTCGGCATGTTGCTCCTTGATCCAGGCTGCTTGGTGGCTCATCTTGTAGGTAGTTATCCTTCGAAGATCTTTGTTGAGGGTGCTGCTGCTCTTTTCTGTGTGGGTTTCTGTATGAAAGAAGGAACTCTTCGACGAAGGAAGCCAAGTCTTATATGGAAGAAAGTATGGTCTGTACAGTAGCGCCCTGGTACGTACCATCGTGGGGATAGCACTCCATTGCAAACATGTCTGACTCCGTGATTCGCCATGCATTTGTCACCACCGGAGTCGAACGTTACTTAATGCCGAGCGACGATGGGATGCCTGACAAAGACATGTCTCAATGTTATGTCAATCGAAGCCGTGCGAAGTGTTATGGAAAGAGCGCATATAAAGGTGTGGAGAGACTGCCGACCAGAATCAGCCAATACGAAGCGTTATCTCAAGGCTAACCTCATTAGGGAAAATTGCCAATATGGACGTTACGTGGAGTAGCAGCTTGACAGCTTTGTCAGCAACCTTGGCCTAGAATGAGGAGACCGGACGTCAAGTATCATCACACAACTTCTTTCGATGTTGTCTCCAGTAGTGTGATGGTGAACACTGGGCAGCCCAGTCGAGCCTGCGATCCATGCAAGGAGAGGCATACCAAGGCAAGTAGCGATTCGACCTCGGGATTTACCGCTTGCTGACACGCATTTATCGAAAGTGTGACGAACGTCGCCCGGTAGGTGACTCTGTTTTGTGCCAAAGCATAGGCGTTACTGATTTCCCCGCAGCAGTGCTCTCGGTGCGAGAAAGCTGGTCGTAAGTGTACAGGATACAAAAACGATTTCGACATCAATCTCCGGAATGAGACCCACGTCGTCGCCCGGCGTGTGCGTGCTCGCGAGACTTACTTCCAGAGGCTTCAGACTTCATTGCCAGTTCCTGCTGAGCAGCAAGCAATAGCATTGTTCTTCGAGAACTTCGTCCTGGAGCCTAGCGATTCCAGATACTCCAGGGGCTTCCTAGCCGGCCTTGCACCGTTGTTACGAACTGCACGACCGGACTCTGTCCTGTCAAGTACTGTCGAAGCAGTGGGGTTGTGCTTCCTCGAGAGAAGTGTAGGCAGCAATTTGACTGCCTCGCGAGCAGGGCCAAGCTATGTTCGCTGTCTGAACATTTTGCGGACAACGTTGCTTCACGAAGAGGACTCCGTTTCCACTGAGACGATGATATCGGTGTACTTGATGGGATTGTATGAGGCAAGTCCTATCAATGGGCGCGTTAACCATGTAACTGCTTTCGGACTAATCCAAAATTCAGATCATGATGCCTCCGAAAAAGGATCTTCACCCTTGGTTGGCTCATCTCAACGGTCTCACTGCAATCCAAAAGGCACGTAACAAAAAGACAGGCCTCTGCTTTCCCGGTTTCGGTGTCGTCGGTGCACCGAACAGCGCCCTCGATGGATCTTCTTGGGTTGTAAATATCAATAGCCCTGCCGACGGGTGGCTTGTGGACGACTCTGGTAAAAAGGAAGGGATCCTGTACAGTGAGTGTGTCACAGGACGTGCTCTGAGATCCATTTCCTTCGCAAATGGACCATCGATACACACCTCCATTGACGGCCTTGTCTTGCGAGCCCAACACATTCTGCAAGTAGCACCGTCATTGCTCGAGAGCCTCCATCCTGAGGCAACAGCAAATGTCCGACGTCTTCTTTCTGCGGCACGTTCTCTGTTGTCAAGCTTCGAAGACTGGCCATCAAGGATCCCTGATGACTGGCAACCCAGGACCATGAATCATCAGATCGACGCATCTGAGCTCTCTAGTCTGGACATATATCCTGGCAGGATTGACGTATATCCTGACTGTGAGGAAATCGTACACCCCAACGCAGAACTCAACTGACCGCGACACAGTGTATGTAGCCGCTGTGTGGAACACGTATCGCACAACCTTGTTGCGACTATGCGACGTGATCGCACAGTGTGGCCAATACCTAGAAACTGATGCCATGCCATTCGGAGAGACTGCAGAGTACCAGGTATTGCGTACCATTGCCAGTAAGACAGCCGAAGACATATGCTCATCAGTTGCGTGTCACATCAACAATGATTGGATGCAACGCATCGCTGCCACTAGCTTCCAGAGGTCTCCGAAAGCGTTGGGAGGCCTTCACCTAACGTGGCCACTCTACGCTGGAAGCGTTCTCTCGATTGTGCCCGACGTACATCGTGGCTGGATGAGGCGGAAACTCAGATCGATTGGCGTTGCGTTCGGACTGGCGCAGGCAATCGTGCTCGCTGATACAGTGGATTTGCGAACCCGTACCGATCCTTTCAAGCCATTGATTCTTGCTCAGGGACACGTATTCATGTGGAGTGCTAGCATGTTCTGAAACTTCAACGGGCTCACCGACTTGATGATGCCATGATTGGTCGGGTGCTGTCGTCACGGAGAAGAGACTTACTAGCATGCAACCTCTGGACAGGCGGCTTGTCGGATTGCAAGCATGACCTTAGCTAAGTTAGCTGAGGTAGACTTTGACCCAGGGCCCATCGCTCTCTGACTCTGTGCTCTTCGCTTCTGCACATTCTGGGAGCCTACTTGTCGAACTCTCACCGTTGGTGAAATCTTGCCAGTTATTGAGAGGTTCATTCGCCGAAAGTCCATGGACGTATGCTTCTCCAATAAGCTTGAAGACTCTCGGGTGACAAATGCATTTGTTCCTGGCAGCGCCTTTGTCAACTCGAAGTACAAACGGTAAGTTGCAGCCCTTCAGGAGAACGACCAGATCTCCACGACGAAGTCCAGCAGGTCCCATGCCCATATAGCGACGACCCGAGGCGAAGAAGCGACGACACTGTCCGTGGCGTTGCACGATCTCCCGATAAAGATCGCCGTCAAATGCTTTGTCCATGTACCGCCTGTTCGATTCCACGTTTTCCGCAAAATCTTCCGGACCTTTTTCAGATCGTGGAGGGCGATACCACGCCGGCAGAGCCAATATTTTGGGGTGGAGATCCAGCGGGCCTGCCCCATGAGTAGAGGATGGTATGTTCTCGTCGAAATGATGAGAAGCAGTTTCATCATCAAAACCTGGTCCTCGGTTGGGGCGGTACTCTTTCGGGCACAGGCATCGAGCCTCTCGGTCTCGACATGTCATAGTCGCTGCTGCTAAGCTGAATCGAAGACCATCGGTGCTCGTATCGATTCTGTCCACATCCGGACTATTCCCAACTAGGGTCCGAGCGAAGACCTCCAAAGGGTGCTCTCCGGTCGGGTAGCCTCTGAAACAATGACCGAAGCACTGCAACACGGCTGTTATGTACTCGCTACGATCTTGAATTGTGTCCACGCCGCTATCTTGACGCTGCTGGCCTTCACCAAATTCTCCAATACAACATGCTGCGTACATGCAGACTGAGTCAAGGAAGAAGCAGTCGACTTGTAGCAGACCATCTTCATTGAGCTCCTCCAGTTTGGCACTTGTCGGCTGAGCAGCAGCCTCTGTCTTGGGCTCCAGAGGCTCCCAGATGGGAAAGTGAGACCAATCCGGTACCCAAGAGGGCAAAGCTGTCGACCTAGGCCTCGAGATCCCGGCGTGTGTCAAAAGGAGTATAGAACTCGCCTCGTCGATTATGATGCGTGCTATGCGCTCATAAAGCTTCTCGTATGGCTCATAGTGACTGACAAGGAGCTCGCGTTTACCTTCCGATCGTGGACCTGCTTGTGGCTTTTCGGCACCCTGAACCTCATACGTTCATTCAGCAGAGCGAGTATGCCATAAATCTTGTCTCTCGGGTCCCATGATTCCAAGCGCCACGTCAAGGAAAGTAGACGGTGGAGGTCAAGGGATTTGGAAGGCAGACCTTCGGCGTGTCTGCAGCACAGGAGCCGATGTTCGTATAAGGGTTCCAGCCTTGATTTTCTGGTTTTCCGCATACAGCTGTCGTGTGGTCATCATGTAGTGGGCTCTGACAAGAAGTCCCCAGTTGATGCAATAGTCTCCCCACAGAACGATCGGTGAAGTGCGAACGTCCGTCCAGAGGTTGACTTCTTGAACAACCCAGGTCCGGGAGAACCAAGCACAACTAAAAAATTGGAATGCGGCTCGTATCTCGTTTTCGCCCACTGTCATCTGAAGATCTTGACCATGAGGCTGACTGGGAGGGCCTTTGGACCTTGTGTGGAGATCTTCAAACTCTTGTGCCGACTTACAGAAAAGCCCAAGGGCCAGATCAGCATTGTCACAGCTTGGACCAAGGCACACGACGACCTGTGCACAATTTCGAAACACTCGCCACATTTTGGCGATCTGGTCCATCTTTTCTGCTACGTTGCGTTGATTTATGCAGATTCCATCAGCCCAAATCGCGTACGGCTGAGGATAGTCGGTGTAGTGCTTTCTGACTCGCCTCAGAGCACTGTCCAAATTGTGGTAGATGTGGTGCAGCTTGCCATTGCATATACTGGGAATGAGATCCGTCGTATCACCACAGACGTAAGAGACTGCAACGAAGTGATTCTTCATCTGCTCATAATCTCGATCATGCAAAGTGTATCTCAGCGGCCCGTCCCCGGGTGACTTCTCGAGATAGAGCACGCGAAACGCATTTTGCGATGGCAATTCAGGGAAATCGTATTGATCCGAGGAATTGACATCGGCTTGCATTGAGTCTTGGTCCTGTCTCCTCTCATATGCGCAGCCGGGGCAGGTATATTCTACCGCCAATCTCCTTTCCAAGATATGAGCTGCACCGTGGCAGGTCTTGCCTCCATCAATGCATGATTGGCACAAGTCGAAATCACCATCATTGCAAGTCAGACAATGATGATAGTATTCACCAAAATCAATCTGTTCGTTACACGTGTCGCAGATTTTGCTCATCGTCAAAGCAATCGTTGAGTGGGAGTAAGCAGGGTAACTTTGGGGACGGTGAAAAATGAAGTCGACTGAGAGATATTGTGAGACCAAGTCGGCATTGCTGATTGTGCAAAGTGGTGTTCACGAAGATGGGATGAAACAATCGCTTCAAGGCGAATGAGGCTGAAACAACGCCCCTATTCTTTCGCAGCAAGAACATAAGACGGATTCTTCCTAATTCGTCGGATGCAAGTTTTACTAAGCGATGTTTTAGCCAATTTCAACAACGGTGAGCGCCTGCATGGACTTGAACCTACTAGCGAGTGAGAGACTTTGCTTCTGGCTGCACTTTGCCGAAGAGCTCTCTACCAGGCCTAGAACCATGCTGAGACTGGGGCCAGCGTCTGGTACTTGCTTGCTATCGGCGGCATAGGCTGCTTCAAATCGTGCTTGGTAAAGGCTGGCAAAGATCATTAAGCGCTGGGCGACGTTCAACGCAATGTGATTGGTGAGATGACAACGATGGATGCCCTGTTCGCCGGGAAGCCGCGAACTCATAGGTAGGTAAGAATGTACTGCCCATTTTCTTTCCTCGCCAGCTGTCGTCCGAAGAGGCTGCAAGGTAGCAGGAACTACACATCGAGGCGACTCAAGAAGAAGAGCGTGCTCTGTTGGAGGTTCAAGGCAAATCAACGATTCTGATACCAGACTCGTGAGGCCCCCATGCTAAGACCCTTTGGGGAGAGATACTTCCATTGTCTGAACACATCGTGGTGGATGTGCGACGGCGGCACCATTTAGTGACCGACTTTCTTCCTACTGTGCATTGCGACAATCAAGACATGTAGGATGCCTGTCGACTGCTCTCTGTGCATCTGACAGATGATGCTGGCGGTAGGTTGTCTGTCTTGCTGGGGGACCTGGGTGTCATAGATGTCATTGTTCAACGTACAGGTCTTGCAGCTGTTCATGTCTGTCCATGTCTGTCCATGGCTGCCACTAACTTACTACCACCACCTCCTCCTCGGTCCGCCTTCCCCCTTCGGTCTCTGTTCTTTGCTCTCGGCTTATCGATATTCCTGATCCCGACGCTTTACCTTCCGAGGTATAGCCGCAAATATGGAATGATTCGCCAAGCGGATTGGAGTGCGGAGAAGTTGATCATCGAACAAAGTCGCAGCTAAACTTCTTTCCCCACCAGTGAAATGATCATCTCGGATCAGATCAATGAATCTTTGTAAACCTGTCGATTGACTGTTTATCCTTCGTTGTGATCGGTTCTCCCAGGTAGAGCAGCACTTGCTGTCTCGTCCTACCTTGCTTCATCGTCGTCCTCCTGTCCGCTTGCTGTGTCGGCCGGTCTTTCATCTCGATGGTCCGAGATCGGTCTCTCACGATCGCATCGTCACTTCTCCGTCATAATGGCGCCTCCTGATCCTCGGATCAACAGAATCTCTTACGCTCGTATGGTCCAGCCTGCGTTGCCAGCCTTACCTGGTCTTGGAAAACAACCACCGTCAAAGAAGAAAGCTCCGCCGCAAAATGAGTCTGAAAAGGTTGGCACAACTTCCGCACCGCCAACTGCGGCGCAGGAAGATACTCGAGACAAGGTCGAGTCGGAGGTGATTGCTTCGCCAGAGACTGCGCCAACGACCGCGTCCCTGGATGGGCCAGACGATAACGAGGGCAATGTTGTTCTCACTGGTTAGTACCTCACCTCTTCCAAACACTCGACTTTGACTCATGTACAAAAACAGGATCGCCTCCAACCTCAGACGACCAAGTCGCAACCACTGCTCCTGAAGAGATCACATCGAACCAAGCTGTCAACCAGTCCAGTACTGAGGAGAACGAGTTGGCCGTACCAGATCCCAAAGTGACTGCCGACGACAAATCCAACTTGCCTGCGTCTGATTTCACGGGCCAAGAAGGAACAAAGGATGAGGTGACCACTAGTATCGAGAACGCAAGTCACGAGACTGTTAAATCCGACCAAGGTGACATTCAATATCCTGCATGGTCGTCGCCAGCGCCAAGTGCTACGGCTGGTGACGAACACCAGCAGCACACTTCGGAGTCAAAAGAACTTATTGACCAAATTCCTGTTGTCTACGAAAGCGCCATCAGCCCTTCACCTTTCACACCCACAGACAACGGCACCCACTCTTCTGAGCAGGCCCGTAGTCAATCACGCGCAACTCAAGGTTCTGGTCCGACAGACACCTCTGAACCCATTGTGACGAACGGTTATCATCATCGGGCAATGACAGCGACCTCCAGTCGACGTCCATCCAGCCCGGCGCCTCCCGCGAGGATGCTCACCGCTCTGATCCCTCTTCACGAGCATCTCCTCCTGCTTGCACACACTAAAGAAGGCGTGGACTATGCGATTCAAGTGAACCCACCAGGTGTGCAGCCGTTCGTCGCTTACAGTCACTCAACGATGATGCTTCGAAGCCCACGACTCCGCAAGCTGATGCAGAGTGTGCAAAGTCTGCCAAACAACAGCTATGTAGGCAACCTCATCAATCTTTACCCTGCATCTTACATGGTCTCCCACGCCTTCGAGGCTGCTCTCCGGTTCCTCTACTCTGACACGGTCTTGTCCAACGACTTCTTTCTGCAGGCACAGCCTGGTCCCGACTTCCATGCTTCCAGACTTCACAACTTGGACTACATCTTGTCATACTGGGTGGCCGGCATCGAATTGGGCACTGAACAAGTCTGTGTTTGTGCAGAAAGACTCTTGTCAAACTTCTTGGACTGGGACATTATTGAAATCACATACAAACATGCACTGGATTTCGGCAAATCTCCGGTCGTTACCTCTGGCAAGAACATGACGGGTGCGGAGTATCTGATCGCCAGCAACACCATCATCAGAATGATTCTCCGCTTCCTCGCAGCTCGTATGAATATTGGCAGTTTCAAGCTCAATGTGGACTCGGTTTCAATTCACTTTGCGCCACGACTTCCACAGCTTGACGATGGCCGTCCAAGACACAATCCGACCTTGGCTTCGATGGTATTTGGCTCTATGCCTTCATCTGCCGGCATGTCTACTGCTTCACCTTCACCACAATCCGAGATCATTCCGAACCATACGACCTTCAGGGATACCGTGGCTTCAAACATCCTTCTCAATCTCGACTTCGAACACCTCTGCTTCTTCAAGAGCGCAGTTCGTACCGAGAATTCGGTGGATGACAAGGTCTTCAACCCAATCCTGGCTGCAATTGTGAATGAGCGAGAGTCTCGTCGCCTCCGAGTCTTCAACGCACGCTCTTTCTCCACCAAAGACCGCATGGCCAACCAGACCGCCTGGGACCCAGTTGGCTGGAGGGAGTACGTTGAAGAAGACGGATGGATTCACCGAGACCGTGTCGGATACCTTCACCGTCCTCAATCCAAATAGAGGAACCTGTTCAGTTTCATGCTTCGGCTATGACACCATTTCGTGGCGTTTCTTTAAGCGCTTGAGCGATTTTCAGCAAGCGGTTAGCTTGTCTTCTACGATGTTTTAGATCGGAAATGCATGGCGTGGCGTTGCATCGGATGAACAAAGATGGGTATGGCTTGGGAGAACATGTGGGAGGCTTCCGGCGCTTTCACGATTTCATATGGGGAGTTGGAGCTTGGATTGAGAAACAAAATGGGCTACGGAACAAAAGTGAGCGACTTTCATCGAGCTGTGCTTGGTTGAGCTGGTGCTGAATTTGTGTGAATATGCATGCGAAGAACTACCTTGCTTTCAGGGAGCTATCTTGGGCGCTATTGCGACAACACCTAGCTTGAGCAAGATCATCAAAATTGGGGAGTGTAATGACATGAGGGCTGCTAGATACCGAGAGAAAAGACAGAGCAATCAAATCAACTAATTGGCTAAAGCAAGGATTTTTGTCATAAGTCATCAAAGTGCTGTATCTCAACGAGATCCTGACCCGGAGACTATATCAACAGCGTCTTGGTCCGCATGCATATTCGACAACAGCCCTTCATCGTCTGGTCTGGGTGCGGAGCCCGACCTTGCTGTTCCACCTCTTCCAGGACCAGATCCTCTTGATGCCGAAGCAGAGCCTGAGACATTCCGCGGTGCTTGAGCCGCACCGGCCCCAAAGTTCGCACCATTCCCATCATGTTGACCAATATGCATGAATGTATTGCGTTCCTTAAGCCGGTCTACCCAGGGCTTGACCAGCGCCCAAGCGAGCAGACCTGCCGTTGCGAAAATGAAGACCACTACGACTGTCTCGTCTTTTAGAGAGTCGCGTTCTGCAGCATGTTAGCAAGACAACATCATTGGAATGGATACGGTGTGTGTGCATACGAAAACATGTGGTGAACACATCTTCTTCCCTCACGTTTTTGCATATAGGCAGGTTATAATCCAGGCAGAATGCGCGGGTGCAGTCTGCGCAGGTGAGTTTATGGTGTGGGCGAGGTGAAGATGCGGGCGGATTGGCGGTACTATCGTCGTCTTCTGCGGCTGATCGGACGAGGAGGTTATGGTGCTCGGATCGGGTCGAGGATGTAGGAGGGGCCAGGGCGATGATGGTGCTGTTGTTGAAGCAGATGCATTTGCAGAAGGACGTGGCTGTGGATTTGGCGGTCGTCAACCCGAGGAGAGAGAGAATCAGGGTGAGTATTAACAGCGGAGACGCTGGTGTGCGCATGTTGAGGCGTTCAACTCGTTGTAAGTATCGTTGCTCGCGACGCAAGCGTGTCTAGACGTTTGGGACGCATTGAGCGGACGGTGTCGTCTTGATATTGCAGTAAATGCCGCATACTCGACAGAACACAGTGTACGGCAGAGTAAGTGCGCTTGACTCCTGCAAAACCCCAGAGAATACCAGGTAATGTGATGTATGGCAAGTGTCCCCCACATTAGCCAGCTTCGTGTCGCGCCGAGGCTAGACTTATCTTGTTTTATCTTCTAACATTCTCAGCTCAATCTTTTATCTCTTCAATCATTCCATCTCCTGCCTTCCGTCATCACCGGGCTCTGGCAATACGGCAATCAGGAGCTTCGTCATTCAGACGCCCGATCCTGTCGCCAATCCCCAACTTGGGCTGGGCTGAAGCTCCATCTATCTGGTTCACCCGTCGTCCGTCAAGGATCAAGCTTCATTCGCATCTCGATTGATCAGCCTCGCATCGCCCGTCCCACATACATCAAGCCATGGCCGACCCCAAAACACCCGTCCCCTATGTCCTGAACGAGCGCGAATACCAACTCCTGCGAAAGTACGTGTTCCTCGTAACGGGCAAACAGCCCAATGTCACCACCAAACCAACAAGCGACGACACGACTACCACCACCACCACCACCACCACCACGGACGACAACAAACCCCGAAATAACAACGCCGCAGCATTCCGTTCAGCCTCACGCGTCTTTCTCTTGACCTTCGGCTCCCTGAAGGGCATCGACCTGCTCCTCGCACGTCTCGCCCAAAAATCCACATCCGGTTCCACATCTCCATCTCCAACTCCAACTCCCACATCCCCCTTTCCAACATCCTCACCCCACCGGCCAACTCCGGCTCCGAGCCTCGTACAATCACCGCTCAAACTCGCCCTGTCGCTATCCAGTCTATTGTATCTACACACAACTCTACATCGCATCCTCTCTCGTCTGAGGTCACACCTCCTCCACGAAAAAGTCAGGTCCATTCAACAACGCTACCCGAACCTCTACGCGGCCTTGACATCAACTCTCACACCCGCCCTGGGCGCTTCTCTCTCCGGCCTCGCCCTCTCCATCTACCCAGCGACACAACTTCGCATCGCGATAGGAATTTACACAGCCGCCCATGCTCTAGAACTCGGCTGGACATCCATCGCCCATCTCGAGACCATAAGAAAGTACAAACCGTCCTGGCTCGGATCATGGGTCCTCTTCGCTTTGTCTCAAGGCCAACTCTTCCACGCCTTCATCTTCGATCGAGACTGTTTCCCCGAATCTTACGGTAAATTCATCCTCGACTATACACCGGAGTATATCCAGCGACCACCATCCACCCTGTCTCCGAAACTCGCAAGCTCATGGCCTTCTACGGATAACGTCCTCGATGCCTTGGCCCAAATCGCACGGCTCAAATGGCCGCCTTTCATCAGTCCTATCCTCCGACCCAATGCGCCTGCTGTCGCCGTTTTGCCTGAGGGCGTCAACCCGATCATATCGCCCATAACATCGCGCGCGCACCCAGCGATCCAGAAACTATCCTGCGCGCTCATTCACCCTTCGAACCCGTCCTGTTTCATGGCCTACTTGCAGCAGAACCTGCTTGTGTTCCCGCAACTAGCGCGATTTTATGCCATGTACTACGGCGCCATGTCGGTGATGCGCTTCAAAGCTTTTCTGAACGAGCCGCTCAAGTCTCTCAACGGTTTAGGCGAGTCAGTCTTACGATCGACGCTCGCCGTTTCGGGTGCCATCGGCACCGCCTGGGCTAGCATATGTTTCTTTCAGGCGATATTTCCAAGGGCGTTCCTTCCTCAATTTCGGTTCTTCCTGGGTGGTTTGCTGGGTGGCTGCTTTCAGATATTCGACCGTACACCCGCTGGGCATCTGCAAACCGTGTACGCTGCGAGGGAGAGCGTTTACTCGTTGTGGAAGGTCGGGGTAAAGCATAGATGGTGGAAGGGTATTCGTGGCGGCGATGTCGCGCTGTTCGCCGCCGCACTAGCCTTGATCAATGTAGTGTTCGAGAAGGGGAGGAATACGGCAGCGGGTCAGGATCCTTCAATGATGTTGGTGAAGGTCCTCAGAGGCGAGATCGAGGTAGGGCTGCCGGTGCGCAAGGAGCACGATGAAAAGGCAGCAGAGTAGTTCAATGGTATACATTGCAGGAGGCCTCTCGTCCCCGGGCTAGAAACAGCCATCTTGGGAGGGAGGCCATCTACCACACAACAACGCAAATAAGAACGCTATCATACAGGACGGGTGTCGGCCTCATCGCTGCTCTCGTCATCGACGACCGTGACTTCGACCACGTCTCCAACGCGTTCCTCATGTTCTAGATAAGGAATTATCGGGTTGACACTTGATCCATGCTTTTCCCGTGGAACAAACCACAGTTGAACCACCCCAACCAAGCCCACGGCGCCGGCGCCGAAATATGCTAGACCAGTAAAACCGATTTTTGAACCCCATTCGTACAGTAACCCTGCAATCGGTGGTGCCACTGTCCGGCAAGCTGCGCCAGCTGCAGCCGCCAGACCATTGATACGACCAAGGCATGAAAGTGAAGGACTCGCTTGCTTGAGAAGAATGAGAATGACCGGATAGTCGAGGATTGAGAGAAGGTTGCGGAGCGTTAGGCAAAAATAGATGCCCGGGTATAGCAGGTTCCGAGGCAGAAGAGCAAGGTAAGGCACGATGAAAAATGCCACCGGATGCATAATCGTGACAAGAACAAAAACCCGCCACACACCGAGTCGTTCGGCGGCGACAGGGAAAATGACCGCCTGGATGAAGAGGGCGATCAAGCCATTGAAGGACATAATAACGCCAACATCTTTGGTGGTCAAACCCAAACCACCCGGGATATGAAGCGGACCAAGACCGAAAAGTGCGACATCATCAGCACGCCGATCTTGGAAGAAAATTGGAAGCAGATGGTCGTAGCACATGGAATGATAAGTGTACAAGCTAAGTGCAAGCGTTAGCATGGCCACCCTCTTAGTCAGCCATTTCTCGGGCGTTTGCTCGACCACCGATGCAGGCCTCGAGGTGCCGTTGGCGTTGAGTCTCCATTGAGAGATTTTCTGGATGTCGACTTCGTTGAAAGTACCAAAAGAGTCCCGTCTGAGGTCAGTGCCTGGATCGCCATTGGCACCAGCGGTCAAGATCATAGGCGTTCGTTCGTTGGTGACTTCGTTGTTGGTGGGAGGGGTCGGTCCTGGTCCTGCTCGGCTCCTCTTTTGAAGTCTGGATGTGTCTCTTCGAGCCAGAAGAAGCCAATGATGATGCTGGAGAACATGATCAAGGCACAGACGAGGTTGGGCAGGAGAAATGGAAATTGACCGAAGAGTCCATCTTTCGAGAACACACCCGGGTAGAACTTGACAGGATTCGCCAGCAGCCCACCGATCGCAGGGCCGATGATGCACCCAATGGACCAAATGAAAGGCATGATAGCGAAGGCCTTGGGCTCGTGTTCCGGCTTTGTCACGAGCTCCCCCACCATGGTTTGAATAACTCCTGTATTCTGTCAGACCAATGCATCCTGTGCGGGTTGTATACGATTGTATACCGATGTTGCCATTGAGTGCACCTCCGAGGGTTCTTCCCGAAAGTGCCATGGTAAAACTGGTGGGAAACCCGACGATCAACAACGACAAGACTGTGCCGAACAAGCCGAGAAGTAGGATAGGTTTTCGGCCCATGCGATCTGAGAGGGTGCCCCAGAACATGCTAGTGAGGGCTTCGGAGCAGGAGAAGGAGGCAATGAGGATGCCGGCGTAGAAGGAGGCATCATGAATGCCAAAGCTCCTGACCATGAGCCAGGCATAAGGGAATATGGCGGTAACGGCGATGGGTTCTGCTAATCGACATATCCCTGCAAGTGGTGAATGAGAGAAGTTGTGAAAAGTGTAGGCCAGCAAGCGTACCTAGGATGAGGAACTGGGTGGCAGGGAAACCGTTATCGGCACAGGAATCAGTCTTTCTTCGTGTAAGTCTCGTTTTCCCAAGTATGCCCCAATCTCTTACGACCTGACCTCCGCTCGCCGCGGTCTAAGATTGTCACTGGCTTACACAGTGAGATGAGACGAAGCGGTACACGAAGGAGATGTGAATAGCCAACGGAGTATGGTCGACCAGTATAGCGGGTAGAGCAATTGAGGTACGATAATATTATTCTTTGGTGATGAAGATGTAGAGAGGAGGTAGTCGAAACCTGAAAGGCGGTATGTGAGTTGAGGAAAGAGCAAAGATGCGCAAGTTGAAGGCGAGATGGTGAAAGTGACGCACCAACGAAAAAGCTCTGTCTGACCACGAAGGACTTCCGAAGCTGAAGGTATTCACTTTACTGAGGATGAATGGTTTTCCAGGCAACGGGCAGCCTATGTCGAGAAGAAATAAATCTTCTAGATTCCCATGAAGGCTCCCTTGTTTGACACCGCCGCTGCACTGTTTTCTGTAAGTACTAGGTACTCAAGTGGTTCAGCTGGCTACGAGGAGGCATGGTCTTTACCGAAACGTGCAGGTTGTACTGTCAGACACTGACATTTTCCTTAATTGTCATTTGTCTTGACGGCACGACGGAACAAGCTGCCGAGATCTACAAGTATAAGCCAAGGAAGCCTTCTGGCAAGACAACCTGGGGTAAGCCGGATACGAGGTTGAATGATGCACCAGAGTATCGAGTATGATCAGAAAATCGCCCAGCACTCCAGCAACGTGTAATGTACTTGAGAGGCTTTCTTCGTATATGTATCGTTGGGAAAAACGACTTGTTCTTGCAGAGATCGCTGCATATAAATCTCGGCGTCATACTAACCACCTATGCTCCATGAGGGCGGTCAATTAGGTGCACTGACTAGATTGATAGACATACGCAGCAGATAGCGTCGCTGTACAAGCCAACAGTGCTGTTCATTGGTTTGGGATTCGAAGATCGGTCACCCACACTCCGCCGTTCAGATGATGGTGTTACAAGATGCAGGGGCTTGACAGGGCAAGCTGAAATGCCATAACGCTGAGTTTGCCTTTTGACGCCGATGCATTTCCGGAGATTCTGACGCTTAGCATCAACCCAGTAACCCTAAGCCGTTATGGATACCATACTCCAGGTATCTGACCTCAAAGTCTTCATTCCGACTCTGGCTACCACTCAATTCGAATCGCCATGTAGGAGGTTGGCTTAGTGAGTCAGCCGCTGAGTGCTGTTATAACTGACTTCTTGCGTTGTTATACCGATGAAGACTGCCTGGTGTTGTACGGCAGTTACAGAAAGCGAGACCGTCAGCAACGTCAGACACTCCAACCATCTAGTAAATGAGGTTCGTGCCATTTGTAAAACAAACTATTTGATCGACAGTCCTCGACTTGTATTCAACATTTCCAGATAATTTGCTTTCTTAAGGTGAATATCCAAACCACCAGGCCCTCATCACGCTTCCAATGCCGAGGCCCAATCTCCTCCACCACGTAAAGACGTTCCACAACACGAAAGCACCCGGTGAAGCGCGGGCTCACCGCCCCGACCCCGAAAGCCTACTACGTCCTAGTAGACCAATCGGCGGGCTTCGGGCCGAAGTTCGATCCATGCTAGAGCACATCCATCGTAACTCTATACAACAACGAGATGCGTCTTGACGGGGTCAGGTGGGCAAATGCTGGAAAGCCGCTTCCTCACCTGGGTTCAGAGACACCAGCGCTGAAGCCGGCCTCTGCTGGCCGGACGCCGGAGACGCGTCCCAGGCAATGGAGCCAGCCACCAGTAAGGCCGCTCGGGCCGAGATGACCAATCCCCGCGATCCCCCTGGGGAAACCAGATGGCCCAAAACCGACGTCGACAACATCTCACATTCGTCAGAAGACTATAGACTGTCGCCACGCTCTGTCTCTGCACTGCCTCTTGCGCATTGTCACTTACATCAATCAAGGCAGGTTAGATGCACCGCACCCTATGTGGGCCTCGTACGTCCCCCAAACTCCTTACGAGTTGAACGTACAGTATGTTAGTCAATCGAGGCTATTGAGGTCGTGATAAGTCCAGCTCACAATGTCTTGCCGTTGGTCCTGTCACTGCAGAGCAGCCGCCAAGAACGATGCCTCACCTGTTGCTGCTGACAGGCTACCACCCACTACTATGGCCACGGATATCGATGATTAGAAGAAGATACGCAAGGAACACCTATGTACCATGAGGAGATCAGTCCAGCACGTCGTATTGCTGAGTCGGCACTAAGGCGCTGATCACAAAAAGGCCGAGCGCAAAAGAGCAAGTAACGTAGCTAGTCATGGTGTTTATAACTGTACCACGTATTGCGAATAGGTCCTGAAACAAAGCCTCGGTGAGTAGTCATACCGAGGCTGATATCAGAGCTGGATGGTTTGAGCCTACTAGGCCGCGGTTCAAAAACACACGGGGAGTACCTGGTAAATACGCGGAGAGCTAAACGTGGGGTGCTAAGCCTGGGGTGCCATGTCGGTGCCTCGGCCGCCCCAAGGATAACAGTCGAGCTCAAACAATCGTCGTTCTGCCGAGTACGATTGTCCCTAGTAGCCCCCACTAGTGATCTACCCCTTATAAAGTTGCAGGACTTTGCAAATCTATCCCGCACTTGGTCTTGACGCCAATCTGCAACCACAGTCTAGGCAGATCTCAGCTGAAAACGTGCTTGTTACTGCTCGAGAGCATGTCAACCCAGAAACTGATTTCATACGTGGCGCATCTCCATAACTGGATGAGGTGATATGCTCACCTCGGCTCATATAGAGGCCTCGGTTTCCACAATCGTCGTGATTGTCTGGCTTTTTGGACGAAGATGTAGACAGTATATATCCAATATGCATACCTTTGCCTATAAAGATAGGAAAGCCAACATCCCTTCCCTGAGTCTCGTCCTTCGACTTGAGCACTTGGTGTATTTGCTCTGGGACCCGCCATGGCTTTCAGTCTTATTGGATCAATCTCTCCTTATGTCACCCCCTGGAGAGGCGTGGCTGCTCTATGTCTTCTCCCTCTTTTGATTGTCTTGGGTTTCTACATCTGTTCGACGCCGAATATTCTGAGAGACCTGAGACGACGAAAACTTCCCCCAGGCCCAACAGGACTGCCATTCATCGGCAATCTGTTTGACCTGGCAGACAGTAACCATGTAAAAGACAAGGCCATCGAATGGTGGCAGAAATACGGAGACGTGTTTTATACGAGGATCGGTGGAACAGATTATATCTGGCTATCGTCACCCAAAGCCGTCAAAGATCTTATGGATAAGAAATCAAACATATATTCCTCCCGACCGCCCATGCCTCTGGCCCAGGATACAGCGAGTGCGGGCTGTCGACAAGTGTTCATGCCTTATGGTCCACGGCACCGTACTGTGCGCAAGATCAGTCACGACCTCCTGAACATCAACGCAACTGCGCAATACCAACCGATCCAAGATGTCGAATCCAAACAGCTAATGTTCGAATTGCTTGAAGATCCCAACGGCTTTTACGACTATAACCGGCGCTATTCCGCGAGCTTGATTTGCCGAATCATATATGGCGAACGAATTCAGGATTGGACAGATCCATTGATTCAAAAAATCTTCAGCGTCCTGATCAATCTGTCTGATATCTCGAGTCCCGGGGTTCATCTGATTGACACCTTTCCAGCACTCAAGATTCTGCCGCAGTGGATGTGCAATGATTGGAAGAACTACGCACGAAAAATATGTGAGCATGACTCAGGCATCTATTTAGAGCTTTGGAGAGACCTGAACAAGAAGGTCGCTGCCGGGAACATAAAGCCATGCTTTGGCAAAGACTTTGTCGAAAAAGACCTCGAAAAGTTACAGATGAATGAGCTCGAAGCTGCGTTCCACACGGGACACTTGATTGAAGCAGGAGCCGAGACGACTTCCGCAGCATTGAACAGCCTTCTTCTTGCTTTGACCTTGTATCCTGAGGCCAGCAAAAAGGCCCAGGAGGAGCTGGATAGGGTGGTGGGCCCCAACCGGCTGCCAACTTTTGAGGATCAAGACAAACTCCCCTACCTCAAGGCCCTTGTCAAAGAAGGCCTCCGGTGGCGGCCTCCTAACCAGTACGGCATGCATCACGCTGTCGTCGAGGACGACTGGTACGAGGGCATGTTCATACCCAAAGGCGCAGTAGTCATGTTAAACTGGTGGTAAGTCTTTTGTTGTACTGGATATGGGTCTTTTGGAAATGCTGATCATCTTTCTGCTTCAGGGCTATTCACTTCAACCCAGAGGTGTGGGAGAATCCATACGATTTTCACCCCGAACGATACCTGGGTCACCCGTCGCCTGCAGCAACTTATCTGAACGCTTCTGACCCTTCAGCAAGAGACCATTTCGCCTATGGAGCGGGAAGGCGTGTCTGTCCGGGTATACACGTGGCGGAGCGCTCCATGTTCATCAACATTGCTCGAATTCTCTGGTCGTTCAACATTTCCAAAAAGGTAGTTGATGGTAAAACTATCGAACCAGAGACACTGTGTGTTCCAGGATGGTTGTCGGTGCCGCAAAAATTCGAATGCTCCATCATCCCCCGCTCCGAGAAGCACGCAGAAGTCATCAGAAGAGAGCATGAATTGACCAAAAAAGACATCTGATGCTGCTGTGGAATTAGGGGATTGGGTATCCATGACTTCTACAACGAGGATGTGATTTTGATGGTATCAGGTTGTGTTTGACCGTGGCGGCTGTTGAGTTGTCAAAGGGCAAGAATTTCGGTGAAAAACGAGATAACGAGGACTCGGACCCGTACCTCCCGTCTATGGATATTGACACCACATGCATACCAGGTCGTGAATAGTCTAGTCAGAGACTTGAGTGTTCTGTGTCTCCTGAGTCCCTCGTCTTATCTCCTCATTATCTCCAGAGTGGAGCAATTGACGGCTATGATCCTTGTGAAGCAAATGAAGTGGGCGCAATCGTAGTAGACTGAGGCTTCGACTTCACTAAGGTGTCGTTGAATGTACTTTGGTCAGTGAATATAGTTGACGTTCTGCGTATACAATCGCAATGTCGAGAGACTTGAGGCTGGAGGAAGCCTGGCACTCTTTTGGCCTCTCCGATGATGACGTAGTTATGCTGAGTCACGAGTAGTCCAAGACTCGCAACACATCGTCTGAAAGGAGAATCATGCGAACAATGGTCTTGCATCTATATTTGGACAGCCATTCGATTACTGCTGCGCTCTTATTCATTATCATTATCTCTGCTTTGGCTTTCAACGAGACTCGAGCTTCACGGCCCCCATTCAAGATGACCAACGCTCATCTCTCCGGAACCGCGGCAGTGGCAGTGCTGACGCAGTGCTTGCCGCGGTCGACGTGGACAGCGCAACCGACGACTCAGTGTGCGTGGCTGAGGCTGGGCCCGTGGCACCGCCATTGGTGCCGTTGACAGGGAACGTCCCTGTCGCAATGTCCAAGCCGTTGATGGCGCGGGAGAAGAGACCAAGCGCTGCAATGGGTTGATAGTACGGAATCTCATGTCCGGACTCGTAGATTCGGGTGAACGAGAAGTTTCCGTACTCGCGCGTCTCGCCATACTCGACGCCGTCCACCATGAAAGGAGTGTAGCCAGAAGCAGCGAACTCAGCAGCATGCGGCCATTGTGCGGCCAATGACACAGCCTGGCCACCGAACCAGTTGCAGATGTAGTCCGCATCGCCGTACGCGAGGGTCACACGCACGGACGAGCTATTGATGATTTGCTCCAAGTCCTCGAGCAGGTTGATGTACACAAAGTCACCGGTGTCTTGGAACGCAAGATACACTTCGTTGTTGGCATCGCTCGTGTAGTTCGTGTCGACGCCGAGGGCGTTCTGGACATTAGGGGAATTGAGATAGTCGATGAAGTACGTCGGTGGTGTCGGGTCATCCATTGGATGGCGGATGTCGTAGACGCCTCTGTCTGCGCCTTCGTAGTAATAAGGACTCTCTACGTTGTCGCGACACATGTCTGCGGCCTCGGTGCAGATGGCCTGGCCACTGAGCGTGGTAGTATCCACTTCGGCACACAGCGCGATCTGGTCCAAGCATCCATTGGTCATGTAGGTAGCGAAGGTCATGTAGTCGTAGACGGTCTGGTTGACGAGCGGAATGCCGTAGGTGTTTCCCACCGCAAACTTGGGGTATTCAGGTGCTTGAATGTACTCGGAGATGATTCCGTTGATGATACCCAGGTTCACAAACTCGAAGTATTTGCCAGTTTCTGTGCCATTGAGAATGGCCTGGTTGTGTTGCTGGAAGTAGTCGAAGAATGCGGGACCATAGTGGCCTACACCGTGTCAGTGAACGCCTCAGCATCGATGGACACGGCCACTTACCGCCATAAGATTCAGTCCAGAGGTTGAACTTCGTGGATTGGACTCTTGAGTCAAGCTGGGGCAGGGCAGAGTAGAAGCCCTGCAAGACTTCCCAGGCGGCGATCGCAGCCAGTTGCGTGGTGTCTGCATCCACATCAGTACTCTCAGCCGAAAACCGCCCAGTGTGCGAGCACTTACCAATAGCAGATGCATTGATGACAGGGTATCTGCCTGTGACATTCGCCTGAGATGCATTCAAGAAGCTTCCCGTGATTGGGTCCAAAGAGCCCGGTGCCTAGGACCATGTCAGCGCCAACTCTTCCCTGACTTGCTGTGTTGACCACCCACCTTTGAGCCGTACGAAAATCCAACACCAAGAGGTTGACTGAGGTAGATCATGTTCGAAGCTTCGTTCCATGAGTACGGGTTCAATTGGGAAATCAGGTCTTCGGTGATGTTGCATGGTCCATGTTCTGCCGCACATGTTAGTACTTGCTGTAGGTGCTGTCGTCGATATTGGTATTGCTCACCTTCGAACAGCCCAATGAGCGAATCACTTCCCGGACCACCATTCAGCCAGAGTGTGATTGGATCATTCGCAGGATCATTCCTCGACTCGAAGAACCAGAAGAAGCTGTGCACGTCCGGTGCCAGGTTGATGAAGCCAGCATAGGAGTTGACACCTGGGGTGGTCTCACAGACACCCGCTTGACCAGGCTCTTTGTAGGTGATGTTCACACCATTGGGGCTGATGATGGTCTGCACGTCGGTAGGTTCTGCGGGCAGCTGTCGTTTCCGGACTTGGAGCTGAGGGCCTTGGTGCCTTCCATTGTGGACCACAGGACCTGGAATTCTCGCGGAAACGCCAGCAACGAGCGCACTCCCCAAAAGGGCGAGTTCAACTGCCTTCATGATAAGACCTCTGCGGGAGACGGCGGAGGTTGAGAGGCAGTGAGGTAGACGAGGATGGGAGTGTAACGATACAAATACTGCTGCCTTTCCACTGGAGGACAGAGGATTCGCTGTGTAACTGACCAAGTACCGAACCGACGAGAAGTGGGCAGTTGCAGTAGGAGAGGAGAAGAGGTCGGTGATAGAAAAGCACACGAGAGCACGCGGGGTGCTTTATGCGCAACGAAAACACCTACCATACCACCCTTTTCCAGAGCTCCTCTTCCTTCTGAGAAGGATCATCCTAGTGCCTGCAGTAGCTTCATAGCTCTCTCGAGCTTTGGACTGGTGTGGCAGCCGAGGCGAATCGGTTTGGACAATTTGCAAAGCTCGCCATTCGTCTGCAGAGGTGTTCCTGACTTTTTTGTCAACATACAATGACGTCGACCAAGACGGAGAGTAGCATCGAGACAGGGATTCCGACTGTAGGTGATTGTCGATAGTGTAGACCCCACATATGTATCTGATGATAGATAACAACGACTTTCCGATACGGGATTAGCGAACATTCTTCATCTGCAATCAAACCCCATACGGCAGGTATCGAAAGAAGTTTGAGAGCCGTTGAGATGTTTCCGGCAGCAAGACAAAGTGCAATCCCGCACGCCGCTTCCCGTGGAGGGTCATAAGCTCGACTTGAAGGAGCTTGGAGTACAGCTTGGGTAGCGGTGTTTCGATGGGTCATTCAGGCGACGATCAGCCATTCACCAGCCATCAGGTACATTCTCCGTCGGTAAGCAGTATTGGTTCCACTGCTTTGAACATTGCCTTTCGGCCCCCAGCATGTTTCCCTCATGTTGTACGGAATTTGCCTGCGGTGCAACTGCAGATGGCCTGAGCTCGTCTTGTCCGTCTAATCAGAAGCACTTAAGGTTTTCGTGGCATTGCTTCTGCCCTGACTAGCAGATGAAGGTGTCATGGACAAGCTCATCGAAGCTATTGGCGCCGTGTACCAAGAGTGATCTGCTTATCAGCCATGCATGAGCCTTACAAGGAATGGCGGGGTTGGCCTAGATTAGTGTGCAGGATCAGGATGGATAAGGTAGTTATCTTTGTTGCCACTGGTCGACGATAGTTTGGAAGGTGACATCGCCGAATCTAGGTCTTTCTGATAAAGCACATGACGAGTAATACGCTGGAGCAGCAAGGGGAAGAGAGGGGAGCACGAAAGGAGGGGCAGAATACTTGAAGATACTTTGGGCCAACCGAGGCAATTCTTGAATAGGAAGCTCTTATCAAAAGAAGAATTCCTCTTCTCTTCACCATGCATCAAACATATTGGACTGAATGGAAATGAAGAAATCTTCAAGTGGCCGAAGTGGTCAAAATAAAGCTCCGTGATGTCTTGCAGTAATACGACGGCAACCACCCGCACCTTTAGATGAGATCTGCAAGCCACCCATACCGTATCGCAGCTAATGAGGATTTTTGGTGGCAAGCCACAAGACGCGTACGAGGTGCTTTGTACGAGTACACCATATGGCGTCCTTTAGCCTGATGATTATGATCAATCACTTTTGTCATATATCGTGGTTACAGACTCTGATACAAAGTACAGTATATACAAAATGCCTTTCTTCCCCAACCATTGATTCATAGCAGGCATAGCACATAAGGCCTAGGCCACCAATGTAACATTCGCTGGCTGTTCAGCATAGCCTGAACCATCAATTCCCACACCTGCGTGATCCTTACCAAAGGTATGCTCCTCACTGTTCATGTCCAGATCTCCGGCATCAAATCCATTCAACCATTGCAAGTTCATGTCCATATCATCTTCCACACTGGAAAACAGATCACTGCCACCCTCCAGGTTCACAAGGGACTCGAAATCGAGTTGCGTCAGCTCTTGCTGAGGTTCGTCGGCTCCCTTATAGTCCAATTCATCCTCCTGGTGGATCTCGCGCAAACCAGCAGCGGCCCCGCCAGTGTTGTATGAATGCAAGCTCGCTTCAGAACCTGCCGAGCCCGGCGGTGTGAAAGCGGAGAGAAGGTTGCGCTCCTCAGGAGCCAGAGTCGAGCTGAATAGCAGAAGCTTTGCTGTTTGCATGGCTTCTGGAGGCGGTGTGAGAAGCAACGGTCCCGAAGGGAAAGGCTTGTGCTCGAACGGGCTTCCACTGTTCGAGAACTGCTCCTTGTTATCGGAGGCAGCTGTGGCAATGGTAGCCGCACTGAGCTGACAATTCGTCTTACGAACAGCGGCATCCAAGAACGAGAATGAGAAGTCTGCCGAAGCATACATCTCGCGAAGTCGTTGCAGAGCTTGCATACAAAATTGAAACTTGCGAATGCTAGCTTGTCGAACGGCAGCATCCGTTGACTTGATGTCGAGTAGGTGGATAATGATAGCCGGCAGAAGGCATGTCACTCCCGTGTTTGGCAAGAAGCGGATCAGATCGTGGGCGAAGAGATCTCTGTACATGTTGGTGATGTCGTCTGCAGCTTCACGGACTTTGCGCTTGGACAATTCTCGAAGCTCGGGAGCAACCACAACTGTTGGTGCAGAGGGTAGGATCTGTGGTCTATGCAGGGCGCTGACAGCCGTAAGGTAGATGCCGGTCAAAAGTGCCCTATGCAGGTTGATGATATCTCCGTCATTAGTGCTTGGACAGTCCCGAGAGCCTGGAGCAAAGAAGCGCAAGGACGGCGATAGGTTCTTGTACCACTCTTCGAGCTCTCCGTCACATCGAATCACGTCACATGGGTCGGCGGCGGATTTCTTGGGTACCAATCTCATGGTCGTTTCTTGTGTTGCCCCGATCTTGTGGCCGAGGGTTGAGTATTGTACAGCGAGAACCTGGGTGATGCACATGCAGAGATCAGCTAAGGCCATGCACATCTTGGCCAAAGTCACTCGCGTCGAGATGTCTTTGACGGCGGGACAGCCCCCGAGCAAGCGAGTAAGCTCGGTCGGCAGAGGTTCAGTCTCGAAGTCGCTCAATCCAAGCATAGGGACGTCGAAATCTCCCTTGTTGATTCTCATTGGACGACGCATGCCGATAGCAATCAGGCGGTCTCGCATAAAGCAACACCACCATATCCGCTTCCATAGACGTCGTTGTTGCATGCTCATCAAGGGAGCATTCGACGTGTCGCAGTTGAGTCCGATGGTTCGTGCAACAGAGATGGCAACGCCCAGCCAGTGCCAGACATCCTTGGGGTCATCCGGGTTTTCGTACCAATAGGTCATCAGCAAGACACCCTGGACCACTGTGACGCGGTCTATCTCGTAGTCGAAGTCGTACAGCAGCTTAACTCTCTGGAAGAAAGATTTCCTAGCCGCTTTACGAGTCATGTAGCCTTGTGCTACCAGATAACGCATATCTATATATGCAGTAGCAGCGAACATGACGGCTTGGAACAACAACAGGCTGACGGTGTCGGTGGGTTGGTCCTTTTGCACGGTACCAAGAAAATCCTGCAGGTCGATCAACGGCAGGTATGGATGCACATACTGGACATAGCAACGAAGCAATTCGTTACGCAATCCTGGCTCGGGCACAATGAAGGCCCCCTTCTTCTGCAGATATTCGAGATCTTCACTTGCAAGCCTTGGTGAGATTGGCTTGATGAAAGGAGGCAGGGCGATTTCTGGTCGAGGGCTTTGCTGTGGGAAGTACGACATTCCGGTAGGGAGCTGGGCTGGTGTTGGATGAGGTCTGGTGCTGATCGCGGACATGCGTCTGGTGCGTTCTTCTCTGCTCAGTCGATGACCTTGTGTCTGATCTGCAGCACTCTTGTCAGTGAATGTGACGCACAGTAGATTAGGAGACGCACAGAGCATATGAGGTCTGTGGTGACTGAGCTCAAATTCCAAAGCATGCAGATTCTGACCGGGCTCGACCGAGGATAGCGCAGGCGCAAAGTCATTCAGACCATCGATATCGTCAAAGATGGGAAACTGTGGAGGTTCCGTTTCCTCTTGGATTGAGTTGCACGGAGACTGATGAAACAGCTCGCCTTCTGCGCATGACTTTCTTCTCCGTTTCCCCTCCGTGACTACGCATTCCACTTCGTCGAGTCTGCAGTTTGTGCAGGGAATGCCGCCCTCGACCACGTCGCACCTGACTTTCCTGGATCGACAGCAATGGCAAGCCTTGGATGCTCGTCGTTTCACTGTCCTTCCGCCTGTGGTGAGTCCAGCCACCGACGTCTTTCTCTTGACCTGGTTGTGCATTGTACACAAGTATATAATGGCCAATGCGAAAAGTAGTACCTTAGGCAATGACACTCGGAGAACACAAGAGTAAACCTGGGAATCTATGGACCTGGGGAACAGGAAGATGCAGAGACGCAGAAAGAAACCGAGGGGCAAGCAAGAAACCGAGCGTGGGCACTGGGGATAGATATGGATGAGCGCACGGGTCCAAGTCTCGCCTTAGTCCCAGCACACTGGCGCGATCGAGACAGGACTAAACCGTCCAGCATGCTAAAGATACCCCGGACGTCCCCGGCCTGGCATGAAATCATCCGTTCGAGGTTAGCGATTGGATGATCGCTAGTCAAAAAACACCCATGCGCCGGGGTCCTCTCCTCTGCCGCTTGTCGGGGGGAACCACGTTGCCGATGCAATCGTTTGTCGTTCATGGCCTCTTCTGATTCTTACCATTACGTGGGAGCTGTGTCACATTCTTAAGAGATCTCCCCAAGAACCAGGGCTTCGACACCCACCAGTACTGCTCAGGACGAAGTCTAGTTGTAGACCTGAATGCTGGGAGCTGAGAGCTGCACGCGGGGAAGCGAAAATTTTGAGGGAAACCCCCACCAAGAGCAAACAACCCCAGTCTCCTAGATTGGGGCACTAATTGGCGACAAGTGTTGCTGTCACGAACTGCTGGAGCCACCTGTGCATGTCAGGAGCTAGGACAATTTCCGTTTGGTTGAAAGGATTTCGAGTTCCCGTGCCGATTTATCCTTTTTGCTGCCGTTCCTTAACCTAGTGTCTTGAAAGAGCGAAAGTCTGAGGTGGCATGCTGTTGTTTCCGGTGGAAGTGGTTTGGTCCGGGCTTGTGCAGCCCAATCGTTGTTTCGTCTCCATCCTGCCAAAGGCGCATCAATCGGAATGACTCGCCAACTCGAGATTTCGAAGCCATCAGGGTCTGGTCAGACCGTCTTGCCCAGTCAGCATCAAGTGTAGAAGAGGAGAGATTTGCCCACGGCACATTTCCGAGCATAGACCTGGGTGGTAAGCCCCGTGTCTGGAGACAAGGAAGTTCTCGAGAAGCATTAGCGTCAAAATCCCCTCTCGAATGTTGTTCTCGAGAAGATCGGCATTATTGGGGTGACTGGGCGAAATCAACTGACCGCTCAGAAGCCTCTTGACAAGCCACACTGGGCGCTATGTCCAAAGACCATGGAGAATGAAAGCCGTCCTTGCCGTCTACGCCGTTGGTAGTCAGAGTGATACCTCATGGCGCAGAGAATAATGATGTCGAAATGGCGGGGTAAGGAGAATCCATTGACGCGACGAGTCAGAATTCCTGACTGCGATAGATTCTGCCTCTCGCTGACTCGCTTTTCTCTCCTTCCAGTAATGACTCCTCCCGTTCGAGTCACCCCCTAGTGTCCAGATTTTTCGTATTCGACAGTGCGAGGAACTGGCACGATGGGCAACTTAATGTTTTCAGCGGCTGGTTAGCATAAATCACAAAACTTTGAAAATGTATCTTGTACAGCCTCGACTCTTGGTACGGATGGATGGTAGACTGGCCAGAATACCGGACTGCTTCCTGTGGCGTGAGGCATCCACCGAGTTCGCAGGCGTACTCGAATCTCTTGCTTCACGGCAATATTGCACATCGAGTTTTCAGAAGAGGCCTGCAACTTTGTCTGCTTCTTCGAAGTCTGGATTGGAAATCGCTTTGAAGTCGTGGCGACACAGTACAGGCGCTCCAAGCAGGGACTCTGCAGGATCCCTGGACGGGGCAAGAGTCCTCGCGAGACTCAGTCTGACAATGCGTGAGTGCAAAGTGCCTGACCCTTCTCACGTGCCCTTATCGATATTCTGGGCGGGTTAATGCCAAACCACGGCACCGCGTCGCGTGCCCCTAATTTACCGTGTATGTCGCACGTCAATGCCATCATCCCCTCACTAGTTGTAAACGTTGATGCCCATTTGTTTATACTGCCTTTTACGGAATGACCATGCGATCGGGTTGATATGGACCAAGCTTCGTCGAAAAACCCAGTGACACACAATCTTGCATCCATACCTGGACTGACTGAGGCCGAGCGAAAGAAAGCTGCGATTCTTATCCAGGTTCGAGAATACTCAGTCCAGCACGCAAAGACTCTGTTGATTAAGGGTTAGAAAACCTACCGAGGTCATCGTGCCCGCCGCCAGCTTGATGGCTTCGGTCTCGATGCTTCTACAAGGTGGTACGAGGTTGGTTGTTCTCCCATCTTGGAGCCTTCACCTCTAACCATGTGGGACTAGGCGGTGAAAGACGCACGATCGCGAGTTGACCGCACCGAGACCACCTCCTTCAGATGATTTCTCGAACGCAAATACGGGCGCCAAACTCAGATGGCAAAAAGCCACAGGGGTCGCTCGCAGAGCTGGAGCCGATGATCGCTCCCCTTCCGTGTCCGACATATCCTCAGATGAGTCCAGTAAGGCTGAAGGGACCTGGCGTGAAAATGCCACCGTGAAGGAAAGGGAAGAGATCAAGAGAAAGCAAGCAGAGGCTGCAGGACTTAGAAAAAAGACGGCGAAGATGATGGATCTGCAATACTTCCTTGAGATGGTTGATCACAAACACCGGTATGGTAGCAACCTGTGAAAATATCACAATCACTGGAAGAACCAAGATACGAATCAGAACTTCTTTTACTGGCTGAATCAAGGTGACGGGAGGGATGTCGACCTTGAAGAGTGCAGCCGAGCCCGCCTAGACACGGAGCAAGTCCGATACCTGTCAAGGGAAGAACGGCTCAACTACTTGGTCAAAGTCAATGAGCAGGGTTTGCTGCAATGGGCCAAGAACGGCGAGCTGGTCTGGACCAAAGACGAGAAATTCAGGGACAGCCTCAAAGGAATTGTCCCAATTTCGGATCCTACCCCAACCTTCAGATATAACGTGCCACCTCCACCTGGAGATCATTTAGACTCAAGCTCTTCGGATACGTTCTCGGAGGACGACCGAGACAGTAACACCGAGTGACATGAGGATGAGGAGGACGACGGTACCATCGAGGGCGAGAGATATGTTAATGAAGAGGTGAGCCTCCTACCCAACCAGGAAAATGCACCTGACTAATCGGGGGCAGTTCCACCAAGCGAGCGGACCAAGCATGGTCAAGCACGTAAGTGCAGCCGTACTTTTCAACCACATGATCCGGAGCAGTCTGAAAAAGGGTCACAAATGGATATTCGTCGCAGACGCGGCGTCTCGACTGTATATCGGTTACAAACAATCTGGGGCCTTTCAACATTCCTCGTTCCTACATGGAGCACGCATTCTGGCTGCTGGCCTAATCAAGGTCAAGAAAGGGAAGTTGGGGAGATTGTCTCCTCTGAGTGGACACTATCGACCACCGACCGCCAATTTTCGAGCTTTTGTCCAAAGTCTACGTGATGCGGGCGTTGATATGTCTCATGTGTCGGTCTCCAGGAGCTATGCAGTTCTTGTGGGCATGGAGAGCTATGGCAAGACGCGGAAGAAGATTGAATCTGTAGAGTCCCGTGTGATGCATGCGAAGGACAAGCTGCTGAATCCGGAGAAGGTCAAAGTAGAAGAACGAGCAAAGCAGGACAAATCTGAGAGTGCTGAAAAGGAGAGGCTATATCTCAAACACCAGCGCGAGCTTGAGGCAAAACAGCGGCATGGTCAGCAGGGCGATAAGAGCTTGGGTACAAGGCTGGTGCACGCCTTAGACAAGCTCAAGGTGCAGTCAGATGGCGCGAACGAAAGCGCTGTCAAGAAAGAAAAAGAGCCGAGAAGGATGCCAGGCACAGGACCCGAAGACGGTGTACCTGCGCCGGAAGGCAGACGGTGAACTAGGAGAGTCCGCGTGAAGGGGTCATCCATGTCACTCGTATGTACTATGAGCTCAGCATGCCAGCCTTTGCATTTCGAGGTTGTCATGATGTAGCTCTCCAGCAGGTCAATACGTCGAGCTGCATGGCAGATACTTCCCTTTGAATGTGAACGTATTCAGTCCACGCAGCTATGGCCCAGACAGTGGGCTTTATGAATCGATGCGAAGATATTCGACATCTCACAAGGTGACTTCGTTGAGAGGATCTTTTCGCAAAGACTTCGGGTACCTGCTTCGCCGTTGCAGTAACATACTCCCCCTTTCAGACGCCTGCAGCAATGCAGCCACTAGCACAGGTATTCCCGGTCCAAAGACATGGACAGGATGTCCGAAATTGACCCAAACCAGACGTAAATGCCATTGTGTGAAGGTCACACAGTGACAAGAAGGTACCACGGTACGAATAGCATCGATGCGATCATTACTCCATATTTTGCAGGGGACGTTGCATTTCGGTGATGTCAAGCGCCGCGCGAAAAGTTGGCGAGATCCCTGAAACACGATCAGAATCTCTTCTTCGAGTGGCTCAATCCAAGAAAACGTGAAAACGTGCGCCGTCGATCATATCCCACCTTTTCTCCTGTCCTCGAATCAATCACATCGCCCAAGGCGTCTACACGTTTTGTGCGCCATTCCGCATCGCACAAACTGGGTCCGTAGACTCGGATGCTTTTGTGGCTGGTAAATGATCAACGGCCTCTCATCGGTCGATGACCACAACTTCTTCCACCCATGGAACTCGAGCCGCGGATCGCCCCCCTTCTCGGTTCACTCGCCTGTACTTGTCTCGAACCCGAACCATGCTTTGGCGATGGCGATCCGGGAAGAAACATGTGGTAAACGACCTCCACAGGGTACGCGCATGCCACGGATCACGGCACGATATGGTCGACTACGCTACGCAAGCCACCAGAAGCGAAAGTCTATGTACAAATGAACAGAAAGAGCAAGAGGGTACTGATGCGTCGCTTCTTGGAGCTTCAACAGTCATGGTCCGTTTCAGACAATGCCCCCCGGGAGAAAGACAAGGTTGACCCCCGCCAGAAGGAAGCAACGGGCCAGCGAAAGTAAGCAAAACCTGTTCTTTGCCTCAGGCCAGGCTGCGGCGGTGCGTCAACGCTTGCACCTCTCAAGCCACATTGGGGCGCTCGACCCAAGCCTAAGTTGCCGGCCGACGTGTCGCTACCCCACTTGGCTTCGTCGTATCAGCCCCGGTTCCCTGCAGCTATTTTTGAACACTCCGTAACTCTTCTCCCAGAGGAGAGGTTCACTGGGTGCTACGACAGCGAGGGAAGCGATACAACGAGCGTGGTACGGGTGTGTGGTGAGGAGCATGAGGAAGTCAACAGCTGACAGATTGCATGGCAGGAAAAGCAGAACTGGACGACTCTTTAGGACGAATATGAACAATACGACGACGCTGTTCAAGGACGCAACGACTGACATCAGACGCTCTGTGAGTGGACCGAGACACCCTGAAATTCTGGGGATGTACCCTGTCAACATGGAATTCGGAACATGCCTTTCCCTGTCGCAAAATCTCCTGTTTGCCATGTTCATTCGCGATTGATCCCATCCCTTTCGATCGTCACGACAAGCCTTCTCTTACTTTGTTCGAGTATCCCTGCACCAGGCTCCATATCCATCTACCATTCGATGGGACGACTTTTGACCATGTCCATCCCAAGCTTTCTGTGCCACATTCCTTCTTCATGGAGCCCCTCTACTGAGTCTACTGGCCGTTCTGACGCAATGGTCTGTGCGAAACAAGTTGATGTCAGCCACAGTGAGGCACCAGGAGCTCCCTCATACGAGGGACAGCTGGACGACCTTCAAGCTGGCCAACCAGCAAGGTAATGCTCAGCAGTGACGTATGGGATCCCAACCCTACTACTTCACGAGATACTCCTCCTCAATCCAACGCGTTTTCTTTTTCCCTTTTTCAAGTCCATCCTATACGTCCAATTAATACTGTACTATACCATACCCCACGACGAAAGATAAAGCGCTGCAGAATATTGAAGCAGCGTACTTTTCATGAACCTGTACTTTTAAGTAGCTGATGACAAGCAACCGAAACTCATCGGCTTCATACGCGTATTACTCATTTCCACCTACGCCCAGTCGCGATTCACCCTCATCAAAACGATCCAGCCCTTCTACCGTCAAGAGCTACAAAAGCACTATGCCGTCACCCGCAGCAGGAAGAGCGGGCAATGCCCCGGAGACACCTACAAAGACTGGCAAGAGTCCTCAGTCATCATCTACTTCTAAGCTTACTGGTCAAGGCACTCCTGGTCGCAAACCACCCAAGCTAGGTGCTTCAAAAGCCACACCCAAAAAGCTCAGCGAAGACTCACCCAAACCTCCTAAGTTGGGCGAAAAGAACACCAAAGACGTCACCGACAAGGCCGAAGATGCCGGAGATGACGCGCAACAACGAATCAGCATGAAAGACACCGAAGAGACTGGCAAGCAAGCTGGTCATGACACCGGCGCCGAAAGCACGTCCGTTGCTGACACCAGTGAATTGTCCGAAGCCAATCCCGAACCTGTGCCAGACAGCGACGAGGACGAGGCTGAAGACATCGAGGGTGCCGCCAAGGATGAAGGCACTGATGAAGGCGAAGAGACCGAAGGCCCACCCGAAGACACTCCAGCCGCAGAAACCGAAGATGCGGCCGAGGAAGCGGAGGATGAGGCTGAGGGCAAGGGCTCTGGTGCAGTTGGCGGCTTGAAGTCAGCAGCCGGAGGAGCCAGCGGAGGTCCAAAGAAGCTTTCTAGCAAAGCTGGTGGTGCGAAAGACACGGCCACCGGTGCTGCCGGAAAAGCCTCGAAAGGAGACGCCAAGGGCGCTGCCAAAGACACCGCTGGCGATGTCAAGGAGGCTGGCGAAGATGCGGCTGACGACGCCAAAGACACCGCCGAAGACACCGCTGAGGGAGCCAAGGAAGCCGGCGAAGATGCCACGGAGGATGTTCCCGATGCCGACGAGGCGACAAATGGCGTCAAGGATAAGGCCGAGGAGGCAGCAGGCGATGTGGAAGACACCGCCGAAGATGCCAAAGACACTGCCGAAGACACCGCCGAAGATGCCAAGGCAACTGCTGAAGACACCGCCGGAGACGCCAAAGACACTGTCGAAGATACTGCCGAAGACGCCAAAGACACTGCCGAAGACGCCAAAGACACTGCCGAAGATACCGCTGAAGATGCCACGGCCACCGCCGAAGACACCAAGGACACTGCTGAAGACACTGCCGAAGATGCCAAGGCAACTGCTGAAGACACCGCCGGAGACGCCAAAGACACTGCTGAAGACACTGCGGCAGAAGCCAAGGATACCGCCGAAGAAACCGCTGACGGTGCCAAGGACACTGCCGAAGAGACCATTCCAGACCTATCCGTCCTAAAAGGCCTGAAAGTCGGTGAGAACGGTGACATCCTTGACAAGGATGGCAATGCCATCGGCAAACTCGACGAGGGTGACGCAGCAGACTTGGAAGGATACGAAATCGGAGACGATGGAGAGATCCTCGACGAAGACGGTGACGTTGTTGGCCGCGCAACCGCACTTCCTCAGAAGGCCGAAGAGGTTGGCGATGAAGCCAAAGACGAAGTCGACGGTGCTGCCGAAGATGCAGAAGACGCTGCCGACGAGGCCAAAGATACTGCTGAAGATGCCGTCGAGACATACCTCCCTGACCTGGACGTCCTTGATGGACTGGAAGTTACAGAGAATGGAGATATCCTTGACAAGGAAGGGAAGGTGTTGGGCAAGATCACAGAAGGTGATCCCGCCGACCTTGTAGGAATGACTGTCAACGCCGAAGGTGAAATCCTAGATGAGGATGGTGATGCCATTGGCCGTGCAGAGACTGTTCCACAAGAAGTCGAGAAAGAGGCAGAGGATGCTGCTGGTGAACTTCCTGGCCTTGATGCCTTGGAGGGTCTTGAGGTTGGAGAAGATGGTGAGATCAAAGATGCTTCCGGCAACACCTTGGGCAAAATCACCGAAGGCGACCCAGCCGACCTCGCTGGCATGACGCTCAACGCCGAAGGAGAAGTCTTGGACGAGGATGGTGACGTGATCGGTCGTGCCGAGATTGTCCCAGAGGCAGCAGGTGCTCTTGATGATGCCAAACCAGAATTTGTTCAAGAAGCCCTCGACAAGGTTGACGACCTGACAGACCAACTGAAACCCAACCTCACTATCGTTGAAGGCAAGAAGCTCAACAAGAAGGGCAACATTATTGACGACGAAGGAGAGATCATTGCTAAGCTTGTTGAAGGCGATCCCAAGGAATGCGCCGGCAAAGTCCCCAACGAGAATGGAGAAATTCTCGACAAAGAAGGCAATGTCATCGGCCGTGTTGAGGTCGTTGAAGGCGAGGCTGCTGATGAAGCCATGAAGGACCTCCACCCTGAGCTTGTTGAGCAACTCGAAGAGGCCCAGACTGCTGCTGAGGAGGCTGAGCAAAAGGCTGCCGAGCAGGCTGACGAGGCAGGTGACCAAGCCGACAAGGCCGAGGACGCTGCCGAGACTGCCGAAGACGCTGCAGACGAAGCCAAGGAAGCAGCCGACAAGGCCGGCAAGCCTGACTTCGCTCAACTCGAAGGTCTCAAGGTCAACAAGAAGGGTGAAGTCGTCAACGAAGATGGTGAAGCTATTGCCCGACTTGCCGAGGGATACGAGATCGAAGATGTCCGCGGCAAGAAGATCAACGAGAATGGCGAGATCGTTGACAAGGATGGTAACGTCATTGGCAAGGTCGAGTTCATCCCAGAGGCCATCGAAGAAGGTCTCGTTGAGGTCGAAGAGCCCGAAGACGAGTCACCCGAGACTTCTGACCTTGAAGGTCTGAAGGTCAACCGTAAGGGTCAAGTCCTCAATGAGGATGGTGAACCTATTGCTGAACTCGAGGAGGGTGAGCTCGAGAAATGTGCCGGCAAGAAGCTCAACGACAAGGGCGAAGTGCTGGACAAGGATGGAAACGTCATCGGCAAGGTGAAGATGATTACCCAAGAACCAGAGGATGAAGAGGCAGAGGAAGCGACCGATGAGCCTCCTCTTTCCATCCTCGAAGGTCTCAAGGTCAACAAGTCTGGCAAGATCGTTGACAGAGATGGCAACATTGTCGGTGAATTGGTCGAGGGTGATGCCAAGAAACTCTGGAAATCTGGCACCGCTTGCGACGACCAAGGTCAATTCTGGGACAACAAGGGCCATATCATCGGCAAGGCCAAGACCCTGCCTCAAGAAGAGAAGGAGGAAGAATCCGAGTTCGCTGGCCTTGAAGGTCTTACTGTCGTCGCTGATGGTTGGATCGAAGACGAGAACGGCAACCGGGTTGGCCGCATCACTGAAGGTGACGCCAAGAAGCTCGTCGGCCGTTCTGTTGATGAGGATGGAGACATCATCGACAAGAAAGGAAATGTTGTCGGCCACGCTGAGAGATACGAGGAGCCTGAGGCCGAGCCTGAAGCAGAGGCAGAAGCTGTTGACTTGTCCGAGTTGAAGGGCCTCAAGGTCAACAAGCAAGGAAATGTCATCGGTCCCGATGGTGTGCCTGTTGGTCGTCTTGTCGAGGGCAACGTCAAGGAACTTGCAGGACGATCCATCGACGGTGAAGGACAAATTTGGAATGACAAAGGCCAAGTTGTCGGACGATGCGAGCTCATTCCTCCCGAGGAACGCGAGGCCAAGGCTGAAGGTCCTTTCGCTGGCCTCGAGGGAGTTGTCGTCGGCAAAGATGGCTTCGCCAATGACCACGAAGGCAATGTCGTCGGTAAGGTCGTCGAAGGTGACTGGAAGAAACTTGTTGGACGTGCTGTTGATGAAGATGGTGATATCATCGACAAATACGGTAACGTCAAGGGCCACGTCGAGCCTTATGAGGAGCCAGAGGAAGAAGTCGTGGAAGAAGACCTGTCAAGCCTAGAAGGCAAGACCGTAAACAAGGCCGGCAAGATTGTCGACGACCATGGAACCATCTTCGGTGAGGTTACCGAGGGCGACATGAAGCATCTCGTCGGCTGCAAGGTTGATGGTAAGGGTCAGATTTGGAGCAACAACGGCAAAGTTATCGGTAAAGCTGGCCTCATCCAAGGTGGTGACGACGGTCGCTCCGAGGGTCCCTTCTCCAACTTCGACTCCACCATCGTTTCCAAGGATGGTCTTGTCAAGGATGCCAGCGGAGAGATCGTCGGACGCGTCATTGAAGGCGACCCGAAGAAACTCGTGGGCCGCAAGGTCGACGACGAGGGCGACATCGTTGACAAGAACGGTAATGTCATCGGTAAGGCCGAGCGTTGGGAACCAGAAGAGAAGGACCGTGAAGTCTCGCCCATGGCAGGCTGCCGCGTCAACAAGGAAGGAGAAGTCCGCGACAAGAACGGCGATGTCATTGGCAGACTTACCGAGGGCAACCTCCTGGCTTGTATCGGCAAGGAAGTCAACGACAATGGTTATGTCGTCGACCAGGATGGCAACAAGATCGGAGAGTGCACGCTGATCGAGAACATTCCCGAAGAGGAGGAGGAGGAGGTCGAACAGACTCCCGAAGAACTCAAGGCCGAAGAAGAGCGTGAAGTCGCAAAGAAGATCGGCAACATCATCAACCAGACCATCGATCAGATGACTCCGATCTGCAAGCAGATTGATGAGGTAAGCTTTACTCCCCAGTTGTCCCTGTTATGTACCGTGTACTGATTAGATATCTAGGCCATTGAAAAGGCCGACCGTACGCCACGCGAGGAACTTGACGAGGAGAAACTCGTCCAGGAAGTCAAGCCTTTGATCGAAGAAGGCAACCGTAAATTGGGCGAGTGCAACGGCGCCATCCGCGGTCTCGACCCAGATGGACATATCGCTGCGCAGGCCAAGGCTCGCGCTGCCTCGGGTGAGGCTTCGCCTGAAGAGCACCGTGTTGCAGAGGGTCTGAAGGAGTTGACGACGACCATCGTCAAGACCATCGACAACGCAAAGAAGAAGATCTCTGACATGCCTCATGCCAAGAAGAAGCTGAACCCACTTTGGGGTCTGCTTACCGAGCCTTTGTTCCAGATCATTGCCGCCGTCGGACTGTTGTTGTCTGGCGTGCTGGGTTTGGTGGGCAAATTGCTCAACGGTTTGGGTCTGGGCGGTCTTGTCAACGGTATCCTTGGTGGACTGGGCGTTGACAAGTTGATGGGTGGTCTTGGACTGGGCAGTATTGCCGAGAGTCTGGGCCTAGGTGGTGGCAAGAAGAAGTAAAGGAGCAACTAATACAAAGTCCCTGAGAATGAATTGGATGTGCTGTTACGAGTGCATGAGGAGGAATGAATGGAAAGGAAATGATGCCATGACACTTGCTCGGTCTCGTCTGGGATTGGTGGGCGCTACAGGATGGACACCTCGAGCTCATCATGTCTCAGGCCGGCTGGGTGTGTGCATGTGCAGTGGATGATGGATTTGTACACTACGATTTCTTTTGTTGATATGGTCATGGTTTGTCCGACAGTTTTTCGGGCTGATGGAAGTAGCATAATAGTTTTCTTTCGTTTGATAGTGATCTCAGGATAACCCAGGGTTGTATGTATGAAAAAGCATTGAAAATTCTTCTTCTCAAGTACTTCTCTTCATTATATTTTGTGATTACTCTCTACAGCTTCGCAACAGGCTTCAAGTAGTTGCCCGCTCCACTGAGGAGGCGAGTAGCATCATCGACCATCTCCTTGACGATCTCGGCTGCGCTCTGATTCGGGGTGTTCACCAGTCCGGCCACGACGCCCATTGGTCTGACGGACATGTTAGCGGTTTGTAGACATCATCTTAGGGGTCGGGGACGAACCTCATTATCGATTGCTCATCAATATCTTCGGTGATACCGCCTATCTTCTCGAGGTGGTCCAATTCGTGAGATAACGCCGTGATGCCTTTGGCTTGGAGAGCCCTCAATTCGTCTTGTCGATTGAGTTCCCAGTTGCGCACGTAGGGCGTCGCCAGAGAGCGAAGGGGTCGACCTGTCCAGATTGTGGACTTGATTGTGCTGTCGAAATTGGCTTCAATGATGCTAGGCACGCACAGTTAGCTGAGCAGAAAAGGTAGACTAGGAGTACAAGGGTTGGCTCGAGATCAGGACATACGCTCGTTTGGCGATCTCCGGGGCTCCCGATTCTTTGGCTGTCACGAAGCGTGTGCCGACCCAGACTGCGCCGGCGCCGAGCATCAGGCTTGCTGCAATGCCACGACCGTCGTAGATGCCGCCGGCTGCGACCAATTGGACGGGTTTACCTGTCAGCGGGGAGGTGTATTTCTTGACCAAGTCGGCGCAAGCTGGGATGAGGACGCTGCATTACAAAACGTAGTGTTAGCGACTCCACATACGCTTCTCGAACACGAGGTATGGGTTGAGTGTACCTGGTCGGAGTATCTCCTGTGTGGCCACCAGCTTCACCACCTTGTGCGCAAATGATGTCCGCTCCGGCAGCACAGGCTTTGTGCACGTGCCTGGGGTGGCCGATCATGTTCATGTACAAGATACCATTGGCGTGCAGCTTGTCGACGACATGTTTCGGTGCCACCCCGACGGCTGATACGAACACTTTGGCGCCACCGGCGATGACGATATCGACGAGTTCGTTGAGCGAGCCTTTGGTGTAATCGACCTAAACATAGGGCGATGAGGTCAGCTGTCGGATTGATTGTGTCTAAGGAAATCATGGGGGAAATGAACAGTCCTTACATTTGTCTTGCGCGCGGATCCTCCGACTTGAGGAATCAAAAGGTCGACACCGAACGGGAGTGACGGGTCTTTGAGCTCAGCCTGCGGACGAAATCGATCGTTAGTTCCTGATATGCTAGGACCTCAGATGTTGCCGGATTGATGGGTCCAGAAGATAAAATCCAAGATGCTGGACAACTTCGTACCTTCAACTCATCAATCATCTCCTTCAGCATCTTGGGCGTATAACCGACACCACCGATGACTCCAAGGCCGCCTGATGTGGTATTAGGACAGCGTTTCCAGCCTAGATATAGCTTGCCCTGGAGGACAGGCTTGACTTACCGGCATTCGACACAGCAGCTGCCAGGGGAGGTCCAGATGTCTGGCCCATTCCGGCAAGCAAAATCGGGTGCTGGATGCCCAGAAGCTGGGTTACAGGTGTCGTGATTGACATCTTGAGTCGTTGATCAATGAAATCGTAGCAACCAACAAATAGTACAGTAAGGTCAGATAGAGATATCGGATTGAAATATAGAGGTTTGAGGTAAGCTTCACCCAGGCTGCGAGACGTGCATGCACCAGATAACGGAGGAGCTCTTCCAGTCAGCACTCGAGGACAGCGATGCTAACCCCTGCTAATACCTTCAAGAGTGGCAATATACCAAAGGGTGTCGATTCCACTTGACTGAGCGTGCGATACAAAGTCATCATGTCGCTGAGCCCATATATGTGGGATGACCGGCTGTTGCAGATGCTGACAGCCGAACAAGACGAAACACGGGGGGCTACCGAGGTTCGAAGAGGTGGAGGGCAGGCAGCCTTACAGCACGCCTATAAGAAGAGAAAATATTGCCGCTGCTTTCTGGGAATAAAGGCCAAGAGTCTCTACCTAGGTAAAGCGGCAGTAGTGATGGTTTTACCTGCAGCCACACAGACAGCCACACATCCACCCACGGCCACGAAGCCATGTACAGAAAGCCATCATAATCCTCTGCTTTTTTCCCACCATCCATGTCAGCCCCGTTGTTGGCCCTTCCTTCGTACTCGGACGAGGCTCAACGGCGTGATTGCAGTGCCTCACTCATGCGCAATTATTGAATCTCCTAAGACAAGCAACGATTTTCTTTGTTTCCCGGGACTGTGTGATCATTCGAAACATTTCTTTCAGGGTCAATCTAGCACTGCATGGATGTCATGGATGAGAAAACCCCAGACTTTCCGGCAATGGCAGGATATATGTATACTCACATACCGTAGCGCTGGTCATACAAAGTGTCTTCGACAAGAAGGGTTGTATGAATACTTCTCTGGATGCACGGGTAAGGCTGGCCGTTCGTTCTCGGTTACGTACCTGGCTTACGTGGCCCGTTATGGGGCGCCAGACCCTGCGCTATGGACCGACAGCTCCGACTGACAAGTCCAGGCCACACGCATCGATGACGGGTTTGGGTTGTGCACCTCGCTGAAAAATTGACGTGCGTTACAGCCACAGTGACGGCACCCGAACGTCTGGTGATAACCAGGCTTGCGGGTTGCAGCTTCGTGCCTGAAATCACTATCACTTAGCTCCGGCTAAGGCGCGAAATGGCAGGTCAATATGCGAATGAATTCTCAACGTGGCACACTAAGCGTCGGCAAAGCACGTCACTATCAACTGCGCTAGAGACTGCTGCTGAATAGGTCGAGCGGAGTCCGTGTGGCGTTTTGTGTGCTAATTGTTGCATGCATTGACTGTCGACATTCCGAATTGGTTATGGGTCAAGCCGCGTTGGAATGGAGGGGGCGGTACCTGGAAGACGGCAGGCCCTCTTCCCTTGCATAAGCCTCCCGCGCTGAGAGGCTTTGATTTTGTCCTACACCGTTGAAGCAACATTGCTTGAAATGTTTTTCTACACGTCAATCTCGTCCTCATAAGCTTCAGATGCTGAACGTCCGGCTTTTTTTCCGGTACATCGTGCTGGTTGCCGTAGTTCTTCTGACGCTGGGTGCCTTCTACTGGAAACACGAAGTCTCTACGTTATCCGCGGACTGGTACGATCACATTGAGGAACTTGTTCGCAAACCTTGGCCCTCATCCAATTCGACGAATCCGACGAAGCCGACGAAACAGCTATCATGGATATCCAAAGGACCGGGTGCACAGGACAAAGCAGTCATTGTGCCCAAGATCCACGGTGAAGACGTCAGCTGGGTGTCGGATCAGCTCCAAGAGTATGCTCTTAGTCCTGTTCCGCAAAGTACATCTGGTCTGATGCTTCTGACTATAGCTGGCAACATGCCATTTATTATATGGACGAGGAAGACGAGGGAACGTTGCATCCCCCGGAGAACAAAGGCCATGAGGTATGACACCAGCAAACTCCAACATTTGATGCCCAAAGCTTGCGCGTGTCCATTGATCCGGGACTTACGCGAATCGCAGGCCATGGCATATCTCACCTTCTTGATCGACCACTATGAAAACCTTCCATCGTCAATGGTTTTTGTTCATGCACATCTCGACGGCTATCCGCGAGCTTGGCATACTGACAGCCAAGGATATAATCAGGTCCGTTCCATCCGCTCATTGAGACTCGAGTACGTCCAGGAGCATGGGTATGCGAATATGCGCTGTATCTCCGACCCGGGCTGTCCGGCCGAGATTCAAATCAACCGCGACGATGATGAACGAACAGCGGAGCGGGCATTTGTTGGAGCATGGACCTATATGTTCCAAAGCAATGTATCCGACGTTCCAGAGACAATTGCACAGCCGTGTTGCGCACAATTTGCGGTGTCGAAGGCTCAAGTCCTCAAACGGAGTAGGGAAGATTACCTTCGATATCGACAATGGCTGCTGGACACAGAGCTTGATGATGACACGAGTGGACGTGTTTTCGAATATCTGTGGCACGTCATCTTTGGGAAAGACCCGGTTTATTGTCCACCGTTGAATGAGTGTCACTGTCAGCAATTCGGGAGATGCTGAACTCTCGCCATATCATTTTTTGCCGTATGGTGAGAGAAAGTCGATGGTCCAGTTCGGCAGAAAACAGCAGGAAACGGTGGCTTAGTCATCATGCATAAGTTGACGCCTGATGTGGTTCACCAGCCTCATTCAGCCTACACCGCCATCTCTGCTGCGGTTGCTGCCTACAAGACTCATTTTGTGCACTTCTCACACAATGGATGAAGCCATCTCATCTGCAGTCTGCCAGGAACACACGAGCCGCGTTAATATCCATATCGGCGGGTACACCTGTCCAGGTCATCTGCCACTGACCCCTTCGAAGCAGCCTCAGCACACTGTGTCAGTATTCTCCTTGGCCGGAAATTGACCCTGCATCATGGTAGCTCCTTGGAGACCTCTACGATACCCGGACTCGATCCGCCTTCTTCAGTTTCCCAATAAATGCGACGCCGGTACGCTTGTATCACCAGGTCACTTCAACCTGATCACCACCCGACTTTCAAGTCCCGCGAGACCTCAATACCAGGCACTGTCATATTCTTGGGGCCAGGACATGACGACACATACAACCAAAATCAATGGCGTCGATGTGAGTGTCCGCCAGAATCTGTGGGACTTTTTTCGCCAAGCGATGTTTGGTGGCGTCGGCAGTCTAGAAGTCTGGGGACAATCCATATGGATCGACGCTCTTTGTATTGCGCAAACAGACCTGGACGAGAAAGCCCACCAAGTGTTGCAAATGGGAGAGATCTTTGGGACTGCAAAATTCGTCATCGTGTGGCTGGGGACCTGACGAGCACGACGACGACGAAGAAGAAGAAGAAGAAGAACAGGATGATGATCGTCACGGATCGCTAGGGATGTCGGTGTACCCGAAAGGGCGGCCACGCCGCGCGACTGAAGTGCCTTACTGGAGACGAATGTGGATCGTCCAGGAGATATTGCTTGCACAGGAACTCGTTATCTGTTTCGGCAAGCGCATATTAGCCGCGCACAAGCTTTGGGCCAGCCCTAACGCTGCCGACCTTGAGAGGAATTTCCCTCTCCATTTTATGTCGGTTGGCAGGGACCCTTGTAGTAATGTGTTGCGGCAGAAGTGGCGTGCCCAGAAGTCCGTCCTTCCCAAGGGGAAAGAGCATTTGAATTGGTACGGGCACTCAGATATACTTGCGATGTCCGCCATTTACTCGGAGAACGAGTGCTCAGTCATCATAGACAAAGTCTACGCGCTCGTCAACATCGTGAACCGCCAAGCTCGAATTCCGCTGCAAGTTGATTATACTATCGACGAGGTGTTGTTGTTTTATCGCACACTCTCCGGTGTGAAAAAGGTTAAATTCTCCGGTGCTGATTCTCTGAGACGGGCTCTACGAATCACTGAGGATCGCATGGTTGAAAGGACTTGTGAACTCCTTCGAGCTAGGATGCTCTCCGAGATAAGGATTGAAGCTTGCTTCATGTGTAAAGGGCTTGTCGAGGACAACTGGCATATCTCAAAACGATACAATCTGCGAAACCCATCTGGCTTGCACGACCATTCGATCCTGCATAGTGGAAGTGTCGAGCCTGAAGACCTGGTGATCCAGTTCAGTCACAACCCCTCGCTGTATCTGATTTTTCCGAATAACAGGCAGAAAAGTGATGCAAAAGGAATTATTCTTTCCCCCAAATGGGGAGGAATCCCACCACTACCCGAGGCTCGCATTGATGGGTGCCCTCGCGCTTTTGCTGATCTGCTGTGTGGTATTGAAGGGGTCTGGTATGGGAAAGACTTCGCGAAAGACATTGGAGTGGCTACTTGGCTGGCGCTGTGTGGTCATCTCTGGGGAATATGTTGTGAAAAATACCTTGATGTCTGCACACAAGCGGCTTAAATGGCCGTGGCAATATAATCCGAGTGCTATCGCGCTCATCGCATAAGCTCAGCATTCCAAGCCTCAAATTCCTCCAGTATCTCATGGGTAATCCTCTTAGGTGTCCGTCCAATAGCCTGACGAACGTCATCGGCAACGACATAATCTCTATCATCATCAAAGGCGCCTTCCATAGCCGTTTCGAGGCTGGCCACCACCTCTGCCCCAGAGAAGCCCTTCGTCGCCTTCGCGAACTCCTCAGTATCTAAGTCCAGACGCCCGCTCGCACCAGCGCCCTCATCCAGATCCTCGCTATGCACATACTGAACCTTACTTAAGCGGTTCCGAAAGATCTCCTTGCGTGCCTCGAAATCCGGCGGGCCAATGTACACCACATTGTCAAATCGTCCCGGGCGCATCAATGCCGGGTCAATGTTCTGCGGTTTATTCGTCGCGGCGACGACAAAGACACCGCGCAACTCTTCGAAGCCGTCCATCTCATTGAGCAGCGTCGTTAGAACATTCAAGTTGGAGCTGGAGTCACTTCCGCCGCGCGTTGAGGCGATGGCGTCGATCTCGTCGAAGAAAATAATGCTTGGACTCGCGGCGCGGGCTTTGCGGAATACCTCGCGGGTTGCGCGCTCGCTTTCGCCGACGTACATTGATATCAGCTCTGCACCTTTGACGGCCAGGAAGTTGAGGCCCGCTTCTGTGGCTAGAGCGCGGACGAGGAGGGTCTTGGAGCAGCCTGGTGGGCCGTAGAGAAGGACGCCCTTCTTCGGCTTGAGTGATAGTTTAGCCATGCGGTCTGCGTGCTTTAGTGGCCGATCTACGGCGTTGTGAAGTTGCCGCTTGATCTCGTGTTGGCCGCCTATGTCAGACCATCGCACGTTAGGAGTTTCAAGGAAGATCTCCTGGAGGGCTGAGGGGCGAATTTGTTGGAGTGCGGCGTTGAGGTCGGCGTCCGTAGCTCTAACAATGGGCATGGTTTCGTCCGTTGTGTCTTGAGCAACCGCCGGGGCAGATGACGTTGACATGGTGCCTTCGTATGAGAGTTCTACTGTCTCGCACAAGAGGGAGTACAGGTCGTCGCCCACGTAGCCGTGGGTTCTATCGGCCATTTGTTGCAGGAGGTCATCGTTGAGGCATTGATCATACCCGCGTATGGCCAAGAGGATTTCTTTCCGCTGCTGGGCTGAAGGGATGGGTAGTTCGATCTCAGCAGAGAACTTGCCTCTTACTCGTAGACTCTGGTCAATGTCGTTGGGATGTTGCGCTTCGCCAACCACCAGGGTTGGAGTATTTCTGATCTGCTCGAATAGGGATTGAACTTCGTTTGCGCTATTTGCTGTACCACCTGAGTTGCGTGACAGATATGCAGGGCGTATAATAATGAGCTGAGGCTCGGGTGATGTGCGTATTTGTGTTCCAGGCTTCCAGTCTATGACGTTCGGCCAGCCAGACTCAGCCAAGGCTGTTATGAAAGCAGTCTTTCCTGTGCCTTTTGCTCCGTACAGTAAGACCCCCTGTTTTGGCTGATACGACTTCAAATGCTGCTTGACAGCAGGCTGACATACCCGGCCGACAATTTTACGAATCTGTAGCACCTGCTTGTCCAGTCCGCCCAGATGCTTAGGTTGAAAGTCGATTTTCGTAGCCTGCGCTGCTTCGTGGTCACCACTAGCAATTCGGATCTTTGTGTTTCTTGTTACTCGTGCGATCATGGCGTTGGCGATACCGACGTCCTTCACAACAAGTTCGGCCGTCTCATCGCCAATCTTGAGTTGTAGTTTTTGACTGTGCACCAAACATTCATTGGTAGTAGGGATGGCCTTTTCAGCGTACTGCTGCCAGAACTGCACGTCATTCTGTCCAATGGGATTTCCACAGTTGCTGAGAAATATTCTTTCGGCGTTTTGTAATGATTGGGATGATCTTGAAATAATGATCTTGTCGCCTAATCTGAATCCGTAAACCTCTTGCAGCAGCTTTGAGGTCTGCGCAACCTTATCGCTCATGCCTGCACCTGAGGCCTCCCAGGCGATTGCTAACTTTCTCCCATGTTGCAGATCGTCGGGTTCCACCCTTCTAATTTCACATGTATCTCCAGATCTCAGTTTCAGAGAGAGCATAGACACGGCGGTCAACTTGATGCGAAACGCATCCCTATCCGTATTGGACGGGCGAACGACGAAGGCTGACATGTCGTTGAAAATGAAGATCTTGTTGAGGCGGGTGCTGTCAATAAGAGGAAGAAATTGACTCACGGCATCTGAACATGATTCAATTTCGAGTCACCAGTAAAACTTACTTGCTTGACAGGACGCTCTCCAGTATGTCATCGCGGCATCATTAGCAATCAGATTATGGCAGAACGCTTTTCATTAACCCGACATTGTGGTTGGGATGAGTCGAACTCCAACGCCGAAATCGAAACGGAAATTTTATATCGTGCTTGGCAAACCTCAACACGTGACATCGAAGTATCGGTTCTCAGCATTAATGAGCATTGAGAAAAGGGCAGAAGACGTTGAGCAGTAGTGTTTTCATTTCGTTCTCTTCCTGATAATAGCTCACTCGAGTGCTTCATATGACCCCTTCTTGCCTGTACTTCGAGTCACCCGCTTTGTGATGCCACTATCGTCATCGTCCTCACGACCCGTTGGCCCCTTGACATTTTCAGGTGTGTCATGGAAAGCTTTCAGATCAGCCCGAGGGTCTTCATGTTCTTCGTCGTCTTCTTCTTCTTCTTCTTCATGTAGCTCCCCACCAGGGGGGATTTGTTCCCAATCCTCGCCGTTGTGTATCTTGGACGCGCCGGTAATCTCTTTGACCACTTTCGCTCCTTCACTTTCGACCCCGTTCCAAGCACTACAGCCACTGCATCTCCACCGATCTAGCTCCTCCAATGTCTTGACGCCCGGCGGAGCTTGGCCGTTGACCAAGCGACAATTGGAGCACAGAAGCACCAATCTGTTCTTAGCAGCCATTTCGTCCTCACCAAGCAGCACATCCAAGAACCGGTCATACCAGTGAGGCGTACGCTCATATGCTGTACTCGGTGGTGGTACATTGCCGAATGCATTTAGAGCGAATCCCGGAGCATCTGGTGCTATGTCCGTGGGGCTGTGGGGAAGCGCCGCTGCAGCCAACGGGGACTGGCCTTGGATAGGAGAGCCAGGACTGATGTTGACGTTGGGCCGTGGCGGAGGAGTGGACTGGATGTTTCTACCAGGAATGTTTGCTGTGGGTGGTGGCGGGATTCCTGTTCTCTGCGCCGCTGGGCGTTCGGGCTGAGGATTGACCTTTCGTTTCGTTCCCTGTTGTGGTGGCTTCGACGGTGTCTTCGAGGGAGGCGCAGCTCCGTACTTCTGTAGCAGCTCTTGTGTGCTGTCGTATTTTGTAGCTTTCTTCAATTCGGCAATCTTTGTGTCCCTCCGCTTTTGAAGGTGATCCAGATGCGTTTGCTGTCGATCTATACTCCAGTCAAAGATCACTGAGATGAGTTTCCTGACAGCGAAGATAGTGATCGGTCCGCCGACAAGACCACCATAGTGGTAGAGTGACCAATTCTGTGGTCCAAGAACAAGAACAATCACCAGGGTGTAGAGGAGGTATGTCAGGGTCGTGTAAAGAGTCCATAGTGCTTTGGCTCGACGGCTTCGACTGCGACTCGTGTCGAGGGTGAGGTTCGCGGCAGTGATCTGACTAGACAACTTGGACAGTGCCTTTTCGTATGATGCTGGAGAGTTTGCATCTCCCTGAAGCTGTTAGGGTCGCGTTCAGCTTTCCATTAAGAAGAAGTGCTCACCTTCCAGAGCCACGACATGCTAGCTCTCCTCATTTGTGTGAGACCGCCTAACAATGGGCAAGAATCGAGATATGCTATCGAAGAGTCTCAGAGGATAATGACATTGTCGCACACATCAAGTCTCGTGCTGCCGCAATTGCAGCTGGCAGTTTAAGTGGAATAATAGTGTGCTGCCTGCGTCATTCTGTCACTGACGAAAACTGGGGGGGAATTTGAGTTGTCGGCGGTGGCTGCTTAATTAATATGGCTAAGTCAATTGGGGGCTGAGAAAACACGAAGAGACGCGCAGCGCAGTTCGGTTTATTTCGTGGAGCCCCTGCGTTGCGTTGCGTTGCGTTCCTGTTCAGCTTCAATCGCTTAACAGTAAAGGACAGTTCGACTCTTCCACACAATCCTTATCTGTCCATTTTACGTCGACACTAATACTCAAGACTCGATTTGTCCGTCGCTCATTCTCGTTGCCTCTTGTCGTATTTTACTACCATCCTTCTGCTTGCTGTCCACGTCTAAACACTTCCCTGCGCCGAGTTCAATATGCCCAGCATGTGGCTCACAGATATGCAAAGTATGCGCTTCTTCTAAGATGCAGTCCACAGGGATTGTCTATCTATCAGGCATTGGAATGAAGGCTAACATCAAACAGAGGTTGGCGTCGCCTTCTGCTCAGGAGGTTAGCGCATATACTCATAAAGGAGAAGGGGACACTACTGACTGCGACAGGCGGATTGTTTCTTTTCGGCGGTGTAGTCATGTTCTTTGATCGCTCCATGTATGTCTCTCACTCTGAAGCAGCAGATCATTCTAACATTGTCACAGGTTAGCCATGGGCAACGTCCGTCCTTCCTGCCTGCCTTTGCGGCGACCCTACTGACGCTAAGTCAGATCCTCTTCCTGATCGGTCTCACCCTCATCATTGGAATCCAAAAGACATTTGTCTTCTTCGCAAGAAAGCAGAAGCTCAAAGGAACAGCTGCGTTCATGGGTGGCATCCTGCTAATTCTGCTACGATGGCCCTTGACCGGCTTCCTGGTTGAACTCTACGGCATCTTTGTCTTGTTTGGAGACTTTTTCGCAACCATCGCATCCTTCGCCGGCAACATTCCAATAATTGGACCATACATCCAGATGGCGCTTCGGAAGGTGAATTTCGCAAGGAGAAACGCAGAGTTGCCGGTCTGAGATGTTTCATACCACTGTCATCTCCTACCATCAACGTGGTTTGAGTCCTCCAAACACTGGTTCGGATTCATGACAACATCGACATTTCCTTGCGACCTGTCAGTCGGCTCTACATGGGATCCAGTTGCGGCCCAAGTGTAGGCCACCCAAGGAAACCCTGTGCATCTGGCGCAGTGGCGAGCAGGTCATAACCCATACCCATACTCCACAACATATCATCTTCAGTCTGCCATCCTCCAAATGTTCCGGACGACGTAGGTTGGCTGTGCGGCGAGAGATAATTGTCGAAACTACTTCCATTGGCATGTGGATGTGATTGTGTGTTTGATTTTGGTGTGAAGGCACTTGGAGACATGGTGCTGTGTTGTGCAGGAAGGATTGTTGGTGTGCTCGCCGTGTAATTGTCCGCCCTTGAGTATGTTGGATGCTGTTGATTCAATGCTGGCGCCGGAAGGGAGAGACTGCCGTCTCGTTGAGCGTTTGCATGTGGATACAGGCCGACCTGCGCTTGTGCGTTGACGTTGCGGGCTTTGGAAGGAAACAAATTGCCACTTCCGAGATTGCTTCGTAGCAACCTCTCAAATCCGTCGGCCATGGCGTACAGAATATGGTTCTTGCCAGCCTGACAACTTCTGAACAGATTGATAACGCCTTCAACCAGCGGTTTCGTTTTCTCCTCCGGATCGATAGTCACTCCAATACCAGCCCAACGGGACGACATCTTGATGAGAAACACGACGGCGAAGGCGATGACAGTATGCAAGTACAACGGTACGCCAACCATGGAATCTCGTATGGAAGGTTCGTCGAGGACAATGATCAGTATCTGATGAGCCGAATTGATAGCTTGGGATGCTAGCGGGCGAAGACTGCTTGGAAGAGTTGAGGTGGAAGAGATGTTGACGAGAGACCGGCCTCTTAGTGCCAGGGAATTGAGCATCATCGAGGCGAAGTAATAATGGAGGTCAACGCCTGTACACGTGTGTCAGTCTACCTTGAGATACGGGAAATGAACAGAATATCTCACCAACGGCAGGGTAGTCGCCAATATGAGCATCTCTGTTCAAGGCATGTCGAAACTGATACCTCCATCGATCTAGATCTTCCATAAATCTCTGGTGTGTGAGTAGTGTGACATCGTCTCCGTCCATCAACCGCTCCGCCTCCAGACCGAAGTGGTTGTAAGCCTTACTAAGGATAATGAACAACGTGACCTGTGACAACACCCGCCTGTCGGATGGTGTGCATTCCGGCGCATTCAGAAAGACATCATACTCCTTGATCGCCTGCAACTCGGCCGTGACGGGCGGTCGGCCATACGCGATACTGAAGTGGTGGTCCAGCACGTATAACAAGTACCACAGCCTCGCGCGCTCAAACGCGTGTCCGCGCTCGGTCTCGGATTGTTTTTGAGAGTACAAGGCCTTGTAGAATGCCTGGTGCAGATTGAGTTCGGTCGCCATGCGCACGCAGTGGCCTGACAGTTTCCAGGAAAGATCCGGAAGCCAGAATGCCGCGATACACAACGCATGAATGTCCTCAAGCGTATGGAAGCGGTCGAAAAAGCTTGCGGCAATGAGATCGCGAAGGTGTTTGTGCGCTGTGGCATATGTCTTTTCCCGACCTGGGATGTGTAGGGACGTCACTGTTACTATGGCGGTGAAGAACAGTGTTGATGATTCCCTTATGGACTGTAGGGTCTGAGATTCGTGAATGGTCGCATCGAAGAGGTAGCGCGACAATGTGGTTTTGAAGAGTCGGATCATTTCTTCGGCTTCATCCGTTCCGATTAGGCCCATAGAGACCAAGTCGTTTTCCATGTTCTTCCTCGAGTTGCGACGGGCGGGATCGCCGGACTTGAGACGGCTTCGGAGTGTGTTGAGTTGGGTAACCTCGTAGAGGCTGCCCATTGGAGCGGGCGCCATTTCGGCCGCATTGTCCTCGGCATTGGGTTCGCGCGAGTTCTCGCGGGTTGTTTGCGCCGTGGACTGGATGTGTGGCGGGGCGAGGTGCGTGCTAAATTGTTGTAAAGGGGCAGTGGGTTGAAGAAGCAGGCTGCTCTGAGCTTGAGATTGAGGTTGACTTAGAGATGGAAATTGAGCGTTATACGAGTCCAATGCGGGCATTTTCAGGCGCGCCAAAATGTCCTCGACGGCGCGATCGAGGCGGACGATGGACGGGTGTAGATGGCCCTCATCGTCGTCGATGCTCATGCGCGCACGCTTCGAGGTAATGCAGTCGAGGCTGAGGCGTTGACAGCGGGAGCATCCCGCGTCGCCGCGCTCCAGACTGTCACATTTGACTTTGAGTTTGCGACAGGCTAGGCATGCCCGGCCTTTGCGGGAGATGTGCGGCTCAGAAGGTAAATGGTCGGCGGAGCGTTTGCGGTTGTGTAGAACGGGTGATGTGTTTGTGCTTGTCGGCTCGTTATTGATGGAGCCGGTCCATGATGGTTGACGGGTGGAGTGGCTGATGATAGAGGGACTGGATTGCGGAGGTGGTTGGGGAGCGTAGTCTTTGGTGTCGGTCATGATTTGGGTGTCTTCGTCTCCTCGCCGGCACTGAGTCGCATGTTCAGAACAGGTGAGAAGGGAATAGAGAAGCTATAAGAATCCAGACCTCCAAATCTGGGTACCTGCAATTGTGCGATTGTTGATAAGCTCTTATGATTTTGCCTCGACGTCAAGTTGGGGAATGGGAAAAGAGGATGGGAAGAAGGGAAGAAAGGCGCGGACTTCTTTGAGTTTCCCCGCATTAACACAGTGTTAATTTAGTAGAGACCAAATAAAATCCTCCGAGGCTTTCAACCAATGGTTACTGAGTTTCTGTTCTTAGCTCGTATTGGCATTCTACTAACTCAACAACCTCCACAATGTCCCTTTTGTCCTTTTGTTCTACCTAGGTACCTCCAATCGTCCATTCCTCCAGATTTGCTCGTTTGCATTTCTCCAGACATCGCCCAGCCGTTGTGCCACTATCCAATCGAGACAGCCCATTTTGAACCAGAAATTGTCATACGCGATTTCAATCTCTCGATGGATGGCTCTACTCTTCGCAATCTCTTCAGCATGCTCCGGCCACAACCTTCCCAAATCCTCGAAAACACCCTGGCTTCCATGCTTCCTCTCGTTTTCCTCTTTGCGTGCTTTGTACAATAGCCCCATCTCCGATGAACCAGATTTGAACTCGTCCCAGTATGTTCTTTTCACTTCTCTGTACTCGATTTCAAGTTGCACGTGGTCGACGTTCGGTGGCCAAGGATCTGCCGTCCGACTGCGCCACTCGGCATCAGTCGCCCTCGCCCACTCTGGCATCTCGATCTGACCGTATCGTCTCACATTCACGGCCATTCTATGAATTTTCGCTGCCGCCTTGGGTAAGTACGCTGCAAGAAGGTCGAACTCATGTCCATCCGCACCGCCAACCTTGATAGGTTGGCATCCATGTCTACATGGTTCATTGCCTGTAATTCGACACCGGCATCTTTTCCTGCAAGCAAGACGCTTCTGCTGGTCTAACATTCTGACCAGGTGTTGTGGCCTTCCGTGCTTCGGTGGTGAGAAGTGCAAAGAGGACTTTCGTCGATCAAATCTGGTCGAAATTGTAAGCAGATGTGCAGTCCTGATGATAATTCTGAATGAGAATGTAGGGAGGAGCAAGATCTTATACGCACACTACTGCCTCCGTGACAGAGCAGGCAAATGGGCCAAGAGTGTGCCGACAGAGCAGTGAGACAACTATACCAATCCATTCCAACGCCCTTCGAAGTACTGCCTCGCAAAGGTAGCTGGAGGCAGTGGCCCCGGCATACATAAAACGACTTCCAAAGGGTTCTGCGAGAGCAGCGGTCTTGAGTGATCTACATACCTCAGATTTCGTTATCCTCAACTTCTCTCGAGCCAACTGGACGCGGGCCAACACGTTGCTTCACCGCATCCTTGAACATGTACATGCCCGACCTCAACGACCAGCACAAGCTGAAGATGTCGGTATAGCGTCGTCTATCCCTCATGATCTCTCCAACAGATTCCGGATACAGGGTTTTCAATTCCACAAAAACACCACGTGGCCCATGTTTCCTCAGATACTCCTTTCTGTATGCATTGTACGTACGACCCATTTCCGAGTCTCCTGACATGAAGTCCTTCCAGAATGATTTTGCCACCTCATTGTACTCTTTCCGAAGTCTCTCAGGGTCAGGAGTTGGTCGGCCAATGAATGGATACACCACCGTTAAGAAAGTCTCTTCTTGCGGCTCAGACTCCGGCTTCTGAAGCTCCCCGTATCTTTGGACGTTAATGATCATCTTATTGATGCGCTCTATCTCCTCGTTGAAAAACGGCCTAAGAAGGCTGAAGTCATACGCCCCAGTCTGTGCCAACGTGACGCTGATTGGATGAAACCCATGCACACACGGCTCTTTGCTTACAGGTTCGCATTCACAAGATTCGTCGTAGATGGAGTGGTCTTGCTGCTCGGCCATTTTGGTGTGGGTTTTGTGGTGGGAAGTTTGCGCTGAGCTGTCTTTCGAAAGAACTGTGATGGGGAGTGGGGAAACGACCTGCGATGAATGCGCCTTGTCGAAGATATGAGCAGACGTGCAAGTGTAACGTTATCCAAAAACTGAATCTGTAGGAGGAGCAATTATCTATACTCTTTCAACAGCCTCTGTGACAGATCAGGCAATATGATAACAAAACAAGGCAGTGAGGTGAAGACGCCATTTCACCCAATCGCACGTCGAAGTACTGCCTTGCAAGGACGGTGGAGGCAGTGCGCCAATCGATGAAACGATTACCAAGCGCGTCTGCGAGGGCAGATGTCTTGAGTGTTGCGCAAAGGATGTCGCATTCCAATAGGGTAGTCTGCTCCAGGTTGTCCATCCGACAAACTCCTCTACCACTGAGTGGTAGTCATAAGACAGGCAAGCACCATTGATCGATCAGATCATTAATGTGGATAAACAGCATTGGGATAATAGATACAATTGATGATGTGGTTTCAGCTCCTGCTGGGCATGCGCTGGCCAGCTCCTAGAACCTCATTTGTCTTTGAGATACATACAAGACCACCATCTACTTCAAGCTTTCTGTGGCTTGAAAGATACCGTCTCCATCGCTCCAGCTCATTTTATCCAATCCCTTGTACAGGCCCTGAAGTCAGTAGCCCACACACCACATTCTGCCCGTAATTTCACAAGAAAGAAATTCGCATACCACCCCATCAGTTTCCAGATTCTTTCACAGAAGGCATCAAGGCCACCTTCCCATTGATAGCCAACAGTACCAACCCCAATGTTCCTATCAGGCAAATTCTCATGATCAGCAGTCCGACCACTCTTACCACAAAGAGAGCTTGCTTGTACAGTGGAACCACTAAGTTGCCCTGCTCATGAGCATCAATCTGACCATTCAGAGACTGTCGTTGATCAATATGTTCCTCTGGCTCAAGGTCGTGTTTCTCTGGTTCAGGATCGTGGTTTTGTGTCTCAGTGTCGTGAGTCTCCGCTTGATCAAGACCACCCAACGGGCCTTCTGCAATGACCTTTCCATCATATTTGATAAGATATTCGCCGTCACATTGGGAGATGCAGAGTTTCCCACTGCGCATCACGGTGGTTCCATGCTCTTGATTGATAGAAAGCTCCCCACTAGAGGCATTGGGTCCTCCAGGTCCGATAACAATGCTGGCTCGATCGCTCTGCAAGGTGAATCTATCACCCTCTGTGGTGATGCATCGTTGCCCACTCCGAACAGTGTGTTCGTCGCCTAATACGGTTATGCTGTCCTCCCCACTTTCGAGAAAGTGATATTCAGAAAAATCATTGACCATAATTGCATGCTCCCCAGACCGCAGATGGCAACGCTCTTCGCCTTTGCGGAAAATTTCGTCCTGGCCATTTGTGATGACAGTAACGCTTCCGGTCTTATAAATGCTGGCTTCTCCACTGTGAACCCGGACGGTTTCAGTGTCTTCAGCGACATGAGTTTCTTCAGTGACATGAGTCCCTTCGGTCACTTGAGTCTCTTCAATCCCTTGATGAAGTTCAATTTCTCGATTGTTTTCAGTAGCTTCATCGTCTTCATGAGCGGGAGTCTCCCCACCGATATCTTCACCCGCGCTGGTTGGCCCACTTTGAGAAGCATCCTGATGGTTATCACTGCCCTGGGTGTCGTTGAAGGAAGTTGTGTCATGTGTCGTGGCATCAGTGGCAGTTTGCTCATTGTTGTCACCAGCGTTAGCAGTTGGTGGGGCTGCTGCATCAGGCTCTATGTTCGCGTCCTCGTCTGCTTGGTTGCCGTCTGCTTGGTTGCCGTCTGCTTGGTTGCCGTCTGCTTGGTTGCCGTCTGCTTCGTTGCCGTCTACTTGGTTGCCGTTTGCTTGGTTGCCATCTGCTGGGTTGCCATCTGCTGCGTCTTCGTCTGCTTCGGAAGCTGAATCGTCTGGTAGGCCCACATCGTCATAAAATGCGTCATATGGCACATGGCGACCACGCTTTCTTGCTTCCTTTCTCTGGCGGCATATCTTCTCACGTGGAGTCATGTCTCTGGAGAGTAGTTGAAAGTCATCGAGCTGGTGGCTCGCCTCAGATCGTAGCAGACGAATGCCGCAGGCTTCCTCCAGTTCCCAAATGGGTTGCAAGGGTTGATAGATCCCCCTGCCAAGAGTCGTGCGGCGCCTAAAAACATTGTCCGGACCAAGTACACCTTTGAGATATGGTCTCTGCTCAAGGTACAGCCGCGGAGCTCTACATCCATCGGCCATACTTGCCCACACCCCGCCGACAACATCACCTTCAATGACAGTTGAAATCTGACGTCGAGGGGCTATCTGCTCGATATCAATGGCGCCCCCAAGTCGGTTGGGATAGCGGATTGCTGACCACCTATTCCTATGCTCTGGCCTAGGACCATACCGGCCATAACCGTAAAGTGCAGGGGCTTTGCATTGTGCTTCGTATGGAAGTAGAACAGTTGCGAAGACAGTATTAGACTGTAGGGCGGAACGAGGTGTGGAACCATGCACCGGAGTTTCGGCGTCCAACAAAGTGATTATGCTGCAATGCCCGAACTGTCTCAGTCTTCCTTCGCTTATCGCAATCCTCATAGCCGTGACGAGGGAAGCCACGAACAACCCATGTGTTTGATAGTGGTCTTCATGAAGTAAGAAGCAATGCAGTTGGCGCGTGTCCTCGAACGGTCCTGTTGTATTGATCACAAAAGAACTGCCTTTGACCACGCTTGAGCCCGGATGGAGCACAGCGGAATTCGAAATGGCGTCCGCAATAGGTTCTCTGGATACTGCTCCGGACAGAGAACTGGTCAGTGACAGCAACTCTTCGCATAGCCAGCGCATACGTAAGCGTAATGATCTCAGACGTGGGATGAGTTGTCGAACAGCAGGACAGACGTGGTGGTTTTCCGCATGTGACTCTTTGCAGTCCCAGAATCCTTCTGTGTCCAGTTCCAAATGTTGCACGGAGGCAGGCAATGCTCGCAAGAGGGCCACAATATGGTAGTGGTTGATGTAGAAGCCTGGAGAGCCACCTTCTGGCGAAGAAACAACCAAGCTGAAGCTTTCCAATGCTTTCATTCTCTCCATCACAGCAGGTATTTTGTCGAGATGTTCCCATAGCGCCAGAGTCTGCAGGGTCATTTCCTGAGCCTGTCGGTCTCGAGGGAGATAGATCTCGCGAATCGAGGCCGGTACAAATGGCGGGTTGGGTATGGGAAGTCGTGTGTGGAAGCTCAACGTCAAAGACCGTGTGAGTCCAAGGTTAACACTTTCCGAGCTTGAGAACTTGGCCAGTGATGTGTTGGTGATGCAGATGTCTGTCCAAATGATTTCCTTCCCGATATCGTGCCAGACTGAACAGGTAGTAAGAGCATTGAGGAAGGAGCCGTCGTGATCAGCGCGTGAGCTCTGTCGCAGCTGCCGAAGGATGTGGAAGAGCAACTCTCGAGGAAGTCCATTGACATTTCGCATCAAAGTTTCTTGAACTTGAGGTTTTTGAGTTGGATGAATCCAATGCTCAGGTACCCGAATTTGACCCTTCTGAAGTGCGCGCTTCCGCTTTCGAACCTTGGAGATCTCGGGTTTCATGTTGCTTGTCGTCGCAGTGCGGATACTGAGAACTGGTCGAGCAGTTTGCAAACTGGATCGATGATCGCAGCAAAACCAGAAGAGATTGTTTGTAAGAAAGCCAGAAGAAACTTGGTGCATGATTACAACTGACTTTGTCACAGGCAGAGGCAGTGAAGACCGTCTTATCCACTGCCTTGCGGTTTCGCGCATCAGGCTGTGCCAAAAGGGGCTACGGCTTGGCAAGGCTGTCACTGCCTCGAACATCATCACTGCCTCCGCAAAGGCCTGGAGAAAAACCGGACGAGAGTTGAAAGACGTGCTCTCATTAAATGATAGCAAGACGAAATCCATGGGCTTTACAGTATGTGGAAAACGCTTTTAGTCAGTACTCCCAAAGCCAGTAGTTACACGGGAACATCTGCTGAGTCTTACATTGAGCTCCTCTTTCTTCACTGAATGGAGCTTCTGGGTGTTTCTCTTCCGTAGCTCGCCCAATTTTCTAAGAAGTGATCCTGATTCTTTCATGTCTGATCTGTTACTTATCAAACACACCAAATCTATCCTCCGCCTTGTCCCTTTCATGCCCACGCGCTTGTGTGATCATTGAACCAGTCAATGTCCAACTCCAGCTTCGATAGCCCTCCCTCCGAAACAATCTCGAATCATGCCTCCTGAGCTTTCCAACTCCACAGGGCTCTGGAACTTTGTACTGCAAGCTCCCAAACCCGGCAGAGTATTGCACAATCAGTTTTGCGCATACCACCAGCCCTGCTCAACTCACCAGTCCTCTCGACGGTTCTGTAGGAATTTGTTCCAGTCCCTGGTCAAAAGTTTTCAGTCTTAGGGTTGCCGTTGATGTTCTCAGAGGTCTTTGGGAGAAAAGCTTTCCGATGTCTGGCTTCCCGTTGTTCAGAGAGTATCTGCAGCAATTCGGGCGATACATCTTGTCTTCGAAACGCACCAGGCTGACTCTCATGCTCAGAACTCCGGGCCTCAACGTTGTTGCAAGGCTCTGAACCTTCAGCATGCGCCTCTTCAAGAGGGCTTTGATGGGTCTTTCGTTCCGAATCAGCTTCTGGCGATTGAATTTCCGTTCTGTACTTGAGACTGTTGGGGTCGTCCTGAGCCTTGGAGTCTGCCGTGCTGTTTTGCAAGATCTTTGCAAAACTCCTTTCCGGATCTTCAGCAGGTTCTTGTTCCCAGTCGGGTATCCCTTGCTTTCGCTGCCAAGCGAGCTGACTTTGGGCCTCTGTGCCTAGAGCGTCGCCGTCGTTGCAAGGCTCTAAACATTCAGTATGCGCCTCGTCAAAAGGGGCTGGCTGGGTTTCTTGTTCTGAGTCAGCCTCCTGTGATTGACTTCCCGTACTTCCCACAAGACAGTTGTGACTCTCCTGAACCTCATAGTCTGCCTTGTTGTCTTGCAATCTCTGTGCGGGTCTGATGTCCCGAAGTCTCACGATTCTTGGCCGGTCGGGAGTTGTCCCTTCAATTCGCAGCACGTGTTGCTGACTTTCAATCTTTGGGTGTTGTTGCTTCGACATCCTGGCTTGGGTCTCTTTGAGGTCGTTGTACTTCTTCTCGATACTTTCTTTCTCGCTCCTCAGCGCGCTGTACCGCCAATACTGAGTACCAAGCTCTGTGGCAAGGCGGTCGTTATCGTCCTCGAGCTCCTTCTTCTCCGCCTCAAATTCGTCTTTCTGTGCTTTCATGCTGAACTCGACTTTCATCAGCTGATTTTCAAGTCGTGCTATAGTCGTAATGTCCATCATGGCCTCTAAACTCCGACTGTCCAGCTGCTTCCTCCACTTGACAATCGTGTTGTTGTTTTTGATGGATTTCCGGCCCAGTTCTTGGAGCTTTACGTCCTTCATATTGATTTCATCTTCCTTTTCTTGGAGCATGTTCTTCAGCTCTGTCACCTTTTCTTCCAGATCTCTGACTCTGTTGTCCGTTTCTTCGAGTTCATTCTTGGGGCGCATAATGGTGTCCCGGTACGCCTGATCAGTATTGACCTTCATTGGATCGATGCTCACAGCAACGTCCAAGAGTCCATAATGATCTGACTCTCCAGCTGTAGCGTTGTCGTCGGCAGCGTCGGCAGTGTCGACAGCGTCGGTCTGAACACCTTTCGAGCCGTAGTCGGCAACGCCATCGTTACTCATGGTGCTGGTAGCATCCACAGAATGAGAGTGAGACGATTTGCCAGCGGTGTCATTGTTGTCGACAACGTCGGTCTGAACAGCCTTCTCGTTGGAGCCGGCAGCATCATTGGTGTCATTGGCCTTTACGTCCTCTTCTCTGTTGGTCAACCAGCATGTAAACGACAACCATGCGACGAGCAACAAGACGAAGACGAAAGCCGATTCGGCCAACGAAAGCGCTGGCATGCTGACAGGCGTCGGAGACAACCACGTAACGTGGTCAGTCTCACTTCGGTTGAACTCCTTGTCGTTCACAGCAGCGCTGGCGGGCACACAACGTCCCAACGGACTCTCCTGAACAATGTACCAGAGGTCCTCCGCAGGACACTGGCTATCGTTGTTGAAGATGATCTCGAGGTCATCTCCAACGCGAACGCTTAGAAGGTTGGGAACCGGAGGAAGGATATCAGAGACAAGACCGCAGCCTTGCTCGAGGCAGGTCTGGCCTGTGGGACCCGTTGTACGAGTTTGGACAAACAGGACATCTTCGAAAGATTTTGCCTGGCCAAGGGACTGTTTCGTATCGATGGGAGAATACTCGACGACTTCAGCCCAAGGTTGGAATGGCAAGGGTGTAATCGGTTCGACGGTTACTGTTGGGAAATGGTAGGGTTGACGCAGGCCCAGTTTGACCGCGACCGACATCCAAAACGCGCAGTCTCCCGCCATCATGAGAAACTCTGATCAAGGTCGGTCAGTCTCACGCATGATTAGCAATCCAATGCACACTTACATTGTTGTGGTAGCTATTTCATCGAGGTGTATGGTTTTTGGGGTCGAGGTATGGTGAAAAGACAAGGCAACGGGTGGGCAAGAGTGTGCGGTGTAGCGCAGGCTGTGAGGTAGAGTCAGGCAAGTTTGAGAAGTGAGGCAGTCGAAGTACCTGAATTCATTGTTAGTTTCTCATTGTTCTCCGGCATTGAGCGTTGAGAGAAACAAAGAGAGTTATTCATACGTGAGACTGTTGGCCAAAAGCGCCTGATGTCCGACTCTCATCAAGGATTCTGACGATTTCCACTGAAATGGAACTGCTAGAAGTCTGCAGGTTGAGAAAGGGGGCAAGGCTCATCAGCTTCTGCTACGAAGCGGGCTTGATTATGGTGGCCGCAGCTTGATAAAGTCACGTAGGTTGAGGGAACATTCGTGAGAAAGCGATTAAAAAGCTGGAGGAACATTTAATCTAAGAAATAGGAAGAATACCGCAGGCAGTCAAGTGAATATATTGTTTTGCCTACTTAGTATGCGGTGTAGTGATCTGACGAGGCTGCATCGCCAAGGGGTAATGCCAAGACCAACAAGGCTGCGGTATTAGCACTACCTGAATTCAAGACTGAGCACCACTAATATTAATGCCAGAGCTCATGGTTTTGACTATCTCTGTTGCTAAGCGGCGATGCCTATACGGTCCTCACAGCCATAGTCAAAACCTTGCATAAGTGTGCCATCGCCCTGCTCCCCCTCAAAGGTGTAAGTCCTGCTTCTTCCATATCAAATACATCAGTAGCGGCAACCACACGTCATCGACGATCGAGCACTGTCCTACCTGGTCTGTCTGGGGTCTTCAGCTATGATCACATCCAGCACAATTGTCTGACAGAGAATGACTGCAACACCGAAACATTCCAAAGCAGTCTCGATCACTTGATGCTTTACCAAGTCAGGGTTAAGCTCGCTGCTGTGCTCGGGATAAAGTCTCAACAACTTATTGTACTGACCAGCACCAGCTCGAAAATCGGGGGCTCCCCACTTTCTTCGGTATTCCTTGACATGTTGTGCACGGAGATATCGCAGGCTCGATTCGTCCGACTCTTCCCCCCAGATGGTTGCTTGAAGAGCCATAAATTCGTCCCAAAGCTGGTCTCCGGATACCTTGTCTTCAACTCCGTTCGGTTCGTCAAATCGACCATACTTACGTAAGTTGTCTACCTTGCTAGACATCAGGTCGGTGGCCTCCTCAATTCGTTGGACCAGAGGGAAATAGTCATTTTTCATGTCAAGATTACCTCTCTCATCGCAGCGGCAGGCCTCGCCTCGGAAGACCCTCTGCGAGGAGTGTCTCACCATGTTGTTGATGCGTGTAAGTGTTTCAAAAGGATATGGTTTTGGTCGATGTAGTTTTGTATGAGCTTGATGGACGATGGAAAAGGTTTCGCGAATAAATAATTCGGCGCGCAGACGAACAACTGCCTTGAAGAATTAACTACCATTGTTATAGATGCTTGCGCGGCTGGTTTTGTTCTTTGTTTATGTCAGCTAGTGGAAATGGACCACTGCCTTTGTGACTCGGTCATTGTTCACCTTGTTTCCCCAGAATGACGCTTTGCGGATCTCGAACCGTCTTTGTCATGAATATTCTTTGTTCACACACCCTCTTGACACTTCGTTTTGTGAGGCAACACCACCATCCGCAAAGCCTCACCACTAAGCACCGCGTCCTGCTCGAAGTTGATGACCACTAACATAATCCAGATCCAGTGACGCTCTAATCGTAAAGACAACATCTCTCCTAACGTACTGCAAACCAGGTAGGAGGAGGCACAAATGGCCAGCCAGAAACGAACAGACATATTTGAAGGAGTTGGAGTTCTTCGCGACGAGCTGCCTGTATCAGTGGTGGTAGCTTATCCACCTCCCTTGCGAAACTTGCACCATATCTCTCACATTTCGTAGTCAGATGCCCCCAGGAAACTCCAGCGTATATATGGTAAATAGACAGTCAACAGGCAGCAGACGATTGGGAGTGGCATTGGAGCTGGGGTAGCATGGTAGAAGAATCACTTCGTATTCTTTTCCAAGGCCGAAAGCTGGAATGCAGTGGCCTCGAGCATGTCCGGTCAAAGGAGAACAAATGACGCTGATTGGTCTTGTCTTGATTTGTAAGCTTGGAATCAAGCTATTGCTGGCCTCATAACACACACTCCATATGAGGCTGAAAGTACTCGGCCGTAAGCATGATCCTGCTTTGAGGGGACTAGCACGGGGCAAGTGGAGCTGCCGCGGGCCGCGGGGCATACGGTGCATCGCTGATCTAGAACTTCAGCATCGGTCAGTACTCTCCAACCTGCTTCTACGCAGTGTACTTCTTGAACTCAGAATAGGTGGTTTGTAAGCTTGGCTCCTTTTCTGAGTTAGATGTATGGACACGTTCAACACGCTACTTCGTAGGTCGAGTTTGACCATTCCATCTCCTGTGACCAGAGCTGTCGGACTGTCCAGTACGGCCGTTACCAACGTGTGAGCTGTGGATTGCAGACCTACATTCCACCTTGACTACATTAATCAGCATGTTGATGGCTTTTCACGAGTGACTCGAAGTGGTCGGACATCGCAAATTCAGGTATATAAAGTGTGATAGGTGAACTATCGAAGGAAATTTTCAGCAAGTACTATCGTCTCATTGGATAGCTGAAATTATCGCAGAGTCTGCATTGACAGCATGTCGTCTTACCTTATCACGGGCACCTCTCGTGGCCTCGGGCTGACCTTGACAACGTGTCTTCTGGAACAGCCCAAGGATCAAGTTCGCTTCGTCGCTGCAGCCGCACGGACCAAGACTTCTGCTCTTGAAGCCCTCATCCATCAATATCCTGGCCGCATTGCTTTCATTCCACTGGAAGTAACTAGGGAACAGAGTGTGCATGCCGCGGTCGGGAAAGTTCAAGAAGCCTTGGGAGCTAGTGCCGGTTTGGATGTCTTAATCAACAATGCCGGGATCATGCCTTTTGTACCTGAAGGCATTATTCAAGCGTACGACCCTCCCTTCGTATTATGGGCCCTTGGTTCGAAAGCAACTGACATAACATTCCAGGACCAATCTCATGTCAACCTTTGAGGTCAATGTCAACTCCGTACAACTGTGCTCGGCTGCATTTCTGCCTTTGCTGCGCAAAGGTTCGAAGCAACTCGTGTTGAACATGTATGTGAAAGCAAAGTCCGTCTGTCTGGGAGATTGGGACAGCTAATGTGCCTTAACAGTGGCAGCATCTTGGGATCCATCACTCTGGCACCATCCATGGCGCCATATCCAACCTCCACTTACAAGGTTTCGAAAGCGGCGGTGAATATGTTGACGGTTCAATGGGCCCTTGACCTAGCCAAGGAGGACTTCACCATCATCTCAGCGCATCCCGGTGTATGTTTTCCTGGTCTGAGAGATGAGATGCCCTGAACTTGTGCTAACCTTACTTACACAGTGGTTGAGGACAGACTTGGGCACCGACCAAGCCGATCTGGCGGTCGAGACAGGCGCAAAGGGCGTGTTGGAGATTCTCGACAAGGTCACCAGAGCCGACACTGGCAAGTTCTTTGACATTCACGTGCCTGGCTGGGACAGCGAAGGGAAGCTCAACAAGTACGAAGGTGGAGAATTGCCGTGGTGAGGGAGGCGATGGTCGAACCGTCAAGCAATTCGTCGAAGACTAGGACTCATCTTGCTGGAAAGAAGTTCTGTAGCGCTCATCCTGGATGTAAAACTCCTAGAGCTACGAGTTATCCGTTGGAGGGGTGGCCCTGCAAGATCTCGTCGAGTTTAAGGATGCCAAAGGCAACAATTCACACCGTCATATTATCTATAGGCACGGAGTATTCCGAACCGAGCAAATATCCACATTGGGACTATTCTACGACGTCATTAACGATTCTTACTTTATTCGTCAGCACGGTCCAGGCATCACTCCACGGAATCGGATCGGAAGAGATAACATCCTACTCCGATTCCCCTTTCACTTCGTCTTCTCTTCTCCTACTCCGTCCTTCATCCCTATTGCTTTTTCAATCCCTCCGATCCCTACTCCTTCTCCTCTGCTACTGCGTATTGCCTTAGTTGAATTGCAAGGCTGGCTGACTAATTCTTTCGATGGCTGCCGGATAGACTGAAGTCCGTGTCAGTTTGTCGGTTTCTTGGTCGATATTGATTGCACTCTCACGTGACTGGGCAGTTCCTACCATACTGGTGAAGTATGGCAACTCCCTACCCTGATAGTCTGTTCTCAGCAGCAGCCGACTCAGAAAAGACGTCGGAAACGTTGCACGTCCGAGCCTGCACGAATTGTGTCCGCGCCAAGGCCAGATGCTTGAAGACTTCTAGCGTCGATGCCATGGGAACGTGTGAAAGGTATAGTAGTAATATGGACTGTCGCAATCCATATCATCCCATACGCATCTTCTGTTACTCTACGACCTTTTCCTAACATCTACGGTAGGTGTCATCGCATGAAGAAAATCTGCCAGCCGTCACCTCCAGTGCGCAGGGCTCGTACACTGAAGAAACTCTCTGCGGATAAGACCTCTAAACTGGAAGAGAAACTAGACGGCCTTGTGACACTCCTTAAGTCGGCAGCTACTCAAGGTACCTCAGGGACTCTCAATGCAGCACTAATCAACTCGTCTCTGGAAGGATTGCAATCTGCAGGCCAGACATTCTCTCCTATTTCAACAGCCAACGGCAGCGTTTACCCGGGACGACATGCGCACAATGCGCCCACTCCAACCGGAGATGGCTTTCCTCGGCCGATTTATACTCCAGCACCATCTGCATCTTCCAAGTCAACACCATACAGCAATCATAACCTCGAACCTGTCCTCCGTCCGGACTTGGAGCCAAGTCCAGAAGAAGCAGAGTTACGTTTGAATAAATTTCGAGATGACTACGTGGAATACTTTCCATTCGTAGTCATATCACCCTCTCTTACCGCTCACAAATTGCGGCAAGAACGCCCAATCCTTTGGATGTCCATCATGGCTGTGACTTCACCTTATTCTACTGAGCAGATTTACTTCTCCAATGAAATGCGGGCCATTATAGGAAAGGAAGCGTTTGTTGAAGGCACTAGGAATATGGATTTCCTTTTGGCAGTCCTTGTCTATACCTCTTGGTGAGCCTAGACCAATGGTTGGCCCCTTAGTCAGACCCCAGAGAGTTCATGAAGCTGAAAGGACGAACTTGCTTAGGGATCGACGCTTTTGTTTTGGAAAGCCAGTATTGATCGCTCTAGTACAACTTGCAGTTGCAATAGTGTATGATCTTGGACTTGACAAACCACCATCAGAAGATCCAGCAATGGCTTTCGCCTACAACTTGAAAGGAGCCAGTAAACCCCCAATCATTGCAAGAGCCCCAACGCTGGAGGAACGAAGAGCTCTACTTGGCGTTTTTATGTTGAGTTCAAAGCATGTCTATGTCTCAGTCGTCGGATTTGAAGCTAACGTTTACAGTTCTACCCGCACGTTCGGCAGGGGAAGTGTCATGCGCTGGACAGCTTATTTGAACGAGTGTCTTCGCATATTAGAAACCGAGAACGAGCTCGATTCAGACGCGGCTCTTGTCCAGTTGGTCAAATTACGTTTGATATCTGACAGAACAAGGGACATGGCGGGACCATCGGCTGATGCTGATGTCGACCTAGCTGCCAAACTTCCCACTGACTTTTACCTGAAGTCACTCGAGGCGCATCTTAGGTCTTTCAAATCAAGCATTCCCGATGGCTTGTCGAACAGAGGTAAGTCATTTCCATCCATGTTTTGGTCCTAGACATATCGCTGCCTGGGACATGACTGATCGCTGACTTTAGCCATACTTCTGATGGAACTCTACATGACCGATTTCAGCATCCACGAGGTTGGACTATCCCAGGGTACTGATATCTTTGATGGGTCGGAGAATCGGCGGATGGAATGCCTCTGGACTTGTCTCAATGCTTTGAAATCCTGGATCGACGTTTATTCTGGAATTCCACTGACTCAATACCCTGGGTTTTCGACAATGATATATTCCAATATGATCCGTAGCCTGATAGGACTATACCGACTATCGATATTTGAGCACGCTGGCTGGGATCGAACTGTGCTTCGAAGCCATATTGACACTGCGTCGTTCTTGGAGCAGTGCGAAAAGAATTTTGCGACCGTCAAGGATGTGACTGGTCTCGACGTTGGCGGTTCACATGATACAGATTTCTTCACCATCATGGCTTCAAGAGTCCGTTTTATCAGAGGGATTTGGGAACACACAGGCTCCTCAACAATGCCATCTCTTGCGGCTCCGTTGGGTGATGACTTGGATTTGACAGATTTTCAAGTGGATTTTTCAGAGGATGATTGGCTAAGGAATGTTCTGATGCCCCCCTGGAGCGAATAGTGCATTCTCCGCTGTACTAGTACTGTATGAAAATTGAGATCGGCGTATGCACAACTAAGGCTTGATTTTCCGACTCAATTATATGCCTATATATGCTCTAAAGCAATGACATGAAGTGACTGACTATGGTCCATTCTTCTGCTTGAAGTTAGCAGCATTCACGGGCCACGCTGAGTCGATCCATGCACTTTTCCCGCAATCTCCGACCCTCCTCATGATTTTAGGAGTAGGAGCCGTAAACGTCCGCTCCGACGGGGCTTTGTCACCCCGGTCAGTGTCTTTCGTTTTTACTTTACTTGCAGCCTTGCAGTATTTAAATTGATCATGTCTTCTGGGGCGTCTGATAACATGTTCTCAGAAGCAATAAATACAATCTTGTTGGCAGAACTATTGGTGTGATCAACGGCGACACATACCATGTCCACAGCACAACAACAATCGGTGGAGGCCACGGCTCCCGATCCTGCTGCTTCCTTGGATGTACATCTTGAAAAGCATACGGAACACTTACATGGCTTGAAGTTGGTTGCAGTTATCGCCTCTCTAAGCTTTGTGGCATTTTTATTGCTACTAGATGTCTCCGTCGTGAGCACCGTTGGTTGGCCACTTTTCCTTTGCTTCAGCACTACAGATCAGCAACTGACCGCAGAATCATCAGGCCACTCCCAGAATCACATCGGACTTCCATGCGCTGGATGATGTTGGATGGTACGGTGCTGCCTACCTTCTAGGAACGTAAGTTTGCGTCTCTTTCCCTCAATGCAAACCTCCCGCGCAAAATTGTCCTGTTTATCATCAGGAAGGATTTTCTGACATGAATGCATAGGTGTACACTCCAACCTCTCACAGGAAAGATCTATGGGCAATTCGACATGAAAGTGAGCAACAACACAAACGGGCCTGCCGTATTAAGACTGGGTTGACTAACTTCTACTTCTAGTGGACCTTTCTCATCTTCGTCGCGATTTTCGAGTTGGGGTCTGTGATCTGTGGTGCTGCCACATCATCGGACATGCTCATCATTGGCAGAGCCATTGCGGGATTGGGCGGCTCAGGTATACTTAACGGAGGATATAGCCTGATACACGCAAGTGCACCATTACCAAAACAACCATGTACGTGGCCACAGTCACCTGGACGGGCGTCCATGTACCTCAGCTAATTGGTATACTTACAGTTTATCTTGGTATCATCATGGGTGTGGCCCAACTTGGAATCCTTTCTGGACCACTAGTTGGCGGTGCCTTTACGGAGTATGTCTCCTGGCGATGGTGTAAGTTCAAGCTCAAAATGTTCCCATCCCAGAGATACCTTCGGTTCTGTAAAAGCTAACAGGACATGGGAAAGGCTTCTATATCAACCTTCCATGCGGTGCTGTGGCAGCCGTGGTATTTTTTGTTACTTCGATTCCAAACATACATCCTAAAGGAAACTCTACATTCCTCGAAAAACTACGAAAGCTGGACCTTACCGGCTTCGTTCTATTCGCTCCATCAGCAATCATGTTCATCCTCGCCCTTGAATGGGGTGGGAATCAATATGCGTGGAGCAGCGCCACCATCATTGGCCTCTTCTGCGGCGCCTTTGGCATGATAGTCATCTTCGTGGCATGGGAACACCGGATGGGAAAAGAAGCCATGATCCCACTCTCAATCCTCAAAAGACGTGTTATCTGGAGCACAACTATCCATTTCGGCTTCTTCGTGGGGTCAATGTTGACCGCAACATACTACCTTCCATTGTACTTTCAGACCGTCAAGGGTGCCTCGCCCCTTATGAGCGGAGTGGATCTCTTACCGTCGATTATCAGCCAAGTCATCTTTACTATTATAGCCGGTGCCCTCAGTAAGTTCAAGCCCGCTGCAGTCGACTCGGGCTATTCTTGCTTTGCTAATGGACAATGATTTAGTGCCACGAATCGGATACTATCTTCCAGTCGCAGTACTGGCGACCATGCTTGCTACTATCGGGATGGGGCTTACCACAACGTTTACTCCAACGACGGGGATTGGAGCCTGGATTGGATACCAGATCATCATGGGCGCTGGCCGAGGTTTGGGTTTCCAGATCCCCATCATCGCGGTTCAGAACAACTCTCCAAAAGAAGAAGTGTCTATCGTCAATGCGCTTGTCGTTTTCGCCCAGAATCTCGGCCCGGCGATTTTCTTGTCTCTGGACGAAATCATCTTCACCAATGGGTTGGAACATTACCTACCGATATATGCTCCGGGGATCAGCCCTGAATTTGTTGTCACTGCAGGTGCCACAGGTATTCGCGAAGCCGTATCGGCAGCAGCGTTGCCGGGGGTGCTGGAAGCATATACCAAGTCAATTGATCATGTCTTGTATCTTGGAACTGGAGCAGCGGGTGCTGCATTTATCTTTGCTTTTGGAATGGGGTGGGTGGATATCAGGAAGAATAGAGCAGAGCGGGAAAGGGTGGTGGGGCTGAATGATGAGAAGGAACAGACTTCTCTTTCTGACCCGGAGATGGCCTGAGAGATTGACGGTTTCATGCCGGACGCCATCAATTGTCGTGTATCAAATCGCCCAGTCCACAGTTTCAAGGACTAGTGATTGCGGCACCAAGTGCTGCACCACCCTGACGAGGCCGTCTCAACCATTGTTATTGTTGGACGAACTGCCGATGTCTCACATACACTCCGAGACGGCGACGGCAACGACAACGTCAATAATAAGGACTGCCAAAGCCATGCACCCGACGCTTAAAAGTATGAAGACTTGTACTCTACTCAATGAATATATTTACGCACTCTGTATAACAGACGTCCTTATTTGTCCCAGGTTGGAGTGGGAATATCAACTGTCTGTATTCATACCTCGACCTCTTCGCTTCATGATGACCAGGGCGGCGTTTCACGATCTCGCTTTCCATTCCTCGCTCCATAATCCCCTCGGGAACGGCTGGTATGGGAAATAATCGCTCGATGCCGGAGCATGTCGATCTAAAGATGCACCCAGTCGCGGCCCGCCGGCGCGGGAATTGATCGCCCTGCGTTCTTCCCACACCGGCCGGCCAGCAGTATTGCAGCATGATCGTAGAGAAGCACACATGCTTCCACCTGCTATTCTTGGTGTCAGTCTAACGTCGCGAATGTCTTAACAATGCCGAACATACCAGATTGCAGAATTTCCTCATTTATGATCGCTTCTCAGGCCTGACGATATCATTCAAGGTGAAGGCACGATGACTCACAACGGGATCAATGTTGTTCGCCTGGCGCACGTCTACTATTCACTTGGTGATATGGATCAGGCCCATGCATTCCTCTTCGACTTTGGCTTTGTCAGACCTCGCCTGAATGACAAAATCTACTAGCGTGGTTGCGGCTTACAGCCATATATATACGTCCTCGAAAGATCAGAAGACGCTCTGCCAAAGTCCTGGGTGGCACATCGGCAGTGGCCAGTGAGGAAGAACTCCAAGAAGCTGCCTCACATCCGGATGCCAACTCTTATATAAAAGAAGTGATTATTAGAATAAAAGATCATCTAAAACTTCAAAATTAATCAAAGGATTTATAGTATTTAGAAATTTTAGGGAATAGCAAGAATGTTTATATAGAAAAACTATTTCCTCATCTCTTATGTCGCTTTTCAAACTACCAGAATGGCCTTCTTATTTCACGGTCATTCAGTGACTAGATCTTTTGCCCGAAGACTTTTATTTAGAGGATCGGAGTACAGACTGGTGAAGGCTACCATCACAACCCAAGCTGTTTCTAGCCTTGTTTGGTATTACACCTCGCTCCTCATGTCGTCGCTCAGGCGTCTATGTAAGTCCAAATCGACCGGCTCGTTAGGCGTTTGATCCTTCTCCGCCATCCTTTCCTTCTCGTATTCCTTCACCAACCTGTGGTACCTGAAACGGTGTCCAAAGATTGCTAAAGCACCCGCTCCAACAAGCCAAGAGAAGAGCACCGGTAGTGCTATATGAAGATGCGGCACATATCCCCCCGACCAGATATCTGTAAGGACGTCGTAGGCCTCCCTTCCAGGCAGCGCATACGCCCAGCGGTAGAAGCCCGGATTGACTTCGAAAGGACTGATCGTACCAGTGATGTTGATGATGATGTAGGTAAGCACACAGAACGGTAGAGCAGGTGGTGGAAGAAAGGCAGTGCAGCTGTCTAAGACAAGAAGGTGAATATACATGAGAAGCCAATACGTCATCCAACTGAGCACAAATTGATTTCCGTTGACCTGCCAGTCCTCACGGAAGGCCCAGATGTAGCCTACTGTGCAAAGGGCAGCGCCAAGGGTAAATGTCACACTCAAGACGGTCCGGAGAAGAAGACTGATTTTCATGGGAAGCTGCTCGTAGATTTTCATCTCGTTGCAAACGCCATTGAGGATGAGGAGGAAGAAGAATTGTTGAAGGATTGGCATCACCATGCCCACAGTATTGTAGAAGAGCTTTGTCCCCTGATTGGTGGGCATCAGGTTGATCGAAGAGGATGAGATAGGATTGAGGAGAACCTGTAAGGCGTCGGGATCGGTGTTGTTAAGAGCCTGTAAAGCCGTAGGCGCAAACAAGGAATTGTAGGCAAGCCGGGTGGCGTCCACCAGGGTCTTGAGACTTGTTCCAATAGCCTCGTCGGATATCGGAGGATATCTAACCTCATTCCAAACGTACGTCAAGGCGGGGTTGGAGAAGTACGTCTGTGCATCTCGCCCACCATGAAGAGCTGCGGCAAGACGGTTGGATGAATTGGAATGCACGATGAAAGCACCCCAAAATTTGTTTTCCTTGACGGCCTGAACCACATCATCAGGATGTGGATACTTGCTCGAGTCAACCTGGAGCAAGGTCGGAAAGGGGTGCCCACGCAGCTGCTGGTAGGCCTGAGTGAGACACTCTCCGATGGCGTCGTGATCGTAGTCGATATGCAGAATATTGAAAGCGTTGACCCTCGTCGTATACTTCCAAATCGATCCGTAGAGGTAACACATGGTGGAGAGAAATAAGAGCCACAGTAAGAATGAAAGAACTCCAATGATTAGGAAGAATCTTTTCTTGTTTTGCCAGGCGTTTCCCCGATCATTTTGGCCATTTGTGCTGTTCTTGGTCGACAAAGTGTCACGCATCGTGAATAAAAGTTCCCTAGGGCGATCGAGTTCGTCTGAGAGGGTCTATGCACCAGTAGCACGAACAAGATGGCAGACAGAACGGTATATATAGTCTCACAGATGCGCTCTTCTTATTTTGCCTCTCCGTGAAGGACGCAATTGCGCTGTATGGACAATAGACGAGCGCTCCCAGCCCAAAAGTGGCGGAGCACTGCCCATGTGAACAAGATGCCCTCAAACCAGAATATCATAGCCACATCAGACGTAAGATTTTTGTCATGGTCAGTCATCTCGCAACCAGGCGCTACAAGGGCCAAGTAAAGCGTAATTAACCTCTCGCTAACCCCGACAGAAAGCGAGTTTGACGCCATCCCAACACTCCCCATCGACTCAATGCTTTGAACATGTGCCTGCTGCGAAAACCCTGAGTGCTTTTGAATCTACTTCCGTCGGTGCAAATAAGCGAAAGTTGACCTATCAGTGGAGTTAGGGAAATACTCACTCCGTCCCACACGCCATCGGCATAAGATCGCCCACCAACCTTTGCCATCGAGGCAATTCCTTGGAATTCCCCGGTTCGTTGATGGTATCAAGATGACGCAGACAATTCGATTGGTTTGTCATCGTGCAGATAGGTCGAAAGACGGGAAAGTCGCCCGGCAATGAGGAAGATTCTGAACTTTGGAGGACTGTGCAATCTGCTCTGAGCCATCTCTCTTCCACGGTGGAATTGTCAAACACGGAACACTCGGAGATCGGCACCAAGTCTGAGGACGAACGGCTTGATCCGTAATCACTGGACCGAATTCTTCGATGGAACCACGTAGCAACGAATGACCAGAGAAGTCTCTCGCACGAGCGTAGCTGTGTAAGATTGGCTGAGATTTTCCGTGGAGCCCCTTCAGTCACATTACGCCTGGCCCAGATCTCTTTTCAATGATGTCGAAAGACTGCTGTTTGAAAGTCAAGCAGCGGAGTTGATTTCAAGTCTAGCATACTCAATGATCAGACCTGGGGATATTCTCACAGATCCAATGGCCTTACCATGCCCTGCGTGATTTCCCAGCAAGTTTGATCTTCTCACTGATGGAGCAATCGAGTGCATCTGAGGCGCCTACCAAATGCCGAACTCTCACGGCTACGGGTCCAGACCAGCGTTTTCGACCATGTTATTTGACCTCCAAGCCACGAATTCACAGGAGGCGTCCGAATCTGAGCTGCGAGCCGTGCAGAATACGCAAAGTCAAGTGTGACAATGTTAGGCAAATCTAGGAAACCTTTTTAGGGCCATCTAACAAGAAGTCAAGTTGCACCCAGTCTGTAGTAGATGCAAGAATACTCTAGGTCGATGCAGTTATAATGAGAGTCTACCGAGAGGATCCAGAGCCCGCCGCACTCCAAGCTTGCAGACACGACATTTGGACGGGAATTCCGCAATAAGCAGAGAGAATGTCTTGTAAATGAAGCCAGTGCTCTTTCTCATTACCTACTAAAGAAATCCAGAACCGCTACCGTGATCTCAGCTCCCACTACGCCAGCGTCGTTTACAACACTGCGTGATCAGATGCCGCAGCTATGCCCTACCAGTGAGACTCTAGGAGAAGACCCGCGTATGGGAAGAGCAGAGGATGGCGATCGGGATATGGGCGGGAAATCTCATTCAATCCAGAGACGACTGGGTCCTGCGAAAGAGGTCAGGCAGAAGCCGCACGAAACGAAGTCGATGCGCAGACGAATCCCTCACACGTCCAAGTCGATTCATCATTACGTCGAGACCAGAGTATTGGATGCCATGGAACCCAAAACTTACAAGGTGGCGTGCCTCGACTTCCTGCTTGCAGACAAGACGAGGGCAATGTGTTTGGAGGTAGCAATGTTGGTCATCTCAGCCTTAATGAGGACACCACTCCGCGCCCTTCCAGCATCATGTACCATGCTTATTTCTCTGATGGATTGAATGCACTTAATCGACAATTGTCTATCCAGGCGGAGACGGTGAGCCCTCTGGAAAGTTTGGGTCGGCAATACATGAATATTCGACATCGCTGCCCTGTCCTTACCCTGGAAATGCTTGGTGAGGTTCCGAATCATGGTCAGAGTAACGTCCTCTTCCGAACCTGGCTGTCCGGATTTCAGCTCTTTAACCCACTTATGGATATGTCGAATGTCTTGGACAAATACCAAGAATTCTGGCATTGGTACGAACACAGAGGCAGCGAAGACAAGGTAGTTCCAGACTCAGGATATGTGCCTCTTATTTTCGCAATATGGTTCGCTGGATGCATGTGCATGTCGAAAGAAGGATTCAACCTCTGGTTTCCCCAAGCTGAACGTCACCTACTGTCTGCACACTTTCAGGACAAGGTTATGAAGTTTCTAAATCTCTTGTCATTCCCGCAGGCTTCCTCATTACACAAGCTGTCAGCGTTTCTGACCGTATTGGCAAGTCGTGAGTCCAGTCAGGACACTTTGAGCACAGGAGTTGAACTAGGCCTGGCTCTCCGAGTAGCTCAGTCTATGGGCTTACACCGAGATCCAAAGCGTTTTAGCCTTGCATCTTGGGAAATCAATACGAGAAGGCAAATATGGTGGCATATCTTGCAGGCTGATAGCGCGCTGGCCTTGGCCACAGGGCTCCCAGTGCTTGTGGATGATAGGGATTTCTGGGACACGAAGAGTGCTTCACAAGTAGAAGAGTTGCAACGTGAGGATTCTTCTAGTTGCTCGCACCGAAGGCTGATTGCGAGACAAAGAAACTCGGCAGAAAAAACCAAGAGGAACCTGCGGCTCCGAGAGCTCACCCTCCCTAGCACAAACTCAAGATCTTTCGTCCCTCAGCAAGCGTATCCTCTCGAGTTGAGTCTTGCAATTCACAACTCCAAGTCTAGTGGCAAGCACACTGACTACAATCACAGCTGCAGCTCGAGATTTGGTCAGGATACGTCGCGGCACGCATCCTGTGGGCCAGATGGATATTGAGCGCGCAAGATACATCCTTACAACTCTCGAGCATGACATGAAGACGATAATCAAAAGGTTGATCTTATCAGAAACGACACTGACGCAGCAAACGTCTCCAGAGTGTGTTCTGAACCACTGTTGCTCAGCAGACACAAGTTCAAAAATGCTGTGGGAGCCGACGCACTTCGATCTAGAGCTGGAGTATGTTCACACGCAACAAAAAGAGACAGCAAAGCCTCTGGTGGAATACCACTTGGCCTGCTTGTCCTCATTCCACAGGTGGCTTAGGTTATATATACTCCTGGTCATTGATAAGGTATCTCCCAACCGTCGGATTATTCCTTGAACCTTTCTGTACTGACTTGCTAGTTGTACTGCCTGTTTTATCAGCCCTTTTTGAAGAGTTTGAAGAGTGATATGTGGCCTTTCGTATGAGAAAGCGCTCTTGAACACTCTCAGAATCTGATACACAGATTCATACTTCTCGTCACCGGTCCAGCTTTTGTGCCTTTTCGCTGGAAGTGTCCCGGGACTCATTGGCCCGTCCATCCCTGTATTATCATACTAGTTGACCTCTATGAAAGACCCAGCACTAAGGAAGCCCCAATCTCCCGCGGACTGATCGATGAACTCTTTGGACTCTCGGGGTTTCTCGCTGATCTAGGAGCGAATGGGAATAACGAAGAATGGACCATGATATTGAGGCTACGTTCAACTGTTTGGCAGAGGGTGGGTCTCAATCCAAGCGTGTTCTGGACCGAAGAGCAGCACCACGAAGCCGACGCCACAAGAACCTCAAACCCGACTGCACAGCCGGACTTAGCAAGTCAGATTCCTCAGATGCACCCTGGCGGAACAGGAGGAGATCAATATGACAGGGAAACTACACTTTCAAAACTCCAGGCCCCCGCAAGAACGTTGCATAATACGCTCCCGGCTGAAAAAAGACAGGCCGCAGAAATCGGAAGCTCGAAACGGTCCATTTCGAGCTCTGACGAGCTAGATAATCTCAACTCAATCCTGTGTGTAGCTTCGAATACTGAATTGGGGACACAAGATGACCCACAGAGAAAACCCGACACACAGTCACGCAATGCACCCTGTGAGACGGTCGCGATGGAAGTGATCACGGACGCTTTCCAGCATGAAGTTTCTGCTCAAACCGCTGTCGATCCTAAGCCTCTTCACCGGGTCAAGGCTCCATTCGACTGGAGGGCTTGGGATAATGTCTTCGGACAACATCTCAGCATCAATTTTGACGTTAGTTCTGTGGCATGGGCAGATATCGACTCTTTGAGGCTAGAAAGCTCCAGATAGCCTTTCGCAATCGGAACTGCGATGTCAGGCCAGTAAGAATTATTTAAGGAGACAAGAAAAGGACTTTAGAATGCTCACTTTGGTTCCGGGCGCAATAATATCGTTAGAAACATATGATCTGTTCGATGCATGACCAGTGACGCGGGTATTGAGGTACACGTACGTATAGCCGTAGCATATGAGCTGAAATCTCCGATAGTGGCCCAAGAGCCGAAAACGTTCTTCTCTGTAGTCAACGTCATCCGTCACATCACCGTCGAGCTATGCTTTTAACATCATCACTGCCTGGATACACACAAGTCTGAAAACGTCAAGGATTCAATATCGAACAACAAAGAAAACCAGAGACAGCCTTTGGACGCGAAAATGGCCTGGTAAAGAGCTGAACATATCGTGCGGCGTCTGAGGGCCTGTCATTAGGTTCGACAATTTGCTTAGATAGCAAGGCCCAGATCCGCTGGTCTATCATTATATCTCACGCCGGTCTTCTGCCGCGGCGTACCTTAATCCGCCGCGAATGGCTCGGTATGATAGCTCAGGATGATGTCGCTGGTAAGGAGAAAGAGCAAGGTAAATCTAGTTCTCAGTACAAAGAGCCCGAAGGATGACGAAGCATTTGCCGTGAGTATTGCTACAAGTCGAGAGGTTGCAAAACGACCTAATCTGACACATCGAAGGAAAGACGATCGCTGGTCCTGTAGATATCGTAATGCTATTGAAGTTTGACAGGGAATAAGCTGCAAAGTCATGTAGCACCTAGATCGCAAGCCCGCTGGCCAGGCACCAAATCGAGCATAAGAGATGAGTGATGCGTGTTGCATCTGCCTCGGGGCAACACGGGAGCTGAATAGTCCGGCATAGGTCAGATCTCCATTGATGCTACCGACCGGGACCAATAGTAACCCGACTCTCTCGGCCGGTATCCCAAACAAAATTTGTCGGCCGTCTAGTGGATTATTCCTTCCACCACCTCGCCACTCTACCTTTGTGCAAATGCCGTCCTCTCCGTCTATACTTTGCCTTCCTGATGCCGGGCGCTGATTTGAAATAATGAGCGAGAGAAATCTAAAAATTGGCTGAGTTACTAACAGGTACGTGCTTGGGTAGGCTCAGCAGGGGTATAGTTTGTGAGGTTTTTTTTCACGAGACCTAATCCAATTGATCGCTTGCCAATGATTCTTACTGTCTCAGTGGCTGGAGCGCTTGTTAAGTTTTCGTCCCGCCAGACGTGGAGATGACTGGCTATTGAAGTCGTACGAAGTAGAGCGCCTGCCAGTGGGTCTCCAGAATATCGAGCGGTCGGGCGTGTACTCCTCCGTGCACCAGAGATATTGCCAATGGGTTGTCGAGGCGGGCGGGAGCGATGCCGTCATTGGAAGTTCACAGGCAAGCCTAGAGCTTCGTGCGCGTATCAAGCGGCACTGGGACGCCAACGATGGGGGAGAACCAAGACCACGGGATCGAACTGGGGTATCGCCATGTATCGCTGGTGGTAGCGCCTGAGTCGGACAGAGCCGCCAGAGAGCCTGAATGCAACTACCTTCACTACGTCCCTGTTTCCTGGCCAGGAGTCCGAGCTCCTCACGTCTGGCTCCAACACCAGAATGTTAGCATCCATCATTTGTCCGGACCGGAGTACAGTCTTGTCGACTTCACATCAGAAGGACAAGCCGCAACACCTCTCGAAGCCGCTGCGACCAAACTCAGGGTACCTCTCAAGGTGATTCGAATTCCTGACGAGGACCATGTCCGCCGAGTTCTGGGGATATACAGCCGCGCTCATCAGACCAGATGACTTCGTAGCCTGGCGGACCACCGAGAGCGAGGGGAAATTTTATGCCGAACCGATCCTGCGCATTGCCGTTGGAAAGAAAGCTTCACTGAATTCAGCAGACTCCATGTGGAGAGTGGCTACCATGACAAAACGCCTGGAGAGCAATGGGTTTTCCGGCACGGTGCACAACGTCGATCAAGACCGAGTCCAAGCTCTCGGCGTCTTTCAAAGATGAAACGACTGCTTGACATTCGTCTTAAATGACTCACTAAGCTACTCCCTGACATGAAAATGCGTCTTGACAACCTTCTTCCCATCACGATACGCATCAAGAACTTCATTCACCTTGTCCACATCCAACCCCTTGACAACCGTATACTTAGTCGGCTTGATCTTCTTTTCAACAAGATATCCGGCACCCGCTCCCAGAATGGCTTGCACAATTCAGGATTCACATGTGAACTTCCAAAGGGATTGCACAGCACATAGCCTTCCTTCTTGGGTTTGATCTGCGCCTCTGCCTCGCCCAGTGGAAATGGCAAAAGCCGTGCGAATCTGCCCCTCTTGGTCGACGACAATGCATTGATACCGATGAATTGTGTGGCAGGTGGATTGATCGCATCGTACGTATACAGCAGGTCGTCGCCGACAATCTCACGGATACGAGCGGAGACTTCTTCGGGAGAACCGTGGCGATCGATGGTATCTGTGGCGCCGTATGATTTCAACTCGGCTTCGTCGCCACCAACTACGACGATCCGTCCAATGCCAGCTAGTGCGGCGAGTTGCACGCCGAATCTGCCGCAGTTGCTGTCTCCTCCGAGGACAAGGAGTGTGGTGTTCTTGTGATCGAACGTCTTGGCCTCGGCTGTCCATGGCGCTGGAATATCCAGGCCCGAGGAATCGAAGAGTGCGACCAGCGGCGCGATGATGTTCGTTGGGAGAGTGGCGCCGTCGTCATCGGTGAAACCTTCTGGGATCTTGGCCGTGAAGTTAACGTCGAGAACTGCGTATTCTTGGAACCCATTCTGCGTGCTGCCTGGAGCGAAGCCAGGCTGGCCGACGATGTGATCGCCGGGCGAGTACTTGGTGACGCCGGAGCCGAGGGCGACGACCTCGCCGACGACATCGTTCGTCAAGATGGCGGGGAGTGAGTCTTTTATGAAGAGACCAGTGTCACGGGCCTTGTGGTCGTGAGGGTTTGGACCAGCCACAGTTACCCGGATTAGTACTTGGCCGGGGCCAGGTTGGGGGACTGGATGGTCGGTGACCAAGATCAATGGCTTGCCAAGCTCCGTGACGAGGAGTGCTTTCTGTGTTTGGGGCACCATTAGTGGAATGCAAAGGGGTTCAGGATTAGTTGGAGTCGGTTCTAGTCAAGAGTGGTTGATGCTGTGAATAGTCCAGCGAGGTGTCTTTCTTAGGTGCCAACGTCAGGATACTTAACTTATATTCTTTGTCAATGTCGCTTGCATAACACAAAGTAAGCAGCAAGTGCAGCTCTTGTGCTTCCTTATTTGTGAACTGTCTGGGTCGCCCTCATGGTAGAAGGGTATGGTGCAACGATCATTAATCCGCCTGCGACTTCTGATTGGACCCATAGATCCCATGGACTTTCCGAATCTCATGAGGACCTGAATTGCTGAATAATGTCATCTAAAGGCAGTCCACTACGACAGATCCATCTCGGCATCGAAAGCATCATTGTCCCGAGTCAAAGTAGCAAATCCCACGAAAGGCCTTTCTTGTTTGGAAAAGTACCTTGTCTTTTGGGACAGCACAAGCAGACCGGACACTACGTCGCTTGGATATCTTTTGACGGATGCGATGCGATGCAAAATAATGATTCAATACAATGTGGAGGCAAGAGGGACAGCTTGCGACTTTGCAGCTCATGGAATCGTCTTTCAATTTTTCACTGTGTGCCAATGCGATGCCATGCAATGCAAACCCCGGTCCATGCAGATCCTTCATCAGCCTCTAGCATAATAAGACGCCATCATCGCAACGAGAAGAAGCTCATCAATCATAACCAAGACAGGCATATCACCTCGATCTGTGTGTACCGTTCGTCCTCTTACCCTTGAGCAGATGAACCGGCAACGACGCCGTGGTATGTCGATCAGCCTCACCCTGTCTGGCCATGCGGTTCATTTGCCGTTGGCCGAGTTTCGCAATGCGCGACGCCTTGTCACGACTAACAGGATCCGTCACTCCGGTTGAAGTCTTGCCCAACCCATCGGTCAGCCTGTTCGTCCTGGGTGCCCGTGATACAGATCGAGCCCTTGCTGAGGGCGTGTCGACTTCCATCTCATCACCAACAGTGGAGGCGGGACGAGCATTCCGAATCTGAGCCCTAGCTCGGTCGGTGGTAGCAGATGAGTCTAGACCAATCGAAGTAAAGTGCTTGTCCATCTGGCCCAAAGTCCGTGACTTCTTCGCCCGAGGGATCTGTGCTTTGTTTTTAAGACTCTTCTTCATCCTCGCATCATTCTTCATCAGTGTCGTCTTGTTGCGGATCAGATTGGCCTTCATGCGAATATCCGCATCGTCCTCATCTGACATGCTTTCGCTTTCGTCGTAGAAACCTTCCTCTTGAAGACGGTCCTCTTCTGCTTCAAGTGCAGCCAGCTTCTCCTCAATATCAGGATCGACGTAATCGGCGATGTTTCTGCCATTGAAGAACTCCGGCACTTTGTCGTGCTTCCACTCGTCGTCCGCCAATAGATAGTTCTTCTTCATGTCAAAATTGTAAACACCAGCGCCACCCTCTTCCTCCTCAATTTCGCGCTCCAATTTTCTTCTTTCCGGATCCGACTTGTCGAATTTCTTGTACGAGCCGTCCTTGACTGCATCTGGAATATATGTGTCACTGACTGAGCCTTCCATCGGTCTAGCAACATGGATCCGAGCGAGCAGGTCGCCAAGGCGTCCGGTCGGTGCATCGGCAGTCGCTGATTGTGAAGCCTGGCCAGCCTTCAATTTCGCGGCCACTCTGTCTGCGATTAGTCGATCACAGACGGTGTTCTTGACCTCCTGGACGCCTTCGCTGGTGACACAAGATAGTTGTAGTAGTTCGGTGTTAGTGTTTTGTGTGAGCAGGTCATTGAGCTGTTGTTGAGTTTTGGGGTCTAGGTCTTCTGGCTTGGTCACATCTGTTTTGTTTACAACGATAAATGTCAACTTGTTCGCAAACAGTGGCTTTATCGAGTTGAAAAGTGCCATTTGCGCAGATACCGAGTAACCACACTGTTCTGACAAATCCATAAAATAGAGAATGGCTGATCGTAAATGCGCAATTGCTGTGATAGACTGCATCTCAATGGTGTTCATCTCTTCCAAAGGATGATCGAGGATACCGGGTGTATCAATGGCCTGAAATCGGAGGTATTTGTAGTCGAAGTGACCGACGAAAAGGGATTTGGTGGTGAAGGCATAGGGCTGCACATCGACGTCGGCCCGAGTAATAGACTTGAGAAAGCTGGATTTTCCGACGTTCGGGTATCCGCAGATGAGAAGTGTTCGAGTGTTTGGGTCGATGCTAGGTAGACGACCAAGATGTTGTCGGACTTGCTCAAGATATACCAGTGGATCTTTCAGTCTCTTACAAATTGTGGCCATACGACCAAGCGCAGCCCGCTTGAGGGACTTGCACTGGAACAATGACTGTGCATATTTGAGTAGTCGAACATAATCCCTCGACACTGTCTCAATCAGTCCCTTAGCTCTTGATAATGTGCCCAGTGCAATTTTGAAGTGGTCCGCATCGTAGAGGGTGTTGATCAAATCTTTGTGGAAAGGATGAATATCTTGGATGCGAGGAAAGCCTTCGAGGATGGCTTGGAGCTTTTCGCAGAATGTCTCCGACGTGAACTTGACTTTTCTCGTGTAGAAACCTGCATAGCATAGGTCAGCAACGGACAGTCAACATGCCCAGGGAGTATTCTCACCTCTAATTCTGCTGATCTTGAATCCCGCTCGGATCTGAGTTGGCAGCCTTCTCTGCGTCCGGCTTAAGACAATGTCGATGAACTCCTGCGAGGTGGGCACTGGCGCGATATCCTTCCATGTCGTCTTCATCGTGCCGGTCGACCTTTACAATGTGTTGAAGGAGGGAAAAGTGGCAATGCCAGAACGGGAACTGAACCGCTACAAAAAAGGTCAAAATTTCAGAGTCGAAGAATTTCTTATCGCAGTCGAAGAAGGTTTGCCGATATCGTGCCCATTTGTGAGCTAATCTATTTCTGGTCAAGCTCTTCTCCGCCTGGCATGACGGCCTCCTCCATCCTTTTCAATGTCTATTAAATTGAGGTCACTATCGCTGTTGTTGTAGAGGATACCAAGAAAAGTATTTCCTCTTCTGTACATATATATGCGGATATTTGTTTGATTCTCCAGACTGTGTTGGGGAGCGCTTTTGTTGTAATCCATGATGCATAAAACTACTCGTCCGATTTTTCCAACGCCAGCAGAAGCAATCACAACTTCACGCCTCCTTTTACGGCCGATCCAGGCTTCTGACCTGCCCGCTCTTCATGTGCTGCGTACACAAATCGAGGTGATGAAATGGACGAGTCAAGGGAGAAACGACGTCGACGAGGATGCCACTCAAGTCTGGATGAACAGATTTCTCCCGCCCAATGATGCAGCAACTTTCAATTTCGCGGTGGAAGAACTTTCTTCTCCTGGAAAAGCGATTGGTGCCTTGGGCTGCCATGTAGCCGAGCCCCCTGAGGTTGGTTACATGTTCGTCAAAGAGGTTTGGGGCCGGGGGTATGCCACCGAAGCTTTGCAGGCGTGGCTCCAAGCTTACTGGCATTTGCCCAGGAAGGAAGTTGTCCTTGATGAGAACCCGACACAGGCACAGGAAGTCGACGAATCCCTGGAAGTATTGAAAGCAGACACAGACGCCGATAACGTTGCAAGTGGTCGAATCTTGGCAAAATGTGGATTCATAAAGGTTGGCGAGACCATGATCGAGCATAATGGAGCGAACGTCAAGCTGATAACCCATGGCTTATCACGGTTCGTGTATGACTTGTCACATTGACCCGAGGCTCTTCATCGCTTCTCTTCGACCACTCTTCTCATCTCGTCTCGCATTTCATCCTTGATCCGAGAAATAGTACCAACACCACCGTACACCAATGCAGTATAGACCATGGCAACATTGGCGCCTGCGTTTAGCACTTCTAAAGCTTGCTTGCCGTTAGTGATGCCTCCAGTTGCAAAGATTATCTTTGACTGGTCGTTGTGAGGTAGATGAATAGGAGTTTCAAGCCTCTCAATCGCATCTCGCTGCTCCCTGGGCGGAAGTCGTTCAATGGCTTGTTGGATAGCCTTCAGGCGGTCTCTTTCCTCCTGCGGCTGCATAGGTGCTTCATCGGCTGGCTCATCTGAGTCTCCCAAGCTGTCTTGCTCCTCCTTTGACTGGTCATAAAAACGCTCTTTGGGAAGGCTGAACAGTGGTTGTTTTCCAGAATTAGGACTGTCCAGTGGAGGCCGGGGTACGACCTCTGTTTCAACAGAAGTCGTTAGTGGATCTGGGTCTGATGAAGGTGACGACGGCGTTGACGAAGAGGACAATTCCTCCAAGCTGGATGTGAGAGAATCCTTGATCTTTTGGGCTTCAGCACGCAGTGCACTTGGTTTCGACGGAGTAGGTGTAGTCGAGGGTTCCGACTCAGCTGGCTTCTCTGTCAGAAGTTTGCGGTAGCGCTTTACCAGCGACACGGTTCGGTCGAACAGGTGAGGACCAGAGAATCCACCAGTCTCTAGAAGATGCTGTTCTTCAAGGGGAGTCAGGTTCTTCAGGTGCGGCATCGGCTCGGGTCGGCGATTTGTTGTATTTCCCACGACGACTCCATCCACCCCGGTCGCCCAGACCGCATCGCAAATTCCAGCAATTTGTTCCTCAGAATCCTCGTCAGGGCTGACTTTGACCATGACAGCAGGTCTTGTCCGTCTGTCGATAGAATGAGCAGCTTTAACGACACCATCCAGAATCTTTCTCAGCTTGTCGCCTTGCTGGAGTGACCGCAGACCGGGGGTATTTGGGCTGGAAACATTGACGACCAGGATATCAGCATAAGCGCCGAGTCTTTCGACACAGTAGACATAGTCTTGCGTGACAGCATCAACATCATCCTCTGGTGTGATTTTATTCTTTGCGATGTTCACAGCAAGCAATTTGCCAGGTGTGAGACTGCCGGGTGGTACACCTGCGATGCCATCCAGTACAGCTTTCTCCGCGACTTCATCGTGACCAAGACCGAGTCGATAGGCGAACTTCCTGACTCTTTCTCGTAGCCTCATAGCCACATCATCAGCCCCTTCCGAGTTGAGGCCGTACCTATTGATCATGGCTTCCTGTGAGGTCAACCGGAAGACTCGAGGTTTGACATTACCAGATTGTGGGTTTGGAGTGGCGCCTCCGATTTCGATGATTGCCGGACCGATGGCAAGAAGAGGATCCGGGATGTCGGCATGTTTGTCGATACCTGCAGAAGTAGCTATAGGGTTTCGAAGCAGCCGTCCAAAGACTTCGACTTCGAGATCTTTCTGCTGATCTGGATCCCCTCGTTCTCGTGGGTAGAGCCCAAAATCCCATAAGGACTTTAGTGTCTGATTTGATACATGGTGAGCTTCCTCTGGATCAGAATAGAACCATCTGAGAGCGGGAATGACGATATAACGGTGCGCACTTGCTCTTGTATCTGTGACGTAGACATAAATGATGCCCAAGCCAAGAACAAGAGTGGTGCCGTAAAAGAAGTTTAATACACGTGAGCTTGCGGTCGAAGCATTCTCCGACGTAGAGGCATGTCTCCGCAAAGCTGGAGTCGCAAGTCGAGGTCTTGGTGGAAATGTGTGAGCTGCAATTCGAGGCCGTGGAGCTCTTAAAAGCAGTCTAGTGGCTGAGTGTTTCATGGTGGAGGGAGAAGAACTTGTCGGTCGGCGTCTACGGTGCCATCTCAAGAGAACAACCAGATGCCACGGGGCTGAGCTACTGTCTCTGGAGTATTCGTGGTCTTAAGTGTTGTTGATGAACGTCATGTAATGAAGCTGAAGAACAAGCTGTCATAAAAACATCAAAATCATGATTGGTGCAGAATGAGGAAGTTGCTTGTCGCCGCTTTTTCTGCGGTGAACGCTAACGCCAATTGGGCGCTGAGACATCACCGGTTCTCGACTTCAGTCTATGACGACCTTTCATGTAAATACTTGGTGTAGGAGGAGAATAAGTTACATTATTGTTGCGAGTATTGAGTCGAATTTTCAATTCTTTGAGACTGTGCTGATCGAGTCCCCCATATATCGATTGTTACAGGCGGCTAATATGCGGCATTTTGAAACGTGGGGATATTTGCGGGAGATTCTTGCATGAGTGTTTTCTCTGACCTATGCGCGGCTACGGAAACCCGGATACGTCGATCTTCAGGCTGTCTGCGCCCGAAGTCGATCGATCGACTGGATGAGAGATATTCTGACCAGCACCTTATTATATCTCATTTCTTGGCTTTGTTTCATTGCACTCTGCGTCGAAGTAAGTGACCCAGAGTCGTGTGACAACGAGGAGATGGGTCGTCAGTCTCGGATCATGGTAGGACTTTTTGTGCTGCCGTGTCCAGGCTGCCATGGGGAGTACCGTCTATCTGCATGTGCATATATTGATGCCTTCCTGTGTACTGTGTAAGCTTTTACTCGTTTGGATCCTGAATCATGCATGTTTCACCATTACCCATCTCACATAACCTCACCGCTAGAATCGATAATTCGATAGATCCTGCCGTCTCCGGGCCAAACGGGTTGACATACATCCGACAAGCGACATTCAACCTTCCTTAACACATTCTGACTGGACGAATATTCGACCCAGTAGCGAAAGTCGCAGAAGGGAGTACCTGAGAACCCTGAAATCACGCTGACGCATGGTAAACATCAGCATCAGCCTCGGACCCTTTCACAGCAAGCACAGCCCTGTTCCGTGCGCATCCGAACTGGACAGCCAACCACGGCCCCTGCGGCTTCTCGCTAGGCCTCCACATCCATAACATTCATCCCCTTTTTATGACTCTGGTTCACGACGGGTCCACATATCGTAATAGTGGCATCCCTTGCTTCATTTGTTGTTGCCGCCCGCAAGTCCAGCCCGGCACGAGCCAATTTTTTATTATATTCCTCAGTCAGTTCCCCAGGTTTGTCATTCTCAATCAATTCTGTCTTCCAAAAGTACCGCCCTCCCAAAGACGAAGAAACTAGCACCTAAGGAGGACACGAAGCAATGGCGGCCACGGATGGGAATGCCTTGCCTACTTACACCTCGCTGTTCCCTGAGGATGAACCGTCTGCCCCGGAAACACCTGCTGCAACCGGCACCAACACCAACATCCGCAGACGATACACTACCATCACACTCCGCGAGATCTACTATCCCAGCGGCTGCCCATGCCACCAACTAAGCCAGCCCGACAAGAAAGGGAAACGGAAACAACAGGATCATCCACCCAACCATTTCCGTATCGACGACACTCTTGACGTACCGATGTGGCTGGGTCACGCTCGACCAACCATGGCGGAACGCACGCCTAGCCAAAGTAGCGCCGTTTCGAGTTCAAACAGCAGCACGACATCTTCAAAGACACGACCATGGAACTGGTTTCATCGCAGAACCTCAAGCTAGAATGGAATGATGTCGATAGAGCCGGGTGTTCCGGAACTCTATCATCGCCATCTTTCTTCACCAAACCAAATGAGACGCTACACGTTGTCTTGTCCGCCCAGACTATCAATGCATTCCACAACATGGCAATGTGTGGTCGTGCCGACGTGGCCTCCACGCACGAAGCTCGAGATGCCCTACACTACCGAATGGCATGGGTCTAGCATAAGGACTGGCACCTACTACTCGACTGACCTGCGACACGACAACGCATGTTTCAACCGCGTGGTATGCCCGACGAGCACAAGGGGCTGTCCGCCACAACGAGAATCGCATTCAGATCCAGCATGGATGGACGCAGAGGATACGAACTCGCTATTACGCGGCGAGACCTCGCCCGCGGCGGCATAGGTGATATCGTGGCCTCCCTTCGATGTTTGTCGTCTCCATCTGAGACCTGAGACCCTGCCTCTCTCCGCGCACTGAACTTCTTGCCCTCGGTGGACGCCCAGGAAGGCGTCGAATCACTGATCATAGGAGATCGTGGTGGGAAAACCTTTCATCTCATTTCACTATACCATATGTACGATTACCTACTGTACCCGTTTCTTACAAGCAAGGCGTTTGGCATTAAATGGACAAGGTGTTTACCATCCGGAGGTTTAGAACTCAAAAGGATGAAAAGGGGCGAAAGCAAGCCTCGGAAATATGATGAGTAACGACTACAGTAGTAGATTGATCAATTTTTCCCACGAATCATTGCAAATCCAGTCATCATTGCTGACAGTACTTCGTGTCTTACATGAGGCCGCGTGTCTCAAGCCCAATCCTCGTATTTTAACGCGTTCGACATGCTGCATTCCGCTCATAACGTCACATGTTTCCAATTGTGCCGAGTAGTGCATCTTTGATCCCCAACAGGGCTTTGCAAGAATTTAAGAGCAGTCCAGGCCCTTACGGACCCTCGATGTGAAACATAAACATAAATCATGCATATGGCCAAGTCAGCAGATGACTGAGCATGCGGAGTACGTTTCAAGGGATCGGTGAGCAAGTCCTGTTGGCCTCGTTCCCCTGACCAAAGCAAATCTCTCGTAGTACGCTTTCCGGAATCCCACGGAATAGGGACCCTGACCGCGAACTGGTGCACATGTTGCGAATACGGACTTGCGGACATGGGAGTAGCTAATTCAGTGAAGGCGCGGAGTACGTCTTGACTGTTATGTACGTGGGAATGTATGCTTCAACCGTCTGGTACATGGACACCTCTCATCCGATCGATTGATTTTGGTCATTGGGCGTGATTCTCTCTTCGACCCGTCCTCATCATGCCACACTACCTAGGTCGGTATTCCCTTATGCCCTATGTACAAACACTGCACAACAGGGCAATTATCTGGCATAGATCACCCCGGTGGGGCGTCGAAGAGCCAGAAGTGGATAGCCCCCGGATCGACCATAACGATCAAGGCGGCGTTGGACTTGGCCACCGTCAAGCCTATCGTCTTTGACGTGCTGGTCTCCTCGCAATAGTGTCCTTGTGCCTCTCTAGACGGAATTCATTTCGGCGGGGAGTGGCCAAGGAGCATGACAATACTTGGTAGTGACTAAACTGGCCCGTGTCTCTGTCGATGAAGTTCGTCGTGTCTTCGAAGTCGCTAAGTCAAGCAAATTCGATCACCCTCCTTCCACACTATCACGCTACCTCGCGACCATGACCCCTCTTCCTTCCAAAAGTATACACCACCTCCCTCTCAGGATGCTCGTGCGGCACAGTCGCCACCATAGGAAACTGTCCCGGCACAACCTGTTGCCCGACATGTCGACACCGAATCTTGAATTGCACGCTCAACACATCCGTCGTCAATGTCATCCCTATATTGCAATGCGCCATGACCAACTCCGCCTTACTTTTCTCCATGGACGCGATGATGATATGAAACAGCGCGGCAGAAGGGTTATTTGGCGTGCCCGACTCGCGTAGCACACGGTTTCCATCATCCCGGATACCCATCTGCCCTTCGATGCCGAGCATATCGACATGTCCAGGCTCCGCCGTGATGTCGGTGATTTCAAAACGCCCGAGCGACAGCATCACCAACCGCAAAAGCGTGGGCGGCCATTCGGGAAGCAAGTTAAATGTCACGGACAGGTTGCGGATGGACTGCAACTTTGGCAGCATCAATGGCTGGGTGAATTGTTGGTGCTGGCTCAGATTCTTGATGATGAAGAGTGCTTGACGGAGAAAGACTGGGTGGGATTCTTGATAGATCTTGCGGCAGACTAGGAAGATTGAAAGGTCGGCCAGCCTATCCTTGCCGTCGTCACTTCCGTGCTGCTGGTGATGGAGGGAAGATTGAGACCGGTCGATGTGGCATGCTGGTGAGACAGATAGAACGGAAAACAAGCATTCGTAGATTCGAATGCGGATCTCGGATGGGATGTCGAGTAAGACATGATGAATTGGGGTTCGGCGTTGCTCTGGTCTGTCTACTTTCATCTTGATGAGATCTCCAGCGAGACCTTCTGCGATAGAGGCCATTCTTTGTCGTGAAATTGTCACTGAATGCTTCCCAGTTGTAGACGTCATGGGTGTACTGGAGTAAAAGACGCGTGAGCGAGATGTGACATGAGAGGAGACGCGAGTCGTCAGAGTGCACCGCCGCCAACTCAAGCTCATCGCGAAAGCCGAATCATCATTCTAGGTGCAACATCAACCTGTTGTCACTGATATCCGGTGACTTGAGCCAGCTCAGGCTCGCGTGGACAGAAGAATGCAGAGGTAGGAACGAAGCAAGAGATGATAGTCAGGAACGAATGAGATGATACAAAGTTCAGCAATGTGGCGTAGGAAGTGACAGCCACACAAGCGCCACATGTCTACAGCCTTATCAGCAGCAACATCAAGTACAGCCTTCTGCATTGATATTCATTTCTATCTAATGTTGCGTTGCTTCTTTAAAAATAGCACAGGCGTCGAGGTTCCCTCTGCTTTCATGCTTCGTGCCTCTAACGCGCAGCTCCCTGACCGACAACCTGCTTCAACACCCAAAACACTGCCTGAAATAGCCATCCAACGATACCTACCACTCCCAATACGGCCCTCAGCGTCCTAATGAAGAAGGCGGCCACAGCTGCGAATAACAGCAGATAAACAAGACTCCGAGCACAATCAAACATGAATCCACCCGCAGTCTCGCCCTTGGCCACATTCAGCTTCAGTTTCCCCGTTTTTGAGTAGACGAAAACCACTGCCCAGAGTCTGCAACCAGTTATCATCATGATCTGTGCCATTTGCCAGCCGCGTTCCAGCACTTCCCATCCAACCTTCACGATTTGAGGATGGTTTGTCATCCACATTCTGGTCGCCTCAAAGGGTACGAGTACCATTTCTCCAACAGCTCCTGCGCCAAAAGTTCCCAGACTGGGCACTTGTAGTTCGATCGAAGTCACACTCCTAGCGCTTGCACTTCGGTTCTTGGGCAGGCCAGAGCAAGCCATCGATAGTCCGACTCGTGTAGGCACCCTCAGTCGAGATATACTGCCAGTACTTTTGACGGGAGTCTCGGCTGACTGTTGTGAAGATGTCACAAACGCAATGGCAGGCGAGCTAAGACTTCTCTGCTTCGTGTGCAAGCCAAGGCCGGGAGACTTCTGCTTCGGCGATCTTGTTGCGGTCAAAGCTGTAGCGAGGGCATCTTTTGAATCTTCCAAGGGGCTTGCGGGCCTTGTTGCACTTATAGCAGCCGCCAATGCTAGTCCAGCATACTCGACAGGTCGATCATGGAATGGCGTGCCAGGAGTCCTGGGCTGAGCGGATAGCTCCACTGGAGAACCCCTCGCTGAGCCAATGTCAACAAGCTTCGGTCTTGCCTTTTTGTCATCCTTGAAATTGACATGCTTTGGCGACGGCATAGTAGAACCCTGTGCAGCTTTACCAGGTTTCTGAGGAGTTTTGAAGGCTCCGTTGTCTTCCCAGTCTTCGAATTCGCTCGCACTGCTGGGACTGTGGATGTCCGACCAGATACTCTTCGTCGGACTACTTGTAGTGCTCGGGCTAGGATGTCCGAGGCAACTTTCATGGCAGTCTTCTTTGCAGCAGTCCGGACAACATATTTCATGGTCGTCTTCGGGAATACTCCCATTTTCTTGTGCCTTCATGGCTTCATTCGATGTTGCTTCGTACGCGCCTGGTTCACTGTCTTCAGGCACCTCCGGAAGAGGACTGGCGCTTGGGTGACTGTTCTTAAAGTCCTCGTTTGCTTCGTCGCCGGCCTTCTGGTGGACGGACGTATGGATGGCACCAGCGATGTTGCGTTGCTTGACGTCCACGAAGCCGTTGTGACAACGACTGCATTTCCTGGTCAAGCCGAGGCCGCTCATCACCTCTTCGCGCCGGCCGGTCGACATATGTGGATCTATCGGCTGGCCTTGATTGGATGGGAGACGTGGCTTCAGTGGCGGTGGCATGAGATCGTTCCGTTGTTCGACCGGACTTGGTATTGTGATGCTTTCTAGGTCGACTGGTCTCCTCTGTTGGAACATCGTGTCTGACGTGTAGGACCCGCTCAGGCGTGGTCCCTGTCGTGGGAAAGCGTACATGCCCTCGGCTCTCATCTGCACTGGTTGGTGATTGTTCCGCCGCGGCCTGGTTCGGGGAAGTGGGACCGGCATTATTGACTCCATGCTCATATTCATGCCAGTGTTCATGAAAATGCTTGACGTGGCTGGTGGAGGCGGTCTCCGCGGCACACTAGGCCGGCCAGGGTTCGTCATTCGTGGATCTGCCATTGACGGTCTCGGACCACCTCGCAGCTGAATCGGGAATGTCGGATTGTCCATGGTAGTGTCGATGGATGTGGTAGTGGTACTCAACGGTGACGGGTTCGGCCCTCTCGGCGGTCTGTTTGGTGGTTTCACCGTTGGAGCGGGCATTGACCTGGGTCCCTCTGCTCTTGTAAGCGATGTTCGGACCAGTGGCGGAGATTGGTGTTTTGGCGGGTTGTCGTACGTGGGGATCGCCATAGATGCCAGCGAGTCGTTGCGCACCTTCGTCTGAGGCGTTGGGTGGGTTTGCCTCGCCGTACGCACGAACGGGTACGCTGGATCGCCTCCCCTTGGCCCTTTCGGAGTCTCCATATCGGACGTCAGCAACGTCTTGGGGCTGATCCTCTTTTCTTCCACTGGAGTTGGTCGGTTTGGCATTGTTGCCTGGTTCCACTGGAATAGGCCACTGTTCATCGGCAGACATGGTAGTTCTTTTTCGACCGGAGGATGGCCAGAGGTGTTCGAGGTTCTTGAATCTGGGCCGTCCATTGTCGGATGCATTTTGGGCGGGTCTAAAAAAGGATTCTGTGTTGCTATTGTCTGATACTCTTTGACTAGCGAGGGATTACTATCCCTTGGTAACGTCGGTAAGTCCTTGTCTTTGTCAAGAGGCGTGATGTTTCGGACACGGGGCGGAACAGGCGCTGACGAGGTTCTCATGTCTAGCTGGAACCGTGGTGTCCTCAGAACAGTCTCCTCACTGTCGTTTCTCCTGCTTTGATCTTCAGATCCATGACCCGGGCCAGTTTTGTAAGGTGGACTGCCAACTGGTTTCCTTCGTAGTACGGAATCTTCGTTCGCTTCCTCGAGGGGAAGAGGTTTGTTGATGTCAGTGAAGGGCGGGGCGAAGGAGATTTCCGGATAGATATCTATTCCTTCAGAGTGCTTGAGGAGGCAGAATGTAGCGCTGGTATCAGGTCGCGGCTCACGAGGAGCGGCTTGCTGTAGTCCCGGAGGTCGACTTATATGTCCACGCTCACCCATCGAAGCGTCCATGTCGCCAGAAGCAAGCCTCCGTGGAGTCCGCAATTTGTGAGGATATGACCCTGGAAGGCGCTGCTTAGGAGGAGTCATCCGGCCTAGATCCGAACTGACCCACTGTTCGCCCTTTTGGTGCCATCGCCCCTGAGGTCCAGAGCCATGAGCTGGAGCATCCTCATAGTAGTCGATAGAGCTGCTTGCACTATGGACACCTGGTGTTATGAGTCCGGTTCTAGGGTTGGCTCCTCGTGCCAGCAGGTAGTCGTCTTGATGGACAGGTCGGTGCATGTTTGAGGAGTCTGAGGTGTCTGCAAATCGTGCTCGCCTTGTTGCTTCACCAAGGTTTAACTTGTTCTGGGATTTGAAATGATCTGTGGGGATGGACGGAGGATCCACCCCCTGTGTGGTTGCTAATGGTATACCTGGGTCACACTCTGTAAGTAGTGACGCCTGGTTTTCACGGCTTTCTAAGCGAAGGTCGTTTGGTCGGAGTATAAGTCGGGATCGTGCGAGTCCTGTGGTATGGTTGCTCTTGAATTGATCATCCGAAAGCGTCTGCTTTGTTTTCCTAGGATTTCGGATATACTGGGTCAAGCCTGATTGACCGGTGTGTTGTTCATGTTGCGAGATCTGTGAAGCGTTATGTGCTCGTTGGTGATGTATTGCACTTTCCTGGGCACTGTTTGGAGGAGAAACAGTCGACAGCGAGGTTTGGCGTTGAGGACGACGAGGAACAGAAAGGAAAAAAGAAGTTGAAGGGTTCATGACGGCCTAAGATGTGGTTGCTGTGATATGTGCTAAGGTGGTGGCATATACTGGTCTGTGCATGCACGTCTGGTGGTGAGGACAACGCCCCACGAGTTTCTGGTATTTCGGAAGCTTGGACTGCATCTTGACATAAAGTCTGGGCCCTGGCCAGAGTTCAGGAAGGCACGATCGAGACCCAAGATTTGAGAAGGAAGCAGACAAGATGCATGAAGCCGGGCAACTAGGCGCCAAAAGGCAGATGTTCTCTGATACAGTAGCTAAAACCGACCCGTCTCTCTTCGATGACTGTCAGGCTTCAAGTGACCCCATCGTTGAGATGCAGCAAGTGTATTTAATCCTCCAGCAGGCACACTCATGCGTTTCTCCGGACTCGCCGGCCTCTTTTCCGGACTTTGAGTGACCCGGTCACGAGCAAAATTGGTAGATGCACTCTTTCTGAGGGGTGATGCAGCATGCGAGTAGACTCCAAGACTACCACCATCACCACTCGAGGATGGAGGTCGAAAGTTCGGTTGACGCATAGCTGTCAATGGTCTCGTAGCCGGTGCGGCTTGAGAGTTGTGCATTGGTGTCCTAGTATCCGGTGTAGTCAAGCGATGTCGAAGTTGGCCTGAAGTTGATGTTGCACCTTCAGGATCCGTGTACTTCGTATAATTTGGATTGGAATTGGTGTGAAAGCCACGGTTAATGACAACCATCGGAGTGTAGACTTCGACCTTGTTGTATTGCTCATCGCGGGCAGCCGTGTAAGATGCCTGCTCACTGAATTGTGTTCCCACATCTCTGTAAACAGGTTGTGTTCTTGGTCTGACATATTTCGTGTCATACTCATGCAGAACCTCTTTCGAGATAAACGCTGTATCCTTGGTCTGAGTGGAATAGCTCGATTGTAGGAATGTGAGCTGCAAGGAGAAAAGGAAGGCCAGGAACATTGCCGTTGCAACTGTGACGCTCGGTCGAGGATCGGCAGACAGGGTCGGAAGAAACAGCCAGTATATGAGAACATGGCCAGGGCTGAAATAGCAAAACAGTCGCAGCGACACTGGTAGAGGATCCCAAACAGCCACCTCCCATACGTCTCTTGTAGGATCAGGATGTGCCCTGGATTGCGCTGTTTCTGTTCCAAGGATGTTCGAGAGGAACCGTAACGGCGAAGATGATACTGGGGAGGAATCGAAACGGACACGTTTGGCGGATGGAGTGCTAGGAACATCGTCGACGGAGTTCTCGAAGAGCCGGTAGTGTTTCTTCCGCCAGAAGGTGTAAGCGGCATTCACGATGCACACCAACGTCAGGAAGTGGACTATGAAGGAAGCCTGATCGGCGTATTAGTCGGGTCTGCGTATTTTTTGCTGCGATCTCCCTTACCAGCCATGATGTCCATGCAATTCGTGGAACATCTCCAAAGACATCGTCATAGCTGCGAGAAGTGCTCTTCGAATTTGCCCTGGCGACTAGGAAAATCAAATTCAGCACAATGCCGATCGGTGTAGCCCATTCTTTCTCCAGCTGATCCCAGCCATTGGACTCGATCTCCTCAGAAAGCCACAGAAGGAAGTCGTAAGGGTTGAGATCGGCTTTGAGTCGTTCGAGTAGTGGTGCACGCCGCACGTATTTAGGCATGTTGATGAACCTCGAGACAACAAGAAGCAGACATTTCCGCAGCAGAAACTGTGCTCCCGAAGTGGTATGTCTGCAAGTAAGGGTGACAGATTGCAAGGCGAAGTCACTGCGGAGAGAACAGGTAAACAATCAGCGAGGAGAGCAGCAGCATTAACTTAATTGAATGAGGTGTCTCCGCGTTATGATTGCCAACCAATGAAACTGGACAACTCGATAAGATAAAGCATAACTTAGAGCACGCCCACCCGCCGCAATGCAGGTACAACTCATTTATTCCATCGTCATCCCCGTTGCTGCTTGAAGCTATCGTCGACTACCACATTCACCACAATCTTTCCTTGGGACTAACCCGCAGAACTTCGAGTCATCAAGGTCGACCACACATACTCAGCAGTACAATTCGCGCACGAAGACCGAACGAGTCCTGGTCTTGAAGCCTTTCGATCATGGCTGCCCCAGCGTCCGCCTACAAGGTACGTCGTTCACCTTCATCATGCATACAAACCTAACACCGCTCGCAAGGACCGGCAATTTCTCGCCGTGATTGGCGACGAAGAGTGAGTTGCACCAGCCATGGGGTCGAACTGCGCTCTCGGTCTGACACCTTCACAGCTCAGTAACAGGTCTACTACTTGCCGGTGTCGGCCATGTTACCAGCCCTCCAGACTCCCAGAAGAATTTCCTCGTATGCGATAACAAAACGGAGAAGACTGCGATTGAACAAGCCTTCAATCGATTCACGAAAGAACGCAAAGACGTCGGAATTGTGCTGATAAATCAACATGTACGTTGAACAAGGGCACTCTCAGAAAGACACAAGAGCTGACTGCAGGCTAGTTGGCGGAACAAATACGAGATACCGTGGAGAAATTCCAAGATCCTTTCCCAGCAGTTCTCGAAATACCCAGCAAGGACCATCCATACGACCCAGAGAAGGACAGTGTTCTGCGGAGAGTGAGGAGGTTATTCGGCGAGTGAAGAATTATGCCCACATCTATTGTTTTGCAACCGCATACCTGGCAAGAGAGGTTGCGTCAAGATCTTCAGGCGTTATGTGCGATATGAGGGGATGTTTTCCAGCGTCACAAAGAAGCAAGCTTTGCACTGGAGTCCAGACGGGAAACCTCACGGCCCAAGGGGTGCATATATGCTTCTAAAGTGAGCTTTGCGGGACAGCTGAATCAAGAAACATCGTACCCTGCGAAGGCACTGGTAGACACGTTGCTATCTTGAGAATGGCGTAGAGGCTTCCTGTCGCGGCCTCGAGCTATTACCATTATCCTTCGCCCTCCGCCAAGTAACAACAATATCACGCTTGATCCCTTCAATGACCGCAGGCTCACCCGTCGTGAGCGTAAGCTGTTCCACCCCGTTTACCTTGTCGATATGCGCACGCCGAGTCTGAGTGATCCCATTGTATATGCTCGGAACCGCAATGATCGTCTCATGGTACACCTTAGCCTCGTCCCGTCCTGTCTCAGGCTCTTCGAGATGATATGGTCCCGTGTAGCGTCCGGCGCGTAAGTTCAGCAAGGTCTTCTGGCTTTCCCGGCACTGGGCCTCCACCGGTGCGAGGAACTTCGCGGGTCTGCATTTGTACGGACATGTACCCGTCTGGGGTGTCTGGTAGATCGACGCATGTCATTATTAGCGATACTCTGGAATACTTGCATCCAGGCGATGCTATACATCATGCCATGATGAGGTGTATGAAGGACAAAGAAAATGAGGTTATCTCATACACATGATGAGGCCATGCCAGTCTCCTTGCAGCGGATGCATCACGTCAGATGTATCCTCAACGTTAACGGCACGGAAAGAGACCAGCTCCCAAGTGCCAACCAACCTCGAGCGGAAAGAAACCATCGTCGGGGTCGAGAATGAATAGCTCACGCAATGACTGAAAGCGAGACAGGCGACGTAGATGAGCACGATCGAAGGGTGTTTAGACAATGAGGTATTTATCGGGCACGATGAAGAGGAGAAATCAAAGTAGGACGCCTGAGTAGTTACGACTTTTATTCAATTTCATAGTACGTATAATGTGTGTTACATACTCGTCTTGAAATGAGATATCAAGGAGTTATAGTCCAAGCCTTCTTGTCATACGACTTGGGCCAGATTCCATTCTTTCCGGGCGCCAAAATCCCCTTCGGATCCAAAGCATTCTTGATGGTTTCATTCAGCTTCATCTGCGCGTTGTCATTGAAACTGTAGGTTCCAGCAATCTGGTCCATCAGAGCGAGATGAGTCCGATACTCACCCCAGCCCATCTTCGCTGCATCATCAATGAGGGTCTGAATGAGCTTGAATGCGTTTTGTCGCTGCTTGGGATCCTTGCGATTGAACACAATACACACGATGTGGTGAATCTCGCGCATACCAACGACGAAGTCGCCGATAAAATCGAAGCCAAACTCCTCGCTCCTGCGCCGAGTCAATTCGTACTGGGCCACTGCGTCGTCCCCGGTGACTTTGGCGATAGGACTGAAGAACAAATGTGCTCCGTTCGGTAGCCAGTCAACCCACTTCAACTCGTCATAGGTGGGGATACCTTGAAGCGTGAGGTCTCGGATCTGAAGAACCTCATTTTCAGGCATGTCTTCTGGGAAGTAGAACTTGGCACCAGGTATTGCGGAGAATGAGGCCTTGATCACCTGCCACATAGCTTCTCGGATAGGTTCCGGCCCATAAAGAGCGCCGTAAAAGTTCCAACGTCCCAGATTGAGCTTGGCTGCTATTTCATCAATTTCAGCGTCGGTGAGAGGCTTGCCAGAAGTGGAGTATTTCTTGCGATCTCCCTGGTGCTCATTAGCGGTGTTCTTAAGTCGTTAATACCAACGCTTACCATAACTGCAGCATCCATCAAGATGGAACGAATCGTGGGCACATTCTGCAAAACCATGGCAACTCTTAGTGGGCGGATGATCTCGACAGCCTGATGGAGATCTTCATCGCGAGGAAAAGTGATCAAGTAAGATTTGTAACCGCCGGGGTTAGGCATTAGCCAGATACCCATCTTGACGACAACACCTAGAGATGACTGAGTGAATATGCCATCATTGTACGGTCCAAATCCATAGTTGAACAGCTGCCACGCCTTGTTTGCCGGCTGCTCGTCAGGAGGGAGGTCAGGATTGGCGTCTGGGTTAGGAAGGGCGCCCATCCCTGTCCTGATGAGCGTTCCATCTGGTAGGACGGCCTCAAGGCCACAATGCATCATCCAATGATCACCATATGGAGTATAGCCGACGCCTCTTTCAATCGTGTTTCCAAGGACTGAACCACCTCCCAAATCTGGAACATCAATCCACAGCTTCTCCCGGAGGTTGTTCTTGACCAGATACTCGTGCAGATCCGCAAAGGTGACGCCAGGCTCGACCAGCGCATACGCACCATCCACGTTGACATCGAGTACTTTGTTCATATTCCTTCCCATGTCGAGTCCGATGCTTCCAGGAACTCTAGGAGCGGCGCCGCCATAGCCAACATTTCTGCCAATGGAGAATGGCCATACTGGTATTTCAAATTCATTGCAGAGTTTCATGATAGCCTGGACTTCACGGACATTTCTCGGTGCCACGAGAGCGGAACTGACAAAGTAATCCTCGTCGACAACATTGTACATGTCATGAACCTTGCTCGGGTCCAGATAGTGGTCCTTGTTCAAATGTTCAGCCTTGTCGATGACGTTAACATTTGTCTGCTCAACGATGTCCTGGACTTGACGAATAAAGTCTTTGAATTTTTCCGAGTCAACTCCAGGTGGAAGGGTCAAGGGATCGCCGGTCTTTCGAGTGCCTGCTTTATTCGGTCTTACATACCCGGTATGTGATGCGTGGCCATTCGTTCCGCCACTCGTCTGCGATGCGTCGCCATTCACGCCGCCATTCGTGCGTGATGCGTCGCCATTCGTGGCTGAAGTGCCATTCATAGTGAGATTCTTCAATTCTTCGAGCATCTTGATTCAGTGGCCCAGCACCGAAAAGAAGAGTGCGCATGATGGAGAAGCATTCCCAGGTATTTATGTACATCTGCCCATCACGGATCATGGCAGGTTGCAGCAATGCCGGCTTTGATGTTGTTTTCAGCGGAGTGTCTGGTGGGGGTGGAGTATCCCCAAGGCTACGACAACCACGGAGAATACGAGGGGGGTTCCGCTGTGAGCGGGGTCCCCACCTTAGCTTCGACTTCCTCGGCACAGTTTGTTTCGACACATCTCTGTTCACTAGAGACCTATCATCTGGGAGATATTGGACAGCGCGAGACTTACCTGATCTCGTGCATAATGGCGGCAAAAGCTCATCGTATGACACAGGGACTTGTCTGCCCAGTCTGTGGCACGACCTACAGTCGGCGAGAACATCTGCAACGTCATCTGACATCCCATACTGGCGGTTCCTCTCACTTTTGCCAAGCCTGCGGCAAAGGCTTCAAGCGAAAGGATGTCCTCAAGCGTCACTTTCTGACTTGTCTTGCTCGTCCGGGCCGCGCTGGCTCATCGCCTGAAACAGATCAAACGTTAAAGACCAATCGAACAGCATGCGATCGGTGCGCAAGGCAGAAGAGAGCGTGCAACTCCATGCAGCCTTGCAACACGTGTACCTTGAAGAATTCAACTTGCACATATTCATGGCTGAAGGACCAACGACCATGTGGTTTGACCACCTCGGCCCCAGAGTCAGACACAAAACTTGAACGCATCGGGAATCCTTCCAACCGGACGCTGGACACGTCGCATGTCGAGTGCGTTTCCCCTAGTCTGTCTTCATCCATGGGTGACAGTGACGATGAAGAAGAGCTCACTGATCCCTTCGAATTCCTTACTCGCTTCACCAGCAATGACTCTGGAATGAGTGGCGCTTTTGAGGTAGACAGCTCTTTGTTGGCGGAACATCCTCCAGGCGTTGGGTTCTCTGAACCAAGTCGATGGAATCTGCCTCCACATAGCCGGGAGGAGCAGCGAACGCTCTCCTTCGAGCAAGAAGCCAAACAGGCTAGGTCAAAATTTCGTCAGGACAGCCTCGAAACTTACGACAGGATAGAGCTGCCGCATAGTATCGCATCGCCTGACAGCGAATTCACCTTTCAGTCTCAGACGGAGCCGTTCTTCCTCTCGCCCTGGTTCGAGACGTCCATCTTTGCGGAAGACAATACAGGGACACCACAGGACGCCGAGTCTCATATAGTTGACCATGGCGGCCAGACGACCACTTTGGAGGCCCGGAACACTACACTGTCGTCGAAAAGTCACGAAATAGTTGCCGCTATCAAGGTCATCGTCATGTCTGGCTTCTCAGATGTGAGCTTGACAGTAGGCGACTGGTCCGCACTTGTGGAGACTGCTTGCATCAGTTTCTTTCATCCGAACAATCTGTCTCGATATCTCGAATACTATTGGGGTTTGTGGTACCCCAACGTCCCAACGATCCACAAACCCTCCTTCAATGCACAAGCAAGCCCTTGCCGTCTTCTTGCCCCCATGGCTCTAATCGGGGCAACCCTTTCGCCGAATCCTGCTGATCGCGAGAAGGCAAAGGCATGGTTCGACGTGGTGGAGGAAATGGTTTTCTCGGACGAGACCACATTTGACTCGAGAGTATCGACAACTGTACCCTGTCCTCCCGAGCAGCTGGAAGCCAGGCTGCGTTCCCTCCAAGCTGCCTATGCTGTCTGCCTATACCAAAACTGGGAAGGGCGCGACGCGGCCAAAGTCAGGATTCGAAGACAACGCTTTGTCTTATTGATTTCCACCGCACGTGATCTCATGAGGTACGCAAATCATGGTCCTTGGAAAGCACTGCAACTCCAGGACTTCTCTTGGAAGGATTTCGTGCTGCGAGAAGAACTGATCCGTACCATAATGTATATCTTCCTTCTCGACACGGCTTTCACCATTTTCAACAATGTGCCTCCCAGAATGATCATACGTGAGATGACCAACGACTTGGCCTGCCCTGAGCCTTGTTTCCAAGCCTGTACTGCCGAAGATTGCTTCCAAAAGGTCCGCGAATGGACCGCTCATCCACTTTGCTGCAAACGCACCACTCTTTACGCCTCCATTAAATATTTCGGTCAGAAAGATATTGGACCTGTTACCCAACAGTACCTCGCTCATGCCGGGGTCCTCAATCTTTGGACCATTGTATCTGCATTTCATAATTTGATCTTCCACATCGACCCCGGCTTTGGGTCCGAGTCACAATTGGCGGCAATGGCTAACGCCATTATCAATTGGAAAGACATCTGGAGACTCCGATCTGTGAACGGCTTCAAAGACTGCCATGGGCATGTCCATCTGGAGCCAAGTCCGTCTCAACTGGGTCGGCATGAAGTCTGGAAGCGGACAGGGTTCATGCGACGGGCTCCAGAATACTGGTTGCTAGCACAAGCCAAACTCGAAAGGCTGGAATCATCTCAAAGAAGCCTTGAAGCCGCTGAAAGCCTTTCGGGACGTGACAACTGGCTTGCTAATGTGCCGGGGACTGTGTTGTCTAAGTACGACGAGACGAGCATGGAACAACTGAGTGAATTTATTAGTAGCTTTCAAGCGATGAGGGTGGATCAAGAAGATATAGACGACTTGACTCGAAACTGTAACATCATGGCGTGATGTCAGAGTCTGTGGGCCGAGATATCTTAATCAATAATCAATATGAGTAGAAGACTTTGCAAGTTTCACTGAACAGATGTATACCTTAGGTCGTTGTCGCAAATGTAATAATGAAGGAAGGTGCAGGGTTTACATATCACTGCAGGTAAAGTCCGGGGCGCCAAGCCCGAGCATTGCTCGACGTCAAGATTCAATACATCCCCAAGCTACTAGTAGTTGTAAAGCCGGCGAACACCACATACTATCGCAACGAACCTCCTCAACTATCCGCCCCAGACTCTTCGTATCGAGTGGCCCACGATGCGCGCGACCTCGCGCTTATTTGCGACCGTCAAGTCGGCTTCAAAATACCTTGAACCCGATATCCCGACCGGCCTCACAGGTCTCTCTACACACCCATCTCCCCGTCCCGCCCTCATCTACACATACCGTCAGACCCTGAAGAAGCTCGCCCAGATACCAGCAAGCTCGGTCTACAGACAGTCGACCGAAGCTCTAACGAAGCACCGGCTCGAGATTGTTGAAGCACAGAAACCGGAGGGATACGAGGCGTGGCTCGAGCGAGCACGCAAGCACATCGAAGCCAATTCTGCGGCATACAATAAACTACTGAATGAGGATGGATCGCTGGGCAGCGAGAAAGCACACGTCGACCGCGTGGATATCTGGGATGGTGCGGTGACGAGGCAGGATGCACTTGCGGAGGGACCAAACTCGCCATCCCAAGCCGAGAAGAAGGCAGCTATCCTTGCGGCCGAGGTTCAGAAGGTGGATAAAGCGGCTGAGCACGGAGAAGTCGCCACTGTTGAAGACATCGAGGCCGAGCCGCCTTTGACGAGGGAACAGTATGTTTACTTCCAGGATTCCAGGGCATCGAGTAAGTACAGAGCCGATGACTGACTGTTGTGCAGGATTGAGACAATCGAAAACAAGATTGGCGCTGGCCTGATCGAAGAGGTGGTGGAAGTCGCTGAAGGTGAATTGGCACTTGTGGATGAGATGTTGATGAATCATGTGTATGTGCATGCCTTTTCACTGCGTTCTGTGGACGTTCTGCTAACCAATACTAGATGGGAGGAGCTCGAAGAAAAGATACCACCGGGACAATGGGAGTACTTTGACCGGGGTGATAGAGTGTAGATGCTTGTTTCGCATGGCGTCGAGTGGCAAGCCTGTATATACAATTTCCGAATTCGAGTCAAGATCGAGATCACTGCGTCCACCACGTCTCTGTCCCTTCACGCTTGTCCCACAGGCAACACATCACTGGCTAAGCAAGATGATGGATGTTCCAGTAGAGTCAAAATGCAACCATGAAACCCAAACGTTGATTGTGGTAATCAAATGTATTGTCTAACTCCATTGCCCTATGCTTGCGTCACTTGAAGCAGGCATCGCACCCACTGCTTTCTCTCGCCGTGCCATAGTAATATATACATCTCGTCTGTGATTTTCTGCGTTCAACGGCACCCCTTCCACCACTCTCCATATTCTCCGGACCGCTGTAATTCTTTAAAAAGGATTGTCCTCCGCTGGGATCTCTCGCACCCAGTAATCGCCAATCACCGGGACTCTCGACAGAATATCGTTTCGGATTTTAGGAACCTCAGCGAAGAAGAATAGGGCGAATACGCCCGCGGCGACACCGAAGCCAGATGCGTAGTAGCCGTATCGTAGAGCCTTGCCCATACTCAGACCCATGAGGTTGGGGATGTGCTTTGTTCTGTGGGACAGATGTTAGTATCCATCAGAAAATCTCCGAGAATAGCCTGGGGCCTGCTGAACTGATTCTGTCGCCAGCTGACGAAAGGCCGAGTACGTACTTAGGTCCATAAGGTGAAACGTAGGTGTTGTAGGTGGGTTGTTTGTTGTAGACGCGCAGAGGGGTGCGCCCTGAGCCCTGGAAACCTTCTTGAGCGATTGCCATGTTGTCGCAATATGAGCCCGACGGCGTTATGAGATTATGTGGTTAGGACGGAGAGTCGTGTCCAGCTTGGATTGTGGTTTGATATCATCGTAATTGAAGCTGTTTTTTGGAGGAAGCTTTCGGAGCGGATACTGCGTTTCGGCGGAGCACAGGGTCAATCAGGCGCAGACTCTTGTGACGAATTGACCAATCAGGGAAATCGCATTGGCTTATGGACTTTTCTCGAAATGGCACTCGTCCTGTTCACACCTCTCATGGGTCACTATGGCGGTCATGATGTGTTTATTCAGATATCGAGGGAAGTCAAGTCACATTTTCATAAAAAATAAAAGCCCGGAAGTGGGAAGAATAGTCTGATTGTGCGCTGTGCAATACGCTAGCCACATCTCATTGCCAGCCATGGCTCATTCTTCATACCCATCAAGCACGAAGTATCTCATGGTCGAAAGCGCTAGACACCAGCAGCCGGCACATCATGTGAGTGTATTCGCAGTCTAATGCAGATACTGCTTGAACCAGCTCACGGCTGCATCCTTTGCTCGTTCCAAGCCCTCCTTCTGAACCGGATCGCTCGTGTCTCCCCTGGTCGCAAAGCCATGGACCAAACCAGGGAAATAGCGGTAGTCGGAGTCGAGCTTCAATGATGGCAAAACCTGGAAATAGTGGTCTGCTAGTTCCTTGGTGAATTGAGGATCGGTTTCTGGTATGATCAGTTGGAAGGGCTTGTTGACCGCGTCGATTTCAGGTTTCTCAAGAAGGGATGGATGCGCCGTGGAGATGCAGTCCACGAGATCATTGCCTTTATCAGACACCAAATCTGTCAGTAAAGCGGTGACTTGATACATAGTGCGTAGCGACCATTGGGACAGCTTACCCTTAGCTGCAAGCTGAAAGACGGCCCAGCCACCATAACAGAATCCAATGGCGCCGACCTTCTTGTAACCGAGTTCCTTCTTGAGCTTGGTCGCAGCAGCGAAAATCTCTGGTTTTCGAATATCCTTGCTGTTCCGACCTATAAAGGCTCCAAGGTCGAATGGTTTGGCACCTTCCTTTGGCGGTCCAAGTGCATCGAGATCGACGACCTCACCGCCAAAGCTGTCAAAGGGTCAGCCAAGAACATAATATGCTGTGATCCTGGGCACTAACAAATCAGGCAGATAAACCGTCACGTCGGCCTCCTCGGCATAGTGATCAGCCAAAATTCGAGCATTGTTTAAGGTCCAACCCCAGACGTCATGGACAATCAGTACTGCGGCGTCCTTGTTCGAGCCCGTCACATAAGCTTTGTTGTCGCCGAGTGTGGTCTCCTTGCCCTTGGGGGTGCCTTCCCAGCGAAAGCCGGTAGTGCAACAGCTGGACAGCGACATTGTGAATAAGAGACGATTGCGAGATGATGTCTTTGACAATTAACAGATGATGGGTGACAGGTTCCTATGTAGACCCCGCAAGATGCGATATCGTCACCGGGTTCTGGTAGAGGCGGACCGAGTTTGGAGTGGACGGGAACGGAGACGGGAGCTTCTCTTTGCCAATTTGTCAGCGCGGCTCAAAGCTTCTTGGTGACTTGACAGATAACCCGCACGGGAACTGCAGCAGAACTTGCTGACAGAATGAGAATATTCTGTTGGAGTACAAAGCCGCGGCAAGTGATGTCCGATGCCCTCATGTCGTCCGCGGACTCCGACTTTCACACCATGGGTCAAGAGAGTCTTGCGTGTAATCCGCCAAACATCGAGACCCTGTGTACGACTCACAATACCTTAAGCGTGCTAAAGCCATTCGGTGCCCGGTGATCGCTGGCCAGATTGCGATATCGCACTGATCATGTCTAGACGTGGGGCCCGGTACATCAAAAAAGGTCTCCCTCGCCGCAGCCGGAAATTTGGAGAAGACCTCATTTCTTCCGCTTCGAAGACAAAAACAACGTCCCATCCAGGAATGGTATGTAAAGATATTGCAAACGACACAATTAATGTGCGTAAGACGCCTTATATGAGAACAGCAAAGCCTCGACATAAACCCTTCTTAGGCCACCCCTGTCAAGGTAAGCCGGAGCAGAAATTCGAATCACCCAAAAGATGAATCTCCGATGCTGGTCACGAGACTGAAATTGAAACTTCGTTTTACCCAGCCTCAGTACCTCAACAGGCTGTGATGGCGACTGTTGCGGAAGAGCACCCACCGTGCCTCGGAGACAGGACTGATGTACTTTGTACGTTTGATTCGCCCGGAACCGACCTTCAGCGACATGCATTATTTCTCCACGTCGACTTGGGTGTTCTGCAAGGTAAATCCCCACACACTGAGGTCAGCCTGACAATAGAGATGGGATTGTGTTGCACGGTTGCCGTTATCATTTACCATTCCTACAAATGATAAGTTCCAGACTTGCATAAGCGAGACCAAGCCGACAAATCATCAGTTGTTCTGTATCTTCAGGTGGGTGGGATCGGCATTCGACATGCCTTTGTCGACGGTTTACTGGATGGTGATCGAACTTTTCACGATGACCCGAGGCTATTTTGCGTGAAATCCTCGTAGAACACGAGGACGACCAACTCGCTGATTTGCTGGTCATAGCAGGCACTGCAGGCTACCCCAGCCGGGTGCTATACCTGGAGGTGACCCTGGGAAAGTCCTGGGGGTAAACGTGGGAATTCTCCGACGACTCTCCTCCGGGGCATGTTCTGGGGTTGGCTCTCCATGACCCTCGAAAACAGTGCCGCCTCGACCCCACAAACCTTCGGATTGACGGATGGGATACCTCAAAAGCACAAGTGCGTGAGACTGACCGACATTGATAAACGTCCTACCTCGGTGTCTCGTTTTATTTTCTGACTTCTTCACCCATCTCGGCATCTGACAGTGAGTGTAAGTCTGTCCGTTTCTCTGCAAGCCCAACAACATTTTGCGCCCATCCTTTAAGAAGAACGCAAGACTCCATCATGGTCGAGGACAAAGAACTCGGTGAGCCAACGCCGGTGGAAAACGTGACAGACTTGCACGAATTTCAGAATAAAGAAGGATACATCATCGACGCCGCCGACCCTGGGCATGCCAACCTCAAGCGAGCGCGCGATGGCCACACGATTCTCCTCCCACAACCCTCGTCCGACCCCAACGATCCTCTCAACTGGAGCCGCGTCAAGAAGCATGTCATCTTGATCATCATCTCCATGACGGCCTTCCTTCCCGACTACGGAAGTGCCACAGGAGCAGTCACGCTGATCCCACAGGCGGCGGTCTGGCACATGACGGAGGACCACGTCAACCACTCGCAAGCCGGTAATGTGTTCATGCTGGGCGCGGGCGGCGTCGTCGTCGTCGCATTGGCAGCTTACTTCGGCCGTCTTCCCGTCTTGTTCTACTTTCTTGTTCTGGCGACCGCAACGGCGATCTGGTGCGCAGCGGCTCAGTCATTCGAGGTGTTCATGGCCGGGCGTATCCTGAACGGGTTCTTCAGCACAGTCGCTCAGGGAGGAGGTCTCATGTTCATTAATGATATGTTTTTCTTTCATGAGAGGGCACGAAAGATCAATATCTGGAGTGCCTTCATTATCTTGTCGCCTTACTTCGGTCCGCTTTTCGCTGCGTTCATCATCAGTACGCAGTCGTGGCGCGTTCCTTTTGAGGTATATATTGCAGAGGTATGTCCACCCCGCGCACGTAACGGAATCACATGACTAACCACTATCAGACTGCTCTCTGCCTCGTCCTAGCCATCCTCTTCGTCGACGAGACATACTACGACCGCCGCATCCCCGCCTCAGACCAACCACCCCGAGGAAGCAAAATCTCCCGACTCCTAGGCATCTCGCAGTACCGGTCCCGCCATCTCCGCAACAGTCTCGGTGAAGCACTCATGCGTCCCATCAAAGTCATTCTCAAGCCCACCGTCTTCCTCTCGTCATTCTACTACCTCCTGACATTCGCATGGGTCGTCGGCATCAATACCACCCTCTCAATCTTCCTGACGCCACTGTACAACTTCGGCCCCAAACAGATCGGGTACTTCTACTTCACGCCTATCGTCGCGGCGCTGCTCGGCGAGGTCTGCGGCCACTGGCTGCACGATTTCATCGCAAGGAGTTACATCACCAAACACGCCGGGCACTTTGAGCCGGAAGTCCGTCTGCGCGCCATCTGGCTGTCCACGCCGTTCATGCTCGCTGGTCTTGTTGGACTTGGATTCGCCCTCGAAGATGCGTACCATTACATGGTAACTGCCGTGTTCTGGGGATTGTATGTGTTCGGTATCATGATCACCACCGTTGCGCTGAATGCGTATAATCTGGACAGTTACCCTGAAGCGTCGGGCGAGACGTCGGCTTGGATTAACTTCTGTCGCACGGCGGGCGGGTTCATCATCTCGTACTTCCAGGTAACGTGGGCGGACGCGCAGGGGACAAAGACGTCGTTCGGCATTCAGGCTGCTATCTGCGCGTTCGCGTTCTTCATCATCGTCTTCTTGCAGTTCTTCGGCAAGAGATTGAGAGTCATGGCTGGCGAGTTGAAGTTCCACACGTCTTGAGGGAGTTGTGGGACGTTTGCTCAGCGATCATTTTGGAGGTTGTCTTGTTTGGTGGCAAGTAGGTCTTTGAGCGGGTGAACAGGCGGCGCCAGAGAACGTGCCGCGTGAGAGTCTTCTCCCACTCGTGGGAGCCTAGTACCGAAGATGTTTCCTCTACTGTAATTGGCTTGCAATTCGAAGTGATTAGGTCGTTACCTGCTCGCCGGAGCGTCCCACAGCTCCTCAGCATTATCTCTGAAAAGCTTCTCGATCAACCCAGTATCGGCACCGCACCACTCGAAACACCGTTCTATGAATGGCACCGAGTCGATATCATCGTATCTGGTATGCGGCCAATCCGTCGCATACACGACTCGGTCTCTAGCTTCCTTGATGAGTTCCCGTCCGATCGGATCCAGGTCCCGCATGTCAGGATCCTTAGACAATCGATACGGCGCGGAAAGCTTGACCCAGGTGTTCCTCTGCAGAAGCGTGACTAGTGACTCGAATCCGTTCAATCCATACGGGTCAAGCGCTTGTGAGGGGTCGTATGGCTCTGGAAGAGACGGCCAGCCAAAGTGGTCGATGCACACTTTCACGCCGAGATCTGGCACGATTTTCTCCAAGGGGACGGCCAGATGAAGAGGAATATATAGCTGGAGTACCCAGTCGAGAGGCTTCAGCACGCGGGCATATGCTTGTAACTCGCTTCGCAGCTCGGATTCGCTGACTTCTCGTTCAACTGATACCAGATTGACGCGAGCTCCGCGGACACCGAGGGCGTGCCACTTCTGCGTAGTGTCGGGGTCCATCTTATGCGGATCCAGGCCGACGACTGCTCGACCGTGCTTGGGTGTCAGTTCACGTAGCGCTGCGAGCATACAGCTGTTGTCGTTGGCATAAATGGACGGTTGGACGAGGACCATGTTGTCGATGCCGAACTGTGCGTAAAATGTCCTGGCGTCCGCGAGCGTGTGCGCGTGCGGTTTGTATTTGGCGCTTGGGTGTAGTGGGAACTTTTCAGGCTCGACGACGTGCATGTGGCTGTCCCATATGCCTTTCGGCAATGGTCGTGAGATTTTCACTTGTTTCGATATCGAGGGTACAGCGTATGATCTTGCTGACTGTGTTCGTAAGAAAGACAGTGTCCGCCATGGATGGCGCCGTGCGACGAGCTTGAGGAACGCCATGACTATACACCACGCTGGAAGTGGGATCTTTTTGATGAGGCTTTTCAGTGTCAAGCAGCATGTATGAGTGTGAGGTGGTAGTTGTAGGAGCTGTTCACTGAAGGTTATACTGGTGCATACAAAGTAAGAGAACTGTAAAGTGTAAAGTGTGCCGAGGTAGGAACCTTGGAAGCCTAACTTGAGTCGCAGCGTTTAAGCTTTGGCTGGGGGCAAGGGATGCCTAGAAGCCCGAGGCTAGGGAGGCTCCCTAGGCTACTGTGATACGGGTACTGTCAAAACCTTAGACCACTATCAAGTATATTCCCCTGCTTTCCCCAGCCTTATTTCCCGTCGATTGCCGACGGCATGTATGTTATACCAAAGTCATTAGGCTCCCATCGAAAAGACCCGCACGTTCGAAGCTGCTTCAGACGACATTGTCCATTTTAGGGCCGCCTTGACCCTCGGGCATCGCGATGGCTTCGGTCTTCTCCTCCGGAGTATTCTTGTGCTCATGTGCGATGTTCTTCTCCTCCAACATAGTCTCAACACGAGCAGTTCCCTCGACCTCATAGTTGGTCTCGCGAATGGTCATGAGAACCCATGCGCAAAGAGGCAGAGAGATGAGCAGCATGAGCCACGAGATCAGGATCTCGCCGAGGAATGCAGTCTTATGGTTGTGTCAGTCACATGCTCAGTTGTGGCATGGTTTGAGGAGGAGGCTTACCTTGACAGCATCCATGCCGAATGAGACAGCAGAGCCGGCGCTCTGAACACCCTTGTAGTAGCCAGCCATACGGGCGAGCTTGAATGGATCGTTCGACATTGCTGACATCGTGTAGTAAGCCAGGCCTTGGTACATGGCGTCCGCAATGTAGTCTTGAGGGTAAGTCTGGTCAGTACGCGAGGAGCAAGCCATATCACAAAGCTTGTAGCGAAAGGCTACTCACAGGCCATTAAGAGTACAATGGGCCCAGCAGCTGCGTGAACGCTCCAGTCCCAAGGACGCTTATCACCAAGAATAACCTCATCAGCGCGGGTGAATTTGACCTGAAAGCCTATGCCAGCGCACCAGATGAGGATGTTCATGAGCAGAACGGCGACAACACCACCCAAAGCTCGAGCTCGGCGGCCGAAAGGGAGTCGGTCAGTCACAAACCCAATCAGGATAGATCCAACGATAGATCCAAGACCAGTGAGGAGGGCAGTAAGCGCTCGCGTACGACCATTGAACAAGAAAGCGGTGATGGCACCCTGGTAAGCGTAGACTGTGTACAATTAGCAACTGCAAAAGCATTATTGACTTCAAGTAAAGGGATACGTACAGTAATTGGAACTGAAGAACATGGGGCTGCACGTTGAGCATAAAGTAAGCGATCTGACTGACTCGTATTCACGGTTGGCGATTTTTCATGGAGCACTTACAAGAGTGCAAGCATTCTCCAGTCCTTGAAGAGCTGGACGAACTCATGCAACTCCCTCCTAGGACTAATGGAGTCCTCGAGGAGAGGAACAGTCCCGTCGCCACGAACGACCAGATCTGGCGTTCAGTCAGCTGTGATAAAAACCATTCTTCAGTGGAAACAGTCACTTACGGGGAGGCAGAAGCAGCCAGCTTGTCACAATGGCAGTCAACATGATGATCATGAAAGCTAGGTAGACACCAGTGGAAACGGATGGGAGGGTCGAGTGGGCTTCGATGCCCAAAGCGATAGCAGAGCCAACAAGGGTCCCAAGCTGGAAGATAGACCAGAAGAGAGAAAACGAGCGGCCTTTGTCCTTCTCAAGAGGATACGACATCATAATGGCACCTTGCGCAGCCCAGAGCAGAGCGGCAGCTGAAGAATGAGATGGTTAGCAGATGGAGATGACCCAGTACCATGGTATGGTGGACTAACTGAAACCGAGAATCCCACCGGCGAGGATAAGAAACCATCTTGTCCCATTCTTTTGAAAACACCAGAGAGATCCAATGTAGAGAGAGTACCCAGTTGTGCCGAGAGACAAGGTCAGGCGGGGACCTAGGACGTTCTGGCTGTACGTTAGCGACAGTGATCGCACGTCACAAATCGGAGTTTTCTGGGCTCATACATTGATGCTGCCAGCGAAGAACCCTGTAATCGCAAATACTGCGTAAAGAACACTGTTGGCTATGTCACTCAATTGAGTATCCATAGTTCCACTGATCCAAGCGTCAGCAGCGTTTCCAGAACAACTTCGTCAGGAGACTTGCCCAGCGCCCAAGTTTGAGACAGCACTGAACATGCCCACCGAACAGAAAGTTACGAAACCGAGAATGATGACCTGAGTCCATGGCGAGTTGTCTGGGCATTTGAGGTCAATTTGCGAGCACGTTGGGTGATCAGGTGGTGGGAGTCCAAAACTCACATCGCACGGGACCAACACGAATAGCAGATAAGTTGACCATCTTGGTTTGTTTGAAACTTCTCCTTGACAGGGTGTCTCGGATGCCGACGAGCTGAATCGATGGCGGGTTCAAAGAGACGACCGGTTTGCTGGTGTTTGCAAAACGGGCATGCCCGTCGTGGAAGTATGGAGAGATTCCTCGTACTGGACCTTATCATTATATAGAGTCGAGGCATAGTCAAAGATATACCAACGGATCAAGTACGCGAATCCTGCAGGGTAACAACTACAATAATAGTGGTGTGAGTGGTGTTGGAGTACAGGCAGGTGGTCTTCTGGCTGCAACCTTATCGATACTCCAAGTGGAAGATGGGTCAGTACCCTTCTCCAACCAATCAGGGGTCAAATGCCTATCTTCACGAAGTGCTGGCAGTTCGATCTGAGCAGCGAATTAGGCCATGACCGGGGCTCTACCGGGGTATCTGGTCACTCAGAGGGTGTGACTACGCTATCACTACTCCGTACAGAATCTTTGTTGAAAGCATACATCTTAGCCGCAGATCTGCCACAGGAGAGACAATGTTACGGTGACATTCCCTGTCTGGACTACTAATATCCGATCCAAGTCAGCTAACGCGTTGCATGTGTGATTTGTTGCGGCCCCAAGGGCCCCAGGTCTTCCATCTCTGATCCACGCTTGTCTTCCAGACATTAAGTAAGTCTCCTCAAGTTCACGATCGCATCTTCTATCAGCCAACTTCTTCTGCCCTCGGTGTGCTTTGCCAACATGTCAGCAAGCGTGATCAAGACCCCGTGAGTATACTGAAGCTTGGACGCCAGATCAACGTGCGCTCCGTCGCTTCCATCCTGGTTGGGGCCAAGCTTTTGTTGTATACCAAAGATGGCAGCATCAAGGTATGCTTCACAAGCTTCTGTGCCGAAACCAGCATGAACAAGTCCTAAATCTGATCGGGATGATACTCCTTGTTTGTCTCCGTGAGGATGGGTCAGACTCGTCTGCCACCCGTTCCGCAGGGCGAATCCATACAGCCAACACAACAGACCTGCAAGATATAGCAACCATGAGCAGTGGTGGCAGTGGACGGTTGACGAGAATTCCGTCCTGAGGCGGTCGCGGATAACCTTGGACGCCTCTAAGACTGCGTGTAGAGAATTGTCCTGCTTTACCCACTGCTTGAACCTCCTCTGACTTGCAAGGTATTCCGAGGCCCTGATAGTCCGACCTTCGATCATGGCCCGACCAGAAATTATCTGGAAATCGAAAGAGCCAACCTCATATAATGCATGGGCCAGGCGAAACATGCACGTGCAATTTCGCCACGTAAGTGCAACATGCTTGATGGACAATGTCAAAGTCTGCGAAGTCCACCACGAAATCCACTCCTCAAAGGATTTTTGAACATGAGAAGAAAGTTCAACGGGTACCCAGTCACTTGACGAAGAGTTGCCACCGGCACGCCTGCGGGCCTTTAGGCGGAAAGGCGAAAGGTTCGTGTTACTTTGACGTCGGATATCCCATGCAACCGCTATAATTCCGTACAAAATCATCCGAGAAGTTCGAGAAAATGCAAATACGGGGAATCCGTCGCTTGGTTCGAGACGGTGGAGGGCACACTCCAAGTTGTGTCTTGATCGAGCGTGCTTATTGCGCCGTTGGAGAATGGATAGCTTGGAGCGTGGTTCCAAAAGTGTTTCAGCAGGCGAAGGTAATTGTCTTCGTCGCCACGCCGGTCGTCAGCATTGGCTTGCTGTTGGATTTCGTGCCACTCATCCGCTGACTGAGCGTACCAAAGCTCATCTTCGCACGGAGGAACAAAATTCAGCTCAAAAGGAGAGAACCTCAGTTCGCTGCCGTGAAGCATCATCTGCTGAACGTCGAGAATAAACGTTTGAAATATGATCCTACCCCCAGATTAGCCTTTCGTCAATTTTGATGTCCAGAAAAGAAATGATCGAGAGTAAGAAAAACTTGGTGTCAATATACCGTCTCAGGCTTTCGACTTTCATCCAATTGAACCATCTCATCTCCGTCGAAAGGTTCTCGGTCTTTTCGCCGGACGCAAGTACACAGTCATCGCGGGTATCAAGTCTTCGAACAGTCTATCCCATGTAAGTATCAGATAGACCAAACCTGTTCGGAAGTCTGATGGGGGTCCCCGTTGTCATGCTTACGTCAATGAGTACCCCATGTATGTTGATGGCAAAACCGGACGCTTCTTCGGAGCGTCCATAATATCGAGCAAAGACCAGTGTGAGGAAAAGCAGTTGTATTAGCGATAAAGACGGACTTGGTGTTGAGAAAATATGCTGTGTGGTCAACGTTAGTTTTACTCACCTTCCTGATGCGATTGTGACAGTGGCAGACAGATAGCGAAAAGCCGTGGATACTGGACATTACTTACTGCCAGAACATGGGTTCGTAGTGCTTTGTGAATTCCTGCACTCATGTTAAATATCTTCCGTCCATCGCTTACACTGGTGTAGCTTGGGCATAGCCATCCAAGTATTATCATTGCCCAAATTAGATGCCAAGATGGTCGCTCTCCGTACCATTCTTGAATCGCGTTTTCTTTCGTCTCGGATTGAGTGACCAGAGAAGAATGGAAAATCGAATATTCGGGAGATACGTGTTTGAAATAAAGATGTAGCCCATGCTGTAGATTGTTGAGCGAAAGGAGCGGGTCTGCAATGCAGAGATCGGGAAAATCCGCCCGGAGCGACCATAGAAGCTGATCACGATGTCTTTGTGTAAGGGCGTGACAGATTTTATAGTGACAACCTGGTGGTTCGGAAACCATCGCTGCCAAGTCGACTTCGATGCCAGGCTCAGCAGCTGATGCAGGGCAAGAGGTGCCGGTGGGGAGGGAAGCCTTGTGGCTCCAGAAGTCATCGAAACTTGTCAGTTGGCCATCGAGATTGAAAAATGATGGAATGTTTCCATCATCTAGCAGACTAGATTCTCGGGAGTCATCGTCGAATAACCATCCAAGGCCGTGATCATGCGAGTCAAATAGGTGCTGAGGCTCCAATTCATTCTCCCACCGGAACACTTCTGGACTGTTGAGGGCGTCGAGTTCACATGCATGGGTAACACGATGCGACTGTTCCTCGGTAATTGCGTTTCCATTCACAGTAGTCTGGGGATCCGGGGGCAAGGGGTCAGAAGACTGCTTTTCCTGAAGAGCATATAAGCTTCGCACAGTAACGGTAGGTGTTTGGCAGTCCTGTTCCCGGGACGCGCTTGATACGTTGTCCAACAAAGAGGGTGCTGATGACGGGCCAACGAGAACCTCGCCTTCCTCAAGATGGTCGGCATCATAATTTTGATCGTTTGAGACCTGCTCCAGTGGAGTTTTGCGCCTCAATGATCGGCTATTTGACCTTCGCTCGGATGCTTCGTGCTTCCGCAGTCCCGTTCTGGATGATTGTGCTTCTGGGATGGAAATCCCATGAGAGACCATGCCATGTCGTTGCAGCAGATCAAGCCGAAAGAACTTTTTATGGCACTGTGGGCAAGGCCATTTTGGAGCCTTTTGGTCTATGAGGTGCGAGAGGTCAGTGGCACGTTCGATACCTGGGTGCCCGACACCCCTAACTCCCTGTTACGGGACACCAAAGTTTTACATTTCACAGAGGTTCAGCTGGTGCCGCTGGAGATGCTCTCTCCGAGTGAAAGCCTTGGAGCATGCAGGCTGGTCGCAACAGAATTTCCTGTCAAACGATCCTGGGCTTGTCTTAAGACTCCGTGTCCGGGGTTCCATGCTTTTGGGGGTAAGAAAATCTAAGCAAGGAAGTAGTGAAATTGGGGGTTCTTCGAAATATAAGAGAAGATTCCTCTTGGCGACGTGGTGAATTCCGAGCTGTGGAGAGCATTAACTCGGTTGCACTCCACCACTGATAACATCCATTGGTATCGTGGTGACCCCCAAACTCAAATAACAACCCGCCTTCCAATCCTTTACAAGTCGGCTGGCTACTTGAATACCTACTGTAGAACATAATCTTCTAATTGCTCAAGATTCTAAGGTCATCGTTCACAGCGGTGGGAGATTCGAGCTCGGTCTCGTGGGACCATGAAAGCAATAACTCAAGACCGGATACCAGTTTGGATTGATTGTGATCCAGGTATGTATAGCTGATCACTCATGGACGCCTCACGCAACGCTGACAATGGCTTGACAATTAGGACATGACGTGAGTATATATACCATTGCCGTTAGACGCCTTCGGCTTCCGATTACAATGCTAATGCTCGACATAGGATGCATGTGCCATTGTTACCGCAGCGTACCACCCGTCCATGAACCTCCTAGGACTCAGTACTGTGTTTGGAAATACATCACTCGCACAGACGACCGAAAATGCGCTCAGCATACTCGAGTTGATCGGAAAGTCGATACCAGTTGTCCCGGGTATGTCACAGCCTTTGTATCGACAGACTATAAACGGAGAATATTTTCATGGTAGGTCGTATCTTGAGCGCCACGAAAGTCCACAAGCTAAAGCTGATCACTCATACCAGGACCGAGCGGGCTTGGAGATACAGACCTCTTACCCAAGCCATCTCAATCGGCTCTAGATGGGGATGTCGCCGACCAAATGTATAAAACATTAATTGCAACTCCCAGGGGCAGCGCCTGGCTTGTCGCTATAGGCCCGTTGACCAACATCGCAGTCCTTTTTACGAAGTATCCCAAGATACAACACCATATCAGAGGACTAAGTATAATGGGCGGGGTGATTGGCCATGGATTTTGCGCCGGCTCGTCCAGTGCCACTTCACCTCAAGGCACTTGGGATCCATACATCGAGTTCAACATACTATGTGATCCGGAATCAGCACATATGGTGCTTTCGGGCACTCACGAGCTCCGGAACAAAACAATTCTCGTACCATTAGATTTGACGCATCATGTGTGCTGCGGCAAAGAAATCATGGACAAAATATATGGCACCACAAAAGTACGACTCGCCTTCCACGAACTCCTTTTATTCTGCCAGATGTCATATGCAAAGCACTCTCACTTGAAGACGGGCTCGCCGTTACACGACCCGCTTGCTGTTGCAGCTATCTTGGCTGACTGCGATGACCCTGTCGACAGGATAGAGTTCGACGGATACAACGACCGGTACAATGTCGAAGTCTTACTCGAGGGAAAGAGTGCCGGCCGACTATTGTCACCCCGTCCAAGGATGGGATCCGAATTCCAAAAGGCTTGGATACCGCGAAATTCTGGTCGATGTTTGAGTACTGTATAGGGAAGGCGGATGAAGCAACAGGATCTGAGAACGCAATACCAGTGAGTTGATACAGTCGGCTTCCAGTCTAAGCACTCTCTATGCCATACTCTTAGACAACCCATTGACACCATTTCTCCCACTCTGTGTACCACTGCTTGCATCTTGCTCCTTTCATGTCCTCGCAGTATTGTCCAGATTTGACTCCTATAAGCCATGCCGCTGACCCTTGGTCGCACATAATAGACCACCTGATAGTGAACGAAGTCTTTGCGCCTATCTGAGAAAGTCCAGCCCAATATGCTGGAGAAGCAGTACTGCTGTATCTGGACCCCTTTCTCGCATGTCTTCCGATGCTTAAAGGTGCAAAGATCGGACCTCTCCGAGAACCCCCAATTGCCGACATAAATACCATCACCACTTGCAAGCACTCTTGGCACAATGTATGCCAAAGTAAATGTGCATGCGCACTGGAGGCCGACCAAGCCATCGTATTCTTCCATGGCTGCCCGTGTAAATGAGCTTTTGGGGGTCTTGACTGAGGGTGGGCCTTTGGCGTGGTCTCGCCATGGGAACCATCTGACCCGCATGGGACATCTTCAAAGATAAATTCGGCCAAACATGACATGGCCCCTGATATAATTCAAAAAGATCAGCCTTTGGCATAAGCAGTTGGGGAAGTCTACATCTACGTAGACTCGTGGTCAGTATGATATCGCCCTGACATATCAAGGCTGCATCGGCTTCATTGTTCGAAAAGGGACCCGGCGAAAGTGAAGAACACACAAGAAATTGGGCCAGCTCTCGAGATGCGCGCCTCTTCCGAAGAGCAGAGCACCGGTACGCAAGCGTGGACCTGAGCTTACATGATCCGGTTTGCATTTGGTATGTCCTCACAGCTAGCGACTCGGGTGGGCTCCGACAACGGATTCGCCGGAAGATATCAGAATAGAAACCACTGGACAGTGGACAAGGGGAATGTGTGTCCTGGATCGACGGGACGGTAGAAAAGATGAATGTCAGGAAGAGAGCGAAATAGACCATGGGCAATGGTTGCGACCTAGCGCTGGAAGTCGCATCATACGCATGAGAGACTCTCCGAGCAAGGATACGTTCGGACCTTTCTTGCTTGACGGAGGAACGCCATGGAGCTGGCCTTCATTGAGGCGAAGAGACGTAAGATATGAAGGCCATGATCACGTAATCAAGTTGGGCAAGGCTGAAGCCCCTGGCCGAGCCATCTCCATCATGACTTGTTGAAATATATGTGAACCAACAGGCTGTTCCAATAATCCATGATGGCCTCTCTGAGAAAACATTGGACAATGCGGCACATGAAGTCCTTCCGATGTCTGATAGTAGGCCTCATTGGGAACGCCCTCATGGTTGCTCTTAATAAATTGGTCCAACAGGGCACTTACCCATATTCCGAGCTTTCTTTCCCACGTATCTTGTGCACAGATCTGTCTGTGCACTTGCTAACTGACTCTATCCAGGTTGGCCCTAATGTGAAATAGCATTGGCAGTATGCTGGTAAAGCACCAGACTCTGGATGACCGTTTCATTTTGGCGGCGCACGGTGCAGAGGCTCGTTGTTGAAGGGCACCATCAGCACTGCAACCTCGTCATGATGTCCCATACTCGCTTGGGATGCTATTAGTCGAGCTGGTGAAGTACACTTCTGAATTTGGATTGTTCCATCTGCGTGCAAGAAGTCAGATCAACGGAGTCTGCCTCACCTCACCACACCTCACCGCCTCAAAATAATCCTGCGTTGATGATTTCAAGTCTCGAGATTCTCTGCTGCATATGTCCCTAAATTCAAGGCAACACACCACAATATGTGGTGGGCACCCACTTACGATGAAGTTGGCTATGCTGTGGTCTGGTTGGTTGGGCCTCTTCTGGACGAGTCGCTGTTGGGTGCCCGACTTGTCTAGTCCTCAACTCACTAAGTGTCTTAGAAGAATTGCAGGACAAGAAGAGGTAATTAGAGAGGGTTCGAGGGGACCGACTTCCAGATTTTTTGTCACGTTAGGTCAAACTGAAATGGTGTGCCAAAGAATGAAGTGGTGTGGCGATCTCAGTTCATATTTGATAGCGCAGAAACATGCAATGCACACTGAAAACTGCTCAATGCCTTGCTTCCAATGCTTGTTATTAGTATGGAGCTAGTAGAGGATCCCTGAGCTCGAAGTCGATCAACGCCTGACAAAACAAGACCACGGTGGAAATATATGCAGACCATGCTGAACATTCTCGCTCGACGGATGCCATCTCTCTGCGTCCCAGCCTCTTCCCAGCTCATGATGATCCTGGTCTGGAAAAGAAGACTGTGCTCTCCATACAAGTGATCTTTTCTTTATCGACTGTGTTGACATCGGCGAGGACAGTGTACTTCCCGGGTGGCTGTATTCAGGTGTCAACAACGTCTCTCGCGTGAAAGTATAGACCATTACTTACCACTTGCTTAGGGATGTCAACCTCTTTTGTCAGTGACAGAACGCCCTCCTTGACTGGGCAAGACATGTCGATTTTCGGCAGGTTATCGCAGAGATCGGCTTCTTGTTTGATAAGAGTGATCAAGCCATATTTGACTTGCAGGAAGACGGTGGCGCCGGCCTCGATGTCCTTGGAGAAGGTACCGTTGGCAGTGATGGTCAGTTTTTGACCTCTGTGAGCCAGAGTTAGCGCCGTAGCTAGGAGTCATTCAGAGAACGTACGGTACAGGTGGGTTCGGTGATAGGTCGACGTAGTCAACAGTAAGGATATACTCTTTTGGATCGGCGCAGAACTGCCAGCGTGTGTCAGTGAAGCTTGCGAACTGGCTTGTCTTGTGCTCTCACGTTCAGAGGGTTCTTTCCAGGCACCGAGAACGCATCGTCTACAAGAGCACTTTGGCCCTGTCCACCAAACAACGAGGCCGAAACGGCGGTGAGGAGGGAGAGAAGGATGGCCGAAGTCTTCATCTTGGAAGAGGTGTGACTTCTGTGCCTAGTTGTGTGTTTAAAGACCTCCCCAAGTATTGTATAATAGCTTGAGAGAGTGGTTGAGAAAGTCTATGGCAAGAGCAGGCAGGTCGCAGTGAGTTGAGATGATTGGGTTTCGCTGGTGGCGCATGATCCTGTCCTGCCGCCTCGCTTCGATAGCGCCTCTTCTCGACCTCGTGACTTACGTCATCCGGTGCTTGGCCTTAATGCTCCGCCGGAACCGGCCACCTGCACTTACAGACTGCATGCGTCGCTCAACCCCATTAAAAGCAGCAAGGCACGTCAACCGCCAGGGGCAGGGGCGATGGCAGATCCAATGGTCCTAAACCAGAACCCCAGTTTCACTGTCGTGGCCATCTGGCAAACCTCCATCAACTCGAGATTCGCCCATATTATCAACCTTCACACCCTTCACTTCTTGTATAATCAGACTATTATCCACGCCCTTAACTTCATTCGATCCTGCGATAGCCGGCTTTGTCTTCAACACCAGGAATTCCTCCTTGCGACGCCTGTGAACGCTTGCCTCAGTCGTTCCTCGGTCGCCTCGATCGAACCATCTCTGGTCAAACTTCACTATGAGGCCAGCTTTGCTGGCATGGGCGCTTGCCGCAATTTGCGCCACATCCACTGCTCTTCCACCGTGGCAAAAGGAAGCAAAGGAGTTGTCAGAGGATGCTGTGGCAGGAGAAACGCCAGCAGAAGGCGGAGAGGCCGTTACGTATACCACCTTCAATGGCATCAAGGTGCCTCCAATGGTAGAGATTGAAGGCGTCAAATTCGAGGAAACGATTAAGGATGGATACTGGTGAGCCTGCTGCGCAATTGAGAAGAGGGAAATGCTGACTCTGCACAGGTGGGTAAAGCACTACTCACCATACTGCGGACACTGCAAAGCCATCGCTCCCCATTGGCAGACGCTCTACGAGTTCTACGCGACCTCGGACCCTTTGGATGGCCTCACCAAGTCTGGACAGCCCGATCTGTCCTCTCCGAACAGTTTCCATGGATACTACAACTTCCATTTCGCTTCAATCAATTGTATCGCTTATGGTGATGTTTGCGCAAAGAACGGCGTACAGGCGTGGCCCACGTTCATACTGTTCAAGGACGGCAAGATCGTTGAGAAATACACTGGCGGAAAATCCATGGAAGCATTCAGCCACTATGTCGAAGAAAAACTCGAACAGATCAAACCAGGTTCGAGATCAAAAGACGGAGTCAAAGTTCCCAAGCCAGGCGCCAAAGGCGTTGATCGAGCCGCCACTCCTGAAACTCCGCTCGCGAAGGACAAGGACACCGCCGCCGGGGTTGCAGCAGGTAACAAGCAGAACAATGCGGCTGCGGAGGTATCCACAGATACCACTTCCGCAATGCTGGCTTCTGAAACCGCGAAACTTGGTAGATCCGGGGCAAAGACCGGGCCTGTACCCAATCTCAAAGGCACTTCGGTGCCCTTGACCCCAGAATCGTTCCAGAAGCTCGTTACAACGTCTCAAGACCCATGGTTCATCAAGTTTTATGTTCCATGGTGCTCACATTGTCAACATCTGGCACCTACGTGGTTAGAGTTGGCCAGGGAGATGGAAGGCAAGCTCAACGTTGGAGAAGTCAACTGCGAACAGTCAACCCGCTTGTGCAAAGACGCAAAGGTCGACGGCTACCCGACCATTTACTTCTTCCGAGGTGGAGAGCGTGTGGCTTATGAGGGTCTACGAGGCCTGGGCGACCTACTTTCATTCGCCAACAAGGCGTTGGACAGCGACGTCAAGTATGTCGACGCTGCGGCGTTCAAGGAGATGGAAGAGACCGATGAAGTCATCTTTGCCTACTTCTTTGACGATGCCACTACTTCTGAAGATTTTGCAGCTCTGGACAGATTGACGCTCAGTTTGATCGGACACGCAAAGATTGTGAAGACCGACTCCCAGATTTTGGCCAGCCGTTTCAAAATCTCGACCTGGCCTAGATTGCTCGTGTCGAGAGACGGCCGACCCACCTACTACAATGCTCTCTCTCCACAAGACATGAGAGACTTTCGCAAGGTGTTCACCTGGATGCAGTCGGTTTGGCAGCCTATCGTGCCTGAACTGACTGCCTCCAACGCAAGGGAGATCATGGCTGGCAAATATGTGGTGCTCGGCATTTTATCTCGAGAACGGCCAGATGAATTTCTTCAATCAAGGCGAGAGCTGAAGAACGCTGCCCTCGAGTGGATGGACAAACAGACGCAAGCCTTCCAGCTTGAAAGGCAAGAGTTGCGCGACTCGAAACAGTTGCGCATCGAAGAAGCCGAAGATCGTAACGACCAGCGTGCTTTGAGGCAAGCGAAGAGCCGAGTCATCAGCATCACAGAGGAATCTTTCCGAAAGCAGGTCAGCTTTGCCTGGATTGATGGCGTTTTCTGGGAACGATGGCTGCGAGCGACCTATGGTGTGGACGTCTCCAAGGGCGAGCGGGTAATCATCAACGACGAAGATGTGAGTTGATCTTTTTGGATTGGTCAAACGATGGTGCTAACCTCACAGAACCGACGATTCTGGGATGTGACCGATTCCGGCGCCTATATCATGCCTTCAAGGACGTCTATCCTCGAAACTCTGCCGCGTGTCGTGGCCTCGCCACCGAAGCTCAATCCAAAGTCGACGATCGGTACCTTCGAGAACGTCTTCTTCCAGATCCGCAACTTTGGAACGTACCATCCTTACTTCTCTTTCGCCATCTTGATCATGTCCGTGGTCATGCTGCTGTACATTCTGAAAAACGGCACCACCATCAAGAAAAGCCTGAGCAGGAATAGTAGTGGCTATTTCCATCTTGATGGGAAGGAAGGCATATTAGGAACGACGAATGGAAAGGCTGATTGAAAAACGAAGTCTGGTTGAATTCTATATGTACATTGCATTGCGACGGCGTTGAGAAGTTTGGGATCAGGCATGATACTGGACAAAGAAGGCTTATTGATACCAGCTTGGGTACTCGTAGTGCTTTGTCATTCATGATGTATATTGAGATGCCTTGAAGGGGCTCTACAAGATTTCTCAGTCTTCAACGCTCGAGACAAATCTCAGCTGTTGAATAAAAAGTGCAATACAGATTTGACTCGTCCGCCCAGTCCATACCGGTTGTCTATCTGGTTGCTACGGTTGACTACTCCGGGACTACACCGTTGCGTAAGATTGTGAGTTGGAAATATTGGCTACGGTCTCTTAAATAATACTAGTGGAGAGATCCCTTGAGAGGCTCTTGCCTTTCGGTCAAACTTTGAGGGGCACAGCATGACAAGAAGGAAGGATTGGCAATCAAGCTTCGTCTGTGACAGACTAGGCGACACCTTGTGTTTGTGGAATTTGTTTCTTTTGAAGCTAGCAAGTAGATACCTCACTGAGCTCCCTCATGGCGCTCACGTTCCTCAGCGCGGGGTTTTGAGCCGTCATGTATCCGGAGCTGGTTGCCATCAACATGGTATGTCCATCATCTCCTCCATCATGTGTAGACCATAGTCTTGGATGAGGGTGGGAAAGGTTTGTGTTCCCCGGCAGAGTAAAAAAATGTCCGATATCGACTTGACGCCGCCCGCCTTATGCCGTATCATCATGAACATGCTCTCCTCTTGGCCAATTGAATCATGGTTTACGACGACCAAAAAAAATCTATCGTCGATCGGCACCAAAGACTCTTCGGCCACCACGCTCCTGCTGCTGCTGTTGAGCAACTGGCACAACGTTGACAGGGACAGAGTCGAAGCCCATGCTCTTCAACAGATCCTTGGTGTCTGAGTCGACGTCCAATTGTCCGCTCTCGGTGTTCTGGGTGAAGTCCAGCGCCGAGATCTCTGGGACGTACTGATCCTTTCGCTCACGCTCCTCTTCTTGCAGTTTGAAGGAGATACCACGGACGGGTCCTCGCTGAATACGCTTCATCAAGTGGGTGGTGTAGCCGGCGATCTACAATCAAATTCTGTCAACATTGATCTCACTCACAGTGTTGAATGTAACATACCTTGTTGCGAAGACGCTTCGAGGCAATGATAGCGATCTCATCGCAGATGCGCTTGTTGGTCTCGAAGTCGAGTGTGAGCTTGGGGTAGTATCGCTCGATGATGACTTTGGCTGACTTCTTGACGGTCTGTGACAAGATTGTTAGATTTTGGATGCTTTCCTCCCAGCATGTTGACTGACCTTCGTGCGAACGCGACCCATCTTGACGATTGAGTTGGGACTTTTTGTTGCAAGAGATGGGAAGTCGAACTGATCGCAACGTAAAAAGAGCGACTGCGGGTGCGTCGAGGTTGAATTGGGATAATTTCGCGTCTTGGCGTGCGCTCTTGCCAAGAGTTGTGCTTGATTACGTAATACGTTTAAAAGACTCTCCGGAGAGAGCAATGCACCTAACTCTATTATTGAGCCGGGAATTATTTCTATACAGTTGTTTGTACATCTATGTTTGTTTGCTCATCGCATTCTGAGCAGCGGTTCGGACCAACATATCCCACTCTTCGCTGATGTCTTGACTGGGCTCAGGAGGAGGTCTCGTTACCCTACGATTCGGGCGTCGCGTAGATAAACCGTCGAGAGGAGGCAACTGTGTGGACGTAGAGCGCCGCGCTGCGCTGACCTGACTTGCAGACTTTTCTTGCTTATTGACAGGTACATCGTCCTCCACGAGCCAATTCTTTTCCAGTTTCGTGGTCATTTCCAGTTTTCCAGCTTGCGAAACTGATCCGGAATTGGGAGTTACAACCAACTTGGGTCCATCCTTCTTGGGTTCCCATTGCCAGCTGTAGTCACCAGCAAACCCATCGCCCGTGGGCGGTGGGACCACAAAGCCAGCTACACCGACTCGAGGGAGATATCTCCTGTGCGACGTGGGTATCGACTTCAGCAAGCGGGCTGGTACCGGAGGACGATGCTCCAATGGGCCAACCTTGGTGTCGTTTCGCGAAAATTTCTCTGATTTGATGTACGACAAGCCTGCTGAGGGATGAGTGGTGGGTGGCCCAGACTCTCTGTAGGAGTCTGCTGAAATTGTGTCGCGACCATATGACCAAGGATCTGCGGACCCGGGAGACGGGTTCGGCGCGTCCGCAAGATCGAAAAAGCTGGCTATAAGGGGACCGAATTTGCCAGGCTCTGATCGCAGATGGCGAAGATATTCCGTGACTTCCTCCTCGGTGGCATCTTTTGATGGGAGTTCAGCAGTATCAGTCTCCCCCTGCTCCAGAGCTTCTGCTCGATGCTTTTGCAGCCGCTCGTTGATTAAGTGTTGTTTCACATACGCTCTGAACTCGATCCTCTGTTCTCTTGTGATCTTGTTCAGGAAGCTTTCAAACTCCATACCATTCATTCCTGCCAAGTACGGGCCTGCGTAGCGCCATCTTCGTTTGGTCGACGTAAAGGGTGCTTGTGCAGGAGATGTCAGGGCAGCAGGCTTCTCGAACCCAGCTTCTGCCGTTCGAGTCCTGGCAACTTCATCCAACGTATCTTTGAGATGTTTTGGTAGCCGTGCAACACGCTCCAATGGAGATTTCTCCAGCCATGAAGTCGTGGCTTTCTCTACTAATGTGGATGATTCAACATCGGTGGTATGATCAACTTCTGGATGGAATGCGCTTGTGCGCTGCGAGTCTGGTACGTCCCTCGCTGTTGGCAGAGTGACCCTGAGTTGCAATTCTTGGAATTTCCGTAGAGTCAAGACATGATCAGCAGCGGATTCGAAGTCGGCGATATGCTCTTGAGTATCGATTCCCCCTTGTATCCGAATGACTGGTGTGCCAGATTTTGTTGTGGTTTTGATCGGCAATGCTCGCTTTAGACCCCAGTCGCCTTGATTTAACGAGGAAGTAGGAGTCTCGATTGCTGGTCGAATGGGATATGGAGTGGTAGCTGTGTCTGAGTATGCAGGAGGATCGGCCGAAGGAGGTGTAGGTGGAAGCGATAACTGTGGTGGAAGAGCGAAGAGTTTCGAGCTGCGCAGCAAGCTCGCTGCTGGCGACAGACGTGCAGCCGTCATTGCTGCAGAAAGTCTGACCAGCTTGCGAGGGACTGGCTTCGATTCCAATAACCGGACTGCACTGTTGATGAACGAGATCCAAGACAGAAGACTCGGACTACGGAAATATTTGCCAAGATTTACGTGCATGCGGCGCCCCTGCTCCGCACCAGAGCTCGTTATGCAGCGGATCAAATGGTCAGTTTCGGAGCTCCCTTTTCAACGACATCTCTTTTGACTTCTGTCTGTAACATCATCGATAAAACAGTCCCGAAGTGACTGTAATCCAGCGGATGGATGAGATGGGTCTTGCCTCGACAGGCCTGGATCTCTGTGCCCTGACTCGTCCCGGGGGGAGGCGCTGTAAACAGTCATGTCCTGTGTCCCGCTGCGGCTACAAAAATGAAGGGTTTCCTGCTAAAGAAAAATTCGCTCGGTCTTTGACTTCTGGAGGACGGCATGCCGCCGCCACGAATCTGAAAGGCTGTTGAGGGAGGAACACCAATCAATCCCTCTCAAATCGGCCACCCTTATCAGCAGTCCCGGCCAGGCAGCACACAACGCCTGAAGCCACCCAGGTATATCGAACAAACCGACAACTGCTTCCGCTCACCTTTGCGCGTGTCTCTAACCGTACTGTGGACCACAATCCGGGGCCAAGTTCAGGGAAAGCCTCACTAGCCCACCCGCAGAGACGAATGACACAACGATGATGGACTCATTATACCGGAAGGTCTTGTCAGATACGAGTACGTAAGTATCCCGGTCTTGCATGTGCCACTTACTCTTGCTGATAAGTTGCGGACATGGGAAGAGGTCGTCAGGGTAGGGATATTACACTTACTCCTCTCTTGGTGTGAGAGACTGGACACTCAGTTCTACTCTATTTATCCGCACATGGTCTCTCAGAGGGCTCGTTGTATCGGAATTATCTCACATATTGAGAGAAGTATTATTCGCAAGGTTGTTCAGAGCGATATGCTCGTCTCATACATCCTCTCGTTTTTTCTGACACCGACTATCAACCCGATAGTTGCGTTACCCCGTCCTCCGGGTCCAACTAATGTTCATATCACTCAATTTGCTTTGACAGACGAGTCCCGGACGGACCCATTTGCACCATGTTGTGACAAGCCTCGACAGCTGATGGTGTCCCTATTCCAACCTGCCAATTGTACACAAACTATCGACACTCCATACATGCCGCCTGCCACCGCAGCCTTCTACGATGCCCAACTAGCAGTGTTTGGGATTCCTAATGGAACTTTCGAGGCATTCCACCTTCAAACTTGCCCGAACTCTCCAGCCAATACGGATTTTCCCCTCCTACTCTTTTCCACGGGGGCTGGAAACTCTCGCCACCTCTATAATACGATTCTCCAATGGGTAGCGTCCACGGGTTTCAATATTGTCTCGATTGACCATACCTACGATGCAGACATAGTTGAGTTTCCTGACGGCACTGTCGCACTCGGAGCCAATATCTCATTGCCAGCAAACATGTCGACGACAATATCTGTACGTCTGGCAGATGTGTCCTTTGTCCTTGACACGCTATCCAATACGACCTCGACGAAATTGCTTGACCTGCCTGCTCTGCGCACCAAGCAAGTCGGAATGTTCGGCCACTCACTGGGTGGTGCAACAGCAGCGGACGCAATGCTGAATGAGACGAGAATCCGAGGAGGCGTGAACATGGATGGTACTGTCTACGGTGCAGCGGTGAACGAGACTGACAGACAACCCTTTGTGATCTTTGCATCTCAGCAGCACAACCAATCTACCGACGCCACTTGGGCGGCATTTTGGCTGGAGCTAAAGGGTTTCAAACTACAGCTTCAAGTCAACGGCACCGCGCATGGTTCATATGTTGACTATCCTATTCTAGCCAAAGTCGCTGGCCTCAATAGGAAGACTAACCCTGCGATCGAGGCATTGATCGGCAGCATTGATGGCACCACTATACTCCGCATACTTCAACGATATATCAACGCCTTCTTTCAGCAGGTTCTGGAGTTCCGGCAATTGCCCTTGTTGCAGGGGCCGAGCTTGCATTTTCCCGAGGTGCTTTTTCAGAATGCCTCGTATGGCCCGACGGCCGAGCCGGCACTTATGTCGCAGCGAATGGAAGTGTACGTTGACTGATCTTTGGCTTTGCCATGTAGAACAGCTGTCATAGGCAATTATTGTGCTTTTGAGGACGTGGTTTGCTTGTTGCGAAAACAATGAGCTCTCAGATGTCAACGTTGCCACCTTCCAACCACTCCTTGCACTGCCAGTACAACAAATCATGCTTCTCACCACAAGCCTTGCTTCCACCCGGAGCACCATTCTCCCGCCGGTGGCCAGGCATGTCGAGCAACACCTTGACCCCCATCGTCTTCTCTTGACAATAAGCCAAGTATCTGTACCCGCTGGGATACTTTTGCAATACCTCCCCGTCTAGCTTTGGCACCTTGTTCGGATTGACTGGAATGAGTTTGTCCTGATCAAAGGATGGTTAGATCTCTCGTCTTGGTACTACTAAGGAAGGAGAGATCGGACCTTCTCATACCAGTGGCGCACATATCGAGCACGCCACTCGCCATTCTCCATCTTGTTCCAGAAGAAGCAGAACCGGCAATCGCTCTCGGCATCGGCCTCACACCCGTCCAGATCGAATCTCTGGGTGATGGTCGCTTTCATTTTCGTGATGGCTCGCGTAGCCTCGGTGTTGATATCTGTACTGATGCCGTGGCAGCGGTGCATGATGAACGCACCATTGTCCATGCCCTTCGCAGATGCGGCGATGAAATCGAGATGGTGCGTCCTGCCTGTCCATGTCGTGTAGATGTATGCGTCTGGATGAAAGATGGATTTCAAGTTTTCCCATTCACAAGCATCGCTGTCCGACACAGTCAGGGCATTTCAGCATCGCCGTGTGATCTTGTTCCTTACCGATATGCAGGCCACCCTTCAGCTAATTCTCTTAGCTTGTAACGCTCGAGGACCAGGTTTTCTGGACCATTGTTCCGCACTGCTTTGTCAGGCCGTGACCCTACGGGCAAAGAGTGAAGGTCTGGCATCCTGTTTATCTTATTGCTCCTATTGGGTCCGACTAGCTGATTTCTAAAGTCTAGGGAATGCTTGAAACTTATATGACGTTCCGGGGAGCCCTTTTCCCCGCAATAGCCGCTAGCCGCTTTCACAGCCTTGCAGCCTTGTCACCATCAAGTATTGACTGTACCTCACCTCACCACCACACCACCACACCACCTTGCTTTCTGCTTCACTGTCTAACCTTGGCGACTGCTCGAATAATAGTGGTTTATCTGTTTAATGTCTCAAACTTTGCCTAACAACTGCATCAGGTCAAGCTGGGCATGTGGTCGTGGCCTAGTGGCATTGCTGCTTGTGTCGACATACAACACTGGGTTCAATCCTCAGTGTTGACGACTTTCTCAACACACAAAATGCAACAAAACCAAAAAACAACCAAACCAAATCTCAAAGGCCTCAGATGCGAGAGACGGGGGTGGGTACATTTGGGGTTGAGCGCTCATGCGAGGAAGAAAGAGAAGGACTATGAGCAGGAGGGGTCCGCAGCGAGAGGGGAGAAGGTCTCTTAGAGTCCGGGAAACATTTTTTTTTTATGGATTATGCCATGACTTGTTATTTGATGTTGAGATTGAGAAAATATCCGGGGTATTAATGTGGATGTCGTTCACCACCAGTGGTGCACCTTCGGAGATCGATTAATAAGCAAAGCAGCCTTACTCTCGTTTCAAGCCGACCGCCTGACCAGAGTCGTGCCTGAAACCGCCGTTCCTTTCACATACCAACTATTGCCCCTCTCTTCCGCGACGTTCACTCGATGACACTCATTCATCAATGCTCTTCGAGCCGTCCAATACCCGCTCGTGGTGATCACGCCTTTTGATCATCAAGTATAATATCATAGCATCCACAACAGGTTTGCGATTGATGACGTTCGATTTGTACCTCTAGTACGCCGTTAAAACGCAGACTTCGGAGATTCAGCCTTATTGAGGGGCATCAACGCCACCGCAGTGCGTGTGGCTACGTACCGGCAATAGGTCAATCAGTACTGGAATTCTCAACGAAATCCTGCCATACTTCGTTATGCGTCTACTGCATACCACACGCTTGGTATTCCAAGAATTCTTCGATGCTGACATACCCTCCTACATAATACTGTCTCACAGATGGCTTCATGACGAAGTTTCTTACCAGAACTTCATCCTTGGTCGTAAAAAGAGCAGCCAGGGATACGCGAAGATTCTTGGTAGCTGCCGACAAGCATCTCGAAGAGGGAACGGCAAAGACCCTCTATCAACGGAAGAGCCTGAACGTTCTCACGGTTGGCTCTTTGCTGATCATCGGCATTCCACTGAATGGGTTTGGATTGATACCTGTTGCATCGACAAGTCAAGTAGTGCGGAGCTCTCCGAGGCCATCAACTCCATGTACCGCTGGTATAGCAACGCGAAGTGTTGCCATGTTTATCTTCATGATGTCGTGAAGAGCGAGATCCCTGACAATACGATGGCCCAATTTAAGAACAGTGAATGGTTTACACGTGGATGGACCTTACAAGAACTTCTCGCACCAAAGGACGTGATATTCTTTGATAAAAATTGGATGGAACTCGGCGACAAGATAACCCTTTCACGGAAAATATCACGCGCCACATTAATTTCGGACTGGCATCTCTTGTCCTTCAGCCCCTCAACCGTTCGTGTGGCTGAGAAGATGCAGTGGATGGCTAATCGAAAAACAAGTCGAGTCGAAGATGAAGCCTATTGTCTACTAGGCCTATTCGACATCAACATGCCTCTCCTTTATGGAGAAGGTCACAATGCTAGTCGCAGGCTGCAGCAAGAGATACTCCCAACGTCAGATGACGAGTCTATCTTCGCATGGGAACACCCGACGATGATGATCACCTCTGTCTTGTCATCTCACCTAGATCAGTTCGGTTTTAAGTGTGATGAACGTCATGACGGGGAATACTCTGCTGTTGCAGGGGTTTCTCGCCCACCTTATACCATTACAAACAAGGGACTCAAGATAAAAGTCCCCACCGAATTAGCGAAACGAACGCGGTTCCTGCTCCCTCTCAGTTGCCTCCATTTCGATTCACAAGGTCTCGAGTGGCTATACGCGATCGCTTTAGCCCATAGTCCTCGGGACAATTGCTGGCACAGAGTTATGAGAACGGATTCCATCAACACATCCCCCGACCATATCTTCCCTGGTCTCTATAAAGTGCGAACAAGCTCCCTTTGGAAACGCGAAAATCTCAAGGAGAAAGGAAGCGAAAGTATCTACGTGTTCTTATGATCCTACACATCTCACAAAGACCGGGCTGGGTGGCTGTGCGCTGAATGTCAAAAGAAGGATTATAAGAGGCATACTTGCTCCAGTGTTACATTGCCATCGAAATGGTCTACAATTCCATCGAACAATCAAACTCCGCGTCGGGGCTGATGTTGAGCCGACGCCACAACGTCCGTAAAGCGCCTCTCGATACAGCCATCTGATGGATGTACGAGGTGGTACGAAGAGTGTGCAAAAGTCCAAATGTGGCAGTACTTGAATCCTGACTCAGCGGATTCTGGTAAGGGCTCTCTACCATGGACTTTGAGTTTAGTCAACAACAAAGACGACACCGTAGGTCATCAGGCATAGAACAGCATGACTTCCGCAAACACTGCAAGGTGGTATATCGCCAGTGTATATATACATGACCTCGCTCAGATCTCTGTTCTGATTCTCTCACTTGGACATCAGGTCGATCAACAGGAGAGACCCAATTTGATCGGCTAGAAAATCAAACTTATCCATCATCATGTCCAACGACCCTCTAGCAGAAATGCTGAGGCGCAACGCGTCAGTTCCACTCATGCCCCCAAGCACACGAACGATCAAGACTACTGACACAGACACAGCACCCTCGCTGAAACATATCAACCACCACCACCCCTACCAGCAATGGCAGCCGCGAGCAGGGCTTCCGGGACAGGCGTCGTGGTGTTGTCATGCTCCGACCCGCGTCTCAACCCTTATCAGATCTTAGGCCTCGATCATACTCTCAGTATGCGTTCCTCAATCGTGGTCCCCAGGGTGCCTCCATGCTAACGCATAACAGAAGCGACCATGGTACGCAACGCTGGCGGCAGAGCCTTCGACGCTATCCGCACACTAGCGACTCTTCAAACGATAGGCGCACCAGGTACTATTGTGGTGATGCATCATACCGACTGCGGCCTAACCCATTATCACGACCGCGACATAAAAGACGCATTATTTCAGTTCGCCCCTAGCGACGCGCACGACCTCATCGAGACTACCAAGTTCGGGGAAATCACAGAGTAGGAACTCAGACCCGGAGGCTCCAATACATCCAATGCTAATCCGCTGCCTAGTCTCGAAAAGAGTATCAAGGAAGATGTCGCCATACTCAAGGCTTCACCTTTGATAAAGAACAGCACCAGGATCATCGGTTTGTTGTACGACATCACTACGGGTTTATTGAGCGAAGCTAAATAGACGGTATCAACTTCTTCTGCACGGCGTGGGCTCTTCCTCTGGGACCAACGTGGTATTATTTTGCGGATGTATGTAATGTCCAGACGCGCACAAGAATATCATGTGCAGATGTATTTCCTGTCCGCGAACCTGTCTGAAACCGTCTAAAACAACGCCTGCAATGCATTCATTCTTCCACTCTCATTCTTCCACTCTCGTCGGTTCTCCCGTAGTAGCAAAGCCGCCAGCATCGACAGACTCTCATAGTCCTCGCTCACCTCTCGCCATCCTCGCCTATCACCCCGTTTTCGTTCTCACCTGCGGCCGAGACGGGCTTCTTGGCGCCGTTCTTCTTCTCACTGCCATTTGCACTCTCCATATCGGCGTTCACAGCTTTCTCTTTCTTCTCACTCTTCGCCTTCCCTATCCCAAAGGTGCAAACAAAGGTAGCAGCACCAAGTCCAACAACAAGATAAAACGTATGAGCAATAGCCTGATTATACGCCAGCAACACACCATGCCTTGTCGTTTTCTCGCCTTTGGCAGCAAGATCGGCCAGGAAATTGGTGGCACCAGCAGCGATGACATCGCTGGCATCGACGCCCGGAGCATTTTTTGCCAACGCACTCCTCAACATGTTGATAAACGCCGTCTGCGCGAGACCGATGAAAACGGCTCCACCAAAAGTCTGCGTCCATGCTACCAGAGCGGTAATAGTCGGCACCATATCCGGCTTGACCACAGATTGCGCCGCAATGAAAGGTATCTGGATGGCTGCACCCCGTCCAACGCCGTTGATGATCTGGTAGCCGATCCATTTGCCGGTGCTGGTGTGGACGCTGAGCGTACTCATCAAGCCGGCGGACAGCGTCACAAGTGCCGATCCGACAATCGCAAAGGGAGCCATATACCCGATCTTCGATACTCCTACCCCACTGAGCACAGCCATCGCAATCTGTGAGATAAATGTTGGGAGTGTGTAGACGGCGCTCATGGTCGGACTCGCACCCTTGCTGACCTGGAAGTACAAGGGTAAATAATATGCGAAGATCAACAGCCCTCCAAACTGGAAGAACGTGACTGCCATGCTGCTCCACACCACACGCTGGCGTATCACAGGAAGTGGAATCATGGCAGCCTCGCCGTGCAAATACTCCCAGACGAAGAATGCGATGAAGGTGCCGCCAGAACCGCAAAAGAGTCCGATAATCGTCGCCGAAGACCAGGAATGGCTTGATCCGCCCCACTCCAGCGCCAGTAGCAGCATGATGCAAGCTGGGGCGAAGATCAAGAACCCAGTGATGTCGAAATCGTGAATGACATCGGGAAAGGTCCAGGTTCCTTTGCGATTCTTGTACGCCGGCAATTGTATGATCAACATGACCAACAAAGTTATGCCGCCTATGGGGAGATTGATCCAGAAACACCAGCGCCATGAGACATGTTGAGTCAAGGCACCACCGATCAAGGGAGCGATGAGCTGTCCTCCTCCTGCCATGCCGATGAGAATACCCATCAACGTGGGCCGTCGCGATGGCGGTGCCGCCACGGCGATCATTGTCATGGCTCCATTTTGAATCCCGGAGGCTCCCATTCCAGTGACGGCACGGCCAACGACCAGCATCGCACTGGACGTCGAGACAGCACAGATGATAGAGCCAATCTCGAAGACCACGACGAAACAGACGAAAGAGTACCTTAGGGAGAAGTAGGTGTAGATTTTGCCGGTCAGGGGTTGTAGAGTGGCAGCGGAGATCATGTATGCGGCCGGATACCATCCTATGTCGGCGATGGTGTGGAAGTGGTTGGTTATGTAGGGTATGGCGGTAGCGAGGATTGATGCATCGAGGGTCATGACGATGACAACCAACAGGAGCCCACCCATCAGTACCGTCAGGGCTCGGGAGCCCAAGTATTCTGGCTCCTCATCTTGTTTTGTTTGGGATGATCCTGAAGGAGCATTTTCAGTGGCTGGCAAGACTTTGACCGGAGGTTGAGGTTGAATTGTGTCGACGACAGCAGGATTCGTATCATTTCCCATGGTTGAATGCTCGTCCCGGGTACGAAACTTTGCTCAAGAAGTAGTTGGGTCGACAATGCGAACAATGTGAGATAGAGCAAGGCTGTGTTTATATTTCATCAGGGATTCCTCTTTGGGGTTAGGCAGGGGTGGTTTTCACTCCGGCCGGGCTGTAGATTGGACAAGTATTCAATCCGGGTCCGTATGAAGTAGACCTGCTGAGTTTGGAGACCCGCATGGACACTCACACTACGCAGATCTGTGATCAGCAATGTCGCTAATTCCTTGAGATCGCAAATGCACTCTATGAGCGCGTCCATGTCCAAGGGATTGACTCTCTCGGGTGTTGACGACCCCTCTTAGAACGTGACAAACATTCGGGAGGGAGGTTTGTGCATATTCAGTGCAAGCAGATTGTGACTCATATTTTGACTGGCAGATTGAACATCTTGGACTTGTCCATTCCTGTCTAGTCGTCTGAGATGTAATCTTGTAAGTTTTGAAGAGAGATGCAGCTTGGTGGCATTCACGATCATAAAGTTGTCAAAACTGCATACCGGTATTGCCAAAATCTCCAGTAAAGTCTGCCCACAGCCCATCATCGAAGCCTTCGAAGAATCCCTCCAATGCAGGGTCGAAAGGTGGAAGATTACGTACAACACAAGGTTCTGTGGACGCCATACTTTCAGCTTCTGCTTGGATCTTGTTCTCGTACCATTTCAGACATTGACGCAATTTCTCGGCGCTCATGTTGAAACGAGCGGATACGGGACTTGGTACTTGGGATTCACCCTGACATTGTCGGGAAGCGGCTTCCAGGTAAGCAATCAGGCCGGTGCAGGTTGCTGGGAAGCTCGTCTCCGAAGTTCGAACATACTGCAAATCCCAGCCCTCCGCCTCGAGAAATGACAGTTTCGCAATCACAATAATGGCGTGCAAAAGGTGAATCCAGATCATGAATGGTATGTACTGGAGTCGGGTGGCGGGGAATTTCGTGAAACAGTCGATCAGGTTACCGACACGCTTCAAACAAGTGTATAGAGCTCCTGCTCGGGCGAGTGCCGTGTCCACTCCCGAAGACATTATGTGCTCAAGAGAGCTGATTTCGTGACTTAGCACATGCAACTCGAAACGAGCTGTTTACATATGTCAGTAAATCAGGTGTAAGAGGAAATGTAGGGATGGTTCCGGTATCGGGGCTCCCCGGTTGGCAGGGTAAGATCGAGTGTGTGATGTGAAATCGTATGCATGGCTTTAGACTTACTGCTTCCTTCAAGACCAGCTGGCAGGTCTTTTCTGAATCGTTGGAAATCGTCTTGAACACATCTTGAGTAAGTACTGATTGGTACGTTTTCCAAAGGTACGCTCCCGTCGTGGTATCGCCCTACCATTCGATGCAGGCGAACCATTTGAACAGCCTCTATATCGGAAGCATATTCGTCGGCGGCTAGTAGAGCGTTACAACAATCTTCCAAGTGGTGCGTCCATTGCATGGAGTCTACCCTCCTAAAGCAGGCTGCAAGCTCCGCAGTCAGGTAATAGACTCCCAAAAGTGCTCGGCGTTCGTCGGACGTTTTGCATCCATGGTTGACGGATTTGCCGTGTATGAGTTGATTTGTGTCGACCACCATTCCTACAGGAGGCCACGGCCCCGAGTGATTGGGTCGGTTAATGCCTAGGTCAATCGCCAATGCAGAGGCGAGATGAAGCAGGTTCATCCATTGCGGGTTGTAGAAATTATAGCATTGATACCTTGATATGTCGTTAGCAGATGTCCTGGAAGGCCAAGCTCATAAAAGGGGCCAAGTCGTATCTATTGGAGTGGGTACCAGGCTCGGGGTGAGAGGCGTGGATCAGTATTTTGACTCACCATGAAATAAGCACCAAGATTCCTTGCAAGAGATCTAGTGACTTCTCTGCCTTGAGCAACATACTTTCTCCAATGTGCCGAAACAGCTCCTCGCCTAGTTGTCGTTGCACGGGAGGGTCGACATGACAAGCCACAGCTATGCACGTTCTGAAGAGAAAAGGTTTCTCCTCTCGGACAGATGCACTTGATACCTGTGGAGGAATGATCACATAAGGGAAGTATCCGTTCATGTAGGTCCGAAAGTCGCTGAACAGCCTTTCTTCGATGGCGGGTGGCAATCGGGTGCGAAAGTGCGTCGTTTTATCTGCGTCATTGCTGGCACTGTTCCCAGGAGGAGGTCTACATGCACTCTTAGCATGTGAGCTGCTTTGACAAGAGGGCTGGTCTGGATCGTGTATTATCGACACGGGCGGTGTCAGCATAGACTGCTGTGCGTGACTCGATGGCTGGTTGGGTACCTCATCAGCAGGCTTGGTGCTGGTGAGAAGACTGGTAAGGTTGTTAATTCTCTCCTCTAGTTGAGCCACTCGGCTAATGACATGTTAGTTCATATCGTCCCGCGAATGCGACTGCGCGCTAGACCCATCGTACTTTGATTTATTTCGACCCCGGTGGCGAGGGACAGGAGCAGGAGTCGTGCAGACTTTGTCCAAACGATGACATCTGCTCGACCGACATAAGCCCAGTACTTCGTGCGGAGTATGAAGGGGCCTCGCCTACCTTTGGCAAGTGGAACTGTTGGATCCCGGCACTGGAACACATTTTGCCTTGATCTGAACGCAATTTCGACATGCGCGATTTGTTCTCAACCCCAGCGTATCAGTAGGATACGGAGATGCAGCAGTAGGCGTCATTGCTTGGTAAATAGTTGATAAGCAGGAACTAAAACACTGCTCGACGGAGCGGCCTTGACTTAAGGACCTTGCGTTGCTGCCATCTCAAAGTGACGGACCGTATTTTAGACTCCGGGTCCGGAGCTTGAGCGTCTTGAGTTCCGGCAATTGGGTGGTCTTCTTGTCTCATCTGCTACAGTGGACCCTGGCATGAATCTGCCTTTGCGAATATGGCCGGGCGATCCGGAGTCATGCTGCTGAATCCTGACTGTGATTGTATCGGGTAGTAAGAGTGCCTGAAGAGGAAGATGCGAGGATCTATCTGGAAAATGAGTTGGCGAAAGTTGGATTCTCCAAGGCTCTGCTTGCTCTTTGATTGGCTGAGCAACGCTCGCGCCATCGAGCGCATTCAGCCCCATGGCTCTAGAAGACGACGAACACTATATAGCAGTTCCAGCTGTGTCTGTCGGATGAACATGACCGATGGGAAGAATGAAGGGGGTAGCACGCTGAAGACGCGGAAAACAAGATGGAATCGGGATCGTGGCATCATTTGGCAGTAGAGCTGCTGCCACGCCATTTATATTCTATGAGGAAACAGGCGCCTTTGCATAAAGACCACCTAGTCGACTGAACTATGCGCCAACGGCGAGTAACGACTTGACCGTGTCCTTGATGGTCTCTTCCAAGGTGTTGTACTTGATACCCAAAACTTTCTTGCTCCTCGAGTTGTCGTAGCCGAATATGTCTTTCGGCCTGTCATTGTCGAGGTTCTCCGGAAGCTTATCAGCCAAGTCTGGGAAGTTCTTCTTGATGATCTCGGCAATTTCACCGTTCGACATGTATCCAGCCGTGACGAAAAAGCGCTTTCCTGCAGCCTCTGGCACCTCCGCAGCCTTCACATGCGCCAAAGCGACATCACGGACATCTGCCCAAAGGAAAACGCCGGTGGGCGGGAGACCTTCCTCCTTGAACTTTCCTTGGATCATGTTCGCAATTCGCTCGTTTGAAGTATTGATCCCCTCAAGAGAGTTGAGGTAGTGGACAACAGGACCGAGAACCAGGGGCGGGTTGATCGTCGAGAGCTGGAAATTGGGCTTCTCCTTTTCCACAAAGTCCCAAGCGGCTTTTTCGGCGAAGGTCTTGCTGGCTCGATATCCATTTCCGGGGGTTTGAACAGCTTCCTCTTGGGTGATTGGATTCCAATGTTCTTCGGAATAGGTTTCTGGGCTCTTAGATGCGTTGACTATGGAAGCGAAAGACGAAGTGACGACCACGCGCGTGACGGAAGGAGCTGATTTTTTGACCGCCTTTAATATACCGGTTGTGCCGATGATGGCTGGATCAAGCAGATCTTTCTTGACATCGGTCACGTTGAAGTGGAATGGTGATGCGGTGTGAAGGACGGCCTCGAATGGAGGATCTGACTTCACAGCCTCGTCAAAAGCAGTTTCCTGAGCGATGTCCTTGACAATGACATAGCTAAGTTTGCTGGAAGGAGTGCCCGGGTGGTTCTTCAAGATCTTCTCGCCTTTTTCGTCCGAGCGGACAGTAAAAACGACGTCATGGCCGTGCTTGAGAAGAATATCGACGCAATGAGCAGCAATGAAGCCGCTACCGCCTGTGAGAAGGACCTTCATATTTGCTGTACTGTGAGAGTGTCTGGTGATAGCTTGTGGGAGTGTAGTGAGTGATTTTATGCTATGGCTGGATCGAATTCTGGATAACAGCATTGACGCCTGTCTATAGTTTTATATTTTATGTGGACAGATAACGACGGATGTCATCGGTATTTTAGCCGGATAGTTAAGTCTCGGTAGATGTGTGGATGGTTTGCGAATGTGGGATCAACCTGGACCCTTAGCATGATTTCATGATGCCTTTCAACGTCACGATTGTCGAGCAACAGTTGGTGGCGATCTGAGGATTTCGTCCTGCGGAGGACATCACCCACTTCTCTTTCACATCATGACCTGATTTGCTGCTTCATATCTCCTCTCGACGGCCACCAGATGCTTGTTTGCCGGACGGAAAAAGACGTTATGCGGCCTGTTCTTGAGTGATTGTTTGCGGGTCCATGATGGATCATATCGAGGTCGTCAGGACTGAGAGCGATTATGCATAGGTGTTGACCTAGGCCTCGCAGAATACCAGCACGATAGATGGGCACCGTGGGCGTAGGGAATTGTTCCTGTGCTGAGGTGACTGAGGACAGTCTGCGCATGACACCGAGCAACTTGAAAGATATGAATGCGCTCACATCGGTTTTGTTTTTACACTCAAGTCAAAGTGGTGACATGGAGCCAGGGACTGGTTGGTGGCATCTGGGTGTAAAACATAATCGTGAGTAGCCCAACCGACGCCCGGACAAAAGTTAGGCGGTTTAATTTAGGCGCTGGGTGACGCTAAGATAAGGCTGCGTTTTAGGCGCCACCTCTACCCACAATTTACAAGGCTGCGATCTGAACGTTTGAATTTCTCAACCAAGACGTTATCTGAACCATCTCACATTTTACTGCGCCAAAGATGGGGAATGATGGTGGAAGGTGAGTCGCCTGGACTGACCCGCTATCCCTCAAGACTGATCCTCTATAGCATACCCACGCGCCGCGAACTCGTCAAAGAAGCCGCTCGAAACCCTACCTCGTCGGAACTAAAGGACAAACAGAAAGAGCATCTCGCTCATCGCTGGTCAAATTGTCCCATTTCACACAAGCCGCTCGTCAAACCCGTTGTGTCCGACTACTCTGGCGATCTATACAATAAAGATGCTATCATCCAATTTCTGCTGCCAGCCGAAGCAAGTTCGGTAGATAAAGAGGAATACGAAAAGTTCATCCAGGGACGTGTCAAGAGTTTAAAGGATGTTGTGGAAATACAGTTCGAAGTCGAGCATGACGAAAAGACCAGGTCCGACAAATGGATCTGCCCGGTAACATCCAAGGAACTGGGCCCGAATGTCAAAGCGGCCTACCTCGTACCCTGCGGTCATGCATTCTCTCAAGAGGCGATCAAAGAGATGAAGAGTGAGGGCAAATGTGTCCAGTGTGCCACATCCTACGAAGAGCGAGACGTCATCCCGATATTGCCAAGTACTGAACAGGACAAAACCTTTGTGATACAACGTATCGAGACCCTCAAGGCGCTTGGACTGACCCATTCTTTGAAGAAAGCCAGCGGAAGCAAGAAGCGCAAAGCAAATGGTGACAGCAAGATCGAGTCGGCACAGGATGGTGTGATCGAAGGCAAGGAAAAGACCTCGGACAGGAAGACCAAGCCTCCGCCAGCAGACGCAATTCGATCCGGTACATCACAGTCGGGGACAACTGCATCCAAGGCATCGAATGGAATCAAAAATGCGTCAACTGCGAATCTTACTGCCCGGATTCTCGAAGATGAAGAAGCAAGGAAGAAGAGACGCCGAGAAAATGAGAACATCAGCTCTTTGTATACCAAGAAATCCGACGGCAGGAAAGACGGGGATTTCATGACTAGAGGGTTCTCCATTCCAGCCAACGCTCGACATCAGTGATGAGGGACAAGATTTTATGCTTGACCGAAGTTCGGATGATCTTCGACATGCTGTTATGAGAGAGCAGCGACAGAGGTTGTATTCCACAGCTATAGTCCCTAAAGGCAAGATCGTTTGACACAGGGTCTGGATGATTCAGCTTCCTCGGACTCGGTCCGCCATGGATCAACCAAGCGCATATCGAGATGTCTTTGCATTGAGGCAACTTCCCTCGCACCCCAGCCGTTGCTGAACAACGAACTGCTCGTCTCAAAGAGCGCCATCCTCCGGCCAGGCCTCAGATTAAACTGGGGACCTCCTTATAAGCTGCCACGTGGAGGGTGCTGGTGGTGTTCGTGAACGAACTGTTTTTCCACGCGGAGGACGCCGACTTGATGCAAAGTTCATCAAACGTGGCATCGACAGGTAGCGGCACGAAGTATGGTCAAGGGCCCGGTCAGTTCATCCATCAAGTGATCCAGACCAACTCTCCTCCACGGCACTCATTGGCACTCATTGTTGGGAACGCACCTTTGACATCGGCACTACTGGAGGAGGTCCGTCCTTCGGCGGTCAGAACCGTGAAGACAGTATCAGGGTGGACGTCGAGCGCCCTCAGGGAGGTCAGGATTCGATCTTCAAGTTGCCACCAAATGAGTCGAGCGATTCGGGTCGATTCGATTGAGACGATTCCTCATGAGCACTTGTTCATAGTTCGTGGAGAAGCCACAAAACTTCACAATGTCGATGTTCCTTCTGATCTCGAAAATGGCATGCGTATATCTGTATGCGTCTGGGAGCATCATGATGGCCGCTTGCTTTGTCGGCTTCGCACGGGAGCATCAACGTCCCATACGCTTTTGGGACTCGAATCTGGCAGGGTTCTGTGGGAACAACTCAAAACACTACATGACAAACGCTTGTAAGAGAACTACTTAGCATGAAAGTTGGAGCCCCGGCACCCGCCTCCATTCGAACAGCAGACCTAAGGTCATGGCTTCGCTGCGCGACGGCATGCCACCTCAGCGGCTGGGCCGAGGGTTGGGTGGTGGATCCCACGTTGACGCTAGTCTTGCTTGGGTCTTCGGCCCTCGGCCTGGTACTGTACATGGGTGCCAGGGGGTTTCGAGCCTCTAGCGATTCAATCTTTGTGTCTAGGATCGAACCCACCTCCATGTTGCGGTCTTGTGCGCTACAGCGACAGGCCTGAGGTCACGGACACACAATCGTCGTCGATGCCACTCACAACATGCTACTCAAATCGACGTATCCGCCGCTGGACATCCCGGAGACCAACATATTATCCTACATCTTTCCGCCAGGCCAGACGCCTTCTGACAAGCCAATATGGATAGATGTGAAGAACCCGGCCCCCAGTCTCTCACCCCGTCAGGCGCTGGTATGGATCAAACGACTTGGGTCGTTGCTTGATTACCTGAGCATTCAAAAGGGTGAAGCAGTCATGATCCTCACTCCTAATCACATCTTCGTACCCGTTGCATATCTCGGCATCACAGGTGCGGGCAGAGTGTTCAGTGGCGCCAACCCGGTCTACACAGCGACGGAAGTCGAATACCAGATCAGAAACACCGGTACCCGTCTCATCCTCGCGCACCCTTCGCTGGCACAGACAGCGGTAGAGGCTGGAAGGCGTGCAGGAATCCAAAAGGATCGGATATATCTCTTTTCCGATCACGAATGCGAGTCTTTCGGTGGATTGATCGACTGGCGAACCGCATCAGTCGACCCTGACTTTACGTGGGATCCTATGGGCTCAGCATCCAAAACCGCTCTAGCTACCATTAACTACTCCTCGGGCACTACTGGCCTACCCAAAGGTGTCTGCGTATCCCATTTCAATATCGTGGCGAACTCGGAACAAACCATATTCATGAGGAATCTCGAAACCTCGCAACAAGATGAGCGATGGCTCGGGTTTCTACCACTATACCATGCATATGGTAAGTCTTAAAACGTCTTCCGGACTCTGCCCCAATATGAAACTAAATATGACTGAACTTTCAAAGGTCAACTTTACGCATGCGTTATGGCGCCAAAGCTTCTCATACCCATTTACGTTATGCAAAAATTTCAGTATGAAGACTTCTTGCAGTCTATCCAGCATTTTAGGATCACGCATCTTCAGATTGCGCCGCCTATCCTCGTCATGCTAGACAAGCGACCCGAGACGTCACGATATGATCTGAGCAGCATCAATAATATTCTTTGTGGAGCAGCACCACTTTCGAAGCAATTGCAAACGTCGATATCTCGGATATACAATGTCGTCATCATTCAGGGCTGGGGCATGACAGAGGTTACTTGTGGAGCTATCCATGTGCCCGGTGGGCTTAAAGACGATTCCGGGAGTGTCGGGCTATTACACCCCAATTGCGAATGTAAGCTCGTCGATGACGTCGGCAATCTTGTCGGTCCAGGTCAGCCAGGGGAGATCTTGATCCGAGGTCCTCAGGTTTGTTTGGGATACTGGAAGAATGAGATGGCCACCAAGGAAGCTATTGACAGAGAGGGATGGTTGAAAACAGGGGATATTGCGATTGTCAAGGACAATTGGTTTTGGATCGTCGATCGAAAGAAGGAACTGATCAAAGTCAATGCGCTACAGGTCGCTCCGGCCGAGCTCGAAGCGATACTACTGCAGAACGACCATGTCGCTGATGCCGCGGTTGTGGGCATCATGTTAGGAGGGGAAGAATGGCCGCGCGCATATATTGCTCTCAAAGAGGATAGCAAAGGTGAAATCATGCCCGAGGAGCTGCAGCAGTGGATCAAGGAGCGTGTCGCGAAGCACAAACAGTTGGTTGGAGGTGTCCAATTCGTGGACGAAGTCCCCAAGCTGGCCAGTGGGAAGATTCAGCGCAAGGTTCTTCGGGAATGGGCTAAAAGAGACGCCAAAGAAATCGAAGGTGGTCTTGATGCTAAACTGTAGAATCTAATGTGCACAGATAAGAGCGAGTGCGTCCCACCTTCACAATCCTGTTCAAGAGTCACGGCATTGTTTGGCCCTGCAATGTATCGGACAACGGGGGACGATCAAAATAAGCTGAGGCAGGATAATGGGGACTTTGTGCGTGTCCGGGCCAGACTCTGTGCCAAAGAATGATTTGGCTACAAGGGCGAGCAGCTATGTGCCCTTCCAATAAGTCCCAGCCATTGCAGCTGTCATTGACCCTCTTCTCTGGAAACCCCTTTTCCACGGCACGGCTGATGAAAACGCGTAAGTCAGAGTATGCAGCGTCAGCACAGTCAGTGCCAGTGCCGTGGACCAAGCCGCAACCGCAACCGAACTGGGCCGAACCCAGCCCACAATCGCGACTCACCATCCCCACGGGACACCACATCGGTTGCAAGCCTACTCTCCCACAAATTGCAAAGCCAAATTTGTAGATCGAAGGATCATGGTATGCTTGACCTTAAGTGCCGACCACAAACCTGTACCATGGCAGGCATCGTACTGCGTATCAGAATCTCAACGCAAACCCCTTCGAGGGCGTACGATGTCCGTTATCGTCCTGCTCTCCAGTCATGTAGAATGTATTTCTCGGTGTAGCCGGCCCGTTGCACATGAAGAGAGTGGAGGAAAATCACGAGGAAGAAGAGAAGAAGGCACCTAGTTCTGCTCATATAGTTCTGTCATCCGAATTACTCATACCAAGTGCCACCAGGCTACTTGAAGTTCAACTTAGTCACGAAACTTGACTCGTCGTAGACAACATTCTCAAAACGTCGCCTGCAGCCACTAATTCTCCACCAGGTACAGAGGGGGGACAACGTCTGACTTTTTTTGGCAAATGTGTCCCAATCACGCGCTGCCATCACAAAGCAACGGCGACTCTATTTGTCTGATACTTCCTGATACTCGGGATGAAGCAGCTGGTAATAATGGCCAGAACACCAAAGGGGATACTGGTGATCCAAACCCATTTCAAGGACTCGGCATATGCCCACCTTGTCCCCAGCTCGGCCCCGGCCAGGACCTTTGTTGAAAAGCCAGGCGCCTGGGTAATATTCGCTGGAGCAGTCAGAAACGTCGTTATGAACTCCGTGGCATCCGCCGCCGGCAATCCTGCTTCGATGGCGTACTTGGCAACTTGCTCGGGTAATTGCTTCGTAAGTTTATTGACGAATATGTTGTAGTAAATTGTGAAACCAATGGACCCGCCAACGGTGCGGATGGATAGTGACAGTGCTGCGGTGGTCGCGAGCAAGGCATCCGGGACGACGATCAAAGCCACAGTGGCTGCGGGGACTAGCAGACCACCAACTCCGAAACTAGCTATCGTACCGAGAGCAACGGCAAGCTTGGGGGTCTCAGGTGTGGTAGCGGCCAGTGCGCCAGTGAAAGCAGCTGGGTTCCATGTCAGGTACTGAACAGGGCTTTCTAAAGAGTTCGTTGCAGGGCTGACTTACTCATCAATACGGAAGCAATTAAGAGGATATATCTTGCTTCCAACTTCGTCGACAGCATGGCATTCCAAAAGACGGCACCTACGGTTGTTGAGATGCCGTAGCCCAGGCCTTTCAAGCCGACCTGCACCGGATCCGTACTCCAAACGGTCGAAAATGCGAGGGGAAAGAAATTGATCAGGGAGTAGAAGTCGAATCCGGCGATGCAGGCGACGAGGAAGGCAAGTGCCACGATCCGCTGTCCTTGATACAACTCGCGAGGGATCATAGGGTGCGGAGCAAATTTGCCCTCCCAGACCACCCAGGCGACGATGAGGAGGATGCCAATGATCAGCTGCGACAGCACGTAGCCGCTCTTCCATGGATGCGTGTAACCGCCAGATTGCAGCGCGACTAGGCTATATTGATCAGTGACATGAACTCGGCAATTAGTGCAGGGAAAAACTCACAAAAGCGTGATGCCAACGATGGACAATATAGCTCCAAGGTAGTCAATGCGTGCAAGGATCTGCCTTCTTGACATTCCTTCGAGGCGAGCGTGGGATTTTGGAAAGTATGTGGTCGCGAGACCGACGAAGACGATGCCATTCCATATCCTTCGCCTTGTTAGTCCCTTTCCCCGACACCACCGGCAAAAAGACTCACAGTGCAATCCACTGTGTCCATCGCCATGTCACATATGTCGCAAGGAGCTGGCTGAGGGGTTGTTAGTACGCCATGTTGACCAGCCAAGGTTCAACGGAATCTCTTACCTGTACATCACATAAGGGGTGAAGGGCAGGAGGGATGCAGTCATGAGAGCTAATGCGATTCCACGTTGTCGCACAGGCACAATATCCGACAACCTGGTTTGGTTAGCGATCCAGATGGTCAAGACGTGATGCGAGATTGCTCACCCAGCTAGAGCGGTCAACTCGCAGATGCCTGCACCTGCACCAGCAAGAGTCATGCCAGTCACGGCCTGTCCGAAAGAATGCGCACTCCCGATCAAAGCAATGCCAACCATGATCACAATCGAGCCGGCCAGGGTGATTTCGCGGCGACCAAGCAGATCCTGCAAATAACCAACAAAGGGTGAAACCGCGGTGATCGCCAAGGTGTTCGACACGGGGAGCCAGCTTCCCACTTTCGCGGCACCCAAATCGGCTTCCATAAAAGACAGGCACCCTCCCACGAAGTAAAGCATAATCTGCGAGCCTGCGTCCGATAAGTAGGACGATCAAATGCGTGGAGGGTCATGGTTCACCTGCGTATAACATGGCCAACGAGACGGCGGCCACGGAATGACGGACAGTCCAGTAAACTTTGCCATCCGAGTCGTCGCCCTTGTAGGCGAATTCGTTGTGGACATGGACGTTGTCCGCAGCATCCTTCTCCTTAAGTTCAAAATGCTCGGTACCTGATTCTTTAGATGCTCGAGGCTGCTCTGAGGCAGGTACGGGGGTATCTTGGGCCATGATGATGCTTTGTGAATGGGATGTAGGCCGCCGGACCACAGAGGAAGGAGGGTTGGCAAGAAAAGAAACACCTGGAGTCGCGGAGAAGCTGGAGACCTGGAGAGGCGGGGAGTCTTTCATTGGGAATCGTCTAAATAAGAACTTCCCAGCCAAGCAACAACTGCGAGTACTGAAGTGTAGATCATGTCAGGTGTGGTCATGAAGGTTCTGCGTGGTCGGCACGTTTCGGTTGTTTTCGGCACCCCAGTTCGGATGATTGCTTATTTGCTGCAAGCCTTCCATGCTCCATTGCATCCCTGGCTGTGTGGGCCTGGAGAGCGGGCTTTCTACTTATTGACCAGTGAAAGTGAAGTTGATAGGGCGCAGGGTTCGTCTTCTATTGCCGTGGGCGGCACTAAGAATCGGATCCGATCAGGGCCAGGAAGGGTACGCTTGGAGCATATCCTGTAGTCTTTCGATACCTGAGAATGGTCCATCTGTCATGAAATCCTCAAAAGAAAAGTCGTCCGAATTGATACCAGTCTCGGCAGAAGGGTCATCCGTGAGTGTCATGGGAAGCTCCGGATTGCCTGTTGGAATTGCAGCTGTAGCTGTAGAGTCTATGGGTGCCGAGGGTGAGGCCGTCCAGAGAGACTCACCGACGGGTGCTTGAATGGGAAAATTTGAAGCTCCATCCTGGGACTGGTGACTTCCCATCGTGCTATCGGTCGTTCGATCAGCGGTGGAGTCGCGCATTGGACCCGAGCCAGTCAGTCTGTCAACTTCGACCGGTGAAGAAGGAAGATTCAGTGGAGAATCTTCTTTCGTGGGGAAACGACCACGGGACAGAAAGAAATCCAGCGTCTGGCTCATCTGAACGTACTTTCGCGGGTCAGAGATGACCATGTTAATTCCACTCCTGGCCCTTGCAGGAGGCGTCTTGCAGAGTCTGGTCAAGTCTTCGCGCCCTGTGGGGCGTTGTTCAGTTATTGATCTTGCTATCGAAGGAGAAGTAGCGTTTTCCAGATTCATATCAGTTGTCAGCTTTGACATGTTGTCAAGAGCCCTATCTGTGCCTTCATATCTCAATTGCAGCACTCTCAAGAAGTCTTGGTATATGTTGGTACTTGCGCTATGACTGACCAGTTGTGTGGGGGGACGGCTGCTCAAATCCATGTTGTGGCAGATAGATGGTAATGCGAGAAACGCCACCCTATCACAAGGGTCAGTGCGAACTACCTTGGAACACATGGATAACGTACATGCTGATGGGAGAGTAAATCGTCATGTCGGCATCGATAATGGCACGCAAACATAGTGCAATACCACGCAGGGCAGCCTGAAGTTCGTTCTTGGTTTGAAGCCGTTCGAAGCTATAATCCGTGGGATCATTTATGGTGAGCATGACTCGATAGTTACACAGCGCAGCTTGTGTGGAACTGGATCGCGGGTCAGTATTGGTAATGCCCATACTTCACGAGGCAATGGGTCTCACTGAAAATAAATGGTGAGCAGATTGGTGAATAAGACTGGAATGTTGAGGGGTTTGTCATCTTGGTCATTTGCCATCACTTTGCTTGACATTGTATCATGCCAGTCGTTTAACTCGTCCGTATACGTGTAAATGCGCTTCAGGAGGTCAACACGATGTCCAGCAGCATGTACCCCATCAGCAGGATACAAGAGTTGGAGAATACTGGTGAGTACAACGCAAAGCTTGCATAGCGATGACAGGGATCGCGATAGTTTCGCCTTCACCGAAGCGTTGCATATCCATGAGCGGCTAGTCTCGTGGTTCAAGTCCTCTTCCGTCAGCAGAGGCCATATCTTCTCGAAGGATGCTGAAATGATTAAGATGGATCTGCGAAGTCCCAACGCCATAGTCCTGTCCCGGATAATGCAGCACCACCAGAGTCGTTTTAGCTGATTATGTCTCGCGGAGTTTCTAGCTGTGTGTGTCGCATACCGGTCCGCGCCCTCGGCTCTGGCAAGGTGGATCGCTATTCCAAGCCAATAGCTGTTGACCTGCGGCTCGTTGAGCGGTACGTGGTATGTCATAAGCAAAGCTCCTTGAGCCTTGGCCAGGTTGCCCCCCTCGATGTTGAAGTCATACAAAGCCTGGATTAAGCATGAGCTCTGCCAGCAGACCGAAAGTAGCTACATCAACTAACCTTGGCCTGGCGGTAGTAGGAAGTACGTGCCATGCGCACACTACTGAATCCTAGGCCTTGAATCGTGGATGATGATACGAACTGGCAATCGAATCAGCACCTACACCGAAAGTAAGACCACCACGTGTTGAGGTGATATAGTAGACCAGGATCTGGGGGATCAGGCAGGAACTCACACTGCATGCCACCAAGAGCATTGCTTGAAAGACGAATAATGACATGCGGGATGCGCTGCGGGCACCCGGTTGAGAGCTGAGATATGATTCCCAGAACTTTCCTTCATCGATCAGTGGTAAATGTGGATGCACATAAAGAAAGTATGCTCGAACAAGCTCATCAAGATGGATCCGTTGCGGCATCCGGAGGCAGCCAATATGGTCGAGATACTGAAAATCCTCAGGTGGTATGCTCGAGATGAAGTCGGTTTCCAAGAAGGGGTAGCATACAGACATCACGTGGTCTCTCGATCTGGGCTGAGTTGGTCTTCCCATGTCTGCCACTGCTTGCATTCCGCCGCCAGAACATCGTGGAGAAGTGGTCGACGCAGAAGAAGTCGTTTGTCCAGCTCCCAACTCCGCAAGTCGCGAAGTGTCCACGTGTGCATCACTAGCTGCTGAGAGGCCAACCGTTGTTGAGACTGCCAGGTTCATGGTACTTGGACTCGTTTCGGCCAACTGATTTTGTTGCTGTAGCTGCCATCTCTCCCCTCCTTCGCCATCGTACTGCGATAGATGACCGAGATCGGTAGCTGAGGTTCCGCGAGGGTGACTCAGCTCGTGCTCTGCATATGACGCGCTTTGCCGAGTGTCCGCGCTCTGCAGGGCAAAGTCATTTTGGGGCAGAGGCTGACCATTAAGTGGCAATGTGTGCACGGACGAGTCGGTGAGCAACGGACTGTAGCGGCGTTAATATGCTGGAGTGATTTTCGGGATACTGGAAGGCCTGACATACTGCTTTCTCGATCTCTTTTGGATCACGCAGGGCTGTGCGTCGATTCTGCAATTTGTACATGGCATTCCATGCTGCGTGACGTCGCAGCGTACCTTGCGAATGCGGCAGCGCAGACAAGCCCTTGAGCCACGCTTCCGTCCCCGAGCAGCAGAGGTGATATCCAGGGCGCTCCAGCCGGATTCGCCTGAGGTGGCGTCTTGAGTCGATGTCATCGTCAACCGTGGCGCTTTGTACACCAAGGTTTGTGGCCGAGTTTTGGCACGTCATCCCAATGCTGGCTGTGGCATCAACAGTTCGAGGAGTCTGGCGTGCCGCGCCTTGCCAGTAGCGAGAGAAGTGAACTCAAACATCTGCATAGGGGGAGGGACAAGTTCGCGTGCCAAGTGACTTTCGGGCAAGAACCTCAATCCAACTGGTGGTGTGAGACGAATTTAGGACAGTATGAAGCCAGTGCCAGCTGGCACAAGGTTCCTCGGCACCGAGGGACCTATAATGTCCCCGTGTGTACCCCCAATATAAGTGTCCTTAGGCTGTTTGTTAGTAAGGTTCAACCCCGCACCCCAAGCATCAGGCGACTACTACACACTAATCGTAACAATGGGGTGATAAAGCGTCTGACCTTATTTTGGCTTCACGCGGAATGGATGCTAGTATGGAAGGGACTCGTCAATGTCCAGTCTTCAGAATCAAGAATGGAAACTGACTGAAGGCCATCCGGGAAACCTCTGTCGGCATTCCCCCACATCACGAATTTGGAACAAACTGAATCATCGTTCGCTACGCTTTAAGAGACTTTAAAGGTCGACATCTCGAAAGATGGTCCTCCCCAGGTCATCCTGGGGAAAGTGCGGATGCGGTTCCTCACGCCAACTGGAACCGAAAAATGCCGAAAAATGCCGGCGTCCAGCAAACGTGGGGCCTCCTCCCTTGCTAGTCTCATACTCTCAGCAGGTTTAGGAAGTCTGATGGCTTTCCCTGCAGCAGCTCCGTTGCAAGAAAAAATTATGATAGGACCAAAGCCAGACACATTGAGAAGCCAAATGCGCGTCGAGACCGATCACCGACTCCCTGATGCCCAGGTTGCCTTCTCGGGTATCAGTGCAAGTGCACTTGCACAGAGATGGAGAAGCCGTGGTCTAGGCGATTTGTCAGTGTGGTCAGCTTCCCAAGATCTTGATGCTACTGGCAGCTACTTAGCCTCCATGTGCCAATTCCATGACCAGAGAGGTGATATATGTGTCGGCTGACTATCCGCAAGTCCTTCTTGGCGTGCAAGAAGTAAACCTGGAGGGCCTAGACAGGCCGGCTTGTCTCCTTTTCGCAACTACGAGAGCGGAGTTTGGCTTCTCCTTCTCGTCGTTGTAGTCGTCGTCATCGCCGATATCCCTCCAGTATTTGGGCCGGTGCCGCGTCCTTTCTGCTCGCGCTAAGCCCTACCCAGGGAGGTCGCACTTGGCTATAGCGACGAACAGCTCCCTCCGGGAGACGGTCAGGTAGCATGCCTCGGATACAACGCGCTCGAATTGCCTGCCTTACGTGCCGAGCACGAAAGGTCCGATGCGATGCTTCGCAGAACGGTGTCCCTTGCACCAACTGTAGATTGGATCACAAAAATTGTACCCTCAAGACCAGAGCGAGGAAAATGTGAGTACGTCCGATGGACGATTCTTCGAAGCGTGACTGATGTACGGTACCTGATACAGAGATGCCGATCAACAGACAGTGGACCTATCTAGTTGCAGTGTACATCCCAGATCCGAACAACCACGCAAAGATTCTTACTCCTCCAGCCTCGAGCTGCCTGATTATAAGGTCCCCGAGGAACCTCGAGGCACTGTACTCCTGGAGGGGGAATCCACTCCAATCATCTCGCGGATTGTCGGGTCATTCGATCCTGCAAAGACACATCACGCGTCCTCGAGTTCAAGTGTCTACCAAGCATCTTGTGGGACGGAAGTCATCTACTCGTATTACCCATTCATCTCGGCAGATGCGATTCATCAAATCCTGTTGGAAGATTTGCACTACTTGGAAAGACTGGGGTGTTACCGACTACCGTCAAGACCTTCGCTGGACGAGTTCGTCAAGGCATACTTTCGTTATGTCCATCCACATCAACCCATCTTGGATGAAGGCGATTTCTGGCGAGCCTACACAAGGCCTTTAGCGTCATCTAGAAAGACCTTCTCCATCTTTGTCTTCCAAGCAATGCTTTTTGCTGCATGCACTGTAAGTACGTTTCAGATCGTCCTTGGCAACCTCTGCTAATGTCACAGTTTGTTCCGTTCTCAACGATCGATCGACTTGGCTTCAGCAGTTTCCAAACTGCCCGTGCAACATTTTACCGTCGTGCCAAGGTAAGTAGAATCATACAAACCGTTTGGGCATGACTCATATGTCCTTGCAGGCCCTGTTCCATATAGATTCGAACAGAGATACCCTATCTAGTGCTCAGGGCGCCCTTCTGCTTACCTACTATGTCTCTGCCTCTGATGCAAAAGTGAACAGTCACTGGCTGAGCAATGCCATCTGTCTAGCCAAACTAGCTGATGCTCATCAAAGTGAAGGCCTTAAAACGACTTCCATCGAACGCCGGACTCAATTAAAGCGGCTCTGGTGTTGCTGCCTGCTTCGAGACAGAATCCTGGCACTCGGACTAAGCAGACCCATGCAGATTGACGGGGATGAGGATGTCCTCTTTGGTGTCGAAGACAGACTTCTTCACGCAACAACAAAGGATTCGATGGTGTATGAATCCAGCACGATATCAAATCTGATGAAGTCCTTCACTTCGCTTTGTGATCTGGCCGCCTCGCTGAGGCAAACCCTCAAAATCCTGCCACTGCATTGCACAGGACCTATATCTGCGGAGGTGGAGACAACTCTAAGTAGAGTACAGGCATGTTCAGAACAGCTCGATCACTGGTTCACAGAAGCGAAAGCCAGCTGCCATATGGATGGCCTTGCCGACGATGCTGTCACGTTGCACAACAACGTCATCTACGTCTACTACCAGTAAGCCGTTTGTATCAGATCTCGGCATCAAGCTAAGCTCCCATTCTAGCTCGGCCAAAATAGGACTATGGAACCACGCAAATTATGTTTCGAGCACACACGGCTGCGCAGTACATGTGAAGTTCTCTCATGGCCATAGGGAAGTGGAAGCTGCCATACACGGCATCGACGCGAATCTGCAGCAGATCGCGGAACATAATCTGCTACAATTCATGCCTGTTACCATGTAAGTGTTGAGTCGCGCTAAAGGTGATGTGCTGGCTGACGGATCCTAGTGTTGCATACATCGCCATGCCCCTGGTCTGGCATATTTCGAATGTGAAGCTGAACCGGCAGGGGCATTCAGCCAGTTCCCGCAAACGTTTGAGCGTCTATTTGACCGCCCTCAACATCCTCAAAGAACGATACGAGGGAGTCGATCGAGTCCTGAGCCATATCCGTCAAGTGGTCACCTACCTCGATACACGAGACGACACGCTCTTCTCGCAGTCATCGCACGATCGCGGCCTCGGCGAATCGGTTCCCACCAGCATGGACGGAGCCAATATACTCACATGCATGCCTCAATTCTTCCTCCGAATCATGGTCATTGTGCAGCTGGCCTTGGCACAGGGGCAGTACCCTGAAGAAAACGAGCTGCCAACATCACTAGGCTCTCCCACGGGAAACCCCACCCACAGCATGTGTACATGCGTTTCGGATGATTGGAGCCTACCGGATTTGGGAGACGCCTTCGAGGCCATCACAGACTCCACGCCCCTTGGCGGTACACCTAGGTCAGACCAAGCAGAAAACATGTGTTTTGATGGTGATGCTGCCGAGAAGACTAACGCTCTGGCAAGTACGATTGAATTCGACGACTTCTTTAATCTGTCCTACGACGCGCATTGTAGGAACACAGACAGTATTGGTTAGATCTGCCACCAGTAATGCAGAAGGACTGGATCCGGCAGCAAACATGCCAGGCCGGAGAAGATAGCCGCTTAGTATTGTTAGGATCGCATGTGCTCTTCCGACCTGCACAGAGATTGCCTGTCCTTACTGTCTCCTTTCTGACTTCTCGATAAAAGCAATGCATGAAAGTTTGCAGCCCAACCGTCACATCATGGAAAGCTTCAGCCTGCTGGGGTTGGTATTCATGTCCCGCCCAACACCCTACTGTTGGGTTGGAACATACACACTCATCTCTAGACCTTTATTGTAAGGCAGTGTCAAGTTGATAAAGCCACTACCAGGCGCCCTCATGTGTGCGAGAAGATCTCTATATCCCTTAGCAGCTCCGATGGTGTTGTCGACGATCACCACAGCGCCGTACCGAAGTCTTGGCTGGACCAGTTGCAGCGCCGGGAGAGCCATCGGTGTCCAAACTTGATGAATGCCTGTCAGCCCAACACAACCCAAGACTATTCGGCCTACTTACTATCAAGTAACAGAAGATCTATCTGGGGGAGATTCGTCTTGAGAGTTTCCCTTAGGTCGCCGACTCGGAGATCAATGTGTCGAGAGACCTCGTCCCCTGCTTCGGCCCAGTATGCACGAGCCTGTTCGGCTTTCGAGGGCTCATGTTCCGTGCCAATGACCACTCCTGGTCCACCCGTAGCATGTACGTTGCGTGTGACGGCAAGCCCCAAGTACATTGTGCTCACGCCGAAAGAGGTGCCGGCTTCGACGATGTTCTTGGCGTTGGTGGCCCGGCAGAGCTGGTAGACTGCATGACATTTGTCTTGGTCGAGGGCAATGAATTTGTCCTCGACGGCGCTGCGGAATGTGTCGGGAGTGTACGCAGAGAAGTCAAAGGTTGATTCTTGGTGCTCGGATTGTCTGTGTAGACGGTCCAGGAGGGCTAGGACGTGAGTAGAGGCTTCGACTGGGTTCGGGAGTTCAGGGGCCATGGCACCGAGCTGCTAGGATTATTCTTTCCACAAGGGTACGGGTACTTCAAAATCACTCATATCACATTGAATAGCATGCAGACAGACCATATCCTTTGTAGAGAGACAACGTTTGTCGAAGCTGCTGTTGTATGACCGAGGCTGTGGTGGTGTTGCGAAGTCGGAGCCTTTTCTCGGTGCGTAACTCGCCTTGACTCCTCTTTCTTTTTTTGGGTCACTCGCATTGGGTCCGAGCTTGTAAACCTTGACAAGTCAAACCTTGAGTGCATACGCCTTGTGCATGACATGAAGGGAATGGTCCGACCTTTCCGAACACCATATAAATGGAAGTCCAGATCCATAAATATCTGCGTTCAATGCTGACCTAGTATGCACAAGTCCTCAATCTCGAATTCACGCCGCCAACATGGCCTCTCTAGCGACAATCCCAGCAAGCAGTGAGGCGCCTCATATCGAGCTCGACCGTGAAGATTCTCCAGTAGTGTCACAACCAGCGGTCGCAACCAATAGGTACATTTGCAGGTCCTTCTCCCAATTCCAAAGCTAATTGTCTACGCTAGACAACACGTCTTGATCATAATCGCATCGACGACGCTGGTCTTTACAGTATGCGGGATCGGCTTTGCCTTCGGCGTCTACCAAGATGTCTATGAAACCCTGTCTCACGACTCGTCATCTCCATTCTACGGCTCGTCGCCAGCCATGATCGATCTCATAGGCACGCTTGCGATCTCACTCATGACCATCGGCGCTCCATATGCGACTGCGTGGACCAAACGCTTCCCTCCCCAATACGTCATCTGGGCTGGTGGTGTCATCTTCTCCTTGTCTTTGCTCATGGCCTCCTTTTGTCAGCGCATGTGGCAGTTTGAACTCACGCAGGGTCTACTCTGCGGTATAGGGACCTGTCTAGCCTACATGCCTGCCGTCACCGTGGCACCGACATGGTTCACCGCTAGGCGAGGCCTTGCCATGGGCATAATTCTTTCAGGCACCGGCATCGGAGGCGTCGTCTGGGCACCACTTCTTCACGCAATCATCACCAGAACTGGCTTTCGGAACTCCCTACGCATTTCTGGAGCTGTCGCCTTCGTGCTCGTCACAGCCGCCGGATCTGTCATGCGCTGGGAACCTGTGGCACAACGTCGGATCAACGCCGAAGCACGGCATCCGCCGGGGGTAGTCGGACTGTTCAAGGTACCCTTGGTCGACTATCGCATCGCTCGGTCCCGCAAGTTCGGCGCCCAAGCACTCGGCGCGGCGCTACAGTCTGCCGCATACTATACCCCAGTCTTCTTCTTTGCCTCGTACGCAAGAACTCTGGGCTACTCCTCGGCCACCGCATCGAATTTCATTGCGCTGTCCAATGCTGCAAATGCCATCGGCAAGATCGTCATTGGCCATGCAGCAGACAGGGTCGGCCGTCTCAATGCACTATTTCTCACTACAGCGTTTTCAGCAGTCGCTGCACTCGGCCTCTGGGTACCATCTTCGTTCTCTTCGACCCAGGCTGACGGCCGCAACCTCTTCATCGCCTTTACCGTGCTGTATGGAATCTTCGCGTCGGCATATGTCTCACTGTTCCCAACTTCTCTGATTGAGCTGTTTGGAGTTCAGAACTTTGCTTCTGTGAACGGCGTTTTATACATGGTACGAGGCTTGGCCACAATGCTCGGAACGCCTGTGGCTGGTGCACTCATTAGAAGCTCACATCACGGTGGAGGACCGGCACCCTACCAAAGTGCCACCATTTTCGTAGGCGTGTTACTTGCATCTGCAACTCTAGCTGTACTTTGGGTCAGACTCGAGGCTACCGTTGGCATGTTGAGAGACGGAGGAGCGAGATGGAAGCTGTAATTTTATCGAATTAGGAGAATGAACAGATTCTGCTCCCAAATCACGCATGCCGGTGCTTCGGGTAAAGGCGTGTACCTATAGAAGTCGTATTTGTAGAACACCAAGAACTGCTTCCCGAAAGAAGAAGAAAGGCTTTGATTTTCGAGGAAAGGGGGGGAATGTTTAGAATTGTGAAAAAGCTTTTGGTCTTTTTGCCGATGAAGTCTTTCGTGGAGAAGGGCATAAAATGAGGGCCAGAGATGCCAGTTGGCACAAGGCTGAGATGAAAACTCAATCACGTGACAAGGCTGAATTGGATTTCTTGGCACGTTGAAGGTCAATCGAGCTCCGAAACAACTTTCGCATCTGCAGTTGAGTCTTTCAGCCATCAACATAGATACGCCCACGCCGCAAGTCACCAGAGAAAGTGCCTCAGGTGCAGCTGGGCTTCAAATTCACCATGGCCACACCCTCGTTTACCTCACGATCCGTCCATAGCGTCTTTTCGAAAGTTGTCACACCAAATTATATCTGTCGAACATGCAGAAACCATCTACAGAGCCGACCGAAGCAGATTCGCGAAGTTTCGAGTGTCACTACCTCCCCTTCCCTACGGAGAAAGTTGCGTAATACGGGTTTGCCGCAGCACACCGCTTCCTATGCTAGCCGCGCCGGGCAAGATAACATTCAACCTCGCGAGTTTCTGGGCGAAGAAGCACCACTGGTGGAAATGGAACCATACAACGAGGCGCGGAGTTGGGAAGGTCTCGAACACGTAGGACACAAGGGACACTGGAAGGATCTCCCTGCACGACCCCAGGATAAATTCGACCCGTAAGTCTGTTTGTGTACAGGAACATGTCATGAAATCTAACAGCGTGCAGATGGCTTTCACAATCCGTTTCGCCGGTCTCAGACCGAACAGAATTCCTGAAGCATCTATATGTCGCAATTGTCGAGACTCTTGCAGCCAAACAGGCAGCCCGTGTGCCAACGAGTGTCAAAGGTGTTCCCACCAGGATAGATACATTGAAAATTGCCCTTACACCGTCTGGCATGTTGTCGCACTTGGAAGATCCCACAGGCATATTGAGCCAGCGTGTAGTGTGGCGGTCAAAGCAAGTCTCGCCAGAAGCCATCCAGCAGTTGTCCGACGCTAGGTTCGACTTTAACAGGCCTATCACATTCACGGTAAGATCCGGTCGTTCTACTTCAGATGTATTACTGACACAGCCCGCACTAGATTCTGAAGCAATTTTCTCAACTCTCACACCACCGAGTACCGGATCCGATTCTGAACACTGTGATTCGCAACAACAAAACAGTGGCCGAATTTGTCAGTCTCCTTACCGAGTCTGCGAAACCCAAACCAGTCAAGACTGCGGACGTTTTGATCGCGAAACAGCAAAAAGCTCTTGATCTCGCTGCAGTTGCAAGACAAATGGAGGCCAGCAAGCCAAGAAGAAAGCCCCTCGGTCCCAACGTGATGGTCCTTTCGAGGCGCGAAACGCCCGTTGATAAAGAGAAGGAGACAGGCAGGTGGAAAGTCATTGAGCGGGAGCTCAAGTCAAGAGGCTTGCCGGTGTTGGGTCGTAAACCTCTGGTGCCGCAGAATGAATCCGAATGGGTTCAGACACTTTGAGCACCCGACTGTCTACCAACTCATGGTCATCGTTGATGGGGGGGCATTTAAGTCATTGAGCCACGAAAAGCATCGAACGGCTACTATTAGCTTACGAAGCGCTGGTGAACATAAGTTGCACAATACATTTGATCGACGCCGATCCGCTTGGTGTCTCAGCCTCATCCCGATTCTCCAATTTCGGTGAGCCAGCTGAAGTCCCCGGACGCCCTTGACGGATGACAATGAGACAATCATATCTCGATTGTAGCGTCAACCATGGACTTATCAAATAAGTGCTGCCGTTCAGAACACTGGACATAATCGTCATAGAACGTACTTACCTCGGGCGCTCACACACCCGAAGCATAAAAGGTTTAGTCAACTGGCGTCGTTATCAAGTCAATTGGAGACACGGACCCGATCTACAGGTGCGGGAAAGACTTCCAACGTCGGCCCACAGCAATAAGTAGTAGGTACCTAAAAGAGGGTCTCGATTAGCAACTGCTGCATGCATTGATGCCCGCCATGGGTGGTACTACAGTCCCCCATCGATTGCTTCTTGACTTTGACCTTGACTACAGCTTCTCTTTTTACCGCTTCGACCCTTGATCCATTCCAATGTAAGCCTCTTGGAGTGATCATGAATCGCAATGCCTGCTCAGCGCTGTCCCGCACCCATACTGCATTTGCCTGCCTCTCTCCAGACCCTCGTCAAAGATCAAAGAGTCAGCGGACGTAGGCCCTGGCCGTCGTCACATTTCCCCTACCAACGAGGCCTCTTTGGCCAGGGTCACACGCCGTGTCCCCGGCTAAATCTGCGAGTCGTACACCGCACACCGATGCGAACGAGGCGGTCTCTCGCTCTCTCACTCCCCAGCAGTCATGCCATTATGTTTCGGAGGTAATGACGATGCCGAGCCACCAGACGAATACGACCAGATCCCATTCGGTCTGAAATGGCGCATGCATTTTGGCAAGAAAGAGACGGACCCAGCTACGGGGGAGAATGTGCTGCGATTGAGCAACACGAGGATCCTGAAGACTCACTGCGTCAGCACCGAGTACCAGGCCCTCAAGTTGATCGACCTGCACACATCGATACCTTCGTACAAGGTATTGGCCGTGTACAACAGACCCGAGGGCAAACTAGCCGAGTATGAGGCGCACCCAGGAAATCCTCTGGATCAAGTATGGCCTGGAATGTCTGCCAACCAGAAGCACAAGGTCGTGTCAGATCTGGCTCGGTCTGTAGGGCAATTGAGGGAAATGCAACCTCCCAAACAGTGTGTGGTTGGAGATGCGACTCTGGGCGCTGCACTCGACCACCGATTCGGGTCCGGCAGGGTAGGCCCGTTCTTCTCGATCGAAGCATTCCAGGACTTCGAGAGGCGTGGACACTCGGTGCACGAATTTGCCGAGAAGGAAGTCCAGCTCGTTCATGCGCCGCAAAACCCGTACGAATTGAAGTTCACTCATGCCAATCTCTGCCCGAAGAACATCCTAGTGAATGATGCGGGGAGGATAGTCGCCTTGATAGGATGGGAGTCCTCGGGGTGGTATCCCGAGTACTGGGAGTATACGCAGATGTGCCATTTGACGCCGAAAGCTACGGGTGACTGGCTGGATGCTATGCGTCGGGTCATTCCCCGGTATGATCAAGAGCTGATCTGCGAAGAGGCGATTCGCAAAAGGTATTGTGGGTCGATATATGACTCTCCGAGGAGTGTCAGGGCTCCAAGTCCCAGCCCGAGTGAGTTGCATGCTGAGCAGCAGGAGATTCATCATAAGAATACGTCGAGCACGAGTGGGTGAGACAAAAGTTCACGAAACGGTGCCCTGACAATCGTTTAAAACGGCATGGCTTTGCATTGCCTTGTTAGATGGGATACAGAACACACCGTCGGACGACCAGGCCGTCACGGTTATGAGCCCCCTGAAAAACGGTGATGCGCCAGGTTCGCCGCTGGTATGCATCGTCTTGGAGACCCGTGGCAGTCTCCACATGCGGGCAGCGTGCGTTGCAAAAGAAGCAAGTTTGGGGCCTCAAGAACCACAACGCATACGACCTGATATGGGCTACGTCAGCCAGTATGGAGTTGAAGCGGAGGGGTCCCGCGAAATAAAAGACTCCATTACAGTCTTCACGAGATGACGCAGACTGGTTTACGACGGCTGAGTGCCAGGACGTGGAACAGCCCTTGAAGGGCACTGGAGTCAAAATGCTTCGTCTCACAAGGCTTCAGGGACCCTTTGACGGCTGTCAACTTATACTCCCTGCAGGGAAGTTGCGAAGATACACAAACGAAACGAACATGCAATGAAATGTTTATTTACTGCAAGCGAGGCGCTACTTGGAGTTTGAGTTACAGGCTTGTTGGTTGGAACTGTTGTGTACACACTGCAAGTGGATGCCTAGGTCGAAACAACCATGCGCACGCTGTCCTATGGTATCGAGACAGGGACAACGCCGCTATAATGGCGTCTTGATCTTGGATACATATATGATTGTTGGAAATAATAGACCGAGAACAGATAGCACAAAGAAAAGGGAGTCACCGAGAGAAGTAATGGGGTCAGCCTATTGGCTCTCGCATGACAAGGCTTTGCGTAGATAGAAGGGCGTGAACAAGATATATCAGGCTCTCAGACTATCCAAAGTGGAAATGGTAAAGTCTACCGACCACTATCTAAATGCGCCATACTAACTTCAGGGTAACAATCGTTCTGTGGGACCACTGTTCATCATCTTCGTCCTCCGATCCACGTACGTCGTGTGTTTCGTGTCTCCTGTATCGGTGCTGGGTTGATCCATTCCCGGGTCTCCATCTCCAGGCTTCCGCATTCATGTTCATATTGATACAACGTGCAGGTCACCCTTCCGTAACGTGCTTGTCTCAACATATTGTGCCTGGGTCTGGGGTCGGGTGGTGCTAGTTTCGCCGTGACATCTCAAAGTTTCATTGCGCTCTTCTTGGATGACGCCACGTACATTCGCGAGACGTGGTTCCAGGGTTCGTCCTTTGGCGTCTCGGCCAGCCATCGATCCATGGCTGGGGCTTTCTGGTGATAGTGGCGTCCCACTGGCGGCGATGATAGGTACCCATGGTTGGGTCGGCCGCTTGTGCTACCGCTCTTGACACTGGCGGTGGATGAAGGCATCTTGAGGAAGGTGCGTCCCTCGAGGTTCAGATGTTCTTGCTCCGTTCCAGGCGGCTTTCTGCGTTGTGGTGTCCGGTTCTTGGTGGGCAGGACTATCCGGGACGTCGGGCAAGGTAAGCCTGGATGACAGGTTGCTTCGTAAGAGTCCTTGGTGAGAAAGGCAAGCAACTGCCCCCACTCCGGACGACAACTGATTGAGGCAGAATGTTATATGTTTGTTCTGTCAGTCTGCTCCTTCCACGAGAGCTGCTATCCAGGTCCTCGTGATCACTCGGTAGGGAGGTGAATAGGAAGAACATGTAAGCCGGCAGGGAATGATCTTTTTGTATACCTACCTGGGATTTGCTTCACGTATCGTGCCATGACCGGCACCTTTGTTCGTGGCCAATCTACCTGCAGATAACGATATTGGCGGTAAATGACAAACATTCCAACCAAAAGGGCCTTTCGGAGAGAGTACGCGTGGCACATGCTCATATCAGTGGTTGATCAAGAGAGTGTGACACTCACATTTTGGTAGAAGAGGACTATCACTACCAGGTGGAGTACAGGAGGACAATATCTCGCTACCCGGTAGACAAAAGTACCCTCGAGACTAGCCGATTAATGCGCCAACGTTGTTGTGGCCATGATGCAAAGCGGCTGGACCAAGGGATAATCAACAGCGTGCTTGGATGCAATGTCAGCAAGCGAGGTTGATGAACCGAGGCGATTAGCATTTGGGCCCAAACATGCCGTGTCAGTTACAGTCATAGATCAACCTACTCCGTACGCAACTCATCATCACAGAAGCGAGAACCCCATACTTCGGAAGTGCGGGCATGTAAGCAGAACGTTTGAAAACCTGATTTTCGAGGTACAAAGCCAATCTGCTTGGCCAACGAGGATCTGGACCTTTCTTTCGCGCGCGCCAGGCACTTTTGTTGTACGGAGTCCTGAATCTGCTTACTGTTAGATCAGCGAGGACTCGTACTAATACAGTGCCTGAGGTATAGGTACGGAGTCGTCTATACCGTACAGGTAACTTACCCTCATAAGAAGACGGCTGATTGGCGCGATGTTGGCAGCACGCAGTGTCCGGGATGCATCATACCTACCTGGCAAGTGCTTGGCTATACGTAGGCATTTTTGTCTTCGGACGTCTCCGACCTTCATTCTTCCACAACCAGTTCTGATCAAAAGTTCACCCTTTGCACTCATGCGATCCAAGAACGAGACGCGCGGCAACCATGTCTGTGGGTGACGTTTATCCTGGGTGGTATACACGCAGCTTGGATGTAACCTCGATACCGCAAACCTAGGATGTCCAGACCGCGGGAACTGTTCGAAGAACGCGAGCGTGAAATTCCACAGATATTGGTCTAGCCCGATCTCAAGAACGACAACCAAACTGCTGAAGCGGGTATAACAACTGAAGAGGTGGAGAAGCCGCAAATAGTCGGTGTGAATTGTATGAGCTCGCAGTGGTGTTGAAGTGTAGGCTGTCCTGGAATGCTTGTGGAAGCAGATCCCCCATGATTGACGCTCTTCTCCAAAGTCAAAGAATGCGGGAGCAGAGTTTGGCATCCGATATTGGGCACGGTTCGAAAGTCTATCTCAAATCTCCATGTGACGTGGAAATCTGAACTTCGGATAAATGATGCTTACAGTGCCCATGTAGCCGGGTCATTCTAGATATCATTTCTATCGCCACTACTAGCGACAGTACATCTAGCAGGCATACTCCCCACAAGTCTGAACGATCCGGCAATATGGGTCAATCTCAAAGTCTATCCACACAGGTCGAGATCCAGGCGTCTCCAGATACTGTCCGATCGGTCGTAAGTGATCCGTTGATGACACAGCACCACTCGCTTAACATCTACAGTTCATGGACTTTTCTCGATACAACCAATGGACAAATTGGACCATTGTGCCCATAGACTCAGACAAGCAGCCCGCCGACTTGAAGCCCAACGATTACCTCAAAGTCGACATTGGCGGCGGGATGGCCTTTCAGCCGCTTGTGGTGGTACGTCCAATGCTGTCTATTGATAAGACTGTCGTCATCTGAACATCCGCCAGGAAAACACCTCGGAAACATTTCAGTGGCTAGGGTCACTACCGGTACTCTTTTCTGGAAAGCACGAATTTCATTTTTCGTCCAGCAACGAACACCCGGGAGGAACCAGAGTGGTGCAGCTGGAGAACTTTACAGGTCTATTGGCTTTTCTCATGGCACCAGGATGGAGCATGCGACAATCAACGCTGGAAAGATGGGATGCGTTCTTCGTCGATTTGAAGAAGGAAGTCGAGAATCCTTCAGCATCGTAGCCGAAGCATGGTGAGCCTGAATGGCCATGAACTGGAATGTCCTTGTGAAACGACGCCATAGTCTCTGTCAACGAACTGGAAGACGTGAGAAGAAATCTTCATCTGTCGCCTCAAAGTCGAGAAAATCCCCCAGACGAGAACATCGGAACCATCCCCGCAGTGCTTAGGGCAACAGGTGACTCCTAGCCTAGGGGGGCCGGATCGTAGGGATGCCACATGCCTGTCCGACTCGCGACGCATCGAGCGCGTCTGTTTCACAGTCAAGAAATACCTCGCTCATATTCCCAGCTTCCCTCCAAAATGACCACACTCTTTTCTGACAAAGATTCCCTTCGTCTCCATTCCATCATGTCTCCGTGTTCAAATAAATTCCTGAGAAGCACTCACCACAAAGCGCCTTGGCCTTTGCACTTGAGGGGAGACACGCGGCTCTCCAAGACATACAGGGGCCTAGGACTGGCCTGTGACTGGCCAAGCGCACTCATTCAGCGGCTAGATGCTCACCGCTTGCAAGCCCAAGGCACCAAGGTCAGTTGTTTCTTTGGCCCCCGTATCTTTGTCTCAGCGCACGATCACTGCGTCCGTCTACGAGTGCTGCCATTGATCTCACAGAGGCCACCTCAAGTTCTATGCCCAAAAGAATGCCACTTCCAGGGGTTTGCCATATTACGGACTGTATATCCGGCCTGTGCCTGGAGGTATGCTCAGCATGCCCCATTTCCGAGAGAATTCAGACGCAGGTGGTGCAGCCTAATGCACATGCTCCAGATACGGTGGACCGTTCCTGCTCTTACCGCTTTCCACCAGCGAGAAACTCACTCCCCCAGGCTGTAGCTTTGGGTAGCTTGCACCATCTCCGTTGCAAAACCACACAGAGATGGTGCAAGCACATCCTCATGTTCAGTTGTGGTAACCGAGGTTTTGTTTCTTGTACCTTACAGCAACAAACTCACTCCCCTGGTCCGTGTCTGGGAGCCAGCCTGCACCATCTCCGTAGAGAAATGGAACGGAGATGGTGCAAGCTGACGGTCAGTCTTGGGGGTGTGGAGATGTCGTCTCTATGCTATGCCTCATCACCAAAGACTCTTTACTCCCCATCCTTCTCCGTGAGCATCAGACTTGCACCACCTCCGTGTGGTTTTGCAACGGAGGTGGTGCAAGCACATGCTCATGATCATAACCGAGGACATTAATCTTTCTGCTCACCAACAAGTTTACAACGTACCCACTCACCTTCCGGAATCACGGGCGGCAATGCCAACTTTATGTTACTTCCCTAAGAGACCATGCGAACCTGAGAACTTCGCCGCCTCGCCGCCTTTTGTGGACGTCTGGCGTCATCTCACTTCATGAATTGGAACTTTGGAAGACCACGCGATTTTACTTACATGTCAGAGAAACCCTGTCTGGGGTAATGTCAGAATTCCAAGTCCTATCTACGGAACTTTCGAAGACACGCCTCTTACCTGCTAAGGGCTTTCATTCAACCTCACCGGGGATTTGGAAGACCAGTCCCCACTGTTGTCGCATTGGTAAGAGAATCCCAACCTTGTCCCGGGCATAGGTATGGTAAAGTCGTCTTATCAATGGAATCTTTGTGCAGCACTTTTGCACGGAACCCACGCAATTCCCAAGAAAGACTCCTCCCGCGCCATTCTGCTCACGGGGTGCTCCATCCATAGCACCTATCATGCGGACTGCCATACCTAATCCTACCACTATTCTTTAGACTTGGCAATTGAAACCTTGCATCCCCGGACTCCAAGCCTAACAGCCCCCGAATCCAGGACCACCACCGCCAAACTGTCGTCCCTGCTCCCCCTGCACACTGGACGGCGCGAGGCGTTTCTCCAGGCGTCCGGCCCTTATGGCCTACTGCCTACCATGACCTAGCACGCCCAGAATTTGCCACTCTCGACCAACAGAACTGCCTCCTTCCCTCCCTCTTATGTACTATTAGTTCCACTTTTGCAAGTCTGTTTCATGTCGCCCCGCTCCTACAGCCTGAATGAGGATGCATTTGTGAAGTTCGCAACTCGTCACAGAAGAATGTGCATTCCATTGTGTTGAATTTACGACACATCGTTATCTCTGTGCCTCCCTAAGGACAATTAACCTATCATGGTGAATGAGGAGCTTGTTCCAAAGATCAGAACGATGTTATCAGAGCGCTCTTGTTCATGCAGCTGATAGATTTCTGTCCAGTCCTGAAAGTCTCTCATGTCCACAAAATTCCTTCTTGGTCATTGAGGGGCCGGCACAGGATGCTTCCAGGCCTGATAACTAATATAAGCCTGGCAGATCGATACGGCCAGGGAAAGAATTCCAAGCACAATAGCTATCAACACTCCCACCAAAGTCGCGAACATAACGTGCCTCGCACCACTTTTCCGATCGAGCCACTTGTCGAGCAATGAGTGCGGAGTTGGGTTCTTCGATTCCTCATATAGCTCGGCGAGACGACCCCCGAAGTAGTGGTACGTGATATCCTTTTCTTCGGGTTTCCGGATCGATGTGGATTCAAAGCGGAGGCAATCCGGATCGAAGCCGGACCTCGACACAAGTGTCTGTAGAAGGTCATACGATTTCCTGTCAGCGAGTGGGAAAAGGACCTTTTGGACCGTGTCTAGCGCTTCGAGCACCAATTGACGGGGTAGTAAATGGCTGACCGCATCGTCTCTGGTGAGTCGAAGTTGTTCTTTCAAGAACGTAGTATGATGATATATATCCACGGTTTTGGTCTTTCGGTGGAATTGGAGGTGGCTTCCTAGATCGTCGGTAGGTTGAAACCTCAATTTTGCGCGCTTCTTCAACTTTCTTGCAGTGATTTCTGTCCTAAAGTCGGAAGCTCTCCCAGAATCGTTGCCATTAACGTTAGGGTGGTCAGTCTGGGGAAATCCTAACGATATGAATTGACTGTAGGTCAGGTCATCTCGCCAGTGATAACGAAAGAGGCCGTGCTCCAGGGTCCCAAGGTCTTGGTGCAGTGCAGAGCAATTGATCATTGCAGACACACGGACAGCAAGGTTTAACGCTCGGTTCTGTCCCACGACGGGAGGTATACTCTGGTCCGGTCCATTGGAGAATATGCTTTCCTTGAGCTTAGCACGAGGGATGTCGGGGTTTTGCTGCAGGGTCGTAATTATAGTCAGTAAATCTCTATGCGTTGTTAGAGCGCCGCCTATGCCCCCAGTATCTGCTTCGTACATTCCAGTCCATGCCCGATAGTGGTCGAAAAATGGAACCAGATGCTTCATGCGAAGTTTTGGGCAGCTCTTTCGAGAACATGAGCGTCGGTCTTTACAGTTTCGGCACAGTTGCCATGCCCAGAGACACACTGCGAGTTGAGTCAAGTCTTCATCTGTAGGCGGGGTGAGTATCGACGAGTTAGAGGCTGCCATGGCCAGTCCCCAAGGTCTGCCAGGTTCAAAAGGTCGGGGAGTCGCTGACAGTGGAACAGCTTCGTCGTTGAGGTTTATAGGTCAACAACATGCAACTTACATTCGGAGCAGTTTTCAGCCAGCTGGTAGTTCCCATCCTATCTTGCTCCGGTGGCCTATGCAAGTAGACGAAGGCAAGACCTAGTTCACCATGGATTGACCTGGACCGGCTGGGCTGAGGCGCGGGGCGTCTTTCAACATGGCTGTGCTGCAGATGAAATACGAACAGCCTAACCGGTGGCCCAATGACTCGAAGGACAGAGCCTGACGCCATCGCTAATAGTTGCTGCAGGTCTAGAGGCCACGTCCGTGTGACACCTTAGGAAACGGCGAACATGGAGGCTGCGACAGCGATCTCGACTGCGTTATGACTACTATGAACTTACATCTGCACAGCGTCATGATAAAATGGGCGACCCAAACCCTGAGCATATGGACCTTTCACTACCATCTCCAGATCCAAGGGCGTACGAAGGCGATGTAGGCAGCACTTTAGGAAAGCCGGAAGTGGTCTGCAATTCCTCACATGCGTGCGAGTCAAGAAGAATACCTGAGTCCTTGTCAAGCGAAGTTCAAGCTGGTCTGAGGACTGGCTCATTGCATGCTCGAAAACCTCCACCGTGTACACACGCCATGGCCATCAGACCAGATCAACCTTACCAGGCTGGCAGCCTGGATTCTGGCTATGCGTCAGCTAGCAGTAGCAAGCATGGAAATCGCAATGAGAGCAACAGCACCCTCGGAGCGGGGTCCTTAATTGGGGAGGTTTTCGCAAGGAGCAAGACAAGATTGCGTCCATTTGACAAAAAAATACCAGATGCGGTCCGAGATCGATTCCTCGATCTGAAGGAACTGTTCAATGGGCCCCTGCTGTTTCATTTGCGACGGAAAAGGCTCGACACTCGTTCCATCACGATTCGCCTCAAGTCCCTAGGTACTAACGAGGAATCTGCGAAACCTTGGATGGTTGTCCTTTGCAGCCCAGCGCTTGCGAAGGAAGTGCGACGATTCTTCAATCAACAGCGAGTGAAAGAAGAAATGCAACCCGACGAACCAGATCTGCCGTCCTTAGATGTGATCGTTGACGAGAGACCATTATCACTAACTGTCTCCCACAAGGAATATTCTGTTTTGAGCGAGCATTGGAGTCGCATTGGCGAGTATGGGACGCTTTGTGGAACGCCGATAAAGATCATCAAGGACGACCAAGAGCTATATGCCACAATCGGTGGTGTCATTAGGGTCGTCAATCGTTACGGAATCTCTTTGTCGTACGCAATGACTGTGGGACACATCCTCAATAGTTTGGTCACGGAAGAAACCGTTTCAGAGTATTACAATGCTGTCGATGATGATTTTGAAGAAGCTGCCTTCTCTGACGGCAGTGACGCCTCGGATGTAGCATCGGAAGACTTTGAGATTGATCTCGATGATACCGAGCAAGATAAGGAATTTGAGAGAGGAAAGGCCGTTGAAGAGGCAGGTCAAGATGGCACGGATTCAGCGTCACCATCTGAGGTTCTAAGCTGGTCGATAGTCGGAAAGGTCCTCAACTTCTACGAACGACCTGGCCAAAGTACCGCATATCTGGATTGGGCACTGATAGAGCTCGAAGACGAGTCACTATATCTGCCAGACAAGCTCCTCTACCAGAGCTACGACACTGCCGCCACCGTAAGCCACTCTAATGTTGCTTCCGTTCAAGGTCTTGCTAGCAGGGAGAATATGTCTGCATTGGAAGAAGACAGATTGTGCCTCTTAAATGGCCGCAAACCCTTGACAGGAGTCCTCAGCAAAGAACCTGCATTTGTCCTACTAGCACCTGGTGAACGCTTGATCGAAACGTTCATCATTACTTTGGCCGACGGACAAGGTAAGCCACCTTCATGCTTGCAGGTACCGTGCTGATGAAGTCGATAAGTTCTGACCAAAGGAGACAGCGGGACCTGGGTCACAGGCGTCCGCAATTGTTTGCTCTATGGACATGTGATTGGCACAGATGTCTTTGGGGACGTGTATATGGTTCCAAGCTGTGATGTCTTTCAAGATATTCGTGATCGTCTCGATGCAATCTCGGTCGCGCTTCCAGAAAAGCACAAGGAGCCCAAACCTGATTCTGCCGCCGGCGCCACTTCTAGCCGCGACGCTCTTCGGGAAAGCAATTCAGATCGACAGTCCAGTGTCCATCCTGTCTACTCCGATTGCGGTTCGACTTTCATCGACTCTGGTTACGAGACTGTTCGTCCTTCTCAGCTGCGGCCCTTGCCTACAGTGACTAGGAGAAGTTACAAACGAGTCCAATCAAAACTGGAACCATTCAAGAAGCTTATCAATGATCTATACATCAGACAGGGATTGCAAATAGACGATGTGAAAACCCGGATCGCAAGCACATTTGGCGTTGTTCAGTCGTAAGCCCACCAACCCTTTGATCGTCAAGTTTAATCCCTGCTCGCTAACACACCAGTCAGGATCAAGCAGTATAACTTGAAGCTCAAGGATTGGGGCTTCAAACATCACCTGGGCACCGTTGACGCAGCCCATATCTTGAGGCTGCTGAATCGAGCGAAGGCAGCGGGATTACCAGAAGTTGTTGTCTGGTCCTCCCATCGCAAAACCAGAGGTGACATCACGAGATATATCAAGAGACAACCCAAGCTGAACGACGAGGCCCACCTGCTATCCCAGATAGCGGATAACGCCCCAACACCACATTATATCCAGCTCGCCGAAGCCTCAACCGAGCAAAGGCCATCGAGCCTGCCACAAGTTCTGCCTACTGGTCAGTCGGGAGGTCCTTCTGGTCCACTGGCTCCTCAAGTAGGTCTCACTGAGGTAACAGCCTCGAGGAATTCCACGCCCCCTCTCCAGTTGAGTCCTCAGATCTTGCCAGAGCGATCCGATCTGTTGTACAATGTATCCCCGTCATCTCTTTCGAGTTCCAAGTGCGAAGCTGATGACATGGACCTGGACTCTGCTCCGATCCAAATGGCCGTTTCAGCGGCAGGACCAGAGGCTTGGTCAGCATTGCCAGACGTCTACAACCCTTTCTTTCGGTCAGCACAGACATTCAACCTTTCAAAAGGTGACGTGTTCCAGCAGGTCGATGACAATATCTCTGGATGGTCTTTAGAGTTCACAAATGCAGCTCTTTCTTCAACGCCAGTCAGTATAAACCAAGAAGGCGAATTGAGGTTTGATCCTTCTCAACTCGAAGACTACACAGACTACACTCACGCCCGTCAACTGAATGACGGAAGTCTTCCGGCTGCCTTCGTGATGAACTGCCTATTCTGGTTGATGTGTATCGGACAGCAAGACGTCGGATGCCAGGAAAGTGCACCTTACCACCTGGCGTCGGCAAAATTCAGCCTTTTGAACATGCTTGATGTTAACAATGGTGGAGGTGAAGAATGCCTCGGAGCACTTGGTGTGGTGATGGTTTTGTTCCAGTGCCTCGGCCACAGGGAAAAGTTGTTGCACCTGCTGCTTGAATGTGACAGTGTCACACAAGGGGCTCTTGGTGGCGAGACCCCTCTGGCGAGGACATTTGCTTTCAAGATGTCAATGCTCCAAAGCACCGGAAAGATTCACGATGTTCATTTACTCAGACAAGTTCACCTCGAAGTGCAACGCGCATTCCCAATGAGCAAGGGTCCAGCACTGTCAGCGAGGTACAATTTGGCATGGGCAATGCTGGAAAACGCGTTGAAAGAGACCGATAGGAGGCCGAGGGACTTTGACCCTGCCAGACAAGAATTGGCACTACTCGCTTCGGAATGCGAAGCACATTTTGGTGCAACTCGTATCGAGACCATCATGACCTACGATACCCTAGCGCGGGCCACTTTCTATAGTGACGATGCTGAGAGAGCCGAAGAGATCATTGTCGACGTTGTCATGCCAAGGGTGCGACAGAACTTCCCCGAGGACCATCCGTATGTATGGGAGGTGAAACATCGGCATGCATTTCTGCTGTACCAATTTGCGCAAAAAGATCCAGGACTGACCGCCTGGAAGAAACTTCAGCAAGCTGAGCAACTGCTTCGAGAGGTTGTACTGAGGCGACGGCATGTCCTGGGCGAATCAAATCCAAAATCGTTCCAATCGTTCTGCATGCTCAAGGCCGTCCTGCAAATGGAAGGCAACGTTGATGAGGCAAATTCGCTCTGGAGATGGTGTCAGCAGCAGACCTAATTGTCTGTGCCATCTTCGTCTTAAGACTGACCCAGGGACGGTCATGCTCGCAAATCACAGGCTGGAGGCGGAGGTGAAGAGCCTCATTTGACCAGGACCAGACTGACCGGTGAGGTCTTGGACTATATCAACAACCAGTGCTGTACCGAGCCATGTAGGTCGAGGCACGAATACTAGCTGTTATCGGCCAATGTGGATGAGACCTCGCTCGGGGACAATGAACGAAGGGTGCTTTGGTGGGAGAGTCGAACAACAGCTGAGACCGGAACTAGAGATGTGGCTCGCAGGTCGCTTGCTGCAGGGTTTCCTGAAGAGTACACGGCACATCATTGATGAAGAATGGTGATTTTGCACCATCGCAAATGAGAAACCATCCGCCAATGGTGACATGCAGAGATAAGAGACGACATCACATATGCGATTATGAACATTTTAGCCATCGGACAGAAGAATTGGGCAGGTGCGGCTGAGAGCATGCTTGGGAAAGGATCATCAGAGGTCGCAGATCGGTCGTCAATGTCGTTATACATATATAGTGGCCGATATGGCCAGCATGAATGACCATGCGTGTTGCAGCAGTCGACGCTGCGTTGCACACTCTAACATCCCTTTTGTACATGGTATGCCTATACCTATACAGTGCTCAGATCGTATTTGGCCCTGGAAAGTCGTTCTAACTCCTGGCTCTATGACCTTCGTACCCACGAGATAAACGCCTGTCCTATGGCTGGGTCAGCCTCGTCTTCGGACTGAACGCCAATGAAGATGTCAAACCCATCCATTCCCTCCACGAATCAAGTGAATATCTGTGAGCGGAATGATGATATTTCACATCCCAGAAGGCGAGGCTGCAGTAGCGAAACTTCCAAAGATAAGAGCTTTACCTGATCGACTGGATTGATCTTGTGTGGATGCCTCCACAGCAAGCATCAAGTGTGTCGTCCGTACCACAAGCTCTGGAGGACAATCAGTCGTGCAAATATTGACCAATGGACAGTCATACCTTGAATCTCTATCGAAAAGCTCATCGGCAGGTCATCATACTCGCTTGGGTCTTTCCGATAACATTTTCCTTCACGGTCCCGGATTGATACACGCAACCCAACATTCTTCCTGTAGTCGGTCCACAAGATGTTCTTGTCCAACCCAATCATTGGAGGATTCATTGTAGGGGTTCGGTCGATTTCGAAGCCCGGATCTTGTTCTTGTTGCCAGAGTTCCTGGGCGCGATCTTGCAGCCATTGCTTCCATACCCTCATAACGCCCTGACCGGATTGCACAATATGGACGTTGCTCAGAAACACTCCTCGGCGTGGCCCAAGCCTGACAAGACTTGCATATGCACAGAACTGTCCAAACAGCTCGTCGGGGTCGAGATTCAGAGTGTGAAGGACTTTCGCAGAGCCTCCATCACCTCCGTCAGCATATATTGGCTGAGTCGGTGTAGAGGACGACGCTTGTTGTGAGACGACAGCTCCGGCAATTCGACGCGCGGGCATTGAGCCTTGCACGCCCGGCCTTTCAGGCCTGAACCGACTGTATAGAGCACCAAGCTTTGCGAATCTACCTTCCTCACTTATACAATCTTCGTACAGACTTCCCTCGCCTTCATGTTTGGAGCTCAGTCCGTCCGTACCAAGATACGTGCAGAACAGATACGGATCGCTGTATCTCTTGCTAGGATGATACGCTTCGAGGATAAGCTTGTAATCAGGTAAAGCCGCGGCCAGGAGGAGTCGGAAGTGTAAGATGCGGAGGATGATGGAATGGAAACGGCGGGAGACGACGACTAGAGGGAGAAGATCCTGTGTCTCGAATGCTGACAGGATAGAGACAAATATCTAGATTGTCAACATCATCTCACACTGTCGCGTGCGAGAGAACGTACTTCGTTGGGTAGATGATACAGGCCCATAGTGTTCGCAGCCATTTTCTATTGAGGTGGCAGCACGGTGCCCATCGACGCTAGATCACGCGCGGAGTGCCGTCTCTCCTGCGACAGGAGGTCAATCCTGTGGTGGGCAGGATCATGCGGAATTGGCTTGTAAGAACATCACTGTCGGATTGGGGGCAGCGTCGCCGTCATATTTATCACGATTGACGCGGGCCGATATGCGGAAGACCTTGAGTTGGGGGCTATCGATAAGGCCCAAAGTCTGCGTCTAAGGCATTGACATCATCCACAACATTGCAACAGTGGAGGCTTCGAGGAAGATTTGTCCGGAGAGTAGCGGGGTGGCATCGTAAAGCTGCATACCAGGCACTTTTCAGCTGCATTATTACCCACGAGATCAGAATACCATATTCATGCGCTTGATCGCACTACCGAGCACAATTGTCCCAGAGCCACAACTTGTTGAATCCACCTCGAATACTCCGGTATCCACGTAGCATTCGACCAGCAGCGAGCTTCCCCACTTTCTTGTTGCGCATCGTCTTCTGCTTCCGAGTTATACTGGGTGTCAACACGAACACCAGCAAGCACAGCCAGATTCCTGGCCTGTGCACCATCTCCTTCGTTACAAGATGCCGGACAAAATCTTGGACGACATCTCTCATCGACGGTACAACCCTCTCCGCGGAAGCTGGATCCTGGTGTCGCCGCATCGCACAAAGAGACCATGGCAGTAAGAGACTTGTGGCTCTGTAGAAGCGATGCCTCCTGACAAATTCTCTAGAGGACAGCAAGAAACTCCCGGCGTGATCGACCTACCATCCTATGATCCCAAATGCTATCTGTGTCCGGGCAACGAAAGAGCCTCGGGCGATACCAATCCCGACTACAAAGACACCTTCGTCTTCGTGAACGATTACAGCGCTGTCAAGGAGGAACAAGAAGACTACTCCTCGCCCGAAGCTGCGGGAACACTTTCAAACCTCCTACTGAAAGCCCAGCCAGTAACAGGGAAATGCTATGTTTTGACGTTTAGCGCTGCTCATAACATTACTCTCGCAGACATGTCTCCGTCCGAAATCGTACCCATCATCAAGACCTGGACGGACATATATACAGCACATATATCACCCAAGTCACCTCTGGCTGCGCTGGCCAAGCCTACCCACCTCCCTCCCTCCAATCATCACGCACACGTCGGGACCCCGCAAGAACAATATCGATGGATGCAAATCTTTGAGAACAAGGGCGCGGCGATGGGTTGCTCGAATCCACATCCGCATGGACAGATCTGGACAACCACAACACTTCCTGAGGAGCCGGCGCTTGAGTTGGAGCACTTGAGGAAATATCATCGTGAACAAGGCGGCGGGCATATGCTGGTCGACTATGCGCGTCTGGAGCGAGAAAAGAACGAACGCGTGGTTTTTCAGAATGAGACGTTCCTGGTCGTATGTCCCTGGTGGGCGACGTGGCCATTCGAAACCATGATTCTTCCAGTCAAGCACATTCGCTCCCTCATTGACCTCAGCGGAAAAGAACAATTGGACCTTGCGGAAGCCATCTCGGAGGTGACCAGGAGATATGACAATCTTTTCGAAACAAGCTTTCCGTACAGCATGGGTATACACCAGGCGCCTCTCGACGGCAGCAATGAGGAGATTGAGTGCGCCAGTCTTCACCTACATTTCTACCCTCCACTTCTGAGAAGCGCAACCGTCCGAAAATTCCTCGTCGGGTACGAGATGATGGCAGAACCACAGAGAGATATCACACCAGAGCAAGCTACCGTCAGGCTGCAAAATTGCGGTGAAGAATTGTACAGAAAAAAGCTTCAAGGAGAAGGAGAGAAGGTCCAGAATCCTCCTGCGCCAGAGATACCTGAGCCATGATATACGCACATTCGCTATCTGACATAGAAGTCATACTGCGTAATGCTCCAGACCAATCCAATCATGGCTACGGTCACAGGCGCGAACCATGGACCAGAAGGCCTGCATGTCTTGTACACAAAAGCCTCCAAGCTAAAGTGCACGAGGCCAATAACATTGGTCAACAGCTGCATCCAGAACCACGACGCTTCATTTATGTTGTAGGCAGCGAATATTCTGACCACGCCCACGGCCACGGTGTATGTTCCAAATGTTCTCGACGAAAGGGGCGTCGTAGGAGAGGTCACTGCCGGATTCGCCGGTTTGCCAGCGGGTGGCTGACCAGGGTAGAGGCGCTGTGTATAAGACAAGGTGTTGTAGCATTGAATGGCATTGCCGATTGCGGTCACGCCGACCTGTAGCACATTAGCCGATGCGGTGCAGGTAAGCGAATACAGGAGGCCTGACAAAGAGAACGTATAGAGGCAGGTAGCCATCTGATTGTGGTAGTATAGACTGCATCTCGGAGGTAAGATGCTCGCTTGCAGAGGCTCTGTGTGACGTGGTGTTATTGCTCTGGTACTCCGAAGACGATGATCAGCAGGATAGTCACTCCGTAGACAAGTCTTTTTCGCGCTACGCGGGAATGCAGGTCGGACGTTGTCGCTTTATGCAGGAAATTTCCCTCTTAGCAGTCATGTACGTATAATACGAAGACCCAAACTGCGGGACCCCTGGCGATCTTTCATCTTTATTCCGCTTCGTTCATCCGCCTTGGTCAGTAAACGGTCACTCTCACGCGCTCAATCGCCCTGTCCCTGCTCATCTTCTCTTCGATACCCGGCAAGAGATCCCAGTCTGCTTGAACCTCAGATTTACACCATGGCTATCGATCTCGGGCCTCTGGGGCAGCAGACTGTCCCGTCTGCGGCATTGATTGGCTTGGGTGCGATCACGGCGGCCTCGGTCCTGTTTACAACGTTGAGAGTGCTACTGAGCACTTTCGTGCTACCTGGACAATCTGTACGTTCCCCACCCGGTGCGCGCTCCGTTGCGCGCTCCGTTGCAATTTTGTGTCTTACTCTGTTTCTCCTAGCTGTCCAAGTATGGACCGAAGGGTTCCTGGGCCGTTGTCACGGGCAGCTCGGATGGCATAGGTCGAGAATATGCTTTACAACTTGCGAAGAAAGGATTCAACCTGATTCTTGTCTCTCGAACGGCCTCGAAGCTAGAGTCGCTTGCCTCCGAGATCAAGAAGGCGTCGCCCAATGTCTCCACGGAAATACTTGCTATGGACTTTTCGCAAAACCGCGACTCGGACTACGCTTTGTTAGGATCTCTCGTGCAAGGAAAGCAGGTCTCGATCCTGATAAACAATGTCGGACAGAGTCATAGTATTCCAGTACTATTCGCGGACACACCTTGGAATGAGATATCGAACATTATCAACATTAACTGCTTGGGAACACTTCGCGCCACGCAGACGGTTCTACCTAGCATGCTGCCAAACAAGAAGGGCCTCGTCCTAACTATGGGTTCATTCGGTGGTTTAACACCCACTCCGCTGTTGGCAACCTACTCCGGGTCGAAAGCTTTTCTGCAGCAATGGTCCAATGCTCTCGCCTCGGAACTTGCACCCCAAGGTATCGAGGTGTTTTTCGTCCATTCTTACCTCGTCACATCTTCAATGTCCAAGATACGACGATCCAACTGGCAGGTTCCAACCGAAAAGTTGTTTGTGAAGACTACACTGGCAAAGATTGGACGGAGAGGAGGAAGTGTTGGCTACCCACACAGTGGCACGCCGTACTGGAGTCATGCTCTGGTGGCAGCTGTGATCACAGGGGTTCTTGGACCCATGAACAGTGCACTGCTGTCATTCAACCGGAAGATGCACGTGGATATCAGAAATAGGGCTCTGAAGAAGGCTGAGCGAGACGTACAGAAGAGCAAGAAGTCAACTTGAGCATAAAAGCAGATTAATCCAGAAGGGCAACATAGCGTGGCGTCGCAACAACTTTACCGTGGGATAATCTGGTACTGGCACGTACATAATCATATAGTTCTCGAGACGATACCCAGTAATGATAATGATATGCCATACATAAACAAAATAGATACCAAAGAAGGCATTTCCATGTATGTCCGTACAATGATCATTGATCAATGATTGGTGGGTTTCATTTACTTGTCCGATGCAATTGCCCCGCGCTCCTGCATTGTTGATCTTGTATCCATGATCTTCGCATTCATCATCCTCCGTTTGTCAATCTGTTCGAATGTTATAACCTCGATTCTGAAGGGGCGCAACTCCCCTCTGGCTTTGTCTTCTGCAAGACAAATGTCCGGCTGACGAATTATGACCAGAGCGGACCTCTCAATACGCCAGGCAATCTTGTTGAACGATGTGGCCCTTGTCCGCAGACTGCTGAAGCACCACCCTCAGTATCTGCACAATCCCGATTATTCCGACAAGAGTAATACTTCGTTACATCTCGCTGCTCAATATGGTCTCACAGAGATTGCGGTGAGTCAACCATCTGAGACACCCGGAGGGTATCTGAACTCAAGCAACAGGAAGTCTTGATATCGCTTGGCCATGACAGCTCTCGAGAGGTGACGGACTGGATCTATTCGAACAACGGGGATAACCTGGGCATCTCTGTCAACACCGATGGGAAGACACCACTGCACCTAGCCGCAGCTTATTCACGGTCTGCCGTCGTCGAGCTTCTATGCAGGCATTTCCCTCGAACGATCAACCGTCCTGATCACAAAGGTCAAACCCCGCTACACCTTGCATCATCCTCCCAGCCTATGCCTACCGTGACCACCATAGTCGACCCGACATCTCGACCCGCTGTCACGCGTCCCGCCGAGGACAACAGCACAATTGAAATACTCCTTGCACGCGGGGCAAATGTGAACGCACAAGATGAGCAAGGGAATATATGTCTACACAATGCCACTGCATGGGGCCACCTGAAAGCCGTGCGGGCTTTGGTTCAAGCAGGTGCAAACCCACGACGCACGAACAAGGCTGGCTGGACACCTGAATACTACAGCATCACCGTACAGGCCGAAGTCTATTACCGGAATCTGGTGGCAGAATGGGACAAGAGGAGATCGCAAGAAGAGATACGAGCAAACGAGAGACGAGCCAAAGGAGCTGGTGCCGTAAGGCTGGTTCCTCAAGAGGCCGAAAGTGATGACGGACAATCAGAAACAGGGAGAAGTCGGGCAAGCAGTGAACGATCTCAACAAACCAGCGAAAGTGATGCAGGTCTGGGTATCACTGTAGACTCGCTCGACACGTGGAAGTGATTATGTCGAATATCTCAAAAGTACAGATTCCCACTTGATGATGGACGGTGGAGCCGAATGTTAGATACGAATCCGAATGTCCCAAGGGGCTCCGCAAGTGTGATAAGGTCAATCTATGGCTGATTGAACCCTGAAAAGGCGCCCGGACTCGGCCCCGTCACTCCCGCGGCCATCATCAGCGTCATCCCAATTTACAGCCACATGCAGCACGAGCATCTTCTGTTCAAACACCATGATGTCTCCCTAGTCCAACCTCTTCCTTTTGCCTAGCCAGTCTTCCACTCCTTACGATCGCTGTCCGTTCGACGCCCACTTCCTCCGCGAATCTAGAACTGTTCTCAATCTTACTCGTTCGTTCGTGCGACGGAGCATCTCTATCTCTTATCGATCATCTTCAGTCGCCTGTGTTCAAAGCCACGGTGTTTAAAGCCACGGTGTCAAGCACGGCCTGCAGACCGACCTAACACAGTCCGATGGCAAGCTCTGCGCATGCCCTCTTCTGTTTTGAAGTCCTTTCTGCCAGCTTTGAACGCCGAGACCCGCCTAAATTAGAGAGAGTCCTTGCATTGTACGATCGTTATAAATCAGGCACTGCTACTGATGGAGGCGCGATAGCAGACGGCCAGGGAGAGGAAGACATCGACCCCGAAGCAGAGGACTCAGAAGAGGAGGACGATGAGGAAGAATCACATGAAGAGACACGGCGCCTTGACCGCCATGCTACACCTAAGTCAGGGCCTCAGCTCTCCAGCATATCGAGACTAAAGGCGTCGACGTCCTCATCCAGGTCGTCATCGACCTCCTCTCCATCCATACTCTCAGCCACATCCTCCACTTCTCAATTGACGACACCCTCCAGTGTCGCATCCGGAAACCAATCTCCACCGTCCTATGCCTCTCGAGTCTCTGTCACCGAATCATACCCGCTCTTCGTGACGTGGAATACCATATCGAGATCAGGTCACAAGTCGCTAAGAGGCTGCATAGGCACTTTCGAGGGTATGCCACTGGCATCAGGGCTGGCCACATACGCGTTGACATCCGCCTTTGACGATACGCGATTCTCGCCCATCCCAGCCTCGTTACTGCCGGCACTGTCATGCTCGTTGACCCTACTTGCGGACTTCGAGCCCTGCAAGGATGCCATGGACTGGGATCTAGACACTCACGGCATACGAATAAGTTTTACGAACCGCGGTCGACGACACGGCGCTACGTATCTGCCTGACGTGGCGGTGGAGCAGGGCTGGACGAAGGAGGAGACGCTGGAGAGTCTGATGAAGAAGGCAGGCTGGGACGGAGGGTATGGACATGGTGTCGCGAGGCGATTGCTGAGAGGATCGGCAAGAGGTCCCGAGCAACAGTCCACGAGACCGTGGGATGATGTCCAGGATTTCAGGGTCGTGCGGTATACAGGGTTGAAGGCCAGTGCCTCGTATGACGAATGGCAAGCATGGCGGAGATGGGTCGAGAAGAGTAGAGAGGTGTTGAAAGGTTGAACGTCCTCAGGCTCTCGAGAAGCACCCAAGCATCATCTGTCGTGACTGCTTCAATGAGAATCGAGCGTGGCGATTGATATCGTTCACATTCGAGGGAGAGGCCGTCCTCCCAGGATCCCACAATAACTCAGATCATCCAGGCCGCTACAGCCAAATATCCAAACTGACCCCTGCTTGCCTTTGGTCTCTGGATTTATGTAAAGACTCCCTATGCAGGACAGCCACAAAGCCAGCTAATTACTTCATTCACCTGACCTGATGCAGCGCAACTCATCCCCAGTGACACTTCTAGGGCGGTAGACTGGGAACAAAATCTGCAACTTGACGGGACGTATTCGCATGAGCCAAGCGCTATTGGCGACGTATTCGGGTATCTGCTCAGTGCTGTTCTGCCAGATCCAAGGATCTAAGCCGACAGTGGTATCAGTCGGAGAAGCTCTGTGAACGCCAGCTCTAAGATGTGCCATCACCGCCAGCGTAGAATCGGATTGACTGAAGCACCTGTACATGACTTCTATACGCTCACCTGTAGTATAGGTGTTGGTGCTCTAGAATAGCTGACCTGTCGTGGGTAGCTTTGTCAAATCGGTTCAATCGGAGCTCGAAATATTGTTCCGCCAATTCCAGATCCCCAAAGTTCGATTGGCGCATTTTCGCCGCATCCTGCGTCAATACATTTTTCCCATGTCCACTACTACAGCAAAGAGCTTCACATCTGTATTCGTTTCTTTAGAAATCTTGTTCTCAGGTCCAATGGCAATTTGATTCGGCGTCTTGCCCTGGGGTCCGCACATAACACGCCCTCTTCGACCATGAGAGCGCGCATCTCTACAAGTTCTGCAATCTTGCAACAATCTGTCTCAACAAAATCCACAGCTTCCACTCAGACCGTTTGTCCATGGTGTCTGACCAGATCACAATATCCACAAGCTCCCCGCCGTTCGAGACGGCACTTTTCTACTTCCCAAAACAACCCGTCAGCATGGGCAGCCGCCGTGGCCAAGATCCAGAGCACCGTTGCCGACGTGCTCCCCTCCCGACCAGGGACACCGACCGGTAACATCACCATCGACCCGCTGAAGATCGTGGCGAAAGAGTTGAAGTTCCTAAACAAGAACATCCGGCAGCTCCTTGGGTCGGGACACCCCGTCCTTGCGACCGTTGCCAAATACTACACCCAAAGCGAAGGCAAACATGTCCGGCCGCTACTCGTCCTGCTCATGTCCCAAGCGACAGCGTTCGCTGCAAAACAGTCTCACTACGACACTTCAAACCTCTCACGAAGTTCAGACTCCATCGACACACCCATATCCTCACCGTCGATCCTCTACGACAACAATCCAGACCAGATGGCACCTTCGTCCCCATTGACGGACACAACCGAATCCAGCGAGACCTTTGCCTTCCCCAACGATGCCTCGATCCTCCCCTCGCAACGCCGCCTCGCGGAAATCACCGAACTCATTCACACGGCCTCTTTGCTTCACGACGATGTGATTGACCATTCCACAACCCGTCGATCCGAACCCAGCGCAAACACAACCTTTGGCAATAAAATGGCCGTCCTGGCTGGAGATTTCATGCTGGGTCGCGCTTCTGTAGCGCTCGCCCGTCTCCGCGACCCGGAAGTCATTGAGCTCCTGGCCACGGTCATTGCAAACCTCGTGGAAGGCGAGTTCATGCAACTCAAAAACACGGCGTCGGACGAAACAAATCCCGAATGGAGCGAGGAGTCGATAACGTACTACCTTCAAAAAACATATCTCAAGTCCGCGAGTCTGATAAGCAAGTCGTGTCGCGCCGCAGCTTTGTTGGGCCAGTGTGCCCCCAGTGTCGTCGAGGCGGCCTACAGTTACGGCAAGAATCTGGGACTGGCGTTCCAATTAGTGGATGACATGCTGGATTATACGATTAGTGGAGCCGAACTGGGAAAACCAGCTGGGGCTGATTTGGAACTGGGCCTGGCTACGGCGCCACTGTTGTTCGCATGGAAGGACAGGCCAGAATTAGGGCAGTTGGTTGGCAGGAAGTTTTCGGGTGAGGGGGATGTTCAGAGGGTGAGTACCACGCTTTGACTGCCATTGGAACTCAGTATGCTAACGGAGGTGACGTAGGCACGAGAGATCGTCTCTCAGAGCGATGGGTTGGAACAAACCCGAGCCCTGGCACAAGAGTATGCGGACAAAGCGATAGCGTCGATCAGCATGTTTCCTGCTGGTGAAGCCAAGGATGGTCTGGAGGAGATGTGTATAAAAGTCATGAAGCGGAGGAAATGAGTCACCATACTGTAGGCTGAGAGGCAATGCGAATGCATAATATGTACAGGGGATGGTTGGTGGAGCGCTTCATTTGGGCAATCTATCAGATGTAGCCTCCTCTCATGCACTTCTACCAGTATGTGCTGGGCTGAACTGCTAAGAAGTCTGGACTGGTCTGCTGCTCTTTGCTTTTCGTGAGCATCGTATGGATGAACGTTCTTCCGTTCCGACATACGCCTTGTTTGACTAAGCAGTAACTATGCTCTTGAACATCTCGTATCTTCCCACATCGTCCAGCTTCTGGGGAGAAATTGCAGTACGCCTTCTCCAGAGGAAAGCAGACTGCCCCAAGTTTTTTGTCACCAGCATATTCGAGTCGTCTGAATCCGTCAATAAGCATGGCTTCCGGGCCGCATACATTTGTTACTGTAGGTCTACCGCGGCTGTTTCTCCGAATATAAAATAGCGGTACTGACATGAGCTGCACGCCAGATGGTGGTAAGTCAAGCAAACGTCTTCCCAAAGAGAATGAAGGGTCAATCATCCGGTCATCGATCTCACGCTTCTTGCAATGGCCATGTGCAATGCCACTTCGCCATCCTTACAGCCCGCTAAATCGTCTCACGCATCCTCTTGCTGTTCATTATCGTTGGGATTACAGCCTTGACTTGCACTTTGATAGATAAACATTGACCGGTACAGGTCTTCTCGCCAGAGAAGTTCCAAGGTAATCCTTTGGCAATCGTCGGCATACGTGGGAACGCCATTAGCCAAAAGCGCAAAGGCCTAATCGCCAAAGAGTTCGGGTACTCGGAAACCGTCTTCTTGCATGATGCTCCCGCTCCGGGCATGCCGCGACTATGTGAGATCTTCACCGAGACTGGTGAAGAGATACCCTTTGCCGGTCATCCTGTGAGTGTTTTCACTGTCCGAATAAGCATCAACAAGACTGACAGGTCTAGGTGATTGGCGCTGCACACTATGTAAGGAACCCTCCGGAGATGCATGAGCGGAAAAGGAGCTGATCAAAACTAGATATTCTCCTACTGCGAGAAAATGCACTATGGAGGACCGGCCGATCGAGACACCCAGCGACAAACGGGCGTCCTCTTGACGAAAGCAGGCAAGATCCCTATCTTCTTCAACCCTTACCGGCAGGTGGCTGCATGTTCGGTGCCGCATAATTTCCACCTACACCAACATCAAGTACCTATGGAACAGGTCATAGCAACACAGCCTCAGATCCAAATAGTCCCAGGCATTGACAAAGCCAAGAACAAATCTTTTCCCGTCGTGTCCATCGTGAAAGGGATGACGTTCGTTCTGGTTGACTTGACCGAACACCCGGATATTTTCACTGCTGTTCAACCCGGAAAGGCTCCGGAAGCGGAGTTGGATTCAGCCTGGTCACCTAGCTTTGTAGGCTGTTTATACTACAAGGTTCTGAACCAGGCCGAAAAGCCCGGAGAGCCTACGATTCACAATATTCAAGCCCGCATGATCTCTCATGGTATCGAGGACGCCGGAACTGGAAGTGCTTGTTCCGCCCTGTCGTGTTATCTGGCGTTGCAATCCACGTCCAAGTCCGACAAGCCGGAAGCGTCTGAGGCTGGGACCGAATTGGCAAAACAGACGGAGGAGTTGAAGCTGGAAGAGAAGACGGAAAGAAAGGTGTTTGGCATCCAGCAGGGAGTCGAGATGGGACGGCTGTCCACAATCGCCGTCGAGGTTGACGTCAAGACGGATGCGCAGGGCAAAGTCAGTCTGGCAAATGTGATACTCTCGGGAAGGGCCAATTTGCATACGAGAGGTGAGCTCATCGGGGCATAGACAGTCGAGGCGGCGGGAGGTCTGGGGCCGTGGTGCTGGTCATGTGTACGGAGTCTAGGTAGGGGTGTTCGCATTTGAAATCGGATGGTTGGGATCCCGAAACACCATCATCTAGTATGTACGACCGGGAAAGGAGTAATCCGGGACAAAATGATCGATCTTCCACCCCGCGAGTAGCCTAGTCCAACCACGTTGAGTCCACAGGCAAGTGCTGCCGGGTAGGAGTAATGCTAAGCGAAGGAGGTACAACGGTACATCGGCACAGACAGGCTTAGGGGCGGCGCTTCATGTGGCTTCATATGATGATATAGATGTCAAAAAGAGGAAGGTGACACAGGGCGTTTATGGTGGGGTCCGTAGCTTTACATAATAAGGAGGTGCTTCACGATGAGTCGATGAGACTCGGGAGCAAGACATTCGGTAATCGGCAACAAGAAAGCTTGACGATAAAGCTTAGCGATGCTTGAGCGCGTTAGAGCATCCGGAGATATTCGAGGATCGAGGCACTATGGGACAAGGTTAAGGACCGTGGGGTTTAGGGGAAGATCCCAGGGGGTGAGAAGGCTGGCCTTTGTGGATGCATCGAGGGTGCCTGGATCAGGGTTATTTTGGGAATACATAGTAATGTGGTTGGTGAAGCAGAGGGGCCAGTCTCGTGTAGAGGAGTGGATGACAGATTTGATCGATCCGTCTGCAGGTGTAACAGGGGATCATCGCGTAGACTTGTTCTGTTGCTGGGTGAGGCTTTCTTCGGCAGGAGAAGTACCGTTAGCACTGCGGTAGCGGTAGATACTTCATATGGGGGGAGGGGTTTTGAGGAGGTTTTGAAGGAGGCTGAAAGGATCCTGATATGACGTCGATAGGAGTTGCAAGGAGGTGGTGGAGATGATGAGTTAGTGAGTCTAATCTGATACTAGCAGGCACTAAATGTCTGTTAACCACAAGACTAGTTCTGTCTCGGCTAGCTGTATCATCTTTCAGTGATCTCTTGGCCAATTGGTCGCATTTCTCGCTACAGCCGCCCGTTTCAGACACGTTGTTTCCCACAAGTCCTGTGTTTCCATCGTCTCGTCCGACACGCTTCGAAACCATCTCAGCATCATCTAGATTTGTCTCTGGAAACATTGGCAATGCTTAGCTGGTGCCATCCAGCCGCAAGCTGCGACCAACCTGTAACCTTCCAACAAGCTCTTTTGGTCTGCAACACCTGAAGCACCTTTCGGCCTTGTATCATCCGTGGCCGTTGGAAACACTTCCAGCCTCAGAGGAAATCACTTCGTACCAAATGGCTCAAGCTTTGGTCCGCGACATGCCTCCAGACACCGCCAAGGTAAACGCATAAGAGATGCTTCTTCTCCGCCCATATTCGTGTCTTTTTCTCTCCATCGTGGCAGTGCCTGAACATTCCTTTCCATCCTTGTCTTTTCGACTCAAGAGCTTCGTTCCAACCTTTTCCATTCCTTTTACCTCTTGGCTTGACCGCGTTGACCGCGAAGTCCTTCGTTCCGCACACAGCAAAAATTGCTTTTTTTCTTGAACCAGCAGATACCTCTTCAGCAGTTTTTACGCAAAATCAATCAGACTCAAACCCAAAATGAAGACGACACAGATTATGATGTTGGCACTTGCTGCCCTAACATCTACGGCTATAGCCAAGGGCACGGGCGGTGCTGGTGGCAACACAGGCAACACTGGTGGTAATGCCAACGCTGGAGGAAACACCAACACTGGGGGAAATGCCAACACTGGAGGGGCTAACACTAGCTCTGCCTCTGCTGCCACATCTTCTGGAACTTCTGCTTCTACCTCATCTGGATCTGGGGGTGGTAACGCCAACGATCTTACCCTGCTTTCGGGCAACGTCCAGACCGGCAGCCAGTCTGTGGGCAACCTCAGCGTAGCTGGCACCTCACCTTCCGCCACGTAAGTACTCTCCAAAACACAAGCCGAACATAAATTGACCAATACGCAGTGACAACGCCAACTTCATCAACTTCTGCAGTGGCAAGACCTTGACCAACGGTCTGCAAGTGACTGCCGGATCCTGCAACGGCATTGTCATGGGTGATATCCCTTCCAACGAAAATATGATCTCGTCCATCGTTGTCTTCCCTGCACCAGCCCAGGACATCGATGCCAACACCCCTTTCAGCGTCACAGTTCAAACCCAAAACCTGGTCGCTGGCTCCTTCACCGACGCCACAAACACCTACTACTCTGCTCCTCAGGCTCTGCAAGGCGGCAACGTCGTCGGCCACACTCACGTCACCATCCAGGATCTGGGTAACAACTTGGCACCCAGCACTCCTCCCGACCCGAAGACCTTCGCTTTCTTCAAGGGTATCAACGACGATGGCAACGGTGCAGGCTTGCTCGCCGCCAACGTCACAGCTGGTCTTCCCGCCGGTTTCTACAGAGTCTGCACCATGACCAGCTCTTCCAACCATCAGCCCGTCCTCATGCCTGTGAGTATTATCACCCTTCTGTCGTCTTACAATGCTAATCTCGTTATAGGTCGCTCAACGTGGTGCTCAGGATGATTGCCAGAAGTTCACAGTCGGGCAAGGAGGTTCAAGCAGCACCAGCTCAACATCTACCTCTACTGGAGGTGGTAACGGAGGTGGTAACGCCAAGGCCGTTGCTGCCGGAGGAAACGCGGCCAGCGCTTCATCTGCCGCTGCTGCCGCCACTGCTTCGATCTCTACTACCACTAACTCAACGTCTACAGGTGGCAACACCGCTGCTCAGGGAGGCAACACTGCTGCTCAGGGAGGCAACACCGCTGCTCAGGGAGGTAACACTGGTGCACAAGGAGGCAATACCGGTGCCCAAGGCGGTGGTGCCCAGGGAGGGAAAGGTGGTCGAGGACGATACCACCGTGAACGATTCGCTGCACGAGACATCATCGTGTAAGCTCTACGAGTACTTGAGAGACAGCCGCCAAACAACGTAACAGCAACTCATGAGTTTGCATTGCGTTGCGACCGCCGCGGCGCAAGGGGTGATGTGATGGCAAAAAAGGTGGCTTTTCTTTTCTTATGATCATAGAAGATGTGTATAACCAGATCCTCCCAGAGTTTTTTTTTGCTGTGGGCTTTTGGTGGGAACAAGCGACTATTGAGCATGATTTTTTTGGCATCAAACACTGAAACGACAGAATTGGAAGATTGCATTAGCTGAGGCTGGAGAAGAGAATAGGGAAAGGGAATGGAAAACGGAGTCGTTCATAGCTTCCTGGGGGTGAATGGATGATTGTGGAAATGACTGTGTCTTCTTTCATAATTGCAAGAGTGACTTCGACCGAATAATGTAATGATAGGACCCCAAAGTACTAGCGACGTAGTGTCTAGGTGTGGTTGGCCTAGTGAAGATTGCATGAGGGTACATTTGTGTTGCTGCAACCTTAGGTCGAAGCTTGAAAATCGTGAGTTGTAGTGCACTGGGGTATCCGGATTCGACGAGAACGACGCCGAGGCAGATGTCAAAGCCTGACCTCGTCTCCAAGGACTCTTTGAGACCAGATTTATTCAAGTTGGTCGACAAATTCTCAATGTGTTGAAATGGACTTTGTTCATGAAGAAGAGATGTTGTCAGAAAATGATGTTCAGATTTCTGTCTAACTAAAATCCTAAGAATAAATATATATAGAGAGAGCCGCTTATCGGCAAAAACTCTTCGATACTTTGTCGAAGTTGAAGTAGAATACCGAAAACCCACGGCTTTTTCTGTCCGAATGCCCATTTTAGATAACCCAAAACTCCGTAGATGCAATGCAGGTTATCTGTCATATGGTCTCATTCTTATCTGACGAAGCGTCCGGCGCGGCGTCCGCGAACAGACCACGAAGACCACGATGAAGAATCATCGCCCTTGTTCTGCTCTTCTCCTCCTTTCGACCCTTCGGTCGTCTTGTCACTCCAGTCACCCCAGCCACTGCTTGCAGTCTCGGTAGACTCGGGAGAGCTTTCAGCAGTGGTGTGCGTGGGAACATGATGCTTGAAATTTCCTCCGCGGAAGCCCCATGGTCTGTTAGGAGTTGGGGTTGCCGTGCTGGTGCTGGTGCTGGTGCTAGTAGCACTGGAGGTGGTAGTGGAGGTGGTAGTGCTGTTCGACCAAGCTGATGGCTTGCCGTGCGGGTGGTGAGTCCAGGGGCTTGCGGTTGGGGTTGAAGTGACCTCGACCGTGGTGGTGGTTGAGGTCTTGCCTCGCCATTCGTTCCACTCAGTGGCCGCGGATGAGGACGGCTTAGCTTCAGTATGTGTAGTGGTGGATGATGATTGCCATTCTTCCCATTCTGTGGCTGCAGAAGACGATGGCTTAGCTTGAGTAGCCGTAGGTGTAGTCCTCCACTCGTTCCATTCGGTTGCGGCAGATGAGGCAGGCTTGGTGTGTGTCGCGGTTGAGGATCTGGTCCACTCGTTCCACTCGGTTGCGGCAGATGAGGCAGGCTTGGTGTGTGTCGCGGTGGAGGATGTGGTCCACTCGTTCCACTCGGTAGCCACTGATGAGGAAGGCTGAACGTGAGTGGCGGTGGACGAGGTAGTCCACTCTTCCCATCCGGTGCTTGCAGTCGACGAAGGCTTGACTGGTGTAGCAGTAGACGAGGTAGTCCACTCTTCCCATCCAGTCGTCGATCCTGTGCTGTGGCTAGTAGGAGTTGCCTGTGTGGTCGTCTCATGGTGGCCCTTGCTTGTGGTTGTTGCCTTGGTCTTGGTCTGGAGGGTGGTGGTCCACGACTTCTGTGTCTCCGTGGTATGCTTGGTGTGCGTTTGGGAAGTCCAGGTGCTGGCACTGTTGCTATGACCAGGAGTTGTCTGTGCCGTGCTGGTGCTCACAACCTTGACGGGAGTAGTTGTGGTCTTGCCCGCAGATGAGGTGGTGCTTCCGCTGGGTGTGTGAACAGTTGTTGACGAACTCCAAGAGGTGCTACCGGTGCTTGTGGGGCTGCTAGTGGTGACAGGCTTGGTGGAGCTTGAGGTCACAACGGATGTTGATGCTACTGGCTTGCTGGTAGTAGATGTCGAGGAACCAGTGGTGGAGACGGCCGTGGTAGAGCTTGAAGTTACCACCGAAGTTGACGCTACTGGCTTGCTGGTAGTGGAGGTCGAAGACTCAACCGTTGTGGATGCGCTAGACGTCGTCGATTGACTCGAAACGCTGCTTGTTGTCGCACCTGTGGTAGTAGCAGGTGTGGTAGAGCTTGAGGTCACAACCGTGGTCGAAGTTACTGGCTTGCTGGTAGTAGAGCTAGATGATCCACTGGTAGCTGTCCATGATGTGGTAGAGCTTGAGGTCACAACCGTAGTCGAAGTTACTGGCTTGCTGGTAGTAGAGCTAGATGATCCACTGGTAGCTGTCCATGATGTGGTAGAGCTTAAGGTCACGACCGATGTTGACGCCACTGGCTTGCTGGTGGTAGAGGTCGAAGAACCAACAGTCGTGGATCCACTGGGCGTGGTCGACTGGCTTGAGGCGCTGCTAGTTGTCAAAGTGGTAGAGTGGCTCGGCGAGGAAGTGCTTGCGCTCGTTGTCGACGCCGTCGTCACAGTACTAGTAGTCGACTGAGCAGTGGTGCTGACCGATGTAGAGACTGTAGTAGATGCTGTGGACGTAGCAAGGCTGGTGGTCGTGCTTGTCTCCGTGACGCTTGTGGACGTGCGCGAAGGCGAGCTGCTAGTAGACGAACTCGAAGGGTAGCTGCTGGAAGATGAGCTCGAAGGATAGCTGCTTGTCGAGGTGCTACTCGACACGGCAGTAGTGCTTGTAGTCGATTGGCTGGTAGAGCCGCTTGTTGTCGTGCTAGCTGATGTTGCGCTACTGGTGGTGGACGTAGAGCCCGTGGTGGTGGCGATTGTGCTGGTGGTGACAGGAGTGCTTGTGCCGCTTGTACTGGCAGATGTAGACGTAGATTGGCTGGTGGTCTGGGCAGAAGTTGTGCTTGTTCCGACAGTAGTCGTAGGCAAGGACGAAGTGCTGCTCTGTGCGGTTGTTGATGGTGTCTCACTGCTAGTTGTGCTGCTTGATACCACGGTGGTTGAGGTTGATACTGGAGTTGAAGACGGTGTCGTTCCTCTGCTAGACTGAGATGAAGTCGTGGCTGTGGACTGAATTGTACTGCTCGTGGTCGGCACTGTTGTTGAAGCAATGGTAGTTGTGGTGCTTGTCTGGCTCGTAGTTGGCATGGTAGTGGCTGTGGTAGTGGTGCTAGACGATGCCGTTGTAGACGCGGTACTACCAGTTGACTGTGAAGTAGTGCTGCTTACTGCAGGCACAGAGCTTGTTGTGGTGGTGCTTGATGACTGTGATGTAGACACAGTTGACGCGGTGGTTGACGGGGTCTGAGTGCTAGTGCTTGAGGCTGGCGTAGTGCTTGAAACCGTGGTGGTTGAGCCTGTTGTGGTGCTTGAAGCTGGTGTGGTGGTTGAGAGTGTGGTGGTTGAGAGTGTGGTGGTTGAGGCCGTGGTGGTTGAACCTGAAGTGGTGCTTGAAGCTGGTGTGGTGCTTGAGACCGTGGTGGTTGAACCCGAGGTGGTGCTTGAGGCTGGCATAGTGCTGGAGACCGTGGTGCTTGAACCTGGTGTGGTTGAGGCCGTGGTGCTCGTGGTGCTCGAAGCCGGCGTGCTGGTTGTGGTGCCACTGGTTGATGACGGGACAACTGTGGTGGAAACCGTCGAGCTAGTGCTTCCTGTAGTCGTGGGTGTTACGGACGTTGTGCTCGACGAAGTGCTGCCCCTAGTGGTAGTGCTGCCTGATGATGTTGTGCTCGTTGACAGTGTTGAGGCTGTTGAGGTCGTTCTCGCTACAGTGCTGGTCGAGAGTGTAGTACTGGAAGAAGTGCTCGCAGTGCCAGACGTCGTTGTTGTCGTGCTGGGTGAAGCCGTGGTACTGGTTGAGACTGTGGTGGTAGTAGAGACTCCGGTACTGCTAGATGGCGTGGTAGAAGTCGACGCCGTGGTACTGGGCGAGACTGTAGTACTGGTAGAGAACGTGCTGCTGGTTGAAGCCGTGGTACTAGGAGAGGTTGTAGTACTGGTTGAAACTGTGCTACTTGTCGACGGCGTTGGCGTGGTCGAGACCGTGGTGCTAGTCGAAGTCGTGGTACTCGGCGAGGTTGTAGTACTCGATGTATCCGTGGTCGTGGTAGTGCTTGTAGAGCCTGTGCTGGTGGTCGAGACGGTTGTGGTGGCAGACGAAGTTGTGGTCGACGCTGTCGTTGTAGTGCTGGGCGACGCTGAGGTAGTTGAGACGCTGCTAGTGGAGCCTGAAGTACTAGGGACTGTCGGTGTGGTGCTGAGCGTGGTTGAGGTGGTCGAGCCTGTGGTGCTACCAGAAGTCGTCGTACTGCTGCTAGCCGTCGTAGTGCTGGTTGAGGTTGCCACACTGCTTGAGACCGTAGTACTGCTCAACGATGTTGTAGTGCTCGGCGTTGTCAACACAGTCGAGGATGTCGTCGTCGTAGTGCTGGCAGAGCCCGTGGTGCTCGTTGACACGATTGTGGTGGTGGGTGTCGTTGCACTTGTCGTTACACTCGTTGTAGTACTGGGCGTTGCACTCGTTGAGACTGAGGTGCTCGTAGACGTCGTTAGAGTGCTGGAGGTCGTTGCAATACTGGACGATGTCGTACTGTCAGATGTTGTTGTAGCGCTAGGCGATGTTGTAGTGCTGGGTACGGTCCTAGTGCTGCTGAAAGTGGTTGGAATGCTTGTAGACGTTGTGCTGCTAGTTGAAACACTTGTGCCAGAGGTAGTTGACCCTGTGGAAGTTGGCGAAGTGCTGGCAGACGTCGAAGTAGTACTAGATTCCGCTGGGGTTGTTGTGACTGTCGTCGTGCTGCTTGACTCAGTTGTAGTGGTCGAGGTAGTTGTGGCACTGGACGATGTCGACAAAGTGGAAGTGGTAGTACTGCTAGACGTCGAAGTGCTGCTAGTAGAAGGCGTAGTAACCGTGGACATTGTCGTGCTGCTGGTAGAAGGCGTCGTGGTTGAAGATACCGTAGTAGACGTCGTTGTGCTAGTACTGCTAATTGTCGTTGGGGTACTGGTTGACAGCGTAGTAGAGGCAGATGTTGTTGATTGCGTGGTTGCGCCTGTCGTAGTCACAGTAGTTGTGGTGGTCTCACTCGTTGACGCTGAAGTGGTGCTCGTCCCTGGCACGGTTGTTGACGAAGTCTGTGTGGTAGCCGGGGTCGAGGTGGTAGTCGATATCTCGGTAGAGGCCGTTGTGGGAGTCTGAGAAGAGGTTGTGGTAGGGCTCTCGCTAGAGGTGGTTGAACTGCTCTGGCCTGGTGTAGTAGTAGTTGTCGTAGTCAAGCTTGACGTGCTCGTTGGCGTGGTCGTAGTCGTCTGACTCGTTGTGGCGCTAGGGCTCACAGTTGTGGAGGCCGACGTAGTGCTAGAGCTTGACGTAGTGCCGGAAGTCGTTGTCAAGCTGGAGCTGGTCGAAAGTGTTGTAGGGGTAGAAGTACTAGTCGAGCTAGTTGTCGAGCTGCTTGTCGACTGGCTAGTTGTAGAGCTGGTAGTCGATGTTGTCACAGGACTCGTTGTTGCCGTAGTTGAGGCGCTGGTAGTAACTGAGCCAGTCGTCCAAGAGCTTGTTCCTGAAGACGCAGGAGTGGTGGTCGAGAAAGTGGTGGAAGAGGTCGAGGTTGTCGGTGTAGATGTCGTTAAACCAGAAGTTGAGGTCGTTGAGATACTGCTCGTAGTAGAAACACTAGTTGAAGTCGTCGAAGAGGAGCTGACAACTGTTGAGAATGTAGTGGTGGTACTGCTCGTTGAAGGAGAAGTCGTGGAAGCAGAGGTGGTCGAGGGAGTGGTGGTGGTCGAGGAAGTAGTAGTCGTCGAGGGAGTGGTGGTAGTAGATGGAGTGGTGGTGGTCGTGGAAAGCGTGGCGGATGTAGAAACCGTGGTGCTGGAGGAGGATGTTGTTGAACCAGTGGAAGAGGAGGATGAAGTCGTGGACGTGGTCGGGTATGACGAGCTTGTTGTGGACAAGGAAATCATTGAAGACGTTGTGGAGTCAGATGTGGTTGATGTCAATGACGGCGAGGATGTAGACGTAGTCGTCACTGAAGAGCTGACGGTCGTTCCTGTAGTGCTTGGACTGAATGTAGAAGAGCTGGACGATGTCAAACTCGTGCCCGAGGTGGTAGGAGCAGTGGAAGAGCTCTGGCCAACACTGGAGGTCGTCGCTGTCGTCTCAGTCGTGGCTGTCGTAGTTCCCGAGGTACTTTGGCTTGATCCAGATGTGGTAGTTGTCGAGGTAGCTGAACTGCTGGTTGCCGGTGTTGTACTTGTAGAAGATGGCGCCGTGGAGGTTGTAGACATACCGGTAGAGTCAGTGGTTGTCGTAGTCGCCGCGGTAGTGGTAGAAAGAGTTGATGTTGAAGACGAGCCACTTGTAGTAGGGATTGACGTGGTAGATGTCGACTGTGATGCGGACGAGGTAGTGCTGGTGGGGCTGGCTGATGTTGTGCTGCTTCCAGTGCTTGTTGAGCTACCTGTTGTCTCAGTCGTGGACGTCGGTGCGGTTGTAGTAGTAGTAGTAGGTGAAACCTGGCTAGAGGTAGTAGTACTCGAGGTCGCCACAGTACTGGTGCTAGTTGACGAGGTTCCTGCGGTCGTTGAAGTGATCGAAGTGGAGCTCGTCACGCCAGATGTTGTAGAGGACGGAGTAGTGGTGCTACCAGAGGACGTTCCGCTCGTGGTTGACACGGAAGAGGTTGATCCGGTGCTCGTTGTGCTTCCCGTGCTTGGAGAACTTGTGCTGGATCGAACTGTAGTAGCTGTCGAAGATGTCCTAGACTGCGAAGTCGATCCAGTTGTACCTCGGCTGCGTGTGGTCGAAGAATGATCTCTTGTGGTGCACGAGGTGCTCGACGAGGAATGAGTGCCACCCGAAGTGGTCGCGGAATTGGTCGTAGTGGTCGTCGCGGCAGACGAAGCTGTAGAAGACGGTGTCTCCGAGGAGCTGGTCACTGTTGTCGAAGACGTGGAAGACTCACTTGTGGAAGTGGGGACCGATGAGGTCGTGCTTTCACCTGTGGTCTGAGTCGAAGAGCTGGCTGTCGTCGAAGAGCCTGTGGAGGACTCACTTGTGGAAGTGGGAACTGACGAGGTGGTGCTTTCACTCGTGGTTTGGCTCGATGAACTGGCCATCGTTGTCGAAGCTGTGGTGGACTCACTTGTGGAAGTAGGAATTGATGAGGTTGTGCTACCACTCGTGCTGTCAGTTGAAGAGCTGGTTACCGGGCTAGTTGTGGTTTGTGTGGAGGTTTCACTGGATGATGCGGTTGAAGTGGCCGTGCTCGACGTAACTGGCGTTGTGCTGGTGACGGTGGTCGTAGCAACAGTAGTACTCTGGGTGGTGGATGAGCTTGACTGGGTAGTTGGGCTGCTGGTGGTTTGACTTGAGGTGGACCTGGTCGTGCCACTTGATGACTGCGAACGGGTCGTGGTGGTCGACGAACCCCTAGATTTGGTGCCAGTTGTGCAGCTAGTGCTAGAGGTACGAGTTCGAGTTGTCCATGTGGCCGAGGACGATGAGGACGACGTTGGCACTTTGGAGGTCGTTGTAGTCTGCCCAGATGAGGAACTTGGTGTCGAGCTACTGCTGCCAGGTGTTGTGCTACTTGTTGATCCGACAGTCGACGTGGGCGAAATGGTAGTTTCTGAAGTTGTGGAGGACCCAGAGCTTGACATTGTGCTGGTGCTTGCGGTGGTTGTGGATGCGCCAGCCGTTGTGCTGCTGGTGCTAGTACCCAATACGGACGAGCTGGTACCTTCTGAAGTTGTGGAAGTTCCGGAACTTGATCCAGTGCTTGTAGTAGTCGAGGTGGTTGACACGCCAGCCGTTGTGCTGCTTGTGGAGCCAGTGCTCGGAGTGGGCGAAGTGGTGGAGGAGATTTCGGAAGTTGATCCCGCGGTTGTAACCGCAGTAGTCGTTGACACAACAGCGGTTGTGCTGCTTGTGGAGACAGAGCTGACGGTTGACGAAGATGCCGCTGGAGTAGTGGAGGTTCCGGATGTGGAATCCGTTGAAGTCGTCACCGAGCTGGAAGATGTGCTAGATGTACCTGCTACGGTAGAAGACGTAATCGCTGTAGAGGTCGAACTCGTTACCCTACCCGATGATGTCGTCGAGGACGATCCTCTGCCATTCGAGGACGTGGTCGTTGTAGCAGATGTTGTGCTGTGATGACCTTTAGAGCTGTCAGTATCGCAGCTCGTTGTTGTAGTATGATGACCTTTGGAGCTGTCGGTGTCGCAGCTCGTTGTTGTAGTAGTCCCCTTGGCGGATGTAGTCGCCTGCGAGCTCGTAGTATGGGCGTTAGAAGTCGTCGTAGAGCCGGAAGATGTACTTCGCTGCGTCGATGACGACGCGGTTGAACCTGAGCTACTGATTGAGCTGGTGCCGTGTCCGGTCGTGGTTGACGCTGTGGTCCCCACAGATGTTGTGGTGTGACCTTTAGAGCTGTCGGTATCGCAACTGGTGGTTGTAGTGCCCTTGGCAGATGTGGAAGGTGAGCTCGTAGTATAAGATGTGGAGGATGTTGTGATGACAGAAGACGTGCTCCATTGCGTCGATGACGGTACAATTGAGCTCGAGGCTATGGTTGAGCTGGTGCTGTATCCGGTGGTGGTTACAGGGGTGCTTGTAGAGCTTGTCCCGGTAGTCGCGGCCGCAGATGAGCTGCTCACTGAGGTTGTGACGGGGGTAGAGGTGGCGACCACAGATGTAGTGGTAGTGCCGGCCATCACACTCGAAGTTGTTGACTGTCCAACCGAAGATGATTGACCTTGCGTGCTCGAGGTCCCTTGCGTTGACTGGCTGGATGACTGCATGCTGGAAGCTGATGTAGTTGGCGTTGTTGAGGTCCATTGCGATGTCGACGCTTGGCCAGTTGAGGTCGTGGATCCAGTAGATGCACCTTGAGCAGACGTCGTAGTAACTGCAACTGTTGTGGAACCTGTTGAAGAGCTGGACGATTCATGATGATCTGATGTTGTGGTTGTGCATGGAGAAGTTGTAGTCGTTTGTGCAGCAGATGTTGAGCTTCCCTTGGTCGATTGAGTAGTCTGCTGCTGAGTGGTACTCTGTGCTTGGGACGTCTGGGTCGTCTGCGCTTTTGTTGTCTGAGTAGTCTGCTGCTGAGTCGTCTGAGTCGTCTGCGCTTTTGTTGTGGTGGTGCATGGAGTGGTAGTCGTCTGCACTTTTGTCGTCTGAGTAGTCTGCTGCTGAGTCGTCTGGGTCGTCTGCGCTTTTGTTGTGGTTGTGCATGGAGTGGTAGTCGTCTGCGCTTTAGTTGTGGCCTGTCCCTGCGTGGTAGTGGCTTCGTTAGTGTTGTGACGTTTTACCTTTCGCATGAAGCGTAGTTCGGGTGAACTCGACTCGGCCCAAGTGATCTCGCTGTCCTGCTTGATACTCGCATGTTGTCTCAATGTCGGAACAGTCGTTATAGGTTCACTATGATCCAATGCTCTTGGGGCTGCGTCGGCAAGGCGAACAGGTCCTAGTCCTGCAAGGACGGAGAGAATGAAGACAAGGTACAGCATGTTGGCGATGATTGTCTCTTACAAGAGAGACTGCTGCACTATAACGAAGGACTTCCTGAATGAAGGTATGTTGAGGAGATGGAGGGACGTTCTTCCTCGAGATGATATACAAGCGATCAAGCGTGAGTACTTACCTTTCTTCCACGCCTGGTCAATGCGCCTGCATACACGAGGGCAGAATGAGAATGACCCATGAGGATGAGCTGGAGGATCCTCCAGGCTCGGATCCAGAGATCGCGAGCACCATGTCTCCACGAGGAGGTCCATCCTCTTTGACCAGGTCGTATTGAAAAGACTGGACCGCGTCAAGACAGTGTCACAGTACGGTACAGGCCCGCCATGTGAAGTCTCTGCTCGCTTAACATCAAGCCACCTGGTGTTGAAGACCCACCAGCTACGGAAGCTGGTGGGCGGAATGGATGAGTGGAGGACAGGATCGCTGAGGAAGGTTCAGACCATCCACCTTGAGTAGCCCCAGGCGGATGGTAGAACGACCAAGTGGCGGCGGGAGAGAATCGAGGCACTTAACCTGAACATGAAAGGCTGTAGAAGAGATCCACAGTTGCTCTACGGCAAGACAGCGTTCCTAGGCATAATGCCTCTGAGGAAAGCATATGCGAGGGAAGTAGCCCGCTATCAGAGTCTGGTGTAGTTACCAGGCGTCTGGGACGACGCAGGTACACATGGCGGTCATGGAGGTCCATGTCAAGCGAGACACCTGCCGAAAGGCTAAAGTTTCCACGCGACAGCCATGAGATTCTGTCCCGCCTTCTAGGATTAGGTTCAGGGTCAGCAACGCAGGAACTTCATAGCGGATGCATGTTGTCATTTGGTACCGGAGGCTTGACGTGGCGAGGAAGAGACGGAAAGCAGTGAAAAAGCGAGATGTCCCCTGCCAAGCCTTTTTTGTTTGGTTTCTTCAGTTTCTTCTTCTCCTCCGAAACTTTATATTCACCACCTTCTTTAGGCCGATGACACCCCAGTTCAGCGCACGTACCATCTCTCTGCATCTCCCATTTGCGTACCAACTTCCTTCTCAGAGCTTCTGCACGCTTTGGACCTTCTACGCATGGTTCTACAGCATTTCCTGTTCCAGATCGTGGTCATTGCGTCCCTCCGCACAGAGACATCGGGGACGAATACCCACGCCTCGATCATGGCCACGTTGGACAGCGCATGGCAATCGGCTGCCGGCTTGTCCAGCTGTTGCATGTCCTCGACTTTCAGAAGCGCCGAATCCCTAAGTGCGGGAATCGCGGGTTTGGTACCACACGGTGAGCATCAGACACGACGATCATGCTGTGAGGACGGCTCGAATTTTTCCTTCTCTCATCTGCCGTGATGGCGCTCACCCGGTCGAGTGGGCCTGGCAGTTGATTCGAACTAGCTTACTATGGAATTCTCATTTCACCATACTATACTGAGGAACTGTGTTGAAGATCATCGTCGGAATTGACTACTCTAGGCACAAGATGCACCACTCAAGCTTCATCCCGCGGTCCTCCGCAGAATGCGGCATTCTGAGCCGACTACACTTTTCTGCCACGGGCCATCAGATTCTCACTGACCATCATCCACGTGGCGTGGCGAAACCTGTGAGCTCCCACCACATCGGTCATGGTATTCATTCTTCTGGTAGCGAGAAATGCTTGGGCCTCTTCTCGCGTGGTTCAGGCATGATCTGTGCTCATGTCCGGAGGCCTGTTAAGAGTTGCTCTGTGCGTCCGGCAACCGTTCTGCTGGAAAACGTCTGTGAGGCCACGCGCGTTTTCTCGGACGCTTTGACCACCGAAAAGTCAAATTTGCCTCTACGTCAAGGGTGCCAACGGCCGATTTCCAGAACGTGTTGGGGCAATTCGAGCCAGGGACCTGCATCAATCAACCAATGGTGTGCCTTTCTATTCTTTTCTCCAACAAGCCGCCTAGAAGGCCTTCTATGGGTATGGAGCAGAACAACGAAGCTTCTCCACGATACCATTTTGGGCAAAGATCGATCCACCCATCTCTTCGGTATGGTGCTCAACATCGCTGTCAGTTACTCCTACCAAACTTTCCCACACTCAGGCTGCCGTTGGCCTTATCCTGTCAGATTAATGTCATAGGAGTTGTGAGTGACACGTGACGGCTACTCTCCCGTGGTGGGACGATCACGGATTTCGGCTGCTGCTGACCGCAAGATATCGGCTTGGGTCTAGGCAGATCTGCGCCATTACGCAACCCCATCCGCATGTCTTACGTGAAATTGGCTGATACGTCTGGCCCATGGTGCTGTCCGGTTCACTTCAAATCCTGCATCTGGTATGCCTCCATTGCACATTGTGGGACACCTGCATTGCAATATCAAATTCCATGCTATGTCCGCATGATTTTATTGCAGTGTCAACGCTTGGAACCGATGGGGAGGCCACGTCTCGGCTCCACGCAGCGACACATGAGCGACGGCTAGAACGGCAGTCAGGCTGTACGTCCGCCAGGAAGCTTCTACCAGTCAAGACGGTTGCGCCACTTCCACAGAAAAAGACGTGAGAGGTCTCTGGCAGCCGCGACATCCCGTGTTCTCTATGGTATTGTCTTCAGCTCCACGCCAGGTCTTGCGAATTCCCTTCTTCTCGCCTCCACTCTGCTGATGAACCACAGAATTGCAGCAGCTCCAGGGCTACAAGCACCCCTGTGACCTCCACCCTCGCTTATCTTGCCCCGTCTTCCATGCTAATGGTAGGTATGGTCTGTGCGATTTTTTTCTTTCGAAACACTTTCCGCGTGTAAGGGAAACGCACACAACCTCCACCCCCAAATGGTCAGCGGCGGCAAGGCTGCTCATAAACCTCCACGCTATTGGTGTGCCTGACCCTGACCTGACGTTGGCCTGGCGCTTTGACCTACACCTAATGTGCCGGCGACGATAAATGCAGTATAGCACGAATTATTCTAGCGTCATATCTTGCATAGGTGAGGGGAAGATCCTTTCCCGAATACCTGGAACGCGGGAAAGAAAATTGCATGATGGTCTCCCCCAATGGGGTCTGTGCGCTGTCATTGTAATGACAGCTCAGTGAAGTATCGGAAATGGTGCCGTGTACAGCCTTGCATACTTCAGCCTCGTGTCTGATCTCCCGTCATAAATGTCACATCCGAGCAAAGATCGACGACAGACACGAGGGGACAAGCACTGAAGATCGACATTTATCGATGATGATCTGCCTCTACAATTTTTCTTTGCAACGCACCTTCTGCTTACAGCGTGGCTAACAAGGAAGGTGGGATCACTGCAAAGTGCAGACATGGTTGTAGTTGGCCATTCAAGTCAAGCCTCCATGGAGTCTAGCTGTGGGCGCAAAATTTTTCGAGTCAAGACTTTGCCATTGGGAAATCTCCCGAACACGCTCCCCACCGATCTATATCTGCTATATCATACTTTAGCGATCCTGGTTCGCTCCAAATGCAATGCATACGAGTAGCTAGATACCGTCAGCTTCGGCAGTCCACAATGTGGAAAAGTGTGGAAAAGTGATCTTCTTACCCGAAGATTCCGAGCACGGCAAAGGCGATCCCAAGCGCACTTTCATGCCCAACAGCCTCGTGCTTGACAACCCATCCCAGACCAATGATGAGGATTGTCTTGAGATGTCCGACGACTGTGCTGCTGACTGGACCGGCGTTTGTGATGATGTAGAATTGCGAGACGTTGATGAGCATGGCGCAGAAGCCGCTCAATGCGACCATTGCCCATTGCTGTCCACTCACTTCTGTCCATTCGGGATATTTGTCGGTGAAGAAGCTCGTGCCCAGCAGTATTGTGATGCCAAGCGGCAGCTGATTGAGCAGGAGTTGAGCAGTGGTTAGTTTCAATGTGCGATGGTACGCCGAGACCCAGACCGTGTACAACGCACTTACGGCCACACCCGAGAAGGCGAAGATGACGCCGAGCATGGATGTGGATGCTGTGGCTGAACCTTTGGCCGCCCCTTCGATGTACGATACCAGTGCCACGCCGAGACTTGCGGGGACAAGTGCTGCGACTGCCAGACTGGGAATCCGAGCGCCGTAGATGACAAGATTCATCATGGCTGTGAGGGGTGCAAGCAGGATACGCACGATCTGTGAGAAGATAACTGACGAGTACGCCAATGATAGGTTCATCAAGACCACGTTAGCACCCATGGCGACCGTGAGCGGAAGGATGGTCAGAAGACTCGTCCTGGCTGGGGTGAAGAGGCCGATGGGCTGCCTTGAGGCCAGGAACAGCGTGAGCCATGTCACGGTGAAGTGGTATGCCACGAAGAGGAGTTGGCATTCTCGGAAATTGGGGTCTGAGAAAATGGATTTGTTGACGTAGACCTGTAAAGAGATGAGTTGGGTTTGAGGATGTATGGTTCTCGTGGATACTTACAATGGCGACAGTTGCAATGATGTTGATGATTATGCATGTCTTGGTTCGGAGATCAGGAGCGCCTTTCTCTGAGGAGTTGGATGGGTCGACATGCTTGTGGGTGATTTGGATGGTGGAGATGTCCACCGACTTCTCGTTGTCCTTCTCCATTGTCGTGAGGTTGGGAGGATAATGGTTCCTGGGAGTGAGTGTAGTGCAATGCTTTTGGTCGTTCTTTATGACAAGATGCGGTGTGTGGGTAGTTCGGAGTCCTTGTCTTCGAAAGACAAGATATGGTACCCTCTGATATGCCTGAGTGAGGATCGCGCTATGGGCTATAGGGTCTTGGTCCAGAGGCTCTGAAAAGCCTCGAACAGCACACCACAACCAGACGCCTAGATCGCGAGGGCTTCCCAATGTGCATGAAGCTGTTTGAGCACGGTGCACAGAAGCCACAAGAGTTGTCAGTTCAGCTCTCTCTCGCTACCAGACTATTGATGGCATCCCACGCAGGGCACTCCCCGCTATTGGTTGCTTGAGGATGGTTCTCGTGTTGAGTCGCACCTTTTGCGTTCGATGCAACTCTGTGGGTGCTCCAGATCTACCTCCAGCGAGGTAGCGAGCAAGCCACAACCCCCTCGCCTGCAGGATTCAGAGGCATTATTCATGCAACACGAATCCACTAGCCAGAAGCAGCCCTGGTATCGCGGTATTGATGGTATCGGCCAAAACGTGATATCGGTCACGGTCTTACAATACCGGAAGATCACATCTTAGACCCAAACTCTATCCAAAGTTTGGAGTCAGTTCGCACTTTTCCACAACGAGACGACGGCCGGAAGCATCAGGAGGCGAAACACGTGGATCTGAAGAAGGAGAAGTCTTCCACGAGACCTTCTAGAACAAAAGCAACTCCTGACCTTTGCCACAGTCCGTTCATAAACTTCGTGGGGATGACCATGTCTCTGGGACGGATATCAGGCTCCGGTGTATCGCTTTTGTTCGGGCCACGCTTACTGCAAAGATACTCCATTGCTGCACTTAAGCAGAGAACACATATTGAGACATCGTATTGAGCCCCTCTGCAGCATCCCGAAGAACTGCACGACGCCGATCAGGAAAACTTTGAGCAGGACGAGCTGCCTGATTGCGACAAGAAGATGTGCCGTTCGCCTGGGAACACCAAGTGGTTCCGATCGTCGGGAGCGAGAGAATCCCCGAGACGCCTGTAGGCAAGTGGGAGCCAACATATGATGCAGAATGTTGCAGAGGCCCACGTGGTGATGCAGTGTTGGTCCGTGCCAATCTCAGGGAATTATGCTGTTGGTTGGTTCAGATGGTTATTGCGCGCAACTATTGAAAGCACCGACCACATATCCTTTTTGGGATGAAATTCCTGGAGGTCAGCGGCGCCGAGGTCGGTGGGTTTGCATTGACCCTGAGTAGAGCCTCATCCGCATAGTTGGAACGATCGATCATGAACCTTACGGGCGCAAATTTTCCAGATGGGCAGGTAAAATGAGAGTATTGTTATGCTTTCGGGGTCGCTGACAGCCGCTGAGGTCAACGTCGGGTTGAAGACCATGATATGACGACATTCGAAGACGTCCTAGACATGGTCGGCAGCGAGTGCAAATTTCAGTCTCGACAACGCGATCTTCGTGCGCGTGAGATGACAATGATGACCTAACTTGTTTTCTTTTGTTTGACTCAAATGGCATATCTGGAAGCTTTAGGCGGAGGGAAAATATTGTGCTGGCTACCACGATGTCTTCTCTCACCAGATGGACGTCATGTTTGTCCTTCTGAGAATATACGCCCTGGGTAGATTGAGGTTGGTGATTGCTAGGCTGACGCAAACGGTTCCCTGCGTTGATAGGTCGAGAGGTGTGTTTCTATGCTTGCCGCAATGGCTTTCTTGCGATGCAGGAATCGCGGCGGATAGGTTGAGATACCTCGAATGGGTTTCGTTTTTTTCGTCGGAGCCATCACAGTCGGTAAAGAACAGCTGAGCATCAGAGATACTCGCGTCGTTGTTGCTTTGCAGTTGTGATTCATGTCCATTTCCTCTCTGGACGTCAAACACCTTGACGTCTTGACGCCTGCTCGGTTAACTTGCCTCGGGATCTTCCGAACTTAGCGGCGATACAAGCCTTGTTAAGAGATCACGCCAACCGCATTGGGTCGCTCTTTGCGAGATCAGGTATCAAAAAGTAGTCCGGATCTTCCGTAGAGCTTGCTAAGTGCTCACACACGTCCTGACGGAATGCCTGACACGACGCAGAGGTGAGGTGAGCAAGTACTAAAACCCTGGCGACCGCCTTGTGGTGTCCTACCTATCCATCATGCGCTTCCAGTCAAATGAGATGAGGAAAACATGACAGATCACCAGTCCTTGACCAGACTTCGGCCAGTGGGTGCGCATTGAACTCATTGTAGTTCCTCCCTACCAATGCTGACTCTGTCCCAGGCTTGCTTGAGCAGTTTGCAACAGCCAGACACTCTTTAGGCTTTTACAACAATGTGGCAGTCAGCGCCTTTTATTCTTCCAGAGTCGTGCGGGACTTCTCGGCGTTAGCATATGTTATATTCACTGCCTTAGACGCGGTTATAGCTGGACACCCAGCATTGAGTGCTATTCCGGTCGACGAAGACACATCTGCTCCATACTTTGCGAGACTACCAGAAATTGACCTCCAAGAGGCGACAACGTTTGTGTCCTCGGAGCTCGTCCTAGACCCGTATAATGAAGCCTCGATGAAGGAACTTGACAAGATTTTGGAAGAGCAACACAATAAGGGTTTCCGAGATCAAGCTAGCAGCCTACCTTTCTGGCGGATGATTGTTGTATATGAGCCGGCGAAGTGCTCCGACTTCATCGCGTGCTTCGTATTCCATCATGCTCTGGCGGATGGAGCATCTGGTCTGGCATTTCATCGAGCTTTTCAATCCGCACTTGAAAGGGCGGACACCATTGCAGCTACTTTTGGGTCGATTGCAGACAATCGTGGAGGCCACCGTCTCAACAACAAGTTCATTGCAAGACCGCCCGGCAGGTCTCTGATCCCAAGTCTGGAGGACATTCATCCACTGGCACTCTCGATCACTTACATCCTCAAGTCGCTCTGGAATGACTGGTTTCGTAGCAGACCAAGTACCGTGTGGACGGGCTTACCTATAACGGCAGATCCGAGCAAAACGAAAAGTCGCTTCCAGTCAATGTGCTTATCGCAAGGCACCACTACCCGTCTCCTGAAGGCATGCCGGTCTCACGCCACAACTCTGACAGCAGCTGTCGAAGTCCTTACAGCGGCCGCTGTACTCACAGAGCTCCCGACAGAATACTCTATTGTGCGGTGCCAGGGCGCCATATCTTTGCGGAGGTGGCTTCCTCACGACATTGTCAACGAAGACTCATTTGGCGACTGGGTTTCTCGGTATGTGGACGAGCACCGCTGGACGGATAGCAGGGACCAACCCCGTAAAGCCATCGACTTGTTCTCCTGGGACGAAGCGAGGCGTGTGAGGAAAACAATTGAGACGGAGCTCAACAAGGAGGGCAAAGATAACGTGGTTGGGCTTCTAAAGTACGCTGGAGATATTCATCAACGGTTCAAGGGGAAGATAGGAAAAGACCGAGACGAGACATTCGAGATATCCAACATTGGCGTGTACAAGACTGGCTTCGCAGGGGACATGGATTGTGAATGGAGAGTTGGCAGAGTTGTCTTCAGTCAATGTGCGGACGTCTGTGGTCCTGCAATCGGCTTGTCGCTTGCCACGGGAGGAGATGGATGTCTCAACATTGGCTTTTCGTGGTTAGAGGGCATTGTTGAGGGAAGGTGGATGGAGCAGATGATGACGACTTTACGGGATCTTGTGGATGAGGTCGTGCAGTCTGAGTGAAAAATGAACATAATCAGACCATCCTCGACGCTGGTGAAAGAATCTTCTTGGCCTTGTATGGGAGTCTTTAGGTGTTGTCACCGATGCTGCTTTAAGTAAGGTATAACCAGCCCCGCGTGAATGTTGTCCGTGCTTTGGGGAAGGTCAAGCGGCCGCCTGCGTTCACCCGCAAAAAGTCCAGCATCTCCAACGACCTCGTCGTCGAAGTCACAGTCTGGATAATATCTTCAGCATCGATCGATCTCGCTTCCGGTTGACTGCCTTGTATCTTTGTGAGGACAATGGTCTGGCACCATGTCGGCGCAAGGTCAGGGTCCAGACCCAAGTGAACGCATCTTCGTCGAGCTGCGGAGTAGGAACGATGAAGTCAAGAACAAGGCAGCATCTGAACTGCGCGACCTCATAACGCTGCTCTCAAGAGGTGAGAGACATATTCCTATTGTCCGAACTGAAGTGTGCTAATTTTATGTCAGAATGGTCACCGGAACGCTTCAGTGCATTCTACGACAGAGTCACGAATCGCATCAGCAATCTCATTGTCCAAGCACCAGAATCCAGCGACAAGGTTGGCGGAGTCCTCGCCCTCGATCGACTGATAGATTGTGAGGCAATCGACGCTGCTCAGAAGGCTTCAAAATACTCGAATTACCTCCGAGCCGCCTTGAAGAGCAATGACTACACAGTGCTGGACGCCGCTAGTCGAGCGCTGGGCCATCTGGCCCGGCCTGGAGGCGCATACACCGCGGAGCTTGTCGAAGCTGAAATGACATCGGCCTTCGAATGGCTGCAGCCAGAGAGCAAACAAGAGAGTCGTAAATTGGCTGCGGTTCTGCTCATCCGAGAATTCGCAAAGAACTCTCCCACCCTGGTATATGGCTTTATCCCACAGATATTCGACCTCATCTGGAATGCTCTACGAGACCCGAAAGATCTCATCCGACGAATCGCCGCGCAGTCTGTCAGCGCATGCTTTGGGGTTATGGTCGCAAGAGACGCCTCATTCCAGGCTCATTGGTTCGCCAAAATATACTCCAAGGCTCTCGAAGGCTTTCGTGCTACGTCACCTGTCGACGAGACACTCGGCTCCTTGCTGATTTTGATGGAGCTGCTGCAGCAGGGAAACATGTTCATGCATGACTTCTATCGGAACACCTGCGAGATCGTGCTGCGGCTGAAAGATCACAGAGATCCTAGGATCAGAACGCAGATCGTACAAATTATACCTGTGCTTGCGGAATATGCTCCCCTGGACTTCATCAACAACTACCTGCACAAATTCATGATCTATCTTCAAGCACAGCTGAAACGAGAGAAAGAACGCAACCAAGCTTTTGTGGCCATCGGTCAGATTGCCAAAGCCGTTGGCAGTGCTATTGCACAGTACCTCGATGGAATTATACTTTACATTCGAGAATCGCTGAGTGCGAAGACTAAGAACCGAGCAGCAGTCGACGAAGGTCCCATGTTCAATTGTATCAGTATGCTTGCAGGTGCAGTCGGTCAGACCCTCAGCAAGTATATGGAAGCACTCCTCGATCCGATCTTTGCTTGTGGTCTCACGGAGCCGATGGAGAAGGCCCTTGAGGACATGGCACACAATATTCCGCCAATTCGGACGACAATACAAGACAAGCTCCTGGACCTCCTCAGCCTCATCCTCGTGCGCTCCCCATATCGACCTCTGGGTTGTCCTCCGAACACCGTACCACCCCTACCTGCATTTGCCAAAGACTACGGAGCTTTCCCTACAGAGTATAAAGACCACGAGATCACACTGGCGCTTGAGACATTGGGCAAGTTCGACTTTTCCGGCCACATTCTGAACGAGTTTGTGCGTGATGTTACACTCCGCTATGCTACCAACGACAATCCGGAGATTCGACGCGCAGCCGCATTGACATGTTGTCAACTATTCATGCAAGACCCGATCCTGCATCAGACCAGTAACAATGCTATTCACGTTGTCGGGGAAGTGGTAGACAAGCTGTTGACTGTGGCTGTGGGCGATCCGGATCCTGACATTCGGATGACCATTCTCCAAGCTTTGGACAAGAAATTCGACAAACATCTTGCAAGGCCCGAAAACATCAGATGCCTCTTCCTCGCCGTCAATGATGAGGCTTTCGGAGTGCGCGAAGCTGCAATTGAGATTATTGGCAGATTGACTACAGTGAACCCAGCCTACGTATTTCCCCCTCTGCGAAAATTGCTCGTCAATCTTCTCACCGGGCTGGGTTACTCAAACACGGCGAAGCAAAAGGAAGAGAGTGCACGTCTCATCAGTCTCTTTGTGTCAAATGCGACTTCATTGGTCAGAACATATGTCGAGGCAATGGTGTCGGCCCTTCTACCGAAAGCCACTGATCCAAATCCAGGAGTCGCCTCAACCACAATCAAAGCGCTCGGTGACTTGACCACGGTTGGCGGAGAGGAAATGGCTCAGCATATTCCGGAGCTTATGCCTATCATCATCGATGCCCTGCAAGACCTCGCATCGCATGAGAAGCGCGAAGCTGCGATGCAGACCTTGAGCTCACTCGCAGTCAACTCCCAATATGTGATCGACCCATATACAGAGTATCCCGAACTGCTTGGTATTCTGATCAACTTGATCAAGACAGAAGCACATGAGGAGCTCCGAACAGACGCAATCAAGCTGGTGGGCGTACTCGGAGCTCTCGATCCTTACAAATACCAGCAACTGAGCGAATCCGTTGCCGAAAAGCAGAGCAAGGCCGAGACCCAACCTGTGTCTGATGTTGCCTTAATCATGCAAGGCTTGACGCCCTCGAATGAAGAATATTATCCAACAGTGGTCATCAACACTCTGATGCAAACAATACTTGCTGATCATACACTCTCTCAATACCACAGCGCCGTCATTGACGCAGTCGTCACAATCTTCAAGACCATTGGCATGAAATGTGTGCCATTCTTAGGGCAAATCATACCCGGCTTTCTTGGTGTTATTCGAAGCTCCCACCCGACTCGACTGGAGTCCTATTTCAACCAGCTTGCAGTTTTGGTCAATATCGTCCGTCAGCACATCCGAGCCTTTCTGCCAGAAATAATTGTGGTGATCCAGGAATACTGGAACACGTCCAGACAGGTGCAATCCACGATTTTGTCTCTGATCGAGGCCATATCAAAGTCTCTCGAAGGCGAATTCAGGAGATATCTCGCTGGGCTGTTGCCACTGATGCTTTCAGTCATCGAAAATGACTCGGACATGCGCAGGGAATCATCAATTCGAATTCTGCACACTTTCTTGGTCTTCGGCTCTAGTGGAGAAGAATACATGCACATGATCATACCGGCGATAGTTGGAATCTTTGAAAATCCAGCAGCCCCTCCTAACGCCAGACGAGCAGCAATTGACACTCTGGGCAAGTTGTCTAGGACTGTCAACGTCACAGATTTCGCGTCTCTCATGATCCACCCCCTGGCTAAGATACTGTCATCGCCGGAAAAGGTGGTCACGAACTCATCAGAGCGCTCGCTGAAAGCCGCCGCCTTAGACTGCGTCTGCTCGCTTATCTATCAGCTGGGGCAGGACTTTGTCCACTATTTACCTCTGGTCGACCGTGCCACAAAGACAGGTCAGATCAACTCGGAACGTTTTCAAAAGCTGATTGAAAACTTGAAAACTGGGAAAGCCCTGCCCGTGGACTTCTATCCGGAAGAACAGTATGGCACTGCGACGGAAGACACGAGCTATTCCAACATCACCTCTATGAGACTCCCTGTAAACCAACAACATCTAAAGAGTGCATGGGACACATCACAAAAATCCACGAGAGAAGACTGGCAGGAATGGATGAGGAGGTTCAGTGTCGAGCTCTTGAAAGAGTCGCCATCACATGCTTTGCGTGCTTGCGCAAGCTTGGCTACCGTTTATCAGCCGCTGGCCAAGGATCTGTTTAATTCTGCGTTTGTGTCTTGTTGGACAGAGCTATACGACCAGTACCAAGAAGAATTGATCCGCTCGATCGAGAAAGCTTTGACGTCGTCCAACATCCCGCCAGACATTTTGCAAACATTGCTCAACCTGGCTGAATTCATGGAACATGATGACAAATCGCTGCCGATTGACATACGGACGCTGGGACGGTTTGCCGCAAAGTGCCACGCCTTTGCTAAAGCGTTGCACTACAAAGAGCTTGAATTCGAACAAGACCAAAACAGTCAGAGCGTGGAGGCTTTGATTAGCATCAACAACCAGCTGCAACAGTCGGATGCTGCCATTGGTATACTGCGTAGAGCACAAGTCTTCGGCGAGGTTGAGCTAAAAGAAGCGTGGTTCGAGAAGTTACAGCGATGGGAGGAAGCATTAGCTGCTTACCAGAAGCGCGAAAAGATTGAGCCAGAGAACTTCGACATAATCATGGGAAAAATGCGCTGCTTGCATGCGTTAGGTGAGTGGAGGATGTTGTCGGAGATTGCTCAAGAACATTGGAATGGTGCAACTCAAGAGAATCGCAAATCTATGTCGGCACTCGCAGCAGCAGCAGCCTGGGGCCGAGGCGAATGGGATTCCATGGACAACTACATCAGTGTCATGAAGGAAAGCTCTCCTGATCGAGCATTTTTCGGCGCCATTCTCGCTATTCAGCGCAACAACTTTATGGAAGCCGAAAACTTCATTGTTCGAGCTCGTGATGGCGTCAACTCGGAGATAACTGCCACCATCGGCGAGTCTTACAATCGCGCTTACAGTGTCGTTGTCCGGACGCAAATGCTTGCTGAGCTTGAAGAGATCATCGTGTACAAACAGAGTGAAGCTCAGCCCGAAAGGCGGGAGTCCTTGAAACTGTTATGGAATAAGAGACTGTTGGGTTGCCAGTCAAATGTCGAGGTGTGGCAGCGGATGCTCAAGGTTAGAGCCCTCGTGTTGACCCCAACTGAGAATCCGGACATCTGGATCAAGTTCGCCAATCTTTGTCGCAAGTCCGATCGCATCGGACTGGCTGAGAGGTCACTGGCTTCCTTGGGAGGCGTCAGTGATGCTGCCGCAGGGGCAGGTGCAGCACCACCTCCAGTGGCGTATGCTCGCCTCAAGTTCAACTGGGCGACTGGAAACCAACAACTAGCTCTGTCTTACCTCCGAGAATTCACCATGCGTCTTGCAGATGAGTTCCAGCAAGCCAACACGGCGATTATCAACGGTGTCCACAATGATCGCATGAGCAATATGAATGGGCTTGACATCTCAGGCCATGATGCGCTTGCCCAACGAAAGAAACACGACGAACTGGACAAGTGTGCTAAACTCTTGGCCAAATGCTACCTCAGACAAGGAGAGTGGCAGTCTTACCTTCTCAGAGGCGACTGGACAAGTCCTCGTGCGCAGGAACCTGTTCGAGACATCCTGCAATCTTACCAAGCTGCTACTCAGTATAACGAGTCTTGGTACAAGGCCTGGCATGCTTATGCACTGGCAAACTTCGAAGTTGTCACGTCCATGGCTGCTCATACAGATCAGGACAAGGTCCGAAATCTGCCAGAGCATGTCATTCAGAATCATGTGGTCCCAGCAATTGGAGGCTTCTTCCGGTCAATAGCATTATCGAAGACGAGCTCCCTGCAGGATACTCTTCGGCTATTGACACTGTGGTTTGCACATGGTGGACATAGCGAGGTCAACTCGGTTGTCATCGAAGGCTTTGCATCCATTAGTATCGACACATGGCTGGAAGTGATTCCGCAGTTGATTGCACGGATCAACCAGCCAAACCCTCGAGTACGGGCGGCTGTCCACCGTCTGCTGGCGGAAGTTGGAAAAGCACACCCACAAGCTCTTGTTTATCCGTTGACGGTGGCAATGAAATCATCAGTCGCAAGGCGCGCCAACTCTGCAACACAAATTATGGACAGCATGAGAGTACACAGTCCTGTCCTCGTCGAGCAAGCAGACGTCGTCAGTCATGAATTGATCCGAGTCGCTGTCCTTTGGCACGAGCTCTGGCATGAAGGTCTCGAAGAGGCCTCCCGGCTGTACTTTGGAGACCACGACGTTGAAGGCATGCTGGCCACACTTGCTCCATTACACGAGTTACTTGATCGTGGCGCCGAGACTCTAAGAGAAGTGTCGTTTGCCCAGGCCTTCGGTCATGACCTTGCAGAAGCTAGGGCCTTCTGCAACGCCTTCCGGCGGTCCAAGGAGATCGGTGACCTCAACCAGGCATGGGATCTGTACTACGCAGTTTTCCGCAAGATTGCACGACAACTGCCACAATTGATGAGTCTCGACTTGAAATACGTCTCGCCGCGCCTTAAGGATGCGCACGATTTGGACCTGGCGGTCCCTGGCACTTACCAGTCCGGCAAGCCAATCATCAAGATCATCAGCTTCGACCATGTCTTGACCGTCATTCCCTCTAAGCAACGACCTCGAAAGATGACGCTGAAGGCCTCCGACGGTATCTCTTATGCCTTTGTCCTAAAGGGCCATGAAGATATCCGTCAAGACGAGCGTGTGATGCAGCTCTTTGGCCTGGTCAACACTCTTCTGAACAACGACACTGAGTGCTTCAAGCGCCACCTTAACATTCAGCGCTTCCCAGCCATTCCGCTGTCCCAGAACTCCGGGTTGCTTGGTTGGGTGCCGAATTCCGACACTCTCCATAACTTGGTCAAGGAGTACCGTGAGTCGCGCCGCATATTGCTCAATATCGAGCATAGAATCATGCTGCAAATGGCTCCGGACTACGACAACCTCACACTTATGCAAAAGGTGGAGGTCTTTGGATATGCCATGGATAACACCACTGGCAAAGACTTGTACCGTGTCCTGTGGCTCAAATCGAAGAGTTCTGAGGCCTGGCTTGATCGACGAACCAACTACACTCGATCACTGGCTGTCATGTCTATGGTAGGCTACATTCTCGGGTTGGGCGATCGTCATCCATCGAATCTCATGCTCGACCGTATCACAGGCAAGATCATTCATATCGATTTCGGCGATTGTTTCGAGGTCGCCATGCACCGTGAGAAGTACCCCGAACGGGTACCTTTCCGATTGACCAGGATGCTCACATTCGCGATGGAGGTAAGCAATATCGAAGGCTCGTTCCGAATTACCTGCGAGAATGTAATGCGTGTCATTCGGGAGAACAAAGAATCTCTTCTCGCCGTGTTGGAAGCCTTTATTCACGACCCTCTGCTTAATTGGCGGTTGAACACTCGTGAATCTCCACCAAGACCACACTTCCGCTCCGAGCGCAGACAGAGCATCATCGATGCCCCTGGCGGTCAGGGTGCGGAGTTCGACCGCAGTCCGATGGAGACGGCCAATAACCCGGCCGCCATGATGAACGGTGCGGCGCAGAGCCACGTTGGGGCGCCGCCCGGCCGCAGACACCGACGAAGCAGCATTCTCGACCCGGCCATGGTAGGTGGAAGTATCCTTGATGGAACTAAGGGTTCGGACAACAATAGCAACAATGCGGCCCAGGAAGCGAAAGAGGTGCAAAACGCGCGTGCGCTACAGGTGCTCGCGCGGGTCAAGGAGAAATTGACGGGTCGCGACTTCAAGCCTGCCTCGCCGGGCGCCAGTCCCAGTGGCGCTCGCTTGGGAGCCGATTTGCATGGCTTGGGTCTTGAGGCTTTGATGGACTTGCATGGTGGAAGTATGAACCACGCCACTGGAATTGCGCCGGCGACTCCAGGTAAGCAGGTGTCCATTGCAGGTGCGGCGCCGGAGACGGCCATGGCGGGTATCAGCGGACTCGGCGTCGCGGAGCAGGTCGATCGGTTGATCTTGCAGGCGACGAACGTGGAGAATCTGTGCCAGCATTATATTGGGTGGTGTTCGTTCTGGTGAGCCCTGATGCGGGCTCGTCGCTGGTGTAGGATAACGATTGGCCGGGCGTGGTCAAACATGACGGAAGACTTATTGTATGTGCTGAGCAGGGTTTCGGGCTGTTTGGATGGCGTTGAGCGAGAAATCCAGACGAGGCTGGACCGGGCTATGGCACCTTTTTTCGAAGGGTATGGGAACGAAAATGGGTTCAGAAGAGATGATGAGACATGGGTTCATTATATGGACGTATGGGTTAGCATAGCGTAGCAAGGCGCGGTATCTATGTAGGCATTTCGCATTTCACGTATCCTTACAGTAATGATATGTCACTTATGTTGAGTGCTGATCATGTTCGGATGCGCGAGTTATGTGAACCAAAGAAGTTGAAATGGAGAGTCGAGACAAAATGTGAATTGCTCCTAGCCATTTTTAAACCCCATATATGCCCACGACGGTGAAGCGACGGTAACGCCTCCTCCATGGCAAGATCTCATGAAAACCAGAATGCAGTGTGACGTCTCTGTCGATACCCTTTTGATTGAGCTCCGTCCGTGCAAATATGTCCATGATGGCAAGAGAAATGATGTAGCAGAAGCTCCGTGCCTGTGCGCTACTTTGCATGGTTCCAGCATCCATCCTCTGAAAGATTTCTGTTGGCTCTAGTGGTGCCCATTGCTGGCGCCGTTTGAGCCATTCTGTTGCTTGGCCCGAACTTCTCTTCTCGTTCGCACAGCGTCGGCAAGCTGTTCGAGGACATCGACTGTGGTGTCCCAGTTGATGCAGGCGTCTGTGATGCTGATGCCTTTTTGCAGAGAGGCAAGACCACCCTCCGCAGGGACTTTCTGGCTGCCCTCGTTGATATTGGATTCGATCATGACGGCGACGATGGCGTCTTCGCCTTGTCGTAGTTGGTCGCCGATAGTCTGGGCGACGAATGGCTGGTTCTTGTGGTTCTTCTTGGAGTTGCCATGTGAGCAGTCAATCATCATGACTTCGCGCTGGTTCTTCTTCCGTAGCTGTTCTCGGGCATCCTTGACACTCTCGGCGTCGTAGTTTGTGCCTTTGGATCCACCTCTTAGGATGACGAAACCGTCTTCGTTTCCGCTGGTCTTGGTGATGGCGGCGAGACCTTGTTTGGTAACACCCATGAAGTGATGCCTGGCAGCTGCTGCACCGACTGCGTCAATGGCCACGCTTAAAGACCCGTCTGTTCCATTCTTGAAGCCCATGGGGAAGGAGAGACCGGAGGCGAGTTCACGGTGCAATTGAGACTCGGTGGTACGGGCACCAATGGCACCCAGAGAGATGAGGTCGGCGAGGAATTGAGGGGAGATGGTATCGAGCATTTCACTGGCGATGGGCATGCCCATGCTGGTGAGGTCGGCGTAGAGTTTTCTTGAGACTCGCAGGCCTTTGTTGATCTTGTAGGACTCGTCAATGTCGGGGTCGTTGATCAGACCTTTCCAGCCGACGGTGGTGCGGGGCTTCTCGAGGTAGGCTCGCATGATGATGCAGAGGTCAGAGGAGAGCTTCTCGGCGAGTTGCTTTAGTCTTTCAGCGTACTCGAGGGCGGTGGCTGGGTCGTGAATGGAGCAGGGTCCGACCATGACCAGCAGTCTGTCGTCACGCTGGTGTATGATCTCTTTGCATTCTCTTCGACCTCGGGCAACGGTCTCGATGGAAGATTTGGTGGCAGGCACCTCGCTTTGAAGGAGAGCAGGAGGGATCAGAGGATCGTAACCGAGGACTCGGACATCCTCATTGAGCTCGAGAGGAGCATCGGCGGAAGGCATGGCGCAGGTGGTGTGTGTGAGTGAGTGAGAGATGGAGGAAATTGGATGTGGCGGAACTCGGTGTTGCAGTCAGTCGACGAGTAGATGGGCGAGAAATGTGAGACTGAACTGGGAGTCCAGGAAGAAGAGGTGTAAGGTGAACTGACTGTGTTTGTGGGAAGAAGCTGTTTGTTCGGGTATAGGATCAGTTTATGATTCACGGGTCACGAAAAAAATAGTCGATTCGATCCAATAATTTGCGGGGCAGAATCTTCATTCTTAGCAGGGTCCAGAGGCGGTGAGTCTAGTTATTAATGCTAGTTAATAGATCCAGACTCACTGGCAACAAGAGCCTCACGCACGTGGAGCCCTCGCAATTGGCCGGATTAGTATCGGCGGAAGAACGTGACTCAAGTCACGTGAGCAAGCGTGCAGGCCAGTGGTTCTCCTGCCTATTCCTGCTGCATTCAAGTTATAGTAAACACTGTCGCCATCCCGCTGGGCCGTGTACTTGTATCATAGATTTCCTCGTTGTCAGAAAGAGGCATCGCCATCAAAGGGAGGTGTCACTACACGATTCGGTTTCGGAAAAGGTTGTTGCATCCTAAACTGACGTCATAACGAGCAAGCCCCTTTTGTGGCTGATTGAATGGACAAAGAGGCAGTTGTAACCCAATCACTTGAGTCTAATAGGTAAATGCCACCTGGGAAAGTGTGGCTTCGGTTATATCCTTCCATCCCACATATGCCCCCCATGATGTCGTTCTTTGTTGAAGTCAATTAACCATCATACTCATCAATCCATCCCCTTTTTCGTTTCTTCAACACTGCCATCACGACCAGGTCATCGTTATACGGAACGCTGACTTTCCGACTCATCGCGTCATACATTGGTTAAGGTCGCCTTTCCTCACTTCCAGCTGTCGAGCCGCCCTGGTTGGTTCCCGTCGAAATTGTGTGTGTTTCATCAGCCATCTTCTCGAAACTTGCGACACTGCCACCGTTTGATCAACTCCCCTTTCCGATCGGGGCTTATGACATGAGCCCCTCCACATAAAGGAACTCTGTTGAGCGCTTGCCAGAAGTTTTGTCCTCATGTCGACTGATGAGCAAAAGTCCACAAACATGGCCGACGTGCATTCTGGGTTTGACTTCAACACTACACCGCATAAACGGAAGCGAAGACCCGACCATCTTGACGACAATTCTTTCGGTCGCGATATCAAACGGAGGTCAACCCACACTCTGCCATTCCGACTAAGCCCCTCGCGGCCTCACATTCCTGCCCCTCAGGCGTACTCACTCTTCACTTCCGTCTACCAACAACCTCCCACTCCCGTGGACACTTCCGATGAGGAGAGCCTCGACCAGACACATGAGGAGAAATTTGGGTCTGAAAGACCTTTGTCAATGCCGCGCTCCCAAGGAAGTAGCAATAACAGCCTCTCCTCAATCCAAGCCCAACATGGAGATTCGCTAGACGTCGACATGGACCATACAATGACTTCTACCCCGATTCCGAAAATCCGGCGAGCTCGATCGAACGACATCATGCCTCCTCAACGTGACCGGAACTTTTTGAGTGCCATGGACTCTTTTGCAAGAGAGAGGGTTCCCACACCTATTAGCAAACATTTCGATGACCGCATTCCGGATCTACCTAGCGTTCCACGACATCAATTTCCGCCTCTCCGGACCAACCTTAGTCCTATGTTCGAACAGGACTCATGGATCACGCGAGACGGTCTTCCAAGTCCTGCGGGAGACGATGACATGGACGGTGTCGTGATGAATGACGGAATGAAGAATGACGAGGCTCAGCTGGAAGAAAGATATAGACTTCAACTCGATGGGCACGGAAGCCCTGGGCGGTCAAGGACGGCGAGACTTCATATGGGATTTCTCACCGGTTGTGACAAATGCATTCAGAAAGTGCCAGGTCACTATAGTCACATTTTATGGTCATGATGGGATAGAGCATGGCATGGCGTGACGTTGCATGTGCAACGAGTGATGAATTGAAACGAGGCTATGATCGGACGGCTATCGCTTTAGCGGGTTATTGCCAGAGTGCATCTTTGGAGCATTGCATTTGCCTTTTTGATGGTTTACGAGAGCATGAGTTTGTTTTGGCACTTCGTTTCTCGCCGGAGCGGATGATCAACATTCAGCCGCTATGCAAACCCCTTCTTTTGAAACCCTTAGCTGTACAGAGGATGAATATGAACTTTGAACTTTCTCCTGCATACACATTACACACATGTCCAGTTTTTATGACTTGCCGCCTCTCAACCAACTCAGCCATCCCTGATTCTGCGTCGGATGCGTCACTGCGTCCGCCACGTTTCCAGCCCACTGATCCAGGGGACCTCCTTTCCTTCTGGTCCCTGCATCCACACTGGCAGCCTGTCCAACAGGTGGTGTACTAAGATATTCCACTCTATCCTGCGGCACCGGTCTCCCCTTCGAATCGACACCCACGCCTTGAATCCCACTCGATGCTACTGGTAGTGGTACGCCCGTAGCTACCGCGGTGGGCCGAATCTCTCCCTCGACGAAACTGTCATCCGCCGGCCCTTGTCTCCCCCGAGCTCGTCTAGCATCCTGCTGTTGTCGTGTGAGCCGTTCCGCCTCTGTTTCTGTCCCCATCTCTCCCTTGGCCGCCTGACTTGCGAACATATTTCTGAACCTGCTGTAATATGATTCAGAGGACTTGCGCTCGACCGCTCGTTTCCGCGCAGCCTCCATCTCCTCACCCGCACGTTCTTGCTCGAGTAAATGTAATTGTTCGGCGGTGGCGTCTCCCCGTAGAAACGCCACGCGCGCTTGGTCTAGTCTGTCGAGTTCGCGCTCGATCCACGCACGTTTCTGCCGCCGGTTATGTGCGATTAGGGATGTTGTTCCGTAGGCGGCGACCACGGTGGATACGCCGGCGAAGAGGATCAGACCGTAGGCTGTGAAGCGGTGGGCGCGGTCGGCCCAGCGGCGGCCTGTGTCGATGACGCGTTCTAAGGGCGAGGAGTTTGCGGATTCCTTTGCGGCGCGGGCGGCGGCGCGGAGACGTGCGACCTTTTCCTGGGGGGTTTCGTTTTGGGGTGGAGGTCTTGAGGATGGGGACTGGGATGGGGATGATGATGGATTTGGAGCGGGTTGGTATGTGAAGCCGGGAGCTGCGGCGCGGGACATGGCGTGTGGTGTTGTTGATGTGAAGCGGGTGAAGGTGTCGGAGGGTGGTCTGCGGGACATTTTTTTTTTCTGGTAGTGGAAGATTGCTTCCAGTTGAGGGATTAGGTGAACAGTGTGGGCTGGTGTTACACGAGCGGCATTAGCTAGGTTGGAGTAATGTACACGGAGGTGTCTTGATGGAAGTGTACAATCAGGATCGGATTTGTGTCTCGTTGAAGAATTGTGAAGCTTCTCAAGATTCGGGGATCATGAGCTGCATGATATTGAAATGACAGCCCGTGTTCCCGATGATGATTCTTCAACACCTGCAGGAGAGTGGTTCCACTTGACTACAGCGAATGACGGAGCTGGAAATGCAGATAGACGAAGAAACACCATACACTCACTTTCTTTCTTACTCAATTTACTTGAAAGCATCTGGCTGTAAGATACATGTACTATTTGATGTTGGGCAGGCGAGTTTCTGAGTCATCCAGAACAATGTCTGGTTGGATTATCAAGTCCACGCCCATCCGATTGTCGCCTCCGCCTATTTGACGAGCCCCTTTGACGCCAGATAACTTCGGATAGTCTCTTCAGCGTCCTCCAGAGGAAGACCCAACCTATCGTTCCACAAGCCTTTGGTCTTTGAGAACTCACAGAACCCGCCATTGTTCAACATCAACAGCACAATGGCTTCGTAATTCCCTCGTCTCCATGCCTCTTCGTCGCTGGGACCGCCACGTATCTTCTCATCGGCGACGGTTTGAGCCTCCTGTTTCTTCGCATGTGTAACTTGAAAGGCGTTTCCGGTTAGGTTTTGGAAAGTCTTGAGCATTTGATTCTGACTGATGGTAAAGCTGTTGATATAGATGTACTGGTTAGCCGTCTCTTCCACATGTTCGGCCGACAAGACGGCTGTGACAGCACGACCTATCTGCGCGAGATTTGTCGCTTCAAAGGTAATGTCTCCGCCGTCGAAGACTGTCAAGGTCTTTTCTGCCATATTCACGCCCAAAATACCGGGCATGTCAAGTATCGAGTCGAAGAATGCACCGACTATGAGGCCTGTCCAAGACATCCCCGTGGATTCTTTGGCCTTCAGGCGCTCGACAGCATCTCTTTTGAGGCCCGTCAATGGGACTAGGTTGGTAACGGATGGGTCGGAGGTGTCGACGCCGTATTCAGACGGGATGAATCGGCGGACTCCGGCTTCAGCGGCAGCGTCGATGATGGGGAATTGTTGTTCCAGGTGGAAGGTTGCCATGGCTGAAACCACGGCGTCTTGGCCTTTGAGAGCGGCCACAAGGGAGTCGTGGGTGTAGTCGGTCTTGATGACCTTTGCACCATTGGGAATTTGGGCATTGGAAGATGCACGACTGAGGACTGAGACGTCGAAGTTTGCTCGAAGAAGATGTCGGACGATTTCAGCGCCTGTCAGGCCGGATCCGCCAACGACAGTGACCTTCTCGATTGGGCTTGACGGCATTGTGCCGTTTGTTACTGTGCGAATAGGGTGATGAATGTGCCCTTGTGGGCTGGACGAGTTCTGGACAGCAAGAGGTCGCTTTTATACCTTTTGTTCAGCTCCATGACTATACCACTGCCAGGCTGGCGCAGCATGTCTCGTTCTGATTTGTAAGAATCAGTCGACTTCTTGATTTCAAGACGCCTCAAAACTGTATGATAGAGTCATAGGCGACATCTGGACACAACGCCTTGTGATTAGTATAGGCTATTGTTGAACGCGACATACATTATTTATTGTCCGAGATCCCGGATTTTCTGGGGAGCCCCGCAGATCGAGCTGCATAAGCCATAAGCCATAAGCCATAAGCCCAGTTTGCTTGACACAAAAAGCCAAAAAGCCACCTAACGGATGAGGCCTTGTTCCAGACTCTGATGGATGTCTTCATGCCGCTCAGGGAAAGTTCTCTCGTGCCTTATGCTACTCGCTGTTGACGAGGGAGCATTTACTCAGCCTTGCTTACGTACTACTATATGAAGAGAAGGGAGGGAGCCTTGCCAAGACATCCATCGACCTCATCGTCAGACACTGTGTCGACTTCAACATCCTATCCTCACTACACTGAACACGTGTTCCTAACTTTAAAACTTCAGGGACAAAGCCCAGACTTCTATATCGTTCCTTTTCGCCCAACTCAATGGATCTATCCTCCTGGCCGATCCCACCAGTTACAAATGGCTCGAAATCCTGAACTGCAGCGCGTCCTGGCGGCCTTGAACAGTTACACAACACAGCCTTCTCCGACCCCACAACCTGGACCCTCAGGACAACAGCAGTCTCACCAGCCAGTCATCGCCACCACTGAATCTTTCATTCCCGGCTTAGGATTGCTCCCGGCAGAAAGCCAGCACAGACCTATCACTCCACCTCCGCTTCATAGACAACAGACCTCGACTCCCCAGCAGTCTCCGCCGAAACCTCGTCTAGTCGATGTTCCAAACAAGCCATCAACGCCCACAGTACCTGATGCTTCAACGATCACCACCTGGCCAGCTGCACTCAAACATGTCACTCGCCATCTAGTCACAAATGAACAGGCTTCTGCTCGTATCAAGCACATAATCGCTGAACAGCACAAACACGAGCGGCAATGGTGGGCTGGGAGGGAAGCAATTGTGGCTAGACAGCAGGGCAGAACCGGCAAGTCTCAAGAAGTAGCAGCTCTTTTAAAGTCGTTGGGAGGCAAGGAGATTGCCGTAGCTCCTTCAGATCCAAAGGCCAACCAGGCAGAGCTGGATGTGTATGACAAGAAAGTGTATTCTGGGCTGGTGGCTATGGCTTCGGATTTTGATAGACAAATGAGAGCAATAGGTGTGCCGTTCTACGCCATCAAACATGACCTTGTTGTCCTGGAAGAAGGTCTGGAAAAAGCTGGTGCCGCAAAGGGAAGGGTGGATAAAGGTGAATTGAGGGAACTTCAAAAGAAAATGTTGCAGACTCTGGAAGATCTGTTCTCAGACTGACAGGGTTGAATTTGAAGTGAATGGTGTCGAGTTGGCTGCGAAGTAACAGGAACGCGTGAACTGAGATCACGTCTCATTTTCACCTCAGATTTTCACTAATGCCGAACCGCGCCTGCACCTTCCTTCATCCAACTTCACTCAGGACAAATCCATGTTTCACTGCATCAAATCGTTTTGAAGTGGCCGAGTCAGTTGAGACCTTGTCGTCAGATGTCTTCTGATTACTTCTCTTGCGACAGCCAGGCCACCTCACCTTTTCATCACCCCAGACGAACATTCATCGAGTATCACAATCACAACAGCTTCACAATCTTCCAACATGCGCAGCCTCCTCAAATTGCTTGCCACCGGAGAAGGCTGTGATCTTGTGATCATATGCGAGGGCCAATTCTTCTTTGCCCACAGGGCGGTCGTCGGAACCCACTCACCGGTGCTCAAATCAGAGACCGCGTTCTCTCAGGTAAGATTTGACTCGTTGTTTTCGGAGTACTGATACAAGTTAACCTGAGAAACAGTTCCTAGGTGGCGAAGCCTACACCCTCGAGAATGTGTCTCCAGATGCCTTTCGCAGAATCCTGGCATTCCTCTACCGCGGCTCCATCTCTGACCATCCAAGACTATTCAAGTCGGAGAACAACGGTATTTTGGGAACAACGCCAATCGAACTTGCTAAGAGATTTCCGAACGTCAACAACTTTCTCGCAACTATTGGAGGAGGTCCAGGATCTGTCTCCAAAGGAGATTCGACAAGTACGAACCTAGGCAGCGTCACCACTGAACAGAAGTGGGCTGTCCTCACTTCGAAACAACGATTGCTCAACAAGCCTCATGACAACAGTCCATGTAGCAGCCCGACAGAGGTGATGGCGGAAACCGAGGTCTATACTGCTGCAAGAATGCTTCAGGTTGTCGGCTTACAAGATGTTGCCCTGTCGAAGATCATGGCATGGGTAGAGAAAGAGCTGCTAAAAGAGGCCTCATTGTCCGAAGACCTGCGCTTAGCAGCTGACTACATGCTTCGAAGAGAGAGGGCTCTTGTAACACCATTCTTGTCTCTGTGCACACGACACATGCCAGCTGTTGAACAAGACGCCACCTTGGTATCTCTGTTGACCTCGTTAGATCCCAATACCTGGCAACTCTTGTGCAGCATGCGTACGCAATGGACAACAGAAAATGACCAGCTCAAGCAGGACTTGCTCCAGCAAGAAAGACGAACACGTTTCCTGGAAGCCTCGATCAAGCTCAACCAGAGCCAGGAGGCGCTTTTTGCAGACGAACTCACTAGCCAAATCGACAAGCTGGGCGAGTCACTCAAGGCGTCACAGGAGAATCACAAATTTGCGGAGGCAAAGATAGAAGGGCTCAACAAAAACATTCAGTCTCAGCAAAACGAAATTCTTCAGCTCAAGGCCGCAAAGCTTGGGGCGAAGGACGCCAACCAACCAAAGCCTGAACCCAATTCTAAGGTCAACGAAGAGCTCCGAGCCACAAATCAAAAGCTGCGTGCAGACTTGAGTTCGTTGCGGGCGAGCCAAGCTCGACTCAGAGACGAGCTCAAGAACGAAAAGCAGCTGTATCAAAAATTGTGCACACAGTATAACGAGTCGAAAAGCGCGATCGACAGGTTCAGGACAGCCGTCAACAGGAACAGTTCTTGCAACAATTGCAAGCACCGGTGGAATATTGATATAGAACACATGGGGTACAATGAGATCGGCATCATGTGCAACGGTTGTTGGGAAATGGTATGGTACTAGGGTCAGATGGGCGACGTGCGGACATACTACTCGTGAGACATGCTTGAGCGAGGTGAGGCTGATGTTGTGGGCGATGATATGGTAAAGTCGATTGTAGACAAGAGGGGACCACCACAAGACAGATGAGCAAGTGGCTTTCCTGAGAAGAGTCCGGGCAAGTCAGTGAACATCTTGAGGTGGCTGAATGTCGTAGCACGTCCAGACCTTCCCATGTATGTAACGGGAAGGCGTACCTATGTCACAATATGGCGGTCGAGCTCATTTCCTTCCTGATTTGACGGCTTCACGGCAGGCGCCCCCCAAGAATTGAGCATCACTTCACCTCGACCTTCACTTCAACACCCTCCCCTCAACCATCGCGTTCAACCAGATACTTGAATCTGTCATCCTCCCGGAATGCAACGAAGAAGATGTCTGAAGATACCATCGACGATGAGGTGGAGCTCATCGATCTCTCACATCGTGCTGAAATCATCGCTAAGGATCTGAACAAGCTGTTTGAGAAATGTGGCAATGACATCGCCTCGGCCGACATCTCCAATGCCGCTGACGAACTCTCACGCCTGTCTACCGTCCTCAGTGACCTTGTACAGGCTGTAAATGCTGCAAAAGACCAGTACACCGAAACCTTCAACCAGGATCTCAGGGAGATATGTCGTCAACTGGAAAGCATATTCGAAGACGTCGAGGATTGTTGTCAGGAGGTGCACAAAACAGCGGTTGGATGGCTGCGAAAGAGGAAATATGTGGTCAAGCTACACAAACACATGGAAGCAAACATTCGTACCCTGATTGTCATGCGTACTGTGCTTCTTCATGGCATCCAGTACGGCCTGCAGAAGTGAGTGACTGGCATCGACATAATCTCACAAGCGCTGACCCGGTTACAGATCAGAAGGACGCCTGGCAGAATCAGCACCTCATGTGCTCCAAGAAGATCATGTCATCCTGGAGGCCGTCTTTGCAACCAGGCACGCCATTACGAATCTGAAGGAGAGCCCGATAAAATCCCATCGGCATACATCATCCAATTCCTCCGCAGAAGGGTCCATCGACACTCCTACTTTTGAGCCAGGTGCCCATGGTCGGAACCTTTCGTCGGCTACTGGAGTCGACGTATCTCCATTCGAGGACGTTCTGCCTCCCAGCAGTAGCGCTGGCGGCAAGCAGAGAAGCAACGACGATGCTTTGACACAACGGTTTTCGAAACGAGGTGTCCGCCTGGCAGTTCACAGCTCCTTCTTGGATCATAATGCGCATGATGTACCAAATGCCCTCAAAAGGAGATGGATGCACAACGCTCGGGCTCGAAACAGTAGCGACCAAACCAATGCCGGCAGTATCTTGAACGCCCCGCTCAGCACCATCGCCGAATGTAACTCAACCTCAACCCCAGATGAAGTTGTTGGAGGTGAAGTCGATGATCCGTTCAGCCCCAACCCGAATGAAGGCCCTTCCAAGGGAGCACGTCAAAGACTGTCAGCAGAAAGCAGCAGTGAGGAGTCCACGGACGCAAATGTCTCAAAGGCCAAGAAGATGAGTCGCACATTGTTGGCTATGCCAATGGGAAAGTCAATCGGCAGAGCTATCCGACGGCTACGCTCCACCAACCTGAACCAGAGTGAGAGCAAGGACAAGGACAACACTGAGGAGTCAGAACCTGACAAAAGTCTTGACAACAGCCCCGACAGGAGCCCAGACAACAGTCCCGAAAAGAGTCCGACGAAGAGCCCCAGCAAGCGCAACAGCTCTGACAAGACAGGCTGGACCTATCGATTTACCAAGCGCTTCGAAAGGCCTGAACTCACCACTCCTGACTACAACAAGGATTCCGAAAACATGACAATGCGTTAGTCGGGAGGAGGTGGACGACAAGGCTGTCAAAAGGTTCATGGGACAATCGCGAGGTTATTTGGAAGACTACTGGGGAGAATCGGATGAGAAGTGTCAACTGGGCACTTCGTGATTCTGCATCATTCGTTTAGAATCAAGTACACAGCATGATTTGATGATAGCAAGGCATAATAAAATCATCATTGTGTCGTGGAATCTCCATCATACCAATCATAGAGCTCCATGGTATCAATTTCCGTCATCTCATCAAACGTACATCATACTAATCAGGTACGGCGCGTGGCCATAATGAGTGTATCAAGTCATGTCGTTAATCAGGCGCAGTCTAAGCCTGCTCATGCTCCGCCAGTCTCTGCTTTCTCAGCTCCTCCTCACGCAGACTCTGCTTCTTGATATAATCCAGCACAATCTCCTCCTCGGTCCGTTGTTTCGTCAAGTCTTCCTGGCGGGCCTTTTCATGTTGCTCAGACTCCGTGATCGCGCGCTTCAACTTCTCATCCTCTTCCGCACCGAGACCGTTCGTCACCGTTGCTGACTTCAACGCCTCTTCACGCTTTGCCAATTCGGCATGTTTAGCTTGATTCTCGTCGTGCAACCGTTTACTCTCTTCCATGGCGCGGTGGAAATCCTTGTCGTGGTCATAATCTGTATCGATGCCCGAATCATTGTTTTCTGCAGAATCCATAAGGATTGGCTGTGACTTTGCAGCCTGCGACGCTTTATACTCTTCCAAACTTCTCGTCAGGACCTTTTTGAGTTGGTTCCTATGTTCTTCATCTTCATCTGCATCTTCCTCGTCTTGTTCGGCCACCGTGGAAATAACCCCTGTCTCTTGTGACTCACGACGTTTCTGGTGATCGGCCTGCGCTCGTTTGAACTCTCGCAGACTCGCTCTGAGGGCCTTCTTGTACGCGTCGTCATTGTGGTCCTTGCCGTTGCCGTTGTGCCCTGCATTATGCAACTCCTTGAGACTTGCTCTGAGCGCGCGCTCGATGATGGCGTCTTCGTCCGGATCTCCTTTACTCGATTCTGTGACGGCCATGGTGATGGCATGCTCGTAGTCTTGAAGGGAAGAATCATCATCGGGAGAGTGTGTCTTCGAGTATTCGAGAGACGAACTGATGCTGGAGAATGACCGGGTGTGGTCGAGATGGTGATTGCTGTCATGGTCGAAGGGACAGAATCGGCAACGGCTCTTGACCTTGGCCTTCCCGTTGCCGTTACCGTTACGCCTGGCTTCTTCCATCTTGACCTCTCGTTCACGACGCTCCAGTTCTTTCTGCTCTTTCTTGAGTTGATCTCGTCTCTCGGCAAGGGCCTTGCGCTCATCCCAGCTAAGATGTCTGGTGTTTTTGAAGCCGTGGACGAGCTCAACAGAGTCGCTGTGCGTCTTGGTCAGGATGTGACTTTCGATCGCCTCCTTGCGCTCACTTCCGTAAAGTTGTCCACGTTTCTTTTCCTCAACCTTGTTATCCTTCCAAGCACTAATGATTGCGTCTCTCTCTTCGGGGGTACTGTTTTTCCAGTCTTCAAAACCTTGAGCCGTTCGAGCAGCGATAATGTAGTTCTGCACAGAGCTGCCAAAGTGCTTGGCAACTTCAGCGTAGATACCTTTGGCGGTATACCCGGGAAGACCCCAGATGCCGGCACCAGGCTTCAAGATTAGACCCCCGAAACCCTTTGCAGCACCTTTGAAGAAGCCTGCAGCGCCTTCCTTCTTGGCTCCTGCAAGAGGTTGCGTCACTAATCCAGTGACACCATCATAGAAGCCATAGGTGAATTCTCTGCCAGCAGCCCTGAGGCCAGACTGAAGGTCTGTGATTTTCTCACTTTTGCGGACAGTCTCATCTCCGTATAGTTTCGGTGCATTGTGGAATCCCTTTGCCAGTGAGAGTGTGAAATCCATAGGTGACTTGACACCAGCAGAGACAATCTTTCCCACGGCTTTTGCGCCAGATAAAGCAGTCTCCAGAGAAATCTGACCGACTTCTTCGCAAGCAGGAGAGTGGTCACGGTGATGTGGCTTGCGCGAACCTGACCCGGATCGTGAATGCGAGCGGTGATGTGACCATCGGCGATGGTGGGAGTGGCTTCGCTTCGAGCCATCCGGAGAGACGACCGATGACATGGCTGAGGGCCGTGATTGGGAAGTTGTCGTTGCCAGAGTCGGTGCTCCCGTACTTGGTTCGCTGAATGTGGGAGACTCTACTCTCTCATGCGAAAGAATTGCAGGACCAGAAGGGCTTTGCGAACGTCCCCTCTCGTGAGATTGTTTGGGTTCTAGGCCAGCATCTGCCGAGACTCTTCTCTCTGCAGAGTCATCTGGGATTGTCTCCTGAGATAGCTGAGGTTGTAAAGGAGTACCAGGACCTGCCGAATGTTTCCTCTGCTGTTCCCTCTCGTGCAGATCTTTCAGGTCGCCGTGAGCGGTTTTCAAAGAATTGAATATCTCCACAGGAAAATCTGCAACCCCCATGGAAAGATTCCCAATGGTACCAATAAGGGCTGCGGCACCGCCTGAAATTGGTTCCCATGGACCGTCCTCGGTCTCATATTCCCGAGCTCGATAAAGTTTCAGGTCAGAGAAATCGAGCAGGCCTTCGCTTCCAAGGACTACAGCAGCCAATGGAGATAGTCGAATATCTGTCCGCTTTATGCGCCAAACAGCGGTACGCCTAGGATCCAACGAGCACCGTATGTCTGGCAGGTGTAGTTGTTTGTGAAAAGATTGGGCACCCGCCTCTGTGCCATCCTCTGATCTGATCTTCATGCTCAACTCTTTTGCCCGTTCGAGGGACTCCGGCTTTAATGCGTCCATAATCTGTGCTGCCAATTTGTCTGCAGTCAATTGCTTGTACGGAATTGGTTTCGGACCTGCTCCTGCTTTTGCTGTCATTGCACCCCAGAATGGTTGATCACCGAAGAAAGGCACCACGACCGTCGGGCGGCCAGCAAGAATACCAGCCGCCGTCGTCCCGGCACCACCATGATGGACGACACACGATACATGGTTGAACAGCCAGTCATGCGGAATATTGCCCAACATGAAAACGCCTTCAGGAATGCCAAGTTGATCAGCGCCGAGACCGCCCCAGCCTTTGGAGACAAGCGCTCGTTGACCAGTCTTCTTGACAGCTTCGAAGATCATTTTCGTCATGGCATTGGGGTCATCAACCACGATCGATCCAAATCCGATATACACAGGAGGCGGGCCGGCTGCGAGAAAGTCTGCGAGATCCGGCGCCGGGGTGTAGTTTGTCGAAAGATTCAAGAAGAAGAAGCCAGAAATATCAATATAGTTGCCCCAATCTGCCGGTTTAGGGATCAAGGCAGGCGACCAGCAGTAGGTCCAAGGGATGTGTAGGCGGCTGACCATACCTGGAGCCCACATGATACTGATGGGTTCGAGATTTAGACTCCTCTCGCGGAAGCGATTGATCACATCGCCCAGTCCCTGCCAAGTCAACATATCGACCAAAGCATAGGTCACAAAGTTGGCCATATTGGCATCGGCATTGGACGAGACAATGTTGGCAAGCGGATGAGGAAATGATTGAGTCGGTGACCAGGGCATGGTGAACATCAGGTGTAGAGGAATGCCTAGCTTCTCTGCAATGTGGACATGGGCGAAACTCGGAGGGTTCGCAATAATCGCGTCGGCCACGAATGGCCTCATGGTAGGATCGGTACCGAAGGAAATGGCACTGTCGAAGCTGCGGGCGTCGTCCGTGAGCTGGACACCAGTCCCGTCGCCAGCCTCAATTGTAGATCTCCAGCATCCCGTGATGATCTCGTAGATACCTTTTCGTCGCTTTCCCACGTCGCCACTTTTGAGTGAGTCCATCCCGGGCATCAGACCAGGATTTTTGACCATGAAAGCCATAAGCTCTGCAGGGTCGCCCCCAATACTGAAAAACTCGAGACCATTTTCGGTCACAAAGTCTTTGAAGGTCGGATGGGTTGCTATCCTCACACGGTGTTTGTATTTGTTCTTTAAGACCTGACCCAACGCCACAAATGGCTGGACATCTCCTCTGCTGCCGACAATTTGAATGACGATGTTCATGGGCGGAGGTGGCAGGCCCTCTGTATCGCCGAGTCCTTCTGGTATGGGCGGCTCTCCTTCAGCCTTCTTTCTCTGTAACTCTAATTGGTGCCGCAGCGCTGGTAGGAGCAGATTTGTGAGCTTTTTACTTCGCTGATTGATCTTGATGTTGACTCTGCCATCACTGCCGAGTCGAGCACCAGTATCCATCCCATTCTGACTGATATCAAGCTGGCCATAATCTGCGCCATTGTAGGCCGGTGCAGGAACATCGTCTAGATTCGAAGAGACGCCACCGTGATGCCGTGTACGGTTCTCTGGAGCTGAGGAGGCATCCGTTTTCTTCTGTGTAGTCCGGTCCTCTTCTTGATTTGCTGCCGCAATCGCTTCGGCCTCTCGTATAATTTGCACGGGAAGGCCTACTACTTCGTGCGGCAGCGGTTCGGGGGGAGGAGTGTCTGAGGCAGACATTGTCGCTGTGTGATCAATGCATCAACGGAGGGTGTATGGCGAGGAGGCAGGATGGGTACGACCTGAAGGGCAGTAGGCAGAAGTATAGGTATCGACGGACGTTGGTCAAATGCTACAACCGATGTGGCGGTTTCTCAAAGGGATTCAGAAGTGGCAGCATGCTTCCTTGTATGGAGTAGAGGGGTAAAGAGCAAGATTAAGTTCCAAGTAGCCCTAGAGCATGAACAAGCGTGACACGGGTTGAGTGCATTTGTCTTTAGAACGACGGTGACGACGGAATGGCAGTAGTTGGATTGATAGTGAGTAGCGGCATGGGCAGGGTCATCGCAGACAGTAGTTACTGTACAGGCTTGACAGGCACACTTGCCCCAAACCAGCTGATGCCTTTTCTGTCTCGGTTTCGCGAATCACCATGGCGGGGGAAGAGAGGGTGGGCTTGGGGGGGCGATAGACTCAGCAACCCACTCACTCATCCTTACGATATGGCTGAATCAGCATCGTTCCGGGCATCCACACCCTCATTGGCGGTTCTTTATTGGCTTCAACACCCTAGCTATCCCTACAATCTACGGCTTAATCAAGGTCTGAATCTGCGCGAGCCTTTTGCCGCTTTCTCGTACTTCCAGCCCCATGCACGATCCAACTGCTACGCCCTCCCCAAAAGACAACCAAGTGTGGACTCAATCATGCTGAGATAATCATGATGGTTGGCCCTTGTGCTTCCAGCTATGAGCCACAGTTTCCGTCGTCTCGAAAGTAATTTCCCCTTTCTCTGCAGCATTCATCTGTGAAACCAATTTCGAGACGACTCGGTCAATCATCCCAACGATATGTACCCGTCCAGCGCTCTCCGGGTGCCAGATCAGCCTAAAACAGAGCATCAGTTGACACATTCAAGCATGCTTGATTATGTTAGCCAGTCTGGGCCATGTCACTTACGGATATACCGAGCCATAGCCTTTGCCAGGGCCCTCGTCGAGCCAGCTTTCGTTCTCCCACAACCAGTTGAATCGATCTAGCCACATCTTCTCGACCACATCGACGCTGACATAGCCATGCGTGCTGGCTGTATACGGATAGAATCCCATCTGATGAGATCAGCAATGGTCCATATGTGCGGTTGCCTCTTTCGAACTTACGGGTGTCGCATCCTCCGAGTACCAACTGGCCGGAATTTCCACCAGAGCCTTGTCAGCCTCTGCCGATCCCGGTGCTGGCTGCTCGGGTATTGGTGTCGGTATCATCCAACTGCTTGCGTCTTTCTTGTAGTCTGGCACGTGTGGCGGCTTTTCCGGGAAAGGTTTGGGTAAGAAGTAAGGTAGCGAGTCATGCGCGTTCATGCTGCTGTCGTACAAAAAGTCGTGATCCTGGAGCAATCGTACCGTTGTCTCGCGAATCTGATACAACGGTGCACGGTATCCCACAGGCCGTCTGCCACCTCGCAACTTCGTAATGAGATCGAGGCACTTCTCGAGAACGTCCCTTTCCTGCTCCACAGTCATGGCATACGCACCCTCGTGACTGTATCCATGTAGCCCGAGCTCAGCACCACTTTCCAGTATCTCTTGTGCTTGACTTGGGAATGTCTCCAGACTGTGTCCGGGAATGAACCAGGTGACCTTGTCGGATATCTCATGCTTCTTGAAAAGCTTTAGTAACCGTCCGACACCAACATTGGCGCTGAATATACCCGACGAATAATCTGATAGCGTGTTGCTGGGATTATGGCCAGTACCTAAGTATCCTGAGATTGCGTCAAAGTCCACAGACAAGCAAATCCTCATGCGTCGCTTTCTCTTTGGCGGACTTCGCGATGCAGGAATTGCGGTGGGACGCGCCGAAACGTCGACGTTTTCGCCAGATTGCGCTCCTGAGCCGAGGATTTGGTCCTCTCGCCAGATGACTCTGCCTTCCATACCGCCATCGACAGAGATGCATTGACCCGAGATATGTCCTGCTGCGCGGTGACTGGCCAGGAATGCCATTGCCCTTGCTACGTCCTCTGGCTGTGCAATCTTCTTCAGGGCGACCGTAGCCTGGCATTCGGCCCACATCTCCTTTGGGTCGTCGAGACGGTCTCCGATGAGGGCAGTGTTGACCCAACCAGGTGCAACAGCGTTGATTCGAGCTTTCGGGTTCAGGCGGACGATCTCATTCTTGACAGTGCGGACCAAGCCATATTGTAGGCCCGCCTTGCCTGATGCATATCTGGAAATTGGTCAGCAAGCGACACAGCATTCATCACAGATGATACGACATACTCGGCATGTCCTTCCTGGCCAAACTTGCCCGTTTCCGAGCCCGTAATGACGATGGCAACATTGTCAAGTTCCCTCCCTTGTGCTTCCTGGCTCTGCTTGACGGACAGCAGAAAGTGTTTGACAGTCAAGAATGTGCCTCGGACATTGTTCCCGTTTACCTTTATTCAGAATGAGTAAATGTTCTGGGAAAGCAGTATCAGCCTGCAGAAGCTCACACCTTGTCCCATAGCGCCGTATCAATTTCCCAGATAGGAGGATGAGCCGTTTCGTCGGTGATTCCAGCATTAGCGACCAAGATGTGCACCGGTCCGAATTTGGTGGTTGACGACTTAAATGCTTCAGCAATCGACGGTTCGGAGGTCAAATCACCCTGCGTGGTGAAGAATCGGGATTGTTGGTCCTCCGTCGAACATAGCTCCGACGCATCAATCGATCTCTTATCGAAACCCGTAACACGACATCCCAGTGCTGAAGATTGAGTTAACGTTAGGGATCACCATCCTTACATCGGCTTTGTTTCTGCCCAACTTTAATTTTCTTTTGTAAACTTACCGAGAAATTCTTTCACTGCCGCACTACCAATTCCTCCTCGAGCTCCAGTGATGAAAACATGGAGGTCTTCGAGGCCTAAGAACGATTGGGCTCTTTCACTCATCTTCGCATGGTCCAGATCTGCAGGACAATGGCAAGTCGCACATCCTGCTCGTGCTCGTCAGCAGATTTTGAGCTGTTGTTCTTCACCGCACATATCCGTTGCTCTTTAGGGCATGTCGTCAGTGAGGTCACTTGGGCGCGCTAGTTGTTATGGGTGGATTCCAAGGTACTTGGGGTACTTCTGCTTATTAGCCGTGAGTGAAATGGGAGCCAGCCAGGAAGGTTAGGAGACATATGCGGATTCCTTTTTCCACCCAGAAGCCGATGTGCCTGGAGGCAACAGACCTTGGTGGCTCTCGACACTGTTTCCCTTTGTCCTCGATTTGTTGCTGTTATGCGGACTAATCGCTCTCGGGTGAGCAATCTATTGCAGTGTTGGAAGAACATTATTCCCATTGTGAGTACTCCGTACGGATTACGGAGTACCTCGTATCTGAAACAACCCTAGGGTCCTGGTCCAAGGAGCATGCCAGCTTATCTTCCTGCCATCTAGAGGTTAGCTTGTCCGAAATCCAAGATGACCTTGTCGGTGCCTGAGAACCGATTTCTTACTTGTCCTTTGTTGTCAGCTATCTCGCCTATCAGAGCTCGTGTGAAGGGTTCTTGGTTGGCCGATAAGGATTATCGGAGTCTCGCACTCGAGATGATTTCTGCACGTTTTGCTCTGTAGGATTGTATGAGGCGAGTGATCGCGATGCCCATGCTGCTGGCAGATCGCCATGGCTCGCCCAGGGATCCCATTCTGGTAGGCTTGAACGGCAGATGTCATATCTCCTGAAATCACCTAAATGTCGCCTGTGTCATCATCACGATGTCGCTATATCTCGTGCTCCGGCCTTTTCTCTGATGCCTTTTTCTTCACAAGTCGATCTTCTTGCATCTTTCGCTCTGCTATAGTTCCCAGTCGCAATGTCTATCCTGCAAGGCGAGAAGGATGTCAGCCCAAGTGACGGCGACGTCCCAACACCTACTGCGGAAAGCTCCGACCTCATCAATGCGTCTGGCCATGTACAAGAACTCGATCGCAACTTTAGTCTGCTGGCGGCCGCTGGTGTTGGATTAGTCGTTGGCAGCGTAAGTGTTCCGCTTCTTGGCGAATGGCTGTGTATTGAGGCACGAGTCCTTCAGTCTTCCCTCATTCTCGTCTATCCAGCTTTCTGACATTTCCTAGGTGTGGCCTGCCATTGGCGGATCAATCCTGGTGGCCATCTACAATGGCGGCCCCCCCGGTGTCATCTATGAATTCATAACGGTCTCCGTGTTATATTGGATTGTCGCCGCATCTCTTGCCGAACTGGCTTCGGCGATCCCTTCGAGCGGCGGTGTATATCATTGGGCTTCTGTGACCCCCGGCAAGAGATGGGGGCGAGTCATCGGGTGAGCCTTTTGTGTCAATTCGCAATGCGTGCACTGACTAATGCGCGAGTCTGCAGGTTTTATGCAGGGTACTGGAACTGGCTGGCTTGGGTGTTCGGCGCAGCATCCATGAGCTTCATTTTTGGTTGGTATCCACTTCCGGTTCATCGACCAATAACTGACAGGAGTTAGCCAATACCGTTGTCCAAATGTATGGTCTGACCCATAGCGATTTCGTCGCAAAGTCATGGCATGTGTTCGTCACTTACCTGGTGAGTACCACGCAGAGGCCTTCGAGGAAGACAGCAGGGATATTAGCTGACAATGCGTGCCTAGATTGTAACCTGGATCGCTTGTATATGTGTCTGTCTCTTCAACAGTGCCATGCCCCATCTCAATATGGTGGGGATATTCATGATACTGGCAGGACTTTTCATCACCATTGTCGTGGTGTGAGTCATTCAATCATTATTTGTTGTTCTGTGTGTTGACATACGTGTAGTGCTGCAATGCCTGGTACAGGTGGACGTCCATCACACGCGTCATCAAGCTTCGTGTGGAGTGAGTGGACAGCAGATATTGGATATCCCAACGGGTGAGTTCGCGGCTGCTACCGACCTGTGTGCCGGAAAAATACCAGATAGCTGATTCTTGCAGGTTCGTTTTCGTTGCTGGTATGCTGAACGGCGCATATTCCGTGGGGACTCCGGATGCAGTCAGGTACGTGCGCGAAAGAAGCAGGCTCCCGAGATTCCAGCATTTCTAATATCTGACATATGCAGTCACATCGCCGAAGAGGTACCCAACCCGGGTAGAAATGTACCTATCGCCATCGCAGCTCAGATGGTCGTCGGCTTTCTCACGGGTTTGCTGTACATCATTGCGATAATGTATGCCATCAACGACTACAACGCTTTGTTCGAATCAGCATTCCCCATCGCTGAAATATACCTACAAGCGACTGGATCTTCGAGTGGTGCTATCGGGCTGCTTTGTTTGCTGTTGTTCTGTGTCGGCCTCTGTCTGGTGGGAGTGTACATCACCGCGGGACGCACCCTGTGGGCACTGGCCCGAGATCAAGCAACCCCATTCCCCAAATATCTGGGCAAAGTCTCCCCGAAGCTGGGCATGCCTTTTGTTGCGACCATTACCTGTGGATGTCTCGTGACCGTTTTGGGCTGGTAAGTTGTCAACCTTTTGGTAGCAGCATCGACTCACAGTGGCGTAGCATCTATGAAGGAAGTACCACCGCATTCAACGCCTTTGTCGGGAGCTTTGTTCTGATGAGCAGCGCATCGTAAGTGTCTGTTAAATGCGAAAGCACAGTTGCTGACGAGCAATAGGTATATCGCAGCGATATTGCCACATCTTTTGACACGCCGTAGAAACATTCATTTTGGGCCTTTCCAATTAGGAAAGCTCGGGATGGTCTTCAACTTCATCGCCTGTGGATATATGATTGTTTGGTTTGTCATATATTGCTTCCCATTCGCTCTTCCAACCGATGCGGGAACAATGAACTATGCCTGTGTCATCTGGGGAGGACTTACGGTTTTTGTGACAATCTGGTGGTTCATTGGCCAAAGCCGTTACGAGGGCCCTAAGACCAGCGGAGGGATCAATGCGGATATTGAGAACGTCAGAAGGGCCAGTGTAGCGAAGCGAGCCAGTGTGTAGGCTATACAACGGATACGGAGCGGCTGTCGTGCCAGCCTGATAGCATGGAGTACAAAGACCAACATCTGAAAAGAACGAGACAGCATCAAAGAGTCACTCCCGCATGGCATCGCAGGCAGGCATCGAAGGCAGGCATCGATACTTCAGCGAGCAATTTCAAGTAGATTGGCATGAGGATAAAGAACCGTAAAGTTGTTTTGGAATCGAACTTATCGTGGCCTGTGTCTCAAGGCGGGAAAAGCGTTCTTGTGTTAGAAGTTGCGAAGTTCTATCGGCAAAACCTCGGTACTAAAACTTTTACTGTTTGGGATTAGCGTTGCAGTCTTGGCACACCACCATCGCACTTGCCCTTCTATCTCACGAATTTTCCGTCTCGCAGGTGCACTTCGGACAAACCGCAACCACCAACAACAGCCACCCAACATGTCTGAGAACGGCGGCGAGGTCGAAGTCGAATCCCCAGTCTCGGGCTACCCAGTACTCCCCAAAGATGTTGTCTCTGAGATTGGCAGCATCAAGCTGTTCAACAAATGGGATTTCGATGTTGAAATCAGAGATATCTCATTGACGTACGATACCATGGCAGACCTGAAGGAACAGCGAAAATACTAACGTTGGACTTCTCAGCGACTACATCCAAATCCGATCTCCCACCTACCTTCCTCACTCCGCCGGCCGATATGCGCAGAAGCGATTCCGAAAGGCCCAATGCCCCATCATCGAGCGATTGACCAACTCACTGATGATGAACGGTCGCAACAACGGCAAGAAGTTGATGGCTATCAGAATTGTTGCACACTCCTTCGAGATTGTATGTTATAATGTTGAGGACGAGAAAGATCTTGCGGATCTAACATCACGAATTAGGTTCACATCATGACCGACCAGAACCCCCTCCAAATCGCCGTTGATGCTATCGTCAACTGCGGTCCCCGAGAAGACAGCACCCGAATTGGTAGCGCCGGTACCGTCCGACGACAAGCCGTCGATGTGTCTCCTCTTCGCCGTGTCAACCAAGCCATTGCCCTTCTCACCATTGGTGCCCGCGAGGCTTCGTTCCGAAACGTCAAGAGCATCGCCGAATGCTTGGCTGAAGAGCTGATCAACGCTGCCAAGGGTAGCAGCAACTCTTACGCCATCAAGAAGAAGGACGAGTTGGAGCGTGTCGCCAAGAGCAATCGGTAAAGTGCTTACTGGGTTATGGTGTTTTGTGGCAACGAGCATGGTACGGCTTGCCTTCATAGCGGTCTCTGGTGGAATACACCTACGATTCGAACATTACGCAATCGCACAAGGGCCGATGTCTGGTCCGGCGAAAATCACAAGATTCTGTGCTTAGATTATGCTGATGTTCTCCCAAAATTCAAAGTGTGACAAAATTTCAAAATTTCAAGATTGGGCTCCTGTGCCTCGTGATCCTCATCGATGTTGGCTCTGCGATTTTACCTCATTGCATACTTGGGAGACTCCCACCCCAAGGAAAGCAAATTCATGTTGTGAAAAGTCAGACTCTCAGACGTCAATTTGAGTGCACTCCTGTGGACAAGCCCACAAGAGAGGAGTGGGACTGGCAAGAACTCGCCCTCTTCAAAGCAAACACCTGAAGCTGCACTGGTTATCATGCTAATATTTGTGAAAGTAGCTCAGAAACGTATGTGCAACCATATTATCAAGGTACAAACCACCCTCCCGTCACCATACTCAAATCTATTTGATTTGATGGCGAGCCTCCATATTTCTTTGCTATCGAATACCCAACGCTGTACAATGCAAGCATACCAAACATCCTTCCAGCCTATCTCTATGTTTCAGACGCCCAAAAGCCAGATGCACTTCATTTGTCCTCGTCATCATATATCTCAATGCAAACCGCGCGTATATCGTGCGCAATCAATCTCTCGAGCACCGACTGGGGAACGTTCTCATTCCTCCGGAGATGTCTTCGCTAACTCGGATCCACCGCTTCCTTGATGGCATGGATTGCAGAAACTCTAGGCCTCCGGTGCATATGGACCGGTTTGTTCATATTTCGGTCATCGATTTGATGGCATGACTTGTGCCATGCTTGCTGATCCTCGAAACGTGTAGGTGTTTCCGAACGAGTCATCTGCCTGGCGTTTCAATGGGCGTTTCGATGTCATGCCGAGGATATCCTCTCGGAGGTCTGGCGTCTCCAAAGGCCATCATTTGATTTCGGTATCGGACCTCCCTCATGTATGCTTCTTGTTGAGGGGGCTTTTGGTTGAAAGCGGCGCCCTCGAAGTCTTGTTTGGCGAAATGTCTTTGAACAGCATATCCAATGCAAGTCAAACCAGCCGCGCCCAAGATACACAGGAGGACGACAACTTCGTGCGGCAGCGCTCCTCCGCTCGAAGTCATGATGTGCGATGATCTAGGTCAATGCAATGAAGCACAATCTGAGGAGGTTGCGAATAGGAGCAGTCGTCTGGCAGGAGCTCGAAAAGAATAGCAGTTGGGGCTGAGCAATGCTAGCAAGAATAATCGACCGAGAACAAGCAAGTGTACAATATCAGCTGCTCCAGCAAACACGCGCTGAACATGCCATCACGACAGATGCAGGAACTCAAGCTTCATATACCAGATGCCATGTAACCACGTCCCCTTCCTATTTCGTCCCAGGAACCGATGCAGCCAATGATGGCTATGGAGGAATGCTGCGGCAAGGCTTCATTTCATTCCAGGAACCCCATCTGCCGTATGCCAAGCACACAAGTCCCTGCCACCACGTCTATAACATTGTCTGGACCCATTCTGGCTGTCAACCCTCGTATACATCAACAAAATATGGTTAGGACTGTTCCAAACTTAGCGAGACACACGCGCGCACTATGCCCCTTTGAGCGAAAGACACGAACTGCCCAATCGGAGGCCCTGGACACGGAAGGATATTGACCCACTATGGCCCATGGCTATCAACGACATGTTTTTCATCAGATCGGAATTGCAATCCCTTTCACATCAATTATCATGAGGCTCAACGATTCACGTGAGAAAAACGCGTCTGGCAAGCATCAGGCCTCCCAGCAGACACTTATCTGCTGCACGCGACAGTAAGGAGGCACCTTCGTCAGACGTGCTTCTTTTCACGCTTCCATGGGGCTCTGCATTCGGTGGCTGCCGTAGAACCTCACACCACGCAGTCCATGAAAAGCCAATGGCAGTACATTCTCAAACTCTCATGCGGCCAAGAAGGGCTGGTCATGAGAAGTCCAGAAACGGTTGCTTGACCTGCAAGTGCGTCTCTTTCCCTTTCCGGATAGTATGCAAGACTCATTGTGGCATTACAGGATTCGAAGAGTGAAATGCGACGAAACACGACCTTCTTGCCGAAACTGTACTACAACCGGCCGGAAATGTGAAGGTCCTATCGCAAATCAAGTCCAATTCATCCAAGGTCCACCACTCAGTCGAGCAAGCACTCCTGTCTTGGTGCCAGAAATCTCCCCTGTTGATGCTGCTCACCCCTACTATGAGAGGCGCGCCTTCGACCACTTCGTCAAGCATGGCGCGCCAATATTCGCAGGTCATGTCGATGCAAATTTCTGGACAGATCTAGTTCCTCGGCTCGCCCAGTCCAGCGACTTCGTCTGGGATGCCGTAGTGTCGATCAGTTGCCTATTCGAACATGTTCCATACGAAAATTTGGTGACCAGATATGACCAGAACTTTCCCTACCAAGTCACCAACAAACATCATCAGCAAGCACTGAAATATTACAACAGGGCAATCAACAGCGTCCGCCGGCTGGCTGATCGTGATGAATTGGACGACTCTGTTGCTGTTTTGAGTTGCATCCTGTTCGCTTCCGTGGAGTTTCAGCAACGCAATGTAACCACAGGGACGGAGCTGGTCAAAGACTGCTGCCGAATGTTGAGACAGGGTATGTCAACGGGGTCCATCAGCAAGGCTTCCAAGGCGAATTCCGCCCTTCACGAGGTGGTTGCTCCCTTCATACTACGAAAGGCGGTGCTCACTGCCACACTTGGAACATTTCTACCTCCAGACTGGAATGTTCATCATGAGTCAAAGTCGGCGATGGGGAAGCCGCTTCCCGCATGCCCGACGCTGAATGAGGCCAGCATCCAGCTGTACAATCTGCTATACCAGTGCTTCGAGGTGACGAGGGTTGCAGACATAGTTCCTGATCTCGGCGAAGACCCAGGCAAGAATCGCTTTCTGGCGTTACGCACGGTTTTGATGGGACGGTTGACGCAATGGAAATCGTGGTTCATGTCAGAGCAATATCAGGAGGCAAACAAAGAAGCCAGCTGGATGTGCTCATACCTTTTGATGTACTGGGCCGTCTGCTACACCTCTCTCGCCACTTGCGTGTACATCAACCAGACCGCGTTCGACGAGCACCGCGACCAATTTGCCGATATCGTTCAACATGCCCAGGTCTACCTCGCCCACCTTGGTGAATCTCCGACACAATTACCGCCATTCCAGACGCAGGCCGGGATTCTGCCGACTCTTTACTTCTGCGCCTTGAAGTGTCGGGATCCCATCCTTCGACGAGAAGCGCTGCGGCTGATGCGACAAGCTCCCCAGCAAGACACTCTCTGGGCATTCATTGCCCCAGAACGCGTAGTCGAGAAAGTCATCCCACTCGAGGAACGTGGGATGCACTCGACAGTAATGGACGATGTAGTTGGCTTGCCAGATAAGTCGCCACCAGAGGATCGTCGATTTGCACATGTCAGTGTCCTGAGCAGGAATGCAGCTGGTGGCGTACAGCGTCTGGCATTGCAGTTACATAGGTTCATTCTCCAAGCCAACGGGAGAAGAAGGTTGGTCACCGAATATGCCTGGTTGGATCAGGATATGAGTTCGTAAGAGAATACAAGCGGTATGGCAGTCATTTGCCATGCATGATATCGAAAAGACATGTGTCTCGACGACGGTACCTTTCGAGAGATAGTCCTGCACAATCCCATATAGGAGCGCCATTGAGTACTAGGTCCCCGAACCAAGCTGAGCCGCAGACATGAGAGGTTTTGCATACAAGAATTGTTTGAAAGTGCATAACAGAAACTTATGGGCAGAAGCTAGCCCATCTTTGACGCTGGTATGAGTATATGATGGCGGATATGCTGGTGGTAGAGATTGCTCAGGGGTCAATTTTTAAGCAAGGCTGTGCCATTTTTAAAGGTTCGAATATATTTTTGTTTACCATCGATCGTACCTGCACCCAACTTTTTGGCCCATCAATGAAACCGCCGATGAACCCAACACACTCCTTATAAGCAGTCATGGTTTGCATACGTCGAAAGAAGGCAAAAACCTTTCACGGAGTTCCAATGTCTAATTTGATGAGTTGATGTACATGCAGTAGAACATGAATGTTAGAACAACCCAGCAAGCCTGTTTCCAGAAAAAGTGGCACTGTCTGACCGCTGCCGGTTGTCAGGTTCAAATAGATATCGTTCCCTGGTGCCACTCCAGAGTCCCTCGCTCACAAGACTACACCCTCAGCCCTTGACCAGAATGAAAGATAACAGATCTATCGCCTACGCCTTCTGTCTTGCTGTCAGGGCACCCGTCGTTGTGAAATTGCTTGACTTGGTCTTACATAGTCGATGTACGACGTGTCAGACGGGGTTGGATTAAGATTCGCGATAAGATCTAAATTGCGATAAGATAAGATGTCTCTGAAAAAAGATTCCATTAAGAGACTTTTTGCAGTCTCATCGACAACACAGCCAGCGACTTATCAACCTTTCAGGCAGTAGGTGAAGATGGTCAAGAGAAAACTCGGTGCCCTCGAAAAGGTTGATGCCGACTTGGCCAACCTACAGAACAAAATCAAGCGTGACCCCAAATCCTACCATACCGACTTTTCCTACCAATATATCCAATATGAGAACCAGCGGCAGATTTTCATGCAGGCCCCGACCTCCGCCTCGGACAGCGGCATCATTTCGTTTCGCGACCTGATCGAGTTTGTGGCTCATGTGTCGGATTGCTATAAAGAGGATACAAAAGACTTCCCAGCACAATTGATTGAGATTGTGTCCGTACACCATGCAGCGCTAGAGCCTGAACTGCGAGAGAAGATTGTAGGCAGCCTCGTCCTGCTAAGGAAGAAGGAGATCATTGATTCGACGACGCTGTTACAATGCTTCTTCCCAATCCTCATCTCCACGCCGAGCAAGTCGCTCCGCGCACTGCTTTTTCAGAAGATCATTAGTGACCTGCGCTCCTCGAACTCCAAGACCACGAACCATAAGCTCAATCGGAGCGTACAGACAACATTACACAACCTCGTCACCGAAGATCGCTCGTCTTCAAAGGCACTATGGGCGGTCAAAATCACCCGAGAGATGTGGAAGCGGCAGATCTGGACAGATGCAAAGGCCGTGGAAATTATGAAAGAGGCGGCGTTGAGTGACAACGAGAAGTGCATTGTAGGCGGAGTTCGCTTTTTCCTCGGTGGCGACAAGGAGCGGGAAGAGTTGGAAGATGAGAGCTCAGACGAGGAGACGATTGATATGCGCAAGCTACGACATCAAGCTGGGATCAACAAGAAGAGCAAGAAGGCGGAGAAGAAACTCGAGAAGGCTGCAGCCACAGTTCGACGAAAGGAGAAAAAGAAGGGTCAACCTCACGCACTGAACTTTTCTGCGCTGCATCTACTACACGACCCGCAGGGTTTCGCGGAGACCTTGTTCTCGAAACACCTCCAGAGCACGAAGTCGCGGCTGAATCTGGAGCAGAAACTTCTGGTGCTGCAGCTTGTGTCGAGGCTGATCGGCCTGCACAAGTTGACCGTGATCAGCTTTTACTCCTACTTTTTGAAATACCTTACTCCTCGACAACCTTCGGTCACCTCGTTCTTGGCTTCTTTGGCGCAATCGACGCATAATCTGGTACCACCGGATATTTTGGAACCGCTGGTGCAGAAGATCGCCAATGAGTTCGTTTCGGAAGCAGCTGCTGGCGAGGTTGCGGCAGCAGGCTTGAATGCTATCCGAGAAATTTGCGTACGGCAGCCGCTAGTCATGAGCGACACATTACTACAAGATTTGGTCATGTATCGAAAGAGCAAAGACAAGGGCGTGATGATGGCAGCGAAAGGTCTCTTGAGTTTGTACAGACAAGTCGGAGCCGAGATGCTGAAGAAACGCGATCGTGGCAAGGACGCCACACTTGGCCTACGGTCAGGCGACCAGAAACAACAGCGGTTCGGTGAGGAGGTCGTTGGCGAAATCGAGGGTCTGGAGCTACTAGAGAAATGGAAACAAGAGGAAAGGCAGCGACGGAGACTGGAGAAGGGACTTCCAGCTGATGGGACGGATGGTGAGGACGACGAAGACGAAGAGGATTGGAATGCCTGGGACGTGCAAGAAGATGACAGCGACGACTCTGGTGGCTGGATCAATGTCGAAAGCGATGACGAGATCAACGTCAGTGATAGTGAGGACGAGAAGCCGTCAGCGAAAAAGGTCCGCATCGATGCCCAAGTGACGACAAGCGACGACAAAGAAAACGAGACGAAGGAGGCGTCCACCGAACTGCAGCCGAAGTCGAATTTCGCGACGACTCGTGTTCTTACGCCAGCAGATCTCGCTAAACTGCAAGAGTTGCGGACCACGGCCTCTGTATCTTCGCTGCTGAAGAACCACAAATCGCACCATGCGCAACGCAACGACCAGACGAATTCCCAACGGCATATGGACGACCCTCTGACTGCGGCCGAGATTGAAGGTCTTGCGTCTTTGTCGAAGGGTAAAGCTACCCGAGCAGAGAAATTGGCCTTGTTAGAAGAACACAGGGAAGATCGGGAGGCTCACAAGTCGAAAGCGGGCAGGAAGAAGGAGCGCAAGGAGACTGAGGGCAAGAGTACGACCAACAAGGAGAAGGCGCGCAAGAAGAATTTCTTGATGACGCTGAGCAAGGCCAAGTCCAAGGGGAAGAGGAGTCTGGTCGAGCATCGGAAGATTCTGAAAGCGCATGCTGATAGAGGGAAGAGAGGTGGTAAAAGAGGAAATAATGGATAGATCAAATGGTGATACCCTGATCATGTCGAGATCTTATGTTTATTGCCTATCTTCCTGACCTGTATCTTTCATTCTTGCGCCTTGTCTTGTGCGTTAGCCATTCAAAGGTTTCAACTGTGCAACTTCGCGGCGGTAATAACGGCGACATTTCGGCGTAGGATGCAGAATCAACCACACTCGCACACTCGCGCTTTATCAACGTCCGAGGCCAACAGCATTGATCTGTTGTGCAATTTCCAAGGGGCAAACTCTCCCACTATATGTAGCTACAGCCACGAAACTGCGCCACGAAGTTTGACAGCGGTGTCATAACGCGCAAAGGTGGGAAATGAATCATGCACGCCCTCGCGTCAGGTTCGTGGGCAGTGGGCAGTGGGCGGTGGGCACCACGGGTCTTGGGCGACTCGAGCAAATCAGAGATTGTCAGGCCCAAACAGCCCGCCAGGAACAAGGAACCGATAGTCGATTCAGCGACCCAATCCCTCTCCGCCCAGGTCCCAACCTCCCCGGACTTTGGCCCTGTCCGCCACGAAAAAGAGCCTAGGAGACGGTTTAGCGGCGGAAGCGAGAGGCACTATTAATATCCCTGCAGCTTCAGGGGGGTCCGCGCGCGTGTTCGTCCTGGCAAGTGTTCGCCCTTTGCCGCCAGGCGTTGAGGCTGGGGCTGATTTTTTTTAAGGCCATCCTCAAGGGACTGCAAGGAGTGAACTGCGCAACGGACTTGACTGGCACAGTCGTCAACTTGCTTGGGGGGCTTGTCTCTCGCTTCTTTTCGCAGTCGCTCCGGAAAATCCACCGAGAGATCAGGGTTTAAGATAAGTTTGATAGAGCAGAGCACCAGCAATTCTTAATATCTGCCCCGTGCGCTACAAACACACCTCAAGCTCGCCGGATTTTGTACCGCAGGTCTCAGTTCTCAATTCAACTCTCACTTCTTCCTCTCTTTCTCTCAAAGCGACCTCAACTCTCATTCATACACACACTGCAACCATTCGCCCATTCAACGTCTTGCTATTCACTTAGCAGGATAGACAACATTCCCCTTTTGCACCAGCGCGACATCTCTCTCCTCGATTTCGGACCCCTGATCCTCACCATCCAACAACTAAACAACACTCTCCTCGTCCTTGGTTTTCAACACAACACCTTCGATCTCTCAACATAAAATCCTTCACAATGGGTCTCCCACAAGACTACCTCTCGGCCCCTGCGCCTGCTGACGATTCCACCTCTCCTCATTCCAAGCGCCGCCGCTTCACACCTCACTCTCTCCCACCCATTATTCCCGTCACAGATAATTCCTCGATTGAATCTCACACTTTCAACTCGCCATTGCTGTTGCAGCTCTGCGAACAAGCTCCAAGCCAGGCAGAGATCGAGGCAGGCCTCCTTCAGGTTGGGATGCGCGTCAGAAAATCAGTTGCGGAAGGATACAAGGTCCAACCCAAGAAGTTCACTCCCCGTCCTTTCTTCAACTACAACAGACTCTCTCCTGAGACTCAAGCTGCTTTGTCAAATGGCAATGGTGCTGACGAGATGTCTCCATTTTCTCCTTCGCAAGTCCAACCCATGAGCACAGCCACCTTTTGCGGTATCAGCTTGTCCTTTCTCTCCGAGATGGAGGAACCGGTCTCTCAACAGAGCCTGTGGTCCTACTCGACCAGTCACAAGCGCGGATACGAGGTCGAATCTGACAGCGAGGAAAGTCAAGATTGGCAACCACAGACGCCCAACTTGACTGCGGATGCTGGAATGAGCATGCCCATTGAGTACTTCGCCATGGACATGGAAAATATGAGCGACGTCAGTCCAATGACCCAGCTCGGTGATCGCAGACAACAGGGCAATGGTCGCCGGATGGCTATGCCCAAGTCTCGCCGGCAAGCGGAGCCACATATGCTTCCTACCTCTGCATTTAACCCTTTCGCCGATATGGCGGCTCAACAACCTGAACAACAACAATTTGGAGGTCATTCTGGACACAAGAGAATGGTGAGCTGTGGCATGGAGGCCATGGATTTTGGTGATGCGCCATTTCTCCAGCGCCGGGAAGATGTGGAAATGGATTTCTCTTGAACGAAAAGCTTGCACCCTGTTTTAATGATTTTGTTACCATGCATTGCATCGCATTCCTTTGTCTTATATTTGATTCGATTCTCGAAGGAGCGCTGGGGGTCGCCGACGACGAGAGGCATTCGACCCTCTGGGTGAACGAGATGGAAAAGGGCGGTCGACGTAGGTCGAAGGAGGACAACGCGGGAAGGAACGGCCAACTCAGGATATTCTGCGGTCACAGAAGTTTGGTGATGTAACATATGTGCATTGGGAAAGGCCACCGGATTGGAATGGAATTACTGTACACAAGTGAGAAGGAGTTGGATAGACCTACAGAGAAGGGTCCCGAGTCGAGTCGAGCTGACTCAAAGAGAGCATTTGTGTGCGGGCGTTGGTGTACGTCCAGCATTGATTCATGAGTTGCTGGATATGTGATTGTGCATATTCGTCAACGGACCGCAAGATGGTCAAGATGCTAGATAACGAATGAAAGAAATCAATACCATCCTGCAGAAACTACTCGGTTCGAGTAAAGCCCTTCACCGCTTGATGAATTATCCATAATGAATTCCGTATGTGGAGGGTGCGCATGTGACCCCCAAATTTAGCCGACATGTCCCCATCAGGAGTAAACAAAGGTCCGCAATTTAAGTGACCGTGCCATTTCTCACTGTCTTGCTCATGTCTTGCAAATTGTACAACATGACAGACTTATGACATTGTAGTTCTTGCGTTCGGCTTTGTTCACATGCATCATGGACGCAGCAGTACTTGTCCAACATAATATGAAACCACCCAGTCCAAACCCATTGAAATGTCCTCCATCAGGACCCCTACAGCCGCTATCTCCTGAGCGAGTCAACCAGCAACATCTACTCCAGTCTCCTCCTTTCAACAACTACCTCGTCGAAAATGATCGGCCTCGGAGTCGCGACTCCATGACCTCTGATGTCCAATCTAAAGTAGCCTTCCTGAACAGTCTGGCTGGCATTGCCAATGGCAGTGTCCCCTCCTCACCAACAAGACCTGCACGGAAAAACAACGACAGTAACAATGCGCTTCAACGTGCGGTCATGGGATATGAAGAGGCCCAAGCCAGCCTCGCGAGTCTAAATGCCGAGCTAGAACGGGAAAGAGAGGAATTGGCCTCCAGAAAGAAGAGAGAGCGCATGCTGGCGCAAAGAGTGGAACAACTACTGGAAGAATTGCAGACCGAGAAGGTCAAACGCAGTCGTGACCAGGAGGCGTACGCAAAGGAAATCAAAAGATGCCGCAAAGAGGCTTACCGCGCCGAATTGGCGGTGGTAGAGGCACGACAGGACCTGCAGGAGGCTAGGAGTAATTTGAAGAAGTCTCAAGCCGAAGTCCAGCATGAAAAGACAGAAAAGGAGAAGAGTCGGCAAGAGAGCTTCGAGAGGGCGTATGCGCTTGCTGGGATGGTGGGGGAGATGGAGCAACTGAAAGATCAGCTGAAAGTCGTCGAAAAGCAGCGAGATGCTGCATTGTCGGAGGTCAAGACCAGCAATCTGGACACGGATGCGAACCATAACGAGCAGGAAAACTTCCCGTCAAACAGAGACTTTGATGACCGGCAGGAGGAGCAACCGCAGTTCACGCGAGTGGCTCATGTGGAATCACAACCTGCCTCGTTTGCATACCCACCCCCAGCGACAGGCTTGGAGGCACTGAGGTTCCGTCTCAACTACCACGACAAACAGATGGAAGGAGCTGAGATTTCACCACAGGAAGAGATTCAATTTCTCAAGCAGGAATTAAGATATGCTCGGATGCAACATGCCGAGGATGCTGATATGATACATTTCATGAACATGCAATGTCAATTCAAGGCTTGCCCGTGTCGACAGGCGGAAGAGAAAGGTGAACGATTCATCCACGATCATGCATACGAAGCCTTCATGCAAGATCAACGAGCTTCAAAAAAGAGAAGGATTTCGAACGAGGCTCATGTACAGCGTTTTCAGCAATCCACAGGTCAGGTACATCAGAGTTCCGAGACCGCCTCAGAGACGATACCGGAACTGAGGGAAGCAGAGCCATGCGCATTACCCCCCGAGCCCACCCCAGATATCCTGTCGAGGCCCGCAGGAGATCCAATCTCACTCGAAGAAGCTGTGGAGGTACCTCTACCTGAGCCGCAGCCAATGGAGCTGGATGTGAAGGACGTCACCCCCGAACCAACGGCCCAACTGGAAGAAATCACTCAAGTCCTAGTCGAGCCAGGCACAGCATCAAAACCCTTCTCTTTCTCAACCTCTACAATGAGCAATCCTGCTATTACAGTTCAAACTCCATCTTTGCGTCATACCACAACGGCACCGTCTGCTCTCGAGCAGGACCTTTTTGACCTGTCTCCGCCAAAACAGGCACCTCCTCGACGGCCCTCAACTGCTATAGGCGTACTTACCATCGACTCTCCCATCCGCCTCGTTCCAGACTCACCTCGATCAGCCAGGACCTCTTACTACGACGATACTACAAGCATGACCCCCGCCTACGACTTTAATCACACAATCACCACGACGACCAAGATTGCGCTGAAAGGCTCGCCACAACGTGACAGTCTGCACAGACGAGCACAGTCCCGACCCCACGATCGAAGCCACTCTCCTTTGGTTCCAGCAGAGTCAGGACCACACGGCATGTTTTCCAAGGAGTCGTCGGCTTCACCAGCAAGTGCTACGGTGTTTCCAATCACACCCGCGCACAAGCACTCGAGATCAATGCACGATTTAGCACAGCACGCCCAATCTCAGCCTCGGCCACACCGAAGCCCTCCACAAACTATTGGCAGGACTACTACCACGACTAGAGTTCCTCTTCGCGGGTCCGGATTTGCAGATGGAAGTGAAGAAAATGCACATGTCCGCGTGTTCGAGCACGCTCAAACGGAGATCTTGAATGTCAACATCAATCCTCCGATGGGTTCTATGATGACCGTTTCACACCGCACAGTGTCCCAGACAAGCACAAATTCAATCCTAGGCAACGCTCCCGGCACACCGATCTCGCGCGAAGCAGCGCTGGCACAGATTCGAGCGAGACGAGACAGGGCCAGAAGTATCAACCTCAAGTTGTCCACGGATAGTAACAAGCTGAATGGTGCGGCCGGGAAGACGAGTCCGACGAAACCAAAAGTTCTGGGAGTGAACGGCATGGTCGTTGGAGGGTTGTTCGCGAGGGATAAAGAGAATGTGCGGAGAGAGATCAGCCAGGCCAGTGCACCGGGACGGATGGCTTTTTGAGTAGAACGTTCAAGGTTGGATATGGACGTATTGGAGTCGCGTGGATGAGTGTGGTGTTTACGTGAGCCAGAGACTGGTAGTGTGTGTAAATGATCTGGACGCAGTACGGATGTGTTCACCACGACAGTGGTTATCCTGCATAGCGAGTAATTTATTATGTTGAACGAGGATCACCTTCGAGTGTTGTGGATCGGGTACGCCGATTGTATGCCGTGACGAGGCTGCAAGCCCCTTTTACTCGTAATTGATACCGATATAACTTTTAAGAGGCGAGCCTGATTACGGAAAAAGTGGCACTACCTGTCTGGTTTCGCTCCCCAGGTTTAAAGAGATACGGTCCCTTGTTGTCAGTCTCGAGTCTTTCTATACAACAAGGAAGCTTTATTTCGTAAAAGGGGAGGGGACATCAGCTCCATTGTACAGCGCTCCTGTCTCGTTGTCGAGGCATCCGCTGTTGTGAAATTGCTTGACTTCGAACTTACGTCGTCAATTCACGTCATATCAGACGGTGCCACCTTCTCTGGTGGAGACTTTTCATTCACATCCAGATGTTCCATAGCACGTTCAAGCTCCTCGCAACGCTCGTCGAATGAACCCTCCGCCTTCCGAAATCCGATCAATGCTCGCTGGTAAAACGCTCTGGCTTCCTCTGGCCTGTCCAGACCAGCGTAGACACTCCCAAGATTGTTACAAGTACTGAGCGCAGAGACATCTTTGCTCACAAGGTCTGACCCGAGACTGTTTTCGTAGCCTTGCAATGCCCGCTGAAACAACTCCTCGGCCTGGTTCAGTCTTCCTTGTTCTGCACGCAGGATACCTAGACTGTTGATGGTGTCGAGCGTCGAAGTATGCTCAGCTCCCAACCTCTCCTCTTTGCCTTGTAATGCTCGTAGCAGACAGTCTTCCGCCTGGCTTGATTTCCCTTGCTGTCGGTATATATCACCCAGCTTGTCGACCACATTGAGTGTAGATTCATGTTCAGGTCCCAGCTTCTCCTCGTGTCCATGTAACGCACGCTGAAACATCTCCACCGCCGCATCCAGCCTTCCTTGGAGGTCGTAGACAATACCTAGAAAGTGGACCATACCGAGCGCCCGTGTATGTTCAGCACCGAATCTCTCCTCGTGGCCCTGTAGGGCCCGGAGCAGGACCTCTTCTGCCTCGTATAATTTTCCTTGCCGTCTATATATGTCACCTAATTGACTAAACGCTGTCAGTGTCAAACTGTGCTCAGCACCAACTGTATCCTCCGAGTCGTGCAACGCGCGCTGAACGATATCTTCCGCTTTGCTTAGGGCTCCATGGTCCTTGTAGAGTTTTGCTAGATCGACAGCAAGATCAAGGGTCTCCGTATGCTTGGGACCAACTATCCTTTCGTACCCATGCAGGGCTTGCTGATATAGTTCGGCGGCCTGATCTAGCTTCCGTTGCTCGCCATAGATACTAGCCAAAACCCGCATGGTAAGCAGTGTTGATAGATCTTCAAGACCCAGTGTATCCTTCTTAGCTTGTAGTGCTCGTTGAGAAACTTCTTCCGCCTCCTCTAGCCGCCCCCGAATTTGATAGATCCTGCCTAAATTGCCAAGTACGCGAAGCGTCAACCGGTCCTTGGGCCCTACTATCTTTTTGAGGATATGTAGTGCTTGCTGAAATGTTTCCTCGGCACGCTCTAGTTTCCCTTGCTCTTCGTAGATAGCCCCCATATCGTTCATTACGACTAGAGTCGACCGGTGGTCCCGTCCTAGTATACTTTCATGTAGGGCCAGCGCCCGAATTAACATTCGCTCTGCTGCTCTATTTTGTCCTTGCTTGTAGAGCAGCCATGCAATGAGCGGAATCTGCGGGAGCTGAACCTGTACGAAGTCTTGCCGCTCTGCAACATCTCGAAACAGATCACAGGCGATCCATTCTGCATGTGGCGTGACTCTCCGATACCATATTGTAGAGAACTGACGGCCTTCTGCGATATGGATTTGGCCTACCACACAGTCGAACGCAAGCCAGTATCGGTCCGCATTGCTTGGATGATTCAACACATTGAGCATCCAGTCATGAAAGCAGACATGGATACTGTACGATTCGGTTTGATGATTGGCCTGAACAAGACAATACCTGACAAGCGTCTTCACCGCCATACCAAACGAGAGCTCGTTTTCTGTCAATCGGGTGTACCACATCGGAGCATTATTGTCTTGACATTCGGAGAAGAGCTCGTACCATATGTCACGGGGATCTAGGTAGGCAAGAAATCTCAATAGTTCCACAGCCAAGTCGTTCTCTTGCTTGATCATCTGCAAAGAGATATCCCACGTCGTATGGAGAGTCCGCTCAGGGTAGTCCTGCAGTTGTTCACTCGAAGCCAGGGCTGCCCAACGAGCTTCGTAATATTGGAGATACGCACCAAAGCTCAATGAAGACTCCTTGAGGTAAGCTCCCGCCGTGGCCAAGGCCAGAGGATGACCATCCAAGCGTCGTGCTAAATTTCGAGCGTCAACATCTAATGATTCGTTAGACAGCCCTCCGTCTCATTCGCTGGAAGGGCATACCTGAGACAACATGTGCCCGACCGGACCTGGTGGCCAGCACTTGTAAGCCATCCTCTTCCTTGGCCAATGGTCCTACATCAAGTCGACTACCGTTGACCTTGAGGGGCACCCTGGTGGTAACCAGAACTGATCCATGTGTTCTTGCAGGATAGTATTGCGCAAGGCTGTAGTCCTTTGGGTCACGTAGATGTCAAAGATCAGGAGCCATCGACTGTTATCAGGCTCAGAGAGCCAATTTGAAATGTTGGTCCACAACCGATCGTTGTCGAGCTGGTCCGCGATCTCCGGAGCCATTATTCGATGTGCAAGCTTTCGAAGACTGCTCTGCAAGGCTGGTTCAGCCGTGACATTGAGCTAGAAGACGGACGAATATGCTTTGCGATGTCGCTTGGCGTAGGTGATGGACAACTGTGTTTTGCCAATCCCACCCATTCCGCCTAGAACTAGGACTCTACGCAGGCCAGAGTCCGAAGCAGACAGAAGAACATTCTCCATTTCTTTGATTTCCGGGGCCCTGCCAACGAAGACCTCGTCGGCCATGTCTGGAGCGTCAAACGAATTGATCCCAAGGTCATAAGCTGCGAGTAGGTTAGCCGGGTTACCCATGAGTTACCCATGAGCGAATGTCTTGTCGATGATGTATACATTTCCAAAAAGAATCAAGTACGGTACGGTACTACGCTCCATCTCTCGCTTGAACTGATAGAAGATGGTGATGACTGGCGTACTCACTCGGCATCTGCACAAGTTCAGTCGCAGGAGCGACTTTCGTCACGTCTTTGGCTGGGATGATTGACTAACAATTCCTTCACATACGCCGCTGCCGCCGCCGCCGCGTATGGCTGCCACCTCTTGTTCTTGTGTGAGTCAGCATAGTCACAGATTCCTCGGATCACCAAACATGGAAATGAGTCCATTTGACCTGCTGCCTCCATCTCCACACACAGGACTCTAGCCTGCCGCAGTCTCTCTCGCATCAACGCATCTTTGACTACCATGTTGGCCGACCCAATTGTACCGTAATGAAATTTCGGATCCGTGCTCTTACAGGCATCTCTATCAATGGTCCTTTGCACATCGCAATTCCAGCAATCTGCACCACCAGAGTGAGGATAGTCCACTCGGAACAGCTGATCGTGCTGTATTCCGGGATGAGAGTATTTTTCTTCCATGGCCGGGAAACCCACGAAGCATCTCGTGCAGGTATCGTGGCACCTGAGATCCCTCAATCAGATGGTCAGCCGCCAAGCTCTCTACACTCGAACGTAAGAGTGCAGGAGGTTTGTTCAACATTCCGGTTCGTTCAAACCCTCCCGCCGTCGAGTATTTGCCCAGGTCGTACTGAACGACCCCACCGAGAGTCGCTGTCGGTTTACTGACTACCACATCTCCCAAACGGATACCTTGTTCGTCATCTTCTCCGCCCGGCACACCGCCTCCAATGCCCACCAGCAACCCAAACCGAATGGACGGAAAGTCGTTCAACAGCTGGACTGCCGATGTTGCTGCTGCATGGTTCCCGATCTCTGGCAGAACCGCAATCGCGACGTTGTGACCGCACAAGTTCCCCAAGATATAGCTGTTCTGGTCACGCTGGGTCGGCAGGGGTGGGTGTATGTGGTCTAGCATCGCCTTTACAGGAGCCAGCTCCACCCCCATAGGGCAGATGCAGCCCACGGTGTAATCGCGGTGATTTGGAGGCATCGTATATGAAGAAGACCGGTCTTGGAAACGGTGCTACGGCCGCAGTGGTCAATCAGGCTGAGGATCGAACTTGGTATTGCATACCCGGTTCGTTGTATGATCAAGTGCACCTGGTCATGACTGAAGACACATCTTGCTCAGATGATCCAGGCCATTGCTCTGCTCGCCTGAAGTACCTCAATGGAAGGATTGATTTCCATTCACAGGCAGGAACATGCAAGTTCGGAAGCTGCGCCTGCGGCTGAAGGCTGCAGCTCGAGGTAGCAATGCATGCTTCGACGTACGTCTCACGTGACGGAGATTTGAGCGGTGCCGTTGGTACAGGAGACCTTGTACAGAACTCAACTCAGCCTGAATATCGATCCAATAAAGAAGGCAAACTTTTTGGGATCCATAACATCGCCTGCCGTGGTCGCAGAGGTTGGCTGTGGCTGAGTCAGGTCAACGCTGCAATGGTAGTAGGCTGGCAGGGTTGGCTACTTTGGATGCGTTAGCGTACATCGTTTGCTGTCACCGTCTTTGAATGGGGCAACGATTCACGGGAGAGACAATTGGTAGCGCTGATACCCTGCAGGGGATATTCCCACCCTGATGGTGAGCATGGACGAGAGAAAACGGTCCATATATACTGCTTTGAAAGCTGCTGACATACTTCTCCCGTGGCCGTGAAGCGACTGTCTCTTCCCGGAAGCAGGATCTAGACCACTTTCAGGAGCTCATCGAACTAATGTTCGATGAAGGAAGTCACCACAAAGATAAAGCATACTAGCGTCGGGCAGGGAAGCCTAAGCCATTGTACTTAATGGGATTGCTCAACTCAGTCTCAACTTCCCCTTGACGATCTAACTTAGTCATATTGAATAGCCTCGGCTGGACTGTCACTACACAGTGCACACGCCTCAACATCGCTTTTCTCTCCGCATAACCGATGTTTTCGTAGGCTTTGCCCAAGCTTGGCAGACCCCTTTCCTGCAGCCACTCAATAAGTAATTCGCAAGCAATTATAATCGCATTTGCGGAGCAAAGCCTGGGACGTTTATACCAGAAGCGCACAAAGACTTCATCAGGCGTGGGAGACGAACCGTAAATCCACATCATCAATTTTGGATGGAAAGATCATCTACAGTATGGCTGCCACTTCATACATCTTCTCCGAGCTCCAATTCCCACACAAGAGATTCTGATAGACCATACACTTCGACAACAGCATATTGGATGCCAGACTTGCAGGTTAAACTTCCAACACCCTGCCTTGGCACTGTGCGGAAAACATTCTTCTCTACATACTCACGTCCCCAAAACCTCATGCACCAATACGCTCCACATGTGCATCGGCAGTCTTCTCAATCTCAATGTGGTCGATATCGATCGTAGACATGTCGACAGCCACATGGTCGCCAAACTTGGCGGCAACCTCTTCCAGGGTCAGACCCGCAGTCTATGCGATACATCAGCCAATGTCTCAGAAGTCAATCGTGGCAATCTTACCTCAGGGCAGTAGACCAGAAGAGCCGTAGTTGACACAAGGCAGACGGAGATCATCACGAAGTAATACCGCCAGCCAATCGTTGCAAATGCCTCTGCTGCTGGGCTGTTGTATATGATAGTCATAGTAAAGAAGGAGACGAAACCAATTGTGGCACCCTCGCTTCGAAGATGAGTCGGCCAGATTTCCACAATGTAGGTGTAGCCGGGGCATTCGATCAGCAGACCAAAAAGGAATACGAAGATGAAGTACATGGCGGTAGCAGAATTGAGGCCTGTTGAGTTTGAAGATCCGATGTAGTACTTTTGGAGGACTGCTTCAATAATAAGACAAGCAGTGCACAGATAACCGCCGAGGGCTGCGATCATGTTAGCGCAAGGGTCCCGACATAGATCCATGACTTACCAAGCTGCTTGACTCGGCCAAGACGTTCGATGAGAAGACCACTGAGCCAGGTTCCAATCGCGCATACTGTGACCCACACGACAGCAAGTCCGAGTTGAAGCTCATTGTCGAAACCGAGACCTGCAAATAATTGGGGCGCAAAGTTGGCGATGACCACAATACCTGTTGACTGCCCCATGATCCAGACCAGTGATCCACAGATCGCTCTCTTTCTCATATGGGGATTTGTCAAAATGTACCAGTACCCAGATGGTAGAGACTATGGACGTTAACGCGACACCGAGCCTATCGTGGAGATGGGCATACCTTTTCTTCTTCGATCTGTGCCTTGATTTGAACATATTCCGCTCGTGCAAGACGTGCATCAGGGTCTTTCTTGGAGCTGTGCAACCTCTGTAGTACTCTCCAGGCCTCATCAGGCCTTCCATGGTCCTAAAACTGTCGTCAGATACGTGATGATATTCTGAATCAACGGCAATGATACTGACCATGAGCCATCTGGGGCTTTCAGGAATGAAATACATTGCCACAACCAGCAACAGAGACAAAGATGTCAATACAATGAATTGCAATCGCCATTGAAACGGGTGATTCACAAAGTGAAACCCGAATGCAATGAGAGAAGACACAATATAGGCGAAGGTGACGGCAACACCCTGGCAGCTGACCAAGATACCTCGCGTATGAGCTGGTGCAATCTCAGACATATAGACTGGCGTATTGGCGATGATCATGCCAGCGCCGATGCCATTGAGCACGCGGGCCACTAGGAACATCCCAAGGTCCACACTGCCTGCTTGAAGAGCTGCAGCGATTGTCACAATAACAGCCGCTGCCATATTACACGGGCGCCTGCCGAAACGTGAAGAAACCGGGCTCTGGATGACGCAGCCGATCCAAGCTCCACCGAAAAATCTGAGCGGTCAGTCGAGGGCTAAGGCGATAAGCAGAAGGAAGACTTACGCTCCAAGCATCCCACCTATACGAGGCGTTGTTTCCACAGTCAAGAATTTTTCCAAGAAAGAGGCTTGGGCGAGGGTCCCGGCAATGACATTATTGGAATAGCCAAAGATGAAACTTGCAGTTCCTGCTGCGAGGATCGTGAGGATATTGATCCAACTCGTATGCGGCTCCACGGCCGCATGGGCGGTGGCAGTATTAGCGGTGAGAGACATTGCACTGTAGCCTCTGCGACTAAGTCGCTAGTAGTAGTGACTAGGAAACGTGCTCGCTGGAGGTATTCAGGAATGGCCGCAGCTGGGGTTGGGAGGAAGATTGATCAGCGTCCGTACTGGGGGTCGGGTGTCCTACTAATAAACAAAGGTTCACTCAGGCAACTTGACGATTGAAAAGCCACCCCCATAAGACATGAGAGACCGGACTATCTACTCTGGGGGGAAAGTGGAAATGCCCCGACAAGCGGAGGGAACGAAAGTATCTGGGGATTGATGGAACTCAAAACCTGGGGTTCACCTCCACCGAGCCGTGCAGTAGGTCTGGACTCGATGGAGGTAACAGTCTGATGCTTCATAGTTTCTTGACTCTCTGCCATTGGCAACTTCAAGCAGTTTCGTAGGGTGACTTCGTAGTAGACTCTCTCTTGCCTGCAGGTGCCGATGTTTGATTTCTCCCGAAAACAGAAGGAGGTCACGGTGCATCCTCTGCACTCCAAGTCAGGGTTTACGAGGTCTCAGTCTCATCATGGAGCCAAGATACGTGAAGACGGCTGACATTGAAAACCAACCTAGCCCGAACAATTGAGAGAGGAAGGCGAATTCAACACCCAGCAAAGGGACAGGAAGTATCTCATCCTTGTCAGAAAGATAGTCCGTTGCACAGACCGGCATCTCGTTCAGGCGAATGAGAACCAAAGACAGCCATCAACAGCAGCATAAAGGGAAAGAATGATCGGGTAAGCCCCAGGATATGCCCTTGGGGGCTGGGGTGACTCCGCAAAGGCAAGAAAGTGCGCTCTGGGCGCCTGCCCGATCACGAGGTCTTTCTGACCAGATGAAGGGCATGTAGGAGTAGGCATTTGGGTTTGGATTGGACTCGTGTTACAATGTGGCCCAGGCTCTTTTTGATTTCGGGTCCATTTGCCCGGACAAAATATAGGAGCAATATTTGTGGGGACGATCCTTGCTTCTGAACAAGGCTAACATCTTTGTTTCCTCCTTCGATGCCTCTCAACTAATAGGACGAATTACAATGCATTTTTCCGGAGAAAATCTGTCCGTCCTAAAAGGGAGGATCATGTCCTGCTTTACGAGCAAGCTGTTGTTCTGACATTTGTCTGGGGCATGTTTGCGCCCACGAAACCCCGTATCTCCAGCTAGCATCAGCGGGGTTGCGCTCGCTATCAAACGTGCAACTTGACGATCAGGGCCAGTGGCCTAATTTTGCCTATCAGGGTAGCATTTCGCTTCGTTACAGTGACAATAAGTGTAGAGGTTGGCCCTTCACAATTGAGTCTCCATATTGACTGTATCTGCTTCTGCTCTCCGTGAAGAAGTTACTTTTCTTGCTGCATGACATCCCATTTGAGATAGTTGGACTTTAACTACGGCCGGCAAACATGACTCCATACGCCGTTTTCTTTGCCCTTACTGTGCTTTTTGCCTACCCAATCTATAGGCTCTTGAGGCTGGGCTCCCGACACCCCCGAATGCCCCCAGGGCCTCCAACCATTCCTATCCTTGGTAACGCCCACCAGATTCCGATTACAGGACTTGGCAAGAAGTACGACGACAAGCAACTTTCTATACGTGCGCTGATGCTAACGATCATAGGTTCAAGGCATGGGCAGACATCTACGGACCTATCTTTTCTTTGAAGATAGGTCCCACAAATGTGGTTGTCCTATGTGACAGGCGTGCTATCAACAACCTGCTGGACAAGAAAGGCAGTATTTACTCAGATAGACCATTCAACCACGTCTCCAATTATGTCACACATGGTGACCATCTGACCTTGGAGCCTCAGGGTGCTTCATGGAGGGAGAAGCGTACAGTGGTGACGAGAAACCTCAATCCGAAGATGCTGGATGAGAAGCACTGGAAGATACAGGAGGCAGAGTATGTCATCTCTCTTGGGGTATGTGCTATTGATGAACTAACAGAAATCAGGGCGGTCATATTCATGAACAATATTCTCAAAGATCCGGAGAGAGTATTCGACTATGCACGGCTGTATACTGTTTCAGTTGCAGGCTCTCTTATTTGGGGTCACAGAGCAACGAGTCTGGATTCTTTCTGGTATAAGGACTTCTACGAGCTCATGGACTTGGTAAGAGTCTATTCCTGTACCTACTATCCACTGCTAGGATCTGACACATGACTTAGTGGCTCAAAGTACAAGAACCGGGCGCCAATCCTCCCATTGACGAATTTCCGGTCCTCAAATACCTTCCTGGAGCATGGAAGGGCAGAGCCGACAAGTGTCGTAAGATGATGGACGACATGTGGGACAAGGCCCGAGCCATTGTGGACGAGCGAAGGTCCAGAGGAGACAAGAGAGATTGTTTCATCGACGAAAAGATCGACGAGTATAATGCAAAAGGCTGGCCGTTATCAACGCACGCGTTCAACAATCTGTTCGGAGAACTCCTTGAAGCAGGAGCAGATACGACAGCTAATCACATCTTGACACTCATCCTGGCCATGGCTAAGTATCCTCGAATCCAGGAAAGGGCAAGAAAGGAAATCGATACCGTTTGTGGGACTGAGCGAGCTCCTTTGTTCACCGATTTCGAGAAACTTCCCTATATAAATTGCATCGTCAAGGAAGGCATGAGATGGCGGCCGACGTAAGTTATACCTCTCTAACAGTTGGGAAGACTTGCTGTCGCTCTCACACATTGAAAATTCATCAGGGCCTCCGAGCACAAGGACTGACACTGATATAGTGCGCCTGCTGGTTTACCTCACATGGTCACTCAAGGTTCGTGAAGATCAATTGTAGAGCTGGCCAAAGAGCTGTGGTTAACAAGACCCCAGACGATGAATATGAAGGCATGCTTATTCCTAAGGGCTCGATGGTGTTTGTCGGAATATGGGCCTTGCACCACAGCGAAACGGACTATTCGAACCATGACCATTTCGATCCCGATCGCTTCCTAGACCATCCAAAGCTCGCCAACGAGTATGCTGTCAATCCCGACTATAACAACAGAGATAAGTACCACTTCTTGCATCGTCCTATGAAAGGCTAACATCATCTTTTACATCATTATGCGTATGGTGCAGGCCGAAGAATCTGCCCTGGTCTGCATTTGGCAGAACGAAACATGTGGCGTATCGCTTCCAAGTTACTCTGGGCATTCGACATTTCCGAGCCCTTGGATCCGGTGACTGGTAACGTTGTTCACCTCGACGAACACGCATACACGTCGGCTATTCTGATGTGCCCGTTGCCATTCAAGATCAGGGTGGTGCCAAGGAGTCCAGAGCATCTTGCTTGTATTGAGCGAGAATTGTCGGGTGCAATGGAGTTCATGTCACAGTGGAATTAGCTAGCATAGAACCTGTTCCCTGGTCCCTGGAGAGAAATCTGAGACTATGGAAGGCAAGCAGAAGACTGAGACGAAATAATACTGGATTGGGACAAGGCATTCTCACCTGGCCGGTAGTACCTTGGATCACGTAAAATCTAGGCCTTGCCAATGGCGTTTTCAGTACTCTCACTCGATAGAACTGAGACATGCCTGGGTCATTCATTACCCAATAAACTTCCGAGGGATGAAATCGAGGCGCCATTCGTGCCGACTTCGAAGCGCAGGTTAGCCAGCTTCGGGCTATTGGGAAGCCTTGTGACGAAGATGGTCCGAAAAAGGGCCGGTATGCCCCTGACTGGGGTTACTCCAGCCCGTTCCCCCACAAATCAACATGGGGACCGAGACGGGGTTATGAGTTTTCCCGTCATGTATGGCGAGGCCGTTACCGAGGTCACCTATCTCTTGCTGCAGTCGCTATGAGAAGCTGAAGTGCTGCAGTCGACGAGAACGAGCGCATCAGCTGTTCTGGACACACGTAACCATACTTCGCTGTGTCCATGGCTGTGTCTCGAGGTACCATCCGTCTGTTCAGCTCCTCGCACGCCACAGTATGTGTGCGATCTGTGCCCTGCAGGACTTTCGCAAGTCACCACGCTCATAGAGGTATATCAGACCCAAGTTTAGCTCGTATCGGTGCCTTTGCTGACTTCCAACGTGTAGCTTCGCACACTGAGACCACATACGATGTGGTGGTTGTGGGCTCCGGCTGTTCAGGATTGACAGCAGCCGTCGTTGCCGCCAAGCACGGTTTGAGAGTTCTCGTTCTCGAAAAGACGCAATACTTCGGTGGCACCACCGCCTACTCCGGGGGAGGGGCCTGGATACCGACCAACAAGCACCAATCGACAATAGGTGTGGAAGATTCCTCCAGCCAAGCTGACCGGTATCTTCGCAGCGTACTGGGTGAGCTCTACGACCCAGTAAAGGTACCTGTTTTCCTTGAGTCGGCGCCCCAAATGGTGAAGTGGCTGGAGGAAAATTCAGCAGTCCGCTTTAAGCCTGTCCCTTTACCGGATTACCATGTTTCGAGGGAAGGTGCGTCAGTTGGACGCACAATCTTGACTGAAAAGTTTGATGGACGTCAGCTTGGCTCCCTGATCAAGACAGTTCGTTACCCGTTGCAAGGGTTCTCTGCATTTGGTTCGATGCAAGCAGATCCCGCGGAATTGGGAGTCTTGACCAATCCGTTCGGCAATATCACAAATTTCAGCCTTGCGACGGGCAAGTTGCTCCGCTACGCCACAGATTTCCTTCGATATGGAAAGGGAACGGATATGGCCAACGGAAACGCTCTTGTTGGTCGGCTGCTATACTCTGTGCAGCAAGAAGGGGTGCAACTGTGGAATAATGCCGCTGCCACCAAGCCACTCATTGAAGAGGGACGTGTGGTTGGCCTCAATGTTGTCCAGGAGGGCAAGGAGACCAAGCTGTATGCTCGTAAGGGCGTAGTGCTTGCGAGCGGTGGATTCGGAAGATCAGAAGAAGCGAAGCAATTTGTTCCCCATGAATGGTGCGCGTGCCCTCAAGGAGCCACTGGAGACGGCAAACGAATTGGCGTGGCAAGTGGTGGTGCTCTACCACCCAAGAACCCTCAGAATGCGATTTTCGCCCCTATTTCTCTTTTGCAGGTTTCCAACGGTCCTGTGCGCCGTATGCCACATTTTGCCATCGACCGGGCCAAACCAGGCTCCATCATTGTGGGACCTGATGGCCGACGAATTGGGAACGAGTCGCAGCCTTACCAGGAATTCGTCACTGTTATGCATGAAAAGAACATAAAGAAGGCATACTACATAGGTGACCGCACTCACCTCCGCAAATATGGTATGGGAATGGCATTGCCTTGGCCATATCCTAAGTGGAGGCTGCTCCGACAAGGCTATCTCATCTCGGCGCCCACCATCTCCGCCCTGGCAGAGAAGATTGGTGTTCCAGCCGAGACTCTCGAGCAGACAGTGACAAAATGTAACTCTTATGCATCGACGGGCATCGATACAGAATATCACCGAGGAGAAAATGCCTACGACCAATTCTACGGCGATGCTGGTGTCAAACCGAATCCAAATCTGCAACCCTGCGCGACTGGTCCCTTCTACGCCCTGCCGATCTATCCTGGTAATGTAAGCACACTATACGGGCTCATTACGAACAACGATGCACAGGTGCTTGATCAGAGCGGCAAGATTATTGAGGGACTTTATGCTGTGGGATGTGATCAAAATTCTGTTTTTAAGGGAGCCTATCCTGGGGGTGGTTCGAGCATTGGACCAGGAATGACATTTGGTTATCGAGCAGGAAGAAAGCTTGCAGATGTAGAGTCCTGACCACTGAGTAATTTAGCAACTGCTTACCGATATGTAGTGAGATGCTCAGCTGTAAATACTTAGAACGTCGAGCACGAATTGTGTGCCATAACGTGAGCACCTCTGCTAGGTAGCCTAGGTTTAGACGGGTAGTTCGGTTACTGTAGGAGCCCCGTTGTCGTGCGCTCGGACTCGGAGATTGAGGTGATACTAATATTCGTCCGAAGTTCACCTGTCCAGGTGTCTGAAATATCCCTTAGCCCCATATTCGAGGGACTTCGGATTAATACCACTCCCCAGCTCTTCCCTATAATACTTCGGGAAACCCCCCGTCTATGCCCAAAGTCCAGGGTAAATCAACAACGCAATTCGAAGCAGCTGATATGGTTCTCGGCCAATCTCTAACGACCAGACCTCGCTGACAAAGTGCACGAGAGATCACGCGAGCCACCAAACTCAGAAGAAGGGCCAAGAACGCAAATCTGTCTTATTGTCGCATGAGCCAGTATCGAATCCAATCTCTATCGACTCAAGCGGAAACATAAGGTCCTCGCAACGGTGCTGTAGGAGACTCATCCGACCATCCAGACCTTCAACATGGCCAACTTACCTTCCCACTCATTAGTCGCACCCCTGCGCACTAGTTTGGCCTGGTCGTTGGCTCGTTCAAGTCACCTGTTGTCGAGACACAGCAAGGTCCTCTGTCGCTCGATCTGTACCTCGCAAAGACGCTTCGACAAGACACCGACTACAATTCACAGCCGCAATGGAGCTAGCAACACTAGGAACTTGATAGCGGCAAGCAGCTCGGCTCATGTCAACAAGCTAAGCAACGGCACAGCACGTCGAACATTTGCCTCAGTCCAAACGTCTCAGGAACCCACACTCGAGACCGAGTTCCTGGTTGTTGGTGCAGGTCCAGCTGGAGCAGCGCTGGCTTGCTTTCTGACGAGCTATGGTAAGACGACCAGTTTCATGGATCCTGAGTTGTGAGCTGACTACTCCAGGTTTGAAAGGCGTCATGATCAGCACTGCTCCCGGGACAGCTAACACTCCGCGGGCGCACATCACGAATATGGCTGCATTAGGTACGTGCCAGCCTCCCGGACTATACTCAACAAGAGGCTATGATGACTAATTTCGTTTAGAGTGTCTGCGAGACATTGGACTCGACAAAGATCTGGAAGCTCTGGCTTCGAAGGGTGACGAACATATGATTCATACCCGATGGTGCCACAGTATGGCTGGCGAAGAGTATGCGCGAATTCATTCGTGGGGCAACGGACCCGACAGAAAGGTCAATGAAGATGCCAGGCTCCAAATATTCAGGCCTTCCACTGACTTTCCAATTCAGGGTGAATATGAGACTGCCAGTCCCTGTGGGCCAATGGACCTGCCACAGACGCAGCTCGAGCCCGTCCTTGTCCGTTACGCCACAATGAACGGATTCAAGACAAGATTCGACACGACACTCCTGTCCTTCGAGACGGATTCTGACACAGGACTTATCACGGCAAATATACGCGATAACCTCTCTGGTCAAGAGTATCAAGTCCGTACCAAGTACCTATTCGGAGCCGACGGTGCGCGTAGCCAGGTTGTAAAGCAATTGGATCTGCCGCTCTCCGTCAAGCCAGGTCAGGGAATGGCGATCAATGTGTTGGTCAAGGCCGATCTATCACATCTAGTCGAGCACCGAAGAGGTAATCTGCATTGGGTGATGCAGCCTGACAAAGAACATCCTGATTTCGGCTGGATGGGCATTGTGCGAATGGTCAAGCCGTGGAACGAGTGGATGTTCATCCTGTTCCCGACACGAGAGTGCGATTTCCAGATCTCCCCATCGAAGGAAGAATACCTGCAGCGAGTCAGAGACTTTATTGGTGACGACACGCCGGCGGAGATCCTTGACGTCTCGAAGTGGTTTATCAATGAGATTGTGGCAGAGGAGTATTCCCAGGGAAACATGTAAGTCCGAGTCTCTTCTCATCAACCTCTTCGTCTTCGGTGCATGGCTAATCGATCCAGTTACTGCATGGGAGATGCTGTCCACCGACATCCTCCCTTCAACGGCTTGGGAAGTAACACATGTATCCAAGATGCCTTCAATCTAGCCTGGAAGGTCGCCTACGTTCATCGCGGCCTCGCCGACCCTTCATTGCTGTCCAGCTATAGCACCGAGCGGCAGCCCGTCGGCCGACAAATCATCACACGGGCCAACGACGGGTTCAGAGAACATTTTAACGTGTGGCAGGCACTGGGCATGCTCTCAGAGGACGTGGAGAGCCGTAAGCAGGTCCTCGCGGAATTGACTGCCCCAACGCCCACAGGCCGTGAACGAAGACAGGCATTCCAGGCCGCCATTAGCAACACTTGCCACGAGTTCCACGGCCTCGGCGTTGAAATGAACCAAGTCTATTCCGGACCAGGCGTGTATTCCGCCGACGAAGCAGTACCCTTCAAACACTCCGGACCTGCGGCTGAAGATCCGGTCCTCTACTACGAGAAGAGCACGTACCCGGGATGTCGTCTTCCTCATGTGTGGCTGAACACAACCACTCCTACCGAGCCCAAGTCGACGATTGATCTCGCTGGACACGGCGCCTTTACGCTGTTCACAGGCATTGGAGGCGAGCACTGGCGTGAGGCGGCGAAGAAAGTATCTGCTGAACTCGGAGTGCCCGTTGAAGTCCACTCGATTGGGTTCCGAGAGGAGTGGGAGGATGTTTACTTTGACTGGGAACGGGTGCGAGGAGTGGAAGAGTCTGGCGCGGTGTTAGTCCGACCAGATCGCTACGTCGGTTGGAGAGCACCAACAGTCTTGGAGAGTGAAGAGGCATGTGAGTCGAAACTGTCGACTGTGCTAGCCTCGATCCTTGGCCGCAAAACTAGTTGAGCTGGGGACCTATAAGCTGTTGTTGAGACACAAACGGCCCGATCGTGGTGACTTTGTCCGAGCGGCTTGTACAAGAGCATAGTATGTGATTATCTAAGGGTATAACGGCGTATGGCTCAGAGATTGGAAGCTCATGGATGCAACTGAGGCAGATGCTCGCGTTGGGTACAGTGAAGAGCTTTGGACAATGATTTGAATGATCTGTCAAATATGTAGTGCCTGCCTAGTAGAAAAGCAACAATTTCCCGGTTCGTACAGGCGCTCCCTTTTGACGAACACTTCCTGTAGCACCTCAAGCGCGTCATGAATTGAATGAGTTCAAAAACAAATTCATTAACTTCGAGTTCCGCTGCTTCAAACATGATAATCGCAAGAACTCGGCAGATACCACACGTTTGTATGTGCAGAAGCGAGGCAACACGTGAGTAAGTCCGTCCCGTAGAGCCGCGTCTTGACTCCCATGTACCCGATGTCATACAGTATATCCATCAAAGAGGCCCGCCATAACATCAGTAGAATACCACGCCAGATCGCCCATGAACAGCTCGTTCGACCAGGCGCTGTCGCACTCCCCCGAGAAAGCAAACTGGCTCAACGAATCATCAACTCCTGGAGGCATAGTCGCCAGCCAATCTACATCTTCCGGGAGCAAATTGGGGAAGGTCCCATCCGGGCCATTGACAGATGGCTGGGATGTCTCGAGCTGAGTCTCCGAAAGGCCCGGTAAATCTTGCAGTACTTGTTGCTGGTATGCTGGAGGTATCATGGCTTCCTCACCTATCGAGCCTGCCGTCTGGCCCTGTATTGCCAGGTCATCGTCATGGCGAGTCCTGACTCGGCCTTGCGATAGATGGAGTTCCTTTTGTCGAGCTTCAAGCCTTGCGTCCAGGGAATCAAGGTTTTGCAACAATGCGAGCGGTGTTTCCCAGAACTGGTAATATCGCAGGTAGGATTGCCGTAGTATTCCGTAGTGACGCTGGGAAAGCATGGACGTGTTATCTCGCAATGCCACCCTCTTCAGAACCTGTAAGGCGGCGGCGATCCATATGGTGCTCGCATAATAGGGGTTGACGTATCGCTCGTGTCCTTCTGGACAACTTGCCACTAGTCGCACCACTAAGTCACCAGCTTTCAAGTAATTTTGCAAGCCTTCTCGGGCGTTTGAGCTTGCGTTCGGCGTAATCACTCCGGAAGGAACGTTATTGGCTTTGGAGACTGATAAGGGACTCAGCCCTTCGATGATGTCGGCGAAAACATAATTTTGATATATCATGAAGCAGGCTGACGCGGTCATCATGTGAATGGAGTGCTTCCCTCCGCTTATTCGGCGCATTGCCAATGCATCTTTGTCTCCAACGGAGCCAAACGACAGAGATTCTCCACCATACGAGAATTTGGCTGGAAGGTTTTCTGTGACATCCTGACACGCTCTGACGAGACTGGAGAGTCTGGCTGTGAACTCTTCTGACTTTTGTTTGTAAGCATGGGTATACTCCTCGGCGAGCCATGGGTCCCCATCCTGACATTCAGCATAAGGAATGATGCCTTTTATACTGTCTTGGCACAGTAGTTGACCGTCGTGCATCAGGGTAGCTAAGAGCATGGCCCATGAGAATGAATCTTCATTGCCTGAACTTTTGAGTCTTCTCCATCGTTCTTCAGGACTTCCTTGAAGTAGGCAGGAAGCTTGGTACTTGTTCGCAAACCACAATTCGTCGTTGATCGGAAGGCATGTCTCGTTCGCACTCCAGTCTACGGCTGTAGGAGTACGCGTGATTGTCGAACAAAAGATGTCCATTTCCCATAGAGCCCACCAGCAACGGCGTCGTTCCTCATTCGAGGACCAAGCCATGAGCTCACTGTCACATGTTGGTGCTTTGTCGGATCCCTTACAATCAATTAGGTGCAGGCGCAGCTCATAGGCGATTCGTACGCCAGAGCCGACAAGCCTCCAAGCTGGTCCGTACACTCCGTTGACTAGCTTGTAAAAGCCGGCCAACGTCAGGGCCTGAAGGAGGCAAAGAGGAGGGGCACTGCTTGAGCAAGCCTCTAAAGCTTTGTGGATGTATTGTAATGAGAGGTCATGAAGTTCTCGATGCGACAGCTTGTTGGTAGTGCCGCCGCTGGTGGAGTCTTCGGATGCGAGCGACCTCGAGGAGAGGGAAAACATGGCTGCAAATAAAGCGATAAGATGATCACAATTCTGCATTGCACGAACCTTGTCTGGAAAGGAAGGCTGGTGAAAGAGGGATAGAGACTTCAGCCCTGCCACTAGCTCAAAGAATAGATCAATCCTACGACACAGCCAAACATGTCAGCATCGCTCTCAAAGGAGGTTGTGCAGGGGAGCTCACATAGTTTGCGCTTGCTGAATAGACATGCGAAGAACTTCGCAAGCTTTATTCAAGTTTTCCTGTGCTCCCAACAGGACAAGCAAAAATCCGGGTTGGGACGGTTCAGTCCGATCTCGTGCCGGGCTCAGGGATGCTTCATGTGATGGATGTAAGAACCACGAGAGGTTTATGGCTTTTGCAAAATTCAAGGCTGCAGCATTACAGCTTTTGGTATTGGAAAACGAAATGTTCGAGGGACTTGTTTCTGGCGAGGGGAGTGAGCAAGCACCCGTGCCGTCGAAGTCCGGCAAGGAGCTCTCCTGCATTGTACTAGTTTGAGATGCATCTGAGCGAGGAACGGTGACATCCTGCCCGTTCACAACGGTTGTCCGTACGCGGCGTCGCCGATGGGTAGAACCTGCTGATGGTAAGATATCGGTGGCAACCCGTCCATAGCCCGGCAATACTACTTACCAAGTTTCGGTCCTGGCTTCAAGCGGGCTGTAGGGTATGTACATCGACTCTCTGTTCGTTGGCAAAAGGAGCATGTTGGAATTTGACGGTCACTGCAACCGACAAGGGTAAGCAATCATGGGTGGGCTGGTCCATGGCAAGGGCGCCTACCATCTGGACTTTTTCCTGCGCGATAGGTCAGTCAACCGTCTTTGCAATATTGCAAACAGGAGGAACATCCAGAGTGCGGCGCTTTTAATGACTCCGCTCGGCGTATCTTTCTCTACACATGATATTTTCCTTGCTTGTCGCAACAGGACTGGGGTGGCCCGACTTACTTTTTGCACATATCACAAGCCAGGGTCGACATCGCAATAATGCCATCTTCCCTCTCAGCGACAGCCATAATGAAAGTTAACGAGGGTTGTTGAGCCTTGGAATAGCAAAATCTGATGCTATGGCAATGAGATTTTTGGGGTTGAAGAAGATCAGGGAAGGAATCAAATGTTAGGTAACAATGAAAACCCCTCCATCCCCCAGAGTTTCTCCCCGTGACCCCGCGACGTCTCCCAAGCAAGCGATTGGGACGATTTCAGGTACTGGGTGTCCACCAGGGAGTCCAAGCGTGGTCTAGCCCAACGATATAAGGGGTATTTCCGACCCGGCCTGGAATTTCAGAGGGACTTTGCAGCATGGGTCACCCGGAATTATGAGTTTCGGGGCAATTGTGGTTGGCTCGGACTAATTATGCTGACACGCCACGGAGGCCCGATGGGATCTGGTTTGACTGAATGCAACCATCAGAAATGCAAAGATTCCTCCAGAAGTGACGTGCACTCGAAAGTCAAGAGTACTCTCCAATAACTCTTTCGTGGACCTTCTCAACTATATTGTTTCAAAAAGTCCAGTGCCTCCGACATCTCCTGGTTGATACGTTCAATGTGCTTCTCGCTTCTGGGTTTGATGGCGATTTTGAAAGGCAGTGGCGCTTGAAGAATACCTGGGTTGTATGCCTGGGCATCCAATGGCGTCTTAACTCCAGTTCGGGGATCAACATATTCAGAGAATTCGAAAGCCCAGAGTAGCTTCGCTGCAATACGCCACATGTTGCGCTCTGCGAGATGCATGCCGGGACAAACGCGTCGACCGGCACCATAGTTATAGTGATGTGAGCAGGAAGTTAGTCATCATAAGATCTTTTCGAGGTTTGGGAGCACACTTATCTCGATTTGCCCAGTCAGGACTTCCAGCATAGTCGCTGGCCAACTTTTCATGATTGATATATCGATCAGGGTTGAACGTTTCCGGGTCCGCGTAGATGTTGTCGGAGTGATGCATCGCCCAGGTAGGTAGGAAAAGGGTAGTGTCCTTAGGGATGAACATGCCCTCGTAGAAGTCATCTTGGACCTGTCAGCATACAGTCTCTTCATGAGTCTTCGGATATTGACCTTCTCTGACTCGGTGAGGTAGACCAGTTACAGCACTGCAAGGCAAAATAAGTCAGTCCATTCGGATATCATGCCTTCGACAACGGTGAGACTTACACAGGCCGCCACCTCATTCCTTCCTTCACGATAGAGTTGATGTACGGTAGCTTCTCGAAATCAGACCATAGGGGAGCCCTCTCGGTGCCGCAGACAGCGTCAATTTCCTTCCTCGCCTTTTTCTGGACTTCTGGATACAGCCCAAAAGCAAGAATCAGAGTAAGAAGCTGAGCTGCCGTCGTGTCTGCACCACCTTCAATCAGCTCACCCATGAGGTTGTCAAATCCGTGTTTGGAGAAGGGCATCCCTCCCTTCTTGTCGTACTCATCGAGGAGAGCGTCAATGATGCAGTTTCGTCGTTCGCCCTTTGCCCTCCTCTCGTCAATTCTCCGTCGTGCTTCTCCCCAAACATTGTCCATCACGGAGCCAGCTTCGATGGCTCGACGCTTCCAGAATGACATGGAGGCAGGGACCCATTGCAAGAACTTGAATTCGTCCACTGGAGGATTGGCTCCAGGCTCCATCGCGGCCGTCCACTGATTCAACTTAGCATGCTCTCCACGCCCTTACTTGGTGGGAACTTCATACCTTGTCCATAACATCGTACACGCCCTGTTCAAAAGTTCAGGTTGTCAGAAAAGTGCTTCGGTTGAGGATAGTCACTTACCTGGGCCCAGAACGAGTCGGGGGTTTCTCCACGATACCCATACGTGATCGAGCTAACGACTGACGCTGTATACCTCTTGATTTGTTGGAAAAAGTCCTCGGGATTAGTCAAGAGGTTATTCATAAGGATTGTGGCTCTGGGAGAAAGTCATGTTAGCCTTGATCACCGTTCCTTGCGACAGGGTATACATACTCTGCTTCTTGCACGCGGAAGTGCTTCTCATCCAGAGGCTTAGGGGAAAAGTTATGCGCAATGACCTTTCTCTTTTCTCTCCAAAGCGGGTCCATTTGTGAGATAGCCAGATGATCGCCTTTTGTCAACAGGTGGCCGACATAACTGTCTGGACGATCGGAGTATATGGCACCCTTCTCTACTAGGAGTTTGTGGATTGCCTTTCGATCGCAAAGCACAACTACGTTGGCGGGACCAAGTTTGAGACTGAAGATGGGGCCATACTCCTTGGCCCATTCTCGAAATCTGATCAAGAACGTTTAGATCCCTTTCCAAAGGTCGAGGGAACTACATTACCACATACTGCTTGTAAAGGCCAGTGCGAGGGATCTGATGAGCATTCCCCAAGACTGGTATGGTTGGTGGACCGGGTGGCATTCGAGGGTCGCGTTTGCCTACTTGCAACAAGCGATATATGCTGATACTGATGAGGCCAACAATCGCCCATAAGTATGGGCTTGACCATATCGTTGCTCCCGCCATAGCTTCGGTTGACGTAGTGTGTCTCTAGGTTCTGGAATGCGTTGAAGTTCGATTGGAGTGAAAGAAAGTAGTCATTGTCGAATCTGCTGTGCTGATGAAAGACATGGCACTGTAACAACAGCGTTTTACGCACTTCGTCAGCGAGACGGGGCTTTTCTGGGGCCCCACCCCATGCTGGGCGTAGGCATAACTTGGAGAATTCGACGAGCCGTCAGGGTCATTTTCGGCTGGTCGGGAGAGTTTTCACAATTGAGCCGCTGGCCTGCATCGACCAGGGCTCAGGAGTACTCCACCGGCCAGACCACCGTCTCGAGGCACCAATTGAGTGTGCACATGTCAGAAGGAGGACGTAGGCGCGTTCCTGCTAGGCTCATTTACGAGTCTCAAAGGCAAAGGCAAAGGCGTAGATCACGATGACACCGACTAAGCCTTAGATCGCCTGTTTGGACCTTGGAAAGCCTTGCATACATGGGAAGTGTACACACCAAGAATATGTGGTACCTTATTTCAAGCAAAGCAGCCTTGTCCAGCGGTTTTGTAGTAACCTTCTACAGCGGTATGCCAATTGTGAAGCCACCATCGACTGCCAATCTTTGACCTGTAATCCACTGCGCATCATCGCTACAAAAGAACACAACAGCTTTGGCAATATCAGATGGCTCCCCTAATCTGGGCCATGGGGTGCCCTTTTGCATCTCTGTGATGATTTCCGGCGTACGGAAGTTGATCCCGGCAGCGCCAGTCCGGACAACACCTGGACATACCACGTTTACATTGATATAATCCTTGGCGTGATCCAGTGCGGCGTTTTGGGCCACCATAGCCACGGCTGCTTTACTTGCAGCGTATGTCGTCTCGCGTCGGATGGCCGTGATACCGCCAGCAGCCGAGGAGATGTTAACGATTCGGCCTCGGGACCCCGAAACCTCGTCGACAGGTTGTGTGAGAAATTGCTTGATCGCCTCTCGCATCGCCGTTGCCGTCCCTTTAGCATTGATAGCAAACATTGCGTCCCACTGCTCCTCTGTCTCCTCCACATAGTCACGCAAAGGCATCCACAGGCCAGCGTTGTTGACTAGAATGTCGAGCTTTCCGAATTTCTGGCAGGCATTAGTCAATTCAATGTGCTGGTCAGCTTTGAGATTACGTCGGATCTTGACATACCTCGACCGCTGCTCGTATGAGTGCAACAATTTCAGGGACGTTCATCAGATCACACTTCTGAAAGAAGGCTTTCCCACCATTGTTGTTGATAACTTCGTGGGTAGGGATATGCTTGTCTTCTTCGAATCCGTCCTGGCGTGCTTCGAGGACTCGATCTGAACAAATCACATGAGCACCCTCACGAGCCAGAGCTAAGGCTATGCCGCGGCCAAGTCCTGAAGATGCGCCAGTGACGATCACGACTCGATGGTGAAGGCGACCAGTGCCGTCAAGCTTGTAAGATGCCACAGCCATGTCGTCAATGCGGTCCCGAGTCACCCTTTTGTCCGCGAGGCTGAATTCCAGATCGGATGAGAACCAAAGTTGCCGCAAAAATCAGACATGATGAGTGCTCACGTGGGCGAGGCCCAAACGTTGTCGGACAGATGGCTTGGCCCGAGGCTGACTTTGGAAGGCGTGGGAAATCCCCACAAATGCCCCCAAGAGTGACACGGAGGCTTTCCAGCGTTGTCATATCCGAGAATTGCGCCGGGATATCACAGGCCTGCAAGGAGCCCTTCCTGGTCGTAAGTGGCAGAACATGAATCCGCGGATTAATGTCAAAGGTTGAGACAAGTCATGGGTCAGCAGTTTGGGGAAGCAAGTGGGCCAACTCTATCCCCTCAGACGCATGATTTGGACTGGCCTATCATAATTCGACCGAATGTTACTCCAGCGCCTGGATGGCCACACTTGGTTGCTGGGACCTTGGCACACCCTGTGCATGAGGACGGGAGATGGACTAGCTTCAACTTTTGGGGAAAGGAGGCCGGTCGCCCGAATTGACCTCGGTCTGATGCATCTCACTTTGGGGACTCGATCCTAAACCAATAGCATCGGCTCTTCCCTGCATATGAGTGCGACTCCTGCGACCAGAGGCGGTGCATGTAGAGACCTTCTTGGACATCTTCTTGCCTTCAACCTTGCTCGACTTGGCCTCCTTCGAGATCATTTTTTGTAGTAAGCGCATAGCATCCATCATAATCTCTCGAACCAAAGTCTTACGCTGCTAGGGCGGCACATCTCCGTCCACATCTGTACTGTTGCTGAACTCGCTAAACTTCTTGCAATTTTGACCATCTCGCTCTACTTTGGCTGTGATGAGCTTGTGGGCGTCCGAACCCAGGATCACACGTAGTGGTGGATTCGGCATCACCGCCAGCTCATACATGGCTTTGGCAGCCTTGACGGGATCTCCACGTTGTGTCCCGTGGCGCTTGTTTGTGCGGTCGGCGCTATCAAGGTCTGCAAGAGGCGGAGGAGTTCAGTAACCCAAGTCCAGCTTCGAAAGAGTAAGAATCTCGACTTACGTTCGTAATTAGAACTTCGATCGGCAATAGTGACACTGCGGCCAGTCCAATCGGTTCTACGTCAAAGAGCGTCAGCCCTTTGCCAAAATGGACCTTATGTAGGGAATGACCAGGTCGAGCAACATATCGGAGACGACTGCGTTAACGCAGTTTAGACCTCTACTTCCCCCTGCTACCTGTGAATTGCTCACATAGCCATCTCCCCAGCTGAAGCCAGATAGACGCAGCTGCAGGAAGGTCGCAGGGTCACAGGGAGAACAGCGGACCGCTTCGGAGACGAGTCAACGTACCTAAAGCCACCAGGCTCAATCAGCGTGAACTTGATCCCCCATTCAGGCTTGACCTCGTGGCTGACAGCCTCGGTGAACCCTTCAACCGCCCACTTGCTGGCGCAATAGATACTGTATGTCGGAAATCCAAGTTGGCCTGCCATACTGGTGACTTGTTGGATGCAGCCTCCGGGAGGGGCCTGGTTGTCGCGCATATACTGCATCGCAGTACGAGTCACATCAAGCACGCCAAAGAAGTTGACTTCCATCTGCTGCCGGATCTGAGTATCTGTGTACTCTTCAAAGCATCCCACTAGCCCGTAACCAGCGTTGTTGACCACAACATCGATGCGCCCGAACTTACTGAGGGCATCATCAAACGCTTTCTGGACACTCTGCTGGTCTGTGACCTCCAGTCGTGTCGCGAGCCAGTTCTCGTCGGTAGCGCCTTTGAATTGCAATTGTGATATGTTGCGTGCAGTCGCAACGACATAATCTCCACGATCGAGAACTTCTTGCGTATAGTAATGCCCGAAACCGGTTGAAGTGCCGGTGATGAAGAAGACTCGAGGCATTTTGGGGCTGGCTATAAAGTGTCGCGCGGTGTTGACGTCTGGGCAATAAGGGTCCTTCCGCCACCGACGAGGCCGAAACCTTGTAATGCGATACACGAGTCTCGTGGTAGCGATAGAAACAGCTTGCAAGATAGTGCTAGACAGTGCTTGAGGTGCTGCAATTCGTAGCTCTCACACGACGGCTGGACATACGACGTTGTGCATCTGACTCGGACATCGATCTCCGAGAGACTTTGTGGAAGCCGACGAAGGACGACATGTTCCCCGCTCGACTGTCCAGATCCCCGTGGGGTGGAAACACGTCACAGAAGTGTGCTGGTCAAGCCTGGCAAGAATGAGTTGCCACACTGTGCCAGACAAAACTCCAAGTGATCGACGATACACAGAATGTGTTCATCAGAACGTGTTCATCAGAATTTCTGTACATTCGATATCTAATGGCGCCCATAGTTTTCCCTGTCCTCAGCCAATAACGTCCTCACTTTGTCCTTCAATCAACCATCTATCAGTTCTTGACAAGATGTTGATCTGTCACCATGCTCAAGAGGTCAAAATGTATGTGATACCACAATCTATTTCCTTCCTTGACTGACAGGGTCTCTGGCACGCAATCACCACCCTCTCGACTCATTCGACCCAGGGTCGCGGTACAGCCTGTCCCCGCTGTCGTAATGCACGCGGTCTTCCATTGGTGAACTGACCTTCTATGATGCAAATCTGAAGTCCAACCTTTTGTTGCCCTTGTCCTCAGTGGTAGCCAAGTACTGCACTCGTTCTTCTCTGGTCATGGCGTTCCAGATCCTGTCACGTTGATTGTTCTTGCGGACATAGTACCACTTGGAGATGCAGAAGGCAATGATGTTCCATGCCACGACACCCAACAGAGCCTTGTTGCCCCTGTAGTAGTAGGGTTTGTCGTCAGTACGGTACACCTGAGAGGAAAACACGTTTGACGCCTGCACGGCCATGTTGTACAGTGACGACCCGACCGTCCTGGTGCGCACTGACCCTGCATTGCGAGATGTCATGGCCACGAGGATGGCATGAGCATATGGGTACCCAACAAGCAGCGTGGAGAGAGTCCACTTGGCCCAGTTGGAGTTGTTAAAGTGCGGTGGCAAAGCGACCAGGGCGACTAGTAGAGGTAGGGCCCAGATCTGAGCGATAAGGCCGACTATGAGGCGCTGGTTCATCTTTTCGGACGCCCAGGTCCAGAATAGTAGTTGCAGGATGAACAGGACATAAGCAGGAATGGTGAGCAGGTTAGTTTGGAAGGTATCGAACCCGAGAGCCTTGCACGTAAGAGTGATATAGGCTTGTGGTGGTGTGGTTGGGATCGTCCATGACAAGCCGAGGATGTAGATCGGCCACATATCATAGTCAGTGAGAGCTTCCCAGAGAAATTTGAAGCTGAGACCTTGGCGATTATGCATCGTAGCCTTGTTGGGATCATCACGAAGGACTCTCGTAACCATGATGACCTCTTCTCGCTCGGTAAACCACCCATTCTTGGGGCGCAGGAGACCCTTGAAGCCGTGGCGAGCTGTCTGGGTGGGTGAGGCTGGCAGGTAAAGCCATGTGAAGATTCCAATGAGGCCGGTGATGCACCCTTCAATCACAAATAAATATCGCCAGCCTGCTCCCAAACCACCACGACCTCGAAGGTGCAAGATGCCGTATGCAAGGAAGGCTCCGATGATCTGTGTCGATTGATAGGATGTCCAGAACCAGCTGAGGCGCTTTGGCAGCTCAGCATTCTTGTAAAAGTAGGAGAGGTAGAGGATCGTATCGGGAATGAATCCACCTTCTATCAGACCGAGTAGAGCACGACAGATGTACCAGCTGGTCTTGCCCGACAAAGCAGCTTGGGAAGCAGCAACAATCGACCATGACACCATCTGTATAGGAATCCAAATGTCTGGTCCAAGCCTCTTGCTGATGAGTTGCGAGGGAAGCTCGGCAAGCAAGAATGCGCAGTAGAACACGGTCATGCCGTTGTTGTAGTCGTTGGTCACCATACCCAAATCAACAAGCATGTTGTCCGACAACGCTTGAGTGATATTGCCACGGTCAAGTTGTAGGGCAAAGAACATGACACAAGCTGGTAGAGCAACAAGCCAGTCAAGCTGCGATTCAGGTTAGCAATGCTCGATTTCGAGTAGGGTCTGTGACACATACACGTCTAACCAAGGTCTTCTCCTCCTGAGGTGTCCATGTCGCTGTGGGATTGAAGCGATGGGTACCTTCAAATCCCTCGACAGGCTTGTAGATCTCGAGCGCTTCCGGGCTCACGAAGACGTTGTTCACGTTCTTGCCGGTGTCACTGAGGGAGGAGGTCTCGGAGGACTTCTGGTCAACGATCCCATCGTCGACAGAAACGTAGCTGACGTCTCTACCTCCGAATTGCCACCATTTCTTGGGTTGACGTCGATTGCGGAGGCCGGAGTTTCCGCCTTCCAGGCTGGAGGGGAAAGACTCGAGGACTGTTTTATTGTCCATTGGGAGGAGAGCTTCTGATGTTTCCTGGTCAGAGGGTGAAGTATTTGGTGGCATACCAGAAAGTAAGTGATGGATAGGATTATATAGATAGGCCCAATTCCACTGGGTCTTCATTGCGACATCGACCACTCGCCTAATTGCGAGGGGGTGCAACGTGAAAAAAAAGCCACAGACGATCCGATATGCGCGACGTCAGCCGAGTCAAGTTCTAGACAATGGACCGTGAGAACATTTTCCTGAGGCGAGATATACCAATGCCCGATGTACTTTCCAACCTGTTGAGGTGCTGATACCGAAACTCAAAGTGGGGTTGGGAAGTTGGCTCATGTAGGGGCTTGATTGCGTGATTCGAGCTTGATACCACTTCACATGTTCTCGTTGGTCGTCGAGCCAGGAAGGAAGAACAACACCCTTGTCTGACATGGATACTTACGCGTTCGTAAATTCAGGTTCCCGAAATAATGCAGTAGTAAAAGCAGTTGCTCTACCCGTCAACTCTCGTCGACCCTCCCGTAAATCTCGACTTTCACCAGCAGTGAAGGACAAGCTCCCATCGTGGTGTGATCGAAAGCCTTCAGAGAGGTACTTACGTATTAGATGAACACCGTCGTTTTGGATCTGGCTGTCCAGTCTGACAACAGCACTTTTTCTCGAGTGAGACTGACTCGATGCCTCAGGCGAGCATCCACGTGGCGACCTGCGACGAGCATCTAGAACTGCCTCGTTGTTATCCACACTCTGCGATTTGATTAGCCGAGTAAGTTTCCATGCACTGTAAACCCACAATCAACGTCGCGATCATTTTGGAGTCCAGATATAAGTCAATCTCGTCCATGATATGGTTCTTTGTCGTGCCATGCGATGCCATTCAGATATTGCCAAATATGCTCATCGCGCAAGCAGGTAGTTAACCTCATTTTCCTTTGGCCTGCCATCGCACCGCTCAAATCGTAATCCCAGATAGTCGGACTTGAGGAGACATCAACCTCATGGTCGAGATGCAGCTTGTTTGATCACGTCTTCAAGCCTGCTGTTCCTCCACGCAAATTCCCGCTACATTCAGCACAATCAAGGAGTGCCAAGTCAGCGTAATAGGAAGAATAAGCGGCTGACGACGAATTGATGGTGGATGGTGCCATTTGCCCTTTTGCGAGTGGTGCCGTGATTTGGCGATCATTATCACATCTTCCGATGGGACAAGCACGCCATTTCGTACTGCGACGTGATTATTCGACTCCATACCCCAAGCATTATTTCGTGATCAGCGTCGACGTATCGGGCCGTTGTCATTGGCGACCTCACCATCAGATAGTGCCAGACTTACAGGAATCAGGAAGGTAAAAGCAAAGTTATCCACCAGCACTAGTGGATTGAGGGAACTGGTGGTCACCTCGCAAGCATGTCTGAAGGTCGACACGAAGGTTGAGAGCATGAATAGTCCAGGAACGATTATTTCAACGATTGAGCGTGGCTAGCCGTGTCCCCAGATTGTGAGATCACAGTGTATTGATTGCGGGAGCGATCTCATCACTTTTATATAGTCAAGAAGTTGTGACTCATAAGCCTCAGTGACATGCTGCTAACCTCAAGCGGTAGGCACAAATCATTGCATTCGACGAATCATTTGCGACTATCAACGGAGCATTTTCTGTTCGCCAGCCTTAACTTCTCCTGAGCCGTTGCTGGAGCTCCTTACATACGGCTCCAAGGGGAAAACCTGACTGTCCGGAGTGATGCCGTCGAAAAGCTGACTCCACCTGGCTTTGAGGGGCTCGGGTGTCTTCCAAGCATACTCCGGGTCACGAAGCCAGAGCCTAACGAGATGGCGTCTAGTAGAAGGTCAGGGCGACGACACCAGGTCGGATAGAGTGTCAAGGGGGTTTTGCAACTTACTGCTGTTCGACCGTATCTGTGAAACCATCACGTGCATGAAAGACTGCAAGATTGTTGACGTACTGGATATCGCCTTGTCGGAAATCGAGTCCAACGTTGTACTTCTCGCCAAGGAAGTGAATCGCATCAAGGGCTTCCGCCTGTGCCTCGGTAATAGGCGGAATCGTTGTGGAACGGGGAAGAGCACCGAAGCCAGTAAAACTCCTCCGCGCATACTGGAGCAAGACACGCTCAGGCGACTCAAAGATTGCTGGCTGGTGGTACAGCAAAGGTCTCTCGGTGTAAGGTTGAGCAGCGTTCCCAAAATTCTCAAAAGGCCATTCTTCAGACAAAGTCCTGATCAGGTCCGGCCGAGTCGCGGCGAGCTCGTTGTAGACTCTCCAAGTGCTTGCCAATCTGCTTTTGCCACCTTCTGCAGCGGTACTAAGGGCAAACAGAGACACGATGTCTCCTGAGTCTGTGTGAAAGACCTGCTTGTCAGCGGTGTACGCAGGTGCTCCAATGTGGGCGCTGTCAGGTCCCGAAGACAAGTCCTTGATGTGGTTAAGGACAACATCTGCTGTTTCGCCATTGTACTTGCTGTCCTGGCGACCGCGTTGTGGTGCGATATGAGATGACAGGCCCGCATACATGATGATGTTGTCCTCTCGGGAGTGTCTTTCTACGGGTAGTCCCCTTATCACCTTGAAGCCATGCCCAAAATGAAGTTCATGAGAGACTTTGCGAAGAGCGGCATGCAGGTTCGGTAATGGGAAGGTTTCCTGGCTGATGTAGCCCAAAGACGTGTTCAAAGCTGCCAGATGGTCACTGACGTTCCTAATGAAAGAGCATACCTGTAATCACGCACATTTGAAATGTTCGAGTGCACTTTCCAATTCCTGGACTTGTTCATCCGTGAGCACATATGTCCAGTCATACTTCTGGGCCAGACCTTCGCCTTCCCAGACGAAGTCAGACTTCAATTCTTCAGGGAAGCCTGATGGGAGGTCGACATGCTTAAGAGGCTCGGTAGTGAGACGAAGTCTTCTTCGTGCTTGAAATTTGTCATAGTCTGGCTTGTAGGCAATATCAGGCTGACGAAGGATGGTTTCCGTAGCGACAGAGCCCATGATGGTCAGTATGTGCAACTGCTTACCGAGGACAAGAATCAAGCTGGTTATAATGTGTGGTATCTAACGAAGAGTAGATTTCGGTCCTCCTTCTGGGCTCTTAGCATGACGCCATACAATCATCGATTGTGTGATTGGCTTCGTCGAGGTGCGCACCAATGACTGCGGAGGCATTTGTAGAAGGAAAAAGGGCGGCAGCAACAGCAACAGCAACAGCATCGACAACGTTACCAAAACCGTATCCGGCCTTCGATTGACCTGGACTTCAGCAACCTTCTGAGTGCTTCCGAAGTACACTCTAGTAGTTTCTTTCCACCTGAATCATTGACTGTGAAAAAGCATGAGGGAGACAGGGCGAATGGGGATGCAGGTAATTATTGAGGCGGGCGGCACGGGACGACGTCACTTGGTAAACAACAAAGCTGCGAAAGTTGTGCCTTTTTCCCTAGCAAACAATTTGAATAACATCTTCTTCTTGGTCGTTGTCGTACTTTGTTGCAGTGTTTGTGTTTGCGTATTCAGTCTGGAAAGGGCGCAGTATTAATTGAGACCTCACCTGTTGCGTCCTCACTTCAAGCCCAACACCTTATCCATTGCCACCTCTATCTCCCGTCAGCGTCCACTATTTTCCACGCAATGGCTTCAGACGAACCGCAATGTAAGTAATAAGCCTTCCTGACGAACGATCGCTTGCTGACAACAGAAACTCAGTGGCGCAACCATGGATTAGAAGCGGCCATACCTCTCTTCTACCCAAGCCAGACCCATGGTCTGTCCGAGCCGTCCTCAAAGACCTGCCGAACCCGCCAGTGGAGAACACATTTTCGCCAGTTTCATTTTTCCACTACGTCGAGCGATTGAAGGTTGAAAAGCGCGAAGGATGGCGACGATTTGGCATCTCAAAAGGCGAATCGATTGGAGACCACATGTACCGCATGTCCATTATCACCATGCTTGCACCCCCTGAATTGAGTTCGAAACTGGACATCCCGCGGTGTACGAAGATGGCGCTGATCCATGATATGGCTGAAGGACTGGTCGGCGACTTGACTCCTGTGGATGGCGTCCCGAAACCGGAGAAGAGCAGACGTGAGGCAGAGACCATGGATTGGGTGACTGAGTCTCTGCTGGGCAAGGTCCACGGTGGCATACCAGGAAAAGAGATCCGCGCAGTCTGGCAAGAGTACGAGGATAGTGAGACTTTGGAGTCCAAATTCGTGCATGACGTCGACAAGATTGAGCTGATCCTGCAAATGGTTGAATACGAGCGGTCGAGCAATTGTGAAGTTGACCTCAGCGAGTTCAGCTGGGTATCGAGAAAAATCTACTTGGATGAGATGAAGGCATGGGCGCAAGAGATCTTAGATGAGAGAGCAGAGTTGTGGAAGAGCAAGAACATGCAGCCCCGCGAGCCAACAACGGCAGCAACAATCAAGGAGCAGCAAAATGAGTACTATGGCAATGGTGACGCCGCTACGAATGGAAAAGAAGAGGCAAATGGACATGCATAATGGGAGATGAAATGAGGTGGCACCATGAGGTCTGTGTTGTGACTGCTGTGTAACGATTGATACCCAGAAACGTGAAGCGATAGACGGCGTGCAAATGCAACAATGGCAACAAGTTTGGATCAATTTGGGTCAGTTACGTCTACTTGCCTGTCTCCCCGTTGACTTCTCTGCTCTTCTGTTGCTCGTGGCAGAAGTAAATGCTTCTAAAGCGCGCGTGACGGATAATTGCTCACAACAGTAGGCCGACAAAGGCTGCAGCGTATGATACGCTGGCTGCGATGCGTTTTCAGGTCGACTTCCGGCAGCTGCCATGCCATTTCCCTCCCACTCAAATATCACTATAACTTTGACATTGGTTCTGTGTGTCAAAGTCCACAAAAGCTGCTGTCGAACAGCGTACCAGATTTGACCGAGAACCTCCTCGTCAACACTGGACTCTTCTTTGACGTGGGACCGACATACTTCATTCCGATACCCGCGAGGGGCGAACGCATCCAGCAACTTTCATGAACTACTGCGTCAGGGGGGATACACTTCTCTTCCTGTTCGGCGTAGAGATAGGGAGAGGGTCAGATGTGCTCGACATCCACTCTGCTCCAGTCGTTCCACGCTGTGAGCCTGTAAAGAATACTGACAGATTTCTCGATATTGGCCAGCACTACAGTCGTGGACGTGCAGTTGATGTTCACGCTGTCGTCGCAGCTCCGCAGCGCCGTGAGGCGAGATGACTGTGGACGGTCGGCCTGTCTAGCTCTCGCTTTCCTCTTCAACATGATCCTTCTCAATCTCCGACCTCAGCCACAACGCCTCCTTCTGCATCTCCTCCTCACTCCTGGGCTTTCTATCGCTATCCGGACCTGCAGAGAACTCTTTTCGGTGATCCACTCTTTCCCTCCGTTGTTGCTGCATCTCAAGAAACGCTCTGCCAACATCGCCCTCTTCTCCATCCATAGCATCATAGATCCGGTCGCCGCCACCTTGGTGGTCATAATCCCCCTTCTGCCTCGGGATTACGTGCACATGGACATGCGGCACTGATTGCCCGGCGTCAACACCGTCTTGGACAGCCACATTCAATGCGCTGGCAGAGTACACCCGCTCCAAAGTGTTGGATACGACTCGGACGGTATTGAACAAGTCTGCTGTCTCGGCGACACTGAGTTGTGACAGCCTCGGTACGCATCGTACCGGACAAATGAGGATATGGCCCGGTAGAAGTGGTTTGAGGTTGACTAAGCCATAGGATAGTCGTGACTTTGATATGTGGAAGACTTGAGAGGTGACAGAAAATGAGCCGAACTTGAGGTTCGGCGGTAGTTGAAGAGGTGGCATCGCGGACTGTGAGTTGAAATCTGAATGATGCTCGCTTGTAGGATCTCCAGTGTGTGCACTCATGATCTGTTCAATACCACTTGTTGTGATTCGGCCCCTGGCAAGACCTCCCGAATATACTTATACCACCGAGATCTCAGACGATAGTGTTTGTCAACACAGAGTCACTGAGTCCCTCAAGTGTCCAGCACACGCGCTCTCATGTCCACCGATTAACTCTCTGCTACCACCGCATTAAGTTGCCAGTCTGGATATCAAAAGAGGGGCTGTGGGATCACTGTGAAGCTGCTTGGACTGAACGCCAGGTGGAATATAGTCTCATATCCTAAAGAAATTTGTGATTTCACAGAGGACTTGTCCATTACTCAAGGGCCGTAGGGGCCTATTAGACTATATAGGTTTCCGAGCGTCGTATAACTAGTACGACGCCCTCTTGAGTCAGTTGACGGTCTCCGACCGTCTTTACATCCCTTGGCAGTGCCAATAGCCGCATAATCACATCTCACGTCACACTTAGTCGCGTCCCACCCGCCCCGACACCCATCATCCATCATCCACCCCTGCAGTCCGGACGAGTTGTATCCATGTCGTCGTGGGTCAAACGTGAGAAAGAGCTTCACCGCGAGATTCTCGGCTTTTCCATCTCACACGATCACCGATCGGTTCGGATTTATTGCCATTACCCAGTGACTGAGGGCAAAAAGACCACGTTCTACCGTCATCCTATTCATGAATTCAGCTTTGCGGCACCGGATGGCAAAGAGAAATGGACGGCCTATAAGTTCACTAAAAGTGTCTATGATATCTGGATGCCTACTCACTTCAAAAGACTTTGCTCGGCAATCGATGCCATACCACCCGATATAAATTTTGAACTCTCGGAAGAATCCGATCTGCAATTCCCCTCATCATCTGGGCGTTCACAAGGCCTTCAAAGTCAACACCTCTCGGAGTCAGGAGCCACAGACGACGAGTTGAGCCTCATCGAGGCTCAGGAAGTGACACCAGACACCTCTATTACACCGGAATCAAAGCTGGTAGGCTTCAAGAAACCAAAAAGAAGATGAGACTTAAGGTTGGTATTCCTGGATACCCGCAAGTGAGTGAACGAAAAAAACACCAGCACAGCTGGACATTATCTGCTGGGATCCTGCATCACAAAGATTATTATAGGATAGTAGAGAAGTAATGGTGGAAAGCTCCACTTTAACGGGTAACGAGAAGCATAGCAACTCGGTCTCTAGATGTAGGCATACGATACAGGACTATGATAGCATCACGGACCCTGGACAGAGCCATATTACTGCCTTAGGAACAGTGTTCCAACGACGATCTGGCCTCTGCCTGGCCATTTTGCATATATAGCTATGGAATCGAGAAATTTAGCAATGGAAGCACTCTTTTATGTTCCAACCATATCACAACTCTAAGGGATACTTCTCCCTGAGGGACTTTCCGTACTTGGTAAAGAAGATCGGAATCGGAATGCATGCCAACCCAATAAAGCCCAGTAACGAGTTTCCCCAGCCGAGACCTAATTTCTGATACATCGGCCCCCCAGCAAGGGGTAGCAAAGCCCCTAACAATGACCTGGAAGCTGTCAAGATCGCCACTGCACTGGCTGCGTATCCGGTGTAGCAGTCAATCAGGTATGTCTGAATCGGCAAAAAGATCCCCATCATCCCGAAACTGAACGGAATCATCCCGATAATAGGTACGACCCAGAAGACCTTCTTGTCGGCAGACCATCCATACCAGAAAAAGCTGATAGGGATGAAGAACGCGAAGAAGATCATGGTGGGAAGCCGCATCTCGGGTTCAAATTTGCCGTTGTTACGTTTAGTCAATTTGACGACCATCTTGTCCGAGGTGAGGGCCATTGTGGCTAAGCCTAGGAAGAAGCCGATGCCCACGCCGAGGTACGCAAGGCCGGTGAGTTCAGGGGACCACCCGTATTGGCCACTGAAGACAAAGGTGATGGTGGTGAACAGAAGGTAGAGCAAGCCATAGACTATGGCCATGTACACGGAGAGCAGGGCGACAATCGGGGACTTGACGAACATCATGAGTGGGCGGGCCAACCCGGCGAGGAGGATTTGTGTGGCGGTGTTAGGCGCATCGTCTTTGTCGTAGCAGCTTCGGAGATCAGAGCGGCCGAGTACTTTCGCAAGTCGTTCTGTCTTCCAGCGGATGAGGACTCGAGCATAGGTCTCCTTATTGAGGAGCTCGATCCCTAGCGAAGTCACCCCTGACGCGATCAACAAGACCCAGAATACCCATCGCCAGCCGGCCTGTTGAGCAATGAAGCCTCCACAGATTGGTCCAGCCTGTGATAGTATTAGACTTGGTGTTCAAACAGATATGGTGTAAGACATACAACTGGCCCAAGAAGCGGCCCGAGGGACCAGATGGCAGTTGCGAGACCGCGCTCCTCGACAATGAATAAGTCTGAAATCACGCCAGCTCCAAGTGTGAGACAGCCTGAACCCCCAATGCCGGCCATGAATCGGAAGAAGATAAGAAGACCAATGTTTGGGGCGAGTGCGCACCCAATCTGCCAGACGACGAAGAACCAGTTGGCTGCGCTGAGGACGATTCGACGGCCATAGATCTCGCTCATCGGTGCCAGGACTAAGGGCCCAAACTATCCACGCTACATTAGTCTCCGCTCTTTCGAAGGAGCAGCTTTGCAGCTTTGGGGGGTGGACTTACAACATAGCCGAGAAGGTAAACGCTCACGGTGAAAGACAGCACTAATTCCGAACTCTCTCCGAAGTCTTTGCCCATGAAGCTTACGGCCGGCGCGAACATGCTAGACGCAAGCGGCGAAACAAAGGTGATAGCGCTCACCAAGCCTAACAGTCCCCATTTCCGTTGGCGTGGGAAGTTGATGGGATTCTGAGGATCATCTTGGCCATCCCAGCCCACGAGACCGCGTTCAAGGTCGCTTTCTGGGTGAATGGTGGCCTGGACTCGGCTTCTCATGCTGCTGACTCTTGTTAGGGATTTCTCAAGACTCTTCTCACACTCGTCGGTAGGATCTTTCTGAGGCAATTGATTGATAGTATTCCCGGGATCCTCTTTATTGATGTTGGATTGGTGGCTGGAAAATCGTGTGCCGATGCTTGGTGAAGATTGTGTTTCGTCGTGCCAGCCCTCAGACCCGTTGGTAGCCATTTCAAAGGCGAACTTTAGCAGGGTTACTTGGTAACTATGCCTTGCAGTTATGCTCCAAGTTGGTAGAGTGATCAGAGAGGAAAACATTTCGCACTTTCGAAGGAAAGGGATGTTGCTTCGCGGTGCTATGACTTACTTCTGCTCCAATGAGACGACTCCAGGGACATCAGTGCCGAGTCCTGAACACATTAAGGTTTGTGCCGCGCACAAAGAGCACAACCCGGCATAAGTCGAGGAGACATGCATCATCTCCTCGGATCTCTTTGAAGCTGTGGGTCTGCGCGTTTCCTACTCCGCGAGATTATCTAGTAATCTTCCGTGGGCGCACCCTCGATTTGAGATGCTGGGCTCTTCGCTGAGGCCAAATGGGTCCACGAAACCGTGAAGCAATTTGACTGCAACCGTTTTGGTTTCGGAGATAGCTGAAGTAGTGCAAGTCCGTGCGTCAAATCTAATCATTACAATGCTTCAAAGTATTTGAATATCATGCCTCACTTCTTCTTCAGTCGTTTGAAATTCACCTGTCATGATGGTCTGGTAAGGAAAGCGGCGAACGTGCGTTAGAAGCTTCAGCTCCTCAGCGTTTGGACAAAAGTCCGTGGTGAACGATACATATCTTTCTGTTTCTCAAGCCAAGAAACAGAGATCCCCATTGAATTACACGCATGATGAATTTGATTAAGACGCTCCGTGACCGAACGCTGCCACTCATTCGAGCCACCAAGAATGCAACTCAATGATCTTTCTGTGAGGTAGATATCCTTTCTTCCCATCTTCCCATCTTCCCTTCTTCCCATCTTTCAAGGTGTTCATCGTGCTGGCTGGCTGGTCGGTTGGCTCATTTCCCCTGATCCCTCCCATTTCGGGATGCGCAGGCTACCAGTACTGAAGCTATCATTGAAACTCTGTCGTACAGTTATTCTATTACATAAGCGAAGTTTGTTGAAAATACGGTTCAGATACCTTTCCTAAGCTTGTTCAGAGGCTGTCATGTTCGTCACTAACAGAAACTTTGACCCCTATGGTGATTAGGGATATGGGCTTGTCAGTTGTCAGACTTGACAGACAAAACCCTGTAATTCTGTCGACAGACAAATCGTCTTTTTTTGTCAAAATTGACAAATTTAGGTGTCAGGGGCCAAATGCCGAGATTACTGCCTATCTCTACGGCTCGCCTATAGGGCCAAATATACATAGAATGGAGAGCTTTTGGTGTGCCTCGGGTTTCTCTGCGGCGTGCCAAAACACGATTTTTACCTTCTCTTGCTATACTTGCACCACCTTGCTGTCAACAGCTTTTTGGCTAATTCGAGGGTATTAAAGACGTTAATTCACTCGAATTGCCCTTGTATTGGCACTGTCAAATAGGTCCTCCTAGCCTTGCGGCTACCGTAGCCAGTTACGTATACTCTATGATACTTGCCCGGTCTGTCCTGCAGCCTATTCAGGCTATATTTGGCCTGACAGCGCTGTAGGAGAGACCGTCTACTACTTGGTATACATTATCACGTCGTCTCCGCGGCCTATAACTTGAGTAGTTATATACCCTAGGGTATGAAAGGTTGCGAGCCCTCCTGGTTATCGATACAGTGCATTTAGCTCTTGATCTATAAGGTCTTTGACGGTCTCTTCCTACTCTTCTTCCTCGACTATAAGGAGTGCTAAATCGGCCTTAATTTGCGCTATCTCTTTCTCTATTAAAGTATAAACTTGCTTACGAGGGTAGTCGAGTGCGCGGCGATTAATAGAGATCGTTATAAGCTACTTAGTCTTACGTAGACTTAAGCGATTCCTAAGATCACTATAAATATAGTTCATCGCTGAAAACCCTCTTTCGGCCTAGTAGAAATTTAATGCTATTGTGAAAAGACGCAATACGAGATCGACTAGTATAGGGCTTTCCTAGCGGCTAGCACCTCTTACCTTTCTTACGCCGTCGACTACTAACGGCACTCATTGCTTACGAATAACCTTAACGAATACTTTAGGTATATCGAGGGCTTTCTATTACTATACTTAAAAGTAAAATCGACGTGGTAATAGTATTATGGCGTTGAATTAGATTAATCGTTAATTAGAATTATTATATACCCGAGTAGTTCTATAAAATAATTATTTTAATATTTCTATAACAATATTTACTATAGATACGAGTTAGATATAGGTCAACTAGTTCGGAGACTTAGAGGACCAATCGGAGCATAGTATTCTTTCTCCGGGCCAATAGATAAGCTACGATAAGGAGATTATATAAGCGGACAGTATCGACAGACATATCCTCGAAAACAGCGCCAAGGGACAGACAAATCCTGCCCTCGACAGACAGAAAAGCATTTGTCAGACAAACTCATATCCCTAATGGTGATACTCTTGCAGGAACATCCCTGGAAAGACCAAAGACCATCACTCTGCCCCCGCCTGCTTTGGCCGGCAGTGAACTCCGCACATTGATGGCGTGGTCACGGACCAAAAGATTGCAAGAGATCCTGAAGCCTTCCGTCCAGACAATCCGCAGCCGTGGTTTTTCGTCCCCGATCACCTGGTGAAACCCTTCCCCTTGGAGGAGGAGGACAATCAGCTGATTTCGCCCGATGCTGTTATCCTGATGATTTGCCGACAGTGCGTTCTGCCTGTCCTACGGATCGCTTTAGCGGTGTCTTAGGTTTGTTCTAACTATACTTCTTCTCTTTCTGAAGGGGTATAGAGGCTTTTAAAGCTTTAGCCTAGAGTAGAGGGCTATGAAATCTTTACTACTGAATATAATTTTGTAGAGGACTTATTATTACTTAAGGGTCGTAGGGGCCTATTAGACTATATAGGTTTCCGAGCGTCGTATAACTAGTACGACGCCCTCTTGAGTCAGTTGACGGTCTCCGACCGTCTTTACATCCCTTGGCAGTGTCAATAGCTGAATAATCACAAATTCAGAATTTTATAAAAAATGGCACCGTCTGATAAGGTATCCATTGCTGATATAAGTTCATGATCGAGCACGTTCACAACAGCCGGTGCCCTGACTTCAAGCTAGTAAGGATACACGGTGGCAGTGACGAGCTCCCTGTCAAAGGCTAGCGCTGTACCGTTAAACGCAAGGGAATCCAGGGCGACAAGAAGGAATGGTTTCCATTTGAAGTTGGAGAACAACAGCGGTCAGACAGTGCCACTTTTTCTGGAAACAGGCTTGACAGTCAGACAGAAACTCGCTATCGTTGAACAAATCAATCTTTCACACCTTTAAAATCTGTCTGAAATATTGCTATCCCGTCCGTTCCCCTGAAAAGACGAGTTTCAGCCTTGCAAATCTTTACTCTTGGGAGCTGACCTCCACTGTGCCACTAATCCCCCACAGAGAACGTCCTCCATGTACAATAAAGCTCTCATGATCAATATGCTGCCAACTATGCAAATACATATCTCGAAATAGTCCATCCCCACAAGTCGGATGCTGGGGTCATTATGACGGAGATCGTTTCCAACCCCGATTTCGGACATCTCCATCTCGATGTTTCATCATTTTTTGATAGCCTGGCGAAATGTTAGACATTCCGATCAATTCTTCCCTTCGTATAGACTGGCTCTGGCTTTGACTGGGCTTATGTTTTAGACTTGTTCCAAATTGTTGGCGCCCCTGTCTTTCTGCCCCTTTCTGCAGGATTTTGTGTGCTGGAGCAAACAATCCTGAATTGTGGTATTAGCTCCTCATCATAAAAAGGCAGCCAGATATTTACTTGTATATCCTGCATCCTGAATCCCATTCTTCGGAACTTCCAGCACACCAACCTTGAGTCATACCTGAGCCAGAGCAGGCGGAAAACAATCCTTTCAGTACATTCGACATGGCTCAGGAACAGGTGGTCTACCAACCTCACACTTCTTCCAAGACAGGCACATTCTATTTCGCCTTCGGTAGCAACCTCTCGCCATATCAAATGTCAATTCGCCTCCACAATGATCCTTCCTCGAGCGTTCCCATCGCCATTGCCCGTCTAGACAGCTACGCCTGGATCATTTGCGAACGAGGCTATGCAAACGTAGTTCCGTTGCCAGGATCCAACGCCGCCACTGATGCCAACACCGTCTGGGGCGTGCTGTACAACATGACACCGGAAGACGAAGCCAGGCTGGACATGTACGAAGGCCACAACGAGGCTAGAAACCCCGTTCCACAACTCAATCCAGATCCCCAGACGCAGCATGTCAAACCTTATCTCCAGGGCGATTGGGACTACAACAAGCATTACCTCCCAATGACTGTGACGAAGTGGCTGAAAGACCCAAACGAGTATGGCGTGAGCGTGCCTGGGTGGTCACCAGACAAACACTCAAGTTCCGACAACACCACGGTCCGTGCCTTGGTATATGTCGACGAGGACCGCGTCACACCTGGAGAGATTGCGCAGGAGTACATTGGACGCATGAACAGAGCGATTGACGAGTCGATCAAGCTCGGCGTGCCGCAGTCTTGGGTCGACAACATCCTGCGCAAGTACATCCCACCGGATATTTCCGTTGACGAAGATGGTTACGTCGGTACGGATGAGGGATATGTCGAAGCTGAAGCCACGGAAGCTGGTGATCATGTCAAGGAGATGACGGTCAAGGACGGGAGCTGGAAGGGCGACTCGGCGTGGTAGACACCTGTTGTGGTTGTGGGAAAGGCTAAAGTCCCACAGCCAAGTCACTTTTTTTGTGCTTCACCTTCAGCCTCATCTTCACTGTCACCCAACAATTCAAAGGATACAGTTTAAACAGGTAGAGAACTGCTCAACAATGCAAGACCACAGTGGGTGAAGAGGGTATACATCATCACGATGAGCTGGCAATTTATTCCGACATCTATTTCGACACTTCCAGACCCGATGCGTCCACGTGCGTGGAACAGGGCGTGACCGTTCCTTGCCCCGCTTACTGCAACCTTCCAGGTTCATTCAAGATGATGCATTGTTACAATCTTCGAATCTCTCTGACCTTTTTGTTTTTGAGGGGTTCAACTCACAGTGAGGGACGTGTTTTTTGGTCGTGGTCGTCAGTCAGCCGAGTGAAGCGGTGCCTCAGTCTTCACCTAGGGCGCCACGCGAAGGTGCGGCGAGATCAGCACATAAGTTCAGCTTCACCGCCCCAATAAATAAAACAATATATTTGAACTGTTCAAATGGTGCTTAACAATGCAAGTTCAAACAGTGGTAACGAGGCTGGTACCATCTCCCTGTTACTCGATTTATTTCCTGGTTATGAGCCCGGCAGCAGTTTCGGGGCCATTTGAACGGTTATCCGGCGTGGTCTGGGCCGCGTCCACCTGCTTACTGTGGCCTTCATGGATTCTATGCGGCATTGTTACAATCTTCTTGGTGTTGTGTTCGCACCTCGTGAGAAGCTCCTTTTTTTTTGCTTGTTCAATTCCAGGGGAGAGCGGGTTTCTTTGTGGGTGTCCGAGTCGGCTCAGTGAAGCAGTTGAGCAGTGAAGCAGTGAGACTGTTAGTGGTCATTGAACTAGTGACATGTTAGTAAGTGAGATGTTGACATAGTCCTGGTGTCCCATTGGAGGTCAATTATGCATCAATGGGTGTCCATTGATACTGATACGGTTCTGCTTTCTCCGTCGCCCTATGTGTATGACTGGGCATTGCATTGACTTAACTCTGCAGGGAGCTGCTTCTCGAGGATGACATGCCCTCAATTTCAGGTAGGTCGTTCCCGTCGCCTCCTGCCAGGTCCTGTGCAGGCAAGCGTATCTCACGACCCGCACTATCTAGTGATCTGTAAGTATGTGCTCATCGTCCGCCAGCGAGTAGATGCCTATAGGGTGTGATCTGGGACGGAAATCTCCAGACGTTCCGAGATAGTCGATGTGGCATCATTAAGACAGGTCAATTTCTGTTCAATAGCTTCCAGGCGCTCCCACATGGAGCGGTCATAGGATGTCTTTCTTAGTTGGCGCCGACCATTGCTCTCATCGGTGTCCCGTAGACGTTGTGAGTGGAGTTGGGCACGCTGGCATCAGTGTAGTCATGAATAGGGTTTTGGGCGGAAGAAACAGGGGGTTGATAACGTAAGCAGCCAAGAGTAGACGGTGGAGGCATTCAACTCAGTTCTAACCTCGATTCTCATTCAACACCTCTCGTTGTACTCGATCAACCCCTTAACCACTCCGACGTCGACTCAGCCTCGTTGTTATCATCATCCTCGTCGTCGTCATCGTTATCCACCATCTCGATATCTTCGTCCACGACCTCGTCACCAACATGGTACATGTTGCCCCATTCATCGACCTCCATCTCCTGCTCAACCGGATCTTCCAGCAATTGATACCGGCGGTTGACATTCCGAATAGGCATGCGGTCGTTACCACTGCCATCTACCTTCACACTGCGCAATTCCAGGCTCACGTGAACCTCAATTCTGATTGTTTCCGGGCCTTCCAAAACCACCATATTGCGATTGAACCAGTTCTTGAAATTGATCTTCTGATGAAGATAACATCGCTCCCATACTTTGTTTGGTAAGACGAACTCTTGCAGATACAAGGTCGGATATGTGTTGTTGCATTCCAACAAAGGCTTCGCTTGCTCAGGGACATTTTGCCTGACAGCTTCCACAACCATTTCGATGTTCGAGGTATGTGATGCAAGCACCAGAAAAGGAGGAGTGGCAAGGGCTTCATCGTATATGAGCCGAATTTCAAGTTGAGCTTCAAGCGGCTGGCCTTCGATGACATGAACAGCAACTCGAGCAGCAAATGGGCCTGCGGATTGATTCATTATGTTCTGTTCTGGGTCAGTTGGAAGTCAGGCCCATTGCTTCGAGAGGACTTCAGGTGAAATGAAGAGAGCTCGCCTTGCGATAGAGTGAGAATGGTAGAATGAGGGCCTGGTCAGGAATTTCGCGACTTTCGACAGCTTGCTGGAGCATGAAGTGATCAAACACGATATTGACTTCAGCAAGTGAAAGGTGACTTGTTCAGTGGCATCACAGTTGATCTCGCCAAGGGGCAAGTAAAGTGTACCACACTCACTTGCTAACATACCACCGCCTAATGACTGGAACATTGCTTCACTGCTTCACTAGGCTGGCTCGAGAACCACGACACGGATGTCCAGCAAATTCCACGACGTTTGTCGGCATCACCACTGTGGCCCGATGTTGAGCAGTACTTTGATTATCCTAACTATATTGTTCAAACCACTCGGTGGCAGTGAAGATACGGGTGTAGGCGAGATGCAAAAAGAAACCGATTACGAGATTCTACTCGCTCGTACGAAAACGAAAGGCAATAATGCCTTGTCTGGTTGATATGGAGTATCACCGTACGTAGTGGATGCATGATCAGTCGATATACTGGCTTGATAGTGATGGCGGTGAAGATGATAGTGAAGTACAAAAATAATGACTGGGTTGTGAGATTCAAGTCTCCCACAACCACATAATATTTGCAACAATGCACCGTCTGAGGATTGAACCCTCGAAAGGGTCACAAGTGGCAGGACAGTGCTCGGCCGCGACCCAGTCCCAGGATACTGATTACATAGGGTCTCAAAGAAAAGTGTCGACATAACCACCCAGGTGTGCCTGTGTGCTGTGTATTGAGTAAACGCAACGATGGAATATCCGCATTACCACTGTGGATAAGTTTGCATTGTTGAGCACTTTTCAAAAATTGTAATACATATCCTTCTGATTTATTCGATCAGTGAAGCTGTAGTCATGTGTTGAGGTCTGCCGCACCTTCACGTGGCACTCTCGGTGAATACTGAAAGAAGTACGTCAAACTTGGATGCTGCCGCAACTCCTTCCCAGGAAACTTCGCCAGGCAGACCAGCACCAAACGGGCGATACCATCTGGGCCTCGAGACCGGAGCGACCCCAACGCGCATCGTATAGACCGCCTAGCAGCGAGACTGTACGTGTATCCGGTGTACTCTGAATTCCAGGGATATTCAGCCTCGTCAACCATGGCAAGGCTGAGCACAAATTGACGAATCGGAGTCCTCAATTTCCCCGCAATACCAAAAGTGTTCCGACCTCTGTAAACAAAGAGACCAAATGACTTCACAAGGCTCAGAACGCAAAATGCAGAGCGGTACTCCTTCCAACAGTGCCCAATGGCATCCCCGCGACCATATTGCCCTGTTCGTCCGCACTCTACACCTTCTCGACCTCGACCGTCTACCTGACTTCCCCAACATCACCGAATATACCCTACGCGTGTCCGCCAAAGCATCCTCGAACCTGCAACAGCGCGTCAAAAGCATCGAATGGTCTCTTTATCGCCTCTACGAAGTCTACGACCCAGCTGACACGCGATCGAGACTTCGTCCATACTTCCCACCCTCAACGCCAATACAGTCCCTAAACCTGCGCGCAGCGCTGTACAAAGTGCTCACAGACCTGAAAAAGAATGGCGTCCTTTCGCGAGAGATCGTGCTACGAAAGACGATGCTCGATGAATGTAAGGGCGAGAAATTTGAGGAACTGCTCGGTGCGTTTAGTATGCTTGTTTTGCGCAAGACGATCAACACGAGTACTCGGGGGACCCGAACGACCAACCCAGATCATGTCGTCCCATTGATCTTGGCGTACCGTGTCTCTCTGCAGACATCGCTGCGGAGGCGCCAGCAACTGCAGGCAGAGGCATATGCTTCAATGCAAGATCTGCAAATGCAACGAGACGACATTGCAGGACGCATGGAGATCGTGGCACAAGCTGATCAACTTGAGGACTTACCGGTCGAACAGTACGAGAGGCTTAGAGACCATGTCAATCATGCTTTCTCTGCCGATCGGCGGTGGGCAGAGTACATCCTTAACGGCAGCCCCTCGGCAGCAATGACAACGCAAAAAAGGAGTCAGGGTCCGGACGACGGCAAGGCCCACGGTTCTCAAAAAGACCCGAACGCGCTGATGAGTGAATTAGTGGCGTCCCTGGCGAAGTATGAGGAATGGACGCAGGACTTGGAAAGCCTGCGCGACTCATTACTCCCTGTACCCGAGAAGGACGAGCAATCTCAGCCACTGACCACGAATACAACCTCACATGCAGGAGATCACTCCCTAACCGTGGATGGCACTGCAAGACCTGCCTCTACAACACCGAGACTACGCTTCGATCAACATCAGAGCATGACCCTTCGCAACGTGTACTCACGCACATGACACGCCGTACATGACATGAGAGACCATGTCACGCCTCTACCTCTCCGCCTTGCATGAATAGTCACGAACATTATCACGAATGACGCCTAACGCCTTACGACTTTTTTTTACGCACAATTCTTCTTGATCAGAGTCATGAACATAGGACGTACCAACACAATCATGAATTTTGCTGTTCCTTACCATCCGAAGCCGTAGCTTTCGATAAACAAGAAGAGAAAAGTTGTCTACCTTCCACAGAGTAGCCGAATCTAGCCCTCAAAAACTCCAGCCATCTTCGCACCAAGACCTATGACGGTCCGTGACAATCATATGAGATGACATGAAGTGAACATCTTCACCAAATCTGCATCAGGTCTCTCATGTCTTCCAGCGCACCGTGACCGACACTCAGGGATACACGCCCTCACAGACGTTTCGACCCGAAATAGTTCTCCTGTCCCTTCTCTACCGCAAACCCTTCCTCATACCCCTCATCCACTTCTGTATCTGTATCTGTACCGTCTCCATCATCAACGACCTCGATTCTAGCACCCAGTGCCTCCTGCCCCTCCCGAATCATAGCCTGCAACTGCGCATTGAATCGATTCATCGTCTGATCCTGCTTGGCCTCCTTCTTGCGCAACTTCTGCTCGAATTTTCTTACTTCCGGCGACGCCGGGACCGAAGACTGTCGACGCGGCGAGGCCAAAGACGCTCTACTTCCCGGTCTTCCCTCTTGCTGTTGCTGTTGGTGATGGAAGGACGATACCGCCCGTCGATGTTGCTTCACACTCGCACTCTCCAACTTCGACACTGGAGCGACAACGGGAATTGCGGCCGAGGATGATCGTGGGGACGCATAACTTGCAGACGACCTATTGGACGCCGAGCGTGGTGTGAGACGTGGTCGCGCCGTCGATGTCCCCAATGCCATCGAACTTCGAGACATGTGCAGAGACGCAGTCGTGGCTTTGGATCGTTTGCGCACGGGACTTGCGTCGCTGTCTCTGTCTCTGTCGGATTCCGCATCGACAATGACCCAATCTGACGTGGTTCGAATCTGTCCAGGTCTTCGTGCTTCGTCCTCCGGAAATCCACCGGGGATAGGAGTGTGATCTCTCTGATGTCGTCGAGGACGATGGCCAGCATGCTGGTAGTCATCGTGAAAGACATCCTCTTTCTCATTTTCGGTCCACACACCTGACGACTTTGTGATATCAGGCGTGCCTGCGAACTGGTACCTATTTCCTCCACCCGCGGAGAAGCCCTTGAAAGTGGTGTTCCAGCAGAAATTAAAGACTTTACCCGCGACACCGCCCGTTAGTGCCCAGACGGTCTTGCCCCATCCTTTGTCCTGTGGTGACCTTGATGATCTGCGCTTGCTATGTGTGTGTTCTTCAGATGGAGTGTATGGAAAGTCCGTGGGAAAGTATGAGGTTGTGTTTTGTTGTTGAGCATACCGGTTCGGCCGACAATCGACTTCGAAATCATATTGTTGTGCATCTTCCTCTTTCTGAAAATTAAGTGCGGTAGGTGTATCGAGTCCGCCTGCGATACGGTAATTTGTGTTCACGAACGGAGGTGGACTGAGTGCGTCGCGACAAGACGGTGTTTGTGTCTCGCTTGTGCTTGTATTTGTACGGCGGTGTCGATCTAGTCGTGGTCGTTTTCGTGATAATGTACGCGATGGAACGAGGGGAGATGAAGTGCTGTCATTTGTCGGTGGGACGAAGAGCGATGAGTTGAAGTGTGAGCAGCGAAATGTGTCGTTGGAGAACAATGAGCCTGGCAGTGATCCTGGTGAGTCCATGATTGTGGTCATGTTGTTGATTGTCTGGTTCTTAGTTCTGTAGAGACCACATGGTTGGAATGAATGACTTTTGGTCATGGAAAAAGACAAGATAGAACAAGGTCTATGCCTCAGATGACGAATACTGTAAGAAAAAGCTTGTAGCCATTCAACCAAGCCTTGATCGATTGCTCGCAGTCACAAGGCACCAGTCTATTCGCACTGACAGCGAGCGGTGCGGCAGTAACAGAAAGTGAAATGCGGGGCAAAGAGAAAGCGAGAAAACTGTCAGAGTGTCGGCCAGGCAACAGGCGGATATCATTTCCTCATTCCATCTGATTAGAACAGATAGACCCTTGGACAACATCATCATCGAATGAATCAATCAATGAACGATGAATCAATGCCTCAACCACATAAACTGATGAGCCCTCAATTGGATCCCCGACTCCCTTAAATCAATCTTATGCCCACTCAACAAATCCTCGCATGCTTGAGGCATCGCCATGAATCGTTCTTTGCCAATCCATTGCGGCTCATCCGAGAAATTGCACAGACACAGCACCGTCGACCTAGGCCCAGGTCGTTGGTATCCCAATATTGTCGGGTTGCCAGTATAAAAGCCCACCGCCCTCCCTCCAGCAAGCTCCTCCGTCGTCTTGCGCAGATGAATCAGATGCTTGATCCCGGCATAAATCTTCCCAGGTATCGTATTCTCATCATGTCTTTCTGCATACCGTGCCTCGGGATAATAAGGGCGATTGACCCAGCGGCTATCGTCCATCTTTGCCGGGTCATTCAGGTAACTGTAGTCATTCAATTGTCCAACCTCATCACCCAGGTATATCAGCGGAACACCTCCCGTGCTCATGGCGATTGAGTATGCGAGCAGGATTCTCTCGATGGCGTGATCTTGCATCGACTCTAGACCTGCCAGGGACGCCGTCGTGCCCGAGATCCTACAATCCCCTGTTTTTGGGTTATCCTGAAAGGGCACCCCACGTGCAAAACTGCCTGGATACCTATTCACGAAGAAAGCATTCAGAAATTTTCTGTGACTGGTACCTTCTTTGCCCAATTCACTGGCATCCTCGTCAGAGAACGTCCACCCAATATCATCGTGCGACCGGACGTAGTTGACCCACGCGCAACCCCTGGCGATGTTATGCCTCCGCTCAATCGCTTGTGATAGCATTGACGCATCTCTGGTGGCTAGTGCTTCCCATGTAAGCGCCATTTGCAGCGGGTTGTACGAGAGTTGGCACTCGTCCCGATCAATGTACTGCACCACAAAATCTGGATGGACAATGGCCTCGGATTTGAAGAGCACAGACGGTGCGGCGATGCGACAAAGCGCATTGAATGCACGGAGTAGTTTGTGCACCTCGGGCAGATTCTCACAGTCGGTATTCATCTGTTTCCACATGAACGCAACGGCATCCATGCGGAAGAAGTCCACGCCAATGTTTGCCAGATATAGCATCTCGGCAGCCATGGCGCGAAACACGGCAGGGTTGGAATAGTTCAGGTCCCATTGGAAATGGTAGAAGGTGGACCACACGAAGCGTCCGTCGGGAAGTTGTATGAACGATCCGGCATGGTCGTCAGGGAAGATTTCTCTCGTGGTACTTTCAAACGCAGAAGGGACCGTTCGATCAGGAAAGGTCCAGTACATGGCAGAGTGCTCTGGACAACCTTCGGCAGCTTTCTGGGCCCAGCGATGCTCATTTGAAGTATGGTTGAACACCAGATCGAGGACCAAACTGATCCCGGCCTTCCTCAGCTCGGTTGCTAAATCTCTGAGTTCTTTAATAGTTCCCAAGTTTGGCTGAATATCACGGTAGCTGGATACTGCATATCCTCCGTCGTTGAGAGGCTGAGGAGAAAGAAAGAGTGGCATCAGGTGAAGATAGGTCAAGCCAAGTTCCTGGAAATACGGTATCCGTCGTTTGATTCCGGCGAGGTTGTTGGCGTACCGATCGACGTAGCATACTCCTCCGAGCATATGGTTCGACATGTACCATTCCGGCTCTGACTCGCGCTGCTTGTCGATTCTTTGCAAGTCGGGATGTCGCTGCTGCCAGCTCTTACCGCACACTCGTATTAAGTCGACCAGCTGGTCCAGACAATCGTTCCGGTATCCGTAGAGCTCAGCGAAGATGGCGAAGACAGTAATGAAGTGCAGGTCTAACCGAGCATGGAAATCCTTGTCATCGAGAATCTGTATGCCGTCTTCGCTCTTTTTCAATTCCTGTATGATGTATGCTTTGGCCGCACGAGCTTGCTGTTCAACCGAGAGGCTACTCATGGCTGTAGGATGAAGAGAGGGAGAGAGAGAGCAAATAACGCACAAGGTAGCGGAGTGGATGAAGGAAAGGACGGTCGACAATAAAAAGGCACACACCTACTCAGCAACTCACCTGTAAGCAGTCAATCATATCTTTGACCAGACTGCTTTCGATCCCAATCGCAACCCTATCCTGACGTCTTCACCATGAGGAGGAACATGAGGCAGAGACTTTCTGTGGGAAAGAATGAAACGGCTCATCTCTCGGCCAAATAAATTGCGCAAGAACGGCCGAGCGAGCAGAGTTTCTCCTTGGTCCATCATTTCCCCAGTCCGCTAATTCAAGCCGAAAACAAGCAGATCAAATGTTTTGGCGATCATATCCGAGGCGGCACTAAAGCGAGGCGGGGTATGGGGCGAGACAATGACGAGTTACATACTGGACGAAAGTCATAGCCAACAGTCAAGGAGGGAAAGTATCTTTGTTGTTCTATCGCCGAGTTTGCGGTGGGCAAGTCAGAATAAAAGTATCAGATCGACCGAGGACCGAATACTGCGACGTGTTATTGATCTAAGCGTTCAGCCAAAGAATGTATGTACTCAGTTTTAGGATCATTATATCTCTGTATACATTGATGATGGTAAGAGAATCTATTGCCTCTCTTCAGAATGATCCGTCTGGATCAATCTACAAAGTCGCTACAAGTCACCCGGACGCCTCCTGACCGAACCGGCAGCCCCATGCAATTAAAATATACCACAAGGAAAAGCCGTCATCCCATCATGTGCTATTCACAACATGTTCAGCCTGCTGGACCTCCGCTCCAGGTCTATACAAGCCCAATTAGTACATCTTAGAATGCAGACACAGCAACAGCAATCGCCTGGCTCTCGCTGTGACTGATGCTGACATTGACATTCTTCACACCAGCATCCTTGGCTGCTTGCAACGCAGCTCCGTGAAGTTCAACCTTGGGAGCACCGTTCTCGTCACTGAGAATCTCAATGTCGTAGAGGGCCGCGCCTGCGCCCTTGCTAGAGACACCGAGCGATTTGAACACAGCCTCTTTGGCACTCCACCGGCCAGCATACGAAGCCTGAGGTGAAGGAGCCTTACTGCAGTAGGTACGCTCTGATTCGGTAAAGTTTCGTTTTACGAATGTGTCGTTCTCAATGTTGATGGCTCGAATGTCCTCAACGTCGACACCAATTTTGGACCCCTCCTTGGCACTGGCTTGCGTCAGTGACTCAAGCATGGCCTTGGTCTCCTGGGCGTTGGAGCTGAGAGACTTCTTGGGTGCTGTGGCGGAATATTTGAGCTCGCCGGTCTTCTTGTCGGCTGAAACTCGTTGTTCCGGATTCAAGAAGACATTTTGCATCAGCTCGTCAGGGTATGGAGCATGCGACTTGGCCACAAACAGGGTGTTGTTGATCATGCCGTTGTGGAAGAATCTGTAGGCTCTCTTCTGTCGAGCCTCAACCTTGACCTTGTATCGTTGGAATTCTGCTTGATCCAACGTGGCAAAGAGGTACTTGGGATGGATACCAATCGCCTGAGCACCCTTCTGACCGAAACCGAAAGAGGTGACGGAGAAAGCTTTGATACCATCGGTCTGCAGTGAATGGCTTGGGTACACAATGTAGTCGAACTTCTCCATCACCTGATCAATGTTGTCGGCGTTGCGGTTTCCCGGCACAATGCCACTGTTCATGGATTGCAGACAGCCGTTGAACATCCAGGCACCAGCAGCACCCTTGGGGTGACCAGTAAGGTATTTCTGGAAGATACCAAGTAGAGCATTGCCCTTCTTTCGGCCCAGATGGGCCATCTGCTTGCAAATAACTTCTGACTCGTTCTTGTCGTTGGCAACGGTCGATGTACCATGGAAAGATGCAACATCAAGGTCATCAATGGTAAGACCCCAGGTGGCGAGCGCACCACGGAGTGGAGCAATGGCAGGATCTTGCTTCCAGAAATTGTTGCCTAAGCTGTACTGGGCCTCCTTTTCTTGTTTGATGGCTTCACGCTCAATGTGAGCAGCACGCTCTTCCATGTACTCTTTCTCATCGAATCCAAAGCCAGATTGAGCCTTCATGGCAGCGACCTCTTCGTGCAGATACAAGAACTCAGACTCCTGCCAATCCTTGATAGCACGTCTGCGTAGATCGAGTTGACGTCTGCGATAGTTGATGTCTAGTAGAGGTGATGGGTATTTGCCAGGGTTTTCGCGAGCAGTCGTCAAGACACCCTGACCTGGAGCAGGTACAGAGCGGCCAATCTTATCTGTAGCGGTGGTGACCAGGCCAAGAATACCATAGATCGGGGTTCCCATGTCCAGGGCAAGACGAGCTGTCATGATAATTTGCATACCACAGCCCTGGGATTCCATGAAGCCGTTTCGGGTTGTGGTTGTGGGTCTGGACATCTCTTTTGGTGTTCGACCATGAGCAAACTCATCCTCGGCGTTGCTGGTAGCTTTCATGTTGGCGAATTCGTAGGAGCCTTCCTCCTGGAAATCGTCAAAGCCACCGACCAAGCAAACGCGCGCCTTTCCTTCGATGATGGTTTCGTAACCAATATCGACGGATTCAACAGCAGTTGCGCATGCACCGACGGGTGTCTTAATTGGACCTGTGGACGACAAGAGCAACATGTTGACCCAGGCAGCCATGGTGTTGATGAAGGACTCCTGTAGAATATCCTTTTGAACAGGCTTGTCCATGAATCGATCCTTGTACATGCCACGGAGTGCGGTTGTACCACCGATACCGGAACCCACGCAGTTGCCAACCTCCGAAAGATGGACGTACTGGTAGAATTCGTATGGGTCAGTGATACCGGAAGCAAGCAATGTCTCGACGGTGCAGACAAGGACAAAGAGAGTGACCGGGTCGACCTGCGAGATGATATCGTCTGGAACGCCGTAGTGCTTAGCGTTCCAACCAGTAGGGATCTGGCCAGCAACAAGACGATCGAATCTGAGGGCCTTAGGAATGAGCAGAGTGGCACCCTTCCGCAGCCGGACAGTGTATTCACCAGACTCAAGCTCAAAGATTTCCACCTTCTCACCGTGTTGTCGTTTGAACTCCTCGGCAGTCTCCTTAGAAGCCTCGAATGGATCCAAATCTTCCTCGATCTGAATTTCCTGAAGGAGCTGCTTCTTCTTGGGATCATACCCATTGAAGAGTTCCGGTTCAATCAGACGAATGCCAGCGTGCTCGAGTATTTGCTTCTCATATCGAGCCTTGACATCTTTGTCGTCGACAGGCTCGCTAGTCTTTGCATCCACCCAGCCAGAGTAGGTTTTACCCTTGAGAGGACCGTTGTGGTTCTTGATCAGACCCATCAACCAGGCCATCTCAACGCAACCTTCCAGAGAGAATTCGCCGTAAGCTTCCATCTCCCACCGAGTGCGCGAGTTACCCCAAGGACCAAGTTCAGCAAAGCCGGTAACGACAACAACCTTGTCGAGATCGACCATGCCCTTGAGCTTGGCATTGAGCGGCTCGACGTCCTCCTTCCACTTGGGAAGAGTGGGGAATTCAAACTTGATATTCGCTCTGGGCTCGATGGTGACCTTCTTATACAGCGCTTCGCTATCCTCGCCATTGACGATCTTGTTCTCGATTGCGGTTTCCTTGGTCACAGCTTGTCGGACGGCGCTGGTTTCCATGATCTCAGCGCGCAATCTCGTCATGAGATCCTTCAAGTCTGGCAAGAATTGGAGGCCGCCATTGAGATCTGCCCAGACAGGCTCGGTCTGGCAAAGGTCAACAATGGCTGGTGACATCAGGCCCAACAAGTTGAAAGCCATTTCTTGCTGAGAGAAAGTCCTCACGCCGAGCTTCTCAACACCGTCGGCGACAATGTTGTTACCGCTCATGAGACCTGTGCCACGAGTCCATCCGATGACGGCACCGCAGATAGTCAGGTAGTCTGCCCAGCTTTCGGAGTACCAACGGTTGAAGAGTGTCTCCAAGCCCAATTTGGACTCAGAGTAAAGGCCGTCGTTACCGAAAGTGCCGTGGTTGGGTGAAAGGGGTAGGATAACTTGAGCTGGACGGGTGTTGAAGCCGCCCTCGAATTTTTTCGCTTTCACAGCACCCAACATACGAACCAAGTTGGTCAACATGATGCGGTGAGCCAACTCAGACTTGGAATCGATGCTGTCGATCTCACGGCCATTTTCGGGGATAGCCGCGAATGGCACGATGAAGTCCAAATCCCACCCAAGACCCTTCTTAGTATCATAGATGTACTCGATAAGGGCATCGACGTCCTGCTTGCTGCCTTGATTGAATGGGACAACCACAAGTTGTGATCCTCGGGCACCAAAGCGGGCGTACATGGATTGATAGTATTCTGTGACCTCGCGAGAATATCGGCTCGTGGTGACCACAACTTTTGCTCCACCACTGATGAGGCCTTGGAGGACCTCCGCACCGATTGATCCGGCACCAGCACCAGTCATCAGAGCCATTCTGCCCTGGAAGCTAATACCAGAGCGAGCAGCCTCCTCCAATCCGTCGATGTAAGCACCGGTGAGCTTCTTGCTGTACTCCCAGCCATGTTCTTGCTTCTTCTTCAAATGCAAGAAAGGAATAGTTTCTGTCTTGCCATGTTTGGCGGTGCCATTCATGGTAGCCCGAGCCACTGAGCCATTTCGACCTGGTTTCTTGACTTCGCCATTTTCTTGAGGCATGATATGAGCCTCGTTCATGGCCAAAGCACGGACAACATCCTTGTACAAGCTGTTGAACTGAAGCTGGGAAGCTTTGGATAGCTTGTGTTGCTTTCTAATCAGCTTATAGACGTTGCGAAGATCATTTTGAACCTTGGCACGGTTGCTGTATTCTGAGATCTTTCCTCCTTCTGCCATTTCTCGAACATACTGCTCAAGTTTGCGAGCGCTTTGACGTGGAACTTCTTTGTAGTCAAGGTTTCCGCGGGCATCGATGGTAGTTTGTGGACCAGTGGGAACGGAGACGTCCTTGTAGACTGGCGCTTCATTGAGAACGTCTTTGCAGTTCTCAATAAGCTGCTGTCCCAGTTCTTTGGCCAGTTGATATGTCTCTCCTCGTTCGGTGGGACAGTTGTCAATGTGATATTGCATGTACTGAATCAGGGTCGGGTTGGATCTGTTCATGATGCGGATGCACTGGCTGACGATTTCACGGTCGACTGCCTGCAGGCGGCCGAAGATGATGTCGTAGTACATACTCAGGGCATCTTGTCGAGCCCAATTCCACGATGAGTCGTAGATGCGAGCCTTCAAGGCACTGAAAGAAGGTTCAATGCCGGTGGCGTAAAACTCTCCGTGCTCGGTGTTCCACAAATCAAGCTGAGCTTGAAGAGCCTTGTTGTTCTCTTGCGAGCCGATAAATGCTTTGTCGCCTGAACGGAGGTCCATCTTGAGATACCGAGCAAACAGTTCGAGCTGCTGCTTGAATAGAGCTCGTTGGTCTTTGGTCAACGCATCAATTGCAGCAGGGTCCATCATCATGCCACCACCTGCAGCACCACCAGCAGCACCTGCGGCTGAGGCCGAGGATAGGCTGATTCCTGCCGTAGAAGCATATTTGTTGGCGACATCACCAAGATACGTCTTTGCGTCGTTTTCAGAGCCAAGACGAGCGGGCGGCTCCATGGTAAGCGCAAGCAAGAGGGCTCCGTCTTGTCGGCCAGGGCCAAGGCCAAAAGAGGTTTCCAAGTGTTTTCTAACGGCTGTGATGTTGAAACCACCAGGCATCTTGGAAGATACCAGACGAGCGATCAAAGATTGTGACTGCTTGCCGAGTTGGCCATTGAAAGTAGACTGCATTGAAGCACCCAGCTCGTCAAGAGGAGTATCTTCTGGCTTCTCAGGCGTCGATCCAAACTCTTTTCCAAGATCACCCAGGATCTCATTTTGCAGCGTAGACTTTCCACCGACCAAATCCTTGATGGCTTTGCTGAGAGGAATGTCAGCCAGAGGCTTCTTAAGCTTCTGGGCGACCAAAGCTCTGACGATATCTACAGCAGCGACAGGAGCGTCGGCGACTGCAGCAGCAGGACCGGCGCTGGGAGCTGACGGGGCTGCCGCAACTGGTGCCGCAGCTGCAGCTGGAGTGGCCGCAGGAGCTCCAGAAGAAGCTGCGGGGGCAGCGGCGGGTGCGGCCTCTTCCTCAACAGGGTCAACGTCGTAGTAAATTTCTTTTTGATCCTTGTTGTATGCCAGGACCTGCCGTGAAACGGATGTGGCGGCGTCATATGCTTCGTACTTGGATGCCAAAGTTCTTTTTGCCATACCACCGAGAGTGTCCGCGGGACCGATCTCGACTATCCGCTCTGTTCGATTTGCCTCCAAAATGACATCCTGTGTTTCGATCCATCTTACTGGAGAAGCAAACTGATATGCCAACAGCTCAACGAGCAGGGTGTGTGCGAGCTCTTGCTCGACTTCGGGCCGCATTGTGACGGAATGTGGCTATGATGGTAATGAGGAGAAGGTATGGTCAAAGTCGGATCCTCAGGTCAGATCGAGAACCGGCGACTTGGTGAGGCCCAATGCTGAATGAACTGAATCAGAGCAGGGCAGAGGTAATAGAGCACAAGTCCACAACAGAAAGAACTTGTGCAGGTTAAACAACTTCGACTTTGAAGGAGAGGTATTTCTGGAAGGGAAGGACGTATAGTTGGAGAGGAGGGTGGGAGGACGACAGAGCGGCAATGAACTGACGAGTTGTTCAATGCCTCGTATGTGATTGAGGGAAGAGTAATCAATGTCCGGAGTGCATTGATTCTCGGACAAGAGGGTTGAATATGGTGTTGCAAGGAAAAGTTGGTTGGGATGGAGTCGGGATGTGAGCAGGCGGAAAAATCACAGGTGAGTGAGCGCAGCGCAGCAAACGGCCTAGCAGGCTAACAAACGGATGAGGCTCGGATCAATTGAAGCAGTGTGTCTTCCCCAGCCTGTTGGCTGTTGGAGCCTTGGAGGGTGCAGGGCACAGGAAGGTTGAGCAAGAAGTGGATTTTCTAGCCGGTCCAGACAGTCCCCGCCAATTCCCTTCCGGTATGGTGGCGGGTTTTAGTTGGAGAAGCTAACGACTAACCCTTCAGGTACCTTGCTAAGAACTTCACAGTTACACCTAACACTCCGCTTCGTAGAGAACACATTACCTACAACCGTTGCTTTGTGAACCTGTATAGGATTACTGAACACACGGCGTACGATCTACTCGTATCTCTATTCCTATCTCTATTCCTGCTGCCTGTATCATTTACAGACGCCCAAGCAACAATTGTGGGCATCAAAGTGTACAAGTGACCTGACAGCCTGTTCGTTCGGATACTTCTTACCTACAAGTAAATTTTTGGAGGGTGGGTTGGGAAGCTCTTCTAGTGACAATGCCGCCGATTGCCCGTGTCCCTGCAGCAATGGCTTCTGCCCACCGAATTTCTAGGCGCCCCTCCTTTATTCCCAGCTCGCCTATTGGTTGCGGACAAAACCTTCTGTGGCAAAGACTCAACGCTTCACGCTTCGGAGGCCACTTTTTTGCCGGGCGTTGGTGTCGGCCTCGGGTGCGTTTGTGGTTTATCCAACATTGAGATTCCTGCGGTCACAGCAGCAAGACCAAATTCGTTTGAACCTCCCCTCCACCATTACTGCTTCAGTTGGCAATAACTAATCCTATCACTCGAGAATCTCACCATCGCACCTCACTCTCCTTCTCTTGATCTACTGTACATCTCTCAGTCTGCTTCTGCCGCGAAGACAGTCTGCATTGATCTCATACCCCAAGCTCTTCTGTCGAAAGAGCTACCAACACTCATTCCCTCTTGCGACACCAGGTGGCATTAGTTTGCTCACTTCGACTTGTCTTGTATAATCTATACCTACCGCCACCATGTATTCCGGAGGTGCTACTGGCACCCACACTCCTCGATCCTCTCAGAATCTGCGACCTCTCACTCTCGCCCATGGCTCCCTCGAATACTCCTTCTTAATACCTACCGCTCTCCACTTTCAGGCCTCTCAGCTGCAAGCGACCTTCAAGACATCTCTGCCTGAACCAACAGACGAATTGGCTCAAGATGACGAGCCATCCTCCACTGCCGAGCTTGTCGCCCGTTTCATTGGCTTTATTGCCGCAGAAGTCGAAGATGACGAGGAGGCAACAGGTTTCTCCGAGGTGCTGAAAGTGGTCCTGAACGAGTTCGAGAGATCTTTCATGCATGCCAATGATGTCCATGCATTGGCTGCAACCCTGCCTGGAATCACCGAGAAGAAATTGGTCGTGGTCCGGTGCTATTACGCCGGCCGCGCAGCAGTCGCACGACCCATCAAGCCTCATGATTCTGCCCTTCTCAGAGCTGCGGATGATGAGGAATCAAGTCTTTTCACCGTCTTCGGAGGTCAGGGCAATATCGAAGAATACTTTGACGAGCTGAGAGAGGTGTATACCACATACCCATGGTTTACGAAAGACCTGATCGAGTCCTCCGCAGAACTGCTGCAGAATCTAGCAAGAAGTCCCAAGGCAGACAAATTCTACTCCAAGGGTCTGGACATCATGCGTTGGCTGGCAGATCCAGAGACGCAGCCTGACACCGATTATCTGGTGTCCGCGCCTGTTAGTCTGCCCTTGATTGGCCTGGTTCAGCTTGCCCACTATTCAGTCACTTGCAAAGCCCTCGGAAAGACGCCTGGCGAGGTAAACGAGAGGTTGAATGGTACCACTGGGCACTCACAAGGTGTTGTGACGGCTGCCGCCATTGCTACCGCAACATCATGGGAAAGCTTCGCCAGAGCCGCCAAAGAGGCCATCACCATGCTATTTTGGATTGGTATGAGGAGCCAGCAGGCTTATCCTCGCACTAGCATTGCGCCGTCCATCCTGCAAGACTCTCTGGAGGCCGGTGAGGGCATCCCCACACCTATGCTGTCTGTCCGAGATCTTTCCATAAAGCAGCTTCAAGAACATATCGACGCCACCAACGAGCATCTGCCTCAGGATCGACATATCGCCATTTCCCTTATCAACAGTGCTCGCAACTTCGTTGTCACGGGTGCGCCAATCTCGCTTCACGGTCTGAACCTGCGCCTGCGCAAGGTCAAGGCTCCTACTGGCCTGGATCAGAACAGAATACCCTACACAGAGCGTAAAGTCCGCTTTGTCAACCGATTCCTGCCTATTACCGCACCCTTCCACAGCCCTCTTCTTGGTGAGGCTTTCAAGAGCATCCAAGAAGATCTCAGTGACCTCAAGATCCCTGCTTCCCGCCTGACCATCCCGGTTTACGACACCAATTCCGGCGAGGACCTCCGTGCGCAACAAGACAAGGACATTGTTCCAGCTCTCGTGCGTATGATCACGCAAGATCCTGTTCACTGGGAGCAGGCGACTGTCTTTCCCGGTGCCACTCACATCATTGATTTCGGGCCCGGAGGCATCTCAGGTCTTGGAGTTCTCACCAATAGAAACAAGGATGGAACTGGCGTTCGTGTTATCCTAGCCGGCGCAATGGATGGCACCAATGCTGAAGTTGGCTACAAGCCTGAGCTTTTCGACCGTGATGAGGAGCATGCAGTCAAATACGCCACCAACTGGGTCAAGGAACATGGTCCCAAGCTCGTCAAGACCTCTATTGGTCAGACTTATGTCGACACCAAGATGTCCCGCCTGCTTGGCGTTCCACCATTGATGGTCGCCGGCATGACGCCGTGTACTGTTCCTTGGGATTTCGTTGCTGCTACCATGAACGCTGGCTACCACGTCGAGCTGGCTGGTGGCGGTTACTACAATGCCAAAGGCTTGACCGAAGCATTGACCAAGATCGAAAAGGCTATTCCTCCTGGACGAGGTATTACCGTTAACTTGATCTATGTCAACCCTCGAGCGATGGGCTGGCAAATTCCCCTCCTTGCTCAACTCCGAGCCGATGGTGTTCCCATCGAGGGTCTGACTATTGGTGCCGGTGTTCCATCCATTGAAGTGGCTCAAGAGTACATTGACACCCTGGGCATCAAGCATATTGCCTTCAAGCCGGGCTCTATGGATGCCATTCAGTCTGTCATCAACATTGCCAGAGCCAACCCAACGTTTCCTGTCATTTTGCAATGGACTGGTGGTCGCGGCGGTGGTCACCATTCCTTTGAGGACTTCCATCAACCAATTATACAAATGTATGGTCGTATTCGAAAATGCCAGAACATCATTTTGGTGGCTGGTAGTGGTTTTGGTGGTTCGGAAGACACTTATCCGTACGTGACTGGCACCTGGGCAAGCAACTTCGGGTATCCCCCGATGCCTTTCGACGGTGTCCTGTTCGGCAGCAGAATGATGACAGCAAAGGAAGCCCACACTTCCACCAACGCCAAAAAGGCCATTGCGGAAGCGGAGGGCGCTGACGACTCTCAGTGGGAGAAGACTTACAAAGGTGCCACTGGAGGCGTCATCACTGTCCGCTCCGAAATGGGTGAGCCCATTCACAAGTTGGCCACTCGTGGTGTCAAGTTCTGGGCCGAAATGGACCAGAAGATTTTCACTTTGGACAAGAAGAAGCGAGTTGCGGAGCTGAAGAAGCAACGTGAATACATCATCAAGAAACTCAACGACGATTTTCAAAAGGTGTGGTTCGGCAAGAACTCTGCTGGCGAGACTGTTGACCTTGAAGACATGACCTACGCTGAGGTCGTTCGTCGCATGGTTGACCTTATGTATATCAAGCACCAGTCTCGCTGGATCGAGGTTAGTCTTCGAAACTTGACGGTCGACTTCATTCGCCGCGTTGAGGAACGCTTTACCGTCGGCTCTGGCAAGCCGTCTCTCATCCAGAGCTACGCTGACTTTGAATCCCCTTATCCTGTTGTTGAAAAGGTTCTGGCTGCTTACCCCGAATCCGAGACTCAGTTGATCAACGCACAAGATGTCCAACACTTCTTGCTCCTTTGCCAGCGCCGTGGACAAAAGCCTGTGCCATTCGTGCCTTCGTTGGACGAGAACTTCGAGTTTTGGTTCAAGAAGGACTCTCTGTGGCAGTCGGAAGACCTAGATGCTGTGATCGATCAAGATGTCGGTAGGACCTGCATTCTTCAAGGTCCCATGGCTGCCAAATACACCACAAAGATCGACGAGCCCATCAAGGATATCCTGGATGGTATCCACAACGACCACATCAAAGGCCTCGTGCAAGATGTCTACGGTGGCCGAGAGTCGGCTGTGCCAGTGGTCGAGTACTTTGGTGGGAAGATCATTGCTTCTCCAGACAGTGTGGTAGAGCTAGATGGAGTTACTGTCATTCCAGATGGATCTCGAACGACATACAGACTGTCGAGCGCGCCTTCGGCTACTCTTCCAGAGGTGGAAGATTGGCTACAGTTATTGGCTGGCAAGACCTACTCATGGCGGCATGCCCTCTTCACGACGGACGTAATTGTGCAAGGCGCTCGCTATCAGAACAACCCTCTTAAGCGCGTCCTGGCTCCCGTACGAGGTATGTCTGTGGAGATTGCACATCCCAAGGAGCCTGCGAGAACCACAATCACTGTTAAAGAGCACACCCAGTCCGGCAATGTTGTCAAGAGTCTAGACATCAGCTTGGTGGGCAAGAACGAGATCTTGATGAACATGTGGGAGGAGAGAACTGCTGAAGGTGAAGCGGTCGCGTTGCCCTTCAGCTTCATCTACCACCCTGAGACTGGCTATGCACCAATCCACGAAGTTATGGATAGTCGCAACGATCGCATCAAGGAATTCTACTATCGAATCTGGTTCGGGGAGAAGGACGTCCCGTTCGACACTCCTACTACCAACACCTTTGATGGCGGCAAGGCCACTGTTGTTACTCAAGACATTGCCGACTTTGTTCACGCAGTTGGCAATACAGGCGAGGCTTTCGTTGATCGTCCGGGCAAGGAAGTGTTTGCACCTATGGACTTTGCCATTGTCGTGGGGTGGAAAGCCATCACGAAGCCCATCTTCCCACGCTCCATTGACGGCGATTTGCTCAAACTCGTCCATTTGTCCAATGGCTTCCGCATGCTTCCTGGTGCCGAACCACTCAAGGTCGGCGATGAGCTGCATACCTCTGCACGCATCAATGCAGTCATCAACCAAGAGTCGGGGAAGATGGTAGAGGTGTGTGGAACGATCACTCGTGCAGGTCAGCCGGTCATGGAGGTGACCAGCCAGTTCTTGTACAGAGGCAACTACACGGATTACGAGAACACTTTCCAACGCAAGGAGGAAACCCCGATTGAAGTCACCCTGGCCACTACTAAGGATGTGGCTGTCCTCCGCTCCAAAGAATGGTTCCATCTAGACGAGCCAGATATCGACTTGCTCGGATCCACCCTGACTTTCCGCCTGTCTTCCCTGGTTCGCTTCAAGAACAAGAGCGTGTACCAGAGCGTTGAGACAGTCGGTCAGGCTCTGCTGGAGCTGCCTACGAAAGAGGTGATACAAGTGGCCTCGATTGAGTACGATGCAGGCGTGTCTCACGGTAATCCTGTGATCGACTACCTCCAACGACATGGTCAATCCATCGAACAGCCTGTCAACTTCGAGCATGCCATCCCATTGAGTGGCAAGACTCCATTGTCTCTTAGGGCTCCCGCGTCGAACGAGACTTACGCTCGTGTCTCTGGCGACTACAACCCTATCCACGTTTCACGTATCTTTGCCAGCTACGCCAATCTTCCTGGCACTATTACGCACGGCATGTATTCCAGTGCCGCGGTTCGAAGTCTCGTCGAGACATGGGCTGCGGAGAACAATATTGGTCGAGTCCGAAGCTACCATGTCACCTTGGTTGGCATGGTCCTGCCTAATGATGATCTGGAAGTCAAGCTTGAACACGTGGGCATGGTTGCTGGTCGCAAGATCATCAAGATCGAGACCAGCAACAAGGAGACCGGCGACAAAGTGCTCTTGGCCGAGGCTGAAGTCGAACAACCAGTCTCGTCCTACGTCTTCACCGGTCAAGGTTCTCAGGAGCAAGGTATGGGTATGGACCTGTATGGTCGCAGTGCCGTGGCGAAGGAGGTCTGGGACCGGGCCGATCGTCACTTTATGGACAACTATGGTCTGTCCATCATCAACATCGTCAAGAACAACCCCAAAGAGCTCACCATTCACTTTGGTGGACCTCGTGGTAAGGCCATCCGCCAAAATTACATGGCCATGACGTTCGAGACGATCAACGCCGACGGATCCGTCAAGTCGGAAAAGATCTTTAAGGAGATCAACGAGACCACCACCTCGTACACCTACCGATCACCTACCGGACTTCTTTCTGCTACACAATTCACTCAGCCCGCCTTGACGTTGATGGAAAAGGCCAGCTTCGAGGATATGCGGATCAAGGGTCTTGTACAGCGTGACAGCAGTTTCGCCGGCCACTCCTTGGGTGAGTACTCTGCTCTGGCTTCCATCGCCGAGGTCATGCCCATTGAAAGCTTGGTGTCTGTCGTCTTCTACCGTGGCTTGACCATGCAAGTGGCCGTGGAGCGTGACGAACAAGGACGAAGCAACTATTCCATGTGCGCCGTCAACCCGAGCCGTATCTCCAAAACATTCAACGAGCAGGCCTTGCAATATGTTGTGGAAAATATTGCTGAGACCACCGGCTGGCTGGTCGAGATTGTCAACTACAACGTTGCGAACATGCAATACGTGTGTGCCGGTGACCTTAGGGCCTTGGACTGTTTGACCAATGTGCTCAATGTGCTCAAGATGCAAAAGATTGACATTCAGGCATTGATGCAGCAAATGTCGCTTGATGATGTCAAAGCCCATTTGGTCGAAATTATCACCGAGTGCCAGAAGAAGACCGAGGCCAAACCTCAACCAGTCGAGCTTGAACGAGGGTTTGCGGTCATTCCTCTTAGGGGCATCGACGTGCCGTTCCACAGCACATTCTTGCGATCCGGCGTCAAGCCTTTCCGGTCGTTCTTGTTGAAGAAGATCAACAAGACCAGCATCGATCCAGCCAAGTTGATTGGCAAGTACATTCCTAACGTCACCGCGAAACCATTCGAGATCACCAAAGAGTACTTCGAGGAAGTCTACCGACTGACGAATTCACCTCGATTGGCCAAGATCTTGGAAGATTGGGACAAGTATGAGTCTGGTGATAGTTCAGCGGCGGATAGGCGTCTATCGACAGTGGCATAATTGAGCCGGCGATTACGCGTATAATCGAGTTTTCTTTTTCTCGGCCTGGCGTTATTGAGGTTTCAAGGGCTCGATCGATGCTGGCGCTTTGAGCGAGATGAACACAATGGCTTATCTGGTGTGTTTGAGTCAAGTAGATTTCCTTTTTCTGTAGATGTACAGATAGTGACGGCGGACTATAAGTCAATAGTCCCACATATCGAGATAATGAAGGCGGCACTTCAGTGTCTCGATCGATTTACTTTTCTTCTTCTGATTAGCAAGGGCAACTTAAGGTACTACTGTAGGTTCAAACTGTAACGTGGAACCCTCTTCTGCCCTTTCACCATACCAGATTGAGCGAAAAATCGACGAATCTCGATTGTCGACTGGTTCGTGGCAATGTGTGAGCCGAGTTTCACCATTGTCCAGGTGCTGCCTTTGAGCCCTGGCAAGACAGATACCTTGTCTAACCCTTTCAGATGCTGACGAACAAAAGCATGGTAGCAGACATCCCCTGGGCTGCCTCGAAGGAGTAAATGTATATGACCTTTGCGACTGGGTGATAATGCGGCTCTCGTGACAATTGATGAACCGTTCGGAGAAGAATGCTTGATTGCGTCTAGTCTCGCCGCCACCACAATGGCCTCCATCAAGAAAAAGGAAACCAGGAACCAGAAGGTCATCGACGTTCTTTCGGGGGCTTCCACCGAAGCCACAGTCATATGATAGAGTAAATAGGCGCGCATCATATGTCGCCTGTTCTCGCCAGAGTGTCGATCGCCCAGGAAAAAAACCCGAAAGACCCTTTTCCATTTGACGTTGGTGACATTTTCAACGGTGAAAAGGCACCAGAGGCAGCCGTTCCGTGCCATTGACAAGTCGCTATCTCAATCCCTGTCCTGAACTAATGCACCTCAAGCGTCTCACTTCTCCTCCGACTCCACGTTTTCTACTGGGACTACCCAACCATTTCTCCGTGATCGCTCTCCTTTGGCTGTGCCACCGTGACGAACAGTCCAATCCACTTGATTCCAGCCCAGGTCGGTCTGTGAGAGGCAACGGGAATGCAGAAGGCTACAATGGCTCATGGATGCCTCGTTGAGCTGCCCTGCGATCATGGAGCTCCATTCATGTGCTCCGTACCCTCGAAAGAGTCCCTCGCATCTGGTTTCTAACACTTTTCTCTCTTGCGGCTTCCCTCGTCTGTCTCGGTCGAGCGCAGTCTCGTTGTACAAGAGCTTGCTGACTGAGCATGCGCCCAGTCGCTGCAACGAGTTGACCTGTACAGCAGTGTCGCAATCTCACCCAAATCCGATCTGAAAGGCTGAGGATGGACATCACTTCACTCGTCCGTGCTGGTAAGTCCACGTCTACTACGGAATTTGGGCACCGTCTGACTCGGTGCCAGTGATCGGAGCCTTCGAAGATGCGATCAAGCTAGTTCAGCGCATCCGCAACCAGAGACTGAAGAGCAATGGCGGACAACTACCAGAAGAACCTACACGAGATCTACTCGAGTCACTTGCGCTGGGTCCGGCGATCGTCCGAGGACACTATGAGCATGACCTCAAGCGATTCGGGGAGCAATATGCCTGTGGGGACATACAAGCGAGGGAACAACTGAAAGATATCCTGATCAACTTGCAAATGACCTTGATAACCACACTTCGGATGGTATACATGGACGATATGGACCTGGACTTTGGGGTGCTTCAGATCTGCTCCGACGACTGCAGGGTGAATGCTGGAGTCTGTCTTGGACAATTGTCGCAACGGTTGTCAGAAGCGGCCAAGGCACAAGCACATTATCCTGTGAGTGCGTCCTATTCGTCTGGATCCGCCTTGATGCCGCCCATGTCGCCGTCGTTGGGTTATTCCAGTAGCAGGAGTACTCACTCTTCGGTGGCTCTCCAGGCACCGCACACACCAGACACGATCAACGACCAATTCCACAATCTTAGCGTGTCACCCCCTGTCCAGCCACACTATCTCGAGCGCCAATTGTCTGCAAGCTCAGCAGGGTCGCAAGAGTTGTACGCTCGGAAACCTCTTCCCGTACTTCAGCCGGTCGTGGGATCTCACCTCAACGCGCCCGTGGTCCGCGAACTGAAACCTGACAGATCCGACGTGATCAGTATGCGACGCAGATCATCTCAGGCCCTTGCGCCTGACGACAATATCTTACAGCTCTTCCCTCAGCCTGGTGGGCCATCGAATACGGATGTCAAACCAGTAAGACAACACCTGGACAACGGATCGGCGTTGCATTCGGGCAAGAACAGCCATCCTCAATCTCGCGACGTGTCACGAGCTTCAAGCGGTCGCCAAGGTCAAAACTCGAGAGAACGATGCGGACCTGATGATTTTGTGGATAGCACACGCCAGCTAAGCAATGGGACAATCTACGACATGTATCACCCGCCCACCCCCGACAGACAACCGTCCACTTCATATGCTCATAGAGCTCAAGCGACTGGCCACAATACCGTTGAGCATGTGCGGTACCTACAAGAAAAGAGCAGGCCACCGCGGGTACAGCCTCCTAGGACTGATTCTCTGAATGCTCCACCGCAGAGAGAACCCCTTTACGACCATAGAACAGCCCGACTGCAAACAGCCTCGCCTGTCCCGGCGCCACGAGCACCACCGGCCCGTTCTTACTCTACGACGCCAATCCAGTACAGTTCCAGTAATGGCTATCGCCGTCCGCCCACCGCTCCTCTGCCACCACCTCCCCCTTCCCCGCCTCAATTACAAGCTCTCCCGCAAATTCAACCGCAACCTAGTCTCTCACAGCTCCTGGCACCATCGTCAATTGGAGCGCCCTCGATCCACACGGTAGCATCTTCCACGCCATCCGTCCATCCGCCCGTACCGACCGGTCCGCTCACCCTCCCCACAGACAAAGACCTTCGGGGATTTTGCAAGGGCGCATTTCGCTTACAAGCTGGCCTCGAGCGCAAGGCTTTCAGCGTGGCCAACAAACCGGCCGGGTTTTCTGGCATGATCAGCTTCTGGAGATGTGAGAAGTGTAATTTCGAAGGACCTGTGCATAATACCGTCAACACCACCGACGATAAGAAGAAAAAGGGCAAGCCAGAAAGAGCATTCGATCCGAAGATCCGTGTCTCAGAGGGTGGCGGCGTGCGATATAAATGGGCGTTCCTGGCGCGATGTCACGTGTCGCTCAAGGGTATGGTCCCTAATGAGACGAGGGACGGCAGTTTCGGCAGCTTCGGATGCATTTTCTGCTGTGCCGAGGCGAAGAATCGAGGATGGTCACAGCCTGAGGAGGCAGGCTCGATTAGGTCGTCGACTTCGGGGAGTGTGAGGTCCGGACATACGGCGAATACGGCGGTCAAGGTCGACGGCAAGGACGGTGCGACGCCGATCTTTGGGAATGTCGCCAGTTTCATGCTGCATCTTGAGAGTGTGCATCGGGGCCATGACGGATGGCCCAATGCTGAGATGCTGGGACGGTTCAAAGTCGTTGTTGGACGGTTGGCTGGTGTTCATGAGGACGGGTGGGATATCAATTTCGTGCCGTTTTGATCCCATGATGGCTGGATCCGGAGGTTCTCTGTTTTGATCGGGGCTCCATGTTGTCGAGAGCTCTGACGTCGCCGGTCACAGTCGGCGCAGTTTTCATGGTGTCAACGCCGTGGAGAGAGATCCGGAGCAGATGTGGGAAAGAAGTATGCCATGGACAACGATTTGACGTGACAGGATGGGTCGGTGTGGGAGGATTTTCGACTTGTTCACAGAGAGTGCCTTTTATACCCCTTCAGTAGCGTTATGTATCACTAGATTCTACACCAGGTAGCGTTTGAGTCCTTGGAGAATGATGGCCGACTTAGAAATCTTTCCGATTTTCTGACCTTGTTGTCGTGCCATTGCGTGGTACTGTAGTTCTTGATGCTCTGCATGTGTACGGCCATCGAGGAACGCGAACATCCATGTCCATCTCTTGCGTCTCCAAGGTATGAGGACACAAAAGCACACATCTACTCATCCATCTGCCACTGGTACTCAAGATCGGCATTCCTCGTACTCCGACTCCTGGCCTGGAACCAGTCCTTCTCAAACCCATTCCCGCGATCAACACCATCCCACCGCCACCCAGGCGCGATCCCATAACGATTCGGCGGCGCGTGGCCAGCATATACTCTCGACCTCGACTTCGCTACCGTCTTCGCCGAGCCTGCACCAGCACCGGCACCGCCAGCTCCACCACCTGTGCCTTTAGTAGCGACTGCGTCTCGGGGACCTCGTTCCTCAGCCGCCTTCTCCGCCATATACTGGGCCATCGGATCATCCCACCTCTGCACCTGCCGCAATTGGTCATTCATCTGCTCATCGTCCGCTCCCCTTGCTAAACTCAAAAACTTCGCTTCCTCGAGATCCTTTTTCGCAGCATCTCGTTCACGCCGCTGGACGTCACCCATCGCATCTTCCTTCGCTTGTTTTTCTGCGCGCCGTTTCTCGGCCTCCGCGGCGCGAGCCTCGGCGCGCTTCATACTGACATCTATCCGTCGACCCGTGGCGTCTCGGTATATAGTCTCTTGTTCGGGGGATTTTTCTTTACGGGATTTAGACCGTTTCTTCTCGAGCGCGCGCTCGCGTTCTTCGCGCTCGATTAAAGCCAAAGTGTCGGCGGCGGTTTGGAGACCGGCTTTGGCGCCGGAGGACATTTTTGGGGCCTCATCTTGCTCGGTCTCGACGATGGCGGGGGCGTCTTCGTCTTCGATTTCGCGGCGGCGTTGGTCGGACTCAGCGGCGGCTTCGGCGAGGATGCGGTCTGCTTCGGTGTCTGCGTCCGCGGATGTAGGTTGGTTGGGGTTGGAGGAGGGTTCGTCGCCTGTCGATACTACTTTCCAGTTGACGCTCTTTTTCTTGCGGAATTCGGCAGACTTAATGCCGGTTTCGAATGTGGGGGTGTTGTCATCTTCGTCGTCCCTTCTTGAGGAAGAACCTTTGAGGGTAAGGGCATCGTCGTCGTCTGCGATCATTAGACCGGAGTCTGGTTGGTCTTTGGCCTTGCGCCGCTTCTTCTTGGGGCGGGAGGAGTCTTGGAAGTCGCCGGATGCTTGGTCGGAGGAGTTTGTGGCGTTGAGGTAGTTCTTTGCCAGGTAGTCGGCGAGGTTTGCGCTCGGCATGGCTGTGTAGGAGCCGTAGGCCTGGTTGGAAGAGTTGGTATGCGGGGATGGAAGTTCAGGAGATTTGATGTGCTGAGGCGGCTAGTTCCAATCCATAGATGTTCTTCTCGACGTGAAGGCTTTCAGCAGTGTTACAATCAGAGTAGACCCCGGAGGAAGTGGGAGGGGTATGCGATTGGCATCAACAAGCATAGGATCCAAAAGTTTCGCAGACACAATTCGAAGTGAGGTCAAGAGTTTGGCATGTTTGCTCACGAGGCTGCATCGGACAGGGCAGCCTTGTTGGTTCAGCCTCGTCGCCCCGTAGCCTCGCAGCCTCGTGACCATCCACTATCTTGTACTTTACCTCACCACTTCACTTCACCTTCCTTCTACCTCACCTTCACTACCACTTTTGGTCACCGCCTCAATAATGCTGTTTATGTATTAAAGTCAGAGAGAATTGTTTAACAACCGGCATCAGAGCAATTCTGGGACCGGTCGGCCCAATTGGCAATGTCGTGTTGGTACGCCTCTGAGAATTCACCTTCTCACACTACCGACTAACTTGCTAAACCATCGCTGGTACCAGGTCAAGCTGGAACCGCCAGGGGCTGTGCCGGCGCGGGTTCTGCGAGTTTGATTCACAGTGCGTGCATGACTTTTCGTCACACACAAACATTGCCGACCACAAATTTAAGGTCTCAGATGCGAGAGACGGGGGAGGGTAGAATTTGGGGTTGAGCGCTCATGCCAGGAAGAAAGAGAAGGACTATGAGCAGGAGGGGTCCGCTGCGAGAGGGGAGAAGGTCTCTAAGAGTCCGGGAAACCAACCAAACAATTTTTGGGGGTATTTTTTTAGGTACTTGTGTTGGGTCGTAGCACCTCGGTGTTGATATTAAATACTTCTCAGTCACTTCGGCTTACTGGTACGCAGTCCTTTTATCTATCTATATCTTGAACTCTTCCCCTGAACAAGATAGCACTTGGCTCGTATCGGTTCACTGGTCATCTCGCTACTATGCATCATACGGCTCATCACCTCGTATGATATATACTTCAGCAACCAAAACAGCGCAGCCAACAGCCATGGCAACCGCAATGATCGGCAGATTGACCTTTGCGAATTCCAGACGCTTGACCTCAATGTATTTGCGTTTCAGGATGTCTCTCCACAACAAGCCAGCAAGGGAAGCGCTGAAGACTGCGCTGAAAGCACCGAAATTGACGCCGAGTGCCATGGCATACACTGTCGCCCAAAAGTTTCGATCTATTATCGGAATACCATTTTGGCGGTGGATCTGCTGCCACGCTTGCACCACGCGAGAAAGGAGTATGGCGCTGCTGATATTCGTGCCAGCGAACTGAAGAGAGTGTGCACGTCAGCTTGATTGAACAATACCCGAATATGCATTCCCGATGAAGAGACTTACATTGCACAGAGCCACAGAGAGAAGTCCCATCCCGCCAATTGCCCCAACAGTCCCTGTTCGGTTCACCCAATGATCCCATCCGTATGCAAACACGGGAACCCAGCCTTTCGTGACAAGTCCTTGCACAAGGACGAACATGGATAGCGCGAACGGCACGAGGGGAAATGGCAGGTGAGCCATCACCTCTGTGACCGTTGGGAAATTCTTCTGCAACCATTCGCCTGCCTCATGTATCAGGCTTTCTAGAGTCGTCCGTCCAGATTTCTTCTGTTGAGTCGGTCCAGGATACTTTCGTTGAGACTCAATTTCGGTGTTATCCGAAGTATCCCCACTGTACCTTTCCTCCTTCTCATTAGCTGTCGAGATCGTTTTGGTGCCTGTTTTTCCGTATACTGGTTGTGCACTGCTAGCACCACCTGCAGAATGCTTCTCATTGATCATACCGGCCAAAGTCAATGACATAGAAGTCTCAGGACGATCACTACTCACTGCCATGATCTGGTCTGAGTCGCTTCTGTTATGGTTCCACAACTCAGCCCTGCTTTCGCTCTGCGAGATAAGCGGGCTCGGTCCTAGTTGGGGTTGCTGTCGCGCTGATCGTCGGAATTCTTGCTCTTCGAGCATATCACGCTTGTCTTGGTAATCTTTAAAGCCCTGCTCCCACTTCTCCAGGTGAAACAATCCGTAGATGCTGTCCCAGCAGAACATAACGAAGGCTGCCGGCAATGTCACCCAGTAGACAGGGTGTTCACCTGTAGTCTGACTGGCGGCGTTGAGCACGAGCAGAGTGATAAGGGTCACTGCCATTAAGACGGCTCCAAATGCTGCGCTCCTCCATTCGATAAAAGGGTTCAAGATCTCCTCAGCCATACGACGCTTGCCTTTCTCATTATTGGCCTTCTTGTCCTTTTCTTCTTCTCCGCCACCCCTTCCATGAGTGATGTTAGGGTTCTTAGGTTTCAGATTCTGGATAGCCGGCGGTAACACTTCCGGTGCTATCGAGGACGGGATGAACTCTTTCTCGTCGACCTCATCCTTGCCGGAGAAGACAACGTATAGCAGAAAAGGGAACATAAGAATGCCTGTAATGGCTACAGGGACGATCATGTTTGCGGTGTAATGTATGAACTTGATGTTGAAAGCTCCTGCGAGGACAAGATTGGTCGGATTAGAAGAGACCAGTATCGCCGAGACAATGTTCGCCACGGTGAACTGAGCATGGATCCAAGCTCTCGGATTGTGAATACTATCCGACACTCTAGTCATGTACGCCAGAAAAGCTGTGCCGGACAGAATTATAGGGTCATTACCAATCTACAAAAGAGCAGAATGTCAGTGATGCGGTCTCTCAGGCTAGTGTGAGGATGTTGGCTCCCTCCTAGACTTACGAAACTGCCCAGGCAAAAGAAGAAGGCATAGAGGTAGAGAAACAGGGCATGCCCATTCTTGCCACCTTTTTGCAGCGCCTTCAATGCCAACCACCTGATCAAGCCAGAGGTGTCGATGGAGATAGCGATGTAAGCCAAAGTCAAGAAGAAGACCATGATGTCGATCGGTGAGATGTCATCGGCGCCCACCGTTCCATCGTGCACTTCCTGCCGACCGATGGCTGAAATGGCCAGGAGAAAAAGATCGGCCAGCAGAGGCGCTGTCACGAAATTCATGGGGAATTGGATCCGTACAAGGATCTTGTCGGTGCCGCCATTGGGTTTGCCATACTTGGAGGTTCGGTCTGGACAGGATGATAGTATTCGCAGACTTTCGAGCAACCCCAGCACAAGCCTGGAAAGGCTTGAAGGGACATATATTGACACCTTGAAAGGGAATTGCACTGCAAGATCTATGCGATATTGGAGGTCAATCTGATGAGTAGCATCGGTCCAAAAGGAGCGCCTGCTTACTTGTGAGGACAAAAACAACCAGTGTCACTATCGACCGCCAGTCTTTGATCTGACTGGTGTCAAGTGAATCCGCCATTCCATTACCACCGCAGTCGATCTGGTCGGTTCAAGAACGTGTCTGTCGCCTTGAAGGCATGATCTAGCGGCACAAGCAGTATTGTATCGACTGTGCGGGACGTTGCTTCGAACGAAGTGGGAAAGAAATACTTCAACTTACTGACCGCAAGATCTGGATGGTTGCAAAGTCACCCATAAGGACACGGCAGGGACGGGTACTTACGGCAAGCACTGTGACCCTTGTTCACCCTGGTCCTCGCTCCAGCAATGCCCCACGGAGAGGTAGGGTTCAGGTCGGAATGTTCTTCTGATGAATTTTGAGGCTGTGCTACCCCGCCAGAGCCTGTGCTTCCTGGCACGCGAACAAGCACCACTCGTGTGCTTGCTTGGAAGTGCTGGTGCTGTCACAGGCTCTTCATGGTTGGTGTAATCTGGCCTTCGTGGTGCGGTCACTGAGATCTTCGTCAACCGGTGTAGGGATAATTCCAGCCATTGCCTGTTGGGAATAGCTGGAAGCCTTAACTTTGCAGTAGGCTTATTTCCATCAGCAATACCTGGTGACACCATGCTTTAAGTATGCATGACAGCTGCAAAACAGTTGCTGGAAGCACAAAGGCGAACCTGTAAGGCGTCCTTTCCCGTGTATGACATTAACTTATCGCTCAATGAAATCGGATCAAAGAACGCAACGTGACGTAGCTTTTCGTGTCCAGGCCTGGGCATTTCTGGGCGTTAGCCGAAGCGCAGCCTAGAGTTGTCAAGCTCTTGCTGGGGATGCAGTACTTTGTCGACGAACTCACCATGCTTAATTGCGTGATGTGGCTCATGGCATGTTAGGGTAGCCTTGTTCTTGTTCCTCAGGCAGGAGCACGCGACCTCTTTCTACTTGTGACGGTCCCAGCCAACGGTGGGCGAGCAAAGTACCTCACAGAACGGTTCACAGGCCGTCCCATGGCTCCGTGAACTGAGACTGCAGTACTCTCGTGAGCCGCAAATGAACATGCCACTTGCTTGCGGTGCATGTTTATAATCTACGCGTCCCCAGACTGATCACTCCGTTCCCAGTTATGCTTCCATTTACCTTCCCAAGAGATCATGCCCGTTCTTCCCTTAATATTGCCGACAAAGGTCTTACTGGATCGAAGCGTGTCGACAGCCAATATCAGCAGCGAGGCTCTGAAAGTTGTGTGTGCATGGCCAGTGTCAGGCCAATATGGCCCCGGCACAAGATTCCTGTAAGTTCGATGATGACACCAATTCAGGCATCTTTGGCCCAATTCTGACCGAGTATTCACTTCGTGACAGGTATTATGCTCTCATCGGCGCATGCATTCTAGGTCGGGAAGTTGAATGGCTCAGAGCGGCCTGCTTAGCAGCTGCTTTGCTGTTCCCCGCTGTGGCCGCGCTTCATGGAATAGTCCTTGCGGCTGTTCACGTCGATGGTACGTGGCTCACCAGAGGTGTGGACAAGACACTAAAGTGAATCATCAGGTGCTGTTGACATGGACTTATATGGGGCCTTTCAAGTTTGCTCCATTGGTATCCTCCTCGCACCAGTAACTGTCATGCTATCGCGAAATTATTTTTCTCAAGCAGGTAGCAGCATCATCATCTTGTGGACAGCGGTGTTACTTGCCGGTAAGTACCTCTTCGGCTCATTGTGAGTGCCGACACTGGCTCATACTTATCGAAGGCCTGGTGAGCTTAACTGTGGAATTCTTCCGTGCCAAAACCTCCCGGTGCACCCAGGATGTCAACGGCCAACCTATGCCCACCAGTCCAGGCGATTTTCCCTACGGGGCTACTTGTGGCCTTGTGTGTGATGTCACGTCAGGTCCCTTCTCTCCCATGCGAATGGGCTCTACAAACAATATCTACGTTATACCAGCTCCAGATAAGCTTACATTCAACGCCGGCACACTCCTTTCCGCAGCCTGCTGCATTCCGGCCATTCTGCTTCTCATCTCTAATTGGGACAAGATCCGTAAGCTCAACTTGAATCAGAAGCGTCTTGGGAAAAGACTGGACAAGGATGCTCAGGCTCGTGAGATGGCCGAGCTTGAAGAGACGAACGATCACGAGACAGGGCCTGCCTCCGCGGCTGGAGAGACAAGCGATCAAGGAAGCCGAAACGGCGAAGACGTGGAAGAGACGGATAAATGCACCTGCAACAACAATGAGGCTGAGGACAGTGGCAACAGGCGGATTCGCAATATTGTGACTACGCCAATCTTCGGTGCGGCAATCCTATCCGTCCTCGCAATTGGGGAGTGGAACTTCTTCAGCCCTCAGGTGCAATATCAGACGGAGCCTATGGCAAGTATAGGTACACAAAGTATTTCTGAACCAATACTCATCAACTGCTGACGCGATTCGTTCTACCTATAGGTCAATGGGCCCCAATTGTTGGTACAGGGTTTGCCCTGCTTGGCTCGCTATATGTGGGCCTCGCGAAGGATATTGTCCATGAGAAGAGGGAGGTTGAACAGGAGAAGAGGGATGCTGAAGCGGAAGAGGAGAGGAGAAAGCGGCAGCAGCTGGAGCCAAAGACAGTTGCATCTACAGAACACGATGATGGTGGGGTGCCGGCAGAACCTGTCCCGTCGAGACCTACTTCCACCCAGAATGTTGCATGTAGCACATGTGGACATATCTTGTCAAATGCCACCAAACACCGATCGAGAAGCCAAAGAATCTTGGCCGTTCTGGCGGATTGGCGACGGCAAGGTAGCCGGAAAATGATCAAGGTCGCAGACTTTATCGGCACCGCTGCGGATGACACCTTCGCCAATGAGGCATTCAAACGCGCAAAATCGAGGTGGATTCACTATCCTGGAGAATTCAAGATAAACCCTGCTGCGCGCGACATAGCGGCGGAATTTCGACGCTCCAGAGACTTCTCTAGCGCCTCGAATCCATCACCGTCAAGGACCGGCAGCATTGTGCCACAATCACGGAATTCTAGCCCGGCCTTCAATAGCACTTCCCCAACCTTACCACGATCAGACACACTACAGCTACCTTTACCTCCCTCACCAATACATTTTGCTCCCACCAAAGACAGCTCACCCCCAGTATCGCCAACGGAGGTCATCGTACACGGTGGGCAAGATAATCCTGCACTCGTTCTCAATGATAACGGGCAATTATCTCGTTCGGAAACTCATCCAACACCACCAGCCCCAGTATTCCGTCTGTGGCTGTTCGGAAGCCGCCGTCGCGGCACGGTGTGAAAGTGCCTCGATGCCAACTACTTCTAGCATTCAAATATAAAATCCACACTTTGTGTACCGGCAGGAATATGGGCACTACTATGATGTCTTTGACCCCAAGACGCAAGTGCCAGCGCGACACCGAGCTCCTGTCTGAAGGCCATACGGGCAGCAAAAGGTGCTCCAAAAGTGACTCTATACGCGCTTTGCCCTTTATAGCGGCATTTCTGGGGTTCCCATCAAGCGCTGAGAGAGAGAGCGGAACCATTGCTACATCGTTTCTCAGAAAGCATGCATTGCTGTATGGGGACTTCGACGCGGTTCGAACCTTCGCCGCTCGACCATCATGCTTGCTTGAGTCACAACATGAGAGTATATCCTGCCTTTGGTTCTATGGTACAAGAGATCTGTGATCCTTCCGGGACATATGCTGGACGGTTTCGCATGCCCGCTCCTCACAACGTCAAGAATGCCGGTCTCCCTTCGGCACTTACAGTCACCGAAGGACCCGAATGACAAGGCTTACAAATCAGGTCTGATGGTGGAGACAATCACGGGCGAGTCTGGACATTCATACAGAGATTTGTAGGGTCACAAGGATTTCAGATCTGGAGGGTGGTCTTTCTAGGTGTCGGAATCGTTCAGATGTGCAGAGGCAGTTCATTCACTTGAGCTGCTAAGGGAGGAGATGCGTAGAAAGATGTTGTATTCCCGTGGACTTGCCATCATCTGATTGAAATGACCCTGGGAGATAGATTGTCCAGTATCTCGGTCCGGAATATGCAACCCATACCAAGCCTGATATGTTCACCTTTTTCGTCCTGCTTCGTAATGAGGACATAGCAACGATGGTTATCGCCACTGCCTTTTGATGCTATACGTATGCAAAGTAGCTTTGTGCCATCGATCCAGGGCTCATCAGGTGATGCCCAGCCCACTCTCTTGGACTGTTCATACAGTACTAGGAAGTACCGGGGTTGGGACGGAGCGAAAGGCAAGAACTTCCATCTGTCGACAGTAGGTACTTCGAGTCCTTCAACAACCACAGCCCGAAGTCGTAGGGAACAGCTACCTCCTAGAAGTCTGTCGGTTTGTTGACCTGTTTCTGGATAATTGAAGGAAATGAGGTCGATATCAGCCTTCGAGACAGTGTCACTACGATGACTAGGATAGAATTTGATCTCCCCATCAACACTCGCCCAGGACCAGGTCGGTGCACGTTCCAATCTCTTCACTAGTCGGGTACCCTTGGCCCCTTCCTGCATCCACAATAAGCTTGTATGAAGGTATTTTGCCCAGATGCCAAAATGATAGGAGTCCATTGAGGAATAATCACTCTGCGTGGGCCAAACACTTGCCAAACCTGCAACGGCCGCAAGTTTATCATTGGTCTTCGTCAGTTGACAGGATGAGTAATGCTCCACGATCGAAAGCCAACCTTTGAGACCTTCTTGTACCGAATCGGAAGTCCTAAGATGTCTTGCTTGTGTGTGTATTCCGGGTCTGCTAAAGGGTTGGTGAGCACATTCCCAAATCATGTCGTCCTCAACAAAGTGTAAGATGCGTTGAGAGAGGCATAACTCTTGTAGACACCAGCCTCTTTTGATGATTTCACCGCCATGAAACCCTCGGGCGATGGCAGCATCGGATAGCTTCGGTATGCGCGTGTAGACCGCAGTCTTCGTGTCATCGCGATGTCTCTCAGGCTGTATAGAAAGATATTCTGGCACCCCTCTCCTCCACAGGAAACCCTCAGCTGAAGTCCTAGCTGAATGAACTGCTACAGTCATGCTGGCGTGCTTGAAGATGGTGCCCATACTGGCAGATTGCAGGCGCCAATCATCTGGATCGTCTTGGATGATGCATAGTGCATCAATCCACAGATAGCGGAGCCCGAGCATTCGCGTAACTGTTACAGCGTCCTGAAATGTGCGAGGGAGGCGATTGAACTCAATGCCTCTGCGTTGTTGGCCGAGGTTACTCAGAGTGGTCCTTGACGGCAGCTGCTGTTTCGATTTTAGGCCCCATCGGTGGCTCAGAGCCACATATCCTGCCCGCTCAGACTCGGTGGTAATGTGGAGCTGTATCGATGTGTCAGGGTCATATGAATGGGTCAACCCCAGATCCAGGACTCTGAAAGGAAGCACGGGTGCGAGATGACTTTCCATGTCTTGCTGGCTTTGCAAGATCCCACGACAGCAATGGGGCAAAACATCCTTGATTTCGTGCGAAAGATCGTGTCGTTGATGTATCACTGCTGGGGAGAGCCCAAAATCCATCAGAGTCGAGCCTTCAAGGCGTTCAGTGAAGCTCTGTAGAGATCTTTGTATCCGTACCTGGTTCACAATACAATTCGAAACTCGCGATTGGGGCTGACCTATGAGGACCGTCCAAGCTCACATGCAGCATCCTACCTCTAAGCGTCAATCGCAGTTGGCATCTGGCGCTTTGGGGTATGTCCATCCCGACGATAACATTTTTGAGACTCGTTTGCCTCATATCACGGATAGTGGAGGCGATAAGGGCGCATAGCCGGCATCGTGACCGCGTGGCGAGAATATCCCAATGATTCTTCTTCAATACATGTCCGTCCCACTGAGCCATGTTCAGCCATTCCAGCTTGCTGCAATCTCGACACAGGCCAAGTTCGTTCAGGCCATGATCCTTGGTCAGTAAATAGGAAGGTTGATCATCAGGCTTTCCTTCAGACCTTGCGCAGGAGATTGCTGAGAGTTTTCTCCTGGCGAGTATCTTAAGTTGCATTGTTGAAAAGAAAGTCTACGCTGCTGAAGCATCAGTCAACGAGAAGTGTCAGTCCGTCAGCATGTGCTATGAAAAGACGCCCTGAATAGAGGCTTTTCAGCGGCTATCTCTGGGATCATTGGGTCCTCTGGATGATTCCTCCAGGTATTATCATCTGGACCAAGACCTTGGCTGATCAACGGTAGACCGCCCCGCTGACGTGTCTTCACCTACAGAGACGAGGTGTATTTCGATGGCGGCCAAAACAAAGAAAGAATAGGAGATCTAATGATAAGCGACCTTCGTCGCGTGTGACGTCATTGCAATGTAGAGAGTCGACCGAACGCGTCTCGTAGAACAAGGCTCGAACATGAGAATGTGAGCGAGTAAAAAATGCAGTTTGTCACGATTTCATATTATGAGTCAATGTACGTTCCTGCCATTACTGCAGCTCTTGCAGCCCGGTCACAAAACGCCGCTGAATATCAAGGCCACCCATACAATTTCGTTGGGTTCCGTTCATCACCAAGGTCACTCATATCCTCAAGAAGCGCCGGTTCCATGATTGATCTGTGGACTCATGATACATGATGAGTCATCCCGCTTCCCTAATGATGTCTTGGGGTATCTTGCTGAAGTAAAGTTTGCAACGTGAAGGTAATTAAAAGGTGTGAAAGAGAACCATTAACGCCAGGCCCAGATCGATCTCCGAACTTATTTTCAGTTCAAGTGACTGTGGTCGATCATTTCGAAGTCAAAGTCGTCCTCGTCAGTAGACAGATCGGCCATGTCCTTGCCGTCGACAACATCGTATTCCTTCTTGACCAACTTCTCCGTCTCAGTATTCTCGAATCGGCGGACAGCCTGAGTGATGGCATAACTCAAGACATCCGTGCCAGCACGGGGACCAGTGTGTGCATCGTAGCTGTACAAGTAGTCGGCTTCCACAGGCAATGGAGCAGCAGAGGTATCAGCAACCTCATCCTCCTCCGAGTTGTCTGAAACATTGGCAAGAGGGCCATCGATGGCGTCTACCACCTCATTTCTGAAGACCTTGCGAGCCAGTGTGGCAGCTTGGCCACTGAGTCTGGTCTTATGGTTCTGCTTGTATCTTGCCTCGCCTTTTGCAATGTCTTGTCCCTTGGGCCGGCCGAGGCACTTGGTGCAGTTTGCCATTGGGGAATCATGCTGAATGCATGGCTGAGTTGAGTTGCCTTTGGCACCTCTTGACCACTTGGTGTTATGGGTCTTGTCTCGCTGGTAGGGTTTGGCACTGCTGCGGAGATCGTTGGTGGAGAAGGACGACATAGTTAAAGTGTCCGATACGTGAGTTGAGTGATTAGAAGGTAATGCAAGGCCGAGTGAAGGTGAGGCTATATGCGAAGGGCAGGCTTGAAGGAATGACGCGTTCGTAGGGGCAAATGAAAGGGTGGACAAACAAAGAGGAGGGAGTAGTGACTGGTCGAGGTACGTGATATCGTACCGAGGGCGTTTCAAACAAAGAGGACTGGGTAGGTATAACAACTAAAGAGTTGTTGAGAGAAAGAAAGAAGGGAAGGAAAGAAGGACAATAGAGCAAGGACGAGTAGATGACTAGGTATATGACAAGCAGCACAGGATACACAGTCACACGGCGCGTAGAGTAGGTTGATGATGAGCGATAGTCAGAAGCTGGCTGCTGCGTTTAGACTTCGATGTTGTTGCAGAAGTGGAGATGTGAGGCGTGGGAGGGGAAAGCAAGATGGAGGGACAAGTGATCAGGTACATTGATGGGATTGGCTCCAGGGGAGCTTGACTCACCCACGCCACGATAATAGCGATAGGGAAGAGTAGGAGAGAGTCATCGGGTTTGGGAAGATGAGGCCATGTGCCCTGGAGATTGAGAAGCTCCGAGCTTTCCAAGGTCAAGCGATAAGCACGGAACCTGGAATCAGGCGGGAAGGACAACAATGGATCAGGCTCTATCTATCTAAAGAAAATGACCTCATCTTTCCTAAGTTAGGCTGATTGTTGCCATGTGATGCCCCCAAACACAGCCTTCTCCAAAGCCACCTGCGTCTACTAATTACAGTACGCGTCTCGCCATAATTCAGTCCCATCCGGGACATCCTCACCGTCCTTGTTCCTGACAATCGTGGACTTGATCATCTCCTCAAGATTCACCCAATTCATGACGTACGTTATTTCCTGTGACAATGACCTGAACAGTGCCCCTCACACATGAAGCCGTCAGTGTGTCACCCCAACCGCTTCGGTACCAAACATCAGCGCTGAGTCAAACAGGCCCTGTCGCAGGCCTCGGAGTCATGCCATTGAATCAGGTCAGCCTTGCTCTCACTTGACCCTCGTTCGATACAAGACCCAAAGCAACTCATAGTCATCAAGGCCCCAGCCGGATGACACCTGTTTTGACTCGGAATGACTCTTCAGAACCCTGACCAAAACCCTCTTAATAATGCATGTTGCGGCTTCAAGCGCAAAGCCCGACATGATTCCCCCAGTACGTCTTCGACGGAGACCTCCTCTTCAGCACCCCCATACAATAGGTTCTTCAAGCCTCTGGAAGCCTATGCATTTCGTCCGACAGTTTCATGCTCGCCTCATTCGACTTGGTAGATCCCGTAGGATAGTCCAGGTGACGATTAACGGTCGTGTTTTCTGGTCTAGTCTCGACTCCTGATCTTGAACTGATCAATCATCCTCTCGCGCGTCGTCGCTGTCGCTCTCCTCATTCGGCAACCTCTTTGGAAACCATGCGAACCTGCCAAAATCCACGCTCATGTCTTCCACGCCTCTCGCGTCGTTGACCTCAACCCCTTCTGCTCGTAGCCTCTCGGCTTGTCTGTTTGCAGCCGCTCCACCGTCCCCTCGTGGGCTGATACCACCCTTGGCATTGACCACTCTTTGCCACGGCACGTTTTGATCATGATAGAAGAATTTGTCAGGCTCATTGGGATCGAATGTTGACAAATGTTTGAGACAGACCCCTACCTGACGAGCCCGACGTGGAAAGCCAAGAAGGAGAGCAACATGGCCGTAGGAGGTGCATTTGCCGTAAGGAATCTGTTGAACAGCTGAGTAGACAGCCTCGAACCACCATTGAGCTTCCTCGGATTGCTCTCTAGGCATTATTGTAGGAGAAGGGAATATGTGGATTCGCCTAGATCAAGCAAAAGAACAATTGACTGACTGGCGGTTGGTAAGCTGGAGGGACGAACCATGGAAATCAATTCCGACCCAAAAATCCGGGGCATTTTTAGGCGCGGTTCAGTTGTTGTCATTGTTTATTTTCCCTTGGCGATGGAAGAACTGTTGGCCTTTGCCGCCTCAGTCACTGCCAGTACCTCGAGCACTTGCTGGCAGAATTAAATTGGTCTTGTTTGTGATCTATCAACATGGCATTCCGTGGAACTGAAAGTCCCATGGATTTTGAATGGCAAGGTCACGGTCCAGTCGATCCTACATCACCCTTTCACAGACACATCATGGAGGCACAAGCGAAGAAACGTATGCAACGCATTACCCTACCAGATTCCCTCTGCTCACCGCAATCAGGCACTCACAGCGAGTTCGACTCGCCAAAGAAATCGGCCCTGCCGTCGTTACGTGCACCAAACAACCAACCATTCTTCTTCTCAAACGCACCATCAACAACACCTTCCGCCTCTCCCTTTCGTAACTCATCATTCACGACACCCCGAAAACCGTTCGACATCGATTTCTCCTCCGGACCTGAAAATTCTTCGCCGCTCGAACAGACCGATAATGAAGACACTCCAGATGCAAAATCGATACCGATCGAATTTAAAGCTAGTCCGCAGAGGATGGAGAGTACGAGAAGCTCGTTGTTTGGTCTGTACGACAAATTCGCACCCAGCCCTGGTCGCGGAGAAATTCGGAAGCCTCATGGCGACTTGATGGCCAGACGAATACACAAGAAGCGTCGTAGAGCGCAGAAGTTCGACAAACAGTTAATGTTGAGGACAAGAGACACTGCGGATGACAGTGAGGACGATTCGACACCCAGCCCAGCAGAACCACAAAAGCCCAAGGTGGAGGAAGTTGGATGGATTACTGGTCTATTCACATTCATTCATACCTACCCGGATGCGCCCTCGATCATCGCGAAATACCTGCAGGTCTTCTTCAACGCTGCAATCCTGGGCGGATGTCTCTATATGTTCTGGTCATTCTATGCCACGATACGGGCGGATGTTGATCGGGCGAGTGAAGATGCCATGGCGGAAGTTTTGGCTGAGATGGCGGCATGCTCGAAGAACTACATCGATAACCGGTGTGCAGCCGACACCAGACTACCCGCTCTCGAGACGGTGTGCAGTAACTGGGAATTGTGCATGAATCGAGATCCTAGCTCGGTCAAGCGCGCGAGGTTGAGTGCACACACCTTTGCCGAAATCTTCAACAGCTTCGTCGAGCCGATCAGCCTGAAGACCATGTGAGTGTGGCGGTAGCATGTTCTGAGAATGAAGCTAATTCGTTGACAGGATTTTTACCATTACACTGGTAGTCGTAGGGTTGGTAGTCAACAACGCTACCTTTACGCTGTACCGAAGACAACAAGAAAACCACAACACGAGTATGTATCGACCTCCATCTGGTTCGTACATGCACCCTGGACAGCAGAATGGCCATATGGGGCAATTCGCTATATCGCCAGTTATGCCCTATGGCCAACCATATGTGGGCTGGCACGGTGAACAGTCGTATGGTGGTCAACAACAACAAATAGAATATCAGCGAAGTCCCAGCAAAGAGCGTCGAGCACGGAGCAGGAGTCCATCGAAGAAATTTGTGGCTTGAGTATCATGATGAATTGGAAGCGATTGGAGTTTGAGTCTGGATACTACATTGGTATGGTCGGTCATACACTTGAGCATACCATTTGTTGGACTCTGCACAGCAACGAACGAATTCTACTGGCATCTGATGAGTAGGCGCCAACTGTTTGACATGGCTTTAAATGTCCTCCAAGGATAGGCTGATGCAATGATGCATGTTCGGTTGTACCTGTTTGGAGAAATCTGGAGATCAGCCTCGTCGGCAGTTGAAGATTAAAATTTATATTCATTCGCGCCCTTTTGCATCTGACATTGGTCGTAGATTGATGTTCCCACGACTCTGGCTAATCATACGGCGTCGTTGTACTTCTATTTTGTTTTCAGACCTGTCCATTACTCTTCGAATCTATCTCTATTACTTTTCAACAGTCTGTACCAATAACCCAGGTGTATACATATATACAAGCGACCACATATCAGCACTGAGCCATTCGGTTCTGTCGACATAATGGCCGAAATCTCAACCCCGACCTACAGAATCCGGTACGCCACGGAATCCGACGTGCCCACCATATTGCAGCTCATCAATGAACTCGCATCCTACGAGAAAGCACTGCATGAGGTGCTCGCCACGGAACAGACGTTACGCGAGACGTTGTCTTTTCCGGACGCCAAAGCTCAGGGTGGATTCAGTCAGGGATATGCTAAGACGTTGTTAATTGAGCCCGTCACTGGCGCCTCAAGCGGCGAGACTGTGGTGGCAGGAATGGCCCTATACTTCCACAACTACAGCACCTGGCGCGCCGCTCCGGGTATTTTCCTCGAAGACCTATTCGTTCGGCCCGCCTACCGAGGCAAGGGGTTTGGTGGTGCACTGATACAAGCACTCGCCAGGGAGTGTTTGCGTCTAGGCTGTAAGAGGCTTGAGTGGAGTGTGTTGAAGTGGAATGAGCCTTCTATCCAATTCTACCAGGGGCCGAGTATCAATGCGACGAGGATGGAGGAGTGGGTTGGGATGAGGGTTGATGGGGAACCGCTGGAGGAGTTGGCGAGACGGGGTCCAAATGACAAGAATGGCAGGGTAGTGGGATGAGCACCACTCTGGAGGGTTACTGCATATCAAGCCACAGAGAAAATGGCCCGCGGAAGACCAAACAAGAGATAGACACATGAACAGAATGTGTATGCATTTATGACCACTCCTGCAAACGCCAAACGCCTGCTTGTCATGGCATTTCATATCGAGCCGAGTCCCATCGCTGTCCAACAAGACCCGAATTCCGTTGTGGTACTTCTGACCGACTCTTCGATTTCGCTGTTTACATGACGATACAACATGAGTTCTGCTTCTTGGCCTGCTGGTAGAACATCTTGCTCTGCGCACTTAGGCCGTCGGACTTTGCGACGAGACTGTCAATCTTCTCTCCTCGTTCCAGTACACTTTCGATGGTCTTGTGAAGGACAATCTTGGTCTCGTCGAGTTCCCGCTGCACCCGCATGATGCTGTCTGCTGCCTCCGGGTTCTGGTATTTCACGATATAATCTTTCAGTTGGGGGAACGGTCGACTCGTCACACTCGGGCTCGAGTAGCTGGTTCGGGGATTTTGGGAGGTGAATTCATCGATGATTTTGGAAAGCAGTTGATGTGCCACTAGTGCTGGATACTCGGCGTCGCTGATGATGATGCCGGCTACGCCCTGGCTCGAACCGTATGCGTGGAATGTGTAGGACTTCTCTTCGATGTCTTGACGGACGCCCGGCCTTGTGCGTTCCGCCACGGTTTTGGCGAACATGGTCATGAATTCGCCATAGCTGGGAACAGGAGTGTCAGTCGAGTAGCAATGAGGTCAGGGAAAATTGACGGACCTGTCGCGTGTGAAGCGGGAAAACGAGGAGAGGTCTCGCTCGACGGCGAGTTCAGTGGCAGGGACTGGGTCGTTTCGGACGATCTAATAGATGTGTCAATGGTCTTGTGCTTTGTTGTGCCGCATCCGGCCTATGTTTGTGGCTTACTCCGATGTAGAAGATCTTCATGATGGCGGTGATGCAATGTCTAGAATGCGGTGGACGGCAGGCAGTCTCGATGGATAGGGTCTTTGTTGATCAACGGTTTCTGGGTGTCGGCGTGCTTTGTGGTAGTGGTAGTGGTGTGTTTCGTTGAAGATATGATACAGAAATGACTTGAGGATCGCAACAAAGACGCCTAGAAAGTGGTAGGACGTCACATGCCGCCGCCGATACTTAGTCCGTACCGAGACGCCACGGCCTCTAGGGCGTCCGTGTCCGTGCCTTCCTAGGCCAATTAATCATTAAATAAAAAAGTCGCCTGGGCTAGAAACCCATCCAAACCTCACTGCCTGTTGAATTACAGACTGCTGTAAGTTACTTCTCAACCATCCAAGTACGTCTCGTGCCGATATCGCGGTCCGAAGAGTTGGAGATGTGACATCTCGCGCCATCTGAGGCGGGAAATCCGCCAGTTTCTGCTAAATCTAGTCCCAGGCACTCTCCAGAGGCACACTCACAGATACCCCTCAATGTTGATGACAGACTGCAGCTCTCCCCGGACCGTTGCACTTGACGATGCGGAGAAGGTACACTTCGCATGGACTATTGACACTCACTACACCCGAATAGATGTGTACCAGGTAGGATATTCGTTACATGACCTCATGGCTACAAGCGATGTGTTACCCCGACCTGAAGCTGCAAACTGCATATATAGGCAGATGGCAAGGGGGATGCCTGACCTGAAACCTACACCTACCCACAACACATAGCACTGCTGCTGCAAGATCCATCGGGACAATGTCTTGGAAGCTACTGTTGGTCTCAGCTTTGGCCGGTCACGCAATCGCCCAGTTCCCTTCTACGTGCCCTGCAGTTGTGAGTGCTGGACCAAATGGCACCATCGGCATCTGTCCCCAGGACTTTACCATCATTGGTGGCGCGCTCGAGCCCGTCCACGAGTCGACACGAGCACCCACCGGCTTTGCCGTTGATCCTTCTCTCAACATCTATCTAACTTATCCTCGCAACCAAGGGGCGACTCCTAACAACGTGGTCATAGCGACTTCGTTTACTGGAGAGCAACCATGGCCCAATGCGGCATATCAGAACTGTACGCCGACGCAGAATGTCAGCACATGCTTCATCAATGTTCAAAATGTGGTCCTAGACAGCATAAATCAGCTCTGGATTGTTGATTCCGGAATAGCACCTGGCAACAAGAGTGCCACTCCAGGCGGCGCGAAGATCATGTCCTTCGATCTGTCCGGTAATCTTTTGTCAACATATCTTATTCCATTGAACCTCTACCACGACAACCTCAACATCAACGACGTCCGCATCAACAACACCCTCGGCGGAGGCAAAGGGTACGCTTTTCTTACCGATGAAAGCGCTGATGGAAGCATCGTCAGCATCAATCTCGACAACGGCACGGTGAACAGACGACTATTCAACACGACCGTCGTTAAGTCAGATCCTGGGTACGTGGGTGTCTACGACGGTCGCCCAATCTACACTTGGAATGGGACAAACAGAGTCTTCTCCGCCATCGGTAGCGATGGCATTGCCCTTGCCAGCGGTAACGTGTATTGGGGTGTCCTTTCAAGTCGCCGATTTTACTACGTGAGCCAAGAAGCCGTGGTCGACAACTCAATGAGCGATGAGCAAGTCCTTGCGGCTGTCCAAAACCCAGGAGACTGTGGCACCGAACAAGCCGGATTTACTGGCGACGATAATGGAAGGGTGTATATTCTGGCGAGTGAGCACAATGCCATCTTCTATGTCGACACACTTCAGAGTCAAGTCAATGAGACGGTAGATGGTGTTCCTCCTGGCGGGCCACCCCTCGTACCGGTGCCACCAGAAAGATATGTTGTCAAGACGCTCGTGAGGAATGCGCTGATTCAGCATGCCGACAGTGCCGCGATCTATAATGGATGGCTTTACTTCTGTACGAATCAGCTGGAGCTCAGTCCGACATTTTCATACAACAACACGGACAATAGGAAAGGCCCGTTCAGAAGTTATAGGACGTGGGTCGGAGCAGGACCGGCGGTGTAAAAGGTCATTCATGTCCGCAGGATGGAGCCACAAGGCTAGGACAGTAATAACGCATCAAAAGCGTAGTAGTTGACCATCATGAGTAACGGTATATCTAGGAACCTACTGAAGCAAGAAGTGCATAGTTGTCAACAGGAGTATCGCCTGGTCTGTAAGTGTCACATGGTGGCGCCGACATCCGTACTTAACTTAGTCACGGCAGTGAAGTGGGCTCGAAATTCTTGGCATCATTGTGATGACTCTCTCTTTTCATTTCATGGCCGCCCATATCACCATAAATCAACCATCTTTTCTATACTCACGATTCGAAGCAGCGGTCCTTGCTGTAGATAACAGGATGGCAGGGTCGACCTTTCAAGGGGAGCCACAATGGCTGGCTCAAATGACCGCCATGAGAAATGCCATTGCTGAGCTGAAATTGCCACCTTTGAACGACCCGTCTCAAATGTATGGATCAGATCTGGACCTTGATGACAATCTCAGTGACGAAACCGAGGACGATATTTGGGACGTTGGCAGTGAATTGAATGATAGTCCTGCGACTGACGATTTTGATGCCAACGGATATCAAACTCCCGCCACAGTCAAGGATGGTGTTTTTGACAAGGCATGGCTTCACAGCAAATGCGCTGATTTCGCCCACTCAAGACAAGGCCTCAATGCTTCTGATCTGGAACAGCAAATCACAGCAGTTCTTGCTTCGGACAGCTTAGAGGATGAACTACAAATGTCACTTGCCGACATCGTTGGCTTCGACGACCTTGACTTTGTCATTGAGCTCATTTCCCACCGCCGCGACATACTGTCTGGTCCTACTGCCACCACCCGCCAGACATATGGTCTCTTCGGGCAACTGCAAACCACTCAAGAAAGAGAGGCTGCGCTGAGACAACAGGACCATGAACACAAACATGCCGCTCTGGCCCCAGCATTCGACCGAAGCACTCCCAAGTACGCCCATGTCTACAAGGCAGAATCGTCGGCTGCAGGAAACATCCTAGATGCGTCTGGGAAGAAGTATGGGTTGCCTGTCGGTAGCACGAGAAATGACTATGCAAAATACGAAGAATATTCTGTCCCAGCAGCCAAGGTCGGCACTTTGGGTGTAGGGCGAAAATTGGTCAATATTGAAGATATGGACGGATTGTGTCAGCGTACATTCAAGGGATACAAGTCACTCAACCGCATGCAAAGCCTGCTTTACCCTGTGGCCTACACTACCTCTGAGAACATGCTCGTCTGTGCGCCCACGGGTGCTGGCAAAACAGATGCTGCGATGCTCACCATCCTTCAGACCATCTCAAAGAATGTCATACCAAACCCTATCGAGGAACCCGACGCTGCCGACTTCGTCCTTCTGGCTGATGACTTCAAGATAGTCTATGTCGCACCAATGAAAGCACTTGCCGCAGAAGTGACACAGAAGTTGGGGAGCCGCCTTGCATGGCTGGGCGTCCAAGTTCGTGAGCTGACTGGCGACATGCAGCTGACGAAGCGCGAGATCGCGGCCACCCAAATCATCGTGACGACACCCGAAAAATGGGACGTGGTGACTCGCAAGAGTACGGGAGATACTGAGCTTGTCCAAAAAGTCCGTCTTCTCATCATTGATGAAGTACATATGCTTCATGATGATCGTGGCGCCGTCATTGAATCCCTGGTTGCAAGAACGGAAAGACAGGTGGAAAGCACGCAATCTCTGATCAGAATTGTCGGGCTATCTGCGACGCTTCCAAATTACGTTGATGTTGCGGACTTTCTGAAAGTCAATCGAAACAACGGCCTGTTCTATTTCGATGCATCCTTCCGACCGGTTCCTCTTGAACAGCATTTCATTGGTGTCAAGGGAAAAGTTGGAAGTAAAATTCAGCGTGATAACCTTGATCAAGTCACCTTTGAGAAGATCAAGGAGCTCCTGAAAGAGGACAAACAAGTCATGGTCTTCGTTCACTCCAGAAAAGATACAGTTCTCACTGCTCGGATGCTCTACACCATGGCTGTTGATGATGGATGTGTTGATCTACTCGTTGACCCAGAACATCCGGCATATGTTAGAGCTATGGCAGACTTGAAGACAACTAGGGGTCGAGAACTTCGTGACATTGTGCCCAAAGGTTTCGGCTGCCACAACGCCGGCATGCCACGCACGGACAGGAACTTCGTTGAGAGGATCTTTTCCGAAGGCGCTATCAAAGTCCTTTGCTGTACAGCGACTCTAGCGTGGGGTGTCAATTTGCCAGCTGCAGCTGTCATTATCAAAGGTACGCAGCTTTACAGCGCTCAAGCTGGTAAATTCGTGGACCTGGGGATTCTGGACGTGCTGCAAATCTTTGGTCGTGCTGGTCGTCCACAATTCCAGGACACCGGTATTGGCTTCATCTGCACAACTCAGGACAAGCTACAATTCTACCTTTCAGCCGTCACTCAACAGAAACCCATCGAGTCAAGATTCTCGCACAAATTGGTTGACAATATGAACGCTGAAATCAGTCTGGGTACTGTGACTACCATAGCAGAAGCTGTAACATGGCTGGGCTATTCTTACCTATTTGTCCGCATGCGAAAGAATCCGGAAGCGTATGGTATCGACTGGAATGAGTTTCAAGACGATCCCCAGCTCGGCCAACGCAGATGCAAGCTGGTCGTTGATGCCGCTCGGACCTTGCACAGAAGTCAGATGATCATCTTCAATGAGAGAACCGACGAGCTCCGGCCCAAAGATGTTGGCCGCATTGCCAGCCAATATTATGTACTTCAGAACAGTATCGAGATCTTCAACACCATGATGAGACCTCATGCTAGTGAAGCAGATGTTTTGAAAATGATCAGCATGAGTGGTGAGTTCGACAATATCCAGTCCCGTGACAACGAAGCGGAAGAATTACAACGACTCAAGAAAGAAGCTGTGGCGTGTCAGGTTGAAGAACCGCCCAAGACCATGCCTCAAGGCACTGGGAATGAGAAAGAAAAGGAGAAGGAGAAGAAAGTCATCGCGAACCACGCAAAGACCAACATTCTGCTACAGTCTCATATCTCCAGAGCCAAACTCGAAGATTTCGCCTTGGTATCAGACTTGGCATACGTTGCACAAAATGCTGCCAGAATCTGTCGTGCCTTGTTCATGATCGCCCTGAATAGAGGGTGGGGCTATCAATGTCAGGTATTGCTCTCCATGTGCAAAGCGATCGAGAAGCAGATGTGGCCGTTCCAGCATCCGTTTCACCAATTTGACCTACCTCTTCCCGTGCTCAAGAACCTGGATGACAAGGCACCTTCATCCAACATTGAGAGTCTTCGGGAGATGGAACCTGCGGAAATTGGCAACCTTGTGCACAACCAGAAGATGGGAACCACCATATCAAGATTGCTCGACAATTTCCCAACCATGTCTGTAGAGGCTGAAATAGCACCTCTCAATCGAGATGTGCTCAGGATGCGATTGTACCTCTACCCGGAATTCAATTGGAACGACCGACATCATGGCACGTCAGAGTCTTATTGGGTCTGGGTTGAGAACTCCGACACATCGGAAATCTACCATCACGAGTACTTCATTCTCAGTCGAAGGAAGATGCATGATAATCACGAGCTGAACTTCACTATTCCGTTGGCCGATCCGCTACCATCCCAGATTTATGTGCGGGTCATCTCAGATCGCTGGCTAGGCGCAGAGACAGTCCATCCTGTTTCTTTCCAACATCTCATCCGTCCGGATACCGAAAGTGTATATACCGACCTACTCGATCTGCAACCTCTACCAATCAGTGCCTTGAAAAATCCGGCATTGGAAGAGCTGTACGGGCAACGCTTTCCGTTCTTCAACCCCATGCAGACGCAGATCTTTCATACCCTGTATCATACATCGAACAACGTTCTCCTGGGCTCACCAACAGGTTCTGGCAAAACTGTGGCGGCCGAGCTCGCCATGTGGTGGGCGTTCCGTGAACACCCCGGAAGCAAAGTCGTGTATATTGCACCCATGAAAGCATTGGTCCGAGAAAGAGTCCAAGATTGGCGCAAACGACTAGTAGGACCCATGGGCTTGAAGCTGGTGGAATTGACCGGTGACAACACCCCTGATACTCGAACGATCCGTGACGCGGACATTATTATCACCACCCCTGAGAAGTGGGACGGTATTTCCCGATCCTGGCAAACAAGGTCTTATGTGCGACAAGTATCGCTTGTCATCATTGATGAGATTCACCTTCTGGGCAGTGATCGCGGGCCTATTCTCGAGATCATCGTGTCGCGAATGAACTATATAGCATCACAGGCTGAGAGTGGTTCTATTCGTCTGGTCGGAATGTCAACCGCTTGTGCCAACGCCACTGATCTGGGCAACTGGTTGGGCGTCAAGCCCGGGAACAATCAGGGCCTGTTCAATTTCCGTCACAGCGTCCGACCTGTCCCATTGGAGATCTACATTGACGGTTTCCCCGAGCAGCGCGGTTTCTGTCCGCTGATGCAGAGCATGAACCGACCTACCTATCTGGCGATCAAGAACCACAGTCCCGAGAAGCCGGTCATTGTCTTCGTGGCATCCAGAAGACAGACCCGTCTGACTGCCAAGGATCTCATTAATTTCTGTGGCATGGAGGAAGATCCGCGGCGATTCTTGCATTTCGACTCGGAAGATGACCTACAAGCTACATTATCTGTTGTCAAAGACGCGGCGCTCAAGGAAGCCCTCTCGTTCGGTATCGGACTTCATCACGCCGGTCTCGTCGAATCTGATCGTACGCTATCCGAACAACTCTTCGCCGCAAATAAGATTCAGATCCTGGTCGCTACCTCCACATTAGCATGGGGTATCAATTTGCCCGCCCACCTCGTCGTGGTCAAGGGGACCCAATTCTTCGACGCCAAGATCGAAGGGTACAAGGACATGGACCTTACGGATGTGTTGCAGATGCTCGGTCGCGCTGGCAGACCTCAATTCGACACTTCGGGTATTGCTCGCATTTTCACCCAAGACGCCAAAAAGGCTTTCTACAAACACTTCCTGCACACGGGTTTCCCTGTCGAAAGCTCTCTGCACAAAGTTCTCGACAACCATTTGGGCGCTGAGGTGTCCGCGGGTGTCATCACAACAAAGCAAGATGCGCTCGACTATTTGACATGGACGTTCTTTTTCCGCCGTCTGCATAAGAATCCCACGTACTACGGTCTTGAGATCTCTGCGGAAGAGCACAGAGAAAGCCAATTGACTGCCAGACAACTTGCTGCAGATTACATGGTGACTTTGGTCGACAAGTCGCTGGACGATCTCGCCGAGAGCGATTGTGTGGCTGTACACAATAATGGCGACGTCGATAGTACCCCGTTCGGCAAGATCATGAGTTACTACTACCTCAGTCATCTTACCATTCGGAAGTTCTTGTCCAAGGCACGCAAAACGCGCGATACTACGTTTGCTGATGCCTTAGCGTGGATCAGCCAAGCTACTGAATTCGATGAGCTTCCTGTCCGACATAACGAGGATTTGATCAACGCGGAACTCGTTAAAAATCTGCCCCTCGGCACGGAAGGACTGCTGGATAATATGCCCCTGTGGGATCCACATGTCAAAGCGTTCCTGCTGATTCAAGCGTTCATGTCCCGCATCGAGTTGCCTATCAGTGATTATGTTGGTGACCAGATCTCTGTTCTTGACCAGGGTATTCGTATCATCCAGGCTGGAATTGATGTCATGACCGAGCTGAATCGATTGGACGCCGTGGTCCAGATGGTGCGATTGTTGCAGTGTATCAAGAGCGCGCGCTGGCCCGAGGATTATCCGCTTAGTATCCTACCTGGTGTGCACGAGGTGTTTGATCCGAAGCTTGAGGGTAAGGTGCCGGGTGATCTTGTCACCACTGCCGTGCTGGCAAGTCGGCATGGCCACAAGACTGTTGATGGGTTGATGAATGTCTTGGGGATCCGGGCGCAGGGTGTGCGTGCGCAATTCGCAAAAGCGGTTGGCGCGCTGCCTGATATTACGGTCAATGCGAATGGTGATGCCGGCGGTGTGCTGCAGGTGCAACTGAAGAGACGTAACCGGTTGAGTGATCCGGAGGCACGGATCTATGCGCCTAAGTTCCCGAAGCCGCAGAGTGAAGGGTACTTTGTGGTCGTGTTACCTGCTGGATCGAAGGGTAGGGCACTTGTCGGTATTGATATCCTCGCGCTCAAGAGGGCTGGTTGGGCGATGTCGGGCAGGCAGGGTCAGAAGAGTAGGGCGATGGAGACCAGTCATGTCAAGATCAAGATGCCTATCCTGGAGGGCATGAGTGGTGGGCAGGTCAAGGTTGACATCTTGGTGATGAGTGATGCATACCCAGGCATGGAGTGGTGGTCGGAAGGTGTGGTCGTGCCTGTGCCTGTTGCGAAGGTGGAGGAAGTGCAGACTGTGCAGGTCGATATTGATGAGAGCCTGCAAAAGAAGAAAGGAGGTGCGAGTTGATATCGATGAGTCTGCAAAGAAGAAAGGGGTTTTGCAAGCGTGATATGAAAGAGACAGTCCCGGCTCGAGAACTTGAAGGAGCCCAAAGGTGACGTTGAAACTTTAGGTGCAGAAAATGGAAACACGCCGCTCGGGCAGCTGGTCTCGAAGACGTCGCTGTCGCGCCCGACGCCAAAGCGGCACGAGAGACCATCATGCGAATCGACACGGACGTTACATTCGCGTAAGGACGAGTTGAGGAAAGAGCGAGGTAGATGTGGAACGAATGCAGACACGGAGATGACATGTGTATTGTACGTATGTCCTCATTTTGTACATGGCGTCTGTTTGAGGCAGCGCCCATCTCACCCAACCCGTCCGACCCAGCCGAAAACCGTCTATCAAATGTTCTGTTTTGAAGCGAAACCCATAGCTGATATGCGAATGTCTGGAAGCCTATCTGTGGCTTTCCAGCGTGAACATATCCGTGTGTCCCACCCGCTCAAGCTGAAAGAAAAACCGTAGTATATACATGTAATGGTCATAAATGGTGCCCTCACAAAGGAAAGCACTCCGTCCTCTGCGCAGAGGTGCATGTGCACCAGCGATTCGCTGTGAGTCTCGAAGGCGTACAGGTCATACACTCTCCACGACCAATCCAACACTCAACCCTGGCTTGTGCCCACTTCTCGCCTGTACCACGACAGGCGAATAAGCCTTCTTCTCCAGGATCTCCCACTTTCGCGCCTCCTTGGCCATCTTTTGATACGTCGAGTTTCGGTCGGGCTGCTCGCGCTTTGTCACTTTGACTTTGATTTTGTCTTTAGACTGGGATTTTGACGTGCTGCGTTGGTGTCGATGCCGTCGGCCACCCATGCCGCTGCCGACGATGAATCTGTTGTCTTCATCTACATTGTCGCTTCCCTCCGTGCCTTCTGTCCGGCGTGTCGGGACAACGACGCGGGCAGTTGCGACTGGTTTGCGGATCACCGATACCGTGCGGGCGACGGCGACTTCGGCGACGGAATTTGATACCGAATGGCCAGGGCCCGATCCTGGGCCTTGTTGGGACGGACTGTTGCTGGGCGGTGGCACGGTCTTCTCCAGGCCTTGGAGGGACGAGGAGGAGGGCAGGGTTGCGGAGCGTTCTTTCGAGAGGGCGACGCGCATTGATGGTGAACGTATTGGAGGTCTGACGTTGGTGTCGGTGTTTGAGCGCGTGGGTCGCGTAGGGATTATGCCTGTCTGTTCGATTTTGGTGACTGTATTTCTGGCTGCGTATCTGGACAGTGGGATGAATTTGGCGTCCTTTTTTGGAACTGGAGGAGGTTTGTCGTCGACGTCAGTGTCTGGAGCTGTCGAGGCTTGATGACGCAGAGTGAGAGCCCCCTGTGGGAGGGTTGGCGAATCGCCGATGGGGCGATCGACGAGTCTGATGGCAGAGACGTGAGGGAGGATCAGTGGTGGTGGGTGAGAGGTCGTAATGGTTGTGTCTGATTTGGGCGATAGGTCTTCTTTGACTTCGGGTACAGGAGAAGGTATCAGGTAGGTGATATCTTCGCGCGATCTACGGCGTGAACGAGATTGGAGGTGTTGTGAAGCGGCTGGCTGAGATGTTTGGTCGGTGGCATGATCCGCGATCGCCAAGGTAGGGATGACGAAGGGGAATGGAGGGATTGATTCTTCGCTCATTGTGGTGGGCGATGTGAGCCTTTCAACTGCGGCGATCGCTTCATCAAAGTAGGCCGTATTGACGGAGGTGTGTTTGGTGGTCGAACTGGTCGTTGTGGTGGGTGCCACCGAAATATGCCTGGTGGTAGATGCACCGTCTGGGGTGTTGACAGCGGCTGTAATTGTCGGTGACTGCTCACCTTTATCCGATTGAGGAGTTTCGACTTCTCGTAGGCGACTAGACGTAGCAGCCTTTTTGGATTTTGTACGGACTAGTTCTACTGCCGCTGAGTCTGGCCGGGTCATGACGAACTGGCCATCTTCTACCCCTTTGGAGTCTCGGAATGACTTGATATCGAAAAAGAATATGTCGTCTGCCGTGGTGGCAGATGAGACAGACGACCGCAAGGAATGGGCAGCGCTCCAAGGAGAGCGTCTATCGGTGGACGCAGTATGCTCCTCTGGACTGTTGAAAATCTGCTCCGATGGTTCCAACCGTGTGGGATTGAGAGGTTCAGGTCTTGCAAAGGAAAAGTAATTCTGCATAGGGGACAATGCGGCCGGTGAACTTGCTGTTCGCTTCAGCTGATAGCTCGGTCTTTCTGAAACAGGTGACCGTCCAATCGGTTTGACAGCAGCCGGTGAAGGGAAAAGGGAATATTTGCTTGCAGCTGGTGAACGAGTTGGGGTTGCCATACTCATCAGTTTCGGTGGCCTCAGTGGTGTAAGGTTCTCTGGGGTTGTTTTCGCCACCATATCTTCTCCATGACTGGTGTTTGGTCGACTATTATCGAACGACCTCAGACTGTCTAACGTTTTGCTCCGCCTGGCCAGAAGGGAGGAGGAACGTCTGGCGGCGGGTAGATTTTGGAACATGACACTGAACCGGTCCAGAGGTTGAGTAGGTATTTCCAGCTCCAGCTTCGGTACAGGCGGCCTCGTATAGAGCTCACTCCAGGTGCTAGCATCAGTGGCAGTTGATGGTCTTGAAACGAGATCCTGTTCGGGCCTTTGTCCAAGCTTTCCGACGGGGATTTTGTCCTTTGGGGGTCGAGGAGGCTCGCGCTGTGGAGGTTCAGCTTGAGAAAGTGGCTGTAGTCTGTGCTCTGCAAATGCATCATTCAGACTCGTCGGGCTCTTGTCCATGACTACCAATCCAGTCGGTAATCCCACCGTTGGACCCGATGGCACATCTTCTCGCTTGATGGCAATCTGGCGGGCCTTGAATAGCGTCCCTAGCTTCTTCTGCCATTTCTTTGAGTTCATTTGGAATGACCTTTCTGTGAAAAGCGCGCAATGTCGCAAGCCCGGGTCTTCCTCCAGATCGATGTGCTCTGCTGGTGGGATGCCAAAAGATGCGGGGGGATGACTCGGACTCCCGAAAGCGACACCGATCAAATTGTGGTCGGAGTTCAAGGCGACATTTTTGTTCTTCAAGGGCGAAGCTCTATGGTTGTCCGATGTCTGTGGTCTGTCCAAGGGGCCGTTAACAGGTGGCTTCCTCTTTCCAGTATGACCTCCAGATGTGGTAGGGCGTAGGTTGACTGATCTGGGAGAAATGAAGGTCTTGCCCGTCGCGCTGGGGATGGTAGATGTCGGGTCCGAAAAAGCAAAATCAAATCCTTTCTGTTTTGCTCTCGACTGCGGACTTGGATTGTTGTGTTGAGAAGGGTTCCTATGACCGACAGATAGCCACCTGGTGGGCATGATTTAGAAATCCGGACTTCTCACAACGATGATACCTATGGTAAATGAGTGACAGCAAGCGAAGGGTAATGACGAATGACGCGGGAAGTCAAGCTCGATAAAGCCTGGAAGGCTTCCGCAGGGTGAAACCGTCACAACGAGACATCGCTTAAGTCGAGGTGTCGAGGGGTTGAAGCTCCTCAGAATGGACAAAGTGGGAGTAGGACGTTAGAAGGATATTGACCCATCGATATCCGATGCAGGAAATGCAACAGATTTATCACCCGGATGCAACTGCATGGCAAGCGAAAGCGAAAAGTCGGGACTAGAGCCTCGAAAGCCATCGATAAGTGGGATCTGGCATGACACGCATGGGTAAGCTTCGAGGTTCTGCATACGAGATCCTGGTGACCATGCATTGTGGCCCAGACCGGCAGTCGAATAATGGACATTGTTACCATTGTAGGATTTGTAGCCGGCGAGCTGAATTTCTGTTGAACAAATGGGCGGATGGGGAAATCAAGGAAAACATTCCCAGGCTTGCTGAGACCAATCTTCGGACGTGGTCAGTCACAGAATGCGAGATGGAAACATCAAAGGATGTGAAGCAAGCGGGATATGGGGGAGAGGAGGTTGAGAACAGCCACTTACAGCCCTGGAAGATTGCCGGGGTCCCGCGACTGGCGTGCTTCATCTTGCTCTTAGCCTCTCGCGTGGCGGCCTGTCGCCTCTTTGACATGGGGTTTCGAAATCTTCCGAGAGGTGGATTTCTGCTCCTGTGGCGGACACGGCAGAGAAGCATAAGAAAAGCTTCTGGGAACCCAGGGAGGACAAAATATATCGAGTTCCTCCTTTTCGCATGCTCACTTCGAACTGCGGTTTCCTCACAAGCCAACAGATAAGGCCAATTGACGTTCTATGTCTGAAGGTGTCTTGCTATCACAGCGCCTTGTCGCAAATGGCTTGCTATGCTTACCCTGCAATCTCTTTATTCTGGTGGTTCTGGACAGGTTCGCTTGACCTCGGATGACCCCTGAAACAGTCCGTGCTCACATTTGCGCCACCAAATTCTGTGCAGGGATAGCAACAATAAATCTTGGACGAGGTTACTGACTGGCTGTTATTTTGATCCCTGCGGACGTTGAGCATTGCACAAGCGAGAAGACGTCAACAGACTCCCGGCTCTGATCTTCTTCGTAGCACTGTTTGCATGCGTGATTGGTTCGCTGGGCATTGCTGAAGCACGTTGATGATTTGAAGCTCACGGCGCCTTCGACAGAAATTTTGATTACCATGGGAAGTAACACGTGATAAGCTTTTGACATGTTCTGATGTTTGTTCTTTGCCATCGATCTTGAGCTTAATTTGCTGCATATTTTGACCGCGTTCCGCGTGTGCAACGGTTCCCGGGATATCGCGATTCATGGCAATGGCGCCTGGAGGAAGAGAAGGTGAACCCCAAATTCTGAGAAGCCTCGGTCGAGAGAAAATGTCAGGCTTATTTCTCCGCACCCGATGTCGGACAATACACGCCGACCTCAGAGGAGCAATATCAAGACACTTCTTTGCATTGGTAGGTGATGGTTGATATTTGCAAGTGCAGCTTGACCTGGCTCTGCGATCGCGCTCTGAGATACGTTCTCCGGACAGGGTGAGGGCGAAAAACGGTGAAGGTGCTCCGGCAAGCACTAGATCTGCGACAAACAGACGATCGACCGACTTTTAGCCCATTGAAACGGGACTCGATGAGTATCCTTGCGCCGTAGAATACGAAAGTTCGGCAAGTTGAGTACATAAAAGTTTGGAGACAGGGGAAGGGTCGAGGAAGATATGAAGGCCAGATCGCCTCTGGCAGGAGCGATGCTCCAACAGCCGGGCATGTCATTGAGGAGGCAGGCGCTCATCTTCTCCATGATGGCAGGCGTCCGAGACACACTAAGGACATCAATACCGACAACACGATCAGCACCCAGATCCAGATACCTGAGTACATCGACACCTTTTCAGTCCGACGACTTTAAGTACAATGCTCCATGCAACCGGCCTCTAAGCGGCATAACTATCGTGGCATTGGAGCAAGTCATCTCCATGCCACTTGCAACGCGCCACCTTGCAGAGCTGGGTGCCCGGGTGATAAAGATCGAACGGCCCGGCACAGGAGATTTCGTGCGGCACCACGACAGCCGCATCCGCGGCAAATTGTGCAGTCATTTTGCCTGGACGAACCGCAGCAAGGAATCCCTGGCGCTAGACATCAAGGACCCCCAGGACATGGATGTCTTGAAGACTCTGGTGTGTGAAAAGGCCGACGTTTTCGTACAGAATCTACGACCAGGCGACGCCGAGAAGATGGGCTTGGGCTACAAAGCGCTGAAGGATATGATGAATGAACGAAAGCCAGGTGAGAACAGAGGCGAAAAGCTCATTTACGCTTCCATTAGCGGGTATGGGTCTGACGGTCCGTACGCGCACAAGAAAGCCTATGACCTGCTCATCCAGGCTGAGGCAGGCGTGCTGAGCATTACCGGCACGGAAGGTGACAATGGCATGGCCAAAGTAGGCTGTTCGATCGCCGACACCGCAGCGGGTATGTATGCGTACAGCAACATCCTGGGTGCAATCATTCAGCGCCAAAACACAGGCAAGGGGTGCGAGTTGGATATTTCGATGCTTGAGTCATTGGTCGAGTGGATGGGCTTCCCCATGTACTATGCCCACGAGGGCCAGTCGGGACCGAAACGTGCCGGCGCAAGTCATGCGAGCATTTATCCTTACGGGCCGTTCTCCACAGGTGGGGGTGGAAAGGTCATGCTGGGAGTGCAGAACGAGCGCGAGTGGAAGACTCTGGCCACGCAGGTCTTGGACCGAGAGGATTTGACCGTAGATCCGAAATTCAGAAACACGGCGTCCAGGAGCGAGAATCGTGACGAGCTAGAGGCTCTCATCAGCGGGATCTTTGCGCAGTGGGATACGGATGAGGTTACCAGGCGGTTGGAAGACGCGGGCATTGCCAACGCCAAAGTCAACGACATGCATGGCGTTTGGGATCATCCGCAGCTCCAGGCCAGGCGGAGGTGGAGAGATGTCGACAGTGAGGTAGGTCCAATCAAGGCGTTGATTGCACCCGGAACGACTGCAGATGTCGAGGCGAGAATGGACAAGATTCCAGAGGTTGGCGAGCATAATGACAGCATTCTGAGGGAGTTGGGCTTTCAATAGACAAAAATGGCTTGAGATCATAGCCTGCGTATATGAATATAACGACTTCTCCTCAACATGGGCCTACGATGATCGGTAAAACGATCACAGTAGATTCACCTCCCATTTCTTATGAGGCTCGTCCATCTTGTCGTCAATTGCAACTGCGTAGAGGTGCAGCAACATCGTCGGTAGCGTGGACCTCCTATGGCACAATACAATGTGCTCGGCAAGTGCCTGGGGAGTTGTAAAGGCTCTGCGGTCGTGCAATAGATCGTAACCGAACGCGAAGCAGAAAATGCAACCGTACTTGAATCGCGGGGGTATCAATACATTGGAGTTTCGCCGTCTCCTATTAATTACCCTTGTTGTTGTTGTCCCTGGTGGCGGGAGGTATAGGTGAGAGCGCGCCAGGAATTTGCTTCGATACTGGATCGCGAGACCGTTATGTCGGCGGATTTCGTCGGTGTGGTGGATATTCGACGTATTACTGCTGGTGACATGATAGCGAACCCTGTAAGAGCACTCGGGACATTGCCAGGCCAGAAAGGCGCCCCCAGAAACCCTGAGTTTCCGGCGATTGTCTTCAGTCAATTCCCTTGTTTCCACGAAGGAGATTCGTCCTCTGTCAATTCCATTACTAATCTGCAACGCACCGTTACAGAAATTCCCCAGCTCATTTGGCCGCATGTCTTCCGCCCGGAGCCGACGAGGGTTACTCGGGCTGCGCCTTCCCAACTCCGCGATTTGAGACTTTTTGTAGGTCAGACCCTCCCAGATAGCTCTGAACGGGTCTTCGAGGTCCGGGTTGTAATGACTGGTGAAGATTCGTTCGATGCCGCGAACAGAGTTTTGCATCTGCTCCGCGACTTGGTTCAGGTAGTAGCCAGTAATGTCATCGGACTTGCCGATGATGTAGGGGAGCTTCTGATAGGACAACCTTGAGAGTGCTTGAAGTCGGTCTTGCAAAATGTGCAGCCTCGGATCATATTCGGAGACCGCGGTTGGTGTGAGATCTGGATAAATGTAGTAGTTGATCAGAGCATGTAGTCTTTGCCTGATGCGGGACACCAGTGAAAGGAGATCACGTATTGCTTGTTCGACCGTGATGGGCTCCGGAGGAGGGGGCAAATCGTTCGGGAGGACGAGTGCCGACATTGTCAATATTTGCGAGGTTTGTGATGCTGAATTACTGTCTTCAATTGTTCAGCCTTGAGCACGTAAGGCTCGATGGGCCGCAAAAATCGTGTGCGGATGGTTAGCGCTGTAGATCGGCCTGTAGGATCTGACACCTTATGTCCTGTGCATTTGGATGCAGCAAAGAAGATGGAGAAGATGCAAAGTGTTGCGGCATCGTGAAGAAACCTACCTGTTGATTAAATACCATTCGACACCAGTTGTGATGGAGGGTCACGAGGCGCAGACAACGGGGATGCCTCTCGCAATGTTTGGCACACTAGGCTGGACTCTGCTAGAACGGCATATGCAAGAGGTCAGAATGCCGCCGACCGGTTTGCGCAAAGGCCAAGGAGCAGCGCCCGCATATGCAAGCCTTTCGCACAGTGCATGCATGAGAAGAGGCATGTTGACGGACCGGTTCACGATGGTGGGCGTAGGTCAACGTGGGTCGGCATGGCTCCGCCACCTTGAGCAACAGGTTGAGATGTGAATGGCTGAGAAGGAGAAGCTGCATGGAGAGAACGAGGAGAATGCTGCAGGAAGGAAACGAGACGGCAGGAAGCCATTGGGAAGGTTCGCGCGTCATTTGAAGTCATTCAACGCTAAACTATTTTGGGCTTCAATATCAAAATTCCAAAATTCAGTATCGCCAAAGCATCGTCGCTGCGAGGTCATAATTGGTTATTGAGCATGGGTCAAGATGCCGACGGAACTGCAAGAAGTATGCGCTCTATTGCTGCAAGGCGTTTATTCACCTGCTGACGCATTATCAACAGCTTGTTGAATTTCTCCATCATGGAAATACTCAGATCAGACAAGTTGGTGAGTGACATCCTTCTCCTACCCGTGACTCATGAAAGACGAGCTACATCCTAGAATCAAAAGACACTGTGTTTGAGATAACAGGTACATGCTGACATGGCTCGACTAGCCTGTGAGCATTTGTTGGGACACTCTGAGGATCCGGCCATTTTCAAAAAGCCGCAACTCGTACCAGTTCAGGACTTGAAACTCCTCGTTAGAGACTATCCGGTGGGTACAAACCGGTCCATAATGGCGCATGAAGCTGACACGTCATCCCTTCAAGCCCATCGCGAAAAATGCTCTTACCATTCTTGTTAACATCAGTCATGATGCCGAGATCCTCGAAAATCTTGCGGCCGATGATGGATTCATCGAGATCCTGCTGAAAAAGATAACAGTATGTGGGTACACACACCCGATTGCCCTTGATGCTGCAGATCTCGGACTCCAAAGGCTGAACATAACGTAGGATCCCAAAGAGGCGGCCGCAGACGAAGTTGCCATGCTACTGTCGAATCTCGTCAAATCTGACCGCATGGAGAGCCTTATCACATTGAAACGAGCATCACCCGCAAAGGAAGTCTCTACATCTCAGTATGCACTTGACCAGCTGTTCGACTGCTTTGTAAAAGGTGCCGATGGTAGTCTTAACAAGAAAGCAAACTTCGATTACCTGGCATACCTTCTTGCGGACATCTCAAAACATGAAGCCGGCAGACAACATTTTTTGAGCAAGCGGGAATACGATGGTGTGGTGCCAATCAGCAAACTAACGGTCTTCACGGAGCACAAAAGCCACATCAGAAGAAGAGGCGTGGCGAGTACCATAAAAAATGTCGCCTTTGAGATCCGGAAACACCCACTGCTCCTGGCCGATGACACAGAAATCATCGATGGTTCTCCGGGTGTCAACATACTTCCATACATTCTACTTCCCCTGGCCGGCTCAGAAGAATATTCGGAAGAAGAATCAGCCAACATGCTGCCTGATCTGCAGCTATTACCGCCTGACAAAGCGAGAGAGAGTGACACTCGGATAGTGTTGACCCATTCGGAAACTCTCTTGCTTCTGAGTACGACGAGAGAAGGGCGGGAAAAGATGAGGAGTGCCGGTGTATACCCATTGATTCGCGAGACTCACATCCACGTGGACAACGATGAAGTGAGGGAAGCATGTGATCGGTGGGTTCAGCTTATCATGGGAGATGAAGAGGAAACGCCGAGGATAGAAGAAGTGGTTGACGATGACGAGAAGATCGAAGAGATATTCTGAATAGACCTATGCCTAATGAGTTGTTCAATACCCATTTTCGTAGCCGGTGAAGAGGTGATAGAATCCAGTAATTGTTCACCGGCGACACGTTTATCCGGCAGGACGTTTCCAAAGATTACGGTGAATCTTGCGAGGGTTTAGGCTGGTACGGTGAATCATTAATTATGACGCGCCCTCTGGTATCTTTCGAGTATTTGTTTCCGACGCGTCGTTGCAAATCTAGCATCATTCCACAGAATCGGCATGCAGACATCATGGCGCCAATGCTCGCTGGGCGAGAGACAAACGGCTTCCAGCCTCCGCCATCGTCGATGCTGGTCACTCATGTCGTTCACGGGAATGGCGTGCCAGACTTTGACCGAGACAGTTTCAATCAACTCTTAGCAGAAGCGCTTGGATCAGATGAGCAGGGCCAGTCCAACCTGGGTGCAGATGTTTCAGTCAATCACAAACTGATATGCATCATCTTTCAAGTAGGCATCGAGCGAGCCCTTGAGGAGAACCCATTCCAGACTGCAGCGGGTGCAGGTAAGGCTGTTTCTCAACTTAAAACCTGTCTCGAGGTCCTTCAACTCGCCATTGAAAGATCGCCTCAAGTTCTTTTCGTGAAGTCAGACTCACAAGGCAGTGATGTGCCCGGGAACTGCGCCTTGTACACCTGGCTCATTCCACGACTTGTACCGTTGCTTGCAGGGTCTCACAATGCCGGTATACATGACTCCGTGCTGGCGGTCTTCAACGCTATGCTGGAGACGGATCGAAAATGTGTGACGGCTAGTCCATGCCTTGCAATACTCGAGTATATGAGGGCGACAGCCTCTGGTAAATCCCCCAAATCGACACTTGTTCCGTGCTGACATTCCCAGCGTTCATAGCCATTACCCCTACCCTGCCCAGTTACGAAAATGCAAAATCCATTACCATCAATGCCGACGATTTCTCCACGAGACTTTCGGCGGTCGAACTACGCGGTCATGTCAACATACCGAGCCTGGTCTTCGAGTCTATTCATCACCTGCTGATGGCAATAGTCCGCATACTAAAGACTATCTCCAAGCATTCGGAGTCTGCACAAACCAAAGTCCAATTCTGGAAATTACTTGTTCGATTCCGCGATTATGTCGAGTATCACGACTCACCCGTTGATAAACCCGAGGTATGCTCAACGAGGACGCTGCAGATGGTAACCGTCAAAACTAACCGGCTCTCCCAGGAACTTAGTCACGAAATTCGCGCACTCAGCATCAGACCTATTTCGAAATCGTTCTCCCCTAGCGTACCCTTGGTGGAAACGTGGCCAGGCACCGATCGTGCCCGCAAACGTCCGCGACTGTCCACTGAACATGAATCTGAACCCTCAGACGAAACCTTTCACCACAAAGTCTGCCGCAGAGTAACGTTGGAGCTGACAGGGCGGGCTGTTTCCGACCTCGACGGCCTTAGCAAAACATCCTCTGGACACTTTCAGCGACTGTCCGAGGACAAGCAATGTGCTGCCCTGGAACTGCTAGGCACGGCTGCGTGTCAGCTCGCGCGAGGACCAGGATCGGCACAATGCAGGACCTGTGACAACGACATTTCCTCTATCACTGTTCCCGGCGAAGCCGACCAGAAATTGAGCGAAGAACTGCTCAAGACACTGCTGAACCTCACACAAAGCATAACACGTCAGTCGAAGGCAAGAGTCGTGGCCATGTCCGTCCTGCGATGCATCGTTATGCATGGCAGCTCCAGCAGTGATCTGAAACTATCCCAGACACCTGCTGGTGAGTGGTGCTTACAATCTCTAAAGAGCTCATCGAGGGATCTCCGTGTCGCGGCAGCCCGGACTCTACAGGCGTTCATCCTGAGGAGAAAGAACATCGACGTCTCTCTTACTCGAGAGAACAGAATGACCGCTCTTGAGGTCATGCAGACTCTTTGGCAGAAAAGCGATGCCAGTATCCAGGAAACCTTGGTCTTGGCCCTCACTGGCATGGCTCCAGTGGTCGACGATGATGAAGAATTGAATATCATTCTGGTCAGACTTGTGGAGTATCTTGGCCACAATAATCCGCACATTGTCGGCGTCGTCTACGCAGAGATCCAGCGGGTTGCACAGTGCTTGCAAGTCTCGGTCTGGCTACTGTTTCGTCCATTCTGGCGAACATTAGGGGTTGTCTTTGCTAAATCGCTGACCACCCGACCCAACTTGGCTCAACAAATGTGCGATCTCTTAGGCATGGATATAAACGGGTTGATGGGACACGCGGCGGAATATGCGCTTCCTTACCTGGTCTTGCAGAAAGACCACGCCACCATCGGACGTTTCGCGGCGGCAAACGGCCCCTCCACCACGCCCTTCGAGCTCTGTACACAAAGACAAAACCTCATCGCCATACTATCATTCCTGCTGATTCAGCCGTTTGCAGATGCAGAACATTCAATTACTGCTATCCTCTCCGATATCTCTGCAGAGTTTGCCAAGACCGACCTTGCAGATTGGGTGGCACTGGATTCTATTCAAATTGCCTGCGAGCTGCTGAAAGCCATCGGAGATGGTGGTCAAGGAAAGTCCTCGAGGATCTACCAGGCATTGCAGCTTCTTGCCCAACTGATCGCTCGTCAACGTGGACAATCCTCGGGCTCTCGACGGAGTGATGGTATTGGCCTTTTTCTCGAGAATAATGTTCTCGCGATTGTTACGCATTTTACTGTCCTTCTGAACGACCTCGAAGCGAAAGAATCCAAGGTTGAGAAGCGCAGATGCCTCGCTGCTTTGGGCGAAGTGGTCAAGCTTGGAAAGAGCCGTGTTGTCCGCGCACTGCCACAAATATGTGCTTGCTTGAAGTCTGGGCTCGATGAAATGGATTTGTGCGATGCCGCCTTCTTGTCGTGGGTCGCCATGATCAAGTCCCTCAAGCGAGAAGATTTCGAATCGCTTGTTGACCAGACTCTTGCAATCATTGTCAATAGGTGGGACATCCTAAACAGCTCCTCGCAGCAAGAGGCATATGACCTTGTCGGCTACCTGCTCAAGAACCACACCGATCTCGTTAGAGATCATTACAGTACGATGCCCTCATTGGCCTCCATTCCTCTCTTGTCTAAATATGAGGCCGATCTTGTCACCTTGAAACGTCAGATGGATGAACGACATCAATTGATAGCATTTGTGCACAGATTGCAGGATGAGAACCTGTCTGTGGTGCAACGGGCACTCGATGAGCTGGTGCCGCTCTTGAGCCAGAAGCAAGACTTGCTGCAGCGTTCCATACTACGTGAGCAACCTGATGAGTTTGTTGCTGAGCTGACCCGTGGTCTACTGGACTGCTGCGTCAAGTTCAACTCCTCAAACGATATCACACGGCAGTGTGGCCAATGTCTGGGACGCATTGGTTGCTTGGACTCCAGCAAGATTGAGAATGTGGTGAACCGCAAGTCTATGATAGTCCTGGCCAATTTTGGAAAGGCCGACGAGGTCATCGAATGGATATTCTTCTTTCTTCAACACGTCCTTGTCAAAGCTTTCTTGTCTGCACCGACCACAAGAGCACAAGGGTTTCTTGGCTGGGCGATGCAGGAATACCTCAAGTCCTGCGAACAGGAAAGTCCTACGAGATCAAGCTCCGGAAATCTGGCCTCTCGATTATGGGAGAAGTTGCCCGAGTCTGTTCAAAACACCTTGACTCCCTTCTTGAGCTCCAAATACTTGGTGCAGGAGGTTCGGGCACCGGAGAAAAGCCAGTATCCTCTATTTCATCCAGGCATGCGACATCGAGATTGGTTGCGAACCATCGCGTTGGACTTCCTACATCGAGGGTCGGGAGAGAACGTTGACCTCGTCTTTGGCATCGCTTGCCGCATCATACCCGGCCAAGACACTTCGATACCTGCTTTCCTTCTGCCCTATGCGGTCGTGAACCTCATTGTCAGTGGGGTTGAGCAGAACAGCCACGACATCGTGGCCGAAATTACATCAATCCTTAGCCAGTCCCTTGATGGTCAAGAACGCCGTATTCAGGATGACATCAAGCTGTGCAGTCAGACAGTCTTCGAGATTCTTGATTACATGTCGAGCTGGCAGCAGCATAAACGAAAGCAATACAATATTGGACTGGCAAAATCGGACCGTGGCCAAATTGACCTCCTGTTAGGAAATGCCGCAGAACAGATCCGCAGTATTGACCAGGTCTTGGAACGTATTCCTGCAGATATTATGGCTCGGAGGGCCCTTGAGTGCAAGTCTTATGCTCGAGCTCTGTTCCACTGGGAACAACACATCCGTGAGGTCAAGACAGGCGACAACCAAGCCCAGCTGCAGAGATTGCAGGACATATACGCTCAGATCGATGAGCCAGACGGCATTGAGGGAATCTCCTCCCGCATGCATGTTCTTGATATCGAGCAGCAGGTCCTTGAACACAAAAAGGCTGGACGATGGGCGGCAGCGCAAAGTTGGTACGAAATGCAGCTTGTAGCCAAGCCGGACGATCACGATGTCCAGAAGAACCTGATGGATTGTTTGTCAGAGTCCGGACAGTACGATGTCCTACTCCAGCATTTCGACGCCATCAGAAGTCAGGAGAAGACAACTCCATTGTTGCTTGCTCCTCACGCTATGGAGGCTGCCTGGGCGACTGCCCAATGGCCACGACTGTCGAACTACGTTCAGAAGTGCGGCGTACATGACTTTGCCTCCCATTTGGCAGATATCATGGTGACTGTCGATAACAAGGACGAAGCAAAAGCTCTGAAGCTGGTGAATGAACTATATGCCAACACAGCGGCAGAACTCACACCAAATGCTGTAGCCTCGTTTCAAGCCGGTCATGACATTATGCTCAAGCTACATGTGCTGAGTGATGTCCAGCTCATAACGGCAAGTTCATCAGATGATCGTCTGTCGGTCCTCGACAACCTTCGAGCTCGGCTCAATATTCTTGGCTCAAATGTTGCAGACAAACAATATCTACTCAGAGTACAGCGCGCAATGATGTCTCTGCGTTCAGCAACTTTCACGTCTGATGACGTTGCAGCTTCCTGGCTTTCAACTGCTCGGCTGGCCCGGAAAGCTCGAGCTAGTAACCAGGCTTTCGATGCGGTCTTGAGAGCGTCAGCCTTGGGCGACAAGTCTGCGGCGATTGAGCAAGCGAAGCTCATGTGGGTTGACGGCGACCACAGAAAAGCAATTCGGATGTTGGAAGGCGCCATTGAGTCAGGTGCATTTTCCGGATATGGCTATGTTATCGAGAACGGCTCGGTCACTCAACGACCTCAAAATGAGATCATGTCGAAAGCATACGTACTACTTGGCAAGTGGCTCGATCAAGCCGGGCAGACTCAGTCAGATGTGATCAGAAATACCTTCAAAAAAGCCACTGAACAACACAGCAAGTTAGAAAGAGCCCATTATCATCTCGGCCGCTTCTACAACAGAATTCTAGACTCGGAGAGAGCAATGCCTCCAGGCAAAGAAACCCAACCTTTCCTCACCGGAGAGACTGCTCAACTCGTCATTGAGAACTACCTCCGATCACTTGTCGTCGGCAGCAAATACGTGTCTCAGACGCTACCGAAGGTACTGACTCTCTGGCTGGAATTGATCGATGGTGAATTGCCACAAGATCCCCGGCGTGGGAATGCTCAGTTTCATGCCCACAATGCGGCACAACGAAAACGTGTGATTGAGCGCACGAACAATCACATCAAGAAATACACTGGTCTCATACAGCCAGTTCTTCTCTACACAATCTTGCCACAAGTGGTCGCACGGATTTGCCATGGAAACAAAATCGTGTCGGAGCTTCTAGGTGCTATCGTTGTCAAGGTGGTGAGAGCTTTCCCTCAACAAGCATACTGGACACTCCTGGCTGTGATCGAATCTCAACAAAAAGACCGCGCCGTCAAAGGTCTTGGGCTAATCACCAAAATTTGTGTTGATAAGGACAAGGACAAAGGAAAGGACGGCACGCCGAAAGGACCGTCGGCGAGCGAGCTACGAAACATGTTCAACAGCGGGCAGAAGTTCGTCAAAGAACTACTTCGCGTATCCGAGTATCCGATCGAGGGCAAAGTGTCGAAGATCAGCCTGTCTCGCGAGCTGGGATTCAACCACAAGATCGCGCCGTCAAAGCTGGTGGTGCCGATCCAGGCGTGCCTGATACCCAGCATGCCAACCAACTTCGAAGCGAAGGCATTGCAAGCATTCCGACCCTTTGCCAAAGAACCGGTCACAATCTCAGCGTTTGCCGATGAGGCTCTCGTTCTTTCATCCTTGCAGAAACCGCGAAAACTCACCATCCGGGGCTCAGATGGCATCCTTTACAACGTTCTGGCCAAACCCAAGGACGACCTGCGCAAGGACCAACGTCTCATGGAATTCAATACCATGATCAACCGATCTCTGAAACGCGATGTTGACGCAGCTAAACGCCGCCTGTACATTCGGACATATGCGGTGATCCCACTGAACGAGGAATGCGGTCTGATCGAATGGGTCGACAACCTCAAGACCTTCCGCGACATCATTCTCAAGCTGTACAAGGACAAATCCATCCAGCCCAATTACATTGAGATCCGCAATTTGTTGGACGAGTGCTGCTCGGGTGACCCAGAAAAAGTCAAGATCTTCCCAACTCGTGTCCTGACGAAATTTCCCGCCGTCTTCCACGAGTGGTTCGTCGAGAGTTTCCCCGATCCAAGTGCGTGGTTTGACGCGCGATTGCGCTACACGCGTTCCACAGCCGTCATGTCCATTGTCGGACACGTTCTGGGTCTAGGCGACCGACACGGCGAGAACATCTTGTTCGAGGAGGACAACGGTGGTGTCATGCACGTTGATTTCAATTGTCTCTTTGACAAGGGTCTGACCTTCGAAAAGCCGGAGATGGTGCCCTTCCGGCTCACGCACAATATGGTCGACGCGATGGGGGCGTACGAGTATGAGGGCCCATTCCGACGGTGCTGCGAAATCACGTTGCGGTTATTGCGGAGTAATGAGGATGCGCTGATGACGATTTTGGAGACGTTCTTGCATGATCCGACGACCGACTTTATCAATGTCGCGGGGCGGAAGAAGAAGAGCGTTAATGGCGTGCCGAACACACCGGTGGAAGTGCTGGATGGGGTCAGAGGGAAGGTTAGAGGGATGTTGCCTGGGGAGAGTGTGCCGTTGAGTGTGGGTGGGTATGTTGAGGAGATGATTAAGCGGGCTACGGATCAGGCGAATTTGTGTAGGATGTATATTGGGTGGTGTGCTTTCTTCTGATGAGGAGAATGAACATGAGGATGATACAATTGAAAAGCATGAGCAAATTAATCCTGAGGATTTTCTCGAATTGTGATCGTGATCGCTAAGCGCTTACTGTATGGTTGAAAAGATGCAAGATGGGAGAATGTATTCATGCCTTCTCGTCTTCACTCATCCTGCACAGGTGAAGATGAGAACATGTCGCCTGCTTCCAAATCCGCTTCGCCGTCGCCACCTGCATTCTCGCGCGGGTGCTCATGGCTTTCAGGTTCCAAAGCCTGCTCGGCTGCATCGTTGGGTTCGCTAGCGACATGAGCCTCTGCATTCCTCGTCCCTGCGTGTGTGGACGATGCATGTGCGGGGAGAGCTTCGCTGGAGGATTGAGGCCGAGAGCTTGCGTGTGTGGCTTCATAGTCGGCGAGGACCACGTCAAGGCCGTCGTCGGTGTCATCATCAGGGATCAAGTCGTTGTCTTCGTCCTCTGGAGACGTGTGCGGCGGATTGTTAGACTTGGGCTGTGTCATGCTGGAGTTTGCGCGGGAGTCCTGTTCTGCGAGAAGAGCATCGAGATCATCCATATCTTCAATGTCGTCCTCCTCGTCGAACGGTGAACGTTGGGCTTTGGCACCAGAATTTTGTGCTGAAGGTGACGGCGGGTTCTTGCGAGTCTCTTGCTCTGCTAGTAGCGCGTCGAGATCGTCCTCACCCTCCGAGTCCAGGTCCATTGCTGGTTTCGAGGCGGGTTGCGGAGCCCTAACGGCGCTGTCTTGCTCGGCGAGCAGCGCGTCGAGTTCGTCGTCTTCTGGCAGGACGTCTTCGTTCGCTGCAAGCTTGTTGCTTCCACGCGTATCGGGTACGAATAGAGAATCGTCTTCTTCGGCGGGCTGGACTGTGTTCGTCGCGTCTCTAGAGGCATGTGTGTCGCCGGCGTACAGATCGTCAATTTCTTTCTCTTTCTCTTCCTCTTTCCTCCTCAGCCGTTCCTGGAGATATCCTGGCTTTCCTTCGTCGATCCATTCTTTCCTCATGACCTGCATACGTTTGCTGTGTCCGACCTTCTCGACAAGCTGTAGTCCGTCTGCAAACTTTGCTCGTGGATATAAATTGTCCAGCCATAGTTGGTAGTAGTTCAGAAGTTTAGCGACGTCGTTGAATTCATGCCCTTTGCCCTTTAGGCGCAGTTTCTTGGAGATATTTCCAGATCGTACGAGAGCACGTAGTTTGGGTACGCCTGGTGCAGAGAGCAGTCTAGCTTGTTGTTAGATGTACTGGTCGATCTGCAGTGTATGGAACGCTTACCTTGCTTCGTCGAGTTTGGCAATGGGCTTCCGTTTCTTAGTGATCTTGACTTCCTCGTCCAAGCCGAGGTCTGCGCCGGGATTTTCAACATCTTCAGCTTTGCGTTTCGTGGGTCGAGGGCTCAGGGTCGTTTTGCTGTCACGGGCATTGCGGGCTTTCTTGTCCTTGAAGGGGTCTTCGTCATCTGATGAACCGAAGTCGAACAGTTCGTCCACAGTAGACGACGTTATCGGGTCTGCTGCCATGATTGATTTGAGTCAAGCGCTGTAGCAGGTTCAGGCGCTACGAGATTGTGGTATCTGATATCTGATATCTTGAAGACGCGTCTTGGTGGAATGAGACGCGTCGGAGGTTTGTTAATTGAATAATGCCGACTGGCTACGTCACTCTCCAGCACCAGATACGCTAGTCCCAAAGGAAGCAAGCGTAGAAACTGCGCTTGGCACTTGAAGCTCCGCATGAACTTCAGGTCTTTGATGTTGCGTGCCAGTCGTTGTCGTCGTTGAATGTCGCATTTGCAGCCAAGCCATGGCGGACGAAACAAGAGTGTTCATTCCGCCCAAGCGGATAAACACAGACTATCCGGTAAGTCGACGCATTGTCGCAGAGAAGAAGGAGACTGACCAGGCGGCTTTGTACAGGTTATTGACACTGACCCGTATGTACTTCCTCGATCGACCGTCGCGATTTCACGAACAGCTTGCTGATAATCACCTTGTCCAGACACTGGCGACGAGCCTACGGATATGCAAGACCCGAAGATTGGACATATGGCGCCGGCATGGCTGCAATTGGACCTGCATTCATGCTTGTGACCGAACGATATGCACCCTCATTCTCCGGCAAAGGCGCCTTCGGACCTGTATTCCGACTGAGCTGCGCCGTTGGACTTTTGGCTGGTGCTGGGTTGGTATATCAGAGGAGTTGCCGTACGTCCAAACCCTGGGAAAGAAATGGTGTCTGGACATAGGACTAACATGATGGTCGCTCACAGTAAGGTTTTACGGCTGGACAGAAAATGACCGAGAGGTCAAAATGGACATGAGGGAGATGGTAGACAAAGTGAAGAAGGGAGAGCCTTTGTACGGCAAGACCGGACTCACAACGTACATGCAAGGTGTTGCTACGCGAAACAGCCGGTTCAGTGCCCTGATGGCCAACGTTGTGCCGTGGGCCAACTTTGTGAACCATGACCAGGTAAGTCGAGGTCAGGTCTGCACGTTGAAGGGAACAAAGCTGATGTTTGATGATACAGCACGGTGTGGACACTGCGAAGTATTACCAACAGGCCGAAAGGGAGTTGGAAGCAGACAAAGTATCAGGTGGTCGGTGAAAGTGAACACACTCTCTGATCGATTTCAGAAAGCGACGACACGCGATTGAGAAAGCACAAGTGTTGCTGTGCTTCTCCTGGTTGTACATACAGCATGGAAAAGAGGAGTCATTCAGGTTGATATGCACGTGATCTTTGGCAAGGTCTTCACAGCCTCGAGTTCCTCAGTCCAGTTTATCCCCCTGCACGTTTTTCATTGTCAATGATGCTCAGGCCAGGATGTTTCGCAGTGAGGAGTCTATCATCTTACTCTTGCTCACAACGGTTCCATGCATGAGTGGGGCGCCCTGGGAACAAAGAACCTTCTCACCGTCTCGCGTCTTTCAACGCACTTCCATCTAACCAACACGGACGACTAAGCAACGACCTATCGACGACTAAGCGACGCGATACTTGCTCGTCGCCGAGACTATTGCCAAGGAGCAGCCCACGAATTTCTGCTCACTTTCATTCAGACTGAATCCTGGTTCTTCCTGCATCTTTCGTCCGCTGCTATCACTCCTTTCATACACAGTTCGTCCTGACTAATCCTTGCAAACATGAGAGCAGAAATCAGAGCAGTCACTACAAGCAAGACCAAGTATGCGGCCATCGACCCAGACTACCGCTCCGAGTTCTGGAATGACAGTACGTTTTCATTCCAACAGTGCGATTTCGAACTCGACTAACACAGGATTTGTACCGCAGAAACCGAAGCCAGCGAGGTCTTCTTCAACCCATCCATAACCACCGGTCAAGGTACACGCCAGCTCATCGCTATCGCCGAGAAAGGTCTCGCAGAGTTCTCACAGACTCTCGGAATCGCGTCTCGCAACGTCACCTCGCTCCACAAGGGCGTCCTGCAAGCCAAGATCAATGCCTACAATCACAATGCCGAGGCAGCACGCGAGGGTATTACCGACAACCTAGTCGACGTGGACAAAGCTGGAAGAGCCTTCGTGGGTCAAATCGAGTGCGAGCGCAAGTGTGGCGCGCTGGCAGCTCATCTTGTCCAGAAGTTCGAGCAGTTGCAGAAGATCGCGATGACTGTTCTAGCGGAGCAGACGGCTCATGGAGATATGGTGATGAAGAAGGTGGACTCGCTCAAGAAGGTGACTATCGGTATCAAGTGCGTCGACAACGTCTGGCCAGAGATCATTCTTGGTATCCAACAGTTGAAGCACATGACGGACGCTGCGGACGCGCACAGAAACACTCTCATGCCTTCTCTTGGTGGTACGGGAATGAAGCTGATCGAGATGGAGGTCGAGAAGTCCGTCGGAGGAGGGGATGAAGACGATGATGCCACTGTCGCTGGTGATGAGGACGATGATGCCGAGAAGCCGCGTGTGTTCTACATCGTCGACGCCGAGGAAGCGCCTGAAGCTGAAGCAGAGGCTTGAGATTTGAAGCATGAAGAACTTGCCCGGAAGACGTCTTGGAGTATGGCGCACATGGCTTAGCTAGTGGATGTGATGCAGTCATCATCACGGACTGCTACATACGAATCCAATGAGGTTGAATAACTTGTCTTTCGTTTAGTTTGTGGTAAAGCGGAACGCGGATGTCCCCGACGAACCCCCCAGCAATATCGTGGGCCTTCTCGCCCTGGCTTCACGTTGCCAGACCTTTCTGTCCTTCTTGTCGTCCAGGCGGATCATCTTGGACGACGTCTTTGCAACGTCATTGGTGCGGTCGTTCGCCTGGTAGAAACGACGCTCCACCTGCTCGTTGAAATTGACGCGCTTCTTGCGCCTGTTCGCATCCCCGGTGCCGTTGTTGGCGCTGTTGGAAAGGGCAGACTTCAAAGGCGTATTGACTTTGGTATTTCGTTGAGTATGACTGGTGCCACGAACTGTCCACGCTATAGACGAGAAGATCGCCCGACCCAAATCTGACATGTCGTCGTTGTCGTCTTGAGACGGAGAGGCCGCCCGAAACTTCGACGGTCTTGCTGATGTTGACGACTCTGCCCCAAAAGCATCGTTGTGTGAACGCTTCTTGTCATCGGCGTCGTCATCGTCAAGACTTAGTCTTCGTACGCCAGTGTTGATGGGTTGCATCTCGATGCCGTCCACATCAATAGGTTCGGACCTTGAGTTTACCATGATGGGCGTTGGGAGTATGCCGGGTATCGTATATGGAGAACAATGGTGGCGGTGGAGGTCGTCAGGGAGGCAGATCGCTTGTGGAGGTACGATGAGAATGGGGAGAGTGTCAACTGCAGTTTGCAAGAGGAAGGGGCTTATATACCGAGGAGGATGCCAGAGGCTTCGATCAGGTCCTCATTGTAGGTCCTCAGGAACCGACCTTTTGCTTTGGTCACCGTTAGCAAAACCGGCCCCGAACCATGGAACACATTCTGCGCCCATCTTGGCGTTTATGTCTGGGTGGTTATGACTGAAGGTGCATAGCTTGCCTGTTATGATATCTTTCTAGCCTGCATGATTTCGCTGCTGAAGGTGGAATGATAGGCTTCTTCTACCAAAGACTGCTGTGGACTTGCAGTATGTGCCTTGGCACCGTTGTGACCGTTGCCCCTTTTTCCTCTCAAGTACCTTGGCAGGTTGCCAAAGGACTTGACTTCCTCACGAACGACCGCAAAGGATGTTGTCGGCCAAAGCTCCATCTTGCTTCGGCACACGCTGCTAAGCCTATGTTGTGATCCTGTTCTTCGTCGATGTTCTTCCCTCCGTCAGCCTGTGCATCTTGCTTGGCCTGCCGTCCGACATCCTCTAGAAACGTCTTGTACTCGTTTATCGCTTTGATGACCTTGTCGAATTGCCAGCCCTGGGCACAGCTGCTCCAAACTTTGTATTCCCGGACCGGCTTCGGTGACACACTGCCTGTGGTTATGCCGTCAGCAACGTCATCAGCGCTGTCTTCCGTCTCAGCGTAGAAATCCCTCCACCGTTTACTCCTCATTGGAAAGATCTCCTGAATGTGCTTAATAGCAGTCTGGCTCAAACTCCGCATCCTCTCGATGTGTTTGAAGATTCCGGCATACTTTCGCTCGAATTCCGCCATGATGTCGTAGACCTCGCGCATGGCCTGGAGGTACACCTCTGCAACTGGCCGGTGGCGGGGAACCGAAGAGTCCAGACTCGATTCTGACGCCAGTTCATTGCTGTTAGGGCAGATCGTCGGTTGAGGCGCATCATCCTTACTCTTCATAGACCCTGATGATCTCCTTGAAGCCTCCTCATAGGCAAAATGGATGACACAAGAACAATATGTTCTGGCTCTGGCCTTCTTCAAGCCATGTTCACGGCACTTGATGTTCTCCTTGAGTTTCTGCACCTTTTTGCGCCAGGCCTTACTCCCGGTGCCATCGTCCCCAACGTTTGACATTCCAAAAGAAACCTTTCCGCTATCTTTGGGAGCGGCTTCTTTGTCGAAAAAGCAGACTTCACTGACTTCAGCGAAGCGAACAGATGTCTGCCTTTGAAAAGATTTCAGCTGATCACTAGGCCCTTTCCCGAGATTTTTGTTGGAGATAGTGTTGGGAATACCGCAGTGGCTTTGGGGTCGGCTTGCTTTCCGTCTGGTCACAGACAAGTCCGAGGTCTTGATGAGCAGTCTTGGGCATCATACCAGTGGCCATCTTGGCTACGATTTGCAAGATTGCGGACGACGTGACTTGTGCATCGTACATGTTTTGAGCACGTTCCATTCGTGAAATGTAATCGTTGAGGGCTGGCGTGTAGCCATATCTGACGGCCATCATCTTCGAGTGTTGCATTTCCATCTTTGTCTCCTACGAATATGCCAAAGTAGGGACAAAAGCTGTGTATGTTATTTCGGTGCAAATGTGCAGAGGATTCTGTAGCGGCATGAATGGGAAGATATGTGAGTAGTGAATTTCTGTTCATCTTCATGGTTCTTTAGGCTCGCGAGGTCCTCGCCCATTCCTGGAGTAAGTGAGGACCTGGTTTGGAACCAGCACGTGGATCTGCCCGTTTGCGAGCTTTTAAGGTGGCAATGTCTCGACTTCGATCGAGACAGGCTAACATAAGAGATAGGGACCGCCATGTCAAATCAAAGCCGATCGACTATCGCAGTTATCACTGTTGACGTCGATGGACTCGTCCTGTAGCACATTCTCGCATGGTTTCATGTGCGAAAGTTGCCTCAGGCAGATATCTTGGTCTACCCTTCGCGGTCACGTCTAGCTCCACTGGTTCCATGTTATTGCAGCATGCAATCGTTCGGTACTGAGCCTTCAGCGACCGAAGCTGCAAATGCGCAGAGGCTGGATGGAGTGCCAGATGGTGCACATACCATATACAACCCATCATGTGGTTTGGTAGAGGTGTTGTTGGTGACCAGTTTTTTTGGTCTGTGAGCTCCCGTGGTCTGGTTGTAGAAGAGGAGAGGAAGACTTCAAGCTGCGAACCACTGGACAGCTCTCTTTTGTTGAACGTGCTGTTGCTTGCCACGTTAGGTACTCGGCATTTATGGCGCTGCGGAACATGCTATCTGACGTACATTTGCCAGGTGTGAAGTGAAAATCTGACATGATCTAGACGTAGGTACAATAAGGCAAAAGCCTCACCTGATGGAGTGTTGTCCACGCGACAGAAAAAAGCATGTTGCTGGTAGCAATCAGATTATGCAGATAGCCGAAGTCTGTTGATACCCTTCATTCCCTTTTCAGGCAGGGTGTCAGGGTCTCGCGTCATCGCTGGAGAGCCTAGGGTGCCTGTGGGGGCCCTGGCCTCCCGGAACGCCCCAAACAGGAGGTAGGCCACGCAGGCAAACGTTCTGGCCTGGCCTAGGGGAAGCTCTGTGAAATGCAACTTCTGCACCACTAAACACTCCGTGCCTTTTTCCCACCATCATAACACGGCACGAACATTGGTGGCACTGCTGAGAAAGCCACCAAACGCCAGCCATGAAGAGATGGCCTCCACATTTCGGGATCATTGTACTAAGTAGAATCAGATGTGAGTCCTCGTTCAAAAGTACTAATGTTGACTGAGCCCCTCTTGTCGTCAGGCTCTTTTCAATGATGAACAGCCACTTGCCCGCCAGTGATCCTTATGGCTTTCAAACTTGACACGACCGAGACGAAAGTCACGGTCACGAGCGTCGTAGACTCGGCACCTAATTCTCTGTCGCTCGAAAATGGGATCCAACGGCCGGAGCAGAGGCCCTGGCAAGCAAACCTTGCTATTCTGGCCGGGGTGCTTATTCCCACCATCCCTATCCTCGTCGTCTCTGGCGCTCTGCTTGGCCTCCTCTTCACCACCGCATCGACCTAAATCCAGGTCATCCGGAGCTGCGGGTTACTGCGGCCAACGTCGACAAGAACATCACAGACTGGATATCGTTAATACGCAAGGAGGGCGGCGAATGGGCATATTATGTCGAGTACAATCCATCGACCCTTACGACCATTGCTTCTTGGACCAGCCGGATTCTGCCGTGGTGTGCGTCTTCCATCATGGCCCTCGTTGCGTTCTATGCAGCCAGGAATATTGTCTTGAAGAGCCACCGAGGTGATGGCTCAGACTTACCTAATCCAAAACAGCTCACGATCCTGATCGACGTCTTGAAGGGATCTGGCTGGGGTCCCGTGAAAGACACAGTCTTGCATCGGTATCGAACGAGAGAGCCACTGGTAGCACCCTTGCCGGCATCGACCATGGTCCTCTTCGCCATCACTCTACTTGGGTGAGTCACTCATCTGTACCTTCCTGTATGTACGAGTATAGCTAACGGTCTCTGGCAGGATCATCATTCCCATCCTTGACAGCTGGTTCGGCGTAGCAACGACGGCTCCCGTCGTGACGCAGCTCTACCCTCGATCCTCTGAACACTCGTTCGGGAGGGCGCTGTCCAGCGCGTATTGTCCAAGCGGCCCGAAAGCGGGCAACTCGTGCTTACGCTCACCTTATAACGAAATATTCTGGCCTTGTAGCGTTTTGAACTATTGGTGCTATCCTGTGGCTACCCTCTATGGCCTTGGCGAAGCATCCAAGACCGCTCAGGGCGTCTCGACGCTCAACAAAGTCTGGAATTATACCGATAGCTCAGGGACCACTTACTATTACTTGGGTAGCCCGAGTCAGAGTGCAGTCATTGACTATAAGGCCCACACCATTGCCACCAGGACGCAGTGTGCCCCCATCACGAAAGAATGCTACGATACTGACTACGAGGACACCGGGTATGGCTCCGAGTTCTTCAACTGCACCTCTGACTTTCGTGGCTCGATATACAGTAGCATCCTGCAAGACACCTCGATGGATGTGTTTCCAAACGTCGGCATCGCGTTCTCACAAAACCCTCAGCTGAGCGTCGCAGGGGACTTGGTTTACGGACCCAATGCTGATCTCCAAGCAGAGAGGAGCAACTACTCATTCCCCGAGATATATTCGACAAATCCTCTATATTTTGGTGCTTGGGCGGCAGGTTACCCCGTTGCCGATCCTTCGACTGTGCAGAATAACCCTTTTGGCAGCGACGACACAGGCGTGTACTGGGTCGAGACGATTGGCGATCCTGGTGGCGCCATCTGGCAACTCAACTGCTCCACCACGGTCTACGAGGTTAGCTACACGTGGATCGACGGCGCCGTGCACACGTTCAACGTCTCTGAAGCCGCTGCCGACATGGCGGCCCTCCTAGGCGCACCGTTCGGGTACGCCGCGAATCTGAGCAGCGTGGGGTTTGCATTGGCCTCTGCGGCCGAGATCGCCTCCACGGTCAACACTTCCGTCGGTCTCGCGGCCGCATTTGCGCATCAGATGGACAAAAATCTCTTGGCGTATAGCGTCGGCGTGCTGGACCCGGCCCTGAACTTGCTTGAGCAAGGTCGCAACTCGACGTTACGCGTGGCTCGCGTGCCAATCGTGCCGCTGTATCTTCTCTTAGCCACCAAAGCCATATTCGTGATTGTGGTGCTAGTCCTCGCGATCGGGGTCTATTGTTTTAGTCATCCGAGCGAGACAGAAGCAGTGCGCGCTGCCCTCAGTGCAAAGGGCCTGGCCGAAGCCCACTTCCAGTCCCCGGGAGTCATGCAGGCCAACGTCGTGAAGGAGGTCCAGAGCCGTCTCGCGACCGTCAGGGATGACGGTCCGGCGCCTCATGACTCCGTGGTTAAGGAGAGCGACGACCTTACCTCCCAGCCCAGGCTCCGGCACGCCGCTACAGCACCTGTCCAGGGTACGGCACCGGTGCAGGAAGCTAAAGTGGGCCTGCTACCAACCCTGGACGGCAAGTGGCAATTTGTCATGGTCGCGAATGGCGTGTGGAATAGTATCAAGCCTATCGTCCAAAATATTGTGGTCTCGGATGCCAGCGCTGGCGGACTGGGGGATGTGGGACAGGTCATTAATGCGTGGAAGTGAGCTGATACCCTCTATATGTGCACTGTAGATGAATAAACACGAACTTGAATGAATAAAGATGCACCATTCTCTTTCCGTCTTTTATCATAAGGGACTTCCCTACTGTCCTCCATATTGGATACCTACAGTGGACATAGTGACATACTTGGTAATGATCTTGATTACCCCTGAAACTGATGAGTGAATATAGGAAGGTTTAGCGAAGCAATTGCGGACAACATTGCATGTCCGTCACCCTGAAGCATTCAGAGACCAGAGAATGGACTGATGGTATAGCAATTCCTCAGTATGATTCCGAGGCCGGAGCTCTTTCTTCTGTCGACCCTGCTCACATATCCAGCATGGGCAGCAGAAACAAGGTCCTCGGGGTCAACACGACCTCTCGGCGTCGGCCCTGAATGTAAGAAACATTCCTTCTGAAATCATACACTATATTTACCCTTCCCGCGACTGGAACCTGTCATGCTTTGGACGCGTGGATCATAAGATGCTAACAATGGTCGGTAGTTGCGAAATTCTACAAAAAGTCCGCTGCAGACACTTTCACATGCATCTCCAACCCCTCCATAATGATACCATACTCTCGAGTCAATGACGACTTCTGCGACTGTCCGGACGGGTCGGACGAGCCTGGCACGGCAGCTTGCTCATACCTGTCTCCTCTATCACCTCCGCAGTACCACCCTGGCCCAGACACGGTCGCTGCCTCGATAAACAGCACATTGGCACTACCGGGCTTCTACTGCAAGAACAAGGACCATGTTCCCTCCTACATCCGATTCGAGAGTGTCAACGACGGCAAATGTGACTACGATGTATGCTGCGACGGCTCAGACGAGTGGGCACACGTCGGCGGAACAAAATGTGAGGATAAATGCAAAGAGATCGGAAAGGAGTACAAGAAGCACGAAGAAGCACGACAGAAGACCTTGAGAGCGGCACTGAAACGAAAGGCGACGCTAGCAACCGATGCAGAGAGACTGAGACGTGAAGTCGAGGCACGCATCGGCTCCCTCGAAATAACACTCCAGGCACAGCAGGTCAAGGTCAAAGAGGCGGATGATACACTTCAGGATGTTGAGCGGAGAGAGAAATTGAGAGTCGTTCGAGGCGACGCCGCAGGCAAAGGAGCCGGCAAGCTCGGCGTCTTAGTCGGCCTCGCTAAGTCGAGAGTGACCGAGCTGCGTACGCACCTGGAGAAGACAAAAGCTCAAAGGGATGCCATGGTCAACCGGGTCACCGAACTTGAAGGCCTCCTCACAGCCCTGAAGGAAGAGCACAACCCCAATTTCAATGACGAAGGCGTCAAACGCGCCGTACGAGGCTGGGAAGACTACGCAGCTCGAGAAACTACCGACGACTGGACCGAGGCCGAAGACCGCGACGTGGCATCCGTCCTCCAAGAAGACTCCGAGTCCAACGGGATCAACTTTGCCGAATTCGAGAATGATGAAGGCGAGCCCGAATCCGACGTCGCAGCCCTGTACAACCTCAGCGCCTACCTTCCCGACGGTTTGAGACTGTGGCTCGACGAGAAAATCGTTTCACTCCGCAAAGTTCTCGTGGAGAATGGCGTTCTAGCAGATACAAACGCGTCATCGGCTCCTCAAGCAGAAAGCAAAGCCGTGCAGAACGCGAAAAAGACGTTGACCGACGCCGAGCGCGATATACGTACCACGGAGAACGATCTCAAGCGCCACCGCGATGACCTGGACAAGGATTACGGTCCGGACGGCGGCATTTTCCGTGCCCTGAAGGACACATGCATTTCTAAGGACTCGGGCGAGTACGAGTACGAATTATGCTTCATGGGGTCGACGAAGCAGAAGTCCAAGAAGGGCGGTGGCAATACGGGAATGGGCAACTTTGCGGGGTTCGAGACAGAGTGGGTCGATGAGAATGTCGCTGCTGATGGCAAGGGCTTGGGCACGGGGGTGAGGGTGGTGATGAAGTATGAGGGTGGACAGCATTGTTGGAATGGGCCTGCTAGGTCGACGAAGGTTATTCTCGCTTGTGCGGAGAAAGATGAGATTTGGAAGATCAGTGAGAGTGAGAAATGTGTTTATCGCATGGAGGTTGGTACGGCGGCTGTTTGTGAGCAGCAGGTTGCACAAAAGGCCGGCGAGCAGGGTGGAGATGGAAAGAAGGATGAACTGTGAAAACTAGCATATCGCACCGACCCCTTAGACGAAGTGTAACCACAAGCCGTATACCTCTTAACTCCCAGTCTCCCATGATCTTGACTGTCAAGCAGAAACTCTCCTTGCCAACCGTCTTAAACTCAAAAGCAAAAGCAAAAGAAAGTACTAACAACATTCTGACTCCTTACTGACAACGCAGAACTCCCTTCCCATCCGTCCAACATCCAATGAAAAGCTTGCACACCGTTCTCGTTCTCAAGCTCTCATTCTAGATCGACGCCATTGTCCCATCTCATCTCTCGATGTCATCCTCGCCCATCTCTGGCTGCAACCGTGCTCGTCGTTTCAACAGTGCTTCAAGGTCTGTGTTGTAGAACCTGTTCGAAGTATCGCGTTTCATGCCGCTCGAACCCGTGCCGGTCGCCATGCTGCCGCTGCCGGTGCCGGTGCTGGCCAAGGTCGACGAGCTAGACGAGGTACTGTTTGCAGTTGTTGATGTTGAGGAAGTATTGTATGAACTGGTCGAACTAGAAGATGTAGTGAAGCTTGTGCCGCCGGCTGTTGGGCCTCCAGTTGTACTCGAGCTGTTAGACATAGCGAAAGGAGCTGTGGCACTCATTGATGTCGATGTAGTCGAACCATTGTTTGAGGAAGTTGCAGTCGTCAGCGATGTTGGATTTGACGTCGTCGTAAAGTACGCGGAGGTCGTCGAAGTCGTCCCATTGCTGCTCAAAGTAGGCGAAGCTAAAAGGCAATCGCACGCTGAGGTGGCTTCCGTATCATTTCCACAATTGCCCAGCCATGTTGGGAGTGTCTGGTTCGCCGAAGGCATCGTGAATGTGGGACAAAAAGTCATCGCCATACTGTAGTACCTTGTGTCGTAGACATTTCGCAAGCAGTCGTCCTGGTTACACACCAACGGCGCAGTCGAAGTGGTGGTCATTGTTGTAATTGAAGCTTGCATCGGAGACGTACTGGTCATCGTGGTGGTATTGCTCCCAGTGTAGCCGGAACTGGTGACGGAGATACTGGTGAAAGATGTGGTTATCATGCCGCTAGATGGAGTTTGACTGGTGCTCGGGGAGGCAGAGGTCGAAAGCGACGTGTCAAGAGAACTTGTCGTTGTGACCGGTGTCGTGGCGGGCTCTGGTGTTGGGGGTACTGTAACAATGGAGTCCGATATCGAAAAGATTTGGACGAGAGAGCTTGTCGTCGAAAGCGTTGTGTATAGCGCGCTTGTAATTGTCACCGAGGTCGTAGTATAGACAGTAGAGGTTGTACTGCTCGAGTCACCGTCATCTGCAACTGGCGCTGTCAGGTCGGGGTTCACAGTTCCACCGTCGGCCTCGATTCTAGCTGCGCAAGCTTGAGCTCCTATCGCACCAACCACGACCGGCTCACAGGTTCCAGCATCCGTTGGCGGATCTGGGAAACCAGCCCAAATCACTCCATCGCAAGAGTAAAAGCTTGCTTCACCAACGTCATCTGTATTCCATTGCAGAATACCATCGTCAAAGGAGAAGCCTGTATTGACCTGATCAACAGAAGCATTGAATGCCAGAGGCGCGAGTGCTGCTGAAGAAGCTCCTAGCGGTTTGGCAATGGCTGCGGAGCCACCGGTCAAAAGCGACCCGTTAACCAAACCGAGCGGTGACGCTGAGTCACAATTATCCTCAGAAACAGAGTTTTGTCCTGTTGGTACTGCTGAAGCACTGGCGTCCAAGGTGTTCGTTGGAGACAAATCAACGACGGCTATGGGTGGCGCTGAAACGGCTGCAGTTGCGGCTGCTGAATCTGAGTCCTGGCGTCGAAGGACACGCATACGTTGTGCGTTGAGGTTAGCCAGAGCGAGGATGAGATTGCTGCCGGAAGGGAGCGATGTAACGATTCCAGCAGGAAAGTCTTGTCCTATAGCCAAAGCGGCAATAGTCGGGGTGGAAGAGGTGACAGGCGTGCTCGAAGGGCCACTGGCGCTCGTCTGTGTTGAGGTAGGCACGCTCGGGGAGTTCACGGATGAGGCAAGACCCGTGGATGAGGCGGAACCAGTCGACAGGCTTGAGGTCATAGATGACATCCCAGGCGAGCTTGTGATTTGATTCATTGAGGACGTGGGAGTTGATGTTAAAATTGGACCTGCTCCGTTTGTAGGTGGCGTGACTGTCGTGGTGATATAGGATAGTACCACAATCACGGTAGGCGCGTCGGTGATCGTGATGGGATGTCCATCGTGGAAAGGATCGATGACAGTATTGCCGTTGATGTACTCGCTGTAGTATACTGGTTGCTTCTCGACTAGTACGGTCCCAGAGATGGAACAAACGCCCTGCGGCCCGTATATGACCTCAACGAGATCGCGGGCATACGCGTAACTTGAAGTAGCAGGAGCCACCTTCAGGAGAACATATGGCAAGATCTGTTTCCACATCTTCGCGGATGTCGGTGTCAGCAAAGCCAGTGGGTTCTTGTCTTGGTCAATAGCTTGATGTATATAAGCGAAAACGAGAGAAATAACAAATACAGCAGCGGAGGCGGAGGGAGGCGCGCCATAAACATGCTGGAGAGTACATTCTTATGGCGCGTGCTCTCACAGTTATATGCGACGCGCTCACAGGTCAAGGCCACAATGGAATGCGAAACTCGAGGTGGGAGCATTGACAATAACTTGCAAATCATCAGCTTTATCACAGGCATTCAACTGTTCAAGGGCATGTACGGCCACAGTTGGCGCCACGAAGTATCCTCTGTCTCAGCATTCGACTGTAGCATCTAGTGACTGTAGCCAAATCAGCTTGAAGAAGAGGTTCTCGATCAAGAAAAGCAGGATGCAGATTTTCATAGAGTGATCATTCAAGGGGTTAATCTTTTGATAACCTTTGTGGAATGTGACGCTTAAATTGGGTACCGCGGAGGTAAATGCGACAACCATTAATCGGCGGCAAAGGCAGACTTGCTTCGAGCAGACTCGGGCTGCATACACCTTTTGCTGTTTTCGTCAACATGCACCCTCAAGCATGGGGATGCTGCTTGTGGTGACTCATGTTGTCGCTGACACCGGGAGCCTCGCCCAAAGTGCCATCACGACCCTCACACCTTGCCCATCAGCTCCGTGGTCGAAGGCACCGTCACCAATCACCGTCACCAGCCAGTATCAGCCAGTATCCACGTGCATAGCTCAGTGGCTTTGCGTGAAGAGCCAATGTCAAACATGGTATTCTTATTCAACAAGGGACTTTGTGTCTACTGTGATCCCGTGCCCATTGGCCTTGCCGTTGCTGGTGACAACTGTGACCAGGACCGAACAGCCCGTCTTGATCTCTCGCTCTTCCAAGACGATCACAAATACCAAAGTCACGTCGGCGGTTATCTTGGAACGGAGCAGGCCTGTCAACATTACTTCGACGGTCTCCGCGTACACCACGGTCGTCAAGGAGTGGAGCGCCTTGTACCGAGATCTCGGTCCTCTAGCTATCTTAGGGTACGAAGGCAGTGGCATCTGCACTCGGTGTCAGGGGCTTGGCGGTCAGAACGTTCAGTTGGTCCATGCCACTGAAGAAGAAGAGTTCGAATCTGACGATAACGTGCCACGAACGTTGCGAGGTCTGGATGTATGATCCCACTCCTACTTTGTCGCGGACAGCGTCTGGGGAGTGCTCAACACAAACAACGGTTTCGCAGGCTGGCACTTATGTCTTCGAGTTCCTGCAACATGCTCCGCCCGCCACCTTCCAGATCGCTCCCCGGACGATCATCTACACTATAACAGGGCACAGTGATACTGTAGCGACAACCACTATCACGGCTACGCAAACCGTGGTACCGGGCCAAAATTGGACGGCTAGTGTAACGAGAACCTGCGCTCTACCAACAATCATTGACTTCCAAATCACTGTATACAAAGAGATCATCCAAGTCATTTCCCCTTTTGTCGTGCCAAACGAAATGTAAGTGAACCACGATGCCTAGTCGATCTCCAAAACCCATTGCTGCTAATAACCTTCAACCAAATGTTCAAAACCTAGTGCTAACGTTTTCAGTGCCAGTCAAATTCCACCTCCAGCAACTTGGTCAGAAAGAGTCCAGCCTTTTACGACTCCATCGGCGAGTCGCCCGTGGGGTTCCACCAGCATTGCATCTGGTCTCGTCTCGAGTGGAGACCCAAGACCAATTGAGGCGTCCAGCTTTGCAAGCACTGATTCTAGCTCAACATCATACGCCACAGGAAAAGCCTTGAAATCATTACCTGCCAGCAGCGGCATTGTCGATTCCGTAACAGCCCAGACGTCTTTAACCAGCGCTCCAGCGCTAAACAGCTCGACTATCTTTGTCCCTGACGCTTCATATAGTGTTCCCACTCTAGCCTCCAGTGCGTCGAGTTCTGGATCTCCCAGCACCGTGTCTACTCTGACTAGCCACTTGGTGACGAAGTCTTCTGTCTCCCCGGCCACTACTTCTAGTACCACTAGTGCGGGTACTCCTGCTACATCGTCGACGGCTAGCTCCAGTGCTTCATATTCCGCCTCGTCGTCCTCGGGCATGATGACGATCGTAAATCTCGACAGCACACTGAGCGGTACCGATTCTACGACAACCACTACGAAGACTACTACGTCGGTTACAGCAACGCCCTCAGCGTTTCAAATGAAGATCGTTGACAACGTGCAGATGAGGCATCGTAGACAGGCCGTTTTACAACGATACGTCACCTTCGACAGCGACAACGTAGGCATTTCGACTCAGGACGAATCATCGGGCACCTTCTTCTCTTGGGGATCCGATGGACAAATAACCACGGATACAGGGATGCTGGTCGGCAGTGAGAGTTCGGCAGCGAGTTCGCGCCTGATTCGGTCGCTCATTTCTCCGGACGGATTCAAGAATTGGTCATTGCCTTCTCAGACGATTCATCTTCAGGGCGCCGGTGCTTTCTGCTTTATTTCTGGGGAGATCTATGTCATGCTAAGCACTGCTAGTTGTGAAGAATCTATTGACCTTGTTCAAGCTGGTGAGCCTTCCGAGTTTTCTAAAGTCATGCAAGTTCAATGGTGCTGATGATTATATCCTTTAGACCCAAGTCAAGCTACCACGTCGTCCACATTGATCACAGTGTCTATGTCAAACGCCACAAGTTCAGTAACCACAATCTCAAGCAATACCACATCCGCTTCCACGACTGGGAAGTCGGCATCGACGTTCACAACGTCTACCCACTTCACAACCGTCGACGGAAGTACAATTGAGAGTACTACTACTGGAATCACTGTCAGTAGTGAGAATGCAACAACTGCAACCAGCGCGAGTACGATAAACCCACCCAGTCAAAGCACTACTACGACAGCTGATAATAGTACCTCTACAGCCAGCAAAGGCACTACGACATCTAGCCACAAAATGACAGCTAGAGCAAGCGATAGCACAACTACAACGAGCCAAAGTACGATTACAAACTCAACCATAGCCATCAACACCACGACAACCACAGCCATACCGAGCACTACCACAAGCGTACCCACAAGTACAACGACAACCACAACCATATCGAGTACCACGGTAGGCCCGACTACGACTAGTGCTACGTCTATATTCACGACAACGACGACGACGACCGACATCACATCTACCACCACCGACAGCACAACAACAACTATCAGCAGTATACCGCCCTTCACCAATAGCACAACGACCACCGGTACCATAACGAGCACCACCAATAGCACAACGACCACCACCGATAGTGCAACGACCTCCACTACGACTACTACTGGTTCTACCACCACACCAACTTCAAACAGTGCATGTATTGAGGTTTCCACCACCAGCACTTCTGGTTATACATACACCTTCGAATCGATATACACTGGTTATGGAAGTAAGTGATTCACGCTTCATAAGAACCCTATCGAGGTCGCTTTGTTATCGAGTCTTCTTTCTGCAAGCTGGTGGTCGGATTTTGCGAATAAAGTCGTATCGCAAGAGAGCCAGTTGCGTTGCCTTTATAACAAAACCCCTTACATCAACCTCTTTCAATCGCTGCGAGAATGAGACCAGTACTAACACTCTAATAGCGAGGACAGATCCCGGGACCTACTCTAAAAGTCTATCTGTTCTCTTTCCTCCGCTCACCACCATGATCTCTGGGAACGTATCAACTTGCGACGCTGTCCAGCAGTGCGTGAACATCGCAGTCAGAGATCCAGTTGTTTACGATGCCATTGATCTTCACTTTTCAATCTCGAACAGTACCTGGGTTTGCGTACAATAGACTACCGCCTTAATTATGATCCCAATGCTCACATGGCCATTACAGACTCGGATGTGGCGAACGTTTTTGGATATATTGCATAAACCTATGAGGAACCAAGGCTTCATGCAAGACAGTCCTGATCTTCTCCTCTAAATCTTACTGCTGTGACCTCCAGGCCGCCGAAGAATGGCGTAGCCGTTAGAAAGGGCTACCCTCCCGTCACCTTTGACAATAGTCTCGAAGTTAATATGCTCGAGGTCAGTATGAGTCGATGTCTTCCACATTCTCGTTTCGAGAATATCCCCCGGGTACACAACGCTTTTGAATCTGGCCGTGAATGACTTGAAGCGACTAGGGTCAGACCCTCCTAGTTTCTGTAAGATCCCATGGGCTGCTATGTTCCACGTGCACAGACCCTGGAGTATCTTCCCCTTAAACCCAGCCCTCTTCCCGAACTCACCGTCTGCATGTAGTGGATTGTAGTCTCCACAGAGACGATATAACGCAGCTTGCTCTGGTAGTGTATTATATAGATGGACGGCATCTGGTTTGGTTTCAGGCACCTTGATAACAGGCTTACTCTGTCCTCGCGGCCCACCATATCCACCCTGACCTACACAGAATGCAGTGGAAGACATCTTAGTGTATACGGTATTCGTTTTGACATCCAAGAGCGACTGCTCTGCTTCAAGGATCATATTTCCGCCTCTGTCATACACACCGAGTACCTTTCCCCGGATTTCCAGGTCCAGTCCTTCAGAGCTTGTGGGCAATGGGCGTACAATCTCAATACCTCGTTCCCCATCGACTGACCTCTGCGGATCTGCAGGGGGCACGCCTGGTACAGGAGTCGTAGTTGTCCGTTGAATAAAGTCGAAGACATCATGGTCGGTCTGCTTGAACGCTAGATTGGATGCGAATGTCGGAAATACTGAAAAGTGAGGATCGAGCTCATACATGAAATGAAGTTCTTCGCTTGGTATCCCGATCGCATTTGCGAAGATGAGGACATCTCGTCGGTTATAGCTACATTTGATTGGTGGGTATTCAAAGCCCGTCGCTTTTTTGAAGTCGACGTTGTCGTATCTTCCTGAACTGTTTTGGACAGGGATATCGCTGGGATTCACGGCCATGGTGTTGTCGAGCGCGAGCCTTGCGTTATTTCAAGTCGGCTGCAGTCAACCTTCGGGATAGGATGTGAGGAGGTGATCAGTGACCACAGCAGTCCAAGGAGCGAACCGATCTCATGCACTTGACAAGTCGGATGAGATCTAAAACACCTTCTCGGCACTCCAGTCTGTTTCCGGCGTAGAAAGAGGTGCTCAGAACGTATGGCACGTTGGAGCCACTAATTTTATGAATATCCTGTACCTGACCACTAACAGCAACCATGAACTGCATAAAGTTGTGATCGGCATTGGCCCATTGCGCGGGGAAATCGCTTGCGAAACGATCGGTGAGTGGTATTCCTGAAGTTACTTGTCATAGGTAGCGGATAATATTAGGCAGAGAACAGCCGATGTGGCGGGTCTCGAGAAATGAATCATTAGTGCAAACTCGTACTGCCCGTGGGGAAGCGGAGTAGGTAACCTACTGTACATGACAACAATCACTATCTCCTTGCGCGAATTGAGCGCTGGATTATATCACTGTGAACTTGAATTGACGATTTCCGCAAGAAACCTGGAATCCACAGATTCGTAACAGCAGGGCGGGTGTCAAACTCCTCTTTTATTCCCCCGCTTTAGTTCGCAGTGTCCTGTAAATACTAGCATTTGGAGTTTGTATGTTTGAATGTCAACATTCAAGATGAGAAATCATACACTTAGCCGGATTTCACTCATGATGAGGCTTCTCTAGACTTGACCATACTACAATTCTTCTCAACGTGATGATGTCCTCTCGCTAAAGGCACAAGGACGTTTAGAATCTGAACTGTGAAAGGAGTATCCCTTTTGGCGAGCCGCAGCTCAAGCCATCACGGGAGTACTTGTAGGGCTAGGCTGACGGTCCTGTTGGATTGCTTCCGCGAGCGCGGGAAATCTGTGGTGAAGAGCATCGCCAACTTTCCAATTCTGTAAGTGAGTGATGTGCTCTTCGTAGACAGGATTGATCATGGCATGTCTGGCATTGCCTTCGCTGGGACTGAGCGTAATCAAGACGGACTTGGCGTCATAGGCCCATAAAATCTCGAAGCCTGAACTGTATACCGCAGCAAAATCATCAAGTTGAATCTCTGGATGGGCTATCAGGTGCTGGCGTGCCCTCGGCCTGGGGATCCGTTAGCATGAACCACACCATGTTCATGTGATCGAACAAACCAGGGTATTCTATCGATCCAGGCAGGATGTGTCGTAGTGATCTGTTCGGGAATGGGCCTGAGCCATTGTGGCAACTGATTCCAGCTTTCTTCATCTTGTAGGACCATCCACTAAAGTTCAAAACTGATCAACTTACGATCTGCCGATTTACAGTGAAGTTTCTTACCCTCATTACTCGGAACATGACAAAATGGACAGCAACTTGCTTCGGAAGAGAGTCAATCTCGGCATAGCTTTTGACAATGTCCAACACCACATCATTCAGAGTACCAGTATGCAGTGCGGTGTTGTCCACGAGCCGCAGGAGGTCGGGGCTTGAGTTGCCAAATATGTCGGTTGAACCATCTCGTAGCTGATCTTCAACGAGATTTTGAAAAATCTGATCCGAAAGGCATGTCGGAGGGGAGTTGAATGGGATTCTCTGCCAATCTGGAAGGATGTCTAGCTCGGCTAAAGGGAAAGATAGTGCGCTAGGATGGTCAAGAATTGGCATCTCGCTCAACAGGCGTAGCTGCAGCGCAGCATTGTCTGCTTGAAAGCGCTCATTCTCCTTCTCGAGGGTGGAGATCTGACGTTGGAGATGGTCATTTCGTTTGCCTTCCTGCTCGAGTGCCCGATTGAGCTGGGCCACCTGGTGCATCAAACTGTCCATCGTCCATCTGGCACGGTCTCGCATAGCTTGTTGCGACTTTCGATCTCGAGCACGCTTCCTTTGTAACTCCATGTCAGCAGACCGACGTTGCGACCCGTCAGAACTTGTTGATTTGACCGTGGTGTCTTTCGGCGGCATTGTGCATCTGTCATGACTGATAAATGGTGAATTTCCTTGAGGTGAGACCAACTTGACTTAAGTTAGTGCTGGAGTGCGGGGTGAGAGACGGGGTAATCATGGGGTCTTCTTCGGCTGCTTTCCTCGTGGTCAAGGTTATTTTCGTGGGTCTCAAGGTTGAACTCTCACATCTGGTCAGAGAGAAGCCAATTTGGAATGTCCGCTATATACTGCGAGCACTGGAATTACAACTTGGCAAGTATATGGTCTAACGAACAAGCTCCGTCACGCATTGCAACCATTTCTTTCCGCAGAATTTTCCCTGTCGGATTTTTGGGTAAGGCTGAAATCTCCCACACGCCCCCACGCAGTTTTTTATAGCCGCTGACTTGTACATCGACATGTTGGTGTATATCCTTCAGCGCTGATTGCCGTCCCCGATATTGTGGCTTCAGAACAACCCAAGCAGCAGGTAGTTCAGTTAACTGGGTTTCGTCCCATATGGAGCCCACACCACCTTCCACCACCCATTCGTGTGAGTTGATATAGGCCTCAAGTTCAGCCGGAGCAACCTGAAAGCCCTTGTACTTGATCAGCTCCTTCGTTCGGCCTACGACGCTAAGTCTGCCTTGGCTGTCAATAGTGCACACGTCTCCAGTATTGAACCATCCTGGTAATGGAAAGGACTTTTCGCCAGCGTCTTGGTTGAAGGCGTACCCTCGGGTGATATTAGGTCCGCGAATCCATAGCTCCCCGGGTCCTCCATCAGGAGCATCATCAGTCGAACCCTCGCGTTTTAACATGGCTTCAATTCCAGGCAACATTTCTCCGACCATGCCTTCCTGCAAGGTTTCGCCAGCCCTTTGATATGCAACATACCCTGCCGCCTCCGTCATTCCATAGCATTGATTGAGTCTCCATGGTGCCCTTTTCTGAAGCAAGTTCAATTGGTCCTTGGACAGTCTTATACCTCCAACATTAATGACTTGGGCCTTGGAGAAATCATACCTCTCTGTAATGTCAGATGTTGCCATTGCAAGCACTACTGACGGTACGCCCTGGAAATTATTCGCTTGGTTCGACTCGACCAGTTGGCCAAACGTTTCCAGGTTGAAGGACGGCATGGCGTGATGAAGCATGCCAGCCCATGGACCCATGAAAAGCGGCATTCCCGTCATAGCTATATGCACGAACGGTGTGAATGCAACCGTCCTCGAAGTTGGACCAAACTGAGCCGCATCATGAGTATGAAGTTGATAACAGTTCGCAACAAAGTTGTAGTGCGTGAGTTCAACACCTTTCGGTTTCCCGGTAGTTCCTGACGACAGGTGAATCGATGCCACTCGAGTTCTTGTGTCGGCATAATGAGGTATATCTAGCTTCTGCATCCCCAAGAAATCGTCAGGGATATGTCGAAGCCCACTCGCCGGCGAAATAGCAGTTACGATGGTCGGTAGCTGCCAGTCAATCCCTTGCTCGGTCAAGTCTTGTCTCGCTTGCTTCACCGCATCTCGAATCTTGTCAACGACCTCGCCGTAAACAACCACAAATCTCGGTCGACTGACCACGAGTGCATGGCCAATCTCGGCTGCTTTCAGGGCGTGATTGACCGGACAGAATACTCCACCGGTCCAGAGCACCGCATGAGAAACTTCAAGGTATTCCACCGAGTTTGGTATTATGATTGCCCATCGATCGCCGTCTGATGGTTCTAGGCTTGTGTGTAACCCACTGGCGATGCGACCTGCTTGCTGCCGTAACTCCCCAATAGTGATACTCCGATTTGTCAAGCTGTCCTTTGCAATGAGATGCGACTCTGGCAGTGTCTCATTCGCTCGCGTATGGAGGAATTCTGTAAGGTTCAGATCAGTCGGTACCGAGATACTTCTAGACTTGTAAATGCGCATAGTGAGTGGAAAGGGAAGTATGATTGTAATAAGAGCTCATTTCAGGGCCAACGTCTACGCGGATGTCTTTCATAAATCAACAGTAATAAGCGGAGCTTGTTTGAACATTTCGGGGGTCTCAGATACTATCGCTGGAAAGTTCATTCCACACGATGATGTACGACGCTGTGCACCCCCATTAGCAGTGCGTAGCTGTCTGGTACAAACATGGATATCACAACTGTCCACTGCATGGGGAAGAACGACGGCTGTTCGGTAGGCGCATGCCCTGACTAATGATTCATCGTGGCTGATCCCCGCAGGACCCCGCAGAGAAGGGTTTCAGGGACCCTGTGGCAAGACTTAGCCTGCCGCTTTCAAGCCCAGATCTCTCCCTTTGACCTTGTGTCACTATAATCGATCACTTGGAAAGAGCTGAATCATCGGCTATTGAGTGCCTCCATCAGGCAGATGTCCAACAACAGCTCCTCATCACGCTCTCGCCTTTCCATGAAGTTCAATGTCGATATAGCATCAGCAATGATCACAATTCCTCTAAAAGGCACGCAAGCAATAAGTAAATCCTAATGGCGGCGCCAAGGACAAAAGATCCAGTGCCTGACTGGATCGAAAACCCCTACCCGAGCGTTGAGCACAGCATCATCTCGTTTCCGGAGAAGTACATCTTGCTAGTGACAATCAACAGGCCAAAGTACATGAATTGTCTTCCTGTTGAAGCGACAATAGAACTTGGCGCCTTGTGGAAATGGTACGATGCCGAACCCGAACTTCGATGCGCCGTCTTCACGGGAGCCGGACAGAAGGCGTTTTGCGCCGGGATGGACCTCAAGCAGAGGCTTGATATTATCAAAACGGACGATGTCGCTTTTGAGTACCCTATGGGCGGGTTCGGGGGCATGAGCAACCGGGTGGGCAAGAAGCCCATCGTTGTAGCCTGTAATGGGCACGCGCACGGCGAGTTCAGAAAGTGAAGGATCGATCACACAACTCACTAACGTTTCCCAGGTGGTGGTTTCGAGATCGTGTTAAACTCCGATGTCATTTTTGCATCTCCTAACGCCGACTTCCGGTTACCTGAAGTGCAACGTGGAGTCTCAGCTCTGGCGGGCGCTCTCCCTCGCTGTATGATGCTGTTTGGCAACCATCGGACGATGGATCTGGCTTTGACAGGCAGGCTCCTGACCGTACAGGAAGCTGTGCAATGGGGGCTGGTGAAAGAGATCGTTCCACAGGATAAATTGCTCAGCCGTGCAATCTCATATGCTAGAGAGATTGCCTCGTTGAGTCCGGACAGCGTCATAATCACAAGATTGGGTGCGCGAGAAGCCTGGGAGACAGGTGTATCGAGAGCCACGATGAGAGGCCAGGAACTATACGCAGAGGCAATGCTTCGCAGTAAAAATGCCGCCGAAGGACTTGCAGCATACAGGGAGAAGCGCGAGCCTAGGTGGCTACCCTCATATCTATAGAATATAGACCCTTTTACCGTATTAAGAGAGTTCAGCGCAGCGTACGACAATCTTCTTCGTCGCCAATCTTGAGTCATTCATAGCCTACTGCCCTTCCAATGAGGCTGCCTCTTTTCCGAGAATGCCTTTAATCCCTCCAAAATGTTCTCACCCCTTTGAAGCTCGGCAAACTCCCGTTCGAGTGTCAATTCGACTGCACGTTCCACGGAAGCAGTCTCCCATCCTTCTCTCAAACCAGCTCGCGTACATATAATGGCATCGGGACTGTTTACCGCAATAGATTCCGCCAGCTTTATCGCCTCAGGGAGCACTTGGTCCTTCTCGACAAGTTTGTTCACAATTCCCCAATCATACAGTTCCTGAGCTGAGATGTTCCTTCCCGTCAACGCAAATTCTGAAGCTCGCTGGAGTCCAAGTGTTCTTATCAGCCTAGGTAGTGCTCCACCGATGGGCGAAATACCACGTTTGACCTCGGGTAGGCCAAAGTATGCATCTTTTGAGGCAACCACGAGATCGCAATTAGCCACAAACTCCATGCCCCCTCCCATAGCTAGTCCATTGACCGCTGCAATCACTGGTTTTTTTCCTAGTCGCCTGCTCAATGGCTTGAATGCTGGAGCATTACCCATCTTCTTGCTTGGGTCCGCATCGACAGACATTGACTTGTTCCACTCCTTGAGATCTGCTCCTGCAGAAAATGCACGCCCAGTGCCAGTGATGATGGCGACAGAAAGATTGGGTTCTTGGTCGAACCATTTCCATATCGAGTCCATTTCCCACTGGCCCGTTGTAGACATGGCATTCAGACTTTCAGGGCGATCCATGCGCACAAGGACCACCCGTGGTGCAGGGAATGAGATCTTCAAGAATGTGGGCGTTGGCGGCGGCGTCGTCTGTGGTGGAAACGACATTGTTACAGAGCGACTCTCGAGTGATTATACCGGCGTGACCTCAGCAGATGCTTCGCCAGAAGTTGAAATGTCCTTAATATGATTTTTGCTGTTCACTCCGCAACAACCCGACCTGGCACAGAACACAGGCCATTCCCGAGTCCTGGCGGTCGATGTACCTGACTCACGTGTCTCGAATCGTGCCCCACTTGTCAGCCACCAGATCGGCGTGGTCGGTGCTCATCACGCTGTGGGTGGCACTAATGATTCAGATTTGGAGCACAACCGAGGCAAGTTGACGACGTGCTTTACTTGAATGTAACTGGCACCAGAGCCGCCTCGGCGAGATCACACTGTGCGTAGAAAGACTGAATCTCGGATGCGGACCAAACGCCTCACTTCGGCTGGGCGTTATCCATGACGCCTCCAGGTTGACAGCTAGGGTGTAACAATTCCAGCACCAAGCTGCTCGTCACGATTTCGAGAATCCCATCGCCCGCGAAGCAATTAGTATCTGCTTCCTAACGATGTCAGGCATAAGGCAACCAATTCGAATTGGAAATGCCTCTGGCGCCATCGGCGATGGCATTGACCAAATATACCGGCTGGCAAAATCAGGAGAGGTAGACGCAATCACCGCAGACTACTTGGCGGAGTTCAATCTTGCCTGGAAAGCCATTGAGTTGCAGACTGCTCCAGACCTGGGCTACGAAACCAATTTTCTGGACCAACTTGCATGGGAGAATGGCGAGGCCGCGAGGTTGGTCGCTGCCAACGGAATCAAAATCGTTCATAATGGAGGAGCGTTGAACCCAGCTGGTCTAGCACGTAGAGTCTCACAATACCTTGATGAATTGGGACTGTCTGGCGTCAAGGTATGCTGGGTCACTGGAGATAATGTTACTGACAAGGTCAGACATGGTCTCCTGGGGGAAATTCATCACCTCGACTCCATTGGTTCCGAACTCGACCTCAGCTCTTCTGAGCTTCTTACTGCAAATGTTTATACGGGATGCGCTGGAATAGTGCAGGCCTTGGAAGCCGGTGCTGATATTGTTATCTGTGGAAGATGTTGCGACGCAAGCCCTGTAATGGGTCTGGCGACGTGGTGGCACGCATGGAAACCCGACGAATTTGACAGACTAGCCGGATCACTGATGGGTGGTCATCTCATCGAATGCGGAGCATATGTCACAGGCGGCAACTATTGTGGTGCCGCGGAAATCCCACGTTTGCACCATGTCGGATATCCTATCGGGGAAATCGACCACGATGGAACCGTTGTTATAACCAAGCCGAGAGGGACCAACGGCTTGATATCGGTCGACACGTGCAAGGCTCAGTTACTCTATGAGATACAAGGGTTCTACTACCTGAATGCGGATTGTATAGCAGACATCCAAGGATGCGAATTGCTACAGTTAGCACCAAATAAGGTGCAACTACGGGGCGTCAAAGGTCTACCACCACCCTCGACAGCGAAACTGGCTGTGTGCCTTCTTGGAGGGTACCAGGCTGAGTTATCGAGTTTCGCCGCAGGTTTGGATACGGATTTCAAGTTCGAACTCTTCAAGAGGCAGTTGTTGGGATCCATTGATTCTTCCAAATTCACCATTTTTAGCATCGAGAAGTACGGGACAGCGGGCAATGATCCACGATCACAAAAGCAAAGTACAGTTCAGTTTCGTGTGTTCATACAGGCGGCACACAAAGAGGCAATAAGAGATTTCAAGAAAGCAATATTTTACAATGGTATGCAAGGCTACTGCGGTCTGCATCTCTCTATGGATTGGAGAACATTGGAACCTCGGCCATACGTCAGATATGTCCCAGCATTGGTCTCGCAAGACCTTATTGCACTGCAGCTGCATTTCGTGAACTCTGCAACAACTATCAATGTACCACCAGGGCAGACGTCCAAGTATCTGAAATCCATCCCACGACAGCCGAACTACGAGCCCAAAAGATGTCCTCAAGATTCAGGTCTTCTTGACACTGTTACACGTCCGCTGGGAGACTTAGTGTTTGCCAGATCAGGGGACAAAGGGGGCAACGCCAACGTGGGCTTTTGGGTCCGTGACGCTGCTTCATGGCCGTGGCTTCGGGTGTTCATGACGACTCAGAAGTTGATTGACCTACTAGCTGACGACTGGGATGATCGTTATAATGTTGAGCGCTGCGAGTTCGAGAGAATCTGGGCTGTACATTTTGTGGTCAAGGGAATCCTGCAGGAAGGAGTCAGCAGTAGTAGCATTCTGGATGGCTTCGCCAAATCGTTTGGAGAGTTCCTCCGTGCTCGGCATGTTGCCCTGCCTGTAACCCTGCTTCAGCTTGAGGAAGACCGGAGGCGGCAGGGGTGTTTGACGTATAGAGAGGGCAAGCTATAGACCACGCGTTAAAGCAGAAGGAGAGCTCGGGATCGCATTTGAGTAAACATAATGATGCCTTCGACACATCGGCACACCAGTGCTACAGAGCTTGGTACGCATGTAAGGAATGCTTAAGGCATGTCTTGAGCGATCATACAGCGAAATAACTTGCAAAGTCTACCCTAACAGTATGCAGGCACAATTCCATGTGCCCCGCCACACTCCTGACTCCGTGCTAAGTAAGCACCGACACCCAGCCTTGTAACGGCTCCGATCAGCACATGCTCACTCCAATGTGCAGATGAATCATTAATGTCAGGGGTCGGCCCCTCGACACGGTTTAACTTTGCAGATCTAGTGGTAAAAGACCAGGAATATTCCTCAATATTGGTGGCAGTATGCACTCAAAAGGTATATATACATGAGATGGTAGCTAGTACTTGAACAGTGTATACGAATGAAGCACAACAATACAATGGCTAAGATCATTACCGTCGGCCACCTTGTCACGTCGAGCAATGACGCCAGGGACAGGGTTATCAAGGTATTCGAACAAATCGCGGCGTATTCCAAAGCCCACGAACCTGGTGTATTGACATATGCTGTTACAATCCCAAGGGACGACGATGGAGTAACCATTTATATGTTGGAAGAGTAAGGCCTCAATCAAAAACTTTGATATACTGGCTAACCCAACCATAGGTATGCTGATAAGGCAACATCCGATGCTCACCTTACAAGCCAACCTGTGCAAGATCTCATCAATCTCTTTACATCGCAGCCAGTGCTGAAGGAACCACCGACCGTCTATCAGCTTGAGCCAGTATATTCCTTCACAAAACCTGAGGCCATGAAAGCAACGGACCCATACGTTATGTTTGCAAACATCTCGTATAAGGCTGGGAGTGCTACACAGTCATTGCCCTATTGGGAAGCAGTTTCTTCGGAATCGGAGAACAACGAGCCAGGCTCTCTACAATATAGATTGTGCAGGGAGGAGGCCAACGCAGATAGACTGCATACTATAGAGGTCTATGAAAGCAAGGAGTATCTGTGGGAGATACATGCAAAGAGTAAGCAGGTCAAAGAATCTGTTGAGAAAACGAAGGATTTACGATCAGGTCTGGTGCATGCACCTCTGAAGATGGTTAGCGGTTTTCTGCACAGATGACAAGATAACGTACTTTATTCCTTGTGTCCGACTCATCAGGCGTCGAAAAAGTGTACAATAATGAGGTGTCAGGATTCATGCCATCGTGGCGCCAAATCAGACATACTATCGTACTCAGCCTGCATGAGGTGTGTTGGGCGATCCAAAAGCACTTGCAGCATTCTAGACTATAATTTTGACCTCTCGGCCGGATCAGGCAGTGAATCATTAGCATATCTTCTGCCTCGGACGGTTAGAGTTGAGGGGCAGTTGCGTTTGTGGGGTGCAAACTTCATGGTGCCATGGGCTTTTACGGGCCGCGAACCTCAAAAGACGCGGATGCTCCTCGTCAAGTGCCAGAGATGTGATTGTATCCAACTTGGAATACCTATTGTTCAAACTTGTGTAAAGATACCTCACCTTCAAACATGGGTTCAGTTGGAGCAGAAGCCCCTCGAGCAAGGCCCATTCGGGTGGCTGGATGTTCCGGTGGTGTATACGACCGCAAAAGAGCCATCCACGACATGGCGAAGAATGAAGACGTGGACATTATCACGGGTGACTGGATGTCAGAGTGCAATATGACTCTCCGTGGCTCGGACAAGCGTGATCGCATGGCGCAAAAAGCCATGAACTCCGGGTCTTCTGTAGCTCGTGGGTACGAACCCTATTTCCTGGAAGAATTGGATCCTGCCATCCCATGGCTGGCGAAACGAGGAGTCAAATTATGCGCGAACGCCGGAGCAAGTGATGTCCCAGGTTTGGTTGAGGCAGTGGAAGAGCTTATCAAGAAACACGGGGTGGACTTGAAAGTTGGTTGGGTCGATGGAGATGATGTTACAGATGCTGTCCTAGATCTTTATAAAAAGGGTAAGTCCGTGGTCGCCCTAGGTGGGCCTTTGAGAAATCTGACGATGTTTGTTTCTAGGTGAACAATTCCCAAATCTTCCAGCCAACAAAAACATCTCAGAATGGGGCTTCGAGCCGGTTTGTGCTCAATGTTATCTGGGTAGCACCGGTATTGCGGCTGCCTTCGCTGGTGGAGCGGTAAGCTCTTTCATCTGTCAAAACAAGGATTGAGACTTATACTCTACAGGACATCGTACTCTGCGGCCGTGTTGCAGATGCCAGCCCCACGATTGGCGCAGCCATGTGGTGGCATGGCTGGAATCGTGATGACAATGTCAAAGAGTTGGCAGGGTCGTTGATGATCGGACACATCATTGAATGCAGCACCTACGCTACTGGAGGCTACTATTCTGGCTTCAAGGACCTGGGAATCAAAGATACCGACATGGGCTATCCGATCGCTGCCATCGACCACAACGGCGAGGCTGTGATCAGTATGGAAAAGGGCAAGCATGGCCTGGTAACAACCGCCACTATTGCTAGTCAACTGCTCTACGAGATTCAGGGACCTTTGTACTACAACTCCGACGTGACTGCATCGATCGAAGACATAAAATTGGTCCAGGTGGGCACAAATGCTGTTCACGTCTCCGGTGTGAAGGGGCTACCAGCTCCGGCCACAACAAAAGTCGGCATTACCGCCAAAGGAGGCTATCAGGCTGAATTTCACTTCTATCTGACTGGCTTAGATATTGAAGAGAAGGCTGCAATGGTCGAACGCCAGACGAAAGCGTTGATGGGTGACCATCTCAAGAGATTCTCTTGTTTGAAATTCATGGTTGCCGGCGCTGTGCCTCAAGATCCACAATCTCAAGAAGAAGCCACTGTGGACATGCGAATTTTCGCCCAGACTCGTGATCCAGATATTCTGAGTGGGAATTCCTTCGTCGATTCGGATCGTGGATCATTCGCCAGATTTTGCATTGAGAATTTGCTTCAAGGTTATCCAGGCTCCACAATGGCGCCAGACATGCGGACAGCAATTGGAAGGCCATTCTTCGAGTACTGGGTTGCCTTGATGCCCCAAACATACGTGCAGGAAACAGCACATCTCCCTGATGGCACTGTGGTTAATATCTCACCACCAAGTAACACGAAGATGTACGAACGAGAGCAACCTTCATACGACACTCAAGATCCAGTTGACTTGTCACAATATGGTCCAACCACCCGGGCGCCTCTCGGGCACATAGTCATGGGACGATCTGGAGACAAATCGTCAAACGCTAACCTGGGTCTTTTTGTCCGACATGACGATGAGTGGGACTGGTTCCGCACAGTCCTGAGCACTTCGAAGCTGAGGGAGCTGTTGGGCAAGGACGACAAGGGTAAACAAATCGATCGATGCGAGTTCCCAAACATTCGGGCTGTGCATTTCCTGTTGAAAGACCATCTGGACAGAGGGTTCAATTCGACAAGTAGCTTTGACAGTTTGGGCAAGAACTTATGCGAGTATATTAGGTGCAGATATATTGACATCCCCAACAAGTTCTTGGAGAGAGGCAGAGTATGAAGGGCAGTTTGTAAATACGATGCATTTATCTTGATGATACTTCCAGTGCGCAGATGGTAGCGACGAGATTTTTAGTTGAATTGGTATTTTTCATCTCTGATTACATACGTGCTTCGTATATACTCCGTGCTCGACCAAGTTGTAAGACTCTTATGATTTGTCTATGCACAAAGGCAAGGCTACACAAAAATATAGCATGCGTAATGGCTGTTTTTGTCGCAAAGCAGATAGTGAATTTTCCTTGGTCCCTGGCCCGACTCCGTGATTTTGACTAACAAATCCAGCCCCCGTCGATCTGAGATGCTGTACCGGTAATGTAACTAGATTCTGGGGAAAGTAGGAAGGCGATCAGAGACGCGACCTCTTCGGGTTGACCAGTTCTTCCCAAGGCAACCTCTTTGAGTGCTGAACTCTCCGTCAGGACCGTTCCCTCCCTGTCACCAGAGATTTGTCTTGCAGTCGCAACCATAGGCGTCTCAATCGAGCCACTGCGGATCATTAGAAGCCCATTCAGTATTGATGCATAGAACCAATGGAAACAAAACTGGACTTACGGGCATATAGCATTCACCCTGATATTCTTGGCTCCGACCTCTTTCGCTCCTGCTCTTGTTAGTCCAATCACACCATGCTTGCTGGCAGTATAAGCAGCGTTGTTCGCTCGCCCACTGATTCCCGCCATGCTGGACGCATTGACAATACTGCCACCTTCAGCGATATGCTTCAGTTGAGCTCTCATGCACAGCATGACACCCGTGAGATTCACGCCGATGACAAAACTCCACTCCTCAAGGTCTTGCTCATCAATGCCTTTCAACCCTATGGACTTTGGAATGACCCCGGCCAAGTTGGCAGCTCCGTCCAGGCGACCATAGTGGCGGACGGTCTGAGAGATCCAATCTTCTACGGCCTCAGGGTTCCGGACGTCTAGGGCGTGTGTCAACGGTCGTTTTCCGTATAATTTAGCAATATCGTCGGCAACGGTTTCTAGGCTGGCACGTTGTAGATCTGCGAGGGAGAGTTGCGCACCCCGGCTTGCAAGCAATTTCGCGGTTGCCAAAGCGATTCCAGAGGCAGCTCCAGTAATGGCAATTACTCGATTCTCCCAGGACGACATCTGGATGCTTGAAGGTCTAACAACTTCGTAGATTGATTATCATAGAGGCCTTGCGACTGCAAAGGAGATGGGTGCTACGCAGTGGACCATCCGTGGCTTGCACTCTCAATAGAATTTCTCATTCGCTCCACAACCACCAAACTCGGTGGTGTACAACCGAGGCTCACGAGATGTGATCAGCACGGCTGGACCCCACCTGGTGGCTACGTGAAAAGGAGACAAACAGTATTGCATGTGGAGGGGGTGGAGAGAGTCAAGGACGACGGAAGCGGTCTTCAAGCATTGACCGGTCGATAGGACCCGCATGGTCAATGATGTGGGTTCAGACCGAGCATGGTGACTTCTCGACAAGGTCATGAAGTGCGGAAATACGGATACATTTAGGCGGGAAGTCTCGCTCACAATCGTCTCCAACATAGGGGAAACTCCGCGGGGACTCCATGTAGCACATCACAGCCACCGATATTCCCCACACTTAGCGGGCAGCAGAAGCGTCCAGACTAATGATTCAGTAAGCTTGTACATTGATGACTCGCGACTGAGCCTAAGTACACTGCTCCACCTCTCCCGAGGACCCTGCAGGGAACAACAAGGAAGGCGAGCTGGATTAGCAGTGTCCCCTTCCGTACTCCCGAGAGCCAGTGATATTTTCTATGCCTATGATGTAAAACCGCTTGGTCGACGAGACCTGGGACAAGATATTCAGTGTAAGTATGTTCTGGTCCACGTGGGTTGTGCGAGCGTTATATTCCACTGCATGATCGACCCCTGGGTCAATTCCTGCAATGCATTTGACCAAAGAAATACATGAGGCTTAGAGGATCATAGATCAATTTCCACGCAAGGAAGGTCGCTGAAGAATCTCGTGACCCAGCGAAGGATACCCTTGTCGTTGCATGTATGCTTTGCCACAACTAATTGCCTCCGCTCTGGTAGATTCAGGTTGCACTTTACGCTTTGGTCTGGGTCTCTGGCACCTGATCTTCCTCTGTGATTCCTGCTGTCGCCACTGTTCCCCTGATTCTGCGATTCACGTAGCCGGTCATAAGATGATCAATGTCCTCTGAAAATAATGCTGCGACGACAGCTAATCCACCAAAGGCAAGACTGGCAAGATATACAGTCTTGAAGCTGGACGAGTAGGCGGTCTTGACTCCGTCGGCTATCGCTGCCTCGATCCTAGGTGTCATTCCGGGTACGGCCTCAAGAGCTGCCGCAGTACCGTTGGCGATGGCGGCAAGCACTGATCCCACTTCAGCTTTGGGAAGCCCTGCTCCGACAGCTGCAGAGCTAACATCCGCCGGTAAATTGACCACAAGCCGATGGTCAAGGATGGCGACATAGATACTCACTGTGATCCTCATCAGTACGGCAAACACCTAGGTATTTTCTGAAAGGCTCACCGGAAACAACGCCCACGGTATTACGAACAGAGCCCAAAAACCCATTAGCGAGACCTAGGTCTCGAGGTTGATGGACCAGGCCGTTCATAACCAGAACGATGAGTTCCATCCATCCCGTGAAGAACCCAGCCAATAGTGTTAGCTACCACAGTCAGTGCACTCACATAGCAATTGGGAAAGGGTCACTTACCGCAATACCAGCACCAAGTTTAGACTGGTCAATGGCGGCCATTCCTCCTAGAGTCGCAGTCAAGCCCACGCAGGAGAAAATCAACTGCCACCTGGCGTGGCCGATAGCCTTGAACACTGGACCGATGACGATTTCTCCCACGGCCAATGCCAGACCCGATGTGATACTTATCCACCCAATCTTGACATTGTCTGTGGTGAACAGTGATCCTACTTCGGCAGGCCATAGTACTGAGAGGCAGACGAAAACCATCTGGCCAACTGAACCGGCCACAACAACAGCAAGGTAATTGCGATTCTTCAAGATTCTGACGGGCAACAACGGTTGCTTTGGTGGCAAAAAGGTTTCTGTGCATGATGGTTTAAGTAACCTCTCATTGTATCGCAGATATCAAGGCCACTTACCGTACAAGCCAAACAAAACGAGAAGTAAGCATCCCACTATGAGCGTGGCCAAAACATGGCTGCTTGTCCACGTATAGGCAGAGCCTCCCCAAGCTGCTCATAGTCAGCACGAGTGCAGCTTCAATGGCATCTTCATCTTACCAAGGGCAAGCAGAAGCAACAAGATGCCGCCACCGTACAGAATTATGCCAATGTAATCGAGCTGTTTCAGCTCCTCGAGTCGGGTCAGACTGCGATGAAGTTGATGCAGATTCGGTGGGAAGTAGCAGAAGATGAGAAGTATCAAGGAAAGGCCACAAAAGATGGCGTACAGGATATAGCACCACCTATTGAGTTCTTAGCATCAAGGAACAGTCCTCGTCGACCAAGCCACGACTTACCTCCACCCAAGGGCTGTCCGTGTAATCAACACTCGAGCGATGATAGGAGAGAATCCCGAGAATGGCAGCGTGCCAACGATCATGCCAGCTTGTGCCCAACCTCGGTATTTGTTTGGAATCAACTCTTGGATAACATAAGGAAAGGTGAGCTGAACAGTGGTGGAGAAGCCCATCAAGACCGATCCACCGATTAACATGTTGATCGAGGTTGCTTTGGCAGAGATGATGCCTGCGACTACGCCGAATATCTGGCCTCCAATAAGGAAGTAACGGCGACCACTGATTGCAGTCAGATTTTCGGAACCAGCTCTGCAGTGAACACATGAAGCTTACACGATGTCACCGAGACGACCGACAAGGAGGAGCCCAACGCCAGAAATCAAAGATCCAGCCGTTGTGATGAAAATGTAGATTGGCGATGGACCTACATCATGGTCAGTATTCAGCAGACTCAAAGTGTATTGTTTTGGCTCACCCAAATCCGCATTGATCACTGCCAAACAGCTAGCCTGCACAAAGAGTCAGGAGATAGCGTGCCAGATGTATGATTCTGCGTACGCACCGGAAGAGAAAATCCTATGTAAAGACAGACCGCAAGCAAGACAATGCTTGCTACCGAGCCGAGAAATCTGAATGATAACCAGTATCCAGCGGGAATTTCCTCCGCGTCAATGCCTCTGGCAACGGGTGCTTCATCGTCAGGCAACGTCAAAGTCTTCGAAAGGCCCTGTGTATGCTCCACGGTAGACGAAGACTCTTTTTCTCCTTCAATCACAATATCCGACATGACTGCGGATATGAGAAATATGTCTGGCAAAAAGGACGAAGCTGAGGTGGAGAATCTCCCTCAGATATCGAATCTCGAACGAGCCTATATAGATCACCGAGCTTCCCGTCCCCAGTGCAGTCAGGGGATGAGGCATTCGCTAGTATCTGGGGAAACACGCTACGGGTGACCCCAGGTGTGCCCAGGAGATGAATCATTCGGCTGCACATAATCGTGGACCATGTGGCAAACTTGTGGGGAAGGCTTTCCCCAAGCCTACAAAAACCTTGGGTCTGCTATTGATCTCTTCGTTGAGGGTCATACATCTCGAAGTCCAACCAATGTCGGTAAACCCTCCATAGTGAGTCATGTCAAAATGCCCAGTGGCCTGTGTCGATGATTGTGCCGCCGAAGCACAAGCGAGCGTGCGAAGATTGGAAGAGGGGCATACCGACTCGTAGGCGCTAATGAATCATCAGACCGGCTGGGGGCATACGGGGAGAGCATTGGCTAGTTGCAACCCCGGTGTCGTCGATTTTGCAAGTCGACATCCAGATGCAGTGAACAGCATGAAGAGATCAGCGATATCATTGTTGAGCAGCACATACCAGGAACGCTGCTGTGTCAAATTAACGCGATCGTGGTATCAGCCATCTCAGCTCTGGAAGGGGACCTTTTGAGACGAGGCGAAGGACTGTTGGGCCGTAGAAAATGGCAGTCATGACATTTTCCTATGTACCTGTTAAAGTCTTGGAGAACTTGTTACACTTGCTACAAGGCTAGACATTGCAAGACATGGTACGCTCAAGTGTAGGTAGGAGAGATGTACTTTCGAAGGTGTTGGCGAAGAATCAATGTGACGTCACACGGTTATTGACTCTGAGTCCTTCACATTTGGAGATTCCATCAGTGGTGTTGACGGCCACAAGTGAGGACCTCAAAACGTACCGATCACAACACTTAATTTCAATGTTAGAAGTACATCACGAATGGCCCTGATTGGACAGTGAACCAGCTGACAGTCCTCATGGGAGAACAGCAGCTCCTGTACGAGGTGGTTCATGATAGTCGTAGACGATAAATAGTAATCAAGCGCACGGCAAGAGTAATCAGCATAAATGTCAATTTCATCAGCAGAAGTAGAAGCATAATATTTCAAAGAAATTGCCCTAGTATAAACGATACTTGCATCGCTCACCGGTAAAACTTCAATCCAGTATGAGTACCTTAGTAGACCTTCCAAGCGAAATCCTGATGCAGATACTACAACATGTCAACCTCAATGGTGACCTTGCACGTTTGTCGCTCTGCAATTCTCAAGTAGCAGCATACATCTCCCAACAAGGACACAGCTTCACCAAGGACCTCTGCTCGCATCATCGTATCAGTCCACGCGTCCTGGAGTTGTTTCTGAGACACGGGAACGATAAACATGGCCCTTCTGGACCCTCGATCCAGGGGGGTTTGCACGCCATAGCTCTCAGTCACTTTCTGCAGGACATGAGAATCATCGGAGTAAGCGTCCAATCGTTGCGTGATGTGCGATCGGCTGGCCCCCGTCTTGCCAATAGCGAGCCTTACCTGCTGTTAGCGGTCATGATCCGCTTGCTCAACGACTCATCGACGGTGACACCTTGGAATGGAGATGTACTTGCCCCGTCGGCGGATGGTGAGCGTTCCCTTTCCAGATTGTTGCCAGAGAAATTCTTGCAGTGCCTCGACACGGGGCTGTCTTTGGAGGAGCCGGAGTCAGTAGTTGCCGCGATCAACCTTTGCAGCACAATGCTGTGGAGCAAGATTTTCCTTTTCAGACCGAAGGACTATAGTGTTCTCAGTTTTGGCAGTCTTAGCGGAGCCTCGTTCAACATGGAACAAGCTCTTCTCACAGAGCACGTCATCTGGAAAGGACCCCGATGGGTTGCTCGACTTCTGGCATGGAGCAAAGCTGGAGAGCGTCAAGACGCACAGGGGCCAAGTAATTGTGACAACGTCGACTTGACGCGGGTCAGTGAGGGCATTTGGCGAGGATCTCATCAGGAAGGGGCTCGCATAGCAGCTAATGGTCTGGCGCGTCTTTTGCGGAGGAAGAGACAGCAGAAGATTGAGCAAACAGCGAGCAGCTCCAACATACGAGTGGTGATCACAGATATGAGGGTGAATGCAGCAGTCTGGCGTGGCTCAGCAGGGATATGTGATTGAGGGCGCGTTAGCCGCCAACCGGTATGCATTCGTGTCTTGTCCCACTCCTTCTCAGACAAGACGCTTCATTTGTCATGTCTCTTTCATCTCACAGTCATTGTGCAACCGAGAAACACATCAATATAGTGCATGTATGCTGCAGAAGGCTCTAGATAAAGATAGTTTGGACCTGCATGATGGAGAGGTTAGAACTGGATTGACTTCCAGGCACAAAACTGTGCCCAGGAGCTAAGCTCTTTTAAGCCGACTCGAAGACCATTTCAGGCAAGGTCGAATACTAACTTGTTTACCTGCGCGACGCAATGACCAGGGGCCGGAAAAGGGAATTTTAATTAGGGAAAAGAACAACACACTTTGGAGAGAGACCTTGCACACTGCCCTGCCTTGCCCTCCCAGTCCCACCGTCGCCCTCCGCAACCTGCCCTGATGCCACCGTTGGTTGATTGACGGTTTTGACAGAATCAAGTCATCATATGGTCAACACGGCGATTGCGCGACACTTTTCATATTAACAAACCGCAGACACTTTTTATCTTTCATGGCTCTCTTACTACAACCACTACTGCCCCAACATTAGTAGCAGTTGCTCCTGCTGCTCACAGCCACGATGCCCGAACCTCTATCTACCCTGTCGCCTGCCAAGCAGAACTCCAGATCGTCGCCTATCAAACTTGATTTCTCGCAGAAACCCGACACCAACACATCACCTTTTGCAATGTCAACCACGACTACCACCCTTCAACCCTCTGGAGACACTGTCAACGCGTCTTTAATAGCCATGGACCAATCCTTCTCCCCTCCCGCGCAAGCCAGTCAGCCATCGAGTCCCAGAAAAGCATTTTCGCCCATAAAATACAGATTACAAGACGAGTCACGCGAGAACAGTTCACCTCCGGGTTCGCCTGCCAAGCCTACGGTGCGATTCAACGAAGGTCTAACAAGAGCTATTGATACCATGCAAGAGGAGGTGCGCGACGACAACTCAGAAGACAACAGAGTCGTTGCTTCTCCACAAGACATCAGCACACCCAAAGATGAGTTGGACGAGTTGACTTTGACCCTCAGTCTTGACGACAAAACAATCCACGATGAAACAGTGGGTGATCTTAGTACAATCTCGGCTATCCACACAGACATGACTCGCTTCGCCAACCTGCGCACCTCGCCCACCAAAGACAGTCGAGAAGCATGGTCTCCTTCCAAACAATTGCGCACCTCGGTTATATCGAGTACACCTGGAACAGTCCAGCGGCCGTTACGACTCTTGTCGACATCCAGACGCAGTACCTCTCCAACAGAAGACGATGAGGCCACTCCTCGAAGATCGCGGACATCTAATGACGCGACTACCGACCTACTGAACTTTACTGGGCAGACCAATATCATTATACCTCCGCCCGGGTCAGCACCGCGCAGCATGCGACGTAGTCCCTCTGGTCGAGGAGCCTTCCCGATAAAAATCAATCCCAGTTCCTCCCATCGCTCGCAAGCGTCGGTCGATCGTGAAAGAGCGGGAGGTCGATCACCACAGAAGCAACTCGACAACCCTCTGGACACCATTCCTGCGACTCCTGCTGGTCAGCGCCACAGCATATATGGCGCCACATCTGGACTTGGAATGGATCTGCTGGATATTGATTTGGGGCCAATGGCAACTCCCAGGTCAATACCGACAATCACACCACGGGAGCTTGAATCTCTGCGGTCAGAACTGCAGTCACGCATATCTGGCCTCGAAGCCACTCTATCTGGCAAGGAGGCCGAGGTAATGGCTCTCAAACGGGCCATCACAGACGCAGAGGTCCGGGTGGGCAAGACCAGTGAGGAACTTCGAAATGAGCGCGGATCGCGGGAAGAGCTGGAACACGCAAAGGACGACCTGGAACGACGGAGTCGGGAAATGGAAGAAGTCCTCCGCGAGGTCAAACAGAACATTTTCCTTGAAGAAAGAGAAAAGGAGAAGCTTCGGCGACAGACGGAGGAGGCGGACCACCGGACGGAAGAGCTTGAAGTTCGGGTACTCGAGCTGCAGGCATCACTTGACACACTCCGATCCGATCGGGTAAAGTCGACGCCCAGCCCGGACAAGAACACACCAGGCACACCAGGCATGAGTGCTGATATTGATTTTGCTGTCAAAGACGCTACGGAAAAAGTGGCACGCGAGCTGCATGCCTTGTATAAAAGCAAGCATGAGCGAAAAGTGTCGGATCTGAAAGTCAGTTATGAAAAGCGATGGATCAAGCAGGTCGAGCAACTGCGAGCCGACCTCAAGGCGTCGCAAGAGGAAGTGCTCAAGCTACAGACCGAGAGAGAAGCCACAATGAGTGGTGTCATACCCGGTCAAAGTGAGGCCATGTCCAGGATGGAAGGACAGATTGAGGAACTGCGACGCTGGAACGAAGAAACGACCGCCGAAAAGAAAATGCTTGAGGCCGAGGCTGCAGGACTGCGCAGTCAGATGGACTCGTTGATGGCCGAGACGGACTTTCTGCGAAAAGACATTGAACAAGAAAGGGTCGAGAAGGGAGACCTGGTCGCGCAAGTGGATTTGTTCTTGACCATGAGCGCCCAGCAAGAGGAACAGCGCGCTGTCGACGCCCAGCGTCAACCTGTGAGTCCACCGAGGAGTGAAGATGGGAATGGCAGACCCAATTCGGCGGCTGCAGTTGCCAGTCCGAACAAATTCAGAAACAGCATGACTGGTGGTGTGTCTGGGGTACCCTCGAGGCAAAGACCAATGAGTATGCTGCAGAAGCCGACAGCTGGGAAGTACTCAGGGATTCCGGCACCTGGATCTGGCTTAAAAGCACCGTCAAGCAAGGTGGGAGGTTATGGTGGTAGGAGTGGTGGAATTATTGAAGGTATTGCACGAATGGGTGCTGGAGGGCGATGAAGCGACGGATCGAGACCTTGGGGTCTGTGCAAGGGGTTTAGGATTGTTTGTCATTGGAGTATGACTTGCATGACTTGGGAAACCCTTTCTGAACGAAATTTTGATGACCAGAAGCAAACAAGCGATAAGTGAATTGTACAGAAGGGCCACTTACTTCGTCGTTTCGAGGTGTTGATGATGAGACGGCCTAGACGACAAAGGTTGTGGTGCTCGGTTTAATGATGCTCGAGCGACAGCATATACCATAGTGTGGTACTGCTAAACAGTCACTTGACTCGACTCGTGCAACGAGTTATAAGAAGACTTCTTCAAGCCATGTTCAGGACCGATTTTCTTCTACATCATTTAGGATGTGTGGTTGTTTCAAATTGTGGCCTTTGGAAGTGTAAAGTGCTGCACGATTCCATACATAGTACCGTGGCTTGATTGATGAAACACCTCACTCCGTCACACCTTCTCATCGTCATTCCTGTCTCTTTTCTTTCCAAACCCCTTCAAACACCACCACTCCTTCAATCTTACTCACTATCACTGTTTCTGAGCTTCTATGCGAGCGATTTTCACCCCGATCTTGACCGTGCGCCGTCGTCATCTTCTTTCCTTCTTCCCTTGCAAGCCAAAAAAAGCCAGTCGTTTAGCACACTCAACATTCGTTCATTAACACCACATTCACTCATCCACATTCTTTACCAAACTCGACACACCCGATCCATCCTTTTCTAAATTACATCTACACAGCTTGCGCCTTGTACTGCTGAGATCAACATCTGTTGAACTCCGAATTGTCCTTGACTCTACCGACGACACCTTACGAGTATTACGAATCACGTTCCTCTTCTAGCCAACCTTCCACAATCAGCACCTATGAAGCCAGCCATCTGCATCTCACTGCTTCTTGCACCAGTCCTCAATCTTCAATTCGCCTCGGCACGACCGCTGAACATATACCATGTCAACCAGGACCATGGGCGTGGAATATCGTCACCCTCTACCAACAACAACCACGGTCGGGATGTGCCGGCATATCACGACAACCAAAGCCACGGGCGCGACGTGCCAGAATCGGCCTGGTTCAGCCCTGGAGACCGCGACGGAGATAGTTTGCACGACTCCTTCTCCGAGATCGTGGGCCACTTCCTCAGCATCGACCCGGCGGATAGTTTGGTCGGCGGCATTGCAGATCTTCTTGCTGATGCTAGCCGTTGAGCACCATGGACATTTCTTGGACTCTCGTTGACTGATGTCAGCTGTACCAGTATGGCTTCCCCGAGCATCTTCTCGGTCGACATAGGTGTCAGACCCGAGGTGTAGGCGTGTCACCTTACCCATAGCAACGGTGACGGCCATTCTTTCATCCAGGTGTACCAGTTCTTGATGCTGTATGATGTATGCTGTTTTTTCTTCCCTGTATATATATTGACGACCTAGACGAATGCCATGACCTTCTTTTCAGACCGAGGGTTTACCTGTAATACGTTTCCGTGTCCAACTTGTTCACTGTCTCGGCGAGTAGGAGGTTTAGTTGCGGTTTTCACATCCCTCAGGTCAAAGAGACTCTGCCACACCACCGTCAAGGCACACGAGACCGTGAGTAGGCGATCTCACACCAGACTTGCCTTCCTTTCCGGTCTCGGCTCATCCGCCAACTTCAGAATCCGTTGGACCATAAGTTCACTGTACCCGAGGTAGTTCCGCGGGTCACACAACTTCGCCAACTCTTCTCTACTCATCTTCTTAGCAATTTCATCATTCTCGCACAGCAGATCCAGTAAGTGTTTATTCTCGGTCGACGACCTTCGACACAGATCGTAAACGACGTCATGCGCGTACTGCCGGCCCAGTGTCGGTCCCAGACCCATCATCACGGCCTCAGAGACAATGTGGCCATTCGAAAGATCGAGGTTCCTCCTCATCGCGTCCTCATGAACTTCGAGCCCAGCCAGCAAATCAGCAGTATGCTTCAGCGTGGCGTGCGTCAATGTTGAGATCTGCGGAAGTACAATCCACTCGATTTCCCAGGGTCCTGTGCTGCGCTCATGGTCCTCGAGCATGGCTTCGAACAATGATGTGCTGAGATGGCGCACAGTGGACGTCATGGCGGTGATGTACGCGCACGAAATTGGGTTGCGCTTCTGAGGCATCGTGCTGCTCGACCCGCGGTGTGGAACGTACGGTTCCGACACCTCGCCTATTTCCGTTTGTGTCATGAGTTTGACGTCCAGCGCAAACTTGGCGCACGTGCTGCTGAGCATGGCGCAGAGTGACCCGAATTCGGCGATGCGGTCGCGCTCAGTGTGCCATGCTATGTCGGGCACCTTGAGGTTCAAATCCTTGGCCAGTTCTCTTTGGCACTCCAGCCCGAGCAAGGGGTGGTCTTCTGTGGGAGGGAGTGAAGCCAGTGTTCCTGCTGCACCGGAGAACTCGAGGACCGTCAGCCGGGTTTCGACGTCTTTCAGTCGATCTCGGTGACGCAAAAATGTCGCTAAGAGTCTCGCCATCTTGAAGCCGAAGGACATGGGTACCGCGTGTTGCAGATTCGATCGCGCGGCCATCGGCGTGGCCTTGTGCTTTTCCGCCAGATCGCGCAAAGACGTTATGATCGACTCTAACATCTTCTCGAATAGGCTGAGTGTGTCCCATAATTGGATCACGGTCGCGGTGTCGGTGACATCCTGTGTGGTTGCGCCCCAGTGCGCGAATTCGCCTAGCCCGGGCTCGATGGCGTTGACGTGCTTGACGAGTTGCTTGACGAGACCTAGGACAGGGTAGCCGATGAGTTCGGTCTGCTTACGGAGGTCGTCGAAGTCGACATTCCGGATGTCCAGGCAGAATTTGATGATTTCGTCGGCGGCGCGTTGTGGGATGATGCCTAGGCGGGCTTGGGCTTTGGCGAGGGCGCCTTCAAAGGCCAGGTAGCATTGTGTTCGTGTCTTGTCAGACCATACGGCGGCGGATTCTTTTGTGGAGAAAATATTGCCGAAGATGAGGGAATCTTGGACGGATGTCATCCTGATGGACGCTGTTGAGCACGGCGACAGGGATATATACTTAGTTCAAAAAGGACTGGTACAAGTCAAGGGTGCTGCAGACTCGTGAACTCTTCGCCGGTTGCTTACTGTATATACGGTTTTCTTGAGATTGAGTTTGCCGGCATTGTCAGTGTAAGAAGTACATGGTGACTTTGGGTCTCGCTGACACGCACAGACTTGGGAGTATTGATGACGTGAGGAATTCCATGAACTGGCAAGGATGTACTTTGAATGTACCTACGTTTACTCGTAGGTAATAAGTGAAGCACGAATCGGCAGTGGCCGTGGGGAAGATCACCAGCAACGCCAGAAAGTGGATGAAGTCTCCGGGCTTGAAAGTCGGATCATTTGGGGGAAGGGTCACTAGGCAGCCCCAGGGGCATTGGGCTTTGTCGGCTGTACGAGTATCGGGGTCATCCCAGCCGGACCCTTCTCCAAACGTTCGGAGCGGTGCTACATTCTTCCTCACAAGTATACGCTTTCGGTTTGTCAGCTTAGCTACAAAGTGGAATGACGTCTCGGCAACTAGCTCTCGTCTCCGTTGTCCCCTACCGTAGCTGTTCGTCCCCAGCTCTCAACGTCCATGAAAGCACCCACCACGCTGCTTTCCCGTGCTGTCTGTCCATCGACACGTACCAGTAAGGTCTCTTCTCGCTTGATGACAACATCCGGTCTCAACGACAACCACCCACTTTTCCAGGAACAGCTCCAGGCTCTCAAGCGACAGCAAGCCCTCAAAATGTCTTCGTCCACACGCGGCAGTAAACGTCAAAAACCCAACGACGCCGACAAGACCTTCCAACTCATCTACTGGCCCTCTATGCCCGGTCGAGGCGAACATATCCGCCTCGCCTTCGAAGCCACCGGCACACCATACACCGACGTCTCCAACAAAACCGACGCCGGGGTTAACGCTGTCCTGTCTCAAATCAGCGACAAAAATTCCGGAGATGAACATAATCCTCCACCGTTGGCCCCTCCGGTTCTCAAACACGGCGACGATGTGACTATAAGTCAAACGCCCAATATCCTGCTGTACCTGGGACCGAAACTCGGTCTCGTCCCCGATGTCAATGAGGACCGGGTAGGACTGTATCACGTCAATGCACTTACTTTGACTGCTCTCGACGGTCTGAGCAATGAGCCTCACGACGTGCACCATCCGATCGCCAGCTCAGCGTACTATGAGGATCAGAAACCCGAAGCCGCCAAGAAAGCTGAGGATTATCGAAATGTCAGACTGCCCAAGTTCTTGGAGTATTTTGAGCGTGTGCTCGCAGGACCGGCGAGTCAAGGCGGGGAGTACTTGTATGGTGGAAAATTGAGTTATGCCGATTTAGTCCTGTTCCAGACGCTGGATGGGTTGAGCTTCGCGTTTCCGAAGCGTGTTGGCAAATTGAGGGGCAGTGGGAAATATGAGAAGGTGTTTGCCTTGTATGAGAGGGTGAAGGGACTTGATAAGGTCAAGGCGTATCTGGAGAGTGATAGACGATTGGAGTATAGTATGGGTATTTATCGGCATTATCCTGAGTTGGATGAGGAGGGGGAGTAAAGCCTTGGGGCGAAGCACATCAGATCTGACGAAAACGTCAGACTAGGCTGCATCACGGTCTCTACGGCTCTCATGTCGAAAAGAATCGTACTTACAGTGTGTAGGCCAGTGGTAGAAAAGTAGAAAGAGAAGAAAATGAAAAGTGCTTTCTAAGATTGAATACCTAACAATACAGTAAGGGTAGGTGGCTGATGAGTAATCTTCCCGAAATGTCGGTGTTTGTAATACTGGAAAACAGACTTCAGCTGACCGTAAATGATGTAGGATTGGGCACGACACATTTTCTTGACAATTGTGACGCTTTGATGACTTCCAGAAGAATACCATGCGTGAGCTTACCTATGCATTGAGATGGTGTCGGGTTCCTCCCATTTCCTCACAGCTTCCAGCATGTGCATCTGTAATTCCAGGGGCACACTGTCCTCTAAGTTGTCTTTTTCTACCATGTGCATGAATAGTGACTGTACAGTCCTGATCTTGCAAATGTGGGCAAAGGTTTTGAGGGTGGGAGATAAATTGGGGCTTTCTCGCGGAGTGCAATCTGAGAGCCATGGCATAGGGCACTGGTCCTCGGGGCCGTCTTCGTACAAAGGAGATGAGATATACATATCTGGAAGGCTGACAGGTGTACCAAGTGCTGAGCTGACTGAGCGGTCGAGACTTTGAGACGCAACGTAAGCACGAGAATGGCTGGATGGAGTTGCCTACCTACGTGTATGCACTTGACCAGACTCTGATCATCATGGTGTTGCGTGAATCATTTTGGATCTTTTTCAAGCGATGAAATCGATGAAGGCTGGCAAACTTCATGATGACACCACTGACATGGGCAATCCGCCAGGTGTTTTCCGCATGCAATGCAAGCATTGCTGATAAGAGCATCGCCTGCAGTCGGATAAGTGGTGTGGAAGATGAGTCTGCCATGATAGATTGCTCGGCTTGTGCTCTTAACTTGAAGTTCTGATACTTGGAGTGTGGGGCATTGTCAGCTTTGGATTCGATCAGCAATCCAGTCGCAAATATCTATTGCGTGGTCAAAGAATGATCGTTGTCGATGGAGAAATTGGACCAACCATATTGACAAAGAAAGCGGCCCAGCCACCCAATCTCCCGCCCGACAAGGAGGATTTCCAACGCAGGTAATAGTCTCCACAATCCCTGATGTTTAGGAATGGGTATTGTGGGTGGATGACACTGCAATAGGTGCGAAATAAAGAAGCAGCTGCGGGTATTGAGATGTCGTCCGCCCAGGTCTCGTTGACAAAGCCCGGGAGTATAGTTGGCCTCCCGTTGATATGATCTCCCGGAATGAAAGTACACGACCCTGGTGGGACGGGACATCTCCAACGTTCAATGCTGGAGGTGGTTGCTACCCGGACTGCTGCCAATTTTCTGGATATCCATGGTGACCCAAATTCGACTGAGATATCTCTGGAGTAATCGTCACGCAAGCTGTCATGGCTGTTAGTTTGGCTTGCTGAATCAATAGTTCGTTCAGTACCAGTCCCCGCCAAGGTGCAGTTGCGGCAAGACACCTCTTGGTCAAAGTCGCATCTTTGCTTCCGACGCCTACATCTTTGACACACGCGCTTCTTCCTTCCTGATCCAAGATCTCTATCGAGTGGCATAGCCATAGACTTTCATAGCGGACGGTCCACAGACCTTACGGTGTCGGACGTAGTTCACGATAAGTGGATTGATAGATTGGTAATGATGCGGATCAAGATCTGATATCAATGAAGTTATGCCCCCTTGGCCCCTAAGCCCGCTCTGTGATGATTAAGCCGCCTTGGCTCTGCCAAGGGATGTAAAGACGTAAATGACCCAGGACCAGGAGTGTGTCGTGCAGTCGTGACGGCACTTTAACTACGTCATAGCAAAACACGTAATCTACATCGGGAAGGTTCGCTGGGGCGCGTCCATGTCCACACCCATTGGCGCCTCGTTGTGCAAGTCTCCTTCTTCTACAAGTCCAGGTCTGCATCGACATCTCCCAGCACATTGAGGGTTTCTTGCCAAATCTGCTTTCTTGCTTTGATGCAATCCGGATCTGTAACAATCTTTCCTGGACTAGAACACACGATAGGTCAATTGATTGCAACAACCACCCAGGAGACAGAAACTTACTGGGTGATGATTTCATTCTCCAGGTATTTCCCATGAGAATCGACGCCGTACATCGCAGCGTCAAGGAATGTCTTCGACCCGTCAACCACGTCCCGTGCGACCAACCACTGCAGGAACCTCAGGATCAGCGGCGCCTTCTCACCTCGCGACATGAGTTGGGACTTGCAAAACCCCGGCGTCACACAGTTGACAATAACTTGAGGCAGTGCACCATCTTTCGCGGCGACCATGTTCGCCAATTCAATGGTGATATAATGGTCGAGTAACTTGCTGACGGCGTACCGTTCCAAGGGATTCACACTTTGTGTCTTTTCCCACAGTTTCTTGTCGTTCAAGGCCTGGAGAATGTTCGAAGCGTTGCGTTCGGAGAAGTTGGCCATTTGGTGGATGTCGCTCGCCACAATGACCAGATGAGGAACCGCAATCGCTCCAGGATGACTGTTACTGGTATCGGACTTGGACTGCTTGAGCAATGGGAGCAATTTGAGGCTCAGCAGGGCTGTGGACAGGCAATTGACCTGGATCGTCTTCTCCCACCCATCCGAAGTCTGCTCCCATAGTCCCGTGGCCAAACCAGCGTTCATGATGGCCACGTCGAGTCTTCCGCCTTCTTTGACGTGCTTCTCAGCCCGTGCCGCAAAGCTTTTGACGCTATCGAACGACCCCATCTCCAGCGGCCACACTTCGATGGCATCCGAGGCGGCACCAGTCGTTCTTCGGATATCATCTTTGGCGGCCTCGCCTTTGGACACATTACGCACACCCATGATGATCTTAGTCGCGCCGAGATTGATTGCGTGACGCGCTGCTTCACGACCCACGCCAGTGTTGGCCCCTGTGATGAGCACGGTCTGGCCGTCAAATGAGTGAGGAGGAGGTAAAGTGGGCCGGTGGAACGGAAGCACGAGGAGATTCGACATAACGGGTGAAGTGCTTGAGAAACGTCTTCCGATTCAGCAAAAAGAATTGACAGCCAGAGTGGGTGGTGATCCGGTCGAGTTGAATGGAGGTTGAGATCTTTGACGCGGAGATTCCTTGTTGTTTTGTGCCAGAACCACAGCAGTTGTCCCTTAGGCAGGTCACATAGTACTTTCGGGAGATCGAAGCTGCGGCGTGGGCATGTGTTTGTCCGGACAACATGCATTGCCTTATCTGGCGGACGCTGCGGGCCCTGGTTCCTCCGCATATCAAACAAGCCTTGTGCAGCCTTGCGCAGCCTTGCGAGAATACGTCTCATTATTGGTCAGATCGTGGTTCACGATGACCGAAATGGCAATTGGCAGCGAAACGGACCATTGTATCGCCCGCAGCCATGGCTCACTCCACACCTACTCGTATTCCATCGCCCGGTCCAGGTGTACGTGAACAGGAGAAGCAATGGTCATAGGGTGTTATCAAGGACTGCGTGTCGAATTCAACAATGTATTTGTTTCTTGCTTGCAACGACGCTGACACTTGACTATCTTCATTCATCTCTAGGCCACCACAGCCAAATTAGAGCAATGTAGCATAACTCTGAGAAATGCTGTTATGTTCTACACCATTCCGGGCTCCAGGCGCCGTAGTAGCGCTTGATTGTCGACGATGGTGATTTGACATCTCCACTCATGTACGCCTCAGTTCGGGTATCTTCGAAAGAGGATATGAGATATGGCGTAGGTTGTCGCACCCAACGCGCACATACCGGAAACTACTCCAAAGCCAACTAGATACTTGGGAGCGTCCTTGGAAGGAAACAAGTATGCGCCGTAGATCCCGGCAAAGTTTGCCAACGAATTGATAAACGCCATACCGACGCCCCTGGTTTCTGGACGCATTGGGGCGAATGTTGACGATGAGAAGGCCAGAGACATGGCGTTGGCAGACATGACCCCTGACGCCAGAAACACTAGAAGGACATATCGGGCCGTGTAGTTGTAAATAGCGCACGTGAGGATCGCCATGACTGTCGCCACGACCAGCCATCCGGCGATGATAAGCCCGCGCACACTTGGAAATTTGTCACTCATGTATGCTGTTGAGAGGACAGCAACAAACGCCACGCTGTAGATGGGTACGGTCACTGTCTCCCGTTAGGTCAAGTTCACCAGGATTATCTGAAGAACAGCTCACTGTATTGGGCCGTGACTGAGGTATACCCTAAGCCTTTCACGAGGGTTGGATAAAAATAGGACATTGTGCCCGACGTCGCGATACACTTTGGGGTCAGCTGTTGATGATGCTATACTGTGACTGGGCGTACTCACAATATACCCAAGGGTCAGCAACCATGTCCGGAAGTCCTGCAGGGAAGCCTTCACTGCTTCCAAAGCACTCAAAGGGGGTGTATCTTCCGTGTATGTCACGATATCATCTGCCAATAGCCGCTGAGTCGCGATCTCCCGCTGACGTGGTGTAAATCCCCTCGAGGTTGCTGGGAAATCCGGCAGAATCCATACCGTGATCAGTGAACAGCCTATTGTGGCAGCTCCTTCGACGATCTGTAAACATGTGTTAGCTGCCTGGGTTACTCTTCGGGGGTAATACTACCCACAAAAAGCCACCGCCACCCAGCAATACCATGAGCACCATCGAGATGGCCAGTGATAGCACCACTGACAATCCCTCCGAAAGCACCTGACAGTACAGCTGCAGAGTAGAAAATGCCGAAGCGTCGGGATTGTTCATTCTTCTTGTACCAACAGCCGAGCATCAGACTAACACCAGGGGCGAAAGCAGCCTCGAGGATACCGAGGACGAAACGTACAGCCATCAGTGACCCTGAGCTCTTGACGGCAGCCATGCAGCAGGTAATGACACCCCAGATGGCCATGACACTACATAGATAGATTGAAGGTCGCGTCTTTGCAATGATAAGGTTGCTTGGGATCTCGAAGATAATGTAGGATATGAAGAAGACCACAAGCGCCAATGAGTACTCATTCGATGAGAGGTTGAGGTCGGCACTCATGCCTGCCACTTTCGCGTTGCCAATGCTAATATCAGTCAGCGACCATTCACCCAGCACCGCAAAATAACTTACTTCGTCCGATCAGCGTAAGAGAACAGATACATTATCCAGATAGCGGGCATCAGCAGCAGGTCAATCTTGCGGCGCACCGCTTTCTCCTCTGCTTCCGTATAGTCCACCACATTTCCGACCTGTACGTCTGCTGAGTTGCGCAACTTCGGATTGGTTTCGAAGGACGGCTTCACGTTAGTCAACGCGTTGTCCTTGATGGTTGGGCCAGCGACCTCCATTGTTCAGATATGCGAGTTTCAAAGTGATATGAAGTTGCACAATTTGCATGACTAAAGCTTTGTGCTCGCATGGACTACGCTGTTCATATAGGTCCAGCCGTAGGACGAGGTTGGCGGTTGAAACCGTCGTCCCCAGATACGTGGCGGTATCGACCGCCGCTGTGCGGTATATTGCGCTCGCCGATAATACTTTATTGTAAGCGGATGATAGCGCTTTGACGGGCCGCAGCTGTCAAGTCTCTCGTCGTGTGGAGCCGTGCCAGCCTGTTATCTTGAGAACGGTCCTGGAGCGAAAGAGAGTCCTTATGTAGCTCGCTTCTTATCGCAACTTGCTGGTTTAAACTACTTGATCCGTCCATCAAGCAATGTACGTCGTTCACTTGACCCATCCTTGGGCGTCATAAGATGGTATTTGGGTAGATGTAGCTAAAGTCCCTGCGTAAAGCTCTTTGCGGTATTCACCGCTCGAGCGCCTCCCTGATAAGGTCATCTGCCAATAACATGGTTCCATCTACATACCTAACCTTAGGTGACTACGTGGGTAAGATAGACCTTCCCCACGAAGCTTTTGGGATCTGATTCAGTGCCAGTCACGGCCACTCAACACGGATATCAGCTCTCATCCGTCATGTTCCCAACCCCACTACCATCCGTTTTGGAGGCAGAACTTCTTTTCGGCTATTACCGCTCTCAAACCGAAAGACCGATTTCTGCACATAAGTGTAGAGTCAAACTGATTTTGCCGGTGCACCTACTTTTCACCTGCATTTCTGCTTCCTGTCGATTTTCCAGCCAAGTAAAATGTCCCAGCGCTTGCCAGACTCGATAATTATCGTTGGTGCAGGAATTTGGGGGTTATCAACTGCACTCGCCATCGCTCGGCGCTATCCTTCAATAGAAATCACTCTTGTCGACCGTCAGACACCCCCTGTCGAGGATGGCGCAAGCGTCGACACTACCAGATGCATACGAGCAGACTATGCAGATCCTGTCTATACCCAACTTGCAGAGGAAGCTCAGAAGAAGATAGAAGAGGATCCAGAGCTCGTCCCGTTTTACTTTAAACAGGGCATGACCTTTGTGTGCAACGGAGAATCGAGACCAATCCTTGACTTCTGGAAGAAAGGCCTGGAAAACAACAAAAAGAGCAGTAACGATAGGTTGGTTCAAATGCCTACACCCGAGTCAGTATATCAACGTCTACATGGCCAGAGCGCCCAACTTGTCCCTGAAAATATCCTGAATGAGAAAAGGCAATGGAATCTAGGTTATTGCAACCTAGATGACGCTTTCATTGATGCAAAGGAGTGTACACGGGTGTACTATGAGCGGTGTTTGAAGTACCCATCCATATCTTTCCGATGTGGAGTGCCTGTCCAACGAGTGTGCATGTCCAATGGACGGACATCAGGGGTTCTTCTAGAAGATGGCCAGACATTGTCTGCATCTCAGGTGTTGATTGCCGCTGGTGCTTGGTCAAATCAATTACTGTATCTGGAGGGTCTGGCGGTCTCTAATGGCATCGCGGTGGCCTGGATAAAATTAACAGAGGACGAGATCGCAAAGTGGAAGAATATGGCAATCACAACAAATCTCGACACTGGCTTGAACCTTTTCCCGCCTCACAACGGCGAGATGAAGGTATTGCTTAGGTCTATTGGATACCAGAACACAGTTTCCATACCTCATCCAGAAGATGCTAGCAAAAAGATTCAGACATCGCTGCCTCGAACTCTTCTTACCAACCCCACAGACGTTATACCACCACAGGTCGAAGCTCGACTTCGGGACAACCTACGTGAGCTTATGCCTTCATTAGCGAATCGACCATTTGATCGCACAAAGATCTGCTGGTAAGCTCTCTTCAATGTGCCTGCTTGAAACTATAATGCTTACTGCATGCTCTAGGGTGTCAAAAACACCATCCAGCGACTTTATCATCGCCCCACACCCTGCCATCGAAGGACTACATGTCGCAACTGGTGACTCGGGGCACGGGTGGAAGTTTATCACCACCATTGGTGATATGATCTTGGACTCTATGGAAGGAACGCTGGACAAGAAGCTGGCCGAGAGATGGGCCTGGGCTGCAAAAGGCCCAGACAATGGAGCTGCGCCTGGAGTAGGTGGCAACCCGACTGAACTCCGACATGTCGTTCGCAGTAGACTTTGATCTCAAGAGACAAGGAACGATTACAAGGCCAAATTTATATGGCATCCCAAGTGTAACAGTTGTGGGAAGTTGAGCTGGCGCGCTTGTCGGGCACTGATCCACCTAAGTTAAAGAACGATAAGGAGGTGGAGGTGCCTAGACACTACCCCGCCATACCCGCTTGGGCTTCCAACTGATAAGAGAACCACGAGATCCAGACAATCTTGCCTTTTTCCGAACTCATCTAGGTCGGCATCAGTCACGCTGCTCGCTCTAGATCTCCCATGGTTCAGGACTCCACCAGATGCCACCAACCGAAGCGGAGCATGTCAAGATGCGGTTGGGCAGAAGATCAAACATTACGGCGTGCATCCGATGTAGGCGAAAGAAAAAGCGGTGCGACCAGGAGCTTCCTGTGAGTGTCTTCTGCCATGGCATGCTTCCTGGCTGCTATGTCTAAAGAATGGTCATATTGAATCTCTGATAGAAATGTGGCCTTTGCGAGGATGCTGGTGCCGAATGTGTAAGCTACGATGCGGCATCCCAGAGACAAATGCCTCGAAGGTCAGTATCGCCCCCCAGGTTCTCGACCTTGCTTGCAGGACATCCTTTGACATGTCTGATACAGCTACGTGCGCAACCTCGAAAAACGGGTCTCTGACCTTGAGTCGAAACTACGGGATCTTGGTATTGAGAACCTTGATGTGGAAGAGGAACCACGTAGTACTGGCTTCGAAGTCATGCACTCACCATCGCCCGAGCGAACATCAGGAGGCTTCGCAAGAAGAGATTTATCGAGGGACGCTGCCGCTGGAGCCGGCAACCCACTCAATGGCAGCTCGAGCCTGCTACGACGCGAGTCCTTTGGCGAGCCGGCTTTTAACAAGATTGTACTGACCGATCTAATGAGAGCGAAACCCACAGCACACAGAGCTGAAGACCCAGGGCGTGACCACATGCATGTTGAGCGAAACTTCTCGACCGATGAGTTCGACACCTCACCTATCTCGCTCCCAACGAGGAAAGGCGCTCAGAGCCTTATCAATGCATACTTCCATTTCGCGGATCAAAGTTTGTCATTATTACACAAACCGACACTAGAACAGAAAGTGGAGCTTCTTTACACTACACCGCGCGTTGCCGACCTTACAGAAGCCAGCACAGACTTCAAGATGGCAGTTTTCTTCGTTTTTGAGGCCTTCGCGGTGGCTTTGTTGACACTTCAAAAGTATGACCCTCTGAAAATACCAACTTCACTTGCAGAGAGATATCATAATACGGCGCTGAAGACCATCAACGAAGTCGGCCTACCCAGCGATCTAGAAGGAGTACAAGCTCTTTTGCTGATCGCGCAGTACTACTATCACCACCCGACAGTTTGGGCTGTATGGAAGACGGTAGGGAGCGCCCTACACCTCGCGGTAGAACTAGGCCTACACCAAGATCCACCAGCGGGCGAGAGGCTAGACGCTGTTATGCTTGACAACTTAAGGAGGACATTTTGGGTTGGGTACACAATGGATAGGAGTATCTCAATGACTCTGGGGCTACCAACTCTATTATCAGATGGAGCGATTACGGCAAAGGTAGGTATTGACACCCTTGCCGCATGAAAGTCTGACCGGCAATAGTTCCCCAGTGAAGAGCCAGATGAAAACATCACAGTCAACGGTATCACTATCGGGAATATAGCTATACCCAAGCCGAAGCGATTGGGCCTCCACTTGCTACGCTACCGCCAGCTCCAGTCCGAAATGCGCATGGTGCTGTACGAGAAATCACCTGCAGCTTCAGCCTACATTCCAGTCGATCTGGATAAGTGGCAGCATCAGATGCATGAGCGCATCAAAAGCTGGTATGCTGATACTCCCAGTCGTCAGTCGCTAACCCATCGCGAAGAACGATACATTGAAAATCTCGAGGTTACATACTACGCGGCACTATTTTACCTCTATCGTCCGTCACCCAATGTTCCTAATCCATCCAAGGAGCTTTTGATGGCTCTTGCAGACGCCACGATGAATATGATTCGCCTTTATCGCCTATTTTTCACCAAGAAGCAGCTCACCATATACTGGCTAGCGGTGGATAATTTGTTTTCGGCAGGGACTGCATTGATTTACGCTTATGTAAACTCGACCCTGGTCCAAGAGCGTATCACGTTGCGCAACCTGGAGTCGATGATGCACACCTGCTCATCTGTCCTATGGGGCATGGTCGAGCACTTTCCCAACTTCGGAGACAAGCGCGATAGATTTGATGCATTGGCTTCCAAGACCCTCAAAGATCTCGGCACGGCTCACAGCGAGTATGCTGCGACGGGCCTTTCCTCTACACCTATTTTGGGGCCACAAGGACAACAGCCGCCAGTCTTCGAGGCGAATGGCGCAGATCAAGCGCCACATCCTGCTTATACAATCACGTCAGCCGATGACCAAAACCTCAGTCAATACGCTCAGTTGCCACCACTGATGGCTGGTGTCGAACCCGGCACGAACGTGGCCCATATGCCCTTCTCTTTCTCCGACTTCGACGGCATATCTTTCAATTGGGAGACTCTTGAAAACACCATTGACTTTTGTACACCCTCTTGGCTATAAAATGAGAAACAAAACGCGCGTGTGAGCATGGAGGAAACGATGAATAAATGACGGCTCTGTGGTGTGTCTGACATTTCCACCGATACGACCCCTTTGATGTGGACAACCTCTACATTGATTCTTATTGAGAAGACGCTCCCCGGAATAATCGTTCTGTGCTTGATTCAATTTGACCAGCCTGCTCTTGGTAGATAATCCGGACCTCATCTTCGACGGAGGCGAGGAAGCCAGCGGCGGTGATGTCAGGCTGCCAGCCAATTTCACGGCTCTTGACGCCTTTGATTCGTGAGCTACGCCCAGATTAGCACTTTCGATACGGCCTCTCTAAGGATGACAACATACTTCGAGCCCCAAATGACTTCCACCATGTGGGCGTTCAGGAAGGGGATGCTGAGCGCACTGGCGAACTCATCCGGCGACACCTTCTTGACCTGGGCTGTCTGAAAGAGTCCCTGAGCATGGCCTGATCGAGCGATTGCCTTGGATATGTCGAGCCAAGCGACCTCGCCGGCCTCCAAAAAGTGGTAGCCTTGTTGGCCAAAGTCGACGGATTGTCCATCCGCAATGCGTCGAGCGAGCAGGTTATACATCCTTGCGACATCAGCGATGTGCACAACTGTCCAAATCTGGACGAGCGTCAGCAAGGGCTCGGGAAAAATGGTATCTGAGGGACAACTCACTCCTGAACCCTCTCCGAGGACGATAGGCTGTTCGAAGCCCAATGACATCTTGATCAGGGTGGGAACCTGCAGCGACCTCTGATTGATGGGCCCAGCACCTGTGCCGTCTGGAGTGGAATACTTAGTCACAGTTCTCCGAGATAAACTCGTGACTTCAAAGTGAAGGGCACTTACAGATCAATGGAGGATTCACAATTGCTGTTTTCACACCAAGACGTACCCCAGCCTCGGTGATGGCCACATCGACCTTCCTTATGATCCAGGTCTCGGCGTGCTCCTTCTCCCAGCTGAAGATGTCGTCCTTGTCACTGCGTACTTCCAAATTTGGCGTGCCGGTGTATGGATGGTCGCCAAAGTTGGAGGTCCCTGAGGTCTTCTAAAATTTCAGCAACCGCAACATTGACACAGAATCTGAGCTGGTCAACTCACATGGATATAATAGGCGTTTTTGTTAGACTTGGCTTTGCGATCTCCCAGACCCTCAACAAGAGCTATACAGGATGGGAGATCCATTGCCGAAGCACAGCTGATGGCGACTTTATTGGGTCAGTATGTAACTCTGAAGTTTTGAAAGGGGGCGGCTTACTGTCATTATTGCTGGCTGCCTTTTTGATCACCTCGATGTCATGCAGTCCCTCGAACAGCACTGTATTGACTCCTAATTTCTGAATGATCTGGGCGTGCTCTCGGGATCGTACAAGTGCAGAGATCTTGGACGCATCATAGCCAGAGGACAATAGCTGCGCCAGGACAGCACCGCCACTGAAGAAGGTGGGTCAGTCAATACGAACAGCTGGAAAGATGTCTGATCCCATTCCTTACATATATCCAGAAGCACCAGTGAGGAGAATGCTAGGTGAACTCATTACCGCCGTTGTAGATTCTCTGATTTTTGTTTGACGACGTATACAGCTGGATTGACGCCTGAGTTCTGTGGTACTTATACTGTTAGGCAATTTTGAGACGGTGCATAGTCGTCAAACTCTTTACATTGGAATGCATAAGCACAGCATATCTCGCGCATAATATAATACTCCGGTGGCTACAGTGGCTTCAAAGCACAAGTACATACTATGATTATTCTGTGTACATACTAAACATCGACATCGGAAAAGGTGGAGCTGATGCGAAACTCATGCCCGGTGTATCAGCTGGCAGAATCGTGCTTTGTTAGCCCTTATTTTTTGATTACACCTCAGCTGAATGTGGGGAAGCCTCGTACGAGAATTCTAGGCCCTTATGGTCACTAAATGGTTTGTCCTAGACAGCCACATGAATGTTAGCCCTTGTTGGCCAGCCCCCGTCTCGCCAACCGTCAAGCTGCTTATTGATCTCGTCTGCATCCAGCCCTTTGATCACATTGAACGGTGTAGGCTGCAAGACTCCATCATCGATCAGATTGGGCAGGGCCTTGAAGAACTCCGCCGCCACCTGTCTGAACAGCACGGGTCCGGCAACGAACCTCTGCACCCTGTAGCCCGCCCTCTTGGAGCCCACGGCCGTCGCATCGATGGCGTTATCGCGAGGACGCAAAGGCACAAATGTACCCTCCTTTGAGTCGGACAGCAGTCGAACTCCCAATGTTTGATCGTCTGCGTTTACAGTGTCGCAGACGTATAAAAGGTCGTCGCCCACAGCATGTCGAACTGCCTGATAGACATTATCATCCGATAGACAGCGATCGATAACAAGGTTTGCGCCCATTTCTTTCAAGGTCTTCTCTGCGTGAATCCCAGCGGTAAGGATGATTGTCCCAACCCCAGCCCATTTCGCCAGCTGAATGCCGGATTTACCACAAGCAGAGTTACCACCGACGATGACCATGCTGACTTTGCTGTAGTCGAAACCCTTACTGTCCGCAGACAAGGGTGAGGGCAAGCCGAATCCCAGTTGCGAAAAAGAGCGCGACGTAAGACGTCAGCGCGTTCAGGATAATGGTTGAAGTTTGGTCCGGAGTGACTGCTATCGGCAGAGGCGCAATAAAATCCGCCTCAAGCAAAGCATATTCCTGGGAGCCTTTTGTATCTGATAATGCAGGGTCACCTTGGCCAAAAACCTGGTTACCAATGTTGAACGAGGTCACATCTGGACCAAGCTCGGCTATTTTTCCAACGATGTCGACGGCAAATGTGGCGGGTAGGTTCTCCTTTCCCACGAAATATGCAATCTCGCGAACGCGACCATCGTGTGGATTTACTGGGAAGAAGTAAGTACACTGGGTAGCCAAAGAGGCTATACAGCTCACATCCTGCAATGGAGACTTTGACGAGCACCTGACCTGATCCAGGTTTGGGGATAGGACGATCGATCAGCTTCACCGGGTGCGCCAGCTCATTTACACCGATTGCCTTCTGGGAGGGCATCGTGAATACACAATTATTTTTGGGTGCGACACAATACTTCGTCATTCATTGAAGGTAATATGATACTCTTCTTTCCTCGCTCCGAAAACGTTGCGGACCGTCGCCTTTATTCGACGGCGTAATGCATCAATCGTATTCCCACAAGGCATACGTAGCGTGACCATGTAGCCATCATCGCTACAGGGAGATGTCGACTAATCACACCTCAGGCTGAAGGACGTCGAGAGCCCATGAAAGTCATGTTTACACATCGGCACCTTGGGTGCATGCAGTATGCGCGCGAATGCAAAGGCATGTCATGCATAACGGCTGCACTGATGCACAAATGAAATACGAAACGACGATTTTGTCATGAAAATCCTGCGGTTGACTCACCACTCATGTAGCCAGGTCAAAAATTACCCAATAAGAAATTCGGAAACCTTTGGGACATTGAGATATAAAGAGGATGTTGAAGTTGGGGTGCTTCGAGGTTTTTGATTACTTTTCAGGGGTTGCAGCCCTTCAATACATCATTGGTCGGCCTTGCCAGATGGGAAGTCCGCTTCAGACTGCCGTTTCGGGCTATGACGGAACCCCTTCCACTCCTTCCGACGACTGCTGGGTACGTCTGGTGTGTATACGTTTCACTCGAGGCTGTGCTAGGCCAGCACGGGTCGAAGACTGGGCTGCCGCGCGGAGGACCATGGCCAAATTAGACTGCTTGGACGGGCGACAGGAGCCTCCCAGAAATCGCGTCCAGTCATTGTCCGGGCAACAGGCTGCTCTTCCCCTCCGCCCGATAATGAAGTCCATTATGACCACATACAAGAACACAGGAGCCGAGTTCGTGGGGAATCGAGAAAGGGACACATACTGTGGCATACGATGGTGATGGAGCAGGCGGAGGCAATTCTCCGTGGCGTTGTCATGTTCTGTGAGAAAGGTCCATTGCAACGCAAGCTTGAGTGTCAATGCTTGATGTCTTCATCAGCTGGTACCCTTCGGCGCCCAGTCTGTCCCATAGAAATCAACCTGAAGCACGGGTCCATGAATGGGATTGAGAAAATCTTTCCAGGTTGCCATTGGACTGATTATCAGATATGTGGAACGCTGCCAAGCCAACAAGCCACAACTACGTAGTTGGCTTGCGTAGTCGGCGGATTCTTATCACCACCTATCTATGCCTTATCAATCTACTAATCACAGATGAACCAGAAGCGGTCTGAGTTAACCCCGGGAGTCACAAGGACTGATGTTGGTGAGACCCTGCCGTTCTTCCCGAACGGAGTATTCCGACGAATTTCGAGGGCACGCGACCACTTTATCGCTTTTGTCCTTTTTCCAACTTGAACGCCACAGATCGCATGATGTGCAGGGAAAACAGCGATATTACCTTTAGACTAAGTGCGGTAGTGATGGCACCTGTCAAGAAAATGCTGCTTATCTTCCAATCATGTACAATGCCGCATGATCTATGCCTGGGGTATTTCAGTCGTGGGCCGGTGAGAGGCCGAAACTACGATGCGCCAGCAAGGGTGCACCGTGCACTATATACGTACAAGGGATCACACTAAGCGACGGACTTTCTGGATAATGCGCTTTGGGTGGGAATTTCACATCATTGGGATGGCAGCGATGACGCCCCACTATCACACCCCCGGTCGTCTCTGGATCTTGAGGCCGCGTGGCGGAAGACGTCGACTTCTTCCTCCTTATCCATTATTGCTCCAACGACACACACTTCAAGGAGACGTTCCGAGCTTGAAAATTTGGTACTCCTAATAAGACTGTCCGCTATTCAGGCGCCCTTCCACTCTCGTCATGTGCATCGCACCGCTGAAACGACGACCACGGAAAGGAACACAAGAAAATGGGATGGCCTGGCTTGATTGTCCTGTTACTTCTTGCGGCTGTCAGGACGATCTGGGCCGATCAAGCACTCTTTGAGTCCGATAAGGCCTTCGACAAAGGAGAATATGGCGATTTCGTGAAGGAAGACTACAAATCGGTCGGACTGACCTCCGCGCCCCGACCAAACGTGTTCGAGCGAGTGCCCGGGGCATGCGATGGCGACGATGGACTGATGGTCATGGTCACGCTGAGAGGCGGGGCTGTGCCGCAACCAGGACCATCGATCCTCGATGGACAGGGGAGACTCGTCTGGAGCAACACGAATTACGTTCAACCATACAATCTGCAAGTACAGACATATCACGGTGAACAATTCTTGACTCTGTGGGCCGGTAACGACGGTGTCAAGGGGCACGGCGCCGGATTTTATTACATGGTGAGATATACCATGTTCTCGTGACCATCTGGATCAGGCTTGACTTACCCGGCCTTGGAATAGCTCGATTCGACATATGCCGAACGGTACAGAATAGCAGCAGGCAACGGCTTGGAGGCAGACCTCCACGAGTTCCACCTCACGCCCAACGACACCGCCCTCATCACCATATACCAGATCATTCAGTTCGACCTAACGTCCGTCGATAAACCTGTCAATGGATGGATCTGGGATGGATTGTTCCAGGAAGTGGACATTGAGACGGGCGAAGTGCTGTTTGAGTGGAGAGCGTCCGACCATGTTGCTGTGGCTGACTCTTTCTGGGGCCCGGGCACATTGGGTGTCACGATGAACGATGCCTGGGACTTTTTCCACATCAACAGCGTTGAGAAGGACGAGCGAGGAAACTACCTAATTTCATCACGATGGATGCACGCTATTTACTACATCAGTGGCACTACAGGGGACATCATATGGACACTAGGTGGTCGCGAGGAGAACAACAACTTTCGAGACCTGTCCGATGGAGCCGCCACACACTTCGCTTCCCAGCACCATGCCCGCTGGCACGATGGGTACTCGTCCATCACGCTTTTCGACAATTCCAACCCTAATGGTCCCGGTCACCCAAGCTCGGGTTTGTGGCTCGACCTCGACTTTGAAGAGATGACGGTCAAGTTGCGAACCCAGTACCTCAGCCCGATCACTGTCCGATCTGACTCGCAGGGTTCTATGCAGACCTTACCGAGCGGCAACGTCCTGGTCGGGTATGGGAGCACCCCCCAGTACGTCGAATTCAGCCGCGACGGCGATGTTCTGTGCGAGACGCACTTAGCTCCTGCGGATGGTTTCGGCACTGCCTCAGTTCAATCGTACCGGATCCAAAAGTTCGCGTGGGTCGGGAAGCCTCAAACGGAGCCGGACATCGCTCAAATCAACGGCACTCTCTATCTCAGCCAGAACGGTGCCACGGAGATTCGGTACTGGAAGATCGAAGCCACAGACTCCAAACCAGAGAAAGAGGTCGATGACAACTCCTCCTCCAGTAATGTTGAAGCTGAGTTCCACGAAGTCATGCGCGTGGAAAAGGCTGGGTTCGAGACCGTCATACCTCTGGTCGGCGTTCAACAGCCATACATCCGAGCAACTGCTCTCGACGCAAGTGGCAACTCGCTAGGTCAAACTCGGACAGTCGATCGAGGCGAAATATTGCCAACGGTCTCAGAAACAGCGACCACAGAAACCAAAGGAGCGAAGGAACTTAGACGAGTTCAACGGAGTTTGCTCATCGCTGCAGTGTCGCTGGTTGGCGCAACATTACTTTTCGGGATCGGATTCGGCGCTTTCGCTGCGTTCTCGTACTTCCGAAAGCACTCGCACTACCAACGAGCTCGAGGAGAACAGGAGATGGAAGAGGAAATGATGTTCGATGAGTCGATGTTGTCAGGTCCTGACGAAGTGGACTTGTACCCCGAAGAGGATGATGACGACGATCACGGCGATCTCGCAATAAAGCGGGCATCGACATCGGGCTCTGAAATGGCAATGCTCAATCCCAGAGCGTCAAAGCAGCTGGAAAGAGACAGACCAAGCATTTCACCATAATTTTAGTAAAACTGTACCAGCACTATGTACTGTTTCGTTAATTATGCATACTTGGTACGACCATAAAACTCATCGCATGCGATCAAATCTAATCACTTGGCAAAGCCCTGGACACGTGACTGCTCGTGCAAAACTAACAAACACGAATCTTCGACCGTGATTGGCTATGACGCGCAACGTAATACCTCTATGAAATCCAATGCTGAGAAGAAATCCACGCTTGAAATTCGCAATGTAACTTTTTGGGGGCTGGAGTTTAGAGATCCATGCTCTCTTATATGGTGGGGTGGTCTACCCCGGAGTCACGCGGTCACTGTATCCAACTTAGCTCCTCCGCGACCTCGACCTCCCATATTTGGTTGACCGCCAACACAATGATCTTGTTTCCTGCGAGGGCAAAATTGGCAACGGGCACAGCGGTGGAGTCGAGCACTTTGGCATTGATGAATCCCAGCAGCCGGCCCGTCGCATCACGACACATGATTCCCTCGGTCTCTGCCGTCCACACTCTGCCCGATCGATCGACCTTGATCCCATCCGGGATGCCCGTCCTTGCGAGCGAAAACATGCGTTTGGAGACCGGGGTCACCGTGTCGTCGAGGTCCCAGACAAAGACCGCCGCGGAGCCGGTGGTGTTACCGGGCCCGGAACCCTGGAGATTGGAGACTGGAGAGTCCGTCACATACAGTCTTTTGCCGTCGGGCGACACCGCAATGCCGTTGGGCGAATTTATCTCGGCGCGCGAAATCACTGGCTGCAGAGAGTTGAGGGTCGGGTTGAAGCGCCAAATTGCATTGGGCAGCTGCGCAGGGCCGGTGAAGTTGAGGAGTGCGCTGTAATCCACGTCGGAGAAGAACATCACTGGGTCCGAAGTGTTGTCCGGACCGGTCGTCCACGCCATATCATCGGGGCCATTGAGTCGCAACCCGAAATACGAGTTGACCACGGTCGTGGTGTTGCCGCTCTCGGGGTCGATGGCCACGATGCCGCCGGCGTAGGTATAGTTTCCCCAGTGACAGATGTAGATCTTGCCGTCGTGGTAGATTCCACCGTTGGCGACCAGCACAGGTGCCGTCAGATTCGGCACAGAAACCTCATAGCTGGTGAGGTTGATGTTCAAAACAATGCGTACCGATTCGTAGGACGTCAAGCTGCTTTCCGTGGGGTCTGATCCGGTAAACCAGACGCTGTTGAGTTCGGGGTCATAAGCACCCGCTTCATACGCGAACTCGGCCTCAAGGGGGCCTGCGATCCGTCGAGCGGAAGGTGAGGGTCCCAGAATGTCCAGGAAGTCTTGTGAGTAGGATATGAACGTGGCGTTTTCAGCCGAGGCCAGAAGGGTGTCGACCGGGGACGAGGGCGGGATGACCGTGTCGACGAACCTCAGCGAATAGTTGCTTGAGAAAGTCGCCGGAAGAACGACCGTATCGCTGGGCGGTATGGAAACGATGACATTGTTGGCGGTAGCATTGGAAGATTGGGCGGTGGCGGCGATGGCGGCGATGACGGTGGTCAGGAAGCCAGTGAGGACGAACCGCTGGGTGATAGGGCCGTGCATTTTGACCGCGGAAGGAATGGACTTTCGGGATCCAGACACATTCGTCGCCGTCCAGAGCCGTATGACCTGCTATATGCTCCTGGTCACTGACCTTCCCCAACCTACCCCACATTTTAGTTGCTCGCCCAGACGAGCCGGTTGGTATAGTTTTCTGCTGCTCGATCATCATGTCTTTCTGCGGGGAAAGAGGCACGTAACTCTAATATCGTACCCCAACATTCGCTGGTCTATGACGTACCCAGGGCCCCGAGATCGGGGTGGTCCAATCCACCACCCACATGGTTCAACATTCGCTTGTCTCTGGAAAATCTGGAGGCCTCATGTCGGGGTCACACCCAACCCACGAGCCCCATTGATTGAGAACTCTATACTCGTCTTGCAAAGGGTCTCTCACGCCTTCGACCTTGGGGAATGCTTGGCTCGGTTGGAGAAAGACATGCTGGGCTTGTCCGGGAGAACCGCCAGGATAGTTGAAGCTGACCGGTGACTTCACTCGAGCATCTGTGCGCACCTTATTTTGTGCAGGTTCGGCTGGGGTCTTTATTCTTTGACATCCAGAACCCGAGCCGAAGAGGGAGAGAGTCGAGAAGAGGTGAGTCGCAGGAGGAGAGTTTTGTGGTCGAAACGATTTGGATGGGCGCCTGTATGACCTCATTAGAGGTGCCAGAAACGGTAATTTCAGGTACGGTGCACCAAGTTGGAGAATCTACTTCAAAAGTATTGGGAGACGCTTTCAACTTTCGAACCACATTTGCCGCGGTACTAAGTCGTCATCGAGAAGAGAGGATAGGCGGTGTGAACCTAGGTTAGATTTAGTGGTGTTACTACGACTCCTGGAAGTAATATTGAGTAGGAGAGTTGACTTGAGTATCTCTTCGCTCGAATGAGAACCCGCACCGCGGTTGTCTATTGATTAACGCCGAGGTTTGCACATTGTAAAGAACGCCCTAATCTTAGAAACGACCCTATTCGATCTACGCCGCATTAAACGAGAATCTGATTTCTTAAGACTGATCGCGAGAATTATGCCGACGATCTCAGAGGTCGGAACGCAGATCGTTGCACATCGATTCAGTGGAAGTAAGTATATACCTAAGTTCTGGATTTAATCCTCCTTAGCGAGGAGGTCTCTCGCCATTACATGGAAATTCGGCCATCGATATCATCCTACGGACTCACTTCAAATCGAAGGGAGCAATTCTTGATAGATATACAAATGTCACACGGGATTCGTCATGCAGCGGTCCATCGAAATCATGTCAGCAAAATCACACTGAAAGAACACTCATCCTGCGTTGGACGGGTCTATTGTGGCGCCGATACCAGACGCACCACTGGTAAGTACTACAACTGAATCCTTTAATCGTGTGTAGTCGAGGGATGCGTGGTTTGGATCGAATCTAGCCATATTCTACGTCGTAAAACAGAAAGCCAGAGGGGCGTACAGACCTGAAACAGGCATGAGGATCGAACGGTTGGCCAGAGGTCTTTCTTCCCGGGATCATATGCCGTAGACCGAGGTACTCTTTCGTTTCACATCCGAAAGTCCCAAAGGTAAATATGACCCACACTCAACTTCACATGCTCTCGGAGTCTCCCCAGTTTGTCGACCAGACGGTCCTTTTCCGATGGGGGTAGCGAGACTCTACCTGTCAAGGGACCGGCACGAAACGACACTTGTGACCAAAAGACAAATACTCCCCTTGGCCATGCTGTTCAAAATCCAGATGCACAGGCAACTGTGTCGGCTTGTAACGTCTTTCTGCCATTGATCACCAAGACTTTCTCCCCTGCAAGATGGCCGCCAGCACGCGTCACCTTGAAGTTTACACCCAGTCCAGTTCGGAAAAAGGTCTTTCCTCTGTGACAACTTTGATCGTCGGTAGCAAGGCAGCAGTGATCATCGATCCACCTTTCTTGGTCCCTGATGCGAAAGCGGTCGTTGAAATGGCAAAATCCAAGACGTCCAAACCCGTCGTGGCAGTTTTTGTCACCCATCATCATCCAGACCATTATTTCTCGGCAAACCCCATACTTGAAGCATGGCCCAAAGCCAAGTTTCTCGCACACCCTTACGTGCGTGCAGGCATCGATCGAGAATACGACGAGAAGGTGATCTATTGGCCCCAGGTTTTCGGTCGCGAAAGTGTTCCAGTCAACCCAAGGAGACCCGAAGTTTATAACTACTCCTTCTTCATCCTCGAGGGTGACGAGGCAAGTCCAATTGCGCTCCTTGGACCTGTCCAGGGTGACTCAGTCGATCATACTCTATTTTGGATGCCTCGGGAGCGAATCATCGTCACTGGTGATGCCGTATACGCCCGTACGACACATGCGTGGGTGGAAGAGATTGAGACGCCCGATATTCTGCATGCTTGGAACCTGACGCTCCAACTCATCGAGGCCTTAGATCCTGTCAAGATCATTACTGGCCATATCGAGTCTGGAGCGGACTTTGACAAGGAAAAGGACCTCGAGCACATGCATCAATATCTTGGCTTATTCGAAGAAAAGATCACTAATGCTAAAGAGAAGCCGCAAGTCCAAGACCTCTTCGACGCATTCAAGACTGCATTCCCCCATTGCACGAAGAATCTTGATTTCTTCTTAGGTCACTTGAGCAATCAATTTGGGGAGGGAGGACAGAAGTGGGAAGAGAACAGACAGCATGATGTTGCGAGTCGAACAAGGGACTCACTCGAGGGATTTCTCTTGGGTACAGGAGCAAGCAAGTGAAGACAAATTTGGCAATTTCTAGATCATAGTTTTCTGCATTCACAAGAGCGGAAATGCAAACACGATTAACGTCACAGATGCCTAATAATGACGTAAATGCATTAGGGCAGAGTACGGCTGAGGGAACTGGAAGCCGTCAGCTCGAGCTCGACGGTGTAGACAAAGTGTTTAAGAGAGCGCCCCTCGCCCCTCTTCTCTTGCTCCTGGTGTTCTCCTGCCTTACTACATGGTTTTCTAAACACGGTAGCTATTATGGGCATGTGAGCGAGCCAGACGCACGTAAGAATCACCAGATTCACCACGCATGATGCACAGCCTAGACACCCGACGAGAGAAAATGGTGACCTGTACCGGGTCATCAATCCAATCACAGCATTTCAAGAAGATTGAGCATACACAATATGTAAGTCGACATGTACATCGGATCTGGGCCAGGCGGTCATGCACCACCTATCCAGGATACCCCGACAGCAGGAGTGGCTTCGCTAGTTCTTGCTTGCAGGCTGCAGCCACGGAAGCGAGCAGGAGGGGTTTGTGTAACAAGGGCGACGAAAGACTTTGTTCCTTGTAACTCTCGGTCGGCGTGAGTTTTGCCTTCCAGCCTTAGCCCAGAATCATGATTAGCATGCTGTACCACCTGTCGCGCCCAAGCTCTTCAACCTTCTTTGAACCTTTGTTGGCCTCGGTAACCCAGCTTGGCTTGTCAATATGGGATCCTCATTGGAGCTCCTCCCGAAACGGCTTATCATCTGCGTGGATGGCACTTGGTGTTGTCCGGATGGTACCCGACCAACCGGGACGAAATCTGGCAATCAGACACTTGACACTGCCGGACCGCAGCGTTCCAACTTGACCATTGTTTACCAAATCTACATGTGCCTGAAGCGGGAGAAGTGCATTGACAGTCGGACAGGGAAGACCTTCAATCAATGCCCGATGTACGTTGACGGGCTAGCTTCGACGGCCGATTTCTCTTCGACAAAGCGCGCCTGGGTTGGCTAATCAGGCTATGGCTACGAGAAACAGATCCGTCAAGTTTACGAAGGGTGCTGCAAATTGAACAACGAGGGCGACGAGGTTTGGCTGTATGGATTCAGTCGTGGCGCCTTCGTGGTTCGCGCTGTCACTGGCATGCTGTATCATCTCAGAGCCATCAAGTCTGCCGGAACCGAAGCTTTCTCAGCAAACTACAAAAAGGCGTTGGAAATTATATAAATCAATGCAGGAACCAGGGAGACTTGGTCCGGGCCAGGTGAGTTGGCGGATCTATGTGGCTGAAAGTGCCACATTTATTCTGGTGCCCGCGTTTTCATGCACCGCACTACTGTCAAATGTGCCAGCGCTGAGTGCTTGACAGATACACCGCTGGCTAGCTGAAGGCACCCGACCCGCCCCCAAGATACACTTCATGGGTGTTTTTGACACGGTCAAAGCAGTAACGGACCAATATCCTTTCGATATCTCGCTGAATGACAGTATTCAGCATCTACGTCACGCGCTGGCTTTGCACGAGAGCCAGTCCTTCATGTGCCCCGAGTACATCTGGCCTGAAGCCAGCCACGCCGGAAATGAATCGGGAAAGAGAAGCATTGTACAGGCATGGTTCGTGGGCGCGCATCTTGACGTGGGAGGTTCCGCAGATAATGCTGGTCTCTCTTTATATCCGCTGCAGTGGATGTTACTTGAAAGCCTTGCCAACGGCCTAGTGTTGGAGTTCACTGGAAACTTCCAAGGGCGAGCGTCTGTTGACAACCCTCTTGAGGTCGTCTTTCCCCCTACGTCTGACTCAGGTCGGAATGGCGCGATTCATACCTACGCAACCAAGAACGATATCAACGTCAAGATGCAGGATTTGCGAAAGGTTCACCATCTTGAACGATATGGGACTCGCTATAGCATCAAGGTCAACCGTAAAGGTAAAGGGCCTCTATCATCTTTCATCACCAGTGCACGGCAGTCGTTCGATTCGGATGGCAATTTGCACGGCCAGGGCTCGATCATTCACCCCTCCGTGTACTACCTGATGGATGAATGGCCGTTAGTGTCTTTCAGCAGCAAAGAGATTGATCTCCAGTATAAGCTGGAGGCAGTCCGTTTGGATATGCTGGGAGAGGACGGTGAGTGCTGGAATCAGGGGTTCTGGAATGATGGTACAACAGCAGCGATGGAAGACTTACCACCATTGCGGATCCTTGTCTGTGGCAACACTGGTGTGGGTAAGTCAACGCTCATCAGCAGAGTATTTGGTGCGGGCAACGAGGTCACGGGAGTCTCTCCGAGGGAAAGGGGGAAGCACAATATCAAAGATCCCATTACCTTTCCCTCGCGTCCGGATCTGATAGTGCACGACTCTTGTGGGTTCGAGGCTGGGAGCGACGAGGAGATGAATGTGGTTGAGGATTTCTTGCAGGAGAACTCCTCCGCAACAGACCTTGCACAACGGATACACACAGTTTGGTTCTGTCTAGAGGTCAGCGACTCGCGTCCGAAGCAGTCTTCCACACTGAAACTGTTCCAACTTGTGGCCAAGTATGTAAAGGAGGTGCCGTTAGTGGTTGTCGCAACCAAAAAGGATCAGCTTTTCGACAGGAAATATAGTCAGCGGAGGATGACTTTAAGAAGGCAGGGTCTCCCCTTGAACGACGAGGAGATAGAGGCGTATGCACAAAAAGAGCTTGAAGAGCATGTCAGATTGATCGAAACCGAGATGCAAGAGGTACCCGATGGGTTCTTGGACGCATGTCTGGCCGTCGCGTACGATAACGACGAGTCCATCAACCTCCTGACCAAGGTGATGGCGCAATGTTGCAGCTCCGAAAGGATCCGTCTGATGTACGTCCGGTCCCAGACCAAGCGCATTGATCTCAAGATTGAATTAGCCATCGACGAGGTCATGGGCCAGTACAGGAAGATCCTGAAGCGCGTCATGGCTACCTCCTTCGTGGCCTTCGGACCATCGCAGAGCCGATCCGCCGTCGGGATGGCTGTCTGTCGCATGGTCATCAACTGCTTCGGACTCACCATGGTCGACTCCGAAATAGCCTTCCGGATCTTCCTCGACAACGTCTGGGATGACCGGGGTCACAGTGGCACCGTCGCCTTTGCCGATGCCATCTCGACTCTTGGCTTGGTCATGACAGTCGACCCCGCGGGTACCCCCGGTATTTCTAAGCACGGATTCTGTGAATTGCGAGCTCGTTGTCCCGGCTACGACCCGCCTGTTGCTTATGCTTGGCTGTGATCTGATTCTGGACCTCGCACGCTCATTCCGCGCTGCTAGGAGACAAGGTATCCAGCAACCCCTCAAAGCTGACCTGTTCAAAGCCGCGCGGGACTACCGACCTTTTGCCAAAGACGTTCACGCTACTATTGCAAAGGCCATCCCTCGACGCAACCTGTTCAGGAGCTATAAGGTCGACAAGGTCAGGCTATGGTTTCATGCGGTTGTCAACCAATACAAGCCGATGACCATCGAGAGCAAGGCAACGACCAGCTACCAAAGCCCCAACTTAGCTGAGGAAAGTAGCGGTCATGGGCGAGGACCGACATGACGGCCACATCGACAAGTTTCAGTTGGATCTGGATACTGATACCGAGTCTACCGACTCTGAAAGGATGGCTGGCTTCGAGGAGGATATGAGAGAGATACTGGACAAAGCCACATAAGTCTGAAGCATCTCTTTCCCGTCGCACTGAGGAAGGCTTGCCAGGGCCCAGAGCGAGCGAGTAGCATATAGTTTATTTCACGTCCTTTTACCCCCCTGATCGGTGTCCCATTGAAGAGTAGCTTAGAAGTTGGGTCGTTCGAACACCCAGTACCTTGCACTAGTTGGGGTCAAGGGGGAACTAATGTCCGCGCGCCTCAACATGGTAGCATCGTCTAGGATGGCCAGAGTATACGGTGACCCTTATTGGACAGCATGATTAACCTAGAAATAGTGCTTAAACAACAGGGAAAGTCTGAAAAGGCCAGTTTCCAGTGGCGGAGGAGATGCAGTGGCAGACTTTGAATATGGCTCTCACAGATCGCAGATCGTATCTTCGAGCTGGAGGGACCTGTCTGATGCCAATATCTCCATGAGACAGGGCCCTTAAGCCGACGTCTGCTTTGTTTGTGGCTTTCGGCAGCCACCGTAACAATTGCAATAAATATGTTGCAGGATTGATAGGCGCAGCATCCTAGGTTACTAACCTAAATGCCGTCCGCACAGATCTCGGTGCTCCTAGCCTTGGTACAACATTCAGCTACTCTTGTGGCTACCGTGCCTAAAAGAGAGAGAGAAGACCAATCTGGCTTGATCGCGTGCTTGTGGCTTGAGCTGAGTTATGTCAATGGGAGGTAGTCTTAAATTATTTTTGGTCGCTCGAAAATTGACTTTTATGCTTGGTACTATAACTTCTAGCGCTAAATAGCCATTGATATGCATTCAGCTCCAAGGCTGTGAGTCAATGGAAACGAAGGAGGATACCTGTCTTCCAGGAACCTAGACTACGTTGCTGAAACATTAACGTTCATCCCTGGAGCAACACTACTGCCCTGTATGACAGATCTCAGCCACCAATCTCTGTGTGGCCATGAGGCCGTGCACGGACTAAGCAGTATGCTGTGCGGCCGATATATAGACTTCCTGAGCTCTTGTCTTTTTGTACCTAAAAGCTCGAAGCTCTAATCTAGAGACCTTGAAGTCTTCTCATTTGTCTGGGGAATATTTGGCTTCCAATTTATTGCTAACAGTGCGTCTTTTCAACATACAATCTGTCCGTTGCCCTTTGTGGAGTATGAGATTCTCAAACACCATTTTTTGAGTTTGTAGATACGCTGGACTGCTCATCTCACTGTGCTCTGCATAGCCTAGCCTCCACGTATCATGGTTACACCCTCCGTCCTGCTCAGCGCTTTGTTCTGCTGCAAGGCTCACGAGGCGCTCCCTTCTTCGTTGCATGGTCTAGGCTCTAGCAACTAACGTTTTCCGTGCGAGGTATTACTTCAACATGTGTAGAACTAACACGACCGTGGATAGAAGACCATCTAGCGAAATCTAATGCAAGCCCTCATGTCAATCTACACGCTGCTACCCTACTGGCAAGTAAGGTCACTCAAGTCTCTGACCATCTAGGCCATACTAAGTTCCCGCAAAGACCATCACACAAAGATTCAAGGTTGTTCATGCTTAGTATAAATAGGTCTACCACGATGAAATCTATGCTGAGTCTCCATTAGTTCTTCCACCAAATCGACCAACACTTCAAAACCCCCGGACGATTCTATTCTATTCTATTTACCTTCAAGCAAGCTTTACGATACCGACACAATGCGTTCATCAATTCTTGCTTGCTTTTTCGCTTCAGCTGCACTTGTGGCTTCCTTCTGCTGTGACGACACACATATTGAAGACGACGGCGCCCATTGTGCCGACGGTACATATACAGGTGTCGGATGCTGCTCTTATGGCCCATGCAACATCTTCTGCTGCAATTGTGACGCTCCCTGCAGACAAGCGAGTACACGAATGGCAGCAAGAGACTTCACCCTCCCATGGGAAAGCAACGGCGGCGACCCAACCTGTGGCCTTTTCCAGACCGAAAACCAATGTGCTCTGGATAAATTCCAGGCACTCGACGCCAATAAGGACGGGATATTGACCCTTTCTGAGGTTCTAGCAGACATCGAGGTCGTAAGACCTTTTATCAACTCATTTGGTCTCGACAATGCAACCATCACGAAGGATATTACTCTACTTTTCAATACCTACGACGTCGACAAGAATGGCAACCTCACCTTCGCTGAAGTACTCACCCCCCAAGTTGTGGATACCCAGGCCTAAAAGCAAGGGATATACGAGGAAAGACTGAGTTAGGGGAGAGGATGGTGTCCGGTTATGAGCCAGGAGGGCTTGGTCCGGGGTTACTTTGTACTTATTGCCGCGCATTTCTTCTTCTTACAAGCATCCTTCTAAGAAACCGCCCTTGTTAGTCGGCTGGCCTAAAAGCAATCGTGCCGGATTCTTTTCAATAGTGACTCCATTTTACAAATGGGTGAAGCGCAAGCTTGTGTTTTGCCCAAGACCCACCGAAATCAAGCCCAGACGGGAGATTCAAGGAAGAGCTAGCCAAGCCTATGGGCGAGTCACTAGATGGCACGTAGGTATACAGCACTAATTTTGTTGTCAGATGACTCGTCATCGGGAGCGCGAAGAATCGATAAGAAAGCTGCTGAGACACCAACAAGCATAGCTGCATCGACGGGGATGATGTTCACAATGGGAAGATATGATCCAGTCTAATGGCGTCTATTGAAAGGTATGTGCAACTCTAAATGGGCGTATAGATCTTCGCAGCAAGCTGATGTGATGAGACCAACGACATCTTCCTCAAGGTTTCGCGAAGACCGCTCCCATCACAGGTTACTTGCCTGGCCCAAGTCGAACTTCTGTCCCACGATCTCTTCGCTCAATCCCCACAGCCTCGCTGCTGCTTTCGGATCACTCGCCCAGGGTGCGCAGCCAGCGACTTGACAATCGGCGAGGTAGATGATGTCCTTGTCCTCGGCAAGCTTGGGATCCAATGCCGCCACCAGAGTCGTTGCACCGCCTTGATCCTGATTCTTCCAGAAATCGCCTGTCTTTTCAATGATATTCCGGTGCTCTTCGTCCAGGTTGCGTGACATATCCGTCCAAATCGACCCGGGATGCGTAGCTATCGACCTCACACCCTCGCTTGCCAACTTCTGAGAGATAGATAGGGCCATGAGGATGTTCCCGGTCTTGGACTGTCCGTAAGCGACGAAAGGGACGTATGTCTTTCCCGGAGGAGGATCGAATGACGCTCCGGGTCTTGACGTTGGTCGTTCGTCTTCTGGAATCTCTTCTGGTCGCTTCTTGAAGTTGTAGTCGCTGAAGCGGATAGGAGATATAAGATGCCCGGCGCTTGTCATGTTGATTATGCGGGTCGAACCTTTCGACTGAGATTTTTGTGCGGCTTTGAGAATCTTGGGCATGAGGAGATTCGTCAAGAGGAATATGCCAATATGATTTGTGCCGAACTGGAGCTCGAGCCCATCTTTCGTAGTTCTGGGATCCGTCACCACCACACCCGCATTGTTGACCAGTATGTCAATTTCATCGACAAAGTTGTTGATTTCCGTGGCTGCCTCACGGATCGATGCGAAAGACGATAAATCAACCTCGACGAGTTGAAGTTGCACGTTGGGATACTGTTCTTTTACCTTTGTCGCGACAGCCTTGATCTTCGACATTGTCCGTGAGGCTAGCACTAAAAGTTGGGGCGAATTTGCGGCAAATGCCAGTGTTATTGACTCGCCGAGGCTTTTTGGCGACACCCCAACGACAATGACTGTGTGTCATTTCTTAGCTTGGATCTGGAACACAAATGGACCGTCAAAACATACCTGTTTTGCCTCGCACTACATTGCTGAAAGTGCTTGCTACCTCTGTCGCTGTGGTCTCTCGGTTAAAGCCCGGGTTGGAAGTCCTATTGGAGTCCGTCTTCAAACCCCAAGGATTTTCTTTTTCGTCCGACATGGCGTTTCCCTTTTCATTCGACATGGTGGCGCGCTCGATCTGAGTTGGAACGATACCACAAAAAATGCAATACTGGTGAATGAAAGCGATGACAGATAGTAGGGATTGACAGTTGTGAATGTGCTGCTGGACTTGCTGCGTGAGGACTTGTGGGGAAAGCGACTTTCTACCAAACAGGAATCTCGTCCCAAAAGAGGAAGTAATGGTTGCAAGAACCCTGTGAGATGTATCGAGGCTCAACGATTGATGGCGAGAGGTTCTCGAACACCTCGGAATCCGGGCAAGCCGGTAGTATAATTTTGTCCTTTCACAAGAGGATATGAGGTTCACAGATTGAGATCAGGGGTCGTCTAGAACAGAGATGTCCAAGAACGCGCGAACTCTGCCCCAGTGAACGGTCGTCCGGCTCGTTTCCACACTAAGACTGTTCTTATCTCAACCGCAATGAGTCGTGGACAGTGGGGGAGAATTTCGAAATCGAATGTTCTTCCACGCTTTGATGGCGACAGGATTGACAGCCTACTATAGTACCTTGAAACCCCACGGGTATTGCCTGGAAGGATGTAGTTGCAGCGCAATACATCCACTGGACTGCATAAAAGGAAATGGCAACGAAGACTCCGGAGGTGTCCCTTCTGATTAGCAGTGGCGGTCGCAGGGGGAAAAGGATGGGGAAATGTGTGGGGAGGATAGCGGCCCCCAAACAACATCCAATCAACGCCCAAATTGAGTGTGCATTGTCCGTTTCGGTACAATGAACAATTCGGCAGTTCCATTGGAGAAGCCAACCACCTCCAAGTCACTGGACCCCTTGCACGAGTCTCGACTTCGGGTCCATGAGACACCGAGAAGATCTCGTGGGGCTTCATCAGACAGTCTTATGCTTTGTACAAAAGGCCTGCAATCGCATTTCTTTTAAGTAGTGTTCCGCATTGAGGCTCTTCCAATATCTCGCTATATTCGACGTCAAGTTCGAGATTGATCATCTGGCCGAGACTGTTGCGTCGCCGTCAGCTACTCGTTGAAGGAAAGCAACAGAAGAGCCAACCCCGCAGAATCCGACAAGATGATTATGTCAGCGTCTGAACCTTTTGCACAGCCAAAGACGGGGATCAATGTGATCATTATCGGAGCTGGTGAATAGAAGCGAAATTAAGGGCCGGGAGCAGCGCTGATGAGAAGCAGGTTTCGGCGGTCTCACAGCAGCCATCGAATGTCACCGACAGGGCCACCACGTTGAGGTTTATGAATCATTTCCCCAGTTGAAAATACTAGGCGACATTATCTCATTTGGATCAAATGCCGGCAGAATATTTCGACGATGGGGTGTCGACGGTTCCATATCCAAGAAGCTGAGGTCTATTAGTATCGACCTCACCGGTTATGGCTTCAACATCCACAAATATACCGGAGAGCTCATTATCAATCAGCAAACACCACCCCAAGATCCTGAGGCCCCGGTCTTCAATGGTCATCGTGGAGAGATACATGAAGTCGTTTTCAATTATGCCAAGGACGACCTAGGGATCCCCATCCATCTCGGTCAGAAGGTTGGAAAGTACATGGAGGAAGCCGACAGAGCTGGGATCGAGCTAGAAAATGGCGAGCAGGTACAGCGAAATGGTCATGCCTCGAACTTGACACAGCTGCTGATAATCTGTAGGTCTGGGCCGACGTGGTCATTGGATCTGATGGTGTGAGATCGAAAGCCCGCGAACTGGTCTTGGGTTATTTCGACAAGCCCAAGAGCAGCGGCTATGCAGTCTTCCGCGCATGGTGAGTTTGAAGAGCCTCATCAGACACTGCGAAAGCTGATGAAACATAGGTTCCCCAACACAGACATGATCAAAGACCCCCGAACGAAGAAGTTCTGCGAAAATGGAGACACTTTCAACGGCTGGATTGGTCAGGACGTCCACTTTTTGTTCTCGACAATCAAGAATGGCAGTGATTGTTGCTGGGTATTGACTCACAGAGTATGTTGCAAAGTTGTGGTTTTCAGACATGAGCTAATAGCGATTACCAGGACGAAGCCGATATTGATGAGTCATGGTCGTTCCCCGGCAAGCTCGAAGACGTATACAAAGTGTTCAAGGACTGGGACCCGATGTGCAAGGCGATTGTCGAGAAGACACCTGAAAGCCACCTTGTTGACTGGAAACTCGTTTACCGAGACCCTTTGCCGACCTGGATCAGCAAAGGAGGCCGAATTGCTTTGCTTGGAGACTCTGCTCATCCTTTCTTGCCAACTTCAGCACAAGGTGCTACCCAAGCCATGGAAGATGGCGTAACGATTGCGGTCTGCCTGAAACGTGCTGGGAAGAAGGACGTCCCTGATGCTGTCCGGACGTATCAGCGCATAAGGTGAGTTGACCGCTTGTGAAGCTCTCCTCACTCATCTGCTGACACTTTCTGCAGATATGATCGTGTCAAAGCGGTCCAAAAGACCGGAGAAGCTACACGAGACATGTGGCACAAGGCTGATTGGGATAAGGTGAAGAAGGATCCTACATCCGTTCAATTTCCCCGTGAAGATTGGATTCATACGCACGATGCAGAAACGCATGCTGAGGAGGTTTTTGATGAGAACTTTGGACAGGTCCAGGCAGCAGTCAATGGTACACACTGAGAAAATCGAGACGATTAGTATTTTTCGATGGCTGAGAGCATGTTAGATTCGAGACTTGTGCGATGAAAGCTGTGAATATGGGGTCGTTGCGTAGGCGTCGAAGTAGGGATTTGGGTCTTTTCAGGCGAACGGCGCTTCCATATGTTGGGTGTCTTTTGGCGGACGCTGTGGTAGATACAATTCCATGATTCATGGGTCATGAAATTTCTGACCGTCGTTTTCATCAAGTCCGAAGTCCCTTAAAGCAAGGTGAGATGAAGAGCAGAATTTCAATCCTGTGGTGCATTGTGTATTTTCGCAAAAAGTCGCCCACTCCGCCGTATCTCCCTATACGGTCAACTCACTCGGGCTTACGCGCAGTTTCTTTCCACCACACTGGGCCTCGACACTATGAAAGTATCGTTCCCGAAATTCAACCATCAACTCACTCTTCATATTGTCTTAGGTCATCGATCCTCGCCGCCGAGATCAAATCCCCAACAAGATAGATGGCTCAGCCAAGGTCTCCAACATGGGAATCCCACGGCTTTCCCAAGATCTTTTACCCTACTCAGAACAACGGTACCTTGGTACTCCTCTAGGACAATCCCCACGGACCAAGGATCGTGTCATCACCTCCCTGATCATAGACGGCCCTTCTCTCGTCTACTACATATACAACAAGCTCCTTGCATACAAGTCTTCCACCACACCAACCTTGACGGCACAACTCCCATCTTATGTCGAGATCAACCAAGCCTTGGACCAATTTCTTTCCGAGCTCGAAGATCGCGGCGTCGGATTGCAGGATCTATTCTTCGATGGCGCTCTTCCCAAGTCCAAACGCGACATCCGTCTCGAAAGAATGGAGAAACTCCGTCACCAGCTCGAGACCTATCGCAAGATGTATCCGGAGTTCTCTCCCGTTGCGAGTTCGCACCAAACCCTAGACCTCGAAAAGGCACTATGGAACACGCCAGTGATGTCCACGAGGAAATTAGCCCTACCAGCCCCTCCCTTCATGGTCGCCAGTGCCATCGAATCACTACGCAGCGGCAAGTTCGCGGCACAAGTCCGAGTCGTACCCGGCGAAGCTGACATGTACTGCGCCGATGCTTCGAACCGCACAGGCGCGGCCATCTTGACGAATGACTCGGACCTCGTGGTTCACGATCTTGGTATAAAGGGTCGCGTCATCCTACTGCACTCGCTCGAAAAGAAGCAGGCACCCCGGACCACGCACGAACCGATTAGCGCTTTGACTCTTCATCCGATAACTATTGCCCGAAGCCTCCAAGCCAGCTCATTGCTTCGAGTCGGGTTCGAGCGATATCTAGACCCGAGCCTATCAATCTTACTAGTGAAAGAGCGAGCCAGGGACGATTCCAGACTCGAAAAGTTGCGCGGCGAATTCGACAGATTTGCAGAGCAATACGTGACCATTTTACCCGCCCAACCGCCGCAACCGCAAATAGACGGTCTCGATCCACGTACTGCGGAGCTCGTCGTGACTTTCCTGGACTCACCGCACATTTACCTCACTCCGCTAATCGAAGACCCATCGCGCGACTCATCGTGGTCCTACGGCACGAACATTCGCCAACTAGCGTACTCTTTCCTCTGCACCGCATACGCTCGCTCCACTAGCAATAGCATCATAGAGTACGCAAGAAAAGGACAAAGAATCTCCGCCAGCACAGTTCAATCCCTCTTGGAGCAAAAACTGCAAGCCCGAACCACCGAGGTCCTCGAACATCTCGACACATTCGACATCCGAGAAGAAGCCGCAGAACAACCACTTCTCACCTGGTACATATTAGCCTTCCATCTCATCCACCAGCAAAAGCTCGACGCCGGCAAAACAACTCCAGAACTGCCACAGATTGCAAATCTCTTCGGCCTGCACCCGTCATCATCAAGACCATCATGGGACGACATTCATCTCCGAGCAAATATGCACGCCGTACTATATTCGTTCCGTATCCTGCACCAGATACTCCACCATATCATGCCCAGGCTCACAGAATCGAGTCAACGCAATGAAGAGCTCATCCACATGGTACAGAAGCTCCTCGACATACTTGACAGATTGCCGACCATTGCGGACCTCTTCCTCGACGTCGGTGAACTCCGCGTACGTGTCGGCAACATGAGTCTCAAAGTCAGGAACACCGCGTTGGCCAATCTGGGTCGACTGCTCCAACTACCAGTCGGCGAAAACGAAGCGCATCTGGAGGGAGCAATCCCGCAATACCAAAATGACCTCGCTCAGAATCAAGGAGAAGAGTGGCAGTCAACAACCCGCAAGCGCAAGAGGAAGCGAGTGACACAGCAATCCCAGGAACCTACCACCAGAAGCACCAACATGTTCGATCTATTGATTGACAGATGATTCTAATTGTTGCCCAACGCTCTAATTATTTCTTCCAACTACTTTGCAAAAACCTTCCCACAAATTTCTCCACCAATTCCGTGCTCAGCGCCGGCGCAAGTCCCAACGCAGGTGACAGTCCTTCTGCACCAGCCGTAATATATCTCAACCCTTTTCGTTCCGTCACATCATTATCATACTTTTGCGCAAAGAACTCGACCAGTTTGATCGTCGGATTGATCCGTGGATCAGGATTAGATGCGCGCAATTTTCGAACCCAGTCTCTCTGCCCGACCTCTTCAAACGGCAATCCTGCACCGCGCAGAGCCGGAAGAAGATCCCTCGTCCAATTGAACGCACGCGGGTTGACAACATTGAACACGTGCTGCTTCGTCGAGGACAACGAAATATCCGTGACGGTCGTGGCCACCGTGTCAACGGGTAGCCATCTCTGAAATTCGTCCAGGGCAGGGAGAGCTCCAATCGTGGTCGCAGCCTGTAGCATGAGCGGGATGGCTTCGGTATCGTTCCAGATACCGTGGACGGTATCAGCTGTGATCTGCCCGATGCGGAGAACGCGTGCTTCCATGCCGTTTTGCTTGGCGGCACGCACGACGAGATGTTCAGTCACCAGTTTCGACTGGGCGTAACCCATGCCTTGTACGCACGCGAGGTTCGGCGGGAGGTCCTCCGAAACGACATCGTTTATATTTGTGTTTGCCACGGCGCTCACTGACGAGCAGAAATTGAATGACGCGGGCATGCCCTGCCGAGCAGCCAGACACAGCAGCGTCAAGCGCCGTGCGCCAGCGATACAGTCGGCCTCGAAACTGCTAAGGTTCTTGTTAAAGTTGACGGACCAAGCCGAATGTATGAGAGCGGTGATTTTGTTCGCAATGCTTGCGTAGTTCGCCTCGCCGAGGCCAAGGTCCGGCTTGGAAAAGTCCGACGCATAGCAGGTGACTTTAGTCTGGAAAAGGGCATCGTCCTCGTAGACGCCGCGGTCTTTCATGGACTTGACGACACGATCGTGGGCGGAGGAGGCTGACTCGGCTCGCACGAGACAGCAGACCTCGGAAATGTCGTCTCGACGAAGCAGCTGCGCGACAAGGTGTGCTCCAAGCGATCCTGTCGCACCTGTGACCACGACACATTTCTCTTTGGACGTCCGGATCACGGGAACGTGCTGAGGAAAGACGCTGTATTTGGCAATGCGATTTTCCATCTCCTTGGTGACGTCTCTTGTTGCAGCGACCTTGCTATCACGAATACTCAGGATGGCACTTGCCAACTTGGCAAGGGTCGGGTACTCGAAAACGACGTTCGGTGGTAGGACATTGCCGTTCAACTGGATATCTCTCATGATGTGGACGCGTATTCTTGTAGACTGGAGAGAGTCAACACCCAAGGAGAATAAGTCGGTCGTGTCGGTGATGCTGGAGGAGTCATCCTGCGGCGCTAGCTCGAGAATGGTTTCTCGAAGGTACTGTCGCAGTTGAACGTCAGTGAGCACAAGTGCGCCTGTTGCATTTGAGTCGAGCTGATGATAGAGCCCCTCGATCTCTGTCTCGAATGCGCGGTAGAATGCTTGCCGGATCATGGTGCCTTTGTCGGTCGAAGGGTAGGGAGTCCCGGCTGGAATGACTTTTATCATGTCCCGCACGAGTTGCGCATAGGCAGGAAGAATCTGGTTCTCAATTTTAATGGTCGGCCAGATTGCGTCAAGGAGTCCTGCTTGATCGAGGGTAGCTGCGGCATCTGAAGCGATGATGATCATGCCAACTTGAGCCTTGCCCGTGCCAAACATGACAGCTTCTTGCACTAGCTTGTTCTGGCGGACTGCTTGTTCCATGGCAATAGGTATGGCTTTTTCGCCACTCGTCAGGACAATCGTATCGTCCAGTCTGCCACTATGCTTCCATGCCCCTTCGAGCGTCGGATGAGGTTCGAAAAGATCTTTCGTCGCAAACGACCCGTCATCCCGATTTGTTGCCACTTTCGATGGCCAGCCATCAAGCACCACAAGCTCGTAAAGATTCCCTCCTCGGTCATCCCACCTTACGTACCGTCTCAGCTTCTCGTGCATGCGTAAGTAGTTCCAGACCTTATCTCCGGGCGGTCTCGAAGATGTCATCAATTGCCCTGTCTCTGTGGTGCCGTAGTGGCTGATCAAGTTCACACCGTTGTTGGCAAGAAGATCGCCCAATGCATCAGGACAGGGTGAGCCACCAAACATGACGACTTTCATTGCCGCCAAAGCGTCGATACCGTCTTGGCTCTCACTTAGAAGTTTGAGACCGTAGGGAACGCCGTAGAATATCTCGAATTTGTGCTTCGTCAAGATTTGAAGCAGGCCCTGCCGCGTCATTGGCAGGTTGGCGTTGTGCATGTATATCTTCTTGACCGAGGTAATGGCTCGGAAAACGCTACTTAGTCCGTGGGCGTGGAAAAGTGGAAGTGTGATGAAACCGCGCATGTTCATGTTCTGCTGATAGTTGCCTAAAGCGGCTCGGTGGGTCTGATAGATGGGTTTGGGTAGCCCTGTGGACCCCGATGAGTGAATGATCCAGCAGATTTTGCTATTTTCGAGGTCCGGATTGAGAGTTTGCAGGTGGCCGAAGGTTGGAGCGTGAGGGCTTGCGTATTCGCTCTGCTTGCGAATCTCGATGACATCGAGGGCAGGTAGTGACGATTTCAAACTGGCTGCAATCTTGTGGAAGGAAGGATGAATCACCATATGCTGGCAATTGGTAGCTTCCAGTAAAGACAAATACGCTGCTTCCGATAGCCTGGTGGATAAGAACAGTACTGTAAAACCGAGCCTCGACAAAGCCAATGCCGTGATGGAATAACCTAGATTGGACAAACCAAGCAGTGCCACGACACGGGCGTCCTGATGCGAGCTGGATCTGGCTGGAAGAACTGTGGAGTAGATCTCGGCCAGCCGGGCGGAAAATGACTCAAGGTCTGAAAACGTGTATTCGACATAGTCGTGGTCGTGCGACGGATAGCCTAGAATTGGTTCGTTGGGGAGTTCGCTGGCTCTAAGTGAAAGTAGTTCGGTGATGGTTCTGGGCGCTGGCAGTGGAGGTGGCAAGTACGATGTTGGTAGGTCATGGTCCGAAGCAGTGCTGGGCTCATACTGCAGTGCAGAGACAGGAGACATGACTCCGATGGACGCCATGATGGTTAATGAACTCTCAAGTTGCAGGTGCTCTCACATCAGACGTTGTAGAGTTCCCTTCGGCGTGAAAGTGTAAGGAGTGCTGCTTCATAGTCATAGGCACGACTGCGGAGAAGGCCGGGGATGTGCCGGTCCGTTGCATCCCGCTGTCATAGAGACAGGACGGGAGTTTATAACTCAAACCTGCAGTCTCACCTCGGTCAACGAAAATTGGCCAAGATATGTCTTTAACATGTTCTCGAAGTCGCATAGAGAGGTTGAATGATGCTTGGGGGGAAACAATTATCCCCATGGGGGTTTCTTTCCGTGAGCCGACGGAATCGATTGCGCAGCATAACTCCACCATTTTGTTCGCTAATAAGACCGAGGTGGACGATCAATTGCCGGGACTACCTGAAGCACCTAAATTAGGACTGTAGGTTGAAAACGTCACTGTTCTCGGGAAAGCCGACCGTGTCCAGGCTTTCCCAGCCCCAGGAAAGGAGATTATGAAACATATAGTCGTCCTCCGAGGGCGCAAATTGACCGATCATCATATTCACTGGGCCAGTGTTGTTGTCAAAGGTGGCCTCGCTGTTGTGGGGACCTCCCCGCCGGTCTACTACAAGGCTGCTTGTGCCGACCTGTGTGGCAGGATACCCGGTTTGCCCGAGTGGCAGACGTGGATTAGTTGCCGGGATATGAGTCATGTGCGAGGGTTGCGGGGGTCCCAGACCTGAGTCAGGCTCTTCGCCTTGTCCAGCATGAGCAGCATCCTTTTCTGCACGATCCCGGAGACGGTCCAGCAGCCGATGATGCCGATGTGCCTGACTGCCCTCTGGTGACAATGCCGCAAGGATTTTCTGACAAAACTTGGCCTTCTCAAAATACGTGGCGATTTCGGGGAAAAGTCCTTGTGGCAGAATTGATCGGCTATCCTGAATAATGAAGACGTATAGGGTGGATATCGCAACAAGAGCAACATACGGAGTGAACCAGAAGCTTTGATACAGCGACCCCTTCTCTCTGACGTCAAGTACCGCATTTAGTATGGTGCAAACTGCAGTCATGCATTCCTGAATGGGTTTGAGTGCACGATCATCCTTGATCGACGGCGCGCTCCTTCCAAGGCGGTTGAAATCAGCTAGTAGACAGCGGCGTGTGATCAAAATGCGTAGATGAGCATGAGCGAACTTCAGCACAGTGTTTTGGCGTTCGAAGGTTCTTTGGCCGGCAAGAGTCTTGTCACGAGGTTTGAGGAACTCGGGTAACGAGTCTCTCCATCGATTTAGTGCTTTTAACATCTCGTTCGTTCTTTCAAACACTTCGTTTTCGGTCAGACTCTGGAGTGGGTAGAGAAGTTGGCTGTTGCGTGCCATGAGCTTGGCAATGTCGGCCTGGGCAATGAATGCCTCTAGGTTGCCATGCAAAGGAAGGTCCTCAGGGGACTCGGATGATAGCAAATCATGGTCATTGATGTTGCGAGGGTATTCCTGGTCAATATCTCCATCGTGCAGGATTCGTGGCCGCCCGAGCATGACGCTCAAGTAGTTGTCGAGCACATAGGCACACCAAAATGTTCTCTTACGGGATTCCAAAGTGAGCAAGTCTAATTTCGGTGTTGCCGGCGTCTTCCGATGTAGTTCAATCGAAGTCAAGATGGTGCAGGCCAAACTAAAGCAGAACCGACATTCGTTAATCCGAAAGGTACTGAGGAGATACAGGCACATGGCCAGACGCGCCTGAACGCTGTAAACTATCCCTGGGCCGGGCTCTTGGTTGAGTAGCGATCTAGCCTTGTCGAAGTCTGCGGCGATGATAGGTCAGAGGTGGCCGAGAACATTCCAAATTGGATGAAGACAGTGGTACTTACAAGATCTGCTTCGGTTGAGACCTTCGTCCCCTCCATCACGATATCTGTCTCCAGTCGTTGTATAGAGTAGTGCTTGCGAGAAGACTATCAAAACACAAGCCATCTCTGAGATTGACATGCGACGGCCCTCTAGCAAATGAGACGTCCATTGCTCCACAGTTGGCCGATGGAGAAAGCGGTATGTCGGAGTTGCAAATTGAAAGTATCGCTCTACCAAGATTCTGGCCTCTTCAGTCGTTGGGAGTGGCTGGTTCTTGTTCGCCGGCGGCTGAGGAATATCTCCATGGCAGGTCAAGAGAGCCGGTGGAAGGGAGGCCTCCTCCTCGCTGGTCGCACCCCGTGACCAACCATGATAGAGGAAAGAAACACCAGCGCTTGGTCCGATGTGTTGCCCTTCTGCGAAAGTCTGAGGAGGCTCAAGCGATGCAGGTCGCGACACACTGGGCTTGTGCTGCGGCTGACGTGCATCTGGACGATATGAATGTTGGGAAGCTATCGGTTCAGCGCTCGCGGTGTCACGGGAGGTGGTCGGATGAGTTTGAGAGCGGGGATCATGCCAGACCTTCGCGTGGACACCGTGTTGAGCTTGTCCTTGATCGTCTGTAGGGCCGGGTCTCGGCCCGCCATCGGCATATTCACAACGGACACCTTCGTTAGAGCAGTAGTCGCAGGGCTGAGTACCTGTACAGCGTACCTTGCGCCTGTATGGCGCGGTCAGCCAATTTGAAGCACGTTATCATTTCGTGCTAGCTTTTCTTTGAATACATGAGGGTTTTTAAACAGTCGATGCGATGGGATGAACACACCTTCTGCAGAAGATGCAAGCTCGAGCGGTGCGCGGGTGCTTGAGCTTGCGCTTCTTTGGTGGACTCGAGGGTAGATCTTCGTTGACTAAGCTGTCCATTATAATGGTGTCGGCCACAAGTGGGATTTGTTCCTTCGGAACGAAATGGTGTGGGACAAGAAAGGACCCGTAGGAAAGAGCAAGGTCGAGATGAAAATTTGATGCGGGGATTGAGAGTGATGATTGCTCCGATTTTCGGAACATTCCGTCGGAAGAGCCAAAGGAAGATCATCATTGTGCAGCATCACGACATCACCAAACTCTATGAGGACTGTCATCTCGGTCATTGACCGATCAGACCGACGAGCTGACCGGCAACAAGTCCATCAGGGTGACATATGTGACTTGCGCGATCATTCTATCTTGCATGAGGGTAAAGCTTGCCTTATTTGCAGAGCAAGAATTTAGGCAAGCGTGCTCATTCTCTGTCATCATCTTTGCCTCTCATTGAAGACAGAAAGAACAATGGCGCTCAACCGCAGTTTTACGCTAAACACTGGGGCGAAGATCCCAGCTGTTGGTTTCGGTACCTGGCAAGCAGCGCCCCATGAGGTCGAGGACGCCGTGGAGATCGCTCTCAAAGCCGGCTACAGGCATTTAGACTGTGCAGCAATCTACAGAAATGAGACTGAGGTTGGATTGGGGATCAAGAAGAGTGGTGTGCCTCGCGAAGACATGTTCATCACAACCAAGCTGTGGAACTCAAAGCATGATCCAAAGGATGTAGAGCCGGCGTTGGACCAGTCATTAAAGGATCTCGGTGTGGACTATGTCGACTTGTACCTCATGCACTGGCCTGTCGCGTTCGCCCCGGGGGACAGATTCTTCCCATTGGACGACAAGGGCGTGTTCAAGTTGTCAGACATTCACTTCAACGAGACTTGGAAAGCTATGGAAGCCTTGCTCAAGACAGGCAAGACGCGTGCGATTGGTGTTTCGAACTTCAACATCCGCCGATTGAAGGAGCTCCTCTCCAGTAGCAAGGTGGTTCCAGCGGTGAACCAAGTCGAGGCACATGTGAGTTATCCTTCTGCGTGAAACATGGCGACTGTCAATCCATCACCTTCATGTGCCATTCCATTGTCTGGGATAGTGTTCTGACAGTTTGCAGCCATACCTTCAGCAACCAGAGCTTCTCGAATTCTGCACCGAGAAGGGCATATTGGTGCAAGCTTACAGTCCTTTGGGCAACAACACCACGGGTGAACCCAAGACGGTCGATGATCCGGAAGTCCATGAAGTTGGAAAGTCCCTTGCTTTGGATCCAGGTCAGGTTCTGATCAGCTGGGCTGTCCAGCGTGGTACCATAGCTCTCCCCAAGAGTGTGACTGAGAAGAGAATCAAGAGCAATCTCCAGGACTCGATTCTTCCGGAGGAGGCCATGAAGCAATTGAACGCCCTAGAGAGACACAAAAGGTTCAATTTTCCCGGCACGAGGTGGGGTTATGACATCTTTGATGAGGTCGGGGATGAAGCCGTTGCAAAGTCTGCGAAAGAAGCTGGTCCCGAGAATCTGACAAAGTTCAAGGTGTAAACCTAGGGACGTGCCTAATAGGTAGAATCAGGCGGACGGACTTGAGAGTGATTGAGCAAGCCCATAGAATTGCATAGGCGCGATTCCAAAGCTCGAAAGATGCGTGGTCACCATCGTGACTCATGATTGCCAAAGACCCCCAGACCATCACCTCAAAATGGAGTGCTTGTCTAGAAGCGCTTTGTCGTGAGTGAAAGTTCATCAAATTTCGCGGCCGGTCATTCCCGTCGCAGGACAAATCCTCAGATGTTGATAATTCCAATCGAATGCCACCCATATACCGTAAAGATGGACCAGACTTGCAAGCACGACCAGAACGTGGAAGACTTGGTGCGACGAGAACCAGATGTCGAAAGAGTCTGGCCATATGGACTCAGGTATGCGAGTCAAGAAGAAGAAGGCACCTAAACCGTAAACAAGACCTTCCAACAGATAGTACTGCATGCCGGAGCGGATCATCATTTCGTCCCAGCCGTAGAGAAGGAGTCCGTGAATGATTGGGGCGAATCCGGAGAGTGCCGTCAAAATAAACGCCCAGGAGCGATGACTCCGATATTTCAAACCTTGTAGCTGGGGATGCAAAACCAGAACCGATGTGATGATGGTCAGCGTGATGATCATAGTCCAGTAAGTCCAGCAGATCGCAGGTTGGCATCTAAAACCAACGTAAATTCCAGAAAAGAAGCTTCCCAGTATGAGGGTCAGGATTCCAACGTAGTCAACTCGCAGAAACAGGTTGGATATGTGCATGGAGTGGTTCATCAAAGTGTGATAAGATGCCGACAGCACCATCGTGACTATGGCAGCAGCGACATTGCAGCCGAAAACGACATGATCCATAAGCGTTGCTTCGGGATACTGATAAAGTATCCAACGAAAGATAGCGGCTTGCCCAAAAGTAAACAAAACGGCCGGTATAAGATGTGTGTAGATGTTGACTGTCTCATTGTGGATGTATCCCAGTGAGAACGCGCATGACAGCCATGAGTCGGAGACAGGACGATAGCCCGACTGTATGAAGTGGTTATCTTGATACCATTCGGGTAGGTCTTCGAAGCGTAGCAGCTGGGGAGCTTTGTGCTGCGCTTTTAGGCGAGCAATATCCTCCTGAGTCGTCGAGTTGCTTGGAGCTCGCGTGAATTTGGCTTTCGGTCTTCGATATGTAAGGATGAATGACATATTGTTGGTGCGCCGGTGCGAGATCAATCCAGTACTGACTCACAGTGCAACCTCAGAGGCTGAAATCAACACAATCAAGACCCCAATGACGGCCCCTTCTCGCGCTCATGCAAGCGATGGTGCAGGCCGTGCAGACCACACGTAAATTGTTCTTGTAGTGGGAAGGATCAGAAGCAGAAAGCCGACTTCAAATATAGTGGTTGAAAAAAAAGGATGAGGTCGGTGCGCAAGTGGCTGATTATGGTTGATAAGGGCGGTCCCCCAATCTGGCGATCAGGCCACAAGTATGCTCAGTATTATTGGTCGAGCAATTGAGCCGTCGCTCTCGGCCAGAGACCGTTGGTTTTCGTACCTATTTCTTGACATCATCTTCACGGCAAACACGGTTCGCTTATACATATTGTGATGTCCACAGGTGGCTGTTTTCCGGTGTCGGCAGAGTCGGATCACTGTCATCTTCTGTGCTTGTCCGCAAATCATCTTGCATCATCGTGCTTCAAGATAGTCTTCAGCTTTCTGCGTCTTTGAGACGTCCAAGCTTGCCTTCAATGCATACTCCGCCCTTGCATATTCGAAAAGGCATCAAATCGCTACAACTTCCAGAGATGGTATCATCTTTTGCGACCGTCACCTCCAGTACGGCGGGCACGGTTATGGGCCGTTTAAAGACGACCTCCATCCATACCGGATCTTGGCTGCGATAAAGCGCTTCATACTCAGGCGGTAGGGTACATCGTTCAAGCAGATCCAAGGCCTTGGCCACCATGTGGTTGCCATGTGCAATCTTACCTGAAAAGCCGAACAACTTTGCTGCTATTGCCGATATGTGAATAGGGTTATAGTCTTTGCAGACTCTTGCCCATCTGCTTGGTTCTTCATATTCGACGTCGAACGATGCCACACGCGTATATGCTAAGGGTTGCGAATCGCTCTCTGACTGGTCTTTTCGAGCGATTTTCTGATTGAGCTTCGCAAATTGTAATATGGTGAATATCTGTCGAAAGATTGTGATTGTCCCAGTTGAACCACCTCTAGGGATGTCGAGCGTCAGAAGGAGGTCGACTTCAAACCCTCTTCTAACCCTCCGCACATGCTTCGAAGCAGATGCTGTCACACCAGCCCCAGAGAATGATTTGAGGCTGTGCTCCGTACACAAGTCAGGCCGCAGAAGCTCGAAGCGATTTCTCACGTTTACTGCACCCAGCGGACAAAGTTTGCATGAGGTTTCTGCCAACAGTAGTAACATGGCTGGCTCGGTCAAGGCGGAGAGAAAGAGCATGGCCTTGGAACCCGTCCATAAAGCGTTTGTCTGGGTTGTTCTCTCAACGGCCAACGTATATGCATCTAGGTCTTTCTGACTCGTGCGAACAGGCATAGTCAATGAGGAATCGTCCATCAGTGTGATTGATTCTGGATCACGGTACCACCACCACACATCAAGAGAACGTTTGATAGACCTTGATGCTAGCTGGCCCAAGACAACAGTTATATCGTAGACGGAAAGCTGATTCGGTGAAAAGCTAAGCTTGACTCGCTTACGGCCACTCCAGAGAGGTGACAGATGTGGGCAGAGTAGACGAGGTCCGGTCCATAGAAGCAGGGCAATGGACAGGATTGTGGCGATGAGAAGCAGCATAATCATGACGGGCGTAGGAGATTCCCAAGTACAATAGTGCGATGGCAGGAACTGGTAAAGCGAGAAAGATTCGATGGAGTCATTGAGGTCGCACCAACGATCACCACAACCGGCGGTAGTAAGGGGAGTGGAGTGGGGAGTGGTGAATGGTGAGCATCTACTACCGTAGGCACGCCTAGGGCAGCTGTCGAGGTGTTTTCTACCACTGACACGTGAGCTCTCCGGGTGAAATTCGCTTTTTGTTTTGGTGTTTGGAGAAATATGACTGTATCTAGGTAGTGCCTGTGCCAAACTTTCCGGGGGATGCGACAAGGGCAACATGCGACTTTCTTAACCCAGCACAGTACCTGGACCACACCACTGACTTAACTATCAACGCACCAAATAGTAACATACAGTACTGTTCACTCTAATGTATACTGTCTAATCAAGTTTTCTTCTGCGCCATCTGTTGAAGTCAGCTCCTCCTCACCATGCCTTCGCGGTCGCCTTCAAGAGGCCGGTCGCGCACGCGCTCTCACACTCCCACCTCAGTCCAACGAGCACTATCACCAAAGCACGACCAGTCCCGGTCGCCTCGACGATCTCCATCACCACGATCTCGCTCACGGTCATACTCAAAGTCACCACCTCGTCGAGACGGACCTAATGGCCACGGCCGAGGGAGAAGTTACAGCCGCCACATATCCCGGAGCAGAAGTCCAAGTCGCGGTGACAGAAGATCGTACCGGGATCGCAGTCACACCCGCAGTCCCAGCAGAGATGGTCGACGAGTCCAGAGTTCCAAGATTGTCGTGGAGAAACTCACAAAGAATGTGACTGAAGCCCACCTCCGCGAGATCTTTGGGTCGTACGGTCGCATCGAATCGATTGACCTTCCACTCAACAAACAATGTACGTATCACCACACAATTCCAACAATCATACCTAATGTCGGACAGTCATGACAAATCGCGGGACAGCATACATCCTCTACGACCGCCCCTCGGGTTCAGAAGCGGCTATTGCCCACATGCACGAGGCGCAGCTAGATGGGATGGTCATTTCAGTCAGCATTGTTCTACCTCGACGCGCCTTTTCACGTTCACCTCCTCCTGTCAGGTCTTCCAGACAGGGTCCACCAGCGAGCCGTTACGGCCCGCCTTCAAGGGGTGGTGGTGGTGGTCCGCCAGGCAGATATAGAAGTCCACCTCCCAGAAGAGGCGGGTTCGGAGCGGGAAGAAGAGGCGGAGATGACAATACATATGTCCCGCGTGCAGGATATTCCAGGTCACCTTCACCACCTAGGCGGAGGCGGCGGTCGGGTTCCTACTCCAGATCACCATCGAGGTCTCCACCAAGGCGACGAGGTCCACCTGTACGAAGCCCACCACGAAGGAGAAGACGAAGCCCCAGCTACAGTTCCCGGAGTAGCTATAGCCGAAGCAGAAGCAAGTCTAGAAGCCGCTCTCGGAGCAGACCTCGATATGGTGGTAGGAGATGACACGAGAACAATAGCGATTCACTCAGCAGAGTTCTCGTTCATCAATGTGGACGATGGCGCAAGAGCGCTTCAGAGAGTCAAGAGCTTCGGGTGACACCATCAGGAAGGTCACCCGTGGCATGATAGGGGCCTACCAGGTATGCTGTCTGGAATCATGGAAAATCGAAAGGGTCAGCAGGACCAACTCTATTCTGGGGAGGCTTAATCACAGGCATCAGGTGCACCATGTGAGTGCATACAAAGGGCATGCCCTTTACGCCAATGAACTGCCGTGAAGCCATGGTAAACAAGTCAATCCCTTTGGCCCCCACCGAATGCGGATCAGATAGAAGCTAGACATGTTTGTCCATCAACCCCATTTGAATTCAGCACCATCTCTTCTAGAGGCGAAATCTGAGAACTACAAGTCGCATAGCTCTTCCGTTTAGACCAGGTGGTTCATGGTCCGCCGCGGTCCCTTGCATTGCAGCTCTTGGCGGGTGATTGAGTGGAGCGCGAAGTCGCCGATCAACTTACAACTTAACCGCGATTTCTCAATTGTAGATGAGTTTAATGCTTACAATTCACCCTCACAACTACATCACAACTACACACCTCCCGAGACAATTTTGGAGAGGGGAACATCGACTCCATCACTCTCGCCCTTTCTTTCGACTTCGGATGCGCCCTGTCGAAAGCTCTTGCCGAATGAGAACGCGTCTTCGCCCATGCCTTCGACCGTCGGAGCATCCCTTCACCTGCATTTTGACCTTCTTTAGTCCGCACTCAGGACAAAATCAAATACTCCTCGCAATCATACGTCAGTCACCATGAGTACCGACCCTGAAACTCCTACCCTGGCCAATGGTTCAGACCATCCAGGTGACGACCAAGCCGATAGCGACGGCGAGGACGAAGTTCACAATGACACCACAATGCACGACGACGAAGAGGTGGAAGGGGATCAAACATTACAAAATGGAAAGTCCTATGCCATGGCCGAAGAAGCAACCGACTACAGCGTCTTCGCAAACCCACCGGACCTTGGGCGCATGCGCCAAAGACTTTTTGATCTGGAAGAGCCGATCGAGGTGACAGTCGCCGAGTTCGAAGCATACTATTCATTTGTTGACAACATCTGGCGGAAGATGAGATCGGGCGAGCAGCCTGACAGCAGTCTGCGCACTGAGTATTATGCTTGCAGATTGCGACGGACCACGACTGCAAAGCCTCACATCCCTAGACCAACACCAGAAGGCAAGCAATCGAGAAAGAAGAGGATTCGAGACGACAAGACCTGTGGGATGACAATGAAGGTTGTCTACAACTCCGGACCCGCCAGTACCTGCACCATATCCAGAGGCGTTGACAACTTTCAGAAGCATTCCCATGATTTGGACTATATCGACTCAACTAAGCGCAATTCGGGCATCATGGACACTGCGCGGCGTGAAGCCACCAGAGGTTTCTTGCCTGCCTCGATATACTGGAAAATGTGGGAGGAGCCCGACAAGATGCACGCGGCTGGTGGGAAGTGGATGAAGGTTTCGGATGTCCGGAATGTTCAGTATGCCTGGCGGCAGGAAAACCAGCAAACTGTTTTAAAGGCGCATACGGGCTTCAACCAGACCAGAGCGCCTCGTCAACGGCCTGCAACTCCACCTAAACCCGCTCAGCCTTCTGTCCAGCCTGGTGTTTTCGGGCGACTGGAACCCAGCAAGCCGGAGATAGCCCGACCTGAGTTGCCGCCAGTGCAAATGGATACCTTGCAATACCCACAGCATGCCAGAGGTTTTCTAGAGCAATACCTACCGGACCCCAAACTTGCCGCAAGTCGAGGCCGCCCACACGTAACCCTTACTTGGGCCAGCGGTCTTGACGGTCGAATCACCCAGGTACCAGGCGTTCCTACGGCTATTTCCGGGCCTGAGACGAAAGCAATGACCCATTATCTGCGAAGTTGCCATGATGCGATCTTGATTGGTGTCACAACGGCGATCGCAGATGACCCGGCTCTGAACTGCCGACTTGCCAATCCCGTAGGATATGGAGGATTGCCCAGGGAATACCATCCTCGACCTATCATCATCGATCCACACGCACGCCTGCATATTCGCCCGGAGATGAAGATCCTCAAAGCTGCCTCCGAAGGGCGTGGAAAAGGACCATGGGTTGTGGTGGCACCTGGGGCAATGTTACATCCCATGGCTGTCAGCACATTGAAGGCGCATGGGGGCGAATACCTCATGATCAACGACTATCACCCACAATCGGGGGGATTGAATTGGGAAGGAGTATTTCATGTTCTCTTTCGTGAAGGTATCAAAAGCGTCATGATTGAAGGAGGCGGAATCGTCCTTTCTGAACTGCTGAAAGTGCGCTATGCACATGTCATCGATTCTGTCATCATGACCTTTGCTCCAACCTTCTTCGGCAAGGCAGGAGTACCAGTGTCGCCTGATCCGACCTTTGACTATTCTGGCAGACCGATAGCGACAAGGCTGAAGAAGGTGCGATGGCAGCCAATGGGAGATGCCGATGTTGTGCTTTGTGGTCAAATGGTTGTCGACCGCCCTGCTAATGGCATCCTGCCCGGCATCGAAGAATTTTCTCAAGCGGCGCCAGAGCCTAATCAACAGCAGAGGCTACCACCACCACCACAAGAGCAGTCGCAGGGGTCGCCGCCTTCGCAGCAACCACCAGTGCAGTATCCACAACAACCACCTCAACAGCCGCAACCCCCAGTGCAACAGGCGAATACCCTTGCTCCTCAAGTGCCTGCACCCGGTCCAGGAGCAGCAGCAGGAGCCGCGTCAGATGCTGGTCACTCTCGATCACCGACTGCACCTCTTCGAGCTTCGCCTGGCAGCTGATCATTGCGGATGGCGCCATAGTCCCAAGACCAACCATATGGGGAAAAAAGGGACTGTGCAAATCATACAGTAAAATCAAATGGTCACCAGAGCTGCACCTTGACTAATAAATGCCACGAGGTATGACTATCACGACGGAAGGTATCCAAAAAGCGTTTCAGCACTAGAATTGTTTGCAAGCGACGGCACCAAATGCTATTTGGAGCTATATCAATTAATGGCGTACAAGATGCCCGGACAGCGGTGAAATTGGTGTTTCCGCAGTGCACCTGCAACAGATACGTGCACATGGTGAAAGGACTGATACCAGCCAGGAGAGCTAAAGGCTATGAACAGAGGGCTAGTCAAACGACGGTTTTGATATTCTATGGGCTTGTTGAGCTGAAATGGATTGTCATCTCGGTGACACGGGTCGCTGCCCTCAGCGCAAGGGGTTCCTGTGTCTAACCTCAATGAGCTCCAGACAATACGATAATCTAGCCCAGTTCTCTCCGCGACTTGCTCGCTCGTTATCAGATGATGCCACTTATTTTACCGAGCCATGGTCGAATGGTGCCTTCACTGTGCTTGTCTGAGACCACTAACCTAATCGTGTTCATTCTAAGTGAAGCTTTGTACGTCCATGTATCGTCATTAGAGGCCCTGGGTATGAAGGACACTATCGGGGCAACAGGTAGTTGGGACGGGCACCGTTTTTAAGGCCTAACATGCTGTTAATGCAGTGAGTGACGTTAAGCAATAGATTTGAGTTTGGAATTTCCAATAATATATATTTACCCCAGAACTCGGATGAGTGTTTTCATTCTTAACAACAACACCACACATGCACGCACGCATGCATGCACGCGGAAATAGACTGCTTGACCAACGCAGACACAGCAGTGCTGCGCTCGGCGTTTCCACCGAAGCTAGTGCAGGATCGACCATCCATCTCCTCAACAGCTTCATCTAGCTGCCCTTCCTGGATGTTGCTGACTCCTTCCCCCGCGTCTGATCTGGTCACGATCGTTGCAGAATTTGTTGCTTTCCCCACAAATATGAACATATTGCCGGGTCATAATGGGCCGAAACAACAACTTGAACGCGGAGTACTGGGAAGGCACCGTCACCTTCTCGCGGAAAGCATGACTTTCAAGGTATAAAAGATGGCGATTGCCACATCTAACGGTGCTCTTCGAGACTTGGTACAGTATCTGAGCATGACCTCCCCTCATTCACGATGATACCTTTATATACTATCTCAACATGCGTGCTGTTCATGAAGCTGGCCTTCTGCGCCATCCCTCTTTCCTTCACACCACCCCAGAATGCTAGCCAGCCTATCCTAGAATCCTTTGTGTCCTTTTCGATCGAGTTCTCCTCGTTCCCAGACTTTGCAGGTATTTGTGGACAAGTACTTTCCTGGTCAAACTAACTGTCCAGGCAATTCGAGCAGCCCGAACACTTTCTCGTACAATCTCCTGACCAACCTGCAACAACTTCAGGGATCCTATCCAATCATCAGAGTTGGAGGAAACACTCAGTACGTTATTCATCACGAGCCCATCTCATCCAGAGACCAACAAGGTGTAGGGACTATGCCACGTTCAACGCAACCCAAACGCAAGCCTTGATCGGCACATTCAATTTCAGCCGGTCGGCAGACTATCCTACCACAATAACCATTGGCCCATCATACTTCGACTCTTACTCGACCTGGCCGAACGTGACATTCTTACATGGGTTCAACCTAGCAAACAACGGCACACTGGGCTACGACACTCTGGTTGGCACCGTCCCTTTAGTCCGCAAAGCGCTCGACACCAGCAAACTCGCCTATTTCCAGCTGGGCAACGAGCCAGACCTGTACAAGACGAGCTCCCAAGGTCCAGTCCGACCCAGCTGGTGGAACGAAACGGACTATGTTGACGAGTGGCTCAACAAAACTCGACTCATAAGACAGATCGTCCAACAGGACTGTCCGGACGTCATTTCCCAAGGCAAATTCGAATTCTATGCCCCCAGTTTCGGAGGAACAGGCAACAGTCTCAATCTGCTCACGACATGGAACGCTGGCCTCGACACCGACAATGACATAGCATGCATTGACAGCCACAAGTGAGCCCACTTCCCTTTTCAATCCAAACTAGCCGTGCTAACAAGACGCGTGTAGCTACATCGGCGGCGCCACACAGCCCGGCGTAACATTGCAAGGCACCCTGATGAACCACACCTCGACCGTACTGTCCGTGTCCCACCACCTCAATGAATCACGTTTACTATCCGGCACTGGCATCCCATACATACTCGGCGAAACCAACAGTCTATACAACGAAGGCGCGCCAGGCCTGTCCAATTCATTCGGCGCCGCCCTCTGGGGCGTAGACTTCAATCTCTACTGCGCCGCAACCGGGATAAGACGCACACACATGCACCAGGGTACCAATTACCGATACGCCAGTTGGCAGCCTACCCAGACCGTCAACGAGACTTTGGGAACAAAGGCACCCTACTACGGGAACATCATGGTCGCAGCCTTCTTGGGAGATTTGACCACGTCGAACGTGAGTATCGCGGACATCGAGCTGGGTAGTATTTACCAGAATGCTTATGCTGCGTATGTCGATGGGAGGTTGGAGCGCATTGCGGTAGTGCAGATGAATGAGTATAATAGCACGCATGGGACGACAGGCACGCGGCCCGGCGAGACGTTTAGTTTCCAAGTACCAGCTGCTGCGGCGGGCGCCACTCTCAGAGGTGTGAGCGTGCAGCGCCTCATTGCGAACGGGAGCGACGCTATCACCGGGATCACGTTCGATGGAATTTCGTATAATTACGAGCTGGAGCAGGGGAAGCCTGTTGTGTTGAGTAATGTCACGAGAGGTGAAGTTCTGCAGGTTGCGCAGAACGGGGCAGTGAGCGTGGATGTGCCGTGGAGTAGTGCTGCGATTCTGAATTTGCAGTGGTAGGGGAGCACGCGGGACCTCATATTGAAGGACAACATACTCTGCTCGGCCTGGTGTGAAAGACGTGGTTCTTCGAGCTCATATTGACAATGCATAGCATACCTAGGTAGCGAGGCTGCGAGTGGGTGGGTGTGCCCACCGAGCTAAACCCAACGTGAAAAAGGGGTTGAGTTTGACACCTGTACAATCAACTCACACAATCTGAACTGACCCCGACCAAAACTTGAGACAGGGAGATGGACCAGCAAGACACAACATGCCAAAAAAGAAAGTCCTTTGCAGGGTGTTTTGCTCCCTACTGGATTTGAACCAGTGACTTCGACATATGCAGTATCTTAAGTACTAGTGTCGCACTCTACCAACTGAGTTAAAGCTGAAAAGTGGATGTCAGTATAACTATGGAAGACGGGGCTCAGACAAACGTACGAGCAGTCTTAGACCTTACCACCAGTGATGGTAATGTTGATGGCATCTTGAATGCCAGCAGAATTCTGCTTGTTGCAATATACATATGTGCGCTGGCCTCATGTTTCAGATGCAAGAATGGTGAGGTGTGTGGAAGTGGGTTTGACGGGTTTGACAGCTCAGGGGTTGAAGTCGCATCGTAGCCATACGTGAATCGTCAACCCATACCCACCCAAGTGTTGAGGAAGGTGTGCCTGGCTACTGAACATAGGGCACGAAGCCTTTTCCGACTTGCTGAATACTACCTAGGTAGGAGGCAGCGGAAGAGACGGGCAAAAAACTACAGTGCAGCACGACGGCAAATGTGCCACGGGAGAAGCGCGGAACGAAACAAGGCCAGGGAATAACAAGACCAGGGAACAACAAGGAGGACACGAAGAAGAAGCGTCCTTGGGCGTGTATGTCTTTCTCAAAATGCGAGCATTCCGCGATGCAAGTCCGAGCTTGTCGCCATCTATCAGCTCGACGAGGGGGTACGCCGTGTCTTGATACGCGCAAAGTTCTCCTTCCCATGGTCTATCGGAGCTCGACGAACAGCATGCCCCTGGGACGCAGAGTCCAGCCATCGAGCATCTCAGATACCCAACATGCACCAAATAGTTCTCTCAAGCCAATTCCAGTGTCGGCAGAGCCAAATGGACATAGAAGCGTCCACGAGTACCAAAGCTTTGTACTTCTCATATGATTGGCGCTCTGAAGCGAATCGAGGTGTGTCGATTCATGATGCCCACGACATGCTGCCCGATATTACAGCGCCCTTCCAGTATGACTTCCTCAGTGATACCATCATTCTCGGAAATCCCCTCCTGCAAACTAGCAGCAGATCTGGAGGCGACCTTGATTGCCAGATGTTGTCTCGCTAGCAGTGTGTGATAACTGAGTCTTCGTGCTTGTCACCAGGCATGAAGCCCGCGCTGAATAGCTTCAAGGAGCTTAAGGACCATGACCACCCAGAGATCACACATATCCGCTGTTCTTCGCAAAGTGCATACCTGCAGCGAAATAAAAGAGTTTCCCAGCGATCATGTACTTATCCTCCTTGCTCCACTGAATCAGACGATCGTACAATTCGCTCAAAGGCACCATGACCCTCTCGATCAGCTCGCCATCATCCAATTTCTGATCCGGCATGATGTTCTCCTCACCCTCCGGGAGCTTAACCTCAACCATGACCAGCTTGAGAGTTGCATTGGTCAAACCTGGGTCACTTGATACAACGGGCCCACTTTCGAGTATTCGCCCTTCATATCCTGTCTCTTCTTTCATCTCCCTGACCGCAGCTTCCTCAGGCGTCTCGTCTGCATCGATCAGGCCCGCAGGCCATTCGATAGTGTACTTGCCAACTGGGGGACGATATTGTATAACCAGCATGGTACTGGGAGGTTTTGAAGGGTGTACGAAGATAGTTCCCATGGCGACCGCATCGACGCCGGATTTCGAGGTGGTCTTACGGATGGCAACCTCCCAAGTCCGAGGTGTGCCTGTCTGGTCGATAAAGTCGATCTTCTTGAGGGTGACCCATTTTGCTTTCTCCAGAGGGAGATCGGTGATTGACACGACTTGAGGTTCCTGCTTAGACATTGTGAGTTGTCGAGGATTGTGGGAGGACGGAAACCGAGCTGCTGGACGGGATTTTATGCGCAGGGACGTGGACGAACGGTGTGGTGTACAGCGAACCAAGGCTAGCAAAACGCAATCGAACGATGATTGATATGATGCAGTTTGAGACTGAGATTATAGAATTCTTGTTGGATCATGACGTAGAGCAGCCGTTGGAGATCAAACGCGTTAAAGTGCGACGCGTCTTGCCGTTTACCATAAGCGAACTCTTGCCTCAAACAGAAAAAGAACAACATCAGTCCATCGATAACGTCAATCCAGCTCACGATGCTGTCGCTCGAGCATGCACGACCGTGCCGTCGTCTTGCTACAGCTGAAACCATGTTTGGCCGAACTCCTTCGAACCTGCGTGCAACCCCAAAATCCCATTGTCCGGGTCGAACACGTTTTCGGGCAAGCGCTCCCACGTAGCCACAGAAACGCAGCTGCACACGAGCAAGACGGCAATGCTGATCATGCTTCTGACGGCAAACAATCCGACAAGGCTGTAACTAGCTGTCTGCGTCTTGTGCTATCAGATGGGCACCTCCAAATTCACGCCGTACTAGCGAGACATCTACACACGAGAGAGTTGTTGGAGCTACAACGAGGAGACCTAGTCCGGACCAAGAAATTCCATCTGAGAAAGGCTGCCCGTCTTAACGGCCAAGGGAGAGTGATATACCTTGGTGTTGAAAATTGCGAGTGGGTGGGAAGAGAGCTGTCCGAAGAACCACAATTCGAGTCCGAGGGAGAATTCCTTCGGGAGGAGGCAGATACGACCGACATGCCACCCAAGCCACTGTCCAGCTCCAATGATACAATTTTGGATCTCGACCTCATGAAGAAAAGAAGCATCGATGCCATGGGATCAGGACGCAAGCATGGCAAGATAGGTCGGACTGAGCTGCAATTGCCTGGCGCTTGCATATCTACGCCCCAGAAAAGACCTCGCAATAACGGGTGCGAGTCTGACGACGATGAGGACTCCTTCGAGACCATCACGGTGACCCCATTAAAGATGGAAAAGAGAAGGAATGTGCTTCGTCAAATCAGCCAGGATACACATAATATTCAGCACGACTCCTCCGACCTTGAAGCAAACAATCCGCCGCAGATCAATGACGACGCTCAGTCCATGATGCCGTGTCGAACAGCACAGCCAACAGACGATTTCATTGCTTTATATGGTGCGCAGAACCATGAAGTAAAGATCAAACCGCCACCTGCGTTTGCCATCACCGCACCGGTTCACACCCTCTCTTCTCTTCTCGATCCAAAATCAACCCTTCCACGACGCAGCTACACATGCACGATCCTAGCAGTGGTGAGCTGGGTGTCACCATCGACGATCCACAAAGCCAACACGCCGTTCCCACCAAAGCGGCATGTCAAAGTCCATGATCCGACCATCTCGAGTCGTCAAGCGGGCGTTACGCTAGCCGTGTACGTCGATGCAAAGAATTTCTTGCCCGAAGTCGGGACCATCGCATTGCTGCAAGGCGTTGTCATGCAGAGGTTCGGAGACGATATCATCCTGAACAAGTACGCTACTCCCATTGACGACAAAGCTGACCACAACCGTTGCGACTGGTTCGTCACGGACGAGGAACTGCTGATCCGAATGGGATTCGACATGCTCACGATGAGAGGCTGGTGGCAAGAAAGGGCCAGCAAAAAGACATAAGTGATGACACACTAGAAATTCCTGGACACAGCACCAACTATGGTAAATACTTGACGCTCTGCGCCTGGAAATCATGCCTTTGGCTGTTTCACTCATAATCTCCAGCTCGCTATTTATATCAAATTGTCACCAAATAGCAGCTCGAATCCCTGCCCAATGGACTCTTCGTATCTCCACACGTTGTGGCCCTGGGAGTGGTTTACTCGTCTCCAATACTTCGCAGCCGATGTTTATTGTCAGACTCCCAAACCTCATCACCACACCTCTAGAGCCCCAACTAGTTCTCGCCTTGGCGGGCCTCGTTTTCGACCAGGATCTTACATACAGGATTGAATGTCTTCCTGACGTTAAGGTCCCGCCTAGCCCTTTTCTGCAAGCACTACCCAATCATCCACTATCCCCATTCGCTTCTCATCGTCACGTTCTTGTTCACATAGTAGTTGACAATTTCTCCAGTTGTCCTCCTGCTCCTGAAGGTATCTTCTGATGTAGGGCTCATCGCAGCCGCCGAATACCTGAATCTTTATCAAAGATCCGACGTCTTTGACCAAATCTTCGATAGACGCATACCCAGAGGCGCACACCCTCTGCCTTATCGGGCTCAAGAGCGTCGTTACTTCCGCGGTGGACGCCGCCTCTCCAGTAAGGCACAGCCAAGAACATATATACTCCATTGTCCGCAAGCAGAAGCGAGCCAGCATGCGTTGGGTGTCGTCCATCGTCAAGCCGAAGCTGTATGCGCCTTCTGGTGGGCGTGTTCGTGGATCTCGAATGTACACATCAGTGGTGGACTCGCTGTCACGCAGCTCCCCAGCTTCTTGTTCGAGTTGTTCTTTTCTCGTAAGGCGTTTCTTCCTTGGCTTCATGAGTGGTTCCGTTACCACTTTCTGTTGGAGAGTGCTGCGCTTTGTTGGCCGATGCTGCAAGGGAGGAGCTGGTGTGCCTGCTGATATGGGTTTGTTGGGTATCGATGTACGGAGGCGTATCTTGAGTTTGTCCAACTTCTTCCTCGGGCCACGTACTTGTGGCTGGCTCCTTGGTGCTAACATGGTCGTCTTGCTTGCTTCTGATGGTACCGATGCTCTGTGGTCTGCTGCCTGATCCTCGCTAGCGCCTCTTATTGGTGCGTCTCGGCTTCTGTGCATAGATAGGCTCTCTTCCGTCCTTTGTCTAGACGGAGAACGTGCTCTTCCCTCCTCGCTTAAGAGTTCGCTGGTCACACCAGTCATTGCCGTGTCTTCTGTGGATGGCACAATCGGCTCTAGACTGGGTACAGACTTCGACTTCGAATCATGGTTCGCCTCCAACTTGATATGTGGCTCTTCGTCGTCAGATAGGAGGTCAATAAGCACTGGGCCAGGATGAATTGGAAGAGATGTAGTTGATATGCGTTGGTGCTCGGAAGTAGTAGAGACAGACCGTGTTATCGATGGCGTAGCGGATTGAGCTGAACTTTGCCTCTGTTCCGCTTTAGCTTGCAGGCGTTTGCGCTTGAGTCTAATCAGTCGGAGCTTCAGGAGCAATTCCTCTTCGTCGAGGTCCAGGTTTGCCGCTTCTTCGTCAGTCTTCAACGGGACTCCTTCCGCCTCAAGGTCCTGTTGCACCTCCTCCTGCTTGATCGGTGGTATTGCTTCCATAGTTGTATGCTGCTGTGCGCTGTACAACAATGCGACGGCAAACAGCAGAGAACTCAAGTTGAGGACGAGTCTTGACCGAGCAAAGTGGGTAGAGTGACTTAACCAACCAAAGAGAGTATCCCCAAGGTTGAAACAGTGGTAAAGGAAAGAGGACCGTATCAGTGAACATGTTCGAAAGGAAGGTGAAACTTTGAAGAGAGAAGTTGTAGTGAGTCCAGGAAGTCATAGATCAGCAGAGTAGCGAGAAGTGCTGACTGGTTCAAGAAGGCTCGTGGATGATAAGACGATGTAGTTGAGGATCAACACGCACGTGAAGCCAACACCCTGATGAGAGTGGAAGCAGCACAAACGATGATCAAGAGAGGTATCTAAAAAGGGTAGACACCCACGTATCGGAAGGCCTTGATCGAAAGCTGATGATATGGGAGGGTAGGAGATCCAACAGATGTGGCCAGGTCAAGGAGAAGAACTGGGAATGAAGCATCGGAGCTGACTACCAGTGCATAACGAGAAGAGGTGCAAGGCAGAGTCAGGGATCGAACGTAACGGCAAGAAGGGGCGTATAAGAAGGTCAGGGAATTGCAAAAAGGACGAACAGGCAGACAAGTGCAGTAAGAAAGTATGCCACAGTTTCCAAGTGAAACCGAAAAGTGAAGTCTAGCTGAGCACATTGAGTACCCACATTGAGTACCCACATTGTGTGTTTGCTCGGGCTTAGGATAGTAGAAGCCAATAAGGCGAGTCGTCCAAGCCAACATCGAAAGAGCACGATCTGCATTCAAAGATACAAGCTAGTCTGTAAGACAACAGTGAGCTTGTCGCGAAGTGTCGTCGCGATATGTGTTGCAGCGAATTCCGGATACATCTATGATTGATCCCGGATCTCGATAAACCCACCCCTGAAAATTACAGCCTCGTCAAATTGTCGTGCCGAAAATTTCTCTTACGGCACTCTTCCAGGCTTCGTGGTGACTCTACGAGTCGGCTCCCGGACTCGGGTAGCATGTCAGACACATCAGCGTGACACACGTGGAACAGCACTCCTAGCCAAGGAGCCTGATTTCATATTAGTCATGTCTGTATCATGGCTACTTCGTATCTAGCATCCAGTCATCCAACTCATGCATCATTGACCAAACTTCTCTCCAGGTCCCAGGCTAATCCAAGGGCAAGCCTGCCAGTCGCAGCCCTGCTTGTATATCTCGGTCCCCCACCACTTGAAGTTGTCCATCCATCCAGGATATACAATCCCGAAGAAGACGACCAAGAGCGAGAACGCTAGTCCCGAGTCTAGTGCCGCGGACATGGTCATGGTATATTTGCCCCACCACGGAGTCGCCTTTCGCTTCACCACATAGTTGAACGCGAAGCAAACCACAGCCCAGACCGAAAAGTTGAGACCAGTAGCCGGTGGAATCCAGCTCAAACTGCCAAAGAGAACCGGCAGATTGATCTTCCGCCATATCGTCTTCTTCTTGCCCCTGCCCATCAACCACACCAGGATTGGCGCAATGAAGCCAATCAAAAAAGCCCAGACAAGAGGTCTATACAATGCTCCAGGCCCGAAGAACCGTTGTGGGCCAACGACACCCCACAAAATGCTGCCATTGAAATGCACACGTGCAATGGGACAATTGAAGCCGTTGATCGCCTGAGGTGTACACAGGCCAGGAATATACAGGAACATCCAGTTCAACACTCCAATCTGCACAAGACTCGACACAAGTGTGGCGACCATCTGCACTTTGAAGAGTAGCTTTGGAGGAATCTTCATGTAATGACCCAGCTTGAGGTCCGAGGAAAATTTGATGCCCTGCGCTGAGCTGATGTAGCAATAGGTGACGAACACCATATTTGCCACAGGACGACCTGGAAAGACCATGCCGCAGATGAGTTGGCAGATCAAATATAGACTGCTATGCTGGTTTGTGATGGCCATGACAATTCCAACAGGGATGAACAGGACGGTGGTGATACCCAAAGCCAGCAACAATCCGTACCAGGGTAGATGGACTGGGTAGTATTCAACAACAAACATGCCAACGGCTATCATGACGACGAAAGTAAGACCATACCACATCATCGGCACGTCTTGATATCGCCGCATTAGTCGACTGTGGACATCATCGGCTCCGGATCGGATGGTTTGAGAGTCAACTCTGCGCAGGCTGTTGTCGTCCTCATTATGGGGAACAGCTTGATAGTCCACGGAGTTCTTTTCATGCTTCTCATTGAATGCTTGCTTTGATTGTCGTATTATGTCGCGACCATGCCAGCATGTTGTGTGCGTCAACAATGCGGACAGCGATGCAAATTGTACGCCATACGACAATACGTATGTAATTGGTAGGTAGACTTTGGAGTAGTTCTCGTAGGCGTCCTTGTCAAACAAGAAGTCGGACGTGAGGATCTTGCTGACATCGTAAGGTTTACCTCGATTGTCGAACACTGCCGAGGACAAGATAGGCATATATCCTGAAAAGAGGATGTTCTTGTAGTATAATATCGGAGCGACAATCCACATCACCAGGACCAGTCCCCCAACGACGTTGGCGGCTGCCCACCATGGAGTCAGCAGCGGTGAGCCGATGTAGGCAATCTGGGCCCAGTCGAAGGTCAGAGGGAAGAGCCCCAACCCTGAAGCGACTCCGAATAAGTTGGAAACAACAACAGTTTTCGGCGCAAACCATGTGATGACATTGAAATAACTCAACGCTGGACACAAGAGTCCAGGAAGGAAATACCATGCAAATGCTGCAGCCCAGACATAGATGAAAAACCTATATCGCGAAATCATCCATCCATTGGCAGGCTTGTTCTCATTCCTGTGCATCGTCGTAAACATTGCTGTCGACATTAATGTGCCCGGCCAAATCATAGCGGCCGGGCGAACCAAAAATCGTCTCGTAAGACCTGCAAAAGCATAACCCAGAATTTGGGTCGAAATAGTCAGCAGGATTTGATAGAGTATTGGAACATCCTGCTTGTAGAATTTGTGCTGTTCCACTATCACATCAGTGGCAAAGGCAAACCCGAAAGAAACGTTGCTGCATATGTATACGCATGCATGTTCTTTTTCGTTCCAGCGGCCTTGAGCCAGCCAAAGCCGTGATCGGTGCGCACGAGATCGTGGAGGCGGCGACTTAGTCGTCTGAAGCGAACCCTCGATATATTGCTCTTCTGGATCGGATCCCCTCTTGAAGAGGAGATCCCACAATATACCCATGGGATGAACAAGAACCAGCGCGATGACGGGTGTGATTGCGACGCTAGGATATCTCAATGAGAAGAAAAGGTTCGTGGCAGATCCTGCTATGGCGAAGAGCATTGATAGCGTCCACATACGCGGTGTGCTTATGGATAACGTGGTGTTGTCCGTTGCAGGCACCGAAGCTCGAACCTCGGGATAGGGAGAGTTATCGGGAGGGTCCTCGGCAGTAGATATGTATTCTTCCTCATAGTCCGACCCTGTGTCATCAGACGTGGTTGCGTTCGAGGACTCGGCCTTGTCCTCGTCTATACCAGAGTTGACAGCAAAGGATGTTTTTGCATCGAGGCCCATGCCAATATCGCTGGCAGAGGATGACTGCCTCCTACGCGGCCATTCTGTACTGCGAAAACGTCGACGAGCATCTGCAAAGTGTCCACGGTTGTCCGCCGCATCATGGGCAGACTGTACCCTTTTGCCCCGACTCTTACTGCTTCTCCGTGGAATATGTTCAAATTCGTCGTCTTCTGAGCCTATATCTGATCTCGATGTGCTACTGACGAGTGGCACTGCGCCGTAGGAACCGGTCCCTAAGGCGGGCGAAGAGCGCATCAACAGCAGAGGGTTTCGGGACATGATGGCGTCCCAGACGCGTGACCCTAGTCCAGCTGGGGCCCAGTCCTGTAGAGGCGGTGCTATTGGGAGCGAAGGAAAAGGCTCGGTGTGTTCGTGATCGTTCGAGGAGCGAGCCGCTGTGCTTTGAGGCTCCAAGACTGAGGATGCAACAGCGGCATTTTGATGTGCAGTGGAGTGAAGGGAGGATAGTTCAAAGCCTGAGTTCGAAGCCTTAGTATGCTGTCCCGCTCCTGGGCGCATAGCATGACTTGGGCATCGGAATGCGTCACAAGATGGACTCGGTGGAACGAACCAGGAGTAAACGTGGGATGTAGTTGGGCGATTTCGGAAAGCTCAGCCACTCAATTGCTTGATAAGATTGATAAGATTATCTCATTTCCGCTTCATCTTGATCATCTGGTCCACCAATCAGAAGTCGCGACGGTCCACGCACTTTACGTAATCATTCTGATGCCAAGGCTGGTGAGGATCTGGCTCGCTGGGGAGTACTGCGAGGCTGATTCCAGAAAAAGTGGCATCGTCTAACAGAGCCGACCTCGCCGATATAAGTTCGAAAGCAACCAGATTCACCATAGCAGGTACCTTGACGGCAAGACGCATAGCCTATACGATAGAACTCATGAACTTTGAGGTAAAGCTATGTTGTTATGGGCGATGGGCTACGGACTAACAATAAGGAATGATATCTCCTCGAAGCTGAGTGGCGACAGGAACCAGAAACCAGATAGCGCCACTCTCTGGAAACAGCCTTGACCGATACAATGTGTATGCTTGAGGACCGGTACCAGTCGGATACTTGTGCATCACTATGGTACTAAGGTAACAGTATTCAGATATATATATTTGTCTTTTCTTTATGTCATGACATGGCTAACTTCACAACAATCTCTGGTGTGTATCAGCCATGTGTCTCGTCTTGCTATTGTGGCGCCTGCTCAATATATCCAAGAAACCTCCCAGGATCATACACCCTGCCCATACGCAACCTCTTCCCGGTCCTGACGAACGTCCCTACCGAAGTCCCGAGCAACCTCTTCCCAGGTCTGACTCTTTGCCCCCTGGGCGGACGTCCAGTACGTCACGTTATTCCAAATTAGGTCTTCTACCAACGGAGCTGCTTCTTCAAATAACATCTCACCTACCCGCGGAAAGTGTCGCATGCCTTGCTCTGACCTCGAAGCACTACTACGCCACGTTACGCAATGAGATCGACATGAGGTTTCCTGACCTGAAACAAAAGGGTTGCTTCATGCGTTTGTACTGGCAAGACGACATTCCAGAGCTTATTATGTGCCGGATATGCAACATTTTGTATCGTTGGGAGGACCATGACACTTGTCCACGAAAATATCATCATGGCGCCCTGTGGCAACATGAAAGCATCACTTTCAGCTGGCAGCAAGTGAGATATCAGATTCACCCGGAATGGGTTGACGCTTACGTACGCGGCTTCGTCAAAGGAGAAAGGTACGGCCCGCCACTCGACGATTTGTCCTACGAGTTGAAATCCTTCCCAAGGCCATACAAGATGGTGAACACTGTCAAAGCTCGCGTGGTGAGCGCCAAGCTCATTATACACTCGACTTGCCAGCTCTACATGACTTTGCCAGCAGAGATACAACAACTAGCGTCCGTGGCTGAGAGTTTCACAAGTCGTCTGATACTGGGAACTCCAAAAGGTCGACAGATCCTGGGCATTCCAAAAGAGGTTTCCAAAGGGGTTGACACATTACGTGACGCTGGATGCTACCATGGCAGGCACACCCTGCCTGCAGTGATTATGGATGCGCTACACGATCTCTCCCGTCCATGGGATGATTCAAGAAGATGCCACGGCCTACTGCATTGTGGCCGCTGTGCGACTGATGCGCGAGTGAGCGTCGTCGCTCACGATGCACGCACCGTTGAGATCAAGGTGGATCAATGGCACTGTCTTGGGGGTAGAGACCCAGAACAACGACATCCATTAGAGAAGGCGCACTTTCAACAGCCAGACAACAGCTATCTGGCACCATTCGACACATCCACATTGCCCAGCCGGGATCTTGAACAACTCTACAATGCAGGCTGTGGAGAATCGTCCTTAGCACCAAGATCTGACGTCCGCCACAGTTGGCTACAGCAGTGGACGTGGAACTACCGTCCATCTTTCAGAAGATGGCCTGCCAAAGTCTCCCAGTGTCGCATACCTTCTGACTAACAAAATATGCTTGTCGGAGAATGGCAATGAACAGGGTGGTCAGGACAGGAAGTCCTTTTGTTGCCATCCGTCGCCTTTAAACACCTTAGTTGTGTGTTGCTGACTGAAAATACATGGCACCGTTTGCACCCGAACGACATTGCCTCAATATTGCGCGGCTTATTGCATGATAACTCCCCGACCCTCTTCCCGCGCTCTTCCTTGCAATGACGGGTACCTGACCCATTCAATTCTAGGCCAACATGTAGTCGAGGAATCCATCGTAGTCACCGGGACATGTCCGGAACCTATGGGTCCAGAGCCCATCATGAATAAGGCCAGGGGAAGGCAGGTAGTTACTAGTGTTGATGCTCAGATGCACTTAAATTTCATCAGCACACTTGTTCATTGTCCCTTTCAAGAGCCCAATGCTTCAAGATAGTCACGACAGTGTAGAACTCGCCAGACGTGTGCCTTCCGGACAGAGTCACTCACCACTTCTGGGGACGGGCTTGCTAAAACTTCATGCATGGAAGATCAAGGTCGCAGTCAGTTGATTTAAGGATTCATAGCTTCAAAACAGCCTGGTGTATGTAGTCACCAACATCAAGTCCACGGTTGGCGCGTCCACTTTTGTTGTGTTATCCGTCGAGCCTGTTTCCAGAATTACTGGCACTGTCTGAAAGATGTATTTCTTCGGATTTAAATAGTAATCGGTCCTTATTGTCGATACAGGATCTTTCGCACCCATTAACACAGCTCCAGCCTTTGACTGGGAGGTGGTCATCAGCACCATCGTATGGTGCATGGCTTGTAGACAAGATGACCGCCGGCGTGAATTTGCTTGACTTCAAACTTATGTGGTCGAATGCCTGTCAGACGATGCCACATGTGTGGAAACAGGCTGCCGTGCTTCCCCTGTCCTAGGCGCTTCGCTATTGTCTGACTACTCAGGTGTGCAATACAATCATGACTTCTCGTGTTTAGCTCTGCTGATCAAAGACCATCGTCGCATGATCGTCCTCAAAACGCACCAACATCGCCGCCAGCGCGGGTCAACATATCATACACACGACCTGGCAATTTGTATTTGACCAAGCCGGCAAACACCATCAAGTCCTTCGCCATTTCGCTCAACTGATCTTTCATGCCATCTGAATCTCCATACCCTGCCTCCCATCGTCCGCTTCTCACAATGTTCTCTCTCTCGCCACCAATTGCACGCACGGCCCAAACGACGCTCACTCCAGCGCATCGTGCGAGAAGCTGCGGAAGATTGCCGAATGCATCAGCTGCGGCGCGAATAACAGGTATCGACCCGTTTGCCCTTAGTGGCAGGATATTGAGGTCGTTCAATGTCTCCAAAGCTGTCATGAAGCGGGGTGGGTTAGCTTCCAGATTCGATCTCACAGCCAGTAGCTGAAGCAGGATGCTGATATTATTTCGATTTGGACTTGAGATTCGATTGTAGTAGGCTGCGTTGTCGTTGTACAAGGAGATCATATTCTGAGCCAACTCGATCGGAGATGAGGTGGATTGTGTCAATGATAGTGATGATTGTGGACCATTACCCTGAGCACTGGCTGATGACTCGCTTTGTCCATCTGGTCGTCGTGGCTTCAATGGCTGCAGCTGCATCGGGGATTCTCCCAAATCCAAGGTGACTGCATCGGCAAGAGCCCTGTTCAGGACAGCAATCACGTTGTCATAATCCTCACACAGATGGTAAAGCAGCACAGCATCAGAAATCTGTCCTCGTTGATCTGCGATAGCAGCCGACTGGCTTGTGATAGACCTCAAAAACTCCTCTCGCGAATCCAGATGGATCAATTCTGCACGAATTTCGATGGCGCCAGGGATCCGGGTCCCATCGCTACGAATATCACCGAGAAGCTTGGCAAATTCGCGAGTCTCCAGGCATAGCTCCCTCAAACATTCGTGGCAAGCATTGGTATGAACCAGACCAAGACTTGTAGGCTGCAAATCGGAGTTCAAGCAGATCATGGAAAGGTAGTCCACAGCAGCAACGGGAAGAGCTGTTCGGAATGTCGCAGTGTAATAGGCCACTAACGGGACAAAGTTGATCTGGGGTAATTGTGTGGTCGAGTAGGTTACTATAAAGTCTGTCAGCACTTGTTTGATCATTCGGAGCATGGACCGCTTACGCAATTCATTACCGGCAACAGAGAAGTCCGCAACCCTCAACAGCCCATAGTAGGCCAAACCAATCGCAAGATGCACAGCACTGGTAGGGTTGAAACTGTGCAGATACTCGACTGCTTGCTCAAACATGCCCGCAAGCACCTGCATCAGGAGAAAAGTGCCATAAGCACTAGAAGCTTCAGTTTGGGTCTTTTGAAAATGCTTCTGTCCAATCTCGGAGACAGTTTCGCGAAGCTGGTCCAGACCAAAGATCTCGCCCGACAGTTCCTCCGAACGGCCAGTCTCTCGAGCAAGGTTGAATTGAAGCCATAACCAGTCTTCAACTCCTTGACCAACTGCGTCCAGGTTTCTCACCGTCAGGTCGCAGCGACCAATGACCTTATAACAAGCAATCTTGTAAGGGTCGACGGTGTTCTTGGGTGCCAACTTGGTAAGCTTCTGATACTCGTTGTCGATCATGTTCTGCACTCCTTTGGGTAATCGTCCGTCTGGGCTGTCCGAATAGGCTGTCACGTAAGAAATGATGCGTCTGTCCATCGACTGGAACGCAGGGTCATTCTTGACGTAGTCTGCTGCCTCCTTGACAAATCCACACCTTAGCAGATAGAAAATGAGTACCCAGCAATAGTCGCCGTTCTCACCGCCAATCTGTTGCAGCTCTGCACCGTCAGGCACCAGATCGCGACGTGCAGCACGTATGCGGATGTATGCGCGTACAATATTGAGCACAGAAGGTTGTCCGCCTAGAGCGGCTTCCCGAGCATTCTTTTCGATCATGCCCCTCATTTCTTGCCAGAAGGACTTCTCCAGATAGCTTCGAGAACCCTTCAAGATCTGCTTCTTCAATTTCAGGTAGCTTGCACCCTCGTTCTCATCTAAATATGCCTGGGCATATTCTCGCTCTCTGATCGGGGAGTTTCCTTCTTTTGTGATTTCTCGAAGTGCATGATATGCATCGATCAGTTGTCGGGGCCCATCTCCAGCGGTATCATTTTCTGCTGCCGCAAAGTTCTGTAGCAGTTGATAGCTTTCGTCCTGCAGCTGCGCATTGTTGAGTTGTTGTACCTTTTCAATGAAGGCCTTTTCCTTGTCTCGCAGATCACGTAGGCTTTGTCCTCTGCCGAGACTGATCCCAGCGCCTTCACCCTTAAAGAAAGAGGTCGTTCCTGCATTAGAGCCGGGCGCCCCAATCATGGACTTCTCCATCGCAGAACGACCGAAAATGCTTCTTGCCCCCTGGGATGCTCCAGGCTGTCCTTCCTTACTCTTCCTCGACCTGCCAAAGCCACCACCTTTCGGTTTCCCGAGATCATCCCCATCATCTGGAGGAGCAAGACCAAAATGTTCCATGATTCTCATCTTCTGCTCTTCAAAATCGACACCCAAGCTTTCTTCGATGAAGTGGTCGACTTCCTTGTAGACACGTTCCATGCTCTCCCTTAGCATTGCATCACGGCCTTTCGTCCGAAGGTCTCTCAAGTGAGCACTTGACTCATCAGCAAAGCTTTGTGCCACATTTCTGGAGATTGATGCGGTATCATCAGGACCAAGGGCTTGGAAATCCTTGTAGGCCTGACCAGGTGCTATTCCCGAACCAGCCAGTAGATAATGCGCACGACTGTCCGTGAAGGCATCCGCTTGTTTCGGGCCACGCTGTCTGATCTCCTGCGCACGTCGAGCCAAGTCCCCCAAGTCCATGTTCAGACCTGACAACTGAGACGCACGTCCATTGTTTTCAGATTTTAACCTGGGCTTTTTCTTCTGTCTTTCCAACAGACTGCTAAAGTATGCAGCATCTCGAGCTTGAGAAGGAGCACCACTTGCAGGCTGTGAAGCCCCAAGTGCTGCCGTGCTTGCAGAGAGGGTGTTTCCGAACGTAGAGGCGGAGGTCGCTGGCTGTGCCGTCGATGTGCCTGCGCCGAACAAGGACGTGCTAGGTGCAGGCTGGGAAGTGGTTGTGGATGGCCCTCCAAACAACCCTGTTGAAGGAGCGGAAGGTGCGGAGGTAGCGGCTGTCCCAAATAGGCCGGTGGAAGGCGCAGAGGTTGCGGTTGTGCTTCCGAACAAGCCTGTCGATGGTGCAGAGGTGGTGGTAGTTGTGTTCCCGAACGAAAGAGACGGAGCTGATGGTTTTGCCGGGCCTCCTCCTAGACTGAACAGTCCTCCAGAGGAGCCTGCTGTCGTGGTGGTCGTGTTGGTATTGAGACTGGGGAAGCTGAAGGATTGGGACGTCTGCTGCTGCGAGGTGGAGGCATCGAAGATTGATTTCCGCTTGCCCTGCGCATCTGTGCTAGGAGTGCTCAAGTTCAAGCCAGCGAAAGGGCTGTTCGCGGCTCCTTGACCCGACGGAGGTTGACCAAAGAGCGACATTGTGTCTGGTCCGGATGTGGTTGTTGACCAGTACACCCAAGCTCTGGGTCGCTCACTGAATTGGAACCACCCGCAGTTGACATGCCGTCGCGTATCTTTTTTGGAGGGCGCGTCCCCAGGTCCGGGCTTGGCAAAATCAAGTTGCCGCTTTTGGAGGCTTCACTTCAGCCTTGTTTCTTCAACACCAAGGCTCTAACATGTCTCGACAACTTCACTCCTCTTCCACCCATTTATACCCCTTTGACCTCATGGACAGCCAGCTCGAGTGCCATTATGGCAGTAGACCACTCGCGCTGTCCACCATTCAGTTTGTCCCTTTTCTATGAATGCAGATCTCTGACTATTTTCAGGGGGTACAGCTCGGCCAGCACCATTCTCGGATGTTTGGCAATCTTGCTTCTGCCAATTCCATTTATCCCGGAGAGGTCCGGCACGACTTTGAGAGCGAAAAGTCCGTTTGCAAGGCAGCATATGGACGACGATGATGAGGTGGGAGATGATGACTGAATAAGACTTGAGAGTGCTATGTCTGATATCTCCTGAAGACAGATATCGACCATGCTTTCGCACCGGCCCTCAAGGTGAAGCATTGAAGAGTCTTTGAAGAGTGTACTACGGATAACATCACGCGAAGCTACCCTGAGTATGCTGAGTGGTCGACGAGGCCAAGAAACGGTATCCTCTTCCTGACCACACAAGGGTAGCAGCTTCATCGTGTTGGTCTACAGCTTTTAGAGCATAACCACAGCCATGGTGACGACCAACAAAACAAGAAATCTTGTACCAACTGGGCGACACAAAAGGGCAGCTGCCCGCGAACTCGAAACGGTGGTGGGAACTGTGGTTGTCAAGCCGTTGGAAGAAGTAACGGAGGCGACCGAGCTGGTCAGCGCTGGTGAGGAACTTCTACCGCCAGTAGACGAGCCGGACAGAGCTGCGGTAGTTGTTGTGGCTGCCACAGGACCACTAGCGACGTTTCCAACTATAGAACAGGGGGCACGCGGAACCTCATCTCCGCTGAGGTAACTGTAGAAGCTTGTTGATGCGGTCGACAAGTAGGCGAGGCATTGGGCCTGGTAGTCATCGTATATGAATGGCGCATATGTTGAACTTGAATAGCAGAGACAGCTAGCTTCCACACTGAATGGAAGATTTGTAAATGAGGAGATCGTCTCGGAGCAGGAGAACTCGATCGCATTCCACGAGTCGCATGCAGCCGAGTTCCCCACAACAGTCGTCGCCGAGGAGCTGGTGAGAAGAGCAGGAGTTGCGACGACGTCTCCTACCTCTGCACAAGGCGTGCTGGGGACGTCTGTCCCTCCCATGGCAGAGAATGCGCTCGGACTGGCGGTCGACAGGTGGTCGAGGCAGGTTTGGAAAGCATTGTCAAACACGCTGGGCTGCCAGACGGTACCGGAGTAGCATAGACAGCTAGCCTCTTGGCTGAAGGCCAAGTTGAGGAAGTCTGACGTGGCAGCTGTACAGGATGCCTCTATACTGAACCACACGTCGCAAGATGTCGAGCCTGGATCGGCGGAAGCACCCTGGCGAGCGTGAAGATGCTGAATGTTGGGCGCAGCAGTTATCGTGACAGCGTACGCCTGTGGCAGCATGAGAAGAGGTACCAAGAGACTAAGACTGAACATCTTGACTTGGACTTGTACCGAGCTTCTTCTGGGAGTGAGAAGTGATCTGTCTTGACAATGCTGCAGGGAGGCCAACGAGCTGAAAACTTGAAAATTACCAACGACACGATTTCGGGAGGTCAATATGCGAAAACATGCTACCAAGCCAATACCACCCTCAGCGATTGCGCCTTGTTTCCTGTGCAGAGTCTACCTTACACCTCCACAATGGTTGCATGTCCTTTTGGTGCCGACCCATCGGGCGAGAACTCTTGCATCACTGGCTCTGGACAAGCGTTGCAAATGGATACTGGTTATCTCGATACCGATCGATACCTCGGCATCAATGCGGCACCCTCAAATCGAGTTCTTCTGCGCAACGTGGTGACATGCTCGCCACTACGTGTCAAAGAGTATGTCCAACTTATCAACAACACAGATCCTGACTATCCTTCGGTACAGTACAATTTGGGTGCCATAGATGGTGTCAGTGGGTACACGTACCAATATCAAACCCACACGCGCGCAGACGTTGTGGGATATCAGATAACGTAGGTACCCACCTGGTGTCTCGGAGGAGACTAGTACTAACAGTGGTCAGGCCGGTCTATGCTCTCGATGGTGGTCAAACTTCCTGGTATCCGGTGTCCGCGCTTAACGTGTCCAATGCCGATGTCAGTGCCCACTTTCTCAGCCAGAACAGCATTCAGTATCTGGCGTCGGTTGCAGATCCCTGGCTGTCGTCCAACCAGTTGTTCAACGACTCCAGTTCGGCTATCGACCTCGTTCTCTGGGGCCCAGACCAATACGTGGACGTAATGGCATGCATTGACCAGTACCAGCTATGCAACCCCAACAGCTCTCCATACGACTGCACCATACTCGGAAGTGGGAAGGATCTCCGCAACGGATTCCTTGAGCTCGGGTTGAATGCCTATCAGCTGGTAACTGCGCGACGGCTTGCTCTTGCCCTAATCTTGACAAGCACATACCACACGGTCAATGGTCTTGGTAGTACGGCACTCCTCGCCCGAGATCGCGTGCTCGACTTCATCAGTACAGGTCTCCCAGCCAACCAATGGCAAATTGAAATGGAAGGCTGGTTCGCCACCTCGCTTGCCAAGCTGCAGGCCTACGTGGTCGAGTATGCTGCCAACGTCGCCGACTTAGGACCGACAGGCTCAGTGGTTTCACCTGCACCGGGCAGCCAAAACGCAGAAGACCAGGCAGCATTCGACCAGTGCTCCAACCAGCGTATTCGGAACGTTGGAGGTTACCAATCATTCTCTTTCCTCGGTCTGATGATCGTCATTTGTGTCGGCAGTACCATTATTCTACTCTCATGGATCGTGGAGCCGCTTCTGGGTAGTTTCCGCCGTTGGCGTGGCCTCGATGGCAAGCACGACTACCGCGAAATCGTGCGCATCGCCGACCATACACTTCAGCTGCAGCGCAAGGCTTTTCAAGGAGCTGGTTTTACAGATGGTTGGGATTCAGAACACCTGATGGACAGTATCCCAGTCACTGTACGGGATACCTTGATACCTGTAGCCACAAGGTACAAAGCCAACGGCGTCCAAGACTACCGATACACGGATGGCAGCGATAACGACAGCATTGGCTCTGAACAAGGCCAGCCTATGGAAGAAAATCGCGCCGCTCAAGTGCCAGTTCAACCACACATCATTCCTGCACGACCTGCTGTTTCTCGTGGACCGTCGATGCAGCCGCTCTTACAGGACCATATCTAGGCACGCGACCACTGAGATCCTTTCAGATTACGAGAGGGTTGAAGACATCATATGTGGGGAGGCCGGAAGAGTCTACGAGCGTTGGCGTTTATGTTGACTTTGCGACTCATTTCAAGTTTCTCTCAGCTATGTTCTTGAGTGTTTGGATGGCTCTTGTCAAATACCTGAAATCAGGGACGCGGGTCAAACTCCTAAGGGAGCAGTCCACAGTTCTCGATGCCGCAAGATCCTGGATGAGATTTCCCCAACATGCCGGTGATGAGGCACGCACTAATGGTCGCCCTACTTCTGATCTTTCAGCTCGCTACCATATACATAGCCTCTGCGGCGCCACATTTTTGGCACATTCCAAAAGTCGCTAAGCTGTCCCGTAAGACATATTGTGAGGCAGTACGGTCCTGACGGGTCGTCTGCGAGGTACTCCGCATGCTAGCGCGAAGCAAAATCCTGTCCATCGCTTGTGGCGTCGACTCCGGCCCCTTAAGCATCGGCTAGCAAGTGTGGCCCGGAACACCCCCAAGTAGCGCAGCTGAGCCGAGCCTTGTTGATGTATGTTGTCTTCTCGGGGAAGACGTATTTACATCCATAGTAAGTCAAATGAGCCTCGGGCGTGAGAGCCCTAGGTGCTCAAGCCATTTCAAGGTCCCAGACTGTGATGTCGGTTCATGACTAACGGTGAGCCTTGCACAAGGATTGTGGACTGTGGGGAGAAATATCACCATCAGGCTGAGAATGTGGGGTTCGCTAACGGTCCTCGTGTGCGCACGGCCAGACCTGCGTGAGGCTGAACAGGGGGAACTCGTATTTGTGAGATTATCCTCCTTCGAGCAAGAGTCAGAATTCAAACTTTGAGAGTGAAACAAGTAATAACCTACCCCTTTGGGTATAGACGCTGCCTTTGAGGCTGGCTATCACAACTCACTCGCGTCCAAACATTCAAACATGACTGGAATCAGGAAAAGTCACAATTGATCGGCGCAAAGATGCTAGCTTTGAGTTCTCAACTGATCTCGAACAAAACGACCATCAAAAGCCATATTCAATGATGGCTGCAAGGGGTTCGCTTGACGTTCTGTGACTAGCCATCAACAACGCACGCCCTCCAGGCACCCAGAGAAGGTTGACTAAAGCCTGGCTCCTCATGGGCGACTACCACATGGCACAGCCTGATCATGGGGAACCCCAGAAACATTCAGGGGCCAGGGCTGTTTATAAACACTGGTACTCTTGATTCTCGATGGTTAGGCTGGAGACTATAAAAACCTCTGAAGAAGGACTGGCAACAATTCTGTCTCTTTCTCCTGCCCCAGCCTGACAACCATTTTATCACAGTCAAGCAGACTTGTCTCCAGTTCTTCATTGTCATTTACATGATGGTTGACACTACTCGTGCGCGTCGTGACAATTACCTTTGGTTTGCTCGCCTCCTCCAGCTGATCTTCACCATCGCCATCCTTGGGGTGACTGGGGATGGAGCCTCTCTCTGGAAGAGCATCGACTGTCATATCCCGGCCAAGCTCGCCTTCAATATTGCTGCTGTAAGTCCTTCGAGGTTCACAAATGCGGCACTCTTGGTTCTGACCTCTCAACTTACAGGCAGCTTTGACACTTCCAGCGGTGATCTACCTCATCGTCTGCTCTGGACCGAAATCATGCCAGAAAATCTCTTTCAATCTCTTGGCAGTCGTCGGAATCGACGTATTCATGCTCATTATCTGGCTCGCCGCCACTGCGGCCTCGATCTATGATTGCAGCGGCGTCTGCTCTGCCTGTTCACCAATTGGAAGAATTTTGGATACCGGATCCGGGTTCTGGATTCAGTACGACTCGTTATTCTGCGAGTGTTACTTTCCTGGTATCGATTACACCAAGAGTCGTCGAGTCAGAGAGGTATTGGAGGGCAGAGGAGTTTCGAGCCTGAGGACTGGCTCGAGCAAGGACATGGCCGAGCTTGGTGAGAAGGCCTACAGCATCGCCACCAAGCGTGGTCTCGATGTGGTGATGATCTTCCTGTTCTTCACCACTGTCGTTGTGGTGGTCCGGTACCTCTATAAAGCCCGGAAGGAAGGTGCTGCTACGGCTGACAACCACGGTATTCAGCATGGCACTGCTGATGTCCAGATGACTGGAGACCATAATAAGAATGGAACAACTGTGACTGGAAATGAGGTTCCATGAATAAGGCTTGAACGATGATAGTGGTGCTGGTCTAGATTCGGTGGAAGGACTTGATGCTCAAAAACGCACGCTGTTACCAAATGATGATACCTGTCCTTACCGACTTTTACAGATTGTAGTCCACAGGCTGAACCAACCGACGCCAGGTATTTCTAATATTCAGGTTTTTATGTCCCAGATATGACGGTCTCGATGCTGTTGAAGTACTTGACAGTCCTGACTTGCAGATCGAGAGTAGCATCTTTGTCCACCACGAGCATTGCGTGAGGGTGCATCTGCAACCTGGAGAGAGGTTGCATGTGGCTGACGCCGCCCTCTATACACTTCTGAAGGGCAATGGCCTTGTTGGCGCCGGTGGCAATTATGACGACTTCTCGGGCCTATGAAGTACATGGTACTTTGGTCAGTGTAATCTCATACTTTGAACATGCGCACAGGAATAGGCACAGGACTCGTACCTCCATTATGGTTTGGACGCCCACTGTCAAGGCGAGTCTGGGAACACTGTTTACACCACCAGCAAAGGAACGAGAATTCGCTAGCAGTGTCTCGTAGGCTAGAGTTTTAACCCTGGTCCTGGATGCAAGACTGGATCCGGGCTCATTGAATGCAATGTGCCCATTAGGTCCAATGCCACCAAAAAATAAGTCGACACCTCCGACACGCCTGATCTTCTCTTCATACTCGAGGCACTCAGTGTGCTTGTCCAAGCTGTTGCTGTTGAGCAGGTTGATGTGCGCCGGTTCGATATCGACGTGGGAGAAGAAATGTTCGTACATGAAGCTGCGATAGCTCTGCCTGATCCTGAGGAATACCCACATATTCGTCCTTGTACGTCAGTCTAGGTCAGCGTTGATGTCACAGCGTTTGTTGGTACGAAGAGAACTGACCATATTGAACGTAACAACGTGTCTGAAGCAGATGTCTCCAGCCTGATGACGCTTCACCAGCAGGCTGTAGACCTTTTTGGGACTGTCGCCAGTAGGAAGTCCGAGGACGAAGAACGGTTTGGAGGAAGTCGGCTTGAAAGCATTGATGCGACCTGTGGAGCATGCCCAATCAGCTCGGCTCATTACCAGATCTGGAACCCTGATCAAACGAAGACTTACGAATAATGTGCTCGGCGACGTGCTGGGAAGCCCGTTCAGGGTCGTCTTTAATGATGACTATCATGGCGTCATGGGCTTTGTAACAATGACACTACACAGCTGGCAGGTGTAACAACAGTTTCCGAAGGTGCTGTTCGATGCCAACGATGGGAAATAGCTGTAGTCTTTCTCCTCAAAGGTCGCGGGCCAAGAGATGGTTTAGTGAGAGAGCACACCGTTCCATTTGCTCTATGCAGCACCCAATTCACAACAGGCATTGTCTCTCAAGCTCGACCGTCTCGAAACGGTTGCAAGCGGGTCCACCTGATTCATGCTGTCAGCATGTTGGGCTGGTATCGGGATGTCGGCGACCCTTCGTTGCGCAATTTCTTCAGGCCGTAGCCACTGTCAGCCATGAATGCAACCACGTTCCAGTCATGTTGCTAGTTCATGGGAAATTTTCGATAGTAGACTTCTAAGCATCCGCCTCTGTCTGTTGGTTTCCATGGACATGTGAAGTATCACCTTTCGCAACCGTAATTTGATATAAGCTTTTGACAGTTTCCTATGGTTATCTTTGGTCTTAGCAGGTACAGACCCACTTCCACCATGCATCGTCTCCACTGCAACGTTACAAGTATTTCGGCATGTCAGTGGTACAATCTTGTCTGTAGAGAATGCTCCACAGTTCGCTGTCTCACAGATACTGTAAACATGCAAGCACCCCTGAGCCTTTTTCCTCGAATTGAAAGCATGATGGCGACGTCACCTCTCGTCAGTGTCGAAGACGTATCGCTGGCTCTGGACTCTGAAGCGGCTCACATTACCAGGTTGTTGAATGCACCATGACATGGGCTCCCTCGCCCTTTCCCCTTGGACGACAGCATACGACATGGAGCCAAAGCCACCAGGTTTGTTAACGGAAGGATCGCTCAGGGCGACCAGCTAGCCACAGGCGATATCTGGGTTTCTGCGAAGACCGGAAAGATCCTGTCGGCCCAAGAAGTACCCCAAGACGTCGAGTTGGTCAATGTGGTCGACCTCCAGGGGCGTATCCTAGCTCCAGGCTTGATAGATGTGCAGCTTAACGGTGCTTATGGCTTCAACTTCTCGATCCTTCCCCAGGACAGCATCATTTATCCCAAGGAACTGATTCGGATCAATAAAGCCTTGGTGCAGACTGGACTCACTTCGTATCTGCCGACTTTGACCAGCCAACCGACGGAGGCCTACCAAACAGTCTTACCATATCTGGGGCCTAGTGATGGGCTACGGCTTGCAGATCAAGGTTGTGAATCGTTGTGCGCACATTGCGAAGGCCCATTTCTGAGCAGAACCAAGAATGGAATACATAACCGAGACAATCTTCTCTCTGCCGGAAAAGGATTCCAGGACCTAGAGGCATGCTATGGACATGTCAACCTGTCTAGCATCGATGGTCACCCACCTCGAGTGAAGATGGTCACCCACCTCGAGTGAAGATGGTCACAGCAGCACCAGAGGTGGGCAATGTGGCTGCGTCAATTCCTGAGCTGACCGAACGAGACATCATTGTCTCTCTCGGACACTTTGAAGCCACCTATGAAGAGGCTTGTGGGGCTGTTGAGGCAGATACCAGCATGGTCACTCATCTGTTCAACGCGATGCAACCGTTGCATCACCGTCAGCCAGGGATCATTGGGCTCCTTGGCAACAGCGACCAGACCAAGCGACCGTATGTTGGTGTGATAGCAGATGGTATTCATCTACATCCAACAGTGGTCAATTTAGCCTACCGAACGAACCCTGAGGGCTTCATCTTGGTGATGGATGCTATGCACTTGGTCGGTCTTCCAGACGGAATCTAGCAGTGGAGCAATGATGGTGGTCGTTTGGTCAAGAAGGGTACCATTCTGACAGTAGAAGGGACTCCTGATAAGATCGCAGGAAGGTAAGTTTGTATCATACTGCTTGGTGACCTTGGCCCATACTCCGTATTATCGGGGCTAATTGTTGAATACTTCATAGCTCCATCACGCTCCTACAATGTGTCAACAATTTCCTTTCCTGGTCCAACGTGGCGGTCCCAGTGGCTCTGAAGGCTGTGACGGACACACCAGCCAAAATGCTGGGTTTGCATGATGTGAAAGGAACCTTGAGTCCCGGGGCCGACGCCGACCTCGTCGTACTCGACGAAGTCAAGCATAGCAACCTTTCAGAGCTGGTGCTCGAACAGACGTGGAAGTTTGGGGTGAAGGTCTATGACGAACACGAGTGTTGAGTGATGAATTAAGGAAGACATTTTGACTCCAGATCTTCAGACATCGTGGCTAGTAACAAGCTCTGGTCATCGTGCGCGCGAGCCAATCGAAGATAGCGGAGTGTCCGCTCCACGGCCGCGACGTCGAAGACGGACTCGCCGTTCTCGGGAACGATGGCGTCGAGATAGATCAGCGTTCGAAGTCGTTCAAAGATACGACCAGCCACACGTCATCACGGCGCCGCCGTATGAGTGGCCGCACAAAATCACGTCCTCTAGATTGTCGAAGTCGAGGACCGCGACAATATCTTGAATGTGTGTTGATAGGTTGATGATCGACTGACCCGCCGAATGTGCCCTTTCACCCAAGCCGGTAAGTGCTGGTGTTTAAACGTGGTGCCCCTGCGCACGTCATCTACCGATGAGTCTTGTTGGGAAAGTACAACGAGTCGATTTGCCGACACCTTCGCCGACGGAAACGTTCTTTGGAGAGTTGGCCGACGACTACAGATATCAAACCAAGATGAATGTAACAATTACCCATTGCTCAATTGCGTTGTTGAAAGCTATCTGCAATGAAACAGAACTATTTGAACCCACTCCTGGCCGTCGATAAGCGATAAGTGTCTAGACCTCAACGGAGTAGGATGTGCCTGCCATCATTTCCGGGATGTGGTATCTTTGGGCTAATCAGCTGAAAAATGTGGGGCTACACGTTGCATCACGCACTGAGTAGCTTCATCTTGTCTGGAAGAGCGAGGCGTGGTTGAGGTTAGCGAGCACGCGACGGCAAACTGATACCCTACGGTGACAAGCTTGTGCTATCCGAGTGCGGATAACTGGCAGCGTCTGAATCTGATGGAGAGCATGTCTGGGATACTCTTATCACGGTATTTTCAGTGTCCTACCATTTTGAAGACAGCAAGCACCTAAGCATCAACTCGATTGGGTATCTGATGCGGCTAAGCGTAGTCAGAGCATCAAGAACGCTACCAGAACCTTGTATACAAAGGACTCCAAAGAGACAACGACTGGAAACCTCTTTCTGAAGATGATGTCCGTCTGTCACACAGTACCGCTTATTCTTGGGAAAAAACCGGCTCAACGGGTGCTCGTAGCAAAGTAGCAGGAGCCTTGACCACATTCACCTGGTAAATTAGGGATATGAAATAACTACAGCTACTCTATCTGGGTCAGCCTATGCTGTTTGACCTGCAGTCGAGACCAACGCGATGATACTACACGGCCGCCTTGGATGGTAGCGAGCAAGTGGTGATCCGGTTCAGCCAAGATAGTGATATCCTCCAGAGGATTCGAGTTGAGGATAAGCATGTCTGCAAGGAAGCCAACAGCAATGTGGCCGAGAGATTTCTCTTGCTGTATGAGCCTCGCCGCGTTCACCGTGGCGCTCTGCAGTATCGGCAACGGTTTCTGTACACGACTGCGCAAAACGAATTCCAACGTCTGCGCCTCATGCATCGGACCCAGAAGGTCAGAGCCGAAGCACAGCGTGACACCAGCATCGGAAGCAATCTTGATAGCCTGAAACCCTTTGTCGAGCACCTCTTGATTCTTGTCCACGGCATATTGAGGTAGCAGCTTTGAGTACTTGGGACGGGCCAAAGTGTCGTATGCTGACAGCGTTGGCGTAAGAAACACACCGCTCCGTACCATCAGCTGGGCTGTTTCGTCATCGAGCAGATTGCCGTGTTCAATTGACCGGACACCCTGCGAGATGGCCTGTTGAATGGCTTCTGGCGTGTAGGCGTGTGAAGTGACGTACGTCCGCGCATTCGTGGCCACGGTGACAATGGCCTTTATTTCCTCGTCCGAAAATTGCACCTGGTCGATACGGTCGCTTGGGCTGATGACTCCGCCGCCCGACATGATCTTGATGAAGTCGGCTCCCCGTCTCAGCTCTTCACGCGCATATTTGAGACAATCCGGGACCCCATCGACGATTCTTATCATGGAATTGCTTCCCGAGCCGCAGCCACAGAATCCTGACATCTCTTCATGGCGCTTTCGAAAATCGCCATGACCGCCAGTTTGGGAGAGCGCTTTGCCGGCAATGAACAATCTCGGTCCGGCATGCACACCTTCTTCAATGGCTTGCTTGAGGTCTGCCGTTGCTCCTGCACAGTCTCGGACGCTTGTGAACCCTCGATCGAGCATGGCCTGGCAGAGAAGAGGTTGGTGGAGGAGGGACGTGCTTGGACTCAGCATGAGGGACTCGGCAATCCCATGTCTCCCAGGCACGGCTGCCAAATGTACATGGCAATCTATCAGCCCAGGAAGGACATACTTTCCTTTCAAATCGATCACAGGTAGCCCAGGTTCCGTGTGATTGTCTCCTTCGACGATTGAAGTGATGTAGCCATCTTTGATGTGAATGGAGGCATGGTTTGTGATATGTCCATCCAGCGTATTTACCAATCGTGCTCCGGACAAGACATATTCATCTGTACTGGAAGGGATTGGCAACTCCATTTCATGGTCCCAAGCAGCTTTTGATGTCCTGCCAGTGCGTGAGAGGTCGTATCGCCGGCCATACGGTCCATCGTATATTGATTGATCCTTCGACTAAAGAGCGTCAGGATTGCAGAAGGTACACGACCCGTATGGAGATCCCTTACGGAACCTCCTCCACACGGACAGATGACCTGATGGTGCATCATTCTAGACAAAGCTGACCCGTCTCGGCCCTGGGCTAGCCGATATTCGCCGATCCCGCTTTGGTTGGAGGGATCGGCCAACTTCCAGTAGCGTCACTCAAGGTTAGCCGCACATCTTTTGTTCCTTTCTTGGGGGTCCATTCCAATGGAACAGGCTTCGATTCCCAGAGAAAACGGTAGTCGTTGGTCACCGACACCAACTAGCAACCATGGACCCATTTGCGACATGCACATGGGCTGCCGTGGACACAAGACTTTACAAAAAGGCGAGCTCAGATATAAGTGAGTTGAGCCTCTTGCTATCGTGAAATGTTCCAAAGAACTGCCGGGCAGCAGAATATTGAGTCGAACATGTCTTTCTATCGAATAGGAGTTGATGTCGGCGGGACCAACACCGATGCCGCTATCCTCGACATCACAGCGTACGATGAACCTGGGCGAGGCGTGCTCGCTTCTCACAAGGCTCCTACGACTCCAGATATCACCAGTGGGATCGAAGCGGCGATAGAGGCCGTCCTAAAAGCCTCCAAGGTCGACCAAACCCGGGTCTCGAGCGTCACTATTGGCACGACCCATTTCATCAATGCTCTGGTGGAAGCCGATAGCAGGAGATTGGACCGTGTCGCGGTAGTCCGACTGTGTGGCCCTTTCACCAGACAGATACCGCCATTCTCAGATTTCCCGGTTGGCCTTCGCAGTATCTTGGATGGAGGGTCCTACTATCTCCCTGGTGGATTTGAGATCGACGGACGTAGTATTGCTCCGTTGGATCATGAGCAAATTACGGCGGCGACCAAGGCGATTGTTGCTGCCGGCATTCGAGCGGTAGCAATCATCGGAGTTTTCTCCCCCTTGGACTATGAAGGATCAAACGAAGCAGACTGCGAGAGGCTAATACTCAGTCACGCCCCTGGATTACAGGTCGCGTGCTCGAACAACATCGGCCCAATCGGTTTCATGGAGAGAGAAAATGCCACCATCCTGAATGCCGCCATTTTAAACACGGCGCACAAGGTCACCAAAGGCTTCAAAAGAGCCATGTGTCGTCTCGGACTAACCTGCCCCTTGTTCTTATCTCAGAATGACGGAACGATCATAGACGTTGACACAGCAGCAGAATATCCCATAAAAACGTTCGCCAGCGGACCCACGAACAGTATGATTGGAGCTGCCTTTCTTGCAGGTCTTGACACGGGGAAACAGCCCAACGACACAGCCTCTGACAACAATGGATGTCCGCAGGAGCCTCAAGTCCTCGTGGTCGACATCGGAGGGACGACAACTGATGTATGTGCACTGTTGCCGTCGGGGTTCCCGCGACCGGCACCGGGATTTGTCGAGGTTGGGGGTGTTCGAACGGCATTTTCGATCCCAGAGGTTGCGTCGATTGGCCTGGGCGGAGGGAGTCTAGTCGAGCAAGACCCGTGTTCTCTCCAAGACTTCACGGTTGGACCAACCTCGGTGGGCCACGCCATCCAGCGTGAAGCCTTGGTGTTTGGTGGTCGTACCTTGACTGCCACAGACATTGTTGTGGCGGCTGCAAAGGTCAAACTCGGCGACGAGACCTTGGTTCAGAGCGTGCCTCGATCAACGATACAAAAAGCACAGCAACAGATCAAGAAGAAACTGGAAATTGTCATTGACGCAATGAAGGTGTCGCAAGCACCGGTGCATGTTCTCTTGGTTGGGGGTGGTGCTATGCTTGCCCCTCCCGTGCTCGAGGGGGTCGAGAAATGCATACACCCCATCCACGAAGGCGCCGCAAATGCCGTAGGAGCGGCCATTGCGAAGGTTTCGGGTCAGGTGGATGTGGTGGAAATCATTAGTGGCAGATCAGAAGATTCCGTTCTTGCAGAGGCCCGCCAAAAAGCCATCGACCTAGCCGTGCAAAATGGAGCCGCACCAAACGACGTGCGGATCGTCGAGGTCAACAAGATGCCGCTGCAATACACAAACCAAAGTGCAGTAAGGATTCAAATCAAAGCTGTGGGAAAGCCGGCCATCCCAAAAGGCTTGGTGGGCTCGAGTACAGTGTCTATTGATCTCAACGGAGAATATCAAAACGGCGACGAAGGTTCGAAGGTCAAGGTTTCCAACGCGCTGGAGTCGACAATTCGGCCCTCTTTGAAGATATCTCTCGAAACCTATCGTCCCCATGTACGAAACCGTGTCTGGTCCCTGTCTGAGGTAGACTTGCAGTTGATATCGACTGGTTGCGGAGCCCTGGGCACCGGCGGTGGTGGCCCGACTCACTATGAGTATTTGAAATGCTTGATTGCGCTCCGCTCTCACGGCCCAGGATCACTGAAGGTCATATCTCCCGATCATTTGCAGGACTCGGACTCCGTGTGCATTGGGGCCATGTACGGAAGTCCAAGCGTGATCAATGAACGAATTGCCAGTGGTGACGAGATCCCGCTGGCAGTGGAATCCATGCGAAAGGTTTTAGGAGAGAAAAGGTTCCAGGCAATTATGCCTGGTGAGATGTGAGTTGCTCCAGCCTATGATTTCTTAACATTGACCAAATTGTCCAGTGGTGGTGGGAACGGTATGAGTGCTTTCCCTACTAGCGCCGCCCTAGGTTTGCCCATCGTCGATGCAGATCCGATGGGAAGAGCCTATCCGACTTTGTATCATAGTAAGCAGATCCGAATGTGCTGCCCTTTCACGCACGAACTAATCAATCATCCCGAAGCTACCTTCAGCATTTATGGCTACCCTTCCGTTCCAGCTGTGTTGACTGACGCAAGGGGTAACGTCGCCGTGATCATGGTAAATACCAGAATGGAGCACTGGCCGTCGGATATCTGGTAACTGAGATCTGACAGAACTCTGAAACGCCTCAGAGGCTTGAAACGATGATGCGTACCGCTGCTGTAGAGCTTGGTCTGTCCTGTGGCGTCGCCTTGGCCCCTAGATCAGGACTCGAAGTGAGGTCACACGGCATCCCCAACACCATATCCCTAGCTTGGTACATAGGACGATCGGTCCACCTGGCCAGGCAGCGGAAGACTAGCTATGTCGATGCTATCGTAAGTCCACGCCCACCTCACGTGTTTGCACATCTCTAATTCACAATACAGTTCGATGTTTGCCCGGGTAAGCTTCTGTTTACCGGAAAGATTGTGGATGTACACCGCTTCATCGGGCGCGGATATACTCTTGGTGCGGTCTTAATAGGCCCTGACACGAATGACGAGAGCGAGACGACGCCTAAAGGCAACCAGCGACAGGATCAAGGGTCAGCCTCACACGTGTACATTCCATTCCAGAATGAGTATCTGTACGCGGCCCTGAGTGATCCTGAAGCATCCGAACAGTCACAGAAAGTACTCTGTACAGTGCCGGATCTTATCTCCATCTTAGGCCAGGACGGCGAGGCCATCGGTTCTCAAGACCTACGATACGGTCTACAAGTCAGCGTCATTGCAATGCCAGCCCATCCATTGTGGAAGACGGAAAAGGCCTTGAAGATTGGTGGACCCGAAGGCTTCGGGCTCAAGATGCCTCCTTGCGGAATTGACGACACGTTTGCACAATCACGGAGCGTGGTAGAAGAATATGACTACAACCCGTAGGAGGTGGAAAAAGTGAACTCAGCGCCCTCTAGACGAGCCTGGTAGACTGCCTTTGCGGCCTGCTCCAATTATCTGCATAGGACCTGATGTGGAAGAATCGTTTGTAATCTTCATCGTGGATACGTGACTCAGGGCTCAAGATGGTGCACGAAGCTGCTTCACAGGCACCCCTACGATTCCGAAACTCACCTAGGATCGAACTTTCAGGGCCAAGGAGATGCTCCATGGTAGGCCAGCACATTGTATGGGACTGTTCACTCAATGGGCGAAGTAGGGTTGATACTACATGATCAATTGGTGTCCGCAGGCAATCCGATGACTCAAGGTCGTTTTCAGAGGAAGTGGCAGCGTCTGATAGGGACCACCTCTGGGATACAACTTCTTCGTCCAGCCACTTTGAGGGCAGGGGCGCCTGAATACCGGTCGATGGGATTGTTCTAGTAGACCTAACTGCCGTCTGACCTCCAAAACAGTGCTATTGTTATTTATGAAGGCTTCCCGAGCGGTAACGATTGGGGGGACATCAGCATGCGCCTGAGCAGGTCTGTGTCTCTCGAGCTGTCTTCGCAGCTGAATCCGAAACAGTTTACGGAGGCGCTTTCTTGCTCGTACTTCGGTAAACAATGACGCCGAATCCGAATAGATGGATCAGAAGATTCGTATGTCCCACGTCTTGAATGTCTGGAGAGATTGACGGCAAAGGAATAAGACATGGATGATGGAGGTTCGAGGTTGTTGCTCTTTATCAGGGCGACACATCCACCATCCGTCCCAGCGCCGAATAATTCGCTACTGTCCCTTCTCTCATGATCTGAGCCGCGTGTTTGAAGAAGCAATCAATCCTCAGTGTGATAGGCCAGAACAGCCCCTTTGCAGGCTCACCGGCGAAGCTCGCTATTCGCAGCAGTGATCCTTGAAAGTTCTCGAGGCGTTTGTATGTGGTCTGGACTTCTTGCGGGCCGGAGGACAGAAAGAACAAATAGATCGTGAAGCTGCCGGCCAAAACGAGTTGGCCTCGGGAATCTAGATGCACAGGAGTACCGGTCAGCATTGATGACGGATGTTTCCAAGTAAGCCATGGTCCTTCCTCGGATTTTGACTCACGGCAACCCCAGAAAGCCTCGACATCTTCATGTGTGATGCCATGGACGAAGTCGGAAAAAGATGTGGCCTCTTCTACCGCAGCCTCGAAATACCGTCGAAGTGATGACGCGGGATTGTGCTTCGCTTCTTCCGTGGCCGGAGCCATCAGGGCGCGAAGAAGCAGAATCTGAGTGGCGTGGTACCCAAGGTGGATGCGCCCTGCATGAGAAGACGGAGTCAAGATCTCTGGTTATGCTTGGAAATGCTGGCATCCTTACCGTTGTGAGCCACCCGACAATCTCTGGTACTGTAATGCATCGTCAGGCACTGCGGAAGCATGTTATACCATGCTTTCAATTCTCTTTGAATTCTCAAAAGCCGGGATTCCTGCTGTGCCTGTTCCAACATGGGGATTTTCACGCTTTGGTCGGTGCTGGAACCGTGTTAGCCTTGATCTCCAGGCGGAGCTCGACATGGTGGCTCCTACAGTGCCGTCTCCAAGAGACGATGCGTGAGTTGAGTCAGTTTGATGTGTTCCCAGAATCGTGCCGCGGTGGCGATGTCGAAACGGCGGTTCGTGGGGTGGACCATGTCCTGCAAATCTTCGGGGACGTCTTCGTCGAATTCGAGATCGGCCATGTCCAGGTTCGAGGTTGTGTACGACGAGCTATGGATGTGGCTTGGATTGCCATTGGTGATGGATGACCAGATATCGGTCATGTATGTTGCCCACCACAACTTCTTCCGCAAGCTCTTCTCCCAAGGCGCAATCTTCCAGTCAGAGGGGTCACGATGAAGGCCGATTTCCTGAGCACACGCAACCGCCTGTGCCGACAGAGTCCACGCTCGAGGTGTTTCGTGGGACCAATAGCTCGGAGTTGCCTCGTGTATGATAAGAAGACACGCTTGCATCTTCCAGAGGTTTGGCGCATCTAGTTCCCTTTCTAGAGAAGCACGAGCGGCCAGGAACAACTCGTATTGCTCAAAGGGCTGTGGCACTGTTCTAAGAAGAGAATCGTCATTCCAAAAAACGGAGGCTAAACCGTAAACAACGCCTCTCAAAGACGCCGGAATACTCGTCTTGTCAGTCCTGTATGCTCGAAGAAAGCGAGTCTTGGAGATGACGCAGTAGACAGAATGAATATGCTTAAAGTAAAGCTTAACGAGGTTGGGACCGTATGGGCCGACCTTAGACTCGATCTCATCCGAGGCTTCGTATCGGATTTGGTTGTCATGTGATTGGAAGTCGTTTTGGAGGAGTGTGAAATGAATAGGAACCGCCCCAGTCGAGGCATCACCAAGGGATACTTGGACAACATTGCTGTGAACACGATCCTGCTCATCAATTATGATCGCTCGAAAGAATGCCAGCAGGTGTGGATCCTGCTCAGCAGCGATGCCCATCGAGCGTGCCGTCACGTCAATGCCGTCCTCGAGGGTATAGACCTTTGAGTCTGATCGAACAGTAGCCGTACCAACAGGCGAGACCACGCCATTGTCGGTGGGGCCACGTCTCGTGTCGTTGGTTCGGATCGAATCCAGGCTGGGAGTGCCGATAGATTGGTCCGCCACCAAAGGGCTCTCCGGAACCCCCTCCACGGATAGGACATGTTCTCCGGGGGTGTTCGTGGTTGCGGCAAGTGAGTGTCCGCCACTCCCATCCTGTTCGTAATCTCCCACACCTGGACTGGGAAAATTGTGTAATCTTCGTGGCCCCAGGGTCGACTGGCAGGTTAGGCCTCTTGACTTACAGAAGACACCTAGTCGTAAATGGACCAATTAGCACTGGGGCCTTTGCAGGCGTCGTAGTTGCGATACAGGGTCACTTACAAGGTGGGCGGTCGTTTATGACACAGGCAGTCTTGCGCTTGCGGCACACATCGCATGGACGAGCCTTTCGGCTCCGGCGCTGTCGTGCGATACCGAATTCACTATGTATCTGGAAACGGCGTCTGGGTGGAGTCTGTTCTTCTTGAACCGGCCGATGATACATAGTATGGTCAGCTTGTAGATGGACCTTTGAGCGCTTTGGCGTATCGGCAAAACGTCGATAGGGAGTGCTCCAAGTCAGCAGCCGCGGTCTGCGTGTCCACGGGACTCTTAGAGCCGGCCAGAAGTAGCCGACAAATATGGTGGAACACAGGCACTGCTGGTAGTTTGGTCTTGGTGTTTGGCGAAGATATTCTGAACAAATGCTTACTGGGGAAAAGCTGTTATCGCGACGATTGAGCGAGGCATTCAACAAGGGTGTCTGGTGGTTTCCCGATCTCCGAAGAGGAGAGAAGGGGGCGGGGTGTGTGGCGCGGCGCCCCGACCACCAGAATCGAGCTCGCCCAACTGTCGGCCAATTCAATCGGTACTCGCCCAATGGCAGTTCCGGATCTTATCGCCATTGCTTGCGCAGGTGCCTGCGTTACCATTGTAAGTAGTTCCTACTCGTGCCTCTCATCGGCCAACTCTATCCATGGACTCGCCTAACTTAGCTTCACTCGACTCCAACCCGTTGAGAGAACAAGACACGAGAGATGCACATCTTCGCAATCATGATATCTTTTCTTGCCCGCCTTGCAGCTGTTTCCCTGCCAGTGGTGATAACAGCCACCTTTGTAGACAGCTGATCCAAGCCGCGTGTGGAATTCAAGACCTAGCCTAGACGTCGTTTACCCTGTCCCGTCGATAACCTGACCTGGAATATTGAACCGCAGCGACTGCCTTATCACGACATGGCTGGACCAGCTGCTTCGACATATCTATAAAGTCGGCACCCGTCCATCTGCACCGAGTCGTGTCTGAATTTCCAATTTCAGACCCTGCCAGCACCTCGGTCCTTGGGGTCATCTTTCCAGGTCCTCTCTCCGTTGAAACGAACATTTTCCTCCTCGCAGGCTTTCATCATGAAACTCACCTGGACATCGCTCCGTGAAGCTTTGCAAGTGTAAGTGTGCATCTGGCCGCTGACCCCCCCAGGGGATACTGTGCTAAACGGTGCATCCTGTCCTCAGGCCCAAGGACGAAGAATCTTACTATGACAACACGCAATGGTGCAATCGGGATCTAATCCCGCTGCCCCCGGAGAGGCGTACTTTCGGAGTCTGGTCCTATGCAGGTTCGTGACCCTCCTCCCGTGCTCACTATCGTCCGAAGTGCGTGCTGACACAATAGCAGGCTACTGGGTAGTGACTGGCTGCAATGTATCTGCTTGGTCGATTGGTGCCACTCTACTGGGGTTGGGACTGAGCCCCCAACATGCCATCGGTGTGGTGGTAAGTTGCGTCCTCAGATTCTTCAAGGGTCCATAAACTCATGTTGGTCACACGCAGGTGGTTGGGGGGATCTTGGCTGGCATCTTGGCCGTGGTTTGCGGCTGGATCGGTGCAAAGCATCACATTGGGTATACAGTTTCGTCACGCTTCTCCTGGGGTATGTACGGCAGTTATTTCCCTGTCATTCTGCGCACCTTTGTCGGTTGCATCTGGTTTGGTATACAAGCCTTCTGGGGTGGTCAAGCAACGAGAGTTCTTTGGGGCGCCATCATTCCAGGTTAGTGACTTCCATGCTCCTGACGAACCTCTGAAAACTAACATGAGTGCTTAAGGATTTGCCCATATGAAGAACACCTTCAGTGAGAGCTCCCACTTGGCCACGAATGATTTCATTGGTTTGGTGATTTGGATGTTTGCCTTCGTGGCGTTGGTTATGGTCCGTCCAGAGAAGATGCAAATACCTTTCTTCATTTCCTTTGTTCTTGTCGCGGGCTCCTTCATAGGGATATTGATATGGTCAGTCACGGTCGCCCCCTCGGTGCTCGGTATTCACTAATATTTGTGTTGTAGGGCGGTTCACAATGCGCATGGTGCTGGGGCTATGTTCCACACTCCCGCGACGGCTCCGAATCTCGGTGCGGCATGGATGTATGGCATCACGGCTGTGCTAGGTGCTTGGGGCGGCGGCACAGTCGGCCAATCTGACTGGACCCGTTATGCCAACAAGCGTCTTGCGCCAACTACGTCACAAATGGTCGTGGCGCCGTTCACTATCACCGTGACGGCCCTCGTAGGCATCATCGTCACAAGCGCCGCCAAGGATGTCCTCGGAAGCCTCATATGGAGCCCTATCGCACTACTCGGGGAGATTCAGGAGTTGAACCATTCAAGCCCACGTGCGAGAGCTGGTGTGTTCTTCGCCAGTTTAGGTCTGGTCAGTTCTCAGCTCATGGTAAGCCAACACAACAGCAACGAGACTGGACAATGTTGATGGTATCTAGGTCTCTGTGGTACTCAACTCGATGTCAGTGGGAATGGATATGTCCGGGCTTTGGCCAAGGTACATCAATATCCGACGAGGAAGCTACATCATGGCGGCCGTTGGAATCATCGTGCAACCCTGGCATTTGCTGAATACTGCGGCCAAATTCCTCCGAGTCATGAGCAGCTTTGGTATCTTCCTTGCACCGGCGACGTGAGTATTTCCTCAGGCCCTCCTCTCATGCACTGTGCTGACTTGTTAATCTTAGGGGAATCCTGATCGCAGACTACCACTTGATCCGCCAGCGGAAGCTGAAAATGGATGAGCTTTACATTGGAAATCGCTCTTCAATCTACTGGTATAGTAAAGGTCTCAACTGGCGTGCATTTGTTGCCTTTGCCTTTGGAATGTGGCCTATGCTACGTAGGTCTCCCCTTTTATCTCTACTACCTGCGAACGATTGCTGACCTCCACTCTATAGCTGGTCTTGCTGCAAGCGTGAACGGTTACACTGCCCCGTCCTGGGCTGGCTGGATCCAGCTCTACAATCTTACCTTCATCATCGGTACGGCCATCAGTGGCGTGCTGTTTTGGGTTTTGAGCATCAGCTTCCCGCCCCCTGGGCTGCACCAGGAGTCAGCCTTCGTGGGAGAGGCACTCCCAATGAACGAGAACTATCACGCGGAAGATCAAGCCATCGGTGTACAACAGACCAAGGAAAAGGAACCAGCTACTTTAGACGTTTCTGTCTAGTCTTGCGGGCAAGCTGTATATGTCGATTGGACGCTGCCTCAAGCAAACAGGTCAGCTCCATCTCAGAAAGGCTGTCATTTACACACTTTTGGCCGACAGTTGTTCTACAATCTTGATAAAGTACATATCAGCCGGTTTCCAGAAAAGATGGCAGTAAGTGACAAGATGACGTCGGGGTTCAGGTAGGTATACTGTATCCAATCGTCATTACTCTGGGAGCTTTCGTATATAACCATATGGTATTGATCTTTGATGGTCAGACGGCAGTTAGGTCTACCAGTAAAATACCGGCGATTTAATCCTCAAGCGCTCGCTGCCTTAAGGGTAGCTAGACGATGAAGTTATATCCCACAGGGGGCGGCGTCATAGTCTATCCCCACTGGGGTGACCGACGAGGTTGATTCGATAAGTGGAGCGCCAAATACTCCGATCTACCCTATACATGCGCTTAGCCAACGAGTCGGTTGTGCCCAACTATGTCAAGGTTCTTTTCCAGGCCGCACGGCGCCGCGTGGAGAAAGCCGCGATATGTATCAGAGTTTCTTAGCCAATGCAGTATTTGAAAGACTACTCCAAGAGTTGGTCGACGCTAGCAGGAAGACAGCTAGTGGCTGGACCACTCTCCATCCGGCGATTGAGTATGGATATTTGACAGTGGTCGAGCGACTACTTCAGGAGTCTCTGAATTCTTCCTTGGAGGTAGATGCCTCCAGACTTGAGCGGTCACGCTGGCTTTAGCGATGCAATTCCTTCAGCAGTAATGCAGTCAGTGCATCCGGAATATCTATCATCATATCATGCCCACAGTTCAGTACGGGCATTTTCCAGATCAACTTGTCCTTTAGTCTCGCGTAGGGAGAATGATTGTTCGACTTGTGGCGTTCCGCCAGGATGAAAGTACATCGATCTATAAGTTCTTCTTTGCTGGTGAAGTGCAATTGCTCCACCAGACAGCTGAGAGGTTGAGGAGTCAACGACTTTTCGACCCAAGTAGAGATGGTGCAAGGGCGCGTCCGTCAAACCCATTGAACTTCCGTCTTCATGATCTCTCTGGTGTAGAATAATTCCCCAGACCCACACGCCTTGATAGACGATTCATTACTTCAAAGGTTAACAGCAAGGCCATGGCGGAATGAAGCTGTCGTTTTTCTCAAGCAGGCGAGGACAGTATATTCTCTCGAGGAACGATACGCACCTGGTGCCATGGGCCCCTACTTGGAGCCATGCCCATGACGTTGTGTCTATATAAAATACAAAGGCTTGTTCCGTTGCACTACGACTACTGCACTTGTGGACCAACGAGCGTTCCAGATATCTCAACCGGGATATCCCCCTTACCTTCGTTAGGCATATTCAAATGTTCCACCTTGATATTCGAATAAAAATGCCTCTAGACTTCAACGCTTCACTCCATTCCTCGATGTCACTGCCGGCCACCACATTCTCATTTGACCTCACTTTACGAAGCCCTCCTTCCGTATGGCTCCAATGGGAACAAGAACGCACACAACGCCAGGGCGCCGTAGAGTGCAGCGCAGATGAACACTGGAGCTGAAGTCGCGGTGTTTGCCTCAGTCGCTATGACCGCAGACATGGCACCCAGAAGGCGACAAAACGCAACGGCTATGCCATTGCCTGTTGCACGGTGAGCGGACGGTAGGGTCTCGGCCGTGAAGCCGTAAAGAACGGCATAGTATATCTCCAGTGTGAAAGATATCATGCAGCTGTAGGCGACGTTCTCAGCTTGTGATTCAACCTGGGCATAGGCGAAGAAGAAGGCCACTAGATGAGCATCAGCTTTGGTTCTCACGAGTAGGAAGGAGATAGTAGCTGCAACAGAAGGTACGGTCGGAGTGACTTACTTGTGATCAAGGCTCCAATCACCATGGTATATCGACGACCGAGCACGCGTACGTTCGACATGTAGCCACCGACTATTGGTCCAAATATGCCACACACTTGGACCAGGGCGTAGTTTCTCCATGTCTCGTACGTGCTGGTCACACCAAAAGATACGCCGCGGCTCGAAAGGTAGTAAGGTAGAAAGACGTTGAAGAGAGGATACGCCAACCCAATCATAGACCATGAAAGCCAGATCAGGACCGTGGTGTAGGCAACCGTCTTTGACAAGAAAAGGCTGCGTACGTGAATCCAAAGCTCGCCAAATGAGAAAGCTCTCTTTGCATGTGCAGTATGGACAACGCCGCATGCATCGAGCTGCTCCAGAGTGATAGAGCAAGACCGATTGTACTTGGTGGCGAGAGATTTGAGGTTTGAAACCACTTCAGCGTCCTTGCCTTGGCCGAGGAGAAACTTGGGCGTCTCCTGAAGTCGGATGACAGTGACGCGCGCCACACTCATGGCGAATATTATGCTGCCCATGGTGTACATCTCGTATCTCCAGCCCATGTTACTAGCCTTGGTGCATTTGGCATACGGGGGTGAGGTTGGGTCTGAACAGCTGTAATTTGCTGCGGAGAAGACGGTCAGTGGCCCCATTCATCATGATGTTACCATTCGCGTCCGGAATAAGATTACTCACTCATGAAACCCCAGGCGACCAGTCCAGCAAGAGTGCATCCGATACCCCACCAGGCGGCCAAGCAGCTGACAAGGAACTGTTTGTTTGACGGCAAGTATTCCAGGAAAACGGTCGTATCAAGGATCAGATTTCCGCCTGCGCCAAAGGCAGCCAATGCGACGAACAGTCCTAGGACTACCCAGTTTGGGGCAGCTCCTGCGGCGATGGTGAAGATTGAGCAGATGAACAGCGAAATATTGAATGCAATCTTGCGGCCGATAATGTCGGCAGAAGCTCCCCAGAATAGAGCGCCCACCAGCATACCCACGTACAAGGCAATGGTGAGTCCCTTCTGGTAGGAAGGCTCAAACTCATAAACAGCCTGTACCGCAATGATTCCTTGTAGAGAGAGTTGCAGGGCGTCAACAGCGTATCTGCAAAATTGACATCGTCAGTCAATGCCCTCCCCTCCCAGGGGATAGCCGATGTTGGGTCCGAAGAAAAGAGGCAACCACGACGAAATACTTACCCAAAGCCGGTCAAGGTGAACAACTTCCAATGATATCCAGTCCATCCAATCTCATCCAAGGCCTGTTTCGACACAAGCATTAGCAAGACTTATGTTGAGCTCTGAAGCAAAGGATCCGAAGACATATATAGGGGCTGCAGCGAGACACCCAGAGCCTTCGGGTACAGGAATGAAATGGTAACGGAGACACAGAGCACTTACGTTGTTGACAAGGTGCATCTTGCCGTCGAAGGCGGGGTCCGCATGGAAAGGAGCCAAGATTTCCTTTGCCTGACCATCGCTCTGGAAGCCGTCCATGACGTTCGTCTCGTCCCGAAGCTGCTTCACCTCTGGGTCGACTTTGTTTTCCACCCCTCCCAATGGCCGTGGAGTATCCCCCATCTCGTGCGACATCCTCTGTTATATGTTGTGTATGTCCCGGTACTCGTAGTGGCACAGAGAATGCAAAAGCCGATGCGGTAAAGGAGAGGGTCTCACACTCGAAAAACAAGTAATACGATTGCTGTAGCAGTAGCTGGCGTGAACTGAGTTGCATACAGAACGGAGGTGGATAAGGAGTTATATGCTAATAGCGCAGAAATCCATAACGTGGAAGATCCCCAGCAGGCTTTCATGCAACCTTATCGCTTTACTCCACTTTGACGGCGGATACCTGTAAACGGATACCTGTAACGTAGCTTTGGTAACGCGCTTGAGGTCTGTCAGATGGGTTTCTTGTCCGGCCGTTGCCATCAGTGGGCAAGCGGGTCCTATTATCGGTGGGAAAGTTGTTCCTAGCGCGCATGCTACGTTGCACATTTCCATCCACACTCTAACGACAGTGCGGCACGTACCAGCTTCTCCCACGCCGTCTTGAGATCGGCGTCCCGGAATGAGATCCCTTGGTCTGCCACTGAGACCTTTTCGTACATCATCTCATCATAAGCGCTCGATCGTGTTAGCCATTTCGCATTCGCTCCAACATTTTATTGGGAGCCCGACCGATATTTCATAATAACTCGTGATGGGTGGGCCAATTGACGGAGTAGCGTCAAATTCACCGATGGACGAATTTCAGGATCCTGTAGGCCCAGCGCTGGACCTCACAGTGTTGGGTTTGAACAGTGGCACATCAATGGTGTAGTCGCACCTACCACGACTTTACCATAACCCTTCTCTAACCATCTGCACAGGATGGGATCGACTGCGCATTATGTCGGTTTCGACAGCTGGACCCTTCCAGTCCCGTCGAATTCGAGTTGTTACGATATGGCGAAACACCACTGGACCCTGCGATCAAGACTCGAGTTATGAAGATGATTTTGCGAAACTCGACATCACCTGAAGAGATTGCCGAAATCAATGTCATCCTAGGAGAAGCATTTGCCAGAGCGGCCCAAGATTTTCTAAAGCAAAATGAGATTGACATATCGGCGGTTGATGCAATTGGTTCGCATGGCCAAACTATATGGCATCTTCCACAGCCTCGCAAAGGCCAAGTCAGGACGACCTTGAGTATGGCTGAAGGAGCCATCATTGCTGCACGGACAGGGATCACCACAGTCTCTGACTTTCGCATCAGTGAAGTTGCGGTTGGCCGTCAGGGTGCACCACTCGTTGCATTCTTTGACGCCCTCTTGCTACACCATCCCACCAAGCTTCGAGCTTGTCAGAATATTGGAGGGATTGGAAATGTCTGCTTCATCCCCTCGGACCAACAGGGTGGTGTGGATCAGTGCTATGACTTCGATACAGGTCCAGGAAACATCTATATCGATGCAGCCGTCCGGTATTTCACCAAGGGGCAGCGGGAATATGACAAGGATGGTGAAATGGGCAAACAAGGCTCGGTGGATCAAGAGATTGTGGACGAATTCCTCCACCACCCCTTCTTCAAACAAGATCTCCCCAAAACAACAGGTAGGGAAGATTTTCGCGATACTTTGGCCTTCGATATCATTCGCAAAGGAGAAGAGAAGGGTCTCAACCCTGCCGATATCGTGGCTGCTATAACCCGTATTACTGCACAATCCATAGTCGACCATTATCGTCGCTTCGCGCCATCGCAAGATGTTGACGAGATCTTCCTGTGCGGCGGAGGAGCTCTCAACCCCAACATCACGGACTTCATACAACAACAATATCCCAATTCGCGGATATTGATGCTAGAGGAGGCCGGGATCCCTGGAGCGGCTAAAGAAGCCATAACGTTTGCCTGGCTAGGTATGGAAGCTGTTGTCGGCAGGCCTGTTGTAGTCCCAGCGCGGGTTGAAACGCAAAGGGAGCAGGTTTTGGGCAAGGTCTCACCGGGTGAGAACTATAGGCAGGTGATGCTGAAAGGCATGCTCTTTGGGGGCGGAGTAAAGAAGCTGCATCCGGTAAAGGACATGCTAAACGTAGTTGGAAGCAAAGTCTTCACCAACAAATGGTAGAAAAGGGAGACTGCAAAAAATGATAGAATGTTCTTGTGGCTGATTTGCTCATGACCAATTGCTCGGCTTTCCAGCTTGTGGGCCTGTCCAAGAAAGGCCTCCTTTATCGACCAGAGCCTGTAGATCAGGTGCCAAAGAGGTATTATGCGCAACATGAGGTCTGTAAACAGCGCCCACAGGAGGCATCCATCCTTCGATACCCAAAGGGAAATACTCATACAATGGGTCTGGGTCCAAATTGCTCGAAGGTGATGCCTTGCGCGTACTCGACTTTTTGTTAGACGATTCTCCGACATGTACATTGTTGTCCGTAAGAGGTTCCCCAGTAGCCCTGTGGTCAAGGGTCTTCTGCATGGAAGTGGCACTCTTAGGCCTACTGTACAGCGAAGGGGTCTGCTCAGGAACAGTGGCTGAGTCCAGGGCCCCCATTTCCGAGTCTAGCCTGAGCGAGGGAATCAGCGATCTGTCTTTGAGACGTGAGCCCACTGGCGTCGCAGCCGCGGTATGATTTGAAGGAATCCTTGATGTGATCTCATTCGGTGAGATCGGATCGCCAGTGCGGAAAGCCTTTCGGGGCCTTCTGGTTACGACTTGACTAGCGAGACGCTGCTCCCGTACGGAAGGGTTGGGCTCTTCACTTTTCGCGGAGGTCCAAGCACTCCTGCCACGGACAATGATAGCACCAGTTTCGGCCTCAAGGAGAGACACCTTCTCGCCAGTCGCTAGATTTGCTGTAAGTGTCAACTTCAGACGATATTTCTGCTGTACGCCGTTGCGCCGACCGTCTGTCCTATGGGTTAGCAAAGCCCGACAGAATTACAAAAGACTATCCCCTTGGGTGTAGTCTCCCCATTGGCAAGTAATTCACCTACTGTTTGCTGTCGAGTTCTTGAATTGAAGTCTTTTCCACATGAAGGGCAGCGTCGTCTTCCCGGAAGAGATCTGCGTGTTTGACCCTAGTTCCAACGGTATTATGTGATGGCCAGGAGCGGAAGTGTTTCGTACAAGTGGCGAGGTCGGAGGTGCTGTGGTCTTCCATGGTACTTGAATAACATCTATCTTCTTTCCCTCCTTCGATTCGGTACCAGTGACGCAGACATCGGCATTCAAGATGGCTGTTCTGCCTCCATTATCATCGATAAAATAGCAGGGTCTTGGTATCTTTGAAATGGAGCCAGCGATCCGGAACAGGTTGCGACGGGAGAAGGTGAGCCCAGCGGTACTGTTTGGCTCCGGAGTCGCAAGAAAGAAGTTGCCTTGCAGCTCTGCTGCGATTGAGATAGGGACCGGCTCCCAGTTGCAATCGACCACCGAACTTTTTTGAGGCAGTGGTGTGAAGTGAAGAAGTTCGCTCTGCTCGATTGGAACACCTTCGACGCTCTTGGATCTTTCGACGGTCTCCCCTCGAACAGACCGTGTAGGAGACGATCCATCATCTCGCAGGGTGTCACCCTGGGCCTGATCATGACTCAGTACAGCAGGAGATCTAGACCGTGATCGATCCCCGTGATTATCTAGAGAAGGCACATGGTCCACAACGCCATCGGTCCAGTCGTACGAAAAGGTGCTGTCGAAGAATTCTTCATAAGGAAGGAGGCTGTCCAATTCGATGTTGAATGCACGGTATGAAAGCGAAGATTGAAGTGCGTCATCGTGCCTATCAAGAATGAGTTAGGTTGAAGCGGTCTCTGAGAACGTTATCATACCCTCTGGGCTCGCCTGCCTCGCCCAGTATCTCGGCTGACTGCTTCGTTCTTTCCGGCATGAGGTTCACCGGCGCCTACTGATGTTTTGCAGCTCAAACGAATAGGCATGTACCTGATGGTCAGATAGGCAGCTAGATGCCATGATAGTGCATGAAGGTAACATGGCGGTAGTGCAGAAAATGGGGCTGTAACGTTCCTCTACTTTGATCGTCGCAAAAAGGGTGTCCCCACTCCTGTTAGTTGGCCCGATTGAATGTAGCTCACGGCATAGGAGGGCTGCGCTCAACCTCGGTGGGACCGATATCAGGCATAAGATGTGACACGGTGACTGGCTAGCAACGAGTAAACTGATCTTCAACAAGACAGGCTTCTACAGAACACCATTGAGGACCGGCAGCTTCTAGGATATCGAGCAAACATGACAGTCAGGAATTGCCAGAATCGCATAGTTCGCACCAGTTGGCACCTGCATTGATTTACGCGATAAAGCGAAACGTCTTCATTGGTCAAAATCTGCCTCTCAATCCGGAAGCTCTTGCCTTCCGCGGTGTCATTATTTCACCAGGAACATGCTCTGCCAGCCACGTCAGCCTATCTTGTGTCTATCTAACTTGACTTTTCGACTTAGGTACAGTTTGTGCAAGACCTTTTGAGGCCTTTGTATCTCTGGTACTAACAAGGGACCTTACTAATCACAATCGGGCATGCACGTGGCTGTAGCAAGCGATTTTGCGCCGACCCATTTTTTTCAATGGAGCTGCTTGTGGACACGCCTTTCCAAATGTCTTCGGACAGACTCGGATGCCGTTGCCTGACTTCCAAAATTCTTGCCGTTCTTGCAGCAATATTGTTTCAACCTGCAACGTATCATGTGCAGGTTCACTCACTGCTTCGTCCAGCCTCGTCCAGATTGGCACGGAGCCTCATTACGAATGCCTTGTGACATGGAGACGACACGTCTTGAAACTACCATTCCTGTTCGGACAGAGTCGCTACGGAGAGAGAGTCGTTCAGTCTATCCTACCAGTGATGCCATGCACACAAGGTAACAAGGGAACTGGCAGCGCAACTTTGCACCCGACGTCCTTGGCTGGATCCTGCCGAAGTGCAGTCTAGGCTAGGGTAGTGCGGCAGCCATGGCAGCATACGATGCGCTGAGTCCGGTCTGGCAGGATCTAGATCGGTCAGTTGCCTTTCTCCGTGGCCACAAGCCATCCCATGAGCTGACAGATCCGCAGTGCTATGGGGCAACTCTTCATGATGGGATGGGATGGCATCGCCGTGACCCCTGCTATACGAACGTTGATCGAGGATCATTTCCTGGGGTCGATACTCTTGACCGCGCATAATTTGAGATGTATACAATGCTCCACTTCGCGATTCTATCCTGACCGCCTGCTAACAATAAGCGCCTAGCGGCGGACGAAACGAACAGACTGATTCACGAGCTTCAGACCATCGCCTACAACGCTGGCCATCCGGTACCTCTAACTATTGCCCTGGATCAAGAAAACGGTGGGGTGAACAGCTTATCGGACGAGGCACACATCCGACAGTTTCCAAGTGCTATGGCTGTCGCCGCCACGGGCTCTTTAGAAATTGCCTCCGATGTAGCCAGAGCAACCGCTCTCGAGATCACAACGGTTGGTGTCAATTTGATATTGGGGCCCGTCCTGGACGTTCTGACCAACGCAAGGAGTCAGCCTCTGGGAGCGCGCACGACGGGCGATGATCCTCAGGAAGTATCACGATATGGAACCGCTTACATCAGTGGATATAAGAGCACAGGGATCGCAACATGTGGCAAGCACTTCCCCTCCTACGGAAATCTGCAATTTTTGGGTGGCGGGCAGGATATCCCTGTCATCACCGACACCCTGGAGCAACTGAGCTCCAATGCCTTGCTACCTTTTCGTAACGCCATCGCGAACGGAATTGACGCTGTGATGGTGGGCGGCTGCGCATTGGTGAGCTCTGGCGCACATATGATGCATGCGTGCTTGTCGCGAGAAGTAGTGACTGCACTCTTGAGGGAAGATCTTGACTTCAATGGAGTAGTTCTCTCTGCATGTCTCGAGATGGAGTCATTGATTCGACATATCGGTGTTGGTGGAGGCACTGTCATGGCAATCGACGCAGGATGTGACATTGTCGTTCTTTGTCGCTCATATGAGGTCCAGCAGGATGCGATTGCTGGCCTGAAGCTGGGAGTTGAGAATGGGATGTTGTCGAAAGACCGCATCTACAATTCCTTGAAAAGAGTGTTGAAAATGAAGTCTAGATGCACATCGTGGGAAAAAGCATTGGAGCCGATCGGCCTGGACGTGCTTTCTGCTCTCCGGCTATCACACTCAGCATTGTCGAAGATGGCCTACCGCCGCTCGATCACTTTACTACGTGATAAGAGTCATTTAATCCCGCTGACAGATCTGAGTCTGGGCCCCAACGAAGTCCTGCTACTGTCACCCCTACTGAAGCCGCTTCATGCATCTGCGGTGAAAGGGGAAGGCCTGGCAGGCTCAATGGGAGTGTGTTCCGATGACGTGTTTCAATCCTCCACAGCGATTATGCAAGGCGAAGAAACATTCACGGATTTCGGGCGACGACTGGGTCATCGCCTCAAGTGCAAAGTCTTGCATACTTCATACACCGCACATGGGCTCTGCTCTGTGCACGAGAATCTTATCAGCCGAGCAGGCGCGGTCATTGTGCTTACGGCGGACGCTCACCGCAATCATTATCAGTCCGGATTCACCAAGCATGTGGCGATGATCTGCAATTCTCAATTCTGCGCGAGTAATGAGAGAAGAGAAAAGCCGCTGATTGTCGTGTCGGTGAGCTCACCCTACGATTTTGCTGTCGAAAGATCTATTGGTACACATCTATGCACATATGACTTCACACGGCCAGCGCTAGACTCTCTAGTCGATATCCTCACCGGGGTTTGTACTCCTGAAGGGACTCTTCCAGGGACGGGAAGAAAGAAGAGACATCACGCAAAGTCAGCACACTACTGGCTTGTAGAAGAGTGGTCCCGTGAAAGAGACGAGAAGGCTCTGAACAACCTCATAAGAGCAGTGGTGGAGGGCATGCCGTCACATCGACGGTCCGCACTTGTCGGGTCAACAACCGATTCCTTTCTTGTCTGCAGGACGGGTATAGGAGAAGCTCATTTTGTGGTACGAAACAGCAGCACTGGGGCTTTGTATGGATTCTGCTCTACTTATTTCCTTGCAGATTCGGGCACGGGCGTTATTGGTGCCTTGTTCGTGGATCCGACACGACGAGACCAGTCCATTGGCAATTCCTTACACGAGAGGGCCAAGCGTGCCCTGTTAGGACGAAGCAACCTCAAATCCATTCAACTTGGATCCGGGTTCCCAACCACCTTTCTCGGGCTGCCGGCTGATGACCCAGGAGAGCGGCAGCGTCTACGAGCGTGGTTTGGTAAGCGAGGCTATGACATCTCCGCTTCCCATCTGGTGTGCAGAATGATACTTCGAAATCTATCGAGCCGGTCTCCCGAAGCCGAGATCATAGAAGTCCTCAGAGAGTCGATGATCGGCTACGATACTGTCTCTGACCCTGGAGACGCAAACATCGTCATGGATTTTGTCCAGAAGCATTCAAGCCGAGGGGAGGCGGAGCTGTACAAGATTGCGACAGCTGATCGTAAGGCCTATCCCATCATCCGTGCTCGGGACCTCAATGATGGCTCCATCCTCGGCTGCACCATTCTTTGCGATGGCAGGTCTCTGCTAGCACAGTATTTGCCGGTCTTACGAGATTCCACTGAGGTCTCTGGAGGGCTTCTGTCACTACTCACTCGACCAGCCGCGACAGATGCCAATACGGTGCTTCAGGGATTGGTCTTGTATGGTATCCAGCGCATCAAGGCTCAAGGCTTGAGAACGTGCGTTTTAGACATGGTAGGTCTCGAGAATGAATTTTATGATGATATGCTGATATTCCCCAGGTTTCCGGAGAATCTAGCGTCGAGGCTGCATTAGCGATAGGTTTCACTGTCATGCACAGCTTTGAAGGAGGTGTGCAATTGAAACTATAGTGACGTACAAATGTAATCATAGTCTAATGCTAAACATATTGTCTACTGTGTCCTGGGACAAATTGACAAAGATATTCCCGGAGTTCAGCCTTGTGTAGCCATAGGGCGGCATCAGCACCTTTGCCCAATGGGTATAGCACGAGGCTGAGCTACTCAGCCTTGTCGGGCATGCCTTGGCATACGGGCGTCATGCTGCGTCGATAATCTTAACAGGCGCGGTTTACATGTCTTTCGCAAGATACTTGCGTTGCCGACATAATCGTTACTAACAGTCAACTGTGGTTGGAACTTCCTGACGGCTGGACATTTCATCAGTCATGCCAGTCTTTCAATCGAAGCCTTTTCGAAGCAGTCAACATCGAACATCAGACCTGTCCGAGAAAATTGCCGCAAACTACCGTAACAAGATTGCGAAGAATCCCTTTCTGTTCTTCGGCCTGCCCTTTCTTACGCTGATGGTATCGGCGTCATTCCTCCTCACTCCTGCCACGGCCCTACGGTACGAGAAACATGATCGCAAGCACAAGCAATTGAATGACCAAGAGGCCATGGAGCTGGGACTCAAAGGCGGAGCTGCAGGTGAAGGAGGTCTGACATATAATCCTCGGCGGAGAAAAGTTCTGAAGGGAGAATTGAATGAACGAGACGAGTACTACAGGCTGATGGCCAAAGATCTGGACAACTGGGAGCAGAAGCGTGTGGAACGACTGCAAGGTGAACCCGACGGCAGATTCTGAGATGTTGTACCTCTAGTCCTTGACATCGCCATGGCCAGGTCGTGGATGAATATACAATATGAAGGCTTTGAACTGGTCAGAAAAGCTGCCACCAGCTCGAACAACGAACCACCCGTCGTTGATGCCACATTGTCCCATGCAAGCCATTCGAAACATCGCGTTTTTTGGCCGATCCTCTTGATACAGGATTTGGAAAGGTCAGTTCATATGATGGCGACATCCATTATCGACGCTGGGGCTGCTTCCGAGGACATTGCAGTAATTGGGGAGGCGGACATTATACAACATTAAGTTTGGAAGTCCGGGTGAAAGTGTCACACAAAAGCCGTCTGCGCAGCTCTATTGTTTTCAAATACGGACGAGTACCCAAAAGGTTGCACAAGATGTCTCTCGTTCGAGTCGGCCTGGAGACGTTTCACAGCGATGACCTTTGGAATGCTGCAGGGGGTCGCGCCAATATACGGGCGTTGGCTGAATGTCAACGCGCTAAGGTTCGGGTGCATGCACGAGGCGAGGCGAGCAGAGTCTGGGCCTTTTGACAAAGGCGCCTCTTGTGCAATGGTGACGCCATTGATTATGCTGAAAGCCATCAAAATAGCTGGATCGTGGGGGTTGGCGTCCTTTCAGGGACTCACGAGGAATGTTGCTGGTCCAGGTATAGAGGCTGTATTGGGTGAATTCGGCATTCACGTGAGTATAAGTTTGAGGTACTATGGTATGCTCTGGAATTGTTGAGTTCTGGGAAAGGTCCCGTGGCTACTCACTTTAGCAGTGGTTACGGGAAGCACCGGCGTTGACAGCGACCCCTCATTGGAAGCGGTCTCACTACCATGAAAAAGGCAACACCATGTGCTTGGTGAGTGGTGAGATCGGTGATGGGACCCTGAAAATCTCGAGTCTAGAGTCTTACAATGCCCACCATGTGGCAGCCGAGTCAGTCAATTCTGCGCGGGTTATGTTCCCGCATGCCTAGGTAAGATGCACAAAAATCCATAAAATAGTATTGGGACTGGTGATGACGCCGTAGGTTGGCATCACGAGGGAAGGCCTGGGCCAAGTTCCTTGGGAATCAGTGCACAGAGCAACGGAATACTCCCCAAGAGAGCGAACCTATACCCACTTCTGGTTGATTGTGACCGACAAGAAAAGTGGCCTGATTGTGGTGGCTCCCTCGTTCTCGCTTAAGCATGATGTGTCCAATGCCACGAGATTGACTTGCAGTAGTAGATGGTGCATAGTACAATGGCTTTGAAGTTGATGCAAATGAGCGGTACCGTGAATATTCATTGTCTATCCAAAAATTGATTTACAAGCAGTCATCCAAGAGAGTTCAGGAATAAATACCGGGTATGTAGAAGGCCGAGCTTATTTAGGGACCCTGTACTGTACAATGACGCCCCTGTGGTGGAAGCCCGCCTAGGTGGAAAGGACCCTTAAGACATGAACTTTAAGATCTACGATCCGGCATGTCATTAGAGTACCACCTTAATAAGTCAGATGTACTTACTACCTTAAGGTATGTATTGCCTGAGACCCTTTATCAGCAGCTTCATTATTCTGTCAACTTGGTAGGAAGATAATACCTCATCGGAGCAATATGTCTCAATAACAATGCAATCGACCCAACTACAGGTACTCTGTCTTGTGCTTTACTCAGCTCAATCTTAGATCAGCCCATTCCATTGTACTGTGGTACAGTACAGCCGCACAGGCGTCTCTAATCTGATTGTTACTGGGCCACCCGGTTCATTACCGACTGGGGCATAAACCCAAATCTTAATGCAAACCCAAATCCCCTCCATCACAGGGCGACGTCATTGTCCACGGGCAATTTGCCCTGTGCCTTTTCCAAACCAATGCCGCCCCTAACGCCCGCAGATCTTTTACCAAGACGCCTGTCGCCTCTGCAAGCACAGTACAGTGCCCTTCGCCTGCTAAACTTCAGCCTCTCATTCTGTCCCATTATTACCACTACCTGCTGGTATTTCCACTCACCCTCGCCAGTCCCAGTCCCAGTTCCGTCGGAATCAGCTTGGCCCTTTCATTTCATTTTTCCCTGCAAAAGAATTGGCCTCAACACATCCACCACATTCCCCAGACAATCACCAACAGCCTTTCTTTGTTCCTGCAGACAATGCGTCCCAAATCCTCACCTGCACTCTTCTCCAGCCTTGTCGCGTGCACACTCTCACGAAGTCTAGAACCCGCCATGACGTAGAAGTCTGAGTTCATCCACCTGCGCCTCGTCTCGCCTACTCACCCGCTTATTCACCATTCACCTGCACCTGCACCTGCATTCACACCGACCTACCTCAATCGAACTGCTACGGAGTACACCATTTACATTCTGCATAATATCGTCGACTCGCCCATCTCATCCGCAGTCGACTGCCAGCGCCAACACGATAGAACCAACATTCCTTCACTCTCCATGACCTGTCACAACGGCAAAGCCAGCTCACCATCCTCGGCAGGCCCAACGGTCAACATGTCGGCCATTGCGACCTCGCTAAAGTCTTCCTCTCATTCTCGTACACACTCCAAATCGCATTCACACTCTCACTCACGATCGTCTCGACCCTCGACGACCCCCCGAGCCCAACCACCCCCTCCACCATCAGTCGGTCAATCTTTACCGCCGCTGTTATCGCCAAAGGCCAAAACTCCTCACAATGTGAAGGATCCCAAGAGCCCGAGTCCTAGCTACTTTGGGTTCGTCGTGGGAGGCGATGATTCAATACCACCAGACTCGAATCCGGGTGCCCATGCACGTCAGAATTGGGCATTTGGGGGAAACTCGAGTACACAAGTACCAACCCCTCGCCACGTCCCTGTCGAGGCGAATCCCCAGTTCGAAGCCTTCCGGAGGCAATCAGAGCACAACTCCGGGTTTTCTCTGAACAGCGCTTTCAACAGACCTTCCCAGTCAAGGACAAACTCCTTGACTTCTCCAAAGCAGGAAAATCCGTTATCTCCCTCGGCTACGAAGAGGCCAGGCCCTGAACGTACTACTACGCAAAATAGTCAGACCGGCGAGCCTTCGTTTTTCGATATCCCGAGACAAGAGTCTCCCGCACCTATACACGTACGCCACACTGTCGCAGACCACACCTACGCTCGTCTCTCATTACCTGGCAGTGGATTGCGGACCCCACCATTCAACAACAACCGACAAACACAGCGGTCTGAAACACTACCGTCCTCCGGGGAGAAAGACACACCTCCCCTGGTCTCCTCCAAGCACATTGCAGAGATACTAACCAAATCTGACGCAGTTCTCGTCCTCGATTTGCGAGTGTACCAGCAGTACGCTACTTCGAGAATCCAAGGGGCTCTGAATTTGTGCATACCGACGACTCTCCTAAAACGTCCCGCGTACAATGTGCAAAGGCTGGCTGAGACATTTGCGTCTGACAGAGATCAGGAGACATTCTCCAAATGGCGCGAGTGTACCCACATTATTGTCTACGACGCAAACTCCACCTCAACCAAAGAAGCCATAACCCCTCTGAACGTTTTGAAAAAGTTTACCACCGAGGGTTGGACTGGCACTGGGTTGGTCATTAAGGGCGGCTTCCTTTCCTTTTCAAGGTCGGTGCCCGATTTGATTGACTCTGGACCTGTTCAATCGGGCGCTGGATCAACCACACAACCGCTGTCTATATCAGCCCCCATTAAAGATGCCGTCCCCGTCGCTGGAGGTTGTGCCATGCCAGCGGCAAAGTCGGCCGCCAATCCTTTCTTTGGGAACATTCGACAGAACATGGACTTGATTGGTGGCGTGGGACAAATGCCAATCAAGAAGCCTACCAACATGTCGTCGCATACCGAACACACCATTCCTAGTTGGCTGAAGAGAGCTGCCTCAATCTCGGATGAAGGAAAACTCGTCTCGGATCGATTTTTCAACATTGAAAAGTCGGAGCAGTCGCGTATGCAAGAGGCGTTGAGTGTCAATGTGTCTTATGGCACTCCAAGAACAGAAGCGCCTCAGAAGATACAGGTAGCGGGTATCGAAAAGGGCTCTAAGAATCGGTACAACAACATTTTCCCATACGACCACTCGAGAGTTCGACTACAGAATGTACCCAACGGCAGCTGCGATTATATCAATGCCAGTCATGTCAAGGCCGAATTTTCCAATCGCCAGTATATTGCCACTCAGGCTCCCATACCAGCCACATTCAATGATTTCTGGCGAGTGGTCTGGGAACAGGACGTCCGCGTGATTGTAATGCTGACCGCAGAAGCCGAAGGTGGTCAAGTCAAGAGTCACACATATTGGAATGCTGGTGAATATGGGCCACTGAAGCTTAAGAAGCTTTCTGAACGAAAAGTCAGTATTGAGACGAAGAGTAACGCGCCAAAGGTTGTTCCATCTTCAAGGCCATCTCTGGGACCTAGGAGGTCCACCACGGCCGGCGTCCCAACCCAGGGTGAAGTGAAGTCTGCGCCATTGAGGACGCCCGGTGCTACGATCCGGCACTTCTCTTTGAGCCACGCTGCACAACCCTTTAAACCGATACGCGAGGTTACTCAGATTCAGTATGAAGACTGGCCGGATTTTGGCGCCCCTGCCAGCCCTACGGAATTGCTTGGGTTGGTGGAACAAGTCAATAAATATGTCCGAGGTTCCGCGACTCCGATGGTAGGACCTGATGAAGCGACGCCTGAAGGCACCAAACCTATACTCGTCCACTGCAGTGCCGGCTGTGGTCGAACAGGGACGTTCTGCACCATCGACTCTGTGATTGATATGCTGAAAAGACAGAGGCTTTCTCAGGAAGAAAGCGACAGCGACAAAATGGATGTTGATGCCGGAGATTGGACTGATCGAGATGATGTCGACTTGGTTGCCAAAACGGTGGATGATTTCCGACACCAGAGATTAAGCATGGTGCAGAATTTGCGACAATTCGTCTTGTGCTATGAAAGCGTCCTACAGTGGCTTGTTCAACAAGAGTCGGAGGAGCGTCACAAACGACCCAGCATTCCCGATCCTAGAAGGAGTTATCAAGGTTGAAGAATTTGACAAGGCGCGCACGACGAGGGATTGAGTGATAACTTTAAGAGAAGGAGTACGATCGATGAGTTGAGAGGGTGCCACAGACCTATAGTTGTAGACTGGGCAGGAGTTTATGAACAACGGATTAGAGTCGGCAAAAGACTGCATTGCGATGGGGTAACTGAGCGAGTTTGTATTGCATTTTACAAGCATTGAGTTTGGCAGATTCCACTGGAATGGGATTCGAATAAAGACCATCTCAGCATCATGCTTCTGTGTGCTATTTTGAATTGTGCGCTGTCGAGATCCGATCCCTGCAGTAATGTCCGCCGTTGTCAGCCACAGCCTTCATGCCCATCGCCATGACCGAAGGAGAGAATTGACCAGCTGGTCTTGTACAACCACATCCGTCGTCCTCGTCTGTGTCTTGACATATCGTATCGCAGGAGCCCATATGGGTCAACCGACAATATTACACTATCTAATACTGAACTAGCCATTACTACTAAGAGTCCAAGGTATTGGCCACAATACCACGTAGATAAACAACACCCATTTTTGAAACGCTCCCCGTGCCCGCGCTCGCTCAATGAAAGAGAGATACTGTACCACATACTCTTTTTTCCAGAATGCAAATCGCCCCTTTCCGTTGACACAAAGTATTGGATGCCCTCAGCGCCTTTTGGTATCTCACGGATATGGCTCTCCAATCCTCTCTTTTGAACCCCTATTCCTCAACTTCTCTCTACTCTCACCCTCCATCCACCTGCGGCCTCCGATCAACTCCCATAGAGCAGTCATCGACGCGGCCAAGCCCAGAATGAACAATGGAATCAAATTCCACCGCCACCCTCGCATCAAGTCCAGATGATATCGGATCGTGCTGCGGTCCGACTCATGCTCCAACGGCAGCTTTAGCACGGCGATGAACCAATTCTCCGGCGTCCACTGGTCCAACGGATACATTTTTGGCTCTGGGTTTGCTTCGGCCACGCTGAGATTGATGCTTTGGTTGTTTGTCTGTGCGGTCACGACGAACGTGTAGACTATTGCCGAAAGCGTCAAGCCTGCGGAAACGAATGTCATGACGACCCAGAAGAGGAAGACTTTGGAGTGGCCTGTCATTTGTGTCTGCGCTCCATTAGCACTTGTGTCTCGTAGGGGAGGAGGGGAGGTGGTGTGCTTGTGTAGGGGAACTCGTACCTGTCTCGCCCTTCTCTTCTCATACCAAATGACCAGCAGCCCGATGATGCCCACGAGAACCACCGCGGTGCCGGCAGCACCGTTGCTGGTGTGTCCTTGGTTGACGAGCAGACCCACGGGTTTGCCGTGTAAGTCGAAGGTACCGGTCGACGCGTTGACGGTGAAGAACTTGCCGGCGCGAGCGTGCAAGAATCCAACCATCGATCCCACCATGCCGACTTCAATGACGCCGTCGAGCATCAATAGGCCGAGGGCCACGTAGAGAGGTGTGTACTGCATTCTGGCTACTCTGGAGTTGTATTTGTTCTCGCTTGCTGAGAAGTAATTCATCCCACCAAGGAACGTCAACGATTAAATGGGCGACGAGATGCCACTGCGTTTCTTTCTGTCCTTTCTTTAGAGTTCCAACGGTAAAGGTGACCGCAAAACGAAAGTGGCAAAGTGTGGCCTGTTAATATTTCGTGCAGTGGTAGTCGGGTACCGTATGCGTAAGATCGATAGCGGGGAATTGGGAATGCAGCCTCTTATACCGAAGTAAGAATGGACCCAGACCCAAACAAAGCAACTGTTTAGGCTCCGTCAGGCCCTGCTGGGCAGATCTGGGCAGCTGAATAATAGTGACGATCCCAAGAAAAGCGGACAGTAGGAGGGCAAGGGCAGGGGCAAGGAAGGCAAGAATCCTTCGGGAACGCCTTCTCCCAGGTCTTCGATCGGCGTAACGGAGGAAGAGTATGAATAGTCAGAGTGAGTATTGTCGGGCGCAACGGACAAATCTCGTATAGGAGAAGCTGGGATAGACGCAGGTTACACTTATCAAGCCATACGAGGGTCAACACCTTGATCATGCTCTCCCTTGTGGCAGGACATTGTTCACGTAGCCGCTACGGCCGTGAACCTGGTGTCCGATAACAGAATATGCCATAACTATCGTAGTATGGCCCCCGCAGCACCAGCAAGAGCTAGGCGAAGTTCTCATGGGAGTACGCCGTAGAAAGACAGCACTTTCCGAAAGCAATGGCGATGAACGAGCAAAGAGCACAGGACTTTTTAAGTGCGTAAGGCGCGCCACATGAATTTGGAGAGATAAGTTAGCACTTGCCAAAACTATATCGGGTGCCAATCGCACGCGTGTCAACGACCGGGGGAATGCTTGGTATCGACTGACTTATCCTTAGAACACCAGTGGTGATGGTTCTTGGTATGCATTCACCAGGGACCTACCTTGACCTATCCCGTGTTCAAAAATCCAGGTCGATAAGGTGTTCCCGACTCATACAGGATGGGATCAGCCCAGATGAAAGATGCCATGCCAGACGCAGAGTGACTGACAGACTCAAAGGACTTGGGACAAGCCCGAAATCAAGAAAGGAATATCCGAAAAAGGCTGACATGAGTCGAGATGAAATGATAACCGTGGATCCAAGTGAATTCCTTTTAGAGCCTTGAGTCGTTCTATGAGGTTTAGTGCTGACGGGACATCCACTGAAAGGTCTTGTCAACAACACTGGGGCCGACCGGTGAACGGCCTAAGTTGAGACGATTGCTGACAGTTCGACTACGGGTGATAGGAAAGAAAACGTGGCTCCGCTTGAACTCCAGAGATCAGTCTTGTGGGAACCCCAATTTAAGCAACATTACGGAGACCAGCGAGGCTGTGAAATGGCGGATTTGGGGGCAGCAGTTGCGATCAAAATGATTCCCAATCCCACCTAAGCCACATTCGCATCAATTAACTGTGTCTCGTGCACTGGAAAGCCTCCCGGAACAGATATCCAAGGAGGCTCCAAGTACATAACTTCGGTAGGCTTAGCCTTTCATTGTTATCTTCCATCTCCCATCCCCATATGTTCATTGACAGCCCAAGAATTAGGTGAATTGACTATCCGCACTCATCAAAATAACGTTACAGCCGCCCGATGTTCACCTTGCAGCTAAGGAAAGGATCCTCAACTATGTACAGCAATAGGCCACCGTTTTATGGTTTATTGCACACCTACTAAACTCTAGTTGACAGAACCCGTGTGCAAGGTGACCGTGTCTCAAGAATGATTGACCCTATGCTTCCAATACCTCCTCAGGTTTTGCTTTGATCAACAGGGAGTGAAGCTAGCATGTCCAGGAGCTGTTCGCGAACAGCCACAGGAGCCATGCCTGCCATCACAGTCTTGTGCTCTGCAAGCACACGGGCCGCGGCCGACAGTGCAGCCAAGCCACCAGCCATGTCTATTGTCTCGCCGACCTGGCTCAGAGCGTCTCGTGCCGAGGTGGTCTTCCGGGCCAAGCTATCGAGGAGGTACTCCTCAAGGTAGAAGATGGCGTTGAAGCCGGCTGCCCCACGGCCAAGCGCGGACGTCTTCTCGACCAATTCGTCAAGCCCCAGGGCCGGCGCGGAGGTCCAGGTAAATTCAACAGTATCGTTTGTTGGATTGCGGACAACATGACCGACGCCCCTGGGCACTGTGTATGACTCCCCTTCACCGATAGTGATCTCTCGCTCCTCAAAGGTCACATGCAGCTTGCCTTTCTTGACTTCCCAGGTCTCCTCGCACGCTGGGTGACAGTGATTTGGCAGACTTGTAGACGAGGGTATCAGTGTGACCTCAGCTCGGAGGCGATGCTCGGAATTGTCCTTGGGATGTTGAGTGATCCTGTAGGTACCGGACCCCATTCGGAAAACATCACCTGAACACATTTCTCCGCTTGTCCTGAACGGCCCTGAAGGTGGTGGCTCTACTTCGCTTTATTTTGCTGATCAGGGAGACGTTGTCTGATCGCTTGTGAAGTACTAAATCATGGAATCTTGAATCTGCTCATAGTGATTGCGTTTGCGCCCTCTAGCCTGTCTTCTTGGACAGGAAATAGACTGGACTGATTGAACACCTACCGACTGCCGCTTGGGTTACGGGGCCGATACACGCTCGGTCGTGGTGAGCCGCTATCAAACCCAACTCGTCCCCGGTGCTGGTGTACCTCGAATTTTGTCCCACCCCACTCGGCTGTTGGCGATCGTACGTGGCGGTGACTGTGCGCCGTAGCAAAAATGTGGTCGGAGGTCGGACGGAGGCTACCTACATTGCACTTGTCCAGATAATTCGGACACTCAAGAGACTCAGTACAGACTATCGTTTGAATCGTCTGAGAAAATCTTGCTGATTCCCCATAGACCTGGCACGGCAGGACTGGCAACTCGACCTTTCCACATACGTCCGTAGTGGAAGGTCGCCGAGCGTATGATACCTCTCGCGTGGTCTACAGTAATTCATGCGCACTAGTCATCCCATCTAGTTTAGCGACTGTCTTGCGGCGTCCAAGTAACCGTGGCAAAGCCCTAAGCCACGGTATAGGGCTTTCCGGTTGTCAGGCTCCGGATCCTTTGGGCAGGCTTTAGCGACCCCAATAACGAGGGTTGGCACCAACAAGGGTACGTACGTAAAAATAGATCCAAAGTCAAAATTGGGATCATGCCTTCATGCTTCCTCTTCTCTCCGACATCGCCTGCTCTTTTCTCTCGCTTGTTTTTGCGATGCTGCTTGATCTCGTTAACTATTCTGCCCGTTCAAATAAAATCTAGACCACGACTCCCCCTTCACGACGATGTTCGCGAAGCTCTTACGTACGATACCAACGCATTGTGCTGCTTTGTCTGGCGAAACCGACGTCAATCTCAAGTCAAGAAGATCTAACCGACACTGAAAGTTCGAGTCGGCCATCACGAGGCACGTTTCAACCAGTCAGAAACCGAGGTGAATATCAACCTATGCATGCCCATTCTATGATCTTCCTTCGAACGCCGAAGACTGCGGATACCTTCAATTCTTCCCCAACAGTGCCATCAATATTTCATCTTGATGCTTCAATGACGCGCTAAGGTGAGCCTCATGCTCCAGCACTTTCAACTCCACTCCACCCATCAACCTCGCAGCCTTCTTCGCCATCTGCAGCGGCACATTGACATCTTGCCCGCCGTGCCAGAGATACATCCCCAGCCCATCAGTCTTAAGGTCCTGCAGCTCGAAACCCCAATCTTTCGCAATCAACTTGATATCCAATGCCACGCCCTCTCCACCTTGCCGGAAACTCTCCCTTGTAGCCTCCACGATCTTATCCGTCACCGATTCATCTTCCACGCACGCCGCATCAGGCGCGGGCTTGCTCTTCATCTCTTTAACAAACCACTCCTTCAGACGTTCCGGATGATCGTAGTCGCGAGCTACTCGTCCAATCATCATGTCCATCAACGGCCCTGTCCAGCCTCCGATCCACTCAGAAGACGCTGTCCACAGCAACACGCGATTTCCCATGGTCATACCCGCTGTGCCGAGGCCTGCCGGGTACAAGCCCGCAACGACAGCAGCGCCGAGTAGTCGGTCGCGTGGGATTGTATGGATGCAAGCAAATGCATAAGGTGAACCGCCTGAACAGCCTAGCACGTAGAATTTCTGGATGCGCAGATGGTCGGCCACAGCTAGCACGTCTTTCGGCCAGTCAAGCAGTGTCCGGTCGGGTTGGAATGTTGATAGACCCATGCCTGGCCGGTCCATTGAGATGACGCGCGTGCAGTGTGCTTTTGCGGTTGGGGCGAGGAGGTTGCCTTCCAAACGAGAGCCTGGAAACCCATGAAAGTAGAACATGGCTGGTTGCTTGGTGTCTTCCAGGGAGTCATTGTAATCCATCCATGCTATGGTACGGCCATCCGGGAGAGTAAGCGTTCCTTCCGCCATGCTCGCGACACAATTGCCAAACGAAGGCAGATCAAAGGGGCAGCTGGCGCTTGATACTATTGACCAGCACACGAAGGGTAAGGCTGACCGGCAATACCTGTTAGTATCAGATTGTGTGGTACGACTGTGACTCCACCGGCACTAGTATCAAGACATGAACCTTGATGGGAAATAGGGTGCCTAAAATTACGGTCGTGGTCGTCGACTTCCCCGCACATCAGGCTGAACGCGGACAGGGGGTCGCTGATAAAGCAGCATCGAAGGTGTTTCATACAATGTAGTTGTCCTAAAGGCGGCAACTATTTGGGAATAGTCCTTTTGTCGACGACCCGAAACGAAAGCTGTTGTCAAAGACTTGCATGGACAAAGCTCGCTTGATAGTGCTGAAGAGTACGGTGGCTAGCGTACACGGAGAAATCTTGCTTCTGGGATACGATGAGTTGGATCTTGATAAGCCGGCGATCAAACCGACTTGACCTCTATCTACAAACCACAAGACTTCGAAAAGGTGGGTGACCCGACCGATTGCCCTCCGCCGCCCCAGACGCCGCCCGAGGAAAGATTGTGGCGTCGATTCTTGCCGCAGATTGTGCACCGCCCAGTATTACACAGCTGATCAGGGAGAAGCTCCTCAGCGGCCCAGTCGTCCAATTGATCTCCAGCATAGTGGCAGGAGACAACGTCGATCGACCTCAGGTATCACACACGCACTGTCACCAGAAAGATACCGCGCATCAGCAATGCTTGGAACGAATCACCTTTCTGCTAGCAAGCCCACATCTCACGACCACCGATTTCTTGCTATGCACCGGAATACTCTTCGAAGTCCTGCACTTAACACCTGTTGGCAAATCTATTGGTCCGTATGAGCGTATGGTCGTCGTGCAAAGTCGAAGGATCTTAAGGTCTCAAAGATACTTTTGAATCTCTTGCGCAGCGCGAGTGGTTTGTGTACATGCTGACCGTTCTTGTTCGCGCCTTGACATCGAGTGTTTGGGTACACGATGTAGACATATCGGCGTTGCTGTCAACAATGATGGAGGAAATCTGGCCACTCACTCGGCTTAATCGCCTCGAGCCGGTTTTGCGGAAGGTCTGCGGGTCCGACACGCAGTTTCTGAGAATCTGGGAACCATACAGGCAGTCCCAGATGAGCATACACAAAGGCAAGGGGATTGAAGAGGACATTGGATGGACAACGCGTTGATCCTGATGCACTTCCCGAAGTCCGTGACGTAGTGGATGCTCGATAGCATGGATGGCCATATGGTAGCAAATGAGCTTGGTAGCCATTCGGTACATGATGTCTTCGGAAGCCTTCCTAATGGTGTCTGCTGTTGCCTGCAGCTTATTTCTCTCCTCCACCAGCGGTCATTATGAGCATGAGACCGATCAAGAAGACCCACCAGTATTTCTGAAAGAAGCTCTTTTCCGGCTGCTCCTCTTGTGCAAGCTCCCTTCCTTCGGCGTCCACGGGAGGCGGTTTCCGAGTATTCAAGGACGGCGCAGGACCAGGTGCGGAAGTGATGAGGTTGACCTTGATAGGTTCATATAGCGCAAGTTGTTTTGCAGCTTCCTCTCGGGCCTTCTTCGTGTTTGGGACTGGAGGCCTTGCTGGTATGGGTTTCCCTTTCGCCTTAGCTCTTTCGACCTTCTTCCTATAACGCTCTTCTTCTGGTGACAAGGGTGGAGGAGATAAGCTTGACACAGAAGCCGAGAATACCGAGCCGTCCTCTGGAGAGATCCAGAGATCAATCTTCTGATGGACATCTTCGCTGAACGTGTCGAGTGTCGTGATAGTGGAGCTGCCATTAGGGAGGAGGATTCGGAGCAGTCGAGAAGAGGTGGGCTCAGGACTCGTGGACTCCGGAGAATCTAATGTTGGAGGTGACCACTCGGACAAAGCATGCTTCAGGGTCTTGGGATCGTAGAAGACTGTCACCAACGGTGAGATCGAAGAGGATCCGATCAACTCGTACGAGAGAGTGACTGATCTGGGTAACTTGGATGCGTCACTGGTGGTGCCGGTGGTACTTGCAGCAAGAGCCGTCAAGCTGTAGAGCAGAAGCAGCAGTAGGCTGCGAAGCCCGGCGACAACCATCTTGAATGTATGATGTCCAGTAATACTGGTCAAAGAAGTATGGAAAGGGAGGGCATTTACGGAGTACAGTAGTTCCAGTTGGAGAACGATATCGACGACCTAAGGACAGCGTTTGATGCACTGGGAAGGTCAACCGAGGTGGTGAGCGTTGGTGAGGTACAAACAATTTCTGTTCGCGCCTTCCTTTACAGCTTTTCTCTGCTCCTGCCAATATAGTCAACATGTAGTCAACATGGCGTCTCTTCAGGATTCTCCTGGAGATTCCTCCTTCGTACTCAATGACAAAGACGTCAAAGACTTTCCATTCTCACTAGATTCAGACGACGACATGGGAAGTACATCAGATCCAGCAAATGACAAAGACAAACTTCATCCTGAAGTTCTCAAGGACCTCGAAACTCACCAAGCCTTCATGCGTCAAGCGATCAATGTCGCGGAAGAAGCTCTCGCGGGAGGAGAAACTCCGGTCGCCTGTGTCCTTGTCTACAGCAAAGAAGTGGTCGCCAGAGGCATGAACGATACCAATCGATCACTCAATGGTACTCGCCATGCTGAGTTCCTTGCCATCTCCGAGTTTCTCTCCAAGTTCCCAGTCAGCAAGATGAAGGAAACCGATCTCTATGTCACCGTCGAACCCTGCATCATGTGTGCTTCTGCCTTGAGGCAATACGGCATTCGCTGTGTCTATTTCGGATGTGGAAATGACCGATTCGGAGGGAATGGAAGTGTTCTTGCGGTGCACTCTGACAAGGGTCTCGAGGAAGGATATCCAAGCTACGGAGGGATCTTCAGAAAGCAGGCCATCATGTTGCTGCGGAGATTCTACATTCAAGAGAACGAAAATGCACCAAATCCACGAGCAAAGGGCAATCGTGAATTGAAGCCGGTGGTCTGAACGACGGTTTGACAATGACCAGTGTCACGATTCTGTCTGCGCAGTCGGGAGCCATCGTTGAAGTCAATGGAACCGCAACATGGACAAACTCCTCCGTCTGCTGCATATTCTCAGCAAACAAGGAGCAAGCGATAGACTCACGGTACTGCATGCCCAAACCTGTCCTGAGGAAGTGATCGAGGCGGGAGACCTGAGGTGGAACCTGTGCCAAACAGTCTAGCATAACCTAATAAAAGAGATTGGTGCACCTGGAAAAGGAATTGAATCAATTCACAATCCTCCAGCCAGTCCACATCTTTGCTATCAACATAAAGTAGATGTAAATATTGGATCTACCTGGTAGGCAGGAGAAGCAGTCGACCGGCGCTTAGTCACCCCCTGGATGCCTACGTGTGACGTGCACGTTCCCTTTGTCGAGTCCAATCACCATAACAACTTTTTTTGACTGCGTCTCCAACTGCCTCGCCTCACCATTTCTTAAATAAAGGCAAAGGCAATTCTGCTCATACTTTCGTCACGCTGCTTGTGAATCACTGCTCTTTGCTACCAAGCTCACTATATACGATCACGATTCATTCGCACCCACAACATCAACATCCTCCATTGTCTCCTCCGTTTGTGTCGCGTCCATCCTCTCCCCGATACATTCCCCGAGTCCTCAGTCGCGTCTTTGACGATATCTCCATCATGTCGACTGCTCGTACCCGCAAGTCCATTGCACCAGCGAAGTCGACAAAAGCTGCCAAAGATGCAAAGGGTCCGAAACCGCAAATGACAGCCGCAGCCAAACAGACAGATGGAGCTACAAAAACATCCCCCAAAAATGCCGCAAAAACATCAGCTGCTTCCAAGAAACGCAAGGCCGAAGATGAGGCCGAGGAGAAGCCTCAAACCAACGGTGTCAAGAGAGTGAGAGCAGATTTGCTCGCATCGCCTGCAGAACCTCCGAAGCGAAAGACGGCTGCACCAAAGACCACAACAGCAAAGAAGACCAAAGCCAAAGCAGAAATCAATCATGCTCCCACCGAGAAGCTCAACGTTTACGTGTTTGGAGAAGGATCGTCAGGCGAACTCGGTCTTGGAAGCGCCAAAGGCCAGGTCGAAGTCAAGAGACCTCGTTATAACCCCAACCTGGATCCGGATACTGTTGGCGTGGTAGCTGTCTCCGTGGGTGGAATGCACACTGCAGCTCTTACCCACGACAGCAAGATTTATACATGGGGCGTCAACGACCAGGGAGCACTGGGACGAGATACTACATGGGACGGTGGCCTTCGAGACATGGACGCCAATGAAGATGCGGATGACAGTGACTCAGACAGTGGCTCGGAAACTGCAATCAACCCGAAAGAGTCCACCCCTGGTGAGGTGGATCTATCAGACTTTCCAGAAGGTATTGTATTCACTCAGCTCGCTTGTACTGACAGTGCCACATTTGCACTTACCAGCGAGGGTGATGTATATGGCTGGGGCACGTTCCGGTCGAACGAAGGCATCTTTGGCTTTGACCCAACCACACTGGTTCAGCTTCGACCAAAGCAGATCAAGGGACTCTCGAAGATTACCCAACTTGCGGCCGGCGCCAATCACGTCCTTGCTCTGCAGAGTAACGGTACGGTGTACGGCTGGGGCTCGGGACAGCAAAACCAATTGGGTCGAAGGATCTTAGAGAGAAGAGCGGCGAACAGTTTGGTTCCGACACACATCGGGCTTCCCAAGGGGATCATTGGGCTTGGTGCTGGAGCATACAATTCGTTTGCAATCCGGGAGAATGGCGATGTCTACTCTTGGGGATTGAACAATTTCGGCCAGACTGGCATTCCCAAGGAGTTTGACGAGAGTGGCGCGAGCAAAGGGTCGGATGTCCACCATCCCATCGTGATTGAGAGCCTACATGGGAAAGGCAAAGTCACATGCATCCAGAGTGGTGCTCATCACACTGTTGCAGTCACTGACAAGGGCGAGCTTCTTGTGTGGGGACGACTTGATGGTAATCAGTTGGGCATCAAGGTGTCAGACCTTCCTCAAGATGAAGTCGTTCGCGACTCAGCTGGACATCCTCGCATCTTGACCGTTCCAACTCAGATTCCTGACATCCACGCCGTTTACGCTGCGGCCGGTTCAGACCACTGCATTGCCATTGACAAAAATGGTAAAGCATACTCCTGGGGATTCAGCACAACCTTCCAAACTGGCCTGGGAACCGACGACGACGTGGAGGTTGCTACATTGATCGACAACACCGCCGTGCGAGACAAGAAATTGGTTTGGGCTGGAGCGGGGGGTCAATTCAGCGTCATTGCTGGCTTGCCTGCTCCAGTGACGAATGGTGTTAATGGACACGCTTGAGGCGTCGTGGAATCGACTGGCTTTTGTTTGATTCAAAGAGGCATGGCAGAGCGAAGCATTACTTGATTGGAAATAAAAGATTGACACAGCATTCAGAGAAAAGTCTGCGGTTTATTGCTTTTTACAGAGGGAGCTTTCTGATTGTTTTGCCTCACCACAGCACTATGTATCGTACAACAACATTGCTTGAGCAGGGCATGATGAGATTAGGGAGGGTATCTTTTCAGGGGAGGGTTACTGCCTTGTATCAGGAAGGCAACTTATAGTGCGCGAGCAGGCTGGGAAGGCTGGTTTGCCGCCATTCTTGTTATTACTTGGGAATGGGAAAAGCGCCTAGAATGAGATCCGTACATAGTTTATTTACAAGGTACTTGACCTGCATAGAAGATGCATTTCCTGAGTATCGTGAATAGAATCAATCAATACCTCGGCTTTTGAACCGTCCATGGCCGACGGTTTCTCCACGGTCACTTTCCGTCATCGGCGCGAGTACACGCGCTACGTACTCCGTACATCCCCTCAGGCTCAACCTCCCCTCACCACCACCTGTTTTACAGTACTACTATCAAGGCCTATGCCCCTCAGTGCATCTTCCGACAAGCCGACAGGCCGACGTCTACAAACACTGAACCGACATAAGAAAGAACTATCGCCGATGAATGGACTACCAAGGTAAGCCGTCGCTTACATAGCCACAGAGTATCACCTCTTTCCGTTGCTAGCTACGAGGTTTCCCCCTGCAAAGTGAAAGTTATAACTGCTTCGCTACGCTCAGCAAGCCAGAATGTCCGGACCACCCGTCGCCTTCTCCTCCCTGCCTCTCTCCAAAGACCATGAAGCAGCGCGCCTCAACGCCTGGGGCGCCTACGGCCCCTCCGACGAACTAGGCTTCCTCAACCGCCAAACCCCCGAGATCGTCGCCGCCGCCGCCAGTGAAATCAAGACCGGCGTACGCATCCCGCTCGACGCAGCGCTGGACTTCCAGGGCGGCAAACCACTCTTCGGCCGTCAAGTCTTCGCAAAGGACGTATACCAGAAGAAGCCGCGCATAGTGCACGACGACACATGGGCCTTCAACACGCAGAGTTCAACACAGTGGGACGGCCTGCGCCATTTTGGGTACCAGAAAGCAGGACGTTTCTACAACGGGACGACCGTCGAAGATATCGCTGGCACGAGCGAGAAAGGCAAGACCAACCCCAATATCCTGGGCATTCATAAATCCGTGGAGAATGGGGGTGTCATGGGCCGTGGCATCCTCGTCGACTTCAGGCGGTGGATCGACGAAGGGCCCGGCAAAGATATCGTCGCGGGATCGTTCAAGAGCTTCGAAACATCCACGATAAAATTCGAATGGATTCTTGAAGTCTTGAAATGGCAAGGGACGACTCCCAAATTCGGCGACATCCTCATTGTCAGATCTGGGTTCTTCAAGTCCTACTACGATATGCTGGAGAATAATGTGTCGGAGCTGGATCGTCTGACGAACATGAGCCCGCCTGGTCTAGGCGGCGTCGAGCAGTCTGATGAGGTGCTGAAATGGATCTGGGATAACTTCTCCGCGGTGGCGGCTGATCATCCTAGCTTTGAACGGTGGCCGAGTCCGCATGATTGGAGTATGCATGAGGTACTGCTCGCGGGCTGGGGTTGCAACATTGGTGAATTGCTCGACCTCGAAAAGTTGAGTGTCGAGTGTGCGAGGCAGAAACGCTGGAGTTTCTTCGTCGCGAGTATTCCCTGTTATGTCCCTGGTGGAGTCGCCAGTCCTGTGAATGGAGTGGCTATCTTCTAGATCGGTAAATGAGATTGGCAAGACATCTGGATCCTAATGAGAAGGGCTGTGTTGGGTGGAAATCTGGCGAGAGTGCGTACGAGTGAATGAGTAGTTGAACAGTTTGTATTCATAATTCATTATCTGCTATCTCCCAGTACATACTTCGACGGGGATTGCAATCCCAGTCCACGTTGAGTAGATCTCATATGCAGCGAGGGTCTCGACTTCGTGATGCCAGTGGCGATGCAGAGGACATTTTCCTTCCGATCATATTCGTCGGTCGCCCTCTCACCTGGCATACGGTATGACGCTGCGCTATACAATTTGGTATACATGCTCCTCGTAGTCCCATTCAAACATTTGACATAAATCTCCCCGGCAACTTATGCCGAATAGTCGTATGATACATGGTGTGAATCGAACGCGGCTCAAATGATTTTCGCTTCCGAGTGTCTTGCATTTTGCTGTGGACACTGGTAAGTCATCGATTAAGTCGTCGTCCAACTTCGAGCGTCGAGCTCCAAACGCCGGTTCACCGAGGACGCCAATGTGGTCACTTTCAAATGAGCATTGTCATGCTTCAACATGAGTTGCGTCTTTCCACCCAATCCATAAGCATCCGGTGTTTGTGATCCTCGTAGTTATGTGCGCTGGCAACTGGTTTCTGTCCCTTGTGAAAATGAGGATGTTGAGGGTGTTCAAAGGTCATTCCGAAAGCTTCGTCTGATTGTCCTTCATATAGATCCGCCGCTGGTGTCGAGGGACGACCAAGAGACCCTGGTGAAGCTGGGGGGGCTAGGTGTGAGCTACCAGATGATTCCGTAGCTACTGGCGCTCTCTGTCCTTCTGGACTCGCAAGGCGGTTGTGTATCTTCTGAGTCCATTCGCTAAAGTGGTTTCTTTTGCGTGTAGGTGACTCTGTCCGAGAATTGACTGGTACTAGAGTCTCTGGGCTCTCATCTTCTGAGTCGGTTTGTGTAGCATGAGAGACCATCGTATAATAGGACGTTGCCGGGCATGAATTTGCCCCTCCTAGGAAGGGAAACTCGTGAGCCTCTTGAGCAGGGGCTGTATGTAAGCCTGGTGTGCTTACAAGAATTGGTATGGCAACCATATTGATTGTTGTTTGTAAACTGGAGTAGTAATGGTGTTGTTGGATTGATTGTGCAATATGCTTCACTGTGATGAGAAGATGGGGAAGGTATGGAAGAGGGATTATTTATACATCACTCTTCAACAGTGTGTGGCTGCGGTTGAGTCCTTTCCATTCGGCACCGTGGACGGTCACGGGATGGAACAGTCACGAAAGCAGGATGTTTCGGAACATCATTGGCAATAACATCGAGCACGCAGTGGGCCGTCTTAGGCGGTCCCGCTGTAAGTGAGTAGTCCATTGGCCTCGAAAGGAAACACAACAACATATGCATTCGTTGTGCCAATGGAAACCCCTCGTTTCGGCGAAAGCAAGACTGAGACACGCCGTTTCCGCCGAAAGCAGGCGGATGGTGATCGTCGTCTAGGACTGGAGTCCGAGGTTTGCTGTGGGCCTTCGAGAGTATTTTGGCAGCAATAGGCTACTCTTGAGAGCATCAGATGATGGCGACAAGGGTTGACGTGCGCTCCGGGGTTCCGGCTTGTGCCAAACAGGAGTTATGATGTGTAACACAAATTCAAGCTTCAAGGCAAACCTGGGGTAAACATTGACAATTCGGGGAGGGATCCCTGTAGGAAAATCAGTCAAGGGAGGGAGAGTGGCTGGAAGGGTACGACAACAACGAGGAATGGAAGATTGATAGAGTCTGGATGGAGTGATGAGCGGAATATGAAAGACGTCGGGTGATATGGTACGAACCGATACCGTTATTACAGCAAAAGCCCCTCGACTTCTCCACTATTCTGTTATGGTGTGTTTCGCATCACCAGACCGCAACGTGGCATTCAACCTCTTGGAATCTACATCGTCTGTTCCCATCATACCACTTACCATCGTATCCTGACATTTGGCAATCATTGCGGGTGAGCTGAGCATTATGCCTCGTTCTACGATAACGGAAACGAGAGGATGTTTGACAGGTAATGGTCGGCGAAGTATTATCGATGATCTTGAATATAAAAGGTTTGTCGGATTCTGGTAGGCTTAGCTAGCTATTGAATTGTTCATCTGCAAGACATCACGAGCAAATACATCTCACGATCTAAACGTACTTCCAGCCATTATAACACATTGACTTGTAACGGACATCACCCCGATCAAGCCATATCGACAATGATCTCCGAAACAGCACCAGCTCAAACCCACCACCAGGCCCAAACCACAGCCTCGGATATCAAAGACAGAGCTTTTGTTTCACTTTACAACGACACCGACATAAGCGAATACCTCTACAAGCAACCTGCATTCCAAAATGGCTTTCTGCCCCTAGAACCGGAACCAGAACAGACCAAACAGTCCCATGCTGCGACCACACCCCAACAAACCACAACCAAGACGACTGCGGCAGCCACACCCCTCAAGTCCGCCATGAAAACTTCTCCTCAATCAACGCCCGCAAAGGTCGTCGAGAGAAGACCTAGCTTCATTGAAGTCTCAGTACCTCATTCCCACCAACACCAACACGAACACAAGCACCAGCATCAAGAAAGACGGCACTCATCCGAGACACACCCGCCTATGAATTGGTGGCCCGAGACTGAGAATGTCGCCCAGCATACGTGGGTTGAGCGGAACCAGGTGTCGTCCGACGAGAAAGAGGATGTCATTGAGGAGACGTTCTATGCTTCCTATTGATTGAAACACTACCATGATTTGATGACTTGACGCTTCTATGACACTGGAGAGGTTTCTTGAGAGGGCACGGCAGGACGATAATCAGTCACCTGCTTCATTTTGGGAGGTGCTTGGGTACAGGACATGATTCGTGGCACAGACAATGGTGTCTACGTATATGTATATCTGGATATAAGGAGTTCTCCAGTCTACACTACTTGTTAAATACTATGGTTTTGAGCCAACATTTCGAAAAGCGGTCCTCTAGATTGTAGCCAATGCAGACTTGGATGATTCGTGTTCATGTAGTAAACAATCGTACAGTGTTCGCATCGTATATTTCTCCTCCTACACAGTTCTCTGACATCAGCACGCGCAAGGTAGCCGTATCAGCCATCACACATGCTTGCACTGATCCTTTCCTCATATCATTGGGTATCTCTGGACTCCAGGACTTATTTGCAACAGCATCAAGTACCGTAACTCCATACACTTTGTCCTCGTTCATTCAACACCAAAGTCCATCCCATCCCATCCCATGCCCGCTCCGCCACATCAGCCCCAGCTCACTCAGAGCCAGGCTCCCTTGCTCACAGGGTTGATAGCCGGCTCATCAGCTTCATCATGTACAGGAACCTGCACATGACTGTCCTCCGGCTTCCCATGCACCATTTTTGGCACGATAACCTTCAACAGCCCAGCATCGAGTTTGGCGTGAGTATTGTCGCGGTCCACATCGACAGGGAAATTGAAGGCGCGCATCAGATCGCCTATTGGGCGTTCATGGACTGTGAGATGGGCCTTCGCTGGAGCTGGCGCTGCTGTGCCGTTGGTCTGTACAGGGGGTGTTTGTGCTTCTGGCCCTGGAGTCGTCTGGGTTGGAGCTGGAGCTGGGGCTGGGGCTGGAGTAGTCGTTTGAGCAGTCGGTGACTCCGTTGCCTCTACAGTCTCAGCTGGTCCCTCCAACAGATCCGACTCCGGAATGCCAGGTCTTTGAGTCTTACTGGTGACGAGCAAAGTCCGAGTCGACGTCCAGCGCAGATGCAGCTCGTTCTTGTCCTTGACGCCGGGCAGTTCAATCTCGAGATAGAAGTTCTTCGGCGTTTCTCTGATATCTGCCTTCGGCATATGGACTTCGGCATCATGGTCGTGAAAGACTTTCGTTGCCTTGTTGACCAGGTATGGGATCGGGATGTGGTGCAGGTGGTGGCCCTTTTCTGGGTATGTATGCGCCACTTGTGTGGTTGGATAGGGGTCGAGTTCTGGGTATCCGTAAAAGTATGCCATATTCATATGTGTGGCAGAAGAGTTTGTTGTAGATGTTTCTTGCGGTTTGATTGTTCGTTGTGTTTTACTTTGGCAGGATCTCATGGATAGAAGGGAAGCGGAAGTAGATCTATTTGTTTACCACCACTTTCGGTCACGGTCAACAAGTCGCGCTCCCCTCGTGACAGCATCTTCCAGCACCGACAAGAAAGTTCATTCAAGGTCACCGGGTAGATAGGCATGTTGCAACATCATACGATGCGTCCATTATGGAGTTGTGCATGACGATCGGTGGGCACCGACCGACCCTTTTGATGGATTGCTGCAAGTGTGGAGTGACGTTAAGACCATTGATCGTAAGATTCCGAACGTCTAGCCAGACAGGGTTAACTTGTGGATCCAGGGGTCCTGTTCTAGACGGTCTTACCGGGTAATGCCAGGACGCGCAAGGCTCGAACCCCTAAGTCTTAGCCGAACCAGCCGAAATCCCTCGTATGAGCCACGCCCAATCAGACATTGTCACGATCCTGCGAGACTAACCTGGTCATACCACCAACCTCGACTGTTTCACTCGGTTACGGCAACAAGTGTTGTAGTTCGAGCTGCTGCTCTACCATATAAATCCCAATGGAACCATGTACCATTTGGTTTCTACTCACTCCAAGCCAACCAGCAAGAAACACAATAACAAGTCAACGAAGAGTTCAGAAAACTCATTCCCACCAAAAACACTCCATCACATCAATCTTTCGAGATGTTGAGGACCACAATCCTAAGACCCTGTATGAGCAGAATCACCACTCCAGCATTCTGCCAGTCATTCGTCACCTCTCATCCAATCAGAGCCGAAGGCGATACAGGAGCTATGAGATCAGGTGGTGTTGCCGCAGGGTAAGTGAGCTCCAGCGAATTGATCCATGGGAGCATGCTAATTGAACTGCTAGCGACTCATTTATCCGCCGCGAACAAGCAATGGAGAATGTATGGGTCAGGCAGCACGAAGTAGAGAAGTAAGTCAGCAGCTGAACCCAGTTTAAGTGGCACCGGACACTAACCTCTATCGCAGCATTCAAAAGATGAGGGAAAGGCTAGAAGCCCAAAGAAAACAACTAGATCAATTCGAAAGTCATCTCGAAGAGATGGAGAAGGCTGCCAAAGTACGGCAAGAGACCGCTCCATCCCAATGACTTTTCGAATCCAAGTTGTAACTAGATTATTGAGCAGGGCGTTCAGGGAATGGTTTTGGACGATATCATGGAGTCCAACGCAAGAAGAATCAGCATTTGGTGACATTCTCCATCTCGGGGGAACTTTAGAAACACACGCCAGGAGCGTGAAGATATCGGAATATGATATCGCTGCATGGTCAAAAGTCCGGCCTCAGCAGTCTAATGAGATGATGCTTCATGACCTTCCTACTGCTCATTTCGGTGATTTTTGTGGCCGTGGTAGCTCCAACATTCAACAGCGGCAAGAGACCCAGGAACCAAGTCAACCTACATGTGCACTAATAGAACCAATTGACTTGGATCACGTTGGATGTTTGCAGTCTCATAATAACAACGAAAAGAAATCTGTATCCTCGTAGCTGTCGTGTACAGAACGTCAAGGTCGTTGCATGAGCGAATCGTCCGTACCTTGACGGACCCTGAAAATGGCGCATGGCAAAGAAAATCCGGGGGAACCACAAGGTGCCGCAAGACCCGTCGTAGCCGAGCTGTCAGGTAAGGATCACACCACACCATGATGGGCACTATGGGCCACTATTGCTGATCCCCACCAGGCATCCCTAAGTTAGGCCAATGCAGGCTCCTTAGGCCCAAGTTGTTACGCTGTCTAGGTAAATGTCGTATTTCGCTCGTTTCATCGCGGGGCCACATCGTCAAGTCCGTGGTCATACACGTGTCTGGTGCCTCACCTCTGTTCGCCATACCACAGCTGGTCAATTGACCCACCCATGAGCCATTTGTGCACTCCCTCCGTCCATTGGGTTTGGAACTGCACATCACGACCTTGAACAATACCGCCTGTCAACGTTTGCCGTTAATCCGGTTCAGGCCAAGTCACACCACAAGCAAGAGTTTGACCCGACGCATGCATTATGGCTGACATACCCCGGAGGTTGATGCTGTTTGCAAGGGCGAAAAGACTCCACTTCAGCAGATCTCATAAAAGCACAGTTGTTCTCTGCTTGATTTCCAAACCATGAATTAGCGAACAAAACATCAAAGAAGAAGAAAATAAGAAACCAGGTTTCATCAGTAACGACGAAATGACCAGCAACGGCACCAGCAATGAAAACCTCTATCACGTCCTCTTCTCAACCTCTCACATTTCGAAGGATGTCAACGCAGAGGTAGAAAAGGTCCGAATTTGTGGCACATACACCAATCTCGGGGCCGCCAAAGCAGAGGCGCACAAGATACTTTTCGAGGCCGGATATGAGAGGGAATGGTTTACCGAATACGACACTCAACCAGAAGAGTTCGAAAAGCATAGCATCAAGAGGAGAACAGGTCTCTGCGTATACGCGATTGCTCCAGACAAGACAATCTTCCGGGTGAGCGTCGCGACCACACCGAATACTCTGAAATTCTGGGCTGAGGACCACAAAATCCACTGCGACCTCTACCACGTCGTCCAGACGAATGTGTTGTACAGCGAAGATGATACGGGAGAAGCCAGAGAGACGAATGTCGAAGGGTCTTTCATGACGTACGAAGAAGCCAGAAAGTTCGCAAGCGAGGTTCTTCTTGCGCCCGAAGATGGTGTTACGAAAGAGTCATTCGAACAGTATGACGAAGCTGGCCCGAACGAGAAAGACTGTGGATTTGGTGATAATGTGGTAGTGCACGCAGTTGGAAGCAATGGTGAGAACATCTTGGTCAGTGTACTAAAAGGACAAGAGATGGAATCGGCGAGGCTGGTTGAGGCAGCCATGAGGATTCGTTCATTCAATTAGGCAGGGCACTAGGTCGTCCGTGGTAAGGTCGGCAGCATAGAGTTTTCTCCCAGTTGATGAGGTACAACATACTCAAGGCTGCTTTCAAGGTACCGTGTAAGTTGGGGGACAGAATACAGTATTGGAATAATGCCACCGACCGTCAAAACATCGCATCTACCATGATTGCGCTCCAAACTTGATACAAGTGAGACTACTGTATCGTCAAGAATGAAAGTTCGACTTTGGACCGGGAAACGACGGAACGTGATCCCAAGCCCCGGCATATTCCGGCAGGCAGGCGCGCCAAACGCAGCTAGGCGACTTCCTCTTCCTCTTCCTCTTCCTCTGACTGTCCTTCGCTGCAACCATCACACCACCACATTATGACCACTTTACGCTCATATGCACAACGCTGAATCGGTCACAGTTCGGCACCATGGCCTCGCTTCAAGTGCCTGCCCAGCGTTGTGGCAATAACGCGTGTCACATGGACCATCTCTCTCAAGCTCTTCTCTCCGCAGCTGTAGACATGATGATCATACCAGATGACGGTCTGCATTGTCAATTGGTTGGTGAGGGTCTTGCCGTTCCTGCTGATCATACAGGCCATGGACCACACCGTTGACTCCGGGAGCAAAATTCACGAGCTTGACTGGTGTCCTGATTCTTATATCAAATCTTCAATGGCGCGTCGTGCAAGCAGGATATGCAAATGAGGCAAATGCAGAACCCAAATCCAAACTTTTCGCAATCATGTACATACCACAGCAACAAACACTCTCGACACCGGCCATATCAGCCTCAGCGGCAGTGAAGGTCCCTACACACACCACCTTTGTCCTCAGGGCGGCGATTCCATCTGCAAAAGCAGAGAAAAACAGCACCACCGAATCTCATACAACCTCGTTCAACCACGACGCAATAGCTTTTGTCGCAGTGGTAGTCACAGTACTATTCTGTCTCGTTACTTTACTAATGTGGGTTTCCTGTCGCAAAAAGGCAGACACTCGGAACTGACATCTGAACGCAGTTGGACCTTTTGCAGAAAGAGCGTCCACAGGGATGATGACTCCGTCACCAGCTCTATAACCTCGGAGTCAGCCTGGCGCGTCGATTTCGACCCGGACTCTCCCGATAGATCCGTGGTCGCGAAACACCACAAACGCCTCAAAAAGCTCGAACAAGTAGCACCGGCACAGTCTCTCAGTCACTGGCGTGCCGAGAAGCAGGAAACGCACGTTCAGACCTTCGCGACCGCTTCCACGAGACTGATCTGCGCCATCTGCATAGACCTCATCCAGGACTCTGACCGGATCCGTGAACTGCACTGCGGGCACGTCTATCACTCCCAATGCTTGAATCTGTGGGTCGAAAGGGGTCATCATGAATGCCCGTTGTGCAAATACGATATCCTGGACCTCCAGAAGCAGGCAATGAAAGCTCACGGCTTGCAGGATGCGGGACGGGTAGAGGAACAGTATCACGGCTCACCCAATCCGACCGGGGATGCCGCTCCTGCCGTGACGACTGACGAACAGCCGGTTCAGATACAGGACAGTCCTGCTCAGTCGCAGCCGGCTTCGGACGAGGCACAGAACGAAGCATCGATCAGCTCTGCTGGCGCCAATGCCGAAGAAGCACATTGAGGGGCTCTCGCGCGAGAAAAACGTGTCTCTTGTGCCTCTACGCATTTGAACGATCTTTGATATCCACACAACCGCTGCCAACAGCACGCCAACAACTACAAAGGCGCTCAAAAGTCTTCGACAACCTCGTCAAAGGACAACGCCACAGAAACGCCAGTGAGACTTGCCAGATACCTAAATTTTGTCATTTAGACCTGCCTCGCCTCAGAGCATACCACTATCGGCTCGATCATATAAGTCTCACTATTGAACGGCTATCCACAAGTTGTCGGACCTTACCGTTACTCCCTCAAATGTCAACGGTCTATCATCATTATGAAATCATAACTTTTGAGTCAATTCACGACTCGTCGGTAACCTCGTCGACCATCTTCCTAAACACTCTCTGCCTCTCGCACTGCTCCAAAAAGACCTTGTACTTGACCTCGAGCAGCGCTTTTACGCGTTTATCATCGGCCGGCCTGACCACCTTGCCAGGCTTACTCATGCGGTCCATGATGCTCCACAAATCCTCCGTCCGACCATTAGGTCCTGCGCTCGCCGCCTTGGCTCCCAGCATGGCTGCGCCATGACACACAGCGGCATGCACGTACCGAGGGATCACAACGGGCATGTCGCAGGCCGTCGCGATAAGCGACATGAGAATGTCGTTCTGGCACTGTGATCCAGACATGAAGATGGATGAGATCTTATGGCCGGCCTTGTTCATGACGGAAATGATCTGATGCGTCTGCAGGGCTATAAACTCCATGGTGCCGTAGTAATACAGCGCCAGACCGTCAAGGGACTTGTCGCTGCTTAGCCCAACGACCGATCCGGACATGTCGGGGTCGGCGATGGGACTGCGGTTGCCGAACAAGTCGCCGTAAAAGAAGAAATGGCGTCCCAAGTAACTCACGTGAGGCAGACGTTTTTCCTCCTGCATGTCGAGCAAGTGCTGGTTCAAAAAGTCGTAGATGTTGCTCGAACTGCCCTGTGCGATAGACGAGGCCTGGTTGTACGCCGGGTGCGTTTCGAGGACGTGCTTGAGCAGTTCACCAGTCGCGGATTGTCCGCCCTCGGCCATCCAGTAGTCAGGAATGATACTGTCCCTGTATGGTCCCCAAACACCTTCAACGAAAACCGGGTCTTTGGACATGACGAGGTGGCACGTCGACGTACCGGCAACGGCGGCAAGTCTGGTGAAAGCCTGAGATTGGTCATTTGCCGCTGCGGAGGCGTCGAGTTCGTCTTTGGCGAGGTTTACTTTGGCGCCCACCGTGCCGATCCAGCCTGCGTAGGCATCGATGACACCGCTGCCAACGGCAATGCCCGCTGGCAGTCCGAGGTCCGCGGCCGCGCGCTCGCATAGGTATCCTGCCAATTCGCCGGCGGACAGGTATTCGCCGTTCTGGACGAAATCGTTAGTCTTATGCTCAAAAATCCAAAGATAAAAGGCTCACCACCCCGTTGACTCCGCCCATGCGTTTGAAGTTGTCTTCCGCGAGATCCTCGAGACCAATTTCCGTCAGGAAATCTTCTTGCCAACCCTTGACGCTGCCGTCGACACCGACGGGGACGTACCCCTGCTTGCACACGACGGAGCAGAAACTCCTCTTCTCATTGCCTGTGGCCATATGTTCGAGCGCATCTGTAAGATCGTAGAACTTGCACCGGTCGAACATTTCCTTGGGCATGTTGTTCTTGAGCCACAACACCTTTGGGATTTCCATCTCAATGCTCATGGTACCACCGACATAACGTAACAGATTATGCTTGGTCGCGTTGATTTTCTTCGTCTCTTCCACGGGCCGGTGATCCAGCCACAAAACAACATTGTGATCGTTGACCGATTGATCGAACGTCGGCCCAGTCACGGATACGGGCTCGTCGGTATCGTGTGTGAAGACGGCAAGCGAGCATGTAGCGTCGAACCCGATGCCCCGAATCGAGTGAGGATCGATGTTGTTCTGCGCGACGGCGCGGTGGACCGACGTGCAGATGCACCGCCATATATCACTTGTGGATTGTTCCTAGCACACATGGAGGATTAGCAACCAAGTCAATGTCGCCAATGTCTCGATGGGATGTTGGTTCATGTTGTGGTGTCAACTCACATAGTATCCTGTCTGAGGCTGCCAGAGGCCAATGTTCTCAGCAGAAAGACCGACGATATTGCCTGCCTCATCAATGATGCAAGCTCGTGCACTGCCAGTCCCGACGTCAATGCCAATGTAGTGGTTCATCTGCACGTGCACTTCATTGCGGTCGTCGACCGAGTTCTGGCGCATGGGCGTGCGGATGCCGCTGTTGGGGCCGGGGCGGAAAGGAAGGGATGCCATAGTTAGTATACGAAGACCAGACGAGTTATGGCACAGTACAGTAGGAGGAAACAAGCAACCATAGCAAGACAGTCGAAGTAATGGAAACAACAGAAACGAAAAAAATATATCGGAACCCCGCGGTTTGCCATTGATGAGGGACAAGATACCCGATTGAGCAAGCGGGCAGCACCGGCATCAAACGATGTCATGTTGCGCCTGTAGATCATTTGAAAATGTTGAAAGGGCTCCGTAGGCCCATAAAACAGGCAGGGTCACGCCTGAAAGACCAATGAGGCCTGGAAGAACCCTACCTCAGGGTAAAAGAGTGAGGACCATAGTGGTGGAGACCTTATGAAACTGGACCTGTTGTTGGAGAGCGTAACGCCCTGTGCTTGGTGGCCCGAACAGCTTTAGGTACCTAGGTAGGCGGGAACCTGCATCGAGGGGCAAGAGGCGACAATAATGGGGATTCCATAATCCATTTGTCCCTGAGAGCCTGGGATAGAGGGGTAAAACCCAGACACTTTAGGCGGCGAACTGCCACCCATATCTTCATCCTAAGTATAGCACCGAGAGCAACATTTATCATAGCAAAATCGATACAAATCGAAGGAGTCGACGTTCAAGCTATCTTCTCTCCTGCAGCTCCGACCACACTCCTCATCTCTGTACTGCAACTCGTTCATACACACAAATACACGACGGTGATTTTCCCCCAAACAAGCCTCATCTCCGGCGGACATTGTCAGTCCGTCATCACCACTCGAATACTAATATTTACACATAATAAGAGCTCAGGACTGCCTGAAGCTCGCCAAACACCATCTGAGAGGCGTTGGGAAACATGATGAGAAAGATCCGACCTAGAACGCCAACAGCATATCCTTCCCATTGTGTCCCGAATTTTTGGCGCCGTGGACCATTGTCCCACAAATGAAAATCCTGCCAGTATAGCATCGTCATCACTGCGTGTCCAAGCCTTGCGAAAGGTCCAAAGGTATAATCTAATGCGTTCGTGAGTGTGAAAGAAACAGTCAATAACAACGCCAACTCGTTCGAATGCCATAAAACCGCCACCTTGATCATTCTTTGTCCTGCATGTGGGACAGCTGCGAAACAACCTGGGAAACCTGTGCCACCATGTCATGAGGTTCGTTTAATGACGCCAAGGTGTCCTCCTTGGCCGCAGGTAGATGGTCTTGAGGAGGGATTGGTTCCGGCGGCACCGCAGCGGGCGGGCTGTACTCATGATCGTCGGCCTCATCCTTCATGCTGACATCCTCAATGGCATCTTGAGAAACGCCTCCCTCAGTCGCTGTCTTCTGAGCGATCGTCTCAACCGGCAGACCACTGGGTGGCTCAGCTGGCTGAGGTGAAGAATGAACTTGATCAGCTTCCTTGGAGGGTGCACCCTCGGCAGTGCCAATGTCAGCTTGCGTCTGAGTCTTTTCCATGGAAGGGGTCGATGCAAGGCGCCGGCTCTTGTAATCAGCGAGACTTAGTTTCTTCCTTGCAGGACTTGGCGTCACTATTGCAGGCGACGCTAGCGGGAACGAACTGGATGCTATCAGAGACAATGGTGACTCGGCTGTAGCTGTGGAAGGACCAGGAGTCATAGCCGATGCCGCAGACGTTGGATTGAATGTCGGCACTGGTGGCAGTGTAGACAGATGGAGTCGAGGCACACCCGGGGATTTGAAGGACGGCAATGTGTGAGCCGCTTGCGATGGCAAAGGATACGTGGTCGAGCCCACGTTCACGGGACTGTTGCTGCTCTTCACCTCTTCCCGAGGTCGGTCAAGGTCCTCGCCATTTACATCTTTCATCACAACATCCTCTGCTACTGACGCAGATCTACTGGTTTGCTCGGCGGCCGCTCCCAATGATGCCGACGGCGGACACGGTTGACCATGTTTCGCGCGGTCTTCCAGAAGCTTTCGAAGCAGGCGCTGGGTTGGTGTACAGAATTTTCTTCTTTTGAGTGGCGTTGTAGGCATGTCCGATTCTTCGGGATCGGTTTGAACTGAAACACTTGTATACATGGGCCGTGCAGTCTTCTGTTCGGGTCTGCCGACAGTATCGGTCGATTTGGAACGACTAAGAGGACCCCTGGGCGGAGGCGGCGACCCCATAGAGTGATCGTACGATTTGAAGGGTTGTCCACTCGGAGTCGGCGGTTGTGAAGTCGAAGGGTGTCCAAGCTGCCTCGAAGCATTGACATTTGGCGTGTTCAACGTTGAGCCACCACTGGTCCTCTTTTTCTTCCGTTGTTGTCCTTGTCCAGAGTCCTTTCTTTCTTGTTCCTTTTGTGCGAACGCCCTTTCGGCCATCTGTATCTTGCGCAATTCGCGAGCTGTAAGCCCACTTCCCAGGACTGGATCTGCGTCGAGGGCAGCTATATTCACAGGGGTGATATCGCGGCTTTGGGCTCCACTGCGGGTTGACTCTGAAGTCGACCGCCGATCGAATTGATCTTCATCGTCAAGCAGTTTTGGCTCACTTCCTGCACGACTGTTGGTAGCATGCCCGGTACCCAACGGCGACAGTGTTTGTTTGTTCTTGCTCTTCTTCCTCCTGACTGCCTTCTCTTTTGACACGCTTTCTGTCATTTTCGCCGGCAGTCTTCGGTCGAAGTTCGCCAGCAAACAAGGCGTGCTGGAGTCGCATGCGCAGTCTCCAAAGTTCGCCAAAACTCGACTCACCCAGTCCAGGCGCCGGCTCTGGGCTTGTTCGGAGTCATCACGGACAGCATCGACGGAGAACATTCCTTGATCCAAGAACCAAGTTGTGGTCAGCTCGGTGCCTGCCGGAATATCTTTGCTTGCGACGAAGCAGTGGTGCGTCTCATCGTCATCGGACACGAAAGTCTTCAGCGTGACATTGGGTCGACATGACCTGCGTATATACCGAAACTGCGTGCCAGTTTTTCTGCTGTCAATGTAGATGTCCATGTGTGGGTGGAAGAAAACGAAAGGATCCGGGTGTCGTAGTTCTTGCCATCGATTCGATGACGACTTTTGTTGACAGTATTCTTCCAACATGCCGACTTGTCCACGAACTTCACCCAGAATCTCATCTTTCTTCACAGATGCTTCTACTCGCAAGAAGCGCCATGCGGGAAACCGGCCATCAAACTCGACATCCGTCTTAGACGTGGTTTCCACAGACACCTCAGGCCAGGCACTTCGATCCAGCGGTCTGTTCAGACGTACAAAGGGTGACTTGGCAGTGGGCTGCTGGCCCGGAGTGTTCACCACCAGAGTTGGATCTGTCCGCCACGTGGATAACTTGTTCGCAGCTTGAATGGTCTGCTCATTGTCTCTGGCGATGGTGTTTCCTTCGTCTCTTTCGTACAGTTCCAGAAACTCGGGGGTATAAGTAGGTATCGCGGGAAATCGGAAGAGGTCCTGAGGTGATTTCGATGGACTCGGGTATGATTGAAGAGTGGAGATAGCTCGCTTTCTGGAGTCGCCATTCATCGACACGACCGAACCTGAGGTTCGATGATTGGTCTTTGGCTTTTTCGCAGGGGGGCCATCTTTTGTGCTGATGGTCGAGTCATGGGGCTCAAGAGAGTGCCAGCCGTTCACCAGCTCGGCAGTCACGATACTCTCCTTGTGTTTCTTTTTGTGACTTTTAGTAGCAGGCCGTTTGACCTTCCGGTCACCGCCGTCGAGAGCCTCTCGACGTCTCCTCTGTCGCTCTGTGGCCTTCTTCGCGTCAAGATCTCGGGGAAAGCAGTCTGCACAGAAATGCTCTTCTGGCACTTTTTTGCCATGGTAGTAGCATTCAATGTGCTGCCACGTATCGCACTTGGGGCAGTAGACTGTGTTTCCATCATCATCTGCGTAGATACATATGCATTTGATGGTGTATTCCTCCTCGTCTGGTATATTGTTATCAGAAGGAGACCCGTTGAGCAGAGGAGAGGCTAGAGAGGGAGCCGCGGTGACCGCATAATGATGTGGTATAGGATGCGTGGTGAGGAGGGAGGACTCTGTCATAATCTGACAGAGTACCTCCTCATCGACGGTGTTTGCGTCTTCTTTCTGGGTGTTCTGGTCATGAAATCGTGAGTCGCATATGGCGCATGGCTAGGACAGGACCACACCACCAAGGCCGAGAAGGCGTTGATCGACGCGGATTGTTGATCGCTTCAGATGTACTCGTCCCAGATGCTTGATAATATTTTTCTGCGTGTTTTTGGGGTGTTTTCCTGGTGTAGCTTATCTGTGAAATGGCGAGATGGGTGGTTCGGGAGAGACGGCGCGCAGGCGCAGATGGGAAGGGATGTCGCAAAGGCTCGATAAGCGTCTCCAATCCTTGATGAAGGCGTCTGAGAGGATTTCGAGTCGTCTTGAGACGTTTTCAACAGTGGAAAAGGTGAGAATCTCGGGGTGAAGATAATGGTGACAGAGTGTCGAAGATTGGATGGTGAAAGAAACGGGTGGGCGTCTCGAAGGCTGATGACAGGACAAAGATGCGGCGAACCGAGGACCAAGGTCTGAAGCAACTTTGTGATCGCAAAGAGAAAACGAATTATACGACGTGTAGAAGGATAGTGACTTGATTGTTGAAGAGAGGATTGGAAGGCGAAGAGAAGAATGGAGGGACACACAAGAAACGAGGTAGAGGAGTGAGTGTCTCTCACACACAGAACCTTACTAGGCACTGCGCAGGCTGAAAAGCAGCTCTGGGCGGCGTGCCGTGAACACTGAACCAGGGCTGAAAGCCAAAGGGGGAAGGCCGTCCGTCCTTGAAGATGGGCGTAATTTTGCGTCTCTCTTGCCCATGTTGCAGCGAGTCAAAGAGGACAAAAGCAGAGGGCGATTGCTTAGGGTCCCCAGGCTTCTCGACTAAGCCCGGAAGAGTCAAGTAGGCCAAAGTTTAGGGGACTGGAACCCCATTATTGATTCAAAGCAGCCACTCGTCGGTCTTGACAGCCGCGCTAGTCTGCGGCCCAGCAAGTCGCTTTGTGCTTTCTGACTGGCTTCAAGGACTTCGAAGCCGGGGGCTCTTTTTGTCTTTCCAGTCTTTCCAACTCTTTTTGCCCCTGCACGCTCCTCCTCGCACTCTTATTCACCGAATTCTTCGAGTTCTTTGCTCTCGTCAGTCTGCTCAAAAGCCCGTCATCGCTCCCTTTCCAGGTCCAACAAGCCAGCCAACCGCCCAGTTCGACGAATCAATCGGTGGGCGCGGATTCCCTCCTTCATGCCTGCGCGGTGCGCACAAGCCACGCCATTTCCTTCTCGCGCACTTCCATTTCTGCCGATTGTTTTCCTGTCAAACCTTTTTACTTTCGGTCTTTTCCTCCTCTCACTCAGATGGCTGCAGTAGCCAGTTGCTCTCCATGTTTGGAAACCGATGCTCGAAATCTTCATCTCAAAGACCGAAGCGCGCTCGCCATTTGCGATTTCACCTAACATTGCATGTTTCTTTCTCCTACACCGCTTGATCGACATGGTGAGCCTGCGCGTGTCAGCCTAAACATGCATAAAGAGATGGACAAATTAAGGCGCTGTCGCGCGCCGAGCGGGGTCAGAGACTCGACATGATGCGACACTTTGTGCTCTTGGACCAGTCCACCTCATTCAACTACTTCCGTCATCTGCGCTTTTCCATCTCTTCTTTCATTCGACTTCAAGATGGCTTAGCAAGGGTATTTCTGCCGCCGCGCCCTGTTCGATTCGACTTTGCCAATTCCCTCATCTTCCGTACAAGTCATCGTCTCGCGCACGCTATCCATACTTTTCGCCATGTCCTTGAACATCTGCGAACTATGTCACCCTGTGCTGTTATCTTCTGCTGACGTTCCCAGCGTCCTTCTCTTATCAGTAAACCACCTGTCCTTCTCAAGCTCGATCCCCGTCGAAGGTCGGTCTCAAGCTGAAGTATAAGTCGTTGAGAATCATGCGGCAGTGCAAAAGATGCATATCACGATCTTGATCCGGTCCAGCATGGGTGATGCTGTTGGTTTGGTACACAATGACCACACTCATGTGTAGGCTGGATCATGTCCTTCGGCCTTCATCGCGGGTTACTCCTCTAAAATGACACATCAAAGACCGTGACATATTGTCATAAATACCTCCCCGTAGCATGGGGGAATGGACATCCCCAGGTCGACAATAACGTCAAGAAAGGTGCCCAGGACTAAATAGACGGCCATCTGGTAAGCATCTCATGTGATTTGGCATGGAGTGGACGATCAAACAAGAGTGGGAGAGAGAAGGGTGTCCCTGGACTCAATGCAGCGCACAAGAATGCCTCCTCGAAGGGCTGTATATGCGAGGACAGTAGAGGCAGGTAGGCAATGATTCAGCAACCCGCGTCGAACGTGCTTGTTGTCATTTAATTCATCATGCGTAAGACCACCTCATCGAGCAATAGGCTCAGGAGCCGACCAAGTTTTAAATGATCCATCAAGCCTTGATAGCCAAGTTGGGATAGTTCTGACCAGTGCACATCTTCCTCGGACATGTTCAGGCGAAAAGCCTTACCAGGTACAGAGGCTCTTGTGTAGTCGTATATCATCTGTACCAGTGCCCATCTTCAGGCTGTCCCAAGATCCTTTTTGCAATACCGAGTCCCAGATGGCCACGGTTGTTGCTGTCCGCGCCACCAGGCTGGAGGACACCCCATCTCAACTCCTGGAGCCGAGGAGTCTGGTCGGGGTCGTTGTCGAGGAGCTGAACCTCCTGGGATGCATTGTCTGGCGCGTCGTCTTCTGTACCGGCAGGGTCCGCCTGATGAGCAACTGCTGGCGCTGGTTGGGCTTGAGGATCAGACTTGGGCACGGCCGCCACTTCACCTTCGGCTCCTGGCTCAGGTTGACGACAATACCCATCAACAAGGTCGTCTTTATGAGAGATTGCTAGTAATCGCCGGGACTCAGAAACAGAATCACCATCAGGCGCAGGCGCGCGCCCAGGTCCATCTTCGGCTCCGGCTCCAGCCTCAGATCCATGACGATAGCCAGTATCAACGTCACCGGCCGCGTTATCTTCGGCCGATACCTCGCTGTTGGCAGAATTGTATCGACGATCAGCTTGTGCACTGACACGAACACTCCTACGCGTTGGAAGCCGCTGGCATTGTGCAGAGATTGCTGCTGAATTCGTCCCCACGATAATGGAATTTTGGGACGGCAACGGCCACACAGTCAACACCAGTGGTATGAGCAGCGCAACGGCCGCTAACAAAAGAGTGGCTACCAGGGCTTGGACGGAGTATCCGAGAGAGTAGTGAAGACCCATGCCAATAACGTTGGCATCAGAAGGCGAGACTAAAGTGTTCACAGTCAAAAGCGTGCCCCATAACCACAATCATGATGCAAGTAAAGTATCTCACCTTTGGTAGTTGTAGCATAGAACGACTGTGACACCAACCAATGCTAACCAGAGCTGATGAGCAAATACACCGCGCCCCAGAAAAAGGGCACTGACAAAAGGTATGACGAATCCTGACCATCCGCCGGAGTTGTGACCTTGAGGCGTCGAGGAGCCTGCGAAAAGAGAGACCATTCTCGGCCTTGGAACAATGCGCTGTACAGTGAAGAGAACGTGAAATAGCAAGCCGTGATGATGATCTGTGGCAAGTCAGCCACGATCAATGTCCCGTATCCGTAGTCGAAATCCGGCAAATATAGACTGCCGTTGTTGGGGTCATCGCCGAAACCGGCTTCCGTACTAAAGCCACAGTGTGGTCAGCCTTGTTGAGGTAAAATCACAGGACAAAGACCAAACTTACAAGCCATCATTGGTCATCAGTCCCTTGATGAATAATACTGCAACGACAACAAGCACACAGCAAATCGGAAGGTATGTTGTTATCCAGGTCAATCGTGGTATTGCTGAACCCCAACTCTTCCGCCGACTTGACCAGGCTCGTGCTCCACCGATCCATCTTGGCCGCATGTCCGTCGAAACGCTCTTCCGATTGTGTTTGGTCAGCAACCTAAATTCGTTCTGACCGTATGTGCAAAGGCCTTCCGTTGTAAGGTCGCTTTCCTCCTGCTGCAGGAATAGTTGGATAGCATCGCCGAGGCATTGGACAGGGGAAGACTTCCAGAGCAACGCCAAGGTACTGATCGCGAACGCAGATTTGAAAAAAAGACAGATACCGACAACCAGCAGCAGCGGATTATACACCTCGACTTTGCAGGGAGAATCAAATGGCTCCGCTAAGCAGTATAAAGCCGTGATGTTGTTGTACTCAGCGTTAAAGGTGGGAATTGGCATCGTATTAGCTGCGTCAGCCTCAGCCTGCGTCCACTGGTAAGTCCATGGATGGGTGAGGGAGAATTTATCGCCTGGTGTCGCTCCTTCAGAGTAATCCAAATCGCCAGCGCATGGGTTGAGAATTTCGCCCATGTAAGGTTGGACAGAACAAGGAGAATCATAAGACCACAAAGAGTTGGTGTTACTGGGCGACTATCCTGTCAGCGAAGCGTAGTTGTAGTATGAAGTATTGCTGTAGGACGGGGGCACTGTCCCACTCCAGACTTGGTCATTAGTCCAGCCCGCAGGGTTGAGATTTGGGCCAGCTTCGATCACGATTACCAGATGTCGATAGAAGCGAAGACCATATCTGGATGCCAGGTATGTCTTTCGGCACTCGACACTGTCAAACTTTTTCCAATGGAAGCCTGACACATTCGCTTGTATTTCCCTGAACAACGGTTCCAGGATTGGCTGACCAAACCTCCACGTTTCCCATTGCAACAAGTTTCCCACCCAAGGAAGAACAAACGGATCGCCATCAAGGAATCCTTCGCTCACGAGGAGTTGGTCGTATTCCGTCGTGGCTGCAGTTCCGATAACAGAGGCCTGGAAAAACAGTGAAAGAGGAATAGAGCTTGCAGCGCCAACAATCCACAAGGCGCTGCGCCACCGAGGAATCGACCTTAGATTCCGAATGGAATTGATGCCGACGTCCATCCAGGTGGCTTGACGGTGCGCTTCTCGAATATCGGCCGCTTGTGGAGCGCTGACCAGGCGCATGAAGAAGTCCGAGGATACCGTGATCGATACTGAAAAGATGGTGATTACCAGATGTAGCCCAATATTGATATTCCCTGCAATGTCACAGTTCCCAGAGAACAGTGTCGTCGGCTGGGAAGAATGGCTTTTGATGAAAGTGGCAAGTAGATATACCCAGAGCACAAGACATAATGTGCAAACAAGCGAGCAAAAGATGACTCCCTTGGTCTGCCATGTCATTTTCGTCACTACAAACCAAGACGAGGATTGCGTGCGAATGGCCCAGCATGGGGATGTGAAAGAGTGTGAGTTGCGAGAGGTACAGCGCGGTGTGCACAAGATGCCCATGTATAAGCAAGTTTGAGGAACACGACGATCCTAGCTGGGGCTTCTGCGATGCCTGGTACCCATGACCAGGCGCAGCCAACGGCGACAAGCTCAACAGGTTGCTCGAGCTCTGGTCTTGCTCGGTAATGCATTGCCGTGCCGGGTCAGCGCAAAAGAGTATAGTCAGTGGCAGGGCGAAGATAAGGGGCACCAATGGTGGGCAACATCTGCCACCACAAGGCCCTCAGGCTGCCTTGTGTCTGAGACATCCTGGGGGGGAAACATACTTGCTGCAAAGGGGAGGCTCAAGGCGCACTTGGTTGAGATATCGAGGACGTGAACGTGAGTGTTTGTGGCGCTCGCATAGTCACGTCGACCTTGGTGCCTTCTTGTTGCATGAAACCGCGCGGCTACGGGATGCATGGCCACAACCAATCGAGGAGGTAGCTACATATCAAACAATGACAATCAAACATGAAGCACGTGAAGTGCAGGAATAGGGCCAATGCAGCTTGTGATTCATAGGGGATGACCTTCTTCTGATGGGTCTAATAATCTTAGCCTTCCGGATCCCTACCTACCTTGTCATGCTTGTGTGTTGATGTTGATGTAGAAACCAGTAAGTTACTGTACAAGCTGCAAAAGAGAGTCGGCGCAGGCTGAAGGCACGAAAATGATTGATGGCGCTCGGTACACCTGCCCGCACAGGCGATGCGTCTTCAGTGTCAACTATCTTCCATCGAGGCAGTCCTGCGCAATGAGTTCTGCACTCCTTCGCCAATGCAATTGCGCCCTGAACACTCGCAGCAATGTCACCTCGGGCTGTCTGCTGGTCTCTACACCTACTAATCGGTTCCAGTGTCCGGCTTCCACCATAGAAGCACATGTCTCCTTCCATTTCTGATTCAATCGCTCCTCCAGTGTCTGGCTCAATCACTCTCATTTTAAACTTGGAGAGATTCACTTGACTCACTTCTCCAGGTAGGCCACCTCCTTACTTCCCTTGTCGTCGTCGGTGACATCAACCTCACCATTTCTGATTCGCTCCTCTTCGTCTCTTCGTGCAATCTCGGCATCCATCCTCTCGTACTTCTCGGGTCTTTGGAGCTGTGTGGCGATCTTGTCCCTGAAGACAAAGACACCGGGATGCTCCTCGAAAAAGCGATCGATGTCCTCCAGAGTGCGATTTGCAGTTTCGGGGTAGAAAAAGTAAGTGGTCGGAATGAATGAAGCGCATATTACAGCCCAGATGATCCAGAATTTATAACCGAGGTTGCTGATACCCGGCGGCGTGACCTGGGCAACCATGTAGTTCATGATCCAGTTGGTTGACATGGCAAGAGATGCCCCTTTGGCTCGGAAGGAGATATGGTTGATCTCCGTTGGGTACAACCAGGGCACCCCAAGGACCTAAAAGAGTCAGGGGTCGAACCATCAAAAGTAGCAGGGCTGAAGCCTGAACTTACGCCGAGGCCGAACGAAGCAAAGAAGACAAAGAAGAAAGTCGTGGCCAGAGCGCCGAGCTTGTATGCATTGCCCTGGCCCGTCTGAGAAAGGCCGAGGGCGATGGAGATGACGACCCAGCAAGTCGAACAGGCAAAGGCAGACACCATCATCACACGGCGACGCCCGTACCGCTCGATGACAAAGTACGCTAGAAAGCTGAAGATCAGGTAGTCGACCGATCCGGCTGCGGCAAGGATACGAGCTCTGTGATTCGATATTGTCAGCCAGTCGCTCTCAAGAGGGGTCACGTGGCCCCTTGAGGCTGGACTGTAGACTTACAGCAGCTCATTGAGATTGATAGCGTGTATGAAAATGTATCTGGACGGCATCGTCAGCAATTGTCGTCGAAGAACAGCAGAAAAGCCTCACGTTTGAAAATACGAAGTGACGTTTATACCTGGTTCATATCAGCCATGTACCAACCATGTAGGCATTTCAAGTTCATACCACTGATCTGGTTCATAGCCTGCATCCATGCACCCAGAATCATTCTGCGAACCACACCGGACGGTCCACGGCCGGAAAGAAGTTGCCACCATGTGTACTTGAGTGCCGTTTCGCGATCGAGCACATCCTTGATGATGTCGAACTGTGTGCGAACGGACAAAGAGTTCGGCGTTGCGCCACGGCCTTCAAGAGCCGCCAGGACTTCGCGAGCCTCGTCGTATCGTCCCTTACGGATCAGGAGCCGCGGCGAGTCTGGGAGGAATGGGCACATCATCCAGACGAGGGCGGTGAAGACTTGATTTCAGTGAGTAATTGTCATGTCAGCTTGATGCAGGTACTTGGCCACTCACACATCTGAAAGGCCAGCGGGAATCGCCATGCAACGCTGCCAGGGGCGAAAGAGAATCCCAGGGTCAACCAATTCGAAATGCAGAAGCCTACATGACTCTGTCAGAGATGCCAACTTCCGCCAACAAAGATCACGCCTCACCAGTGATACAGTTCGCCATCTGAATGATGACCAGTTTGCCACGGCTTCTCATCTTGCTGGTCTCGGACTGCCACACACCCGCAGTAGCTGTATTCATACCAGTCCCGAGCCCAGCAACGACACGGCCTGCAATCATCTGACCCATGCTGAAGGATGCAGCCTGTATGATAGCGCCCAGTGCAATAATGCTGCTTCCCAACAGCAGTGTGCGTGGCCGCCCGAGTTTGTCGCCGGTGTAGAGCGTAGAGAGGGCGCCGCCAAAGCAGCCTAGATTGTATGCGGATGTCATGGTCCCCTGTTGAGTCGACGTTGGGTTGCCCATCTGGTCCAAGAAGTTCTGGCCGACGAGGACGTTGCCGAAGACGCCCTACGCATCGCATTGGTCAATGCCACGTCACAACCAGAGTTCACGACTAGTATAACCACCGGAGTGGCGAACGTACCTGATCATAGCCATAGAAGACGAGTACGGTCGAAGCGGCAAGTGAAATCCAGACGGTTAGGGCGTCGCCTGAGCCTCCGAGGTACTTTCGCGCCATTTTGAGAGCATACAATCCTCGATCTTGAAGGTACTGGAGAACAACAGTCTGCGCGGATGGAAGGGATATGGAGGTCACGCGAGGAAACAGATGGGCCGGGACGAAATCAGCCAGTCTCCGACTATTTATATACGACTTACAGTCCTCATGTCAGCTAGCTGTGGCAGGAGGTTTCGTCCGCCGGTCTTTGTCGCCGATCAATGAGCCGAAAGGCGAAGCTTGACAAGGTATTGTCGTGCATCGGTGAAGACGCCGGCGAAGGAAGTGAAGGGAGACGGAGTATGCAGTAGGAAAATTGTGATAGCGTAGCAATGTAGCGAGCGGGTCGACAGGTGGCACAAGTGGTAAAACTCTGCCGTTTGGTCTACATCTTTGTGCCAGGACAGCCTTCATTGGTTCTGATTGACGTGGTTGAGTGAATGGATCAGTACTCCGCGCGGGGGTTTGATATGTTGTTGTCCAAAGTGGATTCTGGAGAAGGAGTAAGTTCGGAGCCGTTTGGGGTGATCGACATGCTAGACTCTCTAGGGGTTGTCGATGTCCTCTCGGCAGTCCTTGTCACTTGTGCGTTGTGCGCCATACCCGAGGATCGATGGGTCATGCATCATCGTCTTCCATGCCTGCGCGTGAGTAGAAATTCGGAGACATCGATCAGAGATGCTTCCAGTCTGTAGGCTAGCTCTGGATCTTGCATCTATGGCACCGGACGCAGATATAGGGCAACAACGGCAAAAGCATTTGCAGAAAGTAGAAGGCATAGACAACTTCCGGTGGGAAAAGTCCGTGCAGATAGGTCGGTCGATCCCTGCTTGGCCATGTCATGTCGTGCGTCTTGGAGATCATGAGAACAGTTTTGTTACACCATCGTGGATCATCGAAAGTGGTGGAGAGATGGGGAAAGAGTATCGATCTGCACAGGGATGGAGAACAGCGTCAGAAGTACAGGAGTCAGAAATTCGAACCTTGTGGTTAAGAAGGTGATAAAGAAAACAGCGAAATGGGTCGTCTTCGGTCACCTGCCATCAGGTACGGTCATGTTGCCGACGATGACCGACGACTGTCTTCGGCCCAGTACCTCCAAGACCTGTACGGGGTATTCGCTTCCGGCAATACCCTCCTGTTGTCAGGCCTTGATCCCACCGGGTACCATCGTGGCAACAGGGGCTTTGAAATACAACAGCCATGCAGCATTTCTGTCAACAGTTTCAACAAGAGATGCCTTTCTTGATGACCTAGAGTTGTCGAGGCTATTTATTTCCAGCCGCTGATCTTCATCGTTCCGTTCTCGGCAAAGTTCCTGTGCATATCGAACGCCTGGAACAGCAAGTGAGGTTCATGACCCATGCCTTTCCTCAAACATTCGAACTCTGCCTTGTTGAAGTAATCTTCGAGAATTGGTCGGTAGTCTGGATGTGCACAGTGCTTGATGATCTCACGTGCTCGTTCACGCGGAGACATGCCTCGAACGTCGGCCAGACCCTGTTTCGGCGCATTAGCCTTTCTCATCACCAATACAATGACGACGGGGAGTACTCACAATCTCAGTGACGATGACATCTAGATCGTGCTCAGTCTGGTCCACGTGGGTGCACATCGGCACAATGCAGCTAACACCGGTAGGATCGGTCTTCGACGGCCGAGTACTAGGTGTGTGCATGATGGAATATTTTGCGGATCGCAGGAAATCTGCTGATCCACCAAGACCGTTGAGCATACGGGAGCCCATCACACAGGTACTGTTGGCATGAGCATAGATGTCGACCTCCACCGGCGTGTTCATGCCGATCACACCCAAGCGGCGGATGATTTCGGGTGAGTTGGACACTTGTTGAGATCGCAGGAGAAGTTTTGCATGATATTGTTCCCACTGTCAATCGTCAGCATGAGATCTGACAAAGCATACCTACAGCCACTCACCCCATCATAGAATCTCTTGAAGCCTCCCGGGGAGAACCGAATTGACGTTGCGGTTGCGAAATCCAAGTTTCCGCTGTCGAAGAGATCCAGGAAAGAATCTTGCAAAACTTCAGTCCAGACCTTCAGATTCTTGAAGTTGGCTCCTCCTTTCTACCACTGGGTTAGTCTGACGAACAAGCCATTCGTGCCACGCAATACTCACAGCCAAACCACCAACGACGGCATTGGCAATGTTTCCAATGCCAGATTGAATAGGTAGGAGGTTGGCGGGAAGTCTGCCGTGCTTGACCTCGTGTTGCAAGAATTCGATAAGGTTAGAGGCAATTGCTCTTGATGTGTCGTCTTCGGGTGCATTCTCGGTGGTCTGATCAGGGTAATCCGATTCCACGACTGCGACCACTCGTTCGGGATCAACAGGGATATGCGGCGTGCCTATGCGGTCTTCGGGTGACATGATGAGGTATGGCTCGTCCGGAGTTAGTGGGATTTCCCTGAGAAAATCAGTGCACTCACCTTTCTCCGTGGCGGCAGATCCGTCATCGTGATGTCGTGAAGACCTTCAAAGCTGGGAGCAGCAGTGTTTATCTCGATAATGATCTTCACAGTGGTCAGCCATGGAAGAGATTGGTGTGGCGTGCGCCAATACCTTGTCGGCCATTTGAATGATTTCAGGAGAAGCTCCCACGCTGGCTCCGGGAATGATACCTCCATCTTCTGTGATAGCGGACGCCTCGACGATGGCTACATCCAACCTGTTGTTGGCCTTGTTTTTGGTGTAGAAACCGTACATCAAGTCAACGGGAAACATGCTAAGATGTTTGTCGAAAAATTTAATGTTGCCGTTGTTGATACCCTTTGCAATCTCCTTTCCTACTTGATGAGGTGCTCGTCGCTCAATCATGTTGAGGTTGGCCCATCGATTCTCGGTCTCGGCTCCTGACGAGGCGCCCACAAAAAGGTTGTACTTGAGCTGCCCCTGAAGGTTGTTTTTCTCAACATGATCAGCCAAAGCCGTCGGGACCTTCCTGTCGACAGATAAGCATCCTCAGCAGCTCCGGGGGGGTTGAAGATCACCTACTTTGGATAGCCCACACCTGTAAATCCTGACCACCCGATATAAGTACCGTTTGGGAAGAGATCAATGAGGTCTTCAGCCTTGCAAAGCTTATTGAGGTAGCTAGCCCGCCGGCAACGGCTCTTCAGGAGAGCTGAGGCGGCCATGACCGGACGTCCAACAAATGTAAGCAAGTCAAGCAGCCGGTTTGGCAATGTAAGGATTGTCGCAAAGGATCTTTCCTCTGAAGCCTTTGTTGTCGTTCACAGCTTGGAGTTTAATTTGTGGTGGACAAAAATAACAATCAAGAAGCTTTGAACCGGATGTGGTAGGACTTGGGAAGTTTCGTCATTGGGCAGTCAGTCAGCACCGCGAACCCCCTCGTCTCAAGATGGATGATCAGACCACAAATCAAATCGTGCTAAAAGGTTCCGCCAGCGGTCTTGTTATCGAACAACCAATTAAACAGGCATCGGGGATTTACAAGTGACAATGATGGATTACTGGTAGGTCGTAGCACGCGTCTTGGTCTCGCGTGTGTCCCCCGAGACTTCTCCGGCCTCCATAACTCCCCGTTAAATTGGCTTCACCTCCCACTCACCTCTGACTAAATTCGGGTTTCCCTCCAGATTCAAAGACCCGTGAACGGCAAAGACCATACTCTAGACTCGCGACCATGATGGCAACTGCAGCGATAGGCTTCGATCCCAGCCGGCTTTCCTTGACGCTGGCATTCTTTCCGAGCCGAACACGACAGTCATAATTACTACTTACAAAACAATGGCTGAGGCAGATGGTCATACCTTAACTCTTCCCACGGATCTTCTGGATCTGCTCCATCGACCTGACCTAAACAGGCTCTGTCAAACAATTTCTCACCAACATTAATGCTCCCGCTGATAACCCTTATCAGTTTGACTTGCTGTTCCTGATCCGCTTTATGAGATGTCTCCAAGGCTACAAAGTAAGCGCAAATACCCTCATGAGAAATAGCGACCAGATTCTCCGGTGTGTCTTTGGCAGGTCTCGAGCCCGTGAACATCTGAACAGCATTCTGGAGACGACGAGCATCCGGAGCGTTCCATTCGGTCCCGAACACGATCTTGAAATGCTCCGTCCAGTGCGAGCCTCGAGCTTCCAATCTTTTCGACACCTGGCCGAGGTAGTAATTTTGAATGCCTGTTCGCGTCGGGTACAATCGAGCCGCCACCGTCATTCTCGACAAAGACAGCCCCAACGAGATGATTGTCTCGGTAAGAGCAGCCAGGCAGTACCCATGTGTCGGCGGAATACCTTCTTGCCCCGGCTGGAGTTTGTCTTTGGATGTACAGATGCCGCAGTGGCAAGCCGCGCGTATCTTACTCAACTGCTCCACGTAAGACGTTGATGCCTCATCATGGGTCAATTTCAGAGATCGCTCCATGCGGCCTTGAAATCGTCTGAGCTCAGGAAACCAATTGCCAAGGGTCTGCACCAAGCCTGCTCCATATGATGCGGTATTGCTCTGGTTCTTGGTTGAGACGAGCTCGATATGTTCATGTCCCTTCCCCAAAGCAAGACCCTCAAACATCCTTGCCGCACTTCCAATCATTGTTCCAAACGATTTCGATTCTTCGTGATCCAAGATATGAAAACTCCGCCCGAAGACTCGCGGAAGGAGTGATTGCCATGCCACACGGCCACCAAATGGAGTCGCGTGCACAGCGGCAGGGTATGTGTGGTCGACGAGACTCAGATCTGCAATGCCCGCTGCATTTTGGCTGTGGGGTTCAAACGAAAAATTGATGCTAGGATTTTTGACGAAGATCATGGTCACCTGTGGTTCTCGGTCGGGATGGGTTTTACGGAGCTGCTCCCCATTGTCGTCGTAGATTGTTATTTGTAGGTCGCACAGCCATTCTGCTATGGCTCCTATCCAAGCAATGATTGCGCTACCGGTGAATGTGACCTCTTTTTCTTCTCCACCAGTGATACGCATCAAGGCCGAGAGAGCATCTGCAATCACGCGTGGAGGGAAGACAGCATCAAGCATCTGGATGTTGACAGGATACGGGTACAATCGAATGTACTCCTCGACCAACAAACCAAAATCTGTCGCTGAAAATGCTCCGCTGTAGGCATGCAGATTGGACTTCCACTGCGAAAAGTGCGGAGTCAGATCATCTGGCCCTGCTGCAGCCTTTGTCAGCTCCCAAAGTACTTTGGCTCCATAGGTCTCGTGGAAGCTCTCTCCCAAGGCTATCATCACAGAAAGATGCTCATAAGACCCTAGGTGAACCACCTTATCGTGGATGACATGTAGGGGGCCCCAGCCAAAAAGGAGCTTCTCGTCCGGTGCAACCGATGTGTGGACAGGAAGATTGCCAAGTGCATTGTTCACGTTCCGTTGGCCCTGTACAGCAATGTTGAGGGGCTTGAGGAGAATATAACCAACGAAGCGAGCGTAGGGATCGACTTTGGCACCAGTGAACTTCCGCAAAGTACCTGAGTATACTGTTATCTTCTCAGGGAAGTCGTCGCCGATAATAGGCATGTTGGGTCACCTTGTCGAGGTTGCGCTGGTACTTTCATGTATCGCCAATAGTCAATGTCGCTTGTTGCGGGACATTAAGATAAGAGATGTGTTCCGGTCAGCTGTAGCAGCCGGCATACCAGGCGCAGACCACGATTGACGTTGAATCCAGACCCAAAAAGGCATACAACGTGACTAAGCGAACGTCGATCGACCAGAGGCAGCGTACTTGTACAGACAGAATCGAATAAGGTCATCAAGGTCGAGAAAATGGGCATTTGGATGCGAGGACACCAATTGCGGGGTAAGAAAGATAAGGCATTGAATGATCTGGGCGCCTAAAGAGTAACCCGCCTATCTCTCCTACTGTAGTAACCGTAAAAGATCGTTCACCCTCGGCGAGGAAGGAGACTCCTTGTTCTTCCAGGTTGGAGAGCGAGTTGAGGGAGCAACAGCAGCTGGATTTCGTGCACCCATCCCCTGGTGTATTGCAATGCAGAGGCCAACCTCCCGGAGCGTGCAAAACGTCACTGAGTGTCCTGATTGTGGCCGGAGTGTAGCTGCAATCTACAGGTCTCGGGAACTGCTTAGATCAGCCGGGCTGGTCCCCAAACCCACTGGATGAGTTATCGTACCCTCTTCACATGACTTCTCGGGTGTGGTAACTGCGTTGCGCTATGCTATGCGAACCATCGACGATTGCTGACACATCAGCCCCGGAAACCCCTGAGAAGGCTTCAGGAGTTCCGTGTAAGTCGGTGCCCCCCTGCGACAGTCTTGCTGACAGTTTGGTCAATGCTTCAACTTCGTGCAAATCAAGTTGCTTGGCTTTTGATGCATTGAAAAGCAAGCGAAAACCAAATCCTGTTCGATCTGCCTCGCCTACTATAAACCACGTGGAGGAGTGATCTCCATCTACTTTTCGCTGGTTCCTGGCTAGCGCATCTACAACTGATAGCACGCTAGCTATTGTATAATATCCGATCAGAACTTACCCTCTTCCCGTTCAAGGTCTCCTTGTCCCACCTCGCAACAGCAACCACTTCTGCTAAGCTGGCTGATTAGGGTGGAACGCATGGCGGAAGCGGCAGATAGACCGCCATTGTTTCCAAGATTTGGCCGCGGCTTGATACTGTTCAAGCTCAAACCAAGCTATTGATCAAGGCTTCAAGCTCCTCTCTACGAACAATTCCACGAACGAACGAGTTCGGCTGTTCAACTGCATTAGTGGATCGCATACTTCGCATGCACACCTGCAGCTTGACGTTACTAAGCGCGAATACGGCTTTCCATCAAGGCATCTCTTGCGTTTCATAGGATGAGAACAAAATCAACTGCTCAAGTGCATTAGTGCGTTGCCTACTTCGCGTTTAGACCTGCACTCAATACCCGTGCGCGGTACACCAGGACTTCGAGGACGTCATGCCTTGCGTTATTCGACAAGACCGTCCATTTCTGGCCTCCTTCCACAAGCGGCATGGCTCCCCATAGTCTTGGGGGCCTGAACGGGCCACGAGGCTGTAAGGCGAAGGCAGCCTTGAGTTGTCGTGGTGTGTAATGGACGCTGTAAATCTGTTGAGACTCCGGTCGCGTTTTGCCCCCTCATGCGCCGGCGTCACTACGTTATGCGCAGTTCCTGGCGGCTACAATTTGCACAACCGCAGTTTTCCGCGCTTCAGGCCTTGTATGATGCCTCTCATATGCTCATATGTACAACGCTTGCGCGCAATTCTTGGAAGATATAACTCCCGCTTCTTCGAGGATAGCCCGACGTGCAGACTCCAAGGCTGTCAATCTTCCTGCCCATTTAATAGACGTAATATAGAATCGTCCCGCTGTCCTCATTTTGGAGCTTGTGATTCGTCGCGCGCAACCAGATTCGCAGAGCCCAGGTGCTGGCAATGGTCATGGTAGCAAATGCAGCATCGCTCGCCATTCCAGTGAGGTAGTGCGGACCGTCGCTCTTAGGATAAAGATACGGCGTGTAGACGTAGGAGAGATTGGCAAAGACATTCACAATCGACAGAGCCACTGCTTTTTTCTCGGTCGTCTGGCCCAGTGTTGCGCTGACCCAGCCAAATATTATAGAGTTGACAGCATAAGCTCCTGAGGCGAACATGAAGCACGAGACATATCGTGCGGCAACGTTCAGAGTGGCGCAGGAGATGATGAATCCCGTAAGAGCTAATCCCATGCAGCCGGTGATATGCCACGTCCGCTCGTTGAACTTGCCAGATGAAAGGGCAGCCAGGATGCCGAAAAGTCCGGACACATGATAAGGAGGGCAGGTCAGCAGCAATGTGATTGTACTGTTGAAGCCGAGGCCGCCGATCACAGTGGGGAAGAAATTGTTGAAACTACATGCGCTGATGTGCATGTTCTGCATGAAGCAGAGCAAGTAAAGCCGCGGATCTTTGACTGCCTGAACGAAGCCAGACCAAGGTCCTTTGCTTGTGGCAATGCCCACTGTGTCACGAGCGATTCTGTCGTGCGCCAATCGACGTTCAGCAGGTTTCAACCATCGTGTAGTCAGGGGAAAGTCAGGCAGAATCCATGCGGCAGCAAACGCACAGCCCAGCGTGAAGAGCCATCGATGATGAACAAGTATCTCCAGCCAGCGAGGCCATGTGCTCCATCGAGAGTATTGAACACGGCTGCTGCGATCAGGCCTGCAAAAGATGTTGAAAAGATGTTCCCAGAGTATAGAATGGCAAGTCGTGTTGCGATCTCCTTGCGCGTATAGAACATTGACAGAAAGCATAATGCTGCAGGATAGTAGGGCGCTTCGACAACGCCAATGAAGAAACGGCAGAGGACCATGCCAGTGTAGCTCTGCGTGGCCGCTGTCGTTGCTGAAACCACAGCCCATGTCGACATACAGATGCTCATATAGAGTGACGGTCTGACTTTAGTCGAAGAGATCAGCATGTTTGATGGCACTTGCATCAAGAGGTACCCGACGTAGAGGATACTGATACAAGTGTTGTACTGTGCTCCGACCATGCCTGGGTCTTTCTCCATTCCGTTCAGACGAGCCGTGGTGATCGCATTTCGGTCAAGATAGTTCCTAGTGATATAATGAGCGGCATGTCAAGGGGCTGGGTAGTCTCCTATATAAGCTTACATGAAGTACATAATCCAGAGGATTGGCATGATATAGATGTCCAATTTTCGGACCAACGCAATTTCTGCTGCATCTTTCTTAGATGAGGCACCTGCATAGTCTCCTGTCTCAGTGCTGGGACCTGAGTCTTGCATAGCGTGCTGGTCGATCTCATAGCCTTCGTCCTTCTTGAGGTGAATGGCTGGCGTCATCTTGGAGCGTGATATGTGAGGAGTATTCGAAATCCGTATAGATGTGTTTGGTAGACAATGGTATGGCTCTTCTTAAAGTATCCTTTAAGTGACCTACGCATATTGTAAACGGCAGTAAAATAACAACTCGTTTTTATATCTCCCTTGAAAGCGGCCGAAGCCCTCGCATCGTGCCTCTCGTCCTCAGGCAACATGAAATACATTTCTATCCAATGCAGTTGTTCATTCCTCCACCGTTTTCGATGCTCTTGTGAGGTTGGCTGTCGCAACACGTGCTACGGAAAGAAATTTGTGCCAGTGGGTGGAATCGTGGTGTATATCGCACTGCCTTTGACCTTTCGCCCTCGGTGGTGGAGCTCCGAAAACTGTGCTTGACGGACCAAGCCTGCACCTTCGGTGACCACTTTCCGGGCCACGTAGGTGACCTTAATCCTTCACATGCTCAAACTGCAAAGCATGTGTAGGAGTGCTCGAGAGGTATGTCGGGTCAGTGACAGGGGAGGTGCCGGAGGGGGATTTGCCTGATGACGGTAAGGCTTGCCAAGCTAGCAATATGCTCTTCAAGGTAGAACAGTCACACATTGCACATGGTGTGTACTTTTCTTTTGATTAGACAGATACGCTTTCACCGCAATTCAGGTCACGATGATTTCAGGCATCACTGTCGACCCAAAGCTTCGGCTCAAGCACCTTCTCGACCAAAATGAGGTAGCGCTTGCCACCTTCGTGACCCTTCAAGGATCACGAGCGGCACAGGTGATCGCTCACACCGGACTTGATGTACGTGAGAGATCTTTGTTGCAAAGGAAGCCTCTAAGTCCACTTTTTAGGCTGTCATAATCGATCAGGAACATGGTATGTGTGTCCGGCAGTGCATTTGTTACGGGTTCTCCTATGTGTCCGGACAGATGCCCCAGGCAATTCTCCCTCACCTTTGCAAGGCGGATCATGCACATGGACGACTGACTCTGACCAGGCCACATTGGTGATTCTGAAATGCACGACATGGTTGTTGCCGTTTCCGGATCTGGCGTTTCACCTATCGTACGAATAGCCGGGCTCTCTGGCATGTTGATCAAACGAGCTTTGGATACAGGGGCTCAGTAAGTACTTTGCTTCTCCACGCGTTTAGAAGGGGTGTACTGACGAGCTCACCCTTAGTGGCATCATGGTACCCACGGTCAACAGTGCTGAAGAAGCCCGCTCGGCCGTGTCCTGGGCCAAATTTCCTCCGGTGGGTGTCAGAGGTCAAGGGTCACCTTTCGCATGTTTTGAGCATGGACTAGCAACCCCATCAGAGTATGTAGCAAAAGCAAACGCGGGCATCATAACAATGATCCAGATAGAGACAAGGGCTGGAGTTGAGAATATTGATCAGATTTGTGAGGTGGAAGGCGTTGGTACGTTCTCCTGTCGTCGTGCTAGGAAATAGTTGACGATCTGAACAGACCTTCTATTCATTGGACCGAATGATTTGGCACTCGCGCTACTTGGATATACACCTGCCAAATATACCGAGACGTGCTTTCTTGAAGCTATCGACAAAGTAGTCGAAAGTGCGCACAAGCACGGGAAGAAGGTCGGCATCTTGTCGGTGGATGGGGAGGCTGCTAAGAAGGCAAAGGAGAGGTTCGACATGGTAGTACTGAGCAACGACGTGAGGTCACTGCAAGCTTGGTATAGCAAAGAGTTGAAATTGGCACGGTCTTGATATAGACAGCCTCCCATCTCCGTAGGCTGAGATATATTAGATCGAGAAAGGCCACGACTACTTTTACTACTCTTTCACGCTTTATTCTTATAGGGACATCGAAGAAAGGACTGATAAGCAGCACGACTTCAAAGTTGCTCCAGTGCTTTTTGTGGTATCCATGAACATGCAGACATGTTCTGTTCATCATGCCACTCTATCTCTAGGCGCCTTACCATCAAGTAGCTCCTTCATATGATCCACCATGCTTATACAAGTGGCAGTTTGTACTTCGGCAGGAGAACCTCCAATATGAGGACTCATCACCAGGTTCTCCAGATCTAATATGCTCCCATACACTTCTCTCGTGGGCGGTTCATTCACCCAAGCATCCACTCCGGCAGATGCAATCACCCCTAGTTTCAAGGCTCTCCAGAGATCTTCTTCCTTGACAACCCCACCCCGCGCAACATTGATGAGAATGGCCGTGGACTTCATCTTCTGAAGTAGCGAAAATGTGATCATATCCCGGGTGCTCGGGAGCAGCGGCACATGTAACGACATCACATCTACCAGAGGGGCCATTTCTTCCACCGAATGTACCCGTACATGAGGAATCGAGTCCCAAATCGAGCCAAGTCCTGGGATGTAAGGGTCATACCTGGAGGTATTAGCCAGAAGTGCTTAGACAAAAGTCCAACCTTACAAGAAGATCTTGCCGTCGAAAGCACCAACGCTGCGGGATGTCAATGTACGTAACATTTGAATGCAAGGGAGACGCACAATTTTTTGGCCGTGAGCTGCCCTATGTGTCCACCACCAACGATGCCAAAGGTCTTGCCCGTGAGTAAACTTGCAGAATAAAGACTTTTGTATCTTTTGTTCAATTTCTCTCCCGCTCGAATCTGTCTCGACACCTCAACCAGGTTTTTCGCACATGCACCCGTAAGGGCAAGCGTTAATTCTGCTACGCTCATAGCCTGAAGCAGTCAGACTTGCCAATGAGGGCAGTAATTGATGTTCGTACACTGATTCCTGGAAGATTGCATAGGACGATGCCTTTCTGCTTACAAGCCCCGACATCGATATTGTCGTAGCCAGCACCATGTCTGACAATGAACTTGAGTTTCTTCGTGCTGCGGATGATGTCTGCAGTCACTTTGCTCTTCGCAACAAAGAGGCCGACAGCATGTTGAGGCCATGAAGCGTGCAAATGACTACCAGGCTCTATCACATCTGGAAATACCTCGCGCATGTACTTAGTACCTTCTTCGTCAAAGGTGTCCAAGGCAACAAGTCCGGACATATCGAAAGTCGTATACAATTCGGGGGGTTTCTACAAGCACACACCTCACGACAGAAATTGTAGGCACTATTCAATAAGTCCTTTGAAGACTTTTGTTCCATGTTGCTGTCATGCTAGCCATGCTGAGTCGGAATGGTTAGGGAAGGAAAATGCCAAGATGATCAACTCGGCAGACGACTTCCGTGCAATCTCGGAGCGCAACCACCGCCTCTTCTTCTGACCTCAGAAATGGAATTGATACAGCAATACGCCTGGACAAGACTCGTTACCCCATGCCGAACCCAGAGCAGGGCTTTGCAAGTCCCTCGAAGAGAAAGACTTATACCGCGTAAGGCCTCTCTGCATTGCTTGACGCGTTACCGAGCTGACGCAAGAAAGTTGCCGAAGATGTCGACAGCGGAAAGTGAGATGTTCAGGGGCGACACCTTGCCACAATTGTACGACGCGTGGGCAGATCTGTATCTTTGACGAGGCGGAGAGAAGGGTGCTAGTTTCCGAAAGGTGGGTTGTCCGACTCCGACTCCCAATGTCAGAACATGTCCATCGTTGGTACTGATTCGCAAGACGCCTCCACGAGCTTCAACGGCGTGCAACGATTGATCGTAACACCTCGCCGGACGAAGAGCATCCAGCACCAACCCGAAGTCCCCATGGCAGAGCCGAAGTACGGCAGATACGCCTACCCATAGACGCCAGAGTGACCGACGGTCAAATCTTGAATCAAGAAGAGATAACCACTTCTCAAAACAGCATTCTTTTTACAGAGCCTGGTGATCAACTGCCTACAGACAAAGATGAGGCATACCCATCTAGAGGTATGGCCTCGCATTACGAAACGAGCTCTAGCTGATTCAAAAAGTGCAATCTCCGCAGCCATTCATTTGGACCTTGGCTCGCGACGTGCGCCAACGCTTAGCCAGCATCGCTAGTGACGATGCCAGACGTAACGAAAAGTCAATCGCAACTTATACCTTGTCGCAAACGATGAGAACATCCACAAATTCCTCACGTCTTCCCATACCGTCAAAAGCCCTCTTGTTTCACCTCGCGCAGGTTGCCGATTTTCACCTTAATGCAACTTGTTCTTTCTCTGATTACCTGACCCTTGAAAAACAGTGGAACCGAGCACATCTCCAATCTGTGCAAAGTCAGCCTGATATATGGCAAGTCAAGCTCTTGATGGTTGCCGCCACGGGGAAATTGTTTCTCGAGAAAGGAGCCACCAACCTCGGTCCTCCTGGAATCCAGGAGTTTTTCCAATGCGTCCAGGCGTTCTCCGCGATCGTTTGCAGGATTCAAGATCCATCCACGACAATAGAAACGCTTTGCCTGATGGCATTTTATGCGCAGTCAGCAGATCTGCATACTGCAGCACATCTCTACGTGCGTATCATCACTAGATGAATTGTTTGTTTGGTTTTGACGGTGAACAGATAGGACAAGCAGGTCGTCTAGCCCGCTCCTACGGCATGGACAGAAGTGCAGAAGGATCAAAACATCAGATACTGTGGTGGAATATATGTGTCCTTGATCAAAGGTTGGCGGCAAGCATCAATACGTGGCCCGACTTCCATATCCATGATGAGAACCTCCACTGGATTGCGTCAGATGAGACTCGTGGAGTATCTCCTGACTTCAGATTACGAGTCAATCTCGCCATTGCGCACATCTTGACGGAAGTGAACAAGGGTGATATCCCTCGATCAATCAGGCAAGTTGTCGTCTTACATGATACACAGTAACCTCGAAATATGAACGCACGAGTTCTATGAGTCTGGCTTTTGTCACCGCAGTGTCCCAGCAACTGGCGGCTCTGACGAAGGTGGGAAGGTCAATCCGAACCACAGAATCTCTCTGTCATGGTGATTCACTTGCGACAATATCCAGGTCAGCAGCGACTTTGCATCTCTTATACTGCCACGTAAGTACCTACCTTGGACCTCGTGGGCGTGACTGAAAATTCCTCCAGTGCATCATGAGAGCCTGCATACCCTTTCTCCTACATCGCTTAACACCGTCCATCACGACTGGTCAAATAGACGGCCACGCTTCGATCAATAATGCTTATGAGCCTGTATTAGGGATGATGAAGGTTGGCGTCAATGCTGCCACACTCAGCCTCAACATATTGTCAGCTCTGCGAGAACAGAGCTTGCTTGGTAAGTATCTTCATGCCGTCATGTTCAGAGATTAATGGCGTCTAGAAATCTTTGCATTTCTAGATAACGAGGTTACTTTCTTAGCTGCCGTGCTGCTCGTCCTTGTCAACATCATTAGCCCGGGCACTACAGACACTTCTTTCATTGAGGTGGCGAACGGTGTGTTACAAGATATGGCGTCCAGAGGGAACATACCAGCCGAAGCACTCAAAGACACATTGACGGATATTTGCGAGCTCGCGGCCGGCTATTCTTCTACCCACAGAAACCGCTATGGTCGTCTTCTTACTGTGGTCAAGGACGCGGAGACACTTAACAGGGCTATTCTCAATGTGATAGACATCCCACAGCCCGCAATTGAACGGCCTGAAGATAGCGCTGGTGAAATTGTGCCACCTGTTGCAGAACTTCCCACCGCCAGTCAGAGCACCATCCCATCAGTACAGCTGGTACCAGCACCAGGTCGAATGGAGCCTTCTGCCAGTTTCTGTATCGACGACTTTGACGCAGTCGCGAACACTTTCGACTTCGACACGGTCGACCTTGACTGGCTGGACTTTGTATGACATTGGCATTTGTTATCAATCTCAAGACCGTCACTTATTGAATATGAGGTATACGCGACGGAGAAAGTTCTAGATAGGCTTTTAATCCATGGATCATGCCCATGTTTACTCATACCATTAGCATCAGTTTGAGTACAACCTCGGCTGTGGAACTCCGAGGCGGAGGAGCTTTTCCGAGTCAACAAAATTGGGAACGCCACCAACTACTGTATCTGGTATTTTACCAACACAATCAAGAAGAACGTTGATAGTTACGGGATTTCAGAACTCATACCCCAATAAGCACCTTCCGGCCAACAGCCGCTGCACGAGGGCAAAAATCGGAGATCGAGTGGGTGTCGCCTTACAATTCATGAATGTAATGCTCCGCAATAACCTCATCGACACGGTATCCGAAGATCGAGTGTGCACCGTAAGCTTGACCAATACTCCTACATAATCGCATAGCTAATGCGTGTTCCAGGCGGTAGGAATTCGAGTCATAGCCAACAACGAAGTCATTTCGCTAGCCAAGGCAGCGGGTTATGACAGCATCTTCATCGACCTCGAGCACTCAGTCTTTTCCGAGAAGGACGCCAGTCAATTATGTTCGGCGGCCCTATCATCAGACATCACGCCGGTTGTGCGCGTCCCGTATGAGTGCGGACACGGGTACATACAACGCGTCCTCGACGGTGGGGCCATGGGCATCGTCTTTCCGCATATAAATACTGCTGGTATGCGACTAGCCCCTAAACCTTTCACTTGCACTATTTGGGGTGCAAGCATGAGACTGACAAGAATATAGAGGAAGCAAGGATGGCAGTGTCCTCGACGAAGTTCCCGCCCAAAGGGAAACGCTCGCTAACGGCCGCACTGCCGCATTTCCACTTCCAGAAAATCGGTGCTGCAGACTTGGTTCAGCAGCTCGACAGTACGTGCTCGACAGTTTTCATTCAAGTCGAGACCCGCGAGTGCCTCGAGAACATCGAGGCTATCGCTGCGGTGGACGGTGTCGATGTCTTACTTGTGGGTGCCAATGATTTGTCTCTGGAGCTCGGTGTGCTTGGAGAATGGGAGCACCAAACATTCCAGGCGGCGCTGAAGAAAGTTGCCGCGACCGCTCGCAGAAATGGCAAGGTCTTTGGTATTGCGGGCATGTACTCGCGACCGGATATATGTAAGCGGATCGTCAGAGATATGGGAGCCAGGTATGTCCTCGGCCAGTTTGATATAGGCCTGTTGGCAATGGCTATGAACAAGAATGTGGAGATGCTGAGAGATCTGAGTACTGGTTTCTATCCCTACCTCATGAGTAGTTGACGATCTCACAGAATGGTTCTTCAGAAATGTGCTGGCAGTTTCATCTGTCGTGGACGTGGAATCATGGCAGGGAGAACAAGACCCTCATCCACCAGATGCTGTAAGCATTGAAATCCGACTTCTCATTGATTTCTCATTGATTTCTAAATCAGTATCTAGTGAACTTTGACCATGTTGAAAGGTCGCAGTCATATCATGTCGGGCATATGCCTTCGACAGAGCACTCAAAACCGTCCTAGAAGACAGTGAATGTGCTGTTACTTTTCAGACTAAATTTCATAAGACATCGTCACGTCGTGAACGCTCGCTGTTGTCGCGCTGGGGTATTATGTTGAATTGAGATGCTTTTGTCTCTCCAATACCGTCCTCCACTGCAATCCGAACCCCATAATCCACCTACCTGAAAGTAACTCCTAACACCTGTAAAACAAGAAAGATCATGTAGAATGATCTGCTTCAGCATAGTTGAGCATGCTTGAAATTTGTTAGCCTGGCTGCCAACATATGTAAGCACCCACCAGTAGAACTGAGTTGATCAGTTTGACAAGGCAACACCATTTGTTTGAAATGGTATCTTTCGTTGCTCTCCATTGACAATGTCCTTTTCGAGTACTGCGACTGGGGCATCGCCACTTAGGACGTTTCGAGCCCCCTCGCCAGCGGTCTCGTCACCGGGAGTATCTTCGAATACCTTGTCGAAATCCTGGGGTTGCAGATCCTCAAAGACACCGAAAATCTCATGAGTCTGATGGAAGTCGTTATTCACGACGTTCACGAGGTAGCACTCATCCATGATAGTCTCGACAAGCTTCCTGCTCCCGGAGCCGGCAGGATAACACTTCGCCCAGTCCTGTCCCAGGCGGAAAGCTTCATCCTTCCAGGCCAGGAATGACACAGTCTCAACAATCGTTGGTTGGACAACCTCCCGGTTCGGAAAGATACCCCATGTCACAGCATTTGGCCCCTCGTCTTTCGCGTTGGTGAGTAGTTTCCCTTTCTTGTTGACCGCATAGTATGTCAGATTCTTGTCGGCGTTGAGCCTTTCTATGACCGTGTCGATGATGGACGGGAAGATCAGGAGCTCAAGATAGGCCTTCTGATAGACCCAACCGCCAGAAGGACCCCATCCATAGACGGGGTGGTCCGAAGACACACCATTGACAGCCGGCTGAGAATTGATGGTAAGCAGGCCGCGCTTGTTCAGTCTTAGGAGATCCTCTTTGATGCTGTCGGCTTCCGCGGAGATTGACCCTTCACTCCATGGCAATCTATCCAGATCGTGGTTCAAGAAGCGGACAAAAAGGTTGGCCACGTCTTGTAGCGTCTTTGGTTTCCCCCAGAGCTTCATGTTGGCCTCGTTTGTGCCTTTCAGGCCGATGCCGTACGCGTCGAGCTCACCAAAAGCAGGACTCCTGCTGTCACCCCAACGGCCGTTCGGAAATTCATCCCAGTCAGCTGTTCTTGCAATGTATGAGGTATTGCGATTCCGCCAAAAGATAGGTCTGACGTTCTCGTCCCTGCGATTGAGACCAAGTGATTGTCGCCATGGCAAGGGTTTGTCGAGCGGCAGACCGGACTTCTCTGGAGTCATAGCCAGTTCTTCAAGAATCATCCTAGTAGCCTGTGCAAGATTCATGGTGTAAAAGTGAAGATGTAGTATACCAGCATCGAGGATCTTGCGACACATCTGAACGATGAGGTCTTTGCCAACGTCTCTGACTGCGGCATCGTCATTCTTGTAAGGGTCCAACGCCTTGTACCAGTCAGAGGGAACATGACACTTAGTCCATTTGGCTCTCCTCTCGAACGAGGCGTAGGTAGAAATAGGCATGATGCCGGGAATGATTGGGACCTTGATACCGCGGCCGCGGCACTTTTCGACCCAGTCCAGGAAGATGTCAACGTCGTAAAACATCTGGGTGATAACAAATGAAGCTCCAGCGTCCACCTTCTCCTTCAGATGGTCAATGAGGACATCAACATCTCGGTTATCGTCGCAACCTTCCGGATAGCCTGCGACGCCGATATCGAAATGGTCTTCATAGTGTGCCTTGATATATGTGACAAGGTCTTTTGCATGTTTGAAGCCATCGTCTTTTGCCTCCCATTTCTCTTTCTCTCGGGGCGGATCTCCTCGCAGGGCTAGAATGTTTGTACATCCTGCTTTGTACGCCAGTTGAAGAGCCTGGTCTACCTGAGAGCGTTCCATATCGGTGCAAGTCAAATGCATGCAGGTTTCCAACCCATAGTGGCTCTGTGCGGCATTCACCATTTCGCAAGTCAACTGAGAGTGTCTGCCCCCAGCGCCCCAAGTGATGTCGATGAAAGCAGGGCCGAAATCGTGCATACGGTCCATCCGGTCATAAAGGTTCTGAACACCCTGAGCAGTTTTGGGTGGGAAAAATTCGAAAGAGAAGGTGGCTTTGTCTTGCTCGTGCGCAAGGGCGAGCTTCTTGGAGATATGCATTTTGAAGGTCTGTCGCTAGCTGGAAATGAACGTAGTTGTATGAAACAACGGTAGCGACCGTTGAAAGTGATGACACACCGGAAGTAGTGTTTGTTTGCTTGACCGCTCGTGAACAGTCTTCTTCTGCGTTCGGCTACTCCTCCTCTTTGGTGTAACCACGCAACCGCAGCCTCGCTGCGTTCCTCTCCTTCCGTCAAATCAACCGAAATACCGGTTGCGAGCCCACCTGTCGGCAAGTTCTCGATGCATTGGGCGCCGTCGAAGGTCAACAGAATGAAAATTCTAGAGGATCAGGAAACATCTGGAGGTGTAGAGCTAGTTTAAGGTGCCAGAGGGTTTCAGTGGTGATTTCAGTAGTCGCAGGAAATATGGAGCATATCCATCTAGGCGGTCAACAGGTCAAATCAACAAGTCAACGAGGGCCCACGCAGGCACGAGGAAGATTCCGAACAATAGGATGAAAAAACTCTATGACATGCTCGGTGCATCACTGGTGCAGTGCATCCGAAAACACCAACGGAGAAAATATCCCTTCGCTCCGATCGGGTTGGCCTTGGCAGGAACAACTTTTTTTGGGGAGAGACGAACCAGCACGAACCAGCCGAGTTGCCAGCGAAGAACATACACGTCTGCCGTCTCTGACTCTCTTCTGTTGGTGTTGAAATATAGACCACTGCATGCTATGTACGAACCCCTTTCTCAAACCCTCGCCGACGCAAGAACAAGCCTGTCAACATTCGCCAACATGGCCGCAGAAACATCATATACAGACACCATAATACCCATCTTTCTAAAGGCCAATGTCCTCTCCTTCGGCACATTCACTCTCAAGTCTGGCCGGACATCACCCTACTTCTTCACCTCCTCCCTCCTGCATACCTCGACTCTCTTGGGTGCTCTCGCCCGCGCATATGCCTCAGTACTGAGTGCCCCTCCGTTCTCCCTCCCACTTGGGACAGAAGAGGCTGGCTCCGAAGCAGACGGCTCCTTCTCGCCTCACTTCGACATTCTTTTCGGTCCTGCTTACAAGGGCATTCCACTAAGTGCAGTTGTGACTCGAGAGTTGGAGTTCAGCGGAAAACAATTTGCCGATGTATCATACTCATTTAACAGGAAAGAAGCCAAAGACCACGGAGAAGGTGGACTTATCGTGGGAGCACCTCTCAAGGGTAAGAGAGTAGTCATCCTTGACGATGTGATGACCGCAGGCACTGCGTTACGCGAGTCTGTCTCAATCATCAAGGCGCAAGGTGGAACTGTGGTCGGTGTTGTACTCCTGCTCACAAGGCAAGAGCGGGTAAGCGAGACCGAGCCTCGGAGTGCTCAAAAGGTCGCAGAAGACGAGCTTGGTATACCTGTCCGGGCTGTGGTGAAGTTCGAAGATCTGATCAAGGCTGTCGAAAAGGGTCTTGTGGAAGGGGCCGGTCCAGAACAAGTGCAGCAGATGAAGGTATACCGCGAAAAGTTCGGAGCCAAGGACTGAGCGGCATGCCTACAGATATTAACCTCATCTATGAATGAGCATCACTGGAGCCACCTCTCTCTCGCTTACGGGACGGGCACGCAGTCGGAAAGAGATATGCTGCGTCCATATGTCGCAAGGCAGACGCCAGCCTTCTGCCAGAGACTGGTCAGGCACGCATTGAAAACCCGGACATGGGAAGTAACCACGGCGCTGAAGAGCTGTTCGCCGGCGGAATGATGGTGAATGACGAGCCTGGGCATAGAGAACTTGTTGTCCGGCCATCACAACTGACACACATTGTCTCTTCTCCCCCAAACAACGGATTTCAGCAGTCCGAAGCAGCGGATGCACCCAAGTCAACACCATGCGGTCCCGAGACATGGTCAAGCTCGCGGATGTTATGGCGGCGCAGACTCATGCCCTGAGGGATGATGCCAAAAGTCAAAATGCACCCCGAAAGATCTTCGACGGTTTAACTTGACTAGCTACGGGAGCTATAGATACTTCAATCAAACCATCTCACAGCCACGATCAATCTGCTATACCTGATAGACCTCGTAGCACAAAGGGGTGCCCTTCATTCAACAGCCCACTTCAGACATCTTCCATTCAACGTCTTCTCCATGTTTTTCTGCTTGTTCATTGAAGAGAGGTGTCAGGTCGTGTGAAGACGAACGCACGAGAAATATGCAAGGGTTCAATTCCTTGTATTTGTTTGGTGCCCGCGAGGGCTTCTGGTGTCTAGGTACGGAGTCATTCGACCAGCCATGTCTCCATACTGTCATAAGAACATGCTTTATCCTATCCCGGACCTGTGATGCACATCTCGGCGCTCCTAGGCGTATCCCCTAGTGGCCAGTCTTTTTCACGAGTACGCCTGCCCCATCATTATCATCATCCATAAAACATATCCTTCCTCCCACCCGCCACCCAAGACCGTGGCACATCAACACCGAAAACTATCGAAACCAGCATGACATCGTAGGCCAAGAAATACCGGCATTGTCGCATAACAGCGTACATTTGCAAACAAAAAGAGATTCATGAGACAGAAAAGACGAGCCAGCACCACCACCTGAGAGCGGCCTTGCGCCCTTCCGCTTCACGCCATCATATCATCCCATCCGGTCTCATACAGCCGTATACAGACATAACAACATGAGTAACTGGACCGTCAATAAAGGAAATCATCTCAACGTGATGTAAGAAAAGACATAAGTCATGCAGTAGTGGACCTCCGATCCCGGCCAAACCATTCAAAAAGGTCAGAAGAAGCCCTTCTTGAACTTCGACGGACTGCCATTCGCAACCCTATCCTTGATGATGTCGCCGTCCGTTCTCTGTTCCTTGTGCCATGTGTGAAAGGTGCCAAAAGCAGGATTACTCGGTGCGGGAGTACTGAAAAAGTCGTCACACATGGACTCAAAGTCATCAATGTCGCCTGTGACATCGATATCGGCGTCATTAAAGAGACGGTCGGCGTCCCGACTCCAGGTGGGAATCCTCACGGGGGACTCCATGTAGCCGACGGCCTTTTGATTGACAGGCGTCTGCTGCACAGAGTAGACTTTGGACGGTGGAGTTCTGACAGAGAGGGTTGGAGAGGTAACACATGGCAGCGACATGTCTTCGGAGCTCGCTGAGTCGAAAGACGGGGGTGAAGACGGTGTGGGGTAGGAATGTGAGTCCGAGCTCCGGTCGTCATGGATCTTCAGTTCTTTGGCAAGAGACCCCAGCGTCGTCGAGTCTGCCCGCTTCAAGCTTACCGTGTCGTCCTGTCCGGTGCCTTGAGGTTTGGGACGAGCCGGGCTGGCCTTGATAGGCGACAACGGCGTGATGCCTGCGACAGGCTGAGAAGTTCTTCTGTTATGTCCCGCGCTGATGCGCTTCTTGTGCGACTTTCTCGAAGAAGGTGAAGTTGCCGTTCTGGCGGTGCTTGTGCCGGTCGTTGCAGGTTGCCAGGGCCTTGTGTAGCCCTGGCTTCGCATGGACCGGAGTCCACTCTCGACGGAGACAGAGGAGACTAGAGACCGTGGCTGATTCGTCTTTGCTCGAATGGGTAATTCTGGTAACGGTGCCGTCGGAGGCGTCGAAGCCTCAATGGCCTGGAGATAAGTCATGCGCATATCGTCAACAATGCGCCGTATATCATCTCTAGTCGTGACTGGGTCTTCAACAGTGCTCGTCCCGGTCGTCAATGAGGTGGATGCACCGCTGGACGAGAGCAGCGAGTGCCTTTGATTCGAAGAACCTTCGGAGTGGTCGTCGCGGTAGCTGAGCTCGAGATTCGACGCCGACATGTAGGTCCGGAGTGCTGAAGCAGGTCTGACGGGATCATGGGCAGTATATGATGGCTGGTGCAATGACACAGAAGAAGGGGCGTAGATGGGATCAGGTTTGATCCATGAGTCGGCGTGACGATGAGTAGGAGACATGGTCGGACTGGCGCATCCGTGATTGGGCCTCGACATGGTGTGACCTATTGAACCGTCGCCATACATCGAAGCCAGCCGGCTGGACTCAGCCTTCCAAATTGCTTGTATGGTAGGATTCGATTCGTCTTGTGGTTCGGGGAGCGACGTCATCGATGTCATATGGCTAGGGAAGAACGGTTGAGTTGGAGTTGATATCCCGAGGCCAGTAGCCTCTGTACTGGAGCCATAAGGAGGGTATCCATAATCGGAGGATGGTTGAGTATGGTGCACGAATGTCCCAGAAGCTGAGGACATGGACCGGTTGAAGTACCCTGGCAGTATCGTGTCGCTTGCGGCGGACGGCGGTGGCCACATGGGACTCATAGTGGGTTGGGAGCGTGGGGAGTTTGGGGCCGTCGAAACGACCTTGAGATTGGGTGGCCGCATCGATGACATGCGTTGCGACGACGTGCGAGAATTCCTCTTTTCCTTACCAGCGACGATGAATTCTCCCTCACGAATATCCTCCAGGGTGCGGTCATAGTCTTGTTGGGTGACGAGTAGTTCACCAGAGCTTAACAGTCGCCCTGTCTGGAGTTTGACGGGCCCATTCCCTCGCTGAGGTCGATTTCCCAATTCAGGTGCCTTGCCCGGTAAAGCCGATTGATAGGATAACGAACGAAGATCAGCCGGTGGATCATTTTTTCGCTTTGCAGTCGACGACTTTCCAAGGGCTTGACTGATGAATACAGGCAGGCGACCTTGCGGTGGAGCTGTTGTGTATGGCACACTGTGTAAATCCAGCTCCGAGTCCTGATTGTTCTGCTGAGCTTTCAGGCGCCTCGACGAGAGAAATTTGCGGAATCGAGACTCCATGATCTTGACGAGCGTTGAGGGATCTTATCGTGCATTGACTCGACCGCGCGCGGCAATCGTGGGTTGTGGTGTCAGGCCGATATGTCAGGGAAAATTGACGTGATTAAGTAGAATGCGGCTGTCGTAGCAGTGCCACACTTGAAGAAGATGGGGAGAGAGTTTGCGAAACAGCCTGATGCATTGCATCCACAGTATCTGGGTGAGAACAAGACAGACGAGTAAAATACACCAAGGTCGTGTTGATCATGGCTTATGGAATAGAGGGCGAAATAATGGTGAGGTACGGAGGTCGACCGGGGCGTTGTTGGAGGTCGAGGAAATGAGGCGCATTATTACATGTCAAACAACGGACAAGGAAGAGGCGTTAGACAACGGCCGGGGGATCGTGGCCAGAGAGACACGAGGCGTAGAGTCCGTCAAAACCTGGTGGTTGGCTGAAGCTTCCCGGGGTCGGCTCCACGACGGTACTTGAAGCGATTAGAAAGGGCAAGGAGGTGTCATACCCGAAACTCAGCCAAGGTCAACATGCAAGGTGAGTGGGTGGAGGGCCCAAAGACTGCTGCAGCTAGATCTGTAAAACCGTTACACCCTGGACAACCACGCCGAAACATGCATAATAAATAGTAAATAAACACGGAAAAGCTTGATCGCGTAGGCCCTTTTGATAAAAGGACATTGGATAGCCTGATATACCAAGGGATGCATATCCCAGGAACAGGACAATTGTAGCGATGAAAAGTGATCACGCGCAATCAGGTCTGCCGCGACAACAGTCGTTTGTCCCGAGTGACCGTCGACTAGGAGGGTTTGGGGATTTTCTGGAAAGGCAGCACGGTGCACACACCATGGACGCCCTCACCTCTGCTCCAGGGTGGGACGGGAGTGCTGAACCAGAGTCAGGACCTTTGCTAGTGACGTGATCGTACTGTGTTCTTCACCATGGGTCCATTTTCCAGCGCCGAGACAAACCGCTCGGTGACCTTAAGCGAATAAAGGCGAGCCGGATGGAGGCCCGAAGGACAGTTGAAGAGAACCATCCGGAACCACCGACTCGACGAGGCTTGCGCAAGTTGACTTTAGCTAAACATCCCAGTAAAGGTCAGCAGCCTTGCAGGGATAGCCCATAATTGCCGGACAACTTAAGGCCCATAGCTGTGCCAAGGTTCTGGTCGCATTTCCGAAAAGTCCTGCGTCAAGACTCGCTCTTCAATGATCTGTTGAGAGAGGGATCATGTTGCGCATAGCCATGTAGGACTGAGGGTCCTGGAATTTGTAAAGTCTGGATTTGAACCAGATTCCGGTGAAGTCAAGAGAGTGGAGAGCATCATGATTCGTTTCTCTGTGGTCTTCCTCGACCTTAAGTCGGATACCCACCCGTTGCAGCAGGATGTGAGAATTGGAGTAATAGTGGCGGTCAAGTCTCAAAATTTGACGGGTTGTAGATCTTGTCGGTTCGCCAGAAAATTATTGCTTGCATATACTGTACTTGTCCTACGGTCTGTGGCCGTTGGTCTGCATGAGGTATGCCCGGTGGATCCGTGAATGGTCGAGTATTTCGGAGGCCTCAATGAGTCTTTATCAACATAGCTGGAACCGAAGCTGCCAATTGACATGATCGCTATACTGGAAATTGCCCACACACTGACCAGTCTGAATGGTTATATATGGGAGACTGGATTCTGTCTCGGAGGCATCATATTCTTCAGGACACGGCCCAGAAAACCCATGCTTAGAATAATGTCAAAACCTCACTCGGCACGACCCATGTGTGACACTGGTTGACAGATCTTACTCCTACTGCACTTGCATGCAGATGTCTTGCAGCACTTGTCTTTCAAATCTTTCTCTATTCGGACTGAGACAGCCTTGTAGTCCCTGTTTCGAGGGGTCCCAGCATGCTTGATGTCATACTCAAGAACAAAAGTATTCCAAAGAAGAGTCCAATCTTAAATCAGGCCAGCCAGGTGTCAAAGATTCAGAGCCCTGCTTAGACATGGGTGGAGTCATGTCTCAAGCGCTTTCACTGGGAATCCTTTAGACCCAGGACGACTTGATTATTATTGAGTCTTCTTCCCCATCGAATCCATCAGAGTCACCTACGGCTCTTCCGGAAAATTTGAGGCGACGTGAAGAAACAAAATTGGCGTGGAGAGCAAACAGTAATAATGACAAGTGGACCGACGGGCACTTGACCCAAGAGTCCTTCGAATGTGAATGCGCAAGATCGACCATGCCCACCGAAGCCATATTCCCCATTCGGGTTGGGTACTGTGGTCTCGTGCCTACAAGTACCAGGCTTCAAATCCTGCTGTCCTGCTGAAGGATATCATGAAGAGCACTCAGTACTATAGATCTTCAAGCTCGGCTGTTCAGCCGCGCTGACGAATGCGCGCCACTTGTCATGGCCACTCATGTACTTGAGAAGGCCGTCAAGCTTGTTAACCTAGGCGTCGTCATATGCTTGTGTTGGATGCCCTGGATTTTGCTTTTTTGGTATGAAGAACGACAAGAATGCACGGAGTATAGATACCACAACGCACTGCTTCGACACATCCGCACAGCACAAACCATTCGGATCAGTGGTATACAGCATTGAGGCTGAAAGACCGTTCATATGCCAGTGCTGACTTTGTAGAAACAATCCCTTGAAGAAACAGACGACCGATTTAGTGGTATCCTATCAGCCAGAAGTCGAGGATTTCACCCTACTTTTCGGCAGGTGAGGAAAAGAGACAAGAAGGTGCAAGATGGTATGTGGAGAGGTCCATACAGAATCAATATCTGACGAGTTACATGAAAGAGATGATCAACTGGTTCGGTTGAGGTCACAAAATGTAACGGTAACTACACAAATGCGCAGGCACCGTGACACTCAATGGATTTTTCTTCGCTCCGATCTCCGCCTGCGGTTTTGTGGTGCGGCGGTGCATTCGGCGGCCTGCGCCCCTCATTCCTCCCTCCATCATACAACTTCATCGGCTGTCACCGTAGTCCACACCCATCCACTACTACAACCACCACCAACAACAATCTACCACTACCACTACCACTACTACAATACAACACTCTACATCCGTGTACGGTCCAGATCCCGGCAAATCTGCATATTTCTGACTCCCACAGTTGCACTCGAACTTGCAGCCTTCGTCCTGCTGGGGCAAGGCCCTGATTTCGTCAATCTTGTACCATCACCACCATGTCATCCTAATGCTATGCTACTGACATCTGCATCTTCTGTGTCTGTTTGTCGGCTGTCATGTCACCAGAACATCTTCACTGTCGCTTTCTGCCCATGAGCCACTGCTGCCTCATCTCTGGGTTGTTATACACACAAGACAGGTGACATCCAAGGCCACTCAGTCCGCCATGATCCTCATATATTGCGTTCTCATCGACTAGGACACAGTCAAAGCCCCTATCGATTGTCAACAAGGGCACCGTCCATCGGATCCAGTCATGACCATTCTCGACTTCCTCCGCAAGGTCCTGCGGCACCTCGCTGCACTCCTCCTCTTTCGATCGTCCCTGAAGACCTCATCTGTGTCACCCAAGTCCTCCAACAAGGAATTTACAGTAGTGGAAACAACGGAAAACATTCGCACGTTAGATTCCCTCAAGGATGAGATCATGCGCCTATTCAGACAGCCGTGTAACATACGCCGGATGCTGTCCATGTCTTCCGCAATCCGCATACAGTACAAAGCCAGGTTACGAGACAGTGAGGCTTGTATGCTACCCTCATTCAGCCACACCCTCCCCAGCGGACAAGAAACAGGCACGTATGTGTCCCTAGATGTTGGTGGGTCTACCTTCCGAGTGGCCATAGTTGCGTTAAGCGGAAGAGAGGGTCAATCAACTCCCATGTGCATCGAACACATGAGCACATTCAGGATTGACGAACGAATACGCCGATTACCCTCGAAAGAATTCTTTGATTGGATGGCAGGCAGTATCCAAGCCACGTTAGAGTCACAATCAAGAGACTGGCCGTCCGATCAGCCTCTTCCCGTGGGGCTAGCGTGGAGCTTTCCAATCGAGCAAACAAGTCATCGGAGTGGCAAGATGCAGAATATGGGCAAGGGCTTCGCGTGTCATGAAGATACGATTGGCATGGATCTGGGCACGTTGATCGAGGCTGCATGTGCAAAACGACAATTGAACGTTAGCGTCAACGCCATTGTCAATGACTCTTCTGCCACACTACTGTCTCAGGCTTACCTGGATCCTGCTACCTCGATGGGCTTGATTCTGGGGACCGGAACCAATGCCGCAGTATATCTGCCTACTTCGTGCATGGGGTTGTCCAAATTTGGCACAAGGGATCAGTCTTGGTTTCAGAGTGCTGGTAAGGTCATCACCAATACCGAACTTTCAATGTTTGGAAAATCTATCCTGCCACAAACCCGCTGGGACGAGATTCTGAACAGAGAACATCAACACCCTGATTTTCAGCCTCTTGAGTATATGACTACAGGTCGTTATCTTGGAGAATTGCTAAGGCTGATCATCAATGAGGCCGTCGACACGCGGGACCTGTTTGATGGGAACATGCCACTTGCTTTGACCGAACCTTACTCGCTGGACACGCAAACCATGGCAAGACTCGAACAGGACAGTTCCAGCGATATGGGTGATTCGATATCCATGATAAAGACCACTTTCGAGCTGAAGGTGCCCCCTTCGATCGAAGAGGTGACTTTTCTACGCACGGCAGCCGAGATGATCTCGTATCGGGCCTCTGCTTACATGGCAGTAGCCGTCCACGCCCTGTGGGCGTTGCAAAAAGATGTAGACATTAATCCAGTCACGGACAAAGGATGCCCCAAGACGTCCATTGCATGTAATGGCAGTGTCATCCTCAAATATCCTGGCTTCAAAAACAGGTGCGAGGACTTACTTCGACAGATGGTGAACGAAGCTTCACCAGCAACATCATCTCTTGCCAAAGAATCAATCGTTCTGCAAGCGACTGAGGAGGCAGCCATTTATGGTGCCGCTGTTGCTGTCGCTCTAGCTGAAACGCATTGAAAGGCCTGAAAGCGTTCCAGCGTAACAACATCATCAAATAACAGATATATCTTCAGTCACCAATCCGCAAGAGAACAAGCGCTCCGCTCGCTAACCGTAACAGCATGAAGAGTAACAAACTTGCAGAATGGACGAGACTGACGCGGGTGTCCAAACCTGTTCAACGATGCGTGCAGCGACTGACAGGTGGCCACCTAGTCAGCACACCAGCGCTCGAGATGAATATCATCAGCCGTGCTGGGCAAATGCAAGACACGCAGCCGACACTTCACGACACTGTGAATGCCAGATCGTGGCACCTTTCACAGCCCGGTGCTTGAGGGCGATCAGTGTGGCTCAATCGGTGTGATTGCAGGATCACCGCACTGCAGTCTATCATCGAAGAGCGAAACCGGCTCCTTGTATGGTCAAGCTTTCAGAGAATGATGCTCTCACCAGGATTACTTACGGTACAGGCATATATGCTGTACTCACCCAGCCAGCTACATTCATCTGGAGGTGAGGCAAGATCAAACTTCTGGGCAGTAGAATCGATCGAATGTCTGTTTTCTGTCGATGTCTACCAAGAAAGTCCGGACCTTTCAAGCTCGGATTACAGAGACCCTATAGAAGGGATTGCTGATTATCTCCGTGCTGACGACGGCGACACCAGGCTCTCGGTACATATAGATATATACATCATAGAGTTAAGGCTTCGTCCATGATCTCCTGAATATTCCTTTGATACGGCCTTGTCATCGCCGCAAAGCTCCATTACATTTCACTCTTCGTGCACAGTTGCCAGAGCGTTTTCCGTAGACTTCGTCGAGTCTGAGTGGGCCTGTACCCTGGACAAAGTGGAAATAATCTATTATGCTCACATCCTACCACAGTAATGCCATTGTTCTGATGTGTCTTTTGTGGTTGTCCGAACCTCGCCCGATGTCATGGCCCTGGTGGCTACTGTATGCAGACGACGTCTCATTCCCATTGCTGACTAAATACTAACTATGTCTGAAGCAAAAAGCCATACGCCGACAACCACGTTTCTATTATCTCTTGAATCATTAGGCTCTCGCATTTGCGCATCGCGCATCTCGCATTTCGCTTTTTGCTCATATGCATCATTGTACGCCGTGGTGCTTACTCCTGGGCAATGGCCGGCCGGATTGGTGATTGGACATGCTACGTTATATAATATGTTCTATTCTGCTCACGGCGGAATATAAACTCGCGTTGAAACCAATGCGAGGCCGACCGTGGAGTTTCCGCACGTCCACTCACTGTACTGTATGTGAAAGTAAGCTTGAGAACTAACAAACACGGCGTGGCTAATTCGATCATCCCATTCGCATACCCACTGGACATGGTCTCTCATTCCGCCTTGACATTAGACTTTGTGAGCTCGCTTGTGAACACGATGATATGAACTCTACAGAAAGTATGCAAACACCGAGATACACAACTGCACTTGCCACGGCGGGGTAAAACCCTCGCCCAAACACCGGCTCGGTCAGCAGCGCCTGATTCGGCACGAGGCTTAGGTAGGCATGAGGTACATTACAAAGGTACTGTAGTCCTTACAGCTGTTGCTGCTGTTTGAAGAGACACATAGTTCCGTTGATCACAATAGTGAGAAGTGTAGTTCACTCCAAAGGCAACATCGATACGATGAGTGTATTACTCAAGTGCATGTATTGGAAATAATATCCATATGCGAACTATTGTACACTTTATCGCATCTATGTATGTAGTACAGGGTATCCATGTTGTGAGTCGTGACTACGCATCGCTGTTGCACACGCTCGACGTTCAAAGTAAAGTGCTCTTTATGTACCAGCGCCCAATAATTTCAGAAACGAATGTCGTCAAGTCTCGACATTGTTGTACCCTCGTTCCAGAAGTACGTCGATCTCAGGTCTCCTCACCAAGCACACTCTGCAGCCCAGTAACATCCGGGGAACCTGTCGGATCGCATCGGTGGAGATACTTGGACATGAGGTGCATCAGCTCGTTCGTTGTCGTAAGCCCGCGGCCTTGCGCGACATCCCTGGCAAAGCCAGGAAACCATTCTTGGGGTTCGGTTTGTAAAGGTTGCTGTGCTCCCAAGCATGCCATCCATAAAACAGTCTCTTCATGCTCGTGCTGCCAATCCTCCTCTGAATCGATCAGTGTGACAAGTGATTGCTGGAGTCGAGCATAGTTCGACCAAGGAACGCACGACGGATTCTTGTGCGCGTCAACGCGCACCCTTGACAGTCTGGCCGATATCATGCTGGAGATGACAAGCAGAAATGCTTGTCTCATGCATTCTGATAGGAGATGTAGCAAGCGTTGGCCAGAGAGCTCCGCGGGAGTTGGATCTATTGAGATGGACAGCAGTCGATGCATGAGCGCGTACGATCGCTGCTGAGCCCATCTTTCGGTAGATAGATCTGCAAAATTATTGATCTGATTGTACTGCTGTACTTGAAACCATTGTACCATATCGACGACAGTGGTTTGAAATTCAGGTCGAATTTGGGAGGTATACTGAAGCAAGGCAGCTCCGCCAGGGGCAATCCCGCTGCTGTGGAGAGTAGGCAGAACCCGTTCACGCATCTCATCCCGCGAGAAGAGACCAGGATCCCATACCAGAGGCATCAAGGGCGCTGCACCCGTCCCACCAGCGGTGAGTAAGTCCCAAAGGCAGCAAAGTAGTCGCATGGGCAACTCCAGGCTATCAGTTCCTCCCATGGTTTGAATGAGATGGTGTACCATGGTGAAATGTGTCCTGGCACCCTCGAAGTTGCCCACATATCGTTCAAATGTCGAAAGCGCCCCGAGATCGAATATTAACAGTTCGTTGGCCTCTGGATTGCCTGAAAGGTGGTGCCGCAAGTGTCGAAGTGCTTTACTCATGCAATACTCCGGGCAATCATGTCTGACAAGTTGGAGTCTCAGGACATACTTGGCGAACCCCGAACTCGTGGCCAGCAATGAGAACATATGCATTCGATTGCCAAGGCAGCCCTGAATGATGCGATCGATCGTGTCGAACGTCGTCTGAGAAGTCGCCAATGTCTCGTCCAATACGTCCAGTCCCCGGAAAACTGAGGGGAGCCAGCTCCCTACTGCATATTGGTAAGCCTCCTGCGACCAGACCGCATCCTCCGGAGCCTCCAGGTATGCGAAAGTCTCTGCTGTACTTCCAGTGGTTTGAGCCAATGGTGATGGTGACGGACCAGCCGAGGTCTCAGCAGAGCTAGTCTCCGAGATGTTGTGTTGCCTGGCCCAGCCTACTACACTTTGTGCATGGACAGCTTCTGTCTGAGCGCTGTATAGTCTCTGTTGACGACGTAGAGAAGCACGCCATTGCCTAGCATGGTTGGTGATGGTTCGAAGCTCGTCTCGTTCTTGTCTGGTAGCGGACAGGCTGTCCGACTCTGGTGTTCGATTGACCCAAAGGAAGTCTGGGTTGGTGCGACCGGCTCTTGCTCTCCCTCGTCGTGATGACATAGTACGGCTTTCGATAACGGTATCCCATATTGCCTTTCTTTGAAAGCGACAGGATGGCGCACTCCATATCTAGTAATTGCATGGTTGCTTGTCGGCCGAGCCAAGCCCGATACCATGAGCAAAAGGCGAGTGCAAGAAGCTTCCATACTGCTCGACACGAGCGGAAAACCCTCACCGCATGGGAGAGAGGACATTGTACTCATGGCGTACGTACTAGTCAATTTTCAGATCAAAGGCAAGGCGCATGGAGCAGCGGAACATGTAGATGGAGCGGCAACGATGTACGGAACCATGTCATGGCTTCGGACGGGATGGTGGTGTTGCAAGCCTGATACCCTGATTAGTTAGTCCTGAAGAGGCGGACCAACCACATGCAAGCTGTACGAGATCGTTCAGCCGGATTTCGGAATGCCTCTAGCCTGCTTTGATAAGCAAACACCGAAGTTGACTTTCTGCTTCATTTCAAATCAGCATGCAGGGCAAGCCACCTTGTTTTGGCGTTCTATATCGCTGCCAAACGATTCTTTCCGAGGCTTTGACGTGGTCCACGACAAATCCCAAAACTTAATGCTGCCCAGTCGCTTGAATTGACGAGATACCCTGGACATCGTGCGAATCGAACCCTATTTCATGTCGAGTAGAGCATGTTAGTTACAAGGCTGAACCGCTCATGTCTGCAAGTCGGCGTACTGGCATAGACAGACCAAGAATTTTCCATTCCAATGCACGACGACATCTCGATATGATCCGCGGCTCCAGTAATGGAGCATGTGTAATGCCGCAATGCTACAGCCTGTGTGAAGAAGTAACATCCGTTGATGTGAATGAACGAGGAGCGGAGGCGTGCGGCAAAAGAACGAGGCGTTATCGGACACGGCGAGATCCTACACACGCTTGAAGTCGCTAGGTCACAAGGACCTGTTGGACCGTCAAAGCCAGCTGCAGAATGCGACATCGATCAAGGCGAGACTCTGGTAGTCTGGTAAGAGATGATCCGAAGACAGTTTGCTGAGGGAAAATGCAAGCTTGACATTGTCATCCACCACATTTCGTCCTCTTCCTTTGCTGGGCCTGTGACGCCGTGCTTGGGAAGGTTCGAGTGCGACATGTTCCAAGGCAAAGTATGCGTGAAATCTCATGCAGTGGCATGAATGGTAGTTCTAAGCCAAGCTCTCTGAGCACTTCAATCGAAACCCTGTACTAGGCGATGAAGTCGGAAAAAGATGGATAGCTCGAGACAACGGCACACGAGGGCAATCATTTTGACCATCGTAGCAACATAGAATTCAAGCAAGATAGGTGACGATCATAGCTCAACGTAGCAGTTGTTGGGGCTGGCACTCAAAGGCAATGATGCATGGGTATTCGTCACGGGTGTAAGCTACCTCAACAAGGTGTAAGATAGAGCAGCGCCGGATAGAAAGAGCGGCATTCCCTGCGGCAACAAGCCCCATTGCTTTGGTAAGCCTTCTGGAAGGGCATGCTCCGGGATTCCATCGGAAACGCGATAGTCAAAGAATAATGCAGATATTTGAGATATCGAGGTGATGGTGGTGGTGGTGGTGGTGGTGTTGTCGAACATGGCGTGAGTCAAGAGTCTGGAAAAAGGTTCGCTGCAGGCACAGACGATCCCTTGCCGACAGTCGCCGAATGCAAGCACCACTGACGTACCCACACACGCAAGCCACGACTAACACCTCAATAATGGATTTTGTCGTTGAAGGAGTGCATCGCTGACAGATCAAGCTGACCGAAAAGGACGAGACTCGGGATTACTGGCAACAACCATGGCATCCATCAAGGCCAATTGTCGCAAGGTCGTTTGCATCGGCAGGAATTATGCGTGTGCTTTCCCCGACTACGCTTCTCTCGCCTGATCCATGCTATGGCTAACGATATCGCAGTGACCACATAACCGAACTGTCTTCGGCGCGCCCAGCCCAGCCATTCTTCTTCCTCAAGCCTCCCTCGTCCATTCTACTGCCGGGCAAAGGACCTATCATCCGACCTCGTGGGGTTACTATGCACCATGAAGTCGAGCTTGGATTAGTTATTGGGCCAACACCGAACTCAAATGGGTTGAAGAACCTGCAAGAGTCCGACTCGAAGATGCTAAGTTACATCAAGAGCTATTTCCTGAGCATCGACATGACTGCTCGGAATGTGCAAGATGAAGCAAAGAAGAAGGGACTGCCTTGGAGTATAGCAAAGGGTTTTGATACCTTCCTGCCCATCAGCCATGAAATTCCGTTCGATCGCATACCGGATCCCCATGATGTGGTGATTTGGTTGAGCGTCAATGGCAAGATGAGACAGAAAGATAATTCCAACTTGATGTTGTTCAATATCCACAGGATGTTGAGCGACATCAGCAAGGTCATGACACTTGAAGAGGGCGATATCATCCTCACCGGAACACCAAAAGGCGTAGGCCCTCTTGAGGGAGGTGATGTTGTCAAGTGCGGTCTCGAGGCTGACGGAAGGGAAGTTGTCGAGGCGAAGATCGAGGTAGAGGTGGTCGACGACACCACCGAAGGCAGCTACCAGTTCAAGGAGACATGATTTGTTGCATATAAAGAGACATCTAAGTCCCCGACGACACGATCTATACCATCAAAAGCATCAATGACAATTTCTTGGGAGACATGTGCAGGTGGAAGGAAACGCTCAACAGTCTTCACACGGCAGCTCCATCATCTCCATCTCTGCCTATTGGCTGTGACCGTTTATTCATCGCTTGAAGTTGGCAGAATGGGTATTTCTGGTGGTGGTGGAAGAGGCAGACGTCGCTCCTTAGGGCGTCTTACTCGACTCTGCTCCTCACTGACAACACGTTTGGCAGGGCCCTGTCCGTACAGATACCCAGCATCATCGCTACTGTCTTCTGCCGTGTCTTTCAGGGGCCGTTTTTGCGGCACCAGTTGAGGTAAGAGTTGATCGCGGCGCCGAACAACTTCAATTCCGCGAGTTTCCGGCCTGGAGTTGGTTCTTTGCAGTGGGGGCGTCGTAACCATCTTTCCCATGCACGTCGATGTCTCCTTGTCCTTGGCCTCCGCCTGCGCGCTTGTTTGCTGGACTTCCACCTCTTTATTGGCCTCAGCCGTCGCATTGCCCAGCTTGTCGCTGATGCCCACGGTGTTTGACAAGGACTGTTGTTCGTGGTGGTCTCTATTTCTTTTGGCAGCTGGTTTTCGTGGCTTCGGGTTATTCGACAAGCTAACGTGCGCAGTATGAGCTGTTTGTGTTTCTTTCTCGATGAGCCGTTGGCTGCGCCGCACCGGCTCTGTGTTAGCATCCAGGTGCTGCTTCCTTGCAAGCTTCTTCGACACACCAGTCCTCTTGACTCCTGTTTTGGGCTCTTCCCTCTCTTTGACAATTCGTCCAATCTTCTCCGAATACAATGACACTTTTGCTCTCCCCGACTCGCTGCATGGTTCCGAGGGCTTCGGATCTTGCGAGAGCATATCGTTGAATAAGGTCACGTTGTCCCATGTCCAGCCTTCAGAGTCAAGCCACTGCTGACATTGCCTCTTCCGACTCTCCTGAAATACACCCTCGACAAATCTCCGAACGATGGGCTCTTCGAACGAATCTGGCAAGGCAGCCTTGAGTTTCTGACCCGTGAGGTAGTATTCAGCCCAATCTTCGAACCTCTTTTGCCGCAACGTGTTTATCTTGGCTAATTCCGAGGCTGGTGCCTGTGGTTCGGGTAAGAATCTCAATGAATCGAGTTCCGTAAGAGCATGATATTGGTGTCCGGCATAGCTGATCGTCTCAGCTTTGGCGTCGAGGTCGATATCGCTGAGTATCGTTGCATTGGCTGTCTTTGGGATGGCTACATGAGGGAGACCGGGACTTTGCGACCGAGGAATGTCTTCATGTCCGTCTGCTGGCTGTGAGTCTAGAACTTGGACTCCGTTTGCACCTAAAGAGAAGGTCAGTAAGGGACGTACAATGCCACTACCGCCTGACTCACGTTCAAAACTGTCCGGAACTCGACTAGGAGAACGTACAGCAATATGTGGGACGATTCCCGGTAAGGTGAGTTGATTCACCCTCGACTCCAACGTTTCCAGAAGTGCCATGTCCGCTTTCTCGTCAACAAGAACTTGCAATGCTGCAACACTGGCCTTGACGTCGTCAAATTGCTTGGTATGTTCGTCTCCAACTCTTTCGCAGTCCTCTCGTGCGAGGTCAATTGATTTCTTGACCAGTGGCACTTCCGCTTGTACGTTCTTATAGATCCTGTCGTACGCAATCTTGAGATCTTCAACGTCGCCTTTCGTGGCCTGGAAGGCCGCCTTGATATCAAAGAGCTCACGGGCGTGCTCCTCCGCTCGAACCCTGAGCTCGTCCGAGTGAGTGCATGTAGCTGCAGACATAGTATGACATTTCTCGACCGTTGACCTCATTTCTTTCAATTCTTCGTGGATGGCGACAATCTCGTTGCGGCAGGCGTGCACTTCTTTGAGCAGGAATGCATTTTCACGGCGTAGCTGATGAGCTCGCAGTAGATCAACGGCGTAGCTGACTGTCGTTGTTCGATCGGCGGGCATCCCGGGCATGGCAGCATGAGTGCAGGACAGATGAGAAAGAAATTCGCCCCAATGTTGGGCCAAAGGTGGTTGATGAAGTGAGGGTGTGCGCAGTGGATCAACAATATCCTCTTCAAAGAAAGCAAAATCGCACCAAGGTTTCTTCAATTTCAATCAATTTCTCTACCGATCTATGGCAAATCAATGGTCCTCATCCTATCGTGTCACATGAGAATGCTGGCGAATTCGTTTGTGCAGTCTGAGAGATGATAGCCAACGATTGCTAGCTAGCATTATGAGAGCAACAACGCCTGCAAACTTCATCCACCAGATAACGACACGAAGCCGCGTCTCTGGTATCGCCGCGGCCGTATGCTCATCGAACTTGCATCAACCGGAAAACAAGTCTGAAAAAAATACATAGACTTTTTCGTGCTGCGACAGCATTGAGCCAAGCAGTCGGAGACAGGCTTCATCCCACCTTTTCTCTAGCAGTCACGTACAATCTGCAGCAACAAACGCCGTCCCACATGCCGTAGATGGAAACGATCTGGTTTGTCGCAAAAGAGTATGTTGCTTAGATGAGGTCGGCAACGTTCATTGGCATCTCTTCGATTTGAGTGCTGTAGAACTGTTCGATTTCGCGCATCATGCGGACGTCATCAGCAGTGACGAAGTTGATGGCAACACCCTTTCGGCCAAATCGACCACCACGACCGATACGGTGGATGTAGTTCTCACGGTTTGCCGGGAGATCGTAGTTGATGACCAGGGAAACTTGCTGAACATCGATACCACGGGCCAACAGGTCGGTGGCAATGAGGACACGCGAAGATCCAGATCGGAACTCCTTCATGATCACATCACGCTGAGCCTGCTCCATATCACCGTGCATGGCTGAGACCGTGAAGTCACGGGCAGTCAGCTTGTCGGTGAGCCAATCAACCTTCCTACGGGTGTTGCAGAAGATGACAGCCTGAGTGATGGTGACGGTTTCGTAGAGATCGGAGAGAGTATCGAGTTTCCATTCCTCTTTCTCGACAGCAATGTAGAACTGCTTGATACCTTCAAGGGTCAATTCGGCCTTCTTGACGAGGATACGGACAGGATCGCGCATGAATTTGGTGGTGACTTCGAGGACGTCTTGGGGCATGGTGGCAGAGAGGAGGACGACCTGGGTGGATTGTGGCAGAAGTTGGAAGATGTCATAGATCTGCTCAGTGAAACCACGAGAAAGCATCTCATCGGCCTCATCGAGAATGAACATCTTCATGTTGTCGGTCTTGAGCACACGTCGCTGGATCATGTCCTGGACACGACCTGGAGTTCCGACAACGACTTGTGGGCCATCTTGAAGAGCCTTCATGTCATCGCGGACATTTGTACCACCAATGCAGGCGTGGCATTCAATGTTCATGAAATCGCCAATAGCCACCACGACCTTTTGGATCTGTTGAGCAAGCTCACGGGTAGGGGCGAGGATGAGAGCCTGGCAGGCCTTGAGGTTGGAATCAATCTTTTGCAGGCAGGAGATGGAGAAGGTGGCGGTCTTTCCAGTGCCGGACTGAGCCTGGGCGATCACATCGGATCCCTTGATAACAGGCATGATCGCGCGCTGCTGGATGGCGGAGGGTCGCTCGAAACCGTAGGCATAGACACCTCGGAGGAGCTCAGCCTTCAGGTTCATCGCATCGAAGGAGTCGGTGACTTCATCGTAGTTGGATTCGATTTGGCCTTAATGCGCACAGTAATGTTAGCCTAAGAGTTCAAAAAAGAATTCATCTGGGTGCGGCGCTGTCCGCGACGTTCATGATTTCGTGAACGACATCGACAATGCGCTGGATTTTGCAGAAGAGCGTACCTTCAGGGACCTCCTCGAGACCTTTGTCAGCCATGATTGCAGAGGAGACGATGGATCACTGGCGACGACGCCTGTGATCTGAAAGCGCGGGGTGAAAGTGGCGTGAAGAGAACTTAGGCGCGACTCTGGCGTCTAAGTCTGCTGAAAATTACTTTGTTGTTGAAACTAGGTCAGAGGACTCTCTTTCGTGAGAATCCAAATGTCCTAGATGTCGTGTTGTGATGTTTCTTGTTGTTCAAGTTATGGATGAGAATCAAAAAAAAAATTCGGGAAGGCAGTTGCGGTTTTATAAGCTTGGCGGAAAGGCGGCGCTAAGGAAAACCTGCAACCCCAATCAAAATCGCACTCCCCGACCTTGCGCTGGAGGAAGACCATAGATCCGGACCATATTTTGCCTCTGTTTGCCCGTCCAGCCTTGTCCATCATCTTCTAACTCCGTGCAGTGGCGAATATCTTTGAAAAAACATACTGACTCATTTTCTTGTCGATGAACGTGGTCGATCTAAACCTGGATCATTCTCGTTTTCTATTTTATTTCTTCGCGACGGTGGCTAACCCTTGTCACGTGCCGCACTTTTTGCTGGCCTTAAGGTGATACTCTTGAAACGAATGATCTCAACCACCACTCTTCAGACGGGGACAGGCCCCGAGGCACCGATACCAGCCGAACAGGATTGGTTGGAACACCTATCAACGCCCAATGAAGGCGCTACAAGCTCAAATACCGAGACTGAACAACACCCACTTGGAATTCGACCTGCTGGAAATGCTCTGACATCGCAACAAAATGCGCAGGATGGCATGGGGTTCTTTGGCCAACTGCCAGATGCTTTGCTGTTGCTGCTGCTGGAGTATCTTGACCAGTCGGCCCTGACCAACCTGGGATCAACATGTCGAGGCCTGTACGCCTTTTCGGCCTTCGACCAATTATGGAGGGACATCGCAATCAACAATATGAGTGAGCACTTCTCATGGCGTGGCAGTTGGCGAGCGTCTGTGATGCGCCTTCCAACACCGGGCCCTGCAAAGGTAGATTGTCGGTACCTGTTTTCTGATGCTCTGCATCGGCCCTTTCTATGTTCGCAAGTTTCGCTTTCTCCTTATGTTTCTGTTATTCCAAAACACAACGAAATTCCACGACTGAAAGATCTGTCGCCGGCTGAATTCAACGATGCATGGGTTGACAGACCTTTCATCCTGACAGAACCTGTGAAAAGCTGGCAAGTATACAATGAGTGGAATCAGGAAAAACTGCTTGCAAAACATGGCGATACGGTATTTCGTGCTGAGGCAGTAGACTGGCCATTTCAAAAGTATATGGCATACATGAACAACACTTGCGACGAGAGTCCCCTGTATCTGTTCGATAGGGCGTTTGTGGAAAAGATGAACTTGGATGTCGGTGCCCAGGGGGCGTACGCTCTCCCACAGGCATTCCAGGAAGACTTGTTCACCCTGCTAGGAGACCAGAGACCTGATCACAGATGGCTGATCATCGGCCCGGAACGCAGTGGAAGCACGTTCCATAAAGACCCGAATGCCACCAGCGCATGGAACGCAGTGATTCGAGGCTCGAAATATTGGATCATGTTTCCCAACTCTGTTCTACCTCCAGGGGTCTACATGAGTGAGGATGAGAGTGAGGTGACATCTCCACTAAGTATTCCCGAGTGGTTGCTCTCTTTCCATGCAGAAGCCAGGAGCACGCCCGGTTGTCTAGAAGCCATTTGTCAGGAAGGAGAAGTCCTGCATGTGCCCTCCGGTTGGTGGCATCTCGTGGTCAACCTCGATCCAGCAATTGCCATAACCCAGAACTTTGTACCTCGAGCGCATCTCGGCGCGGCCGTTCGATTCCTCAAGCACAAAGCCAATCAAGTCTCCGGTTTCAGGGACACGATAACGGACCCTTACGCACTGTTTATGGACCGTCTGCGGCAAGCCCATCCTGACATGGCAGCTGTATTCGAGGAGTCCGCGAGCAAAAAGAGGAAGTGGGAGGAAGTCGTGCATGATCCGGCCGAAGAGAACGTGAAGGGCGGAGGCTTCAGCTTCGGCTTCGGAAGTGACATTGAGGAGGAGGAGGAGCCTTGAAAAACATGGCGCCGCTACCTCAGTGGCATGCCACAGATTTGGTGGATGTCAAACCCTGCCCAAACAGAATATATCCAACAAAAGCTCCCACAGCAACGGCAAGCATGACCCAACCATTATACGTCATGAAAAGAAGCCTACCCATGGTCAGCATAAGGGTTCTATGAGGAGCGGGACAACGTACATGATGAAGAAGCTGTAGAAGACTTGCACGGCATACAGCAGTGCTTTTATGATCGTGCCTTTGCGTTCTGCCGCAGCCCTCGAGTCTCTTCCTACCACGAGGAGTGAGCTAGATTCGTTTGACGGAAGTGCGCCTTGGATATATCAGACACGGCTCTGGCAAGAGCGGGAACTGAGACATACTTGAGCCGCTGGTGCTATACGCAGCCATTTCCGCACTGTGTTTCTGCTCATATCGTCTGCTGATCTCGCGCACGCATTCATACCCAGCGGTCAAGAGGACAATAGCAAGTAGAGATAGGATCAGAGAAAACGTGCTCGTGACCCTCCACTGGCGAAAGACAATGCATAGGTTCTCCGAAGACCAAGTAAACAGCATCTATTGCGTGTCAGCAAATGCGCCTGCCGGGAGCGTCGAGGCTAGTACGTACGTTCATCGAACAGGTTCCCATGTCCATGTCTCCATGCCCATGGTCCATATCGCCGTGGTCCATATGTGAGTGGTCCATTCTACGGGGTGTTGGTTTGATGCCGTGCCTTGCTGGGCGAGGGATATGAGGAGTATTTGCGGGTTGTGAAGGGTACCGAGTGTGAAACGACAATCCTCCCTTGAGTGTTTTGGAGTAGTTCGATCCTCACAGATGACGAGGAACCGCAGGCGCTTTATGCCACTTCCGCTCGAAATCTCCACCGTAGCAGAACGGCCAAACACTTTTTCAAAGTCGCGCAACTGCCATAATGTCTCTTTAGCAGACTTGAAAGTGGAAATCATCGTGCCCTGAGGGCAGGTCATCTATGATGGCTGAAAATGTACCGCCAGGCTCAGCTGCGAAGCCTGCGGCCAGCGGGGATAGGCCTGGACTTCCATACTATGAGAAGTTGAGGCGCGACTTGCGCGACACTCTGCAGAAGAAGCGCCTAGTAGATCGCAATATGGTATGTGAACAACAGGCTAAACAGCGCTTTCACTGACGCGGACAGGCTGCGATAGAAGACCAGATCTACCGTCAGGAGACCACATACCTCGAAGAGACCTCTGTTGCAGGAAATATTGTGAAGGGATTCGACAACTACATCAAGGCGTCTGCGGTATCAGCGGCTGCGACTTCGACCGGGGGCACCATTTCTGGCAGTGCTGCGGGCGGCGGGCTTGGGGCAGGCAGGCGCAAAGCTGTTGTCAACGACTCTGATCGTGTCTTCTCACGAAGTTCTGTCTCCTACATGCGTGATTCCGATACTCCCAGCAGTGCGACGAGCACGCCAAAGGGTGCCGGCACGCCTACTGGAAGTTTTACGACCGAGAAAGTGGGTGATAAGAAGAAGAAAAAGAGCCTTGCACACGACGATGACAATGATGGAAGGCCGACCAAACGGCAGAAGACCACCTTTGGCGGTTCGAGGAAAGCCACGGATGACTGAAGGGCTCAACACGCAACACCACGGCGCGGGCATGCGCATATCAACCCAAACATCCAGCCTCACAGTGTCAGGGCATTCTGGTTGTTTGATGGAACGTCGTCTCTGGCACGCAGGACTGGGACATTACAACGGTCCCAGGACGCATGGGTAGTGCCATGTTGGTGAACACAGCATCCTGTCGAGACAAGCATATTACCTCGTCCACGTCCTGGCTGTCGTTGACCGCTGGAGCTGCCGACGCAGCATCTCGGTCTGTAGGCTGAACATCGAGAGCAGCCACACGTCAAGCGAGAATTGATTCGCAAACTGTCACGGAGGCATCGTGGGTACTGTGACAGGCAAGGCTAAGAGGCATGTGTGCGTAAATGCTCAGCCATGGAACTTTCGAATTGTTCGTGCAGGAGGCAAGGTGGTCTAAAGTCGCTTGTTAAGTAAAATCCAGACGACACTGGTCTGGCATAGTGCCTCAATTATGAGGCTCATGGATAGAACGCCCATGCTGAGTGGTCCATAAGCCGCTCCGGATAATGTCATCTTACTACCTCGGCTGTTATGCCGTTTACTAACATTGAAACCCCTACAACCGAATGTATTCATTGTTAATGCCTCCCCTCGATCACAAACCCAAATGCTTCGCCTAAGTCTGCAAATCAGCAGACAACGGATATTTGGTCTATCAGAGTGTTCGAGGAGGCATTTTGCATCAGGAAGGTTTCTGGACACGATGGCGCCTCTCTCGCCAGCATCTGTGGTAAGTAGCACCATAATCTTGATAAATCGTGCCGTCATAACTTTCAAAGGCTGCCATCGAGCGATTCAAGGCGTACAAACCTCCTCCGACGGTATGGCCGTCGATGCCAGTGTCTCGCAAGGCCGCTGTTCTACTAGTGCTGTTCGCCGACACCAACGGCGAGCTGAGGGTCGTGATAACCATGCGGGCAAGCACACTCAGTTCGTATTCTGGGCATGCGGCTTTGCCAGGTGGTAAGGCTGAAGAGGGCGAGACCCCTTTCGAGGTGGCGAGACGCGAAGCACATGAGGAAATTGGTCTACCGAGTCGTGATGGAACCCTACCAGAGCCATTTCACGTTGAGCACTTGTGTGAGATGCCGACGAATCTAGCCAAGACAGAGCTCGTTGTCCGCCCCTGTGTCGCATTGCTTCATTCCTATGATCCCAAGACTGGACTCGATGCTAGCGTTGCAGAAAAGCTGCTGCCTCGTCTGGATGCTCGGGAAGTCGCTGCTGTATTTTCAGCGCCGTTCAAGAACTTTCTGTACCATGAAGATCTGCCTGACCAGCCAAACCTTCCTGGAGAACCAAGTGATTGGTACAAGGGAGCCTGGACTGATTGGCACGAAAATCAATGGAGGATGCACAACTTCTTTGTTCCTGTGACGAACCAGAATGTCACCAAGCCGAAGAAAAGCGATGACCAGAAGGCTGTTGCTGACAACCTCGACAAACTATCGAGGTATCGGGTATTCGGGATGACGGCAAGAATACTTGTTGACGCGGCTCGTTTTGCATACAATCAGGAGCCTACATTCGAGCATAACAGTCATTTTGGCGACGAGGAGATGATTCTTCGACTACGAAAGCTTGGACGACTTGGGGACATAAGGAAGCGGACCGATGTGCTCACCAAGGATGATCTGGTCAAGGCTGCCAACCTGTGATTAGCTGCCGGATCCGGCTGAAGGGGGCCGTGGACCTATGGAGGGTCTGCTGGAATGCGGGCCATATTCTGCGTATAACTTGTCTCAAATGACCCTCGATCAGCCAACACAGCAGATGCACCCAGAACGCAGCCGGGAACAGTCGCTCAAACTCGCATTATGCTGTGGTCGATGCTAGGGAGACAATGGCTGCATTGTTTGCTTGGCCGGGCAGGTGTTTGCCGGCAGAGCTCCCGTCTGCTTGCCTTTCTTTGTCCCTGCTGGGATGTCCGTCTGCGGTGATCCGCCGACGAATCAACAAAACTGCAGCTCCATGTCCATGAACCGCGATCCAGACGCATGGTGGCGGAGAACATCAGCATCTGAAATTGCTGTTCTCCTGTTTCTACCAAAGATGACATAGTTTGCTCTCATTACCGAAGAGAGACAGAGATGACCACGCGTCCATCAACACAGCGCTGGCTGTCTACACCGCCCCCACCCTCAAGGGCACTCTTGAACCTTCAAAAACAAGGACTTGAGTTGTCTGCTTCACAGTCTCAGACCTCTCTGTACTCAACCTCAAGTCATGTATCTGGCAAGTCTGGGGCGTCCGATCGGGACAAGCCGCTGCCACTGGAACCATCTGAAAAGAAGAAGAGAAGGTCGTCAAGCGTTTACAGTACAGACACTACCATTACCAACATAATTCGTATGTACAACGACTACAAAGAGTTGGTCGAGTCACCAGGGTTGCCGACGGCCAATCAAATCCACCACCCACACGACTATCGAGATACCATCGCCCCATTACTCATCAAGCGTTTGAGCATCAGTAAATCCCCTGTCCCACAAATACCCGCCTTTCCAGACCCTTCAGATAGTACTTCCAATCTCTCCGTCAGGTCGGCACCTGTTCAGGCAGTCACTGCGCAGTCGGGCAATATAACTGCTCCAAGCTTTATGGAGTTTTCCCGAAGTCTGCAGCAACGAAAGAACGAACTGGCTTCACCATCATCCGTGGCTTCGACAGACCCTCGACAGGTAGCTTATGATCAATTGGCACCTCCGTCACCACAGGTGTCCTCCGTTGAGATGTCGCTATCCATTTCACGGACCCCTCCGCTGCTTGATGCTATGACAGCAAGTATATCAGATGTTGAAGAGTCTGATCTTCTACCTCCGCCCCTAGGGATGTCAAGCTCAGGTCCACCAAGTCCAGTTTCGGATGAGTGGGAGGAAGAGTCCGAGGCTCAGAGTCCCAGATCAAAAGGGACGACCAACGATCAATCTGACGTTGGCACGTCTGGTAAGCAGTATTCAGGAGAATGGCTGGAGGATGGCATTTTCCAAAGCCCCGTGTCTGGCTCGAACAAACCTTGGGAGAAGACAAGCTTTCGGCTGAGGAAGAGTGCGGCCGAGAAAGAGCAAGAGCGCATCCTGTCATATGCAGCAGCAAAATATCCTGCCATGAATGGCAATGCTGCATCTCGAAAACGATCGCGGAACAGTAGCGCAAGGTCGAGTTCGCAACAGGGAGTCTCCAGTCTGTTGAGGTCTGTATCTCGCACCAAGGAGAAGGCAGATCCGGTGCAAGAAGAATCATTTCCAGAAAGACCGCTGGCTAAACCTGCGACACCTTACCAGGTTTATGGTCCAGAGATCTGGTCGGAAAAGACCAAGAAGAAGCAGCAACGACAACAGCAACAATTTCAGCATGGCCACAACCGGAGCAAATCCCGCGAACTTGTGAATGCTTATCAGAACGGCCAGAGTCAGTTCGTTGGCGTGATCGAGAAGCTCACCAGAAGGACGTCACAGAAGCGACGGCGCAAACTGAAGCAAAGCATCGTGTTAGTCGGTCCAGAGGTGAAGAAGGGCAAAAATGATGCTTCCAAAAGACCTGATGAAGAAGATGGAGCCAGCTGGATTTGATTCAGCACGCATAGACGCTGGAGTCTGGACCTAGATGCATGGCCATAGCCTTGATAGATAATTGAGAATACCAAATAGACTTCAAGACAGACATTACAGTATTGCAAGAGGCCGGGGTTTGAGCTTCTCCAACAGCTGCCGTCATCCATGTTTCACTCCCCGCACTGTTCATTGGCAGGACGACCACGCGTAACATGCTGGCTGGCCTTGATCTACCTGCAGAGCATGCTGCTTGCTTTCCATCTGATTTATAGTCTTCTGTGTCTCTCGTTTCTCCTCAGGATCTCAAGCGGCTGGACCCCCTGATCAGTCCTATCAAAACCTTCCCATTCTCCGCCAACAGTTCAATCATCAGGCTGCAGTGACGATGGGCGGAGAGACGTCCTCCCGTGCCACCTCCAACTATCCGCAGCTGGCCACGGGTCCTGTTGGCAAACTCATTGAAAACATCTATACAGACAGGATCAAACAACTGACCTCGGGAGGTCAATATGAGAAAGAGAACCTTCTAGCCAAGCTATACCACAACACGAACGACGACGAAGACCATGTCAAGATTTCCGTCTACTCACCGCCGGACCTCACCCGGCCGACCTTCAAAGATGCGACCTCCCATGAATTCAAACCCACACATCGAGGCGAGGCCTTCGGTCCCTCGTGGTCAACACATTGGTTCCGAATCAAACTTACAGTCCCTGAGAACATGCGAGATGGTGAACACCTTGAGTTCCACTGGGATGCAAACAATGAAGGGATGGTCTGGACACATGACGGCAACCCTCTGCAAGGGTTGACAGGAGGTGGAGAACGTACAGAATGGATACTTCCCGAAAGTTGGCGAGATGGGAAAGAGCACACCTTCTACATTGAGATGGCCTGCAATGGCATGTTTGGCAATGCTCCCGGCGGTGACAGCATCCAACCTCCTGAGCCCAACAAGTACTATCAGCTCTCGGTCGCGAAGATTTTAGATATCAATCTCGCTGCACGCCAGCTTTATGTGGACTACTGGATCATTGGAGACGCCGCTCGAGAATTCCCAGGTGACAGCTGGGAGAGGCACGAAGCGCTTCAAGTGTGCAGACAGATAATGGATGTATTCATAGCCGGAGAAGGCTCCACTGAGTCTATCAAGACAGGTCGGGAGATTGCACAGAAATACATTGGAAAGAATGTCAACTCTGCCAAGGTCTACGAGTCGGATGAGAAAAGCATCGTCTATGCCATCGGACACTGCCACATTGATACGTGCTGGTTATGGCCCTGGGCAGAGACGAAGCGCAAGGTCGCGCGAAGCTGGTCTAACCAGTGTGATCTTATGGATCGATACCCAGAACATCGCTTTGCGGTGAGTCAAGCCCAGCAATACAAATGGCTGAAGGAATATTACCCGTACGTCTTTGACAGGGTCAAGACCAAGGTCAAAGAGGGCAAGTTTCATCCGATTGGTGGAAGTTGGGTTGAACATGACACAAATATGCCCAGCGGCGAGTCCCTGGTTCGACAATTCTTGTATGGACAACGATTCTTCGAAAGCAATTTCGGGGAACGGTGCCAGACGTTCTGGCTTCCAGATACGTTTGGATACTCGAGTCAACTACCCCAGATATGTCGGCTGGCCAATATGTCCCACTTCTTCACCCAGAAGCTGAGCTGGAACAACATCAACAACTTCCCACACACTACATTCAACTGGGTCAGCTTGGACGGCAGTCAAGTCATTTGCCACATGGCGCCTAGCGAAACATACACAGCTGATGCTCACTTCGGAGACGTCAGGAGGAGTGTTACTCAGCATAAGAGCATGGATCAGGACAACACGTCCCTCCTTGTATTCGGCAAAGGTGATGGCGGTGGCGGTCCTACTCGAGACATGTTGGAGAAGCTCCGGAGATGTCGAGGTCTGAGTGACACGACTGGCCTCCTTCCCCGTGTGCACATGGGCAGGTCCGTCGACGAGTTCTTCGCAGACCTGGAAAAGAAGATTGCAAACGGCACGAAGCTCGTTACTTGGTACGGAGAGCTCTACTTTGAGCTTCATCGTGGAACCTACACGACACAGGCCAATAACAAATTGAACAACCGCAAGCAGGAAATCATGTTGCACGATATTGAGTACCTGGCGACGTTGGCCAGTCTCAAAAGCAAGAGCTACAAATACCCTAAGAAGGAGATCGACGAGATTTGGGAAAATGTCCTGCTTTGTCAATTCCATGATTGTCTCCCGGGCAGCTCCATCGAGATGTGTTACGACGACTCTGACGAGCTTTACGCACATAATGCTAAACTTGGAGCCAAGCTCAAAGAGGAGGCTCTTACAGTACTGGGCTTGTCCCGAAATGTCAAGGCCAATGCCCAACTCGCGGCTGTCAATACTGCACCGTGGAAGCGGTCGGAATTGGTTCCTATTCCGCAAGCTCAGGCGAAGTCCCAAGGACAGAAATACACCTTTGTTTCTGGTGGTTCAGGTCTTGTCAAAACGCACGCCGCCTCGGCGATACAATCTACCGCTTCCGTTGAGGAAATCAAGGAAGGAGTATTTGTGATGCAAAACAGCAAATTCAAGGTGGAGATCGAGGCTGGTGTCATCACGTCTCTGATCGATCTGAAAGCCGATCGCGAGGTCATTGCAAAAGGCGGCAAAGCCAATCAACTGGTTATATTTGACGACAAACCGCTATACTGGCAAGCTTGGGATGTGGAGGTATTCCACCTGGATTCCAGGAAGGAACTCAAGTCTGAGCAGATGGAAATCGTTGAGAATGGTCCTTACAGGGTCAGTGTGGCAACCAAGACGCAGGTCAGCAAGGACAGCTGGGTGAAGACGACCATCAGTCTCGATGCATCCGATGGCCAAGATGACCTTGGGTTCCTTGCTGTAGAAGCCGAGGTTGAATGGCGTGAAAATATGAAGTTCCTGAAGGTCGAATTCCCGGTGGATGTGGTCAACACTGAAGCTACTTATGAGACACAATATGGAATCATCAAACGTCCAACTCATTACAACACCAGGTAAGTGTTACTACAGTCCGGATCGGAGAATCGAGCTAACATGTTCAGTTGGGACATGGCCAAATTTGAGGTCTGCTGTCATAAATTCGCCGATTTGTCTGAGGCGGATTATGGCGTGTCTATATTGAACGATTCGAAATATGGATTCGCGACATGTGGCAACCTTATGCGTCTGTCACTGCTCCGTGCACCCAAGGCGCCAGATGCCCATGCCGATATGGGAAGACATCATATCAAATGGGCTATCATGCCACATCAGGGTGCTATGGGGCCCAACACTGTGCAAGCAGCCTACAACTTCAACCATCCTATGACTTTGGTGTCGTTGGTCGACGACAGACCGAAAGAGCTCTTCAGTGCAATTCACCTTAGTGGAGGTAAGTCGCTTGTGCTAGACTGCATCAAGCGCGGTGAGGACGATGAGGACGTCTCTCGTGGCGAATTGTCACAACGGTCCGGCCAGAGTGTGATTTTGAGAATTTACGAGAGTCTGGGAGGAAAGACTCGCGGCACAATTGAAACGACCCTTCCAGTCAAGAAGGCGTTCAAGACGAACATCTTAGAGGACGATCTGGAGACATTGACGATCTCGGGGAAGAACAAGCTCAGCATCAACATCCAGTTGCGGCCATTTGAGGTGGCCACTTTCCGGCTACAGTTATAAGACGAGCAGGATGGGTGGGATCCTATATAGATATATGTACTCCTGGACAGGGCCCGGTTTTGGACGGAATAAATAAAATCCTCTCTGGTGGACCATGTCTGCAGCCGTGCGATCCCGCTTTCGTAAATGCTCGCACCACCCGGGACTCATTACAAGGCTGGAGCTGGTGGCGGCATGCAATTTCACAAATGACCATCAGCCTCGTTCTGTGGCGTTCGGCTCTTGGGCGAGTTTCCGGTGCGAGGTGTCAGTGTTTGGGTGAGATCCGCCAGCTCCTTAACTTTAGTTCCATGGACATTTTAAGCGAATCAAACCTCACGGTCGCCGGTTCTCTGCGCCGGAGAATCCTTATGCAGGGTCTTGATCAGTGGACAGTCCCGCAAACCATTTGTTGAAGAGAGTTTCGTGTTCCCGTCGATTTGTTTACCTTGTCTTCGAGTAACCTGCGTTGTAACCAGCAGCCATCGGGCCGTGCTACAGACCCCAGAGCCTCATCGTTCGCGCCAGAACTTCACGGCACTACTATCTCGAAACCTTCACTTGCGCTCCAATCACGACATTTGCGCGCAACCTGATGGGTGTATCAATTGCATATCAGAATTGAAAGCGTCATTCATTCATTCCTCCTGCTGAATCCCACATCACTCGGGTCGCGTCCGAAGAGACAACCTCTCCACCGTTTGGGCGCATGCGGAAGTCTGTCCAGTGACGACAGGGGCCAACAATGATGTCTAGTGTCAGCATCGGGGATACCGTCGTGGTTCCTGGTGACATGTACGGCGTTGTCAAATTTATTGGTCCAGTAACAGGGAAAAAGGGAACATTCGCCGGAGTACAACTCGCTACAGAATATGCAGCCCGAGGGAAGAACTCAGGCGAAGTCGATGGGAGATACTACTTCAAGACTACAGTGCCAGGCTCCGGAATATTCCTGCCCCTGGAAAAGGCCGTCAAAAAGACCATTGGTCCTGTCGGCCTCGGTGTGAGGAATAGTCCAGGACCAGGAACACCAACAAGACTGAGCAGCTTCAATCAAGGAGGAAGGACACCAGCTATTGCGCGGCCCAACTTCAGTCAGTCGGTAGGTCCTGGAGTCCGAGCGGGCGCAGCCAGTCCGTCACTTAAACCGCCTGTTCGAAGAGAATCGTTACCACGTCCATCAAGCCCGTTACGCAAGGTGAACACTCCAGCCGCGAAGCCCTTGACGACGCCTAAAGTGAGGCAAAGTGGCATTGGCCTAGCCAAAAGCACAAACGGTGCTCATAGACCAAGCCCACGGCCCTCGAACACCTTTGCTCAAAATCTGCGACAGAGCACAGCCGTGTCGAATAATGCAAGGGCAAGTCCGTCGTTGGGACCCGAGTCCAGCTTCGATGAAACACAAGAGCAGGAGGCAGACTCTACACCGACGCCTACGCCTCAGGTCAATCGGACTGCTGATGCCAACGTTGAAAAGTATGAGACAAAGATAAGGGGACTGGAAAATGAGCTTAACGATACCCGACGTGAGATGCGCGAGCAGATCGCCACTTTCGGCGAGATGGAGCGCAGTTTCAATGAATTGCAAAAGCTCCTGCCCTCGTTGGAGCAGGATAGCAGGAGAGGCGGCGATGATGACGATGACGAACTACCTCGAGACGTGATCTCGCTCCGCGAAGTCATCAGGGAGAAGAACGAGAAGATCAAACTGCTTACGGCGGAGTTTGACGCCAATCGAGCGGATTTCCGCTCCACGATTGACACGCTGGAAATGGCGAGCACAGAGACGGAACGAGTCTATGAGAAAAGGGTCGATGAATTACTAGAAGAAGTCAGGAATCTACAAGACCGCAGTGAAGACGTGGAATCCGTCGCGCTACAACTTAAGCAGTTGGAAGAACTCGTCCAAGACCTCGAAGAGAACGTGGAAGACGCGCGACGAGGTGAAGCCGAAGCACGCGGAGAAGTCGAGTTTCTCAGAGGAGAAGTGGAGCGCTCACGGTCCGAACTGCGACGGGAACGCGAACGCTTGAGAACGGAGGAACAGCTCAACGGAAACTCGGCCGGCGATGTCGACGAGCTTAGGGCGCAACTGAGTTCCAAGGACGACGAAATTCGAGGTCTCAAGGCGATCATTCAGAATCTCAACGAGACTCATGACACTGCTCCGAAGACGAACGGGATTGCTACCAATGGATACAAATCCACCGAGGACAATACCGAAGACGAGGCGGATGAAAATCGTCTTAGTATGCGCCAACAGATCCGTGATCTGGAGGCATTGCTCCAACAAAAGAGCGCACACGAAGAAGAACTCGCGAACGAAGTCAAACAACTACGAAGCAGCGTCACACTTTCCAAGTTTCCAATGTCCGGTGCGGCGTTCGGCATCCACACCGCTATCAGGTCGCCGGGCGGTCATTCGAGAGGGAACAGCGCGGATCTGGACAAGAAGCATTTAAGTACAGGCACGACAGGCAGTCAAAAGACCGTCGTGCTGACCCCACAACGAACGACGCATGGGTACGGACAACATGATCCCGCGGACGATGATGGGGCCGTCTCGAGTGCGTCTGTCTCCAGTGCCGCGCTGTGGTGCGAGATCTGCGAGGAATCAGGGCATGATATCCTGACTTGTACGAATATGTTTGGCCAGCAGACTAGTCAGAGCCAGGGAGGCAGTCTAGGCAGGAGATCAGGCAAGGACGTGGTTCGCGAAGGATTGCGGCGTAGCGAAGAGAACAAACGTCAGACAGAACCAGCCGCAGGCGGGCGGCTGGGTGTGGACGCAGATAGGCCCGCACCCCTGATGAGTCGCAAGGGCAGTTCGACTTCGGTCTCGCCACTAGCGAGCCTGCCGTCTCCTGGGCTTGACGGGCCGGAGGATGCACTACCATCACCGCCACCGCCGCCGGTGCCACCGAAGTCGACGACGGCTATGATCGAGGGGACGGGTGCACAGGCCGGAATGCTCGCTGGACGGGCTAGCGGCGTGATTGATCCGGAGAAATGGTGCGCGCTGTGTGAGCGCGATGGGCATGATAGTGTGGACTGTCCGCTTGAGGATGATTTTTAATGGTGAGCACCGTTTCTTCATTCCTACTGAGGGTTACTGAAGCAGATTTGTTACACGGCGTACAAGCACAAAAAGCAAGCGTGCGTGTGTTTGCTGGATTGGATTTCTTCTTTCAAGGGACTTGATGCTGCCATTATATCATCTGTAATGACTTACAGGGAATACATTTTCTTTTGTGGATACTGTGAATATGGAGCTGGTCTGCCTGTCAGGTATGCTTGGTGGAGGCTGTGTAATATATGTGCGGAGTCTCAAAAGTACACCCTTTTAATGTATAACTTATGCTCTTGAGACTGGATTCTCTGCTTGTCTCCTGTTGCTCGCGGCATGTTGCTGGGGGTCTGTCAGGCAACCTAGGTCCTATACCTGAAGAGTTACTAGTGGACGAGAACCTCAATTGCCATATACGGGGTGATTTCAGAGAGTGAGGAAGGCGTCTTTGACCTGCAGGTCTGAATGAGCCTTCAAGTGGACATCAAAGAGCGCTCCGTGCGCGCTCGCTGAGCAAACAAATCGATGGCCAAATCTGACCCTAATTGACCGGTTCTACTTGCCTTTCGACCAGAAATCGGTTCCAGGCGGGCGTCACGTAAACTGGCAGTTTTCCTGCCCTTACGAGGACGGAACTTTGGGCCTGTGGTGGTGCGCCATTGAATCGTACGACGTATCACTATCAACACCGCTGAAGACACGCTTCAGGGTCAAGGACAGCGCATTGGTTTGAGAATCGATGCGCTCACAGGATCCGACCTTTCCACTACGACTCATGCCATTCGTCAGCCGAGTTTCTTCTTACCGGTTGTCGGCGCTTGCGTGAGGCTGTGTCTCGATGCAACACAGCCCAACGCATTGCGATGCAAAAGCCGCTGTAGCGGAACTGTGGTCGTGCAGTCGCCCAGTATCTTAACAAAGTGTTTCGTGCTGCTGGACCTTTCTCCCACAACTCCCTATGTTTCTACATGTCCATGATTCGATGTCATGGCCCTTTGCCTTACTTGCAACAGCTTCAGCTTGTGCCGGATCTTCAAATTCTCGGACGCCAGTTCAGCAACAAACGTAAATTCAGACTCAAGATACTTTTGGCATGAGCATTTGGCCCGATTGTGTTTCAGACATTCGGACAACATATCCCAGATACATATCACGGCTTCTGCTGGCTGTGGTCTATGTACGTTATTGTTTGATGCATTCACACGCAAAGAAGCAGAGCTAGCACAAGAGGCAGGCCAACTTCCAATCATCCTAGCACGGGGCGTGATAGTTAAAGATGAACGCAACGATCCGCCTCGATTCTCACCATACATGAAGCCTCGACTAAGATCATTCTTCCTGAGGCCCGACAAAGAACCGATCGGCCTTTGTGATGTTGACATCAGCATTGACAACGGTATGTCTTACTGCTATACTCCCCACACTTTTCTACTAACATAACACTAAAAGCTTCCGTCGAATTGGCCAAAGAGATTCCATTGAAGCCGTTTATCAAACTGCATTCACATGCTTATGATCCCAGCTGTGTGGCGCTTGCATCAAGGTGGCTTTCATCTTGCCTGGAGAGTCACGATTGTCCAGCGCCCAACTTGACAGGTCCAAGTTTGTTAACACGTTTCCTCCACGTCGAAAATGGAAGCATAAACATACGCCTTGTCGAGTTCCCACCCGGGGCATCACTGCAACCATGGGTCGCTCTAAGCTACCGATGGGGGGAAAAGAAGCCACTGGTGCAGTTGGAGCAAAATACCATAAAGAACTTGAAGAAAGTCGGTACCAAGATCTCAGAGTTGGATGAGATTATCCAGGCTGCAATATCCATTAGCATGGATTTAGGAATTCAGTATCTGTGGGTGGATGTATTGTGCATCCTTCAAGGTCAGGACTCCGATTGGTTGGAGCAATCCTCACAGATGAATTATATCTATGGACACTCGACGGTAACTATCGCCAGTGTGGACACAGATGGCTTTTCACAGAGCTTCTTGAGACCGCGAGAAACGCAGTACATCGAAATACCTTGGAAAGCGGACCCAAATCAAGACGCCAGTCAAGAACGCCGAAAGTCGTCGCATTTTTACGTCTCCCAACGATGGCCCGATCAAAATGACCAGTTGATTGGACCGTGGTCTAAACGTGCATGGACTCTGCAAGAAGAGCTCCTGTCAAATAGAATCTTGTTCTATTCTTCTCATCAGATTGCCTGGAAATGCTGCAGCGAGGTTGTGTATGAGCGTGGCCCCCAACACGTCCCTTTGACCGAGTTCTACTCCAGCATCGCAGACCTACCAGGTGGAAGACCTTTCTGGAAATACGACCTTTTCACCCAATTCAAACTCCTGCCAGATTACCTGGGCAGTCCGGAGTGTCTCAAGCCCCATGGTAAGTACCTTATCTGGTACAATGTCATTGAAGACTACTCTGCTCGGTGTCTAAAATACCCACGAGATCGACTTGTTGCCATTTCAGGCATAGCGAAAGAATACAGCACGGTCCTCGATGGTGACAGATATGTGGCAGGTCTTTGGCAGTCAGACATGCTTCCAGGTTTGTTGTGGTACGTTGAAGGCTTGGAGCTTTTGGGGAGGAGAGTTGGTGAGTCCATCGACCACGAGGTCAAGGCTCCTTCCTGGAGCTGGGCCAGCGCTCCCTCTGGGTATACCATTAAAAATGACTGGAAAGACAAGGAACTTAAAGAATTAGCAACGTTGGAAGACGTCCAATTTGGTCTGGTGGAGCCGAACAACCCTTTCGGCGGTGTTTCGCATGCCAAAGTCACCATACGTGGACGGCTATATCGGTTTTCTCAGCTTTACCACCCTACTTGGCGTTCGCAGGGGAGTGGCCTTTCACCCTTCGAACGCCACCTTTCTCATATGGTCGAGCTCGACTACGGCGAGAGAGCAAACGAATTCTCCCGTGAAGACCACTATGCCGCTTTATTGTTGGTGCAACAAAAGACTTCATATTTTCCTCGTTTTGATGCTCTTGTTCTCGAGACTTTGCCGTCACCCAGTGACGAGAGGGCTACGGTTTGGAAACGCCTGGGTGTTTTGCAACTGCGCCATTACAGGAAACCGACAATCCCTCCCTTAAAACTCAGAAAGTTCGGAGCCGAATTGGCAAAATCTCTAGACCTACGACGGTCAAAGCCCATTTTCTGCAAGGAAGACATCCAGAATTATGATTCGGGCAAATGGCTCTACGAATCTGTAACCATCGTCTAATCGACACTGACATATCCACGGAGATGAGCTCGCAGACTTGTCTGAGGTATACTGGCCTCGAAATCTCCTCAGACCATACGGTGCCCACCACAACTCACACGGGACGCCTACCTCATCCGCAACAAGTCAAGCTAGAACAGGAACATAGGCGCTACGTCTGGGCATTGAAGCCGGAAGGTCGGATATATTGTAACAAAAAAATGGATCTGAAGAGCTGGACAGATGATTAATGAGCCGATGATGAAGTGCGGCAACGACCGCCTATCACTTTTCCAGGGCCAACAGGCCGGCCATGTATCTGGAGCGCCGTAGCACTTGCAGATTGAAGACCAAAACTCGCCGATGAGTTGCTATGACTGCGTGACCAGATGGCAATTGCTCGAAAGGAAGCAGATCGAAGGGATCGGGTACCGAAGAAGAGGCAGAAAATTTACCCTTTGCTCATTTTGAATGAGATGCAGCAGAAACATTGTCCTCTTGAGGATGCTGTTTCGTGATGAGCACCGTCTTTGTTTTTCAAGTACGAAAAGCAAGCGGGCATGCGCACGTTGGCTGGTTGGATCTCTTCTTTCAATGGGGGCTGTTGCTATTATATCTGTAATGACTGGGTGACCTTTTTCTTCTTCTGTAAATACTATCAACGTGGACGTGGATGTGGAGCTGGTCTGCCTGTTCAGAGATACTCTGTAAGGACCATGTTGATATATCAGTGTGAATACTATTGCCTGGCCAGTGCTGCTGCATCACGCTTGAATCTCGACCTGTTGAATACCTCTGTCCGTCTTATCTTGGTCAACCCCAATATGTTCAGCATGTTGATGTGGGACCACAGTTTTCCCTCGGGAAGTGAACACACCCCCTGTCATTCCACCTTTCGCAAAGAGTAAAGCGACATCTTCCAACTCCAATCCTTTGGTCTCCGGGTAGAAACAATACACCATCGGGATGAAGAGGGCGTTGAGAATGGCGAAGATGACGAATGCTCGCCACTTGATGTTGTCCATTGCAATCGGCGTGATCTGGCAGCACACAAGACAGTCAGTATGTCGGGTGCGGTATGTAGTGCCACCAAGACCGCATGACTCACCTTGACAACCACAAATACAACATCCAGTTCCACGCACTGGAGATAGCTTGTACCTTCGCTCGATATCTAGTCGTGTTGATTTCTGAAGGGTAGAACCATGGGACTGGAAGCCAGCCCAAGCCATAGAACAGTTGAAACAGGAATATAAACCCTGTGGCACCGTATGCTGGCCTTTTGGTGCGAATAGACAGCAGAATCGACACCATGACGAAGCAAAAACAAAGTCCGGCTGACGAGAACATGAGGAGAAAGCGGCGACCGAACCGATCGATGACAAACAGTGGCAGGATGGAACCGATCAGGTATGTAACTTCGAGGCAACCAGCCAGAATGAGGGACAGGTTGCGCGACAAGTCCATCTGATCCTCGATCTTAGCAAGCTCTTCCCGTTGTCTTTGATCGTGGTCACCAGCATGATGTAGCATGCAAAAGTTGAAACTGAGTACTTACCAATTGGCATCGCCTGCACATGGCACGACTTCAGTTTTCGAGCCTGAGGATTGTGCTGTCTGTAGACTGGGTCTTCCTCGCCGGACTAGGTAACCTCGCCACCCAAGATCTGCGGACACGGGTCACCATGGCTTCCAGGCTTTTTCTCTGGTCAATATGGATGGCACGAGGAGAGTCATCTCTCTCGACGTGATACTTGCCATTGCCAATACCAGCCATACTGAATGAGCTGGAGAATGAGAACGAACGTGAACTGAGCTGTTGGGGAAAAGCCAGAAAGAATGAGCAAGGGAATCTGTCACTCACAGGGAACTCACCTCAAACCAAAGATTGCAGGGTTGACTCCAGGAAAACAATAAAGGACACAGTAGAGCGACCACCGATGCGGTGTTGATGCGATGATTACAGTATCAGAAAATAGCAAATGCCAAACCCATGCTTCATATACAATGCACTGCAACCATCCCGCGTAATAATCATGCAATCATAGCAGTCGTTCCACCGTGCTGAGGACCAGGTCATTGCAATGCGAGTAGTCCCCCATACGCCGTACAAATGCTTCATCAACGCAAGCCAGCCCATGCTCGAAATTCATGATTGCCGGACACCACAAAATGATCCCCCTAATGCTCGCTCACTCATCAACAACACCTTCCTCGTCGTCTAGCTTCTTCCGGATCACGAGTGCCATAGCCCGGCGCAGCGCTGTCAGATTCCCCTATTCCCAGGCCTACACTAGGTAAACCCAGCCAGCTGCGGCGTTTGTCACCGTAGCCGACTCTGAAGCTTCCAGAGTTGGCATGGTTGCCTACGAAATAGTCGTCTCCATATTCGCTCCGATATCCGGGGGTTTGCTGCACCCGTGCGAACTCTGCAGCGTCGGTCTGGTGCTTCTGCTCGATCAACTTTCGGGCGATAACCCGAAAGACCTCTTCGACACCTTCGCCATCCTTGGCATTCACTTCATGACAGCTGTCCCAGCCAATATCCTGGTTCCAGAACCCGGAACTTCTCTTCGAGTCTGGGCTGTGAATAACGACATTGCCGGACTTCATCATCAACGGTGGAGTGGACGAAGTACTCTGGGCCACCACCCCACCGAGTTGCTCGGCCACATATGCAATTGTCCTCTCAAAGGTCACTTCGCGGCGTGAAGGGTCGTCTGCAACAATGTCGCTTTTAGTCCCGACCACATGTATTATGGGCATTGCCTCTCCATCATCACAATTCTCTTTCATTTCTGCGAGCCATGTCTTCATTTCTTCCCAACTCTGCTCATTCGTGATGTCGTAGCATAAGAGACCAGCATTAGCACCTCGATAGTAGAGTCGAGATATGCTCCGAAACCTCTCTTGTCCTGCAGTATCCCATATCTGCAAACGGACGGTAGTGGATGTGTCTGGGTCGGTGATGCGTTTGGTGACAAAGGACGCGCCAATGGTAGACTGGGTATTCTTGGACAGCTGCGCGGTTGGATTGATGAATCTAGAAACAAGCGAGGTCTTTCCCACCCCCTGCGCACCCAGTACAACCAGTTTCGCCTCTATTGAAGTTGCAGGAATTGGCTGGGAGCCACTGGTTGTGATTACTGGAGGTGCTGAAGTCATTTTGCTCGATAAGGAAACGAAACAACCAAGGAAAGCTTGGAGCGAAGTTCTTTCTGAAATCCTTGTCTATCTCATTTTTGCGCAGTGGGCTATGCAATAGCAGGAAGCCCAAAGATGGTGGTACCTGCCGCTGAAAGAGTCACGGGTGGTCAGAATAGCCAGCAGTGGTCGAAGGAGGCTCCTGCAACTTATGATCGATTCTTGTCAGCAAGTTGGACTCAAAGGAAAGCACAAAACAAAACAGAAGAGTTGTGAGCAAAGGACGTCGAGGCCAGAAAGTTGCAACAAGCCTGGTTCAGCCCGCGATTGCGCCTCCCAAAAATTAATGCCAAAAGGGCAAAAAATCAGCCCTCTGGAGTGCAACCCCGCATACAAAAGTGAAATGTGCAATCTCGCCAGACTGCATTTATCAAGGTTCATCAACAGGTTGATCACGCACGAGCCTGTTGACGAACAGTCACGTCGAGATGCAAAACACACCTCGGTGCTCACGATATCACGAGGACAAGTGTCTGGCGAATCATCATCGCGTCGTGATGACAAGGAGGTGAGTCGAGGACGAACAGAAGTTACAGAACCACTCGTCTCAGGGCTTACAAGTACATGCTATTTATTGTTTACCAATGTCCCAAGCTCATGGCTGCCTCCGTGCGCCCGCGCATCCCACCTAGCCACCGACAAGAAGCGGATCACTCTTTCCGTCCATACTATTACTTGCACAAAGAGGAGGGAGAAGGCGGCCGAGACAACCCACAGCAAGAGTACAAGGCTGACCATGCACACAATGAATGAACAATTCACATCAGGCGAGTAGAATCCAAGTCTCGAAATCCCAGTCGAGATCGCAGCCACCTCCGAGGCACTGATTTGCCATCATCGAGTCTAGACCAGACCTTTGCTGGCTGTCCCACCTCGCCCACAATGCGTCTTCGGGCGTGTTCACCCCGAGGTGTACATAGGCCTGGTGGGTGTGTCACTGTGATGACCCGACCCCCGAGCATAGCGAGACGGCATTGAACCTCGGGGAACCTCAAACCCAATCACAGAGGCCTATTTAGAAAAGAACATCGGCAATTGCGGTAATCCCAAGCGCCAGGCGAGAAGCCGTGGGCACTGACGCTAACTCTGCAACCACTGGGCGGCGCGAACTCCGTCATGATGGACATCGTTGTTATCCCCGCCTCCAGATTTACTTCATCGAACAATGCAACACCCAATCATCGGAGCAATGGAGCCCCATTACTACACCTCCCACATATATCATATTGTCCGTGAAACTCTGTTCCAGAGACTTGGATTGTTTCTTATAGTCCTCTTCGCCTTCCTCGTCGTCCTTGCCTTCGGCGTTACCCTTTTCTCCACGCCTGGTTCCCGCCCCAGGGCTATCTCTCCAGATCCTGAAAGGGAGCCAATTCTACCTTCTTCACAAAGAGACCTCGAGGCAACATGAACCACGACGAGGGTGAGAAGCCAAACGTTGGCAAACTTAGCGGAGAAGACGTCGCAAAACACAATTCGAAAGATTCCTGCTGGGTTATTGTCCATGGCAAAGCATACGATGTGACGGACTTTTTACCCGGTAAGTGCTGCTCGTTACCCTCCATCAGCAAAGGTGGCTAATCATTGAACAGAGCACCCTGGTGGTCCCAAGATCATCCTGAAGTATGCCGGCAAAGATGCCACCGAAGAGTTCGATCCCATTCATCCTCCAGACACACTCGACAAGTACCTGCCCAAGGACAAGCACTTGGGCCCCGTCAACATGGAGACGGTCCAACAGGAGGAAAAGGAGGAGAGTCCCGAGGAGAAAGAAAGACAGGAGCGTATCAAGAACATGCCACCACTCGAAGCATGCTACAACCTTATGGATTTTGAGAGTGTAGCCAGATATGTCATGAAAAAGACTGCCTGGGCATACTACAGCTCGGGCGCGGATGATGAGATCACAATGAGAGAAAACCACTCTGCCTTCCATAAAATATGGTTCCGACCACGGATACTCGTTGACGTGGAAAAGGTGGACATTAGCACTACCATGCTTGGAACAAAATGCGACATTCCTTTCTACGTTACAGCTACCGCGTTAGGGAAGTTGGGCCATGCTGAAGGCGAGGTGGTTCTGACCCGAGGCGCAAAGAAGCACAACGTCATTCAGATGATACCAACATTGGCGTCCTGCAGCTTCGACGAAATCTGCGACGCCAGAGAAGGCGACCAATGCCAATGGTTACAACTATATGTCAACAAGGATCGAGCAATTACGGAGAAGATCGTGCGACATGCCGAATCGAGAGGCTGCAAAGGTCTCTTCATCACAGTCGATGCTCCTCAATTGGGCCGACGAGAAAAGGACATGCGAAGCAAATTCGACGACAGTGGTTCCAGCGTTCAAAGCACAAGTGGAGACGCCGTGGACAGATCTCAAGGTGCCGCCAGAGCCATCTCAAGTTTCATTGACCCAAGCTTGAGCTGGAAAGATATTCCCTGGTTCCTGAGCATAACGAAGATGCCCATCATTCTGAAGGGCGTGCAAAGAGTGGAAGATGTGCTGAAGGCCATAGAGGTTGGAGCACATGGCGTTGTCCTGTCAAACCATGGTGGTCGCCAGCTGGATACAGCACCCTCGGGCATTGAAGTTCTGGCTGAAGTTATGCCTGTCCTTCGAGAACGTGGTTTGCAGGATAAGATCGAAATCTTCATTGACGGGGGTGTTCGACGAGCCACAGACATTATCAAAGCCCTCTGCCTGGGAGCGAAGGGCGTAGGTATTGGACGCCCTTTCCTCTTCGCCATGTCTGCCTACGGTCTACCTGGTGTGGACCACGCCATGCAATTACTCAAAGACGAGATGGTCATGAACATGCGGCTCATCGGCGCAGCTAAAGTGGAAGATCTGACACCAGATATGGTTGACACACGCGGGATACATTCTCACATTGTGCCGGTACCTAAAGATTTATTGGGAGAGCGCTCATATGATCCACTTATTACAGCACACGAGGGTATCAAGGCTAAGTTGTGAGCGACCGGCTGTTTCTTGTTCCATAAAAGATTTGGCACAGCTGTTATATGACTTTATGTATATAGTTCGGAATAAATGAGCGCCGATGTGTACAAGTAGCATGTCGAGGAATGGCTGAAGTCCGTGCTTTTTCAGCACCTCTGTCCTGGTCTGCATGATGAAAAGGGTTTACGGATTGCTGAGGTAGTAGAAGTCCAATGCATGTGCCAGATATATCAGAGCCACTATGTTGGAAAGGAAAGAATTTGGTTCGGGCTCATTCTATTATTGAGATATCGGAGCCTTCGGATAGCGAGTCATAGATTGTGGGGTTGACGTAGACACCGATTCAGCTGGCTTATGTTACCTTTGTTCACGCGCGTGACAATGTCATTAAACATTCGTGCCAGTGTTGATCTAGACTGTGTCTACGATACGACTGATCGTTCACGTTGTTCCGCGCTGACCCGCAGATTCTATTCAGGTTCTGAAAATCGAATCGCTGCGCTCTTGGTAAGAGGCACGTTGCGGCCACAAAAATCCTTGCGCTTCCATCCGCCACGGCCGGCCTGTATAGAGTTATGCTGCGGGATGTGGTGTGCAGTACATTCAAAAAGCTAACCTCAGCTGCGCGCTGAACATAAGCGCGATGCTCCTCCTCCACCAGACGGGGTCGGTTCATGTCGGCGAAGTTGTGAGGTAGGCATTGGACTGGTTCTACTCCAGCACTTCTGCGGCTAACCGGGCACTAGATACACCTTGACATATACTCCCAGCCTCGACCGCATTCTTCCCCCTCCGACGCACCTCCACGTCAAGATCAAGAACACTTCGGCCATCCCACTACGAGCCGCTTATCTTCATGGTCCATATACCCTCTACGTTGCCTGTTACCCTTCAACGTTCAACCCGTACCAGAAGCATGAGGCAATCAAGGAAGAGGGCGCACCGGAGTACGAACCACAATTGAAGGCAGGCGGCCACTGGACTTCGAGATTGACGGTACCTGAAGAGACGCGAGGCGATGCGTTGCATACCGAGAGCAAGCGCAATGGTGAGCGGAAGAGTTTTACATGGATCATAGAGGTGGCTTCGCAGATTATCTTCTCCAAGACTGCCAGCGTGCACTACGAGTTACTGGTGGGGAGAGACCAGAAGTCGGTGGACTCGGGACTTCATGGTGTTGTCGGCTCGGGTCAACGAGTCCCTGGCCGATTGGAAGATCACCAGCAAGGCCGGTCAAGAAATGCCGCACAATCTAAGGGCGTCTTCTCCAAGGCTGTCAGGTTGGCCGTCGACGACACCGAGAGCCTCTGGAACACTCCGCCTTTTCCTTCTTGGGACGATAATGGCGACGTGAAAGTGGAACAAGGGCCGCAACATGGTGACAAGCGAGACCATGCTGCGAAAAAGGACAAAAAGCAACGAAAGCAGAAAAAGATCCACCTCGTCCTACTTACTCATGGGTTGCACAGCAATCTCGGTGCCGACATGTTGTTCATGAAAGAGACAATCGATACGACAGCTAAGATAGCGCGCGAAGATGCCAAGAAAAGGCGCGCTGAAAGGAGAGCCGAACGCATGGCAGAGGCGAACAAATTTGGAAGAGATCGCATAGATCAAAAGTCAAAATCCGTACCGGAGCCTGCTGTGTCGGGCGGCGAAGGTGATGCAGAAGAGGAGACAGACGACGAGGACGAACAAGTCATCGTCCGCGGCTTTAATGGCAACGCCGTGAGAACCGAACGCGGCATACAGTATCTGGGCAAACGATTCGCCAAATATGTGCTCTCAATCACATATCCTGACCAACCCTACCTCCCTGTCAAAAGCTCCATTGGCAGATCTTTGACGAAGTCTCTTCCGGGCGTACAGTCGAAGCCACCACCCGGAACACAATTGACTCACAAAAACAGTAGCATCGTCAAGGATGAGGGTCATCGAAATCATAATCTTGCTTACAGGATAACGAGCATCAGCTTTATCAGTCACTCTTTGGGTGGGTTGATACAGACTTACGCCATCGCCTATATTCAGAAGCATTCACCGGACTTTTTTGACATAATCAAGCCTATCAACTTCGTGGCCATGGCTAGTCCTTTCCTCGGTCTGAGCAATGAAAATCCGGTCTACGTCAAATTTGCGCTTGATTTCGGCCTTGTGGGCAGGACCGGGCAAGATCTCGGATTGACGTGGCGGCCACCTACCATTGCGAAGAATGGATGGGGTGCAGTCATCGGCAGCCTTACCAATGACTCACAAAAGGCACAGAGGGAGCATGATCCCGGCGCAAAGCCCCTACTTCGCATACTTCCTACCGGCCCAGCTCACGTCGCACTCAAGAAGTTCAGAAACAGAACAGTGTATTCAAATGTTGTCAACGATGGAATAGTTCCACTGAGGACGTCGTGCCTGCTCTTCCTAGATTGGAGAGGTCTAGGACGCGTCGAAAAAGCCAGGAGGGAAAGTGGCTTGGTGGGCACGATGGTAGAATGGGGCTGGCACGAGATGACTGGGCAGAATGCAAGCGCAGTCCGAAAACCGATAGGCTGGAATGACCTCTTTGGAGACAGCGCCGATGAAGTGAGCAGTGAGAGGAACTCTTCACCGGACCCAGGAGCAAGTGTACCTCAAGCTGAGGCCAGTCAGGGCTTCGACTATGAGCAGAGGGTCAACTCGAAAGGACAACCGCCCCTTGACAAGGCACATTCTGGCACCGGCGGACAGCTTTCTCAGGAAAGCTCAGAAACATCGGCGACTAACTTATGGTCCGGGCTTCTGAATTTGTTCAAGCCACATGCGGGTGAGCAGAAGCCGGCACCAAAAGTACCACGGAAGGCACAGAAGATATACCATCGTGGACAGACGATGCACCAACTCGAACAAGACTCAGAAACAAGCTCTCAAGAAGATAATCACTTGTCCGTCAATCATGCGGAAGAACAGCGTGGCGGAAGCACAGACGGACGATCGTCTTTGGTCCGGGGGTCATCCCTCTACACGAATACGTCTGGAAACCCCGAAGTCGAGGCACCACCCAAAACGACATTCTTCGAATCTGCGGGGGATCTTCTCAACCCTCCGTTGCCACCTAAAGAATTTATACTAAATCCATCGACTCGACCAAGAACCATCTTCCACGATCGTGTATATCACCCAACAGACATTCCACCACCGCCTGCAAAACGCCAAAGGACGCTCATGCCAAGACGAACTTCTGCGCAACAAACATTCCAACACGCTCCATCACCTCTGAACGACGACGCTCGACGTGGATCCATTCAGTCAACCGCTTCCAATCCCGAGCCTGGCTCGATGAGGATTGAAGAGAAGATCGCTCGAGCATATCACAAAGACCTTTCGTGGCGGAAGGTTCTTGTTCGCCTTGAGCCAGACGCACACAACAATATGATTGTACGGCGAATGTTCGCCAATGCTTACGGCTGGCCTGTGGTGAAGCATATGTGCGATACTCACTTTGCGTACACCGCCGCAGCACAGACCCGGGACGAGGATGAACCGGCTGTGGAGCGGGCCATCGAAGATGAGTCAGAGTTCCGAGCCGTTGGCGAGGAAGTCAAAGGTCAGACTGACCTGCCGCCCGAAGAAGTTGAAGACGAGAACATGAAAGAGCAGGAGAAGCACTCTGGACCACAGCGGGCACAGACTGACGATGAGGTCGCTGCTACGTCTGCCAGTCCACAATCCCCTAACGGAAACAAAATGCCTACGAGATGGAAAGTGCAAGATCGGTTACGCCCGGAACGTGCGCGAACAGAATCTGAAATCCGCGAGTCAAGAGATGATGTCTCGGAGCTCCTCTCCAAGATCAGCGCCGCTGGGGAGAGCAGCAAGGATGCGAGTTACAGTAGTATGAACTCGAGCCGGGCTGCATTGTCGCGATTGGCAAGATCAGATAGCTCCCGCTGGAGCGATCGATTCTTCGAGGGCAGCGACGATGGTGAAGAAGAAGACGAGGACGATCCTCTTGTCGAGGAATTGCGCAAGGCTGAGCGGAGGGGTGAACTAGACAACGCGAGCGACTCGACTATCACCAGCCCTAAAATCGCCACGGTACTAACATCGAGTCCGCAGAGTACAAGGTTGAATCTGGCAAAAGATAAAGACAGGGATGTTGGTGCTGGTGAGGATGAGCGTTTGGTTACAGAGCCAGAAACGCCCCTGACTGCGGAGCCGGCGGAATTAGAACCTCTTTCCCACTCGTCGGGAGCGAACACGCCAAGGCAGGAACAGAGTGAGGAGCTGGCGCCGAGCGCGGTACCGACGAGCACCGGGGCAGGGCTGGGGCTGTCGTTGGCTGAAAGTGCAGGAGCTTCTCGTGCCGGTGTGGTTCCACCTGTGCATGGTGAAGGTGATGATACAGATGCTGGTCAAAGACCACTAAGTCGAGGTGTCGCAGAGCAAGTTGCACTGGCCAAGGCGAAGGGTGAGACGCGCAACGAGGGCGAAGATTAATGCAGCTAATGAGTACATTCTAAATTTAATGTTGTTTGACAAGACCCTGGGGGTGGTTGCATTTCCTGTGTTGACTGATCAATCGATCGTCTAGCTTATGTGGCTTGCTTTGCAGAATGCAAATATACCTCGCTTGGTGGTACGGCATCTCCGAATACAATCAACTCGTGGAGTGAGGCCGGATGACGAGGCTGCACACCCCTTTTCCGAGTCTTTGTCTGGTGAAGGCTTGGCATGACTGCAGGGATGTGATTGATGTCGCGATTGCTTTGTTTTGAGGTCCAACATCTCGTCGGCTTGCGTGTTGGGGTCAGAAAACAAGGAACGCGTTTGCTGGTCAGTAAAGCTTGATGCTCTGCGCCAAGGTGAGTTTGAAAGCCCTGTCAGCAATGCTCAAACAATATATCAGAGCGATCTCGCCTTGGCGATGATCTCTCCTTCTTCCCTATCAATACATATATGTATATATGTTATTCGTTGCTGGTGACGCAGAAGATACAGGTTGTGCTGACGAGACGGCACGTTGAAAATCTGTTGGATTACACCGAACAGCTGCACAATTCTCGTTTGTTCATATGGAAGGATGAGCCCTCATAGGTGTGGTGTGCTTTGGCAGCAGCGCCGTCAGTATCTCCATGACAGGTTCTCGACGTGGAACAAGAACACGTCTTCGGCGGAGGCGGAACACGTCAAGGGAGCTGCAGCGGCGGCATATCCGGAGGACCATTTCAAGCTCTACCAGAAACCTGCTGACATGACGCCGAAAGCGCGACGGATTGCTTTGGACGCATTCGACCATGTCAGGGATGTACACAACTCTCTTGCAACCGAGATCGATTAGATGAATATCAACCTATGTCTGAAGCAATGACATGTGGAGAAAAGAATCGGAAGCAAGACCACAGTCCTGAGTTCATTGCTCGGCCTTCACCTGACGAAGACCATGTCATGAATCTCCTCCAGCCATCAGCTTCGGGGACTGCAGCTCAGTCACATTTCACCTGCCAACCAGTACTCCGTCTTCAGATACGTACCTAGCCATCTCTTGCTGCGGAAGAGTAGAAAAACAAACATCAACACATACCACTTTCGTACAACACCGTCAAAATAGCTGGCGACAACATCTTCTGGGCGAACTTCTTCTTCGGCAAACTGCGAGATTGGTGGTATGCTGGACGGCAAGCACCCCGAACGATCAGTATCCCTCTCGACGCGACCCACGGTATCTCCGTTTATCTTCGACTCGCCATCATGGATGGAGGAATTCCTTGGTGCAAATCCTCAGAATGATACCATCGTGCTCAACGTTTACGTCCCCTTGTCGACAAGCTTACAACACCCTGTCATCACACCAAATGACTCGTCTCCACTACTCGACTTTGGAAAGGTGCCAGTGGCCGCGCCTGCAATCAACGCAATGAGAGCGATCCTTGGCCACTACGAAACACCGACTCCTGGGGACGCCTGACCAGATTGACCATCGACTATCCAGACGTGGAAAGTGACATGGCTTTCATGCAGCCTGTTGTCTTTGTCAATGCGGCCGCCATGTGGAGACGTTGGTTGGTAGTGATGGCTCGCATTCCCAGTGCCTAATCCGTCAAATTCCTAAAGCGGCTGTTACTGTGGCTCATCATTGTTCACATTCCCCGCGATTATACAAACACAAGCCAATCAACCCCATACAAAACATCATCTCCGCCGTCACAGTCACGTCGGTCTCTTTGTTCTCCACCTTACAAAAACGCCATCTCTTCGAGTCAATTCCTGGACCGATCCTGCTTCAACAAAACAACCGCAGAAGCATACATCGGCACGATGCCTAAACCAGTTTCTCTCGCCGAAGCGCTGGGAGCAACAGCTCCTCGCCGCAAAGGTGCTCGTAAACCTCCGCCGGGGTCGAAAGCAGAACTTGTCCTCGAGGCGGACCACCCATTCTGGAGTCTGTGGTTGGCTGGGGAAAATCGTCTCACAATAGATACGCAGAATCATATTGCCATCCACAAGGACACAGTCAACGCAATTCACGGACTCATCCAGGCTGCTCTGCTCGTCGTCAAGGATGAAAAATACAAAGACCACCCTAAGGTCAACGTCTTGGATCTGTATGCGACTGGGTGTGACCAGGCCATGAAGTCGGAAACTTTCCGCAAACCGGGCTTCTATTGCGGTGATGAACATGGCAACTACAATATGTACGAGGAGATGATGGTGGAGCGCGCGGCCGAAGCTGAGGAGATCAAGGTTCTGGAGAAGAAACTCCGGGAGGCCAAGGCAGCCAAAGTGGCTCGTATCAAAGGCATGGGCCACTCGGACTCGGAGGAATCTGAAGTATTTTACCGGGAGGGAGATGAACGTCCATATCTGTTAGGGAATGGGAATTCGTCGAACGAGGACGAGCTTTGATGTACTGGTAGATGGTACATGTACTTCAGCAAGAGTAGACTGGTATTGGTAGTCTTCTTCAATCGAACTTCACTTGGTGCAGGCTAATCTTCACCTCTCTCTGACAGCTCATACATCTCTTTTCCACTTTGTCATTCTGTGATACTTCTAACTCCATCACTTCCAATCTTCTCAGTACCCTCTCGGGCTATCACCAAAATCTCCTTACTGCATTTGTCGTACTCCCGGGTAACATCTGTGCTAAGAATCATGGCTACAAACAACGTAAGTATGCGCCGTTCCCTGTATGTTTATTACTGACAAGGGTCCCCATCAGGGCTCGGATCCCGGGCAGCTTCAAGAGCTTGCTACTACACCTGTGCGTAGCGTCGTTGTCCACTCTGCGGACTCGGTCGTGCGTGAAGGAGCACTCTATGCTTTGCTCAACAAGCCTGGACCTCCGGAACCCGCAGTGAACCTCATCTATGAGCTTATTGAGGTCTGCATGAAAGAAGGTTCACCTGAAGCACACAATGTGAAGCTAAAAATTCGGGATGAGCTTGAAGCCCTTCTGAGGGACAAATGGGGCAACTCACTAATAGTTTCGTTCATGCGCTCTCGCGGGGCCAGATCGAGAGTCAAGACACGGATATCCAAGGAAAGACTGAAGCTGAAGGTCAAGGCGTTGGCCGGAGAGCTCTCCAAGAAGGCGAGTCAGCTTGAGTCGACATTGAATGCTTACTGCATTGATCAGGAGGATCCCTCCAATGGTGGTGACCGCACAGCCAGCCACCCCCGCGAAGGTATTGCACGCAAGCGAAAGCGGGAGGACGACCTTGACAAAGAGTTCCAGGAGCTTGAGGACTTGAAGTGGAATGGAAGAAACTCCGAACCGAGCTAGATACCGGACATCTTCTTGAAAATCCTTAACTTACGAAAGGTACTGCGAAGAAAGCAAGCTGCTAAAGCTGGGCTTACCGAGCACTCTGGTCAGTGTGTTGGGAAGAGAAGAGGTGTTGACAGGACGCTCAGGCTCAGATGCTGGTTATGGCCTTGGATATTGTGCTTGGTGACAGCATGGTATTGCGATAGTTACACATCTTCTTTCTACTCATCCCGTGAACTCACAAGTCTCGGAGGCCGTCGTACTGAGTGACGTTCAGATCAGTAAATATCAGACTTCACTTCAACCTTACTTTCATGTATCCGTCTCTCAACATTCACCAAACAAGTACTCGTACTCTCACACTCTGATTTTCTTCTCTACTCTGTTGTGACTGAGCTTTCTAAGTAACTTCCACCACCAGGCAGCCTGAGCCGTGCACACCTAATTTCCAGAATCAAGAAACCATCGGGAGAGTCCTTTTCACACGATGGATCCAGCCATTCGTGACCTCTTCTACGAGCTCTTCGTCATCATCAAAGACCCGAAATCCGGAGAAGAGCAGCTCGACCTTGGCGTCAAGATCGCTCTCGAAATCCAAAACAAGCTGAAGACTGACCCTCAGTACACCACACAGCATCTGCCAGACCTCGACGCAGCCAAGGAACGGATTGGACTCAAGCTGGCCATGGAGAAGAGGGTCAAGGAGATCAAACAGACCATGGCAGAAGCCCTCAACAAGCACCTTGCTGCAGCAACCTGGAACGGCACCGGCGGCGAAGATGATTATGAGAACAAAGCGAGTAGGGACGCAGGCTCGAAGCGCAAGCAATTGGCGGTCGACGACATGGACGAGGCCTTGAAAGAGCTGGGTCGATTGAAGAAGAAGCTGAAGCGGGACACCCAGCCAGCGCCGAAGGGAGAAGTGGCCAATGTCAAGGTCGAGCAGAAGGCGCCAGGAGACGCAAATCCTGCCAAGAAGGAGCTCTCCAACGACACCACCACAGTGCTTGGGGGAGATGGAAATCCACCAGCAATGACAATGTCAACATTTGATTGGAGACCATTGCGGTATCTACCACCACCTCGGGGACTTCGCCCTTCCATAATGAAGTGGCCACGACCTTTGCCGGGACAACAAAGCCAGAACCCTTAGTGTCGCTGGCTCTGCTCTTGCACAATTCGAAAGGTAGCACACCACCCCGGGGAATCTTCCTGTTACACTCTGTTGTCTCAATCAGCAGATCCAGCGGAAATTGGGGGAAAGTGGAGCTGGGCTGAGCTGAAGAGTCCTCAAACAAGGTCATGGTCGAGTGTACCATAGAGCTTTGCATGGAAGGTTGGATTTGACTTCTTGTGTATGTCGGTGAGGGAAAATCCTGGAATATCCACATCTACATGCTGGGCTTGCGTTGGCTCCGAAGGACATATCACCCGAAAAAGAATTCACGTTGAATCACCATCAATCAGGGCGAAGCAAGATGTTTTATGTTCATAGCTAGGCTGTTCCCCCTTTGGATGAGCATCGCATATCTGACGGGGCTGGATATCTGCAAAAAGGATCTTGCTATGAACTACAGAAGCAATAAATCCATCTCAAGTTCGCGCATCACTTCTCGCCAGTCAACCCTTGTATCAGCTATTCCTCGTCCTTCGACGGCCGCTCTCGATCTTCGGACATCCCAAATATGTCTCAGCAGAATCATATAATTTGACATGTTTCTCCCAGTACGTGCAACCCTCTCAAGAAGAGTCACGAATTTGGCCTGGTCATCTTCTCTGTAAGCCTCGGCTGCAGCCACACAGACAGGCCATAAGGTGAAGCTGCCGCCGCATACTTCAAAGAAGGCCGATAGAAGATCGAGAACGGTGGTGACCAGATATGACAGTTGTCTAGGCGTTGTGTCATCGCAGACTTGGTAGTAATATATTACCGTGGCCGCTTGGAAGGCTTGAAGATGCAGATGTTCAGGATCTTGCACTAGGTAGTCGAGTCTTGTAGACAGGGCAAAGACTTCGCGTTGATACCTCATGAGCGTCCGGGTTAAGCGCAGAGGTATGGTTGCGAGGTAGCCGTCCGCATCGCTCGCTTCAAGCTGCTTTGCACAGGTATTGATGTCTGCAATCGTTTCGATGACAGAGCTCGATGTGCCCATCGTCCATCCGTAACCAGGATTACACATAACTTCTTGGGCCAAGACATCGCTATTGTCGTGTGCTTCGGTGTTTTGCGCAGCGTTTCCGTCGATGAAGCCCGTGGAATCCGCGCCTGTCTTGAGCAAGTGGAAGCTCTGAGTTACATACCAGGCGTCTGAAGAGTGTAGCCACGTTTTAGACTTCTGTTGGTGCTGAAGGAAGCTCCAGGCAGCCTGCAAGTGATGTCTCCAGGATTGAGTACTGCCGCGAGACAACTATGAAGTCAATCAGCAAGCTTTGTGACAGCTAGCATACCAAGAAATGGAGAAGATACCTCTATTAATAGGAAGGTGAGTACTGTCGTCAGTAATCCAATATAGTCTGTTGAGCCTTCCCGAAGATAAGCACGAAGTTCTGCCATAGCTGACGAATAATATTTTGACCCTAGTGCAAACATGGTGTCTTTATCGTAGCCTGTGTGGCCAAGAAAGAATGCAGCGTGAGCCAGTAGAGCATGTAGCAGATGGTTTCTGCCCTCCTGGAAGCTCGAGTGCAGAGCAATTGCAGGATACCTCAGCCATGGGTTTTGTGCTCCGTGGACGGGTACCAATGTTGGTGTTACCGCATTGAGATAGACACTGAAGAGGCTCGCCTGGGTAGACGTAATTCTGTTTTCAGCCCTAATCAACAGTGGGATAGACAGCCCAATGAGACCAGCAGCAGGTGCCGACTCGAGGCTCTGGTCTTGTGGGATGTCGCAAAATGACGAGAAATCCTGCGCTGAATTCTCTCGCGAATTCTCTACAGAGATACCATTGCCAACTATGGGTATGGCTCCACCGCACGCGTCTTCGCTCTCTGTGGCGACGCAGATTCCAGGAATCCTAGCATCGACCCGGGACGACTCTAGGAAGGCTCGGAACGCCGAAAATGGCAGACAAGACGTGAGATGTGCCTGGCCCTGGCAGCCAATGTCGCAGCCGCTGATGAGGCCGTCAAGTTCGTCCGAAGACAGAACAGGTTGGTTCTTCCAAGTCTGGTCTGCTTGCAGATTAGTACGGCTAGTTCTCGCATGAAAATTTGAGCTCACACGGCTCTAAAAAGCGTCTTCCGTTGTGTCGATACTTCCTCTGGTCGGCCGAGACCCACACCAAGTTTCGCTGATACCCGCTACATACCAGCCCAGCTTTCCTGCATGGGGTACAGAACGGTTCGAATCTGTCGCACTATAAGTGTTCAGTGGGTGTTAAGTCAACGGAATTTCATGTATTACCTTCACTTTGCGCTCGCGACACCGCCAACATCCCTTGAACCAGTCAGCACGAAGATGAGATCAGCCGCACAATGTGGGACCAACCGTGAACGTTCTTTGGTAAGTCCGGGAACGGCAGGGCATACCGAGGTCTATCACAGGGGCACCAAGTCCAACGATGTGTTCATCATGCTCTTCATTGACCACTAATTCGTGCTTTCGATAGTTGTCTTTGTCTCTGGCGCTGCTGGTAACGGCACGGCAAGGTGGACGTCTATCTGCGGCGATCCAGATGCGATACTGCGCCGTGACACACCTGTGACTGATCCGAAGTGACAGTGGCGGACACAGGCTGGAAGTCAGGCTCGACGAGATAGATCATTTGAAGATTTGATTCACCGAGGCAGTCCATACCGACGAAAGGGTCCAAGGCTCTGGCCCCTCTCTGTCAGCAAAGGGCGTAGAGTGGGGCCGCTAAGACGTCAACGATAACGATAAGGGTGTTGCAATATTTGGGATGACTGCAGCAATGACTAGCATCGATTGTACATTATCCTCCGGCTCATCCTTTTATGTACTCCTACTTTTAGATTGAAATGCCTTCACAACGGCCTCTGCCATGTCCCCAAGTGTGGAATAAGTCGCCCCAAGTTCAATCAGACCCTGCTGCTCCATCTCATCTTTGATACCACCCATAGCGGCGCTCTCCCTGGCTATCCAAACCCCGGGTCGGAAACCCAAAGCTTTCGTGGATATGTGATCAATGTCCAGGCTCTGCGCCACCAGAAGCATTTCATCCTTCTTGATCGAAAAGTCCGCCTCCAAACGCTTGACGACATAGTGATAGTTGTTTGGATTGGGCTTATAGGATCCAACCGTCTCCGCGGTGTAGATACCGTCCCAATGCCCGCCTTTCAAAGGTCCTGTCCGTGTTCTTTCGAAAGAAGCATTGTCGACATTACTGAGTACAAAGACCTTGTAATACTTGCTAAGGGTTTGCATCGCTTGAACGGTGTCTGGGAAGGCTGGCCAATCTCCTATGCTCTGTCCAAATGCTACTTGGTCTTCTTTGCTGAGTTTGGCGCCTAGCTCGCTTGCCATGCGTGCATAGATTTCCTCGAGGATCTGTGAATATGCGAGGGTCGGGTTTTCGTGGCCAACGGCTTTGTCATGCTTAGCGAAGGCGCGAAGTAACTTGGTACGAGACTCGGGCATTTCATCGAGACGATCGCTTGCTGACTCTGCTTTCTGACTCAAACGAAGTAGTTGTGGATAGATACCTGCCTCCCAGTCGATCAAGGTGGCATAAATGTCGAAGAACAGCGCTTTGGCCTGTGTCAGATCTAAAGCCATCTTGCGTTCTCTCTTAATGTGAACAGCGTCTGTGAATTGCAAGCAGTTTCAAATAGGAGAGTTGCGCGATTGTGAGTATTTGTTGCGGAGGCATGATACTTTAAGATCTTGTGCTGTGGAGAGGTTGTGCGGATACGGCAGATGCGGTTCCAGGCCCCTGGGGAAGTCAATAGCGACAAGTGCATGGACTCCACCAATGTTGCGGGTAATGGGGGTAATTCTCCACATAACGAGTTCTTCGACACCGACGATGTCCTGAAACAATATCTCTCATAGCGAGGGACGCCTTGAGGTTTTTTGGGGTCCCTTTGCGACGTGAACTCGGTCTTGACCGGGCGCGTCATGGGCCAAGGCAGTTTGGACGCTGTACGGCACGTTAATACTTGATTCATGTGCGATCCGCAACTACTTCATTGCTATGACTCTTCCAGAATCATCTTGGTGACGAGCACAAAGGACATATTTGTGCTTGTCTGTTTACTAGAGAGGGGTATTAGTATTTGCACATTTCCCATCAAGAAAGTATTCCTCACAAACTGAAATGTTACTCGAAATGTACCTTACCAGTGCTTGATATATGAAAATAAAGTATGTCCAAGGCTTGAGTGCTCATGGACAAGATATTGGTCGCTGATTTGCGGCTTAGGCCAGACTATTTCGTTGCGTGCCTCACATACGATCTGACGGATTGCTGCCTTGGAACTATCGAACGATGCACACATGATGGGCATTGTGCGCATTCCATTGCGCGGCTAGGCCAAGTGAAAGGCAAAGAGCACGTCTCTACTGCCTTACACAATTCAGGGCAGTGAGTGAAGTGGCCGCAGTGACAGCCATGTTGAAGGCAGTACAAAGGACAACTGCCTTGAATTGGCAAAAGCACTTCAAGACTTCACTTTATCTTATTCACCATGGCAGGCAGCGACCATTTCATTTCATTTCATCCGAAACAAAAGTCTCTTTCTCACTCTCTCAAACCCTCACTCTCTCAAACCCTCACTCTCTCAAACCCTCACTCTCCTGCCTTTTCTCTACCGCTCAGACACCATCAGTATCCAACGCTCACGCCGGTGCCATCGAAGACCAACAGAACTTCACTAACAGTCTCTTTGTCCATTGCCATCGAACCGCCACCAAACATCAACGTCCAGGCCTCTTCTTTTACCATCGGAAGGCAACGAACACAGAATGGCTGCTTCAGGGGCCTTGAACTTGGACGTCGTCTCAAAGCGATTGTTATTCGAACTCCAGGCGGCCCTCACTTGTGAACACCACTTCCACGACCAACGCCTCCTGATCAATCATGTCGCCGCTGCATTGTGTGAGCACATGATACCTCAAGTCGTTCCTTACTACCAACCAACCCATTTTATTCCTCGTGATCTTCAGGCACAAGCACGACAAGATTTGGACAAAAGATTGAAAGACATTCAGTATACCGGCTTGGTTGAGGAATTCGTACCGAAGATTTCAGACCTTCAGGAGTTGGGAGAGAAGCTTGATTTTGACGAAGAGAGTGCGTCGAGCGACCTGGAAATGAAAGTGGAGGAAATAGTTGAGCAAAAGAAGAGAAAGCATTTTGAACAGCTCGAGCAGAAACTAGATGAGATTGAGAATTGGCGCAAGAAGATGAGAGTAAACATCTTTGGAGATGCGGCGCAGGCGACCGTTGAAGATGAGGCACCTATCATCGAGACTCCTGCCGAAGACGTTACAGATGTCATTAGATCTTCTGTGGAAGACGTGACAGCGGTCATCAAAACTCCTGCTCCTGAGCGTCCACTCACCAATGCTCTACCAGCCACCGCAACATTCCCCACAGGCGGCTACACACCCACAGTGTCGTACCATTCGACCAGCACCAACGACGGCAACCAGGAGCGCTCAATATCGCCACTTGCTCGCTCATCGCCCACCATCGCGAGCCGCTTCGCCCTACCTGTTTCCACCCAGCGGTCAACCCACGAAGAAATCCTACGACTCGTTGGCTGCAGAAATTCTCCCAAGCCGAAGAGCTCGAGGGCTCCAGTGAGAGTGAAGGTTGAGCATCATGATGAGGAAGCCGATGACTTCTTCCGCCCGCTCTGAAAAGTGCTGTAAGCCGCATGGTTGGCGGGGCTTTAAGTGTACAGACGACAGTACGTGGGGTTGGGGCAGAGCGAAGGTGGCCAACAGAGCAGAGATCAGCGAGACTGTGGATTGAGACTGTGGGCAAAAGATCATTGTTGTAAGTCAAAGAGCGACACAGGCTTAGATGAACTTGAGCATTAGTGGTCAGCGGCGATGAATCAGCTTCATCCAGTACTGTATGTGTATCAAGAGCATTGCTAGGTAGTCCTGTCCGTCAGGGGGATGCAGTTGTCAGATATTTCAAAAGGGTGAATGACTTGTACAAGCAGCGCATTTCCCACGGGGACAGATCGTTTCCTGGTTTGATATCACCTCAATGCGGTAGTCGTGAGCCACAAGGTCGGATCTTATTACGCAGTCCGTCACAACAGCGAAAGGACTGAGATAAGTACCTAGGCGCTTGTAGCTCTGATTTCGTCCTGGTACTGTAGGTTACGACTACTTGGCTTGCGTAATCAACCCACCGCAGATTCCCCAATAGCAAATCAGCATCTTTACTGCGGACACGCCTTACCCGAGTTTTTTCCACTCCCTCAGCACATATCCTGTGGACGTAAACCTCCTTATGTTCTGTACATTAAAGTACTTCGTTCCCACGTGCTTGACATGATCACAGGGTTCCTGCATAGGTGTGAGATTGTGCGGCGGTGTCAATGTCCAGATCCCTGCAAAAACAGGTCGCCAACACCGCAAGGGGAGTTAGGTTTTTGGCGAAATTCCTTAGGCTTTTGCCCCGAAGATTTTAGGTCAACGCCGCCGTGGGCCCCGAAAAAGTCACAGTGGGTCGGTTACCGACTCATTGAACCAATACCTTGGTGTTGATGGGGTACTCTTCGCAGGCGAGACCTCCGAGGTACAAAAATCGCAACTTAAAAATTTCCGCTAAGTAGAGATATAGCAGAGTCGGCCTCAAGATGCACTGTCTGGATGGAGCCTGGAGACAAACGCCCGACGAGCCTGCATTAGCTGCAACTCAGTCAACAATGCGGCTCCTGGGATGTTTCACGTTACGGGCGCTCAATTCCCTCGGGGAACTGATCTAGGCCAGACCTCAACCCCCTTTGGGGCGCACTATCTCAAGTACTTGGGTGGAATCGAGCAAAAGTCTGTTAACACGAGGCCCATCGCGCTACACACTACGAGTGCCTAACGAGGACGTTGACCGCCCCCCTTTTCAAGATTCCATGGATCAAAATGTGTCAAGTCCCCATCTACCATGTTTCCATCCTTCGAGGGTTGCTTGATTGAAATCAGAGAACGATTTTCGACAGGGAGGGGCCCCACGGGACGACAACACTGCTATACAACCCAGTCGAGGGGGCGCTATGTTCTCAAGGAGCCCGGCAATCATCACATCGGCTTTAGCAGCATTTTTCGTCCTTGGGTACTTTGTCATCATCTTAAGAGAGGACGGGAGGTGGCCCTTCACATCTTCCAACCACCGACTGAGCGCCAGCCATGACTCGAAACACAACGCCGTGACACAAGGCTCGAGCGCTGGAAAGTCGATTGTGGAAGATGCGACCTTCATCACCTTTGGCGATCAGAGCACTTATCGCGAGATCTTCTCCGTCTCGACTTCACAGAAACGTTACTTCGAGATCAAAGGTTTCGAAGCCTACAACGCCAGCAACCCAAGCATTCTTCCGCACCCGTCGAGAAATGGGAGCTACATCGTCGTCACACAACGCGAGCGCAAGACGTTCGATACGTATCAGATGGTCTGCGAGGCCGTCTTTCAGAGCGACGTCCTGGAATGCACAGCTCCCCCGGTAAATCTAAATATGTCGCAAGTCCATGGTTCGAAGTGCGACGGACGAGCAAAGTGGCATAATTTTGTCACGGGCCCTCACGATGCACGAGTCTTTCAAGGCCCTGATGGTTCTTACATCGTCTACGGCTCGGCCTCGGACTACACCTGCCTTGGCCAATGGATCCAGGCCTTCCGTCCGCTGATAGAAGTCTACGACGACGACAAGGCCTCCGTTGCTTCGACGCATCCGGGCTTCACCAACGCCACCGAAATGCGCCGACCAGATCGCATCGCCTCCCCAATGGAGAAAAATTGGTTCACCTTCTGGGATCGCGAAGGCCAGATCTACGTCCACCACGACCTCGTTCCCAAACGAGTCTTTGCGAGACTAATCGCCGACGGCTCAGTCGGAAAAGACCTGGCGCCTTTTGCCACGACCGATGCTATGTGTTTAGACCAAGTTCTACCTCCATGCACGCGAGAACACCAAGTCGCGATCCATCAGGCCACCAACTCGTTGTCGATAACGCTTTGTAAGCGGTCCGACGAAAAGTGCTGGCCATCCGACGACAACACCTTCGTCATGGCCATTTTTCAGCAGAAATACAGCCAGCCCTTCAATCTGGTCTATCGACCGTACGCCGTCCTCTTTCGACAGAGCGCGCCATTTTCCATCTACGCCGTCTCTCAGAGATCGTTCTGGGTCCATGGTCACCGCGTGTTGAGTGGAGAAGAGGATTTCCTTGACAACTTCAAAAACAAAACTTCTGGTAAGGGTAATCGTAAGCGAGAGCTGCCAGAGAGCCCTGCCGAGTTCCATTTCCTCACGAGCATGAATTGGAATCTTCCTGGGGCGTCGTATCATGGTTATATCGACGATGTTATTATCCTGGGGCTTGGTATCGAGGATGAGAGGAGTGGCGGCATTGATGTTCTGGCGGGCGATCTGCTGCAAGACCTTGCATATTGCACAGGTGCTTAAGAACCTGAGTCAGTGTGATCTTCCGAAACTCCGCCATCCAACAGGGTACCTGCACACGCTAGTGTGGGCTTTTGGTCGGCATGAGGAAGTGTGCCCACATCATATCCCGATTCTTCGCAAAGCTCCCCCAGGTACACAACGTCACAGCCCGCAACACGCTACCGTAAGGAGCAGAATTTGGTTGTCCGGGAACATGGGTCCTCGCGTTACTAAGGTGTCCTGGAAATCCTTTCCCAGCCCGACATGCCTCTATGCCCTAGACCGAAGTCCACCTGGTGACATTCGAGAGTGTTCTAATCCCCCAAATTCGGTCTCCCGCAACGCTGAAGACCGTGGCCTCGGGTGCACACCTGAAAAGACCCAGACGCTGCCGGCTTTGATCATGCGCCCGGGTATCATTGTGGTCTTCCTGCGAAAGAAGTCCACCACGGCCTGTACCAATATCTGGGTTCGACGCAGGTCAATATGTATGAACACATTATGACAAATGTGGTGAATAGGATTCATTATAATGTCGTTGGGAATGAACAAGAAAGGGCATTTTCAGCCCGTGGACCTCATTCAAAAGTCAGACCAGCCAAGATGCCTCCTCTCCATATGAGCGCAGAAGCGCAGGTGAACCCCTCCAGATGGTATCGATCAACATATCCGCTCTCATTGAGACATATGCAATCCTGCCTTCCCTTACTGATGCTTCTCACTCATCAATCCCTCAGCACCGACGACAGGACTAATAGGCACCACATCGGCTCTGGTCTCGTCACTGAATTTCAAATCCTCGTCAAGATCTGTCACGTCCTTGACCTTAAGCCAGATAACGGGGGCCGCAATGAGAAGGGAGCCGCTCAAGAGACCCCAATTGACGGCGAACTCGGCCATGTACGAGACTAGGTTGGCGTCAAGTTGTGGCGAGATAGCACCACCGGCTGACTGGATGCCCTTGTAGAAGCCAGTAAAGTTGGCGAGCTTGCGACCATTGTTGGTCAAGGAGCCCATGAGCCTAAATATGTCAGCATGGTATCGCGAAAGGACAGCAAAGGTTTCTTACCAGTAGGTAGTCGTCTGCCAGACGGAGTCATAAGCACCGTAAAACATGTACAAGAACATGGGGCCAACGTAGCCAGAGTCGGTCCAGTCAAGCGTCTCAAAGTCTGCAGCTTTGACCGTGGCACGAGTGTACTTCTTCTGGAAATCATAACCACCGCCCCAAATGACCATGGTAAGGATGAACAGCACACCCATAGCCATCCGTGCTCGGGTCGTGCGGCGAAAGTAAGTGGTATCGAGAGCAAAACCAAAGATCCATGCGCCAATGATCTGGGAGATGTAGTACAAAACACTGTTGAGAGCACGTGTGCGAACATTGAATTTGGGTAGATTGACATCGTTGAAATGGTAAGTGTAGAACCAGTTGCTGGCAAAGAACATTGGGAAGAGGAAGATGATGTACCAATCGTGGACCAGGGATTCGTAGAGACCACGGATCTCAGTCTTCCAGGTCGGATTCTTCATGAGGATAACCCGGGAACCATCGGACCGTTCAACGAACTTGGGGTTGCAGAGAAACCCGGCCAGCACGAAACCACACGCCATCAAGATAATGAAAGCGATGTAAGTGCCGTCGCCAACTGTGCCAGCATTGGTGTTATGGATATTCTGACCGAGGGGCACCAAGCCGCCAATAACAGCTCCTAGGTTGAAGATCATCCAGAAGACAGCGATGTAGCGACCCTTCGACTTCTCCGGCGGATAGGACAACATGATGGAGCCTTGAGCGGTCCACAGCAGACCAGCGCAGACGCCCAGAAGAGCGCCGGCAAAGATCAAGAACCCCGCGTTTCCATCGTGGTTGTATGATAGGATCGAGGCGATGTAGAGACAGTATCCAAATCCTCCAATGCCCAAGGTCAGTCGAAGACCGAGTTTGTTGGCGATACTGCCTGCGAAGAAAGCGACAATGGAGAAGGTCGCGTAAACGGCAGTGTTCGCATTGTTGATATCGTGCGCATTGACTTGACCAGCAGCGCCGAGGCCATTGACCGCGTTGAACATGCCTGGGCACAAGAAGCAGACCAGCGCGACAAAGACGATCTGGAACTGCGGTGAGGCGAAGGGAGGTATGCTGACGGGACCAAGGCCCAATCTCTTGTACATCCATGCCTTTCCTCTAGGCTTGGACTCGTCGGTCATGATCTCTGGCGACGGACTCTCCGCACCATGACCTGCAGAGGTCGTGGCCATCTTTTCGTGCTCGATCTCCGACATAGTAGAGGAGAGTAGAGTGTAAAGAGAATTTGGGCACAGGCGGAGGGAGTATGAACGTGCACTGCGGCTCAGGGTTTAGAAAGCGGAGTGGCTTGCGGACTGGGGTTGCTCGGGGCAAGTTCCTAGTGGAGTCTGGCGCGATTCGTATTGAGGCCGCCCACAATCGTGGAAGTGTCGCGTGCAGTGTGGAGGATCTTGAGAAAGGAAGTTCGAGAGGGTCGCGAGGGACATAGAAGTACTTGTTCAAAGAGTGCTACTCGAGGACAGAGGTTGGTGATAGTGAAGTTGCTTGCGCTAAAGGGATGGTTACCATGAGTATCAGCAGACAACAAAGATAAAGAGATAGAATAGTGACATCGCAGCATACCGAGACAGCAACAGCAGCATTGGATAGAGGAGGGATTCGAGATAGTGGCTGACCAACTACGGACAGAAGAACCGCAACTGGTGTCCAACTGGACAAACGAGCGATACTCCGCTCTGGGGAGGGATGGTGAAGCTCCTGTGAGAGAGTGATCCCAGGATGTGCAACCTCCTCAGGCACGCGATTGGGATATCCTCATAGTGGGATTGGTTGACTGGCTATCAATATGGCTGGAAATGGAATGCCAGTCAGCCCATGGTGGAGTTGAGATAGCCCAGGGAGCGGTGGTGGCTCACAGCGAGATTGACTGACTGCATCGAGTAAACAAGCGACAGTGTGGTGCACAGGTGACTTTTGCCAGCGCAGGGCAAAGAGAACGAGGGGAGCGATGCAGGAGAGAGCACGTGACGAGTTTCCCAGCGATAACAATGTTGCATTTCTGATTTCTCCGCCTTAAGGTTACATACATACAACAACTCTCCATCACACAGTCTCATCCATCAAAAGTGCCTCCATGCTGCCCTTGCTACGTTGCATTTCTTTCCCTCCATCTGCTCGAGAACATTTTCTTGGCTTTGTTCGACCGAGGCATGCTCTTGCTAGGCTGAGGCAACCTTGGGATGACTACAGGTAACGTTTCAAGCCTCGTCAACACCAAGAGCTTCGATGCCACCGAATTGCATCGCTGTCGCGGCACAACGTGCTCCCAGCCTGCAACATCAGAGGATTAACTTTATTCGACGCTTTTGGTTGCCGTCGCCCTGTCGCACCTGTCAAGCCTTGCAGCTGAATCGCATACAAGCCACTCATCTCAAGGCTTGCTGCGCTCAATTCCGTCGGCTGCCGTTCCCCAGGTTCTCTGGACCAGTAGAATGTGCTATATCGACTCTTGAACTGGTCGATATGACGTGACACCTGCTGCCTTCCACTATCTTTTTTCCTATGGTATTCTTTATTGTTGCTCACTATTGCCCTTGTGTCTGGACCTTTCTCATTCTTGTAGGGTCACCTACGAGCAATCATTCCTTCCTTCTGCTTGGTTGTCTATTCTGACATACATCTATCTTCCTACTTTGCCCTTATCAGGATGTCGGCCCCAAACCCCCGGCTTATCAAATTCACCAATGGATATCTCCTCAAAGATGGCCAACTGGTGTCTGGTGATTTGTGGGTGTCGTCAGAGACTGGACGTATCATGAGCCCCCAGACAGCCTTTTATTCCTCTCGACGGACGGCCGACAAGATCATCGATCTGCAAGGGAAGATACTAGCTCCTGGTTTTGTCGATGTCCAAATCAACGGGTACCATAATTTCGACTTTTCCACACCTGATCCAAACTTTGCGATCAACTTTGCCGACACGAGGCGACAGATGATCAAAAGTGGTCTCACTTCTTTCGTGCCTACAGTCATCAGCACAACCCCAGATGCTTACCATTCCGTACTGCCACACCTAGGCCCGTCCGGAAGAGATCGGGAGACCAATCAAGGCTGTGAATGTTTAGGTGCCCATATCGAGGGTCCTTTTCTGTCTCCAGTTCGAAATGGTATCCATAACCAAGAGGTGTTACGCGAAGCTCATTCCTGGGCGGACGTTGAGGAGTGCTATGGTGCATCAAACCTTCAGTACGTTCGGTACATCACGGCTGCACCAGAACGTGGTGCCATGCTGTCACTGATTCCCGAATTCGTCCCTCGAGGTATAGTCTTTTCTATCGGTCATTCCAATGCCACATTCGAACAGGCACAAGACGCTGTGGGTGCCGGAGCCACAATGCTGACCCATCTCTTCAATGCCATGACGCCTTTCGGACATCGAGATCCTGGAATATTTGGGCTGTTGGGGCAATCTACCCCTTCGAGTCCAATCACAACGCCCAGGCAAAGTCGACCAGGCAGTGCATCGGCTTCACCACATGGCTCTCCGAGGTCATCAACACGGTCCACACCACGTTCCAGCCTCAGTATCAGCACATCAATCTCAGAATTAGAGGATCGGGCGCGATACAGACAACCATATTTTGGTTTGATTGCTGACGGTATTCATCTGTCGGCGCAGGCTCTAAAAATTGCTTACTCTGCCTATCCTGAAGGCGCTATCCTCGTCACGGACGCTCAGAAATTTGCTGGCTGCTCTGACGGCGCCTACGAGTGGCGTGGAGAAGATCGGTTTATCAAGGAAGGCAAAGTCCTCAAGTTGGAGAGCAATGGACGCATTGCCGGCAGCGTCGTGGATTTGATCGATTGTGTAAACAACTTCAGACGTTTTACAGGTGCCAGAACAGGCAAGGCCTTGGAGTGTGTGACGAGCACCCCTGCAAAGATGCTAGGAAAGGATATCGAGAGGAGCAAAGGCAAACTTGAAACCGGCATGGACGCTGATTTGGTCGTTCTGGAAGAGGGCTCGGACGGAGATTTGAGTGTCCAGCAAGTCTGGAAGTTTGGTATTCAAGTTGTTTGAATGGTGAAGTTTTGTACTGGAAATTGGCTTTGAAAAGTGCTTCAACTCTGGCGTTTGGGAACAGGGGCTACTGCAGATCACATATTGGCGAAACAAAGCGGTGGGGTCATTAAAGGAGTTATTCATTAGAGGACTCTCAGCCTTGTGGTTGAAGGCATGAGGTGCGACCCCGGATACAGTTAGACAGTATAGGAATGCATTATGAGAGATGAGTATGCTGTACATTAGCGTGGTGGCAATGTGAATTAGAGGATGGAGAGTCTGTTTCTGTTTTTACGGTATTATTTCTTGAGAGACGGTGTTGATACTGACCACAAGGGTATTCCGTTCGGAACAGCTGCACCGAAGCCGCCACTGCTGCCCACGAGAGAACCCGACTTCCTATTTCACCCGCAGAATCTCTATCAATCAGAACAATCCCGTTAATATTTCGCGTTCGCAGCTGTCCACTGACATGGACCCTTTCTTCCGTCAATTTGACGCATTCAATTCCATCTTCACGAGTAAATTGAGTAATATCCCTCATCACCATTTACATATGGAGGTGATCAAGATGATGAGACGTCACCAATGTGCACGTGGGGACAAGACCTGGAGAGAAACGGGTCTAGCCTCCGCCACTTTTGTTGAGGACAAGGAAATGGAAACCGGAGCTCCAGGAAAGCTCAGACTCGAGTCTATCGAGTCACCGCCACAGTTGATCGCTGAGCATCCCTTTGACCGCATTTCTTTGTCGCCACGTCTGGGTTGAAGCTTTGTCTTTCGTTGTTATATGTGCATGTCGTGAGTCTTACCCGTAGGCGAATTGAACACGAAGCGACTCGCAATCGCCAGTGCCAATCATGACGCTCAGAAAGGTCTGCACGCCTGAGTAAGCCGAATCCGCCATATCTGCTTTTGATACGAACTCGGATACTTATACTCTATCAGGGTCCTTCTAAGCGCACCAAGACGATCAGCAGCTGTCCCCAGTCCCGATGGCAAGCTCGCGCTCTACACACAGTCAACATACTCGTTCGAGACGCACACCCGCACGAACGAGATTTGCGTGCTAGACATCACCACAGGTCAATCCGTCACCATCAGCAAGGACTCCAAAGCTACCGAGCCCAAATGGACCGGCACCAATCACGAAGTGCTCTGGCTCAAGGAGTGCGAGAACGGCAACACCAGCTTCGTCATCAGCGACGCCACTCTCCCTGGCAAATTCTACACCGCCGGCACAGTTTCCGGTCCAGTCTCGAGCCTCAAGCTTTCTGTGATAGAACCAGGCAAAGTCGCATTCGCTGTTGTCGGCCAAGCCAATCCCGACGGCAGCCTTTTCAACCCCAAAGACGTGCAGAAGCAGCACAGCTCCGCGCGCCTGTATGACTCACTTTTCGTGCGCCATTGGGATACATATATCACGGACCAACGCAATAGCATTTTCACAGGATTACTCCAGAAATCAGAACCAGTCGTCACATCCCGGCCGGGTCGGTATAGTGTTCTTGGTTTCAAGAATGCCCTGCGCGGCACAAAGCTCGAATGTCCTATCCCCACGTTCGGCGGGACCGACCATTTCGACATTGGACCGACTGGATTGACTATCGTCGCGAAAGATCCGGATCTCAATCCTGCAACGCACACCAAGGCCCACTGCTACTTCCTCCCCCAGACAGATCTGATGGATCTCAGTGTGCCGAAGTTCCGGCGGATCCGAGTCCCTGGATTGAACGGCGCGGCCACATCCCCCGTCTTCTCACCGTCGGGAGAATCACTGGCGTTCCTGAAGATGGGAGTTGACGGTTATGAAAGTGACAAGAACAGGATCGTCCTCGTCCATGGCCTCGGCGATCACGATTTAGTGGCAAATGAGCTGATGCACACTATGGATGGGAAAGGTGGATGGGACCGATCCCCAACATCGCTCAAGTGGACGCTAGACGGGAAGACGCTGCTCATGGAGGCAGAGGATGTCGGTAGGGGATGCCTTTTCGCGCTGAATCTGGAATTACAAGCTCCCGGACCCTCGTGGCGGCCTCGACAACTCACGCACTCGGGGTATATTATCGATTTGGCCCCCATGGCCGCGGACTCTCATTTGTTCCTCGTCTCCAGCAATAATCTCACAGATAACAGTCTTTACACTATCGTCGATCCGACGGGACAGTCAGAGCCTGTTGTGCTCTCGTCGTTGAGTGGCGAAGGCTCGAGATTTGGTCTGTCGCCGGAACAGGTCTCGAGTCTGTGGTGGAGGGGCGGTGATGACCAGCCTGTCCACGCGTGGATGATGAGGCCAAGTTTCTTTCGCGCCGATCACAAGTACCCTCTGGCGTACTTGATTCATGGTGGGCCCCAAGGTGCATGGAACGATCAGTGGTCGACCCGCTGGAACCCGGCTGTCTTTGCGGAACAGGGGTATGTGGTCATCTGCCCGAATCCAACTGGCTCAACGGGCTACGGACAAGCGTTTACCGACGCTATTCGCAACGAGTGGGGAGGTCTGCCGTACGAAGATCTGGTCAAGGGATTGGAGTATATCGAGTCGGAGATTGATTCCGTGGATACGACGCGTGCTGTCGCATTGGGCGCTAGCTATGGCGGGTATATGATGAATTGGATGGAAGGTCACGATCTGGGCCGCAAGTTCAAAGCGCTGGTTTGTCATGATGGCGTTTTCAGCATGACTGGGCAGGTCGCGTCGGAGGAACAGTATTTCCCGGTGCACGACTTTGGTGGACCGATCTGGGAGAGGCAAGACGTCTACGACAAGTGGGATCCGAGTCGATTCACGAAGAATTGGGCTACCCCGATGTTGGTCATTCACAATGAGCTGGACTACAGATTGACCATTGCCGAGGGCTTGTCGGCGTTCAATGTGCTGCAGATGAAGAACATTGAAAGTCGATTCCTGAGTTTCCCGGACGAAAACCATTGGGTGTTGAAGCCTGAGAATAGTCTGGTCTGGCATCTCGTTGTCATCAACTGGATCAACAAGTTCGTTGGGTTGCCAAAGCTGGTTGATCGGCAGGGGAGGGATGGCTCGAATTTCTGTCGGCAAGGCGTAAGGAGAGAACAGGTTGCGCGAAAACAGAGCATGTCTCATCTGGAGCAGTAAAAAGCTATGGTTGGGAGAGGAGGAGGTAATGTATTATACGTCGAGTGTAATCGGCGCTGAATGGATGGAGGATCGCTCGCACCTCATATAATATCTCACACGTTCTTCACCGGAGCGCGCCTCCCGGAAGATGGAGCAGCTTACAAAAAATGGCGTTGCCAAATCACGATGTAGTATTACCGTGGTTGCTGAGCAGTTCTTCCCGGACAAGTTCAGCCAACACCTTCTTGTCAAGCGGCTCATCGGCCAGATCTCCCCCAGGCTTGAGCAACTCTTTCAGAACTGGTCCAGGCTTTAGTTCGCCAGACGTGGACGATCTCAGTGACTCTAGTCTTGCTCGTACGATCTTTCTCATTTCCACAGGCGTCATCAGTTGCACACTGGACGTCAGTTCGTCGAGGACAACGATCTCTTTGGCTTCTTTCTCGGCCAGGTCGTCTCTTTTCGCATCTTCGGCCTCTTTCTTTGCTTGCTCGGACGCTCCTTTGCGCTTGCGCAGCAGTGCTAGGACCTGCATATCCGTGTTGATGGGGTTCGACCCGCTGGCCGCTCGGTTGATCTCTGATATGGTGCCCCGGATGACGTTTAACCTATACGTTCTCAGCATCGTGGACGGTCGGGTAGATTCATGATTATTCACCTTGCGGTGTCTTTGGCTCGCATCGCGGACTTGAGGTCATTCTTCAGTTTGGCTAGGAGTGGTGATGCAGAAGGAGTTGTGGACGATGTAGAGCTCCATCGTAGGCCGGTGATTGCGTTCCGGTAGAGACATCGTCTGCAAACTGCTCGCTCGGCGAGAGGAAGTGATCTCATTGTGCATGCCGAAGACATGCTGGGTTGTGGGCGGATGGAGAATTTGGGAGGAGACGGGTGCGACGGGGTGGTTTCAATGTAGAAAAATATATCACGCTTTCAGTGAAACTGAGAAGAGGCTTCCCCAGGATTTTGGAGAAGGCGCGTTCCTGAAGCTAAACGCAATTCGGGCATCACCATCGCCGTTCAGCATCCAGCCTGCAATGGTGCAACCTCTACATCATGCCGTCAATTCTCTAGAGGACCCCTGGAAGATGGGTTTCTGGTTTAACTCAGCAGATGACGTGCTTCGTGCCCCCATACCATTACAAGTCTCGCACTGCCACGTTTTGAAGGCCGTTTCGCAAACGTGAAGCATGGTCAAGGCTAAAGCAGCAAATTTATTGCGTCTTATCTAATCATCTCTTGGCAGAGAACAAGGCTGGTTACGCCGCTGCAGTGGTTGGATAACTCCGCAATTATGGGCGCGTCCGAGCTGCCTCACTGAAATGCTGGTAGAAACATTTCTCTACCAAGCATAGCAACGGCGTACGCCATTTTGTATTTTGTTAAAAATCCTGCTACACCACCCTAGAGGGAAGAGTGGGTTTGTCTATCTATTTCTGCTTGTCGAGAGCGGATTTTCCTCCTAAATGTGTTTTGCAAGATAATTTCACCTCTGCGCTTGAGCGCGACATATTAGCCATGGCTGCCATGGTCCAGCAAACACCAGCGCGCCCTGTGCCTGGTGTATGGCCTCAAACGCCTGCTGCAAGACCAGCAGCCCCTCCTCCTTCTTTCCAGTCGCCTGGAACACCTTTCTCCCGACCTCCTTTCACACCCAATGCCTCTTCATTAGCCGTCACAACCACGAGTACCTCCGGACCTCCAGCTCAAAGCTCAATACGGCCACCAGAGTCCCTAGAACCACTGGAGAGGGCGGCACGAACCATCAACGAGGCATTGTCAAACGAGTCGCGGTTTCCCGACGTTGATAGCTACCTGTCACAAGGGCATTCTGCTGAATATGACATACAAGCCTCAACAACATGGGCGCCTTTCCAAAAGGCGGGCGTCTACAAGATCCCGGACGAAATCTTTGAACAATACAATAATGCGCAATTGTCTACCAGCATGGGTCTATTTGCAGAGTTGAGGCACGCGTGGGCGACGATCGACAATGCGTTATACATGTGGGATTACACTGCTGCGAAGCCCGAGCTGTTAGGCTTCGAGGGACAACCACACAGCATCTTGGCTGTCAAGCTTGCGGTACCTCGCCCTGGGGTTTTCCTGCCCAACATCACGCGCGTCATCGTCATTGCAACGACTATGGACGTCTTCCTTTTAGGCCTGGGAACCGATCCCAGCCAAGGGGCACCTGGAGGGCTGTCACTCTTTCAGACCGGCATGTCGACTTCGATCAGGGGACTTGATGTCAGTGTCATTGCAAGCTCGAGCAAGACGGGAAGGATCTTCTTTGGCGGACGGACGGAGAACGAAATCTACGAATTGACGTATCAACAAGAAGACCGATGGTTCTCAAGCCGCTGCGCTAAGATCTGCCATACAGCTGGTACCGCAAAATCACTAACATGGGCTTATAACAGCTTCACTGGAGGATCTAAAGAGTATGTGGAGCAGATGGTGATTGATGATACTCGAGATCTGCTGTATACCCTGTCTTCTGCATCCAATATCCGGGTGTTCCACATGAAGTCTGACGGAAAGTTGACGCTTCATGCGAGAAAATCTGCGCATGAAACTTATGTTAACATCGGCCATATGATGGGCACCAACGAGGCTCTCAACGAACGCGTCAAAATCGTGGCCATATCAGCTTTACCATCCTCAGAAGCCATGAGATTTCACCTTGTGGCTACCACGGCCACAGGCTACCGAATATACTTTACTGCGACGAATGCCAACAGTTGGTCGAATGCGCCTTCTGGTCTTCAGATGACCATGCAGGCCCAATTTGTGAAAGTCCCACCTATGATCGCGGGGCCAGAACAGCCGTACAGTGCGCAACAACCTATCAAAACTCTCACATTGACCAGACTGGCTGCTAGGTACTCACCTGGATATTTCTTCTGTTTTACTGTGAGAGATTCCAACTCTCCCACAGATCAGCTGTTTGTCTCGGCGCCGGACGCTGGCAAGTTGTTGAGACCTCCTGAGGCGGGTCAGCCCAGTCGAATAGCGGAATCCGCTGTCTGGCTCTCGCTGGGTAGCCGAGCAGAAGATATAGGCATGGTCGTCCCCTACTCCGCCCCACTGCAAACTCCTGTCGGCTACGGCAACGACTTAGCAGTACAATTTGACAAGCCGACCCCAGAAGTTGCCATCTTGACGAATACGGGCATACACATCATCAGACGGAGGCGACTGGTTGACATTTTTGCGGGACTCAGCAGGCAAGGGGGTGGATCTGAAGGCTTCCAGAATGAGGTCAACAACCTTATTCGAGCATATGGCAGAACGGAAACTCTTGCAACCGCTCTCGCGGTGGCCTGCGGTCAAGGCGTCGAGGTCACCAAAGACACATATACGGCAAGGGTTAATGACCCTGAAGTCCTCGAACTAGCAAGGAAGGCCTTCATCGAATATGGTGGCAAACCCAGCATCAATCAGAACTCGATCACGGACCGTTCTGTATCTCTCATTGATGCTGTCCGCCCCTCTCCTCGACATGCTGCAATCGCTCTGTATCTTTCGCGATTGTTGAGGTCAGCCTGGAAAAGTGTGATAGCATACGAGATGACAACTCCTGCAGGCTATCAGATCAATCCTGCTGTCCCCATTAACAAGCTGAGGGACGTGCAAGAAGCACTCTCCAACCTCCAACGATTTTTCAAGACAAACAAGAGCTTCATCAAAGGGCTCAGTGGCCCTGATGACTTGTCGAGCACGAGTACCAAAGACGATGAGATTGCATTGAAAGGAGAACATCGTGCTCTTCATTCATTGGTGAAGTTCACGTCAGACACCATTGAGGGCCTCTCGTTCATCCTTGTACTCTTCGATGAGAAAGTCGCTGAACTTATCCCACTGCTTCCAGAAGCCTCCAGACCTCAGATGCTCAGGTTGACATTCGAAGAGCTCTTCACCACGAGGAAGGGTTATGATCTTGCCAAGGAACTCGTCAAGGCGATTGTTAACCGCAATATCGCCAAAGGGTCCAACGTGGAGACCATTGCCGAGGCTCTGAGAAGGAAGTGCGGCAGCTTCTGCAGCTCGGATGACGTGGTCATTTTCAAGGCACAAGAGCAACTCAAGAGGGCTGCTGAGGCTGAAGGCAACGCCGAGTTATCGAGAAATCTTCTCAACGAAAGCTTGAAGCTGTTTGAACAAGTGGCCCACAGCCTCCCGATGGACTATCTGCAGTCGGCCGTTCAGCAGTATACCACTCTTCAATTCTTCGCCGGAGCCATTCAATTGGCGCTAAAGGTTGCCCATGAAAAGGACAAGGCTAACGAAGCATTGTCTTGGATGACTGATGGTCGACCAGAAGCCGACGGTCGGAAAGCAAAATTCGATCTCAGGACACAGTGCTACGACCTCATTCATTATGTTGTTGCTGCTGTGGACAGAAGTTCCGAGCAGAATCCTAGCTTCGTTGATGGGAGAGCAACATTAGTCGGCACGAGAAGAACTGAAGCTTATGACGTGATCAGCAGGTCCAAAGACGAAGCCTTTTTGACGAATTTGTATGATTGGTACATCGCGCAAGGCTGGTATGATCGACTACTGGCAACAGAGTCACCTTTCATCGCGACCTATCTTCAACGAAAATCGTCTGAAGATATCACTTATGCTGATCTGTTATGGAAGTACTATGGGCAGACAGGTCAATTTTCAGAAGCAGCCAGAATCCAGCTGCAGCTTGCCAGAAGCCCGTTCGCTCTTTCACTCGAAAAGAGAATCGAATATCTAAGCAGAGCCAAGGCAAATGCTTCGACTTACACGCCGGGTAGCAACCGGAAAGTGAAGCAACAGCTTTTGTTGGAGATCTCGGAACTCCTGGACATCGCCATAATTCAGGATGAGGTTCTTCAGCGACTGGTTAATGATCCGCGGCTGACAGGAGATCGAAAGAAAGAGGTCCTGGATCGCGTGAACGGAGTCATCCTTGATATCACCATGCTCTTTAACGATTTTGCCGATAATGCCGGTTATTATGATCTGTGCCTGTTGATTTACCAAGTCGCTGACCACCGCGATGCATCTCAAATCAAACAAACCTGGCAACAACTGTTGCAGTCTGTGCATGACAAGACAACAACAGAAGAACAGATACAACCTTTCGAAGCCATCGCCGAGCAAGTCAGAAGCCTTGGTAGCAAGCTTCGAGTGTCAGAAACAACCTTTCCTGTGCAAGCCTTGTTACCCATTCTCGAGAAGTACTCCTTCGAACAACAGAAGACGGTGGCTCCGCCTCACTGGGTCGTCGACATCTTCATTGAGCTCGAGGTGCCATATGAGCGACTGTTCGAGGTGCTTGAAACCATGTTCTTTTCTGGCGATCCTCCATTCATGGGTGCTAACAGGAAGTACATCGCCTCAGAGTTGGTATATGTTGTGGGCAAGTGGTTCCATGACTCGATGAGAGCTGGGACGGTCATCTTCGGCAGCGAAGCCGGTGCTGCTCGTGTCGAGGAGACACTCCAGGTTCTTCTACAGCAAGGAAAGGCGGCCGGTCTGGATGAGGAGACTACCCGTGTTTGTCGAGCTGTGGTCGAACAGGTCAGCCAATTGTTGGCCTGAGTTGCTTGCACGCGGGAGATCACGACAATCATATCGCCACAGGCTTCGCGTACATTGACCGAGATGATGAATTTGTATCACTATTCAACAGCGGGATGAGTTCTGATTGTGCATGAGTAGGAGGGATTTTGGAAAATCAGAACCGCAACCTCCTTTTGCACTTAAGATAGCTAAATAGTGCCAAATGCCCGTGTAGAAGTCGAAATGAAGTAAAAGGAAGACATAAGCCGTCACATTATATGTTTTCCCTTCTCGATGGATCAGAACGTGGACAGCCTGACGTTGGCGGCACCATGAAGCGTGGCTTAACTCTGTTTGTAATTTGGGTATATATACCTAGGTATTCCCCCCCACTTTCTCAACGTCCGTTCTCGACCGCACCTCCTTCCTGCCGTCCACCTCCCAGCGATATCTCGTCTACGACACGAGAGTCTTCTAAGCTATACTGGTTGTTCCTGTCTAAGATCAACGTTTCAAGGAAATCTGACGAGCATCACGTCTGGAAACTCCTGCAACAGATCCAGAAAAATAAGGTCTTCAATTTCCACTCTCGCTTTTGAAAGACATGACGACCCAACACCGCCCGCGGCCCTTGCTGGCTAGGAAGCTCGATATCGTGTACCTGGTCTTCTTCGTGATACACATTCCTGTCATGCTATGTAAGTCCGAGCTTCCCTTTTGCCGTCTTATATCTGCTTTTCATTCCTGGACGGCCGCCTGTTTTGAACCGGAGAAGCACAACGCCCACAACCTGTATTCTTCCTCCCTTGATCCTCGTTCGAATGCTATGCGTCAAAGACTGGAGAAGACTGCCCTGAAGCATGAGTACTGCAAAGTCGAGCCACAACTAACCACTGACCTGTACAGTAATCGACCTCGCCCCCTTCATACCCTACCCGCTTCGCCCACAACTCTCCCACACCCTCCGCAACTTCTATATCGAGCGGTACAATGACCGGTTCTTCTCGAGCCCACCAGCCTGGTTCACTATGTACATGTACCTTGAGGCCGCGTATCATCTACCTTTGAGCGCGTGGATGGTGTGGGCGATTCCGAACGGTCAGATCCCCAAACCCTCCGACGTTACTTGGATCCTGGGACCGGAATGAAGTCACCGTCGCTGACGCTCTTGCTAACGCTCCTACAGACCACCCCTTACTAGCACTCAACCTCCTCATCTTCGCGCTAGAAACAGCAATTACAACACTAACTTGCGTCGTCGAGGTCGCGAGCTGGGATGGGTATACTGCGGGCCAAAAAGGGGATCTGTATTCGCTCTATGTGCCTTACTTGGTTGTCGGTGAGTCAGCGATGTTACTTACAGCACGATTGGCATTGTACTGATGGCTCCAAACAGCGTGTCTGATGGGAATCGACGCCTTCTTCAGACTGAAAACGCAGATTCTCGGCGCGAAACAAGCGGCAAAAGACAAACGTGCCTGAAGCCGACGGCATGTCTTCTACATTGAAACGACGACTACAGTTGAAAGCGACGCTGGCTTTCAGGGCACCCGCGACAGGCAGGGTAATAACGTCAGGATATGATCAACCCAGAATTGTGGCTTCAATCCAAATGTGCTGTCATCTAGGCTAAGACTCTTGAATGTACGATGTGACTCCGTACGCCATGCATAAACTTGTCTTGCTCACTCTCGGTCAAGTGGCATTGCCACATCGACCCTGCCTGAGGCATTATTCTCGTCTTCTCCGTCGCGAGGGTGAATGGTATGGAACAGCACCGAATGTCACCACGATTTGCTCTCAGAACAACATGTCCACAACATTTACTCCTCTACCAGCGTCTGACCCTCCCTCAGTCCTTCGACCTTCAGCTCTTCACCCATTGCCCGGCGGTAGATATCCCGCACGTTTTCCGTGACAGTCTCGAAATGGCTCGATGCATCAAAGCTGTTGGAAATGAAGATCTGGTCATTCTGACCACTCTCCAAAGGCTGATAGAGTGGGATAGGTGGACCCATAAACTTCTCCTCGATGCGGCCCAAGCGTTCCAGGCCAGGCTGAAGTTCGAGATGATGGTTGGCGGTCGTCTCGGCAATCGTCGACACAATAGCGATATAGTATCCTTTAGGACAAACGTTGTGTGCGGAAGATACCATGGCAATGTAAATGTCGTGTTTGCGACCAACCTGGGATTGAGGAATGATAAGTTGCAGAGAGTCAGATTCGGCGGTCTTGTCGATCGGGTGGTTTAGAATGCAGATAGCCTTGAGCAGGTGTCCTACCACCTGGACTTTGTTGGGGAAATATGATGGATCGCCAAGGATCATTTTCGTCTTTGTGGTGAAGTTCATGCCCTCTCCCTCATCGCCACGTTCGCGCATCGTGGCTTTGATACCGCTGACCTTGCCACCCTCAGTCATAATCTCATCCACAGAGGTGTTGAGCATGTACGTTCCGCCATAAATGGCAGAGAGACGGGCGAAGCCTTGTGGGAGTTCACCGAGACCGTAGAGCGGATAGATGTAGGGTGATTTGCCATATCGAGCCATTGAGTTGGCATAGAGTTTGATTCTCTCGACAGTGTCCTTGGCCTGGCCGGCGGTGTTGATGTAGTCGTCGGTCGGGAAAAGGGCCATCGAGTGGCCAATGAAGTCTCGTGTTGTCACCTCTAGGCCAAACTTGTCATAGACTTCCTTCATGGTGCACTTGTTCATGTTGAGTCCTATAGCGACCTGTCAGCTTCGCGTTTGCCGCACCAAATCATAAACTACCCACCGCCGTGTGTAGACGGGTTGCTGTCTTCAAATGACCCAACCCATTCTAGAAACCTCTTCGCTCGTCTCTTTTCGAACAAGCCCATCAACGGCGAGCTTAAGGCTTCTCCAGCTGTGGAGGGGACCTTGGCCACGGTGGCCCTTGGACCTGCTCCTTGTTGTACGAAGCTGCCTGCGATCTGCTTGAATTCGAGGTATCGGGTAACATCAGTCGAGACGAGGATGTTTGTAAGTTCGCCATTGGCCATCAAGAGTTTGGGGACGAGGTCAACGTTCCAGTCGTTGACCCGGCCATATTTCTTCCACGGCTCTCCTGTGTTGTGGCCGTATTTCTTGAACAACTGCGCACAGAAGTGTTAGACCAGCCAATATCTCTTCAGAACTTTAATGCTTTTCTTACAGCCTCAATGTTCACCGACGCAGCCTCACTGAGTGTCACCGTCAGTAGCCGATTCACCACTAGGTAAGGCGTGCAATCTCGTACCCGCCATAGTGATCGTTCCGGTCGATGTGGAGGACTTTCTTGCCTTTGACCGAGAGCACTCTGTTACAGCGTCAGCATAATGGTCGTCCAGCAGTCGTTGGATCACGCTTACCCCGATAAGACGCATTCAGTCAAACCTACAGACCGGGATCAAGTCAACAAAATGGCGGGGTCGCTGATATCAGGGCGGGCATACCTGTGCCTAGCACAATAACATCGTACTCTGGTGCGATCTCATCCATTTTGTAGATGTCAAAAGGTCGAATGTATGCGTAAGAGAATAGATACAAAGGGGAAATGTGTAGTCGACGCAGCCAAGGGTCGGCGGTCAATGTTGTTGTCGCACTAGTTTATCGTGAGGCAACTGGGGAACACTCCGCCGCGCCTGCGCCTAAAGGGTGAGGTCATTCACCGCCAAGAGGCTATGTTGTCAATTCCAGCCTTGTGCAGCCTTGCCGACAGGAACCTCTACACGCGAAAATTGTCATCTTCTCAGTGATGAATGACTTGACAAGCCATTGGGGAGCGGGATTTGAAAATCGTCTTTCAAACAATCCGAATCAAGCAAGAACCGACCACGGTGGAAGACAAATTCAGTTGACGTTACTGCTCCTCTGGGTTCCTACCCAGATTGTTTGCGAAAACCTCCTTGCCAGATACCCTTTGATCCCCTACTAAGGTGAGCGAAGGCTGCCTTACGGGCATGCCTGAGCTGAGCCTCGCCGGACATCCCTTGAGCATGGTACTGAGCTACCAAAAAGGCCCAAGCTGGTCCATCCCAAGCAATCCGCTATACTTGCCTTTCAGCTGCGGGCGTGCGCCGCAGCGTCTCAAAGTGGTCTGCTTCCACGGTACCTAGCTCATTATCATGTCGCCTACGACGATGTGTCGCATCCCACAATGCTCGGGGGGCCATTGATCGACCCTGTCTTGTCAGCACTAGGGGAACTGCCGTCTTCATATATGCCGACATTGAGCAAAGTCATCCCCAAACAAGAAGCGGTGAACGAAAGACGCCGGCGACAGTGGGGGCCAAAGGCGAAACCCGAGATCTACACCACTAACGTCTGCTAAGATTCCTGTGGTATCAACTCCGGTGACCATAGGTGATGGCCTGGGCAAACGATGCATACAGTAGTGTATCTACATTTCATGGTTTGTTCACAATGTGTGGCCCACCCCTCCTATCAGATATAAGAGAGACAGGTGCACTACGAAGTGGCTATCTTCCGCATTCCCATTGTCTTGCGCCTTTCAGCTATGGCTGACCCGTCGTCCCCATCGCGCGAATTTGCAGGCGCTGTTGATGCCGAGCAAGTGTCGCATCCTCCTACCTTCGAGACCTCACCACACGAGCACCATGGCATAACACAGTCGTCCTCTGAGCAACAACGTGTACCTCTCACAAACTCGGTAACTGAAAAGGCTGGGGAGACTTCCAAATTTCTTGTTGAAGATCGTGATTATAGCTCTTATCCCCCACAAATTCGCGATGTTGCATCCACAGGCCGTACGAAAACTGGCGGCCTTGGGATTCACAGTCTCTGGAGCTCGTGGTGGCTGGAGGTATCAGGGAGTGTCTTGATCTTTCTTGTTTTCGTCGCGCTGGTCATTACTCTTAGAGAGTATCAGAATCAGCCTCAGCCAAATTGGCCATATGGCTTCTCCATCAACACACTCGTGTCGGTGTATACAACCCTGTTCAAGTTCCCACTCATGCTTATTGCATCAGAATGTAAGTACTCCCGCTTCTGCGACCGGAGGATTCTTATGCTTTGGCTTAGGTCTGGGTCAGTCAAGATGGAAATGGTTCCAGCGACAGAATCAACCTCTAAAAGATATTGCGCTTTACGAAGCTGCCCTACGAGGAGACCCGTTCGGCGTTATTCAGCTACTATGGGCGACACGTGGACGACAGCTCACGGCGATAATCGGAGCATTTATATCTCTGGCCGCACTTGTGCTTGATCCATTCAATCAAGCAGTCATCACCATCTACCCTTGCCAGATCCCCGATGCGTTTTCAATGGGCGGTGTCCCGCCAGTAAACACTTTGCAGATTCCTGAAACCCAGCCGTTGATGATGCAATATAACATGCTGGCGACTATCCTCGGTGTGGAATCATTCGAAGTCCAGCCTAGCTGCCAATCCGGAAACTGCACCTTTGACCAGGAGTATCATTCGGTCGGCTTCTGCAGCAATTGTACAGATATCAGCGACAGATTGCAGCGAAATTGCACCATCCCGGCAAACACAAAGCCACTCTTCAATGCCACGCTTCCTAGTTGTCGCTGGTTTCTGAAGCAGACGGACACCAGTGACGGCGACGGCGAAACTCCCAACTATATCGGCTACGACACTTCAATACCGTCCCAGGGTGGTGATCTTTGGAAAGTGGTGAATCATGAGGTTGCCTCGTACTCGGTGAATTATACCTTCGCTTGGATTGCGGACCCGCCTCAGGCGCTTTCATGCTCCGTCAAGCCTTGTGTCAGGTCCTATAAATCCGCTGTCATCAATGGAAGCTTTTCCGAAAGGCTAATCGGAAAGTCCCAAGTATGGCCGGATCCACCTATCGTTGCACCGTATCAATGGGATGTCATGTACTCTCGGATGCTAAATAGGGATTGTCTGCCAGCATCCGCCAAGCAAGCACTCATTCGCCAGAATATTGATATCACCCCGGAATGGATTGCTTACAACTATACCGTACTCAACGACACGCCCACTGGGCCACGAGTTCTGGAGGGCATGGCTCCTGATCCCACCATTCCTGACCAATGTTTGTATCAATACAGATCGTACGAACTGGGTGTTCAGAGTCCCATATACAACATCATCACATGGTTTCAAGCCCAATTCAAACAGCCTCTAACGGCATGGGTTTCCTATGACGGGACAAACGTAACTGGCGGCATCTCGTCCGAGATTTGGAACGGCGGCAGCAAGCCGACACCAATGTACTGGATCAATGGCCTGGAGACAAACCAGAGCACCGCCATGATAGAGTTATATGAAAACGGCAGCATCACTGGCGATGCTGTGGCCCAGATGTTCGAAAATGTCGCCACAACCATGTCCAACTTCGCACGTAGCAGCTCCAGCACACTACTCGATGGCAACGAGCTCGACCTGGATCTCACGCCGGCTCGGGCACCCGAGTTGCTGCAGAATTCATGCATCAACATCAATTGGCCCTGGTTGGCGCTGCCTGCGACGCTCATGCTGCTGAGCATACTGTTTTTGGGCCTGACAGTCGCAGAATCGGCTTTGCCGGGTTCGACGGGCATCTGGAAGTCCTCGCCGCTTGCCTGGCTCTGGCACGGTTTTGAGATGCCGCAGCCTACGGACTCCACATTGGACGACCTAAAGACGATGGAAAAGATGTCGAGTAACATGAATGTGCAGCTGCAGCGGACGGCGCTTGGCTGGAAGCTTGTGCAACGACCCTAGAACAGTGGAGGAAGGAGCGCCGAACACACCAGCTGTAACCATTGACGTTATATGACACCTCGGCGTTGCGGGATCCTCCGTGACGTGAGCTGTTCCTGGACCCAGAACATTGGATTGGTCTTGGTGGCAGCACAATTGGAGGGCGCTTGTGATCAAAGAGTCTCATCCCAATAATAACCACCTTGTAAGAAGGCCTTTTCGGGCATCATGAGAGAAAGGTACGCGCAGTGAAGGCCACTAAAGTTCAGGCAGGTGTACTTGTTCTAAAGTCGCTCTCAATTTCTCAGTACTTCGGCTGCTATTTGTCACGCCGCAGTCTCATACTACTGAAAACTTATCTCTACCAACCAAGCTTTACATCTCTTAGGGGAAGCCAATACCACCGTCAACACCAATGAGTTGTCCAGTGATGTAGCTAGCACCCGGGCTTGCAATGAACAAGATTGTCTCAGCCACCTCCCTTGCAGTCCCTTCCCGCTTGATGTGCTGATTGTTCCTCAGTCTGACGGCAATCGGAGATCCCTCCATGCTGAGATCAGTCTTGATTGGTCCTGGAGCCACAACGTTGATTGTGATGCCTTTTGGTCCCAATTCTTCCGACATTGCGATTGTCAGAGCGTTCAAAGCGCCCTTGGAAGCACCATAGACCGGCAACATCAGTGACCCAAGACGAGCGATGATGCTGGAGACGTTGATGATGCGTCCACCTTCTTTCAGGTATGGAAGAGCAGCTTGGATCAATAAGAACGGGGCACGGACGTTGACATGGAACACTGGGTCCCAATCTTCCGCGCCAACTGACTTGATCCCTTCGGCGTTGAGAACTGCTGTGCCCGCGTTGTTGACGATGATGTCGATAGTTTGAGTGTTGAATGCTTTCAAGGTAGCATCAACAAGCACCTTTCCAAAGTCGATCGAGCTGGCATCCGCCTGGATAGCAACGGCTTGGACACCCAGGCTACGAAGCTTGGTGACAACCTCTTCTGCAGGAGCCGCAGAGCTGTTATAGTGAATTGCAAGCTGCTACACTGTTAGCTACAAAAACCGACACCATGAGAACGCAGAAGCGTACGTTGGCACCCTGCTCGGCGAGGGCAATTGCAGACTGTGCGCCAATGCCATTGAGCTTTCCGGCACCAGTCACAATGGCAACCTTGCCTTTGAGATATTGTTGAGCCATTGGTTCGGACTGTATTGCTGGGGAATTTGTTGCTGGTGAGTTATGCTTCGTGGTAGGATGGGAAGACTTTTTGTGGAAGATACTTGTTATCTTGTGCATGTGTTTTGCTCACTGAGTTGTTTGTGCGAGAACCAAGTGAAGCAGTGGTTCTTGCACGGTCTTTATATGCTGCGAGTTTGCCAACGACTCTGAACGAGAACTCTCGAGAGATCCATAGCTGACAAACGTCGCAACGGCGGAGACTTGCCTGTCATACATGGCGTTCTGAAGCTGTAAAGCTGTAGAGGTCGGCTAATGACCAGTCAAGAAGAATGGCTATGTGACATCGTACGGCTTGCTGCTGCATGGAGCAGCGCCCAGAGAGGAAAGGAGTTAAAGATTCCATAATCTGCCTCACAAGCCGCCGACACGGAGCGGAGCGGGGCGGAGGCTCAGTTGTCGCCGGCCTCCGCAGATTGACAGAGGGATTATCTAACATTGCCGATCATCCAACGCCGTCATACCCAATACTACCTACCTAGGTAGGTATTGGGTGTCCATATCTTTCCACAGTTCTTTCAACCGAATGCGATTGACAATTGCAGCGCCATGTGAACTCACTTACCTGTTCACATGCGCGACTTCGAAAGGCGATGCCATGACAAACCATGTTACGGCGTGCGGTTGTCAAGAATGCTGACACATGACATGGCCCGCTCAATGCAATGACCTGGCGACTCTATTGAACGGTATCATCAGTTCCACGGTTGCATGAGAAAGCTATAAAGATGTCGGAAAGGTAGGTACCAAATGTGAGTTCTGCAGAAAATCAGCACAACAGTATCGAGGCTGAGTACCGTCGTCCCAAAATCCAAAAACCATTCCCCAATTCGTAAGGCACTTCCACCATGCCTTCCGTCCTACTTCTTGGAGCAACCGGCCTTGTCGGAGCCCATCTTGCAGCCGACATCAAAAGGTCCCGCCCCGACTGGCCCTTGACGGCATTCTACCGTAACCAAAGCGCAGATGAATACTTTTCTAGAGTTTACGTCGACCGCATTGTCCACGGGTCATTCTCGGACACAGATCTTGTGAAATCATTGAGCAAAGAGCACGACATAGTCATCAACGCCGCGTCCTCTTTCGATGCCGACTTGATCAACCTGATCATATCCGGCATGGAGGAGAGACCGTCGACGTCCCCTAAAGGCACATTGATCCACCTCAGCGGAACGGGCAACTTCATCGACTACGGGACGACAGGGAACTTCAACCCCGAGAGTAAAGTCTGGAATGTTCGTCTCCCTCCAATTCTCACGGCAGAGAAGATCATTTGCTGATCTGTGGTGACAGGACGACAACGAAGAAGACATCAAGCTGATCAACAAGGACATGTTCAACGGTGCAACCGACGTTCCGTAAGCTGCATCCGCATTCTTCGACGCGTAGGGTTTGGACGTCATCTGACTTCTACGTCTAGTGTCCTCGAAGCAGGCCAACGAGGCAAAATCGCCACGTACATCATTTGTCTTGCCGTGACGTCCGGGCAGAGCGCGTTCGGTCCAACGGCCCAACTGGGTGTAGGATACAATATCTTCGTTGGCTTGGCCAAGGGGCTGGGATTCGTGCCCTATGTGGGAGATGGGACTGGTGTCGTGAGCACTGTACGTTGACGACGAATCATGGTGTGTACGAAATGCTGACACGATCTGTTCCACAGGTCCATGTCCAGGATGCGGTGCCTTTCATCACCAAGATCGTCGGCGTTGCCGGGACGCAAGAGCCCCAGGGTAGTGCTTACTCGCGATACTACATCGTTCACGGAGAAAGACTTGCATGGAAGGACTTCAGCGGGGCATTGGCCAAGGTATTGTATACCAAAGGGCTTGTCTCGTCGCCGGAGCCGAAGAAGATTTCGATGGATGAAGCTGGGGTCGGTGAAGTCAAGCATCTGATTGCTGCCAATATGTTGGTTAAAGGTGACCACGCGGCGAGGATGGGATTTAAGCCTGTACAGCCATCGATGTTGGTCTCGATGCAGAAGGATATTGGGGAGCATGTCTTCTAGATGTGCGTATGGCTTCCCCAAGTGCATAGACATTTGTCCTTAGCATATACAAGCATATACACGCTTTTGCAGTAGTATACAATTACAGATTTCTGCTAGCAATCCCGTTGCGCCAGCATGCAAGGTCCCCGACAGGGCGACCGGCACATGCCCATATACAATGACCTAGGACCGCGATATCTGGATTTCTTGTAGGCGATCGTTGTCGACAGGTGCGGCCGGGTCAACAGGTTCCAAGTGCTCCTCCTCCGACGCTGCTGGACTCGGGAAGATGTCCCTCAGATACTTTTGGCTGATCAATCGATAGGCTTGGTCGCGAGAGAGATGTCGATCGGCCAGTACTTCCCGGATCTTCTTCATGGTACCTTGAACCTGCAAGTTTATCATAGTCAGTACAGTGTTCGACGACGGCACAGCTCAAGTCCCTCCTGGTTGAGAAAAGTGTGATTTCAGATAAAACGTTTCGGGAAGATCTCATGTCCAGAAGGCTTAAGCGTGCCCTCTAGCACTCATTTCGGCGAGTGAAAAAAGGATTGATTCATCTCTGTAACGAGAATGACCGAGGAGAAAGCGACAGGAAACTTACCACTGTGAGTCTGTCCTCGTGCTCTTGTCCACCGTAACCTGCTCTTACGCGCAATCGCTCTTTCTCCCGGGTCATGACTCGGTTCTGTTCTTTCACACACACCCAGTACAACCTGTGTAGATCATCGAAGGATTTTATGGATAGTTCCTGATAAGTCCAAGCCCGGCCTGAATGTGTGTTAGAGACCGTGATGTGAATGGTTCTTTTCAGATGCGAACGTACCATGGCTTGACTCTTCTTCGGGTGGGAGTATTGGTCTTTTGTCCTTGCTAAAGAAACCCCATAGCCCATGGTCCTCTGAGCCTTGGTACTCCGGAGAGGTGCCTCTGTGGTCCCTTGCGACAGGGACGGGAAGAGGGTATTGCCATAGGCCCTGTGTTACTCTGGGACCAGTTCGTCGGATGGCGGAGACACCTCTCTGCTTGTTCGCATCCTTTCGCGGCCGTTGCGCAAGGGACTGTGGTCTGTTCTCCTCTTTCTTCGGCTTGCTAGCGTAGGATCTGGAGAATGAAATTGTCGCTGCAACGGTGGTAGGTCTCGCAAAAGCTGGGGCGAGAAAGACGGGGACCGTCGCCTGCCGACATGGCACGAAGCTCAGGACTGAGGAAGCCATGTTGATATCCGGGGATCGAACGGAGATTTTATAGCTGTCAGGAACCAATGCGACTGGGATTCTGAGGTTGTGACTCAATGCGACTTGGCTGCAGGATGTGACTCATGCGATCGATGACTGACTCGACTTGTAGAGAGTATCTCAATCTCAATGTCCGAATACGAAAACCGCGCCAAGTCTTTGCGGAGAAATCAATGATCTTGATGTCGGCGCACCTTCCATGTTGAGACTTCGATGTAAATTTGGAGTAACCCAATTAGGAAGCGTAAACACATCGTCGCCATTCAGATTGACATAATCAGCGACAACTTCTCAATCGCAATCAATAGTCATTCTGCGCGTCGCATAGTCCCGTACAGCAGGGGCGCTGCATCTCGACACCATGAAGATCATCGAACTTATCATCGATGGGTAGGTTGTTGCCCAATCTCACGCGTTCGAGACTAACCGCAATCACAGCTTCAAGTCCTATAGCCAGAGGACGGTGATTTCAGGTTGGGACCAGAGCTTCAACGCTGTTACTGGTCTCAATGGATCCGGAAAATCCAACATTCTCGATTCAATATGTTTCGTCCTCGGTATAACCAATATGTCGACCGTACGAGCGCAAAACCTCCAAGACCTCATCTACAAACGCGGTCAAGCCGGTGTCACGAAAGCGAGCGTGACGATTGTCTTCGACAACAGCGACAAGACCACGAGTCCCATCGGCTTTGAAGAGTATGGACAAATAAGTGTTACCCGACAAATCGTCATGGGAGGGACAAGCAAATATCTCATCAACGGACACCGCGCACAACAGACGACTGTGCAGAATCTCTTCCAGAGTGTTGGACTGAACATCAACAACCCGAACTTTATCATCATGCAAGGTCGCATCACCAAAGTGCTGAACATGAAGGCAGCAGAGATCCTCGCCATGATTGAAGAGGCGGCCGGTACGCGCATGTTCGAGGACCGCAAAGAGAAGGCACAAAAAACCATGGCCAAAAAGGAGATGAAGGTCGTTGAGATTGAAGGATTGCTAAAAGAAGAGATTGAGCCCAAGCTTGACAAACTACGCGGCGAGAAAAGAGCCTGGCTGGATTACCAGAAGACACAGAGTGAGCTGGAACGTCTGACACGAGTTGTGGTTGCGGCAGATTACGTGCGATCAGGGGAGAAGATGAAGACGGCGACCGAAGAACACGAAGCCAAGAGAGCAAAAGTTCAGCACCTGGAAGAGAATTCTGTCAAGCTCAAGCGCGAGATCGAAAATCTGGATGAAGACGCTCAAAAGGTTCGGGCAGTCCGCGAAAAGGAAATGCGCAAAGGTGGACGCTTCCAAGCACTGGAAGGCCGGGTAAAAGAGCTCAGCCACGAACTCGTCCGACTTTCCACGGTACTGGATCTGAAACAGTCCAGTGTTGCAGAAGAGGAGCAGAGGAAGAAGGACGTGGCTAAGAATGTCAAAAGCCTTGAAAAACAGGTCGTCGACAAGAAGACCAGCCTTGCAAAGCTTCAATCACAATGGGACAGCGCCAAAGCTGAACTTGATGCACAGAATGCAGAGGTGGAAAAGAAGGAAGAGCTTTTTTCAACACTTCAAACTGGAGTAGCATCAAGGGAAGGACAGGAAAGTGGCTACCAGGGACAATTACAAGAAGCACGAAGTCGTCTGACTACCGCGGGCACCGAGCAAGAACAAGCGAAGCTGAAGATCTCCCATCTTGAAAAGCGCATCAAGGAGGATGAGCCACGAGCAAAGAAAGCCCGGGAGCAGAATGGGGATCTTCTAAGTGGACTAGAAGTCCTGCGGAAACAGGCAAAGAAGCTTGAGAGTGACCTGCAAAAGATGGGCTTCGAACCTGGAAGGGAAGAAAGCATGCGGCAGCGAGAATCCACCCTGCAGAAGAGCATTCGGACGTTGACTCAGGAAGTTGATGGCTTAAGGCGCAAGGTCGCCAATGTCGACTTCCAATTCAGTGATCCTTCGCCCAACTTCGATCGTTCAAAAGTCAAAGGTCTCGTTGCTCAGCTCTTCACCCTCGACAAGGACAAATCAGTCGCTGGTACAGCACTCGAAATCTGTGCAGGAGGAAGACTTTACAATGTTGTTGTGGACACTGCTGAAACCGGCACGCAACTGTTGCAGAACGGCAAGCTCAAAAAGAGAGTCACGATCATACCTTTGAACAAGATCTCGGCCTTCAAAACGTCGGCAGCAAAGGTGGGAGCCGCTCAATGTATAGCACCGGGCAAAGTCGACTTAGCTCTGTCCTTGATCGGTTATGAGCACGAAGTCTCCGCAGCCATGGATTATGTTTTCGGAACTACCTTGATTTGTCAAGATGCAGAGACAGCAAAGAGGGTAACCTTCGACCCGGCTGTAAGGTTAAAGAGTGTGACCTTGGAAGGTGATGTGTATGATCCTTCAGGCACGTTATCCGGTGGCAGTTCGCCCAACTCCAGCGGGGTCCTTGTCATTCTTCAGAAGCTCAATGAAGTCACTAAGGAGCTCGAAACACATCAGTCTGAGTTGCAGCAGATCCGAGAGACGATGCGAAGCGAGCAAGCAAAAATGGCAAACATCAAGACCATCAAGCAAGAGCTGGACCTCAAGACGCATGAAATCAAGTTGGCCGAAGAACAGATCTCGGGAAACTCCTCGTCTTCAATCATCCAGGCAATCGAGGAAATGAGAGCATCGATAGTACAATTGAAGGAAGACATGGCAGATGCCAAAACAAGACAAGCTGAAGCCGGAAAAGATGTCAAGCGCATTGAGAAGGATATGGAAGACTTCAGCAAGAACAAAGACAGCAAGTTGAAGGAGCTTGAGAAGTCGTTAGCTGAACTGAAGAAGTCGCTGAGCAAGACTCAGACGGCGATCAAGTCAACGCAAAAGGAGTTCCAGGACGCAAGAATCGACTGCGAGCAGGCTGAAACCGATCTAACCACAGCCGAAGAGCAATTTGTCGAGGTGACCAATGCGATCGAAGCTCAGAAGCTGGAACTGCAAACGCTACAGGACGAGGAAACAACCGTGAAAAGTGATCATGATGTTGCACAAGCTGAACTCGCAGACGAACAGGCCAAGCTAACAGGATTCGATGACGAGCTTCGAGAGCTGGAACAGGCTAAATCGAAAAAGTCCAAGCAAGTAACGGAAGAGGCACTGGAGATACAAAAGCTAGGTCATGCTGTGGAAAAGACTCAGAAAGATGCACAAGCAGCGGCTCAGCTAGTTGCTGCTCTGGAAAAAGAGCATGACTGGATCGAAGACAACAAGGATCAGTTCGGACGCGCTGGTACGCCGTACGACTTCCATGGAAAGAATCTGGCCGAAAGTCGAGCCTCGTTGAAGAACGTGACGGAACGGTTCCAAGGCATGAAGAAGAAAATCAACCCCAAGGTGATGCCTATGATCGATAGCGTCGAGAAGAAGGAAACAAGCCTGAAGAACATGCTGCGAACGGTCATTCGGGACAAGAAGAAGATCGAGGAGACGATTGTTACGCTGGATGAGTACAAGAAGGAGGCTCTGGTGAAAACATGGCGCAAGGTCACTGAAGATTTCGGCAACATCTTTTCTGACCTACTTCCTGGGAACAACACGGCAAAATTGATACCTTTGGACGACAATATTGACCGGATCCAAGAAGGATTGGAAGTCAAGGTCTGCCTGGGTAAGGTCTGGAAGCAAAGTTTGACTGAGCTTTCTGGTGGTCAAAGGTATGATACACGCCTTCAGGCTTTTGAACACTGCTAACATTGTGATTAGGTCTCTTGTCGCTCTGTCTCTGATTCTTGCTCTTTTGCAATTCAAGCCGGCACCAATGTACATTCTGGACGAGGTGGATGCTGCTCTCGACCTGTCGCATACCCAGAATATCGGCCGAATCATCAAGACCCGGTTTACAGGGTCGCAGTTTATTGTCGTCAGTTTGAAGGATGGCATGTTCCAGAATGCCAACCGCGTCTTTAGGACGAGGTTCATGGAGGGTACCAGTGTTGTGACTGTGATGAGTCCTGGAGAAATAAAGGGTTGAGCGTTGTGTGATTGACATTGGATGCTTTGCTTCGTGTGGAACTGTTCGGGTAGCCGGACATGTTTGGATTGGGACTTGACGAAGTGACGAGATCATGTCTGGCGTTTTTGGATATCTTGCTGATGGGAGACCAGTCCCATGGTCGGCCATAATATTTGTCTTGAGAATAACCCCGGACTTCATATTCATCACGATTGAGATTGACCTAGACTCTCAACAACTTCTTCCACCACGCCTCTGACTCCCGAAATCTCGTGCGCGAATCTCCCTAGGAACAACCCATCAACCCATTTTCCCAGACCGTTGCCTCCATTTGCTTTGCCGGACCACAATCCCGGTCCTGCACTCCCACCATACACGACCTTGACTTCGCCTGTTCTCCCCTTCACGGCCTGTTTGGCAATCTGTCGAATCGCTTGGACTACAGGGCCCACGTAGTCCACGCCCGCGGGCTCCGCGGCACCAATTGCCCAGACAGGCTCGTATGCGAATATCACTGGTGCATCAGCGGGAATAGCTTTGAGTACAGTCGTGATTTGTGGCGTGAGTTGTGACATGGCGACGCCGACGGATTGACTTAGCGGGCCATTGAGGTTGGGTTTGTCGAGCTCGCCTATACAGACTAGTGGGATCATGCCTTGTTGACATACAGCAGATGCTTTGGCGGTGGCTGTATTGTCGTCCTCGTGGAGTAAGCGCCGGCGTTCGGCGTGATTGAGTTCGACGATGGATATTCCGAGTTCGGCGAGGGCTGGCGGGACGATCTCGCCTGTGAAGGGCCCGTAATTGGTTGAGGAGTGTGCGTTTTGGGCGCCGAGAGCGATGGGCCATTTGGATTCATATTTTGATGTTAAGGTCTGGGAAGATGGGTAGAGTGTGAGGAAGTCGGGGATGAGGACGAAGAGGATTTCTGACTTGTGGGATTCTAGTAATGGGAGGATGTTGTTCGATGGGTCGAGGATGGATTTTAGGTATGATATTGTGCGGGAGGGCGAGAAGTATGCTTTTGTTGATGTTAGGATCAGCTTTGAGGGCAGGTGAGGGTATGTTGGTGGTGTTGGCATTTTGCTGGTAGCTGGACTGGTGTTGCTGTCAAGATATTGGTGGTGGTGGTGGTGGTGGTAGTATTGGCTCGAGGTGGGGGAGTGTGAATGTTGATGAAAGCGACAGGTTGTTGTGAGGCTCTGTCGAGACGACTTGTTTTGATCTGGGCGTTTTTGACATCTAGGAAACCTGGTAGCTAGACTTACAGTAGGTCTACATAGTATTGTGGTGGTAGGTGTTCTTGGTGTAAAGCGTAATCGGCATCCGCTCGATCATTTCACCGACTTGGAACCCCACGTTTTCCGTTTCTCCCCTACTGAGGTGTCTCGCTCAATTAGCCGGTGCGATGCAGGGATCCAAGGGGAGAAATCCCGGACTAAAAAAAACCACTCCAACAAGTTGGGAGCAAAGACCATGATGCCAGGGAAAAGACTTCGCCGCCGGCCAAAGACGGACTTGAGTGCGTCCCATCCCCGCATCACTTCGAAATTGTATTCCAACAAACCAAGAGGCGGCGAAAGTCGAATATCTGCATATAACAATTTAACGACAGTGTCTTTACTTACCTAACTTCCCGTTGCTCACCGCGTCAGTCCTTGAAAGTATTTCTTACCGCTCTGTACAGACCCTGAATCTTTCGTATACCACATCTCGAAATGACGACCAACGGCACCAAAACCCCCCTCCGCATAGTGGTAGGCAGCGACAACGCAGGCCACGCCTACAAGACTGCCCTGAAAGAAGTCCTGCACAAGCACGCCGGCGTCACACATGTGTTGGATGTAGGCGTTCTCGAGGCCGACGATGCCACAGCATACCCTCATCTCGCAGTCGATGCGTGCAAGAAGATTAAAGCTGGAGAGGTACATTCCTTGGCCCATTCCCTCTGTGTCTCATTGGTTTTCGAGACATAGACCGTCGCTAACGCTCCCGCTAACAATTCGACAGGCTGACCGCGCCCTCCTCATCTGTGGCACAGGACTCGGCGTCGCCATCAGCGCCAACAAAGTCGAGGGTATTCGAGCCGTGACCGCGCATGACCCATACAGCGTCGAAAGATCCGTCTTGTCGAACAACGCCCAGGTGTTATGTTTTGGACAGCGTGTAATCGGTCTCGAGTTGGCCAAGAAGTTGGTGGACGAGTGGGTAGAACTCAGATTCGACGAGAAGAGTTCGTCGGCGGAAAAGGTGGCGGATATAAGTAAATATGAGGAACAGTTCGGAGAGCTATGATATAAGAGCAGCAGATTGCATCCCGGGGGGACTTTGACGGCAACGACTGCCTACCTTTACTGGAAGTCTGTCGGACGTCGGGAGCAAGACATATAACATACAGCCATTAAACACGAGGAGCACTTTCACGGCAAGCCTCGTCTCAACGAAAATAACATCGATTTACATTTGGGAGGACGCCCTGTACATTTCACAGGTTTATCATGTTTCTTCTTTTGGCTAACAATAGAGGAATCGATACTATTCTAGTTGTTGGCTTAGGAGTCCACCACAGACACATTGGGTCTGACCACCTTTGGCATGCCAGCGCGTTCATCCACACCAATGCCATGCATCTAACATCCACGGAACTGGCTACCCTTGCCTTTGACCACACGCCAGTATTTTGGATGCCTTGGGCAGAGCGGACTAGACGGTAGATGTTCCGGTATCGTCATGTCAAACTGCGAGTCGGCCCTTACTGGTGGTGCTTTTGTGAAGAGCTTCTGAGTATTCAGCCTTTTCTCGCCACATTTCGACTCTCGATCGATCTTTGCAGGTTCTGAATCGGCTTCGAGTTGCTTCAGCTTGACATCGTACCAGTCCCCACTGACAACACGACCGGACCGTTTGCACTTTCTCCTCCCAAGGTCCTTGAAGAACGATGGTGACTTGTTTCCATCATCTCCACCACTGCTTGTAGTTACGCTTCCAGTCGATAATGCAGACGCCGACGGGCCAGATCCATCCACCGCTGGTGCGTTATAGTCGAAAAAGAAGCCACGCCATTTGCCGTCTGCGCCCGCTTCGGGTAGGGGTGGAGTATGTATGCGACGTGCCTCACTTGGAAGGTAACTGGTCCCACCGCGAATACTGATATCGATCTTCAGATATTCTTCCGTCTCTGCACTGGGGCTTCTTTTCACCTTGTATGTGGCGCGTTCTTCTGGGGTGTTGGCTGGTTCAGGACCCAGACGGAGACTAAGCTGACTCGATGTGTATGAATCAACGCCCGGAAGTTGCTCAACACTCTTCCGGTGGTAGAAGGAGAGTTGGGATACAATGCCTTCTGCAGTATGGACCAACCCTCTGTTTTTCGACGTAGGCGGTATCTCCGAAAAAGTCCGTACCATTGGTGGTCGAAGAAGGCCAGGAGAAGGTGGTGCCAGCCTTGACGGAGAAGGAGGAATGGACTTCGTCGTGTCCTGTAAAATAGCAGATACGTGCTGGAGGGCCTCCGCCGTATGGTTCCTCTTGAGCTGGTCAGGATGAGCCCCAAGCCGAACCGCCCTCGGCTTCGGCAACACGGGTGACGTTGGTGGAGTACCTGGAGTCTGCTTGGATTCTTTTGGCGTGCTCGCTCGACGGATGTACAGCAACGGGGCCGAAAACAAGCGTTTAGGATTGATCGAGCTGTTACGAGATGATTGCACACGCGGAGTTTCCTCAGACGGAGTGTCCAGCTTTGCTACCTTCAGAGGCTGTTCTGGGAAATAAGTTTCGACCTTGATGGAGCTTGACTCGGAGATTTCAACGGTGCTATGACTTTTCGTCATCGGCGGCCTCAACGGAGTCTGATCTGTACGAATGGTGAGTTGTACAGATCCTGGCGTGCGTGGTGTACCGGTAGTAGACATGGTTTGATTGGATGGCCGTCTCGCCTCTGTGTCCATCGAGGACTTCTTATTTTGTATCCAAATGCTGCCTGACATTGTTCTAGACCATTCGTGGCCTGGTCTCTGGCGTCGAGGCGTGCTTGGGCGACCCTCCCTCGAAGGAGCCAGGCCGCTGCCTGGAGATGTACTGTCGGATTTCAGAGATGGAGGACGGACCGTATGGCCTGTGGGAGTGTCCGGTGAGCTTTCAGTCTTATTTCTCCTGGTGCCCTTTGGCGAGGTCTTATAATCAGGATCGTCTGGCAGAGGAGGGTTTAAGGCCAACTGGTGGTCGAGACTGAGTGAATCTTCCGGTACGGTATGCACAGGGGTTTGCACGTAAATCCTTTTGTGTATGGATTCATCTTCGGAGACGGGTTGCCAGTCAGAGTGTATAACGATAGGTGGCCGTCGCCGGGTATCGACAGGACTAGCTGTTGGAGAGACGGGCGTCAGAGCGGGCGTCGATGCAGCGTCCTTCCGCGTAACAGGGACGTCGAAGTATGAGGAGACCTCTTTGTGAAAGGGATGCATTCTCAAAAGATGTTCAGCAACCAAGACTTAGGACTGAGTGATAGGGTTGAATGAATCGAATGCACGTTCGGTGATGTGGAGTGCAACAATATGTTGATGAACAGCAACACCGCACTCAAGCAAGTCCATCCTGGGAAGGCACCCATCTCGTGAGGAAGGTGGCATGGGCCTGTCGAGGTACTTCATGCGGGGGCAGCCTGACTTTGACCCTCGAAGAAAGTGCCGGCCAGGCACAATCAGCGCTCTTCGTTCGTAGTTGCCCAAGAACGGTGGTCTAGGCTAAAGCCCATATCGCAGTAACCGTTTGTCGCTGGAGGAATAGGAGTATTCGGGCCTGAGAATCGCGAACACCTTTAGGGTCACACTGTTCGAGGTCCGTCTACGGCCATGTTGCCGACGAGGCTAATTGTCATCTAGACTCATCTGCTTGATGTCTTCCTCGACAGAAAGTAGACCGAGTGCCCAGTGCACTCTTGTGGAAGTATCATGGTTGATCAAACTGCGGTCGTGCCTCACGAATTTCGACTCGATCTCCTCAAGAGCATCAGGTGCTTGGCTGCTTGCACGCCGTGTGACAGATGTTCCACCTCCTTTGACGCGGGCATCCTGACTGTTGACATCTATCGTCCTCTCATATGGCGGACCTCGTCCAAGCTCACCCATTCTCTCCCAAGCTCTTTCACATGCGGCAGCAATAGAAGCAGCTGTCTTCCACCCGCATCGTTGGGCAATATCTTGTAAGTTGGCCACAGTCCAAGCTCGCTCTTCGGCGCTTTGGTACTGAACCCCTGCGAAAAGCAGTGAAAAGCTGCTCTCCATCAATGCTCCTGCAAAAGTAGGATCTAACGCCCCACTTTGGCTATACTGCTGAGTGGCATATAGGCCGGCACAAATCTTACCGATAGTTTGAGCGTACTCTTGGGTGAAGCGTGCTGTTATGCCGGCTGCTACCATCGCTGCAGGAGGCATATCCGGATGCAAGCGGTGCAACAAAATGCGCCCCACGTTGTAAAAAGCCCAGATACAGGCGATTCCTGCATTTCTGTATATTGGAACCGGACGGAAAGGCGAAGACTCTGCTGGGTCTGTGTATGATACCGGCTCGAATTCAAAACCGAGAGACTTGGCAAAGAGGTCGAACGCTCTGGTGATGTTGGCATGTTCTGCCATGGCTCTGGAGGTTTCATCCTCGAGACTGGGTTGAGGGGACTGTGACTTGCTTTCCACCTTGCCCGTGAAAGCTTGGTCATTGATGCTTGCATCCATGGCTTTGAAAGCTGAATGTAGCTCAATCGGCGCTTCTGGCGGGGGTATCATACCGAACATACCGGGAGGCGGACCTGATGGCGGAGTTGAACTTTGTGAGTTGGGTTTGCTCTGTCTGACTCTGCCTTCATTCGCACTTGGAGCTCCTGAAACTGGCGGACCACGATTGCCGGCACCTTTGGCGGTTTTGATTTGAGGCCCCGTACCAGGCGGTCCAGTATTGCTTCCAGCCCCGTGCTTACCCATACCTGGGGGCCCCTGAGGTCCGGAGAGCCATGCTGGAGGCTTCCACACTCCTCCTTGTGCCGCCACAGAGCGTTGTTTGCGAAAACGGTCTTTACCACCAAAATCTGCCAACCGGCCCATGATCAATGACAAATAGTCTATAGTTGCATAGGGATTGGCCGCCTTCCCGAATTGACCTCTTGGAGGACAATATATCCAATCCTCGTATTTCATGAGCAGTCTGTCACCGCCGACCAGGCTTTGAAAGATGTCTTGCTTGCAATACCACCACCTCAGATCCATCTTGGCCTTGAAGTCCTCGATGTCCTTTTCAGTAAGATCAGCCACAAGGGTTGGTAGAGGAAATTGTGGTTGGACTTGATGGTCATAATCGACATGAGTTCCAGTGAGTCGAGAGACGAAAGCAGAATCAACGTCCCAATCGATGTCATCCAACAATGCCAAAGGTATCCCAGCAACCCGAGCGTAATTTTCTTCTGTCAAGGCGAAGCGTGCCATCCATTGATTTACCCTAGCCTTCGCACCATTTCGCATTCGTCTCGCAGTTCGAGTTGACCCTGCAAAGTCGTGCTCCAGAACTAGCTTGGTTGCGCCCGACAGATGCAGATTCCATCGTGAGTGGTCACCACTCATCACCTCATAAAACCCAAGTACAAGCACTGTTGCTAGAGTTGCAATTTCATGGCGCCTGTTTGGCAGGCCAAGCGAACGCCCGACTCTTCGAATAGAATATGTGAAATGCTTGACAGCAGGCCCGTCAGCTGTATTTTCCAACTTAGAAAGGTGTAACGCCCCTAAAGCCAGGATCGCGTGGGCGAGTGCCGCATTCGACATAGCCAGGGACGGAATTGTGAAGTTCCACAGAGTTCGTGCTGGCCCTCCCATCGAAGCAAAATGGTGACGCTCGAAGACCGAGATGCACTTCGCTGTGACCTCGACAAAATGGTGAAAGATATGTTGGTTGCGCTCGTCCCTTAGAGGTGAACCTGTGGGAGGTGACCGGAACGTCGTGACGTTATGATGTGGCCGCTGACCGCTGTAGTGTCTTGAGACTCGGTTTCTTTGCTGACTTGACTGGTCAAGTATCTGAGTGAAATTTTCGGCGGCAGCATGAAATGAAAAGTTCTCCTCCTCGGAATCCACGTCAAAAGGGTCGTCAGGATCATCATAGTCATCATCACGGGTTGCGTGCGGGAGCTGACGGTCACTAGGGGCTGCCGGACCATGCAATGGAGGTTGATGGCTTGTATATTGGTCTCGGCCATGTGTGTAGAGTCCCCCTGCAAAGACGTTAACAGTCTTAGGGTGGCAGGAATATCAATCACCACAGAATCTCAAGGACAGCTTACCTTGGAGATGGGTTTGCGGTGGAGCAAACTGTTGTGGCAAGGGATATTGCTGCTGTGTAAAGTGGACGGGGTTTTGGTGTTGTTGAACGTTTGTGTAGTTGTCCTGCTGGAAGCTTGAGCTTGGTCCTCCTTGGGGTACCGTAGTCACCATAGAGGATGCGTTATCCCAATGGCCCGTCTGCGGCGGAGCGCTGTTGTACTGCAAGCTAGGGTGATATGTAGGGTTACCATCAAAGCCACCGGAATGCTGTGGATTCTGCCAGTACTGCGGATTCGCTCCAGGTGGCGGGTGCGGAACCTGATGGTGATCGGGCGCATGTGAAGGATATGCGTGATAACTCGCACTGAAAGGGTCCTGCTGATATGGTAGAGGACCGGGTGCATGGTAGCCCTGATAGATGGCTGATTCTGGAAGGCCATATTGAAAAGGCACCTTGGCGTAGCCTGCTGGGGGCACGCTTCCGGGGTGGCCCGGATAGACTTGCTGGGCAACACCGTGTACTAGGCCAGCATGTTCTTCAGCCTGTTGCTTGTAGACGAACGGCTGAACGTAGCCAAGGCAGTCACGCTTCGACTTGACGCAATTCTTGCAAGTCTATAAGCAAAAAGTAAGTGAAATGACATTGAGACACAATACCACGTAACAGTACCGGCTTCTCTTCTCCACATTTGATTCGCCTCTTCCTACATGCTGAGGACAATGTCAGTATGAGCTCTAATCCAGTTGTGAGTTGGATGAGAAGAAACAGCGTACTTACTTAGACAACCGGTCTTGGTCCGTCTTCTAGCTGCCTGCTTCTGTGCAGCTTCGGTAGTTGGCACATCATCCGTCTGCGATTCGGATTCCTGAGCATGGGCAGTGTCATCCTCCTCAGGTTGCGAAGACATTGGATGTCTGCTTCACTTCATAAAGGTTGTCATAAGCGGCTGAAGTACAATCCACAATTTCCGCTATGAAATATGGACAGGGCGCGCAACATAACACGAAAGTCTCGTGCTGAGAGCACAACAACCCGGTGTTGTCGAAGAGAGGTGGAAATGGAACTGTGCAATAAATGAAAAGCATTTTCCCATCCACTGCAAACGCCCTCTTTGAGTCGACGGAACGTGCTGGAGATCTGCTGGCCTGTTAAAGAATAGTACAGTACTACTCGCACATCAGTCCTGATCAGAACATGCGCAGAGCTTCCACAGCTTCTGTGGGGATCAGTGCAAATGCACCGGAGGAAATGAGAGCGAAGCGCAAACAAGCAAGGTCATGCCTGAATGCCTGAATGTGGAGTGTGCCGAGGGCCGATATTAATCCCTGCAGGCACGCTATAGGGATGCCGTTTTGCTCAGAAAGGAATGGGGTGTACCGGGTCTGTGTGGCCGCGTATACGGCTGATCCAACGTTGGGTACGATTGGCAGCTTCATCAAGGGACCTGGTTTTGGTCCAGCATTTGGACCATGACTAGTGCTATAAGCGCACGTTGTAGGGCATCAAGTGGTCCTTTTGGTGCGGTGGAGCCCTGGAAGAATAATGTACAAGCCAGTGCAAGATTGTGTTTGCTTTCAATGAGATATCAGGCCACATCAGGATGCAGGGGATTCGCTGTGGCATCTGTCAGAAGAAAATACTAACCTTTAGGGCCCCCTCCATGGCACGAGGGAGCATGGTTCAATTCTCCGCAACAAGGCTGACGCGGGAAGATTTTCTTCGATCATATGTACCGCAGGTCCCTGGGCATGAAAAACGGGTTTTCTGATCGCCATGGCTTTTCAATTTCGCCAATACAGTGCCAGGTCTGATTGGAGCCATATTGGAGCTAGATCTCGAAAAGACGCAATTCAGTGAAGATCGGGAGACGGGACCGAGACCCGAATAGCGGCGTTGTTGCTTAGACTCGGGCCAGCGCCATGCGTGGCTGATCGTTCCCTTGAGCAAGCAGCCACATCGTAAGGATGGCGTGGGTGGTTGAACATCAGAAGGGGTCCAATTTCAGCTCGGCACCAGTAGACAAGATAAGTATTGCTCGACGACAGAATATCATAGTATGAGCAAACGTTACACTGTATTGAGTCGCAAGAAGTATTGATATGCTTGACGTTGTATTGATGGACATCGGTTACCGGTTTTGATGGAGCAGTCGTTAATCGTTCGTGCAAATCTCCACGAGGGTCGTCGATCTGAGGGGAAACGAGAGGACAATCCACCGAGGCCCGGTGAATAAGCAGACCGCAACATTATTTCATACTCAACATGTCCACGAGTCCCTTCAAAGCTCCACCCTCATGCAGTAGAATGGTGACCTTTCACAGCTTGAACTGAGGTCAGTATAACGTGCACGCCGATCGTGTGGTAGCAAATACGACCTCGTACGCCGTGACGATCTTTGGAGTTCTCCGTCTGCTTGAGGCATAACACCGAGTAGCTTGGTGGTTAGGTTGTGCACGGTCGGTCGGCTTGCTTTCGATGGGTTATCCCGGCATAACAATGCATCATGCAAGCCGAGTTGCTGCAAGACCGTTATTATGTTCATCTGCGCAACACATCAGGAATACAGTCCGTACCGCGGCAGAGCCTAGGCAAGGGAGGACCTGGTAAAAGTGCCCCGACTGTCTGGCTTCTGAATACCCAACACTAACTCGTATGGGCAGGTGCAAAAGGCACTGCAGAAGGTTCTTTCAACGGGCAATGATCCTAGCATTATTATCGATCTCAACTGATTAGATAGCAAAACGATAGGGTATACTTAAGAGTACCTCACCATTAGGCGAGTACAACTCGTATCAAAAGTCCCAACACGCATTGGAAGGGAGAAGTGTGGTTGGTTGTGCGGCGATGGTGAGTTGGTTTATGATGCTCGTCATTGCTGCACAAGCCGAATGGTCAAACAGTCCCTGGATACTACGGCTTCATTGACAATTGGATCGTTGCTATCCATCACAATCGTTGTTGGGCTAGTAGTAGATGTCCGCCTAGGTACCTCAGGGTACATTTTCTAGGACTGGTTAAGCAAAAACTGCCGACCAACATGTATCTTTGACTTCGAAGGTAATCGAGCGATCAGTAGTGATGGAGTCCTTGATAGGGGTCGGTGGACATGGTAAAGTGAATCGATCGCGGCTTGAGTTTGATGGCGCAGTGATGGCGCTGCGTAGGTGCACAGCGGTGGTCATTTTGATGGGGTGGGTAAAGATTTCGATGCCTGGCGCCTGTCAAAGCACTGCATACGCCAAACCTGCCTAGGAAGAAATTCCGCTTCCAAAGTCTTTTTCTGCAGCACTAACGTACATTTTGGACTTTGGCAGGATTTCATAAATTAAATTTTAGGTCTTTATGCACAGGCCTTGAACACGCCAGCTCGAATCTACGCAAGGCACATGCGGCTGCGTCAAATTATCGGACACTTGCATATCGGTTAGCAACTTTTTAGAGCATTCCGCAGCGTCCTTGTCCTTTGTCCCTCGAAACGATTTGTTATGTTTGCGGTACCCGGTTGGAATGTCCCCGCGGCCTCGCTGGTAAAGGAAAAGTCTGTTCCAAAGCCTGAAAATGGACGCTCTTCGGGGAAAGACAAATCCGTGACGAAGAAGAGGAAGCGGGAAAACAATGGCACTGAGCAGTCATCTAAGGTCACTGGTCTAGACCTCGAGAAACTGTGGAACCAACGGCGCGAAGCGAAAGCCCCCAAACAGAGCGAGTCTGCGCAGCGAAGGCCTCGTTCCAACGAACCCAATGCTGACACCAAGCGGAAGGTGACTGAGGAAGTCAAGGACAGCTCCAAGAAGAGCAGGCAGAGAGCAAGAGGTGACAAAGGCAAACGTGAACACACCAAACCTCTGGGCAACGCAGGCGTGGAGGGAGCTGGAAAGGATGGCGCCAGCGAGGGCCCCGGCACCAAGTCAACGCCAACGGAGACATCGAAAACCGTCCTCCAGACTTTGCCGCCTGTACCATCAGCGGCAAAGCTGACCCCATTACAGGCGAAAATGCGCAGTAAATTGACCTCAGCCCGATTCCGCCATCTCAATGAGACATTGTACACAACTTCATCTTCAGACGCCTTGAATCTCTTCACTACCTCTCCTGACCTCTTCGCCGAATACCACGCAGGATTCTCCCAGCAAGTGAAAGACTCATGGCCGCAAAACCCTGTCGACCAATATGTCCGCTCGATATTGTCCCGGGGAAAGCTTACGGATCCTAAAACGTCAGCCAACATAAACACACTGGCCAGCATACCACTCCCTCGCCGAAAGACCGGAAGTTGTACAATTGCAGACCTGGGTTGTGGCGACGCGCCTCTAGCAAGAGGATGCCAGTCACAAATCAAGGCCTTGAAGCTCAAATTCCACAACTACGATCTACACGCCCCCAACAATTTTGTTACCAAGGCCGACATTTCAAATCTACCTCTCCGAGACGGCGAAGCAGACATCGTCGTCTTCTGTCTAAGTCTTATGGGCACGAATTGGCTGTCCTTCGTCGAAGAGGCATGGCGTGTCCTCCGTGGCGATGGCAAAGGTGAAGTCTGGGTCGCCGAAGTCAAGTCTCGTTTTGGTCGAGTGACGAAGGGGCCAGGTCATGTCGTCGAAAACAGCGTAGGGAAGCGACGCAAGGTTCCACAAGCAAAACGGGAAGACGAAGTCGACGGGGAAGAGCTTCTTGTTGAGGAGAAAGAGGCTATCGCTGATGGAACCGACATCTCTGCATTCGTCAAGGCCTTCTCTCGTCGTGGCTTTGTACTGCGTGAAGACTCGGTCGACAAGAGCAACAAGATGTTTGTAAGTATGGTGTTCAACAAGTCAGGTGTTTCAGCATCAGGAAAGCACAAGGGTCTCAAGTGGACGGGCCAAGAATACCAGAAAGTCCAGGAAGGAAGACCCAAATTTGTGAGTGGTAAACGAGGCGACGACGACGATCACGATGTGCCGCCCGAGGAGGAAGCCAAAGTCTTGAAACCATGCGTCTACAAGACAAGATGAGCTTATGAGAAGATGACAACCTCGACGACTGTCGTTTTAGAGGTAGGTAGAATCGGGTAAGTCTCTTGACACCCTAATGCTTGCACATTTCACCATGCTTCCACCTGTTCCAAGTAATCCAACAAGTTTCCACCAAGTGAGGAGACTCAGCTCGTCATGGCAGTGACAGCCTAGATCATCTTTCAACGACGCCAGCGACATTCTGTTCTCCATGAGTCCCCGTTCATCAGCGTCGCTTGTCACTCACTTCTTCCAAATTAACTTCCCCGTTCGTTGATGCGATGAAAACCCATACCTCATTGAAGGCAGCACATAACCTCATGCAGCGACATTCTGTTCTCCATGAGTCCTCCTTGCTTATCACCGCTTCCAACAAACTTCACCTGAGTTTCACTCTGTCGGCCAGAACTTCAACATCGCTTCACGAGTTGCCAAATCCTGCCCATCAATCCGCTTCTCAAGATCCGACCACCGGTCCTTCACATCCTCAAACACGCCACCCCAGTTCTCGGTGCATGTCTGCTTTTGCGTAATCGGACTCGGAATATCCACGCACCCATGACACTTGTTCCAAACGTGCAACAGGCAAACCACAACTTCGCGGTTGTTCGGCACCGGTGCCTGCAAGTATTGCGTGACCTGATCCCATTTCTTTGTGTCCGCGATCAGCTCCGATTCTCTCCCAAACACCGGACCACCAACCTGCCAATGCAGAAGGTACGTCTCAGACAGATCATTTGGCGTCGGGAATGATGTACAGCACTGCGGGCTCTCCGCAATGGCCTCGGGCCATAGGAATGGTGGCGAGTGGTGATTAGGGTAGAGCAAAACCACGCGTGATTGGTCTTCCAAAGGCCGCGAGTACGCGATGATGTTGCCGTACTTGGAGACGACTGGGTCTGAAGTGTTGGCATAGGGGTGCGACATTTCGTGGGCTAACATCAAACAACCAGTTGTCAGAGGAATGTGAAGCGAAACTGAAGATGAGGTCGACATACCTTGAAACGGCGCCGGCAAGTCTACCTTCAATATCCGAGTGCAAATCGCGATGACCGTTTCTGTGTCTCGCATCTTCCGGGCTGCATTGCGTGAAGGTCAAGTCAGTTATCGACAGCCGACAGCTTGAGCCTTGGGGCAGCAGGAAAGAAGAGGATGTGTTGGAATGAGAACTCACTCGCATCACACATATCCAATCTCTGCTTCCAATTGCTCGCATCCCACACCGCATTGCCTTTGTCACCCCAGGTCTCGTCCACAAAGACGATGTCGCACGGGTGCCCCTTGGTCACATCCGAGCGTAAAGGAAGATGGTAAAACGCGCCTCTGCGCAGGATCCTGCACTCTTCATTCAATGCAAGGAGAATGATGTGTGAATCAGGCAGGGCCGCATCATTGTTTGTGATGAGGAAGGGTGATGCTGAGATTGACAGGTCCCTAGGTGAGAGATACAGTGAGAACGAGAAGTCGGTGGGAAGCTGCTCGAGGGATACTGAGAGCCGGGGGGGCGGCACTGTGTTTGGTGACTGTTTTTGGAGGCTGCGAGCTTCAGTAGCATGGGTCATCTTCATTGCAGGCGCCTGGTACTCGTCAGTGTGGATTCTCAAATCGATTAGGGGAAGCTCACCATTGCGCTCTTCTCCTGATCTCCGTCTCTGTCGCAAGGCTACCGAACCCCTTCAGCCCAAGCAAAGCTAGCCTTGGGCTTGGTCAGAGATCGGCAAAGACAACGGCTGAGGTCAACGCCGGGTACAGTACACTTCGTTGGAACATGTGTTGCAAAGTTGACATGCACAAGTGTGGAGGGATGAACGAGTCGGAGTGCTAACAACAACAAAAAGAGGTATATATATTGTGAGGAAAGAGTCAAATTCGCGCAGGATGGACTGCCTTGGCGAAGTACTTTTTACCCTGACCGCCCTCAACAGTGATGCAGGGGATCAACCCGGGTGAGGCAGGAAGGAACAAACACAATTGGAAGGAGGCAATCGTGATCAAGCAAGATTATTTGTCCTGATCTGGGGTATCCTGACAATAGCTGTGATACTATTCATACAAATCATCAAGGTCGTCACTCCATTAATCAACAAAGACACTTCACAGCCGCTGGACATACGAAAGACACAGTGAAGTCCGGTGTCATCAACAACACACTGCCAGCAACTTACAGAAACAAATCATCCCGTTTCTGGACCTCGGCGTTCGTCAAGCGTCCACAAAGACTGAGCAGCGACACTGTCTCCGTGGTGGCAAACCAGTTCAGAGCGTCAATCAGGATCTTCAGGTGTCGATTGAAGTGCTCCTCATACTTCCGGATTGACTCCTCGATCCTCTTCATCCGCGCTGGGTCAGTCGGTGCTGGATTAGTTGCTTTTGCGTTGCCCTTCCCAGGCTGCGATTGAATGCTTGTGTCCGCCTCGTAAATGGACTTTGTGATGTACTCGACATATGAGGCAAACATGCCACAGCCCGTCATCAACTTGGCATGAAGCCGAAGCAACTTGGCCTGCGTCAGGCCTAAGTCCTTCATGCACGAATCCAACATGTCGACATGATCTTGCATCAATTCATCCACCGTTGGTTTCGACTTGGTCCCGAGTCCGCTTGTCGACTCCCCAACGTCTTCCCGCTCGGCATCATCAACCTTGGCCATCAGTTTCTGCCAATTGGGCTCAATGACTTCCGCCGTTGCGAAGAAGAGCATCTGCTGGACGAATATCAGCATACGAGATCGCAACGTCCAGACTCGACGCTTCCATAATTCGAATCTCTTGTCTGAGGATTTGTGGATCCATGCTCTCTCCTTTGTGTGCGTCGCCCAACATCCAACGAGTTGTGTTTCAAGGTGTCGAAGAGCCAAAGTGTACCGAAATATCAGCTGATATCGCATAACAGTCTTGCGGCTGATGATCAAGGATAGTGGGAAGGGAACCGTGTAGTCGAGTTCGAGGGCTTCGAACCCAATAATATCTTTCTCCTCATCCTCTTTCTTGTCCTTTTTAAGTTTGTCTGTGGTAGAGCCTTGCCCTGGGGCTGGTGTTTTGTACTGTTCCATCACAGAGTCTGGATTGTCCTGATCCATTCCTTGCACATTGACGACCTTGATCAACCATTGAGTGAGGCCGATGGAGTTCATCTTGACTTTGACGTCCTCTTTGAAAGGGTCCGCCACTGCAATGCTACCAGGTTGGTGCAGTACGAGATCAAACAAAGATTGTAGCTTTCCAACATTCACATCTCGATGCTTTTTTCGTAGCTCCGAATCGCTCAATTCGAGGAAGTAGAGGAAGAACTCCGCCTTGTCCAGGAAGAAATAGTGCTTCATCGATCGAAGTCGGCTTCGAAGTGAATTTTTCGTCAGAAGTAAATGCAGCAACTCTTTGTTTGCGAACGAGTACGCATTATTTACGTTGTCGAGGAAGCGAGGATCATCAAATGTAGCTGGAGTATCGACAATCTTGCTGCTGATGTTGACTCCACCACATTCACGGACCACGTTGAGATACTTTCCTGCCAATAGCACCTTCTCCTTGACCGACTCAAGTTGTGGCGGAACCTCTTTGTCACGGATGTGGTACCGTTTCTCCCAGTACTCGTCAGTGTAGTCTTCGTCGAGGCGTTCACGCTTGATGCTGGCCCTCTCCCCAACCAGAAACTCTGAATGAGGATCATTGATACCTCCGTGGTGCAGCCATTCATTTAGCATCACCATATATGGCCGGCTGGACTCCCGCAGCAGCATTTCGAGTATTGCTCTGGCGGCTGGATCTCCCGAGAACGTTGACAGTCGATTTGATAGCAGTCCCAGAACGTTCCCGCCTATACATCGCTTCTTGCTCAAACTTCCCGGCAATAGATCACCACCTTCTTTCAGCCGTTCAATGATGTTATCTGCGTCGAAGTCATCAATTGAATCGTCAATATCCTCATCTAGGAGCGAATTCTTCTTCAGCAACTCCTGTGCAAGTGAGTATAGTTGTGCCAGACACTGCGCGGTAGGCATGATCGCGATGTGCATTTGGTGTAATGTGAACCCAGGGTCGGTCAGGACTTTCGTTTCCAATTGCGCAACCAGGATAAGATAGTCTCTCAGGATCTTGCGGATTGCTGCACAAAGGGCATGATTGACTGAACCAAAGTCCTCTTGACTTTGGACTTCAATGAAAGCCTCTATCGCACAGTGATGTGTAGCCATGGACAGCATCGAACTTGTCAGGTCCTTCAAGCTGGGGTCAAGCCCTGGGACAGGCTCGAATGAAGGCCCGCACAAGCGCTGCTTCTCTTCGGAAGGATCGTAGCTATCGGCAAATGTGATGTACTGTCCTTCGAAACCCATGAAGACATATAACAAATCGTCCAGTATTGCTTGTTCCTGCTCCTGCATTGTCATCGCCGCCAGCGGGCTGGGTCCTAGGTCCGACGGTGCATGACGGGCCAAGGGCGGTTTCGTCACTCGCGAGGCGAGCGGCGCAGAAGAGTGAGGGATCAAGGATACGGAAGGATTCCATGGTGCTGGAGTCTGTTAGCCAACACTCACAAGAACACGATGGGGTACGAACGGATGCTCTCCTCTTTACGTAGAATCTTTGGCACAGGGCTGGCTGTCGTTCGGGGTTGAACTCTTTCACTTCTCCGACGTTCAGTCGCAGATGTCTCCTTCTTCGGACTACGCCTCGTAAACAGTGTCTCCGTTGTTGTGATAGTGGCTTTCTCCCTGCGGCGATCGAGCCCACTGAACCTCTTCTCGTTTCTGTTGCGCTCGCTTCTGTCCTGCGCGTCGCTGTATCCATCAGGAAACACCGGTGAGTCACCGTCTCGGGCTGAGGCTTTCTCATAGTCTCGGGCTCTAGTTGAGTTGACGCGTGAGGGTCGGGTGGAAAAGTGCGTGCTACGTCGGTCCGTGGCTGAAGCACTTCTGTAATGCAGAGATGTCATGTCTGCAATGCGCCCTCATTCTTTGCCTCATCTGAGCAGAATTGTCTCGGCCAAGCAGCGTAACAAGGTATGTCGACTCAGAGTACATCCTCGTCTTCGTCACTGGTGCGTCGCATCGCGACTGGACGCGCCTTTCATGCCTGCGGTGTGATTGGTTTGACGGCCGCGGTCCATCTTGGCACATCAACTCGCCCTTTCTACCTGAGGACAAACTGACGCTTAATACCTATACTTGGAACATCACATCTCATCTACTACTCCAACTAGTGTAAGGATGCGAGCTGAATGGCTCATTTTCGCCCTTCCAATACACTTCAGGCCGCCTGAGCGAAGTCACCAGTGGGCTCAGTGCTCGTCAAAAATGAACAACCTCCCTATGTCGGAGCCCGTTCCCAAGGTAGGCGGTCTAGTGAGGCCTATTCGCCTCTGGAGAATTTGGGGTATCAGATCATTCTTCACCGTCTTAGGTAAGGAACTTCAGCCCAGAAGAATGGTTGCCCGCCTGGAACTGCAAGAGGAGATGCCCGCTTTGCCCGAAGAAACTGAATACATTATCCCCCCACAGTGAACTTATGAGCGAGCGAAATGAAGTTCGCTCCGAGCACGATATCTCAAAATCCAGTGGCCAATCTTCGTTCATTGCCGACATGAATGACCATGCTGTTCGTGTAGTGCACACGACAGGCACTCTTTACATGCTCTTTCTCTCACGGAGCTGACAGCTGGTTACTCGAGATACGAACAGCGGATAGCCGTCACGACTAGCTTACTTCATGTTAGCCATGTCTAGATTACCATCAAGCTCGACGCTGGGCATCTTTGCCGGACCAACCTTCAGTAACCACCCTTTCGTGAGTCTCCAAGAGCTACCATCAGTGCAGAGTACCACTACTGACTAATCGAGACTTCCTATGGTCCCAATAGCCCTGAGCGTAACTTGCTCTCACAGGCTTTGGAGGAGGTGAAGAAAGGCGCTCCACATGAAGTATTTGCGCATGTTAACGGCAAAGACGTATGCTTCTTACGCTGTAAACTCCCACACGTCCTTCTAACTCTGATATGTAGGTATCGGCAGAGGCAACTAGCACACAGAGGAGCCCGTTCGACCATGATTTAGTTCTTGCTAAATATCCTTCCGTTGGGCCGGACTTGATCACAAAAGCCATTACTGGGGCTCTAGAGGCGAAGAAAGCATGGTCGAGAACCTCTTTGGCAGACCGTGCTGCAATCTTTTACCGAGCTGCGGCACTGCTCGAGACGAAATACAAGTACCCAATGATGGCTGCGACAATGCTCGGCCAAGGCAAGAACGCTTATCAAGCAGACATCGACTGTGTTGCCGAATCTGTGGATTTTCTAAAATTGTTTCCTACCCTTGCAGAGACGTTGTACAAGGCTCAACCACCCATCAATGCAGCCAGCGTTTGGAATCGAACAGAAGTCCGGCCTATCGATGGCTTCGTCTATGCTATATGTCCATTCAATTTCACCGCACTCGCCGTCAACTTGGTCCTAGCACCGGTCACCGTCGGAAACGTGGTCCTTTGGAAACCCAGTCCTGGAGCCATCTATTCGAGTTGGCTTTTCAACCAAATCATGATCGAGGCCGGACTGCCCGCCGGAGTACTGCAATTCGTGCCTGGTGACGCCGAACTGGTCACTGAGGCCGTCTTCCGCAGTCGTGATCTGGGTGGCTTGCATTTCACCGGGAGCACAGCCGTGTTCCGAAGCTTACTTGCCCGCATTGGACGGCAGATGGATTTCTGGAAATCGTACCCGCGGGTAGTCGGCGAGACCGGAGGCAAGAATTTCCATCTCATTCACGCATCAGCAGACGTCAGGAATGCCGCATTGAAATCATTACGAGCTGCATTCGAGTACCAGGGTCAGAAATGCAGTGCATTGTCACGAGCCTACGTTCCAGCGTCCTTGGCCGAAAAGTTCAAGTCGATTTTGATTGAGGAGACCAACAAATTGTCCATGGGTCCTGCCTTGACGGACTTCATCGGCCCACTTATCAGTGAGTCTGCGTTCAAACGTGTGCAGGGCTACATTCAAGACGCAAAAGACGCTTCAGACATAACACTCCTTGCTGGTGGCGAGTGCGACGATTCTAAAGGCTACTTCATCCGGCCTACCGTTATCGAGGCCAAAGACTCGATGAGCAAGTTCATGCGGGAGGAGATCTTCGGACCTTTCCTCTGTCTGTATGTCTACGCGGACGAAGACTACGGTCCCAAAATCTTCCGATTGATTGATGAGACGTCCGAGTACGCCCTGACTGGTGCCATCTTCGCCAAAGATCGAGCGGCCATCATTGAAGCTACGGAAGAACTGAGGTTTTCTGCTGGTAATTTTTACATCAAGTGAGTCCATCCGTAACCCCTGTCGTCGTCTGTCTTGGCTCCTTCTGACAAACGGGGTAGTGATCAATGTACCGGCGCCATGCCAGGACAGCAGCCTTTTGGAGGTTCTCGGTCGAGTGGAACAAATGACAAGGCAGGATCACTAGGTTTGCTGACTCGATTTACCTCCCAACGGACGATAAAGGAGAACTTCATGACGATCGACGACGCATACTATCCCTCGAATCTGTTGTGAGATCATTCAGGCGCTGCACATATAGTGTAGGGAAAAGCAATCTGGCGTCTTACGATTGGGGCATTCTTTGACCTTCAGGGGAATGTCATTTGCGACAGATGCTGAGGTGAAGGAGAAAAGGGGCAGATGGTGCCATTACATCTACCACTTCTTCCTGGTTGAGATACTTTTGTCTTGAGATCTTGCTCATTTAACGGGCCAGATGGGCTAAAATACAGGCACGTTGAACGATATATGTATGACTGACTGCATCATTTCATCACCCCAACAACCTCATCCAAATGCGCAGCAAGCACATCATTCCACAAAGGCTTGTTCTTGTAAGCTGCCAACTCAGGCCCGTAGCTATCGACGCTCGTCCTCAACGCCTTCGCCATTTCTTTGTCCTTGGTAACCTCCCTAATGGGCGTGATATACGTCCTAATAGAAAAGACTATGCCGCGGGTTTTCGGCAGTCGTTGCAGAAATTGCCTCTCGACGCGTAGGAACAAACCATCCAACTCAACAGGTTCTTGCTCTTCGGGTTTCAAATTGTGGTGGGAGTTGATGTGAAAGAGTTCGGAGCTGTTGTCGATAGCGTAGTTGAAGCGCATAACTGGCGAATTGACACGCTGTTTCTGAAAAAAACGGTCCATCGACAGCGCAAGCTTCTCCTCGTACATGGGGACTTTGCCGGCGTGGATCTCCCAGAGACTGTGACCTATGCGTTCTTGGATCTTCCAGCCCGCCGGGAAGCAATTGGCTCCTGCACGCAGACGCGTGACGCTGGGATCTTGTTCGTCGGGTTGCATGATGAACCAGTCCTCTGTGGTCAATAAGCCCATGACCTGGAGAGGGTGGTAGTCATTCCAGATTGATGACTCTCTTCGCAAGTCCCAGGTATCGCCCGTAACTAAATTGCTAATCCCTGTTGAGGTGGCTTGGAACATGGAAGGATAGCGTCGCGGTAACAGGTCTGCCAGGAGGTAGAGTGCCTCGAATGATGCTTCCTCGCTTCCTGGAAGGCATTGGATGGTCTTTTCAGGATATGTCGAGAAGAGGTGTCGCTTGTAGCTGTACCGTTCGAGGTACTTGTGGTCTATCTCGACCCATTCTTCTAGCGACGTGCGTTTTATTCCTTTTGAGGACGGTGTCATTAACAGTGGCATGAGGACGAAACAACAAGACTTACCCATCGTCACGTGGTGGGGACCATTGTACCATGGCCGGTATGGCTGCTCTGGTGTTTGCGTCCAGTCGAAGTCGTGGTCTTTGGGCGTTATGTGCTGGAATGTTATCGTGTTCCAGTCTACGGTCTGTGAGAAATGGTAGTTGTGGCTCCCAAGAGTGGTTTGGACTTACCAGGCTTCTGCTCCGCACTGGCAGGTTTCTGGGACGGCTTGGACTCGACAGGCTGTACACCTGCTTTGCATGGACGGCGGCCGTACAAGAAGAGGCGGGTTGGGAGGAAGCTGCACAGGAGGAGAATGGCCCAAGGTTGCCATGACAGTATCAAATCTTTGGCTGATGTCTCCTGTAACTTGGCGAGGCTGAGGACGGTTTCCATGACCATACTTTGATAAGGCACCAGTATTTGTGTTGCCCACCGGTCTAGGAGCGTCACTCCTTGCAGTCTTAGGCTGGCACCTCTTATGTGTGCATCCTTATACCGTGTAACGACGGCTGAGGGCCCCTGAAAAGTTGAGCCTACTACGGTGCCACGCCACTTGACTGCGGACTTCACGTGGCACCATCCTCGGAGAGTCTCTGCTTGAGCGAAAATTGCAGTTCTTCCTGGTTGTGCATCTCGGTCACGCAGAAGTCCAGACGCCAAATCGGGTGCGAGATGACCTTGGAGTGGTTCCTGATCGTCCAGACTAGCATGCCGAAGTTGCAGATGTAGCGCCATTTCTCGCAGCGAGAAAGTGGAGCTTGAGATTGAGATAACGAGTTCGGCCAGGCCTGGAATTGACGGCATCATCCGTCGAACTCTGGGAATTCGGCTGCAGGGCATGTGACTCTTCGCAAGAATGTACCTTTTCAGAATGTTGTGAGGCTTTGTCGTACCTACCAAGACCATTAACGGAAGTTGACGTTTGATCGTTGGCTATTCAGGAAATGTATTCCAAGTGCACGCGGCAGGTTGTCCCTGCCCTCACCGTCAACAACTCGCTTGGGGAAGACTGCTGATCCAGATATCAAGCTGACAGTACAATCCAAATTAAAAAGAATTTATTATCCACGTGTATGACAATGCTGGACCCGGGGTCCATAATGCGTATGCGCCGCTGCCTTCCACAGTTCTGGGAAAGCAACCAGTCAAGTATATTATGCCATTGCAACGGAAGTCATGAAATTGGCAATGGAAAGCACTACCGTGACACCTATATCGTGTATTTATCGCTCCCTCGACCCTGACATAGCACTTGTCCCATGCTGATGAGCACCTCTGACCACCGCGCCCCCTCTACTTCCCAGCACGATCCGACCACAAGTCTCATGGGATGTTGTTTACTGCGATTCCTTGATGGTCAACTCAGTAGTGCGATCATCTGCCTTCCCAATCGCCGCAATTTTATCCTTCTCGACCTCCTCATTCAACTGCTCCTGCGTGATCTTGCCGTGCGTGACGAACTCCTCCTGTACCTGCTGGGGTGCGATTGTGTTTTCTTCCATAAAGTAGTTGGTTTCTGGTACGATGTAGATGAGAACCCAGATCATTCCAGCAACCCCAGTAACATAGAGTCTAGAATCTAACATCAGTATAATCAGACAAAACAAGCACACAAGAGAACTTACATGAGCTGCACGGTCACTTGCACCCAGGTTGGCGTCAACTGTTCGGCCAAGATGAACGATATCATCATACCAAGACTTCCCAAACCACGAACGAACCCAGCATATTGAGCCAGGACGGCGGGGTCATTCGACAGACAGGCAAAGACCCATTCAACAGTCAATGCGTAGCTCGAGTAAGTGAGTCCGAACATGAGGTAGATAGCCATGAAGCCTCCATAGTGGCTGTACGACCAGTCATACGCTGGGGTCTTCTCGTAGGAGGCATAACCGGATAAGTGCAGCCAGATATACATGCCAACGCAGCCACCGATCGCAATTGCACCAGTAATGGCGACACCCATGATGCCGCGGACTTTGCGGCTACGAACAAACTTGTTGTCAAGCACGAAGATCAGAACTCCAGGACCGATGAACTGGACAATTTGGAAGCACAAGCTGTTGACCCCGCGTGTTCGAAGGTTGAAAAAGAAGCCTGGTCATGTTAGCGTATGATATGCGATGTCGACAGAGCACTGACCGTTGACGGTGCTGACCAAAGACAGGGACATTTCGCAACCAAGAGTGGCAGGAACCAAAAGGAGGAGTTTCTTGTCGATGAAGCACAAGCCTAGCTTTTTCAACTCTTGCCTCACAGTCGTAGGCTTGAATTTGGCAATGTGTGTTCCATCATCTCTGACCACGTTCTTCGGCTCGACTAACAGGAAGGCAATCAGAAGTAGTGAGCAGCATTCAATGCAGATGAATGCAATGTAGACGAACGAAGATACGCCGATCGCTTTCGTCTGCCCGGCGTTCAGGCCAAAGGCGATGGAGGCGGCCACAGTCGCACCAATAGCTCGAATCATCCATTGCAGGCAGATGTACTGATGATTGTGGTCAGTTGGGCACCCATTATAAGCACGAGGATCGTACCAATCCTCTCGTTCTTTCAGTAGAATAGGAGAAGGCAATCATGCCGGCACAAGTCAGCAGGACGCCGACCGAGAAGCCGATCATCGCTCCACCAAAAAGGGGAAACCATGTGTTGCCAGTCCTGTCGTAGTACCACATTCCTCCAACATATAGAGGATATCCGACCATACCCAAGAGCATGGAGATTCGGACACCAACCAAGTTCACGATGGGACCACCGAGGCAACCGAAAAGGGTGAACATGCCATAAAGTATCGAGTTCGACTGGTTGGCCACGACGCCGGAAGAAGATCTGCCTCCTCCGGCACCGAGTCCAGTGATTGCTGTGTAAATACCCGGCAGACAGAACAAAAGCCTTCCAAGCAGGTCAATTCGCAGTCCTGTAGTCACAAGGGTCGCAGCACTTACATGCCAGTAACAATGTTCTGGTTGATTGGTCTATTTCGCCTCGTGATGTTCTTGAGTGAAGGCATCTTGATGCGTGTGTTATTTGAGACAGGTATATGTCTTTGAGACTGTCCAGAGAGCCAATGAAGCTGATTATGTAGACCACCGTTGCCAACAAGAACTTGGTTATGCAGGTAGACTGAGGTTAGTTCTAGGACAGGATCGACGAAGATGTTCCACCAATATGTACTAAAGCCCTTCGGTGCGAAGACAATGGCCTACAACCAAGGCCCAAGGAACAAAGGGCAAGCATACCTCTCTGATATGGCTATCTGCTGTCGAGAAAGTGGAGATAAGCCATATTCTAGAACTGCTATCGGGATGTCCTTTCGTATCCGTTCAAAGTTTATCTCCAGGTAGATTGGCAAGTTCGGAACATTCAGCATCGCAGATGACCCTATCTGAACGAGACCCGCAGGTCCGTCCTAAGCTTGGGCCAACTCCTGATGATAGATAATAGTATCCTGTATTGGCCAATGGACGGTGGAGATCACACCGAAGTTCACTAACAAGTTCGTCGCGAGCAAATTGACTACTGTGCTTGGCTAGATAGGTAAGCGATCGAGCCGCGTCCAGAAGGCTGCACGAGAGGTTGGAGTGAAGGCTGATCTGCGGTCAATGAGAACGATAACGGTGGTTATCTAGAGTGACTACTTCAGCCGCCGGGTGATTATGGAGTGGGCCATTACTTACCATGGCTGGGAGACGCAGTCATGTGATACGTCAATATGGCAAAGTGCGCAGAGTCATCCGAAGACCGCGGTATGACGGACGCTACACATCTGGCTTGCATGCATACAGCTCAAGCTCCAAAGGAATCTGGTCGGATATGTGAAGGCCTCACCAGCATATCTATGCGTTCAGGGAAATCTCCCCGGGTTGGAGTGTTGCCCAAAGGCACTCGTCCTCCCTCATTCTATAGTCTGTAGCATCGATCTAGCTCTGATCTGAACCCCGGTCAAAGTCATGTCGTTTCAATTCAAGCTTTCACCGCCTGGTCGACCGCAAAGGCCACAGATAGCAGCTGCTCTTCATGCATACTCCGGCCCACCAATTGCAGGCATACTGGAGCATTCTCGAACAGCTCTGGGTCGTATATATCGTAGTTGTCCTGGTCAAGCTCGTTCGCTGGTTTGTAGGCTGTGTCCTTGACATCACTTGTCTGAGCACGTGTTATGGGGAGAATAAAGGTGGGATAGTCCAACAGATTCCAGACGGTCATGTAGCCCCACCATCTGATGTGTCATATTAGTGAGGTGAGCGTGTGAGCATGTCCAGGGACTTACGGCAGATAGTCATGGGGATACGATGCGGAACCGAATGAAGGCGTCAAGAGTGCGTCGATCGGTTTGCCCGTTGAGGTCTGCAAGGCAGTGGAGTTCCAATGAGCGAGATAATCAATTTGATACTGTCGTTGCTCTCTGCGGAAGGTTAGAGACGTTAGCAAGGGACGGTAGTGAAGACATACTTGTTGAGTTTTATCAGTTCGTGAATGTCCTCGACCTGACGTGCTCGCTCAATGAATTTCAAACCGGCAGGGAATGCGACCTCTCCAGTCTGGGCCATCATGTCATAGTAGAACTTGGATCCCGCTTGATAGTATAACTTGAACTGAAGAGGGGGTTAGTCAGGCCATACTAGTTCACCATGGAGTAAAGTCATACCGCTAGATCCCAAGCGTACTTCTGCTTGTAAGGTTTGAACTCGACCACTGTAGAATGGTTAGACTTGACCCAATAGCCTGACAAGAAGACTTACCTTCATGACCAGCTGCTTTCAGTTTCTCCATGGTCGTCTTCAACGCCCGTTGCACCGGTGGATGTGGCATTACGACCTCATCCCAGTACATGACGCCGATAGTGGCCTTCTTGGGAACGTCGACAGGCTCCCACTTCTTGGCCATCACTGCAGGATCGTACAACCATGGCTCAGCTGCATTCAAGACCTTGCATATCAATTCGATATCGCGAAGGCTTCGACCAACTGGACCAATAGTGGACAGGATTGACCCTTGGCCTGTATATTCTAGCGAGTTCCCCTTGTAACTGAAGCGGCGCGAGGTTGGGCGAATAGCATATAAGCCATTGAACGCTGCTGGCGCTCGGATGGATCCCCCAATCTGGGCGGCGTCAATAACGGAGAGACACGAGTGAGATTCGGGGAGAAGCGGCACGGGCATTGGCAGGATGAGCTTACATCAGTTGCGATACCAATAGGAGCGCCATTGCATCCATTCAAGGCTCCTTCACCACCAGAAGACCCGCCACAGGATAGACGAGTATTGTGAGCGTTGAGGGTGCGACCAAAGAGGCGAGAGGCGGTTTCCAGCATCTGTCGAGGGGCATTAGACAGCGTTTTGGAATGCTAGGGCAAATGTGTCTACCATTCCAACCAGAGGCAAAGTAGTCTTGCAATATACAACAGCTCCAGCATTTCGTAGAGCTCCCACTACGACAGCATCTTCTTTCGAGTAGAGCTCCGCCCAAGCCGAAAAGCCCATAGTGACCCTCATGTTCTTGACGTCGGTAAGATCCTGCGTTTGGTTAGTGGAGTTTGCATCTTTTGAGATGGCTCAAGACCACTGCGCACCTTGAAACTGATGGGCAGCCCGTGTAAAGGTCCAATCACTTTGCCTGTCGAAGCGAGGTGCTCATCCAGCTCTCTGGCTCGCTGGATGCCGCCTTCAAAGTCGATATCCATCAGAGGGTTGATCAGCTGTTGGGCGATAGCGGCACGCTTGCAGAATGCAACAGCAACCTCGTAGGCCGACCATGCTTTCGACTGAATCTTATGGAGTATGACTGTGCAGTCTTCTGCATCGGTAATCTCCAGTTCCCGATCACTCAACAAGCCACAAGTCCGGAAGATTGGGATGACATTGTGCTCTTTGGTGGCGAGTATTGATTCTGGCACCAGCCATTCCTTTGGTATCTTGTCCTTTAGTCCAGCTTGAGTTTTCTGGACATATGTTCAGCGTTTGTGTCATTCCTTCTTCGCACCCATAAGTGGTATATGGCATGGCAGGTGTATCTTGGACCTATACTAAGGTATTGGAGATGACTTACCGCGGCGATATCCTGCCATTTCGATGTTTGTTGTGTGAAGTTGTACTTCTTAGGGTTCGGAAAGGTGGTAGTCATTGTACCTGCATCCGTGGCACTCATCGTGTTAGCTTGACGAATTTGTGAACGTGCAATAGGATACCTACTATGTATCTCTGATGCTTGAATGGAAGATAAGCAGTCGACCACACCTCTTTATGTGCTATCTGTCGGCATGCCGAATCGGGCACCAATGTCTATGGCCATGGAAATAACCCAGAGCCATAGGAGGCCATGGCAGTGCCGTTCTTCCGCCTGACGGAGTCCAATGGTTGAGAGCCGACTGGCTGCTACCCGTTGTGAGGGTCTCCATGGTTATCGCTGAAGCTGATTACAAAACCACATGTCAGGGACGGACTGGGACGTCGGAATGCTTGCGAGTTCGGCGCGAGTGGCCTGTTGTTAGTTATCAGATTACCGCGCCAGGTTGTGGAGCGACGTGGCTAAGCTGCTTCACTAACTTCTTAGGGGTAAATTTAGTATAGTAATATGACTTATGGTGGGAGAGTCTTGGGGGCGGCCTAGCGCCTAGACAGTTGGGTGCTTCAAGCAATTACAGCCACTAAAACCTTCCGGATTCATCCCGAGATCTTTCTGATTCTCAATCATCGTCAGTTGCCCCTCTCTCTTTCGTGTATCCCAGCTGCCCGAACACATGTCCCAAGGTATCCTAGCGCTTTATGATGAATGCACAAGTTCAAGCCTGGCAAACATCGAGCCACGATGTGCTCGGCCCCGGCTCTTTGGAGCCTACGATGGCGGCGATGGAATACCAAACACGTGCAGACCAAGGTTCTGCGATGCAGCAACGGAGTTCCAACAACTACTCAACACGAGTAGCCTTGTGTACGACCCCACAAACACTCAACCATGCTCCATAGATGACTGACGACTGCCTTAGGTTATGGATTGCCTCTGGCCATGACCGGTGGCGAATCGTCAGAGCCACCTAGGAAAAGACGCAAGGGTGGGAAGATGTTCTCTGTGAGGCAGTGGCGCCGAACCACAATATTTTGTATCTGCTAATCGTGATTAGGGCTGCGGTAACTGTCGTGTTAGGAAGATCAAGGTGTGCTTTCTCCATCACGACGGTGCAGTTGCGATGGCCATTTGACAGGCGTAGTGTGATCTTAGTGAACCAAACTGTCAGAACTGCGGAAAGTCTCGTCGATACGTATGCGACGGCTACAGAGGCACCAACGACTTGAGAATGGCAGATCAGGTCCCGAGAAGGAGCCCATCGTCACTTCCTCCATCGACCACTGAGCCTTCAAGACAGCCACCTCGAAATGATCCTGCCACTGCAGTCGCGTCTGAGCAAACATGGATGGGCCGAGACCTCGATAGTCTTGACCAAAACCAAGCCCAACTCGCCGACCTCTTCAACAGCTTCAATACACCTATGTTATGGCCAGAACTTGCCACAACCCCAGATGTTATAGGCGAGGAAGACTCAAACCTTGCTCTTCCCGCGGCATTGTCACCAGCAACAGATCCTCTGCTGCCGGACTACGAAGTAGAACAGCGGCAAGACCCTCAAATAACGTCTGGCCGAAACGCAGGTGACCGCAATGCCGATGAAGCTGCACCTAGTCAGCCGACGCCAAAGCGGTGGATACAAACGGACTTTTGGTCCACCATGAACTACCAGTTGGGTGATATACCTTCAGTGACTGTGATGCCGGAGAAGACCCTGAACGCGATTCCATCTCCAGTCACGACCGGCAGCGACTTATCACAAACCGCTCGGCAGCTTCTGCATCATTACCGGACACATGTTTGCGAAGTCATGATGCCGACTTCAGCACCAAAGCTCAACCCTTGGCTCCGACTCTATCTTCCCCTTGCGACTCATGAGCCAGATTCGCCATCCAGCCAGGCCCTGCTACATGCAATTCTCGCAGTGGCTGCCTACAACAAGGCCCAACTTACACCTGGTCAACGAGAAGTCCATCGCGGCCAGGCCGTCGGTCATCACCAGAAAGCCACTGCCATGATGAGCAAGATCATTGCAGCCAAGAAAGCGCGTTCGCAAGCAACCGTGGACACGCCAGAAAGCAAACACGCATTACTTGCAGCTACATTGACATTGACTACGGTAGAGGCAAGTCTCGAATCATGAGGTTGCCCATTTACCAGACTGACCATCGGCTCGGAACAGGTTTTCAGCGGCGCAGATAAGGGAAGCGGATATGACTATCTCCTGCTCTGCAGAACTGTCATTGAATTGACCGGAGGACAGAGCTGGTGGCTATCGGACTCAGTGAGCATGACATTGCTGCAGATTTTCCAATGTCTCAATATCGTCGGCCGCATATCGGGCTATTTTGAAGCACCACCAAGGACGGTCGACGAGCTTGAGCAAGACAGCTTTTCTGAGCCTGAAGATGATCCACCAGACGGGCGTCCCATCGTTGGCCATGAGCTGCTTCAGACATCACAGAAATACACCCCAGAGTATACACTTGACATCTCTTTCGGCATCTCGATCAAGACCTTATCCTATCTGCACAGGATCATTATGTTGTCCAAGATCAAATCAACCCTTCGGTTAGGGCAGGACTGGCCGCTCCATGCAAAGGAAGAGCTCACTAAGCTTGAACGCGAGATGTTCACCGACATGGAAAGTGCGTGTCTAGATGCCTCTTCTTGCAACCAGGCGACATTTGAAGGTGTCTCCCAGCTTGTGGCCAATGAGATCAAGGAGAACCATATGTTGGCCTTTCATTACAGTACCGCCACGTTCTTCAGAAGAGCGATCTGCGACGGGACCGCTGATATTGTGCCTGCGTTGGGCGGCGCGATGAACCAGGAGCTTATCGAACGTCCAAGTGGGCAAAGCCTTGTGTCCAAGGCTCTGGAGCATCTCGAAAACATCGACGCTCTTGCTGGCGACCTCGCAATCGCCAACACACTGTGGCCAGGCTTTATCGCAGCTGCGGAAGCCGTGGACTGGAAATTACGGCGACGTGCATTGATGTGGTTTAGTCGGGCCAGGCGACATGGCATTGGAAACATCACAAAAGCAAAAGCTCTCGTTCAAGAGATCTGGCGTCGAGTCGACCGCTTGATGTCCGAAGACCACGAACAACATTTGGAACTGGGCCAAGTCGACTGGCGTGAGGTCATGCATGATATGGGCATGTACATCATGCTTACATGAGAGAGGCCGGGCCAAGCCTCGACACCTCAATCGTTGGGTGTGTCGGGGGAGGTATCGAACCTGACCCGCCCATTGACAACGGTCATCTTCCGGATAGGAATGTTGTTCAATACACTTTTTGGAAACTCGACTTGATATGCCAATGCCAGCCTACGGACAACCTATATCGACCAATCAGACTGACGTGAGGACTTTGCCAATGCCAGCCTACGGACAACCTATATCGACCAATCAGACTGACGTGAGGACTTTGCCAATGCAGCCTTATCACGTTGCGAAGTTCAGGAGGCTATCCAATCATAGCCTAGCTCAGCCTGCCAGTAGTTGTCCGAGGGAAATAATCTTGCTTCCTGGGTGCCCTTCTGTCTTAGACTCACGGGAACGGTACAGTATTGTTGTGCAGACGATCCCCAATGCTCTTTCCAGATACAGATCTGCTGGACCGAGAATGTGCAGAAGAACCGCTGTGACGTCCTAAACAAAGTCGACCTCGGACATCGCTCGTCAATTTCCGCAAAGGGGATTCTAGCCTTCTTCTTTCGACGCAGTTCATCGTCGAAATATTGGGAAGTGGTACCAACTCGGAGGGCATGTCACAATGTGACATTTGTTCAGCCCATGGAACACGATCCGCCTTGCTTCAGTATGAGCCAGTCAACATCCTGTCCACTGAGACGACGGCACACAGCACACGGCCAACCTTCCGGCTTACTAAAGCTTTGCCTTCTAGATTCTGTGTCATACTGTATGCAGGAACAACACCCTATACTGAAATTGCTTCCCGGGGTTTGCGGAATGGACGTCAGAGCTCGGCTCTCTTTTTCTTCTTTCGTTTGCCCTAGCGAGCCCGCATAAATCCGGGTACCCCAATGTCGGAACGTTGATCACTACTGGGGAAGCATCTCTGTTGCTAATCTCCCGGACCCAGTCGTCATACCGTGCTAACTCAAGGACGATCGTCCTTCATGGCTGATGAGGAGAAAAGAGATGGGCATCCGAGAAAACCCCGACAAGGTAAGCGAGCGAAGCGACCAAAGCGACCACATCTCAGATAGGTCCCTTCAATTGCCGTATACACGTCTAACATAGCAGACAGCTCATTACAGACTCGGACTTCACTCCAGCTCCGATTAGTCTTGATGACAATTAATTGTTGATGTCTACTCACGCTCAGTAGTTGTATTACTGCACCATTTTCGACAATGTTGACGGGCACGTTTGTCATCACGTTGGTGGTTGCTCGACAGGATATCACCTGAGGTATCGCGAGCCTCAAAATGTATATAAGACGGGATGTCGAATGATTGTAGTCCCTATTCTTTCTTCATCAATATCATCTCATTTGGACGGCCAAAGCAAAATCAGGAAAGAAAAGAACAACAACAAAAGCAATTCCTGACCACCATCGAAGCGTTACAGAGCGTCAAATCCCGCAACACGAGTCTCTTCAGCCTCAGAGAACATAGACCACATCAGCAACCATGAACATGGCAGCTACAGACTTCTACACCCAGGTCGACCAACTTTCCAGAGAGTACAAGACTGTGAAGGATGCTTTCGAATCCGACAGGACTCTCCCTCTGGAATGGAGGAAGCAGCAGTAAAACAGGTCTGGAGGATGTTGGACGAGAACGAGAGCCGATTCCACGATGCCTTGTATGCAGACATCCGCAAACCCAAAGTTGAAACCCAATCGTACGAAATCATCGGCATAAAGAACGAGATCATCCACACCCTGGAGCACTTGGACGAATGGGCCAAGCCTTCCGCCGTCGATGTCTTCGAGGAGTTCAAGGTCAACCAACCTCGCGTCTACAAGCAGCCTAAGGGAGCCGTACTGATCATCGGCACCTGGAACTACCCTCTCGACTTGACTCTGGATCTCTTGATCTCAGCCATCTCGGCCGGCAACACAGCCGTCATCAAGGCCAGCGAGAATACTCCGGTTACTGGCAAGCTCCTAGCCGAGTTGATCCCTCGCTATCTGGACAGTGAAAGCTATCGAGTCGTTAACGGTGACAAAGACCAGGCCACAGAGCTGCTAAAGTACCACTGGGCGCACATACTGTACACCGGCGGTGCTAAGGTCGCTCGCATTGTCATGGCCGCCGCCTCCAAGCATCTCACCCCAGTGACCTTGGAGCTAGGTGGCAAGACCCCGACCATCGTCACCGAGAAGGCAAACATCGCAATCGCTGCCAAGAGAATCGCCTGGGTCAAAGTCTGGAATTTGGGCCAGACCTGCATGTCCACGGACTACGTCCTGGTACACGAGTCTGTCCGAGAACAATTCGTGACCGAGCTGATCAAGTATATTAAGACCTTCGCTGAGAATTCGGGTGTGGATGGTATGTCGCGCCTGATCAACAACATGCATTTCCACCGCATCAGCGACATGCTCGCCGCCACGAAGGGTAAAGTCGCTTTTGGCGGTCACCAGGATGAAGCCAAGCTCTTTGTCGAGCCTACCATCATTTTGGATCCGGCGCTCGATGATTCCACGCTCGAGTCTGAGATTTTCGGCCCTCTCTTGCCCCTCATCACCTACAAGACACTCCCCGAGGCTCGCGACCTGATCACCCGCATTGACCCTACTCCTCTCGGTCTGTACGTCATGACCGAGGACAACGAGCAGGCCGAGTACTTCTTCACGCACATCCGTTCAGGTGGCGCCGCTATCAACGATCCGATGGCCCAGTTGGCCGTGCCAAGCGTGCCGTTCGGCGGGTTTGGGGAGAGCGGAATGGGCAGTTATCGTGGAAAGGCAGGGTTCGAGACCTTTTCGCATCTCAAGTCTGCAGTCACCACATTCACTGACCCTGCGTCAGAGCAAGCCAATGAGTGGCGCTATGCTTTGGGTGATCGCGAGGAGAAATTTCAGCTCTTGAAGAATCTGGAGATTCCTTTGAGCTGAGAAGCTTGAGCGCTGATCGCTCAGGATATAGCTCCTTTGAGGAACGGGGCTGATCTGTCTCGAGCTGAGGTGCTAGGGGGAATTGAGGTAGTTGAGGAGCAAGTCGCTGTCACGAAATTCGGTGGTACTACATGCATTCGCTCGTTTGGAATCCTTGAAGTCAAAACACTGTGCTTTGCAGGAAATCGTTCATTTGGAGGAAGGGGAGTATGGATGCAGGTTTACTTAGCATTCACGCCATGTGGGGATCACACTCGCTGTCACAATCAAGTTGGTATGTTCTGAATTTTGAAATGGCAATTCAGCCAGTATCATGAGACTGTAGGCTTATACCATCCGTCTCTTGCCCCAGCTCCAATGATTTTCAAGGCGTCACAGAATTCCCAAGTAGCTTCCCTATTTCCTCCGCGATGGCCAGTGTCTTCTCCTCACTCAACTTCCTTCCAATTACCTGCACTGCAACTGGAGCGCCGTGATATGCTTCAGGATCATATTCGGCCTGCACTTCTTTGTCGAGGTCATTTACCGGCTGGTGCTTCTCGTTCTTGACGTCCTTATCCTTGTCGGCAAACGTGACGGGAACCACGACGCTGGTGAAGTCGAGTAAATTGATGCACGACGCATAGCCATAATATTTGAATTGGTCGTGGCGAATGGCGGCGGTTGGACTGATTGGACCAATAATGACATCGAGGTCTGTGCCCAGCTGTTGCTCAGCCTCGCGCCACTTTTCCAAATACTCCATTTGATAGTTCCATTTCTCCAAGTGTATATCCCACAACTTGTTCATATCTACCGCCTTGATGTTGGGGTTGAGTAAATCCTTGATGTTAGGAATTGGTGGTTCGCCGGAGGCATTGATGTCTCGATAGACGTCCTAGAGCTTTCGTCAGATTCTAGCCGCAGGAGGAGTGATCGCTGTATCGACGCTTGTTGCTTACCGTACAGCCATCTCCCGCGTATATTCCATTGATGAGGTCGACACCATACGCGTGTTTGTACGGCTCCCATGGGATCACCTTGTGGCCATCCTTTTTGACAGCCTCGGTGACCATTTCAACTCCGCGGAGTATGGGAGGATGCGGAAGGACCTGAGAACGACATCAGCATACTTTGCATCTGCAAGCTGAGCAGTGATTTGTGCCCACATTGCGATCCCAATTGTACACTCCAACCGTCAATTTCTTGCCTTCGATTTTAGCTTTCGCGGCATCCTCTGCGTCCTGTCTCCAGGGCATTGGCACTACTTTCGAGTCGTATTTCCACGGCTCTTCTGTAAGAACCGCCTTGAGAAAAAGCCGAATATCTGTTTCATGGCTGTTAGATTGCATCAATCGTGAAGGACATTGAGGTTCATTACCTGCAGCCGAGTGAGCGATTGGGCCCACGACGCTATGAACAGTTTCTTGGCCCTCCATGCTGTTTGCCATCTTTGCGTAAGGCATGCGCCCATGGCTAGGCCGAATACCGTAGAGGAAGTTAAAGGCTGAGGGAATTCTGATCGAGCCACCAATATCCGTTCCTACGCCGATGATTCCACCACGTGCGCCAATCATGGCGCCTTCTCCGCCAGAGCTACCACCACAGGACCAGGCTTTGTTGCGGGGATTGACGGTTCGACCGACAATATTGTTGACAGTCTCACAAACCATTAACGTCTGGGGCACACTGGTTTTCGTGTAGAAGACGGCGCCAGCTTTGCGGAGTAAGAGAGTGAGGACGGAATCTTCTTTGTCGTATTTGCCTAACCAAGAGATATACCCCATGGATGTCTCGTAGCCCTAGATATGGTTTGTGTCAGCTCGGTTACAGCTGCGAGTCACAGAGTAAGGGAGGGTATAGCTTACCTTGACTCGTAGTTGATCTTTGAGTGAGATTGGAAGGCCGTGCAACGGCCCTACGGGCTTTTTATTTTCTTCATAGTATGCATCAAGCTCCTTCGCTTGTGCAATGGCCCCCTCGGGGAAGAACTCCAGCATGCAATTCGTCTGCATCACAACCGAGCTGTGTAAGCATCCATGCATGTTGACAACCTTCCCTAGTAGAATGAAGGCTCACCAGTTGTTGTGCATAAGCAGCCCTTTTGCAAAAGGCTACCGTTACGTCTACCGACTTACGCTTTCCTGTGGCTAGGTCGGCGACAAGATCTGTTGCCGACGACTCGGTGATTTCGAGCTCTTGCGAGGAGAGCACCCCGGAGGTTTTGAGATAGTCAAATGCTGAGCTTGTATCGGGTAGGCTCTGCAGCTTCCATTCTGCTGGAATGGTCTTCGCGAGACGGTCTCGCTTGTCTGCCGCAAGTTCCTCCCATTTGCTCGACATGTTGAAGTGATGTGTTTAGACTTGTGGCAGCGGACCAAGAATGTGAGTTCTCCAAATGGTCTACAGTCTACGTTGTGATGATGGTATTTCGTGAGCAAGCTCCAGGAGACATGATGCGGAGTCGCAACAAATAGAACGCATTACGGATCACTATGGTGTCACGATTCAAACATCTGATTAGGTACGTTATCTGTAACAGGCAGGTAGTTGGGCATTGTACGGAGTAATGGAAGTCATAGGTGGGGGTTTGGCCAACAGCTGTTAATATCGTGATATGTTATGTAAGGAGCACGTGAACTTCATCTCTTAGCGGCCAAGGTTCCCCGTACTTCGCGCTGCGGCGGATCAATACAGGCCACCTGGATTGCGCATGCACGAGCTTGCCTGTTCATACAGTTAGTACGGTTATTCAACGAAGTTCGAGCACAACATCTTGCGACTCTGACTACGGTTCACCGACTATCTACCACCTCCCTAATCTATCCCGTAGACTTTCCACGCGCTGTTCCACTGAACAACAGCATCAACGATGTTTATTGCTCGGTCTGAATATGGTGAGTGCTGGATCTACGCAACAGATTGATTCAATGCTAACACGATACAGATCGAGGGATCAAGTGAGCTGCAGCCTGAGACTACTCTGGGACGGTGTGACTGACCCTTGCAGTACCTTCTCCCCGGAGGGACGTCTGTTCCAGGTCGAATACTCGTTAGAAGCCATCAAACTTGGTTCAACAGCCATCGGAGTACGCTCGCTCCCTCTTCCACTGTCGCATTGTTGCTCATCATTGCAGGTCGCTACATCTCATGGCGTTCTCCTCGGTGTCGAGAAGCGCGTCACATCGCCCTTACTCGTGTCCTCCAGCATAGAAAAGATCGTTGAGATCGACAAACACATTGGCTGCGCCATGTCCGGTCTCCAAGCCGACGCACGAAGTATGATTGAACACGCTCGGGTCGAATCACAAAACCACGCCTTCAACTACAATGAGAAGCTCGGAGTCGAAAGCTGTACGCAGGCTATCTGTGATCTTGCCCTGCGATTCGGCGAAGGAGCTCAGGGTGAAGAATCAATAATGAGTCGACCATTTGGCGTTGCGTTGCTGATCGCTGGTTGGGATGAGGACAATGGGCCACAATTGTAAGCAATATTGAACTTCCGGACGGTCATGTACTGACATCCTCCAGGTACCATGCCGAACCTTCGGGGACATTCTACCGATACGATGCGAAAGCAATAGGCTCTGGGAGCGAGGGAGCCCAGGCAGAACTACAAGCCGAATATCACCGATCGTTGACCCTAGAAGAGGCGGAGACACTGGTTCTCAAGACATTGAAGCAGGTTATGGAGGAGAAGCTGGATTCGAAAAACGTACAGCTAGCCAGCGTCACACGCGAAGCTGGTTTCAGGATCTACGGAGACGAAGAGATGAGCACCGTGGTTGCAAGATTGGAGGGCGATTAGATGTGTCTACTCTCCACTTTGCAGCCTTGTGTTATTAACCTGCGAGCATGTCCTGGAGTTAGGCGTGGCAGGGGATAAAGTCTTCACCAAAGAGTCGGACTCTCAAAATGAATGCATTGATGGCTATACTTATTGGTTTTTACAGTCGTCAGAACTGCTGACAAGTCGCAGATCAGTTGTCCCCTTCCAAGCATGTCAGACAGTCGATTGTATCTCTTCTAACCCCAGATCTATTCCGTCGGGCGCTCGGCCTGGGGAGTGATGCGCGCAATGTGTCGGCGCTGGCCATCTTGCCAGTCAATCAGGGCGGAGTGGGCTGGATGAGGTCAGTCAAGCTCAGAGACGCGCATTTGCACCACTGACCAGTCACGCGGTTATCCCAAACGACAACGGTGTTATTTCTCCATCTGACTCTGGCTTGAAGGTCTTGCGACAAGGCGATATGGTCATACAAGAACTTGAGGAGATAATCGCTTTCCTCCTGCTTGAAGCCGACAATGTATCGGGTGAACTGTGGGTTGACATACAAGGCCTTCTCGCCCGTCGCTGGGTGGGTTCTGACAAGTGGATGAATTGACCTGTACGAAGGTTTAGCATCCAACAACCGTTCAGGGATTGTTCAAAGATTGGTGAAACTTACGAGACGGGGTTTCGTCTGATGGTGCTGCCTCGATTGATGGCGGCTGTGGCCTGTTCATAGCCCGAGTGCACAGCTTTGAGGCCTTCAAGACGCTCGCGGAAGGCTGGAGAAAGTCTTTCGTAGGCCTTCACTTGGTTGACGAAAAGAGTATCACCGCCAGAGGAAGGCACGTCCAAAGCGTACAAGAATGTGGTCCCGGGTGGCTGATTCTCATATGTTACATCGCTGTGCCAGGCGACGGAGTTGGTTCGGTTGTCAAAGAAGTCGAGGAACGCCTTGTCGTCGGCACCACGGTGGACGAGATGCACCTCGGGATAGCCCTTGGGTGCACCACTGGTGGGATGAATGTGCAGTCGACCGAAGTAACGGCCAAATTCCAGAGCCTTCTCGATTGGAAGTGAGGCGAAGTCCTGGTCTCTGAAAGCGACGACCTTCTTTTGGGCTACCAGCAAGGCCAATTCATCCTTGCCCTTGTTGTCAAGTTGAGATAGCTGGACACCAGTGACTTCGGCACCAATAGAGGCTGTGATGTCCTCAATGTGGCTGCCTTCCGGAAGAAGGTTCTTGAAGGTCGGGTCGGCGTCTTTGCCATGTTCATAGTGCTCAAATGGTTCGAGGGGTTCGTATCTGGAGGAGGATGCTGGTCAGTACTGAGTACTCGTATTTGGCTCGCGATATCGGCAGATTCCCCGGGATAGGGATATTGAAGTCACAAAACCAGTGGCGAACTCACTTCTCTCCCTTCTCGTTGTCCCATACTGGCAGATAGCTGCGATTTCAGTCAGATCCAGAGTCCAAACTCATCGACTTGGTTTCTCCTACTTTGGATACGATGCGGCTCCAAACTTTTCAGTGCCGTTCAATTCGTTTTCGAGCAAGAGATTGCTGGTGTTCAACTCCTTATAGGCACCAACGCCGCCTTTGAGAGTGATCGGAGCCTGTGCTGAAGCGGTAGCCATATTGAATCTGGTTTTAAGAAAGTATACTACTACAAAAGAAGCAACGGATTATGTGAGGTGAGGATTGGTTTTATATTAAATGCTGGATATGCGGCACATTGACCGTGCAATCCCAAGGCACGATGCCGACATCGTCTGGTTGCGCAATCCAATAGACCCCACAGGGACTTGTCCGTGGTCCAACATACACAGTATATTCTCAATCAGCCAAGGGGACGAGGGAGCATCGGTACACCAAACGACATCGATTGGATGAGGGGCGAAGGTTGCGTTCTTCTGGTACAAAATTGCGTGATCCGCCTAGACGGGAAGGTACGCCATCACTCCGACTCTGCTAACGTCCGACACTCCTCACGCCAGACCCTCGACTTCGATCTCGATAAGCATCTGCTTCAATCGCAAGTCATTCCGTCGCATCGAGAGTCGTTGAAAATTGGCCATGGGGCACATTGGTTCCAGCGCTGATGAATATTCATCAATGTCCACCACGCAACACATCCTTCAGCCAAGATGGCCAGTTGGGATCGGCAACAGTTCCAGCTCCGACCACAATCTTGGCCTTGATATTCCGATCATGGCGATGACGAGCACTTTGGTCTTGCCATGTGTCGCTCTACTCATGAGATGAGTTGGTGGAGATCATTGACCATAGTAGCATGTGAGGAACTCTTGAGGTGAGTTCCTGTGGTATGGTACTTCCGACTACGAGTTTGTGCACGTGACCACGCATCCCCTGCGAACACGCTATCCGATAGTTTGTTGATCTTAACGCGCTTCAGAATGACGTCGCAGGCTTCGACTTGGGATGCTTCACTCCAGGTTTCCTCCCGTGTCCTTTGTACTTGTGATCGACAACTTTCCATTGCCTCGATATATCATTGATTAGCTACTTATCCATCGAGATTTCTCTTCTCGTTCTTTCTTAATGGCTTCCGCCCTCCCCACGTCTCTCAATCACTTCGCACCCATACAGACCTCTCACTCAGACCCTTTTGCCAATATCGCCATGAGCCTTGCCAATCTGTCTGATTCCATCAACATGTCCGGGGCAAGACCGCTTGGAGAGCGAAGCGCGAATATACTAGCCAAAAGTGGTGCCAAGGTAAGTGTCGTCCTCTGCTGTTTGCAAGTCACTGACAACCTTTGCAGAATATAGATGATAAGCCAAAGAGTGGAAAGAAACGCAAGAGTGGTGAACCCGCCATCAACCCCGACGACATTGAGCTCCCAGATCTTATGCTCATTGTAAGTTGTCTTTCTCTTGCGCTTTTGTCACAATTCTTCTCCTCCTTCCTTATTGCCGCGTACCGTGATTCCTGCAGATCGAATACCCCGGATTTGCGTCACAGTAGATGGGGAGTCGGTCACGCACGTCCCTCTCGAGGACCACTTATGGCCAGTCTATGTAAAAGCCCGACTCGTCTGACCTCATCTGTAGGAATGGACTCCAAACCAAATCCGCTCCAAGATTCGCCAGTTCGTCAACAGTGGTGAAATGAAGGTTGGTGAATTTCAAGACAAAATCCAGGTTTCTGGCAACTCGTACTCTCGTTTCATGGGCCAGAATGGGCAGAAGGGTGCAGAAAGCGACACGTACACCGGAGCCCACGACTTCTTCAAACGCCGCGAACTCGCCGGCCTGAAGATGCCGCGCCAGAAGAAAGCCAAAACCGACACCACCAACAAAAGCAAGAGTACCGACGAGTCCACCGGCACCAAGGGCAAGAACGACGACAAGACCGACGAGAAGAAGAGCAAAAACAAAACCAAGAAAGAAGAACAAGCCGAGATCGAGGCGCGCAACGACGTCTCCGGATTCCATCTTCCAGGCGAAGAAAACGACAGCGTCGAAGTCTACGACACCTGCGATGACATCCGCACCAAGATCAACAAGTACCTCCGCGACACTCCATACGCCACCAATGCCAGCTTCGTCCGCGAAGTCAATCGCGCCCTTGGCGAGGACAGTTCGCGCCACACCGCGGCCCAGGGACTTACACGGTTCTTGAACAACAAAGGGGCGATCAAGGGCTCTGAATCCACGGCATTTTACGGCGCGTATGTGTTCTTCGAGAAGCTGCGCATCAAGCAGGGGAAGCCCAAGAGTAAGAAGCGTGTCGAGATGGAAGATGTGTGGGGCCGTAAAGGCGGGATGGAACTCAGGGATCAGAGTCGGGGGATCTGGGCGCCGGCGACGGCGAATGTGAGTGTTGATAAGTACGGATGTTACAAGATTGAGAGGCGGTTTTAGGTGCACATCCCTAGCCTGGTGGACTCGTGGACCTGGCTTGACGGAGATCAGGGGATATACGCATGGTGAGGACTGTGTCCTATGTAACAACATCACTTTTCTTGTTTCATTATGTAACGCGGGCTGTATATGGATATAGGCCGGTTAAATGTACTACTAGTTTCCTAGATCATGTCTTATTTGTATACATGCTACAAGCCTTGTAGGTTTCCTTTTGATGCAGTCCGTACCACCCGATCTATCACTGCCATTGGGGTGGACGCCAGAGAGCCGAAAAAGGATGTATGTACAGGTACACGCGATCACAGGAGGTATATAAGTCGACGAATTTGCTGCCATCACGTCGTACCCGCGCCAGACTGCGTACCCTTGGTAAGGCCCAGCTCCTCGTAGAAAGCGTCCGTCTTGGGCTCTCTGCCCAAGAAGTCGATCAGAGTCTGCATCTCGTCTTGACTACCTCCTCTCTCAAGCACGGTGTGCCTATACCGGCGACCTTCCTTGGGATCCATGGGATCTTTCTTGAAGACCGTGTAGAACATGTCGGTCGAGTATACTTGGGAACTGAGGTAGCCGTAATAGCCTGCGGACACAGATTAGCATGAACTTTAAGATTGAGACACCAGGTACTTACCAGCGTCGTAACCGCCCATCAGGTGACCAAAGGTGGCTTGACCATTACCCCAGCCGTTGCCCTCGCCCAGCGCTTCGGGTCCGTCAATCTTGCTGATGTCTTTTCGGAGTCCGTTGTATGTCTCGGAGATGTTCATCGCCTCGAGACTGGCGTGGTCTTTGGGCTCGTGGATGGTCATGTCAAAGATGCCGAAATGCAGTTGGCGAAGATTGAACAAAGCTCCGTTGAGGTTCTTGGTCTTGATCAGCTTCTGGATCAGATCGTCGGGAATGCGTTCTTCGGGCTTTTCACCCTTTGAGCTGGAGCTTTCTTGCCACGAGACGTAGTATTCGGATGACAAGGTCGAGTAGTGTTTGCTCAATGCTTTGAGCTGTGATGGCGTCCAGCACCAATTCTCGAGCATTTGACTCGGCGCTTCTACAAAGTCTCTAACCGTGTTTGTACCGTGGAAGCGCGAGTACGTGGTCCGTGAGACAAGGTCGTGAATGCCGTGGCCAAGTTCGTGGAACAAGGTGGTGACTTCGTCGTGCTTGAGAAGACTGGGCTTCTTGGCTGTCGGCTTGGAGAAGTTGCAAACAAGGGCTGTTGCCGGATATCTTCTTGTTCCATTTTCTTGGATGAAGCCTGGTTGCAAGTTGAAGTTGGCAGCATGACCGTATTTGCCGGTGCGAGGAAACAAGTCGAGGTACAGATAGCCGACGAAACCACCACCCTCACCTTCATCGTCCCAGACACTGAACACTTGTACTTCTTCGTGCCAGACAATATCATCACCTTTGCCAGACGGCGACACAGCATCTCGGTCCTTGCCCACGATCTCGACGAAGGCCAACCCGAAGATCTGTTCGAATATCTCGAGCATACCTTTTATGGTCGTCTGCAAGGGGAAGTATTCGGCGATCAACTGCTGGTCAAGTTGGTAATCCCTCTCCTCCATCACCCTGTCGTAGAATCGATGGTCCCAAAGATAGTATCTCCCGTCGAAGCTTTCGCCGTTGGCCTTCAGGTCGTCCTCTTTCAACTTCTTCAATGTCTCGATCTCGTCCAGACCACCCTGGCTCAGTCTCTGACGAAGATCGCCGAGAAAATCGTCGACGGTCTTCGGTGTTTTGGCCATCTTGTCCTCGATCCGGAAGGCAGCGTGATTAGGATATCCCAATAGTCGAGCGGCTTCATCTCGGAGAATGATGGCTTCGCGGAATAAGGGCGCATTTTGGTTGCACTTGTTCTCGTTGGCGATGAAAAGCTTCTGGCGAGTGGCGGCGTTGGTCGCATACTTGAGTGTAGGGAAGAGGTCGGGGTATTTGAATGTCAGGAAATACTTGTCATCCTCCTTCTTGAGTAAGGACAAGACGTCTTCGGGCACACCGTCCAATTCTGCAGCAGTGAACCACAGACCGCCTTTCTCTTCGTTGAGATTCTTGGAGAACGCAATGCCCAGCTGGCTCAAACGCTTCTTGATCTCCTTAAACCGATCGCGCTTGGGACCTGCGGGTATGTTCAAACCATTGCGGACGTAGCCCTTGTGTTCCTTTTCTAGCAGTCGCTGCGACTCGGCATCTAAGTTGTCGCCTCTCTTGAGAGCGGCATCCACCAGCTGGAAGACGTCCTCCCGCATAGCAGCCTCAATGCCAAAGTCGTCCATGAGCTTCTCGGCTTCGGTCGATGCATCTCGTAGTGCTTGATCTGTAGAGACTGACTGGTAGAACCCGAGGATATGTGCCTTCAATGTCTGCCGATTCTCGTCGACAGCCATAGGTAGGACGACATTCTTGAACGATGCGTCGTTCTTGGATATCTGTGCTACGATATCGTCCGTGATCTTATTTGACTCTGCCAGCATGTCCTTGGTATCCTTCACAACCGACTCTGGGGTCGCTGTGAAACTTGGAGGGGCCTGCGGAGGCTTGCGAAACTTTCCTGCACTCATGGCGGAGGTCGTCACTGGTCTAAACGGACTCGTGGATGAGGTAGTCGGCTTGAAGGGCCGAAGTTGGCTCAGAATAGAACCTAGCCTGGCAGGGGCGCGAAAGGGAGCCAGGATGACGAGGAAGACGATGGAGAAGAGAGCGGCGGAGGTGATGAGGATGACGAGAGACTTGGGTCGAGCCAGGATGAATGATGTTGTCGCTATTTTCTAGTACATGAGAAGAGGTGGATGTAAGTACCAGTCGGGATTGGTGATACACAAGGACAGTGATCACAATTAGGTTGAATGGAGATGTCACAAGGTCATTCACTGACTATCTGGTGTTTGGTAGCTGTGCGACGAAACAAGCGTCGGCGAGTCGGCCAATGCACCAGATGCACTCCGCATTTCGGTTGTTGCCCGCATGCATATTCAACCCTATATATCCCATCACTACACTTTAGTATACCATTGTCCAAGGCCGCTCTATTCGCATTTGTACGGACTAATAAGTCATGAGGAGACGGAGTGTGACTGTAGAACCGGGCAGAGGTCAGATGGGATGCATTAGGCAGCTGCAATGAGGCTGCATCCTTTTCCGAGAGGAATTGAACTTGTGTTCTCACCGGGCGGAGGAAGCCTGCCACCGTCACTTGCACGGGAATTGCTTTGCCAAAAGGATAGCACGGAGTAAGGCCTGGTCAAAGAGCGCCATTTGATGCAGGGTATATCATATCAAGACTTCATGATTCAGACTGTACAGTTTGACTGATATATCCGTCAGCACATTGTAGGGAATCCCTAACAAGATTGAACTTACGAGAGCCAATCCATGCCTTCATTGATGCCCTTGCCATCAATGACCGAACATGCAACAATACTCCAGTTCCGATCTCTGAGTTCGCCCAACTTCAGGGCTTCTGAAATCTCTCCGGCACCTTGGGCTCCGGGCTATTGTCGTTAGCTGCATCTCCAGAGGAAGCGGTCTTCGACGTACTTGATCCTGCTTGTTCGCAAACACTAGTAGAGCTGCGTCTTTGAGTTCTTCCTCGTTCAACATCGATTTGAGTTCGTCGGCAGCAGTCTCTAATCGTTCGATATCTGTCGAATCGATCACAAATATTACGGCCGCTGTGTTGGCATAGTATGATCTCCAGTAGGGTCGGATAGATGTCTGTCCACCGAGGTCCCAGACATCGAAATTCAAATTGCCATATTGGACCGACCTGTGGGCGTCAGTCGGATGGGCTCCCCAGCGGAGATCAGGTTGAAGACGAACTCTACATTGAAACCAATAGTCGGTGTCGTTGTTACCACTTCACCGATCTGGTATAATTAGAATCGCAAACACCATGTCCTGCGTCATTGAGACCGACCTTCAGTCTGTATAGTAGAGTCGTCTTGCCGGCATTATCCTAACCATTGTCCATCAGTCTGGCTTCCCCTGGGGCTTGGAAGATCGAGAGACGTACGAGTCCGAGGATCAGTATTCGTATATCCCTTTTGCCCCATATCAGAGTGGAAAAGTATTTTGATATCGAGAGTCCCATGGTTGTTGACGAGTTCGATCGGCTGCTGGCGGAATGGGTAGAATCAGCACACGAGCGGTCACAGACTCATGCCGCTCCCTGTGGTGTGACAGTGTCCTTGCGCCGAGACCGGGCCGTGACAGTGCTGTATAATGTCTAGGCGGGCGATGGTCTTTGATGATCGGGCAGCTCGGACAGACGGTGGTCGAAAGGATCAATCTTGTAATGTGTTCTGTTTACTTTCCTCGGATATCAAAGCGACAGGCCGCCACTTGGCACTTTTAAGACCGGCTAAAATCTCCCCGTACTCAGCATCTGACCCGCGCTGCTTTAAATTCAAACCGTCCATCTGTTTCGCCTTTGCTCAAACGTAGGCGACTGAGAGATGAAATGGAAGAAGCCCACCTGACAAAGTTGGGAGATTGTGGATGTCGAACTGGATTAGGCACTTCACGCAGGACGCGTTGAATTGGTGAAAGCGAAAGTCAGTTTATTATGCCCAGGTTTTAGGATACGAGAATTAAATACAGTATATCCACTGATGCAGTTTAGATATAAGTGAGGGTTATACACATTGTTTGGTAGGACTGATCATTGACATTGTTTTCACTACGCCGAAGCGACAACACGGAACAAGTAATCGAGCTTCTTCGTCGAAAAGGACATAGAAAATACGCATTCGTCAATGGACGATCTTGTTTCCCTCCATCGATATCGCAGTCTCCGTTACAATGGTCATTTTCTCCTTCAAGTTGGCAACGGGTTTGCGGTTAATCTGGTGAGTGACACTAGCCTTGGCAATCCTTTCCAAGCCCTCAGAAGCAAAGGTGACCGTGGCGAAGCGTTCGACCACCGGCGCGAGCTGAGCACCAGCGGTCTCCCCAGACATGTATTGGTAACTTGTCTCAGAGATGGGCTGCTCCATATTGTGCATGATGGCGTGCCCGACCATGGTCTCATTCGGACTGACCAGCCCATGTAGTTCTGAAGCTTGGGTGTCGGCGCCGTGAGCCAGACCGTGCAGGAAATCCGATGGGTTGACGAGAAACTGCTGAGCTTCGGCCGCATGCGATGGATCGACAATATTTGCAGTGCCCTGCAGTCCATACTCTGCGGTCTCGTTCGCCGCAACAAGACCAACCTCTTCAAGGCCAAACAGCAGCCCAAGGGAGATTGTATAAATGACGACGTTGATGGCAAGAGGTACAAGCTTGTCTCGTCTCTTCGGCTCCGGGAGAGGAAATCCGTGAGCTCTCATTGCCTCTACGACATGGTGGTACTTCTTCTTGGCGACGGAACGTTGGCGCAGTCCAAGAAAGAGTCCAAAACCAGTGCTGCCGCATGTAGGAACGAGAAGCAGGCTGCAAATGACAACTTTGACTCCACAGGAATAAATGCGTCGTCGTCTACAGATCTCTCGGTGGGCCAGCTTTTCGTAGGACTTGTCTTTACCGCAGCCATGGACACGTTCCTTGTAAGCTTCCTCGTTGAAATGAAAGATCTCCTTGATGGCCATTCTTGTTAGGACAATCGCCCAGAGATCAATGCTGACGCCGAATACATTAGTGGTTGTGCTAATCCTGTGTTCGTTGAGGACAGGATTCTACTTACAGAACTTGACGCAGGTAAGGCTCTCAGTTTCGGACAGAATGGATGATGGAAACCTCCTGCCCCAGCGAGGCAGGCTCCTCATTTTGCAATTCACTTTGACCATGCTGGTGTTGGGTACCCAGATGGCAGCCACGTCCGCCAGGACCATCTATCCGACCCTCCATAAGATGTGCACGCTTTCGGCCGCACGTAGGTCGAGATACGACGAAATCGACGATATGTCTTGTATGGGGCTGGTCTCACCACAGGCATTGGCTAGCCCCATGACCTAGCTTTCTCCAGACATTTGTGGCGGCCCCTAGACTAGACTGTCATTTCTCACGGTGTCAACTTCCCCATGGCTCACCATACCATCGTATGTCACGTCGCCATGGGAGGGAACGTATCCAGATGTGCTCGTACGATATGAGCAATGACATAGACAGACATTCTGTGCTCAATCATGTGAATGGCGCTTGGAATGTTCATCTCAACTTCGTTTCGGACAAGGCTGAACCAAAGTACGGCCCATATCTTTCCACCCGAACCCCAAGACTCCAAGTATGTGGCAGAAGGGCATGGTAACTAGTCGCCCTCCGTGCGTACCACTTGGAGAGGTCCTGGAAATAGGGGCCTCTTGTACCAATCGCGTACTGACAATCTGCGCACCTGATTTTTGGACACGAGAAGCTGGTCGCTAAAAAGCCACTATCGATGCACGATATGCAGGGCCCAGCCTGACCGCACTCTCGGATCTTGCCACGTGAAAACCCACCGCTGCTGGGGCGGCTCGCTGGTCGCAGGGAGTGCAATACAAACCGTTAAATAGTCCCCTCATCGGCTGAGATGATGAGAGACGCGCCTCCCTTTGCACACGCCTCGATTAGATTTGACACGGTTAAGGTGCGGCTGATTCGACTGACTTCGAATCGAAGTGTGGTCGATGAAGCGACATAACGACCTCTCGCGACTCACCTGTCTGACCGCGTGATTCTTGTAAATACCTTCTGGCTGATCGGAGAAACCGTAGTATCTTCGCACCACGGCAGCCTAAAGCACCTCGACTGGCTCATAGCACGGTGACATACCTGAGGGCAATTGTGTCGCGGAAGGAGGAAAACAGCAAATGTCGATTTGTGCTGTCAGCGGCTGAAGGTTGAACTCCATCTTGGCGGGCAATTTACCTAGGTAGTTTAGGTAAGCCTTCCGAAGCCTGCGTGCCCTTGTCAATAGATTCTCCACGCGCCGCAACACCACCACATTCTTAGAGCCAGGTACGATTTCTCTAGCCTTTCACCTTGTACACATCTACGCAACCAAACGCCGCTGTGATCCGAAGCCCAACTCGAATGCGAAATTTCTGCGGTACTCTCGATATGCTAGCCTTGGAGATTTAATTCGACCCTTGAGCGCATACCCCGTCACTGGTCTTCGATACCGATAGTTGTCTGCTTGGTTGCGCGAGCTGCATTCAAGATGGTCGGCAAGAAGAGTGGCAAGGCCCTACTCCGGGAGGAGGGTCTCGAGAGAACAGATAATAACATGGAATTGACATCGTGGCCGCAAATAATACCTATCAATCAGAAGAATTATTACACCGGTATGCAATGTGTCAATAGCTATAAATGATCGAGGCTGATGTTGAAGAACAGACTACCTCAAACGAGATGAACAAATCCTCGCGGTCCGAACGCAACAGGAGGAGGCCCGTAGCAAGATGGTCAAACAAGCCAAAGACCGAGACCGAGCCCTGGCACAAGGCAAAACCGTTGGACCAGATGGAGACATTGAAATGGAAGAGGGCGAGGAAGAAGCTGAAGATGAAGCCGCGAGCGGTGCTAAGACCATTGTCATCCACCTTGGGTCACAGAACTTGAGGATTGGTCTCGCAAACGATGCACTTCCCAAGACAGTCCCTATGGTCATCGCGCGCCGAGCGCCTCATTCGGAAAGCGAAGAAGGAGACGGCGAACCAGCGCCCAAGAGAGCAAAACTCGACAACGGATCGCACCCCTCCGAACCTGAGAAACGGTTTGGTGACGAGTTCCAGAAGAAGTTCACGGGCATGTCCAATGATCTCAAGTTGAGAATGAGGATGAACAAGAGGAAAGTGTTGCCTCAATCGAGGGATATGGTCACCAGCTACAACAGGAGAAATACATACGAGACTATTACAGAACACAACGATACCATGCAGATTGACTGGACAGAAACGTCAGGGCCGGGACAGCGTCCTCCGGAGTACATTACGGGAAGAGCTGCACTACGAATACCCGACAAGTCAACGCCTCGCTACAAGCTATTTTGGCCAATTCGGCTGGGCTGGCTCAACGAGCGCGACTATGCTTCGAAGCAGCTCCTGTATGAGGATATCCGGATCATCATTGAGGATGCAATCACATCTCAATTAGAGGTAAAGATTCAGAGTCGTGGAGAACGGGCACAGTACAGCTGCGTTGTTGTGATACCCGACTATTACGAGAGAACATATGTGACCACTCTGCTCGATATGGCGATCTCAGATTTTGGCTTCGGACGAGTCTGCTTTGTCCAAGAGAGCTTAGCCTCGTCTTTCGGCGCAGGTTTCACCACCTGTTGTATCGTCGACATTGGAGCACAAAAGACATCAGTGTCTTGTATTGAAGATGGAATGATTATTGAAAACTCCCGCGTCAACTTGAAGTATGGAGGAAGGGACATCACAGAGGCCTTCGTGAAGATGGTCATATACAACCATTTTCCATATGCGGAGCTGAATCTGAATAGACGCTTCGACTTCCAGCTTGCCGAGGAACTCAAGCAGAAATTCTGTACGATGACTGAGGCCGATATCTCAGTGCAACTATACGACTTCCACCTTCGAGCTCCCGACCAGGACACAAGGAAATACACCTTCAAGATATATGACGAGGTCATCCTCGCGCCGATGGGAATGTTTAAACCCACCATCTTTGATGATGCTGGCAAGCTTAACGGCCGGCGAAAATTGGTCGACAAGTCTTATGATATCTACGATGGCAAGCCCAATGACCCCAGCTCGACCGCACAAGCCGAAATCCTCACGTCGATTGCGCCCGAAGAGATCATCAACTCTACCATCAAGAAGGCTGCAAAAGCGAATGGACTCACCAACGGTCATACCAACGGGACAAAAGAAGAGCCGGCCAACGACTCTCGCCGCCCTTCGTTCAGCAACATTAAAGAGATGGACGCGACACCACAACCTTCGGCCGCTAGCTCCCCTGCACGACAACTTGATGGCACCCCTCAACTTGAGGACGGTGAAGGCGCCGCTGTCCAAGAGAAGCCCAAGGCTGAAGAAGAGGAAGAGGAGCCCGTTAGTATTGAGCGCCGAGACGACATCCTACCGATCTATCCGCTTCCCAATGCAATTGTCACGTCGGTCACGCACGCGGCTAGAGGCTCGGCGCAAAAGACGAGTGATCTGCTAAGCAGTATCATGCTCACTGGGGGCACAAGCATCATTCCTGGGTTGGCTGGACATCTGGAAGATACACTCAAAGGAATATTGCCCGGCTATAGCAAGGACATCATTATCTCACGGCCACCGAGGGACCTCGATCCGCAAGTTGTGGCATGGAAGGGTGGCGCGGTGTTTGGCCGTATGAGTCGGACAAACGATAGCTGGGTCAATCCTTTCTTGTACGAGAGGTTGGGCGAAAGAGTCCTCGCACACAAGATGATGTGGGCGTGGTGAGATAGCCTGGTAGCCACGGTTCTGGATCATGCGTATGAGAAACCTCGCATGATCCTGATAGTACTTACGAGCCGACCAAAGAGGAAGAATAAAGCTCTCACTTGATGGCACTGGATATCAAGGAGATGGTAATCTGAGGAAGTAATCACCGAGATTACGTCCTTGACATTGTCAATCACTAGACTTCTCGCTCCAGAGGTTGCACGCGAAATGACAAAGGCTTCTGCCAGTTGATTCCCAAGAGTCTTTGCAAGGGCTTGTCCTGATGTTTTGGGATGTAGAGATAGTTCTCGCAGAGGGGTGGGGCCATGGCTCCGACGCTGTCGAAAGAGAGTTGAGCGGCTAGCTTAGTGAATCGATTGGCGAAGAAGGCGTATTGCATAGTGTCTGAGGGCGATAGTGCCGCCGAGAATAAATCCTCTACTCATGCACCGACGGAGTATATCCATAGCAGGTCATATTTTCTTGTGTCGGTGGCTGCTTGAGTGATATCAAATTCTGGTTTCATGCCATGTAGACTGGCGACAACCATAGCATAGGTAAGCCGAGTGAGCTGAAACCTCATTTCAAGGGAATGCATGTCTTCAAAGATACATCTTTCAAAAAGCATGGTCGGCTGGCACAGTGCCAGATCGAGCTGGTTGTTCGTAGAGCCGTCGATAGTAGCATCCGCTAGGTCTCGCCAGTGTTCAAATAGTCTCGTCCGGGCTGCCATCCACCGTAAATGGGACCATCTGAAGAGGCTCTCAACCTCCTTGGCTGCCGAAGATGCGTACTTGAATTTGGCTCCCTGTACATCCAGAAGCTCTCTTATCTCAGCATGTGTAGCCATGAGTGTAGGGGACATTGCAGAAGCCACGGATTTCTTGGTACTCGGACCTCGGTCATCGACACACGATCGCACGAGCGACGACAGATGTGGCGAACCAGATAGGGGGCCAGGGTCAAATTCCGAACTGGCGATAAGAGGCCGACATCCGACCACGATGGAGATATTCAACAGACCGTAGACGTCCATTTCCAATTGAAGTCGTGGTAGAGCCTCTGATCCACCCATAAGCTGGATGATCCTCTATCCAGCAGCATAATGGAGCACGCAATCGTCAAACCTACCACTGTAGAAAGCACAGTTGCCGAGTGTCAAAGCAGTGTTTTTGATCTGCTCTAGTTCCTCGAAGGACTTTGCAGCATAGTTGGCCTCCAGGAGCTGTCGCAAGGCTCTCAATGCTTGTCCATGATGTTTGTCGCCGGCAAGATTCACGTCGCCGCTTGGACGGCCCTGTATCCTGCGGTCCGTATCCCACATGTACATCGCAGCGGATACCGATGCATGAGTCGTGGCGCTTTCGCTGATCAGATTGAAAGAACCATAGAATTGAGATGTGAGCGTGGCCCCATTTTTCCGCATACTCAATTCTGATGACCATGTGAACGAGACCATGAGTGTCCTTAGCCGGTTCAACACAGCGTACTCGAGAGGCGAGCAGTTCACGGCACCAGCATTGAATGGATCTCTGTTGCCTTTGAAGAGGGAGACCGTCGTCGAGAGAGGAGCCATCGCCTCATCTTGGTCATCTTCGGAGGTATTTGACGCTGGGTAAGGGCTTTTTTTTGCCCGCATACCGGCTGTACTGACGATTCTTGGGATGAGAAATGCGTGCTGCATGTGCGCGTGCATGTGATCGGGTCAGATTCTGGAACCTCGCGCTACGACTGCTCGGATTGGCATCAATGAAGATGATAGGTGATTGACCCTGACTCATTGTTGAGTTTGCAACCCTCTGTACTGTGCTATGCAGGTACTAGGATGTGAGATTGGCTGAAAATGGAGCATGCAATCTCCAATGTGCCATTTGGACAGCAGGATGCTTTTTCACAATCCCCTAGGCTGCTCCTCTTCGCCCTTGCTGTCATCTGGTTGTTTTCCGGCTCTCCCAGACGCCGGGTCCGGTCAGAGTGCCCTGATGATTGTGCTGGTTGAGCGCACTGCCATTCAGTCGTAGGCGAAGAGTTCGCCATGACAGCGTGTAGCAGCGACACGGTCAGGACTAAAGAAAGGGATGTCGAGGTGTTGTAAAGGGCATAACCGTCCCTGCTTGCCAAGACGGACTTGGAGAGAGTCTTCGCTTCGTTTACGCGACGTTCTCGACAACGTCATTCATTGGTGGAAGTGTTTCTTCTCCGAAAAAGGCAGTCAAACAATTTTCTATGAATTATGTCGCAACTCATCACAGTCTACGAGAGCCTACAGCCGCTTGATGCACGCTGGTCAAAGACTATATTGGACAACTTGGCGCATTTGGGTATCAACAGCAACGTCTTACATGCCGCGACAATGACTATCTCAAGGTCTCGTTATGTGTACCAGGATTGGCAGTGTAGTGCAGGTATGAAGTTACCCTGTTGCGATGACTCGCTGTGGGCCATGTATTTTGACTGACTCAACCTGAACACAGCGGTGGGAGCGAGCTCATCTCCGCAATGCTGCTGGTAGCAAACATTACTCCCAGAGTGTCGTCTACATTCCGAAGGCGTCCTTTCGAACTCGAAGAAACCTAGGCAAACCTCCTATCTACCCCCGCAGACATGAAGGCATAACTCCAGCTGCTTCTGATACATGGGCCCTACAAACAGGAACTTTCTTCAAGCAAGTTCAGCTCCCGCATCTGCTTGAAGAAAACCAGGACAACACGGAGTCTCCAAGAGAAACATTAGCAAGTGAAGCACTATGCGGAGAGGATGCGGTTAAAAGCCTACTTCGGAAGCCTCAAGCGCCATCCCGAGAAGCAGTTGGAAGTGAGGAACATCAGAAAGCCAAACTGGTAGAGTCGAAGCCTGGCAATGCAGAGGAAGCACAAACTTCGACCTTGAAGGTTCGGCAATCCCGGACCTTTGCAGTTGAAGTGCCTCGATCGAACATCCGGACGGCTGTCGACGCCATCAAGACATCTCGAAAGGTCGGCGTTCCACAATCAAACATTCAACTAAGCCCCATCAACGACTCTGTGCCAGCCACAGACCGGACGAATGCGGCAGCCATGCTGGATCCTCCCGTGCTTGCAACCAAAATGGCACATGACCTCCAACGTAAAATGAGCCAGGACTTCATGGAGGAGAGACTCCGCAACCGGAACAAGCTGCCTCTGATGGCCAACAAGTCTATCAGCTCCGAACTTTTAAGGACTATCAACAAGCACGATGTAACTGTGGTTCTGGCCAAAACAGGCTCTGGTAAGACAACACAAGTGCCTCAGTTGATTCTTGAGGAGAGGGTGTTGCTCAGTCGCGGACCCTCCACTAGCATCATATGTGCCCAACCTCGACGTATCGCAGCAACCTCGGCGGCTCGAAGGGTCGCCTATGAACGTGGGGAGGTCTTGGGAAGCCATGTTGGCTATGTCATTCGTAACGACAACGAGTCCCCCAAACACACGCCGAGCATTGCATTCTACACGATAGGTATTCTCATGCACCGATTGATCACGGGCGGACGGCAGATGCTCCAAGCTCATTCACATATCATAATTGATGAAGTGCATGAACGAGATGCTCAGATTGACTTGGTGTTGTCACTGCTTCGGAGAACCATTTCAATGCTCAAGGCGACCCATCAACCATATCCCAAAGTCGTCCTGATGAGTGCCACAATCGATCCAAGCCGATTCCTCGACTATTTTCGTGACCCGATCGAGGAGGGTTCTCAGCTTTCTGCAGAAAGCTTCGAAGTCGAAGGCCGAAATCATACTGTACAAACACGTCATCTGCATGAAATTCTGAAAGAATTGTCACACGAGAATGAGCTGCATCCTACAATGGAAACACTATTGCAAGGCAAAGGTCGAAGATCTAGTGCAAGCTATATCAAGAATGAACTGCTCTTCGCCTCTGCTGCTCGGGACAGAATACACTCGCTGTCAGAGCAGGGAAGGCTTGCAAACGGGGAACTTCGGCAGGAGCTGGCGGTGGTCGATGCACCAGCGACTTCGCTCGACTCACCTTCCAACAATTACTTGGGTCTTGTCGTTGCAGTGGTTGCTTATATATCTGCTGTAAAACCGGATGGCGACATACTAGTATTTCTGCCAGGGAAATTGGACATTGACACCGTCCACGACGAACTGATCAGGACCAAACCCCTTGACCTCGACTTTCAAGATGAGAGCAGGTTCAGGCTTTTCAAGCTCCATTCAAGCCTGCGAGACACCAATGATATGGTCTTCGACAGTGTCCCTGGGGGCTGCCGCAGAATCATATTAGCAACGAATATCGCCGAGACCTCAATTACGCTGCCAGAGGTTGTCCATGTCGTGGATACGGGCAAGGCGAGAACTGCTGTCTTCGATCCTCTTACGCTGACCAGGAGCCTTCCCTTCGAATGGATCAGCAGGACCAACTCGATTCAACGTCGTGGTCGGGCTGGGCGCGTCCGCGATGGACACTATTACGCATTGTTTTCTCAAGAACGGTACGAAACATTTCGAGCGATGGCGCAACCCCGAATTACTGTGTCCAACGTCGTGGACATTGTGCTTCTCTTGTCGGCCTACCCACAACCATATCCAGGGGGACCTAGGGCCTTTTTGCGCGGCATGATGGATCCTCCCAGCGAGGCAGCTATTGACTCAGCCTACAAAGAATTGACCAGCCTCGAAGCCTTATCAAATGGGAGAATTACCAAACTCGGATGGATCTTTGCTCAAATGGGCATTCCTCCTTCGGCTGCCAAAGCTGTGCTACTTGGGGTTCTCTTTGGCTGTCTGGAACCAATGCTGATCCTTGCGTGCCATGATTTCAACAACCCCTTGATTTACAATGGAGAGATCAGTATCAGTGCCATTCGGGAGACCAAGCGACTGTACGACCGAGATCTTGAGAGTGACTTACCGATTCTCATTGACGCATTTCGAGAATATCATGCGGCTTATCGAAGCGGCAACAGTGCCTTGATGGACAAGCTACACGAAAGCAGATCCATTAGACATGCTTCCTATATGGAGATGATGTTGACAAGCAAAGCCATTCACGAAGTCCTCACGAAACTTGGGTTGGTACCTGAGCCGCTTGGATCTGGCGACACCATCTTTGAGAATCTGCCGGCAAACGTCGACTTTAACAAAGACAATATGCTTTTGGTCAAGGCTTTGGCGGTCAACACTATTAGTGCCGAGATCGCCGCCTGGTCCGCCAAGACTGTTCGGTGGGAGCTGGATGTACCGAGCGAAGGGTATATATCGCGAAACAGCGTCAACTATGAAGACAAGAAATCGGTACGAAGAATCAAGCGTAAACACAGGAGCGATGGCCGTCTCATGGCATACGCATGGAAAAGGAACATCGATGATTCGGAGAAGGATGAGGCCTGGCTTGAACATACAACCATGGTGACGCCACTGGTAGCTATCCTGTTCAGTCGCAGCGCCGTACTGGATGCCCCTAATGTCGTTGAGCTCAACAAGTGGCTTCGGCTTGAATTAAAATCCCATGGCGCGGACACAGGACTCGTTAACCACACAGCACGCATTCTGACGGAAACCAAGAAGACTCTGGATCGATTTATGACATATTCGTGGCGTCGGCTAATACCAAGTTATACTGGACAGGACCATGCCACCAAGCTGACGGCCTCCGAAAAGCTTCATCGTCTAGTTCAACAGGACTGTCGTGTCAAAAGGTTATTGAGCACGCCTGGGTTCAGGAATAAGATGGTCACTGCTATTACAACGATGCTTAGTGCAGACGATGTGTACTGGGCTGCTTATCGAACAAAGCGCCGTGCTGAGATTGACGCGGAGGAAGCGAGACTCGCAGAAGAGGCACGGCAGATGGCTAACCCCGAGGACGGGGAACCACCCAAGTCAAGTTCTACCGGGATATCCGTCACTGAAGCTCAAGAGAACGATGATTATGATGAGATCCTGGTGGCAGCAGAAAAGGTGGCTTTGCAGACTGACGACGACTCAGGGGCCCGAGACTTTTCGTCAGAAGTCCCTAACAGCGTGCAGGTGGATGGAGTCCCGAACGCAACAGACAGTACGTCACAGATATTCGAGGACGATGAAGCGGAGCAGAAGAGTTCGGCTGCGACATCTTGAGCCCCTGGCCAGTGTCAAGACAGTAGGATTTGTGGCTTTGTGGGATTTTATTTGGCCTACTTTACCATGTACAAATTTGGTCGGTCTGCAGGGTAGGCAGACTGCCATGTATCTAATATGACGTGTCGAGAAGACATGAATGTACCCCTTATGAGGCGAAAATGTAACATTATCGGAATGTGAAAAATCGCAAACCCTTGAACCGCTCACTTGGACCATCAGGCGATGTTTGTACCCCAAACCAACCGGGTATGCTGCTGTGGGCCGGCCAATGCAACTTCCTCAACATACTTTCAGGTTGAAGATTTGATGTTCAATGATGTCAATTGCTGGGGGCGTTGTGGTATGCGGAAGTGTACGCCGTGTTCGCCAGATCGAAATACGTGGCTCAGCTCGCCTAAGCAAGAGAGCTCATTGCGCCCAATTAGGATCTGCACGTAATGTGTTTCTTGCCCAAAGGAGGCATGGGTCCGAAGAGCAAGCCGTTCGTCCCAGGTGCTTGGCCCCTCTTTATAATCTGTTAGCCCTTTTGCTTGCCGCCTCGGCCTTTGACTTGGTCCAGCGCTTCGAACGTTCAATCCCTTTTGGTCGGAGATTTCAGCTTCCAGAGTTGAAACAGCCGGATAAGATACCAGTCAAACACACCGCTCCACGTCCATCCGCCGGACAGGTAGTACACCAGCCAACTCTTGTTGCCTTCCCAAATCCACCGCTTCCTCGCATCACTTAGCAGCCATCGCCAAGGCCAGGGCCCGGCACCGGGCAGGACTTGCCGGACGACGCTGTCGGCATAAGCTTCATTGGTCATAGCACCCTCCTGTGAATGACCTTGACGGCGCAAGTAGTCCTCTTCGAGCGGAGCATAGATGCTGTCCTCAGGCAGCACCCGCGTCACATGGGCGTTGATCCTGGACTTGACGCCGCCTGTCACGATAGTGATGACTTTGACGTCTAGAGGAGTCAACTCGACGCGTAGTGTGTTGGCGTATGCGTGCAGCGCGGCTTTCGAGGCGTTGTACACGCTGCCGAAGACGTAGGGGATGACACCGGCCAGACTGCCTATCATGACGATCGTGCCTTTGGCTTGGATGAGCATGGGACAGAAGACTTGACATATGCGCATTATAGCGAAGAGGTTGACGTCGAACAGTCGGCGGACTTCGGACATGTCGATGTCGAGGGCTGGCATGACGTAAGAGACGCCGGCGTTGTTGACTGGTGATTGTCAGTCAAGCCTGAGCTTAGTAGTGCGTTGCGGAGGAGGGGGATTGTCTACCAAGATAGTCAAGACCTTGACCGTTGGTCAATTTCTCGAGCGCGGTTTTGCATGATTGAATGGATTCGTCGTTGTCGACTACCAGAGACAAAGTCTCAATACCATTTTCTGACAGTGTCGATAGCTGTTCGGTTTTGCGGGCCGTGGCGAAGACACGAAGGCCACGAGCGTGGAAGCCTAGGGCGAGGGAGTGGCCGATGCCTCCTGGGGCACAGCCTGTGATTAGGACCGTCTTTCGGACATCTGGTGTGCGCATGTTGAGGACTGCGGAGCACTGCTTGTGGGTCTGCACCGCTCTGGGAAGATGATGCGATAGTAAGAGTTGCTATGTCCTTCCGAGTTACCTGGAGGTGTCTGAACTATTGTGTTGTAGTACGAATATAGACAAAGAGAGTCGGAAGCCACTAGCCTGATCAAGAGATGATGGGGGCCTCGTTCGGCGAACCTGCCTGACTCAGCGAACTCACCAAATCCTCAGAGAACCGGGTCTTGTCCACCTGCCCTGGCCGTCTTCCCTCTTCCTCAAGTCGTATATCCTTCTTAGACACCTAGGTGCACGTGGACAGCGAGTCGAGCATTGCATAAAGAAGACTCCTGAGTCCCAACTAGACTCGCAACTACAGAAAGCTCCGCCTCCGGTGTGTTGGCGACTGCGTTGTCTCGGCGAGCATCGGATATCAGTCCCCCCACTTGCCCCAACATCCCGTTCTATCCCATCGACTGTATGGTCCAAGGTCACTACTAGGCTGCCTAACGGACTCTTTTTCTGTTGATACTATAGAGGTGTGGTTACCGTCGGTGTCAATCACAGTCTTGACATTGCCTTGCCCATCGCTCCCAGCAGGTCGCTGCATATCCAGGTGGAACTATGCGGCATGGATGCCCCATCCGAAGCGTGCCATAATTGTCGACGCCGGCGTCTGAAATGCGACCGATCTTTTCCGCGTTGTCTGAAATGTATCAAAAGGGGTCAAGAATGCCTGGGGTATCAGGGGCTATTCCGCTGGGAACAGGGCATCGCAAGTCGTGGCAAGAATCGTGGTCTGACCTTTGAGGACATGACGGACATCCGAGGCAAGCATCAAACTCAAAGAACATCTCCCGCCATTATCTCGAAGCCACACTCTTCTCGTGGAATCACTGAAGTCTCGCCGCTTCGACCCCTATTGGACCCTCTGGTACAAGACCTCGATCATGCTACGAGGAAGTATCTATCATATTGTAAGACACCTTTATCTACTTGCTCAGCCCCTGACACTAACCTTTGTTCGCATTGTAGTTGCTAGTGATGTCTGTAAAGATCTTGTCCTCTACGATACTCCCGAACACAACCCTCTCCGACAGCTGGTTCCCTTGACACAGCAGAATTCAATCCTCCTTCAGGTCGTCGTCGCCAACTCAGCATTGCACATGTCTAACGCATGCCAGAAGTCTTTGGTCTTGGACGAGTGGGCTCTTCCACTTCGCCATCGCACAAACCTCCTAAGCTGTTACAATGATGCTCTGAGAGCTAAGCAGCGGGCTCTTTCCTTGCTGAGATCCACTCTCGCCAATATAACTTCGGCGGACATCGATGTAGCCCTGGCGGTAGTGCTGCTCTTCATCGAATTTGAGCTCATTGACTCCGGGCGAGATAATTGGAGATATCACCTTGATGGTGCAAGGACGATTGTCGAGACATGGTGTGGAACAAGCATATCGACGCAGGGGCTCATGAGCCCGTTACGCAGCTGCTTGATATCCAATTGCTTGGTGTACGTCCACCCATTTGACTGAAAATACTCCCAAGAGATACTAACGTGTTGCGTCTCAGCTTCGACATTCTCGGCTCAGCGCTGGCATGCTCGAGTGGCGGCTTGCCGGGCGAGGTGTTTTCAGATGGCGCCGTATCACTATTACTAGATGCAGAAGGCAACCACTGCTCTTCGTTTCCCACATTCCTTCTTCAACTCATCCGAGCTGGAGCTCATCTATCCCGACCCGACCACTCATCTTCTCCTCTGGACTCCTCGAGCCACTCCAATCGGCAACAACTTCTTCTCCTCCTGAGCACTGCTCAATCCTTCAACCCATTGGTCTGGGCCACAAGGCTTCAACCGCACTCTCCTGCCTCCGACCTTCTGCTCCGCACACACATGGCTTCCGCGCACCGCGCAGCCGTGTGTATCTATCTCTCCCGCCTCTTGCTCTCCCTCTGCCCCGCCGAAAACCTCTCCCATGACCTGGAAGTCCTGGTGGCAGAGACCATAATGCACCTCTCGGTCATTCGCCCAAGTGATGAGCTGTTCAAAGCATCCCCATGGCCTGCTTTCATTGCAGGAGCAGAAACGAATGATTTCGCGAGGCAGGAGTGGGTGGCAAGAAGATTCCACGAGTTGTGGGAGGTTGAGCCCTGGGGACTTGTTCGAGAGGCATTAGGAGTATTGCAGAGTATTTGGTCGGGGAGAAGGAGCGGAGTGTTGGTCAATAATGAGGGAGGGGCTCTACTGGAGGAGATTAATGGGGACAAGGACTGGATCGAGGATCTGAAGGCTGCAGGCGTGAATTGGCTTATCGTGTGACTTGTATGGGGATTAGACCAACAATGTGTAATGTGGTAATTTTTGTATGAGGTCAGACACTCCCAGCATCGACCATGTATCCATTGAGAATACCCTATCGACCTTTTGGTCATGTTTGTCTTCCGTAGCCTACAACCTCCACCAACGACCCTTCACACGCATCATTCAGGGCCACCTTCGCCCACAACCGGTCCCTGCTCTTCGCCTTCCGCCTCTTGCATCAATTCTTCTTTCTCGTCCGCAGTCAAATCACTTTGCGCTTTCGGAACCTTCCCCCAAACCGCCAACAATACCAAACTCACCGCTCCCACACCAACCCCAAACCAGAATGTGCTCTTATAGCTAGTTCTTAAACCCGAATGTTCAACGGTCGACGACTGAATGATGTCCGTCAGCCCAAGACAAAGTGCGACTCCTAGCTGCAGCACGGAATTGATCACGCCCCCAGCCAGGCCCTGCTGCGAGGTGGGAAAAGTGGTTGTGATAAAGACCGTCATTAGGATGGTGGAGAGGTCGATCCCGATGGTGCTGAGGATGGTGGCAGGGAAGATCCACGCCCAGTAACTTGGCCCTACGCGTGGAATGAGGGCCAAGAGGAGTTGCGAGCCCACTGCGCCCAGGCCGGATATGATCAGGAGGACCCTCCCGGACACCAGATGGAGGATGAGACCCTCCAGAACACTGAGAAGAAGTCCGGCAACGCCGAGCGGGGTGTACCAGGCAACAACCTGAAGAGGAGTGGCGGACAAAATGTTTTGGAAGTATAGCGTTCCATATACGGAGAAGATTCCCCACGTACCGTAAAGGAAGAAGAGTGCGACAAGGAGGGGAGTCATAGAGGGAGTCGTGAAAATGGAGGCGGGTAGAAGGGGCTGCGAGCAGACACGCGTTTCGATGTAGACAGCTGACAGCAGAGAGAGGAGGCCGAGAGTCAAGCATACAGGGATATATGGCGTGCCCCAAGCCGATGGAGCGTGCGCGGACTGGGTGATGGCGAAGACTGTCAGGACCAGGCCGGAGACGACTGTGAGAGCGCCTAGGTAGTCCATCTTGATGTTGCCGTCCCCTTTCAACAGCGAGTGCGGGATCGACAAAATCGACGTTCCTAGCGTGATAGCCGCCAATATACCGCCGATCCAGAAATAAAACCCCCAGCGGAGGAATTGGCCGACGATGCCGGCAACAAAAATGCCCCCGAAGAAACCGAAGACTGCAGAAGTGCCGTAGATGGCAAAAACGAGATTCTTGCGCGGTCCAGGCCGGTACACCGAGCCCAGGAGCATAACTCCTGTCGGGAGAAAGGCGGCGGCTCCCAGACCTTGAAGGGCTCGGCAGAGGTCGAGCATCAGAGGAGAGATGCTGAATCCTGCGATGATACTCCAGATAAGAAGCCATGCGAGCCCGCCCAGGAAGACGGGGTGGCCGCCCCACATATCACCCAGACGGCCGAATACCAGAAGGGTGCTGGCAACGACCAGAGAAAACGACGTGGCGGGCCACACACTGGACGCCGCGGGGATGTCAAGCTCCCTCATCAAAGTTGGCAGGATGAGGGTAAAGCCTGAGACAAAGAACTCGGTCAGGAATTGAGACATGATGACGCTGAAAACGAAGGATATTTCACTCCAGGGCGTGGCGAAGATGGGAGGGCGTTCGCGGCCGAGACGCGTGATCCGTTCTTGTAAGGACTCCTCGGTCGGGCGATCGACTGTGTTCTTCTCATCGGCGCGTGGTGAGGGAGCTTGGGTAGCCGTGGCCTGGACCACGGAAACGGAGGTGACGGTGCTTCGGTTTTGGCTTCGAGTTCTTGATGGGCCAGGGATTGGCCACGAGGTGCTGCTCGAAGTTCTAACGGGCTCCAAAGGGGACAGAGTACGTGGCATGATCACCACTTCCGTACGTGAGTAGCTGGTGGCATAGATTCCAAGGCCTCCAACTTCGAGGCCAAGGGTGCTTTATATATCACTTTTGAGGTATCATGACAGAAGCATTATCAATCAGCTTACATCAAGGTCCGTAGTCCTGGAAACAATGAGAACACTGTGGTGCTACCCGATAGAATGGATGGATTTGGGCGGAGTAGTGTCGGGTCCGTCAGCTCCTCCGAGCCTTGCGCGGACATAACTATCTCGTTGAACATGGCCATCGTCATGGTCGGCTTTGCAACAGGAGATGAGCTGCCAGGGAGGACATTCGACGTCTGTCTGCTCGTCGATAGTCGAACTTCCTGTGAGGTTGTTGAGATCTTGATGTCCGTCAATCAACCCTGTACCTTGCAGGCTAGTGTCTTGGCTGCCTGTTTCGGAAAGGTTCCACAATTCTAACTTAACCGCAAGGCCGGAATTATGATTGGCTTCCTCGAACGTCGAATCAGAATTCCGAGCCTTGTTGACCTGGCTCCCTTTTTGTGCCTTCAGGTTGAGCGATGGAGACCGAGCAAGACTAGTCAGTAGTCCTCGAAAGTTTGGCGTGCCGGACAGTCCACCTTGTATTGGGAAGGTAAATTGTTGATACCCGGACAGTACTTCATCCATGAAGTCATACGTTCTTGGACAACCCCTACTTGGTGAAAGCTGTGCCAAGGAAGTGGCCGGATTACGCAAGTCAATTGCCCAGTTGGAACCTTTCGACTGACCTTCACTCACCTGCGCCTCCACGCAAAACGAGTACGGTTTCGCCGATCTTTCCCATGGAAGCAGAGTGCTCTTTAGAGCTTCCCGTCATCATCTTTGCAGCCAACACTACACAGCAGGCTCTTAACAAATGTGCCATCAACAGTCATTCTGCACGTTATGCTCACTTGAAGCGCCGTCAAAGCGAGAAGAAACAGCATACGCCCGGCGATCCTAAGGGCAGTCATATAGTGCACCATCGAGACTATCCGGAGGAACTCAAGCATCAATGGACTCCTTCCGTCTCCGATTTGTGTCCAAATACGCTCGATCCTTTCATGACTACCGCTGTGAATATTGATAATGAAATTCGATATGTGCTTCTCGCCAATCGAGACTGGCTACTTTCATTTGCTGCCCGCCAGTATTCCACTCAGCACAAAGTACGAGGCCGGAACTACACTACTTGGTTTACCAAACAAGCAACAACAGCATTGAACGACGAATCAACCGCCTACGGTTGCATTGCACTTTACGCAAGTCGTGCCCGCTTCATCACGTCAAATCACCGGATGAACGCCTCCGTACTCGCATATCGAACCTTGGCCATGGCTGGGTTACAGAGGAACCTGGGGAGCGGCATAGTCGGTAAAGAAGAGGCTACATGCACGACAGTATACTTGTTGTATACCGCCGAGTTGACTGCCCAGGAATATTCAAGTGCCGCGTTTCATGCCCGATTCTTACGCTCTATCCTTCAGCCACCAAAGCCGTCACAGCGGAGCTTCAACCCCAACCCCGGCCTCATTAGAGGGATTTTGTGGCAGGATATTCACAGGGCAGTCTTTACCTATACTCGACCAATTCTTGATCTCGAGAGGTGGGAAGAGGATTTCCTTCCCAGAAGTTGTCTTCAAAGCATCAAAAGAAATTGTCGGAGCCTGGTTGGTGAACACCTACTTCCTCAACCTTCCGACTTACATATCGACTACCCTGCACTTCAAGATAACCGGATTCGCGAGATCTTGGAGGAGATTCGGTATTACTCCAAGATTGCCGGTGTACTGAGCAGTATCAGCAGTGTCAAGGCTGTCAAGTTGTTGAACGATATGTGCTCGCGGGGATTGATTATGGTCGGCCACTTGCTCAACGAGCAATTAGACTGGGAACGAGATGCGTCGGATGGGGTACTTGTTTGCTCTCCACGCTTATACGAGGATCGAATTGCCTGTATATGCGTCATGTTCTGGATTCGAACCATGCTCCAGTATGAGCGGCAGGCTCTTGATCGCAAGATGCTGGGACAATACTCGAAACACCTTGCGAGCAAAACCATGCTGAGTCGAATAAAAGATTACTTTGTGGCTACAGCGAACGACGCCTCTATCAACATCAGCGCACCATCTTCACGGTTCCGTCTTTGGTGTCTGTATGTCGGTGCTATTGCTGAACAGGACCTTATGGAGGCAGAGAATGTTTGGTTCGACGATTATCACAACATCGAGTTTGTTCGGCATGCAAAGATGATGGGTATACCTGACTGGAGTACCGTCAGGGATATTCTGACAGGATTCACCTACTTTGAGCCTATCGCTCCATATGCTGAGTTCTGGTTTGCGAGGTTCAACGCGACAGGATCCGTCGTGATGGAAGGGGGCTGCGGGTATACGCAATGCGCACAATCTGATGGTATCAGGGCCACGCAGAAGGAAGAAGAGGATATGTCGTTTCTCAATGCACGGCCCGACGAGCGGCATATCTATTTTCGCCTGGGTATCCTGGACTTTTAGCCGTAAGCATGTTATGAGAAGTCCAATTCCCTACATAGAGATACCACAAGTCCAGAAGTGGGAGCTTCCTTCTAATTCCTATTCCGGTGAAGTAAACCTTGGCCCTGGGTGTTGTGATACAAGTGTTCGGTGGTCCGTATTTGGACTTTGTTCGACGCCGACCAAAAGTGGAGCCTCGCTTATCTGTATTACAAAGACTCCTCCGCGTGCGGGACATCGGCCGTGCTAAGACACAGTTTTTACCCTTTTGAAAGAACGCACCTTCTGCAAAGGGAAGACGTGGTTGCGTACTCTCCGCTAAGTAGGCATAGAGTTTCTGACAGCCCCAACAATGTGGGACGACGGCTTCCGAAGTTTATTACTTATCGTTGTGCAAAATCTCCAACCAGGATATTGTAGCGACAACTAGGCCAAAACCGGAGAAAGGTGCATGCATCTATTTCAAGTGATTGTGATTCTGAAGGCATGAGCCAGAGAAGATTGCCTCATTGACATGTGGCCCAAATACAAACAGCACTCAGCCAAACGTCTTGACAGGTGAGAAGTCGGCCAGGCTTGTGGCAAAGGGTGCCCCAAAACGTCCCCCACGGACACTGCTCTCCTTGATACTCGAAACGAGAATCGAATTTTTAGTCAGCCGAATGAAATGTCCATGCAAGTCATGCGAAGAGAATCGTGGAAAGCTCTGAAACTCGACTTGCCGAAATTCTTCATCACAAGGCTCTCACGGCGGTCGATTACGCGGCCTGCACTTACTCGCCCAATCCGGTGCGGTGCGCTCAATGCCTGCCACTCTAGGCTACTGGAATTGTAAGTACACGCTGGGACTATGGATGATTTCAGTTCTTAGACACTGATGACCATTCATATTACTGTAGCAATTTCAATAGTCCTGACAGCATTTACTCTCGGCGTGGCAGCTCCACGACAAGTAGTTAATCTTGCTACGCCCCAGAATCGCTTTCGAAGCCTATCCCCAGATTTCACAACTTCCATCTGAATGCCGGATGACGCCATTCGAGATCTTGAGCTTGATCTTGAGCTTGATCCTGGTCCAGGCCAGCCAACTCGGCAGTACTCATCTCCCTCGTGTTTCTCCTTCCATTGTCGAATCTAACCCAGAGATGAAGGAGAACAGCAACTATCAGTGCGACACTCGATGTCGCCAAATTAGTACCGTTGCCAATACGGTACTTCGGGCTATCTCTTGGAAGCCACATCCATATTGAAATCAGTCCTCCACAGGTGCCCAGCATAATGTTGGTACCAATTGCGGCAGAACGTGCAGTGTCGGAAATAACGTTGGCTGAGATCTGAGCATCGCAAAGCGCGCCGTATGGGTACACCCCACTGGCAACGAAGAACAATGCCGCCCATCGTATTTGAGGGGTTTGAGTAGCCAGCAGCATGATATAGCCAACGATTATTGGCAGTGCCGCAAGGATGATGAAGATATTGCTTCGGTCCAGTCGCCAGCCAAGGAAGGGATAAAGGATCGTGAAGAAAGCACCGACAGCGTATGGCGGAACCGTACGGAGTTGCTGGGAGACTGTGCTGCTGTCCGGATATATGGTCCTGACAATAGTAGGAGCAAAGAATTGGAGGCCTCCAGCTGTCACATTGATGAGGAGGAAGATCAAGCCTGTGGTGATTGTGACCGGGTTGAAAATTCCCCGTCGCGACCTGGCAAAACTGATGTCGTCCAGGAACTCGGTCGACACAGGTCGCTCAGATTGCACACGACCAATTACAAAGGCCTTTTCCTCCTTTGACAGCCAGCGTGCCGACAAGGGACTGTCAAAGATGGTGAAAAAGCCGACAACTGAAAGACCGCAGAAGATAATGCCATCGACCATGAAGAGCATTCGCCAGCGATGGAACCTGCCGAAATGATCGAGCGACAGAATTCCGGAGGCTAGTAGGCCCCCAAAAGCACCTGCAAGTGGAGCCATGACGATGTAGAGCGACAGTCTCGAGCCGAATTCCTTCCTCGGATACCATCTTGAGAGATAGTACGCGATGCCTGGTAACATGCCGGCATCAAAAAGGCCAAAGAAGAACCGGACAACGCAGAGGGTGTGAATGTTGTTGCATACTGCTGTACATAGTGTGAGTAGACCGCAGCCCAGGGCGATCACTGGTAGCCAGAGGCGAGGACCGAGTCGTTTGCACAGCAAGGTGGATGGGATTCGGAAGATGATATAGGACGTATAGAACGCCGTCAAAACGATATTGTAGTTGTTACCTGTCAGATGTAGGTCTTCCTCCAAACCTGCGATCTTCGCATTGCCTGCTTGCCAATTAGCACGAAGGTTCTCCTGAGATCCTCCAAAGTGTTCATACTGACCGATGTTGGCACGACTGATGCAGCTGAATAGATATAGGATTGCAATTGGGGGGATTATATGCAGATCGACTTTGAGGCGCAGTCTCTTTTCTTCAGTGTGTCCAACCTTCGTAATAGGTCTTTCGGCGCTGGAACAGTGAATTATATCAGTATACAGATACTTCGACAACAGTATGATATAGACTTACCTATTTGTTGCCATTCGGTGATCCTCACCATGAACATGGACCCTCAGCTCGCTATCAGGTTTGGACAACACTCTCTGAGAAGACAGTCCTGCTATGTATTGAGTCTGCTCGTGCTCCGAGAAACTCTTGTCTCGCAATGCCATGGTGACTTCTGAGACTATGACGGCAGGGGCCTGACTGCGAGTGCCAGGAGAAGTCATGGATCAGGTATTAGTAATATCCACAGCCCTTGCAGAATCAATGATGAACAGGGTCGACGGGCCGGGGGGAGTGACGAACGCGTTGAGCCGTTTCAGTCAAAAGTACTAATAACGCATCGCCATATAAGGCTCCACACTCTATATGGTATAAACTTCGATCTAGATAAAGTAGTGGTGGCCTGATCGAGGAAGGCATCTATGGGAACAGTCAGTGACAAGAATCACAGTCGTTGGGGCAATTAGTCAGGTGGGTCCCGCTGATCTAATGCCAGTGCAGTTTTGGTTGAGATTCGCGAAGTTGAGGTAACCCTTCCACAGGCAACATTCGTTTGCTGTCTAATTTTATCCTGGACTCAGAGGTGACACCACCACATAGGCGTTCCTGGTAGGGGACTAAGGCTGGATCACTGAGATCCATCCCATAGACGCCGTGGTCTAAGTAAGTCTGGCAAGGAAAAGCGACGGACGGTCTTTGCTATATCTTTTTCGATTTGATACACTTTGGATGCTGTCTTAGACCATGCGATGGACCGTCGAAATTCACACATGACCAACGAGCTCAAACATGATAATTTTACAGCCTTGCCGCACGTGTCGATTATCACCATGTATTGTATAGATAAACTTGAAGTACAAGAGCAATGGAAGAATGTAGTAGACCTGGTCGAGGTTATGGTTGAAGGGCTAGGGAGGCCGTGGGGATGCCTATTAAGCTTACAGAAGGGTGTGCTTGGAGGCATCTTATTTTTGGGGTCTCGTCCTGATCCTGACTTTCGTCTCCCCGCTGCCACTCCCTATCAAATTCGAGAAACTGTTGTTGCTATTCTCTTACTGTGTGAGAATGAGCTCGATGATCTCGGATCTTTGCCTTCTGATCCCTGAAAGATACATTGATATTGGCGCCCCGTGACGCTGTTTCGAGTTTAAGCCTGTGTCCCGTTCGCGTGGGTTGCTTCCAGCTTTTGTTCAAGGACATCCAATTTCGAGACTCTCCTGAATGTCGAATCAAACACACTCACCGGCAAGATAGACGCCAATCTGACCCGAGAAGCATATGTTCCTCGCCAGATGATGTTAGGCGGCGTGGGTTTATTCAGATCAGTGACGACGTTTCCGGCCCATATCATCGGATCCTGTGCGTTCATAATCATGTCGTCGCCCTTTGAAAACTTTGCAATCTCTTCATGGATGGGTGTATAGGGAGATCCTGGCGGTAACTGACAGACGGGATCGTTTTCGTGAATGTTGGTCTTCACTGCACCGGTTTTCAATTCGATCACTTCGATGCCGAACGGTGCCAGCTCGAGGCGGAGGTCGTGGACGAGCATTGCTGCTGCGGCCTTCGAAGTGTTGTAGGCACTGAAAAAGGGAGCACCTCCGATGCTGCTGACGGAGGTCTGATTTACAAGAAGAGCACACCCGTTCATTCGGGCAGCTTGTTGCAGAAGCGGAAAGAATATCTGTGACATCCGGAGAATGGCCCAGAAGTTCAGATCGAACACTTGCTTCGCCTCCGCAATCGATAGATCGGTGAGTGGCATACAGAAGGACCGGCCGGCATTGTTGACTAGGATGTCGAGTGAACCACCAGTCAATGAGGAGACCTGGCGCACACAAGCCAGGATAGAATCCTCGGATGCAACGTCAAGCAGAAGGGTTTCGATTCCTGCGGTTATCAAGGAGGCCATCTTTGCGGGATCCCGCGCTGTTGCGAGCACGCGGTCACCTCTGCAGTGAAACTCTTTGGCGAGGGCTGCTCCCATACCGCCATCGGAGCAGCCTGTGATGAGGACGGTGCGAGGCATCACTTGCAATGAGTTGCGAGTACCTTGGATAGTGGGAAGCTCTGAAGATAGAGATCACGTTCAGAAAGCCACTGAGTGATGAAAGAGATTCATTTCCACTTCTGATACTGATTTATAGTACATTAGGCTTCAAGCAACAAAGGCTGAAGTCTTGCTTCAGGGTGCATTTTGCCATAGTATGCCAGGGATAGGGCCGTCTCGCATGAATTCCACGATGTAATACCCTCTACGGCCTAGCCTCTTGCTAGAGAGACTTGGTATAATGCCCAAAAGAGATAAGGAGTAGGAACTAATAGCATGTAATACTCCAAAGGTACTAATGTAATGCCCAAGAAGGTTTAACGTGGTGGAATAGGGTTTGGTAAATGCACTTCACCCGGCGTTTCACGGCCAACACTCGAAGCTCTTTCTTATCATCCTTATAATTTTCATTCGGTCGGACTCGGATGATCAGAATTAATAATCGACTTGTGGCCTCCACTCAACGCCCAGAGCGTAACTGACCCGGAAGTCCAATCACCCATTAAGTAGAGTACGGTCAACTGCGGCGATGCTGGCCAGGCACAATTCGACTCAATTCGTCCCACATGAGGGTGAATGTAATGCCTGTTGAGGCTGATCCGATCCGACATATCACGTAATTTTCTCCTCCAGCACCTCATTATTGTAATAGCTGAAAAGGGTATTACTTAGAATTTCGGATAACGTCGAACTTCAGTCTCAGGCTCTCAGCGCATGACCTGGAAAGGCGTATCAAAATCGAAGAGATGTCAACCTTAGGTAAACAGGAGTGTGACTTCATCAATGTCACCGGCGAACCTGATAAGGGGCGCGATGCACGACGACTTCATGTTCGGCGGACAGTAATGACAAACTATCACAAGCGCAAATGCCAAAAGAAGACACTCTGGCCCAGAGAGGACAACACAGAAACTTCGCAAGTTACGACACAAGCAGCCCGACCGACATCAGCTTGCCAACTGAATACCTCATCGACGGACCCAATAAGGGGAGACATATCCCTGGCAGTGGCTTCGAGCTCCTTCCAGCTCAAAACGAACACTAGCCCTATGCACTCCCGGACGTGTCCGATCATCATCAGATTTTTATCTGGGCAGGTCATCAAGGCAGTGCGGACTCTTCACTATGTTAGCTTTATCCATCATAACATGCCCGAAGCGTATGATCGATTGGACGATCCTCTCATGGCATGCAGGGAGGTCTTATGCAGCCACTACAGCTCCAAAACTCCCCACTTGCCAACGCTCTGGCACAAAGTGTCCATAGCACAGGAGCATATCTACGGGACAGTACGTCTTGCATTCCTGCTCAATTCTAGCCTGACCTGAGAAGGGGACATGTCATCTGATCTAACGATTTTCTCTCACAGTGTGTCGACTTTGACAAGTGGCAGCTTCTTTCCTCCGCTCAAGCCATAACACTATATATATTAGCCCGCTTCAGAGATTCGACGATTGATGGTGTGTTTCCAGGTATGGACATTGCCTTGTTGTACACTCTGGGGGTAAGTACCGCATATTGCTCGTAGTACGAGTCGTCGTTCTACATTCCGCGTCTACATGTGGTAACACATCTGACTCTGAAGACAGAAACTCTTCCAGCTTATCAAAGATAGTCATATGCATGGCAGGATCCGCACCCACAAACGTGGTCCGCATCCTAATCCCACGTCTCATTGGAAGGACTGGATCTTCCATGAATCAGTCAATCGCACAGCGATCATATATTTTCTATTGAAACTCGTTGCATCTATCGATTTTGGTATCGACTGTGATGAACATAGCGACTGGAGTATCGAAGGCATGCTGCTCCCAAGTGCCAAAGCGTTCTGGGAGGCCCGAGACGAGGTGACTTGGAAAACATGGGCATGTGTTGATGGTGATGGCGATCAACCACTGCCGGCGTTGCGGATTGGCAACTTAGTGGGTACAGGCGTCGGCAGCTCTCAGAAAGCGCAGATAGCAGCATGGCAAGAGGAGTCATGCGAATTTGGTATGGTTGTGATGCTGGCTAGCCAACTGTTGATGGACAGTTTTACAGATATCTCCAATCAATAGGGCTGAGGCAATGACAGACAGCGTAACATCAAGCATGGTCATAGAGCCGAGATGGCAACTACATAAGTGCAAGCACAGAATTAATCTTGGAACAGGCTTGCAAAATCAGCGGACGGTTCATGGTTGACACCTTGCTACGAGGGTGAGCCCATAACGGCACAAATAACAGGCGGACCCGGATGCTTTCCCGACTTGCACAACGTCCTCAGCATCTTCTCCAGCCTCATTTGGTATGAATTATGTAGAGCCTTCATGGCCAAGGCCGCTTCTGATTGTGTGGGATATCGAGGCACGGACTGTTCGTATAAGGGGTCATTATTACTGAGGTGGCCCACTGCTAGTGGTCTCTGGTCGGCCACGAATTGTGGGTTTCGATCAATGTAGTGATCGTCACTCCCCATTCTGTAGTCGCGCGGACGGGGAAAAGGAGCAGAAGAGCCTATATAGTCGCGTGTGTTTTGGTGGGACCACATCGATCCCTCCTCATCATTGTGGCCCATATGGTAGTCTGGTCCATCGTCACAGAGGACAGCGGGGGTGATCTTACTGCTGGCGCGGTCGGAGCCAGGTGAAGGTTCGGCAGGTAACGAACGATGTCATTAGTGTTCGGTCGAGTTGAGGCGTCTTAATGAAGGGAATTTTGAGTTGCCTCAATGAGTGTGCGATAAGTATCAACAGGTAAGCCACCCGCCTGCCCTGATGTGAAGGGAGCAGCATTGCGGAGGGCGTTTGACTCCGTCGTCCATTCCGCAAGTGGAGGGAAGCGTGGGCGACCTTCGTCGTTGATAGTCACTTGAGCCAGAGCTCTGGTTTTGTCCAGCGCGCGGTCATCGTGAGGCAGTAGAGAAGCCGACGCGTTGAGGATGAGGTTCATCTCCACACCGTTATATTTGTTAATGAGAATTGCAAGGCTCGCATCGTCGGAGGGATTTTGAGCCAAGAGTGAGAGGCCATTGCTTCTTCTCTCTTTCAATTTGGGACTGGAATTTTGACAAGCTACAGTATTGTGAACGCGGCCGATTTTCTTTGTCCCACTTATTCTCTCGATCATTTGAACGTGGCAACAGGGCTCCTATATGTGTCTCGAATAGGCTGTGGCGACGTTCAGTCTAGGCAGTCTCTCTCAGTGGCATCGACGTACGAGGTGAAACCGGCTGGAGAACCTGGAACATGATTCTATACAAATTGCCTTACCTGCAAGCGTCTGGTACCTTACAGTTGAGGTTCCCGATGATTAGCCGACATGTCACTTCCCCGCGTGTGGGCGGCTTTCAAGGCGGCATGGATTGGGTGAGCGCCCGCCTAAGTTAAGGCTGGACCACCTGTTACGAGTACACTGGTCGTGTTGCTGATCAACAGAAAGACCGTAAGCACGGCCTCCGCAGCCTGATCTACCTCAGCTCCCCAGTTGCTTGATGTACAACCCATACAGGTAATTCATAGACTGCTCCTCATTGAACAGAACCAAATACCAAACCAAGTCGCAACACAGCAGTGTCCGCCGGAAGACCTCATACCTGCCTTGTTTCGTCCCAGTAGCGCCCACCATGGCAGCGACCACGACTAGCAACTCCCCGGACAAAGCCTTCCTCGACAAGTTCATCTCCCTCCTCTCCCGCTCCTACCTCACCACTCCTCTGACCACCGCCTTCATTACCGAGATCGACCACACTCCGTCCTCAGCGAACCGCGCCGACGTCATTACTCCCCAGCGCCTGACCAAGCACTTCACGCTGGGCATCACAGCCGCATCCAAGAGCAATGTCGTACTCATTGAAAACGACAACTTCACGGCTGCCGCACTCTGGGAACCTCCTGACTTCTGCGGTATCCCGCCGTCGCAGGCAAGACGCGATCCTGGCCCGATCTTACAAGAATTCAGAGGCGCAGCCCGAAGACTGAAGGCCAAATATCTGTCGTTGCCTGACCAAGGACCGCACAGCTACGACCAGCCCGCCGCGCCGAGTCAATCGTCTGGTGGACCGTCAGAGGATCCATATCCTGCGGACTTCAACAAAGATGTTGATTTCGAGACACGTCCATTCTACCATCTTGCCATACTAGCGAGGGATCCTGAGGTGGACCCGCAAAAGAGCTTTGCAGCGGCCAAGGCGTGTCTGGAGCCGTTCATGAAGAAAGCAAAGGAAGAGGAGGTGCCGGTGTGGCTGGAGACGGCGAGCGAGGCGTCGAAAAAGGAATATGAAGACTTGGGCTTCAAGGTTTGTGAAGAGGTCATTATTGGAAAAGGTAGAGTGGATTCCAACGGCTGGCCACAGGAAGGCGGCCAAGGGGTTTTAACGTGGGCCATGATCTATGATGAACATCTGAATTGAGTCTATCTCAATATAATGCCAATCCATCACCTTGGTGGACTATCATATCTGGACGGTTCGTTCTCTCGTTCGCCAGCACTTGAATTGGCTTAGTGGCAACCATCTTTATCGCATTGCAGTTGCGTCTCGTCGAACGTCAAAACACCGTCACCATTCGCATCATGCATGGCGAACTTGGCGAGTACGTACTGCCCGTACTGCCCTCCAGTCTCCGTGTCTGGGACGTTGAAGAATCCCAGATATTGCTCCTTCGAGACCACCGACGTGCCGTTGATTTGTAGGCCACCACTTACGTCCTCGAAAAGTAGGATTTGATCAGCCAGAGCATCCCGCTCTTCCAGTGATGGATAACCGACGGCTGGGAAACCAAAAGGTGGAGGGTTGGTGGGTCGAGGAGACATGGTTGGTCTTTCCGATGGGATTGTCATAGTGGCTTGGTCAACAGCGCGCTTGACCGTGTTGACACCACTAACTACCGTCTTTTTACTCGACATTGTCACTGTCACCGTCGATTGGCCACCACCAACTACCGTGTTGTAACTCGACAATGTCACTGTCACCGTCGATTGTTCCCTATTTGGTGGTGGTAAAACGGTCAAGAGATGGTTACCTTCACGGCAGGTCCACGTCTCTTGTCCCTTGACCGGGTCCGATGGGGCGGTGATGGTAGTTACGTACGTGGTGCCACTGTAGTCGACTGTAGATTGGATGACTGTAGCTGTCCATGGAGTCAGGTTATGGGAATACTAAAGCAAGAGCCACCTTTGACTTACCACCTTTACACGCGCAGCAGAAAGCGTTGCACTTTCCGTAGCCACAGCAAGGAGTTTGAGGAGTATCGTCCCAGCATAGATCAGGCCATGTCTTTCCCCTTCTATCGCAGCATTTGGCATCCGCTGGTGGCAAGGTGAAGGAGACGAATAGGAGGATAACATTCAAAAAGGTGAGCTGATGCATCTCGAGGCGCGATCAAGTGGTTCACTGAAAGTGAGGGTTGCGTTCGTAGATGGTCGAATCTTGCTAGAGAGAGGTAGAAAGGACAAGTTGTGAAATTGGGAAGAGCTTCTCATATTATAGGGAAGACCTGTGTGAGTTTTCATTGTCTGGTCGATCGTCATGACACGACAAGACGGCTTCGTGGGTGATCAGGGAGCATTGGCTGCGTTGAACACAGATTCCCATGACCTTGCAGAGCTTATCCCAGTCCATGCCTCGGTCACCCTATTGAATCGAGATGATTCCCATGGGGCTCAGCGAGAACCAAAGAGTCGCTCAGCGGTAGCTTGAATCTTAACGGCAGCAAACATTGACCTACGACAGCCGCAGCATCTTAGTCTTGAAAGTTTGAGGAAGAAATGCCATACTTGACGGCTGGGCAAAGACTTCCAACTCGAATCGAATGAGCAAACCACTCCACACGATCGATTCTTATAAGCATCAAAGAAAGGCAATCCGATTTAGAGAGACAACTGTGTCTTTTCCAGGTTTTGGACAAGACTCTTCATATTGGCACCACAGGTTGGAGAGCTCTGAGGCTCTGAGCCAGTCCAGTACCATGGTTACGATCGAAGCCGCAAAAGTATTGACAAATTTGTTTCATGGTCGAGGGTGGGGGAGTCTTGAAGAAAGAGTGGATGAAGTCGTCGGATGAAGTGAAGTGGCTCTTGAGCAAATGCTCCTCACATGCCAAGGCGAGGAAAATCGACGCCCAGCGCATGTGCTCACCCCCGGTTGCAATTCCAGGGCCGCTATGCCAGCCCTAATAGTTTAGTAGGCTGCTGGAAAGCAATGCCTCCATGACTTGCCTACAGCTTCCCCAAGGTTTCCAATGACGTCTTCTCCCTTTTCTCATTCTTGTTCCACATCTCATCCCTCGCCTCCTTTATCGCCCTAACGCCATCTATCCTGGCCTGTAGTTCCCAAAGAAGGCCCTGGCCCCACTGTCTTAATTGAAGCTCGTCCGCCAACGTCAGGTCAGGCTTCAGCTGATCCCAGGGCCTCTCAGAGAACCGCCTTAGAGGGCCGAGGGCATTGATTTCTTTGTGATTCCAGCCTTCTCTCAGCATACCCTCGTACACGATTCCGTCGAAGTCATTATCGAGAGCTGAGAGGCAGTGCGGGCAGGCCCATTGTTCAATATCTGGATCGTTCTCATGTTTGCGGAGACACGGTCCGGAGCGGGATGGGGAGGAAGAGGTGGCTTTGGTCGTGGGATCCACTGGTGCGAAAGATGGTGCCGCGGACAGACCTTCCTTAGCACCTCTGTCCCCCATGCTGTTCTCCTTTTCTGCAAGCCTGGCCTCGTGGATCTCTCGGGTGGCATTGATCCGAGCCTGTAGCTCATATATACAATTGAATCGGAAAGCGCGACGCTGGGAGTTCGTTGACAAGGTTGGTTCTGGAGCCAACTCGGCCATAGTTCGCTGTGCGAAACGCCGCACTGGCTCAGCGGCTTTGATTTCGGATGCAGTCCAGCCTTCGCGAAGCATTACTCTGCGAAGAGTGGTGTCGAAGTCGAGGTTGATATTTTCCGCGCAGGCTGAACAGAGCCATTGGGCGTGCTTTGCGTCTGCGAGGAATTCACAACTGTGGAATGGTATCTCGGGATCCATGGTAGGTGAAGTGGTCTGGGAAGCGCTCTCTTGGATGGCTGATCCGTCGTATACCTCAATGCTGAGGGTGAGAGTTGCGGCGGACTGTTACAGAGAGTTGCGGCGGACTGTTACAGAGAGTGTCGTGTCAGGATGATTCTGACATGCAATCAGTGCTATGTTTAGTTGAAGAGTAGTTTGATGTCAATAGGAAAAGCTTGACGAGCGAGCCATTGTGAGAGAGACGCGCACTCTTATATCTGGTTTACTTGTGCCGAGTCCAGTCAACAATGTGTGCCAATGGCATCTCTTTGACAAGTCAAAAATTGGGACCGGTATTGTACCGTCATTTGCGATGAACCCTCGCGCTCCTATTGGCAAGTTTTCGCCGTAGCCTTGAAATTTACGATCAATTACATATGCGTTACGCTGAGTTGGCCCGTACCTATCATTCCAACAAATTCCACTCAGGCAGTAGCCTTGGGCCAGTCATTGTAGTTCTCATCTGGCGTGTTGTACGGACCATAATAAACACTGTCATCTCGGTCGTTCTTAGCGAACGGAACTCCCTTTCTGATGCGGTTGACCGGGTCCTGCCAACTCATCAGTCAATGTCCCACGGTTCGTGCATCGTAACGTACCGGGTTGTAGATGTACGGTCTTCCGATCTGAAGCAGATCAATCTTACCCTCTTTGATCAGCTGATCAGCTTCTTCGACATCATAGTCCTGGTTGACCATAAGCGTCGTCTGGCTGCCAGGATACTTGACCAGACCGCCGAAGTCCAGGACTGGATCATACATTGGCGGCAACAAATATCCTTCTGGTCGCGGAAAACTAAACTCGGTTTCGGCACCTATGTTGGCCCCACGTCGACAAATGGTTATGAAGCCTAATTTCCGCTCTACTAACTTCTTGATCAAATAGGTGTATGTCTCTTGCATTTCCTCGAACGTGACCATGGAGTCGTTGAGGCTGTCGGTAGGACAGATCTTGACACCGATAAATTCAGGGCCACCAAAATCTTCGCTAAGAGCATCGGCAAGCTCAAGGTTGAAGCGACAGCGGTTCTCGACAGAGCCCCCGTAGGCGTCAGTCCGTTTGTTGGCGCGCCTGCAGTCAGAGTCTTAGCATTCCGAGGAAGAGATTGACCAACAGCAACGTTGCCCTTACGAGATCAAGAATTGATGTGGTAGGTAGCCGCTTTCAATGGAGTCAGTATGGACCGTGTTCAAGGAAGGACGTCGGGTATGTACCCTTGAATGATAAACTCGATGCCGTCGAAGCCAGCCTTCTTAGCCAACAGGGCTGAACGCCGATACGTATCTATAAGATCTCGGGGGTTCTCGATGGCATGCACGTTGGTGGTATGACCCTACGATTTCTCGATCAGTGGAGCCCATGCTGCAGAAGAAGAGGTCGAACCGGCATGCCAGGTAAGTCGTGGTATTTACCGTATTTGGCAGGAATAGCAGATGGTGCAAAGACCGCGCGACCTGTCTCTTTCATTATAGGCATCTGCTCGTTTTGACATCGTCCTGTGTGAAGTCATAGTACAGCAGATCCAACTTGCATTGTATTTTCGGGTAGCCACATACCTGGATGCCATGCCTGGAAGAACATCAATGCTCCTTCCTTGTGGACCGCATCGACAACTGTCCGCCATGCTTGGGCATGATCATCGGTGATCATGAAAGGGGCATGCTTCCAGTCTGTACCGGCCCAGTCGACGAGGATGCCTTCGCTCACTATGATGCCAGCACCATCTCGAGCTCTATCAGTGTAATACTTGACTTGAGCTGGACCAGGCTTGAAGGAGTCAACGCATCGATTCCGCGTAAGTGCGGCCATGACGACTCGGCTCCGCAGCTTGCAGCCATTTGCAGTGGTGAAGGGCTCGATGAGGGATGACATGGCTAAGGAAAGGTGACTACTGCTGGCAGCAAAATAGCACGACTGAGGTAAGCACTGAATCTAGAGGTTCTAAGCTCTAAAATCGAAGGAGACAGATAGTATAACCCGCCATTGACGACCTTTCGAAATACTTATGCCTTCATATAGGAAGCACCAGTATTCCCGATTAGGAGACCTGATGGTTCCACCAGCCCCTAGCGTGCGGAATAACTGCCAATCATTATGAACATTCCATTCCCGAAAACCCAGCAATGCCGCGAAAGCCGACGTCAGCCGGTTCTGACTAATGACACTGCGGCTTTTCTCTGAGGCTTGTTCTAGTTCGTTATTTTGTCCTTGAGACATATTTTATCTCACCATCTCCGATATTCGCGTACGATCGTTGGCTGACAATGCGAATCCCGACGGCATGCGCTCAATGCCGGCGAGCCAAGCGCCGATGCATCCGCCTCAAGGCCAGTGACACGTGTGGTTCGTGTCAACAACGACAATGGCCTTGCGAAGGAAAGCTTCAGACTCAACCTGTGGCTCAGCGACCGCTGGTTCCTCGATCAATTGCTACCGCGAGCCCGCCCAGAGGGTCCTCACAGAATTGTGGACGTCAGACAAGACCAAGACCGGACCTGTCACTGGGTACAGCAATTGAGCTTGTTGACCTCTACCTGGAGAAGTTTCATGGCCGACCCCATAGTCTTTTTCATCCAGGAACTCTCCGGTCCCAAGTACGCACGGGCACCCTCCAAGATGCCTTGTTGTACGCCATCTGTGCCATAGGATGCAAATTCTCGGCAAATCCTGACACGCGTAGCCGGGGCCCTGACTTGATAATGGAAGCGAAGCATTTGCTGCAGGCGGACATCTCGAACATATGTCTTGACAACATACAAGCTTGCATGTTGATTACAACGCTAAGTGTTGGCCACGGCGACAGTCCATCGGCAGCACTATTCTTCCGTATGTGTGCCATTGCTCGAATGCTGTGAACATGAGTATTGGATCTGTCAGTTGCTAACAGCTTGTATCAGGTATCGCCACTGCCATGGCTGAGGTCATGGGCCTTAATACTCCTGTTGCAGAAGGCTCTGTCATGGACCGCGAGGTCAGACGACGGGTTTGGTGGTCACTTTACCTAAGTGGCATGTGGTGCATGATCGGACAAGGCCTACACAGCCAACTTAGCGACGTCCGGGTGAGAATAGAGTTGCCAGTCAACGATAGGACCTTCATGTCACTACACTCTGAGCAAACCACCATTATTTTCCCGCTCGAACATGGGATATGGGCACAGATGATGACACTTGTCCCGCTGTTTGAGCCAATCCACAACATCAATCTTCATGTCGCTAAAGGCGAGTCCCATACCACCGGACTAGACCAACGGGTCGATCAGCTTGCCCAGAAGCTGGAAGATTGGAAAAATAGCTTGCCTCTCGATGCTCAGATGAATCAAGAGAATCTTCATCCTCAACAGAAAAGAGGTCTCGGTGGGCTTTTAATCTCGATACACCTGGCATATCATCATTATTCGACGCTCCTCTATTTTCGATATCTTGAAGTTCGGCGGCCAGCATCTTCGACCGATCGTACATACATCGCACGCTGCAAGACACACGCTTCATCCTTCAGCTCCCTGTTGAGCGTTTCGCGGCAATTGAAAGGCTGTGACGTGGTACATCCTACTGTTGGCCACATGGCAACAGTCTCCTCATCCGTTCTAGTCCACACTCTTCTCTTTGGTGAGCTGGACGAACTTGAGACAGTGCGTCAGGAACTCAACGCGAATTTTGAGGCACTTACAGAACTCGCGCAATACTGGCCCGCGACATCTGCAATGGTATGTGCCGTACATCGAAGATTCAGAATGAAGTCTAGCGTTTGAGACGCTCCCCCTACTAACGAGCACACAGATCGAAAGCCTGGTTGCCTTTCAAGACATGTGTCTCCTGTCTACTGAGTCAGGGACACACAAAATCGATGGATGGATGTTGAGTTTCTTGACAGAGCATTCTTTGGATGTTGCGGCAAAGAAGACGCGGCTGGTTCCCTTCAACTCCAGTGCAGATCTGGAAAAGATGTCGTTGAAAGCTAAGGAATATGAGAAACAGGGGCGATATCCGAATTTTCGAAGTCTGTAGGGGCTCATGAAGGTATACTGGAGAAACTAGTTGAGCCATGTCATGTCTTACTCCTCGAGCTTGCGTTGTCCGAGTATAATTCGGCATCCTTCGTCGACTTGGACATCCAAATCACAATGATGACAACGATTATGTGAGCCTGAATCACTGATCGTTCTTATTGTGGTAGGAACGATCTCGCGTGAAGGGAAGCTTCTCGCGTCGTGGGCTTCAGATTCAAGAACAGCTACAGTGCTAGAGTATAAGGTCGTTCGAGATATACCTGTGTAGTTGGGGAAGGAGGCGGCGTGGCCTTCCTGAGTCGTTCTAGCGGGGCTCGTCAAAGTGGGGGTCATCAGAGCCGCGCCTTCCCAAAGCTGGGAGAAGGGGTCCTCCTGGCCCTTGGATCTTGGAGGTCGGGCAACACTGTGTAGAACGGTTCGAGGTAGATCGTGAACCTGTTGTTGAAAGGGCGTGCAAGGCCAAGATAAATATATGAGGAGATCAAGCACATGTTGTTAAACGGGACATCTCCGGTAATGGCGCTGTTGATCATGATGAACATTTAGCCAGCTCGGCTCCTCCGAGTCTTATCGCGTATCTTGTATGTACAGCACGACCGAGCATCTCCGCATTCTCCAAAGGCCTGATTGAGGGCCGAATGGTCGTTGAAATCCGTGGTTCATATAACAGGTCTTGCAAACCTACAGGATTACTTGTGTCGATATTGACCGTCGACCATCCCTGCATGACACTGACAATTCAGAGAAAGGACGAAGACTCATAATGGCTCCAGACTCAAAGCCACAGGCCAGCGTGCACACTATCGACCCGTATCGCCTGTTCGACTCACGCCCGGTCTTCTCGCATGTCGCAACGTCAACAGGCCCAACCCGTATCGTCGCAACAGCTGGCCAAGTCGGCGCCGACGAGCATGGCAAAGTCCCCAAGGATATCGACGAGCAAATTGATCTGGCTATGAGAAATCTAGGCCGGTGCCTCGAAGCCGCTGGCGCTACACCAGCAGACGTCTTCAAGCTGGTCTACTATATCGTCGACTACGACCCGAATAACCGCCGACACACCAAGCATGTGAAAGCATTCCTGAATGGTCACCGCCCAGCGACGACATTGGTTCCGGTGCCTGCATTGGCGGCTCCCGACTATAAGTTCGAGATCGAAGCCTATGCTGCAGTCAGACAGGAGCCGCTCCGAAGCGTGGAGGTGGTCGTTGTTGGTGGTGGTCTAAGTGGTTTAAAGACTGCGTACGACCTGCAACGAGCCGGCGTTTCTTGCGTCGTTGTAGAAGCTCGCGACCGCGTTGGAGGCAAGACGTGGTCCGTCGATCCAACTGGGCAAGGCAAGTTCGTGGATGTGGGCGCTGCATGGATCAACGACACGAATCAGTCCAAGATCTATGAGCTCGCCAAATTTCTTAAGCTGGAAATGGTCATGCAGAAAACGGATGGCAACATCATCCAGGAAGATCTCGGCGGCGGACTGGGTGTGTTCGAGTACGGTGGCACACCCAAGGCTCTGGCCGAGAAGGATGGTGTTGAGAGTATGGTGTTCATCCGCGAATTGTTTGAGAAGCTATGTCAGGAGTTGGATATCGTAGATCCTGTCGGTACCGGTGGTCAGTTCGACAAGATGACCTTGGAAGAGTGGTGCAAGAAAGAGACGAAGTCGGAAACGGCGTTTGCAACCGTGACGTTGTGGACGAGAGCGATGCTGGGTCTGGAGCCCAGGGAGATGAGTGCTCTTTACTTCCTGAACTATTGCAAGAGTGGTGGTGGGTTGTTGCAGATGCGGTCGGATTTCAAGCATGGCGGACAGCACCTCAGGTTCATCAGGGGTAAGACTGCTGCATCCTACCCTACAACGAGAGACTGACTTTCCCTGCAGGCACTCAATCAATGTCAATCGAATTGGCAAAATTGTTGACACCAGGCACAGTCATCCTCAACTCACCTGTTCGCCACATCTCGCAATCTCCTGAAGGAATATATGTCTCTGCAGGTCGGGGAGACTTCAAGTGTCAGCGGGTAGTCGTTTCAGTGCCAACACCCCTGTACAAAGACATCACATTCGACCCACCTTTGCCCGAAGCCAAGGTCGAAATTGGCCAGAACAACGTTCTTGGATACACATTGAAGGTATTGGTGTTGTACAAGGAACCTTGGTGGCGCAAAGCCGGACTAGTCGGAGCCGTCATGTCGTTCGTTGGGCCAATTACCACTTGCCGCGACACAAGCAACGACGAGAAGGGTGAATATTCTTTGACGTGCTTCACCAACGGCGACTTTGGGCGGAAGATGTCCCTTCTTCCGCAACAAGAGAGGCACAACAACATTCTGGCGCACATCAAACGTATGTTTGGGAAATATGCTGATGTGCAAGATCCAATTGCCATCACGGAGCATGAGTGGTCCAAGGATCAGTGGGCACAAGGCTGTCCTTGTCCTGCATCGCCGCCGGGAATCATGACCAAGTACGACAAGGAGCTCAGGACAACCCATGGAAAGGTGCATTTTGTCGGGACAGAAACTGCATATGAATGGAAGGGGTATATGGACGGTGCAGTGAGATCTGGCGAAAGGGGTGCAAAGGAGATTATTGCTGCTCTGGGGCGGGCTAAGTTGTAGATAGCAGCACTAGAACCGACCTACCGGAGGCACATCCCTTAGTTCTCAGCCTCGCAACAATTTTATCAACAGCAAGCAAGTCAATTCGGGATTTCTTCAATGAATCATGACACGATATATGGAGAAAAGTGCTCGATGATAATGTCACGTGTTGCTTACCACTGTTCTTGGTCTAATTGGACATCGAGATATGGGGGAGATTTCATCTTCTCCTCTTTTGTGCATTGGCGTCGGCGCGCCTGAAATGCCAGATCGGACTCCGCCATCGCGTCTTTCTGGCCCTTTTCGTGTCCCTAATTTCTAATTATATGCACCATCAGGACACCTTCAATATCGACTCGTCTGCTCCTTTTGACTCTTTTGAATTCCTGAGTAATTTCTACCCTACGACTCTTTACACCTCGGAGGCTCATACCAGCCCAGAACATCATTCGTCATGGTCTACTCAACCACTCTCCAGAGCAAGTTCGCTCACAAGGTCGGCGAGCCTGTCCCTGAATTCAACTCCGAGTAAGACTTCGCACATCCATCCCCAGCATCAATCAAAGAAGTGCACAAACATGGGAGATTCAATGCTAATCCATCACCAGTCATCCTATCCACCCAGCCCTGGTGCACTTCCCCATCGCCTTCAACATCCTCGCATGGAGTCTTGACATCCTCTATGCCCTGACCTCCGTCTGGGTCCGCCCTGCCTTCCTTACTACCCGCTTCGGCTCGACCTCGACATTGCTCGACATCTCCCGTCTATCCTACTTTCTTCTATGCGCAGGCCTCATCAGCACAGTCCCTGCCATCATGTCTGGCAACATCCAACTCGTCGGCATGATCAAGAAGAATGGCGGCCCCTGGGAAAAGGACGCTACGGGAAAAGCAAAGGACACAATGGTACCTCGTATCAAGGCTGCCATCACCCACGCCATCATCAATGATATCGTCTTCGTGGTCGGCCTGTACAGCTGGTACCTGCGCAAGGACAAGACTGCCGCGCCCAACCCTGGCAAGATACCCACCAACACAAACTTGATCCTCAGCATGGTCTTGATTCCCCTGCTGTTCTCATCTGCAAAGATTGGCGGCGTGCTTGTGTACAACCATGGTGTCGGCCTGAACTTGGGCAGGAAGAAGTTTGAGTAGACTCCAGAAGGAGGCTGGCTTCAAGTCACGATAGCGAGACGGAATCAAGTGCCTGGCGCTCGGCAGGGTGCTGGGGCGCCCAGTGTGATGCACGCTCTAAGACTATGCGGCACAGCAGGGTGTGCTATGGTGGCGAAAAATCATAATTTGCTTGAGGAGGGGCGCGATAAACTGGTGTCTGAGCCCATTGGCGGCATAGTCGACGGCTGGCCATGTCAGGTGAAGGAAAGCAGTGCTTCAGATGACTACATTTGTGGAATCGTTCAGACTAAGACCAAACGGAGCGCCTATTTCCTTATATTTGTGCGATATGTCATACTGCAGAACTGACCTTTCAGTTATGTATTCATTATATTTTTGAAATCTCGCCGTTATGCTCGGAGTGATCAATAATCTTTCAGAGGACACCCCTTCTCGACGCTCTCCGATCCAAACTTCTCCTTCACAATCTCCCTCGTCAGCTTCATCAACTGCTCCCCCAACTGCTTATTTCGTGCCAACTCACTTCCGGGCTCCGGGGTTGCCGGCGGACAAATATATTCTCCTGACTTCTCCGTCGCAGATGCGGCATACACGGTACTTACACATCCCATCCAGATGTCCTTCTTAAGCGGCTTCATGGCGACTGACATTGCGTACCCGCGCACGGGGTATGGCTCGTGGATATCTTCAGCAGACATCTTTGTCTCAACGACACCAGGATGCGTCGCGTTGATCAAGATACTAGGATGCTCCGCATGCAGATGTGCATCCAGGTATCGCGCGTACAGGATGCCAGTCAACTTGGCCCGGCCATATTGAGGCATAGGCCCTAGGTCCCTGTTCAACTCGTCGAGGCTGGCGAACTTGGTGTCTTCGGGCGTTTGCTCGTGCGCGTTGGACGCCTGGATCTGAATCCGTACAGTACTGTCTTTGCTGGTTTTCTTGAGTAGTGGTAGTAGGTGTGATGTGAGTGTGACGTGGCCGAGATGGTTGACTGCAAAGTGTCGGTCCACTCCGTACTCTGTGAGTTGGTATGTCATGATGCCACGGGCGGCATTGAGACATAGGATGTCCAGTCGGTCGGTTTGATCGCGGACTTTCTTGGCGACTTCGGTGACGGCCTTGAGGTCGGACATGTCACATGGTAGCCAGACGACTTTGTCGGCATACTGGGAACCAAGATCCTTCTTGATTTCTTCGACGGCATTGTCGACCACGTCTTCGTGTAGGGAGATGATGAAGAGTTTGGCGAGGTTAGCTTTCAAAAGGGTGTATGCTGTGGCAAAGCCGATGCCTTCACTTCCACCTGTGATGAGGGCGACTTTGCCTGACTGATCTGGGACGTCTTTGCTGAGATCGAATTGTTCTTCTTTGTTGGCGAGGCTATGGGCAATACCGCCCATGTTCTCGGTGATAGTGGTCTGGACATTCCTGACGGCTCCAGTGACGGTCTCCATGACAGGCGACGGTTTCCTAAGGTTATCACTACTGTAATGGCGAGGCTGGATTCGAGAGGACAAAGTCAAACAAGGCGTAAGATATTTTGCTGTGGGTGGCTTGACGATATGAGTGAGTCTAGAACACCGTGTCAAATGGTAGAGGCCGGCCATATAATTTACAGTGCCTGTGTCTAGAGCTGTAGTAGATTTGATGACCTCTTTCCACGATTTGTTCGATAGGTTTCTCACCTTATCATTCGCAGGGTATGCGACTTACCGTGGAGCGGCCCAATTGGCATGCACATTTACACGTTAGAGACAGATACGTGCGCGTCACCGTTTTTTCTTCCACGTTCTGTGAACTCAGCGTTGTCAATGGTAAGCAGCACAACCCACAGACATCACAAAAAGGAGATCACGGCCTTTGAGCGGGTCATGGCGCAGAGTCATGATGTAGGCAGCTTTACTCGCATCGGGAGATCACCAATACAGACAGCGTCATCGGGTGTGGCAGTGGACTGACTTTGACAGCGTCTGTGGGAGATGGTGAATTGGAGATGTTAGATCGATGATGTAATAGCCTTGGCTTATGGGTAGGAAAGGCTGACCAATCAACAAGCGAGCCGACAGCGTCGCAAGGCTGGCCAATCATGACGATGCACAAATGTCAACACTGCCCAGTCTGGTACTTTCGACAGCACCTCTACTGGTACACTCGACCTATTCTTCCAAGACAAAACAGTTCAATCCCAGCAGACAGTCCCAGTCCAAGGATGAGCAAACTCACCCGCCGCTTCTGTACAAAATGCTCCAAATTCCTCTTGGTCAATGCATCCTTGCACGAGCCCAACACACTACATAATCATCGTCAGAACGTTTCTCAGTTGTGAACGAGGGCACGACCACTTGGGCACGCATTTGGTGTCCCAGAACTTCGCAATTCTCGCAGAAAAACTAGCGAAGGGCTATTACTTACCGCCTGATTCCCGTCGGCTTGATATGTAGGACCACCGACTCCTGGAACGCCGTGGCCGAAGTACACCAAGCAACCTTGTGACGACAACTGATTGTATGCGTGGTACATTAGAGTTCGCTATCAAGGCAGAGGTTTTCCCGCCCCTCTGATTCTGTGAATAGGATGTCTTTAGCATCTCATGGTTTACCTGCTGCAACTAAACCATGACAAGCTATAACATGCCCGATCTTGACTGCAGACCGCTTGGACACCGCTGCTAACGACGTCCATACAAGATCCTTCTTCGTGCGAGGTTCCGAGTTGGCCAATCCCCTGTTTGGCTTATTTGATACCAGGCTCTGGATATCTGTGGCATAGGCAGAGCGAACACAGTGCCATCTGCTTGTACGACAACAGCAGTGCCAGCAGCCAAGCGGTCAAAGTGTTCCATGATGTTTTCGCCCATCAAACAAGCGACGTGATCCTCGGCGGCGATCCCATTGAGACGTCGTAAGAATCAAGTACTCTTGGGGTGACCGAGCCCGCGAGAGTGGCTTGGTCCACTCCAGAGACCAAAGCAACGGCAGAAATATCGACACCAAAGCATAGGTAGAACGAACGATCAAAGAGTGCATCAATTGCGTCAGCTGTCGTAGTCACATACACCTCATACAGATTCATATATCAGTCCCGTCCTTCCAAACCCTATTGAAAATCACAAAGAAGTGAAACCAAAGAGAAAGTCCCTAATCGTATAATGAGCGGCAACCATCTCTCCAAGATACCAATTGACCCTAATCAGAAAGTCCTACTGTGTGGATCCTCCTCAACATCATTCTCGTCACCCGACACACTTCTCGACCCTCTCGGCCTCGCCGGCAAAGCAGACTGATCCAAGTCTGGAGACGGCATGGTCATGGACATGCCACTGCTCACGCTGGAATTATGCCTATGATGACCAGGCCTCTGCTGCTGTCGACCCATAGGCGACACAGGCGGCGCGGGATCGAGCGGGCCCAATATCTGTGCAAAAGGATAAGTATCCGCGGACGGAACATTACCCTCTGGAATCGTAGTGAAGCCTCGTGGTGAGGACGGTACCGCAGCTGACGTGGTACGTGGCGAGGCGGGAGCTTCATCGGACCCATCTGGCTGGGAGATCGATGTGCTGTGCTCATGGGGTCCGTTCCCGCCGCTGACCACGCTGGGAGGATATAATGCCATATTGCGAATGTTGTAGTCGATGTCGTCAGGCATGATGCTTTTGGACTGCGCGTGCATCTCATTCACTGCAGTGCCCTGTGCCTCAACGGGACCGATATAGTCGGCGCGTGGAGAACGTACGGGCGTCGAAGACGACCAACGTGCATTGCGACGGCTCTCGCTACCGTCATAGTACTTGTTGACACCGCCTTCGAGTTCCTGAGGCGCAGTAGGTTCCACTTCGGTGATCGTGTCGGAGCCAACGTCTTTGGGAGCACCGGCATTATGTGTGGCCCAGAGCCAGGGGAGAAGCATGCTTTTGCGCTGACCGGCCTCGGCTGTCTCTTGCTGATTTTGTTGCTGGCGGTGCTTGCGCATGCGACTATAGCAGCAGAAGAAGAACAGTGCGCCGAGAAGAGTGAGTCCGACAACAACAGAAACGGTGACCGCCACTGGGATAACCCAGCCTCGGTCGTGATGCTTGGGTGGCGGGATCGCAGGACTGGTGGTATTGGACGCTGGTGCAGGCGTGCCTGTGGCTTGTTGCGTATATGTAAATGTACTGATACTGGTCGTAGCATATGTCGTCGAGAACAGGCGAGCGACTTCAGTCACCATACCGTTGGCGGTTGGGGTTGCGGATATGACAGAAAGCACTGATGAATGTGGTCGGTAGGGTTCGTCGACATTTGGATCGTACACGCCCGTCCACTCCCACGAGCTGAGGTTGAAGACATCCACAGCCTTCTGGTATGTCAGCGGCGCCCCGCCCTGCCCTGTACCTCCAATGGCTATCATCTCGTCTGCGTATGGCTGAACACAAACATGGCCCTGTCTCGGCTCGCCTGCAGTGGCCTTAATCCACGTAAAGGAAGGGATTGTCAATATCCAGACCTCTGGTTGTGGTAGGCTACCGTTACTGTCCCAACCGCCATACACGAAGATGTCATGATGGCTTCCGTCAGGGGCTGAAGCCACAACAGTGCAGAATTGTGCAAGCGGGTTCATCGGTCCAATGGGAGAATCTGAGTTGATTGCCTGCGAGGTCCACGACCTTGTACCGATATCGTAAATAGGGAACTCTTTTAGAAAGGGCAGTGATTTGTTTTGTGTGCCATTATCTTCACTGAAGTCTCCCGCTGAAGTGACGCCACCGATCGCGACCAGAATTCCCTGTGTGGATGTCGGAACCCAGACTAGACCTGCTTCTGCTCGCCATGGTGCGTAGGTATTGTTGACCGCCCATCGACTGAAATTAGCATGCCCCTCGGCTGACATATCCACTTCGACCAACCAGTTGTGCTCCGTCGTTGGCGGATCGAAGTAGCCGTACGCACTGCTGTTCGGATTCCAGAAACCGCCAAAATAGAACCCTTTTTGTTCACTGGGAGCACTTGCTCCTGCACCATTAGTGGCAGGAAAGAAGTTGCCATTATCAGGATTGAACGTGATGTCTGGAGAACCAGGGTCCTGATCACTGCCTTCTGGCGGATAGAAGATGTCGTTCACAGTTTGAAAGGTGGAATCGTCGGGTGACAGCGGCATGCCCCTGTGAAAATTGTCAACAATATATAGCACGGCGGTGTTTGTTTGACTTACCCCCAAGCATAAAACTCGTCGTAATCAGCGAACATGGCTCCGTCGACATAGAAGTCGGTGACTTGGGTCTCATCCATCGATACGAATAGCGCTGGTGAGTTGTCATCGTTAACGTTGAAAGATTGATTCAAGTTCAGACTGAACAGTGCTCCTTTCTGAATAGTGGCGATCCCATCCCAAGAAGCGGAGGTCTCGTTCCATATACCAGTCTGCAGCTGGCCGCCTTCCAAGTATACATAGTACCTGATTATGGCTGCCCGAGGTCTGTCCCACATGCCTATCTGGAAAGATGTATAATTACATCTCACCAGAACCGCCAAGGCAAACAGCCACAGAAAGTGTCGTGTCATGAAGACCATAGTTGCGATGTGCAGTGTGATGCAGCTCTCCGGCTTTGCAGCTGAGCAGTTTTCGTGGGTCTCGAGTAAGGCCGGGTTTTAAATTTTTCTGGCTTGGGATATGGATATAGCCAGCGGCCAACCTGGAAAGGCTGTCCTCGCGATGAGATCTGCGACTTCTCCAGAGCCAGCAGGCAGTTGCGGCATGTCGCCGTCTGGAAGGGTCTATTCTGTGGCAAAATAGGGAAGATAACACCTGGGGGCCATTTCCAGCAGACACGACCGTTCATCTGCAGCATCCAGTTGGGCTAGTGCTCCAATCGAGATCTAGACCGCACTTGGCAATGGTGGTCGACCTGCACATATGAATTGGTTGCATCCGCCCTAGGCAAACATAGGAGCAGACATCCAAGCTTTGAATTGGCCTGATTTGAGGAGATTATGCCTGACCACAACATGCACCAAATGCGGGCAAAAGCTAGCGCATGTCCATTTACTCCGATGGTAGAGTAGGACGGGATGTGTGCAGGGACTGCCTGTCGACGAGCTGCAGCACTGACCCAATTCAACACGAAAAGGTTGCTTCATCCTGCTTTCCAGAAGACTTGACCGGTTGTGTAACATGCGGCTGCTGCATGAGTGACCAATTCCTAGTAGAAAGCGGTCAATCAGCAGACACATGCTCACGCTGTATTGAGGAGGTGCACCACAATTACTAAACATAGACGACCCAGTAAGAACAGCGTTGCCTGAACTATGCCAGACCGTCTCAGCCTTATCGAGGAACTGTCTTTTAGAAACAGCTTCCGCAACCCACAAAGCTGATTGAATGCCGCTTGATGGACTACCCAAAGGAAAACACTGGGATTCCAAGAAGCGCATTGTCTCAACAACCATTCCACAAAGAGATCTCGTGCGTGGGTTCTTTTCTGTCGGGTGGTTTCCTGTACGCACGCACTCAGCCTCACAACCATAAAGAGCATTTGTTCTCCGCCCTCCTTCCTCGTATTGTGGAGAGACGGCGATCGCTCGTTCCTAAGTCAAGGGCTAAAAACAAGGAACCAACCATATGATGATGTGCGCTGTTCGGCAGACCCATAACCGCACAGAACTGGTGGCTTGAATACCCCAGCCTCGTATATCCAATGGCTACCATCAAGGTGGTTCACGTGTCGCTGCGCAATACGTGATGTCGCCGTCTAGGCACTGGCAACTGCATAAGGTGGGTGAAGACTGCGCTGGATTGGTGGCCTGAAGTGTTGGAGAGGATGGGGGGACTGTGGTCGGAAGCGCAGGAGGGCTAATGAGTGACAGCTGGTTTCTTCCCGTGCCGTGTGCCGATATTCAAGCGGTCAGGCTGAAGTTTCTTTCGACGGTCTTTCATCCATCATGGTTTCCAGCACCCCGTGCACAGAAAATGATTGAATTGAGGCGGATATTATCTTACTCCCTGGCATCGAAGAAGCAGTGTCCAGAGGCGCCTACTCAATGGAGACTGTCCGCATGAGTGGTCTCGTCTCTCAGCACCTACGGAGAGTCTACGTGGTCACTTTGGTGAATGGAAAGCCTGACAGCTATTCCTTGTAAATTAAGCGAACGACATGTACTGTAACATGGATCTGCAGCAAAGTGAGGGGGCTGCTACTCTTGACAAACCAGCAACCTGCCCGACCCTGCGTAGAGCGGCCTCTGCTTCGAAACTACTGTTTACGCTCATCTTCTCCCACTCTGTCAATAAGATACGATCATGCACGGTTACAAATTGCCATTACCTGATCGTGTGCCCGTCTACTTCTCCCTCCACCCTACAAAGCAATTGAGCCTCACTTGACCACTTCGAGAGCCGGTGCCCGAATGCAACGAAGAGTGCGACCATCGATCGCTCCAACGCGGTTCCACAGTCCACCATCTACCAACTTCCGACCACATATCGATCCACTTTGACCAGGTATGCATCATGCTAGCCCATAGCTTTTTGATGCGTTCCATCCCGCTCGTGGTCTGGTTGCCTTGGTGCAGCCTTGGGGCTGCTCGTGCTCCTTCTGTGTCCGCAAAACTCACTTGTCCAAGTTGTCCTAGACTCAGCCCCAAGTATCATGCATGCGATTGTTTTTCTCCGCGGGCCTGTCTGCTGCAGCAGGTACTTTAGCGTGTCTGACCACGCAACCAATGTGCCCGACTGGTGAGACAGGGAAAGTGTTCGAGCAACCTGGGGCTGAATACTATAGTCATGGATGCTGCGGGCCATTTTTGAGGTGCGGCTCCTCATCTTCGACCTGACGTTCACAGATGCTTTTGGGGCCTGGTCTTCTACGTTCCGTCTCCAGCACACCGCCGCATCCCCGGCCAGTGGCTGCGCTAGAGACCACTCAGGACACCACGGGCTTGTGAGTTCCTCAAAGGCCTGTCCACGACCACGGAAGTCGCGAGTGTGCAAGCCACCCGCCGAACGCTAGCACGGCCTTTGCGAACACACTTGCCTTTCCCATCTACTTCAAGGTGACGCAGACCGGATGCTGAAATCAGGCACGGCAGCTTCAGTGACCATATAACAGCTGAAAGATGTCTCTCTTCTGATGTTCCTCTTTCTTTCCTTCTTGAGACATTCCAGCCTCGGCCATTACTGTACAGTCACTCGTTGCACATTCGCTCATCCTCCGACATTGCCATCATGAGGCTGAGGACTGTTGGGTTCCTTTTCGCTGCTTTTGCTGACTTGGGCCATGCGGGCGGAACCGGTGGCTCGGACTGGGGGACTACAACTGCTGCTTGTGTCCCATCAACTACCACCGTATACGATACTCAAATAGTTGAAACCACTGCATGGTCGACGCAGACAGTGATAGTCACAACCACCTGCTGGGAAGTTTCCACAACCACCGTTGTTCAACCAACAACTATCGTTGAGACTACCACCAAAATCCAGCCAACGACTATTGTCGAAACGACTACAGAGATACAACCCACCACGATCGTGAGCACAACGACGGTGATTAGTGTCAGTGTCAGTCCAACAACCGTGGTCAGCGTCAGTATCAGCCCAACCACTGACATCGTTCCAACTACTGTTGTCAGTGTCAGTCCGACCACTATTGTTAGCACGACTACCGTGATCAGTGTGACTACCATCGTCACTCCAACGACCGTGGTCAGCGTCAGCGTCAGTCCAACTACTGACATTGTACCAACCACTATTATTAGTGTCAGTGTTAGCACGACTACACTCGTCAGTGTCAGTATCAGTCCTACCACTATCCTCAGTCCAACAACTGTTGTCAGCCCAACGACTCTTATAAGTCAAGTTACCGCCACTAGCATTGATACCACGACAGATACTGTCATAAGCATTGGTACCGTCACCGACACTATCACTTCTACAGCACCAACATTGACAGGCTTGGTCCCTTGTACCTCAAGGACAATCAATCCAACCTATACGCCCCCAACCCCACTGCCAAGCAACTACCTCTGGGGTTGTCCACCTGGGACCATCTGCACTCCTCCTCAAATTGATTGTAATTGGGAACAGAATCCGCCGGCAAGCACGTATGTCTGCTCGCCGGACGAGTGTAAGCCAACGCCCGCATTCCCAGTACCAGACTGGAACACGACTTGGCCGAACCCAACAACCACAAGTTGTGCCTGGGATCAGCCGGTCCTTGGTTTCTTCCATCTCAACCCTCAGCACTTCGGTCTCGACTTTACTATCTTTGATATCGATGGTCAACCTGTGTGCCCCACTACTTCCACGATCATTGTACCTACAACTGCAACGGTCACTGTACCTACAACCGCCACCGTCACTGTAAGTGGTTGGCAAGATTGGCCTTCACCCACCACTTCTCAACCATGGAAGATGCCTCGACGACGAGGTACGACCAACCCCCTCGCGGAGATGTTCTGGCGTCGACAAGGATCAGTCGCAGAGGCTCCGGCACAGTGTTACAGGCCTTTCGACGATACTCAGCTGTATGCTCAGTCCGTTGGCAAAGTGCGCAGCGTGCTGTGTCCAGCAGACAGCGTATTCATGCAGGGCATTAGCGAATGCGAGGCCTGTGACGTGAAATATGGCCAGACTTCTGCGGGCACGACGAATTTCCCAGAACTCCAAATGTGGTTGAACTACTGCACCGACAACACTTGAAGTTGGTGACCTACTGAGAACATTATACATATGCGGAAGTCATCTTATTGATGGAGTATTTATGGGGCATCCCGACGAATGCAAATATGAAAGGATGTATCGAGCAGGTATCGTTGGCCTTAGTGGAGGTCATGCGAAACGCGATACGAGGCATTCACTCGCTTACGATGGAAAATGTGTACCGATGATAATGATAATGAGGATTACCAATAAGCCATTCCTAAGGCGTAACATAGGCATCATCTTGCGAGCCTGAGAACTCATTTGCAGAGGGTAGGGTCTGCTAGAAGACCTTGGTGCCTTTGTGTTTGGTCTGCATGCCAGCCATCCCAATTTTGCACTAATGTCAATCAAGGGAAAGGATACCAGGAAAGCCTAATCATCGACATAACGAGCCGTCTTCATACCATACTCTTCCTCCTCTCCGCATCCCTCACCACCCTTCCCAACTTCAACAGGACATCCATATCCCCCTCCGTACCTCTCATCTTCAAATTCCCACCAGCATCAGCACCCCGTTTCCTCAACCCACCCAGCCCCTCAACAATGATACTCCACTCCGCAACCGTCGCACCACTCCCACTCATATTCTTCACCGTCGCCGTCCCATTCGCCAAACTCCCCCAAACCTGCAACGTAGCATACTTCGCCGTATAGATCTCCTTCCCACTCGGCACCGTGAACATCGTAACATTACTCCCCAGGGGTCCTATATCCAGAATCTCCGTCGCATTATACGCCGTACTGATGCTTAGTTTCCCACTGCTCGCCACCTCAAGCACACCCGCACTCGAATTCGCGTTGAATGCACTCGGACTGCCCAGCGTCTCATTGTGGAATAAAACACTGTAATTCCAAGGCGGCGCTTGAGCCCAGTCGAACTCCATCCCCGTCACGCGGTATCCAAGCGGTAAAGACACGGTGATACTCGCGGTCTGATTCGCGAGGGCAGGCTGCCACTTGGTGCTCGTCGCACCGTCGACCGCAGCGATAGGGAATTGTCCTGGCATGATGTCGTCCGGCGAACTTACGGGCAGACACTGCGCGACGTTCCCACTGGTCGTCGCGACGTTGCCGATCTGTCGGTTTTTGATAGTGATACTCGAGTTCGGGGCGAGACTGTAATTTCCTGTCGCTGAACCACCCAATGGTCCAACTTGCACTGGAATAGGAGAGCTCGCGTACGTGGCGTTAGGCACGGCGCCCTCGGCAGGCGATACACTACCACGACTGAGGATAGTGTGAGTCTGGTTCGAGAACGCGCTGATCGGCCACCCGTTCCAGTGGAAAGTGCGGTACTTGATCTGTGGGATCTGTGGCGGCAGACTGGGGTCGACATGCAGAATGAAATCTGGTCGTAACCTTAATCCGAGATATCCAAATAACACGACTTGATTCGATCCGCCGTGCCCGGTGAGGAAAGGGTACGCAGGATGCGTGCCGCCATTGGCCTGGTAGTTGTCGACGAGTTGTTCGGAGAACTGGAACCACGGACCGCGGATGTAAGGGTATGTCGAGGCCTGTTGGTAAGTGTAGCTCGAGCAGCCTGACGGGCTCACAGAATTCGCGATGATCGAGAAGATAGCGTATGTCATTGCTGGACCATTGGTGGTCGTTTTGGCGGCGTAGTAATCTAGATCACTGAGCGAGTCTTGCGAAGTATAATTCTGGCCCGTATACGACAGGGGGAATGTATTGAGAATGACGTCCGCCTGTTTGACTTCGACGCTGCCGTTCATCCCGACGTACTCTAACACAATATTGGCCTCGGTGTCGCGCGCGATAAGCACGTTATCTGCCTGCGTGGTCCATGTTGCGTTGGGTGTGCCGTTGAACATGCTCCGGTATTGATTTGCGGTCGCCAGGTGCTGCGAGATCAAAGCGTTTGTGAACGCCCCGTCATCCACGTGGTTTGCGTACTCGTCTGGGTCGGTCATGTTCAACAACGACCATTGCGAGCCGTTCTTGACTAGTAAGTCCGAGTACATCGTCGCCAGCGAGTCGTAGATCGGGTATAGTTGGTCTTGGAAGAACGATGTATCGCCCGATGTGACCCAGTAGTTTGTGAACTCTTGGCCGATGTCGCCATTGATGTGGTACTCGTAGTCCCAGCAGGGGCCGGTGGCAGTACAGTTACCGTACCGACCGCTTGTCCAGGGAAATATAGCTGCTTTGGACGAGAATTGGGTCGTGTTCTGCGAGGACTGGTATGCCGTCTTGATGTTGGCTTGTGCTTGCTGGTACCGCTGGATGCGGTAGTTGGCGATGCCCAGGCCTGCCGCGGGGAAAGCGGCTACTAGACCTGGCTGCATCCAGACTTCGGCGTCCCAGAAGATCTGTCCGGCATACGAGTCCGAGGTCAAACCGCCAACTGCGATGCTGTGGCTGTTGATAGGAGCGTTGCCGGAGACGTTGAGTGCGTTTTCAGATATCGTGTTCTGCAGCAGAGTGTATGGGTTGACGACCGCCACTATGGCAGACTCAATTATATAGGGGTCACTAGGAAGACTTCCGTTCTGTGGGTAGGAGTAGTCGTCCACTGATGTCGAAGGAAAGTTTGCATTCCACTCTGCCATGTGACTTTGGAGTAATGAGGTGAATCCGGCCTTCTGTGCGTTAAGGGAAGCGTTCCTCGCCACCATACGTGGTTGGACGTAGCCATCTGTTGAGGCGATACCGACGAATTTGGTGAATGTTGCGACCTTACCACCTTGCAGGCTGACGTTGTATGTGGAAGCGATCGAGGTCTGATTTGTGCCGAGATATGGGCGACTCGTGGTGAGCTTCTGCGCAGAGCCAACAGTCGCACCAGTGTGGTTCAAGGTAGCGTATACCCACGCCGTGATATTGCTAACTCCATCGGGTGAGACGGAGCTGTAAATCAGATCTGAACTGGAAGAGTCAACTCCAGTCTGTCCGGGAGTCGCTCGCACGGCACAGTCTCCATTGAGCACATTCGCGATTGTGACATTGGTCGCACTTGCGGCAGTAATGTTCATCGTGACGACTGCTTGGTTGATGTTGAGCCTGTGAGCAAACAGCTGATATGACACGTTGAACGAGCCATGGCCACTCGGCTTCCATGTAAATGCCCAGTTCATAAGACCGTTCCTCATGTCCAGGCTTGACTTGAAGTTGCTGATGGTCGAGGCATTGGTCGCTGCAGCCAGGAAGTTGCTCCCACCAAGATCCACGATTAGGCCACTCCAGTGTGGAATGCCGCTGATAGCACTGTCCCCGCCATACTGAGATAGCCAGGGGAAGTTGGTGCCATTGGTGGTAGCTTGAGAGTCCCAGAAGCCGCCGACAGTAGCGAACGTCTGCCGACGTTGGAAGAGTGGCCAACCATTGATATCGTCTCCGGCCACTGGAGTGTCGGCCTCGAAGAAGGGCCCGAGAGCGGCTACGTTGATTCCATGATAGCCATTTGCGACCGATGCTCGAGATTGGTAATGTCCTTGGTCAAGATTGGTCGTGGTGAGTATCCAATTGGTAGCGTCCCACGTCACACCCGGAAAGCGAGTCTTGTACACTGTCGAAGCATTGCCGGTTTGAGCAGATGCTACCGAGGACAATAGCCCAACGACCAGCAGGATGATGAGCGGCATGTCGGTCTTTCTCCTCATCCGGAAGCAAAAATCTAAGCTTTTGACGCCTTCGATTGACACGGAGAACCTTGTCTCGAATCACTCTGTGGCACTGCTTCCCATGGAAAGGCCTACAAGGAGTGAAGGTGACGACCGACTTGGACGGTGCTGTTTGTTGACCTGGGAGCTTCACAGAGTACAGAAGTACCGAGGCAAGCTTTATTAGTGCTAGATTTTGGTAGCCGAAGTTCAGGGAAATGCAAAGATCTCAATCGAGCGCGGATGGTACTTCGGCGCTGTGAAAATGTACATGTACATGATCCATTACCTTATGCATGCAGCTCGCATCCCCCGCATAGAGCAGGATGGACTTGTGCAAAGTTACATCGACCACGAGACCTTGATTACAGCTCTTCCACCTTCAAGCCCCAATGACTTCATTGGGTGGAACGTGCGGAGAAAATCCTCTTTTGTCTTTACCTAGTGAAATGTGGATGGTAGGATGGCCTTGGAGGCGTTTTGTGGAGGCGGAGAGACAGCGGTCACCTATCAATACGGATCCTATTTGCGCCACAATTATCATCGAGATCGCCGTCGGCCTCGTCCGGCTGGGGTTATGACATATAGGAATACAACTCCTCATCAAATGACGAGTTGTAGGTCAGCGTTGCCATTGGCAGTCATTGACCGCAACGTGCGGAATCTCGGCTCACATACGTACGACAACACGACCTGAATATCTTTTCCAGAAAGGTTGGACTTGCTAGAACAGCTGGTTGAGTCATATGCGAGAAGTCTGTCACTGGCGCCCTCAAGTGGGATGAAGCTTTGCTGTGATATGATGTGATTACCTATAATGATTACATATCTTCCCAAATCATGCGCTATGCTATGCTGTACTCAATTTTCCCGCTCATGCTTTTTTGCTTTTTCGCTATGCTTTCAACTCAAACAATGCCATTGCAATATCCCCAGATCCTGTACAAAACAAAGCACCAATTCAGATACCCTCAGTCTGAGTAACGACTATTACCCTTCCAGTCTTCTCTCAATCGATGGCTTAGTCGTACTGCCAAGCAGCAGAGTTGCCGGCGGTGTAAGGGACAGCCAATGGCACAAATGGCACACAGTCGGCGACATTGCCCAATGGAACCTGAGCCTCAGGAAAGTTGGCAAACACCTGGTACGCAATGCTGCCGTAGGTTGGGCATGCCATGAACCCATCAGCGCCGAATGCTTGAGTGCTGACCGAACCGTATTGGGCACCAGCGGCCAAGTTGAAAGTGAAAGGGTAGGACACGGCACCGTAGGGGATGGCGTGAGTGTGGGCGGTGGTGAACATCAAAGCACCCGATATGTCAACGTAGATTTGCTGACCACCTGGAACGGTAACAGCCAGCGATCCAGCTCCAGTGAAAGCGGTCTCGTTGCCTGGAGGGCAGAAGCTGGCTTGGTCGGTACCAGTGTATGGACAAGAGGTCACGGTCTGGGGCAAGTTGAGCCAGAACTTGTTGTTGTTGGCATTGAAGCTCTCGAAGTGGAATGGTTGGATATCTGTTCCAACGATCAAACCGTAGGCAGCCGGGAAGGTCGCATCAGGGTTGTTTCCAGATGAACCGGTGGGAACGGCGAGAGCGCCCAGGGCTGGGAGAGCGGCGATGACGGCGGTCTTGATCTGCATTTTGAGTGCTGAGAAGCGAAGTGATCGAGGATTTGGAAGTTGTTTTGTGGTTTGTGTTAAGGATCGAGTGTCTGTCAGAGGGTTGAAGTGGATGTCACTGTTGCTTGTTGTTGCTTGTGAGAGTTGTTGATGAAGAATAGAACTGTAGACCTCTAATCGGAGCCATACTTATATCCATCGTCAACTCCTTGGAACCATGAGCCAGTCTTAGAGTCGTTGTACCATTTCGCTGCAAGACTTGGTACCAAAGATACCGAGGAAATGGTACTCAGAATAGTAGCACTGGAGTCATTGGACCAAAAACCTGAGGGATGGGATACCCACAGTAGAGCCGCGGGAGTAACCTCTGGATGGAAGGACCCGTCAGAGATCACCATTGCAGACCAGGTTTCCCTTGCACGAACCTCTTTGAGAGATTCTGAGCAGTCACAAGATGGAGCTTTGCTATTTGGAGAGTCCAATGCACGGACCATGTATCGAAAGCACGGGGTAGGTAGTAAAGATTTCCCCGTCGGATAGCATCTCCACGAAGCGCTATGACCATGTGGTAGTATCTGTGGCAGACTCATTGGCGGAATGTGGCAACCGAAAACCTGGCTGATCCATCCGTTGGCCCATCGGCGACTCCGAGCCTCTTGTGTGGAGAATTCGCAGCTTCATGGCAGTGCTGCAAATTCAACTATGGAAGTCCCGCATATCGTGGATCAATCTGATCTATCCCCGCAGTCTGGATAGACGGTATGAAGCAGATCCGCACCAAATCATAGTGTCGGCTCCTTTCCGGGCGGTTAGTGACGAGGCTGAGCCAGGCGTTTGGACGTGCCAGACCAGTGGTGACAACGACGTTGCTTGCATTTGATGAGCTTGGCGCCCTGGGGTTCGAGATCTCTTCGCAACGGACACCCTTCAGTAGTGCGCGGGTCTAACCAGTCCTTGGAAGACAGTCGAGGCAATCCCTTCGAGTACCGGGGTGGTGGTGGTGGTGGTGGTGGTGGAATTGAATCGATATTGAGGTTTCGAGCAAGTAGTGATGGCATGGTCTGGATGATCGACTCGAGAACTCAAGACTCTGAGAAAGACCATCCATCGACCATTTCCAGCGCTTTGACCTTGTGGTCGTTTTGAGTGCAATGTCCTCAAGATACTCGAAAGGGTGTTTCAAGTGCCCTCCTCGGCATTGGCTTCCGTCGCTGCATCGGTTCGATGCCTGTGGCCGCTCTTACGTCGGCCATTCTGGTAGCTATCCGAGGTCGTAATAGCCTTCTCTCCGACATAATGTTGACCATCCCATTCTGTCTTGCAAATAGGACAGGTCTGCGACCTCTGCACGCGGAAGAAATTCTGTGTACAGATGTCATGTAATCGGCACGGGCATTCGCGGCGTGGACATCTTTGGCCCTTCATAATTCATCAGCTCAGAACCATACGATCAGAGGGGGGTGGAAACACTTACCACGGTGACGATCTCTTTGCAAGCGTGACAGAACTTGATCTTTTCTCGTTTCTCGCCGTCCTCGTCCTCGTCATTGTAGGTGTCGATCAGCCACCCTTTCAGCTCCATCAATGCCCGTGGACTCAAGCTGTAGAAGCCTTGTCTGCTTTTCTCAAGCCAGCCTTCTTCGAGCAGCTTAGTGAGCATAGCCTCGGCGTCTCTAGCAGCCAGCATGCCTGCGGTGGATTGTGTTGCATTTCCATTTTGTGTCTCTCGCCTGCTCTGCGATCGTCCGACTTGAATGGCCTCGATGCCGCTCAGGCACATAGCTTCTCGCTTGCCCTTGTTGTTTTGTCCGTCAAACATTGCGTCCAAGAGTTTTTTGAGGTAGACAATCTCATCGGCTGAGTACGTGGTAGCGAGTTGTGTGAGAGAATCGCTTGTTGTGTTGACCAGAGCATAGACACGTTCTCTAGTCTGCTGGTGGAATGTGCTGCGGATTTCGAGGTCGAGAGGAGAGAGTCTCCGATTTGCTTCCGCAATGTACACGTTGAAGTCGTCGGCGGTGACATCTTGTGGTTCTACGTCACGTCCGTCGCGGTATGTTAGGATGGCAGCGAGGATCGGTCTCGCAGTCTCAAGAGTAAGCACGCTTTGGGCGAGGAATGCTTGTAGGAACGCTCGGTTGGCATTGCTGTAGCCGTGGACAGGGCCTACGTCGGCCATTATTGTTGGCGCTATCAAAAGCAGGATGATGATGGCGAAAAGAATTGGTGAATTGTTGGGTTGTGCTGGTACTTTACGCGTCGCAGTTGAAGTCTGGACGCGTCGTTGGAGAAAACTTACGAAATACGAACTACTGTACAATTGTCGTTCAAGAGCGGAAGCGGATGGTTTCACGTTCATCCTCACAACATCCATGTATAGAAGGATTCCGAGAGGGTTTTAAATCAAGAAATTGAGGAGTATGCAACTTTTGACTGCCTAAGGTGATTTCCTTGTACCCACCGACAGGGTTGAGTGTTTTTGCGAGTACCATGTCTATCCGTGCTAGCCGCCAACGCCTATGGTCGCACGCATGAACGAAAGATGCTTTCAACACCAATATCATGTTTCAACCGTCTCGTCTCATTTCAACTCAAGCTGTAAATTGAATCCAGACACATGCCCGGATTGATAATTGTCAGCTACCGCCTGTAGCTCGTTCTCAGAGCATTTGTGAGCGATTCATCCCAGAAGAACCGGACGCAGTCGCTCACACCTGGTACGGGAGAACAACGTACCTGGTCTCGCTGGCACCTTAGCGACTGAAAATGCCATTAGTGACTGTAGCTTCAACCTCCTTACCAAAGAAGAAACTTGACCGAGACCAAGTATGACGTCGCCTTTTCAGGAATTGTTGTTGATGCGGAGCTGCGGAAATCTACAGATACTCTTCGACGCTCCAATGTGCCCCGATGACTGAGAATTAGCCGTTCGTGACATGACCACCTCACTACGTTGTTCCCAGCCTCTCAAGGCTGCCTCACGATCCCTCTTTGCACAAAGTCGAGGGCCGCTATGTCGGAGCACTTTGCGGAGGTCTTCCATCGACCGCCCGCGAGCAATTAGCAGCTACGGTTATACCCAGGCCAAAGCATTGGTCTACTCCAAATATGGCGAACCTCAAGACGTCTTATCAATACATGGCCACTCCATATCGCCCGCGGCAGGTTCCAGCGTCGTCGTCCGGATGCTTGTTGCCCCAATCAACCCAGCCGATGTGAATCAAATCCAGGGTGTATACCCTTCGAAACCCGAGATGAACACAGCCCTCGGAACCTCAGAAGCTGCTGCAGTTGCAGGCAATGAAGGAGTCGCAGAGGTCGTTAGCACGGGATCCGGTGTCAAAACCCTGAGCAAGGGCGATTGGGTCATAATGAAGTACACGGGACAAGGAACATGGAGAACACATATGGCTGTCGATGAAAGCAAACTGTTGAAGATTGACAACAAAGACGGTTTGACCCCTCTACAGGTCGGGACCGTGTCGGTCAACCCTTGCACGGCCTACCGCATGTTACTCGATTCGGCAACATGGAAGTTCATGGGAGACGAATGGTTCATCCAGAATGGCGCGAACAGCGGTGTTGGACGAGCAGCTATTCAACTAGGCAAGGAATGGGGCTTCAAGAGCATCAATGTCATACGGGGCCGTGAAAATAAAGAGGAGGAGCAAAAGCTCAAGCAGGATCTGCTAGATATTGGAGCGACCAAAGTCATCACAGAAGAAGAGCTAATGAGCAGAGAAATTAGAGACCAGATCAAAGAATGGACTCATGGCGGCCGAGAACAGATCAAGGTCGGATTGAACTGTGTTGGTGGCAAGCCAGCTACAGCTTTGGCCAAGTTCCTAAGTCCTGGAGCCACGATGGTCACCTATGGTGCTATGAGCAAGCAGCCTCTGGCACTTCCTGCATCACTATTGATCTTCAAGGATATTTCATTCACCGGATTCTGGGTGAGCAAATGGAGTGACCGCCATCCAGACCAAAAGAAGCAGACCGTTGACGATGTGCTTCGCCTTACGAGAGAAAAGAAGTTTAAAGATATACCTGTACAAGAGTGCAAATGGGCTTGGGAGACCGAGGTCGACACTCTCAAGGCGGCGGTCCAAGGCACTCTGGGTGGTTTCAGGCCTGGGAAAGGCGTGTTTGTGTTTGAAGAGACTTGAACAGCGATACATTCGACAGATGAGTGGGCGGGTTTGTCTGAAACGAGAAGAGATTCCGCATAAAGCCCCTGACGCCTGCTTGTGGTCATATAGTGTCAGCGTCCACCTAACCTGAAATGGACGACTTGCCCGATACGGATGTCTTTCCAGATGTAAAACCTACGTATCCCCTATGATGCATGTGTGAGAACTGGTATATGCCAACGAGGTCAAATAGCAGGGCTTAAAGGCTCTAAGCTGCGTCATCCATGCACCTTGAATCCTTAATCGGATGGGATGAAAGTATTTCCTTGCGTCCAACCGACTTGGTCATCCTACACCAACAAGGCTGTAGGATTTGGCCAATCACATTCACTTTTCGAGCTTTCCCGCGGAGTCTTTGCCGCCTCTGTCCATGTCCAATGTCCAATACGTCGTTTACATCGTAAACCTCTTCGAAGGGCGTGCATAGGTGGTCATCTTCTTTTCGCTGTAGGTATTTTGGGTTTCACGGTCGATATTTCCATCCTTGTCTTGTCGTGCTGCTTGATATATGTTTGAGCGGGCACTTCTTCGCCCACGGCCGCTACTCTCACCAAAACCACCCATCTCGAGCATCTTCACCAGAGGCTTCCATCGATCTAGACTTTCAGCCATGGACGCCGACGAGTTTCGAAAAGCAGCTCACGCTGCCATAGAAGAGAGTATGTTAAATGCTTTCTATGGCCTAAGCACCAACAACTAACATCTTCAGTCATCGAATACAATCAGAACATCACCAACCACCCCGTCCTCCCATCCATCAAACCAGGCTTCCTAGCACCTCAACTTCCCAAATCAGCTCCCGAGCAACCTCAACCATGGTCCGATATCCAACCAGACATCGCTTCCAAGATCATGCCTGGCCTCACACACTGGCAATCACCCAATTTCATGGCCTTCTTCCCTGCCAGTGTCACCTACCCATCAATGCTAGGCGAGATGTACAGCGCTGCCTTCACCGCCCCAGCCTTCAACTGGCTCTGCAGCCCATCTTGCACGGAACTCGAAACCGTGGTAATGGACTGGCTCGCGCAAGCATTTGACCTCCCGCCATCCTTCCTCAGCACGTCACCCACCGGTGGTGGCGGCACGATCCAAGGCTCCGCATCAGAAGCCGTAGTAACATGCATGGTTGCCGCACGCGAACGCTACCTCCACGCCAAAGTCGACGCCGAAGGCCTTGCCCCCAACAGTCCCGAACGCGAAGACCGAATCGCGCATCTACGCTCAAAATTAATCGCCCTGTCCTCAGACCAAACGCACTCATCAACGCAGAAAGGCGCATTGATAGCCGGCACACGCTTCCGCGCCATCCCAACGTCCATGTCCAACGGCCTCTCCTTGACCGGCGCGGACCTTGAGGCCGCATTAGCCCAATGCGCCAACGAGGGTCTGGAACCATACTACATCACCCTAACCCTCGGGACGACATCGACGTGCGCAATCGACGACTTCGCCAGCCTCGCCCCAGTATTAGCAAAGCACAAGAACCTCTGGGTGCACGTCGACGCAGCGTACGCCGGCGCCGCACTGGTCTGCCCTGAATACTCCTCCCAACACTCTCACCACATGAGCATTGCAGACAGTTTCAACATGAACATGCACAAATGGCTACTCGTCAACTTCGATGCATCCTGCCTATTCGTCCAGGACCGCAACCATCTCACCCGCGCGCTCTCCATCTCAGCGGCATACTACGTCAACAAGCACTCCGACGCCGGGCTCGTGACGGACTACCGAGACTGGCAGATCCCGCTGGGCCGACGATTTCGCGCCCTCAAGATTTGGTTCGTCCTGCGAACGTACGGGCTGGAAGGTCTGCGCGCGCACATCCGCAAGACGGTCGGCATAGGCGAGACATTTGCTGGTCTTGTGCGCGAGCGGGCTGATCTCTTCGAACTGGTGACGACGCCGGCGTTCGGTCTGACTTGTTTCCGCGTGAGGGCTGATATCGTGCCAGCCACAAACACTGTTGCGGAGACGGATGCAAGTTTCGTACCGCAGGTCTCGGCGGAGCAGCAGCTCGAACAAGCTGCAAACTCTTTGACGAAGCAGATTGGCGAAATGATCAATGAGCGCGGCGAGGTCTTTCTCACTTGCAGCAGTACGGCTGGAAAGTCGTTCATTCGTGTTGTCAGTGGTAACGCCTATGCTGAAGAGAAGTATGTAAGGAATGCGTTTGATATCATTGTCCGGACGACTGAGGAGATGCTGGGTATAGGGAACAAAAAGGCGGTGGAGAACGGGCATGCAGCATAATCCAGTTTTATGAGATGATTGTCTGCATGTTGGTACTTTCAACGTAGGTTAAACCAGTAAGTAGTAGACTTGTGAACATAGTAAGCAAATTCCTTCTCTCACAAGGCTGTGCAATGCGCTTCTGTCACGAACTTAGCTACCGGAAATGCGACGAGATAAAAGGGAGAATCGGAGACACCGTGACTGACGTCCATTACTGTACCACTTTCTCTATGCATGTTGTATACGGTTCATTCCTTCCAACCCGATCAGCCTTGACTTGCAGCCCATCCGACCACCCAAGCAAGTGCCGACCCCCAGTTGATGGCAACCTCATTTGTGCTGTAACTATTCACATCATCAACATGACACAGCTGCGGCTTACACCCCTGAAGGACATCATCGGCAGGAGGATCACTCGCATCTTCATTCGCGCCGCCAGACATAGCCCCAGCAGGCGCCTGTGGAACTTGGTCATTGAGCTCATGCGCGTACAACCGCGAGTGCACATTCTGTACATAATTCGTTCCGTAGCCGCGAATGTACGAGAAAGCAAGGGCGTTGCGACCGAGGACATAGTCAACGCCCTGAAGTGCCGCATCTCTGTACGTGATGTTGCCGCTCAAGTCAAACGCCGTCGCCACAACTTGGATATTATTGAGATTGTTGCTATTCGAACCCCATGGGTACGAGTTCAGAAACACGCCGTATCCGTTGGTGGCGTTGCGTTGGACAGCGAGATACATGTCTGCTGCATCTAGCACCGACTGTACGATGGCGGGGTGGTTGGAGATATTGCTCGGGATAGTCGCCAGGTCAAGCTGTGCCAGAGCAGCGACGGAGCCCCAAGAAAAGCCGTCTGGGATAGTGAACAGTGTTGACACATTTGCCGTATGGTAGGTATTGTTCGTCAGATCCGTAAGATATTGTTGTTGGCCAGTGGTGAGATACAACTCCGCTGCGGCCCAGTAAAACTCGTCCGTCACATCGTCGTCACTGTACGCTCCACCACCAAGATCCCAGTCGGTGCCTGGCGCCAGAATTGCTGGATTCTTCGTTGCAGCGGCGTAGGCTGTTGTCGCTGCTTGCAGACACTGCTGCGAGAACGCGCTGTCGTACGTGGCGAACGAGCGAGCAGCCATGGCCCCTACAGCGGCAACATTGAGAGCGGCGGCTGTACTCGGTCTGTGGAGTTCACGACGCTTGGGGTCTTGCGACGGATCGGTAGGAAGAGGCGTCCACTGATTGTCATGCATCTTGTGATGGACCAGGCCAGACATGTCGATCATGCTGCCGTTGAACAATTGTGGTGGAGAGCCAGCAGGGACCTGAACGACTCGTCAGTGTCTGGAGACGGCAAATTCCTCGAAGAACTTCAGTGTCCGACATACCTGCATTTTCAACAAGAACTCAATCTCCCATCTAGCCTCGTCAAGAATGTCAGGGACACCATTGTTACGCTCGGGAATACGCAGCGAGCCATCAACCAGGACATTTGTAGCGTTGGCAATGTGCTGAGTCCGCTCATACTCCATGAGCAGCTGTGCCGCCGATATGCCTCCATTGACCACATATTTACCTTGGTCACCAGCATCATACCAGCCTTGTGTCACGTTCAAAGTGTAATTGCAAGTCCATGGCTCGAGGTAGGCGATCAACGAGTCATGAACAGCCTGACATGGAACCTGGACATCGCCTTGGTTGGGTGGGACTTGGACATGACCTGCCGCTCTGGCATACTGAGAGCCTGCCAATGCCGCGTCGATCGCGATACCACTGCGCTGCTGATAGAAGAATAGGAGAGAGTCCTGCCGCAACGTGTCGTAGACCGTCGAGGATATGGTGAATGGATAGCTGGTCGCATTGCCAGCAGTCAACACATATCCGTCTCCGTCTTGTGTGACGTTGCTGAAGTCAATCGTGGACACAACCTGGCCAGATGCCGCATCCATGCCTTTCGGAGTGGTGTTTCCGCTCGCCACGATACTGTCTGAAGCACTGAGCAACGACCAAGTCACGGCTTTGGTATTGTTCGCAACCAACGTAGCGACCTTTGGTCCTTGAGGCAGGTAGCCCAGCTGATTGACCTTCAGAGCTGGGCCGACAAATTGCACATAGCCGCTCCGATCGATGCGTTTCATGCTGACATCGCCAATGCACACTTGTGCCTCTGCAGGTGCTCCTCCAAGGTCGAACTCGAGGGTTGCATTTGGTGCTTGATTGGCAGGGCTGAAAGTGACGGAGAAAGGATGTGGTGTTGTCGTCAATGGAACTGTGGTGTTCAAATTCGGGTCCAATGGAGGGTCTGGAGTCTGCACAATGATATCAAAGCCCACGGACGAGCTTGCCGTGAAGTTCACCGTGTAGACATCGTTCTTCGTCTCCAAAAACTGGTATGTCGTCCTCAAATAGCTGCTATTGCCGGGCGCTGATCCCGATGGGACGGTGATGCAGTACAAGCCATTTTGGATCTTGCCTGTTGGGGATGACTCCCACCCGTATGTGGCGTTGGTGAAAGCACCATTGGTGATGATTTGAGGGCTACCAGGAATGGGCGGCAGGGTAACATCTCGCGCTTGGACTGACTGGCCTGATTTGGCATTCACCGGATCTGCAAAGATACTCAGCAGACCAGCGATGGTGGCGACAGTGGTGAGAAAGGCGCTCATGGTGTGGATTTTGGAGGATTGTCCTGACGGCCATTTTCGCAGCAGCACTGTTATACCGGCTCTTATATAGGTTGTGCTGTTCTCCCTCCACTTCCTTCTTAGTCAGTCGCCTACCCTTGGCTCTCTTTGCCACTTTGCAAAGTCGAAGCAGCATCGATTTGAGGTAGATCGCAATCGGTGGTAGGACCGACATGGCCGTAAAGGTATCGACATTATTTTGGCTAAATGCTGCCCGCATCCGACTGTTTGTGACTGGCTGGAAGGGCCGGACGATGTGTAAAAAGATGGAGGCGATGACAAGATACGTGCAGCGAACTGCGGAGAGACGCAGACAATTTGCCGCAGTTCTACCGCTTTTCAAGCTCGCTTCGGCACGAACAACCTGGTACAGAACCTGACCTCCGATTGCGGCCAACCAGACGGCTTTTGCTCTCACAACAGGCCGTTGACCCAAGCGTCTTTCGGCATCGTCAGTGTCGACATGTCGGGTAGATTTGAGAAGTCGGCCATGTCGAAGGCGAATGCAGAATCATCCCAGAAATTCGGAGAGAAGGCCAGAGGGGCATTGTGCCCTGGTGCAACGACACCCGCCGCAGACCTGGGCGTAGTTTGGTCCATCGGCAGGAGGAATTGAGTATTGACACTCAACTCGACATCATCTGCAGGACCTCCAGTGCTGACATTCGGCGACGAGGATACGGCATAGTCGAGCAGATCCCACAATAGTGCGGTCTCAACTTTTGGCGGTTGTACCGGCTGTGTAGAGTTGTTGTATGGTGCAGCGAGCTGGGCAAGCTTTCCTAATTTCGCGCTCTTATCCCGAGCATCAGCAATGTAAACATAAATTGACAATTCGAGGATATAAACCACTCACGGTGTGAATAAGATGTGGATATCCATATGCCATCCCTTCGACAAAAAGCTGAAGTGTCTCAAAGTCTCTTGTTGCCCGCGCAGCCGTGGTCGCATCTTTGGAGAACCGCAGAAAGAATTGTGCAGTGGCAACCACCGAGGCGAGATGAGCAATGAATGGGTCAGAGATTGGGAAGCTTCTCTCGTCAGACATGTTGAGAAGCTGTACGATCCACGTTGAGTGCAAGATTGTTTGGTCAATGGCATGCTGAAGGAAGGAAGGAGATCGAAGTCTTTGTTGCCCGTGAACCCGAGCGACATGCAGGAAGGGATGATTCAAGGTGCAGTGTATGGCATGGTAGAGGCATTGGGCGAAGATCCAAGGTGCCCAATACGATCGGTGGGTCGTTAGGTCCGTGCTGGTCCTTTCGTGAAACTTTGCATTCTTGAATCTGTGGACCTCCGGGAAAATGGTTTCATACCTGGACATCTCTGACTTGATCTGTTGGTACTCGGAGTTGGTCGACCATGCATCTTCCAGTTTGCCTTGTTTGATGGTCTTGAGGTAAGCCATAAGGCGTCCCCAGATTGTCAACAATTGTAAAGCATAGGAACAGATGCCGTCATCCCTTTCATCAGGCATTCGAGGTTCTGTCGGGCCTCTGCTCGTGCTGTTGATCAGTGGTTGTTTGCTACTTGGTGGAGCTTCGGGAAGAATTGCTGCGTCAGAGATGGCAGTCAGTGTTCGGAGACTGCTACCATGAATCCGATCAAGAATGAACAGGCTCCAGCAGCATCTCGACAGCTCGGTCTTGCGGCCTATGGGCCTTCCTGATTCTGCCATCGCAAGGTTGGAACAGATGAGTGCCCTTGAGGCTATGCCGGAAGCCATCCAGGCTCGGACCATCTTCCCGTCTGCGAAGACGGCAATCAGCATTTGAGTTGCGTTCGGACTATGTGAAACGCACCATAGATTTCGCTCAGACACAGCAAGCAAAAGGATTGCAGGACGTCTAACGAGCCTGTAGGCTCTGCAACCTGCCTGAATAGAGTGTTCCATGCAGAGCTCTTGTAGTACTCTACAGCCTTCGTGGTGACACCCTCAAAAAAACCATCTGTGGAGAATCGAGCCGTGATTGCAAGAAAGGAATCCAGAAGACCCGCGGAAAATTTGCCCACTTGAGCCTGTAGAATAGCAACATCGAAAAGTGGCAAAGGTTGATCGGCTATCTTCTCTTTGTAAAGATCGACCAGCGATCCGAGGACATTGAAGGGAGGATAAGGCCTAAGTACTGTCACTGAGTATTCCTCGAGGATTGCAGCATCGATCTTACCTTCGGAACTCGTCGAATTTTGTTCTTTGGCCCTGCGCGACACCGGCTGGCTGAGGCAATCGTGGCGAGCTCTGGAGTGGTGTGGAAGGACGACGCGACTCTCTTGAGGGGACTTCTTCAGTCTGCCTCTCGACAAGTGTGCTGCCAATTTAGCATGCTTCCACGCTTGGAGGTCGCGACATACTTGACCGCCTCCATTATTTGTTCAACTCTGGCTTCCAACCTGTCAACGCGACCTGTGGAATGGCCCCTATCCGGCTTTCCAAGTTCGTCAGCGACAAGGGCAATAAGTTTTGGTGTTAGCAGACCTTTGTCTTGGTAACCCGGTGCTCCTTCTGGCTGCTTGCGACAGGAGTGTCGCTGGTGAGAAGATAGGTGCATCTCTGATTGAGGCGCGTGCAGAAAGAGCAAGCCGGTCTTTCGCCGGGACATTTTGTCTTCTTCCTCCTAGTGATTTTATCAACGTGGAGGTCTTCTCAGTGATAGATTTGAGCGTACCTGCATGGTTCACACGCTTGTCGTACCCGTGTTGGTGGCGGCGTACTGTCACTCATTCTGTAAAATCCCTTCCGAGGACCTGTGCGATTCGCCTCTGGCTTTGGACATCTTCATGCCAAAACGGTGTTGTCAGCAAAAGGTAAGACTTATTGTCAGGGTGGGATACGGCAGAGGTACGGAGTACACGACAGATTAAGTACTTGAAGGTGAGTTTTAGGTGGTGGAAGCTAGGGAGGCCATCGCTGTCACCTGCCAATAAACACAGGCGCCAATTTCCGGGCTTCTTTGCTTAAGAAAACTCTCTTATTTTCGCATTTCTCGGTGCCATCTTTACCCTTTTTAAAACGAGAGCACAATCATCAACCTTTGTTGGTCTCAATCTACTCATGAGCGTGATGGTCATTGTTTGAATCTACAGTGCTGGCTAAAGCGACAAGGTTATCTACAAGACTGCTGAAAAGCTTCAAGAAATCCTCAAGTGACATCACAGATTACCTCGAGCCATCTGTTCCCTCTCAATTGCTTCAAAGAGAGCTTTGAAGTTACCAGCACCGAACCCGGAGAAGTTATTTCTCTGAATGATCTCAATGAAGACGGTTGGTCTGTCCATCAAGTGCTTGGTGAACAACTGCAGAAGATACCCACCCTCATCGAAGTCGATCAGGATGCCCAGCTCTTTCAGTGCAGCAAAGTCTTCGTTCAGCTTCATGCCGGCGCTTTCAAGTCGTTTCGCCATCGACACGTAGTAAGTATCCGGCACGCTAATGAACTCGATCCCTCGCTCTCTCAAGTTAGTGACGCTGGAGATAATGTCGTCCGTTCTCAGGGCGATGTGCTGGACACCAGCGCCATTGTACCAGTCGACATACTCTTCGATCTGCGATTTCCTTATTCCCGTCGCTGGCTCATTGATCGGCATCTTGATCTTTTCGTCTGGACTGGCCATGACTATTGACTTCAGAGCGGAATAGTCTGTACAGATGTCCTTGTCGTCAACCGACCAGAACCTGTGGAAGCCTAGGGTCTTCTCATAATACTCGCACGCTGCTTCCATCTCATCCCAGTCCTGGTTACCGACACAATGATCAACATGCATCAAATCAACCTTTGGTAAGTACTTGGCAGTCCTCTCGACTTCGTTAACTGCTCGGTATCCTGGAAGGAAGGCACCCTTATATTGCTGGCGTTCGATCAAGGTGTGGATGGTGTCTCCGTACGTTCGAATCTGAGCATACGTTGCACTGCCAAACTCGTCGCTGACTGTCTTTGGCCGTTGGACTGCATGCGCACCCTTGGCTACGGCGGCATCATATACTGCAGCAACATCGTCCACTTCGAAAGCAACATCACGGACTGCGTCACCGTGGGTCTTCAAATGATCCTGCATCTCGCGGAGCAGCTTTCGATCTTCGTCGGACAGCGAGGCGATTGTGCAGTCCGAGCTCTGGAGTGGTGAGGTGAGGACGAAGGTCACGTCTCCGTTCCGGACAACGTGCGAAGCCAGAATCCGAGAACCTGTCTCAAGACCTCGGTACGCTATTCGCTCGAAACCCATACGAGTAACGTAGTACGCGGCAGCTTGTTTGGCATTGCCAACCCACCAATGGACGTTGTCGTATCCTCGATAGCTCGCGACATTCTTTGAAGACTGGGGAAGGGCCTGTACTGAGTACTGGTCCTTGTATTCACTGCTGAGTTCGTGAATCGGTTCTGAAATATCAGCAAGGGCGATTGGTGCCATGGTGCCTGGTTTCTGTGTGTTGTTGGGTTTCTGTGAAAGGAGCTCGGCTGGGATTGCGCAGAATGTTCACAGATGAGCGATTCGAAACAGAGGGGTACTATCTCACCTTTATCAGTTCCAGGACGGGTGCTGACCTTCGGGACGGAAAGCATTGGTACGTACAGGATTCTCTGGTCCCATGGCCAGCCCGGATTTGCACGCCTATCAACGACCCGGGATGTAAGCGCACGGTCCGTGTCACATCACTTCCGTGTTTGCATTCCCACCACTATTTCTCATACAACAACTTGCACATGCAAGCGCATAAGTTCTTCTGATAAGCAGACACTCTCTCCTATCACAATCGTCACTTCACCATCAACATCGACTGGCCGGTCAGAAGTCATACAAACCAGCGCCTCTCTCGAACAACGCAAAAATCCCCCGACCTCATAAACATGGACAGCCATAAGCTCAGCAAGAACGACTCATCAGTCCTATCAGCACTCTTTGACCCCGAGTCATCGCTATCTAGCAGTGTCCATATCGAAGGCAGTCTACCTCGAGGCTCCACTCCAGCCACAATGATACGACTTCAAGAACAAGAGCGACAAACCCTACGGCTTATCAACGGTGAGACACCAGAAGTCGATAACATCAAGCTCGCCATCTCCCAATTGACCACCATCATCGACCAAGACCCATCATACGCCTCCGCGTGGAACAATCGCGCACAAGCCCGCCGTATGCTGGTCAGAGACGAGGACCTTCCCCAGTCCTCGGAGACTGTCGCAGAGATCCTGCAAGACATCGCCAAAGCCGTATCGTTGGCAACACCCACACAACTCACTAGCGCCATCAACAGCCTAGATGCAAGAGTCCTTGCATCAGCGCATACACATCGAGGCTACTTGCTTCTGCTGGCAAGCAAATCGGAGGACAATCGCAGAATGCTCGACGCCGTGCCCGCCCTGAAAGATCTTTCGAGAGAGAATTTGGAAGAAGCCGCGAGTCGAGAACTAAGTCTTGGAGGTCGCTACGGGAATGAGACCGCTCGACAATTGGCGGTCAAGACGAATCCCTACGCCAAACTATGTGGCTCGATCGTAAGAGAGGCGTTGACAAAGGAGATTGCGGAATATTACCAGCCGTGTGTCACTATTGCTAGATAGTACCAAATGATCATGAATGAAAATCATGTTTACCTGCAATAGACAACTTCATATCTGATTGCTGTAATTGTCTCCTAGTGCTGCAGTCCTACTCTTCCACATATCCTCAGAGCCGGGCAGTGACTGGCCGAGGCTGCGATACAGGTTCAAATGTGAATGTACATAGTAGTCCTCTTCAGTAATCCACAGATCGATATCATTCACCGACTTCAGATGCATTCATGGCACATGACGATCAGGTCAAAACACGTCTCACAACTCCGCAAAGCACCAGTACCCTCACGTCAGATCAAGGCTATCTTGGACTGGACGCAAGACGGGACACGGATGCTGCACCGCGGATGCCATTGCGCAGATTTTCCGTGACACTGCCAGCCTGAGCACGTGACCGGTCCGTCTTAAGATATTTCTCTCTCTTTCTTTCTTTCCGTGTCGACGTCTGTTTCCTGAAATTTCGCCCTTGTCACTCAGTGGTTCCTGATTTGAACTCCTCACATTCTATCCGCTCTACGGAAACCCATTTTCTCAATGTCATGCCCAGGTGGCCACAAGTACGGGTCCCGAAAGTTACACTCACGAAGGGAATGCCATGCTAAAAAGCCCGGCTAGATTGACCGCAACTATCCCATATCGACATGATCTCGTCGCTTTCCACATAACCCCCATGCGTCTGAGACACATGTTACAAGTGACTCAGATATTGCGACCACTGTGGCGTATCGTAAGCCTCTCGTGGCAATGCACGTAGACTGATAAAGGCCTCGACGACAAGAAAACCTCGAGCGCAAACATACACCACACCGCAGATAAAAAGCATACTCCCAAAAACCGTGCGAACACATTCGATACCCCACCGAATGCACCACCCACGCCAGCCTTGCCGTGACGTGCCTTCGGATCCATTTTCCCGAGTACCCGCAAGAAATGGACCATCATATACTGACGCCAGAGAAAACAGAAACGCAGACCCAGCAAGGGATATGGCGGAAATCCTCCAGCAAAGACGTTCAGGCGAACTGGGAAAGTGTGCATTCCACGCAGATAGATGAATCGCACCGTATATGGTACCACAAGCGACGAAGAAGCCCACAGCTAGACCCTTGTTGCGCCATATCAAGTCATTCCCTGGCCAATTCGGTATTCTGACGTTCACATAATTTGTTTTGCATAACTCGTTGGGATATTCTGTGCGAGTCCAAAGTACTCCGTCCTGTGAACGTATATTTGGCAGCCTACGCTGGTGTCGTGCCCAGAGGTTTGGATGCCTGTCGAGGCACGCTGCTGCCAAAGACCATCTGTTCAGCCGAATCTTGTCCACTTCGATATGGACTGGCTGTCCGGGTGTGCCATTGGTGTTTGCATTTCTTGACACGTTTCTCGCAAGTGGATGCAGGCCTTCCGAGTTTGGACCAAAGCCCATCGGAAACAATGCCTGTTCTTCACCAACTCTGATATCGAACGATTTTTGCGAGTCCACGCATTGGACAGCATGAATATTCGATAGCACTTCGCCATGAGAGAACGGACGCATGGTCCTGACTGTGAGTTCTTGCTGACTGGGCTCAACCTGCTTGGCTTTGCCTAAAAAGGAACATATTTCATCGTTGTGATGGGTCGCTGCATTGGGAGGATTTCGTAGCTGCTGTCGAGCAGTAGGGTGTTGGGACTGTCGTGTACCAAAGCTTGTGCAGTTGTCGGGACTGTATGAGGTATCCGCATCCTTTTCGACGTCGCCTGTGTTGCTGGTAGCCTGCATGCAAGGCTCTCGAAGCGAGTTGGAACGCTGTTGGAGAATCTCATAGCGGATGAGGCTTTCGAATTCAGAGCGCTCAAACTTCTTTGTGAACTCATGGTCCTTTTGACTGCTGAACTCGCTGAACATCCACATGGCGGAGCAGAAAGAATGTATCCCATCTCCCTTTATCACCACGGGTTCACTGATGTTGAGAGGTTTGTGCCACCACAACGCGTACATCATCAATGCGCAAACGACATGGGCCACTGTATTGATCTCTAGAAGAGTGATGGGGAGGCCGGCAACTGCACGACCTATGCATTCAACGATGAGCCATCCAGCCTGTATCACGACAAGGACTTTGGCGAGACTGTTGGCTTTGCTTTTGTCCGATATAAACTGTTCAGTGACTCGTGGCAAGCGGCCCTGTTGCGCGAGGACGGCGGCCCCGTTGGCGGTGAGATGCACTCGGGGAGATTCAGGGATGTACTCCTCTCCATGATCCTTGGTATCAATCGCAAAGCCGCCCATCTGAGCGAAGAAATTGTGTTTCATGCTCCAGTCAGGGTAGTGCATGCTCGGATCCTATGATCGACTCAGTCTTCCAACGGCACATATTTCAAGAGTTGTGCCGGGACCTTACCTTTCCCTTGTTGCACTGCTCTACCGTCCGCATGAGTTCTCTGGCCGAGATCCACTGCGACCATGCTGTGAAGACGACCAGCTCCGGCGCAAACATTCCACACAGGATCCATTTCACTTGTGCGGCCAGAAGCTTACTTTTGTCGGTCGTGCACGGCACGTTCAGATGCACAGCTGCATACACGCATAATGAGAGTGTAATCAAACAGCTTCTCAAGAGCTCGAATGTGCCACGGACGTTGGGTTCTGGCCTGGGTTTGCGTTAATCTCCACGGGAACCATGCCGACAAAAAACATACATCCAATTGATTGTGGTATCGCTGTACGCGGCGTCGTCCGTTGACGATGACATGATGTAAGCCGACAAACAATCGTGAACAGATGTACTTTCATTGCAAAAGGATGCATTGATCAGTCAAGTTCAGGAGGCAGATGAGGCTGAGACTGCAGCCGCGTTCCAGGTTGTGCATGGCGAGGCTGAGACATTCTGCGACCCACCAATACTAGCAATATCCTAAGCGAGGCGAGCTGCTACAGGCGCTTAGCCAGACCAATTGCCCGTCGCTCAGGCGCAACTTCTCTTTCCTTGTTTTTCTTCGCTTATATCATCGGGGATGTGGGATGTACTCGTACTGCGAGGGCCACATTACGTTGGTGAATTTGCAGACCGGAACGCACGCAACTGCGCAGGCAGATATTGCAAGCATGTGTTCGAGATAAAGACAAGAAGAGAACGGTCGCAGAATGATCGAGCTGAAACAAACAATGTCTCGACGCAGCGTCACCAGTCGAGCAGTGTAAGTGACCACCTGGCTCGCGGTGTGGCCGCCATCAAGACAGAGAATGACCATGACTCATAACTCCTTATATACGCCATTCTGAAAGTCTGCGCTCATCCATACTTCGTGATCAGCACTCTGTCGGCCGTAGTGACAGCCTTACCTCAATCCCTCGAGATGGCAGGGAGACAACCTAAACAAAACCTAAATGAGCGTTCTTCAGTTTCTCAAAGCCCTTAACCTATCACCCAGTCCTTCTTCCAGTTTCGATCTGTCTGCAGTTTCTGCTTGTTGTAGCTCGTGCTCCGGCACCTTTTGCTGCATCTCCTGGGACAGCTCGACACCTGCTTCATCTGCCACTCGGTTCATCAAGGCATCAACCTCACCTTGGCCCTGGGCTCCGACTTGTTGACTTTCGACTCCGCCGGCGACGTTCTCGTAGTATCCGGACACAACATCAAGGTCTTCGAATTGCGACTCGAACTTCTCCATCACGGCGCCTATCTTGTCCAAGTCCATGTTTTTTAAGGCTGCGTCCATTCCTTTGACTGTCTGTGCCATAGAGGCTGTCACAGTGCGCATGGTAATGGCTGTCTGGACTCGTGCGGCAACTGCATCGATGCGAGCAGCTAACGTGAGAAGTTGAATTCGTTGTTGAGAGTTTCGGATGGAGTTCGTTGCATAGAGGCGGGCAATTTGAGGTTGAGGTGGGTTCTGGGTGAGGGCTTTCTTGAGTTTCGCTTGCTCCGCCCGAGAATCTCGATCGGCTTTGGCAGCCTGCCGATTGAGCTGTTTAGATGTGAACTGGATAAGGCACAGTGTTAGTATCGAGGCCGGAAGTAGGGCCGCAGTGATATCGTGGCTAGCAGGGTCAAGCGCAACCGACAATTCAAGGTGACTATAGTACCTTGAGATTAAACAGTGCCTTGTCGAGGCCCGACATGGTGTTTGCAATGCTTGTAAGATGCACCAGAGTACTGTGGGCTGTATAGCTGGTGTGCGCTTGCTGAGGGATGGCCGGCAGGAGGTCGCTGCACTCGGGCGGGCTCGTTGATCGAGTATGTACGGAGTACTGGACGTCGGTCGAGGGATGGACAATTCGAGGGTATTCGTTCGCTATTACGGTCTATTGGCAGTTGTCTGAGGAAGGCGCTCGGTGAGAGTAAGTGGGCTGGTAAGTAGATAGAGGATGCCTGCGCTGTTACGAGTCGGCGATGAGAGGATGACGCTGGCGAGATTGCGGGACATGCAGGTCGGCCAAGTCATTCTCTCCGAAGATTATCCGCCTCATTGGTTTCTGTCACTGCATCTATCTGCCTAAAGATAACATCCTTTTTTCTGTCTCTGCTTGTCAACAAGTGACATGTCATTTCATCAGCTTAACTTATCGACGCTGCTACGTCGACATATGGTAGATCAAGCCTCCGTTAGCATATCGAAACAACTCCAAGCGCGCAATCGTCCGAGCAAGTTCCATCCTTGGACACCCTTTGACAAGCATGCTCATTATTGCTGCTTCTCACCCCCTGCCAGCAACTCCTCCAGGTGCTTCCGCATGTCATACTCACAGAGCCATTCGGCTGTCAATTTGCCAGGCGGATCCTGCGGTGTCGCAAATCCGAAACGCTCTCGTACATCAGTCCTCGCCTTCAAAGACTTCTCTTGCACTATCCTGACTCTATCACGGCGTAGTTCTTCGTACAAGTCGAGAGCTTTGGACAAATTTCCTTTCAAACGCCTCAGCATCTCCTGCGAAAGAACCAGACTCAACGCTGCAGCATCCTCCACTGCCATAGAGAAGCCTTGGTTTTGATCAGGCATCATTGGCGCTGCAGCGTCTCCAATCAAACATGCTTTCCCTTTTTGCCGATATGGATATGGCTGATGTTCAAACAATCTCCATATCTTGACATCTTCAGCCACCAACATTACGTCCCGGAGAATTGGGTCAATGCCCGGAAATGTGTTGGCCAAATCAGCCGGGCTCGCAGGTATGTCCCAGCCGTCTTCACACAAGGGTGCCCGTTCAGCTGGAAAGAATGCAAAACCTGTAAGTAAGCCAAAATCGTGTGCGGGTCCCCAGACGACCTTATCGATGCCTTGTCCTCCCCAGATGGATATGACTGGCTTGTTGCAGAGATCGGTCAATTGAAGTGACTCCAAGTTGCTCCGTCGAATGATGAATCGATAGCAGCACGATGTGGATGGATTGGCTTCGGGAGTAATTCCAATGCTACGTCGGATCTGAGACTATCGCCTTTCGTCAGGGACTTCCCGTTCGCTGGACAAGGAGAGCTTACATGGATACCGTCGGCCCCCACAATGAGATTTGCCTTGATTGTGACACCATTTGAAAACGTGCAAGTCGCCTCTTCAGCATTTGCAGCCACACATCTGTGGTCTTGCTTCAAAAACACATGCTGCACAGAAACATTCAGGTTGTCTGGTGCCGCCAACGCCTTCCGAAGGAGTGCTTTGTGCAAGTCTGCGCGATAGCACATATAATAGTTGTGACCAAAACGACTCTTAAAGTCTCCAGTCCCTACGTCGGCCAAGATTTTACCAGTTTTCCAGTCGTGTATCTGGGCTCTCTCACATACCAGTGCCTTGGCCAATCCAAAATCGACACCCCATTCACCTTCTAGCCATTTTGTTGCGTTACTCACAACACCGATGCCAGAGCCAAGTTCGTACCGAGTATGGTCGCGCTCATAGACAGTCACATTATGTCCGACCTGCCGTAAAGCGATGGCCGCTGACAAGCCACCCAGGCCGCCGCCAATGATGGCAATATTGAGGGAGTGTTGTTCCATTGTCACGAAGGATGTAGTGAAAGACGGCATGTCTCGCCCTCATATATCAAGGCCATCCATGGCGTCAGCCTGGTTGCCTTAAGTTACCAACTCCATGGGACATGGCCACGTCAAGTCGAATCCAAGGTTCTCGACTACAATCGAGGGCGTGATGCTTCTCGCACTGCCGTCAATCAAACGACGGCCTCCAACACACGACAATTTCGAGTACTGGAAATAGCATGTCGTCTGCTACCATATTGTGTTCCTTATTCGTCTTCCCAAGCCACCTCTGATTTGAAGTACACCAACGAACAAGCTTTGGTAAGCCGACCCGTGCAGCAAGCCACATGGTCGAGGTCGAGTGGACCATGGTGCACTCGACCAGCGGCACAACTGCGTCACCGCATCGATTTTAGTATATTTCTTGCCTAAACGGCCTCGAAGGACAACGGACAATTCTCTCCGAGGCATCCGCATGCACCATTAGGCAGAACTACTCTGGTCCCTGAGGTGGCGCGCTGACAACGTGAAATGTTTCGAGTTCATCCGTCGGCTTTTATGACCTGCAATTGGTGCAAATTGGCTCTTCCCTCTCACGAAGGTTCTAGCTGTGGGCATGACGTCCGCCCACCTCAAAACTGCTTGTACACATTTTGCAAGGCTCTGCGCCTGTTCGGATAGTCTCGCGAATTCATTTGCGCATATGGCCGGGACACAATACCTCCAGCATACTCGTCGATGTCGTATGGCTATGCCGAGTCTGGGGCGGATTCCAGTCAGAGTTCAATATCTGCTCTTAGCGATCCACTACAAGGCGACACTCCAGGTACCACTGTACATACGAGTCTCCCATTTCTGGGGATCTCGTACGCGCTAACCCTCTTCGGTCAGACCTACGACCAATGCTGACATGGGGAACGTTTCTACTACCCTGCCTAGACCCTCCGGGCACGGTCGATGAACCTTCACGTGTATGACAATCTCTCCAGGGCTATGGACTGCTCAGCCTGTCTCCATGCGCGGATCAACTGCGCGGACCTACAGCGCAGGACCATACGAGACTATCCTCTTTTCAGCCTTGGAGCGTTTAGGCCCCCACTAGTCGACAGATCTTCGTAGCCTTGCAGGAAGGTCCTGTACCTAACTAACTCTTTGCAGAAGACGATACGATGTATCTCATATTTAGATGGTGAGGCCTCCAAGATGTCTCCATGCTTTCGAAGACATATGAGTCGCCGTTGTCCCCATCTCCGTTGCTCAATGCTCAACAGTCTCGCACTTCGCAAAGCAGATCAAGATGAAGCTGTCTAATACCGCAGTGGGCGCCTTCGCCTTGTTGCCGTTCGTCAAGGCGCAATATCCTCCCAAACCATCCGGCCTCACTGACACCATCTCGATAGTCAATCAACAGATCAACATTACTTGGAAGGAGGTAAGTCGATTGACGCATACAGATGTACTCAGTCCTAATTGTGCCCAGGCCAATATCTGTGAAACCACTCCTGGCGTCAAATCATATAGTGGCTATGTGCACATTCCTGGGAAGCTCATCAATGACACTGGTGGCTTTGATCTCCACACATACTTTTGGTACTTTGAAGCACGCAACAACCCGACAACTGCTCCTCTAGGAATCTACCTTGCAGGTGGCCCTGGGGAAGCGTCCTCCTACGCTGCATTATCGAGTGAGAGTGGACCTTGCTACGTCAACTTCGATGGCAATGACACAGTGCTGAACCCATGGTCCTTCAACAACAACGTCAACATGCTCTACTTTGACCAGCCTGTGCAGACCGGCTTGTCCTACAACACGCTGATCAACGGAACATATGACCTCGAAACGCTCATCATCACCCCTAACACGCCCGGTGTAGCACCACTCACCAACGACACCGTGATGTTGGGCACCTTTTCCAACGTCGATCCCGACAAGACCACGAACACTACAGTCACCAGCGGCAAGGCCTTATGGCATGTCCTTGAGAACTGGCTCGCATCGTTCCCCGCGTACAACACAACCTCAAAGAAGATCAGCTTCTGGGGCAATTCATACGGAGGCTTCTGGGTTCCCGAGTCGGCCACGCTTCTCGATCGCCATCTCAAGACCCTGGCCAACACGCATCCTTTGAAGCCAAAGAATCTCACTGTCGACGCAATTGGTATCACAAACGGCTGCATCGACTTTGAAACCTCTATGGCAGGATACCCTCAATTCGCCTACAACAACACCTACGGCATCCAGTATTACAACCAGTCAATGTACGAAGACGCCATGGCCGCATTGAACAAGTCCGACGGATGTCTCGACCTGATTCAGCAATGTCGTGCAGCCGGTCAGGTAGGCGATCCAAGTTTCTTGGGCAACAACGCCACGGTCAATGAACTGTGCACTGACGCCTTCAATCTTTGTTTCACCATCATCGAGCCTCTGAACGTTCTCTACAATGTACGGATTACATCCTACCCTGACTCTCCCAGTCCTTGCGTTGCTAACATTTCCGTGCATAGGTCTCCGCCTTTGATGTCGCCATCGCCACGCCAGATCAGGTTGATCAATGCCCCTACTACCTCCCCGTCGCCGAGTATCTTAACATTCCCAAGGTTCAGTCCGCCTTGGGCCTAGCCCTGAACTGGACATGGGACTCCGAGGTCGTCACCGCAGTCTTTGGCTTCCCTACACCTCTCGCTCTGAACGGCACCGGCGACGCCTTCCGCCAAGCCGGCATGGACAACATCAATTACCTCCTCCAAAACGACATCAAGATCGCCTTGCTATTCGGTGATCGCGACTACCGATGTCCCTGGACTGGAGGCGAAATGACAGCCAAGGCCGCCAACTGGACGAATAGCGCCGGGTTTCTGGAGGCAGGGTACCAGCCACTTCAAGGCCTGAGTTCCAGCACCAAAGGCGGTGTGGTCAAACAGTACGGACCGCTGTCATTCACGAGGGTGTTTGACTCGGGACACTCACTGTCGGCATATGCGCCGGAAACGGTGTTTAGGGTATTCAACCGCACGACGTTCGGCAAGGATGTGGTTAGTGGGGCAAAGATGATAGGACCGAATTATCATACTACTGGGCCGACGGATAGTTGGGGGTGGAGGAACAAAATGCCTGCGAACGCTCCGTTCAACGATACTTGCATAGTGGAGGGGAAGTTCTTGCCAGAGAGCCCTTGGGTGGCAATTGCGGAGTGAGTAGTTGAAAGGGGGAGGAAGGTACAGTCAGCATGGCTGATGCATTGAGCGGGTATGCAGTACGCTAGCGGTAACCGGGATTGCCAGTATGGATTTTGTCTTGTCATAATCGAAAGCTCTTGGACTGGGGGAAAGCTCTGAGTTGTTCATTGTGTTGCGAGGTATCCCTGCCCCTTACAACCTCAGCCTTGCACGTGACACTCCTCAGCAATGAGATTCACATGACATTCAAACATTGACCACTCCCTGTAAACCAAATGCTGTGACCACTCAGACTTGCAGCGGAACTATAGCTGGTACAAAGCTTCATTTCTGACTGCTTCGACGCCAATGTGGAATGTCGATGGAAGGTACGATGGAAGGAAGGTACGATGCATAAGTATAGGGACGTGTTAGAGCCAACGGTGATGTTCGAGAGCCGTTCTATTCAAGATCGATCGTCGCAGAAGGAGACTGTCGCGTTACAGCCACACCAGCCGAGAGCAAGTAAGATACGAGAGATCCGAGGCTAATACGAGACGCTCATTGCGGAGGAGCTTTTGATTCGACCCGTGATCACTCGTATCTTCGGATCTTGGCCAGAGCTATAAATCAACTTCATCAAGCTCGGTGCTATTTCAACATTATCACATCCGCCCCGGCTTACTGCAACAACAAAACAACGAAAACATGTGGCAGTGAGGTATCGTGCTTACTGGGACGCGCATTTGGACCACCCTTATCTCTGGCCGGAGTCCTTGCTTTTTCAGCACCCCGCATGACGTCGATAGGCGCAGGGTGCCTGAAGAACTAGGTAAACCTCCACCTATGTTTGCAGACTCTTTTGCTGTATCGGTCTTGGCAGCGTCGGTGTCAGCAAGAAGGCTTTCCTTATCAGGCCTACAGATCCTGGATGCGACCCTCTAATCAGTCTTAGAGTTCTGCCACGACGAGCATGAGTGGTTGCCCAGGCTTCGCGGGCACGACTAGCACTATGTGCCTCTGCATGGACCGGCCTTCGGCGCAAGAATCAAGATCCGATCGCTTGCCAGGTACGGACCATGCGACGCCATGCCTGTGGATTACTGTCAGCGCGGCACAGTCTGCGGAGTGGTCATAAGTACAGCTTCCTGTCATTGAGACTTGCTTCCGCACATGTTAAAGATCGTACGCCAAAATGATGTTCAAACATTGGGAGAAACTGCTGCTCGTTGCCAGCGTTCTGCTCGGCCTTGCTGCGGGGTCGCGTTGAGATGTCGCTAATCGTAGAGGGTTCACACCTCAAGCGATGGAAGAGATGCGAGCCAGATCTCTCATCATGGAACGTGCAACTAGCAATACCTCCGATTTACTGTACTATACCAACGAAACTAAGGGTGAGACTTTGCACAATGGCGAGCGTGGTTGAACTCGACATACTGATCATCTGCTCATCTAGAGTATTATGTGGAGTCGTTGCCAGACATCCCGCAAAGCTACATGACCGAGCTGTACAGTGGAGTGATCCCTCTGAACATGTCCAACACCACTCGCGGAATGTTCTTCGTCTTTCAGCCACGTGTCGGCCCGCCAGTCAAAGAGATTACCATCTGGTTCAATGGCGGACCCGGTATGTCGACGATTTGGCAAATATCACAAGTAACCATGATTGACGGAATACAGGATGCAGCTCTCTCGAAGGCTTCTTGCAGGAGAATGGCCGTATCCAATGGTCTTGGGGCCAATACTCTCCACAGATCAATCCTTACTCCTGGGTCAACCTGACGAATATGCTCTGGGTCGAGTACCCCGTCGGCGTAGGATTTTCACCAGGGACACCGACCGCAACAGATGAAGAGGAGCCAGCTCTTGAGTTCGTCGAGTTCTTCAGAAACTTCCAGGTGAGCCCGGGCCCTCTGAGGTCGAGGACGACACACTAACGGGGGGTCAGACAATCTTCAATATCAGCAACTATTCGATCTACGTCACTGGCGAATCGTATGCGGGCAGATATGTTCCCTACGTCGCCAATGCTATGCTCGACCAAAATGACACCACGCATTTCAACGTTTCAGGTGCACTCATGTACGATCCTTGCATCGGTTCGTGGCCGACGGCCAATGCACTTTCCGTATATCCATGGATCGAGCAGAACAACAACATAATGGGGTTCAACAAATCCTTCCTGACTAATCTCGCCGAAGCTGACCAGCAATGCGGCTACGCTCAATACCGGGAGGATTTCATGCACTTCCCACCGAACGGCACCCAGCCTGCCACATACCTGAATACAACCGCCGATCCAGATTGCGACCTGTGGGACACTGTCTACAACTCTGCCTACGGCGTCAATCCGTGCTTCAACGTCTACGAACCCAACCTACAGTGTCCGCTACTGTCCGACCCGCTCGGCTTTCCAAGCGACTTGATATACTCGTACGCCGGACTCCCACCGTACTTTAACCGCACAGACGTCAAGAAGGCTATGCACGCTCCGTTGACGACCGACTGGGAGTTGTGTACTGGACCTGTCTTCGTGGGCGATGGAGGGCCCGAGGACGAAGGAGATCTAAGTGCCGATCCACTGCAAGCTGTCTTGCCGCGTGTGATCGAGGCTACGAATCGTGTGCTAGTGTATGTCTCCTCCGAACATGAAACGCTCACATTCGGCTAATCTTCCCTCATAGCTCAAATGGCGACCTCGATTTGGAAATCCTCACGAACGGCACTTTACTTGCCATTCAGAACATGACTTGGGGCGGGAAACTGGGTTTCCAGACCGAGCCCTCCAAGCAGATCGTGATCACCATTCCAGACATCCAATATGAAGAGGTTTTCGTCTCGAGCGGTTTCGACGGACTTGATAATTACCAGGGCGTGATGGGTGTTCAGCACTACGAACGTGGATTGATGTGGGCGGAGACATATCTCAGCGGGCACATGCAGCCTCAATTCCAGCCGCGAAGCTCTTACCGCCACTTGCAGTGGCTGTTGGGCAGAATCGATGCACTTTGAGGGGCGGGCCGCACGATTCAGACATGGCAAGATTGTTCATCGACGTTCGAAGCCACTCAGGTTCTCGATCTGGCAATACAGCACCAAGCAGTGCGGATTGGCCGTGCCCATCGTTGATGAGCTTACATGCAGCGATCTACTTAATCCATAATACCGACATTTTCAGCCACAGTGAACTTCGCGCTTGTCCTTTCTCTGACCTCATCCACGCTGACACCCTCTGCTGTCTCAGTGAGTACTAGGCCTGTCCCACCGATTCTATCAACTTGGAAGACGGCCAACTCGGTGATAATGGTGCTCACGACACCCTTTCCAGTGAGCGGCAGATCGCACACATCGACAACTTTGCTCCGACCATCCTTATCGCTGTGGTACGTGCAAACAATGATCTTGGTCTTGTCAGGATTACTGACTAGGTCCATCGCACCTCCCATACCATTAAACGCCTTGCCAGGAATTATGTAGTTCGCCAAATCACCGGATGCCGAGACCTGCAGGGCCCCTAAAAGAGACACGTCGACGTGCCCACCACGGATCATGCCAAAGGACTCGGCCGAATCAAACGTCGACGCGCCAGGAATGAGCGTAACAGATTCTTTACCTGCGTTGATCGTGTCGGGGTCTGCCTCCTCACGGGTCTTCGGGTAAGGACCCATGCCGATGATGCCGTTCTCCGATTGCAGCCAGACTTTCGTGGACGCAGGCAGGAACGAAGGTGCAAGCGTCGGAATGCCTACGCCGAGATTGACGTAGAATCCGTCCTTGAACTCTTCTGCAGCACGTTTTGCGATGCGATTGCGCTTGACGGCTTCCTCACTCTTTGCTTCAGTAGCGTCCTGTGTGGGCGCCAGAACAAGCTTCTCAATATGCTTGTCCGACGTTGCGGGACAGATGCGGTCGATGTAAATGCCTGGTAAGTCGATGTGATCTGGATCCAAGGCGCCGATGGGTACGATATTCTCCGCCTCGACGATGGCCAGTTTCGCGGCTTTCGGCATCAATACACCGTACGTCTTGGTGGTGGAGCGGAAGATGCAATTGCCAGCCTCGTCGACCTTCCATGCCCGCACGATGGCCAGGTCGCCTTTCAGTGCCGTCTCCATCATGTACGAGCGTCCGTCGAATATGCGCGTCTCTCTGGGTCTACCTGGCTCAGCAACGGCATACTTGCCGGTTTGTTCATCCTTGGGCCCGAGACGATGGGGGATCCCGCCGGTCTCGATCAACGTGCGGCTTCCGGTCGCCGTGTAGAAGGCTGGAACTCCCGCCCCGGCTGCCCTTAGGCGTTCGGCGATGGTGCCCTGAGGACATAGCTCGATGGCGACCTGACCGTCATGGTACTGTTTGCCTAGAGACTTGTTGTTTCCGATGAATGACACGATCATGCGAGAGATTTGGCCTGTGGAGGTGAGCTTGGCGAGACCATATTCTCCGGCACCCGCGTTGTTGGACACCACTGTTAGGTTCCGAGTGCCCTTCTTGCGGATTGCATCGATCAAGGTCTCTAGATTCAGCAGTTAGAGCATTGTCCTTCCACATAATGCCGTTTGGGAGAGCCTGCTTACCTGCAACTCCAGAAAGACCAAACCCAGCACTAAGAATGGTTGTGCCTTCTTTCAGATCTGCGACTGCTGCATCTGCACTTTCAAACACTTTGGAAGCGTTCCTGCTGTCTGCTGCTTGCTCTTCTCTTACGGGAGGTACGCGGAGTCGTTCTCGCAGCAGACCCGAGGTAACTCCAAATCTTCGTCTTTGGGGAGTAGTCACTGCTACAGCCAACACCGCCCGCTTGACTGTCTTCCATCCCACGGCGTCTGTGACCAGTCTTTGCTGACAAGGCTCCAGGAGTAACGCCATAACTCTGTACACTTGTCACAGCCTCTCTCAGGTGTGCAAAGTGCAGAGTGAGTTCACCTTGCTATCCATATGAGATGCCGCTGAAATGATGTGATTGGCGGGGCCGCATTGGGGGCGCCCGGCCATTTCCCGTCCATCGTCGCCAGTATTCAATCCCCGTGCGGAGTGCTACGGCGTCATGACCGGTAAGGCTACGTGTTTCATCTCCATAACATCTCGACGCGTGCTATCCAAAGTATCTTACGAGAGGGCGGAACAGACCACGACGAGACCCTTTCTAAGGCAGGCCCATTCTGACAGTTGTCTTCTCGTTATATCCCCATGCGTCTTTACTCCCATCATGGACAGTACATCTCCTCATATCGCGCGCATATTTCTCCATGAACGTACCTTGGCCCGCCCTGTGCATGACACAGGTGTTGTCCCAGATGACCAAGTCGCCTTCATTCTGCCATTCGACACTTAGCACATACTTGTCTTGCGTGGCATGCGCAAGCAGCTTCTCAATCAAGTCTGTGCCCTGAGGCTCTGGCACGCGCTCGAAGGGTTGTTCCGGCGTGGCCACAAAATCCTTCGACCTCGGATGCTTGTACTCCAAGTGGTGCATGTGGTTGGCAATATACAGATTCTGTCGACCGCTAGGTCCATGTGTCTGGACCACGTCATGACGACCAAAGGGAAACTTCTCAGGATCAACGTCCTTGAGCCACTGGCTGTCCTTGGGCGCTGCTTTCTTCCTGGAATGCATCAGGCTATGAGCTCCAATGTACTGATTTTCGAGTAGGTCTTTGCGAAGGCCTTCAGGCAGCTCGTCAAACGCTGTCCTTGTGTCGGCAAAGTCTGTGTTGCCACCATGTCCCGGCGGAGGCAATGAGTGAGCTCGCAGTAAGCTGAAGCCAGCCCGCCTTGAGTTAAAGCTGGAATCCACATGAAAGATGGAATTGCCCTGAAAAGGGTCAAGACACGCACGCAGTATGCCCGGCAAGGAGACAGCTTACCAGACCAGTGTGATGCCGTCTACTGCCTAGTTTGATCAAGGATCCATCATCCTCTTGATTGCTCACATCGAAGAGTTCATCGAAAGGAAACCGATTCTTCCGGCCAAGTGCAAGGTATGGTTTGATGTCGTCCAACTCGCCGAAAAGAGCTGAAAAGGCTACATGATGAGCATCGTCCAGTGAGGCGTGACGGAAGACGAGCACGCCGTACTGTCGCGGAGGATGTTAGCCATCACAACATCAACCGAAGCACAACTCCGAGGCCAGCAAACAAGGTTCACGTAGCCAGCAGCACCGCACACTCGAAGGTATGTTGGGAGAGGGCTCAACTCACTTTAACAATCGCCCTATGGATCTCGTCGAACACTTCCTTCTCCACAGGCTTCGAAAGGTTCACCCCGGTGACCTCTGCCCCAAAGGTTGGGGCCAATGCCTTCAGCTTGATATGCTGATATTCCGTGTCTGTGGCATGAGGCATCTTCAATGTTGGTCAATTCAAAGATTCTTGAAGCTTGCAAGCCGGTGGTCTTCGCGTGCTTTTGATACTCCGAGTCTAGGACTCTCGCGATCGTCGATTGATCTCAGAGGTGTTAGTAAGTCTCGCAGATGTCACAACCTACGATCAAGCGCCAAGTACGACTTCGACCTCTAACAGCTTGCTATCTCCGCAGACTCATGATCAGAGTGCGAGATGATGCCTCCTGATGGGCATTAAGACCGACTTGAAGCTCTCCGGGCCACAGTACAGTCTTGCGGTCAGCATGTTCTTCGTGGGCACTTGCGTTGCAGACCTGTTCACCAACATCGGCATGCGTTACATTCGTCCGAGTCTGTACCTTGCAGGCGCGATGGTCAGTGCGAAACAACCATGGTTTATGACAGTCACTGAAGATGCTATCAGATAGTCTGGGGCATTGTGGCTTCACTCCAAGCCGTCGCAGGAGGCTCGTCTGGCTTATACGCTATTCGCTTCTTTCTAGGCATCTTCGAGGCTGCATTCATCTCGGGCGCACCATACCTGACTACCATTCTTTACCCTCGAGCTGTAAGTAGTCCTCTTGTAGACATCACCTGGGCTACATCTGATCTTCTAGGACTGGGGCAAAAGAATCTGCGTTTATCTAGCCGCTACGCCACTTGCCGGTGCTTTTGGTGGCTGGATCGCCTATGGCGTCTCCCACGTCAACAGCACCCATATCAAGGACTGGCAGATCTTGTTCATCCTTGAAGGTCTCCTGACTGTAGCCTTCGGCATTATCTGCATATGGGTCTTGCCCGATCGTCCACACAACACTCGATGGCTTACCCCCCGAGAACGTGACGTTGCCGACTGGCGCATGATGCGTGATGGCAACCGCACTCACGGCAAGATTCATTGGGCTGTCGTCCTCAAGCAACTACAAGACTGGCGGTTGTGGACCAACATCGCCATCTATGTAAGTCTCACTAAGCTCTCGCAATTGGAAAGGGCATATCTAGCTCACTCCTCCTGCTGCGTTAAGCTCTTGGGGACTCCTGCTGACATGGCTTTTCCTCGCCCCAGATGTGCCAAGTCATCTCGACGTACACCATCGCGACATTCACACCAATCATCGTCAAAACCATGGGCTTCACAAACGTCAAAGCACAACTGATGGTCGCTCCGCCATATTGCGTAGCCTTTGTCATGGTCTTCGTGGTGGGCTATCTTTCAGACCGCTTCAAGTCTTGTTCCGGCATCCTGGTCATCAACTCGATCGTCGCGGCAGCAGGAGACCTAATGCTAGTCCTCGTCCCAGCAACACACAACAACGTCCGCTATGGCGCCACATTCCTCACCATCACCGGCATCCTTTCTGGCGTGACTCTCTCTGTGGGCAACATCACAGGCAACAGTTGTGGTGATATCAAGAAGGGCGTTGCGACGGGGCTCTTCCAAGCGTTCGGATCAACTATGGGCGTGGCCACGGGGTATCTCTTTCCTCAGAAGGACGGGCCAAACTACAGAACAGGCTTCTGGGTCTTGTTCGCAACGACGTGCTTCACCGGCGTCGGCTCAGCAGTCGTCACGGTCCTTAACATCCGTGAGAATCACAGACGTGATGCCTTGACTGGAAAACCACCAACTGACAAAGTCATCGACTTCGACGAGGACGGACTCATGGAACGACATCCGCATTGGAGGTACTATAGGTGAAGCAGAAGCACAGTCCCTTTCTAGCACGAGAAGCTATGTTCAGCAGGCTGATGGTGATAGAACGGTCGTCATCGTATATGATATTATGTACTATTTATTGATTATCCTATCCAAGCACCATTCTTTTTTCGTGTTCCCCCAAACGCCATCTATGCTATTATACTGTACAAGGTTAAGCCCTCCCCAACACCACAGCCAGATACACCTCTTTGCTCTGATCCAGCTGGACTCTCCTGCGGCTAACGTTAGTCAATCAACGCATCCTTCGCAACCTGCGCAAACGTCCTATTCTTCCCATCAATCACCGCCTTCTCCTTGTACATGTACGCGCCATCCCAGAACATAGCGCCCGACAAGTTCGGCAACTTCAACTTCTTCATACTCTCCAATATCGTCCTGTAATTCGACATATTGACGTACCCGTTTTTCTCGCCCGCGTAGAACGTACGTCCTCCCACAAGCAAACGCGGATACGTAACGTTATTCCCATTGACGTTGAACAGACCCTGGGGCACCGCACAATCTGAACAGGCCAACTTTCTCGCGCCCAGAAGTGCTGTCGACCAATTCTTCAGCGCCGCAGGAGCATGACCACTGCCCAATTGACATGCTTGCGCGTTGTAGAACTGCACATTCCAATAGTCGATTTGATTGAGCATCGTCGACACTGGGATATCGGGGTCTGGGTACGCGCATATAGGCGCCGCCGAGAAATAGTATTTCTTGGAAGTGTCTTTCTTAGTCAAGTTGCGTAGCGTCGAGACTAAGGTGTATAGATGCGCTGCATTGGTTACGTTTTCGTTGTCTAGGAACCTCAGTCAGCACTCACTCAGTCAAACAACACCACGATCCAGTGTGCGCTCGTAGTATGCATCAACGGGAGAAAGGAGACATACCGATATCGAAACCATCGAGCACCACACTTCCAAAAGGTCTGACCCCTTTGCCCTTATACCCATCCCCTCCCAGGAACAAATTCCACAACGTGGTCGCCAGTGTCGTCGCATCGGCCGCCGTCGGAATAGCTAGATCGGCACTAGCCCCTCCCGCGCTGATGAGCACTTTCTTCCCCAGCTTCTGACAAGCCGCGATCTCCGCTGCGAATCCATCGCCTACGCAGTCCAAGAGTCCCGACATTCCGGCCGCAGTCTGTGTGCTGTTCGGGTTACTGCACAAATACCCGTTGAAATCCAAGGTGATATTCTCCTTCCCACTGGACGCATAAAAGGAGTCGATAAAACCCAAAGTGATAATGTCCACTGACAGCCCGGCGCAGAGCTGTGTCAGAGTGACGTTCGTGGTCATGTTGGTTTGGCCGTAATATGCGATCGTGATGTCCTTGGCCGTGGCGTTGAAGACGTACGTTGACGAGGTGGTCGTGGTTGCAGCCTCGACTTTCGATGGCGTCATATCGTCTGTCGTGCTGATCGTGCTCACATCGCGACGAATTAGACCTGAACCTCCCTCGGCGTCAAAGGCGCCAGCAAGGAAGCCCGACGACTCGAGATCATGCGGGATCGACCAGGCTGAGACTCCCAATTGCCATAGACACAGAAATAAAGAAACCAGCAGACAACGCAGTGAAGATACCGATGCCATCTTTAGCAATGCGATCAACTCAACTCACAAATTACCCAGACTCTTACCTTGGGCAAAGGCAAAGGCCTAGCCAGCTTACCATGACTTTTTATTGTTCTAGACTCGATGACATAGGGCCTAGAGCATACGTATGAGGTCTTCCAGAAGCCCACCGTGCATGGCCATTGCATGGCCTGTGCTGCCTCGTTTCGTATGTCGTGGTCGTCGATTAGTCAATTTATTGGCTTGGAAAAACGCCTAGGCAATGGTTCGAGGATTGCGCATGGACCACAGGTTGCCAGAGTGTTGGAAGAATCCGAAAAAAGGTCTCGAAAAGCTGGGTGCTTTCAAGCTTGGGCCTTCACATGTGACGACGTCAGAGGAAGAACAGCACACATATTAGGTAATTTCAAGGAGGTTGGGAAAAACAACTCCATGCAGTTCATGATATGGATTTTTGGGTCTCTGCCAAAAGGGCTCTCCAACACGGACACGACAGTTGATTTCTACAGGGTACTGCCATTCATGCCACAATTTCCAAACATTCTCTTTTGACCGGCCTCACGCAATCCCACTGGTGATTGTTCTGTCATTGAATGCTCCATGTCGCTCACCCAATCGCCATCTAGTACCCGTAAACAAACCATGGACACCAATGATTCCCGTGATAGATCTTAACAGACGCTCGTCACAACACCCAACCCTCATCCGGCTTCACGCTAGATCCGACGACCAACCAGCACCGCAGCAGTATTGAAATACAAAACCGTTCCAGGACCTCGTTGCGAACACTATAACGCACACTCATGAATCCCTGCAGGTCCTAAATCATTGTACTCACTCCTGGTGAGGAATCCCTTGCTGTTGCCTTGATCGACCATGAAGACAACCTTGGCAGCAACTTGCGCTCCCAGGAATCCCGCTTCTTCCATACCACTGACGCTAGGGTCCTTCCAGTCGGGAAAGTATTCGGGTGGTTTCACCGTCTTTATCGACGTAGGTGACTGACTAAACCCTCTGTGGCTGAAATGCATGCTGGGATCTAACCCAGCTTGGATCTGTCCAGGGACTTGCAGATGCTGATTCGGTTGCATCATGTTCTTGGTGGCCGCAACGAGAAGAGGATTGACACCGTGCCCACCTGCGTTCGGTAGTGAGTGGCCCTGTCCAGGGATGGGAGTATTGGTGCCTGGGGTGGCGACAGGCGTGGTAAAGTTGGACGGTAATTCGGAGGTGAAGATGGTTGCGGTTGATGGAGATAGGACGTATCTCGAGTTGAGAACGGACAGGAGACTGGAAGTGAAACCTGAGATATATTAGCCATGACCTGAGATCGGAAATATCGTGGTTCTTCATACCTCTTATGCGACTCCCATTGCCCAGGATAATCAAATTCTCCCACAGTGCGGATCGCGTAGAGATATCGGGAACACTCAAAACAGTATGATGGACAGCCTCAGCAATTGTGTCGATAATGCCTTCGGTCATGCCAGGCGGTGGTGTTGCTGCCATGAAACGTTCCACTCCTACTTCGATTTCTCTCTTTCGTTTTCGACTTGTCGGATTGGTGTCACCATTCTCCTCGATTGGAAGATGTTCGGTATACGTGAATGTCGCACGGTCTTTGTTCGAATTCTTCAACCGAAGCTGTCTCGCTGCTTCTGTAGATGCTCCCTTTTTCGCAGCAGCCGCCTTTTCAGCCTTCTCTTTTTCACGTTTAGCAAGCAATTCCGCGGCATTATCGCGGGCAACAATTGCTGCAACGTCCAATACTCCTTCATTGTCTTCGTCGTCGCCATTTGTCGCTTCCTCTCCCACCATTGTGCCAAATCCAGGACCTCTAGGAGCTTGACCAGGTCTCACTCCATCACCATCTTTAGCATTGATACCCGAATCCAACGCTCCAGTAGAAGCAGCGGCCGCAGGATTCGGGGCCGTGCTGTTGGCATTTGCCTGCGGGTAAGCCACTCCTAGCGGCAGTATCTCGCATATGGGACTCTTCTTCAGTTGCTCGGCCATATCTTCATCGAAGCCCTGACTCTCAAGGGCTTGCTGTAATCGCTGAGTCATGTTCCGTCCACCACAGCCTGGTATGGCAATCGCTCGGCCGATATCATTGACTTGGAATTCCGTCACAGCGGTAACATCGGTCTTTCCATGTCCAACGTCCACCACTAACGCTGTGGGTACTCCATAGGCGTAGATACCAGTAAGAGCAGCATCCATCAGACAGAAAGCCGGGATTTTCCAATTCTCGAAGACATATTGAGTAATCATCTCACAATCCCGCGCTGACCAGCATGGTTGTGAGACAAAGAGCACGGGCATGTGAAATGGAGGGGAGATCATGTTGTAGATGTGGGACAGGAGCGCGAAGAAGCATGACCAATTCTCTATGCGACCCTCCCGTATGGGAAAGACAGCACCCTCAGTAGACCAATGGTCATCCTCAAACGCTTCAGTCGTCTCTTCTTCGACATCTTGCGGTTGGTCTGGTTCAGGTACTTCTTTCATCTCAACGTCAGCGTCCGGCTTCGCGCCACCAGCAGGTTCAGGGTCTGGTTTCGCATTACTTGTAGTCTCGATCGGAGGTATTGTGCCATTGGCAGCCTCTGCTTCTACCTTGGCGCCATTTGTCGTAGTGTCCGATTCTGTTTTCGCGCCGTCTGGAGCCTCTTTCATCTCCACGTCCACAGGGGGCACAGGCTCGCCATCAGTCTGCTCAGCCTTAGGTGGCTCAACGGGCACTTGTTCTGTAGATGGTGGCTGCCCAATTGACTGTGCGGTACTGGGAGCCTCGACCTTGGTTGGCGGTTCCGACGGTGGTTCATTGTTCGGTAGAGCGGTGGTGGTCGATTCGACTTTGGGTGGCCCGTTCTGGGCTGCTTGTGGTGCTTTTGGTACCGTAATCGTTTTGGTGCGTATTCGTACAGGCTCCCATTCGTTAGGACTCGTGCCAGGGAACATGCGGGTAGGAAATCGATATCGTGGCGGAGTGAAGGTCTCGGCCAAGCCGAGTTGCGCGGAGGTGATATGTGAACCTGGCGCAATAATCTGCGCGACGCAAGGTTAGTGGTTGCCGCGGCGCGCAAGAGGGGGATCACTACTCACGAGCACATGCTCATCTTTGAACGGCGGCATGGTTGCTTCCCTGCGCAAATGCAACGGACTCCCTGCACAATTACGCGGGCAGGCACTTCGCGAGGCTCTGATCGGTCGCGCTTGACTTTCGCGCGCCGCAACTTCTTGCCAAGCCGAGCGACCAGGGTCAAATCACGTGATCGAATTCTCTTGGACAGCATTTGGGTTCTTGAGCAGATTCATTCTAGATACATTCATCTACTACGTCTGCTGGGAATCCTTGAGTGCTCGAACCTGGCAAGGAGATTGCATTTGTTGTGTTGTCATAAAACACACTTATTGAGGACTTCAAAGTAGACATGATTCGTGAAATCAGGCTTTTGATTCAATATGTCTACCTAGGCACCCAAAGCTGGGGTCGATTAATGAACCTCCTGTACTTGAACCCAACCACCGTCATCTATGATATTCGTACAATTTGCTTTCGTGCCATGCCAAAGCTGTGAATTCCTGGCTACCGCTTTGTGATCAACGCCCACCATTACATTGGCATCCGAGACTTCCTCCGATGTCATCCAAACCAGACGTCGTATCTTCCGATGTTCCTTCTCTAACCTCAATATCGTCCACTTGATGGTCATTAGACTCGACCATGTCCACCGACGATCTGGGTCCTCGGCGAAACCATCCTCGCTAACTACTTGCTGCAAAGCCCGGTCTGTCGCTGCCAGTAATAGGCGCGCCATGTGTGGGCTGCATGCTAGGAGTCGGCTCAGAAGCTTCATGCGGAAGACCGCAGGTCTGGTCGGTGTCGAAGGCATCGAAATCAAAGAATGAATTAGAGGGAAGTTGGAGAGGATTGTCGAAAAATCCTGTTCCGTCGAGGTCGTGGACAATTTCTGTGCCAAAATCCGGAAGAGATTGCAGATCGGCAAGAGCGTTGTCGTTGAGAAGGTTTGAAATATCGTCAAAGTCTGAAAGATTTGTAGGAGGTAGCTGAGCCCAAAGTTGGTCATCTGGCTGGATGGGAACGCAGGCAGCTTTATAGCCCATGTCTCCGGTTGACACTGCAGGTCACACAATACCGCGGCAGGATATTGTGTCAAACCGGAGACGGTGGGGAAGCTTTGATACGCGTGCATCGAACTGGCCTGCGCATCATCGTAGTGTTCGTTGATGATGTTCAGCTGAGGCGCCAGAACTGGTGACTCGTGCTTGACGGGAGTCGTATCGTCCGAGTGGACGAGGGTGGGATGATTGGATTGAGGTTCGGGGGTTTGGTATTCCGAGGGTGTTAATGGTACATTGCTCTTCATGTCTGATGGCGAGGAGCCTGAGTCTAGGTCGGGAACAGCCGACTCTTCAGCTGGGACTGGGGTTGGGAAGTCGGACTGGACACCGAATCGCGACTGGTAGCGACACAAGAGTTCTCGCAACGAGGCGTTTTCTTGTTCGATGCGATGTTGCCGGACTTCGAGTTCAGCCACGGCCGCCTTCTGGCGCTGTCGAGACTTGTCGGCAGCTCTTCTGTTTCGTAGAATTCTTTCGTTCTTTCTCTGTTCCTTCTCCTCTGCCGTCTTGGCTCGTTTACGTGGAGGGAGGATCTGCTTGATTTCTGGTACTGGCTGTCCCCATGCCTTCCGCTTCTTCTTGTTAGGCTGATCTGAGGGGGGTTGGCTCGATTCTTGGTCATCCAGCGTGCTGCAAGGACTAGGGTACCGATCGTAGCCGCATGCACTTAGCACAGACGGATCGACGACACTGCTCGAATCACTCATGATGGCGGCGAGGTGGTTTGGCGGCGAAGTCTGAGTGATGGATGATAGATGCCAGAGTATTTGGAGGACTCGTGTGGGTTGTTATTATGGTCGGTCCAAGTGACCACGTATCCTTAACGCGGAGGCATCGTGGTCAGGCAGGACCACGGACTGAATAAAAGTGGAGGACAATAACAGAGAAGGTAACGCAGGATTGGACTGCACAAGAGATTCGTGTTGGGAGAGAGTGGTTGAAGATCGAAGGTGAAGAGTGAGCAGGCAGCCGAGTTCAAATAGAGGCCACTGTGTCCTTCAGGGGCGAGGGATTGCGCAGTTCCTGCATGTTCGGTGGTCCATGTCTGACTTGTCGACCCGCATTCAACACTCTGTGCTATTTCCAACAACCAACCACATTCTCTCTTGCGACCATCACCCTGCATAGACACCGTCTGGCTGCCCGTCAAACTGCTGCCATCCCTTGCGTTGACTCCGGGTCAGTCTTTCCATCTGCTTCCCTCCTCCACAATCAGCTCAGCCCTTGGACTCGTCAGCCGCACGACGCACTGATACACGCAGATGTTCCTTTTTTCCGTCCCACTCTCGCTCGCATCGGATCATCGATTCCCTACCACGGCAGCCTGAAAGTTATCAGGAGACGTTCCAATTGTGCAACACGTCCAAAACGTCCAAAATGTCAAGCATGCAGGGGGGTCCCTCACGACCTCAACAAGTTCTACAGGCAGCAATTATTCCAAACTCGCCTACCACAAGGATTACGAGCTTCTCGTTCGAGGGGAGACGTCGTGAGCTGTTCTTCGGACGACTAGGATGCAGTAATCCTCGCGAAGAGAAGGATTCTGATGTGATGTTGATAATAGTTCTATCGCTGTGGTCATGCATATTCGTACAGAAAGGGTATCTCGTCACGCTTCACTCAACTTTTTGCCCATCATGCCCATGTCCATGCCCATCGACTTCTGAAGAGCATGCGATCCTGGAGCACGCCATATCCTGCCATAATGGGGAAATCGAGCTGTCCCACCCATGGCCGTACCATGCTCTAGACTGCTCTCTAAAACGTTTTTGTCTGCTCCCACGTGCCACCAAGTCATCATCTTCTTCAGCCGTGTTGTACATTGGCCGTTGCTGCATTCAAAACCCGTTTCTTCATCCAGTTCGGATCGTTATAGAGCTTCTCCTGGTAAATTTCGTCGACCAGATCATTGACCATGTCTTCGACTATTTGTTCCTGGTAGCGCACACCTATTGGGCGTGCATCCGGATGTTGAGGACCATCCTGGCCATATCCGTACCACCACGGCCCGTCAAATTTGCACTCGACGGCGCCACCAGTATAGTGGCTGATGGCGGGATAATAGCCTAGCAAGCCATCATCCACGTCGCCCTGACCTGTGACAGCTCGACTACCTTTTTCAATAGACGAAGCCGGCGGGAGAAATGCAAAAAGGTGCTCCCATATGATTCCATGATACCTCCCGTTGACCCACAGCTCGACCTTGCTTCCAGGTAGGGTTCGTAGATGCGGTAATTCGTGATTGGGATGCGGATCTGTAAGTAAATCATACTTTTTCCCCGTATCTGGGTTGGTTGATTTGTTCTTCGAATTAAGTGTTGGTCGACTGAGGTCATGATTGGGTGTATACTCAGGACATTCGAAATAGGTCATGCCTTTGTGGAGGAAAGGGTTGCGGTCGCGGATGATGTCGTGGTCCGGTGGTGCAGCACATCCAGATAGAGGCTGAAGCGCGCTGCGAATGGCGGTCCGCAAGTGTGACTTCTTGACTGATTCGTCCTTGCTCTTTGCATGTTCACCGTCCTTTGGTTTTGAAGTGCTCTTAGCAGCCTTCTTCCCAGGACCCGGCTTCTTCTTGATGATCGCAGGACCGCACTTGAGGTCAGGATACTCTGCAGGGTTGAACGTGCCCTCGACGACTTTCTTCTGTACCTCCAGCGGCGGCAGTGTGATCATCAGCCCGACAACGTCGCCTGGAGATAGGTCATCAGGATCTTTCGCGCCCTCGCCCTGCATGTGATACATGAGGGTGTTGAACCGCACGCTCCCATACTCTCTTGATCTTCCACTGCGTAGTACAAGACCGTAACTGTAGGCGTTTCCTCCGATGCTCTCGCTCCAGTGATGTTCTCGCCGACAGAATCCTACGCGAAGCCCGCCTCGGTTCGTAGCTGTCCTGTCTTGGGTTTGGGTGTCGGCCAAAGCACGATCGGGAGGTTCCCTACCTGGCGGAGCCAGACTGATAACTTTTGCCTCAAAGAAGAACTTCCCTTCTCGCGCAAAAACATTCGCTCTCGTTGTGTAACTGCCAAATTCCCCGCTCTTTCCCAGCATGTCTTTCGTAAACACGTTCTTCAGAGTCTCCACCCCGCATTGTGGATGGTTTTCGTCGCTCAGTCGGGCGTGCCGAGGAGGAGCTTCGTCGGCGTGGAAATAGAAGGTATCAGGGTCTCTCCTTGCGCGGATGTAGAACCGCTTCTCTTTGCTCTCGACACTGTCATGGTCAGTGGGATTGTCGCGCAGCATGGGGCAAGCCACTCACTGGGTCCCGAGGGAGTAGAAGTCGATCTCGTCACCAGTAGGGCCCTTTTTGGTATGATCGTATATTTTCCCAAGCTCTTTCTGCTCTTGGAAGAACTTTGGATCGTTGGGAGCAATGTATGTAGGTAGAACAACAGACTTCTCGTCCTCAAGACGGTCAATCTTGCTCGTTACCTGCTCCTTGATCTTTTCACTCGGTTTCTTTTCTCTGTGACCACGGCCAGCAGTCTCATCCGCACCGGGCACTTCTCGCATGATGGCAGTGTTCTATTGACGATTGGCGCAGAGGCGGAGTGTCAGAGGTTCGCCGACTTCAAGGAGGAATAAAGGCACGCAACCGGCTAAACTTCGGATATGCTTCCACCAGCCTTGCGGTGAGGGTACGTGGTTAACACAATTAGACTAAAGGAGAAGATTTTGTAATGAGGGCGGATCATGCATATATCATAGTTTGCCTGGCATGTGAGCCGGTCAGCTGTTTATGAACCAGGTCCCAATGGCCGTGAAAGCGGCAATGAGATCGCCGACAGGACCAGTGTCCGCCCCAAGGCCCACGAGACTCAACGCCCATCCTTCCACGAGCCATCTCGCGAACACCCCAGCAATTGCGAGCCCACTTGCGACGACGTAGCCGCAGTCGAGAAGTATCAGCAAAGCTTCGATGTTGTTGACAAGTACGGCCCAACCAACATAGTTCGTCGCTCGAAACGCAAATCCTGTTGAAGAACTCTCCTTCGCTTCCGTAGGCCAAATGACAAGCAATATCGGAAACAACTTGGTGCAACTCGAGACCAACAGTGCGGTGCTGATCGCACTTGGGCTGGCATGACCAGGCCCTATCATGTCCTGAGCTTTGCTGTCATCGGAGCTCGAGCGTGGTGATTTGTTACCACTGGCGTCATCGTCATGGTCAGGAGTCGGGACAAAGATGCGAGCCAGCAAACGGATGATACCATGCTGAGCAACAGTCGCGAAGACGTTCATGGTAAGAAAGAAGAAATACTGTGTAAGGATTGGCATGCTACTGAGCCTGGAGGGCACTTCGGTGCTGCCATTGACCGCGCTGCTTCTCTCTATCCGGGCCCATGTAATGTAGACATCGAATAGCACCAGCAGGATCCCAAGGCGTAAGATACTGGGATCGAATTTGTTGTCTGAGCGACCGAGCCTGTTGAACAGAAGATGACGATAGACCTAAAAGAGGGTCAATAAGCCTCCAAACACCAGATATTCGAGACGTACCTGAGGCTTGATCAGGACAAGATCAATGAACAAAACGACAAAATCATGCTCGACATATTTGTCGGCAAAGTGTTTGCAATTAGGACATTGTGTTAAACGAACCCCTTTTCCGAGAGTGCGATCGTCGGCCTTGCTGTACACAGTATACAAGTTCTTAACTGGAGTGCTGCATGTAATGCATATTGGCATGCTTGAGGTGAAGCAGCTCACGAAGTTGGTTTGTGATTATCTGATGGTGAGTGGGAGTAGACATCAATTCTGGTCGGGATTATGGAAAGCAGTGGTTGCCGCAAATATAATCCGTAACTTGGACCCAAACTCTCGAAGAACCTCGCAAAACAAGGTCGTTCTCAACAACAAAGGCGTCTTCACTCTGAGCCAACACTCTTATTTTATCACCTGCTGGGAGCATAGCTTATTCGGTCCTTTCCACGTTATCCTCGCGCATCGCTGCCTGATCATTCATAGTTGGCGTCTATATCTATAATTATCGAGATATCTTTTAATTTTGTTGCCGCAGAGTAGCAGCCCCAGTCTTCGATTCCCATTCAGTATGGTGGATGTTGACCAATCTCCATCTCTGCAAAGCCCCAAATGTCCCACGGGACCGCCCTGAAGGTGTTCGGCGCGGCTCTGATGGACAGATTTCCTTGCTGTTCGAAGATGATAACTTCCCCAAAGGGAGAGGTCGAGTTATACTTGGGCCAGGTCACCGTATTCTTCTCTGCAGCAAAGTTAGTCTCTCATCGTAGTATAATCATTTGTGGGAGGCATGTGCTTACTCTCAGGATTGTTTGGGTTCAGATAGTATGCAAATGAGATCCAGGCATTCAGCACTTTGATAGCCACCTCGTCGTCTCCAGGACTGCGATCCGGCAGGTTTGTAGCTTCGCCGAAAACATATGGTAGCTCGGCCCCGTGAAAGACGCCGACTCCCTCCGTGTAGGCTGTACTAACGCCAGGATACTCATAGCTGAGGTTCATGGCACTGAGAGCAGGCCTCTGTCGGAAGTCATAGCCCCATACATTGGCGTTCTCGCTTGCTATCTTGAGCAGCGTGAGTTTCCCCAAATCCATGTCCATGTCAGTGTAGAGTCCACAAGCTACAAAAAACCCATGATCAGCTGTAGGGTCAGCGTCGTAACCTTTGCCCAGATCCGTGTCGTCCGTTGCGTTATAGGCATCGACGATGAGTGTGGCAAAGGAAGTTTCGTTGTTCAGATAACCAGCAACAGTGTCGATCAATGCAGTACGGTTGGGATAGTTGAAAGGGTCGGGCATGAATACTGCGCCTTCGTTCAAGTTGGTGCCATGGATGATGGGAATATGAGAAAACGAGTTTTTTTCAACCAAGTTGGTAAGAGTGTCGTTCAAACAATCGTTATCGATTAGGTAGGCACCCTCAGGGAAAGTGACCAGGATCGGGGAGATAATGTCATAAGGAACCGTTATTAGACAGCTCAAGGTTGTGCAGTTTGTCGAGTTGAGCAGGTCATCATACTGTGAGGCACCAGCCGCCGCTGTGAGGGCGATTTCAAACCCAGGTGCTCCCGGAGCTCCTGATTCTGTAATCATTCCCCGCAAGAGTTTGTTGGTCTCATTCTTCAGGTGTGCATAATGAAGTTGAGCCCAGCAATCCTAAGCACCTGCGGACTCGCCGAAGATGGTCACCTTGGTTGGATCTCCGCCAAAACTCTTGATGTTCGTGTGAGCCCATTCCAAGGCGAGATATTGATCTTTCAAGCCGAGGTTGGAGACACCGGCAGACAAGACAGCTGGTCCGCCCAGAAAACCAAAACCTCCGAGTCGATAGTTGATACCCACGTAGATGACGGGTTGGTCGATGGTAATGGAGTGCTGAACTATTGCGGTACCATTGTAGAATATGGACTGGCCATTGACATTGCCGCCACCGTGTATCCAGAAGAGTACTGGAAGTGAAGCAGTGGCAGAAATGTTGGTAGGTCTGATAACGTTCAGGCTCAGACAATCTTCGCTAAGTCCATTGTACTCGGCATAGATGTCCAGTTGAGAACATCCTGGGCCATATGCAGTAGCTTTAACGACATTGCTGGAGCTCGTAACAGGTGCTTCAGGGTTGGCGAAGCGTAAATCGCCAACAGGAGGTTTCGCATATGGGATGCCCAAGAATTGGTCAATATGGGCAATGGACGAATTGCCGTGGAATATACCAGCCGGAGCTGACACCTGGGGACGGGCATTACTCAGCCCCGCTAAGAGACTCAGAAGGTTAATCGTGCGCCTCATCGTGAACCAAAGTTTGTTTATAAGGCACTGCTGACTCAGTACTCGTATTCGAGGTAAAAGAATATCGAGCGTCTTTTACTCTTTGAGAGACTTCGCAATCTTTGTAGGATTTCAACGTCCAGCTTCGAGAACGCTTTACGCGGATTCCTTCTGCATGCGAGTATGACGCTTATATCCGTGTGAGGTGATCTGCGGTGTGTAGTCCGTACACTGGGACGCTGTCTTTCATGGATGTTGCTTGTAGACAGTCCATCGGGTCCCGCAGCCACCGATGCAGCTAGATATTCCGTCGCTCTAGGACAAAATATCGACTTAGATGGGCATCAAGGCTTTTCGGACACGGGAGACTTATCGACATACCACAGAATAGCACGCTCTTATAATCCAGCTTCAGTGAGGGTCTTGGAGGGTGCTATTGCAGACGGCTGACAAAATCGTAGAGTGATCCATCTTCAATCCCTATGCTTGAACTGATGTCAAGAGATAGGGCCGAGTCACTGAGAGATCGAATCTACTCGCTTAAAGCTAATACCTCGCCGCATGAGACTTGAATCCAAGTTGAAGACTCGAGTAGGTCATGCTAGATCCATGTGAGCACGACGGGCCTCTTGAGGACAGACCGTGCATTCACTGCTTGCATCTTTCTCAATGAGCTTCACATTACTAAGTGAAAGGTAGGTAGTGAATCCCCCCGTGATTGATCTTATTGGTCAAGAACAAAAGGCGACGTTCCACTACCAATTTTGAACTCATCTCACTTTTGTCACAGAACAAAAAAATGGTCGCTGGGATTTTAACCCAGGTTACGCAGATCATCTTGAACAAGATGGTCCATATGGGGGTCGAACCCATGACCTTGGCGTTATTAGCACCACCTGTTGACGTTGTTAGGAATGACCGATAGTGTTGACTTGTGTGAGACTCACGCTCTAACCAACTGGAAGGAATTAGCTTTTAACATTGACTGTGAGGTGGTGAGAACAAACCTGAGCTAACAGACCGGACGACATTGTAGTCGTGATTTTGACACAAAACTTGAATATATGACATATAATGTGTGGACTTTATCAGAACTTCTCTGTTGGATCTTAGTGGTGGAGCCGAGTCGATGACCCCTTTTCCACTTTGCCGAGCGCCGATATACGGCTCACGGGCCTTGACGGGGACTGTCAAACAGCTTCGAAGTCCTTGCCCAGAATCCAGTCATCACAATCATCTCTCTCAAATATATCATACACTTGCGATTGAGATTCTGGTTTGTACGAGAAATCTGTTGCCCGATATCAAATTGGTCTTTGCATACTCTCTGGATTGTCTACTGTTTCCTCCTCGAATCAGCCAATACCTCAACTTCTAGGCTAATGATAAGGCAAGTCCTTAACACATATGCAAGTATATTCGCCATGACACCTATACATATTTTTGGACCAGTCTTTGCAACAGAGCCTCGCAGAAAGGACTCAATCTGGTACAGTGAAGTCTGCCTTGTTGCTTCATGAACATCATACCCCCTCTACACTGCCAATTTCCAGTCACGCCAGAAGCGAAAAGCTTGAGCGACATTTCCAAGAGTCGCGGAATATGCCGAAACTGGTTTAGCCGGCTGCTCGACCCAATGCGCCATTCCTCTTCAGGACCATTCTGCGAAAGCACTGTTGGCGGGTGGAATACGGAGTACATTGGGAAGGGATAGAAAGGCTATGCTCTAAAACTGTAGGTTGTCGTTCCCTTATCGACGTACTCGCTTTCGCTCGACTTCAGAAGCATAAGTATAAAACATGGCCAAATGCCGCCCGTCAAGATTCCTTCCCATGCCATCCTATCCTCCTTGAACCATCCCCACCGCACTTTGCCATCTCCGCAAACATGTATCTAGCATACAAAGCTATCAAGAAGCATCGCGCTCAGAAGGCAGCTGCAGCGGCAGAGGCGGCGGCAGCAGAGTCAGCTTTTACTCCAATTGCAGCATCCTCACCGTCACCACTTGACACCAATCCCAACGACACCTCAAGTTCAACTCCCGCAGCCTACACAACATCCAAGCCCAAACCACCTACCACTCCATCGGCAAAGAAGCCATGTTCTCAATGTGTCCAAGAAAAGAGCGCCACACGAAAGTACCGATGGAAGTTGATGTTCTGTCTCCTTCCAGCCTTTTTCGTTGCAAGTCTTGACTTGACCATTGTCGCTACCGCGCTCCCTCAAATCGCCTCACACTTCGACAGATTCAACCAACTCAACTGGATCGTCACAGCCTTCACCCTGACAGCGACAGCATTCATCCCGGTCTGGGGCCAACTCGCCGACATCTTCGGTCGACATACATCGCTCCAATGCGCTGTCGTCCTCCTCACAATCGGCAGCGTTCTTTGCGCGGCCGCACCAGACTGGCCTGTCCTGCTCCTCGGCCGTGCACTCCAAGGCATGGGCACCGCCGGGATCCAAAACGTCGTCATGATCATCCTTGCAGATTCTGTGTCTCTCAAAGAACAAGCCGTCAACACCAGCATCTTTCAACTCATGAATGGTGTCGGCTACGCGGTTGGACCCGTGATCGGGGGCTACATCACCAACGCCGACTGGCGATACTGCTTCGTCCTCTGCGCCGGCATGTCCGTCGTCAGCGTTGGGACCATTTTCTGTCTCCGCAAGGACCTGAAGCCAGGCCAGGTCTCGCTCTCGCGACCACCAGGGCACCAATCACGCCTCCAAGCATTGACCTCGGGTCTCTCCACGCTCGACTTCGGCGGCATCACCCTGTTCATTCTGGGCGTAGGGCTCGTCAGTAAGTTCCATTCCCCCTTCAAAGCCCCTCGCCAGGCCACTCATCTAATACACAATAGTCCTAGGAACAGCCTGGGGAGGATCCACATTCCCATGGCGCTCCGGCGCCGTGATCTCAACCCTCGTCCTCGGCGCCCTCCTCATATGCGCGTTCATCGCCTACGAATCGCTCTTCGCCCCCGACAAGCTGCTCGCTCGTCTCCTTCCACGGACGAAACCCATGATCCCCTCCACCATTCTGTCCTCAAAGGACGTCGCACTAGTCTGCTCCATCGCCGCCGCCACCGGCGCAGCACTCTACTCCGTCTTCTACTTCATAGGCATCTACTTCACTCTTGTCGAAGCGTACGCCGCCTCCCGCGCCGGCGAACAACTCCTCTACTACGTCCCGGGTTTGGGCGTGGGCGTGTACCTGGCGATCTTCATATGCAACGTCTACCCGCGCCAGACATTCTGGCCTTTATTCTTCGGCACGATCGTCGAGACCGCCGGCATCGCGACGCTCAGCTACGGCGTGAAAGCGCGCAACGTCACGCTCGTCAACGTCATGATGGCCATTGCCGGCGCCGGAACAGGGATGCGCTTCATGCCCTCGAATTTGCATCTGTCAGGCATGTTCCGTGACCGTCTTGCGCCGGTGTACAGTCTTTTGCGCTTCTCGATGCCGTTTGGTGGTACGATCGCCTTGACCATCATGGGGAGCGTGTTTCAGAATCAAATGAGCCTGTACTTTGGGTCGAACAGCGTGAATGGAAGCATTGATGTGCACAACCAGGCGAGCCTGGAGGCTATTGGTAGCTTGCCAAAGGCCGAGCAGGAGGCCATCCGCGCCCAGGGTGCCACTGCCACGATGTGGGCGTTCATTTCCATCTTGCCGATCTTGGGGCTCAGTCTGGTCGCCAGTATGGGTCTTGGAAATGTCTGGATTCCCAAGCGCAAGTCAAACGATGAAGACCAGGAGAAAGGCGAGGTGCGGGAAGATGGACTGTGCAGAAGACATGGAAACCTCGCAAACGTTTCCGGTGGCGAATGTGCGGTTGAGGCACCGAGCGGAGTCGAGTTCATTAGCTCAAGCTACCTGCTGGCGCTGATGAGAGGCAATATTCGACATTTGAAGAGGCCTGCCCCGCCCCATAATCCAAGGGTGGTGTCAGGCGAGGGGGCGCATCTGCAGGAAACGTTGAGCGATGGTGCTCTGCCCAAGGACCCAAGTGGTCAGATCCATACCAGAGAGTCGAGGTACAGTACGGGAGAGCGTAGTCGCTAGGTTGCGAGAAGCAATTAACTGAGTGTTTTGAAATTTGTCTATATACCCCAGTGTGCAAATAGAAATCGCTGCATGAACTTCATCATTCGTGAATAAAATCTCAGTCTACAAGCTTCTTCCCGTCAGCCCAAGTGGGCTGCACGGTACGACATACAGCTTCATAGTCCGGGAAAGTCTGACTATTTGGTTTCTCCAGCAGGCCAGGTGTGGTCCAAAACATGGTCCAATTGGTTTCGGGAATTTTCCATGTGCCGCGAGATCGCTCGAAGTACCATTTATTGACAGGGTTGTCTTTGCGGCTTCGCCAGCAGACGCCGTTTGGAAAACATGTCCTCACCATGGCGTTGAAGACGATGTCGGCCACACCACCTGCACCTTGGCTTTTCTTGAGAACCGCAAACTTGTCCAGGTACGGCACGAGTCGAGATGTGTCATCATCGGAGGCACCTGGTGGTTTTTCCCATGTGAGGATTGCTCCACCTTCATAATCGCCAGCGATGATCACGCCCGCAATTCTGTCATTGACTCGTTTGAGATATGCTTCCACATCGAGCTTCCTGTTGAACGAGTCATCGATCAAATAGACAAGTCGATCGAGGTCGATTCGACCATCCGTCAATTTGAGTCGAGGTGTACTGGCGGCTGTCCAAACGTGTGCGTCAGGATTGGGCAGCATCGTCAAGGGCATGCCGCGTTTGACGAACGTTGAGGTCGTCGCGGACGCCATTGCGCTGTCCTGAGTCAATCGCCCCGCAGGTAGAGACGATGAATATGCCGGCTTGTCCGTCAATAGGTTGTGGATCAAGGGGTTTTTCTGCCGCCGTGTGCCGACATTTGATGGCTCATCGTCAGTCAACCTTGCTGTGTTCGCAGCTTCCAGGGGAGTGGTCAATAATCCCGAGGCCGAATGGGGCAGCATTCTGAGAGCGTCTTCGAACAGCTTGAGGTTAGATGCGTGTCTTTGTGATACGGCACTATCGGTCGAGCTCCTTAGTTCTTCTTGCAATCGAGAGTATTCTTGCTCAAGGTTGACAAAGACGTGTTTCTGATCGTGTGATTTGGTGCTAGGTATGCACCCAGTCTCGTCCACCACAATGATCCTGTCCAACGAGATCTGTTTACGCAAGGGAAGACCTTTCTCTTCCGCCTCTCTGAGGCTCCCGCCTGTTGTGGGGTTGAAACTCAGTCCTGCAAGTTCTCTCGTCAATGCCAAAAGTGCGTCATTTGCGGCAATGGAGACAACACGTTGGTCTTGATCGGAGAATGTCAGGGGAACAACGACTGGTATCCTGCCCTTGTGAAGCGGCCGAGTAACCAGTTTCTGGAGAAATATCTCAGGTCGACCGTCTGGGCCCAAGCGAAAGCAGTTATCCAATTTTCTTGCTCCGGACTCACTGACTTGGTCAAGGGCATTTACCAGCCGATCAGCTGAGTGAGTTAACAATTCTCGTCGATGATTGTCATCGGCCTGATCTGGCTCTTCCACCACGACAGCTGGAACCATGCCCAGGCGCGACAAGGAAGCCAACGTTTGCGCAACCCCACTAAGTATGTTTTCAGCCATGGTGCTGACATTGTTGATCTTGACCACAGCAACGCTCAAAGTTTCCACTTCCTCGACTGTCTGCTCCTCATCTTTAAACTGCGTAAACACAGGACTTTGCTCTGCGGCACGGGAGCGACTGAACAGATTACCCACATTTACCGAGGACTGTGCTTTCATGGACGTAGAAGTTGCGGCAGGCTGAGCAGCGGAAATCTTTTTGCTCGGACTCTTCAACCGAGATATGTAGGCCTTCGCGTCTCTTTTTGTGGCAGCAGAGCTCAATAGGCTGGTAAAGAATTCTTTGTTCGCCAATCGTTGCTTCTTCCACTGGGCGTATCCAGATTGTTCATCTTGGAGATTTTGGACGTTAGGAGTGCCGTCGTGGTCTGATTGAGGAGCAGGCTGAGCGGAGTAGAAACGTCTATGACATGACCTGCATGCGGAAGCAGACAGTGTAGGACGGGAGTTGAGGTAGGCTCTCAGCGCGTCGGCAGCAACATTCCTGCCCTGGTCTTGTGAGCGGACACTCTTAAGAGAAGCTGCAGACCGACTCAGAGTCATCTGGGTCATGTTTGGACATGAAGGCAGAACGAGAAAGAGAGGGTAGAGTGGAGACGATGCATTTGAAGCATAAGTGTCAATCCCCAAGTCTCTGCAGTCTCATCAGTAAAATTTGTTCAGCACCATATCACTCCAGTCACCGACATGTTGCCATGCATGAGCCAAAAATATCTGTAGTCGGCAAAGATAACAAAAGATCCGTCATTTGGAGATGCGGAGTCGCCGTTCCGTCACCGTCAGTGCCCAGGGACGACAATCCTCCAGGCACTGGGTCATCAACTCTGGACTGCGGGCCTGACCCGTCTAGTTACTGCTGTACCTGAAACCTTCTAACCACCTAGATATCTTTTGGCCTCTACCCAGATCCTTTGTTGACCATCGACGATATGGAGAATCAGTGACCAGCACGCAGGACACTTCCAGTCTCATGGCCGGTCAAGATTTTGATTCCCACCTGATGTTTGATTATCGGCCGGGCAATATTCGTGCCCCACGACAATGGAGACCACGTCATTATGAACTGCTGCGGCTAATGCGGACTTTGAACCGCTGAGGCTCTATTCGAGCATAAGAAAGGTCTGTGGATGTTACTGATGTGCATATGCAGTTATATACCCGTTCCTTCGCAGCTTTGAATTGGAATCTCCCCAAATCCCTATTCAATCCTTCGAAACCCCCCCATCAAACGACCCTTGACACGATGGCTCCTCAACTTGCATGGCTGGGCCTCGGCAACATGGGCAGGGTAGGACGCTTTGCTGAATGTCGAGGCTTGTTTACTGATATGCGAACAGGGCATGTGCAAAAACATCGCAGAGAAGGGCAACCTCTCGAAGCCTCTCATCGTCTACAACCGCACAACGAAGCGAGCCGAAGAGCTGGTCGCGAAAACCGGCAATTCGACCGTTGCAACCACAATCAAAGAAGCCGTCTCCAACGCAGACATCATATTCTACTGTGTAGGCGATGACCCTGCCGTCTTGTCTACGGTCGAAGAGATCCTCAAAACAGATGTCAAAGGGAAGCTGTTGGTGGACTGCAGCACTGTCCATCCAGACACCACATCGAAGGAGGCATCAATGATTGAAGAGAAGGGTGCCAGCTTCGTCGCATGCCCAGTCTTTGGCGCTCCTGCCATGGCCGACGCCGGACAGCTCATTTGCGTCATCGCCGGCAAGGCAGACGCCGTGGAGAAGGTATTGCCATATACCAAGGGCGTGATGTCAAGAGCCAACCTCGACTTTTCTGGTCAAGAACCGCGCAAAGCCACACTGCTGAAAGTCATTGGAAACACGTTCATCGTGAACATGGTCACAGTCTTGTCCGAAGGTCACGTAGTGGCCGAGAAGACAGGCCTAGGAGTTGAGGACCTGCACAAGTACATCGAGATCATGTTCCCAGGTCCCTATACCGCCTACTCGAACAGATTGATGAACGGAGACTACTACAAGCGTGAGGAGCCGCTCTTCGCGGTGGACCTGGCACGAAAGGACGCCCGACACGCAATGGACTTGGCCAAGAGCGCTGGTGTTCAGATGAAGGGTGTCGAGCTCGCGGACTCTTATCTGAAAGTGGTCAAAGAAACTCAGGGCGCCAAAGGTGACATTGCTGGCATTTACGGCGCGAAGAGGTTGGAATCTGAACTAAAGTTCGAGAACTAACCAAACAACTCCTACAAAGTATCGCGCAACCTGTGGCATGCCTTTACAGTGAGTCGTCAATAAGGCAAACTTCCTTCAGGGAGGAATACAGACGATTGTCAACGACCTACGTTTCTGTTTTCGAGCTCCGAGCTGACACCATGCTGTTCAGCCCAAGCTTGTTTAATTCCGACCGAATGCTTTCATGTTCGCAGATCGCTCTCGTGCAGAACCCGGGCTGCACATCAGTGGATCCTGCTTCTCATCTCGCAGCACACCGGGTGATACGCAGTAACTTATTCGTGACAGTATCCAGGACATCACCCCTGCCCAATCGGTGACCTTACCCACGTGGGTTTGGCGAGGATGATCGACATTCGGAGACAGAGTCTCCTTCCGGAGTGCGTGGCCCCAGCATCCATATGCATAGTCCTTTCGGTGCTTGTGATCGTCCGGACATGCTTCGTCTCCCTTCTCACTCAATGCTGTGCGGGTCCCGAGGCGTACATCACAATTGCAGCGTTCACGCCTGTGCCGGTAGATACGCAGATCCATGCTTGCTCTCCCTCCTCCTATCTGACCCGGTCTAATGCGCGTTATCCGAAGGATTTCATCACATCCTCACTACCAGAGCTCATTCTGTTATGCTGGCGAATGGTCATTTGCCATTGTACATAAACTTGTAGCTTGTATCAGAGGTATGTTATTGACTATACCTCCAAGTCCTCGTCGATGCTTCTTTTCTCGTGCTGCCACTTTCTCGGCCACAGCTTAAAAACGCTACAACAGAGCACTAGATAGACCGAACCAGCGCTACGTTAATCATAATTGCCGGAGGCGTGACCCCAATCTTCCTCCAAAGAGGGCATCAATCAATCGACACTTTGTCAATCACGACCCCAGATGGGACCATGACCTCCTGGAGATCAACACCTCTTCCCAATCAAGAACGGAAGCATGTGCTAGAAGGCGTCATGCTCACAACCCATGCCATCACTCGATTCCGCATCACTCGCACCACCCACATCATCCCATTCACCCGGATTCCACTCAAACAGATCCTGCATGCGAAGCTGAGCTTCACTCTGCCCGCCAGGAACATCGCTGGCCGCCCACTTGCCGCGGCTCTTCAGCAACTCTTCCAGGTCCTTCTGCATGCCTCGTGTGAACCCGTGATTGACACCAAGCATCTTGATTCGGCCCTCCAGGACCTTCCAGTAGAGACTTTCCGCAATGTCCACGCGTCCCTGCTTCTCGTAGAACGTGCCCAGTATCCTCATTGTCTCCAGCCTGCGCGGATGGTTGTCGCCAAGCGTATCTCTGGAATCCCTCACAACAGTCTCAACATTCTCAATTGCCTCGTCCAGTCGGTCCTGCCGCTCTAGACACCTCGCCAGATTGGTCAGCGCCGAGAGACTCTGCAGATGTTTGGGGCCCAGGTTAGCGCAGGACATGGCATATGCCTCGCGCAAGACCGACTCGGCCTGTTCCAGCCTCCTCTCCACGTTCAGCATATATCCAAAGCAATACAGCGAGGCGATGGCGCGGGGATCCTCCAGTCCATACCACTCGACGAAGCGTGCATGCACATCATACAAAGTTGCGCTCGTGATGTCGCGATCCCGCATTTTCAGGTCGGCAACGTAGACCATCCAACGTGTGATCGTAGTCAATGGATCGTCAGGCCCCAACACGCGCACGGCGACATCATGTGCTGCGCGCATGATGGTCTTGGTAATCTCGCCTTGGTCGTGCATGTGCAGAATCTGGAGCGTCTGGTTTAGCGCAAGAAGAATCTTGGGGTCCTGCGTTGGAACAAGCATTCTTTCGAACTCGCCCTCGGCGTCAGCCAGGCTGCGTTGTGATAACGTTTCGTTGCCTCTGCTCAGGTAGATGCACGCGGCGAAACAGCGGGCCACCCACTTCCACGAGTGCTGGTGGCCGCGAGACGAGGTTGGCACGCTCATGGTTGTGTCCGCCACGTCAGACGTCTCGTTCAGGATGCTACGGCGTGGTCGAGTGGCGGGGGAAGTAGTGTTCTCTAGATTAGGCAGGCTGATGAAATGGTTGCGCGTCAAGTCGTGGCATGTCGGGCAGACGTGTTCGAAACCATCGCTGGCAGATAACGACGATGCCGAAGACGAGGACGACGTGACACTACTGAGCAGACGCCAGGCATGGAGGTCGTCATGTCCGCACAGCGATCTGAGAGACGGGGCATCGACGACTTGCAGCGCCATGTACTCCACATCCCGGCCGAGGCTGGGGCATCCCATGGTCGGGGAGCCATTGAGGGAGCCCTGTATGGTGGGACTATTGTATGCCGGCGCCATGGGTATGTTCGAGGCAGCAGGGAGAGGCCGATCAAGCGGAGACGGCGCGAGACGTTGGAATGGCGACTGTTGTGGTTGTGATTGCCACGTGACAGCGCTGGGATCTGAGTTGACATCTGTTGAAGCATACTGCGGAACGTAGGTCTGCTGCCTGGACAGTGTCAGGTCCGTCGCAGGTACTGGTGCCGGATACAAGGCCGTCGATCTGGCCTCGCTGGGCGACGCCGGTCTCGCAAACGTTGGTGAATCTCGATGAGCGGATAGTGAACCACTCCCTGACATTGCTGTCTCTGTGGGCGACCGTTTGGCCGTGCTCGTTGATTGCACCATTGTCAGCGAATATAAATGGTCGTCATCATCTCGTTCGTTCTGCGGCGTATTTGGTCCGGCAGGAGGTGGCGTGTACGCGCGAACATGCGCAAATTGGTCGCGTTCTTGCTCGCTGTCGAGGCGGATGTTCTTGAGGGCGGTCGCGAGGAATGCATCCTCGGACATCTTGCGGCCCTTGATGTACTTGTGCAAGTCCTTGGCCGACCGCTTATGACCGTGAATAATAAACGCCGTCCGATGTTTACCGCTCTTTTGCCGAGCGTGGTGTAATACGGCGCATATTTGATAGTCTTTATCCGAGTAGTTCTTGCTGAAGCCCCATTGTGCAAGGCGGGCCTTATACATTCGTTCGCTGGAAGTTTTGTCAATGCATGGGATTTTACAAGATCAGGGGAGGCTGGGGGAAAGACAAGATTTCCAGGGAATCGCGGCAAGGTGCATAGTGCATACTTACGTCGCGCGAAAGCCGTGCCGCTGTTCCAAGATCTTCTTAACATCTCTCAATGGCTTTTTCTCATACAGAATCCGTATTTCGTCCTTCACCGCCTGCCATTGTGCTGGAGCGGGGCCTTCGCGTGCTTCAAGGTGAGTTGGGGCTCCAGGTGTTGGAGTCGCTAGGCCGGCCGGTTGAGCAACGTTGTTCTGGAAAACCGTCCGTGCTTGATGGTCCCCAAGGCTCATAGCCATTGACTCGACTCTTGTGCGGTGCTTTTCTTGCTGTGTTCATCACTGCCCTAAAGAGTTGAAGTCAATATTAAGCCGGCTGAACGTCGTTTGTTTCCGTTTCCCACTTAAAACCAGAAACAGCAATATCCGCCTTGTCCGGACCTCTCAAACGGTATCACAGGGCCAACTATGTTTGCCTTGCGAGGGCGGCCTGTGAGCGATGAGAATCCCACGGACGATTCAAGAGGGGTGGGTGGTGTGGCCCTGTAATCGTAGGTGGCTCGACTTAAAGTCTCATGTCGTGGCCCTCGTGAGACATGCATCTCTGAACGCTACAGGCCCGGTTTTGTTCTAGCATGGTGCATATGCATTGTCCCTTGTGTCCGCCCAATCAGCTAAAGGTGGTGTTGGCTGGGGTGGATTGGTCCAAACGCCGATGCGAGAGGTAAAATTGCGAGTGGGAAAATGTGCCCAAAGCCCCAACAAGCCCTGCAGATGAAGGGAGAAAGTACCAAGATGGCTGATGAAGTGGGATGATCAAGTCAGATCAACCGTAATTTTGGAAGGGCCAGGACTATTGTTTATATAATTGTACGTCACGATCGACCAGCTGCAAGGAGGGTGTTCCTCTCTGCACGTCGATCTGATTGTGTTTTCGGACGGAAGTCGACGGTTGCTTCGATTGAGGACTGAGTGACTTGAGGCAGCCGTCCACATGAAACATCCAAGATGGCGGGGGATGTGACAATGGACTTTTGTACATTGCGGAGATTTGCCGACAGATTGACAGTCAAGCCAAAATTTGCAGTCCAATCGTTTTGGTGACGCCCATGGTGAGCTCAAGTCAACCAATCTGATACTCATGTGATGTCAGGGACGATGCGCATATATATAAGATCGGGGCAGCTGCGCCTTGAATGCTGCCGTACAGCTGCGAATGCCATCCACACTCGATGGGATCAGCCTTCCCTAAACGTACCAAGTCTTGAAACACGCCTCAAATCAACGAACACATGAGGCAAGATATCATGCGCTGCGAGATTCCTCCAATTCTCCCGCCTCAAGTTCCATCTGCTTGACGGTCAGCACCATTTGTGCCTCTTACTCGCTGGCAGTCTCCCGATCCCTCAACGTCCTTAGTATCCAAGGTAAACAGAACGAACCAGACCCAAGTAAATATGCTCCTCGAAATGAAGCGAAACATCCAAGCATGCAGGAAGAAAACGATCCTCTTAAAGCCAGAGTACAAAGTAACATGACAGAGATTGCATCCGTTGGCATCTGCCGAGCCTTGCAATGAAGCGACAAGAAATTGTCGCAAATATAGGTGCTCTTGGTGATGTTTGGCAGGTCAGGGAGGGCATCGTTGGCTGGAAGTTGAAGATTTTAAAATGCCGCGAGCCCAGGGGAAGATGAGCTCTGACGCAGTCCGGCCACGGTACCCTCTTTTCTGCCACCTGCATGGTTGCTCCGTCGGCAGACGTTTGCACCTTCCGGACATGCTGCCAAATTTAAGCCATGCAGAGAGCCATGCAAAGACGCCCTTCCTGCGTCTGGTCATAAACATCTCCCAAAGACGACTATCTACGAGAAGATCTCCGCATCATCTCATCATATGTCTCCGGTCGTCGACGAGGATCATCTTGTGACGTCGAACCCTGTCGAGGCACGTCTCCGCTCGGATTGCGAATCTCTCGGTCGAATGTATCAGGACCAGGTTGTGATGGGCTCTGAGGTCGAGGCGGCCCCCTCGGTGCGGCTTGTTCGTAAGAGGGTGGAGCATAATCACTGATTGTTTTGGGGGTTTGAGCATAAGGATATGTACTGGAGGCCTGTTGAGAAGGATTGGTAGGTATGTTGGCGCTGTAAGATGTGGCGCTCACCGCGTTGTATATGTTATAAGTATTTGACGACGGATAGTCTGTCCTGGATTGACCCTGATGATAACCACTTCCAACTTGAGGCTGCAAGCCAGGATACTGAGACGGACTAGTAGTCTTATCTCGTCTGTAACTCTCAGGGTCTGTTGATGTTTCACGTGCCGAGCGTGCCGGTCGGGCTGTGCCACCCTTCGACGCTCCTTGACGGGCACGCCGCCTGGCTGTGTCTGACTCTGCGTAGCGATACGGGTCCTTGCGAAATTTCTCTGACGACAGTCAATATATGATGTGCTCCCGTCCTGTCATGGATCATCATACTGCTTTGTGATTCTAGATCCCAGTCTTTCGAGTCGTTGATGATATCGCGCAGGCTGACCTATCAGATGGAATAAGTATTGGATGAAGGATGTTATTCGAGCAAGGCTCTTACAGCGTTAAGGGTCTTCTTTGCAAGGACGTTGAAGCCTGTGCGGGTTTTGTCCTGGTAAGGGTCAGCGCGAGCGCAAATGCGTCGTTCAGATCTCACCGTTGGGTGGTGACTTGATGTGATCTTAGCAGTTCTGTCGACGTATTGGGTTATATATTCCACGAGGACTGCTGCATTGATGCCCTCTCCTGGGACGAAGAAGTGGATTGGTTGAAGATCATCCTCGCTATCAGAGTCCGACTGTTCATCCCGCTTCACCTTCTTGTGGGATTTGGAGCCTTGCTTGGACATGGTGGAGGAATGGGACAAGATGCGTGCGCTTCGTCGCGGCGATCACGGGAGAAGGCTGTCAACAGCGGTCGTCCAGCCTGCGATGCACCTCAGTCCCACGCAGTCTAGCGATTTGATGGAGAGGGCAGTAGGAAGCCGAATGAGCATGCTTGGAAAGGAATGAGGCGGATCCAGACTCGACAGACCACAGAGGAATTGTCTCCGGCAGCAGCAGACATCAATGAGAAGAGCATACAATCACCGCAGGTTAACACTCGCGGCAATGGCCGACACGTTATCGGCAGGTCATACTTCAGGCCCGGCGACCAACACAAAACATGTGCAAAGAGAAAACGACTTGTCGGTCCCATCATTCAATAGAGTCAATGGAAGGTGCATTAGTGGACTGCAGACAACAACGGTAATGGGGGGCTCATGCATCATGGCTGCCACGCTGGTTGCGAGGTTATGGAGGAAGACGAACACATGATTGAGAACACACCTGCCGACCCATCGAGGCCAACACCTTACCCCGCTCAGTCGTCGTCCATGCCTACCATTGTTTCCGCCGGCTGCAGAAGGCCCTTTTAGCCACGGCCAGAACGCTGACCGGTTGAACCAAGTAGTGGTGATATATGTGGCGGAACGCTTGCCGCCTGCTGCCTGCTGCGATGAGTGATGCAAGCGAGAGACGGTGTCGTAACAGCAGAAGTTGCGACACGTGTTAACAGGGTGTAGGTAATGTGGTGCTGGGTGGGATGTAAACACCCAACCAAAACTTAAGGACATTGAAGGATCCAGATGCACCAGTAGACGCCCTAAGTTAGCCAATTCGACAGAGGATATGCGTGATTTGTTGGCAGATAATTTGTCTACCTTGTTTGATACAAACTGTTCTTGACGAGACTTACGCCTCCGCGGCTCCGCGTTTCTTGTCTTATCGATAATCGATAAGTCGTGATCTAGTTTTACGGTACTTCTTACCGTCGGCTAGCTATGCACCAGGCGAATATAGACTGTGTCTCTGATCCGTTCGTCACAAGCTCGAGGTAAGCTGCTATTCAACTCGACGGGGTTAACAGGCCGTACATAAGCATCTCCAAACTAGTCACGATAGTTTCATTGAGTAAGTCTAATGTAATATAACTGTTTGTATGAAAAAGAACGAACAATCGCGGCATGTTCAATCATCATCGCTGAAGCGGACCTACCTAGTGAGCCTATTTCCAAAATAACTGGCACGCCAAAGCCACTGTCATAACCATTCAATATTTCACCTACTATCTCGCAATCCCGATAGCTCTAATTTCTGGGAGACAACATAACTCAATCCTACTGTCGTCTGATAGAAAATCGATTGATGTGTATTCCTATACCTCTGAAATATAGATCATCTCCTACAAAATCTATGTAGGAAGGGCTGTTTAAAAACACCAAGTTCGCGGTGCTACTAAATTTGGAAAGAGGCTTGCTGGGTAAGTTACCATCCCAAAAAAAAACCAGAATCAGCAAAGGTGAGATCAACAAAAAAGTGCAAAAAGTACTCCCCCGGGTGGGCTTGAAAGAGACCTTTCTTTGCCGAATGGTGGGACCCAAGTGAATAGACACGGAAGACTCAAAGAGGCCGGAGATATCAAGGAGAGCGCGATCCAACCATGATGTAAGACGACAACTCGATGATATTTCGAAGAGACGGTGGTATGATTCTGCACAGGAAAGAAGGGTCTTCGTGACGTCGAGTACACACGAGAGTCGAGCAGATCTCTTTGATGAGGTGGGCATCTCCATCTCCATCAGAGAAACCTCTCCCGCGGCATTTCGCCTAGGAGCAAAGCTTTGTATCGCCGTGCATCGCCGAGCTTCGAGCACAAATGTTATGAATTTGAGAGACACTGCTATTCTACTTGCCACACGCGACCGAGAGACAACATAGCCAGAGTACTCAAAGATGAACATTCTCAGGCTCGGATTTTACTTGCCTTTTCTTGCCGTTGCCACAGCTCAACTCTCTCCCATCGATGTACGCGAAGCTACGGTCTCTTCTCTGCATGCCTCACTGTTTTCTGGCGTTACAACGTGTCGGAGTATAGTGGAAGCCTTTCTCGCCCGCATTGAACGTTTCGACTCGGACATCAATGCAATCATCACACTAAATCCACAGGCTCTCCAAATCGCGGACTCCCTCGATCAGACGCTGTCTACAAGAAACGCAACAGGTCCTTTGTTCTGTATCCCTATCGTCTTGAAAGACAATTACAATGCTATTCCCATGCCCGTTACAGGCGGGTGTCTGGCATTAAACAGCTCTATTCCGACTCAGGATGCTCCCACCGTCACAGCCCTGCGTCAAGCTGGAGCCGTTATTCTAGGCAAATCCAATCTCCATGAACTCGCCTTGGAAGGCCTTTCCGTTTCGTCGCTCGGTGGCCAGACGCTGAATCCGTACGACTTCTCACGAACTCCAGGTGGCAGTTCTGGCGGGACTGGCGCTGCAGTAGCGGCTTCCTTTTCAGTCTTCGGAACAGGCACGGACACGGTCAACTCGCTCCGCAGCCCTGCCAGTGCCAACAATCTCTTCAGCTTTCGACCGACCCGCGGTTTGATATCACGGGCGGGAGTCATTCCGATCTCTTACACCCAGGACACAGTAGGCGCGATAGGCCGCTGCCTTGCCGACATCGCGACCGCTCTGACTGTCATGGCAAGTGTAGGATACGACCCGATGGACAATGCGACTTCAGCTATCCCAGCATCCGTGCCTGGCACCGACTACACAACCTTCCTCAACTTAGGGGCAGCTTCCAACCTGTCTGGCATCCGCATCGGGGTGCTCCAAGGCTTCTTCAACCGCCTGGCCAGCAACGAAACGACTCCGGTCAATCAAGCCATGGACAACGTTGTCTCACTCGTCAGCTCCATGGGAGCCACGATTGTCAATATAACCGATACGATCACTTACAATGCCACCGCGATGAGCGCCCAGATGGATGTCCAAACACTCGAATATCGCGAAAGTCTGTCAAATTACCTCTCATCACCCAACTTGACCGGTGCTCGCCCTATGACTATGCCAGAGTTGTACACACCAAACCAGACCACCCCGGAATTCTTGGTTATCCCGTCGCAGTATTCTTACGTCGAGACCGCCCTGATCTCTTCAACCAGCAACAGCAGCTGGTTCACTAAACAATCTCTCATCGCCAACCTGACGCGCGCCCTGCATTCTACCATCGTCGCCAACGAGCTCACATGCCTCATTTACCCCGAACAGAAAAACCTGGTCGTTCCTGTCGGCTCTCCCTCACAGTCTGGCCGCAACGGAATCCTCGCTGCCCTGACCGGTAGTCCTGTCATCACCATGCCGATTGGCTTTTCACCTGCCACGGCTTCTGCGCCTATTGGAATCCCCATTGGCATGGAGATCCTAGGTCTACCTTGGAGTGAAGGCACGTTGCTGCGGGTCGCCAAGGGCATCGATGATCGGCTCCATGCACGGAAAATGCCTGTCACGAACGGGCTAAATGAGACGGTGGAAGTCACGACCGCAAATTCTTCGGTCCCGCAGGTGACGCCACTGAAGAACATTCCCAGCGCGTATCCCTTAGGAGTATATTAAGCCTCGCCCAGAGATGGGTCGTAAATGTGGCAGCTATGGTTAGATGAAGAACAACTAGTCGGAGCCGTATACTACTCCTACGACAGGATTTAAGTTGTATATATTGGCTCTAGATTTACAACAGTGATCAAAGACGTTATAGCAGTTTTTAGCATAATAATGCGCCAGACCGTGAATTTCTTGAGCAGTGCCAGTCGAACGCAGGTAAATCGCGCAAGGCTGCCAAGTAATAGGGGCAAATCATAATGTCCACAGCAAGTATTCTCCATTTTCACACTTCACAGCCATGCTTGCACGTCCGAGCCCTGAATGTCTCAAGAGCTTTGAAACCTGCCGTCAGACGAAGGTGTGCAACTAGCAAATGGCAGGCCATAGCGGATCGGCCACGGAATATCTCTCACGACGGTCGACAGCCTTGCTCGCATTGTTACAGGCAGACATGTTCGTTGTAAAGACATTCTTGTCACAACCAACTCGCCATGGTGATGGTAATGCCGCGGCCATCCTTTGTGTTGGAAGCAAGTGATGCCCCCAGTCTGAGGGCAAAGATCCGAATGATGGCTGTCCTACCAGACCTAGGTGAAGTGAGCTTGCGACTGAATGCAGCCGTCAACACTCTCCCCCAAGCCTCTATCAACACGATACCCTAAGGATGATGGTCTCCATGGTATGAAGTCTCTATTTTGCGGGCACTTTGAAAATGATACTGGTCGGCCATCACTAAACACGCTGTTCAGATCATGTCGTCGTGCATCAGTCAGCCGCAACAAAGCTGCACCACGACATCAGCAGCGTCTACACAAGCCGCGTGGTACCAGCCGCGACAATGTCTTCACTCGCCTGTCTGTTGCATCTGCGGTCTCAAATCTCTTTAGAATCAACAAACACTGATCCAATCTGACCGTACTCAAACATCAGACTTCATACGATTGCTACAAAGACAACACTCGACGCACCGGCATACTCTCATATTCGGTCTTCCGAAGCGCCAGCCCCTACCCAGTATGCGCACATCCTCACGCCTCTATCTCCCACTCATTCATCACACAGAGCGGTTATACCAGCCTGACACCGCGCAAGAATGGCCGCTCAACAACAACAAGACTGGGATGTGATCGAGAAACATGAGCAAAAGGAGGCCAAAGAAGCCAGCAAGCCCACCATCGCTCTGCAAGGAGACTGGGTAATGTGCTCGTACAAAGGAGACGGCAGCATCTTTACCACCGGACTCGCACCATCAATGGACACGTATCTGCGTGAGAAAGCCGAACAGAATGCTCGTGCTGAGCAGAAGAAACGCGCATACGAGGCTGAGATGAGATTGATGGAGGAGAAGGTCGAGGGTCTGCCGAAAAAGGCACCGAGTGCAACGCCATCGGGACGTGTGAAACCACCTGCATTGGAGTTGGAAGAGCTCCCGTTCCACTTCAAGAAGGAGGCGCAATGACATGGGAGGGCGGTTGGACAAGCAGTGATAAAAGAACGTGATATGACAATGAAATACTCTGCATGAAATCACTCACGCACCCGTATTTCTGCACGACAAACTCAAGTGGAATGGTCAAGTAATTGAATGTAAAATATCATGACTATTTTGTCTGAACTGGTGTACATTGATGATTATTCCCCCAATTCCCTGCCCATTATCAACCCCATCGTAGTCTGTCTGGTATCAGGATGAAAACGCCCCTTCGCTATGCTGTGCTGTGCTGTACTGTACATGTGTCTGTGTGCCATCGGCAGAAAGAGCAAAGATGGAAAGAAATGCAACTATGATTACCACATTCCGTAGTCTGAACCAGGGAACGGTCCACAGATACCACCGGCGATGGTCTGGGGCGGGCCAACGTCACCGTATCCTCCCTCTGCGGGAGCCACGAAGACGACGCCATCGACGCCGAAGAACACGCAGGGCCCGCCGGCGCTGGTGCTGATGTGGCTTATGGACAGGACATTATTGGTCGGCGTCCAGGTGCTGGAGGCCGGGATGTCGAGTGTGTATTGGGCGTCAGCGGCGCCGATGAACGTTACTGAGACGTTGGATGTGCGCGCGGCAATGGGGTTGGCGCTGACCAGAGTGCTGAGCACTGGGAGGATGGCGAGGATCGTGCTTGTGATGGAGATCATGTTTTCAGATTGAGAAGGGATGGAATGGAGAAATGTGTATTAGATGGTGGCTGGTAATGCAAGATTGAGCTGTGCTGTGCTGATGTGTTGAATGGAATTGAGATGTCGAGTACGTACTGTACCTTGGGCAATGGTCAGGGTATATATGTACTTACATTTGCAACTGGCCTTGGACGTTTGACTGTGGTTCATGAGGGCCTGATCGATAGTTCATGGCAAAGTTGCAAGGCTGGGGTTGCGTAAACGGGGGCTGGATGTGATGGCCTCAGGAGCCGCACGCAGGGCTGTGCGCTTGAGATGGCGTGTTGGTTGCAAACCTAATCTTGGCCGCCTGATACAATATCCTCTGGGCAGTGACCACAGGGTGGCAAACAGCATTGATGGATAAAGGGCAAATACGTGCTTACACAGATCCAGTGTGCGGGCCGACTGTTCTAGAAGATGCTGGACGGGTATATTTGTGGTGGTTGTGGTGGTGAGAGGGTAAGAGAGGTGAGTGGTTTTGGTGAGATGCGGTTTTGGAGCCTGACGGATTTGGTTCGGACCAAGCCTCGGGTCAGGGCCTAAGCGTAAACAGAACTCAGTCTCAGTGGCTGGCCTCATCACTTCTTTTCTATTTTTGCATCCGTGCTCTTTACCTCAGCCTCGTGAACCTGATCAGTTTGCCGTTACGGATCTCAAACGATAGAGTTCTTGTGACCTGGGCTGGAATATGTCAACGGGGCGTTCACATGGAGGCCGTGAGGCTGCCCACGTGCTGGTGCTTTTGCGATCGCCTCCTCCTCAATGTGATATCGAAGGGGGCGACATGGCCGGTTGCAGATTTGTCAGGTCACGCAGCTCGACACTGTACGAAATGCACCATGATCTCGGTTCGGCATCGCACCGAGGGACCATGGTCGCAAAGATAGCAGCCAAACGGCCACAAAACTTGCTCTCAGCCCTCCGGGAGCCATGAGCGGTAGGCAGAAGATCATGCATGCGGCAACAGGTCTCATTGCAGAAGAACAACTCGTGGTGTTACACTCGAATAGTACATTGCATACTGACTTTCCTCAATCCCTTTTTCCCACGCTGTTAGTATACCCGCCGTAGCCGCCATATCCCCCGTACCCTGAGGTCCTAGGCATTCCATTTCCAACATTGCCCCCCAGAAGCCCATTTCCATAGACGCCGCTCCTCCCACTCTTTTGTCTTTCGTAAATCAGCATGGCCATTGCTCCCACACCAGCAGCCGCAGCCACTGCACAAAAACTTAACAAGGAAAATCCCAGACTGTGATTCGTAACTCCAAGGACAGGGCGGCCAACCATGCCCGGTAATACCGCACCGTCAATCCAACCAACGTTAAATGTAAGAACCACGGGTTCGTTGCGGACAATCTTCGTTCCCTCAATCGGTGCTGACGCGGACACGTTTGGCAAGGAGTACGCCGTGGACGCGATCAAATGCGAGGATGCCGGCGCCTTCGAATCTTCGGTATCTTGAGACATGTGGAACAGGACGTTGATATTCGTGTGGAGGTGGAGATGGGACAGCTGAAGTGTCCCTTGTAGAGCGATTGTGAAAGGCGTCCACAAATCCTTCTCAGCCCCGGTTCCGCCAACCTCCGGTAATGATGAAGTTATTCCTAGCTCTTCCTGAGACAACGGGTGGGATGGTATTCGACATGACAAGGGCACGTCGCTGTGGACGAAGAACTCGAAGAGATGATAAAGTTCATCGGGAAGAGATTCAATGGTACACGTCTGGGTTTGAGGCGTGTTGTATAAGAAGGACAGGGGCTGGTTCGTCTCGTTGCATGTCGGAAATGGTATATATTGTAGGTTCCCGTAACTGTCGGTGATCTGGTCCGGCAACATCAGCGTTAGTGCCAATCAAGTCTGCGAAGGTATCGTGATTTCTTGTTCAGAGCAGAATGTGAGGTGGGATCGCACGTACATGTTCACCTGTATCACTGCAACGATCAGTAGTGGTCCACATCTCCCAAGATTTGCAGCTTACATTGTTCGATTGAGACAGCTAACGGGCATCAGCTCGCCCTTGGAATATCCTCGCCTTTCCGACGCTCCATTCAGCAACACTGTCTCGTCGCTGGCGGCCACTGATACGGAAAGTGACAGGTAGAATAGGAGAAGTGCATGAATAGGCAGCGGCATGCACCGCAGCATGGCTGCCATTGGACTGGGGGAACTTGTCTCGGTTGCGCCTTGCGAAGAGGCATGCGAACTCCTGGTTCCTTGACAATTATTATTATTGTTCAACCACTGCAACTTGGCCTGATTTGCAATGGCACGCTAACTACGGGACGAGCCGCCTCCGCATGCAGGTTCCGCCGTCATCGCTCGCCCGTTCCATGTCGCCATTATGAGGTATGGACAGTACGAGTAAGCGAAGGTCGATTCCACAAATCTCTTTGCTGAAGGGCTTGCGCATCAGACGGAAAACGTTGATGGCACTTGCGATGGAATTGCAGCAATACCTAAGCGCCGCTTTCCTGCCGCCGCAAACGCCACCATCGTGCACGAGTTTAGGTTATGCTGCCAAAGGATAAAAATATATTGTGATCATGGTTTCGATAGACCAAAACATAACCTCGTAGACATTGGAAGCACAGGCTATCGATTGCGCGTCGATATCTTGAAAGGCTGCCGTTGTTATAGGCAATAATCATGTCAGTGGTGGCAGATGTGGTAGCTCTAGGACCGGCTCAGAAGTGTGCGGGGGATTTGTATGCACATGATGCTGTGAACGAGTCGAGAAGAGCATGAACCGTGCTGAAATCTGCTTTTGCATAGACAACAAAACGTCCTCACTTCATATGGGCAGTCCGTTGTGTAAACGCTGAGCAAGTGGTGATGTTTCAAGCGTATTTGCCTTCTTGTTATCTATTTGTCTGCTGAATCCCCACAGCGCATCAACCGCAAAGCAGCCATGAGCTCTTATTCATGCCATTTCTACCGAATGCTGACTGGGTTCTCATGTCGTCTTCGAAGTTGAGGCATCGGAATGTTCCTGAAGGACGTGCTTTGGGTTGCTCGACAGGCCGGAGAGCTGGTCATCTTTGCCCTCATCTTTCCCCTTGGACTCATCGATCTATACACATTGGTCAGCGAATGCAGCTCTTCGAACCACCGGACTTGCTCGATGCAATGTTAGCACAGCACGGCTGGATCTATCGTACCTTTCCGCTACCGGGTTGAGCGGGATGATCTCCTTGTTGGGCACCGGTCTGGGTCTCCGGCTCTGGGGATTGACGACCTGCGTTGGGTGCAGACATTTTGAAGTAGTATAGAGGTTTCTCTGTTAGGCGACCTGGGTCAGCTACTGTTGTTGCTTCGGAACCAATGGAACAGCTCCAAAAGGGTGACAAACGAAACGCAACTGGGCTTACCTCTTGGCTTTGATTCTGAGAAGCGGTAAGCAGCGTTGTATGAAAGGTTCAGGCAACAGGAAGAATGATGAAGACGTTGGGTAGTGAGGAGTGAAGGTCGAATATATTTGCCAAATTGCCATTCCCCCACCAAAAGCAGCCCACTTGATTCATCGCTATGACGTCTGGGCCGGTTCTGACGAAGATGAGCGCCATCTGCGAACCATGTCACGCCGTCTGGGATCCTTTCTTGGTAAGACCAAACAGAATCCATGCACGGGAAAAGTGGTAAATTGCATGAACTAAATGTCTGAATGGAGATTCGTATCTACCGGTAATTATCCAATAATGCATGCTTGTCTTCTCTTCGTTTTTCCCGACAGGCAGCATATGCAAGCACGATATCTCACCGATATGCAAATTCAATCGCAGAACCTTTCTTGAATGCTTCAATGCAAATGCGCCTGTCTGCCTCAATGCACATAATGATCAATCCAGCCAAAATCTAGCCATCGTCCAATTGCCCGACCACCAAGCCAGAAGGCAAAACCCATTGGGGCCACGAACTTGACCGGTTGTCCCGTACTTGTCTTGCGCCTTCATCTTGTGACCATCTTGACCGCAACCCGGGTGTCTCATCGTGTCCTCAAACTCGGGCTGGCAATTCCGAAACTGGCCAGTCCGCGCGCCTTGCAGTTGGGGCAGCTCCTGTTCTTGTCGCCGCGGATTTTCAACTGCAGGTAATCTGGACACTGGCGACCTGCCCGATATTTGCAGCCTTGCTTGTCTAGTTGGTATGATTCATAATGGCCACATTTCAGGCTGATCAGTCGCTCGAAGCACATCTCGTCTTTGGTATCCCGGTGTAGCTGTGAAACATGCCATTAGCAATTGTCGCAGACCAACAGGTGTCGCGCACAATAGACCTACCCTTTGAAGATTTGAACAAGAGAATCTAATCCAGGTCTATCGTGTAATAATTGTAATTGTGTCCCACGTCGTGGCCGATGCTTCACGATCGGCCCAGTTACCCAGGCTCGCCGCAGGCTTCACAGAAGCGGTCCGTGGAGATGGTGGAGGGCTTGTTCATACTCTGGCAAAGTACGTACTGACTAGATTGACACAAGGAAAAACAATCGCCCAGGACGACTGCTATAAACCGTTATGGAAATGTAGCTTGACTGTAAAAGTCAACTGTTATGAAAGAGGTGGAAAGGTAGCGAGGTGAACTGGGGGCGCAGTCGAAGATTTTTGTCACTTGGTGCAAAGCCGATCTAGTGGAGGTAAGGCGGAAAGAGAAGTGCAACAACAAGCAACAGCCGAAGTCGACCCTCCAAAAACAATCATCCACGTCTTCACTTCACGACATTCTTCCATCATTTTCATCTCCTGCTGCGTCACTTCTCTGCTTGCTTTTCCGAGACTTGTCATCACGATCAGCAGCCAAATATGCTCGAGTGACTTCGCAGTGGTGTTCCAGACCATCCCACCAGGACTGATCGAGCAGTTGTGACCTTGGGTAGCACTGGGTGTTGGTACTTGCGCGTAAGACCAAACCATACTACAAGGCGATGCACACCACCCCGGTCAAGCAATATCGTGGCTTTGCCGGGGATAATCCTGTACTGTGATACCTTTTCTACGTATGGACCGTCCGGTGCAGCGTGTCTGCAAGTGATTTCCGAGAAACGACAATCAGGTATGATACATGCAATTAGCTGAAGCTATGGCAAAGGACAGCTTACCCGTCTACTATACCAGGGCAATCATACGCCCTCAGCCACGATCATTCTATCTTATGTCTACAGCTTCGGCTCCACAACCGTTATAACCTTGCTGCTGCCACATCTTGACGCTCTTCACCTGCAAAGCATTTCCATTCTTGTTCTGCCACGTCGGATACCAGCTATTCTTCGCAGTCCAAAAATCCCTCTTCGCTGTGGGACTTGCATCAACCCACGGCTTACCGTCCTCGCCGTCTGTGAACCATCCGTTTGTTCCCCCAACAGCAACGTTGAGGATCAGGTAAAATTCTTGGTCAAACGGTGTGGCATCGTTTCCTGTTTCGCTCCAGGGGTCGACGGTGGAGGTACCGTTTGAGTAAGAGAGCGCGAAATTGCCTCGTTGCCAAAAGGGAATGTCGAATCGATTGTACAGAACCTGCAACAAGCGGCTGTCCAGGTATGTATACAAGTATTTCTCACTCCATTCCAGCCCGAACGTGTGAAATTGGTCGGGAAAAGCTGAATGCAGGGCACTGACCTTACCGTATGTGCGCCACCATGCATCATCCGTGCTGTCGGGGCCCCAATGCAGAGTCGAGGACATGACATTGTTTCCACCGTTATAGTACGAATGATTGTTCCCGCGGGATTCTGCAATGTCAATCTCGCCGCTCTGAGGCCACGATCCGTACACTGAGTCCGTGGGCAACATCCATATCGCAGGCCACAACCAGTCTCCTTGTGGCAATTTGGCCACAACTTCAATGCGGCCATATTTGAGGTTCGCACCCTTTTTCGTATTGATACGGCCGGATCTCACAGGACTGACGATTGTGCCGTTGGTAGTGTTGGTGGTGGCGACACAATTGGACCAGACATCAGAGGTGCAGGTCCCTAATTTGGTAAGGTTGAGTGTGGCATTATTGACCAGAAGACTGGCGTCTTGCAGCGTAGGCATGATTTGGAGCATCCCATCTTTGATGAAGACGTTTTCGTCAGTCCCAGTGGTCTCCTCGAATTGACCATTTCCATATCCACCGACTTCGACTTCTTTGGTCCAAATGTCGGAGTTCAAGGTTGAGGAGGAGGAGAAATCGTCCTGATACACCATGCAATATTTGTGTATTGGGACAGTTTGGATACCAAGGAAGATGTATGCTCCTGCAATACACAACCCCAACAGAAGACCGATGATTGGAATAAGGGACAGCCATTTTAGTCTTGGATCCTTGTTTTGCTTCAGCCACGACAGGTCGAGGTCTTTCTCCCTGATTCGACGAGATCGAAAGTATACTCCACGCCGTGGAGCTGCTCTTTCGACCTTTACAACTGATTGTCGAGCTTTATAGGTTATATTGTCGAAGAGGTTCTCCGACCCTGAACGAGGGGTGAATGGCGGGTATGTCGGAGATTCTGAAGTTTTGCTGACAGGTGAAGCCCACAGAGATTGAATCTTTGACTGAAAACCCGTGCTTGGGACATCGCCAATTTGACCGCTCTTGGCGGAAACAGATGGCGACGTGGACCGACCCGAAGTACTTGTACCTCTTGTGGTCCTTCGTCCGAAACCTCCTTCGGTCTCAGCTTTCGGCTTGATGTAATCGGAGAGGGATAGTCGTCTGTCCCAGCCACTCCTGTATTTGCTCGGCTGAGTTTTGGATCCGAGGTCTTGAGAACCGGCGAGCCTTCTCTGAGTCGAGGACATCGAGCCTCCGCGATTACCGGCTTGGGCACCAGAAGTCGCGTTTGACATTGAATAGTCTGGGACTGGAAACACGGGAGTGCTGCGTCTTCTTGCGAAGACCGCATCGTTCATCCACAAATGTGTTTCATCAGATGGATCAGTGGCACTCCCCGGTCCAGCTACTTGAGAGCCACGTCGTGAACCCCCAGGTCCAGCTACAGATCCTCGACGGGACTCCCCAGGTCCTGCTACAGACCCTCGCCGGGTCTCGGATGTAGGGGCCGCCCATGGTTGTTCCGTCATTGCTGGCTTGAAATAATTCTCGGCAACAGACTTCGATCTTGTCCACAGTCCTTGTGAAGTTGATGTTCGTCTGGGCATATCTCGTCTGGGGATATCAGCGCCTGATGGCCTGCGACTTGTCGGCGTCGACCCTGCCTGTGCCGCATTGTCCTTCCATGGGAAGTAACCGGCTCTGTCTCCCGGATTGTCACCGCTCCGACGATATCCTACATACTGAGGTTCTTGTCCCGTTGTCCGCAAGTCAGTCGTGCTTAGTGTTCGCACCGGTCGGGTTCCTGGAGACGGTCCATCGAAAGAACGCTCCGTATCATCTTCTTCGACCACTGTCTTTGTGCTAAGTCCTCCGGCCCGTCCTGAAAAAGGCATGTCTGGTCAATCCAATTCAAAGAAACAAGTTGTTCATGTCGCTGGTGGAAGCAGTGGTGCAGGATTATCTTTGACAAGGTGACAGGTAAGTCCATTTTGTCGCAACGACACATTGGACACCTGTTCATGCCCTTTCCGTACACCAAAACAGCATGGTCCTATGACGGCCCAGACAGTGTGAGAGAGGTCCGTGCGAAGCGATGATATACCTCGTGTATGACAGCCCGGATCCCATAGTCTGATCGCCATGGTGGAGTCCACGGGTAATACTCGTCAATATTGACCAAAGAGCTAGATATTCAAATCGGACTACAGGTCTCGAGCTCAACAGTGCCACAGGTCGCCCCGCACGTGCCTCGAGCAGCTCGATTGTTGCCGCTGTCAAGGCGTTTGGATGACAAAACTCTATTCAACAGACCTGCCGGTGACCATAGCGCCATGCTAGCATCTAATTTTGTCGATACAGTGCGACCTTTTATCCAATTCTGGTTCCATTCTGGGATAATTGCCTGGACACGTCTTTCCTACAAACCACTGCGTGGATGAGCCTCGACCATGACCGATCCTGCCTAACGTCGGTCTTAGCACTTTATGGAAGGCTCTTTCATCGCGAAGGCCTCCCACTTCGGGCTACGGTGCTACATGATCGTACCTCAATGACGTGGCGATGCTTCTGCGTCCGCATGTAACATCGTGTTTTTGGATTTTCCATGTGGTCCGTCAAAAAGAAGCCTCCATATATCCGAACCATGACTGCGGAAGTATTGAACCAACCGGCACGGGAGGAGACGGGAGATACAGATCCGTCGATCGCTGGATGTGCAGAATGCTCAAGAACTCCAGCTTCTTTCCTCTCTCATCGACTTAGACAAACGACGTCGTTGTTCTGTCCTGTCTTCAGCCGCAATGGCGGCCCTGTTAGGGTCGCGCTTCAAAGCGCATCGTCCGGCGAAACTCTCCATCGTACCGACAGCACTAGACACCATACCTCAGCAAAATGATAGTCCTGTTTCTCCCACGTCCCATGTGGGAAGTAAACGGGAATCTGCGATAATGGAAGCGCCTGGAAGACCACCCATCAAAGAGCACAACACGAACAATGTCAAGTTCGACGTCATGCTCATGTATCTGCGCCAGCAGCAGCTCGAAAAGCGCTGGGCGAGCGGAAACTCGACAGAAGGCGTTGTACTGAGGAGGAGTCGAAACGATTATATCTGCCAACCTCCAGAGCTATTGCGGCAAGTCAATGGCTTTTATGATGAAGTCAAAAAGCAAAACTTCAAGGTATGGAACAGGGATACGTGAGATTTTGGATTCGAGTTAACAGGCGTCAAGGTTGCCATGACTATCAAGACATCAGTCATCGAGACCTTTCTTAACGCATACAAGCATGACCATGTACCACTTAGCAACGGACAACAGCTGCGCATCATGGAAACCCTCAGTGAGCTCGCGTACGGTAGGCGGCATCACTACGCTGCATTTGTACGTAGTCAAGGGATCCTCGTTGTTTGGGACGAAGATCCTACAGAAGTCATCGATCGAGCTGAACGGATCGAAAAATATCTCGTCAACATGATGTGGTCGATGGACGACAGCGATGACGAATACGACAACGAATTCGAAGACGAGAAAGCGGCCATTCTCAATCCGAAAGTCGCAATGGAAACGCCAGAGACGTCAATCGAAGACGAGGAGGCCAAATCCTGGGAGAAACCGCGGAAAACGGTCCTCTACCAGGCATTCATTGTCGGTGCCGTGGGCGTCTTGACCATTTTCTGCCTGTCTATTGGCTGGAGACGCATGGCCATCGAGATCGTGATCGACAATAGCTACAAACGGCTGGCTATCATGGCAGCAGCACCCTTGCAGATATGGTTGGGATGGTTCTTCTTCATGACTCTCATAAATGGTGTCTCCCAGATGATCGGCCCGGTCAAACAGATGGCGCACAACTCCAGGTTCTATTCAGCACGACCTCCTGTTCGACTGACAGGATCGGACCTGCCTCACGTCACGATCCAGTGTCCCGTGTACAAGGAGGGTCTCGAAGCCGTTATTCATCCCTCGATTGTGTCTATCCGGAAAGCCATCTCGACGTACGAGCTTCAAGGTGGAAGTGCGAATATTTTCATCAACGACGACGGCATGCAGGTAATATCTGAGGAAGAAGCGCAGAAACGCTTCGAATTCTACGAAGACAATAATATCGGCTGGGTATCTCGGCCAAAGCATGCCCCTAAGGGAGACGAGAACGGCGAGAACGTTTATGTTCGTGCTGGAAAGTTCAAGAAGGCATCCAACATGAACTTCTGCCTCAATGTGACCAACCGCGTCGAGGACATCATGGCCGAAGTCCAGCGAGGGCCCGAATGGACCCAGGAAGACGAGGATCGACTGTTCCAGGCGAGCTTTGACAAGGTGATTAATGAAGACGCCGGTCGCACCTGGGGTGGCGGCGACATCAGAATGGGCGACTACATCCTGATAGTCGATTCAGACACCCGAGTACCAGAGGATTGTCTGTTAGACGCCGTTTCGGAAATGGAACACTCCCCGGATGTCGCTATCATTCAGTTCTCATCGGGCGTCCTTAACGTGACGACGAGTTTCTTCGAACAGGCCATCACCTTCTTCACCAACCTGGTCTATACCGCGATTCGATTTGCCGTAGCCAACGGTGATGTCGCCGCGTTTGTCGGCCACAACGCTATTATGCGCTGGTCCGCCGTCCAGAGTGTACGATACACCGATGCAGAAACCGGAGTCGAGAAATACTGGGCCGAGAATACCGTGTCCGAAGATTTCGACATGGCCCTCCGCCTCCAGGGGCTGGGGTATATCATTCGATTCGGCGCGTACACCGGCGACGGGTTCAAAGAGGGTGTGTCGTTGACTGTCTACGACGAACTGTCCCGCTGGGAAAAGTACGCATACGGTTGTGCCGAGTTGGTCTTTCAGCCGTTCCGGTACTGGCCCACGCGTGGACCTCTGACAAAGTTGTGCCGCACGTTTCTGACCAGCCCGATGAGCTTGATGGCCAAAGTCACCATCATGTCGTACGTCGGCACATACTTTGCCATTGCGTCGGCGTGGCCTCTGACGCTGATGAATTATTTCCTCATCGGCTGGTTCAACGGACACATTGACCAGGCGTATATCGACTCTTTCAAGATCTACTTTGGTATTATCGTCGTCTTCCAAGGTCTGGGTATCGTCAGTCTGGCCGTTCTACGGTACCGAGTCGAGAATCGGTCCCTGTTTGGAAGTATGCTGGAAAACCTCAAGTGGTTGCTCATCTTGACTGTTTATCTGGGTGGCTTGTCGATGCACTTGTCCCAGGCTATTCTGTGCTACTTGTTCAGCATCGACATGACCTGGGGTGCCACAGCGAAAGAGGCCAAGTCGACGTCCTTCTTCCGCGAGGTGCCGACGATTCTGAAAAAGTTCAAGTTTACTTTTTGTTTTTGTATTGTCATGATTGCGGGCATGATCATCTTGTCGGGCATTGGACCGGTCGGGCAGATGGTGCCGTATGACTGGAGGATCGTGGATTTCATTGCGATTTTCCCACTGGCTATGTTGGTGGGTTCGCACTTTTTGCTGCCGTTGGTGCTGAACCCCGGTTTGATGCAGTTTACTTTCTAGGCAGAGAGAAAAGCACTGGCGTTCCGGGGTCTGATAGGCTTGACATAGATTCAGCCTATGGTGAAACAAATAAAGCCTGGACTGGCATGGGAACGAAATCCGAAGTTCATAAAACCTTTTTCATTCGCTGTAAACTAATTTAACAGGTGTTCATGCTCATGCTCATGCTCATAGTCGCTGCTGCTTTGGTGCAAGTCCGCTCCTTCGTATCCCGTTTCCCAGACAAACAGAGTCATTCTTGTAATAAAATCATGGTCTGCGCAAGCTTAGACGCTACCGACTGGCAACTGTTGCCCGCTGGCTTGAGCAGCCTCCTTTGCCTCTGTGGTCGCAGCAGAATTGCTCTTTCCGCAGCTGGCACAAGCGCAGTGACCCGCCGGGCATGGGCAGGAACCTTCTGAACCTCCGCATTCGCAGACAGTCTTGTCGGTACCCTTGACTGGCTCTGGTTGGATGGAACCGACATCACTCTTTGCACAATTGGCACAATTGCAGTGACCTGGTGCGCAGCCACACACCCCCTCGGATCCACCGCACTTGCATACAGTCTTGTCAGTGCCCGGGAGTTGCTCGGGCTCGTTGGCCTTGCCAGTCTTGAGATCCGCCAACCGTCTGGCTTCGTTGTGGACATCTCTGACTTGCTTGTCACCCGCAACGTAGTATTGTCGAACTCTTTGGCCAGTAGGGGTGTCCATAGCTTTCTCGAAATATGAGTTGAAACCACCCAAAGCAGTCATAGCCCGATCAGTGAGACCATACTTGCTGTCAACAGACTTCGCCTTGTCGGTCGCCTTGTATTTCTCATCGAAGCTTGATAGAGCATTTGTGAATCTTGAGCTGATTCCATGCTTCTTGTCCATAGTGATTGCCTGGTTGATGACATTGTCTGACAGTGTATAGCCATGAGCGAGGTATTCAGCGACGATTCTTGTGCGAGGCTTGTCTTCCTGCGCAATGTGGTCATCAGGGAGGGAGGATGAGACGGCCGCGCCTGCTTTGGAGGCCAAGTCGTCGATGGTGCCGGCCGTCGAGACGTGGACTTGAGATTTTCCCAGCTGAGTGTTGTCGAGGAGGAGAGCGGTCTTAGCGGCACTGTCATCACGTTAGCATGAGTCTTGTCCGTTGTTTTTTGGAGGTCGAACTCTGACTTACGTTTCCTTCTCGAAAGTCACAGTAGCGGACTTTGATGAGTCTGGGGAGTCGGATTCGGGAGTGACGGAAATGTTGGTGATTTTGCCGCTGTAAAGTGAGTTAGTACTGCTGCAGCATTGAGATGTGATCGTGCAAACTTACCAGAAGCTGAAGAAGTCTTTTACTTCTTTCTCGCTGGTATCATGGGAAATACCCTTGACGTGAACGACGGTAGCCATTGTGGTAGGATTGATCAGGATCTTTGTGATGGAAGTCGATTGGTATCAGGAAACAGTATCTCGGTAGTACTTTAGTTGATTGATCTCAAACTGTTTTGGTCTGTAGAAGAACTGTCTTATAACGATGGAAGAAGCCAAACGTCAAGGCCTGATCGACGCAAAGGGGGCAACTTCCGACTACGTCACTCCACGAGATGCCCCTCTTCAGCCACACTTCTCGGGGCTTCTGCCCAGGCGCCACAGCACTTACTTCAGCCACACCAATTCACGTCACCAGGCGCCCGTCAAGCTGTACGAAATACGAGAGCACAGGTGTTCGAGCACCCCTTTCATACCCAGTGCACCAGGCAGACGAGTCTTCCCATGGTTGGAGCCGTTGAGGTAGGTCGAGGCTGCAAGGCTGCGAGGCGGTGCTCACTGTTCTGAGCCTTGCAGGACACTTTCGAGGTAGATACTCATCAAGCGACGAAGGCCCTGCCAGAACAGCTGCAAAGCACCAATGCAGGTATGATCGATGCAATGAGACGGCTCCTTCTGCAGAGTACAAATACCTCGCCTCTTATCGAGCCAGCCTGCTTCATATCCGCACGATCCATTGGTATCGCGATGTCAAGATCTTCAATCCGATCTATCTCGGGATGGGCTTCCTAAATTCCAACCTTGAATCGAGGATCACTCTTACGACGACTATGAGATAACAGGAAAGTCGATACTAAATGGGACACGGGCTGGTGAAGATTGCTGCTGCTGCATGCACAACTTCAACGAAAGCCCAGAACAAAGCACTACTGTGTACGCGTTCTTCGGTTCCGATGTCGCGGACAAGCGCAGGCCCATGCCTCGGCCTCGGCAAGACCAGGGTCAGAAGAATTTTCGGCTTTCTATTTGCTAACTGGTTGCCTATGCTTCCAGCTGCTGCTCTCACCAGATCATCTCTTGCTAACCTCATATGGAGTCGATGCCTAAGATCATGCCTTCCAACAGGCTGGACGGGGCAACTAAGGGACGGAATGAAAACCTCGCCGTCAAACATGGCCTGTCGCCCTTGTCTCTTTTATCCACTCATCTTTCTCGCTTACTACTGGCCAACGACGTCCAGTGCCCGCCTTTCTATTTTCTTCATCTCAATTGTCAGCTTTCAGAGAGCTTTAGTGTGCACTCAAAAGTGAAAGGGAACTTCTTCCTCTCTTGGGTTAATAAGCCCTATCTATATCTGAATTCCTGGTCGGTGAGACCTATACATCAGATTTCCTGACCAGTATCCCGGTCTTCAAGAAGCCTGCATCAGCCTTTCCACGCCGCATGACAGCGCTCTTCTCCAATTGCACTTGGGATTCTTTTTCCAGCTCAATATATCTGGCACGCGACACCATTCAACGCCTTGATTGCGCCTCGCGAAAGAGCTCCAAAGCACCATGGCGCGCACCAACGTCAATACCGACAGCAACACGTTGGCAGCTCTGGGAAAGAAAGAAGTGCTCAAACGACGATTCGGTTTCTGGTCATTGTTCGGTTTCGCCGTGTGTGAATTGATCACTTGGGAGACAGTATTGGCTCTCTTCAGCCAGGGCTTCGACAATGGCGGTCCAGCTGGCCTGGTCTATGGCTTTATTATAGCGTGGTCGTCCACCCTATCCGTGTACACTGTCATATCGGAGCTCGCATCTATGGCGCCCATCGCAGCTGGCCAGTATTACTGGGTTTACATGCTCGCACCAGACCGATACAAGGTGTTCTGCAGCTATATCATCGGTTGGCTCACCTCGCTTGCCTGGATAGCTACCGTGGCCATAGAAACCATATTTGCTGGTACCATCCTCCAGGGTTTGATCATTCTCGATCACCCTGATGATTACGACCCAAAGGAATGGCACGGCACGCTGCTCGCATGGTTGGTCATCGTTGTAGCCATATTCATCAACGTTGTAGTTCCGGGTGTCCTGCCGAAGGTCGAAATATTCGTCATCGTCTTCCATATTGCCGGATTCATCGCCATCACGGCCGTCATCTGGGCATGCACTCCTACTCAGAACACGTCTCACTTTGTTTTTACAACAGCTCTGAACGAAGGGGGCTGGTCAACGCAGGGACTCTCGTACTGCATTGGATTCATGGGCAATGTGGCCACTTTTGTGGGCGCAGATGCCTCGGTGCACATGGCTGAGGAAGTCTCCAATGCGGCCGTGAATATTCCACGAGCTATCATCTGCAGCATGTTCATCAACGGTGCGGTAGGGTTCACGATGATGCTGACTATATTGTACAATCTGGGTGATGTGGATACGGTCCTGGAGAGTGCGACGGGCTACCCCTTCATCCAGATTTTCTATGGTAAGCTTTCAATGGGTCTTCGTATGACTTCTTCCGCTCTGATACTAATTGCAATACAGACAGTGTCAACAACGTAGCAGGTGCTACAGTTATGGGGGCAGTCGTATTGGCACTGACGTGGGCCTGTGCTACCGGCATCATCACTACAGCCAGCCGCATGACATGGTCATTCGCACGCGACCATGGCACTCCCTTCAGCAGATCCCTCAGCTACGTGTCCAAGGGTCGCAGAATTCCTACTGTTGCAGTGTTGACTGTCACCGGCCTTGCTTCCCTGCTTACTCTCATCTACATCGGCTCATATGTAGCCTTCAACGACATCGTCTCTTTAACCATTACCGGCTTCTACAGCTCATACTTTCTTCCGGCGGCATTCTTGCTTTGGCACCGAATCAAGGGCGACATCCTGCCGAACAAGCAAGACACGCCAGGTTTGGCCATCGATGCAGATGCCGGGGTAGATGCCAACAATTTTGCCAACAACGGCGATGGCATCTCCCATCTTCCAGGGAAGGAGGTCTCCGTGGGCGACGACGTCAAGAAGTCTGCGTACAACGACCCGAACCCTCCGTCCTATGCTGGTCACGGCGCCCCGCACGGCCGCCAGATCTCGGTGGCTGAAGCACCCTTGGTATGGGGCCCATTCCACCTGCCAGGCTGGTTTGGCATAATCAACAACGCATACGCCTGTGTCTACATGATCTTCGTAGTCTTTTGGAGTGTCTGGCCACCAGCGACTCCCGTCACTTACCAGACCATGAACTACTCGATTGTGGTGACGGCTGGAGTCGTCCTTTTCAGCATTGTATGGTATTTCATTCGAGGTCGCAAAGAATACAACGGACCTGTGATTGATGATGAGGTCGCAGCCGTGGTACTCAGGAGGGCAAGCGTGGTTGGCGCGTGAGCTGCTGAGAGAGGATAGAAGGCTTTGCCAAAAGTGAGCGTGTGGATAGCGCAGGAAATTCAGTTGATTGCCCAGTTGTCCGAGAAGGGCATCTCAGCAGGCCAGCACTGCAATGGCATTTCTACCGAGCCATTTTAATTGGCATGCTAGATGATATGCGCCCAACTAGACTCGCTGACATGTACTTTAGCATCAACAAAATCAAAATATTGAGCCTTACAGACTTTGAAGTTATTTTCATTTTTTATGTGCTATTTAAGCTGTTAATATAGCCCGCTCAGCCAGAAAACCTTGTTTGGATTGTACATAATCGCAGCGTGTTTACCACATGAAGCGCTGAATATTTCCTGGCTCCTGTGGCCATTCGAATCCTTTGTACAAGAAGATATAGCACGTGCCCAGGTTGATTGCAATATACCATATCAGCTCCAGCACATTCGCGTAGGCAGCCACTGTCTTCAGCAGCTGCTGGACTAGCGAAGGTGACGGGGAGTTTGAGCCACGCTGTGGCGCGTCCTTCGAATTCCCGTCAACTGCCTTCTGCTGTTCGTCAGGTTTCGGTATCGGCATGTACTCCGGCACAGCCAGCCTCCACATAAGCCATGGCAGAATGAAGTACCGAGGTTCGACAAGGGGTGCGCTAACAAGGGACAAAGCGGTTGCAATAAGCCAGACCAACGTGAAGCTCACGTGTACCGTATCTGCACCGTACAAGACACGGTTCTGCGCCGCTTCAGACTCGCTTCGAACCTCTCCGGGTCCTCCACCTAGTGCTCCGATAATCAGGGCGGCGCAAACAAAATATATCGGGACAGCGGCATACTTGACGAGCCAGTGCTGGCGGAGGATGCGGAAGACGTAGAAGGTGTAGTGGCGATTGTCGGCGAGTGTGAACGGGTGGATGACGGTGTTGAACTTGACGACGCCGAGCATCAGGATCATGAAGCAGAGTGCTGTGCTGAGCCTGGGGAGGCGGCGTCGAAAACTTGAAAGTTGAGCGAGTTGAGGTAAGAGGACGGGCCAAGAGAAGAAGACGATGAATGGCCAGATGTATAGCATCTGAGGGAGGTGGATGGTGGCGATGTGGTTGTCTTTGTCGCCGAGGACGACGCCTCCGTTCCAGAGGATGAAGGCGGCGAAGGAAATGATCAGGGATATTTGTGGCCACAGGTCAATGAGGAGCTGGGGGATCACGTTGATTGCGTATTGGGCGATAGAAATGCCGAAGATTGGGAACTCTAAGAACAAAGTCAGTGAGACAGTATGATCAGCCGATTGGGAGTATGACTCTGACCTTCGAAATATGCTTCTGAGATAGGCGGATCATGAACCTTGTTGGGCCCGACCTGGCCTTTGACAGTCTCAATGACCTGTAGGCCTCCCAGATAGACGGCAACCCAGAAGATGTTTGTCTGTCGGCTGGCAAGGGATATCAGGCCTGCCACGAGATGCAGAGCTTGGTACGAGGTCTTCGTATACCCTGTCGCGGACGTGCCCGCGGACCAGAAGATATGCGTGAGGACGACGCTGAAGACGCTGAATAGGTCGGTATAGTATACTCCGGAAAAGAAGAAGATCAACGGGAACATGACGATGTTGAATTCGCGCTGCAGAATGCCATCGTGGTTGACGGATCTCTTTGATATGGCCGCCAAAATGTACAATGCGACAAGTAAGATGTACAGCAGTAATACGTTGGTAGCTCTCCATTGATTAATGGATGGTTTGAAGTCGAGCGTGAAGAAATCCCTGATCGAATTGACAAAGTACGAGTAGACGTACAGACCGGCTGGTGTCGTGATTTTGGCATCCCAGTGAGACCATTTTCCCAGCCAATATGCCTGAGCTTGAGGGACGTGGAAGACCTCATCGAGGTAGGGCACCGGGACGATTTGGTTGACGAGCCGTCGCCATGTCATATGCAGGCTGGTGATGAAGCCCAGAAGGAGAACTCGGAGGAACTCTGGGCTTACGAAATATGACATGGCGAGGGTCAGTTGAGTTTGAAATTTCGCGGAGAATTACCGTTGCATTGAAAGAGGAAGTGGAAGATGGTGTTTGACGCATCATGCAACCGTTGTCACCGCGGCTCCGTACTAGAAAAAAGGAGTTGGAGTTTCACCTTCACCAACCACTCACATTTTAGTACTTGGCGGATTATGTCATGACATAGACTTGTCCGTATACTGTCTCAATCCAGAGATGCTCTCCTCTCACGTATCATCATGTAAATCATGGGTGGAATTACTTCCGAGGAAGCTGTAGGCGATTGAAAAGGTGAATTCGTCGATCGAGGCATCCAGCAACCGAGGTGCCGTCGCGATCCCAGCGATCCTCAGTATCAGCAAAAATGGCAAGGACAACCAAGTAGGAGGTCATGCCACCTTCTGTGCACGCTACATTTCGAGCCGCAGCGCCCGTGAGGAGCCGTTCATTGCGAATGCAAGAACGTGATAGCGCGTCGACGCAGATAGCAAAAGATTTGCTGGCATCAGATACGGGCGGAGTAAGATGCGCAGTCTTGTCACCGGCTACAATACTATCTAACCACCATCCTGGCTTAAGCAATCGTGCTATTCCGGTCACAATTGGAAAGCGAGTTCTTCGATGCTAGTAGAGCGGGAGGTGCTTGTTTTTTCCATCGTGGTAAGGCTTGAAGGTCAGGTATCAGCAAACAAGGCCAACGATTATATCGAGAGGGAGCACAATGCGTAATGAAGCAGGTTAGTTTCGAAAAAATCGTAGATAGAATCTTAGACGGGGGTCGACCGGCGTCAGCATGAATGGTCATAACAATGCGCAAAAATACGGGCAGTTGGCTGCGCGATCCGAACCCCTACCTTGTTTATAGCACGTGTTGGTCCTTTATGGGCGCGTCTTTTCGATGTTCAATGGCCAAACATTGACGAGTGATAAAAAGAATTCGGAATTCAGTCCGAAAGACAAAAACTCTAACCCAAATCCTGTCGATGAGGATTTGGGTCGAGGGAAACCCCTAGTTGTAGAAGGGATTCTTTTTGATGGTAGTCAGGTCAGGTGCTCTCCCGCCTAGGAATACTCTGCTAACTGAGTAACCATGAATGCGAAGGAACTGCAAGATAACCGCCTATGGGGGTGTCTGAGCACCCCAGCATACCCCTTGTTAGGGGGGCAGCCGGTCGGTTAGAGCTTTGGCAATTGAATGCCTAGCAGTTAAGACCCACACCAGTCTTAGTCCGTGTGGTCTTAGGGCAGCTGGCTCATATCTGGCGACACACCCTCACGCCTCGGCCACTAGTTGTGAAAGTGAACCGAAACACGGGATAGATACAAGCTGATTGTTGGGAATATTTGAATAGAAATAAAATATATCCCTCGATTTTTCATGAGAAAGATGTCACCGGCCAATGGGAGCCCTTGTCCAAAGTGAAGTCGTCCCAGAGGTTTGGTTCACGCCGAGGTGAAGACGAGTGACCATCGCTGCCTTGGCGAACGCGATGCCCTGAGATCTGGGTTCGACTCTCAGCAGACGAACAAGAACGACCAAAAACTCGGTGTTGTTCAGGACTGCTGTGGTACACGTTCTGCAATCATCTAGGTCGAGCTGAGGCAGTCTGGGCACCGTACCAGGTTGTCCAGAGTCAGTATCGCCGGGTTCGAATTGTTTGCAATTGATCTTGCCAAAGTCATGTGGTTCCATCGTGCCTCATCCTCACCCATCTCGACCCAGACTTCGGGCACTGGCGAAAACAGACCTTGATATGTTCTCACACGTTCCTTCCGTCACATTTTGAAGAAACACCTCTTGTATCTCGAAGGCGAAAACCCCTTTGTCAACATTCCTTTCTTTTGATACCACCTCACGTCGTTTGCAGCCTGTGTCCTTTCTGCTGCTGGTAAGCTGCTCGTCTCTTTGCGTCTCTTTGCGTTCGGCACCCCGGGAATGCTGTTCTACCAGCAGGGGTCTTCATCGAGGTCGAGGCTGCTGGCGAGATCAGGACGCCTCGGCAGCTGATCCTGGTTTGATTGATTGTGCGATTCATTCAATTGTCCCAGCAGCCGACTTTTGGATGCTGACATGCAACACCTACAGCCAGGAGTCGTGCGATTCTCACTGCGGTGGTGGAAAGGAAGCAAGGCTGCGACGTCCCTTTCCTTGACGTCGAAAATAATAAGCTACAAAGTCGAGACAGGTTTGCGACCAATCGGCAGGTCACGCAACAGACAGGGGGTTTGACAGCCGAGGCCAATGCCAATCGGAGAAGTCTTCCTTCATGACCAGGCTGAGTCTCACCAGATGGTTCTACTTACCTCACGAACATACCTTTCCTCCCGTTCGGCGATGCTGCACATGAGATACAGCTTACAGTCACATGGAACAATAACATGTTCAGGCTCAACGGGCCTCGGCTTAGCTGCCACTGATCAGCTCTGACCATGCGCGAAATAGGCCTAATACTATCCACTTACAGCCGAAACTGGATCGAACATCACACCACTGCAGAAGCGTCAATGCAACGACACCCACAAGATTCGTATAGCACCATTGAGAAGCATTGAGAAGAACGGAACATGCCGCAGAAGAGAGTCTGCATGCCTCGTGCCACCGAGGCAACGTGAACTTCACGGTAAGCTTCTTAAACTTGTGAATCCCAGTCAGGTTTGTACTCTACATCTCTATCTTCTAGCAGAACCAATATCAACATAATGTACTACAGCAGCGGCAACTATGAGGCGTTCGCCCGGCCAAGGAAGCCAGAAGGCGTCGAAAAGAAGACAGCATGGTTCGTTGGATCTGGCCTTTCATCCTTGGCAGGAGCGGCATTTCTCGTGCGAGATGCCCAGATGCCAGGAAAGAACATCACCATCCTCGAAGAACTTGACCTGCCTGGCGGAGCGCTAGATGGCATCGAAGAGCCTGAGAAGGGTTTCGTCATACGTGGCGGTAGAGAGATGGAAGATCACTACGAGTGTCTATGGGACCTCTTCCGCTCTATCCCGTCGCTCGAAATCGACGAGGCATCGGTGCTGGACGAATTCTACTGGCTCAACAAAGACGACCCAAACAAGTCTCTGTGCCGAGCCACAGTCAATCAAGGACAAGATGCCCATACTGACGGACTCTTCGGCCTGAGCGGCAGTGCCCAAAGGGACATCATCCGCGTGTTTCTGGCCACCAGGAAAGAAATGGAAGGAAAACGCATCAACGAAGTATTTGGCCACGACTTCCTTCAAAGCAATTTCTGGCTATACTGGCGGACCATGTTTGCGTTCGAAGAATGGCATTCGGCACTGGAAATGAAGCTCTACCTTCACCGTTTCATTCACCATATCGGAGGTATGCCAGACTTCACGGCCCTCAAGTTCACAAAATACAATCAATACGAATCTCTCGCCCTGCCCCTGTACCACTGGCTCATCGAACACGGCGTGAAGTTCCAGTACAAAACAAAAGTCCTCGATGTAGATTTCTCACTCGTGGACGGCAAAAAGCAAGCGACACGCATTCACTGGACGAAGGATGGCCAGGAAGGTGGCGTGGACGTTGGTCCAGTTGACCTAGTGTTCATGACCATCGGCTCATTGACGGAGAACTCGAACTCGGGTGACCAGCATACACCTGCCAAGCTCGATGAAGGCCCGGCGCCGGCATGGGACTTGTGGAGGCGCATTGCAGCCAAAGACCCATCCTTCGGGAGACCAGAGGTCTTTGCATCACACATTCCCGAGTCCAAATGGCAATCAGCAACGGTCACCACTCTGGACAAGTGCATTCCCGAGTATATCCAGAAAATCTGCAAACGCGATCCATACAGCGGCAATGTCGTTACCGGCGGTATCGTGACGGCCAAAGACTCCAAGTGGCTTCTCAGCTGGACGGTCAATCGCCAACCGCATTTCAAGAAGCAGCCTCACGATCAGATCGTTGTCTGGCTTTATTCGCTGTTCGTCGAAGTACCGGGAGATTTCATCAAGAAGCCCATGCAAGATTGCACAGGAGAGGAGATCACGCAAGAATGGCTATATCATATGGGCGTGCCTGTCGAGGAGATACCACAAATGGCTGCCATCAGTGCAAGGTGTGTGCCAGTCATGATGCCTTACGTCACAGCATTCTTCATGCCTCGGCGTGCAGGTGATCGTCCGGCCGTGGTGCCTGACGGCTCTGTCAACTTCGCTTTCATAGGTCAATTCGCTGAGTCGACTCGAGATTGTATCTTCACGATCGAGTACGCCACCCGGACGGCCATGGAGGCTGTGTACCAACTGCTTAATGTCGAACGAGGAGTACCAGAGGTGTTCAACTCGACTTATGATGTTCGCACACTGCTTGCCGCGACAAGCCACCTCCGGGATGGAAAAGAGCTGGATGCACCACTGCCCGAATTTCTGCGCAATTGGGTTGTGCGGAGACTTGACAATGAGATTGGGGAGCTCCTGCATGCCAATCATCTGATATAGATAGACGTCCAGGCGTTACGCGAGAGACCACTGTAGCTTTAAAAAGACCATCAGAATGTCACAATGATGGAAGCATTCCTGGCATGCCTCACGAATGAGTCGCTGCCCAATCCGCCGGTAGTCGGAAACCAGGTGGTATTTCATATTGACCAACGCAATGACCTGCACTGCAACGATCAAGATTGCACCTCCCGTACAATCGACAATAGCATTCCTCTGCGGCGGGACATGCTAGGTAATTCAGCTTCTTGAGATCGATGTGACCGTCCATGGCATTTGGCATTATGTTACCACTTGTTTCCCCGTGCTGCAGGAATAGAATATGCCACACGTAGGACAGTATCCGCCCAGCAATACGATCATCTGGATGTGCAGCATTGCTCTGCCGTGAAGTCTGGACTTTCGAACTACTTCCATCAAGCAGCCATTGCCGCAAAGCAACATACTCATCACGCGAATGCTGCCGCACACTTTCGCGAGAGACGACAAACTGTGCGCAACACTGCGACCGAATGGCGTCGTTCCGTCCGAGAAGGAGTTGTCCTTGATCCTGAGTGCTGTCACCACTGCCGAAAAGACCCACAAGAGCGTGAGGCAGGGCTGCGTCGGACACTAGGCGCTGGTTCCAGGGTTCGATCAAGGCATTGATTGATGTGCCCAAACTGCCTTGTGCATTTTGATCCGAGGCAGGGCACGTACTGGCGCTCCAGTCGCAGCGGAGATTATGGTAACCCCAGGGAGCAAGTGCCGCGGACAGGTTCAGCGCGGCAAGCAATGCGGCGTTGTCGTAGTCCGGCGAATCGTTATGCCACGACCATCGTGAGCCATGCACGAACACTGCTCCAGCGGAGGGGATAGAGTAATAGTTATCGATGATGAAGGTCAAGTATGCCATAGCCTCGTGACCTCTGTTCTCCGGGACTTGAAGGTGTGTCGAAGTCGCATCGATTGGAAGGTCCGCTGTGTAGATACAAAGGTGGTACTTGTCGGACAATGTATCAAGCCATTTGGTGTCGCCGTCAGCTGCCACTCTAGCCACCACGAGGGCCGGCTTAGTTGTACCTGCTAGGCCTGGACATATGCCTCGAGACTTGGGCACAGATGTCGAGGAAGACTTGTAGCGGATCGTCCTCCATGCGAAGGACTTGCTCGATGAGCCGCCACCATTGAGATACAAGATGACCAAGAGAACGCCGCAGAAGAGAGCGATATTAACTATAGCTCCCCGTGTCTTGCGCCTCATCTGAAAACGTCTTCTATGTCATGCCGTTGCGGAAGGGCGAGATGGACACTCTTGGTACTCTTGGAAAAGGCTTGTCTCGAGGCCTGAGGGTCGTTCGTCGAAGGGGCCAGATTACCACCACTCAGTGTGCATCTTCCGGGCGGTCCCGGCAGCATCGGGCTAGTTTAGGCGACCTCTACAGTACAGTCATGGGCAAAGCTGGGGGCACGCTCCCCCTCGTGCCTTGGCGCGTCACGCTGTTGGCGCCTGCCGCCTGTGGACTACACCTACATATTACCCCTACGACATTACATCCTCTTACACCTCGACCAACTCTTACGCACCACCCTCAAGTGGAGGTTTTGACCCGGTCGACTGGCGTTTGTGTACTTGTCAAGGTCTCTATATCTCATAATAGCCATAATCATTAATTCGGCGCGCGGCAAACCACGAATATTATCACCACCCACGTACGGGTAGAGAGCCTAAACCAAAACCGATCCTGCACCTGTACCTGAACCTGAACTGAACTGAACCGATTCTCAACCGACCCTGAACCTGAACTACACCTACGGAACTGAACCTGTACCTACGAACCGTGACGACGCTATCTTTTAGGACCTTTAGACGTCTTTTTTTTGTGGAAGAGGGGGTGGTTGTTGGCGCCTGCCGCCTGTGGACTACACCTACATATTACCCCTACGACATTACATCCTCTTACACCTCGACCAACTCTTACGCACCACCCTCAACGCGGCGAGGCTGCGGTTACTGTACTTCCCCCCTCCAAACATCCTCACACCAATATTGAAGCACCAATGCGCATTGCACTAAAGCTGCGAGAAATCTTAACAGATCAACTGGACAAGCCATGGCGTTTCCACATCCGCTAGGTCTTCTGCCTACAGAAGTTGCATTCTTGTGCGAAATGGAACAAGTCACCGTCATTCCAAGACAGCGACTCGACCGTCTCGACTTACTAGGTGTAAGTCTGTCCCACGACCTCTGCTGAGAATGAGGTGCGATAGCAATGCTCGAGCGATGTTGATAGACTCTTCTGACATGGTCACTCTACCTGAAGGGTCCCACACGCCCTCTCATTCCTCCTCAACGCACATCATTACCTTTATGGCTTGCAATCTTATTGAAGCGGCAACGGCGCGCCAACATCATACCTCCGCCCTGGTTGTACCCAGAGAACCTCGACGAAATCCTGGATCTTGAGACCAGACACTTCCAAGATTCCTTCTCCCCGCGACCGCAGATACCACTCTCCAGACAAACAGACTACACAGGCAAGCCATTTCACTCTTCAACGCCTTTTGTTGAATCGTGTACTGCGAACGCTGCTCCCACCTCATTACCTTATCACTGGTTTGAGTTCTCGGAGATGTTGCTCGAGTCGGCGAGCGATGATATAACGGAACCCGACAAGATACGGCAACTTTTGAGAGATATCAGAGAAGTTCGGCTTGCGAAGATGCGAAAAGAAGTTGATTCGTTATCGGGCGACGGAGAAGGCACGCGGTTAGATGGCATAGGTGCCATGGAACTGTCTGAATCGAGAGGCTTCATTACCGGAGTCATGGACGGCCTGAGGAAGCTAGATACCAGTCGAGAGCAAGCGAGAAGAGAGCGTGAAGAGGAAGAGAGGGAAAATCGGAGGTATAATGACGATGACGACGAAGATAATGAGATGACATGAGTGGTCATTAACAGCCTCAAAATATGTTCACAGAATTTCTCATGGACAACAGAACCAACAATGCCTGCAAAAGAATCGCTCATTACCCTCTTCAGCACTAAATGATAAGGGTTGGGGTCCGGTCATGATGGTGGAGGAGGTTTGTTCTCGGCATCCCTCTCTTGGAGCTTCTTTCGTGCTGCCAGAATCATTTCGTCTCGCCGCCTTTGTAGCATCTTTTGCCTTGCCTCTTTGTTGCTGGCCCAGCCTGGTGGCGGCGATTCTTCCTCTCGCTCCTTTCCCTTCGAGCTTAGCTTGGCTTGCAGGTTGTATCGCGTGATCAGGTCTGGGGGTAGAGACTTTAACGCTGCCGCTGCAGACGTGGTCGTCGTATCGGGCGATGTGGGCATATATGTCGACGGCGGCTGGAACGACGGCGGAGCCTGTTATCCAAGGTCAATCTCGCACAAGATTAGATCATGCGCCGCGGAGGGCTGGCATACCGGCTCCAGTGACTGGCCCATTAGCACTCGTTCTGTCGTAGCCTGTACACTTCCCCCATTCCGGTGCAAGTCCCATATGATATCGCGGCGACTCAGTTGCGGAAACATCTGCGCTATCTGATCGACTTGCGCCGGGGAGAATCGGAGGCCATTGCTTCTTGAGGAGGAGGTTGAACTACCGCCTGCGCCGGAACTTGCAGAGGAGAAGAAGTATCGGTAGATGAAATACCCTAGCACTGCGACAAATGCAAGGCTTGGAATGGAAATCGTTGCTTCTTCGTCAACGGAGGAGGACATGACTGCGCGGGGATCCGTCCGAGGCAGGCCCCAACTGAAGGGACACTGATATGGCCAACTATATCGCACGCAGAGGAGAGCGATTATGTTTGAGAGGGTTCAGAGGAGGGAAACGTCCGAATGACTCAGTGACAATGAACGATAGCAGATACTGAGGCAGGTAGAATAGTAGTGAGTGATGTGATGGTTGTATCTTTGCGATCATGCGCAGTCACCGGCGTCGATATGCCCCGGTGCCAAGGAATGTTTCGTCCTTCCTTACGCCGATGGTTTTGGCACTTTTTTAAGTTGATCGTACAGTACTAAGTAATGAGTACTGTACCTTAGGTAGGTAATCACGGCCTACTGTTATCCTACATTCGATAAGCACCACGTGTCAGGCTGCCGATTCACAACATCTGGACGCCCTCAGTTTGACCTTGGGGGTTGTCGAATCAATACAGCGAACGTGACTTTTGAGGGTGAATCGTGACATTGACCAATTCGTCGCTTCAGGTCAGGACTTCACTCCAGACCCCTGGAGAGATACTTCACAAGATGGCAGAGACAGCGCCAAAGAGACAAGCATGCCACGGATCCTGTCACTGCGGATTGACGCAGTACATCGTCTTCCTCACCCTTCCACATCCATTCTCGTCGTCTCATCCACCAAAACCAATCGAACAAGAAGTCTACCGCTGTAACTGCACCACGTGTTACAAATTGAACATCTTCCACGTTCATCCGGCCAATCCTCGAGACGATTTCATGCTCCTCTCACCACTGGACCCAGATCATGAATTGAGTATCTACCAATGTCACTCCAAGGAACGGAAATTCTACTTTTGTCCAAAATGTGGAGTACGATGCTTTACGTTCGGTGGCGAGGGCGAGACCGATACCGTGGATCTTACCGAGCTAGGTGGCGACAGAGAAGGGAAGAGGGAAGTTTGGCGTGCGAAGTGGGATGGAGAGGATAGTACGAGACCGTACGTTTCAGTGAATGGGACTTCGATTGACTATAGAGAAGATTTCGATCTACGTGCTCTCACTGAGGAAAAGAGAGTGCAGTATTTTGATGATCGGAGTGAGCCTGAGGAGAAGAAGAAGGAGGCAAGATGGGACAGACCACATTATGGTGGATGTTATTGACCGTCTGAGAAGGATAGTAGGCTCATTGGTGCCGACGTGTAGAAGTCTAGAGCCTAGATGCGTCCAAGAATAGAGATGATGTCGGCATGATAAGCCGCAATGGCAGCAGCAAGTTTCTCGTGGCAACAGCAATGAGAAGGTGGTCGGTAGAGAATGGGTGTCGTACAGGGTCAGAAAGTAAGTCGCAGAGCCGGTGCCTTGAGGAGAGGTACGGTCGCGGTTGCCAAGGATAACGCAAACTAAGGTAACTAACTCACTAGTTCCGACTGTCGACCTACTCCTACTGCTACTCCGTCATATTTCAGGCATGTCAACGTCAATGTTCCTACACGGAGTCCCGGTTGACGTTTCGCTGTGCTGTGCGCGACATCAGCGCCCTGCTAAACATCATCTCATCTGTACAGCGAAGCCGCGACCACTGACGCCACGGACATGGACTTGCCCTTTGGTACTCGTCACAACAATTTAGTAAGAAGCTCCAATGGTTGTTGGACATGCAAGCTCCGGCGGAAGAAATGTGACGAGAAGCGCAACGTGTGTGGTATCTGTGCGTCTCTCAATATCAACTGTTACTATGACCAGGAGAAACCGGGATGGATGGATGGCGGCCCAAGACAGGAAGAGATGGCTTCGCGACTCAAGCTTGAGGTCAAAGCAGGCGCCCGCCGTCGTGGCGAGCGTCCCGCCACTGTCTCTGAAGACCGCATCTCATTTGCCGAGGCTACCATCGGAGAATGGGAAGTGCTCGCTCATCAACAACCTATGGTCCTGTCTACTTCTGCGGCCGATCGTCCAAGGGGAGCCGCAGATGCGCACAATGATATGATGGAGCCGCTCCATGAGGCATCTACCCTTCCCCTTCCAAAGGGACCTGACTGCACACTGACTCGCAAAGGTGCTCGCGAGAGTATGACCATTGGACGGTCTGAAACGGTCTTGCTCATGTTCTACATCGAGGACTTGCTACCCTTCACCTTCCCTTTCTACTGTCCCTCTCTCCTCCATGGAGGTAAATCATGGATACTGGACATGTTGATAAGCTCTCCGGTGGTGCGGCAGGCCGCACTCTGTCAGAGCTCATACTTTTTTTCTTTAGCGCGAGGAACGGCCGACCACGAAGGGGCATGGGACACCGTTCTCAAGCAAACCCGGGATGCCTTTGAGGTGCTGAGACAGTCGCTGCAGGTCATCGGTGACTCGGACATTACAGAACATCTGCATGGCGCTGTGCGGATCCTGGCAAGCGTCATGCAAATTCAACGTTTTGAGATTGCCATCCTGAGCTTCAATAATTGCCAGGCACACCTCAATGCCGCGTTGGCTCTTTTCGAACAGCTTCTTGACAGTGCAGGTGGTGCCGAAGAAGCGGATCCTAGTTCAAGCTTCAACACTATTCTCAGCCGTCTGGGTCCGCTCTCGTGGGATATACCTGTCCACTGCGCGGAGGTTCCGAGTGCTGAACAGACTGCCTTTCGCTTCTCGTCCACCCTCTTGATATTCGATGACATTATTGCCAGCATGCTTCTCCAGCAACACCCCCGTTTGCACAAATTCCATCGAAGCCTCCTCGGCAATTCTATAATCGGCGCCGAGAACCCTGTCAATCTCGAGGCCGTTATCGGATGTCAAAACTGGGTTTTGCTCCAAATGGGGGAGATTGCCGTGCTTGACGCATGGAAGAGTCAATGCCAAACGACCGCGACCCTTGATGTCATGGAGCTCGTGCAGCGCGCCAAATTCATCAAGGCTTCCCTGGAGACTTGTCTCAAGCTGTCCGAAACCAGTCCCGGCGTCACTCCGAAAGAGACCAGCAGTCTGTTGAATGTCTTCACAGCAAACTACTGCGAGCAGACAAGAGCACGTACCAGTCAAATACCGTTGGTCACCCGTGTCTGGGCCCATGCGGCGCTTGTGTACTTGTTCGTAGTTGTATCCGGCTGGCAGCCCGCAAGTATCGATGTACGCTATCACGTTGATCAAATCCTGCAGCTCTTGACCCATCAAATATCAACGCCGGCGTTGTTGCGCACAGTGGTCTGGCCGTTCTGCGTAGCAGGATGCCTCGCCGAGCCAGCGCAGGAAGTCCGTTTCCGTGACTTGGTGCAGGCATTGCAGCCGCCAAGTATCTTCGGCACCGTACGCAAGGCCCTTGACATCATGGAGAATGTATGGCGCAACAGGAATGCACCAGACGTTGCGAGCCGTGACCTTGCTGCATGTTTCAGAAGCCAAGGTGATCTGGTGCTACTTGTCTAGGAATTAGGGCGATGGGTTCAATGAGGCGGGAAAAGGCGAGTCTGATACGTTCGTGGAATGGTCATCAATGACACTAATCTACGTACATCCAAGTCTCGAGTTTCTCGTGCTTGAAGTCATGGACCCTATCTACTTGAACTGGACATAACCCTTGTCCTTGACGAATGTGGCCTGCCATGGAATATTCCCTTCGTGAGTCGCCAATTGTGCATAGAAATCGCCATGCGCAGGGCCGTCAAGGCCCATCGCCTTGGACCCACCACTTTCCTGACGTTCATCAGCAAAGAAGAATCTGGGAAGCCGGGTTAGTCAGGAACAATATTCGCGGCACGCTTGAAAATACTAACCGGTACCCTCGGCTCGAGTACGTCGCATCAGCAAGGCCTATCCAGAAAGCCGAAGCTGACTTGCCTATGCCCAGATTCAAAAAGACTGGCACGGGTGGGATGACGACGTTCAAGAAGTTGCCCGTATAGATGAATGTCTTCTTGGTCTCCTTGGGCAATGTCTCCCATCCATTGACAGCCTGCTGTGCTGCGACGTAAGGGCTGATAGTGTTGACATTGAGATCCGAAGCCACACTCTCCGCTGGGACAGAAAGTGCAGAGTCCTCCACAGGAGGCCTTGTCAGTGTTGCTGCATTGTATACAACAACACTTGGGGCGGTCTGAAACTCGGTCTTGACCGCATCGAACAGTGCTGGGATCGAGTCGGGTTTGCTGAAGTCGGCCTTGAGGGAGAGGTACCCTTTGCCGGAGTCGCTCCCACTCCTAGACGCGACTGCCACCTTGTAGCCATTGTTGGCGAATCTCTCAGCGACACAGGCTCCGACCCGGGGCCCTGCTCCGAGAATGAGTACAACAGCATTTGCTGCCATAGTGCTTTTTGTTTGACGGTGAAGATGGTTGTGAATGGTTTTGGTTCGTACAGCAGGGGTTTGACATAGACTTGGAGGTTGCTATTGTCTTGGAGCCAGAATGCCTTCAATTTATATCAAGCATGGCCTTCATCCTTTGACAACACTTTCACCCAGTCAGCCTCCCCTGTCCAAAGATTTGTAATCCCCAGACTGGCTTACAGCCATTTCGAGACGAACCATGGGCATCACTCAACCCAAAAGTGATCAATGGCAGCAAGGAAGTTCATTCAGGCCCACAAGCCGCGCGCGACAATTCCACCATACCTGAAGCAGAAGAAACTTTCACATCTACCACTGACACCCGCGCGCGATGAACCGGGGCATCATCTGCGGGAGTCAACTGCTTAATCATACAAGTACTGTACCCCAAGAACGCGGGACTTATGGGCGCAATGTCAATTAGTCATCGCAGCGGTCGTCCTTTCTCGGCTGGTGAACGCTGTTGCGCGCGGGTAAGCCAAACACTGCTGAACGTCGAAAGGTCGATCCCCAACTCAACGACTATTTGAGATTGTCATCCCGTGTTGCATTTGACCGTCCCAGCCAACAGTGCCAACACATTGTCTCAAAAGACCGCGATGACTAATATTATATGCCGAAAATGCGTCTGGTCGGTCGGTTCTTCTTCTGCCTCATCACATTGCTACAGCGTAAAATGCACCTACTGTAGCTAGCATTACATTGAAGAGGTGTATTGAACATGAGCACTTTTAGAATTGTGGGAAGATACCTGGCAGGCTGTTCCATACCAGTCAAATCCTGAGCCCGAACATTAAGTCGCAAGCTCATTCATCGCAGCTACACGGGGTCGTTCCAATCGTCAATACCTCTAACAACATCCAGCTCCGTTCTATGCTTTGCTGGTATCCCAACCAACCCACGTTCTAGGCATCACTCTCCAGACCATGACCTCGCCACTTTTCAGATCACCGACTTTAAAACTCTCCTCTCTAACCTTTGGTTTCTTACCTCTCTCAAGGTCCCGGCCTTGTTCCAGAGCACGAATTTTCTTCTTGGTGCCATCCCACTCAGTCACAACAGCCACGTGCTCTGGCTTGCCCACGTCCATACTGTATTTGGAATGTAGGCCGCCTTTGTGGCCCGCGAATCTCGCATTGCGGAAGCTGACAATGTCGCCAGGCCGGATCTCGTCGTACTGCTGTGTTGACGCGTTCCCGAGGTTGGCATAGATGAGAGCACCATAAGCTCGCGTGCCAATCGGCAGGAGTGCTGTTGTATGTGGCTTCAGCAATTCAAGGACCAGTGCTTGTGCAGAGCCGTCACCCACAGTCGTACCGGCCAAGCCATTCGCTGATCTCGCTATACTTGCGCCATACTGCCCCGAGGCGCTCTCAAGTTGATCACGGCGAGCGGGTTGCGGTGGCCGCTCATGGTTCTGCTCGAGTGTTACATGAGAGGGGTCAGCCGCGTCAAAACTGGCGTTGATGGTTGTTTGAGAATAGTCCATGTATAGCACGTAGACATCCTTCGAGATCGTGGTTCTGCCACCTCGTTTCGATGAGGACGAGGTCTCCATCTCGTACAAGACGTCGGGCCTCCCTTGCAATGCAGGAGGCGGTGCTTTGTCTTGCGTCCACCACATAGTACCGTGTCCTAGGTCTATATCCGAGGCGATGAATCCTTGCTCAGCACTTCCGCGCGACTGATCCATCGAGCGGCGGGAGACAGTGCCCATTCTCTTGCTATCAAGAGAGCCGCGTGGAGACATCGTCGGCGCAGGCGCAAAATTCATGGGAGGAGGGCCGTACTCGTTCCTGTCCGGTGGCGGGGGAGGTGGCGCATTTCTGTCAGCAGAAGGAGGTGGAATGGGAGCATGAGCTGTAGTTGCTCTGTACAGGTCCTCCTCCTCGAATTCCTCTTTGGGAGATTGTAGTGTCGTTGTGTACTGGCCTCTACTCGGATGTTGTGGTGCACTATGTTGTGGTGCAGAGTAACGGAAAGGATCATATTCATCATCATGGTCCGTCGCTTGAGGTGGAGGCACTGGTGGTGGAGCACGAGGAGCATCCACCGATCTCCTTGATCTAGGAGCCGGCTGGGCTGGAGGAGGTGGTGGCGGGACCTCGCGTGGCGCGGCGACTGGAGGTAGTGGAGGTGCAGTCCGAACTGGCGGACTCTTCGGTGGCCTCGCAGCATCATCAGTGAGCATGCCCTCGTCTAAACTTGAATCACGGTTGTGGTTCTTGAGAGCGTCCTTGTGTTTCGCGCCCAAAGCAATATCTGTATCGTAGTCTGCGTCGTATTCGGTGACCTCGCCCTCCTCGTCGTCAGCAGGTGGAGACTGAGGCACACCGAGGCTCCTTGAGTCGCTTGTTGAACGTCGACTTGGCGGATACCCTGGCGGTGGCGGTGGTGGTGCTCTTGCTGAGGGAGTCGCGGCGGTGGGCGTCTGAGGAACCGGAGGCGGGGGACGACTTGCTCGTTTATCGCTAGGAGAGGTCATGAACGTGAACTCAGAAGTATCTAGCTTAGGAGACACGGGTCCTCTCGCCGGCGGCGGTGGCGGGATGCCAGCAGGGCTCGCTGGAGTTGGTGCGCTGGGTGGCAACCTCTCAGGCACATTTTCTTCGATGAAATTGCCCTCATCATCATCATCCTCCTCCTCCTCCTCCTCTTCTTCTTCTTCGTCGTCCGCCAGAGCCTCACTGGGCGCAAGAGTGGTGGGTGGAAGGGGTGGTACAGGCCGAGCTAAACGATCAGTGCCTTGCTCGACGGGAAGGGGCAAGAATGCTTACAAGTTGGAGATTGAGGCGCCGGAGGGACAGGTCTAGTAGCTGTGGGAAGAGGCGGCGGTGGTGCACCACGAGTCTCGCGCGGAGGAGCCGGAGGAGGTGCTCGTTCTGTCAAATGTCAGTACAGAGCCTGCATGCGTACCATCCTGAATTCACCTTGCGGGACTGGAGGAGCAGGGCGGTCTGTGGATCGCCTCGGCGGCGGTTGTGAAACGTAATCCTCGTTCTCTCCGTATATGGACGGCTCTTGGGGTGTAGCTCGAGTAATGTCTGCACCACCATCTTCTTCTAGGGTTGGCTCCTCCTGTCGCTTTGGTACCGGGTTAGACATTCCTGGCAAAGCCATGATACGGACGGGGGCTGCTCGTTCTTGAGGCTCTTCCTGGTCGTGCGTCTCGGAGCTCAGCGTCTGTTGTCTGGAGGGTTCTGCAGATTTCGGTTTTCTTGTCGCTCCAGGTGAACCCACGCCTCCTGGTGGTCCGAACATACCCATCATACCCATGCCTCCACTCATCTTGGCCATTCTTTCTCGGAGCTCCCTTCTCCGGCGGACATCTGGATCTTCTTCTTCCTCTTCCTCTTCTTCATCCTCGTCGTCATCTTCACCCTTGGCTTCCTCGTTAGCAACCGGCTGCTGTTGGATGACATGTGCAGTTGGTTGATCTACGCCTTTGGACTTTGGTCGGTCTTCCTCAGTGGACGTCTCCTGAGCTTCTTCGTCGTCACCAGCGCCAGAATCGTCAGCATCATTGGTGTCGCTCACCAATTCACGGGAAGGTTGTGGCTGGGGCGTGACGCTCGCAATGCCTGTTACTCGTCGTGAGGGTGCCGGGATGTCCTCTACCTCCTCGGGTTCATCGAAAGATGGCCGGCCTACTGATTCGGCCGTCTCCGTCTCTATTGAGGGTGGTTCAGCAGCTGGTGGGGGATCCTGTTCGGCAGATTCCGAGGTTTCAATCTGCTTTTTTGGTGGCTTTTTGGGTTTGTCTTTCTTCTCGGCATTCCTAGCGGCTTGCTCCAGCTGCTGCTTCTGAAGCAGGGCTATTCTATCTTTCAGGCTCTGCGGTTTGGGTTGGTCCTCTTGGGCTTCAACTTCCTCTTGCGGCGCGGTAGTCTCTGTAATGTCCCTGTTCTCTGGTTCATGCACGCTTGAGTCTTCTTCGCGTCGGTAGGGCTTCTGAACAGGCTGTTCACGAGTCGGTGGCGGTACGTAGGCATTCCGACTCGGAGGGGGTGCAACAAATGGCTTCTTTATGAAGCCAGTGCCTGCACTGCCACCGGGTTTGAAAGGAGCAATCGGAGCAGCAGCAGGCTTGTTGAAGGCAGCAATTCTGTCTCTAAAGGAACTCGTACTTGGCTTGTCGGCAACTGGTGGTGGAGGCTTTGTGGAAGCAGATACTGGAGGAGATCTCGGTGTTGGAGCAGGACTAGGTGCTGCCACTGATTCAGGTGCCGGTGGCTGTTCAACTTGTTCCTGCTTCACAGGTCCCGCCTCTTCCGGGGTCTGCTTAGGGGGCTCCGCTGGCAAGGTCTGCGAGCTTTCGAGAGAAGGAGGGGCAGCCTGCGGTGCTGGAGACTCTGGGAGAGGCTCCGGGGCCTCTTGTGTTGGTACACGCTTCGGAGCTCGAACTGGGCGGGTTGGGATGGCCGGTTCGTACTTCTCGACGAAGTTCTTGGGAAACATGCCAGCCTGCTTGTCTCCAGATGTGTTTACGTATTCACCGGTATACCACTCTGCATCCTCCTCTTCTGTGACCGTAATTATCTGGCCATTTTCGAAGTTCAGATCATCCGGCTCCTCCGATTTGTACTCGAACACCGCTTTGACCTTGAACGGGACGGCAGGCATCTTGCTGTGAGCAATGCTCGGTATAGTTCGCAGGCTGCAGGTCGTCGGCGCGGTGCGGATTGAGTGTCAATATCTTACCCGACCAGACCGGTGACGCAGCACCTGCGCCACGCTTGCCGCCAAGGTGAGGGTAATACAACAGTCAAGTGACCTGAGGCAAGGCTGGCCGGGGGAATGTTTGAAAAGGGACCAAGTAGGGTAGAATGAAAGTCCCAGTCAGCAAGCAGGAGGGAATGCCTTGTAAGGGTGCTTAGGATGGTGTGGCATCGGGCCTGACCCAACGTGGGGCACAAGGTCTTCGCCGCAGTAGCTCGCCCTCGTTTAGTTTTAGATGGCACAAGACTAGGCAGTTACAGTACCGACTTTCTTTCGTCCCGAAACCACTGCACACTTCTCCAAGGCGATATTCGGTTTATTGCGATTGTTTGATCACACAACCGTCAAGGCTTCGGCATGGGTTTACGAATGGCCAAACATGACCACCGAAGCTTCAAAGTCTGACGTGCAGAAGCGCATTCGTACAACCGCTCTCCGTCAGGCCCAGGAAATCGAGGAGAGAAAGAAACTGCAAACCCAGATTGCGGACTTTGTAGTAGAAGCATTTGATCTCCCATCACAGCCGGATGCAGATCCAGCACGACCACAACCCTCGGATGCAGCACTCTTCAAGCAATGTCTAGGTCTATTTCAACCCTCGGATCTGAACGATCTCATCTACGAGAGGAATATTGACAACAGATGCGGCTATGCGCTTTGCCCCAGACCGAACCAGAAACTGTCACATAACGGCGAGTTGATTTGGAATAAGCAAGCCGGCAAGGATTTCAAACTAGTGAACAAAGCCGAGATGGAGAGATGGTGTTCACCTCTTTGCCAGCAGAGAACAATCTTTGTACGAGCTCAACTCGGCACGGAACCAGCTTGGCTACGAGACATCAGGGCCGTCGACATTAAATTGTATGATGAGGTCGCGGGTGAGAGCCTTGCTGACTCATTGAATGTGAGTCTCCCCCTCGAGCATATCTGCCCTCAGCCCCATCTGCCGAGTGCTGCAATTCCCATGACAGTCGTCCTGACAACCTCCAGGCACTTTCTCTCTCGCAAGCAAGCGATAAAGACTTGGCAGAAAAATTGCAAGCACTTGCGCTCGAACGTGGAGAAATCAATCTCAGCAGTAAGAGTGATCCTGTTCCGCTAGTAGAGAAAGAAAGCAACCGCATTCCGAAGGCTCCATCATTAAAGTCGAAGCAGTCCGGCAAAATTGAGGGTCATGAGCCGCGCAAAGTCCGTTTTCACGAGGTCTGACTTGCGATTGCACCGAGTCTTGGTTGACTTTCGATGATGGAGGTCCACGCGTTGTCCAAACAAGTAGCCACAAGCATGAAAAGCCTGCCTGCGCGGAAGGCATTGGGCTCGGCGCATCTCATGATGGCGGAGGGGATGCCTGACCTCAAATCTCATAGCAACTGCGTGTGCAGTATGCCGGTTCTCGAGTTGAAGCCCGTCTAAAGCTGTTGTCGCATTGCATCAGACGGGGCAGGCGTTGGTAGGATAAGATAGTGTCGTATTGGATTCTTCTCGGATCAAGTCAGGCTGCAGGACGAGCGTTTGAACGGTCGCCCGTGCTGTATAGCACCGTTGACATGGCGTGTCATCTTCCAGACGCAAAATAAGCTCTTTCGAGCGGTTGTCTTTCGAATTCCCAGGCCAACCAATCGCTTCTTGTGGTAGGCAACAGGCCCATACTGTGCACTTTGTATACTCCCAAACCAAGCAGCAGACATTGCATTAGAATATACACTGCTTTGACTCCCAGCATCTGCGATCGTGTTCCTGGGCTCTCGAAACGGGAGAAGGCCATGTTTGTCTGCGCGATGGCTTGGATAGGGTTCTTGAACCTGCATCGAGTCAGCGCTGTTCGAATCTGCAACTCTCAGGGCCGTCATACAGCATAGCGACCATCATGATTGAGAAAATCTGGAGCGAGTTCCCAGACATATAGCCCATGATAGCTTGCATTGGGATCTGCTTCGCAGGACCGAGTGCGACTTCCCAGGCCTTTTTGAGTTTCAACGTCTCGGTTTCTTCTGGTGTCGGCGTCTTCCTTGCGGCTACTTGAGATTTCTAGACTTCTTTAGCAGGTTTCAACAGGCTTCACCTCTCCGCTGTACTGACCTGCTTTCCTGTCACTGATTTCGAGGTGGCGAAGCCTGGAGGGTCTGGGATGCTGCTGGCATTTTTCGGCTTCTGAGGAAGACCGTTGTTGAGTTCAATCACCCACTTTGGCTGTGAAGAGTCCATTTTGCAAGAGGTGGAAGGTTCAAGTCATGCAAGAAGGACGATGGACTCGTGGTCGATGGTGAGGTCGTTCGCACCTGCAGGGCGGACGCTACTGTACCCAAGGTTTCGGCGCGGAGAAAAGAGTCTCCTTAGCTTGGCGAATAGCGAGCAAGGCAGACCTCGCTGTCTCTTGAACTCCTTTAAATCCGTTTGGGGCCGGTTTAGTCAGACATCACAACCTCTTATTCTCGCTCCTAACCAGTCAACATCGATATCATGAGTGAGAACATCTCTGGACGGTGGTAAAGCCTTTCATCACGGCTATGGCGTGAAGCGTGCCTGGTTTGACAAGGCCCTTCGAGCAGGTCGCCAACATCTGTGCGCGCCCACGGCGTAGAAACGAAGTATTCCTGTCCATTAGCAGCGCACAGCCTTAAAGATGTCGTCTGGACACGGTGATGCGAAGCTCTTTGCCAGGGTAAGTCAAATCAAGGCTTGTTGACTTGTGCCGCATACTCCTAAGCCTGGCTCCATCATGCTCGGTATTGGTTTGAAGGCTGTGCATGTCATATATCAAGATGAATCAGAGTCACCAGGACTGTTGAATTATGGGCTGACATGCGTGCTTAGGGCAAAGTCGCTGAATTGCGGCAAGAGCTTACGAACCCGCCCAAGAAGGACAAAAATAACGCCAGCAAGAAAAACGCCCTCAAGAAAATCGTCGCCAACATGACCATGAGCAACAATGATATGGTCGCTCTCTTTCCTGATATCGTGGCTTGTATGCAGATACCAGTCCTCGAAATCAAGAAGATGTAAGGGTTTCTAGTCTGTATTCCACTGTTTTTCTAACAGGTCAAGGTGTTTCCTGTATCTACAGCATTATGCACGTATGAAACCAGACATAGCCCTTCGAGCTCTGCCTGTTCTACAAGATGTGAGAATTCCTGGATAAACAAATTTTCTCTTCTGACAAAAACAGGACATGCAAGACTCCAATCCATTAATCCGAGCCCTCGCGCTGCGAACAATATCATATATCCATGTTCGGGAGTTTGTAGAGGGGACGATGGTGCCATTGAAACAGCTGATGGCAGACCAAGACCCTTATGTTCGCAAAACAGCAGCGATCACGGTCGCGAAAATCTATGATCATGACAAACGACTCATCGAGAGCTCAGACTTGATTGACAGACTCAACAGAATGCTCAAGGACGACAATCCGACGGTCGTTGCGAGCGCACTTTCCTCACTTCAGGATATCTGGGAGAGAAGCGAGAACATCAAGCTCACCATTGATTATGCCAGCGCATCGAAGATCGTGTCTATTCTCCCAGACTGCAATGAGTGGTCACAGACATATGTTCTGGAGGCTCTCATGTCGTATGTACCACACGAATCTGGGGAGGCTCTCCTTCTGGCAGAGCGAATTGCCTCACGACTTTCGCACTCTAACTCAGCTGTTGTCCTCACCTGTATCAGGGTTATCATGTACCTGATGAACTACATTCCCGACCAGAAAAAGGTCGATGAACTCTCGCGGAAGCTATCGCCCCCTCTTATCACATTACTCTCGAAGCCGCCCGAAATTCAGTATCTCGCCCTACGAAACGCCATCCTCATTCTCCAGCAACGACCCGAAGTCCTCCAGAACGATATCAGGGTCTTCTTCTGCAAATACAACGACCCTATTTATGTCAAAGTAACGAAGCTTGAATTGATCTTCATGCTCGCCAATGAGAACAACATCTCTGTCGTACTTAACGAGTTGAGAGAATATGCAACTGAGATCGACGTCCAGTTCGTCCGAAAAGCCGTCCGAGCCATCGGCAAGCTCGCAATCAAGATCGAATCATCAGCTCGCCAATGTATTGACACCTTGCTTGACCTAGTCAACGCCAAAATCCCTTACATTGTGCAAGAAGCTACAGTTGTCATCAAAAACATATTCCGCAAATATCCCAACCAGTATGAGTCTGTCATCTCCACCGTGATCGGCCAGATCGACGAACTGGACGAACCTGAAGCCAAAGCTGCTATTATCTGGATCATAGGAGAATATGCAGATCGAATTGATAATGCCGACTCTTTACTGCAGGACTATCTTTCAACCTTCCATGAAGAGTCAATTGAGGTTCAACTAGCCTTGCTGACCGCCACTGTCAAGCTCTTTCTACATCGCCCTACAAAAGGTTCCTCTATCGTTCCCCAAGTGCTTAAATGGTGCACAGAGGAGAGCGACGATCCCGATCTACGTGACCGAGGGTTCATGTACTGGCGACTCCTTTCTACAGACCCAGCAGCCGCAAAGAAGGTTGTGATGGGTTCGAAACCACCAATAACTGCCGAGAGCGAGAAGCTTGATCCGAATACTCTTGAGGAGTTGTGTCTGGGCATTGGCACACTGGCGACCATATATCTGAAACCGGTACAACAAGTGTTTCGTGCTGCACGGCCTCGGCGATTACCAGACTCGCCGGCCTTACAGCGGAGGAAGGAGGACTTAAGTCATGCTCTTGGATCGCCGGGCATGAATCTGGCAAACCCGCTGTCATTAAACACCATGGTGACCACACCCGGCGGGACGCCTTTGCCAGGCCACCAAGCTGCCATCGACGCAGCAGATCAGTATTTCAAGAACCTCAGCTTGAGTGACAACAGTGGTGGAGATATCTTGACAAGTCCGACAGCGAATGGCGTTGGCGGTAATTCCTACGTTGTCAGTCAAAACGCACCGGAGCAAGTCTTTAATCCACAGGCTGGTATAGGACAGAATGGAGATCTCCTATTGTAAAGGGGAAAAGTGTGCTGTAGTTGAAGCATAGCCCAAGGCGTACTTCCCATATGGCAAGCGATATAAAATTGTATGCATCACCTAGAGTTCAAGGTCATGTTTGCCTCACCTCTGCAACACAATTGCCTCATGTCTATGTACGCTTGTTGGCACCGTGAGGTATACAGCAAAGTAAAAGGCAGGGCTGCGATAGGCACTGAAAGGAGCAAGTAAGGAATCTGGAAGCCTGGGGTCACGAGTCAGGCTCCAGAAACTCCAACGTCATTCGCGACTCGTGGTCATTACTGGTTCGGAGGGGAATTAAATTGCAGCAGGTCCTCAACAGACAAGCTACAAATATCACACACAAATCTCCCTTGCTCTCAGGCTCTACATTAAGCAGCGGTACCTGAATGCTCTCCAGATAAGAGCATAGTCGTTTGCAATCATGGTGTCCCTTCTAGTCGTTGTATTCCTGATTCAGCTCGCCTGCCACCTCATCTCGACCATCGGATCCAAACCGTTCAACGATTTAGTATGCGCCAGCTCTCCTTCTGGTCGAATGTCGCTGACATGTCTCACAGCTATGGCAAATCTACTGCCGTCTCCCCATAGGGCCCTCAAATGACATGAAAGAACAAGTCCGTTTACGTCGGGAAGTCGTGCGGTTAAAACGAGAAATGAACGCGGTCAGCGCACAGGACGAGTTCACCAGGTGGGCAAAGATCAGACGACAGCATGACAAGGCCTTAGCAGAGCACGACAAGAAAGGTAAGCTACGGTCATATAGCGAGGGTTTTCTCCACTGACACAATTTTCCTGTGCAGCGGCTTCCGTGTCCTCATCCCGATCATCATTCGACACCAAAGCATCAGCCATTCGCTGGACATGTACGAGTGGACTACGACTGTTCTTGCAATTCTGGCACGCAAAGACTCCTGTATTTACATACCCACGCGGCTGGTTCCCGTGGTATGTCGAGTACGTCCTCGGGTTTCCCAGATGTCCATATGGAGGTGTGAGCATCAATGTGTGGAGCATGGCATGCGGTACAGCCATTGCGCTAATGGGCGACGTGGTGATCTACGCGATGCAATATGTACAGGAAATGAGAGGCATTCCTCAGAAGGAGAAAAAAGCCATGCCGATGCCAGCACAGAAGACGCAGAGAGAGAAGACGCCCATGCCAGTGCCAGCAGAGCTGGACTAAATGAAGATACACCACAATATGATACATATTGCAACGTCTACCCAGACACCACAAACATGAGGATCGTTCATTGCTTCATCAGAGATATACAATCGTTTCTCGTCACTAGCCAACCGTGCTCATTGAGGTCACGGAGGCTTAAGTGCTTGACTCTATTGATTGAAATGTCATCATGTGAAAGCCGATCACTCATCCTGTGTGCCATCTTCCTCCATCCACACTCTTGACTTACAACCCCTGCCCTGGCGTGTGCATCATTCTGGGTGTCGACGAGTCCGGTCCCTTTGACAGGACATCTGCGAGCCCTTTGAAAGGGCATCGCCGCTTTGCCATAAGCTACAGACCCAAAAAGAGTAGTGCTCCGCGCCTCAAGAATAAGCCCCGTCGAGTTACTCGGCCACCTGTTTCCAAGTGGACCAAGCAATCGCATAACTATACTCATGTGACGAATTGCGCAACCTCCAGATATCACTCTTGAGCCCAAACGCACAATCCCACTCGACAACCCCAATATGAACCGTCGCCATCTCTTCCTGTGACCCCAGAACCAAAAATCCACCAGTCTTCCACGTCAAGATGTCTAGCCGAAACCCAAGGGACGGACTCATATCTTCATCCACCCAGACACTCATCCGCATCAAACATGGCGAACAATCGGCCAGGAATCGACGAGGAGTACAAACGACGACGAGGTCGGGGCCGTCGAAGCAGGCATGCTAAAGGAGAGTGGGAGGCAGAGTGTAAAGAAAAAAGAGCCGCAGTGAAAATGCTTTTATGGCGGCGCCTCGCGGCAAGTCCTGACGTTCCATTGACAAAGCCAAAAGGGTAGGGTGGTCCGGGGACTTTCTCCCAAAGCTTGTAGAGGGTATGCAAAAGCCTCCTTGAGGGGGCCCTGCTGTGCGTGAGCTTTGAATGCGATTCTTTGAGCGCGGAGACCTGGTAAACAAGACCAGAAAAAGAATTAGAGTCTCAGAACATTTTTTGAAGGCATCCGAGGCGGCTGCAAAACTTGCCAAGCCGCTAGTTGAATAGCAGGCTCGCAGGATAGTTTTTGTCGGTTAAGTTGCTGCAATCAATCAAGTTCTCCGCCCTGATACGAAGCATCGCGGGCAGAGCTCCGATCGCCTTTCCAGCCATTTCATGAAAGTTTGATTTCAGCATACAACGCCTTGTAGCATCTCCTATTCTGATGATACACGGTTCATGATCCCTCTAACACGACTTCAGAGTACATTGTATCCGCATAGCACTTGGACCAGACGGGTGATAAATCCTGTGCGCACAAGAACAGATTTCAGCGTGTTTGAAAGATAGCCACATCAGCAGCACATTATGCCTCCTCACAAAGGTCTACGGCCTGTGCTGGCAGCAGCATCTCAGGCAAGCAAGCCTTCAAGTCAAGGTATCAGACGGGGATTGAGCTCGTTGATCGTCCCTCTTGCTTCATCACAAACATCACCCACACCTCGACATCCACGCCAGCACCGCAATCTTACACGACAATCACTTCCGACAAGAACGTTCATTCAGCGTCAATCACAGTTGCGCCATGCCTCATCCACAAGCAGCTCTCTCAAACAAACGCCGTTATATGGCTTGCACACCGAGCTCGGCGCCAAAATGGTCCCCTACGCTTCCTACTCCATGCCAGTGGAATACCCCGATCAACCACACCGCGAATCACATCTATGGACCCGAGACCACGCCTCGCTCTTCGATGTCAGCCACATGGTCCAGCACAAGATGTCTGGTCCTCTGGCCGAGGAATTCCTCATGACCATCACGCCCACGGCAATCAATGAGATCGAGAAGCACCACTCCACCCTTTCATGCCTCCTCAACAGAGAAGGCGGCATCGTCGACGACACTGTCATCACCCGCCTTGGCAGGGACAGCTTCTATTTCGTCACCAACGCGGGCTGTCGTGACACCGATCTCCCCTTCATAGAGAAGGAAATGGATGCCTTCTTGAGATCCAAATCCGCTTCTGCCAAAGACAACAAGATCACCTGGCACGTGCTTGACCATCACGCGCTTCTCGCACTACAAGGCCCCGAAGCCAAATCCATATTGCAGGACCTGGTCTTCAACGACACCGAGGATGAGGCTTTCGACGCCTCGCTCGAATCGCTCTACTTCGGAACAAGTCGCTGGTTGCAATTGACTTTACCTGAATCCGGCATGAACACGCCATCCCTCCTAATCACTCGCACTGGATATACCGGCGAAGACGGCTTTGAAATCTCGATCCCGCCTGAGAACGGCGACGCTACCGAGCTGGCGACCTCGATAGCGAAATCCCTTACCGCCGATTCCTCCAAAGTCCGCTGGGCAGGTCTTGGGGCACGAGACTCACTGCGTCTCGAAGCAGGTATGTGTCTGTATGGCCACGACTTGAACGACAAAATCACCCCGACATCGGCGGCACTGGGATGGCTGGTCAGCAAGTCCCGCCGCAGCGACAACCCGAGCCCTGCATTCAATGGCCATGAAGTCATCAACAAGCAGCTTGCTTCTCCCAAGTCCCTTACCGAGCGACGGGTCGGGTTCACGATTGAAAAGGGTCCCGCTGCGCGCGAAGGCGCCGAGATCGTCGACCCGGAGAACGACAACCAGGTCATCGGACACATCACGTCTGGTTGTCCCAGTCCTAGCCTCGACGGGCAGAACATCGCCATGGGCTATATCAAGAACGGGTTTCACAAGAAGGGCACAAAGGTTGGTGTCAAGGTCAGGAAGAACGTGAGGAAAGCAGAGGTTGCCAAGATGCCGTTTGTTGAGAGCAAATTCTACCGACCAGCGTGAGTGGGCCAATAGGTAGGCACACGACCAAAAGCCAGTCAGCGTGTCTGTGAATTTGCTAGGCCTTCATATGCACTCTTGACGGTTCTGGAATCATGGTCGGAATGGCGTCACATGATGCGATCTTTGTAGCGTCGATGCTGGGTAGGAGCAGGACTCGGTCTTTGTTCGATCTGCAGGTTTGGATCAGATCGTTTCTGCCTCACTTTTCCGTGGTATCTCGGAATGGCATAGTGATCGGTGCTATGCAGATCATTGCTGGAGATCGGCACAACAGGTTTAGGCCGTTCCGTTAGGAAGATGCCCCTAGGTGTCCTTCGCTCAGACATGGGAATTATAAACCCACTACGAGTTCAAATGGCGCTTTGTTCTGCCTGCCTTGAACATCGGAAATGCGTTTCCACCCTTGATGTTGCCGTAGGCGTGCACTCGTCTTGTACTGGATCTTCGTGATTGCTGAAGGGTATGCTGCCTGAAGCGACCGGTCCTCTGTTATGAGTGGTTCGATCGTAAAGGTCCCCATGGCTATAGACTTTTGTTGATCCAGTCTTAGACTTCACCAGTACCCTTGGGTCCACATTGAGCAGTCATTCGAGTGCAGCTCTTGCATCCGATGTGGGTTGCATGTGCGGTGTCACTGTCAAACCCTCGTGGGTTTCGGTTATGATCACTAGTCGGCTGTGTATGGGCGCCACAAGACCCTAAAAGGCTGCAGCTATTGCTCGTATTTCGGTTGTCCAGGCCGCAAAGCCGGTCGTCGATCGGACCGGTGAATGAATCCCTATCCTCGCCTAAGGATCCCAATGGGAATGGTGCAAAAGCTGATTTGCAGCCGTACTCCATACCCTAAAGAAGTGACTGGCGATCGACTCTGCCGCCGTTCCACGCGCTGGTTAGGGACAGTTTAGACTTCAAGCCTGACGTCGGTCTCCATTGCCAAATTTGACGTCCAACATCGACATGACAGTCATGGAAGATAGCGGGATCCGACTTACAGTCAGGTATGATTGCGTGCTCGTGTGGTCTCTGAAATACAATCTGGTCCGTCAGCCCGGTTGGAGATCCAATTGTTTGTGAATGCCACGAAACAGGCAGCACCTTTACCCTGGCTAGCCACCAGCAATGAGAGCCACACCACACCCGAATAAGCATACTACCCCGGGTCATAGGTAGCCATGAATACGACTGTGGCTTCTGTAGTGCGTGTCCTTTGCGACACTACGTCGTAGCTGACGGCCGTCTGATGGCTAGTCACCGCGCTTCTCGTCAGATGCCGTTTCTTACTCCTCCAGTCGGTCGGCGTCACTCAATTCGCCCCGTGCGTCGTTTCCTTGACCGGGAAATATGTGCGCCAGGGGCATCAGGCGGTGAAAAGTGTACCAGTAAGTACCGTGCGCAGGAGCCGCAGTAGCAGCGACGTGAGGCAGTGTGGGCTTGCATTGATCATCCGAACAACCATTCTCACCCTATATGTCTATTGGCCAGATAGGCTATTGAGACGTAACTATCCCCAGCTTTGGATTGACGTCCCACGGATAGTTGTAGGTGACTTGTCGCGATGAGCCCCTGATCAGAACGTGGTGAGAGAAGCATGGAAGACCTAGCATTGGCGACTGCTGCCCGGGAACGGCTCATTCCCAATGGGGCTTGCTCCGTGTCATGACCCTCAAGGAGGAAGCAGTGCCGGTGTCATCAGTCGCGAAGTTAGAAGAGTGAGAAAGGCCGTTCATAGGCTGCCCTATGGCACCTTTCCATGCAGCAAGGACAGGAGCCAATGGTCAGAGTCGTCATCGATACTGGCCAATGTTGTAGAAGGTGAAGCACTCTTTTGTGCCCTTCTTCAACCAGCCTCTCATGTACGCCCCAAAGCCTGGCGCTCGTCTGGCTGTCATGTTTCGGTCATATTGCTCACCTCGTCCGTCCACAGAACCTCAAAGGTATCCCTTGTCCCCAGTATGCCGCCACTCTCAGGTGACGAAATTGGCTCTTCGCTTGTTATTCCTTTGCCGCGAACAGCCGATCAGCAGACGCCGCCCTGGCTTTCCCAAGTAGGCACAGGTGGCATGTTGGGCACCACTGGATTCTCCGCAGGACCGAAGGATTGTCTTCTGTAGCGTGCTCTACCAGCCGCTACTGAGTGGTGCGCATGGTGGCAGTACAACAACTTCCGGGCATTTGTGAGAGTTGCTGTGCATCGCCGTCATCGTAGATCCAAGGTATGTCAGGGGGAGGGTCTGTATTCTGATGTTTCCAAGAAGCGAATCACCATGACCGAATGCAGAAACATCTTGCGGTGCACTCTTTCGACGTGACAACGAAATGAGACCCTGCGCTGGTGAGCACGAGTATGCAGACCAGTAATTTGTGGGAGGAAGGATAGTCCAGAAGGCGGCCCCCTCTCACAAAGCGGAAGGAGGTAATTGACTGCCGAAGTAAGTCATTTGTCCTTGATCGCGATCACTGTTTCCCTCCACTTGAATAGACGATCGCATAATTCCTGCATCTTTATGCTGTTTCTACGTCTCTACAAGGAAATAATGACCTTAGACACTGACGGAAAGAGAATAACGTGTCATGCTGTGGGATATGTGCCTGTCATGTCAATGATGTCGTGCGCTCTTGTGGCACAACCTGTGCTGACTCCCGATGTTCTGTGCATCACCCCTGGCCATGCCCTCGAAATGTATCATACCATAGTCCTGATCATGCTCCTGCCAATGTTTAGGCTGTCCCAGTGTTCAAACGCCGCTTCCGGTCTGTCAGTCCATGCTGTCCAGGCTCATATTCTCGGGTCCTCTTCATCTTCGATACATGCATATCATTAAAGAACGAACCCCGTGTCCAGTCCACAAATGTTCCCAGAACGCGTATCCTGCGCCGTGCTCCACCTTGCTATTCTGGGGTATCTCTAATTCTCACCGTCCTTAGCGAATGCTATGCCCACGTCTGTTGTACTCGCCAAAATTGCAACAAAGGAAACCCAAAACAAAACCAACTTGTCGGATCCATCGCTAGGAGACCATGTCAGCACCAGTCACCTCAGAAAGATGCTAGATAAATTCAGTACCATACTCTTGGAGTTTTCGAATCGCTCAGGAAGATGCGCAGAGAAGTTTTGAGTACGGCATGGCGGACAAGTCAGTCAGCGAGGTTGTGCTATCACTGAACGGGCCTGCCAAATGGTATCTCATGTGGTCTTCATCTGCATCCTCCTCGTACGGCCTCTTTCGGCTCATGTCATACCCTCCGAGACCGAACATCATGTCCTCGTCCACACTGCCCTCCGATACAGGTGTCAGAGGCGATTGAGTGGACGACAATGTGCAGCAGGACTTTGATGCTTGAGCGTCGGAGAAGTTCATCTCAGCCTCTGTTGGTGTACCGGTCAGTGTACTTGACGATGCCATGCTCATGGGGGAGAAGTCGGAAACTCCAGCTTGACGATAGGTGGAGCCTCCGAAATGTCCGCTTTGTCGGTGGCTGCTGATCCATTCCATCGATTGTGGGAAGTTCGACGACGGCAGTGACCCAGAAGTGCCATCTCCACCGTGGCCGGTTCCTCGGTCCGGGTCCATGCTGGTCTGGCTGTCTCGCCGCCCATTGTCTTTGTAGTGGCCAGGGGACCGACCACGCACCACCATTGGATCGGACTCTTTGGTAGCAACCACAATCCAATTCTCGTCGCCAGCTGTGCGTGCCACATTGGCGGAAAGTTCCACAACAAGCAGAAAATATTGTTGCTGAGCCCGACGCTTCCCATTGTTTGCTGTGGCCTTCTGAAATTGAATCCTCTCAAATGTATACTGTGTAGGAATGGCATTAGCGTTGGCGTTCTCAAAACCGCCATAGCCACCCATGAGCCCGGCTGTCATGTGCGGATGGCCTCCGTACATATGACCCGCGCTGGCATATACGCCACTTGCAGCCAACGTTTGGGGAGGTGTCGGAGAGATCAGATGGCGGCCAGGGACGGTCTCTGTTGCCTTGTCGCGCTTTGGTGTATGCTGAACAAGGCCACGGTTTTCACTCTCACCACTACTGGCCAGCGCAGTTCTGGCCGAAATAGAGACTGCAAATTGCTGGACTTGCTCATCTTGCCCGTTCCTGTGGAGGTAAAATGGGCCGTCAGAAGCCTGGTTCTTGAATGCGAAGGAACACGACACGGCGAAATAGTTCCTCCGGTAACAGGTCCACTTTCGATCAACCTGAAAGAAGCCCTTCTGGATGCTGGCAGTGATCTCGGGCACCAATTGTTGGCCACGCACATTAAGCACAGTACAAAGGACAGTCGTCTCGCCAAATGGGGGCCCATCTTGTCGAACAGGGCCAGAGTTTTCTTGGTATGGGGCAGACATGGTATTCCCAGAGAATGTGCCGTCCGTCAAGGGGTAATGGCCAACACTGTTGCGATGATAAGTGTTGTGTGGATACCTGGGTGCCCCTGGATGAAATAACCCAGAACTTATCGAAGAATGCCCATTAGGTTGATATGTGTGCGACAGTCTGTCAACCATCGGCCTATTGTTCACGAGCGCAGCTCCAATGCCATTTGCCGGATTGTAGCTCAAAGGAGGTGACAGAGGCGGAGGACTGTACCACACAACTCAGTAATCAACCACACCATGTGAAGTGAAAGAGCTCAAAAGCAGACTCACAATCGCGGACGATCCATAATCGTCATCGATGGCCCAGGCCAGTTGGACGAGAGGATGGACGGGGCTGCGCTTGAAAAGTGGTCTGCCGAGCCTGCATTGCTGGGAAAAGGCTTGGGGAGTGTCGTATACACAAAGGACGAAGTTGTAGAATTGCCACTGGCGCTCCCTGAGCCAGTCGTGGAATCAGGAGGGCTCAGCAACAGTTGCGAGCTGCCTGAGTGATACCTGCCAAAATGCACTCGTTAGTAAGAGGAGGAGCGCAAAATCATCATTTCAAGCTACATGTGAAACGTCGTGTGGGCAACCAGTAGGTCAGTGTGGCGCAAGTGAGCTCATTTTGAAAACGACGGAGTAGGGCCACCGCTTTTTGCGGTAGTCCCAAGCTTCGGAGAGTGGATAGAACAGCGCGCAGATGTGCCCAAAGGTCAAGGCTTCAGTCTTTCGTGTTGGCCGGGACGCTGTACCAAACATGACACCATTGGACACCTTGAAGTGCTTGCGGCGGGGGAGGTAGGGTTCGGATACTCACGGTGTATCATTTAGTAGCGAACTGCCATTGAAGTCGAGACTGGAATTCGCTGGCAGCCCGACTGTTGGCGTTGGAGCACCATTCGTCAAGGTGCTCTGCTGCCTTCGGCTCGAGAAAGAAAAGTCATTGGTAGGATAGGAAGGATTTGAAAAGCCACGCTCCTGGCCGAGGTATTTGGATTCCGAAGAGATCGGAAAGTCGAAAGGAGAGGAGTGCTGAAGCAATGCTGCAGACAACGTCAGTAGCCAGTAGTGACAGAACGAACGTTCAAGGGCAGGATTTGATAAATAGTAAAGAGAGCCTAGCACAAGGCCATGCAACTCGGCTGGGCTAAGGAGGGGCCCATCGTATCGTGCACAATTGCCATCTGAGAGTCAATTTGGCAAGCCAGGTAGGACGAGCGGGGCATCCTGGTCGGGCCAACGTAGGGTGGCAATCTGGGCGCGAGACAAATGCATAATGCCCGCCAGTTTTGCAGCCCGTGCAGACAGCATATCAATGCCAGATTACCGAGCCCGGAGTACGGTGTGCTGGGTTCAAAGACCACACGGTAAGAGGAGGAAGGAAGGAATTCGGCGTGCAGATACTCATGCTGGGGGGAGTACTTACTGGGATCCATGGCGCCGCCCCAGGTGCTCGAGCGCGAGCAAATGACAAGGCTGAATCAGCACGGGATGATTTGCTGTAAGAGTTTCTCCGAACCGCACGTTGTCGAGCGGGTCAACTGTCTTGATCCTTTTGGCAATCCGAGGTTCTCTGTCTGCACAGTTGTCCGCTAGTCAGGGTTGTGTTCGGATGTATTGACAGGGTCTGGCGCAGCGCGGATTCGCTTTTTGGCCCAAAGGTTTGCACCTCGTTGCGGACAGCCTGCCAATAGCACTGCGTCGCAGCGAAGACCTCACTCCACACTCTTGCACAGTGCCTGGCCTAATCGAGTCAGTGCAAGGTACACTCAACCAACTCACTGGCGATCTCCTTTCGCACATACTTGAAATGAATGGTCTCGAAGAGGCGTGCTGATGCTCTCCCCAAGGGATGAGCTTAGAATCCTTCTGCAAATTCAGAGTTTGGCTGACGAAAACTTGATATGGTCAGTATAACTCCTCTTCGCCTCAAAGTGAACAGCTCACCTTCCGGATTTCTGAGATCTCTCTGCGCCTTGACCAATATGTTCCTCGATCCTCTCCTCAATGCAAGGCAGTTTGACTGGCTACCAGTTTCGACTGCAACTTTGCAGCTCTTTGCGAAGTAAAGTGCTCAGTGTACGCGACAGCGAAGCAACAACCCACAGTCTACCTGCTGGCGATCTGCTATCAATGGCCGACAGGCGACCTCTTTGGCAAACCCACGAGGATGAGTGTCGCAACGGGATGTCGTGCTCGCCGATCTAGTGACTTGTGGGGTTTCTGAATAAGATAACAAACAACGTTAGGATGCGAAATTATGTGAGAATATGAAGGGACTTCCGAGGGCAAGAGACGCATAGAGCGATGCAGTGGGTTGAAGAAGGTCTTCAAATGGACGCGCATAGAAGCAACTTCGATTGCAGTAGGGGTCCCACACCCGCCTTTGAGTCCCTTTTCTTACCCGGTTGGGTAGGCTGGCACCGCAGGTCGGAATCCAATGTCTTGCTCGAATGTAGAAACAACTAGCTCAGCCATCAAAGAGGTCTCGAGATCTGACATTTGACTACCGGAATTCGGTGAAGAAGCAGGATTGACCAGACGTTGTTGTTAAGGAGCATTCGTGGGAAGGCTGCATGTTCATGAGCCAATGGATATCCAGCCCAGCACATCTGAGCCTTGAGACCGCCCGACGGTGGCTGCAGGCGGCCTTTTCAGCAGTCAGGGCTCCAGGCTAAAAATTGCCACAGCACTGGACTTGGTCATCGTATCATTGCTCGCGCAGGCCCAAGTAGGCAAGATTTGGAAGAGACGAATCAAGTCGAAGCGGAATGCAGGAACAAAGAATGCATTCAACCACGGACCTTGCAGAGCCGTTTCAGGTGATAGTTACCACCGTCAGAGTCCTTCGACCTTGATATGGTGCTGAAGACATTGCCTCGCATGTGGGCTCGAGCCACAATGGTTACAAGCCTGGAGACAAAGAAACAGCCTTGACATACGCTTCACATCAGAGCCTCCATGGTTGAGGGCTCCGACTCCAGCCATGTGGCGATGGACGGGTCGAGAAACATGCTGATAACCAGCGAAGTTGAGCCGGTTGTGGACGCTCCGACAGTATCCATTACTGGAATGGGTCCAAACAGCATCGAAGTTGACAACAAGACCTGATGTCTGAGCCCAAATAGATTTGGGCGCAGGAAGCCGTCTGCTGGATGGCCGATCGTTGGCTGACTTGCAAATACACCAATGACTCTATAACAATGACCGGGCTATGCCTGGTTTTGGCTCCGGAAGTATCCCCATGGCTATGTCAATGCCAAAACCACAGGGAATATTCCGACTGGCAAGGAACCGACAAGGACCAACGGCGTGGCCATGAGGTTGACAGGCTATACGATGAAGCGAACGGGAAGGAGTCTTGCTTTGTCGTCCGACTGACTTGGGCCACAGGCAAAGTCCCAGGCTCGGAACGGGCTGGAACGTTGAATGATCCAACCATCTCAGGCGACCTGATACTGTGACTGCTAGGATACCAGGCCAGGACTACAATGGCCCCGGCTTCGCAGGGCAAGAAGAGAATTGAACGGGGGCTGGCCACGGACGGTCATTGGCTGCGGCAAGGCTGTTCCCAGAGAAAACTGCGGGCCTAGCTGCAAGTATGTTGTGCACACCTGCATGAGAGGGCATCATGGGTTTCGAATCGAGCAAGGTATAGTGGCGGAGCCGCATGCCCCCAGGAGGCAGGCCATTTGAGATTTTGGGCGGAAGGCCTGAAGGAGTACTGGTCATGGCGATGATGAGGATGGTCAGAAGGAGGATGATTGATGGTTTCAAAAGGTGGGTGCGTGGTTGAGGTGACAATTTGTGTGGGGAGAGAGAGTTTGAAATTGACAGCACACTACGTGATTGACATTACAGTATTGACACCAGGCGGCCCCAATGAAACTCTCGAACTGCTACCACTCCATCAACTACCAACCTATACCTCCGGATCGGAGGTCACTTGCTTTGTATGGTCCTTCTGAAGACACCTACGGCGTTCTCTGGCCTTCTTTACCCCCGATCCTGCCCACCAACAAAGGGCTTGGAGCTCGAAAAAGAAAGCTGACTCTGGACTGCCTTCTTAGAATCTAGCGTACCTCGTTCACCAGTCCACAATGGTCCCAGGGCGCCCTCACAGTGAAGCTGATGGCACCATCTTCCTGGATGTCACATATGGTAGCACCTGCTGTCCGGTCTTGGATCCTCATGCGCTGTCTTGACTTCTCTCTTCTGAGGAGCCGATCTAAGACGAGTTCTTCGCTCGACATGCAGAGATCCATAAAAGAACGATTTGACCACTGCATTCAAACAAGTCGGTACGCTTAAACGTCGGTATTGTGGCGGGACTTCTTCTGGTCTCCTCTAGATTCAATGGTCGGAGCTGGCACGAGATTCATGGGCAGGGGTCATAGTCATGCGGAACAGACATCAGCTTCCAGGCTTAACGAGGCGGTGGAGAAATATCCCGATGCATTGAAAGAAACGCTGACTGTGGATAACCAATATCCAAAGGTCAGTCCAGCCTCGTCTTCGAAACCTGATTTCCCTCCGCTGGCTACCCTGCCTTGAAGTCTTTGTTGGCCTGACAAATCCTGCGACTTTGACAGGTCGTACTGTCACCGCCGATTTCTCAGCTTGGACCACCTGTTCGTCCTTGGTTCAGCTCCGGTGTCACCGAAGCAGAGGTTGTTTTGGGACATCTACACGCCGTTGGCAGTGACCCAAAGAACACAACATGATCGCCTCGATCGCCGTTTCTTTGTCCTCCGGAGTCAACAGTGCATGGCAATGACTTGATTTGAAATTGTGTCAGATGCCTGGTATTTGGGATTCACTCTGCGTGCGCATGACTCGGCGACATGATCTCTGGGGATGATGCTGAGTGAGGTCGGATGTTGCCACGCTGTGGCAGTCCGATCCTTCCATCAGTTTCTGGGGTTCAAGAACGGTTTCCGCCGGCTTTGAGTTCCCCGGCGCAGGTGCATGGAGATGTACTGGGGCCGTGCAAATTGTCTGGCTGAGCCTGCGAGGTGAATCACCAACTCGGGACTTCCCATCGGGCACCAACAGCCCTGGATTGCTTTTCCTCAATTGGTCATTTTGATCTTGACTGGATATCAATATCGACATACGAGGATACTTCGATGCTCGTAGGTAAGTCTCCTTTTCGCGCGGGTCCGCTCCAGCTTGTACATGTCAGGTTTCTGAACTGCTCAGGTGGCTGTCTTACTGGGGCAATGTGTGCCGGGGTGGCCACGTTGACCTGTTCCTGCAAGCCCGTTCGTGATGTTTCAACATCCTGACATGAGGTGAGTACGTGTCAGTTGGTCTTGACAAGCTCGGTCTGGTAAATCTTCGGCATCCAATGGTTATTAGGAGCTTACCATGGATGATTGAAAAACATTCTGCCAACATGTTTAAGACAGAAGTGGGCGGGAATGACCATCGCAGACGCGGTATCTTCCATGACGGACAGTATCATGTACGGCCCGACCTTGGATCCCGGCAATATGCTGGCGCATTCAACAAGACTATTGTCGCAACCATGCAAGGCAGTAGTTTGAGCCAGACTGACAAGCACATGGTTGGTGCAATTCTACGGTGAGGCGTCGTCGCTTGCGCGGTAGGCTGACTGCTGCTTGTTTCCTGGTATGGGATCAGGCCCTGCCAGTCCTAACCGTCTGTGCTCAAGGTGCGTGTGAATGTGCAGGTAGAATTGATATTGAGAAACTGAGTCTTCTTGTAAACGCCACGACATGTCATTTTGAAGTCATTCCGGGTTTTGCATCTTCTATCATACATATCTGCACATCATGATCATGTCCACAGACATGAACATCGACGAAGAGATCCGATGCAAAGCCCACCGTCGTCCACGCGCAACATTTTATGCAGTCCTCTTCGCGAACTCGACTCTTAGAATCAGATGCCTATAACCAAAACCGTCCATCTTCTCGCACGCTCTTGCAGCATCAGTTCTGTCAACGAACGAGATAAACGCAAAGCCCTTCGCACGACCCGTGTCCCTGTCTTTCGCAAGGAAGACACGAGTGACGCGGCCAAAGCGCTCAAAGAGATCGCGGAGCTCTTGCTCCTCTGCCATCTCGGAGACCTACAAGGAAGAAGTGTTAGCAGATGCTTCAAGCGGATTGTAATATGACTGCAACTTACATTCGTAACACGTAGCGTAGCCAGGTCGTCTCTTTCAAATTTGCCACCCATTCTCTCACCGGCACCTGCAGCACCTTTTCGCATGTGAGGCGGCACGTAGCTGCTGCCGCCAGGTCCTCCGCTCGAACCGCCAGCTGCTTTGGCACCACCTTCTTCATCCTCCGCCATGGGATCAGCAACCGGGGTGGTACCATCGTCTGCGGGTGCCATGGTGTCCTTGAAGGGACATCTGGCTGTGAAATGTTCGCCCTGACAAATACGGCACTTGACCTTCTTATCTTTAAGTTGTTCTTTCAAACTCTTCTCCTCAGCCTTGCCGCCGCCAGCCTTCGCTTCCTCGGCTTGCACATTCTTCCAGTCTCTGCTGGGTCGGAAGACAATGTTCTCACCAACGGAGGTGGTGTCTGGCTGTGGTCCTTTCGATTTGCCCTTCTCCAGGCCAAATTTCGACCATTCTCTTCGCTCTGCCACCACAGGATTTACTCTCTCTTTGTGGACGGTTGTGCGGGTCTTTCGGGTCACCTTGACCTTGCGGCCCTGGTCGTCCAGGCGGTATGATATCGTTGTCTTCGTGCCATCTCTATTCACTGTTGTAACCGGTGGAGGGAGTGCGGAGGGGTCATTGATCTGCTCTGAGTCCGAGACATCGTCCGCCCAGTCAGGACGGCTAATTGTCACAAAATCTTTGGTCAGCTGAAGGTCTTGACTTCACGTAGGGATTGCAGCCAGCGCCATGGCAACAACATACCTCGCGGTCTTGGACATTATGATGGTGATGTAGATATATGAATTGCTTAGAGCAATGGAAACTATTGTTTGACTTGTGCTGGATTCGATGGCAAAAGTTCGTGGTTCACTTTGTCACCGTTGAATGTCGCATTTTGAACGGGTGGGCACCAGTCCAAATACGGTTAGTATACCAAGGAAACATGATGAGTAATGCACCTTCGTGAGGTACCGGTAGGTATCTAAGGTTACCCAAGTACAGCCTCCGCCGCTGGCTAATCATTCAACTACGGAGTATCTTTCGACTCCTAATCATTCCGAATCCCAGCACATCCAAGAAGCTCTCGGCTTCCTGCCAGCATCCCCTGCCCGGCATATCGAAGGATATCACGCCTGAAGACAACCTCAGCAGCCCACAGCACTCCTGATCAACCTCTCTCTAGTGTAGCGTCTTCCTACCCCAGCACCACTTCGATCTACGCATTCCGTACTGGGTCTGCAGACCTCATCAACCCGAAAACCAGCTGCTTCGCCTAGTCAATTTGCAGAGTTGACGGCTCTCAGCCATCAACCGGGCGCTTTCCTCCGCGCGGGATTGCATGGTCGAACTTGACTGCAATAGTTGGCTTGACCAAAATGATCGCTGCAGCTGTTTTTGTCGGCTTGCGAATGAAGGCTGGATGCACAACGAAGAGGATCTTGCCGACTCTACCGTTCTCGTCGGCTACTGGAACCGCCGAAGAACGTAGCGCCTGTCCTGTCCTGCTGTCGATGATTTTGAAGTTCTTCCAGTTTTCGAGCTTCAGCACCCCATTCACAGCTTTGGTAATTTCATAAGGATCGTCCCCGAAGTCGTACATCGTCATGGACTGTCTGATGTGGCCAGCAAGATCGGCAGTGTCTGCGACCAAATGATTGCAAGTGCTCTTCCCTGTTCTGGTGTCCATATCCATACTTCTGACCGCTTTGAACGATGTCTGAATGGTGGTTGATGCAAACCGTAATGCATTCTCCCGATACTTTTTGGCCGACTCTAGTGAGCTCAACGTTCTGTAAAGATCGACTCGCCAACTCTGAATGGAATCCATGTCTGATTCTATGTTAGGCCCATATCAATCGCAAAGAAGCCTCGCTTACCTTTAGCAGGGCTAATGTTGTTGATGCCAATGTTGATATCCCGAAGGTACGCCTCTGTGTTGTCTGGCAGCCCTGGATACACGCGATCTGCAGACAGGAACTGGGAATACAGGTACCGAGACATCAAGGCTACCAGCAACGCGTTGTTCAGCTCCGGATTTAGCTTGACCACATGGAATGTCGCCTTCGATATATGATCCCAGACGACGTGCGGACCACTAACAGGACGACCCGCAGTAATAACCTTTCGGATGACATCCTCAACCTCGTCGAACTGCTCCTCGACCCAGTACTCGATGGAATTGCACAGATCTGTGTATGAAGTTTGAAGCTGAGTGTCGGACATGCCCTGGACTGGCTGCATGCTGAAAATGCGGTCTTTGCACTCCTCCAGACTTGTCTTCAGCAACTTGATCTCTGATCGTGAACCATCTAACTGTTGAGTACGCATGCGCAGCTGCTGCTTGATCGCGAGCCGGTCAACGTTGCTTTCGTGCATATATTGCTGGCGCTCACGTTGCAAATCGGCAATGACATACTCCAAGCCCTGGATCTTGTTGTCTCTGCCCTTGATCACCTCGCTGAGTCTCTTCTTGTCACTTCTGAGGATATTGACAACGTCGTCGAACTCCTGCTCTAGCAGGGAATTCCGATGTATAAGTTCCTCGAGTTGCTCACTGTGTGCAGTGAGTTGTCGACTCGCCTCATTCTTCTGCTTGATGACGGCCTCGTAGCTACCGGGTATCTCTACTACGAATTCCATGGCGGATTGTGGTTGTTCTGGAGAGGTGAACGAATCGCGTTCGGTCTGCTTGGGGTATATGGTATCTTCTGAAGCCCCATCGGCTGCAGCTCTCCCCTGCTTTGCCTGGTCGTCAGATTCCGTCGGTTTGGGCCCTGTTGCTTTGTGAAAGTACCTCATCATCCTTGATGCCATGATTTCAGGATGAGTTCGATCCAAGCGACAGTAATGGGTATCGTGTTGTCAAGTCACAGAGTACTGCTTGAAAGAAGCTGAAAATTTCCTACCGACTGGTAGTGGTTCTAGTATTATGATATCACAGCCTGAAGAACGGTCTTTGTGAGTGAATCCGTTTGCAATGAACCATGTTGTCCAAGCACAACAAGCTGCAAAGCATGGATGAGAAAGTTTGTCAAATGTGAGAAGTAAGTGAAACATCACTGTATCACCAACGAATATACAGTATTTACTTCATCTCAGGAACAGCAGGCAATTCTTCACTTATTGATCAGCCTTCCTTCCTGGCTCAACCGTTGTCAACTTCACCTGCTACTTAACTTCGCTTCACACTTCTCCCGACCCTCCTCTACCAGACACCTTCAGTGATTCAACCACAGCGTTGGAGTCACTTCTAAGATTCCTCTTCTCGACTTTGCCAATCTCAATCTTCCAAAGTCACCGTACCACGGAAATATCGTCGCTCAAACAACATAATCCTTGCCGACATCATCAAGGCCCAAGGTGCACATGATGAAGCGAAAGCACTCAGCCACCGAGGTGAAGGAGCCGGAAGACCGCTACATTCTTGTCGCTGTTGACTACGGAACTACCTTTTCGGGCATTGCATGGGTTCAGACCGCTCGGGTATGTTGATCTGTCTGCTCAACCCCATGACCGATCTTGACCGTATTACAGCCGGAAGTGCAGACAGCAATTGTGCAATGGCCGAACGATGAGGGTTCGCTTGAGGGCAAGACCAGCGAAAAGGTTCCAACCGAGCTCTACTACGATGGACAAGAGTGGAAATGGGGGTTTGAAATACCAGACAATCAGCCACGACATCAGTGGTTCAAGCTTGGACTGGATCCGAACCACAAGAACCAGGAGCTTTCGCTCTTAGCAATAGATCATCCTGATGAGAAGGCTCTCCCACCAGCTTACGGGGACGAACCCAATGAAGTCAAGTTGACTACGGCATACCTGGCAAAACTCCGCAGTCACACCATCAAGCTGCTGGGAAGAAAGTTGGGCGATGCTCTTCTGAACACCACGAAGGTGCGCTTTACCATCACAGTGCCGGCGATTTGGGACGATGCTGCAAAAGCACGTACGCAACAATGTGCGACAGGCGCAGGCATGGGTAGGGAGATCCGGATCATCTCGGAACCTGAAGCTGCGGTGATCTATGCATTAGATGCGATGGATCCACACAATCTCAATGTTAAGGATTGCTTCGTTCTGTGCGATGCGGGTGGTGGCACGGTCGACCTGATTTCATACGAGATTGTGAGTAAAACACCTTTCGTGAAGGTGCGGGAGACTGTGCCAGGCACTGGTGGGGCTTACGGAAGCATTTTCTTGAACCGCATATTCAAGAAATATCTCGAGGAGAATCTAAGTGACATGGACGGCTTCGGAGACGACACACTCGAAGATGCCTTGGCTGAGTTTGAATCCACCCTGAAGCGCAAATTTACAGGTGACGAAGAAAAGGTCGTGATACGAGTTCCAGGACTAGTCGACAATGCTGCCAGAGGTGTCAGACGTCAGAAGCTTACTATCAAAGCAACCCTCCTCAAGGACATCTTCCAACCTGTGATGACTGCGATCACCACTCTCATCAAAAGCCAATTGCAGCAATGCAAACAGGCGAAGGCAGTAATCCTTGTGGGAGGCTTTGGCCAGTCCCCCTACCTTCGCAAGTGTATCGAAAAGGTGGTTGAGGATGACATCGAGATCATGCAGCCTGCATACGGTTGGACTGCAGTTGTTCGAGGGGCACTGATCAAGTCGCTTCATGATGCAGCGCCTGGCGCTACTAGAGTTGGCATAACTACGCGTCGGGCACGCAGGGCATACGGCACGACGATCGCTGATGCATTCAAATCACCGAAGCATATTGGACGTGACAAGTATGGTTCACTCCGGCAAGCCCTACATTTTGCTGACGCTCGCAGGTGGTTCGATGGTCATACTGGCGTATGGAGAGTCAACGAGATGATTTGGTTCGTCAACAAAGTGAGCATTTTACGAAAGGCCTTGACATTATTACTGACAGAAACACAGGGCGATGAATTGAACCAGTCTGCACCTCTTGAGACCAGTTTCTCTCAGACTCAGGAGGTCTCCAAGGGTTTGCTTTCGAGGGAAACTATAGAGCTCTATGCATTTACTCCCCGTGGCGACGAGCGTTCTCCGGAATATCCATGCGACGGTAGTGTATCCCTCTCATCAATGGTTTCCTCGAAAGAACGGCTGACCATTCATAGCCGTCAAACGCCTTGTTACGCTTAGGGCTGATCTGTCTGCCATAGCCGCGACACAGATCCCAAGGGAGATGGGAAATGATGGCAAACTCTACTATGTCTTGGACTTCCAAATCAAGGTTGCTTTCTTCTCAGCGCACATGGAGTATTCCCTGTGGTACAAGAATGTCGAGTACGGAAAGGTCAAGGCTGAATATGCTTGACTGTGCCCGTGGCGTCAGACTCAGTAGCATTGGCATGACTGGAATGGTATTGGCGAGCACTTGGCATATTGGTCACATGGCTTGGACAAGGACGCATGGGCAACAGATCACCGTTGGCGAAGAATCGAATGATGAAGGTGAGCCGGGTGTACCATCAGCTCGGCACCGAGTCCCTTCAAAGAGCATCACAGAGAGCTGGTCAGGCAAATGACACACATCGAAGCCGTTTCTATCCGTGTACCATCCTCGGCTGGCGTCTATGCCGGGATTTGGCTACACAGCAGTCGAATGGTTTGACAATGTGACATGGTGAAATGGTCCACACAGCACGTAGCCGGCGTAAGAAGCACAGCCTAGACTCCGTAGTGAGGAGAAGATCCAAGATTAACTTCGATGTTCAAGCCCAATTGTTTCATTGCATAACACATGTCGTCAATTGTCCTACTTATAACACATTCACATACCGCCTGCACCTGATGACAACCACTATAGCTTGCTCTTGGAAACGATCAGCGAGTTGCCGATCTGCAGAGCCTTGACGGCGTCATTGACAAGCTCGTCGACGATGTCTCGAGCGCTCTTCTTCTCGTTGACCACCGCAGCAGCCTTACCCATCAAGAATGGGCGGGCATTTTCCATGTCCTCGTCTGTCAAGTCATCGCCTTTCTCTTCAAAGTCGTGCTCAACCTGTAACACACAACGTCGTCAGTCACGTTCCGGAAAAGGGTTACGGTCCATGTCAGAACTTACCGGGATAACCCCCTTCGCAGTCAAGGTCTTGATCTCCGCTTGTCTGTTCTCCTCCCAATTGCTGATGTAGGCGTTGTTGCGGACGCGCAGGGGTCGTCCGGTGAAGATGATAGTTCTTACATTGTCGTCGAAACCAGCGGTTCGGACAGCCTCCTGGTGGGCCTTGGGAGCACCGGCTTCATCGGCGAGAATGAAACGTGTGCCGACCCACACACCGGAAGCACCGAGCATCAAGGCGCTTGCGAGCGATTGTCCGCCGAAGATACCTCCGGCCGCGATGCACTGGACGGGCTGACCGGTGAATTTCGACGGAGGGGCATCTGCGCACATTTTCGCGACGGCAGGAATGAGGACGCTGGTGGGAGTGTCACCCTAGCTTGGTGTTAGTAATGAGAGGGAGTTTCTTCGGGATAATAAGCGTTACAGTGTGGCCACCACCTTCTCCCCCTTGTGCGCATATGAGGTCAACGCCCAGTTCGAGGCACTTCTTCGCGTGCTTAACGTGGCCGATCATGTTCTGGATCAGATCAGTCAGTCGTGGACTTCAATTGAGTATGATTGGCTAACACACCATGTAGAGAATTCCATGCTTGTGTAGCTTGTCAACGACTTCTCTAGGAGGCACGCCGACGGCAGAGACTGGTCACTGGTCAGTATTGAGCAGGACTGAAGCCGTGGTCATTGCTCACCAAAGAGCTTGGCGCCTGAGTCGATGATGATATCGACCAATTCACCGAGCTTTCCCTTGGTATAATCGTAGCTTGACACAAGTCAGTCACAGCAATGCGTATGCGAATTGGCTCATGTTCTTACTTCGTCTTTCTCGCGCTACCGCCGACCTGGGGCAGCAGGAGATCAACACCGAAGGGGGCGTTCTGGTCGTTCAGGTAGCCTTTGAGTTCGGCGATTTGCTCTCGCAGCATATCTGGAGTATATCCGACCTTTATGACCCGTCAGCATTGATTGATTTATCCTTCCTGCGCTCGTCTTACACCGCCAATAACACCAAGACCGCCAGCGTTCGTGACTGCGGCAGCCAATTTTGGACCAGCAGCAACATTCATGCCGGCAAGCATGACAGGGTGCTTGATCTTCAGCAGATCGGTCGTGGTTGTTCTGAGCGATTGTGGGGACGCCATCGTGAATATGTTCTTGGGCGAATCGAAGAAGGTTTGAGGATTAGGGTATATGTTGCTTCAGGAGTCGCTGAGGGTGTCGCTGAGAGGATTGGATGATGTGCAAAGTCCAAAGGTGTCAAAAGGGCGATGAGAATGAGAGAAGGAGAAATATAAGAACAGTAATCACAGAGTAGCCGAAACCTGCAGCTGAAGATGGGGCTGTCGAGGAGGTGGTGAACAGGACATGCAACATTTGACAACTTACCTCGGCTCCCCATGATAAATGTCATGTCATGACTAACGGATTATTGGGCTTCTTGGTGACATCAATCTTTTATCCGACCACGCCTTTTGCCAAGTATTGTGTCAGACATGTGGCTTTCCTCTATGCCGATGGATGCATGCCCCAGATCCAGCATCTGCGGCACCCAGACCTAAGTAGATTCGGGAGAACAGATCCACCATCCTGAGTTGATACCTGGGGTGGCATGTCCACTGGCACGTCCGCAACAAGTGCCGGGGGACCGTCGGTTACGACGATCTATGCAGGCAATAATGCTATCTATCTGTTCACTCTTCATGCTTTCGTTCTTCTGTATGCATGCCTGTCAGTAATACCTGGGATCACATACCTACCTAGGTAGTTGCTTGCAGCTTATCCCCATATGGCTGCCATATGGTCCACGTCTGCTTACGCCGACCAGCCGATCAACCCCAGGTCGGCAATGCTGCCACTCTGGGAAGTCCCTGGATTTTTGAGTTGGGCTAAAATTTTATTCTCAGTCCGCCCAGGAGATGAAACCATACGTGCTCACAATTGCATTACAGCCATCCGTGAGCTGAACAGCATTACTTTCTACCCTTCTGCTTTGTGTCTTCTTGTCCAACCGAGGGTGTCTCGATTGTGTAATTGCATGCACGCATGATTGATGATCTGGCCCAGTTTCACGAGAAGCACATGTCGCTCGAATTCGGGCTCTCATCGTGTCCTCATCACAGTCTCAAGTACTCAACGTCGTGCTGCAGGTCAAAGATGGAATCATGACTACGTGCAGAAAAGCCTGAGACCCTCTGTCACCCAGGGAGCCGGACACCTATCTCAAAACCGCGACATTTACTCGCATCTGGCACGGTCTTACCACCTAGTCCAACCTAAACGAAGAGCTTTTTCAACATCGAGAATGAAGGCCTCATCTACCATGTCAGATGTATCCAATAAAGCAGTGGTGGCATTCGGCAGCAATATGGGTGACCGTATTGCAACTATTGAGGCCGCCTTAGCTGCAATGAAGGACAAGAACCTCAACATCCTCAGATTGAGTTCTCTATATGAAACCAAGCCAATGTACTATGACGATCAGGATCCCTTTCTCAATGGCGTCTGTCAGATCGAAACCTCTCTTGAGCCCTTGCAGCTACTGGACGTTCTGCAAAGTATCGAGAACGACCTTGGCCGGAGAAGAGTCATCGATAAGGGGCCCAGAACGATGGACCTTGATATCATACTTTACAATCAAGAACACATCAAGCATCCGCGTCTCGAAGTTCCTCACAAGCTCATGTTGGAGCGTGAATTTGTGCTCCGGCCACTTGCAGAGTAAGTCAACAGCTACAAATGGCAATGATCAAATACTGATTATGTGAAGTATACTACCCTACGAGCATCTTCCTTCCAGCTTTACTCCCACCGCCGCCCATCGCCCGATATATCAATTTCTACAAGCTCTTCCTGAAAAGGACATTTCCATGTCACCTGTCACTGTAATTCACCGGCGAATGCCTCTGATCCGCAGCCATGACTCGGCTCGCAAAACGCACGTGATGGCTATTCTCAACATCACGCCCGACTCATTTTCAGATGGAGGTGTTCACAGCCAGAAGGATCTGAAGACGATAAAGGCAACGGCCAAAAACTTCATTGACGCTGGCGCCGACATCATCGATATTGGTGGTCAAAGCACGCGACCTAGGGCAGACTATCTCAGTGCCGAAGAGGAGCTCAGACGGATACTTCCGGTTGTGCAAGCGATCAGAAGCATGGAAGAAGCTGATGACGTGGCTCTCAGCATCGATACATTCCATTCAAAAGTCGCCCGAGAGACTATTCTTGCAGGTGCTGACATCATCAACGATGTCTCAGCTGGCGTGCATGATAAGGACATGCTCTCAACGGTCGCCGAGCTCGGCAAGACCATCATACTCATGCATATGAGAGGTGACGCCCACACCATGATGAGACTTACCGATTATCCTGGTGGCGTCGTCAAAGGGGTTGCGGAAGAGCTCAGCGAGCGTGTTCAAGCCGCCAGAGCGGCCGGTATCTTTCCATGGCACATAATATTGGACCCAGGATTAGGATTTGCGAAGAACCAACAACAGAACCTCGAGTTACTGAGGAGGCTACGGGAATTGCGAGACAATATCGAATACTCCGCCTGGCTGAAAAACTATCCTTGGTTGACGGGCCCAAGTCGAAAAGGCTTTGTCGGCAAGGTTACCGAAGTACAGGAGGCACCGAAGCGCAGCTATGGCACTGCCGCTGCTGTGACGGCAAGCATTGAAGGAGGTGCTGAGATCGTCCGTATTCACGATGTGAACGAGATGGTCCAGGTCACCAAGATGGCAGATGCAATCTACCGTTCGCCTTGACTGACGGCACGATGGTTGCATGCATTGCTGACCTGATGAACCAACATTACTCACTTGCCGAAAGCACCAAGTTGGGACACGGCAAGCCTACCTATTCATGTGCCATGGGACTGGACGGCCATTTGGATACCAAGTGCTGATTGTCCGACGCTGTATACGACGGACTCCGTAGGGATATTGAGCATCTATGTCCATTGAGCCTGAAGGGCTCCCAAGGTCAACCTGTGCCACCTTTTGTGGAAACAAGCTTAACGGTATCCCCCGATGAACATGTCAAGCCGATAAGGCTGAAGGTTGCTTGGTCTTGGCGGATGTTGATGATTAATGAGGTCATCATCTTCTGGTTCCTGCATCTCACAGACCTCCGAACTTTACACGTGCAGGTACGATCCGATCACTTCTTTTTCGACCGACGACAATCACCCTCTCAGTCACTTGGCCTTGGATCTCTACCTCTGCTCCTTGCATTGTTACTGTTATTCAGACGCACCACATTCGTTTCATGGTACAACAACATCATGTCCTCTAACAAAGTACCCATAGGCCTGAGATGGCGTGCCAGCACATCCTTTATTCTTACCACCGTCGCCGTTGGACTTTTTACCGACCTCTTTCTCTATGGACTCATCGTCCCTGTCCTACCTTTCATGCTTAAAGAGCGTGTCAATCTCCCAGACGAAAAGATCCAATCCTATGTTTCTGGACTTTTGGCTGCCTACGCTGGTGCTAGTGTCATCTTCTCCATACCCATTGGAGTCATTGCGGACAGAGCCAATGCACGCCAACTGCCTTTCCTCTGTGGTCTCGCCGCCCTATTAGGCGCTACAATTATGCTTGCGCTGGGTCAGAGCATCCTTGTGTTAGTCATGGCTCGAATTCTACAAGGCATCAGCGGTGCAATTGTCTGGACCGTGGGTTTGGCAATGGTGCTCGACACTGTCGGTCCAGAAAACCTAGGGAAGGTGATTGGATCAGTAAGCGCATTACTCGGGTCCGGGGTCCGTGCCAGCTAACGCAATGCCAGATCTTCTCCTTTATATCTGTGGGTGAATTGGCAGCACCTGTACTAGGAGGGGTCCTCCACAACAAGACCGGTTATGCTGGGGTGTTTGGCCTGGGGTCGGCTCTTCTTGTGGTCGATTTCATCCTACGAATGCTGATGATCGAGAGGAAAACCGCCGCGAAGTACGACAAATCTTATCAAGGTGCTGGTAATCCCCGCGAACACGGAGTCAGGGAAGAAGAGGGTGAAAATAGGGAAAGCAGCGAAGAAGAACCTCTGTTGCCGAAGAATGAGGAGGAGCATTACCGCATCCCTCACGGCCAAAACAGTTTGCTCCGAAACCTGCCCATTCTCTACTGCTTTTCCAGTCCGCGACTTCTCGTCGCACTTCTCCTGGCTTTCGTCCAAGCAGCCTTACTCGCGACGTTCGACGCCACTATTCCCACGGAAGCAGGATCACTATTCGACTTCGACTCGCTGCAAGCAGGCCTCCTCTTCATCGCACTGGATATTCCCTACCTTCTGCTCGGACCTCTGGCAGGCTGGGCAGTGGACAAGTACGGCACCAAGCCCGCAGCCGTGATCGGCTTTGGATATCTCGTTCCCGCGCTTATTCTTCTCCGGCTGCCAACGGAGCACCTCGTCTCGAGCGCTAAGGGGAACATCATACTATACTCCGCCCTACTCTCTCTCAATGGCATCGGTCTCGCGGTCATCGGGTCTCCAAGCATCGTCGAAGCAAGTGACGTTGTCCAAAAATATGACAAGGCAAATCCCGGCTTATTTGGCGAGAACGGGCCTTATGCACAACTGTACGCCTTCAACTCATTAGTCTTCAGCGCTGGTTTGACTATCGGTCCGTTGATCAGTGGAGGGCTCAGAGATGCCATTGGGTACGGAAACATGAACTTGGTCGTGGCTGGCATCACAGGCATCACGGCTGTTCTATCCTTCTTGTACATTGGGGGCAAGCCGAAGCTACTTCAGGGATAGGATCCTACAGGGGCAGAAAAAGATGAAATGTTTGCCATATCGAAAGTTGCATTGTGATGAGGACAGGCCTCTTTCAGAACGCCAAACTCCTGAGATAGATAGAGACAATCTTCTAAAGACGAGCGGCTATAAATCCCTCAGATGCATTTCTTTATGCATATGGTTCCCTGGTATATGGTTCCCTGGTAGGCACTTGTAGCAATGCTAATTGTTGTCCGCTCTGATCCCATGCACGAATGGCATGCCACAATGGAAACGAAGTAGTGAACGACAGTAGTCTAATCTTCAAAGGCAGCCTACTGAGATTGCTTATGACAAAAAGAGATAACAGGGCGAAATCCCAGAAGTCAAGTGGAAGAGCATGATTGCACATGATTTGAAAATGGTGAGAAGTAGCACTTTGACTCTGCTTGATGCAAGCGGTTATGGTCTTAGATATCAACCCGAAAGTAAATCAACCAAGGTATCTGTGGTGTCCTGGGGAACATATCGAACATCTGTGCCTTTAGGGATCCAGTACACCCATATAACAATGCCTTGCTGCGGTTGTATTACCACCTTTCTCTTGGAATCTCCGAAGCACGCCCATTGATACGCCAATTGGCCGTGAAGTTTGTAGGAAGGAATAATACCACAGACATCTGCGAGAATTCAGCATCATCTGCTCGAACATCAGTTGAACAGAAAGGAACTCTGCTCTCCAGTAACCTCGTAGAGTTCACAAGGCCACCACCATGGCGGAGGAGGTGGCTCTTTCTGGTGTTCAATGCACCAATCTCGCGTGCGCTCCCAGTCAAGCCGCTTCGTACAGTAATCGAGCAGTTCAATAGCCTGTCGAGCTCGGCCGGTTTTGTTAAAGACTTCACATAAGCTGTGAACTGTAGACCAAGTGGATCTCTCATCCAGGCCGCCTAGGAAGCCGCGGCCATACAGGACTTTGAAGAGCTGGGCTTCCGCAGTTTGCAGGTCATCAGTGTGGCGCAACTTGATTTCGGCAAGCCTTTGAAGCAATGTTAGCCGGAACTTTTCCAGGTCTGGTCTTTGGCCGTTGAGGCGATCTAGGGCAGTCTGCAGGTATTCGATCGCCCATCGGAAGTTTTGTGTTTCTTCCAGAGCACGAGAAATCATGACCAAGCCATTGATGGTCACTAGACTGTGGCGACCCATGACCTGCTCACATATAGGTAAGCAACGTCTTAAGAGCGGAATGCCACAATCGTAGTTCCCACGTCGGAGTTGATGCCATGCATAGAAATGCGCAATCACAAGAAAATTTGGATGTCTTTCACCCCAGATGTGTTGAATCTGCTCGTATGCGCGGGGAAGGCAGTTGCCCCAGTAGTTCATGTCACTGTCATTGCCCGTGGTGAAAGCCAACGTATAATGGAACGGGGCTGCAAAAGTGAAGCTTTCGTGCATATTAGGATCCTGGTCGATGATTTCGCAGCTGGCATGCACAAAGCTGGCGAGCTCTTGCATCCTGCAATGTGATCCGAGAACTAATACCATCCAGATAAGGCAAGGATACACCCAAGGATTGTCTTCTTTCAGGCATTGCTTCAACATTTGCATGGCCTGGAATTTGCTTCGGTCGCCAGTGGTTTTGTCGGAGTTGTTCTTGAAGCATTGCGAATAATAGGGTGCAGCCCATCGGCAGGCGTTCATCTTATGGTTGCTTGTGGTCGATTTTGCAGATGTAGAGACGCCATCTGAACAATCGTCTTCGACTTTCATGGAGTCAAGCGCTTCAGAGAAATCGAAGTCCTCGCTCGGCTCGGCTTTGCAATATAGCTTTGAAATCTGCGAGACTGCGGCTCTAGTGTCCAATATTGTTGCCAGAATCTGCGCATTGGCCGAAGAAGCCATATTGACAGCGTCCAGGTTCTTGCATGGCCGAGCTGGGTTTTGATCGTCGACGGCATTTGCAGCTTCAGGAATGCCATAGGGAGCAGGGATTGATCGACAAAGGCTACTACTCGTCTGCCCGTGTCCAGATTTTGTGGTGAGTAACGCGATGGAGCAATTAGTTACTTCCACATTTGGCGGAGCTCCGGCATTCAACGACTCAGTCGGACTCCGGATGGGTTGGGGAGTCTCTGGACTGTCATCGCTGTAGACCGTGCCAGGAGAACTTGGCGATCGTGGAGAACTCTTCTGGCTGCCATCTGAATTCGGCGAGCTGCGAGTCGAGGATCCAGGCGATCTGTGAATTGTGGAAAAGCTGTGGACTGTAGATGCTCGGCCATCGGGGAAATATTCCTGGCTTCCGGTGGACTCGTACAGACTTGGTGCTACGTACTGCTGCCCGAGACCATATCCATCGACAGTGGTGTCGGGGTGAGGACAAGGCTGCGTGACTAAGCCCGGCTGATGTTCTTGGGCAATGGCTTTCCAGTGTATGTTGGCATCGTGCAAGGCCCGTTCAGCAGCTTCAGGAGAAGGTATGGCAAAGGTAGTGCGATCCTTATCACATTTCTTCCGGATCCTGTCGCATTCTTTCTTGACCTTTTTGACAGTAAAGTCCTCTCTGGCTAGTCTCTTCGGCACGTCGAAGACCACGTCAAAGCCCCGATGTGCCAAAGCAATCGTAACGGACAGCATGGCCATGTAATGCTGTGCGGGGGTCTTTTTGCACTCAAACTTCCATTCGCTCAGTCGATTCTTGATCTGCCTCTCAGTGCAGCTGAACTGTGCCTTGTCAAGATACGCCTTGATCTCTCTGCAAGTCTTGTTATCGTCCAAGTACATGCGCCCAATGGCTGCTTTCCATGCCTCCCATTCCTCCCTCGAATGGCATGGAGTTTTTGGGCTGGACATGATGAGTGAGGGTGTGTGCCTGCTGATACAACATAACAAGTCTTGGAGAACGAAGGTTATCGAGATCTCGCTAGTTCATGTACAGTGGCTGCGACCTCAGCGCGTGCTTGATAGCAATCGTGCTATTTCCCAGGAACACGTGGTGCCTCTGGCAAGGAAAAGCAGCACCATCACTCAGGCAGAAACATTCGTAGAGCTGTTGATTCGCTGGAATACCGAGGCGATCAAGAGTGCCTGACCGAGAAGGGCAGCAAGCCAACCAGGACAGGGCGCACCAAGAGAGGATTGATTGGACAGACGTGGAGTCCACTGGTTGGCGGGGAAGGGAGGGAGGAAGAGGCAAGGCGCAGGAGTCTGGCCGACGGCACGTTGGCCATATCTGGCGACCTGTTGAAAATTGTGACCTGTCCCATTTCCGTTGGATGTGCCGAAATCAACGCCTTCCCCAAAGACGCAGTGCAAGCAAGAGGCTAGTTGGACACAGAGGGAAGAGGGGTAGCGCAAGGACCAGGATTGGTTGTAGCAAGAAACATTTAGGTCTGGACAAAAGGAGCAAAGGCTGAACAGGACGTCAGGTCAGGGTGTGGAGCGACCTAATGAAGCTGCTGTGTAACCATGGCCGATGGGAGACAGGATGCGGCGGCGGAGGAGAGGGTGAAGAAAACGGGCCGTCGCGCATGTGAGTGTGGCCAGGTCCGATCAGTACCAACCGCCGACGTCCAACCCATGCTAGGAGGCAACTGCATGACGAGAAGGGTAAAGAAGGTGGCGGTGAGAACAAGCGAGGTTGATACAAGAAGCAGGGATGGGCAGAATCCGGATGAACCAGAGAGAGGAAAGGGCCAGAGATCAACGGTGTGGTGTAGCCCAGTCAACTAAAAGATATCCAGGAAAGGTGAAAGGTGATAAGCTAGTAATATAGGAGTCTATACGGAGTAAGTCGGTCGGATAAATAGACACTGCAGAAGGGCGACTTCCGCTGGAGCGAGCAGACAGGTTTCTACCTCCTCAGGTTGTTCATGACATGGAAGTCTGAACGGGAGTAAAGAAAATACGAGGATAGCAGATTTAAGGACACTCTCGCGTCTTCCACCCAGAAAATTGACTTCCAGGCCAGGCGCCTGGGGTTTCAGTCGGAAAGGAGATAGGTTGGGGGATAGTCACCTCCTTAGCCCCGCCTAAAGAAGGCATGGAGGGTTCACTAACTTAGGCGGTGCCTTAGCTTGCAATCCATCGAACGCCTGTCCCGCGCTCACACATGGTTCCAACCTCATCACGCACATCCTGCAGCTTACACTTACTCTTAAAGTCTTGCCGTTGTGTCCGGCAACTCTTTCTGTGTTACCCAACCCTCGATTCCTTGGTCGACCTCGCAGTATGCAGTCACTGCGAGGGTGGAGGCTAAATCATCCGGTAGGTGATTTGCACGACCATTTGCTCTTCTCGACAAGAAGGTATAGGATTCACCACATCTCACTAGCCCTTGGACCCGACTACCAGACTCTAGGACCGGAACTCAAACCTATCGAGGCTGACTCCTCATTCCTACGTGTCTGGGTTTGGAAATGTATAGGCGATGGAAGTTGCAGATCGACCCGACTTGATACCCCTTAAGGGTATTCCAAAGTCGAATATCGTGCCGGCTGACGATCACGGTACATCGCTCAGGAATGTTTCCACCACATTGGACACAGAAGATCAGATATCAACGGGCATCTGCCAACAAAGTGTCAATGTTAGGATTGCCAGCCTTTCTCCTCCATATGCGGCGCTTGCCAGAATTCCCTCAGCCGGTCCACCTCTTCCATATCCTGTTGATTCAGCCGGGATTGATCTTGCAGCCTGTGCAACCATGACCTCTTCATGACGATCAAGTACAACGTCTCCTAACGCCCAGTCCCAATCCCAATCCTGATGCCCAGGGACCTACTAATTTGCCCACTTCCCTCAATTTTCGCAACTGCCTAGCATGGCCATGGTCGGGCTTGCAGTGAGGCTAGCTGTACCAATTGATGTTCACGGTTCAGCGCGATCAAAATCCGATCAGGGGGAGCAGCAGAAGTTCCATGGCTCGGGAGATTTGGAGGATGTCACTGCCCCAATTATCGAGAGCTAGTTTTCATGAGTTAAGGACCAAATCCATCGACTCAAGTGTGCGCTTTTTGCAGGGAAAGAAGTGTCTGCTTTCACATGGCCTGCTTCAGATTATTCTAAACATGGACTTTTATGGTCATTCTGTGCTTCGATCCACAATCTCAATGCACCAAGCCGTAATCCCATCGTGTCCAATCTTGGTTCATCAGTGACCTGCGTAAACAATTTTCCACGTGCCTGGAAACAAATCGCTATGACACCCCAGGAAGCGGAGGTGGCTCTTGAGGCTTTGGTGGCGGCCTTGGGGGTGGTGGCTTGGGTTCATCCTTGGGTTTGTCCTTGCCACAGCGGCGACGAACTGCCGCTACGTCCTCATGGATCTCACTCTGGTCGCTGGCACAATTCTTCATGCGTAGCCTGCCATTTCCTACCGTCTAGTCAGACCCCAACACTTTGAGGGGTATGGTGTACAATGTTGTCCTTACCTCCACGGGAACCTAGGGCATCGCCACCTCTGATTTCCGGTTGAGCCATGCGGAGGGTTGAGCCTCCAATTGCTGCGAGCGATGGTCAGCGGGCGTGGTTGCACAACTAAAGGTGACAGAGGCAGATGGTGTCCTGCATAAATGTGGTTGCACAGACCTGTGGCCATTGGCCGAAGCCCGTTCTCCATCTACGATAGAACGTCCTTGTCTTAACCTCGCAGGACGACCGCTGTCGCCATCAAAGAAGGTGAATGATTTTGATGAGAATAAATAATTCCTACCTGTGTAGAAGCAGAGAGAGATCGAAGCAAGATCAAAAAGGCTGGGGGAGGGGATGCAAGTGTTAAAATGGAAGCCATGCCTACCATCAGCCATGACGGCCAAAGCTGAGCGTGCCAACCCGTTGCGACTCCTCTCCAATGCGTCTCGATCGCGGACAGGCTGGCTCCTTGTAAAATCTCATAGCTATGCAAGCTGCGTTCCCATGTTTGTGACTGGATTTCCGCTGCATTAGTATTCGCTTGCGGATCTGGACCAAAAGTGTGGTTTAGCAAGTCAGAGGAGATACACGAGCGAACTCGCGCTCTCATAGCCCCAAGTAAGGGCCCACAACCCGTTGGTATTGGTCGCGGAACCGGAAAGAAACTGAAGATTTTGCAGGTAAACCTTGTTGCTCAGCAATGCGGACTCTGAATGCGCGTCGACTGCATGTGCATCCAGCAGTATTCGACATAGGTTAACAGCATCCCCTTTGGACTGTTCTGCACGAAATTAGGCTGAGGTACATAGCTGCCAGAACCAAGCCTTGATGCTCCGAGCGTTGATTGAACGTTGATTGGCGAACGCACCGACGAACGTAGGACCGGAGATGTTCCTGCGGCGCTTTTGTGGAAAGTCACATGAGCCTGTCCATCTGCAGCTCCAGCTTTTCTGACTTGGAACTCAAACCAACGTCTGAGTGAGTAGGGATTTCGTTAAAGCACATATGCTCGCAGGTCGGAAATGACCAGCGGGTTCGCTGGTCAATGTGCGCATAGTTGGCAGTTGTCGGCGTCTTCAGCGAAAGACAAGGCTGAAGCCTGAGAAATGGTTGCCGAGGGATGTTGTCAAGACTTTCAAAAAGGTCAAGCCAGCTTTCAAGAGGTGATGAAGTCTCGAAAGCCATCAGATGGTCGTCCGGATAGGAGGCATGCTCGATATGATAAAACGACCAATTGGGAGGAGTATCTTGCATGATATCACCACAGCTGGTTGAAGCAGATACCCCGTGATCGGCTTGAATCATGCATTGAAAGTGGTAACGGACCTAGTTGCACATGCTGAGGTCTCGGTGGGAACAGTCTTGTGAGCATGGCGACCTGGGGTCCTGAAACCGACCTCGGAATTCTCGTCAAGTACTGTACCTGTCATCGTTGCTGTACTGGGCAGTTTGTATTCCATTGGCCATGCAGCTGGCCAGCAAGTCAAGACCATGCTGCGGTCTAGGCATCTCTTATGGGGAGCGAGAAGGAATGGGAGCTTCATGAGGAAAGAAGACGCAGGAAACAACGGCGGAGGAGAAGAAGGAGGAGAGGATGTGAAGACGAAATAAAGTTGACAGCAGGGCGATCTTAGGGGGGTCGTGTCTACTCGGGACGGAAGGAAGCGACCGACAGGCGCGTGCCAGGTGCAAAGACGGCTGGACTAACTTAACGATGGACTGGTGTGCATCCTGTCACTGTCTTGTATCCACTAACTTACTGCCATGCATGACACCTGCGCAGTCTCTTCCACTTTGCTAACAAACTCGAGCCTGTACGAGGCCTCGGACTATACACACATAGCAACTCGCCGGCTGGTCTGCGAAGGCGGGCACATTCGCTACGGCACTTGTGTGCAGCCTACCCATCGACGATCCACGCCATCATCATCTTCGTCACCCTTGACGTCTTCGTGGCAGCATTACCCACGCCGCATCAGCACAACTTCCACCTCTTGATCCATCACACCGCAGACCGGGCTTGGTCGACAGGGTTTGACGCCGTTGAGGGCCATACTGACTTCACGAGCAGGCTCTCCTGGTAGAATGCAATTACGAGCTGCTGCTGCAGATGATCACGATGCCTACGACCCCGATGCCCAATCGAACGCCCAAAAGTGCCGCCTTCTGTTCTCCTGGCATCCGCCGACGTACATCCGCGACACGCACTAGAAATATTTAGGTCGCAGCAGCATGAAATCACAGGGTCCGACTGGAAAGCATTGGCTGCCCAACATGTGCTTCATTGGCCGTGTCTCCGCGTTTATGCGGTGCGGCGCTTGGATACCAGTCAAAACGACACTACTGTCCCCATGATCACCCTCCATCGTACTCGAGTGGCTGTCTGCAGCTTCATCCAGAGGGTCAGATGGGAGTTCTGGAAATCCTCTTCCTCGGTATGCACAGCAGACCCTTCGAGACGCTTCGACTGCAAGTCGGTCGCATCCGTTCCAGAAGCTGGCGGTGAAGAAATACATCAGAATAGATGAAGAGGCATCTGGAAATTGCTAATGACTACAAGCAATCACGGCGCTCGATGGCCACGTCAAAGGGGAACATTCTCGTGTACCCAGCAGCGAGCCCCAAAACTGAAGCTCAGAAGGCTTCTACAAGCAATGAAAAGGGAGGTAAGGAGAGCCCCGAATGTCCTGCATATACACCGGTCAGTCACCATGAGACGCATGTTAGCTAATGCATGCACCTTCATCCCCATTGACAAGCCATCAAATGCAACCCGTACTGCTGCTTTCTCTCCCGTGATTGACACGTCACAATTAATTACAATTAATCCGATCACTACGACTTTTGCGTGGGCGCTTGCTGTCTCATGTTGGTCAAGCACACCTTCCCGCCTCGCCAACCTGGTTATTCCTCCCGACAAAGGAGAGCCCCTGTGGGATCACTACCCGGAGTGAGTAGACCTGGGCTTTGAAGGCCATTCTGACAACCTCGACTGCCTCTGCTGCCTGTCTCAACACACGTCACAAATCTGACTTCTTCCCTTCAACTCATATGAATCAATGTTCTACGGTGAATGAATGCCGGCAGGGATCATTTTTGCTCCCATATTTCACACTCCTTTGGCTGTGACGGATTTCCAGCAGGCTATTATCTCAATTCTCCTGGTTTGTACACAGCATGGCGGTCGATGTCCTTTCAGAGATGAGCATCAACTATATGCAAAGCTAATAAACTGATAAGGATGCAATGAGTGCCTACCGTCAACGTCACAATGATGCTACACTTCGTTGCACCACTTCGTCAGCACTTCGCCTGCGCCTGCAGCACCCAACCTCTCCCGCACCGCCCATGCAATCTCATCCAAAGCCACGTCTACCCTGAACATCCTCACCCCTATGCTGTCACCACCTAAAGTGTCTTCGCCGAACTTGCTCCCACCTCCAGCAGCAACCGATCTAGAGACAGGCACAATCATCTCCCACTGTGCCAGATCCTCCCATGCCCCCGTTGCCGTACTCTTGCTCCACTGCCTGAACCCGGCACCTGTCAACGCAGCGCCTTGAGATCGAGCAGACAAGGAGGAACGCTGCAGCCTGGAGCGCTTCAGTAACTCTACGTAATGGTTGTAGACAAGGGCGAAGTTTGCAGCCTCGAAATTGTGAATGGTCTCGAGCCGAGCCGCAGCTATCAAAAGTGACAAATGCAGTGTCGGCAGCTGCGGAAGCACAGTGAAGAGAGAAGGTGAAGAATTGGACATTGTTGTCATCCTGACCATGCCTGCGTTTGCGTCGTTATCATTGGCTGTGGTTCGACCATCGGACTCGTCAGAAACAGAGAGTGTGGCGATAGGTATGTACAAGGCGGCAAGGACGTCAGGAATGGACTTGGTGCTGTAGAAGGTCTTCTTGAGCAGGTCTTGAATGTTAGTCTGAGAGAGGAGTTGAGTCTGCGATATCAACAGTCAGTAACGGTGGCCCTCCCTAGACCTGACAGTGTCGCCATGGACTGACCTTTATGGCTGTATTCCACCTCTGCCTCCACTCAAGGTCATCCTTGGTCACGCCGAGAGCCTCCTTGCCATCAATGGGCATGACCAACGTGTTTACAACTGCATCCTCGAACGCTTTCAAGGTCTTCATGCTCGGTAGGTGCAGCCAACGGTGGCTGAAGCGGCTCTTGACACGTTTCTCCAAACAGTCAACCACGTCCATCCTAGTAGAGCAGCCGATCACCGCGATAGGAGCCTTCCTCGCCTGTGCAATGTCGAAAAGATTGTACAGCAGTGTTTGTCTTGGGTGTGTGGTGAACAAATCGAACTCGTCGAGGACGAAGATGACACTTTTAGCAGTCTTGTTGACTTCTTCATTTTGGTCAACATTGTCGAGCATCATCGCGTTCGGGTCTGTGAACTCTTCCGGGTGTGAGAGCAGGCTGAGCAAACTGGCCATCGTGTCGGCGTAGCTGGTCACTTCGCCTGTCTCGTCCTCGGAGACGGCCATTTCGCGACCAAGTTGCCGCCAAATCTCGCGGAGAGCAAGCTTGTCGTCGGTCTGGAAGAAGCCGTTGAGCCGCACAATGTGGAAGTCGTCGCCGTGGGATCTGCTCAGGTCGGCTAGAGCGTGCGAGATGAGCAGCGACTTGCCGCTGCCTCGGGAGCCTAGTAGAAGTAGGGAGTTGGACTCGCCTGCTGCGACTGTCGCTTCGAGAAGGGAGTGCAGGGTGTCGTACTGGGTTTGTAGATTGGAGATGGCAGGGAGGGATTGATTGGTGATGCGGCTGATGATCTCGGTCTTGATCTTGGTGATATGAGCATCTTCTTGTTCGGGTTGTGATGTTTCTTGATTTCCATCTGTCACAGTCGTCTTGGTGTTATTCCAGGAGAGGATGTCGTCCACATCGGGCGCAGGTTCAATCTCAATCTCGTCATCCTCGTCGTGTATATCGTCCAGAAGCAAACCTGTCCCTGCTTTATTGTCCTTTGAGCCGACCTGCCTCTGGGGCAGGGACCCTTTTGACGGAGAATCTGGCGGTTTGTTCGTGTCCTTTGGCTCCTTGCCCTTGCTCTTGCTCTTGCTCGATGTGTTGATATCCTTGAAACCGAGCTGTTCTTCGATCTGCTGCTCATCTGCATCAAATACCACCGATTTTCGCGGGCTCGTGTTCTTTGCGCGGCCATGCCGAGAGGGCGTTAGGATACCTTTGGGTTGAGGTGAGGGTGCAACTGCTCCGTTGTCCTCGCTTACGTTCTTGGTCTGTCTCGGCTTCGGTTGCGATTTCTGCGACGGCTTTGTCTGTGGTTGAGAGGGCTTTTCCAACAGTTCTGGATCGGGTGAGAACCGTCGAGGCGCTCGTCGTGCCCGTCCGCTTGAGCGCCGTTGCTGAGTGGTGTCCTCGTGCTCATCTTCTTCGTCATCACCGGCTTCATCGATTACTTCCGGAGCAGCAGCCGACTCTAAAGCCTTTTCTACGTTTCCCGTCTCATTCGCCTTTGCACTTTTCCGTGGCTGCCTTCCGTTATTGGTAGTAGATGTAGCATCTGCACTGGTCTCCAATGCTCGGTCTGTAGGCCTTCTCTTTCTGATGCTGCTGCTTCTTGACGCAGTCTTTGCCGCTTCGGTGTCTTCCCTTCTGTCGGTCGTATCTTCTCCGAATCTGACTGCTTGTTCTGCTGCAGTATTTCGATTCTCGGTGCTGTTTTGTGCAACGCCGAGGGTGGTATCTTCTTCGTCTGCAGTGTTTACGGTCCTCCGTCTTGTTGCGTAGGTCCCAGTTCTCCTTCGCTTTGAGGGTGGTTCGAAGGCATCCATGTAGGCCAACAGAGTCAGTAATGTCACCTCAACACGAGCTTCATACAGTGCTATTGGTCTCAGCCCGCTCAGTGGTCTTAGGCTGGCGAGGCTTTCAATGTCAATGCAAGCACTTTACGCGACGCGTCGGCAAACTTTCCCTCCGAAAACCGCGTCTGTTTCTGTTTCCGGAAAAGGTGGCATCGTCTGACATGAAGTACATGGACGATATATGTTCAACGTCGAGCAAGTTCGCAGAGGCGCGTGCCATCACTCCGACCCAGTAGACTTGTATACTAGAGCTGACGCCTTCCACCTGATAGAAACTAACACTATCTCGGTGTGGGCTAAGGACTCTCGGATAACAACAAAGAGGGGAAGCTCTTAGACTCTCTTCAAAGCCCACTCGCTTCCTGTTCACACCCTTCTGCACGGGTCTAATCTAACAACTGGTGAAGTAAGCAGCTTTTCGTGATCGGGATCAATGGACGATCATGCATCCGCAAGCCATGGAGTCCTGACACCCACATCCGGCACCTGGCTCTGGTGCGGTTCCAGCATCTTTGACAGCAACAACCACCCATGGATCTTGACAGAGAAGTTAGTGTCGTACTGCGGTCGAAGTTGTGAAGGGGTCCTTACAGTCATAGTCTTCACACATTTTCATGCAGAGAATATCCCATTTCCGCGACTCAATGCTCTTGATGTTGGACAGATTATCGGTGTTTGGTGTGCAATCTCGAAGAATCATTGCATCCCAGGGATGCAGTGCACAGGTGTGGGCTGGACCTTTGAATATGCGGATGTTGGCAGGACGTGTCGAGAGGTAACCCCAGTTGAATCCCGAACCAGGAGTTCCCGAGATATTGACATTGACTGCAAGTGGTCAAAAGGATGCTCGATATCGGTGTGAGTTTACTTACCAGTCACAGAAGCCCAATGGATAGCTGGCGAAGTGGTGATGCCGTAGCCATACAGGTGTCCTCCCGCAGAGCGCACCAACTCTTTGCACGTTTCGTCGTTTTCGACGGTCCAGTTTGTCTGATGGAATAGTAAGTGAGCGCTAGATGAAAGGAGGCGAACGGTGTGTGATGTCAAACGCACCATGTCGAACTTCTCTCCAGCTTTCATGTGATACTACATGACAGGAGTTAGATAAGAAGCTGGTGGGAACTTCCTTCAACTCACGATCTTGCGAAGATAGCTTCCTCGGTTGTAATCCAGAAAGGATACACTCTCTGCATCAAGCAAATCCTTGTCCCTTTTCTCAATTGGTCCTTCACCCAGCCAATCACCGGGCTTCATTCTCAACAGACAACGCGCATGGGTGGCTTTTGAGTATAGCTGGGTCATCGTGATGAATAGAATGATGTTGGAGTAAGACGTGGTAAGGTGTGAAGAGAAGATGAAGTAATGGATCTTGAAAGGAGGATATTTTGCGACAGTTGGTCACGGTGGTCACCAGAGTCAGCAATGAGTCTGGCAGACGATACGGTGTGGATGTCTCGAAGGATATGATGTGAAGTTGAATTGATTGATTGATTGTGGATTTGACCTTGAAAGAGTTTGATGGATTGTGAACTGGACTTAGGGAGTTTCTCTGGGCGGTGAATCGCAAAACGCAGGCAGAAACGCATCTGCATTTGGCCAACGTTTGCACATTTGAATTGACTCAGTCTCTGCGAAACACCCGTGGATGCAAAGACGGAATTTGCATGAAAACAAGCTGCCATTCGGTTTCACGGTGACCATCTGTTCGTTCTCTCGGCCAGTGACCAATGCCTCTCCGGCTCATCTTTGGCTTCTCAAACAGCTTCTCTTGCTTGTTGTTACCAGTATGTCCAGGGAAGTTCAGCCAGTGACTTGATCCAAGTTCATACGTACATTGAGATGAGCCATGAAACAGGTACCTACCTTGAATTGTGTGACGAATTCCCATCCTGACTTGCAACTTACTCTTACTCTTCCTGAGACGCTTGCTCAACCTCAACATCCGAGACATTGACCCTGCAAACCTCATCCGATCCAGCACAGAGTCGACGGCATGTTCAGAATATGGTCGTCGCCGATCATCCAAGGTCTCTTTCTTTTCATTGACGTGGTCCTTGCCGTCGTTGTCATGGCCACACCATGCTTACTTGCCGAGATCCTGTCGGATGGCAGTATTAGGGCCGATACAAGCGAGAGGACGACTAATATAGCACAATATTTCTGTTCCAAGGCTGAAGATTGCTGTATGAAGGAGTAGCAAGATCCACAACGCCGAGTCCTGACTTCTCCAAAAGGGTTTTCCGGCCATCAATCACTGTGTGCAATTAAAGCAAGCGATGACTAAGCCAACACTGACCCTGGCGACGCTGCTGCTGTGGCTCCTGCTCGATGTAAATTGCAGCCGCAGCTGGACTTCAGCCGCACCCAGAGAAGGTAAGACTTCACCGCCAACGCGAGTAATGCCCGAAACGACTTCCTGAATCACTCGGGTCCGGTGCCTTACATAAAGGTTGGCATTCAGGAGGACCTAATCGGACACATCCCAACCTACCTCCGACCATGAGCTGCATCTTCTTCTGAAGGTGTTGTCCGGTTGATGCACGACGCAGCTCGCCACAATGAAGAGCATGGCAAGAACAGTTGAGTGTGACGATTCAGCTATCTGCTGGAAGCCTACGAGCAGGGGTGTCTCGTGTTGTTTCTCCAAAATATTGCGGTGACAGCTAATTGATTCTGAGACTTTTGTTCCAAAGTTCTTCATATGACTGAGAAGTCTGTCAGTGGAGTTTTATGGCTTTCGCAATGGCTTGCGTGGAGATGCGATGTGTACAACAAATGCCTCGCGTAAATGTGGTCGACTTACAGGGCGCTCTCTTATTGTCTGGGCCTTTTGTGCTCCTTTCCTCCTTTTCGGATGGTCAAGGGTCTGGAGCACTGGCGTCACGAGTCCTTCCCCTCGAAGCTGGGGCAATCGCAAGCCACTTAAATGGAGCGAGCTAAAGACTCTGCTGCCCACGACCTGTTTCAAGTGAGCCTGGTCGACTCAGCTTGATTAATGTTGTTGCCACCGAAATTAATCCTTACACCCTCATACTAATTGTGGCAGAAAACGAGTAAGGCTCCAAGTAAGAGCCACGCCTCAAGCCACCAAATCGACCATTATGGGGGCTCGCCATAGTCGAAAACTCTGGTCGCACTGCAAATGCTATGGCGACTCGATGGACCGCTGCTCAGCTTGCGAAACTGCAGCCAGGAAGCCAGCTCGCCCCCAGGACTTGGTCACTGTGATGGGTTTCTCGCTGCCGTTAATCAATCAGACTTGGCACAACAGTCGCCATGCTCTTGCGGACGAAGTCGGATACCTATCTCGAACCTGGCGTAGATGCATGACTTCAGCTGTCCGCATCTGCAAGCGCTGATGTATGCAACCTCGTTGCTTCGGTCGATATGTCCATCGCTAGGGGTTGCCGCTGAAAAGAATAGTCCGATAAGCTTGCAAAAGGTGGCATGAATTGCTCAATCCGTCTTGCTCTGGCTCTGCCCGACTGTGTGTCTTTGGCTTGCTCGGCTACAGGTCACAAGGTCAAGAACCATGGGAAAGTGTTGCAATTGTACCGTTACTTGACAAGTCAGCTTAGCCACTGGAATGTCTGTAATGACTGCTGACTCATATGGATCGGTATGAAACTATAAGTATGGCATCTTCCTCCTCGAAGAATACCATGCAAGAAATCGATCGAACAGTCCTCAAAGCCTCAAGAAAGTCCTTGTTTCATATCATTATCACGGCTCACACTTCAAAGGATCACTTCACTATCTTACAGCTAACGTTTGCTCACCACAATGGCACTCAAATTCCAACCTGCTCGGCAGATCGATGGGCAAAGTACGAGCACTCCGGCTTTGGTCGCGCACGGTACCAAGTTGGACATGGTGTACTCCGACTCACACAGCTCACAGATGTGGTTTACAGCATCGAAAAACAGATTCGACGGCTGGGACTGGTTGAAAGCTCAGCAGATACCAGGTCAACACACATCGATCCCCGCTCTGACTGTGTTCAACGATACATTGTTCATGGTGTACAGTGACGCAAACAGTAGCCAGCTCTGGGTATCTTATTTTGATGATCCCGAATGGTCAGATGCACAGCAGATTCCTGGACAAGGGACCAGTGTTCCCGCTATCGTCGCTTACCAAGATTACTTGTTCCTGGTGTACACGGACAGCAGTAGTTCTCAATTATGGCAGAGCCAAGGAGTCCAAAATGATGATGGTTCCATGAAATGGTCCAACACAAAGCACATCGAGGGGCAGCACACCAGTATCCCCGCGATCACGGTCTTCAATGGCCGCGTGTTGATGGTATACTCAGATGCCAATAGTGCTCAACTCTGGACCACCCAGTACGATGGGACAAATTGGTCCACGCCTTCGCAAATTCCAGGGCAGAGTACATCCGTTCCGGCACTCACCGTCGTGAAAGAATACGTCGTTATGGTATACAGTGGTGCTCATGACTCACAATTTTGGGTCACAATATCTCTTGACGGGGTCAATTGGCAAAACCCCAGGCAAATCGATGGCCAGCACGGATCTATTCCGGCTCTCGCTACACTGGAAGACACTGTCTGGATGACATATTCGGATGCAAATTCGTCTCAGCTCTGGGTGACCAGCGCCCAGCTGGCATGACTGACAGCAGAGCGCATCCTTTGGCCTCGCTCATGTGGAGGCAGAGTCGAACCTGGGCCAGTAGGTTGTCAAGACGGGGTGCTCTGTGGGCAACAAATACCACCTGGACTGTGACGGAACGAGGAATGGTGGAATAATAGCGGGTAAGATCGGTCGTTCAGACAGCCCCTGTCTCTCACTCAGTCGGTTGTCACTGCTCCGGTATAGCGCTCCCTCCAGCGAAGGAACAAGGATGGCAAGGCTGCACATTCATGGGTTACAAAGATACTTTTCACATGTCCCCAGCAATAACCAAGTAGTAATCGTGCTTCAATCATTGTTCTCGTCTTCATAACAGCATGACAGTACGACTAAAGAGGTAACTACGGTATGTGCTGAGTGGTGGAATGAAAGTGTCTTTTCGGATTCCCAAGGTTGGGAGTATGCGATGTCTGTGGTATGACCATGTCCAATGCCACACTTGAGGCTTCCTCACCAGAGGACTCATTCAGCACCCCCATGGCCATGGCCTTACATATCCCATCCGCCCGCCCACCTCGCTCGCTCGTCCTCCAATGTACTGCGTATCACATTTCAGCGACGCAGTTGGCTCCTGACCACTACATATTATTTCTGCGGCATTACTCCGTACATTCCTCTCATCCTCGGCAAATCTTACGCACACTCACAACGCCACGCCAGCTTGGGCTTACGGCATGTCTGCTATTCCTCCATTTGCGGGGGCGGCGACCCCAACAATCGGATGAGGGCACTACCACTCATGGGTCAAAAGGATTGATCATAAACTTCCCTCCACACCCCGGACAATATTTACCTCCAATCACTGATCTTGGATGGAATCAGTCTGGCCGTCTACCTAGGTCTACCACGGCCAAATATTCGGGGCTTCTGTTCAACTGACGGTGTGGCTTGTCCATAGTCTGGAGGGGTGGCCTACCACTCCGGTCTCCCCTCCTAGCCCAAGCATGAGATGGTCGAGCTCTTTTCCTCTACGAAGCTGCCTTCTCTTTTCTTCGGCAGGGATGCTTCTCTTAGCGTCCATTCGCTCCGCTACATACTCTCAACGTACATACCTGTCACGACTTGTGCGTCTCGATGCTGGTCGACAGCAAACGTGCAGGGCGCCTTTGAGACGGACGAAGCAACTACCTAGAGTTGTTCACCTCGACGGCAATGAGTGATGCGACCGAGACCAATTCCAGTCATGGTGCGGCCGAGCAGCGCAGACCCTCACTCAACAAGCCGCATCCCTCTGAATTCCTCGAATTCGTCACGATCCCCAACGCGAGTCCGCATCGCCTACAGCCTTTAAAGGCCGATGCCGACCAGACCCTCAATAGGAATTCCATTCGGAGTCCTGTCAATATCACTCATTCTGACGATGACATATTCGCTGGTATCTCTGCGGCCATACCAACCCTGCGCCAATTCTCCGTCGACGCCCGTGCGGCCACAAAAGCAGAGCATCGGATGACTTTCATAAACGGAGTGCAACTGTATCCAAGAGCGCTCGGCTTCTCTGTCTTGCTCAGCATGACCATAGTGATGGAGGGTTTCGATCTCACCTTGATCAATAGCTTTTATGCTTTCCCAGTCTTCCGTCGCTCTTACGGCGCCGCTGTTCACCCGGGTACCACACAACAGACAGATTATCAGATATCACCGGCGTGGCAATCCGGCCTTACCAATGCTGCTGTCGCCGGCGAAATCCTGGGACTGCTATTCAATGGCTTTCTGACCGACAGGTTCGGCTACCACAAAACAATGGTGGGCACATTGATTTGGATGTCTCTCTTTGTCTTCCTTGCATTCTTCGCTGTGAACATTAGGATGTTGCTTGCCGCTCAAATTCTCTGTGGCCTGCCTTGGGGAATCTTTCAGGTTCGAACGCCCCAGACATGATACGACAGAAATCTGGAACTAACGTGCCGTCGCAGACACTCTCGACGACATACGCTGCCGAAGTCATGCCAGTCGCGCTAAGGGCCTACCTGACCAGCAATGTCAACCTATGCTGGCTCATTGGGCAGATTCTGGGGGTCTCGGTCATTCGAGGCCTGGTCCACAACACCTCAGAGTGGTCTTACCGCATCCCCTTTGGGCTGGAATGGGCATTTGCGGTGCCAATCCTTATTGGTGTCTTCTTTGCGCCCGAGAGCCCGTGGTGGCTGGTAAGACATGGGAAGATTGCCGAGGCGAAGAACTCACTTTTGCGGCTGACCACGAAAAGAGCCGACGCGGACTTCAATGCAGATGAAACACTTGCCATGATGCAGCACACGAATGAAGTGGAAAAGTATCTTAGCGGTGGCGGTGTCTCCTACCTTGACTGCTTCAAGGGGACGGATCTCCGGCGCACAGAAATCTGCTGCATGGTATGGGTGACCCAGGCCTTGTGTGGAAGCGCCATGACAGGATATGCGGCATACTTCTACGAACAGGCGGGCTTCAACACGGCAAACAGCTTCACACTGGCAGTCGGAATGTACGCCGGTGCAATTTGCGCCGGCATCCTGTCGTGGGTCGGGATGCGACGGTTCGGTCGACGAAGCCTGTATCTCGGAGGTCTGGTTATCTCACTCATCATTCTTACCGCGACCGGGATCGTGGGCAGTCTACCAGAGACCAACACCACGTCCTGGACGCTAGGTTCATTACTCATTGTCCTGACGTTCGTTTACGATTTCACCGTCGGGCCAGTATGCTACGTGCTTGTCGCCGAGATCCCGTCCACGAGACTGCGCGTCAAGACCGTCGTCCTCGCTCGCGTCGCCTACAACATCGTCAGCCTAGTCACGAATGTCATCACGCCTCGGATGCTGAACCCCGCTGCGTGGGACTGGAAAGGCAAGTCGTGCTTTTTGTTTGCCGGCACGACGCTCGTATGTTTAGTATGGTGTTGGTTTCGATTACCTGAGCCCTTTGGCTTGACGTACATGGAATTGGATATTCTGTTTGAGAAAAAGGCAAAGGCCCGCAAATTCAAGGAGTTCCAAGCCAATCTTGCGCAGACAGGGTATTTCAGTCTGACAGTCGGCAGGAACGACAGTACTGCGTGGAGGATGCCGCGATGAGACTTTCCGTTCCTGCTTGTCACTACGATCTTCCTGTAGAAGAAAAAGACCCATCTACTCGGACTTTGCTTTTGACCGCCTTCCTCAACGAAGGCTTTTGCGTGTCGTGTACATAACAGCGATCGTCAGGGGCAAATCGTGAAACACACAATCGCGAATCGATGGCTCGTTTCTTCACGTGGCAGACACCCAGTGAGGTTTTCCGTCCGTACCTGCATACGTTGTCGTTCTGAGACATCAGAAAAGGCCAAGGACAAATGCGCGTACACATTTATGAGCCAATCTTGATGTCTTACACGATCTGAGGTGGAGTGACCGAGCTGCACAGGACTGGACTTGACATGAACCATTGAACCCCTTTTCTCGGAGGGCGTACGTACGCAACGCGCGAAGTGGATGCGCCACGCAAGAACAAAGCATACAGAGTAGAACCATGTTTGAACCTAAATTGAACGTTCGCGTTGAATCCAACCATAATGCGTGCCGTGCACAGCATTTCATCGAAGATTTGGCGAAGTAGCGGCCGAAGAATGTACGTGAGTAAGGGATCTGTACAGGTTGCTACTTCGCAATCAAGATTCGCGAAGGATCTCATGATCCTGAACCCCTGACTCGTCACACACGAGGCTGAACGAGGCTGCGTGTGGATACTGGGAATTGGAGCATCTCTCCTGAATATCTGTGGGTCGTAGTTGAGGAGTATACCACAAGGATGTAGTGTGTATACAAGCAATTCGTATTGGATACTACCATGAGAAAGAGATCTTTGTAATTTGTAAAATGTGTAATAGCCATATTGATTGCGTTAGCCTCAATTTTTCTTTTGCTTCTATCTATGTGAAAGTTAAACTCAAGTTTTGGTGGTTTTGGTGACAGCGAATGTATCAGTAAGCATGCAAAGATGATACTGTGTCTCGCCTCCACGCCAGCAATCAGCAGCTCAACCATGTGCCGTAAAATCAATGTTTTCGTCCCCTGCTGGAGTAATTTTGTCGCCCGTGAACATACCCAGTTCATCGAAGGTGCAATGCAAACCCGATGTCGGTGATGGAGTGCAAAACCCCGTCACCCAAACCCCGAACGCAGCCCATGCATAAAAACGATAACACAATCAATAAACCTGCCTCCGTTCAAGTCAACAGCAAGCATTCACGATCTTTCCCGAGCCGCCTTTTCGTACCCATAAGTCACTGACCGCCGTCCGGTGCGAGGAACTTTGCCACCATAAGAAAACCACCCCTCATGTTGTCGAAGCAAACAATACGATATCAGTCGTCCACCCCAATGCAGGAATTAAGTAGAGTCCCACCGTCTATGTTCAAGTAATGCGTGACCACGACGATCATCAGCAAAGCCAGTCCGTGAAATGTACGGGCCCACCATGAAAATGCAAAAAAAGACGCGCCATTCCATGCAAAGATATAATGTTTTTCGGGAGCTCTTGCCGCATTGTGACACTGGATCTCGGGTCAACGACCGTCGCTCCACAGAGTTCCAGTATCAATGATAAGCAGGTTGAGAATGTTCAATAGTCGGTACAAAACCGTCGGAAATCATGTGCAAAGGTCGAAACAGCTTCCTCATGTCCAGCACTTGGGTTGCCGTGGCATGTTGGTCTTCAATGTCAGCGACGCTTCCTGGGTCTTCGCCTCTTCTAGCACCATCACTTCGACTCCATTCTCGTGCCTTTTTGAGACCATGAAGAGTTTGCTGCAGTCGGCTGTCGGCGGGCAATTGCCAATCGTGCAGCCGGTTAGGTTGCATGAAAGCACGTGCGAGCCAGTAGAAATGTACGCCATCACGACAAAAGCCCACCCGCTTTGGAGTCTGTTGAGTGCCATCGTCTGTCGGGTACTGCAAGGCGAGATCGGCGTCCCACGACTGTTTCCAACGGTCCAGGGCCATGTTGATTGAGTTGTACATGCTTGCAGTCTGGCTTGTTGATGGATTGTTGAAGGAGTGCTGACGCTGGATCTGCCATATTTCAACGTGAAGTGCGTGAATCAGAATAAACTTGGAGTAGATGTTGGTGGTCCTTGGCTGCATGAGCACCGACATGCTATGTAGAGCACTCATTGCATGATGGGTCTCCAATTGCTTCAGCCGCTGTGATCCAGTAAGATTGATCCTTGACTGTGCCACAGGACCTCGAAGACCCAAAGCTTGCGCACAAGACTCTGCATCCGGAGCGTCCCAGGCAGCATCGTCACAAGGGAGCGGTAACTTGATTTCAGCCGAAGAAAATTGCGGAGACTCGTTGAAATAGATACACATGGCGGCGTCCCAGAGAAAGACCATGAACATTAGTCTGGACCGCTTTTCCTGTTCTATCCACGACCGCCAGTCCCAACGCGAAGGGTCGGCTTCTTCACCGGGTTGAAGGCTGTGGAGATAGCTGTAACCGACCGGGTCTTCTGAACCAGCCAGAGTCAACATGTCGAATTGTCGGACCAGGTACATGACTCTTTTACTTTCAGCACGCGCAAGAGCTCGCTCATCAGGACCACCATGCCAGACGAGCAGAGTTTGAAGTATTGTTAGCGCCAGCAGCTCTTCGTATTCTATTTTGGACGGTGAAAAGTGCGGTTGTGGGATCCCTAGCTCCAAGTTTTTGAGGATTTTTGAGGTTCGTTCGATGCCACTTCTTACAAGTTGCATCAGCAGCCGCACCTGATCTTGAGAAACGTGATCAGAATACACTGCGCCGCTGCAGATAATGACGAGGACGAGGCCGTCGTAGGCGGTAGCAAAATCAAACGTCGGTACATGCAGCCATGGGAAATGGCCAAGGAAATTCGGGAATAGATCGAGAAAGTGTTGTATGGCATCGACGGTCAGGCAGGATTGGACATCGAGGTTATTTTGTTGCTCTTGGAGCGATTCCTGTATTCCACCAGGGAAAACAAACGTTAATAAGGCGTTCACCTTGGCTTGGAACACATCTTGCTGAGATGCATGCAGGTTCCAGAGAGGGGGGCCAAGCGTACCGTCAGCTCCAAGGCTCGTAGAGGGAATGTAATAACCATTCGATCCACCTTCATGAGATTCATACTCCTTTTTCACGTCACCCTGTGACTGATCGTAACCTCCAAACATGGGGTTCATGTATCCCTCATTGCCACCGGGTTGAAACATGTGGTTCCACTCATCTCCCATGTGGTGCGTGCCAGGCATGACGTTGCGCTTGTCGTCCCCTCCGCCGGGCTGCATGCCGAAGTGATCTGGGGGTGTAGATGTCGAGTGATACATCATCTGGTTGTTTCTAGAGTTGTGCATGGACCATGAGTTATTGGCGTTGGGGTCCATACCGCCAGGTCCAGAGGCGCCTTGCATGGGCTGTCCCTGGCGTTGCATGTCACCCTGGCCGTTGGACTGCATACCGTACGACATACCTGGCGCTGGAGCAGTGGTTGTTGGTGCGGAGGTGCTCGGCATAGCAGCTGTGGTGTAGGGAGGGTTGTTCATGACACCACTGGTAGGTGTGGTTGCGCTTGCTGGCGACTGGTTCGCAGCAGCGGCGGCTTTGGCAGCAGCTTGCTGGGACTTCTTCAGATGAGCGGCCGGATTGGAAAGATGGCTTGCTCCGGTGGGATTGCCGCGACGGACCGAGCACTTTTGGAAGTGTCGCTTGAGAATGTCGCTCCGAGAGAACGTATCATTGCAAAGAACACACATGTATGGTCGGTCACCGGTGTCTGGATACAAAGTTAGCTTAGTCATGCGGGTGGAACCAGGAGGAGCTCATACGTCTCAACATGTGGCGCTTCAAGTGTTTTGCGTGGAGATAAGTCTTTGTGCAATTGGGACAAGGGAATTTGCCGTCAGCGTCCTTTTGAGGCACCGCGTTGCTCTTGGGAGAGCCATTAACTCCATTAGCCATGACTGGAGGACGTCCGGGCGCACTGGGCAAGATGCCTCTCCGACCTTGAGATCCCACAACGTGTGTTCTTGTGGGGTCACGACCAACGTCAGTCGCCATACTCGGCATGCTCTCAGCACCGGACCATGGCTGCTGACGGTTGTCGGGTTGAGGATAGCCAGGTGCGAGAGAGTCAAGGTTCGGCCGAGGTGGAGCAGGAGCCAGAGGCTGAGGATAGTTCTGACGAGCGGGTTGCTGCTGTTGCTGATAACCTTGATGCGCCGGCTGCTGTTGCTGCTGCTGCGGTGGTGGGGCCTGTTGTTGCGACTGGTGAGGCGATGGCAACATGGACGTGGGGGGCAAGCCGCCCATAGATCCTTGCTGGGTCATTTGGGGATTGTATCTATTGTCAGGAGCAGGTGATGGAATCGGCGCAGTTGATGGAGCAGATGTGTACCGCGGCAGATCGTTGCGATACTGCTGAGGCATATAGTTTTGGTTTGCAGGTGGAAGCTGCGAGTAGTTGATCGGCGGCAGATGGGTGTTGTTCTGGTACTGGGGCATGTAGCCTGATGCCATACTATTGGGATTGTATCCGGCCTGCGGTGTTCCAATACCGGACGAGGTTGTCCTTGACAAAGACTGCCTAGGGTCCATAACCAGTGATGATAGCTCTTTGTGGAGTCGCGGACCTCAATCGACCATTGGACGACCAAGAGAAGCGACAGAGATGATTATGAGTATGGTCTTTTGTATGGATCTCGACCGATGAGGAGCGGGTCGATGGTGTTGGTAGTGATAAGATGGTCTCACAGTAAGGACAGGACAGGTTGAAATTTTTCGGTAAAGGTTTGGCAGCGAAGCGGAAGCAATGGGCGTCTGCAAGGTGCACAGCCAAAGCCACGGATTAGCAAATGGTCTAGCTTCTGCAATGAATGGTTCGCAGTTCTCTTTCCAAGACACGCGACAGGTGGTTGCGGCTGAGGCTGAGGGAAGGATATTGCAGGGTACTGGGTGAGATAGTGGAGGAAGAAGAGGGGTGGATGCGTGGGAAGGTGTTGGTTGTGTGTGCCACTGTTTTTTCTAAACGCGCAAAGAGAACCAGTATAGATGAGGGTCACTGACTGGGTCCTGTTTTTAGCCTGTCCGACACTCGTATGTAGGTGGTTAGGGGAAAGGTCGACCTGCTGGGTCCTGACGCGGGAGGTGGGAAGGTTTTGTCTTGGGTAGAGGTGAATTATGGGTTGGGGGTCGAGGGTGGGTGGACTCTTTTGGATGTGGGCTGGCTGCGGTTGATGGTTATTACTGCCGGTCCGGAAAGGCTGATGATTTGATGAGTGGTGATGATATTTACCGGTTACTCTCGATAGTGAGAGGGATTTTTCGCGCTTAGAGTCCCGAAGAAGGATGAAAGAGGAAAGAAAGAGATTTCTGGTTGAGACAACAGAAAAAAGGGCTTCTCCGATCTGAATTGCTACCAAGCAGAAGAAGAGTAGGAGAAAGAGATTTGATTCGGGGAAATCAAGAGCGAGTTCACGAACCAACGGAGGGTAACTCTCTTTCCAGTCGCTGATGATGATTTCAGGCAGGAAAGACGAGGGAAAAAAGAGACGGCGCAAGGCGAGAGACAGCCTTTGGCTTTGGCTTTTGCACCGTGACAGTCAGTGCGTCGGCCGCTGTGACGGTAGGAATCCACCTTTAGGTGCCCACCCTTGTCGAAAATCGTCCAACCATGCCTAGGGCCCATAATTTGTCGATCGGGAGGGCGCTGGTGGCGCTGCCAAGGGGCCAAGATGCACACGTAGACCCCTGCCAGAACCAAACACCTACGCAACCGCGCTCAACCCAGAGCCCGGCAGATACACGGATTGTGACCCTCCTTTTTCCTGTTATTGTGTGGATATGGTATCTCGAGTCAAGACTCAACAACGGAGGTACATGGTCCAGGCTGACCATATCACGCCTTGTACAAATCTCGAAAAGTAATCCGAGTGGCAACATGCAGATGCAACTATCTAATCTTTTCCACGAGTCAAGCAATGACGACGAGGCGAGAAGAATAGCCTACGCACCCCAGGAATCCATGTGTGTATGTCGACTGTCATGACGGGCGGCGGCCACCAAAGAAAGGTAAAACTCTGCAACGTAACTTGGATGGGCGGCCAGCCGACCGACCGAACGGACTCGGAGCCAACGACAGCTGAAAGCCAAATTGGGTAAATTTTCTGAATCATGTCAGTACCGGTATTCACCGTTGACAGAAAGCCAGATCAAGTCGAGTCAGACATATCGTCCGATTACTATGATCATGTTTCTGTTGAATGTTTCCTCAGCAGAACAATCCTCCTAGACGCATGTCTTCTACTGACGCGTGGTTCTATGCACAACAGACCTCGCGGCGTCCAAGACCATACAATGGCACAGTTCTGATCAAGTGAGATGTGTGCAAAAAAGGCTTTTGCCGCCGGAAAAAGAAGACTAGTCGGATGCGAGAAGGAGTACGTCGTAGTAAGGAATAAGCAGGGATTAGTAGTTTTCTGAAACCACTGAAAGACTAATGGAAAATTTACAAAGACACAGGATAATCAGGCCATGTACATTGCCCATCGATCTTGCTTTGTTTGAACGAGTCAGGGGAAGACAGTACCTGGTCGAGAATCTCAGCGTATTAGTTTTGCTGTTGATGAAAGCTGAACCCCTGAAAAAACAAAGTCGAGCACCCGAATTGGTGGTTTCAAATTCAACAGACATCTGATCTACAACGAATACTTCCTTCTGGCCGCAGTTCACCGCAGTCTACGCGATCCTCGCGGAGTATTTCTTCAAGGCTTGTGACAGTGGAGTCCTTCTCCGGAACTGCAAGGCTGCGAGTCGGAAGGCGAGACCTTGGCCTCTGGGACTCTGGGAGACGTGTTTCACTTGGAGCACAAACCGACGCGTGACCGTTACTGAAATGACCTTGTTGGTCTCACTGCACGTGCCTGAATCACGGTACTTGCCACGAATGATTTACAGGTCTGGTAAGAATTGATCAAAGCAAGCGAATTTCAAAGAAGTTCGATAGCCCCATTGTTGTTGTTCTAGGGGATGTCCGGTTCATCTCGGTTGCTGCAAAAAGAGATGGAAATGACAAACAAATCATACGAGGCTGCCCAAAGGAGCAATACCGCCGTGGGGTCTTCCGTACCAGGTATGTTGTCTTTCAATTGAGATCAGTTGCCGCCACCCCCGATACCGAAGCTCACCCGCCACAGGCTGCGTGAGATGATAACTTGGATGCAACCTGACTCAGACCGAGCCATTGGTTTCTAACCGTTCCGAAACTAGAAGGAATTAAAAAATGCCTTTTTCTTATTTCTGTTGGTCAACTTGGCCACGTATCGTTCCCCGAGACGAGACCGATGCGCGTCTGCTGCGCTGACCGGACACTAATCGTCATGATTTAGTCAGTCTCCTAGGCCCAAGACGGACATCTTCGCAGCACGTCAATTTCGAACCGAACTGCACTCTGGAAACTTACGAGACCTCCATGTGACGGTGATCTTTTATGTTGCGTTGCATGCGCCCCGGCCATGCACAAATGTGTTGCACATATGAACGAGGCTCGACGTTGTTATGCTTCTTGCCTTTGAAGCCTGCCATCTCTTTACCACAGGAAACCGGCCTGGCTACGCGGCAGTAATCTCTACTCCTTCCGGCAAGCGTACAGTGAGGCACTGTCGGCTTCCAGTCATGAAATCATGAGTCGTGACCGGGTGCCCAACGAAATCCCCCGGATTCATAATTCAGAGCTCCCAACATTCGTTGCTTCGTCGGCCCGGGTTCAAGCAGAAGCAGGTAATGATCATCAGCCCCAATGCACACTGTGCGTCTATCATTTCTTTGGTCGCCTGAAGCATCCATTGGGGTCAAGGACCTGCTTGCATAATAATGGTGGCATGGGTGTGTGTAGCAGAGACCTCTATGCATCGAAATGATGGATAGAGGTGGTACATGTCGGTGAAGAGAGATATGGACTCCAACCCACGTTAGGTACCAGCTCCGCTATTTCCACGTGTTGGGCGGTGCACAAACTGCAAGGCACTGTCCGTGGCTCCCTTTTTGACAGACCCGCCAACTGACGCCCGTGGAATACCGAATACGAGGTTCAGGAATTTTTTTAAGTCACGGAGGACCACATCACAACTAACGTTAAGGCACGTGGATGCTTTTCTGAACCACCATAACGATCGAGTGCATTGTTCAGTATGTGTTACACAAGGAGCGCCCGTTGAGTCGCCCAAATGAAGGTATTTGCAAGACTAACAGGTAATCATAAGACAGCCGGATATCCACGGCGGATATACGCGGTCTTACAGATACAGTCTTTCCATCATGCCATGCTCGAGCTTGAAAGGAAGGTTGAATCAAAGAACTCGAGGCTCTCATGGACGTCATTGACAGCACACTTTGACTTTCGAAGTTCAGCGACTCATTTCCAGCTTCTTGCACCCTGACACGATGTTGTCGGATCATCGGCATAGATACTTGGCATCATTGTTGAGCTCATGCATACGGTGTGCAACAGCCTTTCGACGTGGACAGAATGCTATGCAGATGATAACAGACCACGACAGTCCGATTGAGCGACACACCAGCAATCCCTAGCATCATCTGCCAAGCGTCAGCGACCTGCGCACTGGCAGTCTTTGCCCTTCTGCTTTTTGCCCCAGGCGTTGCACAGGCCTGCGCTCTCAATTAGGGAGGTCTTCCCTAGCCGTGCACCGTGCTCTGCCAGGACATGAGAAATCTGCAACTGCTTGTTGGTGATTTGTTCTGCGAAAGATGGTCGCCGTCAAATCTCCGAGGTCGGTATAGGAATTAATTCTTGACCAAACATAAAAGTGTTTTAGGCAGTCGACAGAGAGCATGCACATGTGCCGACGAAAAACTCAGGAGACCCCTTGGCTGTCTCAACAAACGCCATAAGTTACTCGGACGTGCCGCGGCCATGCGGTGTGCCAGCCTCCGAGAGACAGCAAGCACGAGCAAGCCACCTCCTTCATACCGTAACCTTCTAAAGCAACCTCCAAAGGTCAAATCCATCTGAGTTCAAGCCTCGTCAAGCCACGCCTGAGTCCACATTTGTTTCCCAGATTTCGTTCTAGAAAAATTCCCCTGTCCATGGATTTTGTTCCCGTCCTTTGGGACTGATCCATTATTTCTCACGCGTGCTCACAGACTCACGCCCACTTGACTTCCTGATCAGGTGGTGCACGGTGCCATACCCAATAATTGACTTTGGCTTCTCGGCTCAGCCAAGTCAAGTCAATGAACTCACCGCCTCGGTTACGGGGTTCTTCTCGGCATCGGATGCCTTTCGTATGGTGAGCCGTCGGCCCATCACCATCTCACCGGAATATTGAGTTAATCTCTCTTTGACCAGATCTGTGGCGACCTGCACCTTCAGAACTGTCATCACAAACCGATCACACTGTGGTATTACTACACCGCACTGACATTTACATGTCAAGTCGATGGTGTCCGAGTGCCTTTTGGGGGCGCCCAGACGTTGATGAGTACAATTTTGTGCCGCTAAAACATTTTGCCACCCTGTTGGTAGGATCAAAGTCACCATCCAGACCAAGGACTTAGTAAGAAATATACTTGTAGAATTTATCCCGATGATGCGGAACCGACTTGTTGCCTCCACCTTGGCTCCATTGTCACCTGTTGAGAGTCCTGGGACAAAAAAGCCCTAGCCATAACATGTGCTTTGGACCTTTGGTTGATGTTAAATTCCTGGTCGAACACGTGCGTGACCTTCTCAGGAAGCCATTTTGTCCGAAAAGCCATAGTAAGATGGAACGCAACGCACGCGTCTACTCACCATTCCATGTCTCAGCAGATTCTTTGCCACCTGCTAAGGCCTGCCAGTACCATGTTAAGGGCCGTGGCTACTTTAATCGGTCTAGGGGCATGTATTCAGGCCAAGGCTCAGGTTAGTGACTCTAAGATTCCGCCTACAGTACGTCATGACTTCCAGATCGATTCTGGGGGTACGTGTAACGACTCAGATGGACGATTCAACGTGGACGATCTGTTCTCGGGAAACAGATCTTAGCTTTGACTACAGCTACAGTCGATCAGATCAAGATCTGATCTCCCACGATAAGCGACTGATAGGTAGGAGAATGACGGTATGTTCCCGTATGCTGTGTTCTTTCGAAGATGCCTCCTTCCACGTAACCGGCTACCAGTCTCACCAGCACTATCCCCTCCTGGTGCTTCCAGTCTCGTCGTAAATTCCTTTAGACACTGTCGTTCTGTGGGTACCATATCGACTCGGTGCAAAGTCTCAGGCAAGATGTCCAAAAGGAGCCAACCAGACCACCCTGAAACGAATCATCCCACAACCAAGCGGGCAAAGGAAATCGACGCCCACCCGCCATATGAAGAATTGACTTCTCTGCTCGATGGTCAAGAATCTCCGGAGAAGACCAAAAGGGTATTGCACTGGTTTCGTAGCAAGGACCTTCGCATTCATGACAATCGGGCTTTGCACGCAGCGGCGCAATTCGCAAAGGAGTCAAAGGCGCCCCTGCTATGCACGTATCTGAATTGTCCAGCGGAGTTTAGTTGGCATGGAACATCGCCAGCCAGAACCGACTTCATCTGCGAAAACCTCGCATTGATGCAGTCCGAGCTCAAGAAGCTCGATATTCCACTGGTCTTTCTTGAAGCCAGTGAACGCGACGACATTGTCCCAACGATTGTCAAATTCATCCGCGACAACAACATTTCTCACGTGTTCGCCAACTATGAGTACGAGGTCGACGAACTGCGTCGAGACGTCAGGTTCATCAAACAGATCGGGGCAGACAAGACGGTCAAAGTTACCATGCACCACGATCAAACTGTCAAGGAACCCGGTACTCTACTCAATGAAAGCGGAAAACCAATGAAAGTCTTCACACCCTATCACCGCTCGTGGCTTGCCCAAATCAAAGCAGACCCCAGCCTATTCGATACCGTACCTGCTCCTTCCAAGAATTCTCCCCAGGCCCAAAAAGATCTGAAATCATACTTCAACAGCAAGCCACCCAGCCCACCCGCAGAAAAGCAATTTGCCAGCGAAGAGGAGAGAAAGCGTATCCGTGATCTCTGGCCTGCGGGCCACGACGCCGCTGTCAAACGCCTCAACCACTTTCTCACAGAAAAGATCGAGGACTACGCAAACACTCGCTCCAATCCAGCAAAGGACTCAACCTCCCGAATGTCCGCATACTTCGCCGCGGGCGTGATCTCCATGCGAGAGACCCTCAGGGCGGTCAGCAAAGCCAACAAAAGTTCTGCAGATTTCTCCCAAAACGGCGCTGGCTTCGGCATTGCCTCATGGGTGCGCGAGCTGGTGTTCCGAGAACTTTACCGGCAAACGACTCTGACGACACCGCATACGGCGATGAATCTTCCCCAGAACCTCAAATTCGACTTTGTGCACTGGGAAGAGGACGAAGAAGGCTATGATCGCTGGGAGAAGGGGACTCTGGGTATACCCTTCGTCGATGCCGGCATGCGCCAGATCGCGCATGAAGCCTACATGCACAATCGTCTACGTATGAACGTCTCAAGCTACCTGTACTGCAACCTGCTCATCGACTATCGACGTGGCGAGCGGTATTTTGCAGAAACTCTGATCGATTGGGATTTGAACAACAATACACAAGGCTGGGAGCCGAGTTACACGGTCTTCAACCCCATAACTCAAGCCGAGAAGAATGATCCTGAGGGTGAATATATCCGCAAATGGATCCCGGAGCTGAAGGACGTCAAGGGCAAGGCGGTCTTCGACCCATATCATAGACTGTCGACGGAGGAGTTCGAGAAGCTAGGATATCCGAAGCCCTATGTTGACTGGAAAACGACGAAACAGCGTGCAATCGAGCGGTTTAAATCCGACATGAAAGATGCTGAGCCTTGAAATAGGATGGGGAAATATGTAGACTAGATACCCACTGTTTGTAACCTTGTACTGTGCTTTGTTTGAATAGAAGTCCACCACAAGTCAACCACCACATCAATGCCAGTCTTCTCAATGCGGTTCATACCCTTTCCATCCCATTCATCGTGACACTCTCCATGTTGACGAGATCCCTCGCATCTGACTGTGCTCACAATCTGGTAGACGTCGCATTTCTGGCTCGGACAAAGGACAACGAGGATACATTATCGTTGTCCACATGGTGGCCTTCCTGACGACCGACAAAAGGGTCAACGTTATCCAGGCGCACACCTTGCCCAGATCATGCCTTCTCCAACGCCCATACTCCCCTTTTGACACGGCGGTCGTCAGTGAATCCTTTGTCACAAATGCGCCAAGCGACTATCCTCGCCATCGATACTGCCACACCACGCTTCACTCGCGGTCGCCTCCTGTGCAAAACCTTTCCTTCTTGTCACCGCCCTCGCATCCAACTGCTCTATACAGAATGGTCGTTCACTTCTCGCCGACCTCGGTTGCAATTGCTTCTTTCGAACCAATCGCCAAGATGGCTTCACCGTTGTTGTTGTTGTCAGTTGAAAGTGACTCAACTGACAACCTTCGTCAACAACTTCTCTCCCTAGACACTGACCCTCGAGACCTCCGCGCTGAAAAAGCGCAACTCGAAGCTGAATTGGCTGCCATTCATAAAAAGTTTGACGCCGATATCAACGCCATCCAAGTCAAGATGGACGAGGTTAAGCGGGGTCTGTCTGCTGAGAAGCGCGTGGCGCGTCAGCTTGCCTTTCCTCAAGGCATCATCAACAACGCCAACATCATCGAGGGCCTTGCCCTTCAGATGAAACATGACACCGGCTTGAAGATCGCGCTCTTCGCCCTTGCAAACGGTCGCGGCACCGTTCACTACATCAACAAGTTGGCCGCTGCAATCATGACTGAGCTGGCGGGCGAAACGTCAGACTTCTTCCAAACCGTGGCCACTAGAATTCTCGAGGTCGCTGGCACCAATGGTGATGAACAGGCATTCTCGACACCAAACCTCACTTCAACCTCACCAACCTTCGCTGATGATCTTGTCGCCACCGATCCAGACGGAAACCCCCTCCCTCAGAACGTCGCACCACTCATGCCACTTGTATCATACGGCTCCCCAAGCGTGAAGTCTGAGTCCGACTCTATCATGGACTCATTCGATGGTCAAGCGAACATGAGGGCTCTCCAAGAGTACGAAGCCAACGGTGCCAACCTCACCCCATCTCCCCAACCAGAAATACCGAACAGAATTACTCCAGCGATGTACCGTGCTCCTGTTCAGTCTAATGGCCATGCATCTGGACCATCCACCCCGTTTCCAAACTTCCCTGCCCCGAAGGTCCAAGCGCCAGCAATTTCACAGCTAGGCAACAAGTTCCCTGGTCTGCTGGAAAGCATTGCCATCGGTAAAGCCAAGAAGCGAGCACTCCCGGAGCCAGACCCAATGGACACTCCAGAACCAGAGGAGAATGGTGCAGCAGGACAGGGTACTCCAGCTAGACAGGTCAAGAGAAACAAGACTGGCAGAGAAGCAGGTAAGCAAAACAATAACAACCCCCAACACCATGCAATCACTTGACTGACCACTGATATAGTCATGTCTGGCACATACATATCATTCCTCAAGCACATCGAGCTCCTCCACCAACAGCGAAAGAGCATCGCCAACCTCCTCAGATGTTCCAAATGCCAAAACAATCGACGTGACGTCCGCATCCTCAGATGCTTGCACATCTACTGCCACAAATGCATTCTCACCTTGCGCGCTGCTGCCGAGAAGGGCGATGCTATGACCGGTTTCAGCTCCGCATGCGTGGTTGCAGGCTGCACTGAGATCGTGATCGGGAAGACATCGGTGTTGGACTCGGATTTGATCGACTTTCTCCAATGGTATGACACTCAGGATGCTGGTATTCGGCACGGTCCAGCGCAGGCTCAAGTCCTCAAACTCGCATTGGACAAGACGCCTGACGATGAAGATGTCAAGGCCAAGAGCAAAGCGGTCCAGAGGGAGCTTGACAGTGCCAGACTCAGAGGTGTAGTCGATTCACCTTGTGACTTGGTCAAGATTGCCAAGTTGGTGAGGAAGCCTTACTAAAGGAAGACACGCATGTTGCTTGACTATCTGTCAAAAATGCGCATTTGGAGGAGGAGGCCTTATTGAGGAGGAGACGTACATTGCTTGATTATCTGCAATGGCGTCAGTCGTATCTGGTGGCATCTCTTGCAACAACAGGGTCTGAAGGGCGGGAACAGGTTGGGAATCGATTTTCATGAGGTGCTCGTTGGCTTGGAGAAGGATAGCCACATGGAGCATACTGCAATTGCTTGGAAGGCAAAGATGCAATGGTTCTCAGATCGAGGGCTGTTTGTGCGTTTCTGCAAAGATTGAAGCAGAGACTCGTTTTCGTGCGCTCAGAGGGCTGAAGCCAGCAAGCGTGCTGATTGTTATTGTATGTTTCATAGCTTCATCGACATGAGCTCAGCGACTGGAATAGTCCAAGCGCGACAGCAAGAATACCACTGCCATGGTCGTCGGAAGGTGCTACCTACCTGAAGTCTTTTGTACAAAGCTTCTTCCATCAACGTCCTTCTTGTAGCCGGAGCGCTCAAAGCAAACCTCGCTTTCCCTCCTTTTACACAGCAACTGCTGGCCAGGTTCCTTCGTCAAAGCAAGTATCACCAACCCTGTTTCCTCATCTTTCGTATCCTATCACATTCTGCAACAAATCCATCCCTGAACATCTGCCTCCATCTCCACCTTCTGATATCCTTCTTCGCCTGACCTCTCCGCACATGAAACAGTTGGTCTCTAGCATCTTTTTTGATGTGGTTGTTTGCGCATTTTCTCTCCAACGCCCTGAACGCACCGCCGACGTCTCGGAACTGACCAACGGTTCGTCCCAGTGTTGGCCTCAATCGTAGCGCAATTGAAGAGCTTGGAGCGCGGACTTCTTCCGAAAATCTGTCCACCATTCTGGATGAAGCTCTTGGACTCATTAGGTCTTCAAAGGCTCCCGTCGTTCGACTTCGTGGAGTTTTGCCCATTAGAGCGTCCATGGAGTCGCCTACGGATTGCTCGCTTCGAGATGTGTCTTTCGTTGGCCTTAGTTGTCGGACCAAATCACTGATCTTAGACGCCGGTCCTGCTCTTCCCGTTGGTGTTTCTGGAGGCGGAGGATTTCTTGCTGTCCGAGAGGACGAGAAGGGTCGCCCAGAAGGTGCATGTCGTCGTGCTACAGCTCTGGTGTTGTGACGCAAGCAGGTGGTGGTCGAAGATGAAAGGATGGCTTGCGCAGACGATTGGCGTGATGCGAGGCGGGCGCATGCCTGAAAGGACGGTATAGAGGTCATCTCGCTCTTTCGCCAGAGATGTGCTGTGTCTGCGCCTGATGGGAGGGTCGAGCAATTGTGGTACGCAGATGAGGACGTTGGCGTAAAGTAAATGATCGTCAAGATCGTGTTAAACAATTCTCAATCGAGCTCGGCTTGCTGCGGCATCCACCAATCAGATGCAAGCATGACATAAACACACGACAAAGGGCATCGAAACCACGTCCATTTCATCAAGACGTTCGTTTCCGCACAAGCTCGAAGTTTTATGTCCATTCGAAGTCCATGGCAAAGTCTATGCACTCGAGTAACGTATAGAACATCCCAATCCGCCTCACTTACACCCTTCGCCCAGCGCGGGTCACAATCCCGTGGCATGTCTTCCAGTTCCGCGCCAGTCACTCTCTCCTCCCTCGAATACATGCAGGGCGCGACCTTAGCTCCTCTTCTCCTCGATCCTGAGGAACAGCCGAAGATTGCAATCATCGATGTCCGAGATTCTGACCACATCGGTGGCAATATCGCCGGAAGCACATGGATTCCTCTAAATCAACTGGACGCAAGGCTACCTGAGTTACTAAGGACCCTCAAGGACAAAGAAAAGGTCGTATTTCATTGCATGTTGAGCCAACAGCGCGGTCCGAAAGCTGCTTTGCTGTACGCAAGATCAATCCAGAGTCTCAAGGCCAAGGAAGATAAACAACAAGCGCGGCAGGACTCGGAAGATGCAGAGCAGAAGACGAAACAGCAGGTATATGTGCTGCAGGGTGGCTTTGGACAATGGCAAGCAGAATTTGGTCAGGATCCACGGCTGACTGCCGACTACGAACCCGACATTTGGCTTTGAGGTTCTACAGTCGAGCAACGATTGGAACCCTGATATTGGAGTCGCTTCCGCCGGCAACCAACTGTGGCGATACTTGGGGACCTGGAGGTCCTGTCACTCACCACAAGAGGAGTTCGAGGAATGAGGTGCCTCGAGGATGCCTTGCGCTGACGAGGTCCGGCGCCACTACGATGAGGCAAGAGCTTGAAGCTACTCAGAGGCATCTACAGCGAGCACAGCTTACGAGTTGAACTCGTCGTCCTCTCCAAGAAAGTCACAGAAGCTTACGACGGACGGCTGTTCCCAGGTATGATGACTAGTCTACGACGGTATGACCTATGTGCATTGAATGGCATGCACGATCATCAGTAGTCCCTGTACGCCTGTTTCTCACTGGAGCTTTCATGACTGGGAAGTTAGAAGACAGACACTAGAGTGATCAGGCCAGCACGGTAATACAATAGAAGATTTTGCGGAGTTCTAGACCTTCTACTTCTGTCCATCGTCCTTCAGTTCTTGATGTAGATGGGATTATACAGGCAACGCGAGGCAAGGCTGCGCGGAAAGGGACCACTGCCAAGCACGTTCGGAGATGTCGGGACAGAACATGAATTATATTCGGTACTTCAAGCTTCGAGAAGCATCCATTCCTGACAACACATAAAGCCTGCCATTCCCCTTCCTGTTGACCGAACTCGAGGACTTTCTAAAGCAAAGCCAAAACAATGTCGGGTTCAAAGAAGACCTTTCCTATGTGCGGCGTCTCATATGTGAGCCGCATCGAGCACGAATACCTTCATAGTAAGAAGTTGTCCGTTTGTGCCAATTGTCTGGCTTTAGGCTTTCAAAAGCCTCTCAAACGTTGCAACGGATGCTTGTTGATTGATTATTGCTCCAAAGAGTAGGCTGATCTTGATGGAATGTCATAACAGTACTGATCCTTGTGTAGGTGCCAAAAAGCTCACTGGTCCAGGCACAAGTCGTTTTGCAATCTTGTGCAAGGCAAAGGGGCGGAGAATGCTTTTCTGTCTTCCTTCAGCCGCGATGAGGTATTGAGGATGATTATCGACGCTTATCGATTGAGAGTCGAAACCGATCATCTATCGCGGGAGGAGGACCATGGTATATATTATCCCGGAAAGCCCATTGACGACTTAGTCTGGGCCAAGGGCGATGGTAAGCTTCCAAACATGTCATATCGCAATTCTTCGGGTCACCGCTCTGTGTTGAGTAAATACTGACCCAGTGGATCAATTAGCACTCGAGGATTTTCAGCGGTTTCTTGACTTGTTGGAAGGCTCCCACATCCTGCCTAAATGGTGGCATAGCGAAGATCGCATGGAATGTCTCTCACTAGCAATCGAAAAGGACGATCCGGAATCAATCTTCAAGCCTCTCAATCAAGCTGAGCTTCCGACCCGATATGGGGGAGACATGTCCATACGTGTGGCACTTTCGATCCTCGCAGAAATGGTCGTCGGTTATGACGGCAAAGGTACAGCAAAAGACGACACTTGGTTTCAAGAATTTCAGGAATTCCTCGATCTCCATCCTCAGGAAAGAGCTCGCCTAATCAAGGGTAGCATAGAAATGGCAGAACAGGTCTTAAAAGAGCATGGAAGCCATTTTCAGGAAAGTTCGACCTAAGCAAGCGGCGAATGGTCCAGTGGGATCCAGCTTCGTATGTGGGAAGGAAACGCAAATCCTACCATATGATAAATTAACTACGACCGGAGGCGTTGCATCACCTATGGTCGAGCTGTCAAGAGGGAAAGAGTTGCTTGCGCAAATGATGAGGACAACAAAAATTTGCTGCATGACGAAAGTCGGCTAGGGCTGTGTTCAAGTCAACAGTGACACGTCTCTTTGTTCTGTTCATGGCGCTGTTCCAACGAAGGTATCGACGAGAATGAAGTGGACGGGCATGTAAGATACGGCAAATGAATCATTCGGCTAGTATTGAGTCAATGGATGTGGCACTCTTCCTATGAAAGAGGGGTTTGGATAACAGTACACGGCGGGATGAAATCAACTGGGGAATCAACAGGCGTAGACGGAGCAGCATCGGTTCTCACAGATGGCAAAAGACTGATACTGGACTGGAGAGCACTTCTTTCTCAAACTCAACGGTGGCTCTTTCTGCCGTACCTCCTTCACTTCTCGGTGCAGTGAAAACTCACACCATCCAACTGACGATGCAGCGTGCTCACGATCCGAACAACCAACTGATCCAACTCAACTTCTTTACTTCCATTCCCAATAATCATGGCAGTTCCTGACCCTTTGGACGGGGACTCAACCACCATTCCATCGTCTCAATATGGCTTACTGGTGAGCTTTGATAGCGAAGTACCACCATCAATTCAGGCTAATGCTTCTCATACAGGTCCAAGCAAATCGTGAATACCTATCTCTTCGTCATGCTCTCGTTTCAGGTGGTGTCGATTCCGACACGCTCGATGTCCTCATCAGCAACAACCTGTCACTCTTTCCTCTTTCCCCGAGCGATGATCACTGCAGTCAGCTGAAGAAGACAAAGCCTGGATACTCTCCTACCCGGCGTTCTCAGTCTCGAGAAAACGATTTTACAAGGAGGAGCCGGAATTTGCAAATAAGACCGATCATTCACAGTCAGCCTGCATATCCACCTACACCCCCAAGCGAACCTTCTCTTGAAGAGGAAGCTGAAGATGGACCATTGGAAGATCCTCAGGACGAAGAACCACCTCAGTCAGATGACCGCCCATACCGTTCACTCATATTGACGGCGCTTCCCTCAACAACGACCCTGCTTGATATCACAAGAGTCATCCGTGGAGGAGCCATAATGCGACTGTATCTGCGCGAGAGGGACGGATATGCACACATTTCCTTCGTGGAGCCTGCTGCTGCGGAAAGGTTCCTTCTCTTTGCTGAGCGAAATGGTGTCTACATCAGAGGAAAGAAGGTAAGCGAGAGCACGATTCTCCATTGAGGGCAATGAAAGTCTGACCAAGTGCAGATTGACGTGGCATGGGACGAACGCCAATCCTACCTTACAAGCAGCTTAGCAAATCGTATTACCGCCTTTGGCGCCAGCCGCAACCTGGTAATACGCTACGTGAGACGATATGTTACAGCAGAGTCCATTCGGGACGATCTGGAGCATATTCATAACCTCGAAGTCGTCAAAGTTCACTTCTCAGACGGCCATGCCTTCATCTCACTCAACAACATTGCCCTGGCCATGACTGCGAGAAACTGCATGCATTCGCGACAGAAGTACAAGGGTATGAGGATCGACTTTCATCCGGACGAGTGTGCTCAACCTTTACGTGTGGAGAAATTCCCAAAACATGTCTTGGTCAAGGAAGATGGAATACCGCTGAGCAACCGCTTCGATGCGCTGCTCAATGACTCAGACGAATGAATGTATGTCAGCCTAGAATGAACAACAAGCATGGTATGTGTGGGGAGGCGTGTAGGAGTGTCATCATTAGCTATCAGGTAGCGACAACACGAGATATCGAGTTTCGAGCTTGTCTCTAGTAGGGACATCATCTAGCGTGATGCTAGCGCGGCTCATGGTTTACTCTGGCAGTAGTCTGGGGCCTCTCAGGGAAGGCGCGGATGATAGAAGTGAATGTCATGGTAGCCAGTAATTTCAGGACTCAGACGTTCAATGTGCAAGACCTTTGTTGCTCGTCACTTATCGTGGCTATATCCATAGTGCCAGCTGTCTGACGCCAAATCTTCCCTGATCTTGTAGTTCTCCTCAGCAATATCGACCGTCTTCATATCCACTTCAACTATACGCATTCCTGGAGTGCCATCATCGAAACCACCCTCGACAGGGCCAACTAGTGGTAGCACTGCTCGACTCAAACCGGCATAGCCTTCCTCAGCGGGACCTCCAACGTTGCAGAACAAGATGGCACAAGTATTCTCAAACGCTCGCGTGACGAGGGCATTCTTCAAGAACATAATGTCAACGTCAGGCCCATACCTGCGAGCCTCCGGCGTCAAGTCGTCTCGTGTCCAATAGGTAGGAATGATGATCAAGCGAGCACCCTGTCTGACAAGTGCACGGAATGCTTCTGGGAAAGCCAGATCCCAGCAGATAACGATGCCGACTGGACCCAACGGCGTTTCAATCACAGAGTGCGGATTCGATGGTGTTGTCGGAGGGCCCTCGCTCGACACCGGCTGGTGGTTAGGCCCCGATGTGAGGACGTTGCGCTCCGGGAGCCACAGATTGGCTTTGGTATAGCTTCCCAGGAGTTCGCCGGTGTAGGAGATGAAGGGAGCAATGTTGAGAAGTGAGGGTGACTTAGCGGATGACGTTGTACCATTGCTAGCCCCTGGAGGAGGAGAGTGAGGGTCGACTGTTACAATGGTGCCGGGAGCGATGTTGATCTTCAACTCGCTTGCTAGTTCCTGGTACTTGGACACGTATTGGTAGGCGGTTTGAGCTAGAATGGCAAATTGGCTGTCCTCGGGGTACCAGCCAGTCAGATGGTATTCTGGAAGTACAGCCAGCGAAGCGCCCTGCTCGGCTGCATCACGGATGTAGTTTGCTGCTGCGTTGAAGTTGTGTTCGGGATCCAGTGGCTAGGTAATTGGTTGTTAGTAATCTGGGTGGCTAGGGAGCATTGGGTGGAGTGAGTTTTGAAGACTCACTTTCGGATGAAGCTGGATCAAGGCTGCCTTGAATGTCTGAGCGAAAGACTCATAAGATGTCGCCATTTTTCGGGTCCGCGATTGATTTACAAAGGCATTTGAGCACCGTTGTGAAGTCTTCGGAGGCGTAGCCGGTCATCCCCGCTACCAAGATGAGGCACGACGAGGCTGTACGAGGCTGAACCATACGGGGGAGTACTTGCCGCAGTTTCCCCATCGGGCCCCGCCCGCACTTTCAAATTTCGGTTTCTTCAACACAGGTGCGTCGAGCCGTTAAACGACGTCCACCGCAACAGCCACAATCAACATGGCTTACTCAAAAGGCAACGTGCCCGCGTTGGACGACGATGATATCGAGGAGGAGCTCGTTCAGGATTATCGCGAGCAGATAACATTTGCGGATCAAAACGGCGAAGTCGACCTTGAACGAACCGACTCGATACCCGGCGGTCCTACAGATCTTCGCGCTCAGCTCGAAGCGGCGGCTGCACCTCTCGAATATCAAGCCTCACTCGAGACGAAATTCGCGTCATATGACAACTACTGCTCCCTGTTCCACTATATCCTCAACTCGGATGGACCCGTTGAGATCGAGCAACCATCATACTACTGGGCTTGGGATGTGATTGACGAGTTCATTTACCAATTCGAATCCTTCTGCAGATACAGAAACCGAGTCGCAAGAACCGCGCCAAATGAGGAGGAGGCACAAGTCTTGCGAGAGAACCCGAACACTTGGGGCTGCTATTCCGTTTTGAACGTCCTCTACTCCCTCATTCAACGTTCTCAAATCAATGAGCAACTAGCAGCAACAAAGAGAGGCGAAGATCCAAATACAGTGGCCGGCGAATACGGCTCCCGACCACTTTACCGCATGCTAGGCTACTTCTCCATCATCGGCCTATTGCGTGTGCACTGCTTGTTGGGCGACTTCAGCTTGGCTCTCAAGACCTTGGATGACATCGAGATGAACAAGAAAGCCATGTTCGCTCGGGTCATGGCCGCCCACCTCAACACCTACTACTATGTCGGCTTTTCGTACATGATGCTCCGTCGCTACGCCGATGCTGTCCGCATGTTCAGCCACATCCTTGTGTACGTCTCGCGAACCAAGAACTTCCAGAAGGGCAACCAGCAATTTGACGCCATCGCCAAGAAGACGGAGCAGATGTACGCCCTGATTGCCATCTGCGTGTCCTTCGCCCCAACTCGTCTCGACGATACCATTCACACTGCTCTGCGCGAGAAGTACGGCGAGAAGTTTGCTAAGCTCCAGCGTGGTGGACCCGACTCCCTGCCCATCTACAAGGAACTCTTCCAATCTGCTTGCCCCAAATTCATCAACCCAACACCACCTGATTTCGACAACCCGTCGCTCAACATTGATCCAGTCGAGCACCACACCGACATCTTCATGGATGAGGTCAAGAACACCCTGTACAACCCTACCGTCAAGTCCTACCTGAAACTCTACACTACGATGGATCTGAAGAAGCTCTCCAGCTTCCTCGAGGTAGAGCCCGAGAAGCTGCGCAGTTGGTTGCTGGTCAACAAGCAGCGAAGCAGACAGATTCGATGGACTGAAGGTGGTTTGTTGGACGGTGAGACTGTTAATGGCAGTGAACTCGACTACGCCATCGAAGGTGACTTGATCCACATTAGCGAGGCCAAGCAGGGACGCAGACTGGTGGATTGGTATCTGAGGAACTTGGCTCGTTCTTACTAGTATTTCGAATGATGCCAAACGACAGAGTCAGACGCATTCTTTCGAGGGTGCGATGCCACGATTGCTGCGGGCTTGTCGCGGCGTCGACTATGGTCGAATATGGACGCAACAAAAGTTAGCGCTGATTCATGGATTGTGTGCATAGGCACACCTTTGCCTGACGGCAAGATGCCTGGACGTGTTCCGAGCATTGTAGAATTTGCACAGGGCGAAGAAGTGCCGGGCAGAGATCATGCAACCTCGGCAGGGTTAGAACAGCCTTGTAGGACGAAGGGAGAGGATAGCATAGCTTCCGGCAGGAAGAAAAATGTCAAATGATTTGAGTCAGATCTGTCTGCGCAGACTTTTGTTAGATGGCACGCCATGTTGAGCTGTATTGTACACCTGAACGCTACTGAACCTCGCTGAGGCGTCAATTTGTCCAAGCGATACCGCTGGGACAATGCATCTCAATCATCCCGCATATCTTCGTCTTCTTCTGCGTCGGCATCTCCGCCATTCACACCCGGAAGAGGTGTATTTCTGTCATCATCACGATCTTTGTGCGCGACACCATTCATAGACACCTCCGCATCTTCCGCATCCTCGATCTCCGCCATCGACACATCCTGTGCTCCTTCATGCAACGTGCCCTGCTCATCGATAATCGCATTGGCCCGCTTCTCCTCTTCCACAGCCTCAGCGTTTCTCACGATTTCCGCCCACTCACTAGCAAACGCATCGTCGTACTGGCCTCGATGCCTGGCCCTCTGTTCTTTCTCTGTAGGCCCGGGCTCCGTGAACATGATCATCAATTGATCGGGCATATCCGCACCAAAGCCATTTTCCGGCGCAGTTTGACTGCGAGATTTCTCGACAGCATTGCGGTCGGCCTTGACACGCACGCGCTCGAGGATCGGGTAGTAATATGCGGCGGAACCCTGTTTGCGCAGCCGAGAGTGTGAAGACAATTTATCTTCATTGACGAGAGAAATGGCCATGACTCTGTGATTGTCGACGGCGTTTTGAGTCGCGGACGGAAAGACGCGGACTCGTTCGTATGGGAGGCGCTGGGACCCGTCTGCGGATTCTTCGAGTAAGGGCGCGTATAATGCAGGATCGTCCTTGTTGGGGTTCGCATCGTCGAGGATCTTGCGATACCGAGATGCGGAGTCTGGCTGTTTGGGGATGCTGAGGGACCATGAGTATGGTTCCGCGCCGGGGTCCTCATAGAGATCTGGGTGTTCTTCGAACGCCTTTTTCTTTGCTCGGTATTTGGTTATTTCGGCCGCGTTCTCTGCAGCCATGAGTAATGCCACGTCGATGCGGTCGTCGCGTCGGCCACGGTAGGGCGGTAAGGGTGGTTTCTCGAATTTTAGGGCTTGCCAGCTTCCTGCCATGTCTGTCCCGGCTTCTAGATCAGGGATAATGGGGTAAAATTCGACGGGTTTTAGTCTTGGGTTGTCAGGATGGACAGGGTTTCTCCAGGCATCGCGTTCTTGGGGCGTGATCGGGTTTGCTTGTGCTTCGGGAGGGTTGTAGGGGATGCTGTCTGGGTAGGCAATGTCGAAGCCTTTCTGTATATGTCTCTTGATATTCTCCCTGTCGTCTCGCGCAATTGGTGTTGGCGCAGCTTTGCTCTCAGACGTCTTCCGTACTCTGGGATTCGTTCGCAGGAGGGGATCATTGGCTCGTGCCATTTGTGCGGCTGTCATGTATTGTGTTTTTCGTAGAAAGGAGACATTGTTCTTTGCGCCCTGGCTTTTCAGCTGGTCGATTGAGAGCATGAGCGCGTGGTCGGCGGGATCCAGCACAGGCTGAATCTCAGGCGCCATGATGGCACTCTCATCGCCCAGGAAATACCCTGGCACGCCGACCATGTCGATGGGCATTCCACCCTCGGCATCGACGTCGATGTTAGGTTCTTCGCGTTTCGCCAGGCCTGAAGCGTAGCCCGTCGTCAGGTATTGCGCCAGTCCTCCTGTGTCGATGTCAAGAAGCTTGGGGGGCATGGGTGGTGGAGGCAGGTCATTTCGATATCGTATCGAAACGACCATGTCCTGCTTGAAGCCTTTTGCATCGCCGGAGCTCGCCATTGTGACTTCGCCTTGTGGTCTTCCGTACGGTCTCTAAAACCAGGCTCTTCGGAATGCTGCCAGAGTGTAGATTGAGGTCGCAGGGTGAAAAGATAGGTCCAAGGATGTAGACACTAACTGCCGAGCGCCATACATAAACTGTTCTCGAATATATCAAGAGGAGCACTCCTCGTTGACTGCAGTTGTTATGACCGTGATTTCACGTATTGGGTACTTCGCAAGGTCCGAGTCGCGGGCAACAATGGAATTGAGGAAAGCAAAGTGGAGTCAAAAAGTTCCTGGCTGCATCTCCGCGTTGAAAGAGACGATCATCATCGACGACCTCTTCCGATTTCTTGCATCATTCACACCACCAGCCGCAACACCTAACTTCCCCTTCGTCACAGTCTATTCCACTTCACTCTTCGTCAACTCGATCGCAGCCATGGGTTGGTTCTGGGCGGACGACCTATCAAAGTTCGCACCCGCAGTCGTTGCGCCCACGAGCGCACCTCCAGTAACTCGCCTCCATGATACCTGCAAAACCTTGCACCAGGACTAACAAACCACCACAGGCAGCATGTCCCATGCACAAACCATCAGACTCGAACGCCGCACCATTCCCCCCAAGACTAGACCAAACCTCCTCGACGACCTCATCATGTCCCGTCAAATCGCCAAACCATCCCCTCAAATCACTGGCCAATCCTCAGCCATCCTCTGCCTCTGAGCAAGAACAACAACGACATGCACCTCCCTCGACAACAACCTCATCATCATTCAGCCTCTCCAAACTCAACCCGCTAAACTATATGCCCTCACTCTCCAATGCCCGCCCAGCCGACTCTCCACAGCAGATCGCCCTCCCGCTCGAACGAGAAATATCCTCCATCCCGCGTGGCGACACCAACTCGAATTGGGAATACCCGTCTCCCCAGCAAATGTTCAACGCAATGTTGCGCAAGGGATACACCGACACGCCCGCCGATGCCGTAGAGTCGATGGTCGCAGTGCACAACTTTCTCAACGAAGGCGCCTGGCAGGAGATCGAGGAGTGGGAGCGGGTCTTCGGCAAGGGCTTCGGCCATGCATGGGAGGTCTGCAGTCGAGGCGAGCAGGGCATCGCCCTAGACCGCGCCCGAAACGAGATGCAATCTGCTCGACGGCAGGCGCTGGGCCTGCTTGATCCAGATGAGGAAATCCGACCCAGACTGGTCCGGTTTATGGGCCGGCCTGGCGATCCGACTCCGAAAGCACGAATGCTGAGTTTCTTGGGCACGGTCATGCCCGAAAAGTTCGGCCGCGAGCCTCCATTCGACCGACATGACTGGTATGTGGCGCGCAATTATCCTGATGGAAAGACACAAGAAGTCCGCTATGTCATCGATTACTACAGTGGTGGCGTGCAAGAGACCGGCGAGCCCGTGTTCTACCTGGATATCCGTCCCGCCCTCGACACGCCCACCGCGGCAGTGGAACGAGCGATGAGATGGGGTGGTGATGTCTGGCATCGTGCCAGTGGTGGCGCTGCTAGGGTGGGCACGGAGCAGCAGTCGAGGAGCGAAAGGTGAACGACTCATGGAATACTCTGATGAGAGATGATGAAGCAAGTCTTCTCTTTACTGGTCATTCCCAAACGATTGGAAACGTGAGAATATGGTGGTTTTCCCTCAGTTTCGTGGTCAGCGAAGCACGAGATGCTGGGAGTTGCAATGTCAATATGCATGGCGTTCGTCAATTCGACGTTTGTTGCCCCGGGCAAGCTTTTCTCCTCTACCAACACTAATCCTGTAGAATATATGGTATATTTTTGACTATACAATTGCGTGACAGGCCGATCTGGTCTCCAGGCCACAGTCTGTCATGGGTGAGTGCGCCTGTTTCGCTGCCACTGTTAATAAACACGCACACTGGTGCTATTCCGGGCTGGTTCCGGAACGCTGGAACTGTACAGATTCACTGTGCTCAACATCAAAGCTGATGTTGTAAATGTTGCTGCATCTCACCTCTCCGATCAATGTTCAAGGGAGATCTGTTCATCGCCCTGGAGCGTACAGTGACCTCTAACCAGATGCCCTGCCAGACGGCGGCATGTAACATCGGTATATAAAGGAAGCCATTCAACATCTTCTCAACTTCCGGCCAAGTGAGTGGCAATAAGTTAGCGGATATGAGATCAAGCAGATTCATAAAGTACTCCGCCTCGGGTTGCTTCGTTGCGCGTTGGACAAACACAAACAGCGACCATGTAATGGCTCGCAACTCTGTGACTTCACACTGGCCCTGCTTTGCGTAAAGCCAGGCTTCTGTTGCTCGCTTCTGATGCTGCGTCAGAGCACGGCCAACGCCGGTTGCCGGCAAGATTGTGTGTGGTGCAAACTGCATGAGGCCGAGGGCAGCAAGCCGAACCACCCTTTCCAGAGGTGGTATCAAGGGTTCACCATTCCTCTCGCGAGGGAACGCAGGTGATTCATATGGATAGGCCACAAGATCAAACTCGAATTCTGTGGCTTTCTGACGCAAAATGGCGTTCTCCCATGGTGAGAGCCCCCTAGAATTTTCCGCATTTATCTGGCAAAGATTGCAGATGTCCCTGCCGGTGAGGAGCAAGGCTTGAAGCGAGTCACTAAGCTCTTCCAGTTGTTGAAACTTCAGGCCCATCCTCGCCATCTCACTATCAGGTTCCGGCGCTATACGTTGCTGTATATCTGCGGGAATTGGTTCTCGTTGCCAGGGAAGTTGCAAGATAGGCTTGGACAGCATCGCGACAGATATTTTGACATTGGTGATGGGAAGCCACAGCATCGACTCTGGTGAGGCGCCGACCCGGGACATGATGTCGGCGATGCCTCTCAAATGGATCGTTGCTTCCTCAAAATTACCTACGACCGCGGCTGTAGATATTAACCCGAAGCACGCGTCGACCATATATTGGCTGGGAGGCTCTTGTCTGTCGATGCTTCTTCGTACGGCAACGATGGCCTCGTGCTTGACCTTCTTGTAGTCGGGATCTGTGATGAGCTCGTCATGATTCTGAGGAGAGGGGCTGAGGTCTTCGTGGCGACCGTATAGTATGGCCCGGTGTGCTGCAACAGTGGCCATGAATCCCAAGAAGGTCGCTGGACTGTTCATCTTGCTATGCAGAACCATGGCCTGTCGGGCAAGACGCTCACTGGGCCTCTTGTATTCAACAGCAAACGTCAGCGGCAGCATGATGTCAAAACCTAGAGCGAAGGTCAACAACTGCCTGACCAACGAAGAGAGACTGGGCTCACAATAACCCAACAAGCTTTCGGAGGACTGGTGTGGCACATTGCTGCTCGGCAGGGTATGGAAGGGGTCGAATTCATGGTTGGACGACGGGGAAGGACTCAGTGATATGCCTGGGCGGGATCTCCCTGTGGCAGACGTTCTCACGGAATCCAGTGGAAGGAGAGCCGTGCTGTTCTGCTTGGGTTGTATTCTCACCACGCCTGGTATTGTTGGAGTCACTGGCTCATCCTTTATAGGAGAGTCAGACACATTAGATCCCTTTTGCGATTTGTCTGAGCTGGATCTTCTTGGGGTGTCTCGGCCTGGTGTTCTCTTATTTCCTTGCGCAAGCTCCAGATGGCGGACACGTTGCATAACATGTGACCGAATAACATGGCGCTGCTGTCGATTGCTGATTCTTCGGTGGGTCAACGCAAAGAGATCTCCAGTCTGATCTACAAAAGTATACTTGGTAGCCTCCGGTGCGTTTGACGAAGTGAGATTCGAGTTGTTCGCCGATTCTGCAGGCACTGGTAGTTGGTTAGCACAGTGGCACAAACAACTTGCAAGGGTATATGAGGCTCTCACCTTTCTCCTGAGCGTTGCGCATCTTCTCATTCCATCACTCCTGGGAGACGTGATCTTTGACGACAGGCTTTGCTAACAGAGAATGGCAGCGCCGCCGTTTACAGGTTCGGTGGTAGTAGCGACAGACAGAACCGAGTCAGGTCATCTTGTGTCGACCACTCCCGCCGGTAAGGAGGACGACAGGTTCCGAGAACGAAAGCCGAAGCACTTGAACTTGGACCTGGACTTCTGACAGCAGCACATGTCGCTGTTCGCAGACCTCAAGAGATTCCAGGCCGAAGCGAAAAGCGATCAATAGTTGGGGAGGCTAGCCAGTGGAAAGATGCAACAGCAGAACAGAGTGGAGTAGAACAGTGAGTTCGTGAAATTGTTTATAGGTCAGGGCAGGATGGAGCGCGGAAGAACAGGGGCGTTGGGTGCTGCGGCGGGTATTTGATGGGTGATGGATCTTGCTAGGCTTGCCGATGTTGAGGCGAGACCTCAATGGGTGCCGGCGCTGGCGGCCGTGAAGAAACACATGCAGAAGCAAGGGCTTCTATGCAGTAAACGCAGATAGAGAATCAGCAGGGTTCATTCCTCAGATCATCCTACTTATAACCTCACTGCAACTTCCATCGAGAATATCGCAATCACTAGATTCGTATATACGATAAGGTTAAACACTGTAGGTCGATCGAAGTGTTCTTTTGCTTTGAGAGTGCCCCTCTTTTACTGTAACTTACTTTAGCCGGGCTCTGACCTGTCGATCACTCGGCCCCAGTGCTTGGACATGAATCTCGGAGCAACGTGGAGTAATAAAAAGTCAGTCTCAGAGCACTAGCAGTCAAGTTTCCTCGGGCCTGGGTCCTGTATCATGCCATCCGAAGATTCGAATGCCGCACTTCGGCTCTGTCTGCAAGCAAGACTCCGCCGCATATTCCCAACCAAGCAGTCTCTCCGAAGAAGCACCTATCTGCTTGCCGAATTCGAAGTCCAGATGGAACCATAGCCATGACCCGCCGACCCCGGCAGATCTTTCACCTCTTAGGCGCTATTGATAGGCCTTCAGGCCTTTTCATGCATGAAATTTCCCCCACCCTCACGCGCCAGACGCCTTGCTCTCCACCAAAGATTCATTTTCCCTGCATGGTTCTGAATTGTTCTGCAAACATGAATCATGAAGGTCAATCCGCTCCTGCAGTCAGGACCCTTGAGAGCATGACATATACAATCAAGCAGCTGCCTAGTAGCCAGACCTTGTTCCGCCAGATCCAGCCTTGGCCAGCATCTCGTGCCGCTTGCCCTCCTTGGACGACTGCACCAACTCCCGTGCTGCCTCCCAATATCCGCCGCAGCGCTTTGGTCTCCGGTGAACAGTTGATGGTTTCGCCCTCAGGATCAGGCAGTATTCGGCCAGTGGCTGGATCAATCCGATGTTCTGCTATCCACTCCCAATTCTCCTTGTCCTCATCTGGAAATTCTGCTCTAAACTTGACACCGCCATCTCCTGCTTTGATATTGCCGAGGCCCTTCGTTGTAGCGTGCACACCTGGGACAGGCTTCGTAGCTGACCCGCCGCCTGTTGAGTTCCACCATCTTGACCTGGCTGCATGCCATTTCCTTTCTGCCTCAGTTCCGCCGACACTACCAGCTGTCATCTCCTCGCTGTTCATGAATGACATGAGGCCAATGAGGATTGTGGATACCGACCATGCGGGATTGAAGGATTTTGGGTGGAAATCGCTTATGCTCAAACAGAGTCGGGTGGATGGCTGAAATCGACCACTGGGTGTGTGCATTCGGATAGCAGGCGGCGCAAATGGGTAGTCAGGTGGAAATGTTAAGGTTGCCCAATATTGACCGTTTGCATACGGCGTGTTCGGGGCACCTTCAAGTAATGCGTGCCATTCGAGAATGTTTGATTCAGATGGGTGCGCGGTGATCATCGGTGGGGGCGACTTTTTGATAGCTTCATACTCCCGAAGTAGCCGCTTGTGTGCTGCCTTGGTGGCCATCGATAAGATAGAAAAGGTAGGTGAAAGAGCGTAGAGTTGCGAAGGAGATCAATGGAAGCGACGGGCGATAAGAGAGAGGGTTTGTTCTGAGTGAAGAATGTCGTCTATTTCTCTTCTCGTAGGAAATGTCGTTTAATCAAACATATGTGTGCGACAACGCTGGCAGTGAATAAAAAGTATAGTAAGAAACGTGAATGGGAAATTGAGGATTGAGGAAGAGAACACACGACCAAACCTCGGGAAGTATGCAGGTTGCGGCGAAAGTGCAGCCTTGCAAGTTGCAACGGCCTGTAAATGGGTTAGCAAGTCACCATGCCGCTTTTGCTGCTGGCCGCCGATCGTGAACCTTGCTGTTCGAAGGTAGCGATTTCTATACTGCAGCTTCCGGCGACAGAATCACGCCTACAACATAGTCGGCCTCTTTGCTGACGATAAGTGGCCGTTCGCCACAGCTTCTCTCAGCCTCAATGGCTTTGTCGGAGGAAGCTAGCGAGGACAACATATTCCAGCTTCTCAAAGCCGCAAATCCGAGCGAACTTGAGCAACGGCAGCAAGCTATTAACGAGAAAATACACCGCACCTTTCAACTCAGCCAGCAGCGTCTAGCCGAACTGATCGATCAGAACTCGACCTCACCAACTACAGTCTCCTCGGTGACCGTCCTAGGGGCACCCAATACTCGACATGGTTTCCTCCAGAAAATTGTCAATCCGTTGTTGAGCGCAAACCGCGATCGTCCATACACGCAGTCTGAGCTTATACACGAGGTCGCTAAGACCGCAGATACGATAAGGAAGTTCGGTAATGGGTATGCTCAGTCATGACCAGGACTTGCGGCTGACGCAGATCTACAGGAATCTACCATGACCCCGTTTCAGTGTACCTGGATAAACCTTCCAAGACCGACCCTACAACCACACCGACTGATGTCGCCGTATATTACTCGGTAAAAGAGAGGAGCAGGGTGTTTGCGAAGACCGGCACCGACCTCGGAAATGCTGAAGGATCGGCGTATGCCAATGTGCAATGGCGCAATCTCTTAGGTGGTGCAGAGACCTTAGATCTCAATGCGTCAATAGGAACGCGGACACGGTCTTCATACCAGGCTACACTAGATACTCCGGTACTGAGCAACCCGGATTTTCGCTTTCAATTGGGTGGTCAACAGAGCGCCACACAAAAAGTATATGCAAGTCATGAAGAAGTGCTAAAGGGCGGTTGGGGCAAGCTACGATGGTTATCGTCAGGAGGAACCATGAACGAGTTCGGCTATAATGGCATCTGGCGGCAGGTGACTGGCCTAGCGCAAAACGCGTCCCCAACTGTGAAGAACGAAGCTGGAGATTCCTTCAAAAGCAGCATATCACTTATGCGAACAACTGACAAGAGAGACAATCCTATGCTTCCAACACGGGGATACTATGCGAAATCCACAACAGAATTAGCGGGTTGGGGCCCTTTACAAGGTGACGTGTCTTTCCTCAAGACCGAAGTTGAGACACAAACTGCACTTCCGATACCAGTACCAGGAGTGAAAGGTGACAGTGGGATTAGCTTCACAACAGGACTGCGTGCTGGGCTGTTATATCCACTGGCACTAGGATCGAATCGAAACCCAGAAATGTCTCGCATCAATGACAGATTCCAACTCGGCGGGCCGACAGATGTTCGTGGGTTTCGACTTTCAGGCTTAGGACCTCACGATGGCCCGGATGCGGTCGGTGGCGATATCTACGCAGCGGGTAGCGCAAATCTGCTTTTGCCTCTACCAAAGGTCGGAAAGGACAAGCCACTTCGGTTTCAAGCCTTCGTCAACGGAGGAAGACTTTTGGCACTACGAAGTCCGGATAAAGAGGGCGCAATGAGCAGCGATGAAGTCAAGCAAAGCTTCTCTAATGCCATTACGGAGCTAGGGAACGGACTGCCTACCATCTCAGCTGGCGTTGGCTTAGTTTATGCTCACCCTGTGGCACGGTTCGAGCTCAACTTCTCCCTGCCTCTGGTTGTACGGAAGCACGAAGAGTCCAGGAAAGGTGTCTCTTTCGGGATAGGCATCAACTTCCTGTAGTAGTGAGACAAAAGTCTTTGTACATCATCATGTCCATTAGAGTATGACGCAGTAAGTCTTCAGTATTGTTCTGTTAGGTGTTTTGCGTGCGGGCCAGGGGCAAGGCTGCGGCAAGACCAGGTCCTCCGCAATAATAGTTGGAGTAACTTCCGGTCACTACTGGTGCCCATCAACACTGCTTTTCGTGACAACTGTCAAAGTGTGCCGTCGTGACTTATTTGCTATTCTGCATTCTTTCTACACTCTATCTCATCTCAACATACTGAAGAAGTATCTTCGGTCTTTGCTGCGTCGCCTTGAAAGATCTGACAGGTCGTCCAACCTACCTGCGCAAACCGTAACGCAAGGGCCGTCGTGGCCTCTGTGCTACCAAAAATGTCCTACTACAGCCAACAGCCAGCTTACGGCCAGGGTGCTGGAGCGGCCTCCTCGAACCTGCAATTTTATCCATCTTCATATACGAATGTATCAGGCCATACTACACCCTCACAAGCATCCTATGGTGGCTATGGCTCTGGGAATGCTGCCTCGGCGTACTCTGGTTACGGCGCAGGCTCGGCAGGTGGATTTGGGGGAGGACCAGGCATACAAGGAGTGAGTGGACGTATGGGAGAGTCCGGAGGGCTCAGGACCGGCTGGATAGCTGCCTTTGGGACAGAAGGATATGACGGAGAGCCAGGCTTGATGGAAGAGCTGGGTGTCAACCTGGGGCATATCAAGACGAAGGTGAGTCTGAATCAGACCGATGACAGGTAAGACGCGCTGACCCAATGGAAAAGACACTGACAGTCCTGAACCCGTGGACGCGACCCTCACCTCACATTATGGACGACAGCGACTTGTATGGGGGGCTTCTGTTCCTGGTGCTGTACGGCACATTCCTTGCTCTATCGGGCAAGTTCTTTTACGGTTATATTTACGGCATTGCCCTCTTCGGATCAATAGCTTTGCACTGGATGTTTGCCCTCATGACGCCGCCGGTAGACCCTAGCGACTCGGACCAAATGTCGCAAGCTCAACAGGACCACGCCGGTAATCCAGGAGGAGGACACTTTTCGAGCACCTTGACATATTCAAGAAGCGCAAGCGTCCTGGGTTATTGTTTCTTGCCACTGGTGTTCACTGCGCTGTTCGGTGTACTGCTGCCTATGGATACTGTCATTGGCTACGGTTTGACGGCGGCTGCGGTGGGGTGGTGCACCTTCAGCAGCTCTGGGATGTTTGTGAGTGTGGGGAGAATGAAGGGCATGCGAGGGCTCGTGGCATATCCGCTTGCTTTGTTCTATGTTGGCTTCGGTATCATGGGTATATTTTCGTCGAGAGGGAGTGGCATGCTGCAGGGGAAAGTTATGTGAGTCTGAAGCCAAGCATGGAGGAGCACAGAAACACCTCTTGTCAATTATCTAAACGCAAGCATGAAGTTGAGCGTTCGGCGAAGCTGGGTCATCTATCATAAAAGACTGCATCGCAAGCATACTCGATGATGTCCGATAGCGCTTCAGCTACAATAAATGTAAAATTATGAGAGACTACTCCGGTGATTAGAGAAGCGCATTACGTGGTTACAAAATGTGACTACCCCTACGTCGGGTCGAAACATTCGCAAGCGCGAGATACTGAACCTCCTCCCCGTTCCGCAACTTCTAGTTTTGACGTCAACTAAAGCACACTTCTGACCATAGCACACGCCTCCGTTATGGAGTTCTTTGGCATGACCGGTGAGAAGCTAGGCACAATTGGAAAGGTCGAAGGCAAGGAACAGAAGCTGCCACAATGGAAGAGGGATCTTCTGCAGAAGCCATCGATATCGATACGAGATGGGATCGCCTGGGTGAGTCCGCAAACCATTACATGCCGCTTTGCAAGGGGTGCACGACTTGAAGCTTGTGATGTGCATTCATGGTGGTAATCCATGGGTACCTCGCGAGAAATGTATCAATTGTACCACAAGCCGGCTTCATTACAACCTTCTGATCTGTGATGATTTCTAGCAATATTCGTCGCCGTATGAGGACACATCTACGCTCGTCTTGACCTCCCCAGAATCAGTCTTTGTGGATTTACGTTTTCCCAATCGACCAAACACGGAATTACCACTGAGCTCGGGTCCATCGTTCTGGGCTTTCTCTGGTACCTCTGAAACGTCTTTCGGCCCAGACGATGCCGAAGTCACCATGCCTTACCTTGCACATGCAGTATGGAAGCATGAAATTGATTCGAAAGGACCGGGTATTAGCGACGAAGGGGATATGTTCTTGCTTCCTAATGGAAACTGTATTGAGGTTGGAATGATGATGAATCCCGACACACGCAAGGTTATGATGTACAAGGAATACTGGACTACGCCATCTACGGAGCCTGGGTCAGGAGGTATATGGCTCAGAGGTTCGGGAGGTCTGCGGCGGACGCCTTGTGTCGTTGCGAGAACACAGGGAGCAGATGAAAGCAAGAGTGGGGTGATCATTCGAGTTGGAGACTTTTGTCAGAGCATTGCGAGGCATGAAGAGAAGGGAGTCCTGGTCGAGAGATGGCAGAGGCTTCCGATCTCGTGGGAACCTCCCCGGGAGGATATCGATGGTGGGGATGGGGTAACCGAATGGTCGAAGGACTGGAGAAGCAATACTGCGAAGGATGATCACACAGAGGATCTCATGCCATGTATGTGGATTTGTCGTGGGAATAGAAGACTTGGAGACGAGATTGTGGTGCACGGTATTAAGTGGAAGGTGGTTGAGGCGGCGGTATGAAGGATGAGCACCAGGAGCACCAGAGAGTATCAATTGATGACATAAGCGAGACTGGAGGCATACAGGGAAGTCTCCTAAGTCCTAATGGCCTGCCTTATCCTTTAGGTACTCACTGTAGATGCCTGTCCTTGCTCGGTCGGGATCGCCTATCTCTCTTCGGGATCTGGAAGCGGGAGCGGGAGCTGGAGCTGAAGCAGAAAGAGATCCGGCGCTGCCGCCCAAGTGTCAGATCTCAGGAGGCGAACGCAAGCAGAGATTGCTGCAGCATGATCCCAGAAGAGTGTTTTGAGATGCGTCATGAACACTGGCGCAGTTCTGGTCATGAGGACTTCCCGTGCAAATGATGCTCGAATAAACAAACAGGTGGGATTGATAGTGAAACGGAGCGAGTGGCGGTGGAGGATTGACGCGAGGCTGATGGGCGCCATAGGGGAGCCCAAGCTTGAGCTGGGGAGGTCAGACTTTGCTAGGCGGCCGAAGATTAACCAGAACTTCCAATGGCTTGATAGATTCATCCTCCTTGTTGATATTTGCACGACATTTTGACATGGCTCCCTGTTCTCATACGCATTCCGCATAATCAGCTATTGATAGCTATGCGGATTCTCGGTACCGTGCGCATCTTCACGAGCTTCGCTTGATCACGGATGGGGCAGAGTCGGCCATTCATGGAAAGTTCATACCGCTCCTGCCCATCCATCGTCTCCTGGCCGGCCCGCCACCTGCCGTGCTCAAGCATACAAAGACTGCCTCATGCCTCATGTTGTTGACTCTTTCCGAATCAGCAACTGGTGGCTTCTGGTTCCAGGTGCTCTTACTGACTTACTGATAGCCTTCAGTAGCCACCGCCACTTTACGTTTGTTTACTCTTTTTCTCATATCCTCCTTTTCCTCCATCAAAAAATCTGACATTTTCATCCTCCTTACAACTTCCGAAGTTATTCCATGGTCCTATATCAATCCACCAATTCATCGATTCCGTTTAGCATCTCCAGCATCTATCCGATTCAGCTTCCTGTCGTCTATTGCATCACGAGGGTCTTCCCGATTACGTTCTTTTCGCTTCCGTCTCTCGTGCCCCTCCTTTTCCAACCACCATCCCAAGCCTCGGCCCAACAGCCATCAATCCCACCATCATCATGGGTTCCATGCCTATGCGGACCAAGATCGACGTCGAACATGTCCTTTCAAAATTGAATATTACAGAAAAGATTGATCTGTTGTCTGGCATCGACTTCTGGCATACCGCTCCTGTTCATCGACTTGGTGTTCCTTCCATACGCCTTTCCGATGGTCCCAATGGCGTTCGAGGAACTCGCAATTTCTTGGGTGTGCCCGCAGCTTGTCTCCCATGTGGTAGGGTCTGATTACTGGTGCTTTCGTGATCAGGCTGACGGTCACAGGAACCGGACTTGCAGCAACCTGGGATGTTGATCTAATCCGAAAAGGTGGATCACTTCAGGGCCACGAAGCCATCGCCAAAGGTGCCTCAGTACTCCTTGGTCCAACAACAAACATGCAGAGATCTCCTCTTGGTGGCCGTGGTTTTGAGAGCTTCAGCGAGGATCCCGTTCTTGCCGGCGCGATGAGTGCTGCCACCGTCAATGGTATACAGTCTACCGGCGTTCAGGCTACGATCAAACACTACGTCGCCAATGACCAAGAGGATCAGAGGCAAGCAGTCGACAGTATTGTCACGGAACGAGCTCTTCGAGAAATCTACCTCATGCCTTTTATGATTGCACAGAGAGATTCGAAACCAGACAGCTTCATGACTGCCTACAACAAAGTGAACGGTCTGCATGTCAGCGAGACCCCTCGACTTATTCAAGACGTTCTTCGCAAAGAATGGGGCTTTGATGGAATGGTCATGAGTGATTGGTATGTTACGCTCCACTGTGTTCACCCAGAAAACGACAGCTGATTCTGAACAGGTTTGGAACATATTCAACCAGCGAAGCCATCAAAGCTGGTCTCGATCTCGAGATGCCCGGACCGACTTATATCCGTGGAACACTGGTCAATCAAGCGCTGACATGTGGAAAACTTGGAGAACACCACATCGACGACAGAGTGCGCGAAGTTCTCAAGATGGTCCGCAAAGCTCAGGACCTCGGTCTTCAGGAAAACGCTCCCGAAGAAACAGTTGATACACCTGAGACCGCAGCCCAACTCCGAGACCTAGCCGCCGATGGCATTGTGCTACTGAAAAATGAGAACGACATGTTGCCTTTCGACAAGAAAAAGTCAGTTGCAGTCATTGGACCGAATGCCGCCTATGCTGCATATTGCGGTGGCGGGTCGGCTTCGCTCCTGCCATACTACGCTGTCAGCCCGCTTGAAGGACTTCAAGCTCAGGCTCCACATGCAAAATATGCCCTTGGGGCCCCAGGATGGAAGTCACTCCCACTCATGACTCGGTTGACCAAAACAAAAGATGGCAAAAAAGGTTTGACCATGAAGGTCTTCTTGGATCCACCCTCTGTCAAGAATCGCAAGCCTGTCGATGAAGTACACGTCCCAATTTCAGATGTTCAGCTCACAGACTACCAACACCCTGAGGTCAAAACCCATGTTTACTGGCTAGAGTTAGACGGTACCTTCACGCCTTCCGAGACAAGTGAGTACGAAATCGGCCTGTCTGTGTCTGGAACTGGCAAGGTGTTTGTCAACGGAGAGTGTGTCGTTGACAACGAGACACATCAGCGACGCGGAGACTCGTTTGGTGGAACTGGTACTGTCGAAGAAATTGGAGTCCTCAAAATGGACGCAGGGACTACATATGATATTCACGTCACCTTCGGTACTTGCCCTACCATGAAATTCACCAACCCTGGCTCCAATGATTACGAGTCTGGCGGGCTGATACTTGGATTGGAACGCAAGATAGAGCTTGCAACCGAAATCGAGCGCGCCGTCAAACTTGCCAAGGAGGTCGATCAGGTGGTCCTCTGTGCCGGTCTCAACAAATACTGGGAGTCCGAAGGCTATGACCGAGAACACATGGATCTTCCACCAGGAAGTGATGACTTGATCAAAGCTGTTCTAGCAGCGAACCTCAATACTGCCATCGTCATCCAGTCCGGAACCCCAATAACTCTGCCGTGGCTGAAGGAGGCTCCAGCCCTGGTGCAGGCTTTCTATGGCGGCAACGAATCCGGCAATGCCATAGCGGATATTGTCTTTGGCAACACTAACCCCAGCGGGAAACTGCCGTTGAGCTTCCCAGTGAGAAACAAGGACAATCCGGCCTTCTTGAACTACAAGTCAGAACGTCACCGAGCAGTATATGGTGAAGATGTTTACATTGGCTACCGGTTCTACGAAAAGACCAAGAAGGAGGTTGCCTTCCCCTTCGGTCACGGTCTCAGCTACACCACCTTCGACACCAAGGACCTGGACGTGCAAGATGATGAGGACGAAATTGTGATCTCTGCAACAGTGACAAATACTGGCAAGATTGATGGATCACAAGTTGTCCAGGCATATGTTTCGCAACAGAACCCAAGTCTGAACCGACCAAAGAAAGAATTGAAAGGGTTTACCAAAGTCTTTGTCAAATCCGGAACAAGCGAGAGAGTCACGATTGTTCTTTCTAAGAAGTATGCTGCAAGCTTCTGGGATGAGGCGCGTGATGCTTGGACCATGGAGAAGGACATTTATGATGTCTTGGTCGGTAACTCCAGCGCATCCACTCCCCTCAAGGGACAATTCGAAGTGCACAAAACATCTTGGTGGAGAGGTCTGTGAAGAGTAAATGGTGATGCAGTGGCATCTTCATGACTGCGTATGCACTTTTGGCGTTTGGCGCCCTCAATGGCTTTCGGCGTTCTCCTTGGGACGAGTAAGCGCACGGGTACCTGTCATGCTGAGGGATCTTGGCTCGGGATAAATGGATAGTTTATACTATGGCTATGGGAAGCCGAGGTACTCTTGGTGTGTGGAATAGACTGTTATCCACTCTTGCTTTAAAGCTCTTCCTTCCTGATTAGGTGACAGTGTCCTTCGTATGTGATGTCTGGCACTGCGCCTCAGACTCAGATACACGTGGATAGCGGACTTCATCCGCCAAGACATCAGACTTCGACAATCATTTCATGCCCCATTTCTTCACTGAATCCGTGATTTCTACTCATAATATGATCAACTGAATTTAGGCAAATCTGCTGGCGACGTGGGAGATGGAAGGACAAAAGGGCGGAAGTCAAGGAGGCAACAGGTCAAATTTCCATCAGGAATAGAACATACGTAGGAAAGATTGTGCGCAACATATTCTGCCTCAAATCAGATATCGTCTTTCTTCAACCCATTCCTACGTACATGGGGCATATCCGGGAGGGATCACACAGGTGTTCTGGTCCAAACATGGCCAGCAAACATCTCATTTTCCCGACAGTCTATGCGTTCGGCTCAAACGGCTCAGGACAGCTAGGCATTGGGCATACCAATGACACCGCGCGTCCGGAGAAATGTATATTCCGATCACGTCAGCAGTATAGTCCTGATCATAATGACAGCGAGGAACGCGAAGCGCCGGCGGGATCGGTCACTGTTGTGCGAAGGATCGTGGCTGGAGGGAACCATACGCTCATCTTGATGGAGGATGGTCGAGTGTTCGCAGCAGGGAATGCTGGGTCCGGGGATGAGGACACGAGTGTCGGGTTCGTGCAGCAACATTTCTATTTCGAAGGCAATGTGACGGATGTTGCTGCAACGTGGGAAGCGTCCTTCATTGTGGTGGACAGTAAAAGGGTTTTTGTCCAAGGTTCGGGTGCGAAAGGGGAATTGGGACTTGGCAACGGCGTTGTGACCGCAGAGAGGATGGACAGGGTCTTTGATGTGGATGATCTGATTGTGCATTCGGAAGAGCAGCAGTACGCTAACGCCGAGATTGGCGACATTGCGGCGTGTCTATCGCATGTCGTGGTTCTACTGTCGAATGGGCGTGTCTTTGGGTGGGGAAGTTGTCGGAAAGGACAGCTCGGAGACCAATTCAAAGAACAGAAGATCTTGTGGGAGCCAACTATGATCGATGTCGGATTGCCGTTCCAGCCGGAGAGAGTTGTTGTTGGAAGGGATTACACTGTCTTTTACCGCAATGGTGAGAAGCCGGTGATCTGTGGCGAGGTGAGAGGTTTGAACGAGGAGGTGTTCCAAAAGCCTGTGCAAGCCGGTGAGACAATTGTTTCTGGCTGGAGTTCGATACATACACTCTCGTCTGGCAATGTCATGAGTGTGGGCAAGGATAACCGCGGCCAACTTGCACCAGCAAACGTGCCAAAGATCAAGGCTTTGGCAGGTGGGAGTGAGCATTGCGTTGCCCAGACGCAGAGTAACCAGGTAATCGCATGGGGCTGGGGCGAACATGGTAATTGCGGCGAGGAGCTCGACTCGAAGGGAAATGTCGCTGGACGTTGGAACGTAGTTCCATTACCTCGTCTGGACGACGGGATCCAGATCTTGGACGTTGCAGCAGGTTGCGCGACGAGTTTTGTGATTTGCGGGAGGCTTGATCCGGATTGAATTCAGTCGAAGATGCCACGAACTTGAGAAAGACGCTGCGTGGGAGCGATCTCATGTGGAAATCTAGATGTCGGAATGTTTGTGCGACGGTCGTGTTCCTGCATTGATGCAAAAGAATGCAGCTCTGAGTCACGGATGCGACGTGTAGAGGCTGACGCAGACACTTCGTCGGCGGTATTGTCCCAGGTCACTATATCGGGCTCTTCTTCAAAGTTGGGTGCGTCCCATTGCTGATCATCATCATCTGCAGGGATGAAGAGGCTGTCTGGATTGAGACTGCCAGCAGGCGGAGGCGCGCTATCTCCAGACTGTGTATTTGAGAGGTTCGATGCTGCAGTATCGGGATCGCGGAACGACGTACGTGCTGGTGGTGGCATAGTTGCAGTGTCGGCGGGACGACTGCTGGCTGGGAGGGTAGGTGCTGCAGAAGCTGGCGTTTCGGGAGGTCGTGATCCTGGACGCAATGAGAGATCTCGTGCCGGTGTGCTTCCATTCGAGGCACTTGGAACATTTGTGCTGCCGCGGGTCATGAGCGTGAATTCAGCCAGGAAGCCGTTGTCTTCGTAGCTGATCTGCATTGGGCGGTTGCCTCGCGAGTACCGTGCCGTGACGAGCGCTCTCATGGATTCTGCATGCGCAACAATGGCGCGGAAATCCTTGACCATGATGCCGATATGGAGACCTTCCTGGACGTTAAAGTCGTTGAAGTCTTTGCGTTCGAGCGCTACGGAGGTATGCATTGGTTGCTTCAGGATCTCTGGATGCGAAGTCACTGTCTGCTCTTTCCTTTGTCAAGGAGGCTACATACCTCTTCCGCTCTGAATCTTCTCAGTGTAGCTTGTGAAAGTGACCTTCCCACTCTGGAAGTACCAGTCTAATTGATCTGTTTTCGGTCCAAAGTACTCGACTACATCGCGCAATGTCCGTGACGCGACGGTCCAGTAGTTGGCGGATCCAGCCTTGTCGAATGCGGCGTGGAGGATATCCCCAGGTTCATAAAAGAGTCTATAGGTCTTGACGACACCCTGTCGACAGTTCAGGCGGAAGATGAGTCGACATTCCGCCTGGTCTTGGTTCGCTTGCAGTTCACATTCGCATGTTTCCAGTGCAGTATCTCTATCCCGTTGATCCGCTAAGCGACGTTTGAAGATTGACAGGAGAGCCTTCATCGTCAGGCATAGTGCTCGAAAGGGTCATGTCATGAGACTTACTCTGTTTTGCAGTTTGCATGTCCAAATCTTGGGCAATGGAGGACCTGATGCACTCCTTGGTCCAGGAGAAAAGTGATACTTGGTGAAGAAGGACGAACCGAGTGTGAAGGCGGCATGGGCTGTTTTGGAGATATTCAGACTCGAAATGCGGAGCTGAAGGCTTCAGTCTTTGCGTCACAGTCCTCCAAGCGAAAAAACTTACGAACTGAGGCGTTGCCTCGAGAGATACATCTTCGTCGAATTTTGCTAAGCAGGTTAGGAGGTCGTGAAGATGACCAACACCTTGCGGAGCGACAGTGAACAGGAGGACTGGCATCTGAAAATCTCCATTCGACACATAGATGACGATATACTGCTCGAGATGTTAAAGTAGCATCCAGGGAGAAACACTCTGACTGTTAGAGTGCCAGGTAGAGTTCGACGCGGTCGACGCGTGAAAAGGCGATGATGTCATTGGTTGAACTCGATTGTACTGGAAGTCTTGTTGATTTCGAGATCGACTTCACTACTATTTACAATCAACCACTTCGCAAATTTTTCGCCACAATTCGGGTAGGATCACATTCCTGAAGATTGATAGACAAGCACATCGATTGGATAAAATATTCTTATCTCCCTTCTCGGGGTTTGCCTGAGCTGGCCTGGTCAATGTCCTCTTCATCTGGCGGCCTGACACTGCCCGACGAAATATTGTCTGTGGTATGTGAAGAACTCGGTCGCGAGGGCGACTTTAGGACTCTCTACCGATGCGCTCGAAGCTCAAAGTCGTTGGCAGATCCGGCCCTCAGGACCATGTACCAGTGGGTTTCGCCGTCAATGAATTTCTAGCATCTCGGTACTGATACGCCACAGACAGCATCAGACATCTCCAGTCTTCGAGCAACGGGATGACCTAGAAGTCCGTCAGAAGGCGGTCGACTACACTACTAGAGCTGCTGAGCAAACCCAAACCTTCCGGAAGTGGACTGTCCTGTGGCGCTCAATCGTACTGTCTAGTCTCGATGATTTTACTACCTATAAGCCATACTGCCGCTACATCAAGGCACTAGATTTCCGCAATCTGTCGGCCATGCTAGACGACTACAAGTTCACAGGCCCCATTCGCAAATCATTTTTTGCTGGCCGTCTCCAACCCTTTCATTTTCCCAAAAAGGAGTTCGCCAGGCAGACCGTGGATGTCATCGCTACCGTCAATGCCATTGGAGAAGCAGTCACTGAGAAGGCGACCTTGCTAGAGGAGATTGACGGGCACATCAGTCCTGGATTCTTACCGAGGTGGATATCCCGGTCTCGGAAACTGCAAACATTGGTCTTGTGGAAAGGGGACGCTCTTGCCAGTGGTGCAGGTGCCGCCATTGCTGAGCATTGTGAACATTTCAAGAGCCTGACGATACACGAATGGAGATCCGCGGACGCGGATGATGCTTTTGCGACTTTCCTGGACGAGCTAAACCCGGACACATTGAGCTACTTTGAAATGATCAGCTACAACGACCTAGGAAGACGGTCCTTTGAGGCGTTGGGACGTCACAGGACGCTACAAGAACTAGATTTGAGCAATCTCAATCAAGAGGCCATGCAGAACCTGAACGCGCTCAAGGGATGCACCGAGATACGCACACTCAAGCTCGACGATAGTGCTGGAAATGTCCAGCTAGAAGCCAGGAACCATGACGTTTTCATTGAAGTGGTGGGATGGCTCAGCTCCTGTCGGAACCTGCGGGATCTCACCCTCAAGAACTTTTTCGATGGTCCTGCCATCCTTGCCCAGGTCCTGTATTCACCCGGTGTGAAACTGAGCAAGCTATCTCTGGAAGGGTATTCTGTTCGATATACCAGTGCACGGCTATTCCACAGTGCGCTTGCTGAGCAGAGCAGTCTGGAATCAGTGTGGCTCAAGGGCAACGGTGAAGATACCACTCCTGATGACCTTCAAATAATGGTTCAAGGTTTGTGCAATATGACAAATCTGCGGGAGCTCGTCCTCAAAGACGTGTCGGATGAGTTTTCGGAAGAGCACATCATCGCCCTTGCCCTGAGCCTCCCACTGCTTGAAGACTTCTGGACCAGTGGCGAAGAAGTCTCAGCTGATATTCTGCCCGCACTCCTCAATTTGAAGTATCTGAAGAATCTGACGCTGTACGCAATGACCCAGTTCCCAGCGGATGCCCTGATCGACTTCATAACGAACCTTGACCCGGTGACTCAGAAAGGGTTCAACTTGTCTTTGATGGCCTCGCATCCGGAATTTGATCTGACCGACGGGGAGCAAGACCTAATTCGTGACTGCATTCGGACACACCTTGACGGTCGATTTGACTTTGTCCTGTGGCGTGACGCCGATACCAGCGACAGTGACGAAGACTGAATGATGCACTAGCCTCGTGCCAATAATGTCAAAAATCACGTCGCCGACGCCTCTGATGCCTTGATCAGGGCTCCTTCCAGTACCTGACAGAAGTGGAACACGTCCACGGAGGAGTTGTATAGGGGTGCTGGTGCGACTCTGATGACGTCCGGTTTTCTTTCATCAACGACAATGCCTTGGTGCTCGAGCTGCTCTAGCACATTTTCGAGTAGTCCCGGCGCCAAGCGAATGCTGAGTTGTGCGCCTCGCTCCTCTGGCACCCTGGGAGTGATGATGCTGAAGACACCTGGATGTCTTAACGTTATGGCGTCCAAAAGTTGCTCAAGATAGGTGGTCAGACGCAAAGACCTCTGCCGCAGTTCGCCCATGGAGGTCTCGTTGAACACTTGTAATGATGCCACAACGGCAGCCAGGTCGAGAGCGCTCGGATTGGAGAGCTGGTACCCTCTAGCCCCTGGTCGAGGGACGAATTCTATCGGTGTCAGCATTCCTTCGGAGTTACAAGCTGGGGCAGGACTTACTGTTAGTCATCTGAAACCTGGTCGACTTATCATCTCCCCACCATCCGGACAGACGCGGCCAGAATTTTGGGGTAGAGCCTTCCATTTCGACCTTTCCAAACTTCTCATTGACGAAGATTCCTGCCATCGCGCCTGGTCCTGAGTTCAGATATTTATAGGTACACCACGCCGCAAAGTCGACATCCCAGTCATGGAGTTTCACATCCACATTGCCAGCAGCATGAGCCAGGTCCCAGCCGATGAGAATACCGTGGGAGTGCGCGTGGGCAGTGATGGTCTGGATATCGAAGTATTGCCCAGTATAGAATTGGATACCTGGCAGAAGGATCAGGGCTAGCTCGGATGCATGTTTATCGATTGTCTCTAGGATTTGCTTCGTAGGCAAGATTGGAATATGCGAGTCAGTTGGCTCTAACACAACCATAGCCTCTGCCGGATCCAGACCATGATGAATGATTTGTGATTCGACAGCATACTACATGCTCAGTCAGTACAATTGCAGATCTGCCGGTGTTGAATGCACTGCTCACATGATCACTGGGAAAAGCCTTGCCCTCAAGAAGAATCTTCCACCGCCCTTCTCCCTTTCTGCTGGGCCGGTAGAAGCTTGACATGAGGAAATGCAGATTGGCGGTCAGAGTGCCCATGACTGCAACCTCAGCTTCCACAGCTCCCACGATTGGTGCCATGAGCATTGCCGCATGGTCGTCTATGTCCAAGAAAGGCGGCAGTGGCGAATCCGGTAGATCAGTGAAATGTCCCGTCACAGCCCTGGTCCGCCACTGCGTCAGGAAAGCACTGATGAGGTCCGCTGTTCTGGTAGGCTGCAGGCCCAAGGAGTTGCCGCACAGGTATGTACAAGGCTGTGAAGGCTCCTCCTCAGGAGGTTTGATCAGTGTCTGCCGTTTCAAGTCTGCTAGAGTCGGAATGTAGAAGTTGGATCGGAATGTGGACAGAGGATCTGTTTCATCCAGGGAAGCCGCATAGTCTTGTGAGAAAGGATCCAGACTTCCATCCATCGATGTCTTGGTACGCTCCTGTGGCGCCATGATATTTTATGATTGTCGTCAGAAGAAGGGGAATGATACAAGCTCCCCAAGGTCACCCTTTACAACGACCGGCTCCTGCACCCAAATCTCAATGGCCCCGATACAAGATGCTTGCTCGTGTGAATATCGCCAGACGCTGATCAGCCAGTTGGAGTATTCCTTATGATGATAGGTATAAAATACATCTGCGGTTAGTGGCGGGTGCGGAGATCGATGTACGTCAAATGATGCATGGAATTGTCAGCGACCGAAGTTTCTCCAGCGAGTCTTCTCTACACTTCTCCAGCTTTATGACCCTCTTCTATCGTTGTGTATCTGTCCGACACCTCGTCTCTGCACATTGTAACCTCTCATCATGTCACACGCTCCACTGCGTTTAGCATTCTCCGTTGCGCGCCCCTTGCGGCGACCGCAAGACCCTACGTTGTTCCTCCGCGCCTGTCGAAGCATCTCCAACTCTTCGCCTCTACGGGCAGTACCTCACTCGACTACTGTTCCTGCCAAAGCAAACACTTCTCGACCGGCTTTGTCGACTCCCCGGCACTTCTCAAGTACGACTACAAGAAGGGCTGTTGTCGTGGCCCAGAATCCTAGAACGGACGACGATGGACATGATATGACCATTGAGATTACAGAGCGAGCAGCCAAGGTATGTTCTCGTTTCCAACATGGAGGAGTATCGACATTTTTAACATATATCCAGCGCCTCAAGCAAATCACCAGCGCCCCTCCGCAGAAGAATACGCTCACCCCCTCTGCTGCTTCTGACAGCTCGCATTTGCGAGTGACGGTGACTGCCGGCGGATGCCATGGCTTTCAGTACTTGATGTCACTGGAGGATGCTTCCAAGATTGATCAAGAGGAGGACACAGTGTTCGTGAGCGAGGAAGCTGATGGCCCTGGAAAGGCGGAGGTTGTCATGGACCAGGCTTCGCTGGAATTGCTGAAGGGAAGCACGGTCGACTTCACCACCGAATTGATCGGCAGCCAATTCAAGATTGTTGGGAATCCGAGGGCGACGAGCAGTTGCGGCTGCGGGACCAGTTTCGACATCGAGTGAAGAATGGCTGTTCGGGTCGATGCCAGCTGGACAAGCATGGTTTCGCAATTGCAGCGAATAGGAATTCCGGCTCTGGTTCTTATTGCAGATCCGCATATACCTAAGATTACACGCCAAAATCATGATCGTCGTGCCTCTTACCCAGTCTTCCAGCTCACCAATGGCTCGCTGACGGCCCAGTGTGAAAGGAAACCAACGGAACAGGGTGCATTGGGGGAATATCAGTCGCTCGTCAGAAGAGATATGCAGAGGACACAACGACGAGTCGTCTGTAACTCCGACGAATGACTGCCACGCCACGACGGAGATAATCTTGATTGTCTCATATCCAGCCACTCAAAGTACCTTTTAATCGCTGTGACCAGTGCCATGGGGTCTCAGACTGATGTCTTCGACAACTTGCGTCAACCGGCCTGGTTCTCTGTCCACGAAACTATCGCATTCCGCCAACTTCAAGATGTGTTGCGACCCGGGCTAATCGACGTGCTGTGATGCCGTCATCACTTGTTTGGTGCTACCTGTGCTACTGGTACAGTGTGGCCGGACTCTGACAAGGTTGGCTTTACATACACACATGCTAGCGACCTAGACTGCGCAAGAGACATCTAGAGGATGTCTATCATACTGGAGTACCGTCTGCTGTCTCAGGCCGTGAAACGTTTGCCGTTGATCCTACCAATATGCCTCTTTTCCACAATCATCATCTGCCATGCGCGAAGCATGGCGACCAAGGGACCAGGCAAGCCTCTTGTCTCGCTCCATCCGACGCCTCGCTCTAGGTGGAGTTTACCGCGACCGAGCATAGTGTCCTTGGCATCTTCCACGGCAAATTCCATTTCTGTGGCCAATCTACGCTGCAGCGAGTCCAGACGCTGTACATGTCTCGACTGCATGGCTTGACAATCAATAGTCGCTGTCGTCTCCTGGTCGAGGGCATCGATGACAGCTTTGTCAGATCCTTGCTTCACAAGGTCATCCATCATAAGCTCGGCCTCCTTGGCGGCATGCGATTTGAGGTATTCGTCGCTGGACTTGGTTGAGACTTCTTTGCTTAGCAATAGGAAGCGATAGAGCACATGGTCCAAGGTCTTGTCGATCTGCAGATTCGGTCAGCTCGGGAGTCATTGTGGTGGAGGTCTAAGCATGAGACTCACTTGTAGCTTATCAAATTTGGAGGTCTTTTCACAATTGTCACTGGTCTCCGCCATCTTCTGAGTATTACTTTTTTCGTCGCAGATGTTGTCTTGCTTGTTTGTTGCAGGTGTGCTCGATGCTTCATTGCTGGTCGAAAGACTGGAACTGTCGTCTTCGAGGAGCTGGCCCCAATCGCCTAAAGCGTAGGCTTTCTCATCCTTTGCCTGTATGGGATCTTCCATCTTCAACAAGATATGCCCAAGCCTGGCTCCAGCCGGGACTTCCTCTTTCTTCGCTATCATACGGTATTCATCTTCTCGTCTCGGGCTAGCAATGTAGAATGATTCCTCCGACATTTCACCCACGGATACTGTGTTTAGCGATTCGGTGGACATTGCTGACGGAGTCTGGATGTATTGTTCCATACTCGCGGAGGCTCGGTGCTGTAGAAGTCTGTTGCCACAGGATGTGGTGGTAGAAAATGTGGGAGATGCAGAAGAGAAGTCGGGGAAGAGAACCAGGTTGTTGTGATGCTATTCTTGTGAAAATATACGGTTCAGTGAGTTATCAGAAGAATCAGTGAAGCACCAGATATGGTGGGTGACAAGAACAGAGAACGAAGTGAAGATAAACTTGGACTTTCTCACTGCACCTTGCGCATTATCATCATCCATGCACCTGCTAATTTTCACAAGACTCCTCTCCATATTGCGCCCCTTAGAATCTGAAGGCGAGCTGCGCATGTCCAGTATCGTTGTTAAGTCAAGCCAGTTCGCTGCTCAACCAGAACCTCTTGGAATTGGACAGCTGGCCTGGCCTAAATCCCGATGTCTGGATCCAAAAGTCCTCATCTGCACCGACTGATCTTCTGGAAACACCCCTTCCCAGTCTGCAGCAGCCGCTGACCAACACGCCCAGGTAGAGCCCTTAGACCTCAACTGATCCCTCTGACGCTTCAAGCACCCAGTCGACGAATTCAAGCTGAAGCTCCTCAATTTTCTGGAACAGGTCGAAGTCCTCGTCGCAATGCTTGTCCTTGATACATTCGACAATTTCGCCCTTGTTGGCATCTTCAAGCTTGACCAGTGTATCGCCATTGGCTGGAATCTTGCCTGCCTCGCGTCCCATGATGGTGGCAAGTTCTCTAAAAATCACCGCAAATCTCACCAAGCCCTCGCGGCGTCTGAGATTCGCACGACGAATGCAGGCTCTTCTCTCCACGGCTTTGCAAATTGATGATGGGACCATGGTGCCAGTATCTCGCGGATCCATACTTGCTGAGAGTGCGTCGAAAGCCTTTTGTCCGATCGTATCTTGCGCCGGGTGCACTGATGTTAGATGAAATGAATTGCTGGCGATTCAGGGATAGGCATGCCGGCGTAATCAAGACCTTTGGTCGTTCTGAGCGTTCAGGCATACTGACATCAACCGAAAGTTCCGCCATGATGGACATTGGGCTGCGATATCGAGGTACTTAATATATTCTGGAATAAAGACGAATACCTGATCGATTTGGAATAGCTAGTTGCTCTGTTCTGACCGGATTTGTCGTAGGTTATCCAAAATGAAGGGGAAGGGGATATTTATAGGCCTTGTGAGAGGCCTTCACCTGCTGTGAACCGTCCAGAACATTGTGTGTTGAGGAGCCGTTGACTGGTGTAGTGAGCCAGACGAACGCCGTCTCGGAGAGTTCAAGTGAGAAGAATACCCGATGACATGCCTCGCATCGGTAGGCCAAAGTGAAGAAGAGAAACATCAACCTGTTCTTCCAGCCCGGTTCATCGGACCCCAGTTTTCCCGCGGATTCATCTGGTATCTCACCAGCTTGCGGCGATTATTATTCTCCTTGCCCAACTTCTCATCGAAGACGATGTTGAGCTTGCTTGCTTCCACAGGGGATGGACTCAGCGAACGTGTTCGTTGGGCCCCGTCCTTTTCGCTTCGAGGCACTGTCTCGTCGTGTTTGCCATTCGATTGGTCCGAAGCAGGCTTTTCGTTTTCCAGTCTCCACAGCATACCCTGCAGGACAGTTTTCATGTCCTCCTTGGTATCGCATCTTGCAAGCTGGTCTTTTGCACCATCTTTCAACCCCGAAACGAACGCTCTCTCGGTGCCCCTAGCTCTGGCTAAGATGTTCCAGCCCGGCGTTCCTGCCTTTACAGCACCTTCTTTGATAGGTGCTTTTGTCCGCATGAACTCTCTGATTATTTCCCAGAGTACGCTCCAGGGTGCATTGGTCTTGATGCTGCCGGGTTTGCAATGTGAGCGGGTGACACGGTAACCCAGGCTCAGAATAGCACCACGCATTATGGACTCTGACGGTGTACCGCAATGGATGATCTTGGCTAGTTGGCCGGGTATAACGAAGAACGGAGCATTGTCGATAATATTAGCTGGTAGGCGTGGAATGAGGTTTGCTTCCGATTCTGTCAAGTCCTCCGATGGCGCGGATGCTTCGGTTCCTGTAGTTGGTTCCGTAAGGTCCTCCTCGAGGGCGAGCGTGAGCATACCCTTCAGACGTTCTGTTGTGCCATAGACCTTCTCGTCAAGGGATGGCAGCCTCTCCAGCATCTTTTGTACGAAGTACGGATTGTGAAGAGGGCCAGCCCACATTGGACCACAAAGGTGCATCTTGGAACCACAGTGTTCGCAATTAGGCGTAGTCAGGGGCGCTTGTGCGAACGAGAACTTGTACACTGTCTCTCCACTTTTAGATGTTTGTGTTTGGTTTCGCAGCAGAGGCTGGGTAGTCCAGGCACCACAGCCATGCGCGCAGTTGTAAATTGTCATGCTCGTGCCGGCAAGCAATTTGACTTCGTGCTGCTTTCGATGAACACGGATGAACAGACGAGCGTAATAATCGATGTACAACGATAGCAGAGGTTCGACGGCGAGACCGTATCGTGCAGCAGAGACGGCGACCGCATTCAGGATCAATCTGAGACCTCCTTCGTGAGAGTGCGGACCTTTCGTAGGCGTGCCTCCATAAAGTGCGTACGTTTTCTCCGGGTAACCCGTCGAAGCAAAGACTCCTGCGTCTGTACAAGTGACGCAAAGCATTCCTCCATCTTGCAGGGCTTGGAGACTGGCATCGATGAACGGAGCAGCAGTACCGTAGGGATCCAGATCAATGACATCAAACCTGTGCACATACCCTTCGCCGTGACGCGGTTGTTCATTTCCAACCTTACTGTACATGAAACCGCGAGCATCGCCCAAGTTAGACCGGACCTTATCCTCGACTTTATTATGCCTGATGTTCAGGTTGATGCTCTGCACTGAGGAGGGTGACAGATCGTTGGCGACGATATTTGTGGCGAAGGGAATCTCTTTGGCATATCGCAGTGCCCGGAGACCGGTTGCAGAAAGTGCGTCAAGAATGGCAAAGGGTACTCGTTTAGTCTTCGCTGCCGGGTGTTCATTTGCAGTCGCTTCCTTAGGCAGCGAGTCCGATGTGGTACCATTTTGACCTGTAGCTTTTTCTTGTCCATCTTGAGCAGCCAAAGGGTCGCTGCTTAATGCCTCCACAAGCAAGTCCTCGTCGTCATCCGCCTCTTCGGTGGTTCTAGGCTTCTTGCTTGCTTCAGTTGCAACTCGGTCTGCTTCCTCATCAACCAGTTCATCGGCTTTACGCCTGCGGCTGGTAGCCTGGTCATGCCCGTTGACGGTCTCGTTAGCAGGTTCTGGGTTGGATGATTTCTGCTTTTTCTTGCCCTTGGTGTTCTTTCTTTGCTCGGCTTTCTGAGCGTTTCGAGCCTCCTTTTCCAGTATCGCGCCCTCGCCGTAGATTGTTATCGCAAGGACGCTCAAATCTCGGTTAAACTGTTGAATAGGATTGTAGAAGACTGCTTGGAGGCCCTCATCATTGTTTCTACCTTTCTTGACGGACGGCTGACTTTCATCTCGATAAGGAGCCAACACTGTAGCCAGACCCTCGTGCACATTCCTGTACTTCTTTCCGTCAATGACGGTCGCCTCTGGCTCAGGTGCTAGAGCCATCTGGGATTTGGAAGATGGTGTGAATATGCTCCGCCGTGTCAATAACGAGGAAGCGGCAGAGCCGTCTGGTAACAAATGTCGTGTCCGCTCAAACAGCGATATTCCTCGAGATGATTTTACCAAGCCCAAACATCGCATAACCCCTGCTGATGCGCCACTTGAGCAGGTAGAGCCTCCCGGGTTCGATAAATTAATGACTGGAAAGGGGAGGACCCGAACTAAAATCGAGCGGAAAATAGTAGATCGATGCCAAGAATCTCAGCCTTCTCAGTGTGCACTCAGCCTTGCCAGCCTCGTCTACAATTTCTGCCTCATCAGGGTGTGTTTTCACTTTACTAAGTTTCATCCACACCACTTGCAAATTTGTAGGCTTTGGAACAGGCAGACACATTCACCAAGTCGAGGTCATGGAGGGTAGGGACGTTTTCAAATTTCAAGTCCTCAGGCGGACTAATAGTGACTGACTGGGCCACCAGGCTGCCGACTACTATGAAGTGCTCCTAACAGCTGATCATGCTCTGGCCTTGATCCGTCATGACTCACGTACCGAGACATCAACATTGGCCCTGGAAGTCATTCCGCAGATCAGATATCTGGCGAACGTGCCCTGGTCCTCTTCTGCGGCAAAGTGGTCCGGAAATACCGACATGCTTGTTTTCAGCAATAGGCCTGACATCGCCAATTCTTCCTGTCGCCACTCGAGGCTTGGAGGTGCTTTCGCGTAGCTGAGCCTCAAGCCGGGATATCGGGCGGACGAAACATTGACGAAATAAATCTCCAGCCTAGGGCAGGCTGGTGGATACATCCTCGATGAAGGCGTATTATAAAGGATTGGTGGAGTCTCTCGAAGGCCATGACTAGAACGTCAAAGCCAGATTAACGACTTTCAATTCCTTGATTCGTCAAGTGCCAGCCGCGATATGACTTGGGCATGCTGGAGTACAGCCTGTCGGTCTGCGTGGGTCGTAGTAGTCATCGACGTCTGTCACATCACTGTCGTCGTCTATAGGCGCAAGCTTCTCGTCGATCTCGGGTTCGCCGTCCTTCTTCTCCGCATCGACAGGGACACCATCGTCTGCTGGAGCAAAAGCATTCTTGAAGCCGCCTTTCTTAAAGCCTCCAGCACTCGCGGGGGTGCTTTTCGCTGCGCCACCCAGCTTTATCTGCATCAAGGGCCCTTTCTCTTCCTTTTTCGGCTGTACTTGTCTCTGCATCTCTTTCATCTCCTTGAGCCTCTTCTTGTGTTGGTGGTCATAGGACGATTCGTGAGCATCGAACTCGTTCATGCGACTGTAGCCTTTCTGGCATAGCGAACAGAAGAACGCACTACGCGCTTGCTTCGCTGATTGTGTATTTGCTGGAGGTAGAGTAAAACCTCTCTGGAGTGGTATATACTAGTCAATAACGTCGACGGTGACGAGCTTGAAAAGCACTGATCGACGCGCTATCGCAAGGATGCACAGTGCGACTTACCGGTGCCATGTTGGCGAAGAGACTGGTCACAACAGCCCAGTGTAGTTCAATCAACAGAATGCACAGTCTCTTTACAACCCGTCGCGATAGACTCGTGAGACCCTGGGGACGGAAAATCAACTGAGAAGGTTGCAGGAATAGGGATAACCGGTGATGAAAAGAGAATGCGCCAGGGATGTGATAGGTGCGTTAAAGGTTGAACGGCAGTTGGCGGCCACGGCCTCGGCCTTGACTTCCAGAGTTCCTGCCCCTCCCTCGAAAGTTCAGCCGCATCAACAATTCTATCTTAATAATTTATCAGCCCACCCTTCTTTCTCTCTCTTCTACTTGGAGCTTGCTGGTTGTCACAGATCTTGATAATGTGGTTTTATCAACTTTGTCATTGTCGCCAATTGTCGTGATTGTGTTACAAATTTTTTTCACGCGGTGCCAGAAAACGTGGCATCGCAAGTTGACCCCTGCTGATCATCCGTGATCGTCTGCTTCAAAGCCTTGCGGCAATAGAGGCGCTTCTCCGCCGGAGCTGCCACTGGCTGCTTAGTAGCGAAGGAATGCCTATGCGGCGTCCGCGCCATCACAGCCACCGCCATGCGCCTCATCAATGTGCGGACTATGCAATTGGAGGAGTTCTCCAGTGGTCAGATTCCTAAATATGCTATCCTGTCGCATAGATGGGGAGCCGAAGAGGTTAGCTTGCAGGATATGGACACGCCAAAATTCCTTGATGGCAAAGCAGGCTTCAGCAAGATCAACTCCGCTTTGTGGCTCGCCCGAAACAAGGGCTATTCCTATCTATGGGTCGACACTTGTTGCATCGACAAGAACAGCTCATCCGAATTAACCGAAGCTATCAACTCGATGTACAGGTGGTATCAGGAAGCGGAAGTCTGTTTCGCCTATCTCAGCGATATCGAACTCCATCAGCACGAGCTCTCAACTAGCGTGTGGTTTACCAGAGGCTGGACATTGCAGGAGCTTATCGCTCCCAAACATGTTAGCTTCTATGACAGGAATTGGGTGTCTCTGGGAACCAAGGAGAAACTCGCTCCGTACCTATCTGCCGCCACTGGTATCGACCTTGAGGTGCTACTTGGCAGAAGCAGTCCCTCGAGCTGCTCCGTGGCACAGCGTATGTCCTGGGCGGCGAAGCGGGAAACAACCCGTCTCGAAGACAGTGCATACAGTCTACTGGGGATTTTCGATGTCAGCATGCCTATGGTTTACGGAGAAGGCGAGAAGGCCTTCAGACGCCTGCAGGAAGAAATCCTCAAGGTGTCTGACGATCACACGATCTTTGCTTGGGATACCCTCCCAAAAGGTGGTCCGGGAGGCCACAGTGGTCTTCTCGCCACGTCACCTTCACAGTTCGAGAGGTGTCAAAATGTCGTTCGCTCGTCGACAAAAATAGTAAGCACTGGCGGGTTTTCTCTCAGCAATGTCGGCCTTTCTATCCAGCTATTGACGATTCCATGGTACATGGAGACATACCTTGCGGTTCTCAACTGCGGCATGAAGAAAAGCCCGCGCATGAGACTCGGCATCTTTCTGGAGCGTCTACTCTCTTCGCACGACCAACAACAGTTTGCTCGCGTGCAATATGCGGGAGTAACAGTATACCCGGTGTCTCTAGATACCATTGCGGAAGACTCTCATTGTCGGCCCCGGCTGCTTCATGTACGACCGACGATAATCGATCCGCCACTCGGCCGGTGGCATGGCTTCCGCTTGCACGACCTGAAATTACCAGGATACAAGCCCAAAGAATATCTTCGCGCCGAGTTTTGTTTTAGAGACTCTTGGCCTCATCGGACCCGGTATCATCCTTCCGAAATGGAGTCCGCCAGGAGATGTCTGCCAAATGGACTGTTGGATCTGCCAGCCAGGCCTGTGTTCTTCGGCATGCCCAAGGGTAGGGGCACAGCAGGTATCGTATATGTGCCGCCGTCGAGGAATGATCCGGACGGTGATTTAATTAGCTGGATGAAGTTTGGCTTCGACGAGGAATATGCGCCCATGTGCATCTTTGGGAGACGACGCTCGCTATGGGGAGGTGGTTCAGCATATCTAGCTGTCGACCATGACTCATTCGACGATGCAGAACACATTGCGGGCGAACATGCCCTTCTATTTCGGAATGAGTGGATCATCAAGGAGAAAGGATGTCGCGATATGAAGAGTCTCGCGGCAATTTGGCAAACACGAAACTTCTGCATGCTTCGCGGCGATAGAGAACGAGGTTTGGATGTCAAGATACCATTCTTGAGAATCCATATCACGATTCAGTTGGAGAACGTTTACGAAGGGTACGCACCTTATGGTCGACCCAATGACTTGATGACCGGTATGAACATTTGGACGATCAGTGTCACCTCCTGGGAAGACCACAGGCAGAGGGGGGGTAGGATACCAGACTTGGGCTCTTCAGCTTTGATATGGAAATCGTTGGACGATCTTTTTATATGATACCAGGTTTTGGGATGGATTTCATCCAAGACTTTCACTTTTGCGGAAATTGAAGGCTATCATCACCTGAATACTTTCTGGATGGACGGTTTTTATTATTTAATGATATGTAGATATTATGTACAGTGGACAGCAGTTAATGCACATTGCTAAGATACCTAGGGAGGTGATGAAGACATGTTGGAGAGTAAGGTAATTAATGCATCGGTTCAGCCTTGCCCCTATTACATAAGCCTTAATGGTCTGCTCTGAACATAATCAGCTCGACGATAATTGGTTCGCTCCTAAACTCTCCCCATGCATATCTCCAAATCGCAGTCTATCTCCGAAGTAATCTTGTAAACATTGACTGACCACCTATGATGATCAAAGAACTCCCTGACCACCCCAAGACAATGAGGTTTCTATAACGCTACATCGACATTCTCCCATCCAGAATCCACAACAATGTCCTCACAACCACCCGAGGGTCTCGCACCCCTCAGCACAAGCGATACCCGCTCCTCCATCTCAGCAGCACCGATGCACGAAGTCGAGCCCTCACCAGTCGACGAAGAAGAACCTCCCACATACCCAACCAACCCATCAGACATCGACCCAGAGAAACTACCTGTGTCCGAATCAACACACAACACCACAAACTGGTTGGGCCTCACACCCGCTCGAACCCTACACATCCTCTCCGCGGTCCAGAAATATGCAACAGTCCCACCAACAATCTACCTCGCAATGCACTATACCAACACAGCCATCATCCCTCTCGTGACACGCAACGTCGCCGAGTCAGACAAGTACCTCCTCCTGACGAGGCCATACTACCAATCCTTCCCCATCGAGCCACTCATGATCTTCGCCCCGATTCTCACGCACGTCGTCTCTGGCATTGCACTACGTCTATACAGACGGCGGATCATCGCGCTTCGCCACGGCGCCGAGACCCACGCGGACCGCAAGAAAGTTTCCTGGCCGAAGGTCAGTCTGACTTCAGCCCTAGGATACGCCATGTACCCCATGTTCGTCGCGCATGTGCTCATGCAGCGAGTCATCCCTAAACAAGTCGACGGTAGTTCGGCGGGCGTTGGGTTACGGTACTTTGCGCACGGAATCGCGCATGACCCGATAACCGCGAATACCTTTTACACGATCTTTGTGACGATTGCGAGTTTCCATTTCGTCGGCGGAACGGCAAAGTATCTGAAGCTCTCACGCGAGTATATCACTGAGGGCGGACAGTCGGGTGCTGTGAGGAGAAAGTGGAGAGGCAGAGTTATAAATGCTCTTGCGGCAACGGTGGCGGCAGTCTGGCTTGCTGGCGGGTTGGGCGTCGTCGGTCGTGCTGGGCCAGGTGCTGGCTGGGAGGCGAGTAATTGGGATAAGATATATGGAGCTGTGCCTTTGGTAGGCAAATTCTTCCGGTGAGGTGCAACGTGAGGGAGCAGGAATCTACAGACTTGCATCGAGCTGTAAGCCTGGACAGGATCTACAAAGGAGGCCGTCCTGGGACTAGGCGAGGGCAAGCTGTTTGCAATTCTGCATGAAGTACTCCACTAGGTTACGATGCTTGTGAATGAGCGTTTTTGCAGCTAAGCGCAATTGAAAGGCTATGCAAATAATAAGAGACATTTCTGATAGGCAAAAGTATGAGCACAGAGTCTCCTTTCAGTCTTGTACACATGACACCCGCTCCTGATTTGGTGGCCACTTACACCGTCCTCTTATTCACAGGCAGACCGAAGGTCAGAGGCTGCTGATTGCTTTCCACTGGACCATGGGGAGGTTCGCTTGGGACACTGAAAGTAACGCGCCGGAGCCACGGCAGGCGATGGCTCTTCGCAGAAAGACGATCCACTACTGCTTGTGCTTCACGATACGAGCTCACCCGTACCTCGAGCCGCGTGACCGTTGTGGGAAGACAGTCTATGAAGCTGACTTTCATCTCCGGCCATCGCAGGGAGACTTCTTCAAGCCTCCGAGCGGCTGTCAAGAACGCCGAGAGAGACGCAAGAAACGGCTGGGACGGGGTATCGGTCGCGGACATGTGCAGTGCCGTGAGGCTGTCTCGATGTCTGTCGTAGAGCGCCTTCATCGTTTTCGTGTTCAGAAAGTTGCTGCCCTTACCCCTCGGATCCGCGACCTCCCTCACAGACAGGCACTTGAGCGGTGTGACTCGTTCGAAGAGATGATGGGTCACAGATTGAACGATACTGCTCTGGTATCCATGCTTCTGCCGCGTCTGTGATCCTAGAGGAGGACCGAGAATATGCAGTTCTTCGAGGTACATCAGCTTGCTGACCACATCAGCCATTTTCAGTGGGCTGGTCTCGGAGAAACCTGTCAGGTAAAGTGATCGGAGATTTGGGAAAGCCCCAAGCAGGTCCAATCGACATCCTTCAAGGTCGATCCTCAGTATCTGAATTCTCTTGAACTTCTCCGCAGCTTGTTCGAGCACACCGTTGACAACAATACTCGATGGCAGTGTCCTGCTCGGATCAGAAGATTTGAGAATGGAGAGTTGAGTGAGGTTGGGCAAGCCTGCGAGCGCATTTCCAATTCGGTTGATCTCCACAACGTACGGATGCTGGCCAGTCACTGCAGAGGCACCAACAACTATGCTGGCGAGATACGGCTGCATCACAGTGCCTGATATTCCCACCAAGGTCACCCGCAAATTTGTAATGTTGTTTAGCAATTTTGCTGGTCGCCTAGCCACAAATTCAAACAGGTCATCCTGAGAACGACACCGGAGCGGTCTCTGAAAGAATGATTTCTCAGCTTCATGGTGTATCTGCCGATTGACACACATGAGGTTGTTGTGGTCATTGATGTCGAACTCCAGGATCAGGAGATAGATCTTCTGCAGGACTTCAAGCGGCAGGGCCAGGAAGCGAGCTGAATGGCTGTCCGTGAAATGCTGTTATTCTGTCAGTCTTTTCACCTTCTGATTGGTGTCGTGCTTACTACTCGCTTCTCGTGTGCTGGGAGTGCTCTTTGAGTCCCGGTTCGGGACCGACTGGGCAGAGGTGGTCTGACATTGACAGTGTCACAAATGGTCTTCGTAGCTACACAGCTGTACCGAAGTGTGCACAGCATTGATCACGATGCTCGTAACACGGGAATGCGTTGATTTTTTTTGAGGCTGTGAATAGTCAACGGACCGCTCCCAGGGCCAGAGGACGGACCTCGTAATATAAAAACACTTGGGGAAGGACCATGATGGCCACAGATGTCGCTGCCTCCGAGAGCCATTGTGACATCACGCAATTTTTGTCGCCCGCAAGACCTCACAATGATGCGAGCGGTGAAATATCTTGCGAGATGCATCATCTCGGTTCGAGTTCGTCAATGGCTGAGGAAGAAGAACACAGAGGCTGAAGACATGTACTTAGGTGTAGTTGGTGAAGCGAGAATGTGGTGTGACTTGTACAAGCTTCATAAACCATGCAGTATATATGCTCTGGTAACCGTACTGACCACCAGAGGTTGGAAACATTGCGACAATGGATCATGGATGTAAATGGCGGCCACATAGCAACCGGGATGTGACGCGACGGTGTGAACCGAATTCGACAATCTTGCCTTGAATGACGAGCTTGTGGGTGAGAGACATACGCAAAAGTCGAAGACTCTGTAACTCAGTACCACCGATTTGGAAGAGAGGGGCATCTTGGGTAAACCTGTCCTACTTGGCTGCAAACATCTCTCAGATTAGAGGGCGCTCTTGCATCATTGTGCTGCGAGCCACCTCGTATATCATTGTGATCAGAAGCCATAGCAGATGCCACATAAGGCCCAACTCGAAGGACCCTACAAGTGATGTCTCCTTGCTCAAGGCCCTGCTTTATTGTCTCTCATCGTCGGGGAACGCGTTGTGAACTATGACATGCCTCTCTGAGGGCCAACGACCACGATGCCATGTCTCAATTATTCTGATTGAAGTCGAGACATGAAGGATACTGGACCGATCGGTACATGTTTGAGCAGAAGCGCTCGCCCATCGTAATTCGAGCCCGGAAAGGCGACACGCAGGAGCGCAGATGGAAGGAAGCTTTGCTCCACGACTTCGTGCGCCACTGTGTTGAAATGGAGCAGGATGGATTGGCAATCTTGGCTCGATTGATCAAGTCGCTCGTGCAAAGGAGTGGAAGGTGAGCACAGAACCCCGTTTAGGGTCTTCGCGCTCTGTGTAAGCGAGGCTATCCAGCTTTCCGGGGGCCGAACATGACGCTGGACATGCCAAACCCCTGGTAGAGGTGAGTAGAGACTGTCAGCCACGTGCGAAGAAGGTTGTCATGCAAGGCAGGGCTGCATATTCATGCATATAGGTTTCGCGCCTGCGGCTGTGGAATGGGTTCCAGGTTTGCTGTTGGTCAGCCAAGAAGACGTGGTACGAGATCGCGCGTGTGGCAGGAGTGATGGTGATAGAATAGACAGTTCCACAATCGGGAAGGTGCTTTCCGAATGTGACCATCTCAGGGATTAGTCCGACGGTGTAAATAGTGTTCCTCATGTGGAAGTGCAAAAGGGTTGGAACGAAACAATCGATCAGATACGAGGTCGGAGAAAGGTATCACAGGTCGAGGCCCGGATCGGATCTGACATCCTGGTTGATCTAACTTAGATCATTTGCAAATCCGTCCAACATCATGCCATGTGGGCGCCACGTTCAGCTTCCCGGCCGAGTCTGGACACGAGGTACTGTATCACCTTTACTTCTATATTGGGAGTGGTGAACGAACATATGTACCAAATAGTGCTAAACATTGCCCATTGATACCCTCATCACCGTTGTATTGTGGCCTCCAACGATCTCCTCTGTCTCATAAGTCCACCGAGATGAGAGATTTGCAAGATGATCCGGGTGGCCTCTTCAGTGCCGTCATACGGAGTGGCCTCAACCATGTCATGGGCGAGGTTACGTTCACTCGGACGTGAAGCCAATTGAGGACATGGCCATTATTTCTCCTCTTCAGGTCACACCACTTCTGTGTCATGCAATACATGCATTATCCGAAGCTGAGAATAAGATGCAGCCTGCATGGCCTCCACGCAGCCACCAAAACAACACCAAAGCGACCAGATCCAGCTCCCGAATTTTGATCAACGCTTCGCTAATATACACGTGCTGACTGATATCGAGCCGAGACATTCGAGTCCAATTATACTCTCAAGAGCTTCGCAGCGTATTTGGTGATGGTATCGACTTGAGGGAAACTCATCTCCTCCAATTTCTGTGCGTACGGTGTGGGCACCTCTGCACCTGTCACACGGACAGGAGGTGCCTGAAGGTAGTCGAAACCGTACTCCACAGCCAATGCCAGGATTTCAGCACCTACTCCGAAAGCAGGGAAGCCTGACTCCAATGCCATCAGGGCACCGGTCTTCTTGACCGACTTAATGATGGCCTCCACATCCATCGGTTTGACTGAGCGCAGGTTGATGACCTCAGCCTCAACACCGTAGTTCTTCTTCAGTTGCTCGGCTGCGTCCAGAGCTTGGCCAACACAGCGTGAGAGCGTCACGATTGTCAAGTCCTTGCCCGGTCGCTCAATCTTCGCTTTGCCGAAAGGAATGACAAAATCGCTCTTTTGTGCTTCTGCGCTCATTGGGAAAGCCTGACCGTAAAGCAGCCTGTGCATGTCAGTACACCTCGCTATGCTTGCAAGAGACAAGTACATACTCGTTCTCTAGGACAACCACAGGGTTAGGGTCTCGGATGGCAGCTTTCAGAAGACCTTTGGCATCCTCCGCCGACCAAGGTGCAACCACTTTCAAGCCCGGAATGCTTCCATACCAGGCGCTGTAATCCTGTGAGTGCTGTGCGGCGACACCAGAGGCGAATCCGTTCGGGCCTCGGAAGACAATGGGACAGGGCTGGATACCGCCAGACATATAATGTGTCTTGGCTGCGGAGTTGATGATCTGGTCAATGGCCTGCATGGCGAAGTTGAAGGTCATAAATCTAATCGCACGTCAGCGAACACCGATCATAACAGTCGACTAGCGCATGTGCCACCAGTCGAGATTGGAGGGAAACGGACTCGCAAACAGGATGTAAGCCAGCCAGAGCTGCACCGACAGCCAGGCCACAGAAGCCAGACTCCGTGATGGGTGTGTCGATCACTCTCTTGGGTCCAAAACGATCAAGAAGGCCTTTCGTCACTTTGTAAGCACCTGTGAACCCAGCATTAGTGCCTGCGACCGTCTTTGATTGAAGAAGAGCCCACCGTTATACTGGGCAACCTCTTCACCCATGATAAAGACCTTCTCATCCTGCTCGAGTTCTTCGGCCAGTGCTTCGTTCAATGCATCTCGAACAGTAAACGTCTGGTTCGACTCCGAGGCATATCCGCGTATCGTCGGGAGGGAAAGAGGTGCGGCCTGTCGGACTGATGGACGAATGATCGAAGGAATGGCGGACCGCGATGACAATAGCCTGGAGGCAGGTCTGAATAGTCTTGAGGCGGACATGTTGAGAAGAAGCGAGCTGATCGAAGGAAGGAGTGGCTCGAGGTGATGTGCAAGTCAGCTCAGTCGATATTGTATAGCGGGATTGAAAGCTGTTGGGAAACTGCGCAGTTATTCCAACGCCGATAAAATGCAGGTCAAGCTTTCCTTTCCTGTTCGGACACGGCGGGCCTCACTCGATTCAAATCGCCGGACCAATTGGCCTTGGCACCGAGAAGGACTCCGACAACATCGGCTGCCGGCAGATCAACCATAGCGCACCCGTTAGCTTGTGACTTTGTATCTACCTAGGTGCCTGGCCCATATCACGCCCCGACTCTTGTCATGTTTACATGAGCATATCATGCGGACTTCCTTCGACCTCTGAATGCTTAGCAGGTTTTTATTGCTAATGCGTCCGGCGAGTTCGAGTGCTTTAGGTGTGTGAAGGATGTCAACTACACTCGGCATGCGCTTCGCGCCAACTGCTGGTATTGTCTCTATCTACAGGCTGGCTGTTGCGCTGTTGCTCGTTTTACAGGTCTTTGCTGCGCAGCCTGGCGCACCCAATCCTCTAGTCGCTCCTCTACGTGAATTGCAGTTCGGACAGATCAACTTCCTGCATACGACCGATACCCATGGCTGGCATGCTGGACATCTGCTTGAACCCTCCTTCAGTGCTGACTGGGGTGACTATGTGGACTTTGCGCAGCATCTGAAGGACAAACTGGAGGCGCAGGGACGAGATCTCTTGATTGTTGATACTGGCGACCGCATCGAAGGCAACGGCCTGTACGACGCGTCGGAGCCCAAAGGGTTGTTTACCTTCGATATATTCAGAGAGCAGCACATGGATGTGATATGTTCTGGCAATCACGAGCTGTACCAGCAGAACTCCTCCGAGAATGAATACCTGATCACGGCGCCCGCCTACACCAATAGCTACATTGCCTCCAATCTCGATATTCGCGATCCACGGACGGGCGAATTTGTTCCATTGGCGGCCAGATACAAGAAGTTCACCACAAAAGAGCAGGGAATTCGCATAATGGCTTTTGGCTTTCTTTACAATTTTGATCGCAATTACAATAATACCATTGTGCACAGGGTGGAGAAGACCACACAGGAAGAATGGTTTCAAGAGGCTATCCAGGACCCAGAAATTGATTTGTTTGTGGTCGCAGGACATTCTGCAATTCGATCAGAGGAGTTTGATATGATATACAGGAAGATCCGCTCTGTACAGAAGGACACTCCCATCCAGTTTTTTGGTGGCCACTACCACATCCGCGACTATCGGAAGTTCGACAGCAACGCGTACGGCCTCGCTAGTGGACGTTTCATGGAGACCATAGGATTTCAATCCATTGACGGACTGCCCTCGAAGTCCAACCGGAAGACATCTCCAACCTTCTTCCGCAGGTATATCGACAACAATCTGTATTCTTTGTACCATCACTCTGGTCACGACTCATCGACTTTCCACTCTGACCGTGGAAGAAACATCACGAGAGCAATACATGAAGCGCGACAGGCACTTGATCTTGACCAGACCTTTGGCTGCTCAGCAAAGGACCTGTGGATGAGCCGGGCTCCTTACCCAAGCAAGAATAGCATCTTCAGCTGGCTTGAAGAGGAAGTATTCCCCGGTATCATCAACGACACGCAACGTGATAATAGACCGAGGCTGGTGATTTCCAATACTGGGGCCATTCGATTCGACATCTTCAAGGGCGCATTCACTAAGGACTCCACGTTCATCATATGTCCATTCACAAGTGGCTTCCACTACATCAAGGATGTGCCGTACAACAGAGCTAGAAAGCTGATCAAGATGCTCAATGGTGGCGGAGAAATATTCGCACAGGTTGATCCAACGTTAGCCTTGTCGCGACTCGAACCTGTTCAACAGAAGGGCATCCTGCAAGATATCATCATTTCCAAGACAGATAGTCCAGCGCCTCTGGTCGCACAAGGCGGACATCAAATGCGGCATCCAACAGACGTTGCCCGCGTTCCTGGGTATACCACCATCGATGACGCAGGAGATGATGGTGACGACACCATACACTCGCCCATTTCCTTTTATCGTGTGCCAAACTGCATTCAGTCTCTTATCAATCCCCAAGAGCTTGATATGGAATCTGAAAACGTCGATGTGGTTTTCAACGAGTTCATTCAGCCCTGGATACTCGTCGGATTGAGATTTCTCGGCCTTGACTACACAAACGACGACGTGGACAAGTACATGCCGGATGAAAACATGACGACTCTGATTGCCAAATGGGTCGGTCTGAACTGGCCAGACAAATGCTGAGGTGTCATGCCCTTCCAGGTACAGCATGAGGCAGCTCACTGCTCTGCCAACGAGGCGAACATGTTATCATGTGTGCCACGCGCTACACAGCGTACGCCTCCGGTGGGCCAAGTCCTCTACGCCATGTAACTTCTCAACTTGGTTTGTCGTGTCGAGGCTATATAGCCCACAAGGACTCTAGGAAGCTGCCGATTTTGAGGCTATGCCTAGTCGATAATCTCCTTTGCGGTTGTTGGCATAGCGGACGAGCGGTCGTCGGTTTCCGCGCACTGGCCGAGTCTGCTAGGGAACTATCACAATACACACCGGCTGAGACATTCGTCTCAACGATCACCGAGACGAACTCCAGTCTGATCAGTGACCCATGTACGTGAATACACAGTATGCGGTGTTTACCCCTCCCACCACCCCCACGAACGACATCTTAGGAAGTCGTTCGCCGAAACATCCTTGATCGAGGAAGGGCGAGGTCGTGAGAGAGGCTTAGTACTCATTCGTGTAACCACTGAGTTGATCTCCAACATACAAACGAAGTTAGGTCGAGTCACCGTGCTTGGTGAGCGTAACAAAGGCAAATCATAAAGCTAGATCCATGTTATTTCCGCCCGTGGAAGGCGTTCAAACCACAGCCGCTATGCGGCTTCACCTCTCAATCAGCCCGTGACCACCCATTTAACCTGTCCCCGAAAGGTGGCGTTTCTTGTGGATGGACGCTGGGCATGCGAAGTCCACATCACAGCTCTTGTGACCCCAGTGCGAATACGGGGCCTTACAGCTTGTCTGTCCCAGCACAAACCATCCACCACTTTCCAAACAAGTCATCCAGCCATACAATGCTGCGACTTGGCGTCCGCGGCGCTGCAGCACCTTGACATACGATGGACCTCTGTGAGCTCGATGGTGCGTTGGGTCGGTCTCTTCCTCGCCGCTTTTCGAAAGGGATGCCCTTCAGGAACCAGGATCATGCAGGTTGGACATCATCACTTCATGACACAGCAGGCGTAGCCTGACCGGTGAGCGATCATCTTACGCTGTTTCCGCCAATGTTCGAAGTTCTGCTGGGATTCATGGTACGATCATGCGTTCAGCCTGATTATGCCAGATTACCGACTCTCATTGATAAAGGTCGCCTTGCGCTCTGCAACGTTTGTTGGTTCCTGCAAATCGCTTCCATACTTCTCACCTCCAAAAGTGTGGCGCCATGGGCAATAACCCGATACCGGCAGACGCTATCTTTTGTAGTGATCTGGGTGATCCTGAATCCACAAGCTGTTGCAGTTTCTCTGCCGATGGAATAGCTGCTGAGGCACTGCTTCGACTGGCTGAATCCAAACAACACACAGTGGACCTCCGCAGGCTGCATCCAGGATTGCCAGAATTTCTCACTCCTTTTACAACTGGCAGTCTTATCACTTGCCATGGGCTTCTGACACTAGCACGAATGCGCAATACCACAATATTTTTGATATGTGTGTTGCACTTCCGGCTCTATATGGGTATCATCTGCAAGGCCTCATTCCCTCCGACGTTATGTCACAGATCAGTCCTGCATTGTCGAATGCGACGGTCACCGACATGATGAATATCGTCGATGCTACGACTCACTGCTTATTGAGTACATGTGATCAGGCACGGAATTCCAGTATCTGTGAAGCAGACTGCTCGCCAACCTCATTGCTGGTGAATTCGACGACACCGTCGATGGAGGGTATCTCTAAATGTTTGAGCACCTTGTGCGGGGGTTCACTTGCACCAGCCTTGCTATTCGCTAATGCAGACATTGCTGGCATTGGGGTATGGTGTCTTATCCCGAGTCGAAAAGTGCTGCTAAGTAACGTTGCGAAGGTATATATCTCATACACCACTCAATGCGGTCTTGCTCTTCTGGCCTGGCTGGCCTGGACGACTTTGGATTACTTGGATACACCCGCGTCTCGTGCTGAACACTCCCGAAAACCACGTCGATTGTCGCAGCAGAAGGAAAAGGTCATTTCTGGAATCGTCGAATTCCACAAAGCACAATGCTTCTTTAGCATTCCAGTCATGTTTGCGGCAATGCTTTCCGGCATATTTCACACCAACGCCCTCAACGTCTACACACTTCTACCTATCGCGCTGAACAGTATTGCGCCACTGCAACTTGTCTTCTTCATGATTGTTCGACATGCACGGTTCTCGAGGTACTTGGTGCTTCTGACCGCCTTCAGCTGGGTGTTGGCCAGTATCGTGTACTGGACATTATACGTGCAGCTCACCCGCAATCTAGGGTTGCCTAAATCGGACATTGTGCTTTTCAATGAACAGTACATGGTGTCACTCGCCAGCACACCCAGGTGCGGCGGATTCTCTGCTTTGGCCGTATGTCCGAGTGAGATCATCCTTGCATGGAACATGGGGCCCCTGACTAAGCGTATTCGTCATTCGAATACAGTCCTTGGGTTTGGAGCTGGTATGCGTTCTGCTTCATGGCTATTCTTACCCAGCGCAGTCTCGGAATGATTGCTACGAATTCTCGGGTGAGGCATTCATGGCGGAATAACAGGTACATCAAATTATTACGCAAACATCCCCGATTTGCAAAGATTGCACGGGACTGCCTACTGCGGACGGAGTTAGTTGTTTGCGTTGCATTGGTATGCGTCCAGCTGTACTACCTATCTCTCGCATTTGATATGTCGCTCGTCGATGTCCACAATTGGGGTTTCGGCCAAATCATCGCGGTTACGGTTTGGGTGCCTCCAGTAGTGGAATTTGTTCATGTACAGATAAGTACGTATTTCTGGGACCATTTGGACGAGTTCATGCTGACGGTACACAGGCGGCGTTGTCTCAGGATCGAAGCATCGCCTTGCAAAGACTTTGACCATCAGAAGGGTGGATGACAAGAGCGCCAGACAAGTCGATCAAGGAGAGACAGTAGGGTCTTCTCAGATGCGCAGTATGACTTCGGCGCTTCTCAAAAACAACGTACAAAGTGTGCCCACAACGCAGGCTCCGTCCCCTCTGCCCAGCTCAGATGACAGCGGTAGGGATAGCGGTAGGGACAGCGGTGAGGAGAGCAGCAGTGATAGAAGTAGAGACAGCAGCCATGCAAGGTCAACTGCAACACCCATTGCTACAACTGCGGATCAGCAACATTTTGGGTTCAGGAGAAGGACGACCACAAAGCTCGAGGAAGGTGTTGTTGCTGGTAAGCCCACAGGTCCTAGAACTTGAGTGTCGGGTGTCATGGTCCTCAGGACTTATGCAATGGCTGGATGCACTTATGATTGGTATTGAAGAGCAATCACCGCAGGTACCTCAAGTTCATTACGTCAAAATTGTTTCCGGCTTCAGCATGGCCTGGGTGGATTTGACGTTTTCTCGAATCGACCGGAGAAATCTTATGCTCGATGGCTTCAGGCGCAAAAGTGCAGCAGGCTATAGTAGATTTGCGAAGCAGATCGGAATGATTGATCAAAATGACTGATCTGATCTCTCTTCACCGAGGTGACTTCAAGTCTGGATGAACGGTGAGACGGAGCATGGATTATCAATCACCCCTCACTGGTTCGACGTCTCAGCCAGATAAAGTTGGGTCCATCCCAAACCCGAATTCTGCATTCCAGTCGTAGGGTAGGTACGTGAAGGTGTCTGCAGACTCGGTGCCGTTTCCGCCGATGAGCGGATTGAAGACCGGCCAAAAAGTAAAAGGATCAACCCGGTCGGTCGCAACATCGAGATAGTCCCTAACGGGGTACTCCTGGAGCAAGGTTTGGTGGGCGGTACTTTGTTCTCGTTGAAGAAGGAAATCCGAGTACTCTTGCTTGATAGGACCTAGAAGACGATCGTATTCCTGGAGGCACTGCGTTGCGGCCGGCCACCGCTCGGAGATGGTGGAGAAGAAACGTGAGAAGCATCTCATCTGCTCTTCGACTTCCTCCAAGGTATGCAAGTCGGCGATTTCATTCTTGCAGTATTGGATCGCCTGCAGAAACACGACGGCGGATGAAAAAGTGTGGTGACATGGGTGGAAGACATATTTCATGTAGCCGAAGTCGGTGTTTGCTTGCTCCCAGTAGCCCGTGGCTACGCGGACACCTGCCGTGAAGGCTTTCATAAAGTTCTGAGGACTCGGGATCTTCAATCTTGGCGACGGACTGAAAAGGAGGACGATGATGTAGTTGTATGCAATGTCGGCATACAGTTCCATCTCATCCCATTGCGATTTGACCAACGGATCCGGATTCAGTCTTGCTGTTTGATGGGCCTCCTCCAACCAGTCCTGTATCTCCTTTTCTGTCTTTGCCATCCAGTCTTCTAGCGAAGCGCAGCTCGTTGGCAATGGCTCGTTCTGATACAGCACGGCCATGATGTCGGACTCGACCTGCCGGAAGTGCCAGATTCTGCGCGACACGAATTTGGCTCGTAGTGCTGAGGTATCAATGTGCGTTTTCGATATGGCATGGTCTTCGAACTCGGACGGGAACGAGACACTGATGTATTTGTTCAGTGTTCTGACAGGTCGGTGTAACCCAGCGCTCACAGCCACCTCCATTTCCCAAGCGCACCAGAATATTCGACGACGCATATCCCGTTCTAGGAGATCAATTCCAAAGCTGTCTGGAAGCTCCTTATGGAGACCGAGATCGATACATGCCTCGCTCGACACAGCCGTCAGAAGCCACAGATTAGCGACGCTAGGGTTCAAGAATGTGTACTGGATCAGTAGCAGGAGTGCCTGCAAGCCCTCCATGTCATTCGACAAGACTGCCGGCACTTGAAGCATGGCGTTTCGAAAGAGGCCTGTCGCCAGAGACTGGGCACGTGCCTGTTTGTTTCTTGCCGCTGTTGAAAGCGAAATGGCCATGATCAGACTCACAATGTACACGTCTCGAGCCTGCACCTGCGTGTCCAAGTTTGCACCTGCAGAGTTGTTTCCGAAGAGAGCCTGGAAGGACTCGATCACCTCCGCAGAGTGATAAATGGGGTACTGGTGGATGATTCTGGTTATGTAGATGTCGAACAGGAACTCGGCCACATTTGTTGGAACGGAGCTCAGCGGAAGATTTGAGGGTTGCTGGTTGAGAATCGACCGCGGGTGATTTTCGTCGAGGTCTGTCAATCCGAACGATTTCTTGGCCGATGGGATTTGAGTAGGAGCCGCCGCACAGCCTGCGAGGCGAACACTTTGGGTGAGGCCAAGGAAGGAACTGGTGGTGTCGTGCAAGGCATTTGCCACGCCTGCATTGTCTGTTGCGCGCGCCGCGAATGCCATCCGTGGTGTGACCATTTCTAGAGGCTTTGGAGCCTTCAGACTGGTTCTGGAGAAGGATGAAGGGATGGCTCCATCATTTCGACCCTCCAAGTCTGCGATGCGGCCTTCCAAGTATCGAGCAATGCTTCGTGGAGCAAAGGTATTTGTGGCTGTGTCCAGTGCCACACAGGGAACTCCTGCTGCCAAACATACCGAGCATGATGGTGACTGAGCATCGCACTGATCACAGAATATGGTCAGCAGATAGTTGGTTGCTCATGCAGCTTATGGGGTAGCCCAGACCATGACCTTCCTCTGGCGACATCTCGCGCACGAGAGGACCCTCCTCCGAACTCGTTTAGCTGAGCGCATGGCTACTTATTCTTCCTTCAAGCTGCCATACTTATTGACGCTGAATGGCCGGGAACATGAGCGCAAAGATGAGATAGGATACTTTCACACATTTTGAAGGGATCGCTTCCAAGGACGCGGATAGTGGGCGGGATCTCAGTGGTTGGTAAGAAGGTAAAGCCGGAAGTTCCCACAGGTAAATGATACAGTCCAATGCCAAGTCGCTGGCAACTAGGCTCTTCCCTTATCTATCGCGATCCCCGAAGCCGAAGGTCCTTGGTGATACTGTAAGGGCTAGTGCTTTGCGCCAAAATTATTGATGTCTTATGGGCAAGGGACTTGGAGAATAAGACATCACGTATTTTGGCGCAAAGCACTTAGGCCCAGTAGGACCCCTAACCTGGTTGTTAAGGTCTAGGCGCTCTGGATGCCTGGTTAGCCCTGTGGCCCGTAAGTGACACAGGTCACTATGCCTAGAGGTTGAAGAGGCGGGTTCCAACTTCCCAAAACACCAGGCCGTCCCAATTATAAGTGCGATTTTCCTTCCCGATCTCGAATTGGCACTCACACTCTCTCACCATTGCCTTGCCCGCACCTCGTGGATATGTGTAAAATCTAATTAGGCACACCACATCACACCGCACTTCGTTGGGAAGATATGTCAGCTACTGCTCGAAACGAACTCTCAGTGATGTCCATTGCTCGGCACATGTAATGGGACTTCTGAAGCTCCCCGCCCATATCGGCTCGCCGGCAGTCCATTTCTATGTGAGCAGAACAGAGTCCTACATTTAGAGGACGGCGCAATCGTCGACCTCAGTCAACGTGACAACATTCTAACACCAGAACATGGCGGAAGCCACGGACCTGGATACTCTACTTCAACTTTTGCCAGCCTGTAGGCGATGTCGAAGCCACAAAAGGCGGTGCGACACTCAGTTGCCAGCGTGTGCCAATTGCAGCAAGGTTGGAGCGGACTGTGTCTTCTTCGACCATGTCTCCAAAGAGTTGCTGCCACGAACATATATTGCTTCATTAGTCGACCACCTTCGATCCCTGGAGGCGGCAAGAGAATCAAGCACGGGACAGATCTCGGATTCAGCGTCCAATGAGACGCTTGAAGCAGAGGGACAACACTTCTTTGGCGTTGGTGACGCCCTTCGATACCTGGGCCCTCGAGCTCCTCTTGTGGCGCAGGTTGATGCAGTCTTGCCGAAGGCGCAACCTCGCATCAAGGAACCATGTCTTCCACTGGAAATTCCTTCGTCATCGTTTGCAAGTGAGGATACGCACCGCTTCCTCGTCGGCAAGTACTTTGATACCTTGCAAGAACTATATCCCATCTTGGATCCGACTCTACCCTACTTGGAAGATCCCTCATTCTCTAGGGCTGACCTGGACCCTTCTGAATGCTTCAATCTCTACATGGTCTACTCAATAGCATGTCACTGCCTGCCAGGCAATGACTGTCAGCTCGTCCTCCTCTCAGACACATTCTATAAAGAGGCTTTGACCTATGCCGATCAGGTCACGGCGGAGCTAACCGTGGAAGCTCTCCAAGCGGTGGTGCTTTTGGCTTTGCGCAGTCTATACGACGCTCAAAACGGCAGTCTTGGTCAACAGGTGGCCTTTGCACACCGGATGGAAGTGGAATTGAGCACTCGAGAGGTCGACGAGCACTCCTTACTCCTGGAGCGTCTGAGATTGGCCATATTCTGCGTCGGCACGCAAGTTGGCACGGCTCTGGACCGCCCGTCTGGCCTGATTGATCCAGTAAGTTCCACACTATGATCTTCATCAGCTCGAGACATCCCTCAGGTATTGACTTTTGATGATAGGAGTTGACAGGGCCGATGGGATCCATGAGAGATGCCGAAAAGCTCAGCGTTCTTCATAAGCTGCAATCAAGGTTTCGGAATGGACAGTCTCTTGATGAATCGGACATGATAATTCTAGACGAAGCACACGCTACGCAGCGATCACCTTTGCTGGCAGCCGCCTGGAGTGAAACACGGCTCATCGTCAATCCCAATGCCGAGTCCGCCTCCCAATTGCTGACTTGCTACGATCGCGAAGATATGATCTTGACAGTTTTCACATCCCACTGGGTATATAAAGCCGCCACGATCCTGTTGTCAGGCGGTCTAACTCGAAAAGCTCTTGATGGCCACGTACTCGCCGTGACGATCCTGGGTCGCTGTGCTTTGAAGTGGCCCAATGCCAGAGCCATTCAGGAAATGCTCAATCTCCTTTTCAAATCGAAGACAAGTCCTGACGCCATGGGTTAGTCCTACTGTCGTGGAGCAAGCCGTCTATCCGAAAGAGCATTTGAAACGACACAAATGGAAGCATCAAGTGGATACGTCCTCGGAGTCCAGAAGAGGACCAGGATACTGGTGTCTGCCAAACCATGGTATCGCTTTGCATATGTCCCGGGTGACTATTTTCAGGCAGCAGCACCATACACATCTTTCAGCTGGATGGGCACGATGGGATACCTCCTCGGCTGGCTCCATCGACATATGACATAATTCCAGTCGGCCAGGTGCACTGCCACGTGGTAGAAAGAGGCGAACAAAGCAATGAGGCTTCCGAGTGCAGTGAATTTCGACGACATTGTCAGTACCATCAATGGCGAATCAACAGTCCATTCGAGCTCTATATCTATGCCATCTACACAAGAGCACATGCTACCGATTCCAAGCAAATGTCTGTTGAGATACGACGCCCTTTTTTCTTTGTATTGAGGACGTGAAGAATTTGGTCGACTCAAATGCTATTCCCCAGTCCTCGACAGGAATTCATGGATAACCACACATCCATTATACATGACAGATTCACAAGGCCGTGTCTTAAATGTCAAAACCAGAGGTGGCAGGAAATGGGTCTCTGCAATGCCAGAAATCGAGGTTTGACCAGGGTCAATGGATGACAACCTAGGCCTTGTTGTCGCCCACGGTGACAGTTCCGTCTTCAAGAGGGATCGCCTTTTCACCCTCCATAGCAACGTCGGTGATGTGGTGCTCCTCCAAGACGTGCTTAGGGATCACCACGTCATCCTCGCCGTTGAAGTACTCGGTTTCACGGATATGGAACGCGGCGAGGTAGGCGAAAACCAACACACCGGTGGTGTAGAAGGCGAAGATGACAGCGGCCTCTTTCATGTAGGGCACAGCAGTAGAGTCGACTCCGAAACAGATGGCTTCTCCGGCACCCAAGATTCCACGGAACACGCCCTAGATCCGTTAGTTGTGTTTATCATGGGGATATAGGGTTCGAACTCACCGAATAGTTAGCAGCCTTGCGTGGCGAGTTTGTCAGGGTTCCCAGGAAATACAGAATAAGGTACTGCCAGAGGGAAGAGAAGATCCAGTTCATCATGAACAGAAAGAAAATGGCGACGAATTCACCATCGGTCCAGTCCAAGGCTGGCGATGGGGGGTCGGCACGGTTGTACTTTCTTGTGCGAACAATTTCCCAGATCCACGCCGCGACGAGAGGAATTCCAACCACGGCCAAGCCGATGAAGGCTCGAGTCTGTCGTTTCCCTAGACGCTTTCTGTTAGCTGAGTGTAGGGCCCAGTGTATGTGCCTCTCTTACATTTCTTGTTATCCAAGATCCATTGAAGACCCCAACCTGCTGGGATCTGTAAGACCACCGAGATGAAGGATAGCAGGCATCGGGTTCGCAGGTTGTTGTGGAAAGCGTTGACAGAGCCGCCATAGACCAAGAAACATTCTGCTGGAAGGAAGGCTGGAATCTGTTCGGGGTGTCAGCATCTCTAACTGGTCCGAGGAGGAACAAGAAACTCACCATAATCAACAACTTCCAATCTCTGAAGATCTCGAGATTCGCCTTCAATTCCTCCATGAACGAGCGAGCTTTGACGACAGCGATGGGTGTACCATCGTCACGGACGATCTTGTTAGCGGGCCTAAGTGCGAATGCGCCTATCATGCCGATTGACATCAAGACGATGAAGATGATGTAGACAGCGTGAGGCACACCGGCTGCTTCGGTCTGTTTGAAGAGTTAGCTACCTGCACTAAGCTATCGAGATAGGTGGCCACTCACCGAATTGCGGTTGATGATCAGAGGGATGATACCGCCGACCACGGCACCCATAGCCTGAAGGTTGATGGACATGGTGATGTATTTGCCTCGATCTTGTTCCTCAGAGTAAGACATGGCAATGGAACCCATGACGACGAAGATCAACCCGGCAGATATCTATCAGTTGTCAGCTTGTGGCTTCATATGTCTCGGTGCTAGAACTCACTCCAATGCACACGCCGGCAAAGATGGGAAAGCCTTCTTTGCCCGTCGCGTCGAAGTACCACAGACTTCCAACGTAAATGATGTAGCCAAGTACACCCAGAGAGGCTGTAATGGCAGGACCGATCTTGTTGAGAACGGATCCACCGAACGAGGCAGAAAAGAACCAGACGGCACAAAGCGTCGAGTTCACTACCTGCACCGTCGCAGCGTCGTTCGGACGCCCTCCACCGGCCCCCAAAAGGTTGAGGGCAACATAAAGTCCAGCAGTGAGACCGACCAGAATGCCGATAATAACACTGTTAGGTGTCAGTCAACCAATGTCCTCGAAAGAGTCGAGACGAACAACTTACTTCTGCCAGTAAGGCGAATTCAGTCTCACCTCAGGGAGACCTGGAATCTTGAAAGCCATTTTTTCGGATTTTCCACCAATTGTCCTAGCGAAGACAGTGTGACACGGCACAAATGTGGTGCTTCAAACAGTCGCTCTATCAGCCACCAGAGGTTTTGCGAGGTCGTCTTTCCCGCAACGCCTTCTTATATATCTTGAGGTACCTAGTCGCTAGCTCTGGCACCAGCGTTTGATATCAATCTAGCAGGATGAACTGGCATCTAATCAATGTCAATTATTATTAGGGGCGGGTCGCCGCCGGTCCACTAACAGAGGTAAATGCCCTTTAATGATGTACGTGCGCGGTTGTCCGTCGCCCAGGTCCTTCGCCTTGTTCCGTCGCCAGGGTCCGGAACCGTTTTCTATCGTGCAAAACCATGCATGATATCCAACGACGATCGACCCGGCTGCTGTGCGCACCAATCAGCAATTGACTACTCTCTTACCAAACATGGTACTCGGCCGTCCACCGTCCAACCACTTCGCTTTCAATAGACGAGATACTCCTATCTATCAGTTTTGCGAGCGACCAGCCGCCCAGGCATCAGGGTTCCTTTCGAACCAACCTAAAATTCATCACGATCGTCGCACTTTGATGCCATCGGTTACATACATCCGTGATAACCGGCGCTTTATCAACATGCCATGTGCTTTCGACAGTGTGATTCACTACCGAAGTACTGTCGAACCCGTCAAGAGAGTTTGCCCGAACCGTCTTGTTGCAACTTTGATAAGGCTTATGCCAGGTCGAACAATGCTTTCGCCACCAAGACGCCCAAGCAGTTGTTCATCATGGATCCCAATCCCCCGCGGATGCGCCTACCACCGGTGGGTACTCCCCATACATTCGGACGTGGACTCTTTGCTGTTCGTTTTGGTTTGAGGTCTAGATTCATTTCTTTTTTTTGCACCGCCTGGGACGCTTTCTAAGAGAAGAAACTATGAGTATTCAACGACCAACGACCAACGACCAACTATCGTCATATTGAATGACTTTTCGAGCATCCCATCCTTACTTGAGCCCTATATCCCTAAGACTTATCTAGCTTTTGCGTGTTACTGAACCACGACAAAGATGGGTAGCATTGCTGAATCAGCCCCTTCCATTGAAATCCCCATCATCGACATCTCCAGGTACCTGTCTGGCGACCCCGAGGGCAAGAAAAAGGCCGCACAGGAGTTCCGCCAGGCGTGCGAAAACCAAGGATTCTTGCAGGTCGTGGGACATTCCGTGCCCAAAGAAGTCCAGGACCGTTTTTTGGCAGAGGTCGCTAGATTCTTCGCGCTGCCCATAAGCGAGAAAACAAAAGTGTCTCAAGAGAACTCAAAATGCTACAGAGGGTATGAGCGCAAGGGCGGACAGAAACTCGACGAACTTGACGACTCGGCCACGCCGGACCAAAAGGAAGGGTTTTCGGTCAGGCCAGAAAGGCCGCTGGGCCGGTTCCTCCAGGGGCCGAATCAGTGGCCGGAGGATCTGCCGGGATTCAAGGAAGCCTACATGGAGTATTTTGATGAGGTGCACAAACTTTCGAAGTCGGTGTTTCGATTGATGGCGTTGTCGCTTGACATGCCAGAAGATCATTTCGACGCGTTTGCCGCGGATCCAGACGGTATGCACTCCCCAAGCAACTTATCCAAACGAACGCCAGGACTGACTTTATCAGGCCTCTGTCTATGTCGATCTCATCACTACCCACCCACTCCCAAAGATGTTGCAGGGAGAACTCGAGGGGTGGGAGCTCACACCGACTTTGGGGCCATGACCCTGCTGCTGCAAGACGAAGGTAAAGTTTTCTTTGACGCTGCTTCGCTTGATAGCTCCTGACTGAATTGCTAGTTGGCGGCCTAGAAGTCCTTCACAGAGCCACAGGAAACTGGCACAACGTAGTCCCCGTCAAGGGAGCGTATGTCTGCAACATCGGTGACCTCATGCAACGTTGGACCAACAACCGGTACAAGTCGACCATGCACCGAGTCATCTCGCCACTCAGTGGTAAAGACAGGTACTCGTGCGCGTTCTTCAACGACGGAGCCCTCGACACCATCATCGAGGCTCTGCCTACTTGCGTGGCCCCAGACCAGAAACCAATTTATGGACCCCTTAAGGTTGAGAAACATATCGTCGATCGTTACCTCCAGAGCTACGGCGCCGCGGGTACAGTGTTGGTGGCTTCATAGTTTCAGTACTTTTCAGGTTGGTGGTGGAGCGAAGAAATTGATCGATATGGTGGATAATCTGTGCAACCTATGTAGAGAACTCGTCGTCTTTTTGCGGGAGTCGTACGGTGAACCAGGAGAGAAGATGAAGGGGCAAGGGATTGAAATTTGTAGGACTTTGTGATGGTTACGGCGTCATGTAAATGATTTTTATCTCCCTGAAGTGGTATCTAAGACAAGAGCATTATCCGTTCCTCCACAGCCCTATTCACATACAGTCGATGAACACTCGACCTCAGTCAAGATTATTGCTTGAATCTCCGGAGATTATTGTCTGTATGTATGACCTGGCTTTCCTGTGTTCCCACTATAGTCGATTTCTAAGGCTTACCTCCCTTGACCTCGACGCCGGATAGTTTGCCGGCCTTGAACTCGTCGACCATCTTTTCCATGGTGACCCATTCGACGCCGTCGTGCTCGTTGATCCACTCAATGATGCGCTCGTGCATGAGTACCACTTGAGGCTTACCGCTGACCTGAGGGTGGATGCTCATGGGAAAGACGAAAGTGTCGTACTCCCGGTACAGAAAGGAAAACTGGTCCTTCCAAAGTCGTTCGATGACGTACGGGTCGACGAAGCCGTGGGTCGAGGCCTGCTTCAACGAGAGTTGAAACGGCGGCCAGTCGTCCAGGTGCCAGTTGGCCGGGACTTCGACCACCTGGGAAGGCTTGAGGGCGCTCATGGGCTTCATCCATTCGGATGCGTCTAGCGATGTGTCGGTCTCGGTCCATTCCTCGTCGCCGGTCGGGCAGTAGTAGAGTTGCGAGTCGTGGTGCATGAACGAGTGGTCGTATTCGACGCCAAACTCTTCGAGAAGCTTGATCGTCTCCCGTGACGTCGACCACGCCGGAGCCGTCCAGCCTCGCGGTTTCTTGCCAATAAACTCGGTCAGCACGTGGATCGACTTGGTCAGGACGTCCCGCTGTTGCTGCTCGTTCAGGGTCGACACAAACTCGTGCGTGTAGCCGTGTAATCCTCTGTAAGCCACATTGTGCGTCGTTAGCCTCGTATTCTGCCGCCGTTGCCAGCTCATAGGGGTTATGGGGCTGAGAAGAAACATGGAGAGAAGAGGGCGTTGCTCCGAGATAGAGCTCAATAACTTCACGAACAGTGAGATGATGCAGACTGTTGCACTTACATTTCGTGACCTGCGTCTCTGACCTTTGCCAGTTGATCCGGGAAAGTCTCGATCGAATGAGCCGGCACGAACCAGGTCGTCTTGATGCCGTACTTGTCCCACAGCCTCAACAGTCGGTCAATGCCCACGGTGGCACCGAAGACACCACGAGACACGTCGGTGGGGTTGGCTGGTGAGCCATCTCGAGTGTTGATCCTGGACAGAAGGTACAGGGTCAACTGCTGAACAAAAGGACATGTGAAGGCAAGTGGTTGACGTGAATGAAGTCCAGGGCCGTATTTCGTGTGGAACCCTCTTCTCCATTCCTGCCTTCTCCCTGGGGTGTCTCTGGGACAATTGACTTACCATCCACTAACAGCATCGACGTCGATGCCGTAGCCAACGAGGACTCGCTTCTTCCCCATTGTTGGTATCTGTTAATATCCTGGGATCTGCTCTTCGTCGGAGATGAGGCGAGATAGCTTGTATTGCTTGTTTGGCTCGAAACCTGACACCCTTCCACGAGATATGTGAACAAAAATTAATTCAACAAAGTCGCCCGAGAGTACGTCGGTCCATTCACGTGGTATGCAAGAGAAAAGGAGCGCACCACATGTCTACATTTTCCAACTTTTGCATATTCTATCAAAGCCCTTCTGTACCATCGAGAAATGACTCGGCTGGACCTGACAGGGGTGGCTCCCAGATGACCGGATCAAGGCGCTAAGAGATTCGGTCGAAGGCGCAATCTGACGCCTATCTGAGTTTCTCTTACGGGTACGGAGTATGAGAGGGTGGAGGTCAGGGTCGACCGTTGCGCGAGGCATTTGCTCTGGAACCCTGACTGTGGTTGTTAGTCAGTGGTAAACCGGAACGTGGGTAGTGACAGTGTCGTTACCTGCTGTTTGTCGATGGATTGGCGAAAGTATTCGAAGCCGCTTTGCCGGTGGCGTGTTGAAGCCTCGCCATGTAGGCTTCGGAATTGAGCGCCAATGGTCGACAAGGGTGAAAAGCATCTCCAACAACGGTCAGATCGTCTTCCCCGTCGGCTTTAGGCGTGACGAGGAGAAACTTGGATGTTTTACTGATAAGCGCGTTCTGTACCCAAAAGACCGACTGAGTGACTTTTTGGTGATTGAGTGCGAAAATCAGCCGTTTACCTGCACTTTGAACAGATTACGAGAGGGAAAAGACGCGGCACAACGTACCACAATCAGCCCAGTTAAATATCGCCAATTCTCAAGATGTTGACGGTCGAGTGTTCTGGAACTCCGTACGAGGTACGTACATGGAAATTGAACGTTTCCCGTGCCTCCAAAAGACGCGAATCAATCTCGTCAATCGTTGGGTGCGCGAGATCCACGTGAGCGAAGAAACAAGTCTGACAATCTCGTCTCGTCGTGGTGGATAGATCGGAGTGCAACATGGCACAGCCGCGAAGGCGCACATTGAACGATGCATCGCCTTTTATGCCGGGCTATTTGAGAAGACCAGCAAAATGGACTGGCCGCAGGTGCAAGACGTGGCTCGCAGTTTCGACGCGCACATCGAGTCGACCTGGCCGACTTATCACGAAGAAATAAAAGGTAAGGCATCCTGATCCAGCAGAAACAAACAAGCAGAGAAAGAAGATTCGACTTGCCCGCAAGGAGAATGTCCCGCCTTCTTCTGCCTAGTCTTTCCCACGTCCTGTTGAACCTTCAATGATCCGCTAACTGGTTTGTTTCAACAGGCATCGCTGCTGGCTCGGGTCGCCCACTCTTGGATATCGTCGCGCTCAACGTGCGGACGGAGATTGCGTTTGGCAAGTTCAGCGACGGGTGCACTTCGTTGGCATGGCACACCGAGAAGAGAGCATACCTCGGCCAGAATTGGGACGTGAGTACGAGCAATCCATATACACGCAACACACACTTCCTTCTCTCCGGTCCTCCGCCTGTGTCGAGCGGAAGAGGGCAGGCTGTTCCTCCCCTTTCTGTCAGGCCATGAAAAGGCAAGGCCGGCGAAGAACCAGCAAGAGCTTGAAAGAGCCAAACCTGCAGCCAACTGACGACGGCCTCCCTCTCCCCCACCTATATCTTCCTTACATGATGGCTGACCATGCTTTTCGATCGCAGTGGATGCTCAAACAGAAGGAAAACCTCTTCATTCTCAAGATAGTCCAAGCCGGTAAGCCGTCGATCCAGATGGTCACGGAAGCCGGCATCATCGGCAAGATCGGCTTCAACTCGGCGGGCGTGGGCGTCTGCCTCAACGCCATCAAATCCCAAGGCATGGACCCCACGCGACTCCCGGTGCATCTGGCATTGAGGATGGCTCTGGAAAGCCATTCGACCAAAGACGCGTTGCAGTCGCTCGAGCATTGGGGTATCGCCGCGCCCGGACACATCCTTATCGCCGACTCGACTGGCGATGCCGTGGGATTCGAATTCACCTCGACCACGATGCTGAAACTCCTGCCAGACGCTAAGGGCAGAGTCGTCCACTCGAATCACCTGCTCCTGAAGCATCCAGGCATCATCGATACCGTTTGGATCAAGGACTCCCTATTCCGGGTCGACCGTATGTCAGAGCTGACCGAAGACCTGGCCACCACGGAGCCCACCTGGGCCCAGGTGTCGCGGCTGTTTGAGGACGAGGTGAACGCCCCCACGGCGATCTGCCGCGATCAGAAAGGCGAGTCAACCTCAGGGACTCTCTTCAACATCATCATGGACCTGAAACAGAAGACTGCCGTTGTCCGCTTGGGAAGACCCTGCCAGACGGAGGAAACGGACGAGTTGGCATTTTGAATTCTGCCTTTGATGTACGAGTGCCACTTTAAGAGCCAGGATGAAAGGAAGTACTACTATAGCAGCCACGACAGGAATGATGATATGAACGTTTGTCCCTTGACTTGCACGAGCTGGCGATTGTCTGTTGCCTGCCACCACAAAGGGTGAATTTTGCTTAGAAATGATGTAGTCACCCATCCATGGACACTCGGACGAGGAGAGGCGCATTAAAAGCTCTTACATCCATTTGACACCAACGAATAGCCATGATGGCAATGACTACTGTGATACTACGGAAGAACTTTCATGGCAGACATTGTGATACTTGACCAGTGCTCACCGAGTACAAGATGACGCGCCTTGGTGTTTTCAGAGCCATTCCTGGGCCCGAATATTAGCCGGGAAAATACTGTGACAATGTGCATCAACAATCCATATCGTGCTGCGAGTTCGCTTCTTTCATACAACACGTTACCTGCTAATCCTAGCTGTTGGTGGCAAGATTTTGATGAAGCAGGCATTGCTCTGGCCTCAAGTTGCAACATGCCGGCACCTGCTTCAAGGTCACTAGATGCCACGCTGCAGACATCGATAATACTGTGCGAGCGATTCGCATCCTCGCTTGCGCCAAACGCTTCAGTCGAGTTGCCTCCTACGAATAGTGACTCACCGTCACCTCTCATACTGCTGGAAGCAGCTGCCACGGCGCTAAAGTCTCAAGCGACCAAACTATCCTTGCTGACCATAACGGCTCCATTCACGCCTTCTGCGGTCACGACATGCCTCAACTCACTCAACGAATCCATCCTGACTTCGCTGGTTACAGCCGCCCTCCTGACGACCCCAGAGCTGTTCACTCCATCCTATTCCGCGGAATGTCGCTCTCTTGCGGCGGCCTTATTGCGGGATATTCAGGGTCTGCTCCGCCTGGTGGAAAAGCGCAGTTGTGACAGCAAACCTAAGGCAGAGGTGCCTGCAGGGGAGAAGAAGACGATTACTGAAGCCACCGGACGCGTGTGGGATGACTGTGATAGACTCGGTTTACTGGCAAAAGAAGACGTCCCGGGCTATGCTCTGAGAAAATCGAAGCAATGGCTTGACTTGATGAAAGATGCTGTCAAAGAACTGGAAGAATGGGACCCTGAGGAGGACATCGACGACGAAGACCCATTCGGCGAGAATCCCAGCGACGATGAAGACAGCAATGACCCGAACGACACGGGCGACGATAGTGATCGAGCCGCCATCTCTGCTGGTGTCAAGGTGCAAGCATTAAAAGTCTTGAATCGCATCCCACAGAGCATCCATGTTGTGGTCAAGCAAAGACTGGAGAAGCTCGACTTGACGACACCAGCATCACCGGAGCAAATGAAACAGTTGGACACACTACAACAACGGAACCGACTAATTTCGGAACTCATCGACGAATCCGCGGAAGGCATGTATTTGGGAAACCTCGAATTGTGTCTGAAAAAGGCCGGCGAGGCTCGTGCCCTCACAATCGAAGTGGTCGAGTCGGTCATTCAGCCTCTCTTTCCTGCCACTCCCGCGTTGACTCCCGCGTCAACGACTACAGAAACCAAAGAGGACAAATTCATAAAAAGAGCTCTGGAATGGATCATGCAAGTCGACACTGGTCCAGCTCCTCCACGACAAACAACGGCACAATCTTCTTCGGCAAGATAACCCGGTTCAAAAAATATACATTACTTCAATATGTACACAATTATGCAGAGGTCACCCGGTCTGGTATCCAGGTGACTTTCTCAATGCGCAGTTCTCTCTGCACCCATACCACAGTCAGCCAGATCCCAACAGCTGTCCAAAATGATGGGACTCCCCATCCGAGACCATATGCAACATCTTCCCTGATGAACCAGATCACGACAGTCACTGCTGCACCAACGACGATTGCGCTGATAGCCCAGAACCATTGCAGCTTCATCAACATAGCTCTGAAATGTGGCGATGCATGGTACCTAGCCATTGCTGCCTTTCGATATCTCTTTCCGCCTTGGCCATCAACAGCACATACATCTTCCAAGAAGACGAATGTGAGTGGTGGACAGACAGTATTTCTGACGTGCGAACTCAGTCGAATGTGCATCAATCTCCAACCACGTTGCGCCGCCACGCCATTGACCACAAATATCCCCCCGATGACAATCAGTCCGACAGGCATCGGTAGCGCCAAAGCCCTAACAGAAGGATATCGAGGGCAGCTGAATACAACCTGAATGATCGTCATAATGGTAAATGGGGTCAAAAGCACGTATTGAGTTGCGTCGAATCCACGAAAGTACTGGCTGCCATATAACGGTCTGAAGTCCTCGCCGTATCGCATGATCCGCCAAGAGCGCATGGCAAATTCATATCCGCTCACGAAACCGAACAGACTTGTGATGACCGCGAAATACAGGCCTGCCCTTCGCTGTCAGCTGCTGGCCCATCAAACATTGCCGGATGGTGGGACAACTTACCAGATCGCATACTCGTGCCTTTACTCAAGCCATAGTAAAGACCCAGTGGGATGAAACAGCACTCTGCATATGCGAGGAAAGCAAAAATTGCGATTGATAATTTGTGCTGTCGAAGGTCGAATGGCAGACGCGGTGGACCATCTATGCGTCTTCGGCTGTCGCCATGGCTCAAAGTGTTGAATGTGTGGGTGTCCAGCTTTGCGCCATCAGCCAGCGTGGACGGACTTGATGCGTCTGAAGATCCCTTGGTTCGCGTTGCACTTCGGGCGGGCTTTGCAACATTTTCGACCTGCCGAGCACCTGTATCCAGCTCCGACGACTTCTTTTGAAGCTTTGTGTCTATTCCCGGCTTCCCGCTCTCAACCTTTCCCGTCATCGTGTAACGAGGGAGGAGTAACCGCCCACAACTACAAAAGAACGAAACGAATGTGGTCACCTGCAGAAAAGGTGGTAGAACATTGAAACGGGAATAATGATGTCTGGGATGTTGGCAATAGAGTTCGACAGGATATCAAGGATTTGGGGACATGCAGGACCCAGGAACTGCCGATCCATGCATGGTTCGCTTCTGATGGCGCAACTTTGTTCGATCTCAGATCCCGGTCGACGTCACGTCATGCACGGAGCATCCCAACTCAAGCAACACACTTTCAATATATTGGGGTCAGCGCCCGGTCCGCCATTATGTCAGCGCCAAGGTAGGAATTCCAAGCCTCGGCATGAGACTCGCAAGGCTGAACATTGCCTTGAGGACTTTCCTACGTGTTGTCATCACCTAATGAATGGCAAGTTGCATTCATGACTTGCCATCGGCAGCAACGTGAGAAGAGGCCGTGGATTCTAAACCACTCTTCGAGTTTTGCCAGTTTCAACCTCATAAATCCACCCACTGATAGCCACATTGTCCGGGACAAGCTTAGTATCCTGCAGATACTTTACGTCGTCCTTGACAGCTTGTTCCAATTCCGGAAACGCGAGGAAATCTAGCCCGCGAGTCTTGAGCTCGGCCGATGCATCAGAGCTGCAGCGCATCAGCAAAGCAGAGTTGAAAATCTGCAGACGGCACCTACCCGAGATTCTTCTCAACGATGCCGTAAGCGTCCTCGTTCTTGAATGTCAACATTCCGCAACCAGTGTGCTTGACGAGGACAATTTCCTGAGTGCCCAGAAGCTGCTCAGAGATAACGATGCTGCGCAGCCCGTCGTGCGCGGAGGCACCAGCCTGTGCACGTATGTGTCAGATCCAGCGACTCGTGGCATCCTCAGAAACCCCGGATGTTAAGTTCGGGACAATCAAGGCGATAGGAGGAATGATTCGCTAGTTCTCACATTCCGAATGACATGCGCATCACCCAGGTCAATCCCAAATGCTCGTGCAGGGTCGATACGTGCATCCATGCATGTCAAGACGAGGTATTTCTTCCCCGGCGGAAGTGCTAGGTGACCCTGAGTGAAGGACGAAGAATACTTCTCCGACGTCGCTTGGACGTTTTTCTGGATAGCAGACATATTGGGAATTGGTTTTGCTTGGTCTTTCCTTGTTGGCACTCCGTACGTTCGCAACACTTTTTGCGGCAAGTCACGATTCGTTGCGATTGAAGTCCATACGGCAAGATCGCCATCAATTCAGAACGATAAGACCGAAGACCAGGTCCCCTTAGCCCTGCAGTCATGAGGGGTTAAATATGCTTCCTCAAGTGGCTTCCTGGACGCTTCGCCTTCCCTCTGGGCGATGGCGTGCTAGATCTACTATGGTACATTATTATCGCGGTCCAATCGCGTCAGGCACAATCGATAAGGTCCGAACGATCAACAGTGCACGGACCATGCTTGCCGCGGGGAACGTTGTCAGCCCTACAAACAGTAATGATATTGGCGATCGATTATCATTACCGCTACTACATTGCTACTGCACTGCTTGCTCGACACACATCGTGGGAAGGCGTGATGAACTTTGATACTACCGACTGCTTGGTATCCCACGATCGCGACTTCCGGACCGGTGCTGTTTGGGTCGCTGTGTCCACATCCCACTTTCGAACTGCACCTGCAACGAATTACGCTCGTTGTACTTGCGATCTTCGAACCAAAGCTCGCACTCAATGTTTGCGGCGTTCATGCAGAACCTGATCTTGTACCTGGCTTCGTAATATGACGGCGGCTTCTTGAGTTCCCACCAATGCTTCTTGAACTTTTTGAAGCGCCTGAGGTCGACTTTCGACAAGTCAGATGTCATCACAGAACAGAGCTCGGCACCATCTGTCATAGGTCAGCCATTGTCACAAGTCGTTGTAAAGGATGGTACGACCCACCTTCTTGCATACTCTCAGGTAACTTGCCTGGTGCATAGCAGATTGCTATATGGCTTTGGAAAGGCCTACGTGGCTCAGACTTCGAAAGATTGCGGAAGAAGCTGTGCTCCACGATGTCACTCTCCAACAATTCGCCCTGCACAGTGAGTATGCTTGCGAGAATTTTCGAGTTCGGTCCTTACCTGTCGGACAAACCAACTTATCTGTTCAGTCGCGTATGTCTTTCCGTCCAGGACGTCCGACCTCAATTTGGCCCTTTGGTGTGCAACTCGAGTCTTGTCGTAAGGCTGGTCACAAATGATCCCCAGGGATTGTCGGCATTTTCGCACTCGCAGCACAGACTTGTCGAACTTGAGTTTCTGCATTCGGTCTATCAGAAGACCCTTGACAACGGCGAGATTCCTGCACACAGTCACTCCTGGTTATCTTCCCAGTGCATGTTGGGCCCTTACGGGTGATTTGACGTTATGATCCTCAGATGCGGAGCAAAAAGATTGACTTTCTCGCGGATATACCGATCCTCCAACTTCTTCTTGACATATTCAGAGCTTCCTAGACCTCCCGACAGCACGAGATATTTCTGTGCATTGTCAGCGAATGCAACGTGACTCGGCTATATCGATCTCACCACTTGATCGTGAGGTGCAACGGCTTGCATCCTGTTGAGCTGGGCATCCACCAGCCTATACATCTTTTCGAGCTGGATGTCAAACATCGCTTGCATGTCGGACCTGGAAGCAGTTTGATTAGTGCAGTCCATTAAAAGCCGCCGAACAGCTCACATCTTCAAAACCAATTTCCCTTTTTGCACGTCACCAACGTCCGAACAAGCTCTAACGGAAATACCGGGGATTGGGATGTTCCGCACTGGAAGATGCTGGTGGTCCTCATTGCCGAATTCTTCCTTGATCACCTTGAATGTTGTTCGAGCCATTTTGTTGACCACTTTGGGTATTGTCTCCGGATCCAGGTCGATGAAAGGCGCAGCTCGCTGGAGACGTGCCTCAGCCAGTAGCGAAAATGCGATGTCGATTTCAACGCTACCGATCTCGTCACCTGGTTTGCAAGATTAGCTTCAATACCGAATTGGAAGGATCTCTTACCTCGAACCTCATCGAGTTGCTTGAGCGTTGGCCTGGCCCCTTCGAGCATCTCCGATTTGAGGAGTGAAAGATCCTGAGAACAAATCATTCAGCCATTCGCCCAATATGCAATGCCTCCATGAACACCTACGGTGGTGCCGCCACCAGCATCAACAATGAGCATAACATCTCCATTCTAAAGGATGTCAGTGGAAATCGAGGAGGTACACTTTCACTCTCACTCACCCCAAACCACCCGGACTGAGTGCTGAACGAGCACACTGCAGCAGCTTCGGCTTCGGTCAAACCAATCTTGATTGAATGGTTTGACCCGCCGCTGTCAAAGCCCGCTTCACGTGCGAGCTGCCGAAGATCCTCTGCCACACCTGGACTCCAGGTCGTGGGTACCGAAAAGATGAATTCGATGGTTTCCTCTTCGAACCCTACTGCAGGTAGCTCGGCGCTCAACACCTTCCTGATATGGAGGTATAATTTGCGCAGGTAATCTCGATAGTACTCCTTGACATGGGCGTGCGTTGGTGGGACGGCTTCCGGAGCGAGCTTGGCCGCTTCGTGGTACTCAGTCTCATCCAGGAATATCTTGAACCAGTCATGGACCTCCAAGTCATCAACATCTTCTCGATGTGTCAGAAATCCCCAAGACACATCATTTCCTCGCTCATAGCACAATGACGTTGGCACCTAGTCGGCGGTCAGTTGCGCGACCGTTGTTTTCATGTTGTGCAGATGCAATACACGAACCTTGTCGGCCTTTCCGGCACCATTCCCGGGCCATTTCTGGATTGTACGAGGCTCGGTCATTTCGATCGTGGCAGAATTCTTGATATATGCCACGCCTGTGCAGGCTCAGCAGATATTCTGACATGGAGAAGAAGACAGCCTAACCGGTACAAGTCATGCCGACGTCAATACTGACGAGCAGAGGCTCTGTTGATTGTGCCATTGATCTGATATCGGTGGACAGCATGGAATTCTATGAGCTTGATCTCTGGTTGACAGCGAGGTTCGGTAAATTGACAGTTTCGCTGGCAACGGGACACAATTTATGTCGCACAACTTTACGTTGGAAACCTCGTCTTCGAATCGAGCATTGTGGATCTGGCCATCTTTGGTTAGCGGTAACGTGCTTCGACGGTCAGGCTGGGCTAGTCGGTCGAGTTCGGCCGCGACATACCCTGGTCAAACGATAGTCTGTTTCTGTGGCTGGTCCTAACCACCCACTCCGGTGTCAAGGTTATCACCAGCACACCGGGCACCCGTATTGAAAAAGCAGCAAGTGGCAAGGGGCGTGCTGGTGTGTCGCTCGTTGCGATGCTGAGCACCATAAGAATCGTCTCTGCGCCGTGCTCCTGATGGCTGCACGCTCGATTTGTTTCCCAAACACCGAAGCCGACATTCAGACTATCAGCACTAAGCTCATCAGCCAGGGCTTTGGGGCATCGAGTTGTTCACACATGCAATGAGGTTGTCACGCTGGACAGCTCTTCTCTCTTTGAGTGTCTTGCCACAGGAAATTGACGCAGCAGCCCCGGCTGGTGACCCAGTATCGGCAGTCATCTGTGCGCCTACAAACGGTACCACTATCTGCAATACGGTCTTCGAGTTCAGTCCGACAACCATATGTACACCTATCAACGGTATTACTACGTGCAGTACGGTCTTCCAGTCTACGTCGACAGCGACAAGCTCATCAACTAGTCCCGCCGTGACTACTCCAACCAGTGCCCCAAACTCCTCTAGCTCGCCAACGACTTCAATCATTACCAGCAGTGTTTCAAGTCCCACCGCTACTGGTACCACAGCCTCCGTCAGTAGTCAGACTTCCAGCTCTCCGTATGCAAATGCTACACAACCTACCACCTCTGGGACTTCGAAAGCAGCAAAATCGGAAAATCATCGTTTGCCCGGCGGTACTGTCGCTGGAATAGCAATAGCCTGTTCCATTGGTGCCGCTCTTCTCGCAGCTGGCGCCGTTTTCTTCGTCATGAAGGACACTGTGCGCAAAAGGCGTGGTAGCAACACAGAGTTCTATCCTCTAGCACCCACCTCTGCAAGGTCGCGGAGTCGGAAGAACGGAGGAGTCCATTCGAAGGATGGGAGACAGCTCGAAGTATCAGCTCAAGAGGTCAGTGTTGAGAATGCTCTGGAGCAGCCAAAAGACGACGGTACAGTCAAGCAGTCGATCGCGTCCTTGTTTAAAGCCATCGAGGACCATGTGGACAATTTCTACCTCGACAAACCTGTCAAGAATATCTCCGAGCCGGCACAACAGAACAATCGCCAGCAGGATTTGCCTACTGGCATCAAGTCCCAGACTGATATCGATTTTGCCTCCGTGCTCTCTGATCCTCTCTCAAGGTCTTCTGCTATTGTTGGCCTCATCTGTGCCGAGCTTCTTGATGCGATGGATTTCTTTGGCACACCAGAAAGATCTTTATTGCCTGAGATAGTGGCCAACTTCCTCCACGGCTCAGCTGCGAGAGGTCAAGACAACCAACGTAAGTGGCGCAATTCTCTGTTGCTAGGCATGGCTAATTGTTGGATAGGAAGCCGTCTCTACCTTTCAAGGTGGAGGACCGGCACTGCATATCTTCTTGGAGCCTCAGAGTCACCCCAAGACAAAGAGCACAGGTTGAAAGTCACTGGGGTTCTCGTTGCTGAGCTGGACGCCATTATTCGGCCGTATTGCAAACCCCAGCTTGACAACGAGAGGCGAGACCACCTCCTCAAGCTCTGCAAGCGAGCTCATGAACTAGGGCTTCTGCTCCTGTCTCAGCCAGCCGAGTGGCGATTCTACTGGGGCCAGAAGTCGCGTCGACCTGAGCAGCAAAGTCAAAGACCAGAGAGGGGCAGGAGAGAACCCTTGGTGGTTCAGCCGCAAGTCTGCAGACTCACGGACAACATGGCTCGTTTGTTAGACCGACCACTAGTGATTTTGGAGCGCCACGTCCTGCATTAGACATTGGATGCCAAGAAGGGCCATGTTGGGATGTCTGATCACTGCATATGGTACTCTTGCTCTGAAGGCTCGCCTGTTGGCTGGAAAAGATGTGCTCGTTTTTCCTTCAGTGGTGGCATGACCAGGGTTTTGTGTCAAGGCTGGTCAGGGTAACATTTGACTTATCTTTGGCGGCACAGGAGGTTGTTGCTGCTGCTCAGCCTAATCGGCCAGCAGCCAGCCCCTTCTTTTGTCAGTGCTGGACAGTCTTCGCAAACACTATAATATTCGAGTGATGACCAGGAGTTAAGCTCTTTCTACCAACTATAACCAGCTACGAAGTATTCTATGATATCTCACATCTGGGAATCGCAGAGGAAGGCTGTGTTGTTCTTGTTGTTGCTATCAGGCTGAGAATCAGGGGCTTCAGGTCGTTTCGTGCCTGGTAACCTTCCAGGTACAGCACTAGCGTACGGCCCCAGATTGATGGAGGCTTGCATCCACTTTCCACACTACTGTGTATTTCTCCTTGCTTAAGATGGAGGGCCTGACGGAATACGAGTCTTGATCTCTTCTGGACCCTTTCCTTCCATACCCTCCTTCCTGCTATCGAGAGCATTCTTCCGCTGCTTTTATTGAACATGCTTTAATGAGCTCTAGGGCTCTCGATAGCTTGTCCACGGTCGGACTGCATGCCCAGACTCCGTATGTACATAGCGCCGAATGAAAAGTGAGTATACTTTGTGTTATCTCAGCCGTGGCACGGCTCGTCGCTTCCATGTCCGTTCAGCAATTGCCATGTGGGGTTGGACATCTCTCTTTCTTGTAATTGCCAGCAGCCCTTCTTCGGATCACAAGACTCACCACGCTTGAGGCCGGAACCGATTTCCTTATCAGCCAAACTCAATCGTTTCGAGGCTCAGCACACCACTGTTCCCCTGTCGTGGGGGCTGGACCGCACCTGATTGATCGCGACTCTCATCTTTGAGCGACACTTCCAGCACGTCCTCGACCGCATTCAGTTCTGACTCTGGCATCATGGATCCCACGACCATCGCCGGCGCACTCTTCTCCGGCCTCAACGCGATCGTCAAAGGCGTCAGTTACGGAGCTCACTTCGTCGACGTCCCCAAAGAAGTCACCCAATTGCAACAGAACATCCAGACCGCAGACCAATCCATCAACACGGCCAAGCGCCTCGTGAGGCTCAAAACGCACTACCTCAACCCGCACCTCGTGAAGGAGAGTCAGTCGAGCATCGATGCCGTCGAGAACGTCCTTCGCCATGTCCGCGACTCCATTGAGGACTGTCGCAAGGATCTGGAGGTCAAGAACACGGTTAGTGTCAAAAACCGCGCGATCTGGGTGTTGTGGAAAAATCAGGAATTTCTTTCGAAGCTGGAAACCCTGAACACCTGCCTCGGCGCACTGAACAGGGATATTCTGCGCTTGGAGATGGCGAGTCCTCATCCGGTCGTGCTCGTCGGCGGTGTTCCCTTTGCACCGGACCATGGAGACGCGCATGGCGACCCTGTCCGCGATCCTACGACCTCGAGTTTGAGGTCTAAACCCAGCTTTGCGCGCAGTCCGTCCAAGCGCTGGCTCGGCAGTACCAGTACTTTCGATCTCAACTCATCCGCAAATAGCAGCAGGGTCAATCTCAGGTCCATGAAGAGCAACAGCAGCATGACCCTTACTCCGGAGAGCGGCCACGCCTTCAGGCCGATGATGAGCAATAGCAGCATCACTCTCACTTCCGAGAGCAAAAACTACTTCGATTCTGGATCCGGCCCTAGGATTGGCGATGGTGATGAGGGGTATCAGAGCGACGACGGACTGTCCACCCATTCATCACGGCTTGGGCAGTCTCACAACCATCAGTCCGCAAAGCCTACCGATACGGACGTCAGCATCAGCTTCGTTGCTGGCAGCGGCCTCAGTATCGATCTCGACGACCGGAGAACCCCTATTCCTCAGAGCGGATCGAGAGTGTATAGTCGCTCTGGGCATTCATACGTCTCAGAATCCGTCGGTCCCACGATTGGGAGCAGCCATCGCGAAGTGCCAAGGGCGCATAATTTGTACGAGCTGCCAGGATCATATCCGAGCCCGGATCCAACACCTCCTTCTGCACGGACAGACCCATTTGCTTCGAACAATCCCTGGCGACAGACGGTGTCATATGAGCTACCCACGCCCGATTCGGGCTGGGAAAGCACAAGGGACAGAAGGAAGAGGTCCTCTCTGCACCCAATGGTCGAAGATGAGCATGACACAGTCGGTGAACTTTCAGATGCAAGCTTTCTTTCTCCGAGCGTGACAGCGCCAGCGTCGATGATGACGGCAGGGCCCGGTGCGCACTCATCAACGATCATCGACGGCGTTCCTCTTCTTTCGGCTTATGAACAGAAGAGATTGAGGAGGAGACGACGATCGGACTTTATCAATTGAGGCCATTCTCGTCGATAAACCCCTGACGAGAAGGCTATAAGACAGCCCAGCGTTGATCACACGTTATCACTGGCTGCATCTGCTGAAGCTTCGTGACGAGAGCTGGGAAAAACAGCTGCGCCCGCATCAGATTCAGGCTCCTTGGTTGATGCAGCGGTCCGTAACCAGCGAGCCTTGAAGCCGCCTTCTGATTTATCTTCTCCCTTCTCCGGCCACAAGATCTGTTTGTTGATGATGGCTTTGATCATGAAGCCGACAACGACCGCCCAAGCAAGTATCAAGAGACAAGTCATGACGCACCCAATGATCCTGATTGCACCAACGTCGAACGCCTTGGCTATGGCGAAGGTTGCGGTCGTCAGTGCAGTTTGTGGGAAAATAAAACTGTACCACGTCATGGAAAAGGGCATGTGGTGGTTCTTCCTCAAACAGTCGAGGTTGGATAGTAGGCTGACGAAGAAAAACCACCATGCCAAGCCCCAGAGCCAGAGAGACATCCAATTGGCGCAGAGACGGAGGATTTGTGCAGCCAGGAGACCTGGAACGCCCATGAAAGTGGACGAGGACGTTGAAGCGATCACCTTGTCCAGATTCTGCGCCATGCCGATGCTCCCACTGACAGTGAAAGCTGAAGGTCCCACAGACACAAACATGCCAGGACGCAGTGGCTCGGCAGGGAGCTTCTGAGTCATCAGTCGATAGACAAAAGCAGAATATATCGTCAAGGAGACGAGGAATCCGATGCCTTGGATCGTGAAGCCTCCAATAATCACGCGGATAGCAGCGCTGTGGCTTATCACTTGAGCTGATATGTTGGCGGCGTGGGGGCCCATGATCAACAGTGGATATGCCGGGAAGATCCAGATGGGCGTCATTCGCGCAATCGTGAAGGTCAGGCTGGTCCATAGAGTAAGGTAGATGGCTATGCTCAAGAGGACAGCCAGAGCGCCGTCGATCCAGAATAAAACCAGAACCGTCTGGTTAAGCCAAGGGCCGACACGTCCGGTCCCGTACTCGACGACATTGATTAGGATGGTGCCGAAAGAGACGGCGGTTGCAGCGACGAAGAGTGATTCCGTAGGATGCGTGAAGCTCGCGCGAAATGTCCACGGGTACAATACAAAGCGGGCGATGATCATGGCCCAGATGATGATGTAGAGACCGATGTTGACGAGGAAGAATATGAGACCAATCGTGTAGAGGCCGTTGAAGCGGTATGGTACTGCATGCAGAACATTGGCAATACCACCCGTGGCCATGGTCAGAGTGAACCACGCCCAAGTAACATGTTCGATCCTCTGCTTCCAAGACAGATCTTTCGGCTTATCCATATCGTCGTTGTTACCTTCGTTGCCGCCCTCGTCATCGTCGTCAAATCCTCTCCTACTCTGCTCCTCGTCTGTGCTGCGATCATGATCATTGTGGAAATAACGGTCCAGGAATTGCGCCTGCAATTGCATCTGAGTTGCTGCATGCTGTGCGTCTTCGATGGTCGGCGTGCGCCATCCGTCGCGATCGCGACTGTAGGACGTTCTCACACTAGGATGGTCGTGATATCCATCTACTGGTGCGCCGTTTGCAAATGCACGGGTCCGAGTTCGTTGAATGATCGATCCATGCAACGATGCTGGTGCAGAGCTGTGTACCACCGGCATCGTCGCAAATCATGTGTCTTATCGGACTATCTGCCGAAGGTTATACGGAAGTACTCCGCACATGCACCCAGTTGTGAGGTATGTGAAATCGAGTCTCGCTGCATTGCCCTGCTTGCTTGCCAACCTTCCATGTTGAATTCGAGGATTTGATAAGAAGACAAGGAGGATCTTTAGATCGGAAATATGCTGACGCGATATTAGTTGAACTCGTTCGTATGCGCATGGGTGAAGTTTTGAACGAAAAAGGACCCAAGATACACGTACCATGACGTTGCCGTACTTCCGTACTAGCGACTCAGACGATGCCCCATGGTTTGGTCGCCGAGGCCCACGATTCGTCCCGGCTCTGCAAGCTTTTCCTGCCCTGCCGACGTTCCGTTTCGGCTTGACAGGGCTAGATTGGTGGATCTGAGGCCAGTCCGTTTTTGTTATGTTCTATTTTAAAGATGCTCAAAAATGGTTGAAAATGCACGTCGATTGCGGGTTGAGATAAATCCATCTTTGGGTGTTTCAGCACGGGCAAATGGTCTAGGGGTATGATTTTCGCTTCGCATTATCTAAGGATGCAATTGTGAAAGGTCCGGGGTTCAAATCCCCGTTTGTGAGTACCGCTGATATCATCTGCAACGATTCTTCTAACAGCCTGAATCAGGTCCATTCGATGCCAACGAACCTGTATAGGTTGAGGCTTTTTTTGGCCCGTGAAGTGAATTTTCCTTAGGTGTGTGGGTGCAAATTCTTGATGCCTGACAGCCTCCGATTTGTGGTCCAGTAACTCGGAACATCCTCAAGGGTGGTCAAGCGTGAGAAGTGTGGGGGTGTTTCGAAGGACGAGGAGTAAAACAAGGTGAACAAGTGGAGAAGGAAAGAATGATCACTTGAGACAAATCAAGAGGAAGGAAGGGAAGTGTTGGGTGACAGAACTCCTATTGTAGTGAAATTCGCATGTTCAAAGACTATGTCGTGGAAGGACACCAGTCGACAGTGGAGGGAATCATGGGTAATACTAATGCACAAGGTCGAAATTCCAACCCTCAATGGTATTTGGTGCAAATTGCCGACAAGCGAATAGAGGAAGTTGCTAATTGCTCGATCCTGACACAGAATCAACCGCGACCACAAACCCATCGGGGGGTTTAGATACCAAGGGAAAACTCCACGCCAACATCGATTTCTCTGGCCATCTTCACAATCTTGGAAAAGTCCACGGCTTTGGCGGCACCTTCCTGAAGATCGGTGATGGAAAAGATCTTGAGTCCCGAGTTGTTGACCTAGTAAAGGCGTTAGTCAACCATTTCTCCCATTGCAAGCAGGAATACTCACCAACTCAGCCGCCTTCTCCATATTGGTACCCTGCAATCGACACACAATGGGTAACCGCAAGTTCATTTGTTCTACAACGTTGATCAAACCTTGAGCGATAGCGTCACATCTGACGATACCACCGAAGATGTTCACAAAGATTGCTGTGACCTTGGGGTCACTGGTGATCAACTCGAAAGCAGATCTGATAGCCTCTGGCGTGGCACCACCTCCAACATCCAAGAAGTTTGCAGGTGTGCCGCCATTCAGCTTGATGATATCCATAGTCGCCATGGCGAGACCAGCACCATTGACAAGACATCCAATATCACCGTCCAGCTTGATGAAGTTGAGACCGTATCTGCGCACGTTAGCTAAGCTCGTCCTTGAGATGCTGGCTTGCCATACTCTGCCGCCTTGACCTCGTCAGCATCCTCTTGCGATGTATCTCTCCAGCTGAAAACCTCCTTCTGTCGGAACTCTGCATTGTCGTCAAAGCCCAACTTGGCATCCATAGCCAGGACCTGGTGATCGCTGGTTTCGCTAAGAGGGTTGATCTCGATCTGGGTAGCATCCTTGTCCATGAAGATCTTATAGAGTCTCTGGATGGTGTTTTTTGCGTCCTCGATGCATTGCTCGCTGAAACCAACTTCTGTGGCGATATTTCGGGCGATCTCGTCCGTCACTCCTTCTTCGATGCTGATAGGCGTTGTGATGATGGCATCCGGCGTCTCTTTGGCCACAGTCTCAATATCCATACCACCTTGCGAAGAAGCTACAATGACGGGTGACTGGGTGGATCGATCCATGAGGATGGCTAGGTAGAATTCTCGGCGGGCGAATTTACGTTCGCAGATGTAGACTGAATTGCAGATCCGTCCGCGAGCACCGGTTTGTTTCGTGACGAGTTTGTGGCCAATCATCTGCTGAGCAAACATCTTCGCTTCCGTGGGGCTGTCCCAATTGTCAGTGAGGTCCTTATCATAGAGGTCAGGACACCATACGAGTAGATCACCCTCACACCACCCTTCAAGCCGTTGTCAAAGGTACCTTTGCCTCGACCACCTGCGAGGACCTGGGCTTTGATGACCATATCATCTCCCTCTGTTGTATGTCAGTCTTTTGCCCATTCGTTGAGGTGCAGTCAACCCGTACTGATATTCTTCGCAATGGCCAGGGCCTCTTCTGGTGTTGTTGCAACCTCTCCATCTGGAACGCCAACTCCATACTGTCCACTGTTAGACACTTATAATTCGATGTAGGAGGTATATCAATGGTCATACTTCTTTGAGTAATCTCGCAGAGAGATATTCGTGTATACTGAGGTTTCGTTGTTGCTGAAACGAGGTGCGCGCTGGGGTAACCTGTTTCACCGTGTCAGATTTGTTCTTCAGGAGCGATGAGGGCGTTTTCATACTCTGATAGCCTTGAGGGCCGGGCCCAGGCTACGACGACCCAGCTTGTACATTGCGTGCACAAGACAAGGGTATTGTTGTGATGTGGTGGACGGCAAGGGAGTTGAACTGCGATCTAGACAAATGGTATCAGACTTGCGATGGTCCGCAAGCTCGGCAAGCTGCGAAAGTCCCTACCCAAACCCGGAGTAATCGCAGCCTCGGTCGGCAGCCAATACACGGCTTCATTCTCTTGGCACAACGGGAACTTGACTCTTGCAACGTCCTTCATCCTCGACTTCCCATGTGACACACGTCCTCATGTCTCCCCCACCGCCGGCAGGAAGTAACAAGTCGCTGACTGCGTAGGGATGAGATCATGCAAAAAAAATCAAGTATCATGCCACCAAACCATGGAGGCCCCAAAGTTCAACAGAGTGTTGACATCGACATCCTACGAGGATGGCACATGGAGAATCCCGAGAAACCTCTTTGAGCGCACTACAGGCAGTGCATACAATTTTCGCCTGAACTGCGGCTGACTGGCCTGCGTCTACAAGATGACAGCAAGATCAAGGCTAGGTAAGCTGTTACTCACGCGAGACCACGGACTTAGACTACGACGAGGAGCTTCCCCTGTACACAGATGCGATGCAGGAAAGTCCAATCATGATCCCAAGGGACGCTGATACATGGCTCTTCCGATCGTGGGAGCAAGCAATATGATGCTCATCGCCCGAAGCCCACCTCCAGACAGGAAACAGTGATGTTCTCTCATTCGCCACATCTATCGCAACGGAAACACTCCGTAGGACCTAATTGTCAGCTTCCTGTACTATACGAGGTGTATGTGTCACCCCAAGCCGTGCTGGTCCCAGTCAACATATACCTCAACATCGCACCCACGGTAGGCAGGCACAATACGAAGACTTTTGACTACCGCTCCCATTTTCCAACCCACCTTGCTACTAAACATGACTACTCTTTACCGTACCCTGTACCCGTCTCCCTCCGCCAACTCGCACACGACCAGCTTCCAAGCCTCTACAGATCCTCGCCCTAGGCCTCCCCCGAAGTGGTACAGACTCCCTCCGTCAAGCCCTCCCGATGCTGGGCTACACCAACATCTTCCATGGCTTTGAACTGCCCTCAACCCGAGCAAACGACTGTATCATCTGGGTCCCATTACTCCAAGCCAAAGACCGTGGAGACATATCGACGGTCGAGGCCTTTGACTTCGACACTGTCCTAGGTGATTGTGACTGCGTCTTGGACGCACCACCCTGCATATTTGCCAAAGAACTTCTCGACTTCTATCCGCACGCCAAAGTGATCCTGAACCGAAGGAGAGATGTCGACGTGTGGCATCGCAGTATGATCGAAGCCGTAAATGCATTGCTGAACAATTGGATCTTGTGGACCTTATCCTTCTTCGACGCGCAATTGTTTTGGTGGTTCTGGACACCGACGTTGTGTTTCAAGATCCTGGCCAACGGTAAATTCGAGCAGATCGGCAAGCAAGTCGCGCGTGATCATTATGATGGTCTGGAGGCCAAATTGCAAGAGGACGGCAGAGACTATTTGAATTGGGAAGTCACAGAAGGTTGGGCGCCCCTTTGCAAGTTTCTCGACCGCAAAGTGCCGTCGAAGCCCTTCCCTTCAGGGAACAAGTCCGGAAAAGAGTTCGAGAAGAACATGATAAAGGCGATAGAAAGAATGGTTAAGCGAGCTGCACTCAAAGCGTTCTCAGTCTTCGTCGTGCTCTCTTGCATGGCAGTGCTGGTCTGGTGGACACGATTGCCCGGTCATTAATACGTATTCTGGTAGCTAGCCGCCCTATCATATAGTGAATATACGCTACTGCGCTTTTCCCGGCCACTCAACTTCCACGGCCTAAGAACTTGTCGTATACGGCGCCAGGGTGATATCCACAGGTGCCGCACTGTTAGGACACACGCAACCATTCGAAAGCGTGCTGATGCTTGTGACCGGAGGCACGGTACAATGGGGACTGGGCGTCCCTGGCGCAGAGGAAATGGTACTCGTAACTTGCGAAGGACTCAGGGTCTCAGCCTTGACCAGCAGTGGAATGACCGCGCCCGTGTTCAAGGAAAACGTCCGGTGTCCAATAACCTCCAAAATCGTCCCAATCTCGCCCGAGTGCGATGTAAAGCTCATCCAAGTCGAGCAATCAGTCGAGAAGATCTGGTCAAGCAACTGCTTCGATCGCGTCTGTTGAGCACCATCCGTCTCTGCCGTCACACCGGTCCACAGCTCATCGTACTCGGTGAAGTTAGCCTCGATAGGCCACGTTGGAAACATGTCGTGAATGTACGTCTTGTTGCTGCGGCGGTCGCAAGTGTGCTCGGAGATGGTTTCCCTCATTTTCTCCTTGATGGTCGGAATGAAAGGGTTCTTTGCCGGTAAAGGAAGACCGGAGAAGGTCAAGTTGGCTGTTTCGAGGCATCGAGAAAGCGGGGAGACATAGTAGCTCTGTGGAGTGGTGATCTTCTGAGTCTCAATGCGCGACAGCCAGAATTGGTTGGCCACCAGAGCTTGGGCGATACCGTTGTTGGTCAAATGCGCGTCTGACCATGTGGCGGTAGCATTGCCGTCTAGCAGAGACCAGTAGCAATTCCAACCGGGAGTCCCGTAGTAGGTCTGGGCAGCGTTGTGCCAGCCTTCGCCGTGGCGGCCCAGGAACAGAACTTTGTAGTCAACATTCTTGGGAGCATTGGCATTGAGAGACTTGACCACGATGGCAAATCTCTGCCATTGCGTCAAAGGTGCTGCATTGACCGTGTCGGTTGGGTATGTCTGGTTGATGAGACCGAAGTTCACGGTCGTCTTACAAGTGTGAGCAGGCGTGTAACCTACGTTCTTTCTTCAACTTACATAGTCAAATGTTGTGGCGTTCGTGGAGTTCAAGTCTTGCAAGAAGTATCCTGGAACAGTGGAATACTCGATATAGGATGACCCAGTGGCAGCAGCTAGGGCACAAGCTCCACCGCTGACCAGGAGAGGAAGTTCCCAACGAACCATTTTGTTGCTTGGAAGCGAGTGACGGGCAATGAGCTCTCGGAATAGATAAATAGTGTAACAGAGAGGATTCAGGACATCTTCGCTACCACCTACCTATATACGTCTCCTAGGGTATTCCCAAGAGGAAGGTCGTCTTCCTGCATGTGCCAATGCAACATCGTCAGTCGTTCGTGGTCGTCAAGGTAAGATCTCTGGCGAGGTCAAGGAACACCAATCAGTCATCGACATCAACGGGCGTGCCTATCGCGGAGTCGGGAAGGTGGATGATTCCTTGGAACTCAATACCGGGACAATTGAACAGGGCCGAAATCGTGGTCGTCGACTTCATTCATAGACAGCATCTACTGACTGGTGCATCGGTCTTGACGCCCGCTACCTGATGGAGCGGTTCCAATGAGCATTCGCGAAGCAGCTCGCGAAGAAACAAGGTCTTGAAAGTCCGAATACACGAGTCATGCTTCCACGTCTCCCTCCGCAAACATGACCCACAATTCGCTCGACCTTCTCCTTCAAAATATTTCATGCCCATCCACCATGTCCCATGGACATCATATCATCTTCTCATGCCTGTGCAAAAATGTAGCCATTCCTTAAGACCATGCCAGCCGCTCACCCTACCAAGTCCGCTTCAACATCCGCCAAAAGTAAGGAACTCGACGTCGTCACCAACGAAGCCCTCCTTCACCACGACGAAGCCTCGCGCCTGGCCAAGTCATGGCTAGCCAGCGCATACTCCTCGGACGACAACGAGGAAGAGCAAGATGATTTCGAGAAGACGTTGGCAAAGAATTCGGGCCAATACTCAGAAACGTAAGCCACTCGCCCTACATAGCCACCCGTCCACACACGCAGTGTACTCACAGCGACCATAGAGGTGGTCTAGGCTACCAAGAACCCACCAATTCCTCAGGTGCAGCCACGCGCGGGACTGACCCGGCAACGGCATTCTTACGCAAGCAACTACTCGGTCGCAGCCAGCGTACCACCGGTCATAACCAGCATACATCCGCAAGACCGCAATCCCGACGTGGCGCACCCAAGCGTGATGACAGCGACGATGAAGACGAAGGTCGATCCGGACTAGGCAGAGGGAAAGGAAAAGCAGGCAAGAACAGACCCGCAGAAACAAAGACACCCAAGATTGCCAGTCCGAACAACCCAGCAAATCATGCGGACACAAGAGCAGACGCTGGGGAAGGCCAGCAGGAAACCACAGTCCCTGCCCCCAAAGCTGCCAAGAAACGTGGTAGCAGTTACCTCGACGAAGTCCTAGCATCTCGAGCCGCGAAGAAGAAAAAGAAGTTCAACAAGGATAGCGCCGATTGAGAGCTTCAACACCAAAGTCATTCCCAACGACTCCGATACGGACGGCACATCCAACTATACTAGGCAGGGCCGCATATCCACGCCCACCACGAGTTGCATGTGGCCACCATGCCCAGCAAGAGACGCTAAGGCAGGCGATGGACGCAGCGATCATCCCAGCCGCACGAATCGTGCAAAGAGGAGATCCTGTTCTAACGTGCCATGTTTCGATTTACTGACACAAAATCAATACCCTACTGTGCACGCGAATGCCTGAGCACACTCCAGTGTTCAATCGAATCCATGACGTGAAAGTGCCCCAAGCTACCTTAGCGCAGTGCCGCTTCTTAGCACTTACTACCATGACCAGAGTGACTACAAGTCAGGAAAGCCCTGAAGAAGGGCAACGTTTCAGTAGCGAACGGATGTTTTCATTCCGGGCTGTCTGTCAGGTCTCATAAACAGCCAAAACATACCCATCTTGGGTGGTAATGCTTGATGGCAACACCATATATCATACGCCGTCCCACATAAAAAGACCGTCTCCTCTTGCCGAATCATCAGACCAGAATGTAAACATGGGTCATCATTTTCTTCGCTTCACCCATAACACATGGTGGTCACAAACACCCTCAAAAGACCCACGCTCGCTTTTCAGACTCAAAGATTGTGAAGATCCCCCCAGAGAAAAGTCAGAAGTGACGCCAAACACCATCCCATCTCGTTATCTACAATAAGCTGTCATGCCCGGATGACTTTTGAGCAAAATGAAGGGTAAACTTTCATAGCAGTCGTTTCCGCTTTCTATCGTCGTTCAGACCCTCGTCCTCATTATCCCGCTCCGCCGTCTCGGCTGGGTTGAGTAATGAGTGTAGAGTCGCCATACTGCCCCTACGCGTGGCAGGGGCCGAATGCAGCTCGAAATTGGGCCGGGGAAATTTGCTTGCCCCCAAACTCCAGGATCCGTGATCCACACCCAGGCCAGTAGGATGAGATTCGGACGTGGAGGTCAGCGGAGGGGTCGGTTGGTTTGCCGTGGTGGCCGAACGTTTCGAACCGTTGATTTCGTAGCGTGCCAGTTGGTCTTGCAGCTGTCGGTCTCCGCTTTGGGGGCCTTGCTGAGGCGACGATGGCTGCCACTGCACGGATGAATGTCCCGAGGCGTACGGGGATCCGCCTTGATTGTCGTTCACTGGGGGCCAGCCATGTTCTCGAATATCTGCTGATGTGTGTCTGCGGGTAAGGTTTATGGGTGGTGGCGTCGATACCGATGCCAACGGATGCACACTTTGTGGCGGGTGTGCCGGGAGTGCAGGTCGGCTGAATCCTGGCGAAGGATGGGGATTACTCATGGAACCAAACCGTCGCGGGGACGACGAAAATTGAGGCGGCACAGGCGGTGCCAGTGGTCGCAATCCAACATGTTGCGGCTCAAACTGGACGGACGACCTGCGACTGTCAGGATAATTGTATCCGCGAGGAGATACAGGCGGCTCCAAAGCTGCACTGCCTGGATAGAATGACTGCCTGCCATTCGGTAAAGCTTCAGGAGGATTCTCGAGTGCGCGCACGAACTCCAGTTGTCGCGCTATTTCTTTTTGCATGCTCGTAACATCATTGTAGAGAGGCGAGTCGGGAGCGGATATCTGCTGAAAGGCGCTGGTCAAATTCTGTGTCCACTGGTGGCAGCGAACGAGGCCCTCAGTCAGCACCTGGCACCTTGTGTTCATCAAGGCATAGTTTTGCTCGGTTCTTTCTAGTCGGCTATGCATCTCGTAGAAAGTTTGCTCGAAACCCGGATAGCGCGGCTCATCCGAAGGCATTTCTCCAGGTGTGGCCGGTTGCGATAAGCCAGGCTTTGGATTCGAGAATGAATCCCGATGTATCAAAGTATGCCGAGAAGCCCTCCTTTTGATCTCTCTCAAACCCATCAGGTCGCCCTTCTTGAAGTTGCCGTTGCCGTGCTTGAACTCCCACAGCGCGGATTCTGGTGAACCAGTGTGGAAGACGTCGCTGACCTTGTGAAAGCCGTACATATTGAGCTGGCGTACGAAGGATGATATATTTGTATGTTTGAAGTATTGGGACAACACTTTGGAGAACTCGTTGGAAGGGGACATGACGAAACTTTCGTTCGTATTCGACCAGGAAATCAGGTGCTGTATACTTCGATCTTCCAGCATGCTGTAAAGCTTGTGTATGAAGGCTGTCTGCACCACTTTGGGCCCTTGTGAGGCTCCTACGGCTCCTGCTGCTGTACCGGAACCGGGCACTGGTGTTTGATCCTTGTTGCCATTGGCAGTATTGCCCTGTTCAAGTTCTGGACTATTTCCCTGCGTAGGAGGGCCCATATTCGGAGGCGCAGGAGATGTGACCTGCATCGAATCTTCATGACTCGACTTGGGCGAGGTATTGTTGTTTGGAGGTAGGATAGCCATGGATCTTGACCTCGGCGGAGGTTCTATCGCAGGGTCGAAAGGGTTTCTGAGAGTCGACTGAAATAAGGTGCTCATGATGATCTCCTTTAAGAACTATTTTCGTGCCCTCCGGCGCGCGTGGACCGATGTCCTATTCTTAAGTCATGCAAGGCATCTATATTTTGCACCGTGGGTGGAGCGAGCCACACATTGGCATCACGGAGAGGTACAGGTCGGTTTTGTCAGGTTTTGCGATCAGTGCTGGCTTGCTGGCTGGCGGTCAGGCTCGGACTGCGCAGGCGTACTCGGGAGGAGAGAAAGGATGTATGACGAAGAGTTGCCCGGTCGATAAACGGTGTGAACGGGGTTCTTTGTCGCTGTCGGATCGGAAGATCTGGTGTCAAGTGTGGAGGTATGGCTAAACAGGGAGGCGAAGGAGGACGTGGTGGTGGGTGTTCGTGTTCGTCCGAGAAGGAGTTGCGGCTTTTAGCTTTTGGGGGGGCAAGGACCCAGGTTCCAGAACGTAAAAAAGGAGGAGCGCGCAAGGTTCAAGATATTCGTGGACGCACAGGTCCAAGCGCGTTTTTGACTGCTGCAGGGTTCGTTTGTGCCTGAGGATAACAGCACGGGCGTGATGTTTGGATCAAAATGAGCTGTTTTGTCGGGTGATGGTTCTACAAAGGTTCGAGGGAAGTTTCGAGTACCGAAGGTGAGGGACAAGAGATAAAGATGGTGTGGTTTGAAATCGAGGGGATAACCAAGAGTAGTGGTTCGTCCGGAGTCAAACGGATCGACCGGATTGGGAGTTGAAAGAACCAGGATACGAGATATTATTGAGAAGAGGACGGGGCGGTAGCCGATGCAGCAGAATGGAGAATCGAGATGGACAAGATAGATTGATGAATTTGGTGGAGGCGTTCGGATGTATCGCTGTCTGTCTGTGTCAATCTGGACCAAGGAGTGGACGATAAGGAGAGAGGTTAGCGAAAAGAGGGGGTGACAGAAGACGATGAGAGAGTATCAGATAACTAATAAGAAAGCAGATTCTTTTCAATTCTGGAGTAAAAGTCAGGATCAAAGTCTGGACTCCTGTCTTTTTGTTGCAACGTGGGAGATGGAGATGGAAATGGAGAATGTTTAGTTCTGAATTAGTGAAAACAAAAGGAAAGAATAAGATGATGATGAACAAGGGTCGAGATGCATCGAGGTTTCATCATCATGCCTCGGGCCATTCTCAACGTTGCAGAAAGCAGGAAAAGGTAAGGTTAGAGTCAGCTTAAGCTGAAAAGGCTGAAAGATGCAGAAATGAAGGTACCGTAGCATGCAGTTGACCTTGCAGTAATAGGTACCTTAGGTACTCTTTGGTATCTTTTCATACCCGGTACCTACCTAGGTACCTAGGTATCATTCATGATACTTTTAAATTAGGCGGTACTCGGCATCCTCTGGGCGTCGCTTTGTAGTTGAAACACTATCTATACTCCACATATAGTAGTTGCTGCTATGTACGTAAAAGACATTATTGTCAACACCGAGCATTGCAGTCTCTACATCTGTGGATGTACATATCCCATGAACATTGCAGCCGCTGTGACAATGCAGCGGAATCACCATCTCCGACCCACGAGCATGGTTGACCTGACCCGGGGTTCTGGCTTGGGTCAATGCACGAGCCCACCATTGCACCCTGCTTGACAGGCCTTGACAGCGGGCAAAAGCACCATTTCCAGGCTACTTGCAGCCTTCATGCAGCTGTTCCAGCCCTCGTGTTCCCATTTAGCAGGTCAACTTCAACGAATTGAACGCTAGCGGTGGTTGTTGACATGTTGCGCATTTCCATCTCGTCGTCATCAAGAGCGGGTGTGATCCCTCTCTGGTACCGTTCATTCGGTGATTGTTTGTCAGGCAAGTGTCTGGTCAGATTGTCAAGAGGACACCTCCTCGCCATCTTGTGCGACTACCATTCTTGACAACCTCGCTTAAGGCAGAGAGTCAGTCGAGTCTACGGCTGGCTGCTGGGCTGACAATCAACAACCGCCACGATGCTTCCTTTCGGGTGACGTTCATGATCAAGGGCAATACTCATTTGCACATCCACCGCCCTATCATCTTCATTGCAAACCAGCGGAAATGAAAGGCTGTATGAAGAAGCCGGTTGGAGAAAAGCTGTCATTCAAAACTACCGTGTCGGTGAGGCATGTCAGCATCAACCTTGATCGGCTTTGACCATGCTCGCCTTTCCAAAAGTACTCGAGCAGCAGGATTATGGAGGTGCAGCGTAACCCCAATTGATGCGCAGCAGATATCTGTGCTGACTAAGCTCCGACTCCGCATAAAATTCATCTGCAACTTGATACTCCAATAATTTTTTTCCCGCCGCAGCCATTTTCTAGATCGACCCGCAGACTAGAAGGCTCGTAGACCTTGCAAGATCTCTAAATACTACAAAGAACTCCGCTCCCGCTACCGCCATTGAAACACAGCCGAAATGTCCAACAGCGCGACAATGCGTCGTCACATTCCTCTCGAAGACGATATTACGACCGCAGGCGGTCGGTTACGTACCAAGTCGGTGACGGGCAAGAGAAAAGCTAGGTCCGACGAAAATGCTCAGGGTGATGGATACATCGACGCCAAATCGTCCAGAAAGATTCTGGCAATGGCACAGGATCTTGAAGAGGAAGATGACCAAGATCGCCAGGCAGCCGCTGCAAAGGCCGTCTCAACCTCAAATGCCGCCTTCGGCTTCGATTTCAGATTTGCGGGCGATGCTGATGATGCAGAAGGCGGTGCTGGGCCCCAGTACAATGACGAAGAAGAATGGGAGCCGGAGGAAGAAGAGGTGGTTGCTGAAGAAGATGTAGATCCCGAAGACATGGCAGTTTACAAGAAATTCTTACAAGACGGGGAAGAACTGGCAGATTTTGCGCCGTCAATAGCAAACCTGACGACAGGAGAACGACATTCAGCAGATGACGTCGAAGCCGAAGAGGAGGACGAGGAACGCGGTCAAACCACAAACCTTACAGACTTGATCCTACAACGCATTGCCGAAAAAGAAGCACTCGAGGCAGCCCGTAACGCCGGAACGCAGCAACAGGTCTTCATCGGTGGAGGCCATCCCGATGATGCAGTCGAGATTCCTGCCAAAGTGGTTGAAACGTTCACCAAGGTTGGCCAACTCCTGACCCGGTACAAGTCTGGGCCATTGCCCAAGCCTTTCAAAGTCCTCCCAACTCTTCCACAATGGCCAGAATTGCTTTCTATAACACGACCAGAAAACTGGACACCTCATGCTGTATACCGCGCCACGAAGATCTTTATCTCCGCTCCAACTGCAAAAGGTCAGTATTTCTGTTCAAATGTCCTACTCGACAGCGTTCGGGAAGGCATATCAGAAAACAAGAAACTCAATGTTCACTTGTACAACGCCATGAAAGAAACCTTCTACCGACCATCGGCCTTCTTCAAGGGCTTTCTGTTCCCGTTAGTGGAATCTGGTTGCACGTTACGCGAGGCACATATCGTTTCCTCGGTACTGGCCAAGATCAAGATACCCGTCTTGCACTCCGCTGCGGCTTTACTACGTCTATGCGAGATCTCTGCTGAACAGACTTCGAATATCAACAGCGAAGCTGCTGGTGCAGCGAACATCTTCATCCGCGTGTTATTGGGCAAGAAATACGCACTGCCATATAAAGTGGTGGATGCTCTGGTATTTCACTTTCTTCGCTTCCGCGCATCAAAAGACCCCAACTCGGAACAGCTGGCAAGCAAGGAAGCTAAACTGCCTGTTCTGTGGCATCAAAGCCTGTTGATCTTTGCTCAGACGTACAGGAATGAGATTACGGAGGATCAGCGCGAAGCACTACTGGATCTTCTCCTTGCCCGAGGTCATAAGGATATTGGGCCAGAAGTGAGGCGCGAACTTGTGGCTGGTCGCAACCGAGCTGCTGAGGGACAGGGAGATGCAGAAATGGTCGTCGACCAGGAGATCAAGGACGATGGCGATGATACCATGGACGTCACCATTTGATCAGTTTCAACGATATGTTATGAGACCATCACGAATGATATGTCAATTTCCCGTTGTTAGGGATCATGTATCAGCAGAATGCTTTTCTTTGTCGTTCCAGTCCTTCACGAAGTGGTGGTGTGTAGCTTGTCAATTACGGCCAGTTGGCATCGTCTCGCTGTGTGAGAGGCTCCCTCGACCTTTTCATGGTGTATGGCTTAGGGCGAGGCTGTACCGTCGCGAGTTTGACCATCTACCGCACAGCCTTTGCTGCCCTGGGATCATCGAAGGTTTTTCATAACTCCTGTTTGTCATGGAGAGCATCTTCTGGTGATGCGTATCTCGCCGCCAAAAAGGGTTTCTTTCCATCCTTCTCACGACTTCGTGGTTCCCCGTCCACGGAAACAATCGCTCTTATTCGAATCTTCCTTACTTGGCTCATCCTGGCGCAAGTAATTCCCATAGACTCATTGGATCTGTCTGCATTGTCCACTCATGCTCATTATCGGTATCTCGAGAATTGCCTTCAGTTGATCCGACCAGACCAGACCACATCCTTCCTGAACCAGGCCCTTTTCGACTCCTGCACCCTGGATGCGCCGCCCCTTCTTCTCTCAGTCCTTGATGTCCTACCATTCTTGCTCGGCCCACAATCTTCAGACCTCCAGCCACCCGTCTCGCAATGATCGCTATGTCTACCCCACGAAACTGGCATATCAAGTCGCCTGCACGAACATCCGTACAGGCAAATCCCAATCTGACTGGCTCGACGTCTCGGTCCAGGTTTGACTCGATCACGATCGACGGCTTCGTCAGTCCTGTGTTGTTCGCTCTCCTTTTATCCTCCTCGTGCAGCAACACGTCCTCGAGGGGAATGACACACTCGCTGGCCAGAGAATAATTGTACAAATGCAAAAGATCTTCGCTTTGCGACGCAGCCTGAACAACGTTCTCAACCAGATCCGGAGGCAATGGAGAGCGTACATACTCTGTCTGCCTCCCTCCAGACCCCGTGCGTTGCAACGAGTCAGCTGCACTTCTTGAGACCTTCCGCTTGACCTCATGTCCGACATACTTTGCCCAATCGACCTGATCCAGCCGCTGTCTGAGATCGCGAATGCTCGTCCACCCAGGCAGAACCTCATCAACAATGTTCACATAGTCCGGGGTGAGTGGACACTGCAATTCGGACAAGACAGCCTCAAGACTCGCCATACGGCCCGCAAAAGAAGCCACATAGCCTTCGATATCAGCTTGCGTAATCCCGAGTGCCCGTACCGCCAGACAAACACCCTGCACCGACAAATGCTTCCGCGCCTCACTCGGACGCAGATACTTAAACACCTCAAAGAAGACTTCAACAATGTTCTTTGAATAATCCGGCTTGGGCCCTCTGTATGACCCCGTCTCATTCTCGCCGCAATCATCAGCAATCCCGAGCATCCCATAGACCTTATCCCTCCGCTCCGCACACCTCGAGTCATAAAACTCAGCAAGCAACTCCTCCAGCGTCGACTCAGTATGCGAGATCCTCCGCGCAGTCAATCTCACCGGTAGCGTATGCGCAAACAGGTCCATAAACGCTGGCTTTTCCGTTTCCCGAAAGTCTATCGCTCTCATCGTTCTCACCACATCCTCAAAATCCTTCCAGTCCAGGCTCGCCGTCCCACAAACAACCTCGACTTCCTTCGCCTGCAGAAACTCCTGTATAATCCACGTTCGCGTCCAATACACTCCGTGGCATAATCCAACCAAATTCATCCATCGCGCAGCATATTTGTCACTAAGATAAACATCCCTAAACCTTGCGGACCCCTGCTTACCTCGAATCGTGGTCGCCATCTCGCCAACAAACTCCAGCGCGCGGGCCTGCCGTCTATCCTCCGACGGCAGACCCAACCACACGATCGTCCTGTCCGCGCTATCATAGATCTTCCCCATGAGCTGGACATGGAAATTGCGCTCCTCGAGATTCGCCTGGTCGATGCACAAAGCGTCTATCCACAGGAACTGACTCACACCGCGCTGTCGTAAATGCCACAGTAAGTGCCAGAGATTACTCCGGACGCGAAATGGCCGACCATTAACGCGCACGAGATGGGTGTCGGCGGCATTGCCCCATGTATATGAGATTGCGATGTACGCTGGACGCCGGTGAATGGCGTACTGCGTGATGCGTAGGCTGAGGGCGTCTTTCTTGGTGCCGCCTTGGATCTGTAGCAGGCGCATGAAAGTGCCTGATAATTTGAGGCGTTCGTGCCGGAACTCTTCGGTGGACATTTTGCTGGATGCTTGACAAGTCTCCGCTCCTTAAACCGTGAACGGTTGTGCACGAGCGTTTGCAAATGCGGTCAGGGGATATGATATTTCAGCATCTTGCCCCGAGATCGTCAGAGAGGCTATTATAGTATAAGCCTCACCTGCAAGGAAATTCATCTTGCGATATACGTGTTGTCAAGTCCAAATCGTCACATTAAGATTTGGCCCTTTTAGCCCCCAAAGTTGAAACACTTAGAACGACTGCAAAACAGCTGTAGACACGTGACTAAGCTTCGACGGGGGTCGAGTCATGGCCATGGGAATGAAACGAGGTTTACATGGAGGAATAGGTGGAAGAGCATTAATGTTCAAGTCGATGATCACATTCTGGGCCGTGATGGCAGACGGCTCGATTTACGTTGGCTGCATATCTGCGAGAAGCCTGTCAAGGGTTGTCTGTGCCGCCCAAACGAACACTTCTGCATGCCTCATTCCCAGCTCTTGCGATGGTTTTCGATCTGAGTTTGACTTGACGACTCATCCGAGTTCAGGTTGCTTCTACTACTAATACCTGTGCAGGAAGGTTGTTCGAAAACAATCAACCTCAGCACGGATGACTCCTCCATTCGTGGCAGCGACCAGTATTGACAAGCTCGTTTTGAGGAGTTCGATCTTGCATCCGTCTGGCGAATGTGCTCGTAATTGTAGAGGTCAGTGTTGCACAGATCGATGAATCTGTGCGGTGTCTATGTCAGCTAGGGGCATAGACTTGTTGTGAGAGCAATTCACCTGTTAGATCGTCACGGTTCAGCTCTTGTACTTGGTGACATTTGTCGTTGTCGACCACTATCATTCCTGGCCCGACATCTTCGCCACCATTCTACCATCAGAAAGACGATAACAGTAATCAGGACTGTGCCGAATGCCATGACCATGAAGTAATATGGCGTGACCGGATCCGCCGCCATCTTGTTGTGATGCTTCTTTGTGGTCGATGATGGTTGAGGCAGAAGTGAGCTGTGTCGGTCGAGGGTGAGGTGACTTGCAGCCGGACTGCTGGCTACCTTGATTCTGTCTTACCGGCTCCCCAAACCAACCACGCATGTTCATGTGTGTCCGGAGGCCGGCGGAATGGACTTGCCGACCGTCGGTAAGCGATGGCGTTGGGGTCGTCGCCAGAGTGGTGTGCGTTAATCCAGCGAGTCTGACATGTAACTCGTGTTGGTAGACTGTTTCAAGATTTTGTGACTCTGTACTCGCTTCATATTGGTGAGAGGATGGAAGTTGGTCATGAAGTTTTGGGCGAGATACATGACAGAATAGTCATCACCATACTGGCCAATTATCTGCATGCCCACAGCCACTTCGGGTCGCCATGGATGATCAGGATGTCGTGGCGCAGGGACCGACATGGACGGAAGCCCTGCTAGACTAGCGGGCACCGTGAAAACGTCATTCATGTAGTTCTCCACTGGTGTAGATCGTTGCAGGTACCGCAGCCGAGGCGGAGGACTTGGAGCCGTTGGAACAATGATGAAGTCCACGCCATGTATTTTGACTTCAGTATCCTGTTTGAGGGGGTTGGGCATTCTGAAGACATCGTCAAAGTCCTGCTGCACCATCCTTCGTATCTTCTGAGCTTGTATGAAATAGTTGTCCATGGCACCCGCACTCAAGCTATAAGTACCAAGCAAGATGCGCCGTTTAACCTCCGGTCCAAGATTGTCGGAACGATGTTTGGAGTACAGAGTGCCTCCTACATCGTCACTAGGAGACTGCCTCACAGCCCCATAGCGAACCCCGTCGTACTTGGCGAGGTTGGAGGATGCCTCGGCTGGAGCCAGAACGTAGTAGGATGAGAGAGCATGTCGTGTGGATGGAAGGGATATGGGCACGATCTCGCACCCAACCGATTCGAGGTAACTTAACGTCGCGGTCCAGGCCCACCGGACCAGAGGGTGCATTTCGGCGATATTGTACTCTAGAGGTACACCAATTCGTCGTGTAAATTCGCGCTGCGCAACAAGCTGGCTGCGCAGATTTTTCCAGTCAGAATGGCGGTGCGGGCCGGTCTCTGCTTCTTTAACCTGGTCTGTTCCTACCACAACATACTGGGACCCCAAAACCGCAACTCTTCGACGATTTTTTGCCTCCTGAACACGTGTCCAAGACGAGGAAGTCAGACATGTTGGATCATTTTCGTCCGGTGTACGGAGAATGTCTGCAAATGTCAGTCAAAGTAAGCAGTCAAAACGGTAGACAAACCAAACGTGAGCCTGATGTCCTCGGCTGACCTCGCAATTATGCCAACAGTATCAAGAGAATTCGCATAAGGTATGACTCCTTTCCGAGAGATCATACCATAAGAAGGCTTGAATCCGAGCACGCTCATGTATGCTGCTGGCAGGCGAATGGAACCTCCGGTGTCCGTGCCGATGCCAACATGAGCGAGTTTGGCTGCCACTGCCAACGCACTTCCACCCGAACTACCACCCACAGAAAGTGCTTTGAAACCTCTCCCATTTGTCACTGCTCCATAGGCCGAGTTCATCGAATGCGACCCCATCCCAAACTCGTCCATATTTGTCTTTGCCAGCACGCGCACTCCTGCTCTGTTCAGGCGATCGGTAATGGTGGAAGGTTGAGAGACGGGCTGCAGGCCTTCAAGGATCCTTGAGGCACATGTCGTTGGCAATTCGGCGGTCACAATATTGTCTTTGACGACTGCCGTATAGCCGTGGGTTGCCGATTTGAGTATGTCTGCGCAGTGCAACGTGAGCCGTCATACCAACCAATGGGAAAGTGATAGATCGCATACAGTGTCTCTTGTCAACAATCGGGTCCGGTCCTTGACCCATCCGCCGGTGAATTCCCTGACTCTTCGCTGCGGCACGGTCGAGGTCCTCCGCCCGAAGCAAGTCATCGCTGATAGAAATGTAGGGATTTCCATAGTCTCGAGAACGCTGTGAACGGCGGGTTAGCTCCCGTACCTCTCGGCGTAGATTGACATCTCTCGCATTGAGGTGGCCGCGACCTATGCGCGTCATTAGCCACCTGCTCAGGAAAGTGTCTCTCCCTTGCGGACTATTAAACCACACAAACAGGGCAAGGTCGAAGTGTCTTGCGATTGAAACGACCGCAGTTCCTTCTCCACAACGCGCAGTCAGGTGATGCTTGGCGCGGCAGCGGGAACTCTAAACCGTTGTCAGCACCTAAAGTTAGAGACAAGGCCGAGGCTGCCGGCCTAAGGATAGCTGCCAAATGAGGTCCTTCACAATCGTTGCATACACAGGCCTGTGCTTGCGCTTGTGCCTGCAGAGGACGGTTGAGGGTGCCAGCAAGAACACCGGAAAGGCTGATTCTCCTTGGTAAACCTGCTTACCCTTGAGGAGGAGAGTGTAGCACTTTGGAGTGGGCACAGGGGAAATACCCAACCCTGCCAGGACAATCGCCTTGACGATCCACGACTTCTTAGTCCTGAGGATATGTCTTCTGCATAAAGTAGACTTCGCGCTTATCTTGCAAACTCCACGCGTGGTGAGTATCACCCACGAGAATGATCACGAAACTCGGCAGGGACCATGACCGACATACCGGAGACGATCAAAGGTACAAGGATAAAAGCTTGTAGCGAGTGTCGCCAGCAGAAAGTCCGCCTGATCTCGTTCCGGTGGTTGCAAAAACACGTACTGACCAGGTGACAGCTTCGCTGCGATGCTTCTAAGGACTACGCCCAGGCATGCTCACGTTGCAAAAAGTTCGCGCTGGAATGTGTCATCTCCAAGTCATTCCGGCGAGTCAGACGCCGCACGTACGCTTTCTCTGCAGAGCCTGAGGCTGAATGGTGCTGATTGGGAGACTAGAAAATCCGAACTGCAGGCTGAACTGGATCAACTGAAGCAACAGGTCAAGAAAAACCTACCGGCATCGAACGCGCTACCGCCTCCGCCCGGCTATCATGGTTCGGAGCCCAGCCGGATAGCCATAGGATCAGGTTCTTCCATTCTCCCAAACACAGCAAGACAGTTGCCGTCGCTTGGCGATGAAGCCTCGAGGATCCAGCAAACTACTGTGCCTGCTAGGACATCCCAGCAGACCGGGCTATATACGCCTCTGTCGACCACGCCAGTGGTTTCTTGCACTCTGCCGCAAAGCATTCAAGGATTGACTGTAGACGCTCGGGACATCGATGAATGCTTCGCACTGTGAGCCCACTTTCGAGCTACCCATTGAGCCTTGCACTAACGGCGGCTAGCTTTTTCGACAAGCACTTGTCGTATATGCCAATATTCGACAGCAAGCTGCAACCAAATGAGTGCTATAAAGCTTCCTCATTCTTATTCTGGACAATTGTTGCCATTGGGTCTCGAAGATACACCAAAGACCCCACTCTAATCCTCCTACTGGCACCCAAGGTAGTTGATCTGGCCAAGCAATCGATATTCACGATGGAAAAATATCTACCGACGATACAAGCTCAGATACTCCTCTGCACATGGCACATGCCAATCGATACTCTCCAGAAAGACATTGCTCCGACACTAGCTGGCGCAATGTTGCAAATGGCAATGAACATCGGGCTTCACGTATATGGTACTGTACAAGACTTCTCTAGGGTGCCACTTCGTTATGATCGGCAACAAAGGAACTTCCGCACCAGACTATGGACGCTCTGTCTCCTAACGTGCCAAAGGTGAGGTGAAGCTCTCAGAGACATTCGTCTAACGATTATGCTAATCGAGCGCAAAGGGTCAATAACGGCTGCGGCCTGCCTCCGATCGTAGTAGCAGACACTTACAGTCACGAAGGCTACAAGGAAGATCCATTCGCCGGGATGCACCCTAGTATCTTTTTCCAGAGGAGGTTGAACCAGGTGCATAGCGAAGCTGCCCTTCAGGTCGAGCGCGAAGCTCTATCCAAAAAGCCCGAAGTCCGTAATGCTGTTCTTGGGCCGACCATCAACGACGGTTTGTCCGTTTTGAGTGCATTGAATGCAGAGTGTCCATCGAGCATCGGTAAGTCCCTCGCATGACCTGACCATTTTAACGGCTAAAGGTAGAAGATCACCTTTTCCTTCTCAGTTGCCAGCTTCAACTTGCCGCCTGCCATCTGCTGGCCTCCACAATCAGCGAGGTGGATCTCGCTGGCCTGTATGGGAAAGCGTGCTCCATTGTCGAGTTCGCGCTCGAACTAGACGAACAGGAAGACCTGGCAGAGGTTGCCCCGACTGCATCGTCCTTTGCACTGAATCTTGCGGCTTTGGTCATTTTCCGAGTCGGCAAGTCTCACATCTCGGACAGCCTGGACAGTAAACGAGGGCAGAAGTGCTATTTTACGGTCATTCGCATGAACAAGAAACATAGCGTAAGATCGGACGACCTTGCGGCTAGAGCTACCATCATCCTTCCCCAACTGTGGACCAGTAAGATGGTGGTCAAACAGCCAGACGGCACACCCAACAGTCTGTGGCTCCGCTGCCGAAGCAGACTAGGCTCCAGCGTGACCTATGACAGTTACTGGCTCTGGCGACAGGAGTTCGGGGGTCAGCCCAACCCATATGACGGTGTTGAAGGTACGTGTGTGCGACCAAACGTGATCCATATATTGATATGGGGCTTAGAAGTAGTGACCGACAATACCGGCAGACCTGCCTCTGAGGTCACACCGGGACTGGACTTCAATCAAATGGGTGTTGGATGGTCACCGGAGACATTATTCCAGGATTTCCAGTGGCCTCTTTTTGACGAATTTGCATACGACAACAGCTGGGAAGTAAACGAACAGCTAGTATTGCCATGATTGATGACGGCCACCGAGACAAGTTAATCCTAGACCGCGGACGTCCGCGCTTGTCTTCTTGCTCAGCACCATCTCACTCATCAGAAGTCCTGTCCCCAAACTCAAGCTGATGCCCCATGGTCCATGGCCAGATGCGATATACACGCCACCATTTCCGACCTTGATACCGCCCAGATTCTTCTCCGGGATTCGACCTATCAGTGGGGTTCCTCTGTCAGAGACGGGCCTGAAGCAGAGTCCTCCTCTGACAAGCTCCAAATCATCATGGTGCAAGTCATCGCCCTCATTGGCCAAACCTGTCAGTTGGACAATCGTCTTGCGCAGATCGTTGATGCTTTCTGGGTCGATGATGTCCTTGACACTCACGGCCAATTCAGGCAAAGGCAAAATGCTGTCATTAATGCCACCCACCCAGATCTCGGTTTCTCCATTGCGGGCAAGGCGGAGGTACTGCCTCAGGGGCGTACGACCAGTATCGTCCCGGTGCGCAATATACCGTGCAGCCCCAAACCTCTTAATGGCGCTGCCACTCATATCAAGCTTAATGGCGTTAAGCTCCGAGTTTCGTTGGCATGGACGACGAGTAAGGTAAAGAGCACTTGACGTTGACTGCGGATTTTCTTCATGGTACGAAGCACGGACAATGGCAGATGCTCCGCGCCGTGCAGTGCGTTCTGGTTGCAAACCCTTCGATTTCGAAGCTCGTGCTCTTGACAGGGAGCAGCATCGCTGTGCGAGAAGGGGCATGTTCACTCGATTTGGAGACTCTGTTCGAGGAGGATGGAGATGGACAACAACCCCTCGACATGCCGGATGGGGCAGATATCGGGGAGAAAGCGGCGCAGCAGCGGACGGTTCATGACCCCAAGCGCTCCAAGGTGTCCCGCTCGCCGAGCGCCTGACACCTTAGCGACGCATTCGGGCTGCCATCGTCGAAGATTGCCTGTGAGACGGTCAGCGCCTCTTCAAAACGGGTTGGATGATGTTGTTCGCAGTATGCAACTCTCAGAGAGAAGATAGGTTCAACACTGTGGGTGGTCATGCTGGAGCAACCATCGAGGCAGGGCTGAGGTTGCTGCCAGCACCCAGCTCAGGCTAAGGATGATACAAAAGCTCATCAAAGAGAAGAGGTTGGATGAAGGGATGCTTACAACGTCGAAAAAATCTCCAGTTTCGAGAGTAGTTGCTCCGAGACTCCAAGCAAGAGACGATGGGGCTGGTGTGTAGCGGGCAGAATGTTCATAGCCCACCGAGCTTCGGCCACTGGAATGTCTTTGCTTCGCGTCCGTTCTTGGTCTCGGCATCTGGCTGCTCGTCGTATATCAGAGTGTCGACGTGGTTATCACTGTTTCTCGGTTGGTCATCAACGTGCTGTTGTGCCTTGGTTCGTTTCAGCTCGGTAGTCTGCCGCTTTCGCTGCTTCTCTTCCTTCTCCTTCGCGATGCGTCTCTCTTTCAGCAACCGTTGGATCTCAGAATGCCGAAACATTCTCACTTGCTCCTCTGTCAAGGTTCTTTTCACACCATCCTCATAAGAACCTAAACCATCTCCGACATCGGGTACCGGCAAGTCCTGCGAGTCGGTCACATCTCTGACGTGGCCAGAATCGTCATCAATCTCTGGCGTGACTTGGCCAGGAAAATGTGTAGCATGAAACTGTCTAAGCCGGAGAATGTCCGTTGGCTGCAACATCGCAGAGGCGGTTGACAAACAAGCCACGGAGAGGAAAAGGATTACAAGGCGAGGATCGGATTATGCTTCAGTTTAGATCTGGATGACAAAGCCACTGCCAAGATCTTGGCGCAACAGGGTCTCTCAAATGCAAGCTCCAAAAGAATGATCTTAGAAATGCACCCGTCGCAACTGATGAGTAAACACCCAAAGTGGTACTAAAGGTCATCAACATGCATACCTTCAAGCAGCAAGGAAGGCCGAGTGGCTTTCAAAATTGTATTCCATGGCCACGATGAGGATAGCTTCGGGACAGCAGCCTCATTCAATTAATTCCCGTGCCAATGACTGGTGGGATCATCGCGGGTTTCGGCGATCAGCAAGCAATAAGTCAACAACTTCGGTTTAGTATCGTCAGCAAATGTGCAATGCACGATGAGCAGCGTGGCCTCGAATGCGATGGAAAGGTAGGTATTGCCTCAGCCGAGCTGGAGACCCAGAGGGAAATCAGGTATAAATTCGTGCTACCTACTCTCTCTTCCATCTCTCCAACGGGCATTCGACAGTACTCATTCGACCTCTTCAACTGATTTACTCAATACCTCTCATCAAAGCCTTCTGCAATGACTGGCGAACTTGTCCTCCTAACAGGTGGTACTGGCCACTTGGGCTACCGCACTCTTGTCGAAGCTCTTTCGAAAGGATACAGGGTCCGCGCTGCTGTCCGATCTGAAGCGAAGGCTGCCGGGATCAAGTCAGCAAAGTCTACTCAGCCATATCTGAACCAATTGACCTTCGTTACTGTGCCGAATATTGAGACGGATGGTGCCTTTGACGACGCCGTCAAAGACGTGGATTACATCGTCCACTTGGCTTCACCATTGGCAAATCCTACTGATGACGATGAGAAGAATATAATTCAACCCGCCATTCGAGGAACCCTGAGTATCCTCTATTCTGCCCTCAAGCATCCTTCCGTCAAGAAAGTCGTCATTACCTCGTCCGTGGCAGCAGTTCTTCCGGTCGAGCCAAAGCCCTTCGATGCTGACAGTGTCCAGCCGGATCCACAGGGCCCGTACCCCGATACATTCACTGCCTACTCGGCAAGCAAGAAGTTCGCACTCAACCGAACACGAGACTTCATTGCTAAGGAGAAGCCTCAGTTTTCCATCATCAATGTAATGCCGACTTTTGTCGTTGGGAAGAATGAGCTGTCGACCACACCAGAAGCCGTCAATGACGGTTCAAACAGGCTCGCTCTGGTCCCCATCTTGGGGGTCAACAATCCTGACTCGGTGCCATCCTTTGTTTGCCATGTGGATGATGTGGCTTTTGTCCATGTCGCTGCCCTAGACCCAAAGGTCAAAGGAAATCATAATTTCGGGGTCAATTACCTCAGCGAGAAGCCGTATCAGTGGAATGATGGGATCGATATCGTCAAGAAACACTTTCCGAAAGAGGTTGAACAAGGCATCTTCCCTCTTGGCGGATCCCAAACATCCCTCATTGTGCCTTTTGACGCAAGCAAGACCGAGGAGGTGTTGGGGTTCAAGTTCAAGAATTATGAGCAACAAATTGTCTCTCTGGCAGGTCATTACGCAGCAGTAGCTGCGAAGGCATAAGTCCAAGGTGGCTGTTGTGCACTTATGGGCGATGGGACCATAGGACCAAAGTAAGAATTTAAATCAAACATACCCAATTTCATCCATGTAGGGCACTAAGCACTAATGGACACCTGATTGAAGGGTGATCGACAAGGCTGAGAACTCGCGTGGTCTCTTGTATAAGGTCGGCGGATGTTTATCCCGAAGAGATCTTGATTTTATTCCCGGGGGTAACAACACAGAACTCACCATAGCACGCAATATATGGCCTGTGTCAGTCTAGCCAACTTGTCTGTATATCATCGCTAAATCATTGTTTTCGGTCGCTTAATATCACAATATTTGAACCTTGCCCCAGGGATGGTCATCATTATTCATATCTTCCACCTTGCATTGGACTTATCTCCATCGTGACGCAGCCAGATCTGCTTCTGACATCACTGCCTTCACATTGGCACACGTCGATATGCTCCTCCATCCTGCTTCATGACTAGCTTTCAAAATTCGTTTATCGCTTCGCTTACAGCTCTAACCTACTAGGATTTTTGATATTCCTCCCCCCAAGACCAACTCGCAATTCAAATTCAATGAGCTCAGATTCCGGCCAGATCAAGATGTCTGCCGCATCGCGCGCCATGTTGTCCAAGGTCAAGAAGCTCGTCCCTCCCATGCTGGAGAAATTCCACAAGGGTCAGCTAGGTCGAGTTGCTGTCATCGGCGGCAGTGCCGACTACACGGGAGCACCGTACTTCTCGGCCATGGCCTCGGCACGTCTAGGTTGTGATCTGTCCTATGTCTTCTGCGAGCCGTCCGCTGCGCAAACAATCAAATCGTACTCGCCCAACCTCATGGTCTCTCCGATCCTTCGATCCACCGCCTCGATATCACAAGCCCAGAAAGATAAGGAACCCTCTGGTGAAGAGCTTGCACAGCCGATCATCGACATGCTCCCACGTCTACATGTGCTCGTTATTGGGCCAGGTTTGGGAAGAGACGTTGTAACTCAGAAGCAGGTGAAGGCCGTCATTACTGCTGCCAGGAAACACGATCCTCCTGTGCCGATGGTTCTGGACGCTGATGCTTTGTGGCTTGTACAAACAGACCCAGACCTGATCAAGGGCCACAAGGAGTGTATCCTGACACCCAATGTGGTCGAGTTTGGCAGGCTCGCTAAGGCATTGGGTATGGACCAGAACCAGGGTGACCCAGAGAAGGCGTGCCAGGAGGTCTCCAAAGTCTTGGGCGGTGTTTGCATCATCCAGAAGGGTCCTGTGGACTACATCTCCCAGGGTATCGACACCACTATTTCCGACTTCCAGGGTGGTCTGAAGCGGGCTGGTGGTCAGGGTGATACATTGACTGGATCGCTAGGTACGTTCCTTGCCTGGCGAGAGCTGTATCACGAGGACCTGTGGGACGTTGGCCCGGAGAGAATGAGTCGAGAGGAGACTCTATTGGTCGTGGCATTCGGAGGCAGTGCCATCACGAGGGAGTGTTCACGCCGTGCATTTGCTAAGAGACAGAGGAGTCTTCAAGCAAGCGATTTGACAGAGGAGGTACACAACTCGTTCCTCGCATTGATTGGAGAACCAGTGGAGCTACCAAATTTGTGAAGAGCAGGAGATTAGCTGAAAGCAGATGTAAGGTTGGAGATGCATCCTAATGCTTCAACTGGTGGCCGCGACCACAGACTTTGTTGTTTATAGCGTATGTCGGATCTGTACTGGTAACTTCATGCATGGGAACAAGTAATGAATTCAGAATGCTTCCTGTATGATGCTCGCGTTGTCCGGTGTGAACTGCTCCCTGTGTGTAGAACTGAAATCTCAATCATGACATGCTTAGCCCATATCTTGCCCACCCGCTTGGGCATATGTACAGTGCGACGATGATGTATGATCTGATCCCCCTCGTCTAGTCGTAAACAGAGACGCCATTATTTCTTTTTAGCCTCGCTACTCGCTCTTGCTCCGCCACCTCGCTTTCTTGCTTGTAAAATTTGGCCAGTTCAGAAAGGTCGGCGGAGCCTTGACCAGCGGAGACGTTGTACGGTGATCCAGCATTGAAGAGCCTGCAAAGAAAGTGGTCAGCAGATGAACTCGACAGCAGCAGCAATGTGCGGCAGGACGGCTCACTCTGGTAGTCTCAGCGTTGGACCGCTCTCGTCTCTTGAGACGCCAGAAAATAACTGACGCTCGGCCGCGGCCTGCTCCATCATCGTCGTGTGTATGACGTTCTTCGTTTCGTCGGCCTTTTTGTTGTCTTCATATTTCTTGATCTGGCGGGAGACGAAATTGTCGCCCGGAGAACTTGCGAGTGAGTATAACACATAGGCGAACGGAATGAAGGCTATGCTGAAATAGAAACCTCTCTGTTGATGACTGTCAGTACCCGCAGAGAGAGCCGCTCGTGTCTCTCGAGCTTACACTCAGGTGTTCGCTCCCCGCGCCTGATTCAACGTGCAGGGCGCTCTCTTTCGCTCCTCCATGACCGTGACCATGGCCTGCTTCATGTCCGGCGTATCTGCGTGGTTGACGCGGTAACGAGCGCCTCAAGGGACGAGCTGCAGCTCTCGCCCCTGTTGAGAGGAACGACATGGTGACTTGGAGCTGCAGAGAAGTTGTTCGTTAGGCGCAGCCTGCAATGTCCCTACTACATTGACGTCTTTAGAGGGCAGAGTTCAAGCCCAAGCTACTTCCATGCCAAGCGGCACTAATCCCTTTTTGGCCGTATACCGGCCTGTTTGATCTTCCGAGATTTAATTCCACGACTTGCATTGCTGAACCTTTCGTCGAACGTCTGATGATCCAATCGCTACATGCCACGCACTCATTCCATTCATGCCCATCGCCATGTCTGCCACAAGTGATTGTGAACATGGTTCATGCAAAATGCTCGCACCGCGTGTCTGTGGGGCGGGGAAAAGTCCGTCGCAGCCTCACTAGCCCCTGGTCGGGCAGCAAAGCTGCCACCTTAAACCACTCGGGAACATGCACGATGTTTGCGAAATGCTGATCTTACTTGCTTCGGCCTTAAAACCTGTCCCAAGGCTCTGATGTTTTGCCAATTTTGCATACTTGAACTGTTGCGATCTCTGTTCCTGGGCTCAGTCCGTATGCATGCTCAACTATCAAGCTGATATATACAATAACTTAATGAGACTGAAAAGCGTCCTTCTGTCGCACGATTGCTTTCCACAGTGAACTTCTCTTACTGTCCACCAATCTGCTCACTACCTAAATAGCCAACAATCATGTCGACCACGTCATATCAAACGAACGCCAAACCGAGAGGCCGCGCTGGGAGCTACAGCGAAAGTTCCGAAAAGCAGAGTAGTAGCAGGGCATCCAGCTCTGCATCTTTGCGACTCTCCAAAACGTTGTCAAGAGCCCTCGACGAAGTCTTTGTGCCGAGGAATAGTCGACCTAGCTCGCCTATTGTGTACGTTCGTCGATCAAAAACTCACGACCTTGGCCGACTAGAGTCCGTCATGACCTCTCCCAGGCACTCAACAAGTTCGGTGCGATCAGCCAGGGCCATGGAACCAAATCTTGACGATGCTCAAAAATCAAGAAAGGATGGACTAAGCAAGGAAAAGCCGGTCATCATCGCAGAGCCCGAGGGTCAAGGGCCCAATAGGGCAACTGAAGATTTGCAAATTGCGGCAGGAGGGAGTAGCGGCCAGTCAATATCGGCGCCGCTCTCTGTGCGGTCGCCGTCATCAATGCAACCGACTGTCATCGAAGAAGCCGACGAGACCCTGGTCGCAAAACCTCTGTCCCTTGAGAAAACAGTGCCTTCCATTGCAGAAGGTCCGGACGTAGGACACTCGTCTGCAATCACCGAGTCTGCGCCGACAGATGTCGCACCTGTCCTATCACATGCTGCGGTGGACTCCTCTTCGCCATTCCAACCTACCCCGACACCAATCGTTGGGCCTTCAGAGGCAACTCATCAGGATACACTGGTCGCACCGTCTCCGCAAGCTCCAGTGACCTTTATTCAACCTACGCTTGTTCACTCTCTACCAGGAGGTAGTGAAGTAGAAGTTCCGATACCTATCAGAGGTGATCCTATTCGTGAGACTGAAGGCAATGAACACTGTCAAGGACATCCCAACACTGGTTCCCCGTTGGCCTCGCCGCCGCAATCCCCTATGTTTTATCAGCACGTGGGCCGGCCGGCTTCCCAACCTGCACCATACCCCTCCAGGTATCCATATCCACACCCTCACATCAACAACTCTCCAAGTCAACATCCGTTCTATCCTGCTCCTTTCCCATTCCCCATGGCTCCGTTCAGCCTACCGGAGACAGTCTTCAGCCCTGGCTCGGGAAGCGCCAAAGACGAGCGGACAAAGTTGTTAGAGAAAGTATCCAATGTGCTTCCCGACATCAACCGCCTCCTTCACTACTACCAAGAAACCCAAGGTCTTCTGAGTCAAAAGGACCATCTGGTAAAGCAAAACGAGACACAACATGAAGAAGCGATGAATAGAATCAAGATAGAGTTGAGCGTTACAAAGGAAGAATACGAAAGAATTATAGGTGAACAAGCCAGCGAAAATCTTAGACTCAAAAGCAACGTCAGAGAACAAGCTGAGAAGATTTCGGGATTGGAGCGTATATCACGCGAAGCAAGTGGTACCAAAGAGCAATTGGCAGATCTGCAGGCAAAACAACAGTCATTGCAGCAGCAAATGGAGCAGGTCAAAGCGCACAACGAGGAACTTCTGAGCCAAACGCGTATCATGGAAGGTAAGTTGGAAAGCATCAAGAAAGACGCCGATATCAGTAAGGCAGAGCATGGCCAGGCTATCACAAAGCTAAAGATAGAGCATGAAAAAACGCTCGCAGACAAGGAGGAAAACCGTGCAAGGCTACTGAATGACCAGAAGTCCAGTCTTTCAAAGACTCAACTCGACTTAGCTGGCATGATCACCAAGCATACGCAACAGAAAAGGGATCTGGAGCTCGCTCGATTGACCATTTCGCAGCAGGAAGAATTACTAGCACGCAAAGACAAAGAGTTGGCAGACACTCTTGATTTGCACAAGAGCCAGCTACAGGCCACGACTAGGGCTTGGGATGAGAGGGCCGACGAGCACAAGAAAGAAATGTCATCACTGTCTGAGAAGCTTGCAGGTATCATTGCTAGGAATAAAGCCAAGTCAGAAGCTCTCCGTGCTTCGCATCAGAAGGATATTGACCAACTGAGGAAAACGGCGGATGAGGAGCGCTTGAAGCTTGTCGAGTCTCTTGAGCTGCGCGAGAAAGACTTACGAATTGAGCTTAATGACTCACAGAACTCACTGCGCAAGTTACAGGACGAGCTCGATGGAAGATATGAAGGCCATCGAAAATTAGAGTCCGAGCTTGCAGTTGAAAGGAAAGCCCACGACGATCTCAAGAACCGCCACGAGACCGCCACGAGCCACCACCTTGCACTTGCGAGTTCAATGCTGAGTCTGAGAAGCAAGCAAGCTGAATGGGCGCGAGAAGCTGAAAGAATGGACCGAATATTGCAGAGCCTGGGACAAGTTGGCTCTAGGAGTAAAGGCGATACAGATCAGTTTTTGTGAGTGGGCTCTGGTGTATTCGTGGTGGGTTTGTGATCTCCTTTCCTCATCCGGCCAACCCAGACGTTGTGGTGCTGACATTTGGTCCCAGTATAAAGGCTTTTGATCAGCTAGCGCTATTGGTGGTAAGACTCTCGAAGGAGTATTGCAGTACTTCTTTGGTGTGCACCACTACGTTCCAAGAGCAGTGTACAGATGTGGGTCTACCAGATTTTACGGACGACACCGAAGCGGTTAGAAGTCTACAGTCCCTCTTTGCCGAGAGCCAGGTATGGAAAGTACTTCACGAAGTCATCTTTCTACCTTTCATGTTCGGCTCGGCAGGCGACGACCTTACTGATACTGCATCAAGCACATGCCTACCGAAAGTCTCGAAGCTGATCACGAGGAAGAGCGTGCGCCGAGAAGCGATCTGGCGTGCTATCACGATGCAGGCTATCTATGCGAGCGACTATGGCCGCAAGGCCGCCATTGCCACTGCGACGTTAGCAAGCTGGGAGATTATGCACAAATTGCAGCGATTGTGTGCACCCGAACTACATTCACAGCTGTTCCAAGATGTTCGCGTAATAGTCAAATCGGCGGTGCATATATGGCGACAGGCTCGACTCGTGTTGGATCCGATTTACTCCAGCTTAGAGACCAAAGAGGACGCAAAAAGGGGGCAGGACAGGAAGCTGGCTACGAACGACTCCGATGTCGTGCTTTGGCTACGGCCACACATTGTGAGGGAAGATCTGATGATGAGCATACGGACAGATGAAGACGGTGGGCAAGACAATGACAGCCAGGAAACATGCTACGTTTACCTCCAAGGGAAAACACTAGGGTTGAAGCAATTAATGGATTTGACACGGCAATAAGAGATGTTATGAGCCATGCGGTTTGAATGCACGTGTATTGAGACAAGAGACTCTAACTAAGTAGAAGAGTGACATTGTCTGCTGCTAGTATGTACAATTACCTAGGTATGTACCTAGTATGGCATGGTGATTCCTTATGAGTCTGCCACGATTCCGCCCCGGCTAACAAGAACGTCATGGACTCAAGGGTAGGTAAGTCTATGGGGGCCCGAATGCAGGTCAAATGGGTCCCCAAAGTATCTAGACGGAGTATTTTTGGCTGTGTTGGTTTCCCCATTCGCCCATTCGTAAGGCTGATTTCCGGGGCTGTGCAGCAGTGTCTGTGGTAAATGTTCCTGGCCGCAAGCTCTCTTACTTCACACAAGTGCAAGCGCGATGCAGGTGGTTTTCCATGTGCATGCCTATGTAAATCCTTTCCCGAGTGATCATAATCTGGTGATACCACAAGACTTGCCATTCTCAAGTCGACATCACGTTGATCATATCTGGTCGAGGTTCACCGGTTAGAGCTACTGTGAGTCATGTGGAGTGGGTTGGTTCCTCTCCTCTCACCAGCAATGTTTTTCTGCACAACCACTAACTTAAGTTAACTTCTGCCAAAAGCACCTCCGGGGCTGCAACCGTCCAACGACGTCTGCGGGGACCAATACCGCCTGTGCCAGCCTGTGGCTTGTGAAGCTTCATGCCGGGAGATCCCTGCCGCTGTCTCTCGGAAGTGGAGAGCTGGCCCTGAACATCATCCACTGAGGAGCCATCTTTAACCGAGTTACGGCGCGCGGCTGTGTAACTTTAGTTTTTGGTGACCGCAGACAGAAACTCCAGCTGCCAAACTCACTTGCCATGTTTCTACTCCTCATGCGCTGCGCCGGCAAGAAAATGTTCCAATACCAAAGGTATACTCCCTTCAACATTGCTCCAACCTCCATCCCGACCTTCGAAGTCGCCGTTCTCTTCAATCTGTGCCGACCTTGCGCCATCCACATCAGATCGTCAACTGTATTCCATTGGTTTGGGCTCGATCAGGCTGTCTCTCCGACTTCCAGCGCATACACAGTACTCTACCACTAGAAACAACCCTCCCTCCTCGATGCCAGATTCTGCACCTCCTCGAATCCACAGCCGATCTGCCCTGCGACCACGCTAGTTCTTTTTCCGCCCTCCCTTGATCCTCGTGCGAGTACAGCCTCTCTGCAGCCGGTTTGTGACTTCACGACCAGGCCCTACCTGCCAGTCTCCGTCTTTGACAGACTGCGAACTCTCCTGGGCGGCGCCACAACTTCTCCGAGTTCTTCTCGACTTCTTCCTCCTTCTGTTTAGCGTCAACCATACATTTGACTCAGTACCATTCATATAACGGGTCGTCTCGTGGCGTATCCTTCGAACGAAACCCCACCACGTTGACATCTGGGCGCAACCTGCTCCGGCCCATCTTCGCCGGGTTAAAGACTATTGAAACAATCATACAAGGCCATTGTGTTCTGCTGTGGGAACTTTGGTGTTTAGCGACCTGCTTGTCTACTTTTCTGATCTCATGCTTTCGTGACGGACGCAAAAGTCCCTTGCCATGCGCCTACACAACGATAGCTTGACCCCTTTCAAATTGTTGGTACCTCGAGTACAGGTCTAGGAGGACGGAATCGTCCCTCCGTCTGCTACGACTCTATCACCCTGAAGATGTCGACCTCCGCATCTCTTCCTTTCAACGTTCATAATCACGGCCCGCATTCTCCCTCTTCAACAGCCCCAGACGTGTCCCGAGGTCGGCCAAATCCAGCTCACCATGGAAATGGAAACCTTCCGTCGAAGCCTCAGAGTCACCATCGCAATGCGAGCTTGACTTCCAATCCTTCGTCGGCCACCACTCTGGAAGTCAATCATAGTCAAAACTACTGGGGAGGTCAACTGTTGAACTTGCCGACCGCTGACAGCCCTCGAACGGTTCAGCCGTCGGCAGACTTCAGCAACTTTGAAGAGAATGCATCACACCATGAATCTTCCTTCGACGACTTCCTGACAAATGAAGCTTCCTCCGTCAATCACATCAGTGAGCATACAACGCCACAAGAGCTGATCTGGGAACAACAGTTCTTGGTTCAGGACCCACAACCACACATACTAGACACTTCCTCTTCCAACACTTGTGAATCATCTCACGGTATCGCAGAGAGCTCAGACATTGACGATTTCTTTGGGAGAGGCCAGGATCCCCTTAACAAGTTCGCTTATGAAGAAGAGCTGTTCGACACCTCATCCACAGTGGTCAAGGAGCCATCAGTGCAGCACTTTGCGAATGGGGAGACTGTCGGTCAAGCTCAACATTCAGAGATGCATCACCTTGCTATCTGCTCCAATCCTGATCGGAGAGAAAGCTGTCGCACGCTCAGAGTTGAGACGAATACCCACCGACGCCTCTCCACAGACCAGGCAGTAGGTGCTGGGCATGTCACGACGTCCACGATGCGGGCGCGAAGTCCCGTCCTGATGGTGTCGAGCTACGATGCAACAGAGCCAACACGACCAGGAAGAGCAGTCGAAGTTCATGCTTTCACCAAGCGAAGCCGCGATAGCGAAGAATTTGACGACGACGAGGCGGGTGTTGTGGTAGCAGCAAACGCTTTATACAGAGATGCGAACATCTCCCCTCACTCGAGGCGTTCTCTTTCCGGTGATTCGCGACGGGCTGGTTTGGAGCCCCAGCAAAGAGGCGATGACACGGTCACTTCGATCAAGGAGCGTGAGGAACAGCGTCACATAGACGAGAAAAATGCTGAGGTCCAGACATGGCTAGCATCTAGCGATGCTGAAACTGAATCTACAGACGCACATCCCCTTCTGATACGGCAAAACAGCAGGAGTCGCTTTCGCACAATAGGCGGCCAGCTCGGTCACTTGAGCACTGTTGGCTCTGACTTGACCATACCGGGACCTGGGTTGTTGGTTGAGGTAGATATTGACGATGAATACTTTGATGATGAGTCTATAACATCTTCTCAGAAGGAGGAGCATACTGAACAGACCGTCGGAGACTACCACACCGCCGGCTCACCATTACTGTCACCTAGGGCACTTCAAGGTCGGGAGTCTTCCGACAGCAGTGCTTTTCCGGCTTTGGATCCGGTAGCTTCGCCCGAGGAACAGGAACCCCTCCCTCATCAATTTTACAAGCGTGGCCCATGGCAAGATCCTGTCCAAGGCCCTGCCAGTGACGAACAAAGTCAACCGAACTCTTCTAGTGCGGCCGCATACAAATTCAATCAAGAAGCGGCTAAGTGGGAGACCGCGTCGAGGGCAGCCACGTGGGGCACACGGCGGCGACTCAGCGAAAGCGAGATCAGATCCATCGTGGACGGCAGCCAGGTCCGTCACCTCTCTCTCACTCAACGAGGACGCGAACGTGGACATAGCTTCTTGAACAAGGCGCGCGGTCTATTGCCGCGTCGGAGCAGTAGCAACATCAAGCCAGAACCTTCAGCGGACAATGAATCTGCAATGCAAACCCACTCATCTCGAGGCTCTATTGGAACCATCAAACCAGCCCACCGAATACCGAGCTTCGGGACTTCTCGATCACCGCCTTTGGACACTGGCATGGCTCTGATAGCGATGACCGGTCAATTGGCGGCGGTTGGCCGAGGCAATTCTGTGAAGAAAGAGCCAGGATTGACCACTGCTTCAAGCTCTTTGCAGACCACAAAGAAGCACCGGAGCAAGAGCGACGTTTCCAAATCTGGAAAGTCCTCGACGCCAGGACTGAAAGAGCTGTGGGGATCTCATGGTGGCCCACCCATGCTAAAACTTGCATCTCCTGTGCAAGACCGTGAGTCTAGCTTCGCTGCCCCTGTCATTGACAACGACGACGCTCAAGCTGACGACGACGAGGATGAGCTTGCGGACGAGGTTGCCATCCGCATGGATTTGAATATTCGCGCGGAGGAGATTACACCCACGGTCGAAGGTTTCAAAGACCATGCCGGCAAGCTCAATCCGAGGCTTGAACCCTTCCTCCTTGACCGCATTGGTCAGGAACAAGTCCGACGGTACAAGAAATTGGTCGAAACTAAGATCAAGCATACACAGGCTGTGCAGACTCGGAAGATGTGCGCTTCAGGAAAGCACTGTTTTGAGCTCGGCGGAGAGGCGACTTTGTTGGCACCTAGAGCGAGCAGTAGGGATCCGGAAACCACCCGGACCCAGTTCCAGGTTAGCAACACCATCGACAATGAGATCGATGAGAGTGGCTTTACCGAAGGGGTCGTGACTCCTGCCCTATTCCCTCCTGGTATACCTCTGCCGCCTGTCAAAAGGTTACCGGCGGAGTTTGAGTGCCCGCTCTGCTTCAAAGTCAAGAAATTTCAGAAACCATCTGACTGGACTAAACATGTACATGAGGATATCCAGCCCTTTTCTTGCACCTTCCCCAATTGTTCAGAGGCGAAGTCGTTTAAACGAAAAGCCGACTGGGTGCGGCATGAAAATGAACGCCATCGCCATCTCGAGTGGTGGACCTGCAGCTCCAATGACTGCGCTCACATATGTTATCGCAAGGACAATTTTGTGCAGCATCTTGTGAGGGAACATAAAATGACAGAGCCGAAGATCAAGAATCGGGGTTCTAGCAGCAGCAAGATCAAGCCCGCCGATACTTCGGCATGGGATGAGGATAACGCGGTGGTGCGGATGATCGAGTCGTGCCGACACGAGACGACAAAGAAGCCTCGAGACGAACCTTGTCGATTCTGTGGTAATGTCTGCTCGAGTTTCAAAAAGCTGTCTGTGCACATGGGCAAGCACATGGAGCAGATCGCAATGCCTGTTCTTGACCTTGTTGACATGCGTCAAGTCACGCCGGACACGATCATCAGCCCCGTTGAACAGCCTCAAGCTGTAGCATCATCTTTTACTACACTCCCTGGCACCGTCAACGCTCTGGATATGAGCAATTTGTCTCCGTATCCAGTCAGCGCAACCTCGGCTTACCAGACGTCATCGGCAGGACAATCACCAGCCTCCATGCATGGACGTATGCAGAATGGTGGCTTCCAGCTTGAGCAAAGCTACTACCCTCCCCATACCATGGCATCTACAATGCAGGGTCAAACGGGACCTAGTACATATGGTGTTGCAGGCGGGTTCTCCACCGGGACTTTCATGAGTCCCAATGAGTATGTGCAGTCCACGAATATGCAGCAGCAACACGAACACAACCTGTCACCCCACACGCCGATGATGATGTCCCATGCGCAGCAAATTGCACCGGGCTATGGCAATACCAGCTTTGTGCCGCCGAGCGCAAACTACTCGCAACCCACAATGCAGTCAATGTACACCAATACGCCTACCATGCAAGGGTACATGCCTCAGTACGCTGCATCAGTGACCGGAAATCGTTCGTCGAACCATTCGCCACTTGGAATGAACCATCCCACAGGCCTTGGAATGCATACGATGAACCCACAATATGGTTATAGCGGCCCAGGGACTGGAGGCGACGGGTCGAACATGCATTTCCCCTCTTGAGCGAAAGTGTTCCCAAAAGTATCCGGGCTTGCTGAAGTGAGGCGAACCATGCTCGGGCAAGAGAGCCCGGAACCTGATGTGAACTGATGGAGCAGGTCGGTATCGGCCCGCCGACGACATGACATTTTGACGAAAGTTTTTACGAGGAAGGTCAGTTGATCATTCTTTCAGGATCCATATTGTTAGTCTAGATACCCAGGAGTTTTGGTGTGTGGTTTCTATATTAGGGTGGATGGTCTATAACACGGCAGTTGGGAGGTCATGATCGATGTTTCCGAAGTGGACATGTCGCGAGTTTTGGCACCGCAAGGTGCTTTGGATAAGATACTCAACCTTGAAAGTAACGCAGTTGAAAGAAAGAAGTTCTTTGCATGAAGCCACGTCGTCGGCCAAATCGTGATTCGAGGGGTTAGGCATACTGGCGGATGCTTGACTTCGGAGTCCTCGTCCCATGACCATACCTGTGCGAATTGTCGCTGAGTAATGAATGTAGGAGGGCGCGACTTGTAAAGATGCGAGACTTGGGAGTTTTGTTAGACTGTTCGTAACATTGCAGGTGGTAAGGTAGTTTCGTTGGAAACATACCTTACGGTACAGGCACGCATCTTGCCCGGATGTGGACTAGAGTAAGGCAGACTTGGGGGTTCGCGAACCAGCCATGCCTCACTAGCCAGGCACTGCTGGGATATTTGGTCCTGCCACCAAATGGTTTGGACGTTTTGTCTGGCCATAAGATCATTACTGTAGTAATACCAAGGGTTACCAAACAATACCACCGTTAGTGTCTTTAGTGTACCGGTACACGACCAGTGAGGACTCGGTACCAAGCTCAACACGGTAATCTTGACTGGGTTAATTCCGTCATTTCTGCATGTGGCCCGCGGTTGTCGTTTCTGTGAACATTTGTGAATTCCTTGAGTCTGCCTGCTCACCGGTCACAACCACATCCAACATCCCACAACTGCACTCGTCCAATTCACCACCACGCCGAGTCCCGGAATTCATCACTTTTCCCGTCCACTACCTGTTCCAATCGATATCTACTGAACTCGTGTTTCTTTGAGAGGAAACCATGACCTTCATCTTCCAAGATCCCGTCCGCTGAGTCCCGATAGCCCGGGCTTGGGGCTGGCCTGGTCAGGCTCAAAAAGCACCGTATGTCCTCTCTCGATCCTACACAGCCCCAAGTATCACCACCACAACTCCCACTCAACCTCGCTTCTTACGATATTTCTCTCCTCACACGGCTGCCCCAGCCCCTTGTTCTCGTTTGCCCTTTTCCTCAGGAGTCCTTACATTCAGCCTCGGTCACGCCTCACTCTCGCCCGGCAGAAACTAAGTTGGGCTAATATCCTTTCCAGGTTATAGCCATTGGCTGAACTCAACCTGGGTGACGGCAGCAAGCCATAGGCGGATTTCAGTCTGATCGATAGAGGGCTGAGCAGCCTCGAGGACTCTCCATCGAAAACATACTGCACGAGTTTGTCCCGGTTGGATATCAGCCCACCTCTGCTTGTTCCAGCATCATCATCTTTGGCAGTTGGATTGAGATCGATCAACGGTGAGTCATGTTCTCCTGTCAATGGTGTCGTTCGCCTCATTCATTCTCATCATACTTCGCTTAATATTTTGATTCCAATACGTTGCTGATCGAAGATAGCTAGCCATAGTCCCACCTGCGGGAGCCGTCAACATGGCTTCAGGTTCCAGGCTTGGGTACCAACAAGGCTCTGGACGGGTTCGAGTCGACTCTGATGTAAGTGTCACACCGCCCTGTGAGGAATTTCATATCAGCCATCGTCTGACCCCCATTCCAGCCCTTTATTCTACTTCACCATGCTGGCGGAGCAACTCTGCTCGACACAGCCTCTGCCGCGGACACAGATTTGATCGGGGTCCAGTCCCAATTACCCGGAATGAACTCTGCCAGTGATGACACGTCCACGATATATCCATCGCCTGCTGGCTACCACTCCTCGGAATATTCTGATCCTTTCATGCCTTTTCTTTCGAGTGACGATTCCCAAGGCAACTTCCAGTATCTTGCTCCTGACTCTGACTTGAACTCGCCCCTGTCTCCGAGTTCCCAGCATACTCCTCTTCAAGCTGTTGGTGATTCCAGTCACAATTCTAGTTCTCTTCAGCTACAGAGCCAGCCTGGGGATCAAGGACCGTGGACACAATTAGACGTTTTCAGACGACGGAGTTCTCCCTTGCCGGACAACACCACTACTCATCTACTTGAACATCCACAACGTCTGAATACACCTACCCATCGACCGCGACATTCGTCCGCCAGTGGAGAGGTGTCGAACGGAGATTCTGGCTACTTCACTGGATCGCGCAAGTCACATCATGGGTTCGAGTCTGTGACAGGTCTTTTCGGAGAACAGATGGATCCTCGGGAACAGAATTATACCCAAGTACCTCAATTCAATATACCGCAAGGAGCCGGATATGTCTCCTCTGCCTCAGCGACCATCATTACTCAGGCTGACTACAACCACAACAATCTACCTCCGCCTCCATATACTCTGACTCCGCAAGATATCCAGCCGGCCCAGGAGAACATGGCCTTATACTGCCCCGAATGCGACTGGCACGCAAAGACAAATTCCGATTTCAAGTATGTTCTCCATCTAAGTAATCGTGTTCTCTGCCACTGACCGTACCAGGAAACACAACGCCCGCCATGAGCGACGACATGTTTGTCCGCTTAGTGGATGCTCTCGTAAAGGCAAAGGCTTTGCTACATCCAACGATCTTGACAGACACCTGAAGACCGTTCACCAAATCAATAGGCGGCGTGGTAGCAAGTACTTCAAGTGCTTTTCGGAAGGTTGTACAAAAGCAGACAAGCAATGGCCCCGGCAGGACAATTTCAAGCAACATCTCATTAAAATGCATCCAGGTGAGGATGTGGAGGTGTTGTTAAGAATGTAGGTTATTCTCAATTGTATCTCAAGCATTATACTGACCTTCGAACAGATCTAACGACTGGTTCGCGCAGCATGGACATCAGGCGCACAATGAGCCACAGGATGACACACAGTCAAACACGGCTCCTGATGAGATGGACATTGACAGTTCCAATGTGTCTGTTACACAGCAGTTTCCAGCATATCCAGCAGACAACTTCATGTTCCCGATGGGCAATGCACTGCAGCACGAGTTTAACTTGAATTCCCAGCCTTTCGACCCAGGCTTTGCTGTTACACCAACCCCTCGACATACAACTCGGGGACAACACCGGCGCCGTGTTTCGACCTCGGCAACTGGCTCTCGTCCACAAGCACAGTTTCCACTTCCTCCTCTCGACACCAGCAACGTGGGCCAATTCTCAACCCCCATGCAAAGGACAAAATCATCACAAGCCTACCAACTGCAGTATCCCGACGCTGGACCGTTCCAGAGCAACACGCTTTATCATGTGGGACACGTTTCCATACCTGATTCTTCTTGGACCAATCTAGAGCCATATTTGCCGAACATGAGGCCTGATTATCCTGTCAAGTATACTGTCGAGAATCAGCAGATCTTTAGGACCAAAGGTCCCCATACAGTGGCCAACCCCTCCTTTGATGTAAATAGGATGACAGATGTTCCTTCTCCACTGGAACCACAACCTTCGATGCTGAACGAGCTGAGGGGACAACAAGACGACTTTCTGATGAATACGACGGGTGGTGTGGCGAGTGAAAGTGTCACTCCTATCTCGCCGCAGCAGAGCTTTCAATGCAAAATAACACCTCCGGATAATGAAGGCAAGCCAAACGAGGCAGAGCTTACTAGGCTTCGTGATCTTGCAGAGGACATCCACAAATTCGTCGACGATTACAAAAAGTCAAAGCCTGACTCACCACTGCCAATCGAAGACATTTTCAGTCGCGTCAGACTTACTATGGGTTCGCTGAGCAGCGTTGGGAGCTCATCAGTGAGTCGTGTTACTGGCGAAGCCGACACTGAAAGTGCTGTGAGCAAGACATCCCCAATTACCAGGGAGGGTGTCCATGTATGCCCAGTTTGCCGCAAGACGAAGAAGCGTCCGAGTAAATTGAAGAAGCATATGCAGCGACACGAAAAGCCCTATGGATGTACGCATGATGGATGCTACGGCAAGACATTCGGCAGCAAGAGTGACTGGCAACGACACGAGCGAGGCTGCACCATTATGCCTCAACAGCAAGATTGCTGGCGTTGTTTCAAATGTCACGATGTATGTTGGGATCAGGGAGAGTACATTCGTCACATGATCAATGTGCACTCCATCAAGCAAGTGGAGAAGACTCCGTACAGCCCCAGACATCAGCGCATTGCCAGGAACTACGAGGGCCCTTTCTGGTGTGGGTTCTGCAACAAGATCATCCCGCTTCCGCATCAAAAGCAGGGCGTCGAGGCGTTCAATCTCAGGTCTGACCACATCGCCGAACACTTCACAAAGGAGAAGAAGAGCATCAAGGACTGGATTGAGCTGACCGGCCACGGGATGACCAAAGAACTTCGCAGCAAGGAAGGACAAGGGCAGAACCCTTCTTCTGCGATTGCCATCCAGGAAGACGACAATTGTATCTTGTCGCCTGAACTCGAGAGCGCAGGTACACAATCGTCCTCGTCCATGCAAAGCGGAATGTTTGGAGAGCAAGTCTTCTACCCGCAGTCTCAGTCTTCGTCCTTGGGCATCGTGGGCTTCAACAATCACCAACAGTTGCAGTTCAGTAACCCATTCCAGAGTCTGCTGCAGCAGCAACAGATCATGACGGGCCAGATGGAGATGAGCACGGCAGGTCGGCAAGCACCAGGTCAGATGAACCCTATGCATGCCCATGCCGACCCGGCACGGCAAAGGCGACATCATCAACAACCCCGCAAGCGCACACAGCAGCTGGCCCAGTCCGTCGAGTGTTGTCAGTGCTCGGTTCCTGCCAATGTAATGCTCAGCAAGGTTTGTATTTGTGACCACCTGTTTTGCGACTTTTGCAAATACCGGGGAGCTCCCAAGGATGATCACTGATCGATGATAAAGAGATGGGTATATGCACGACACGATAACGATGGCAATGTTGCTGATGATGAAGTGATGTGGTGTCATGTTTTCACCGTTCGGTGTAATTGTTCGGGTGATGTATTTTTATCAGACTATATGTACTTTTCGATGAGGCGGCGCACAGTTGGATTCGGCGGTCACGGTGCAGGAGACAGTATGACAGCATGCGCGCAGGAGTCATACAGCTATTCAGTGGCTTGAAGGATTTCTTGTTTGTCGTTGCCGTCTGCTGGGAAGGCTTTTATGATACCTATTATCATGCCGGCTACGAGCAGGCCTTTTTTGGATTCTGGGTTTGGTCATTGGGTTTTGGTCTAGGACTTTGGTTTTGGTCTTTGAGATACCAGCGGCTACGATTACAGCGACAGCCACGACCACGGTGCATGGTCCACCATCGATAGTTGCTTGCTTGCTTGCTTGATTGTTGAGCCCGCATGATTGTTGACGACATCATGATATGCGAGCCCCTGATATACTATAACTATACTATACTTTACAAGCCCATCCACGCTGTCTTCGCGATACAATCGACCCCGGGCTTCCTCTTACTCTGCTTGATAAGTCCGAGATGTCGCAACTCGGCGAGCGAGCGATAGAACAGTGCCAGCGCTTTCCGTTCCGTAGCTTCTTCTATAGTCTCCTCTTCGCCCTCGCCAGCGTCTTTCGCGCCATTTGCCTGTTCCTCCTCAAGTGATGGGGCAACAGTGTCGCGAAATGCATCCCACAGGTCACGCACGTTGATCACCGTGCCTGCTTCGTTGAGCATGCTGAGAAGCAGACTCGTTGGTGGAAGAGAGGATTTGTCGAGGACACCGTGGTGCGTCGTGGCCACACAGCATTCGCAGCCTAGATAGTCTGCTGGTTTTGTTAAGGCTCGTTCGAGAGAATAGCGGGCGCGTGGATTGACAATGGCTGAGAGTGGGTGCTTGAGGTTGTAGGTGTAGGCTTCGGACATGAACGTCGTCCATGGTGGCGATGCCTTACTAAGAATTGTGGTTATACCAGTCAGGTATTCACGAACAAGGGGTATAAAATACTCCAGAAGTTGCGGAAGGGCTTGCTCTGACATCTTGGAGTTTAGTGACTTTTGGAATGCAGCGAGCATTGGCATATCGTTGTCGGAGTCGTCAGGGTCTCCCGGGAATGTTTTGGAGTTATTGTGATTATCCATGGTGGTTGACACGGCGGTTATGAGGGCTTTGAGTTGCTCGATGCTGGAGATACCTTCAAGGGACGATTCCATGGTTTCGTGGATTTCGGACTCGGTTAATCTGGTGAGTGAGGCCAGAAATTGGACCTGAGATTCCAGCGGTGGTAGAGCCGTGGGACCGGCTAGATGTTGGTATAGCTGTTGTAAAAATTTTATCGCTCTCAGATTGTCTCCCATGTCCTCTTTTTGAGAACACACTACTTCGACGACTTCTTCCTCTAGTACCGCGTCTGACTTGATTAAGTCCCGGGCACGTCGTCTCTCTTCGGCGGTGCCTTTGGCAAGGGATTCGCAATGAACTTTGAAACCTGGGGTATTGCGGATCGCTTGAGCTAATGATGGAAGCATAGGGACTTTGAACTCGTCGGACGATACGCCCAGAGCAGCCAAGGGGTTTGCGAAGAAGTGAGACATGAACACATATTTGATGGTTCTCGCAAAACTGTCCACCGTCGTGCTTTGATCTTGTGCCAGCTCCGCGAGCACATTGAGTGTAGAAGGGCCGAGAAATAGGTGCGGATCCTCACATTGAGCAGCGGAGTAGACCTCGAAAAGGGGGTCATGTTGTTTCGCGGAGCTAGTTGGTTGAAAGATCCGGGCGTCGAGAAGACTGATGGTAGACCTAGGGAGTCGCGATTCGAAGAGTTCAACCGTGGTAGATATTCCAAACAACAAGACGAACGGAATACGGTCGGACCAGGAGTGAAAGGTTGAAATGAGTTCGGACAAAATGCCAGTGTCGAAGGCTTCAATGTCGAGAATTGAGACAATTATTCTGGATATGCCCCTTTTTTCCATGTACCGTTGAAGCAGTTCAAGGTCAAAGTTCATTGGGATCATGGCTTTGGTTTCAGCAAGAAAGTTCGTGTAGACGTCCACACCCTCTTTCTGACATAGAGCAAACTTGATGACATTTTTCAGCGCTGTTTGCAGGTTGGGAGCGTGACTAGGCTGAAGTTCAATGAGCAATGCCGACGAGTCTGGCAATTCTCTCTCCCTCCAGCTCCGGAGGAGACGTCGTTGCGTGTTCGTGCCTGGAGGAGAAGTGATCAAGCCGGTCTTGATTCTGCCATGTAACCGGGATGGTGAGTCGCTACTCGTGTACTCAAAAATGTCGCTGATGAAGCCATGGTCCACCTGGTCGGCGATTGCGACAATCCTGTGCTGCTGTCGCCCCCAGATTGTTCGGAACAGATGCTGTCTTAATTGTCTGGCCTCTGTAGACTCTTGCCCTCCGAGCAGACTGGGCCACGTAGAATCTTCATGGACCTCTGGTATCCCTGTTTCACAACCACCAGATGTATTTAGCCTTCTCTTTTTCTTTGGCCGATGGTCGATCTCCTCGTCCTGCTCGGCCGCAGCGGGCTTGAAGATGTAACACCCCTGGTCCCCGTCAGCAACGAGATTCTCGAACGAAGATATTGACCTACTGTGAAAGTGTTGTCGTCTACATCAATGTCTTCAGCCTCCATCTCCGGTCAATTTATCGGGTATTGGTGGAAAGATTGATCGACGCGCTCCGGCGGGCGTGTTTAATTGAAGTCGCGTTCTCCGCATCATCTTTACTTATGGGGCAGCGGCGACCAAAGACAAAAATCATTTGGGGAACTTTTTTCAACCGCATTGCTCTTGCAACATCTCATTCAATTGTCCGAACTACGTTTGTAAAAGCGAGTTTGCGTTATTCATGCGCGGCATATGCCATCTCTCGAGAAGATGGCACCAGCAGTTTTCGCTCTCTCCGAGCTTTCGGGGTCACCAAACTTGCCTACAATCTCTACAACCTGTCCGCCATCTTAGGCAACCGGCTCGATCGCGCCTACCACGTTCTCCGGCCCCCTCTTCAGTTCCTTCGGTCGCTCCGGTCAAGGTGAACGAGTATGAACAGTACGGCAACGATGCGTCCACGAGAGTCAAGGTCCATGACTACCTGGCGGAGGAGGGCGAACAGATGAGGGCGCAGCTGGACGAGTTGGATCGGGATCTGGCTCTGATGAAAGAAGGACCATTTGGACCCAATAGCGAGTTCATCCAATCTTTCCCTCCCGATGAAAGAGAGGAACTCCTGAAAGCTTTGGAAGAGGAAGGGGTCATGGCTCCTGACATTGACGACATGCTCACTGCCGAAGATCTCGAAGAGGTCGCAAGAGACGAGAAGACATCACGGCGACTGGCGGAGGAGAAAGATCCGCTAAAAGTCACACTGAGTATTCCTTCGAAAGACAAAATATATGTCAAGCGCTTCAATAAGGTTCTGCATGAGGCTGGTCAGTCTGGGGCAAAGGACAAAGACTATTTCACCTTGTGGAAATGGTACCTGCGATGTCAACAACATGTCTCCAACTTTGCTGTCATCATTCCGGAAGATGTCTGGCATTTCTTATGGAAGACACAAACCACTAGGTTTTACAGGCCCAAACATCTTGCAATGTTGGGGAAAGATATGATTAGGGTGGATGTCCAACTCGAGGATCAAGAATTGGTCCAATATATCGATGCTCTCGAGGATACTGGGGACATTGCTGCTGCTGCCGAAACTTGGGAAGCGCAGAAGTCTCGACTAGGAAACAACAACGAGTTAGCAGAGACGTTCTGGACGACGGGTATTCGAATCTATGTGGCTCTCGGCAAGCCTCAGAAAGCACAGAACCTCGCATTTGAGTGTTACGATCACACGACTATGGTCGATCCGGAAGTTCTGGTCATGGTCATATCGGCCTGGGCAAAAAGCCAAAGGGAGTCTGCTCCGACCAAAGCCTGGTCCTGCTACTTGGACCTCCGCAAAAGACTGGAGCGCAATGAGGACGAACAGACTAGCCTAAGAGTGCTCGGTCGTGTCAGTGGTGCCTTACTTGAGGCTGGCCGCACAGAACTTGCTTCCGCAGTTTTCAAGGACATGTACTTGCTCAAGTATAAATCGGCCTTCGACTCTTGGACATTCTTCCAAGATATGGCCAAAAGCTTGCCGAACTCTGCATCACCCGGCGAGGATATAGTCAACAAGATCGGACTTGCCTCGTTGGCTTTCCTTCCACGAAACTTCTACAATCGATTCTTCTTCGGATCATGGATCAAGTGGCTGATTGGCGAAGGTAGACTTGACGAAGCTGCACAAGTGGTTGAGCTCATGTATGAGCGTGGGACGAGGCCTGATGCACGGCACTTGAATGGGCTGGTAGCGGCCTGGCTTCGTGAGGGCTCCCCAACTTCCAGAAAGTCTGCAGAGGACACTGCTTGGGCAATGATTCGAGAACGAGTTGAAATGGTCAAAAAGCGGCAGGCGAAGACAACCATTAGCAACCCTTCTTCCCCAAAAGAACGCACAATCGACGCAGCTCAAATACCGCCATTTCTTCGTCGAGGTGCCCCGGCAGCGACAATTGAGACATTCTCAATCCTGTTGCAACACTACACTCGTCGTTCGGATTTGGAGAACGCCAGTCGCGTTACTGATGTGATGTTGGGTCCTGCTCAAATGAAACCGAATGCATTCATTATGAATCACTGGCTGTACGCATCACTTCGCTCTGGCCAGGCAGAAGAGGTATGGACTCGATATTTGAACCTCAAGGAGACGATTTCACCTGATCTTGAGACGTTTTGCGCGCTGTGGGATACAGCAAAAGCTTGTTACACGCCTCCCAATTCACATCAGAATGCATTTCCAGACGCACGGAGCTTGTTTGCTGAGATGCAGGGTTGGCTCCGAGTAATCGAGCCCAGGAGGAGGGAGTTGGTCAAAGCTGATTTCTCCCCTGAACTATATGAACAGATTATACGATGTTTCTGTCTCTTGTCCGACCCCAACGGCGTTCTCTGCGCGCTGTATGGTCTGCGCGAGTCCTTCGGCATGCTGCCTCACGAAGAAGTCATCCGCCTGATTATCGTATCGGTGGCGCGGTCGTTCTGGTCCGACTTTGTTGGGCCTCAACAGCGGCGTGCATCCAACATGCGGAAGATGAAGCATCTGCACTATCAAAGCGCCGTCAAGACTCTTACCGAGATCATCGTGACGATGATGGACAGGAAGCTGGCAGACGGGGATATGGATCCCGAGCAGATCGAAGACATCGAAAGTAAGCCTGCTCAAGAACTCCGATTCGATGTCTTGACCTCGTTTCTTTGCATGGTAGTCGAGAAGAGGTCAAAGGGCGTCAGTGATATCTCCGAACAAGTATCTGCCGTGGCGCAAGAGATGAAGGCTTCTGTCTCCCAAGAGATATTTATCAGGCGTGACTGGGACAAGATGTAGGGGAGGAGATATAGTCTTCACTATGCAAGACCCATCTTGTTCACATATCAGCCTTGAACATACTGTATTCATAGCACATTAAGAAGCCATATTTCACTCCACCCTAAGGGTATGCCAGTACTCCAGACTCGGGCTTTTTGGTTGACTGCCGACCCGCTATGCGCGCTCATGAAGAAATCCCTGTGTCAGGGAAGCAAATAGACATGTTAATACAGGTGACGGTGCCCAGGTATTCTCAATCTCATTTCTTTCCCTTTTTCTTCTTGCTCTTGCCGCCTCCACCGGGTGTCGTAGGTTCAGTAGCAGGAGTCTCGACAATAACACCATCCTCATCACTACTTGCAGCCTTGACCGGTATCATCTTTTGTGGCGTGGCAGCTGGCTCTACGACCACCGAAGAGGGCTGTCCCAGCACATCACCATCACCTTCTAATTCTCGTCGTGACTTCTCTCTCTGCGCATTCCAAGCCTCCTTCTCCGCCGGCAACCTCGTTTTGATCACCTCCAGTTTTTCCCGTAACAGTTTGTTTGGCACCATCTCACTTGCGCTCTGGAAGATACTTGACCCCCAATTCGGCGCCAACGCGTTAGCCTCAGCAACCACATCTTTCAACTCGATCTCAAGTTCTTGCTCCGCACGCTGTAAACGCTGGAAGATCTCGTCGCCTACGACGCCGCGCTGGAGAAGTTGGGCGAGTGCCGGTTTCCGTGTGCGCACCTCCATTATCCGCTGGATGTCTTCGTTCGCTCTGGCCAACAAGGCGGCGCGAAGCACGCTCTCGGGAACTTTTTGGTCGTCTTGTAGATGGAGTAGTGATAGGTAGATGTTGCGGGTGGTGTGAGGGCCGAAGTAAGGGGCCAACCGTAGTTTGGAGTTGACTTGTCTTTGGCGGTAGAGGTGTGAGAAGGTCGCCATCGAGCCGATGAGAATGCCTAAGTAGGCTATGGGGCCGAGGAGGGAGAGGTACTGCATCTTGAGAACGGTGCTCGTGCTTCTTTTTAGGTCGTGCTCATGGGCTAGTGAGATCGTGGGTGCGGATCTTCTGAAGCGAGAAAACAGAGGGAGACTTTGAGGTGTGGAGGCTCAAGTTTGGCGGACTTCGGTGGATGTGTATGTGTGTGCTCTTGTTTTATCGAAAGCGTGAAGGGAGGACCTTGTCAAATCTGCGGAGTAGAAAACAAGGGAAATATATCTCATGCGCGGAAGAGGACAACTCGTGCAAAAGACCGAAACAGTCGTTAACATTCTTTATCGATAAGGCGCCTTCTTGGCGACCTCTGACCAAGTCCATGCCTGCTCACGTGTCAGGCTCGCAGAGCTTAGGGCCCCCTAGCCGTGAGAAGCCCCTAAAGACCCGCTTCTTCGATGACCGGGAACTCATCAAAAGTTATCCTCCTTACTTACTTCCCTTGACTTTGCGGCACATCTTCATTAATCTCTATGCTGATATATGATTCTATTGATACTCCGTAAATATACGAATACACACCACAGTATAGTTTGGTCCACAGACCTTATCTACTTTCTCAATTCGACTCCTCGTTCATCCATATAATCGCCCCTTATCCCGTTTTCTGATATTACCAATCTTTTGCCTGCAAGGGCTAGTGCTAACGCCGCTGTCGCCAATTGCAAGGAGGCCAACCTCTTCATCACCCTTCACGTCCTGCAATGCAATGACGAGGTCTTTGTTAGCTCTTGCCACGTCGCTCGAGTCAGTTGTGCTCATGGCGTTCTTCAGTAAATGTGCCGTGTGCGGATTCAATCTCAGCGTAGTCGTGAAGATGTTGAGCAGGTCGGGGCCAACGCATGCGATCTTCGCAGCGAATCCTGCGAACCCGTGATGAGAAGGATAAACGAGGCAATAAAGGTGATGGCAAACCACCAAGGCTCACATTCGTACACGATCAAGTCCTGTTCGAATGTGGCGTTCGAGGGGCTAATGTTCATCCTGTAATCGTTCCAGCAGTCGTTTGCCGTCTGCCCAGACAAGAAAGCAGCTGGACTGCCTTGAGGAATGGTGGCATTGTACGCTCTCGACCCAATCGTTGCTTGCCAGTATGTATTGAACAAACGTCGCATCCGGCGGACGACATCTTCCGGGTTCAATTCATATAGCTTTGGAGCTAGCCCTTCCGATATATAGTACTCGCCGCCCGAGAGATTAGCAAGGCGCATGGGAGCATTCCCAGTGAATGGGAAAGCCTCAGAACCACCCATGTAGTTCAGAGATGGGGCTGCTTGCGGTGCAACATTATAACTCCAATCCATCGCAGCTTGTGCCCGGAGGCTTGGATATAAGGTTGGAATATTGTCATGTGCATTCTCGTTTCCCGTTGGGAAGAAGGGACCCCACCATTCGACGTACCCATCAGTTGAAGCATTAGGAGGTCCATCGATGGAGCTCTGCCGCGCTGCTACTGCGCGGCACGCGAATCCCTCGCAAGTCATTTTGATGTCGATCCGAGAAGGTTCAAGCGTGCAACGGGCGATATTCACGTTCGATGTCGAACTCGGGTTAACAATGAATCTGCTTAGGCCATCCCCTGACCAGGATACGAAGGCCATCTTTATCGAGCGTGATCTCGGCACATCCGCAGCAAGCTCCCACCCGTTGAAAAATACCCACCACTGATTGGGTGTGTCGGACATCGTCGACCCCTGCAGCCATACCTGGGTTTGGTTCAGGAACTTCAGGCGAAAGGCTTCGGGTACTCCGGGTATCCAGTTCACGGTCCCATCGACGCCATAGACCTGCGAACAATTGATGTACCAGTAACGACTAGAAATTGTAGAATTGACACGCTGTCCCTCCTGCAACCCCGTGACTGGTAAGCCGAGGAGGGACGCCCAATCGGTCTCGTCATCATCAGGCACCGTTTTGAACTGATGGGTCAGGTTCTGTGCTTAATGACTCAAATGTTGGTATCTTGACGTTGCCCCAGGCATCCTGGGGACTTTGCTTGACGGATAATGGTGCTATTAGATTGGCGACATATATGCCATTGATGGTTGATGCCCAGTCAACAACCGCAAACCCATCTGAAACCATCCCGGAGTTCTGAGCGGAAGGATCTGCGTAGCCAATCTGACTATGGGTGAGATTTGTCGATGCTTTCGTCGACAAAAGTCTCAATGATGCCTGACCACCTAGTGGAGAGATCAGCCATAGCAGGACTAGCAGCAGACCAGCCACATCCAGGAACTGCAACCGCACTTGGGGGGCAATAGCGCCGAAGACCGACTGGGGGCCAGTGAGCTACTCCATGTGCTGATGGCTGTCATTGATTGCACGCGCTGACTGTATGGTCTACTCACCTTGAGCTCGCATCCCTGCTCGAGTCTGTAACGGGCAATGTTTCGCATACTCTGCCCAACCACTGCCGCAAAGACAAGAGGAAAGAAGGTGGGTGATATAATTGTCCATTCTTTGATGTTCTCGCCATACGCCGAGATCTCGCGGCCATGGAAAGTCCTTGCAAGGATTGCCAGGACCAAAAACGCTATCGGTAACAGACAAATGAGGAATTCGAGCACAAATCCGAATACTTTCGTAGCAGTGTATGGTCGGAGAGGTTGAGGAATGCCACCCAGCCCGCTCGGTACGCTAGAGAGGATCGCGGTAGGCTTTCTGCCAAGGTCTTCAGACCTTGATGGAGGATCCTGATACAAGAATGGCTCTTTTGAGGTGGAGGTGAACTCCTCGTGGTTCTGAGCAGAGTGATGTACGCCTTTGTTGCTATTGGGCGGTCCGTCAGTATCAGAGTCAACACTTGCTGAGACAGCGGTAATGGCATCGGAAAAGGACTCTGCAAAGGAATCAATCGTTCTCCGAAATAGTCCAGGACTGTCTTTAGACTGGAAATTGTCGTCTGCACTCACGAGCGGCATGTGCCTCGTAATCTGCCCCATATCACCATCGTCATGTCGAGGGTTGTATGACATTGCAAGACGCGAGCGGTAGGCGACAAGCTTGGTCCCAAACTTCGGCGTATAGCGTGAGGGATGTGATAAGGAATGCAGGTACTGTCAAGTGAAGAAGAGGAAGTGCCGCCCCTTTGCAGCATGTTCCTGCGACGGAACTTATACTAGGATGAGAAGCCCGGAAGACCCATCAGGCTGTAGACTGTCTCCAATTCCCCGTAGCTGCCAGCAGAGAAGGCGACCGAACGCGCGCTTGCGCAGAGGGGCTGAGCCCGGGACCATGAAGCCGTCTGCACGAGCAGACAGGCAGGCTCGCCATGGGCAAGAGGTATGGATTCCGTAAACCATTCTCATGACCTAATGTTGCACTTCATGTACCAGTACAGGCTTACTAACACTCTGTTAACATCTTCCATATATGCGGGGCACCGAGTCGTGCCAGGACCCTGGTCTTTGTAGTACTGGGGTAGAATATCATAAGTTAGTCAGTTGTGTTGTGAAGGTGTCGACCTGTTTTGGAAGGTGTACTAGCAGCTTATGGCTCAGCTTAGCGTGGCTGCCAAGATTGAGGAACCTCTACACGGACAGCCTAAGATTCGCGCAGAGGAGCCTATCACTAGGTATCTTCCCTCTTTTGAGGAGTCTGCATACTACCTAGTTAGTCTACGATTTTTTCGATTTCCCTACAGGTCCCTCGCCGTCCACTGCCTTTCGACCTCATCAGCGAACTCTCCCAGGGTATGAAAACGCCACCCATACCCAAACTCGCCCTTATCATGCGCCTCCTTGAAATCGACCCTCCCCGTCCCCGCACCTTTCCGATTGATCCAAACACTACTCGTACCCAGCTTCTTCGCTGGTTTGTGATCATGAAACAAACTCTGCGCAACATGTAAGTTCTCGTCTTTGGTGATACCAGGCCCGCCTTCCTCCTTGTCGTCTTCATCGAGGTGCTTGAAAAGATACTCGAAGTTCCTCGGATCGGGCTTGTAGCTGCCGATATCCTCGGCGGTGAAGACACGCCAGAATCTCAAGCCTTTCAAAGGTCCGGCATTTGTCCGAGCAAAGGAATCTCGATCGACGTTCGACAAGGCGATCAGTTTGTAGTGCTTGCTCAGACGGTTCATGGCGTCTACGGTGTCTGGGAAGGCGGGCCAGTCGCCGACACTGTCGCCGAATGCTTTCGCTTGACGCTCGATCTCGGCGTCGTGCTTTGGGGCGCCGATATCGACAGCTACCCGCATATATGCTTTTGCGAGGATTTCGTTGTACTTCATGCTCGGAGATTCAGCCTGGAGGTTCTTCTCGTGCTTTGCGAAGAGCTCTGCCATGTCGTCTTGGACACGTTGATCTGTGCTGGCATGCTCGTATCGACTGATCAGGGGTTTGAGGTGTTCAACGATGGAGTTCTCCCATTGAATGAGGGTCTCATAAATGTCAAAGGACAACGACTTGAAGCTGGTGAGTGGCTTGACTGGGACAGTCGGTGTGGGCATGGGAAGCTCGTCGTCCATGTCTGAGGTGAGTAGCGTGGCTGGCGCTGTTTGACCACAACGGGCAGTGTATGATTTTTCGAGAGGGTGTCTTATATCCGCCGATCGAGCTGATGTTATGCAGGCGAGTGGTGTCGCTTACTGGGACCCCCATGGTCTAGTTAATGTTATAAAGATACCAAGGGCGTATAGAATGGATACTACGGACATCTGCGACTAGTGATGAAGACATGGAAACATCGTCGCATTAGACGCGCGCTCGTCATACAGCGTTTCGATGCGGCTGGAGCCACAGAAGGTGTTGCACTTTACTTCACCTTCCATAAATTCAAAAATCCACTTCATTACGCGCCGACGAATAACATTCATCTACCCACATATATGCTGACATGTCACAACATACCAAGCACAGCTAAGTACACAATCAAAGATTCTTAGTCACACCAGGTTGAACCCCTTCAAGGATGTCGCTCAGCTCACTCCAGACCTTGTCCGCCGCCTTCTTGCCATCATCACTCCTTACAAACGGAGAAAGAGCAGCATCCTCGACCTTTGCATCGGTCATGTACTTGCCATGCGACTCCGGGCCAGCAGTGGTACTAGCCACCAACGTCCGGCTGCCAACCTCCGTCGTCCGAGCAAGGAAGAATTTCAATATTGCCAGACCCCAGCCAGCCTCACGAGAGAGTTCCGAATGACAAAGGCCAGGATTCAAGTAATTGAGAATGACGCCCGAGCCGGCCAGCTTGGGCGCGATGGCCCGAATGACGAGGACCTCCAGGAGCTTGCTTGTTGGGTATCGCTCTTCGAAATTCGTCTTGGACTCGTCATCGAGAGTTTTGAATGTGTTGGCCTCTTTCCACTCCGGAAATTTCGTCCAGCCGTGGACTTCGCTAGACACGATGGTGAGATGCGGTTCAGTCTTGAACTCCTTGGACGTTGCCTTCAACTTGGGCAGCAGCAGTAATGCCAAGAGGAATGTGCTGATGACGTTGACGGTGACTGTGCGCTCATGGCCCTCGGCGAACTGGAATTTGCTTGCGGCAATGCCTGCGTTCTCTAACAGGACATCGATACGTGGAAGCTCAGAGGCGCGGCTGGCGAATGCTTTGACAGAGTCGTACGAAGACAGGTCGAGGGACCATACCTCGATTACAGATGAGGGGCATTTGGTGGTGGCTTCGATATCCTTTTTCGCAGCTTCGCCTGCCTTGGTATTGCGGACAGCTAGGATGAGCTTGGATGCCCCAAGACGCGCGAAGTGTCGGGCTGCCTCTTTTCCAAGACCTGTGTTGCTTCCGGTGACGACGACTGTTTTGCCGGAGAACATGCTCGTTGGATAGGCAGGCTTGACGAAAAGCTGGGAGTAGAAAAAAGCCATAGTGATGAGGTAATGATCAAGTGAATATGCGAGGTCAGGGTGAGGCGATCAAGAAATTGACGCAACGGCAGGGTGAAAGATGCAAGCCAGAGAATGTTTGTCCTCACTTGTAGAGCCACGCAGTATTATATACTGTCAAAAGCTGGGCCATTGCAGAAAACAGATATTGATAACACCGACGTAGTTGCCCCTAACGCCGGACGATGGTAATGGCTTTTTAGACTTTGGCATCTTGGGTGGAGCGGGACGAGGTCGGGATCGGGATCGTGTACGCCATTTGCTGGACTTCTCTATGATGCGCATATGCCAGGGCCACACGCCTTTCTTCTTGGGGAGAAACGAGCGAATTTGGTCTCCGCTTTCTCTAAGGGAAACACTGGTGTCGCAAAGAATGTTGGCAAGCTTGGATTCGGCGTCAACTAATAATGACCGCGCTGTCTAGGCATTTTCGAACGCGCGCCTTTTCGTGCAGCGTTAACGGATCGGTTAGCCTCTGGCCCAGTTTTCGATCGAGCCTTACCATCCTATTCCGGACACAGTAAATATGGCGAGACCAACCCGGAGAATGGATAGACATTGGTTGCAGAAGAATTGCCAGACATGGTAGCCATTCGACGGTTTCAGACTTACAACACAGATTGGCCCGCGAAGCTGGTAGCTTGGTGCACATCGGTGGTCTTGTTCAGCGATACTTGACTGGATCTCAAAGAGTATACGAAGGGATGCTGCGGGATTTTATTCACGGCGGCACACGTCTTGCGGAGTTTGTAAACCTACCACGGAGATTAGGAGATTATGTGTTCTTAGGCTGCCAGGATAATACCGTATTGCCCCAGATACACAAGACACCGACGCACCAGAGAAAAGTGTCAAACGTCGTTGTTGCTCCAAGGACTCCCACTTCCGTATTTGGAGGAAACTACCCCACGTACAGAACCCTGGTCTGATGCCGTAAGCCCTGGATTAGACCATCAACTACCAACCACGGGGTACGAACGAGTCTCCCTTGTCCTTCAGGCCCAAAGTGTCATCGTGTGATTCTATGGAGCGTTCACTGCGTCAAGACAGTCGCGTTCGATCAAAGCTGCATGGGCGGAACTCCGGACTTCAATCTTGACTTGGAATGGGGCTATTCCTTTCGCAATCTGAGGAATACGCATCGTGTCGATAGGATGAGCCTGTCGAAAGGGAGTCAGATATCGTTCTCTTCAATGTATGAGGAGCTCACGTACCTTGTCCTCAATGAAATTGAAGCAGTACAGCAGCCTCGCCACTGCGATCCAGACATTACTTTCGCCCACATTCCATCCCACACATACACGGCGTCCTGGATATTGATTAGAAAATTTCTTGCAACACATTGTCGAAGAACATCATCTCACCTGGTCCAAATCCCCAATGGCCCTTCAGGGGGTTGTTGAGGTCATCGTTCAGGAACCGCTCAGGGTAAAAGCGCTCCGGCTCTTCATACTCCCTCGGATCTAAAGCGATAGCCCAGGCATTCCACACGAACACCGTCCCTTTTGGAAATCTGTAGCCCTCATATTCGTCATCCTGTGTAAGTGATGTTGGGGCACCGATCTCGGCAAGATTTGGTCGCCAACGGAAAATCTCCTTGACCACAGCGGTGATGTAGGGCAAATCCTCCCTGTCAGACCATCCCGGAAGTCTCTCTGCATTGGCGCCACATACCCTGTCAAGCTGTGCTCTTGCTCGGTCTACCCAGTCCGGATACGTCGCGGCCCCGGCAATCATATCGTATATGGAAACTCGAGTCGTGTCGCTGCCTGCTTCCATCAAGGTCCCTAAAACGAAGAGCTGTGAAGTTTCATCAAAGTAGTTGTCGTCGTTGAACCTGATAAAGTCCGCGGCAAAGCACTCGCGCTGTTCGCCCTTCTCTATGCGCTCCTTCAATTTGTCAAGCTGATATTTGTATACCCTGCAAACGAACGTCAGCTAGATCACGTAGAGGACCGGCCCCACTTGCTGTCTGGTGTAGTGAAACATCCGCTCTCCTTTTGGCCTCCACCACTGCAAAGCTTTGGGAAGTCGAGCCAGGATAGGAAACCCGTCAACGACATTTGCACCCGGCTGCTGCTGTTCCAGGAACATCTCGGCAGTTTCAAAGAGTTTGGTGACTTCTGGATCATCAAGCTTCGAACGAATCCCGAAAACAACGCTCATGATGATCGAGTTCGAATATCTTCCGTTGGCAGAAAACCAACGATCGGGATTGTGCAGATAGTCGTAAAGGAGATGTTTGGACTCAAGATCCTGGAACTTTGAAAATGTGTCTTTTTGTCGCGTGCTCAGAATTTGGTGCATGACTTTCCGCGTCTTCCTCCATCTCTCACCGTAAGGCATCAAGACCATACGACCGCCGCCCGACATGATGTCTTGAGTCATTGGGGCTGGTGGTCGAGAAGAGTAGATTGCAGCACGTTTTTCCATCAGGTCAGTCACCACTCGTGAGGAATTCAGAAATACCCAGGTAGCACCACCAAACTTGACGGTGAACCTTTGATGCCACTAGTCAGCGTTATGACAAGGTCATGGTGCGCGGTGTTACTCACATCTCTCCATACTTCTCGGCCAGCTCCTTTGCCCATGGCCCTTGCTGGGTTGGAGGAACCTGCAAAGCATTTCCAAATATTGGAATCCCCGGTACCAGAGGTGGTAGTCTGTATTTTGAGGAACCTTTCTTACCGTACAGGGTTGCAAGGTAGATTCCGACCACAGCGGTCAAGCCGACGAGGACAATGATTTGATTCATTTTGTCAACATCCTACCAAGAAGGTGAAGGCACGAAAGACCGTTGCTGTGACCAAGAACCAAACACTCGGAGAGCGACGGAGACCATTTTTGGAGCAAAATTCCAATTTCCGGCTCTAACCTTTGTCTGGTCGACCTGTCCATACTCCGGGTGGTATGTTCGCACCCCAGGTAGGGAGAATGTGGGGTTCTGTGGAGGAGATGCATCCCCGAAAGATTAGACACTCTTCGAAGGTGAGCGGGTTTCTTTTAGCTGTCATCGATACGCAAGGCAGAAGTCGACCACCTTATGTGTGGAATTCGTCAAGACAAAAGCCTGCTGATTCATCGCATGATCCGTAAAAGACGAAGCAGGACTGCGCTACTAGACCTTACCGTTGGTTGTTTACCTCGAGTGACAAGCCATGCATTTCCCAATGCCGATAGAGTAGTGGTGCAGGGCGCAAATACTCAGATAATGATTCGAACAACAGCAATAAAGACCATCGAATCATGAGATCTCATTCTTAGTGTCGAGAGTCGAGACACAAGGAAACCTGCAAAGCTGGAAGGTTGAGATCTGTCGGTTCATTTCATCGGGGTCCGGGTTTAAGCCTGTTCCACTCTCATAATGTCCGGGCGCAGTCTTTATCGATAAGGACTTGGCACAGCAATAACTTTTTTGTTCGAGACTGGAGGCGTTCAGAACAATTTTCGTAGCCAGACGCCCAATATGGCGCCCTCGCAGCTCAAACAATTGAAGGCTTCTCTTCGTGAGAATGGCGTCTTGGGGCCTCAGAAATCTAAAAAGCAGCGAAAAGCCACCTCAAAAGACGCCCAGAAAAGAAGCCAGCGCAATGCCGCTCTTGAAGACATTCGAGAACGGTTCAACCCGTTCGAGGTCAAGGCTCCGGCTCGAAGAGACAAATTTGAGGTCGCCAGCGGAAAGAAATCACAAGCCTCTGTTGGGAGACCCGGTGTGACACGCGGTCTAGGCGAGGAGAGACGTCGAGAAACACTGTTGAAAGAGATGCAAAGTCGACACAAAGTCGGCGCCCTGGTTGACCGACGTTTTGGAGAAAATGACCCTACGATGACCCCCGAAGAACGTGCTGCTGAACGATTTGCTCGCCAAAACGAACGCAAGTTGAGGAAAACATCAATGTTCAATTTGGAGGACGATAGCGAAGAAGAGTTGGCACTCACACACGGCGGGAGATCTCTAGACTTTGGTGGTCCGGCCCGAGACGATTTCGACGAAGGCGATGTCACCCTCTCGGACGACGAAAACGAAGACTTTGAGGCGCAGGACGACAGACCACGAAAGAAACTGCGGCTCGAAGATGGTACCAGTGCTGTGGAGGATGAGGAGGGCGATGAGATGCCGCAGAGGAAGAAGACCAAGACTGAAGTCATGAAAGAGGTCATTGCGAAATCCAAAATGTATAAGGCGGAACGACAAGCAGCAAAAGAGGACGACGACTCACTCCGAGCCCAACTGGATCAAGGAATGTCTGAGTTCTACGAGGCAATGCAAGGTCGCAAAGCACCCGAGAAACAGTTACCGTCACCCCCTAGCACGGAAGCTGAACCACAGATGGACCCTGCTCGAGCCGCTATGTTGGCTGGAAAGAGCAGAGAAGATGCAGAGAAAGAGTACGAAGCCAATCTTAGAGCACTTAAACTGGAGGCCCGATCGAAACCTAGCGTTCGCACGAAAACCGATGAGGAAAAGGCTGCGCAAGAGGCTGCAAGGCTGGAAGAACTCGAAAGAAAGCGAATGCGTCGCATGAAAGGAGAAGCTGAAAGTTCAGATGAGGAGGATCAACAGGAAGCAGAGCCTGGTTTGGACCAAGACGTTGACGAAGATGACGCCGAAGCATTTGGCTTGTCTGCGCCTGAAGTGGTGCCCACAAAAGAACTCGATGTCGAGGATGAGGACGATTTCATGCTTGACGATGACCTCATAGAGACAAATTCCGAGGCCGAAATGGCAAGTGAGCAAGACGATGAAGAGTCCGAGTCTGAAGAAGAGCCAGAAGACGACGGCGATGACGATTTCATCAATGGTCTGGTACTGCCCCCAGCCTCAAAGATTGCACAAACAAAGCCGGGCGACAAGTCCACCGTGAGCGACAACCTCGCCTACACCTTCCCCTGTCCTCAGACCCACCAAGAGCTATTAGCCGTTGTGAAGGGCAGCAAAACCACGGACCTGCCGACAATCGTCCAAAGAATTCGTGCGCTATACCACAAGGGACTCGTACAAGGGAATCAGGACAAGTTGGATGCTTTCGCTGGTGTCTTGACACATCATCTGGCGTACCTCGCAGACACCGATGCTGATGTACCCTTTTCGGTATTGGAGAGCTTGATACGCCATCTGCATTCGATGGCAAAGGGGTCCCCACAGGTGGTCGGCGACGCATTTCGGGAGCGACTTCAGACTATTGCTGAGGAGCGGCCTCTCAAGCTTTCTCCGGGCGACCTTATCATCTTGACAGCGGTTTCCACGATCTTCCCTACCTCGGATCACTTCCACTCGGTCGTGACACCAGCAATGCTCACTCTTGGTCGATATCTTGGTCAAAGTTCGGTACAGTCTTTGCATGACCTTGGCGTTGGGGCATACTGCTGTTCACTGGCTCTGCGGTACCAGCGTCTCGCAGGAAGATATATCCCAGAAGTGGTCAATTACGTCGTCAATGCCTTGGCTACCTTCGCCCCAGTACCGATGTCTGAGAAAGACCAGGTTGAAAACCCGTTGAACGTTCCAATTCGGCTTCCAGCGCAGTCTTTGCGAATAAGGTCTTCTGAGAAGGGTCCAGAGAAGCTGTCATTCAAAGATCTCGTACTGAGCAATGGGGGAGACGGCAAGAATGTCAGTGCACTGGCTCTATTCAATGCGTTCGTGCATCTCTCCAGGCAGATTGGGGATTTATGGAAAGAGAAGAAAGCTTTCCCAGAGATCGTTGCGCCTTTGATCCAAGTTCTCAACCATGTCACTTCGCATCCTGGAAAACTACCAAAGCAAACACTCCATCTTGTTAAGGATGCTCGTGATACATTGTTTGGTCTTCAGAGCGCCGCCATCAAGTCCCGTGTGCCTTTACTCCTACACCATCACCGACCTCTCGCGATCAAACAGTCTATCCCGGCGTTCATCGAGAATTATAATCCAGACCGTCATTATGATCCCGATGAGCAACGTTCTCAACTCTCCAAGCTCAAAGCCGAACACAAGAAAGAACGCAAGGGCGCGATGCGTGAGTTGCGCAAGGACGCCAATTTCATGGCTAGGGAACAGCTTCGTGAGAAGAAGGAGAAGGATGCCGCATATGATAAGAAGTTCAAGCGGCTTGTGGCTGAGATTCAAGGGGAGGAAGGAAAAGAGAAGAAAGAGTATGAAAAGGAGAAGAGGAAACGACAGGGTCGATTCTAAAGATGGAGGAGCCAGGCTTTGGACACTGTAAGCAATTAGACGAGCCTCGCAAGAGCAAAAAAGAAACTTGGTCCGAAAGGTCCTGCTCCCAATAACGTGTACTCAGTATGGTTATAACAACACTCGCCGAATTGAAAACAGCTAAAACCAAACTTGAGAACAGAAGCCAGAAACCTTTATATCAGAAATGAGGTTCAGGCAGGAATCCAACATTGATTTTCAGGCAGCAAAAATGATCCTGGCGAGACTTGAACTCGCGACTTTCGCATTTCTCGAAAGGAATTCATACTGGATGCAAGCATACAATATAAGAACGACACGCTAACCACTGCGTCACAGGATCAGGAGGATAAAATTTGTCGACGAAGATTGGAGCTTTTTTCGCGACAATTTCAAGGCTGATTTTGGGGCGGTCAAACTTATATACCGCACCTTTTTTGCACGTGACATGCCTTTCATGTTGTCGTATTTTCTCCTTCCTCCCACTGTCTCCGGTTGCAAGTTTCGCAGTGAGATGATTTCCCGCGCATGTATGTGATGCTGCGGCACTGCTGGTAGGTCTGGTAGAACCCTTCACTCTCAGCGACTTTGACAATCTCGCAATTTGTGTTCCGCTTCCAGCTCACCTCTCCAGAAGTGTACTCACCGAGGGAATTTTACATCCGCGATACCGCATTGCAACCGGCAGATTGCCCGACGGAAAGCAGCCTGGTCTGAAGTAAATATGGCGTCGGATCATTCGGGAGATGGCTCAGGGGACGACGACGATTACATGAACATGACGTTCGAAGAAAAGCAGCCTTCGAGAAAGGCCGAGACACTCACGCAGCGGAAGAAACGACTCGCCCGGGAGGCAGAGATTAAAGGACGGCCGAAATCGAAGACAGAGCTAGCGGAAGAAGAGCGCAAGAATACAGAAGCAGCATTGAAGACCACAACACTCGACACCAAAAACAAAGGGTTCAAGATGATGGCCGCACTTGGGTATAAACCAGGAAGCGCATTGGGAGTTTCCAGGTCGGACGCAAGCGAAGCCAAGGACGACCGACTTCTCGAACCTATAGGTCTCGAAATGAAAGATTCGCGGAGTGGCATTGGTGCGGATGCAGAGAAGAAACGCAAGTTTCGTGAAGAGATGGAGGCGCAGGCGGACGTGGAGAAGAAACAAAAAGTCGAGGCGGGCGACTTCAGGGAACGACAGCAGAAGGAGCGGGAAGAAAAGAAAATCGAAGGACAAGTATGGGGTGCGATGAAAGTCTGCGAACGGCTTGAAGAGGAGGAAGAAGAGGCCGAGCGTTCTACGGACAATGATGCGGATCCTGCGAGGCGAAAGTCGACGAAGCCACTCAAAGGCGTCAATGTTCTCTGGCGAGGTCTTGTCAAGCAGAGAGCCATCAATGATCGAGACCGGAGGATGAGGTACGACTTGCAGCAATCACAGGTACGGAGTCTGGAGTATGATAATCCTGACGAGGATAAAGAGGATAAGATGGCGCTTGGGAAGAAGGCAGAAACAGAAGAAGTTGATATCGACCTTGACGAGGACGACGAAGAACTCGATGAGTTCCAGACGTTGGAAGTGCCTGAGAAATTGGCCAAGCTGGTAGCATATCTTCGAAAGAGATGGCACTACTGCTTTTGGTGCAAGTCCAAGTATCCGGACAAGGAGATGGAAGGGTGTCCGGGCTTGACTGAAGAAGAACACGACTAAGGGCATGATCGAACCCAGATATGAGAAACATGGCAGTAAGCCTACCTCGTCGTTCACTGAAGTTTAATTCGATCGAAGTGACCTAGTATGGAAGTCGCGTGTGCCATCGCTAAAGCCTTGCTTACCCGTTCCTCAGCCTCGTGGCTGGCTTTGACTTTCAGCCTGATTCCCCGCATACCTCAATCTTTATTTAGTCTGCAGAGTAACGTGCACCCATTCACGTCTGCATAACCATGTCTTTCTTCTATTCTAATCGCTTCCTTGTAGCAGTACTTGTAGTAGCGCTCGGCACAGCATGTTATACGACGCCCGGTCTTCTGCAGCGGGTCAAAGATGAAGCTCGCGCGCCCGAACCAGAACCTCCTCCTCCACGCAGACGTCTACAGAAAGACTCGGAGAATGCTTTGAAGATCGAAACCTTGCGCACGCTTGCAGACGGCTACAGCTTTGAACTACGCACCTCGGCCATCAAGATCGTCGCCAGCCGCACCGTCAAATCCCAGACAAAAGACCTGCTATTACGTGACTTGGCCAGCAAAGATGACGAACGGCGCAACGAGGCCATCAACGGCATGTGGCTGCTGCTCTATCATCCCGCCTTGACAGAGAAGAACTATGCCTCGGTATTTGGCTCGAAAGGCATCGTTGCCGCAGTGCGAGCACTCATCAACGTGATGCCACTGCACAACGTCCAAAGGCAGAGCCTCGAAGGTGGCCCGGGAAAACTCCCGCCCTCGCCCGTCTTACCGCCAGGCCGACCAGCACAAGAAGTCTCGCTGCTTATTCTTCTGGGTCACTTGCTTGCAGAGGAATCTGGCCGGAGTAGAACAGCCGACTATCCGATCAAAGCCGCCCTTAAGGCGGGCCTGGTGACCGAATGGCTAGCGCACTACCCTTTTCCCTGTGCCTTGCCAGAGAACCAGTGCTTCAATTTCAAACGAAGCGACACGGTGCGCCTATTCGACCGCGATAGATGGAAGATGGACGACCAACTCATGGCAAGTGTGATTTACCACGTGATTAGACATCCGCTGGGACGCAAACAGTTGGTCGATGCCGGGCTGGACACTAGCAGAAAACACAGAGGTACGGCAGATTCGAGCTTTGCATGGAACTTCAGCCAAATGAGACGCCCAGCGTGGGCCGCCGATGCTCACGATGACGAGGACACGCTCATGTTCAACGGTAGAGACACGGCTGGGATTGTCAACGACGATCTTAATGTCTGGGAGGAAGAGGGCACGACATTCCTCCCTCCAGGTGTGATTGCGCGGCAACGCTCGACCGAACGCAGTCAGGAGGAAGATCTTCTACGGCGTCGACACCGTGAAGCAATTGTCGTTGCGGAGCGAGGGGCGCCATTGCGCAGAGAAAACATCCTGCAAAGGAGCGACAGTAGGGTGTTGCAGCCGATGAACGGCGTTAGTGGAGTCGAGGGTGCTCTTAATGGGTTGTTGGGCCTGTCTGACGAGCACGGTGAGAGGACTCTGGATCTCGTCGAGCCAGGACGGAGCAGTCGCACAACGGCATCATCATCAGGAATGGATCAGGGTGCTGAGGCAGAAGCGTCGTTGGCTGATGGGGTTGTCACGTCGGACGAATTGCATGATTCACTGGATGAGTTTAACAATCTCTCTGAGTACGAGAGACAGGCGGCGCCAGAGGTTCTTGACGAGATTGATGAGATGATTGCGGCGGCGATGAGTGATCCTGATGTTCAGGAGGCGATCCAAACGGTTAGTACTCCGGCTTGGAGGGCGAGGCAGGCTTCTGGCGGTTCTAGCACAACTGTCGAAGACGACGATGCGGATGGCTCATGAAACGATCGTGGTGTTGGGCACATACAGTGCGTCATCGGGTAATGCTTTAGTGGTCAGGTGTTACCTAGCGAGGCGTTCAGGGCTTTAGCGATGGGTCATGAAGGTCCCATACCAGTGTATGAATATTGACAGGACAGACGATCAGTTCAATACGGACGCATTGCGTTTTCAGATCATAACATCTGCTGCACTTGATGATTCGTGCTGGTCAAATTCTTCCATTATCGATTGCAGTCTGTGACCACCTTGGCTTGTCATCTTCTGGCATCTGGGTCTTGTGCCTTCTCAACCTGTGACCGACTTTCATGACGGTCATTGGAAGCGACTTCAGTCTACCTGGCCACCGCCACCTTTCCACATCCCGTCGATAAAACAGACATACGCAATCCCCTCGCAATCCTTCTCCAAATCGTCGGTTTACTTCAATGGAATGAAACGCGAAGAGTGGGTAGCACCGATACCGGGTCTACCGTGCTTGACGGGCTTGTATGAGATGGAGAATTCGCCGAGGTAGTGACCGACCATTTCGGGCTTGATTTCGATCTGGTTGAATTCCTTGCCGGAGTAGACACCGATGACGCTGCCAATCATCTCGGGCACGATGATCATGTCTCGGAGATGCGTCTTGACCAAGTCGGGCTTCTCGTTGGGCTTTGCCTCCTGCTTCGCCTTGCGCAACTTCTTGATCAGACCCATGGGGCGGCGCTTGAGGCCTCGGTTGAATCGACGGCGGGCGCGGGCATGAAGGATGGTCAGGAGCTCGTTGGATGGGATGTCCAGCAGTCTGCAAATCATCAAACGTCAACTTTTGTTTCTTTTCTTGAACCCGATGCCGATGAAAGGTTCATCGCGAGGACTAGACGTACTGGTCGAGATCGACACCTCTGTATGAGAACTTTCGGAATGTTCTTCTCTTCTTGATCTCTGCGGCCTCCTCGGCGTTCTAATCCAATTCTGTCAGTCAAGACTCGATGATGTTTGGCTCGAGCAGGAACGTACGTATTCGGTGTCAGCCATATTTGCGGTTGGACTGCCCGGGTCACCTTTCGATGAAGTTGTCGAAAAGCGAAGGAATGGATTGCGGTGTGCAGTTGATATTTCGAGGTCAGTTCAGACCGCAAAGCGTTTTGCAAACTGCGGGCTCAAGCCAAACAGCGCCAAGACATAAATGCCAAGCTTTAGGGTTTGTGCGAGCACGTGATTCTGGCTGATCCGATAAGGCTGAGGCATGGATTGCAAAATCCAGTCTTTACCCTATGCGACTGCCAGAATGAAAGAGATGAAAATGTCAAGTACAAATTATCGGAACTGATGGGCCGTTGCAGGATTACTGTGTGCTAGGACCAGATCTAGAGCAGAGAAGACGAAAGACGTAGAAATTCTGAGCCTGGTATTCCCGGACTTGGATATTGTCATTGAAAGCCGTACATATGGCCACAACTTGCGCAAATAGACTCTTGTCGTAGTGCTTGAACAGTATGCACTGCGTGTTTCACCTGGGATTGCTGCATTCCCCGAGTCCCTCTATTGCGTTCCAGTCAACGTGAGATGATCCTGATCTTGTGGATTGGCAACTTCGTTTTGCAACGTTTAGTCGAAGAGACCGAAGCCCATGTCCTCGTCGGACTCTTCCTTCTCAGCCTCCTTCTCTGGCTCCTTCTCCTCCTCGGCAGCGGCCTCACCGCCGGCGGCAGCACCACCAGCAACAGGGGCAGCACCACCGCCAGAACCGCCGCTTGGGACAGACGCAAGTTTGGTCGAACCCTCAGCGATCAACTGCGACCATGTTAGAATCCACCTTATGTAATTTCGGCGTCGAATTTCCTTACCTCGTTGATGTCTTTGCCCTTTAGCTCTTCGATCAACTTCTCGAGACGGTCCTCGTCCGAGTCGATGCCGACAGAGGATAGAACGCTCTTGATGTCGTCTGCGGAGGGGTCGGTGTTACCGGCCAGGCCGAGAAGGAGGTATGCTGCGAGGTGCTTCATTTTGAATAAGAGTGATTCTGCGTGAAGTTGTCAGTATTGCGCCGGAAATCTTGCTGATTGACTACATACTGGTGTCGGGAAATGGACGAACGAGAGAGACAATCGATTTAACCGCGAATTGGGCGGAGACTGGCACTTCAAGTTCTAAAGATATTCGTGATTGCAGAGACGACTTTGTCAAAAGTGTCTGCGGTTGGGAGTTGTGCGCGCGAAAATGTGTGGGAGGTGTCGGGGAAACTTTGCCGAGTCCCGACTCGCCGCATTAAGCCCTGGGCCATGTTAATTACGTTCGCGGCGAGGTGTTCATGACTTCCTTGCTTTCCTTCCACTTCTTACTTCTTTGTGCCTGTTCACTTGTCAAAGCCTTCCGCAGTGCTTCCTTCTGATTTTCGTTTGGACCTTCGATCTATATCATCCGGCCCTCCGCAGTTGCGTTTGGCAAACATGCGCATCTTCAATCCATATACTCACTTGTCATTATCCTTTTGAACGAACCTCTAACCTCGGTTCCTTGACTTCGTCTCCCAAGATGAGCTTCTTAAACGACATCGTCAATTCCATCGGCACCGATAGAGCCCCAGCTCCGCCAAAGCCACCCGTGCGCCCACTTAGCGCCAATTCTCAGCGACTTCAAGCGGACAGTAAGCCTGGATCTCGACCTGGCCTTCCTCCTCTTCTCTCGCCACTGAACGGTATCAAACGGAAAGCGGAGGACGATGTTGCGAAGCCACAGGAGAAACACATTAGACCGAATCCCGCTCCTGGCTTGACAAGCTCAGTGGCCAGACGCCCAGCCGCTCCGCCTCTCAATGCGCCCAAACCGTCCAATGAGAAAGCCATTCCTGCGTCTCGACCTAAGGTCGACACCACTGTCAGCTCAGCCAAGCCTGGATCACGACCCGGAACTCCAACTGGCCCCCCTGCTAAAGCTCCGGCAAAAGGATCATATGCCGATATCATGGCTAGGGCGAAGCAAGCGCAAGAAACACGGATGCAAAGCCAAGTTGGCATGATCAAGCATCAGGCAACAAACAGAGAGAAAGTATCTAAAGTGGCTGAGAGGCGACGTCAGGAAGAGGAGAAGGCGAAAACCGGGAAGGAGAAGTCCGATCCACGGCTTACAAACATCAAACGAGACAAGTCGAAGTCACGCAGCCTTAGTCCCGCGAAGAAAGCAGACCAACCTCGTGTAGCCAAGGCACCCCGACCACCTCTACACGCTCCAGCCTCATCCTATAAAGGTACAATGGGCCAGACTTCGAACCGATCACAGAAGCAAGTTCGGCAAAAACGAAGCAAAGCCGATGAATATCTTGGTACAGACGAAGAGGATCTCTCTGACGAAGGCAGCTATGGACGAGATGAAGAAGACGACTATGGATCTGATGCTTCCTCTGACATGGAGGCCGGCGCTTTTGATATAGATCAAGAAGAAAATCGAGCATTGAAAGCCGCAAAGGACGAGGATGCCAAGGAGATGGCTTTAGAAGCCCGTCTGAAGAGAGAGAAGGAGCAGCGACGAAAGAAACTGCTTGATCTTGCTAACAAGCGGAAATGAATCTCATGACTTACGGCGCATGACTTCAAGGTTGGCATAGCATTCATATTACTGATTATTTAGCATTGGTGTTGGGGTGACAGCCTTGATAGGACAGCGCAAAGCGGTGCAGCATTACAGGAAATCTATCATTTGACTTCACAATTGATTGGAATTGACATCTGTTTTTGCGCAGAACATTTATACAACATATTCATACCGGATGTTCTTGATGACATTCCAACAGACAAAAAAAATTCGTTAGACCAAGAACTAATCAGACACCAGGCTCTCTACGTCGACACCCTCGACCCTATAAAACCCGAGCGATGTCAACATTGGCTTGTCATGGAACCTGTACAAGTACACTGTCTGGTCTTCTTCAGCAGTGTGTTGGTACTTGTTCCATGCTGGGACGCAGAATGTGTCGCCTTGCTTCCATTCGATACGTTGGCCGTTAATCTCGCTGTATCCCTTGCCAGTCACAACATGGTAGACCGATGATGCAGTTTCACGAACAGCAGAGGATGTGCAACCTGCGTTCAGTCGCTCAGCAGAACCACCGAGGATCTTGGATACTGTTTGAAGGTCAGTGAGAACTAGGAGGTCCTATATTGAGGAACCACGCCATACCTGGTCTTCCGTCCTTCTTCAAATAGTCTTCCGACGACCAATCTCCCTTCTTTTCATCGAGTTTTTGTTGCATCGCTTTCCAGGGGAAGACGATGGGTGATTCGTTCGAGTCGACGTCATCTGCAGGATATCTGGCCTGTTGAAAGTGCTCCACGAAATGAACTGGAAAGTGTCTAAAGTTTGGCAAATCCAAACCATCGAGCCAGATCATGGGTCCAGAGCCATCCTTTCCGTGGTCGTGCCAGTTCCACGTTGGAGTGAGGATCACGTCGCCTCTCTGCATGGTGATTCTCCGACCGTGTACAGCAGTGAACCCGCCCTGTCCCTCGATGATGAAGCGCATGGCGAATGCAGAATGTCGATGTGCCCGAGCTGTCTCATTTGGCATGACCAGCTGGAGTCCAGCGTATAAAGTGTCTGTTGTATATGGCGAATCTGATTCGACAGGTCAGCCTGTGCATATACTCGTCTCGAAGAGTAACATACCTCGAGCAGGATTGACCAGCATTAGCACTCGTCTCTCCGCTTTGCTTTCGTCGACGATTTCTCCCGCCCGAAGCAGGCTTGGCCTGACTTCGTCATACCGCCAGATGTATGGAATACACTGAGGATTTGGCTCTGGAGGATTCAAGCGCGCCATCTCCATCCAGAGGGGCTTAGTATGTACTTTGAGAGCGGCTGCGACGAGCTCTTCCGCATCCTCTTTCGAAGGCGCCCATTTCGAAGTCTCGGGTTGAGTGACGGTCTCCGTGGTGGTAGACATGTTGAATTGTTTGAGGTTGGAAGTGTACCGATGCTATTGCCTTCTACTATCGTGAAACAAAAGTCAAAGGCTCTAGATATTCTACGTCTTAAACTTATGGAACGCCGACCCCTCCTGTTCCGGAGAAAGCATATGGACGATCACCGACGCGTAGGCGGTTTCGTCAAGACCCGTGCTTAGCGGAATCCTTCCCGATACATACCCGCTCAGCCTCGCCCTTCCCGAATGAACCACACCCCGCATTTCGACAGCCGTATGCTAGTCTCTACGGCTGTGCCGACCTGTCCAGATCGTACATGGGTCAATATCGGTTGAGGCGGCCTTCCCTACTCTGGTCCAAAGACCCTAAGATGGTACATGCCGCTCGCGATCGACCTCGCACCACTACTCGAACGCATTCAGACATCATTCTTCCCTTGCTGATTACTAAGTGCTCATCTTAGCTCTCACAAAATGACTGGCGGCCAGAAAGAGCACACGAATGGTGAAGTCTTGACTAATGGTCATGGCAAGTCGGGCGTTGCTGTCCCTTCGTTGCAGGATGGGTTCATTGATATCCCAGAGGTAATGATAGTATGACATTCAATCGAAGAACCCAGACTGATTACGACCCAGACAGCATCTTATCCGACTGGAAGTCTCGACTTTCTTGCGAAATTGCAGAAGCAAGAAGACAAACGAGCTTCCACTTCTGTTGATGCTGAGGAGCCTTCAAGAGTTAAACTGAACATTACCATCGTCGGTGCAGGTCTGGGCGGGCTTGCGGCTGCTATTGCCCTCACCCGAAAAGGTCACAAGGTCACGATCTTCGAGCAGGCCCCTGAACTCGGCGAAGTGGGAGCTGGTATTCAAATCCCATCTAATTCATCTCGACTGCTCATCAAATGGGGTCTTGAGCCTTTCCTGGCCGGGAAGATCGTCAAGCCACACAACATTGCCTTCCGGAGATGGGAGAATGGAAAAGCAATCGGTCTCACTAAGCTCATTCCACAGTTTGAAAGGGACTTCGATGCTCCCTACTACGTCGTACATCGAGCTCATTTCCATGATGCCATGTATCGATTAGCGCTCAAATTGGGGATTGATGTCAAGATCAACTCGAGAGTTAATGAGTACGATGAAGCCTCTGGTTCAATAACGCTAGGGAACGGAGAGTCTTACTCGGCAGATCTTGTGATTGCATCTGATGGTAAGCCTTGCACTGGATTATACCCGTACTTGACTGACGCTTGAATAAAGGATTAAAATCAGTAGCACGACAGATTGTGCTAGGCGGAGTTGACCAAGCACCGAGGAGAACAGGCTTCGCGGCTTATCGTGCCACGGTTGATGTCGAGAAGATGAAAGCATACCCAGATACTGCAGAGATCCTGGCCAAGCCGAATCTGAATCTATGGTTAGCCAAACCTGCATCACCTACTCTTGAGTACTACTGACTCTTGCATTCTAGGGTCGGAGACCTGAGACACGTCATGACATACACGATAGCAGGCGGAAAGGCATTTAACATGGTGTTGTCACATCCGGACCGGTCAGATCCAAGTACATGGAACTCACAGAGTCCCGACAAGATCTTGTCGGGCATGCGGGAGCATTTCAATGGCTGGGATCCCACCCTCCGCAAGATCATCGATATGATCGAGTCTACTATGAAGTGGCCCTTGATGAGCGGCTCGACCCTCAAGAAGTGGATATCGTCATCCGGCAGATTGCTGATAATGGGCGATGCGGCACATGCCATGGTGCCGTATATGAGCCAAGGTGCTGCTATGGCCGTCGAGGACGCGGCTGCTCTTGCGGAAGCAATTCATCTGGCAAAGAACAAGTCAGATCTGCCGCAGGCTTTGCACGTCTGGGAGACCGTCCGTCGCGAACGAAGTGGTCAGATGCAGGAAGCCAGCTTGATCAATGGAAAGCTGTGGCATTTTGCCGACGGTCCGTTGCAGCAGGCGCGAGATGAAGGAATGGCACCAGAAGTTGACGGTCGAGATTTTGTTTCAAGTCCGAACCAGTGGAGTGATCCCACGACGCAGCGCTGGTGTTATGGTTATGATGCGGAAGCGGAAATCAGGAAGGCATTTTCAAGGACGTCTAAGCTGTAACAAGAGGGTATCGATGCATATGTCTTTTATCGGCGTAAGGTTACAATCAGGAAGACATGCCGTTGGTCGCCCATGCTATCATAGTGCAATGCTGCTCCGATTCTGGACCCCTTCTGTGCCTGAATATAATCATTACTCTTAGCTGAGCAAGGCTGAGGGTGTTCAACCAGCATGACCGTACTGTTTCCGCGAGCATTTTACAAGAATATCATTGAGGTATTCTGAGCACTATCCTCCCTCCAATTTCAAATCGTGCCAGTCTCTCCATGACATTGTTGATCTCGTCAAAGTCGAAAACAGCAATTTGAGGTACGACATCCCCGTGCACCGCCATTTCGAGCAGCTCCTCCATCTCTTTGTCGGTGCCTACCGAAGAACCCACCACATGGAGACCTACGGGCGATCAGCAAGCGGAACCACACAGCTTGAGAAGCCAGATGCCGACATACCTTTGACGACCATCATGAACGGCGAGATTGGCAGATCAAAATCCAGTCTAGGCAATCCCACACATACTAGGGTGCCGAGAGGGCGCACGAGCTTGAATGCTTCAGTGTATGCAGCTTCTGAGCCTGCTGTCACAATGCAAGCATGAACTCCGAACCCGTTGGTCAATCTCTTTACCTCTTCCTCGACCTTATTAGTCTTGAAATCCAGAAACGTCGTTGCCCCAAGTTTCAGGCACATTTCTCGCTTGGCCTCTCCAGTATCTATTGCAATGACTTTATACCCGCGTTTAGAGGCAATCTGGACACCAAGGTGGCCGAGTCCACCACCAGCCCCGGGAATGACAAGCCATTCACCTGGACTGAGATGTGCCTTCGCAATGGCAGAGTATAGCGTGAGTCCGGCGCACAACAGTGGCGCAACGACTTCTGACTTGAGCTGCACTGGGATCTTGGTGACCTGCTTGGCTGGTGCCACGATGTATTGCTGAAACGTTCCCCTCACGTCACGTCCTGAGTTATGTTGGTTCGGACAGACTGTAGGATTGACGGCACAGATCTCGCATGAGCCACACGTGCTGTACTGCCACCTGCAATTCTTAGGGGTGTTTTAGTTCTGAGAAGAGCACGTACTTGCCTGATACCGACGCGCGTGTTCAGCATGGTCTCCGGCACCCCTGGTCCGACTGCACTCACTCAGAATCGCGGATCATGTATAGCCGAGTCCAGCTCACCTTTTATGACACGCCCGACACCTTCGTGCCCGGCGATATCGGTGTCCATTGGCGTCTCGCCATATATACTGTGGACGTCCGAATGGCTTTTTGCGGATCAACAACCATTAGCTACCGTGCTTAGTGCTGCCACATACGCTTTCATGGGTCAGCGCTTGCCTTTGCGCACTACTCACCAGAAGCCAGTATACTCCAGCTTAACCAATATCTCGCCATCGATGGGCGTGGGAATTTCAATATCATTCCTGATCACGAGCCTTGCCCCTGGTTTTGGAGCTTCAAGCCACGCAGCAGTCTGAGTTTCCATGTCAGCCGACCCCATTTCGCGGCCCTGTTGTCGTACGTTCGGATGTTTAGTAAGAGCTACTCACATCAAGAGCCAGCCAGTCTAGTGTACGTACGAGCTGTTTGCAATATGTTGCAATGTTGGCTCAGCCATGCCGAGGTTGCGGGGAATTGTGTAAAGGGGATGATAGCCGATGCTACCCCGACACGACAGGGCTATGCGATTGGCCGAGCAGGGTGTTCTTCCTTCTCTTGTGTGCTTGAGGACATCTTTTGAACTGGCGGAATCTTTGCCCTTCATACTTTGGGGGCTGTAAGTATCAAAAAAGCGTCGATTCCAACCGTACCATCTTGATAGAAATTGCTCAGGCGCTTGGCATTTGGAAGGGGGGAGACATCGGATCATCTGGCTTTGGAGATCGCAGCACCAGAAGCAACCTATCAGCAACACATTGGATATCGACCAGAGCTCCACAGTCAGTGGTGAAGCATTGCTATAGTCTTCTTGTCCTAAACAAGGTCCCCCTCTTGGTCGCCTACGTCCCCGGGTTCTGGTGGTCCCCGTCTTGCACGTGATAGACCATACCACGACATCTCAGACCACCCGCGGCTCAAAACTCATCAACCCCGACGATACCACTGATGCCGGCTGTACCCCAGACCCGACCAGCCTCACAGGGCGACGTGCAGACCGGTGACTCCCCTCCGCCGTCTTACAAGCGGAGGCGCATTGCCCTCGCATGCACAAGCTGCAGGAACCGCAAGTCACGTTGTAACGGCGCAAAACCGACTTGCAGCCTTTGTGTGGAACTCGGATTCGAATGTGTCTATCAGCAACCAGCAGCTGGCAACAACAGACCACCACCATCACAATCGGAGTATGATGAGCGACTTCGTGCCATCGAAGACACCCTGCGACAACTCGTCCGTCAGAAGGATACTTCGTCAGAAGAGCCTGATCAACTAAACCAAGATGTCGCTCACCAGACTTACCGACAGGACAGCTACCAAGCTCCACCCGCGCCAACTAATGATGATGAGGAGGTCGCAGTGCTCGAGGAAGATGACTCTGGCGGCCAACAAAACGCCGTTGAGGATACGGTGGATGGCATGGCCGTCATTACCGATCCAAAAGAGAGCGGGTCAAAATTCTACGGCCCTTCGTCCAACATAGCATTTCTGCGAGAGATTTCCGATGCGACCTCTGCTTCTCTGAAAGCTTTGGGACAGCCTGGACATACGAATGAGGTTAATGGGCGAGCGTCTAGGGCCACATCACCGGTCACGACGCTGATTGGACCGCTAGTTTCGAGGGCGGTCTCGCCGGTCACAACTTTGCTATCAGAAACAAGTCCCATCGCCACAAGGCAGGGGGTAAACATTCGATCTCTGCCTCCTGAAGACAGAGCCCTCCGTCTCATCAGATTGTTCTTCTCAGACACTGGCATGCTCTTTCCCTACATTCACGAAGAAGGTGTTCTTCGGACCTATACGGCTGCGAGACGCAACCGCTTTGCTGGGGTCAGTAGATCCTGGCTCTGTCTTCTCAATGTCATCTTCGCTTTCGCCACTTATATCAGCGCCAGGCCAGATCTACCGGCAGAGAAGAATGCTGCGGAGTCTGGGATATTCATTGAAAGGGCGCAGGCATTGGCTACTGAGATCGAGTTGAAATCTGCTAGCCTGGAGACTGGTAAGCACTACCCCACGAGTATCCTGGAATCCTCCTGCTTCAATGCATTTTTCTTGTCCTCATGCTCCTTCCTCGCAATTCTCCAATCGGCTGTCTGTTTTAGCTTGAGACTCAATCTATGACTGCACCGCGGCACATCGGCCTCATCTGGCCGCTTGCTAATCGACTTTAGTGCAATGCCTGCTTTTGATGGCTCAATATCGCCAAGGCACTCAAAGGTCTGACCAAGCTTGGAACCTCCATGGTTTGGCCGTCCGAGCAGCATTACAGCTAGGACTTCATTCGCAGGCAGCTTCTGCAGGATATGCTGCCCTCGAAGCCGAAGTGCGCAAAAGGGTTTGGTTTGCTTGCGTGGTATTGGACAGGTCAGTCAAGCACGACCCTGGTTATGTTGTTATCTTACGATTATCAGGACTCTATCTATGACTTTCGGAAGGCCTTCCACCATACCGAACGAGTACGTCAAATTGGACCTGCCGATCAATCAAAAACTTGATAAGCTGGCGACGACTACAATACCAAGCACCGCTGCCTCTGGCGAGAATTTCGACCCGCCGGAGACAGTATGCCTCTACATTGCTACCGTGTATGCTTTGGAGACTTATTTCTTCGAAGGCAGAACGCTGACATGACATAGGCGACTCTATCATATTTTGGCCGAGATTATCACGCAGCTGTACGGCTCCAATGTGGATACTGACCCTAACATATCCCTCCCCATCCTTCTCGAAAGGACCGTAAGTCTTGAGCAGAGGCTATCAGCGTGGAAGAGAAACCTGTTTCCGCAACTGCAGCGGAGACCATGGGAGACTTTGGATCCGGGCACAGTCTCGTCCTCCTCGTGGGATGCTGTTTTTGACAGGCTTAGCGTAATCATCACGCTCAGATACCTCAATATTCGCATACTGCTGCACAGACCTGTTCTGAGCGCCTTTTTGCGGAAGAGAGCGCACTACAATTTCGGCGGAGGCCAATTGGAGGACGATGACCCATTCTTCAACGATGTTGCAAGGAAGAGCATCAACATATGCGAACAATCTGCAATGGAAATCGTGCAGATCGTGCACAAGACCAGCAAGCTACCAGGCCTGCTGGGGGCTTGGTGGTTTTCCGCGTATTACAGTACGTACTTATGCACTCACCTTGTCCAGCGTACTCGACTAACACAAAACTTGAAGCCTTTAACGCTGCGCTTGTTGTCTTCAGCTGCATCCTCTTGGAGATAACCACAATCAACAAATGGACGCCTGGGGGAGCCACCATTTCGATAGCAGCCTTCGTCGATTCCAACAAGGTCGTTGAGATGATCACACGACTCAGGAGAGCGGCAGATGTGTTGCAGAGGTTCGGTGAAGGTACCAAGTCGTCTAGAAGAATTTCGAGGACACTGGTCAAGCTTGTGCAGATTTGCATGACACTTGCGCAGTTGAATCCGGAGCAGGGTCCGTTGGTTTTGTCGGCTTTGTCGTCGACCCAGCAATCAGATGTGGCTCAGATGCAAGTCCAGCTCGACCTCGCACGGCAAACGCAAAACGGAGCAGGCATGGTGGGTGGAACCGTTGCTCTTCACGGCATGGGTACAACCACGATAGGGCCGGACGATCCGTTCAGCATGTTCGATATGAATATGCCACAGTATTGGACTGACGCCAACTTGGACCTCTTCTCCGACCTTGCGGGCGTCGAGCCAGGTCTTGCTGCCATGTTGTCTGGTTAGAAGAGGGAACTCCATGACACTTGTAAGCCTCAAGAACAGTCACGGACATCTGTCCCATGATTTATATATGTCACAAGTGACGTTCGGCATAGTGATGGATCTGTGGAGGTTCAACTGACGGCTTTGAAGGCGTCAAGAACTAGTAATTCATGACCCGCGTAAGCATCTCATATCAACCGTGAGAGATACGTCTTCCGCAACCTGCGCGCCCGCGGGATGACATTGTAGCCTTGCCCATGACTCGCCCCGCCTGAAGGCGGCCATTTTGGGTAGACGTCTTCTTCGCCGAGTGCTTGTAAGAGCAGCCGACCAAGCCGTCTTTTCACGAAGTTGGAACGGGAGCTTTGATACAATTCCAGCCTACTACAAGCCAGAACACCGAGCGGTATTCCGTAATGGTTGTCCGGCGTTCCGTTTCATTGCCGTGGCAGGAGCGAAATGCCGAGCACGACAGCACGACATCGGTATCTTCCCGTTCTATCCCCAGGGCAAGCGAAAGGCCCCACATCCCATTGAACTGTCCAGAGGTACAGCACCAGCAGTATCTTTGATGATTTCTACAGGCAACAATACATTCCAAGGCTTTTTGAACACCAATTTTGAACATGAAGGTACCCTGGACTCGGCTGATTCGCTTCGTCAGCACTGACGGACATGTTCTTCGCGGCGAGCCGATACTGCCCAGCGAGGACTTCGACCTCGGAAATGTCACAGAGTCCGATCAGTTGAAAGCGAAGGTTATCAAGGGTGATGACCCCTTAGACACGACTGGGAAAACCGTTGTGAGCGATGAAGTTGTCACGGTGAAGAAACTGCTCGGCCCACTAGCCGCAGCAGAGATACCGATTCTCAGATGCGTCGGGTTGAACTATGCGAAGCACAGTAAGTGACTTACTTGATGGTCATGTTCTCGATGAAGGGCCACAGGTTGTTCGAAGAGGGACTTTACGTGCTGACCCGAAATGTAGTTAAGGAAGCAGGACGGACACCACCACCGTTCCCTTTCATCTTTTTCAAGCCAAACACTTGTGTGATCGACCACGAGGCTCCGGTCGTGATACCGAAGATCGCACAGGACGATCAAGCGGACTATGAAGGCGAGCTGGTAAGTCCCCGAAACTCTCATCAACGGCACGTTAAGGGATGCAATGCTGACGATTGTTGGTTAAGTGCATTCTCATCGGCAAGGACGCAAAGGATGTCTCCAAAGAAGATGCCCTCGATTACGTCGCGGCATATACGGCGGGTAACGACATATCGTCCCGCAAGTTGCAGCGCAATCCGGAGTTTGCGGGTCGTGTGCCGCAATGGGGTTTCTCGAAGGGCTTCGACACGTTCGCGCCGCTGGGTCCAGTTCTCGTGGCGTCCGAACTGGTCGGGGATCCTGCGAAACTGCATCTCAAGACCATTGTCGACGGCGAGACAAGGCAGGATGAGAGCGTCACTGATTTGTGCTTCGACTGTGCCTATTTGATCTCATATCTGAGCCAGGGGACGACATTGCAAAAGGGGAGTGTGATCATGACGGGGACGCCTGGAGGTGTTGGAGCGGGCATGAGTCCTCCGAAGTATCTTGTTCCTGGGACGAAGATGGAAATCCAGATCTCAAAGATCGGGACATTGAGAAACCCGGTAGAATTCGCATAAAAGATCATTGCATACGGAATATCTCTTGAGAGATTGCCGTTGTGCAGCTTAAGCCATAGAAAACTAGATTCATACCTCTGCGAGCTTTGCCCTGCTTTGATGCTAAAATGCATTAGCAATGAAGACTCGTCCGCTTTCACTCATCCCACTCGGAGAGGAAGGACGTCACGAGTACTGTGGCGGGTGTGCTTCTTGATGCGCACTGCTTTCCGCTTCCTCCTGTCTTGAACTCGGTCTCATGCCCCTTCTCATACTCACACCCTCCAGCCTGACCTTCAACTCCTGCTTGGATGCGGCAGAAGTCCCCTCATCCTCCAAGGCCGCCTTGAGCTCGGACTCCTCCTGATCCAGCAATCTCCATCGAAGGGCTTCCTGTTCCCAGAAGAACAGCATTCCGACGGTCTTGCGCTGGGCATGGATGCTGACGAAGGCCAGCTCATGAGGCAACCTTTGCGTGATACGAGTGGTGTCGATTCCCAGTGGTGCTGCTGGATCGGTGATTCTGTTCTTGACGAGTTCCTTGTGGATGCGAGCTGAATTTTTCTCGGACGCTGTCGTGCATTAGCCGGGTACAGACTCGATGCCGCAATCCCAGGACCGGTGTAATCTGATGATAGTCGAAGGACAGAATAGTTATGACTCACTCGTTATACCGGCACTGAAAGCACTATCTTCATCGAGCGTCATTGGCGACCTTCCCCTGGTCTCTGCTGCGCCTAGCTGATGCACCCATAACAGGTCCTTCTGGGTTGACGTGAGATCGGCGTCTTCTCCAGGATTGTCGTTGGCAAAGTTCGGAAACGCGTTTGTTATGAGGCGGTTGAAGGAGAACCCCACGGCTCCTGAGCTTTTTCGATACATGGCTTTGGAATTGGAAGGTCCGGTCGAAGGTGGAATGGGCACGATAATCAAATTTCCGTATTGGATGGTTGAGCTGGGTATAAGTTCTGACGACACGGGTATTTCGTCTTGTAGATATAGCTTGGATGTGCCTGAGGCTTTTGACAGGATTTCCGAAGATAGCAAATATTGGTTGAGGTTGGCCCAGGTACGTAGCCAACTGCCCCTGAAAGCGATCTGCAAGCTTCGTACTGTATTTTGCAAAAGCCTCAGCGACTTACTGAGAGATCATACGACCACATTCAGCGTCTATTGAGTGGGAAAACGCTCGAAATGGGAGTCTCAAATGCGATCTGCGGGCAGATATGCGCAAGCGAGAGCAAATCTGGCCAGATCGAGACATCTTTTCTGGAGCTGCCAGAGTCTCCAGAGTAACTCTCATCGAGAGGTGATGAAGTCACCCATTCAGGTGCGCAGAGCATGACTTCCTAGCCCACGTGCTCGATGGAAGCCGCGCCTGGCGATGAAGAAGGTGGGAAGATCTGAGGGATTGGGTATTTTCAGGCCACCCACCTGCCCAGCACAAGCTTTCTCGGGCGCAAAGCTTACCTAAAAGCTTGGTGAGTAAATTGGCGGTACGGGAGATGTGCCGAGGCATGAACCAACGATCCCCTGAGATTGCGGTCCAGGGGTCACAGCCTTGTGTGATATGGCCCCAGGAATAGGTCACCTCATGGACGGCCGCAAAAGGACCAGCGTGGACGAAGACAGCCCAGAGAGATACCATAGGAAAAGTCCCAAAATACTTGCAAGCTAATGACGCGTCCGTATTGCCGCCAAGCAAAACGAGCTTGTCTCATGGTGGTCCAAGGAGGGATCTCTGCTTTATCTCCCAGGCTCGACATATATGAACTCACCTAATGTGGAATTGGTCGGGGTAACAAGGCCGAAAGTGTCGTCTTCCGGCGACTCGGTGATGCCCTCGAAATCCTGGACACCCCTAGGCTATCACCGTTGAAGGCCAAAAGGCTTTGAATTGAAAAGACACGGCTGCACACCTCCCGGCACCCGGCTAAATTTGCCCGGAGCCCGGCTTCGGAGATGCTAATATAAAATGGTCTGTCGCGAGTTCTCCGACCCAAAACGTCCTCGGGCCGTGAAGCACCCAGTTGAAGTCCTTCCGCAACGAATCAAGTGTCATATGCTGAGCCTAAGACAACCGCATCTATGCGAAAGTGACCGAGATATGTCTCCTGGTCTGCGATCTCCAGGAGATCTGGCAGACATGATTTGCTCGTCACGGTACGCGAGTGCTTGTTCTCGCTCTAAGCTCTCCGGAGAGCGTGGATGGTCCCCGGATCGACAGCATTGAACGACGGTCAGACCCGTCTTCCTGATGTCCAGGGGAAAGCAAAACACAACTGCGTAGGTCCTAAAATGCTTCTTCATGGTCAGGCTCCCGGCCAGGCACCGGGCGGGTCGCGATATTGCGTTCGAGCAAAACCACTCCTCTTAACTCCTGGAGCCTTGCAGATGTCGAGTACAGTCTCTCCGCATGCATCTCCTAAAGACATTCAGGCCTAGAGTGGTTTGCGCGCCACTTGCGCTTCGATGCCACCAAGTCGTCAACCAAAGGTCGTTTACGGTGGACGCTCCAACCGTTCCTAGCGTAGGAACACGAACGACTCCCTTGTGGCGGACTCTCGCTGACACTGGAGCTCCAGAACGATGACGAGCACTTCGAAGTCCCTCTCGGAGAGAAGAGCTTCGAGCCTTACAAGATGGAGTCGCCCCCGCTCTCGCTGGAGACCACGAAGAAGGAATTGAAAGAACTGTACAGACATATGTGGAGAATCAGGTATGTCTTGCTCAATGACAGCCACACAAGAGAAAGGACCCTCACAAGCCTTTCAGGCACCTAGAGATGGCCATCAATCGTCTCTACCTGCAGCGCAAGATCCGCGGGTTTTGTCATCTCTCAATCGGGCAGGAAGCAGTGGCCGTCGGCATCGAGCACGGAATAACGAGGGACGACAAACTCATCACAGCATACCGATGTCATGGCAATGTCTTAATGCGAGGAGCGTCACCAAGAGAAGTCGTCGGAGAAGTTCTGGGTCGACGAGAAGGTGTTGCTCGTGGGAAAGGCGGCTCGGTTCACATGTACTATAAAAACTTCTATGGCGGCAACGGTATCGTGGGTGCACAGGTACCCATCGGCGCAGGTCTTGCCTTTGCACAGCAATATATGAACACCAAGGACGTCACGATCAGCCTGTACGGCGATGGAGCGGCAAACCAAGGACAGGTCTTTGAGGCGTTCAACATGGCCAAATTGTGGAATCTGCCGGTCATCTTTGGTTGTGAAAGTGAGTGTTTTTGGTTGGGAAATTGATTATGCCTGAAGGCCTGCTGACAGCACATCGCAGATAACATGTTTGGGATGGGTACATCAGCGGCAAGGTCATCCGCCTCTGTCGAGTACTTCAAGCGCGGTCAATACATCCCCGGCCTCAAGATCGACGCAATGAATGTTCTGGCGGTGTTGGCGGCGATGAAGTATGGCAAAAGATACGTCTTGGAGAACGGCCCACTCGTGTATGAATTCGCTTGCTACCGATATTTCGGCCACTCGGTATCCGATCCAGGGACAACGTATCGGACACGAGATGACATACAGGCGGTGCGGAAGATGCAGGACCCGATCAACAATTTCCATGCCCATCTCATCTCGTGGGGCATCGCAGATGAGGAAGAGTTGAAGAAGATTGACAAAGACGAGAAGGCCATGATCGAGCAAGAAGTTGGAGAGGCGGAGAAGATGCCTTTCCCGGATGCCTCTCCACGAATCTTATTCGAGGACAGTTATGTCCGCGGAAGTGAACCACTTTATGTAAGAGGGAGAACGCCTGAGGAGACTTTTTATTTCGATTAGAATGGAGGTCTCTGCAAACTTCGACGAAAAGGTCCGGAGGCGGTGACCGCGCGAAAGATTCGGAGCGAAACAACGTACGGTGTTATAGTTGGCTACCATTGGAGGAGCATATTCAAGGAAGATATGATGTACAAGAATGAATCTGCAGAAAAGGAGGTTCGGTGTATGGTTCCGCTATGCCAAGATATATTCCTTCCCTTTCATCTGCAGCCTTCCGCCCATCATGCCAATTCACTTTTCTATTGATCATTATTTTCGTCCTTCTGGAATCTTCGCGAGTTGTTGTAGATTCGCTGGAATCAATGTCTTTCGCCTTCGGCTTCACTGGTGACGACATCGAAGATGAAGAAGACACCCAAGAGCAAGATGTGCTAGCAGCAAAAGTCTCAAATTACAAAATCTCCGACCCAGACCACCAACCTGTGGAGACGATAGCGCCGAAATGGCATTCTTTCGAACATCTGGTAGGTTCTCCATCTCGTACAAGAAAGGATCACTCAGTGCACGGCGAGAGACTTGCATGAGAAAAACCCTCCACCGGTCATGCAATCGTCCTTCCGAAGAAGAATAAAGAAGAAGACAATATCCATGCGTTACCCACCTTCTAACATATCCCCAGCTATCATCCCTTCCATCTCAACTCTCATATAACACCATCACAATCCCATCTCGGGCTGGCGTAGCCAATAAACCTGATGCTCTGCCTGATCCCGGGCCCAGACACACGAGAACCACCATCCACCGCCGCTCCTTATTCGACATCAGACAACAACTCATGGCCGAAGCCGACCCATCAGCCAACTCTGACGCAGACACACTCCTATCAGGCCTACAGAACGGCGATCTGACCTCAGGCATCTACGAAGGCGGCTTCAAAACTTGGGAGTGCTCCCTTGATCTCGCTTCGCTTGTCTCAAACCTCGACTTCAGCCAAGACTGGCACATCATCGAACTCGGCGCTGGGAGCGCGGTGCCTAGTCTCGCATTGCTACGTGCGTTCCTGACATCCCGTCATACCCGCACCCTCAAATTCACATTATGCGATTACAACGAGGCCGTTTTACGGTTGTGCACAGCACCCAACATACTACTAAACTACCTCCAGCAGATATCACAGCATACTGCTCCACATAACGACGACGAAGACGAGGAAGGGGACCTCGATATCGAGGAATTGGGAGACAACTTCGTCCAGGACGCGATACAGGATATGCATTCGCGGAACCTATCCTTCGACTTCATATCCGGCGGCTGGGGCGAGTCTTTCCTCGAGCTGCTCCAACAGACTGATAGAAGCGTGAACACGCTCATCCTCGCATCAGAAACGATATACTCGCCTGCTTCCATACAGGTTTTCACAGATACGCTGGTCCAGTTGCTTCGACGGCAAACGACTGGAGGAGCGAAAGCTTGGGTCGCGGCGAAGAAAGTCTACTTCGGGGTGGGAGGAGGTGTGGACGAATTCCTCGGTGAGGTCAGGAGTCGTGATGCCAAAAGCACGGTTCTACTAGACACCAAGGACACGGGCGTTGGGCGAGTGGTTCTGGAAATTACTGTATAATGATACGGCTGACCTTCATGGTCACGCATGATACCACACGAACAGAAATATGATCAATGCCTTTCCATTCACTACCATACATTCCACACCATACTACCGTCGTGCCATCTCCTCATCCCTGGTAAGAACGAAAGGTATGACCAAGATTGCCAGACTAAAATACACATGAACCCCTTTTAAGAAACAACGAGTGTCTGTCCCTCACCAGCTTACCCTTGACGATTGCGCATACTGGGAGGGACGTATCTTCCTCCTGTCGATCCTCCGGCCGCAGGCTTCCGAAGAGGTGTGGGCGCGGGCGAATCGTCGCCACTACCGTGAGCAGGTGATCCAGCGTCTTCTCTCGACAGAGTGCGACCACCGTCTCTCATGTGCGATGGAACATACCGGCCGCCAGGAGCGCCATTAGCGGGCGAGCCCGATGTGTTGCGCATAGGAAGGTCCCGAGGAGGGAAGTCCCGAGCTGGCGGCGGGCCATCTCCACGAGGAGGTGCGCCACCAGCTTGACGAAGGTGAGGAGGCACGTAACCGCTACGGGTAGGCGCTGGTGCCGGAGCAGCTTCTTGGGCAGGAGCTGGTGCTTCAGCGGGTGCTTCACCGGACGCTCCAGCAGCTTGTCTTGCGGCTTCTCTTTCACGCCAGCTGGGCTTCCCTCCCAAGGCGAGACGTGGAGCAGTGCGTGGGCCGTCTTGCGATTCGGTCGGTGTTTCCAGAGGAGCTGCTTCTTTTGGTCGGGAGAATGGCTCTGGACCGGCTCCTTTTCGCTGGGCTCTCCTGGCCGCGGCTTCTTCCTCTCGTTGCATTTGCTTGTGGGCAGCTTCATCACGTTCGGCACGTTCAGCAGCAAGTCTGGCCTGTCTCTCGGCAGTAACTCTCTTCTTCTCTTCTTCGGCCTTTGCTCTCTCCTCTTCTTCACGCGCTCGGGCCTCCTCTTCCTCTTGGATACGACGCTCTTCAGCTTCTTGAGCTTCTTGCTGTCGGATTTTCTCCTCTTGGTATGCCTTGATACGTTTGCGCTTCTCCTCTTCGAACTCGCGTTCAGCCTTCTTGCGAAGTCTCTCAAACTCCGCCGAGCGTTGTTCGTTGATCTTCCCCTTGAAGCTATCATATTGCTTGACAAGCCTGCTAAGACGATGCTTGAGGGCCAAACCTTGTTTGTGCTTGAGTTGAGCTTCCTCCAGGGTTTCTTTCTTTGTCTCTTCATAGACTTTGATGTCCTCCTCACGCTGCTTTTCATAGTCTGTAGTTCCGTATTTCAGCTCTTCGCGGCGGAAAGCACGTTCGAGATGATCGATTCGCTTAGCCGTCACACGGATCTTCTCGTCCTTTTCGCGCTTGTCTTTCTCGAGTTGGGTCAACTTCAACATTCGAATGGCATTGGAGTCAAGCTCATCGACGTTGATGTCTTCAAGGTCAATCTTCATGCCACCTTTGAGCTCCTGCAGCTGCTTTTCCATTTCTTGTCGACGAATGCGATCTTGTTCATCCTTGACACGTTTGAGTTCACGTGCTTTGGTTTCTTCCCGTAGACGGGCGGCCTCAGCCTCTATTTGTTGTTGTGCACGGATACGACGACGAGTCTCCTCCTCCCTCTGTTTCTTTGAGAGTGCTTCGGAAGCCTCTTCTTTCTTCTTCTCAATGACGACACGTCTCTCAAGCGTCTCTTCATGTTCTTGTTGGGCACCAGCCTGAGCACGAGCCAGAGCTGATTCCCGTGCGGCAAGACGCGCTTGATTGTATGAGGGATCCACATACATGCAAGTGATGTGCAGAGTCTTGGCCAGGCGACTAAGTTGTGAGCGAGCAATTTCAGCAGGAGTGTTTTGGAGTCGCTGAACGGATCCACTGTCACTCTCTGCGGAACCTGCAGAGCTGCCTGGGTGGAGGGCTTTGGCAGAGGAGAAGACGTCCGAGTCGAATGACAGAATGCCGGAGACATGGTCGAGGCGGATGGACAGATCGCCCTTCTTGCATCCGTTCATGATGAACTTTTCAATCATGGCAGGGGTGGCCTCGAAAGGAGCAGGGAACTGAGCCAGCTTGGTGACGAAGCTCAATTCTACGGATTCATAAACCTGGGAAAGTTGCTGGAACAGGCGAGTAAGGATGACTTGCTGTAGCGGCAGGACATATTTCTCCATCTCAGGATCGGCGCCAATCTGAGTGAGAATGGGAGAAATCTTCTTGCAGATCACAAGAGGATGGAAATCGACCTCAAGAATGTTGTAAAGATCTCTGATCTCGGGCCGCACTCTCTTGAGCAGTCCTTTGTTCAGTGCATCCTTGAAGAGCGCAGCTCTGGTGGGTGCAAAGTGCATGCTCAGGAGGTTCGTCAGTCTGTTGTTCTTGTTCTTGCGAGCCTCGTCGACATCGACAAGGGCGCCACGCGAACGAGAAGTGCTGATGACCGGGATGGCAAGGGCTGAAAGCAAGACAAATGAAGCGGCCTTTGTCAGGGAATCCTCGGTGACGGTGGGGTTGTCACGCTTGACTGCTTGCCCAGAGGCCATGGCTGTGGCGGATTGACGGAGGAGATTGTAGTATTTGTTCCAGGCCGCGGCATGGAAGAGGAAGTTATCGCTGACAAGGAAGATCTTGGTAAGCTTTTCGTAGTAGTTTGCCATCATGACATTTTTTGCCGGACGTTTGGACAGAGTCAAGAGCATGTGAATGTCCTCGACGCTGCGGAAAGCTTCTTGCCAGAGTTCAAGTTCGTCAGCCACGTTCAGTTGTCGAAAGCGGGTTTCCAGATGGCGTTGCAACGTCTCGGGCTCATTGAGGTTGATTGCGTGCATCTGAGAAGAATATTTCGCCGCATTCTGGACGTGGTTGCGCAAAAGTTCGCAGAGACGACGGAACTCGGTTTTGCGGGTGTATTTGAGACAGAAATCGAAGGCTTGGTGGGCCGTGCTCTGGTACATGACCTCGAGTCTGGCATTGTTCTTCAGGATTTCGAGGACGGTACGGTAGGTTTCCCACAAGAATTTGAGCCATGGTGTAACGATTGCTCGATCTGTCCGGTCTTTGGACTGCTCTCCAGAGACAGTGGCGAGGAGAATAGTCTCTGGTGTCTCGGTGGCCTCGAGATCTTCGATGTTGAGGTTTGTCGAGTCCTTTTGTTCCAAGGAAGACTGTACCAGATCTGCTTTGGCCTGCGCCTCTTGGACCTTTTGTTCAGCAAGCTCAATGAACTTTTTCAAAACCAACTGCAAATAGTGTCAGCCTAGACGTCGCAAAACCCATCTCATCACAATTCTTACTTCGATGGTCCCGACGTTGGTGTTTTGTGCAATGTTCTTGTATTGGTAGAGTCCATCCTTCGCAGACTTTCCTTTTCGCAGATCGACGGATAATTCGACGAAAAGGAGCATAACCGGCTCAAGGGAGGCGATGGGGCTGTTCCGGGAGCGCTTCGAGGTGACATGTTCGTGAAGGACAGTGAGAGCGGCTTGTGTTTGGTCAACGGCCATGAGCTCTTGTGCTCGCTACAGCATGTTTGTCAGTCATTTTGCGCAGGCAGACTCAATGAATGCAGAAGGGTTCGCCTTACTCTGAGCACATTCTCAGGCCGGATATGCGGTGGTGGAGGCATCTTGACGGTGGGTTACTCTATCTTAGAGTAACAGAGATGATCAAATCAATGATATCTCTCCAGACCTGAAATAAGCCTGTCCTAGAGATGCTGTGATGATGGCCGCAGGTTGTCTGAGGCGTGTCGTTGAACTGTGAAGTTGAGATTTGTGGCCTGGTTTCATATGTCTTGGCGGTCTGTTACCGCAGCGGCAGTGTCCGCAGTTTTGGCTATGACAGAACGACAAACGAAAGACAGACACAAAAACAGCGAGTTTTCCTCGGAGCCTTTTTCTCCCGACATCGTCACTCACGTGCTTTCCCAATATCGTTAGCGTGCCTTGTTTGCCAATCTGGAACCTCTTGACAAAATGGATCGCAGTACGAAAGTCCCCTTGATTTAAACTGCACTGTCTCCTGGCTAACCCACATCACCTTGACCAGAGACCATTGAGCTCGTCTATCTCGGCATCCATCCTGACCAGCTCGCTCTGCCAGAACACTACCACTACAAGTACTCGATCGCCAAGCAAGTGCGCCTCCTCTACCTCGCTGCCAAAAAGCAGGAGACCCCCATTCCCCACCCTCCTCTTCGCCGAGTCGGGACTCTTCCTCCACCCAACCACTACAATCGCGGTTTTGATACGACCTGCTGCATCGACTACCATTTCTTCCTCTTCGACCGTGTCGATCTGCGTGACTGCAAAAATCCAACATGCCAGCAGCATATGCGGTGCGGGATGGCGGAGATGCCAAAACGAAGAAGCAAAGCATGGCAGATCTTAAGCTCCGGCGGCTTCAGGAGCTCAATTCACGGCTGAAGGAAGATCTTGAAAGGCCTCGTGTCAAGGTGGCAGAAGCGTCGATGAGGTGGGTTCCTGAAATACTGTGATCTGAGATAGCTTTGACTGACAATCGGCATCTAGCTTGATCAACTACTGCAATCAGACACGAGACTACATGGTACCTTCTGTATGGGGTCATGTTGATAGGAAAGAAGATCCCTACAACCCACAAAGCGGTGGCAGTGATGGGTGTTGTTCAGTCATGTAATGGGTTTCAAGTGGTACGGGACAATCACAACATCGGCAATCTGATGTGAAGGACGGAACTTGATTCAAAAAGCATCCGGCGCAAATGGCGTTCATTGTTCGATAAAGATTAGCCATGGACTTCATGCGAAATTCTAGCGTGGAGTATGTTATGCAGTGCTGTTTACACGATTCACAGAGTCAGCTTTACTTCATTCCTGTTCAGAACTTGAATGACAGGACCCTCAGTCGAGGCTAGGGTAGGATACGCAATCAAAAATCGATTCACGAAGTCTTCATTGTTACTGTTGCTGTTGCTGTTGCTGTGTCTTCCTCATTGCTACTAGTACTTACCCGTGGCCAGCCTCAATTCTTATCGAGTCGTAATGTGATTTTTGAAGCCTGCACCGCCTACAGATATGCCTCGAGCGTAGTCCAAGGTCATTTGCTACAGGCCACCAGGGTATCCCGGGCATACAATGCAGTGAGCTTGTTTTGCCCTTCGCTTAAGTCTAAGCACTGTGTGTTCAGGAACAGTGGAAAGCATTCTTGCAGACTTCACAAAAACCCGAGTAACGAGATCAAAAACTGCCTTGACACTGGTGATCTTTTCCGCAAACCTTGCATAGACTTGCGTCTGATGGGGGCTCGACGCTGTTGACAGTGTGAATCCTTTCTGGATCCCTAAGTTGGGCTTGTGCCAGCCGCCCAGCCTCCTGGGTCTTGGGGGCGTCCACTTGGGGCTCTGCTCATCAATTCTCCGAGTGGCTTTACTTAAGCTGCACATCTACGCCATAGGCCGCGCTATGACCTCAAAGTTTTGATACGGACTTCGTTCACTCGATTCCTAGGGTGTCACAAACGACGTAGCTCTTCTTTCTTCGACAAATCAGACATACCAGCAAAACTAATTTGGGCCGCCATCCGTCGCAAACGGACTTGCAGACGCTACCCTGACGTCCTCATCGCGACCATAAGCAACCCGATTCAGACATAGTGTCACAACTTGATACTGTCTCAAACTGGCCTGGTTGTTATTGACCTTGGACAGCAGACCCCTCTATCCACACATACCACGATGACTACTCACGCAACATCCACAGTACGCGTTCCGCGCATAGCAATTGAGTTCTGCACGCAATGTAAATGGAACTTGAGAGCAGCTTACGTGAGTACCCCATGTTTTCGTGAGGACTATCCTGTTTCGATTCTGAGCCTGTTGAACGATTTCCCAGTAAAACATTGGGACCCGGCTTGGATCACATACACGCAGTCTCAGTAAGAGGTAGTGGAAGAATCGTCACTAACAATTGGCGCCTCAGTTTGCCCAAGAACTTCTCCAAACGTTCGGTACCAGCATTGGGGAGATTGCTCTCATACCTGTAACGGGCGGGATCTTTACAGTCACTATGACACATGCTGCAGCTCCCACAGCACCAGATTCAGAATCACCCAGTTCAGTGACAGACACAGTGCTCTGGGACCGCAAAACCGAAAACGGATTTCCCGAGACCAAAGAACTGAAGAATCGTGTCCGAAATATCATTGAGCCTGATCGCGATCTGGGCCATATCGATCGGAGACTGAAGAAGGATAAGGAGGCCCAGGCAGGAAGTGGCGCGGGCGATCCAAGCGTGGCAAAGATGCACGGTGACAGCAACGGTCAGCAAATTGCCGTTGGTGAAGGCAAGGCCAGCGAGCAGAAAGAGTGTGAGGATTGTAAGTGATCGTGCTTGGGTAAAATACGCCACGGATCATCTCGCTGGTACTGATACATACCGAGCGCCACCTCCATGAGCTCGGACTATAGAAAAGCCCTGAATCATTCTCTTGAAGACAAATGGCTGTTACGAGCAGGCGCGCATAGAGATATGCGGCCTCATGACTATAAGACATGTCGCGACTACCACCGGGCCAACGTCCAGCAACAACAGAGGGTATAGCATGAACCTCAGAATTTCATCGAAGCAATGGAGGACCTCCACGATTATAACAACGTCAATGAGTCTCAACATCTCCGGACCCAGGCACGGAGGGCAATGTCTGATGGTTTCCTTCACATTGACAAGCTTGGTCGTTGTCACGAATCAAAGAAATCCTCATCAGCATCAGGGACTGAAGCAAGTCATATATGTTGTATATACATTCATTTCTCGGCCGCCAGCCTTCAATGTATAAATATCGAACGACCGAGACCAATTACCATTTCAGACGAAAACGCACCTTCCATCCTACGACGTGATCGTGCTGTTACACGTCAACCCCGTGACATTCCTAGCATTGACACAGGTCAGACTCGCACTTGCATTCGTAGCCGAGTTGCTCAGATGGACATTGGCGAACGCGATATTCTCACAAGGCGCGGCAGCCGAACAATTCAGCCCGACTCCTACCTTCCCACTCACCGTACCAGACACGTCCGAGAAGCTCAAGTCCTCGAACTCAAGCGTGCTCGTGTCACAGTAATTCGCCTGATCAGCAACCTTGTAATAGCACTTATTGATAAAGACAGCCTGGCTGGTGTTATGCGTCGTCAAACCCTGAAACGTGACGTTAGACACTCGCCCTGTCCCACCACCGCCACCCTGAGGCGGCGTCCCTTCCTCTTTGCCGACCCAGGACTTGAAGTACGCGCCTCCAGCAACCGCAGCACCGCCTGTGCGTGGGTTAACGTCCTGGCTCACGCTGATATTCGTCGCTGTCACATTTGAAATGTAATCCGGTGAATCGACGTACTGGCCAATACTCCCGAAAGCGATCCCACCACCCACGCACGTCATATTGCTGATGAGCATGTTCGTTGTGTTGCCCTTTGGCGCAAGACAATCGTCGCCGCCATGAAACACCCAGTCCTTGATGAGCAGGTGGTCGACCCGCAAGGAATCCAGCCCGTCGATGTTGGTCTCAAAGTTGGATGAATTGCCATAGGGGTCGGTGTTGGTGCCATTGATACAAACGCTAGAGATCTCGACATTGTACGAGTCCTGCACCCAGAACGACCAGAACTGCGGTTGGCGGATCGAGAAGTTCGTTATTACCACATTGGACGCATTGTAGATGGATAGAACTATGGGTCTGCCAAATTGGTTGCTCAACCCGGCTGCGTGGGTCATCCATGCTTGCCCGTTGCCGTCGACGCCGCCTTGCATCCAGCCGCCGCCGTCGATGGTGAAGTTTTGCCCTTCGACGATCCAGGCCGTGGATTGGTTCTGAAACTCGACGCGGAAGGAGTTGTCGATCCAATATGTCTGTACATTTGTTAGAGAGGAACTTCCATCCGAGATCAGAGGCAATGCAGAGATGATGCACGACTTGTGGAGGGAGGCGCCACCTACCAAGTCTGGCGTGAAGGAGAGTGTACCGAAAATCTCGAACCGTGCGTTCTCAAGGTACATGTGCATGCGGTGCGAGACGGTGTAGACATAGGGAGCAGGGAGTGTGATGGTGCCGTTGACGCCGCACTGTTCCACGGCTGCGAGGATCTGGGACGAGTCGTCCTGGCCCCAACCCAGTGGTGTGACCACGCAGTGTGAACCTGTGGGAGTGCTCAACGAGGGGAAAGCAGCTTGTGTAGGAGCCTGCCCGAGATAAGGGTACGAGGCGTTCTTGTGATATGGGAGAGTCGTCTCGGCTGAATAGACGGATGTGGTTGCAGCCTGGGGAAAATATATCGTCGTGGCTGTGAACGTCGAGCTTTGCGAATGTACTCGATCTGCGAAGAAGGCGAGTCCGGCGACTAAAAGCACACTTTTGGACGACACCATGACCAGGTCAGTTTCTGATGCTCGTATGCCTACCTCTCAAATGGAACTCAGCAGTGATTCCTACCTGAAGGCCAAGAGCCATGGAGCTTGTTTGTGCTCAGATTCATCTTTATAAGCTCGCTGGGAGCTATCCGCGGGCATCGAATATTTTCTACCCGCTACAGACAAATGAAGTTGAGGTGGTAAGCCCACGTGGTGTTGTTAATGCTCGCACATCGAAGGTAGCCAAGATCCTCGGTCCGGGGTTGTCTGAACGCCCGAATGTGATAGTGATGGCAACTGCGTGCATACCTGGTATGCAAGGCAACTGCAACCAGGTGGCCGCAGGAGGACGCCTGAACTCCAAAAAAAAATACATAAACTCCAAAACTTCATCTCTTCGACGACTTAATGTCGACTCATCCCAAAAAAACAAAAACAATCGACAGTACGGATTCGCTGGTGGTCACCCACCCAACTACTAACGTACCGGCACATGGCTTAAGTACGGCTGAGCGAACGGGAAGCCCTGTTTTCCATGTCCTGTGGCCGATTGCGAGAACTATTGAGAATTTGAAACATATAAACCATATTTAACGACGGAAAGCTGATGTGAACTCAGACCACCTGAATCGTGGACTGGATATCGAATCTTCTTTTGACTGATGAGCCCAGATATTAGGACTATCTAGACTGAGATCTGGAATACCTCTCAACTCCCGGCTATCTGTCAAGCACTAGCAATGCAGTTTGTGATAAGCCTGGTCGCTTTTGGACAGGTCGACCAGGAAACATGCGGCGGTATGAGCTGCGATGCACACGGACCACCAAGGCTCTGCAAGCTGCTCGCCCGAAGAACGGCATCAAATCGTGATTAAATAGCGTCCTGCACAATGACCAAGACTCATTTGAGATATTTCTTCTTCAGATACTTTACCACACGCTTGTCGCGCGTGATGTATCCGCCGAACGCAAGCCCAACAATCGTTCGCGCTACGGTTGTTGCCTCTGATGCCGAGGGTGCGGAAGGAGATGCAGGAGGTGATGTCTCCGGTGGTGATGTGTCGCGGCCACCCATCTTGAACCCAAGCTCAGGGTAGTTGGCCGTGCTAGGAATTCCTGATTCGACGTCAGGGTTTCGAGATGCCGTTCTGTCTACCTCACGCGCTTCCCTCTCAGCCATTTTCTGCTTCTGCTGCTCATTGGCCTTTGCAAGCCACTCGTCCAGAACTTCTTTGGCAGGGAACATTCTTCTCCGAAATGCGATCCAGATGGGCACAAGAAGACGATGCAGCCGCTCCTCCTCCCTCTTGTCCTCCTTGCTCACCTTCTTCGTCGCCCCCGCCCAGCTTGCCCGGGTCCAACCGGATTTGAAGTCGCTGTTGACGCGGCACCAAGGATGAGCGAAGCGGGACGCGATGAATGTGCGTGTACAATCTCGGTAGGCTTCGCTCGTTCCTGGTTCTAGTACATTGATGATAACCGGCTGTTCGCGGAACGTCTTGAGGTCGAAGAAGAACTCGGCGTGAGATGATTGCGGAATCAACAGCGCGCTGAAGAACCGGGAGTAGCAATTTGGGGATTCGTTGAGAGAAACAATGTACCGATACAGATCGGGATCGATGGTCGGGTCCTCATCCACCTCGAGTTGAGGATGCGGCGATGGGATCCCTGATGACATGATGCTTTGTCTTCGATGATATCGAGGGCCAATAGTCGACAAAAATCACTGTATCTCGCCGTTCCAGCAGTATCGTGCTTCTTGCTACGCTTCTGAGCTGATAGATATGGTTGCCACGTCGTGATCATCCAGATCCAGGATGAGCATTCAGTGTGAGCTACACAAGTGTGGACTTGCTTAAGGATGTTTGATGGTCTTCTGCCGGCCTATCTGTCCCGTGACTGAATGACATATACACACCAGGACAAGGTCGAAAGCCGCATGTGTTGAAGTCCTTCGGGGCAAGGCTCCGGGTCAGCCTCGTTACGTGGCTGTTGGCTTGACCACCCTTTCAGTCATCACAAGCTTTCGATACCTAAGTGTATTTCATGGCGCCGAGCTTTTTGAACCATGCCAAATCTACAGTCACGGTCTGCTTTTCATGGCGGGGTCCCGCTCTATGACTTTGTTGGGTTCACTGAATATGAGACTGCAACAGCACTGCAACTTACTGGAGGTTCTGCACTTGGCGGCTAGGAAAAACAGGCTTGGCATCCGCGAGACGAGATTGGTGCGTGGTCCACAGCCAAAACAACAGGAAGGTACGTTATCAACCACCTCGTTACCAAGTTGCCGACATGAAGGCAGACCATATCGGCTTGAGCCACAGTCAAGAGGTTGCAACAGCTACATGGGACAGTTGTTTGCAACTCGCTCCGAACTACCTCTAATATACGGGATACACGACCCCAACATGCATGTCGTACTTTCTGCACGATCAGCACATCTGATACACGATGGAGACACCTCAGATCCCGTCAATCTGATTGACTCGCATAGTTGGCTGTTTGATGAACATCACAAGGATGCCTCGTTTACGACTTATTTAGACTTCATCTTATGTAGCTGTCATGCTCCAGGCTACGCGTCGCTACGCGTCTCCAAAACTCAGGAGAAAATGCGGTGAGGGCACAGGAGCTGTCATGTGAGGTGCAACGAGATCAGATGGTCAACCGAGGGCACTCGGCTCGCTGTCAACCCTGAAACGAAGTCCTAAGTCTCTCCGCTATGGGAGCTGTGAGCGAAAGTGTCACCTGGAACTCTTTTAAAGATGACTTTCAGTAACGTCAAAAGATGCCATATGGGATACCGATAGCAATAATGTCTGTGCTCTGGGTAATCCGGTTCCATGGTAGCATCCATGGTCAGAGCGCAGAAACGCCAGTGCTTCTTTGCCAGTCCCCTGCAGAGACAGCGTGCAGTGACCTTTTGCCTGGCTTTACGGAGCTTGTTGGTCCACGAAATGTCTGCTCATGTTGCTGAATGTGGCAAGTCCTCATTCCCAAAATGGCCAACCGCCGCTGTACTCTGGTATGCACCTTGTCCGCCACTGAGCCGTGAATCAGCTGCGCCAGGACGCGGGAGTGCTCGCCCTGGTTGAGCACCTCAATTACGAAGTGCCACTCGCTGCATCTGACTGCAGCATGACTCGTAAAACCTGACCGTCGAGGCTGTTGGTCAAGGAATCAATAACACCTCCGGGAGGTGAAATAATATTATCACACATAATCGTGGTTCATAATTCCGCGGTCAAAGCGTGGGGGAAGACTGAAGTTGCTTTCGAGAGCGGTGCATTAGCCCTGCACGTTTGCCTCGACTGCTATTGGCTTCTCGAAAATGCCTCATACAAAAGTTCGAGCTATTATGGGGCTGGACCACCTTTCGACCGTCGCTTCTTCACACCTCCATTCATGCTCTTTTTCTGCAAAGCCCAAAGTCCAGAACCCACCGCAACTAGCCATACACTGGTTGGTGCTTTCGGACGCACGAACGGAGCAAAGAGGAGAGCCATCCTTGGACCTTAATATTCACGTAGCGGCTTGTAGCATATGGAATGCCTCGAAAAGCATGCTGCTGCTGCTTGTGCCACTGCCGCAGCATTGATTGTGTCAAAGCGTCGGCTCTGGCCATTTCGTCCCGAACGTGTCACCTTCACTTGCGTTCTAGAAGCAGCATCTTGCTCCCGTCATGTGGAACGATTGACAATCTTCATGCTCTCAAGTTGAATATGCATTTCAGCTCAACTCATCAATGTCAAACACGGGGTCGTTGTGGGTTCTCTGGTTGTCGTTGTGGAGAGCTACTACTATGCATGGCCACCCCTTGGCCGCATCTCGCGATAGTGGATGCATATTGGAGCTTGTATGCTCGGCAAAGCAGCTGCAATGATCTTGTTCGAATCAACATGCATGCATCGTGCAGAACATACGGCAAGTGAAAGGTCACCAGGTCCAGCCCATACCTCCATGGAGATGGCGCTGTCAGGATTTCCATGTCACCACCATCTCATCGATCAAAGCATCTTGATCTCGTATACGGCCTGTAAGCTCGTGCCGCACGGCCCGCCGAGTGACATTCTGTAAGATGGGTGAGATGAGATGGAAAGATCATGACAACACTCATCGAGGCAGCATCGTTCGTGTAGGTGCTGGTCAGAACCTTGTACGGGCATTACTCGGAGTGTCGATATGTAGTGGTCGACGTCATCTCCGCTGACCTGACCGGACTTCTTGAAGCACTGCAAAGCCTGTAGAGAAGAGAACCACCTGAATCAGGTGTAATGCAGGGCACTACCATGAATGACGCGCGTTTGATCAAAGACGGGGGTGCGTTGTTACTGGAGTGTACCAATAATGAATCAGGTACCAAGGAACAGACTATATGGCCGAATTACGTTGATCTTGTGTAACGCCCAAAATATGGCAGCATCGTTGAGGTTCAAGCCTCTAAGTTAACGTTAATAGCCACTACGCTACCAGGGCATGGCGGTCAATTTAGCGTAACTACTTTTACAATCCATTCGCCGGTTCAAGACGCGACTCACATTCGAGTCGGGAGCGAACGGACACTAACAGAAAGCATGCTATGGTAAGACAGAGTCGTTCGACAGACACCATTCTTTACGGCAGGTCTGAGAGCAATATCCAGGCTTGACACGGCAGATACAACGGAGCATAGATGCTGCAGGCCGGAGCTCCGGCGGTTCGATTCGCTGAATAGGTACGCCAGGAATGAACTTGGAGTTCAAAGCTCGTGTTACAGCGGATTGAACCGGCGCAGGATGCCATGCGACTGGCGTGGTTGAGGTCATCTGTCCGATTATATTGCGTCAACAGGCCGGTGCGCCATCGAAAGCCTGGGTGAAGGGCTTCCTGATATGTACTGGTGTACGGGCCACAGAAATGTGTCGACTTGATCTTTCTATTGGTCGGATGCCATGTGTCTGCCAATAGAGATCTCTTCGTTGTCAGAGAGTTGTCATTGTGTGATTCCATGGTGATGGCGCAAGAAAACCCTGATCTGCAACGAAAACAAGAAATACTGCCAGGTACAGGCCGCTATACACGGTCACTATTGTCTGAAACGTGGTTTTGATTTTGTTTTGATGGATCGACCATCGGCCTGTATCCGGTGTACAAAGAAGTGAGATTAGCACAACAAAGAGAGACAATGGTGGCTATCATTGTCTATCGTGGACAAAGCTGACCACCCAAGGCTTCAAGCGCTCGTCGTCTGTTATGCAGTGTACTGTATGGAGACTTCAAGCGTACCTAGACAATACCTGCCATTTTATCTCATGTCAGAAGTTGAATTTGGGCACGCTCTCTAATTTCCTAGAATGCTTTTTCAGCGATTGGCAGGTCATGCACGTCTGTGGATGCAATTTCAACCACTCTTTATGTGATGGAGACGGCAGAATAGTGAGTGAGTGAGCGAGTGGGCTCTTGGAGGCAAAAGGCAAAGAGTAATGGATATTTGCTGGGTTGGCCTTGCAGGCGAGAAAAGCGACTAGTCTAGGGACGCCTCTGACGCACTGGGGAGGATTTTATCGGTAGTGGTACCAAAGCCAGTCTAGACAACGATTGGAATGCTCTCCAGGTAGGTACGGGATACTTCTGTAACCAGGACGATTCCTCATGCCCGTATGGTATTGCACAGTACAGTAATTGAGTCCTCCTTGTCGCAGTGGAGGCTGCGCTGCACAAAGAGGAAACCAAAAGGTAACATGGATACCTGTATGAGATCAGTCCGTCCAACCATGCCAGGGAAATCAAGTACCAAAAAAAGCCTATTAGGTAGAGCCAGTACCTGGAATACTCGCACCCAGGCGGAGGGCGCAGTCATGAAAAAAAAAACTTGCACCCCCAAAGTAACCCTAACAAATCGATCAACCGAGCCCTGGAAGCGAAAGCGCAGTCACTCCAAAAAGTCAAGAGCCGATTCCCGTTAGGCCCTTAGGGCGTCTTGCTCACAAATCTCCAACTGCAAGCACCAAGTCATTTTCTTTCGCGGCGCCTGCCCGCATTCTCATTTTCCCTCATCAAAACAGCCCACCACACAAATCACTTTACTTCCCGATCTATCCTCTCTTCTCTCCAACCCTACCACTTTCGCCATCCTTCTTTCCGTCCTCTTCCTACTCTTCCTCGATCTCTATCACCTTCTCTCCTCTTCATTCATGACGCTCGCGTAAGCAGTCACCTGCTCGATTTCATATTCTCGCAGTGCGAGAAACTGTCGACCAGACGATTTCCCTGCGCCTCACGGCTACCGAGCAACTTCGCTGTCCGGCCGTCGCACACTGCGCAACACAACGCCACCATACGCGCCAGACTTCCTACAACACACAACGACCATCCTCTTGACGCTCCTCACTACTTTCCTTCCCTCTCTACGATTTCGTCGGTGTGTCGTTGTATTTCCTCCAACATAAACAAGATGTCGAGATCCAATTTATAACACGGGCGGTCCTCCGGGCCAAAAACCAATACCTAGACACCTAAGTCCTGGTTGGCTTTACATATTTTTCTGCCCTCTTGTCTAAGATTCATCTCGGACTACCTCGAGGGTTTCTTTCCATAAATCCATACATTCTACACATCCAGTGTTGCCTGGTTCGGACCGGCTCCAGATGGCACATCATCAAAAACACCAAACAGATCCTCGAAGAGGTTCCGCGATGCAGAGTTTACTCAAGATGCTGAATCTTTCAACAGCTCCCACTGTGGCTGTCGCAGAGGACGAGGTCAGTGCGGAAGCAGACGAACCTCCAGACGATCGAGTCACACCGCTTATCACGGAACTTCGGGACAAAGCGTATAGCAGAGCAATTGCTCCTGCATACCCGCGCCGCGAGTCTTTGTTGACTCGTGCAATTGTCGATATGAAGCATGACGAATTCTCGCCGACTTCTACGACTGATCATCGTGGTCTCTCTACCACCTCCTCCCGCAGCACGGCCAGTATGGCTTCGACTGCTGAATTGACCAGCGACGGCGATCTCACCAGTCATTCACGGTCTACCACGCCGAGCCCACCTCCTCCTCCAGGCCGATTCACTCATCTTTTGAATCTGAAGAAACCTTCTCCACCTCCCAAGGTGTTGATTGCACCAGTCACGAAGGACGACAAGCCAAGTGTTGCTGTTATTGGTGAAGCCGCGGTGGAGAAGTCACTCGGTCGCAAACGCTGCATCATGTTCGCTTGTGGAGGTACAGACACCGAAAAGAGCAAGGACGACATCTCTTCAAAGGAGCCGGTGGTCCAAGCAGAAGTACCAAAGCGGAAATGCATGCTCACCTTTGCTTGCCCGTCAAGAGCTCCATCAACCGAGACCAAGACAGACTCCGCCAAGCTCCATGTCGAGCAAAAGCCTGCCGCCCGCCGTGCGTCTCCTGCTCCTTCATCAAGACGCAAACCCTCTGTCGACCTGTCTGGTCGATCAGCCGAGACTGCGAAGCCGGCGCCTTCTGATCGTACCAGACCAGGCCTATTATCGCCCAAGCCTACCTTTCACGAGTTTGGTAGTTCTCACGACGAGACAGATGCCTGGATTGACAAACCAAGCGAGCATCAAAAGAAGCTGACCCTCGACGATTGCATGAAAAAGGAAAACCAAATCCGCCAGATTGGAGAAGAAGCCGAAGAAGAAGCTGAGGAGGAGGAGCGTGAGCAAGAAGAGTTCGAGGAAGAACTCGATGATAATGACAATAATGTTGACGACTTTGCTCCTTCTGATGAAGGCTCCGATGCTGGCAACGAGTCGGACGACGAAGGTGGTTTTGCCGACTCGGACGACGAAAGCGATGCAGGCTCGGATTATCAGTTTTGGGCCCCTTCGAGGACGACTACTCGAGCTACTAGCGTCGAGCATGTCAGCATCAGTCATTTCAGCTCACGCCGGCAATCGGATGCCAGCTCAGTCGAGTCTCGTTCAGGAAGCCCACCGATTCACCCCATGCATCCTATGAGAAGACAATTCGGTAAAGGCCGTGATTCTGCGTCGAAAGTGCCAAGGGTGATGAGACCAGGAACGCCAGAATTGCCGGACAGCACAGACTTTGTCTGCGGCACCCTCGACGAAGATCGCCCACTAGAAGCAGCCTATATCTCTTGTCGTGAACAGAGGAAGCGGGAAAAGCACGTTCCAATCCCGCAGGACATCGATCCTAGCTTTCCCACCACTGATCCGGATGAAGAAGAGGATGAGGATGAGGACGAGATCGTCGACGAATCGCAGCACAGCTCTGATGGACCACGCTGGATGAAGCACCAATTTGGTTTCGAGGACGATGACCGTGGACGACGCAAGTCGCCACCCGTTTCACCTCTGGGTCGATCTCCGGCGCCTATCGTTCGTCCGGCCTTCCCCGCAAGAGGCGATCATCGCCGTGCACCTCTTCGGTCTCCTCCCCCAAAGCATATGGCAGCTCGCTCCCCACCACCACGGAAACTCTTCGGACACTCCCCAACAAGGATGAGGTCTCCACCTCCACCTGCCCGATTACGATCCCCTCGTGGTTCACCCACTGGTGCCAGGACCCCAATCCAAAAGGTCAACATGAGAGGTCTTGCTCAACGTCCAACCATGGAGCGTACCGCGTCTCTTCCAGATACGCCCAATCCTTTCTTCAAAAACTTCAATGTTGGAAGTCCCTCCATCTCCAACATTGCTTCCGGAGCCGTTACCCCTGCTGTCGAGGAACCTCCGCGTGCTGATTATCACGTCCGCGGCCCTGTTGACATTGTCATCGGCCTCGAAAAGAAACGGCAGAAAAGAAAGGAGAAATACTGGCGTCAACATTGCCGCAAAGTCGCAAAAGAGCAAGCGGAGCGGAAAGTAGCCCGCGGTCGCGGTGCCGAAAGGATGAAGGAGCTTGGCCTCGAGTGTGCTGAGCGACTTAGGGGGTATGGCGTTGGTCAACAGACACAGTTGGTGATTTCATTGTGATCTTGGAGTCACCACTGCTCTACATGTGTGAGCCGTGTCTCTCACCCTACGCTATTTGCGTACTATTTCTGTTACGCTGGGCGCACAAGTCTTGAGTGTACTTTTGCACTCTGAGACGTGATGAACTTTCTTTACACATTGGACCTTGCAAGTGCAGAGCCGTGGCATTGGTCTGCTACTATATGCGTGGGAGCAGGCATTTTTCTTTAGCATAGCTGGGGCGTCTCTTGGAGACATCGGCATCTGTAAATACATGACCATCAGCATGGTCCTGAGATACAGCGCGTCTCTCGAGGAAAGACTCGATCGATGAGCCTGTAATGAACAAACTACACAAAATCAATGATGGCTTCCTCAATCTAGTCGTGCATACTGGTAATAGTCGCTACTTATCGACCCATGGAGCCTGTTTCCAGACAAAGTGGCGTTGTCTGACTCCTGGTGCTCGTGAGGTATAGATAGGTATCATTCCAAATTGTCATCCCGGAGTCCTTCACCTACAAGAGTATAGCTTCAGCTTCTGACTGGGTTGAAGACCATCAGCTCTATGGTACAGCGCTTCTTTCTTGCTGTCCAGGCACCCACTGTGGTGAACCTGCTTGACTTTGAACTTATGTCGTCGATGTACGCCCTGTCAGACGGTGCCACCTTTTCTGGTAACAGCCTCGGAAGGTAGACAATCACGTGATCGTAATGCCACTTGGCGCAGGTCACTCTTGCTACGGAATTTCGTTCCTCACGAGGTGCCAATCCGTGATAACGAGCCAGCTTGTCCGCTTGCTGTAACAGACGACGTGACTCTTGAGAGAACACACATACCTCTGCTTCTCTTGTTTCAACATCTAGAGCCCGCTTTACTTTTGTACACGCCGTTGCCTGTCGACGCCACCGCAGCCCATACAGACCGCAATCATGTGGATCGTCAACTGGTGTAAGTGATCGCTGGACACTGCTACGGGGTCATACCTGGGTGATAGAACGCTGATCTGATCTGAGTACAGTCTACGATATCCTTGCATCGCTCGGCCTCCTCAATAAACATGCCAAACTATTGTTCCTCGGGTTGGACAACGCAGGAAAGACGACGTTATTACACATGCTGAAGGTACGGAATATGGGCTAGACACTGAAAGCACTGAAGCGGTCGAAGAGAGCGCGTTAAGAGACATTCAACAGCTGACGCTGGCCCTTCTCACAGAATGACCGAGTTGCGATCCTCCAACCAACCTTACATCCAAGTATGTGCATATTTCCCAACATCATTCTACAGACAGTTCTAACATGTGTACAGCCTCCGAAGAACTAGCCATCGGCAACAATCGGTTTACCACATTCGACCTTGGAGGTCATCAGCAAGGTGAGACTTCTTCCAACGCACGACCTGTCACTTCCCGAGGGCTAACCACTTATCTACCCTGGACGCAGCTCGCCGACTCTGGCGTGACTATTTCCCTGAAGTCTCTGGAATCGTCTTCCTCGTCGACGCCAAAGACCACGAACGTCTGCCCGAAGCCAAAGCGGAACTCGACGCCCTTTTGTCGATGGAAGATCTCGCCAAGACACCTTTCTTGATACTTGGAAACAAGATCGATCACCCAGACGCCGTGTCTGAGGATGAGTTGAGACACCAATTGGGGCTGTATCAGACAACAGGGAAGGGAAAGGTGCCACTCGAAGGCATCCGTCCGATCGAGGTGTTCATGTGCAGTGTGGTCATGAGGCAGGGTAAGTCCATAGTGCTGCCACAGATCCTTCCGATTGTGGAATAGACTGCTAACTCGGGATGTGTCTGCCAGGTTACGGAGAGGGTATCAGGTGGTTGGCGCAGTATGTGTAAAAGCCAGGAGACACAGATGGGCATGTTGGCCTCCTCGAACGCAAAATGATGGGATTGTGACGAGAATGCGACATACGTCGGGCAAGCACTGGACACTCAACACCTCATTGTTGAGCTGCTACTGAAGTACCATCTCGTTTGCGAGCGATGTTCCAAGATGGTCTTGCTACAGTCCTGCAGAATCAGCACGTCAAGAACAATGCCATACGAAATTCATTGAATACAGACCAAGAAGTGACACCCTTTGCCTCCGGTGGACCTCACGTGCTCCCAGTCGGTACTAATACCGACGATTACCTAGCTGTCCTTCGTGTGCTTTACTCATGAACTCACTGTCTGGGCCAGCACCACTTGTCCTTGACCCTTGACTCTCAACAGAGCCTCTCCCAAGCTTCTATGTCTTCCCCATGTCATCTCCCGGTGATCTCCTACCCCTTCTCTCGGGCATCAAAGTCGTGCACAACAGCAAATGGCAAACCCTTCCTCCGGCCATCATGTTCTTGAAAGCACCTCACGTACGCATCGTCAGACACGCTGTGCCGGCAACCTTGAGCTTCACACCCATTTCAGCTCTTGGCGAGAGCGTCCTACCATATTGCACCGATACGAGGATGGTCAGCTGCTAGACGTGGACCGTCGCTGTAGCATGGGCATGGATACATGATGGTCGGACACATGGTGACGAAGCTTATGCAGGCCGCGTAGGGCGTATCAACTCAGTCTGCATCTCGGGGCAAGGCTACGTAGGTACGAGGCTGGTCACCCAATCCGACAAAGCATGGATGATCAGTATGCATAAAAGCAGTTTCTACTAACCCTGACAAGCAACATACTCGTATCCCGCTAGTGTTGATGGTCGCATACGTCGCATCGTCAAGGACTTCGTCGGCCATGCGTTCATCAAGCATTTCAAGCATAAACAAGGAAAAAACCAATCTTGCATGTTACAGGAGAAGGCGAGACTTTGTGCAATGCACCTGGCCACGTCTCTGACTCTTTCGTTGTTCGCACACACAGCAATAACACAGCGAAAAAAAGAGTTAACGTGGATTAATTCGTCATGGTCAAAAAGCATTACCACGCTCCTTTCCCTCAGCCCTGGTTTGTCAAAGTAGTCCTGTCACCCATGGCTCGTAGACGTCCAACAAGCGACAAAGAATCCACCTTTTTCTCCATGGACTCGACTCGTTCTCGTCGCCTCGGACGTATATGTGATTGGCAGGTATTCGGGGTTTACTGTCTGTCGGCGCGGGATCGGCTTCGCCGAAAGATGGTCGTAACCAGCGGAAAGGAATCGTCAACGTATGAATGCAACATGGGGGCTAGATTGTGCGCATTCGGTAGAGGTCCAGAGTTCGAGGTCCGAGACGGGCTGGTGAGATTGGAGGGAGCCAATCGCCCGAAACGTCGACAGTGGGCTGCGTTTTCGACTCGATGGGTGAAGTTGACCCTATCTTCTTCCAAACCTGCTATCACGATATCGAATCAGCCCGAGTCGGGAGACTAAGTTTTGGACTTGCGAGGCGGAGTAGTGGGCCTGCTTGAGCTCTTTGAGCCATACACATACTTTTGTTTCTTCTCGGCTGGTTTGAGGATCTGGTACAAGTTAGTGACAGTGAAGCGCAAAACTCGAGGACCATCCATACCTGGAATGAGCACAGGAGACTCTCGTCGACGCTCATCATGGCTCCAGCATTATCAAATTCGCCGCAGTAGTTAGGAGCACTGAACAAAGTCACGAGTTGTCGTTTGGAGAAGAACTCGTAGCCGTCTTCCACTACTTGATGGGCACGGCAGATGAGGTCCATGTCATGCTTTTGTAGAAATCTCGAGACAACATCTGGTCCGAATGTGAAGGAAACACCGCGATCGTTCTCGCTCCACCCAGTGATATCTTTGTCTGGATCGGACCAGAGCAAATCGCAGAGTAGACCGCAGTCAGGAATCTTCCAACTGTCAGTATATCCATCCCAAATAATGGCATGGAGGACAGCAGTCTTGTTGTTCATGTCTGTATCACGTGGGGAGGAGACAGTCAACTTACATCTGTTGGGCGCATGACGCGGCGAATCTGCTCCATTGAGTTCAAGTCGGGACTCAATCCTCCATGCATCGTGAAGATTTTCTCGTCAATAATTGCAGCGATAGGCAAGCAGTTGAAGCAGTCCGTAAATGTCTTCCAAAGCTTGATGTTGTATCGTCTCTTGCATTCATCGTAAAATCCGTAGATTCGATTGATCGAGGCACATTCATGATTTCCTCGCAGAACGAAGAAGTTTTCAGGATACTTGATCTTGTACGCCAGGAGCAAGCAGATTGTCTCCAGAGACTGCTTGCCTCGGTCCACGTAGTCGCCGAGAAAGAGATAGTTGGCTTCGGGTGGGAAACCGCCGTACTCGAACAACCGCAGAAGGTCGTAATATTGGCCGTGAATATCGCCACAAATCTATCAGAAATAATCAGTCCCTCGCGGATTCCATGGTGTTGACCTTGTATCGGTTTTCCCATACCTTGATTGGGGCTTCTAGCTCGAGCAGTATGGGCTGCGAGATGAAAATCTCCCGTGCTTTTGTACACAAGTAACGAATCTCAGATTCGAGAAGCTGCACTTGTTTTCCAGGTCTGCTTCCTCTGACCTCTAGTAGTCGGTCAATGACAGAGTCCAGATCCACCTCATGCTGGTCAGCCATGGTGGACTCGCCTGAGGCGGGGCAGGGGGGAAAGGAGGAGGGCGCCGACCAGATGCGGTCGTGGAGGACGATAGACGAGGGATCGATGTAGGCAAGGACTTTGCGAGAAAGAAAGCAGTATTCTGAGGGCGATTATGGTCAGTTTGAGATGAAAACTTTGCGGTGGAGGGGAAGCTGACGCAAGTCACAGGCTTGTTCAGGATCAAAACGTACCAAATGCGGGTTCCTTTCTTTGATAACAGCCTGTCCACGGCTCAGCGACAAGGTCCTAACTAGACTCCAGGCTGTATGGTGCTTCTTTGCGCGAGGCGAAGACTTGGAATGCTGGAGAGGATTGTTATCGCGTCGGGAGTTTGTGGAACAACAGGCTGAGGAGAATCTGTCTCGATGCGGGACGACTGGATCGGCGGCAAGAGCAACTCTTCTCTTCTCTAGCAGTCAGCCGGTGAGTGATCAATGGTGTGTATGAATTGTAGAGTGATAGGTTGTTTGCAGATAACTTCCAGTTACGGGTTATCGTGGAATTGGATCCGTAAAGCAGTTGGAAATGCGGGATGGGATGGCGATTTGCTATTTTCAATCCTGGCAGGCGGTGTTGGTCTTGGCAGCTGGGAGAAACAACGAAGGAGGAGAGCAAAAGGCGTCAATTCAGAGGACAAAGACCACCTACAACTACTCCTCTCCTATCACTATTAAATCACAGACATCCTATCCCTATCCATATCTCATTGTTATTGTCCCTGATGATTCTTACTTTCTTTCGCAATTGCTACATCATGTCTCGTCTTATGTTATACAAGGCTGTGTGAGTAGTACTCGTACAGAGGTCACTTTGTTGAGTCAGCAGCAAATAAGCCGTCGTGTTCACTCCTTCTTCTGTCGGAAACCACATCAGCTAATGTGAGACTTTTGTGAAGCCTGGAAGAAGCGGAACAAGGGCTGATGTTGTGGCGACGTGGGCGACGGATGAGCGTCCCCCAGCAGCCACAGGAATGTGGACTGATCGAGCTTTCCACTAGGTAAATCTAGCGCCATGGCCTTGAAGCCTATGCGTGCCCTGCCCGTCAGTTTTTGGTCTCCTTTGTCGACCTCGCCAGGGATCCTTTTCATTTGCTTGAACCAACTCTCGGTCAGGCCCAAGCTAAGTACTCAGTTTACTGATTTTCTGTGCAATGTTCCGATAGTCTATCGCCCATGGTCAGCTCCGGAACGGAAACCTCTTCGACAATCATATTCAGCAGCCCCCTGACTCAAAACCTCCTCCGATGAAGCTATGTCCTAAACTCTGTTTCTACGAGAAGCTGGTCCGCGTGTCCGCCCATGCACCGGTGGAGCAGCGGAAAGCCCAGCAGTGTCAATCGGGCCAATAAATGTATCAAGGGGAGAATCATGTTTTTCATATCTATCCGCCAGCATATAAAACGATCCGCAGGAGGAGTATTTGCACCTCATCCACAGTTGCCATACGTCGTGCTCATCAAGCAATAATGCAACGAGCTTGTACCCATTTCCAGATCATTCCAGAGCCTGAGCACCATCGCTATGCACAATCACAAATATACTGCCACAATCCAAACCCAAAAGCAGACATCGTATTCATCGCTCAAATAGCATGCCGACGGCGTCCTGCAAGATCGACAGCAAAGAATGGGTATAAAGAGTTGCGGTCATGAACAAGCCATTGCCCATCAGAAAAACAAACGACCTCTAGAAATCGACAACGCAACTCAACATGATGCAAGTGCAAAACGCAACACAGAAAACATCCTTTGCTTGCCGAACTCAGCCCAAAGTTCGCCCACCACTGACAATAACTGGTTGACCAGAACGATGTAAGGAATGACGTCCCAAGTCCTGTCCCTGTGTCAACTCCATGTGATGGCTGTTGTGCCAATTCTGGTCTCCCAGGACACTGAGCCAATTACTTCCAAACTCTTGTCGCAAAGCTTCGACTTTGGCTCGGTAGTCATCCTCCTGGGCCGCTTGGTCACTGGAATCGACGGACGCGGCTTGGGTGGAGCCATCATACAAATCATCCTCCTGGCTTGAACCCAGATTCGATGCTGGTACAGGCGATCGGTCTTCCACTGGCATTGTTTGCTGATCCATCGAATTGGACTCCAATGGAATGGTGGCCGCAATGTCCTCGTCCGGAACACGGCCAAAAGTTTGTTCCTTGGCCAAATCAACGATGCGTCTGCGGGCGGCCCTTTTGCGGCGCGTCGTGGTCACGAGGTCTTCACCCTGCTGGGATGGATCCGATTCGGATGGCTCGGTCTGCTGCACAATGACCGGAGACTCGACAATGCGAATTGAAGGTGGGGCCATCCGGGTTTCGACTTCGGGAACTCGATCGATCAGCTGCTTGCGCTCGGTAAAGCCAGGCCCGGCTTCATCGATGATCACATCGTCAACGTAGCCTGGAGTCTTCCTGAACAGGTTGAAGGTGAGTACACGATAGTCAGACGAAGTCTTCGTAAATGGGTTGCGCTTGACCCAGATGCGCTTCAAGTTTGGAATACAGGTGAGCCTTGCCATCTCCATGGGATCGGAAAGCTGGTTGTCCTGGATGTTGAGTTGTTCCAGAGAGAGGAGCTTCTCAACGCCTGCGAGTGACCGCAGCCGGTTTGCTTTCAGATTAACTGTGAGGACAGCTGGGAGAGGAAACTTCGAAAGTGACTGCAGAGAAGCAATCATACAATTCGACAGGTCAAGGGATACAAGTCGGGTCAAAGACGCAAGGCTGTCCGGGATCTCGGTGAAAAGATTCGACGACAGATTAAGAGATCGCAGTGTAGTTGCGACTGGAGCCAGACTCTTGGCCGATATCGTGGTAAGTGAGTTGTCAGCCAGCGACAGATATTTCAGCCTCTGCCACTTGGTCGAGGGTAGTATATTCAAGCTGAGTAAACTGGAAGAACTGTCACTACGATGTGGCTGGATCGCATAGTCACTCGAATTCGAACTGCCAGAGCCCGACCTTTTGGGTTTGGAAGAATGGGAGCGTACGTGCTTATATGAGCTCGTAGGGCGAGACGGTGTAGGCCTTTTCGGCGAAACGCTACCGGAAACGTACTTGTCTTTGGGCAGGAAGTCCTCGTGGTCCAGGCTTCCTTCGGCTGGAGAGCCTGGGTCAGAATGTGACTGCGTATAACCAGCACGTGGAGTGGAGGGGACAGTCCACGATCCCGTTAACGTGGGTGAGCCACGTGCACCTTTGGTTGTCCGTCTTCGCCTCTTTTCGGCGTCATCGAGGATGATATTGGTGAGTAATTCTGCAGGATCGTCCAGGTTGGCTCGTTTGACTGTGAGCAGGGTGAGCTGCTCCGCTAGTCTGTCCCAGCCATAGAACTGACGAAAGTCAATATCCACGATATCCAGCTGTTGGAGGTTTTTGAAAGCGAATAGTGGCACGGCGGTATCAAACGGAAACTCCTCGTATCCTTGTATGAGCCTGGCTCGATGATCGGCCGTCAGTCTTAGCGACGGTAATTTGGTGAAAGCAGAGTAGAGGTAGGTCAAGTCGGCCTCAGTGAGTGCCTTTGCCTTTTCGGTTTTTGAAGTGCCGCCTCCAAGACCAATGGTCGACCAAAAGCTACTCATCCCTGACATTACACTGCGCATGCTGGAGACGGAGTGAATGGAGTCTTTATCGCTACGCCCCTTGGCTGGTTTATGTGACTGGAGGAAGGACACATAATTTGCGGGTGACGGGTCGGTATTAAGGTTCTCCAGGCGAATGCTCATCGGCCCAACGGTTATGTCCAGCTCTTCCATTCGGGAAAGGAGGTAGAATAGGTGGTGAGGGGTCAGTGTCAGGAGGGCGGCTTTTGCAGCATGCGACCTGAAATGCAGACCTGCGAGAGAAAATGCTGCAGCCAACGCGCTGGAGGACGTGTTCGTGCTAGATGTTGTGATCCCAGAGGTTACGGCGGTAGGGCTCGTAGATTTGAGATTTAATGAAGACTGTCGTCTGTGCACAGACAGCTGCAAACTGTTTGCGAGTGCCTTCTCATGCTGGCGGATGAACTGCGCCAAAGACTGTAAAACATCGTTTCAAGTCAGTGAATGTTCTTGAGCGCCAATGCTCCCAAATGACACGCCCGTGCATAGTACCTCCCTCTTTCACCTGAAGGTTGTCGGGCGATGTTATGTGCGCAGGAGTACTCACGCGAATAAAGTGATGTCCATCCTCAGTCTGCAAATGGTCCATCTCTTGCTTGAGCGAACCTCCGCACGGGGCGAGGTGCCACGGACAAGCCAACAAGGCTATCAGGTATCGAGTCTAGGGCAAAGGAGCGTGGAGGATCGATTGGCGCGATCCGGAGGCTGTTGTAGAAGTTAGCCACCGCTTGAGCCTCCAGCCCAGAGGCATTGAGACATACCAATCCTGTTTCGAGGGATCATCGTGGCATTTGGATGGAAAAAGCTGCCTGCGGTGCAAGGCTCAACGTGATCAGGCTGAGTATAATGCCTCGTGCCGAAAGCGCGTGTGATGATGCAGGATGTCTTTTTTGTTTTGGACGATCCACGACCGGTGAGACAACAATTAAGCCCGGGAGATTAAGTAAATGTTGTGTATATGGAGATCAGGCCCGATGCGTCGCCAGCTGCCGTGTAAGCAATGAAGGCTGCGTGACTTCAATGGGCGGCAGAGTGACTGTCAGCACTGAGGTGAGCCGTAGACACCTGTGGCTGCAGGTTGGGGGAAGGTGGTGTGTATATCTGTGAGAATAGCAACAACGGAGACGGGATGGAGGGGTGAGAGTCGAGGCAGCAAAACAGCAAGACAGCGTTGTATTAGCCTGGCGGGATGGAGCGTGCAAAGTTTTGCTACAGACTATCAAGTTAGATTGGCCTTTTGGCTTTTGGGGGTGGAGGACGTCGTAGGCGCAGGCCAGCGGGAAGCATATCAACAACCACCGCTCGGGGAAAAAAACTTTCCATCGATTCCTCTCCCATGGCATGATATGCGCAACAAGGGTTTCCACGCCACATACTAAGTCTTTATCTATCCACTATACTGTTTATCTTCGCCAGAGATTGCAGTGATACGCTGCTACTAACGGTCATAACTAACCTACCCAGAGAGGTTGGTGCCGAATAGATGATGAGTTTCAAGCAGCATGGAGCTTCGATCAACACCTGACAACGTCTTTGTCGACGCGATAATGCTCAGCTTCAAGCATATTGGCCTTCCTTCCAGGCCATACCTCCCTCCCGCCCGATATCCGATGCTTTACACCCTCTTCTCTCTTCTGACACCTTGTGCACACCATTTTCTCTTATCAAGAAGCGTCCAAAAGTCATTGATTCGATGAATGACCCATTCAGCTCACCATCGCCATGTCCACGCGCTTTTTATTTAACGAGGCTAAACGAGCCGTACATGTCCGCGCGGACTGGCTCGGCCCTCGCTGACTGGCCCAGGATATCATCAGATCATGCTGTTATTCTGACATCAAAGCCCTGCAGTCTCAATTTCTATATACCATCAGCAGACGCGCTTCCTTCATTGCCCCTCCTGCCCCTCTTCAAGCGAAAATAGTGCGGGCCTGCAACACATCATGGTAGGTGCTTCAAATGAGCACTGGTTCGAGTCGTCGAACCTAAACTTTCTGATTATCATGCCTAGCGCCTTGCGTAAGGAGCAAGGGTAAGTGGTTTTCATGCATGTCAAGTCTGACCCACGCTATCGTCACAAAAATGTATCCAATGAATGCGCCCTCCGCCCCAGTGTGGTCATCTTGCATACAGCAATCGCAGGCGCTTTCGAGGTCAGGATCCTTGGACGAACTTACGCACCCTGACCGAATGTTGTTCCATCCAGTTCTCAATCTCAAGCAGCCGAGTGATTGGGCATGTGGTGATCTTGAAGTTCGTGGTCATGCAACCTGCCAACTACACGAACCCCATATTCTACCTGTTCACTTACGTGGTCCCGACTTCATGCCTGAAGCAGTGAAGAATTTACCGCACAATCTTCGTTCGTCTGTAGTGGCGCATTATTGCTATGCAGCTAAATGCATGCATGTGTCCATTGTCAGAGACTCTCCTAAGCCCAGTTGCCACCTCCCAATGCTGTGTTCGCCTTTGACATTTTGGTTCCTCCATAGGATTTGCTTCTTCATTTGTGTCAAAGATGTGTCGGAAAGCAATGATACGTCAACGCCCCCGGCCGCATGATATCTGGCGCTACTGTCATTGTCCGAAAGTCTATGGTCATTCTGTGACTGGCCAGGCTGTTGACCGCTCTTCTATTGAATAGTTTCATTGAGGTCTGGACCAGTTGCCACGATACTCGATGGGACGGGTGTGCTTCCTGTTGCACAACTCCACGCCACGGCCAGCAGCAGCTTATTCGTCTTCACATCTTGTCACATTGAAAAAGTGTCGAGATCCGCCCAATGGAATTTTTGGTTGTGGTGCGTTTTTCAATTCGTCTGGTCGGCGCACATTCGGCAAAGCACCTGCATGTTGAGCATGCCGCATGACCATCCTCGCAACGATGCGACATCAGGCTGAAATGTCAGATGTCCAAATGAACCACATTGAGTGGCAACTTATGCTGCAGGTATGGAGTAGGAAAACGTCCGCTCCTGTAGGCCTACAAATCATGCGTCGTGGCGGCTTAGCTCTGAATATCTTGAGTATGCAAATCGACATATTCCTCATCTGAATGCTGTCGTCCGCCCTCGACTATGGAAGGATATTCAGCATCGGGAGTCAGATCCAGCCAGGTCCGTACCTTAGTGACTGCTGTCAATCGTATAGGGTTCACCATAAACGACGACGACGAGCATGTGCGAAGGCGACTAGTTCTCTTCACAAGAATCTGCGACATCAACCCTATTGGTTGACACCAAACACCAGCAAGTACCGACATGATGCTCTATTACAGACATACAGAAATCTGTATTGGTGATTGCGCCCACATGCACGCTTGTGCGCTGGCTGAAGTTCTCTGAAGACGTTGAGGCAGCACTAAAGGATGTCCGTCCCGTCCTGCCACTCATGAAATTTATACATGCATCGAACTAAAAGCTGAAGCGAGCGTCGATGATGGAGGTTTTCACAACGCCAACAAGAAACAGTTGCCGAAGCTAATCCATTGACTGGTAAACACGACTTAGCGATCAAATGTGTATTTTCACATGCTCCAGATTTTCTTATTCTCGGGGAATTTTCGCATGATCGTGACAAGCAAAAATTGTTTTACATCTGATTTCATCAGATGGTTTTAGCTGCAACCCCAGTAGACAGGCACACACGGATCATGACTTCGACTTCTGAAACATACCATCACCTGGCAATAATAGTCATGATGCTCTTTACACTGGAATGATTTCAGTCGGCCAGATTTTCGTTGACTCTGTTTAATGAGAAGCCATCTCGTCATCGATTCTTCGAAGGATATCCGGCCAAAGAACTCCGCAGTGGTAGCTGCAAGCTTGTCTCAACAGAGGTTGAGTGACTTTGGTAAAAATCCAGAGTCTTAGCACGCATGCTGGCTTATTACCTAGTTGCAGGCAGCAGATGATTGCAATTGCGCGTAGCGATGCTCATGCCAACACGGCATTGGTCTAGCTTCAAAAGAGGCATTGAGCTAACTTAACCCCCACAGCATCAATAACTCTCCGATTGAAAAGTCGTCTAGAGTCAGGGACTGTCAAGAAGATGCAGGGCCCTGATCATCCTGACAATGCGCGGCGCTTCTGACAATCAATGCGTTCTATGCCTGGGTGAAGATCACAGGGAGGATGAGATTGTTGCTCTTTTTCCGAGTATGAATGACCTTGGGTTTGAGAATGCACCAGGACGATACGGCTACTCCTATCCTGGAGAAGACCCAATAAATCAGCATGTTACATAGGGATTTAACCTTCATTCAGTGTTTATGCCAGACACTTGACCCTGATCAGAAATGACACAGAACACCGCGGGGCAACCGAGGTGCATGCATCTATGTCACTGGTAGGATCTCGCGCCCAGTCGCGTACAACCATGACGTCGCTGTGAGAGTCGCCATCATTTGCCTCCAGCCGTATACACGCTTATGTACCGCATCGTCGGGAAGGACGATAAGTACATCGAGGGAGTTTCTTCTATGACTGTATGCGATGAAGAACATAAGCCGACGATACCTTCACTGCTTGCAAGAGATGGAGATTCGCCTTTAAAGGCCTGATCGTCATAGTAAAATGACTCCATCCGGATAGATTACGAGATCTGGTTCCCAGGGAATTGAAGGATGTTCCCGCACGAACGAGAGCCGCAACATCTGAGGTTCCGAACATAAGGGGAATCTGGGGTAAGGACCTGGATTTTGTAGGACGGGAGTGACGGTATCAAAATTGTGGCTGACCTGATGTCAGTGGCGTCTCAAGCCGTGGCGCAGTGCCAAGTCGACTGACAAGGGCATCATACCCCGGAAAGGTACCCGACGTTCCTTGTTCTTCAATGTCTTGTATCCTAGCATCCTAGCATTCTTAACCGTACTTTGCGAAATGCACTCACTGGGCAGTGTAATTACAGCATCCAATTCCAGCTGACGATGCATCAACTGCGGTGATGAACGGAAACAAGAAAGTCAACTCGCCCGTTGTGAATGGGTCTTCATACGATCCAGACACGATTCCAGATTATCACAATGACTTTATTGACCGAGCCGATCTGGAGGCTTTCTCAGCAGCCCTGACAGCACCGACTACTGAGCCTGTCACAGCACTCAATGACTGGGGTCCAGTCCGCCAGCGAGTCAAGAGAAACCGAGTTCGACGCAAAACGACAAGAAGATCAAAGGATGAAACTAGAGAGGGTTTTGTGTACACGCTGCTGTACTACCCCTTGCTGTTCATCGTCTGCGGTTGGATCGTCGTCCTCTTCGGCATCTACAACCTAACACGCTTTTACATCTATGCTTACGAACACGCCTTCTCATGGACGGGCCGGCGGGAGACGCTGAGGCGACAATTACAACGAGCCAGCACCTACGAAGAATGGAAAGGCGCTGCTCAACAGCTCGACGAGTTTCTGGGAAACGAAGAGTGGAAGGAGCACGATGAGTACTCCTACTATAATCACAGCACGGTCAAGAAAGTGACTGCTCAATTGATCGAGCTTCAACGAAGGGCCGAGGCTGAAGAGAGAGATGGGAGAAACGGCATTGGTGGCAGCAGTCCTTTGGATGACCTCAAAGCCTTGCTGGAAAGCTGCGTCAAGAACAATTTCGTGGGCATTGAGAATCCCAGACTCTACAGTGAATCGTATATCGGCACCAAAGTGCTCATTCAGACATTTGTCGATCAGGTCGAGAAGAGTCTGAAGACAGTCCTCGACTCTGACCGTATGACCGCCAAAGACAAAGCTTCGCTGTTCCGAAGTCTGGAGCTCAACTATGGAAGGACTGCGCTATGCCTTTCAGGTGGAGCGACTTTCGCGTACTACCATTTTGGCGTCATCAAGGCACTTCTAGATGCTGGCGAACTTCCAGAAATCATCACTGGTACTTCTGGCGGTGCGTTGGTGGCTGCACTTGTAGCCACCAGGACGGATGAGGAATTAGGACCCGTGTTGGTGCCTGCGCTAGCCCACCGCATCCGTGCCTGCCATGAGGGATTCGCAACGTGGGCCCGTCGATGGTGGCGGACCGGTGCCCGCTTCGATTCCCTCGACTGGGCTCGCCACTGCGCTTGGTTTTGTCATGGCTCCCTTACTTTCAGAGAGGCATTTGAACGGACTGGCCGCATTCTAAACGTCTCATGTGTACCTTCGGATCCTCATTCGCCCACGATCCTAAACAATCACATTACGAGTCCAGATTGCGTCATCTGGTCCGCTGTCCTGGCTTCAGCTGCGGTACCAGGAATACTCAATCCTATCGTGCTGATGCGCAAGACGAGAGACGGTACACTAGTACCATATTCATTCGGCAACAAGTGGAAAGACGGGAGCTTGCGGACCGACATTCCTCTCAAAGCACTCAACCTGCACTTTAACGTCAATTTCTCCATCGTCTCACAGGTCAATCCGCATATCAACCTATTCTTCTTTTCGCCTAGGGGCGAGCCAGGTCGTCCAGTGACACATCGCAAAGGTCGTGGATGGCGCGGAGGGTTTCTTGGCTCGACTATCGAGACTTCGGTGAAATTGGATCTGCAGAAATACCTCAAAATCCTGCGCCATCTCGAATTACTGCCTAGGCCCATGGGACAGGACTGGAGCGAGTTATGGCTACAACGCTTTTCTGGCACAGTCACTATCTGGCCGAAGACCGTCCTCAGTGACTTCTGGAACATCTTAAGCGATCCTAGTCCCCAACGTCTGGACCGGATGATCAGTGTTGGCCAACGAAGCTGCTGGCCCAAAATACGATTCATTTCCAACCGTATGAAAATTGAAAGACTCATCCTGGAAGGCTTAAGAAGAGGGGGCCCGATTGATGAAAGCCGTCGCCTGCCAAATCCGGTCGGTGAGCAGCAGCTTCAAGAATCATTGTTGCGTGCCAGAGGCCGGACGGACGATGAGATGTCGTCAGAAGAAGAGACGAACCACGATGGTGGACGCCCACGTGGTCGAAGGCACAGCTCAATCTTCAAAGAATTCACCCGGCAGGCGTCAGTACTGTGGCCAGAGGAAGGACATACTGAAGGAGAAGAAGATGGTCTAACCACAGACGAAGACGAAATGCTGGCAGTACATGAAGAATAATCCCGTGAAGGCTTCGAAGGAAAAACACCGTCACCATCCTGTCGAAGGATGAGTATTGTTTAGAGCGAGCATATATTCAGATAGAAAGTCAGCCCAGTGATGTCATTGCCATGCACATCACGTGATTTGACAAAAGTACCATGCGGCATGCGGCTTTAACCCCCTTGCACCGACGATAAGCTTCTCGCGAGGGTCAACCGAGATCTGACGTCGATCGTTGCGGCATCGTGTTCACAGGATTGAATGTTCCAACATTTTTTCAGGCTTGGTTTATAGCCTAAGTTGAGGGTTTGGATGTTTACAAACCCCAGAAATGTTGTCGCGTATGCCTCCGGTAGCAACTCCGCAACTTTTCGAGGCCAAAACAGTCGACGCCGTGGTCGTTGAGATATGTTGATAATTAATCCTTTGAAAGTGCTGCTTGTAATCGAATCTTCAAGTTGTCGGACTATGGAGATCCACTGCATTTCATTGGTGGTGACTGTCAAAAAGTGGAGCAAAGGCGCGTCTTGGCACTGCCTGCATCTCAGAGTCAGAAACACGCCCCCAAGAAACATCAAGGGTGACTGTGAAACACCGCCTACAATCTGAATCATCACACTTGTGCCCGAAGCCGTGGATCTGCGCTTCGTCATTACTCTCTGGGCCATAGACATTGGGCCTGCGCCTAGCAGTCAATTGAACACGTCCTCGATCGAACCGAGACCACCGAGTTGCCCGACAAGACGCGCCGTCAGTTACTCCATCGACAGTCTACGACTACATAGTCATCTTCGGGCCATTTCCGGGCATGGACTGAGGCCCAGCCATCCCTTGTACACATTCAAAGCTATCCTCGCGATGCTCTGGTGACGCTGACCCGATCGATCCCTTGCGCCGACCACTTCTACCTCCCTACCAACCAACCGTCTAAACCCGGAGCCTCAGAAGCTGTCGACATGCCTCCGCCTATTCGACTTGGCACTAACAAGCGGACTCTCGAGGAGATCGCGCAACAGGAAGACCCTGATGATGATGACTATGATGATAGAGCGCCCGGCCCATCATCCAAGCCGCGCCATCACAAGTCTAGGCAAAGTGGCCCTCCTGCCCGCAAGAAGCAGAGACGTGGTAAATATAGAGGCTCGGATGTCGATAGTGACGACGAAGAACTCTTGAGCGACAGCGAATCTTTTGATGAGGAAGAATCAGAAGACGAGATAGAGACAAACGAGAAAGGGAGACCCGTCCGAAGAAGTGCCAAGAAAGCAGTGAAGTATGAGGAATCGGACAACGAAGACGAACTATCCAAGTCACCCTCGCCAGAACTGCGAACACCACCCAAGAGAGGCGCTAGAAAGCTGATAATCACTCTCAAAACCACACCTGGTCGACCTTTGCGTAACTTGAGGAGCGGAAGTTACGGCAGTAAACAGCCCATAAGCTCATCAGCTGCAGCGCCCGACGGACCGAGAAGGAGGAGCAGACGATTGTCTCACGACGAAGAAGAACCCATGTTTGCCTTGACGAATTCGGGCAATCACGCCGAGGTAACGCGAGCAGGCTCTCGGGACCCGGAAGTTTTACCTACAAGGGCGACAAGAGGTGGCAAAGGCATGAAATACCCATCGAAGAGCACCATTGACGAAGAGTCACAACCAATGGCCACTGAAGAAGGAGGTGAAGAAATAGGTGAAGAAGAGCTTGAGATTAAAGCATCACAGCATGAGCTTCTGCAAAGTGACCCTCATGTTGCAGAGGAGCCTCAGGGACAACTCCCCAACATAATGTCAGACATCTATGCGCATGCCGAAGCCGAAAGCGACGGTGATGGTGAAGGTGACTTTGGAACAATGGAAGCTCCTGCTACTCAAGAAGACGCACCAGCCGAGGAAGTAGCAGGTGATGATGTTGAGGATGACGACGATGATGTCGTGCCCCGTGGTCGACTGACTCGTGGTGCTGCCAAGAGGCAAGCAGAGTCTCCGGATTTTGAGCCTGAACAGTCACCCAAGCGTCTCCGAGGCCGGGGTCTTAGAGGTGAAGCGAAAGAGACAACGTCACAGAGTCGGCGGCGAAAAGGGCAAGATGAGAGCAGTGACTTTGATCCAGATCAGGAACAGGCAAATCAAGATGAGATGTCGAGCTCCAGTGAGTCAGAGGCGTCTCCACGGAAGAATGATGACTTCGAAAGTAGCAACAACGGCCGAAGATCTACTCGACTTCGCAGCAAGGCGGCATCTCGTCAGACATCAGAGGACAGCGCTGACGAGCTTGCTGCAGAGGTCGCAGATCTTAAGAAAGAAGAGAGGAAGAAACGACGTGAAAGAGAGGAGATTATCTTCGAACCACGCCAAAGACGGGCCCGTGATGGCAAGAAACCGAATTACGACCTGCTGAGAAATCTTGCCCCTATTGAGGACGAGGAAGAAGCTGCACCTTCCCCTTCACAACAACGACCTCGCAGAGCAGCCGGTGGCGGATGGCAAAGAAGCTTGTTCAATACCTATGGGCCGTTCGGTGGAGGCGGGAGTGCGGCGCCGGTACTTGGGGGCGGTGTTCCACGAGCGCAAGGCGGCGTCGACTCTGATAGCAGTGACGACGAAGTGATGAAGCAGCCGAGGCCTGTGGGTGGCACAGTAGGAATGACACCGACTGCTGCTGGCGCACCCAGTCTCTTCCCCCAACCCCTCAATGCGGATCCAGCGCAAGCCACTGGTGGGACGCCAGCAAATCTGGGCAAGCTCAAAGACAAACAAGCTCTGGCAGATGCCGATCCTCTCGGAGTCGACCAAAATGTCGATTTCGACAGTGTAGGAGGCCTCCAGGGACACATTGACCAGCTGAAAGAGATGGTCGCCCTGCCATTGCTTTACCCGGAGATCTTCATGCGATTCAAGATCACCCCACCTCGTGGCGTCTTGTTCCACGGGCCGCCTGGAACGGGTAAGACGCTGCTTGCTCGAGCCTTGGCTACTAGTGTCAGCTCGCAAGGCCGAAAAGTGACCTTCTATATGCGAAAGGGTGCAGATGCCCTTAGCAAGTGGGTGGGTGAAGCTGAGCGGCAACTGCGTTTGTTGTTCGAAGAAGCTCGAAAGAATCAGCCGAGTATCATTTTCTTCGATGAAATTGATGGTCTAGCACCGGTTCGGTCTAGTAAGCAAGAACAGATTCATGCCTCCATCGTGTCGACCCTGCTGGCGTTGATGGATGGCATGGATGGGAGAGGTCAGGTTGTGGTGATTGGGGCCACGAATAGGCCTGATTCGATTGACCCAGCTTTGAGAAGACCGGGTAGATTTGACCGGGAGTTCTACTTCCCGCTCCCCAATACCGATGCTCGACGTTCGATCATTGATATCCACACGCGTGGCTGGGATCCTCCCTTGCCTCCAGCGATCAAGGATGAGCTGGCTGAGATGACAAAAGGCTATGGTGGTGCAGACCTTCGTGCGCTGTGCACCGAAGCTGCTTTGAACGCTGTTCAGAGACGCTATCCGCAAATCTACAACTCCACGCAAAAGTTGATCATTGATCCGAAGACAATCGAGGTGACGCCAAAAGATTTCATGATCTCCATTAAGAAGATGACGCCTTCCTCTGAACGATCGACCTCGTCCGGGGCTTCGACACTACCACCTAGCGTTGCACCACTGCTGAGTGCCAAGCTGAAAGAGATAGAAGGATTATTGGCAGAAATCATGCCACGGCAGAAGAAGCTGACAGCGCTAGAAGAGGCTCAATTTGAAGATGCTGCTGATGGTCACAGCTTTGGCAGGGAGAAAATGCAACAAGCTTTCGAGACTGCCCGAGTGTTTCGGCCTCGTTTACTGATTAAAGGAAAGGTTGGTATGGGTCAGCAGTACCTTGCTGGCGCGCTGCTCAATCACTTTGAAGGTCTCCATGTCCAAGCATTCGATCTTCCTACCTTGTTGGGTGACAGCACGAGCTCTGCAGAGGCAACGCTTATTCGACTGTTCACCGAGGTCAAGATGCACAAGCCCAGTGTCATTTACATTCCGAATGTGCACGACTGGTATACCAGGGTCGGCGATGTTGTCATCAAAACATTCTTGGGACTTCTGAGAGCTATCAAGCCTACTGACCCTGTCCTGCTACTTGGTTATGTTGAGGTCGACCCGGACTTGGTGGACGAAGAGATGCAACGAGATCTTTTTGGCTATTCTACGAAGAACCAATATCTATTGGAACCGCCCGATAAGAACGAGCGGTATGAGTTCTTCAGAGCGCTTAAAGACTACATCAGAACATCACCTGACGAGTTTCCACACCCGAAGAACCGCAAGAAGCGTCAACTGGAGCAACTTGAGGTGGCACCCCCAGAACCAGAGAAGGGGCCGGCTTCATTGACCAAAGAGGAGCTGAAGGCACAGAAGAAGAAAGATCGATTGACCCTGAACATGCTCAAGCTTCGATTACAGCCTATCATGGATCAGATTCGAACAAAGTACAAGAAATTTCGCACGGGTGTCATTGATGAAGGCCAAATTCGCTATCTCTATGATGAAGCTGATCCGACCACTGTTACCTCTGACATTCATGCAGACATGCATGCTTCTTTCCGACCTTTCGAAATTGGCAAAGACGCCCATGGCGTTTTGGGTCTCGTGGATCAAGCCAGCAACAACTTCTACTACAACCTTGATTCCGTCACGATCGAGAAGCGTCTGAGCAATGGGTACTATAAGCGACCAAAAGATTTTCTCGCAGACATCAAACGTCTAGCCAAGGACGCGAAGACAGTGGGTGACGAAGACCGGTTACTCAAGGCAAATGAACTTTCTGCCAACGTCGAGGTTGATATTGCCAATATCGAGATAACGGAACCTGCTCTGGCTGCAGAATGTGAGCGCGTTTACGAGCGCGAGCTTGCCAGGGAGAAAGAAGTCTTGGAAAAGGCCCGAGTTGCAGAAGAGCAAAACAAGGAAATGCCACCACCTGAAGTAGTGTCAAATGTACCTCATGGCAATGCTTCGGGACCTTCGACACTGACGAATTCCACTGGACCTATTCTTCTTGGAGAGCCTATGCAACGACGCCGAGATTTCGTCCAACGACTGGCTCCAGCCGCTGGAGAGGGGACGTCGTCGGAATCCGTGGTCACAAACGGCATACATCTGAGCCATGAAGAACAGGCACAGACGGAGTTGACTAATGGATCACACTCGAATCATGACGGCAACGAAGCAGATGCGGAAGGTGATACACCGATGGGTGGTGTAGACTCTCACCACACGTCCCACGACAAGAGTACCGAGACACAAAAGACGCACACCACAAGCTCTTTTGGTAATCGTGAATCCGCCCAACCCAGGCCGCTCCACTCTTACACAGCGCCCTCGCAACAATTGCTGAAAGAATCGGGAATGTCTGCTCCCCGCTCACAAACAGGACCGTTCACGCCTCTGCCCCAAGGCACTCACCCCACAGAACTCCAGAACGACGCCAGCACAACCCAGTCCACAAGCCAGAAAAAGACGTCATCCCACGACACCGAAGACCATAATCAGCACGACTCAGGTCCGAACCTGTATCTTCTTGACGAGAGACGATCCGCAGGAGGCAGTCAGATCCCATCTACCCAAGGTACGCGCAAACTTTCTTCCGAGGGCCCATCCCTGGAACCTTCTGAGTTGTCCCGACTAATTGCCCACCCAGGGAACTTACCTGCCTCGCAAGAAGTCATTGACCCTCTGGCTGGCCCGGCTGGACGGCCCACATCGTCGCACGGTCAAAGTCAGCCAGCGGAACGATCTTCGCAACCACCCGTCCCGCTGTTCGATGATGCTGCCGAACGCAGACCATCCAGATCAAATGGGCCTAGCGGGCCTGTCGACTTGTTGAACCCGCCGTCGCGGTCGTCTTCGCCGCGGCCGAACTTGGTGCAGGTCGAGGAACGAAAGTTGGATAATTTCCATGCCGAGGTCCGGGATCAGACGTCAGGTCTGTCGGTGGAGCAGTTGGAGCAGGTGAACTCCGTGTTGATGGATACGCTGTGGAAGACGCGGGATCAGTGGGACCGAGGGCAGGTGCTGGAGGAGTTGAGTCTCAAATTCAATGAGGTTATTGATGATATGAGGAAGAGTGGGCAGGAGTTTGAGCCGGGGAGTTGGGGGAAGAAGAATTGATACATTAATATCATACCAGGCCTGACAAAAACCTACCTCTACGGATCGTGCGACAGGGATCGGGAGATGTAAAACAGCGTTTACAAATGATTCGGACATGTGAGTGCGAAAGCCAGTTGGACTGGTATACCTGGCGATTGTCAAGTCAGGGTACTAGAAGTCTAGGTGTTTAGACGTGCGGTTTTATGTAAACATGTACACTGTACCCGGTTGTGCCGTCTCTTGGTGGTTTCAACGACTTGTGTTGGAAAGACATCGAGTCATTTATTTGTCTCCAACATGTCCAGATTTTCTGGTTTCTATTTCTAATTCTAGTTCTATAACTTTTTCTTCTCCGTCTGTCTAGTATCTGAAGAAGATGTAGCTGGGGCTGTAGCTGAAGCAGGTAAAGCATACAGGCCTCCACCCAGGAAGACGATCGCAGCGCCCATGAGCACACCCATCGGCAGACTGTTTCCGAACAGACAGATACTCAACAACAAGCTCGCCAATTTGCGGATGTTCAGGACGATTCCGACGGTCAGGGACGATGATTGTGCCGAGAGCCTGTTCACGCCGATGATGCAGAGAAGTTGTGTGCCGGCGTTGAGTGCGAGTAAGGCGATCGGCCTGGGGATTTTGAGAGATAGCGATACAGGCAGTAGGAGTAGCTGCGACATGAAGTCTGGTGCGGTTGTAAATGGTAGGGGATTCACCCAAGTTGTCGGTGACGTCGCGTTCTTGCCGGAAAAGTCCTGCTCAAAGCTAGAAACAGCAGTGGCGGTGACAACGCCGAGTTCGTGCATCAGCGGTCGAGCCTGGCTGGCAAAGTACGGAAGAGACATGGCGTGGCTGTAGAAGAGTGTCTCGGCGGCGACAGACGAGGATCGGCCGTGCGTGGCGTACATGTCGTCCGTGAAGAGGCCCATACAGGCGGACAAGAGCAGCGCAGACGCCAGGAGCGCGAAGCCAGGAGCCTGTGTTGATGCTGATGGTTTCTGGCTAGCTATCTGCGTCTGAGCAACTGGTGGTTGTTTCGACCAAGCGTCCGAAACTGCGGCCATCACGACACCCGCGAATAGAAGTAAGACTGCGACGATCTTGTGCGGCGGATACCTCTTATCACCCCAGAACCTGCCCATTGCCATTGTCATAACGGGTCCTGCAGAACGCAGGATTATGTGTAAGGGGACGCTGATGTGGTATTTGAACGCCATATTGTTCAAGATGTTGATGCTGAGGAAGTATGCGGTGTAGATGAGCCATTTGCGTACAGGGATGTTGCGCTCGCGGAGATACAGGTTTCGCCAGCCGCGCGAGAACGAGAAGTGACGGGGCGCTGTGGCTAGGGCGACGAGGAGGAACTGGAGGGCTGTTATGAGCCCACCAGACGTCGGCGAGGTGTGGATGAGCGCTTCGAGGGTGTAGACGTTCGAGCAGCAGCCGCCGAAGATGAGGAGGAGGGTTGGTGCCCAGATCTGCAGGATTGCGGTTGTTTTGGAGGCGGTGAATGCGGGCGGAGATGAGGAAGAGGATTGTTGACTGAGCAGTGCCGTCTTCGCGGAGACAGCGCCGTTCTCATGTACGCCAGCATCATTGAGTCGCTCATTTTCGGTCTCTGCGTTGCCTCTGCGCCTGTTCATGGTCGACTCGTTCGACGACGCCATTGGTAATGCCACGTCTGCGGCTTTGGGAGCCCAACGAGGAAACAGAAGGCTGGTCACCGAGACGGTGGTGAGGCCATGTTTACGAGGAGAAAGATTCTGCTGTCTCAGACCTGGGGCATGGTCGTCGGTTGGCTTGAGGTGTTCTCAAGTTCAAACATCGAACACCAAGAAACGCGTCCAACTGAAGCCAGACCGATTAATGACGTGATGTTTGAAAAAAAGGTACGAGAGTGTTAGTCAGAATTGAGGTACTAGGCACCTAAGGGCGGGCTTTAGGGGTCGCAGATCTAAAGCGCGCTGACCCGGGACCTCACATTCCGATCGCCGGTCTTGAATCAAACTCCTTTTCCCTTACTCGGTACCTATAACTTAGCACCTGCTGATGATGGTGGTGAACTCATTGGCGGTCCAGCCCGTCAAGGTTGTAATAAGCCTGGAACCTTGCATGCGCGCAAAATGCCTCCCTCACAAGTGCATCACCACATGGTCTTTTAGTTTGGTCTGATCGCGGGGCAACTCGATCCCCGGCTGAATCAATTGGCCCTGCATGGTGCAACTCGACTCCGAATCGGTTGAGTCAGCAATTTGGCGCCGAATCCCAGCCATTCTGTGCCATGCATACCTCAACGTAAGTGTATATATAGCAGTCGCTGTACGCTTAAATCCAGGCACTCCTCATCATCGACTATACAGTACAGTTCAGTGCAACATAACAGTAACAGCAACAGCAAATCCAACAACACCAGCAACAGCAAAGATGAAGGTCCTTGTTCTTGGAGCAACCGGTAATCTGGGCAGTCGCCTTGTCCCAGCACTCCTCAACCATGGCCACAGCGTCGTTGCGTACGTCCGGTCCTCAAGCAAACTCGAGTCTCTACTTCCAAATCCTGTGTACCGCCAAATCTCCGTCGTTCAAGGCGACGCAAAAGACTCATTTGCAATCAAGAAGGCCATCTTGGACTCCAAGGCTGATGCCGTTGTCAACACTGCCGGTCTAGCGGCCTTACCGCCCTGGGGAAAGAGTGATCTGCCTGTCATATTTCGCGCTGTCCTGGACGCCGTTCGAGAAGCAGGAATGGAAAGAAAGAAACCGTTGAGAACTTGGTTTTTGGGTGGCTTGGGAGTATTGAACTTCCCCGAAACAGAGACAATGTTCTCAGACTAGTAAGTACACTCACCCCTTGATTCAGCGTACCTTCCTGAGGCCATACCCCGGACTTCGTCGATATCGGAAGACTAACAATCACAGTATCCCCATATACCTCGAACATCGCCAAAACCTCGCTCTTCTCAAGTCTCTCCCACCAAACAGCGTCGACTGGTCTATGCTGTGTCCAAGCACCATGAACCCCGAATCCTCAGACATCACTGCCCTGTCGAGCAAGGGGAAACTGATCGCAAATGCCGTGACTCCACCTTTATGGCAAAACTATTGGGTCAAGAACATTCCCTTGATCGGAGGTTACCTGACGTGTATGATGAATGCTCCTCGCTACGAGACTACGCTGGAACAGAACGCGGAGCTCATTGCTAGTGACCTCGAGACTCTCGAAAGCCCTTTCAGTGAGAAGACAGTCGGAGTCATCGACCCAAAGTGATTTCAGCATGAACTGGGGACCTTGTAACATTATTCCTTCGCAATGATCTTGTCATGGTTACTCTAGCACGGAGTATTCTTATATGGATTACAGCACACACACATAGACCAATGAACCTCTGTTCTGATCACCTTTTAACACCTCATAAATTTTTAATACCTGGCCAGATCAGTCTCCAGAGTCTGTCTGCCACAGCCGGAATCTCTTCTGGATGGCCGTCAGAGCTTATGCCCATGTTGCCCATATCGGACGGTGGCTAACACATGGCAAACAGTCTATTGATCCAATCGACTATTATTCGTCCACGGGATGTATCGTAATGGACCTTTTCTAATAAAAAATTGCTTTTCCTTTCTTGGGCTCAAGCCGCTTGAAAACGCTGCACGATACCAGCACCTGCCAGTGTACTCCAGACCCCTCATGGCCATGTCGGCCATCCAATGTCTATCGCCTCCTGCTTTTACATCATCTTTCCACCAGCAAATTCGCTCCAACTTCGGACCTCAGGTGGAATACCTTCCTGTCGAGGTAGTTTAGCATTCATGCATTGGGCAAAGAGGAGCGCAGTCTAGACATCAAAATTAGTCCACCGTCAATTGTCAAATGGAATGCAACTCACCTTGGGCTCCATGAACAGCGGAACTCCAAAGTCGACAGCATTCCTTCTCATCACGTAATCCTCATCCACCAGAGTCTTGCCCCTGCTCTTGGCAAGGTTGAAGACTCCCCTGATGTTGTATTTCTGGAATACCTTTCGTAGCTCATTCTTGTCGGTCTTAGGGAACTCAATCACTTCAATAGAGGTGCCTGCTTTCTCGAGATGTTTCTTCACATCCTCGCTTGCTGCAAGGAACTTGTATCCCAGTGGGTCAAGATATTCCACGATCTTGGGCAGTTCGGGCAGCTCGGTCGACCCACCCAGGAGTATACCCTCACCTGGTTCAGGCATTCTGAAGTTCATGGTCGACTGCAGCGACGCCCAGTATGCTTCAATAAGGTTTTTCCCAAAGCATGCAATCTCTCCCGTGCTGCTCATTTCGACACCCAAGAACGGGTCAGCTCCGGCCAAACGAGTCCACGAAAACTGAGGCACCTTGGTCGCGAGGTAGTCACGCTTCTCGGCCATAAGATCCCGGGGTGCAGGCACATTTTTATCCGCCAGCGCCTTTGTCGCAGCATCAATGAAGTTGACGCCAAGGACTTTGCTGACGAAGGGGAAGGATCGCGAGGCTCGAAGGTTACATTCAATGACCTTGAGGGCAGGCTCGTCACCACCAACATCAGCCTTGATGATCTGCATGTTGAAGGGACCGGTAATGCTCCATGCTTTGGCAACCTTTTGAGCGATCTCCTTGACACGAGCCATAATCTGCGCGTCGAGGTTCACTGGGGGCAGGACCAAGGTGGCGTCACCCGAGTGTACACCGGCGTTCTCAACGTGCTCAGAGACAGCGTGCAGAATCAGCTCTCCTTTGGAGGCCACAGCGTCGACATCGATTTCCTGCGCACCCTCGATGAACTTGGTGATGACGACAGGATGATCGGGTGAGACTGCAGAGGCGGACTCTAATTTATCCTTCAACTCTGCCTGGCTGGTAATGACTGACATGGCTGCACCAGAGAGAACATAAGATGGTCGAACCAAGACAGGGTAGCCAACTTCGTCAGCAAACGCTTCAGCATCGGAAACAGAGGTAAGTTCCTTCCATGCTGGTTGATCTACTCCGATAGAGTCAAGAATTTGGGAGAACTTGTGACGGTCTTCAGCCTTGTCGATGTCTTGAGGATCTGTGCCGAGGACATTCGCCTTGCCTTCTTCCTGCAGTCGTAGTGCAATGTTTTGAGGGAGTTGGCCGCCAACGCTCACCACAACACCTGTTGCAGCCTCCAGTTCGTAAATGTCCATAACGCGTTCGTAAGAGAGCTCTTCGAAGTAGAGTTTGTCGGCGGTGTCGAAGTCAGTGCTGTAAGTTTCCGGATTGTACGTGGAGTAAGTTAGCATGATATGATAGACATAAAGAACAAAAGAAGAATGTAAAAGACCAAAAGAGAAAAAAAGGACGAAATGGGCCACCTCAGTTGAGCTTGGAGCTCGACTGGGCAGCACCGCCAGCATGAGCAGGACGGCCTCTCTGTAGCCAACGGCTCAGGCTGGTCTCCTCGGGGTGCGTGCCTGATTGAACAGCTTGGGGAGCAGCAACAGCGTTGGCGGCAGGAGGGGCGCTTTGAAGCCAACGGGACAAGGTGTTCTTGCTGAGATCGAAGCTCGACCGGACGACATTGGCAGGAGCGGCAGCACTGGAATGACGGTTGGTCATCTCGGCACTGGTCAAATTGCTCATGTCGTGATTGGTGCTCGTCTCAGCAACATTGGCAAGAGCGACAGGATTGGGATGAGGGTTGGTCATCTCGGCACTGGTCAGATCACTCATGTCGTGATCGGTGCTCGTCTCTGTGGCTTCGGCAGCAGCAACACTGTTGGATTCGGACTCGCTTCGTACCCAACCAGCCAGCCTGGTCTTGTTGGGATCGAGGCTCGACTCAGCAGCTTTGGCACCAGCACCACTGTTGGCAGCAGCGCCGGTTTTGGCAGCAGCGACGGCCTTGCGATGACGGTCGGTCTTCTCGTGCATGGCCAGACTTGTTTTGCTCGGGAGACCAAGATTGCAAGGGCGACATCTCCAGGCCATACTCGACTTAGTCGAGTTATTCTGGTGCGTCTTTGTCTTCTCATGATTGCTCAATCTCTGCTTGGTCCCAAAGGAGATGTTGCAGCGGTCACAGTGGAAACTCTTCTCAGCCAGTGCCTTTTCAATGCGGTCTGCTTGGCGGATAGCATCTCGTCCTGGATTGTTGGCTCTCGACCTTGCCACTCTCTCGTTGGATTTGGTCATGTAGTCGTCATAGTTCTCAGCCATTTGCTTGTAGTGCCAGTTTGTAGCATTCTCGGCTTTGACTGCAAGGCGTTTCTGTTCCCTTTCGACTGCTTGAGCTTCGAGCTGCTCGGGACTGAGGTCAAAATCTGCGCGAAAGCCTTCGTTCAAGCAGCAGTGTGTGCATAGCTGGTCATCAGGCCACACTTGTTGTGGAAGCCCTTCACAAGGCAAATGGCACTGCAGAGGCCGATGGTGTGGAGGTCTTTCAGATCGCAGATGGCAGTCCAGAGGCCGATGATGTGGAAGTCTTTCAGGGTGCAGAAGGCACTCGAGAGGCAGATGGTGTGGGAGTCGTTCAGAACGCAGATGGCACTCGAAAGGCAATGGCGTCGAAGTCCTTCGGAATGTAAATGCTTGCTTTTCAGGCCAAAGTGAGAGAATTACCGTCGGTCATTCAGCAGATGAAGAAGCTCGATTGTTTTTCAGCGACGGCATCCGTTCTCTGAGAGGTGAACAGATTGTTACTCGGACAGATTGAGGAGGTTGTAGACCTTGTAGAGGCAGTTCAATCTTAGAGAGGTGAAGAGGTGTGTTCAGCCACAGTGTGCATGAGAATCACCGTTGGTCATTCGACAATCAATCGATCGAGGGAAATCGAAGCTGTGTCGTCGTGGGTTTCAACAAACGTTTGAGAAATGCGGCAGCTGAAGTTGCAGGATTGCGTCCCGAGAGAGGCGGTGAGGTTGGTACTCGATCACTTTGCAAGCGTTGCAAGGGTAAGAATCACCAATGGTCATTCAGCGACGACTGAGAGGTGGCGTCCGAAGTTGGAGGTGGACTGCGATCCCAGAGGGGTGAATCGTGTGTAGCAAAACGCCTAATCGAACAGAATTGGAGGCTCGAAACCCTTGTAGAGGGTACCTTGTTCTCAGAGAGGTGTAGAGGTGTAACAGCGCAGGCAGAAATGCAGGCCTTGCAAGCCTTGCAGAAGTGGGATGTTTTCTGAGAAAAGGTTGTAAAATTGGCAGAGGTGAAAAGGCAGGAAGGTGAGTTCCTTCCAGTAGGCAGGGCGTCCATCGTGCATCCAATAAGGCAGGTGGCGTGGAAGTCCTTCAGATGGCAAGTGCGTCCAGTGGCATTCAATGCAGTGGGCGTGCGTTTAGTACCCAGAGGGTAGTTGCGTCCAGCGGCCTCCCCAAGGCCAAGTAGGTACGAACATGCAAAACAAAAACAAGGGGGTCAATAACTTACATTGATCATCACAGTCTTCTGATTCATCTCTCGCAGCGACAGCGTAGCGTTAACGGCACACCAATCGAATTCGACTGATGAACCGATTCTGTATACACCAGACCCCAAAATGAGGGTGCCATGGTCTTCGAAGCTGACATCGTGGGACGAAGCGTTGTAGGTGGTGTAAAGATAGTTGGTGTCGGCCGGAAATTCGGCGGCCAAAGTGTCAATCTTCTTGACCCACGGTCTGATACCGAAACCTTGACGGCGAGCACGAACTTCGCCCTCGGTCGAATTGGTATACATGGCGATTTGCTTGTCGGAAAAGCCCTGCTTCTTCGCCTTGATCATGAGTTCGTGCTTGATGCCGGAAAGAGAACCAATCTCCTGGATCTCGGTCATAGTGTCCTTCAGGTTCTGCAACTTGTACAAAAACCATTTGTCAATTTTGGTCAGATCATTGATCTTGTCCACGGAGTAGTTCTCATGGATCATAGCTTGACCCACGGCCAGCCATCGTCGGTCGGTGGGATTGCGAAGAACGTCGTCCAGGTCGTCGAACTTGTCACCTTGGAAACCCACGTATCTGGGGTCGACTTGTCGAATAGCTTTCTGGAACGACTCCTCAAAAGTACGTCCAATAGCCATGACTTCTCCTACTGACTTCATAGCGCTGCCAATGTCGCGCTTGACATGCTGGAATTTTGCCAAGTCCCAACGTGGGATCTTGACCACAACGTAATCCAGACTTGGCTCGAAGTTCGCAGTGGTTGTCTTGGTCACAGCGTTCGGCAACTCTGGAAGTGTGTGACCCAGACCAATCTTTGCGGCAGTATAAGCAAGAGGATATCCCGTTGCCTTGGATGCCAGCGCGGAAGATCGAGAGAGACGAGCATTGACTTCGATAACACGGTAATCGAGCCCATCAGGTTGAAGAGCGTATTGGACGTTGCATTCACCAACGACCCCAAGATGTCGGACGATTTTGATAGCCGCTGATCGAAGCATGTGATATTCTTCGTCACTGAGGGTTTGACTGGGAGCTACCACAATACTGTCACCTGTGTGAATGCCCAAGGGGTCGAAGTTCTCCATGTTGCACACGGTAATACAGTTGTCTTCTGCATCACGGACCACCTCATACTCGACTTCTTTCCAGCCTTTGAGAGATTTTTCGACCAGGATTTGAGGTGACAGTGACAAAGATCGTGAGGACAAATTGCTCAATTCTTCCGGGTCCTTTGCGAAACCAGACCCAAGACCTCCTAGAGCATATGCGGACCGCACAATGATTGGGTAGCCGATGGTTTCAGCAGCTTTGAGAGCCTCATCCACTGTGCCAACGGCAATGGACTGCGCGATAGGAATGTTGATTTCGTTGAGAGCCTTAGCAAAGAGATCACGGTCTTCGCTGACCTCCAGCGTCCGGATACTGGTACCCAACACCTTGACGCCGTATCTCTCAAATATGCCCATCTTGTTCATCTGGACACCCAGGTTGAGACCGGTCTGGCCACCAAATGTGAGGAGGATACCATCGGGCTTTTCTCTTTCAATCACGTATGTGACATACTCTGGTGTGACAGGGAGATAGTAGACTTCGTCGGCGAGTTTATGATCGGTCTGAATGGTTGCGATGTTAGGGTTGATGAGGACGGATTTGACGCCGGCTTCTTTCAGCGCTTTCAGGGCCTGGGAGCCTGTCATCGCAGTCAGTAAATCATGCTCTTCCTCCAATTGTAACTTCATGCTGAAAGCACAAAGACACTTCTTGGGCGCGCTCATATGCCCCAGATAAAGTCACTCACCAGAGTAATCAAACTCTCCCGCCTGTCCAATGGCAAGACCACCACTTCCAATCACCAGTACTTTTGATACTCCAACCAGATTCTTCCCAGGCTCTACGACACCGCTTTCGAGGTAGGCCTCTGGACGCGGAGCGGTGTCAACAGCCGCATAGCGTTTTGTCGACCGTGTAAACTTTCTGGTTTGCTGCCACGAAGGTACTCGAGGGCTCAGGAGGTGTTGGCGGACTGCAATAGGAGCAGAACGGGTCGAAAAGGCTCGCGGAGACACTCGTGCTTTTGGCGCGCAGTCCCGTAGCAGGATACTGCTGGCCTGGCGAAGAGCTCGTGCAGAGGCAGCCATGGCAGACGGCTACCGGCAAACCGAACCAGAGTCAATGCAAACCAATATATAGACCGCAGCTCAGCACTTTTGCTCAGTCAGGTAGAGGGGGAATTGGAGATAAAGAGTCACCAAAAAAGATTTACCAAAATTTGTGACTGCGATTGCGGGAGCCAATCGATAAGCTCCGAAACTTTGCGTCTCTAAAGCTCCGACAAACAGACGTCAATTGGGACTTGACTATTCCGTAGGCGAAGTGGAATCGAGTCAAATCTGCAAGCGGAGCCTTGTACGATAATGGTGTTTTTTCTTCAATTATCGCATGGCCGCGCAGATAGTACAACAAGTCCAGCGGGGCCAGCTTGCTACGGACATATAATAGAAGCAGCGGACGACACGAAACCCTCCTGCAGGGCCTATCATTGCTTCGTCACGACAAGAGTCGGTCGATCTTGGGAGGGAAAAATTCTTCTTCACTCGCGTGCTGCAGAAGAATTATTTTTTCTGACTTCCGAAATCCTATCTCTTCAATCACCGGCAAGGAAAAAATATTGTCTGGGGAAGATGATGCCTTAGCTGCAGCTGGGGCTTTGCTACTAACTGGTTTAGGGTCACCGATTTTGCCTGCCCCTGGGTTCTTCTATCGGTGGCTCATCCTCCAATAGGTGCAATAGGTGGTAGAAAATTGACTGCACCCCATCGATGCAGATGAAAATTCTTTTCAATGGCTGTTGATCACGCCTGCTCGAAGCCTACGTACTCGTTCAACCATGTCCTCTCTGCAAGGCCGCTGTCGAGACATGGCATGCTTTGCTGGGACCTTGATGTACAATGACGCACTTTTATGTCCCTGTCCCGGGAACCCTTTTTCTTCATGGCTGCTCATCTACGATACTGACGGATCATTCCTCGCCTACTCATCGATCTTGGTGTAATTTGCTGGGAACAGACCTGATTGACCGTTGTATTCACCATGCCACCAGTCCTCATCGGGGAATGTCTGAGTAGTCGTCTGTCAGCAAACCCGAAACATGAGCGAAGACGGGGGCTTCAACTTACCACATTGGTGATGGTGGCATTTTCTGGGAACGACAATTCGTTGTCTTCGCCAGCCTCGTAGTCGTAAAGGGCTGTGGCAGTAGCTCCGAAAGCACCGGGCGGCTGGGGAGCAGACTCTTCATGCTCTGTCCCGGTCGCGGACGTCGCTGCTGGTGCTGAGGCAGTACCTTCCTCATCCTCCATCGGCACCAGATAATTACTTGGTACAAGTCCGGTCTGTGAGATTACCAATTAGCGCTTTACTCGCCCAGATCCGGAAACAGCTTACCTGTCCAGCCTCATTCTTGACCAGCCACCAATCCGGATCAATCTTCTGAATATCGGTGACAATTTCACCTATATTATCAGCAAAGAACAGTCGTCTCGTCAGGGAGTAATCGTACCTTCACGTAGTGAAACTTCATTCTCTTCGGCAGCTTCATATTCATACTCGGCCTTAGCTCTTTCTCCGCCAGGAGCAGGAGGTGCTGCAGGTGCAGCGTCGACTGCCTCTTGTCCCAGGGAATGAGCAGCCGCCGCATGTGCAGCGGCTCTTCCAGCATCAGGGCCTCGAGCAGGCTCATCATCATCTTCCTCTTCTGCTGGAGTTGGAATAGCTCGTGCAATGGAGGCGGCAGGCATTGGTGGCGGTGGGGAGAATTGTTCCTCGCGCGCATCGGCTACATCTATAGGCGCTGCTGACGCACTGACCGGCACAGCAACACGAATCGGCGATTCTTCCCTCATCTCATCAGGAATAGGTGGCGTCGGGCTTCTTGGTTGCAGAGGCGGCGTTGGCAATGCTGGTGCCTCCTCCTCCTCCTTCTCAGGCTCAGGCTGTCGACTAGGCAAGCCTGGGAACGAGCCTGGGATCGGTATGCCACGATTGGGCTTGTTGCTCGTGTCTGGTTCTGGAGCTGGTGGTGGTGCTCGGTCGAAGGTTGCGGGAGCACCCATAGGCGGAGCTCCACTAAATCGATCACGAAGGGAGCCAATTCCTCCAGAAGGCGAACTAGGAGCTTCCTCTTCTTCCTCTCGAGCCCCGCCCGCGCTATCTCCGGTCGTTTGTTGGCCGATACTACCACGGCCGGTATGACTGATCTGCACAGGTGCCCACGACTTGCCGGCATAACCACTTTTCCATTCTCCACCACTCTTTTGTGCGGCCACAGGAGGCTGTCCAGTATGGCCAGAAGGGGATACAGGTGGCTCACCTGAGCCACTCATGCCTCTCTCACGTGCTTTCTTCTCTGCCCAAAGTTGAGCGGGCGTCTTGCCTCCTTGATCAGCAAACGTTCTGCTAGCGGCCCCTACAGGTGCAGCCGGTGCAGCGGCCTTGGACTCGAATCCGCCAGGGAGGGGAGCCCTTGTACCTGTGAAGCTCGAACTACCGCCGAACTTGTTCGCGACCTTGGGTTTGGGCAAAGAAGTGAGTCGCTCGGGCCCTTGCGAGAAAGCAGCCGACCGGTCGGCCAGCGACCGAGGCCGTTCGGGTTCCTCAGATGGGCCAGTTGACGAGCTTGAGACTGGGGGTGGCCGAGAAAAGTTCGACGAGTCGTCCGGTTTCTGAGCCTTTGCCCGGATAGCAGCAATGTCCACCTTACCAATAGGTTCATAAGAACTCTTGACAGGCTCCGGTCGCTCGTCGCGTGACGTCCCTGCTTCTTGAGCCTGGCGCCGTATAGCTGCAATATCGACCTTTCCAACCGGTTGGTATGCTCCCTTGACCACACCTGGCCGGTCGTCTCCTTGACTGCCATTGAATGATGACGCAGCAGGCTGCTGTGAGGAGAATTCTCTCATGTTGACTTTTGTAGGTTGGTAAGCAGATCCAACCTTTTCCAATTGGGTCCGAGTTACGGGCGGAGCGTCTGAACCCCACCCATCCTCGTCAACACCTGTCTGTTTCTTGGGCAGATTTCGAGCAACAGGATTATAGCCTCCGCCCGTTACCCCACTGCTTTGTGTAGGAGTGAAGGCAGGTTTCGAGGCAACAGTGGGTTTAGTGGCGGCAACTGGCGGAGGAGCAGTGCTGCTCGTAGAGTACTTCGAACCAGATGCATCAGCCACCTTTTGAATGATTCCCTCGGGTGTCAGATCTCGGTCAGACCTTGCAGTGATCTGGACATGGTAGCCATGTAGCAATTTGGCAACAGTTGTCAAATGGCTCCCGAAGTAGCCTTTTGTTCTTTCCGGAACTCCTTCGCCGCACCAGGCAACCAGAGCACTTTTGGGCAAGCCACTATTGGAATCCTTGACCTTGACAAAGGCGAATTGGATCCGACCATCAGAGAACTCATCAACCAAGTCGATCAGCTCCCCTTCTCCTGTGCTCTGCACTTTTAAAACGCTCTCCTTGTTTGCCGAGTCCTGTGAGAATGCATTTGCTAGAGGCGCCGCGACAGAGAAGACGGCCCATTGACCGTAGGTTGGGGAGCTTGCGGCCTGTCCGGAGGGAGGTGGAGCGTTGACGACCGACTGGTAGCTCTTGGAGATAGAAGGTCCGTTCGTAGACGTATTGAGAGAAGCCATGGTTGAATATACAAGCAAAGACCTCAAGCTCGACTTGATGCCTTGTTCCCCGCTGCCTGGGGTTTGGCTAAACGAGGCCCTGTGAACGACCCGAGGATATAGTAGAACAGAAGAGAGGAGCAGGCTTTGAGCTGGAATTACACAGGTCGGTCCAGCACTGCTTGCACACTGAGAAAAGGTAGATCAAGTGAAGATGGGTATGCAGCTGACTGGGCCTTATTCAACATTCAGGGCAGGCATTGGAGTTACAAGCAGCAACGTCGGACCTGGGGCGCAGCCTCCAGGCTTGAACTCCGTCATCACCATCACCTTGGCAATTGCGGACAGAATCTGGCTGTCTGACACAAACCACATGCAGTCATCAACCCACGAACCGTCACAGATTCCAGCGTCAGACCGAACCATCTGATAGAAGCCTCACTCAGCGTGAACTTGCCTGCGCATATCCACCACGACTGCGGCAACCACATCAAGTTACAGGCACCAGCATCATCAGCAGAACGACGGAGAGAAGTCGCAATCTGTCCATCGCCAACCGTACTTTCAGCCTCCCTATCTTGCGCCTGTGCCACTACTGAGTCTTCCTCTTGCGACCGACCTTCGAGTGTCTACACCGACATCTCCGCATCTGACTGACTGACCCGAGCCTGGAGCGCTGGTTAGGATATCGCATACTGAGCCGACAAATTCACGCATACTAAGGACATACACGCGCTCTCCTTGCGAATCTGCGCGAACGCTCCCCTGCCGGGCTTTTCTTCGTGGATGCGCAGTTCTCGCTCATGATACGGAATATTTCCAGTCACGAGTCCTCTGAATTTGCTCGCAAGATTACACCCAATGCTTGATCTGGGCCGCATTGTTGCTCAGTATGCTTTCTTTCATGTCCCTATCCTCGTCAGACTGGGTTGTACACAGATATACCAGCTTTGAACGCTGAGATATCGCTGTACTGACAGTCATTTCCTACTTTGATCTCTTTCCTTTTCTCTTGTTCATGTATGGTCGAAGTTATTGTCCACCATGGAACCCGAGGAAGGACCCCATCCCGCAGATGGGAGATCCGTTGGAAAACGACGATGGACATCAGAATTCGAGGATCAGACGTATGGCATTTCTCAACATGTGCCGTCGTCAGATTCTCATTCTTTGCACATCGCGTCCACGAGAGACGGGACCACAAGGAAAAGACCCAAAGTCGCAGCGGAAGTATACGAGAGAGAGCCTCATGACCAAATCAGGAGTGACGAACCACGCGGGAGGGCGACTTTGGGGAAGTTACCCCCAGAGATACTGCAGCACATTTGCACGTTTCTGCACCCTATCTCCCTTGGACGCATGATCTGTGTCAATCGTCATATTCGTTCTTTGCTTGACCCTGCCGTACCTCTCCCGCCATCTTCTAGCCAGATAAGGTACCTGAAGCTCCGAAGCCAGGAATCTGTTTGGGCTACATCCCGGAAAAGGTTTCTCCATGGATTCCCCAAGCCAATGCATGATATGGGCGAACTGCAAATGTGGCGACTTATTCGACGCCGTGCATGTCAGTTCTGTGGAAAGCTCTCGCGCAAAAGAGAGGAAACAGCATCAACATCGCCCTGGGAAGCGGGGCCTGGACCTGAAAATGTTCGCACCATCTGGCCATTTCGCATCATGTCTTGTGGCCGGTGCTTGGGAGACCGCATTGTCAAGGTACGGACCGCCCGACTTTTGATTGTTAGCGTCGTTGACTGTTCCAGGAAACCGAATTGCTCCTTTCCGGGTCGTCTGTTTTGCGTCCTGGTCTTCCATATGCGATACTGACGTCTTTGATGCATTACATTCCTTCTGCTATCCTAGAGCGAACGCAGCTCCCGCCTCAATTAGAGCTTACCAAATACTACTTCAAACCTCAAATTGAAGAGCTTCAAGCTCAGCTGCGTAGTGTACAGCCATTGGGAGCATCTGCCTTGGAAGAGTGGTTGAAAGGCTTGGAGACAGATGGACGACAGGCGAACCTCGATGCAGCAAGATTTGACCAATGGGAACTCCATGGTGGCCGCGGAAAGCTGGCTAGCATTGTGGCAGATGTCATGAAGGACACTGGCCCATCCCTACAAAACAATATGGGTCGAGAAGGATACGACCGCACACGATTTTCTCCCGTACAAGCCTGGCAACTCATTACACCCACTGAGTCCTCCACTGGCCGTCTAGCATCCACCTCTGCCCCGCTAGGCGCTCTCAGCTCTGGTGAGTTTCTCTACAGTTCGTTTTACAATAGAAGCACAACCATGAACAAATTTATTGAGCATTTCTGACAAATGTTCTGATAGAACCGATGATTCCGCGGATTCCAGGCCTGCAAATGGCTCAGGTTGAAGTGCATCCCCGTTCGGCTACTTCTGAAAAACGTGCAAGTGCCCTTGGAGGACAGCAGTCGAGTAACGATCCGGTTGACCAAATTGTCCCCGGCCAACATCGGCGACAAAGGGTTGAAAGGAGTAAGCAAGAAGTAGAACATGCTAAGTTGGCACGCCGTAAAGAGATCGAAATGCGATGCCAGGAGTTCCAGCCGCCCATCAATCCAACAACGCTCCCATTCATGGATGCATTCAAAGCCGCAATACAGATCCCGCAGGCTCTGAACGACAAGGCCTGGGAGGTTCTGAAGCCTCGTCTCTTGGCGCAACGTGTTGATGCCGAGAGGAGAGAACAACTTCACAATGCTACTTCCGGTACGCTAGCTTTAGCAAATGAAGAGCGCAAACGATTCGAAGAAGAGCAACGTGTCGCGGTACGGAATGAAACAAACATGTGGCAGGAACTGAAGATCCCAGCTAGGGACAGGATTCAGCGATATGCCCAAGAGTTCATTCACCAAACATGGTCTGATGGCGGTGGTGTAACCAAGACAACAGCAAGTAAGTTTGCTGCTGAGGTCCTCTGCCATGCACGTCAGCGCTTCGATGAAGTAATTGCGCAGGAAGATAGGATGCTTGCGTTGAAAGGAACGGCTTTTCCCCAGGACCGAGAGTCTTTATCCTGCAGGAGACTGAAGTTGAAAGACATGAAGTGGCTTTTTGAAGAGGCGGTTAGACCCCACACCAGGGGCTTTGGCAGAGAGCTCTTCCTCTGTCGGGTGTGCGATACGAACCAAAAGCTGTTCTCTTTCGAAGCCGTCGTCCAGCACTATGCTGCGAAGCACACCAGCGAGCTCAGCCATGGCAGTATCATCGTCTACTGGGATGCTGATTGGCCCGTGGAACCACCCTTCGATCCCTCTCCGAACATCCCTTGGGTCTTTGACGGTGGCCATGGCTTGCCTCAGATCGACAAACGACCTCAGCCACGCTCACAAGCAGGTTCCTCGAGACAATCGGGGCAAGCAGCTAATGAGAGCTTGCAAGCTCGTGCAGACTATGTTGCAGATTCCGCACTCGAATTCTGGCAAAGGACAGATGGCATCTGGGATCTTTCCATGCCGGTCCGACTTTTCATTATCATCCAACATATCAGCCTGCAGTATCTGAAGAGATTCAGGCATGAGCTTACATTATTAGACTTCATGGATCTTGTGTCGAACCGGCCCGAACTGGAATTTCTTCGGAGGTTAGCTGGATTTCGATGCAAGACATGTCTGGACACCCTAGATACATCACCTTCGAGGCTGGACGGACCAGCCGACCAGGAGCGCTCTCTTCCCGATCTACTGCGCCATTTTCATCGGCTGCATGACAGTTCAACGTCCCGCGAACAGGTGTATCCGCCACCGTTGCCTCACAGATCGCATCCGGATTTTCCAATACTAGATTGGAAGCGAGATATGATATATCTTCCCAGTGCTGCAACCATAAAAGCCCTGCCATTCTCTCGGGGTATTGATCGGGACAAACTCCAGATCATTTCGGACGCGTTTCCTGAGCATTTCCCACAGCCAATGTCAGGAGGTAGTCTGTCAGAGCCACTGTCTGACTACCCTCAGCGTATGTTCCCACAAGCCTCACAGTTCATGGCTCAGCAACTTCATCGCGCTGCTGATCCTAGCCCTCGGATTGGTGGGGCAGGGTCATATGTGGCACGATCGGAAGGCTCGGTAGGTGTGTTAGATCAGTATGATCCGCATCACCCTGCACCCGCGATCATGCACAGACAGCCACATGTACCTCGATCTGTCCGCTCCTCTCCTCCAAGGAGAACGACTCAGTACAGAACGCTACCTCGCTACACGACAGGGTACCAAGTATCTGAGCAGGATTGTCATAGAGAGACTGAAGCTGGTGATGCTTGGGAAAGATCCGAGCGAGAAGGTCCGTTATCGCATGACTCCGTGGTCTACTCCCATGAAGGCGGGTCATCAAGATGGTCATATCGAGAGCCCCTTACAGAGTATAGCGAAACGACTGTTGGGACGCTTTCTGAAGTCAGGCCAGAAAGTAAGGCGACGAGCCGACAGTCGCTGTCTCTGGTGCCGGATTCAGACGTACGTAGTAGGTCTGGATATGTACGCACTCAACCGGGCAGCGATGGCGCGCATGATCTAAATCCAGCCGCAGATTTTCTTGCGAATTTCGACCCAATGGCAAATGAAACATTCACCAGCGCAGGACTCGCTGCGACTGGGTCACTCATGCGCCCAATTGAGGTTGAGGTGCAAAGATCACGGCCCGGGACTGTACTTTCTGTCCAGCCACCATCGCACCAGCGAATGACCGGTTTCGACGTCGAACATCGCTCATCGCCTCAGGGGAGATATACTCACTCCTTACCCTTACGTGAAGGCACTCAGCTACCTGACACCGGGCATCTCAGACGTCATGACAATGATTTGGCCGTTTCCGATGGTTTCATGGCAGATGTTCCTCTCCGCACCGCGCCTGACCGCGAGTATCTAGAGGCTTTGCCCGAGCGCTTGCATAGAGAGCAGCACCAAAGCATGCCTAGACATGGGGAGTACGGATCAATTTTCCATACTATTCCTGCACGGGAGACTCGGTACCATCCTGGAGACACACACAACTATGGCGATAGACCCTACAAGTATGCGGAGAACGCCTTGGAAGAACATTACTCATATCGAATACCTTCGGAGCGGTACGTTGAGATCGATCCCTCGCGCGAGCCTCGCTACATCGAGCATATACAACACCCTGATGATAGAGAGGAGTATCTACAGGTCGTTCCCAGAGGCTACCGAGCCGTTGAGGACGGCCATGGGCTTCAGCAGATTTCAGAGGCGCACAGGTATATCCGACATGATGCCCAATCTATCCCTGCAGAAAACTACGGAGCAAGGTATCAACGTCTAGGGGAAGGCGGAAACCGGGACGTGATTTACATGCCCACAAACGAGGCAAGGCGTCACCCTTCTCGTCGAAGCCGTCATGATCCTTCAGCGGAAGACATTCTTTGATGTTCGGCACTCACCACCAACCACCCACTTTTTATTGTTCTTGCCGTTTGTCTTTTCGAGACTGCTTGATGTGCATGTAGCACGGAAGGAGCAACCTCGTTTTCAACGTGGACAGGTGGCTCAGCTTATGTTTTTGTGCAAAGATACCCCCTTGTGTTTGGTTATTGTCACGAGCTCTCATAACTATTATGACATATATACATTTACGATAATATTAAGTCCAGTGTGAGGACGAACATTACTCAACATGCCCCCAAGACGCATTGCATCACTACAGAACAGTGATCATATGACATGATGAGTTGTCCTGCCAAGGTTAAACAGGCAGACTATGCGCTGGTCAGCGCCATAACACTATTTTCCTGGCACGTGGGCGTGGCATGACGCTTTCAGCACGGTCAGAGTGCTTCTCAGGCGAACATATGCGTGTCTGCCCAACGTGAGGCGGATGCGGAGGCGGAGCAGGTACACGACCGACACCATCATTCTTAATCTTGCTATATTTGTTTACAGGACTTTGCTCTGCTCCCAGGTTGCGTCATCAGATTTCGCAAAGGCAAGTTGACTGTTCGGGTTGCGGAATTGATCACAACCTGAGCAAGCACCGGACTTTCTCAGCGAAAACGTGTGCAGCGTGAGTCGTGTAACCGGAGAGCTGTTCACGTTGTGTTGGGCAGATCAGGCAGGTGTACAACTCAGGCCCTGGCGTGGCTGTGCCTTGTCTTTGTCCTCAAGGCGCCAGGTTGTCCAGCCAGGGCTGCAGACATCACGACTCGCGCTTATGCATGAAACTGACTAGCAATTCGGTGATCAGAAGAAACGATGTCCAGTGTCGAGGTCGATTTCGAATGCCCAATACCATGGCAGTCGCTTGGTGGAGATTGTCTGATTGGCAAGCTGCGATGCGTCATGGTCGCTTCATGTGACACCCTGGAGGGCGATGCGTTGGTTGGCGATTATGTTACGACGAGGAAATTGTCACTACAATTCGATCAACTACCGCGATGATGGTCGTTGTTGAGTCCAGGAGAATGAGATTACGCGCGATATCAAAGAAATACTAGGCGACAATGATGATGGTAGACAGGCGGTGGGTTCACCGCTTTCCGCAACGGATCGGAGAAGTTGAGGTGGAAATATCTTTTTATGAATTTTATTTCAGGTTTTCTGGGGTTCAATCCATGTCGTCGGTGAGGCGCAAGGTCGATAAATTCAGTCCGGAAATGTATCCTACCATGAACTCGATCGGGTGCGAAGCTAATGGCTTGCAGGTGTGGTAGGCATGAAGAGATGTCATGCATAAGAAAGAATCTCTAGCGAGGCCAAGTGTGAAGCGGTCAATGAGGTGAGAAAGTAGCTCCTCGAGTGCATATGCGGGCATTGCAAAAGGGAGCCTAGTTGTTTTCTACGAAATATGTCGCATCCTGATGTTGCTCCTCAGTACTTACCTGGTAGGTGTGAGGTGTATCTGGTTGTTGATGTCAAGTACGAAAGTATATCGGACGGAGTGAAAGTGAAATGTCAGAAGAGGGGCGAGTAGAGAGTGACAGCCTGAAGCCCACCTTAATAAGGCTTAAGGGGGACCTGAGTCGGGGTTGCCAGTTGGGGTTGCAAGTAATGGAGGGCGCCGAGAGAGGGTTTTTAAACCTTCCACGCAGGTATTGCTGCCGTAACTGACCGTCCGTTTAGAGAGGTTCCTGTGGTTCCATTCTTGGTCAAACCAGCCATTCATCTGTCGACCTCTTTTCTTTTCCCACTCATCGTTGCATCCATCATCCGCCGCCAAACAACCCAGCGAACCATCATCATCTCTACAACTCCGTTACCGTCTGCCCCAAAAGGTACGTATCAATCGCCATTTGATGATCATGCACCCATGGTGTTTTAGTCTCAAAGTCTGACTTGCGGCCACCACCGGACAGACCTTTCACTTTCCCCCAGCCATCCAATCGTCGCTGCCCCAGGACAACCTCATTCGTCTTGCCAGTATTCCCACTTCCGCCCTACATTGTGCATGTATGTTTATATTGCGATAGCGGGCGAATCCCATATACAGGATCCTGATAAGCTGACCAGACTTGCATAGACTTAGCGACCAAAGCCCAGGCGGACTGTGCATCTGCATCTGCTCTGCATCTGCAGCCTGCAGCTGTCCGCTCCGATCCTCGTCGCATCGCACAACACAACGCGCTTCGCATTCAACCACCCATCGCGCGTCGCATCTTTCCTTCACCAGTCGAGTCTTTGTTTCTCCCACCCTCCGGCCACCTATTCGTCATCCGGGCCTCGTGGCAGACCGCCTCGACCTTCGCACCGTCATCGTCTATTCGACACCCTATCCGAAGCCTTTCCATCGTCTTGGGGCTGTCGCATCGCGCAAGCACAGCTGCCTCCACTCTGGAAGCTTGCCGACTGGAAATCATTTCGGGCACCAACAGCGCAAAGGAAAAGAAGAAAGAGTGACGCACGCCAGCATTAGGCATTCTGCGTCGGTGCCGCCCCAAGTGTGTGACGTGGTCACGGTCAGCCAAACATTTTCTCGCCCTGCAATCCGGCCGCTGCGGCTATCCTGAAACTACATCATGTCGACCTCCCCACCCAAAGAGCCCGATGTCGAACAAAGTGCACAGTCCGGTGAAGAGCAGGATCATATGGATCGCGAGCAAGAAGGAGCACAAGGCACTGGCCTCGGTGAATTCGAAGTCAAAGAGCAAGACCGATGGCTTCCCATTGCAAATGGTTGGTGATTTCCCACTCTCTCCCTTTGCACAAGACCATTTGGCGTCGGCAATTTGATTTGTTCGACCCTTGCGTTACAGTCATGCGTCTTTGCGTGCACCAGGAACGCGGCCTTGACCCCTCTGTACGAATCCGAATGTGCGACGCTGCAGCTGCTCATTAGCCAGGATCGTCTCATTCGTTCGTCACATCTCCTCTTCTCAAGCCATGATTTGCATCGCAACTCTGCTTTGCGCTGACTGGTGCGGTAACTGGACCATTCAGAGGATTTTGTTGAGCCCATAACATTACCTCGAACATGTCTTTGGACCGTAATACTGCCAAAGCTTCATCATCGTTGCGCCGACATCATGGGGGTCGAGCGTCCTCTTCTTCTTCGTCTTCTCCTACTGCAATGTCAGATGCTAACATACGAAACTTTGCGCCAGTTGCTCGAATTATGAAGACGGCTCTGCCGGACAACGCCAAAATAGCCAAAGAAGCAAAAGAGTGCATGCAAGAATGCGTGAGCGAATTCATCAGCTTCATCACGAGCGAGGGTACGTCGATGGGAAATCCTGGGGCGTCGGTGCATTTGGACTAACGTTGCACAGCGTCCGAAAAGTGTCAACAGGAGAAGCGCAAGACGGTCAATGGGGAGGACATTCTATTCGCCATGACCTCGCTTGGGTTCGAGAACTATGCCGAGGCTCTGAAGATTTATCTATCCAAGTATCGCGAAGTAAGTTTTGATTTCTCCCATTCTCCTTTGTCAACTCGACGAGGATCAACAATCTGAACTTGAACTGATTGGGATGAGACCCAATCCACAAGGGGCGAGAACCAGAACAGACCAACCAGCAGTGGCGGGTATGGAGGCCCAGTCGGTGGCGGCAACCAGGGCAATCCCGCCGCTGGTGCCTCAGGTTACGCCGGGCAACCCGAGAATGCCAACGACATATTGAGCCAAGGATTGAATGCGGGCGATCACGACGCAACCAGCGCGTACGGCTATCCCGGCGCCGTGCCCACCGGCCACAATGGCATCTCCAGCGACAATTATTAGATGTGGTGAGGAGACGTTCGAAGGCCAAGGTAGTCATTGGCCAGCAGCGCACGAGAGTGCGACTTCTACCAGTTCCTCGAGCCAGGTCAGGCGGAGTTGTGGTTGGAAGGGAGGAGGTTTGAGTTCTAATGCTGTATACGAGGGAAGGGATAGGATGTGCACATTTGGGTTCTTTGCAAGGGATGAAGGCGGCTCTCTGAATATGGGCATGGGCAAGTTCATGCACGGCATGGATCTTCTGGACGGAACAACGGGACGAGTGAACATTGAGGGGAAATGCGGAAAGGAGGGATAGAAGACTGAATTCGAGGGCATTGATGTCAGATGAAAGACGTCCTGAAGGTTGAATCATCAATGCTGCGTTGTATCATATTCGAACCAGTCTCGTTCCTCACTTCAGGCCAAGCCATACCAAGACGATTGTTACATGCGCCCTTGATATACGTCGATGTCTGTCTGTTGACTCTTGAGTCTTGTCACGCCCTTTTGATGGCAGATTAGACCACAATCAGACTAGCTCCTCTTGATGCCGCCGTATAACCGATCTGATTGGCGGATATGCAGATAAGTCAGGGCAACCGACGATAAGCATGCTTGCCGACGTCAGCCGGAATTTCGGAAAAAGATTGTGACGCCCCTGTTGCTCCGGGTTGAAGGTCACATTTTTTATTATTATTAGGTATATATTAGGTATAGGTATCCTCTTTTCATACTGTCACAAGACTACTATCGTCTCTCACATTCATTACTGGGTGGTTTGTACATATCCCATTGAAAGGTCCCTGGGGGTGGAACATTCTTTTCCAGTACGCCTTGGGTTTTTCGAATTCCCCCTACTAGGTTACTTGTTTGAGCAAATAACGATAACAACCATGGCACCCCACGCCAACGCCGACGTCGAAATCGAGCCTGTCACAGATACTTCATCTGTGGTCGTCATTGGTCCTGTCCAGACAAAGACGGTCCATCCCCAGAAAATCACGATCGATCATGTAATGCACCACCGACAAACTGGTACGGCGGTACCGAACATCGTCGCCGCCTTTGCTAGCCCCAATATGTTCAAAAGCAAAGCTGCTCTCGGCAAGCCAAAGGCCAAGAAGAGCTTCGAGCATCGCCTCACAGAGGAGAGTAAGAGCCGAAACCCGTCGTCGCTGAAGGAGGCGATGAAGTATTATCGGGCCGGTACCATTAGTCTTTGTGGAGGGTTGCCGTCAAGGTAAGCTAGCTAAGTCAAGCTGAACAGCCCCCTCTCCCGGGACTTTTGCTGATGTGTGTTCAAGCGAGTACTTTCCATTTGAGGAAGTGAGTGCAAAAGTACCCGTGGCACCGGCGTTTGCAGAAGCGGACACAGCCACGTCCGGAGTGACCGTTTCATCGGGCAAGTACGATACCGTGCGCGATGGGAAATCAGATCTCGATCTCGCCATCGCTCTCAACTACGGGCAGGCCATGGGTCCGGGGGCATTGATCCGTTTCCTGACCGAACATACCGAGATTGTGCACGACCCGCCGTACTCGGATTGGGATATCTGTTTGACGGCAGGGAGTACGTCTGCGTTGGAGATCGCGCTGCGCATGTTCACGGGCAGAAGCCACTACGTGATCACGGAGGAATATACGTTCAGCAGCGCCATCGAGACTGTGGTTCCGCTCGGCGCTAAGATGCTGGGCATCAAGATGGACGCGGATGGCATGTTGCCTGGAGAATTGGACGACGTTTTGTCCAGCTGGGATGAAAATGCCCGGAGAGCGCCGAAACCGTTTTTGATGTACACGGTGCCCACGGGCCAGAACCCCACGGCGAGTACGCAGTCCCTCGAGCGTCGGAGACAGATCTATGCAGTCGCTGAGAAACACGATCTGTTCATCCTCGAGGATGAGCCGTATTATTTCCTGCAAATGGATCCGTTTGTGTCGGGACGGACGCACACTGTGCCCTCGCCGTTCAAACCTGCCGGTGTGTCGGACTTTTTGGCCAACCTTGTTCCGTCGTATCTGTCGATCGATACTTCGGGACGCGTGTTGCGCATGGACTCGTTCTCCAAGATCATCGCGCCGGGAAGTCGATGCGGCTGGGTGACCGGTTCGCCCAAGGTGGTTGAACGGTTTATGCGGCATAGTGAGGTCAGCACGCAAAATCCCTCGGGTTTCGCAATGGTGGCGCTGCACAAGCTGCTCGACGAGAACTGGGGACACAAGGGTTTTTTGGAGTGGCTGATGTACATTCGGGCAGAGTACACAAGGAGACGGGATATTATGGTCAATGCCTGCGAGGAGCATCTTCCCACTGAAGTCGCTAGCTGGGTCGCTCCGAAGGCTGGAATGTTCCACTGGATCAGCGTCGATTTGACAAAGCACCCGCTTTACCAGGCCAAGGGTGGGAACATCGACTATGCGACGCTTCTGGAGATCGAGGAGGCTGTGTTTGTGTCGGCGGCGGAACAGGGTGTGTTGATTGCGAGAGGGTCATGGTTTCGCGCCCAGAGGGGGACGGATACTGAGTTGTTCTTCCGCGCGACTTTTGCTGCTGCGCCGGCGGAGAAAATTATCGAGGCAATTGCTAAGGTTGGTGGAGCGTTGAGGAAGGAGTTTGGACTGCCGCAGAAACAGGTGCAAAACGGGCATGCGAAATGAGTGCTTGATATGAGGATATCCGGAAATGGTAATGCAACAAACGTGGAAGCACGGAGGTGTTTGGCCGATGAGAGCAGCGACTGGTGTCGTCGAAGTATGAACTGCCATGGTTTGATGCCGAGGCACTCAAGCGACACTTTTGAGCCATGCGTTCGTGACTGAAAATGCTATAAGGTTAGCAAAACGGTCATGGGCCAGGCCTCTATGCTGAGCAGACGTTCGACAAGGTTGGGATTGAGTGCAACAAGACATCTGCACCGATGATGCAAGCTGTGTTCTGTGGCGCTCGATGTTACCAATCAGCGAGCGGGGTCAGGACCTCATGAGACGAGAAGGTAAGCGATTGCACGGCTGGGCAATATCTTTGCCATTATTGCGACTTTGTGCATATCGGGCAGTCCTTCCTTTCCAGGTCGTTCTGGTAGCGTTTTATCACAGCTGTGGAGGAGGCGTGGCTGGAAAACGAGGGGTATAACATATTACTGTACATACTTCGGGATTGCATTGCCTGCGTGGGCATGGGCGGACAAGGATAGTCGTAGACCATTCTTATAGATTACACCAGACCAGGGAGCAATCCTCTTGAGCCGCAAGTCTCTCTCCTGTCTGCTTTTGTGAATGCTGGCGAGTCTATAAGTCCCATCTCCGCCATCCAGTTCACCTGTGCATTCCGCGTGCAGTCCTCGCCGTCACTCCTTCTGGACATCAAACCCGTCCCACCGATTCAACGCCGCGGCAGTGACCTTATTATACTCATCCACTCCCTCGAGATAAATCAACTGCTCTCTCGGCTTTCCAGGTACATTAGCACCCATATACCACGAATTTGTCTCCGGGTACAACGTCTTATCATTCATACTCTGGATATCCTCCCTCCACTTTTTCGAGGCTTCAAACTGCGGATCAATGCTCTTCACACCCTCCTCTTGCATCTTTTTGATGGCGGCAGCAATCCAGTCGATCTGTATCTCGATGATCGGCGGACCATTGGACAGACTTGTCGGCGCCTGAGGAGAGTACACCATGAACATGTTAGGCATGCGGTCGATCATGAGCCCTAGGTAAGTATATGTGCCAGTTTTCCATTTCTCGCTCAACGGCTTGCCGTCGCGGTCCACGAGGCCAATGTCCAGGAGACTTCCTGTTACTGCGTCGTAGCCTGTCGCTAGGATAATGATGTCGAATTCATGTAATTTGCCATCCTCTGTACGAATGCCTTGCTCATCGAATTCCTGGATTGGTGTCTTGTTCAGATCGACGACAGTCACATTGTCCCGGTCAATCATCTCGTAGTAATCCTGCTCGAGACTGGGACGTTTCGTGCCGAACCAGTGTCCTTGTTTCAGTGGTGCAAGAACATCACGTTTTTGGGGATTGTTTATGCGTGAGCGGACTTTTTCCGCCCAAAACGCATAGAACTCGCGGTTGACGTCTTTGTCAACCAAGAATTCGCGGTAATTACTGATCAAGAAGGCAAAACCGCCGCGTTGCCATAGGTCTTCCCAGTATTCTTTGCGCTCTTCGGGGCTGGCGTCGAAGAACGTCTTGGGAGCTGGGTTATAGGGAAACCCTGAACGACATTGTTTCGCGGATTCGTAGTATGCTTGGTAGAAGGATTTTGCGTGATCTTGTTCCTCCTTGGTAAGTTTACGCTGGTGCATTGGTAACGCAACGTTGGGGGTACGGATGAATGCTGTGAGTTGGCAGTCTTCGCGCGCGAGTTCTTGGACGATTTGTACGCCTGTGGCCCCAGAACCGACGACGCCGACTTTCTTGCCGGTGACGTTGATGCCGTCTTCGGGGTAGAGAGCGGAGTGTATGAGGCGGCCGCGGTATTCGTCGAGGTTCTTGAAAGAAGGGAAATGTTTCTTATAGGATGACCCTGTCGCTAGGACCAGGTACTTCGCTTTGGCGAGGCCGCCGTCATCGGTCTTGATGTGCCATTGGCTTTCCTCGTCGATGAATCGGGCTTCTGTGACGATGGTGTTGAAGAAGGCGTCTTTGCGGAGGTCGAGTGTTTTGTCAACGTGGGCGAAGTACTTTCGTAACTCTTGGTGGCCTGGGAAGCGTTCGCTGTATGTCCAAGTCTTGTATACTTCCGGGATGGACAAGCCGTAGTACGGTGTCTCGCTGTCGACGCGTGCTCCTGGGTACTTGTTCCAGAACCAAGTGCCGCCAAAGTTGGAGCCTGCTTCGAAGAGTTTGACGGATAGACCGAGTTTGCGGAATTGGTGGAGGCCGTACATTCCACCCATCCCGCCGCCGATGATCAATATGTCGGTGATGATGTTGTGGATGTTGTCGCCTGATGTGCCATTGACGCCATCGACCCCGTTGGTAGTGCCATTGGCTATGGGGGACTTCTCGACGTGAGAAGCCTCAAAGTCCTCCGGTCGATTGGGGAGACCGGCCATGATGGATGCCGTTGGCTGTATGAGCCGTTCAGGCTAGTGAGGCCATTCTAGGAGAACCAGAGGATGTGTAGATATATGTATGAGTTGGATTTGCCTCCCATCGACATGTTCATTCATTTGCAACGGTGTTATATCGCCATCGATAAGCCGAGGCAGCATAGGGCATACCGTTTACCCCTCCCCCAGGCCAAAAGGCCAAAGCTTGTCGAGTCAGCGTCATTAGCTTTCTCGGAGTCATGGAGAAAATGACAAAACCGGCGGGGACGATGCGAGGTGAGTGGTAAGACTTCGGGTACGAGTCAAGATTCTCCAGATAAGCACTTAGGCGGTATAGGCTTTGATTTGTGGGGTGATACGAATTTGAGAACCACTTGAGGACTCAATTTCGCCCATACAAAGTCCTCATGCTAAGTTTTGTCCTTTTGACTTTTCAGTATTCTCCCTCTCATTCTATCTCCATCTCTCAAATCTCATCATCATGGCGCCTACGGTTCAGACTCGACTGCTCATCATGTCTGATACACACGGTGTAGACTTCAGCTCCGAGAATAGACCTCTCCAACACGTGGATGTCGCTCTACACTGCGGCGATCTGACTGATGGCTCTAAACTTGAAGAGTTCCGGACGACACTCCAGATGCTCAAGATGATTAATGCGCCACTCAAATTAGTCATAGCAGGAAATCATGACTTCACCATGGATTCCACTGCGTTCGAAACAAAGGTTGCCGAATCGGTGCCACCTTTGGAACCCGAGCTCGTTGCTCGGGAATATGGTATATTGGGACAAGCAAGGCAACTGTTTGACGACGCAAGGGATGCAGGTATAGTGTTCCTGGCTGAGGGAACTCACGGCTTCGTGCTCGAGAATGGAGCCATGCTGACAATCTACGCAAGTCCATTCACGCCCTCCCTAGGCGCATGGGGCTTCCAATACCACCCGAACAAAGGTCGTCATTTCGACATCCAAGCCGGAACCGACATTGTCATGACTCACGGGCCGCCCAAAGGAATCATGGACTTCACCTACGGTCGAGAAAGAGCAGGCTGTCCTGATCTTTTCGCCGCCGTTGCTTACGCCCGGCCCCGGATTCACTGCTTCGGCCATATTCATGAAGGATGGGGTGCAAGGCTGGTAGCATGGAAAGACAGCGGTGCGGACAAACCATCCCATTTTACTGTCATCGACAACGAGAAGTCGCCCGTCATCGAAAAATTGGCCACGCTTAGAGAAAATTCACTGGACTCGGATGATATGGCAGAAGAAAAGCGAGTCAAGTTGGAAAGACTGAACCACAATGGATGCTCGACCACAAGCCACTGTGCACAAGACGAATATCCGCTTCAATCGAGCAAGCAAACACTGTTCATCAACGCCTCCATCATGGGCAGCGAAAGGTTTGTGCAGAGACCCTGGCTCGTCGACATCGAGCTTCCAAGGCACCGAAAATCACAGTAGTCTTGCACGCAAGAGTTCGTGCGCACTCCAACAATCACCATCTGCAGCCTGATGGAGGTGGTCCTTGACGACAAGTGCTGACGCACATCCACTCGATGTGGCTAGATGCTATCGTACTTTGCAACTCGGTTAGCTGTTGCCAAGTTCATGAGGCCGCATTTCTGCCCAAAGCTGGTGCCTAATAAGGATCACTAAATCGACAATTGGTGTTCGGTACTGGCTGCTCGCCCAGATTTACTCCGAGGTCTGGGGTTACACGACCTGGTGAGGCTCACAATTGTGATTCGATGCCATAACCCCTGCTACCCCGGGTGAGGACGTCGTCCCGAACCCAGCCTTGTAAAGAGAAAAGGTTGCCCAAACCTACCCTGCCATCTCTGCTCGCAACCTCCACCTTCACGGCACACTACCTCCATACCTTAATCATCCTGTCTATTTGTTTTAACAGAGCACATTCCAGTTACAATATGGTAATGGTCGAGGACGACGACTCCGATTAGGAGCCGAGCCTCCAGAAGCCTGACCAGGAGAACTCCAACATTACTGACTTTGATGGCAACAAAGATAGAACCGACGATCTCACGAGACCCAATTACAATGCTCCGGGACAATCTAGCTTCCTCAACTTTGGCCCTGTCAAGAATTATCGGAAGAAACAAGTGCTCGTGGATGCGATGAGCAAAACGAACGGTCCGTCGCCTTTGCACCAGGGTTTCCGCGGTTCGGGAGCAAGCAGCGGCACCACACCTGTCTTGCATGCCTTCGACCACTCATCCGATAAACGTCCGGACCGCGTTCCCGGCGACCCGCACTCGCATCACCAGGTTCGGATCTATGGCAACGCTGACCAGACTGGGGGTCATGTAGCGTACCATCTATACCCCAATGGCGACAATACCGTTAGACAAAACGGTCAAATAGTACGAGACCCTGGTGAGTACAATTATGCGATCGAGAACATGCATCAACATGGGCCGGGCGTCTATCGGATTCCCAAGGGATACAAGGGCGTCGAAGAGGAATGGCGAGAAAACGGTGGAGTAAGAGAACGGCAGGCCGACGGCAGAGATGCGGGCAACACTGCGAAACATGCACGAGGAGGACATCGAGTATAAAGTCGCTCTCGAGGAAAGGCAGATAGGACGAGCTGTAGCATGATGGTGCGGACGCACAACTTCCATCACAAGCGCTACTAGAGCCAGGAGCCTTACGACACTCATTTTTGGAATGAACCCTGCCTGCCAAAGGCCAAAGTCAAGATGCTCAGACAAGCATTTGCGCTTCTGCTCGGTTTCAATCTTCCCTTGCCCATCGCCCTCCCATCATTTCGCTCAATAGATATAGCGGAAGTTCATGTTCTCCCTATCCGTCAAATCTCCGAAAGCCGTAGCATCCAGATCACGACCCTCAAGACCTCCTTCCTGAGCCATCTGAACCTTATCCCGACGGATATTCTCAGCTCTCATAAGCACCCAGAACGTGATAATCAGGACGACTTCAATGAGATGACTGTACCATCGTCAGTCTCCATGCCTTCGCTAGCAGGAACAAATGAGCTCTTACCTAACAATCATGCTCCAAATGCCCAGACGATAACCAGGCGCTTGGTTGGTCTTGTAGAAGAATGGCCCGGCGATATTACCCGTGCAATAGCCGAGGAACAAAACAGCATTGGTGACGACTTTCTTGGTGTGTCCTGCCGTGTTTGCAATTTGGAGGGACAGGATCATGACGAAAGCCGCATTGTAGGGACCGGTCAACAGATAGCAGAAGTAGCGGCCAACGTGGTGAGACTCGTTGACAAAGCAGAGGCCGAATGCGCCAGCGATGTTGGGGCATAGGAAGATCAGGATGAAGAGCTGTGACACCTTTGTTAGAACAGACCTTGTCATCGGGTAAGGGGACTTGCGCATCGCTTGTTCTCGTAGCGGTTGTTCATGAATACGCAGGTTAGGATAGACAGAATGATGAAGCATCCGTAAGGGATCTGCATGAGCGTTGTGACGAGGGTGGAGAAACCGAAGCCTTTGATGATGAGTGTTCCGAAGTTGGAAATGCCGCCATTCGGGATGTTGCCAACAACACCCAAGAAGAAGAACAGATAGAGCTTGATATCGCTGAATGCTTCGATCACCTGGTAGGGCTTGAGGTGCTTGTTCAGAATCCCAGTCTGATTTGACTTGAGACGCTCGACTGCAATCTTTCGCTCACGATCGTTCAGAAACTTGGCGGTAATTGGTGAGTCAGGCATGAAGATGCCAATGACAATACCCCAGATGCTGCACAAAGCGCCGATGATCAGGAATTCGTATCTCCACGATGCCAGTGCGCCTTTGATGTGGCCGATGCCGTAACCGAGGAGTCCACCTAGAGCGATACCCATGCCGTTCGCAGTATACCATAGACCGCAGCGAAGTGGCTGCTGTTTTCTTGTGTACCACATCTGCGTGATGAGCAAGAAGGATGGGTCGCTACATGCTTCTGCTGCGCCGGCAAGTGCTCGCAGAAGACCCAAAGTCGCGAAACTGTTGCATGCAGCTTGCAACATGAGGAAGAATCCCCACATGAAGATATTGAAGCCGAGGTATTTGCCCAAAGGTAGTCGCTGCATCAGGAAGTTGGTTGGGAATGCCCAAGCGAGAAAGCCAAAGTAGAATAAACTGCTGAGCCAACTGTACCGCGTGCCTTGCAGATTGAGATCGTCCTTAATGCCAAAGATAGCGGCATACGAGAGGGTGGTCTTGTCGATGTAGAAAAAGGCATAGTTGACGGCGATGAGAGGTAGAATTATGAGATCGATCTTTCGCACGAGTTTTCTTTCCTCCTCTGGGTCGATTGGCTCATTGAGTTCGTCCGCATTGGAGAAGAGTTGTAGGGCAACATCACCATCGCCCTCTTTAGCTTTCGAGGAGAACTTGAATTTGTGTATTGTCGGTGGCAGGCTGGGGCTTTGAATAGTGTGAAGTTCATCATGGGTAGTGATGCCCTTGTCATCGACTTTGGGCTCCATCTTGCAGGGAGCCGGATCACGAAACTGATACAAGTTGTGAGACTGGCCTGGATGCTTCGCGCCGAGTTACGGTCCACCCTGTCAGAGAGGACAACGGGCCTTGAGAGATGAGGGAAAAAGAAGGCTGAAAAAGTTGGACGGGGGAGTTCGAGGCAGTGCCAGATAGTCATATTCATCGAAGTGGTGGAACGGTTCAATTCCACGGTGGAGAAGAAACTGTATGTAATGATGTGCAGAATGTGGCACGCACCGCGCGCCTGTGCAAACGGTGTCTGACTTCCTTATGCCGATGGCATCGATGCACACAGTCGGACTCGAACGCCGCTGCAGGTCGTATCGATGACCAGTCTTAGCACGTCGATTGTGGTCAAATCAAAGGCGTACAAGGCTCTGCCCCTGGTCAGTTGCCCCAGTAGATCCACAAGCTAGTCTGCGAGGAGGTGCGGGGTTTGGAAGTTGGGGGACTGCAACTGGCGTCACGACGGTCCATCATCCCGCCGCTCGGTTTTATGGCCAGCGAGGCTGGCAAATCATTGGATATCCCATCGGACTCCCAGGCATACCCTGCTCATCTAGCAAGTCAGACACTGACGTACGACTGCAAGAGCATTCACCGCAATGCCTTCACCTCGCACTGGTTGACCTTGCTGCATCGTCACATTTGAGGCGAAGTACAGAGGTCGTTCTTGAGGGTGTATGGGTCCGTCGTAGACCCGTCGCGTTATCCGACGGAAAGGAAAGCTTGGGGCGGTGAATGAAAGGCATCAGTACTCTTGAGCTTTCGTTGGCCGACAACAAGATCGACCCCACGTGGAGGGCCACAGAAGTACTGGGGGTACCGGAATGCGCCCACCTGGCTTCTGATCACCTGCGAGATGTTCCACCGGATGTTGTTGGGTTGAACGTGCCGTTGTCGGTCTTCATGTCGGGAGCAGCCCACTTCATTCCGCTGGGGCATACTAAGCAACCGGTCAAGTCGGGCCTTTAGCCGACGCAAAGTCTGATGCCAAAAACACTGCCTGACTTGAATAGCATTTGCGTGCTGACCCTCCAGATCTTGCGGTAATTGTTTGTTCGCATATACTCCAGTCATGCCACCAACAGTCGGCTGACCTATTCTTCTCGTTGTCCTTTTCATGAGTAGTCAGACAGTGTTCTGGACCTTGATTCGAAGCTGATGACATGCTGATAAGTGATGAATCCCGCGCAATTACCCATGTTTGTGAGATCGGATATATGAATCAGGAATGTGCATGGTAATAACATGCGCCGAGTCGTTGTCACGACCTGACGCCCAGCACCACCATTCGCTTCTCTGTTGGCTTTGCATTCGGACAGGAACAACAGTCCAACCGATGATTTCTCCGCATATGATCCCAGCGTCCATGTGGTAGACTGTATCATTGAGGTTGTCGGGAGATCTGGCTGTCATGCAGCCTCCAAGATGCCGGGCATAGATCCAAAATTCAATAATAATCACAGCTCTTTCAGCATGATAAGACCGGTTTGCACAACCCCGCCAACGACGAAGTCGCGGTCACCAACCAATTCATAGCAGAGCTTCTCGTACACCTTCTGAGCCTTGTGGTTCTCCTCCCACACACCCAACCACATGTACTTGAACCCTTGCTCGCGCGCCATGGCCTCCAACTGCTTAGCCAGGATCTTGCCAACTCCGTAACCCTGGTATGCAGTGCTCACATACAAGCGTTGCAGTTCGACATATCTCTCCAAATGAGCGATGCAAGGTTCGCTTGAGCCACGAGTCAAAAGAGCGAAGCCGACAATGATGCCTTCAGAATTCACGGCAAGGATCAGGTCTTTGTTCGGATCAACAATGTCTTTGGTGAAGGCTTCGACACTGTAAGCTTCATCGAGGTAGGCTTGAAGCTCCTCTGCCGCGAGTGAGTGTCCGTAAGTGACTGTAAATACATGGGCACCGAGGTGGGTGACGTGAGTGGCATCATCAAGTCGAGCCTTACGCGTGGTGATTGGTGACGTGGATGAGGCGGCCATATCCGATGCGAGCTTCATTGACTGTAAGATGATCTTACAGGGGCTGACGAGGCAAAAGATGAGACTACTTATGAAGTCTCATGTTGTGTCGGCGGACACCCGGATCGCAGTCTTGTCATCAGGAAGATTCGAGCACAGATTCAGTCGTTGAAGGGCGTGATGAATAAAGATCTGATAGACCGAAATTGAGTCCGGACTAGAAATCACCCTTCTCGCCCGGGGCCAATTACGCCTAGGCGATTCCGGCTGCGGACCTGGAAGATCCCTATCGAGGCAGGTGCATCCGGCATGCCATTCTTTGCATCTCACGCCTTGCCATTGACAAGTGCCACAGTCAGTTCATCGTTCGACATGATTACGAACAACTCTACACATTTGTCTTTCTCGTAAATGAGCAGTTCCGATCAGATATAAGTCCTTTCACCAGGAAGGAAAAGGAAGGATAAAGGCAGCAGTCAACGGGCAACTCCGAACTAAATACTCCCAACAACCACGACTGTTCTGCCAATTCGTACCGTCACGCAGACTGTCAAAGACACTCTCATTTGCTACTAGAGCCGTTCCATCACCACTACGAAGTCAGGTCACTCACCATGTACCTCCGCGCTGCTCACGCAGAGCTGCACATCCCCAGCCTACGCAGCTTCATTCGCCAAAACCCTCTAGGCCTGCTGATCACCGCTCTCCCATCATCAAACTTCCCGACAATTCAGTGCACGCATCTTCCCTGGCTACTCGATATCAACGACGAATCCAGCGAGACTGAGCTCGGCATACTCCGTGGCCACATGGCCAAGCCCAATCCGCACTGCAAAGCCATGACTGAAGCCGTTCAAGGGTCCTGTCCTATAACCGGAGGCCTCACACAGGAGGTCTCGGTCATTTTCAACGGACCAGCACACCACTATGTGACGCCGAAATTTTACACAGAGACAAAGCCGAGCACCGGCAAAGTTGTGCCCACGTGGAATTACTCCGCCGTTCAAGCATACGGGATGGCGACGATTCTTTATGACTCCAACAACCCCGAAACTGGCGAATTTCTCCAGAGACAGATCAGTGACCTTTCCTATCACGCTGAGACCAACATCATGGGGTATACAGGGGGCGACAAGCTCAAGCCGTGGAGTGTCACGGATGCTCCGGAACGATACGTCGACCTGCTGAAGAAGAATATCATTGGCATTTCCATTGAGGTTACCCGCTTAGAAGGCAAGTACAAAATGAGCCAAGAGCTGGGAAAGGGGGATCGGGAAGGCGTCATCAAAGGCTTCCAGGCCTTGCATACAGACGAGGGTAATGTGATCGCCACAACAGTAGAGGAGAGAGGCGCTTTGAAAGAGGCACAGACACGTGCTTGAATGAGTCCAGGGCATGGCGTGTCAGTCGACGCTTTTGCGATCCTGTCTGCTCACAACGCTCAATCACACATCATGCCTGGCGTTTTTGCTCATATGCCGGATCTTGACACCATACTATGTCTTGGTCAGTATAGTGCTGGGTGCTCGGGTGTCCGGCTCACCTTGTAAAAGATATAAGGGAGAGGCATAAAGCATACCGCAATGCCTGCGAGCAGCGAGTTACCAGGCGCTATCCCCAGACGATCGAACAGTTGTCGCGCCTTTCGGACATTCAAGTCAGCTCACAACCCGAGGAACAAATGACTTACTTACAAAAAGTGGAAAAATGGCACCAAACAACGCTCTGAACAGCGCATTCCCCGCGAATATCGAGGCAGCATACTTGGGATACGCAATTCCCAGAAAATTCAACACCGGATTGAACAGCGTGATGATGCCGATGGTGAAGAAACTTGAACCGACAATGGGCACAATCCAATGTACACTCTTCCGAGCAGACCATCCATACCAGAACAGGCAGATGGGTAGTGACGCCGCGCCAAAAAATGCTGGTGGGAGGACCATTTCGGGTTTGAACGTCAGCTGTGAAATCTTTGGAGCGATCCCATGTCTGATCCATAACAGGAAAAGAGGCAGCGTGACGAGACCGCCGACAAAGATGCCCAGAAAAGCAAGTCCCTGCTCTTGCGTGTCGAAACCATACACTCCGCCAAAAACTAAAGGAAACGACTCGAACCAGGTGAAAAGTACTCCATAGAGGAGCGCCGTATACAAATCCAACAGAAACACAATGGGTTCGGAGAACGTGAGCGTGAACGCCCGGCTGAGCACAATCAAATCGTCTCTCAGTGTGAGATGAGCAGCGTCGATCTCAGACTGGCTCTTTAGGCGTGTGTCGCCCGTGGCTTCCCTTAATCTCTTCGCCCGTTTGTACAGGATCTTGGCGGCACTGGTCTCGGGCATCAGGAAGAACAGCATTACTGCCGCAACCGCGCAAAGCCATGTAAACGTCCAGATGCTCCAGCGAAAGCCTTTCGCAGGAGCGACGAACCCTCCTAGAATCGGGCCGAACACCGGACCACATATTCCGCAGGCACCCCAGATGGCGATACCGTACGCTACTCTGGCAGGAGCGTACATGTCTGCGATTGTGGCTCCGCCTGTCGCGAGAGCAGGACTGCCCAGGAAGCCGGTAATGTAGCGAAAGACGAGAAACATGGGCATATTGACGGCGTGGCCGGTCGGGAGTTGAAGCAGGACGAAGAACAGGAATGTCCAGAAATATATCCCGCTGCGGCCGATGGTGGGCATTTCGGACAGTGGTGAGAGGAGCATGGGCCCGGTTCCGTATCCTCTAAACGTACCGAAAGGTCAGTGTTGGCCATGGGAGATTGCCTGCTGGCAAGGGTACGTACAGTGTGAACAGCGAAAGACCCAGTGTCGCCACAGTCTCGCTGACGCCAAAGTCTGCCATGATACTCGGTTCGCCTGGAGTGTAGATCGAACTTCCGATGTAAAAAGCGAAATTGAGGACGCAGATCTGGGACGTCACGAGTAGTTTCCAGTTGCTGGACCAGGTTTGCGGATTCTGTCGTGCATAATGTGGTGTTAGCTACGATATACTTCTCCAGCGTGCGGGTAGGAATAAGGCGGGAAGTTCGTACCTCTGGATCATCAGGCCCGTACCAATCTACCAGGTAAACATCCTTTCCATCCTCGACGACATGATTCATATCCGCATCGTTGCCATCGCCTGAGTCGAGGTTGTTGGTTGCCGAGAAGGTATGTGTGGGCAAGGGCTGCTCCTGGTCCTTTGCTTCCGCTGCTTCGTCATCCGCATCATCACCAGAAGCCTGTGCCTGTGCATGTGCACTTACACCCATGTTGTCATTGCGTGACAGGGCGCTCTGCCATAGCGATGGGTCGACTTCATCTGGGTATCGAAGATACGTGTTGCAAGATAGAAAGCGAACGAGGTGTCCGAACTGTGTGTCGCGGAGCTGGGTGTATGTACTTGGAGTCTTAGTCATGATGTTAGGCAGTATAACTTGATTCGCGACGGAGCCTGATGGATAGCCTGGAACCTGACTTCAATCTCGACTTCGCTGGGAAGCGTTAAGGGTACTTATAGTATTCCATGATATGAGAGGATGGGTCCTCCATGGGTACTAGCAAAGGGGTAAGAAGGACTCATGGCGAATCAGCATAGGGGAGAGGGAGAGCGAAAAGCTATGGACCGTATAGCGGACTTTGGCACGTCCGTCCGAACTTACGCTTGTTAAGGCCCCTTCATGTTGCGATGCATTGTCAGTAGTTTAGCTGTATCCCAGAAATGGTGTGAAAGCTGGGATTCAAGAATGGGTTGTGTTGTGACGCAGAAGATTTGCGCGGCGTCGGCGACTTCCTGTTCGGGTTTAGTGCTGTGCCTGACATGATATTCAAGATCAAGATCGGAACAATAGCGTCGACGGCGATTACCTCGGTGGGTATGGATTGTCAATGGTAGCCTGGCGCCACTTTTCACACCAACCGTGGTCCATATCTTATGGTCAGAAGTTAGAACTGTCACATTATCGTCTATCAAGCCCGGTTTGCTCCACCTCTGATTTACCTGGGTATCTATCGACGAAGAGAAACAATCATTATCTTCAAGCATTATTTTCGTCGTCATCAATCATTCAACGTGAGTTTCCTTGCAACCATGCCCCCTTCCAACTCCAAGACGAAAAGAATGCCCACATAACGCCTTGCTGTACCAAATCAAGCTGAAGAAGATCAGCCAGGCAAAGCCGTCGTAATGCTCTCGCTCGAAGATACCGAGCTCAGGTATCCTTCAACGGTAGATTCGGTGATGCTGCTGTCGAAGGTCGTACTATCATCCAGAACGATGATGTGTGCGGTACCGGTACTCCCGTCAAGCCAGACCGCAGCCTTCATCGTCCCACTGGTCGGTCGTGCAAAGTAATCCGAGTCGCCCAGGGAGTCGACACCGTGCCATGTTGACTTGGCCTTCTCATCGCCAGAGTCCAAGACCTCGAAGATGTCGAATTCGCCGCACCCGGATTCCCAGCAAGAACAGTTGCCGTATTGTTCGGTGCGTGGGATCAGAGCGTTGAGCATCCAGACGGCAGGCATGTCGGCGTTGAACCCAGTCTTGCCGGAGAGAGGCATCTCGAACTCAAGTAGGAAGAGCTTGGATGCGCCGTCAAACCCGTGGTAAGCAACAGTGCCGTTCCTGTAGTACCCGCATGTCCCGTCATCACAGCTCGCGTCGGTCATGATGACGAATTCGCTATCATCGCCCACCAGGACATCTGCGAGTGTGGTTGGGCTAGAAACACCTTCGCTGTTGTCCGAGGAAGCATAGGAGAGCGAGTTGCCCCATGTACTGTGAAACTGTTAGCATTTTGTACATCTGGACGAGAATGGGGAACTTACTCATCAAAAACGCCCGAACCTTCTCCTCCATCGTGGTTGAGGAAGACAAGTCCGGTTGCCGTACCTGCTTCGGCGTCGTAGTATGCTTGGCGACTCCATGACCCAGAACCAGCACTGCTGGTGGTGGCTGCTGAAGAGGCAGTTGAGGAAGAGCTGGCTGTTGTTGCAGTCGAGGAAGCTTCGATTGGGGACGCACTCGAGGAGGTCTCGGCTGTTGTTGCAGCTGTGGCAGCTTCGGTTGAGGATGCACTCGACGAGGAACCTGCTGAAGAGCCACTCGAGGTGGCTTCGGATGAGGCAGCACTCGACGAGGAGACCGTGGCTGTCGCGGCCGCCGCTGAGGACGAAGCTTCGGTGGATGCAGCAACTGAAGAAGTCTCTGTTGTCGTGGAATCAACCAGAGACGAAGACGTCAAAGTCACAGTTGCAAACGTAGTACTGGTCGTGGACGAAGCCGCTACAGTCTCGGTCTCGACAGATGAGCTGGCTGAAGTTGCTGCGACGGCCGATGTGGCTGCTTGAGCCTCAGATGATGAACTGGTCGCAGTTGCAGCAACAGCGGATGCAGCTTGAGAGCTCGAAACAACGGTCTGGAATGAGGTTGCTGTTGTGCCATCATAGCTGCTGGTATAGGAGACAACTTTTCCATCAACCGTCGCTGTCACCCAAACCACAGTAGTTGTGGTCTCCGTCATCGTCTCATCTTGACCGTTCCACTGGGTCGTCCAGCTGACAGCTTTTCCATCGATGGTAGCATCGGTCCAGTCCACTCCGCGTTTCTCGACAATAGTTGCCGGCTCCGCTTGAGCACTTTGAGCGCGTTTCTCGACGATAGTTGCCGGCTCAGCTTGAGCACTTTGAGCTTTCTTTTGTTGACGATGAAGACTTTGGTGCGCATATCTTCCGACGTGTGGAGGGGGGTGTTGTGAGCGCTTCGATTTTGACGAACTCGAATCCAACGTGTAGAAGGCAAATTGCTTCAGTCTAAACGGGCCTCGAAAGTGCCATGATACCTACGAAAAGTGTCAGTCAAGGTCCGTCTGTGAGGGTCTACGGAATGCTTACCTCCGAGTCAAATGGCGCCATGCCGCCCGAGTAGTCGACCGTCGAGAAGTCACACTGGCCCGAGTCGCCCATATATGTGACTTCCTGATACTGACCAGCAGTACCAAAGTTGGTATATGAGATGGCGTCCACTTGGCTGCAGTAGTAGTTGCCGTCATCTTCTGTGCAGTCTGCTGCGACTGTACCGGCAGCCGCCAGCAGTGCGCTGGCTATTAAGGTGTATTTCATGGTGAGTGTGTTGATGCTCGATATATACCTTGTCTATTGGTATGATTTTCGTGCTTTGGTGGTCTCACAAATCAGTGGAGGTCAGAGTCCAACACGAAGAGGCGTCGAACGATCGTGTTTTATTATCTTATTGTCCGTTTGTCAAAGAGTAAACGGGCGGATGTGGCCCTTTTAGTGACTCCCTTAAGGCGGTCACACCAACGCAGTCCATGCTCTCGTTCGCAGTGCCTACGAACGCATGGCTGGGCGAGACGTAAGCGGCACAAGCCATTGACGGAGTAAGTGGGCAGTGAATGGGTGAATGAAAATCCATCGTTAAGGTGCGGCAGTTTCGTCGGCGCAAACCAGACCGAAAACGAGTGAGCGAACAAAGGCTGGCCCTCGGAGAGCCGCGTGGCACTGGAAGTCGAGTCATCTTGTGAGGATCGTGATGAGGGACGAAGAGGACGTGATATAGAATGATCAAAGCGGCGGTGGTCGAGGCACAAGGCTTTGTCTAAGGCAGTGATCTGATTGGTTGAGTGGCACAAGGCTCGGACCTTGAGAACAAACAGTGGTGGATTGGGGCACAGATACCTTGTCGGAAGAGCTTTCCCAGCCTCGGATCACGGTCACCTCGACCAGCCTCAGCGTCCAAAATCCTCCTTGAGTTTTGCGTGATCGCTGCGTCTCAGGTAGGCACCTTGAGCATTGACTGCTTTGCTCAGGACCAGCCCCTCGGGTCCAACGTTGGGGGAAATGGTGATGCCGCATCGTCACCCTTCCACCTTAAAAACACCCTGTCTTTTTTTCTCGCAGGTCGCGGGCAGGGAAGCAGCACTCCCCATCTGCAAAATGACTGTATGGAGCGCTCCAGTGCCATGCGCTAAGGGGACGATTTTCTTCCGAGGAGAACACCACTTGCATGACAGTAAATCGGAGACTTGAAGACTTGAAGGGTGTCCTTGATAACAAGTGCCATTGGCACGGACGTGCGCCAGCCTCGTAAAGCACAGACTCTGGGGTATCTAAAAACACTAAAAAACAGGCCGCCGAAAGCCGCGTTCCAGCCTCGCGTTGGGCCAGGCATGCTCCCAAACTCCAACTATGCCTCCTATGTCATCGTTTCATGATCATAATACACGCCCTGTTTACGGCTTGTCTCGGCTCTTAACCTTGGTCCAACCGCTCGTGCCCTTGGCCTTGACATCCTCCTCACCACCAGCCACCTTGTTGGCGGTCATAATACTTCTTGAGTCGTCGTAATCCTTTCCATCCATTGCACGAGTCTTGATCAGGACGGCGTCGTCCATTTTCTCTCCACCATCATCCCACTCACCCTCGTCCAAGAGTTCCCACTCGGCATTGTTCATCTCGCCGAGGAGATGCTTCTTCAATGGGTCGCCGACCATGGTATGCTTGTTCAAACGCCAGTAGCGAACTGGGTTGTCTCCAGCAGATGAGGCAGCGCCGAGGAAGGTATGTGCCGAGGTGTGAGATCCGGTACCGAGTCGACCGACGAGCATGTTGCTATCAGTAGCAGGAGTCGAGGTGCTCTGGGAACGGTGTTGGCGGATTTGCAGATCTCGTTCAGTGAGGATGCGGAACGTAGCAGCTGACTGTGGTGGGGCGAGGATCAACTGATACAAGTTTCGACCAATATCGCAGACATCTTCCCATGTTTCTGTGCCTTGAACGAAGCCTTGAGTGCGAGAAAGCCAGGCAATATCCCAAGCAAGAAGAGAGATGCCTTCCAAGAAGAAACTGAATGCGAGTGACTCTTTCTTGGCGAATTGAGCGACGACCTCATTGTGGTCGAAAGAGCCGAAGTACAATGGACGTGGACGAGGAAATGAGCTGAGCTCGACGCGAGACGCACTCGGGCTGCTTGGGGCTGAAAGACTTGATCCGGAGCCAGGAAATGCAGTACGTGTTCCAAAGTAAGAGGTAAGAGGAGCATTGATCGTCGGAAGTGGATAATCGCGATGCGGGAGAGTGATCTCGGCCGGTAATCTGACTCCAAGATAGAAAGCGCATAGAACGACAAGACGAGCAGTGCTGTCGAGGGCTGCAGTAAGATCGGTGCATCGCATGTCTAGATAGGCCAGTCAGTAGTACTCCGGCACCCCATACGTTAGTTCACTCACTGTTGATGTCCTTGAGATCTGGTAGAGGAAGACCTGCAACGAAGTAACGATCCTTAACCGTGCCCTCCTTGGTCTTCTTCTTGCTGTGTTGCAGGCGCAACAACGAAGCAGCCTCACGACAAAGAGTCGCTTTGGCGTCGATGACCTTGGTATGGATAGCATCGTGATCGGCTTTGAGTTTGGCAGTGGCTTCCTTCAGCTGTTCCAACTTCTGTTGTTGGCCCTTCTTTTCAGCTCGTTTCGCTGCAAGGAGATTGGCTTTTCTTGCATCGAGGTTTTCTCGCATCTCCTTCACTTTTGCTTTCTTCAACTCCACTTCCTTCTTGACAATTGTAGTTTGACGTTCGATCTCTGCGGTTTCATCGATGATCTGTTGGAGTTCACTAATGTCCACCTGGCTGTGATATGCAGTGCGCAGGATCTGAAGTTCATCGTTGAGTGCCTCGGCTGGTTCTTCTTCTGCAGTAATGGCTTCAACTTGCTTTCCCAGTTCTTCTTTCTCCATCAACACTCTTGCCAGTTCCAGTCTCACACCGTAGAGCATGTTGCGCACGCATGAAGGGCAGTGTGGACCATCCTCTTGAGTGAGGGATTTGGTACACACACCGCAACAAACACCGTAGTCCATCTTGCGTGGTTGACCGTGTAAAGCGATACGAATGTAGTCTTCGTCAAGGGTTCTGGGGTTGTCAATATCTAGGGGACGTTCGACCTCGTGTTCTGAGACTGTCTCGTGGACATCCTCATCCAGCGAGTGCGGGCTGGACTTAGATCTGCTGTCATGTTGTTAGACCTTGTACCAATCGCGGAAACTGTGCACCAAAGCACAATCATGGAGACGTCGTTGTCATTGCTTGTCTCTCAACGATAACAAAGGAAATAGGCCTTGTACATACCTGTCTGACGGCGTTGATTCGGTGGTGGATCTGTCAAGTCTGGGCGGCGCCATGATGACGAAATTGGCCCTGCCTTTCAACTTGAGCACGTGAGACCGCGTTCAGCCGAAGATGAGCCGAGATAGCGCTAGTCGTAAAGAAGACAAGCGTGAGGAAGCGCGTTATCAACCGAAGAATAGCCGGGATAGAATCACTTCAACACCATGATTTGGGATACTCTTTGTTGACCAAGTCACGCAACGAATTCTTGTATGAGTCGTGTCCTACCAATTTGAATATATAAATCAAATATGGACTTTCACAATGATGTCGCCAAGACGCCGTCTGCTACCCCTCGTTCGCGATCGGAGAACGCAGACATCAATATGGCCACGGCAGCACATTCTTCTCCATTGCCAATTCATACCCAAGCCCATAAACAAACTCCGTCCATAAGCAGAAAAAGAACAAACGAACAAGTCTACCAACCAGTCGAACAGCCAAGACCGTCTCCCACAGCATCAAGATTCCAAATACCTGCCAATACAGGACCAAATGTGGAAAGCCAGCACGAGCTCTTTGAAACAGAGCGAGATCATGACAATGAGCACTCTAGACAAGAAACGTTGTCAACTCAAGCAGACTCTAGCAACCAGCGAGACGCCGCCACCCAGCCAACGACAACTAATCCCCCACATACCAGCAACCAAGGCTTCGTCCGCGGAATCCAAGCATACCAGCAACGGCTAGAACTGGACTTTCAAGAATTCGAGCACTCCTTGACTGAGAGAGAGAAGAGTGCCGAGCTGACCTCGATCGATTGGGATGAGCTAGAGACGCGCTACAACGACGAGATTCAACCAAAGATCGACGCTGAACAAGACATCATGAAGGAGTTTACTGCTCGTTTCCAGGTATGCTCCAATATACATGGTCTCTACCGGCCACTGATCTAGTGCATTAGCAATTCATGCTGTACATGCAAGTGTCCAACGACCACGAGTCAGAGCGAGCTGTCAAAAGATTAAGAACTCGTGTTGCGCTTGCCCAGAATGCTGAGAATTCTCTTGCCGACAAGCAAGCCCACCGTAAGTTGTGGCCCAATTCTGACGGACCATGTTAACACAGCTTACAGATGCAAAGGTCCTTCAAGCATTTCAAAGTGCAATGGCGCTCCTGGCAAATCCATAATGGATCTTGTCTGGGAAAAGTTGACAATCATATGGGAATTGTGGCAGGGCAATTGAAGTGGAAGAGCCGAGGCTTTGACGTCATTTGAATGACGGACATTCATGAAGACTGCGAACACCACACGGCTTGTGCACTTTTCGACCTCATGTACCTGGTACTCTGGAACCCACGAATAATGGCTGTATGACTCAACGACGGTAATGTCGAACAATGCTCCCAGCTCGAACGCTGATGAAGATCTACTCTCACGTCTCAATGCCCTAAAAACGTCCACCGTTTCGTTTGACCAGACAAAGTAGGCCGTACCAAATCGACTGACCACCACAGGGACTAGTAGACTGATTATCACAGCTTTCGGACCCCTCCAGGAACGAAACCGCAAGCCTCCCTCCCACCGAATCCTGCCAGAGCTCTTCACTCGGATCTTCTGACGAGATGGAAGTCTCTTGGGGGATCCGCTTCTACAAGTGCAATTGAGCCCGCAAACTCAACGGAAAAAGCAGAAGATGAGAAAACTGTTGAGGAACTCCTGGCTGATCTTGGACCATCTGATACTTGGGGTGTCGGCAAAAGCGAAGAAGACCAAGTGAAGGAGTTGCTGCAATCAGCAACGGCTGCACTGAGTGTCGCTCACGAACGAAACGGAAAATCGACCGAAGAAAAAGGGGGAGACGACGTGGAGAAGTCGTCCGCAACAACCAAACTACCTGCTGTCGACATTTCGGTCTTTCAACCTAAACCCGACTCTGAAGAGGAGGAAAAGATAGACGACAAGACCAAAGACACTCTTGATCACGAGGCTGACGAATTATTGGCGAGAATACTGGACGAAGTTGAACACGAGCCTCCTGAGCCGGAACAGGAGCGTGCAGATGGTTCAGACGAAGAAGATGAGATTGAAGATGTAGTCACCTCGACTGGACATCTAACGCTATCCCTGGATCTTCCTAGTACGCCTTCAAAGCTTCCTGATCCCGTCCAACCTCAAGCTAAGCCCGAACCCGCCGACGACGATGATCTAGCGTCGCGATTTGCCGGGTTTGCACTGCCTTCGGTCCCGACAACCATGAAATCTACAAGCACCTCAAAGTCTAGTACGAAACCATCCCCGGGTTACACGGACGAAGACATCGACTCATGGTGCATAATTTGCAACGACGATGCCACACTACGATGTATAGGCTGCGACGGAGACCTCTACTGTGCCAACTGCTGGATGGAAGGCCACAGGGGTGAGGATGCTGGTCTCGAAGAACGAACACACAAGGCTGTTCAATTCGTCAAGGGTGGTGGAATGAAGAAGCAACCTAAAAGGAGGGTCAAGATGGGTGCTTGAAGCCCATGTGCTGACCAGGTGGTAAGGTAGCTCAAATTCCTCCAGCCACGGAAAGCAAAAATTCCGGTTCACACAGTCTCGCCGACACTTCTCTTCTCGTCCACCTCCTCGACTACCATCATTTCCGGCGCACGTGGCTGCACCGACCCCGGTGGCACAACGAAGTAGATGATGCCATGGAGGATGCTCGCACCCAATGGACCGATCCAATGAATCCAATGCCATCCCGGAAAACGACTACCGACAAACGCACCAAAACACCTCGCCGGATTTAAACCTGCACCGCCACTTCCCGGCATGGAGAACGAAAAGCACAACGCACACGCTCCTGCAGACAGGCCAACCAAGATCGGAGCCAGCGCGGGTCCAAAGATACCCTTCTGCCGTGGATCCAACCCGACCCCAAATGCCATGACTATAAGCAGCAAACTCCCAACAAACTCGATCACAAATTGCGACGACACCCGCGCGCCAGCATCCGTGAACAGGAAACACCCACCGACCTTGAAGTATCGTGTTCCCGCCGCCGCACGCAGCAACAGTCCCGCCAACGCACCTCCCCCAGTCTGCGCGGCCAAGTACAGAACTAGACGCGGAAAGGTAGCGAGGCGGGCGAAGAACGTGGCAAACGTGATCAAAGGGTTGAAATGCGCTCCAGATATGGCACCGAAGCAGAAGATCAGAATGGAGATAATGATGGTGTTGATGCACGACGCGACCAGTGGACCAAGGAAGGTCACCGTGCCGAATGCACCCGTAGTAAGCGACGGTTGTGGAGGTGGGTGACCAGGCGAGAGGCTATTGTATGTGCTCCCAAAGACGAGGATCATTGTTCCTGAGCATACACGCAGCCAGGTTAGCCAGACATTCATTGACTAGGCCAAACTTTCAGCAAGAGGTTTGGGGCAAGGCCTTACCAAAACACTCGCACACAGCTGCCTTGTACAGATCCACCTCCCTGAAGCCGTTGAAGTCGAACATTTCGCGCAAGTTCAAGTTCGGTGCCGCATCGGGCACTTTCTTGAGCAGCGCCGCATTCGCCGGGTCGAATCGGTCGAGCACGAAGCTCTGGTTGCCGCCCAGACGGCCAGCGAAGGGCGCCATGCCACCGCTTTCTGCCTGGCGCCGTCGTGCCGATGGATTGGGCTGAAGGGCTGTGCGAGCGGCGCTCGTGTCACTGTTCGGTGGATCCGGACAGTTGGGGAGAGAGTTGTACGAGCGTAGTGGAGGTTTGGAGGTTGACGATGTGTTTTGATCGCGGTGCTCCATCGTACTTTATATGGTCTATAGTGTCTTGGGGCCTTAAAGCTCGTCCAGCTCCCTGTAGCTTTCGTGCTGAGTGGTTGATGCACTGACCTCGAACGGGCCTTTGCCGAATTGTCACGAATCTAGTCTGGTAGTCTCAAATCAACTGCAAATTCTGCTACCAACAATCGACCTGAGATGAGACGAATCTAAGACTGAACAGACGATGCAAGCATTCAACGACAAGGGAAGGTAGCTAAATCATTCAATGCTTAGGCAAGCCACTCCTAACATTGTATAGGGTACATCTAACGAGGTGGGTGGCCGCTGAATCAGCAACACTCCCCAGGATCAGTCATCTTGTCAAGGGTGTTTTCCGTAAACGAATCAGGCCTCCGAGGCTGAGATCTGGCAAAAAGGCATGGTAGTGCAAACCTCGTGGCATTTGAACTTGAACTCGCATATATTTTCGTATAAGCCCCCATGTATGCTGATCAACTATGAGGTTATCCATAGGACATCTCTCAGGTGATCTCCACAATATTTGCCGGCCTAAGTATGTTTCAAAAAGGTATTTATACACATTATTCCGACGGATATAGACCATAGAAAATCGTGAACTGCAATGCCAGCTCAACAACAAGGCTTCAAAAGCCTCAATCACCATCCTCCCTCTCGAGACGCTCATCATCGGGACTTAACAAATCGCCAATGGTTGTGCTCTCTTCAAGAATCTTCCTTCCCTCGGTTTCTTGGTCCGGTTCCAGTTTCATGTCTTTCATGACCAGCTGCAAGGTCAACTCTGGCACTAGTACCGCACTGAGGTATCCACCAACACCTGCCGCTCGAAGGACGGAGTCCGACTGCAGGGCCTTATTCAGAGTGTCTGTAAGCGATTGTGTAATCGCAGTGACCATGATTCGAGCTCCTTTAGGACCGTAGTATCCCTGCTTGGCCACATCGACTATCCCGTGATTGAGGTATTTGTGGATTGTCTTTCGGTTCCCTCTTGCAGCTTTGATGCGTCTGTCAAGTTCGTCGAGGTAGAAACTTGGCTTTTGTCGATTTATGATCTCCTTCAGTAGGGGTAACAGGTCGGGTACACGAGTCTCTTCCAATTCCTTCCAGTTGATGTCGGGGAAGCCACGCCTGCGCCATAGCTCTTCCGCATCGACTAGTTGATGTTGGGTGCAGAAATTTTGCTGTTGCTTGAACGATAGTGATTGCAGATTGTCAGGAACAAATAACGACATGGAGTCTTTCACCGGCTTCTGACACACTGGACAACAGGTGTCTGCATCAGTCGGCTCAAATACCTCGAGAAGCTCCGCCTGGTTTTCCAGGATGAACATAGAGTCCGCGGAGGATAGAGATGACGTTGAACCTGCTCTTTTCCGCTGTAGCTTGTCGGGCGAGAGCGGGGCGTCAAAAATTGAAGCGGCGTCTGTTGCTGAAGTTGCTGCAGAGGATGTGATATCTGGCAGCACGGGTATACGGAACCCTGTACCTTTTCGTACCGGTAATGCTTCCGGCAAATCTGCAATATCTAGATTGTCTTTCAATTTGGGCACGCCTCGTCCCACTCGCTTTTCAGGTAACGCAGCTATACCACGGAACTCGTCTTTGGTGTCGGGGCCAGTGTCATGCTTTTGTACCTCGTCATATGCGACGAAACCTTGCTCGACACCTATCTTCTGATTCCTTGGCTCAATCGTCTCAGGTTTCCGGAAGCTGCGGTTACCATATGTCTGTTGTAGTTTTCTCTTCTGTGAGCTCTTGAACTTGGGTTCAAGGAATAGATCAGCCATCGCATCTGCTTCCGGTACGGGCGGTATCTCGAGACTAGGTTCGTCTGCGAGACCTTTCCTCCTTTTCGACCTAGAGGCAGCAGCTGTGCTTGAGGGACGTTTCAGAGAGGTACGGCTGTTCGTGGAGGTCTTTGTAGGTTTTTCGGTGAGATCAAACCCCTCTTCGTCGCTGCTTCCTTGTGGTGGGCCATATACCGCAAAGTCATCCTGCCCCTGCGTACTGGACTTCATTGCTGCACGTGCCACCGATGGCGCTTCGTTTGCGGCAAGAGCAGATGCGAGTTCGGTTTGTCGCCCGAGAACGACTCTTAGCAAGTTCGGGCCTCGATAGTTTCTCGTGGTCAGGTACGTTCTTGAAAAGCTGGCATTTGATCTGTTCATAAGATCGTCATTGACATGATAGTATAAGGTCAGGTTGAGAAAGATTAGACTCTGACATGTACTCAAAGCAGTGTACAAATCGCCTTGTATGACAATCACAGACAATGGAATGGTTGATGACTACGAGATTAACTGCGGAGTCGTGTGATGTGTAACGCGTCGCGAGCAGCTTCGGAAAATGATTCCTCCAGACCGCGTTAAGTCTTCATCAACTTCTCCTACCAATCTCACTCTCAACATCAACTATTTACTTCCTTGTTCTGAATCTATTGCAAGTCTATCGAGGCACCCCATGCTCATGATCGCAGCTGTGACCACGTCAAGCAGACAAGCTCAAATCAGCATACTTTTGTGCCGCTACCTCGTCGCACCTCTTCCTATACCCAGGAGCCGGCCCCATGTACCGTGCCACAATCCTTTTCTGCTTATTCGCCAGATTCTTGTTCACGCCTGTCATCCATGAGTCAACCTCATTCGATAACATGCCCTCCGCGCACTCATGGACATGCTTCGTCCAGTCTTCCACCCCCTTTTCCGTTGCTTCGATTCGAGTAATGCTATTTTCGCGGCAATACTGTATACAATTGGCAATCCAGCCGACCGCAAATTCGATACTTCGAGGCACGTTGCCAAACATCTGATGAGGTCCCATGACCATCATCATGTTAGGAAAACCATGAACAAAGAGACCTAGTTGAGTCCTAGGTCCTTCGCTCCACACCTCACTGAGTTTCTTTTTGTTCACGCCTTGAAAGTCCACCGGTGAAAAGGATCCTGTGACCGCGTCAAATCCAGTGGCGTATATCAGAATGTCCAGCTCAAACTCCTCTTCGCTTGTCTTGACACCCTTTGTGGTGATACGCTCGATAGGGGTTCTCTTCAGGTCGATCAGCTTGACGTTATCTTGGTTGTACGCCTCGAAATAACCCGATTCCATGGGTATGCGGCGAGTACCCCAGCCATGATCTTTTGGAATCAACTTCTCGGCAGTCTCTGGATCCTTGACGCGTTGTCGAATCTTGTTGGCGAAAAATTCACTACAAGCCGCATTCGCTTCTCTGTCGAAAGCTATATCGCGGAAGTTGGAAACCCATTTGGCGAAACCGGGTCGAGAATATAGATCTTCCCAAAACGCCAATCTCTCTTCTTCTGAGACATCAAACGAGTTTCTCGTTTCAGCTCCATGTAGGAAACACGCCGGCGACTCCATACACTGCTTGAAGATCTCAGGGTACCTCTTGCGAATCTGATCCATCTCTTCAGGACTTATTTTGGCATTATGTAAAGGTGCTGACCAGTTGGGTGTGCGTTGAAACACCGTCAGGTCACCTACCTTTCCTGCGATTGCTTGGATGGTCTGGATGCCGGTGGCTCCAGTCCCAATGATACCGACTCGTTTCCCTTCGAGCGAGACGGGCTCTCGAGGCCAACGTGCCGTATGGAACGATTGTCCCTTGAAATCCGCTATGCCGGGAACATTTGGAAAGGTAGGACGGTTGAGGAATCCCATTGCGGTGATCAGAGATCTCGAGGTGTACCGGTTGCCGTTGTCGTCCGTCAACTCCCATGAGTGATTGTCGTCGTGATAATGTGCCGACATGACTGTAGTGTTGAATTGCATATCACTTCGTAAATCAAACTTCTTCGAGACGAACTGACAGTATTGCAGAGTCTCATTAGCAGGAGCAAAGTGCTCTGTCCAATTCCATTCATCAAGCACATCTTGCGAGAAGGAGTACTGGTAAGAATAGCTTTCCGAGTCGAACCTCGCCCCGGGATAGCGGTTCCTGATAAGACGTTAGCTCTTAACCCTCATCGATATCATTTCGGAAGTGCAGCATCGCTCACCAGTACCACGTCCCTCCTTCACCAGACCCGGCTTCAAGGACTCTAACCCTCAGACCCAACTGTCTCATACGGTATAATGCGAAGATACCACTTAGCCCCGCACCGATGATGAGCACATCATAATCGAGCTGTAAGCTCGCATCGCCATGCGTTGACTCGCCTATGCTGCCCATACTGGTCTGCTGGTCCCCAATCTTGAGAGCAAGTTTCTGACAACAGATCTTTGGACACGAATTGAGCAGGCGTAGGCACCTTTATCGCTTTGATATTGATATGGTGGCAATCACCACCTGCGCTCGGCGCCACCGATATGGCCGAGGTTTAAGTCACTTTAGTGCGGAGTGCGGAGACGAGGCTGCGAACTCTAGGGGTTCCTTCACCACAGTATGCACAATGATTTGGCCCGGAATGCTTCACCCTTCAAGCATCGCTCAGTCAAGACACGAGAGCGATAACGACCTACCTGTAGCGCAAGTCGGTCCTTCATCACAGAAAATCAGGCAACCCGCTTGACAGCATCGGACCGTAGAGCAAGCATCATCAAGGCCACTCCCCTCACAACAACCCCGACAATGCCATATTGACTTCTCGATCGACGGAAACGATAGTGCATGTCATGTCACAGACAAGATTCAGACTGAACCAAAACCAAGAACTTATGAAGAATGTATATCGCGCATACAACTCCGACCTTTGAGAGTCTCAGTCCAGACTCGTCCATCAAGCGAATGCAAGCTGGGCCACTCCGACCCAATCACGGCTCTCTCCGAAGGAAACCTGGACCGGACCAGCGCGGTCGAAAAAGCCCAAGCTCTCATCCCCACCACGATCAAGTGCACTTTCGCCCAATGACATGCATACAAACATCAATCTTGCACGGATATATAAACGAGACGAAAAACGTGGTTGCCTGAGGTACCTGGTATATATACTTCGTGACAATCCTGGCGATTCTCGTAGATTTTGAATCTGTGAATCCCTTCTTTGGACCTTTGCACGCTTGGAACAACGACATTCATCTCCACATCCAAACTTCGACTTCAACTATCTTCAAACTTGCGACTCGACAGTCGCAATTTGGCAGCTCCGACAATGCCAGGAAACTTCCTCCTCAACCCCGTCGACGACAAATATCACTACAACCCTCAAAAGCACATCCCCGACCTCTCCTCCAAAGTAATAGTCGTGACAGGTGGTAACAACGGCGTCGGCAAAGCCACCGTCATCGAACTAGCCAAGCACAATCCTCAGCGCCTATACCTCGCCGCTCGCTCGCAAGCCAAGTATGACGAAGCAATGACCGATGTGCGCGCCGCCGCGCCCAACGCAAACGTTGCCTTCCTCGAGTTGGACCTCGCTTCCTTCGTGTCCGTCAAGAAGGCTGCCGACCAGATCCTTGCCACAAACGACCGTCTCGACATCCTGATCAACAATGCGGGCGTAATGGGTCTGCCGCCGGCCCAGACAAAGGAAGGCTACGAAATCCACTTCGGCACCAATCACATGGGCCATGCTCTCCTAACGAAACTCCTGCTACCATTGCTTCTCAAGACCGCTGAAAAGCCCGGTTCCGACGTGCGCATCCTCAACCTCTCGTCTGAAGGACACAAGATTGCAGCGAAACAAGTGTTCGTGCCAGACCAACTAAGCTCCTCTATGAGCGACACCCATTCGTACGTGCGGTACGGACAGTCCAAGCTTGCCAACGTCCTGTTCTCACGCGAACTGGCGAGGAGGTATCCACAGATCCTCACGACGGCAGTGCACCCAGGGCGCGTTGCGACCCCGTTGCTTGACCAGATGTTCGCGACGAAGTCATTCACCACGTACTTCCAAAAGAGCTTCGACGCGCTGGCGGGAGTTCTGACACCCGTGCAGGGCGCATACACGTCGCTCTTTGCAGCGACGTGGAAGCGGGACGAAGTGCAGAATGGAGCGTATTATGCTCCATTCGGGAAGTTGAACGCTGGAAGTAAACCGTCTCAGGATGTGGAACTCGCTAAGAGCTTGTGGGACTATACGGAGGAAGAGATTAAGAAGCATGGATACGCTTGATGAGGCCTTTGAGATTTGGGCTTCGTTGTTTGGTCGTTGCATCTTGGCTCGAATATCCAGGTGGCTGTTGAATTATTGACGCGTGCCTGGCCATGCTTTGTGTTTCTTCGGGTGGGGACGTCCCTTAGCTTCGTTCGAAGACTAGACTGCCAGCGGTCGGGTAGCGCAGCCATTACGTCGACCCCGATCATTGGTATCTAAACTTTATCAGCTGTGTGCGCGCGTTATACCAGAATCATCCACTCTCACCCTGGTTGCTTCAAAAGATCGAAATACGGAACTTCCTCCGACACCGTCAGTGTAGTCTGCTCAAAGTTGACCGAGTCAAGATTGTTGCAGCTAATGTCCAGGACTTCAACGAGCAAGGCCGGCTCCATTTCGAGACCACCTATATCGAGCAAGGACGAAAGCTAATTGCTTTTCCGTATCGCTCGGGTTGTTTCTTCTTCCTTTTGCCAGAGCCGTCGCAGACCTCATGACATTTCGGAATTGTCGTTGGTAATCGGTCGGAAGAGTAATATAGCAAGCTTCCGTTGCCCTGATGACCGCCTCCAAACCGGCGAGGACAGCATCTCCTGAATTGCCGAGTAGACGGAAGGCAACCAGAAGCACTGTAGAACATTAGCAACTTGGAACAGCGAAGATTCGACTAGGGTGAGTCTTTGGAAATCCCAAAGTATTCGAAGCTGACTGAATTGCGGAAAAATTGTGGAAAACTCACGTAAAAGGCTACCGTGAAGCAGCTGAATGCCAAAGAAATATGGCATGAAACTGACATCTTCATCAAACGCCAAGATCACGGTCTTCACACACTCTGCGGCCGCCATAGTGTGAAACATCGACTGAGAGAACGTCTCTGATGAAGTGAAGAAATCTGCATCCTCGAAGAGGCAGACTGGATCCCATTTGCTTCCAACTAGAATTTGAAGAACATGGCAGATGTGCGAACTGTATCCATGGACAAGCTTTGCGACATGCTTGTCTTCGTTGACATCGGCCGAATCGGCGGTTTGCCCTTCCCAAGCAGATCCTTCATCAGAATCCTGTTGAGAGGCACCTCGTGCCGTGTGTTCATCCAGTGTTGTTTGGTATATGTCCAATCGGCGCATTATACGATGCTCTTGAACCGTCCACATTGAAGAGGATGCAGCAGCCACAACGGGGTCGCTCTTTGCCCTATTGAAGTCTAATAGGTGCCCCGTGATTGTCATAAGAGGCAAGAAAAATCCAAAGAGCCCAAGTCCAGAGCAGGTATTTGGTGGTCCGTGAAGTCGCCCTTTTCCTGATGGTAGCAGCATGCACCGTGGCCCATCAGCCCGAGTACCGTGGCTGTGGGGCTGTGCACCAGACTGCCAGGTCACATCGTCAAGTGGGAGTAACAGATTTCGACACTCCGCTTCCAGGAGAGCCAAAGGCCGATTGTAACATAGTGCTAGGTGTCGATCCATCAAGAACAAGAGCCACCAGGTTCGTCGACGTTCTTCCCGATGGACTTCTCCGGTCGAATCTTCGGTCTCATTGGAAGAGCATTTGCAAGTCACATTGGGCAGAGAAGCTCCTCGAGTATGTGGCATCACATAGGATTCGACTTCCTGGTTCAGTTTCATATCCCTCGCGAGGTTGAATGCTATCGACCACCATCTGATTGATGCGGCCTTCTTCTCGGACCCAGAGATTACGGAGGAAACATGAATCAGTGCCATGACGTAGTCTGTACCCCATGCAACTGGGAGACCATTTGACTCCTGTTGGGGATCCAATACTCGTCGCAATTCGTCGTTAGTCCAACCTGCATCTGACACACCTGCAGGAGAAAGGCCCAGGTCTTCCTGTGTGACGAGTGGTTCGTATCGAGATGGATTTAAAAGTCGATAGGTGAGGCGACTTAGATACTTGCAGACGCGGTCCCTTTCCTCGGGACCGCTGAACAATCCAAGCGCCTTGTCACTTAAGGCAGCCACAAAAAGCATGCTAGCGAGCAAGGCTGGATGGGTTTGACGTGGTGAAACCGGATCAAGTATGTCGCATTTCCGGAGGATGAAATTGTGAATGTGGTGGCAGGTAGGGTGCATGCGACTGGAAAATGCACTGGAGAAATATGTGTCCAGAAGGTCGCATGCTAGGCTAGAGCCAAAATCACGGTCGGTGAAAGGTGATAGATATTGCAGGATGGGATATCTGCAGTGAGAGAGCGCCTGACTGCTCGGTGTAGGTGCTTCCTGCGAGCCCGCAAGAGAAGGTAATTTGTAGGAGTAGGGGTCTAAAACATGCATGGTAGGTGATACATAAGTTGAAGGGCCACCAGAAAGATCTCCACCATTATCGAAGGCAACTGTTCTGGCGTCAGAATCCCAGACCAGGCCCAGAGGCAAGGCCGAAGTCGTGCTCTCAGGATAGGAGAGATGGAATAGGTCTGCATCACCAGTGTTATTCGAGGGTTTTGAGAGCAGTCCTTCTATCTGGGCGACTGTTCCTGGGAGAACCGATCCTTGATCATCGAGCATTGGCGCGGACGTCGCTGATGGCGGTAGAGTGTCCTGGAGGTCAGGCACGACTTGAGTCGTCGGAGACGTCCTTGAAGGGCTTGTGCCAGCCAATGGTTTTTGGTCGCGCCTATTCTGGTCATAACGACATTCATATTTGAGCTGGTCACATCTGGCGCAAGGAAGGCTTCCTGTGCAGCGGATCTTTGCCCTCCGGCAGCCACTACATGCACGGAATTTGTCCTGGATGATGCGATGCACCGGCCGTTGGTTCCCATGGCTGACATGAGTCTTCATGTGCCGACTCAATGAGTCGTTACGAGAGAAGCAGCGGCCACACTTTGGGCATGGTGCCTCCGCAGGAGTCCTGCGCCGGGCAGTTTTCTGGAAGACCATCTGGCTCACATATGTGAGACAGCATAAATGAATTGCGCAACGTACGCGCCTCCTTGTAGAACAGTAGAGGTGGCCATCGTCAGCGAGAGAAGACGTCTCTGCAATGCTCAGAACCCATTGCGAGATCCAGCTGACGAGAAGTACCTTGGAAACGTCAAGAAATGATAAGGGTAAGGTATTTTCGGGTAAAGTGGCAGTTAGCAAGGCATGCAATTCTTGATTTCTAGGCGCCAAGTACCAGGTGCAGGTGCTCCCCAACTTTCGCGTGGAAGGAACCCCGCTTAATGAAGTTGCGGGCATGTGGGTGCCTCTGCTGCCACTAACCTAAGTTACACTACTTCCAATCCGACCTTCGCGTTGGTGATCTCGGTTCCAGTTGGTGAAACAAGGCAAGATCTTCTCACTCATTATCTATTGCTATGTGGTCAGCAGTCTCTGTCGCGTCCAGGTTATATAGATGGCCTGAGTAGTGATTGACCGCCTTCAAGGGCCATATCTGACACCTTTTCAGGCATGCTCCATGAGACTGCGTACCTATGACCTCAGCGCCACAGGCATGAACGATTCTCTTTCCTTTCAAGTGTGGTATCGCATTCGTTGGCAATTTTTCTGCCCGGGTTGTTTCCCAGTTCGCAGCCTAGATGGAAGCAAACGTGCTTTTCTGTTGTATGATTGAGGCACTATCAGTACCGAGCAAAAAGACATCAGTCCCTTCGGCGCAACCGCCTGGTGGCGAATGTAGTCAACACTGATATTGCTGCATACCTGGTAAGATCACACAGCACAACTCTCCCAGGCGTCACACACTCTCGAACCAGCAGGAGAAGCATCCCACTCGAAGTACAACAGAGACGTTGACGCCAGTCTTCACCTCGTCCTGGCAGAGACTTCACTTCGATGATCATCCAACCAAACTCGACCACAACCACACAATTCACCTTACAGTCCACGCACGGAGACCAAAAAAGATATTGGGCCTCCACCTCAAATCACCGAGTCTGGAAACTACAAAGTTATTAGGATACTGTCCAAACCACACAGGATAGCATGATCACATACTCGAACCCAGAGCTTTCGTGTCAACCTCAACAGCCTTAACAGCTGAGAGATGAGAGACGAAAATGTTGACCATTACACCAACTCGGTCATGTCAAGCCCGGAATCATGCTTGATTGTTGGACAAAGATTCTGGGTATTGATATATAAAGTCTCAGCTTGACTTCAATTCAAGTCGACCCGGTGAATGGAATAGTGCGATTCAATACAAGGTAGGATTGGAGCATGGAGCAAATTCAACAAAATTCATCCCCTATTTACAGACCTGCATTCTCCATAACCATACGGCTACTCTATAGCCATCATCTCACAACGACCCAGCCACCACCAGCAGACCTGTGGCAATCATATTGAACATGCTGGACGTATGCACCCTTCCCGCTCCACTCTTGTACGTCGATATCGACGTCGACGAGGCACTGCTCGAACACCCTGTCGACGAGCCAGTCCCCGTAGAGTTCGAGCTCGGTGTCCCCACACTCGTCGCATTCGCACCGAGCAATGTCCCATTATACGCCAACTCCCGTTGAAAAGCGTTGATCTGATCCCAAAGCTCGCACCTGGTATAATTGAGCACGTCCGGGATAGCCGCGTTGTCGATAACGATGCCATAGCTAGCGTTGGCTCCCTGGTACTCAGGCCACAGGCTCGAATTCATCGTGGGTCGCTGGATCGCCGCCATCGATGTCCATGCTTCCAACATAAACGAGCTGACTGGGACTTTAGTGGCATTCATATCGCATGTGCCGTTTGGTAGTGGTAGGTTCCGCGTTATGACTAACATGAAAGGTATCTCAGCGGTGTGCGTGGGCCCCAGTAGCTCGCGATGCGTCAATCAATGTCTAGCGAAGTCTAGCCACAAATCACAGCTAGAGCAACCATGGTACGGCAGTGGGGGCTGGCCGCTCAGGGAAGCATCCGTCTTGCCATACTAGTACAGTATCTCTCCTTGTCTGACACAGAGGGTGCTTTTGTCGACCAAGGCAGCTGCGCGGGTAAGTCGAGAGGCTGTATGCAGAGTACGAAGCATTTTCGGGTGCAGAAGTACGGCATCGTAGGACCCGACTGCCAGATCTCGACCCAGATCGTGTAAGAACGTACGGCTGTTGCTGGTGCGTGGATTGATCATTTCATCTCCCCCAAACCTCAGCCAGGGTAGACTAACCCAGTCCAGTGGATGCGAAGCGCCATCCCCTGTCATCATATGATCTATCCGAGGACTTGAAAGCTTGTCAATCGCTTAAGTCGCTAAAACTGCGTCTTAATATCTAAAATCACGTAAAGGCTCTCTTGTGCCGGCCTGATCGTCAGGGTCATGATCGATCTGGGTTTCTCATGCTGCTTCCTGAAAGGATCTTGCCCTGACGAGAGGATACCGAGAAAGCACCACTTGCATCCTGCTTGTCCATCCACCAGGCTGTGAACGCTGTCATAACGACAATGCTCGGGAAAGTGACACCATAAGCTGCAAATGTGGGTTAACAACCTTTTCTTTCACCTGGAGAACAGGACGCGCTTACCAATACCAAATCCTGTCGTTTGCGATGTCTGCCCTACCACGATGGACATTCCGATGGCGACCGCCAACATTGCAAAACACCAAATCCACGACCACATCATCAAAGAGCGCCTGAATCTCTGGTTGCCGGAATAGAGTGCGACCATAGCCTCACGGGCTGGAAGACCCATGTGGCAGCCGTCCGCCGCGAATACATCCTCCATGACGGTGAACAATGGCGGAGGGGTTACAGATCCGCGCTTTATTGAAGAGAGCGTCACAGGTGTTTTGACCTTCAAGCAGTGAAGCGTGTTTTGAATCAGCATGTAGATCCCGATGACATATGCCACGGACGGGGGTGCCATGCTGATAACGCGGACTGGAACGTTCTTGGTTGATGTGGCGATAACAAGCTCAAGAATCATTATCAGCAGGGCTAGCGACAAGATATAATATGAGCAGTCGAAGGCCCAGCGGTTGCCATTGATGGGTCGGAACTTTGGGTCGCGCTTGATGAACAGCCGATATCCGCGTGAAAACCACTTGTGGTAAGAAGCCCAGAATGAAAGGGAGGTCAGAATCGCCAGGATAGTCCAATGCGTCAACTTCGACCCGAACCACAACGAGTAGAACAAGATGATGGGAAGGACGCAGCCATCGAAGCAGAAGCATGCGAACCAGATTGCCCACTTTCGACGGTGGTCTGTTACTCGGTAAGGAAGGCCTGTTCCTGAAGATGTCGCGTTGCCACTGGAGAGATCAATGCCATTTTCGACGCCAGGATTATGCCAGCCGTTCGTTTCGGCGCCTGTCGACATTCTTTCAGTCTCAGTGGTCTGTGCGACCGTCAAGGGGAGAGAGAGTGAGCTGTTCGAAGGGTGATGGAAGAGGTAATCATGGATTGTAAAATAAAACGTGAAAGGGGGGAAATGCGCGGCCTCGTGGCAGTGACGACAACATAGGCACATGCATCATCACAAAATTCGCGGTTTCAGGGAATTGAAGTCGTGATGCATGAGATTTCTGGCGCACGTTGCGCGATGGCAATGAATGAGTGGCCATCCATGTCTATGACATAAGCATTCACAACGGTCAGCCTCAACGCAAATCTCCGGGCTCCGGCTCGCAACGCCAGCCAGCAACGTCCTCATTCAAGAATTGAAAAGCGTTAGATCCGCGAGTGACAAGATAGGCCTGATTCACAAGTACAGGCTGTGTTTGTACTGCAGCCTTGTGGCCGACCTGGCATCAAACCACGTAGTTCGAGACACATTGTAGCTAACTTACCTTGTGGCTTGTCACAGTAAGTCGAGCGTCCCGTCACCGCCACTGTAATTTGACATAACAATGTATGTCGTGGTATCCAACACCATCATCCACGTCGATGACAATGATCGTACCAGTCGAAGGGGCGAGCATGAGTTGGACGATAAATGGCAGTTTGAAGAAACTGGTAGGAATTTGCACTCTTGGCGAATCGGAAGTCACGATGCCAAGCCCGACTGAAGTCCGGGGTATCGACTCTCGATGATGTACTGTTCCAGCATCTCTACCATTAGTCATCGCTACATTCTTCGATCTTCTTGAAAGACGGTGTTCCTATCAGACTGACGTCTCCTGGACTCGAAGAGTGCAGCCACATCATAGGGTTCTCTTGTAGTCGCACAAACCGAGAGGAACTCATCAAACGAGGAAGCAACGTCACTGCCTGTCATTCGCCAGGGCGTTATATCAGTCCTTCGATGGTTGAAGACATCTCCCGGGATATCGTTACCTAGAGGGAGGCGGGCTTCAGGGCCTGAGAAGTGACTCTCACGCCTTGACATTGACTGAAAAGAGCTCAACTATCTCTTTCAAAATGTCAATACCAATATCAGCACTCCTCACCAATGGGGCTGCCACAGTCCCTCGCGATCGATGGTAAGCCTCAAGCCACTCTCCCTTCAGTGAACGTTAGGCTGATGATCCAAGGTCATACCTTGATCATGTCCTGTCGACGACGTCACCTTACGCTGGTGAAGAATTTGTCCCTGGCGAAGAGACTATCAGTGCCCTGGAATCCTCACGAGTTCTGGTCATCGGCGCCGGTGGCTTAGGCTGCGAGATCCTAAAGAACCTAGCCCTCTCCGGCTTCAAAGACATCCACGTGATTGACATGGACACCATCGACGTGTCGAACCTAAACAGACAGTTCCTCTTCCGGCAGTCGGACGTGGGCAAATCAAAAGCCGAATGTGCAGCAGCATTTGTCGAACGACGAGTTCCTGGCGTCAAAATCACCCCTTACAACGGTAAAATCCAAGACAAAGACGAAGAGTACTACATGCAATTCAAACTGGTAATATGCGGTCTCGACAGCATCGAAGCCCGACGCTGGATCAATGCCACACTAGTGGACATGGTAGACATGGAGAACCCGGAATCTCTCAAACCTCTCATCGACGGCGGTACCGAAGGTTTCAAGGGCCAAGCTCGTGTCATTCTCCCAACCCTCACATCATGTATCGAATGTCAATTATCCATGCACGCACCCCGCGCCGCTGTACCTCTTTGTACGCTGGCCACTATCCCTCGACAACCCCAACACTGTATCGAATGGGCACACATCATCGCATGGGAGGAGCAGCGCAAAGGCGAACCCCTCGACACCGACGACCCAGAGCACATCACGTGGCTGTACACCACGGCGCTGGCTCGAGCCAAGCAATTCAACATCTCCGGCGTAACGTACTCCATGACCCAAGGCGTGGTCAAGAACATCATCCCAGCAATTGCTTCGACCAACGCCATCATCGCAGCGGCATGCTGCAACGAAGCCCTCAAGATCGCCACGTCATGTGCACCATTCCTCGAGAACTACATGATGTACACGGGCGATTCGAACGACTCGGGTCTGTACACGTATACTTTCGCCGCGGAGAAAAAGGACGACTGCCCCGTGTGTGGCAACATTGCGCAGAACATGACTATCGACTCGGAGGCCACCCTAGAAGAATTCCTGGGAAGTTTGGCGGAGCGGGCAGAAGCACAATTGAAGAAGCCTAGTATCAGGACCGAAGCAAAAACGCTATACGTACAGGCACCCAAGAGTTTGGAGGAGCAGACGAGGCCGAACCTGTCCAAGAAGATGAGGGAGCTGCTAAGTGACGGTGAAGAGGTGGGTGTTTCGGACCTTGCATTTCAGATTTCGTTCAAATACAGGCTCGTGTTCAAGTGATCGCTGGCCAAAAGTTTCAACAAGTGGCATTTAGCGACGCCGCGTGGCCAACAGAGCATAGAACGAAGACCAAAGCATCAAGAAACCAAGAACACTTTTGATTTTGCAATCCATCCGTGGTATCTAAAGCCAAACTATCAAGAACACCTTGCAATGCCATGCCCGAGAACGCCATGCTCTATGCATACATTTCACATCTCTTCTGCTTTGTTTAAAGCTACTTCCTCTTCTCCTCCTCATCAAGAGCTCGAAGTAGTCTGCTCGCCTTGAACTTCAGCACATTGACACTCTCCAAGAAGAGCATGTCACTTGGAAACTGTCCCGTGCTTTCAACATTGAAGATGAAATGGTCTTGCACACGGCCTAGCTTGACTTTGTCCTTGAACTCGTCGTGGCGTAAACACTCTCGAGACACGGTGTCTCGCATGGGATCTTTGACTACGGCCTTCTCGTCACCCTCTCGCCCCTCGTACGCAGGATCGTAGAACTCTTTATGGTCTGGGTCTGTTTCCGTGGCTGTCACGCGTTCAAGCTCAATAACACCTGGTGGGAAGCACTTTTGGAACTTTCGAGCGTTAGCACCAAGGATAGGCTTGGTGATGGTGATCATTGGGAGGAGGCGGTATGTTGCGGTGGCGACAGGACTGAATTTGGCGTGGTCGCCTCCTTTCCCAAGATGCGCATGCAGAATCATGTCTAGTTCCTGGCCGGGGCGCAATTTGGCGATAAGAATGTCACGGCTGACCGGCTCGATGGGTCCGTCGGCGAACTTGTCCGCTTGGGAACCTTGACACTCCCATATGATGTGCCGTGAGTATACGCTGCTATTGATGTATTTCTCTTCCGGATCCGTGGCATTCTTGTCGGCGGCCGGGTTGCGCTCGCACTTCACGTTCAGATTCAGCACGATTGTGTTGTAATCCGTTCGTTCCATACCCTCGAAACCCATGTCCTGGTTGGGCTCGAGGAACCATTTTAACGACTTTAGACCTTCGATGCTGCCTTTCAGCGGTATGAGGCCCAGTCGGTGAGCAAGGACTTCGTCTGCAATTACTGAAGTGTTGTTATTGACGTAGACTTTTTCGATAGCCAATGTAGGAACTTCGGCGATGAGGATCCGGCGGAAGGCGTTGGCTATGGACGCGTCGACGCCGATGAGGGAGAATATGGCTTCGTGGGTTTGATTCTGGTGGAATTGAATCTTCAGGTTCTGCTCGAACTTGTCGAGAGACCATGAAAGATCTTCGCCCGCATGGTGGCCGGGGAAGTCGGTTGAAGTAATGTTTGTGACGGTTTCGGGATTGATTCCAACAATCTAGATGGGCTGTCAGCATGTTGTAAGGTGCTCGGCCTCCTTCACCCTCACCTTCCGCCTGTCCAGGCTGGCCTGGGATTGTTGTATGGGAGCCATGGTTGTTGCTTAAGGAATGCAAAACTGCGGGCAAGCATTTGGTAAAAATGATGTTCGGTCGGTTCTTTCTCCAAAATTTAAGTGGAGAGAAGGGTCCCAACGGCCAGCCAATCAGGATATTTCCAATCTGTTCGCCGCAATCGAGCTTCATTGACCTCACCACTCTCAAAGGCGAGAACATCTCATCAATCGCCATTCCTTTGCAGATTGATGCTGTCGACCTCGAGGCATCAGCTCGAGTACAACCTCTCCCATCCTGTGCCCTGGCCTTAGGCCGACTCTGACAATGCCCGCTTCGTTCGTACGAGCCGCAGGCTGGCGTTCCGCCAAACGACTTTGCCTTCGACCCAGCTTTCAGACTGTCTCGAGACAATCGCCTTTCCTTTCGCGCGCAGTGTCTACCACGCCGATTTGCAAAGCCACACATCAGGCTCCTGGCAACCCTGACACCGGAGGCGGTCCTTTGGGCACGACAATCAGCCCGACAGACTCTACTTTCACTACCCAACTCGACTCCCAATTGGTCAACAAGACACCCGATACAAATTTGGGCGATGACTACGAGTCGAGAAAGATCCGTCACTACACGGTCAACTTCGGTCCTCAGCACCCTGCGGCACACGGTGTGTTGCGGCTCATTCTTGAACTGAATGGAGAAGAGATCATTCGAGCAGATCCCCATGTCGGACTGCTGCACCGTGGCACCGAAAAATTGATCGAGTACAAGACATATCTGCAAGCCCTGCCCTACTTTGACCGCTTTGATTACGTCTCCATGATGACGAACGAGCAAGTCTTCTGTCTGGCAACCGAAAAACTCCTCAACATTGATATTCCAGAACGGGCCAAATGGATCCGTACTCTATTTGGAGAAATCACCAGAGTTTTGAACCACTTGATGTCGATTCTCTCGCACGCTATGGATGTAGGAGCCTTGACTCCTTTCTTGTGGGGTTTCGAGGAACGTGAGAAGCTCATGGTATGTGGCATGATGACTGATCTTGGAATTTCCGGCTAATTTGCTGTAGGAATTCTACGAACGTGTTTCCGGTGCGCGGTTACATGCGGCCTATGTCCGTCCCGGCGGTGTCAAGGCTGATCTACCTCTTGGCTTGCTGGATGATATTTATGCCTGGGCGACCCAGTTCGGCGATCGCATCGACGAGACCGAAGAACTTCTTACTGACAACCGGATATGGATCGGTCGGACCAAGGGTATCGGTGTCGTGTCTGCGGCAGATGCGCTCAACTACGGCTTCTCAGGAGTCATGCTACGTGGTTCAGGAGTACCGTGGGATATCCGAAAGAGTCAGCCGTATGATGCATACGACAAAGTGGAATTCGACGTTCCAGTCGGCCAGAATGGTGACTGCTATGACCGATACTTGTGCCGAATGGAGGAATTCAGACAGTCCCTGCGTATTATCCACCAGTGCTTGAACAAGATGCCTCCTGGACCTCACAAGGTGGAGGACTACAAGATTGCACCACCACCCCGAGCGGCCATGAAGGAGAACATGGAGGCTCTTATCCACCACTTCCTGCTCTTCACCAAGGGTTACACCGTGCCGCCCGGTGACACTTACACCTGCATTGAAGCCCCCAAGGGCGAGATGGGTGTGTACCTGGTCAGTGACGGCAGTGAGCGTCCATACCGATGCAAAGTACGAGCTCCAGGCTTTGCGCACTTGAGTTGTTTCGACCAGATCAGCCGTGGTCATCTTTTAGCTGATGCAGTCGCCATCATTGGAACGATGGATCTTGTGTAAGTACCCCTTCTGATCTATCCCATCGCCCGTGGCTGACCACCCCTCCAGCTTTGGAGAAATCGACCGGTAGAGAATGTTTCCGGTAGAGAATGTTGATCTGTTAGAAGAACAATCATGGGAGCTCAAAAACATGCAGTACTCTTGGACCTGTAGAGACCTCAAGACATGATGTGTCGAGTTCGCACCTACCAAGTCTCAAAAGCATGCATTGCAAGCATACGTTGCCAGCTACGTGGTGACCTATGGGGATCCCCCTAGCAACGATGATAGATAGTGGCTTACAGTATCATCAAGCAATTGCAAAGAATGAAGGGTTTGTGTGATTTGGGAGTTTGTCTCACTATGGTGCGTAAAGTGACAGAGAACGAGGCTATGACCCCTAGTTCGGTAAGGCTGTTTCCGGGAAAAAAGGCACCGTCTGACAGGGAGTGCAACCACGATACAAATACATGGTTACCAAGTTCGCGACAGCGCGTGCCTTCACCGTAAGCCAGTACGAGTAGATCGTGAAGCCGATGCGCTCCCTCCTACCAAAGATTAATGGTATATCGTTGTGTGCCCAGAGCTCCTGAACGACAAGAAGATTCGAACCTGAAGACTAATGACGGTCAGACGGAGCCATTTCTTCTCTAAAGATGCTTGCCGGTCAAAAGTGGCGTACGGGATCTTCGTAGTCAATAATGCTGTTTTGTGTATATTTCGAGACGCGCATTGCATCTTCCGTTCGTAACCAAAGAAGACGATGAATTTGCCATTATTATGGATTCGTTGGAATCGCCGGGTCGGCGAGTGTGGCTGTTACGAGGCTCCGCCATACCCTAAGCTCTCAGCTTCAGGCACCCTGGAGTCACTCCGCAGCTGTGATCCTTCCCACTCTCCTGCACCTTCTTGCTCCGCCACGATGCCAATCCCAATGGCCCCCAAACTCAGAGATGTAGCAACAACTTATTTCAGCTGCGCTTTTGCTGTCTCTCTTTACCAGTCAATTCTTACCTAGAGATTGAGCCTATCAGCCTCTTGCTCTGCCTTTACAAGTCTTCCTCCTTCTGATTCCTACGTTGTCTTTAGCCTGTGCGTTCACTATAGCCTCATACTCGAATCGTCTCACCCTTACCCCGCAATCTCATTGGGATCTATACCACGACGGACTCCTGAGAAAGAAATACAAACACCGCCGCATACAGACCCTCAGGCTGCTTGTCTACTTGATACCTAACCGAGTCTCCTTGCCTCCCACCTGTGTCGTGTGCACTCCGATCCTGAGGGGTGTTCTGATATTACGTGTCAAGGCACTGCCTTCCAGTCGCAACCATGGCTTGTAAGTCTGCGTCCGCATACTGATTTTGCACACTGGCTATCACATCGTACATCCTCGATGGCGTATGTCTCTTCCCTACGATGTCTGCATTTTAGCTGTCACGGCGTCCGAATGGACTGGTGGTTTTCTCGCATGAGAATCGCATGTAGGCATACTAACCATTTGTCTGCAGTCTCCGGTATCATGAACAAGCTGCAAGGTCAGCCCGATAGCTACGATAAAAAGTCACAGTACCGCTTTGGAAAGACGTTGGGGGCAGGAACATACGGTATCGTGCGAGAAGCAGAATGCAATGGGGGAAAGTGCGCTGTCAAGATCATCCTCAAAAAGAGTGTTAAGGGCAACGAGCAAATGGTATACGACGAGTTGAAAATGCTACAAAAGCTCAGTCATCCTCATATTGTCAAGTTTCAGGATTGGTTTGAGTCAAGAGTATGTTTGGTCCGCCGAGGCTATGGGATAGAAGAGATGGCTGATCATAGTATAGGACAAGTTCTACATTGTGACTCAATTGGCTACCGGAGGTGAACTATTCGATCGAATTTGCGATAAGGGAAAATTCACCGAAAAGGACGCCTCTCAGACAATCCGACAGGTTCTCGAGGCTGTCGACTATCTTCACGCGAGAAATATTGTCCACCGAGGTAAGCGTTGCAAGACGTTGGACGCGGTGCTCATCGGCTAACTGCTGTAGATCTCAAGCCAGAAAACCTTTTGTATCTCACCAGAGATCCTGAATCACAATTGGTGCTTGCCGACTTTGGCATCGCCAAAACCCTCGATAGCCCCGGTGCAGTCCTGACTTCAATGGCTGGTTCATTCGGTTATGCTGCTCCCGAAGTCATGCTGAAACAAGGCCATGGCAAAGCTGTCGACATGTGGTCCCTGGGAGTCATCACATACACTCTTCTCTGCGGTTACTCACCTTTCCGATCCGAGAACCTGGCCGATCTCGTGGACGAGTGCAGGAGCGGCCGCATCATATTCCATGAAAGATACTGGAAGGACGTCAGCAAAGACGCGAAAGATTTCATCATGTCTCTACTTCAGCCCGATCCAAAACGACGAGCCACCAGCCAGGAAGCACTAACACACATCTGGCTTACTGGAGAAACTGCTTCTACACACGATCTTCTGCCGGAGATCAGAGGATATCTCGCCAAGATGAAGCTGAAGCGAGGAATCGAGCTTGTCAAGCTCGCAAACCGGATCGATGCTCTAAAGGTGCAAGAGGAGGAAGAACCCAACTCCCCCGATGCAAATGACATACCAGCAAATGCGCAGAACGCTGCTGGATTGGCTGTAAAGAACCAGACGAGGGGGATCTCTCCTGGGCGGGGTTTGGCCACGAACGAGGCCCACGAGAAGAGACATCTAAGCACGGCGGCAAAGAGTGCCATATTCCGAGAAGTTGTCCTAGCCAAAGTCAGGGAGATGAAAGACAAGGAGAAAACAGACAAATTGGTTGCTGAGGTCACCAAGGAGCATGAACGTAGGAAGAGCTTCACTGGCCAAAAATGAGCACCAATATTGTTTGTATGCTGGCGCCTCCTTGATGAAATGAGGACGAGTGTGCTGCTGTCTTCGTGGCAGGTGATACGATACCCTGATTGACGACGATTGATGGTGCTTTTATGGGTTTCTACCTAGGTTTTGTACTTCCCAGCAGGTTGATATTCAACAGAATAGGTTGCTCGAACGCAGCTTTTGGACGTTCCGTCCCAAATTGCATACCTCATTTCTCATCATCTGCTGTTCAGCAAGTACTACCTCTTCTTTGCAGCCAGATGAACAGGCCTGAAAGAGGTACCCTTCCGCGTTGCCGATGCGTTGCCGATGCGGCGCTGATAGAGCACGAATCCGATATCGGCTCGAAACATACCGCACACATCCAGCCCGACAAGTTGACGGAGTTGAAAGGCCTGAAGGATGTGCGGCCTGACGTTGAGAATATTATTATGTTTACCGTTTGGACGTCCAGAGGGTAATGGCACGTTTCCGCTCAGGGATGCTTACGCACTTGGCCTGTGATTGACCCAAAAGGTCGCGAGCCTTGTGTGGTGGGCTGGGACTCGAGAATCAAGGCTTAGTGCCATACTATGTCGTCGGCCACAGGTTGTCGTTTAGCCATACTTCTGACAGGTCCATAGGGACATCAGTCGCCGAGGGCATACTGCTAATAAAGTACCGATCCAGCTCATCCTACCACAACAATGGTTAGAAAGTGTCGGTGCGCGAACGAGTTCACGAGATCTTCTTACCCAGTTGATGTCATTTGGATCCATGAAAACCTGCGTGACTGGTAACGTTACGTCTGTAGCCGAGTTCGAAGAGCCTTCCGAGGTACCGTTAGGTATGGTCGACGTCGTTGCCTCCGTATTGGACGTAAGTACCACGGAGCTGGGTCCAGGTCCGGATTCGAAGCTAAGGCCACCCATTGAAGAAGGTAAAGACTGGGAAGGGCCGTACTTCGTCATGATACCAAGGTCGGGCCTAAGTCTGGCGAGCATGGCGGCCAGTGCCTCCGTGGCTTTGAGCGCTTCGACAGATTCTTCACTTGATTCCTTCCAGATGTAGTAAGACGTCTCCAGTGCTCTCGACATTTCTTCGTGGCGGTCTCGGCCCCATATGGCCATGTCGCTTGACAAGGTCGAAGGCTTGGTCATCGACAGGTGGAGATCCAAGCAGATCAGCATCGCTGCAAGCAGCCAGTCGTTCTTGGTGATTGACAACATTGTGCCTCCTAGACCGGCAAGGCGTCCACCGGTTTTGGTTTCTCGGTTCCGGACAGCCTGATAGTCAAGCAGTGTCATTGCCGCTTCGACGCACGACTTCCGTGTGGAGGAAAATCGTTCATCTGTCCTAGAGACGACTAGGCCCTTTCGATGGAGAATACACAATCCGGTCAAATAGATCTGGTCGATGGCGAAGCGTCGCATGATGATATGTGCGGGATCGATCAACGACTCTTCGATGGGCCGTACGCGATAGTATGCTGGCACGCTGTCATGTGCGGCTCTCAGCTCTGTATCGAGCTTCATTACGGAGTCCTCCTCGGAGGAGATGACAGATTGTACGTGCGCCGCAATCTTGCCGAATACTTCGATCACGGGCGCCTTCGCCAGGTAGAAGCCCATTGTTGTGGTGCCGTCGACTGGCCTGCTCGCAGGAAGCTCTTCCGTGTCTTCGTCAAAGTCGTCTTCCGCCAGATTTCTCGGGCGGGTAGTGTCTGATTGTGCGTATGGTATCATCGACGGTAGGCCCATCTGGAAGGAGAGCAGTATGTCCCCATGGACAATGCACAACCAGAGACGGCGCCGCATTTCGCACTCGAAAGTGGTAAACTTACTGTCGTGGGCTGCATCTCGGTTCAGTCCGATCATGAGAGACACTCGGACTGTCGTACCGGTCAAAATGTAGAAGTTGGCTTGCGGATCTAACGACTGGAAATATTCGGCCTCCAGATGCGTGAGAAGGCCTTGCAGAAGATGGATATTCGCTCTGGCGTAATCATCCAATGTGAGACAGCGAAGCGCACAAAGTCGGAATGTTGAAATGGTTTCGTCAACGTCAAGTGGAGATGAGGAAGCGGTGTTTGGCAGCTGCTGGGTAGTCTGTGCTGAGAGTCGAAGGACTGCAAACAGCAGTCCTAGCCATGCTTTGGAGACGGAGTATGGTGCTTGCCAGAATTTGTAGTACTGATTGATCTCGTTAGATGCTCTTCTGTTGGACATTTGATCTAAACCTACCTCGCGTTGGAACTGCTTCGGATGGACAACAGCTATGGACAGTAAGCTCCGTTGACAATCAAAATTGCTCGAAATACGTACGTCTAAAGAAGGATGCCATCTCAAAGTAGTTGGCAACTAGCCTGTCCACTTGCGAACGTTCGGGAAGGCAGGTGATCAAGGCAGACAAGTCCTGATCTCGACTTATGCCATAGATCAAGTCCCACACTTTCGGCTGGGCTCTGGATTCCCGAAGCTTTTCAAAATCGTGTTTGAGGACCTGGTCGTGGTCTTCAAAGTACTCTCGTATCTCAGTGATCTGGGAAAGGTCAGGGGAAATCCTGTCATTTCAGCGAGTGCCCAACTCACGTCTTCAAGTGTTGTCTGCCAGTTTGTTGGTGTCCCATTGGTATGTCCGTCTCTGAGCATACGTGAGTCGTTCAGTAGGACTTGGTGTCCAGGGTCCAGACAGTCAATCATGGACGGTTCTTCGGCCCCTGCGCCATCCTCAGCGTCGAATGAAACATTGTTCTTGGAGCTGAGCTCCAAGAACAAAGACTCCAGGCGGTTGATGCGCTCTTGGACCTTGACAGGCTTTCTGGAACCGCGGCTGGCGGCATCAGGATACGCACAAGACTCGACTGCTTTTCTCTTGGAACAGTTTTCACACGGTTTGCCTCGATTGCATTTCAACCTACGCCGGGGTCAGACCCGCCTGCATGTGCTAGACCAGCCTATGTTTACTCACTTTCGTTGTCTGCACGGTGTGCAGGATAATTGACGACGATTGCGTGTGCCTGCCAGGGAGGTTTCGGCTAGTAGGGCCCAGACATCAGGGTCGAGCCGGGTTTGGTTCGTCATCGTTCAGCTATCCCCTGCCAACGCCTAAGGTTGAAGCGACCGCATTAGTGAAGGGGTCTGAGGGTGCACAATGGGAGATGACGGAGTCGAACATAGTGCTATTATCAACAGGACCTGGTCCCGATTGAGTACAGTGATGGGATTGAAGGAAGGCTTTCGGCCGTACAAGCCTCCCACGCCGAAACTCAATGCTATCACCATCGACATTAGCGATGACTAAGCCTACCACAGCCCCTAAGTCGAGCATCAGCATCAGGCTGCATCTCCTGATCGGCAAGGGATGACAGTTCTCCAATGCTGTCCTGGCTCTGAGTCCTTCAACACACCGATTCACTACAGTTATATTGTCTTTCTCCAATCCAGTGTTGACGTTCCTTAATCAATGGCTTATGCTCAGTGTCCTTAGACACCGATACTGACAGACATCAGATGGGACACATACTGTGATTTCTACACGCAGCTCAAAAACCTCTAGGGTGTCGTATCATTCATAATTTCATATCTCATGGTCATATTCAATCACTGTGGTGCTTGTGTTGTGATCCGAGGTTTGATCTACCAGCGGCGGACGGATAGCGCCAAGTCGCGCTTCTTAAGATTGCTCCGACAGATCGAGTCGATGGTTTGGAGCGCCTTGCCCGAACGCTAGCGAGAGAAGGTGCCTTGATTGGGGCGTTTAGGCCAAATGTGTTTCGTATCGATGCCTTGTTACTTTCATGAGGTCGTCTTCATGCGTCCGCACCTCGAACATGTCCACCATTGGCTTTCCATCCACGTGTTACAGCCACCGCACGTCCAGCCTAAGGGCTTCACTTGCGCCTTGGCCATGGCTTCCGACTCGAACTTAGCGAGAGCGTCTGCGGAGGAGAGGCGTGGTTGCAGCGCTGCCGGGGTCTGCCGAGGTGTAGAAGATGCGTTCTTAGGGCCGGGACGGATGTGGCGCGGAACTGGAGGGCCATCCCCATCCAAATACAAAGAGAGATCTGAATACATGGATGGTCGCTCCGTCTCACATGCTCCGCACATGAGGTGTTGAAGTGGGTTGATGAGGGTGCAGATCTCGCAGGTCCATGTTTCCTGGACTGGAGCAGGTGCGGGCGCGGCTGGCCTTTTGGAAGGGATGGATGGGCTTGGTGAAGGGCGCGGCACCTGTGGCGATGGAGCTTTCTGCGATCTTGCTTGCTGGAGTTCCCGCTCTATTTGCAGTTGTTGCTCGCGCAAGGGTTTCGCTGCCGCTGCGGTTCCTCGTACACCGGCAGGGTTTTCTTGGCTTGGCGGGACGTAGTCTTTACCGAAGAGTTGCTGTTCTTCTTCCTGGATCATGTCGATGTAAGCTTGCATGAGGGCGGCGTCTTCTTCGTCTTGCTTCTCAGCCTTGGTTATCGTAACTTTATCGGTCTTGATAGCTTCTTCGTGCGCGATCTGACGGCCATGCTCGGTCGCGCTGGCGCAGCCCCGTTCGATGCGAAGGCGTCTTTCTGCGGCGGCCGCAATGATCTCCCGAGCGTTTTGGCCGCGGATAATGCCTTGACCACCTAGACGCTGGCCGCTTCCTTTGGTCAGGTCGCGGCGTCGTTCGGCGGCCGCCCGAGCCTGCCGGTGAATCTCGCTGAGTGGTACACGTCGGCCGCCAACACGGTTGCCCTTGCCCAGGAAGCCTTCGCCTGTGTACCCCTTTCTGAGGAGAGCCTCGTGCTCGTCGCGAAGCTTGTCCCAGAGCGCGTGAAAGACTTGATCGTGCGGGCCGTGGATGATGTGCGCTAATTCGTGGAGCATAGTGTCGACGATGTTCTCGAAGGGGAGGAATTGAGTGTCGTCTCCTGGGTAGCGTAGACGTAGACATATTTTCTCACCGCGGTTGATATTGAGGCCTAGCAGGTTGCGTTCATGAGGGTAGAATTCAGCCAGGACGCCGACCCTCCAATTTCGTTGGCGCATGAGAGGTTTGACTATCGAAGCGATCTTCTGGAGCATCTGAAGGGCTTCCGAGCCTCGACGCTTGTCCGTTAGATGCTGGAACTGGTCGACCAGGGGGTCCATTTCGGTAGGGAGCGTGCGAGACATCTTGGATGACTGTGAGGGACAAAGTCCACAAGGATAGAGACTCTCCGGCCAAGTCAGTGGGTTTGTGTCAAGACCTGGCCCAACTTCTCCCACTGATGCCAATAGGTGACCGACACTTTGGGGGGGCGAATACTGAAAGTGTGGTTTCCTCCCACGATTTCGCAAACGAGCGTTTGGTGCAGATAAAACAGGTAGAAACAGGTGAAAAGAAAACGTGTAACTCCTCTCGCTCAAAAGACAACTCGAACGCCGAACGGAATGTACCAGAACAAAACCCTTTTTGTCAGTATTGATGAAGGTGATTCGTAAGAGTTCTCAGCCTGATGGCAAGGCATAGCGGTCTGCCACGTGATGAGCATCATTGGTTCCCCTCATGTTCGGATTGGTTTACGCGCAACGTACCCGACACCTGATCTCGAAGTAAGTGGAATGCAGGCATCAACCTCATTCGACTTCAACAAGCAGACTGCTGTTCAAAGACACATCGGATCTCAAGATGACGAGTGACGATCAGCAGTTCCTGGACCTGGTATGACAACTCCAACCTCTGCAGCGAGTTTTACTAACCATCGCTTCCCAGCTCGCATCCGTCCCAAAGGATATGGCACAATATGGAGGCCGCGTTGCCGACTACATCGAAAAACATACCAACGCAATAGCCTCTGACATTCGCGACGCCATCGATGGTGCAAGCTGGATTCCTGACTCACTGCGACCACCACGACGTTCCGGCGGTGGTTCATCGTCCTTCTTCCGGCCTCCCCCGCCTCCGCAGGGCATTCTCGAGCAGACCACCGCGTTCATCTCTAAGCGTCGTACCGCCATAGCCATCTGTGTGGCCTTCACAGGAACATCTGTATATCTGATACACAGGAGGAAGAAGGCACATGCTCGCAAGAGGAGGGCGAAGAAGCTGCCTAATGGTGCAAAGAAAGAGATTGTGATCCTCGCTTGCTCGACCTTCCACGATGCCTTGACACGGTCATTGGCTCTTGACCTTGAGCGGCGAGGTTACGTTGTCTATGTCACAGTATCTTCGACCGAGGAAGACTCGCTGGTCCAGCAAGAAGCAAAGGCTGACCTCCGTCCACTATGGGTCGACCTGACCTCTACTGTCCCGAACCCTGCCGTCGATGTTCATCCCAACCTCGAACCAATCCGCGAACTTCTGACCAAGTCTTCTCGCCCCTCGTCTCCCGGCGGTCGTTCCAAATCGAATCAGGGCTCCTCCATGAGCAACATGACACTTGCCGGCATCGTTGTCTTCCCAGGCTGTTCCGGCTACGCAGAAGGGCCTCTCGCTCTGATGCCGCCGAGCGATATCGTTGACAACATCAACACGCGCCTCGTATCGCCCGTCCTTACCGTCCAACAATTCCTCCCTCTACTAGCCAACCACAGCACAGATCCGAAATCTCCATCCTCCATCATCATTGCGTATCCATCGATTCCGAACTCTCTATCTCCTCCACGGCAAGTCCCAGAATGCTTAATCACATCTTCGCTCTCCGCCCTTGCCTCGTCTCTCAGACGTGAAGTCAAAGCGGCACACGCCAACATCACTGTCTCCGAACTCAAATTGGGCAACTTCGACATGGGCTCTGTCGCCTCATCCCGAAACACACCTACACAGTCTGCCTATCAAGCTTCATCAAGCACGTCATCATCCTCTTCAGCGCTCATGCCGTGGCACTCGTCACAGCGCGCTGCTTTACAACGCAAGACACTTGGTCAGCGCAGTTTCATCCGCGGCTCATCAGCCCGGGAGTTCCACAATGCTGTCTTCGACGCCCTTGCGCCGCCACAGACGTTCAAAGCGTTTGGTCGCTTCGAATGGACAGCGACACGACGTCCTGAAGTGGTCTTTGTCGGTAGCGGCGCCAGGATCTACGATGTTGTAGGTCGTATCATGCCAAATGGCTTGGTGGCGTTTATGATGGGTTACAAGAGACGAGACACGGAACAAGTCGATGTCGAAGGAGGTCGAGTCTATCCCAAGACCGAGTCTATTCAGCAACGGGACGTCTCCATCGAGAGACTCAATCCTTCTGCTGCTGCCCCAACGTGGGGTTTTGGATCTATAGGCAGTGAGAGCGGGATCTGGGAGAAGGTATGAGCCCGCTTTGGCATGACGAAAACGAGGTATGATACGATGAAAGCGAACGTGAACAGTCCTCTCTTCTTTTCTATAGGTGCTTCTTACTCCTATAGGTGTATGATACATGTTTCTTGGCCCTTTTCTGAACTCAGCAACTTCCTCACTTTTGCGAGCTTGCAAAGTGACATGCCTCAGTGCAGCAATCGGTACCTGGGTATGACTCTTTGGACTCGTACCGAGTATTCAATACTACCGGGTAACGTTCCATGGCCCGGTTCATTGGCGCAGCACAGCCTTGCCGGTTTCGGCCGCGGTCTTTGGATCCGGAGGTGACAAGCAAGTACGCCGGACCTTCATCTGGCGGCCTGTGTCGGACTCCGCAGTGTCAATACCTACCGGATATTCTGATCCTTACGAGTGACATTGAACATTTTCGGAGACCGTTTAAAGACCTTGTATTCCATGTTCACGGCGGCAGACCTTGACGGCCGTCGAATCCGGCCCAGCAATATGTAGATAGTCAAAATTATTTGTGGCAAACCTGGAAGCACTTCCAAGAGGTGATAAATTCATGGCTATGACTGGGCTGCGCTGGTCGTATCTTCCGTTGCGTCTCTTCCTGTTTGCCGCATGCACAGCCTCGTGACATTACTTCCGCGATGCAATGTCTGATATAACTTTCGTGGTTTTGTATGGGTTTTTCAAGGTTCAAGGTGAAACCTCGAACCACCTCGTTTGTATCTCTTCAATATGTCCGCGCGAATTCTGTGTAGGCAATCATCCGCGTGACACACTTTTGCAGGATGGTTGATGGTCACTGGTAGGTCAGTGTCTGGGTATAAATACCTCGCGCACACTCATCGACCTCACACACCTGTTGAGACCCTCCCGTTCTGAACACTGTCAAAGACCACATCTTAAGCAATAGATTTTGCACTGTTGCTGCACTCCTACTCACAGCGATGGCACATTCTCAGATCGATGGACAACTTCAAGTCCAAGTCCATTCCACACCCTTCACCGGAACACGCTCGACGACCACCCGGAACAACCAGAGCCCGGACTTATCAGCGTTCTTCATCCACAGCACCGAACACCCACAAGGCCAAATCTTCTTCGCCACCAAACCTGCCGCTTCCGAGCGCAATTCGATATCACCGCTCAGGGTCAAACGTCCCATCGATCCGACCAAAACAAAACACTCCCTAGAAGCCCTCACGCCCTGCACACTGTTCGTACAATACCGCTGCAAAACCAAATGCCGATCGCTGGGAATCTGCGTGCACTACCAATTCGTCATCGGATGTCGACGGTGTCCCGATGGTTTGAGGTGTCCAAGATGTATGGCGAGTCCGGGGTCTCAAGAGGCCATCCACGCATCACGCCCATGTCCATTGCACCAAGACCTAGCACAAGCGAACCCGATTGAAAATCGGCCTGAAGATTTTTTGGCGACAGATGCACAGAAAGCGCTTTGCGACGAGATATTGAGACGGGCGAGTGAAGGACAGTGGGAGGACATACCAGAGCCAGAGACGAAACGAGACGATGCGATGGGAGGCGTGGAGCAGGATTTGCACGGCTTCCAGTGGGAAGGGGAACAAGTGCAAGAAAGAGCACACCCGGAGCCGCAGCCACCGAGCAATGCAGAGGGGTCGGATGGGATCATGGATACAGTAATAGAGGAGGATGCTGGTACTGACGACGATGAGGACGGGAAGACCATCACTGGCGAGGCCAGTGTTGAGGTTCCCGCTCATACCTTGCCGTCGCCTGGCGGTTGTGCTGGTCGTATCATCTCTCCTGCGTTGCTCGGTGGGCCTCTGGGCATGCAGACTTACACATATGCAGCAAACGGCAGGCGTGCTGGGTGAATGAGTGGTAAGCCCTCACAGGATTGTCGGTCGGAAATCTACGAGCAGTCACAGAAGGCGTGTAGGCTGTTCTGTATGTCAGCGTAGCATATGTAGCAGTATGAGCTCTGGGTCAAGGAGTGCGAGCTCCTCACAGACAACCTCAATGATGTACATTGTCGACACTCGCACCAATTCGAGTCGTCGACGAACATACTGCAGGGCTGGTTGCGACGCGAGAGAGTTGTCGTGCCGACAACAGTATAGCCGTCATGGCGTTCTGTTGTAATATATGGCCACATCTTACGTGTGTTGCTGTCTGGAAAACAGCCTGGCAACACACTAGCACTGTTGCGCGCTCGTGGTGCAATAATAAGAACACATAATCGACTAAACCGAACCGGTTTCCGAGGTTTCATCGCCAGCCATTGCTACAGACGCTGTAATGCTCTCTCTCCCCATGGATTCAATGATATTCGTTCGCCTACACAGACCCGACCCGTAGCTTTGACACTATGACCATGTGAAAGGGTAGATTAGATAGAGCTGTCAGAAATGGACGGACCTATCTTTTACCTTTCTCTTTTCGCTTGTCGGTTGAGCAATGACCGTCAATACGTACAATTGATGCTGAATCACGGTTCACAATCCTGCTCATGCGCTGTGTACCCGTGCTTCCGACATTGCCGGAGCAGGACAAGTATTGTGAGTCAAACGTGTAATGAAAATGTCAACACCTCGTATAGAACATTGATGCCAAGGAGGCTGAAGGCAGCCACCATCGATCGATCTTGAGTGTACGGACACTTGTGTGTCGAATTTGGAAGTGTCAGTACTCGTAACTTGACAGCTATGTCAACAACTGCTCGGCCTCGACGCTTGAGCAAGAAGTAATCGGAGGCCAGGACAGATAACAAGCTCGACAAGAATCAAAACCACTGCTTCATATAACAGTATGACGATCATTGGGCGGATTCGTAGCCTTGCAGTCCTCTGACCCTGCTGGCAAAGACGCCGCTGAAACTCTCGTCTTGCTGTGTTGAGGGTACCTCGAACACCGTACCAGTGCGGTCCTGCGTTTGCCGGATTGGAGACATGTCAATAAGTACCAGGGTATCTACCCCCGTGTTTGGCTCCTGCTGCACAGTAGCGTCGTCGTAAGGCTCTTGTTGGAGTACCTTAGTTGCGCACTGTATTCGCAATGATCCCGGAGTTGGCATATATCATTGTTTCGTCCATAGTTGATGTCTGAAGTGGATAACATTGTGTTTGAAGTCCTGGGGCCGGCTGACGACAACGTACTAACGGTTAAGACAAGATCTCATCTATGGTTGATAGCATCTCCTCAATTTTTGCACCTGTAAGGTTTGAGGCTCATAATTTGGCGTGGTCTGTAGTAGCAATTGCTCGCCGTGTATCCGTAAGTTATGGAGGAAGAGACCAATGCTTTTAATCATTGCCCTGGTCAACGGGGAAGGAAGTGTCTGCAAGAGACCTTGTCACAGCGCCTACTCAGAGGAACAATAATGACCTCAATTGATCGATTCGTTTGGCAGGAACGCTGCGTCGGACTCAAGAGGGGTTAGCACCATCGGACCTTGGCTCAAACACCGAAGGGATTCCTGAAATGGAGATGCATACTCGAGGCATAGCGAAAGTATGTGGTCTGTGCGTCAAGCATAAGATGAAGAAGGAGGAGTGAGTGGATATCTTTTGAGCCTCAGCAATCAGAATTTCCACAAAACGCCACTGACGCCAATGGCGCTGTGGGATGTCAATGTCCCAGGTTGCGACAGACAGCTCCACCCCGACGACGAAGGCCACGGCGAAGGGCGCTTTGATGGTTGCTGGAGCCAGCACTTCAACAGGGGACAATTGATGCGAGCCAGCTGATCATGTCATTCGACCGGTGAGACAAGAAGCAAAAACAAAACACAGTATCAAGGAAAGATGAAGGATTGAGAGGAAATAATGCAGGGAAAAAGGTTCCTGCCCCTTCGCACCATTCCTCACTACAACCGTAGAATGATATCATCCCACTAGCCAGTATTAGTAGTAGCAGTTGACGTGCACGTGAGATGTCTGTTGATTGATACGTGAAACACCATGCAACGGTGCTGAGAATGAAAGAACACTGATCATATTGACTTACAAGTTCAAGCGAAAATGCATGGAGGAATGGTTTGAAACTCCATAGTTATCTTCTTTGTTTCAATTTGTGCTCATGTGCTGTCTAGCAATAATCGAACACTTTCGTAGGCCAATAATGGCCCGAGGCGGGAACTAATTCTTACACCGATTGTAGATAGCGCAGCCTCTTCGCCTCGACTTTCACCATCCAGAGGGATGGATGGCATCAGAGATAATCCACCTGATATGCCATTTGTATCCTGTACGCACAATTCCGATCGCCATCAATAACCCATTTCCTGTCCAGTCGGCGTAACCCTGTTTTTCCTCCTTTGCTGCCCTCGACCTAATGAGCTGCCCACAGCTCACAGTTGAGAAAGCCAGAAAACAATCATCATTGGAACAGTCATCGCTGGGTATCAAGTCGTCATAATAAACAAATAATTGTAGAATAAGCGAATGTCGTGAATCGAAATGCTGAGCAATGCCGCCTGCCCCAGTATTCGTGCATCAGGGCACCAGGCTCGTTGCACACCGGGTCCCCGTCTAGAATCCAATCTGTTGTACACAAGCGCCAACGCTTTTCCAGCGCCACGCTTTGAGAGATATTGTACACGGGAGGGGGGAGACTTCGCGCAGAAGCACGACCATGTGGTCTGGGAAGACCTTGTTGAAATGAAGCCTGATTAATCTCGTCAGACCATTTAGTCTTCGTTGTCGGAAGTGCTGGTGGTAGAAAGGCTGTCACCCTTATGCACCTTCTTGTGTCGGCGCAAGTTGGAAACAACCGAGAAGTGGCGACCGCAGCCTTCGACGTCGCAAGCGAATGGCTTCTCGCCGGTATGGCTGTACATGTGTGTCTGCAGGGAGCTTGGTCGTGTGAAACGCTTGTCGCAGACCTTGCATTTGTGTTTCTTTTGCGTGTTTGCGGACATCTTAGAGGAGAACTGTCCCATCATAGATTGAGGGGCTGGTGGTCCTAGGGGGGCTCCCAACATTTGCTGGGGTCGTGGCAGTGTCCGAGACGCAGCCATGGTCTCGTATCCACCAGCATCCGAGGCCGCTGAACTATAGTCGGTGGCGGAATCGGTGACAGAGCCAACTGAACTGGGAGCGTAGTAGGGATATCCGCGACCAGATTCATTAGAGATGGATGAGTGGTTAGAGGCAGTATGAGGGAAGCCATATGCGTCCGTAGTCGGTCTCTGAGCACGAGCTTCATAAATGTTGCGAGGAGTCAAGTCCTGGAGGTTCTGGTGGCTGAGTGCTAGCATGCCTCGAGAAGCGTCAAGCTCACCAAAGCTGGCGGTGGCGGCACGAGAGTTGTCGACACTGTCGAACATGTTAGACTGAATCAGATGGGAGGTCATGGAGATACTCACGCGTGATCGGACATTTTTCTGTGCTGTTGTTGTTGCTGCTGCTGTTGCTGTTGAGCCAGCTGTTGGGCATAGCCCATAGTAGAGTATGATGGAGTATACGACGATGTTGTCGCTGATGCAGTTGGATAAGACTGCTCGGCATAGGTCGAACGTGGAATGTCTTGAGGAAACCTTAGTACATCGTTCCCGTATGTGCTAGAGTAGTCGCTACCTTGAGCCATGGAGCCAGTGACTGGTGGCATGTGTGAATATGGCATTGACATGGTAGACCTTGAGTTATCCGTCTTGGATAAAGCCGGGAATGAGGCACTGGAGGTGCTGGTCTGGTGTGACCATGGGTCGCTGAATTGCGGTTGAGTATGCATGTTTGGGTACATGTGATCGTATCCCATTCCTCCGTATTGTCGACCTTGGTTATCAATGACCATCGTCATGGAGCCGGTATTTTGTAGGAAGAGTGAAACAAACAAATCGTTGGAAAGTATCGACGATGTTGTCTCGTTGTGATCGCCTGAAGGCGATGGGCGGCGTACAAGTGATGACTCCAGATGTATACTGGTTCCTGAACAAAAGACGATCCAACTCTGACCGAGGGGATCGACGAATGTTATGTAAATGCTTGTGTGGAGAGCTTGGAGGCGGGAAACTGCCAATGGAAGGTCCACAGATGATCGATGAAGATCTTTTGCTGTTGTTGGAAGAATGGCGGAATGAGTAGTGCCCCTTTCCCTCTGATAGCAATATTCCTCTGGTGCACTGATGCGCAACTTTCAAACAAGTTCGGCGAGCGGCAGATCGACAGATTGGCCGGTGTTTGATAGATTGTAAAGATGCCACTTGAGAACGACGGCTTCTGAACGGTCGTGCTCAATTAATGGAGTGTGTTGAAGAAGGTTTGTGAAATCTCCGACCTCTAGCTGGCTTTATCGGCGACGGGGAATGATATGCCTTGTGCAAGTTGGATGTCTTCTTGATGTGTGTCTCGGATGGTAGAATGTCGGATTGATATCTGTTTTTCCAAGTATGAAAGAAACAGGTCCGTTCGCGCAATGTGGGGTGGGGAGACGTAAGGGTAGATAAGTTGTTGTGAAAATGCCAAAATTGCTGCCAGTGCCTGTGTGTATGCTTGCAGTCTGTAAAGTTACGTCGGTGGGAAGACCCTTAGCAATGTCGAGAGCGTTGGTTGACTGGCATCATCGCAATTGACTCCAAGTTTACCCTTGGGCACTTGTTTGATGCAGGGCTGCTTAGCTCGAGAAATGGCACCTTGGATGGCGTTCGCGGTGGAGAATGGATCGAGAGGATGAGTGGGCAGCGTACCCTGTCTCCAGGCCGGAAGTTGTCAAAAGATGATTTCAGTGGAGGCAATTCTTGTTTAGTCCGTGAGGAAAACGGAGGCCGGGGCGGCAGGGATGATGAGAGGGGTTGCTGTTTTGCAGGGCTAGTGCTTTGATGCTGGCGCAGTGATCAAGGTTAGTCTCAGGTATCTCGGAGGTGCGACCTGGTAGAAACGGGGACCCGGCCCTGAATGAGGCTTAGAGGAGGAGTGACAGGGATGCCAATGCTGTTGTTGCGGAAGTGAGATGAGTGGATACAACGTCTGTGATGCCAGATTGAAAGATGGAGGCGGTCAAGGACCAGGTAGAAAACAGTGTCATTGGTTGGTTTAGATAGCGATGACATCTGCTGGCGCACAACACAGAGTTCAATTCCCAAGCCCTTAAAGGCAGCCCTGGCTCCAAATGCAGCCACCCGGCTATAATATTTTTACGGGGCCTTGACCACTGACAGGGACTTATACGGGCAACAGCCAAGCACCGGCGTCATTGATGGAAAGTGGCCGGGTGGAGTTCAGAGCGTTGAAAATGCTGGCCTGAAGCCTGAGGGCTACATATTTTGTGGGGAGAGAATTGTCCATTGAGGAATCAGAGTCGTCAGAAGAAAAGGCAATAATAAGATCTAATGCTGTCAGAATGCATTGGATATAGTGTGGTGAAACCGACTCAGACCTACCGACAAAATTGCTAGAACAAATGGAAGGGTATCCTAAGACAACAGAAGCACTGGAATGGTTCAGCATGACTCCTACTCCGTACTTACCAGGTAGATTGACATGGCGGCGGCGTGTGTACACAGTAGTCGTATGCCACCTATCAATGATAACAGAAAAGGAAAGAGGTCCCAGGGCGGCATGCTAAGTGCAGTATGGGAGAAAACTGTAACCAATAGCGATATCAGACCAAATGTGAACCATTTCGATAAGTGTCGTTTTTCGTGCCAGTGCTACTGCTGTCAGTACGTACACACGACCAGAGTCAAAGCACTCTAGCATTTTAAGCCTCCAATTATTCTCATCTAAGAATCTGACCCTCAATTTTGTGGCTTGCAGGGATGTTGCTGGCACAAGATGCACTGTGCAGCGGACCCTCTAATAAAGCAACGGACTTCCAGCCACTGACGCCGTCTGTGCTTCGACGCACAAACCTTAGCATGACGCCCACTGGCACCCCTTCTGACTCGCTGCAGATGCTATAGTCAAGTCAATTTGATCTCAAGCTACCATAGTATAGACCTCTTCAAGCTAGCCATAAGCCATCAGAAAGAGACTCGACAGCCATAACCCCTTAGCGCAAACAAATAGAGCCTCTCAACTTCTCAGAAAATGTTACCCTGAAGCAGGGCTTGCAACCTGGCGCCGAACGAATGTGGTATAGGACATAGTTTCCCCTGTTGGGTTAATTGCCGAATTACCTACATGCCGCGTACACACTGACTCGGTACACCAAATCTAGCGAAGCCAAGACACCTAGCCTTTGGGCATCTTCGTACCCAAAATATCGATGCGGGTGTTCCGTATCATGCGTACATTGAACAAACAACTTCAAGAGCGCAAAAGTGCAAATTCCGGTGGCAGACGCTCCATATCGCTGATCTGTTCATCAACCTGGAGAAGGTACGTTCCACGTGAACCAGGTACACTGGGTAGTGCCGTAGCCGTAGCCATGCTCCCCAGTGCCTCGTGCCAGGAATAGATGATCATGTTCTGGAATTTTGGGGAGATCGTCTCGCAACAATGGAAATGATGAGCGGTAAGATACCGTTAAGGTAAGTTGAAGCCCAAGACTTCGAAAATAAAGGCCCAGGTGCTTCTCTCGCCACTCTATAAGTAGGGCACGTTTCCGATTGGCAACGTGCAGTGAGTGAAGCAACCTCACCTTCCAAAAGTGATGCTGGTGAATTCAACAAGGTAGCGAACTCAGCAGTACAGTAGCGTCGTGTGCTCAGCCTTCTTCTATACAAAGTAGCCAACAGTACGAGATAACATCCAGGTTCGCAGAAACCCTTCGTGTCAGGGTTGCAGGACCCTGCAGAACGTTTTGACGGGGTGTAGGGTTGTACAGCACAAACATTTCGATGCAGGGCACGCAGGGTCTTCTTGCCGGTAGAGTTCTTCCATTGGCCATCTTCATCTCGCTGACGTCTTACCAAGTCCGGCTTGGAATGTGTTATTGAGATTGCATAGGCACTCGTACCTTATGTCTCTCCTTTCAATCTCTTGATTTTGCGTTTGCTCATGCATCTGCCGGCCAGTGTTGAACCATCGTTCAGTCACGATCTCGTTGGAGACGAGTGGAGATATTGGGAACCTGAAACAGCGCCAAAAGTGAACCATTCGGAAAGATATTGATCAAGGGTGCTGTCAATGGTTAGTGTTGGCGGGGTGGCTTTTGGTGGCGTCGAGATGGCCTGCTCGCCCTGCTTGGACCCTCTCGTTAGACTGCAAGGGCCTCACCAACGGCAGACCGCTCAAACCCACTCCGTTCGTCACCCTCGATCCCACAGCACGTCATGCTGCTTGCTTGTGGTGGGATGCAACGCTTCTTCATTGGTCCGATATTCTGCGACTGGATTCGTTCCAAGACTTTTCCACCTTTTTGAAGAACAACCACTCGAGCGTCCTGGTTGTTGCAGACACTCTCACCTGGGGTAAAGCCTTTAATGGTCGACCGATAGTAGGGTGGCAAATTCTTCGCAATTGCTGCGTCGTAATAGGTTTGACCAGTCACAAAAGCACAGAAGTGATGAGGAATAATGATGCAATGGCTGGACATTGGAGAGGAGAATGGCACGAATGGTCTAATGGTCAGAGCATTATTTGGCTTCATCGATTGCGGAACTGCCTCTGTACGGCTGGTGCTGAACTGTGACAGACACATTTGAAGCCATGTTGTCAACTTGTTTAGATTGTGAAAGAACCTCTGCCGTGCCGTTTGAAAGTCCTGTCATTACTGTTGTCACCGACGCCGGCCCTGCCGGTACCGACGGCCACTGCTGTCTCATTTCTCATCTACCATTCCAGTCCATAGCTTCACCTCAATCTTGTCCCTTGTGACCCGTTGCATGTGCAGTTGCGTAAAGCAAATCTGCGACAAGTGGAATCCTCTTTTTCGTTTGCTATAGGTTGGAAATTGAGTTTAAGGGCCTTTCGGATTGCAACGTTGCCGGCTTCGAAGACTCACAAGTCTGAAGCTTTTGGAGCCGCCGCAACTCCGAAGAATGCTGAACCCCTCTTACTGTAGGCTTTAACGTCCCTCTTCCGCCTGAGAGTCTATGTCTGTCACAGTTTCCACAACCTTATTGAGGCTTTCACGGCGCCTTGTGTGTCTGCTAGACCTCTGAAGTGCCCAAACCAGAGAAAGACAGCGATGCCACCCCCTCCCAAGTCATTTGTCTTAGGATGTCTTGCTTCCGGCATAGTTGACAGACTGTCAGATTCCCTTCGCAGAGTCACGCCGGCAACTCTTCTCCTACTAAATTCCCATCCCTTCACTATCGAAGCCAAATATGTATTGTGAAATTGGCAAGTCCTTAGTTCTCATTATCGGGACTGTTCTCCCTTCCCTGCTGGTGCCCGCCTTTCTCATCGACGATCATCTATGACCTGGGCAGATCCGGAACGCCACAAAGATATTCTCCGACCTCCTTGTTTCATGCCCTTGTCAAGTTGTCAGATTATTGCGCGTTCGTGGTCTTCGAGAATTCAAAGGCTTGTGAGCGCTTGATGAGGTTCCATTCTCGGTATGACAATCTCCACCTCACCGACTTAGCGGAGTATAGCGCATTCTACCTGCCTACTCGTATGCAGTGAGATGAATGATAGTGGACGTCTAGCTTGATCCTGGGTGCAGTGGCACGGAGCGTGGATGTCTACCGTAGCACACTCCCATAAAGCAATAACTAAGACATACAACGTCTATAGGCCACCGGCTCCAGTTCAGGGGCAGACTGGATTCTGTTCGAAGTTTTCTCCCGCCAGGGGCCGCGACCTACTGCCTTCTACGGTGAGATGGATGCGACCGCGATCTCTCACATACGGTCCAAAGCGCTCCCATCTTGGAACGGACCTGCATGCGCCTGTATGAAGAGTACCGCGCGGCTGGCCTCGTACCAAACCGATGCACAATGATTTTCCGGGTGATTGACCATGATGAGCAGCTTGGGCACTCAGATCTTGTACTTGTGGCAGGTACCAGGCTGATCTGTTGATCGGGATCAACAAGGCTGCCACATCGCCCCACAGCCTGAGGACGAGGCTGCAACGCATTCCTAACACCTCAGTCTTATGATCAAGTACTTCCATATTGCTGCTACAGCATAGACTTGCAGGCCTGAGTCTAAGGATTGGGCGTTGATGTGATGAGACACAACTACTTGATCCTCTTCAACCGTTCCGTCTGGAAATGGAGACGGTCGTCGAAACGGTCGCTCTGTAGTAAAATCAGCAAAAGGTCCTGCTACCAAATATGATGTACTCACCTTCTCCGCAATGTTCTGAATCAATTGGTTTTGCTGTTCGACCTCTTCTCCGGTTGCACGAGCCAGCAGGTTGAGGCGTTTGGCTGCGCCAGAAAGGTCGTCAAGATTGCGATCGATTTCATCCTCCATCGCATCATCCTCGCTGTCAGCTTCAAATTGGTATTTGGTCCGCTCCGCAAGGCTGCTCTTGGTCTTGTTTCCGCTAGAAACTTCATCCAGGCCCTTGAAATTCTGGTTCATTCGTTGACCACTCTGGAAGGCGGCTTGTCGGGACGCTTCTCGAGCCTCTCTTTCAGTATGGTGTCGGTCCATGATCTGCTCATCTCTACGAGCCCGTCTATCCTTGGCTGTGAAAGGGTTGTTCACATGAACCGCAAACATGCTTCGGTTCAGCGTCTTCAATTCCTTCGTCTTGTCCTCGGCGATATTGATGTGGTTGTTGCCAATGTCTAGATTCCGGTCTGTGTTATGCATTCTTTCGCCCTGGGCGCCCAGCCTAGCAAGGGTATTGCGGCCCATCTCTTCAGCTTGAGCAGCAATTCGAAGGGCATTTCTGGTGGAAGCCACATCCTGCTGCTTCATGAATTTGATCTCTTGTTTTGTTGCATTGATGTCCTCTTCTTCTTCCTCTTCAGCCGTTAGTTGACGGTCACCGTATGCCCCGTAGCTGCGATCCCCAGCATCGTTGGCGGGGTTGTATTGGTAATCTGGGGCTGCGTCGACCTGGTTATTTGGCTTCTGATCCATACGTTCCCGTGCACCACCAAATAGCTCATCACGACTCGAGTCATTGTCGTATAGGTTGGACGATCCAAGTCCGCCATAGCCACCTTGTCTTGAAGTCCCACTGGGCTGCTGTATCGATCCATAGGGGTTTCCACCGCTGCCAGCAGCACCGTAACCATTTTGATTGCCGAACTTGTCAGCCCCGTACCCACCTTGAGGAGGGCCGTAGCTGGATTGGCTGCCGCCATATGGGTTATCTCGGCCCGGTGGTGGTCTCTGTTGTCCAGGACCCGGCAGACCTGATGCTCTGCCCTGTGGTCCAGGGCCAGGCTGTTGGCTGCCTCGAGGATCAGGGACAGAAGGTCGTTGCTCTGATGGAGGAATGATTCCTGCGCTCATCTTCGCCCTTGTATATGGGTCGGGAGGGATTGCAGTTTGAGCATATGGATTCTGTGAGGGAGGAGCAGGGGATTTGGACTTGTTGCGAGAACCGAAGAGTGCGAGTCTGCTGGATGAGTCGTCATCATTGTCGCCCTTTTTGAGACTGAATTTCCCCATGGCTGTAACGGTATTCAACGGGTATCAGAGATGATGATGATGATGATGATGATGATGATGAAGAGTAAGGATTTGGAGAGATGATCGCGGTGTTTTGTTCTCGATGGACAACGTCTGTAACAGTAACGATTACTATGTGGTGATCAAGGGTTGCAGAAAGGATGTCGAGCTGAAACCTGAGGACGTGGACGACAGGGGCGGTGCAGCAATGAGTTCTCAGGACGTCTCAGCGCAGGCAGGCTGACCGTTTCTAGACCAACATAGACCGTCCGCAGTTTATCCGCATCAGCGATAAGATAAGGTACGATCTCCAGGTCTTGGCGAGTTTGTTAATGGTCTCGTCACTTTCGGTATCAAGTTCATCGTTCGTCTGCTCAAGCTTCTAGGTATCTTACAAGATTGTCCATTTGGAATCGAATTCGGCTATTCAGCCAAGGTGAAGGCCGATGGCCCCCAATATAGACAAAGAAGCCGATCATATCAAGAACAAAGCCAGAAAAGAATTACTAGAACTACTTGAAGGGGTGCGAGACCACAACAATGAACGCCAATCCAAGCCTACATTGCTGACGTCGTGGCTAGGTGCGCGGAAAGAAGAATCTGGTCATTGGGAAGGATTTGACTGGGCTGCTCAGTCTGTTCGTACAGTTTCCCACACTCAAAGAGTACGGTGTGGACAAGGTGTTCGAGCTCGAAAATGGCAACACCGACTCCTCCCAAAGAAACATTGTTTATCTTGTACATGGTGAGAAGGCAAACTTGGTCCAGGCCGTAGCAGGTGAGATACCCCACCAGATTCTTCTCCAACTGGGACTTCCAAAGAGATTGCGCGGATCAACTTCTCAGTTCCCTGCTGTCAGTCTTGCTCCCTAGATCAAGCAAATGCAATTCGGATACGATATTTCTTCGTCAATACAATGCCTCTGTACTGGCATATGCATTGAACGTACCATCGGACGCTAACATTTGTGTTCGCTCGTCTAGAACAGATCAAGAAGATACAGAAAAATGGGTCGGTCGAGCATGAGATCTCCATCATTTGGGTTCCAAGAAGAACGCTCGTCTCGAATAAGATCCTGGAAGATGAAGGGGTTCTTGGGGATGTGAATATCTCCGAACTGCCTTTGTACTTTCTGCCCCTAGAAGACGACATGCTGTCTATGGAGCTCGATGGAGCTTTCAGCGACTTATATCTGGTATGTTTGACCACCTGCCACGCCAATAAAAACCGCTTTTTGACCATATGGCAGACACATGATCCTTCTCCGCTGTATCTCGCTTCGAAAGCTCTGATGTTGATCCAGCAAAGACACGGTCTATTTCCGCGGATCCTGGGAAAAGGAGACAACGCTCGCAGACTAGCTAACCTGCTCCTCCGTGGACGCAAAGAGCTCGACGCCGATGAAGCCGCAACGCAGTACACAAATACCCCGAGCACGTCAATCGAGCAGTTGATAATCTTAGACCGCGATGTCGACTTCGCAACTCCACTGTTAACCCAGCTGACTTACGAGGGGCTGATTGAAGAATTGATTGGGATCAAGCACAACCGTGCAGATGTTGATACTTCGATTATCGGTGCTGCTCCTCAGCAGCAGCAACGAACCCAGACTGGATCATCCTCGGTACCTCCAGCTCCAGCGGTGCGACAAGGCCTCAAGCGCAGAATACAGCTTGAATCATCCGACCCACTATACGAAGACCTACGATCCTCCAATTTTGCTCTCATAGGCCCACACCTCAACAAGATCGCTCGACGCCTCGAATCTGACTATGAAGGCCGACACAATGCTCGAGGAATCAACGAGCTTCGGGACTTTGTGAACAAGTTGCCTGCCTTCCAACAAGAACATCAATCTCTGGCCGTTCACACGAACCTGGCAGATGAAATGACCAAACAGACCCGTTCTGACGCCTTCAATCGCGAATTGGAAGTGCAGCAGAACATCGCTGCCGGAACAGATCCAATATATCAGCACGACACCATAGAAGAGCTCATTGCCCGTGACGCCCCTCTCAGCGCTGTTCTACGTCTGCTGTGCCTCGAATCTACCGTTGCAGGCGGCCTCCGAATGAAGGACCTGGACTCATTTAGAAGGCAAATATTACACGCCTATGGCTTCCAACATCTCATAACTCTCGACGCTTTAGAAAAAATGGAACTGCTTCAGCCGCGCTCATCAGCCTCGGCGCTACTTCTACCTGTCGGCGGTGCAGCAGGTCAGTCAGAAAAGGGCTCCAAGACAAACTATGCGTATCTGCGGAAAGAACTTCGGTTGATCGTGGATGAATATAACGAACAAGATCCAGAGGATGTCGCCTACGTATACTCGGGCTACGCGCCGCTGAGCATCCGAATTGTGCAATGCATCCTTCAGAAACAATATCTTCAAGCTCTCCACAAGTCGCCCCTGCCTCTCACGCCTTCTAGCACGGGCTGGGCAGGATTTGAAGACATCCTCAAATCTGCAAAGGGGCCGACATTTAACATTGCGCAAAAGCCAACAGACGAAAAAGCAGCCAAGGCGAAGGCGGCTCTTGCAGGAACAGGAAATTGGAAGACTGTCTTCATCATGTTCCTCGGTGGGATCACCTTCACGGAAATTGCGGCACTCCGATTCATTGCACGCAAGATCGCCGACTCTGGACAAAGGAGGAAGATCATGATCTGTACGACGGGTATCGTGAGTGGGAGAAGCATCCTGGATGGGTTGATCGAGAAGTCAAACTTGGGTTCAGGTCTTGCTTCATGATGTCGACGTAGAAGTCGTCCCTCACATGTTTTCAAGCGTCTTTCTCGAGTTCGGGATGCTGAATTCAGCTTTCACGCCCAGGTGATCGGTCACCCAACCTTCTTCCATCCCTTCCTCTTTGATCAGGCTGTCCTGGACATGCTTCTCCTCTGCCTTGACGCCCAGACCGAATCTCTCAAACTTTTCACATCGCAAATTGCCGCAGAAGAACAACTTGTCCATCCGACTGCAACCGAACTGGTCCCTTTGTTTGGTTGGCGCCATTTGGCCCCATGTATACCCTTCGTCGCTATCTTCGCTGCCGCCCATTGTCAAGTATGCATCTTGCAGACCGTTGTCGGTGTGAAGCGTTCTGTCGAAGTCCTGGATGGCATTGAAATCCCCACCAATCACGCTTCCAGTGACTGCTGGATCGCGCATGACTTTTGCTGCGGTGGCGAGTTGTTGTGGTCTTTTGGGCGGATCGGCGATCAGTGATTCAAGATGGCTGTTACAGATGCGGATGCTATGGCCATTGCCGAATGCCAGATCGACAAACAGAGCGTCTCTTTCCATGACTGTTTGTTCATAGTGCACCCTGAAGACAGCATTGACTGGCAGAACTGTCGGGATTAAGGTGCAAGTGCCATAGTGTCCTGACTCCCAGTACTTGGAGGTTATGTCAGTCAAGCTGTACTTTTCACGGATCCACGGTTGCTCTTGTATCAGGGCAAGATCTGTCTCGAGCATCTCCTGCAGCATGACAATTGTTGGGGTACTGTTGGCCTGGACATGAGACTCCAAGTGCTTTAGCGCAGCCAGCATGCGCTCGTCTGTGAAAGGTAGCATGAAGTCGATGTTCCAGGACATGATGGAGATTTTGGGAATCAAGGAAGCTGGTGAACCGCTCCTCGAAGGAGATACCGCTTCCCATGTTGACTTATCCGGAGAGAATGTATAGTATGACTGATCATACCTTTCCTGTCGCCTCCAAGGATGCGATAGCTTCTTCTTAGAATTGATCATATCGATCATGCGCTTGATTTTGGGGTCCATCTTAAAGTGACTCGTCTTGCTGTACTCGTGGACGGCGAAGCTAAACTTTGGTTGGACTGACTTCAGATGGAAATTTCCCCAGTATGACAGTCTGTGAAGTGCTCGCAGCTCGAGACAAGTGCTCATAGAGCAAGCTGATGGTTCATCTATGATGACAAGCTGAGTTGTCGTTAAGATTCAGATGGTCGTCGTCGCTTACAAGTGCAGAACACCTGCCGAGGTTCACATTTAATTGGCTGACAGGCACTTGCACGTATTAATATTCCCCGGGTTCTCTTGCCTTCTTCCGTTTCTCGACGTCGATAACCTGTTCATCAACGATCTCAACATCTCGATAATATGAGACACAAGGCGCGATCACCTATGGCTGCGCTTAACGCTCCGAGGTTGTAGATCTGACCATGGAGTTCATCATCCCTCCATCTACCCGATATGGCCGACGCTTCGAGTCAACTTTCGTCGAGCGCGACGAAGCGACCACGACCCGTGATATCTTGCTTAGAATGCAGGAGGAAGAAACTCAAATGCGACCGAACGCATCCATGTCAACAATGCATCAAGATTGGTCGTCCTGGCCAGTGTGAATACCAGTCAGGAGTCGAACCGCTGCCCAACATTGCGTATGCTCTGGCAAGTCCAGCCAAGAGACAGCGCATCCATTCACCTTCAGTAGAAGCTGTGGACAGAGGCATTACGGTACCGAACGGCTCGCATGATCTGCCGGTATCTTCTGCAGGTAGAGGCGTTATTGAAGACTTGCAGGAACGAGTGGCCAGGCTTGAGAATGCCATTTTGGCAGGAAACACTGCGCGCGAGGAGTCCCAGAATCCTCACACAGCAGCGCCAATGTCTCTCGAAGCCAATGGTACTCATGCCGATGAGAGTAACGGCCCTTCGACATCACAACCACTCAAGTTGATGGTAAGTCCTGCCAATTCCGCAAAAGCGTACTGACCTCCGTCACTTACTCCCCATAGTTCAAGGAAGCATGCCTTTTCATGTCGCATTTGCAAGATACTGCCATCAAGTCCGAGATGGCGAGCCTCCGAAATGATCTTCAGACCATACATTATTCCGTTGAGATAAACAACCACAGACTATGGCACCAGCCGGCACCACCCCAGCTGCTAGATCAGCAACCTTTTGACCTGCCACCCTTCCACATCTGCGAAAAATTGGCTACATTGTATTTTGACAATATGGAACACTGTTTTCGAGTCTTGCACTACCCGTCGTTCAGGAACCAGCTCAAAATCCTCTTCACGGATGGACTCGGGAAGGACGCCTGCAGCTTCGGCTTTCTACCCCAGCTTATAGGTGTCCTCGCCTTCGCTATCACAATCGGAACTCACCCTGAATGTGTAGCTGCGGCATCATGCGCAATCCTCGAGCCCTCCCGAGCCCTGGACTTCATGAGCAACTTCCTCAGCAAAGCCCGACCACGGCAAAGATACACTCTGCCAGTCATGCAGACCAAGGCGCTCCTGCTAATCTGCAAGTGGGCGTTCTTGCAACCAATGGATGACTTGCTCAGGCTTGGTGGGGAAATACTTCGCGATGCTCTTATCATGAAATTGAGCGAAGATCCTTCCAAGCTCGCCGGGATTGATATCTTCGAAGGCGAGCTACGAAGGCGGCTATGGATGAGCATTGTCGAAACAGACCTCATGTTATCACTTATGTGCAAAATGCCCTGCATGGTCCCAGCATACACCTCAAAGCCTCCACAAAACATCAACGACGACGAGCTCTACGCAGACATCGATTCACTGCCCCAATCGCGTCCTGTGGAGGAATGGACAGATGGGTTATGTCAATATGTCCTCTCTCAATCCTTTCCTCGTCGGCTAAGCGCATGCAAAGAAACGGAGGGCACCACGCACGTCAGATTTGCTGATATCCGGCACCATTTGACATATCTGGAAAAGATCCTGCAAGAGCTTCCATCTCCCTTGCGATTCACTTACCAAGGCGACCAAGCGAGCAAAACGCCCCCACGTCTACTTGCGAGAATGGAGCTGGACTTTAGCATAAGACGACCCTTGATGCATCTTTATACCTGCGCCGCCACTACGCCTTATGTGACCGATATCCGGTCAGAGTGCAGCGATGGCTTCGTGCAATCATGTCTGATGATTACCACTTTCCAAGAGTAAGTCGTCCTGTTCTAAAGTCTCCATTGCACACTCCCTACGGCAGGTTCTCTGGGCGTTACCTCTCATTCGTTGCCCACTCACATCCTACCTCTTGCTATCAATCACCCATGCTAAGAGTCTCAGTCTTTTCGATCCCAGGTACTCAGAGATAGACGTGCCTCAACCTGAAGGGTATTGGGATTTCTTTCACAACCTGTACCGAATGGAAATGGGTTTGGCTATCCTTGGTCTATGCCTTGAGATCAAAAAGCTTGCTTCTCTCGCTTCGATGGATGGCGAACCATCCCACCCGGGCGGTCCACGGTCGGCAGTAGTCACGAAGACGAGTCTGATACATTCGGTCCAGGACACCTTGGAACCGCTGAAGCTCCGTCTGTCTCATATGGGTGGGAATTTCAAAGATCTCGTCTATTTCACCATCGTCGTGACCTCCCTTTTGCCGGAGCATCCAGGGCAGACTAAGGAGGACGTGATTCGAGAGATGTTGCAAGAGCTGGCCCAGGAGTGTCTGAGTCAGTTGCGCAAGGATGATGTTCCAATTGTCGCCTCACCGCATAACAATCATGCTCTGGGAGACTCTGCCTCGGCGGGCAACGGGGCTTTCGCTGGGACGGGAACGTATGACCCGTCTTGGGCGGACTTCCCGACTCTCGACATCTTCGAGCCGTTGGACCAGGTTGATTTGTCGGGTGATAGTGCAACTTGAAGAATAAGGGACACTTCACATCTGAACTGCTTGGGTTTGTTTTCTGCATGGCGCAATATATAGCAATCTGACTTGGGTCCGGAGCAATCCGCACATCGATATGTGGTATTTTGGTTATAGCGGAGTGCACAGGTGGAAGGTGGGATTTGTCAGGACTAAGTATCTTCATAGCATTGCTTTCAATTCCTGGTAGAGATCAAACTTTAAAGTGCCTGTTCTATGCTTTTGGAGTTTCTCCATTGCTTCTATGCAGGTCCTGGGACTTTTGATCGTGCCCATTTTCTAGATTCTCGAGCACGAAGTACGAGCCCCTGAAACATCTCATCGTCCGCTCGGTATTCCAGCAGACCTGACGATTTCTGGCGCATCAATGATGACTCAGGGCCGATGCATGCACTTATGTCCGGATGCCTTTCCAATCAGAGCATCGACAGGTCCTAATCCATGTCGAATCGAGGAGTTGTAGGGGAAGGAGCACGGCGCACAACTGTCTGCCAGGAGTTTGCCCTTCGTCCGACTGGTGAGATATTGAGAAAAGAGCACCAAACCCCATTTGTCTGCTTGGACATTGTCCTCCGTCTTCATAGGGAGATATTCAGACTAGAGCAGCAATCATTCTGTCATGCCCGTAGATGGCAGGTCGATCTTTGCGCTCAATCTTCGGGCCAAACCCTCCGGTTCTGTGTTCGAGGGTTTGTCAGGTAGCGTGTGTGCTCAGGGTCTTGCTTTTCGAATGCAATTCGATAATTCTAGCGTCCCGATCCTCGTTTCAGTCATCTTTAAACTTCCTCATATGCCGAAACGCCACATGATCTTCGTAAAATGTTTCGTCAATTCGTGCAGTCTTCTATCCAAAGTGTTTCCTCAACGCCTCGTAGATGCTGAAAATGATGGCCGAACTCGGTGCGGCTCTGAACACGGTGATCCCGCAGCCACGGTAGAATCCTTTCAATCCTTGTCCCTTCCACAGCTCTCTTCCAGTCGATGCGAAAGTCATCTTCTTAAGGCCCGAGATGTCGTTGGTGCTCGTTTGCATTCGCGACTTGATCGTGTCCGCTGGGTAGAACACGAAATTGTACGACATGCCTGCTGTTGCACCAGCTAACACCTGCTGCCAAATTTTGACGTCCGTAATCTGAGACACCGACGAATCGTACTTTTGGAAGAGCATCTTAACACCCTCGTATGAGCCGAACCAAGCTGCCGATCCACCAGTTTCGCGTATCAAAGTACCCATCTGACCGTGCCAGAAACCCATGAGGCCCTGAGTGCGGAAGATTGTGCGGACCAAATCCAGGGGACCAGGAAGACTTCGGGCCGGGTAACCAGTGCGAGACGAGTGAACTGGTACTTGCATCTTGCACTTGATGAGCTCGATGGGCGTGAGGAGGATGGAGGTAAATGCACCAGAGGCGGCACCGCAAGCGACAAGCGAGGAGAAATGCAGCTCGACTTTCCCGTTGTTCTGATCTCGTTGTTTGCGAAGGGATGGGGTAGCCGCTACGACAATGTCCTGAGCGATACGATAGCTGAAGAACAAGGATGATGTCTCGATCGCGGCTCCTAGAAGTGGTGCGCTGATTCCTCGGTACAGAGACACAAGGGGGCCCTCGGGACTTCGAAAAGCAGCGGAGAAGGCATCGAGGGGTCCTCTCAATCGCTGTGCGCCCGGGTCGTGAGACTGCGATTGTAGCCGCACCTTGACAGTGTCAAAAGGATACTCGACGAATTTTCCCAGCACTCCGGCTGTTGATCCAAAGACGATATCTTTCAATGCTTCGACGCTTTGACTTGGAGGTGTGGTGAGGTTGGGATGAGAGGTGCTGACCTTGTCGAGGTCAGTCACAGGTGGGAGATCATTGTTGTAGGTCGCCATGCCAACGGTAGGCTCTGGGAGATGGGATAAGAGGAGAGTAGGCTTGTGCTATCGTAGTAACATGGTGTATGTATATGGAGGAAGTGGCCTCTGCGAGGGAAGAGAGGCCTTTTTGAGCACCGGTGTCGGCGGCGAGGCGGTGACACGTCGCTAAGAGAAGATCAAGCAAGTGAAAAGATTCGATGTTTTCACTGTGAAGGAAGCATGTGGGTGGCCCCAAGGGCCCGCTAAACAACACTAGAGTGTCTGAGGGACAAATTTCAAACCAGACTTTTTTCTTCTGCGCTGGTGGTTCTTTATGCATGCATTTAATATTAGAGTGAGTTGAGTCGGCGAAGGCGTGAGAAAAACTTGACAGCGAATCTAATCTAATCTGGCATTTAGCGGCCGCTAAGATAACGATAAGGCCGGAGAAAATCACTGCCTCTGCGCTTTTTCCAAGTCTTCCTCGGTCCTACCAACAGGGCTTCTTGAGGCTCTAACTATTTTCCCCGTTACAATACGCATTATTGCAGGGATGTCTGTTGAAGAGTCGAAGCCGGAAGCGGCTACAACTTCTGCGGTTTCGTCGCAGCAGACCACACAAAAGCATGGCAAGCGGGTGAATGGTAAACATCTTATGCCTCCCTGTCGATATGGCCAAAGCTCATTTTATCTGCAGGAAAGAATTGGCATGCTCCGAAGAAGCCTTTTCGCCCGACAGCAGGGCAAACTGCTTATTCCAAACGAAAGGAACAGGATCAAATCAAACAAGCCGTCAAGGCCCGGGAACAAGAAATGAAAGATGAGAAGGAGCAGGAACGAAGTAGCAGAATTCAGGCAATCAAAGATCGTAGAAAGGCAAAGGAAGAGAAGGAGCGCTACGAGAAAATGGCCGAGAAGATGCACAAGAAACTGGTGGAGAGGAGAAAACGAAGAGAAAAGAGAAACAAATTGTTGAAGAGTTGAGTAGGCTGACCATTGAATGGTGCCTTGCTTGAGTTATCAACAACATGCAACACTGAGCATGATGGTCTTACGACCAATTGGGCCGCCCATCTTACGGCTTTAGGACGTTCGTCTGGAAATGATGGCGAGCAGGAGTGGTTTCTCGAAATTCGGTCGCTTCGTCGGAGCATGTTACCAACAACATCGATGTCCAACGCCTTCACAGACACCTCTAGCGACGAATTGTAGCCCGTCGAGGTGATGCTGGGCTGCCAAAGAGATCAGTCTCTGCATCCGCACTCTGTCGCCAGTACTGGCCAAGATCTGATCATCTTGCAGGTTCAAGCAGATTTCCGGCGCCATTGCTTATCCTGCATGGATTCAACCAAGGGCACCCGAACCTGCTCGCTTCATGCATTTCAAGACATGAGGAGCAATGTCAGACATGCCCGGCATCTTGGTGCTCGGTCAAGGAAACATCATTGACAACATTGCCGATCTTGAGTTTGAGTAGTGAGAAGCTCACCTTCAGTTGCTGCAGGTCGATTTGGTCGAGGCCAGCAAGCTGTGCTCGAGCTTGTCTATCGGGCTCCTCTAAGGTCCAGGCGATACTGATATGGAAAGCCTTCGATCTGTCCATTTCATTGGGTTGGCCTTTGACTTTGGATGCATCGGTAACAGACCTGTCGGGTCCATTTGCATAGAGTGCTGGAAGCCCGAATTGCTCGGCAGTCGCATTGCAGGCTGACAAAAGCCTGTTCAATTCGTTGTTTGCAGGTTTAGCAAGCTTCAGCACCAAGAAGAACCTGGTTTTATCATGATTTGCAACCCAATTAAGTCCGGTGACGTGGACAGTAAATGGTTTCACGTGGCTCCGAGCTATTCTGGTTGAAGTAGCTTTCTCGAAGGACTCTTTTTGATCCGTCTGAAGCACAAGAGGAGCCGATAGACTGATATGGAGTGGTTGCAACGACCCTAGCTCCGAACGCAGGAAACTGTATGTGTGAATGCATGTGCTGTTGCCGTCGTTTTGGGTTTGCCCTGCTTGGGTTATCACCTTGTCGAGGATAGCCAACTCCTCCTGTGCAGGATACCACTCGAGATACAGATGGGTTGGCCAATTACCAACCACATGGGGCACCTGTCGAGTTCGACCGGCGTGCAACGTCGGGTCATCAACTGCAGAAGTCCTTACGTTTGTAGCATATAATGAATGAAACGTGCTAGGCAGTGGTGGAGGTCGTTTGGACTTGAGCTCGACAGGCTCATCATGTTGAGCCTTGCGCTTTTTCTTGGTCTGCGCCTTGCTTTCAGACTGATTGTCCGTCTCAGAACCGGACTCTGGATAGTCCACAAGCATATCTGAACTTCAGATAATCATGGACATGGTACCTGCCAAGACTGCAACAAGGGGCCTGGATAAGGTATGCCACAGCGTGGGCAATGAAATGGCTTGTTCGGAGCGTCTGAGATCCTTGAAAAGGCCGACGATCGACAATAATGTCCGGGGTCCTATTGCACGTCAGCACGGGCCCCATAACCATGCATGGAAGGTTGTATATTTTGAGAAAGAGGCAGTTGGAAAGATGGTGACGAAGACAATGTCTCAGTTGGCGACTATGGGGATGGTAGTTCTCACGTTTCCTGGTAGTTCCGGAACGAGATGCAAGATGGCCGCTGACTAGCAACACACATCAACATGCAGCTGGAAAAGTCGGCATTGGCGGGAGTGATGCGTAAAGGTTATTGCAGTTGTACGACAGGAGCAACGCACACAGTGTAGCCAGGAATAATGAAGAGTACGCAGTACATTCGTTAGTTCCGAGTCTATGGAGTACCCGTCCTTGCCGTACGCGTCAAGGTACCAAATCCGCATGGCAGGTCGATATTGGCGTATGACGTTGCAGTTTAAGGCCAATAATTGGACCAATTTGGGGTGGCTTTAACAATAACTAACGTACACCCCAGGCATCACGAGGCACTCTGAATAGCTACTGTGCAGTGTGCACCTAAGCTTATCCACTCACTGTGCACAAAGTGCCCACCATGACATCGCCAGCGCCCCGCTGAGCCGTGACCTGATGAACCCGGAGAGTCCGCCATACTTCCAATCGTTGCTTCTCTCCAATGTGCAACTAAACTCGTTTTCACACAACACCTTGACCGCTGCCATTGCTGAAGGCGCAAGCTGTAGCTTCTTCGTCTCGCCTCATTGATCTCACGCGACCATTGTCCAGACTTGACCAGTTGTATATCGTTTTCGACATCTTCATCGCAAAGATGGAGTCCGCCGATGATAAGAAATGGGTAAGCTCTCCTCCAGCCACCGAGGTCACCGTCGGTGCGCAAGGCTGACGGCCCATCACCAGGCCACACAGTATCTCCTCGATCCTCTTAACGCGCCCGATCCGTCTCAAGAAGACGGTCCTGGCAATTCTTTCCGTGGCGGCGCATCCACCACTCCAGTCAAGTCACCCCAGCCGGAAAGATCATCACCAGGACGGAGACTGTCAAAGCACAATCCCAACAATCCATATCGCAAGGGGTCATTCTCTACTGTAAACACCAACGAAATCAACAGAAGTGCCTCGCTGCATACCAAAAGCAATAGCAACTCCGGAGCATATCCATCGCCTCCGCCATCTGGGAACTCTCCAAACGGCAGGTTCCCTTCGCCGCAGCAGTCTCCTCGCTCACCAAGCCACCGACAGGAGGCATTTGGTGGGCAACAAACTGGCCGTAGAAGGGCATCCTCTCTCACGGAGCGTTACCCTGGCGATAAATCGCATCGACCACTGGATCAGTTGGCCAAAGAGAAGTACATTGCCGACCGCGCACGCCACGCCACCAGAAAACATCATATTCAGCCAGACACGATCGACAACTTAGACCGTAGCGGAGGTACTTCATGGCACCATGGAGGACCCTATGATGCGACCTTGTTTGCCAGAAACAACTCGACCAATTCCCCCTTAGCAGCCGTCGCTGACTCGAACCTGGAGGCCTTGAAAGCTACTCCGAAGGAGAGAATTGTCGACAGTGTCAGAGGTCATCGACCTCTAGACGGAGTGGCCCTTTATGCTCCGGGCAACTCCGACCGCATGGGCAATGTGTACAACTACGAAGAAGGTGAAAACATGATGACCGAAGGGAGACCTGAAGGTGGTGCTTATAAGCGGTGGCCTGGCATTCAATATCTGCCAGAAGATATCAAGGGCAAAGGAGAACCCAGCTACAGCATCGAAAAAGCTCTTAAGGAGCACCACATCGGCGAGGAGTCGAAGGCTGAAGGAGATGAGGGCATTGAGCTGCAAAGCCGGCATCGTAGCTCTTCCGGCGCGGTGCCACCAAGCAGCTGGAACGACGGCGAAGGTCAAACAGTAGGCCGAAGTGGAAGTCTCAGGAGGTTGAGCGGCGGCTTGAAGAGGAGATTTGGCAGCGTCAGCAAGAGGAAGTCATCAGGACAGGGAGAATTCTAAGATCTCTTTTGTTACATGTTGATATGATTGGATATATTTGGCTATTTTCATTGTGCTCTAATAGGTCGTCGTTGGAAATTCTGGTTGGGGGAAAACACTGGTCAACAGCAGAACAAACATTTCATTCCTCGTCGTGGCAATATATACCCGCGCTGGAGTAGCGCTTATGTTCATCTATATGTCCAGTCCCTTCCACTGATCCTCCGATGTGCCTGACCGATTTGGTACATCAGCAGCACTTGTGCTGATTTAGCTTGCTTCTATGATGACCAGCAAGAAGCCGGTCTCTGCGCAAGCAGAGGACACTCGACACAAGCGGTATCCTGCTCGCTTGCAATGGTGACTTGCCCAGCTGCAAGAAGCCACACCATATACGCTATGGCTTGGCTTTTATAGCACCTTTCCCACAGCTCGGCCAACGGGAGCTAAGCCATATGACTGACTCCATCGTCCTCAGGCGCCATGTGTCCTCGTATCGCCGGTAGCTCTTATGGCAGTCGCGTCGACTTTCGTCGATGGTAGGTCTAGCAAATCTTTTCATTGTTTCGTCGCACCGCCAAAGTCTTCCACCGCATCAGGCCGATCCCAGCTCTGCTTCTCCAAATGTCGAACCTGTTCCTCTATCAGCTGGACTTTGGCCAGATTCTCCCTCTTCGCAGTTTCTTGTAACTCAAACGTTGTGCGCAGTTGCTCAACCATAAAGGGTTCCATGGTACTCTTCTTGCTCACCCGGTAATCATAGATGACAGACTCTTCCAGACACCGCGCCGCCGGCCGTTGCTTGTTCTCCGACAGAATCAGCACATCCAGGACCAAAGACGTGGTCTTCTCGTCCGGACAAGATCTCAACTTGTGATACACCGAGATCCGATCAGGCCAGGTCATCGGGAACTTGAAGTCCACCGTGATGCTCTTCAATATCAGTCCGATACCTTGGTTCGACAACAGGTTTTCCCACGCTTTTCGATGCACTGGATCGACGTGTTTCGCGAAGTTGCGCACCGTATTGCACCTTGAACTCTCCGCGTATCGCACATACATGACGTTGTTGACGTGGCCCATCGAGTCCTGCTCTCCCCAGACGATTTTGTGCCGGTGCAAGCCCGCTCTTCTTGGGTCAGTCAGAAACCCTTCGCTACCGGCAGTCAAGGCTCGCCAGTCTCGGCCAAGGACCCCCAAGACCTGACCCGCTTCGTCGACCAAGGACTTGGACATGCCGAAGGTAATGCATTTTCCTATGCGGGCCTTGGTGTCGGACAGCCACCGAGGAGACGGCGCTTTGTCGCTCTCTTCTGGCGCCCGTGGAGCGGTGGAGGAGTATCGCAGGAAGAGCTTTGAGGCAGACTCTAGTCGTACCCGAGAAGCCCGCCCGACGGCGCGCGTAGGTATCATGTTACCGAGTGCATGCTTGGGAGAGACACAGACTGTTCTGCGCAGACGACTTCCTTGTGAAATTTGGAGATCCCTATGGAGTAGTCTGACGCCATTTCCGAGGGTACGTCGGGTGATTTTCGGTCCTGTCTTGGGCGACGAGGAACAACAAAGCCGGCCAGTGCTTTAAAATCAGGTACCTTCTACGATACAAGATGTTGACGTTGCTTCCACAATTGATTTTATGTCTCAAGGCTTCTATTCTACCTCTGAACTCGTCCGGAGGCGCCGATGTATCTAAACTTGTCCTTCGACGACTGACGTGAAAAAGAAAGACGGAAGGGGGAATATGTGGGCAACATTGCAGACTTTGTTCCATCCAACGGTACATTCAGTTCATAAACATTCGGCTCTGTATCCCGACTCCTTGTCGAGCTTACGCCTCAATACTCCATTCAGCTTTCGCTTCACTAACTCAGATCCTCTGATCTCGCTTCTCGCGTAGTCGAGCGCGACGATGCCCCCAGTCTGTGGATCGTAGACGAACCTGAGAATCGTCATTGGGATTCCAGCCAACAAGCTGGATCGCTCATGGCCATTGCTGCAAGCAGCCCATAGCACATGGTCATCATGCGCGCACGGCGAGGACGAGCAGGCTTCTAGTCCTGGAAGAATCTGTTCGCAAATCGTTAGTGGACACGTTCACAAAACAACTCGTTCAGGGCCGAGAACTTACCTCATGATAGCTTTAATACCCCTGGAACCAAGGCCGTGCGGAGGATAAGCGATCCAAAGAGGATCAGCCACCGCACCCATCTTCTCTCTGAATTCCGACTTTCTTGCCAAGTTGAACTGCTTGACAATGGCATCATAAGTTGCCTGAAGCATCTTGACCTTGGCGCCGCTCATGTGATGACCGGGTGTCAGGTGGTTCGCTGCGCCACCACCGAAAGTGACAGTGCGAACGCCTGTGGTGGCAGCAACGCTCAAGGCGTGCGTGGTAATGTATTCGATGGTTCCGGACGGCGCGCCAGGGAAGTCAAGAGTATACTTGGCTTGCCAGCCTTTTCGAGGGGCGATCTCAGCCATGACGGCAATACCACAAAGCTTGCCATCTTTGTCTTCCGCATAGAAGTAGCGTCGGTGTTTCTCATCCCGGAACAGGTCAATGTTGGAGAGGTGGATTTGAGTGCCCTTGCGGTTGGACAGCCAGTCTTTAACCCTAGCGCTAGCGCGTTCTTTGACCGATTCTGGAACCGGTTCGTTGTGGGGGACGTCTATGATCTTGACACCGTCGGCTTGAGCTCTGCGAATCTTCCTTGCGACCTCTGGATCCGATTCAGCCGACTTCTTGTGAGGATCAACTCGTTCTTCTGCCACACAAGAGAGTGTCTTCCAGCCCAGTCGCTCACCAAGAACTTCCTCCATCTCCGGACTGATCAACAGCCAGAGCGGCTTAAGCTTAGTCTCCTTCTTGAGCCATTGGAGGAAAGCCACGGCGACACGGTAATATTGTCTCGGGTCGCATAATGGGTCACCCGGAAGGATTGCATAATGACCTTCTGGGACGTAAGACACCGCGGCGCCACTCTCGGCGTGACGCCAGATCTTGTAGCGTTCATCACCCCAGGATGTTGAGGTAGCGTCACCATAGTTGGCCACCAGATCGTACAGATCAGGCATCTTTCTGTCTTCGACAGCGACTTCGCGGCCACGTTCTTGTCGCCAGACAGGGTTGAGGGTATCTGCCTCTGGATGTCTAAGCTTCTCAACTTGTGGTTTGGCAGGGAATGACTTGGGATCCCTGTGGAACAACGAAGCGAGACGGATGTTGCCCAACTTCAAGATGAGCATGACGATACGCTCGAGACCGACACCGCAACCCGCATGAGGTGGAGCACCCCATTTGAAACCTTCCATGTATTCAGCCATGTCATCAGGGTCAATTCCAACTGTTCGCATATTCTCCTCGAGCATCTCTGACACGTGAATACGCTGACCCCCAGATATAATTTCCTGACCACGGACAAACACGTCAAATGAGTTGGTGTACCGAGGATCGTTGGCATCGGGCATGGTATAGAAAGGTCGTGCAGACCTTGGGAACTTGTCCAGGATGTAATAATCCGTCTTGTATTTCTCCTTCATAAGCTCACCGAGACGGATTTCGTCTCTGGTTGCCAGATCCTCGAGAGGGCTGACTGGTTCTCCGTCCTCATTCAGCCAGCCGGAATCGGTCAAAAGTTGAACTGCATCTTTGAACGGAACTCTGGGGGTCTCTTCCAGCCACACCAGATCCTCACTGGGGAACTGTTCCTTGATGATTTCAACTTCGGTGCGATACCTATTGTAGATCCCAGAAAAGATGGTCTTGAGGGTATGGTCAATGACATCCATCATTTCATGATAATGTTCCTCAATTGCCATTTCCAGATCGAGGCCGGTATATTCAGTCAAGTGACGGTGAGTGTTCGAGTTTTCAGCTCTGAAGACAGCGCCAATTTCGTAGACCCGCTCAAAGTCGGATGCAATAGCCATTTGTTTCGCAAGCTGGGGAGATTGAGCAAGGAATGCAGGTCTACCAAAGTAGTTGACTTTGAACACGGAAGCACCAGACTCGGTCGCGGCACCTTGTAGTTTCGGGGTGTGTATCTCAACGAAGCGTTGCTCGTCAAGTGCGGTTCGGAAGAGGTTCCCTACGGCGGCTTGAATGCGGAAGATGGACTGGGAAGTGGAAGTCCTCAGATCCATGATACGATTAGCAAGTCTGACTCGGTCAGGGATCTGACTCAGTCGGCCGTCGTTCTGAGTTTCTTCATCGAGGATCGTCAATTCAGCTTCCTGAACAGAGAAAGGTACTAGATTGGTCAGCGCAAGTCACTCGGCCAGAAGATCACGAGTACTTACCAGGTTCGTCACGTTTGACGACGATAAGCAGTTCTCTAACATGCACCTCCATGGTGTGGATCGAGGCCGACTTCACGGGGATTTGAGGCTTCTGCAGGAGACCCTTGACCAACAGGATGTTGCCAGTACGCAGATGTTCTGCCCAGTGGATCATGAGTGCAGACACCATGCCCGGCTTCTCTACAAGCACACCCTGTATCGTGGAAATCTGTTGTCTGAAAATGAGAAAGACTAACTTGGCACCCATGGCCCGGACATGATGTAGCCTGCAGCGGAATGTGACTTCTTTGCCGACCATCTCCTCAGTGATAGTACTGATGTCGATACGATCGGTGGCATAGCGAGTGGTGGACTGCATGAGAGGCAGCTCGCCATATTTGGCCTTCATCTCTGGAGTTTCGGTCTTAGCAGCCTCGTCCAGCCTCTGCCGGGCACGCTCTTCCGAGTCATCGCGATGCTCGAGGCTCAGCCTGGAACGTTGTTCCTTCTTTTTCTGTTTTGTGGCCGCTCTCTTTTGGGCATTCTTGCTCAAACCATCACTATCAAAATCACTCATGTCCGACTCATTGTCGCTCGAGGTATAGTCTCTGTCTTTGTCACGATGCAGAAACTGAGCGAGAGAGCGGCGCTGAGGGGCAGGGCTCTGCGAGGCTGGCGGACTGAATTCACCGCTAGCTCTTGGAGACTCGGTGCCGCTGTTGGAGTGGACGTGTTTGGAAAACTTGCGAAGGACACTCATGATTGCGATCAAGCAAGCAACACTTGGGAAGATACAAAGTGCTTGCAGTCGCCGATGTATGAATTTTCCGGCAATGTGTTGACCTGAAGGTTGGTACTGGAGTGTTCAGGAGAGCCTCGCAGCGCCGTGGGGCCAACGAAAGGACTTCCTTGATTACGTTGATTATCGGTCGTCGGGTTCGGACCCAGAGTGTGTCGGATTCGACGGTCTCGCAAGTAGAGCAGGCTGTCTTTTGGCTATAGCGACCTGGTTCGGACCAGGAAGACGGAAGCACAGAGATTTAGGACGGTGAGGTTTCAAATGTGATAAGAGGGCGCATGCGTTGGGGGTTCGTGCCGTAATCGCAGTCAGACGGCCGGATGGTTTGAGATTGATATCAAGGTAATATGCACATCGCCGGAAACTGGCTTGAATCCCAGACAGAAACAAGTCGCAGGTAAGTTGTGCACAACGCGAATAATGACAAGCAAGGAAGTGATGAATACCAGAACAAGATGGGCAGCCACGCAACCGGGATTGTCTGGAAGGGCTAGTGAGGCTTCCACAACACATCCTTTTCGGCATCGGAGGCTGTCCCCCTGACCGAATTGTAACCTGCTTATTCAGGCGGGGCACCATTTGCCCCTCCGTGCCAATGATAGAGGCCCTGGCATTGCCTATAGTTATAAGCAAGGGCCCAGTTGCGATCATTTGTCGTGTGGGAAAAGACATTGCTTGGTTCTATTTTCTGTAAAAGTGCTCAAGGACGCCGTTGACATGGTTGGAACATATACCTACCATTTACGACACTTCGACAATGTCCATCGAGCATCCCATGCGTATCCGGTTCTGGCATGTTTGACCCTCAAAAGTACTGATCACGTGAGCAGTTAATCAAGAGAGAGAGATTCCCTCAGCCGGACGTCATCGGCATGGGATGTGAGTAAGAAGACAAACCCATAAGGGTCAGCATGGGAAGGATATATCGAACAATTTGTCTTCATAAGAACAAGCTGCTTCGCAACGGGGACGGGTACCTACCTAGGTATATATGTTCCGGAGAGTTACTCACTCTTCATCAAGGATTGGTTCCAAACATTAGCTTTATGGCTCGGTGATTAAAGAGAATTGTCTCTTTGTAACAAAGAACTGCGATACAGGTTTCTGACGCGTATACCAAGGCCCTACAAGCTGACACGCAGATCACATCGCATGTTCCTACCCTAATTCATACATACCTGCGAGAATGGTGGCACAAAAGAAGCCAGCAGCGTGTAATATCACCTGGGATGGAGCAACGTTAACGATGTAATGATAGAGATATATGACGTTATCCTCTGTTCGACCTGGTCCTCTTGACAGGTTATGAGCCCGGGTGTCTTAGAACAGCATAGTTGACGAGCATCGAATTCGCAACCATTCCTCCTTCTGTACGGAGTATGGGTGGCGGCACCCGGCACAAGGCCGATAACAGCGTTAGGGTCAATGAATTAGGGGCCAATGCGGGTGATATTTGATTTGTCGGGCACTGCTTCAGGGGACTCTTGAACATCACCATGCACCACAGCCCCAATGCCAGCCGCCGCGTCATACGATTATTTATCCAGACCACAGGCGAGGTATACACGAGACATGCTCCCAATCCCAAGCAAATCATCTCCGGACTCCATCATCTGCGACTTTCGCAACTCTTCGTACATTTTCCGTAACACTAACCTGCTCTTCGGACTGCGACAATTACTGCGCCTTCTACTTGACTCCATCTTGACAAACATCCAGTTCTGATATCCGCCGTGTATTGTCAGTCGGCGCCCGCAACCTCAAACGTTATAACCGCTGTTGCCTCCCAGGTGGAGATGCGCATCTCATCATGCCTCCCAGTCCATCGAGAATTGAATCGTCCTCCTCAGACTCCTACGACATGACTGAAGCCAAAGACTTTGCAGCTCCTGCGAGCCCTGGTCTTCCCAGGGTCACCTTCAACAACATAGACACCTTCCAAAATGACTCGGCAATCGATGATACTGAGGATGCATCTGATTTCGAACCGGAACCCTTCTCTCGAAGGCCTCGTTCAATGTCACATCACCTGTCGAGTAAAGATATACCTTCCAGGAAAGCGCTGAAATACAGAGCACGCATGTGGCGGTCCCTCATGTCATTTGGAATGCTCTTCCACTCATGGGCTACGCCTCGACCTCCCAAGCCTTCGTTTACACACCACATCCCTACCGACAACGTCCCGATTGATCTCCTCTTCTACCTCCCTCCCAGACATTCAGCTCTCCTTAGCCGAAACCCCGATCACCGCTTCCCTGTTGTGATCAACTTTCACGGTGGTGGCTTCTGCTTGGGCGACGCCAAAGATGATCGATACTGGGCAAGAGTCGTCCTTGAATATACAAATGCCATCTTTGTCAGCGTCAACTACCGTCGGGCGCCGGAACACCCCTTCCCCGGACCCGTGGACGACTGTGTCGAGTCCATCCTATGGGTCGCAGAGCATGCTGCGGAACTACACATCGACCAGACAAACATAGCCTTGTCTGGTTTCTCAGCTGGGGCGAACTTGACATTCGCAGCTCCATTGCGCCTCGCTTACCACCGCAAGGTTAATGCCACAGATGACAAAGCGTTCAGTCCGACCTCATCACACACCATGCATAGCGACACCGAGGCCAACGACTATGGAGACCAAGCCCAAGAAACCCAGAACTTTGTAACTCCCGTGCATTCAACACAAAATCTGGTCCGCAAGGAGACAAAGACGCCGCTGCGGATTCGCACCGTCATCGCCTGGTACCCGCTGCTCGACTGGACCATGTCCCGGTCGCGCAAGATTCGCGAATCACGCAATCCCAAAAAATGCCTGGCTAAGACCTTCACGGACCTGTTTGACTTCTCCTACCTCCCTCCGCCAGACATGGCGGGCGATCATTGCAGTCCATATGCCTCGCCCGGGCTGGCACAGGACCATATGCTTGTCGACGGCCTTCCAGAGGACATCCAAATGTGGCTGTGCGAGTGGGACATGCTGCTCCGCGAGGGTCAAGTCTTCGCCGACCGGCTCGAGAAACTCGGCAAACGTATCGACAGCAAGCTGATCCCCCGCGTGCCTCATGCCTGGGACAAATCCCCTAACCCCTTCCGAGATCAAAAGGCCATCGATTTCCTCTACATAAAGTCTGCCATCAATTTGAACAAAGTGTTCCAGAACAAGGACGGTGTGGGCCCAGACAACTCGATGAGCTCGCTTCACCCGACCGATACCATCATAGAGAGGCAACCGAGGGCAAGTATTGTCATGCCGATATAAAAGTCACATTCCCACATTAGCTTGCGCCAATATTCACCTTGGGACACGCGAGATCAGCTAGCTACCTACTTTTACGAATTCTCACAACTTTAGCGTTGAGCGTGCATGGATCGGCGTTTGAGTGTCGATGTCAAGGATTTCTTTTCATCTTCAAAATTCTTTTCCGTCTCACGAGTCGTGAGTAGCGGTCACCTATATTCCATTATCCTCAAGTTCTGGCAGAGAGGTTGACTAGGTTGAGGTGGGAAGATGGAATGACCATGGGATACGGCGTTGGTAGTGAGATATTAGTTATATGGAGATTCGCCGTGTCTCTTCTATGTGAGGTCGCACTGGTGGTATAGGAAATACAATATGCCTTGATGATCGATCCCTCATCCTTATTGCCAACCTCACTTATATTAGTGCTTTCTCTTCTGGACTTTGACAACAGTGACAGCCTTGTATGCCCTCGGTTCATCCTCGTCCGTCGCGAGACCCAGATCGGGTCTGTCCCTTTTAGTACGGCGTCATCTTCATTACGACAACCTGCGTTGATGCGTCGCCCATCGTGAACAGTCGCTCAGTGACTGAGATTGCAACTTCGGCACCCCATGGGACAATTGTAATGTTTCGAGGTCCACATTCCTAAAGATTGGATGCGAGGAGTTCTTTGTCATAAACGATGAAGTCTGACTTGAGGGAGATGAAGCGTACTTTGGGAGAATACTGAAGGCAGCAAGGTGCCATTGAATTACAACATTGTGGTAATACCATACTCAAGCTAAGATGTACAGCCCATTTTCATCCGAAGCTCTCTATCATACTTTGATTATTTGTGCAGAACTCTTTCGTTGGTCGTCTCATATGCATATCATGACGACCCGTATTGATTCACTTGTCCATCTATCCTGTCACCACACTTGGCAGAAAAGGACCCAGTGAGGGTTTCATGCCGTTCAGTATTGCTTGAAGGTGGTCTGGCTGGTCGTGGTGGGAATGGCTGGGTAGAACCGCTTCATGATTGGGCTCGGTGGTACACGTGCTCGAAGGCCAGTACCGAAGTATGGGCCAGGCATGGCGTCGGAAGCAACAGCAGTACCACTGACACCAGTAGCTTGAGTCCAGTTGGCTGGCCAGCTTGTGAGGCTACCAGTATAGGAGATGGGTGGACCCCAGGTCGAGCTGTTGTCCGAAGCAGAGACGTTGCCTGAAACCCAGGGAGCACCAGTGCCAGGCAAGGATGCATTGCTGGCAGCATAAGGAGCACCACCAGAGAAAGAGGCGTTGCCGGTTGCCATAGGTGCACCACTGGCTGGAATAGGAACGATTGTGGCATTGGACCAACTGGTTGTACCATTGGACACGGACGGGATGACTGCAGTTGGCCCAGCGTTGGTGGACGAAGTGGCAATTCCAGTAGAGAGGTTGGGGCAGACGATTTGTCGATACTGCTGTGTGTTGATGCCCAGATCGCCACCAATTGCACCAAAGAGATCAAGGTCGTTGCAGATCGTAGTGAGGTTGTTGCTGAAGCCGGCAGCGACTTCAAGACCCCAGACCGCAGCCTCCAAAGTGGAGATGACATCGGCACGAGTAGTATTGAAGTCGTAGCCATTTCGTGCAATCCAGCAGATCAGGGCACTGATCTGGTCAGGATTGAGGTTGGAATCAAGCAACCAATATCTGATTTCTGTTGTCTGGACTTGCTGGCAAGCCTGAGTGAGATTGAGGCCGGAGTCTGCAATGTTGAGTGCAAACAGGGCAGACAAGATTTCCGTCAATGACTGTGCAGCTGGACCAGGGAGTAGTTGGATGTCCGGGAGGATGTCGGCACTGAATTGGTTTGCAAGATCCATGATTGCAGCCGCAACAGCTGAGGTCTCACGGCGAATTTTGTGAGAGCCAATTTGTTCATTCAACTCATTTTGTTCGACGGCCTGGGTTTGGACTGGTTCAATCTCTTCATATCCACGAATATGGTAACTTCCTCTGGTCGAAGCTGCAGTTTCTTCCATGCATTCAACTCGAGTGATGGTGAGCATGGAACTCGTGGTCTTTGTAGTGAACGGTCCCTGTGAAAGTCAGTAAGGGGCCGGGGAGCCAAGATGAGGACAGAACCCACCACTGGAGATGGGTTGTTTTCGAAGTTGGTGACGGTGCAATAGCGGCAGTCGACGATCTGACGATGTTAGTGAACAAGGATGAAATCGCGCCGGAAATTCACTCACATAGTAGTAAGTTGTCATGATTGCAGCATAGATTGTGGTGGTTGGAGCAATTTGAGGAGCCATGTAAGGAGTGTAGGTCATAGTGCAGCCTGGTCCTGCTGCTGAAGTTGAAGCACTGGCACACTGTGACATTGGAATCATTTCGGCAAGACCGAAGACGGCCATGGCCAGGAGGAGCAGATGGTAGAACCACATGATGCAGGTGTATGAGCTGACTTTGACGGACAAGATGGTGCAAGGGAGCAGAGTCTTCAATGCGAGAACAAGCCACAGACACAAGGAAGACTGGCCAAGTCAAGGAGGAATGTTGGACTTTGTGGTGGTGCAGAAGAGAGAGATTGGTGGACGGAGTGATGATGAAGAAGAGAAGAGAGAGGAAGAGAAGGGAAGCGGGCAGATAAAGACGCGGGCGCAGTCTGAGACGAAAGTGAGGCAGGTGCGAGAGAAAAGGGAGGAAGAAGGTCGTTGAGGAAAGAGGTCGTCGTCTTTATGACACAATCACTGTACACGTAGGAAGGTACACTGCCATCAACGATGACCTTGCTCCTGCTTCCATGAACAACAAGTAATCCGATACGCATGACAACACAGCTCAATGAGAAAGTACGCAGACTTAGTCCTGGTGTCGCATAATCTCATCCAGCAATATCCATCACTTAATGTTTTCTCACAGCCAGCTGTGCCCTGGGTTGATAGGCGATATCAAATAACATCAAACCAAGAAAGGCCGAAGACTGCACCATGATTGTCTCTGTACACGTATCGTCGTCGACCCTTCCAGATTGACATTCCTCTTGCTCCATCTCCATCATTATACAAGCTGGGAAAATGAGAATTGCAAGTGTTGACCAAGAAGACGCGAACGGGGGGCGAGACCGGGAGTCTCTTTCTTGTCCTGAAAGAGTATCTGGATACCTTGTACGTCCTCTACTCACTGGTTCACCTGAAGCTCCCCAAGGGGCACGGTCTCATTCGCATCTCTGCCTCGCAGCAGCATTGTCTCACTTCCAGCATCTTGAACGTGCTCAAACTTGTCCATGCTCAGCAGCGACGCGTAGACACACATCTATGTGCATTATTGGAGTTCTCAAAATGGATGGTCGTGAATCTCACTTGTCAATGAACGCAACAGAACGTGAGATGAAGTGACAATAAAAGTAACGCGAAGAAGCGGCTGGCACGTGACACTTTTCCCATTCAGATCATGCCGCCTAGCTAGGACTTCTCTGACCTTCATCTCACTGACAATTTGGCCGATGCAACCGTCGGCAAGAATATCTGGATTTGTCTTTGAACAACTGCTGACCCACCCGTGACAGGTAGCGGGCAAGCTATAGAAGTACAATTCATTCGATTCTCGAAGCGATTCCACTTGTTGTCAAGCTTATCTCTGGCAGTTCGATCGTCTTGCCATCGTTTGTTCTTAGACTCCCCTTAAAAGACCGGAGCGTCATCAGATAGTTGGAAATGCAGCTCTAGCATCATCAACCGTCGACCTCGACCTCAATTTGAGTTCATCTTTGCATCATCGCGTGCAGGTGCAGACGATTCAGTCGTTTTGGTGCGGGGTATCAACCACATCAATTGGTCCCAGCCATGTCAAATGCCGACTATCTTGCCTGAGTCTCTCCCACATGTATCGATAAACTGCCAGTTGAAACAGTGGACACACCTGCCGCTTGCCACGCACTGCATGCGGGACGGATACAGATTCCACTTGTGGTTGATCGTCCTTCGCGAGACCACCACAAGCGTCTTGAATCTGTTAAAGGTTTCTTATCTTTACGCGAGCATATAACGTGCAGCGTTGAAGAACACCCGAAAGTATGCCCGCGCTTCTGCGAAGTCTCCGTGGGGTTATCGAACGTCGTAACCATGAGGTCACTTTGTAAATGGATCTGGAGTTGGTCATATAGACTGAGAAACATGTCATGAAATGGTCGCGACCGGTGTACGCTAAAGGCATGGCGATGTCATATAGCATACTGGCGTCACAGCGTCATATTCGTTGATAACGGTCGTTGATGTGCATCTTCATGCGAATTCGTACTTGCGAATAACCGAGGTCGACATTCGGCGAAACTAGTGCATCAGGATATAATAGGTACCGCAGGCGTATTGCGTGCCGACAAGCGTCCCAATACTCGTCAAACCTATCTCTCGAACTTGCGGCATTGTACCTGGTATCCCATTAGTGGTAAAATTGTTGCGATCATGGCTCACATTCACGGCCATCAGCTTGGGTCCAGGTAATCGCGGAAGACCAGAACGGCTTCTTTGCTTGATGCTGTTGGTGGGAGGCAATTCAATCAAGTGCGTGACCGCACCTGAGAACATTACTGAGGCGGCGCGAAATTCGTCTCTGGCGCCAGGACATCCATCTTGTTCGGATTCACCGCAACAATCGCAGTTTTCGCACGCTCAGACACCGAGACTCAACCAAGAGGTGGAATCCCTGCGTTACGTTGTCGCTCCCAACCTGGATGCTGCCAGAATAATACCTCAAGGTTTGTGTCGCACCTTGGTTGCAGTTGTACGGCTTTGTTCTGGAATTTTGTCGGCATTGCGCATGCAACCTTGGGCGGTTCGAAAATGCCTCAAGTAAGCCCTTCGGAGCATAACGCTGGGTGGATGCAACTCAAATTGACACTCCAGCATGTCTATGCGGGTGCCACGGGCAACCAGATTCGGGGCGGTCGGTCAAGTGCCGAATGCAGCAGCCATAAACCGACTCTGAAACGAGCCTCCACAAATATTTCTTCCACAGGTGGGTTTGATCCATGGTTCTATTCAATATTTTGCGCTGGTGCGAGGTGGACATGGTTATCTTTCCAGCAGTTCCGGAAATGGCTCAGAGATACGGCCTCAACGCTTCTTTTCACGGCCGAAGTACGGCTGGTGAAAGGGACGCCCAAGTCTTAACACAGAAGTCGGGACTGGATGCGCACGGAGATCTCGCGGAAATCCTGGCCGCCCAGTTTGCAGGACGCTGGGTGGCGCCGAAAGGAAGCCTCGCAGAAGTTTCCATAGACCAAGCTTCTGCATGCTTTGTGTGGGATGGGCCAATATCCATCCCCAGTGCACGGCGACAACAAACAAAGGTACTGGGCAGGGAACTAAAGCTGAGACCTCCTGTCTCTGTTGATCTGCGCGCAAGGCTGCCAACCGTTGAAGGTAAGGCAGGATCAAGTCTAGGCACCGGAGTCCAGTGCTTCAAGTCAGAGAGCTGGCCCCGTTGCCAATCTCAGCAATCAGTTGCCCAGTGCGATTTGTTTACATTTCACGAGCAAAATCTCAATCTTAGGATCCGCAACCATAGATTCGTGGCCAGGCGAGCTTATGGAAGGGTCTGTGAGAAAGTCCCCGGAATCCATCCCAGAAACCACTTCTGCAGCCAGTGCTTGTTTCTCGTCTGGCCTACTAGTGGAAATTTCACGGCCTTTTCCACCCTAATAGTGTTCAATCAAAGTGTGGGCCTCGACTTTGTTTTGAATCTCGCAAAACCGCGATAGCCGTGCGGCTCGCTGCTTCGGGCGCCGGGTCTCCAATCCATCAGGCTTAATTTGGATCCCTTATGATTGCCCAACTGAGGGCCATGCGCACTTGGACAAATAAGGCTCGAGCAGTTGACATACACTCAACGGCGCAAGCAGATGAATAATCGCCAGGGTAAACAGCAGCAACGGAAACCTCGGTGAATCTGCACGATTATCACATATGAAGGAAGCACGTCGATGACGGTACCCTGCATTTCTGATACGCCTAAGTAGAGACCCTGGTGCAATGCGCTTCAGCAAATGGCCAGAGGCTTGCGTCAAAAGGTTGGTGACAAGCAGGTGTCGTATTGCGTGTGGCCGTTGGGTGCATCCTATGCACAGCTGGGGAGCCCATGGTCGGAGAAAAGTGACAAGGCATGCCCGACTTGGGGCTTGTTGATCAACGAGTGCCGCTTGAATGTTAAACTGTCAAGATAGCCCTCTCGATACAAGACCGTACGATTTCGCATACAGAAATGCCTTCAAATGACTTGTGAGGACGGAATGCATCCAGAGCTAGCTTGTTGTATCCTAGATCAGCCGGGCTACCCATTCATCGCCGCCAATGCCGTAGCTCCCCCAATGGTCCGGCTGTGATGGCATGTCAATGATGCGATGTAATGAAGTCAGCGTGGGCCTGCCCACCTTTCCGAACTCGGGCATGCTTGGTGAACAGTCGGGATCAAGCAGTGCTTTTTAGGAGCGGCACCGTAGCTGCTAAGCGACGATTCGAAGCAAACCGCCGGGCGACAAAGCAAGCCACATTTCATAGTCATTGCTAGTACGTCTCAAGGTTATCTTTGAGAGACTCTGAGACGGTGGTCATCGCCGATAGCTCTCGGACTACGATAAAGCTGGTGAAATGCAAGATGCCATCATCGTGTTTGAAGTTTGACTTCCTTGCCGAGCTCTCCGCAGCTTTGCCGATACCTCATACGATCAACAACACCAGGTGAAAGACTGATTGTCCATCAGGGACCATGATTGCGTGCAGCACGACGAGTAGATACGAAGAGTCGCGGCCGATCTCAGCTTTCATGGCCAGATGCCCGCCATGAAACAATGGTTTGTCCCCAAGACCTGGACGTTGCGACCCCAAGACCTGGGCGTTGCGACCAAGAAACGCCATGGTTGAGCTGATTTTCTGCGTAGCTTTTTTGAATTGTCGCATACTCGTAACTTCATCCATGGTAGTATCTCATTTTTGCCATGTCGTGGTAGCCACGGTACTGTCACTACTCGGCGGGCAAGGCAATCAACAATCCTTTGAACATGGACCTGCGTAAAAAATTTATAGTCAGGTGGGAAGAATACTCCGTATAATGCTATCTCCCAATGCAAGCGCTTTTGGCCGCATGGTTTACCATCGTAGGCCACATCACAGTGACAATCAAGCGACATGGAAGTTGTACTCCCCAACCTCCCATCGTCAGAGGGTGTCTTCTAGGCATAAGTAATGGTGATTCCTAAGTTATCTAGGTATCTTCTGGGGGCATCCGGATGAATATGCTTGATTGAAAATAGTGGCAGGATGATCATCTTCTGCTATTCAATACACTACGAACTCGTGGCAATAAATGAGGTAACAGGCCAGTTCCATGCTTTCCTTAGTCATTCATTGCCGTCCATCTGGGAAGGACCGTGACATGCGATCTCTATCAATAAGTAATTCATGCATCTCATATTCGAAGTCTTGACGGCCAGCTAGTGGACTGATGACCATCGTAGATACTAGCAATAGCAAAGGACCTCGCTGGCGCGAAAACAAATCATGTCGGCAAAGAATGGCTGCACGCTTGCAGCGTCGCCTCACGTCATTGGATCGAGTCAGCATGCTTGGACCGTCGCCTAAGCGGCCTGTGGAAGTCACCACACGAGCCATGGCAGCAGTGGAAAAAGGGCCTGCACCCGTTTGGGTGCCAGTGAAGGGAAACTCCACCCAAGAGCATTTTCTCTTCGGCGTTTCTCCCCATCCACTACTACTCAACCATCCACAGTTCTTCGTCCATCCCACCAGTCATCAAACTTATTTTCAATTCATCCACCCTTGCGACCTTTCTTAGCAGCATCTCCATCCTTGCACCCATGTATTGACGGCGTCATCTTCAACCGCCATAGTCTGCCTACCGAATCCACCTTGCACGGATCTTTTCCCTTTGTCAGATCAAACTTTTAGCCCAGGTCCGTATTTTCCGGTAACCAAAACAAACTGCGTTACAGCCCAACCCTCGCCGTCACTGTTTGTCTTTTCCTTATCAAATGGCTCACGCGGCATGCTCGCTGACTGAACCTGAAGGAAAGCTTAAGCAGCCAACCACATCACCGTTCCAGGGACCTTGCTCGAGCTATCGCTGCTCCACGGGCTTGACGGATCGCAGGTGGAGTCCATTCTCACAAACTCTCCAGTCACAGTGACCGCAAAGGTGAGGTCGCCCTTCCTCTTTTTCTGCTTTGCTTTGCTCGCATGTTGTGAACGCTCTTTTACCTTTAAAGAGGGGTTGTACGCTGTGAGCTCATCTCTCTCTTCTCTTTCCCTTCAGCTTGGTCCTCACGCCCGACCTTGTTGCCAGTGTCGCTTTTTTCTTCTTTTGTTTTCCTTTCCTGCCTACTAACATCTCCACTCAACAGTGACCATGGCGGACCACGAGAAGGATCTCGAGAACGGCGACCCCAAGCGCGAAAGAATCTCCTTCGCCGACGGATGGGACCCCGATAAGGATGAGGGTGAATACGCCAACCTCATCCGATTCATTTCGACCTACCGTGACCGTAGATTCTCCAAGGCACCTTCACAAGTTTCCGGCGAGGATGTCGGCGACGCTACACAGAAGAAGAAGATTCCCTTCTACAAGAGATGGTTCACACAGGGAGGTGGTCCCGGTGAGCTCTACCAAGTCCCCGAGGACTGGCTCACCACCGACATCAAGGCTGGTCTTACCTCCGCCCAAGTGGAAGAAAGAAGAAAAAAGACTGGCTGGAACGAGCTGTCAACGGAAAAAGAGAACATGTTCCTGAAGTTTTTGGGTTACTTCCAAGGTCCTATTCTTTACGGTAAGTGTTGCGGCGAGTTTTTATCAAACTTGTGCTGATTTAGAACTAGTCATGGAACTTGCTGTCCTGCTCGCTGCTGGTCTGCGTGACTGGATCGATTTCGGTGTCATCATCGGTATCTTGATGCTGAACGCCATTGTCGGTTGGTACCAAGAGAAGCAAGCTGCCGATGTCGTCGCCAGTTTGAAGGGTGACATCGCCATGAAGGCTGAGGTCGTTCGTGATGGTCATGAGCAAGAAATCAAAGCTCGCGAACTTGTTCCTGGTGATATTGTAAGTTGCATGCAGCTCCATTTTTTGCTCATAACTCGCTCTGACGCACGTCTCTAGCTACTTCTTGAAGAAGGTTCCGTCGTCGCCGGTGAATGCCGCTTGATCTGCGACTACGACAACCCAGCTGGTTTCGAAGAATACAAGGAGATGATCAACGACCCCGAGGGCTACCACTCCCGCAACCACACTGAATCTGACGATGACGAGGAGCACCACATAGGTACCTCCATTGTCGCTACCGATCAGTCTTCCATCACCGGAGAGTCCTTGGCTGTCGACAAGTACATGGGTGATGTCTGTTACTACACCACCGGTTGCAAGCGAGGCAAGGGTTATGCCGTTATCACTGAATCCGCTCGTGGCTCTTTCGTCGGTAAGACTGCGTCTTTGGTCCAGGGTGCCAACGACTCCGGCCACTTCAAGGCCGTCATGGACTCCATCGGAACGGCTCTTTTGGTCTTGGTCGTCTTCTTCATTCTCGCTTCTTGGGTTGGCGGTTTCTTCCATCACATCGGAATTGCCACTCCTGAGGAAAGCTCGGTCACCCTGCTTAGCTACGCACTTATTCTTCTTATCATCGGTGTCCCCGTCGGTCTGCCTGTCGTCACCACCACCACTTTGGCTGTCGGTGCTGCTTATCTCGCCAAACAAAAGGCCATCGTGCAGAAGCTGACTGCTATCGAATCCTTGGCCGGTGTCGATGTGCTTTGCTCTGACAAGACCGGTACTTTGACTGCCAACCAGCTTACCATCCGTGAGCCTTACGTCGCCGAGGGTGAGGATGTCAACTGGATGATGGCCTGCGCCGCTCTCGCTTCTTCCCACAACCTGAAGGCTCTTGATCCCATTGACAAGATCACCATTCTTACTCTCAAGAGATATCCGAAGGCCCGAGAAATCCTGCAACAAGGCTGGAAGACTGTCAAGTTCTTGCCTTTCGACCCCGTCTCCAAGCGCATCACCACCCTCTGCACGCTCAAGGGTGAGAACTGGTCTTTCTGCAAGGGTGCACCAAAAGCTGTCCTTTCCATCGCCGAATGTGACGAAGCCACCGCCAAGCACTACCGTGACACCGCGGCTGACTTTGCCCGTCGTGGTTTCCGATCTCTCGGTGTCGCTTCCAAGCGTGGAGACGAGCCATGGAAGGTCATTGGCATGTTGCCCATGTTCGATCCCCCTCGTGACGATACTGCCCACACCATCCTGGAAGCTCAGAACCTCGGTCTCAGCGTCAAGATGTTGACTGGTGATGCCATTGCCATCGCCAAGGAAACCTGCAAACTTCTCGCTCTCGGTACAAAGGTGTACAATTCTCAGCGTCTGATTGCTGGAGGTGTTACCGGTTCCACTCAATATGACTTGGTCGAGAAGGCCGATGGTTTCGCTGAGGTCTTCCCAGAGCACAAATACCAGGTCGTCGAAATGTTGCAGCAACGTGGTCATTTGACTGCCATGACTGGTGACGGTGTCAACGATGCTCCTTCCTTGAAGAAGTCCGATTGCGGTATCGCCGTCGAGGGTGCCACCGAAGCCGCTCAAGCCGCTGCCGACATTGTCTTTTTGGCTCCTGGTCTCAGCACTATTGTCGATGCCATCAAGGTCGCCCGTCAAATTTTCCAGCGTATGAAGGCCTACGTGCAATACCGTATCGCTCTTTGCTTGCATTTGGAACTCTACCTGACCACCTCCATGATCATCATCAACGAGACTGTCCGTACCGACTTGGTCGTGTTTTTGGCCTTGTTCGCCGATCTTGCCACCATCGCTGTTGCCTACGACAACGCTCACTACGAACCCAGACCTGTCGAATGGCAATTGCCCAAGATTTGGGTCATCTCGGTCATCCTCGGTTTCCTTCTTGCCATCTCCACCTGGATTATGCGCGGATCGTTCTACCTGCCTAACGGCGGTCTGGTCCAGAACTTTGGTAATGTTCAACTCATGCTTTTCCTCCAGATCTCGCTGGTTGAGAACTGGCTTATCTTCGTTACTCGAGGTGGACAAACCTGGCCATCCTGGAAGTTGGTCGCCGCCATCTTCGCCGTCGACGTCATCTCGACACTCTTCTGTATTTTCGGTTGGTTGCATCCCCCTTTGCACGACACCAACACCATCCCCAAGGACCATTTCACTACGGACCACTACAGCGTCCAAACCTCCGTCGTCACCGTCGTCGTCATCTGGGGTTACTCCATTGGTGTTACTATCGTGGTCGCTATTGTCTACTACCTTCTACTCAGCATCAAATGGATCGACAACCTCGGCCGTGATGTCAGAAGCCGCGCTGATACCGACATGGAGAATGTCCTGTCTCATCTCAGCCGCATCGCACTTGAGCACGAGACTGATGTCCATGGAAAGACGAAATGGGTCCTTGGCTCCAGAGGCACTGGTGAAGAAGAGTGAGTTTCCCACCCTTTATTCTTTATTGAGAACACATACTGACAACCATTTGCAGAGAGGAGTAATCTATGGTCGTTTTGTCCATATGAGCGAAGATCTCGAAGACATCTTGTCTTTGGGCATGGAAATGGTTTTCGATGCTCGAAGCAACTTATCTGTCTTCTGATGTCGTAATTGAGCTAATACCGTGAGGAGCACATTGGGAAACGGCAAAAAGGGTGATTCCTCAAACACTGCAGCCTTATTTCCATGTATTGTCTTACAACCAGAACATCGGAAAATACAGAAAAAAACATTCTCACAGAAAACGAGCGGCTCTAGACTGCCCTAAGGCCCTTGACCTGTACTTCTGTCCCTGACTTTAAATCCAGTCAGGGGCTGCAATAGATTTCATTACCTTCTCCTGCTATTCTATCGCCCACGTCGCCTACGTTTCGCGAACTTGATACTATGATCGAGATTTCTCCTGCCTAATATCACACTGGGAATATCGGATGTCGTCCATGAGTAACCAATCCGATGAGATATCCCACAAGTTTTGCCATTGGGGAGTCGTGTCCACTATTATGAAGTCGGCAGCTCCTGGGCAGGGACGTTGCTGCTACTGGCCTCGAGCCGTGGTCGTATGCTCATTGCGGCCTCAGACAACCTTGTCACAACCTTGCGTATCAGCCTCGCCTGATCTGTTTCGCTTTCGGAACACCCATCCGCAAAAGGCACCCGCTGACCCGACTTGACTCGTTGCTGATTCTGTTATAATCTCTGGTGGCCATAACAAACAAACAAACAAAGTTTCTGCCAGAGATAGAGATTCTGAGATTCATGCACGCCCGGGCCTTAGCTGTCAACAAATAGTGAGTGACATTGCTTAGTGTCGCCGGCATCTGGTCCGAGTTCTGTAATTTTCTTTCCTTACGGTTTTGGTAACTTATTTTTATCTCATTCGGGAATATCCATGTGACAGCACGTTTGACATTCGACATACCGATCTGACGCTGCACACCACTTATGCACCCCATCCTTGGTAAACGGGTCTGTGCTGCAAGGCTTCAATTTCTTGCTTGGGTCCGGATACCTCGTGTACGCGCGGCTGTTGGGACTTGAGGGGTCACAAAGTCTGGCCCAGTCTAGAGCAGGAGAACGAACTGGGATTGCGGCAAGGGCGACGTGAAATAGCTGTGCAGTTGCTTTCGCTGGCACGAGGGACGCGGCACTTATGAGGTATGGAGGGCGGTCATACTGTACCAACTGGCATCGCCAGCGCCTGACAATATCTCGTGCCCTCATGCTGGGCCTCCTCAGGGGCAGTTGGGGAAGCTCTGGGCAATCACGGCGGGGAAGTGTAGAGCTTCCTCGGCCCCTTACTGTCCTTAGGGCCATTCCGGGGCTGCGGAGAAGTCTGGTCGTATGTTGCTGCTTACTTGCGGCATTTCGGATCATCAACTCGAAGGCTCCAGGGAGCCGGGCCTCAGTTTCATGGATGTCGTTATAACAACCCGACGGCAGACGGTACCTTACACTACGTCTGCCGTCTGCCAAGTTGTGATAGTAATTAAGTTTAGCTGTCAACGGACATATGTACGGAAAAAAGTAGCAATATGCGTGAATATGTCATTATGGCTTGTCTGATGTGGACATTGGCCTTTTGGCATCGGATTTTTAGATGCCCGGCGTGGGCGGATCGTAGTTTAGTGCCCCGAAAGGCCCAGTCCAGACTTGATGATGAGCAGTATCTCACCCATCGAGCAAATCATCCTTTCCCATCCAACTACCAGTGGCTACCTACTACTTTCTAGGGTACACACTTCCGAAGGATCGACGTTAGTACTTCTCGTTCTTCCCCGCCATGCCAAGATCATCCCTATCATGCTTCTGGCCTTATGGCAACCTCTAATGAGTACATTTGAGAGTTTGCGAGAAATGAACTGACAGAACTCTCACACGCCACTTGAGAGAACCCTGGACATCCTGCCATCGTCCTTCGGTCTTTACATACCGATAGCAGGGGGGCTCGCCACGAACCTTGGCAGGGCCCATGACAGGACTTAAGTAAGACGTCTAAGACAGTGGTTCTAATAAGGCGACACCAACGTCCCAGACGAGTCATCGTCTGCCTGTTCTGAGGGTTGCACAAAGAACTCTTGGAAGCATCCCCCAATTTGACTGGAAGACTGGCTGAGGCTGGAGGTGTGGTGACCTTGGCTGTATGGGCGTGATCCAAGCAGGCTTTCGCATGCAGGCTACACTCATCTTGAGCAGCCTCGCCCTTTCCTAGCTTCACTCGACACTCAGTCACGAAACCCAGCACATAAACTCGCAGTCACCTCCGGAGCATGCCTTTCCATATTAATGGCATCAATCACTGTTAGCCAAACTATCCATGCCGGCGGGTCTACTGTCGGCTACTCCAAAACCACCCGTCGACAGTATCAAAGTTGCGACCAATGTCGGAAAAGTCGCAGAGCTTGCGATGCCAGCACTTTGCGAGTCGTCAACTTTCCCCTTCCCGACGATGAGACCGTCAATCTTTCAACACCCACATGCGAAGCGTGCTCGAACTGTGCCAAGACCAACAAGAAATGTACCTTTGACTGGCTCCGCTCGTTACCTCTGCAAGGTCTCCCAAAGGGTGTCAAGAGAAAGCTTGAGTTGACTGGGCTTCCGGAATCCGCAGATCATCACCCAGTGTCATCGTCAGACACTATCTCACAATCCTCACGCAGCGACAATCCTGACTATACATACTCTCCCGCGTCGAAGGGCTATTCGCCTGAACGTATCATCGGCGACGCAACCAACGCGCCTGCCATCCAGCGACATCCGCTCTGCTTTCAACCTCCCCTCAATCAAGGCAGGAACGATGGCGCCTTGGAACTCTCCCACTTCCATATCACGACGGACCCGACTGGCACCGCACCTCTTCCTCGACATGCGCAGTGCGACTCGGTCTCAAAGCAGCAAGGACACGATGAAGCAGTGGACCTTGGTGATGACCCCATGCTGCATGGCCTCACACGCGTCAACAGTTACGCCTCTTCCGTCAGTGTCAGCTCCGCAGCTTCTCAAACAGTCAGTGGCAGATCGCACAACTTGACCGGCAATCCCCCCACGAGCTCAGACATGCATGGTGATAACGCAGATGACGGCGCTTCAATCCGACATTCCCACTTGGCTGCATGTACTTCAACATCTCAGCCTGCCCAAGCGTCTCTTCACCGAGTGTCTTCAGCACAAGATCCCTCACCCCGTCTCTCTTTCAGCTCGGGCAAGTCTGACGACACTCGATACAATTCGATCTCCCTCAACACTTCTCAGGTCGGCTTCGCTGACAGCTCGTTGAAAACAATGGTTGCCACTGGACTGCTTCGGATCTATCATGATAGTTTCGAGAACTCACTTTCTTGTTGGGTGACGGAGAAGAATTGCCCTTATGAATGTGAGATCGCGGATCGAAAGGCTTTAGGAAGTACATGCGATGAGACGGCGTTCCGGCTACGTGACAACCGGATCTTCTCTCGCGTCTCTCGCCTGGACAATGCATTTGCAGGGCTCAGAGGTAGGGACTTAAGCCAATCAGAAAATCGCGCCGCGACCAAGGCTCTGAACGCCGCCATCATGGCTTTCGCAAGTCAGTGGTCGCACAGCTCACATAACGCGTTTTGGCGTAGTAAGGGTGGTCTACCACAATTGAGGACGGGGCAAAACAACACAAAGACTGCTACACAATGTGGCGAGTACGAACGTGTGATCCAAAAGACACTTTGGCACGAAGCTCGAAGAGCTGTTCACGTTTGCGCGGCTATGGATTCATTCAAGGTCATTCTGGCATATGTGCTGTTGAGCTTGACCCAGAGGCCAATGGACGAAAGTGGCATGCGATCAGTTTCGAAATCAGTCAGTCCCACCGCAGCCGATAACGAACATAGTATCGGGCATCAAGGCGACCGCGATAGTGCCTCTGGATATCAGGTTGCCTCTGATGACACCGACTCAATTACGCAAGAAATAGCTGGAGAAGAGTGGGACCCTTTCGACACCACCGAGCTAGAGGTGCTTGCCTCGCCACCAGCTTACCTCGAGGTAGCTGTGCGGCATCTGTTTGCATGGAGACGCAAAGTTGAAAGACACCGACGAAAACGATCCAAGACCACAGAAAATTGTGCGACGCCTGCGCTGGCACTAAAGGACGAACAGACCTTCAACATACTATTCTGGCTTGGCGTAATGTGTGATACCACTTCCTCGGCGATCACCAAGCGCCCGTTGATCATTGCGGATGAGGATTGTGCTGTCATTCACGACGAACAAGCCTCGTTCGATCTGCAGGCTGACGATGCCGGTGCTTTGTGGGGCGATTACCTGATGAGCTCCAGATGGGCTGGGCCACAGAAGCCTATGCCTCGGTGGCCGTGCAGCTTCGAAGAAGCGGCTGTAGTCCTACAAGAGGCTATTCCCATCAAGGTTCTAATGTATCGCAAAATCGGACAACTTCAGACCCTCGCTTATAGGCGTACGTCACCTAGCAAAATTGAAAGATGTGTAGGTGAAGCCCTTGCGGTCTACCAACACTGGAACGACACCTACGGCCAATTCTTGCTCGACTGTGTCAATGCGCACAACAACCTCCCACCGCATGTTCAATCATGGTACGTGATCCTCGACGGGCACTGGCACTACGGTTGCCTGCTCTTAGCAGATACGATCGCCCAGCTCGACAGAGAAGAAAGGACCATGGACGCTCCGCGCCAACTGCGCGCCACCTGTCGTCTGATCGCGGAGCTGAGAAGGGATAATGCCCAGGCAATCGCGAGAATTGCCCAGGCCTCGCTGTCCGAGTATGGTCCATCATACCCTGACAACTCGGAGTTCCATTTCGCGTGCAACGGCAGCGCCATACTCACCGAGCCGTGGACGGATATATTGGTTCGTGCCATGGGCACTGCATGTCGAGTGTTCATCAACTGGTTGTCAAGCTGGGATGACTCTACAGATCCGATGCACGACTGGGTCACCTCAAGCACCGTCTACGACGACCTTTACACACAGGCCGCGACGTGTATCCAGGGCATGAGTCTACTTGGTCGCAAATCCAATGCTGCAAACTATATGGCTGACGTGCTCTGGGACCGATTAAGACACGTGTGCCCACAGCGTTGAGCTTCGCAGTGATATCTCCGACACTGGGCGAGAAAACCTTGTCCGAGACGTATGCTTGCGGCGACTCGAGCTGAGTGCTTAGCCGTCAGGTTGTTGACGGTGTCTTTCGCTTTGTTCACGAGGCCTGACATCTTGAACTGAGATATCGCGCGTACTCTCGAGGATCCTCTGATCAGATACCCTGTGTTATGGTCGGACCAAGGGTCAATATCGTCAACGTGCCTGTGTGTAATAGTATGTACTATACCCAAGGTGTACAGCTCCTGCTAGGTCAAAATATATCTCCGGTCAGGCTGCACCACCGCGAGTTGTGTTACACGAGGCGATTCACTTTCGTCATCATCCGGCATGAGAATGCGTACCAGTGCCGGATGGTGATGCATAGACCATGTCTGCTAACGTGTAGCTATCGTGTCGTAATACTCCCGGAAGCTGATGTCCGGAGGAGCAATACGATGCCTTTTGACAATGACCAGGTATTGTAATAGAACTAAGCAGTTTTTGACCAAAGGGACGGATCGCGACATAGTGGACCTTACCTGGCAGTCATCAAACACTGACAGTACTCGTGGGGACACTAGGTAGAGAGTAAACGCGACAGCACCTGAAAGAAAAAGACCCGAATGACGTGAGAATGATCATGGATATACAAGTACACCTGTGTAGTGGATGGATTAGGATCCCCGCTGGTCTCGCGGACCGCGAAATGACCACTTCTGCGTGAAGCATGCAGAACAGTCAGGCAGGGAGGCCATGTTGTGCAAAAATTCGACGTACGACCACAGCAGTATTCACTGTAACCACTTGGCATACGCCCACTCTATACGTCGCAGAACGTTGATCTGCCGACCCACTCCGGCCTTGACGTCGAGCAAATCGTCCAGATCCTCCAGAAATTCCCGCTGGATGCTTTTCGGTAGCACGAGCACTGCCCGCTGACGGAGAAGATGCGTCTCACACAACAAAAGCCCGTGGTTTTCTTCCGAGATGATGCCATCGTCGTCTAGGTCTGAATTGGTCAAGGTTCGGTCGATGTTCCTATCAAAATTATCAATTTGAGGCTCATCTTGAGAGGAAAGACTTGACGTACCTGATAAGACGGATTGCCTCGCCTTTTCTTTTTCCTTGACGGGGCCCTTCACGCCCACCAAAGGCGGATCTGAGCCATTGGACCAAGGCATAGGAAATTAGCACTCCAGGCGCGATTCCCACGAATCCAAAGAGCAGCTCTTGACTTTTCAGTAGTGAATCGATCCCGCCTATAGCCGTCTCGACGTCGACTTTTGTCTTTTGAACCTGGATTAGCAGCGTTCGGACCAGTTCGCCCATGATTGCATTCTTGATTGGACTTTGTAGCTCTCGCTCGTAGGCTTTAAGAACGGGCGTCACATCGCCTGCCTTGACTTTGGCTCGAATCTCTGCAATCTGACTCTCGTTGTACCGGCTACCGTCCACGGGATGTTGTACTGCGAAGTCGACAACCATACGCTCGAGACTTTCTTTATCGGCTTTCAAGCTGTCCTTGCTCTGAATGGCGATTTCACTCTGCTCGTCATGGCGGATGGTCCCGATAAGTTTCTTAGTGGGCTCGACTACCCAGTTCGTCCAGAAGTCGATGCATGTCTGACCAAACTCTCTGAACCATTGCGCGATATCGGCTTTGCGGCTGAGCAGTATTCTGAGCAGTGTACTACCAGATAGGAACAACCCTAGAGCAGGAATCCAATATCGCACAAGTTTGGATGGTTTGCCGAATCTTCTTCGTATGTCGTTAACTTCCTTTTCACGCTTTGGTAATTGTTCGTCAAGGATTTTGATCAGTAGATTCGCAACCTCGGTAGATGAAGCTGTCGAAGGATCGATCGCATAGTTTTCATCTTCACCATGAGGTTTGGTGGCCGAGTCTAGAAGACATACTGTTCTGGCGATTGTAGTCTGCCAGTCCTCCTCTGGTGAACCCAACATCTGGGGTAACGCACCGATCTTACGTTCATCCGGCGGTCCTTCGAAAACCATACACTCCCGCACAAGCCTGCCAATGGATGCTGAGCTGGTTTTCCTGATTTCTTTCACGCGCTGCAAATTTCCGCGCACTTCCATCCGTGCGATCGAAAAGGGTGAGAGGATCTTGGTTTGGGCCTGAGCCAAGGAACGTTCTTTGACACTGTCGCGCACGAGACCGTAGAACTGGCGCCATCTCTCCGACAGAGTATTTGTAGCTTCCCGACCAGCAGCGCGCACATCGGGCAACTTTCGTACCGCATCAGCATAGACTTCTTTTGCTTGTTTGTAAAATCTGAACGGCGATGTCTGAACTGTGTATAGCACAATATTTGCGTATGAGCCTAGCACGTCATCCCAATACCATATTGATTCGCTCAGGGGTATCGTGCGGTCCAGCAACGAATCGAGGATGAGGCCGTAGGTCTGCGCCGTCGCTTTGCCTGTAGCCACCCATTCTAGGTTCGTAATATCGGACGAGTCTGTTGTTTCGGTCGTCACCTGCTTTTGGCTCTTCTTGAGTACCTCGGTAAGCAAGGCGCGTACTTTCGAGCGACGCAATAAAGGTCTCGAGCTTGCTGTGGTGGACAACGATCTGATAACGGCTTTCAGCTGCGTCGTTCTAGGATCCTCGCCAGGTCTTGCGGAGATTTTGTCGGAATCGGCTCCGGCGACGGCGATTCTCTCCTCGGCTTCTCTCAATTGGAATTTATCCAAAGCCGCATCGGCTCGTCGCAGATCACTATGAGAAGGTTAGCTGTCTGCGTGCCAGTGCGTGCTCAGGTGCGCATACTCGTCGATGAAGGACATTGTGCCGAGGTGAAGCAGAACGAGAGTCTGACCCTGGTCTCGACCGTAAAGAGCAACAGGTTCTCACGGCAGCATGGTGAACAAATACACTCTCCCAGAAATCCGCGACAGTGGCTTTGGCAGGAAAACTAGTATTCGTCCCTCGCGTGCACACGCCTGTCAGTCAAAATAGGCGCAGGAGAATATAATCGAAGTAGCAGCGCTGCCGTGCCGCCCAGGCTTAATTGACGTCACTTTATCAACATGGTGCCTAGATTATCGGTATCTCACCCACTGGCACCTGGAACGAGGAGATCTTTAGATCTGGCATGCCACAAACGAAGATCGATTGTCCACCAGGATTCGTCGAGACTATGCGCAGATAGAGATTGCTGAGAAGTACAATTCCTGCATTCTAGCATCAATCTTGTCGCCTGAACATGGCAATGTACACATAGTCTGCTCTAACATGCCTATGGTGTACATGGAGGCCAGAATCCCATTTGATATAGCAAGCCGCTGGTCATTACTGCTGCGTTCCCGATTCCTTGCATGGCTTACCATCGCTCGCTGGAGTATAAATCACCTTGATATGGAATGGTTGCAAGGCTGGATCAGGCTGCACTTTAATCCATGCTTGTGGAAAGTGACTTTGGCAGGCTTCTGTCAGATAGGCGGCACTAGGTCCCCGGAGGCTGCATCTCAGCCACCTGATTAGCCCCCGGAGAGCCTAACGATAAATCTGTCATACGCCGGTTCACTAACGAATTAATCAAGCCGAGTCCGCCAGCCACTCGCTGCCCAAAATCAGGCACTTATGCTCGCATCACAAGGAACTGCAACTTCCGACACTCAGCGACATCATTTGTCGCATCCATCACTTCCACCTAACTTGTAGAAACCTCTCATCTTCAGCCTACACTCCGTCCATTCTCTACGAAACCTGTGACGACCGTTGCACTCAATTTGCCTCAACTTTCTTTCCTCACACCGCTAACACCATCTACCACCCCTCGACACGCTGGTGCCCAACGCAATTGACTCCCCTCCATAGGACCACCACCTCTTCTATCATACGCCACATTCGCAGAACAACTCGATCTTTACGTTGCAGAACTCCGGCGACCCCTTCTCTCACTTGACGAAGCCAGACAATGGCAGGCACACGCAATTATGATTTCTTAGTATGCCCCTCCTCATTTTGTGCCCATGCATTGCCAGCCCAACTCACCAATCGTCCCTCTAGATAAAACTACTCCTCATCGGCGACTCGGGTGTCGGAAAATCATGCTGTCTTCTGCGTTTCAGCGAGGACAGTTTCACGCCCAGTTTCATCACCACCATCGGGATAGATTTCAAGATCCGAACGATCGACTTGGACGGCAAACGGGTGAAACTACAGATTTGGGACACCGCAGGTCAGGAACGGTTCCGAACAATCACCACTGCGTACTACAGAGGCGCAATGGGCATCCTGCTGGTATATGATGTGACGGATGAGAAGAGCTTCAACAGTATGTGGAACCCGACCTCGCTAGGACAAGAAAAGAAACTGACCCTGATGCAACGCAGACATACGGACATGGTTCTCCAACGTCGAACAACATGCCAGTGAGGGCGTCAACAAGATACTCATCGGTAACAAATGCGATTGGGAGGAGAAGCGCGCTGTCTCGACTGAACAAGGGCAAGCACTAGCCGATGAGTTGGGCATTCCTTTCCTCGAGGTTTCGGCCAAGTCGAATCTCAACATTGAAAAGGCATTCTACTCGTTAGCCTCGGACATCAAGAAGCGATTGATAGACAGCTCGAAAGAGACCGGAGCCAGTGGCGGCGCCCAAACAGGTATTGGCGGTGTCAACGTCGCTCAGAACCAAGCTGGCGGCATGGGTGGAAAGTGCTGTTGAGCGATGGACTGAAAAAGAGGAATGTCATGTTGGGATTGGCCTTGCTCAATGACAATGACACAGGCTAGGATCGAGTTGAGAAACGACACAAGAGCATGCACCGGAACAAGTCGAGCGGATCGATTGGCGCAATACCCATCCCTCCACGGGTATGTCTGCGCCGAATACGAGCGAACTGTTTCTCGAGTCATGCACAAACCGAGGACGAGTTTTAATGCTGATGTGGAGAACAAACTCGCAGGGTTATGATCTCTTTTGACATTCGAGTTGGTACTGGAGGCGTGAAAGAAAGCGGGTTTCACGCTGGCGTTTATCAGATTAGCAAGAACATGAAATGAATCAGAACTGGACCGTTGTCGAGAATTTGTTGGCGTTCCTGAATCAGGCAAAAACGCAATTCTAGATGGGTCAGTCGTTCTCGCACGTGCATAGTAATGTCAAAGTCGTAGAATGGGGCAGATAGGAGGTGTTTCTATATTTCAGCGTTTCCAGTTTATTTTGACTGCACTGAATAGGTCAAAGGCATCTTCCAGCCCAAATTGAGGTTTCACCAAAAAGAGGTTGCTCTGCTCCATGAAATGCCCGGGGTCTTTGTTTCGTACTCATCGTTCAGAATTGAATCTGCAGAGGCTCCGGCTGAGTGCGACCGATCGTGCCTCACCCGGCTCACCATTCAAACGCATCCTCTTAGAATATTTTCGGGTCTCCGCATGGTCTTTCGAGCCAGGTCTGCACGCCGATAGACTCACCGCCTCGCTTTTATCTACTCCCTCTCAATATCCTACGCCCACGAGGTAGGCACCCAGCTTTTCGACCGTGTTCGCGGCTGTGCCGGGTTGTATTGTCTCCGGGTAGTGTGTGATTAGGAGCGCCTGTTTCGTCTTGACAATGACAACGCCTTCTCGACCCTGGTTGGTGTTAGCATATTTTACGTCTTTCGCCGCTAAGGTTTGGTGGGCGTACCTTCTTGCCGTACAGACTCGTATCATCAGCCTTGATCACAATGTATTTGTGGCCTGCAATGTGTAATCCCGTTGACTGGACTTTCTTTGGCATCGAGTTATCCTTGTACGCGCCCACCACTTCTTGCATCTCCTGGGGTGTGACGTTGAAGCCGGAGGAGCTGGCCCATACCGAGTTGCCCTCTGAGTTGAAGATGGCGGCTTTATCGACGTGGCCGGTGCCGACGAGGCTAGAGAAGACGTAATGTTAGTTCCAGTTCTGTTCGGGCTCGAGGGGTGCGGTTTCTCTCGGGTGCATAGTACCTCTGATCGACGTATGCTGAGACAGTGTTAGCCAGCGCTCGTTTCGCGACTTGAGCAACGGATGCTCCGAATAGGCGTACCTTGCCAAGACATCTCTGGTGTTTATTTATTGAAGGATCTATACAGATGAGAGTTCGGACGACGGAAAGAAGGAACCCGGATTCGAGAGAGGGATTGGTAGCTCGAGGGACTAAGAAGGTGGAGGTCCTGATGTGGTGCGCAGATGGTGGATGTATTGAGTATGGAAGGATGGGGATGAGGAATAGGAGGGATTGAAGAATCAGAAAGAATTGTTATGGGGTGATGGAAGCCGAACAGGATGCGTTGTTGAGAGTAGGATGGGTCACAGTCAGTCAGATCAAGATGGCTTGTGACATTGTCAATCACGTTAAGTTATCGTAATTAACGGCGGCGGCGGGCGCGGGCGGGCACAGGCTTTGGTGGGGGTAAATAGAAGCATTGCGGCACCCGGCGCAAAAAGCCAGGCACAGGCATTGGAAAGGCAGCCTGATCACCACCGGCCCGCCCATAACGAGTATTTTGCTTGGCATCAAATTCGACTGCCTGGCAGGGCATATAGTAGTACACACGCGACTCATTTGCGTTTATGGTAAAGGCTATTCTATTCATGCTCATGAATGCGTAGAGGTGGACCGATTGCTTTCCATCAAGTAAGCACGATGTTCTGGGGATGTGTCCGCAAAGAACCTTTCCTCAACATCTTAAGGATCTGGCCACGCATGAGGCCGGGAATTTGCGCCTGGCCAACGAATCTAAACACCAGGGGTTCACTGCTTGGCCTGAGCAGTACCGGCATTGGACAGCCAAAGATGAAGGCAACTTTATCGCCTTTTCGTGCAGGTCGCAATGCCATTCCGCACAACCCTTCCTCTGTGAAGAATACCCTTCTGCGAGCGCAATACTCGGATGCTCGGCTCGCAAAGCGGTGTGCACTGATGTTCGCTGTAGACGACTGGGCTTTTGCGAGTTGAGGGACGGACAAGAAGTGCTGATAAAAGGGTGTACTGCAGTATTGCTGACAATAGGCCATGAAATCGGCTTGGAGACTGCTGGGAAGGTCGTATACTTGGACAAAGAGCCAACATAGTCTTGTATAGTACATATCTGGGTCTCTGACCGGGATTCGTTTGTAGTACTCCCAGCCATGGTAGAGGATCTGTGGGAGGCTCTGCTCGTCGTCGGAGAAAGGAGCTGAGATCTGTGTGACCGAGTCTGTTATGAGGGCGGCAACTGTCAATGCTCTACCATCGACAGAGATAACGACGTTATTGGACAAGCCTTGCGCTGGGCTTGCATCGTAGGATGAATGCGGAATGAGGAATTCGTAAAGGGGCGCGGAGTGGAACATGGGTACCCAGGAGGGAAGACCTTTTCGCTCTGCATCGACCAAGTCTTCGTGCCAATGCTGGACGACGCAGAGAAGTCGCAACGACCTTGTTGACAGTAGTAGTTGCGTCGCGAGTAACAGATACGTCTCCTCAGTGGGACGCTTGTAGTCAACTTCGATCAAGTTAGACTTGCCATCCTGGCTCTTTGCCTCAACGTGCCCGAGGAAGCCATAAACGTGATCTACATCACGAGTGGCCTGGAAGAATCTGCTCGTATGCAACACCTCGACGATACCATTCGCAGAGCGTTCCGGTGCCACCCAGAATTCTCTGATCGCCTTCAATATTGGGTCACCATTCATCCATGATCCCACTGTACCAAACCTTGCCCAAATATCCGCCAGAGCAAGATAAGAATGGTATGTGGCAACATTGGTGCGCTTCGGCAGGAATTTCTTCACGCTGTGATGGAATTGGGCAAACAGTGCTATTTCACTGAAGTCAATTGTCAGTCCACCACAAAAAGCGGTCGCCTTTTTGGCCACACCTATCTCTTGCAGAACCCACACTCGCCGGAACCAAGGACGTTCAAATAGTTTGCCGACAGCAGTCCACTCATCAGGCATCGCCAGTAAAGGGCGGTCGTTTGGAAGAGACTGGATACTGTGAATGGCTTGAGTATATGGTCACAGGATGTCAGTAGGCGTACAACTTCTGCAACCATATACGAGTTGAATTCCCGCAACAGTGTGAATGCGGCACTGATGTCAAATCCATCAGGTTCTCCCAGCCATATCAGCGTGCCTTGGCTTTCCCCGTACACCAGGTCCATCAGCCCGACCTGATGTCCTCGTTCGTCAATGGATAGCTGGTCTATGCATATGCCGTCTGCCCACAGAAGTCGTGGTTCGCGTTCGAGTCTAAAGCGCTTCAGGGCTTTAGCAAGGCTGCTGGTGATATCAAGGCTGCTCCCATTGCACTGGATTGCGACGAGGTCTTTAGTGTCCCCCCAGCAATAGGATACAGCCTCATAGGGTAGTGCGCGTCGAATCTCGCATGATACGAGTTCGCAACGGATCCTGTCATCATACCTCCCAGGCAGGAGGCGGAGCAAGCGAAACCATTGGCCTTTTGGCAAAGGGACATGAACGTGCTGATGAGTGATGCTGGTATTGAGACAGTCGGCTCCGGGCAACGCAGTGGACGTCATGGCTCATAGCTATACGTCAGCAGAAGTCGGTATGAGGGCTGTCCAAATCCAGAACTGCGAGGTTGCTTGGGCGTTGTGGACGGCAAAACTTGACGCCTGTACTGTGTAAGAGAAGAGGTGGACTATGGCCAAACGCCCGCTGGCCACGGCCAAGGGCCGGGTTAGACTTCTGTACCATCTCAACTCAGGACAGACTAGTGTCTTTGCGCCCAGGTTCACTTTCATGCTATTCAACTCGCTGGCCTCAATTTACGCTGCCGCTTGGACAGACCGGTGAGTTAGCATCGGCGCCCAGGCACCAGCGCGAGGCAGGTGAGGTAGGGGTGAGTATGCAGCGGCATCCACCCTGACGATAAGCTGAAAACAAGGGCGAATTGGGGGCAGAAATTACTGTTCTTGGCATCAACCTCGACTGCCTGGCAGGCCACGTAATAAGGCAAACACTCGTTATGCTACCTACCAGGCATGTCCATGATCATGATATTATGGTCGCTGTAAAATGCACTGATCCAACGCTACAACTAAAACAGCAGATCAACAACAGGTTGCAGCTGGAAGCCCAAAAAACAAAAAGGTATGTAGCATCGTCTTCCACTTTCATGTCCACGCTTCCCTTTCTCGTTGGCATTTGATATTATGCCTTGTCACAGTATGTCCATCCATGCGGGATCATGATCTAGACGGCCGCGTTATAGGTTTGCATGTTTTCCATTGAGACGTCCCTCGAGTTCTTGCCGCGAACTGTTTCATACTCTGATGTCCAACGCGATGAGAGACGTGGGAAGAAAATGCCAGGGTGAAAGGCTGTTTGGCATGCGACGGCGATCACAATCATCCTGAAAGGTCATCAGTCTCACATCAGCTGTTGCCAAAGGAAATGTACTTACACTCCCTCGAGGACGATGAAGTCGGTCTCGTTGCGCATGATGGGGTTTCTCCAGCCACCTAGTTGGGGTCAATTATCTGTCTTTCCTTCAGACTGTTTTACTCACCTGCCATCTCGATGATCCGAAACACGCAGCGAATGAAGATGGTCAACCAAGCAGTGGCAACACCAAAAATGAAGAGACGGAAGTTGCGGCTTTCCAGAGTCTTTGCGGCTTCGTGGGAGAGCGGGACGTGCGCGGCACCTTTGTATCGTCGAAGAATATACAAGCCCGCAGTGACAGCAAAGAAAAACAAGGAGGCCACCTGCCAACCAATACCGGCCAGCATCAAATCATCCCCCGTGTTTTCTTCGCTGTTTGTGTCGGCGCCCGATGCTATTGCTCCACCAATTGCTTGCAACAGCAGCGACAAGAAATCAGCACAGATGAAGATGTAGGTGTAAAACCGTGGCTTGATGAAGGAGAATTCTGGCCCAAAGCAGAGGGTGATATGCTTGAGAGTGAGATATATGGCAGCCGAGTTGAACGCAGGAGCGATGATAAGACAGCAGATTTGTGTGATGAACCCATAATCGGCAAAGGGGTTCTGTCGCATAAGGAGTCGTCCGATATATCCAATCGCTTCGGTCAAGCAGCCCAGACCGACTGCTATCATGTAGGTCCATGTCCGGTGACGAATGCCTAGGAAGACGTTGACGAAGAAGCAGATGGCAAAGAAGGTGAGGAAGAAGACATTCGCGCCGAGGCTAGGGAAATAGCCATAGACAGAGTCTTGGACCGTACACCCAGGACCGATTGCAGAGCAGTCGTCAGACATGGTGACTGGAAGCTGGATCAATTGGATGGAAGAATAGATTGACTGGTTCTGAGATATGGTGATCTGGTGTGGAAGTCCTTAAGAAGATGCGTTGAGTGAGAAGGAATAAGGCAGAAAGAAGAGATTTTGGCCTCATTATATCTTCCATGCTTCCACGGATGTCGAAGCCGATACCGAGCGCTTCCATTGTGTTGTGGATGCGACTCCATGCTGCGCCTACTCGTGTCATAAGCCGTTACAGCATGGACACCATAGACCACGGGTCTGGCAGCGGTCAAGGACTTCGAGGTACTCAAAATGCCAGGGTAATTGTGTACAGCATACCTCAATCAGGCCTAGATTCAGGCTCCAGAATTCTCATAGGCTCTTGAGATTGCGACGTAGGTACCTGTTGAGTGGGTCAGGGGCCCTCCAGCCTCGACCGTACTACTGTACTATGTACTCCGTCTGGCAGGCCTTACATGCCAGAGTACGTATACTCTGGCTGTGGATTGCTTGGCAGCAAGATGCGACAAGCGAAAAGCAACAACCTCAGTATTGATCATGAGATTCATTACTAATCTACGAAGAGATTAGGTCGAAGTTTCATAGCCTGATTGGGTTTAGCTGGTCTTCTTTTAAACCGCAATCGCTTTATAGGCTTTAAGCTTCTTGATCCGCAGTTGCCATTGGTTCTATTGGACCAGGTCTGCCACTAACCGAGAACGGCCGCTACTTGCGATTCGTTGAACAACGGAACCCCGGATACTCAGCCTTCGAAACGGGGCTGGCGACTCATCTACTTTTGGCCCATGTGCTCTTTAGTCTTTACTCGGGTTACTCGGTTCGGATTCTGGACCTGATGCAGACTTTTACTTGCAATACGGATACGTGCAGATGGAAGCTCCTGAAATCTGATGAAGCCTTGACAATCAACATACCGACTGTTCTAATTGGTACACCCGCAGCACTCCTGTCCCGTGTCGCACAGACTTGCCCACGACGGCGTGGTGGCTGATCAGCGTCTAATTGAACTTGGCGTGCCTCTGAGAAACAGTGGTGCCTGTTTACTCAAATGCATATATCGGGCACAGCCTTGCGATAGGATGTGCCTGCATCAGCCGTGCTCCACTAGGTAGCGTTGATGCCAAAGATATCGCCAAACCATGGTCTATCACGGGCCTAGCAGTGGTTGCAAGGCATGCAGGACTCGTCGAGTCAAGGTATGTCGATTGTTGCTTTCTCTTCGGTTTCGCTTTTGGAACCCCAGGTCACACTGACAACCTCCTCAGTGCGATCAGACGAAACCGGCTTGCAGCAACTGCATCCGGCGCCGTCAGACTTGTCCAGGCTATGGTGACATCTTCGATGGCGCTCACCGGAATCAGAACAACGTTGTGGCTCGAAGAGCCGAAAAGCACAATGCTGTCCTGAAAACCACTTCGAGCAGCGTCAGTCCTGGCAGTGATAATACTCAAGAGTCCCCTATTTCCAACCCGACAAGCCCGAATCCGAGCACTACTCACACCAAGAGCTTAAAACGAACTCCCCTTCATTGGATCATATATTCCGCTAATGCGGGCGCTCCTGCCTCAAAACGAAACGGACCAAATCGACAGGAGCGAGACGTGTCGAGAACAGCACGCATACGACCGACTCCTGGCCAGCTTGGACTCAGTATCCCGCATGCACTGAAGCAGGACCCGGAAGAAGCATCAATATGCTTCTTCTTCCGCCATTATGCAGGGATCGTGCGGCACAACTCAGAAGTTCGCAATGGCTTCGCCACGCATTGGCAGCCACTCTACCAACACTCGTCGCTCAATTCGCCCCTGAGAGCTGCCACCACTGCATTCACCTTCAACATCACCATGATGTGGTGTTTCCAAGGCTGCGACACTCGTCCAGCACGGGACCTACTGACAAACGCAATCTCGGCGACGCGCAAAGCTATCGAAAACCCTTCCTCGGATGAAATGGACGAGCTCCTGATGACTGTTCTCATCTTCGACCTTTACGACTCCCTTACACAACACTACGTCCCCAAGCCTGTAAGGCCTGGGACGCACAAAGCCGGCGCTTTGGCCCTGGCCAGATTGAGAGGATCTGCGAACTATGACACAATACTCAGTCGCAGTCTCACGCACGCCACGCGCCATGCTCTCTTGTCCCGCGCCCTGGCCACACGAACGGGTCTTCCTCCAGGCGCAGTGGAGATCTTTGACGACCCTTTCACGCCGGAGAGCCCGGTGACACAGCTCGACCTAATCACTTTAGGGGTTGCAGATCTGCAAAGCCGTCTCTGGCATTTGCGGCGAGAGAAGTGTCGGCCAAAGAGCTCTCAAGAACGTCAAGCTTTCTACGCAGGTATCATCGCGGAGGCTGTCAAGACGGACGACGCGCTGGCCAAGTGGAAACAGGCACTACCAGATACGGGTTGGACACCTCACCATGTCCACCGGGACGATGTCGCTCCCTCGATCAGAGCCGCTGGCTTCTACGGCACCTACTGCGTCGTGTGGTCAGACATGCAGTACGCTGAGATGACGAACCTTTACCACCAACGTCGTCTAGTCAATCTGCAGATCATCAGGCAGGCGCTTGCGGACGAGCCTGGACTTTTGTCTTTGTCCCAATATCAAGACATCCTGTTCACCACCACCAACACCACGGTCCAGTCCATTGTGGACGCCATCTGCGCCAACATCCCGTTCCACCTGGGCGATACTGTCACGCCCAGAAATCCTGTATACTGCGACGAGATCCAGTTCCCCACCAAAGTCCTACAAACCCCAGAAACAGGCGAGACTATCATCATCCCTTCGCCGACATCAGACCACAAGCCCCGCGCTGCCGCGGGTGGAGGTTGGGCAATCTTCCCCTGTATGGTCGAGGTTTATAGACTGGCCGGCCCAGAAGACGATGCGGTGCCCATCATGTTGCGAGAAGGTCAATTCGAGTGGATTGAGGCCCAGATCAAACGATTGCAGACCATTTTTCTGTACTGCGATCCGGTCTGGTAAGTTTGTACCGGCGGAATCTTGCTAAGGGTAGACCTTCAGAAGGCTGACGTCGCAAAACAGGTTCAAACGACTACCACCACCACCATCCTCCACCACGGAATCATCTACAGTACCAACATAGAAGCAGACCAGCAAGTTAGGTTGACACATACTGTGCCTTGGATATGATCGAGGTTGCTCCAGAATGAAAATGCCAGCAGCCATTCCCACTCCAGTGGGCCTCGTACCTAGAGCCCCCAAAGCAACAGGCAACACAAATGCCCTTGGGGGCCACCAAGACTCCATGAATATATGGGTTAAAGGCCTGCAGCGGTCGGGCTACGAGCCTACGTCCCGCAGCAGACGCGGCAACGCCAACACATACATAGCTGAAGCTCACTTCCACTGAGCATGATCGTCGTAGAGCACCAAGGCATGCTCCATCTTCCACGAAGACAAGTGTACAATACCCTGCATGTCCTGCTGGGATGTCTTCAGTGTCTTCAGCTCGGCTTTGGAGGAAGCTGGCCTGTGACCTTGATCTTCCCACTGACTTTCAAAGTCTTACACCGCAAGTGAGGCAAGAAGTCGGATCGTGCGCATATCATTCAGAACAGGATACTGGAACTGGTCCAACAGGGGTATATGGTCTGTTCATTAGTTGCAATAGCTTCTTGCTCGTGACAAACGGATTTATAAATCCTGCAGAACCACACTCAGGGTCAGGTCGCCCTGCCCTTGTCCTTATTGTCCGCATCCATATCGATCAAGAATCGCTCCCATGTCGAAATGACACTCTGGTAGAAATCAATGTGCTGTACCGCCAATGCTCCCAGACTGTCCCTAAACTCCAGGCCCTTTATCCGTTCAAAGTCCGCAACTTCGCGAACAACCTGCTCATCGAACATTTCGCTTGTCCCCTTGGCGCTGTCGACTTCACGATTCAGCTCAGCAATCCTCAGCTCCAGTTTCCGCGCTCGTTCTCTCCGTGCTGTATCGTGGTCGACACCTCTCATGTCCTCAACTTTGTTCCGGATAAATGTGGCGGGGTTTAGATTGGAGCCGTGAGAGTAGGGGTTGTTTGACGCGAGAGAATCGCGCTCGGCCGTGGCTTTTTGCAGGTATTCCGTAAGCCCCTCGAAATCGAGTTGCTTCTGTTCTCGGGTTTTCAAGAGGCCCTTTACCGAGTTGATGTAGGCTTCCATGTCCCGTAGACTGCCGAGGTAGTTTTGATCTGTATGATCTTTCACCCCTTTCCATCCCCTGGACGTTTCTTCGATGCAGCCTGCAAAAGTCTGTAACTGGGCTTCGATGGTCGGCTCGAGAGGTGTAAGTTTCCGCATGTTCGAGGCTAGATCCGCGTAGTCGGTCTCCAGGTCCCCTTCCCGCCGAGCGACTCTGGCTATTATCTTTTCTACATGAGCGAGATCCTCGTCAAGTTTGTTCGCCCGCTCCGTGACTTCGATGAATCTCTTGTCGGGCTTGTGCACTTTGGAGAAGGCGTTGAGCATGGTGTCTGCGACGTTATCGAAGAACCCCGTTGGCGCCGCTGCGTTGGCCGCCGCTTCAATGGTGTTACTCCGTGAAGGTCTGTTTCGCATTTGAGCATTCCAGTCGGCGGTTTCGAGGAAGAGGATTAAGATGGGTGCTCTGCGTAGGACGGGATGCAGTGTGCACCGTTTGAGAAATCGGTGTAATGACCATGCTCTTCGCTGCGTAAACTCCGTGCTGAAACGGTCGCCGCGGACGTAGGCCATATTGTTCTTTTCGGGTAGAGGGGGAATTGCGCACGCCTGATAATCTCGGTGTAGGGCTTGCCGTAGGAATACGAAGTCTGTGAAGCGTCGCCGGACGGAGAACTCTGACTTCTGGAACGTCTTGAAGTCTGTCTGCAAGATACATCAATATAGACCTAGTAATGCCCCTCGGTAACAATGCTCACATGTGTAGTAACCAAATATGATACGTATGCATCTTTCGTGCCGTCGTTCTCTTTGAGAGGTTGGTCGACGGTCACTTCAAGTATTCCTTCTCGACCTATTCCTGCTAGATCGACGGCGTCCGCCTCTTCACCGGCCTGTGGCTCACTGGACATACTCTCGCTTCTTCGACCGGTTGCAGGTCTGTCAGGTAGGTTCGCTTGAAACGCAACAGATGACTCGGGAGGAGCATCTTCTCGTTGCCACGATACATTGTCAAAGTCGCCATGGTCGTCCATGGTGCCCCGGCCGTTGGACCGCAGGCAGCGGTTTTGACAGGGTTTCTCGTCGCAGGCAGTCGAGCAGTTGGCGCAATCTGGGTCAAGAGCACGAGTATACACCCGGATAGTGTAAGGTGGGAGCAGGATTGCTGGCGGTTTGATTATTGAACGTAGAGAACACGGCGAACACCTGGTCGAGCGCCGAAAGATGAGTGGTTGGGTAAACACTGTTGCAGCTCACCAGTGGACGCCCAACCAATGACGCAGGCTTGGCAAGGCTGAACGAACTAGAGTGACAAGGCTGAGATAAGAGGAAGGGCAATCAATTCAAGCGACTGATCTTGCCGGCTAGAACTCATGCATATGCATATACCGTTTTGTCTATGCACTTTCCACCACTTTAGAACTCGAATTCCCCTCTGAACTGATCTAGGTTCATGCCAGCACCTACCCGCTCAGTCAAGTCTCGTCTCCCCATACCCGTGAATGCTCGTCTCAAAGTGTCGTAAAGGTTCGTGCTTTCATTTTGTTGTATCATCCGTTCCAAATCGTCGTCACCAATGCCGGGACTGCCGTCGCCCATGAGTTCGCGGGCTTTGTCCATGCCCTGCTCCTCGACAACGCGGTGCAGGTTCAGTGCACCCAGCAGATGACCAGCTGCTTCGGGGTAACAACCAATGTTTATACAGGAAACTCCCAGATTATACCTGGCACGGACGAAGTTGGGGTTGACTTCCAGCGCCTTGCAGTATGCAGAGATGGCATCTTCAGATCGGCCGGAGTTCGCGAGTGTTGCGCCCAATCTGTTCCACAATAGATGGACCTGGCCCTCTCTGTTGGCAAGGCCAGTTTCTGTCGAGGCAAGAGCAGCTTTGAAACAGTCGACAGCCTTTTCGAAGTCCTCGTTGCCGTAGAACAGTACACCCAGGCCAACCTGGACATCAGGATCCATTTGCTCACCGGAGGGTGAGAGTTGAGCTGCCTTGATGAAGAGATCCGCCACCCGCTCATGTAAGACCGCACGATCTGTGAAACCGATCTCAGAAGCATCTGACAGATTATCGGGTGGATGTATTTGAGGATATTTGACGCTGAGCCATCGTTCTAATGTCCTGTATGCGGTGCTGTCGTAGCCTTCGTTGGTATAGGACACGGCTAGGCCCATTAGAGCATCCAAATTATTCGGGTCCAAGTGAAGTGCTCGTTCGAGAGCCCGTATGGCGGGTGCCTCCTTTTCATTCTGGGCTTGAGCGGAGCCTAATAATACCCAAGCCTCCACGTGGTTCGGGTCTTGTTGTACGGCAGCCTCGAATGCTAAGGCTGCGAGGGATAGATTGCCGTGCGTTTCTAAGATTTCTTGACCTTGCTCAAACGCCGTCTTTGTAACTTGAGAGTTCTCAAGGTATGGGTTTTGTTGTTCGAACATATAATCGCCCAACATTGGCTCTCGCTCGAAGGGATTGTGAGTGTTCATGCCCATAGTTGAGTCAAAATTGTCCCAGGCAGCGAAGTCTTCGCTTGAAAATGCATTGTCGAAATCAGCAGCGTCTTCGGTCATTTGTCTAGATGAGTGTTCAGCATGAATTCCGTGCGAAATATTTCCGACATCCTCGAAATTGTCCACAGGGGCTTCCACTGACCTGTCAATCTGCTCAAGTTCCTTCTCTATTGCCTGGTTCGCCTGTTCTGACATATTATCTTGTTGTGTTTCGAGTTCTTTGAACTGTGCTTCCCAGTTTGCATCGTCGAGTTCGACCATCCTGCCCTTTCCCTTGTCTGTTGTTTGTTCTGGTTGTTGTTGCATATATTGAGACCCACCATACGATTGGTTCATTCCCATATTCATTCCACTCATATAACCCATTCCCATCGGTCTCTGGTAGGAGTTCATCATAGAGGGTGTTTGTGTGACGGGGCTGGCGATTCGTTGCGGAGTGGACTGTTGGAATCGTGCGAACTCTTGCGGCGAGAAAGTGCCTGGTCTCTGTCCGGCCATTTTGGAGCTGGCAAAAGCGGCTTCCATTCTTGCTTGTTCCCCAGGATCGAATTCGGCTGACCAACCGGGCGAAGGTGACCGTCGGGTCATGCTCTGAAGGTTAGGTAGATCTTGTCGGAGTTGTTCCATGGCAAAGGGTTGTGGCAATTGGTTGGACTGGTGCATGAAATCATTCATCATCTAGTCCAGGTTAGTCCAGCGGCTGCGCGACAGAAACGGCGAGCATACCTGGTCGGATCCATTGGGAGCCATGCGAGAGCGCATACCCTCTTCGATCCCACCAGGACCGCGCCCAACGAGGCGATCCCGCTGCAGAGTATTGTCACTTTGAACATGTTTGGTGAACTGCGTGAGCGGATTGCCGGCAGTCGAACACTCAGCGCCCCCCAGGAAAGACATGGCAAAAGCGAAAGGCGATCGTAAGAATAGTGAAACAAATGTTCTTGAAATGGACGTCGTCTACACGCATAGATCGACCAACGTCAAAACCATAAAGGCTTGATGGAATAAGGTAAGTCAGCAACGATTCATCGGGTATTTACAGTACCGAGGCAAGTCCAAAATCCAAGGCCATTTATGCCGCCACCTGCCCGCCCGCATGGAGTCGAGTTGCAGGCCCGGAGAGAAGAAGGAACTGTTCCGGAAGGGAGTGCACGTGATTCCCCCCGATTTTATCTTCCACCACGAAGCGGACCGTGGCCGACTTCTGTCCTTGTTTCCTATGCCTCAATTTATGTTAGAGACCACAAATACGGCATCCTTACCCGAGATACCCCTGGAGACCTCATCTCATGTTATCACTCGTCGTTTTTGCTGACAACATAAAGTCTTGACCCCTGACCACACCTTTGATGCAGAAACTCTCTCCAGCTCAAGGTTTTAGGGCTTACCACCCATCATGTCATCCTTGACCTTTTACGACCACGATACCGATCTGCATGCCCAATATGCAACATGGTGAAGCACTCATTACCACATTCCTCGAATACATGTTCCCGTGTGGAGACGTCAAGCGACGACCCGGCCACAATGAGGACCAGGTAAGAGAAGCTCGTATGTTAGCCCTTCGAGGCAATGATCATAGGTTTGTTCATACTTGGACAGGTATAGCGAGTCGGGATAATACCACATAGGCGCAGAGCACCAATACTAGGGCTAATACCAACTATGTTATTGGTGCTCCAAATCCGCCAGAACATATTTCTGAACGTTGCCTCGTATGGGGAGGCTGCCATTTGCGGTGGATCGGTTAAGGCCTTTATCCACGCGTCTCAAGAATGCTACGCTCAATGCTACTCGCCGCTGATGTATCACCTAATCCGACCGGGATGCAGCCTCTAGCTCAAGCGGCTGACTGTTAAGGCTTCCTCATTATATGTTGCCTCGCTCGGCCTCTGCCATTGTTGTGAGCTCAACGATCTGTTTCGTTTGTGAGGGAACCTGACCCCTCTTCAATATAGCCCTTTATGTCTTTTGCTGAACCTCAAATCACGACTATGCTTGGTTTGTTCGTTGTTGCTGTTGGCTTCTTCTTCTTCTTTGCACTGTTGTCGAGGACATGGGACCTAAGACACATTCCGGGCCCACTGGGAGCCAGACTTACCAACTTCTGGCTCTTCGGGAAGTACTGGAAAGGCGAGGTGTTCAGCGACATTGCTCTTGACCTTCAACGGAAATACGGGCCAGTCGTGAGATATGGGCCTCGACGGGTTCTATTCAGCGACCTATCCGCGGTTGGTGTCATATTCAACACCAAGAACTCGTTTGTAAAGGTAAGTCGTCGCACCCTCCCACAGTCGCACTTCCAGCTCTGACACGACTCCCACGCAGGCCGAGTCATACGGAGTCATAGACCAGATTGTCAACGGCAAACTCGTCAGTTCCTTTGCAACGACACGCGATGAAGCCCGAGTCTCTAGCATGAAGAAGCAACTCAATTCGGCGTTCACCACAGCCGCCATGCTCGACTACGAACCGCACGTCGATCACAACATCAACTTCCTCATTTCCAAATTGCAAAGCTCAGACTCAGAAGTAGTGGACATGGCAAGGTGGACCATTTTCTTCGCCTTCGACACCATCTGCCGCATCGCCTTCAGCGACGACCAAGGCTTCATGGAGAAACAAAGCGACCTCGGCGACACTCTCGAAGGCGCCCGCGGTCGCTTCGCCTATTGGCATTGGTGGGGCCCTGTCTACAAACTCGAACGCCTCCTCTTCAAGAACCGCTTCGCGACTAGAGCGTCCAAGACGTCTCTCCTCGGCAAACTCGCGACAGAGAGGCTCCAAGCACGTCTCGAAAAAGGGGGCCTAGGCACACACTCAGACCTGCTAGACCGGTATCTACAAGCCGGCCAACGCGACCCCACGACATTCACCACATCCACGATCATCGGCGTCGTGATCTCGACCATCCATGCCGGCGCCGAAACAACCTCCGCCACCCTCAACGTCACACTCTACCGTCTCCTCCAAAACCCACGCGTGCTCGCGAAGTTGCGCGCTGAACTCGATGCCGCGGATCTCTCCTCTCCACCGTCATGGCAACAAGTGTCAAAACTGCCCTACCTGGAAGCCTGCTTCAAAGAGGCCGCCCGCATGCACCCTATCATCCTTGACCCGACTGAGCGCGAAGTCCCGGCCGCTGGCGCTGAGATCGCAGGTGTCTGGGTACCAGGTGGAACGGTCGTCGCAGTCAACCATCATGCCCTCAACCGCGACCCATCGGTTTGGGGTGACGATGTCTCCGTTTACCGGCCAGAGCGCTGGATGGAGGCTGACGATACCCAGCGCCAGAAGATGCAACGCGCTGATTTGTTATTTAGTGCCGGCAAGCGCAGCTGCTTAGGCCAGCACGTTGCATGGATAGAGATGAAGAAGTTCCTGCCGGAATTGTTGAATAAGTTCGATGTAAGTCGCACACATCACTGAAGGCCCAAGCAGGCTGATACTGATAATTCCCTCATAGATTGAACTTGTCGACCCAAAGAGGCCAATAACCTGCAAGATTCCAATGGTATTCTTCGTTGATGACCTTCCTGTTCGTTTGGCGCCCAGAAAGAACGAGTAGATGGAGACTCAAGAGTCGCCAGGTGCTAATTCAGGTGCAAATCCCAAATGTAGGCGTTTTGAAGAAGTGAGATTTTTATATACATCGGTTGATATCCTACAGACATCCATCTGCAAGTGCCCTGAGCGCTAACCACATCCTTTTGTTCCTCTTCGCCTTGAACAGTCGTTCCTGTGCATCCAAAATTTAAATGATACACTGCTCTGGGGCCATACATGGGCCCGTCGATTACAACCAAGTGCTCTTGTAATACAGCTCCAAACCTGTCCGGAGAATGCGCACACATCTTGCTCACCGTGCTACTCATACAACCCCATCACCTCCACCATCTGCATTCGGCAAGGCTCTCTATAGTGTACAGGAAGACTTTCGACCGAGGGAGCGAGGCGGCTGACAATGCGGGAGCAATATTCGAGCGGCCGCATGGAGACTCGAGTGTTGTAGACGTCGTCTGGCCCTGCAAGTCGACCATATCGAGTGGTTGAAATAGCGTTCGTAAGACCGCGTCTTCTCCAAGCGACGACATATTCGGCGCGACGGATTCACCCAAATAGTCACTCTCTCTCTCTCTATTTCTCCACCTGCGCGCTTACTGTTCCGGAGGAGCCTGGTCATCCTGGTCGGCCTGGTTGTTACGTGGCGCCCTGTTGCTCGAGCTGTACGAGTAGTCGATTCTGAGTTTCCGTCCGTAAATCTCCTTCTCTTGCAGCGACTTCATCGCATCCATAGCGCTTTTGACATCAGTGAAGTCGGCGTGCGCAAAGCCTCTGGGTTGACCAGTCCGTCTATCAATGGCGACTCGGACGTCAATGACATTTCTGATACCACGGAAAAGATTGCTAAGGTCGCGATCGGTCATCTCGAATGACATATTGCCAATAAACAGTGTCTTGGAAGGAGGATTTCTTGGTTCACTGGTACCCCGTCGAAGGTTGTTGGCGTCAATTGAGGTTGATGGGCGGGCAGCGTACTGCACTGTGACACGACGGCCTTCGAACAGCTGCATGTTGAGTCGTTTCAAGGCTTCATCAGCTGCTTCCTGTGTCGAAAAGTCGAGGTAGGCGAAACTAAGTAATGTTAGCAGACGGACTCAAGTAATTGCGCCCGAGGACTTACCCTTTACTCAAGCCACGGGAGTCGCGGACAATCTTGCACTTGGTGACTGTACCGAAACGAGCAAACTCTTTGACAACGTCGGTCTCGGTCACATCGAAGAATAGGTTTCCAATGTAGAGGGTCTTCTTTGGCTCAGGTTCTGACCGTTCTTCACGGTTTTCACGGTAAGCGGGAGCTCTTGACGAATTTGCAGAGTAACGTTCGTTGGTCTCCGCGGCCGGCAGTTCCTCATCAGTGGCTTCGGTCAGATTCGCAGGCTCTGCAGCACCTGGAGCGGCACGACTTGAGCTCCTTCCACCCGTGGCAGTGAATCGTTCGTTGGTCTCAGCAGCAGGTAATACCTCATCTGTAGCTTCTGTGGCGTTTGCGGTTTCCGCAGCCGCGGGAGGGTCAGCGATTGTAGCACCTTGGTCCTGGGCAGTCCAAGATTCGTTTGTTTCGGCGGCGGGCAATGTCTCGTCCGTAGCTTCTGTTGCATTGGCTGTTTCTGCTGCAGCAGGAGCCGGGGGTAGCTTTTCGCTTTCTGTGGTTGCCCATCTTCGTTGAGATTGTATCGCAGAGGTTCTTTGACTAATTCTTATCGAAGGCGAGCTAAAGGAGGTGTATGTTCGAGAAGAGAGGAACGAGGCATGGCGGGTAGTGAGGAGGCGCGATGCGCTTCGGCGAAGTGCAAACCTGGATGTATTGTCAGTAAAAGATCGTCGGCGTTTCTTGCTTGAGCAGACAACTCACATATTGGACACTGGCTCCGAGGAAGTCTATCAACAGAAAGGGGTGTAGGAATATGCTGGGAAAGGAAATTCTCAATGGATTAATGGCACGAGAGTCTGGCAGCAGCGATGGACGATACGGAAAAAAAGTTCTAGGGACGATGTCCGCAGACATACTGCACTAGGTCCAACAAAGACTAGTGCCTTGGCTGGGGCAGGCCAGCCTCGTGCTCCATTTCAGCCAGTCAGAGTGACCCCTTGAATGAGCGTCGAGTCTCCTCACTGCTCAGTAGACATATCGAAAGTACTTGTTCTCCTTGTCCGTCAAATCGTCAAACGCGACCCGCTCCGCCTCCTTCTCTTCGAATTCCAGTCTGTTCCTTCTTTGATTCTCACTCCTCAGCATGAAGTAGAGGACAATCGCCAGCACAATCACAAGCGCATAGCAACCGATGATCCCCTCCCACAGTCTAGGGTAATGCTGCCCGACAGTCTCGCTCACAATGAAGAATGGACTCGCAATATTGCCCACTGTATAGAACACAAAGATTGCAGCCGCCTGAAAGCTTCTCTTCGTGTTACCGGCCACGTTGGCCATGCCCATCGACACGATCAAGCTTGTCACAGGGGCGAAGAAGCCAATGATGGTATACCCGGCGATTGGAGTAGCGGCATGCTCATACCAGCTGCTCTTCCAGATCATCGCACAACCAGCGATGACGGGCAAACAGCAGGCAATAAGCATGATCAGTCGTATGTTGGGCACCTTGAGACTGAGATAGCCGACAAGTAGGATGCCGAGAAAGCAGACCCCTCCGAGAGGCATTTGCCAGAGCAACGAGTCGTATGCTGACCAACCGAACGTTGAGACAATGAGCGGTCCGAAGCCAGAGATTGCTCCGTTGACTGTGTAGGCTGCGCCCATCATAAATGCGATGATGTACACCTTCACGTCGATAAGTGCTTCTTTGAACTGAGACCACTTGATCTTCTGGCATCGAACGCCCAACTGACTCATGCGCAGCCTTTCGATCGCGACACGTTTCTCCTCGTCGGTGAACCACCACGCCTGCGCAGGAGAGTTGGGGAAGAAAAAGAAAACCACCCCATACAGGACTGTGACACCTCCAGCCAAGAGGTACAGATACTGCCATTTCTTGAGAGCGCCTCCGGTGATGTGTGCGAAGCCGTAGTTGATGATCGCTCCGAGCACTGTCCAGCCGCCGGTCGCAGAATACCATAGGCATTGGCGCCATGTCTGTTCAGCCTGGGTGTAGTAACCGGAAATGATAACCAGGAAAGCAGTTGGTATGATGCTCTCTGCGACGCCCAAGCAGAACCTCTGCGCCCAAAGTCCCTTGTATGTCGTGACCCCGGCCGTCGACATGGCGATGATACCCCAGGCTACAACGGCAACCCCAACAGTGCGACCAAGGTGGAACCGCTGAAAGAGATAGGTCAATGGCCCGACTCCAGCCAACATACCGAAATAGAACAAAGAGGTAGCCCGACTCAATCGGGTTGTTGAAACCTTTACTGGTGTCGAGGTAGGATCCGTCACGACCTTCAACTTGAGATCTGTGCTCATGCCGAAGACAGTTGCACCACCGAGGATCGCCTTCACAACAAGTTCGTCAGCATAATCAACATCCCGTCCGGATCAAAATTGACGTCTCGAGCCTTTGTCTCCGCTTGTAGATGGTATCAACCCATCGATGGTGGCAGGATTGTGCAAGGACAACTTACTTTGTCATAGTAAACGAGGCCATACCCTATCCACATCAAGGGTATGATCATGAAATCAATCTTGCAAACCACTCGCCTCTCAGTTTCTTTGTCCCATGGCTGAGCATACTCTGGGACAACCGATGCACCGATGTCCTTCTCACCTGTCATGAGGTCAGTGCCTCGAAGTCTAGTCCTGGAGGGTCACTGCATACCAAGTTTCCCCATGATCACTTCAACAAACACTGAGACTCCGGAATATTCTTCCGCGCAAATTTGTGAAGCGTAGCAGTGCAATGCTGCACGCCAACGGCGGAAATACCTCAATCGATACTGCGGTCTGGAATGGCAAGCGAAGTAGGTCCAGCAATTGTCTGCTCAAGACAAGCGCCGAATTTTCAACAACGGCCCGTGCAAAGATAGAGACAGAACGAGAGACCCCATCCTGACTCAGAATAGTATAGGTGATGTCAAGTCGTTTCTAGGTCATGGACAGCCTTTTGCCACGGCCGAAAAGGTGGAGTAACGTGAGTAACGGAAACCACATCGCGCCATCCTCCATATCAGGCTGATTAAGGGATCCTTGTCACCGGGTATCCTCGGAGCCTCGTGCTGGCATACCAGTATCCCTGTACCGCCAGACCAAACGTTAGTTATGCTGAATAACCTTTGTGTGCATTTTTGGGCATTCATGTATCATAGGCATTGCTATACTGGTAGAATGTATCGTGAGATGTACGGTGCCAGTTGTCCTTATGCAAACGCAGCTCCATCTGCCAAAAGGCAATTGTGGCACAAGCTTCTCGCTCTTTCTGATAGCCCACGCAAGGGGGCTACGAATGTTCAGTCAGGTGTAAGCCGTTGTGGAAGAGGTGTACAATCGTTGGCGACGTCAAAATAGTCCCGTAGTCAAGGAGAGAAGGCTCGAGATAAGGACTGGCATTCTCGCCGGAAGAGCTGATACTGCGATCGGTTATTGCAGAACGTTGGGGTCTTATGGTCGGATAAAGGAGGATACATTCTTCCTCTCCTTGAATAAATTTCCTAGGATATTTATGCTCCGTGGGAGTTTGATATTTTGGCAGCGGATTGTAGGTTGGCGCAGGGCTTAGTGTGCTTTTGGCACCGTCCAAGCATGGCCTTGAGCTATCGGAGAACTTTCACACGGATCCGGTGGGCGACTCACTTCGTACCAGTGGCCCTCGCAGCAAGTTGATATTTTGGTAGAAGCATCAGTACCTCGTCAGCCACTCGTCGGCTGAGAGGTCAAGATTATTGACCCTTTCCTGACAATTCGAACATCCAAGTGCATATACCGACAGACACCCAGCGCGGAGTTCTGGGCAGATGAGCCGCCATAAGCTTTGTATAAAATCTCAAAACATTTTCCGGAACCGGGCAAGACCATGGGCTCGAGGCCCTGCGGGCAGCACATGCCCAAGTTGATCGAGGCTCTGTCCGTTCGACCTTATCGAGACGTACCTATTCGGCTATGCCCATTAAACCAATGGCTGAGCTTTGAGAGGTCGTGTCTGGTCAGCATAGACAGTCGTTCGATAGTCGTTGGATGCACGTCAAGACGTCACGTTGGTCGAAGAGTCGGTAGGAAATTCGAACTTCTGAACGCGTCTAGGCTTCAAGCTCCGGTAGGGTTCATCTGACCGTCCGGCTGGCTGACACAACAACAGCGTGGCTGAACTGAAGAAGTAGTACCAAGCCCCTAGGCTCTCTTCCGCTTCCCAGACTGTCCGTGCCAAGTCTAATATAAGTAGATATACTTCTCGTGGGCCGTGGTCAGGGCGCGGTTTGAAGGTCTGGCCGGGCAAAGAAAGGTCATGGAAGGAGGGAACCCTAGGACCCCTTATGGTTGACTGTAAGCTAGCTGGTTCTCGCTTTAAGCTTAATTCAGCGCCTAACTGCTCCTGACTGAGTGCCCGATTACGCCTTCCTGCTTCGGTTTGGCAACTCCCCAAATTAGCCAACACCTGCCAAACCTTAGCCAAGTCAGCGTCCCGCGTGCAAATTGACTTCACAACATACAATACCTTCTACTTCAGTTTCCGCTGATAAGATCAACTTTGTGGATTCCTCGAGAGCGTTAAAAGATGCCGCGCTCATCTTCAGCTGAGGCGCGGACGCCACGAGACTTGACCTCGACCGAGGTTGGCTCCTGCCGAGCCTGGGAAGAGTATCTTATTGCACTTACGATACTAAACCTCTATCACACCTCGACATATATCTTACGGCAACTGACAGCCTGCGTTCACGTCTGGAGGTCGTCGCCTGGTCGGCTGGCGTTTTTGTCTGCCACGTCCTTCATCCTTGTCAGCCATCAACATCATTCCGGCACGCGGTAACCAGGACTATCATCAGTATCCACGTGGGGTTTGAGAATCGACCCTGAATCAATCCCGAACCTGAATCAATCCTAGACCTGAATCAACCGTGGACCTTAATCAATCATGAACCTGTGTCAATCCTGGACCTGAATCAATCATGAACCTGTACCTGTACCTGAATCTGAACCGATCCTGACTTACCTCGACGCTACATTAGGACCCTTGCCCTGTTTTTCTGGTGGCTCACACCAGCAGTCTCGCGCGACTTGCATTCTTTCCATTTGTCTACGGCTCTACACACCCAACACAATTCAGAACTCGTTGTCCTACTCTGCTGGCTCTCAGCGCCCTACAATATTCTCCATGGAGATGACCTGATCATATCCCACCTATCGCAGACTGATATCACAACGCTTACGATCGGATACTCGAGGGTAGGTGGCTTGAAGGATGCTCCAGCTGAGCATAGCTCAACACAGTTCCCGCTCTACAAAATCCGTGGCTTTTTCCCCGCTGTGACGAACGGCATCGGAGCATAGATTGCTGCTGCTTCCCTCCCTAGCACAAGGTCGTCCTGCAGGCAGGACAATGAAAGGTTCATGGCTCGCCTTGCGGGAAAAAGCGTCTTCTAGCTCAATTGCGCTTCAATCAAATACGCCAAAACGAGACTCAGCCATAGACAGCAATCAGCCCCATAGCATCCAGGGACACACGGACAAGGCGCAAGACCTACGATGGTCTCTTTCTCCATCGAACATTTATTTGCGAGATCTGACGGTTGCTGTACACTGGAGAGAGCCGGCTGAGCAGAGGACGGGTATACTTTCTCTTCTGCCACAGCAGCTCGCGCGCAGACAACTTGCTACCAAAACCATCCTCGATGGTGTATCCGCAGACATTGTTGCTGGGAGTCTTACAGCTATAGTTGGGGGCTCCGGCAGTGGCAAGACAACCCTGCTTGACACTATTTCACAACGGGTCAAAACAAGTCGAATCGATGTTTCGGGCTCTGTGTACTACAACACATCACTTCTGAGCTTCCATAAGGGTACCAAAGCTCACATCAATGTGCCGTACGCCTTACAAGATGATGTACTCTTGCCACAGCTGACAGTTCGCGAGACCCTCACGTACGCTGCCGCTTTGAGGCTGCCATCTTCGGTGACACATAAAGAAAGATCTCAGCGAGTCAACCATATCCTTGAAGATCTCGGCCTTGCACAGTGTGCCGACACAAGGATTGGGGACAGTTTGCACAAAGGTTGTAGCGGTGGTGAAAGACGACGAACTACAATTGCCATACAATTGCTTACGGACTCCTCGGTTCTGTTCCTGGACGAGCCTACAACAGGCTTGGATGCTGCTGCTGCTTTCCAGCTTGTGAAGGTGCTAAGGCGTCTGGCCCATACGGGCAGGACCATCGTTATGACCAGTAAGTCTATCCAGAGCTTTGGGGAGCCGAGACTCCGCTGACACAACCTTGGTAGTACATCAACCTCGCTCGGAGATGTGGGAGTTGATAGACAATCTAATTGTAATGAGTCAGGGAAAAACTGCCTACTCAGGTTCTAAAGATGCATGCCTCGGACATTTCGAACAGGCTGGCCACGAGATTCCTTTGTTTGTCAATCCCTTCGAGTTTGTCATGGACATAACTGCAATCGACAACCGAACACGTCAACTTGAGTCCAAGTCGAGAGCACGTACTGATGCTTTGACGCGTCTGTGGAAGCAAAAAGCTGCGCAGTTGTACGCTACCCAGCCCAAAGAGAATCCCGACCAACCTTCGTGGGATACAACGGCTCTCTTCGAACAGTCGAATCACCATGTTTCGGTCATGCAACGGACAAGGGTCCTTACTCTCCGCACATGGAAAGTGACCTGTCGCGACCGACTAGGCGTCTTCGCCAGCATCATTGAGGCCATAACCATGGGAGTCGTCACGGGCTGGATTTTCTACGACGTCGGAAGCGATCTTTCGGGGATTCGTTCTAGAGAAGGAGCCATGTGGTCAGCTGTCGGCCTTCAGGGTTACCTGGTGCTGATCTTTGAGACATATCGACTCACGAACGACATCAAGGTATTTGACCGAGAACGGCGAGAAGGTGTGTCTTCCGCACTTGCATTTGTGGCCAGTAGACGAATGGCTCGCGCGCTACTAGAGGATATTCCGGTTCCCTTGATATACTCAACACTCCTGTACTTTATGGCAGGCTTCCGCCACGACGCAGTTCAATTCTCGGTCTTCTTTGCGCTTGTCGTGATGCTGCACTACGCCGCAGTCAACGTGGCCACGATATGTGTCGCGTTGAGCCGCAATTTCCAGATATCCTCGCTGATCGCGAACACGATCTATACCGCCCAGTCGATGGCTTGCGGCTTTTTCATCAACACCTTGGAAATCGCTATCTGGTTGCGGTGGACTAAGTGGATATCTTACTTGGTATTTTCCCCTGCAAGGCTGGAAGTCCTACTTGATAGCTAACGAACTCAAAGTTTTATGCATTCGGTGCCTTGTGCGTCAACGAGTTTGCTGGCCATGTCTACGACTGCCCAAGCTCTCTCGGTACTCTGAACTCTGCTGCTTGCAAGGAATACGATGGCGACTTCATTTTGCAGTCGCTGAATATACCTCATACCTGGCTGAGGAGAAAGCTGCTTTGGAGCCCTATCCTGGCTACATCGGCTTTTACAGTGCTGTTCTTGTTCATAGCCATCCTCGTCCTCCACTTCAACCACAACGAAGTTCAGGTTTCTCGACAGGTCGGCACCGACAATGATTACCTGGCGGAAAATGTCCGGCTTCGTGACGAGCAGGCGAAGCGAATGACCACCGTGACATTACAGCAGATATCCCTGGGCTTTGAGCAAAAACGGATCTTGCGGAAGAACAATTATCGGCCGGTCGTGTCAAATGTGTCGGCGGTTTTCCAACCGGGCGCTTGAACGTCATTCTCGGTCCTTCTGGAAGTGGGAAGACGAGCCTGCTGAACTGTATGGCCCGAAGAGTGCACGATACTGCAACCACGAAATGGCACCAAACTGGAGAGATGCTCTTCAATGGTGCCAGCGTGTCGGGTGCCGTGCTCCGATCTGCTTCCTCCTACGTTGTCCAAGACGACGAGGGATTGCTCGCTTTCCTGACCGTTCGCGAAACACTACATTATGCCGCGCTTATGCGACTCCCGAAGTGGATGTCCGCAACACAGCAAATTGACCGTGCCGAATCGCTCATAGCAAACCTCGGTCTGAAGCAGTGCGCCGATACGATGGTCGGTAACGAACTGTGTCGAGGTATCAGCGGCGGCGAGAGGAGAAGGCTGTCTATAGCAATTCAAATCCTTGCCGATCCTCTTGTCCTGTTTCTGGATGAGCCGACTTCCGGACTAGACACGGTCACCGCAGCCTCCACAATTGACGTACTTCAAGGCCTCGCCAGCGAAGGCCGCACTATTATTTTCACCATTCATCAGCCTCGGTCGGAATGGCTGAAACGTTTCGAAACGGTTCTTTTGCTTGGGAAAGGAGGAGAGGTTGCCTATACAGGACCGACGTCGTCCATGCTCGACCACTTCCAGCGATTGGGTCACGAGTGTCCTCAACATCAGAATCCGGCTGATTTCGTCCTTGACCTAGTCAGTCAGCAATATCCTCGCTTCAACATCCAAGCCTCGGAGTCGATTACTCAGTCAGGCGCAATGGCTGACAGTCAGACCACTCTCTGCGCACCTGCTTCACCGACAAAACTTCCAACCCTGCTGTTGACGCAGATAGAGCTGGCTGATTTCCGCCCTGACCTATATTCTCGCTTTAGCATCCAAGCCTCGGAGACATCCAGTCGGCCAGCCTCGATGGCCGATGGTCAGACGGCCCCCTGCGCATATGTTTCCCCGACAAAAACTCCAATTTGTCTGTTGACGCAGATAGAGCCAGCTGACCTTGTCCCTGACCTAGTCAGTCAGCAATGTTCTCCATCCACTCAGCCGGTTTGCATGGCTGACAGTCAGACCACTCTATGCGCACCTGCTACCCCGACGAAGACTCCAACCCGTCTGTTGATGCAGATAGACCCAGACGGTCAGACCCCCCCGAGCACACCTGCTTCACCGAGAAAAGCTCCAACCCGGCTGCTGGCGCGGATAGAGCCAGACAGTCAAACCACTCTCTGCGCACCTGCTTCACCAGCAAAGACTCCAACCCCATTGTTGACGCAGCTAGAGCCTCACCAGCCCCCGATCTTGACGCCAGCACATCTTGGCACGTATGCCCGTGAGCCGCTCGGATTCGCCCGTGCACTCTCTCTGCTTCTACGCCGGGAGCTCACCAACATCACCCGCCAGCCGGTTCTGGCCATGGGCCGAGTCTCACTCGTAAGTATACTTCATGGTGAAAGACTGTACCATTGAAGCACGAGTCTTTTGCTTTATCCAAGTGTTCAACGACACAACTTTCTGACGATATATAGTTCGTCGGCGTCGCCCTCATCCTCATCTGCTACGCCACCCCACTCAAACACGACTACTATTCCGTACAATCACGCATGGGTTGCGTCCAACAAATCACAGCGCTATACTTCGTCGGCATGTTGAACGCCATCGCGCTGTACCCTGCACAACGTGAACTATTCTACCGCGAAGACGAGGACGACCTGTACTCTCTCGAAGCGTTCTTCGTCTCGTATTCGATCCTCGAGATCCCCATAGAGATCTTGTCGGCCTTGCTTTTCGGCGTCGTCACCGTGCTCGGCGTCGGCTTTCCACGAACGCCGTCTTTGGTGTTTATCTTCGCGTTCAACGCCTTTTGCGTGGTCAACTGTGGGGAGAGTCTCGCCATCCTCCTCCTGACGTTCATATCGCATGCCGGCATGGCAGTGTCTCTATGCTGCATCTTGATTTCCATCAGCGTGCATCTTACGGGCATCATCGCCATAACGATCCCCGGATTTCTAGGTGCGCTGAACTACGTCTCGCCGCTCAAATGGTTGATCGGGAATATCACGCCTTACAGCCTCCGCGGAGTCACGTTCACTTGTACTCAGGCGCAGCGATTGCCGAATGGGCGATGTCCGATCGAGACTGGACAGCAGGTTCTGAAACTGTACCAGCAAGAACACAATGCGCCCATGTATCTGGCTATTTTGGCTGGTGTCACTGTGGGCTACAGGCTGTTGGCTTACATGGTGCTGAAAGCGCGGCGGACACGTTGGCGCGAATTGATGCACAATCTGAGGATGACTTCTGCATAAAGGACATTCTCGGCCTTGTAACGATAAGACGTCGTGAGAACTAGGTATACTCTGTATGGAGGTTGCAATGAAATTAATGACATCTAGTTCTTCTCGGTAGTAGGCCGCCAGTTCACTTATTGAGTCTTTGACGATGGAGCACATGCCCTATCTGATCCCTCGTGGGATCAACAGTGATCTGTCAAAACTTATCAAAATCAGTAGATGCCATCAAGCCAAGCATGCGGCCTTGAAATTTCCTTCCAACCTCCTGCCATTTGACCTGAATCCCTGCGACTAGAATAGTCCATGGCATTCCCATTCCCAAACCTTCATCGGCATGTACTTCGGGGATCGATACTCGGGTACCCAAGTCAGCGGCCCAGGATACAAGCTCAGCAATCATGGGGCCAAAGTCCGTGACAAGCCGTTCTTCAGCTGTCGAACCAGCTTCCACATTCAGGTCAAGGATGGTGAGAAGTAGGTGTAGTATTGCAGGAAGAACGATTGGATCATGCGCGACGGAAGGACTGGTATGTACCGCCGTCAGTAGAAGAAGGGTTTCGCGTGTGACAGTGGGGAGTTGCATAGCATTTGGACCGAGCGTGGAGACAATGACAATGAGAGTCTGCAAACTAAGCCTCAGCAGCGAAGGATGCACCAGCGTCGAATGTGTAAGGTGTGGTGATGTAGGTAGTGCAGATATCAGCAAAATAAGTCGCGAACAGATCGGCAGGTATATTGACTCGGCAAGCACCTTGTGCAGGTCTTTGGGGATGCGTTTCGAGCGGGCTTCGACTTTGGCGGATTCTTTGGCAGCTACGGCCATACGCGATGAGAATGTTCGCACCTTCAAGATGTCCGGTCCAGTAAGTTCATCAGCAGCCGAGAGGGCCAGGGGCCGAAGGGTTTGGTGCGAAAGCTTGGTCGAAAGAGTGTTGATCAGGAAATCGCCCGTGGAGTAATTCGACTCGAGGCGAGGAGGGAGGCGCTTCGACGGAAACGCCGATTCGACCGCCGCGGGAGGAATAGCGGTGTTAAGCTCATCGTCAATGCCCGCAATCTCTCTTGAGCCCAAGCCAACGACTGTCAGTAGGAGTGCACGCTGAGAGAGGGAGAAGTCGCCCTCGAAGTATGTGCTGGCAGCCCAAGGACCCATGACACTGGGTCTTGACACTAGACATGCGATCAACGCGTCGACGCGCAATTGGTGCATGTCTTGCTTCGACATGCCGTCCTGGAGGTTGAGTAGAGACGAAGCCAATGGTAGGAGATTGGAGGACAGCTCATCACCGAAGTTCGCCTTTCTGCGTATCAACGCTGGTGCTGTCTTCAATGCCAGTTCCACGACGTCCGGATCATCAGTAGTGTTGAGCTGCTTGACCAAGGAAGTGATATAGACAGGCGCGGCTGGCTTGTTTCTGTTGATGAGCGTGGGATCCTCCTCCGAGTCGGATGGGTCGCTATCCGGGCGAGCATATGGACGGAGACTGGGATCATCTTCGTCTTCAGAGGCTGAGTCGTCCGAATCAGGAAGCTCCTCAATGGCGATGATCTTCGCACCTGTGGGTTGTGAATCTGGAGGTATTCGCCGCTGACGAGGTGACTTTGTGAGAGTACGGGCGGGTTTGTGTGCGCTCGGCCTCTCTTTCCGCAGATCGCTCGAATCACCAACGTGGTCTTGCAGAGTGGGGAGATCTAGCCATCGTTCAGCCTCTTCTCCTTCCATTTCCTCTACTCCGAAATTCATGATTTGGCCGGGCTTGTCCACCATCCTTGACAATGCAACTGCCACTAGCATGCCTAGGAATCGAGCGCGAGGTACAGATGCGGACAGGCGGTTGGAAACTACCCCGAGAAAGAGACCGGAGCTTGATGTTTGCTTGACAGCTTCACGGTTGCATCTTTCCAGATGGCCGAGAGCAAGAAGAATGGATTGAGCAATTGCTATGTCAAAGTAAGCACAGGTTCTGCGAAAGCATGACTAGCAAGAAGAAAAGGTCTTCTGCACAAGCACTGGGTATACTAACATTCTTGTTGCAGAATGGGGTCGTGCTGAATCCGTAACTTGTCACCAAACTTCTCTAAAGATTTCCCAAGAATAGTCTGCAGCTGGTCTGGCATCGGGTTAGTTCATTGTGCTAGAGAGTGGAATATGAGCATACCTTGGTCTTGAGAAACTGTTGCCATGACTGCTCTTCGAGTGTCCAGTCCTAGCCCAGCATACTCCCCGTCCGTCGCCGTTAACCAACGGGTGAGGTGTGCTCGCAAAACTGTGTTACTTTGCACCAGGCCACTGATCATAGCTGCAACACCTCCAACTGTAGATGTGTTCGCCAAGAGTACTTCCTTTTCCTGCACGTCCACATGAATCCGCAAGTATCTTCGAGCCAGATCGCGGAGAATGGCATCGAAAAAGCTTTTCTGGTCATAGGCGCTTAGACCTTGGAGCAAGGTGTGCATCACCGTCCACAAAGCTCGATCACCAAGAAGGAGTGAGGAATACAGTTCGATAACTAGTGCATCTGCATTGCGTTAACATGACACCATGGAGGAGAGTCAACATGCATACCACGGTAGCCAAGACTAAGGCCACGTTTGGAGACCTGACAAAGCATGTCCATCCGCAATGTATCCGCTGCAGACGTTGAGGACGAATCAATAGCAGCCATTGCGATGTTTCTTGCCAGCCATTTCGAGTATTCACGACCATCTGCAAGCCAAGATACCTTGTCCTTCCGAGGTACATGCTTGTGTATAGTCGCAAAGGCTTGAGACAATGTTGAGAAGATTCGACTCCCAGCGAAAAGGGAAGTAACTTCCTGCCAGAAGACGCGACGCCGTGTATCGTTATCGAATAGCCTCACAGCATCGGACAGGAAATCTTTCAACACTGTGGTACCAGAAAGTACCGACGACAGAACCGAAACAGCATCTGTCAGCAACGGATTTGCTGCGCCGGGCTTCGAGACAGAGTGTTGCCTGATTTGCATCAAGAGAGCCCCAAGTCCTGCCACACTCCTTAGGCAAGCGATCAAAGACCTCTTAATCTGCGCTTGAATCTTGGTCAGCTGTCCGTCCTCCAAATGAGTCCATTGGTCGGGGATGGTAACAGTGACGAGAACATTGACGATTTGCGAGGCTTTTGGACTGGGGAGCCGGATATTGAAATCATGTTTCCCTTCTATGCCATATTGAAGGTATTGCAGGACTGCACTTAGGTCGTCTTGATCAGGCTGGCTCTTAAGGATTTCGCGGGCATCATTTGGCAGGGATGCAGGGGCGGTGTTGTCAAGGTAGGATTTCTGGTGGAAGGCTGTTGATGCATGGCGTTTGTGAGTCTGATGGCTTGACTTGATGGAGACGGAGCTGTTGGAAGAGTCAATCGATGGGCGTAGACTGAACTCGTCACTCGCATTGTCGTCAACCTCGGACGACAGATCAAGAATGGAGACTTTGGGTTTGCCACTGTTTGGTCGCGAGGCTGAAGTGTCTCTCAGTGACAAAGTCTCGAATCTGTCAATATTACTCTGGACCTTGCGGGTGGATTTGATGGGCTTGAAGAGATCGTCCATGACTGCGGTTCCATGTTGGTCAATAGTTTGAAGACACAGTGATTGTGACTTGAAGAAAAATATGTCTTCTGGAAGGCAGTTGCCTCTATGAAGTGAAGACGGCAACTGCCACTCACCAGAGCCTCGCTGGTCGCCAAGCAATCAGATATAGTTCTGTGCTAATCCCAATCTGAACATCAAATGCTGCCGCTTCAACACCTATACTCGCCTTACCTTCCCTGCAATACACAGGAAGAACAGCTTGGATCTCTACCTACTGTAGCAAGGCCAGGTAGCTTGATAGGTACCAACTAAGTTAAGTCTTCGCCCTCCTGTAGCTTGCTTGATTGCAGTAATGTTGCCTTGCTCTTGTAGTCGCAGAGACTAAAAGGGTCGTTCGTACAAGGGAGAGCCCTTGAGCAGTCTACCTACAGATCGAACATGATGCCACTGATTGAGGAGAGTCGTCCAAGAAGAGTTCATGCCGTGTTCATAGAGTTGCACCTTCCAGGGGGGACGGCTGAGGACCCTAGCCCACTCCTGAGTCCTTACGGGGACGGGCGAGCTTTCAGGGACACCTACGAAATCTATCAATTGTTTTGTCGTCCTTTTGTCTGCAGATGCACAACAATAATTGCACAAGCAAAGGCATCCAACAGAACACCATTTCTTCAAGTCTCTGAGTACTCGTATTCGGTATACCACAACTCCCAGAATCCCAGCATCCGAGGTCAGTCCCAAGCCAATTTGACGACTCTCGGTTTCGGAAATGGACGGGACGTGCGGCAGGCTGGGCAGACGAAGAAAAATCAGTCGTCGGCGGTCGCACTTGCTCCCCATTTTAGTCAAAGGAGGAGCACGCAATCTCTAGCTTTTTCAACCCATTTGTCCCTGATCACCAGGGAAGGCCCGGCTCCAGAGGCGGCGCATCTTGGGCCAAGACCTGATTGAACCTTCGTCTCAATAAGGCCTGGTATGAACATCTTTGAAACTTAAGGAAATTCACTTGCTGACTCGGCAGCACTATGGTGTTGATGACGCGTCAGTTTCGCTCGACCATGATTGCACATGCTCCTTATCAGCATTGGATGTTCAGTTGTCTGCTCGCGAGAGAATTCCGTGGTTTGCCTTAAAATATGGTAACTACACCTAACTTTCCGAAGGTGACACAGTGGAGATGGTGGGCTGCGGGTACCTCGTAGTGCAGCTCCCAAGGAAGTCGGCGGGAACAGGCTTCCCCGTTGCCGCAGCCGGGCTTGCCGAGGTAGGTAAAGGCTATTCCGCTAAGCATTTAGCTGGTGGACGGAGGGGGTGCCAATTGCGATGATCACGGCAGCAGCACCGAGTACGAGGACGGGGCTCTCAGGTTTGGAAAGTCTACCCACGGCAGTCGTCTGGATCAGGACATTAAGTTAACTCGCAGTTCGCGGTCTTGGTCTCGTACCTGAGAATTTCGCTTCAGATCCCAGTCTTCGTGATTCTCTCCCGCTGCGGCATGATAGCAGGGGAGTCCGGTGCCAGGGGTTTGACAATGCCGAAGAACGCGGCAATTCTTTGCGCGACGCAATCTTCATGAAACACTCACGCCACGGACACAAGTGTGCATGTGTCCAGCATGGTAGGTCGGCTAACCATGAGGAGGCTTGCTTTAGTGTCAGATGACTGTATGAGTCCCTTATACCCGAAGGAGCCTCTCGGAACTCGTACTGACAGGAAGCAGGGTGTATATTCAGGCACGCATACTTAGCTTCTGTGGACCTTGCACTCCATCTCTGCATGAATCCCACACCTCACAGGGCCACTGCAGCGGTGTATCAACCCCTAAACAGATTGCATGTGGGATTTGTTAGCTTACACCTCAAAGACCTCTCGTACACTAAACTCATGGAGACCTGAGTTGTTTGACAGGTTGACACACACTGTGGCATCGGCTTTCCAGGTACCATCTCGGCAGTGTGCCACATGAGACAGCTGTGCCGCAAGCGTGCAACATGATATCAAATCTGCAACTACAAGGATTCTTTCCACGTGCAACGCTCCCACATACCACGCATAGTAGCGTGAGCTTGAACCATTGATCTGGCCACTGACCCGTCAGTTCATCGAGGCTCCCGGACTTCCCTGTAACAAGGATCTGGATTCTTGCTGACTCAATCAAACCACCTTCATACTTTCGTGCCAAAAAACGCAAAGACAAACGATCACGTAAACCACCCCAAAATGGCCACAGATAAGCAAATGTACGACGATGTCGCCGGCGACTACGACATCATCTGGGCGACCCCCGCCGTCAAAATCTTATGGACACTGCTGGACAACGAGCTCCCAAAGCTCGGCAACTGGAAAGGCGCCCGTGTTCTCGACCTAGCATGCGGCACCGGCATTGGTCTCCGTGAGGCTCGCAAGTTCGGCGCCACAGGGCTTGTCGGCATCGACATCTCGAAAGAGATGGTCGAAGTGTGCAAAGCCACGACCAAGGACGTGGACCAATTCACTCTGCACGTAGCCGACTGCTCTCAACCCCTGGACCACCTCGAGGGTCTGGAGGCTGGGTCTTTTGACCTGGTCATTGGCATGTGGCTGCTCAACTACGCCGAATCCGCAGAGCAACTACAAGGCTTTTGGGATAACATTGCCAAGTACCTCAAACCTACCGGCACCTTTTTGGGTATCATCCAGAACCAGGAGACATTTCAGCCGGTGTCCATGAAGACGCTCAAGTATGGCGCCATGGAGTCCAATGTGACACCTCTCCCGTCCGGTGACGGCGTCAAGATGCACGTCGAATTTGAGACGACACCGAAAGTCGAGTTCGATACTTACGTGCTCAAGAAGGAGATCTTTGAGGCCACGGGGGCGAAAGCAGGACTGGAGATTGTCAAGTATGTCAGGCCGGACAAGTCAGTGCTCTCGGAAGAAGAGCAAAAGAACTACGGCTGGTGGGAGGAGTTGCTCGTCGAGTACCCCAACCAGCTCATCATTGCGAAGAAAGCATAAGTTTGAGATTGTGTCAAATGCCATAGGTCGTTAGACCGGATATGTTTATAGCAAAACTGAGTTCCTGGCGACATAGCCTATGCTTGAGGATCTCTACAATTGTATCAGGCGCCGGCAATCACTGATCTGCACAGTAAGTATACCGGCCCCAGAGTCAATATTGCTGCAGCCTCCAAGGCCTAGGCTTGTTCGAACAGACTTTCTGGGCCAATTTACCCACTGAACAACCTTCAGTGGTATGTCCCCAGATTTTCACGTAAAACGATGTTCAGTGGCCAAATATGTCATTGTGTAGCTACTGTAGTTGTACTATCCTCTAGACCGATTTGATGCATCCACGAAAGAAAAGACCACGCCAGATGAAAACAAGATTTTCTAGTCCCAACAGTCCAGGAAAAAACTCCTCTCCGTTACAAGTAGGTTTCTTACACGCTTCGCTTGACCAACGCAACAGGTGCAACGTAGTGGTGCTTGCCGCGAACAAAGTAATAAGTGACAGCCACGATCATGATACCAGCATTGATGACGACGTTCCAGTTCATACTCGCAGCCGTCACGGGCGTGGTCTGAGGGAAGAAGCAGAAGACCCAGATCCAGGTCAAGAACATCAAGGCGGCGACGTTGATCGGCAGGCCCATCACACCCAGGGACCATCGGCGGTCAGGCAGGGTCGGACCACGAATTCGTCGCAACACCAAACAGCTGATGGAGATGATGTAGGTGGAGAGCAGGGCGTTGGTGGCCATGGAGCAGATGGCATTGAATGCCACGGTCGAACCGATGTTGATAAGAGACAACAGCGTGGTGAAAACGAAGGTGATGCACACTGCGTTGAGAGGGATGTTCCAGCCTGGCTTGACTCTGCCGATGAAGTTGGAGAAAGGAAGACCGCCGTCACGAGCTGGAAAGGCATTAGCTTCGTTGCTTCTTTCCATGAGTGATGAAAAGCATTGGATACTTACCGAATGACCAGGTCTGTCTGGAGACACTTGCCAATGTTGAGATACAGCTGGATGTGGTGTTGACAATGATGATGGCGATCATGACAGATGTACCGCCAAGTGAACGGGTGGCATAGAAGAAGCCAGCAATGACAGGGTAGCCTGTTTCGGTGTCCAACGCTGCCAGAGGGTCACCTAGAGTGAACTGAAAACAGTTGTTAGTGGGTTTGCGTGGTAAGTGTTAGGACACATCTGGATGGCTTACACAATAAGCTATAGAATGGTTAGCAGGCTGTTTGAGGAAGGCAGCAGATGCGAAACTTACTGATCATCATGATGAAACCGAATGATCCGTTAATGGCCAAAGCCCACATGGTGGCTCTTGGTAGGACGATACCTGCATCTCGAATTTCTTCGGCTGTGGGGAAAAACATCAGTCAAACTTCTTGTCAGTAGGTGGAGAATTGCCATGCTTACACATATGCACTGCAGAATCCGCACCGAGCATGCCGTACACAGTCGTCAACATGCCAACCATGACCGACAAGCCGGTCGAACTCCATCCGCCGACATTGACAAACTCTGTGAACACGACATCCGTCGAGTTCAGAGGGGCTAGAACCCACAGAGGGATCAACACTGCGAAGAAACCGATAATGTGAAGGATCAAGACCAATCCTTCGACAAGGGGTAGTCTTTTGGCGAGGAAGGTGTTGAAGAAGATGGAGAACGCGGTAATGGCGATAACCAGGAGAGTACCATGCCATCGCTCGTAAATGTAGTCTGGGTTGTTGAGAACGATCAGGCCTTGGATGAGCGTACCCGCGATGAAGGCGATCGAGGCGAAACCGGTTTGCCATCCGAGCACACTGAGCCAGCCGATAAGGTAACTGAGAAACTTCTGGCATCCTCTTGGAGACAATTCGGAAACCCAGTGGTATTGACCGCCAGATGTAGGTGCCCTTTTCGCGTACTCAGCATTTTGTCGCAAACACTTTGTCGTGGGTCGGTTCAGAAACTTACATTGAAGACAACTCGGCGATCGAGCTGAACACGGTGAAATATCCTGCCCAGACGATAAAATAACCCCATACTAGGCCGGGAAGGCCTCCGTTGATCAATCCGAAGGTGCTCGATGAAAGTGTGATTTCCCATGTACTCATGGCAGTACAACTAAAACCCAGGATCGAGATGAATCTAAAGTTTCGCTACAACAGGTCAGTAAGTCGTTGTCCCTGTCATGGTGCATGGTGAGAAATCACGTTAAGCTCCTGCGTCTTTCCCAGCACTTGCATGTCGTGCGCATCCGCCGCCGTTCCCCTCATGCTTTGCTTGCTGTCCGATCTGACTTCATCGTCGGCGTAGGCATCTGCCTGAGAGGCCTCCTTGGAATTCATGGTGCTGACGAAGAGTCAAAGGATTGTTGTGACTTGCTGGAGAACTCTGGTAGGAGATGTCGTTGATTTTGGCAGCTGAACAGCTTTGGGCCTTGGGAGGATGTAAAGTAGGCTCAGACTCCTGAGGATAACTTGTTGGAAAAAGTCCAGAATCGATCAGCAGAGTCGAGAAGACTGCTCGGGCAACGCTAAGAGATCCGTCGTCTCTCCACACGGCAGGAAGGTGTGTAGGCTAGGGATGTACTCGGTACACACTAGTACTAAGGTCAAGCAAGGAGGGCTTCCCATGCAGCAGCAGCAACCCCTCGGAAAGAGTTCTCTGCGTGGCAGGGTCTTTCGTCAAAGTAGCCTCATACCTAAGCTTCAACCCCCTGTAAGCCTTACTCGTGGCAACACGAAACAAAATCCCAATTTTTGAGACCTCGGTTGCCAAGTAGGTTAGCAACTCCGTGAAGAGGGCACGAGTGCTCGATCCGACCCCCAATCAGAGAGTCTATGGACAGACCATCGCCCTTGCGCTCGTCCTCTGATGGATTGACAAGTTAGTCCCCGTGCACTTCTGCACTGGAAAACCGTAGCGACCAATGATCCCACAATAATGCGACGTGCCTCACGGCGATCGAGGTAACTTTTTGACTAGCGCCGCGACAAATGATCCGCGGCTCGCAGGGACGCCTCAACCCGGGCTAGTGGACTTGACAAACCTGCTAAATTTTTGTGGCGATGATAAAGTGCAGCTTGTGTGAGAGGCTGAGACTCCGAGAGCCGTTCAGACGACAAGGGAGAGTGACCGGGATGTGGTGAGGCTGCAAAATTGAATCACGCTATAACCAATGAAGATTGGCCGAATGTTGGGAGTGTTTAGGGGGCTGCTTACCACCTTGACAGGGATGTATGCAGCGGCTTCGCCTGGAAATATCCCGACCGGCCATGAGGGGCCCTCTGTTCAATCCACACAACACTCTTGATAAAGCTCAATCCACCCGTCCGGACCAACGCGGCAGGCTCCATGTCGATCACTTTGTCGAAAAAGCAGTCGAACTCGAACCGAGACGTATCCCTGTGTACATTAACCAAACTCAGGTGACTATGGATTCCGTACGACTCGTCAAACATTGTCCGCTGCGAGTTCGTGTATCAATCCATGTCGAAAACGTGTTATGCTCGCCTATAGATGCTCAGGGGAAACACCAAATTACCCCGTAGTGTGTGCGATGGTACTGGTACAGGCATAGTGGAAGATGCAAGTTCCGAATCGGGCAAATGAGGGTGAAGCAGTCGCAAGCAGTTGTTGCAGAAGTCAGTGTGGGTTGTATGAGAGAACCCAATTAGTCGACCTCGTATGCACAGTCAAGGTACCTGTACCCATGTAGGCACTAGTCGGTCAAATGATTGTCAAACAGTCCCCACACCGGATCCTGCGCAGCTGCCATAGACGAGCACGGACAGGCCAAGCGACCGCCAGGCACAGGCTCGCGAGTCACCACCCTGGGTTGGGCTTGCATGCTTCCCGCACGCCGATGTATTATCGAAGGTGATAATGTTTGAGGTTAATCCCAGGAAGGCCTGGACTTGATATCTTACCATTGATCTGAGGCTGAGGAACATGCACACCTCGTTTCCCGCAGGCTAAGAGACACGGCAATATGTATCTGCGTGTTCGTCCTCTCGGCTGGTGTCTTTGACGACCCTTATTGACGGCAGCGCCGCAGTTTTGATCAATCCCATTTCAAAAGAGTCTGGCAGAATGTCAGACTCGGTACTTCAGTTACTGCCCGGGCAGACCCCTCCACTTGCGATTATAACTCCTACCGACCAGCGAGGTGTCTTGTACATCATCACTGCACTTTGCCTTGCAACATCGATTGTGTCGCTCCTGATCAGAGGTATGTTAACATCTTTCCTCGCCGCCGAAGGAACAATCGCGCACAAGATTGGGTTCTTGGTACCGTGCACGCCGAACATCTTTCTGATGATGAATGCCAGCATACGTTCGAGTCGAGTTCAGTCAGTCTTATGGGAAAGACGATATATCCGTAGCCGCCGCATTTGTAAGTCAACGGCGCTCCTGCAGGATCGTATGATCGCTAACAAAAGCAGATCTTATTGATCGTTCAGTCTTGCCTCATCTTCCTAGCGGCTAGCAAAGGCGTCGGAGAGGCGCTCTCTGATATTGCGTCCGGTGACCTTTTGTCTCTGCAGAAAGTGAGCTGGATCCCGACCAGGTATAGAGGTACATGAGAGCTGACTATCCCCAAGACTTACTATGCTGCGAACTTGCTATACATCGCCACACTATGGGCAACCAAGATTTCGACCCTGTTCCTCATCTTGCGGCTCGCTGTGCAGAGGATACATACCCGGACAACTACCGCTGTCTTAGGTGTCACTGGCATACTTGGCCTGGTGTCATTCCTCCTAGCGGCTCTTGACTGCAACCTGAACGCGCCATGGATTTTCATCAACGGGCAATGCTCAAGGGAAGGGGCTCACTGGCGGGCGATCGCGGCATTTGACATCATCACCGAGTTGCTCCCATTTGGCACTCTTTGTTTTATCATCAACTCCGTACAGATCCCGCGCAGTAAGAAGTTGGCCATCGTGGCTGGTTTTGCATTCCGACTATTGTGAGTGGTCCTTGCTGCAGGCTGCAGGCCGCAATCTGAGGGTCGATCACTGACCACTTGCCTGACACAGATTGATCTTTCCGCTGGCCTTCAGGCTTCACTATGTCCTGGCCAGCCTCCATGCTCACGATATCACGCTGCGCCAGGACCGAATCGTCATCAACACCCAGGTGGAACTGGTTACGGCCATGGTTGCGGCGACCGTGCCATGCCTTCGGCCTTTCATGGCCGCCACATACACGACCTGGGGAGGTCGTGTAGATACTGTCTCTGGATCCGAGTACAACAAGAGTGGTAGCAATAGTGGGAAGAAGCACACCACAAGTGGCAGCAAAAGTGTCCTCAGCTCTCTCCGGATTGGAAGGAGCAAGAAAGGCGTAGACGAGCTGACCAGCCGCGATGATATCTCGCTGGAACCCATGAGCCAATCCTGGAGTGCCAAAGGAATGGATGGGAACCAAACAGAACGACACCCATCGACGATAAGAAAACAGAGTGGCGATGATTCGGGCGCGATGAATCAAGCAGACGATCAACAGAGCTTAGGCAGCCATGACAGTCAGAGGATGATCATCCGACGAGACGTCGAGTGGAATGTCAGATTCGAGAATCGCCCGGATTTGAACGGGACTGGAATTGCGAGGTAATGCAATCAAGTACCCTAGGGATGTTTCTCTTGGTGAGTACGATCTTGACGGGAGATGATTGTGCCAATCCAATGAATGTTGCGGGAACAACTTTGTGTAAAAGTATTTCAAAAATGGGCAGATTCAGCCGATAGGACTGCCTTGTACAGTGTGGGATTTTGAAGGAGCGATGGGCATCTATAGATATAGATACTGGGATGACTGCAATGTTATGGGATTGGAGGTTCTTTGGACAAGGCTATGACGGCAGGTGTGACTGAGTAAGGCTGTGCTCGTGCCTAAAACGCGTAATGTCTCCTGCCGTTTTAATCCTGCCAGGAAAGGCTTAGTTCATGTATTATGTCATCTTCGGCAAACCTTCCGCGAGGATCGAAGCATCAATTGCTCCTAGATTCGTCTCGACAATTTATATCGTTCCTTGAATTGAAGCAGGAAGCAAAAGGCATCGCGACCTCATCTGAGAACACGCCTCAAGAGTCTCTAGAGAACCTCGGTGAGGTGAAGCCCGAGTGGTCTACTTTTGTGACATGGGTGAGCCCTCGCCAAGAACACGGCGAAATTGCGCTCTCCACGACTAATCAATGTAATCAACCATTCTGTCATGACCCGCCCACGGACTACTTCAACTCTAGCTGCCCGATCTTTCAGCACTCCCAAGTGTCGGTGCTCTGGCCATCACAGCTGAGGGCTGTTAAAATGGAGCTTCACGATCTCTCCCTTGGCAGCTTCACCACCAAGGCGCTCGATACGCTGGCTCAATGTCTCGCCTGACGGGTCGAAGAAAGGCTTTTCTCCGTAAATGGCTGTTCTTTTACCCTCTCGGGTCGATGGATCATATCCTCCAGGTATCGCACGGTGCACGACGACTCGGTTGTCCCAAAAAGCGACACTGCCAGGCTCCCATTTCCACCGGACAGTCAAATCATCAGCTGCATGGAGATGCTCACGCAGGAAGCCCAATGTGTGGATGCTTTCCTGGCCCTTGAGCTCTGAAATGTGGATCACGAAAGCTGGATTGTAGAAGAGTGACTTCAGCTTTGTCACCGGATGCGTGCGAACCTGCGTCTCAAATTAGGTCACCAATCAATCACTGTTTCGAACCAGACCTACCAATGGATGTTCGCGACGCACTGGCGGTCGGAATGGCTTATTGCCACCGTTGACGGAATTCACGAACACATGCTATGGGAAACGGTCAGCCACGTTGACCATTGCATGGTGCCAGGCCTTGACAATACCTCAGAGCTGTGAACGCCGTGGAGCCCCTCAAACAAATTCTGAAAAGTTGGACTCAGCTTATCAAAAAGTGCCGTTTGACTTGTGAAAATGGTGTCACCGCCAGCATCCGGAGTTTTGATCATTCGCAACATGGTATAAGCCGGTGGGTTTGCTTCGAACGAGTGGTCCGAGTGATATTCTCCTGCAAAGTCGGCATACGCTCGAATGTCGCTAACAATGTCAGCCCAAGAACATAAAGGCAGCCCTCGCGTTTCGATGCGCATGCACACTTACTTGTTGCGGCCAAGGATTGTGACATGTCGAGGGTCCACTTGATTTGGATCTCTGTCTTGCTGCAGACCGTGAGTACGAGCTCCTCGTGCTCAGGCAGGATCAGGCTGCACTTACGATGCCATAATGCGTGGTCAATTCGTATTGCTGGTCAAGGGTGATGTCTTGGTTCCTGAAGAACACGACGCCTCTCTGCTCAACCGTCAGCAGCTACAATATCGTGATGGGTTGCCACAGATCGGACCTCGGCCACCAGCAACGCAAGCTCATCTTTTTGAGCATCCGTCAATTGGCTGATTTGTATACCAACGAGCTCGGTTCCAATGTATGGAGTCAGGTTTCGGACCTTCTGTGCGGCAGCCAACAGGGACTTTTTTTCAGGATCAGCAAAAAAGGCACGATCCGTTGCAGGTTCAAATTCTTTGACTGGCGGGTGAGGTCTACCAACTGTCAGAAAGTTGTGTCATTCAAACTTGGAACAAAACGAAAGTCTCGTGCTTCAGTGGCTCAGTCTTTCGCAGAGAAGAGTACTTACGGCTTGTAGGTGAGCACCTCCTCGGTGATACCGGTGTGACTGGAACTCATCGTTCAGATACGATGCTGATCTGGAAGTCGACGATAATTAGGCCAAGCTCTTGGTGGTCGACGATTGGAAGATAAGGCAAAGTTCTCATTCAGGTTTAAGTATCGTTCCGGCGGACCAGGGTCTGAAGAGGAGAACAGCGACATTGGTAAGCCCCTCAAATCAAATCCACTCTATACGCTCGGGAAGTAAGGGACTGGTTTGCTACTTTGGACTCTAGCATTCATTGTACAGCCAGTGAATTGTGCACGATCATCAGGCGTTCTGGATTGGCAGATATGGGCATTGAAAAGAGAGAGATACTGCGTGATTGTTATCAAGACTGACGTGCTTAGTCCAGGGACTGATATGAGTGGTCGGCCTAGCCGTCTATCGCCTATCTGCTATTCGCGCCCGGCGCCAAGGTGACCCCCAACTTCATCGCCGAACTCTCATCGGGCTTGGGTACTGATGCCAACACTGTTGGTGGTTTATGCCTATTCAACGTCCATCTCCTCGTTAGGTTTACATCGCCACAGATCTGTTGGAACAATCCATGATTGGAGATACATGTACTCAAGCAGCAGCTCTACCAGTTGGGCAACTTTCAGGAGAAGATTTACCTTGACCGGTCACTATCGCTTGAAAGATGTGGTGGGACTAAGATTCATGGACCGCCACTTGTCTGCCACCAATCCCTTAGCTTTGCACTAGGGAGTACCTCATGCAGCAGCAACTCATATCCAAGTAGGGTAACATCATTGCGCCACGGGTCTGCAAGCCAATGGGACGGTCTCTATTTGCATACTGATGGGGCTGGCGACAGGCTCACAGTGCGAGACGGCACGAGACGGCAGCAGGAGAAGCATAATGCAACTCGCATATCTCTTTATCGCAATCCTGGGCAAAAAGGCGTGATTGACGCTATCAGAACGTCGATTGACCGATCTCAGCCCCCTGGTTATCATCAAGCAGGGTCCTGTCCTTATAAGATGGATATCAAGGATTGGGGATCCCAGAGCTGAGCTGTGTCAATAACTTGATCCAAGCATTGTCTACGTACCAATTCTACATCAACGTACCACTCAACCACAATGTCCGGACTACCGCCGCCACCACCTTTGCCTGATGCGGACCTTGCTGCTGCTGATGTGAAGGCTGTCGGCTTCGTTGACAATGGCCCGACATTATCCGACCGAGACGAAGATAGCATCAACCTGCAGAAAGAAATTTATGATACCAGCGCGATCGATCCTGTTTTGGCAAAGAAAATGGCGCTGACGAATAATGCGCTCGACCAAATCGGCATGACCCCCTGGCAATGGAAGCTGTTCTGCTTGAACGGGTTCGGCTATGCTGTGGACTCCGTAAGCAATCTCAGATCAGCCGCCGAACGCAAGTATGATTGACCAAACACCTGTCTAGTTGCTCGTTGTCTGTCAATCGATTGCTCAGCCTGCGGTAACTCAGGAGTTTGGGAACCCAAGCAAGTACATTGCTGGTGTCGCACTGGCTTCGCAGGTCGGACTGTTGGTTGGTGCCGCTCTCTGGGGTTTCAGCGCCGACATCATTGGGCGTCGCACAGCGTTCAACTCGAGCCTCTTCATCTGCGCATTGTTCGTCCTGATTGCGGGTGCAATGCCAAACTATATCTCCTTTTGCGCCATGTATGCCACAATTCCGACCCTATCGTCTCACCTCACTCCTAACGTTGATTAGGGTAGCGATTTACTCCGCTGGAGCTGGCGGCAACTATATTCTCGACGCGACAAACTTGATCGAATTTCTCCCCGCTAGTCATTACTGGCTTGTGACATTCATGGCTGTATGGTGGGCGGTTGGATACATGGTCACTGGCTTTCTAGCATGGGGTTTCATGAGCAACTACTCATGCGCTCCAGACGCCACCGTCGCCGAATGTACTTGGCACGACAACCCTGGTTGGCGATACCTCCACTTTACCTGCGGTTCGCTGGTCTTGATTGCCGCCACGCTTCGAGTGCTGATTCTACGCATGCCACAAACTCCAAAGTGGCTGATTTCACAAAACCGTGACGCTGAAGTCGTTTCCACCCTGGCTACGATCGCGCAGAAGTATGACCGGCCTTTCTCCCTGACGGTGGAGAAACTCGAAGGTATTGGCCGCGTCTTGCACACCGAGAAGAGTGTCTTCTCGGCCTTGCGTCTCAAGAAACATTTTTCGCAGCTTTTCAGCACGAAACGTCTTGCCTATTCAACCATCATGATCATCCTCAACTGGACTGTCATTGGCACCGTCAGCCCGCTATATAGTGTCTTCCTGCCGTATTACCTCAAGTCACGAGGCGCAGACACTGGTTCCGACGACAACTGTAAGTCAGATCAACCTCTTACGTTGCACTCCGCAAGCAATGACACTGGCTAACTTTGAATGCACCGTTCTATAGATACTGTCTGGCGCAACTACGCTCTCAACCAGTTTTCAGGCGTATTCGGGCCCATCATCGCTGCTGTTCTTGTCGAGGTTCGGTGGTTCGGCCGGCGAGGTACATTGGCCGTTGGCGCAGCCATCACCACAGCCTTGCAATTTGGTTATACTCAGATCAAGACCCCAGCGGAGAATGTGGGCGTCTCTTGCGCGATATCAGCGGCTAGCAACATCTACTACGGCACAATATACGCATATACGCCAGAAATCCTGCCTGCCGCTCACCGAGCAACGGGATACGCCATCTGTGTGGTGCTGAACCGGGTTGGTGGTATCGTTGGTGTTCTGGTGGGAAGTTATGCCAATGTCGAGACCACCGCCCCGTTGTTCGTTTGCGGGGCGCTGTTTGGAACGCTGATCATCTTGAGTCTTCTGCTGCCTTTCGAAACCTTGGGGCGGAGAACAGTGTGAAGCAACGATATCGGGAGTGGTCTCCATCTCGTGAATCGGAAAGCCGTGGAAGTGACATAGACACTCTATGCAGCCGGCCCATCATTATAGCTGGCGATAGTAGCCGGTGTGAGTGGTTCGTTGATCGTTTCAAGAATATGCATGGCAGAACCCGTATTGAAATAACTCAGCGGCATACCACTCCTCAGTGCATTCCTTGCAAACCTGACTTGGATTTACTGACGACATGGACGATCGTCACATCGCAATTACCTCAACTGGCGCATAGGAGTTTCGTGCTGTATGTGTGAGGCTCCTCTATCGTTCCAGTGAGGATCTTCAGCCAAGGCACTACTTACAGTAATTCATCGCTTATGGGCCAGACGACCGTGCCTCGGCCGTCATCGGCGATGAGGTTACAACAACAATTATCATGCTTTTAAAACCTACTCAGAAATAAAGGCTTGTTCACATATCTGATTGAAAATCGATGGCAGCTGGGACCTTCTTGGAGGTCAGGTCTCAGGTTGGCATGGATCACAAAGCTCTCAGCGCCAATGCTGAGCCCTGGGCGGCATCAATTCAACGGAGGAAAACCTCAGTACCGCGGGCCGCCCTTATCTTGACTGCAGCTTCCTTACTGTGTCTTCTACTCAGTAATTTCAGCGGCGTCTCTTGGAGGAATCTGCTCACAGACATTGATCGTATAAGCCATGCAAAGGCGAACGAGTCCGCGTTTGACTGGAATGATATCAAACCAGCAACTGATCTTCAATATCATGCCTGCTATGGAAATCTCCAATGCGCCCGCTTGGACGTCCCCATGGACTATAATGCCGCCGAGGACTCTTCGGCTCGTGTGGCCCTAGCCATTGTCCGAAGACCTGCAAAGGTCCCGGTCAGCAGCCCTAGTTATGGCGGAGCAATTCTGATCAACCCAGGCGGTCCAGGAGGTTCTGGCGTCGCACAGATGCTCTACCATGGCAGCCAGCTACGGACCATCGTCGACTCGGATACGCCCGTGGACGAAGCATCAGAGTCAGACAAGTTCTTCGACATTATCGGCTTCGATCCTCGAGGCATCAACCACAGCAGGCCTCTCCTGACCTGCTTCCCGGACACTTTCGCGCGATCAACCTGGGCCTTACAAGCCGGCGCCGAGGGACTCTTAGGCAGTTCGGAGACATCACTACGGACTGCCTGGAGACGAGCGACCGCTCTGTCGACGGGATGCTCGAGCCGATTGAACAATGACGACAACGGAACCAATTTCCTCGAACATGTCAACACTACGCCCGCAGCCGCCGATATGGTCTCGATCATCGAGGCGCATGGGCAGTGGCGCGAGAAGGAGGGCCAGAAAGCACAAGCTGTAGCAGACTGCACACAAGGCCACGAGATCGCGCAACGCACAAAATGGCAAAAGGGCAAGGAGAAGCTACAATACTGGGGCTTCTCCTACGGGACGGTCATCGGCTCGACCTTCGCCGCAATTTATCCTGAACGAGTATCTCGAATCGTCCTTGACGGCGTAGTCGATGCGCAAGACTACTTCAACGGCCCGTGGCTCACCAACCTCGAAGACTCAGACCAAATCCTGCACAAGATCACGGAATACTGCTCCGACGCCGGTCCCGAGTCCTGCCCGATCTGGCGGCCCGGCGGACCAGACGCTATCCTCGCCGCACTCGACAAATTGTTACAAGACATCTGGGACGATCCACTGGCCGTTGTCGGCGACAAATCCCACGGCCCCGAAATCATAACATGGACAGACGTCAAGATGGTCCTCAAAGACGCATTATACCAGCCCATGCATCTCGGTCCCATCATGGCGAAGCTAGTGGCAGACCTGACTAATGGGACTGGTAGAGTCTTCGCAGACGCCAAACAAGCGGCGCGCCATCCGGCTTGTCGGTCTGCGTCATGTGAAGCGGCCGGCCCCTTCTCCGACGCATGTGTGCTTCCAGACTGGAACGAACTCGAAGCTACCTCCGCCATATTGTGTACTGATGCAGAAGGTATAGGCAGCCTGACGGAAGACGAGTTCAGGGAGTATTGGACAACGCTACGGAATCAGTCCTCCACAATGGCCGATTACTGGGCGCAAATCCGACTGGGTTGCGCAGGGTGGCAGGCCCGTGCGAAGTGGCGGTACACAAATCCCAAGAACGATACGTTGACGATGACGACAGAGACGGGACATCCGATACTCTGGGTGTCGAATACGCTGGACACAGTCACACCGTTGGCCAATGCGAAGAGGATGAGTGCGAGGTTTGCCGGGTCGGTGGTACTACAGCAGGATTGTGAGGGGCATTGCTCGTTCGCTGCACCGTCGGTGTGCACGGCGAAGAGCGTGAGACGGTATTTCCAAACTGGTGTTTTGCCGGAACAGGGGACGTTGTGTCAGGCTGATGAGAAGCCTTTCCAACCTGCTGTGGCACAGGCTCAGCGCGAGGGGATGAGTGAGATGGATGCAGAGCTTTTGGAGGCGCTGAGGGAGATGACGAGGGTGCATGTCCCTGTCCCACATGTACTGGGTATGTCACGAATCTTGTGAGCGACATACAGTGGGCTGGATGGAGGTATACACAAGCAGCGTAGGGGACAAGCTTGAGAAGGTTCCCTTTCAGGAGCCTAACGACTGATAACGGCCGCTACACAGGATTTGGACGCACGAAAATGAATGCGCCATGGCATGGCTTCGGAGCAAACGTAACGACATGGAGTAGAAATATCAATATCAATATCTCTATCAATATATCTCTATCGTTATGCAGCTCGCCGTGAACGGAGCGCTGAAACCAGTCACTTATACCAGGTCAGGTGTGCCATGGTAGCGATTCGGTATCCATCCGTAATATGTCAATACCTGCTGATACTGAACCGGCCAAGCTTCAGGCAAGATATCACCTCTTTGCCCAGGTGTGCCCTTTCGAGCACTCAATTGTCGGCTGTTCTCCTGTCCAAGAACATCCTAAATCCCCAAGTCATCGCCACTGATGAGGCCCATATCACCTCTAACCTCCCAAACACTTCCGCCCGCTTTATCCGCACTGGCGACCCGTTGTTGCGTGCTAGTCTCCCACCACCTCTTGACAAAGTTGCCGTCAATCACCCCTCTGCCGCCAACTCCGTCCGTCTCCACTTGTCGGTACGCACGAGGATTCAAGCTGCATGGGTGAAAGTCGAGCGTGGTGAGTAGTGTGTTTTGCAGGGTCGACAGGCGCCGATAAGCCGCGTCAGGAAGCGTGGTCAGCATACACAGCGAGCCAGACTGTGTGCTCACAAGGATCCGCTGCAAGGCAATCGATTGCTGACCGCCATCCAGATCCATATCATCAAGATCGGAGTTTGTGGCAGCCGCTCCAGATGCAGGCGGAAGCAACAACATCTGCGTGGGCGTTGCTCCAGCGTTGAACGTGCTCCGCAGAAGCAATTTCGTGCCGCGTTCAGCCTTGGGATTCTCAGGGTCGAATTGCAGGACCCGCAACACACCGCTTTCGTCCGCTGAGATAATGAACAATTCTTTCCCACTGGGTAGGAACTCGGCGGCCAGAACTGGAGGATTTTCTAGGTCGCGACCGAGAATTTGCAACTTGTACGGTTCCTCAGAGTATCCAATCAGCCACAACCCGGAAAAGGCGTCACCCAGAATGCAGAGGCCTGTACCGCGTAATTCCTTAGCGACGTGCACGTAGTATCGCATGTCCAAGAAGGCCACGGGCAGGATGGACATGTCCTCCTTGAGTCCTCGGACCATGCATTTCTGGCCCTGAGCTGCAAGCACAAAGCCCTGCGAGCCGACATCGCAAAGAGCGCTAACCGCTCCGCGCACATCTTCTTTGGTGATCAGTTTCAACTTCACGTCACTCTCCGGCACGTCAGGCTCGGGTACGACCTCGACGACGTCGAAGATGTAGATGTTTCCTCGTGTGGTGACGTTTTCACCTCTGACAATCGCTGTGCCGACCACGATCAAGTCTTTGCGCTCATGGGTTTCCTCGGAGATTTCCAGGTTGAGACATTTCAGGCAAAGGATTCGCTCACAGGCATCGAAGTGATACTGACTGATAATCGAGTGACTCTTGGAGCTGAGAAGTTTGAGAGAGCTTTGGATCGTGGTCGGCAAGAATCTGGTCGTTTCGGTCTGCCATTCTGGATGCCATTCATCATCTTGTGGCAGCTGGAACTCAGTGGGGTAGTTCGCCGCCAACACGTATGACTCGGTTGGTTCGAAGTATGCAATGGAGCTGATATCCTGTCCTAGTGGGACTCTTTTGATAGCCCAGTCTGCTTGGCCGATCATCATCGAGTCTGGTATCTGGGCATAGGAGATGTTCTCTTGGTCGTCCACGAAGGCAAAGCCTTTGGTGCACATTGAGAAATTGACAGCGCTCACGGATCGCATATTTGCAGCATCCAATTCGTAGATGTGAGGCATAGTAGAGGCTTGCTTCAGTATGACAAAAGGGTGAAACCCGGGAACGATGACAGAGGCGTGGCCTGCAAAGTCTTGGAGAACTTCCATAGGTGGTTTGGTCGATTGATATCCATCCTCGTCCGCGCCTTCAGCATCTTGCGCCGGCTTCGTCGCCACTTTTTTGAATTTGAAGCTCCCGACAACCTCAGGATTGGCAAAAGGCTCATAAAGAACAACATCACCAGTCACGTTGCGCAGTACCAAGAACGGTTGAGTACTGGTCTCATCACCAAGATCGGCCAGTAGAATCTCGCTAAGCTCGTCCTTGTTCCTCCAATGCTTCGGCAATTGCAGATCCTGCATCAAGTAGGTTGGGAGAAACGGCAGGCTGTCACATTGAAACAGCTGGATAGTGATATTCGGCAATGATAACATGCAAAAGTGGCCCTCCGAGGTCAACGCTGCAAGGACGGGGCCTCGAGACGGCTCTCCAGAATAGAATCTCGAAGCCTGAAAGAAGTCGTGAGTGTCTGGATATAGCGAGACGGAAGAGATTGATTTGCTGGTCAACACATCCGGAAGCTCGACCTCATCAAGCTCACCAGCTTTGTCAGCCTTCAACAAAGTCATGGTCCCATCTTCTTTGATCACCGCAAGATATGGATCAGCGAAGGCAGCCTTGGTTGCCTTGGAGATTTGACCCTCTTCCTCATCCACTATAGGGAAGATTTGTGAGAGCGCGAATTCAAAATCGTAAACGCGTACTTCCGTAGGTAATACCTGGACCGTGTGGTTTGTGGTCTTCAGTTGTGCAATGGAGATGGTTGATCCAGCAGTCTCATCAAACTCGGAGTATGCCACTGCACTCAAGTCTCCATCGTCGAGTCTGAGTAGCGACGACTTGCCGACACCGTCGCTTGTTGCTTGTGAGATGATTGCCATGTCGTCGTACGGCTTGTCCTTGCCCGTCTGCTTCTGATCTGCCTGCTTTCCAGCTGACGAGAAGCACCATAATCGGTGAGCTCCTTCGTATTGGATGGTTTTAGCAACCCTGGGCTCAAGCTGTTTTGTGACAATTGCGAGTCCACCTGCATTGCCTCTGCCGTAGGCCAGTGCAAGTTCCTGTTCCCCAACTTCATCTGTCTCACCACGCTTCCGCTTCCGCGAACGCCCTAGAGCCATGCTATTGATGGGTGCCATAGCCGGTAGACGGTCCATCAATCGAAGTGTCTGGTTGCCTGCGTCCCCAGACGAATGTCCGTTGGCAACTTCACCATAAAGATCATCCTCGTCCTCGACGTCATCGTCGTCTTCAATGTCTAAGCCGTCCGCTTCAGGCTGAGATCGAGAAAGCGTCTTCTTCAGCTGAGACGATCTTTTAGCGAGCGATACAAGAAGCGAGTCTGACTCTTCACTGCCAATGAACAGGCAATTTGATCCAAGACTAGTCGTGCAGGACGCGGCACCCATGAGCAAGCTCTGCATTTGACCTTCACCTATCCGACGAAGTGCCATACTTGTCACGGAGCGACCGTCCAGTCTGAAAGTCAGTAGTGCCAGTTCTCCGGTTTTCAAAATGACCAGCATATCGCCGCTGGCATTGCCCAGGTGCTCGATATGACAACCCTCCAATTTGAGTCCATATTCAGAGTGGTCGGTCATGGCAAAAGATGATGCATCTTTCGCGAACTCGTTGACGGCAATCGCGTTTGTTTTTCCACCTTGGTCAATATGTATGAGTTCGTTGCCTCCAATAAGTAAAGCACCGCCGACTGGAGCTGGGAGAGCCACAATTCGATATACATCATTGGGAAGTTTCTGGACGGCTTGCAAGGTCGTTGAAGCTTTCTGGTCCAGATCCAGGGCATAAACTGCATAGATGGTCACATCTCGTCGTTCAGCGCTCATATTGGACGAGCGCGCCGCTGTTGAGTACAATATGCCAATCGTTGGATCCCGATACTCGTGGAGGAAAGTCATGTCCACAGGATGGAGCAGGCCAGGATCGAGGACCGTTAATGGCAGGACAAATGAGGGACTGTGGGGTGTTTCATGGCCGTTTGTGTGAGTTTCGACTTGTTTTGTGGGAGAATTGGCGTATTTCCCCTCGCCGTCGATGTCGTCAAAATCGTCCATTGCCAGATCATCGCCAGTTTGATGGAAAGGGATGATGGCGAGGTTACTGACACCAAAATTGAATGCTGCACATCTACTTGACGGGTCAATCGTCAAATGACTGACGCATTCGGACAGATTGGGCTCCCAAGGGGCAGAGTGTAGGTCATGATGTTCGTAGTAATGTATTGACAAGGTAGATATGCTATGCAGTGTCGAGTCCCACTCAATCAGACTGAGTTTAGCATCCAAAAAGGCAATGAGCACGGCGTCGCCACCACTCTTCGAGTCTGGAGTCCTCACCCTGCCCAGCGACGTGACCGTGCCAGCGAGATTGTACTCGGCCACAAGGACAAGTTTGGTGTCTTGTCCTTGTTCGGATTGTTTACATTTGAAGACCTGAAGCAAGGAGGTCCTCGCGACAAGCAAGTTGGCGTCGTTGGCTGAGGTGAAGGACAGTGACAGCGCATGAGTGACGCCTGATGGCGGTAGGAGCTCGGTGTAGCACTGCATCGCGAATCTGGTAGTGGCTGGCTCACCCCTAGCCAGACGTTGTAGATCGACTTCAGTTGCAGGCCTGGCATGAGATTCTTCTGCTAAAGATTCATCGTATCGCAAGGCTCATCGCATTGATAGCCGAGCCCACTGATTCAGTCGATCGTGATCCGGTCGTTCATGGGTTCTAGTCGCGTAAAGTACAAGTTGATGGACGCGAAAAGGGACTCGAGATGCAGAGTCGAATTGTTCCATTTGATAGCTTGGCAAGCACGTGACGTGGGGGAAGCTCTGCAGTCGCCTTCTCCGCTTATAATCGAAGCTACACTGCACTATGACGATGATTTGGAGGCTACAGTCTACAATCCTGGCACCAACCTGCAACACACGGCAAGAAGAAAGGTCATGCGCACTTATTGATAAACTCCCACCTCGAAGCATGTGGAAATGATCTCTTGCTGAATCTCCTATCTTCTCTCTGAAACCAGCGCAATCAATACCAAGTCAGTGATCATGATCGATCCAATGCTCCTCCTTTCAGACGTCGGCACCGCCGCAGCTTCTGCTGGCTACGTCCAGATCACTTTGATCTGGGTCGTCTATGCCGTTGCAGTCGCTCTGCTCTTGTCATTCGCCTGCCTGTTTGTCTACCTCTACCAGACGCACCGAGACCGGTCCATCTTCGTCACAATCGTCTGTATCTTTACCATCACCTGCCTGCTCGCTACAGTGCTCCTCCTTCCGGTCGATGTTGCATTGGTCTCGAGTACAACCAGTTCCACAAGAGGTGTACGAAAAGACTGGGCAAATCAAGGCAGAGTAGACAACATCACCTACACTCTCCGAATTGTCTACTATCTGCTCTACTCTGTGGACGCCATACTATGTCTTCTGGTCGTGCCATTCACCTACTTCTGGTATGAAGAATATGATGAGGTAGCTCAAGAGGAAGGATCACAAACATTTGGATCAAGATTCTGGGGCGCGTTCAAGTTCACCTTGATCTTCATCATGCTCTGCGTTACTTTGTTCGTGGTCGGATTCTTCGTTCCGGTAGCGCGTCACCGGGAAGGAGCCCATTTCGATCTCGATTTCTTCAAGAAGCTGCTAGCAGAAAACCACGGCGAACGTGCTTTGACCTTTGCACTCGGCCTACTCATCACCATCGGCGTGCTCTTCTATTGCTTCTACACTGCCGCTGGGCTGGCTCTTCTACCTCTTACGCTGATCAAGACGGCCCCAGGCATTTCTGCTCCTGCGCTGGGTGAGACCAGCGCTGCCCAATTGGAAAGCAACCTTGAACGCCAAAGACAGCTTGAGGGACGTGCACAAGGCAACCCAGATGGGTTGTCATCCAAAGATCAACGAGAGCTGGATGCGCTGGTTAGGGAAGAGCGCACCCTGCGTCGCCATCAAAGACTGGCTGCTGAAGCATCAGGAGAGAACCAGAACATTTTCTGGAAGATCTGGATCAAGCTGGAAGCAGTTTTCCGACCTATCAAGCTTATCCTAGGTCTTCTCTTGGTGGTCGTTGTTCTGTTAATCTTCGTTAGCATGCTCATCACCGGCATCGACAAAGCTAAAAACTCGATTTGCAAACGACACTGTGGTTATCTCCTGGCGCACATCAATATCTTTCAGCCAATCAACTGGATCCTAGTCACGTCGGCCAAAGTTTTCCCGATCGACTATGTGATCTTCCTGCTGTTGGTGATGCTTTTCTTCAGCGCCAGCATCATTGGTATAGCGACAATTGGTATCCGGGTACTCTGGATCACAGTCTTCCGGATCCGAAAGGCCCACACATCACCTCAAGCCTTGCTCATTGCCACGGTCATGCTTACGTTGATGACCCTGGCCATCAATTACTCTATTGCGATGATGGTGGCTCCACAATACGCGACCTTCGGTCCACAAACCTTCTGCGATCACCCTCTAAAGCACCCTGGCGAACAGCCAGACTGTTCGGACCATCCGCAACACATTGTCCCTTGCACTGAGTTAAGTGATAATCCTGCGGCGCGGAATGTCTGTACACCTTCGGTGGTGTCCACCTTCCTCAACCGCGTTACGGTCAATTTTCCATTCTTCGGCGTTGTTGACTTCTGGGCACAATTTGCCTTCTTGGGCATCTTCATGATCGGCTTCATCGTTCTGCTCTTCCGCACACCGAAGCTGTCCGATCCTGAGGACGATGAAGATGCTCTTGAGGAAGAAGAGGAAGGACTATTGGCCAGTACCGGCCGCAGGTTTGGCGCAACCTGGCAGGACATTACCGGCAGAGTAAACCATCCCAACGGGCAAGGTCAATCGTGAGGGAGAGGTTCAGGGGCAGGAGTGGACGGGCGAGTAGATTGTAGGGATGTTTTGTTGGTCGCGTTGATGGAGTCAAGAGTGGGAAGCACAACACAAGTACAGGGAACACGCACAATTTGGGCTCAGGTGTTACGATTGATGGACCCTTCATATCACGGGTAATTACTCTTTCTGCACTTAGCGGGGTCTGAATCAATATCAATTGTGACTGCAAGATATCTACTGTTGGCAAACCTCAGAGTAGTCCACCTCCTATCCAGAGTGATACATACAATAGTGAGGTCACGTGCGGCCAAAGCAATGGCCTCTAGCAAACAAAACATTCGTAATCTTCTTGCTTGACCAACATCTTTTCGACGCTTTCATGAAGCAAGAAGGGAATACGCATAAGGCTTGAGACAACATGTGGTGATAAAGACCTTGTCCAGGACAGACAATGGTCCTGATCTGGGGTTTTAGATACCCAGATCTCGCCCATCATAACGTGGAGAACCCGTGTCATCTATGCGGTTCAATGTCATATCTCGGTTGGCATCGATCACAGGGGTCTGAGGCATACCTGACACAAGGATATGCAGCCGCTGGATCTGTCAGCCTCGCGGTGGGCGAGTGCTGAAGTTCGACGCGAACGCGAATATCACAACAGGACAAGAACTCCTTCACCGCAAAAGCAAGTGCGAGACACGAAACTACCGAACACAGCATCTGCGCCTACATCAAGCGCGTCAACGGCACCACCTCTCAGCTCAGCACAACGCCTGTTAGTGACCCGACAAACCGAACTGCAGCGCTTTCGCAGGCTCTTTCGCCGAGTGGCTTGGAAAGCAAACAGTCTCACTCACTGGTCGCATCGTGCACTGAACCTCGCCCAAGAACACCAATCTCACAATCATACAATTCATGCTCATCCTGGTGGCGTAGGACCACGGACATCGCTGGGCAGGTATGAAATGATCATTGACCCCATCGAGGCCGAGCGGCAATTCAAGATTGACTTTCACGAGTTCTACGCCTTGTTGGAGCGCGGCTTGGTATATCTACTAGGTGTCTGGGGCATCGTCATCACCTCTTCGGCTCCAACGACCGACCACGAGCAGAGCAGATCGACCGCGACGCCTTTCACTCCGATTAACGGCTCCTCTGCGCCCATCATCGGCGATTCCCGCACCTTCCATGGAGCATCACACCGCTTCCACGCCAATGTCCTGGCAGCACTTGACCATCCCTTGAATCCGTTGCATGCTATCCTGGGTACTGGCGACACGCGTGAGTACATTGGCGTGGCTAAAGAGTTCCGCAATAAGTGGAAAGACGTCGAGCAGCGGCCTGATGACTCGTTCAAGGGCACAGACCGCGCTGAAGAAGCGTGGGACAAGAAAAAGGTCCGACGGTACGAAGATGTACTCCGAGACCTGAAGCTAGACGAGTTGCTAGGGACCATTCTGGCGGCCCTTGAAGATGCCGGCAGAAAAGCTGAAGAGGAGGTCAAGAGATTGGAGACATTAGTCGGTGGAGCAAATCAGCAAGGGAAAGGTATCAGCAAAGATGTGGAAGATATGGACCTTGATATGGAGGACAGTCCGTTCGAAGCCATGCCTGGAAGAGCTTCATTCGAATTCGAGATGGAGCTTTGAGACGATTGGATATTCAGCGCATCAATCCACATGTGCTTCCAAGCATGTTGTGCATGGTCTGGAACCCGCCATGCATGGATGAATTGGAGTATCAGGTCCACTGGCGCATTTTCCACTTTGATTTCGTCGCACCAAAAGTACACCACATTGGACATGGTGATGTTCAGCCAAAGCAGAGAATTCTGTTATGAATAGATTATCACGTCAGACATTCTTGTAAATGTATCACAGTAGGACTTTTTGACATCGGCTATATGCTCCATTCTTCTGCGCGAGATCAATAAGAGCAATCGCTATATGTTATGCCCGACCATGCGTAAAATCAAAGCTCAAGCGCCATTACCGACATTCAGTAGTTGAAATCTAACTTTCCCCCCCAGATTGATCCAGAGTATATGCGATTTGTTCAGAGAGGGCAGTTGTTAGGTCGAATGGCCTTGAAATCGGCCTCTTTGAGATATGTCGCAGTGACGGCGAAGTAGGTGTCGATGGAAGGCAAGACCAAGTTACATCGGTCCAAGTTGATTTTGAGGACTTCTGCCTCGATCTGAGCTTTGGTGTATGATGCTCCGCTGTTAGCCAGGAGGGTCAGGCCGTTGACGACATATGAGAATGTCCCTGCGTTGACCAGGACAGCATTTGCCGCCACAACCAGCAGCTTCGGATGAGCGACGTTCAGAAACTCGGCGTCGAGGACCGCTTTGTGGATGAGTTCGTCATTTTCGTGGTTCAGGGCGTTCTGAGCCGCCGCTGTCAGTGCTGAGCCGCTCAGGGAAGCCGCTTCTGACAGAAACGCTGACACGACGCCTGTATCGGCTTGCCAGGCCAGCGCGGCGCTCTGGAGCGCAGCGTTTGATTCCTGGCGAGGAACGAGGGGTGCTGCCAGGAAGGAAGGGATGAGGCTGAAGAGAAGAACTGCTTGGGCCAACATCCTGAATCAAGGTAGTGTAGTGTGTGTGAAGGTGGGTGACTGTATCTGTAAAAAGGTATAGGCAAGAATGGAACGAGGGTGTTGGTTGAGGAAGCGACTTGTCAGCGCTGTTTGCAAGGGAAGGATATAGTGCTTTATATAGATCCCCAAGCAGATACAGCCGCCTTGCTTGTCGACATCAAGCGCATCGCCTGCTGTGGTCGGAAGCAAGTACCGTCGTCTCCTGATGGAGCTGCATCCTTTGCAGCTACCGCAAGTCATGAAAAATCCGCACCAACCTCGCTGTCATCTGTTGTTCTAGAACACAGAAATCCTCCAGACAATGTGCCCGGTCCCGGCTTTTCGTCTGAGGGCTGGCTGAATGGAAGCAGACTGTGCAGTCGTTGATGTAGCTTACGCACAGCATTGTGGGGAAAACCAAGGTCAGTCTTTGCCGTGTCCGTACTCGTCTGCGTCCTTCTGTATGTTCTGGACTCTATTCCGAGGTCCAGATGGGACAGAGACAGATTGATGGGTGTGTCAACCACTACTGCGCCTTCGCAGCCTCTGGGGAAGCCGGTAGCATGCGGCGCAGTCTCGAGCTACATGACAGCGGTCATGTTAGATTTGATTGCTGCGATTGGGTCCAACGACGCTGGAAGGAGTAAACGAGTGATACTAAGCTTTTCTTGAGCCTGCGCTTGCATGGTCAGTAGAAGCTTGTGTAAGTGCTTAGCTTCAATTTCGCAGGGCTCTTTTCAGCTGGGTTCTGACTGCCTGAACCTTAACGCCACGTACTGTGGTAGATATAATGTAGTGCGGAAAAGATCTTTGGTGCGAGCTGTCCCGGGGGCGGCATCTCGGCCTGATTAAGTATCAGGCATTGACCTACTGTGATCAGTCTGGAATTCGGACTGTGGTGGTGATGATGTTGCTCGTTGGCCGAATCTGCATATGCAGGGTTGACCTCCCATGTGGGAGGCCATTCAGACATGCTGGCTATGGCTGGATCGCGCGGCGAAGCACCAAGCAAAGTCAATCTGGACCTAGATCTACCACACCGCGGGAGGACTTTTCATGACTTGCTGCTGCTTCAAAGGGTTTGTCACAAGGTCGATTGAAGTTGCCGAGGTATCTAGGTAGGTAGTTAGAAGGGGCAGTCGACAAGTAGACTCATTTGCTAACACATTCGATTCATCGCATAAGGTAGGTCGAGCCGCCGGGCAACAATGGCGCTGCTGAGGAGAAACATCGGAAGAAGCTTTCCATCGAACGAGATACAACGAGAACCAAGAACGGTCGACACTACCCTAGGAAGGTAGGTAGACAATCGCATACGGCAGTGTGGAGAAAAGTTAGACCCCGAATGAGTGAAGCTTCTTAGCGAAGGCAGATGTTTCATCTGGGGAATGATTCGGGAGCTCGACAAGCCAAAGTGCCGAGGTTAGATTTCGTACACATTGGGCGCGGACGACAGCGAGGTTGGCAAGGCTGGCAGCAGAAGGATCAGGATCTTTGTTGTACAAGATGGTACGGATACTTCTTTCCCATACAAAATTGGTGGGATCGAAGAAGTATGCCAAAGTGTCAGTGTCACGATTCACCCCCGGAAGTCCCCTTACAGTATCTTCAATAGGAAGGTCTGCCGAGGCACTTAATCCATACCTTACGTGCCTCCGTAATTAACATTCTTCCATAGTCCTTCGTACTGCAATTTCATCCACTCAACGCATGAGCGTGATACGACACCGACATGCGACCGCGAATTCAAGGCGCGCTCCAAAGTCATTCCCCAGGTGAGATCTCTGAATCGCACCACGTGGAAAAAGCGGCCTGCAGGAACAAGAGAGAACATGCCCATATCTCTACTTCGGCGAAGAGCGATGGCTAGGATATAAACAATGACCACTTCGGGAGAAAAAGCTGGGAGGGGAACGTTGGTGATGGCAGCAGGTGAGCCACAGTCCGCTTACGACGCTGGATCCAACGCACTTGATTGCATCATTTCAACACGACGTCTCAAAAGGACGAGGCCCTTAGAATGCGAGCAAGAGCTTCGACGTGTACATCCCCCGGTACGCTTCGTGATCAATCCCTGGTTGTCATCGCCGTTCTTCAGGTCCCAAGTCAGCAAGAATTTGTGGATCATGTCTTCTTCCTTAGCTTGCACTCCTGCTTCCCCAACTGTAGCTCTATGACACGCGCCGCAGCTTCCGTGCTGTGTTCAGGATGCGACTGCCCAACTCGAACCGTTGCCACAGCACCAGCTCTTCTGCCTGTTAAAAACAGGGAAAAAACAGCTTGCGAATCTCAACCTAAAAATCCTTCAACAGTAAAAAATATCTCACTTCAAGCTCCCTAGCTTGGGCCAATTCGGCGTCTACCCCAATATGCCCCGGTGCGGTTGTTCGCGAGACGAAGTAACAGCCACACGTCCAGCCTGCAAGGGCAATAGTCCATGGTACGTATAGCGCTGATGCTTGCCAATAGGTTCCTCGATGTACTCCCAACGCACCTCCAGCGGATTGAATATCCTGGATTAAGTCAAGAGCCATAGGGATCCAAGACACATCCGTCGACGTTGTCATGGTAAAGGATGGATTGGCCGACCACAAGAGCATGAGTCCACATGTGCTTGAAACCATGTCGTGCATGGTCTGGGACCCGCTATGCCAATATCAGGTCCACCAGCGCATCTCTCATGTCGCACCAAAGTACACCGCCACGGGTTCGCAATTCACCGCCAGCAAAAGAGAGGCTATACTGTCAGCCTTTACGGCACGAACCGAGGCGACTGGAATGATCGAAGGTCGACGTGTCGCGTACTCTACGCTACGCTGGTAGTGGAAGAGTCCTTGATTTTGCTTTCTCAAGGATCTGTCTCCACAGGAAATGCAGGTCTGCGGCTCAACTCATCCCAAAACGAGGACTGGCGTCTTCACAATAGCATCTTTGAGACTGCGCCGTAAGGGCCAGGCTTCGAGACTGGTAGTATCCCTGGAACGATGCGCGATGCAAGCGGCATGCATGCTCATGGAAACCTCGACTCTAGCTTGAGGAAACAGGGATTCATTTGTGTTTTCTTCAATACACCGTTGCTGTCAAGGTAATTGAGCCCGGATTTGGGTGGAAGGACGGCGCGATGAAACGGTGGGTCTCTGAGTCTTGAGCAGCCATACTAAGGATGTTCTGGGCCTTCCTATCTCAGCCTCGGGGTAAACAGCCCCTCATCTCGGTCTCAAGCTGCGCCCCGGAAACAGGCTCCAGAATACTCGATCTGTCAATGGTCATCGCGCCGATCTTGACAGCCCGTGGCGCTAAGCTAGCCCAGGTTTTCACGTTGCTCGCATCGGGGGCTCTTTAGCGAGACAAAAGATCAGTCCTGAAATCAAAGGAGGCGTATAGTTAAGCAGCGTTATGAGCCCTCGGAGTAAGAACCATTCTTCACTGACCCGATACCAAACCTAGGGTCCTCGGACCTGCCGAGCTCAAACCGTGGAGCCGGTATAACGAACAGACATGCAACGGGGTGGGGATCTGGATCCCATTTCACCAGCCGTACGCAACGTTCCTGGCCGTTGGGCATTCAATGGAGCTTCCATCTGTCTCTCGCATACTTTCCACAGCACAGTAATGCTGCTCAAACAGAGCGCTGCAGAGGGATCCAATGATATCGGACCCAAGCCTTCGGTTTCATGACAAACTTCTCATGGTTTGGCAGATTCCGCGCAGTGGCATTACTGTATCCGAAACTCTCGGTCTGTGCGGCTACGACGGACACCGATAATCAAACATTAGCGGCACGTGGCGAACAGCCACCAAAGTCAACGTCTCTTTGTTCGAGGTTTGGACTGGCCTGGAAGAGGCTGGGGATCTTCTCCCGAGCCGGCTGAAGACTTAGGCCCAGCTTATTTGTAAATGCACCAGCATCCTTTAACGGACTGTCATTTGAGGAGGAAAACAATATGCTATGGAATCCCTGTCAGCATGAAAATCAAACACGGCATGATGAGATACCTGACCAGGCTAGCAGGCATTCCCACGTTGTGTTGCAGCCCGCGTCTGTGCGGTCAAAAGCTACTCGATAGTAGCATGTCCGTGCACGTCTCAATCGTCACCACCTCCATCTGACGTCCCAAATATTAGGGATTTTGAGATTTTGCAAATTTCGAAGCTTTGACCATTGCCATTTGGATCTCAATTACGACGACCAAAGTCGAAGGCCGAGAAGTTAATAATGGAGCCGCCTGCAATTCCATACAATCCTCATAATCGACTGTTTCGAGACTTCACAGGCGAACCGATCTCGAATTCTGTTTCGTATAGGAGACAAATGGGTGCTCACGCAGCGATTGGCGGTCCTGTAGGCAGACCGAGCTACGATGGCCGTACAGATTCTGCCCGTTCGGCCGATGGTAGAACGAACAGCTTTCGTAGCCACAGGACAAAAAGCCCTACGAATGGAGAACTGCATGAAGCCCGAGGCATGCACTCTGAATTAGCCTCGCCGGACGAGAACTATGATGACCTTCGGAAGCTGGACTTCAACCTGGGTGCAATCGATGAAGGAAAATCATCTGCTGCTTCAGTCAACAGCGTATCTCGAGCGTCTCAAGCAACTGGTGCTACGTCAACGTCCAAGAGCAGCAGGCTACCCGATTTCTTTGCACACGACGTCTTTCAAACCGTTCTTCACAACCCCACAACGTCGCACCAGCTACTCAGGTACAGCCAGTCCAGGCTATGCGGCGAGAACCTCGAATTTCTTGAGAAGGTGGACAGATACAATGCCTTACTCAACGATGTCGCCAATAACATGTTCGAGATCCACCGCGACTTCATTTCGGTCAATGCAGCAAATCAGATCAACATCCCCGACAGCATTCTCATCAAAGTGAACAAGGACCTCAAAGCTGCTCTGGCGACCACCCTTCCCAGACTCGAATCTGTTTTCGTCGATGCGCAGAATGACATTGAACGACTCGTAGCCATGGACATCTATCCTCGCTTCGTACGACATCAGATGACCATGAGCGCCGCGAAAGCCTTGGCCAGCAATAGGGTCAAATATGCCGGTCTGGGTGATTGCTTCGTGTTGACTGATCCAGCAAAGGCAGATAACCCGATCGTCTACGCCTCCGACGGTTTCGTCAAAGTAACGGGATATGAACGCAACGAGATCATCCCTCGGAACTGTCGCTTCCTGCAGAACCGGCACACCGACAAGTCTGCGGTAGGCCGGCTTCGCGACGCGATACAAAAGCGTGAAGAGTCAGTCGAATTGTTGTTGAATCAACGAAAGACAGGCGAGCCCTTCTGGAACCTGTTGTATACGGCACCCTTATTTGACGCGAGCGGCAACGTCGTCTTCTTCCTTGGGGGACAGATCAACTGTTCGACCACAGTACACAGTCAATCCGACGTGTTGAGGATATTGGCCATGTCGAACGATACGGACGAAAAAGCTGCCAATGGCGTCTTGTCGCCTCCTGCGCCGGAACAGAAACAACGACCGCGTGCAAGTAGGTTGTTTTCGTCATTCAGGAGTAAGCAGATTGTGGAGCCCCAGGGCCCGCCGGGCATGGAGGAAACCATGATCAACAAGCTTGAGAAGATGAATCTGAAGAAGCAGATGGACACGTTCTACACGGCTTATTCCAAGGTGAGTGGTCAAGCACCTACTTGAGTTGTTTGGGCTATCAACTGACATGATCATCACAGTACATCGTTGTCAATTACTCGACTTTCTACATCTCGTTTCACTCTGCCGGGATTGCGTCGATGTTGTACCCGACGAAACCGGTACCGAAGAACACGGTTTCCCAGCTCGTGGGAATGGACGTCTTCCGGTTCCTGGAGGCACACGCCAAGAGCAAACTGGGCAGCGAATTCAAACAACGCGTCCGCTCGTCGTTGAAGATGGGCCACGCGACTTCTATGGACGTCACACTATGCACACGCCGATTCATGGGGTTCGAGCGTTTCGCGACGCATTGGACACCATTGAAGAACGAGACCAACGAGGTTGGCTTCGTCATCATGACCCTGGGCAGTTACCAGGATTGAACAAGTTCGCAAATGACGATTAGGGATTACAATGGTCTGTCTCGAGATCTCATGACCTGAAACAAGAGACTTCGCCGAGAAGCAAGACGTCTCAGCACTTCTCATGGTCCGCGGCGACACTTCACAAGGAGTGGGACACATGCCCGTGATCACTCAGCGCCCCAGAGTCATGATGTCAGTTGTTGCTGCAACGGCCACGGAAACACCCGGCGCGTCTTGCACCCCCCAACGTGCAAACAAATGTGTTACTGCGACTTCGGTCAGTGTCCGCAAACATTTTCCAGAACCATGTCGTGACATGGAAATGTATGCATGGTTGACATGGGATCCCCCAGCCCAGATGGTTTGGGCCCCAGGGTCGGCCTCCAGGTGTTTTCTGGGGACTTCATGCATAATTTCCTGCGCTTAACCAGAAGAGGATGTTCATCTGAGCCTTTGATCGAGTATGCGGTTTGTCGACCAAAGATGTTGCAAGGAAACCCTCTTCATGTACAAGTACTTATATACCCCCCGTTCTGTTTTTGGTTGGGCGATTGTTTGGAGTGTTGGAAGCCGTTGAATGCTAGCTCTTAGCGGTTTCTTGAATATTATAGGTGACAGGTCGAATTGCATCTGCATATATACCTGGTAGGCACCAAGAAGAAATATCTAGCATGCCAGCCAGCCACTCGTCGAACGTTGTTCATCATTCAGTTGCCTGTATTCCTGACACTTAGCCAACCTCTGCGCAGCTGCCAAGGTGGACTCCAAAAGCTAACACTCACGAGACTCCTGAGGTGGTTATACTAAATGTCCAATCATGCCCAAAAGTAGTTTTATACAAGATGTCTAAGATCCGCTCAGAGGAGATGTATCCAAGGTCCCAACTTTGTCTTTACAGTACACTCGACGGTGTTTCATACAGACCAGGACGTGCAGATCTCAACCTGATATCAACAATCATAGCCAAAGACACATTTTCCCAGACGCAGTACCGCCAGCAATCCAGTCTTTACTGGGATGAAAGACAGCAACGGCTGGCACAGCCGTAATGCCCTCACCACCAAGTTGCGCTAGTTGCGTGCCGTCGGCACTGTAGACATCGACGAAGCTAAACAACGAGGTCAGTGGCTGCTAGGGTAGTGGATGCAGAGATTGTAGTCAACATACCGATTCATGTTCCCCACGACCAATTTGTGGATATTGTCCTCGGGGAACATTTGCCAACGTGGTTTGAGGATGGTTGTCCAGCGGCCACTATCACGCGTGTCAGTATCTGCTAGAATGCCCCGGACATAACCGTTTTGTAGATCAGTTCGACAGCTCAAGGAGTCGCGTCGAGGAGAGATGGCCATGTCAGAGTTGGAAAAAGAGGAAACGTACGTTTGATTATTATGCCGAATCACGACCTCCGGCTTCATCGCCTCCTCGTCAAGTTGGAAGCCAGACTTCCACTCCTGCATATTGGCGTTCATACCAGATTTGACCCCAAAAGAATGAACCTTGATAGTATCATCGTAACTCGTCGTGGCGACTTGTCCGGCGGTATTAAACGCCGCGTGACTCACACTTAGCCTGGACTCATGCTCGCCGACCAGACATGGCATTTTGCGCGATAACTTGCGCAGATCCCAGACCCTCAAAAACCTGTCCAGCGATGCGGTGGCGAGGTAGTGCGGTGCCAGGGGGTTCAAGGAGAATCCACCAATCTTCTTCTCGCTGAGCTGGTATAGTGTCGCGCTGCCGGCGTCCTGCCGTGTGTCGTATACGCCGAAAGCGCCGTTCAATGTGGTAAAGTATATTACATTGGGATCCGTTGCAGCCATATCGACGCCCGACACGGGTTCGTCGTCTGTCCTGTCACTCGGACCGTACACCTCCACGGCGACGCCCTTTTCAAGGTCCGTTGCGCGGATACTCGAGTCGTAACTTGCTGTGTACAAGGTTTGTGGTTTACTAGGGTGCGAGTGCATCGCCGCGATGGTACGTGTATGGGGCTTGATGTGTGTCATTTCCGGATTCGGGTCATCATCATCCTCTTCTTCGTCGTCATCTTCTTTCTTGATGTTAGGTTTTTGGCTTGCATCCACGATCCCCAATGTGCCCAGTTTATCCCCAGCAAAGACAATCGGTTTCGTGGCCGTCGGGTGAAATGCCATGCTGTATATCCTCTCCGGCGTGATCTTGATGCGATTTGGTTCCCATTGGTCCCAGAGCTCCAACGAACTCATACGTTCTCGCAACGCTTTCAATTCTTTGTCGGTGGTCTCGTGGATGTCGGACTCGTCGAACGTGCGCTCATACGGCATCGCGACGCCCTTGAGCAGGACATCCGTCCCGATCAGAGCTGTGCCATAAGAGAATTTGAGGTCTTCTGTGACCCTCTGCCGCCGTTCTCGCTCCACCTCTTTGGCTTTGACATATTGCTCTTCGGCTTTTTGCTGTGCGACTTCGCTGTCCGCTTGAATGCCAGCTAACCTCGAAGATGTGCGTCGGGGGGCGATGTCTTCTTTCTTGACCCGCTTTGCAGGAGGTTGCTTGGGTTTCGCGGCGCGTTTTTGGCCATGTTGAGCAGCGGGTATGGCTGCTTTGGTGTACAGACCGGCTTGTTGCGCCTCCTGGGTCAGTTTCCTGAGCAGCGCATCACGCTCTGCTATGTTGGCAAGTCTTTGCTTTTCGAACTCTGAGGGTTCTGCGACAGGCTGAGCACCGCGAGCCATTTTGGTCGGGTTCATGCACAATATGAAGGTTAAACTTCTGCAATGACTACTAGTACTTTCGCATATTTCGTAGAATGACGCGATGAGTTCACGCGAAATGCTACGGACGACGCGACCCGCGTAAAGTGTTTTACGACGGCACGTGATTGATCAGTATATACTACAACTCAGTGGGAATATGTACTCGAGTATAGTCACTGGATATGGGGGATAGCTTTTATCGAGCACTTTATATCTCATGCAACTAACGGACTTTGATGATGTCTTCCCACATCAACACTTCGACCTGCTCCCAATCCTGCTCCGAGTTCATCATGGCTTCGTGGGCTTGAGGGACCACGCTCTGAAGCTTTTCTTTTGCAGAGGCGTACGACAGGATGCCATTGTTCCAGCACAATTGAGCGAGCTTATCTGCGAACCATCTCTTATCTGCCTCGTGCGTATACGGCCCGTGTAATCCGAGATGCAGCACCCACAACATGATTGCCAATTCGCCGCCCTCAAGGAATCCCAGGTACAAAGAAGGGGCCGAATCTGATGCAAAACTGTCCATGGACGAGAGACAAATTCTCAATCGTGCCCTTAGCTTGTCGTAGAGAACTGGTGCGACAAGGTTTCTCAGCGAGGAGTATGAGAAGATGAGAGTAGCGAGACCTACCGCCATGTTCATTCGCTGGTTACGGAATATACCTCTGCCTTCGTTGAGTACCATCTCGCCATTCTCATCATCGTGAAGCTCCAAGATGGAATATTCGAGTTTCCAGAGCAGGCCGCTAAACGTACGACGCAGTTCGGGATTGCGGTCCGTGACCAGAAAAGATTTCAAGCTCGAAAGTACCCGGACTCGGCGCAAGATGTTCGCCACACATGATGGGAGATCTGACAGCAGAACGGCCGGCCAGGGATTGGTACTGTTACCACTTGCAGGTGTCCCAATAATGCTCTCCTTGGATTCGGCTATGACTCGTGGCATCTTGACCCGCAACCTGGTCCCATGCATCGCGGAATGAAGCATGTCAGACCATCCGGCAACCCGCTGGATATGTCTGTTCGAGCTCAAGTTGTCGATACCTCCACGCAACGCGATCAAGTCGGCAAGACCGACAGAATGAGCTGTTTGGACTTTGGCTGGCCACTCGAATTCTTGGTCGGAACTCGAGAGTATAGCTACTGCGCCTATAGTCGCATCCCTTGTAGCTTGATCTGGATCGCTCATTCTGGACGCTATAAGTCGCATGGCTTCTCCTCGATGTCTGAAATATTCTCTAGACAAATCAATCGAATAGCAATCTCTTCTGTGAATTGCTACGAGGCTCAGCGTCGCATGTATAATTGCGGGATCCATCAAAGCCACCGACATCCAGCGACCTTCTGGATTGCAAGCATAGGAGTTGGCCCAGAAAGAAGTACGATAGTACTGAAGAAGACTTTGTGTCTCGGGAGTGGAAAGGTCGACTTGAAGGGTTTGGAAAGGATCTAGCATGTCCAGATCATGGATCGGGGAGATCCTTGAGGAGTGCTCAGCCTCCAGAGGTCCCGGCACACTCTCATTCGTCCCGGGCGGTGCAGGGCCCAGTCGCCGTGCGCGATGCGTGGATGGGTGTGTATGCACGCGGCGCAATTCTCTGTTCCGACGCTTTGGTTTGGGCGTTGAGGCGGGCTTAGCTGATCGGAACCTGGAGATATGCGAGTCCATCCGACTGTCCACTTTTGCTGGTGCAAACTCCCAGCTAGGATCATTCTTTTGTCGGAGATAGTCTCTCATCACAAAGGCCCGCAAGGACTTGCGTTGTTTCGCATCTGCACTAGGCCTCGGTTTGGTGGAATCAATAGTGACGAAATGCAGCTCCCGTCTCGAGTGTGTTGAACTTGCCATCACAAGTTGATATCCGAGGGACGCGGTTATGCTGGCCGATCACTGGTCTCGTGCCAGCAAGTGACTATCAAGATAGCAGATCTCGCACGAGTAGGGCAAGATCATTGTTATATGAGACGACGTGCGCCAAATAGGCAGACCATAAGTATTGATGTGCCATAGTACATCGCTTATACGAGTTCGACCCTAGACCGTTTGGTGACCTCGTATTCGAGGCTAGGGGGCCGGCTGTTTAGCGAGCAGAAAGAATTGTGGTTGATTTTGCTGCACGATTACTAAACTCGCTGCCAAAGCAGTCACCAAATGAAATAGCTCAACTTGATGATTCAGGACTGGTGCCCGTTAATCGTCGCATGCACCCATGTAATGTTGTATGAAAGGCTAATCTTGAGGTACTACCGCATCTGGGGTTGTCATTAGTCACCCATGTTGATCAGTTCGTTTCGTCAAGGCTGTTGATGGAACATACCGATGGCGTATGCAGGCGGAGAAGTCCATAATCTCGGCTTATGATGCAAAAGAAGGTATTCAACGTCGCGGCGGCCCCCGAACGAAGGTGGCCACAATATCGATTTCGCCTCAAAGCGACTACCACAGGCGACGTGGTTGATGACAAAGTCTTTACAGCCATGTAGGGTCGTAGCACGTTGACAGTGCAGCTGAACATTGAAATGTGGCTTTGAACCTTTCGGCCACTGCTTCCAGAGTACGAGTACTCCATATAGTGCTAATAATCGTCTCTCGAATGTGGCGATCGTTCATCCCCTCTCATGTTCAATCCGCCTTTTGTGCCTCCAGATTACTGACATATGCAAGGAGATACTTGCAGCATGTCAAGGCATATTTACAGGCCTTGGTAAAGTTCTCATCTTGGTTAAACCCAATACCAAGCTTGATCGAAACATTGCCGATCTTGTCGTCTTCAGTGGTATACGGTAGCGCCCTTTTCGTTTGTATGTTCCGCGAAGACGCACTCCTGGTAGGCGTAGGTTTCGTGTTGAGGTCAATACTGGATGTTCTCTCCACGTATTTACCGAGCTGTCCCAAGCAGTCTAGGAAGGCAACCATACCGTTATCGAACCGCCGAGAATTGAAGAGTCGCCCTATCGGCATGTCACCACTGCTGAACAGATCCAGGACAGTGATTTTGGGCTCAGGATGAGCAGCTGCTGAATGTAACCCTCGATCTTGAGTACCTGCGCTTTGTCTGGCTGTGCTCGGAGATTGTTGAGGGTATTCCAGTTTCTCGATACGCGACGTGCTGCCTTGAGGTCGGAGACGATAGCCTTGAAATGTGTATTTTAGCCTCTCTGCAACAGTGGCCAGCAGGAGCAGAGTCTGGCCCCAGGCAGCGTTGATCTCCCCCCAGTCGACGTTTTGGTTCGGCAACCGTCCCAGTCGCAATCCATTGATGACTCCAAAATAGCCATCGTGACCAATGCAGAATGTGTCATTATAGACATTGGTACGTTGCAAACGCTCGAGCTGTTGACGGTCATGCGTATACTTTTCCTGCAGCGACAACAATCGCACAGTGCTGTCGTGCAATTTGTCGTTGACGGCATTTCGAGACGTCCAGTATGCTTGTTCCTCAAGGTCGGCCTGTTGACTCTCCTCTTCCAGCTTCCCAATCTCTCCTTCCACTTTTTGCGACTCATCTTCGGTCCGTCTCAAGTGGTCGAACGCTGTCTCATTGGCCCTTTGCGCATTGGGTTTCTCTTGTTGACCTTTTTGGTCATTTCCCTGGGAGGAGATTGTCTGCTGCACAGACTTGAGGAAAGAGTTGTATGCATCTCTTTCTCTATTGGAGCTTGTCAGGCGTGCGTTGAACGAGGCTAACAGTATAGACGTGCATTCTGCGCAGATGGGCTGGTCAACATCAGAATGAGAGGACAGTATGGCAAACAGATCCCTCGCAATTGCATGCTTGTCTTTTGGACGTCGCCGCTTCTTCTTGCCGTTCTCCCTGCTATCGTCGTCTTCTTCCTCGGGGCTCTTCGTCTGGCGTCTGATCATGTCTTTGTCAGGTAGAACAGCCTGAGATTGTGTTATCTCGATAAAAGACATGTCGGGATTTCCGTTACTGAGACCATATCCTGCAGCCGCAGGCACAGTCGTAGTCGTAGTCGACTCATCTTGTGGTGCCGGGATAGTTCGTTTGTATACAGGAGAGCTGAGATGGGCAGAAACACGGTCATAGAGATTTCTTCGTTCCTGAGGATAGTTCGAACGTGATAGACTGTTCGTAGGCTTCTGCGCTTTACTGGTAGATGCTGGGAACCGTCAGTGCGAATGAAGACATAAATGGGCAGGTGTAGCACTTGCCAACCAAGAGATCGAACGAGGCCGGGTTCAAGTCTTGAATGGTATTGTCAACCTCTATGGGCTGTCGACATTTCTGGCAATTCATCCCGAGCACATGGTCGAAACAATGAAGACTGCGGATGTCAACAATGTCAATACGTGAGTTGAGATGAGGGAGCCCCCGGAAAGGTGAAAGTGACCACAAATAAACCCATGACGCACTTCGTCAAGAGACGCGCCCATCATCTGCCCGCGACGCGCCGGCGCATTCATTAAGTACTTTGTTTAAATACATTATTGCGCCCTCCCTTTCTACATTGATCGACTCAAGGGTTTGATTACGAAAATGTACACTGTATTCGCTGCAGGCGTACAGTCCCAGCCATCTCACCTTCAGCGAGTACTCTCTGATGGCTCGGATACCAGCGCAATCGAAGAACCGTTCCGGAAGAGGCCCCGCCTTTCTATGTTCGCCGACGAAAGTTCAGACGAAGTCCTCGACGAAGACCTGGGTACCCTACGTTCCCGCAATGACAAGCTGCTCAAGTCGCGGTTTGAATCTATCTTCGAGAAGTACTCTCGCGACTTCACTGGTGTTGGGGACGAGATCAACTTGTGGACTGGAGAAATCGAGGTGAACAATGGACATCTACACGGATCAAGGAATGAAACAGACACTGGTGCCGAGGATGCCTCCAAGGGCAAATCACTGTTACGGGCAATGACGGAGGCTGAAGGCGCTGAAGACGAATACTTTGACAACGAAGGTGCTGATGAGGTGCTTCAGAGTATCGAGGAAATCGTTGAAAATGCTGCCTTATCGTCTGATGAAGAAGAAGAAGAAGTCCCTATGAACAGTGATGACGAGCTTTTTGCTCCGGTACAGTCGCAACCTGATTTCCCAGCACCTGAGGTACCTTTGAGGAGTAGCACTATCAGGACTGATGCACCCGACTCCGACGGCGATTCCCTCTTTGAGGTCTGCAACCCTGTCAGATCAGACAGCCCGGATTCTTTGTTTGAGGTACAGCAGCCCCCGAGGTGTGATAGCCCAGACTCTCTTTTCGAAGTTCGCCAACCAGAGGAAGACTTGGCCGGCAGAGACACCGCTAAATCTTCACTGGAGTCGCTGAGACAAGACGAAGAAATCGACGAGACCCTGATCATGGAGAGGTTCGGGCCAAAGATGGGCGAGGAGGTCCTAGCCATAGTGCGCCAGGCCCAGAGCACAGCAGCAGAAGCCCATATTGAACCTGCATGGCGCATACCTGTCAACGCAATTCCACCCAGAACAGCTCGCTCAACGTCTAGCTCCCGGACCCCTTCAGGCTCGACTCCTCTCCCTCAGGCGGTTCATGAACCACCCTCCCCCGACCATGGCAAATCACTGTGGCAGCCAAGCAACGAGGGCAGGACGGCACGGACGAAGCACCTGATGCGTTTTAGAAGAACCATCAGGGCCGACTCTGAGGATCCCCTACAAGGCGATTTTCCACTTGAGGCTGAAGCCCGGTCTGATGGTGGTGATGACCCGGAGTGGACGCTTGCAGAGCAAGACGAGGAAGAAGAAGATGATGAGGATTATCGAGATGGTACAGAGTTTGACATCATGAGTGGGAAGCAACGTCACTTCGAAAACGAGCATGTTGATCTGATGAAGCAGGGCATCTGCTCATTTTGTCGCCGCAAGTTCGCTTCAAGAGGCGGAGTTTTTACCCACTGGAGAAATCTGGTGAGAGACTCCGACAAGAAAGGGACGGATATTGACGAAGTGCATGACATGCACTGGATCAGAGGGTACCGGGCCGAAAGCAACACCAAACCCAAGAGGCCGAGACTAGCACTTTGTGACTTCAAGGCCATGGTTGAATTGCATGAAGGGGCTGGGTTGTCTTTTGCCGAGATCGCCAAATGTAAAGTCCTCCGGACAAAAAAGACCGGACCCGTGCTGAATGAGGTGTATGACAAGTTCCGTACAGTGCCTGGGGATCGCGATCTTGTTGACGAGCGAAAATGGTCAGAGAAGGAGCTTCGGATCCTGGACGAATTGCGTCAGGATCCCTCGCATGAAGTCGCCACGTTCGCGAAACGTCTACCAGGATTCAGCGACACTAACATCGGAAACAAACTCGCTGAGATATGGTTGAAGCCATTCCGCGACCGAAGGGAGGCAGCAGCAATCCAGTCTCGGCAACAGTCCGGCAGACGGCTTCATCGCCAGTCTTCTGTCGAAATCCTGGAGATCAAAGAGGAAGATTCTGATGATGAACTTTTCGGCCCTCGATAGCCCGGCAGACTCATGTCATGTCAGGTTTGTGCCGTTCAGAATATCGTCGATGGTCGTTCGGGCTTCTCCACCGATATCACCTATCTGGTCCCAAAACTTGGACAGGTGTCGAGCTCCAGAGTCGCACAGAATGGTCACGACCCGGTGACCAGCACCGAGTGTCTTAGCTGTTCGAAGAGCAGCAACGCCTGTCCGATGTTAGCATAGCGCTCTTGTCAGTGCTAGTATGAGGTACTCACAATTGACTGCACTGCTACTTCCGATGAAGATGCCGTCTTGTTCGACAAGCCACCTCGCCATGTTCTTCGCTTGAGCATCCGTGACCTTGACTGCATCGTCGATCAGTTCTTTTCCCTGCTCAAAGTTGGCCGTCGAGCGTGTCAGACCAATGCCCTCGACCATAGTATCAACCTGGTCTCGTCGTCGCGTTCCTTCCCTTTCCAGGCTGTGGAACATGACCCCGTGCTTGATCTTGTTGTACAGCCCACTGCCCTGTGGATCCGCCAGCACGACTTGCACATGTGCTAGCTTTTCCTTCAGGAACATAGCGACCCCGGACAAGGTGCCGCCCGTCCCAGCTCCGGCCACGAACGCATCGACTCGCCCTTCTGCTTGCGCATAGATCTCTGGCCCAGTACCCTCGTAGTGCGCTTTCCAGTTGGCTTCAGTCTCAAATTGATTCGCAAAGTAGCCCCTGCCTCTTCGGTTTGCGTCAGCTGTATGCTCGCGCGCCAGGTTTCTCGCACGATTGACGAAATGCTCCTGGTCGACGATCGGTGCGGGCGTCACACGCTCAACCACTGCGCCCAGCTTGAGCAGTAAATTCGACTTCTCGAAGCTCTGGTCGCTCGGCATGCAGATGTGTGCCAGGTAGCCTCGCGCCCGACACAGTACGGCAAGCGATATCCCCGTCGAGCCGACGGTGCCTTCGTAGATGGTGTCACCGGAGTGAGGCGTCAAGAGACCTTCTGACTCTGCCCGGGTGATGATGCTCAGCGCGACGCGGTCTTTGGGGCTGTTGCCCGCGCCGTTCAGGAACTCGCATTTGGCCAGTAGGGTACAGCCTGTCGCTTTGGACAGAGACTGTATCTCTATGAGCGGCGTGTTGCCGATGGTGGACTCTATGCCAATGCTCGCAGGTCTGAGGGTCTGCTTTTGACTTTGTAACACGGCTTTAGTCTCGGATTGGGATGTCGCTCGCTCATAGTACGGTGCTGATATGTACCGTCGGAGCTGTTCGACCGCGATGGCCACAGCGATGCCGGAGGTCAAGCCGACGAGAAGTTCGCGACTCGTCCATTGCATGCTTGCCTATGCGTTGCCAGAGAAGAAGCTTGCTAACGATAGTCAAATAGTCGTTGGTAAGCTCTTCACCATATTGGCCGGCTAATACTCGGAAGAATGATAGTTGACCTCCGCATTCAGTTGTTGCTTGCAAGTTTGTGGCGCATGGTAGTAAACCCTACGACTCATCGCAACCGACGTCGCACTCCGGAGGCTTTGTCTGCTGTCAACAGGGCAGGTCACTGAATCTTCTACTGACCTGGTGCGCTGCAAATGGATTCTCCAGCCGTCACACGCATATTCCAGCAGCTCTTCGCCAGACCGTCTCGGAAATGCCTTCATACCGCGAATGCAGCTCGACGCTGTGCAGGCCCGTCAATCGGCCAGTATAGACCATACTCTGCACGGCGCTCAGACACTCTCAGAGATGGAGGCAGCTCATGGCAACAAAGAATCGATGCCTTTCCAAAGGACATGAGTCGCCAACTGAAGGAATACCCTCGAGTCACAGCACGCGACCTCCAGCACCGCACCCAACGACCTCGGAGGGTCAAAATGTATACTCGAGAGTTCATCGAAGGTAAGAATACCCAAGCCATACTAGACCACATCCTGACAGTGTCCAGACAGCCTATACAATCCCAACTACGGCTACTTCACGAAACATGCAACCATTTTCAACGCCAGCCAACCTTTCCACTTTCCCTCCATCAAAGACGGGTCAGAATTCAACCGTCTAGTCGACCAAAGCTACATCGACTTCGAAGACGCCCTCGACGCAATCCATGAAGACGAGCTACGCCAGCTCTGGCACACTCCCACCGAACTCTTCCGACCATACTACGGCGAAGCCATCGCCCGCTACCTCGTCACGAACTACAAAATGACCCTCTTCCCCTACCACGACCTGATAATATACGAGCTGGGCGCGGGCAACGGCACTTTAATGCGCAATATCCTGGACTGGATCTTCGAGAACGAGCCCGAAGTCTACGAACGCACAAAATTCAAGATCATAGAAATTTCCAAGTCGCTAGCCGACCTGCAAATGACCAGCCTCGACCGGTCGCCCTACGCAGAACTACATCGGGACCAAACGCAGATCATACACCGCTCCATATTCGACTGGAACGAGTACGTCCATTCGCCGTGTTTCATCCTCGCGCTCGAAGTCATCGACAACTTCCCGCACGACTCTATACGGTACGATCCCGACACCGAAGAACCGCTACAAGGTTCCGTCTTGATCAACGAAGATGGCGAATTCTTCGAGTTTTACGACCGCAACCTCGACCCCGTGGCGCAACGCTATCTGCTTATCCGCGAAGTCGCTGCTCGCTCACCCTTTGTTACGCCCGTCTCACAACCGAAATTCCTACGTCAATTACGCCATTCGCTCCCACTGGCGCCTAACCTGACGAAACCAGAGTACATACCGACACGGTTGATGGAGTTCTTCGACGTCCTCCATAAGTATTTCCCGGCGCACCGTTTGGTGTTGTCGGACTTCGATTACCTGCCCGACGCTGTGGCCGGGATCAACGCGCCGGTCGTGCAGACAAGGTATCAGCGGCGAAACGTGCAGGTCACGACGCCGTACGTGCAGCAGGGGTATTTTGACATCTTCTTCCCCACCGACTTTGCTATGATGGAGGACATTTATCGCGCTATCACGGGGAAATTGACACGCGTCTCGTCGCACAAGTCCTTCATGGAAAGCTGGGCCTATGTGGAAGAGACGCAGGTTCGAAATGGCGAGAACCCTATGTTGAGTTGGTATGCGAATGCTAGTATGATGACTACCGTATGAGGAAGGCAGACACGGGAACACCCACAATGACCATGTCATGATAGTCGCTCAATGGCTTTTATTCATGACATAGTCTAGACCATGGGCAAAGATACCACTTTTGATACTCATCAAGAGTGTCCACCACCTGGACGAAGCTTACCATGTAGCTTAGCCTTGCACTCTGAATGTCCTACCGCTTGCGGTCTTCCTTTCTCGTTCCTCCGTCTCCGGTCTTGCGCGATTGAGCACTATATCTTCGATCAGCACTATGCCCTCGAAACTAGGGACACAAAAAGACAAACCTTGCAGGAAGTCCGCCGTTCTCCGCCGCATTCTCGAATGAATATACGCCTTTGACGCTTTGATGTGGTAATGGAAATAGTCGCGGAAAGTCTGGATGTGAGAAATGACATCCTCACGGCGCTGCCGTGTCAAATGTCGTGGGAAGAGGACTGCCATCAACATATCAGCCAGATTTATATATGCCTTGAGTGAAGGCATCTTACCAAATGTAATGAACCCCAATTCCCCTTTCTCGCCCGTCTTGCCCACTCCCTTGAGCCCCTGTAGCTCCAAAGGCGGGTCACTCCTAAACAACACCTGCGGAGCGTTCTGAATGGCGCGCCGTCTCGCATCCACAAACTCCTGCAGAAATACCTTCGCGAAGATACGATCGACCGCATCGATGAACAACGTCGAGAATATCACGGTCACTCGATCGTGGCTGGCTTTGATGTATATGGCTTCTTCCTCGCGGTAGTGTATCGCCATGACTTCCCCTCCTTCTTGGACACCTTGAGGCGCCGACTCAGAGGTGTACTTGGCCGCTTCCTCGGACAATTGTGCAAAGTCGTCGTAGGCCTTCTCAAACGGAGCGGCCATGACGTTGCGTTTCAGCAAAGAGATGCGGCGGACTAGTTCTTCCTTCTCTTCAGGACTGGACGGCAGGCTCTCTAGGTCGATTAAGATGGAGAAGTCGTAGCCTGCTTCAGTCGAGGTGATGTAGCTGCCGTACTCGCGCTGGAGGACGGCTTCGGCACCATACTGTACAAGTTCGCTGTAGCATTTTATGGCCAGGGAGATGAGGATCTGGGTTTTCGAGGTTGGTGTGGAGATGTGGAATGTCACGCCGTCGAAGTCGGATACCACTTGGTCTATTGATTGAGGAGGGGCGCCGGAGAAGCGTTCTGTGAGGATGGATTGGAGCAGGACATTCTGGTAGTCGAGGAGGAGCATCTTGAGGTGTTTGGCTGCGGCGCTGCAGCTGTGGTGAGGGTTGGTTGTGTTATATTAGGATGTCCCTTGCCAGTAATCAAAGCATGCAGAGCGTATCTTGTGTAGACAGAACTTCCAGGCCAGTTTGATTGGAACAAGGGACTGCAACCTGCTTGGTATAGCAGTTCGGAGACTGCGGGCAACGCAAGTCAAATGTCGTCCCCAATTGCTGGCAGCCTTGCCATTGGCGGGGCTGAAGTTATGGCTTGGCATGTTTCGAGGGTTTGTTCTACCTCGACTCCAATATCGAAAAAAAGTTGATGGACTCCTCGACTTTTGCGACAAGGTTTACTGCGCGATGGTCAAGTCATATTTGTAAGTCTGGTCTCAGTGTTTTGATGCTATGATGGTTACTGACTAGTCCAGAAAGTTTGAGCACAGCAAGACCTTCGGCCAGATCTGTACCGCCTCTGCCAACGTCGTATGGGATCCTTCTGGCGGCGATGATACGACAGGCAGAGGTGGGGCAGGTGTCGCTTACGTCGGAGCGAACGAAGATGTCTTGGTGTGGGACCTGAAGAAAGCCGAAAGAGTCGGGATATGGACTGTCCAGGACAATACCGCTGTGGTAACGGTGATTTGCAGAAGTGAGACCGATCCGGATGTCTTCGCAGTCGGCTACGAAGATGGCAAAATACGGATCTGGGATTCTCGCACAGCCACGGTGGTGATCACGTTCAATGGGCACAAGACTGCCATTACATACCTCAAATTCGACCGGTCCGGTGCAAGGCTGGCGAGTGGGTCGAAGGATACGGACATTATCCTCTGGGACTTGGTCGCGGAAGTCGGCCTCTATCGTTTACGAGGTCACAAAGACAAGATCACTTCCCTCAATTTCTTGACCGCCGCCGACGCGCAAGCCACGAACGGGGCAGATACAGCCGAGGCAGCCGAAGACGACACCTCCGACACCTTCCTTTTATCGACCAGCAAAGACGCCCTGATCAAGGTCTGGGATCTTTCGACACAACACTGTATCGAAACCCAGGTGACGCAAACAAATGGTGAATGCTGGGCATTGGGCCTTATGCAAGATGGGACCAGCTGCATGACCGCCGGCAATGACGGTGAACTTAAAGTGTGGTTGATCAATCAAACTGCAATGCAGCAAAAACTTCAGAACAGCGAGGAAATTGCACAAAATGTCCTCGTGGAGCGCGGAACGCTGTATCGGCAGGGACGTGACCGTCCTTTAGCCGTCAGATTCCACCAACGGCGGGAGCTGATCGCTGTCCATGGCTCCGATAAGACAGTCGAATTGCTACGGATACGATCCGAGAACGAGGTACGGAGGACTCTAGTACGCAAGCGCAAGAGAAGGCAAGAGAAAGCAGAGACAGCCGCTGATGCCGACTCAGGCGTCGATGTGGCGGACCATAAAGAAGACACCACGGATATCTCGACGGCGTCAGCTGCAGACTTTTTCGTGCCGTACATCCTGGTACGTACGGGTGGGAAAGTCAGATCAATAGACTGGGCTGGACACAATCGTGGAAAACCGGTTCAGATCCTCGTGGCGACGTCGAACAACCAGCTCGAGCTATTTGATATTACCGCCTCCGACAGCAAGAAGACGGCCGAAGCGCCAGACTACAGTCGAACACTTTCCGTGGACATGCCAGGACACCGGTCGGATATTCGGTGTGTTGCCCTCAGTTCAGATGACAGGATGCTGGCGACGGCGTCCCACGGCAGCTTGAAAATCTGGAATACTAGGACCCAGAGTTGTCTGCGCACGCTCGACTGTGGATATGCACTCTGTATGGCCTTCTTGCCGGGAGACAAGATTGTTGTGGTGGGAACCCGAGAGGGGACGCTGGAAGTCTTTGACATTGCGGCGTCGACATTGCTTGACACCATCAATGCTCATGAACGGGACATCTGGTCGCTAAAAGTCAGCCCGGACGGAAAGTCTCTGGTCACCGGATCGGCAGACAAAAGCGCCAAATTCTGGCAATTCAAGGTGGTGCAAGAAGAGGTGTTAGGGACGACTCGCAAGAATTCGAAGCTCACACTCGTCCACTCACGAACATTGAAGGTTACCGACGACATTCTTAGCGTTTGCTTCTCTCCTGATGAACGGTTACTGGCGGTCAGCACGCTCGACAACACTGTCAAGGTGTTTTTCGTTGACTCACTCAAGCTTTTCTTGTCACTTTACGGACACAAGCTGCCTGTGTTGAGCATGGACATTAGCTACGATAGCAAGCTTATTGTCACCTCCAGCGCAGACAAGAACGTTCGAGTATGGGGCCTGGATTTTGGCGATTGTCACAAGGCCTTTTTTGCCCATCAGGACAGCATCTTGTCTGTATTATTTGTCCCCAACAACAATGAAGGAAATGGCCACCACTTTTTTTCTGCGTCAAAAGACAAAGTGATCAAGTATTATGACGCAGACAAGTTCGAGCAGATTCAGAAGCTGGAAGGTCATCATGGTGAGATTTGGGCTATGGCGGTAGCTCATTCTGGTGATTTCTTGGTTAGTGCCAGCCACGACAAAAGCATCAGGATATGGCAGCAGACGGACGAGCAGATCTTCCTCGAAGAAGAGCGAGAAAAAGAGCTCGAAGAATTGTACGAGAACACCCTTCTCACATCCTTGGAAAAAGATGAAGAACAGGCCAACGGTGACGATGAGCTCGAGGCAACGACTGCTGGGAAGCAAACTGCGCAGACACTGATGGCTGGTGAGAGGATTGCGGAAGCCCTGGAACTCGGGTACGAAGATCTCAAACTCATGCAAGGGTATGAGAAGGAAAAACGGACCAATCCTAAAACTGCACTTCCACAGCGAGATCCTGTCTTTTTGGCCAACAACAATGTCTCTGCATCTGTGTATGTGCTCAACGTCTTCCAGAGGATACCTTCAGCATCCCTGCAGGATGCACTTCTGGTGTTATCGTTCTCTCAACTTCCAGTTCTGTTCACCTTTCTTGCTCTATGGGCAAAAGAAGGTCGAAATATCCCTTTGACCTGCAGAATCTTGTTCTTCATGCTGAAGACTCATCAGAAGCAGATTGTGAGCAGCCAAGCGTTGAGAATCACGTTAGAAGAGGTGCGTGACCGCTTACGGCATACTCTGCAAAAGCAAAAGCATGATCTGGGTTTCAATCTTGCGGGCTTGAGAGTGCTCGGTCGCAGGGTGAGAGAACTTGGCGAGAGCGATTATGTCGACGAGACGACCTGGCAGGACACTACAGTCAACACGGCTCGAGGCACGAAAAGAGGGTTCGTGACCGTGGCCTGAGATCATTTTGGACGGGCAATGTTGTTGTGCATGCTGATGACTTATGAGATCGTGTTCGGGCGCAAGACTATTGATTGACAATGCGTTCGATCATCCCCCAGTCCTGCAAACTAATAAAGTGTATAATGTTTTGTGACCTGCATTTTTGCGCACCTTATGAGCGTTGATCTGCCGATCCGCGAATGTCAGATACGCGAAGAAATAGATCGTGCCTATCGGAGCAACCCAGTATGCAACAGCAGCAGGGGGAATAAACCTTCACTTTGACTTGAGCCACAATCTCCGGCATCAGTCTAAGTTTCGGCAGATGCAATCATCACTTCTCGATAGACTGGTCTTCATCCCGGCCTGTTGAGGTTACGAATATGCCAAGCCAGAGGATGAGGCAATGCTTCCGGGGGTGGAGACGTAATGCTTGCAAAAGGTTGAGTTTTGCGTTTCATTATTGTATCGTCAACCCGGCAAGGAGGCTGCACTCGACAGGGACCTTCCTGCTGCCTGTGGGTATGTGGTAGATTCACCAGGGCCTGATTATTAATTATCACCATTCTCTTACCATGATCACTGTACCGTCTCCTGTCTTGCCCGAGAACCCTTGTCATCCGCGGCGCGCAATCACGCTGTCTCCATGGGGATCCCCTTGCTCAAACCTTTCCTTTGGGTTGTTGGCAAAACGCGGGTGAATGTGCTTGTGGGCTCCTGATGCATGGACCTGGGCCTTGCAGCGAAAAAAGATTTGGAAGAATTCTGAGATGTAGATACTGCCGGAGATAGGTCTCTGCAGCAGAAACTCAACCGACCTATACGTCCACGGTAAAGACCCATCATGTTCTTTGCCGGCATACTGAAAGGTCTGGTTGTTCGAACAAGAAGGCGGGCGGGCGACTGACACCTGCCAAAAGACAGATGCATGACAAAGGTCTAATAAAGCAAGTCAATGCAGGAGTACTCATCTTGTGTATACATCACAGGAGGGGGTTTCACAGATCATGTATCCGAGATCTTGGTCTGAATTGGGTCCTTCAAATAAAGTCAGGACCAGATTCCCGGTAAATCTTCCTTGCTGCCGCCTCATTTACAGCGGGCGGGACAGGAGACGGTGTTCCTGGACGACGGAATTGGCCAGTACTCCGGGCTCGCAAGGGAGTCTAGACAAAGACCTCGGCGACGCCGTGTGGAGGATGATCTAGTATCTGCTGCACATGGGTGACGGTCTGAAAAACAAGAAACAGCAACACGAAGCGACAGCCACAGACTATAGTATGAAGAGGTGCAGTGGTGAGGTTCGAGTAAGTGGTGTGATAAGTTTAGGTCAATAATGTGAAACTATTATACGAACAGAATGAAGGAGGTCATCAATTGTGAGATTGCGGCTGCAGGTGCGAGAAGAGAGCAATTACAGTACCCCTCAATTTACTGCCTGCGATGCCTTATTCTCAACCTCACTTCTACTACTGTAAGACACTCCTTGATGAACCTCAATTCGTACACTGCTACTTCGCCTGCAAGGCATTCCCGACAACGACATGATACGATCCATCTTTTATGGAATTCCGTGTGCCAAACAAAGAAATCCTCCTTCACATTGGTGGACGCTCGAAACCCGCTCAACTGCATGCCTATTTTCTTAGACCCTGCACCTTCGCTTGAGGCGCCTCGTATTCGCCAGAAACCATCATCGATCTGCCAACGATACTCCTTTGACCAGGTCCTCCCCATGCCGACGGTTGCCTCCTCACCCTAGGAAAATTATCATTCCCAAACTAGCTTCGCAACGGCCTGCCGTTGTCTTGTGCAGTGGTCATCGTCCATTCGAAGCGTCTACCTACTACGATATAGTATGGTACAGGGACCACATACGCGTTGATGATACACGCTATGAGAACCCAGACTTATCAGCACTGGGTCGACTTGGCGCATGATAGGAATGACAGCGGCCGAACTCAGCGCCGACCTCCACTCACCAGAACAATTCTGCATTATTCACTACACGAGTTATGCCTGTCGTCCACTAACTATTGTTGTTGTTGTCCCACAATGATTTGAGTCAACAGGCAGGGTTCTGGATCAACCTCAATAGCATTGAAGGGCCACCTCCGGCATGTTCCAGCAACTACCGCAAGCTAGTTCACTCGTTTTCTACCAATGACGACTCATGTTGGCCGCAAGCTCCTTCAAGTAAGAGGTGTCATTTCCCACAATCGATATGGTGAAGCCCTCATAACAACCCAGTAAAGCAAGACACCAAGATAATCCGAAATCGAAACGCTGATGATAAGATTCATGACGCTTGGAATATCATCCCTGCAAGCAGGCCTCAGAAACGCGGGACGAAGCAAGGCCACGGACTACTCCGGCAAAGTGGTCACGATGCTGTTTAGAGTGTTCGCAATAAATTCTCACCGGCCGCCAGACACTCCACCGGACAGTCCCGGCTACCGCTCAGAGATCTGACATGGGCTCCTGGGTGGGACGATGATCTGCCCGAACCAAGAGGTCTGTAAACCTTGTTTGTCTCGCGTACTGGGGCACTCGGGCGTGCATAAGCGGCCGCCATAAAGCAGGGGCCTTGCTCATCTTTAACAAGTTGACCACGGTAACAGCTTGTTTTGGGACGTGAGAGCGCATGTGGCGTTCTGTCTCACCCCAAAAGTGGCTTTTAACCGTGGACGCTAGCCTTCTCAGTTCCCAAACTCTTCGTCTGCTCAGCTGTCAGATCCGGACGCGATCGCAATTCCAGCGGTTTTGCCCTACAATTGGTGTCTGCACGCCCCCACAAAGTGCCTAGCTGCAACTAATGACATGGTCACACTCCTAGGAATAATGCAGCAAGGGCCTCAACGGTCAAAACGCTGCGGCTGCAGACTTTGGTACTCGCAATCTAGTTCAGGTGTTTGACGTGAAAAACGAGTCTCGATCCAATCACGCCCCACGGAACAAGGCAACCTATTACCACTTTCGCAGCAAGCATCAACGCTGCTGTTGTTGTTGTCGTTGCGGTTACCTAAATGGAACAACCCCGCTGATGGTCCACGAGTCGCGTATTGTTGCAAGTGGCATCAAGTATCTCATTTCTTACAGTGCAAGCCTTGGAACACGGCAACCACTGCACTCTCAGCTGAGAAGAGGACTACGATCCCGCTTGGCGTCACAAGTCGTGTGCATACTCTGCCCAGGCAATAGATCTTCTGCTTGGGTGTGAGGATTCAGTACGACTACTACAGGAAACTGTCTCCGGACTGGATCCAGAGCAACAAAGAAATGACATGAGCTTAAAGACCTTTTAACCCCATTTTTCGTGGTTACTTTCGAGTCACTCAACGCATGAACATCTGGATCCCCCTTGGTGGGCAAGGGTAAATTTGTCACGAAACCTTTTTTCTTTATACTTTAACGGGTTAAGTCATGATCATCTGGACTGGGTCTAAGTACCCATGCCCAGAGATCGATCCAGTGGAGCCCTGGCGTGCTTAGGTCGATGGACACCCGAATTACAGTCCTTTCTTCAGTTTCCTGCGCATCATCAGTCCTCATTTGACATCTGGAAAGCCAACGAATGGCAGCCCCCCTGGGCGCTGTCTTCAGACTATGTCAATTGTCAATTGGTTCAAGAAACATTCTCCGTTTTTGCACTACATGGGGCATGCGGCAGAATTGTACCGTTCAACGCACCCATCTCCTCTCCTAGATTTTACGTTGGCTCATGACAGGGCGCTAACTCCTGGATAACTCTTGTGGGTCTGAAATCGGCTTTCCTTCTCCTCAACTGATAACTACACAGTACGTACACCGAGATCCCAGCCGGGCTGTCCGAATAGGGACGCTTCAAAAGGCTTTCTATGGCCCGATGCTAGCTCGTGCTTCTAGGTGGTCTTTCCCGATCTCTTAGGGTCAACTCTACACTGTGATGTTGATGTACGTACACACACTACTGCTATATCCTCCGATCGACTTGACTCAAATGTCCCAAAACAGCTGATCGGCACTCCTACTCTTACCCCAAGCTCAGCCGTGGTGCTGCCTCTTTTCCCGAAACGTTCCAAGACCAGGACCGTACCGACCAGTGGTTTGTCAAAAGACTCGACATTTATCTGGTCATATTTCTGGCGCTTATTCCTCACCTACATCCTGCTACCGGCCTTTGGGAAGTTATATTCGAAGAACCGTTCTCTTGACGTACTGCTTGTTGAGATTGCCTGTCACGACTGATCACGTCCGACGTCTTGGTTACTGACAGCCGTTGGCTCATCTGGACTAGAGCGTCTCATGAAAATGCTCTGAAAGTTCAGGCAAGGACTTATATCTTCGACTATACATAGCCTGACGATTTCATTTCTGTCTGTTGCAGCAAAACGACACTCTTTTCCGCGCTTTGTTTGAGAATCCCCCTCTCACAGGCGCCTTTACCGCACTAGTATGTCACGATCCAGCCGGCGAGGACCATGGTTGCCTGAAGAGGATAACGCGTTACTACACCTTGTAGTAACTCAAGGCGCAAAGGACTGGGTTCGAGTTTCACAACACATGCAGCATCGCTCAGCAAAGCAGTGTAGAGAACGGTACCATCAAAACCTCAAACCATCTCTCAACCACGAGCCCATCACAGCCCAGGAAGGCGAGCTGATCGAACAGCTGGTACAGGACATGGGAAAGCGGTGGGCCGAGATTGCACGGCGGTTGGGGAACCGTAGTGATAATGCGGTCAAGAACTGGTGGAATGGCAGCATGAACCGACGGAAAAGAACCACAGTTCATTCAGGCAGTGGAACCAAACTGGTAGGATATCGAACGCAACCGATCCCGGCTTCAGCACCTCCACGATCTCACCATCCACGAGAGCCATATGTTGCTCCCCGAGACTCATATGGTGCTCCATATGCCCTTCCACAACCATATGGCCTCCCTGCTGCGGAACCTAGCATATCTGGGTCGAAAGACACTGATCATCCTGCTCAAAGATTGAACCACCGTTCACACTTTTACACAAATCCCAGCCAGTCTCGGGAGCCGTCTCATTTCCAACCTCCTGCTTATTCCCCATATTTGCAGCCACCTAATGATGCATACGCGACACGTCCTCCTCCTGTGGGCGCGTCACCTGGTGGAGGAGGGCGGCCCCTCACTCTTCCCAGGCTACATTCTTGGTCTATCACACCAACCTCAGATCGACCTGAATGGCAGTTGCCGCCTCTCACACATACGGAGGCACCTCTTCCTTCACCTGCTGGGACGGAAGCCTCTCATGTCTCGTCACATACACAAGCGCCCTCTCTGGTCTCGGACAATCAATCGAACTGTTCGATTTCTCCCAAGACTTTGCCGTCTCCTCGACCTGGCTTGCCAGCGCCCAGATCGCCAACAATGCAGATCTGGCCCGAAACATACCGTCCAGAAAGCAGTGGAATGGAGTCGACTCTCAGGCTGGGAAGCGCCGAGCGACGTGAAGACGCTGTTGAGCCACAACTAGCTTTTGCCAAAAGTGCGTTCACAGCCTTGAATGGGACAAACCGCCCTACTCTACCACGGCCCCAAAGCTATGGGCAGTCAGCTGCCACATCACCCAAGCCGGGCGACATAAAGTCTGCCACACAACGTCCACCACCCAAGTCGCCATCTGAAAAGGACACTCGAATGAATCTCTCAAGCCTGATTGGATGACCAGTTGCTCAAAAAGCGAATTTGCTTGACCGTTTTTGTTGTTATGCCAGTTTTTCATTGTATTATCATCTCTCATATTCTCACATTTTGGGTGTTCGGCGTCGAAGGTTTGATTGCAGCATTTACTGTCCATGATACCCAGGTTTCAGCGCTGGGTGTTGCACGTCTTATCAGACTCGTGGGAAATCGTTGTGAAGGAGATTTGTACACTAGATGCCATTTGTGTGATGTAATTACAGCGGAAGGATCATGACATTCTTGTTTGAAGCAATGAGCACAGGGAGATGCACTAGCAGATTGACGATTTGGACATGAGAAAAGCGATATGTGAGACTGAGGACGATTGAGGCTTGTTGCTACTTCTTGCGATTTTCTACTTTATCATCATAATACGGACATGGTTCCAATGACAAAAATTCTGCACGCGACAGTGCCCAAAAAAAAATCAGATGTACAAACCCGATCAGCAATTTCATTCTCCTCTTGAGATACTGCGGCGAGTTGCGAGGTCACGACTGTAGACAGGACATTGTGAGCACAGCTTCATGTGCCTGTCCGAGCATAGCGGTCCTTCTGACAAAACACGCAGCCAGACGCCGCTTTGACCTGAAAGCAGGTCGCCGTGTGTTGGCCCTTGCTTCACCTGACAACTTGAATAGGCCGTGCACTCTGCTGGATTTCGGTGCCGTGTCGCCATCATGATTTGGTGTCAGAAGTCCAGGGGACGGCAAGTGCGGTTCTGCGCGGACGTCCCAGCTGTCAGCAGTCAATCAGGGAATGATGAGGCGGTCATGATAAAGCCAATCACAGGCCCAGGCCAGGGGTTAATGACACCGACGAGTCGACGACTGCAGATTGAACGGATCGCCAAGATGCATCTCAACGTCTTCTGCAAATCACGGCAGTAAGCGGGCAGAATATGACAGGGGGCACTTCCCGTCCCAGCGCTCGTACCTACCAGGAAACGGTACATTTGACACTCGAGTTCGATCAAGAGTGGCAGGAGCGATCTCCCTTGCTTTTCGTCGGCTGGTGACCCACTGCCCCAAGTCTTTCTGCCTGCTAATACCTGTGCTGAACGTCAAAACAATCCTCGCTGAACACGCACATCAGAGACCACTGTGACAATAGGCATACAGCAATTCAATTACTGTATATGTTGTTGTGTCTGGGACATTTCCTGCGTCAACAACGACTTGCATCAACCCGGAAATGTATGCTATTCGATGAGGCTGGCTGAAAGTTCGATCTCAGTCCGCCTGTTCGCCACGACCGTTAAGATCGATGGCGGTTAGTGCGGCAACAAAAGCAATTCGACACCTTCATCGTGCGGGTGACCTGGAGTTTCAGAGTGATTGAGTTTGATGATGCTTCTCTAGAATCGAAACCGCGACACACATGCTTGCAGTCCACAAACTCAACTCAACACTCACCTACGATCGAGGTTGCTTAACCTTCTACACAAGACTAATCTTGGGGGCCACCGACCTGGAGAATGATTCCGGATCAATTCCACAAAGTTGGTTGTTGGTGGTGTGGATATCTGGTAAAGCCTAAGAACAGAGGCTCAAATTCCTGGATACTGACAGTTTCTTTGACCTTGATGATTCATCAATACCTACTCGACAGTAAATCTGCATGCATACGCGTGTACACATCAAATGAGCAAGCCCGAAACATGAAGTGCTTCAACACACGACTATCCTCATGTGAGGGGCTCTAGGTCAATACTCATGAATCATGTTGAGCCTTCAGGTGTGGACTCATGATTACTGCTCTTTTTGGCATTTTCCGGATTGACACTTCGGCCTTTTCTCGAGCGAGCATTATTTGTTGATTTACGTGTTTTCCGGAAGCGTGTCTTGCCGTGCAAGCGAACTGGCGATCCGTGGAGTATCGCAGTATTAACGCCGATACATTGCGACATGAGGCTAGGTTTACGATCCGATCTACAAGTGAGCCCCTCATCACGTTTGCACCGCTCAAGCACTAAAATACTATAGTAGCGACGAAAGATTGATTATGGAGATCATGGCCCACTGTGCCACGTCTCCAGCGCCCTGTTTGCCCTGGTCGCGATCTCAATCACACTACTCCGTATCTGAATGCGATCGACCTCAAGCATAAGTGAACAACCCCAGCAGGCAGGCACGTGCCGTTCACCCAGTAGAACTTTGCAAGGCCATTACCCAACATGGTCATTCTTTGCGCCGCTCGAAAGACACCTGCACTTGCAGGGGGATGTCTTGCTGTGCCAGGTATTGAACCTACCAGGCCTTTGCATTCCTTCTACGCAGGCCTGATGATTTGAAAAACTCATAACCTACGTCTCCAGGAACAAGAATTTCAGTACGGTACCGCCCGGATCTGCAGTACGGGTTTAACTCTGACCTCAGAGTCGCAGTATCAGAACCCAGATCATCAGTGAGAGTAAACATGTCACTGCGGAAGCAGCCCCAAAAGGCCAAGGTCTCCCTCGCAAGCCAAGGTATCCATGTCCCAAGCAACCTTCTGGCGGGGGATGCACTCAACAACGATACCCTTGGCCACGGGACAGCGCGCTTCAGCACCTTCCATTATGGTACAGTGGCCTCCTTATTTCTGGAACATCGTCAGGATGGCCTTGCAAGAATCGGTCGCGTCTTTTGCAAGCAATCAATCTTGGTATCTTTCTTGGTAATTGTTTGCGCCGTGCCGAAGCTTTCAACACGCTGGAATCAGGTGTCGAAGAAATTTGACGGTTATTCGGCAGGGGCCATGATTACGAGAATCTGACAGTAAGTTATCACTTCGACGTCCTGGTGAAAATTTTGTATCGGACTTGGAGGAACGCTGCTCCCATCTTGATGGGTAGCAGGCGCAGAGAATAGCATGCAACCCCCAGTGCTGCAATTTCAAGGACAGCATCTCCGTCCTTCATGTGAGGTATGTTATGATTGCGACTGCTATGCAGCTGAGGTGTGATTCACGAACAGCTGGGGAGCCTGGACGTATCATCTCTACCCTGGGCGTCCATTGCCCTTCTCAATCTCGGATTTCTCGGTGCAGGCTTTCTGTCTCGTGCTACGTCAACCCACTGTGCTGGGATAATGGTACGATGTAAGCTCCATCGCACCCCTGCTGCGAGTGACATGCCCCATCTTCACAAGGCGAATAGGTGATACAGCACCGTTTGAACCTTGGAATTCCAAATCAAAACCCTCTGTTACGAGGTTCACCCCGCCCCAAAAAACATGCCATGCAGTGTTGGGCCAGTCTTGTTGCCATGGTTAGGCCTTCCGTTTTGCTAGTGTGGTACCCAGCCGCCGTTACGGGGAAAGACAGTATCTCGACCGGCGCGAGCACGTTTTCTTTTGTACTATCGGCGTCGCCGAGTGCTAATCTGTGATATACCGAACAGTACTCCGTACTTGGTAGGTTCCAGAGCTTCCTAACTCTACTTGTCGTCTTGCATTGATTGTGCACACCTTCTTCACTTTCAGGCTGGCCCACAATGGACTTACAACTTCGATACTAACTGTACCATCAAGTACTGATACCTAGGTACTATACCTGTGGTTGTGTGTTACCAGTGTGCCAGCAGAAAGTCAATTGAGTCAATGTTCAGGGTGCCCCGGGCCCCCTCAGGAGTATTGCGTTTAGGCTAGTGTGGCCTACCAATGACCTCCCACATGCGTGGAGTTCAACGAAGTTACCCCGGCAGACCGCACCCATCGCCTGCGGGGCGGGAAAAGGGGGAGCACGAGAACAACGTTTCGCTTATCGATCGAAGTTGAGCGTGTAACCTCGAACAAAGCCTCTAAGGCCTCTAAGGCCTAAGTAGCAACAGCAACCTTTTGAGGTCGACTCTTTAAGCAAGGCACACCCTATCTCATTTTGGTGTGGCAGAGTTTCGGAAGTCAATCCTGCATAATATGTCCCTGCCTATCCAAGCCTCCTATCAATGACTGTCACGATGATTCCTGTCATGTTAATACCATGTCATGCCATGTTCTCCCTTGCTTTGCTTTGACCTCACACAACCTCCCCAAGGGCTGAACGGTAGGCACGAGATGACGGCGAGCAGCATGGTCGTTGGGGGCCATGGCGCTCTTCGAAACTCGAAGAGCACGCCACCAAACACAACACTGGCCAGCCGCCCCGAAATCTCGTATGAGTATCTGCTCGATGCCCGATGTGCTGCGTACGCATACGCATATTGGAGGGCGCATTGTCAACTCCCTGCGGAGTCGTCAAAACCAGCCACCATCTTGCCCCGTGCCGGTGCCAGTGTCAGCAGAGCATCAGATCTACTCCTGCACTGCAGGAGTATCTCCCGCGCAGTCAATACTGTGGTGGTTTTGACTTCAATGAATCGCTGATCAATGGCTGCATACGACTGTAAGCAGCAGAAAACGGCCGGTCTGGTCGTGCTTGCATGAGATCTGCTTTCCCAAATAAGTCGGACCACCTCGTATTCAAACCGCCGCTATACTCTCGTACGGGTCGCAGCACTTTGCTTTGCTGTCTGTGCAGATACAGGGCCTCCCCTGGCATGGCACGACCAGAAGCGTCAAGGGTGAGATACAAGGAGGAATGATCATCTCTTCCATCGTCACCCTCGTTTTCGTTTATACGACTCGACTTGCCCAGCATAACGTCAGTCCGTGCAGACGCGTCTGCGTCCTATCCCGGCAACTGCCGGTGCACCGCATCGAGATCTGGGTACTTTTACTTCAAGGTAAGATTGATCATCAGTGCGGCTGTTTTTGGTTCCCCATCTCGCATGACTACCGAACCGAGACGTGCACACGACGTGCCTTGGCTGCCTGCATGCAGGTTTTTACGTACAATCCCAGAATACATTAACATCAATTCCGGTGTACTCGTCGGCGGGAACTGCTTGCGTACTTGCGTAGCACGCGCAAGGAGTTTCACGAGGATGACATCTCAGAGACATTACCGGGACATTTTGGCAGTGGCATGTAGAACTCCCTGGCGGTAGTCGTGGACACGAGAGGTGGGAGAGACGTGCTCAATGCATTCGACGATGAAGTCCACCAAGAGCGAGAGCGATCATGAGAAAACAATCATTCATCCATTCATCCATTCAATCCGCTTGCGCTCAATCTTCTCCGCTGATGAACAAGTCTATAAGAGCAAAACAGTTCATGCATGCTTTCCACCAGGACAATAACAGTGGCTTGGACAAGGTCTGAAACTGCCGACGATGACTTGAAAAGAAATTCGTTCATACCCACCTCAAACAAAAAAGCCCAATACTCGCCTCAGCACCATGCTACCGTACAGTCAAGCATATATCAGACCACTCGCAGTACCCGAGCACTGATATCGCATAGTCCTCGCTGGACACTCTGCCTGGGTATCATTTATCCACCAGCATTCAAATCAACTTTTCAATGTTCTCTGCGTCATGTCCCGTTCCTGATGTCGTGATTCTGCCCTTCCTATGAGCCCCGTTGTGCGGCTCTAATAAATCGATTTCGTTCCATCATGACTTCGTCAATGTCGTTGTATATCTCTTAATGCCACGCAGAATCGTGGTGTGAGAGATCTCGTGATAGGCATCAGGCATCTATAAGGCCCGTTTACAGCCAAATGTCTCCTCCCTCGCCCTTTTCCCATTTCTCCCAGGCAGACCAATACCCCACCTCCAAATCTCTGACCCAACGCTTCGTGTCGAACAATCGACTGGTCCAACGTCCTTCCCATAACATGCGGCGCATTTCCACCAGACGACCTTTTCCTCGGCCCACTTTTTGGCTAGCTGAATTCTTCACGGGATACTTTAGACCGCGAGCAAGATCGATTGTGGTGTCGACATAGTCTTTCTCGCTTCGAACAAGCAGATCGCGACGTGCTTCATCGCCCTTGGGACCTTCTGGTAAAGCACTTGCCACAATACTCCCAGCCATGCGGCTGCACATCTTGTATTTCCATTTTCCCCAAGTCACAATCGGGGTTCCAGACCAAGCCACATCAGCCGCGGTAGTATGAGCATTGCACTCGGGAGTGTCCAAGAACAAATCGACCACTGCCGCTCGCGTGATATGTGCCCCTTTGGCAGCGACATCTGTGAAAATGACCCTCGATGCGACGTCCTGATCGGCCCATTCGCGTGCATACCGCAAGAGATTTTGTTCGCCGAGATCCGGAAACCGCAACAACCAAAGTATCGCATTTGGCACCATTTTCAGAATATGCAACCATGACTCGAACGTGGCCGGATCGATTTTGTACAATTGGTTGAAATTGCCCAGAATCACTGCCGAATCTGAAAGTGTAGGAAACAGCTCCTTTCTCAGCTTCCAGCGTGCTTCCTGCTCGTGTTCCCAAGCAGCTTCACGCTGCGCCGGATCGTTGAAGTTTGGAGGGCCTTTGTCGGCATCAGGTGCACTCTGCTTGTGATCCACACAAAAGAAGGTGTCACGAGCAAAGATAAGGTTCTCAGAGTATACCCAGTCCTCCATATCCTCGACCAATGAATCTTGCCTTAAGCGGTCCTCAATGTCCACATTGCGTCGCCAAGGAGAAAGTGTTTCTGGAGGTACAGAAATTGTGTCTGCAAAAACGTAGTCACACCATTCTGCCCCCAGTGTACCAGCGAAGCCCATGAAAGACATGTGGATTGGTGCAGGTCGCGCAGCAAACACTTCGTTTCGTGCGCCTCTAGTATACCCATTGAGGTTCACGAGGATGTGAATGTTGTCTTTGACGATCTGATTAACAAGTCGTTGAACGCTCCAGGTAGATGCGTCGCAAAATCCCGGAGCTTCACGTTCAATCTGTTGTCGGTGGACGGAACCATCGGATGCAGTAGTTGCGTAGCATATAGCTCGGACACGGGATGTATCGTGAAGTCCGAAGATTGACTGCATCAGGTGTGCCAGTGGATGATTGTTGAAGTCCGAGCTAACGTAGCCGACGTTGAGGTGAGGTCTGGGTGGTGCTGGAGGTGGATATACGGTGGCCGGAAGCCATGCAGAACGCAGTGTACAGACAGATATACGTAGCGCATTACGCTGTGAGATCTGTCTGATCTGTTTTGCTGACAATGGAGCCGTAAAGGTATGGAAAGGAAGAACGGTCGGCGCCGAGGGCGGAGAGAGAGTATTAGGCAGATACGGTCGCGTGTACTTCCGTGCTGGATGTTCTTGATGCAGCTTGTATCGATCCTGGTACCATTGCCATCCGATGTAACGAATGGCTCGTTCGACCAATCGTACTATCCGAGCACCTTCCCACTTCTGACCAGACCAGCTCCGAAGTGACTGTCGCAAAATCTCCACTGCTTGAGATCTTCCATACTCTCTAGAATTTGCCTTGTGCACTGTGAGCTGGGTTGAAAGCGAGTCGATGACATTCGGAGTCAGGGTGCCACATCCCCAGGTTTCACCGTCCTTGAGTTGTTTCTCGACAATTTCGACGATACGATTGACCCATCCATATGGACGAGATGGTTCGTGCTTCATACCTTGGTCGTTGACATGGAGTCGGTCGCGAAGTCTGTCGCCGGCACACACAATCCCACCTCGCCCGTGCCAGCTGCACACCGAGTTTAGGGCTGTGGCAAGTCCACAGACAGCCTCCGCGAAATCGGGATTCGCGGCGACTGCTCGCCTATAGTAGACAATGGCATCTGCCACTCGACCTTGATCCTTGACCGCATTCGCCAGGTTTGCCAGTGCGATGTCAAAGTTCCCATCGCAACCCACAGCCCGTTCGTACATTTTGATTGCGGCCCCGAGCTGACCAATATCCTTGAGTAGACTACCCAAGTTCGTGAACAGATGAGCGTGCTTCTGATCAATGTTGAGGCCATAGTTATAGTACATCAAAGCTAATGAAACCCCGCTACCAGCGATGACTCCCGGTATGTTCGAAATCTGAGAGAAATTTGATTCCGCAAGATGAACAGGATGCACATTCTGTTGAACACCTGCGAGCAGAATGCCGACGTTATTGGCAGTAGAGGGACTTCTTTGAAGTGATAGAGAGAGATAATACAGAGCAAGGATTTCTCTTGTACTGGGTGATTTTAAACTTCCAATGTCGGTTGCGCTGGACATTCCATCCTGGTAGATTTTGGCCAGAGAAAGCAGAGAGTTGCTTGTCGTCGAGACCGCGGCCCCAACAGCAACCGCAGTTGCGACGTGCTTCAAGCCAGGAAGTTCACCCTCTGGAGGAAACATATGCTTGGCAGTCGCCTCAGCATGCTCGGGCGCAAGCAATATCGGTTCTTTGCTTTCAAGCTTTGAACGCACATACTCTCGGTCCCGGATATTGCAGAGACACGCTCTGAGAATGTCGTCGATAAGACCTCTGATGCCGTGCTTTCTCTGTCCGGTAGCGATAAGAACCGCATCTTCAAAAGCAGCTGCAGCACCATGATTGTTTCCCAGCGCATAAAGCATATTTCCTTTGGCATGTATGAGTGCCAACATGCGCCCATTGTCCGCCCCAGGGATGCCAAATCCGCTCGAGCCAAAGCCAGGCACTTGAACTCCAGAGCCAGCACGTGTAGTTTGTGGCTGGAAGTCGAAATCGAAATCGCTGTGACCGTTGTCGTAGGAAGCCACAGTGGCTATACTAGAGGTGTGACTTCTCGTGTCACTTTCGGCGTCGCTCAATTCGCCCCATGATGTATGCGCATCTTCAGGTATATACCGTAAAGTGCTTTCCACGTACTCGATGACACTGACGGCTTCCCTCGCTCGATGGCTTGCGCATAGTAGACCAATCAGATGTTCGACAGCCTCAAAATAACTGGGCCGCAGGCTCACGGCGTCGGACCAATATTTGAGGGCGTCCTCACGACGGTGGAGAGCATGACATGTTGCTGCGAGATTAGACATAGCTTCGATGTGGCCCGGGTCGTGCTTCAACACTGCACGATACCATTCTTCGGCTTTAGCGTAATTCCCAAGTCCATAAGCTAGGCATCCGGCCAGGAGCATGCCGTCAAGCCACGGAGTATCCGCTTCTTGACAAAGTAACTCCATGGTTTTCAGCGCAGCCATGGCGGACTCGTAGGATGGTGGTCGTGGTAACATGTCCATCGTGGCGTTGCGAGGCTGGCGGACCTCAGGCATTCGGTCTCTTTGTGGATATTGATTTCCAGAAAATTGTCCAGATCCCGGCGCTGTGAATGACTGCTGTTCATACCCCGATTGTTTCTGCTGTGGTCTAAATATTGCCGTCTGAGGTCGGCTCGGGGTGTCACGAACAGAATAGTCAACACCATCGGAGGAGAAGGCATCTGACTGTTTTTGGTGTTGTAGTACTTGGTCCATTGACCCATTGTGAAAATGCGACCCAGACCGTCTCGGGGGCTTTGGAAAAATGGCAGGCTTGACTGCCATTCTCATTTCCGACAGGCTGCTCCCAGTTGCCCGTTGGTCTTTGGCTGTTGATCGAATCGTTTGGAGGAGATCTGTATAGATTTTGTTTGCCCATGCAAATGTCCTGTCTCTGAAAGCAACTCGCTCTGAACCTGGACCGGGCATGAGAGAAGCCAACGTCGGCCTGGCTATTGTTATGGGATCGGACATTGACTCGTCTGGAGGCGAGTACTGTTGAGGAAATGAATAGTGAGGACTCTGGTACGTATTCTGCAGAGTATGCCATTTTGCGGCTGGTGACTCGACAGATTTTAAGGGAGCGGCCAACATATGGGGCGGAAAGGATGGCATATATGCCTTGGGTTGTGGTACGGAAAACTGGTTATGTTGTTGGAACGTTTGTGGATGTTGAGCATGCTCCAGAGGAAATCTCTCGATCGGAGCGCGTGGGAAGAAGCGACTATCTCGGATGGCTGCTGGGCGATAAGGGTTGTAGGTGCCGTCAGGCCAGTAAGGTCCATACATCTCTTGACCGGCGGAAGCCGTAGGCCCGAATTGGGAGTGAAGCGTTGCGGGTAAGACGGTGGGAACGTTTGATCCTGGCTGGACGAAATATCTCTGAGTCGGGTAGAGCGGAATCGTTTGGTTGAGCATCGAGTCAAGCCCACCAGGAAAGTCCCAAGCTGGTCGGTACGGATATTGCTGAGATGATGCATAGGAACGCGATCGTTTCTCCTGTCTCCCATCTTGTTCGAACTCCGCTCCTCCAAACCCTCCTGATCGTTGCCTCTGATTGGAATCTGACCATCGATTTGTCAAGGACGGTATAGCCGATTTGGGTCCTGGCGAAGAGGAAAGGAGCAGATGCTTGGATGCTGGGAACTGGAAGTTCTCGTCCAGGACGGCTGTGTCTTGCTCAACCATCCTTCCGTAGGGCGTCTTTCGCTGTCGCAGAAGTTCATGCTCAACATATGTCAGGCCCGTGGAACCATGTCTACCATGCCGTGGAGACCCTAAATCAGCAGGAATAGCATACTGACGTGATGCAGCACCATTCGGTCGACGGAGGTACACATTTGGGTCTCTGACGGAATCCATCGTGTGTCTGAGTTGGTGGGGATTGGATAGCATTCTCCAAGGTTCGTGAGTGGACCAAGGACTGAGGTAGAGGTGAGGTAAAGTGTGCGATATGTAGGCAGACAACCAGAGTATCAACCTGCCTCAAAGGTAACGTGGAAGTGTCGTCTCAACGACCCAAACGGTAATATAAGAAGGCAATGCGCCCTGCTCTTGTGCCCAAACCCGTCGCTCATTGTGTTCCTCCTGTATTGCTCCTACGTGGGAGAGTCCACGCAGTCATGGGTGTGGCAGAATGAATATCTTGAGGGATAGCGGATGTGGCTAGGGCGGTGTAAAGATATGGATTGATTGTGAACGTCTGTGCCCGTCGATTGTATCGATACTGGTCTAGATGTCTCTGATCGAGGACGCAAGGGGGAAGGTGATGTTCCGGAGGCTGCTGTGGACGCGAGGTACGGGATAGGGCAAGCGGGCTGACTCGGGGTTCTTTTTTAGAGTCGCGGTCAAGGGAGGCCCAAAGTGCAAGGGCAAGGGCTATCCGTACGGTATCCGGAGATCTGATTGCGGGTGAGGAAGTCTATCCGAGGTGTGATACTGCTGAATGACATATGGGAATTGAAGTGGAAGAGAAAAGAAGCATTATTGGAAGCAGTGACGGGAAAGCAAATGATGATTTCCTCTTCACCACACATCATGATGGCTGCGCATGGATTAATTCATATCAAACCAAAGGGCTTTTTTCTTGTAAACGCCAGGCCAACGATGCGATGGGGGTGTGGCTTGCGGACTGGGGCTCCCTAGTCAAAGGCATTCCTTAGAAGCCTTGGGAGTGGACTGTTAGTGGCCTTGTTGTCGGGTGTCAATCAACACAGCTGGATGTGTCACGGCTCGTTTGACGCTTCTATTGGCTCCTACCACGACCTGGGTCAACGCCCAAGTGCTTCTCCTCAGGCGCCTTTTGTGCCACCAATACTTCCTTTGGGCCTAGTGATGACGATGAAGCAGGGCGTCCATCGACGGCCACTGGTTCGGCCCAGGATCAAACGGCTCATCGTGATGGAGTCCACTGGGCCGGAGGTTTCCAGTCAGCATGATTATTGCTCACTCACATGTTGGTGTCGTCTCAAGATGTGACAACGCAAGATGAAGGGCCATTGCTGCAGCAAACACATTGATCTAAGAAGGTGTTCTACTATCCGAAATGCAGAGACTGGAAACGAGGGCGGAAGGAGCACGGAGCCAGCATCATCCGTATCTCGCTTCATTGTTCAGTCCTGTTCGCGATTGAGATGGAGAGGTGGTAGACACTACTGCAGCATGTCTTGGATCTACGATGTCTCCGTCTGAATAAAAATAAAAACGTTAAGTAAAGTGCTTGTCTGGGGTAAAAAGGTTACAATGGTAAAAAGCCAGGGGCCCATGGCCCATCGTCTCCATGCATTCCGCCGATCGTGGACCTTACCATATCATTTGACAGTCCAACGTGGTTGCACACAGATTTTCGTTTGTCGTGTCTGCCAGTTTGTCCTTCCACGATAGCCCGGGGGTGAGACGTGTCAATATGTCGTCCTTCTTCAAATCTTCGTATCGACTTTTCCGGCTCGACCCCGTAGGCCTGGAGCGAGGCCTGACAACCGGATCGTGATGCATGACTTGACGGAAACCTGCAGCCGAGATGCGGGTAGGGTGTCGCAACGGTTGGTCAGATCACGCACATCAGTGACACCGTCGTCTCAAGGAGAGTGTGACTGGCGTGGCGTGCATTCTGCAACTGTCCAAGGCTCCGATATCTGTGTTACGTGCATGCACCTGACCGAGGGGACGACGTCGCAAGTTGTTACCTCTTGCTTTAGGCCATAGTAGATGAGATTGTAACCGACACGGTACCAAGACTCCAGGTTCTAATCCGTGACGCTAAGTCATACAGGATGGAGAAGCAGTTGTATCGTCTATCTCGAACCGAACTCTACCCACAGCCTTGTTTTGGCAGCATTCTGTTCCCCAACAGTTCAGGGTAGATTAGAACTTGCGTGCATGCAAGAAATCTGGGAAGCTGCTGTGCCAGGTAGCACAGCGCCACAAAGATGCATGTTAACAGCAAAAAGATGAGGTCTTGACAGTAAGGATGTAAATGATGACCGTCGTTGAATGTTCGAAGCAGACTTTGGGTGGAAAGATGGAGGGGGCTCCCTAGGCTTCTAGGGGAGATGAATCTGCCTTAAAAAGTGGTGCCCGTGCCTGAAGAGACCGTTGCTGTTGCCAAGCCTGTGCTCCACGATCGTCCTTTCTCGACATGTTCAGCGTCTTCGTTTTCCTTCTTCTTTTCTTTCTTTTCTCCAACCAACGCCGACAACAAAAATGCATTACTTAATCGCCAGTCTCGGTTCTTTCCTACCTGAGGTTGTTTTCGCGTCGAGCGCAGATTAGTCTATCTACCTCTGGCTGGGCGTCTGGGACTTAGAGATCATCTTGATCTCGATGGGATCTGGAAAATCAACAGTCGAGGTTACAAAAACAATGCCAAACCTCAATGTGCTTGTCATTATGTACCAAATCGTTTCTCTATCTCTGCAAAAATCTGAGGCGAGATTTCATCACTGCTGCTGCCCGTCGCTGTGACCACTAGCTTGGGATCTTTGTGTCGGTAGAAGTCAAGCAATGTCTTACTGGTCTGATCAAACTTGGCCAGTCGTTTCCTCCAGGTCGCCTCGCTGTCATCTTCTCTTTGTGTCAAGGGCTCTCCAGTCACGTCGTCTTTTCCAGCCACTTTGGGATCGTTGAAGCCCACATTGTATACTCTTCCCGATGCCAGATGAATCCATCGATTCGCCATTCGCGATAAGATGATGTCGACTGGAGTGACCAGTTGAAAGACGAGATTTATCGGTAGAAGATGAGACAATGCCTGCGCTTGCACTGCCGTACGAGGAAAGCCATCGAGGATGAAAGACGTCTCTGGTGCGTTGGAGGCCTTGACCACAGATGACGACAAACCATTGCCGCGCTCAAGAGCTGCGATGATATTATCATTGGTACCCGTTGTCTCCAGCCATTTCCGCGACGTGAGTTCGGTGAGGATGAGGTTCAGAATTAGCGGATCAGGCACAAGACCGCCGTCGTTCATATAACTTTCGGCCTGTAGACCTGTATTGGGTCAGCCTTTCCATCTCCAGGTAACACTTCTTATGCACACCCACCCAGTGGTGTCTTGTTCTTGACATTTTCGCGCAGAAGATCCCCAGTCGCAATCGAGCATAATTGTGGGAAGCGCTTCATGAGCCTCTCGGATTGTGTGCCTTTTCCAACTCCTGGAGCCCCAACCAATATGATCCTAGCAGCTCTTTTCAGCTTCCGAGAGGCGACGCTGAATGCCATCCTGGACTTCTCCGACTCGAATTTGGTCGTGCAGACTGGGATGGAACGATCTGTGCGGCGTGATCGCCAGGTGCTCTGGTCATGTGCCCATCATGCTAAAGTTGACGAGCAGATTTCGGCGCAATAGGACACAACAGAGGCTGCGCAGCTGCGCCTAGGACCGGGAGACACAGACGAAGATGGCGGGAGAGGTGTGTAGAGAGGAGAGGGAGAGCAGTGAGGAGGAACACGACGGGGAAATGAGTTGCTCGGTAATCCAGCCAGAGGCCGCCCGAATGATGAAAAGTAACAATAAAGCCTATCTTTGGCACAGTAGCTTGCAAGTCTGGAGTAAGCTCTTACTCCATAAGCTAAGATACCTAGGTGTGTTACGGCGAGTCCTCAACAACAAAATGGCGGGACATCTCGGGTCAAGTGCCCCGAAGTGACCTCCAAGTCGACACCTCGGGTCACCGGCTGTTCATCAACCGTCCACTGTGGTCTTGCCCGGAGCGTGGGCATCGATCCCCGAGAATGAGACGGGCACGTGGACAGGCCACCAGGTCGCGGTTTTTGGAGAAGCTCATTGACGCGTGAAATAATTGATACGCGTCACGGTCTTCCGCGTATCAGCGGCACTACTCTATTCTACGACTGCGCTTGATCTTCTTGACCCTTAACACCAATTGACCACCAACAGCAAGATGATGCGCACAGAGACGAGATTCGATCCTAAGCGGAAAAGAGTCGACCATAAAAAGACTCAATTCGCATCCGCCACATACAAAGAGCAAGACTACCCATACCGATTATCCTTTTACAATGTCCCACCCACTCAAGAAATCAGTCTGGAAGAGTTCGAGACATGGGCAATAGACAGACTGAGAAGTACGGCACCGCCTGTGCAATGAATACATGTTGCTAACAGGTTGCCAGTCCTTGCCGAGCTGGAAGCCTGCTCGTTCAGAAACAGGTCTCCTCAAGAAACAGCCGCTCACATCGAACCATTACTCAAGAAGTATCTCCCACTCTCTGCCAACTCATCAGCTGCCGGTGGTGTCGTCGATCAGCGTCTGCGAAATGAAAGACGCAAGGATCACTACTCGCATTTCATCCTACGGCTCGCGTTCTCCGGCACCGAAGACCTGCGGCGGCGCTTCGCCCGGGTGGAAACCATGCTCTTCAAACTGCGCTTCCAAGCCGACGACGGTCGAGAAAAAAGGGCGTTCGTCGAGAGCCTCAATCTGAACTGGGACGTGGTACAGGAAGAGGAAAAGAGAGAATTAGGCGAGCAGCTTCTCTCGGCAACACCGGGTCTCCGTCGCCTTGAGGATGAAAACTGGTTCAAAGTCGATTGGACCCGAGTTCCAGAGCTGGTAGAACATCGTTCAGTCTTTGTCAGGAAGGGCAAAGCATATGTCCCCATGAAAGAACAGACGAGCATGGTCCTGACAGAATTCGCCAACCGTCTCGAGAAGGGTCTTGAATCGACTTCGAGAGCACTTCCTCGCCTCGACGAAGACGACCGCCTCACCCCAATCCTGGACCACCTGTCCAAAAACTTCGCAACCCCGGACGCTGGCTACTCCGAATCCGACTCCCCCCTGGCCGGAGCTCCCATCTCCGCCGCCAACATCGACAACCTCTCCCAGCACTTTCCGCTATGCATGAAACACCTACATACCACGCTTCGCAAAAACAGCCATCTCAAACACTTTGGTAGACTCCAGTACACTTTGTTTCTGAAGGGCATCGGTCTCACTCTCGAAGACTGTCTATTGTTCTGGCGCCAATCCTTCAAACTCATCACCGACGACCAGTTCAACAAAGGGTACAGATACAACGTGCGTCACGCCTATGGTGATGTGGGAGGCGACGTCAACCGCCGGGGACGAGGATACGCGCCCTATTCATGCCAGAAAATCCTGACTGAACATCCACCCGGCACGGGCGAAGCGCACGGCTGTCCGTATCGACATTTCAGCGTCGACAATCTCACCAGCATGCTTCAGGCCACGGGCGTGCATGACCGCGAAGTCCTGCGCGGCGTGAAAGAGGATGTCGAGAAGAAGAGGTTTCACATCGCATGTAACCGCGTCTTTGACTGGGCGCACAAGACGGAGATCAAGAAAGTCAAGGACGAGGGAATTTGGGGTCCCGCGGAACTGGAGACCATTGTGCATCCGAACACGTACTTCAAACGGTCGTATCTGCTGAAGAATCTTGGGAATGCGCCGAAACAGGATGTCAAGATGGAGGAGTGATGGATGGATTACCAAGTAGTTTTGACAACGAATGGCGTTTGGGCGATGATCAGTACAATGGTTAGCGAATGGGTGCGGTCTCAGGCACTTTTACTGTATTTGAATATCAGTGTTTTCAACAACGATTGCTGACTATTGAGTTCGGCTTCAAACCTGCTTGTATCAATATCAAAGTCACGTCCAGAGAATGGACTCGCATTTCTCGGTCACTGCCCTCCTTGTCATCTGCGAAAGATGACGTCCAGATGTGTTTCCATGGTTGTCGACTGACCATCTTTCTCTAGCATTCCGATCCACATGTCCACTGAAGTCACGTGCGAGGCTGCAGACCCCTGAATTCTTCCTTTCTTGAGGCATCGCGATCAATTGATCCATGTCTCTCGAAGCAACCATAGCGAGCGGGTATGAGCGGGCAAAAATACTAGTGACCACGAGACTTATGCTGAGAAGAAACGAGTGACGATTTTGAGAACACTGCACCTACCTAGGCTACCGTAATCACTTTTCCTGCCACAAAAAAAAGACTCCAAAACGCCGTGACGAAGAAAAATACTGTCCATCCTGTCGACTCAACTCAACTCCTTACCTTCCCATGTCCAAGCCGTGATACTCCTCAATTATGATCCCCGGGTAGATCGCCACAGTGGTCCTCGTCGCCCACCTCTACGACTTCAAACGTGGTTGGATTGACCTTGGCAATGCGAAATGGACCAGCGGTCTCACCATTTTGACCTGTGGCGAAGTTCTCCGACTTGTACAAGCGCGGGCGGTTGTATGGGTCCCAGTATTTAGCAAAGGCACCAGAGTCGGTGGCTAGCCAACTCATATCCTGTTCGGAGCCGTCGAGGCGGACGCGCTCTGCCTCCTGTGCGGCCAATCCAGAAACCCACTCTCTAAGTGCTGGAAACTCGTCGTAAAACTCGCATTGGAATGCTTGCATGTGTCGCACCATACAGTCCAGGGAGACCAGAGCACGAAGAGCGGCTCTGGGTAGGAGCCGTCATAGCCCTGGTTTCGGAGGAGAGCGCACGGGTCCTCTGACATTACTTCGTCTGGATCTTCGCATTTGCGTTCGAGCTCATCAGCCTCCGCATCGTCGTAGGCGCGCATACCGGTAATCAGAAAAGCCATGCACTTGGCCACGTCTTCAAGGTCTTTCGTGATCAGTTGCACACTTCGGACGTAAGGCGTATTCTCAGGGCGAAGCTCCATAAGATCCGAACATGCCCAGATCTTAGTGGGGATGATCTTGACGTTCTCTGCTTTGATCTTGTACGCATCAGGGCCCTCGGTGGCGATCCAAATAACGCGGTCAATTGGCTTAGCGCGACTGAAGTCTCCAAGAAAGAGATCTGGAAGGCCGGCACGATTGTCGGGGAAATGCAGGAACATGTTGTTTTGATGTGCGTCTCTGTGAGCTACCGCTGAAGGGCTGCGATGGAGATGGTCAGCGACGTCTAGAAGCTGGTCAAAAACTTTCCATTTGAAGAGAGTGCACGGCTTGAATCCGGGTCGTTTCATCGCGCTGGCGAGGGTTGGCCCATTGCAGAAGCTGAAGATCATAGAGTCGCTGAACGTTGGGTCGTCGGTCCTCTTCCACAACTGACTTGGCACAGCACCAGGGTACGTCTCATAATGCACGAGCTGGGGAATGTTAGGGTGCGCTCGATACAGGCTTACCTCTGGGTTCCGAATGCCGGTTTCCCTGTCTGTCGACTTTGCTATGGTTTTCTTTCGTACATAGAGTTTCCCGTCCGCCAGGGAACAAACCTTCACAGCCTGACCATCGACTCCTTCTCCTAAGTATCCAGAATAAAGATATCCAGGACCTTCGGGAAAGTAGATGCCGTACTGTGTATGAACTTTTGGAGCCATTTTGGCAGGATCCGGAGATGAGGTGTGAGTGCTTGCGTGTTAAGCTGGAAGAACTGAGAACGTTCCGGTCGATCTAGGCTTTGGGCAAACTGTGTTCGTGAAGGAAGGAAGCAAGAGGGTTGGTGGCCAACCAAAGAAATAGTGCACGAGGCAGAGATCTCCAAAGCTCGAACTCACCATCGCCATTGTTCGTGATGAATAAAGCAATAAAGCGATCGAGGAAGATTCCATGGTGATACAAAGAAACATTTCGCATAGCCTCGAGTACCGAAGAGTGGTAGTCGCCGAACCTCGAGAGGCGAACTCCACAAAGGATAGACAAAGTCACTTTGTACCGAAAAGTACCGTACAATGCGTAGGACTCGGTCTTCCAGCTGCGCAACAAGGGACATATTAGCAATGACAAAGAAGACGCCGGGCGGAAAAATGGCGCAGTCGAGGATTTGAAAGACGTATTGTCGGGTATCAAAGCATGTTGCCGTGTCCATGTTGCAAGAAGAGCCGGAGATGAGCCAAACAGATCACGAGTGTCCTTGAGAGTCATGGAAGGCACCGGAGGGCAGGAGAGCCATTCCTCCTTAGCAAAGACGATGTAGCTGTCTCGTATCGAATAACGGCTATGTGCTTTCGCCATCCCTATTGTGTCAGAATCGCAGTTGGAGGTTAATTGTGCCTTGGTCTTGGAATAGTCCCGAAGACACCGCTGATCTGCGTGTTCTTCGTCTCGGCAAGTCTGTTCGCTGCAAACTCAAGAACATGAAACATGGCTAGAGAACAGGTCCGGCGTCGTGTTGGCAGCTTTATCGCGGTTGGCACGTAAGTTACATCGCACAGAAGCAACGTTGGCCTGTACTCAAAGGAAGTGGTACAAAGAAACTGCGCCAAGGAAGTGTTATGCCTCGCCGGACATGCTAGTGTCGATTCCACAGCCTTATCGGCAATCTGGCTTCATCTGGACGGAGATGGAGATGGAGACGGAGGTTCACGAGCCAGACATCGACCACTTTGCTCACGAACATTTATTCGCTCTGTTGCTCAGCCTGTGCTGACAACATCTTCATCCCCTTCTCGCCTTGCCTGTGCTTCCCCTACACCCAAGAACATTTTAACCCTCAACCCACCATCACGATGCTCAGCCTGTTCGGTTTCGGACCCTTCATCTACGGTGCGCAAGCCGACACAGTCACTCCTACTATCAAGATCTTAACTGACAATTGTCTCCCAGCAAGCTGCCTCTTCCTCAACGCCGTCGCCATTCTCTCCGAAGACCGTTTCCTTGCTCGAAGTACGTCTATCTTTCCTCCCAAGTCAAACCCCATGGAACAGTTGCATCCTCGTGTTGGCCGACAAAGAAGAAGCATACACTGACACTTGGATGATAGTTGGCTGGGGCAAATCACAATTGAACGACCCTGCCGCAGGAGGCGCCGCGTTTGGTACACCCGGTCAAGACCCTGAGAGTTTCCGCAGCAAGGGCATCAACCTCATATCCAGTATAAGGACGTTATGTCGAGGTTTGTTCTCGCCTTACCCCAGCTGTACGAAAGCCGCATCCTGACCCTGGGGCCCTCACAGTGCCTCTGATATTTGTCAACACGGTCATAATCATTTATGAGCTTATGCTGGGTTAGCGCACCGCTGTGTTGGACAAATCTTTGGATTTCTACCGACGCAACGGCGAGACGCAGACACACGGAACGATCCCGAGTGTATGGCGGTCGCGCGGCGACTACATGGATGGTCGCAGCTGCGATGGGGGTGGAGCATGACAACAGGCTATGGACCCAACATCAAAGCCAACAGTACAGCAGGTCTTAAGTCTATATCAGATGACACATCCGAAATCGATATCAGGGCACCCCATTCTCGAGCTTGGTCAGGATTGTCAAGCCTTACGAGCGTTACTCGACATCAAATCCATTGGTCCGGCGGCATGGCGAATTGCAAGTCTTTCCAAGTTGTCCTCTGTCGATTCAGGCGCAGCATACAGTCCTCCGTTCACCTATGACTAGCCATGGGTCGAAGCCATGTAGAACCATGGTTCAGATGTTCGCATCGACCCGGAGATGGGTTCTTCCGTCCCAGTCCCTTCCTCCAAGTGCAGTAGCCCTGCACCCCAGGGGGCTGAGTAGAACAATACCGGGGATCGACATATTTTGGAGCTTCCTGTGTTCGAGACAGCTTGTTTGCACACTCTTCCGAGCCACTAGGCCCGTTGGCAGGCAGAGCAAGCAAGGAAAGTTCCTGGGCTCGCCGCATCTTGAACTGGACCTACAGGCCCGTAGCATGGAGAGTTCTACAGGGGAGATGGCGGCGGCCGAACACGAAAATGCTGGGAAATCGCGCATTCATCATCTTTTCATTCGACTCAACCTGCTTTTATATATCGACAAGCTTCTCAAACGGCAAGTATGTACCAAGAATCAACAAGACTCTTAATCCGCTTCATAGCCCCAGCCAACATTCTCCTAAGTTGGCCGATCATGGAAGCGCTGTATGTGCCTTACCCAATACAACCCATATGGACATCGTGAAAACCCCCTTATGCAAATATTAAAATGTGCATGCCCACTATAGCACGCCAAAGGACTTCTTTCGTATACTAAACCGATTCTTCTTTTTGTCCTTCTCCTTCTCAGCATCTGGCGCTTCTGGTTCCGCGGATGTTGAAGGAGTCTCTGTAGAAGGACCGGATTCCGTCTTGTCCTTCTTTAACCCCCCAAAACGTAAACTTTTTGTTCGCTTGAAACGGTCGAGGCCAGAATTAGTGGAACCATTCGGCGATGTGATCGATCGTTCCAATTTATTCCGCTTATCCTCTTCGGCCTTGGAGGCCTTGCTCGCTTCCATGGCTGCCTTGAGTTCCGCCTCTTGCTTTTTGTGTGCCTCAGACAACTTGGCGGCCAAGTCCTTTCGACGTTGTCTCTCTGCTTCCACTCGCTCCTTCTCGGCTTGCTTCTCGGCCGCTTTGCGTGCCTTTTCTTCCTTGGCCTTCTCTTTCTTCGTCTGGGCAACAGGGCTTGTAGATCGATCCGCAGTATAAGTAGGTGACAGTGGCGTTTCGACGTGACCATTCGTCATCAGCTCGGGAGGTGCTGTCATTGCATGATCAAGAGCCGCATATTGGTGACTTTCTGAAAGTCCTCCTGGAGAACCCATAGGACTGACAGTCTGTATGCGGTGCAACTCAGCTGATTGCTTGGTGTCAACACCCAGGCCAGTCGAGAGATCTTGGGAAGCACGTCTCTTGCCCTCCATCTTCTGTTCTTTCCGTATGGCCTCGATCGTAGTTTCCTGATAGAAGAGCACATAGGCACATGCTAGCCCAGGTTTATCTCCAAAGAAGTTCCGTACGAAGTTCTTGTCGACAGGTTCCACCATCTCATCGTCAAAGAGGAGCCAACCCCGATCTTGGGTCTTGATGACAGCGACGTAATGGCCATGATATGGTCCTCCGCCAATGTGCACCACGACTGCATATAGCTCGTATATCCGGTCTGGGTCCTCGGCATCGTCGGTAGTGTTGAAGAGTCTCAGATGGTATGGATATACCACTTTGTGGAAGAGCTTTTGCAATCGTTGTAAGTCCTCGGTATATTTGAATCGTTTCAGATGGAGGGCCAATATTTTCGGAAGTCTTTTGATCTTCATACGCTTTTCAGCCTCTTGAAGGCCACCACAGTTGTCGCAGTGAAACTTGTTCCGCTCGCAAAGCATCTCCTCTTCCGAAAACCTACGCAGGCATGCAGTAACAGACGAATGCTGCTCCAAATCGACGGACAAGTCCAGAAATGGTTCATCCCGGTGGGAGACGTTTTCGCAAGTCAGACATCGTGTCTCCGACGTCAAAGTCCCCTCAAACAATTCGTGCAACCATCGCGTCCTGGAGTTTCTCCCCACTTCTGGGAGTATTGAGGGGAATGAGACTGTTGCAGACTCGGTTTTGACAATTTCGTCAGACTTCTCCGTAGCCCGCTGGGCATCCTCAATCTTCTTCTGTGCGCTTGTATTCTTGTCATGTTCCTCAATGTTTTCTACCACGGTGTTGAGTAGTAAATTTAGGAATTCGTGAGCATCTTGGTGCATAGCCGATCTGAACATCTCGTTTTCTTTGCGCAAAGTCTCGAGAAACCTATGCGGACTAATGACACCCATCCGTGACCGATCAACGACAACAGCTTCGAATAGATCCTTCAAAGATGTGAAGAGTGTCTCGGGCATGCCATAGCCCCGCGAATTTTCATAAGTCATGTTTAACATGGGACCCGCTGTGATCGCTTGTTTCTTCTTGTACTCCGGCGAATCTTTGTCCTCTTGCTTCTGCTGTTGAGGGGGTGTGCCAGCGTTCCGCGAAGATGTCGGTCCCTGGGGTTTCTTCGCGGCTCCATTGGCCTGACTTGGAGGTATTCGAGCTGGTGCATGCGCTTGTGCGTGGGCGACGGAATCGGGCGTTGACCGCTGAGGATAGGAGAGAACATTTTCTCGGAATGGTACAGAATAATAGAGACACTGTAGGATCGAATTACAATAGCTGCGAAACGTTAGACATTAGAGATATTCAAGTCGAACTCAGCACTGACCAGGTGTTTCCGAACTGCAAATTGTTCCTCGTCAGTATACAAAGATATCATGAAGCAAGGACAAACGCACGTTTTCCATGCCAAAGAATTTATCGCTGCCATCATTGCGAATCGGTCCAGCATTCTCTAGCATGCGCTCCAGAGGGGTAGGGACTGGCGCATTTAGATCCTTTTTGGCTGGGGAGGTGCCCACCGCTGGTGAGGGAGCAGTCTGCAAATGTACTTAGCAACGGTACGACTTTAAGAAATAGTCGATATGCTGCCAATGAGATACATACCTGGCTCTTCAACTTTCCAAAAAACGAAGACATGGTGGGCGCGCCTCACCTGCGGCGACCCGAGTACATGAGCAGGTGCGGTCACACTCTAGACAGGCGCATCTGCAGTTGCATATCGTGAAGAAGCAAGTAGGATCGCGGTACTCCGTACAAAGAGAGGCAAGAGAACTGAAGGCGCCGGCACAAGAAACCTGCTCGTCAACTTTGAAGTCCGTGTGCTCAAGAAGGTCGAAATGGTGAACTAGAAGGAGCAGCGATGCTGGTGGTGGTGGTGGTGGTAGATTTCTCTTCGTCTATCTCTTAGGACGGAGTTACGACTACTACCTATGGTACCAGGGCTAAATTCGTAAAAGGCAGGGTCGTGGCGGGGTGGGTTGCGCAGCTCACGAGTCACGACAGCCCTAGTTTAACTGGGTGCCTTTTTAGGCGCCAGAGGGGCTATGCAGTTGTGCCGCGATGCCGCTATGGAGAAGGATGGGGAGGTCGGTCAACGGGTGGACGCTGGTGCAGAAGCAGCAAATGGACCGAGCACTTGTCAGACCTACCAATGGCAACCAGACGGCGGACAAAGGATGCGACTTCCTCCGTCAATCGGCCTGGTCGCTCGGCTGCTTGAAGGAATCTTCTATGCATCACTAATAATGAAAGACTAATCATTCTTCGACCAGGCACCAAACATAGGTACGCTCAATGTGCACCTTATCTCCCTATTGCCGGTGATAGCACCTAGTAGAAAGAAAAAGGGGAGCATCGAGATCCCACCAACTCGCTTGGTATGCTGATCTTCTCTTGAAGGAAGAAGGTGTCCTTTGCCTGACCTCTGCAGCGTGCGGCCAAATGCCGCATGTGCCTCACTAGCCTCAAGCTGCAGGACCAAAGTTCTAGCTCCTGTCGCCTGCACGAGGAACGGCCGTGACCGGTGCATACTTCGCTTGGGAGCGGAGGCACTCATGCGCAAGCTCCAAGCTTGGGCGACATGACGAAAAGCTCTGGACAAATTATGGGGAGCATGGCTGCCCGCAGATGCAGCTTAAACGACCCTTGGTAACCAACCAAGTGCACGCCCATGGACGAAAAGATACCCCAGCAAAGCCCCCCTGCGACAGACCACGTTCCACCACTGCCACTAACTTGAAAGGAGAATGCAGGAAAGGTTACAGACTGGAGTCGCATTTCTAAGCTGTTCCCAATGGTTGTTGAGAGCCAGTGCAAAGGTCCTGGATGCAGAAAAAAGGCCACCTCACCATTTCCCGTGTCTGCCCTCGTGTCACTGACACACTTGACGCCCCGACAAGATCGCCCCAGATCGCCTGAAGGTTGGAACGTAAAAATTACCTACCTACCTAAGGTAGGTAAGTGTAGGTCATCGAGATGGCGTACTGTAGCCCCGCGATCTCTAGATTTCAGAACATCAGAGGTATAGATAGGCATGTCGCTGCCTCAGCCTTGTGCGTTTTCAACTTCGAAGTAATTGAAAGATTCTATGCCGTCACCTCGAACGCTCCTGACCCTCGATGACGGCAAGATATCAGAATTCACTGAATCATCCATGGAATTGTCGTTCTGTGAAAGTAATCGTGCTTTCGCCTATACCACCACTGGTTAGCCTCGAACCACATCTTAGGTGTCGCCGAACTCTGGGCACTCGTCCGCGGAGGTCGTGCTTCGTTCTTCAGGAGTCAGGACTTGCGATAAAGTCTAGACAGCACGCGAGAGCTCCGGCTTGCGAGAGCATCGGTTTTCTCGACCTTTCCCACGGAGAAAACTTCCCATGACTATGGACTAGCTGTTGCTTCCGATTGTTGACATTTTGTGGGGTTGTTGACTTTCCCCAAACATGGGGCCTAGCCTCCGTTGGGAACAGTGGGTGACTGGGAAGAGAGCGAAGGAGAATAATGCATATCACGCGCGCATCTCATTCTGCCATGACTGGTAGTGGGACGCGGAATTGCAAGCCTTGTGACCATCGCGAAATACCGTACAAGTGGTTTAGGACGCCAGCTTACGCTTCATGTTAATTTATGCCCCACCAGTTTCGCTGAAGTGCGATGATCCAACATCTCAGTGTACCTTAGAATGCTTTGCTGTGCATGCATTAATCCCGTAGCCGGAGAACCTCCGTCAAGAACTCTTCGAAACTCAAGGTAACATACCCATCACGGTCGTCGTCGTACTTTTTGAATACGTCGGTCATCCTCTTCAGACTGATACAGGCTTGGACGAAAAGATCGAAGCTCATTCCGCGGTTACGTCCCGGGCTTCGTTCATTAAACGTGTTGTACAAGATGTTTACAAATGGCTGCGACAAGCGGTATCCAAAAGCTGTCATGGCGTTGGAGAACTCGGGGAACGATACCCTGCCGCTGCCGTCTTCATCGAACCGTTCGAATATTCTGCGCCATGCCGCAAGGAACCGCCACAGGTTCTCGAACTCGACGAATGTGAGCGTCGGACCTTGTGGCTGATTGAGTGGTGAGGTGGTGAACATACGCATCAAGGATGAAATCGTGCTGCTGTCAAACGGCGTAAAGTCCGCGTTCACGAGAGCGGACCCCAGCTCACTCATTGTCATCGACCCGGTGCCCGACCCATTCGCTGCTTGGAACAAAGGGAAAAGATCCACCGTGTCGGGGTCAGGCGGTGCAGGTGTGCGAGCGGGATAGTGACGTGCCTCATTGGACGGCCATCTCGGTGCAGGAGCGTTGGCCTGATGTTGGGTGCCGTAGCCATAGCCTGATGGAGGAGGGGATTGTAATCGTGCGTATTGATTGTCAACGTAAGCTTGATTGTTCGATGGAGATGGTGTCTGTTGGGCATAATTCGGTGCTGGGGACCGCCTATACTGCGCTGTTATTCCTCCAGGACCGAGACGGGGGTCGCTCGATGCCTGAGGTTGCGAAGTGAGTGGGCTGAACAGTGCCTGGGTTGTATATCTGGTGTTTGGAGAAGGTCTTCGATTTGCCTGGAGCTGGCTAAGAGCTTGCGCAGCCTGTTCAGGCTCTGCATGACTGCAGTGTAGACACTTATCAGCGACTTGGTCTCCCTAGTCGGGTGAAGCGAGGGACAAACTTACGCAGGCAAGGCGTCAGGATTGAATGCTTTATTGTAAGCCATAGAAACGGTCAAAGGTCGATTGTTGATGCAGCCGCGTCAGCCCAGATGAAGAAAGGAAAACCCCTCGAGGGTAAAGGTATATATTATTCAGGCCATGCGTTCTTACGAAAGGACTGCAGTCGAGGGCAAAGCCGTTTGCATGGTGACTGTTGAGTTGCGATCAAGTTGTAGGTTGGCGCAAATCGTATTCGCAGTGCGCAGGTAAGGCGACGGGCGCAGTTTGTACTAAGTGGTTTTACCTAGGTGTTCATTACAAGGCCGTCAAAGATGCTTGGGACAGGACTAAGAGAGTTGAGTCGCCTTGAGGCCGAAAAGGCGCAATGACGAAAAGATACCAGGTAATGAGTGCCGGCACTTGGACATGCATTCTAATGAGTTGAGGCAAGACTCATGGCCGTCGATCTGCTGCTGCTGAAGTTGCCCGAGGTTTTCCAACGCATCTTCTCCCGCATAAACGAACGCACGTAAGCAGCTTCGTTCTGGGAATCTAGCCTGTCAGCGACGGGTTTGTCCGTGACCAAACCATCCTACTAACATGCGTCGTCTTCACACAAGGTCTTTCCTTCATTGATTCGCGTCAAATCCCGCCCACAAGTTCTACTACAAGGAAAGAAGCGACGTCAAGTGTCATCTAGCATCCTGCTACGTGCGTGCCTGCCTGCACAAAGAGAATCTCCGGGACAGATCGACGCATCGGACATAACGATTTAGAGAGGAGCTAGAAAAGAGACGGCGCGCCTGGGGATTATTGTTGTACACGGACTGCTTGGCCTGTAGCTGGCCCATTATTATTAGACAAGCTGATCCGGTACGAAGCCCGCAGCCCTGCATCAAACCTACAGGCTTTCACCCAGTAGCTTTGGCTTGAACGCCATCAACTAAGGTCTCGGAAGCACCAACACAGTACAACTGTCGCCATCCAGGCTTGGTTCGTGGCTGGCTTCTCTAACTAGCCCTCCGTCCGCATACATACGTTTCAATTTTCTCGAGCCGAGTACGGAATACCAAAGTACCATAAAGCCTCATACGTGGTACCTATCCCTGCTTTCGGATCCAATATCTTATTCTGTCTGCGGTTTACCCTAGACAGGGACATATTCCGTGAGACAACTTTCAATTCTCGAGATGAGTGACCACCAGTCTGCCAATTTCTGGCTCTTTGGCTATGGGTAAGCTGGTGCTGCCCAAGATTATATCATCCAGAAAGCCGGCTCCGTCATTGACTTTTTATTCTTAGGAGTCTGATATGGAAGCCTCCGCCACATTTCGGTAGGGAATAGGCGAAAATTCCGCACGATCCCGGGGTGATTGGCTGATGTACGATAGATCAGCGAATCCCGGGGTATATCAAAGGCTACGTCCGTCGTTTCTGGCAGGTAGGGGTCATTGATTCATCGGACCCTGACACATCATCTGGACTGACCTCTTCGTCTCTAGGCCAGGTGAGAACCCGAATGTCCGGTTCCTTGCTCGCACTCATGTCGTTCACCTAGCGAGGACCATCGAGGCACTCCTGAATCTCCAGGCAGAGTGGTGACGTTGATTCAGAAATCCTTCTGGGAAACGCTTGATGATACTGTACGACATTGAGTCCCTACGCGTTTCCCCTTGCTTCGCCCCATGACTGACTACCACTAGCAACGCCAAACCGAGGGTGATCGTGTCTGGGGAGTGGCATACCATATCATTCCGTCCAGAGTGAAAGAGGTCCAGGAGTACCTTGACATCCGTGAAATGTACCGCATGCCATGTGAAAGCCACAGGATCTCCTCGCTGACCTTTGAGACAGAAACGGATACAGCATTCAGTACACACCGTTTCATCCTGCGGATCCAGCGCTTCCAGATCTCGACTGCCTCGTATACATTGGCATGCCCGACAACCCCCAATTCCTTGGCGCCCTCGACCCTCAAGATGTCGCTAACACCATCAATGCGAGTCTTGGTCCGAGTGGCGAAAACAGAGAGTACCTCCTCCATCTTGAGAAAGCCTTGGAAGATCTGAGCCCAAACAGCCACGACGAGCATATTAGTGATTTGGCTCGACACGTCCGGGCCCTGCCCCCACCCGACCGCCGTTCACAGCACGTCGCAGAGCCAGAGTTGAGGAAAGTCAGCAGCACTGAAGAGCAAGAGGAGATTGAGAAGGAGGTATGATAGTGTGCTCAGTACTAAATATCGCTTGCTAGCATGACTTGGAACCTTTGAAAAGCATCAAGACTTGCAGTTTACCAAATATGCCCCCACCGAAAAGGTCGAACGAATTCAAGGGGTATCTTCGCAACCAAATCTCCACCATGAGAGGAGCTCTTCTCATTGACGATAAGGTCCTTGGTTGTCATAACCATCGTTCGGTCCTCGGGACTGGCCGCCACCGTATGGTCCTCCAGGCTGCTGGTAGGGAGGATTGTACTGTCCATACTGCGAAGGATACGAGCCACCACGCCCGTATCCGCTGGCATTTGGGTTCCGCGATTGAGTGTTCATCTGCGGGTATCCTCCCATGCCAGTGTTCGGCATTGTGTGTCCACCTCTTGCTTGATAACCGCCACCACGAGCGGAGCCACCGCCTGGCCTGTTGTCTTGCGCATGGTCAACTCTGATCAGGCGGCCATCGAATCTATCAAAGTCTCAGCCAAAGACACTTTCACGCGTCGTTCAGTCACCTCACTCGGTATTGTTCATCTTCTCCAGCGCTTCGTCGGCTTCTGCTTTGTTGGCAAAGCGTACAAAGCCAAACCCACGGCTTCGGTTCGTGTCACGGTCCTTGACGACTACCTAAATGCCATCAGCAACCAGCACCGAGACCATCTGGCGGTAAATTTACAGCTTCTTCGACCTTGCCGAATTGTTCAAAGCCTTCGAAGAGTGTCTCGTCGGTTGTGTGCCAGGCGAGGCCGCTGCGAAAAGAAAGAGTCAATCAATGCTGCCTCGCAACAGTATTTGTGGAGCCCCCGCTACCTACCCTATGAAGAGCTTCGCCATCGCACAGTCCACCGGCGCGTTTTGAGAGGCTCTCTCCCTTTCGATGGATCAAGATCTTGGAAGAATGCCGCAACAGCAGTCTGTAGGCCCAAACACACCGCACAAGGTCAAGTGGTCGAATTTGAACAATAGTCAGATTTCAGTCGTTATGGAGATCTCATTGGTCGAAGAACATGCAACGGTTCATGCAGTCTCTCCCTTAGATCGTCTGCACGGTGAGCCCCTCCGAAGAAACTTGCATTACCATATGATCTTGGACGTTCAAGTACTCAGACGGACCTGACGAAGAAGAGATGACTGATCAAGGAGATGCGGGCGAACCGAGCATAAGTACCATTGACGGAAGTGCTACGTGTTTCCACGTGGAATCTACAGAAAGTTTCTCAAGTCCCGCAGAAATCCCCTGGGCTTTAAGATTTGAGCAATGCCCAAAGCGTCCCGGGAAAAAAGACACCCAAGAAAAGATCTGATGACGAATAATGTCTTGTTCAGCATAAGAAAAACCCCGTTGCCCAAAGACAATTCCTGCACTGCGGTACAGAAAAATTCTCTGACCGCGTGAACAGAGAGGGTGTGGAGCCTGCCTCTACGCATTATTGCGGTGTCTACTACGGAATTTGTTCTTGATGCCGTGATGTAAAGACGGTTAAGCTCCATCACTTCGGTGGTGTCGAGACGGATGCTGATACGGTGAAGGGTGGGAGTATGCCATCCGGGAGAGAAGTGGGCCTAGCCATGAAAGATCTCCCAACGTACCGGCTGTCGGTAAAGGGAGTTCGCAGAACCTTGTTCCCTGGACCACGATATGGGTAATATCTGGGTCCCTTATCTCACGTACAGATTGGCATGTCAGCCCTACACTGAAAGGCGCAACACTCACCATATTAGGATACGGCGAATATGATGAGTGTTTGGGGGCCAGGCCAGACCTCCTCAGAGAGTAGTGAAGGAGAAGAGATTGCTTCTGGTGGAGTCCATGCCAGGATGCCCATAAGGCTTTATGCCGGTTCTGACGGTCTAAGCGACTTTGATGGGACACATCAGGTGGCCACAGTGGCGCGAATGGGGTGAAGAGCCATCAGTAGCACGAACAGTTGGAGACGCGAACTGGGCACTCACCGCTGAGAAACGGAGACTGCAGATAATGTGCATGGGTTCGCATTCGAGGAGAGAAGTCCAATACGGAGTACCACCAACGAAGTGGGCAATCGCATTTCTTCTGAAGGAGCTTATCACTGGACCTTCGGGCTGATGGTCTTATCAGACGCTTCTACTGGTGCATAGGATGGACTTCGTTCCCCGCTCATGGCAGGATACTGTATCTCGATGCGAAGCACCAGTCGGGGGTTTACGCTTTTGGAAGTGTTGCGAAAGAAATGCCGTTCGGGCGGAACAAAGCCCAACTGCCCATGTGGCAAGCCGCAAGCAGGATTCAGGAACTGTCAGGAGCGGCAAGGGCACAGACGTTGAATTGATGATGGGTGGGCGATGCAGCTGGTTGGATTGAGGTCAAGGTTTGATGCAGGCTTCCCGAGGCTAGGTCGACGTCAAGACCATGTGTCGGTAACAAATGCTTGGGGCGTTTGATGGGCAGAGGATTGCGCATGTGGAAGTACTGACGAATGGCCAGGTAATCGTGAAAGAGAGAGCATTCTTATCCAAGCGGCTCGTTGCCAATCAAGGGGTCTGCAACAAGACTAATAGAGAGTGAAAGCCGGCACTAATTCAAGCAGCGAAACAGGGAAGCCCAAATCGCCTTGGCTGCTCTATACAAAGTCAATTACACGTCTCCTTCTTCCCTCCCACTTCGCCCTCTTTACCTACTTAAGTTACTGTTCATCTTAACCGATCGCGCTTTTCGGTACGGGTTGTTCGACTTAAGGTCATGCCCTCACTTCCACACACATCTGCGCTTTAGCCATCAAGTAGATATCGGCCGGAAACAGATAGTGCAAAAGCTACACCGACTCTCGCTTGCCCCGCTTTCTGTCTCTTCGGGCCTTCTTTCGAATCTAGGTCCACGATGGTGATGAGAATAATATTGCCTTCACTTCAATTACTCGTCATTCTTGATGGCGCGAGGAATTGTACTTACTGAGCCGCAGTCTGCAGGCCAGGCTGGAGAAGTGGTACAATCACTTGTGCTTTACAGACACACTAGCAGAAGGCACCGGATGTATCGAACGTTCCTCAAGCGCATAAGATAGGTGCAAACGAGGCGCTGTGAGCCTTCCTAGTAAGCAAACTTGTCAGGCATCCTGCAGCAATGACTTGCAGGTGATCCGGAGATCAACAGCCATCCACATGATCTCCTTTTTGGATCAGCCTTATGACGGCCAGAGGTCATTAGTGCTGTAAGTTGAAGAAACGAATACTAGGATAGCAGCACAAAACGTGATGAATGCTAGGATCGAAGGGCATCAATTGCGCATGCTGAGAAGCGCTCGGTCGTGCCTTCCTTTGCTTGGAGAGGAAATTGACTCACCTAGACCAGACTTCAGCTGCCTTTCCCATTCCTTGGTCGCATCTGCTACACTACCCTTCTCTCGTTCAGTCGCAATCCAAAAAAAGAATGATGACCTTCCTTTCACTCTCTTTTTCCTTGATTTTGTTGGACCTTGATGTCGCAAGAACCCGCTTTCGAAGTCTCAGAACTGGTCAATAGGTGGCTAGGTAATCTATCGCAAACCCTTCACGAAGAGCCAAACGCAGCTTCAGTACTGGAAGACTCGCTTCACGGACTTGGCCAGGAGCCAGAAACACTTACAAGGTGCTACAAATTCCCGATATCTCAGGTTTCAATGCTAAGACAGGACTGACAGGAATGAGGACTCCTGTGGCGCGGATGCAAATGTTCGAAAAGGTGAGTCTACACCCTGGACATATGGTATCGACCTGTTGAGCATGATAAATACAGACACCATCCCTTCGGGGGACCAACCTCCTGCGACGACAGATCGCCAGGTTTCGAGACACTTCGAAGACATAAATCCCACGTACTGCTCAGCAGAGCGCAAGAATATGAAAAGGCGGCATGATCCAGATCTTTCTCCTCCCAGACATGCTCCCTCTCAACCGAGGTGCTTATCACCGCCACAAGATAAAGAGGCCACTACAGACCCAGCCGATAAATACGCTCGCAGACAGAGACGGAAAACAAGACCTGACAAATACGAATACAAGGGTGCCACGCAAAGGGCCTCGACCTTGCGCCAATCCAAGAAGCTGGATCACAAGAAATCCTGGGCTGTTCTCAACGACGAGTTTCAGGCACCGAATGTCAGTTCGCAGCGATTGACTCTCAGGCCGGGCCATGGGCCAGGTATTCTTGCCAATGCAAGGACTTCGGGTCCTATCCAGAGACAAGGATTGCCCGACTTGACATTTACAGAAATGGACTTTCTCAAGAAGAAGGACAAACACAACGGTGACCCGCGATTTGGCTCGGACAGACAGGTCCTTACGCGAAAGACGCACAAAGCCCCTAACATGAATGGTGAGATATCAAATTTCTTTTCTCGTCCAGAAAACGGCAAGCGAAAGGCACCATCACCACTTAAACCATCTTACCAGCACTGTGAAACTCCAAAACCATCGTCCATACCCTTGCACAGTCGATATCCTGGACCGGCTGATCCCGAGTCTCGCTGGAAACCGGATAGCGAGGTGCCAATCCTCAAACATTTTCGCCCACCGTCTAGCCACAAGCCAACACCGTCTCACAAAAACCCAGGTACTTCTTACGTATCTTGGTCTCGAAGTCCGATTCGGATAGCCAATGCACCAACATGGCCGGAAGCCAAGAGTGCTGCAGACCCACGTTCTTGCGAAAATTCTAAGCGACCACTGGCCCAGGAAGTCCGTCGTATCGAAACTCCGACCTCGATAAACCCCCACAGTTCTGCAAGCAATCATTTCTTCAAAGACTTCACCACCAATGCACTGTTGGGCGGAGTCGAGGCCTTTGCGCAAAAAGGCCGGCCATATTATTCGCTTGATGACCTCAAGGACTTGGCTGGGGAGAGGAAGGGGACGAGGAAGAGCAGCATTCCTGTCGATCTCTGTGACTTCAACCGGAAGCATCACGGCCAATTAGTACATCCTCCCGACCTACTTATGGAACCTCAGGATTCGACAATGGACACAATGGCCCGACAGCATACAGGTCAGCTTCGAAACGAAGCACCTGGCAGCAGGGAAAGCGTGCTGCCTGCACACGACCAAATGGGCCGGACGCGTCACCTCGGGGAAGAATCAATAGTGCGCACACAAGTGTCAGGATCAGCTCGCAGGCCGTCCGGATATCACGAACTTGACAATATCCCTGGCGCCACTCCAGTCACGAAAGACACGATGCCACCGCAATACTCGAGTTATTGGCCATCGCCTGAAGGGGGAGGAACGCCTCATCTTTTGTGTGAATCTCAAATATCCCAGCATCAAAACCACGCTGAGGCCATGATGAAGGATGGCAATAGCCCCAAGTACTTTCCTAGACCTTCATCACGCACCGCCTCGCAATCTCTGGGTCACTCAAGCTGGTGGCCTTCACATGTTCAGCATGAAACTTCGAAAACATCGGCTACTCCTTTACTTTCTCATCAGGTTGACTATCAAGCTGTCGAGTCCGTTACTAGGCAGGACCAATTTTCTGTGCCCGCAACGGTTCCTGAGTCTCGAAGGCCACCCGATTATTCGGGCCATTGGTGGTCACGAAGACTGCATGAGGCTTTGCGGTTTCCACTCAGGCCACGCCCTTACGATCATGAGTATGATGAAGATGTGGGAAGTCCTCGGTCCTGCAATTTCATCAAAACTGCTAGTGTTGACAGTCTGGACGATGTTGCCAATCATGAGCCTTCCCAGATTGGTCGTTTCGAAATGTTTGGTGAAATCGAGATTGATAATCCTGTGGACCGACATGATTCGACTGTTTCAGATGATTTGGACGACTTTGATGTCCAGCTTCTGCACATGACTTCGCCGAAGGTCTCTCCTCGTCCAACCATGGCAGCGGCCATGCCCAGGTTTCATGCGACTTTAGACGGAGAGGCGACTAAGAAGCAGCTCGAGGATGGGGCTGAAGTGGCAGCACCGCAGTACACATGGAGTCAACGTCGACCCCAGCCCTTGCCAGTCATATCGTCTTATGACCGGGCTGATTCTGTCCAGAACCCATCATCCGTGTTCTCGCGAAAGGCCAACTACCATTTGGACGACAGCACCCAGAGGACATTGCCGTTCCAGCACGTACCAGATCTACCTGGATTCCCTGGTCAGTTACTTGAGCAGCCGAAGTCAACACCCTACACAGGATTTGCCCGACGACATGTCCTTTATTGATGTTTGATAGCGTCACATGCTATGAGACAGTTTGGCCGCCAACGGTCGGTCGGGACAGTTCTAAAGTCCGAGGTTGCGGTTGGTGCATGGTAATGTCACTCGATAGTCTGAGGACGACGTTTTGCTGGTGTCCATTATCTACATTCAGCCAGGCCATGTGACTCGCATGACCGAAAGTGAAGCAATAACGAGTAATCATGACTGCGTCTTGGAACTCCTGTCTCATTAGATGTGGGGTAAAGGGACGCCGGGAGTCACCATCCGGGGAATATTGTTGGCATCTCCAGCAGATTACTTATCCTTCCCGATAATCACCTCAACGGATATAACTCGGCGGCCTTTGCAGATCAACCAGGACAATTCAGGGACACTATATTGAGGCAATAACGCCCAGCTGGCGTCTCGAAACTCAATGCCTATAATTCTCTACCGGACTGGCTGCTGTCGTGTGGCGAATCGAGGAGGTTGATCGGCAATATACTCGATATCTGACCAAGTAAGAGCGAAGATAAGAAACGTTAGCAAAGCTGGTGAAACTAGAGCCTCTTTGCTTCAGTGCTTTGTGCCTCATATAGCACGCCTATACGAACGGTCACACCTCGTTTGAACACCGCATTGGGTCAATGCCGAACATGAAGAGAATCATCAAATATCTACAGGATCAAGGTATGTCAGCATCCCAGCTTTCCAGTCGCAGCATCAGAGGCACATCCCGCTGATAAACATCTCGCTTCTTCAGCGGTCTCAACATCCCAAGAAAAGTATAATGGGTCAGCCTATCTCTCGCCATCGACCAAAGAGCCGCAGCAGCGAGTCCGCCATCGCGGCCAGTTACAGAAGAACGGAGGGCAGCACAACGTTGCAGAGAGGCCTCCTCCAGCGTACACCACCGCCACCCCAGATACCAGATTCAACACGTCCAACAACGTACAGACAAAAGCCACCCGCCATCAATACGCGCAAGACAACATTCTGCAATCGTACGACTTGTACATCCCCGAGAACGCACCCAGCCAGGGCTATTGGATCATCTACATCCATGGAGGCTACTTTCGTGACCCGAAAGTGACCTCGACGTCCTTCCTGCCTGCACTGGCCTTACTGGCTTCTTCGTCGGTCGCGAACGAGGTTGCCGGCTACGCCTCAGTCAACTACCGTCTTTCCAAGCACGAACGATACCCACAAGACGAAACGACCACGCCGGCATATGAACTCCGCAACGCACTTTGGCCGGAGCACTTCGACGACGTGCGCGCCGCGATCGCGCACCTGCAGTGCAAATACTCTTTCGGCTCAAAGTATTTGCTTGTCGGCCACAGTGTTGGCGCGACCATGGCGCTATTATACACGCTGGGTGCGATCACGCGGAACGAGACCGAGATACCACCACCAAGGATTGTCCCGCCGGCAGCTGTGCTAGGTGTAAGCGGAATTTACCACTTTGAGGCCTTACACAAGTCGTTCCCAGCTTACATCGATATCACGAGGAATGCGATCCCGAACCCCCAGGATCAGGTGATGGCAAGTCCCGCAATACGTCCCACTTCCGAGTTTAGGACCAAAGCGATAATCCTGGCTCATTCACGCGACGATGGGCTCGTCGATTGGCAACAGGTCGAGCTTATGAAGCGTTTGTTTGAACGGAAGCCCCACGAAGGAGGTACTGTGAAGAGTGTTCGAGTGGTCGAGATCCATGGGAAGCACAACGAGATCTGGGAGAAGGGCACTGAGTTGGCACGCGCGATCGAGGAGGCGCTCGCTGACATACGGAAGATCGAGGCAAGTGGGTGAAGAAGTGGTCTACCATGGAGGATGACCTGTGACGATGACATGAGTGATGAAATATCGGTGAAAAAGGTCTTGATTTCGTCCTAGATGATTGCTCTTCCTTTCTCTTTTCGGACTTTCCGCATCTGATATGCAGGTCACCAGTCTCTTTTTCGCTCCTCTGACATCTACAGACAGCTTTCCCGCCCAAAGGATCACCCCAAATCCGCACGGATCTTGCGCAAGATGTTCGAGAAGTCACACCGCACGTCAATACGCTATGCAGATTTGTCCTCTTATACATCAGAAACTCCCAACAATGCAGTTCAACATCAAAGGTCCATATGCTCAAAAGGCCGTAAAGTGGTCGATAGTTGTACTTTTCTCTCGGGTTGTAGTTCGTAGTAAATGATCGCTGATTGCGTCGTTTGGTGAGATAGAAAATCTTCATGCATTCCCAGCATTTTCTTCACAGCATTTTCAATCATGTCTTGACCTTCTTCGTATCTCCTTCCTTCTCCGCCAGATCACCATCTCCCTTCCTCTTCTCGCCATTCGTGTCGCTCGTCACATCGCGACCACCGAATCCCGTATTCCGATTATCGGACGGCGTCGGAAAGACCAGCGGACTGGGTAAAACCGCCGATCCATTCCGGCCGGAATCGTACCACTCACTGAAGAAATTGCTCGGACTCGGTAGTAGATCGTTGTTCATGTATCGGCTCGGTAGCGCTGAGATGGGCGTCTCGATATTGCCTCGATTGTCATTGTACGCGTCGCGGTTCTGATTCGATGTCGGAGGGGGAGGTCGAGCAAAAGGATTAGGTGGTCCACTGGCGCCGGCAGACATGACTGCCGAAGCACTCGGTGATGGCGGCGGAAGGACAATATGCTCACCGGCTGGCCTCGCTGATGGATCTGCCGATGCTAGCGGTGATCCGCTTGCGGACCCGTCCTCTGCCTCTAAGGGAATTTGTAGATTCAATTTCGGCCTGGCGCCTGACTTTGACCCTGACGTGTTTGTTCGTGAGGGTGGGGTGAATTCAGGAGCTGCTGTGTGTGGTCTGGCTGGTTGGTTGGCTGGTCTGGGACCGATGGGTGCAGTGGTACTTCGCGGCGGAGGCTTGATGTCTGGGCCGTCGACATCCTCCCTTTTCGGTCTGGGTGGGTCTGGAGCACCGAAGAAATGCTGCGCCAATACTGATCCGCCCTCGTCTATAGGTGTGAAGATACTTCGCGACTTAGATGACATGTGCTTTGGTTGTGGAGGAGTAGCTTGTCCCGGAGGACGCAGACTTTGATTCTCAGGCTGGGGCGAAGAGCGAGGTTGTGGTTGAGGCGGCGGTTGAAGACCAGGTTGAGATGTTGGGGGAGGTTGTGACTGTCGCGCTTGTTCGGTCAGATACTGCTGATGCGCTTGTTGTAGATGCTGATGCGATTGTGGAGGAGGGGTGGGTTGCGGCGCATGCTGTGGTTGAGGAGGGAATTGTTGGAACGAAGGCTGCGGAGAGGGTTGAGGTGGTACAGCTTGCGCCGCGTGAGGATTGTATATGGGAGGATTCGGCACGTAAGCAAATCCATTCTGCGGTAGTGGAGGTGTAGGGTGAGGATGTTGCATAGGGACAAGGTTTGAACTAGTGCGCCGGATCATATTCTGTGACGGTGGTCTGGAAATGATATGAGGCGGTTGAGGAGTCCCATGGCGAGGTTGAAACATGCCATTCGGTATAGGAGGGGAGGAGGAATTCATGGGTTGCTGAATATGTGTAAAGGAATTGGGATGTTGCATGTGTGGTATCGCATGTTGAGGTGGTAATGACTCTTCTCTAGGATGGGAGGCCTGGTCGTCGATGTCTTCGTCCTCGTCATCATCGTCATCGCCGCCCTTGTTCTTGAAGTCGCCAGGTCCTTTGTGCTCGTGAGGTTGTCCGTACTAGCGCCATGTCAGCAAGAATTGCAGGTGATCAGGACGAAGCCAAACCTACAAACTGGTACCTCCGCAGCGTCTCATTGATGTCTCCTGACGAAAACTCATATAGCTTCTTGTTATGTCCAAAGATGATGACTGCGACATCGACGGAACAGAGCACGGATAGTTCGTAGGCCTTTTTGAACAAGCCGCCTTTTCGCTTGAGAAATGTCCTAGACACGAATCAGCATTGAGGCAAGGAGCGACGATCATAGTAGCACCACATACACTGAGCGATTGCGATCATCCTTAATGGCTCTGATTTCAATCTTCCTCCGACCCATGATTGTTTATATTATTCGCATATAGCGATAATCCAATTATGCGGCTTCTGAGACAGGCTGCGGCCTTGAGTGGTAGGCTGCGACTGGACCCTCTGCAGCGGCGAGACAACGGTGTGGTCGAGGAGAAGGTCGCTGAGTCCCGAGAGAGGGATGGTGGACAAACAAGGAAGTGGTAAAAAGTCTACCTTTGTCCTGTGGGAACAACAATGGGCAGGTCCAGGGACGGAAGAATGTGAGACGTGTAGTGCTGCGACTTTCTTTGTGTCGCAGGATGGGAGTGGTGGCAGAATATAGGTATAGGCGTGAATTGGAGTAATGATAGCTGCACGCGGCGACGATCAAGCCAATGTCGAGCGTGTTGTATAAGTCAATAGCGACCAGTATAGTAAGCTGTGGCTGCTCTGTGAGGCTCACAAGCGTGGATTGGATCCTTGACGGCGTGTATGCGGTCAGGTCAAGAGAAACGACGTGGATGTGGATAAAATGGAGGGTGCTGCTAAAGATAGAAAAAGAGAGAAAAGAAAGAGTGAACTTGAGTGGGAAGAGAAGGGAAAGGCGGGTGCGGGTGCAGTGGATTCCTGCCTCGCGGCGTTGCGGTCGACAGGTGTCAAAGCACCGATGCACGATAAGTTACGGTTACGCTTAGGGATAAGGATTAAGGACCCCAGTACAGTTGTGGCCGAGCCGAGCACCTGGTAGCAGGTGCACAGGTGAGTAGGAAAACTTGGAGTTGGAGCTTGCGAGCGGGCGGTAAAGAATGACGCCAAAGGGTTCAAGTCTCCAAAGGTTGCGCTTATACTCCGTACTTTGGACGGAGTACCTCATACCTAAAGGTTTACTCTGGAGGCGCAAGTCACCTCCGGTCGTTAAGCGCACCAGCCACTTTTTCCATGTTGCATGATACTCTGCACCGAAGAAGTCGACGTTGAAGATGTTACGCTGTCCATTAGACTTTTTCCTTCGCCTGGAAAGAATGCTGCAATGCTATCAGTGTACCTTCATCTTCCATTGACGTGCCTGAGGAGGCAATCCATACACATGCGCATCATGAGTTCATAGATAACAAACCAGCTCGATGATAGTCGGTGTCATACGTATGGATGTTTTGCGGCTGTTCCAAGTGCAGGTGGTTTTTTGCAGGATCCGGCAGCGGGGCGAAAGGAAAGAGAGAAAGACTAAAGAATTGGCGCCAGCGTTTCAGGATACGGTGTGTCGCTATTGGCCACAAATGGTTTCCCTTTCATATCCATGATTCGTCAGATATTCGCCGTCCTAAAAATAGCAGCTCATCAATATGGACATGGCATGGCGGCTTTCGACGATGGTAGGTTGACCAAGGTTAATACCTTTATCCTTTCACCGCATACACATTACATCCATACCTTATCCATGGAACGGCGACATCCTGCTGTAAGAGCAAGTCAGGGTCTGGCCACGCCACGAGCCAAGCGTCTTTGAAGAGACAGCACCAACGCCATCTTCCCCTCGATTACTCCGGCCTTGTCTGCACGACTGACGAACGGGGCAACTGTCTCAACCCCTATGGCAGATCCCATGCTGCAAGAGGTGCCAGATCTTATGTCTGTCAGCGTCAGTCATTACTCAGCAGGTATAGTACTTGAAACGACGTCCGCCTGCGCATTCCGGACACAACGATCCCTTCCAGCTTATGACTTCCTAATTGAGGCTCAACTTCTCAGCCTCGTGAACGGACCTGTTCGTCCGTGCACGCTGCCTGAATGGTCACACACAACCCCATAGCCTACCTAGGTATCTCACAATCTCCAACCCCGCTTGGTCGTTCCTGCAAGGGCATCTGCTTACACTTTCGGACCCTAAGTAAAAGGAAGCCTTGACCTTGATACATAACACATAGTAGGTGACCGGTAAGTGACCTCTTCACTGCCCACCTCAGACCACGCAATAGCTCTTGGCTGGTTTGCTAACAGCTTCGCCTCAATCAGGCTGCGCTTCCTTCCACCCACAATTGTATGCTATGCGTGGCACCCCAGACAATCCACCGTGAACATTACTAAGAGCAGGTCTTTCGCAGGATCTTCAATGCATGCAGATTCAATATCTTCGGTCATTTTCGCCGCCGTTCCGATATGTATCTGACAAGTGCGTGTACAAGGTTCAAGGACCCCGGGTCCAAGTGCATCTGATACGTCGACACACTGTTTCCTGTTTGGGCGTCCCTGGTAGAGCCATAGCCGTCGTCCTCAGTTGCCTTTCCGGGCCTCTTGTGCTCCCAGATGACCATTCAATCTGGAAAAACATCCTCCCAGTCCGTCTATTTTCATCACATTCCTCCAACACATTAAAGCCCATATGTATCCACAACACAGGTAGGAAAGGTCGGGGTAATCGAAAAGAAGGTTGTTGTTTGTATTAATATGCTGTCCGGCAGCCGGAGCAAATCATGTTGCTAGAACGCTCACTGAAAATAGAAGAAAATGTCGCAGGTGGAATGCGTCGTGCGAAAGGCTCACGTGGTATCTCGAACACCCAAAAAACAAACTCCGGCCACCAAGTCAAGAAAATGATCAAGTCAGTGTCGAAATTGAGTGCGCGCTCGCACAAGAGGGAATGATGTTCAACGTGACAACACAAATGTGTCTGTGTCTATCGTCGGTTGCCGTCCATGTTACCGGTGAGTTCGGCTACACGTGCCTTGATCCGTGCCACGCGTGATTCAATGGCTGTCAAAAGTCAATCGGGCAATCTTGCACGACGCAAGGAGGCAGCACTTACTTTCTTCTCCACTAGTCTCGCCATCGTCTGTTCGAGTCTCCGTTCGACTTCTCGAGGTCTGCTCTTCAGACTGTCTCGCTGCTCTATCGGCCGCGTTCTTGCGGATCTGAGCCCATCGGTCGGTGGGATTGACCTGCGGCGGGAATGCCTCATCTTCCTCCTCCTCCTCAATCACAGAGGGTTCTGGCTCCTCAACTGTCACCTCCGCGTGCACGCTGAACGGTGCCTGTGGGTGCTCATCATAATATACTTGGTTCTGGCTAGCGTAATGCGCTGGATGGTCTTCATAACGTGCCTGACCCTGGCCACCGTAGTCCGCCGGTGGAATGTCCTCGTAGCGTGTTTGAGGCATTTCCTCTGCAGGAGTCATGAACGCACTTCGATTGGGAGTATCTGGAGGATCAAAAGCTGGCTGATCCGACAGAGGCCCCTGATCAAACCTCGAAAATTCGCGATTGGCATGCTCACGTTCATTCGTGTCCACTCGCGAAAGCCCATCGTAATCTGCATCCTGTCCGATCGCTGGTGGAGGTGCGTACTGTTGCTGAGCAGGTTCAGGATAATGGGTGAGCTGTGGCGTCGACCCTAATTCAACAGCCGCACTCATCGACGTAGTGTCAACACCATCATGCTGGACCGCTTTCGGTGCTTTCGCGTTTGCCAGTCGAGCAAAATGGGCAGGGCTCAATGGAGGCGAGGTAGGGCCATCGTCTGGTGCAGGCTTACCCTCCAATGCACGTCTTGCTGCAGCAACTGCAGGATTTGCCGCCACCGGAGAACCTGGAGCTGGTTGACTTTCTAGAGACTGCCGTGGTCCTGATTGATTCGGTTTTGGTTGTTTCGAGCCAAACAGCCGCCGGATGCCACTCTTTCGCTGCGCGGGCGGCGGCCCATTTGAGACCTTGCCCTTGATTTTCTTCTGCTGCGGCGGTGAGACTTTTCGCTGTCCGTCAAATGACTTGGTCAACTTAGCCGGCTGAGGTCTGGCATTAACCGGCTTCTCCATGGCAAGCTCCTGAGGAATTTCCGGCGTCGCAGGAGGCAGAGGTACTTCGGCAGCTTCAGGAACAGCTTCACTGTCGACACGCACTTCCGGATCGGTCGGAATGGAGGCAGGCTCAATGACGATAGGTGGTGCCTCTTCGAATGGCTGAGGTTGTTCCACTGGTGCTGGCGACATTGCTGCTGGCGTCATTCGTGCCGTTGCAACCTGAGGAGCTTCTTCTGACTGACTTCTGTCGACAAATGCGGGCCGTGAGGCATTGTCTGGTGGCGGGACGGGAAGGTCCTTATTCTTGCTCACCACCGAAAGAGTAGACGTAGACCTGCTGATTCCCATACCGTTCGAAGGCAGCGTCAACATTTCACGTGAACCTTGGCCAGCGAGCGTGTCCCCCAGGTACTTAGCCCGGATTGCTTTCTTGTCGTACTGGCTGGCCCATTGAAGAGCCGGAGACGCCTCATCCTTAATGAGTGGACCGATCGTGAAAATGCTGTTAGTTTTGGAAGCAATCATAGTCTGCGCCATTCGACCACGCCGAGCCACCGCGGCCTCATTCTCCCTGTCTTCGGCTTCCTTCTTCCTCGTCAACTCGGCCGCAGCTCTTTGGATTTTTGCTTGTTGATCTGGAGCCAAAGTAGCTTTGCTGGGCGTCGCGATTGGTGGTTCTGGTGAGAGTGGACTCTTCTTTGTTCCTGATCGCCTTCGGGTCAATCGTCCACCTTTGGTGGTGAAACCGAGGAACGATTTCTTGGTCTCTGCGATATACGCGCCAGCAGCGGGTTCTGGTGCAGCTCCCTTGACTTGTTCTTCCATGACCATCCAGTGGCCATATGGGAGTATAGTCTCGATTAGAGCACAGCGACCGAAAACGGCCTTCCTTGATGTCGGTTCTTCAGGCGCCAGACTACTGATCCAAACCCACCAAAATGAATCATCTACATCCGTTCGTGTGATGCTTGCCAATTCACCTGGATCTAGGATAGGTTGTGCGTTCAGGTTCCTTCGGTGCGACTGAGAGCTCTGACCACGGATCATTGTCGCATTGATGGGGGGTAAGATTTTATCAGGGGGAAGCAGGATTGGGGCAGGAGCCCTGTTGCCGTGCTCATCGAATCCTGATGAGAGGAAGTCTGCCCACGATGGAGTGGTGGGTCGTGCCAGATCTTGATAGCCCCTTGCGCGGGGTGCAGTACGCAAAGGTCTGGAACTGGCAGGTTTGGGCCCGAGAAAATCATCTCCTTCCTCCTCCTCATCATCAAGTGAGCTCCCAAAACCTATGTCTTCAAATCTCGACCATGACGGATCCCGGAGGCTTGTTGAGGTATTTGCGTTGGAGATGTGGGACTGGTTCGCAGACGAAATTGCTTTGAGTACACGCCGACACTCGTCAGTCAGAGCTTCCACGGGATCATCATAGCTTGCAAATTGCTGCAGCCCTTGGTCGTCATCTCTGTATTCGAATTTCTTCGCGCGTCGCAGAAGGGCGTACGGTGTTGGCGAAACAACATCTACGATCATGACCACTTTCGTAGTGTCGTTGAGGAGCAACGAATTTTGGGGTGGGTAGACTGTTGAGTCCAAGAGTTGTTGAAGGGACCTGGGGAGGCTCAGTATTCCACTCGTCTTACCTGCACCGGGTGACAGTGATCGCAGGTAGGCGAAGAAGAGGTGAGCGGCTGCATCAGCAGCACTATACAGAGTCAGATACACAACATATAGGGTGGGGACTTCCTCCTTACTTCTCCCAAGATTTGTATCCAGATTCGAATCCCTTGCCGGTATCGTAATGCTCAAAAGCCCACCATCCAGCATACCTGGATAGTTTGTGACCACCAAAACCGTTGGCCTTGCCATGCGCGGCAACGGCTGCAATCAGATCGAAAAAGTCTTGGATGATTTGAACGCGAACGGGTGAATCGACACCAAGAGGGACGAATGTACTGAAAGCATCGCGCGCATAGTTGGAATCTGCACCAACTGTCAGTTGCTTTGACACTCCCAGCAGTAGAGGGGCACAGATACCTTTCTCGCCGACCTTGAACCCCTCATAGACTTCCCAAGTAACGACGCCGCCAGGTAAACGAGCCCAGCACCATTTCATCACACTGATCAAGACCTAAATTTTCGTAAGCGCATATTAAAGTCACGTTCGTCAAGAGCCATCCCATACCATGACTTCGGTCATTCGCAATTCATTTTGCAACAAGGAACCCCGCAGTGGCTCTCGATCTTGAGGTGGAAGGAAGAAGTTGCGCATGAATGTTCTCGCCGCAGAAGGGTCCGATGAGGGACGAAATGGTAGTAGTAGGAAGGGCACATCGAGCGCTGTAGCCTTGGTCAGATATGTGCTTGCTGCACTTTCGCCACTACCTACCTCTGGATTTCAACTCTGATGTACACAAATGCAGCAACTCTGACACCTCCTCTGGGTCAACCCTCGTCCGTAGCCATGCGTCAGACCATTGTGGTGTCTTGTGTGTATTGCCATTTGTGGTCGGCACATTCGCCTTTTTGACCCCAGCATCCTTGCTCTTGAAGACCTTCGAGAAGAACGGCATCGTCTATTGAACGTCGTCAAGAAGATTTAGATAGAGATGCATTGGGTTGTGTCTGTCATCGGTTCGGCAGGTCAATTGATCATGGAGGTGAATCGTCTATGAGAGTCGCCACGACAGAATAAAAGCAGGATGTCTGCACAGCCAGCCAGTGCAAGAGGAGCTGGGACGGCTCTGATGCTTGCCCTCAGGCAAGTTGCATATGCAGGACCACCAAGTGTCAGGGGTTCTTATCGGTTCGGAACGAATGGGCGGGCGGGTACAAAAAAAGACCCTAGGCGACAATCAATCTGATCAATTTCGGAATGCAACAGGGACGATAGCGAGTGTCAAGAAGAGAAAAAGTGGTCTTGGACAGCACAGCAGGCTGAAGTGAAGAAAAGGCAAGGCGACGAGGATCACGCTGGCTAAAGGAAAACGAAGAAGAACCGCTGGACGGGCTGAAAATGAGCCTCTCACTGTTGCCCCAAACGAAAACAGAAACAGGAAATAATGTGATGATGCAGTGGGAAGAGGAGCGCGACGTGTCGTGCCGTGAGTTGAAAGGTTCAAGTCTAGTTTAGCAGGCTGGAGACCACGCAAATCGTAATTAACTTTAGTCTTTAGGGGACTGGCGCACCTGCAACCCGGACGTTTAGCGGGGGATTGTCCTCTTTTTGCTGATCTCTAACACCAATGACACACCTGCATCAGCCACTGATCACCACCGCATGTCTGGAACATGTCTTCTAGTTTGACGTCCATCTGCACTTCCGTGGTTAGCGACCCGGGCTATCACTCCATAGATAGATACCGTCGAACGCCTTCGACATGTCGATGCTTGAACGGGTTTGGCCTTGGTCCTTTGTCGCCTTCGCGTAAAAGGCCATCATTTCCGCTCAAGCGAGGAGTGACCAGGTGCCAGAAATCCAAAACACAAATTGAGTCCAATCCCACGCAATGCCTGGCCAAGGGATCTTGTTGTTTCAGCATTCGGCAGGGAACATGGCAGATCGGACGACGTATAAATGACGGGGCATCTCCGACATCCTCAAACGAAGTGAACCTTTCACTTGCGAGCACCGAAACTGCAAACCACGAGGTCCACGAGGGCGTCTGTCATGTTTGACTTTCCCGAGCAAGCCACCGTTGGATCGCTGGTGGGACTGTCCGCGGCTGCTAAGATTGATTTGTGACTCGGTGCTGCAGATTGGTCTTTTCATTTCAGGTGCCTCGGCCAGTCTAAATCGAAACATGGCAGTCTCACAAGCCGAATTTTAAGAAGAGGAGGACATGGCACACCTTTTATTGTACAGCCAGGACAGTCTGTGCATTCCTTAGGGTTCCTGCATGAACGCTCTCCTTACTCGCACAAGGGAATTGCGGCGGCAGGAATGTAAAAAAGATGGTCCTACAAATCAAGATTGGCTAGCCACGCGAGCCTGGCAGCATTTGCAAACGGTCCAATCGCTAATCTTATAGCCTTGCAGCCTTAGCAGCCCAAATGACCCAGCGAGCCTCGCCCAAAAGTCCGTGTGCACCACCAACTGCGAGATCGACCGGTCAAGGCTTGTGTGACAGAAATTCCAAGAATGGTATGACCGTCAATTCTGACAGTCATGACGTAACCAATCAAGGCCCGAATGTCCATGCGTCGACACGAATATGAGGTCGAGTTGTTATACTTCCGCCGTAAAGCGCGATAATCTCTTCTGTTCCACAGGTCTTTAATGTCAAGGTGTCATCTGATAGCTTCAAAGACTGTCCTGCTAAAAACACGCAAACCGTTTACCACTTCTTCTTTCAAAATGGTCAAAAGCGACGAGGATGTCACCAAGTGAGAAGTCAATGAGGCGCATGAATATAGATGGCAGGCTGCTGATGACCTGGTAGAGACTTCAACAACACGGTCAACATGACCGCCGATGAGCTGGAGAAGTGGTTGAAAGGAGGAGACTCCCAAACGTCGGGGTGGTCCAAGAATGACGGTTCTGGTGAGAGTATTGGTCATGAGAGGTGAGCCTGACTTGGCCAGATCAACACGACTGTTGCCGCAATCTTGCTGTCACAGGACGGCTGGCTTCTCAATATTCTCCTTCCACCGGAGCTAATCTTCCCTTTGTAGTGGACGGAAGATCATTGAGATCTTGAAAAAGAATCCAAAAAAGGACCCGTCCAAGTATGATGGAGACGACTTGCAACATATGAGGAGAGTCGCTGCGTACAACAAGCGGCATCTGGCTCAGGAGGAGAAGGCCAAGGAAGATACCAGTAGCAACAGCTACAAGTCATTGAAGAACTGGGGACACGACGCCCAGAAGTCGTAAAGGTTGTGGTTCCTGGATCGGGAACTTGTCGACCAGAGGTCACTTTCGCTAGTTTGCCGTTGACTTCTGTGGTCGTTCATGTACATTAGCTCTAGCACTGGTCCGATTCTGATCAACTCCACAGAGTTGTGCTCAAGATTCTGGCGGAAAGATAAAGTCCTTGACAATCGTAGATCCAGCATACTCAGGATTGAGCATGACGCAGTTCAAAAAATAGGCCAGTCCCTCACGCCTTTTTTCGAGGAATTTTGGTCGAAACTTGTAAACCGCACTTTTCGGGGGAAGAGGTGGGAGCGACGACTTTGTAGCCTCGGGAAAGGCCTTGATCAATTTGCTCCTCAATTCGTCGAATTCAGAGTAGCGTTTCCGTATGATCATTGGGCCACCATCCAATGTCTGAACTTTGCAGTTCCATACTACGTATGATCCAATGCCTGGGGTGCTTCCGTTCACAATGACATAGTCGTCGATGGCGATTGACTTCGCCCACAAAGCAGATCTGGTGGGAGAATGTGTCAGAGTGTTGTCCTCGAGGAGGATAGCGGGTCGATGATTTAAGGATATGTTGCTTGAGTACGAAGCGCCTCTGTTGTGTTGCCAGTATGGTGGCGGCGTATGTGTCGGACGAGGCGTCACCAAGCCATTGGGATTGGACTCTCGGGAATCTGGCCCTTCGAGATCCGATGTAGCTGGAGGACACTCCATGCATGTGATGGGCGCACGTAGCTCATAAGATCATCGAGGCTAGCGATGGTGGGCCATTAGACGAGCTGGCAGAGAACAGTGCGACAACGAAGATGTTTCAATGGCTCTCATGGACAGATGACATAAAGTGTCGTTTCTGCAGAGGAGTTCGCCGAGGAACAGGATTGGTGGCCGCCATTTCTGGTAAAGTGTACTTATCCCCAAAGGCTAGGCTGGTTTTGGGCACATGGGGGGTACGAGTAAGGGTTACTATGTTGTATGACTTGGGAATTGAGCACTCTTGAACAAAGTAATAGTTTTGATGTGCAAAACAGATAGAAAGAGTACTTGCCTAAGGTAGGTGGTAGTACTTTCCAAAGATCATTGCCATCTTCACCATGACCCCCTCCGTCTCGCTCTACCTCGAAGGGCCACTGGCCAAAAATACCTACGGCACACCAGAACATCAACATCTCAACAAACTTTTGTATGATGCGGAGAGGGTTTCACACCCAGATCTGCAAACCGGTCATTGACAGGGATCAATGGCGTCTCGTGGAGCTTCGGTTTGTATGGCGATTGGATCTCTGGAGCTGTGGGCTAGGCCACCTGCAGACACGCTCCAGGCAAAAGCGCGCCTGTAAGCTTGACCGCGATTCACGAGTCCACGACAGGTGTAAAGCCTGACACCTTTTTTTCGGACACTCTAAAAACACCACCAAAAAGATTCACATCTGAGACAATTCCACCACATCGGCACCAACTGTGCCACGGGTCCTGCAAGAGCATGTGAGGTTACTATAACAGTAGGTCTTGGAGTGGCGCCAAAGGGAATCTCCCTCGGACGCCAATTGAGACTGGCATGCCACCGGACGCAATGTCTTAACCCTGCCTCCACCAGCCCTTTACCGAGATCCATGCCAGTATCCGCGACGGACTATTTGAGCCTCTTCTTGTCCGCTGCTCCTTGCTGCGATACCTGCAAGCAAAAGCATCCCTTCTCTCACGTTCTCTTCTAAGTTATATCAGAGTTGTACTTCATTTTCTCTCATTCGTTTAATCACGATTCCAATTGTTACAAGCATATACTCCGACAGACTTACATACGTTCAGCAATCTACTATACAGTTTAATATCAGCCTCATTTATACTCCCAACCATGCAATACCTCCTTTTCACTGCTGCGGTGGCTGCACTAGCCGGACTCACCATCACACAAACCATTGATCCCAACTCTGTGCCGTTGTCGACAAGGCGTATGTCCACCTTCGTCTTCAAAGTCCTGGAAGTCACTAACCATTCGATCAGAAATTTGGTGCAACTCTCAAGTCGCCGAATGCCCCTTGATTTGTACGGACCAGACGAATGGCTCAGCTGCCACTTATGCAAACACGTGTGATCCTACCAGTTTGACTTATAGCTGCGTCTGCGCAGACGGCCTGTCACCGAATGCCTCCGAATACTCTCAGAGCCTCCCATACTACATCTGCACTCAGTACAACACCGAATGTCAGCAAGCCTGTGGGAATGACAACACATGTGCGGCAGCATGTGTGCAGAACCATACCTGTGGTGCCACGAATCCCACAAGAGTGAATACGAGTACAATTACAACAATGTCGGCCACAAGCACCAGCAATGGGGCTGCGGCCTCGACTGCTTCCGGTGGTGGTGTCGTATACAGTGGATTTGGAGGAAGTGCTGCCACTACCACAGCTGCTGGGGAGTCGAGTGGCTCAAGAAGCTCGGCCACAAGAATCATTGTCAATATGGGTCAAGTCTATGGTCTTGGTGTGCTTGTCGCGAGTATCTTCGCCGGATTCACTCTCATGCTATGAGACGTCATGGCCGGGGAAAGAGAATTGACTGGGTCCTTCATTCTGATACCAGCCGCGGAGCATACACCTTACTAGAGCATTTGGATTTTTTGGTTCTCAGTTTCGAGCAAAAGTTTGATACAGCGGGTTTCAGCGTCGGCGTAACATCATGCGTTCCTGGATATGCTGTGTGTCGTAGGCATATAATACAAGTGAACAAGAATATCTTCTTGAAGGGATCTGGCACAACAGTAATATCAACATGATTTCACAGAATCAGTCTGCCTCTCATACTCCAAATCAATTTCTTTGCTTCACTCGCGTGTTACCATGACAACCAATGTTTCCGGAAAATGACTAAGCCGATCCGTCTGCAACAATTGGTCGCGTCCTCAATGCAACTTGCGATCACTTTTATCCAACAACAAAACCAGCTGCAAAGGATGGTCTTTCTCACTCATATCTCTATGCAGCAATAGTCCCTAAGATGGCGGCGTACATGTCGCCTACGCCAGCAGCGTTCGCTTCCAGCCTTAGCAGTTCGCGCCGTCCTCTGCACCGAACCACAACACGACCTGCCACGAACCGTGTTCAACCCGTATCCCACCCACAAGCAACCAAATCAAGCTCACGAGCTCATCGAGACATGACAGGGGACAGCTCCGACGATGACGACCTTGCTCCGATCAAGTTGAGCGCCGAAGCACAGGCGATACTGGGAGAAGAACCTTCAGGGGAAGCTGACAAGGAAAATCGGCAACCACAAATACAAACAATACGGAATACAGGCTCTGCTTTTCGCAGAAGTAGGGTCAACCCTGTCGAATTGCTGAAGGTTACCAGTCCATTAAAACATCAGGATGGTAGTCCGGCTCCACGAGTCGTCCGAGTCAGTTCTACTGCACGTCCAGGACCAAACGTCATCCTAGGAAGAGATGGATCATTCATGTACAAAATCCACGAAAAGTCTTCTACACGTGCACAAATGGAGAAGCACGACTCTCATACTCCTGCACCCAGTGTACGACGCATACGCATCAGCGACTCTCGACGACTATCCAGATCTCCTCCATCGCCCCAGGCCCATCAGCAGCCTCAGCCTGAGCCTGAGCCCGAGCCCGAATCAATACCGGATCAGCCTCGGACCGCAAGTCGTGCAGTCAGTCCACCCAACCATGAAATCCACAGCAGCCCGGAGGAAGACGGTGCTGCTATGCCTTCCACTATCGCACGCTCTCGAAAGCCCGATGAGCACGGTGCCCAATCTACAATGCGCGTTCGAAGAATTGGAGGTGCTCTGCTCAACAGGCCAGTAAGAAGAGGTATGGTGCGCCGCCCAAGCGAGGAGGATCAAATTACTCTCGAACAGCAAGAGCAGGAACAGGCAAATACTCCCGAGATTGAAGTGGGTAGAAGGGCCCCAGAGCCAGATCTGGTGGATTTGCCGGAGGACATACTTGGCATGCAAGGTAGTCCCGAGCAGATCAAACCAACGAAGCCGTCTGCCAGGCATGTCTCTCCTGAGCGGATCGAGCCGCAAGAGTTGCCGGAACGGCCAGCATCAAGGCCACCGTCCGTACAGCAAGCTCAGCCAACACCACGTTTTCACGAACTACCCCTTTCCTCCAAATCCTCGAGCTCTCACAAGAACCCTATCTTCAAGATTCCTCCCCTGCCATCAGCCGCACCAGCGTCTGGGCAAGAAAATGAACCTCCACCAACCTTTCGAAGGACGAAAGCCGCCGCCCCAATCTTGGAAATCCACAATGATGGGCCAAAGTCAGACCAAAAGCCAGCAGAAGTCGTATCTGCACAGCGTTCCCCGTCCAGACAACCACTTGTTCCAAAGTCCAACAACACTCCCCACAGACCAGCCCCTGCGCCGCCGCCGAAGATGTCGATCCTAGACGCAGCGACCTCAAACGCAGGCTCCCGGAACAAAAAGTCAGTCCACTATGTCTTGAACGGCAAGACCTACAGACGTCTAGACTGTATAGGAAGAGGAGGATCCTCAAGGGTATTTCGCATTATGGCAGAGAACTACAAAATCTTCGCCCTGAAGAGAGTCAACCTCGAAGACGCCGATATAGCCGCTATAGCCGGTTATAAGGGTGAAATCGACCTACTCAAAAAACTTGAGAACGTGGATAGGGTGATCCGGCTATACGACTACGAGATCAACGAAGAGAAAGGCGTGCTGAACGTGATGATGGAGCTGGGCGAATCTGATTTCAACAAGATGCTCAACGAGCAACTCAAGGGGGACAATGCAAAGCTGGATATCACATTTACGCGGCACTACTGGAAAGAAATGCTCGAGTGCGTGCAGGCCGTGCACGACTATGACATTGTGCATTCCGACCTCAAACCGGCGAATTTTCTGCTGGTCAAGGGGCAATTGAAGTTGATTGATTTCGGAATTGCCAATGCCATCCAGGACGACACGGTGAATGTGCATCGCGAGAACCAGATTGGCACACCGAATTACATGAGCCCTGAAAGTCTGGTGTGCCATACACCTGCTGCTGGTAGCGCGCCGGGCACAAAATTGCTCAAACTCGGCAAGCCCAGCGACGTATGGAGCTTGGGGTGTATCCTCTATCAAATGACGTACGGACAGCCGCCGTTTGCGCATATTCAGAAGCAGTTTGAGAGGATTATGAGTATTCCTAATCCGAAGGTTGAGATCAGTTTTCCGAATACTGGGATTGGTGGTGTTGTGGTGCCTTTTGGATTGATTAAGACGCTGAGACGGTGTCTGACGCGAGAGCAGGCGCTGCGCCCGACGATTGCGGAGTTGCTGGGCGAGGCTGATCCGTTTCTGCATCCTGTTGCTATTAGCCCGGATATGCTTGGGAGGGTGATTGGGAATGTTGTTGGGTATTGTCGACGACGGGAGGAGGCGATGAGAAGTAGGGGTGAGATTACGAGTTTGGATGGTGTGAGTTGTTTGCCGAAGGACGATGAGATGATGGGGTGGCCTTTGGCTTTTTATGAAAAGTTGAAACAGGCTCAAGAGGAGGGAACGGCGTGGTAACCACCTCGGTGTTCCACGTTCATGTCTGAGATTCGGTTTTCTGGGTGACATGTTGTACAAAAAGCCGGTTTGGATAGCAGGCGAGCCTTTGTGGTATTTATGTGTCGTTGTCGCGATGGGTTTGGGGTTGGGAAAAGACTATACCCCTTTGCGAGGTGTTTTGCCGTTCGACTGGGTGAGCGGCGACTGTCCGGTGCGGTCCTCTGCTTACTTCCTGCGTTCAAGCGATGAGTTAAATTGGACTTCACAAGTATCAAAGTATGGTTATTGTATATTCCACATGCTATTTACCGTCCACGAATGGGTAACCCGGCCTTCTCATACACTGCATCGATGATCTCCATGACCTTCACGCTCTCGTCCAGACTCACCCACGGTCCTTCGTATCCGCCTTTGATCTGTCGGACAAAAGCCTCAAGTTGATATCGGTACGTCGTCCACCACGGCTGCGCGTTACCACCATTTTCCTCTCTATCCCACTGGTCTCCACCCGTGAAGACCTTTTGGGTCGTAGCCTTACCGCGTTTTGTGATCTGGCCGGTGCTGGCGTCTCGTGTAAGAGGCGTGATCGTAATACTGCCGCCTACCCATGGCCCAACAAAGTTAGTGAACAATATCTCGGCGGAGTCGGTCTGGATCGTGACATTGGGAGTCAGTGTCCATAGTCTTGGGATGAGACCGAAGAGGCGTGGCTGGGCGAGGTCCGCATGCACCGTCGCTTTGACATCGCGGCCGGATTCTTTAAAGGTGATGGTCGCCTGCATGGCCTCGTCAACGAGTCTGTCTTTGGCGTTGAGGCGGGGCACTGCGGAATCCACTGTGAATTCGACGTTCGGGTCGGTGAAGTCGCGGACGGCGAAGAACGAGGCCGCGGAGAAGACATACGTCAAGTCCATGGAGCTGCCGCCAGCCAGACTGTATTGGAAGCGGATGTCGTCTTTCTTGAGGACACCTGCGGGGACGAAAAACCGTGCGTCGACGGAGCGGATGGCGCCATATTTCCCGCTTTGAAGGATCGATTTGACGGTGTGGACCATTGGGTGAAAGCGCCAGTGGAATGCCTCGAGGGCGGTTTTGCCTGTACGGGAGGCAATGTCGCGGATATCCCGTGCCTGTTGGGCGTTGGAGGCCAGTGGCTTTTCGACTAGGACGTGTTTGCCCTTTTCGAGGGCGGAGAGCGCCCATTGGTGATGAAGGCCGTTGGGCAGGGGGATGTAGACAGCATCGATGTCAGGGTCGGAGAGGAGTGCGTCGTATGAGTCGTATGCTTTGCAGTTGCCTGGGAGGTATGACTTGTATGTGTCGATTTGAGCTTGAGCTCGTTTGCGGTCTCGAGCAGCGATGCCGGTGATGATAGTTGAAGATTGTGTTGAAACAGGATCGAGGATGGCTACTATGTTGATTGCGGCGGCGCCGAGGACACCGATGCGATGGGATTGAGAGGTTGAGGCTGTGGATTCCAGGGATGAGAGCTTCTCGGATTGAATAGTGCTGCGGATGGCGGGGACGTCGTTCCACCAGTTGTGGACCGAGAGGATGATCTATCGAGGTCAGCTTAGACCTTCAAGACCTCAGTCATGACGCCGAGATGTCACTTTGCGCACAGATTGAAGAGAAGTTGGGGTTCGGATAAAAGGGCAGAGACAGTGATGGGTAGGAGATGCCGCCTGATAGGGGCCTGGAGCACAGTTTGTATGGCAAGCCATCAGTAGGAGGACTCACTTCTGCAACCCACGACATTATGCAGGTTGTCTACCACTCAATCTTTCGTGGCACCCTTCCCGTGCTGCGTTGGCTACTTGCCCAGTCTCGTAGAGGTGGAGGATTGCGTAGATTCAGGCAGAGGAAGTGTCTCGCCTTTATCACATCCCGTATTCGGGTTCGGATTCGGAGTGGGAGAGATTGGCAAGCAACGATACGGACTAACGTTCGCCCGTCGTCATGAGTAGTAGTAGATACGAACGAGCAATTGACATCCGTAAAGCTTACGTTAGTCGGAAGAAAACCACATCAAGAGATTGAAAGAATGGAGATGAGTTATTGGTTACACGAGTATGTCCGACTTCCTTCTACGGTACCCACGACCTCAGGTGAACGCCCTCATGCTTGATCAAGCGATTGGGCCAGACACATTTCATAGTATCTGCCCTTCAATCGTTGTAGCTCCGCGTGCGTGCCCATTTCAGCAATCTTGCCGTTCGCAAAGACGAAAATGACATTTGCGTTGCGAATCGTCGAGAGGCGGTGCGCAACAGCAATCGTCGTCCGACTCATCGCTGCCTCATCGAGAGCGGCTTGCACTAAACGCTCAGATTGCGTGTCCAGTGCTGAGGTCGCCTCGTCGAGCAGCAATAGTTTCGGATTGCGAATCAGAGCTCTAGCGATCGCAATCCTCTGCCGTTGACCCCCCGAAAATTGCATCCCACGAGAACCGCAAGGAGTATCGAACCCTTCTGGCAGTGACACCACAAAGTCTTGGGCGTTGGCTTTGCGGCAAGCCTCCCTAATCTGCTCGTCCGAGGGCTCAAAGTCCAAGCCCAATGAGACATTTTCCCGCACAGAACCCTGGTACAGCGTTGGCTCCTGCTGCACAAGCGACATGTGTCCTCGGTATAATCGTGGTGACATCTCCAATATGTCCTTGCCGCCAAGGCAGATACGTCCGGAGACAGGATCATAAAAGCGTTCCAGCAGGGCGATCAGGGTTGATTTGCCACAGCCTGAGGCACCAACGTACGCCACATATTGTCCTGGTTCAATTGTCATGGAAATACCACGGAGAACTCGGGCTGTATCTCGTTGACGGTACCTGAATTCGACATCTTCCAGATTGACAGGCCCTTCACCGTCAGGCCCATTGTCCTTATTTTGATTGTTTTCTATGATCGTCGACTTGAGAGAGCGTAGCCAAAGAATGTAGTTTGCCGCGCCGCCCGCCTTGGATATGCTGGTCGAATACCCAAAGAATTGCGCGGCGGCCTGTCCGGCAAACAGGACGCCAATAAAAATGATGTAGAACTGACTCGTCGTATACTCCCCTGAAGCCAACAGCCGGCTGCCGTACCAGAAACCGAGAGCCATGGCCAGGAACTCGATGGATTGCGATAATGAGAACCAGAACATGGTCCACACCAGTGCACGTACCGACCTTGTCACAACGTTGCCGAGCATCCTTGAGTATTCGTCAAGGATGTGACTTTCAAGGGTCAAAGATGCGACCGTTCGGATAGAGGTGACCGCTTCACTCGCCAGGCCAGCACTTTCCGAGAAGGCTTCGGAGTTCTTCGCTTCGAGCTTGTTCTCGAGACGTATACGAAGGTAGCCGGCGATGAGCAATGGTGGAAGAGCACCAAAGACGACGACCAGGCCTAGTTTCCACCCATACGCCAACGCTAAAGCACTGCTAGAGACGATATTCACCAGCACAATAAATACCAGCAAGATATTCGCAGAGATCAACTCCTGCAGCTGGGTTGGTACCGCGGAGAGTTTCGAGGTCAGAGCCCCTGAGGTGTTTTCAGGTATGTCGAAGAATTCAATGTCCTGAGCCAACACCTGCTGAAACATCTCGGCCCGGTACCGATGCGTCACAGTCTGGCCAATCACATTGCAAGTCCAGCCGATTGCGAAGTAAGCCACCAGGTTTCCCAATGCGACGACAAAGAACATGAGGGAATAGAAGTCGGCTCGTTTTTGAGCTTCGTGGCCAGTCAATTCGAAGACAGTCAAAAGCCTGGAGAAGAGAAGGGCCTGGGCGGGAAAGGTGGCTCCTCCTATGAAGCAAGCGATTGTTGACAGTACGAACCACCAATAGAGGTTCTTTTGCTCCTTGAACATGATGAAAATACATCGGAGAAGCGAATAACCAAGCGTACCGAGGGGCTTAGTGTTCTTCTCGATATCTCCACCTCGGGACGTGGCGGCCGTAGTGGTACGTTGAAGAGCTACACGCTCACCTGCCGTGTCAAGAGCTCTCTTTTCGTTGCGAATTTTGTCATTCTCTTGTTCCTGATCTCCTCCAAGATCTTGTGCTCGTACTAGTCCGGCATACCGGCCGTCGCGTTCGATCAACTCGTGGTGTGTCCCCTGCTCAACGATCTTTCCCTGAGAGATAACAGCAATGTTGTCTGCGGTCTTGACTGTAGCAAGTTTATGTGCGATGATTAGTGTTGTGCGGTTCTTCGAGACCCGGTTGAGTGCATCTTGGACGATCTTTTCCGCCTGTGGATCAAGTGCACTCGTGGCTTCGTCAAGCAGGAGTATCTTTGGGTCCGAAACGATACTGCGCGCTATAGCAATGCGTTGTCGTTGTCCACCACTCAATGTCCCAGCACGCTCACCGACTTCCGTCTCATAACCTTGTGGGAGTTCATCGATAAAGACATCGGCATTGCTGGCCTTACAGGCCTCTCTGACCAACGCCATCTGTTTTTCTTTAGGCAGCCGCCTCTGCTCATCCACGAATCCATTCGCGATGTTCTGAAAGACTGTTCCACGGAAAAGAATTGGCTCTTGTTGAACCAGACGTATACGGCTCCGTAGCCACTTGACGTTATAATCAACAAGGTCAATACCGTCGAGCAATATTGTACCAGAAGTGGGCAGATACCATCGTTCAAGAAGACCAACGAGCGTGCTCTTTCCGCAGCCGGAAGCTCCAACAAGAGCAGTGGTCTTGCCTGCTGGGATGGAGATATCGAGATTGTGTAGGACTTGTGCCGAGGGACGGGATGGATAGGCAAAAGCGAGATTTCTGATTTCGATTTGCCCTTCGCAGGTGGAAGGCTGTTTGCCCTCAGGATTTAAGGGGTCCAGAAGTGTTGGCTTATCGATGATGCTGAACAGCTCGGACGCGGCAGAGGCGGCGTTCGTGAAGGATTGGAATTGTGGTGCAAGCGTGGAAATCGAGGTGGCAGCGATGGTTACCGAGAGAACAACCGTGAAGACCGTACCAACACTGGATATTTCACCGCTCTGATACATCCGAAACCCTTGCCAGAATGATAGCGCAATAGCCGAGTACACGCAAAAGTATTCGGTCGAAAACAATATGCCGTAAATCGGGCACTTCTTGTTGCCCTCCGTATGAGCTTCTTGAAGAAAAACATCGTACTTTTGAAGCATCTTTTTCTGTGCGTAGAAAGCGTGGACTGTGCGTATTGACGACAAGACCTCTTCGGCCAAGACGGCCGCTCTGGAATAGATTTTGGTAATTCTGGCTTCGTTGGGAGCATCGATTGCGATGGCACCTCCGATAACCAGAAATATGGCGGGAATGATGGACATGGTGATTAAAGCAAGTTTCCATTGTGTGGCTAAAGCGACCACGAAAGAAGCAAAGAACATTGCAAGTGCCTGGATCGTAAAGACGAGCTTTTCTGCGATACCAGTCTGTATACGATTGCCATTGGTGGTGACTTGGGTTGCTGTCGCACCAATGGTTTGTTTGTCAAAGTGCCAGACTTCTTGCCGTAAGGTACACTCCAGGAATGCTCGTCGAAGATTTCGCGTGGTTCGGATGGCTGAAATGCTGATAGTTGCCGTTGCGACATATGTGACCACAAATTTTCCAACGAAAAGGTAAACGAACCACAAGACAAAGGAATCGACGTCACTCGTGAAGGTGGTGGGTGCTGAACTGCCTGTGCTGTATCCATTGAACTTGTTCGTGAAGCTGCCGAAAATCAATGTCATCAAGGGAAGCGCTGCGCCCGAGGCGATGGCGCAAGAAAACGCAGTCGCATTGAGAATCCAGTCATATTTGTCCGCATATTTGAAAATGCGCAGGAAGTCTCCGCCACTCCCTTTGGCCTCTTTCTCCTCAGGCTCCTCTGAGTGTTGCTGAAGGCCATCCTGGCTGAGACTTGTTTTCTCCGGGTCATCGGCCATTCAATGATCTTAAGACGAAGAATATTCGCCAAGTTGGGGCCTGGTAGTCAGCTTGAGATCTGAGTCAAGATCGAAGTCGCAGGAATTGATCGACATGGATTCAGCTAGTCAGTCGTATATGTGTGTTTGTTGATCTGTCACGACTGGTCATGGTAGGCGTTGAAGGATCAGGCATTCATGTTTGAGCCGCGGCGCCCGAATACAGCGGAAGCCCTGGACTCAGACAAGATATGAACCTTGAATAGAGTGCACGACTGTCACCATGGCTTGAGAGAACCCTCCTTCACTATCGGTAGTGGAAGATTTCATAGGTGCAGACGAGGCAGGCGTCCTTCCGTCGACGTCAAGACTTCTCTTGGCCGGAACATTGTCGGCCTCCGCGGCCTCCGCGCCCGAATCTTATCCCGGCGACGTTGCAACGTCCTGCACAGCGCTATGGCTGATTTGGTTCTCAACAAAGATTATCGTTGACAGGCCATGGAAGATGGGCCTCCCACCTTTAGTCATCGATGAAGGTTGTCTGGTTTCACAATCATGTCGGAGAAAAACCAGTCTGATGGCGAATCGAATTCCTTGAGGACTCCCGCGGTATGGTAGTCCCACGCCTCCTCCTCGCCGTCCGCGGCTCCTGTCAACCTTCTAACATGTTCATAGTGCGACAGCTGTAGAACTCGAAAGGTACGGCCACCAGAAATGCTATACTGGTTCATGCTCATTCCTCATAGATCCGATGTGACCGAAAAACGACCTGTTCCAGCTGTCAAACCGCCCGCATTGTTTGCCGAACCACAAAACGGCACACGGAGAAAAGACAGCGTGTACTGGTCTCGGGGCGATACGAGCGTGAGCTCGAAGATGTCACAGGCCGGCTGGCCGGCCTTGAACGAACTCTGCAGAGACTACTTGACGACCCGAACACCTCCGGACGATCACCGAGGAACTCTTCACCGGCCCTACCCACTCCTAGCGACAACCAGCTGATAGAACGGGATGTTGACTTTGCGGGCGATTCATCCTTTGTCGCTCATTCAAAGGACGTTACTCAAGCATTTGAGAGAACGCTCAACACGTCACCAATTCCGAGCTCGATCCGGGACGTGTCTGCCGCTGTTGCGACCTTGAGAACTTTTTTGAACGAAAATTCCGGGGCAGATGGCGAAGATTCATTGCCTGCCAACCAGCCCCTGCGAGAACTTGTCCACTACCCAGACTTATCAAACCTTACCCTTCCACCCATGCCAGCAGTCCTCCGCCTCTTACGACATTGTAAAGGTGGGTGCTGCTTCTTCCCGCATCGGCCTTTTTGACTTTCTGATCATTCGCAGTGCATCAACATAGGTTCTTCTTCGAAACGCCAACACTTGACGCGCAATACTTGACTGAGCTGTGTCAGAAGATATATTTTCCGACAGACGAATACACCATTGCCACCTTTATCACAGTACACGTCTCCCTCAACTGCCTTTTCCGCCAGCTACCAAAGGCGGTCGCACAAGAGCTCAACTTCAGCGCCAGTGAGCTTCGTGAACTGGTTGCAACATGCGCCAAGAATGCAGAAACGGCGATGCTGAATCTCAGGATGTATATGGAGGCCAACTACGAGAATATCGAGGCTTTACTATTCGCAGTAAGTGAACATGTCTTTCGCAAATCACAATCCCGAAAAGGCTCTCTAACAGTCTTCTCCCTAGTCGATGATGGCGTTGGAGCTCTCTCGCCCATCACTCTCATGGACTCTGATTAGCAGTGCAGCAAGAATGGTACAAGACGCAGGCTACCACCGCCTCCCATCCTACACCACGGCCCCTGAGTGCACGAAAAAAAGAGTGGTTTTCTGGATTGTCTACGCCTTGGATCACAGTATGGCTCTCAATCTAGGCCGCTCTCCAAACCTTCACGATTGCGATATTACAGTGGACCGGCCAAGGGTACCGGAAGAGCTTGAAAATAGTTATGGTCAGGTTTATATGTCTTGGATGGATTTTGCCGAACTCCAGGGTCAGATCTATGAGCAATTGTACTGTCCTCGTGCTCAGAGGCAAACAGCAGAAATGAGGGCAAACCTTGCCCGGGCGCTAGCACAGCGGGTCATCGACATGAAGACCCGGTTCAGCATCGACCCTGACAGTATTCATTCCCCAGAATTCGGTGAAGAGTCCATCCTCTCGATGCAAATTGTCTTCGAATCTACACTTACCCTTGTTTATCGGACGATACCACCTCAGCCCCTGCCATCAGGTCGTCAACACCATCCATTGAAGTTCTGCGAAGAGGCAATTGCATCTGCTCGACAGGCTTTAACAATGCACAAACACGCTTGGAACGTACTGAAGGACCGTGAGACAGACGAGTGGCACTCTTTCCTACAATGGACAGTCTTGTGGTGTCCTTTCATACCGTACACTGTGCTTTTCGGGAACGTCATTGCCGACCGCAACGCAAATGATCTCGAGCTTTTGGGAAATGTTGTTGGCTTCATGGAAGCTGTCGCCAACATGGGCCCTGGTATTGGGAAGCTCCATCGCGCTTGTCGGACCTTTTACCAGATCGCCACTATATATCTTAGTCAACCTGGTTCCGACGTCGCAGCATCCATGTCACAAGGGTTGAATAAATCAAGTCACGCTTCGATCCAACACCCGTTACAGCACGGAAGTTCCGTGCCAGTCGAGTACGGCGTGCATCCGAATGATACGATGATCCCTGATCTCCCACTGTTCCCACAAGACTGGGATGTTATGCTCGATGGATGGGACTTGGGAACTGATGGTGGCCCCGGGGTGATGTCTACCTTCCTTGAGCAGTATCTACCCTCCAGCGACGACGTTCGAAATGATATGTCAACAGACAGGCAACAGCCATTCGGCTGAAAATATTCTCGCCAGTCTTCTTCCTAGCGATATGAGGGTTTCATCGTGGTTGAACATTGCCAGTGGTGCTTGCCACGACATACTTGGAAGGTGCATCGGTGCTGCCATTCCACAAATTCGAGCAAAGTCAATCACGCTGACCTCTCAGCCGTGCGAACCTCCAGACCTTGCAAACTTCGGCCCATCATTTCGGTTCAAATCTCACATCCCGCATCTAACAGTCTCTTACGGACCATTTGATCGCAGCACTCCTGAGACATGCTTTCGCTCCTCGCACCTTCCACGATCTACTTTCAGCGTGCGAGGGTCGCTCTGGCAACATTAAGTTCGAAAAAACAAGCCTGCCGCTGATAGCCACGAGCCGGTGCGTTCTGCGTGAGCTCTTTCTGCGTGAGCTCTTTCTGCGTGAGCTCTTTCTGCGTGAGCTGGTTCTGCCAGTGTTGCGGGATGCGGTGCGAGCTTCTTGGGACACCTCAGATGACCGGCTGACTAGTGATAACTAACCGGAAATGTCTTAGTTGAATTTTGGCAGAAGACATGCACTGCTAATAACAAATGAATGATAAGCGATGCTCTCGTATCAGCGGGTGCGAGAACGTGGCAGGCAATGGGCGCTTTGCCGTCCCTGTGATTGGTCACTTGACCGACGTGGTCCTGTCGTACTGGCGAAGTGCAACGTTCATGGCTTTCAGCGGTGAGAAGGTTCTACCATGTTTAGGGCGTAAGTGATTGTTCTCAGCCTGATGCCCCAGGAACATCCCGCGCATGTTCGACCACCATTTCCCTCGCCGTCGCTATGCAGAGATTGCGTGAATGAGCCAAATTTTCATCTGCAAAGGAAGCATCTCTCACGCAACGAAATTGTTGCTCACAGTGGTCTTTGTCGAAGCATGTCAACCGTGACCAACCTTGACGTCAAGAATGTTACTCCACGGATTCCTTCTGCTCCTCACGACTACTACCAATATGCGACCTTGCCGGACACAGGGTGGATGAGAGTCTTGATTCTTCATCCTGGCAGTGGCTCGCTCTCTTGCAGTCTCCGGTGCCAAAAAATCGAGGAGGCTGCATTAGATTTCGAAGCTCTATCCTATGTCTGGGGCAGCGACGTACCTCAAGACGCAAGCGACATTGAATGCGACAGCCATGTCCTAAAGATACGGCCGAACCTTGCTTCTGCACTCCTTCACATCCGCAACGCTGAGCAGCCACGATACCTTTTCGTGGACGCCATTTGCATCAACCAGGAAGACGAAGAAGAGCGGTCTCTACAGGTTCAGCAAATGGGCGACATTTACGCAAGCGCCTCGAATGTACTCATCTGGATTGGGAGTGATAGCGATGGCGAAGCGAATGAATGCTTGAGATTGATCGAAACCACCAGTGCAGCTCTTGCAAACATGATTGAGCATTACGAGGCTGTTGAACACATTCCTCCAATCGAACATGGGAGTGGGCTCATCTGTTTTGACTCTGACAAATGGGACATGGTTCGACGCCTGATGGATTCAGAGTGGTTTACTCGTGTTTGGGTCCTACAGGAAGTAGGACTTGCTCGATCGGCTGTACTCTTGTATGGCAAATCAAGAATGAACTGGAGCTACCTGGTCGAATTGATGCTCTGTGTCGCCTCACGTGCGGATGTCGCTTCTTGTACTGGTAACATCAAATCTGGTATCATTTGGGACGCCTTCGAGGACATCTGGCGATCGTTCGGCAATGCTGTTTCCTGGAGGAATGAGTTGCCCCTATCCAGATCGGTGAACAGTAGGGGCGGCCACACGAGTCTGATCAACATTCTGAACGATGGCCGAGTCTATCAAGCAACTGACCAACGAGACCGTGTGTATGCATTTCTGAGTCACCCTAGTGCATACTGGGGTGCTGAGAATCCCGAGAGAGTTGTGGTAGCCGATTACCGAAAATCCGTCGATGATGTCTACCTTGAAGCAGCGAGTACTATTCTGGAATACGACCCGTATGCCTGGACTACTTTGACCTGTGTTGACCATGCCCCGAACTGCCCTTCACTCTGTGGCCAACGACCCTCATGGGTGCCTAGATGGGATGAAGGGTGGCGCGTGTATTGGTTGGGCTACCCCGAGATGTGGTATCGGGCTGGAGGCAATGATCTAACAGCATTTCAGATTTCGATATCAAATTCGGAATTACACCTATCGGGCGTAGTCATGGACTCCATTGACTGGTCTTCACGGACATTCGATGCTGAAGAACTCAGACTCGAGCCACAAAAGAGAGAAGCGCCCATACAATCACTGTGGCAGGAGCTAGAAAAGTCCGGTTCCACCACAGTCTACGGCGATGACAATGAATATGCCTACAGCTTGGTGCTGGTAGCTGGCCGAGCATCAGACGACGGACCTGCTGAAGACAATCATAAGTTACATCGATCTGTTTATCAGGCATACAAGGAAATGCTACACGGCTGCGATCACGAAGGCCCCACGGCGTCATCATCGACCAAAGGCTCTAGCTATCAACGACAAGAATTGCGGGAAACTATCGAAGTCGAGACGCTTACATACATCAGCAACCAGCGCAGGGCTCTACACAGCCGGCGAGTCTTCCGCACAAGCAAAGGGTACTATGGTATCGGCCACAGCTCTGTCGAGGTTGGAGATGTGTGCTGCGTGTTCAAGGGGGTAAACGTGCCGCTGATTATCCGAAAAGTGGCAGGGGATGTGCAAGAGACCGCGCCTGAGGTGGATGAATATATCCTTGTTGGCGAATCATATGTACAAGGTATCATGAAAGGAGAGGTGTTTGAGATGATAGAAAATGAGGCGGCTGGGAAGGATGGTGAGCTTGTTCAGCAGGAGATAGTTCTGGTCTAGATGGTGTTTTGGCACAACCACTCGTGTCACCTTCTGAGGGCACGGAGCTCCTCATCATCTACAGCCGTTCATTGGACATTCATACTGTGGACCACATGTTAGCCGGACCAGCACTTGTTGGTGCTTGCAACAGCGACTTACTGGATGTTGATGCTCTTGGGCTCGAGGTACGCTTTCAGTCCTTCCTCGCCCAACTCCCGCCCTGTACCGGACTGCTTGACACCACCGAACGGGGCCTGAATCTCGGGAATGAAAGGAGCGTTGATCGAGATGCCGCCTGCTTCGAGGGCTGAGGCTACACGAAGTCCGCGGGTCAGATTAGTGGTGTAAATTACCGCTGCAGTCCAGGTTAGCATCAAAGTCTCTGCACCAGAGAAACAAAACGTACAAGCCAATCCATATGTGCTTTCGTTGGCCAAGGCGATGGCCTCCTCCTCGGTTCTGAACGTCTTGATACTCAATACCGGGCCGAAGATCTCCTCGGTCCAGATCCGGCTGTCGGCCTTTGGATTCGAGAAGAGTGTCGGTTCAATCACGCAGCCTTTATTGCCCTTGCGGGCGCCGCCAGTGACGAGCTGCGCATCCTCCTTGCCGATGTCAATGTAGCTCATGACCCGATCGTACTGGGCCTTGTCGACGACGGGGCCGTGTGTGGTTGTTGGCTCGAGAGGGTCAGAGCCAATGCTTTTGCCCACGGACTCGAATTGAGCCTTGACCGCCTCTATAAACTTGGGCGCGATGTCTTCCTGGATGAGGACACGGGAGGACGCCACGCAGATTTGGCCCGAGTTGGCGAGGAAGCCTTGACTGACACCGCCGACGGCAGCCTCGAGGGGCGCATCATTGAATACCAGCGCGGGTGATTTGCCGCCTAGCTCGAGGGTGCAGTGCTTCAGGTTGGATTTGAGGGCGGCTTGTTGGACTGCACGGCCACCGATGACGGAACCCGTGAAGCTGATCTTGGCGATGTCCATGTGAGACGCCAGTGCCGCACCGGCCTCGCGACCACCAGTGACGAATTGTACAACTCCGGGAGGGAAACCGGCTTCCGCGAATAGAGGTGCAATGCCGAGAACGCCAAGGGGTGACTTTTCGGAGGCTTTGAAGATAAAAGAGCAACCTGCGGCGAGGGCTGGGGCGATTTTCCATGCAACGTAGAGGAACGTCGCATTCCAGGAGGCGATGCCGGCGCAGACACCTACGGGCTCGTATCGGACGATCTTGTAGACTCCGTTGTCTTCGGCGAAGGACTTGCCGGCGATCTTGTCAGCCCAGCCTGCATAATAGCGGTATACCTGGAGCAAGTGGGGTAGATCGAAGTGTTTGATCATTGAGAATGGGCGGCCCGTTGGCAGAGACTCGAGACGGGCGAGTTTGTCGATGTTTTGTTCAACAAGGTCTGCGAATTTGAGCATGCACGCCGCTCGTTGGGCGCCAGTGAACGTTTTCCAGGGCCCCTTCTTGACTGCATGGACAGAAGCTGCCACTGCGGCGTCGATGTCGGTGGCGTTCGCAGCATGGATATCGGTGGCGACAGTGGATTCGTCCCATGGGTTCGTGAGGGTCAGGCGCTCGGAGCCCTGAGATGCCACGAATTCATTGTTGATAAACAACTTGCCGTTGTAGTCTTCCGGAGCGAGGACCATGCTGGGTGGTTCTTGGTGTAAGTCCGTTGTGACGGAATCGAAAAGCAAAAGGCGATAGCGAAAAAAGCTCACTGAAAGCAGTTCTGATCTGGATGCAACAGCAACTTATGTATTTGAGTCGAGACCGATCAAACGAGGCTGACAACGTCCGTAACGGGTAAATGTACAGGCTCTGCTCAATCTTGATTCGCCGATCCCTGGCTGTGTCAGCAGTGAGAATCTTCAGAGGATTGACCACTAGGCGTGTTTGGTCCCTGGGGTTAGTATTCCAATTGGAGGCACGCAGATGTTATATGTAATCGAAAAGTAATGTTCATCGTTCAGTAGTCGAATATTAGCGGAAGCGCGGAATGAACCACGGTGCCGAATGGAGTCGTCAGGGGGAATGTTGTCAGAGGAGTGAACTCATAAGGAACCAGAGAAAATGCGAGATGCGAAATGCGAGGACGCCCTGCAGAAGACACTTCCCTTGTTGGTCAACGACGTGGGTCATTGCTGCAGAAAGGCTGACAAAGTTGTGAGACGATTTCAACCAGAAGGCTGATGGTACAGTACACCCAATACTTGGCTTCAGCTGCTTACCTGTTGAAGCATGTTACTGCACCTTCAATCGCTTATACTCGATACTTGACTTCAGCTTCTCACCTGTTGATGCATGCCCCTATATGTTAGGTCTCACTCCTGAGTCCAGACCTGTAGGTTGTCAAGTCCTGCGGCTTTAATTCCGACCAGCTTCAGCTTTTTTCGGGTCCGGGGCCATAGCGTGCAAAGTCAGGCGGAAATCTTGCCGGAACGCTCTTTGACGTGGAGAATTCTGGAGCCCCGATCTAGGACCACAGACTGCCATCGCGTAGACTGCAGTCAATGAGTCCAACTGTGGCGTGGTAAATCTGATGAGCAACACAGAGCGGAGAAAGCGGAAATCTTCAAGAGCGGGGAGGCTGAAGGAGCTTGGAATCACAATTTATTTGAGATGACGTAGGGATCACTAGGAGCATCCCAAATGGGGGCCAAAAGCAGACTCTTTCCCTTGAACGTCCGTAGACGTCGGTGTGAATAGCTTGCGAAGTGCTCTTCCCAGACGACCAACAGCCGTGACAAGTTCCGACGTGCCAGAGGATGCCAAGGTCAGAACCAGAAAGACTGAACACCCGTCCGTATCTAGAACTTTTCCAGGCCCTCCCAACCGTGTTCACTCAATGCTGGTCTCACCAATGCAAGGCTGCGCGGCCGGCCGGAAAAACCTGCCTTTACAAGGTAGCACGCCCTCCTTGACTGCTGCCGTGTATATACTGTCCTCAATATCCAGAAGGACTCGGGACCTTGCTGCCGGATCCGTCGCTGTTTGGGATAAATCTGGAAATCTGGAACAATCGATCTTCGGCCAAATGAACATGCCAGCTCGTATTTCGCCCCGGGAGCATATGTCCGTCTCCTTGCTGGTCCCAAGCTCCTTTCTCATGGCTTGATTTACGGCGGTAGCCTGACAATCTTGAAGATGACTTCGACGTTGCAAGCGATTCGACGTTGATGGCTGTGGGGCCGCTCACTCGGAAGTTGACCCCATCCTCCCGGAGAGACTGCATCCGACTCGTGCAGGCATACCAGCATGCCGGTATGCTTTTCGCCGGCAAGCGTCTCTGCGTATCTCCCATGGGTCTCGATGTCTTTCTCAAGAGGCCACCTTTTCTCAACAGTGGCATCGAGCTCTTCATCCCGGTCGCTCTGGAGTCTGCGAATTTGCCATAACTTTTTTACCCCTATCTTACCCATCTCCGAGTCTATCCTCCACATATCGCTCAAGCAGCGTAAGAGGCGACAGTCCATTCAATGAAATCAGTATGGATGGTGAGATTACAAGATGGCCCAACTCGGTATTTAGAGGACTCAAAGCAGGAAGTATTGATATCATCTCACGTTCTAGAAGCTATAACAAGAATGCTGAGCTGTCTTACCAAATTTGGATACCGGTAGCGCCGACCACCTTTCCGACTTCCGAGTCTTGTTCCCCTTCAATGACACCTTTGACAAAATTGCCACCCTCTGAAGGATCTCGCGCTCCCATCTAAGAATTTATTGATCAGAAAATTGACTCGTTGACGGACTGTCTTCTTTGCTTACCTTTTTCATCTGCTCAATCCCAACGTTCCCGAGATTAGTTGCGAGAAATCCTGGCGATACAGCCCAGACCTTTACTCCATCATTGAGTAAAATCCGGTGCCACTGTCTCATCATCATGTTGAGTCCAGTCTTTGCGCTCCGATATGACTCGATAGGATTGATTTCTTTTGGCTTGGGCCAACCTGGTGCTGGCGAGGCGTTGATGCGCTGTAGCGCAGGGTGATCAAATCTCTCGGTGAAGGCTAACGCAGACGTGCCGCTTGTGATGAAGATCAGTCGTGGCTGTTCTGACTTGAGCAGCAGTGGAATTGCTTCACTCGTGAGTACTTGAGTGCCGGCGACGTTGGTATCCCACGACTTGTTCCACGCCTCCCGGATGCTCAGCTGGCCATCTCTGAGAGCTCCGTCAAAGCCTGCGCCACCATTGTTGACCAAGACATCTAGCCGGCCGAATCTTGATTCAATCTTCTCGACAGCTTTCTTGATGGACTCATCCGAGGCAAGGTCCAATTGGACTACGCTGAGGCTGCTGGAAGAAGATGGGATTTCTTGTTGCACCGCTGCAACGGCGGCTTCACCATTGCTGACAAGCCGACTACCAGAGATGATATCGTATGATTGCGTACTCTTATGCAACGCCTTGACTATTTCAAGGCCAAGGCCCGTGTTGGCCCCTGTGATGAAGACGATCTTCTTGTCTTGTGACATTGTTGCTGGCTATTGAGAGTTGTTTGAGATGAAAGGGAAAGAAGGCGAGTTTTGAGTCTGCCATCGGAGCACTGGTTGGTATTTATAAGGCCTGCAGTATACTCTGATCAATCCGCTTTAGAGAACATAGGAGCAGGATTGGCGCGGGAATTGTGTTTCTTAGTTTGGCTGTGGCTCGGTTTCCTCTTTTGATTAGCGCAGCATAAGCTTCAAGCTAGGATCGGTATGGCGAGTATGTTGCTAGTCTGGGAGCCCAAGGTTGCCGAGAAGCCAGAGTTGATAGAGGTCTCTGCATCTATTTTCCATCAGGTGAGTCTCGACTAGTCCTTGATTTCAAAACACACAAGATGCCAACTTGGCATAGGATCGTTGTCTGCTTGCATTTGCGCCAAGAGCAGAATAAGCGTTATCCATTATTTCCCTTTTCTTCGTAACTCGGGCCATGATATCATCTAACTTCCAAGATTCTGTAATCCGTATAACAAGACATCCAGAAAGAAAAACATGAAGCTTGTGCAGTGAAATGGAATCAAAGAAATATATATATTACTTCTTTTCCCGCGAACGCTAACTTCCTCCCCGCGTAAGTACAGGCACATGTTCCAACTCATGCATCATGTCCTTCCAATAAAGCCCATCAACGCCGGCACGTTCGCCGAGGTGCAGTTCATAAAGCCGCATGCGCACCGCCTCGTAGTCCCTCCTCACACGCTGTTCACACCACCAGATTCCTTCGTATCGACACATCAACCCCAGCCAGTACCCAAGCAGCCACAACGCCCTTTCGTCCCTGCTGTAGAGGAGAGCTTTCAAATCTCCATGTATCTTCGTGAGAAACACCCAATTGAGGAGTATCGTCGATTGTGGAGGATGGACGCTCCGTAGATAGGCAAGCGCGATCGTGGCTGGCCCAAAAATATCATTCTGGTCGGCATCATTGGATTCACACCTGAAGCTGTCATTCTTCAATTGGAATGCTCTGATCCAACTCTCAGGAACAATACCCAAGCTTTGAAATTTTCGGATTTCTCTCCAGCCGGCTTTTCCGTGGCCAAACATGATGGGATCTAGAAAGGCTACCGTCTTGTCCAGATACGCTGACAGTGAGATCAAGAGAGGTCTGAGACCCGCCTGCAGGGCTAGCCATCCCAATCGGTCTTCTCCGAAGGTGAAGACCCAGGATGATTTTGGATCATCTTCGACGCTCTTGTCTCGGTGTGGAAGTGTAAAAGCGATCATGTTTAGTAACAGCGCAGCCAATAGCAGTGCATTCACTCCTTGCTGGCCCAGTGACTTGCTGGGTGTTCCAAGGGCGGATTGAAAGTCCTGGATGGCAAGGGCTTGATAGAAATGTTCTGCGATACGATGCTGTAATATCCCTGGAGACATATGCCGCAAGTGGCACGCAGAAATGGCAAGTAATGTGTTGCGGATAAGAGAGTTTGATTGTGAGAGCGAGACCAGCTCGTCACGACCCGGCATGCGGAATATGGCATCCCAGTTTGTACAGAAATGATGCAGGAGTTGAATACCAGGAGTTCCATTTTTCGAATTGGGGTATAGAGCAGTGATTGAGTTGACTGTAGAGAGCTTTGTAATCGCAACGTCCCCCATAATGTTGTATTCATGCTCCCCTTCATGAGGCCTGTCATATGCACAAGTTCTCCTGTTTCGTCGACATCGTACGCACATTGGCTTGCACTCGTCACACTAACATGATCTAAGTCTCAATAGACTAGAAGAAAAAAACAGAAAGAAAGTACAGACCTTGACCTTTTTTTCTTTGCAGGGAAGACAGCCAGATCTGGATTTCCTGTGGTGTTTCTGTTTTTTGTAATCACGAATTTTCAGATCGGAGTCAACGGATGAGAGGACTTGATATCCGGGGTTTGCGTGTATGTCCATGGTTGATTAGAACAGGAAAGCGAGGTGATCGAAATCTATAAACCAACAACCTAAGAGATTTATCTGGAGACGGTGTAACTGGTGGAACCAGATGCTGAGTTACAGTAACTGTAGAAATTGGTGTCATTCCAAACTCAATAATATACCTGGTTTTAAACCAGACCCCAGTAATTTCTTGTGGCCACACTAGGTGAAGCTTAGACTCTATACTAGGTCACCCTCTTCCAGCCGCACGTGGATTTATAATGCTTCATTGGCTAGGTTTAAGAATATACTACATCGTAAAGCATGTATTGGAAGACTGTCAACATGAGCCTACGTGCAAATCAATGACTCCAAGGGCACCCGCTGAGAGGAGCGCAGGAAAGGAGGTCCACAAGATTTACTCCCGAAGTAATACGCGTACCATGACCGCAACTCGAGTCGAGTAATACCTACCAGGTATTATTGCGCTGGCAAAGTAAACGAATCGGCAAGGTGAGATTGGAACCGGTATATCTTCGGGCCGTCTCAATGTACCTCTGGTCCTATTACTCCGCACTACAGAAGCGACCTCTGACCCCGTGACTAACGATTGCCTGCGCACCCATCAACAGCATTCTTTGGAAGTGAATACTCACCTATCTCCCTCTGAGGTTATTCTGAGCCAATAAGGGTGTCAAGACCCTCACTTGAGTCTCCGTGGATCTCTCATCGCACAATGGCCTCTACGAAGCTCACAGCAGCTCTGGAGTCCGTGGCAGACAGTTCGACTGCGGTCAAAAGCCAGACCTACAATGACTTGCTCTCTCAATTGACCACTTCACCGCCCTCTTCAGCCGAGCAGCATGCTGAGAACTTGATCGCTTACATTGATGCAGTCCTCTCGTCTTCTGTCGGAATCATCGTCATCCGCCCTATCCTTGCGAGCCTCATCAAGTCTCTTTCGTCGGTTCCTCCAGAGGTCAAGGTGCAGGTGGGAAAACATCTCGCTGAATCCTTACAGCCTCAGCTGGCGTCATACGAAGAGCAGGATGCCGCAGTCAGACAGATATTGGCAGATGGATATGAAGCAGAGGAAGAATACACCGCGGCTGCAAAAGCCCTACAAGGTATCCATCTCGACACGACACAGCGACAGGTCTCGGACCGATCGAAGGTAGAAACGTGGATACGGATCGTGAGATACTTCCTCGAAGATGATGACACTGTCGCAGCAGAGACGGGCCTCAACAAGATCAAGAACTCGGCGGCAGCAGCACAAGTCTTGAAAGACTCGCCCGACCTGCGACTACTGTATCAATTATCGCAGGCACGGATCATGGACTCCCGACGAGACTTTCTGAACGCTTCAGCAGAGTATTTGCAGGTATCCTTCAACTCGATGGCCGTTGAAGACGATCGACGTCAAGCACTTTCTGCAGCGATCAAGACAGCCATCCTCGCTCCTGCAGGTCCACAAAGAAGCCGCACCTTAGCCAAACTGTACAAGGATGAGAGGTCAGCCGAAAGTGAAGAGTACGGCATCCTGGAAAACATGTTCTTGGACCGGCTGCTCTCGCCTGTAGAAGTGGAGGCTTTTGCGTCAACACTGGCACCTCACCAGCTAGCCAAGACTGCCGATGGTAGTACGGTGCTGAGCAAGGCTGTCACTGAACATAATCTCCTTGCCACTAGTCGCCTCTATGAGAATATCACCACTGCTGCCCTTGCGGAGATTCTTGGCCTCAAGGACGGCAAAGACGAGACGGCCGCAGAAAGAGCAGAAGATTATGCCGCCAGGATGGTTGAGCAGGGCAGATTAAGAGGCGAGATTGATCAGATTGCTGGTGTCATTGTGTTCGAAACCATCCCTGGTGTCGAACTTCAAGGCCCAACTCGGGATCTTCGCGAATGGGATCACAAGGTGCAAGGGTTGGTGGAAAACGTCGAACGTTGCGCTGCTGGCTTGAGTGAGAGCTTTCCGGTAAGATAAGCTGATGATGTAAGTACGGAACGCATGGCTAATCCACTGGTGTCAGGAATTGGCTGCAGAACAGATGGTACACTGAAGAATGTTTCACAGCAGGTCAGCTCTATGCTGACTCAGCAACTGGTAATACCCACTTGGACGCCGGGGATCACATCATCAGCCATTCTTGTTCAAGCGTTATGGATATTTGAAGGATGTCCATTCGACAGGGACGAAATTGGCCGAAGAGAACAGCGCCTGGTCGTGCAACGTATCCGTCACCATTGTTCGGTCGACATTCGGCCTTGGATGGGTATGAAGAATGGTATGTCGATAAGAGCAAAGACCTCAACATCGGACAGAGGGACTCCACGACGGGTATCAACTAACAGAGCTTGACTGGTGCGACTATCGGATGCGGACGTCCGAAACCTGCATGCTGTGGTGCATGTCCACGGTATCGGTCGTTCGGTCGCATGCACTCGCTCTCGGCAAAATGATGCTGCCGGTCATCATTATCAGGCGCGTCAGGGCAGCGTCAAATTGGCCGCATTATGGAAGAGGATAAGGGGCCCAGGACCAGAGACGGTGGGTGTCAGTCGTAAGAGGCAGTACTGATTGGGACAGGGTCGGAAAAAGAATCAAGAATAGTTAAAGCAGCCGGGACCTCCTGGCAGGTGGAAGTCCCTAGCCCCCCGAAAATATGGAGAAGACCCTGGAGAGATCCATGGAGGGACCTATGGAGAGCTGTCGCTTCTCGGATTTTTTCCTGGAGTCCCCCGCTTGTGTCTCCCTCCTATCCAATCATTCTCATCCCATTTTCCTCTTCACTTCCCGTCCTCTTTTACCGGCTTACTTTGATCTGACCGTTCACTGCCGCCGCCATATCTCATCATCGCCGTAGTTTCTGGGCACCAATCACTGGCCAGGCATTCCCACTCCTCGGTCGGCATGCTCTGAGACCGAGTCTGCTGCTTAAAAAGGGCTCTCGTCACTCACAAACCATACATATCTGACCCGAGAAAGACGGCTGTACAATAAACCAGCTCAACAAGATGTTTCTTAGCTCCATTGTCTCGCCTTGGACACTCCTACTCCTCCCCGTCCTCTATTTCGTCTTACCATATATCCGAAATTGGAGCCTTCTCAAAGTCCCCGGTCCTCTACCAGCAGCTCTGACGAATTTATGGTTGATGTACCAATGTCGACGTGGACGTAGATACCAAGCAGTCAACGATCTACACAAGAAGTACGGCAAAGTCGTACGGATCCAGCCCAACCACGTCTCCATTGCAGACGACTCGGCCATTCCTATCATATACGGCCATGGCAATGGTTTCTTGAAGAGGTGAGTCCAAACCTGCCGACCATCTTCCCAGGCACGTTTCTGATATTGTTATAGCGAGTACTACGACGCTTTCGTCTCAATTCAACGCGGGCTATTCAACACGCGCGACCGAGTCGAACACACGCGCAAGCGTAAGGTGGTATCTCACACCTTCTCCGCCAAATCAATCGGACAATTCGAGCAGTACATCCATGCCAACCTCGAACTGTTCGTGCGCAAATGGACCGACCTCTCTCAAAACCGCGCGAACCCGTCGACAGGCTACGCCTCGATCGACGCCCTCCACTGGTTCAATTACCTCGCCTTCGACATCATAGGGGATCTGGCGTTCGGCACACCTTTCGGCATGCTCGAGCGCGAGAAGGACTACGCCGAGATCCGCAAGTCTCCTGACGCACCGCCCGCAACAGCCCCAGCCATCGAAGTGCTTAACCGCAGAGGCGAAGTCTCAGGGACATTGGGGTGTTTGCCACAATTAAAGCCCTACGCGAAGTACCTTCCCGACCCGTTCTTCAGCAAGGGCGTCGAAGCTGTTGAGAACCTCGCGGGTATCGCCATTGCGCGGGTTAAACAGCGCCTCGACAACCCCAATACCGACCGTGTGGATTTGTTGGCCAGGTTGATGGAAGGGAAAGACGCCAAGGGTGAGAAATTAGGTCGCGAGGAGTTGACTGCTGAAGCACTTACCCAACTCATTGCGGGGAGCGACACGACTAGTAACACCGCCTGCGCGATACTGTACTACGTCGTTCGTACCCCTGGAGTCCTACAAAATCTGCAGAAGGAACTCGATGCCAACATCCCACCTGGTGTACCTACCTACGAACAGGTCAAAAATTTGGACTATGTACAGTGGGTTATTGACGAAACGATGCGCATTCACAGCACCAGTTCTTTGGGCTTGCCGCGCCTGGTACCCGCCGCGACCCCTGAAAATCCGAACCCTCAACCCATTGAGATCTTGGGGTACTCTTTCCCGCCTGGCACGGCGCTTAGTGTACCTAGCTACACGATCCATCATAGCACAGAGATCTGGGGCGCTGATGCGGATGACTTTGTGCCTGAGAGGTGGAGCGAAAAGAGACTTACGGCAAGGCAGAAGGAGGCGTTCATTCCGTTCTCGACGGGGCCTAGAGCTTGTGTGGGACGGAATGTCGCGGAGATGGAGTTGAAGTGTATGGTTGGTACGGTGTTCAGGAACTTTGAGTTCAGGGATGAGCATGATGGACCGATGGAGACGCGGGAGGGGTTTTTGAGGAAGCCTTTGGGATATAACGTTGGATTGAGATTGAGGAAGGGACTTTGAATTGCATACATGGGCTTGGAATGAAAGTTTGGACAAAGATGCATTCTGCATGGATGGAGGCGGATTCTTGATGTGATATATCTCCTTGGAGTGTACATGACATTGGACTGGACAAAATTGACAAGGGGCTCATTGGTGTCGACGACGAAGGTGTATTGTGTACAGGTGCGAGATTGTCGTGGCCTCTTCTCGGCTCTCCTCGGATTATTTTATGGCTGCTGAAAGCCGTGTTTATTGTGACTGCTGTCACTCATACGGCAGGGTCGTCGCAAAGAGTCTAGTTGTGATACCTGGTATCCTGTCTGTTACAGTCAAACTCATGTGTTGGTGAGTCCTGGGTGGCTCAAGTCTTGAAATTCAAAATAACATGAACGCCAACGCTGTGCGATGCCATGTCCAAAAAACCTCGCCCCTTTTCTCTTGCGGGCTGTCCTTTTCAAGCTCCGAAGTACACTTCCTCCCCTGTATTCCATGGACAAGTGACAGCCCTCTTACAACTTGGCCTTGAGTTTTGTCTTTTCCTTCATCGCCACGCTCTCGTCCACAGGGATGACGACCAAAACAGTAATATCATCCACCTTCCCACCATGCCAGGAATCAAAAGGGTAATGCTTCGCCATCTCCTTGGCAAAGGGGCCATCTCGCTTTGCGCTGAGACTAGCTGTTTTGGCTTCCCCTACAATCGCCGCAGCCAGGACACTCTGCAGCGTGCCCGGTAGTTTATGTTTCTGAGGGGCGAGCGATCGATCCACAAGCTCCGACAGGATAGGCGAGACACTATATCCCTGATCGTCGGATCTTAGCCAAGCGCCCTTCTCGCGCATATGCGCTGACACAATCGATAAGATATCTTGGGAGTTGAGGTTATCCCAGACACCATCCGTCGCGAGAACCAGAACATCGCCGTGTCGAAGCATGTGGTCCGCCAGATCGGCTCGGTCCGGCTTGTCGCTCAGAGGCATGCCTCCAAATATTTTCGCCTGAGCCAGTATTTCTGGAGGCGTGAGACTCAGTTGATAGGGAGTGTTGAAAGCATGGGTTTGTGGGGTTGAGATATGGTGCACCGATCCAAGCCGTAGTTGCAGGAAACCTGAATCTCCTAGATTGGCAACCCTCATGCGCCCGTCTCGATCGGCTACAACGACACACGCTGTACTGCCTCCTGCTCGGATCCCAGGGTCCTTGACTGTCTTGTCATACCCTATCTGCAGTAATTGACCGGGATTGAGTCGTTCTTTCTGCGACCACGCAAGAGCAGTCGCACCCATGTGACTGCAGAGACCGTGGGCAAAGTCAGCAGGATCTATGCCGTGCTCTGTCCACCCGCCTACACCGTCCGCCACGGCGAATGCTGTTGTGCCCGCGTCCTGACCTACACGTCCAACGAAATATGCATCTTGTCCGCTGTCGGGTCGGCTAGACCTTTTCTGTTCCATGTCTGAGCCATGTTGCAGGCCTAAACCGTCGTTGTCGCTGGGGATGTAGTCATATGTACTCGATTCGGGTCGGAACTTGCGGTCTTTGCCGCTCGACGACGCCGCAATGTGCAATGAAATGTGCGGAATGGCTGATGTAGCAGCGCACGCGCCCGCCGCGGCAGAACGTGGTGACGAATGCAGGTTTCTTGAGTGTAATTTGTATGGGTCGAGGCTTCGACGAATGTTTCGGCGGAGGTCTAGGAAGATACGGTAAGCAAGGGCTGGATCTTGACGAGAGGATTTGCCCGCACGGTGATTAACGTAAGAAGGCGTGAAAACCAACGAACGAGTGAGAAAAATGGGTGTTCGAGCAGGAACAGTGGTGGTCATCGCGTTGATCGTAAGGAGATGACTGCAGCAACACCGCGCAAGACAACAGATCTGGGACGAGTAGCGTGGAAAGAACAGACCAGAACTCAGACAGCCTCCAATAGAATACACATTATTAAGTGGCAGACGCCAAAGAGAGTGTCGACTGGCAGGATGTTATTGCAGAGGAAAAAGTTCTGAGACCAGATTACCGAGAGCGATTAATTCCCACGTGCCCCCTGTCGTGATGATGTAAGAAAGGAGGCTTTTCGCGTTAGGCTGGAAAAGAGCTCGCTGCCGATTAACTTACAGTCCTCTTACACATCGCCCTATACCTAGTTATTCTTCCATGTCTCCTTAGACGCAAGCATCGACTGACTGTCAATTGACATGCATAACAGGACGAAGATAGCCACAAAGCCTCCATTGCATATCGTAGACATCGCCGCAGCACATTCTCACCAGAGCGATACATGCCCCTGAACATTGCTCGCTGCCGATAAGCGCCTTGTCTGCATAATTCGCACCATCCACAGCATGTACCAGCAAGTGCGTCTGCTGTCTCCGTTGCTGTACAGTCTGCAGCTGGTTTCATACCTGTGAACAGCAGCATGTCAACACCAGGCCGCACCTTCGAGACGAAGGCTTCCGCCTTAGTGATGGACTCTTCTCAACTTTGACTGTAAGCCCTTTGCCGCTCGCCTAGATCCGCTGTTGAATGCAGCCTTTCAAGTCTTGAATGACCCTTCCGACGTTTTGGGAGCAGCTCCAACTTGCCGCATGTTGCAGCAAAGCACTTGCGTATCTGAAGTTTTGATCACAGGTTGGACAGGTATATCGGTAAAAGTCCATCCACCCATTGATATAGTCTGAGCAGTTGTAATCGTCAAACACCCAATTGTCAATATCGTCACGATCCACTCCACTTTGGCAATTGCCGGATTCAAGGTGAATCATCATGGCCGAGTATTCTGAGAAGTCGCGCCGACAGCCATGGCATTCGATGGTTTGAGGAAGATGACTTCGCAAATGCTGACAAAGGGAGCCATGTTAGCCAAAGTCATGCATGGGAGGAAAGCAAATTCATACTTGCTGAAGATTGTTGTCGTTATAAAACTCTTCTCCGCATTGACTGCACCAATGATGGACGTCCTCGCGGTGTTCAGTCAGATCATCCATGTCGCTGTAGTCTATCTCGCAGCGCTCGCAGATGTTGTGGCATGAAGCATTCGCAACGTGAGCATCACGAGCAGCTGATGAACCGAAGAGCCAGCCGCATCTTTCGCACCATTCTCCCTCATGTACCTGGGCATGTCGACAGTGATTTTCTGCGCCGCTAAGGGTGTTGAAAGACCGATCGCACGCAACACAGTAATAGCCGTACACAGGACGATCAGTGTCTAAGTGGTTGAACCGCGGCATTTTCGGAACGTCTTGGTGTCAGAGTTGAATGAAAGTGTATTCAGTGAAGTTGGAGGAGTTGTTTCAGCGTTGTGTGATGTTTGCTTCATGTGGTGACGGCAGCAAACACCACACCACGCGCGAAGAGCCAGAACTCAATAGTTGCACTTTCGAATTTGACTGCCGTCAATGGCCCACTGATTCTCACACTGAAGTTGCGCTGCCCGCTACTTTGTGCACTGAGCGAACGATTCCCTTCCCCAGCAATTAGTCTGGCAAGACCGCACTCAATGGCAAGCAAGTGAAGCCGAGAACAAATCGAGTGAGGAGTTCCGGGAGTAACGAAAGGAAAGCCGAAAACGTAAGGTAGAAGCAAGAGTAAAGTAAAAGGAGAAAGAATCCGGGAACGAAGAGATGTTTAGGCTGGGCAACGACCGATTTCCGGGTTGCCTGTCTATCTTTAAAAGTGTGGACTGAACCCCGGAAATGTCCCTGAACTTAACTGGTAGATAAGGTCTAAGCACCCGCGCTCCTTGTCCCCAATCGCTAAACAATTGCAGTTTTGTGTCTTTGCACGAAGTACTTGGTAAGCCTTTTATGCCAAACACTGCCATCCATCGCTTTCGTCTCCAACAAACCCCATCCCCTTCTGCTTCTGACACTTTACTTTCCGACGCTACCTCATGATCAATTCGATTGACCCGAACAGCACGAGCAGAAATGCGATGGAGGATGCTGCGACAATAATGCCAACTCTGACACTTTCTGACAGTCCTGCGGATGATGAGGTGTTCGCGGCACGGATCGTTTGAGATGTCGTTGTCGCTGATGGTGATGTCGAGAAATGCAGGAGTAGCTGTGGTCATGTCGTGCCAGTGTTGTAGGTCTCTGTACTCGAAGTAGTGCTGAGGTATCAGACACTGCTAGGGAGGGTATTGCAAGGCTGCGGTGATGATCGTCGTGATGAATCGTCGTGAAGATGCCAAAGCATCAACTTCGAGAGTCTTACACTGCGGGTAACCGAGACTTCTTGGACAATGAAAGTGGTCTGTGGAGGTACTTGCCTCTGAGTTCATCGGAAGGAAATTCAGGTTGCTTTATTGGAAAGTCTCCTCTAGGCCTTCCTCGAATGGTGACCACTCATCGTGCTGAGGACGAGTTTGACCGGAGGCGGTGATCCAGACCATGGCCCATGGGATTACTGACAGTACCCTGATGGCTTGACGAGGTTCACAACGCTGTCCGCTCTAGGACCTGGACATCTCTAGACAGCTGCAAGTGGTGCGGCTGAAATGACTAGAGCGGCCGCCGTTGAAGCTACTAAGGGTTCCAGCTCGCATGGGTGGCGCACAATCTCTTTTCGCGACGAAGTGGGAATAACAGAAGGAATACTGGACAGACAGGAAAGAAAAGAAAGGAAGACCAGAAACCAGGACAAAGTACTTTGGATAAGTTCATTTTGAGTCATGGAGCTCTCATCTAGCTATCTTGACTCGATTTTTTGGCCTTCCAAGAATGGCCTCAATGGGGAAATAGCTCACTTTTTTGCTTTTTGCGACCGTGAGCACCGTCGCTTTCATATCAGCCCAAGTATCGACTTTTGGCAGCGGCGCCGGCAGCCGCCCAAGCTCCATGCAATACACTTTTTGTTCTCCTACAACGCCTCGCTGTGCTGAAAAAAGAGAATAGCATCATTCCATCTCCACAACCACACCACATGCCACATCATCTCGCTCATTTCGTAACGCAGCAGCAGCAGCAGCACAAGCGCATGCCGCAAAACACATCGCTGTATCAGGGGTATCATTTCGTCAATAACCATTCTTCATAAAGACCAATCGAGGTTGCTTTTCAGTAGTAGCTGGATGGCGCTGGATAGTTGGCGAACGCAGGCTCGGTTTCGAAGCCGCCAAAGAAGTTGTCGTCGACTTCGTAATCCATAGCACCATCTGGCAAGTATTGACCATATTCGAGATCGCCGCCATGGGAGGCTGTCTCTTCATCATTCTTACCGGGGCCTGCAGGATCTTGTCCACCGACAGTTGGATATTCGCCAGATGGATAGTGGTACGAGCTGCCGTAGTGGAAGATTTGACTGCCGCACATGACCATGGATCCAGACAAGAAGTTGTCGTCATCATCTTCGTCCATTTGATTCGCAGGAACATCAACTGCTGCAGGAGGGTGGAAGCTGAAAGCACCCAAGCCCTGACCATCTGCTTGAGGTTGTTCAGTCTCGGAATTCTGAGCAGGAGTCTGGCCTGTCAGACCAGCGATGGCTGAAGACTTCTTGGTTCCTTTGTCCGAACGAGGCTTGCGCTTCTTAAACGCTTGCTCGTCCGTCTCGTTGACCTGCCGCTCGGCCTTTCGCTTCTTGTTGCGCACGACTCTCTTTGCCTCCAGACCAAGATGAGCAGTACGGACATGCTCCTCCAAGGTTGCCTTGCTAGTGAAATTGCGGCCACAGCCATGCACAACAACATCCTCCTTGTCGGCAAGTTCCTCGGGAAGTGTGATTGTAGTTTCTCCACATACAAAGTCTCGCTTGTTCTCGTGCACGGTCTTGATGTGGACGTTGAGGTTGCCCTTCTTGGTGAATATCTTATTGCATCCATCATAAGTGCAAGGAAACTCTTTGCCTGTACCGTTGGGTTTGTCAGGCAGGATTCCGTGCTGAATCTCCAGATGTCTGGTCAGTTCCTTGTTGGTGGTGAATGAGGTGGGACAGTATGAGCAGGTCGGTGGATGGACAATGGTAATGTGAGCTTGAAGTTCACCATAGGTCGCGAAGGATGCCACAAGCAAGGAGTCTGGATCAACGTCGTTCGAGTTTGCGAGACTTGCCGCATTTAGTGCCATGCAATCAGAGCAGGAGAATCTGGTGGTGTCGTGTCTGGTTCGCTGATGGCCACGCAGGTGCTCAGCGGTGTCGTATGACTTGTTACATGGGAGGCCGGTAATCGGGTCGTTGTCTGGGCACTGGAAAGGCTTGACTTGCTCGTGAACAGACAAAATGTGTCGGTCGAGGGTCTCCTGCTTGCGAAAGACTTGAGAGCAACCAGGGTAGCCACGGCATGTGAACTTTTCCTTCGCTTTGTGCGCTTCAACATGGCGTCGCAGTCTTGTTCCTGTCGCGAAGCTAGCATCGCATCCATCCCATGTACACTTGTAATCCCGAATGTCGGTGTGCGCCACTTTCACATGATGTTTCAGATGGCTGTCACGAAGAAAAGCTTTGGTGCAGGGAGGATGAGGGCAAACGAAAGGACGTTCTTGAGTATGGGATCGAATATGTTCTGTCAGTCTAGCCTGACGACTGTACGCCTTGTCGCATCCTTCGTATGGACAACTCAGTTTCTTCTGGCGGGAACCCGGGCGGGAATGCGGTGTGCTCGCGCTGGGCGGAGTTGAGGCGGGAGTGTCGTCGATCTGATGATTCGTGTCGTCGTCGCTTTCCAACATGTCGTAGTCGTCGAAGTCGTCGTCCGAGTCGACCCGCATCTTGTCTCGGCGTCTGGACCCGCGCGGTCGCTTATGTCGTCGGCGTGGTAGAAATTCAAGTCGGCGACGAAAATTAGGACCTGCTTGCTCGGTGGAACCAATCGCAAAGTGTGGGGAGCGAATTCAAATTTAGGTCAAACGCGGTTGGTCAGACCGCAGCATTTCCGCCAATTGTCCGCCAAGGGGACAGACATCACGTGCCAGTTTACATAACCCTTCATGACTTTTTTTCTTTGGGTAACGGGCGCAACCAAACGTTTTGGAATGCGCCTGCACTTTTAACCATCTTCCTCCTGCACACGCACACGCAAACGGACCACTGCATCTTCTCGGTAACTGCTAAAATGTCAGACTACGGTGGCGATGAGGGCGGGTAGGTGGCATCCCAGGCTTTCTGAATGGGTGGCACTTTCTGCAGGACTAACGCGTACTTTCTGCCCGCAGCTATGGCAACGACGAGCCCGATGACACGTTTTATGAGCCCGAAGAACCTGAAGACTTTGCCCCTGATGGGGAAATTGATGAAGGAGCCATCGAGGCGCGAGCCGACGCAGCAGAAGAGGGAGAGGAGAAAACAGTAGTTTCTGGCGATCCTATGCAAGCTCAGAAACCCTCGAGCGACGCCGACAAGAAAATTCCCCAAGACAAGCGGACGACGACGCCATACATGACGAAATACGAGCGGGCGAGAGTTTTAGGGACACGCGCTTTGCAGATTAGGTACTGCGACCATACTCTCGGACAACTCATATGCTAATTGGCGAAAGCATGAACGCTCCTGTATTAGTCGATCTCGAAGGCGAAACTGATCCATTGCAAATCGCAATCAAGGAACTGAACCAAAAGAAGATACCCCTTATTGTCCGCCGATACCTGCCAGATGGATGGTGAGTTGTGTCGTGTCTGTGGGAGGCCGTTATGCTGAGTTGTTTTCAGGTATGAGGACTGGACATGTGAAGAACTACTATGATCGAACTACTCGCCTTTGGACATCTTTCTCCCTGCGCAAGCAGTTTTCGCGAGCGCGGTGGAATATTGTCAATGTGGCCTCCTGGCTTGAAGGCAACACTAGCACCACTTGACTGTCATGTGGAACAGTCTTTGGTCGCCCCCACAGGCCTTTTCATTCCAGCTCGTTGATTGAGAGCCTGAGACCGAGGGCCTGGACGCCAGATCGGCAGTTCACAGACACCGGCTGCGTTGGTCCACAGTCTCCGGACATGTGAGCAAACCATTGGCGGCCGAATAATGGCTGGCCTAGACCGTCGAACAGGCCACCAGCGACTATGCTGGGATGCCCTTAAGTTCTTAAAGGTTTGGGGAAACTTTGGAGGATCTCCCCAGCAACGCCGTGTGCCACACAAACGAGCTTGTGGGAGGAATGGGCACAGAAACGCCCACTTGAGATGCTTTGACGAGCGGCATCCCCATCCACGTTAACGATTACCATGTATCAGTAATGCAGACTATAAATTTTGCTAACAATGACCTATTTGAATGTTCACAGTGAGTTTCCTAGTTCTATTGGCTTCCGATTCAGGGTTCAGCGCATCACTTGCTCCTCCTGTGGAAGGGTCTACTCCTCATTCCACCGGAGCATCATCATTAACCATCATAGTGCAGCATTCTTCAATGTCTCTGCTTATCCTGAACGCTCGCCTACAGGCCAGTGCTGACTTTCGGGGTGTGGACCACTCAGCCTCGCGGAGTGGAACTTACACACTATATACTGACATACTGCGGTTTTGGTTGGTCATCTCAATTGGTGCCTCAATGCCTCATCGGCCTGAATTGGAACCGACGTCTTTTCGTCGGCGCAACAGGGGCCGGGCCAGAAGTGTAGATGCTACATTGGTTCCTTTGAGGGGCCGAAAATAGTTAGACGGAGCTCGCTTGTGCAAGTCAGATCCTCAGGCCAACCATCTCGAAGGACTTGCCATACTGCATATGGGATACTGCTATACCGGAGAGCTCTTCAAATGCCGATATCACCAAATCATTACAGAGGGTGTATAGCTTGCCTCACCAGCATGTGAGGTCACGGAGCTTATCAAGGATCTCCATTGTTATGGGGCCAAACATGTCCTTCGCCCGGAAAGGATCGCGATGAGCGCCGCCCACCACTATCTATGGGTGCCGACCGGCATATGGGAATGTTGAGATATATCTAGGCTGGTGTCTTGCATTTCAACCTCAGGCGGCAAGCGTGTGACAATCTGGAAGATCTTCCAACAGGGCAATCCATTATCCTCGGATAATTCGCAGGCACACACACCCAGAATGGAAGACTCGCGTATCTCAGACTTCGCAAGGTTCCAGTCTGTGAGATCGAACGAAACAAGGATCCCCAGGAAGCCAGTTCCACGACGGCTCAATTCTCGCCAATCCTCAACACGGCGACCTAGTTCTGCAAGGAGTTTTGCCCAAGCATTCTCATGGCTGAGCGCTGTGCTCCCGGAGAGGCAACCTCCGCTACAAGAACAGGAGATTTCAGAGGATAACATATCGCCAATCTTACCCAAGGCGTACCGGAAATCATGGCGATATACATCTCGGTTCGACCCACGCATGGATTCTGGATTGACGTTGTTTGATCCGGATCTGCAAGCAATCCCCAAGAGGCAGATGTCGGATGCGTCCAGTGTAGTCAGGGATTTGAACGTCGAGTGGCACCTACCACCCCTAAGGTTCAGCTACACAGACACTTCCAACCAGTCGATCATCAATGCTGCTATTGATGCGCCCGCAAATCTCCCACCCGAAAAGAGTGGCGACACACCACCCCCGAATGGTGGCACTCTGGCTTGGTTGCAGGTTCTGGGAGCCTTCTTCTTATACTTTAACAGCTGGTTAGTAGCTAGGAGAAAATTTAGCTTCTTCCGCTGACTTTTGTTACAGGGGTACTTTAAACATTTTTGGAGTATTCCAGACCTACTATGTCGACAATGATGTTCTGCACACGTCACCTTCGGACATCTCATGGATAGGTTCTGCGCAAGCTTTTCTAGCTATGATGGTCGGCGTTGTCACCGGCCCGCTATATGATGCAGGATACTTCCGCCACCTCATTCTTGCAGGAGGCATCATGGTCTCGCTAGGATTCATGATGACGAGCTTGTGTACCACGTACTGGCAAACAGTCCTTGCACAGGGTCTCTGCATCGGAATCGGTAATGGATGTCTGTTCGTCCCGTCCGTGGCTATTCTGCCGCAGTACTTCACCACGAAGAACGCGCTCGTCAATGGCATCGCGGCAAGCGGATCGAGCCTCGGTGGTATCATCATGCCGTTCGTATTTGTCCGACTCCAAGCTCATATTGGATTCGGATGGGCGACCCGCGTCCTAGGCTTTTTGACCGTCGCCACTATCTCCATCTCCATATCCGTTATGAAGCCTCGACTCATGCCGGCGAGCAAGAGAAAACTTGTCGATCTGTCAGCGTTCAAGGAGCCTGAGTATTGCTTTTTCGTGTGCGCCGTGTTCTTTGGGTTCACCGGGTTTCTGGTGCCTTTGTTCTATCTCGGTCTTTATGCCTCGTCGACGGGCGCCACCAGCGCCAGCTTCACGTTCTACTTGCTACCTATCCTTAACGCAAGTTCGACGTTTGGACGGATCGCGCCGAATTTCCTGGCCGGGTTTACGGGGCCTCTGAACGTCTATATACCTGTCGCACTTGTTGCGGCGGTACTGATCTTCGCTTGGTGTGGGATCACGAATTTTGCGGGAATGATTGTGTTTGCTGTGCTTTATGGGTTCTTCTCCGGTGGGTTTGTGGGGTTGATGACGGTGAGTCTGGTTACGTTGACGCCGGATTTGAGGACGTTGGGGACAAGGACTGGGCAGGCCTTTTTCATTGCGAGTTTTGGTGTGCTCATGGGGAGTCCGGTGGCCGGCGCGATTCTGAATCAGACGGGGAGTTGGGTTGCGGTGAAGTGCTTTGCGGGCACGGCTGTGTTGATGGCTATGGTTTTCTTGGTGGCGGCGAGGACGACGAAGGTTGGCTGGTCGCTTAGAGTGAAGACTTAGGGCCGTCGTGAGGGCAAGGATCTGGCGGTGGCTACAGACCCCAGGATGGCTATAGGACTAGAGGTGGCTATAGACTCCAGGCGCGGCTAGTGGATTTCAGAGATGGATACAGAACATCACATACTAGTAGTGGATCCTACCTACGTTACAGGCTTACGATGGTTTGTGCTGTTGTATATACATGACCGGACTTCTCGCGCCGTAGTAAGCCTGAATATAACATGCCACACACACCCTCTGAATAGCCTTAAAAAGACCAATCTGGCAGTATGGAGCGGCGATCATCGGTGCATCGGCCCAAAAAGTACAAATTAGGCAAGAACAAAGGGGCGGAGCCTTGTCTTGTCTTGCCGCCTTCCATTCCTTAGCACTGCCACGGTAAGCCCTAGGACTCTGAACAGAACCAAGAGAGTCAGTACATTGAATGAGATATGAACGTATCTTAGATGAGGTATCAAATCGCGTCGGGTCAGTCTTCATGATCATGTATGCCAGGAGTAGATCCGCTGAACTAGACATGGTTCGATGTTGCTCGACACCTTCTAGCGTTCTCACATCTGTGGGATCTAAAGGTGTACTATGGATTCGGTGACCGATTGTCCAGTCTCCCGTTCCTGGTTCCTACTCCTGCCAAGACTTCTTTCATTCCTTAAGTCTTGATTCCTACTTCTGCCCTCTGATCCCTCATTCTTGACTCCTACTCTTGGCGACGATCGGTCTTTCGTACCAACCTATCCTGTTCAAATACTGCTTGCGGGGCATCTCCCAGGAATATGGCAAATAGATGATATGGTTTCAAGGACGGTAGCTGTGCATATGGCCGTGGTGGGTGTTTCTTTCTGCGGAGGAAAGGCGATTCCAGACGAACGGCGTCATCATCAGAAGTATTGATGGAGGGTGTGAAAGCCAGCTCCATGTATGTCAAGGCTGAGAGGTGTGCTGTTCCAGAGAAACTTCAAGGACGTCTCGGTCGAGATGGTGTCCCAGAAAGGTGGTAAGGCTAGGATACAATGCTTTGTATGGTGGATTGCCTGGTCCTTATTCGAACCTCACGCGGGGCATGCGCCTCATGACAAATGCACCCAGACTTTCGTCCCAGACTGCGGTTTCCGAAATTGAAGCCTCATGCCTGCGCGCGTTGTTTTCTCGGACTGGCAGATACACAATATCGCGTTCATTTGATGGGCGTCGTACAGACGGACGTCTGTGGTGATGACGAGCCACGTCAATTTGAACTCTCTGGACACGCACCCTCTCAACAGGAACTCGTCTGTACCGGACATGGTCGGGCTGCATTTGCTGCTCAGGCATCTCATGGAATGGAGACAGCGGTGGAGCTGAGTGACCATGGTTCGCCATTTGAGGAAGCGCAGGCGAGGGAGGTGGAGTAGCAGGTCTTCGTGGCTTGTCGAGGTTGACTTCGATTTGGATATCGGGTGGAGCAGCAACAGATGATTGGTCGTAGTGGACGAAGTGTTGATGGTTGTGATTGTGCTGATGGAGGTGCTGCTGTGGTTTGGCTGGTTCGACATAGTAATCATATTCCGGCACGTCGTCGTATACTTCTATGTATTCGGTTGGCTTTGGTCTGGGTGAATCCCATCGTTTGCGGACGAGGCAGAGTCTATCTCTCGAAAGACGTTCGACCCATGTTGGGCGAGTGGCGAAAGCAACACCAACGTCAATCTTGAAAAGCATGTTCTGGTGATAAATGTGAACTCGATCCCTGAAATACTAGTGTACTGGTAGGCCGGGAGATGAGCAGAAATGATTGGGATAGTATGCTGCAAGGCTGTAATGTGCGTTTGCAAATGAAGAATAATGAGCGAATGCTGTGAGAATGGGATTGCCTTTCATGCCTCGTCATGAGATACTTAACCTGTTCACCCTCTTTAGGCGCGTGTGTGGTGTCAGGCACCATGTTGAGGGTTGTCTTGTCCATAAAAGACAAGCACAAAGAGAAGTGGAGGACGACATAGCACACTTCAATGGTATGGACGACGTATTTGCCTACCTTTCATTGTAGTCATACATCGTCAGCATTCACAATAATGGATGGTATTGTGATAGGTCTCAAAAGTGTTGGACCGTTTTATCTGGTCGCAAGACACAAAGTGAGAGGTCTCACCAGACATTGTCTGGTCATGTGGATGAATCAGCAAACACCAGATAGCCTTGTGTCGGGGGAGCCATTTCGCAGGGGCTGCGACAGAGTCACGGACCCCTCTTTGTCGGGGGAGCCATGTATCGACCGCTCATTTCGATGCCGACAACGTTGAAAGGAAATGTGTAGGAGAAGGAAAGATGGACTGTTGTAATGGTTGTGGTTATCATGGAGGAGTAAGGCTCTGTTTCAGCCTGATGCTTCGGCCGAGGTTCAACCGCCATCTGGAAGTTCGTCACGCGCATCGTCGAACCAAGCTGCACCATCCACGGTTGTTGACTTCGGCGTCAGGCTAGAAGCTCCAGCACTCACGTCATGCCATGGTGGAATCCATGGTCATCAACGACAAAGGGTGACCAGAAGGATGCGGAGTCGCTTCAGTCAAAAGCTACAAGGGTTTTGAATTCAACAAGTGAGGCCGTCGGCGAAGCGACCGACTCTGCCCAAAGACGTCTTCAAGATGCCTCTGCCTCTTCGACATTCAAAGCCTTCGCTGAACCCCAGACGATCATAGCGGCCGCAATTTTGACCACAGCTTCTCTTGGACTCTACAAATTCTACAGATCTTACCTGCGAAGAATTCCTCAGGCAACAGGCATTACTGCTGGCTTTCTGCGAAAGAGAAGTCTCGTTGGCAAGGTCACAAGCGTGGGAGATGGAGACAACTTTAGGTTCTATCACACGCCTGGTGGCAGACTTGCTGGCTGGGGATGGTTCCCCGCCAGGCGGGTGCCCAAGGACAAGAAGGAGCTGAAAGACCAAACAGTAAAATATCACCAAAATGCTCGGGGAAGTGTGTTACTGACGGGTACTTAGATACACCTTCGCCTGGCTGGAGTCGACGCCCCAGAGCTTGCTCATTTTGGAAGGCCTTCACAGCCACATGCGCAAGAGGCGCTGGATTGGCTCACAGCATACGTACTGGGCAGACGGGTCCGCGCCTATGTGTACAAGATCGATCAATACAACAGGGTAGTCGGAACTGCATATGTCTGGAGGGGACTTTTCCGGCGGGATGTTGGTCTACAAATGCTAAGAGCAGGTTTTGCCACGGTCTACGAAGCGAAGACGGGTGCGGAATTTGGTAAAGGTCTCGAAGCCAAATATCGCAGCGCGGAATGGTGGGCAAAGACCAAGAGAAAAGGCATGTGGGCGGGAAGCAGAAAGGACTACGAAAGTCCTCGAGAGTACAAAACCCGATATGCTTCGACGCCACCGCCAGATGAACCCAAAGTATGAGACACGCGCGAAACTTCTTTAATTGGGCTTTTAGCGAGGCGCTATGGATATCGCCATGAGAATGTTTGAAGATGCCAAAAGCAAATGATCATTAAAATGGCCTTGTAGACAGATGGCTTCAGGACAAGGCTGAAATCGGTCACGTGATAGGCAGTCTGATATCTAATCTTCGGCACGTCTTGTAGATGTCATGACTTCCTCTCTTGCAACCCAGACATGCCGTCCACAGACTCGCCAGCGGTCATAGTAGCGCGCTATCTGAAAGCAAACCATTATAACGAGGTTGGTGAGCCAAGCATCTCTTGAGACCGAACCTCACAATTCTGGCAGACACTTGAAGCATTTCTGAAAGAAGTCGGCTTGCCTGAAGAGGCAGCAATCACTAATCAGGGTGACTGGACGATAGAGAAGATCCTCGAAGAAAAGAAACAATACGACTCGAGTCTCCAGTTCGAGAAGAAAGGCGATGATCAGATCACCGGCTGGCCGCTCCCGGCACCTTCCAAGCCTGTCGAACCCGACGTCTTCATAACGTCCAACGTCCTCTGCGTAAGTGGCGATGGCAGAGGAAAAACGGAAGACACTGTGATTTCAATCACGTCTGCCGATCGATCATGGGCTCGTCTGGACCCGTCGGCGCCTTTCTCGCCTATCGACGCGGCGTCGAGCACCCACGGAAGTCCAGTTTTGTCCGTTAACGCGATCTCCAAGGACTATGTCTTTTCGACCTCGATGTCCGGCGAACTCATGATGCATGACTCTCGAGGCCGACTGCTTGACAAGTGCCGCGACCACTTGAAGTACGCAGTCCAAGTGGTTTCAGGCACGACAAGACAGGGCAGGTGGATCGTGGCGACCGCTGGCTGGGACCAGAAAATCCACATCTATGCTCCCGAACAGGAACTGGCGGAGCGGTTCGATTCCACAGAACGCTTAGCCGATGGCCAGCCACATATCAATGGGCTCTTGCGAGACCCCATTCACACGATCTCGCTACCCTCCAATCCAGAGTCCATGGTCTTGGTTCAACATCCTGACACGCGCGATCTCTACCTAGTACTTTCCCGACGAGACTCGACATTCTTGTACTATTATTGCATCACACCTATTTCTGACGAAGCTTCATCTACACGCAGCAGCGAGATTACATACTCCGTGCAAGAAACCGGGAAGCAGAACTTGGCTCCTCACAGCAACGCCTGGATTGCGTTCACGCCGTCTTGTCTGGCATTAAGTCCCACAGATCCTACACTACTTGCCGTGGCAACCTCGCACCTTCCTCACATGAAGATGATCATTGTCCGGCTTCTATTCCCAGCTGGATCCTACGGTGCAAACTCCAATTCCGCCTCTGGCGGAGGATCGACACAGGCCTCGCAAGCACGCGCAGACCTCGCTCTGCAGGACCGTGAAGATGCCGCCATCCGTATCCATGTGCCAACTATGGCTCCTCAAACACCGTACTCGACGCCACAGGTGGTCTGGCGTCCTGGTGGCAACGGCGTCTTTGTCAACGCTGATGATGGCGTGATCAGGGGCATCAACACGCTGAGTGGCAAGGTGGTGGCGACCCTGAAGGCGCATGAGGTTGGGAGCAAAGTCCGCACTCTGTATGCTGGTTGGGAGAAGGGCGGAAAGGACGAGATCTTGATCAGTGGTGGGTTTGACAAGAAGGTCTTTATGTGGAGGATTTCAAAGGAATAGTCTTTTCCCCACAGTAGACGACCAGATCATATAGCTATCGGTGCTGTCAATGCTTAGACTTTCTTGATCCAGATCGCTAGCGTCTGTCTTTCTATATTCGTGCATTGTTCGGGTGATTGAAAGGAAGAAGGTAGTGCTCCGGATAGTAGGGCCAATTTCGAGCTTTCACAAATCTCCGAATCCCACGGATCCTCAAGATTTGCGCGATAATTTCCTCAACTCAACTCGTTTTCTGGCTTGCATTCCAGGGAAAAAGTTCGATGTTTACCAAATGACGTCACTGTAAAGTCATCACCGCATCCCTCACATCACAGCCTCGGCATGTGACCCCCTGGCACATGCGTCCGTCAACTCATACAGTGCCATTAATGACCTTCGTCGATGCCACCAGGTACCGACGTTGAATTGATACTCTGACTTATTCATCAGTATACGAGAAAGTCCACAGGTCAAGCAGTCAGCCCTTTTGAGACAAGACTGAGGCAGAATGACCCTTACAGAAGAGGGCGAGTTCACGACCAGTGACGGTGCAAAGTTGTACACAAAGACGTGGAAGGTGAGCCCTTCGCTAAATCAACGACATTGCTCTGTCCACTCTCATGCCACCGCATGCTTACTCCTGCTGGTCGTAGCCTGATTCAGGATCACCATCAGCGGTGCTCATCTTCGTGCACGGCTTTTCCGACCATATCGACGGTACATCAAACCCTTCTGACCCATATCATTATCAAAAACTTATACTGCCTAGCATACTACGACTTCTTCCCCACACTAAGCTCTCCACCATACAACATTGCCGTCTATGGATTCGATCAACGGGGCTGGGGTCGCTCAGTCAGAAAACCCAGCGACACTGGTCTCACAGGGCCAACTTCACGCGTTCTCTCCGACATCCATGACTTCATCCTCCATATCTCTTCACTGCAAGGAAATCACGGACAGCCATTGTTCCTCATGGGCCACAGCATGGGCGGCGGCGAGGCGCTCTGCTACATGCTCTCAACCTCCCAACAATTCTCAAACCGGCCCCCAATATCCGGCCTGTTACTAGAAGCCCCATACATTGAACTTGATCCTGCAGAACAGCCAAACCCACTCACCGTCATGGGTGGGAAACTCGCTGCTCTGGTAATGCCACATATGCAATTGAAGCAGAAACTGCATGCACAGTACATGTCACGGTCCGCCAAGGTTCGGCAAGAATGGGTCGACGACCCGCTGTGCCACGACACAGGAACCCTTGAAGGTCTGAAAGGTCTGCTCGAGAGAGCTGGTGACCTCTCAAAACTTTCATATGGTCATGAAGTCCCCGGTCTTACGGCAAAGGTACCTTGTCCGATATGGCTGGCACACGGAACAGGGGACAAAGTTCTCTCACCACCAGCCTCCCGGCGGTTTTTCGAGGTGTTGGAAGCTCCCGGCGGCGACAAGGAATTCAAGTCTTATCCTGATGGGTATCACAAGCTTCACGCCGAACCCGATGGGATGGGAGAGCAATTCGCAAAGGATGTGGGAGAATGGGTTCTCGGTCACACGAAGCAAGCGCCGGTGCCAGGGTCACAGGTAACGTGATGACTCTCTCAGATCCGTTTAATTTGGCTCATTATCCATAGCGGTCCAAACTTTAAGATTTTGTCTTAGACGCATAGTACACGAAGCATTTGTGGTACCCCGATAAACAAGGAGACGATGAACAGCTTCTGATGAGTGTCGTGGCACATCGTCATGATTACGTAATACATCAGCCTTGTTGCTCGGCCCACTTTCCTTGAGTCACTTACCAAGTAATAACTTTTTCATTTCGAAATCGTTATTCCGTAACGTCGACACACTCAAGGAGACATTACCAATGCAAATGGGTGTTGGCCGAAGAGGACACGCACCAGGTGTATGAAAGTCATGACTCGCTTCCGCCCCTGCATCGACCTGCACGCGGGCCAGGTCAAGCAGATCGTAGGCGGAACTCTCAGCACCATCGAGTCAGATCTCAAGACGAATTATGTATCTAGCCATCCGGCAGGGTACTTTGCCCAATTGTACCGCGACTCCAACCTGTTGGGCGCACACGTGATCATGCTGGGCCCAGGCAATGACTCTGCGGCCAAAGAAGCGCTCGCGGCATGGCCAGGACATTTACAAATTGGAGGCGGGATTACTGATGCCAATGCGAGGGAATGGATTGATGCTGGTGCCGAAAGGGTGAGTTGTGGAAACATTTTGCGATGTGCAACGGTTGATGAGTCTTCAGTAGGTGATCATCACTTCGTTTCTTTTTCCCATTGGCCGGTTCTCTCTAGACCGGCTAAAGAGTGTTCTTGCAAGCTTGGACAACGACACGTCGAAACTCGTCATCGATCTAAGTTGTAGACGAAAGGGGGAAACGTGGTTCGTTGCTATGAACAAGTGGCAGACCATCACCGAGATGGAGATTACTAAGGGTAAGCCTCGACGCCCTCTTTGCATTACCATCACCACCACCTTCTCCTGTCCTGCTCAAGGCGAGGCAGAGCCGAGCCGAACGGAGCATTGCATACAACTGAGCTGAGCTGAGCTGACGCACCGGACAGAAAGTATCACAATGCTTGAGCCGTATTGCTCAGAATTTCTTATCCATGCCGCCGACAATGAGGGTTTGCAACAGGGTATCGACACCGAGCTTGTGTCTAGGTTGGCCGAATGGTGCAACATACCCGTCGCCTACGCTGGGGGTGCCAGGACGGTGGAAGATCTGAACCTGGTCAAGCAGTGCAGTCGCGGCAAAGTCGATTTGACTATCGGCAGTGCATTGGACGTCTTTGGCGGGACTGGCGCCAAGTTTGAGGATTGCGTGACGTGGAATCGGGACAATGCAAATTGAGTACAAGTCATCATCCCAAGATCTGGCCATTTACTTCTTGCTTCTTGCTTCTTGTGCGAACCTCTTTCAGTCGATTGAATTTGCTCCCGGAATGGTCGGAGGGATGTGGTCTGTCTCGTGACTCACGGCCCCAGCTCCCTGTCCTCGCATTGGGCAATCTCATCAGATTTCGACCGCACCCTTATTACACTGCGCGGCCATGTCTGTCACATTTCCATCTTCGACAAAGGACGATCCCCCACGATCCGCAGTGGCAGTCTCCCGACGGTATCCCAGATGCATTGCCCACTCCTTCAAGCCTGTCTGACCTTCGATCGTTCTGTGTAATCGGTATCCATTGTCTCGATCTTGCACAAACTCGCCCTGGGATCTGGCAGCTTGTTTTCTGCTCCACTGGCACCAGCCTGCCGCATGCTTGAGTCCTCTCGATTTCCATTTCCGTGTCCGCCGCATATCTTCGCTCACCCGTCTCATCTGATGTAGTAGCATATCCCAGTCTGCTGGCGGTGTTCGTCTGGGATTTTTCGGGCCACTACCGATCTCATTCGACTTGTTGCTCACAGTGGTCGTGTGCTGCCCATGGATTTGCTGCTCCTCATCCCACGGATCGAGTCTCCGTATCTGGATCTCCGAGCGCTGCGGAATGTCATTTTTCTCCCTCCACAACATAATGCTGGCACACAGTGCCTTGAGGTCGACCTATGTACACAAACGTCAGATTCAACGACGACAGGAGCCCAGGTGAGAGGGCATCAACGTACATTGGTGGCTTCGGACCCCGTTCTACCAATCCACGAGTCGAAGTGAAAGGCCATGGTATCAGGGATTCTGGCTACCTTGGTGGATCTTTTGTTCCTGTTGTGGCCTTCTAGGTCTTCCACTACTTTGTCTCTTGCACTGATACGGCTGTGTGTCTCACGACGTTGTCTGCTTCCTTGTCGCTGTGGAAAGATCCCCTGTTCCCAGCTGTCCACGTACTTGCATGGTTTCGATGCTCCAGTCGACATGGAGGCATCATCCTGACTCGCTGTAAACGGGCATTGTACGGCCGGCAGGGACGTTTGGGTGACATGGGCTGGCGGCGAACTCGGTGGTGATGGTGATCCTTCGAGAATTGTTTCCGGCGGAGAGGCTGAACGATATTGCAGACGTTGCATGTCGATTCGTAATTGAAAGGATATCGAAGTCTGCTCAAGACTTGAGAGTAGATGGCTTCAATCCCGTCCGCGGGCCTCGTTTGGAGTGTGTCAAAAAGTAGACCATCAGGGGCAGGGACAGCAGGCCATTGCTTGTCCATTATTGTGGTAGTTGTGAAGTCAGGTTTTGTTGCAACGCGAGTGATCACTTTCAAACCAGTGAAACCCGTGTCAACCATAATACCATACCGTAAATCCTTCCAATGGTGTCGACATGAAAAGACCAAACACTCTTACTTTATGGAAGTGAGAATGCAAACAAAAAATCTACGACAACGGGGCACATATGTTCACTCGAGACCAGTTGTTTTGATGATTCAAAGGATCATTGATTGAGACTACCTAACAAGGTGCCATCGGCTCTATTGAGCATGTCATAAAAGATACATAGCTCCAAGCTCATAAACCTGCACCATGTACCAGGTGTGGTCATTCTCTCATCTCATGTCGACCATCGTCATGCTTAGGAAAGGCAGCAAAGGGTATCGTAGGAGGTCGATGTGATTGATTGATGTTGAGGCGCTTAGTGAGTAGCAGCCTGCTTGTTGCCCTCAGCGGAAGCCTGATTGAACGGTTAGCTGTCATCCAAAATACTCGTGTTCAATCAACATACAGAGTTCTTGGTCTCGTCGGCCTTGTCACCTAGAGCATCCTTGGCGGCAGAGGCACGGGTTCCAATGGACGCATCAGAGTCCTTTGCAACGTTCTTGTTGGCCTCCTTGGAAGCACCGGAGGTAAGCTCGCTGGCCTTGTCACCGACGTAGCTGAAAGAGAAAGTCAGTAATCTGCAGATATCGAGAATTTCGAGAGACGGTAACGTACTTTGCTGCGTTGTTGATGGTCTCCATTGTGAAGGTGGTTGTTTGTTTGGGTTGAGTTTAGTTTGAGTAGTTGATAGTTTGAGATTGAGTGTGATGAAAAAGGTTGAAGAAGTATGTGGTGGGAGAAGAAGGTACTTATAGGGAGTTGTATTGAAAGAGAAGTGACAACGTGTCTCTCTGGCCTGTGCCTGCCACCTCCCCTCTCTGCCTGGGTGATGGAAGAGTGAATTGCCCCGCGTTGAGTACTTCACCGTCAACACCCCACTAGTTCAGCCCGATTGTGGCTTTCTATGGCTTCGATAGGCTGTTGCCGAGGTCAACCGCGTCTTAGGCTGCTTCAGAATCACTCTGCAATCCATCAATTCACTGCCCATGACGTTGTGTGGCCGGCTGACATGGAAAAACTAGGAGGTGTTCAAACAATGAGATATGCATGACATCACAGCGACTAGCAAAGGTTTCGTCATCTGGCCAATCACCAGTGAGCACAGCCACAATTAGTGTGGCTGCAATCGATCTGACCCGCCAACGTCATGATATTTGTGGATCCGGGCTTGAGATCCAGCCATACAACAAACATGCCAGAAGTCGACATGACGTTTGGAAGAACAAAAGATGAACTTCGTCATTTCTTCCTCCAGGAGTAATTTGGCCCGCTTTCACCCGCTTTTACTATGAAGGGGCAATGAATGAATGGCTCGAACCTGTCTCGAACCACGTCTAAAGAACGGAGACCGTGCCTCGAGTTACTGTTACGGGTACTCGTACACGGAAACAGAACTACGAAAACCATTGAAGAAATGATGCCATTCTCACATGCACATCCAGAATGCTATCGCGTCTGTTGGAGATGTCACAGCCACTTTCATGATTCGGTTGTCCATATTTGCTCTACTCCACGATCGAGCAGATACGAAGTACGATCATGATATAAAATACATCAGCAACATGTCTTATTCTCGGATGATCTTCTCACACACATCTTTGGTTGAACGATGCGTCGTGATCCTAAAATAGCATCAGGGTCAACCAGGCGAAGATCTTTCAGCCTTCATGGCTGAGTTGCAAAACCAGCAACCAACCTTTTGCGACGATGAGGTCCCTTACCTGTTTAATTTATCGATCTCGATCACTAGTTCGACGCATTCTTGACCACCCGTAGGCTTCTCTATGCAGATACTTGTCTCGTTGAAGGTATGCGTAGTCTTTTGAACTTGACCCACGGACTTCGGAGTAGAAGCAGATCATGCTCTGGAGGTCGTAACACAAGGTCTTCACTCTTCGTCAGCACCGAGGTCCAGGACAGCTGCAACAACACCCAGCCTTGCCTTGGCGCATCCGATTGATAAATGAAGGTTCGGTCATGAATGCAAACAGAAATGGTACGCATTATGAACCGCCATAAAAACCATCATTACTATCAAATGGTACTATGAAACATGAAACCAGCATTGCCCAATCCAACTTTACCAAGAGATATTTATATCTTGCTATCCAGAAATTCCAGCATCAACCTGCCAATCTCTTGTGTATGGCTTTCGACCAAGAAATGCCCACCATCGAGCAATACCAACTTCAAATCCTTCACATCCCTCTTGAAAGCCTCAGCACCGGCTGGAGGGAAAATGATATCATTCTTGCCCCAAACCGCCAGCACGGGCACTTGACTCTCGCGCAGATACTCCTGGAACTTGGGATAAAGCACGACATTCGTCCCATAGTCCTTGAACAGATCAAGCTGGATCTCAGCATTCCCCGGCCTGGACATCAGCGCATAGTCAAGATGATAAGTCGCAGGCTCGTCAATTTTGTTCGGCTCTGGCTCGCCGCCCAGATACTGGCCCTTGGTCGCTTCGAAGGTGAGAACGGCTCCTTTGACAGCTTGGCGCAATTCCTTCTCTTTCACAGGATCAGACGTCGCCCACAACTGACGAAGAGGGTCCCAGAATGAGCTCAGGCCTTCTTCATAGGCATTGCCGTTCTGGGAGATGATCGCTGTGATGGCCTGCGGACATTCCAGGGCGAGACGGAAGCCTGTAGGAGCGCCATAGTCGAAGACATAGACTGCGAACTTGTCGATCTTGTGGACGTCCAAGAACGAGCCGATCGTGGTGGCGATGTTGGCGAAACTATATTTGAAGTTCAGGTTATCTGGGATTTCAGTGAACCCGAAGCCAGGTAGGTCGGGTGCCACGACGTGGTACTTCTCCGCAAGAAGCGGGATCAGGTTGCGGAATTGGAACGATGAGGCAGGGAAGCCGTGGAGGAGCAAGATTGTGGGCTTCGACGGTGAGCCGGCTTCGCGGTAGAACACGCGGATGCCGTTGGGCAAGATGGTGTACATCTTGGGCTGGGGTTGAGATGAGGTCGTCTTGGTCTCTGTGTTGTCGTTTTGCCTTTTCGTTCTCGTGGGTTTGGGAGTGTTCTATTGCGTTGTTTGCTGTGATGGGCGATGCAGAACTTACCGAGCGGCGAAGTTACCTCGTATATATACATTTCTCAGGTTCATCAAACAGGATCATAAACCTACCTGGCCCTGTACACTATGGATCATCACCTTACTAACCATCTGCATATGCAAGAGATCCGATGAAGCTGATGTTACATAAACTGAGACCGAGACGGTTGTCCCAGAGGCTGACAATGCGAAGTTTAACAGCGAATAGCGGCGCAAATATCATAGAATGGCATGATTTTGGCTGGTCAAAGACGAACAAGGAAGCCGTGCCGCAAGGCTTGTCCATAGAAAGCAAAGCTTGTCCCGGCTAAATGTTTACATAATACGAGGTCCGTCCAGCACTTGCATGTTTTGAGAAGTTCAAAACCTGCCGCTTCAGGTTCCAGTCATTGCTGCTTTTCAACGACTGGTCGCTGCTACAACATTCCCTGCCATATTACGGCGTGTGGGTGCTTATGAGTACGATACGAGCGTTGAAGGATAAACTGAACTGCGTGCTTACCTCTCGTCACGTCACAGGTTTGTCAATTGTAATTCTGTTGACCAAGCGAGCTGGGCTGCTTCGATCGCTGTTTTACGGGAGATGAGTTGCAGGACCAAAGCAGGTCAGATTCAGAATGAAGTATGCAGATGTCGTTATTCCTATGACAGGTATCTACGCATCAGTCATGACACCAACCCATCTTCCCTACAGTTTGTGCCTCTTCTCGCCGCTGGCAACCTTCCTAAACTCCTCCTGTGGTGCACCACTGACGAACCGTTGCATACCGCCAATCACTTCTCTCACACCCTGAGCCTCTAAACTCTCGAGGTAGGGCCGTCTGATCAGTTCCTTGATCTGGATCAGACTCTCCTGGTTCAAGTGCTCGCCCAGTTTATCGTTCACTTCGGCCAGAACTTGTTTCAAGAACCCCTCACTGTCATTCTGGTCCTTGCCCGAGAACACTTTGTTCACAAACCCGCTCGCCACAAGCTCGTCGCATGGAATCCGGCGGGACATGATGAGTGCCTCGTTGGCCTTGGTCAAACCCATACGCTGGACGAGTCCGATCGACGCACCACCCTCGGTGACCAGACCCAACGACGAGAAGGGCGTTAACAGAAAGGTATGCGGCGTAGCGTAGATGAAGTCGCAGAAGCCCAGCAGTGCCGCGGACAAGCCTACGGTCGGGCCGTTGAGCGCACCGACCAGGATCTTGGGATGTGTGTAGAATGAGCGGGTGATGTCGAGGTTGTTGCTCACAAATCCTCGTAGGATATCACCTCTTGCTTCATCCTTGCTGACGTTTGGATCGCCGCCTGGTCTTGTGGTTGTGACGTTCGCGCCGGCTGAGAAAAATCGACCGTTGCCCGTGAGGACGGTCACGGTGACATCGGGGTCGTTTGCGATTTCGCGCAGCAGGCAGGAAACGCGGTAGTAGTAGGGTTGGGTCATGGCGTTGAGTTTCTTGGGCTGATTGAGCGTGATGATGGCCACGCGGCCTTCCTTACGGTAGAGGACAGCTTCTTCGGGAGACGCCATGTTGTCGATTGTATGGTAGGGTTGTAGGATGGACTCGGGCTCGTCAATGTTGACCTGGGCAGAGTGAAGGAAGTCGCACGGAGGAAGTTCAGGGCGGAATTCTCAGTGCTTCAAGGGTTAGACTAACTAGGTTGAATGGGATCCTCGGCTCGTCAGCCAGAGACTATCAGCTTTCGTATAGACGGCACAGTAATCATCAAATATGGCCATTGAGACTGCGGAGAACCACTGGCATTGACTTTCTGGGGGTGTCGGTTTGAGAGGTTGGGCCGAGGTTCATCGCTCTCCGGCCGTGCTTCCCAGGGCTCTGGCTAAAGGTAGGGAACCGAGACCAATCACTTTCAAGGGTTAGTTAGGCTTCGCAGCCTCGTCCTGAGGTGCGGCCTCATGGGCATGCGAAACTCGACCACGGAAGAGAAACATATGGACCGCACTAAGACGAGTTTGTGGATTGCAGGTTTTCGAACTCGAAATGGTCGAATGAATTATCTCTCGGCCATGCCAGTGACACTCGGTGCTGGTGGTCTGACTTCTGGTTTGCAGCCTCGCCTCGTGCCAAGCCCAATTCGATGAGCATCAGACTTCACAACCAAAGTTCCACATCATTGCCCGTACATCTACCGACTCTACACTCGCGCCATCACTCGTCGCCTTAGTTCAGACACACGACTACTTGAAAGTCCGTCCCGACGCTCGAGTGGACACAATCGCTGCGATGGTATACAACTACATCCTGCAGTCTCTCCGCGGGACAAACCTCGAAGTCTTTAAAGTATGTGCCGCCACTCGGGAGGCTACGCCCTACAACACCAAGTTTGCTAACACATCGCAGTTCGGCATGTACCTGGCCTTCCCAATTGGATACATGTACTACTTTGGCACGAATTTGGAGAATCGTTTCTCGGTACCAGGTTTCTGGCCGACGCAAGAACAAAGTCACAAGATCCCCTACGAGCGCGAAGAAATCAAGGCCGAAGTCGAGAGGATACAAGAACAGATGAAAGAGCGGGATATGGAGAGGCGGCGAAGAGCAGACGATGCATTGAGTACGGCGAAATTGGCATTTCAAAGACAGGGGGCGAAAGATGAGGCCGCAAGTAAAGCCTAAGTCCCGTGGTCTTGGTTATATGTAATGATGTAAAAGTTTGTGCTGCATGGCGACGGAGTTTGGGATGCCCTTCGGCGGGTTCAAGAGTTTGCATACTGTTCAGCATGTTACGGACTTCATGAATGAAGTTTATTGTATATCAGAAGTACTCCTGCCGCGGCGGTTGAAATACTATACAGAGATGCGCCAGGAATGATTAGATCAATGAAACAAGTCCACTCCAGCAGGCCGAGTGTCCTTTAAGTTCTCGAGAGAGTTCTTCCACCTTCATGACGGAAACAGAGATCCAAAGAGACCGGGTGTCGGCATGGCACGGCAATCTCTTCCCTGTAAACTCCCTCATCAAAGCTGTATTAATTATAGTCGTGCAACTTCCGCAATCAACGCCTCTGCAATGCATCCTTTTCGTACAAATCAACTCCGTGGGTCTTCTGTCACAATTCTCTCAAGGTGGTTCCAGCCGACTCAGCAATCGTTGGTGCCGTCGCAGCAACCGTCGTCCGCAATGCTGCTGCAGTAGATTTTAGGCCGGTCATATCCATGTTCTTGCTCCCTATCTCGGCGGTTGAATAGGCAAATTCGCCATGCAGGTAGTACCAGATCCGGTTGTAGATGATCGAGATATGGTTGGGGAGGTAAAGCCAGGCGGCGGTGACAAGAAGAGAAATCAGGATGAACAAAACCAAGTCTGTAGTCGCCGTTGGTTAGCCTTTCTTTCGCGCAATGATATCTGCGGGCTTTGATACGTACTGAAAATCAACTTCTCGGTCGAGGTCAGCATGTATAACGAGAATGTCACCTCATATTGGTATTTCTTAAGTTGAAACCACCGCACGAAGTCCTGAAAATAAGACGTTTGCTGTTTCTTGTTGACTTTGGCATGGTCGGGCATGTTGAGGGCAATGGTTCGCATAGGCATGAGGCCGATGGGACGGTGTTGGTAGGTAACGACAGTAGTATCGACGGTTGCTCTTTATTCCGTCGAATACGGGCAGGGAATTGCTCCGGAGGGTATCTTTGCGCGATATGAACGCCCACGAGAGTGACGGAGAAACGAACGACGAAAATGGTGAGTGTGGTGGTTGACGCGGGAAAATTGAAGTCGGAGTGGCCCTGTCTCCCTTTTTCGAGTTGCGATGGCGATCTCATCGGACCCTTGCGGATTGGTACCTTTTCCGACCAGTAATTAAGGTACTTAGGTACTCCATACTACGCGTGGTAGGGGGAGCATAAACGCGGCACGGAAACATCTTTTAACATCCTTGTCAAAATCTGTACATCTCACATATACTCTGTACACTCATCGATAACCAACACCTCATCAAAGTTAAGGTGATGGTTACTCTCCCTAACTTGTGACCACAATGTCAAGGTACTGCTCCATGCGGGCGAAACAGCAGACTTTGCGCCTCAGCTATACATTACTTCACTTTACCTCCACTCGATGTGCTGGAGTTCGTCATCGCCAGGACAGCATATTCGAGATCTAATCATTTGAGTGCTTGCTGATTAGGCTTACCGTCAGGAGACGCACCGTTAGCATAGATGATGAATAGATCAAAGTATAGGCATACCTCTGACCATGACAAGGAATGATCCTTCGGCCCGGAGCGGTTGTTCTTCAACCGAGTCATTAGCACCAAGTCCCAGTGGGACCTTTTGACAACATCCATTGCCAATAACTTGGGCGAGAACAGCAATGCCAGCTCATGAAAAATATGTCAATGTCTGCACAGCCTTGCCGAACGATCAATCTGGTTGAAAACATATCCGGCTGCTCCGGTAGTATATCATTTCTGATCGGACACCATCACAAACAGGAATCTTACCATGCTCCATGCACAAGTAGTGTTGCTGAAGTAGCCTCTACTTCAGCACCGTTCTTTACGCATTGCGGACAAGCTGTGCCACCTGGCTGATCAACTCAGCAATGCGGCACACTCAAGCCCTGCTTGTTGACAATCCGACCCAAGACGTAGAGGTAGGTATCTGGACCATGTGATGTTTGATGGCTGTTTTTGTGCCTCAAAGGCCCTTTGAACTGACAGGACATGGATAGGCTCAGGTTGGAAGACCAAAAAGAAAGGCAAAAACAATCAACAGCAGGGATTCGCTGGTTCTCACGAACCCAACTACTAACCTGCCGGCATGAGGCTTAAGTATGACTGAGCGAACGGGAAGTCCTGCATTGACTCATCCTATGGTCGATTGCGGCAGAAAATATGAGAACACATCTTATATACAATACATTGTGGTCACTTCAAGGACGAGCATCTCAAGGCGTTTCCGATCGATGGCAAATGACCGCGCAAGAAGCACCCTCTCTCTGCAGGACTGACATGAGTCAAGCACCATCGCTCGTGGATAGCCTCGAAGGACGGAAGACTGCCAGGATCACCAGAATCAAGCACAGTTCTTCTCCAAGCTTTATGCCAGGAAACAAATCTATCATAAAGACGATTCCAGCCGCACGCTATGCTTCATCTACGTCCCTTTTTCTTCATGGGCAGTATGTCTACGTCTAATCCATCCCTATCTATCACGCCTTTTCGTGTTGACGCCAACGACTCAAACCGCAATCCATCTATCCTCCTCTTCAAGCCTTCCCGTCACAGAATTGCACAACAGCCCACTTCCCACTCCAAGCCCACTTCCTCGCGCCCGAATCCCCTCCACCACCCTCCATCGCACGGATCTCCTCATCTTTCCCCTCGGGCAACCCAACCACAACATCAGCCTTACACGTCCTCAGCGCCAGCACTCTCAATCCCGACGACGGTCCTAGAGGCCCAATCGCAGTCGTGAAGGGCGTCGTCGCAGGCCACTCAGCCTAAAGCACACACAAAGATTAGCCTCATCCGGTCTCCAATTGCACTCTGACAGTAGGACTTACATCACCCGTCAACTTCCTATAATTCAAATCCCCCTTGAACACCACGAGTCCACTCTCCTTCAGATCGTCAAACAACTCCGGCGCAACGCTCGGCATCCGCCAGAAACTCCCCGCGTGCGTCCAGAATCTGTTCGGCCTCAAAATCAATTGTCCCTCGCCATGCAACTGACTCCAATCCTCGAACAAGAAGCGAACATTTTCCGCGTCTTCATCACTCAACACCTCGGTCTTCTTCTCATCACACTCGTCCTCACTTTTTGCTTGCTGATAAAAGGCTTTCGGATCCTGCATGGCCTCGAGCAATCCCGCAAAATCCCCCGGCACAACATCACTCACAAACCACGGAATACTTTTCGGGTGGAGAACCACCTCCGTCGCCAGACCCGTCGCCAAAAGATATCCAGCCAACACCAGATCAACAAACAATTCAAACCCGGCATTATCCAGCACAATATCAACCCTTCGACTCTCCTTCCCAGCCTTTTGCGCAGCATAAAGAACCCCAAATGCTCGTCCCAAATCATTGACAAGGATATTCTTCTCCGATTCTTTCCTCGCGTTCGAGCCCTGTAACTTCTGAATGTCCTCGTACGTCAGGGTCGTCAAGAGACTCAAATCCGTAGCATTTCCCCATAGACAAATCTCCGCCATTTCCACGAACAACAACCTCTCTGCCTCTTCAACTTCCTTGGCTGCCGGCTCCGCGCTGTTGGTGTCGTTGACAACAGTATGCGATTTCGAGTTGCGAATAGTGTCAATAATCCCTTTATACTTGGACGCCAACTCCACGACCGCCGGCCGCGACGACCGAAAGGTATCGATCTTCTGCCGGTCAAAGACATCGTACCCCTTCCAGAACCCCGTCTTGGCCATAGAAAACGCTGTAGCAATTCGTCGATAAAGGTAACACTCGCTGAACAACCACTGGACATCGTGCCATTTGGGCGGTCCTCTGGCTTCGAGCTCGGCGTTGTAACCCTTGACATCAGGCTGTCCGTCGTCCAAAACCGGGGTCAAGACGCGATTATGTTGGAGTTCGTACTTGAGGGTTGCGAGTTTCTCGATGATGGCTTTACCCTCGGCGATGACATCTTTGTCGGTATCCGCCGGTAAAGATGACACGGTACGTGATACATCGTCAATTGCTCCTGTGATGATCGACGGCCAGCGGTCGCGCGCGGATTTGTAGGCGAATGAGGTGGGATCGGAGGTTTTGTATGTTGGGGTTTTTGTGTCGTGTTCCATTTTTCTCTTAACGCCCGGGTCTTTCTCTAGTAGGTGACAATGGGATGGAAAAAAAAGAGGAAACAGCAAAAGCACAACGTCTTGTCTAATGTCCGCTTGAAACCAAATCACAATGAAAGCTGTATGGAGTACAGGAAGACAACTTTTCAAGGTTGAGCCAGCCTTGCACAAAACTGATATCATTGCTCGTGTACGGAGTAAGCCAAGCACCTAATAAAATCGGGCCGACTTCCCAACAAGGCTGCGCTTCCCTTTTGGGCGTTCGCTAAAATAGGAGGAGCACAAGTCTTTTGTGGAAAGACACACGTAGGCGTCACAGTATTCTTGATATCATATACTATCTAACACTCGAGTATATAAAAGGTCCACTTCATCCAAAATCCATCCTCAGCTCAATAGCAGGCTTCAATTCGACGTTCTCGTCTTCAGTATTGTCCTCCCTCTTTCCAATGCCAGTAGCCCTCAACAGACCTTCAAGATCAGATCGCTGCTCCTCACCCAGTAACCCCACTGTCGTCTTGAACGCCAGCTGATCCGCCGCTACAAGCTCAAGAAGTCTTACGGCACTTTCCCTTCGCACGGCCTCCGAGTTGGTGCCTGTCGGAACTTGTCTCGCACGAAGTAGCAGCACCGGCACCAGAATCGACATGGCTGCAAATCTTCCCATGCCGCCTATCGTCACCACAGACGCCACAAGTGCTTGAGTCAAGGGTGTCTTGACACTTTCGGGATCTTCCGCCTCGATATTGCAGACGAACGGAACAAGTCGTCCCCAGAGATTCCTGCCGATGTATTCCTCACAAGCCGTTTTAGGATGCGTCATGAGTAGTGATCGCATGCACCCTGCTGCGACCTTGGCAAGTCCCACATCCTGCAGGCAGTCCAGCAACTCCGCCATCGCTTTGTTGATGAGGTCGTCGTTGGCTGGAATGACGGAGCTTGCTGTCGTGATCAAAACTGTTATCGACAGCAAGGTATTCTTGGCGCAGACAATTGCATGCTCATTCTCTCGACGTTGAGCAATCACAAGTACAGCCAACATTCGCTGCAGGCAACCCCTGACCAACCTCGACGCAACATCATCAGTAGCAGATCGCGTGACGTCTTTCAGGAAAGCTTTGAAAACAGGCATGATGCGTGGTACGACTTCATCTTGACATACCCCTGTGGCGAGAATGGTACAGAAGCAGTGGAAAATGCATGCATGAAGGTCTGCACGGATGATGGAAGGAAAGACAGAGGCAACATCCACCAGCGCCTGGAAAGACAAGTGTACGAGAGAAACACCGTCTTCCCCGAGGCCGCGAAAGGCCGACCCTGGTGGATCTTCCAGTGTTGGGATCAGTCCTGTTAAGACCAAAATGATGATCCGTGTCAGTTCAAACAACTGCTCGATATCGTCTGAAAGTTTCTCGTCACGGTCTTGACTTTTAGCTGCCAGATGGTCCATTGACAAATTCCTGGCGATTTCGACGAGTACACTTTGCGTCTCCCTGGTGCTTGTAAGGGCCAGCCGACCCAGCGTATCCGTCGTCTCGTCAAAGACTGCTCCGTCGTAGATGGCATTACCGCAAACCTCTGGTGTCAGGATTTTCCTCAGCGCCTGCAGAATCGACAATGCTTGGGAAGGATCCTCTCGAGCTTGAGCCACCAATGCCTCGAAAGCCAGACCAAATAGGATGAAAAAGAAGGCAACGGGTTCTTCTCGAAAGCTCATATCTTTGCCTTGAAGAGTCGTCCCATTAGCTTGCCCATCGCCAGAAGATACGCGTTTGTTGTCAAGGGCGTCGAAGACGGAATCACTGTCTTTCTCGACCAAGACCGCAATGGCGTCCACAATACTGAGCCAGTTCCTCTGGTAGAACCTGAGACGAACTTCACGATTGAAGGAGGCGTACCGCTCATCTAAGTTTCCTCCGGCGATCTCACCTCCCAAGGTGTCTGAAATTTCGGGTTCGAAACGGAGGCCGGCGAATTCTTGAAGAGAGGTCAACCACAGCGGGGCAAGCTTTGGTATGAAAGGTTGTAGAATTTCGTCCAGGTAAGGTTGTTCATGACTAGCCAACTGCAATTGTGCCCAGCCCGAGAGAATGGCCATTTTAAGCATAGCCTGAGCGTTCGGACTGAGATTTTTGAGATCACCAATGGCAGCTTCTGGACTGGGTTGAGTGAGATTGTCCACGCCCACAGCGATAACCCTGAATATCCTGCCCATGCGCTCCGCATTCGTGACGATACCTGTCGCTACAAAAGTAGCGCACACACCAATGGCTTCGGCGGCCAATTCTGGTGACGAATCCGCTGCGAACGCTGGTGTCAAGGCGGAACTGATTTGCGCTTGATACTGCTCTAGCAGAGAAGCTTCAAGAAAGTCTGGGTCTGGTGTTTTGCCAAACAACTTCAAGATCTGATCGATGATTCTCAATCCCCAGATGCGAAGTTCGACAACATTCGCTGTCGATGCGGAGAAAGCCACGCGAATTACTTCAGCAATCTTGCCCTGCAGAACTTCTTCGGCGTGAATGACACGGTCAACTGACAGTGCCCCTTGAATAATGTCCATAGACTCGCTGAGCAGACGCATGGCAAAGTCTCGGGTCTGCCAGCGAAGAAACTCTTGACCTTCTGCAGCCGCTTCAGCAGTTTCACCCTGAGCAGCCGCAGCAGCAGCAGCGAAGCCTGCCACTTCTTCATCCGCCAAATCGGGCATGGCTGTTTTCGCAGTGGTAGCGGTCCTCGGTGGCTGCTGAGCCTTCGCCCTCGTCCGCGATAATATACTTTGACATTTTTCTATCCATTCGGAAGTGTCGTTGAGGATCGTCTGTTGCATCCAGTTCTCCAACATCGCCTGTACCGCTTGATTTTGGGGCCTTTCATCTAGTCGTGCCCACAGATCATCACCTAACTTGGAGGTTGCCACTCGGGCCACCTCGGAAGCATTTCTCTTCATCAATTCGCCAAGGCTCTTGATGGAGGCGGACTGCAGCAACTCTTCTTCGGATGAGAGGTTTGCTTGCAGGTCCAGAACATATTTGGCAAACTGGACATGCGCTGGTGCGTACATTGAGAGGTGGCGTAAACACTGGTAGCTTTCGTAACGCAATCGCGCCGATGCTTCTTTTTGTAGGTAGCCTATCAGGATCAGGATCAAGTTTCGCGCTTTTGAGACATCTTGCAGGTCAGGTCCCAAGACATTGATGATACTGTCGACACATTGAGCCAGTGCCCAAGGCGTAAAGAGTTCCAGCTCCAGATTTGACGTGGCCAAGGAGGCAGATTCTTCGTTGTGAGTGTCATTTGAGTAAAGCTGAGCAAGCAGACCCAAGGTGCTTGTCGCGTATGTCGAAAAAGCAAGCCCAGCTGATTCAGCAACTTGTATCAAGCCTTTGAGAGCCCAGAAATGTACCGTCGAGTGGCTGTCACTGCACAATGAGAGGAGCACTCCAACGATCGACCTCATGTGCAACCCAGCTGCCATTGCTCCCACTTCTGAGTGAATGTAACCAAGAGTAAGTGCACACCCAGCACGCGCACTAGGATCTCGGTTGGTCACTATCATGTCAATGAGAGATTTGACCTGCTTGTTGGTGAATTGTGTACCTGCAAGGTTACACAACCTGCCAATAGCACGAGCAGCGACATGTCGAAGAATCTGGTCCGTACTACACGCGTACTTTCCGAGAAGCTCCGCAACTACTTCGCTCAGGGCAGCAACGTGCAATTTCCCGGAGGCGTATGGACTTTCGTTATTTGCAACAGCAAGGGCACACAGAAGCGCCAGTGATGAATTGACTTGCATCGCAGCCTTTCTGCCAGGTTCACGCTGGAGCGGTTGAGAGACAGCAGTGATTAACTGCTCAACTGTACTTTCCTGTACTTGCGGAGATTGTAGCGGCAATGAGATAGCGAAGAGCTTGATGGCCAGGTCCACGCATGATGTTGCGGGCGAGCTCATTTCCGAGTCGTCTGGGTCGTTCCCTGATCTCAGCACCAAGACTGGATCATGCTCTATCCCAGGTAAAGCTGGACATTGTACCCATGTATCAGGGGGTGAAAGTTCCTGCTCGGGAGAGCCGTCGCGGTTCGTTTGGAGGTGGTTCTCGAACGGTAGGTACGTGTCAAAACTTTCTGCTACGCTGCTTACCCCGAAGCTCCAATTGTCACTAGTAGTCCACAGTCCCTCGAAGTTGCTTGCAGCTTTCGCCAAGGACGCCTCCAAGTTTTTCATGACTGGACGTTCGGGATCTGTGAAAGTTCGCATGGTCAAGCCCACCAAGTCGGCGTGAGAGACTACATCGGTCTGATCCAGATGCTTCAAGCTTGCCAACGCAGTGAAGCATTGAAGCACACGGCGTCGTAGTAGGATCGCAAAGTCTTGCAATTGAAGTGCCGGGACCAGCCGCTGTGAGATATCTTCTGCTTCTCGAGCGGCCGGGAGCTTGTCCAAGAAAAGAAGGGTATTATGCAGCATCGTGGTAATCCGCATGGAGCCGTCAGTAGTGACGAGGCCGCTGCAAGAGGAAAGGAACATGAGCAATGAACTGAGTGCGCATTCGCGGACATGAGAAAGGAAGCTCAGCTCCAGATGTCCTCTCCTAGTTGCGTTCTCGTGTGTCAGTGGCGGAGGCAGCGCGTTCCTCCACAAAAGCATAAGCTGGTTTAGATGCACTTTCACAAAGTTCGGTCCCAAGCTCATAAGTCCTCCAATTAATGTCCACGCGACTTGTACCTGCATAGCGGAAGAGCGCAATTCAGCAGCAGCGCTTGATTTTAGCAGATCCGTCGCAAAGGTGAATACTTTGGAATAGATCTGTATCGAACCGTACAGCGGCTTTTCACGGGCGCAGCTGATCATGACAGCAATACTCATAGCATAGCCGAGCGATTTGCGTTGAGGATGTTTCGCCTCCGACGACGGTTGAAACTCTTTTTGTAGTTGAGACATGGCGTGTTCAATGCCGCGTACAAGTTGGCTTGGACATCCGTGCACAAATGCCTTGAAACACTGCACTGCATGACTTTGAACAGTATGGCTTGGATGCTGGACGACTTGAAAAAGTGCTTCCCTACACGAGTCCTGAAGGACATTGGCCGCAGGACCCAGTCGCAAGAGCAGGTCGGTCAGGGTGGAGAGAGCTCCCGCAAGAATGCGTTTTGATGGTTCTCGTCGCTCCGGAATGACCTGCGGATAGTTCTTCAGAACGTCATTGACAAGAGAACGTGCTGCGTTGATTTGAGCATTTTCCGTAAGAAGACCGGTCACATCAGCAAGGAACCATTGAACCAGTTTCCTGGTCAACAGTAGTCTGTAACGGTTGATCGATATTGTAGCATGATCGAGAAGTTCGGTATACATGTGGACGGCGATAGAAGAGTACTTGTCTTCCAGAGTCTTGCGTGGCAGGAGGCGTAGGAGGAATTTGTAACACATTGCGATGCCAGCACGTGCCCGGTTCGTTGTAGAAGCTCTGCAATATTGGTTGGACAGCACCTTTAACATCTCATGCAGTGGCAACATCAATTGTAGCGAAGATTTCCCTGGCCCTGGTGTAGGAGAACCAGGACGTTCCTGTTCGCCTTCCTCATCCAGTTCTGCGCCCGGCTTTTTGGACTTTTTCGGTTTGCGAAGCACCGGCACGTCTGCATTGCCATCTGCGGAGAAGGCTTCCCTGAGGGCGCCGGCCAGTGCGGCAGCGGCAGCATGTCTGACTGCTGGGACTGTGTTGTCAATGGCCTTCCAGATGGTCGTTTTCAGATTATCGAAGTCGCTCGAGTTGTTGAAGTAGTTCGTCTCGCAGACCAGGCTGCGAAGACACAAGCACGCACAGCGCTGTACGAAGGCGGATTTCTCATTTGCCGCAGCACTTCGAGCTTGTTTCCATATGTCTCGAGCAACGCTTTCATCCAGGCTATTTTGAATACCAAGTACCACACCGCTGAGCGCTCTGAACACACAGCCACGGGCTCCTGTATGCGAGATCTTCAGCACTCTCAGCAAGCTGGCCACAACGAGTCCAGAGAGACTGATGGCGCTGTCACCAGCAGAGCGGAACACTGCACCCAGGCAGACCGTAGCAGCGTGTTTCGCGGACACATCCTTGTCACCCTTGCCAGCGTTCAGTATCGATACCAGGTCGTTAATCGTTTCGTAGAGGAGGCTGCGACTTCCCCGTCCGAACACGTCCGCGAGGATTCTGCCCAAGGTGTTGCGAATCACGCGAGATGGTATAGGAGCGCCCAACCCGACAATCTTGATGACCTCCTTTTTAATGGACTGCTGATACGCCGGCAGGCCCTCTGCGGACAATTGCTCGACATGTCTCTGCAAGTCGGAGACGAAGGTGAGCAAGAAGAGGTCTTGCTGTTCGGTCGGAAGGGCATGGAGTTTGGACACGTCTAATTCAGGGTTCGCCGTGCTCGTACTTGTGCCGTTGGTCGTGGGCGCAGGCTCAACAGCGGAGGTGGTGGACGCCATGAGGTTTGGAGAAGAGAGCGGACGTCCTTGACGGACGAATGCATTTGTATAACAGAGGTATTATAAACGCCAGGTGCAATGCAATAATCAATAGTCCATTTATTTACATGTCTGCTGGAAACAGCGTGTCACGGTCTCTCCAAATTGTATGAGGTTCCGCACACTTTTCGAAAATGGTTAGATCGACACATAGGAGATCATTTAGCAATTTAGCCGACTGGCTGAAAAGCGACTTCAAAGATGATGGGAGATGTCTTCTGCTGACAAGACAGAGGAATGGCAATGATATACTGTATTTGCTACCATCCAGCGAGAGTGCTATGCTATACTACAATGCCGAACTACTTCTTGAGGTACAGAGTCTGCGCATTGCAGAATGCTCTTAGACCGCCAACACCCCATTCATCTAGAAATGGTCAGCAAGCTGTATCATTACGGAAAGGTCAAGGGGGAACTTACATCCGACACCACTTTCTTTGTGACCACCGAATGGAGCATGAGCATCAAGCTCGAGATGGGTATTGACCCAGACGCTTCCGGCATCCAGCTGGCGAGCAATGCGGGCGGCTTCATCCAGGTTACTCGACCACACCGAGGCCCCGAGACCCATCTTAGTGTTGTTTGCACGGGAAACGACATCGTCCTCATCAGACCAAGTCATCAGAGGAACAATAGGGCCGAATGGCTCCTCAGTGGCGATTCTAGAGTCGTCGGCCGGCTTGTCGATGATAGTTGGAGTGATGAAGTAGCCGGGCTTGTCCTCGTTCTTGCCACCAACAGCCACAGTCCAGTTCTCCTTCTCAATGTCGGAGAAGAAAGTCTTGACCTTCTCGTATTGCATCGAGTTCTGGATGGGTCCTAGGAACACTCCTTCCTCGTTACCCTCGCCAACCTTGAGAGTCTTGGTAAACTTGACCATGGCGTCTCGGAATTTTTCGTGAATGTCCTCGTGCACGTAGATACGCTTAATGGCCAAGCAGATCTGGCCAGAGTTGAGGAAAGCAAGGGTAGCAATCTAGGAGAAAGATCAGGAATAGAACGCAGATAGATCTCCCGGACATGGATTGCATACCTTTGGAGCAACCTCCTCAATGTTGACGTCCTTGCAAACGATCGCAGGGTCCTTGCCACCACTATAACGGGTAAGTTCAGAACATCGAAACAAGAATGGGATCTGCCTCACAGTTCGAGAGTGACTCTCTTTAGGGTCTTTGCACAGCTCTCCATGACCTTCTTACCAGTAAAGGTCGATCCAGTGAAGCTGACCTTGTCTGGACCAGGGTGCGCTGTGAGCCATGGGCCGAGATGGTCGTCGCCGCTCAGGACTTGGAGAACACCCGGTGGGAAGAATTGCTGGCCAAGCTCGCCCAGCTTCAGGTCACAGTAAGGTGTGAAAGGGGATGGTTTAATGATGATTGGGTTTCCAGTGAGCAACGAAGGGGCGATCTTGCCGCAGGCCAAGTGGACAGGGAAGTTCCATGGCACGATACCGACAGTCACGCCAAGAGGGGTGTATCGGACGATGACCTGCTTCTGGTCATCTTCCTCAACGACTTCCTCCTTCAGCTCGATCTTGGAGAGCTCCCTCAGCCAGGTGACACCAGTTTGGACTTCACCAGTGGCAAATTGGATCTTGAACGACGAATGTTAGTTTGCCTCGATACAGATCCGAGTCATGACACGCACTGGCTTTCCTTGCTCCTTGGTGAGCATTTTGGCGAAATCCTCAGCGTGTGCCTCAAGAGCGTCGGAAAAGGCGAGGATGGCCTTCTTTCGCTCCTCCCAGGGAACCTTGGACCAGGTCTTGAAAGCCTCCTTTGCGGCGGCTACAGCCTCATCGACATCCTTTTGCGTCGAAACAGGCACCTCTGGATTGGGTTTGCCTGTGGCGGGGTTGATACTATGTCGGGTCTTCTCAGTCGTGGTTGACTTCCCGTTGATGGTATTGTAGAAGCCATTGAAGAGATCCAGCTTCTTGGAGGTATCGATGGAACCCATTTTGTTCGATGTTCACGAGTTTTGATGGATTTTGGTGATTTACAGCGGATTGTGCGACGAGAAGATGGAATTAGAGGGGTCAAGAAGGAAACCGAGTCTAGTTCTCTTATCTTCTGAAGAGGACTGAGTTGGCCGGGTGGGGTGATGGGCCGTCTTGGTGGGCCATATTTCGAATGCGCCATGGGATTATGAAATAGAGAAGCGAAGAACCAATCAACAAGAACATACTCACCATGGCCACATGGGTTCCGAAGATACACGAGTAACAATATCAAGTCAGCGTGATCCGGAACCATCCAAGACCCCTATTACCGAGTCAGATGCAGCGACTCACGTCTCTCCAAGGCCCTCGGGTGCAGTGATTTGCATTTTCCCCCGCGATCACGATTCGCGACAACAGCCTTGGCTGACATGACAGAGACGGGTACCTAGGTAGGTAGTAGTCTCTCAAGACTTTGTGCCTCGGATGATTTCCGCATTCGTGTTTTGACACGGCCGCATGTTGAATCGTGGTGCTGTGCATTACTACCCGACCCATTGAAGACTCAAGAGACAGGAAAGACTGTCAGCATTGTAAGACTGAAATTTGTCATACAGCTGGCAGTCTCACCAGATTTCATGCGTGGGTATACCTGGAAGACACAAGCACTGGTCCGTACCTAGGTAGAGAAGCGCGGGAAGTGAATTCGAGCCGAATGTAGGTATGTTGGGCGCTCGCAGAAGAACCCAAATGAAGAAATACGAAGCGCATGATGATCAGTAATCTGTACAGAGCAATGTGTTTGCGACACTCTTAATTGGACAAATATAGCACATTGGGAAGAAAACTTCCTAGGGTCCAACGGCATCACAAGAGGCAGTGATAGCGCCTGTACCATCGGTACAGTCAAGCTCTCAGAACATCGCAATGAACCGTGTCACCTACCAGAATGCTCTCTGGACGATGGTGAGTAGCTGACACCAGACCTGCGAAAAGCCAAAAGCTGACAACAAGATATCTTGCCGCTCCGGAGGCCGGTCCGGTGCAAGATGCACTGGGTGAGATTTTGGTCTGTTTCGCAGTTTGTTGATTCCAGACTTCGGGTAATCTGAGTGCGTGTCCTGTCTACGTCAGTAGTCCGGGATGTGATGTGATCTTTGGATCGTCTGCTTGTGGAACGACGTCGTGAAGCGTCGCATTTCGTGACGACCATGCAACTCAAGGCTGATGGTAGCATCCAGCATTTGGGCGGCTGACCTAACGTGGGAGCCCTGTCCATGGAGTTGTTGTAAACAACTCGAAACACGCATCTGCGCTTAGCAACCGGCATGTGAGCTTACGACATGGAATAATTGGATCTCGAAAGAGGACTTTTGAAGCATGAAGAACGTCATTGATGGGGCAAAAACATGGCGTTTAGCAGAAATTCCATGTAAGCTGAGTGTGTTTGTATAATGTAAATTGTGTGTTTCAAGGAGTAAGCTATCCTGCCACTCAATCCCCGCTCTCTTCTTTGGCGGAGCTCTATCCAAAACAACCATGTTTGAAACAATATGGATTTCGATCGGTCTTCGCTTGATCCTGCTTGTGAGTTGACTCCTGCAGCGATTGGTCACATCATTCAATCCTTCATCTGAAGAGAGTGGACAGTGAGACGACCTCACTTTCTTTGGTAAAGGCCAATGACGTAGTTTGTTATACGCAATCCCCTCGCGAAAGGCCTATACTCTCCCGATGTTTCCAACACCTCTTCAAACGCAAGCATGTGCTCGCCCTGCTGAAGCCCGGGACTCTCCCCTGCAAACCTGAAACTCTGCCGACGAAAGCGGCGTCGTGGTCCCAATGTTTGCACAGGTTCGAGATGATGCAATCAAGCAACTCATCCATCGTGCTGCTTTCCTGCAACGCGCACATTGTGGTTCATGCTTTATACCAAAAAGCTCTTGCGGTTTCAGAGGGCTGCCGTCGCATCAAGCGGGAAGCGGCTTCGCCGAGCGGGAGCATCCCAAGTCAATATCCATTCAATATCGAGAAATCCTGAAATATGGCATGGCCGAGGGTCTTTGCTTGATCCATGTGCCTCTAGCGCTTGTGCGACGTGATTGTCGTTTACAAAAGGCCTGTCGCTGGTGAGATACCTCGTAAGAAGAAGCGTGACAAGCTCCTTTGTTAGGCCAATAATCCTGCCACGACACCGCGTCCCAGATCCTCTAATTCCATGCAGCCTGGGCGCGTATATGTTCCCTGGAGACATGACATGGTTCATTCTGAGAAAGATTCCTTGAATGTTTTATGACTTCATCCGTTACTTTTTCATCGTGATCATTTTGGCACGACTTCCATGCTGAGTGAGGGAACGTAGAGCGTGACATTCGTCGAAGAATAAAGCGTTTCGGAACCGAACGCCATGTAGCCCAAGTAGTCACTCGTTGCAGGTCCTCCGATACCTGTCAATCCTTGTAGCAATGGCCCAAAGTCCGTGTCGATGTTTTGGACGGTGCCGGTTGCGACCCAGGTCAAGACTTTCTGTGACAGCGAGTTCGTGCCGTAGTAGAGGGAGAACGTTGTACCATTGATGTCTGCGGTTTTTACTGCTCCATCGGCAAGACCAATAGGTTGAGTTGCGGCACCGAAGTCTGCCAACCAGATCATGACTTCGTACTTGGCGTCAACAGTGCTGGTGGCGGCATTTGGATCCGAGTCGATAAACATATCGATTGCAACATTGGCATTGAGGCCTGCAGCTGTCAATGCAGTAACATCGGTAGTAGTTGGTAGTGTTTCACCAGCGCCGTAGGCCCATTCAGCTGCGAAGTTGACGGCGCTTACACTGTTGATCTCAATGGGAAAGATATCGCTACGGTCAATCTGAATGTTGGGGAAAGCGTGGACAGGTTGATCATCGGATCCTTGAGGATATTGCCAGGTGATGGACCAAGCTGGGGCGGTAATATTCGTTGGGTAGGAACCATTGGCATTCGTGGTTACCTATTCAAGTTGTCAGTCATGACTCCAGCATACCCGGTGCACACCTGACTTACATTCATACACAGTGCACTACCTGTAGTATCCTCAGTAACACCCCATTGATTGGGATTCACTACAGAATTGAGTCAGTTTTCGATTCACGTGATTGATGATTTGTCAGATGTATCTTGGGGGTGGCAGGGGGGAGGCTTTTCGCTAGAGCAAGCCAAAGGAGAAAGACAGATGCCAAATGCGCCCCCCCCCTCAGGAAATGCAGGACATCCATGCAGCAGAAGCTTTGCCACGCACAGATCAGTCCGGAAAACGACTAGTTCAGGAACGCCGGAAAAACCTGGCCACAGAACGCCGTGTTGCGTGACAGGGCCTGGATGGTGCCGGGCACACGGCGAAAGCCATGATCTTGGGAAGTGAGACTCACAGGTGTATTGCTGGCCACCAGTGGCGGGTGTGATACCAAAGGCCAATTGGCAATATGTGTTGGTCTCGACTTTGTTGCTCGTGAAAGGTCCGGACAACCCTTGGGATTCTCGGTATGTTTGCAGTCCCAAGAGTACGCCGATGGTTACCGCTGCTGGCAAGATAAGGAAACCATAACTGATAAGGGATTTGAGGCCCATGATTGTTGCAAAGACCCAAAAGCAGCTGGCGCGCTGAAAAGTATGTGAGGAGGGTGATCCCAATACACTGAGAAAGAGGACACAAAAGGCCGACAACGAAGATGGACAATCGAGCAAGCGACGAGAGGTCGGATTTGAGAAAACAACGTTAGGCTTGGCCGGTGCTTAGATCCTTTATGAAAGTCCCAGGGCGCGTCAAGGACAGAGGAGGTGAGATAACGGAGACGAGTTGGAGGGAGGAATGGTTTGGTGAATCTTCAATCAGGCGATGATGGAGGAGATGATTTCCAGCACTGGGGGAAACTCTGCTAGGCTGGAGGTGGTCGGTCAATAATGTCTGTGTTGCAATTTTGACAAGGGGATGAAGACTTGTCTCGGACCAGGGACTCGGAGTGAAGAATGGACAAGTTGGAAAGGCAGGAATTGCGACGCAAGCAAGATGGTCAGCCTGATGGAGACCTTGGTGTGGGAGTTGTTTTGGGAACGAGATTATCCGGCGGGAGTTGAGCGGACATTCTTCAACTGTTTACAAGAGGGTGGCATGGTGGCGTCGGCCCAGTGAAAATCTTGCGGCGGTACTAAACCATTTGGATCCTTAGCAGGGCCCAACGCAACGAATTGTTGGCCTGCATCTCGCCTATCAATGCCGATAGCCTTGCTGCCATCCCTGCCGGCAGACGTTTGACCTGCGCCGGAAACCAAATTTTACGCTGGTGGACCACGCAATTCCACCCGTTTGCCCACTAGAGTCCACACCACAGCCCACTGATTGCCCCCCGATATCTCTATATCCCTGTCCCTGAACGTCATTGTTCTTTTTTCATCCTCGCTCCCCTGGTTGCTCCTTATCGCGAAAATTCTGTTACTGGCCTATTGGGTGGTCGGCTGTCGTCTGTCTGGCCGTCCAGCCGCTGACTCGCTGGCTGAGTACTAGGGTACTCCCTCACTGCCACGAAAATGGAGAGTTCACTACGGCATGTCGCCCCCTGGCCACCTCCGTCTCGCCGTTCAACCCCTTCTCCCTGGCAATGGCAATACGATACAACGTACGATAGTGGCTCCAACCTCTCACATCAATGCCAGCCAGCAGAATTGTCTCTATGACGGTTGGCCAGCGACAAGTCCGTAGCTGGGTGACGCCGCTCTTCGTCTCAGAATACACATATTTCCTGCTTTACCAGTCTTCCCCAACCTGGCCAAAACACGAGATACATACTCATCGACCGATCATACCCGCCCGGATATAGTAAAACATCCATGTGTTATCTCGCAATGCGACTATGATATAATGCCGTCCAGGGCGGGAAGCGACTAAACAGAGTTCAGACCTGGAGACCTGGGAAAAAGCCTAGATAGTCGAAACTCCGTGCTGTACTGTACCTGTACGGAGCGTACCTCCCAGGTGCCCACAGCCCACTGCCCACAGACCGTTTACTACGCTACTTCTATACCCACCACCGATCCATCTTCCATCCAATCCCGGATCTCAAGGCCCCAAAATTTGAAACTCGTCTACTGCTGCCCTGGTTGCTGTCACATTTCACCCTCAAACCAATTTGCCTTCTTTTCCTCCTACCCATCGCCTTGTTTTCATCCTCTATACCGACTCGATACAGAGTATTTGGAGACCAGAACCTCTGCCTCCTCTACTCGTATCAACACTCTCGTTACAGAGACCTTCGCTTTGAACAGTCACCAACCACAAAGACCATAGAGTCAACGCGCCGGCACGCTTAAACTCTCGTTCAAGGTTGAAACATGAAGCACATGCCCAACTAATTTCACGCCTCCCGGACCACAACACGATCAAAGCAAACGAACATTCTTTGCATGAGCTCCAAAACACACCTGCCTCTCGTTCAACATGCCTCTCGTTCGTAAAAATGATCAAAGGCGACCTGCTCAGCTGCCTATGAGGGAGAACGCCATGTCGGCCTCTACCTCGAGCACGACTTTGTACGAGGCTGCTGACCCGTACCTGGAGAAACCTCCTTCAGCATACCCGCCATATCAAAACTACACAGAAGACGTACCTATACAGACCTTGTCACCCCGCGGACGACCTTCACCACCAGATTATCACAATCGAACTCTTTCCGAACTCATGACGGACACCTACCATGATGACCGATTGGAGCCTCCTACTCCCAATGGCCACTCGGCCTTCTCACCTCAAAGAGCACCTTCTTGGAACTCAGAAGCCAACACTCGAAGCAACTCGCCTTATCCCAGCTCCCCGTATGCCGCAGGCTCGCCATACGCTGCAAGCGCTCAGTTCAGTGCTCAATATGCCGCAGGCACACCATGGCGAAGTCAGGAAACACTCAGACCTCTCGTCCCCGATGCGCCTACACAGAATCTGCAACGGGATTGGGTCAAGAGCGGCTCCATTGCACAAATACAATCAAGAGATGACAAAGACTTCTTGTACGGTTGGAAGAAATGGTTGTTTCGATTTGTCGCACCCATACTCGCCATCGTTGCGCTCGCTCTCTACTGGTTGTATTTCGGGATGCGTATCACATTCGTTATCGACGCTCAGCGAAAGTATCACGCCCCATTTCCTCTAGCGTGGATCTTTATCGCCATTGAAATCAGTGTAGCAATCCCCATCTTCATGCAGACATTTTGGTCGCTGTTCATCATGAAGAAGAGACAGAGACCCAAGTTGCGGTTGCTCGGAACCGACGTTCCGACGGTCGACATTTTCATCACCTGTTGCGGTGAAGACGACGACGTTATTCTCGACACTGTCCGGGCAGCCTGCGACGTGGACTACCCTGCAGATCGTTTCCGAGTTCTGCTTCTGGACGACGGCAAGTCAGACAGCTTGAAGCAAGCAATTGAGGACATGCGTGAGACCTTTGCCAACACCTACTACATACGCCGACCCAAATTCCCAGGAGTTCCTCATCATTTCAAGGCTGGCAATCTAAACTATGGAATGGAAGCGGTACACAATTTGCCAGGAGGTGCCTCTGAGTACATGGCTGCATTGGATGCTGATATGATTCCGGAACAACATTGGTTGCGTGCCGTTCTTCCCCATCTTCTTTTGGACGAGAAGATGGCATTGGCCTGCCCTCCTCAACTATTCTACAACGTACCAAGGGGAGATCCTCTGTGTCAGAGTCTAGATTTCTTTGTTCACGTCTCTGAACCAGTCAAGGATGCTTTAGGTGTCGCTTGGTGTACTGGTTCTGGCTACGTGATTCGGAGAACTGCTATTGATCAAATCGGTGGCTTTCCCAGAGGATCATTGGCTGAAGATGTGGCTACTTCAACGCTTATGCTCGGCAAGGGCTGGAAAACAGCATACGTCCATGAACCCCTTCAATATGGCACCGTTCCTGAAGACTTTGGCAGTCATCTCAAACAGCGCACGAGATGGGCCATCGGCACCGTCGACACTTCATTCAAGCTCAAGTTTTGTCTTTTCGGCGATGCGGTCAAGCAAATGACCTTCGCTCAAAGAATGTCGAGCTTCATCTACGCCTTTTTGAGTTTGTTCAACATCTTCCTGATGCTGTCACTCTTTGCCATGCCTATTGTCCTCATCGCCAACAAGCCGCTGGTTGCCTATGCCAACGAGGAGCAACTTCGATGGCTCATCAGGACTTGTTTTGCCGTCACCATCATGAACCGACTTTGCGAGCTTGTTCTGTACATCCCAGCTGGATATGCTACGGGTCAGCGAGGTGCACGAGCACAACTCTGGATGGCGCCCTATATCGCGCTCACCATCATTCGGTCATTCGTTCTCCCAACCTGGCTTGGCGGTCAAACTCAGGCCTTCAAACCCACCGGCAGTCTGCAGTCAGCTCTAAATGAACGAAACGCGAAACTGCGAGCACCAATGTATCGGCGTCTTTGGACCATTTTGGTTAATTACCTGGCCCTCTTCCACGTCAGTTATGTTTACTTCATGATCGTCGCGGTCACCATCTCCACGTATCGGTGTTTCCTGCAGCATGGTCTCCGAGCTAAACTCATGTGTTTGCTCACTCACGCTTGGTAAGTTTCCTCCTCTACATTTGTCAGGACATTTCACTAACATATTTGCTTAGGTGGGTGCCACTGGCTTGGATCATCATCGTTTCTGCTTTCTGGATTCCTTTCACATACGCCGTCGACCCGCCGAACTGCCCAGACCGCGAAGACCTGCTTGACCGAGACCCGAAGACCGGAGTCGCACATCCGACCAAGGAGAGCAAGAAGATCGCCTTCCGCGGACAGACGCTCTGGTTCGAGATCGAATATACTTTTACCACCCTCTTCACCACGGCGGTGTTTGTTGCATCGTTTTTCTACTGAAAGAATAAAAAATGTCATTTACGACGAGACGACTTTGTCGCTTTTTTTTTGAGGCTTTCGGGCTTATCTGTATATATCGGAGGAGTGCTGGACGGGAATTGAACTGTTAATGGAGGGGAGATTGTAACTTTTGTACAGCATTGTTACAATGGGGCCTGAATCACGTTGGCAATACAACTATGGGAAAGGGCGACAATCATGAAATAAAGTGTCGGGAGTCGCTCGGTATACGGACGAGAAGGGAAGAAGTCCCATCCTTTTGGGGGACTCAATTGCATAAAGATACCAAAGCTGTATCAAGGAAGTTTTGGAGCCAGCTGGCATTCAGCAGGAACAACTAATGTCCATATACCATATAAACCATATATACAATTGAGAATTGTGTTACACAAACACATCAAAACATTCTTCAGGGCCTTTCGTATCCACTGCAACAGTTCGGAGCATGGCTTAGAAGCTTCTTCTTGCTGCTGGTGAGGCTGGCAACCTTCGATCATTCAAGTTCAGTCAATGTCCTGGGTTTGTTACATTGACGGGCCAATCTCCCGAAGGTGGTCATACAGTATGCTCATTGACTACTTACGCCCGTTTAGTAGCAGGGAAGCTACTCGTACATGATGGTCAGACGAATGACTAAGTGCGAAGGACTATGATGCCCAAGAACTGACCATGATTGCCCCCAATCCTAGTTCAGTAAGTCCATGGCTGTGGTCAAGACTCAATACTTCAGCCTTTGCAGCGAAGCGTTGGTCCTTCCTCCAATACTCAGACAGAGCAGCTCCTCATTCAGTGTGATGATAACCTTGATCGTTCTCTTCGTTGGTGCGTCATAATGGCATGTTTGATGCGGCGCCTGCTCGAGGACTTTGCGTGCAGACTGGGTTGCAAGAAGTGTCTGGGTATGCCACCGTCCAAGGCAAGCTCACTATATGGTGTCTTGCTTCATGAGTCCAACGTGCCTAAGCCAACTCCATACACCCTGCACAATCTCCCTTACAGCTGACCGAACCGCAAACCTGGCTGGTCAGTGGCTGCGCCCCACTCAGCTCGCCTCGGCCTTCGATACAGGTCCGCTCAAACGGTGTTTTCGCAAATGGTATTGATCTTATGATGTTATACACGCTGTGCAGTACAACGCCATCTCGACCCCAGGTGAATCCCTAGTAAAGGTTAGCCTAAGATCTCCTGACATACTGTGCTGAGCTTACCACCCTCGCAATGCGTTTGGCCAACTTATGTGGGCGCCCAGATTGGGATGGTTCAAATGTGCCGAGCAAGCAGATGAAAGTGATCTTGATATTGTTCTTGTAGACTGCATCAGAGAACGTAGAGGAAGTGAAGAAATTACTGCACTCAGCCTTGGGCCAGGGCTGCCAGCCTTGCCAAGACAAAGTGAACAGCATCGTGCAAGCAACAAACAGTACGATCGTTGGGAGGGTGAACTCGAAAGGTCCCTCCAGCCAGAGAAGCTGGGGGCAATGCCCAGACTTGGAGAAAAGGTCTTCAATTTCTCATCGTCACTCACATTAGATACGGGTCGAGAGCCTATGGACAAACTTCATAGCTTGGCTTGCAAGCCGGCACCACCGGCATTGTTGCTCACAAACGAGTCATCGAGTTCCTCCCACTCACTGAGGACCGTCTTCCTGCCCTGTACAAAGGGACCAGTACCCTTACTGCAGGTTGTCATCAGTTCAGTCCAACAAGAGACAATTCGAAAGAGCCCAACTTACAACATAGCCTTGAACTGTTCGGTCTTTCCGTGGACGCCCAAGGCTCCTAGATCCTTGTATCTCTCGAAGAGCAGAACTTCGTTAGGTGCGTCAGGTCGTGTCATCACGCAATATGTGAGTGTCGTCGGCTCGTTGTCCTCAACCCAGTTACAGAAACTCCTGGAACAGACGTCAGAAGGTATGAGCGGCCTGGCAGAGGATCATAAAGCATACCCGAGGACTTCAACCAGCTTATCCCTCGCGCCTTCTGTTTCCTTGGAGACGAACTTGGCCAGCATCACGATCTTGGCTTTCGGCGTCTCCTTCGCGCCTTTTCTTGCCACGAACCCGGCAGTTGGGTACCAGACGGTCCGGTCCTCCTTTTCGATGAGGGGACTCTTCAGCTTGAAGTACTGTCCTGCTTGTTCGACTGCTTTGGGACTGGAAAATGTCTGTACAACCCCGACTAATGTGTCCTTTTCGTCGGAAGGAACCATGCCCAGGTTGGCTTTGGGTCTGGTGGCCGGTTGAAAATAAGTGTATGCAAGACATTCCATTTCCGGCAGCCGGAAGAAGGAGGCTTGAGATACCAGTGCATGGACGGCCTAGCATTCGGTTAGCGTGGCTCTGGGAAACGAGCACCGGGATTGGCAGTGCGAGTGAATTCTTGGAGCAGTTCAGCAAGTCTGAGACTATGAACGCGCAGGGTTCCTAGTCCAAGGAGAACGCAGACGCCTTACCTCCTTCTTCGCCTCGACAGACTTCGGGTGCAACAGCGTCACTGACGCCGCCTTGTGATTTTCCGCGCCCATGTTGGAAGTGTGCTTGGTTTTCTTGATGTACACCCTGAGTATCGTTATGTCTAGGCGGATGCGCGGATCGGCGGCCTTTGTGCAAGAAGCTCTAGATTTAATCACGTCTCTTATTCACAAGCTCTGGGTGATGGAGGAGTCGACAACCAATTCATCACGGAGATGCTTTGATTGAATCTCTCCGCGATCTGATTAGTAGGCTAGGTGATGCGAGCCTCGACGAAGTCAGTAAGATGACCCCTCGAAATGCCTCGGCACTTGAAGGTCGGGCATTAGCGAATCAGCGGTAAGACCCCTAATGTAAGAAACCTAACCAGCCTGGGCGGACGCCGGACCATCATCAATACCAAGGCAGACTACCTCAATCGTCTTCATTCGATACACCTCACAGACCGGTCGAGGCTTACCAGAATGTCTACCAGGAATGGAAATAGGCCCGGAAGCCAGTGAACTTTGGCCACTTCCTCCATGAACACCCTGCCGCCATGATTCTGAAAGGCACAAAGGAGACTCGGCAGCCCGGAAAAAGAAATTCGTGCCTGTCAGCTAGGTAAAACAACAATGCCTGATCCACGTTTGGGTCACTAGGTAGGTCTGCCACTGTATCTGCCTCGTTCGGTACACTCGTCGGTATGTGTCCCAGTCTGGATTTCCACGAAAGTCACACGTGATGCCTTGCTCGACCATCACTTGCATATGAACCCCGGCAGCCTGCAGTAGTCAACTAGCCTGACCCGGATAGCGGTATCTGGTGAAAGGCGGGGAAATGCCGTCCCACGGTCGTTCATAACATTCTAACCGACCAGAACTACATGAGATGGTACGAGGCACTTTTCAAATACCCTCTCAAACAAGGCGTGCTTCACAAGCCCATCCGCTCCAGATCCTCGTCTTCGGCAATAGAAACGTACCGCCATCATGCCCACCAACGACCTCATTACTAAGCACACAACATCTTCAAACGGCACTCCCCTCCGGGACACAACCACCTTCATCACAGGCCACAGTTCCGAGGCAGAAGCCGTGTACCACAGTGTCGTGCCCGCCTCATGGCAAAAGATCAGAGAAACAAACCACTTCAACGTCATTTACACCACCTCCGAGTTTCCCGTGAGCATGGACGACGACAAGGATATCGACGCCCACGACAAGGTAATGTCCTCGGGGTCATTGGGCCTCGTCCGACCCAACGGCACGGTTTGCCGGACTGTGGATTTCGCGCCGGACGGGGAAGCACTCATGCATCGCACCAAGAGTCTGGACTATGGGATCGTTGTCGAAGGTGAGATCGAATGCCACTTGGACTCAGGAGAAGTGAAGACCATGAAGAGGGGTGATGTTGCCGTCCAAAGGGGCACGATGCACGCTTGGAAGAACGCTAGTAAGACCGAGTGGGCGAGAATGGTGTTCGTCTTGCAGGATAGTCAGCCTCTTAGCGTTGGCGGGAAGGTTCTTAAGGAGGAGCTGGGGCACGCTGAGGGTGCTATACCTGCTAGTGGAAATGATCAGTAGACTCTTAAGGCGTCGATGATTTGGATAACGGAGGCTTTAAATCTAGGAGGGTGTATTCAATAAGTCCATTCAAGAGCAAACTTGAAGCTGGAGATCATCTGCTGTCCAACCTTCAAGTTCGGAGATAGTGACTTGATAATCGAATTCAGGTTTGTTCGATTTGATCGTACATTTGCTTGTGTCCATTGCGGCACTTGTCCTGTGTCCTCTTCAATATGCCTCTTGTTCCGTGCCAATACCGATCCCAATACTCTTCACAATTCATATTCCAGTTGATGCATTTGCAAGTTGTGTGTCACACACGTAAAGCCATTGTTCGGAGGCACCTTCCAAGGTGTATGTGCCGTACCGACACTCCAATGTCCTTTTGATATCCTGTGGTCAACCAAAACAATCGTCCCACCACTAGATCTCTGCAGGATCGAAGAACCTCGATTCCAACGGCCTATTAGCCGGCCATACCTGCCGGTACTTCTCCAATTGCGCATGGAATTTTCGAACCCAAAATCCTTGGTCGGGGTACATTGATTTCCACGCACTGTGCTTGCCCAGCACGTACAACCCACATTTGGCTCTTGAGAAGAGCACATTCAGTCGTTGCTTTTGCAGAAAGCCAGCCCTAGCGACCGCACAGGGGTCGATAATCACAACATCAAACTCGGCGCCTTGCCGCTTGTCGATCTTATCCACTACAATTGAATCAGCTTGAGGATACTCCTCACACATAAGTGCTTTCGCCATCTGAAGGTGCTCGTATTCGGCATGGTAGGGCGTCAAGACGGCAATTGTACAGGGCGTGGTAGTGCCGAAGCCTGCAGCGAGGAGGCCTTCAACAATATACAGAGCAGCAATGGTGTATGCCGTACAGTACTTCGAACCACTTTGTCTCGTCTCTTCCTTCGCGGGGGGAATGTCGTAGAATATCACGGGTGTAGCTTGGCCATGCTTGACCATATTGTGCATGACGATTTTCTGCGCAAGCGGACGCCGACTCAGAGACGTGCTCTCATGGTTAGAGAGTCTTCCATCGTACACCGCGTTATTGCAGATAGCGGCGATTTCTGGCAGAGCTCGGTGCTGGACCGTGAAAAACGCCGTCCTGAAGCCTGCAGTCTGGAGACGTTCCTGGAACGAAAGCTCCAGTTGGGCGGCGAAAGGATTCTCCAATAATGCTCCTCGTTGATCACGTCTGGTCTTTGGCGCATCGCTTGATTCAAGAACTGGCGGCAGCTGATCCTTGTCGCCGACCATGATCTTGCCAATGATGTTCGGATAGAAAGCTAGGAGGGGCCACCATTCATACTCAACTACACGGGCAGCCTCATCGACAACCAGGAGCTCGGCTTCTGCATAAGAGCTGCAAAGCACAGATTGGCCGGCTCCCGCCACGGTTGCACAGACTGCTGTAGCGTGGCTGATGACGTGACTCATCAATCTGCTCATTTCGGTTTGGAATTGTCTGGTCGATCGTATCGAACTTTGTCGAATCGAATGGTAGTACAACAGTCGGATTGTCGACCATTCATCGCCCACTTCGAACGGCCCAGGAATGAGTCCAGCGACTTGTAACATTCGGTGCCCAATGGAAAGCTGGAACACCTGAGCACGGATATCGCCCAACAAATCTTCAGCGTTGCGCGTAAAGTGCTGGAAGTAGTCTCGGTTGCTCTGAAGAATCTCTGGTGATGTCTCAATACTGGCAAGTGGTCCACGAGTGTTGCCAGTCTGTTCGATCTCCATCAGGACTCTGCTCCGAATGTCCATGACCGACAGAAAGATATTCTTCTCCGTTTCGATGCTATGTGCTCGGAGAACATAGCGATTGCGCAGGCTGCTATCCGTGCCAGGAAGGTTACTCATCTTTCGGTGCACGGCTTGGGCCAATGCGTCCGCTCCAGCGTTACCAGCAGACGTGAGTAATAAATGGTGTTGAACATGTGCATCTGTCAAAAAGGGTCGGATAGCCTCTACCACGAAGTGGGTCTTGCCGGTCCCTGGTCCTCCGTGGCATAAGACGAAGCCTCCAGGGGCCTTCCTTCCATTGACAACAGCTTCTTTTTGACTGTCGTTCAGGTTCATTTCTGTCTCCGGGTTTTGTGCACAGTCGCGGACCTTTGCGTAGATATCAAACGTCTCGATATTTGAAGGGTGTCTTGCCAGCAAAAGATCCAGAACTGCCTTGTCCATACCATCAAGACCTGGCTGGGTGAATCTCTTGTCCAAGACATCGAGGGCGAGACGGCTGCGTGCAAATGTACCGTCTTCGAGTATTGGGCGGACTGTTGCTTTCCAACTAGGCTTCGTCGCGATCAAGTCTCGACCTGCCTTACCTGAGGGAAGGGCATCACGTCGAATAATGGGCACCAAATGCTGACCGCAGAAGATCCGTGGGCATTCTTCCCCACGACGGAACATAGTTGCTGCCAATGAGTCTCGCGGTGAAAACGACACAGGCTGCGAGATGTGGATTTCCCACGCTTTCTCAGGTGGCTTGTCCTCATCGAGTGCACGTCGCTTATGCCCCAGGTCGTCCACGAAGACCAGTGTTGCCTTATCCCCGGGAGCAAGCTTCATATTCTGTGGTCCACAAAGGACCACATGAAATTTGCTCCGAGTACCAGGGATCTCGACAACACGCACTTGACATTTGTAAGTATTCATCTTAGTCTCGGCCAATTGCCGCTCGTACTCCATGCCCACCCCCAGTGTAAATGCATACTCCCTCCAGTCGAAGAATGCTACCTTTGCAGGGACACTAGTCTCAGGGGGCTCCACCGGCAAACACGGTATCTTCTCGAAGACTCTCTCCCATGGGCTCATGTGACCGGTCGACACCTCCTTCTCAAACGCGAGTAGCATGCCGTTGGATTGACGGCGTGCGTTACGATCATTGAGACAGAATGCGATGATCTTCTCGCGGCTGAGATATTCCTGGAGCGGCTGGAAGCAAGAGGCGCACCCTTCGACAAATAGCCCTTCTGCACACACGTGGCGAAGGTTGAATTCCAACAACGCAAGATAACAAGTGCTGTTTCGAGCCGGCTTATGTCCTACAACCCGTTGATACCAAGTTGAGTTGACTTTCTGTATCTTCAATCGCTCGCAGGCTTCGACCGGGAAATTAACCACGGCCCTCTCATCCGGCCTGGAGCCAGTCAGGGAAATCTTGACATGTGATTTGTGCTCGTTGGTAACGAAGGTAATCTTTACATCGATTCCTGGGAGGCGCAGGACCTTCAAATCGAGATATTCTTTGAACTCTTGTGGGCCATCGGTTTCCTGCAGAAAGGAACTGACCGAAAGGAGATGGACTCCTTGCGGCATGGCGACAGTGGAAGGATGACGACGGAGTGGCCCTCAGACAACATGCGCAGGGCAAGCCATTGGCCTCGGAGTGACCTGCAAAGTCAGTCAATTGTCGTGGAGCAGCAAGGCAGGAGTTAATTGATATCCCCAACCGTGTCAGGGCTGTTGCGCAGGCAATGTGTAATTTCCAATTTTGCCAACGATGAATGAGCCCTAATGAAACGTGACAAATGGAGAAGCGCAACAAGAGAGACAAGAGAGACAAGGCAACGGTATCCCGATGATGAACAATCAGCTCACAGCTTGCCCACAGCCCAGTCAATTTTGATCAAAGAGGAATGAAAGCACACAGAAAGTGTCGGAGGAAGATGATGTCGCAGCTGTGAAGGAGTATTGCTGTGTTGTGGGTAGACAGGTGAAGTAGAACAGAGCCCATCCTTGGCGATTTGGTGGTGAATACCATCTCATCATGGCAAGGCGCTCACCCTGTCCCTCTGTGGTTCCTGTTACTGTCCTCTTCTGGTCCATCACTTACTGTCTGGATGACTGGCGCTGGCTCGAGGGTAGTTGAAATCCTCTCGTAGGGCCAGCCTGAAGAAGCCATTATGCTGCCAGCGAATCGGTGCTCCCATGCCTGCAGTCGTCGCTCGCGAGCACGACATTGCTTACCACAATAGTGGAACACATTGCTTCTCACGCCATCGTGTTTACAGCGCCCTCGCAGTGTCCTACTCTGAAGCGACGCCGTACATGAACGAGGGTCATGTCCGCTATCCACGTTCCACGACCATGCCGCAGGCTATTTGACATGTCGACCTCTCTCAAAGCTGTCATTGATGTTGTCCTTGACATTGAGGAGGATCTTTTGGTCGCGGCAGTCGCTGTCACAATCCAACCTTCGGGTTTTCCCCAAGTACAGCAAGCTTGTCTGCGACATCGTTGCAGTAAAATGGAGCATCCTTCATTCTGTCGTCGACGTGAGCTCGAGAAGTGTATGTCGCCAACTTGGTTCACTGAGCTCTTCCAAAAGTCCGAGTTGTCGTCGTCATTGGATGGAGGGTTTGTTTCAAGTTGTCGACCCTCGGCTCCAAAAACAAGGTTCGCCAGCCTCGCGTACTAAAGATGATATCAGGGCAGAGCGTAGCGTATCGTATCTGCCCCCCACCAACACCCCAACCACATTGATTTCAGAGTCAATGCACAAGACCTCTGGAAAAGTAGAAAGGCAGGCTCGGAGCACGGTTCGCTTGACCTCACTTGCAGATTTCCACTCTTCGTCAGGTACCACGAACCGACCTCTTGTCTCGTGCTTGCACAGTTCACACAGCGACTCTTTTATCGCGCCAAACTCAGAAAGCGGGGTGTACAGTTCTCGACGTCGAACGTCGACACGCTTTCAGGAGTCATGACTGTCTTCTGAATCCGCAGTGGCCAAACCTTGCCCGAGAGAACAGACCATATACCGCTGTCACAACGGGCAGGAACAACGAAACTACGCTGATTGAAACCCGCTCAGCACATTGAATCATTGCATCACCCAACATGTCGCGAGACTTCATTCCAGACGCACTGGCACTTCCTCCAGCATGCCAACTACCTTCAGGCTCCGACGCTGACTCTGCAATATATCTTGCTTCTCCCACTCCTACCAGAGGCCATCAGCGCTCCCGCACTGCCACCGAGTTACCGCCTCTTTACAAGCGGACACAATCCACTTCGCCTACAAGATCTACTTTCCTGCCTTTCCTGCGTCCTCAAAGCGTTCGGTCTATATCCCCAGAACGGGTCTCCGTCTCCGTCTCAGAAGCATCAGACTTTGTACTGTCAAGCGTGCACTCAAGCACAAAGAAGAAAACGAGCAGTGCAGTCGAGAAATTGGCAAGCTGGTTTGATGGTTCTTCTGAACCTGTCAATATAACACTGGTGCCCTCCCCACGAAAGGAAAAGTTGGATCCTGTCTCCGAGCACGTCGCAATGGAAAACATCTTCTCAGCCAGTCAAGACTCGGTAGATAACCTGACCCGGCGGCCAAAGAGACCAAGTCTAGCAGCAGCACCAACATCAAAGTTCAACTTCTTTCGGAGGTCCACAATATCTCTGGCGCCTAACAACCTGGAAGTGGACGAATTGGCAAACCTGGACATCGACGAGGCTCTCTTCCCTCATGGTCATCCAGACGAGTCCTCACCGGCCTCTTTCAAGAACTTGCAGCAGAATGCTGAGGGTATAGTACGACGTTTCCAGCAAGCGTATACGGAGCAGCAAAAGGCTCTTAGGACAACTACTTCGGCCAAGAATGTCCAGACGGATGAACTCGAAGCAGCACAAACGAGGAATGAAACATCAAAACTGCAACTGGAAGAGATGGCAGAACGTGCGGCGGAGCAGGAGAAGACAATCATGGCTCTGAGAGCACAATTGACATCACAAGGCCCATCTCTACAGTCCTACCAAGCTCAACAACAAAGTGTCAGGATGGTACCACAAGAAGAGCCTCATGAGCCAGACACCTCTCGATCAAGGTATCGCAGGAAGCGCTCATCGGATGTGTCTACGTCTGGCGAGTCGGAATTGGGGTCGGATGTGAGCTCGGTGGTCAGCGTCTTCTCGGAAGCATTGTCAGTTGCGCCCTCTCAGACAATCTCGATCCCCAGTCCCGTTATGAAATCGAATACTTCTGCAGTCAGAGGCGATTGTCCTAACTGCCACGGCCTGAACGCTACGGACTCTTGGGACGTTGTCAACGTGATGAGACTGGAATCTTCGGCATTGAAGCAGCGCATCGCACAGCTTGAGAATGCCCAAGATGATGCTCTGGATTTCTTGAGCGGGCTGAAATTGTCTTGACTGGAAGCAACGACATTTATGGTTTTGTTGAATTGACTGAAGATACCCTATATTGCATTCATACCTAGCTAGCATTGTATTACAGGAGGCAGAGAACATGTCTTGTACATTTTGATACACGTTCAGTTCTCATTCCATCGACAGCCCTCGTACTCGTATCTCAGCTGCAAATGCACCCTGCGTCGACATTCCGCAGTCACCAGCCACCAGCCACCAGCCACTTTTCTAGGCGCCCCAGCCACCAAACGCGTTTTTGACGTGCATCCATCTTCCATCCAATCGTCCCATCGAGTTCACCCAGCTTCAGAGTCGTTTTCCAACAAGTCACCTTGCGTGATGCCGCAGCTCAGCCTACTTGATGGCAATCGCTTCGAACGTTGTTGCACTGACTGCAAACGAAGTATTTTGATGACTTTGGCCGTTTGAAGGCCCTGCTTGACGAGTGCTAACCATATTTCCTGCCTTTGCCCTCTGCCATCTCTCGTCTTTGAACCTGATGTCTTTCATAGTCTCCTGAATACACTGACCAGACAGCCACTTGCTGACGAGCATGCCCTTCAGTGGACGCACCCCCGAGGCCCTTCTTCCACGGTCTGACTCCAAGAATCCTGCTACAACGTGTCGAGGTATCACTTCCACTGGACGGCCTTGTCGAAGGGCTCTAGCAGCCTCACCGAAGAGTTCTCCCGCTCCATCACCTAGTCGAGGTGCCGGAGTGCTTGCAGTGTTGGATGATCAGCATGCCGCTGCTTTCTACTGCTGGCAACATAAAGATCAAGCCGAACAGCTAGCAGCGAGAGATCGTCACAAGACAAGCCTGCATCCTTTGAAAGAAAGGTCAAGCATTGATACTCTGGTCGAGCGAGTGGGAGTTTTGGATCTTGTTGAAAATATCACAGAGTCGAGACGACATCGCCGACGGCACCAAAATGACATTCACGGACATACCAGACGTGAAACCTTACCCGCTGGCTGGAATGAAATGCAGAGTCCATTGATGAGTGTGCCGGAGGAGGCGATTCACCCGCGGACTCGACAGAAACGCCGCAGTCCAAGCCCACGATCGAACGTCAAGTTCTCATGGGCTTGCTGTATTCAGACGGACAATGACGATCTGCCACCTCCAAGAGTACACAGCGACCACCGAAAGGAGTCTTACAGAACTCATCCGTCCAACGGCGTCCAGTTTCCATCTCCAAACTACGCAGGTATAGACCACCTAGCTAGACCCGAGATGAGGCAGAAGCACGACGGACCTTCGGCCCGAGTATCTGAGCCAGCATCAGTGACAAAGCGCCCGAGTCCGGCGCCGTTGTCCAGTAATTCTCAAACACAAACACTACTAGCGCTCATACCGCCTCATCTATCGCCTCAAACGGCGTCGCTGCTGCTTTCAGAGCTATCAAAACCATTGTCGCCCGCAGACGAGGCCGGCTACATATACATTTTCTGGCTCACACCCGAGAGCGAAGTCTCCAAGCCAGACGACGAGACAGCGTCATCCTTGCTCGATGATGATGACTTGTACGTGCCTCGCTCGCAGAGGACATCTCAGGCCCTGCAACGCTATTCTTCGGTTCGTCGTCCACGGAACCGAGGTTCGGCGCAAGAACAGCGCACAATAACACTCAAGATTGGCCGCGCAGCCAATGTCCACCGACGCATGTCTCAGTGGACCAAACAATGCGGTCAGAATATCACGCTGATCCGCTACTACCCCTACAACAAGACTGCGGAGAGCTCGGGTACAGAGACCACTCCGGCAAGGAAAGTCCCTCACGTGCATCGAGTAGAACGACTTGTCCACCTTGAACTGGCTGAAAAACGAGTGGTCAAGTCTGAATGTGCGGAATGCGGCCGTGAGCATAGAGAGTGGTTCGAGATCGAAGCTAGCAGAGCCGGCCTCAGAGCCGTCGACGAAGCTGTGCGCAGGTGGGTGGCTTGGGCAGAGCGACAGTAGAAAGGTGCTGGCGTTCAGGCCATATCACCCGATGATTGCTTCCCCGTCGTTCTAGTGCGACGCCAAATAATCTTCTGTGGCTGGTCTACAAGAGACTCCTTCTTGATCTCATCCATTCAAGTGGCTTAGAGCTTTGCCGCTTCGCATCCAGCACACAAAGCCCCCTACGAAATCTTAGGTGCTTGGGCAATCGCAAGAGCTTGCTGGACGCATGGCATGGTGCACCTTCGACTTGTATAGAGGGAACGCGTGGGCACCCATCCCTCTCACATCACCTCATTTGCAGCAAATGTGTCCACCAACGTGACACTCGCCAAAGGCACTTCGGCGTCCTTGGTGTGTACACGGTCTCTGCTGTTCGGCGCCTCCGTGCGTGCTTCGAAACTCTGTGCTCCATTTTTGGCGGATTGCTGAACCACCATCCAGGTCCACTGATTAGATAAAGCTGATCTGTACAGTGTCTACTGCGAGTTTGCAACTGTTAAGGTTCCCAATGTCACAAGCAAGGAAGATAAGATTAAGCCACAATGGCACATGCTGGCTCGGGAAAGATGGTGCAATTATGCGCAGTGTCTCATTAATCATTATCATCATACTGGTCGAACCGACATCGGTCAGAACTTCCCTTCGGCAATCGGCCAAGATTCCCACCGGATCTTGTCCACCTCGCTTGAAGCTCGGACCTCCACGACACTACTGGACGACGCTCACTTTCTGCTCGAAAGCTAGGAGACAACTTCACAGATCAAGGACTGAACGCCATCATTTTCTCCTAAGATACCAGCCCCCACGCTTCAGCGTTGTGGCTTACAGCAGATAGCTCAACAGCCTGTTCTAGCTTTCACTAAACACCAGGCTAGAACCTACGATACGTACGCAAAAGTTCCCTTGGCACAAAAGGTTTACACACTTTGAGGACTTGCTTAGTGGCCCACTCACATGGCTCAGATAGGGCTGAGGTTTACGAGCCCACATGGCTTGTGAGGCTGATGCCACTTCAAGCCTGGGCAGTACGAAGTTGGCACGGACAAGTCAATGAGGGTGGGCTCTGCGAAAAGGTGACGTGCTGAAGCCATTCGAACCGTCTACTGCACCATCGTGGATCACGGTTGATGTGATTCCTCTCAGAGAAGACGAACCTTTGGTAAAGCCGGGGACGAGATCCTTCGGCCGTACAGAGACTGTCCTCGATACGCATCGCGCGGTCCACCCTGTCTATCATGCGATAATTGGCTGTTTGGAGGCTGCAATGGCTTCACGCAATTTGGAATGTTGCTACCATGGTCAACTCCCGCACGCTCGACCTGCATCAGAACGCATAAGATACTTTGTCTACTTCTCGCTTACAGTGTTTCGTTCGCGAGCACGGAATATGTCAATGGATTGTCATACTGCATGTTTCGAAAATCATTGGCAGGACTCCCACACTATACCATGTACGGGCATTAGCAGGCGAAGCCTCACCGGTTTTGACCAGTATGGTATCGTGCCTGGCCTGGATCGAGTCCTTTTGTCTCTCACGTTTTCAAAGTTCTCAAGGTACGAGCTTTACTTGTACTCGGAAGTGGCATCCATTTTGTCCCCACACATACAACCTTTGTATCGACTTCTTCAGCGGACCGTTGACAGACCACCCAAGTCCAGTGGCTTTACCCTCCAGACCAGCTAGTGTCGCCAAAATACCATTGGCAACGATCTTAACCTACTACCATGATAGTACATCGCCCCTTAGCAGCGGGACCCCGAGGAGGCCTGAAAGCGAATCTAACGTGCCATCTCGGCTAAGTACCAAATAAAAATCCTTCAAATCTCGCGTCCTGCTCCATCGAGGACTCAGAAGCATTGATCTACCTTCTTCTCAGCGCAACATTCTACTTTGAGACATCGAACAACCAGCCTCACATCTCCAGCAATTGCCTACTGACGAGGACTTCTATATCACCATTCATCCCTGTCTCTCAGCATAACTGCCACCTCCCACGCACATACGTGCAACCTCCAGTCACCATGCAATTCTACAGCGTCTTGCTCACGTTCTTCGGCCTCGCGGCCGCTCAACAGATCTACATCGACCGCCTTCCCGAGTACAGCCTCCTCGATGCTTGTGCAGAGAACCCTCTCAGCACGGTGGTGCGAGACATGTACTCCGGATGCGGTGACGGCGGTGTCTACACCTCCTACTCGTGCTTCTGCACCGCCAGCTCCAGCTACATGGCCAGCGTGATCAGCACCGCCGTGCTCAGCTACTGTCCGGGATCAACCGCTGATGCCTTGAGTGCAACGGCAGTCTTCCACGAGTATTGCCAAGAAAATGCCACGGCCACAGCGTCTTCCACGACCAGCAGCGTGACCCCTGCGGTGACCAACTCGACTGTCTCATCATCCACAGCGTCCGCCGCGTCCTCGCCATCATCGGCAAGCAGCTCATCAAGCAGCTCGTCGAGCAGTGGCCTGTCTTCAGGAGCAAAGGCCGCCATTGGAGTGACGATCCCAGTCGTAGTCCTGGCCGTGCTTTTGGCCGTGTTTATCGTGATGAGAAGAAGGTCACATCAAAGGAAGCAGACCGACAAGCAGTTCCCAGAGGACGATGCACCTGCGTACGAGGAGCATTCATCAAGAGATACAAAGGATGCAATGGTGGAAGTACCCGGGTCGACGAAACATGCCTCGGAGATGCCAATCGGTAAAGAGCACAGTTACTATGTGCAGGAGTTGGGGGATCACGAGAAGAAGGTGCAGCCGGTTGAGTTGCAATAGGTCATACACGTTAGTCACCTTGTATACGAATAGTTTATGCTCTCACAGATAACAACATATCGAATTTACCCAGCACGATGCCTTTCTTTTGTCATGCGTTCAAAGCCTTGATCGAGTCAGCATGCGACCTTGACCAAAGGTCCCTCGTACGATGCCAAAAGTCCACACCATGACTCTGCCATAGCCCCCGGGCTACTCGACCAATCAGCGGAGCACGTTAAACACCGCTTGCTTGGCTCCTGCTGCAAGATCCCTTTCGTCGAGTTTGTCGGTTCGCTCTCTTCCTGCAAGGAACACGATTTGCTTCTCTTGGGCGCTGGAGCTCTTCAAAAATCTCTATCAAGGATCGAAACTCTTCGTCCATCCAAACGCTCTGCGATACCGTGAACAGCGCTGGCCGAATAAATTGACTAAGAATCCTTCACAATAAGGCTGGGCACTTGGGCTTGCCGAACGTTACATTCCGTGACCAGTGAATCGTCCCACCTTTTGGCGAGACAGGTTCATCCAGGTCTGTTGTCAAATTTTGGTCATTGACAAGTATTGTACACATTTCTGCGCTGTGTATGAGACATGGACTCACAATCCGTGCTGGCAACAATCACCGCTCGGACATCTACGTGTCCTAATTGTCGGGATGAAAGAAAAGATAAAAAGCATGAAAAGCGATCCTTCGATGAGATGCAAAGTTATGGAACAACATGTCATCGCTGCTACGTGATCCTTCAAGGAGTACAAGCGCTCCGGGAAAAGTTTGGGCACTCCACCAAAAATACTTGGAAGAGCCGTTCTCGGATCGATATTGGTCGTCTGAGGAAGGACTTGGTCGGTGTTCATTCTACCGATGAGACCGGCAGGCTTGACCTCAATGCCGTCTTCTATACCTGTCTCGACGACGCAAGTGAGAAGAATGCTTGGCCTCGTACGAAGTGGCACAGTAGGCCATGTGGACCATCTCCCGCAATATCTCTGCATTTCGCACAACAAGCGCTAGGCCATTGCACGGAGAACCACGATTGCCAGCCACGAGCGGGACCACTGCCAAAGCGTCTACTAGACGTACAGGACCCCTCAATTGGGGAGGATGTACTCAGGGTCGTTCAGTCAGAAAGGCTGCCGAATCCAGATACCGTTCACTATGTCGCGCTGAGTTATTGCTGGGGCAAAATTAGTAGATTCAAGGATGGCATGCTGAAACTAAGCAAAGAAGATCTTGCTGAGAAGGAACATGGACTCGACCTTGTTAGTTTACCCGCAGCCTTTCAAGACGCTGTAAAGACGACAAGAGGTCTCGGCTTGCGGTATTTGTGGATCGATGCCCTTTGCATTGCACAAGGCGATCCAGAAGAACGGAGCACAGAGCTTTTAAAGATGGCGAAAACATACTCCCGCGCGTTCGTGACCATTGCGGCTGATGCCTCATTGTCATGTGAGGAATCGTTCCTGGATACTCAAACATACCGCCGGTTGAGTGACGGTATTGAGGTGCCAGGTTCGTACGGCGGTCCAAGAATCTTCGTGCGTGTGGATGAACCAAGCCTCTACAGGAATTGCGACAGAATCGGCTTTCCATCGATTGAAAGCGTGATGGAAACGAGAGGATGGACCTTTCAAGAAGGTTTGCTCAGCAGACGTGTCTTGTCGTTCCGTCATATCCACATGCACTTTCGCTGTATGCAAAGTACACGAACCGAATATGGAAACTCATTCGGAGACTCCTCGGCCATCTACATTCCTCATGGGGAAAGGGAAATCACAGTGCCCTCTTGGGTCAATACCGTTCGGAAACGTGACACCACAGAGTCCTCATGGAGGGAAATGATGTGCTCTCCAAGCGCCTTGCCCTTGGGTGCTGACAAGCTTTTAGATCTATGGTATCAAGTTCTCCTCAGTTATACACCAAGAGAACTCACCAGAATTGACGATAGGCTCGAGGCAATTGCTGGGGTGGCGTCAGTTCTGAGATCCAGAGCTGCAGCAAATAACGATTATTTGGCTGGTCTATGGAAAGACTCCTTCGTCGAACAGCTGGACTGGATAAGAGATGGATTTCAGAGTGCGGGTGAAACCTATCAACATCTTGCAAAAGCCCCGTCGTGGTCATGGGGTTCGCTCACTGGGAAGATCCCAAACGAGTATCTTTCCGGAAGTCTTGACAAAGCCTATCACACAAAACTCGTCCAAAGTCCTTCGCGTTGCGACGATTTTGACGGGACGAGGTGTGGTCCTGCTGTGGTGGAAGGCCCACTCTCTGATGCTACCATCGACCTATCCTCGATAACCCCTGCGTATCTCAAATACTTTGTGAAACGTAGCCATTTCGAGCTCTTCTTGGACACGCCCTTGGAAGTTGTTCCATTCCCGTGTTCGTCTGGTGTGACATTGCGACGTTCTCGATTGGATGGAATCATTAGTAGGCACTGGAGTGGCGGGCAAGCACACATTTACCTTCTGAACATCTATACCGATAACGACAAAGCTTGTTTCCTGCTGTTGACCCAGAGCCCAGAAAACAAAGAGCAGTACTCGAGGATTGGGGTCTGGAAGCCACCCTTAATCGAGGGCATGTATCCTGTGGAAGCACTCCGTCATGACAATCAGAAGATCCCCCGGCAGTTCGTCGAAAAGCTGCCCGTAAGACGCATCTCGCTAATATGATATGGCTTGATAGTTATCAAACGAAAGATTCCCTGGGACGATCAATCCCACATCCAAAAGGCTGATGTGTGACGTCTGGATCTCCTTGATGTCGTACCCGCGATATGTCTCGGTCATCTCAAGTATCACGATCACGACAACACCTGTAGCAATGTATATCCACTACCAAGATGACATCCTCATTCTGCTCGCTCCATCACTTCTTCCCTTACGTCCTGACACACTCCTCGATACCGACGTCGGATGTGCATCGATAGTCAACAATCATCTCCGACTCCCAACCCTACTGCCCACCCTCCTACTCCCAACCGAAACCTGACTCACACTATCCTCCGGCCCAACTTCCCTGTCCGTGACATCCAACTTCGCAAGGTCCTTCTGCTTCGAGATCACCGACATACTATCTCGCTGCTTCTCCGCAAAATCTCGATCCTCCACTGCACCAGCCCCCCGAAGACGAACCGGCGTCAATTTTCCAATGATTGTCCTCGGCGCGGGCACCAAACCTGGTTTCTGGGTACGACCTGGCCTCGAGATAGCAGATACAAAGCTTCCGCTCCCGCCCTCGCTGCCCGCCCATGTGGCTGCTCGTGATGGTGGGAGAGGGTACTCGTTTGGTTGACGTGTCCCAACAGTCTTGACATGCTCATCACTTGTATTCCACCGAATCTGCGACTGGTGTCGTTCAGTGACATGATACACAGTCTTCGCCTCCTCGTCATCAAATGAGTCTCGCCTACTCTTTCGAGATGTATGACTCCCAGAACCGCCACTGGGCGCTCGAGACCTTGAACGTGAGCGTGTCCGCGACTCCGATCGGACAGGGTCAGGCTTATCATCGGCCTCAGATCCACCACCACCACTGATGCGAGACATAATGCGCGATACACTTCCTGACCTCGTGCGTGATTGGGACTGCGAGCGAGACTTCGCTGATGAGTGTGAGCGTTTCGACGCCTGCGTCTCCGCGCTGGTCAAAACCGTTGGAGCGCGGTAACTTGTTGGCGGTGCATCCATCTTCCCACTCACACCAGTTTTGGTGCTTTTCCTGGAATGCCGCGACGACGACGAGGCGTGTGATGGATCATCTTTGTCCTTGACCTTCGACGCAGGCCCTGTCCCAAATCCAGAGTCAATAACACTACTCCGTCTTCCATTCGCAGGACGTACTGTAGTCGTCGATCCAGAGCCAGAGCCAGAGCTAGACCGTGGTGCTGGTAAAGCGAGTTGTGTTGGCGGATCATTGTCTCTCAGTTCGATCACCCTTGACCGTGGCCCCTCACTTGGCGCATATGTATAACTTGACATCGCGGCAGCCGGTTCAATCGCACGATAGACTCGTCCGTCCGGTCCTTCGTAGTACGTCTTGACACCAGATCTGGTGGTAGAATATGAGTATGAGTACTCAGGGGCAGCAGGGCCACTTATACTGCGGCCCACAATCGAAGGGCGAGGTGCTGCTCCAGGTCCACCTCCAGCTAAGTGATTGTCTTGAGATTCTTTTGACCGATTACTGAATGCATAGTGCAACGCCGCTCCGGCTGCCACACCCAATATCGTGCCGACGATGGCGTCGCTTGTCCCGGTACTTGTCCCATACGCTGTACCTGAGTTGTTGCTTGGTGTTGCGGTGTTGTCGGACGCTGGTCGCGCACCGCCACTGCCACCGCCAACGTTGTTGACCAGATCGCGGGCGACATTGACGGCGTTGCGTGCTTCGGCCATGAGGCTGGTGAGGACGTCTCCTTCTTTCCCGCAATGTCCAGATACTGGTGCTGACGAACCGGCTGCTGCTGAATTAGGGGCAGCAGATCCGGATACCTGGGACAGAGCAGGAGCAGGAGCAGTCACACTGCGAACCACAGACGGTGCCTTGCCCGTCATAGTCGCCCTGCTCGCATTGCTCTTCACATGCGACATAACAGTCGGTGCAGCCTTAGCCCCAGAAACCACACTCCTTGTCTTGCTCGGCGTGATGGCCACTGACGGAGAAGGTGTCTTTTGCTGCGAGACCACACTCCCCCCTTCCACCTGCTGGCCTGGCCTACATACCGCCTCGATAGAATTCCCGTCAAAATCAATCACAGCAGCAGAATAGTACCCACTCGCATCGCGCTGGCACGGTTCGCCATGGATTTTCCCACCAGCCTTGAGCGCCGCGACGAAGAAATCGTGAACCTGTCCACGAGAGCTCGCTGGAAAAGCTACGTGTGCGGCGCCAGCGGGGACACCTGGGATTTCTTGAGTAATCCAGAAGTCGGCGACAGCATCTGGAGCAGATGGACCGAAACCGATGGTTTGGTCTTGTCGGGCTCGGAAGATGTAGTTTAAGGGTTGAAGGGCGGACAGAAAGAAGGAGGTTGATGTTGGGAGGTGGGAGACTGTCAGGGTTATGGAGGAGGGCATTTCTGCTCGAGGGTCGACCGCAGGCGTGTGATAGTAAGGGTTGCGATATGACCTTTTATGCTGGACGACTTGTATCTACCAATGCGTCAATTGTTGTGCTGGGTACGGTAGGAGGTCTTTTTCAATGCGTCTTCGTTGGTTGGATAGATATGCCTTCCCAATGAGACTATCGTTATGGTTCGAAAGATTTCGATGTCTCCTGGTATGGATGAATGTATACCTGTGTTTGTAGACGGCCGTGTAGCTGGGTCTCAGGTCATGCCTAGGTCATTCGACTCACAGTCTTAAAAATCGGGATACTGTGAAAGGTGAAGCCTTCCTATCGAAAATGGTGAGCTGGAAACGACAGGTAGGTCTCACGGAAGCCTAGATCATTGTCAGAAAAGAAACAAAGGTCACGGATCCTGGTATGCTGCTAGGCCACGACATTGATGACGGCAACAGGCTCGGTCCGCGCCTAAGCAATAAAGAGGCGAAACGAAGGATCAGCAGTGCTGTACTTGTCGGAGCTTTATTCGGCTCTGACCTGCGATCGATTTAGAAATGATTGTCAAGTGGCTCGGAAAAACGAAACGAGACGATAGTGCGGTAGATTTAGCCGTCAGGCACACCGGCAAAATGGGTACCTGCACGATGCCACCGAGACAGAAAGCGAAAGGCAACGACAAGGCGAAGATGGAGGCGTCCCAGGTTCACTAATGCAGTCGGCGCGCAGTGAGATGTAGTGCGTGGACAGACGAGAAAGACCAAAATCGTCGATGAGGCGTGAAGATCCTCCAAGTGTGCCGGGTGGCGGCGAGTAGGAGCACGCTTGGGGAAGAAACGGTCGATACAATGCCACGTTGGATCGACGAGAATGGTGCAGGTCCTGGAGAGGGAAGCCAGTCACAGATCTGGAAAATCTGCTGCGATGCTGATTGGCGTTCAACGACCAAAAAGCCTGCGTTGACACACCCAGATGCTCCGTGGTTGGTCCGTCGCGAATCGTTTGGGCGCAAATGCATAAAGAGACCCTAATACAAGTCAATTGTGGGCATTCCACGTAGTCTTGATCAATATTGATGGTATTCAAATTATTTTGTCAAATTGGACGACCCAACGTCAGAAAAGAAGCGGAGTACTGTGATACCTGTCCAGATCCGTATAACATTGACACGATCTACTTCGTGTCGCCAACTCATCTTCCCATAACCCGGGCCTCGTAATAGTCGCTTTTGGGAAGGCCAATCAACTCGACATTCTTTTTAGTTTTGCCCGGTAAAAGAGGCGAGACAGCAGGCACACAAGTGCCTGGAGCACGTCTCGGTCCATTGTCCACACCGGTTGCTAATAGACCCTCGATGCCGGTATGGTCTATCTATCATCGAACAATCATCAGTTGACGTGCAACTCTCCACACTTCGTATCCCATCACATCATGCTTTCCAATTCGGAGTAGGGCAGGTTGACTGCACCCACGAAAAATGTAGACGGAGTATTACGTCTTTTTGAGGCATGTTGAACCATGTTATGTCTTGTTGTGAAAACAAACGCCAGATCCAACGCCCCCAAAATGCACGAGTCGGACAGATTGCTGCAAGATGGCTTCCGATGTTATGATCTGAGCCCTTGCAGAATCGCCCGTAAATACGGTAAAATAACTGCGAAGAAAATCAGTATCATGCCATACCTTTTGGTGTCTTAGAGAATATTCCAGGAGTCTTCGTAGGCGTGGCAGAATTTGCTGCAAGTAACACTGGCGCTGAGACTGTAGTTGCTGATACTGATGGATTCGTCCTTGAATGCGTCGGCAAAATCGTCCTTTCCTTTGGCCATGGCACCAACGAAAACACAAATGCTTTCCTGGGACCCAAGCTTGTCGACATAATCTCGTACTCGCACGACATCGGCGTCGAAACTCAATGTGACCTTTCTGCAATTCGGCGGTAGATGATCTGTGATTGGGTTTTTGATGACCTTGAGCAGTTTTTCTTGCGAGTTTACTGATCGAATGGACAGTCGGTGTAGTAGTTGAACCATAAGACCGGCGAAACGCTTGAACGTTCTCGGAATTCGTACGGATGGGTTGACTTCGATTAGTACGCCTTTAGCGGTGTGGATGAATATTTGCAGCTTTCCGGCCTTGTTGATGGGAGAGTCGAGGAGGGTAAGTAGGCACTGGACGTTGAAGTCAGCTCGCCACTACAATGTCAGTGGGATATATAGCCACCTGGTGTGTGATGTCCGGGCGTGCGTCACTGATATCGCGACCCATCTTGCGCATGACGCCGATATGTTCGTCGCTGTTCAACAGCGAATACTTCTCTTCTTTGCCAGGTTTGCCGTTGTGGGCAGCGCGGTATGTCTCGAGGGAGGCATTCGATAACACCACGATCAATCGCTTTGTGTCCTTGTCGCTCGTCGGAATAGGATTGTGTTGTTCGGCCACGAGACGGGGGAGTTCTGGCGGAGGAAGGGACTGCGTTCTCTTTCTCTTCACACCCAGTGTGTTGGAGTCAGACATGATGGGATGTGGATGGGGTGGGGGATGGGTTGTTGTGTGTCGTGATCTCTAATACTAGTGGGAAATAACGATGGAAGAGGTCGACTCCGACGAGATCAATGAAGTACGGTGTGGTAATTTAGGTGAAACGAATGAGTTATGAGTATGTTGAAGGCCATGACAACGACTTCAGTGGGGAGTTTCGGTCAAGGACGAAAAATCTGCGATCGCGTGCCAAGGAACCCGATTGGTTCGGTGGGTCGGATAATTTTTCCCAGGCCAGCATCGCGAATCAGAGCGTATCAACACCATCAGCAGATCTTTATCTGAGACTCCTGCTTCACTCGTCCGGACATGAATCAATCCATTTGGTAGTCTTGACTATTGACGGAATATAGATCGTGACGGTCCTCCTCTTTCTCCCGTGCACCTATCCTAGTATACCTCACCGGCAGTGCGAACCGGCAGTTTGGTCACGATCTCAAGAGTTTTGTGAACCCCATATCCCCTGAAAAGAAGAGCCTTATGGGGCTCTGGGTTCTCAATGATCAGAACAAAAATGAAAAATGCCTCGCTAAATCCGAATCCGATGACGCCTTGTCGTGAGGCTCCATGAAAGTCAAGGAATACCTCCACCCTCAGTTGAAGTGGCTGATTAGACAATTCCTCATACTTCGATTCCTCCATGGGGCTTCGCGCTTCAGTCGCCATCCCCCATGTGCTCGTGAATAGACTGCATAAGACTCTCACTCAATGGTGAACAAGGCTGTATCAAGTCGCTCCCCAGCCGAGGCGGCTTATCCGGCCGCTTATTGAATGTCATGTCCGTGTCATATTCGCCCACCGAATCGCCATCCGTGTGTGTTGAAGGTTCAAAGTCGGCCACTTGTGGACTAGAAAAACTCGTATCATCCGCCATATCGGTGGCTGTGCCTATTGTCGATGGCGACACTTTGCGTAGTCCCGGTATCGAGTCCATTCGAGGTGGCGAAGCAGAAAGTTCACTGTCGTATTCTGGTCTTTCGTCCGCCGGGCTCAGAGCACGTTTGCGAGAACTTTGTGAGCTACTCTCACCGGCTTCCGCAACGACAGGTAATAAGGAAGCGCTTCTCGAGTCTTCAGCTGTTCTGAGAGTCCGTTCAGGCTTTTCATCTTCACTTTCGCTTCTTCCTTTCCCGGTTGGGGTCGATTTGTCGGTCTGCTTCTGTGCCTTTTGCATCGTTTTCTCTACGGCCGGGCTCATCTGATTTTCAGTGATCGACCCAGATCGGTAGGTGTCCCGTTGGCTCTCCATCGACAGTGCTGACGTCTGTACACCGGACCGTCGGCTTTCTTCAGTCCTTCGTCGCTCGGCTTCCTCCTGAGTCATGGTAACTCCAGTAATGAAGTTGAGAAAACGTTCGCCATATTGTTGTGGTGGAATGGCAGATATCTGTGTCCTTGACGCTGACATGCCTTTCCAGAAATGCTCAATTCTTTTGATCATCCCGTACTGTTTCGAGGGTTAGTTTTGAGAAATATGCCCGGTCGTGTTTCACTTACATGGGTAAGGCAATCAATAACGCCAAGGTAATATATCGACTCTCCTCCACGGCCATCTTCGTGAGTGGCCCTGATACCACCATCGTAGCTGTAGAATATGCGATCATGTCTTTCGTCGCCAGAAGCCATTTCTGATGGCATCTTTGCATGAACTTTGCCCATCGGCACAGGTCTCTCTTTCTTCAATGTCAATCTCAATTCTCGTGCCTTTTTGGCATTTTCCATTCGAGACGGCGTCCTGGTCAGCATCGAAGCACCATGACCATCTTCCACTTTCTCGCCACCAGGCTGGAAAACTTGTAGCGTGGTTTCACGGAGATTCTCTTCATTACCCTTGGTCATGTCGTGAATACCAACCAGCAACGAGTAGTCCATGATATGAAGCCTCTGAAGGAGAGCGACGTCCTTCCTCAATTGTTCCAGGAATATCTGTCGTATCCGCATATTAAACTCGAGATGAAGGTCCCTTCGGATCCAGTTCAGATCTTTAAGTGTCCCTCTTGGATTGTTAACCAGGTCTTCCTCCCTAAAGTCTCTGCCGACCGTGGAGCCTTTGAGATCGAACATGGTATGAATGTCTCGATGTGGTGGAAAGAGGTTGTTCATTACCACGAAATGCGTTTTTCGACCATAGGGTATCTTCACCCTGTGTAGCCCGTAGAATTGACTGATAAGTGTGTTGGGGTTATCCACCACATGCTGGTAATAGTCGCGAAGAATCTTTCTCAGAAGTTTGTGTTCGGAATGGTGAATCGTCTTGATGATGTATTTATAGTCGCGGGAAAAGTAGAAGAAAGATCCAGACTTGCCAGGACTGCCCAGCTCGGACAATATGTACTTACTCGTCAAACTCATCAGGTAGTCGCCCGGATCCAGACCAAAAATGCTGCGAAGATGTCGAAATACCCAGGGGGCGTAGTCCTTGAACTTGAAGTCGTATTTCGCACTCGGAGTCAATTCATTTCCGGTGATATCGAAACTGAATTTGTGCTTCGCGTCGAAATCGGCATCTGTCAATTGTCGATCCATCTTTGCGTTTGTTCTCGATACAGTAAATCGAATTCCGGTCAGCATGTTGTACGCTGCAACCCAATTGACATGACCTTCCTCGACTTTCTTTCCCACCATGACTCTATCATCGTCTTCTTCCTCTTCCTTCCTCTTCCGCCTGCTTGCTCTTTTCTGTTTGATCAACTCCGTCCACCGTACTGCGTCCTCATCCGGAGGTACATCGTCCGCATGACCCTCGGACAGCATCGACCGGGTCGTCCTACGAACAAGTCCGAGTGACGCCCTCCTGTGCCGCGGCACTGATGTATCGAAATGCTCCCGAGTCGGCGAGAAGCGCCCAGTGGTTGACAGAGCCTCTTCTGACGGACCTGCAGAGAAAGAGAAATCACGTGAATTTCGGCTGACTGCCAGATTCGATTTTGGTACTTGCAGCGTGTGACGGTGTGACAGTTTCGGTGGCTCGGACGGCCGCTCTGGGTCAGGATGACGGTCCTGTATCGATGCGCCCGGAGACATGGCTGGAGGAGAGGAAAAGCGAGCGAGCGCCGGAGCAGCTCCGCGAGGTGGTTGCAGAGATAGTGACTGTCCATCGGAGCGCGCAGTATCTGGCATGGTAGAAGCAGTTACCATGTGATAGGGGTCATAGTCGGGTTTGTTCGAGGGAAGATCGGTCTTCAGTTTGCCCAACTCGGGAGTATGTCCACCTGGTTGCGTAGGCACGCCATTACTTCGCTCGTCCGACACATGTTCTACACTAGACAGTCTGGTCATTCCATCGACAGGCAACGAGTTCTTGGACAGATGCCCGGAGTGTCTAGCAGTCGCACTGGCTATCGAATGAGTACTGCTGGCTTTTGACTGCGCCCTATCTCGTGTCGTCGCCTTGACGTTGCCATTGGGGAGGCCATTTGTGAGAGAACCATGACTGTTGTTCGCATGATGTCTGAACTGATCCAGCCTGCGCTCGGAGTATCCTGTTTCTACGTCGCCGCCGTTTGTGTATGTGAAGACGCCGCCTATTGTTTTGTCGTGGGATTTCCTTAGAGGGCCATCAATGGGGGAAACATTGGCTCCGTTCGGGACGAGGGAGGGGGGAGGATCGGTCGGCCCAGGCGGCATTTCAATCGCCCGGGGAGGAGTTTATTTGAGGAACGTAAAGGTTCGCATTGGTCTTTATGGTCACCGAGAGGCAGGATGATGTGAGGGCATTGTTCGGTGAGGTGATCGAGGTTGTTGGATGCGGAGTTAGAGGAACCGACAGTAAGCGTAGAGATGCAGCTCGGCTACAGAATGCGTGTCGCAAACATGTGCAGTGGTGATTATTATGGTATTGTGATTGTATACAAGGCTGTCATCGTCAATGTTGGTCGTTATCGAAGTCGCAGAAGGTTGCTGCTCGGTCCGCTAACACAAAGTCGGAGGAGTCAGCAAGCCAGCGCCCGAGCACAAGCCCAGAACCAGCCTCAGCCTAGCGACCCTCAAGGCCGCAAGTGCCAGTGGACAATGCCCGCCAAGCCAAGCCAATAGATTATCATCAACCCAACGCCTAATCTCTTCTCTTTTTCTCTTTCGCCAGCCTCCCAGGCGCCTCATCTCTATGATAGTACGTTTATGCACGCCCGGAACTACTTAATCTGGTTATCCCGGCTACCTTTGTATCGCATGGTGGTCTTATGGGAGCGCTTCTTCGCCTGCCCCTATCTTCTATCAGGCAAGCTCCTTTCGAAATCGAGGGTCTCGAAAAACGTGCCGTCTTACTTCTCACTTCACATGCAAACTGCGTCATGCCGTTAGGATCTGCCACGCCGTTGTGAGAATGCTCTGACAGGTGTGATTCTTTGACTGGGCTGACTCATCCAACGGCCCCGGAAAAGTCAAAAGAGAACATTGTAGACATGGAGATCGGCATCGTTCACTAGACACTGCACACGGCTCACTGACATCTCCCATGGCAGATAACAGCATCGCGCAATCATTCCCGGCAGGAAGCAGCTAGATCATGCACTTCAGTTACAGTATGCGGCTCCTAAGGTCGTCGCTTGCATCTGCTTGATCAAGGTACTTGTAGCATTGCATGACATTGCTATCCAGCGGTCAGGAACCTCCTTTGCAGTGGAAAATCCAGGACAGGCCATCTTCACTACCAGCACCAAGGCTCAGGAAATCAGCATCCTCACACCACGAGCGACCACTTCCGCCCCATCCCCGCCAGTCTCAGTTGACGAACGTCCATTCGAGCTCGTCAGATCGGCATTCGGATAGTACCAAGCCGTCACAGCAACGATAATATAGACAATCTGCATTGCAAAAGTCAGCTTCAGTACGTCCTGGAGCCGTCAGACATACCACTAGAAGTCCTCCTTCAAGGTAATTCGACGATCCATCTCTCAAGAAGTTGCCAACGACTAGAATGGCCAGCACAAGAAGAACGACCTGGAAGATCTCGAAATTCAGATCCATCGGTTTCCCCAGGCCCCAACCCACAACGACAACGAGAGGCGCATTGAACAGCGCGGTCTGTATTGACGGGCCCAGACAGTGATACAGTGCGAAATTCTAGGACGAGCTTAGTCAGTAAGACACCCAGCAACACCTCCAGACCAACTCACAATCTGATTATCATACGCCTCATCGATGGCCGTAAGATGTTCAGCAGCCTTCTCCACCAAAGGTACCAGGATCAAACCCAGGAAGTTCTCAGGCACCCCATTATCGACAACATACTCAATCTCCTCGACCAAAAACACGGCGATGAGCGAAATGACGGTCAGCGCAAAGATGATTGCCACAAAACACTCCGTCATAGTCAGTTTCGCTTTCTTCAGGTCCTTGTGCCTATCCCGATCAGCCTCCTCATCCGCCTCGAGAACTTCTGCAAAGATATTGTCGTGGGAAAAGCAATTGTACATGAGAAATAGAGCGAACGCGACCATGAGAAGAACGGAGACGCCATGACTGATGCTGAGCGTGTCACTGCGCAGTCTCGCCTCGGTATAGCCCTCGCCGCTGGTCACCGTGCTCCCGCTCAACGAGGAGAAAAATGCAGATGGGATCAATAACGCGAAGCCCGCAACAAGGAGCAGCCCGGACCCGACTTCGCTAATGTGGGCATGGAAGTTTTGCTCCTTGTGCTTGATGCCGCCCACCAGGAAACAGCACCCCAGACATAACAGCAGATTGGTGATGATGGACCCAAGAATGGCGGCTTGAATCACATTGATCTTGCTTCCGTTGCTGATGGTGCCGGACCCGTTGTCCTTGGCGATCAGTGTCATGAACAGGACGATCTCCACGACTGAGCCCAGCGTAGTTTCTATGATGATACCAGCCACTTTGGGCAGTTTTCTTGCGAACTCTTGACCGGCAAACCCCAATAGATTCGCGGCGGGGACCATGGCGATGTAGTTGACTGCAAACGTCCAGATGTGGTGGTCGCCGTGGACGAAATGTAGTGCAATCGCGGCCGGGACGAAAGGCCAGAGGATGTTGACCCAGCTTGAAAGTGTGCATGACGAGGCCCATATCACGTTGAAAAAATCGACCGGGTGGATGCCACGACGGCCACTTTCTCCGTCTGGATGAATGCCTCGTGTGATTTCGTGGCCATTGTGGTTGTATTGTGGTAGCGCTGGATTAGGCGAAGGAGAAGCGGAGGACGAGCCGGCGGCTTTTTCGACCACGCCAGTATTGGAGTCTGGACGGTTTTGTGCGGGTGCCTTTTCTTTTCTGTTGAATAGACCCATCGCTTCTGACTGAAAGTCACAAATGAATGAGTTCTCGAACTCTTACGAGTCGATTTGATGGAGTGGACCGTAAGTGCTCGGAAAAGAGGCAGGATCAAAGATCAGGAGCACTCGACTCAAGTCATGAAGCCTGAAACATCGCCTTACTGGAGGATTTCGTAGTGTAGAAAGATATGACAGCGGAGTGCGAATCAAACCCAAGGTACTTCACAGACAAAGTGTCTCTGTTAGAAGTGAAGGCCGCCCGAAACGCAGTTAACATGCAGGTGAGCAGTGAGAAAACAAAAACAGCAGTCCATCATCACGAACGGGGCTGAGACAGCCAAGGTTCGGGTGGCAGGATGGGGACAAAGTACTTGCAGATGGTTCCAGCCAAAGTCATGGCTTATGTTGCATGAAGCATTGCGAAATGAATGCTTGGCCCTGTGAAGCCAATTCGTCTCCAGCTGAAGAAAAGGAGAACAAGGAGTCTTGGGAGTGTTGGCGGAGATTGATGATTGGGAAGGATTGGGAAGATGACTGCATTGTAAGTTAGAGTTAAAAGGGTCCGAAACACTCTCCACGGAACATGTATGAAAATGGGGCCAAAAAGGCTCGGCGCGACACGTTCGGGTACCGCCTAATGTTAGACTTAGGGGGCTCTCCAGGTTGATAATGCCTACTACCCTTTCCTATCGCCTGGTGGAACGAGGCTACCGAGTATACACGAACAGAGCCCAGCCTCAAACCATTGCTATATTAAGGGGAGAGTTCAAGCATATGTGACCCACCAACGACCGCAATAAATTCCACATGACGCTGAAGCTCATTCCGCCCAAGTACAATTCTCATATGTAGTCGAAAGAACCAGCCCATTTTTATAGTCCTCGTCCGGCTTGCCCATTATCGTTACAAACCTGCCATCACATCGGGTATCATACTACGCATGCTCATCTCGTCCTCATAAGTCCCCTCGTCAAAGTCACTTCTTCTGCTGATCCATCACAGTCCACTTCCAACTTGGGATCCCACCTGGCTGGGGAGACTGTACGCCCATCTGCAACATTTATCAGCAAGGCGGTCATAAGTATCGTTACTGGTCAAAAGCTTACAAACACCTCTCCAGCACTGTTGTCGTTGCCCGCAGGACTGGTCGAGTTCGCCGTCAATTCTGGCATCTGGTCCGCCTTCGTATCAGATGATCCACTCATATTCAAGACTCCAGCCATGCTCTGTGGAAAGAACGTCGGTCCTCCGAGTCCGAAAGATGTATCTGCAGCCGCGTCCGGGGATTGAGTAAATAGATTGTTGTTCGGCGAGGTGTTCGACCATAGATTCGCCGCTGGATCTAGGGTAAGATTGGGCGGTTGCATATACTGATCCCAAACTTCCTGTATATGTGTCAGCAGCTGGCATCACTTTGACCAAGTCCACCACTTACCCAATCAAGGTTCATGTTGTGAGCCAATTCGCTTCCCCCAAAGCCGAAGCCTGGGAAAGGACTGGTTGCATTGGCTGCCGCGAAAAGGCCCGAGTTGAACTGATCACTGTTGAAGGGCAATCCTGCATTCAGCATATTCTTGTCCCACTGCGCGCTGGGGGACGCTCCTTGCGGCATGTTACTTCCTTGAGCAGTTGAGCCAACACCACCTGCCTGGAGCATGCCGAGTGTCATAGCGGCAGTCTGCTCGTCATTGCTTGATCCCGGATTTTGTTTGTCCGACGCTTGTGCATTGGGAGCATTGTTGGGCGAGTAGGGCAGTTTGATGTGATACAAGAGCACGTTGAGGAGCTCACTGGCTTTGTAAGCTTCAATGCTGAGATCCCGGTTGGCCATCCACACATCCCGGCTCTCCTCCAAGGCACGAACCATGTCTTCACGTGTATAGATCAAGCCCGGGACGTAGGCGCCATCCGACAGGTTGCTACCTTGACTGATGCTGCCTCCACTGACCGAGGTGTTGGGAGTGCTGACATCATTTTCGGGCCGCTCGCGATGGGTGTAAAGATCCATGCATACCACCGTGGCTGCCAGGAGATAATCATGCGCAGTCAGTGAGTTGACATGATTTCGAAGACTCCTCAATCTTCCACGTTCACGACTCTGCTGGTGCTGAATGGCCTGAAAGCTGAGAAGCTGCATGGCCGAGTCCAGACAGGTCTTTCGAGAATGCATGTACCGGCTTCCAGGTCTTGCAAGACGCATGTAACGTCTGTGCAGGACACACTGCGATTTGTGATATACAGTGGCAAGACTAAACCTTGCCATAATCAGCGAGATTGGTGCCAGCGTCTGTTCGGCCATAGGGCGAAGTTTCAGGTGTTCCGGTAAGCTCTCATAGATATCTCTCAATCCACGATCGATCTTGAGAATTTCGTCATAGCCTTTGTGATCGACTCCGTTGATTTCTTCCAAGACGCGTCCGAAACTGAATGACAAACGGCCCTTAGCTATCATGTACGAAATAGGAGTAGCTTCTGTGGCCGGCCGCGCAGGAGGAAGTGAGGTCGAATCTTCATCGAACTCGTCGTCATAGATATTTCGAGGAAGATCGGTATCGGAGTCTCCAATGCGGATCATAGAAGGCAGAGCCACCTGGAAAGAGAACAGCAGATCGGCACTTCGGACGAATGTCCATATACGACGTCGCATCTCTCCTTGAAAGGGAGTCAAGTTCGGGAACAACTTGGCGTCTCGGTGATAGCCCATACGCATGGCAAGTCGAGCAATCATACCGACCAATACCCACACACTTGCCTCGGCGTCTCGATTCGATGTGTATTCCGCATGCAGATGGAATATCAGAGTCTCGATGATAAAGTTATGTGGTTTCGTATAATCGGCGATGATGAGGCAGTGCGCCATTTGCGTACGGAAATTGGCTGCCAAATCCTGACATTTCCCTCGAAACTCGGGGGGCTCATCACCTTCTCGACCATAGGACAGCATGGCCAGGCGCATCATGGCGAATAACATGGCCACCCAGACGATCGAGCTCTTGGACGGATCAGCCCAGTGGGTGTTGTAATGTCGCTGGAATGTCGGACCGTGCAATACATGGGTTGCAGGATCAAAAGTGTTGAAATATCTTCCGATGAGAATATCGGACATATATCGTGACGGTATTTGCGCGAGAATATCTGACCGACTGGGAGGTATTGTACTTCCGAACAAAAGAGCAGGTCCTGAGCCCACGTCCGTTCCCATACTCTTCCTGGCCAGCTCGACCTTTTCAATCTGAGCCTCGTACTCTTTCTTGTGCGCTGTAAAGTAATTCTTCACCTCACCAATTTCACTGAGCAGGGCCGCCCAATGCGCTTCACCGACGTAGAAGGTTTTCTGTCTCTCGGTATCAACTTTGAGGATTCCAAAGCTCTTTGTCACGCCGTCAGTCTCGCTTTCAGCCTCTTGATTATCACCATCCTCGTCCATCATATTGGTCTCATCCAACTCATTGTCCAGATTCGGACCCAATGAGCCACTTCCAACAGTGCTGTTCTCGGCGGACAAAACCTGTTGAGCAGCCGCTGGTCCAACGGCTTGGGCGCCATTGGTCATCAATGATAAGACCAATCCTTCTAAACGATCTATCCGATTTTGCATATCGTCAGGCGTGGAGTTTGAGGAACTGTGACTTTGACTTCCCTTCTTTTTCGCGGCCGGAGCAGCATAGGCGCACGAGGCGCTATCACCACGCTTCGTACAATTGTCACAGGGTTGTTGCCGATTGCATTTCAGTTTGCGATGCCGACACGGCGCGCATGACAAGGGGATGCGGTTGCGCTTTCGCACAACTCGAAATTGGTCGGGAGACTCGCCGGAGTAGGATGTATGCGCTGAGGGAGGGGTAGGAGTCATCTTGACAATCTTTGGACGGTGCGGTTGTGATCGCAGATGCCGTCAATTGAGGTAAGAGGGTGATGATCGTAGCACTGCCTAGCCGAACGCTTTTCTGCAGGGAGGCGCGTTTCCAAGTCTGATAGACACTTCTTTTTCCGGACGACGCTGGGGAGTGTCCTTGCGCGTTCTGGCCAGACCAGTATTGCAAAGGTCAATTGAGGCCGTCGCAAATGGATGCCTTGGGAGGTAAAATGGCTCGTCCGGATTTAAGAGATTATCTGCGCGAAGACGTCGTTCGCATGTGCTAAACCACCAGCAGTGCGAGGAGGGCTTGACTTGATCTGCGCAAATGCCCCCTAGAAGTACAATGTGCGCTTCCAAGTCCTTTGACGCAGTTGAAGAGAATGAAGAAGAATAAAAGGTGGTGAGAGTGGAATATTGAATTGAGAGACCTTGTCGCTTATTCGCTAAGGGCCGAGCTTAATAAGTTCTTAGCAGGTGTTAGTGGCATTGAAATGCGATCAATGCACGGCCAGGGTTAGTGAGGCTGCCCTGGCGGGCTGGCAGTCTTCAGCAACACTTCAGAAGGCAATGGACCAATTGTCACTTGTAGTCATGCGCTAAACGGAGGACATATGAGTCACAAGAAGTGAGCCTATCAATCTGCAATGTGGGATGATGGCTTTTGCTGACCAACTTAGTGATGAAGTCGATGATCGAGTCGGTCTCTGTACCTCGTAGAGGGGCTGATGAAGGGGACCAGGGACGCCTTAACTCCGGAGATCCCAGGTATGTACCTAGGTACCTGTAGATAGCGAGAGAGAACAAGTGGAATGCCTAACTTACACGCCTATTGATAAAGTTCTTACTAACCTGGAACCTGCCTGTAAACCACACCGTGGTGGCCCCTAGACTCTGGGGGTGGCCAAGGAGGTGTGTCCCAAGGTTTGGATATCAGATTGGTATGTTAATGATGTCAGGCCGCAGCAAGCAGCGCAACACCTTCTTCAGTTTTCTACACATTTACACCAATACTCGTGTGGATGTAGGGCTATACAAACACGCCTCAATTCCAGTGCCATCAGTCATGATGCATCTTCTTCCAAAAGTCGGTTTCTTTGAGCCATCATTGATCCAACCGTCTGATATGCGCCACCTCAAAAGTCCCAAAAACTCTTCTGGGGCTTGCTCTGGTTCTGATTTTGTCTGGGAGGTTGCGGCTCATCCTCTCCGAGTCTCCAGTGACTCTCCATGTTTTTCTTCTGGCCTTGTTGCACAGATGACCTCTTAGCCTGCTCTGGTCTATGGTCATAGGTATCCCAACCAGCGTTCATCATCTCAGCGGCCTTCTTTCGGGTCTCTCCAACATGGCCATTCTCATTGTTGAGTTTCCCATCAACACCGGCCTCGTCCGACATATTCCAGTGGCTGTCGAAAGTATTTTTACGACTGGTATTGTGGGTGATGGTCGATAGCGGTTGAGCCTTGCCATCGTCGCCCTCCTCAATGACGTTGTTCGCATACAACCCTGACCGATCGCTGGCCGAGGTCGTGGGACGACTGGAGGTACGATTGGCAGCCGGTGTATCCGTGTCTCTGAATTGAAAGTGCGCCTCGGCATCCTTGCGTGCTTTTGGCACGGCGTGTCTCTGGACAGGTGTACCATCATCCTGAAGTTCAAAGTGACTCTCATTGTCGCGGCGTGGCTTTGGCGCGACTTTGTTTGCTTGTGGAGTCTCAAAGTCGCTGTTGTTGCTTCCCATGCTGAAATGCACCACATCTTGGCCTCGAACCTTTTGTGGCACCTTGGGCGGTGTTGAGAAGTCTTCAAACCCCCACTGCGACTGACCCTTCGTGGTCTTCGGCCGCAGAGGGACGGCATTCGACTTTGCTCCATTCTCTCGATGTTGCATCGGGTCGTGCTCGAGTGCTTCACCCAAGTCGAAGTGATTGTATTTGGCAGGATCCGACTTGTAACCCACAGCCGCAGGCTCATCTGACTCATCTGAGAACAAACGTGAAGGGGCAAACTTTCCTCTGCCACCAGCCTTTGGCGCAATGACAGGTTCGACTGAAATCTTCTTGGGCGATCCCGGCTCATGATCCTCATGTCCGGCTGCGAACAGTTCGCTCATCTCGCGAGGAGGCGGTCTGGCTGAGGCTCGTGGCGCAACAGGGTTGGCGCTCACAGGGGATCGATTCTCATCAGTGGCTTTGGGCGAGAACAGATCGAGGCTTGCATATGGATCTTTGATGTGCTTCTTGCTGGGCGAAACATTGCGGGATGCCGCAACGCTTGGGACCTCCGACCGACCACGTTGACTGGTAGGCACCTCAGCCGCGACTGTGGGAGCAGCGTTGGAACTGAAGGTAATGAGTCTGATCTGATCTTTTCCGTCGAATACAGGCCACTGGTTTCCCCTAGAACCGATGACCTCGGCCTGTCTCAATAGCGATGCTTGATCCCAGCTGATCCTTATTTGGGAGATCTTCCGTTCAGCATCGAAGTGGACGAAATGAGTCTAACACAGGAGATCAGTTCAACTCGACCTGACAAACATGTGGTTTCCTTACTGTGGGAATAATGGCGATCTTGTCAACAATGAAATTCTCCAGCCCTGGTAGATATGTTCCGCCTCCTGAAATGAATTCGAGGATCGTCTCAACCTCCAATGCGAGAGAATTTGTGCCCTCCACAGCCGAGATGACTTTGACAGACTTCGTGCTCACCACGTTTTTATTCTGAATCTCAAGATGTCGGATGATTTGTGTGGGTTGAGAGAAGGAGGTGAGAGTTGTGATGTAGTGAAGACTTGCATTTTGAGAGAGGGAGAGAGGGTTTGGGAGGTCGAGGAAGCGCTGGTAGATGTCTCTGAGGGCCATATTGATGGCGATCCGCGCAAGTTGGAACTATCCTAGTGAGAGAAGGGCGTGCAAACTGTAGAGATTGTATGTATTTGTTGACAGGGTGTCGTGGTGATGCGCAGGCGTAAGGAAAGGCGGAAAGAGCCAACTGTGATTGATTGGAGGCGGTCAATACTGCTTTTGACGACTGGGCTTCACTGGAGATGAGTATGCGCGATCCCCCAATTGTACTATGTACAGAAGTGAAGATTCAGGGTGTGGTGTCCTTGTTGTTTATGCCAAAACATACAAATTGGCCTTAATCAGGGCCCAAAACAAGGAAGGTTCTGCAGTCAATTAAAACGGATCGACGCCAGACGCGTTGCCCCGCCATCATTTCGCGTCCATAACACTGAAACTTTGGGGGATGCACCTTGTCATGTTAGTGACGTTTCATCCTTCTTCATTCAATCGTGGTGGGGGCCGAAATGAGTCCCTAGATAGATACTTTGACACCTTCGATATCGTCTGGTCATCCAGCAAACCGAACAAATCCAATCCATGACCGTCAAGCAGCTATATCATGGTAAGGTCGTCACAGCTTCTTCATGATCCCCCATCCTCCATGAAACCCCCGTGATGCCGCAAGGATGAAAGCACCGGCGATTGACGTGGCACCTGCAAATGCAAAAGCCCCCGAAAACCCATGATGTTCCAGGATTGTTCCTGCAATAGGGCTACCGACTAAGAAGGACCCAGCAACACTGGCAAAAGCCATGCCCATCCTGTTTCCAATCAGGGCCCGGTTCGGTGCGAGTTGCACAGCGATTGCCGGTGCCAGTGATAACAATGCTCCAGAGAATACTCCGTAAAGTACTGCGACCACAATAATGCTCGCCAGACTTTTGGCCCCCATGAAAGCAAAAGCCATAACGCCGGAAAAGATGCCACATGGTACCAGAACATTGTACATGCCAAACTTGGCAGCTAGCAGGTTTGGGACCACTCTGCCGAAAACACCCCCTGCCGTGATCACTGCGAGGAGGTAAAAGGCAGTCGTCTCAGACGTGACGTTGAGGTTCAATGCGTACAGACCGATATAGAAGTACGGAGTGAACGTGCCGATAAAAGCCACAAAGCAGCCCAGGACGTATAGATCGTATGCCGGGTCTCTCCATGCTGACAGGTCGAACAGTTTGCGGCGTTGTGGTGGAAGCATCCGGACTCGCATGACAGCATTTGGCACAATCAAAGTCGCCAGACATATGAAGGCAATTGTCCGTGTCGCCCAGGGAAATCCAACTCGAGGTTGAAGTCTGTGGAATACGATTGGCAATATTGTCCCTCCTATTGTCAACGTCAGCAGGCTCAGGGTTTTGTATGTTGGACGGCCACTCACCGACGCCACTACCTGTGGCACTCAGACCCATGGCTATGGTCATCTTCGAAGAAAAATAGGTCGAAACCAGGGCCGTGCTCGGCACGAACAGACAGCCTGCACCGAGACCAACACAGACACCCTGTGCGAGCATTACCTCCCAATATTTTGTGGCAATGCTAGCCATCATCATGCCAAAGACAGTCAGGCCCGAGCCTACGACGACAAGAGTACGAAAATACCCAGCGTCGAAAATAGGTCCGGTCAACGCACCGACCAGGAGGAGAAGACATGACTGAACGGAACCGATCCACGCAATGGCTGACGGAGATTTGTCCTGAAGAAGGTCGACGGTGTAGAAGGACTGGAAGGCCCCGTAAGCATTGATCAGACCCCTAAGTGCTTGTTAGCCTCTGCCTCCGAGTCGAATGGCTGACTTTCTCACCAAGTGTTGAACCACAGGAAGAAAGCTCCCAGAACCTGCAACCACGCCTGCATACCTCCATTCGGAATTCCAACGTTGTGTACTGCGGCCTGCTTCTCTTGTGGGACTGCAGCACTTGTGTTGTTCTCTTGCTTGATCTCAAGACTTTGCTTCTCGGAATTGGCTGAGCTTTCGAGGTCTTGTGCTCCGACAATAATGTCGATGTCTGACTTGTCCGCTGCAGTCATTGTCCCGTTTTCCAACAGAAGCTCGTGGATCTGCAATCTCAATTCCTTAGGGAAAAAAAATCGAGCTCGTGGGGCAGGTCAAGATCTTGGGCAAGGCTCATAGAAGTGTATCGAGCACCATTGTCTGCTCAGTCCAGGCAAGCATCCAGCTCTTATATGTCGATCTCTCGACTGCTCTGGCCTCATTACGTTCACCCTTGTCCAAGACAAGCCTGTCATCCAAACAGAAGATGCATCAACGGACTCTCGTGAGGCTTGTCATGATCGGCTAGAAACATGTGCGCGACCAAAAAGCCCGAGTCTAGGCAAGCCTACCGGCACCATACGAAAACAACGCTGTCTGACAAACCCTCCAAAAGGTGTACGGTGAAACCTATCGGGTCATTTTCACGTGGCTACCAACTACGATTCCACACTGATGCACCAAGTTCGTGGCATGTTGATACAGGACATCTGGACTTTTCGAAAAGCGGCCAACTCTGCACGGAAGGGAATTCTGTTTCTCGCAAGTCGAGGAAATTCAGCTTCTCGAAGTGTACCTGCCCGATCCGCTTCGTTGTTCCTGGCGGCAGCCGCGGGACTATGATTATTCAGCCACCTTGGCTCTACCAAGGGATGTAAAGACGGCCGAAGGCCGTCAACTGACTTAGGTGGATATCGTACACGATATACGACCTCCGGATAGGTATATAGTCTAACGGGCCCCTACGGCCCTTGAGCAATAATAAGTCCTCCGTGAAATTATATCTAGTAGTAACGATTTAATAGCCCTTTACCCTAGGCTAAGGCTTTTAAAGCTCTTATACTCCTTCGAAAAGAGAAGAAGTATAGTTAGAACGATCCTAAAACCGCGAGAACGATATAGTCTCTAGTTTAAAGTATATCGTAGAATATTAGGAACTTCGATAAAGTATCGTTTTATAACGACGATATCTTTACCCTAGAGTAATCTCTTCTTCCTTAAGAAAGGGCTCTTTTCGTTCTCTTCGAAGGCTATTTATATACTAGAGAAGTCTTAGAATAACGAGGTAAGAAGGTATTAATCGAGAAAGAATTTTTAATATATAATTATATTAAGGCGAATCTTTTATAAATTTAGCTTTATTAATTATTTTAATCTTATATAATAAGATAAGAAGCCTTCGAAGATCTCTCTATAAACTATATAAATATCTTCGAAGATAGAGATAAAATCTCTAGCGACTTCGAAACTTAACGAGTTCTTTATTAAAACTTCGTCGAAATTAATAGTTAGCTATAGATCTCTTACTTAAACTCCTTAGTAATTAATAAACGAGCTATATAACTATACTAATATCTTATTTAAATTAATGAATAGCTATAAACAAATATTTTAAATTTAGTCTAAATAGTAAATATTTCTTCTTAATAATCTAAAAGATATATTATCTATACTTTAGTACGAGAGAAGATTTTAGAAACGATTCTTTCGAAAGAGATAATTAGACTTCGAACGATTAAAGTTATAGTAACGATCGTTCGAGATATAAGATTATTAAATAAAGGCGTACCTAAACGTAAAAAGAATATCGTAAGAGAATACTCGCTAATTAAGATAGTTACTTCTATATAATATATCTTACTCGAAAGCTCCCTTTTTTCTTTCGATATTAATTATTATCTCTTTTTTATTCTATAATAACTCTTAAAGCCTTACTAAAAGGAAACTTTAAAATATCTTTCGTACTTAATATAGTATATTTATAATATTCGAACTATCTTCTTTACTTACTATAGAGACCGAAAAGCCTTAAATAGAAGACGAAACTCGCTTCCTTTAAGTCGAGAACTAGCTTCGTTAATTAATAAGAGCTATTCTATTTACTTAATAGCTACTCGAATAGATCCGTAATATCGAAGAAACGATAATTTATTTAGTAAATTATTTTTAGGGTTTAATAATCGAAGGCTTATTAACTTAACCTAATACGAATACTACCCCTAATAGTAGCGATAGCTAAACTTAAGGCTTTAGCTCGAGCCTTATAAATTTAAATAAAGTCTATTTAGATATCTATTTATTATTATTATCTACTATCTATAGTAACTCGATATTTACTATATATATTAGTAATATATTCGAAGCGACGACTATCGAGAAGCTCGAGTATATATCGATTTATAAAGACGAACGTAAGAATAACGCTATAATTATTTAGCTTATATAAGTCGATAATATTATCGTTAACTAAAAGAAACTCTTTAGTAAATAATTTCAAGATAAGTAAAAGATCGCCTATACTAATAATACCTTATAAGGTAAAGCTAATATATAGTAGTAACTCTATTAAATAGCGACTCGAAAGGAAGGGCGCTAGTTTACTAAAACTTAAATATAATTTTAAGAATTAATAGCGAAACGTTTTAAAAATATTCGTACTAACGACGAGCGTCGCGATAAATTCGATAATCTTCGATAGAAATCGAGGAAGATAGTATAGTACTTCTATTATAATATCTAGTATAAAAGAATATATCTTAACTCTTTAGTAACGAATAATAACTATTTATTATTATTTAAATATAGTCTTAATAATACTATTCGTAATAGAGTTAAGATACTACTTAATACTATTTTACTTACTCTTTTCTAGCCTTATATCGAGTTTACTAATAAAATAGAGCGTAAATTACACTATATTACCTATCGAAAAGACTTCTTCGATATTCGAACTCGTCGAGAACGAGCGTATATATATTCTATTAACTATCGTAAAAGAGATATCGATAGAGATACTTAAATAACGCTTAATAGTATAAAATCTACTTCTATTTCTAGTCGAGACACTAATTAATCCTTTCGAGGGTCTTCGAATATATCTCGTAGCGTATCGAACTAAATATCTAAGATAAACTAATAGTTATATTATAATTATAATAAGTTAGGTTACTAAAAAAAAGAATACTTTAAATTTACGCGTTAAAATATCGCGCGGGGCTAAAGAGAATCTTTTTAAGAAAAAGACTAATACTATTAGATAATAAAGCGTCTAATAACTAAAATAAATAATCTATAGATCTCGAGACTAAATAAGTCGATAATATCGCGCCGCTAAATATATAATTATTAAAAAGAAACCCTCTCGATATTTATTTAATAGTTTATAAGTCTATAGATAATATATTAATAAAAGATAACTATAATCTTATTAATAAAATATTAAGATAGTCGAAAGAACTTATTTCTATAACTATTCTTTTTAATACTAGATTCGAAGTATTCTATATCTCTAAAAGTATATTCGAATATCTTTCGAAGAATCGAAAAGTAAGAATAGCGCGATTATTATAAGTTCGCCTTATAAATAGTTAAATTACTCTCTTAAATTAAATAGTAATTACTAATTTAATCTTTAGTAACTTTCGATCTTATATCGAACTTCGAATTCTTAAATAGAATATCTACGATATAATTCTTAGTCTTAACTAGCTTAAATAGTACAATACTTATTAGAATATCGCTTCGAACTATATAACGATAAGAAATAAAGCTAATAAGGAGTCTTTTATCTTTACTAAGCCCTTTCGAATCGTTAATTATAAAAGTATTAAAGAAAGCGAACTTAATCTACTTAGCTTTCGAAAAGCTAATAAGATACTCTTAAAGATATAAAAACGAAAACTAATACTCTTTATACTAGCTAAATTACTTAATATCGATCTTTTAGCCTTATTAATTACTTCGAAATTAAATTCGAAGAAGCTAAAGACTTCGAATATTAATAAAAAGAGAATACTAATACTATATATTATTAAGCTAAGCGACGAAGCTCGCTAATAGCTAAAAGTATTCCTTACTAAAGTATTAAAGCGTTATCGATCGATTTTAGAGAAATATTTATAAGTCCTATAAGATAAATTATTTATTTAATACCCTCGAACTCGAGATATTAAGTATAAGATTAATACGAAGAAATCTAAAGCTATTAATTTATCTTACTATCCCCTTTCTAAGTAATATCGTAATAAGTAGAAGCGTTAAATTAAATAACTATTAAATTAAGAGCTTATTTAACCTTCGAAGAGCTCTTAGGGATTTCTAGTTCTATTCGTTTCGAAACTAAAAGGTAAGTAGCGAATATATATTAATTATCGTTTATTAAATAATATAATTATTAAAGACGTATATTCTTTATCTCGAATTTAGGACTACTTAAATATAATCAACGATACTTATTATCTTTCGAAGATCGACTTAATATAGAGTTACTACTAAGTAGAAATAGCGCTCGATACTATTTCGAAAATAATATTTAATATATATTTAGAGAAATATAAGTTCTTAGCTATACTCTTCGAATTAATTAACGCTTCTTTTACTTTTTAATAAATTATAAATAACGCGCTTAGACTCTTTATAGGAAAGTTTATAGTTATATACTTAAATAATATTATTATTTTCTTTAAAAACTCGAAAAAATATAAGGAATATCTCGAGATAGTTCTTAAGACTCTTTAGGACTATAAGCTATTCGCTAAATTATTTAAATATACTATCGAAGTAATTAAGCTTAAGTTCTATAGATATATCGTCGAAAATAATTAATATAAGCTAATCTCGATTAAGATTAAGATTATTAAGGAATAGCTATAGTTTCGTAATATTTACGAGATTTATTAGTTTCTAAATCTTACTTCCTATTATTATCGATACGTTAAAGACTTCGCTAAAATAGCTTCTACACTATTAGATTTACTTATCGAAGCTAATATAAAGATTCGAAAGAAGAAGTTTCGTCTTATTTAGTAAATAGTATAATACGAAATAGTATTCCGAATTCTAAAGAAAGGCCTTATATCGTATTTAATTCTTATATAAGTTAATAAGAATAAACCCTTTCGTATCGAAATAGATTACTCCGAATAGGCCTTAAGCTATATACTATTATAACTTAGTATCGATAGTAAATAGTATTTAGTTATTTACGATAGATATAAACTTCGCGACTTTAAGCTTAACTATTCGATTTAAGAAAAAGAACTACTTACGATTAAGTATACTCTTCGAATATAGTCGATATATATCGAGAATAACTATACTACTATAGTAATAATCGATTATAAAAGTCTTAAGTATTTAATAATTACTAGAACTTCGTTTAAGTATTTAGCGCGAT